TTATATTTGTCATCTATAATCATATCATATATATCATCTATCTTTTTTTTTAATTATTAGATTTTTCAATTTTTTTTTATTTTTTTAATTTTATAATAATTATATTTAATTACATTCATAATATAATATCCAACTTTCTTAGGTATATTATATAATCATTATGTATTAAATAAGTTAGTTTATTAACATAACTAGGTCTTATTATTTAAGATAATGAATATTAAAAATACATTTCATATTTATAGTATTATTTAATATATATTGTGTCATCTTTTTAATAATATCAAAATTCAATTTTTATCTTTTTATATAAATTAATCTTTTAAAAATTTTTTCCAAATATTATATTCTTTATTTTTTTTTCTCTATTGAAATTCACGTAAATATAATAATATATATTTTTTATTTCTATTTCTTAATGGAATACTTTGTTTTAAATGATTCCATAAACTTTCAATTGAATTAGTATGTATTCCAGTTATTAGATCTTTAAAATTTTTTTTATAATTTACAGTTAAATGTTTATATCCTATATTATTTAAATTATTATATCCTTTCCAACAATCAGTATAAATAATAGTATCTTTTTTAACATATTTCTTTATAATTTTATCAATATTATTTATATTTCTTTTTTGAATTAGTAATAAAAATATTTTTTGATTTTGATATTTAATTTTATTTTTTAATATACTTCTTTTAATATCACCAATAATCCATGCATCTTCAATTTTATGACCTCTATTATATTTATTTTTTTCAATTTTAGTTTCATCAATTTCAATTATTTTATTTCTTCCTCCAATTTTTATATTTTTATTAAAATTAATTTTATTTTTAAATATATTCTAAAAATTTTATAATATAAACTTACAGTATTTGGATTTATTTGTAAAGTAGTAGCAATACTAGTTGCTGGCATTTTTAAAAGATAATAATTTAATATATGTAATTGAATATTTAATAATAATTTCATTTTAGAAAATATTGTACCTGTTAAAGGTAAAAATGATTTTCTACATTTATAATTTTTACAAATATATAATTTTTTATTTATATATAATTTTGTATCTTTATCACAAACTTTACATTTTTCTATTTTATTAATATAGTTATTATTAATTAAATAATATAAAGCTTTGTTTTCATTATTAAAAATATCTTTTAAATTTATATAAGGTTCTGTAAACATATTTGCAATAATTTTTATTATTAGTAAAAATTTAATTTTTAGTTTTTTTTAACTTTTTCAATAATTGAGTTTAAAATTATATCGGAGTTTAAATTATAGAATCTGTGTGTTATCTTAATAATTGTCCGTTCTTTCTTGCGACTCGATGGATGTTTTTTTCGTTTTCCCCTTTTTTCTCCTTCTGTTCACCTGAGGTTTGGTCTGTAGAGAGCTTTCTCCAAGGCTGATCGTCCATTCCTCTAATAAACTTATACATTTTCGACTGAGCTAAGCGAGCACCCTTTTTCCGCTCTTCATCACTTTTAGCCGGAATTACACCTGTTCCACACACAATTAAATCCCTTCCATCCATCATACATCCTTTGCCATATCGTGCATCCACCCCCTACTGACTTATTTCTGAAGCTTGAAATCATTACCATCGTTCTTCTCTGAAATATCTCCAATTCAAGAAAAGTGTATCAAAGAAACACAACATTGATTTCAGCCAGTTCTATCGCCGAATCTCATTTTTTGGTAACCGCTTCGCTCCCCGCACCACCTTTTGTGTCTGAACCGGACTCCAATTCTGAATTTCGCCTGCTGACGTCGCATCCCAACTCGATGTCCACCACCACTTCATCTGAACAATTTGTGGCCATGCAGGCCCAAATTACTTACCTGACTGCGCAAGTCACTACGCATCATACTAAACTTGACCAGATCCGTTGCCTACTTGAAGAAAACCAGCAACTGCATGATGAGAATGCTCAGCTGAAAGCCCAACTTGCTGCTGCTACTGCCAGCGCTCCTAAACCTACTGTCCCCATTTCCCCCCCCTACCACTGAGGCTGCAACATGTCCCACTCCAGCCACTCCTACACCTTTGGGTTCTGATGAATCCACCTTGGCCACTGTGTCCAAAAAAATCCGCCCTCCACGTATTAAGTGCACTGTCCGAAGCTTGGCTGCTTCAGTCCGTACTTTCAAGGAAGCTGAAGGCCCTGGTGGCTTCCAGTACCTCTACATCCCTCGTTCCCGCAGACTCACCTGCCAAGAAGCCCGTTCTCATCTTCACTGCCTTGGAATCGACCCCTATAGAATTCTAGACATAACTTTCCCTGCTCGCTCTGTTGTTGGACTTCTTATCCACAACCAGTACTGTCCCTCTATTCTTGCTACACTTGAAAAGCATACCATTAAGCCCTTCCTTGATTTTGACCCTCTTGATCCTGTCCACCTTGCTGATCCCGAAATCAAAAGTTTGCCCCTTGAGGAACAACACCTGTTTGCCAAGACCCTTCACTATAGTCGATGTGAAAAAGCTGTGGCCCGCCTTCCTTACCACCTTGCCTCGCCCATTGCCCGCTCCTTTCTAGATGATGCTATCTTTAATGAGGCAGATGTTTCTCGCATTCTGAGTTCCTGCCGAGGTGCTCCCGTTTTCCCTGCTGAAGAAAAGTCTTCTGATCCTGATACCGATATGATCGATGCTAAAAGTGAACACACCCAAGCCTGTAGCGGCACACTCTAAAGATGATTGATCCGGATTGATCCCAATCACCCCTTCACTCCTTCCTTGTCAACCTCTCTTGCCACTCATTCTCGATCGCCCTCACCTCCAACCCCACTCACTCCCACCACTCCCTTCCACATCGGCCTATGGAATGCTAATGGCCTTCAAGCCTCCTTGGTCGATGATATCCTCCAACACTGCCAGTCCTTTTCTCTCCTTTTCATCACTGAAACCTAGTTACTTTCCCCAGCTCGACTCCGTACTTCTTGGTCTCAGTACCATTTGTATGATAGCCCTGTTGCGGGTACAGTAATTTCCGTGGTTCTTATGGTATTTCTGCTCTTGTTTCCCCCAGCTTTCCTTTCCACATTGTTCAATTCCCAATAACGTCACCTCATGCCCTTGGGCTCCAGATCGGCCCTTCACTCCGGGTTGTTTGTATTTATCTGCCACCCTCTCTCACGCCTGATGAAGTTCTTGCCGCTTTGAACGCCATCCCACTGACCAATGATACCATCATTTGTGGTGATCTAAATGCTTGCCTGGGCACTCTCACAGGTGATCATCGCTCCAATACCCGCGGATCACTACTACAAGACTGGGTAGAAGAACGCAATCTCCAGATTCTCAACATCTCTTTAGCATATGGTATTTCCACTTTTCTCAACTACCGGAATGAACAGCTCCATAGCAGCATCGTCGACTATTTTCTTACCAATGTGCCTCAACTTTCCACTCCCTCGCTAAAAATCTATTCTGAACTATACCTTGGCTCTGACCACAAACTGTTGGTCTTATCCTTCGCCTACTTTGACCCCACTACTCTTGTTCACATGTCTCCTTCTTCTTCTTCAAGCCGTCACCTCTGGAATCTATCGCGATTATAAGAAACGGACGTGCATCGCTTACTGTATATGTTGATACTTTTCACTCCCTGTCAGACCGTCTTCTTACACAACTCCAGGATCTTTCTCAAAACCCGCCTTCCACTCGACCACCGATCGACCAACTGAACTCTGATCTCAATGATCATATCTACACTGCGCTGGACAAATCGGTCTGTCGTCATGCACCCCGGCCTCCTTCATGGAAATCATTTTGAAATACAGAGCTCCAAGCCCTCGCAGATGAAAGAGAACGTTGCTACCGTCGCTGGCATCGAGTCATTGGCCTGGACAAAGTCCCATGGTGGGATCGCCTCCAACACGCTGCTGCCTGTTTCCATTGTGCCGTGCGATACGCTAAGCGTTAGACTTGGTGTGCCTTTTGCGATCACTTGGCCTGTGGGGATTTCTCGCGTGCAACTGCAACCATCAAAAGCATCCGCAATCGCCGCAACCAACAGGTATGCTTTACTCATCCTGATGGCCCAGCTATTGGTGCCCAAGTGCTCCGCGACCATATGGCGACTGTTTACTCTGGTCAACATTTGCCACGCACCCGACCACCACTGCCACCTGCACCCAGCCAGTCTCTTCCTTTCAATCTTGCATCTACATCCCTTTCGCATGCGTTTACCAGAGAGAATATCATTGCCACTTTGAAACGACTCCCATGCCGAAAAGCCCCAGGTCTAGATGATTTTTGTGCCGAAATGTTGATACTGATCGCAGACTCTCTTGCCCTTTTGCTGACCCACCTGTTTATCATCTGCACCCAATGGTCTTATACTCCCACAGTGTGGCATCATGCCCAGGTAGTTCCTATCCACAAGCAAGGTGCCCCTCACGATCCTGCCAACTTCCGCCCGATTTCACTGACCTCAATTGTACGAGATGATTCTCTTATCTACAGTACAGTATATTGGAAACCACCGCCCCACCTCTAGACGTTGCCCAAGGGGGATTTCGCCATCAACGTAGTGCTCTGGATCAAGCCCTCTGTCTACACGACTTGATGTGGGCCTACCGCGATCGCCACAACCACTACTCTGTCGTTGCTTTTTTGGACATTAAGGCCGCTTATGATACTGTTGACTGCCGGGTTGTCTGGCAGACTTTACTTGTCTCTTCCATGTCTCTTGTACTTGTCTTGCTCCTAGCGCACATGTTCGATGATGTTTCCGTCACAGTTCTTTTGCAAAACCAAGCCTCCACTCCTTTTACTCCGTCTACTGGTGTGCTACAAGGGTCTGTGCTCAGCCTGTTTCTTTACTCTTTATATATCAATATGCTGCCTGCTCTTTTGCAATCTGCTGCCTCAAATTCTACCACAGCGGTGCCCTCCACATCACCATCGAGACCACCTCGCTACGATGCTTTTGTGCCCAATGGCTTACCGTTTGGACCCATCCCATCTGACAGTGACCCCATTGTCATATAGGTAGGGTCCATATACCACTACATAAGAATTACCTCGGTTTAAGCAAATAAGAGACACTAGAGTAGTTACACACTATTTGTACATTCAAATCCCGATACCAGTTATTATCTTTGAATACCAGATACTAAAGAGATGATCTTTTTCGAGAATAAACAACAGTCTCACCATACTCAACATCTCTATCCATCTATACCACAGAATTTCTATGTTCTATAGACCCCGCAATTTCTTGAATTAGCCAATCATAATCGAGTATTGCGCCAGTCACATCACGTGCAGCGGTTTGAGCCAATCACTTAAACGAATGAGTGTGAAAACTGGCGTTCCTTGAATGGCTTGAAGTGCTGCGGTGGTGAGATTGGGGATTTTTTAATTTGGCAGGAGAGCCGTAAGAGAGAGCAATGGAAGCGTTGCTGGGTGGAAGTTACGGCGTTGAGGTTAGGTTCCATAAAAAAGAATCATGTTCCTGTTGCCTGTCCTATCTCAGCAAAATGTGGATTGTTTGCAGCAGGATCTTTTCTTTTTTTTCATATTTGAAGGTGGTAAACGTGCAGAAGAGCCGATCGGATTTGGCTGTCATGAAGATTATACTCGTGTTGTGTATTTGTTGACGACGTAAAAGGAATGATAGACATCTTATTTATTTTAAATAGAAAATATACCAGGCACGTACCAGAAGCTGGGAAAGTATGTGATCTGCCTGTTTACTTTCTGCGTGTATAGAATATGCAATCGGCAGGAGATAACTTGGAATAGCAATCTAGTGTATTTGGCTTCATCGCATAAATCGCTTTAATGAAGGTTTTTTGGTGTGCGATAAATCATGACGAAGGAAGAATATTTGGTGCATGATCGAGGAAGTAGAACCTGTTCGTGACTGTGCACCGCATTGGATTTGGAGGAGCGCGTCCAGTGAATTCTACAAGGTTGCAGTTTCTTTTATCTACGGTTGAACCAATGGCAAGCGATAAGGATGCTTTGGTAGAAATGGGTTTCTCCCGTAATAAAGTGTAAGTTTTCCCACTGAGGGTTAGTGACAAAAGATTTAACGTTCACTGCAGGGAGAAAGCTTGGAAAGCAACAGGTGGAGCCGGTCTTCAAGTCGCCATGGACTGGTGAGTGTGACAATGACAGACGAACCACTCATTTTTTGGTACTCAATGGCTTCCGTAGGTTGTTGAGTCATCCTGAAATCTCTGACGAACCAGACAATGACGAGCCTACAGCTCATGTACTGGGCGGTCAAGTGCAACCTGCGGCTAACGAATCGGAAGCTTCGACACAGGAAGATGATGGTACATAGTATATCGGATTGAATGAATACAGTAGCACTTACACTTTCGAAAAGGAGAGATAAGAGCCGATGAACAAACAGCTCAAAGTTTGGTTTGCAACGACTGCTCCAAGTTATTCCGCGATGGTACGTAAAGGGTACCCGCTGTTGGGTCTTGTATCAACGTTGACACCGACCTTTTCATTTTTCAGCTGCGGCCGCGGAACGACATGCCACGCGAACCAGTCATCAAAATTTTTCTGAAAGCACGGAATCGATCAAGCCTTTGACCGAAGAAGAGAAAAAGCAAAAGCTGGCGGAATTGAAGGCCCGGTTGGCGGAAAAGCGTGCCTTGAAGGCAATGCAGGAAGAAGAGGAGCGCAAAGCATTAGAGAAGATGAGACGGCGCACAGGCCAAGAAATTTCTCAGCTCAAAGAGGAATTGGAGGCTAAAGAGATGAAAAAGGTGTTTGAAGCCAAGCGAAGAGAAAAAGAAGAAGATCGGCTCGCGAAAGCAAAAATCAAGGCGCAAATCGAAGCGGACAAGCGGGAACGCATGGCCAAGGTACATCATAGTTCATCGGTGTGTGCGCTTGAATATGGGATAGCATGCTTAAACTTGCGCTTAGAGAGAGGCCGCAAAACAGCAGCAACAACAACAACAGCAACAGTCTGCATCGGCCAATCAAACAACGCCATCTTCAAAACAGGAATACCACGAAGCAAGATTACAAGTAAGTGTTCATTACGAGTTTCACTTTGCCCAGGAACTAAACAAAAAGGAAAAATAGATTAGAGCTCCTGGAATGGCACCCATTGTCAAAAACTTTGACGCGAATGCTAAACTTTCGGAAGTGCACGATTATCTGAATTCTCAAGGCATCAATGCCGCATTTAGTCTTGGTACCACCTTTCCGAGAAAAGTGTTTACCGAGGAACATCAAAGAAAGACTCTGAAGGATTTAGGTAGCGTATTGATGAATCTCATTTTGATGAAACTGTTCACTCAATGTTCTCTGTAGGATTGGTTCCATCGTCAGCTTTGGTATTGACGTTCTTATAAAAACAGCCGGGATTTATTGTCGTACAGTTCCCAGAAGAAAAATAGGTTAAAAGAGAGTTTGTTATCACCAACGATTGTAAGGTAGAAATTTCCCATTCAGAGTGATTTTTACTCGATCCCCTTTTTCTGTTTCCACCTTGTTGCCGAGAAAAAAATCGTCAGTACCACTGGTTTTTGTCTTTATCCAGGCGAGTTGCATTACCTTGTCTACTGTAGCCGTGAAATCGACAGCGGACATGATACCGTCGCCAAACTGGATACAGAGGGCGCAAATTTCATCAATTAAGAATCACCAGTCTCGGAAAATGCAATCGTTTTTTCCTTACCTTTTCATGGATGACTGATTTCAAGGGATAGCCGTAAACTTGTAATATTTCATACAAACGATATAACGTCGGATCAGTGGGCGGAGTACTCATAAGACTATGGGCCAATGCGAATCAGTGATTTGTTAAAGGCCCATTAGACATTGACGATATACCCTCCACGATCTGGAAAATAGTGAGCACCATACTCCTCTTTTAGGTGGGCCAGTGGAATATTCAGTACTTCGGATAATGCCTCCAACTCTTCAAGAGTCGGTTTGACCTAGGCAATACGGTCAAACGTACTTGCATAATAAACGCAACGTCGCAACTTTACCTGGCCATAAAATAAAGCGGCGATATATATTTCATCCAATCCTAGCCGATCCCCAATATCTTGAAATCTAACGCATACAACATCAGTGCTACAGTCCATTCGAAATGGCAACATGCAGAGCTTCACCTCAGGTGGCGTTCTTCTTTTGCTTGAAACATGCGAGTTTGCAATGCAGTCAGGCGCGGATTATTCTACTGTCTCGGTTAGTGAGGTTGGGGCAGAACAGTCGACAACAGCAGCAAGATTACATTCATGGTGGACATTGGGAAAGGGAGCAACGAAATATGACCTGAGTCGCGCGTTGCGGTATGAGGTGTGTGAAAAGCGATAAGCTTGCTCAGGGGTTGCCAGCATGACCACTGTCGTGGGCTGTCCAAAAAAGGTAAACCCCCAAACGCCCAATGGGACCACTGTCTGGTTTACCAGTTTTTTCATATCTTTTTCTCTTTGCATCCACACGTCGCTTTCCATCATGTGTCCCAGAAAAGTTCTTTCGGTTACATATCTAGCTTCCAGATAATTTTTTTTGGCACATCGGCACTGATCGGTATTTTTTGTCATATTTTTCGTTTATGGTATTATGACAATGATTTCCGGCTTAACTGACTAATACCCAATATAAAGATGTACAAACGCACACAACCAAGGTATCAGCAAAGAAGTACGATTGAATGAGATTTACATAATCCCTTGGCCGCAACGCTCCTCGATTCACAGCCGATCCACATCCCATGGCTACACCGGTTACTAGGGAATTCACCATTGATTTTTTTTTTCTGATGAGGGTTCTCACGACGGTATTTCACGACCACCAGTCGGTCAAATCAAGTTGGTATTTTATGGGTGCATCAGAAATCAGTTTCATCACTCTCTTTGCTTATTACCCATCTCGCAATGGGAATTGCCAAAAGTGGCAGCGCGTACGACGGCGAAGCACTCTTCAAGCTCTCACATGTCCTGCTGCTTCTCCACCGCAAATAACAGCACGGAAGGCTAATTTACCAATAAAAATTCAACTAAATCTCATACTTGCTTTATGGCCCTTTATTGACATCAAATATCGCTTTCAAGGTATTGCGGCCTTACTTTCGCTTGCAGACGCAGCGTTTCTCGAATACATAAGACGTATTCATCTCCCATGGATTGACTATCGTTGAAATTGCTCAGCTTCCTGCACAAGTCGCTGACCAAAAATGGGCGAAGACGTTTCATTCTTTTTGCTCAATGGCACGCAATTGAGATTTTAGACCAGCTTTGTTCTCATATTTGGCGGGAAAGTACTCTGTTTTTTTGTGCCATTTTGATATGCTTGGTTCATTCTTGGCCAGTTGGGTTCATTGAGCCGTTTGTTTTTTCTTGCAGTGCAGGGGCAGCATTCATTTCAGTTTTTCTTCCAACAATGAAAAGGAGTTGTGTTTTGCTGAATCCGATATCTTGATATCAATTTTTTCATTCGTCTCGACTTGTCAGTGCTTGAATTTTTATACAACTTTGATCACTGGAAAAACTCATTTCCAAGTTAAGAAAAAGTCTTATAAGTAAACTAGTTGCTGCTGTCCTTGAAACTTCGTGGAATTTCGGTGATAGATAACCAAAGTAAGAAAGCCAATTTTTGATAGATTCTAACGACGCCAAATCAACAGCTAGAAATGCTTATGTGATATGTGCCTAGAGTGTGCATATGGACAGTAATATTCTATTTTATATTGCTCTCCAATGAACTGTAGGCAGATGTAGAGTGTCTGAAATCCGAGTGCTAGATGCTGCGGAAGTTGAAAATGAACCAGTTGAACGTTTCGCAGTTGCACAGTGGTCACCGGCCGTGGTGGCTTAGAATCGCCCCTGGTCTTTAATAACATTCAAAATTTCCCTCTTAACATTTCCCTTTGCACCAAACTTACGCTATATTAATCAGCAACATGTTCCGCCCCACCGTTCTTCTTAATGCCGCCACCAAGGCCGCTGCTTTCAGAGCCGCCCCCATCTCTGCACGCGTCATGCCCACCGCTGCCGCTCGTTTCTACTCTGCCGGTGCTGGCCTCAGCGAATCCGATATCCAAACCCGTGTCTTAAACATTTTGAAGGGTTTCGACAAGGTCGACCAATCCAAGGTAACGCCATTTGGAAGCTTGAAAATGGTCACATGTGTACATTGACTAATGTGAGTTTGTAACAGGTTGCCGTTGACGCACACTTTGTCAATGATCTTGGCCTCGATAGTTTGGATACCGTCGAAGTCGTCATGGCCATTGAAGAAGAATTCTCCGTGGAGATTCCCGACAAGGAAGCTGATGAAATCAAATCTGCAAAGCAAGCTGTTGATTATATTAGCAAGCGTCCTGATGCCCACTAAAAATACTGCTTGAAATGTAAAATGTTTGGCGTTTTTTCGGCCCATTCCAAGTTCATTTTCCCTGTTTGCAGTATTGTTGTGATGGAAATGCGGATGAAGAATGAAGAAAAAAAAAAACGGCTTATTCCAGTGAAGGAATAAGAGAATTGAAAATAAAGACTGTATTAGAAGTCATGTAAATTGCAATCGACAACCGTATTCATTTTTCTTTGGGATTGTTGAAGCTCGCAACGACATAGTAAGAGTGTAGACTAAAAAAGACACGCCAGAGTGTCTACCCTTTCGGCATGGCAGGCGGCTTCATTTTACAGCAAATATCATGGCATGAACAAGCAAAGCGGGAGCTATTCAGTTCAATGGCATCATCTGACCCACGTGTGGCTGCTGAAGCGCCCCAAAATGTGTGAACCAAACTTGGCCCTAGCTCGTGTTGCTACCTCCCAAGGTTGACAAGAGGGTTAGATTCAGCTACCATGGGTATTTTTAGTATTTTCCAATGAACGTCATCCGCTCATGCATCGCATAACACACAGAGGACAGACTTTGGTGGTAAAGCTTATTTTTCAACTGATTATGCAATCACTCTTTCAATAATAGGGCAAATGAAGTCAGATATGATCAGAATAATGGATTTGCAATTAATCAAGCAGCCAAATCCAGTTATCCGTTCCATTTTTAAGCGTGCCTTTTGTTACCATGGGGTAGGGTCCTGATCATTGACACCCAAAGTCATGCGCAAACGCGCCATCATATCCAAGTGCTCCCACTATTTGTGATAACCTCTTTTTTTTTATCAATACCAAAGAAATGTCCACCAACAACATCCCATCAGAAATGTGCTTTATTGGTTATGTTTTCTGCCAAGCCGGGTTGAGACAAGGCATGATGGCACTGTATTCATTGAGTCGCTATTCGTAATATTTTATGTCGCCTGAAAGCACCATCCGCGACAAACGTCTTGCCTGCCAATGCCGTGAAAAACGGTTGCTGGGTTGTCTGTATTGGATGGTGAAGTAAGGGTTCTCACTTCAGCGCGAGGAAGGGAGTGAGAAAACGCCTGGCAAACATGACAAGAAAAAAAAAGGAACATTTGGTGATTAAGGGGTTAGCCGTTGGTCAGGGGCATGAGGAAAGAAACGGGCCTACATAGACCCTGATGGGTCTCCCCATTCCACTTTTTCTTGCTCTAATTCTTTTCTTCTTCTCTTTCTTTACTTTTCCCACATCGCTATCATGATGACAGTTACCACACCAACAGAGATCATCGCTCCTCCACCTCCACCGGCTCCCATCACCTCGACAGGCACCGGTATTGCAAACTTGCCCAATCAAAGACATAAAATCGTCGCTAAAAATGGGGCCAATTTCACTATCATGGTGTGTGGTAAGTTATTTTTGTGTAGCCTCGAACACACAACACGCACACAACACAACACAATTATACATGATGAATTCTTATTTTTCTTATTCGTGTTTTTTTTGAAATCAAGGTGAATCGGGTGTTGGAAAGACTACCTTTGTCAACACTCTTTTTACGTCCACCATTAAAGAGCCCAAGAATCATGCCAAACGTCGAGTGCGACCCCCTAGTAAAACTGTTCAAATCCAAATTACCAGAGCTGGTATGTAAAGAAAAAAAAAATGAGTGAGAGAAAAAGAATGACAGTTGCATATTTGGACCACTTTTTTTTATGCCAATGCAATCATATAGAACTGGAAGAAAAGATGTTTAAAGTCAAGCTGACAATTATTGACACACCTGGATTTGGTGATTATGTGAATAATCGCCATGGCTGGATCCCTATTGTGGATTTCATTGATGATCAGCATGAAAAATATATGCGACAGGAGCAGCAGCCGTGCCGTAAGGGAGTGGTCGATATGCGCGTGCATGCTTGTTTGTATTTCATTAAACCGACCGGTCATACGTGAGTGGATATCAAAAAAAAAAAAAAAATAGAAAATTGGGTTCCATGGAAAAAATTAACCTCACTTAACTATATTTATCGCTGTGTATAGTTTATCCCCTCTTGATATTGAGACGATGAAACGATTGGGTTCGCGTGTCAATCTAATTCCAGTGATCGCTAAAGCCGATACTCTCACACCTGCGGACTTGGCGAAATTCAAACAGAATGTATGTTGCTGTCATCTCCTTATTTTCCTTTTTTATCCATGTTGGTGATGTGGATCCCTGAAGTCTCCTTGATTTGACTCCTATCATTTTACCATAGATTCGAGATGTGATTGCGGCTCAAAATATTCAGGTTTATTCATGTCCTATCGAAAGCGACGATGAAAATACCACCAACCGAAACGTGAACATGATGGCTGCATTACCTTTTGCCGTCATTGGGTCCACGCAGGATGTCATGACCAGCGATGGACGCAAAGTGAAAGGCAGAGAGTATTCCTGGGGAGTGGCGGAGGTGGAAAATGATGAACACTGCGATTTCCGCAAGCTCAGAAGCTTATTAATTCGCACACACATGCTTGACTTGATCACCACCACCGAAGAAACTCACTATGAGAACTATCGTCAAACTCAAATGGAAACTCGTAAATTCGGTGACCCAAGGTAAGCAAGGAATAGTCGTTGGGCACGTTAAATTGGTGTGAGTAACCATGCCATTTTTTTTTTAGGACTCAACCAAATGAAAATGCCAAATTTAAGGAAGAGGAAGAAGCTCTTCGTCAAAAATTCACTGAACAAGTCAAAGCTGAAGAAGCACGATTCCGTGCATGGGAGCAGCAGCTTCTTGGTGAAAGAGATCGACTTCATAGCGAGTTGGAAGCACAAAACGAAAGAATTAGGGAAATGCAAAGCGATTTGGACGCTTATTACTACAACCATCGCGACTCTCCAAGAGCCCTTAGAAAGTAAACGTAGGCAATATAAGCAATCTCTCTTCTTTTCTCTTCTCCTTCTTCTTCTACTCTAAATATGTCTAATTTTTTGCTTTGCTTTACTTTTTTTTTGGTTTCTCTCAACTTCATCTTTCTTTTGGAGACAAAAAAACAAAAAGAAAAACAGAAAAGAAAACACGGCAATGATGATTTAGCGCTTGGCTTTTTTTTTTCCTTTTACTTGTTTTATTTCATACTAGGATACCAAAAATATAATTTTCTACCGTTAGCATGGCTTGATCTCTACGGTATGATGGGCATGGACGAACGGTGAATAATTGGTGAATGGACAAAAGAAAGGATCACGGAAGCTTGAGGTTGGGGAAACGCGTGATTTAAAAAAATGATGAAGGATATGATTCCATTTACTGGCATGCATGAAGGGAGTTGTTTTCGCATTGGAAGGAAAACAAGCTGTTTTGCATACAGAAAGCAGTGCAAGCATCGCGGACTTCTGGTCGGCACTCCATTTGCTCGGAAACGGCGCAGTACTGATAAGGTTCGCAGAGACAATCCAATTTACGGTCATTGACACCAAACATTTTACAGAACACTTCGGCAGCCTGACGAGGTCCTTCATAGCAGATCTTATCGTTGGCAGTTACCACGGCCATGAGCGTGGAGAGAGCGAGTACCATGGATGATGTCTTAAACCACATGATCAAAGGAAAATTATGCTATTTTGATTATAATCCTCTTACTTGAAAGCGGACGTATCTTGTATATATATTAACCAGTCCGAACATTCCGATCCCATTTCCCCTGTTAATATGTTTAGTGATTCATTAACGCTGACTAGATATTTCTTCACCGCTCTCCCTTTAGGGCGAGGCATTTTCCAAAAAAAATATGAAATCCAAAAACGTGACATGTCTGATTGCCTGTGCTCACCGCACCTCTGGATGCTACTACGTCCCCCCGGGAACTTGACCTGCATGAATTAACATGATCCGTCCCTCAATAGGTAAAAATATGGCTCTATGCATTCAATGATGAAATATGCATAAGGCTTGATACTGAAAAAGTTCTTTCTGCTGTAAAAGCACAGCGTATCCATCCTATTGAATCGTCCCGTTTATGAGAATGATGGATCCTGCATTGATTGTTTCTTACCGCCTTGCTTCAATTTTCCAAATCAAAGATCAAGTTCCGGTGCACCCGTTAAAAGCGTGCCATTAGTCACAGTTTGTGTAAATATCAAAATAGATAACATGGAATACGAAAGGATATGTAGCAATATACACACAGACCTTTTTTCCCCAAGTCTTGGCAAATCCTTGGATTAATAATGATTAAAAATGGAAAAAACAAATAAAGATAATTAAATGTTAAGCTTTGGGTTGAGTGTCGATCATCCAAGGGCAATACGAATCGGTACAACAGATGTCCTAACTTCACCAGTGTTTCTACGCTTACAGTCTCTCATGGTGAGCTTTGACGGGATCTTTGTCATTCGGGATCATCTTTTCCGTGATTTGTTCCTCCGGTTGGCGTGTTTCATTGGCTTTTGGTACAATGACTGATAATTCCCTTGTGCTTCTAAGAGATCTCAAGTCCCATACAGTATGCCGCGATAGGTTTATTTTGCTCTATCGATGTAAAATCGCTGCGTTGATCTTCATTTAAGCAGGCCAACGTATTGTGTGGGATTAGAGTATGAGGAGCTTGTTATTTGGCGGTTTACGTACAAATATGGTATAATTTTGAACTACAAATTGATACCAGGTTTATGCCAAGCTTCCAAAATTACGCAAAGACCCTCTGCGGAAAAGAGCATAATTCCTGTCCACCCCGAAAAAATAGATTGCTTTCTTGCAAATGTTGAAAATGTATTTGTGTTCATTTATCCTCTGTTTCCGATCCTCTGATATGATGAACTTGTTCAAGTTGTAACCATATATTATGATCAAGCCTTTGGTATGCGTTGAAAGGTTCAACTGAAACGCATAAAAGTAAAGAAGTGCTTCCCTGTCCCCGAACCGAAATTTCTTTTTAATCTCCAAGGTAGTGCAATTTGAAACTGGTGGTCGATGTATCGCAGTAAGCACGGATGGATGCCTAAAGCTACGTTATTTCTGATTCTGGAAATCATGCAGTAATACCATGTCTGGAGGGTTGATAAGCTACAATTGTAGAAAACGGTCGACCCTTCTGATTTTTATGTAAGCGTGCAGTCATTTGGATTAAAAAGGTTGGGAATTTCAGCATGTCGAGCCAATTTTAGGTGTGTGCTCAAATGGCATTTTTATAGATATACAAGCTGCAAAGCCAAATCAACTAAAGAGTGTAGACGTGCATTTTACGGGTGAACCCACAAATTGTATGCTTCTTGCAAGGTAAGGGCGTTTGACGCGGAACCTCAAATTCCACAGCACAGATCTTGTCTGTCTGTCTGAGAAACACGTGCCAATAGAGTTCATTTGCCTTTTATAGTTTGGTTATTGCTTCTGTGCCCTGGCTTATTTTTTTTTTATGTAAAATTTTCGTTCATGGATTCACCGACCAGCCCAGTTGCTTTGCCACTGCAATTTCAACTGCTTTACAATTGGGAGATCAGTGCACGGAATGATGCATTGTTAAAGAACAAGACACGCATGTATCCTGCATTGCAGTGCAAACTTGACGGCATTCCCATTTACCGTCTTATCGAGTATCAGTTCGAGAACCATTACGTTTCGGCGGGCCAGCTGTGGAAGGCCTGCGGGCTGACCATCACTGAAGGCCTACTGCTGTTTCAACTCAGATCGGGCTACGAAATGGATTTCCTAGTGAACAATTTCCCCTTTTGCGATATCTGGGTCAGTGTTCCAAAAGCGCGCAGTATGGCCGCCAGCCTCGGTGTGGACGTCGAGCTAAGCGGACTCCTTGATCCAGATCTCGATTCGATATTTTCTTCCGATAATACTTCGCGCAATGAACTGGTACACAACTGGCGAGCCCAATGCATTCCTGAAGCCATGTATTCAACGCGTGCACTTTTGGAAACCGCCTTTGACAAGATTGAGCCGCTCACGATGAATCGAAAAATTCGAACCCAGATCAGTCGACACAAGCAGACCGGTATGGTGATGAAAGATCGCATGGAGAACGGTATGGTGCATTGGCAAGCATGGGCGCACGAGCAATTCCTTCACCTACCAGACGATAAAATTGAAACTGATGATTTCGACCAATCACGCACAGCGGTGTGGGATGTGTTGCAAGGACTGCTGTGTGACCTGCGAACGTTGACCCGAGGAGGACATCAGGTGAAATCATCGCGCGTTCTGTCGGATAACATGATGGTCGGAAATATGCCTTTGAAGCGCGAATACCTCGGACAAAGTCGTTTACTGCAGAATATATACATCGCTGTGATGGCGGAGAAAATCCACAATGAAATTCATAACCTAGCGAATCATCAACGGCGATTACAAGCGCGATGCCTTACCAATATATCTATGCACGAGTCGGGAAGCGATCAGCGGAAAGACAAAGAAAGCACCTCTCACGGAGAAGAAAACGAAGTGAATCAAGACAATGAAAAAAAGCGAAACACCATGTTGCTGTCCACCGATTCGGAACTGGAGGAGGGTATGGACCCGCAAATGATGTTGCACGACCGTATGGATGCTTTCGAGCAAGAGCTGTACCGAATGAGACGAAGAGGCCGGAAAAAGATCGAAGAAACGCAGTTACGGTATCAGGAACTACAGCTTCGGGTGAATACGTTGGAGACGTGGAAGGCCAATTATGAACAATCGCGAAAGAGTGAGCGGGTATGGATGCTTATGTTAACGGTCTCCATTATTTGTGCCATCGTTGTCTTTCCGGCCTTCAGATCGCTGATCATTGGTTACACAAGACCGTAAAGGATCGCCCATTCAAAGTCGGCTTAATTATGGGATTCTTTCTCAGCCACTGTTCCCTTTCCTACACCCGACCATCTTTTTCTTTCCCTTCCTTACTTTTTTTTCTTTTCCCTTTCCTTTCATCCTCCGTTTCCTTCACCTTGTTCAATATCCGCAATAAAAATAAGCATCATTCACAAGAGGTCATGCCTTCCTCTTATCATCCAGTATCGACCGACGTTATCGAACTACAGACAAACCGATTGGGCGATCGTCATCTGGAGGAAGCCAGCATTCCAAAGAATGTTCGACATGGCAGAAGCGCATCGACTTCATCATCTTTTGTTCTCTTCAAATCACCTAGTCTTCTCGAAGCCGAAGAACGAAATAATGCTTCTCACGAGATCGGTGACGCAAACAAACTCGCCGTGCAGGTACGTTTTGCAGATCCCAAATAGCGGATTTTATTGCCAGTGGTTGCCTCGATGACGTTATTGATCGAATTTCACATTTTTCTTTTGCTTTATAGGCACTTCCTTCACTCTTGATTTGTGTGGTTGGACTGATTTTTGCGGGATGGATGATGGATGTTTTTCAAGTGAGTCGAAAAGGGGACAGCTTTCGCGCATAAAATGCCACTAGCCACCATCTATTTCCACTGACATTTGTCCACTATTTTAGCATTGGGATGTATTCACAAGAGTTCCAGAATTGTTTATCTTGGTTCCTGTTCTCCTGAATCTCAAAGGAAATTTAGAGATGAACCTTGCTGCACGCTTCTCAACTTCGGTACACCAATCTTTTCCTTGTTTTATGCTTTTTTTTGTTTTCTCCTTATTTTTCCTAATGTGATGGATTCTTTATTGTCTTTCGAAAAAAAAAAAAATAGGCGAATCTCGGCGATTTGGATCTTCCGCAAACTAGAAACGCGCTAGTTCTTGGCAATTTAGCTTTAATTCAGGTCCAAGCGCTCATTGCCGGATCGATCGCAGGTGTTTTCTCATTTATTCTCGGTGTGCTTGAACACCCCGACGAACCCACCACGGTGTATGAAAGTATTCTCGTCATCACAAGCTCAATGATCGCAGCCGCCGCGTCAAGTTTCGTGTTGGGCGTATTTATGTGCGGTTTAATTATCGTTAGTCGGAGGTTTCGCATCGATCCTGGTAAGGTTTCTGGATCCAAGAAATTTTGACGTCAATCGGTTCTAAAAAAATTCCTGCGCTATTTTTGGAATAACACAGACAATATTGCTTGTCCGATGGCTTCCTCTTTGGGCGATGTGGTAACATTGGGCATCTTGGCAGGCTGTGCACACGGTCTGCTCAGTTATCTGGGTAAGTGCTCGGTTAGTTTGAACTGAACCTACCAACAATCGGAGAAACTCAAAGGCTCCTTTTTTTTCTTTTTCGGTAAAAAGAATCCAAGCTAAGCTTGGTATTACTGATACTGATGATTTTGTCTGTACCATTCTTTGCAAAATCGGTGTGGCGAAATATGTATGTTCGAGATCTGTTATTTTCCGGATGGTCACCTATCATATTTGCCATGTTAATCTCGAGGTACGTTACTAAAAACAGATCGTTCAAGCCTTCTGACTGCGGTATTAATTTCTTATGTAATACTCATCTTTTTCTAAAGTTTTGCTGGTTTGGTCCTCGAGCGTTATGTTGAACAGTACAACGGACTGGCCATGTTGACACCCATCCTCTGCGGTAAATATTATAAAATGAAAACGATCCGTCAATTCCAAGAAAAATCAAACAGTCAACTGACGCGCGGATGGGATGAATGATAGGTCTAGCAGGAAATTTGGGTTCCATTTATGCTTCCAGAATTAGTACCTGTCTTCACGCGGGTGTAAAAGAAGAATATAAACGCGTGGAATGGACATTGATGTTGATGAATGTGCCTGTGCAAATTTTATTTCTGTTCATCATATGGTTGCTGAATTTAGGGCATTTGGACTACACATTTGCCTTTCTCGTGACCTATTTCCTTATGTCCATGGTTTGTGTAAGTACGATACCGTCAATGCGAGTGATGGGTGCGAAACTAATGAATTCTTTCTAGACGTGGCTCGCTTTAAAAATGGGTAAATCCATGACCTTAATCTTCTGGAAGTATAATTACGATCCTGACAATTACGTACTGCCCTATTTGTAAGTGTTTTTTTTTGTACCGGGTTGACCCTTGCTTCTGCAGCGTGGATGATACTGACAAGATGTATTAGAACTGCAATCATTGATGTTATTTGCACCAGTCTGTTGGTGATCTCGTTCTCTTGGTTAACAGCATATGGTTATGCTGATTTGATGGCTGATGATACCAGCGCCATGTAGACAATACCCCCTGTTTTTTCTAGTATATCGTACGTAGCAGTGTTTCTTCATATTTATTCTGTCATTCTTTTTTTTCTATTTCATGTCATGATGTACATAACCGCATTTTATGCATTTTACCGTAAACATGAAGTTCTGTAATGGTTTATGCTTGTTCATTGGTTCGTTTTATTTTTTTATTTTTTATTTTATTTCTCCTTCCACTTTCTGGAATTGGAGTATTCTCACGCTTGTTTGTTTGGAATTCTCTTCTATCTTGACCTTGAACGATGATCACCATCTGTCATCGTTCGTACACGCATGTTTTCCGTCGTCTGCCGTTCACCTCGTCGCATTCTCTTTTGGTTCTGAGTATCCGAAGGATAGCAACCAATACCGCCGAGCGATCTGGTCATGCTTTTTACGACGACAAGATCATCACGGTAACTTTTTTGATCTTTTATGACTCACAAACTCTGGTGGACTGGTCAACTCATAATTGTGCTTGGTTTACCCTAGTATGCCAATCGACCTATTAAACCTGTCACATTAAAGCAACTGCTGTGTTTCGGCCAACCGCCGCTGTCGCAAGAAAGCCTTCGAGCATGTGCGCGTTACGCCCGGACGGAATTACCGGTTCGTCTTGCTCGAAGAGTGCGCGCTTTCCAAAGTCTTCCTTTCATCGTCGGCACCAATCCTTACATTAAACAAATCTACAAGCTATACTACGAATCCTTTGAAAGCCTGGAAAGATACTCGCATCCGACAGACGATACCAACGACATCGAATACGCAGAAAAACTGAAAGAATTGGTGGAGCGCCATTCTGATAACATTCCCATTCTCGCCAGAGGTACTTTCTCTTAGAGGTTGCCATGCTCATATGCTCATTCTATCGCGTAGGATTTTTGGAATGCAAACAGTATATGAACGGCCAAGACATGGCGACGTTCCTGGACGACATGATTCGTGCGCGAATAGGAATTCGTCTGATTGCCGAGCAGTGTATTATGTTGATGCAACCGCACGATGCGACCGATGGTCATATTGGCATTATCGATACCCAACTGAGTCCTCACAAACTCATCCGGACCTGTGCTGACTTTGTCGCCGAGCTCTGCGAGTTCAACTATGGCCAAAGTCCGGAAACCATTGTGGATGGCCATATCGATACGACTTTTACCTACGTACCGGTGCATCTGGAATACATTCTGACCGAACTACTAAAGAATTCACATCGCGCGACCATTGAGTACATTAAAAAGTCAGGTCAGACCGAGGTTCCTCCCATCCAGGTCACCATCAGCAATGGTCAGGAAGAAATCGGCATCCGGATCCGAGATCAGGGCAGCGGTATCAAAGAGGAAGATCTGAACAAAGTGTTTGAATACTCTTACACAACCGTATCAAAAGCGGGAGACGATGAGGATCCATCCAGTATCTTTGCTGGGATGGCCGAAATGGTGATGCAAAGTGGTGTAGGTGGACCATTGGCCGGTTTAGGGTGAGTTATATGGGACATCTCTTGTTTTATTTACCGTGGAGAGATCATTGATGGAGGTTATATATTCTATAGCTTTGGATTGCCACTCGCACGTATGTATGCACGCTACTTTGGTGGTTCTTTAACACTTGTTTCCATGAATGGTTACGGTTGTGATGTATTTCTGAAACTGAAACGCATCGACGAATCCATGGCGGAAGATTTAGAGATTTAGGCAATGCTTCTATTTTTTGGGTAAAATAGAAAATGCGCCGTCACCAAAATATTTTTCGTTTGCCTTGTTGACTCTGTCTGTAGCTGCTGTAGGATCTCGCAATTCGATCCCTTGAATTGTACTGAATGATAATGATGAGGCCAAGCCAGATGTTGCTGTGCCAGATGTATGATAAGATTTGAGTTTGGGTGCTTTGACTAGAAGAAGAAAAAAAAGAACAAGGGAAGCGTTAACGTTGACCATCTCCACCATTGGTGTATTTTTGAGTTACCTTTGTTCCTTGCGTCGGCCACAGAGGCACGAATTTTGCCAATTTGTTTTGCGGCCATACCAAGACCTTCTGTTTCATCACCGTATTCCACTTCTTCTTCCGCTTCACCAAATGCCATTCGGTTACGAGCCGCACGCAATTCTGTCATCGCATACGCCTCCTTCATTCGTCGTACACGTCGACCGCCTCTTCTCTTCTTGGGACCTTCATCAGGTACCGGTAATGCTTTGACATTCTTTGATGGTGGTGGTTCTTGAAGTTTTTCAATCGTTTGATCAATAGCTTCGCGCATCTCTCGACCCTTTTGACCTGTATACATAAAATCTCATCAGTTTGGCCATCACGAGTGAAAAAAATTCAAATTTCATTGACTCCTTACCATCTGGAGATGTGTGTAAAGAATCAATACGAGCCGCCAGGGCACACTTGTTGGCGATGATCTTGGCCACTCTCCTTCTTAAATCGGCGGGCACAGAATAGACCAAATCCGAATAATAAATATAGCCAGTATGCTTCTCCATACTAGCACTGGAAAATCCAGTGCTTGCCTTGCCAACTTTTCCCAACAACATGACATTGCATGCTGGAATCTTGCAAAACGCCGTCAAACCTCCTGCCGCTGTCAGCAACTTGGCCGCAGTCGAACTGCCGATAATATTGGACAAGTTGGGCGCCACCAGGGCCATGCGCGATTCAACGTACGTCATAATTTTCTTTCGCGCAGCATCCAGTTCGAAAATCATGTCACATGCGGCATCGGTTCGCTTCCACTCGACAGCCGTTAACGGACGTCCACTCGTGGTAGTGCCTGTTACTGTGATGACCATGACCGTCGCTGAAGGAAGAATGGATCGCAAGTCGATTTTCGTAAGATCAGTTTCATTGCCGATGGCTTTCACCGTGCGTGCGTAATCTAACGGATTCAGTACCAAAGATTCCAATTCTGGGAATTTTGGAGCATAACTGTCCCGAATGAACTAGAAAGAAAAAAAAAAAGCATGAAATTTTTAGCTTCGACTGGCTCACAGCACTGTTTGTTTTCGCAAAGACCATTCGAGAATGCATTACCTTGTGTACTGCTTGCATTTCATTATCAATGTCTGCCGTTAAAGCGTTGGCTTGAACACTCAGCTTGTATTCATCGTCTTCTTCAGTTGGACCTTTGACATCGTGTGCGCTGCGCTTTTGAGCTTCGAAGTGATCGATTTGCTATGACACAGTAAGTCCCTAGCTCACATACATGATAAATAACACAATCGCTTTACCTTGAGGACATCTTGCAATCGATTACTGTATAAAAAGTTGGAGATTTTTCGTACATCGTCCGGATCTTCCGTTGTATTACTATCGGATGTTCGCCTTGCGGTAACATCCGCTTCATCCGTTTCCATGGTCTCGTTGGTATCTTGTTCATTGTAGTCTGAGTTGTTTTCCTCGTCGGAAAAATCAAGATCAGCAGCAAGTTCATCGGCTAATGAAGACATTTTTGGGTAAGACTATATATGCAGAAACGACCGCTTCGACGTAAGAAAGAAAAGAAGAACTGGTTGATTCTGATATAAGAAAGGGCGCCCTCAAAGCAGTCACACTTATTCAACCCATTCATCATTCCGAGTCCCAAACAAAAAGCGGGCAACCAAAAAGAGAGGATTTCCTTTTTTTATATCATTTTTCTTGCCGTTTCCCTTTTTCTTTTTTCTCCTCACAGCTTTTTCTGCTTTCCCTTCCTCTCCCCTTTTAAAAAAGCAAAAATGCCTTACTATGACGACAGAGATCGTGACCGCGGTAGACGTGGCAACCTTCGAAGACTTTACGTTGGTACGTTATGCTAATGCACGAACCAGTAAGCTTCAGATGACTGACAGTTATACTCCTTTAGGCAACATCAGTCGTCATGTACGTGAACGTGACCTCGAATCTCTCTTCAATCGTATCGGCAGGGTGAAAGACTTGGAAATTGTGGTATGTGTAAAAATAATTGAGCGCATGAGATGTGGTTTGTTCAAAATTCCTTTTTCTTTTCCCCTTCTTTTCAGTCACACTTTGGTTTCGTTGAATTTGAGGTAAGCCAATATCAACAAGAGTTCGCTCTTCTGCGCAGACATACTCACTGCTATTTCTTTCTCTTCAGGATTCTAGAGGTGCATTCAAGTGATAGGGAATTCGTTCTATGCCGTGAAATTAACCTTTGTTGTTGGGATTCAATAGACGCCGAGGATGCCATAAAGGAATTTGATGGCTACCGCCTCGAAGGTGAAGATCTTCAGGTCGAATTTGCTCGCAGGGGCCCATTTAGAGGTTTCAGAGGCGGCCCTCCTTCCGGCTCCAGCAACGACCGTTGTTATAACTGTGGCGAGTCCGGTAAGTTGCAAATAATACAGATTCTCTGAGTGGACCAGTTTCATTAATACATTGATCATAGGTCATATGTAAGTACACAGAACACGCCCTTTGCCTGTCTTTTTTTTTTCAAATGATTGATCAATCTTGCTACCTTGTTATTATCGTTGACAGTGCCAGAGAATGGTGAGTGAAAATTATGCAAAAAGTCTTGTATCACTATACTAAATTGAGTTGGTTAGTCCTACACCGAAAGGAAGGTAATGATGATATTTCAGGTGAACTAAAAATGTCTTGTCGACTGACGTCAACTTTTCAGAGGTGAACGTGCCATGAGATTTGAAGAAAATCGTTGCTTGTGAGTGACTACTTGGCCTTGTACGCAGAAACCAACAGATACTGACCGTTTCAATATCTTAGTGAATGCGGTCAAACCGGCCATTTAGCTAGAGACTGCCCGTAAGTTCCGCAATTGACGCAAGTGGAGATAGGCTGGCATGATGATTTTCTGACGTTGGTTGTGAGTAGTTCACGCACCGGTGGTGGAGGTGGATCTTCCAGAAGACGCTCCGTTTCTCGCTCCCGTTCCCCGCGCTCCCGTTCCCCGCGCTCTCGTTCTCCTCGTCCCCGTTCCCGCTCGCGTTCCCGTAGCCCCAGACGTGAGCGTCGCAGCTCTCGTGACAAGGGCCGCAGCAGCCGTTACGATGATGATGACCGTGGCGACCGTCTTGACGACAGACGTCGTAGCAGCGATAGAAGATATTAAGTCGCTCGAACGTGGATGGTGCAGACCTAGCCAGTTTTACTTGTAATTGTTCTTCTGAAAAGCCCAGGATTGTTATCTGAAAGAAAGAATATGTCTGTGTCTCTGATACAAACAACCAAAAAGAAAAAAAAATGGCGAAACGCTTGGGGTCGATATATGGCGTTCAAAATAATATGCTTGGCGGCGTGGCCATCACAAAAAGGTGCGCGTGGCGTTTTAAAATTGTTCAATGGCGGCGAATCCAGCGGATCCCGAGTGTCCTTGTTTCATGAACTGGCAGTGCGTGCGTGGTGCTCCTCATATGCGTATAAATTTCAAGTGCACAATGGATTGTCTCTTTTTACATGGTGATCTGGTAAAAAAAAGGATAGGTTGAACCCAGTAATGAAGGTCCATGTCTTGCATGATTTTTCTTGCCACCAGCCCAAGAGACAGATTTGACCGCCTGTCAATCGACCAATCAGGGGAGTTTCAGATCGATCAATGACATCGTGCTGCTCCTTGGTGTAATTTCCAGCGTGAGGAGAAAGGCATTCAATCGGTCCGACGCAGCATTCCTATCCTCAGTGAAATCATCTGTTACGGTGACTGTAGCGCTTGAGAACACATTATCACATACATCAAGACAAGGTTCAATGCAGCGGCCGTCTGCAAGTGAGTCGACTGTAATGTAACTGTTAGTTTCGATTTTTATTCGCTCAGGAAGTATCGTTGAAGGATAACCACTTTAGTGTGCAGCCATTTTTATCCTGGGATTTTCCCCCTTGAGGAGAGCTCAGCTCATCAATCTGCAGAATGAATCGATTGTTTAACGCATATTGGTAATCTCACGATCCCATCGAAGCTGAGCTTCCTCCGTTGGCCACATCCACCATGAAGTGGATACTCTACTATTGACTGTCTCTGTAACGACGGAGGAAAGTTAATAAGAGGGTAAGCATTGCTGATCGTCATACATGTTTTCGATCGTTTGGTCAGCGTCGGAATGGGATGTACAATTTGCTTGTGGTTGCATGAAATGATGCAGGTTGCTCACGATTACATGTTGCCAAAATGTTTGTTATGTACGTATTGTACTGAATGAAATCCTGTTTATTTGACAGCCATCTATTCTATTTCTATGCAATTTTTTCATGTTAGTCTGAGAAATTTGTTTGAAATGAAAAATAAATGGCGAGTTACTGCACTTGTCCACGCCATATAAAATAAGCAATGTGAATTGTGACGCAAAACCGGCAAAAGGCTACCTTGCAAATACCTTTTGCAATGATATGAATAAATGAATTGTTGCTGATGTGGTTCCTTCCCACATCCAGACAAAAAGCTATTCTTGGGACATATGGAGCTGTATTGAGAAAGGAGGAGCTAGCAAAAAAGGTGTATGATATTTTTGAGGAGCTCATGAGGTCTGTAAGAATTATTTACCATATATTGTATCCAACATGGTACAGTAGTGAATAGTGGAATGGGCTAAAAATACTTCATTGAAGGATGGTTTATCAATGCCTTTTGTGACTCAGATTCTGGATTAGTTTTGCAGGTCGTCTTGTTTCCCGCACATCTCTTTCTTTGCGGCTTGAAATTACAAATATCGGACTATTAGACCACTTTTTTTTTTCTGTTCGACATGGGCCCCATTGAATCGCACAAAAGACAGTGCGCTAATCGAGTCTTCATTGGTCCATGGGATATCAAGTCCTTGCCAACTCAACTTGGTTCAGAGGACGAACCTGCTGTTGCCAAGACTCCCTCGACTCGTGCGACTCCTCCACCGTTGCAGTCAAGGTAGATCATGGTTAAGAGTTACTGTTCATGTTCACTTTTTTTCTTATCGCAATGGATAGGGTTAGTTGGACAAGCGAGAGTGAACCTAAGCCTGAGCCGTCTTCCATGATCGAAACATCCGCTAGACCGTCTGTAACGGCGTCTTCGGTTTCGGGCGACAGCTTTGTCACAGCCAATTCCTATGCGTCGTCGGCCAGTCGTCATAACGCCATCGATCCACAGGCGGAGAGCGAAAATGACGAAGATTATTCCGCATTGATCGAGAGCACAAAATTACCGTTATCTTCCAACGCATCGATATCATCTGTCGAGACCGTGCGGCCCGCACCACGATCCGCCAATGGGAATATCACCAATCGACCTATGACCGAGTCCCCCTCGGATGTAGAGAATGAGACCGAGGCCCAACCACTTGCTTCCACAGAGACCGACCATCGACGAAAACGACGCTCGCTCGTCAAATCCATTGCTCGAAAACCGAAATCCATGCTCTGGCGCAAGGCGGGTTCAGTGTTCGTTCCTAATGTCGATACTCCTGCACGAGCCTCCACAAGTGTACGAGCGGGCACGGTGATTAAGGAGGACGCCCTTCTTTACATGCGATCGGGCAATGGTAGTGGAAGCGAGCCAGCGCGGTACCAAGCCTCAAAAGAGACTCGTTTTGGACTTCGAAAAGAACAATGGCGTCAAATGCGGGTGGTGTTGACTTCCACACATCTGACTATCTACAGCACTCCGGTAGGTGCTTTATGCCTGGTATGACACAGGTTTATGCATGCGTCCCTTAAATATGCATTGTCTTGTTTTAGTCGTTATGCTGGCCCAAAGCGCGCATAGAGCATCGCATTTACTTGGACGGCAACAAACGTGCCAAACAATTGCAGCTGTTTTTATATTCCCCGTTAGATTATACCTTTTGTCTCCGACACGCTTCCAAGCATGAACGAGATTTTGTCACCTTCACTTTCCAAGCCCGATCCGTCACTTTATGCCAGGAGTGGTACCTTGCGCTGTATCGTCTTTTACCTCCCATGGCTACCCGTCCTTGCCCGCTGTGGTGTGAAGTTTTCGTTCCTTTACTTGACCTACGTCTGCACTTACCATTTACAACGGATTCGGACAAAGAGCCACGCTTTGATATCTCGTCCGATAACGTATTATCCGCCGTGTTGGAAGTACTGGAAGAAGACGATGCATGGTCGCATCTTTTGGAAACCAAATTAGGTACAACTGATCTCGGTATGTGCTGGACAAACAAAGATAGAGCGGAATGGATCTACTGGAAATCGACGATTGATGGACGTCAGCGAGCTGATACAATGATCTGTGCTCAAAGCATTGAACAGGTAAAAATGCATATTTAGAAGGCATCTGTCTTTCTCGCCGTTGTATGCCACTTGTTTATTAAAGTGACTACATCTTTTAGACACACCGCTTAGAACTTCGCCACATCGAACATATGCCAAACCACATTGTGCTTCAAGGCACCACACTAAAGGTACACCAATGGCGACGGAAAAAGAAGTTGCTTCTGCATATAGCATCTAAGACGAGTGTTTTGTTGCCAATCGATAGGAGCCACCACCTGTGGAGGGATTTATGTTTCGCTCAACCGACTTTTCTGGCAAGCCTATTCGAACACGTGGTTTCATTCGTCGACGCTTTTATTTTGCCACATTTGATCAGTACCTGTATTTTATTTTGCCCAGCAAAGTGGTACCGCCCGATCTTCGGTGTCACATGGATAACGAGGAAAATGCAGGGTCTCAGTCAAATGTCACGGTGATAACACCGTTTGCAAGTGACGATGTGGATGTTCAACGCGAGGAACATAATCGACGATTAAAGATGATGAGAGAGGCATCCGGCATGATTGATCTGCTTGAAGTGCTATATGTACGACGGTCATTTTCGTCCAACGATTTTCCCAATCAAGCGGCTATCAGCGGGGTGAGCGCCAATTCTTCAACGCCGGTATTGGGCCACGTGCAAGGCGTACCATTCCAACCTGCACGCACAGGCACGAAAAGGGACCAACAAAAAGCCATTTTGGAATTAATCATGGAAAACGGGTTGATCATGAAGTTCGAAACCTATTCTGCTGAAATGTGCGATGTTTGGGTGAACTACCTGTCGAGTTTGATTGTTTATTGGAAAGCATATAAGGAAGCCGAGCGGGATGTTCACGTGCGGAACGCCATCTCCGTCGCACCTCACAATACTTCACTCCATACGGCGTCAGCAGAAGTTGGAGCCACTGCCACGTCCCCTGTAGTGGCCGATACGCGTCTTTGGAACTATTGCTTATACGAGCAATGTCGTGATGTCGTGGTAAGCAAACGAAAAAATGCTGGGATGGACTCCAAAAAAAAGGGAGAGCTAAAACATTATTATAGAAATCAGGCATTTTATACTTCCAGCCAAAATCTCGAGGAACTTTTACACAAAAGATCTTTACCTTGACTTCCGACGGATGGTTGTTATTTCACGATATGTTTGTGCGGTCACCAAGCAGTTGTCAACCGATGGCTACATGTGTTCATCATAAGAAGGGGCGCTTGGATATAGCCAACTGCTATGTTTACTCGGGTGGCATTTCGCTTGACACGAGCACGGTGGAAAACCCGAACCGACCCGCTCGACTTTTCAAAGATGGTCTAGCGACAGCCGACGAAGACATTGATTGCGTTTTCTCTCTGTGGAAACCTCGCTTGCGACGCTATTTTAGCACCAAACGGCAACGGATCATTATTTTCAAGAACGATCAGCGAATCTCGGCCCAAGGAGACATTTGGACATTCTATGCACCAAGTCGACAGGAAAAAGAAGAATGGGTTTGGGCCATCAATGTTGTCATAGACCATCTGCTGCGATCAGACAAGCGTGCTCCTGTATAGCCTGTCTCATTTCTGCTCCATTGATGCTGCCAGCCTTGTCCCCATAGTTCCACTAACGAATGGGCGATTTACATTCATAATATTTTTTCTCTCACATGTAGTTCGTTTTCGTATATCTGTTTCGTGGTCGCCTCTGTTTTTACTTTCTTCATTTTATTGTACATATATCTTGTTATCACGTGAAAATAAATTATACATACAGTGCCAAGTCGCATTACTCGGGAGAGATTTGGTTGTGGTCAAGATCTTTCTTGTGTGACATGGTCTTGTTACCCCGCTATCGCAACGGGCGCTGCATTAAAAACAATGACGTTTGGACCACAGCAACTTTTCCACGGTCGTATTTCCCGCTCATGACTCAGCCAATCTATCCTTTCTGGACCCACGACGCGTTATCCAAGGCCTTGAACGACCTGATTGAATCGCATTCACGAGATGCTGTTCAAGATCACGGCGAATTTCGGTTGGTGGTAACAGGTGGTACCACCCCACCGCTCATTATTCAACAGCTTCAGCATAATACGGCCATCGACTTTTCAAAATGGCACATCTTTTGGGCTGACGAGCGCTGCGTGCCATGGGATCATCCGGACTCCAATTACGGCCAAGTCAAAAAAGCCATGCTAGACCATCTTCCTTTACAACCGCATCAGATTCACGCCATTCACCCGGATCTTGCTCGCCCAGAGAAAGCCGAACAAGCAGCGGAAGAGTACGAAAAACAATTAAAGCAATTTTTCAAAAACTCGGCCCCTTGCTTTGACCTGGTACTTGTCAGTATGGGCCCTGACGGTCACTTTTGCTCCCTGTTCCCTGGTCATCCGTTGCTGGAGGAACACAACCGCTGGGTGGCCGCCATTACCGATTCTCCGAAACCTCCACCCGAGCGTATTACATTGACGTATAAGCTTCTCAATCAAGCGAAACAAATTGTTATCATTGCAGTTGGAAAACCTAAAGCCTACATGGTGAGTAAAGTGCTATCCTCAGATTATGCCGATGGGTGGCCAACCCAGCGACTGGAGGCACCGACGTGCTGGTACATTGATGCCGATGCGGCAAGGTTTCTCAATCAATAAGATAAATCCTATTCTACTCGTCAAGCGTGCAATAACATAAGTGCGATAATTTTTTTATGATGACATTTTGGAGTGTTCAAATGAATGATGAGAGAGAAAGAAAAAAATGATTGATATAAAATACAAATGACACTATGTTATGGAATTACGGTGGTGCTTCTATTTTGTCTATGATAAGGTGGATCTACATGTTGACACGTCTGTATTTCGCAGGGGCTAATCTTGGACGTCGAGGCGCATACAGCGACATCAATTCTTGCTTGGCATCCATGTCTTCCAGTTGTATACACTTGTTATGAATGGTCTTTACATCCTCGTACTTTATCGCAAGTGATGCTAATGGCCCGCCTTTCTTAAAGTGAGTCACCAGAAGAGACAAACTATGCTGCAGATCGTTGGTCCTATAATACACAATATCAGATAACTGCGCCCGGACATACAATAAATTTAAAGGATACGTACTTTGCCAAGGTGTTCGCCATCAGAAGCGTAAGGGCACGTTGTTGTGGCAATGACCATCCTTCCCTGTGTTGCGCATAAGTACGATCGTTGGCAATTCGTTTCGCCTGCAGAGGATCATCCGAGGGGAGGAACATGGCAGCTCGCTTTTCGAGAAAGTCTTGATAATCCTCCCAAACTTTCCAAGCCAGTGATGCATCTCGCTTGTTGTAACAGAACTGGAGCATGGATAAGAAGGTGTAACCATCACGCTGTACCTTCATATCATCGAATTGCTCATAAAGCTGTAAGCATTCGCGATCCTGCTTTTGCGAAATATGTGTCGAGATGTACGCGTTCAGTAAAGGGGTGTTCACGGGAATATGTTGCTGCAACATGTAGTGAAAGACGGCCTTCGCCTCGGCCACCACTTTCGATCGTCGATCCGGCAATTGAGGGAAGAGAATAGAGTGCGAAACGAGGCTATTGGATTCTTCATCTTGCTCTTGCTTCACGGGTGCATCTTCGGCTGCCTGGTTTTCGATGGCTGGACGTGGATTGAAACTGGCGTAACACCAAAAAAAGTTTGCATAAGTGTATTGATCAGGCGATACGTCCGTATCTTGTAGCATGGAACGATAAATCTCCCGGGCTAAAGCCAGATGTTTCTTTCGTGCGCATGCACTCAGCAAGGTATTGTAAGTTATGCGATCGGGCTTAAATCCATTTTCCTGCATTTGCTGTAGTAGGCTGAATGCTTCGTCGAAATAATCGGATCGTTTCGCACATGCATTGATGAGAACGTTGAAAGTCACATCCGTTGGATAAAGATGCTGGCTTGTCATGTCCTCAAAAAGATTCAAAGCACGCTCCACCTCTCCTCGCTAAAGGTACAAAAAATCCACGGTCAGCCCTATGAGTTGTGTTTTTAGACGTGCACCTGGAGACATACCTCGGCACATGCGTGAAGCATCAAGGTAAAACTGACTTCGTCCGGTTGATGGTATGCAAGTCGCATCTCATCAAACACCCGCCACGCTCTGTCAATATCCTGCATGGTGATACATCCACTCAAGAGCATGGAGAAAATAGGCTAATGTAATTATGCTACTGGTAAGCAGAATGAAAGGATGAATTACAGTATGCTGGCCACATAGATCGCTTACCTGAGATGGAATCATATTGGCTGTCTTCATTTTCCGAAAGATCACAAAGGCGTCCTCCAATCTTGAGCTTTGAACAAAGGTTTTGATCAAGGTTCCATAAGTGTATATGTCAGCCTTTAATCCTTCTTCCTTCATCCTCTTGAAAGTCGCAATCACGCTCTCCACGTCTTTCACATTAGCATAAGCATCCATAAGATGATTAAAGCATTTTGTGGATGGTTGCAAATTGTAATCCTATGGAATATAGGTTGAGTAGCTGGGGGGGGGGGGGTTGGTCAATCACAGGTGCCTTTATCGATTTACCTTCATCAGTGTTAATGCCTGCTCAGCTTCCCGTGGACGTTTCGCCAGCGCCTAGGATAAACACATGTAAGCGGTTTGCTGCACCCCAAGACCCATTTCCCGTTGTTCGCTTACATTGGCGTAGATCAGCTGTTCAAAATCGTCTAGAACCAGTGCATTCTGTTGAGGATGCTGCGAAATTGGTAAATCGCCGTCGACATTGGTCTGGCTAAGCGTCTCACTGGGTGTTGGCGAAGGTAATGCTGCCGTCAAAGTCGACTTGTCTTCCAACTGTCCACTCGTCGATCGGGTATCCAAAAACTTGACTCTCAGTTTTTCTAGGTAATCACGTTCTATCTTTGAACGAGTCGGTGGTGCAGCCGATAACTCCTCGTAAATGGCTACAATATCCTTGTCATCGAATTTGACGGCCGAGGGTTGCAGCTACAATGCATAAAACAGATCAGTCAACGGCGAGTTGCCACACAGCCATCGAATCTTGAGACTCTTACCGATTTTTTATGAGCATCCAGTTTATGTTCTAATTTTCGAATATCATCCATAAGTTGTTTCGTTTTGGTATCGTCAATTTTAGATCTAGGAGGAGAGAAGCCTAATTCAGAGCCTATCCATCGACGAATCGAGCCGCAGTCGAGAAAAAAGCAACTTACTTTGATCCATACGATCGAGCTACATGCGACACCGCAAAACAGCCTTGCTGCAATCTCCGTTGCGCTGTGGATCGTAACAAACATAATCTCGACAGCATGGAGAAGTAAACCTTTCCGTGAGGGTAATATGCGAATGGTAAGCCTTTTTTTTTTTTTGGCAGATTTCAGGTTTCGAGGAACATGTCAATCCACAAACTGGTCACATTAAAACTCCGTACAATTCGATGATTTTGCGCCAGTCTATTGAAAAACTGAATGGGCAAATAGACTGTGACAAACCTTGATCCATTCAATATCATCTTCAAATAGTGAAAAGAAAAAAGCCCAAACAGGTTAAAACGCAAAACTTCGGATAGTATATCTAGTCATATCCGGGGACATAATGGTTATTAACGTGTGGATCCCTGTACAAAAGTCAATGTATCATTTCAGAAAGTGTTTGCATGGAACAAGTGCAATAAAAAAAAGGTCAATTGGGTAAATGATATTCATAACTTTATCTATATAGTTGAAAGGAAGAAATATAATCGTCAATATACGACACGTTCCGTTTGAAGGATAAAACTTCAACACGCCATTCATGAGATAACATCATGAAAAATCGCAAGAAAATTTATGAAGAGTAGTCTCGGATCAAAAAATCCAGAATAGTTGCTAATGGTCTATCATTGGGTGGCGGGGAGGGAGAAAAAAATGTAATGTAAAAAGGGATAAAGGGTAAGTATACATGAACAAAAAAATGTTAGAGATCAGGAAAGAAAGATTAGTTGGAATATGAGCGATCCGCAGTATGGCATGAGGAGGCGGTTGTAAAAAAGTCATGTCTATAATGGCTCTTCTTTTCTTTCCAGTTCTTGCTTCTTTTCTAAAAGCAGGGCTAATCGTTGTTCCTATCAAGATCTTTACTTCAGAATGGATTCTTTGATTCAAATCATGGAACCAAGAGAAACTATACATACCTTGGATTTGATCTTGTACATCTCCAGAAAGTAGAACCCAGCCGCACCCCCAGCTAAAGCTCCAATGGAGACCGCCATGGCTTGTCCGAATTTAGGCATGTTCGTTTTATGTTGATAGCGTTTGTTGAAAAAGAATGGATACCAAAATCTGAACTGGGGGGCAGTGCCAAAACCCTAATGTCCGCGTGAACGGTGCTTATTCGTGACTGCTACTGCGGACCCAAAAAGGGAGGTTTATGAGTTTGGCTAGAAGCAATGGAACACCGAACCGTGCCGAACTCCTGATACACCATGGCCGACGATCAAAAGGAGTTTCCGCTCAAAAATAGACAAGCAGCCTGCACCATTGACGGCGTTCATACCGAGATTCTTTTAACCGGGTTCCAGGACAAGATTTTTGCCGTTATTACACAGTATGGCAGGATTGGCAGTCTGGTAAAAAATAGAACAAGAAGGAGACGATGATACTTGACTCCAAATGACATGAACTTATACGCCCGCGCATAGATTCATACCACCTTGGATATTGCACCTCACCGGGCAAGCAATCCAGCCAATGTACCAACGACAGGTCATTTCTTATTTGGCGAGTCCACCGGACCGCAGTCCGACTTGTACATGCTTTACGCCTCGTCTATTATGCAGGCTATCGCCGCCATGAATCCGTACGAGAAACGACCGCTTCTGCTGGGAATTGCTTTAAAGCCTGTCGAGGATATGAAGGCTAGAAAAGCGATCTTTGATCAAATTATCGATGTGATCATGGCTAATCCTGTATGGTAAATCCAAGCCAGTGTTTGAACACGTAAAATGATGAAATGTTTATAAAAATGCCATATTATGCTCAAAATTGTACATGAAATATAATTAAAAGGAAATAACTCTATCCCAACGGACCGTCTAACAAGTGATCTGTGGTAGGCAAATCACAAGTCGCTGCTGTCGCCCATTACCATATCATCAAACGTACTCTTTGCGATACGGCCTTTTCTTGCTTTCTTGGCCATTCTTTCTTCGGCTGCCAATTCATCCCAGTCATCGCCGTCATCATTATCATCCTCGTTCTGAGCCGATTGCTCCGCTTCGTTTTGTTTTCGCTTCAGATATTCTCTCTTGCGTTCTTTTTTCAGCTTGCGTTCCAATTTGCGATCCTTCATATTTTGTTTTTCAGACCATGCTGTGGTCCTATAAACAAACGCAAACCGTCAGTCATCGCAGTTCCACATAACCCCTTCCATTTCATCATCTGCTTACTTTTTGGGTTTGTTGTGTGATTGTGCCGATCTGGTGATGAGATTTGCTTCATGTTCTTTTGCTTCGCGTTGTCGTTTCGCTTCTCGCTGTTTGTCCTGATATGCGTATGTGGAAAACTAAAAGAGACGGTAAACGGAAAATAACTGATGAGACCCTATTCGACTTGATCTTGTACGCCATGACGACTTACATCCATATCCTCAGGTTCAAAGTTGATTCGTTTGGCATCTTTCAGTTCGGGCATTTTTGGTAACTAAAAAGCAATGGGGTAAGTATGCCGAAATCTAATTTGTTATGACTACGAGCAGTACCTTTAACAGCCCGTAACCAGTGGCAACTCTTCCCAAATCGACATCCTTTAAACGGAAAATGAAGCTAGCTTCGTGCTTGGAATAAGCGCGAGCCCACGATACAAAGGCCTTCATACCACGATCGTGCATATCACGGTCCTTTTTAACAATCGCACGGAGTGTAGCAATGAAAGGCGCAACCGAAGCATCTTCAACTTCGGACGTGGTGATCTTTTCGTCCTCGGCATCGTCGTTTTTCAGGACATTGTCGCAGACTGAGCCATCTTCAAGCCGATAGTAACCGCGCTCCAGAGGAATCTTTCTAAGCTTCAAGAATTCGATATAGGTTTCTTCACGTCCGCGAATGAGAAACACGGTTGCTTTTCCTTTACGGCCGGCTCGTGCGGCACGACCACATCGATGAGTGAATGCTTTAGGATCTTGCGGCGGATCAATTTGAATAACATAATCAACGTCAGGAATATCGAGACCACGGGAGGCGACATCCGTACACAGTAAAACTGCAGGTACCGCCGGTGGTAGTTGGGTGAAGTTGGTGTATGTCGCGGTTCGACGTTTGGTATCCATCTGTCCGTGCAAAGAATGAAGTGAGAAGGGTTTCAGGTCACCGATCTGCTTCAACAGTTTGTAAAAGTAATCCACGCAAGCGCACGTAGCAAAGTAGACAATGAATTTCCTTGCCCCTTCCATATCGTTGAGTTCTGCTTGCAATAAACGAACGAGCTGAATCAATTTCTGTTCAGGATCACAGACGATATAGTTGATATCCAGTGAAGCGGGTGTTCGCTGGACACTGCCCTTGCTGGTAAGATCCTCCACTTTGACTACAATACGAACTGGATTACGCAAACCGGCACGCACCAGTTCCGAGATGGCGTCGGTCATTGTAGCTGAGAACAGACCCGTACGACGTTGTTTCGGTAACTGTGCGATGATACGGCTCAACTGTTGCGAGAAGCCCATATCAAGCAAACGATCCGCTTCATCCATGACGAGGACTTCCAGTTCTTTCGTATTGACAATTTTCTGAGATCGGGTCAGTAATTCCTCCAAACGACCGGGTGTGCCAATGAGAATGCGTGGGCACGACTGGTTGAACGTAGTGATATCCTGTGCGAGAGTGGTGGTGCCTCCAATAAACAGTCCGAGTGTGAGCTGATCTTTCTTGGGATGATCGTCAATAAATGTACTGAAAACGGAGTGAATCTGTTGAGCAAGTTCACTATAATATTCAGAAGATCGTTAGCAATGGGTTTGCATTTGAAACAAAAGTCAATATTCTTTACCGTGTGGGCGTAATGATTAGCGCACCAATTTCATGTTTCTTGAGAGGATCTTCACGCCGGGTCAGTTTCTCGATAATGGGTATAACAAATGCCAACGTTTTGCCCGATCCAGTAACGGCCTATTCAATAGTGTCATAAGCTAACAAGTCACACGGTTGTTGTCTTACTACTTTTGTATATACCTCGACAACCACATCTTTATTCTTCATAAATAAAGGAATGGCACCAGCTTGAACGGGCGTCATGGCGTCGAATCCGAGGAGACCCAAGGTTTCCATACTATCATCGAACAGGTAAGCAGTGTGATGCCGAAGAACTAGGTATTGGTCCACTTACATAGGTTCGCTGAGAGGAGTCTCGAGCGTACTCCAAGAACCGGCCTGATTAGGTACTGCCGACATGGTAGAATGAATATGGATGATCTGACAAACGTGGTTTGATCGATGGACTGGCCCCAGCACGCGGCTTCACAGCATATGCCGAACACAAGCCACAGTCTAGCAAATGAGAAAGTTGCACCCAGAGTCCTTTTCAAACCCAGCTTGCGACGTTCGGGATCAAAGGATTGAGAAACTACATTTATTATATTGCCGAGCAACTTATCGAGTTGTTTGGCTAGAGTTTTAAAAAGCAAGACGTAAATACAGACATTAAAAAAGAGCATAATGTATGAAAAAAGTTGAAGGGGTGAAGTCGAACCCATTTCACGGTGCGACAAAACAAGAAAAAAGAAGGATTTGCATTGCCGGCCGCCGTGAATTCAACTGAACAGCATAGCAAGTAAAACGTCAATGAAATGCCAAAACCAGTATACTGAGCGCAGATTAAAGATGATATTGGAAGCAATTTAAAATAATAAAGTAAAATCCGTTGAGTACTCTGTGAAGGGAAGGCGATAAGGCAAAAGAAAGGCGTCTTAATAAGTAACAGAAAGTTGAGTCGACGAATCCAGCTCAATGTTGAAGGGTACAGTGGATGTCTTTGTGGGACTTGCAAGACCAGATACTGCGACAGGCGTGAGATGCATCATCAAGCAAGAGATGGCTGGGACCATTTGATTTTGCCAAATAAATATTAGCGCATTTGCACGTCCTGTGTTTTTTATACATTAAAAGCTGAGTAACTTGGGTAATAGATTGCTTCAATCCAGAAGCTTGTCAAAACTTGTCAAGACTATGGCAATTATATCATTGTCATTGATATAACAACATGCCAATGCAAAAGCGAAGAAAGATGAGAGTGGGTTATGCGAGACTGAGTTTGATAGAAAGAAGCGAACGAGATATTATTCCCTAGTACTCATTTTTTCATCTTCTTTTTGAAGGGATGACATTGGCTGGCTTGGGAGGATGGGGAACACATTGTCAGACACAGAAGATGACCATATTCGGAAAGAGCCCAAAGTTTTTGCGAGCCCCTTAATCTGGTAGAGAACTGGTTCGATTTTCGCTCCTGAAAATCCTTCTTTTTCACACCTCTCTCTCTCTTTTCTTCTTTCAACTTCCTCGACCATGCATGCAAATACAGAAAGTGATATTCCCGAGCGTATTGCCGCGGCTCGAAGAGAAGCAGAAGCCCTCAAAGAACGAATCAAACAACGCAAAGAAGCTCTCGCCGATTCTACCTGTAAGCTTCCCAGCCTTCCTTTTTTTATTTTGATTTTTCAATCAATCCAATCAATCATTCAATCGTCTTCCTTTTTTTAACAAATGCTCGGCAGTATTGTAACTTGTCCATTGCTAACTACAACTACACTTTAGTACAAGAAATGGCGAAAGAAGTCGAGCCATTACCGCGTATCGTGTTAAAGTCGCGTCGAACGCTCAAGGGACATTTAGCCAAGATTTATTCAACACAATGGGCACACGACAAACGACATATCGTATCAGCTTCACAAGATGGCAAACTTATCGTTTGGGACGCTTATTCGGGCAACAAAGTTCATGCTATTCCTCTGCGATCCTCTTGGGTGATGACCTGTGCCTATTCGCCGTCGGGTAATTTTGTCGCCTGTGGTGGTTTGGATAACATCTGTTCCATTTACAATCTACGCACCCGCGATGGCCCTGTTCGTCCTGCCCGAGAACTCTCGGCGCATACGGGTTATCTGAGCTGCTGTCGATTTATAAATGATCGTCAGATCATCACGGCCTCAGGGGACATGACTTGCATGTTGTGGGATATTGATGCTGGAGTAAAAATCGAAGAATTTGCCGATCATACGGGCGATGTGATGAGGTAAGTAGTTGATAGACAATCGACTTCATTTGCATGCAATGGGCCTGATTGATTTTTTTTTTAAAAAAAAAAAAAAAAAAAGTGTTTCATTGGGTCCCAACCCAAATGTATTTGTGACCGGTGCTTGCGATGCCACGGCCAAAGTATGGGATATTCGAACCAAACGATGCGTACAGACATTTATAGGTCACGAATCCGACATCAATGCAGTGGAATTTTTCCCTAATGGAGATGCATTTGCGACGGCGTCAGATGACGCCAGCTGCAGATTGTTTGACTTGCGTGCAGACTGTGAAATGAGTGTCTACTCACACGAATCGATATTATGTGGTATTACTTCCGTAGGCTTCTCAATTTCGGGAAGACTGATGTTTGCCGGTTACGACGATTACAACTGCAATGTGTGGGATACCTTGAAAGGTGAACGAGTTGGTATTCTCAGTGCCCATGAGAATCGCGTGTCCTGTTTGGGGGTCTCAAGTGACGGGATGGCCTTGTGTACCGGCAGCTGGGACACAAGCTTACGAGTTTGGGCTTAATACTTGTCAAACGAAAACTCTGTTTTTCTCCATTTTCGTTGTCTGTGCTTCTTTTATTGCTTGTCACCTTTTCTACTTTTGCTTTTCGATTTCCTGTCAAGGGTCCCATCATTGCCAAACCTTTTCGTTTTCTTGCCTTTGCCGTATTCCCTGCCCTTCTTGACTTCCCCTGATTAAGCTTTACAAGAGCCCATCCTTTTAACAACTGTCTCTTATACTCATGTAACTTATTTATCATCCCTCATTTTTAAATTGGCCGTAATCGTATCTTTTTTTTTCAATACTTTGTTTTGATCGTCCCTTTTTTTTCTCACACTATCAGCTTGCATGGAAGGGGAATGAAATATAAGGAGCTCCGATCGGTGACCTGATTTACAGTGAGCCGCTTTTATACATGCTGACACTCTTTAAGCAATGGTAATCCAATAAATCCTAAAATGTTCAGTCACATTTGTCTTTATTTCCTATTTCCTTTGACCATGAGGACAATCGACCATCTTTATTTCATTGTTCACAACGATTTCAAGGGAACCACGCCTATGATAACTGGTACACAGAGTCTTTTAAATGGCCATGCTTTGTCGTGCTAAAATTTAGTTTCATCTTCTGCCATATTTGAAACAGAAGTTCTGGTACAATTCGTAAGTAACCGCTGGTAGTGTGATGAGTCCAAGTCCACATCGCATTTTTGATGGGCGGCTTGTCGTTGATTCAATAGATTTGAACTGCCATATTGTAAACCATGCGCATGTAAATCTGCACATTGGAAAACGAAAAGGAGAACAAAGAGTCAAGTATTCGAGTCAACTACACAGAAGGATTTGGTTTGGGTACTGATCCACCTCGCAGCACATGAAGCAGCATGTGCCGATAATTCGTTCTGTAATTGAAAGTATGCCATAAAAAGTCATTAATGAAAGACATTCAAGTATAGTAATTACAGAGTCGAAAGCCATGCTTTGATTTGGATTGAAGAAAGATTATGTTGCAGGTTCCCAAGTAGTTGTTTAACTTTTTTTCTTTATTTTTGCTATTCAAAAGATAGCACTTCATGTGCACCGGGAGACTTCCGTTTTGGATGCGGCAAAGGCGGTGGATGAAATAAGCGACTGAGAAGAGGGGGCACAGGTTGAGGTACAGCCGCCGTTTGTGATTTCTTTTGGAGTACTGATCGTCGATATTGGTGATCGTCTGCTCTCATTAGGATTTCTCGTACCGTGGAAGCGGAGGATCGTCGTTCAAGACGCGGGGCTGGAGTGTGAGAGGACAAGGTCGAAGAAGTCGATGACCACGAAGAAGCGACCGAAGATGGGTTACTAAGCGACGGAGCCATGCCATGCTGACGTTGCGTGGCACTGACACGCTTTAAAGATTCTACCATGGGATCTTCGAAATGTCGTACACATTGGTATTCTCGGTTGACACGGTCCAATTCTTTGGTCAGTCGTCTCATATTGGCCGGGTGATTCAGATGGTTTTTGTCGTCCGCCAGAAATGATTGGCGCTGTAACATGAGTTTGTGCTGAGTTCGACTGAGTTCGACCTGCTGTGTCTTGGCTGCATGAACAGGATTGGTTTGGGTTGGCCCTGGCAATTGAGTGGTAGCTATAGGATACGCATGGACATTGAAGGATGAAACTTGGATACTAGGCATGGATCGCATGGCCGGATGGCTCCGCATATGTTTTAGTCGATGGGTCGGTGGACACAAGGTGTCACGGTTCGGATGGTGGATGGATAATGAGACCTCATGGGTGTTGGCATGCGCAATGTCCACCTTGACAGGAGTCAGTGCCTGAACGGTGGAGCTCATTAAGGGAATTTGTCTTTTAATAAATACGGAATGAAAAAAATGATCGTTTAATCAAGACCCAGGCGAAGAAAGAAAAAGGGATAGAATGTATGAAATAGGAAAGAAAACCATAGTGGTCAAGATGATCATGTGGGGAATCGTGTCTCCCTTATCTTCACATGACCCAAGCAAACACTCCTCCTTTAGCCGCCTTCCAACACATGCCGTACTCTCTTTTGATCGAAAACCAAATATCATGTGAAAACAAACAAAGAAAAAAACACCTGCCTTCCAACCCAACGACCGACCATTTCCAATTTATCGGGGAAGGTCATACAAAAGACAGATCATAAGCCCGCTCGTATCGTTATTTCCAGGTGCCTGAGGTACGGCCATCCTCTTGTTATGTTGCGGCAATTCAATTTAATATGTCCAAGGGGGAGTACAGATGGAGGCACCCAAGTTTCATATCAGGTCCTTCTCTCTCTCTCTTCTCTTTTTCCCTCATCCTCCAACCAGATTTACCTACTATAGCCTCTATGGTTTATATCTTCTTTCTCTATCGTTTCGATCGCGGAATCCTCATCCAACTTGGGGTTACCATGCAGTGATTTTTCTGTGATAATAAGATATGTCGCGGCCACATCTCGTGATCCTTTTTTATTGACATAATGTTAGGCAACAGATTTACCCATCAATGCATAGAATTTGATGCTTTGCCAGTATTTTCGAGCTTGACCCACCAAAACATAGGCGATGGGATTGCCTTGTCTGTAGAGTAACAAGAAGAGACAGATCGCAGTGGCCAAGTTGACAAATGCATGTCTTACCGCCGCCTGAGTAGGGTTATTTTTCACATTAGCAATGATCATCACTTTTTTGTTTCTTGGGATGAAATCAGCGTACCTTGATCACCCACTTCCATCCTTCAAAGGCCGAGTCATATTGACTGTCGTCATCGTTGCCATTGCTGCTGCCAGATTGATTTCCGGTCAGGCGTTTCTTTGCTCGTTTGTTGCGACGACGCTGGTCTCTTTCCATCAACTCTTGCCGGAGACCATCGATGCGCTCATTCAATGCAAAAATTTCCATCTGCAGCGATTCCAATGCACGTTTGGTAGCGGGTCCTAGAGCCACAACTGATGTGTACTGATCTGGCGGAAGCGGTTTACTGACGCGTTTAGGTTGTGAACCCTCCGATGGTGGCAACGCAGAGCCCATCTGCGAATGAGGTTCGGATAACGATAGGGCCGGGATTTTGCCAATGGATTCAATGGATTCGTCCGATGGTTTGGGGGTTGACATGGGTCCACTGATTTCCGCAATCGCAGCCAGGCTGTGGGAAGATGGAGTTGCACGACCAGATCTGATGGAGGTATCTTGAGAAGAGATGGTCGGGATATCATGGCGGGGAATGGAATTGACAGGAGGCGGCTGCTGGGAAGTAGGATGCGGTGAAGGGGAGGCTAGGAACCGACTATCCAATATAGCTTGACGATCGGCCAAACGCTCGTCCTCGATACTGTCATCGCTGGTGTGACCATCGTCAAGATGATAACGTTGAATAGAAGGATGATGTACCCAAGGGTTGATGGTGTTATCGAGCGATTCATCCAGCAGAGGTTCGCGAAGCATCGCTTGCAACGGCAATGGTCTTCGTTCCTGACCCTGAGAACGCATAGATGCTGAAGATTGAGGGCGCATGCCAGATACGCTCTCCACGGTTGGCGTTGCTCTCGATGACGATACAGAAAGTCGTCTTGGCATACTGGTACGCGCGGTTGCCATGGACATGGTGGCGGAATGAGTCGAGGCTACGGAAGGAGCTCTTAAAGGAGGCACTTGTCTTCCGTGCCACGATCTTCGGTTCAGTTGCTTTGTACGATTCATTGACAGACGAGAGGCAGAAGGTCGCATCGTTACTGATGGATTTTGTTGTCGTACCGCATCGTAATATTGAGCAGAAGATGTTGATCGGGAAGGTGATGGGGTAGGTCCTACGGTGGTGTCTTGTTGCTGTTGCTGTTGCTGCTGCTGTCGAATCGCTTGAAGATAAGCTTGTTCTTCCGCTTCAGCAGAAGCAATACTAGAGTCTTTTTTTTTCAGGGGAAAAAAATCAGCCTACGTAAATGGCATTAGTGTAATAAGGCAAATCATTTACCTTCATCATTTTCGTCTACTAATTCGTTGCCACTATCATCTTCAACATCCGTGTCTTTATCGTCGGTCAACTTTAAGCTTGCAAACATTTGGATAATTTCTTGTGCCTGAGTCCTGCTCCAAGGCTTTTTGTATGCCTAAAATAAGAAAAAAATAAAGAAGAGGTGTGAGTATTACTGCGCGTTCCTGATGAATGCAAAGAGACAGGAAAAAAATAATTGAACCTCTGTTGCCGCTCGTAACAAGATGTCGATATACCGATGCTTGGCTTCCACTGGTTTCATGCCTTCCAGCTTTTTCCACGCATCCCTGTTCCCGTGGTGAGTGACTTGTCGCGAGTTGTCTCATTTGCGCAAAAATACCATTTCGCTCTTCCAACTACATCGAAAATTCCTGGTCGTTGTGTATCGACGTCACCATGCGAGACTTGCTTGTAATATGCGTATAACTAGAGGAGAAAAAGAAATGAAAAGAGAAAGGTTATCATGGACTGCCGTTCTCAATGGCAGAGAACCCAGTTTCACATGCCTCTAATTTCTGAGCTTTCGTTGGCTGAAAGGTAGATGATGCTGGCAAATGCTGAACAATGTAGAGTGCCTTATTATAACGCAGATTGATGTATCTTTCGGAATAATGAGGAGGAATCACAGACATGTAGAAGCGGAAAAAAAGAGCGTCGTTCAACGAAAATGGGATGTGGGACAAAGACTCCATCCCACTTGGTTGAGGAATTGGCGACATTTCTTTATTTGGATTACGACATCTCACTATTGGAATCTGGAAAGCCAAACGAACTTGCCGTATCGGGAAGTAGCTCTATTCTCATGCTGCATTGCCATAGAAACGTTTCTATCAAAAAACGGAAATCCCTGTTTCGGTGACATCGAACCATCCAAATCGGTCGATTGTCTGCATTGTAAATAAAACGTAGGATCATTATGATACAAAAAAAAAATGTGGTTAGTGCATTGATCTGCAAGGGATAACCACTTTTCTCATGTTTTCCTTTTTTTTGACTCAACATTAAAGTTCACTATTTCTGTCCATCAACAAAAAAAAGTCTTCCAAGCGAACTGTACCTGAGTCCTTACTTTATTTTTTTCCCGGCTGAATGATTGAAATCACCGATTGGCTGTGGGATGAAACGAATGCAACGTCTCACTTCGTAAATATTTTCCCATGGAATAGACCCGCCTGCGTATGTGGTTGCTGGGATGGCGTCAATACCGCATCATTCTATTCTGCTTTTCTTTTCAACATGGAACAACCGACAACTAGCCTTCTGACCGAAATTTCCATTTTTGGTTAACTGGCAATGTCATTGTCACACAGGTTACCTTTTTTAATAGTCCGCGATGATGACACGATGAACGCACTTTCATGTCAGATCGACATCTACTCTCAGAGGGTATAAGAAGTGGATGCTTTTCTGAAGTTTGGGCATTCGCTTCTTTTTACTCTCTACTGTATATTTTCTCTACTATTACTATGACCTCTACTCTCAATAATCCTACTTCCATGACCACCGCCGGTGATCACGTCAACACAACCAATGACTTGAACCATAAAGCCACGGCTGATCACGGTTCCAAAGATCATACTTTACCCAGCACACATGAAAAGGCACATAATAGTAGTTCTACCACTACTCCTGCCAAGTCTACCGACCGCCCTGTTAATGACGACCGATCACCTCAGGAGAAATCGCGCGATGAGAAATTAAAGATGCTCGAAGTCGTCCGCGGCATGCGTAATGGAAAATTCCCTACCAATCAACATATGAACCGTCTCTTTGACAAAGCCTTACAGAACAAAGTCATTCATGATCGCCAGCACTTGATGTCGCCCGATGGCCAACGTCTCTTGAAGGATTTTCAAGACCTTTTGCGTGTTTTGAAGCAGACATTGGACACCAAGAACAAGGATGAACTCTTCCAGTCCATGGTGTACCATTTGCATTGCATGGATGCTCCCTTGAACAAAGGTATGTAACACAAACCACTTGGTACGCATGAAATTTCGGAAATCTGATTTCACGCTATTTTTATTTTAGAGTCTGTGAAGAATGCCAACATCGCTCCCAATACCAACAAGGAAGAATTCAAGCAGGAAGCTAAAGGAGGTTTGTGTTCACTTGCAAGTTTACAAATTTGCTTGTATTCCATGGGTGCTGACTCTTTGTATCTTTCAAGGTGCCGTCGCTTTCTTAAAGATTATTCGTCTGATCCTCATCAATGGTGAATTCCGTGAAACCTTGAATGACCTCATGGCAATCACTCAGGAAGCCTTTGGCGATGCCGTTGATAACCTTGGTGACTCGTTGGATCAAGCCAACGATAAGCTCAACGAAAGCTCCCAACGTGTGACTCAGACCGACAACCGCACCGGTTTCTTGGACCAGTTGACTGACAAGATTGATCAAAAGTGTGAAGAATTGGATCAGCCCGAATCCTTGACCACGCAAAACAAGAGCACCTTTGACTCCACTGGTAACAACGCTACTGGCTACAATGAAAACGATGCCGTCTCCAACACGATGAACCAAGCCGGTCTCCAGACCCACCAAGGTCAACAACAAGGCCAGATTGCCAACTTTGATCCCTCCAACAACGAAAACGTGCAACAGACCAAGGAACAGACTCAGCAGAAGACCCAAGAGTTGCAAGCTGAAGCTAGACAGAGAGCCGAGGAGCACAAGCAGTCAGCCAAGCAATACGCTAGAGAAAAGTTCCCCGAGGAGAAGCAAGAACAGATCATCAACCGTCTCAAGAAGACTCTTCGTGACATTCAAAGCCATCCCGAGTATGAAGATGCCATCAACACCCTCATTCGTCTCTTCAAGTCTTGGGGTAACCGTGCTGTTGAGGTCGCTCAAAATGCCGCTGATCATGCCAACACTCAAGTGAGCGATGTTCGTGAAGATGATCACTGGTCCAAGGTCGAAATCGAAGTCAAGACCATTCTCGAAGATTGGGCTCAAGGCCAGTCTTTGAATCCTTTGGTCGAGAACGTCAAGCAAGTGATGCAGGACATTAAGGAAGATGAGAAGCTTAGAGACTATATCCAAGAGGTAAAAAATCATTTGTTCAATATGTCTTTTTCGGCGAATGATGCTAACTATACTATCTCCATTGTAGTGGACCGATTACATTCACCGTTTGTTGAAGGAAACTGGCTATGTCGATGAAGAAGCTTCTACCAAGGATGGCGAAAAGTTGGTGGAAAAGGGCCGCCAGGTCGTCAAGGAGCGTTACCGTGGTCATGTCAACCAGCTTATTGATCATGCCAGATCCTACACCAATGCTATGGCTGAAGATCCTATTTCCAAGGACATCAACAGCGTTTTCAAGGCCATCCATCAAGACCTCTGGTTCGACCAGGAGGGTAACCCCGCATTCAAGCCTCAGCTTCTCAACGATATGCGTCTGACCTTGCTGCCTGCCATGATTGAGCAGATCAAGTATATTCCTATTCCTCGTATTGAATATGCTGACAAGCAGTTCGACGTTGTTGTTGAGAATGTTATCCTTTCCGGTGACTCGTTGTTGCCCAACATGTGTGAAGTCAAGTTGGAGAACTTCTCCCGCTTCTCTCCCAAGTCGGACGTTGAGCCTATCAACCGCCAGATCGTCAACATTACCATGAAGAACATCCAAGCCGAACTCGATGATGTGGTCTTTTACTACAAGAAGAAGACCGGTTTTCCCCGCATGTCCGATCGTGGTGTGGCTGCTATGGAAATTGGCGGCAAGGGTATCGATGTCACTCTCAAGCTTCACACCACCGATGATCCCAAGCATGTGTTGAAGGTCGTCGTCTGCAAGGCTCATGTTAGCAACCTCAAATTCAAGGTCAAGGACAGCAAGCACGATCTCTTGTACAAGACCATTCACCCTATGGTGATCGGTATTGTTCGCAAGCAAATGGCCAAGGCCATCGAGCTCAAGATCTTGGATATGATTGATACAATTGATCAAAAACTTGTGGCCAACATCTGGGGCATGCAAGCCAAGGCCGATATGAACGCTCGTCAAGCCGAGATCCATGCCCGTCAATTGAAGGGCGAAGATGTCAAGGATGCTTCCGCGGCTCAACGTTCTAGCCAACCTCAGCGTGTTTCGAAGCGTCCCAGCTTGTTCTCTACTTTGGTCACCATGATCAACAACAACCTCAAGATGAAGGCTACCCGTCGTGCCGTCAAGAAGAAGGAGCAGTTGGCCGAAGTTCAAAAGGAAATTAACGAGAACCCCGCCACCATGCCCAAAGAGGAATTTGTGAAGAAGTCTGACAAAGCTTTGCCTCCTTCGGATCCTACTCTTTTGGAAGATAACCACAAGGAAACCCCGGCCGCCATGCCCAAGGAAGAATTTGTGAAGAAGACGGACAATGCTTTGCCTCCTTCGGATCCTCAGCTCATGGAAGGTAACCACGCCGATCCCCATGCTGCCAAGGACCATTTGACTCCTCCTCACTCTCCTACGGACAAGAAGCCCGAATTGGCTCCTACCTCTGAGGCTGAGAAGCTCATGCACGCCAATGTCATGGACACCACCAAGGACGAAAACCCGGCCATGGCTGCCATGCATCACCGACCTGACGCTTCCAAGAACCCTGTGTTCAGTGCGGATCAGCGCCGATCCACTCTCCAAAATGAGGAAACCAAACCTAATGAAGTCCGCGTCTAAGGACGAAACGGAATGTAATCCAGTAACCGTTTGATATTTTATACTTTTCTATTCTCATTTTTTTTCCCCTTTTTAAGTTTTACATAATCTTTTTTATTTTTATTTTGCAAAGATCTACTTTGCAACTGGCAATATACGAGTACTATGCTTATTTTCAGTTCAATAAATCATATTCTTTTTTATCGGTATATAAATAGTAAAAAAAAAAAAAAAATGTGTTGGCAGGATTATCCTGCCTAAAGTGATCGACATTATTTGTTAGAAAACGTTTCTGGTATGATCCTCTACTCGTGATATTTTTGCATGTATCACTAAATCTGATTGCGCACACACACACACACACACATAAAAAGATCCTGGAATCATTTACTGATCATTGAATCATATCGTCATTCAGCCTACGCTTTCTGCCCACTATTTTACCCTTGTTCTTCCCATTTGGGTTTTTCATCTTTCAATGAAACCTTCTCCCATAAATGCCAGGGCGAGCAATAGTCCGCAGCGGACGTGTATTCACTCACCCACTAATATAAAAAATCTTAGTAAAGACTATAAAAAAAAAAAAAAAAATCGCGACGAGAAACAATAAAAAGGATGCGCGAACCGGGAATCGAACCCGGGCCCTTCGCGTGGCAGGCGAAGATTATACCACTTAACCATCCGCGCTTCGGTATTTTTTTAACTGAAACATTGTATATACTAAGTATTAAGCAGTCACAATCCGGACCGGGCTCGTGGCGGCTGCTAAAAGTATGCGGCGGCATTCATTAGTTTCGGTTCTTATTTCCCCAGAGCGGTCGAGAGTTTATGTTTGGTGTTTTTTCTTGCTTAAACATTTCTCGAAACGAAAGGTGTGCTGGCCATATTACTATTGCGTTACTGTCACATTCATACCCGAAGCATTCAGGGTGAGCGCGAATCTTTACTTGCTCCGCTTGCTCCGTTTTCGAAAGTCTTTTGTCGATAATTTATTGGTGGAATCGGAACGGGAAAAGTCGTGCCTGGGTTTCAATTGAGGTGACGAAGACAAGACGAATCCGGCAGGTCAATTCTCCAGGTTCCTTTCGTTCTCTGTTTGCGATGACGACCAGATACTCGCGTACGGCGGATAAGGCTCTCAACGAGAAAAACGCAGCCGTTCTCAAGTCGCTTTTGCAAAGGCCCGGAAATAAATACTGTGTCGATTGTAAACGCAAAGGTGAGCATTCTCACTTACTGTGCGGAAAGATGATGGATATTAATTGACCAATGGAAATGGCAGATCCTCGCTGGGCATCATGGAATCTGGGCATCTTTATGTGCATTCGATGTTCGGGTATTCATCGTTCACTGGGCACGCACATTAGTAAAGGTAGTCAAGACTGCAGTGTGATGAAGGAACCAAAAACTTAAAAAATATTGCAGTGAAATCTGTGGATTTGGACACTTGGATTCCTGATCAGGTGGAAAACATGGTGAAGTGGGGCAATGAAAGAGCCAACAAGTAAGTAAAGAGCGACCGGTTTCTGTCTGCTTTTATTCGTGATTATTGGAAACGAAAGAGTAAACGATGTGCATTTGCAAGGTATTGGGAAGCGAATCTCAAGGATAAGCGACCATCGGAACACAATATGGAAATGTGGATTCGAGCGAAATATGAGCAGAAACGTTGGGCAATGAAAGGACCTATTCCGGATCCGAGTACGCTGGATGGTGACAACACTGAAATCACTGTAAGTGGGGCAAGCGGTATACTTGTTCTAGACGATGTTTTTAATCATCAGAGGTTCATAGCAGACTGCCGCGCCGGTGGCAGCCAAGAAGCCATCTGCTTCACGGGAACAGCAAAACCATAGCGTGAAACCAAAGGAAGCAGCGAGTCTGGATGATTTTTTCGGATCATCGTCACCAGCCTCTTTTTCCACGGCTCCTAAACCCGCCAACCCTCCAGTCACCGCACAACTTCAAGGCGCCGATTTCTTCAGTACAACGCCTTCTTCGCCAGTCGTTGCTCAGGAATCACCTAAGTCGAAACACGACGATATAAAATCCTCCATCCTGTCACTGTATGGTGCCAAACCTTCGATCCCTAACAACACGGGTAGCTATGCAACCAATATGACGAATTACCAGCAGCAATTATCCGGATTATCCACCGGTTCGCCTGGCGGTGTCATCCCTCAAGCGCCACCCGCTTACGATAATATTTGGGGGACATTTACCAGTGCTCCTGCCGTTACCCAGCAACCAGCCCAACCACAAGGAAGTCAATTCTTTTCATCCATGGCTGCTTCTCCTTCCCCACCACCGAAAAAACCTGCTTATGAGTAAGTTGTTTTATCGCGGTTTTGCCGTTTTCAAATGTTTGCCAAATATTTTTGTGCCACTAATCGCGGGTTCTTTTTCTTTTCATAGTGCTTTTGCTGATTTGTTAAAGTAGTCTCCTAGAATGATAATCGCTGCTCTTTTGAGTATTCATTCATTTATCCTTATTTCATTAGAACTGGAAAGATTTTGGAAAAAGAAAATCGTACCAATGATGATGCCTCGCAATACGATTTTATCAGATCAATAATAAAAAATTGAAAAACGTGCACATTATCTGCTTGTTGCTTCTATTTATTACGTAAAAAAAATTGTCGTTCTCTCTTACAGCTGTAACAGCTCTAGTACAATAGTGAAAGAGAAAATTGAATATATATATTACAAATGATTATGAATGGATTATGGTTTTTTTTTTTTTACTTTTTCATCTCCTGCTCCTTCTTCATCTCTTCTTCTTTTTGCTTTTTGATGGCTTTACGAGTACCGGAAACGGCCCAAGAGTACTGCTTTGGCCAACGGACAGCGGCACCCAATTCCTGGCATGCGCTCAATGCCCATGAACTGTCACGTAAGTATTCGCGACCCACCAGACAAAAATCGGCCTTATTGTCGCGCAGAACGCTTTCGGCATCGTGAGCGTCGACGATTTTACCTACCGCAGCCACGTCGACGGCTGCATCTCGCTTGATCGCTTCGGCAAGGGGGACCTGATACAGATCTCCCTTTGGATACACGGCATTGCTCAAGTTACCACCGCTGGAACAATCCATCACGTCGACACCGATAGCCTTTAATTGTCTCGCGTATTCAGTGGCTTGATCGATATCCCAACCTTCGGGATCTTTGGTCAATACACCTTCGTTCTTCAAATCGGAACCGGAGAATCGCACCCACAGAGGCTTGTGATCAGGCCAGACTTGACGGACTGCCTTGGCCACCATCAACGGGAAGCGCATACGGTTTTCCAAGCTGCCGCCAAATTTGTCGGTGCGTTTGTTGCTGTTGCCCGAAAGAAAATTATGCAACAAATAACTACGGAAACAGGAGAAAGGTCAGAAATTCGCCTGACCTTCAAATTGTGCCACCAAAAAACACTTACCCATGAGCACTGTGAATTTCCAAAACTTCCACACCTGCTTGATCTGCCCGACGAGCGGTATCGGCAAACTTTTGTACGATTTCGTTGATGCCTTCTTCCGTCAGTGCATTGGGCTTGGGGTAGTGAGAAGCGAAAGGAATGTCCGAAGCAGCACGGACATCGTCGGGCCAACCACCGTTCTCTTCGGTTTCGACATAGTCGCCCATGTAAGGAGGCGCCGTGGAAGCTTTGCGTCCAGCGTGAGCGATCTGAAGACCCGCAACAGCACCTTGGGACTTGATCATATCAACGACACGCTTCAACGCGGGAATTTGTTCGTCCTTCCATAAACCGGAATCGCGGGGAGTGATACGGCCTTGGGGTTCCACAGCAGTGGCTTCGATAATGACGAGACCGGCGCCCAACAGGGCGAATTTACCATAGTGCATAATGTGGAAATCGTTCAGCGCACCGTCCTCACTGCTGTACATGCACATAGGCGGCACACCGATGCGGTTATGGAAGGTAACTGATTTGACAGTGATGGGTTGGAAAAGCTTGATATCCTTGGCGGCCTCAGGATCCAAAGGAACACCGGCGGGTTGTTTGTCGTTGTAGGCCTGCATTATGAAGAGACAAAATTTGAAAACAATGCGGAAGAAAGGTGTCGAAAAGGATGATGCATCTTATATAGTCTGGTGGATTTTGGTTGTATTTGTCAGCTCGCAGGGTGCCATTGGATTATTCAGCAGTTAAATTTTTACGAAACTCAGCCAACAAGGGAATGGTATCCCAATGATGAGGTGCTTGCTGTTGGACACAATGTCTCTTGCATAATTTTGAACAAAAATCATCGCCAATCATTTTGGTTTCGATATTTTTTTTTCCGAATGTCCAATCATTCAAAGAGGACAAGGTTTTACACCTTGTTGTTTCCCGCATCTTCCATTCCTTCGTCATTTAGTCTCGCAAGCATTCGAAATCCGCAACCAAAATTCTGTTATCGATGTTTGTTTGATCTAGAATTTTCCCTTCCGCACACGCTCCGAGATTGAATAACGTATGCTTTTCCAAATTTAGCCTTCTTGTCTGTCCTTTGCCAAGGAATAGTCTAGTTTGCCAATATACAATCATAACAACATAACATAGCGTATATCTCTCAAATGTAATTTTTAATCGTCTGACAATAGAATAAATTTCAGGCAAAAGGCTTATGAAACAATGTATTGATGGGTCTATTGGATGAAATAAATGAGATAAGATTTGGTATGGCGAATGATAAAAGGGTAGGAAAAAACTGTGCAAAGGAAGAATCGGATGATGTGGCACCAAATAAATAGTGTAACTCTAGGAACGGAGTGTATCGGCATCCATTGGAGCGAGATCTTCGGTGGAAATGACGTCCCAAAATGTCTTTTCTACGGCCGACATTTTGTCCTGCGGGAACCACTGAATCGAAAGGTCGTTGAAGATTTGGTTATTATCAAATTTCGGCGGAAATGGAACGGCTTCGACGATTTTAACCGCAGGAATAAGGTACGGACATTCTCGTTTCAGATCCTTATCCAGTTGTCTACAAATTCTGTCAAAAACCCAAGACAACCGACTATTTGGCAAAGATTTGATGATACTTACGACCCCACATACATATCAAATCGATTTCCTAGAATTGTCGTATGAGTCAATTGCGTCGGGTTCCAGTTGGAGCTTAATGTGTTGCTATAGAGTCCACGTCCGCAGTGAGGCATATAAAACAACGTTGGCTTGGTCACAGATCGTTTACCGTCCTTGCAGAAATCAAAAGAAAATTGTTAATCGGCAAAATCTCATTTCGTTATTGATCCAAGCGATATATTACCTCGTTGATGGCGATAACATCAATATCATGGAATTGGCATATTTCTTTGTCCAGCTCCGTCATGACTGGATCATAGATCGACATGCGACCTGGAATCTGGGATCGGATCAAAAAAAATACAATAACCACTGTCAACAGGCTTGGATATCCAGGAGATCTGGGTCGAAACATGATTGTACCTTGAGCAGATCTCGTATAACGAGAGCGAGAATAAATTGATATTGTGCATTTTTGGATTTTTGCATGGAACCAATACCGTAGCATACAATATCTTGGGGTTCCCTTGGAAGCAAGCTTTGGTTTAAAATCTCTGCATAGCAATAATCAGCCATGTTTTGCTTCCTAGCAATTAATTAGACACACTGACTTACCCATCAAGTCACTATAGAAACGACTTTCCAACAGAGCTTCCCTGTTCAGCAAAGACTGACTTAAGCATGCATATCATTCATAGGATCTCGTGAATAGAATATTACTTTCGCTGCGCCAATGTCGTTTTCAGATCGTTCAGGTCCCAATCGTTGCAATCTTTGAAAAAGTATTTCTTCTTCCCCTTCCGTCGTTGTTTGCTTTTACTTTTTACGTCGAAGCTTTTATAATTGAATTTGTTTTCTACTTTGATGAATCCATCATCGTCTAGTTCGATGGCCTTTGACATTCTTGTGAGAGGAGCCGTAGGAATCGCCGGATATTACTTTCTCCTCTTCATCTGTCACACGAAGCCAAATGCCTGATTTCTGTGACCGAGTCTCGTTTCATCCAAGCCACAGGAACCGGAAATCGGCACCGCAGCGCCGCCTTCTGAATCCCACAGAACCTGTTTAATGTGTCCAACGCACACGTATCCAACGCCCAGTCACAATATTGAAAGCTGTTCAATGGATAGAAGAGGAGCACGTACAGAAAAAGTAGCATTTCCAGTCGAAGCCATTGCAAAGCCAATAAAAAAAAAAAGAAAATATTCTTTAAATTTTCCTTGATGTTTCTCTTTTTAATCGCGTAGCTTGGCAGAGAGTCTGATCTTCAAGTTACCATTTATACGCCTATCAAAGCACAAGTTTATGTGGCTGTTGATAAATATGATTAATTGAGTGAGAAAGACGATCGGTCTTTGTCACTGCGTAAAATAGGAGTTTTTCTGGGCCAGATACTGTATTTATCATGGGAAGGGGCACATCAACGCAAAGTAAGAAATCCAGTCATGCAATGATGCCGGTAGAGTGGTTCCCGAGCACTCACACAACGTTATACGTTTCATAAGTGGTTAACTTTTGATCGACATGTACCGTACCTGTGCAATCTAGCAAAGTGGAGCTGATACGAATAGCAAAGCTCATTATTTGGACGAAACCCGCCTTTGCAGCTGTAGACAGTCCGTTGAAACTTATCATGGGTGCGCAAAGCCCTGAGCTAAAAACATATTGTTTTGGGTGGCAAAATGGTGCTTTTTAAGGAGGTTTTGCCATCGTTCGTCTATCGTCTCGCAGGGACGAAAATGCGTATAACTAAACGCATGCCTTGAATACTCGCGCATCATCTGGTCATATATAAAGACGTGCCGAGTTCACTGTAAAACTTGAAAGAATACGATAGAACTGTTCAACAAGGAATTCATCGCGGGTCTTCAGCCTAGGTGTCTCTTTATCTCAACCTTATTAAAATGTTTGCCTCTGAGTTGCCATCTTTGGATATATTCCACCGTCACATTTGTTTGTCGACAAAAGACCGCTGATGATTGGGTAGTTTCAAACTCAATGAACGTTGATTGGATAAAACTGTTACGATAAGATCTGAGCGGATGTTGAATTATGGCTCATGATTTGTGCTTCCTTTTGTGAATAGATAGACCGTGATACATACACGGATGCAAGAGATCGTGTTGCTTTGCATTATCCAGGCCTGTTCCTTTCTTCTTTCTTATTCTTCCTCTGTAAAACTATTTCAATGTCATCTTCAAACGTTTATTGTGCTTCTTGCAGTTTGCCAGGACATGCTCGCTCCACCAACCGCAACTGCCCCAACAACCCCCGACGTGCCCAACAAAGTAGAATTACTACAACCCGAGGACCAAGCGAAGTCCGTTGCAGAGCTTGCCAACAACTGGGTCACCAGCGTTCCAACCATTTCGCTTGCCCGTTGAATCCAGCAAGATTGGCTATGAGGGTGGCTGGAGAAAGTGACACTACGGAACGTATTCGTACTTTACCTGCGCCCGTTGCCCAAGCAGATTTCGACCATCATGCTAATACGCTGTCAAGTGAACAATCAGGAACGCTCAACAGTGGCCGAAATAACGAGTGGGAACTTCGAGAGAGACATACCTTGGGACGCATGAATGTTGTCTGCAATTTCTGTCAGGCACACATGTGGGCCAAAGAAAGCTCCTCTGAATCGAACTCCAATCCGCAGTTCCAACTCTGCTGTGGCCAAGGTTCCGCTGTGCTTCCACCTTTGGAGCCTACACCTCCAACCATCGCCCGTCTCCTTCGTAGCGACAATGAAGAAGGGCGAGATTTCCGTGAGCAGATCCGCGCCTATAATATGAATTTGAGTTTTACTTCGGTAGGCGCCCAAATAGATGAATCCGTGGCCAACAATCCCAACGGAGCCTACTGCTACCGTATCCAAGGTGGCATTTACCACCAGATCGGTGGTCTACTACCACCAACCGAGTGTCATACCCCTGCGTTTGCCCAAATGTACATTTATGATTCCAACACACAACTTAGACACCGGCATGCTGTGGCACCCTATCTGCAGAATGCCACCCTTCTCATTCTACAAGATCTGCTTACCGAAGTCAACCCGTTCGTGCCGTTGCTGCAGTCGATGGCCCAGGTCTTGCGTGAATCTGAGGAAGCCGTAGATGTGAGGCTACTCATAAGTGCGGAAAACACGCCTGATGTTCGTCGTTACAATGCACCCACAGCTAGCGAAGTTGGAGTGATCCTGGTAGACAGTACGATCACACCAAACAGTAGCCGCGATATTGAGCTCCGATCGAGAAGCTATGGGCTTCAACGCATCAGTGAAATGCACCAGTACTACGACGCGCTCCACTATGTCCTCATGTTCCCGCATGGTGATCTCGGGTGGAACATCCACTCACGCTCGCCAAGCGGTCGAAGCATTACCGTCATGCAATGGTATGGCTACCGTCTGATGATGCGCGATAACAGCCACGATTTGCACCTGTACGGCCGATTGTTCCAGCAATATATAGTGGATATGTATGCAAAAATGGAACAGAACCGACTCACGTATTTGCGGCTAAACCAGGCAAACCTGCGCACGGAACTGTACCGAGGTATCGTAGATGCGGTAGAACTCGGCGACAATGACCTCCAAAACGTCGGGCAAAGGGTCATTCTCCCATCCACCTTTATTGGCAGCCCGAGACACATGCGCCAATTTTACCATGATGCGATGAATATCGTACGTCGATGCGGGCAGCCGGATCTCTTTATTACTTTCACTTGCAATCCTCAGTGGGTGGAAATTCAGGACGAGTTGGCTCCACTCCAGACAGCTGTTGATCGGCCCGACCTTTGCGCTCGAGTTTTTAACATGAAGCGTAAAGCTCTCATGGAAGATTTGACCAAGAAGCATGTTTTGGGAAGGGTAGTTGCCCATGTCCATACTGTGGAATTTCAAAAACGAGGATTACCGCACCTCCATCTGCTTTTGGTGTTACATCTGGACGACAAGCTGAGAACACTGGACGATTATGATCGCATTGTGTCAGCTGAACTTCCGGACAGACAGAGATTTCCTGATCTCTACGACACCGTCAGCAGATGTATGATGCACGGTCCGTGTGAACCATGCATCCGAGGTCTCCGTGCATGGAAAACGGCTCCTGTAAGAAGCGTTACCCGCGCTCCTTCAACGAAGCTACCGTCGAAGATCACAGGGGTTACCCTTTGTACCGTCGTCGCAACCAAGGTTCATCTTTCAACCATGCCTCGGTCCCCATCTTGCAACGACAACGATTATCAGCGCTCTACAAGTCATGGTTGCCCAAATTTCTCTCCACGAAACACTTTCACGATAATAGGCGAAACAATCAGCAGCAAATGCCGTTTGCGCCAGTTGTGGTTAAACAGAGCATCGTCGCCGTTCACATAAAATGTGAGTGGAGCTCTTTTTTGAAGAAAGGTGATTGACGATACGACGATCTGGTGTTTTGTAGCATCATTTAATTTGGGTTATCTGTCAGTTATACTGTATATGCCCTTTCATTCTCTTCAGTAATCGAATGATACATGGAGCAGATATGCTTCGATCTGTGTAGCTCATCATTCATGCATCAGTGAGGTGACTATTGTTTCATCCATGGAAAATCACATATTTTTGTCCGAATTTTTTCTTCTTCTTTAGTTTTGCATCTCTTCTGTTTGCCTGGAAATCCCTCACTATCATTGCATCCATCATCCATCATCCAGACTATGGCGTGTATCTGATCCGGTCGATTCGATTATTATGAAAAAAGGTACCTTTTGTGTGATACGACTATCCGTTTTTCGACAAGAAAAAATTTACCTGTCCTTTTTCTCTACCCCTTCTTTAGCTTTTGGTTTTCTCTCCGGTTTTCTTTTCGCTTGGCAAGTCATCCATCCCTCCAAATCTTTCTACTTTGTTCGCGCTCAAATGTGGCCAAACCGGTTTTTGTCGTCAAAGGCATCGTCGGTGGTGTGACTCTCTTTTTCATTGGGAAACGCTGACGCGTCCTCCCCAGGTTCCTCTCATATGGATTGCTGCCCGTGGTATCGCCTTCGATATTTCTTCCCGACCATTTTATTTTGTAGTTGTAGTATGTATTTTGTATTTTAGTGAATAGTCTTCTTGCAGTCTTTTCCTCCTTTTTTTTCCCACAGGGTTTTTAGGGGGTTTTTACAGACGCACCTATTGTATTTACTTTTTTTTTATATTTGTATCCTTTCTTTATTTCGGTCGGGAAGCCCTCGGTATCTGCTGCATCAAACATCAAAGGTAAAATATCTCAACGAAATTTGAATCAACCAAAGAGCTTACTAACTCATTTTTTTTAAATACCCAACATTCCCACACATCTTTGTAGATCTATCATAACCTTGGGCGGGACAGAACGGAGGGGGTCAATAAGTGCTGCTTTGTTCATTAAAAGTGTTTCATGGTATGCCAGAGTATTGACATTAATATACCAAAGTTCCATCAAGAGTCTCGCCCAGGTTATGCCGTATTGCGTTAGGCTTTTTGTCTGACGAATGTCGCTCAATGTAAGAGTGCGGCATCCAGTAGCAGGTGGCATCCATTGCACAGCGGGTGTACGGCTTGTTATTTATGAAGAAGAAGGATACAATGCTTATGTGTATGGCTATATAAACTTTATGATGATACAAAATTCTGAAAAGTCTGGGTCAATAGACAGCATTGTATGGTTATTGCATCATAGACTCCGTTACAACTAAGAATGGTCCATAACGAATATAAGTGTCATAGCCATGCGGAAAATGAATAAGAAAAAGAAGATGATTTGACAGCTCTGAGCGGCAGAGGGATATGCACGTTCATCCTGTCGGCGGCGTTGCCCGATGGTGTTGCCAAAAATTTCGCATCCCGCCGAACCTTAAAACAGAATGTATTTCAACGGGACGGGGTGATTTTCTCGCCCTCACTTTTCATCTCGCTTCGGCTTCCGTGGTAAGTCACCCATCTAATCACTCCATTCGTCACTAGTTATTCAAACGTGGTTTAGAACAAACGTAGAATGGTTTGCATCAAGTTACAAAAGGAAGAAAACCGCAAGGCTTTCCTTGACATTTTCCCTCAACTCGCTGAGGAAGTTCTTGCCGAGCTTCGCAAATATAACATGCCCGAAGATGCCTACCAATGGACCAAAGACGTAAGTTTTTATTTTTCAAAAACGTGCTTGACAACTTTTTTACTTATTTCTTGCGTGTTCCTTACCATTTGTCACCTTTAGAACTTGTTCTACAATGTTCCTGGAGGTAAGATGATGATCTCGGTCTGGCAGGATGAGATGAGCACGAAATGAGTAACATATCGCACTTCCTTTTAGGCAAACTTAACCGTGGTCTTTCCGTGGTGGACACCGTTCGCATCTACAAGGGCGATGCTGTCACTGAAGACGACATCTTCAAGGCTTCGGTTCTTGGCTGGCTCGTTGAATTTGTATGTATACGGGAAAAAAAAAGGAAGAAGGGGATGGGGAGGAGGGAAAGTGACTTCACTGCGCCTCTGGCAAGAAACTTTAACTTTCATTGTTTCTTTTGCAGTTGCAAGCCTTCTTCCTTGTGTCGGATGATATCATGGATGCTTCCATCACCCGTCGCGGTCAGCCCTGCTGGTACAAGAAGAATGGCGTCGGCATGGTCGCGATCAACGACGCTTTCATCTTGGAATCTTGTATCTATATTTTCTTGAAAAAGTACTTCAAGAGCACCGATTACTACATTGATCTCGTTGAACTGTTCCATGAGGTAAGATACGACGCATGGGTCAGGTGGAAAAAAAAGTCATGTTTCTGATGGAAAAATGAAAGGTGACCTTCCAAACCGAGCTCGGCCAGTTGTGTGATCTCATCACTGCTCCCGAAGACCATGTTGATTTGAGCAAGTTCTCGATCCAAAAGTAAGTTGCATACTTTGCAGGCAAAGGGCATATTCAGTCGAGGGCTTACAAGCTATTATAGGCATCAGTTTATTGTCATTTACAAGACTGCGTACTATTCATTCTATTTGCCTGTCGCTTTGGCTATGCACATGGTAAGCGATTCTTGTAGGTTCAATTGTTTCTCTAGATGACGGTTAACAAGTATCTGTAGGTTGGCATCAAGAGCGAATTGGCTTTCAAGCAGGCTCGCGATATCTTGATTCCCTTGGGTGAATATTTCCAAATTCAAGACGATTATTTGGATTGCTATGGTGATCCAGCATTCATTGGCAAGATCGGCACTGATATCCAGGACAACAAGTGCTCCTGGTTGGTGAACCAGGCTTTGGCTAAAGCCAACCCTGAGCAACGCAAGGTGCTTGATGTAAGTAGTAGAGAATTTTCTAAGAGTATCGACCAATTGGAAAGTCAATGGACGCGTTGCTGACGCGGTGGTTTTGACAGGATAACTATGGCAAGAAGGATGCCGCTGCAGAAGCCAAGATCAAGCAGCTTTATATTGATCTCGAAATTGAGCCTACTTATAAGGCTTATGAAGAAAAGTCGCATCAAGAAATTTCTGCCCTTATTGATCAATTAGACGAGTCAGCAGGTGCCAAGAAGGAAGTGTTTACTGAATTCATGAATAAGATCTACAAGCGCACCAAATAAAGAAAAGTAAAAGACTGCTTTCCCAACCATATGCGGTGTTTTAAATAATTTTTCACTGTGACTACGTCACCTTCTGAGCTTTGAGTGGGCCGAATCACCCCTTGTGTCGGTCAAAACACAGAGCGCGGGGGGCCTCTGGCTGGGGGTCCCAAAATTTCTCGGTGCCTTGTCTATACAAGTTTTTTTTTTCCTTCTTTCTTTAGCACAACCATTGTTTACGCCATGGCTTCTAGATTCACTCGCTTGACTGCTGTCGCTCCCAAGGTACTTTTTGCAATCACTCGGCTCATGGACAACGCGAGGAGAATGTGTAGTAATTCATCGTTTCCAATTCGAAAATAAATAAATAAACAGTTGACTCGCGCCTACGCCTCTGCTCCCGCCACCATCAAGGTAATTATTTACACGGTCGAAAAAGAGATTATATCTTCACAAGCTAACCGCTGATTCATATTGATTTTTTTTTTTTTACGTATTTTTTTTTCTTTGAAAATCTGTTTCCAATGACGTTGCCATTTTCTTTGCCATTTTGTTATTTGATTATCGAACGAATTCCCGTGAAACTATAGGCTCCCATTACCTTGTTCGGTATCGATGGTCGCTATGCTACCGCTCTTTACACTGCTGCTGCTCGCAAGAACGTCCTCGAAGCCGTCGAGAAGGATCTTAAGCAAGTCCAGGCTGCTGTCAGCAAAGACAAGGCTACTCAAGACTTCTTGGAGAACCCTACTGTCACCCGTCCCGTCAAGATGGAAGGTGTTCATCAGTTGTTGAAGAAGGTCGGCAATGTCAACGAGTTGACCAAGAACCTTTTCGAAACCTTGGCTGAGAACGGTCGTTTGGCCCAGACCCACAAGGTCACCGAAGCCTTTGCTGAATTGATGAGCGCTCACCGCAACGAATTGCCCTTGATCATCACCTCTGCCAAGGTAAAAAAAAAATCGCCAACAATGGGAAAAAATGTGCAAATACGCCGAGGAGGGGAAGGGGGATAAAAAAAAACGAATAGAAAAGGATGGAAAAAAACGAGGGCGTCGAGAGCAAGTGGATACTGATTTTGTTTGGGTGGTTTAGGAATTGGACAAGGCTACCTTGAACAAGGTTTGCGAATCCCTCCAGAAGAGCCCTCTTGCTGAAGGCAAGAAGCTTCTCGTCTCCAACAAGGTCAGACCCGATATCTTGGGTGGTCTTCTTGTCGAAATTGGTGACAAGAGCATCGATTTGACTGTCTCTGCCAAGCTTTCCAAGCTCAACAAGCTTGTTACTGGTATGTTTAAAATCACAAGTGACGGACACAATGGATGAGACATTTGGTAGCTTGCATCGACTAACGTTTTTTTCTTTTTGCTTCGTGTAGATTCCGTCTAAATAATATCACTTTTGATCTTTTCACACGTCTCGTATAAAAAAATAAAGCTAAACCAATGTGACATAGCACGATAGATACGTTTTGCCTCACCTTTCTTTTGTTTCCAAATCAGCAATTTATGATACTATAAAAGTCGATGCAAACCATGCTCAAGTTCATTCAATTTTAAACTATTCATCGACAATGAACGTCGATAAAAAGTCGACTTTTTTAAATGAAGAAACATGGGATACTCTATCTATTGGTACAATGACTCAATTTTATCATGTACTAAACTGCGTCATTCGCACATGCTAAACGTTATCAACCAAATTCACCATCGCACGACCCATGGCAAGTCCAAACTGTTAACGAATAAAGTAGGCAGTCAAACTGCTGCTACCCATCAGGCCCAAGGAGACTCAGTTATTTCCCTGTTACCAGGACCATACACACTTGCCTCGGGTCTCGGTAGGTAGGCGGGCATCGAAGTTGGGGGATCAGTCCATGGTCCCCCAGCTACTGGCGAGTAACGTCTCTTTCAGGGAAAAAAAAAGTCATTCCTGATTCATTCTCCGTGATAGTCCTTTATCGAAACCCTACCAAGTTGGACATGTCTCCTTTTGTCAACGGACGCCAAGTTACACAGACCCGGCACTCAGGATTAGGCAATATTGTTTCTAGACTACGGTTATTTGGAGACAGGAGAAATCTGGTGTTTTTTTTTGTATCTCATTTTCCATTCCCTTTTTTCCTTTTTTTTTTTTTTTTTTTTCTCTTTCCAACTCTAGTTGATGTCTTCGCCATCGCCTTCCGTTCCCGAAGACAATGCAAAACAGCCACCGTCACCGTCTCCGTTGCCGTCCATGCCGACGCCTCCATCTGTAGTTCTGCCGAAACAGCGTCATTTATACTATCCTCCCATACCACGCATGCAAACCAACGATAACGTCCCTCCCTCTATTCCAATCTCCATTGCCATCGAACGTCATGCCCAGTATAATCACCCGTCTCTCAAGCCAGGGACATCGTATACCATTTACAAAATAGATGGTCAATCTGTATACTATTTACCCGAAGTTACACTTGACTCCATCGTACAAGCGGACGCTGAGGAGCCCAACCGTGCGACTGTTCCAACTTCCTTTCAGGATTACACAACCATATACAACTCCCGCAACGAAAAATTGTGGACATTGACCGGTCGAGCTTGGGATGCGGTAACGTTTGAAACCTTGACGGGCATGACTCTTGTTCTTTCGGGTTACACCTTCAATTATGCGGACTCGACCTATCATTGGCGCATCATGCCGTCACAAAATGGCATGACAATCGAATATAGTTTGCAGCGTTACGGTGAAACGGTCTATGGTGAACGAATAGCCGAGTTTACACATGAAGGCTCTCAACTGCTTGTATACGCCGAGAAACTTGACAATGATTTATTATTTGGCATGATTGCTTACTCTGCTTTGCTCATCCATGATCAAGTCCTCTCCATGTTAAAATCGGTGGGGGGCGGACCGCAAGCGCTGCAAGTCATGATGCAAGAATCCTATCTTCATGAAGATGATGTGTCCATCATGTCATCGGTATTTGTTGATCCAAATACAGACCAAGGAGGTTTAGTACGCGAGCAATCCACACGCCGATCGGCCAAAAGCATCGAAATTCATACAGGAGCTTGGCGATGTTGGCGCGGTTATGACTGCTGCTGGACTTGGTTTCCCTGCTGTATGCCGGGTGGATGGTGCGACCGATTATGGATGAACTGTCGGGGTCATCGACCCACTTTAGCTCAAATTCGTCAGCAAAGGCGTGGATGGCAACCTCATCCCGATGAACAGTACTAGCACCTTTCTCTCTCTCGCTTTTTCTCCCCCACTCTTCTCTTCCACTGCGTAGCATCTATTGCTGACCAGTTTTTTATCCGATCCCCGTCCCTTTACTCCGACTGTATTCTTATCCATACACATATACACATGTATGTACATTGTCAAATTCTGTAAATGAATATTGTATTTTATTGCGCATCCAAATATATTTATTTGTTCAATACAATGGTCTTGTATCCGGTCCCGTCTCTTTCATGCACCCGCATCCTAACGTAATGTCTAACCGACATTTGAAAAAACAAACATGTGTATGAGTCTAGAAGACCGCCCCCGCTTAATTTTCAATAGTTGAAGCCACTGCGCAAGCCTGGACTATGGTAATCGAAGCAAGAAAGACATTGTGCATCGACAACTTTCAATGCACTCTTGCGTTTTTGCCTATATTTAACAGAAGCTCATGAAATACATTGATAAATTCGGATAAAGCCCGAGATAATCTCGACACAGCTTTTTTTCAGGTAATTGACATACAAAGGTCCCGCGATGGTGGACTGATGAAATCCCCGCCATTTTCTCGTCTGGATTGACAAGTTGTACACGATGCAGACAAATGCATATATAGCATAAGTCTAAAATATAAACGATGGTTATCCACGTCCCATTCCATCAAATATAGAATAGCCAGTGATCCACTTTGAATTCAGTCGCATACAAACCCAATTTTCTTCCTCCAGTCAGCATGTGCATTGACATTTCTATCTGCATGGTTACATAAAATTCCTACGTATTGGAACCGTTCAAATGTTCACAATTTTATAACTTTCGTGGGTAACTGCAAAATTTGATAATAGCGCTTAATGTTGAGCGTGCCAGCAATTACTTCTATAAATTTGGACGAAGCTTTTAATTTATCAAAGAAATCAGAATAAAAAGTAGGGGCAGAATATGAAAACAAAGATGTCTTTTAAAAGGCACATAAGCGGTGGCAGAGGTCATGCAACAACTGTCAGATTACGTGATTTGTCGTGGGCTGAGGGACTGTCTTTTGGATTGAGTGGACAAGAAATCCTGCAGCTGCGTTTGTAATTTTTTTCTCGGAACATACAGAGTTCCGATTTGTTGTCTTGGTTTTCTCGTCAAAATGAGGCAAATGAACCAAGTCAAGAGATCACTCAATCATTTTTCCGATTTGTTGCAATGGTGATTGTTGTGTATGAAGAAGTTTTAAACTATCTATTCAGGCAATATGAAGGAAGATATTCTTGCGTTTTTTTTTCTTCCTTTTCTTTTGCACATCCAAGGTTATTTTTGCTGTTAAGCTGAATGTACGGCCATCCAAAAGACCAAACGGGGTCATCGAGCAAAAACCGTCGCAAGTCACCGTCTCTGCAAGATACCGAGGACTATTTCGCGCGACTGTTAGCCGCCGAGGACCAAAGTATTGTTAGCATCAACGACGTCGACCGATTCGATTACTCGCTTTATTCGACATCCATCAATACTCAGTTTTCCACATCCGGCAGCGACATCTCTTCCGAGACTACCAGCGACACCCCTTCCAAGCCATCCTCTCATCATCAGCCTCCATTCCAGCATTACCAGAACCCATATCAACGCTCTCTGTACCAGCAAGCACCACAAACCGCACCACAACAGCAACATGCAAATACTTTTCTTGTGAACTGTCCTCAGCCCGACGATCTGTCTTCTCCCGCCGCAACACGCGTCCTGTATGACATGGAATCCCTCCAAGATCGATACTCAGTACAATTGCAACACCGTCTGGAGAAACTCGGTGATAATCCCATGCTGTTTGATTCATCCGATCCTTCCTATGCAGGTTTCATTTCTGGCGATGACAGCAAACCAATGTATGGAACACTTGACCAAACTGAAGATATGTACCAGAGCGATCCGTTTCAGATGACCACGCCAGTAGGTTTGGCGTTGCAGTCATTTATGGCAGCAAATGATGTGAATGGATGCAATGTGAATCTCTGGCAGCCCGCATACTCATCAAGCAGTGACAGTGTGGCGCCATCGATCCTGCAACAACCAACCACAGATCATCACGCGTCCATCACAGGATATATGCCAGGAAGTGCCGTGAATCACCTAAATTATATGGGATATCGTGGGTTACCTTCAGCGTATGCTATTTCTTCCAAGAAAACCGAAAATGAGGGCGGCGTCTATGTACGAAAGGCATGCGTTGCATGTAAAGCGAGCCACGTGGCCTGCGATGTGCAACGTCCTTGTGCGCGTTGCGTACGACTAAACAAGGCGGACACATGCCAAGATGCGGAAAGAAAAAAGCGTGGTCGACCGTGCGGTTCTACCAAGAAAAAGCCTGGGAATGATCAGAAAGAAAAAGGTCCCAGGCATAAAATGCAAAGATGTTGATCTTTCGAACAAAAGAAAAGAAAAACGAATAAACAAAAAACCTAATAGAAGAAAATATGATACTGTTTATAACGAAAATGACAATAATATAGCAAGAATTTTACCATTACATAGTAAAAAAAAAAAAAGAAAAGATATGGGGTACATAACCATCTAGCAGGAGAGAGATCTAAAGAATCAGAAGCAAGAGCAAGTAAAATCCAAGCCCAACCACAGCAATATCGAATACATCCTTCAAAAATCCGTTCATGATGCGCTTGAGGGCTTCGATCCGTGATACTTTGGGCCGATTAAACAACGCTTGCGAGATCGATAATTCTTCAGTGTCCTGGGAGTACATCTTTCTCTGACTTGCCGTGGATAATAGCCTGTTACGGTATAACTGCGTGCTCAAAAGGGTGATGAGGGTGAATCCCAATAAGCAGCCGTACGCGATGAAAATGTTGACTTGATCGGGGAACCAGCACACCTTGATGCCTGGTTCGCTGGAAGAAAGGTCCAAAAGCATGACACCCGGGTATCTTAAACCCTGAGCCATACTGAATGTTGGAACGGTGTATTCTGTCACTCCAGGCCGGTGAGTGACAGCGCAGTAATCATGATCATCGCCTGAAAAGATGGCTTTTGGGTTGATGTGGTCCAACAACTGCTTGGATAACTCGGGTGATAGTAAATTCTGGTATTGGTACCCTTGTCCATCTCGGATCCCGCCCGGTCGACTCTGCCATCGATCAGGGCCACAATAAGTGCCCTCTGGGCGATAAAGCGGAACGTGGGTCATCAAAATGCGAGGTAAAGGTGGAAGAGAAGAGGTCATGACATCCAAGGCGTCCTGGTATACGTTGGGATCCGAACTGCTAAGCGATACGGTATCAATGACAACAAGGACATAATTGGTCATATTCACAAAGTAGGAAGTAGGACCGAATGCGCTGATAAAGCGGCGTTTAACATCGGGGCGGATCCCATTGCCAAATCCAATATCGTGATTTCCCACCATATAATAGGTCGGGGCCTGTGAGTTGAATAGACGGAAAAACCGGTCCACTTCCTTTTGCCATCTGCAGAAAGAATTGAAAAATCGTTTATCACCGCAATTGCATTTTTCATATGGGTCATCAACAGATAAACTACCCTTCGTCTTTCCATTCACGACCGCCGTCCATTAAATCGCCCATCATCATGACCGCCTGCGGTTGAAGTTGGTTGAGCAGTAAATGATAATTGCGTCGCATATATCGGTCGCTGTAAAACTCGGATAGTCGGAGCAGAACTCCTTCACGAGGATAGGAGAAAGCGTCTGTTATTTGCGGATCACCAATCAGCATCATTCTGTCAACCGGCTATATTCATTTCGAAGCATCAGCGGCCGCCTGAATTGCAATTGCAGATTCTACCATGAGGGCGGGTGGACTCACTTGTTGTGCCATGGCTTGGTGAGGTGAATGGGTAGGCCAAGGACTGCAGCGTCGTGCAGCGAACCAGAAAACCAAAAACTCGCCTTGCAATAGAGCAAGCACCCATATCAGTCGAAAAATAGGAACAAGGCGCCTGCCATTCCTTGAAGATAAAAAGTTGGTTTTGGGAACACCAACAGGAAACATGAAAAAAAGAGAGCAACGTTGTCCGACAGATGTCCAATTTCCCTTCGGAGCTTATGAACATTGGAAAATTAAGCTTTTGGCAAGCCGACGAAAAATTAGTGTAGCATCATTCACCCTCTGAGCAACTGCAATTCCCCAAGGAACTACTTTCTAAATACGTGCCGAAGGCATACGAGTACAGGGTTATTTCTCCCAACGAATGTACCTATTTGAAAAGCTTGCAGTATTTTGGCTCGACAATGGAACAAATCTATTACTGTCACTGATGAACTTTTGTAAAAAGATCATTTTCTCGAATGTGGTGTAGCCTTCTTTTCTCTGCTGGCTACATTCAGCCGCTGCATTTTATGACCTGTAATTGTTCTCTTTGGTATAGGCTTAATTTATACTTTTCTATAAACGGCATTTTAATCAAAAGTGTGTCGTTGTGGGTGAAAAATGGAATATGATGGCGGAAATCAATTTATTCATGCGTTCGTTATTCGTCTGATGTACAGTTTTATGGCTTCAGCAAAACCAACTTGTCATCTGAGCATTAAAACTATAGTTTGAAGCGTTATTAACCGATGGCTCATTGTTTGGCATGGGGTTGTCTTGCGTGCATCCAGGATCAAACCTGTGAAAGCCGGTACGGTAGATTTCAGTCTCCGACCAACTGCCCCATCCCATTAAGAAGGAAATCGGGTTTGTCTCGCTTTTCTCGTCATTGCTTTGTTCCAATGAAGTACTGGGCCGTTGCCTGCTTCTTATGCTTCTTTGCGATACATGCCATCGCTTTAAATCAAGCTCCCTTTTCTTCGCAAAAAAACAGTCATCCCAACGAAATTGACCAATTTCTTACTCTCAAAACCGTCTACGAGCCAGCACAACGCCCATTACTCTTTCGACGACTCGATCTCACTTCCGATGTCACAGCAAAAGGTCAAAGCGAACACTACCCCGTCCGATTCGCAGTGAATCAAGTCCCAAAACCTTCGGAGCTTGCCTTGGAACAACTCGATAGTCTTCGAAAAACTGGAGCTCTGGTTCGCTGGCAAGCTATTGCTCCATTTCAGCCAAATACACTGGATTCGCTTCACTGGGGTCTCGTGCCCGATGTATCTCACCGCCCGTCGGTACTGGCGCTGGCAATGATGACATACAATGCATATAACCCCGTAGGCGGAGGCGTCAACCACGACTGGTACGAACTTGAACCTCCATGGAAAGTCGTAAGCATCCAAAAAAAAAAAGCTCGGTGAATGCGAAGTTGGACAAGAAATTCTCACAGCAACAAAAATGAATAGAATTCCTCGTTTGGATGGCATGCCGACGGTATCCGGGGACACGTCTTTGGCAATGCTGATAATTCCTTACTGGTGATCAGCATCAAAGGCACCAGTGCAGGACTTTTCACTGGCGGGCCCACCGGCGAGAAAGATAAATTGAATGTAAAATGCAGATCGAGGGTTGCGTTGACGCGTGTACAATCCCTTATATTAATTCGTCTACTTGAGATAGGATAACATTCTATTTTCTTGCTGTTGCGGACATATCAGTCGAGGCTGGAAATCGGTTTGTGATTGCTATGATCCAAGTACCAGCTATCAATGCGAGAGCAGCTGCATAGAAAAAAGTATTCTGAAACACGAACAGTATTACGATCATGCCCTGGTATGTATACATTAGCAACATGTGCAATCATTCTGTTGACCCCTGGTTACGGATTTTTTTTGTCAAGATGCTAAATGTGCATGGATAGGAAATTTTCAGGGATGTCAGTGATCAGTACCCTAATGCTACTATTTGGATGACAGGTCATTCACTGGGGGGAGCACTGGCGAGCATGGTAGGTCAAACCTACGGTATACCTACCGTAACCTTTGAAAGTCCAGGCGATCAACTGGCATCCACACGCTTGCATTTACCGCGTCCTCCTGGCATCGGTCATTTACCGATATGGCATTTTGGTCATACAGCAGACCCTATTTTTATCGGTGTGTGCACAGTAAGTAACAAATGCACTTTAATTGTTTTGATGAGCATCAAACAAATCTCAACCGCATCACAAAATACAGGGTCCAATGAGTAGCTGCTGGTACGGTGGATTTGCAATGGAGACGCGATGTCATACGGGCAAGGTAAAAGCTCATTTGTGCAGTAGATTTGTACCATGGGTTTTTCATGCTAATAACACAACCCTAGGTCTGTGTATGGGATACCGTGAATGATCATGGTTGGCGCGTCGATATTCGATCGCATCGTGTTGCTGATGTGATTGAAAATATCCTTAAAAAGCCGGATGAGTTTCCCTTACCACAGTGCGAGGTTGAAACTGACTGCCAGGACTGTGGTCTTTGGAACTTTGTAGATCAAAGGGATGAATAGACTCCTTAGCTTCTTCTGTACAATAATCACTCGAGTAAATTTTTGTTTAATTCTTTGTACCCATAAAAATAATCTCATCTTTTTTTTTCAACAAGTCAGAAAGCGGTTCTTTTATCTTGGAAGAAAAAGAAGTGCTCCTTTTCTTTCAGATCCAATCAGTGAACACCTTTTTGCATTCATTCCGGCTCGGAACAATTGCAATCCTGCCAGATCAAAAATTCATTGACAATTTTGGTGTCACGGGAAATAGCACCCTTTTTAATTTCAAGGTCTTTTTTTTTTTTTTTTTACCTTTCTTTTACATCGTACCGAACCAAAAAAAATTCAACCCTGTTTTCCCACCCTTATTTCCTTGTATTCCCCTTCATACCCCGTTGATGGCTCAGCTTTCAGGAACCGTGAAAAACGACTATTTTTCAGACGCAGAAGATTCAGACAGAGATCAGCTTTCGGACGACGAAGGATTCGCACTCCACGATTACGACCTCGATGTAGTCGACGATGCTATTATTAACGCTCATAATTCCGAATTCCTTGATCACTTTGGGTTCAAAATTCAAGTAAAGACAGATGACGAGGAATCCGATGACTCGAGCGGTTCTGATTTGGATTCAGACGACGAGCAGCCGACCAGTACCGCAGACGCCACTTCCGTTCATGGCTTTAGCACCGACGAAAATGAAGAGAGACCCACCGTGGCCAAATCAAGCAACAACGCTAGTCGCGAACGTCAACATCATCGTCATTCCAGCGGGTCTTCGGTCCATCATAAATCGTTGTTCTCACCGTCAGCGTCCAGTGATGACGACGGCCACTCCATCGATACCGCCATGACCACTCCCACTGCCCACAAGCAACATCATCTGTCACTCACTTCCGTTGAACCCCTACCTTTTGAACGATCACCAAGCAACGCTATTCCAGCGGTACCACCGTCGTCCAACGACACGGTGACCACCAAAAGTCGTCGTGGACGATCCATGACAGTGTCTAGACCTTCTGACACCATTCCCACCCTGAACCAACCACCTTTAACTACGATGCATGAGGATAACGTTATTTCTTCGCAGCAGGACGTCCCTACTTCAACTCGAAGAGCGCGCGCTGCGACCGTTTCACGACCATCTTTGCCGAACCATTCTTATGGTAAATCGGGTTTGACCGATCAGCCTTCCATACCAGATACCGTTGCCGAGGATCCTGACAGCAACAGACAATCTTCCGATACCCTTTCGTCCAATTCTGTCAAGCAATCCTTTGACGTCAGTTCAAATCATGCGCGAAGCCCAAGTCAATCCAGCGGGATTTCCCTTTCCAACATGAACCCCTTCAAGCGTTCATCATCCCCATCGCCTTCGATCGCGTCCCAATCCTCAGGAACGTATACTGTCCCTACCAAGGTTACACGACCTTCCCAAGCTTATCGCGAACGTCAGAGTAAACGCATGTCTGAGTTCTCTAACGTCAACACCACCAGTTATTATGCCATGCTTTTATCCAAATTTCGCCCATCGTTGTCCGACGATCATGCACCTGATTCTGCAAAACATGCTGCGCTCAAGTCTCAGGCACTCGAACAAATCAACATCCTCAGACGAACCGAACCACAAGCTTACGATTACGGTAACGTGATGTGTTCAATCGTTATACCCTTTCGCTAATCTCTAACCGTGACCGGAACTTTTTTCTTTCCTTCATACAGATTTCTGGGAAACAGCTGTTACTGATTTTGATAAAGTGGTGCGAACGCAGCATGCCGCGCTAAGACATCATCTGATGGTCGGTATACCACCTTCCATGCGTGGCATGCTCTGGCAAATCTTCTCCAGGGCACACAACAATGGAGATATCCAAGTGGAGTACAAGGCATTACAGAGTCGCACCAGTCCACATGAGAAACTTATCCGACGTGATCTGGCTCGTACATTCCCCACACATGAATTTTTCCGCGAACAACATGGAGAAGGCCAAGAAGCGCTCTTCAAAGTGATGAAAGCTTACGGTATATTTGATCAAGAAGTCGGGTATTGTCAAGGGCTTCCTTTCGTTGTTGGCTGTTTACTATTGCATGTAAGTACGCAGCGATTCTCCTGTGGAGAGTGTCCCTTTGTTCTTATGTAACCGCTTTTGTCAATTAGATGCCAGATGATGCCGCGTTTTGCGTCCTCGTAAAGTTAATGAGTCATTATGGGCTACGCGGTCTTTACACGTCGCAGATGGAATTATTGCTGGAACGACTGTATCAATTTGATCATCTCTTGCAGCAAAAGTTGCCGGAAGTCCATAGTCATTTGGAGCGACAAGAAATTAAGCCTTCCATGTACGCATCGCAATGGTTTATGACCTTTTTCGCCTATCGCTGTCCTCTTCCGCTGGTGTATCGCGTGCTGGATCTCGTCTTTGTCGAAGGCTTACAAGTAGTACTGCAATTTGCGCTAGCATTGATGCAGAGAAATCAAAATGCTATTCTAAAACTCGACTTTGAAGCTATTCTCAAGTTCTTTAGCGAAAATGTGTATGATGTCTACAAGGTAAAGAAAAACCCTTATATAACTCATATGTACATTTATTGATCCTGTCGCTTTTTAGGATGATACGAATGCATTTGTAAGAGATGCATACGAAATTGATATTTCCCCTCGACTTTTGGCCCGTCTATCGAAGCAACATGCCGCCGAAATTGCACGGGAAGCCAAACGTCAGTCGCAAGAAGAAAACTTGCGACAGATTAATGCACAGCTGGGACAACAAGTGGAGCAGATCGAAAACAAGTACAAGACGCTGGAAATGGAGCATCAAGAAATGACGCGTCAGGCAGTGGAAACGAAAATGAACATGGCGCGAATGAATGACGAGAATCAGGAATTGCGACGCCAGCTTGGACAAATGCGACACGAGTTTGAGGAACTTAAACTGACCATGGAACGGAACTTTAAACAGCAAATGGATGAGATGGACCGTAAAAATACCGACTTGACTCGTCGTAACCAATCTTTGGAACAACAATTAGCAGAAACGGAAGCCATGCTGATCAACTTTAAAGTAGAGTATGCTCAACGGGAAAGTGATTACGAACAAGTGCGAAAACAATGGCATACTTTACAACATCGGACGTCAACAGAATAGAATATTCTGTGATTCTTCGTGCGGTTTTCTTTCTTCCTCCTCCCCCCCCCCCCCTCTCTTTTTTCCATTAATGGCTGTCGATCTTTCTCTATTGCCACTTATCCCTCCTTTGTATATAGTATATCCTATATGAGTCGATCGTGTTCTTTCAAGTTGACGGAAAAAATAAATTAAAAAAATGAATTCAATTATTTTCGATCACTTGGAAACATAGCAGCATATTATGTAGACGATTTCCATACCATCTTTTTCTCGGGCAACGCATCTTCAATTGTGTTTTACTGTAATTGTTTCTATTCATCTTACTTGTGGTCCTGAGTATATAGTTTTTTCTTAATTCTTGAGGTCCATCCTTCGACATGGTCCGCAGAGTGCCGGACTCAGTCCAAGAGCCAATATATTGGAGCGAGGTAGCAATAAAATTTATGTACACGATTGCGAAAACTATTACAGATACAAAGGGAGCTGGGTAGTGGGTAGGTGAGGTCTTGTTTCCTTAGATATTGTCTCGCTTGATAGTCTGCATTGCGTATCCTAGCACCTCCAGGGGCATGCCAGTGCCTTTCAGGTGGATGGAGGTCAAGCTCGTTTTTCGGCGATCGATCAAATGCTTCAAACCGGCTTCGGTGATGGATCCACAATGTGATATATCTACATGTCGCAGGTGCTCACATTCACTGAGCTCCTGCAACACGACATCGGTGACGGACGATAAACCAGATAAATTGACATGCTGAAGATGGGGACTAGCAGAAATGAGGTTTCGTAGACCTTGAGTTGATATGCCAAAACAATCACTTAGGCACAGTCTCTTGAGCTTAGGAAGATTTGTGGAGCGCACACTGACAAAGGCCTCGTCGGTTAAGTAAGGGCTTCCTTCCACATCCAGGATCTGGAGCGTCTGGTTTGACTGGTACAACATGATATAGAGTACAGAATCTGTCAAGATTTTTGATCTTCTGATGGAAATCTCATGCCATCCTTGTTTTCGGTTAAACAATAATGTGCTGTGAGGAGAAACTGTAGGCGTGCGCAATCCTATTTCCAGTTGACCGTACTGAACCTGCTGGCAAAACCGATTCCGTTGATAAAACAGTCGTTGAAGGCTGGGACAGCAATAGCAGAGAATATTAACGACCGGGGTAATGTTCACCAAGCAGTGGCGTAGCTGAAGATGAACGAGGTGAGGACAGCGACAAAGGATGATGGCTAGATGGCTCGCTGTTAGGCCATGGATGCTGGAAAGTACGAGCGTAGTAATAGAAAATGGTTTGAGGGTAGCGACAAATTGGAAGAACTGATCGGAAAAAAATGAGCCTGGAAATTCGAGCCGTTGCAAAGCTTGATCATCAATGTGCGTGTAAGTTCCAAGCGCCGTAAAACAGTCGTGCACGTCGAGATAGGTTAGCTTTGGACAACTCTTTGCAACTTGCTCCATCACATCGTGGAGTTTAAGCGTAATACCGCCCCATCGTAATTTCCGCAACGTGGACCCCACAGAATCAAGCAAGGTAAGAAACAGATCGGATGTACAGGTCACTTCTGACATATCTAAACAAAAAAATCCAAGTCTTAATGCAGCCCACTTCATAGTCACATTACGCATATTTTTATGTTCATATTATACGCTGCTGTCAATATTATACAATTTGCTTACCTAGCGTATGCAAGTGGCTGCAACCGTGCATCAGTAGAGTGCTCAGGATCCGGTCTCCATTTATGTGCTCACTGTACAGTCTAAAACTGGACAAAGAAGTGGTATGCAGGCGAGAGAGGTACCCGTGCAAGGTGGACGGATTGACGCTTCCATTTTTACTCATAAAATCGAGGTTGCGCCACAAATGGGGGTTGCTGGTAAGATACCTTCTCCAGCGACGGGAGACGCGGGTACATCGTGCCAGGCACTTGAAGGGAATTCGGGAAAATATTTCGTGAAGTACATCGTTTGTCAGCCTCTTCATCATATCGACCTTTTGACCCATCGGCTTAGGTTGATTCATGCCGTGCCAAGCAATGCGCTCGCGAAAATATATCTCCTGAAATAAATGGTGGGTCTCAGGGATCACTTGCAGCGCCGAGTGAAGAATTTCCCATGCTGCATGATAGTTTCGGCTACTCAGGTGGATATTGCTCGCTATAATGTACCACAGTCCAGCGTTCGGATTGATCTGAAGCATGATTTGACACCGAGTCAAAGCTTGATGGGAATAGCCAAGGTTCTCCAGGCACCGGACCTGGTACAGAATGAGAATTTCTGTGTCAGGATGATCCATATCTTCCTTCAATCCTGTGAATAATCTGTAGGCCTCATGGTACCGGCCATTCACATATAAGTCTTTGCCAGCATCGATCAAGTCTCGCCAGTCTTGCTGCCGACCCTTGACAGCATGAAAACTAATCCACACATACAGAGAGAAAGGGGGTTTAATATCCGGGGTTCGTATGCAAATCACAAGCATATAGTTACGGGATTACTTGACGAAATAAGTTGACAGTGCGATGAAGCTGAACATTTTTATTTTGTTACACACAGTGAGAGGATGAGGTGAAGTAACAGCGGAAGAAAAAAGACATAATATTATGGTTGGAAGCTGGAGCATATTTGAGCTTCATACTAAGCATAAAGTTAAGTTCATTGTTCCGGGGGGAGGGAGAGGAGGAGGGGGGCGGGGAGAGGCGCTTTGCAGGAAATTTCAAGCATTCCTTGCACTTCCGAAAACCGCATCGTTCATTTCAGATCTCTACGGCGGACATTTCAAGAATGGAAGCAACTCCAGGTTTGCCTTTATTGAACAAAATTGGAAAGTGTAGCGTAGCCTGAACATGACCTATGATGAAAGATGAGACAGGAAGACATGCTATTTTTGAACTGGAAAACGATGCTTGAATGAACAAAAAAAAATGTAATAATTTGTTGATGCTAAATATGTATATGCGTCAGAAAAAAAGAGAACAACAGTTTGAAGAAACTTTTTTCAATGAAAAAAAGTAGTATAGGATCGCTTGTTTGAAGTGAATGGACTCGTTACTTTTTGTGAAGAAGGAAGAGGTTTTATCTTTTGGGGATGATTCCGATATGCCATGATTTTCGTTGCAGTAAGGCTTGACGATGATGGTCATACAGCGTTCGTGGATGAAGACACCACACACGTTTATGCTGCTTGATGGTCGACACCGCACGCTCATTTTCGTCATCCACGAACCGGTGTCGTTCGTTGATAATCACATCTGGAAAAATGGCTCCAAATTCTTCCTCGCCTTCATCCATATCATGTTCGCCAACAATAATGGTTACCAATGAGTGACACCAACGCAGCATTAACCATAGTCCTTCGGCCTTGACCGTAGGCGCAACGAGATACCGTAGCCGCGGGCATTTCGACACGATCAGTTCGGCCGTTGTTGCGGTCAAGACATCGTAATGATTTAATGTAAGCGATAAGAGGTCCGCGCCAAACGTGGGTAAAATCGCATTTCGAAGTGCACCAGGATGGTGGAAATAGTGGGAGATGTGGGTTAAAGTGCCTGGTGCCGGTGTTCGTGCCGTCACTGCCGTGGTTGCGGTCCCTGGATTGGATGAATTGGGGAAAACGAAATAGGACGAACAGCAAGATAACGAAGCGATCGCATGCTGGGATAATTCTATTGTGTGATCTGTTGAAAGGTTTGTCAGCATGAAGCATGCAGAAGAACGCAGTATGGGTAAAATATTATGCAGTTGTTTCGGCATCATGCTCGATTGCAGGAACGTTAAATTGGGGCATAATTGGGCAATGTGTATAAAAAATGCGTCGGAGTGCAGTGGAAGATTGGGCAGCTTCATCATTTCCAAAGAGCGTCCATGCTTTTGGCAGAACTGAATAATCTCTTGGGGCGCAACGGTATCAGGAAAAATCGCTTTATGGTATACCCTCTGACACACGAGCTGATAAGTGTATCTGTTGACGAACAGGAACGATTTCAGATGCTCTTGATCAATGAACAGTGCAATTTGCATGAGGAGCTCATTGGGAAAAACAGGTTGACTGCTTTGCCTTGACATGACCATGGTGCTATTTGGCCGGTTGGCAGTTGCGTTGAGGGCTTTTTTTTTTTCTCGTGGGTGCTATGGATAGAAAATAGGGAACCCAATAGCGCAGCACGTGGTCAGCGGAAAGACAAAAAAAAAAAAAAAGAAAAAAACAGGAATGACGACGGCAATGGCAATGGTAACGGTAGTTGTCTGAGTGAGGACCGGTTTGAATGGGGGAAGGGGATAGGAAGAAGGGACGACAAAGAAGTATTTAAAAACAGCAAGGAAGAAATTAGTTATTTTTCAATCTCTCTCTTTTTTATGAACTTTTTAATCGCTTCCTTTCACCAAGCATTGGGTTTGGCTGAGACCAGTAAAAGCCCCTCATTCTGTCTTGGTTTTTGTTTTTGGTAACATCGCACACTTGAGGTTAAGAGTGTAAAGGTTTATCTGAAAACAGTGCTAAACCAGGCAAAAAAGCACGAGCATTTTACAAAAGACATGCTATCATCCAATCCTTCCTTTTTGGGATATCTTCATGGTTCCGATCGGAGATATCCTGACATGCATTGTCCTGCACGCTGCCCTATAATCATAAAAGCCATCCTATACATCTCAAGACTTCGATGCTTGTCGATCTGTTTTTATGCTCGCGAAAAAAGAAGCATTGACTTTTGGTTATGCGTGATTAACTCTGATATCCACATTTTGATAACATAATCATGTCGTCATGTTCGTTTGGCAAAAATCGGATTAGACTGTGGTGGAAATATCATGGCATACCTTTGCCGATAGAAATTTACCACCATAAAGTACGCTGCTGTGCACCAAATCAAGTATTGTCCAGTTTTTATATTTTTTTTTTAAAAAAAAAGTATGCTAGAGAGACCCTTGCAATACTTGAACAAATTCTACAATGTACTATGTTAAAAAAATCTTTAGTCAAGCTTTTATGAATGAAAAATGCTCGCACAATACCTTGCCATAAATAAGAATTGTGGATCCTCTTGAGCGAGAGGTCCTTCGTAATATATCAAATATAAAGACCGCGACTTTGCACGGTACCGGAAGCATCATTTTGGGGCGACTTTTTGCACGAAATGAACAGGGAGATATTTGCAGGAGGCCAACATGTATTGAACTTACAACACTTTGGGAGCAACTGGCAATGAAAGGAAAAATAACCAAAATTTAGGAACATGTATACCATCTATCAGCCGCTCAACTGTTAAAAGCTTTTTTTTATATGGCTACTGGCGGTTAAACTAGTGAAATAGCCTTTTCTTTGACAGAATCATTTTCTACAAATGAGGAACCCGCTTGATCACTTTCGACCTATCTAAAGGTTTATCGAGGCCTAAAAGGCACAGGGACAGGAAAGAAAGATCATCATAAAATAATGTCATGTAAGTACTCGCCATTATTTATCTGTGCATTTAGCACAAAAAAAAAGTTATCGAGGTGCCGTTGTCACCAATGCAGGTCAGACCCAAATTGCAGTATATAGTATCATAAATTCTTTGAAGCGCGACGGCTTTCGATACAATAAGAGACACATGAGGTGGACTCCGCCAACGCTCTCAGAGGTGCGTTGTTTCAAATAATCAAAGTCACGCTACGGCGTCGGTTAAGTGGGTTGTGATCGCAAATCGACTTTTCTTTCTGGTCCCCATTTCCTCATTTATCTGTGTGAGATTGAAAAAAAAAATATAAAATATGAGTGAGTATTATAAAAACATACAATAATAATATACGCACCAACCATCCAACTTTACTTTTTTTCTGTGTTTCGTTCGGCTTATACTTTTTGGCAATAGATAATCTTCCGGAAAACCTTCACTTTGGTTTACCTTATGCCGACTTCTCACCAACTACATCCCTCCATGATGCCGTCCTACACAGTCCCCAACTACAACACACCGCCCACCTCGGGGACCAGTTCCAAACCTTGTCGCCGTCTTATGCTCCTTTCCCCATTCTGCAGGCCACTATGCAGCCGCCCCAACTGCATCAACCCACCGTAGATCTTACCAAAGACCTCACTCCTCCCAAACCCAAACCCGCCAAAAAGAATCGAAACGACGGCATGCCAGCGCCCATGCGAGTTACTCGACCTCCCAATGCCTTTCTTCTCTTCAACAAAGAAATGAGAAAGAAACTGAAAGAACAGAATCCTTCCATGAAAGTAGCAGAAATCAGTAAAGAGATTGGCGAAAGATGGAAAACACTGAGTCAGGTAAGAAACAATTTCAATTTTTCGGCTCAACTGTTCCGCTTGTTGGATTTTCTTTTCTTTTCTTTGATCTGACTCATTTTTCAAACATAGGCTGACAAAGATCGTTATGTCAATGAAGCCAACAAAATCAAGGAGACCCAGCGAGCGTTGCATCCTAATTCAATGTATATCCGAAGGTCAAAAGCCGAGCTAGCCAAAGCTGGACATTATTCCAAATCCAAAAACAAGGCAGACGATAACCCGTCCGATATCTTTGCCGACAATAACCTTGTACAGTTCCTCAATATCCCAAATACACCCATGCGCCATACATCGTCTCAAACTCAACGCCGAAAACATCGCCGAGATAAGAATCCCGCCGCCCCCAAACATCCTTTATCGGCCTACATGTGGTACCTTACCGAAGTTCGCCCTGATACCATGCGCACTTATCCCGGCTCCACTGTGGGCCAGATCAGCAAACTGTGTGCTGAGCGATGGAATACCATGACCCCAGCGGAACAGTTACCGTGGAAAACAAAAGCTCAAGCCGACAAGGCCCGATACGCAAGAGAAATGCAAATTTATGCTGCTCAAAATGATCATCCCATGGGTCGTGGCACGCGACAAAAATATCGATCAGTATCAGCCGCCGCCGCTGCCGCCGAAGCAGCCGCATTAATCGATCCCCTTGAAGACTCTACTAGCCTGTTTATAACCGATGCAAAAGAACAAGGATGTTGATTGCTTGCTTGCAGTTGGGTTATTTTTTTTCTTTGGAAAGAACTGTGCTTACTTTCCAAATATTGTTACTTCATTGATTAGTTATATTATCGATGATGCATCTTTGTCGTCTATCTAGGAGGAGTGGGCATGGCGCCTGGAGAAAAGGCAGATGATTGATACATGACCTGGGATAAAGGACTGGGTGAAATCATGTTGGCACCCGAATTGCGACGAACTTGCTGCTGCGTCAAGTAAGGCACGGCACTGTTCATGAAACTGGGTTGGGGTTGGGATGACGGTTGCTGCGCAAAGGATGGAGATGGAACCGGCCCTGCAGGAGAGTGGGTGGTGGTGGTGGTGGTGTTGGATCGAGGTGGAATAGGTCCGACATCAATGAGTCGCCATCGTTCTTTTTGATATGTCGGTGTGATATTGGCATATGGTGGTAAAGGTTCGATTTTGTCCGTGGTTGGGAACGCAAAGATTTTGTTGGGTGGAAGATTGCCTCTGTAAGCAGTCTCCAGTAACGGTAATCGCTCCATAGCCGATTGGATCTCGTCCGGCGTAATAAGATCTTTGGGTGGAACCTTGGCCATCAGCTCCGAAATCTTGGATTGCAACACTTTAGCTAGAACAATTATCATGAGCATCAGGTTAAGAGCTTGTCGTTCTAACTTGCCCGTCACAAACAAATATCAAACACTTACCGGTCTCCAATTCTGTGTCATCAATGTTCGTCCATTGAACATCTCCCAAACTGAATCGATGTTCTTGTCTTTGCAATAGCTGTCTTAAAAGTTGATTGTTTCTTTCCAATATCGCTTCAACGTTTGCAGGATCAGGCACAATCACGTCATCCACTTTGGCTGATTTTCCCTCAGCAACATGAAGAATGGTGTCGACATCAAGATCCTGCTGCTTGAGCCACGCCGTGTCGAGTTCACCATTAGCGTCACCTTCTTTATCGCTATTTGGGCTGTCATTACTGTGAGGTGTCGATGTCGTTGGCGACGCGTGTTTCGGTAAAAGAGGTAATTTTCCTTGCTTTTGCAGATTACGTTGCTTTCGTTCCCACTTTTTAAATCGTTTTGCTGCGCGTCCCATGTAAGTGCTTTCATAAGAGACATTGGCATTGCGCGAATCGCAGGCAGGGGCAAAGCTTGAAAAAGCGCCATAGTCCAACCATTGTACTAAAGAATATATCAAATCCATGAGTTTTGCTCTTCTGTCATACGAAGATTATAGATCCGAATTCAAAGAATTGACCGTTTTCTAAGCTTACTTCCAATCACAGGTTTATCTTCATGTTTGAATGTCTTTGGCGGGAATCGAGGCGGTAAAGCGACTGTACTCCTTAGTGTTGGGACCTCGTACATGTCAGCGGGTGTAGAATGAATCAACATTTCTTCAACATTGGCAGCTAGATCGATATTGCCATTAGTATCACTCGTATTGGTACCACTCGTCAAAGAAACAATCGATGAGATGGAGAAACGTACGTAAGATTTGGGCGTGATTCTCGGTATCGTTTGCGCATATGGTGGCATCCGTAAATACAAAGCCGTCGGGGGTTGATCGGAAAAGCGCTTTCCTAGGCGCTATGGATTCATCATATTTGATTTGATCGGCATCATCGTCGCCGGTTTGGCTCAATTTCCGTTTCATACGTCGCGTCTCTAATTGAAGCGTCGATACGGCGTAGCGGTACAGTTGCTCCACGTAAGCAATCTTTGTACGATCCAGCCGGAAGCCTTGTACAGCAGAGATGAATACCTGATCCAACTCGTTCTATTCCAAATGAAATGATGAGATACGACGTAGCATGTTATATAAGATTCGGTGTGTATTACTTTGAACTCGCTGACATTGGCATATTTGTCTGCTTCCAGATTAGATCGTAGGTCGTTTAAAGTGATGGCATTGGCTGTTTGCAGTGATTCCTCTTTATCCGTTCTATAGATAAATGTATAAGAGGGAATGATATTCACCATGCGCACTTGGAAAAACGACATGTTACCGTTGAAGAATATGGATAAATTGAAGCAGTAAATCCTTATATTCTGCGTTCATCTTGCTTCGTCCTTCTGATCGGTCAGGCGATTTTTTGGTGGGTGTCTTTTGCCGTGGTGCTTCATTGCCATTATTTAATGGCAGTACGTCTTCTGGACTGGAGTTGAATCTGCCGCTGCGCGTTGTACGTGTTACTGGCATGGACGTTTTGGCTCTGAAAAAAGCCCTGCCAGTGGGAAACTAAAAGATATCTCCGCCTGAGGCTCGTTCAAAGCGGCAAGTCACACCGAATGAGAACAAAAAATTCGCGTCACAACATCATCGACTTTTTGATTCTGCAAGAGCCCTTCCCCCCTTTTCTTTTTATAGTCAAGCAAAAAAAACGCACTATACTGATTTTTGTCAATTCATTAGATATAGTTGTTTTTTATACCATAAGCTTTTGGTATAGCTCACAAACTAAAGGAGGATGCTGCATTTTGTTATTTTCAGTCTCTTGTTGTTCGGCGAAGAAGAGCAAATTTGACCCTCCATAATTTCCGAATTAAAAGACGTCGCTTCTGTTTGAATAGGTTACTGTAAATTGTAACAAGACTTTTTATTATTCTTTCAAAAAAAAATAGAGGTTATGAAAATGGATCAGGATAACAAAAAAGAAAGGATGAAATGTTTTTGGAAATGACATGCATGTTCTCAAGTTCAGGCGGCATTCTCTGTTTCGGTATAGTAGTTTTCGCGCATGAATTCAAAGAAAGCGAAATGATCCGGTTGGCTGCCGTATTTGTACACAAATTGGGATGCAAGGTAGGCACCAAAGATGGCTTTCACGTAACTTTCAGGAACTCGTTTTAGCAGCGTTTCCAATCCAAGTTTCTCTAGTAACAGTCTAGGGAAGGCCTTCTTCAAAACCGCTTCACGGAGTTGAACATTCTCCCACAAGCCAGTGTGTTGCAGTTGCTCATTCAGCTGGACGATGGCCGTGGAAAGATCATCCGACAAGATCGAAATAGGCGTTTTTGTCTTTTTATGTTCGCGCCAAAGGGCGTTGAATTCCACCGCTGCGTTGCGTTCAATGATGTTCTGCACTTCCTTGACATAGGCTTCATAAAATTCCGGAATCTGGTTATCTTTGACGCACATGTGTTCTTCAAATTCGGGATCACTGAAAGCCAGGGCGGCCAATACTTCCAAAGAAGACGAGGTAACGCCACCTTTGTTGGCTGAAGCATCCTTGAATATCACAATGCCCGCCTTTTCCAACCGCAAGCGCGCTTCCTGAGTGAAGAACAGATTCGCGCCTTCCACAATATACTTGTACAAAGGATTACCGTTCTGGTTCAAAAGGCTCTGCACGTTGTTCAGGTCCACCGATTCAGGCCGGCCACCGCAAGGCACAAACACAGTCGCCGATGCCAATGGGTGGATGTGGAATGTGTTGCGGAAAGACAGCCCGTTTTCTACAATCGTGCCATCGGGAAGCGTCACGTTTTGCTCGTCGACCAGAACACGGAACCCTTGATCGGATAATTTGCTGGTGTCAAAGTTGCTGATCATGACACGTTGGTGCGCAAGTCGAGTCAATTCCTCCCGATGGATACCCTGGGGATCGTACAGCACACCGGAACCATCAACAACGGCAATGGTCTTGTCCTTGGAGATCTTGATCTCGTTGGATCCCAGATCGCCATCGGGGCCACCAGTCTGTACCTTGGTGCATTCTTCTTCATTCAGATCAAAGGTACGGTAGATGCCAAGCACGTACTGGTGCACCGATCGAGTCGTCATACCATACAGATCGTGTGGAATACCGCCCAACGACTGACTTTTACCGGTAGTGAAGGCTTTCCAGAAGCTGGCGTTACGACGACGAGCGTGTTGGGAGGCCCAATCCATGTAGTCGGCCGTGCCTTCGTCGGGCCCAAAGAATAAGATTTCAGGTTTACCCGTCAGATCCACCAAAGGTTCCTTGATCCCCGGGCTTTGACCAGCAATCAAGAGATCGAGGATGGAATCCACGTACTTTTCGAAAGCCACGACGGGTTTATCTTGCTGGCTGATATCGAGCAGAATCGTGCCCTTAGAGCCGCCTTCGGGAATGTCCTTATTTTTGCGCTGCTGGGTTGCTGCCAGAGCGTAGTTTTCATCGAAAAGCGTGCGCAAATTGATGGAATAAGCTTCAGGGTTGCGCGAGCGGATGATTCGGATACCGCCACGCGCCACATCACGGAAACGAAGATGGAAACCTCGGAATTCAGAACCAATCACGAGAAACATGCCATACAACTTGTTGGGATACTCGATCTCTGGCAGGAAACTGGGATCCAGCCGGAAGGAAAGGGCGACCTTGGTAGTCTGGTAAAAGTTGGTCTTGAGCACATGCTTGTTAAAAGTAAGGAACGCTTCAAACACAAGCTGTTCATGGCTGTTGCAAGTGACAGCTTTGATCTTTTTCAGTAACTGGTCATCCGTCAAATGTTCCACGTTGCTTAGCCGCTGGTATGAAATGGTAGGTTGCAAGGAAGCTTCACGCTGGTTGACGTAGTGCACCGTGGCAAAATTGACATAGAGCAATTTGATGAGATCGGGATACATCTTGATGATATCGAGAATGTACTCGCGAGTGAATGTATCCTGACGGAGCCGCTTTTTCATCTTGGAGAGAATTTCTTCATGGATAGGGTTGTTGCGATCCAGAATATCCATCAAGCTCGTGTACTCCTTTCCAAGTCGGTTCAAGAAATGCTGCGCAAATATCCATCCCACATAACCATACACTGTTTCTTGCACCGATAATTTGTTGGTCTTGAAAAACTGCTGAAGCGGCGTCTTTGGCAAGCAGTATAACAGTGAAGTTTCCTTCATCACCTGGTAAATGGAATGTTCAATAGGCACAGCCTTCGAATGGGGCAATGGGTTCAAGTACAGGCCCATAATCGTGACACCATTGGAAAATTGTTCTGCGTTGGAAAAAAAATGGATTGTATCAGTACGCTTGCATTTCAGTTTCCCATCTCCTCGCTTTTTCCCTTGTCAGCCGTTTTTTTTTATATCTCTCTCTGCTTATCCGCCTGTTTCACTGCAGCTGATGCCATGACTTACCAACATATTTGCGTGCCGAAAACAGTTCATAGTAGTGGTACAAATCGGACATGGCGGAAAGGAATCCTTGGGTGCTGCGTTGGCGGTATCCGATGATCAATCGGCGTTCGCGGCTTCCTTGAACTTCATACATCTCAATGACAGGACCTGTACGTTGAAGCACATTGCGCATCACGGCTTCGTAGACTTTCAAGGTATGTGCATTGGCTTTTTGCAGGAAGGTTTGATCGGCGACTTGACGAATGTCGCCCTCTTCCTCGGGAGTAGGCGTGGCATTCACAAATTGGCACTTGGTCACAAAGTAACAACGCAGCTGCGACGTTAGATTGGAAGAAACCGTACCAGTCGATCGATAAGACTCCACACGGTAAGCTTGTGAAGGCAAAGACGTATCAAGGTACTTTTCGTCAATTCTAAAGCCATTCCATACAAAATGTCAATGAACATGGACAAAAAAAAGTGTGTGGCAAAATTGTTCGCTCTCTTTTTCTCTCTTACCTTTTCTCGCATTGAGGTCCTTTGACTTGGGACACACCAGGTCTTGAGGAATGAATATAAATGGACGAGTCTTCGGATTCCTTTTCGAGGTTGATATCCAACACGTTCTCGTTCTTGGTGTAAGCGAGAATCTTGGCGCCATACAATGCCATGATATGATTGGCAATGGTTTCCACGGACTCCAAGGCAAAATAATAATCATCAATACCTAGGTTACTGTAAACAGTGTTAGGAAAAAAAAAGCGAATACCATCCTCGGTTCTATAACCCTTACCCGTAGAACCAGGATACTTCGTTTTCTACCAACGACGGAGGAAGGAAGCCCGTTTTTTCCAAATACGCACACACTTCCCCCATTTGCTCGTTTTTACCGGCAAATACGTTGGTGTTGTAGCCGCATATGTCTTCAATCGTGTGACAATTGGAGGGTAAAGTACCCGTCGCAGTAGGTTGGAGTAAAGCGCCGGTCATGGGCCGATGAAAAATTCAGAAAGTCAAAAAAAAGAGAAAGTAGGATCGAATACGGTTTCGTGGCAAGTAAACGAAATATGTCCTTATTTATAGACGCATAGCAACCACCAAACGAATGACTCACAAATTAAGGAGTCCAGTGCGTCAAAAGTCAAAACAATAAAACTTTCAGTTTGTGAGAAAAAGAGACAAAGAGCGACCCTTTGATTGGCTCGCTTGCCTCATGTTGGAAGTGGGTGGTTCGTTGCAAGTAAAAATTTCAACCCAAAAAAATGGCATGATATGAAAACATGAGCAACAATCACTATGCATTTGCTTACCACAATTTTTTCAATCTTATTATTGGTCCCCGGAACCATCGCAAACCTTGTCTATTTCCACGTTTTCCTTATGGAGTACAAAGGGGTTAACAGGAAATCCCATCGGCTCATGGAAACAGGGAAAAGGAAGACATGCCATGTTCCGCGGTTGAATAGAAATCACCCCAATAAAAAGCATACCCATTCTTGGTTGTTTGACCTCGCTGGACAATCTAGGCCCACCGACAATAGCGATTTACTCTGAACACCTTCAATCTTCTTTTTCCCAATAATTGCGACGAAGTTCCACTTAAGCTTTCTTTTTACCCGCATGTACCTGATCAAGTAGAGCTGGTAAAACTTCAGTCATGTTTTTGCAGTTCAAAACCATGTGGGGTGTTGACTGCTACTGTGTGTGTCACCTCTGCTTTAAGAGTGTTTACAGTATGGTCTGAGAGTCCAACTTCTGAGGAAGCCTTTAGAAACCATCTTGAAGCAGCTGAGTTGCAAAAAACTGGTGGCTACAGTTTTGACAACTGGTCTCTTGTCATTGGCAGCTGATACAAAAAGACACCACTACTGCCCTATTCAAAGCGTTGCAGCATTTAATAAAGCTGTAAGAAATACAAAGAATCATCAGAGATTGCAAAAAACGGATCTATTTTTGCCCTTGAGTAATGTCGGCAAACCGCGATTTCCTTGTTTGATCAGTAACATGCTTCTTTGTTACATGAATGTTAACCAAACAACCGGTATTTTTACAAAGTAAACAAATATGCTACTTTCCGATACCATGGCGAACATCGGTTGTCGATTCACCATGCAACAAACTCCCCCACTCACTCAATTTTCTACATCAATAAAACTTGCTGGTGCACTCATACCGCTACAGAAAAAAACCAAAATATGCATATAATAAATCATTGCTTGTATGTAAGGAATGATACAGATGATTATTAAAGGGTTGACATGAAAAGGGATCGGGTTGGGTGGTTACTGTTCAGTTGGTTGTCCAGTCAATTGTTCAGTTTCCTGATAATTAGGCTGTCCACTTTCTTCAGTTGATTCTTTTGCTGGTTGTTTAATCGCTTGGTCAATGTCTTGTACCGTTGGTGATTCAGTTTCTTGTTCCGTTGTTCGTTCATCCGACAGTTCAGATTTTTCTTCCGAAGACTCTACAGTTGGCTGTCCAGTGGTTCGTTCAACCGCTTGCTCAGTTTCTTCAGTTGACTGTTCAGGTGGCTGTCCAGTTGTTCGTTCATACGACGGTTCAGATTTTGGTTTGATAGACTTTGCCGTTGGCTGTTCAATTGGTGGTTCAACGACTTGTTCAGTTTGTATTTCACTCGTCCGTTCAGGGCTAGATTGTGTTTCATCCGGTTTCTGGCTGTTTCTAATGCCGCCAATGTCGCCGTAAATACCGTCCACTAGACAACTGCGCAGGAAAGGAACGCAGCATTGTGTATATGCGGATTCATAGGATTGTACAAATACAGCTTCATCTTCCAACGACGATGTCGGCAGATCGGCGTAATGTCTTAGCGCGCTTTCGATTTCCATAAAGCAGGCATCCAAATGGGTTTCCAAAGGTTTGAATAAACTGATGGCAGGCATCAACCGCAACGCATTAAATATGGACAGAACACTGTTGGTAAAGAGTGCCAAGGATGGATAGTCCATGAGCAACATGGGGGGATGAAATGTGTGGCTTTTTTTGGCGGAGGATGTCTTTTCGTCGTGGTCGTTGTATCGCGAGTGGTTCAACTTGGTGGACATCCATGCACTGGGTAATGTTTGCTCAGTGGCAGCTTTGGTAAGACTACCGACAAGATCCGAGGTGGCACCATCAATCCATCGCAGAATCAAGGGTTTCACGGTTTCTTCAAAAATGTGAACAAAGAAATGACGGAAATCAAGACCGATTCTTCCCAAGGACATGCCACAGTACTGAAGCTGCGTTAAGAGTGATGCCAGAGACGAAACGTCTTGAACCATGCCCAGGTACTCGGATAAAGTGGTCCGTATATCCAAGGTGAGGTGCACCATGTAGTCGGAAAGCAATGAATCTTGCTCCTCGTTTGAAAAGACGGATAGATACTGCGTGGCAATTTCAAACATTTGTTCTCGCATGATATCAATGTACTTTTTCAGGTAATCAACGGCATCTTGACTTCGTTTTCTGGTATCGTCCGACATTTCTCGTTTAATACGGTCCACGCGTTGCTCGAGGAAACTGTGGCGACATCTCAGAAACACCATGCGTAGTTCGTTCTCGGTCTGAAAGGTATCGAGACGACGCAAATAGCCAATGATATTCATGGCGGCTGCGAGTTTGATGGGGCGTCGGAGGTGAGACAAGAGTTGCATCAGCATCAGATCGGAATACGATTTGACTTGATCCTGGATGGTATCAATGACCGGCAACGGGTATCGTAAATGCAACAGCCGGACATGAGACGCCAGGTCCATGGCTTCCGAGTAATAACCGTTCAATACACATGTTTCCATCAACTGAGGAATCTCCAAAAGCTCCACAAGCACATTCTGGTGTTCCAACACACGTGTAATTTTTGACCGTTCTCCCATGACGGCCCCGGCTTCTTGCAGAAACGTATCGCAAGCGTCTTGCAACGCCGGTATGGTGGTCGCAAAGTCCGTCAGCTGGTGATCCAAGCCTTTCAGCGTTTCATCCACTTGATGTCGACAGGATTGCGCGTAAATAAAACAAGGATAATCGCGAAAAGCAAGCTGTTTCGCCTCTCGCTGCATCTTGTCTTGTTCGTGACGAAGTTCTTTCGGTTCGTTCAATAGTTCATTCAATGGCAACGACGTCAGACGATGGAGATAATCGCGGGTCCATTGGGATGTTTGCACAGCATTTTTCGACTCTTCATCCCACGATTGGGTAAGTAAATGGAGCAAATCGTCATTATCATCCAGACTGCCTGCAGAAACGGAGAGAGACATGGTGCGGTGGGGACATTCGTACGACCGAATGGACTGCCTAAATTTTTTCTTATTTTTAGCTGGCCACTGAAACCAGCCGACAACGACCCATTCTGCCACATCCAAAATTCGTGAAAATACACTATTAGCGAATTAGACTAGGAGCAAGTGGCAATCACTTGCTTGCGTTGCATCATCGATTCTATAACAGAGAAAAAGTGATATATCCAAGTCATGGGACAATGATAGTACGCTACTTGTTTCGCTAAATGAGTTTTTTATAATATGCTGCCAAACAAAAAACCTGCAAAATCTTTAAATACAATTAGCCAAATCATCAAGCCAGAGCATGCCTTTCAAAAATTGCTCATGACCATCATTGACAATTGGAAAAATTGATAAATAAAAAGCGAATAAAAGGTCACTTCATATATGACCAAGGTGGCCCCCATAGAGAACACTCTGTGTATGAGAGATATGGCTTATCTTCGCTTCAGCGCATCCAGGCGTTTCGCCAAGGCATCAAAATCATCGTTGGCACCACCGTCTCTGTCGGATGGCGAGCCGGAGGACGACGGAGTCGCTGGTTTTTTGTTGAGCTTATTCAGCGGCGGAAGGTTGGTGGGTATATCAGGTAAATCCAGCGCTGGTAAATCCGTGCTCTCCTGTTCCTGAATCATCTTTTAGTCTACAAAGAATCTAACCGATTTAACGTGCCACCATTTTACCTCTGCCTCTTTTGGTTTCGACGATTCAGCTACCAGCGGCGGTTCGAGAGCAGAAGTGGCAGCCTGCATCGACAAGACAAGACAACAAAATGAATAGCTGTAAGGATTAATGCGAGCAGAATGTAAACACCGACCTCCTTCGTACCACCGTTGCCATCATCATCATCATCCTCATCCGTATTGATATCATCTTCATCCGCAGCCAGAATATTGGATCTCCATGGAATATTGTATGCTTTTGCGATCTCTTCAAGATAACGTTCGACCAAAAAGGGGTCGGGGGCACTGACTTGTAGCTTGGCAATAACCTAGACATGCAAACCTGAATGTTTGACAAGCGTCTCTTCGAAAATGTCGGTATCCATACTTACGCGAGGATTCACACCACCATTCGTATTTTCAAGCGCTTCCATCATAAATTCTTTGCCGTACTTGAAGGCAAGCTGATCTCTAACCTAAAGATGGATCGAAATTTTTAAGTACCATCGTATCTGGCACCAAAAGGTTTGCGTTTTTCCTTTCTCTTTCACTTACTGCTCCCAGTTCTTTCACTTCGCCTGTTCTTGGGGCGGCCCAGATGATGGTGTTCACCGCTTCAGCAATGCCTTTATCGCATTCTCTGTGCAATATCATCATCTCGTTATCAACAATCCACACTTTCAAACGCTATTTGCTATTGTAAACTACGGCTTGCTTCCGTTGCCAACCTACCGATACTGCTCCACGAGACCGAAACGAGCAAGCAATAGATCACAGTACAGTTCCAGAATTTCCATGGCCTCCATGAGCAAGTCTTCGCGAATAATATGCTCCACTCGTACACGTGCACTTTCGTCTTTGCCTTTCTCCAAGAGAGTAGCGATTTCTCTTCGCTGATGCTGGTTGAGCGAATTCTTCTTGGCTTGCAGCATCTTTAGTCTATTGTGTGCAAGCTTGAGCTGCACCTTGAGCCGAGTAGGATTGAACATGACGAACAGCGAACAGGACTCTCACAGAAACGTTCCATGAAACAAAAAAAGATCAAGTTGGGCAAACGTGACTCCACAGTCCGGCACCACCAGTCCGGCGCAACCACGAACTGCATGCACTGCATTTAGGCACCACCACGTGACTTTGACGATTACGGCAACCTAAGCCAATCTTATTCCTTTGCGGTGCCTCGACCGCCTGTTTTCTCGTATTTTTTTTTTCCTTTGTCCTTCAAAATAAGTTGTTTCCCATCTCGGCCATGTCAGCGACAGAGTCTCAGGAACCGAGGTTAGATGAGGGATTGGCAGCGACGGCGAGCCATGTCCACCGACAAGAAAATAGGATGTACACTGACAACCACACCGACGAAGACCGGCCACGAACCATTCATCTCGGACGACGTTCCGAAATGGACGTAGATGAGCTTCTTGAACGTCAACGTTTGCGTGAAACGACCATGAAACCCACCCAGGACAAGATACGCATCTTTGACGGTGAAAATACGCCACAAAACATCGCTGCTTATGGCTTTTTATTGGGCATCCTTTGCGGTGGGGGGCTGCTGTTCGCTGTCATGTCGGACCCACAATGGCATATGCCCCAATTCGGATTCTTCCTTGCCGCATTAGCCTCGTTCCATTTCTTGGAATACATAGCCACCGCACTCTTCAATGCACACAAGTTGACATTAGACTGTAAGCAAATTGATCCGATCCGCACAGTCACCGCCAATATCATTCGTAACCACCGTCCATTTTTCTAGCCTTCCTCATCAATCACAGCGCTCATTACCATGCCGCACACGCAGCAGCCCTCATCGAGTTTCTTGTGGAATACTTCTTTTTCCCGTCTTGGAAAACGTTTGGCTGGATCAATTGCTTTGGTAAATGAAATACAACGACCCTCTTTTTATTTGTATTTTTATTCACTCTCTTTTGATTGTCCAGGTCTTGTTCTGGTGTTCATCGGCCAGGCTGTACGAACTATCGCCATGTTTTCTGCCAGACACAATTTTTCGCATCACATTGTTGATGTGAAGGAAAGAGACCATGTATTAGTTACTCATGGCATTTACAGGTAACACAATTAGCTGTCTGCTGCCAACAATGAAATTCAATACTTACATAAAATTGACACCGTAGCATTATGCGACATCCGTCGTACTTTGGTTTTTATTGGTGGGCGGTCGGTGTCCAATTTTTGCTACTCAATCCCATCTGCCTCGGTTTATTTGTGTATTGGCTCCACCGCTTCTTCTCCGAACGTATCGTGTATGAAGAGTATACGCTTCTTCGTTTCTTTGGTAATGACTGGAAAACGTACAAAGCCCGAACACCGACCTGGATGCCCCTAATTCCTTAGTGCGCCGTTCTCATTTTGACTTTTTTCCTCTTTCCCCTTTATGCAATCATTGATTCCCACCAGTAACACAGCATATAAGCAGAACTAGATATCATCACCCACTTCTCTCTTCATCTAAACCATTAAATTTTTTGGAGCAACAGTTCTTTTTTTCCCATATGGGACGTTCCTGGCACCCGTGGTTTTTCTCTTTGCCTTGTTTGCAAAAATCGAAAAAGTGATGCTTTTTCAACAAGGAAAGTGGAAAGCCACGATGAGAAATGTCCTTTTTTCAACCAATTTACAGTAGCTTGTTGAATGCGAGTGCGCAGTGTTCCCACGTTGCGCCAACAATGAATTCTCTTATCATAAAATGCACGCGAACTTATTAATCGAGCGTGCCCCGCATCAAGTGTTGGACCTGTCGGTGCTCTATGAAGGACCGTATACAGAGCTTGACAATCAACCCATTGAAACTCTTTTCAAACCATAATCAGGTCATCTTAGGTTTCTTTTGAGCGTCAAAGACAAGTCTGTTTTGCGAAAAAAAAAAAAAAAGAATCTGTGGAATCTTTGCAATCCAAAGCGAATGAACCCGTGACCAGTATGATGGAGATAGCCATAATAAGATGGGCGCATATCGACAGAGTGCGCACCATGTAATATGGACAGTGGATTCACAGAAGAAACGATAGCTTGGATGTGAAATCATGGTAGCAATCGGAAAGGTACACTTTCATGAAACCGTAACATGGATCCTTTGGTTGCTGCCCTTTTGGGTGCTTGACCAGCAAATCATCATCAGCGTGATTATTCTAAGGTTTTATTAGAGCAATATTCAAATATTGTAATCCATTGGTGCCCATTTTTGTCTTCAAAGAGACGAATCACCAATGGAACGAAGATCCAGACAGCAAATTCTCAAATTGTTTGCTGTGGGCATTCACTAAACATCAATACTCATACCGATTTTCCATAATGCAGTCATCTCCCTCCCGTTGTCAGCCTTTGTAGGGAGATTAGTGAGAACGCGTGTCTTTGACGCATATATCCCCTGTTATTTACTGGAAAATATGTCGATTTCATGGTCTATCAAAATTGTGCAGGAATGCTACGTTTCAACTGTGGGCATAAAATTGCTACATATCATTTCCATTTTGGGCAAAACAAATATAACTTTCTCACAGGAAATCGGGCTGTCTTCGTGTCACAGATTCTTCGAAAGCTAAAAGTTTCCTTCAGTACTGTCCGTTTTTTTTCTCAATGCACATGGAGATAAGGTGTTTACAGTGGGTGAGGTTCGTGAATGGTTTGAGTTGGAAGAAAACACTGGACTTAAGAAAACATCATTTTGCAAGTCAAGTTTCTCTGTTTGCATTAAAAATCATATTATTATGAAAATTTCTAATGTTTGCAAGAATCCGCGCGACATATAAAATGGAAATCTCGTTGGTATTGGCTTATTATTTGTTCATGATGGGTACCTGGGTCCTTTGTATCGTACAGATCAAGGAACCGCCTCGGCTCGATGTCCAGTGAATCGTTGCCGGGCAAATGGACTTTAAGACAAGCATATGAATAGATTATTCCTTGAAGACCAGCCGAAAGATATCGCGACACATGATCCAAGCCACTATAGGAGGATCGGATGACCTACAGAAAAAAAAAAGACGGATTCAAGCATCGCAAGACATGGGGTGCAGACCCGATCATGGGGATTGTGTAACGGCAAAACCTAAGAAGACCGAGTTACATCAGTTGCGTGACACGAACTCCATCACGAGCAATGCACGGGCATCTAGGCCTGGACAAAGTTACATGCGCTGGTTCTGATGGTTCATGGTTTTCCCTATGCATTATTGCATCGGTTGATTCCCGTTGCTGTAACCCGATAAAGAGAGATTCCTCTCCATATTGCTGCATAGATCTTGTCGTCGCAGTCTTCAGATCGTTTTTGGTTAGACTGATGTCGGGCTTCACTCCTCCTTTCTCACGAAAATATACTACTCATATGTTGATTTTTTTTTTTTTACACCTCTTATTTTCGGATTACTTTTTCCAGCCAAACTCTTTCCTTTGTCTTCTTTCTCTCTGTTTTTTCATTTTTTTTTCCATTCGTCGCATCCTCAACTTCTTTTCCCCCTTTTTTCCTTTTTTTTTTGTACTTGATCATCACTTTTTTATAAACATTCTTCCCCTACATCGCATGGATCGGATGAATGATGAAGACGAGGATTATACCTTGTATCACCAACAGTCGTCCTTGCTGAAGCTGCCAAATGAAATTCTGGAAGCGGTCATACGAGCGGCATCGACGATTGAACGGGATGATGAATGTCAGTTTTTAGGATGGCAGTATCCGGAATACGAATACGCCGACCTCAAGGCCATTGCACTCACCTGCCGGCGCCTGTACATGCTCTGCGCACCCTATCTTTGGAGGGATAAGGAGTTCATTCTTCCACGGCAGGACGACCAAAAGAACGAAACAGCCGAGGTACAAATGGCGACCGATATTCTTTCCAAACAAGCCCTCTTCCAACGGCTCCGGCATCTCGGCTGTTACGTTCGGTCTCTCAGCAGGGATCTCACCAACGGGCCTCACTACGATATGAGCAATTCCAATCTCATGGCCCAACTGGTATGCAATTTACGAGCACTCCGCATCGATTTTCATCCCAAAGTACGCTCCGAACATTATGGCTTGAAGTTCTTCATCCAACACTGTCCGTCGCTTTCGGAACTGTATCTGGAAAACTGCCGGGATACTTATGACGATTTCTGGTCGCTTATTGAATATCGACATCCACTGCGATCTCTCACTTTGCTGTGTTGTACGGTGAAAGAACAAACACTGTTGCAGCTCATCAATTTGTTCAAGCCTACATTAAAACGACTGCTACTGCAAAAGGTCCTCATCGAACCCGATCCACTCCATTCCACGAAAACCGATTCGCATCCTCTCTATTCCCATCACGACGTCTCTCCCAAAAGAATACCCAGCCACATCTATGTACACATGCTTTCATCCCAAAATCTTACACGACTCGCATTATCTGATTCCATCGCATACTCTACACTCGAAAAGATCGTTGAAGGGTCTCCAAAACTGGAGAAGCTTGCCATTATTCTGCATGAAATGAACCCCGTATTGGCCACGCGATGCATTTTACTACTAGCCAAACTGGATTGTTTAACCATCTTATCACTCGCTTTCCGGCACATTTTTCCACGCACCAATACCTATCAACGACTACCGTGCTGCGCCCCGGCCAGTGCGTGGTCCTATTTCGCATCCCATCTACCTTCGCTGCGCCTCATTCACATCTCGGCAACCCAACTTTTACTTCACTCTGACTTTATGTTACGTCTGGTTACTGCACGAAGTCATTTGCTTCACGTTATGCTCCATCACATTGCTTGGGTTCCGGATGACGAGCTTGATATCACCGAATTGAATGATGACCAGATAGCCGAAGCCCATGCAAAAGACATGGCCACCGCCTCGGATAGAATGGACGCTTGGCAACAGGATCCGTGTTTATGGCAAGACATCCAATCCTATTTTCTTTCATATGATGAAGCTGAACTCAAAGGATTTCGATGTTTTGATGAGACGGATCAGGTTTGTTTTGTGAAAGGGTTCGATGATTGGACCAAAGGCACCTGAGCCCCTCCAGAAACACCGGACTCTTTCCCTTTGATATGACCCGGGCTTGGATTCGCTAGAGATGTTATTATTGCGCACATATTTTTTTTTGGAAGTCAAAAAAAAAGAGGGGACTTTTGTAGCGAACAACTTTCAAGGACCTAAGCCACTTGATAGCGACATGAAACGAATCCTATCCATCTATCAGCAAACGGCAATGATCGACAAGTTGGTCCAGCTATCAAGCCCTTCGATATGGATTAAAGCAGAGTCTTTCATTGAATAAGAAAAATAAATTGGATGCTCTTTTCCCATTTTACAAACAGACTGGTTGACTGACTCTTTGAATTCGCATGAAAATGAATTATCGAGAGTGCACCGACTGTAATAAACAAAATCAAAGCAATCTTCTTCTATTTACCCACGAACAGCCTCATTCATGCAATTTAGCTAGAATAATATTTCGACAACAAAAAGAGCGCCCTTATTAAATTAATAAAATAAGCAAAGTCACATTGCCTTTTTAGGTTATAACTCTACATAGAAAGGGTTCTCATGCCATATTACCTTTGGGGCCATAATTACGCACTGTGTACGAAGAAGTCCACCCAAATATGCAAGTGACCCACACACTGTTAAAATAGTCTCTGTCACATTGCCTTTTCCGGGCCATTGCCACATCCTGTTCGTCAAAAAACAATCAACCCAAAAAGGGACGTTGCCCACACACTGTCCGACAATATATAAAAGAGAAAGATTCCCTTTTTGATTTTTAATTTAGTTATATCCTGTCACAACTAAAAAAATAATCTACAGTATTCCTTGCCGTTGTGGAAGTACGGATCATCGAAGAATTATGAGCTCATGGTGTCCGTTGAACCCCAGGAATACAACTACTGGACAGTTTATTCAAGAGCAGCCGTTTATTCAAGAAGCACAAGCGCAGCAGTTTTTTCATGTCTCTCCAAAATGTATATACACTTTTTAAAAAATTCGCGAAATCCAAATAGACCTTACCAGACGCTGCCAATGTGGACGTACGGATCATCAAAGAATGACGAGTTCACGGTGTCTGTTGAATCGCATGAATACAACTGCTGAGTTTATTCAACTCACCCAACAAGGTATTTTACATATTCTCTTGGCAGTAGTTTATTCAAAATTATGCCGCGTTGTATACATTTGTCTTGGATATTTTCCAATTTCCGAGATCCCGATAGTTCTACTTTGTCAATGTGGCGGTACAGACCACCAAAACGTGTCAAGCTCGCTCTGTCCCTTTAAGTCTTGGAAATATGACAGATGACGTTGAGGATACCGTCCCACTTGCTCCTGTGTCTTCAACTACGGAAGGTATGTATTCTCTTCAAAGTTCCTCTAACCCTGCATGCATTAAGAGCTTCTATTTTCCATTTACGTTGTTTTATGAGCAGGATCATCCCACAATATCGCCCGCATCTCCTTTGAAGAATTTCAAAGAGGCGCCTCAATTCGAGCTCCAAACGTCAACGTCGATTGAGTAATGGACAATAGCAGCATGACCTTGGTATGTGTTTCCTGTGGAGCCAAAGGTTGGGACACCGAAAAAGTAGCTGGAACCCGTCAAGAACCTCGGTTTCCCATTTGCTGCGTCGAGCCAACGCCCAACCAAAGGCAGAAAAACGCTGCTTACTAAATTGGGTTTTGATATACTGTAGACTGATGAGGAGTTAGCCAATGCAAGATCTGGCACTTATACCTTCCGTATGCATGGCACTATCCATCATAGAATTACCCAATATGCATCCTCAGCAAACTTTTAACCGTCTTTCCCGCAAGTATACATATATGATCCTGATATCCAGCAGCGACATCGGTCATCTCTGTTTGACGATCTCCATCCCCAAATCCTACAACTTTGCAGACGATGTTGGCTGGGGTGGATCGATAGACCCGCATGTAGCAATCTGCTGGAGAACACTTGCGAGGTGATGATACTGAAACGCGATGTGAAAATTGTTCTACGCAACATGTATAATACCCGTTGCCTTTTACCCGGAGATCATCGCGGACAGTATCTGCATCCGGCAGCCACCGATATAGCTGCTATCATACCAGACAGACCAAGACAACAGGGCATCATGACCGCTACTGTCGCGATATTAGAATAAAGCTGCAAGGCGGTGGCGGTTCTACGTATTGACAAACGCCATCCTATTTATGACCCATTACAGTACACGCTCATATTCCCGAGGGGAAAGCACTGCTGTTGGGAATCATATGGGACAGCAAGTCACCATACCTCGCATCAGACTTTACTATGAGAAAGCTGATCTTCCGTTTACGCTCTCACGTCGACAATTGCCTTTACATCCGTTTTTGCCCTAACCATTAACAAATCACAAGGCCAATCCTTGAGCAAAGTTGGGTTATCCGGTTTCAGTGTTTAGTCATGGTCAAATATAATTTTAATGATTTGGAAGATGAAAATAAAAAGCTATATTTACAGTTGAAAGACGCGAGAATGAATTTATACTCCTTGAAAGCAAGTTTGAAGAAGCAGCAACACAAGGGTAGTTAAACAGCTTCTACCGAATCACGGTACTTGATAGTTAACAGTTTTCCTTTTATTAGGAAAAGGAAAGGAGAAGGCGAATCCAGAGTCGGACATTCCTCCAACTGTGCCCACATTTCAAGCCTTTGGTTGCGAGGATTCAACGGAAAACATTGACATCAGCCAGCTCAAGAAGGAAGCTCGCGCCAAAAATAGAAAATTGGTTTTCAGCGGCACTGGTTACGGTGTTTGTACCATGTCGGCAACAGTACCCTTGACGCTCGACCAATACCACGCCCATGTACAACTCTACAACAGGTTCCAAGTTCTTGGTGATCGCGAGCTCCAACCAATGGATACGGTAGTGGATCCGGCTTTTCAAGTACCAACCCCTCATCGTATCACAGCCAAGCAGTTAGATGTACTCTCTTTGGCGCACAAAAATGCCAGGTTACGAGAAAGACGAAAGGCAAAACATCCCCAGCTTTTGGATGCAGAGCGACAGCTCAAAGAGCGGTCTTTTAAACTGCAACCACATCAGCCGAAGTTGAGCAATGCCAAAAGGTGTGTATTTGAAGCACTTATCTTTCCCTTCAAAATATTCATGATTCTTTTAGATTGCAAGAGAGACAAGAGACATTCTGCGCGGTTTTTACCATTCTCCCCGAGCCCACCGTGACATATGGTCCCAAGAATTAGTCGACAAAGCGCGCCTACCGACAAGTTGCAGCCAAAGAAAGGGCGGCTATAAGGCATGCTTCAGGTTCACGACGGTCGTTGGTCATCATGATGATCGGAACGCAGGGGACTGGGGTGGGCAGTCGCATTAAGGCCACGCCAGGCGCGGTGGCAAGAAACTAAGAAAAGAACACAGTCAGCACGCTGTTGTGGGGATGACGAACGAGTTTCGTAGTTCACAAACGTGCATGGGCTGTTTCGGTCCGGTCATCCGACCAAACAGGAAAGCCGTTGGAGCAGGTTCGAAAATACGCTCAGTTCACGGATCGTCTTTGTGTATGAATATCGATTGTCCGTTATATCGAACAGGACGAGCCACACAAAACCGGGACACCCAAGCAGCAACGTGCATCGCTCTTGCTGGTGCAAGCTTCTTGCTCGACGGGATGAAATTACACCCATTTTCAAAAAATTCAGCCATGAATCATATGCTGAAAAAAATCATTACCACCCCGCACACCGATAACACAGAATCTTGACTACGATATTTGACAGTGATGCTGAATAGGACAAATTTTAGATGCAGGTGCTGCGGAGGCTTCTTCCAATGGGGGAGACACACGACGTAGTGTTCGCGGGCATTAACGTAAGCATGACAGTTGGCTCATATCCAAAAATTTATACTCATAAAATGTTTGTAGGTCTGGTAAGATAATGACTTAATCGTATTACAAAACGGAATACTCATCAAGAGAACGCTGTTTATAACTGCTCGAGGTTATCCTTTTTCTCTTTTGGTTTTCATTGTTTTAAGGTAAAGTTTATTTAAGAATTGGCTTAATTGGTCCTTACCCTAATATATATCGTAGCCACTGCCGCAAAAGGATAATCGAAAGCAGCGTAAACAAAATTCTTAAATCTAGTCAGAAACCATGCCCGATTTCAAACCTCTTTTTCCCTGCCAATTTGATTCCTTCAGCCTTCTTTTACGGATGGTAGCTGAACAATGACTTTTCTTCCTTATCAGGTGCCTAGATAAACATAACATTTCTAGCAATCCAGATTATTCCAGTCCGAGGCGGGCGAGGCAAAATAACCACACAATGACCATGCCACGCGAAAATTTTGTCCTGTAGGAGTTTTTGGTGTGCCGCTTACGTTTCACGCTCCGTCGTGTGACTTTTTTTAAGCTCACGTTTGCGTCACCTCAGATTTTTTTCTTTTTTTTTTTTCACTCTGGAAAAATATAAAAGGAACGACTTTTTTTTGTCAAATGTCATTATCTGCGGATTCTCTTTTTTTTTCCCTATCTGTGATTTTTTTTTTCTTTCTTTCTTTCTTTTTTCTTCCTTTCTTTCTCTCGTCCAGTTAACTTGAACTTAACCCAGTATTACCCAAAAAACCATGACGGAAAGGTTTACACCAGAAGGCATACGGGCTTGGCTGTCGGATGAATTCAGTCTAAATGGGTGGCATTCGGCTGTGGTTGCTCAAGAATTATCCGATGATGTTTTAAACGTGATTCGTATGCACTACACGACTTACGACAAGGCGACAAGATTAGGCGTGTTGTTCTCTCTACTTTACATTCGAAAAGGCGAGTTACATGAAATGCGTGACAATATTAAAGAGGTATGTATTTTTTTTTCTTTTCTTTTCATGAATTGCGACATGTGTGATTTTTTCTTGTTCTATTGGCAAGGATGTTGGGGAGAACCAATGATGCGGGCTAGTTTTGTTTTTTGTTTTTGCCAAATGAACATTTTAAAGCACACAGAAAGCAAAGAAATTTAAGCTTAGGATGGTGAAAAAGCAAAGAAAGAGAGAGGGAAAAGGAGAATGGCAGTCATGCATTTACCGAAATGAGCAGTATCCGCATTGGAACTCATCTCCTTTTGCCAATTGACTATCTACTTTAAACCTGCCTATAATTGGAAAGTATAAGAAAAGTGACAAAATAGCCGCCCTACTTTGCATCATCCTTTCTTTTGTTGTTTCAACTAATAAAGGTTATTGTCATTGGGGCGCGTAAGTACTGGATTTCCGAAACAGATGAAACAAGAAGCAAGGGGGTTTTTTTCTGGAAGGGATGGTTTGGTTTGGTGCCTTTTGACCATTTTACAACAACAACAAGCTTGCCATGAGATCACCAGCATCGTGCGGTATTCCAAAGTGGTTCACTTGGCAACTCTCAAGCAGCGACTCTTTTTTCCCTTTCTTCTTTGCAAAATCACCAGAAAAGCAAAACTTGACATTTTCATTCACTCATCTCACCTCAACCTTTTTTTTCCCCCTCTTCTACCTAGATTCTGACTCTGGGCACCAACGACGATGACGACTGGGTGCGCTTAACGGCTCATATTTTGAACGATTTTTGGTCCTCGAAGCGGTTCAACACTCAAATCCAGGAATGGTCTTCTTCTGTCCAGCCTGTTTTGGATCAAGTCAGTCAAACCAGTAAGTGATAAATGAGATATCAGAGACCCATTGATATCGTGGCAGGCTAAGTTTTTCTTTTTCTTTTTTTATATATTCTAGTTCAATCCAAAGGCTTTAGCTTCCATCCGATCGAATTCACGATTCTGCAAGTCGATGCTCGTCCCGATTGTCCCTACGTTTCCGACGTGTTTCGATCTGATAAACCCACGACGGCCCAGCATTTTCAATTAAGTACTCGTCCCGGTGACACGATTTCGTCCGACGATCGTATGGCTCGTTTCGAAACCATTCTCCGTGAAGAAAAAATGGAATTGGAGGAAGCCGAATTGGAATCCTCCACCGTGAATGCAGGATTTGCCAAATTTGGATCATCCCCCCTCCCCTCGCCTACTTCTGCTGTACCGCCTCAACCAGGTATCCCAGGCAGACCACCGGCCGCACGACCAGGCGTGCCTCCAAGAAGTTTATCGACAGGCTCCGTTCATGGTATGACTGGTATGCGACCGACCCCCCGTCCTCCCGGATCAAGTAGCCTGTTTATGCCACGTCAACCCGCTCGACGATCACCGAACGCTAGCAAACCTAGTTTCCTGAGACCGTCAGGTCCACCTCGTTTCAACTCGATGAACAAAGCAACAGGTAAGCGTCAAGAAAAGGATGAACAATGCGTTTGCATCGACGCAATAAAGCTTACAATCCGTTTCTTTTTTCATGCGTAGCTGCCAAGCCAGATATCAATACGCCAAGAGGATTCATCAAACAATCTCGGGTACAAATGCTTGACTTCAACGATGCAACAATGCTTCAAGAAAGTAACAGCGAAGCCATTGATAAAGCCAAACAAAGTATGGAAGCGTTTTATTGCAAAGGTCAAATAGGGTTGCGAATATGCCGTACTGACAGCGTGCTTCTATAGATCTTCATTCCCAACAAGAGGCAAAGAAACAACAAGCCGCAGAAGAACGCCGAAAAGCCCAAGAAGAAAGGAAGCGTGCACTTGCTATTGAACGTGAGGAAAGAAAAGCCAAATCGAGACGACGATCCTCCAATGAATCCGGTCAATTGGCTCCAGCGTCGACCACCACTACCACCACAACAACCTCTGAGACCAGCGATCAGCGTAAGTTTGGCGAAAAAAAAAAATGAATCAGCTCATGCGCATATTTTTTAACATCTTTTATGGTCATTAGCCATGGACACAGACGAAGTCTCCTCATCCGATAATACTAAAGAACCAGAAACCAAAATTGAACGTAAGTTTTTCTTGAACCCATCAATGGTTAACAGATCGGGTTTTCTTACTGACTTTTTTTTTTTTGCCTTTCCTTGTTTTGCTTCATCTCACAGCAGGTTTATTACCGGAATCACCCAACATTACGCCACCGCCACAATAATGAAGATAGAGAATATTTTCATTTTCCTCTTCACCTCCTTTTTATCATCCTAGTACATAGTTTTTATATCTTCGCTGTATCTACTGCTTAATCTGCATATATTCCTTCCTTTAAACATCTTCTCACGCTCTATCCTTATACACATATGCTTTTTGTGCATTTGAGAATTTCTAGCCCATACAGCATGCTTTACTCGGCGATTAACACGCAATCTACAGCCACAGAATAATACCATCGCTCCAGATAAAGAAAGAACAACGTTGAAAGACATTTTCATTTGATCATCAGGAAATAAAAACTCGCTTCATCTAATCAGCGTTTCCATAAATGGTAGGTTTGAAATTTTCCTATTGGCGGAACCAGCGTGGTTCAGGGCCAATCCTACACTTGAAGGTGTTGTTCCCTTCCTTTGTTTGCAGTAATACATGACGGGTCCCGTGTACTCTTCTGTGGGCAGTCTCATCATTGACAATATCCGATTTGAAGATGGTAGAGAGCAGTTGAATATTCTCGGTGGTGCAGGCATCTTTGCAATTTATGGTAGAATTCACTGGCCCATCAAGTCGGCATACGTGCACAAAATGCTCACCATTCAATGCTTTCATAATGTTAGGCATGCGACTTTGGCAACCACGTTCCTTGTCAAAGTCCATTGGCTACGTTGTTCAAAAGGGGTTCGATTACCCAGAGAGTCTTGATAAAGAATTACATTCCCTGGAAATGTCGCTAATTGAGAAGGTACACGAGGATAAACCCACAACTCGCGGTTGGAATTACTTTGGAGCCCACGACCATCGGTAAATGGCACAAAGAGGCAATGGTTTGACGTTCATATTTTTGGTCTGATAAAGTCAAGGATAGAGATTTCGAGTATGTCCATCCAATCATTCGAACCACTCCCGCCGATTACCCAGATGCATGGATATTGTCGATCCGTATTGCTCACATTATTTCCTCCGCCGACCGGGCTATCGATATTGTGAACGATTGGCGGAAACGTGAAACCGCATTGAACAAAACATCGCCACCCACAGATTTCATCTGGGAACCGTTGCCCTGGGCATGTTTACCCGAGGTTTGTACAACGACATTTTTCATCGTCAAGGCTATTTCGCGAAAAATAACGAACATTGATCAATGGTAGAACCTTGAAATGGCATGTCAAGCAGCGAAAATGGTCAACATCTTGTCACCAAACCATGAAGAAGCAGCAGCATTGTTAGGGCTGGGCCTGAAGCAACTTATTAATCAACATGGATTGCACGGTGCCGTGGAATATTGCGCTCGACAATTGTTCGAAAAAACATTTTGCGGATTGCCCGGCCGAGTCATCGTGATTCGCACGGGCAAACATGGTGCAGCGGTGGTACATTCACCCGATACCACGACCAAAGGCCTGGTCATTCGCTGGATACCCGCCTATTGGAAGGACCCCACCCAGGTTCAAGATGTGACAGGAGCAGGCAACGCTTTTTGTGGCGGTTACGCCGTTGGGTGGATCGAAACCAACAAAGATCCCATGAAGTCATGCTTGTACGGCGCTGTTTCCGCCAGTTATGCTGTCGAACAAGTCGGAGTCCCTGTTCGTCATGGTGATGAGCAATGGAATCAAGGACCTTCCCCATCCGAACGTCTGGCTACCTTGCAACAAGCATGTCATCAATAACCATAGATACGGAACTTCTCATTACATTTATTGTTTGCAGAAATTTATGGATCTAATTGTAGATAAAAAGATGTAAAAACAAAATGATGGATATTTTTTCTTATGACTTGGATTTTAGATGCAATTGCTAAACTTTGCAGGCAGCATCTTGATAGCGCTTTGAGCAAGATAGACGCCGGTGCTTTCCTTGCCATCCAAGGGCAAATCATAGAACAGTTTACGGATCAAATCCTTGTGCTGTTCGTAATCCGATCCATGTTCAAAGAGTTTGCTTCCTTCCAGTCGAGCTTTGTTGGTTTCTTTCCAGTGGTCCCAGAAGAGATGTTGCGCTTGGGTCATGATGGCCGGAATGTCCACCATGCCTTCCACCATTTGGACGTCGGGGTTTTGTTCTTCAATCTTGTAGATGACATTGAGTAATTCCACGGCAATCTGGCGTTCGGCGGGATCGGTAAACCAGCCCAAGAAACCTTCGACGGCCAACGCAAAATTGAATTCTCCCGGCGTACGTTCATACACAGTAGGGTCGCGAGGCAAAACGTGTTCATGAATCTTCAAGCCGTGACACTTGTTAAGAACGCTCCAGGTTCGGGGGAAGAACTGCGTCGGCGCACGGTTAAGTGCACCGTCGTTCTTTCGTCGGCGGAGCCATCGTCCGTGAGCACTAAGGAACACATCGGCAGCATTCTCGGCCGTGATTTCCTTGTTCTTTTCACCGCAAGTGATGTGCTTTTCCAGGGTTTCGGTGGGACCATCGGCGGCCGCCTTGTGACTTTCCAGCGCTTCATGGCTGCCTTTCTCCACAATCAAAGCATACGAATCACGGTACTGAACGTTTCGAATCTTCTTGGCTCCCAAATGTTCCATAATTTCAACCGCATCCGGAGTCAAATGCTCGGTAAAGTCGTCTCTTCCAGCAATGATGACAATGATACCAGGATGAAGCGATTCGATAAACTTGCTGAAATCTTCGCTTTCCTCCCTCGAGATATGAGTGTCAAAGGAAGCATTCTCGATGATCAGTTTCTCATGAACATCGACCGCCCACACGTGAATACCGCGAGAAGCGGCTTCCATGACATAACTGTTGACTTCCACGCGGGCAAAGTTGCCAGCATTGTAACCGGCGGCCTGAACCTTGATCACAATCTGGGAGTCGTCGCCATCCACAGCAATCGGAATAGAAGTACTGGACGTACGGTCCTTGTCATCGGCCACATGGGTGAGACCAAAGACTTGGCCGAGAGGCAACAAGCTTCCAGGTCGGTCGATCAGCAAAATGTTATGGTTGGCTTCGCATAGATTGGGACCGGAAAGAATGGTGCCAAGCAATGACTGAAGTTCAAATGGAGACAACTGCATCAAAATTTCAATGGCTTCTTCTTCGTTGCAGTTATTCATGCGAGAGATTTCTTCACGAAGGGCAATAATGATGAAATGGGTACGAAGACGGAGAATACCATCAAACATGCGAGGCATGCTACGGATAAAGCCACCAAGGTAAATGATGATTTCTTGCACGAGAGGACCTTCACGTACGTCATCGGAGCTATACAAAGTTGAGGTTCATCAGAAAACACTATAAGTTGGAGCAAACAAGACACTCTAAAAAAAAAACAAATCTGGATGGCTTACCAATGATCACCAAGGATCTTTTTGAGGATTTCGGGACCCACAGGCGTGGAGATCAAGTACTCTTGCAGACCCGATCCGATACTGACTTGCTTCTTCAGAATGAGAAGATCGGTAATGCTGATGGTCAGCGATGGTACAATCTTTTGAAGCAACCCGGTCGCTTGACGAGCAATAGCCCAGTAATGAAGTCGCATCGACTTGAGATACACTTCCTCCAACAAGTCCTTGATAGTAGCCTGCAATTCCGCAATATAGAAATCGAGATCAGCGCACGATAAGAGGTATTGCAACAAATCTAATAAAAAGTCTTTGGTAAGCACATATACAAAAAAAAAAAAAAAATAGGTGAGCTTACCAATTTGATCGTAAAGGTTAACCGAGGTGGTGAGACTGTAGACGGCTTGATCAAACTGGGAACGATCACCCAAGGTCAAGGACAGCATGCCATCAATAGCTGCGGCAAACTGAGCCGTATCCTCAAGGCTGGATTCCGTCACACTGTGTAATCTTGGTGGCGTATAGCTGTCGGTGACACCCTTCTTGTCACCAGGGAAGTGTTCGTGATCCTTCAAACGGAATTGAGACTCAGTGGCAATCTTGGAAAGAGCCGAAGCAATGTCCTGGAAATAGCCTTCGTCATGCAATTTATCAAGAGGAGTGTTGAGCGATTTGCCTTGGAATGCCGTTTGGCGACGCTTGGGCGTCTTGTAACCAGGGGTACGGATACCGGGCGTGCTGGACTGAGTTTGATCCTGGTTGTAGCCGAGCTTACGATGAGTGCCCGAACGATGATGAGCCGACTTGTTGACGCGCAAGATGTTTTGCCAATCAATAACATTCTTGTCAATCAAGAAATCCAAGGAAACAATTTGGCTGGTGTTGAGGGTTTCGGAAATACGGGACAGACGGACCCGTGTACCGTTGCAGATACCTGATCGGAGGTTCATGAAAAAGTTGAGAAGATTCTTCTTGGACATATCGGGAGCATGACGAAGAGAAGTAGCCCCGGGAGCCTGCACTTTCTCATGAATGCCGCCCAACATGTCTTTGGTCAGTACCACAATAAGCGTGGGACGGCCAGCAAAACTCCAGTGCTCACTAGCAAAGCCCAATTCAGCTTGGAAAGAGCTGACCAAAAAGTCCGGATCAGCATTCAGATAGAAAGCATCGCTGTCCATAAACTGGGGAGTAAATGCATAGATATGGCCTTCGATACGATAAAGACGGGATGTACCCAGAACACCAATTGGTCTGCAGAAATTAAAGAAGCAAAGATCAGTACATCCATTGGGGTTTCAATATTCCAGACTCTTTTTACCTCTTGACTCTGCCGGTCAATCCAAGCTTGGAGTTTTGACCCAAGGTGGCATAGACATCGGCCAAAGCACGTGGAGGCAATACGGTGATACTGGAAGAAATTTGATCGACAGTTTGGGTTTCGAGACCATAAGTGGATAATTCGGATTGCAATTCCTCATCTTCGGACAAGAGCACGATCTGAGTGATGGTTTCTTTCTTAAGTCGGGCCACGTTGAAACGTCGACCCAAGGGATCAATTTCCGAAGGGGACAGCAAATCTTCGTACATCAAGCAACCCAGTAAATTGAGCGACATGGACCATACAAGGGGAGTGTTGTCACCGGGAAGACGTTTGACGGTATTAGGATGAGCGCGTTCTTCATCGATTGATTCTCTTGGCACGTAATATAATTCTGGCACAAGGGCAACGGACAACTTGTTGGTAGTATGTGGTTCCACGTCCTTATATTCCTCTGGAGGACGAGGATGTTCCGGATCCCACTTGGAGGAGTCAATGGTCACCTTTTGAAGTTTCTCGCGGTATTCTTCCACCTGCTGCATATCACCGTTGTACAAGCCCTCGAGAATAAGGTAAGTGAAAAAGAGAGGCCACTCAGATTCAATGTTTTCAAAGATTTTCAATTCATTATCGTTGTAATGCAAGCGAGAGGTATCTTCGACCACGGTTTGATGACCGTCACGCAAGAAACGTTTCCAACCGTACTTCCCTTCCAGCTTCTTCTTGCCCTCCTCACGTGTACGTTTGACGAGATCGGGATCATCGACAGCAAAGGCAGGAAAACCAATAATGGACAAGACGGAACCGTCAATTTCCTTGGAGTTGGATTCTCTAGGCAAAACGCTTTTGAGGGTGGCAGAATTGCGTGTCAGTTCGTCAGGCAACACGTAGATAACCTAAATCAAGAAAATAATGCGTCATTATTTTCTACCATTTGTGCAATCTCGGATATTGTACGACAACTTACGGAAGAGGGACCACCACGGGCACCAAACAGATTGACGCCATTGATAGCTCTCAGAGCAGCTACGGCCATACCAATGGAAGACGAATTCAACTCTGGTTGACCATGGTTGCTCTTATCACCACGTTCCCAGATACCAAAATCGGGGGTGCGATAGGCGCCTGATAACAAAACAGAAAAATCATCAATATCCCAAGCCACAAATAAAATGATGCAGTGATGCGCGTAGGGAATTGGGCCTTACGTTCAATGTAAAAGACTAAATTTTGCACAAAATCAACTTCGTCTTGAGTAAAGACGATATTCAAGCCACTGGTGGTCATATCGGCCAGTGCCACCAAGAAGAAACTGGTGGCGTCAATCTATGCAAGATGATGTTGAGATAAGCGGGCGGGTGGTGGTACAAACCCACAGCGTGGGCTCCGATGGCACATCCTTTTCTTACCTGTAAGTGACCCCAACCGGCATCGGGAACCACGGTGTCTCCTGTTTTCGTATCATACTTTGCATGAAGACAGTCAAGAACATGTTGGGTCTTTTTGAACCGTTCCACTTTGTGAGCCTGGCGCATCATACAGAACAACAGACCGCGCATTAACTTGACTACCGCATGTTCCAGTTCAACTTTTTTTTTTTTTTTTTTTTTTTTTTTGCAACGCAAAATCATTAGCCTAACTTTTCCACCATTCATACATGCAACGTAACAATCGACTTACAAGTTCTACCACTGTCATCATCCAAGCGTCGATAAGCCAAGGCCAGACCGAAAACACAATAGATGGAGTACACATTATCGCTAATAGGGAAAAAAAATTTGGTGAGCATCGACTAGGAACCATCTCACCTTTTTATTTACTGAGCTTACCGAACCCAAGCGTCTGTATAATCTCCATGGGTCTGTCAGGAGCAATGAAAGAAAGAATGGTTAGTAAATACAATGATATAACCTGACAACAACACAAAGCATGAATATCCATGCGAAACCACTTACGGTGATAGCTACTGAAGCCGGGATCAAGCCCGTAGCGGGATTTTGCTTGGAAAGAATGGTCGAGTTAATGACCTCATAGTAATAATCGAGTCTCTCGAGCTTTTCTTTCCGGTTATAGTGAGCCATGGAGAATCAGTGAGAGAATAAAGGAACAAAGAAAAAAAAAAACGGACTCGCGGCGTTTTTTTCTTATGGCAACCAACGATGCCATGACGTTTTTTTGTTTTTGAATCTCAGTGTCTTGTTCCGATCAGGACAGATTGCCCTCTGTTGGGAAAATCACATCTTTATTTTTAGGGTCTCGATTGTATGACAATTAGCTTTTTTTGAAACCCAATGAATCCGTCGGTCAACTTTGACGCCGCATTTTCAACTCCGCAGATGCCCTGTGCGTTTTTCTTCTGTTTGTTTCCTCCACTGTGTTGCCTTTCTAATACACTTTCCCAGCACATTGCCTGAAACTTTGAGGAATGAGTTCAATATAGTGAAGGAAAACATATGCAGGCTTGTCCTTATTGGTATTTTGCTTCTCGAAAAACACGGCATAAAAAAAACTACATGTATTTTTTCAACCGGAGCTTCATTCGATCGGTTTTCCATGATTTGAAGCAAAACCAACGAAAACCAACCGCTCCTTAACAACAAACCCAAGTAAGCAATAATTTTTTTCTTGTTTTTGTTTTATAAATCTATGACTAAGAAAGCCCCAGCTTACCTTTACTTGACACGGTTGAATTTGTCATTCAGAAGATGTATTACGAGTCGGACGGTATGGTATTTTTCTTCTATCGAATTCTATCGTGTCATTTTTGGGTAAATACTGACACCGTCAAGCAACGGGTTAAGACGGTGAGAGAAAAAAGTTTTTCAATGGCGGAATCTCCATGCCCAAAGATACTTTCGTCATCTGCCAGAAAAATGGAACTTTTTTACAAGAGCGATTCAGGTACTCCACTAAATGAACTTTTATTTGCTTTCTAAACGTTTCATCATCTGCCGATCGCCCTGTTTTTGAAGCATTCATTGTTGCATCGCGTTTGGAGTATAAGTACAATACTCCTGCACAGGTTCTAGCCTTTGTGAGAGACAAAGGAACCACTAATTTGATGAATTTCATCATCCAATGTTGAAGCACTGCTACGGATTTCAATCGAAACCAGCCAAAAGCAGGTTTTGCCCATTTGCACATAAAGTTTTACACATAGAACAACTTAATCGGATTCCATTGCGTCGGTGGAAATTGAATACAAGTTTGCGAAATTGATGATTTCTCGATCTTCGCTGAGTGAAACAGCCTGATTAATGAAAGACACAATAATCCTACCAAAAAAACGCTTGGTTAAATCATGAACTATCTTTGGCTGTTCACACTTGGAAGGGGATTTGCAAACATAGCAGCTACCTTGATCGCAGCACACACAGCCCCATTCATGCTCGATGCAACCTTCTTTTTCTTTTAGTAAAAGGACCCTTTTAAAAAAGCTGATAAATTGTTTTTGCACCGACCAACTGATAATTTCAGGATTGTATTGCGAAAAAAAGGACTTTATTTGATTCACCTCTTGGGCATTCCTTTTAGCATGTTCAGCTGATTCAAAAGTTCGAGGGCATTATTTGTGAATATAGACTTTTGACGAAACCACGAATTATACAGATGCGCTTTCTTGGAGATATACATAGCCGCATTTAATGATACAAACTGATCATTTGCAATATATGCTTCTATGGAGCGTCTGTCACGTCTGAATCTTTTTGTTGCTTTCTCTGATCTTTTTCGCCGATCTTTTTCGCCGTTGGCCGATCCGCTCCACCGCGTCTTACTGTTTGTTGTATTTCAGTCTCCGTTCAATACATTTCAAATTTGTCAAAAAAAACAAGGGAACGAAAAAAAAAAAAAAGAGACGACAATACCAGTGCTACCAAACAAATGGCATCGTCTGAGGAAATCGACATTCGTCAGTTGTCTCTTCATGAATCGGAGGAAGCAGAGGAGAACGAACAGAATAGTGACAAAGGGCATCACAAGCATTCAAAGAAAGGCAGTAAAAAGAAACCGTTGTCTAAGAAGAAGGAGAAGGCTTTGCAGCGAGAACAAGAACGAAAAAGTGCGGTTTTTGCTGCATTCAGTAAATTCTATGAGGACGAATTTGGTACCGAACGATGGACTTCGTTGCTTGAAGCACTCAAGAAACCTGTGCGTCACTGTATCATGTTGAACAAGTACGCTGATCCCGAAGATGTCGCTGTCAAGCTGACGGGAATGAAAGATGATCTTCAGCGATTGGACTTTTTGTCCATTCCATGTTTCGCCACTTCACAAGCACGATTCCCACCGCCTTCGAAAGATCGTCATAATATCAGTGATTACTATATCCTGGACGCTGGCTCGGTTCTAGCCACTGAAGCTTTAGATATTCGTCCCGAAGATCGAATTCTCGATCTGTGTGCAGCGCCCGGCGGCAAATCGCTTTCGGTATTGCAACGATTATCAGAAAAATATGGTCAGTTGACAGCCAACGAGCTTTCCCCGGATCGTCGTCGTCGTTTACGGCAAGTCATGGAAAGTTATCTTCCTCCCCGAGCGGTTCAGGCCATTGTGACAGTGACAGGAAGAGACGGTACACGCTGGTATGGAGAGCCAGAACAATACGATAAGGTCCTTTTGGATGCTCCTTGCTCCTCCGAACGCCATTTACTGCACGATGATAAGGAATTCGAACAATGGACACCCAAACGCACGCAGCAAAACGCAAAACGTCAACTCGCGCTTCTAAAAGCTGCTGTGTTTTCATTGCAAGTGGGCGGACAGGTTGTCTACGGCACATGCTCTATCAGTTCACTGGAAAATGACAAGGTCATTGATAAGATTATCAAAAAGGGCAAGGTCCCTGTGAAAGTTGTGCGTAAATCGTGGGCCATTGGTGAAGCGACCAAGTATGGATGGATCATTCTTCCGGACACGACAGGCGGATGGGGACCATTATACTTTTGCGTTCTACAGCGAACCGGTGTGTCCAAGGAGGAAGGCAGTGATCTGGAGGACAGCGAAAATGACTTTGTCGAAAGCGAGGATGAAGTACCAGCAGCTAGAAAAAACGAGAAATCCAAAAGCGGGAAAATCAAAAAGAAATAATATCTAGAAAGTTAAATAGAAATATCATGCATCATTTTTTTTGATCTGGCAAGTGAATGTGGAATATACGATCAAACAATCAAGGAGAATCACGATGTATGGCGTGATACTGCTCAATTTTTTTTTTATTGCGAGTTAAAACTGCCGTATATAATGGTGATACATGCTTTTATATAACGAGAAATAATTACGGACTATTATCTGATGTTCCGTTCAATACAAAAATGTGCAGGATTGTGGGGATGCGGGGCGATGCACTCAACGAAGCTCCAAGCTCAACAGCATGACGTACTTTTCAAACTCAGAGGCGAAGAACAAAGGTGCACACCCCAAACTTGGTGATTCTTCGAAATTCTTCCAGAATTCATTTGTTTGCATTTTTTTTATCCTTTTAATTGTCGATATGTTTGGGTGTATAGCAGCGGGACGATTGGTAAATACTTGCTTAATCTTTCACACACAATATGCCATTTCAATGTTCTAAACCCAATCCATTACGGGAATCGCTGTTAGGTGCAAACCAATTTGCAGCAAGTGGACGTCAACAAGTACGTGTTTGAGCTGTCAGACGCTCACACGATCAACCACATTGTCGTATTCCTCCTAGGAACTATACCTTTTGAGCCTGGATTTGCCGCTACGGTTCACTTATTATGGCCCAACAAAGAATGGCAACTACTTGGAGCGTAAGTAGCGAATCAAGTGACATTAGAGTCATTATTTGGTGTTCCCTAATCCTGATTGCATGTCCATGTTCGACAGCATCTCGAACGAGAAACCCAGTGCCATCTTTCGTTTGCGAAGAAACGAATCGAAAAACGGGCCTGACGTTACCATGCAACCCGCGTCTCCTGCTACGCTGGGTATTTCGATCGAACCGATCCAAGCGGTGGAACAGCAACTGTCCACACTGCAGCAGAACAATACGGCCTCCGCGACCTCCATGTCACTTGTTAAACCAGGAGCCAATCTCACTCAAGTGGGGCAAATGGCGAACCGTATCTTGGTAAACTTGTACAACTATGTTACCTCTTTTACGGCGCAGGAACTGCCGATGAATGCTATCCCGCTGGGTGCATTAACCGAACAAGGCTATTTACCAGTCAAGGCTTTCCAAACCTGGTACGAGAATCTCGGAAGAAAACTCCATAATGATCCCAATTATCTTTTGGAGGAAAAGGATGCGTAGTGAATTAGTTTCTTTCAATAGTCTCCAAAACGATGTATATAGAATTGTAAAAAGAAGAAAAACCCCGTTTGGAGTGCTTTTTTTTTAAAAAAAAAAAAAAAAATTTTGGTCATTTTTATAAATTGCGCAGACAGACAAAGTGGGGAGAAACGGTGAGAAGACATAAAAATATGATACAAGAGTGATATTTATCTGCTATCTCGTTAATCGGATCGGACATGCGAAAGCTCCACAGCAAAGCCGATGGCAATCTTTGAGAATTCTTTCATATGGTCAAAGGACAACTTATCGATCGTGTCACCGGAAGTGTGGATGTAATGGTTCGAATCTTCAAATGAGCTCTCAATTGTAAAAGCAGAGGGGAAACCAATTTGACGCCATGAAGCATGGTCTATATTCCCGTTTTTTTATCAGTATGGTATTCTGCTATTTGTGCGTGATCCTACTTACCGCTGCACGCATAACCGCACTTTGTCAAAGTGTATGGGATACCAGCATAAGAATCCACGAGGACCTTGATAAAGTCCGTCAACTATAACATGGCCAAAAAAAAGGTGGATCAGCTTTTTGTAACATGGCAACTTTTCCTGGCCATTTTATCTATAAATACCTTGTCATCAACGTGATCGGTAACAATGCCAATGACGGGATTGCCGCTGGGACCCACGTAACCCGTCATATCGTTCTGCAACATGGCAACCACACGTTTTCCGTCCTGTTGATATTGACGCGAAACAGCTTGGCTACCAAGCAATCCGCCTTCTTCACCACTGTACCAATGGAATTCAACAGGTCGTTCGGGACGGAATCCATTATTCACCAAGCTACGGAAAGCTTCCACAGTTGAAGTAGTACCGCTGCCGTCGTCCTTTTTTTATTTTCCATTCCCAAAAGTAAATATTCCCAAAACAGTTAGACTTGTTTCCATCGATATGCATTGATGAAACTTACATCAGCACCGGGTGCTCGGCCATATTTTGGCAAATACATGTTCATAGAATCCAAGTGAGCTCCAACAATGACGAGCTCATCTTTCAAGTCCTCGTTGGTTCCTTCAAATCGAGCCACGATGGAAAATTGTTCCCACTAACAAATTTTTTTGAGTGAGATGATCGGGTTGATAAAAAAAAATAAAAAAAGAAAAACAGCGACAGTCGGTCAAAACACTTACTGGGTGCTGAAACTCTTTCACGGCCACATGATCCGAGCCTTGTGCGATATTCTCCAATTGTTGGAGCAACCAACGGCATGATTCACCACCCCAACTTGATTTGTAATAACGGTTTCTGAAGCTGGTAAATTTGGTCAAGAAGGCCTCCATTGTCTCTGTGCTCAAATTGCCGATGTAGGGGGTCACTTCGTCTTCGTATAAAGTTCTCGCCGGAATAACTGTAAAAAGATCACATGCATATTGATGAGAAAGATTGCAGGTGATCCATTTTTGGGTTCGAGTCGTTACATACATGGCTTCCAGTTTTGCACACGAACAATTTCGTCAGTGTAGTCGGTGATATCCATAAACTTAATTCCGGCTCGAATCAAGGATTCCTTATCAGACTCTTTAATCCATTTGGGAGGGGAATCCTCGCTAAAAAAAAAAAAAAAAAAAGTCAGGATTTATCAGTGTCACACACTAAACGTAGAAAGAAAGGAGGTAGGGTTTACCTGTATCTGATAAGACGAGGTTCAGCATCTCCTACTTGAGAAATGCTTATCTGGCCATAGCTAACCAAAGGGCTTGCGGCCACAAGCGTGCTCGAGGCGAGAAAGGGTAAAAATGCGAGAGCGGCAGCGATTTTCATGGTCACAATAAAGAGAGGAAAAAGAAAAAAGCACTGGGAAACCGGCGTCCCTTTATTGCCTCCAAATCGGTTGCCCGAAAAATTTATTTTCCGCTGCCGATGGTGCGTCATATGGCCCACTTGAAATGCCGCTCTTGGGTGATTTCCATTTGGAAACACAATCCATCTATTTTACTCCCACTGTCTCTGCACACAAAGCAATTAACATGTTATCATCGATAAGAAATAATGCATCAAAACTAGATGCTGTTTTTTGCTTAGATACAAACTGTTGTTTTTTCGGTCGTGTGGCACGTGCTTGTGAAATGAAACAACAATTTAGCGATGCTATGGCCTTGCCAACGGAAAGTTTTTATTTACTGAATGTCAGTTCATATTAATAGTTTTGAAAGATCATTTGTTGATAAGCAGGGAATCACGATGTATTATTTTGATAGATGTATGTGTCTTGATTTATATATGTGATAGCGAAAGTGGTGCATACGGGACCATACCCCACTCCATCCTTCAACGTGCGAGCTCGGAAGCTTCCATTCTTCTGGCCATGGCAAAGTCCACACAACTGTTCTTGAATTTCGTCAACGTATCCATGTACTTTGAGTAAAACTGTAGAAAAAAAGATTTCGATGTCAGTAGTCAGTCGATCCCTTCGTGATTATGGCCAACTCACATTAATACCCTCTACTAGATTGGTTCGGATCTCTTTAAATTTGTCAAATCCCATTTCTAAGTTTTGAATCGCTTTCTGTCGTTTGGCTGCGCCGTCGCTAGACCGAACAATCATGGCGAATTCTTCATAGACTTGCTGCATGGTTTCCAATCGATCTACTTGCGCATCCACCGATGTATTCATATCCAGCTGGAACTTGCCGTACTTTTTAAGTTCTTGAGTGAAAACACCCTTAAACTGTTCCGGTTCGATCTTGACGGTCGGAATGCCTCCCGTAAGTTCTGAAGCTTTCGCCAGCAATGCTTCCGAAATATCATCTTCTGCCGCCAACTTACGAGCATCTTCCACCAGATGTTGCCGGAATTTTGCTGCATCTTCACTTTCTTGTATTAATTTGCGCAAGCGATCGATGAGATTTTGCAACTGGGTATAGTGTGACTCGTCGCTGACAATGGAGGGTAAACTGTCTTTCATCTCTTCGACCGGTCGTGATAACATTTCAATAGGTCGACTCCAGCTTCCAAGCTTCGCGCGCACGATGCGATCCGCCTTTTGGGCCGCTTGAATGGTGTCGTGGTGCTTTGAGCCTTCCGTTAATAGGGCCTTGGTCAATAGCTGAGATGGAGGTCGCGTCCACACTTTGGAAAAGAGTGAATACAGTGCGCGATCATTTTTCATATCAGGTTCTCGATACTTACAGTTACCGTACTGTCGTCGCAGAATTTCATCATGATTATTCTCTTCTTCAATAGCATCAAATCCTTCGTCAACAATATCTGCTGCCTTTAACGACATGGTTTGCACATTGTTGATCATGTCTCGAATAGCCCGAATCCCGCCTCCATGTTGAACTTCTTCGTTGCAGAGGACCAAGGAAGTGGGTAATACATTGGGATCGACAATATCCAGCGCTCGTGGAAGATCCAGTGATTGCATCAAACTAAGATACGGGCAAAATGAGTGGCCACCCTTTCTTTTGTTTCCCTTCCAAAGACTCGCCTCGATGTACCTTTCATAATCCCGCTGTATAACTTGATATTTGCCGGCAATATCCACGTCCATGATCTGCTCTTTTTGATCGGCGTAAACACTGGCTGCTTGATGCACAGCGAGAGGTACGAGACTCTCGAACAAGGGACGATTGAATTCGCCTGCTGAGGATTTGATGTATTGTGTAGGATTGGTAATGGCAGATGGCATGACGGGTTTCACCATATCTGATCTGAGAATAGGAGGTAACAGGCTAACTTGCGGTACTGTTTCCATATACACCAGATCATTGTCCTTTTCAGCTCGTAGCAGGTCGGCGTGGATGGATTTTTCGAGCGTTTCGACTTTGTTCACAAGCGTCGCGTTGATGGATAGACTGCCGCGAAGAAAGCTGGAACCCGATTCGATCGCTTCCAACGCCTGACGGTTGAAAGACGCGGCGAGCCGTAAACGAGCGATTTCTTCGCCGTAGCGGGAGAGGGATATGCATTCGTTTGCTTTATTATACTGCGATGTGGCAGTATAGTAAGCTGCTTTGATGCGGATGTAAGTATGCCAAGAGGAAGGAAGTAGTTCGCATACAGATTTGTCACTGAGGACGCTGCTGTAGTAATCCGCCACTTTGATTGCCAAACGGGCGACGGTGCCGGATTTCATATGTTCCATAATGGCTTTATGCCAAACGGCTTCTTGAGCTTGTGCCAGCATCAGCGAAGTCAAGGCATCCAACATATTCGAGCTCAGATCGGGTCTCAAATTTGGCATGAGTTCCCGTTCAATGTATCGGAAGCACCCTGCAGCATGCTAAAAAAGAAATATTTCCATGCCTGGATTCAGTCATGAAATGGTCAAATAGAGAAAAGAAGCTCATCAAAAGTTACCTGAAAGTAATTACACGTCTTTCGGATGCCTTCTGTTGATACTCTATTTTCTTGGCATCCCAACGTGCTGTAAATAGACGCCATGGTAAACAATAGGCACGCCTTTTCATACTCTAGGTTGCTGTGAGCAACTTTTTGAATGGGAAAATAGTCCGTCAATCCCACTGATTCCTCGAATGATCAGAAATGGCGTTGCTTACTTGCCTGGTTTTGAAACATTTGGAAACGGGCTTCGCCATTCGAATTTGAGTGCTATCTAAATAGGGTCATCAATACGAATAATTCACTTCGTTATCCGAGATGTCGCTGCAGACATACGTCGAGAGGAAATCGTGACCCTAAAAAGGAAACCTGCGAGTAATACCTGCATCGAGTATTATCATCCATTAGTTTCAAGACCATAGACAAAACAACTACACAGAAAGTAGATTGAATCGTTTGACAAAGGTAACTTACAAAGTTACTTGTTGTAAAGCGGCCAGGTCGACTGAGCCGTTTATGTGAACACTCTGTTCCCGTAATGTGTCGAGTGAAGTACAATCATCAGCATAGGTTGCGGCATTGTTGGCATAGGCAGTGGCAATGTAATGCTGTATAGCTTGTTTGTACGACAGCGATTTGGTGGTGTTGGGTGGAATGAATAAAAGCTCGGGAATGTCCTCAGGACTAGCGGGTGCCATATCGGCCAGAGGTGAAGTTGGATTTTCGGTGAAAAGCAGGGAATAGAACAACGAATAGATGTCCAGTTTTGCAGTGCTGTGACAATAGACTTCGAAACAGTATATGAAAGAAAGCTAAAGAGGAAAAAGAAAGAAGGAAAAAAGAGGCGTGGGATAATCATAGGTTCAATTTTTCATGACAATCAATTTCTGACACTGGATTATCACAGCCCTCGCAAATGCTGAAGGTTCTCATTTTTATACAAGATATCAAAATGAATGGTGAAAACCATCAAGGTACGTAACCGCCGGGAAAAGCGTAGCTGGTTCATTTTGTTGTATACGATATTCTTTCTCAGGAACGGCACCGGGTGGATGGAAACATACCGCCCGCCAAGGCGACACGTGATGTCGGCCCATTGGCGGAGTTTAAAAAGGTCGAGACCATGCAAAGAGGGCAAGGGACGAATTTTCATCATTTGGCACAGAAATTTAGTTATATGAAAAGTTAACATGTTGCAAACATTCACTGAGAGTAATATACTCACAATTTTGAGAAATAGTTCTATATATGAATGCAACAGAATATGTAGAGAATGTAATGAAAAGATGGAACCTGGGGTCTTTTTTGATGTTCAGCACTCCAACGCGTTTTCTTTTGTACGCATGCCGAAATAAATGTATCAAAGTGTCGAGTGGGTTGCAGAAATAATAAAAAGACTCAGTTACCAAAAAAAAAAAAAAAAAAAAAAAAAATGTTTGTAAAAAATGACGGGACACCATACATAAGCTACGAGGTTGAGAAATATCATGCCAGGCCTCACATGATGAACGTTTGAACGCAAAAGGTCAGATCATGTCTTTGTCGGAGTTATGCTTTCGATGGTGGTTCCAGAAGTGGGAAAACGCGCGCGATTGGGGGCCTAACCGGTAGACAACAATTTTAAGGTTATCTTTTGATCCCGCCATGGAAAGTGAACTGTACAAAAATTGAGCTGCCATCTTTGGAATGAGAAATTTTTATCACAAACTATAAAGCAATATGTTACATTGGAATCCTCGCAAAGTTGGGAAGCAGAAAAATAGATGGCTTCACAGTGGCTATACAAATCATACAGTACTGGACATCGATCCAGATTCCCAGTTAGGTGATACCAGGAAAACTAGCCAATTGAGTTTGGTCCCCAGCACCATTGGCTGCGTGTGGTACCGAGGCCATTAGCGTGTGATCATCGACGGTGGTCTCGACAGCTGATGCGTTCCCTGGTTCTTGTGGTTCCAGATTCGCCAGATACAGTCGCATCTCGTGCGCATATCGAGCCTTGTCCTGCTCCGCTTTTTGAAGCCACGGGGTGCGCTCTTCCTCGGAAAGTGCGCGCCATCGATCGGAAATGGCTTTGCTGATAGGCCCTACCGTACATCCTGGAAACTGCCGTGCTACCTCTGGCCGTACAGCTGCCAAGAAGAACAAGAATCCGGACATCGGGTGCTTGGGTGCTGATGGATGTCGGTGTCGTTTTTTCTTTCGTCCACGTGGGTCGCGACGAGTGTCGTTGGGTCCAGTGGCAGTATTCTTGCATTGACGTTTTGGATCGTCGCTCTTTAGGCCTTTTGGTAACGACATAATATTGACGTCAATGCCATCGGCGGAAGGGACAGACGTACTGGCTTTTCGTCCTGCCCTGGAGAATCGACGGGCTTCTGCCAGCTCGGCTTTGGAACGTCGCGTATAAATAAAGTCGGGATGATCTCGGATGTGCTGTTCTTTTAACTTCATGGCTTCTTCGTTGTAACTTTGTCGCTTTTCCTATTCAATCATCACAAAAAAAGGCTATTAGGACTTGTTAGATTCTGTTGAGTTGAAATGATTTGTACCTTGGATAGTATTCTCCATCGGTCACCGACTTCTTTGCTAATTTCTGCTACGGTCAACTTGGGACTAATTTTCAATAGTTCTCGGCGCATATCGCGATTGAACAACAGGTATGCATTCGGAGGTCGCTTCAATCGAGTTTTTTCTTTGGTTTGGTAATTGGCATTGTTTTGACGAAACAAGGGTTGGACAGATGTGGAAGCTTCAATTTTTATGCGGGGTTCATGCTGGATGCGAGAAGTGGCCGACGGGGGAGAACAAGTGGCGATTTCGGGTGGAGACAGAGGAAAGGTTTCTTCATCGGAATGGTAGGCGTCCGATAAACGAGGAGAATCCGTAGCAGAAGAATGAGAAATGGTCGGACTGAACATGGGAATCGAGACACTTGGAGGAGAATGGCTGTGACTGAACGACCGTACGTGGATTGCGTGCGAATCCGCAGCCATTGGATCTTGTTCAAGCCTTTGTTTCTTTTGTTGCTGAGCCCGCTCATGCATATTTTTTAAGGACAGGAAGGATGGAAATGCTGAAAAGGCACGGCATCGGCTGATACCCATGGCTTCTTCTTTTTCTTCCTCTTCCGCTTCGCGAATAGCTTCCGGCGATACGATGTGGGTGGGACCCAAGACGGGATATTTGTGAGATGGGATACATGTGTCTTCGTAAGATCTCTTTAGTGGCAGTGAATTGTCGCTGTCATTATCACTTGTGTAGAGATCTAATTCATCGCCTTCTTCCATTTGCGAATTGATGATAATGGCTCGTTGGTGGTATTTCTTTTTATGTGTCTAAAAAGTAAAGCCATGATTGAGTCATCATTACATACAGTTTGAAAAGTTTCAAAAGTTTCTGCTATTACTTGAGACAGAGCATTCCAGCGTTCATCAAGCCATTGTTTCATGTCGAGTGACGGTGTGGATTGCAAATCCGTCATTTGTGATCGGTGATCGTTGCAAAAGAGCATATATCCACTTGTTGCTGTCTGCCTTTGCTCGGGAATAGTGTGCATTGCGAGGTCGAATACTGTTTGCTTTTGAAATGAAGGAGGAAGCATTGACTGCGTAGGATATTTGTCAATGTGAGGATCTGGCAAAACCTGTGGTGACGGGGAACGAGATTCCACGGTAACGTTGGTGTCGGTCTTTAGCACAGTGCAAGCGTTGTATGGGTCATTCATTGACACGTCATATTGTGAAGTTGATGCCATAGTCAGAGGATGTGACCAAGCATTCATTGCAGACACCAAGGAATCGCCAATTATACCTTGAATAGGAAGTTGCTGGAAATCAATCAACTGCGGCTGTGGAGCGGGCAAATGGGAGGCGAACGGAGATGCGGACATGGGAATAAAATTGTCCAAACGAACAGGGTGAGACTAATAACAATTCATTCATGCAAATGTCAATATTGAGATAGTTGACAATGATCTGGGGGGTTTTTTTTTCGGGCTACATTACCGTTGCCATCAGTTCCGTTGTGTGTGGCAATTTCGGTGTACATCCATTTGTGTGGTTGGCATTCACAGGCAATCGATATCCGTCAATACTGGTTGATTTGAAATTGCGGTTGGCGAGAAGAATAGGATATTGGTTTTTGGATCTTGATGCAGGCAATATGGACCCGATTTCACTTTGAGACATGAGAAAAAGGAGGAACGAACGATTGTCCAGACAAATAGTGATTCGGCCTGTGTTTTTAAAGCTTTCAGTATAGAAATAATTAAAAATAAAACTTCACTAAACCAGAAAAAAATGCGAAGTTTAGTTGTTCGGTTCTCTTTATGTTCAACCGGTTTAAAAAAAAAAAAAAAAAAAAAAAAAAGCGGAGACCAAGTCTGTGCTGAACATGGTTGGTTTGAATTCTCTGAGTGGCAATGGTGTTTAGTACCTGAATGGAGCACACACTCGGACGGGAATGGGCAAAAAAGTGAAGGAAAGACAAGATGAGTTCACCAAGCGAAAATAGTAACAAAGGTAGGAAAATAGTGAGAAAGACGAAAAGAAAAAGGAAAATATAAAAAAAAAGAATGGAAAAAAAAGGTTGTATCACGAACAAGGGAAAAAAAATGCGGGGCAGCAATAGGATGGCAGAGGGGAAAAAAAGAACAGACCAGAAAAGCAAAGGTAATATGGTTACCTTATTTAGAAAGCCAGTTTTTGTCGGTCCATGAGTGGACGTCCTCGATTCAGACAACTTTGCCCATGCCTCATATCCGCAAAGAGGAACCTTGTATTACCTCATCTCCATAAACGATCAGGTAACGACAATCTACTGAAAAGTCTCATCGACGCACGCATAAACCCCTCCTCAAGCTTTGTATAGTCTCTCTGATCTCGCAGCCTGGTATGAACCGTCTTATACTAATGAGTATCTTGGATTCTTTCTATCTATATGCCGTCATTTCTGTTACTGCAAAGTGATGTGACCAAATGACAATAGAAAATGATTGCATTTAGTAGCAAAAGGCATGTCGGAAGAGGTAAAACGTATCAGGATTGCCCATTTTCAACAAGGTACGAACGCTGATCATATGGCGTTCTTATTTCTTGTTTAATATCGACCCATCTACGATTGATGAACTTTTTTTTTTTTTTTTTTTTGGTTCCTCCACGTCATTTATGTAGGATCTCGACCCAATGGTACAGCAAACCGTTTATGGAAAGTCATCGTATGCATTTACCTTTTAAAATCGAAGGTTCAACCATCTTTTTGTTCTCCCAATGTGCAAAACGAGTTTGGCTTGGTCAACGTGCCATCAAAAGGTATTCATTGTTACAGTCGGTCTCGATCCTTATGTGTGTTTGTAACGTGTATTTCCAAAAGAGATGTACAGTTCTGCCCTCAAGCACTCAGACGACTTGTCCGAGTCCGTTGCAGAATATTGCCGATTTGCCAACATTACAATCAGGATCAATGTTACTGGCTTGGCATGAAAAATCTCCAGGGACAGACATTCCCAGTCATAACCCTTTTGGGATTACCGTGCAACCAAGTTCAAAGAAAACATCAGTGATGTATCACTGCTAACGTGTTCGTGTGCAGAGGATATACATAAAGAATGACAATAGAAAAGACAAAAAAAAAAAAAAAAAAAAAAAAAAGATAAGCGTAGTTGAATGTTTTCGAAAGCAATCTGTTTACCTCTTCATACCCTTCCATTGCCGAGATGATAAAACTCCTTTTTCATGCGTGCAAAGGTTTTAATTTACGGCAAACACAAAATATGCACGCGAGTGTGTCAAAAGAAAATTTGAATCTTATTATTATTGTCCACAGTTTTATGCCATCATTTGAAGGAAAAGAAGGCAGTTGTTAGCCTGAAGACATTTGCAAAATCATTGGATTCCTGTCCAAGCATCTCCTTGCAAAGGATCCACTGCCAATAGTGGCATGCGGGCTATGAAATGTCGTGGAAGCCTACCTATTTCTCTCTCTGTATATCTTTTCATGTTGAGATGATGGTTACTGGAATATTTCAAAGGTTTGACGTGTACACGTTTGCACAATCTATCCGAAAATGATTTATTCTTTTTGTTCAGAAAAACAGGCGAATTCTATGAAAAACACAGAAAAAAAAGAAAGAAAGATGTCTTGTTCTTTATTGGGAATAGTAGGAGAATGAAGTCTAAAGTTGTGAAAGGATGTGTCAACGACGTTTTCATGACCTGCATGGAAAGTCATCCGATAGAAAAAAGTAGGCATGTGAACAGAGGGTCTATGCAACATCATAGGAAGAAGGATGTAATAAGTGGTGGTGTTCCTCCAAATACGCCAACCGTTGCTGGCAGAGATCATCTTGATGAATGGTGATCCCATGAAATTCAGGATACTCGAAACACTGGTAACCGGCTCGCAAAGCTAACAAGGTGACGGCCGACTGATCTTGACGATGATTCGCACGAGATGATCCTTGAGGCGCAATACATTCCTTTTCCAAAGCACAATCAAACCATGGATTCAAGATCTGGTCCATCACATGAGCATTCTCTGTATCAAATCCAAGAGCGGCACCGTTACAATTTTCCCATTTTGCATATTGCTTTCGTGTCGTCTTGAAGTAAGCAAACAATCCATCGTGATTAAATTTGGCGCCCATCAAGCCTGTGCTACGTGGGGACCAGAATCCGTGTTGTCGAATGTACGTGGGGATGGTTTCCATGAAACGTCGGTTGGGAATATCACCCGTGTCGAGCCAGACAATCACACCTCCGTATTTGATCTGAGATTCTTTGATCGCTCCCACCTTCCACGCATATTCACCTCGGTTGACAGTGATATCCCAAAAGCTGGGGTAAGCGGAATAATTGAGCGTAACAAGATCATCAAAGAACTGATGCTCGTACAGATTCCGTAACACAGCACGCTGGGTTTCGGTAAGCCCCAAATCGTAAACGACCAAACGTGGGTACATGGAGGTTGTCACATCCATTTTAACTTCTTTTAGGCTGTACAACATGCTTTCTAAAGCGCAAAAGTGGTTGGAACTGGCCGCCGTGACTATCGTGTAGGGAAACGTGCTCGACAAAGGTCCACTCTCTGACAAGTCGCCTTTAGACAAGCCGTCATCTGACATCGTTTCTTTCTGATCCACTACTTCCGTTATTGTCGTCCTGCCATTGGTGCACGTTACGTCCTCACCCTGGCATTCACTGTGAGCTGTTGGCTGTATGAGTGGACAGACATGCATCGACATTGAAAGAAGAAAAAAAAGTTCAACTCACCATGGCCGACGGATCGATAGGTAGCCAAATTCAGTTTCCAGCTGGTTACCACAAATAAAAGAATGATAACGACGAGGATCTGCAGTAGAAATGTCTTTTTCAGCACCATGGCAGTGTGACCCTGAATTCCATAGATGAAGATGAGTTTCACTCTTTTCTGCCAGCGACCCGTGATCGTAAATTATTGTGCCACCAAGAGAGCTGTCATTCCTAGTCACAAACGCTCTTCCACCTAATTGCCCTCCGTCTCTCAACTCAGACAACGTCCCTGGATTTTGCCTTGAATTACAAACTTTGTCATGTTTTTCTTGGCTGCATTTCTATGCTATTTGATGATATTGTCAAGGAAAGATTACATTGGAAGAGAAGTAAAGTGCTGTTTCTCGTCCTACCACCAGAAAAATCCGAAGCCAGGCAGATGCATGCCTGCCAGCTGTCTGCGTGAAAGGCGATGATGATTCATAAAACAATCAAGGTTCCTAACTTTCAATAACTGCATTTGGCCTGCATTTGATGGTAAATTTACTGCCACTGCTGACGTTGGTAACTTGTTGAAAGTAAATCCGAATCACTGAAAGACCGTGTCCGTGAGGTTCTTTTTCAATCCAAGTCTTCTATGCCTGTTACTTGTTAGCCAGCGTATAAATACATAAGGGAATCCAAAGAGTTATGACAAAGAGTTCCTTTGATAATGTGCTCTAAGCCAAACCAATCAGTGGGCTTCAAACTGTCAATGGAGCCTACCCCGCTTTCCGCATGCCCGGTTTTGTCGACGGATAAAAATTCGAAGTCACTTTGACCGAATAATTGAATGGAAACTTTTTTTTTCCCTTGTTCTCCACCGCGACCTGTCCAAACCAAGCCAAAGGGAAAGGAAGGAATCTCTTCATTTCCTTTAAGCCATTGAAGAAAGTGATGCGATGATAACTCTTACCAGAGTGAATATATGCACAGCGAGAACCAGGGGCTCTCAATCCTTGGCTCGATTCGTGCGATCTATCGAAAAGCGCTTTGTGCAAATCCAAACGCCGCCACCGCAAGATACCAAAGGTAAAAAAAAAAAAAAGCGCCCATCGTGTCATGGAACACACACCCCTTTTTCCAGTTACGAACAGTCAATGTTGAACATGACCATCTCTAGTGAAAATCAATGCCGCCAATGTGCAACTACTATCTCCTTCACTGCACGCCCAGATCTTTGGGAAATATGCTGATCCTCGGGAAGATAAAGCCGAGCATATCAATGAACGAGTCGAGTATGCCAAAGAACATTTGACCTTGCAGAATATTTGGGGAAAAAAGGCCGATACTCAGCCACCCATCGATCTCAAGTTGCCTTCCATGTACGGTCGTGATATCGAGGAACATTTCATGCGAATTGGCTTGGAACAGTCGGAAGGTTATTTGCAAAAATCTGAGCAATTTGCAAATCAGCAGTTGCCCGCCATGCCCACCCAATGGTCGCGCAACAGTGGTTGGACACGGTATGCATCCGATGGTACAGTCACATCTGTACCGTATCCATTGGAAGAGACATTCGCATTTGACGTGGAAGTGCTTGTCAAAGAAGGTCATTATCCTACCATGGCCGTCGCCGCTTCATCCGAAGCGTGGTATTCCTGGACATCTCCTTATTTATTCGGTGAAAGCAAGCACAAGGAGCATCTCATTCCTCTGGGGCACGAACGTCAACGGTTGGTAATTGGACACAATGTGGGTTATGATCGATCCCGAGTCGCCGAAGAATACAGCCGTGTACCTTCGGGCATACGTTACATCGACACCATGAGTCTGCATATCGCCGTGGCAGGTTTATGTTCCCAGCAGCGTCCGGCGTGGCTATCGGAAGTGAAACGACGGAATCATGATCGTGTCGACGCCATGCCATCCAACACCGAATCTCCTTCATCCACAGGCGAAGAATTGCAACGCATGGATATCGGCCAAGCCAAATTTTTTGATGTCAGTACACTCAACAGCTTGAAAGACGTGGGCAAATTTTACTGCAATGTCAATGTCGACAAAAACGAACGATCATATTTTGTCACTGGCTCCCTCCAAGATATCCAAGAAAATTTTGACAGTCTGATGCGTTACTGTGCCAAGGATGTGGACTTGACTCATCAGATCTACAGAGTGGTGTTCCCTCGTTATCGCCAAAATTGCCCTCATCCTGTTTCCTTTGCCGGTATGCTGCACATGGGGAATTCATTCTTGACCGTCACAGAAAAGTGGGACAAGTATTTGGCCCAATCGGTCCAAAAGCATCAAGAACTTCACGATATGCTCGACGTGAAACTGCGAGATTTGGCGGCAAAGGCGTGTGAGCTGGTGAACGAGCCCGAAGTATGGCAGAGCGATCCGTGGTTGAGCCAGCTGGATTGGTTCGTCAATCCTCGTCAGCGAAAATTGAAGGGCGCGCCCAAATGGTACAAGGATGCCTACGACAGCAAAACGGGAAAACTGAAAATCTCCACACGATCTCGCGTAGCGCCTCTACTTTTACGCTTGAAATGGCAAAACTTCCCTCTTCACTATCTGCCTTCGTTTGGTTGGTGCTATAAATTGCCCCCGGGCCAAGTGACCCAGAATATGGTGGATAAAATTGTCTATCAAGACGAGAATTATGTGTATTGCAAAGTTCCTCACAAAGACGGCGAATCGGCCAACTGCGGCAATCCGCTGGCGAAGAATTATATCAGCTATTTCGAGGAGAAAGTGCTGACGTCCGAGTTTGCGGCAGCAAGAGAAGCTTTGGAATTGAACGCTAAATCCGCTTATTGGATCAGTTCGCGGGAACGCATATTGAATCAGTTCGTCGTGTGGGATACCAATCCCAACGTATCCATGGCGTTACCGAAACAGTCCAAGGACAAGAACCTTGAAGCCAAATACGGAATCATCTTGCCGCAAATGGTCGTGATGGGTACAGTCACACGCCGTGCTGTTGAAAAGACGTGGCTGACAGCCAGCAACGCCAAAGCCAATCGTATCGGATCCGAGCTGAAATCGATGGTGCAAGCGCCCGAGGGGTATAAAATTGTCGGTGCCGATGTGGACTCTGAAGAATTATGGATTTCGAGTGTGATCAGTGATGCTCAGTTTGGTTTCCATGGCGCCACAGCCTTGGGCTGGATGACACTGCAGGGTAGTAAATCGGAAGGCACCGATTTGCATTCCAAAACGGCCCAAATTCTCGGCATCAACCGTGACAAGGCAAAAATTTTCAACTATGCGCGTATCTACGGTGCAGGTGTCAAATATGCGGCGAGTTTACTCATGCAGTATAACCAGGGAATGGATTTGGAAGCAGCCAAGCAGCGTGCCATGGATCTGTATTCGAGTACCAAGGGAGAAAAGGAACATTCCGTGCGAAATCGATTCAAACGAACCTACTGGCACGGCGGGTCGGAAAGTTACATGTTCAATGCTCTCGAAGATATAGCGTTATCAAAGGAACCACGCACGCCTGTACTTGGATGTGCTGTCACTGATGCTCTGAAGCCACGTTATACTGGTTCTCAATTCCTCACCTCGCGTATCAACTGGGTTGTACAAAGCTCTGGTGTCGATTATCTCCATTTGCTCATTGCCTCGATGGCTCATCTCATTGATCGATATCAAATCGATGCACGATTCATGCTCTCAGTTCATGACGAAGTTCGTTATCTTTCCTCGGAAAAAGATCAATATCGAACCGCCTTGGCGCTGCAAGTCGCCAACTTGTGGACACGTGCCATGTTTAGTCACAAAATTGGCATCAAGGACCTACCTCAGGTAAGATGAACCTTCAACTTTCTTTGCGGACAGCAATTAATATATGACTTTAGAGTGTGGCCTTCTTTTCGAGTGTGGATATCGATCATGTTTTACGCAAGGAACCGAATATGACGTGCGTCACACCGTCGCATGAGGATAAAATTGAAGAAGGAATCAGTTGTGACTTGAACGATGCATTGGACAAGTTGGAAAGCCTTACAAATCTTCATCGCGAAAAGGATTGTCTTCTCGGCGAAGAACGACCTACAGCGGGCCTAGTCTACGAAGATGATACGATCAAAGAAATGGTGCAGCATCAGCATCAAGTCCAGGGTAAACGGAAACCGTGTTCGCTTGCGTTCTTGGAAGCACAGATGCACAAGTCGTCTGAAAAGAGCCCTGATTATCGACAGCACGGCGGTGGCGAGACCAAAGAGAAAGTCCAAGCGGACGAGGCCATCCCCATCCTCCCCCCTGCACCGATTCGTCACGATACCCGTCCAGCCCGATTGACGCGAAAGATGAAATTCTATATTTGAGCGATTGCTTTCGCAATCTCTGGGCGCTCTCTTTTTTTTTGTATATACTCCGATTCTGTAAAGTACCTTCTCATACATGCATCCTGTTTTAATTTATTGGTTTCCCATTGCTGGAATTCGCATCCTTCATTTTGAAGTACTCTTGATTCCTCCAAAAAATATACATGCAACTCATTTATTTCTTACTGCATTATTCTATCCTATGATGTGATCCTATACTGTGTGTATCATTAAAAAGGACCGAACCTATTTTGTAGTTTTGTGCTTCAACGGGTTTATTTCTTTGAGTTTATTCACTGGTCCGGGAACGGGTAATGAAATCTTTGAACGGATCCTGCGAGCATATTGGCAGGCTCTATATTTAACCAGCTGTACGCAAATACGCATCTTGTGGACCCTCCAATGAGACGGCCATCCTTTCGTGTTATGTTGGCGGCTTGTATAATAACATAGTGCGCGTGCATATGTGTATCTTTATTGATTTCTGGCTTGCTTGCTGTTGGCGGATTATTTTACGTTGTATGTCCACTCCTTCAGTTTATTCGGCTCAATTTCTGTTCACCGTCAATGAACAACAGCAGTAGCTGAGAGCGCGACATGTCTTGTTTTGGATATTGTTCGCATTGACTTGATATTACCGAGAGGATACACAAGGTTCCCGATTACGGTGCTTTTAAATAGCTGCGCATGATACACAAGATTCCCGAATACGGTGCTTTTAAATAGCTGCGCATGATACACGTAAAAGGAAATCTGGTTTTTTGACAGCCTTCAATGCCTTTAATACTTCTCAAAGCGCATAAATTTGAGAACCAAGAGTGAGTTTACATTGACACGCTCTGCCTCGGTGGCTGCCATTGGGCAGCTGCAGTCGTGTCGAATGGGAAGCGCTAAATTATTTAGGTGGCGACATTGAGGCTGATGAGGGTCGTGCCTGGAAAATTTGTTTAAAATAAGCTTCATTGGATGGCTTTGTGTTTAAAAATAGCCAAACCCCTCGGTGTTCCATCAGCCTCATTATATTTCCATGTCCGCAGAAACACTAAACCATCTGTCATACTTCTTTTTCATCTACTCTAATCTCTCATGGACCAGAAATCAGTGCTTGTTACCGGTGGTGCCGGTTATATTGGTAAATCATCATCTTTGATAACAAGCATTTTATTGTCTGTATTAAACTGGCTGTATAGGATCGCACACTGTCATCGAGTTGTTGAATGCCAACTATTCCGTGGTCATCATTGATAATCTATGCAACTCATCTTACGAAGCTGTGCGTCGCATTGAGAAAATCACGGGCAAGTCGGTCACCTTTTACAAGGTCGACTTGCTCGATAAGAAGGCCATGGTCGAGGTGTTCAAGAGACATCCCAATATCGGATCCGTCATTCATTTTGCTGGCTTGAAGGCGGTGGGTGAATCGACCAAGATTCCTCTCGATTACTATCACAACAATATCACGGGCACGGTACTGCTACTTCAAGCTATGAAGGAAAACAATGTCAAGGACATCATTTTCTCCTCCTCAGCTACCGTTTATGGCGATCCTCCGATCATTCCTATTCCCGAAACTTGTCCCACGGTAAGTTAGTTTGCGCGCATTTTAGGATGACGTTTTACGCGTTCAGGATGACCATGTCGATCAATTTTTTTTAAAAAAAAATGAATTCTCTCATTTTTTTAGGGCGCCACCAATCCCTACGGTCGTACCAAACATTACATCGAAAACATGATTCGTGATTTATGCACGGCCGAACCCGATTGGAATGCAGGCTTACTTCGTTACTTCAATCCTGCAGGTGCGCATCCCTCCGGTATTCTCGGTGAAAACCCGCTCGGCATCCCCAACAACCTGATGCCATTCCTCGCTCAAGTCGCTATTGGCCGACGTGAATATCTTTCTGTGTTTGGTAACGATTTCCCCACCAAGGATGGCACCCCAATTCGGTAAGGAACCTATTTTGATGAAATCAGTGGTTGAAATTCGGCATATTGACGCCTTCTTTTTCCACGTTTTCCAGTGATTACATCAACGTGGTTGATTTAGCCAAGGGTCACATAGCTGCTCTTGAAAAATTGCGTGAAAAGCCTGGTTGTGTCGAGTATAATTTGGGTACGGGCAAGGGCAAGACCGTGTTGGAGATGGTAGCGGCCTTCTCCAAGGCCGTCGGTCGCGATCTTCCCTACAAGATTGTGGGTCGTCGTGCAGGCGATGTGACCAATTTGACCGCCAATCCTGCCAAGGCCAACGAGGAACTCAAGTGGAAGGCCGAAGTCAGCATTGAGGAATCATGTGCTTCTCTGTGGAATTGGCAAAGCAAGAACCCTAACGGCTTAGAAGACTGTCCCGGTGATGCTCCTCCCGAGTCAATCATTTGTTATATTTAAAAATTCATAGAAAGCAATGGACTCTTTCACGGCATATGCAAAGTAACATTTTACGTTTCATTATTTGATCTTTCGTCTCAATATTATTGCATGGGTGTATTTCTTTTTCTTGTCGCTTATTCACACAGTGAACGAATTTTTTCGAGTCCGATTCAATGTTTTATCATTCATTCACTCAGGACTTGATCTCAAAAGACCTTGAAATGGATCAGGTGCTTCTATATCCAGATGGCCAGCTTTTAGCGGCAATCTAAGCTTATGAGCATGCAGCATCATACGAAATGTATCTGTATACTTGCTCTCGTAGTTGTAATCGCCTACTATGGGATGGCCAATATGTTGCAAGTGGACCCGCAATTGATGCCGCCGACCCGTGACAGGCCTCAGTTCGACTTTGCTTACAGCCATCGTTTTCTCCTGCTTTGTTGTTTCATCCGTGTATCGATAATAGCCGCGTTCCAAAACTTGGACAAGCGTCTGTGCTGATTTGCCATTAACATCGATCTTCATGCGAAAATCGTGATCAGGATCGTCGGCAATGGGCTGATCGATGTGGTAACTATGTGCTGATTATCAATGCCTTGGACCATAAAATAAGAGAGCGATCTACTTTTACCTGTCTTCTATTAAATGTCCTGCAACAATGGCAAGGTATGTTTTTTGTACTTGTCGTTCTCTGAACAATTTTGATGCTTCGGCTGCTGCTTGCTTGGTTAGTGCGAGCACGTAAATGCCCGAAGTTGCGTAATCCAACTGATGGACATTGCGAAAAATAGGTATATGTGGGTATTGTTTCGTCAATAAGCTTTGTACTAGACTGTGGTTCAGCAACAAATAAAGCATGCTTTTCCGTGGAATGGTGTTTGCTTGCCTGAGGGTCCCTGATCGTCTCTTGGATTTTGAATTCTGCAATCGTATGGCTTATCAACAATCAGATATCTGTCATCTTCGTATAGCACCGGCACCGACACCGAGTCCAGCAGACGTGCACTCATGGTCATGTTGGCATAAAGGGAAAATGACTTTCTTGTCCCCGGCCATCGCTCGTCGGTCATGAACTGTCGGCATGCTTAATGACTGCTTTTCAACAAGGAAAGAAGTGTTTTCACGCCGTATATAAAATCGTCTTTAAATGGATGGTCATGTAAGCTCATATACAAGTTCACTCTGCAAAAGGCAAAATAAACTGATTACACTTCAATTCTGATTATTGATACCGATGTATCGCCAGAAGCACCGGGATACACCTCAGATCAGGAGTATGCAGTAACACGAGCTCTTTGCAACAATAACCATGGCTGCATTTGTTTCATCTACATGACTACAAAATCTGCTCCGTTTCAGATGCTAGATAATGGCAATCGATATGCAGCAACAGTATGAAATTCTTCAATTGCATTGTAAACGGTCTCCCTCGATTAGATTACTTTCTTCGACTCCTTACTACTACTATTTATTATATATGCAAGTAAAAGGAGTATCACTGATTGTTGCACTTGACAGTGATCTAACGTGAAAAGCGTACTTTGCTCACTCCCAAGCTTACCCTTGTACCCCTCCTCTCCTTTGCATCTGTATTTGTATAAGCGTGAACATGACACAGTACGATAAAAGATAAATTCATATGGATTCAAAAAGCTCTTTGAATAAACAGTACATCCAACAATGTGTAGTTTTTATTTTTGTTGTTTTTCATGTAAGGGAATATTCTTTGTATTAGTACAGGTGGTTGGTGATGGGGAGAATGGAGGGATTTAAACACCAACACAGTAAGCCTTGCCAGTGTCGAGGTTGTCACAGATGTGATCACCAGCGTGGTGAAGACCCTTGTTCCAGCTGTAGAGCTGTTCAACGTCAATGCCGTTCTTGGCAGCAACGTCAACACAGCCACCGTCCTGAGGAGTGATGGTGTAGAACTTCTTGCAGTTGGCGACAATGTGATTGGCCTTGTTCAACTTGGAGTCGTCCTGTTGAGCGGGCTGCGAAGGCTTCTCTTCCTTCTTGGGCTTTACCTCCTCCTTGGGCTTTTCCTCAGCCTTTTCCTTGTCGGCAGCAGCCTTCTTGTCAGCAGCAGCCTTTTCGGCGGCGGCCTTTTCAGCGGCGGCCTTCTTGGCAGCGGCAGCCTTCTTCTCAGCAAGGCAGCGCTTGGCCTTGGTCTTGGGGGCCTTGACACAAATGGACTTGCCGTTCAAGTTACCGGTGGCACCTTGAAGACCGTGGTTCCACTTGTTCAAACTTTCGACAGGGATGTCAAACTTGGTGGCAACATCGGAAACGGTTTCACCGACGCGGGCAACGTAACGTTCCTGGCAGGAATGGATGGGATGGATAGCGGAGGCCATACCGGCGATGGCGAGAGTGGCAGTGGCGATAGCGGTGAACTTCATGTTGATAGAAAGAAGGGAATGGGGTTAATTACAACGACTGGAAAGGGGGGAAAGATGAAAGCGAAGCTAAGATCTGGAAGGAAGAAGAAATCTGTAGTTGTTCCTTCTCTTGGGCGGAAACCACTTGTTGTTTATATACTAAATCACAGTTTGACGGAGCACGTACGATTTACTGCTGCTATTCTCAGATACAGGAATATCAATAAATTTATAGCGGGGATTCTGCTCCTTTTAGGTAAACTGACATGATCTTCGTAAATCACAGTGTCACACTCAAGAAACATGTGGAACATTAAGCCCGTATTTTGAAACCTGTCGATTTTGAATTCTGCATCCAGAAGTTTTGCTTTGCTGCATTGTAATGATGGCTATACAATGTACTTTTCTGATGTCTATCCGATGACGAAATAAGGAAGCCATGTTAGTAGCAATTTCATATTTTGATCTCAATTTCAATTACGTGCCTTTATTTTTATTTCATCTTTTTCACCATTGATTCAGGAGCGGAGTAGGATATCATCTGATATCGTTGTTTTATTATGCCTGCCTCTTGGGAAAATTCATACAGTGCATCCAACAAGCAATGTCACAGCCAATGAAAAATGATGTCACTAGCCAATGAAAAATAATGTCACTGGACGATCAAAACCATTGTCACTGGCCAATTAAAAACGATGTTACTCAGAAATAGAGATATTTTTAGAAATTGTGTCACTGTAAGTCTTCGCACTAAGAATGTAAATAGAGAGTGGGTGTTTTTTCAGGGCATTTCTTTTGTTTTCAATACTTTACAATTTAACATGAGTACAATATTTTTATATAAAGATGGACATGGGAATGTTGTTGATGAGAAGGGTGGCCCTGAGCCCATGGATTACATTGTTGATGAGAATGAATTTATTGTTGAGAATATTGCTAGTCATACAGAGTACTTGGAAACTGTAGTCCTCAATGAATCGTCTTTGACCTGCCCAATGTTGTTAGAAAAGCCTAATGAAGATATTGATATGAAGGAGGCAAGACCAAAACGAGAATATATGCGTTATACAGTCCAGGATAAAGCTCGATTTTTCGATCTGAAGATTGAAAAGTGTATGACTGCATCAGCTGCAGCGAAGCAACTGGGTATTCACGTTCGAACAGCATACAGATGGGCTAAGCAATATTATATGTGTCCTGATAGCGTTTTTGACAGCACTAAAAAAGTAGGTCGAAAATGTATCTTGATGGAGGATCATAAAATGACTGTTGTCAACTTCATTGATGCTAATCCATCTGCTTCTGTCGTTGAAGTGACCGAGCATTTGTTGAAGCAATTCCATGATCTCAAAGTTTCCCGTAACACTGTTTATAACTTTATGAGAAGTGAGTGCAACCTTTCGTTGAAGAAAGCAGATTTTCACTCTATTGAAAGAAACAGTCCAGCAAAGATCGATGAACGATACAATTGGGTTTGCAAATGGGAAAATACAGACATGAATTTCCTGACGAATTGCGTTTTTCTTGACGAGTCTGCTTTTGACATAAATATGAAACGCTCAAGAGCTTGGTCCGAAAAAGGCACTCGTGCAGTAGTAACCAGGCCTTGTACGAGAGCAAACACAACGTCTATATTAGGTGCCATCTCTGCCTCAGGTTTGATTACCATCGGCGTAAAAAAAACCTAGACCTGCCAAGAAGAGAAAATCTGATGGATATATAACTCAGGAACTGTAACAGGCCATTACATTAGTTTCTTAAAAGTGACTCTCGATGAAATGGATAAACATCCGCATATGAAAGGTCACTATATTGTTATGGATAATGCACCCATTCATACACATGAAAACATAAAGAAGTATATTGAGTATCGAGGTTATAAATGTGTGTATCTTCCTACTTACTCTCCAGAGCTTAACCCAATTGAACAATTTTGGGCAGTGGCAAAGAGTAAGGTTAAATGCCATAGGTTTTTGCAGGAAGACACTCTATCAAAAAGGATTATGGAAGCCTGCAACAGTGTAGAGAAAAGTCACTTCAAAGGTCTCGTTTCGCATTCTTACAAGTGTTGGGATAAATGCCGAGACAGAGAGTCCATGTAATGGTCAAAACGACTCCATCCCATCCAATAGCTAAAAATGCAGCAATAAAGAACAGGTAAACTGCAAAAAAAAAAAAAAAAAAAAAAAAAAAAAAAAAATATCTGCACCTTTAGGTAAATCCTTTGAGCAGTCAAGTTCGGCAAACATCGTAACAGCTGCTTTATTTTGATTGAGTATCATACGTAGTATCCGTAGTATCCGTAGTATCTGTAGTATCCGTAGTATCCGTAGTATCCGTAGTATCCGTAGTATCCGTAGTATCCGTAGTATCCGTAGTATCCGTAGTATCCGTAGTATCCGTAGTATCCGTAGTATCCGTAGTATCCGTAGTATTTTTATGTTGGCTATTTATTGATGGTGCTTTTTGACGTAGTTATTGAAAAAGGAACGAAGAGTTTCACCATTTGCGAATCGCTTGCACAATTTTTTTTTTGGGCTTCTTGCAAGCAGTGTTGCCAGTTCATTCTACCGACCAACTCTTTTTTGTAGTTCAAAACAAATGCAAAATCATCGTCTTTGGCAGATGTCGCGTCCGTTGTCGTATTCGTAAATCGATATTTTGGCAAAGGTTCCAGAGACGAGTCCGAGTCATCCAGTGTTGAAAACTTTCTTTTCACCGATGCGTTGTATTCCAACCCGCGTTTGATCAAGCTTTTGCCTTTCGATGTTCCTGGAATGTCCTTGATTGCCGTCTCAATTTTCCGGAAAATTTTTTCGTTGTTTCGAACAAATCACGTCGATAGATTCCGCAAAGTTTGATTCTTGTCGTGCGTGGTTTTCAAGACAACCCTTGGCAATATGGTATAAACGCTGAATAGTTGGGTCATTTGCATAGGTATGTCCATACAACGTCGAGATGAGAAACAGTGATAACGCGTGCAAAGATCGCAAGTTGCCATCAACTTCGGTGGTAGCCATGGTCGTCTTGGAAATAAGATGGCATGATTTCGCCCAGAAATCGCAACAAATGATGGAGTGGAAACAGTTGTGATCGTCGCCCATCGCCTTGAATTTTGTGACCATGACGGTGAAAGGCTGTCGATGCAAAATATCAGTACTATCGGATACGATTTATAAGTCTTGTAGACGTTCCGGGCGTAATCAATTAAGCGCTGCATAAATGGTTCGTGAACGGTTTTTTGAACTTCGATCAGGATGGGTGGAAGCGAATTTTGTATGCCAAGGGGAGGAACAGACAACACGTCACTGCGGCCATCTTTCCATTCCGAGTCAGCTGTTGCATATGTTCCTTTTGGTACTGCCAATAAATCTGTTGTCTGTCAATAACCGTTTGCATCTTCAGAATTTGCTTCGTCAATAAATCCTGGCCGGGCAATCGATATGGGGGAAGTTCAAACGTTAAAAGATCGTCTACTTCAAAGATAATGTTTAGTCGAAAAAAGCTTCTACAAAAGATAATAATACTACCTTCAACATGATCTTGGTCGTCTTCTTTGTCTGTCATCATGACAACAACAATAAAGATCAGAAAAACGGGAAGAAATCCCGCCTGCTCAAGGTGTTTGTGTATTCTTTTCGTAACCCTTCGCCGTGTCAAATTCTATTTCTGAGTGACATCGTTTTTAATTGGCCAGTGACAATGATTTTGATCGTCCAGTGACATTATTTTTCATTGGCTAGTGACATTGATTTTAATTGGCTAGTGACATCATTTTTCATTGGCTGTGACATTACTTGTTGGAAGCACTGTATTGAGGCATGATTCTACCACCTAGGCTGTCACAAAGTAATAAGTTTATTGACGAATAAGGATAAACTTTAATGGCAACAATAGAATTTATGTCACCCACCATAAAACGGACTATACGATAAAGGAACCAGATTTGCAGATTTTCTAACCGGTTAAAAACAACTCTTTCTGAATCGTTGCATAAACCAGGCACTACTTCACAACGTTGTCTGTTTCTGGTATGGTCTCAACGGATACTGATGGATTAGACAACGTGGTTCATTCAAATTTGCTCTGTTCCAACCCATTTCCACTTGAAAATTGGTTCGTATATTTTCTAGAAGCCAATATTCAGGGTTGACAGGCGAAAATATCCATCTTGGGGTATTTTTGAAGGTGAGGTGCTGACGAATTTTCCTAATCTTGCTTGCCCTTTTTTCGACACATTGACTTATTGAGATGGTTACACAGCCAATATATTGAGCTTCAATATGGCTGGGAATTTAATTCCCAAAACAAGTAATCACCCTCCCACTTGCGTTTCTTTTTTCGCACACAATGGGGCTGCTAAATTGAATTTTAGTGACATCACTTAAAATGCATTTTTTTTTGGTGACGTAGCTTATGTGCATTTGCGACTTTTATACACATGAAAGAGACCCGACAGTGACAGTATTGCTTTGAATTATTTATTCTCAAAAACAGCTATGATATATGATATTAGATGAGAAGTTATAGATCAATTCTATTGGGCAATAGTTACAAATAAGAAGCTTATGATCCGTTAGATCATAGAAGCCTTTACATATATTTTCATGAGCGATGAATAGTGGCGGGAGCTTGGTTCTGTGTCTTGGTTTTATAGTCACCAGATAAAAATGACTTGACGTGAGCTGAAGGATACTCGGATGAACGGATGAAGGAAGAGAGAAAAAATGGTACGAAACAAGATGCTTTGCTGCTCACTATAAGTGGCAATAGCAATGTGTAAGTGTTGCATGCAATTAAAGCACAGTAAGGAATCATAAACCATAAAGCTTGAAGGCGTTGAGGTGCATCAGTGCTGTTCAATGTTGTAAAAAGTTTCTGGACAGCGTCCTTGCCAAGAATACTGACATAGAAATCCAATTTATCCTTCAGATGGCGCAGCATATCTGATTTGACCAGCTGCCAACGCTGTCCATTGCCTTTAACGCTATGTGCGATCGCCCGAAATCCACAGTTCCCATCTGCTTGAAGACTGAACACCGAAGAGGTTGACTTGTGGCTGGTGGATGAGTGTACTACGTTCAAGGGACACCTGCCGTTGACCATTTACTTTGCAAAAGAAAGTTATGAAGAAGTGTTTGGCATTACTGCAGAGATTTGAAACTGAGGAGAAGAACTGCAATAATCAAAACATATTAGTACATTCTCATATAGATAAAGCAGTGCTTGCTCAACAGTTGATGCCTGTCGTTCTTTATCTCTTTGCGTTTCAGCCTTTTTTCTTCAATTCCAGGATGATTCAGTTCTCTGTTCGTGAATGCCGTCCCTTTTTTTTTCTGTCAACTACAACATTAACAATGGAATTTCAGATAAGATTAACCATAGCTGTTCATACAGCATACCATCGACACTTAATTTCTTTGGAGATGGATTAAGCTTCTTCTAACGTTAAGCGATCGCGGGATTGATCTTAGCGGTGGATCTGATTCACGTCTTCAAGAGAATTCGCAATTTGTTCTATGTTGTATATCTTTTACGCGACTTTTCTTCTAAACGGTGCAGCAGGTCGTATGTACTGTTACTGCTTTCAATGACCGCATCGTGTACACTGTTTTGTGAGATTCTTGCGCAGGGTACAAATGCCAACATTGTAGAATGAGTTGCATAGAGAGTCGATCGTATTGTGGGATCGTGTGCCTGCTTCATGCCTATACACAGTGTTTCCTGTAACCAAGTTGAGGGCTAACAAAAGAAACATTGTGCAATAGTTGCGATACTACAGTTCATGCCCGAAAAGCAGAACACTCTCACAATACTCATGTCTCTCTGCAGCCACCACATACAACAGACCATCTGCAACAACAAATCCAAAAATATATTATAATGTATTGAACATTCGTCAAGTAAGGACAAGTTTTATTCTCGAATCATCAGCATGCATGCTGATATATGAATCTCGAACCTGTTTTTTCCAGACAACTGGAGTGCGTGTAATAATTTCATCCTTCGATCTCTGTTAATGCTGTGTATTCTTGACCGCATTGGGTTGCCATTTTTACTTGTAAGGGGTCGTATAAACTGTCATATAGCATCGCCTATTCATCTGTCGTATTCATTCATCCTTTGGAACCGGTTTCCATATAAGGAAGATCGGGAATTGTAATTCTACTAGAATCACATTTTTCCTTCAAATGAAAAAGGAAGTTGTTCTCTCCAAAAAACAAGCTCATGACAAGGTTTGATGATAGAAACCAATTGAGGTGCAGTGATTTACTTGTTCATATATAATGTCAGATAACTTAAATAAGTCATCCAACAGTCTCGCCATCCCAATAATTTGACCTTTACGACATAAACAAAACATGCAGCTGACAGATCTGCAAAAGAGGCATAAAGAAAAGACAATACAATGAATTGATTGGCTGCTTTTACAACCAATGCTTCAAACTATTCAGGATAAAAGGATAAAAGGATATAAATACAAAGAATCCAGTCAGAGCAAACTTGAAAGCTGTATATTTAATACATGATTGTAACTAACAGAAATGCTTATGTAGGATAAACCTGAATGAACGCAACCGCGAATTTGCAGGCTTAAGCGCTGCCAGCACAGAAGAACAAACGGCCACGAGGATGCCAGCCAACTTAATTCGGTACTCAGCATGGCTTTTACAGAAAGCGCACGATTTGGGGGCTAAACGGTGGTCTCTCCTTCCCCTCACATCGCACCAAGTCGGTAAGATATGGTATGGCATTATTGAATATATTTCGTTTGGGACTTAATCATACATTTTTACAGCGTACGTTTGATTAGTGGGTGATGGCTTTTTAAACGAAGCCTGCATGTCTGGACACCCTGTTCCTCCCGCTTTTAACGGTTCGTGAGGTAAAACTCTGTGAATTACGCTAAGCAAATGTCTATAGTACGAAAAGCGATTAAAATCTGGAACAGAGTCACGCATCCAATTTATTACCAAAGCCTTGTTTCTCAGATCCTACCGAGACCAAGGATTCAAGCAAGACCTGTGGGAAGCAATTTTTAACATTGACAAAATTTACCCAAAACGGTTGCGCTACTTGCAGGTGGAACCAGGTAAAAGATTGCGAATGATACAGCAATACGTTGAAAAGAGACCAACTTGCGACTTTTTTTTTCTGACAATAAACAGTTGATTCAACAAAGCATACACAGTTCGCCAACGCCATAGAGGCAGATGGTGTTATGACGAGCGTAAAGTTCGTTAAACGGTGGGACCGGGGTAAGTTCTTGCAATTGAAGGCGATTTCCCATTATTCAGATGATTTTTCCCCCTCAATCATTAGCGCCGTACCCCTCCTCCAAGAAAGAGTTTGATTTTCTTCCTAAACGGCCCAACATTACCAATTGGACCAGAGGTCTCTATCATTTAAAAAAAAAAGAACCGACTGGCTTGAACCCTGCCGCGCGTGTCATCGGTAGGTAAGTCTGTTGATACTCATGATATCAACTCGGCATACAACTGATTGGTGATACGATAGGCCAACGCTCAGTCATAACAAGCTGTGACACGGACACCAATCTGCATTTGGAGGAGGGAACGAAGCAATCACGCTTTCCATATCACCAATGGTGAATACCAGTAAGTACCGCCATTGGATATATACGAGAATAATTGCAAATATGTAACCGAACATTCGATATGTTTAGGCAGCGCAGTATGTTCCGTTGGACAACCCCGATGGAATTGAAAAAAAAAGAAAACAAGCAAACATACAGCCATGCTATGACGAAATCAAGGAAGCGCCACCCTCTGTCTTCACGATGAACGCGTTTAAGAAGTATATCGAGGCTATCGCTCGTAATCATCAGAAGTAAGTGGGAAGCAAAGCGCAAAAAGAAGTTCCCTGTATGTTAAACGATTAATTTCATCCTTTAGGTTGCATACATTCAATTGCACATTCTGCCACATGGAAAAACGTGCGCTGGTTTACTCGCAAAGGCAAATGGTGCTAGATAAAATGGCCGACACCTTGCTCGGGGATCCTGCCGAGCCAAAAACTTGTAAGTTGATGATATTTCACATCTTCTCAACATTTAGTAATGAACGATGTGATTCAATAGCCTTGTCAATGGGCTTATAAAAACTCTCGAAAGTCACGTCGTCAAAAAAGGAAAAACGCTCAAAGAAATGAGCGGAGGCCAGAGGGTGCAACCGTAGTCGCATATGGGGATGTAGACCTGAAGCCCATGAAACCACATGCCTCAGTTCCAATCAAGGTACGACACGATGGTGAAATGATATACTCCAATATACTTTGCTCATGGAAAAGTTATCAGGGTTTTCGCAAGGTTCTTGCCCGAAAGTCGATGAGTTTCGTACGAGCAAGGTATGCAGCCGTTGCGACTCTGAGACACTTGAAGTGCGAGACGAACAGATTCAAGTATGCAACCACAAGTAAGTATAGCGAACTAGGGCACAGGTTGCATCGTCAACTTATATCGCTGCAATAAAAGGAAAAAGCATTGTCGACTCAAGAACATAGACAAAAGGTGGAGAAGACGATGTCTTGATGATGACGGGAACATACTCTGTTATTCGTCGGAATGCCGTCAGCAAATGGCAGCAAGTAAGTTCAAGACTTAATTGTAGTTATGATGTAGGGTGATACTGATAAATCAAGTGGACGATCTTGGAAAAACGGCATTTATCCGATTAGACTGTGCCAACAGTGCCAGTCGGCCAATGACGATATCAATCCATTGGTAAGCAAGGAGGTCCTGATTACTTTGACAATATAATGACAACGTCCTTGGTTATTCTAGATTAGGAACAGAGATGTCAATGCTGCCCTGAACATGCGTTGCATCCATATGGCATACATCAATTCCGGTATCACTGTAACGAAGCGCACAAGCTGCGCTTGACGAGGAAAGCATTGTCAACTAGCCTCCTGGTCAAACCAGGTCAGGTCTGGGTTGGTGAGTCAATTCGAGTTGAGTTTTACATCAGCAAAGATCAACCAATTATTTATTTTTTATGTGCAAACTCTATGTGCATTTAGCAAAACCCGAAACCAGAAACCCAAAAGTCATTGGCCCCAAGTAGGACTCTTGGGCAGATCAGGCTGTTGACTACCTAGCATTCTTTATTGTTTGCTATAATGCTTATTAATCAATGAGTTTACATCAACACATACGTTGGAAGGAAATATGCGAGCTTTTATGTCTTGGTGAACAATGCTTTTTTGAACATGTGTACTTTACTTTTTATTTTGAAATTAAGTTAGAATACAATGCGGGACCACGGGTGATCCACAACGCCGTATTGAATATCCATGATGGCTTGGTTAATTTTCTTTGTCAAGTGACCTGCTTCCGACTTGAAGTCTTGAGGATCTAATGGTATGGAAATATCTCTTCCTTTGAATCCAATACATTTGATAGGACTGACAATGCACGCTGTGCCGGTACCAAACATTTCGATGACGCGATCTTCGTGCACAGCTTGAAGGATTTCTGCCATGGTAATTTTATCTTGTATGACCCGAATTTTCATTTCGGCTTCCCAAGAGGAGACCAGCTGAATAACACTATCGCGTGTGATACCAGGCAAGATTAATCCATTGAGCGCCGGTGTCAGTAACTCCAATCGGCCGCTCGGATTTTCCCAAAGCATGAAAAAGTTCATCGTTCCTGCTTCCGTCACTTCTTCGTCCTTGCCAAATAGCCACAGGTTTTGCTGATAACCTTGCTCCAGTGCAATGTTTTGTGGTAGAACACCGGGTGCATAATTTCCGCCTACTTTGGTGTCGCCTGTTCCGTGAGGCCAAGCTCGAACGTAATCGCTGGTCGCAAGAAGAGAAACTGCTTTAAATCCTGTCGAATAGTAAGGACCCACTGGACATGCAATGACAAACAATAACACTTTTTCCGGTGCACGGATCCCCAACGTTGGGTAAGTGCTGATCATGGTAGGTCGTAAATACAACGAATATCCGCGCTCCATGGGGATCCACCGCTCATCCAGTCGCAAGAGCTCAACAATGCATTTGAGCAGTTCTTCCCCGTTGAATCTCTATATAAAATATTGTATTGGGTTTTAAGCTTTCAGCCCGTAAACAATTGACGTGTTATGTATCTCCTTTACCGGCATGCCTACTCTAGCTGCCGAATGATTCAGCCGTTCCATGTTCATCTCTGGTCTAAATAATCGTACATGTCCTTGGTCGTCTTTGTAAGCTTTCATTCCCTCGAAACACTTGGAACGTCACGGGTAAGAAAGTGTTTTTCGTGAATTCCAATCCACCAAACTATATTTACCTCAAATCCGTAATGAAAAACTGTAGAACTAGGATCCAACTGGAGCTTCTGATATGGTTTGATATGTGGCTCATGCCAGCCGTCTTGTTTATCCCATTCCACGGTGAGCATATGATCCGTAAAATGTTTACCAAAAGTAAGCTCTTTAAGCGGAATGAGCGGCTTATGCTCTTCCGTTTGCTCCACCTGAAGCTTGCTTCTCTCTATATCGTGTGCCATCCAGAAAAAATTACGACTGAACTTCAAAAGCGGTGGATTTGGTCGCTAGGAGAAAAAAAAAAGATCTTATAACACAATCTTGATCGGCTAAAATCATTCCGCAGCAAATTGAAACCCCAGACATAGGATGTCCATAAATGATTTGTGATATCATTCTACATTTAACGGATTCATCTTTTGTCTGATAAGATTAGTAGCCACCGATCAATCTTGTAAATACAAAAATGCAAATCGAGTAAAACTATGCTCGGGAAAGTAGTTCACGAAAAATATAAAGCCAAGAGATTCCGACACTGGTGCAATGAACCTTGCAATCATAAAGTCGGATTGTATACTGTATGATTTAAAATCCAATTATGTTATACCGGACGATAAATTTAATATGTGGATGATTTGCCGTATTACAGGTCTGAATAAACACTGAGTTATTGATGTTTGTTCTTGTTCATCATGCAAAAAGCAACTCTTTGAGATTTTATTGTCCGCAACAAAAAATTCAAAAAGCCACTTGTAAAAAAAGTAGTCCCTAATTTCCCAATCTTGCTTTCAAATAAAAAAAAAAAAGTAAAAAGCGCTTTGCAGCAACAGCACACATTCAATATGGCGATTGAGGATAAGAAGCGCAAGCATAAGCACGAGAAAAAAGAGAAGAAGGATAAATCGCACAAGAAGCATAAGAGCTCTAAAATTGTGCAAGTCCAATCAGAAAAGAAGCCAGCATCATCGGTGGTTTCATCGTCCTTTTCCGAAGTCAATGCGAAACTGTATCTCCATTTGGCCCCCATGTGGTCCGGGAAAGTCATGGACGGTGTAAATGAACAACTGAATGCGTTTTTAATGAAGTCAGTTTCCTGTTTTTTTCATGAAAATATTCAGTGTTATTGTCGCATACACGGTACTAATGATGCTGATTGGCTCTGTATAGATACGTGCCTGAAGTCGACGGCATTATTCTCGCTCATACCGATGTCCAGCTACTCACCGAAAAAGCTACTATTCTCTTCGACTCTCCATTTAGCCATTTCTTCGTTCATGTCAAGTTCCTCGTATGGAAGCCCAAAAAGGGTACCAAACTTGGTAAGTCCTTTCCTTCAAATCGGGAAATTTGAGACTGGAAAAGTAACCGTTCTTTCTTTTTTTCGGTTCAAAAAAGTCGGTCGTATCAACTTGCAATCACAAGATCATATCGGTCTTCTTATTTACGGCACTTTCAACGCATCCATTCCCAGATCACGTATTTCCAAAGACTTGTATGAATGGAAAGCTTCCGAGACGAATGAAGAAGAAGAAGTGGTCGATAACGACGCAGAAGAGGAAACTGCAGAAAATTATTCAGAAGAGCGTAAGCGAAGTCAATATGGCGAATGGATCAATAAGCAAACGGGTGCAAGCATCGGCCAAGACGATGCATCTCTTGAATTTACCGTCGTTGAGTAAGTGAAGGGTTCTCGATTATCAGTAATAATAACATAATTGCTAACTCTTTGTCGTTGCAGTATTATAGAAGCTAATGATATTCTTACCGTCACTGGTTCCTTGTTATAAACTGTAAATTCTCATAAATCCAAGCATATACACATCCACCTCATCACTCATCCTTTCCGAAAAGAAACCAACAAAAAAAAAAGATAAATCTGTCGCCATCTTTTAGAAACGAATCCTATGTCTAGAACTTTGTAGAATAACAGCCACCGCAAACATTCTGCTATGCTTACAGCCGATATGACATGTGTGACGCCGTGCATGCTTAGGAATTCTAGAAACGAGAATCACGCGCAATGAGCATGATTTTATGGCCTTATTTTAGCGTTACATGACCTAAATGTTACTTTGGGTTGCATTTCTGGTCAGCTAGTTTCCGAATGGGATGCTGATGAAAGTTGTCCCTTTTTCTTTTGATACCCCATTGTATATAAAAGTAGAGTCCTCATTTGCCATACTATCGAAGACGGCTTTTTGAAAAATACCTACCATTATTAAAATGTTTGGGAGTTATGCGCGCTAATTTTCAGTCACAAGGCAGTTACATTGGGTTTTTGCTACATTTGTCGACTTTGATTGGGTAATTTTTGAAAAACAAATATTTATGATTGGTTGACAGACAGCTGTTGATCGGTCCGACCTTTGCGCTCGAATTTTTAACATGAAGCGTAAAGCTCTGATGGAAGATCTAAGAAGAACCATGTTTGGGAAGAGTCGTTACCCATGTACACACGGCGGAGTTTTAGAAGCGAGGCTTACTGCATCTTCATTTGCTTTTGATGTTACTCCGGAGGATAAGCCGAGAACACTTGATGACTATGATCGTATCGTGTGTGCCGAACTTCCGGACAGAGAGAGATTTCCTGATCTCTACGACACCGTCAGCAGATGTATGATGCACCGTCCGTGTGGAACAACGCATCCGAGGTCTCCCTGCATGGAAAACGGCTCATGTAAAACGCGTTACCCGCGCTCCTTCAATGAAGCTACTATCGAAGATCACAGTGGTTACCCGTTATACCGTCGTCGCAACAATGGTGATTTTGTGGTCAAGAACCATATCCAGTTGGACATAGATGGGTTGTTCCCCACAATCGATATCTCTGTGCAAGATATAACGCTCACATTAACGTCGAAATCTGTACTTCTCTGGAAAGCGTCAAATACCTGTACAAGTATGTTTACAAGACCACGATCGTGCTGCAGCAGCAATGTATCATGCCGGCAATGACAGAAAATGTCAGGCTCCTGACCCGTTTGCGCTTTGGATGTAGTTCCGCCAGCATTTGGCAGAAGACTATATCCATTTTTTTGGAGCAATCAAAATCAAGACAATGATCATCAAATTGAGCCGCCCGAAATCGTGTACGATCGCGCTTTGCTGGACATTGAAGAGCATCTGAACCGCCAATCGAGTTCACTGCTGAATTACGATCGCTTTGTTCTTCCTGATCGCCAAGAAATTGGCAGAAGCACACTTCGCCGTCAGCCCAGACTGGTAAGAGAACAATTCGATCTCATCGCAGACGCTGCCAATGTTCCCCAAACACACGAGTACCTAAACCGTTATCAACATGCCGTATACCACGCAATTCTCCAGAGTGTCACGCATGGAAGCAACGAATCAGCCCGATTGTTCTTTGTTGATGGTCCTGGTGGCGTCTTTACCCTTATGTTGTTGTTTTTATTATTCCTTTATATTTTACTGTATGTATTTTGTCTTATGCTCCTTTGATTTCATCCTTGCTATGATTTTTCAAGCTATTCTTCACTATGTTTTACTGTATGCTTTTTGTCCTTATGTTCCTTTTGATTTTATCCTTATGCTATGTTTCCCCAAGTACGATTTTTTCTGTTATCTATTTTTGTCTCTCCATTTAATATTATACGATGTCTGACTATTTCTGTTCTTAACTTTGTGTACATATTGTTGTTCCTCTGTCGTGGATGAAGAAAATGATCACTATGTGGCGGTAGGTCAGGGGGGGCAAGACCCCCGGGAAAAAAGAAAAAGAGACTGTACTACTCTGTTGTCCATTGAATACGCAAAGATTTATGCGCACATCAACTAAATCTTACCGAAAAATCAACCGCTTATTGACAAAAGATTAGAGTACCATCAAGCGAGACCTTTGGATACACAAATTCGAGTGCGGAGTTCTGAATATTGCAAATGGAGCATCCCATTCCAAACGCATCTTTAATCAGCTACTATTCCCACTAGCCTCAGATTATCAACAAACTAGAGACCGAAAGAGCATAACTTTGTGATCTTTAAGATCAACAGGCGCTACTAGTCTCTACATAATTAAAATATTTGGGAAATTAGCGATTTTGTAAATCACATGATCTACACTAAGTTATCAGGACCTGTTAAACGTTTTTTTTTATCTTTCAACCATGCCTCGCTGCCCACTTTCACGATAATAGGCGAAACAATTAGCAGCAAGATGCCGTTTGCGCCAGTTTTGGTCAAACAGAGCATCGTCGTCTTTCGAATAAAAATGTGAGTAGAGCTCTCTTTGAAGAAAAGTGGTTGATGATACGACTGGCGTTCTTCTGTAGCATCATTCAATTTGGTTTTTTTTTGTCAGTTATACTGTATGTTCTTTCATTCTCTTTCAATTCAATGAATCGAATAATACATAAGCACACGTGCTTCGATCTATGAATTCATGCATCAGTGGGGTGACTATTGTTTCATCCATGGAAAACCATATTGTTGTCTTCAATTTTATCTTTCTTCTTTTGATTTTCTCTCTCTCTTTCTGTTTGCTTGATAAACCCTCACTACTATCATTGTATCAAGATCCCATCCGCATCCATCATCCAGACCATTCTTATCCCGTGTATCTACTTGGTTAAATTGACCACCATCCTCAAAAAGGTAAGCGTCGAGTGGTCTACCATCGATTTTGCTCCGGCAAAACAGACTTGGGGACTCTCGATATCTGGAATCCAACTCGAAGTTACCGTCACTTCTGGCCACGTCAATATTTTTTGCCTGCTCAAGCTGACACCACCGATCCATCGCTTAAGTGTCCCTGGAAGCAATTTTATTTTCCGCATCGAAGAAGAAGCTTACCTGGCGGTCCGTATTCATCGTTTTTTTTTTCCGGTACACCATTTGGTTCAAAGGCAAGTCCAATTTCTTTTCTTTGCTATGATGTAATAAACGTATACTAATTCAAATCTTTTCAATGTCATATAATCCAAGTCATGTCAAGCGATCAATGGCTATCGAAAACTCAAATAACAAAGGTAAAATATCTTGACGAAACTTTGAATCAATCAAAGAGCTTACTAACTCATTTTTTTAAATACCCAACATAACCACACATCTTTCTAGATCTATCATAGCCTGGGCGGGATGGAACTGAGGGGGGGAACCAGTGCTGCCCTGCGCGGGTTCAGAAACAAATCACGTTGCAACGTATGCCATAAGGTTGTCATTAATATACCGAAGTTCCGTCAAGAGTTCTCGCCCAGGTTATGCCGTGTATGCGAGGCTTTTTGTCTGACGAAAGTCGCTCAATGTAAGAGGGCGGCCTCCGGTGGCAGGCGGCATCCATTGCACAGCGGGTGTACGGCTTGTTAACTACATAAAGTTGTTTGTTGACCTGAGAGGATTGTCATTCAGAAAATGTTTATGATTTTCCTTATATTGTATGCTATATTGCGTGCTATATTGCAAGGTTAGCATGACCTTCGATTCCTTAGTACTCACTATGCAATTTTTACAAGGACATCATACTCTCAGACGCACATCTTTCTGATTGCGGGCGGTTCGCTTGCTTCTGCATAAAATTTAAAAAGAAAAAATTATTGTTGGCAGGACTTTTTAACCCCAATGTTGCCATTTCTACGATAAATAATATCCCTTACATGGAGAACTAACCAACGTAACTAGAGACTGATCTAGCTCACAGAACGAGTCAGTTTGAATAGAAAAAAAAAAAAAAAGATCACATTCAGATGACATTAGAGCAAGGACCGACAGGTCACGTGATCTTCTAAATCTGACGCGAGGTCAGCATCCAAGCATCTATAACGAAAATTAGTCAGTTTGTCCGAGTGGTTAAGGAGATAGACTTGAAATCTATTGGGCTCCGCCCGCACAGGTTCGAACCCTGTAGCTGACGACATCCTTTTTAGTCATTCTGCTTGATCTGATTTTTTTTTCTTTTTTTTCTTTTTTCAATGCAGTCTTGATCTTTTATTGCAATGGGTCGGAAAATGAAGCAGAGGATTGTGGGAATATCCGATAGGGGTTTGCTAAATGCACATAGAGTTTGCACATAAAAAATAAATAATTGGTTGATCTTTGCTGATGTAAAACTCAACTCGAATTGACTCACCAACCCAGACCTGACCTGGTTTGACCAGGAAGTTAGTTGACAATGCTTTCCTCGTCAAGCGCAGCTTGTGCGCTTCGTTCCAGTGAAACCGGTCTTGAATCGATCTGGAAACCGGAATTGATGTATTCCATAAGGATGCAACGCATGTTCAGGGCAGCATTGATACTGTTCCAAATCTAGAATAACCAAGGATGTTGTCATTATATTGTCAAAGTAATCAGGACCTCCTTGCTTACCAATGGATTGGTATCGTCGTTGGCCGACTGGCACTGTTGGCACAGTCTAATCGGATAAATGACGTTTTTCCAAGATCGGCCTACTTGATTATCAGTATCACCCTACATCATAACTACAATTAAGTCTTGAACTTACTTGCTGCCCTTTGCTGACGGCATTCTGACGAATAACAGAGTATGTTCCCGTCATCGTCAAGACATCGTCTTCTCCGCCTTTTGTCTATGTTCTTGAGTCGACAATGCTTCAACCCATCTTTCCTGCCTGTATGGAGACCCTTCGTCAGGTCGCCCACAAGTCGTGTTGCCCGTTTGCAACCACTGCAAGCAGATCTCCGGCATCCGTCAATGCCGATCTCAACGGGTGATCTCAAAACTCGACAACTGTCCAACCGGCCTTCCAATCCTCACCACGAGCTATCCAGCGCAGCCTCCTACAATGACATCCTCGTAACTGTCCGCCACCTCGTCGCAACCATTCCATCGGCAATGTCGTCCCCAGGAATACAATTTCGATGCGACATTCGATAAAGCCGTTGTAAGTAAAGCAGCTTTGCGGTATGCTCCTATTGCATGTGGCAATATATATCAACTTCTTCGAACGACAGTGTACCGACAGCAAATAGTACCTTAAAGTGTAGAGAAGCGAAAGAGGGAGAAGGAAAGGGGACGCGGGTAACGAAAAATAACAAAGGAATACTTTTTTTTTTATTTTTGACTGTGAAAATGCTGAACAAGCCGTCCCCCCGCTGTGCAATTGATGCAACCTGCTACTGGACGTCGCCTCCTTACATTGAGCGACATTCGTCAGACCAAGCCTAACGCAATACGGCATACCCTGGGCGAGAACTCTTGATGGAACTTTGGTATATTAATGACAACCTTATGGCATACGTTGCAACATGAGTTTCTGAGTGTGGTATCATTATCTATCCTAGACCGGTGTTCCCAAACTAGAAAGATCGGGATTTAGACGTGTTTCCTTCCTGAGTGAGCTTCTCCATTAGAACCGATTGATTCCTCTTCATCCAAACTTGGATCTATCACCGAGATCAATTCATACGGGTAACGCTGTCACATCACAGCATACGAATCCTTCAAATACATCTTATAACCGAGGACTGCTCACTGATAATTATTGCTTCTGATCAAGATTAAAGTAAAAATAGGCAGATCACATTAATCGAAGTAAGCATATCCGACATGTCTCAAAGGGTTCTCATTGTCTATTTTGCTCTAAATTCTCTAATATAACACACCACTTATAGTGAGCAGCAAAGCATCTTGTTTGTACCATTTTTCTCTCTTCCTTCATCCGGTCATCCGATTATCCTTCAGCTCACGTCAAATTATTTTTATTTGGTGACTATAAAACCAAGACACAGAACCAAGCTCCCGCCACTATTCATCGCTCATGAAGATACAGGTAAAGGCTTCTATGATCTAACGGATCATAAGCTTCTTTTCATACAACTTGTAACTATTGCCCACTAAAATTGATCTATAACCTCTCAACTAACATCATATATCATAGCTGTTTTTCAGAATAAAATAATTCAAAGCAATACTGTCAGTGGCGGGTTCGATTATGCCATAAAAAAATCATAAATGCACATAAGCTACGTCACCAAAAAAATGGAGAATTTAGCACTCCCATGATGTGCAATCTCCATGTGCATTTAGCAAAAAACCTTGGTTTCGTGTCAGTTTCCTCTTTTGGGAAATCCAAAAATCATATGCGCAATGCGTCATTGTCCAGTCACGGAAACACGTATCTGCTTTGCATCGCAGAGTTTGAGGAGAGTTATTGTTCGTCCATCATTCTTTTTTTAACTTATAATGGTACGTCAAATGCAATGTCAAAGGGCACCGAGGCAATGGCGTTATCAAGCTGTCTTGGCTTAGGCATTTTGTCTAATACACTGTCTAGTTTAACGGTGATAATTTTGAGGAAGACGATCCCTTTTCTCCTGCCGCCTACTTGGGCGGTATTCGTCATCCTTTTATGAGCAACATCATGAATCCGAACAGAAAATTTACAGAATGTTACCGATGTTATCCCATGGCCATGATGCAGCACGGCAACGAAAGAGAGAATGTTAATTACGGAGGAAAAAGTAAGATCTGGACGATAGGAAGATGATTAAAGCGTACTCTCGCTGATCAATGTACGATCTTGCAGTTATTCTTCCTCAATCCGCTCTGGAAAAGTTGTGTAAGTGATGGCACCATTTCGACCGAGCGAATAACATGTGTATACGCTAACACCCTTTTTCGAACGTGTGTATATCGGGACATGCTTCTCTTTGACTTTTCTTTTTGATAATTTTAGCTCAGCTGAACATTTCATATCCTATGCTCTTCAGACTTATCAATGCGGGTCAGAATAGACACACCCACGCCGGTGTGTTGGAGTTTATCGCAGAAGAAGGTCGAGCATATTTACCTCAATGGGTAAGTGGGAGAAGTGCGATTCATCTGAAGATCCGGTTTTCTGATCTGATTTTACATTGCAGATGATGCAATCACTCAATATTGAACCCGGCGATTTGTTGGAAGTAAAAAATACGACTTTACCACTTGGTTCATTTGTGAAAATTCAACCGCAGTCCATCGACTTTCTGGATATCAGTGATCCAAAGGCAGTGTAAGTGATCACGACCATTGTCATGGAGTATGTGTGTATGGATCTCTCACAATTATATCCTATGGTTGGCAGTCTTGAGAATGCTCTTCGAAATTTCTCCACGCTTACTGTCGGAGACATTGTACAAATCAACTACAACGACAAAGTATATGAAATCAAGGTTTTGGAGGTCAAACCGAACTTTGAAGAGCATTCCGGAATTTCCATTGTCGAAACAGATCTCGAGGTAAATCATCAAACTATCTTTGGTACACAAGGACATATGGGTAACGAATGAATGGTGTCTTAGGTCGATTTTGCCCCACCTGTAGGCTACGTCGAACCAACAAAGACGGTTTTACCAACCATGGTAAGTGAATCATGATCGTGATGGAGAGTTTCATCATCTGAATGGGTTTTCCGATCTACAGAAGAGCCAAATGATCATTGACGAGGAAGTTACCAAACCGACCAATACCGGATTCGCTGCTTTCCACGGATCAGGCCGCACATTGCGAGGGAAAGATAAACAGTGAGTATCGCGAGGAGACCAAGAGAGTGTGTGAATGGGAATCTAACTTTTTATAAAAATCACAAGACCGGTAAAGCAAAAGATGTCCGAGGATGGGGAACAACCGTCCCCAGAGGATATGGACCTTACGGAATCCGCTTTCGATCCAAACGACGATGGACCGCTCAATCTTCCTTTCGGACAACTGTATTTTGGCTTCCCTCTTGTTACCCCCAAGTCGAAAGAAGAAGCAGAAGAAGATAGTAAATCGCGAGCATTTAAAGGTGCAGGACAAACCTTACGAAGCAAGAAAGTACCGAGTGCATCTGCGCGATAATTCCGACAATGTATTATTTTCCCCTTGATGTAAAAAGATGCTCACCAAACACAAACCCCTTTGTTGAAATAGGCGCAATAAAGCAGATAGAATAGTCCAATGTGTTCTGACTTTTTTCTTTTCGGTGATCTACAGTGAAGCGATGTATTATCTATCAATATTTTATGATTTCTGTCTGTGGGCTCTGTTCCATAGTACGATTTAATTGGAAACAATGATGCAACAAATCATAAGCAAATGATAATAGGAACAGATATTATTACAAAAAAAAAGGAAATAAGTAAAAAAGTGAAAAAAAATTGTAAGGGGAAACCTGTAGTGTTAGGATATAGGATCAGTCTCTGATGATAAGTTCTAAACCCTCTATAGCCAAAGAGTGGCGATCATGCCTGCAACTGAGCTCAGGACAAGACCGTAAACGGGAGCCAAGCCGATGGCGTTGTTGTCGGCGTTTTCGGAAGGCTTTTGACCGGTGCCGGAAGAAACGGCGTTACCGCCCTTGGATGAAGAGGTGGATGTATTGACGGGAACGGCCACATCTTTGTAAGCGCATCCGGAACTGGTGCAGAGACAAGCCCCGGCAACAGGGTCCCACCACACGCTGTCACAGTTGTCAGGCACAGGATGACGGTAAGAGGGATCGTTGCTTTGCACATGATCTTCAGGTGTAGGCTGTTCCAAGGTAGGAGCGACGCTGGGGCAGTTGTAACATGTGCCCCAGTTGGTGGTATTGAAATTGCATGCATTCAATAAATTGGAGGAAGCCACGCCAGCGTCGGATATCGTAATATTCTCCAAACCGTTACAGATTTCCTTGCCAGTATTGGGCAATTCGCACTTCATGTAAGATTGGTTGGCTAACTGACTGGCGGGGACGGGGTTTTGCATCCATTGCAACAGTTGCTCGTTGGTTACAAACCAAACATCGGGCTTGCCAGCCAAGGATTGAATAAAGTCCACTACACCCTTTTTCAAAGCGGAAGGATCTTCCAATCCAGGGAAGGTAGTCAAGTGCGCTGTGAAGATAGAAAAAAAATTAAGGTTTTTCAATAAGATCTCCGCCTGTCGGTGCAAAATAAAATGATTTGAACCATACTTGGGTGAACATAGATACCAAACGGTTGGCGGTTACCGTTGTAGTGTCTGTCAAAGTTGGCATTGGACCAGGCGGTGACATCGGAAACGGAGCCGGCCAAGTAGACGTCCATCAACTGAGGCGTGCTGGCATTGTCGTTGACAGCGTACATGGGAATTTCCCAAACGCCGGGCAATTTGACTTTGTCGGGATCGCAAATGCCTGTCCAGCAATCGTTGGCCATACCATTATCCAAGGTATAAGGCCAGTAACAATCATCCACCACGGCCGTGGAGGACGTGTCGTAATGGAAACCTTGTTTACTGATCTCGTTTAATGTGTCGGCGGTATAATTCACTGCACGAGATAATTTGAAATTTAGAATGACAAAAATGATTTCCTTATCATAATCCGCTGTGTTGCAAACGAAAAAAAAAAAAAAAAAAAAAAAAAAAAAAAAACTTACAGAAAGGCGCTCTGAAGCCCTTGATTTTGCCCAATGGAATACCGGCATACTTATGAAGCATGGCGCGGGCCGCAGCAATTTCCCTAAATGAGGTTCAATATCCGGATTAATGGCTGTGCTGGTGTCACTTCGGGTAAACCCAAACAGAAAAAAAAAAAAAAAAAACCACAAAAACTTACTGAGCAGACGGACTGCCTGTTGACATTCAATGTCAGCCAAACCATGCAATTAGCTTTCAATTAAGCATAATCGTTTGTGGTTAGTTTTGCCATACTTACCAACATGGGAAAATGTATGACTATGATTCGACAACAGCAAAAAAGTTAATTACCATGGTAAGCAAAAATAAAATAATAAGGTTTTTCTCGGTAAAACCAGCATTATACTTACTCGGCTACTTCATTGCCATTGGCGTACCATTGCTGAACGAGCGAGAAATCTGTATACTCCATAGACACATACCAGGAACCCTATTGTTTCCCCCAAAAAATGAGTTAGCCATTTGTCCTGTTTTGACCATGCAATTTTTTTTGGACTTGTTCTCCTTCAATTGAGAAAGGGAAACACCAGTCGAATGTCTTACTTGCCTTTGCAGGACAACCATTGGGGTTTCTATGCGAAAGGGAGCAATCAAGGAGGAATCACAGGAGTTGGTGCGGGGTTCAATAAGTAGAAAGAAAAAAAAAACACCCATCAGTGAGTGGTATTGGTCATTTTAGCTATGCACAAATCGGAGATCGTGCAAAGAATAAAGAAAAAAGAAAGCTGGTATTTACTTGACGTTGAGCATTTCATGAGCGGTAGCCAACAGTTTGGCTTGAATGGAATCGTCAAAAGTGATGGTAACGAACTAACGGTTCATATGAATTCATTGCTGCTCAAAAGACGACTGAGAAGTGAATGTAGTTGACAAGTACCTGGGGAACGTCTTTGGGTGACAAACCAGCTGGTGGCGATTGTGATGCGCACAAACAGTTGGGCAGTTTGCAGGCATTGGGATCGCAGTGATAGGAACTGGACGCGCCACCGGCTCCGGCAGGTGCTGTAGCACCTTCTTGTGCAAGAACCGATTGGGTCAAGCAAAGGACCGAAACAATAGCGGCGCTGATACCGAGGAATTTCATGGCTCACGCTAGCAAAAGGATAAAATATAAAAAGTAGAACAAGAGAAGAAAAGAGTGAGAACCACAGAAAGGAGAGCTCGAGTTAAATGTGCCTTTGCCTTTTTTTTTTTTTTTTTAAACACCACGCCTCTAAAAAAAGACAAAACGATCGACAAGTCCGCTCTTTTTGAGTAATTTTTCCAAAAGACGGCATAAAATTTTTTATTTTTACAAAAGTCGACGTTCTTTTTGTATGAGAAACATTCATATAATGAACGCAAAAAGAAGACAAATGGCGTGCAAAGAGTGTAATGTTGTCATTCCATCAAATAAACAGGTTTATTGTATTTTGATTATAATCGTATCATTTGTCATGTTAGACAAGCCAAAAGCTTAATTATCCAAATTTATCTCTGGGCATTGGGTGCAATTGCGCGAAAACCAGAAGGTTTAAAAAAAAAGTGTTGTGATCAACAACACTCCTCTTTGATTTGAAGAACCACTTTAGGGGAACACATATGACGGGGTATTTACATCGATGCACGTAACACAAAGAGAAAAATGATTTCCGATTTCTCATTCGCAAAGCCCGCTTTCTGACGCTGTGAAAACAGAATATGCTCAGCACGCAAAAAATAGCCTGGTAGACATTTAAAGAATCTCAGTAAGGTTATATGCATTATCGTATTCGCTATAGCTATTTATAACGCTTGGGAAAAACGGCTTTTTTTAGCCACAGCAGGGATCTTTGAGTCATCTGCAATCGATCATTGGCTGAGTTCTTACGGTCCATATCGAAAAACAGAATTTCTGCTGGGAACTGACCAATTTAGATCTTTTGTTGTTCCGGCAGCCGATGATCGATTTTTATACCTATTCAATGGCCCACCTCATTACCGATGTATAGACGATGAAGACATAGCCTTTAGTCTTAGCTCATACAAATACACCCGCATTCATCGCGCCAATCTGCAAGCATTAAACATTTTGCAGTGTGTTTTATACCTAATCAAGAACAATTCCCAATTATGGATTGTCAGCTTGAATGTCATGACAAGAAATATGCATTGTTACATATTTGCAGAAAATCAGACGATGAAAAGTGACATTTGCAAAAATAATCACCGCTTATATAAGCGGCAACAAAAAGCTTCCATGTACTGGGCTTATCAAATGATCTTATGGTGTAGTTAAGCGTAAACTTGTATGCGCTAAGAAAGCCAAATTACTAACCAATTAAAAAGTGATAGACAACACTGAGAATTATGCAAAAGCCAGCGGATAACCAATTAAAGCAGTTTGTCGATACCGAACAAAAATAGAAAACTGGTTCGTGCAGCAAAGACCATTCGTCTTACCCGATCATTATTTAGCAATCATATGCATTCGTTTAGCATCGAAAACATGTTGTCAATCATCATTATCAGATGCCATGCAGGGACGCTGCTACATGGACATTTTGTTGTTGGATGAAACAATCTGCACATATCTTTACACACTAGCATTAAATCGACGAGTGAAATCGAAAAATGGTCGAATAGGTTAAATTGTTCATGCAACGTCCATCCTGCAAGATAATATTCAGGCACAAAAAAAGACGCCAACATTAATGAAAGCAACCCAATGTTTAACACGTGAAGATCTCGATGTGAGCCATGTGAAGAAGGCCGTCACAATGCTGGGCATGGCGGTAATGAATTTTTTTTTCTCGGACTTCAATTGATTGACCGTTCGGCCCAAGCATTGTTCATTCAGTCAAATCTTCTTTCACTTTATATTTCTTTTTCTTGGCATTCTATATACCCTTTATACAACATACATATGCCGAATACAACTTGTGTTGAAACTGTCACCGAGGAGAAGCTGACAGCAATACCCCAGGCACGATCGGTACGCTGGGCTCCCTTGCGAGGTATTCCCTTGGAACGACGGTTACAGATGCTGGCGGTCTGCACCTGGATATCCTTGCTATTTATTTGCCTCGTGACGTTTTCCGTTTGCTTTGCTTTCCCTATCTTATGGCCCTTGTTGATCGCCTATGCCATCTTCTTATTCCATGACACCGCGCCAGAGTCCGGTGGCCGTCGATTTGATTGTACGCGCCGATGGGCCATTTGGCGATATTTCGCCAATTATTTTCCCGTCAAATTGATCAAGGTACATTAAAGGGCGTCCATTGAAGCAGATAAATTGTTATTAACAAGTAGCCGAACGATTTGAAATTGGAATAGGAGCATGATCTGGATTCTACCAGTAATTACATTTTTGGATATCATCCTCATGGTATTATTTCCATGGGGGCATTTGCAAATTTCGCTACAGAAGCGACCGGCTTCTCTGAACTTTTCCCTGGAATCATCCCTTCTTTGTTGACGCTTGTGTCTAACTTTCGATTACCATTGTACCGCGACATTATCCTTGCCCTGGGCATGGGCGCTGTGTCACGATCTTCGTGTGAGGCAATTTTGAACTCAGGCCCAGGTCGCGCTTGTGTCATTGTTGTCGGAGGAGCATCCGAGTCCCTGAACGCCCGCCCAGGTATTGCTGACCTAACCTTACGAAAGAGACTCGGCTTTATTCGTTTGGCAATCAAGAACCAGGCTTCACTGGTGCCTGTTTTTTCCTTTGGTGAAAATGAATTGTACGAACAGTTTGAAAATAGTGAGGGATCCGTGTTGTGGTCGGTTCAGAAGAAAATGCAATCATTATTAGGGTTCACCATCCCTCTGTTCCATGCACGTGGAATATTCAATTGTAAGTGTTTCAAAACGGACAGAGATAAACGGAAGCATGAGAAAAGTCCATGTAATATGAAGAAAAATATGATAGACGATGTTGGATTTGTTCCATTCCGTCATCCTATTGTCACTGTGGGTAAGTTATGTAAATTCAATACGTCCATGAGGACGATAAAAAAGCAACATGGTTGACGATGGTTGTTATAGTGGGTAGACCGGTGCCAGTGCCCAAGCTAGCAAAGGACCAAGTGGAGCCTACAAAAGAACAAGTTTTGGCAGTCCAAGAAGCTTACATTGATGGATTGAAAGCCATCTATGACAAATATAAAGACGTTTACGCCAAGGACCGTAAACAAGATCTTCGGCTCATCGATTGAATGAAACCTGGTCCATCACAGCCATCCACTTTTTTCAACATTATTTTATCTCCTGCACCATGCAGATTTCAACGCAGTGTTAAAGCTGGGATTTTCTCTTTTTGCAACATCATGATCTCCAGCATACATACATAGAGTATTCCATCATGCTTTTACTTTTTTCAAAGGATACAAAACTTATATAAACGAGCAATTGTTTATACACGGAACGTTTGAACCCTTATCCTATCGTAACAAACCAAATCAAAGTAGAAAAAAGGGGGAAAGAGAATATAAAAACTGAATCGAGAACATGTACAATGAGAGGGAGAAAAAAACAGCCTTTTTGCTGGTCAGGCTTATCTACGTTCTTTGACAAAGAACACTAACCAAACAAATGCGAATACAATAAACGTCATAAACATAACAGCAAGCTTAATCACATCGGGCCAGTAATTTCTGGCGTTGAAACCAAATGTCGATAAGATAGTAGCACCAGGAACCTAACAAAAAAATTGCATATTAGATGACATGGTGAAATAAGAAGGGTAATTTTAATCCGCCCTGCTAGCTTCACTATAGATGCTTACATCGATATTTAAACCGTAGCGTTCCTCTACAAGTTGAAGATAAATGAGCTCATTCACCAACAGAGCTTCCAAAGCATAGTTGAAGAAGGACAAGTGTTTCAGCCAACCGAAGTAAGGCGACATGGAATCTATAGTTTTGCAGAGTTTAGCTTCAAGTTCATCAAATCATTGTGGAGATATTATCTTACCCTTGTTGAGCAAAAGACCAGCAAACAGCATGGAGAAGAGCATGGCCATGCAACACAAAAGATTCGCCATTGAAAGGTTCTTGAAAACAACACCGATAGCCAAGCACATGGCGGCAGCTGTTAGGTTGAACAGCACCATGACCAGCAGGAATTTAAAGAACTCGGCCACTCCTTCCACCAAGCCAACCATGTAATAGGAGATCAAGCCCATCATCAACGGTGGAACCACACGCAAAGGAATGATGTCAAACAACACTTTTGACAAAAAGTAGACCCCGGGTGAATAATACCCGTTGGCACGCTCTCTCACAAAAAGGACTCGTTCGCTGGAAAATACTTGAAGCGACGTAAGGCACATAAAACCCAGCAGTGCTTCATAAAAGAAGAATAGACCCATGCGATTCTGGAAGCCAGCAATGGTATTTGACACCCGGTAGAACAATCCACCACAGATTACTATGGAAGGGTGAGTCACAAGTATCTTTCAACAAATCATCACAACTTACATGCAAGCGCGACGGCAATAGCATAGTGAGCAAACATCAGCATTGGGTTTCTGTACAGGTTTTTGAAGGTTCGATCGGCGAGAATGCGGAATTGAGCTAGACAACCAGGACGTTCGTGTGTATTGACAGGACGAATAGGGACAGCTTCATGACCTTCCGCTGAGGATCTGTGACCATGTGTGTTAAGCAACATTTCTAATCCGTACTCTGATTCTATCACTTACGCAGCAGATACCGCACCACGGATTTCGTTTCGCAAGGCGTTGGCAACAAAACTATTATCATAATTATCAACGAGTCGACGAAGATGAATGGTCAAGCCTTCTTCGTCCACAGCATTGGCCGAGTTTTCTCCATCAATAACAACGTCCATGCTGGGCTGTTGCGATCGGCGGGATCGTCGCGGCCGGGTTTCTTGTTCTCGATTGCCTAGTTCTGAAGCCCATTGTTGACTTGTGTTTTCCAAATCGTCCTGAAGCTGATGATCCGTAGAAGAAAAGCCACGTCGATTATTGGGAGGAGCAGCCGTCGAAGCCACGTCAATCGGGTTATCGTTATGTTCCAGAATGGTAGGTGGACGAGGTGGCGTCGATTGCATGGTCAGATCAATGAGGTAGTCAGCAATATTAAAACCAGGTGGGCATGAGTAGCCAGCGTTGCGGAAATAGCTTTGAACACGATTCTCAGGACCCGAGTAAACGATGCGCCCTTTGGCAAGCAGCACGAGCTGATCGAATAACGTGACAATGTTGGAACGCGGTTGATGAATCGTGAAAATGATGGTTCGATTGTAGTCGCGGGCCAGAGTGACTAGCGATTCCACGACATTGTAAGCATTATAGGCGTCCAATCCACTGGTGGGTTCGTCAAGGAAGAGAATGGAAGGCGATGTTACGAGTTCGCAAGCAATGGCGACACGGCGACGTTCACCACCACTAATGGAACGATTATCCGGTTGACCAATTTTGGAATCTTTAATACCATCAATGCCGAGTTCCTGCATAACTTCCATGACTCTAAACTTTTTGGCTTGTTCACTCATGGATCGCGGCAAGCGCAGTAACGCCGAGTACAAAATGGTTTCGTAAACCGTCAAGGTCGGAATCATGGTGTCCTCTTGATCGACATAACCAATCATTTTCTTATACTCGGAAGGCGACAGCGTTTGTCCGTTGAGATAGACTTGACCAGATACCGTGCCTGTTTTGGTGCGATTGGCCAAAATATCCAGCAAGGTGGATTTGCCAGCACCCGATGGACCCATGATCGCCATGACTTCTCCGGGCCGAGCCATACCCATCGCGTTTTTAAGCACCGTTTGCTTGTTGACAGTGTAGCAGATATTGTCGAAAACAAGATTGGCAGGTGTATGTTCCGCCATCAATTTGCCGGCTTCGTCATCCGCCAACGCAAAGTAGCCGGAACCGCTGGGCTTTCTTGCAAAGTAGGCGACAATGAGCGAGATCAAAATAAGGAAGGTGCCCACCCCAGCAATACCACTGATAATCATGATCCAATTCATTGGTCTTTCTGGACGCTGTCGGCAGCAAAAAGGAAAATCAGTTACACAAAATCATTGTACATCGTTGGTGTGAGGTTTGCTCAAGAAAACCCCACTTACATGAAAACCAGGCACCATTGTGTAATGCAGACATTCACCGGAATTGCAGGATAAAAAGATGGAGTCATCTCCAAAAACAGCCGAAATGAGGTCATCCATTGCCGGTTCTAATAGACGACATCAATTCGACATAATTACACCAGTGATGATACGCCGATCCCTTTGACTTACCAGAGAAAAGACAGTTAGAACCTTCACATTTGAAAGTGGCAGGTCCCTTGATATCTTCCTTCAACATGTCCGTCAGATCTATTCGCGAGAAGGTGTACTTAAGTCTTTTCCCGTTTTTCAATAGGTGCGATACCCATTCCAATTTACCGATAGAGCCATCTTTGCCGCAAAGCATTTCGCCTTTCACACATCGACAATCGATAGTATTACATTTGTAGTTGGTCATATTGCGGTCATACTCGTGCACTAGACGTAATCTGCTTAGTACATGTGGATAACTTGAACCTTTTTATCATGAGGGCCTCACCTTGATCAAAAGCGCATTCATCCAAATGACAGTAAAAGGATTCGACCTCATCGACCCAGACTTTGCAAAATAGGAGAATTAGGTAACCGTGATGACACACAGTTATAAAGGAAACTTACATTGGAAATCACATGTTTCATGCTGTCGATTGCAAGAGAAAGTTACTTGCGGAATCTGAGTCTTGAGTTGTTCCAAAATCTTTCGGTCTTGCAAAATTGTGTGTGAGAACCGTGATTTCCCTGGAGAGCGGAAAATGAAATGAAGGATTCTCTTTTCCTGACTTACTGGTGACATTGCACATTTGATGATTCTCAAAGACCGTGAGACCTCCTCGATAGCAGGTACCGTTTTGACCGGTAGGAACCAAAGAGTCACATACCGAGTCCATACTACACACTACACCGTTCATGTAAAACCAAAAAAAAAAAAAAAAAAAAAAAAAAAAAACGCGGGTTGAGTAATGTCCCTTTCCTATCATGCCATTCGTTCTCGGCTGTTGATGTACTAGCATACCATTGCAGTTGATGCCTTCCCAGCCTTCGGGGCAATCACAGTGATCATTCTGTCTAGGCGTCCTATTATGGCCATCATCCAAACCTCCGCAAACTAAGAATTGATGGGAAATAAGATGGTTCAGTTTCCGGTGTTTTGGCGAGAATAGGTTTTAAAGGAAGATACCATACGAGGTTGTTTGCAGTCGTCACCGCCAAAACCAGGTGGACATATACATTTGCCGTTGTATTCACTGCAATTAGCAAAGTGCAGACATTCGAATCCTGGAAGCATACAGTTGAAGCACGGCGGACAATCTTTATCGCCGCCATCAAACATAGCGAGCGGATTGACTGTACTGAGCGGTGTATATCCTATCGACATATCCAGTTGGGCGCTTACTGCGCCGATAAGCATCAGGCAAACGAACCAGAATGAACGTTGCCGCATATCTCAATCAGAATTCTCTGGGTATATAATGTTTTGACAGAAGATTGAAAAAAAAAGAAGCAGAGAAACAAGCAGTAAAAAGCTGGGCGAAAAGGGAATTTTTTTCTTGAAAGAGGTTGAAAGTGGAAAATGAAATGAAAGAGCGATCTTTCCAAAATCAGCACGCATGACCCGAATCATCCGTCTGCCCAACCAAAAAAAAAAAAAAAAAAAAAAAAAAAAAAAAACCACAAAAGGTGACGTAACTTTCCGTTTCTCTTTCGCAGTTGTCATGACTATAAACTGCGAATCATCATGATTTACCAGAAACTAATCGATAAGACGAGGTATTATTTACAATTATTTACTATAAAAATTTTATAGATATTTTATATTATGTTATATATACATTTTTTTAGAGATAAAACATTTGATTAGTGTAAGGGTTAGAAAAAAATAGTGATGAATGAAAAAACTACAGAAAACGAAGTGTTTTTTTTTCCTTCTTGCTGACTTACAAAAAAATAAAGGGAGATTTTTTTTTTCTTTGGGTCTTCCAAATTTTTACGGTTGTGTCTTCCTCCGCACCCCTTTCTACAAGAATTATTGTGCAATTTTTTTCCCTCTTTCTCTCTGCTTTACCACTTTTTTTGGCATCGTTTTTTTTTCCATCCGAAAGATCCCTGCCTATTCTTCCTTAGTATATAAATAGGCTTCTTCTAGACATGGTAAAGTATATATGGTATCAACGCATGTGATAGTCATCCTCTTTCAATATAATGTATTTTGATTCTTATCACATCCTTTGCTTTTTTTGTATCTTTTTTTTTTTTCCAAATCTACTAATAGGTTCCAAGAGACATGCAATATCCCTTAGATATGGAACCGATGGTGATGAATATCAAGAATGATAATATTCTGGGTGATGAAAAGAATGCTCAAACAACGGTTCCATCCTTAAAAAGAAGACGCCCAGGAAGACCTTCTAAAAAGGAATTAGCGGAAAGAGCAGCAGCATCAGCGTCAAAATATGGAACCAATGATATTTATTCAGATTCAATGGAAGGTCTACAGAGGACAAGACCCAAACGATTGAAATTGCTTCACGGTTATCATGATGGTAAAAACGGTGATTTTTTTCCCTTCTCGTTGCCACTCTTTTTTTTTTTTTTTTTTTTTTTTTTTTGTTTGTCCTGGTTTCAACGCTGCTTTAAACCCCATCGTCTGTCTATTGACGTATTGGAAAAACAGTGATAATCAGTGATGTTGTGTCTTCCTTTTTTTCAAGTGGATCTAATATCTGAGACCTGGTATGGTTTTATTTTCTCTGTCATCGTAGCCCATCGGACGGAGAATGACGACAAACATTGTTTATCCACGTTCCATATCGGTGATCAGGTGGAAGCTAGAAAAGAACCAGAAGAGGAGGAGGAGACAGCCGATTGGTACTGTGCTCGTATCGTGGATATAGATAAAGAGGAGCAACCGGTTCGGTTCTTTGTACATTATGAAGGCTGGCCACCAGATCGAGCCGATTGGCTGACGTCGTCCATGATTGCTAAACCTTCCAAACGATTACGTTACGGCCCAAGAGGCAAAGAGAATGAAGTATCCTGGAAAAGCTATGCAACATTTCATACTTCCAAAGATGGCGTCCGTGTACAACATCATACGGGTCTCGTTCAAGATCAGCGTATGAGCTTGCACTCATGCCCTTGCGATTCCCGTGAAACCATCCACCCGGAGCGACCGGATCGTATCGCCTCCATTCTCCAAGCGCTTCATAACGAGCGGTAAAACCTTTTTTTTTTTTCTTATTTCCTTCTTTCATGGTAGACCCAACGATGACTATCCTTGATGGGTTTTTCCTAGTTTTTTCTTTGGCACTTGATACCATGACTGTTTGCTAATCTTTTTTTCTCATCATCTTTCTAGTTTATTACGTTACGTTCGTCATATTCACGCACGAGAAGCGACTGCGGAAGAACTCTTGCATGCTCACACCCCCGCTCACATCCGAAATTACTGTCCTATCAAAACAGAACACGGCGATGCCCTTGTTTCATCTTCTTCCCACTCACTCCTCGTCTCGTCACCCACCGATACCTCTTCTCAATCTTCACAGCCGCAGCCCGCCAATGCTCCCCCTCAACCTCGCCCTAAAATTACATCCATTGCCGCCTTGCTAAACGAACCTACGACACCCCCAGCCACCATCACAAATACACCCAACCCGTCTATTTCTGCTTCAACCCCGGCATCCACCTCGAACGACACAGATAGCGCCATCGTATTATCAGCAACGTCTCTTACTTCACCTACGACCCCCATCCATACCCAATCTCGCTCGCAAAGACATGGTTCGATTATCGGCCCTGTGTGTGGTGTTGGTGGAGGCATGGTTGTCAAAGCAGATCAGGAGCAAATCAAACGACAGCATCGTCGGTTCTCTTCTGTGATAACTGCCAACCACCCTACCCCTCTGTCGCCACCGGATCTCGTTTACAAAATGACATGCGGGGAATTAGGCATAGGTAAGCTTTCGCTGACAGCGTTGCGACATGGCGTGAAAAACCAGATGATGCTAAATGATGATCCGACTATGTGGCGAAAAGCTGTGGACACTACTTTTCATCCTCTGTATACAAGCATATCAGCGCGAGTAGCTGCTGGCAGTTTACTCACTTTGGTGGATAAAATTGTCCTTGGCCAACTGCGCAATGGATTCGCGCTTATTCGTCCCCCAGGTACGTCAACCGAAAAAGGAAAAGGAAAAAAAAAGGGTCATCAAGCCCACAATTGGCCCACTTGGTGATTCTGGAGGGAAAAAAAAAAAGAGAGCACACAAACTCATGGGTCCATGGGATTTAGGTCATCATGCCGAAGACGATGCTGCTATGGGATTCTGTTTTTTCAACAACGTTGCCGTGGCCGCTGCAACAACACTCACAAAGTACCCTACGAAAATCAAAAAGATTCTCATTATCGATTGGTGAGTGTCTGTCACACCGATTTTCAATTGTTCTCTGCGATAGATGGGAAAAAAAGAAATTCATAATACTAATGCTTGAATTATTATGGAAAAACTTTACCTTTCTTCAGGGATATTCAGTAAGTTGCTTTGAGAAAAAAAAATGCAAAATCTTACTTGGATCAAGGCGCTAATGATTATGTTGCAATGGAAACAGTCATGGCAATGGGACACAAAAGATCTTTTATGATAATCCCAACGTGCTGTACATATCGGTGCATCGATGGGATAAAGGCAAATTTTACCCGTTCAGTGGGGCGCCTGAAGAGTGCGGAGAGGATGGAGGTTTGGGACGGAACGTGAATATTGCCTTCAGCATGTCGGAGGAGAAGCCCAGTAAGTGTTGATGTGGCACAGAAAAGATGAATCGTCACATCCTAAGTCAGACCTAGAACCAATGGGCGACACTGAATTTATTGCAGCCTTCCATCATCTTTTGATACCCATTGCGCGTCAGTTCGGTCCAGACATGGTATGAAAACGCTTAGCCGTTAGCGCTCCAATTATCTTTTCGCTAACAGATCAATTGGGGGATTTTTTTGCGCGTGGTGTCTGAATATTTAGATTTTTGTTTCGGCCGGATTCGACGCAGCAGAAGGGCATCCAGAAAATGTAAGCTGAAGTTTCATTAGATAAACATGGAAAAGAAATATATCGGTGGCGATGCGCACCCGCTAGAGAAAGGATCACGGAATTAATTTTGATTCAATTTCGATGGTTACAGCTTGGTGGCTACAACGTCACGCCTCGAGGATTTGCCCTTATGACAAAAATGGTGAATGATTTGGCCAACGAAATTTGTGACGGACGCTTGGTGCTTAGCTTGGAAGGTAATTCTACAACGAAGAGAACAATGCCCTTCCTGTGTCATCTGACGCTTTTTTTTGTCACCTGAAAAATTCAGGTGGTTACGAACTTCAACCATTGGCGAACAGTGCGGCGGCGAGCGTTGCCCAGCTATTGCCACAAGATTTGGTGCCGCACATGGCGCTTGATTACAAATGGTCGCTGAATGCTATCAAACCGAATCAGAGTGCGGTGCAATCGCTTCGACTGGTGGCCGACATCCAAAAAAGGTACTGGAATTTGCCCGACCGCATGTTTGGGCCCAATTTCCGATTCCAATTGCCGAGCGAATGGCGTGCCAGAGATAGTATATCAACACGACCCAAAAGAGAAAAGAGACCTATGAAAATTCCTATCGTTGAAGGTTACTAATATTATTCTCCCTTTCCCACCTTCCCTCATTCCTTTCATTGCTATTCATTCTTCTATCTGCTTTTTATACTTTTTCTTTATCATGTCTCATATGTCGACTAGTATATGACGGTTTTTTTTATGCATTTCAACTTACAGGATACACAAAGGTTCCTCACAAAAAAAATAGAATTTGCAATTCAAAAGTGGTTGTCCAATTAAATTCATGGAACTTTGAACATTTATATCGCAGGTCGGACTTTAGATTGTTGGATAAAGTAGGAAGGGAAAAGCTAGAATTTGGACAAGCCTTAACTATCCTTTATTCCATGAATGAAAGGCTATTATATGTTTTTTCCGCAATTACTACTACTGTGGCCCCTTATCGCCAGTGATGGCGTAGTCTCTGTGACTTGGGTGCTGCGGCATCGTCTAGGAAATCATCGGAGATGATGACACTGGGTGCGTTCTCTGGACAAATCGGAGGGTCGGAAGATCGTCACATGTCGGAAAGCCAATGGGCTTTTATCTTTATTTTTCCATTTCATTTTATCTGGTTGTTTTTGCTTTCCAGTTTTTCGTTTTTTTTTTTTTCCTTCTTGTTTGTCGGTGCTGGGTATCCCGTCCCTCTCTCTCTCTATTATTTGCATTAAAACTTTTCATACCTCCCTTCTCCTACCTTTTCTGTCTCATTGTATTTTAAAACGCATTTAACAACAACAAACAACAGCAGCATGGTTTCATCGATGGACACTTTGAATCAGGGAGATACCGTTCTTTTCGTAGCCCCCTCCACTGTGGATCAGGACCTTTTCCTCAAGGCACAGTCGTCCACAAAGGATCAAGTTGGCAGCTCAGGATCCGTCGCATTTGAAGTACTCGAGCGTGTGGCTGATGGTAAGTTAAAGCACGAACTGGTTAGCAATGAACACCATTACGCTGCAAAGGCAAAAACTCACACTTTTGCTTATCGTTTTCACAGCTCCATTAGCCAAAGCAAGTTACAGCAAGATTTACTCAAACGTTTTCTCTCCCTCTGTATCGACTCACACAACTGACATGCTTTCTCGTTATCTGAATACGCTGACACCTGGCGGTTCGATCGAATTACGGGAACCTGTACTCTTGGTCGATCTCAGCAACACTGTTTGCCCGATTACTCGCAAGCAGGACGATCTGGTATCTTTGTTGACTTTGGCCGGTTTTGTGGATGTTCGAGTGGCGCAGTTGGATCCTGTGTCTGATGAGGAATTGGCAGCGTTCTTCAGGCTGTGGGGAGCGACTCGTGTTGAGCAAGGTGTGAGCCGCTTGTCGGGCAAGTTTGGTGTGGCTCATGTGGTAGCCAAAAGCCCAGCGTATGAAATTGGTCAGAAAATGACTCTCAATTTCAGAAAAAAGGCGAATAATGTCACTGAGGCCAAGAAAACGGCATGGGTGATCTCAACCGACGACGATGTATTGGAGGACGATGATGAATTACTCGACGAAGCCGATAAAATCAAACCTAGCAAGGAATCACTCATTCGTAAGTGGCAGCCTTTGATTAGTAAGCATCGGAGGAAATGGAAGGATTGACAGGGTTTTTGTAGGTCCCGACGATTGTGAGATGACCGACGGTCGACGAAAGGCGTGCAAGAACTGCACTTGTGGACGTGCAGAGGCAGAGAGCGGCAATAACGTAGTCTCACTCGATCTTATGGATGATATTGCGGAAGATGATGAAATTGTAGAAGTGGACCCTACTCCGAAAAAGACGGGTGGCTGCGGAAGCTGTGCTCTGGGCGATGCATTCAGATGTTCTACGTGTCCTTATCTGGGCATGCCGGCATTCAACGCGGGCGAGAAGATTGCGTTGGGCGGCATGTTTGGCAAGGATGATATCGATTTCTAAATTTCATCTCGAGTCAAAATTTTCCCTTGTCCCTTCATCCTCTCTCCTATTGTTCTGAGATTGAAAAAAATGCCAATACCCAACGAGTAAAAAAAAAAAAAAAAAAAAAAAAAAAAAGCAAAACGGGATTTTCCAATGACAAACCTTCAATTGCTCAAACGTTGAAAAAAGGCAAAACCCAATCCAAGTTTATTTGCATTCTTTTGTAAATCTCTCTTCTCCACACACTCCCATTTATTTTACCTTTTATTTTTTATTGAGAAAAATGTCTTTTATCTCTCAATATAAACGCATATTTCGAAATTCTTTATATCAAATCAATCGTTCCCTGGTTTTTCGGACCCAAGCTTCGATTAGTTATCCGTTGCAAAATCGATCTTATTCTAGCCGGCCCATAGAACCGGCAGCCATGGCTGGTCAGTCAGGCGTGGCACGTAAGTCCTTTGTACAACGTTGAGTCACTCTTTGTCTCTAAGCTTCTGCCGGACGGACAGGCCGATCCAAAATCACTATCAATACTTTGAATCGCATGTACAAGCACAATGAACCGATCTCGATGATGACCGCACAAGATTATCCTTCTGGTTTACTGGTCGATCGAGCCGGGATTGACATGTGTCTTGTCGGGGATTCTCTAGCCATGGTGGCTCTCGGTTATGAGTCCACCAACCCGCTCACAGTTGAGGTAATTTTGCTAGGCTCTCGGTTCCAAAAATATATTTCTAATGACAATGACAGGAAATGTTACATCACTGTCGAGCTGTTGCCAGGGGATGCAAACATCCATTTTTAGTAGCTGATCTACCTTATGGCAGCTATGAGACAAGTCCCGAAAATGCCTTGCATTCTGCTCTTCGGTTTTTAAAGGAAGGCAATGTTGAGGTAAAAAAAAAAAAAAAAAAAAAAAAAAAAAAAAAAAAAAAAAAAAAGCTACCACTGCTTGTGTTGGGAAAATCGAATTTCAGCTAAAATTCGCTGTTTTACGCGCACAGGCTGTCAAATTGGAAGGTGGTGAAGAGATGGCCGAAACTATTCGACGCATCACTCGCGTGGGTGTGCCTGTACTTGGGCACGTGGGTTTGACACCTCAACGGCAATCGGCGTTGGGCGGATTCCGCGTTCAAGGCAAGACGGCCAAGCAGGCTCAAGCGCTTTTGAAGGATGCTTTGGCAGTTCAAGAAGCCGGTGCTTTTATGATTGTGTTGGAAGCTATGCCGGCAGAAATAGCCAGCTACATTACACAACGTCTACACGTTCCTACCATTGGCATTGGTGCCGGTGTTGAGTGTTCTGGCCAAGTTCTAGTGCAGAACGATGCCTTGGGACTCTTTGATCGTTTTGTGCCAAAGTAAGTCGTCGAGTTGGGTAACCCTATATGTTAATGAGTTTTGATCTCTAAGTTGATCCTACAGATTTACCAAACAGTATTGCAATTTGAATCAAATCATCACTGATGCCCTGAAGCAATATCACGCCGATGTGAAATCCGGGACATTTCCGGCCGTAGAGAATACCTATCCTATTGATGCTCAACAACTAGAAAAGTTCTGGGCGTCCGTGGAACCCTCGAACAATGATCAAGACATCCAGCACTCACCTTCATCTCAATTACAGCATAAATACAAACGACAAGGACGAGAAGACGAACAACGAAAAATGCAAAATCATGCTTAAATCCCTGTTATAGACACTTTTTTTTTTTACCCATTATTCCATCTGATTATTTGTCTATGCTATTTAAATAAAAGAAACATAGATACATTGTAACATAACTGCTGGTGCCGTTGATCATCGAAACTTACATATAAAAAAAGCACACGAATTTGATTAAATCAAAAATGAACGGTCCGGCTCAATTTCGAGTTTGGCACAAATAGATTCTTAAAAAGATGGACATTACCGTTCCAACAGCACTATCTCACTTATTAGCACATACAGATGGCTTGCCACTGTGTTCTAACATAATTGTTGATAAAAAAAAACAGTAAAACAGCATGTGATCTTTGTAGAGATTCAGATGAGTCTTTTTTCCAAAAAATGCAAGTCCAGATTGAAAAATTACGGTGCAATTGGTGATTTGACGCATATCGGATCTTATTGGCTTTTGCTGTCTTTTTTTTCACATACCCTTTCATGCCATCATCCGTACGATTGTTGGCGGTCATATTGGCCATACTGGCCTCCCTTTGCAGCTATGCTTATGCAGCTAGCACAGAATTGAATATGGACACATTCAAGTCCTTGGCCACTAAAGGCACATGGTCAGTTTTACTTGCTGAATACGCATAGTCATCGTCCTGCTGCTGACCGATCTCTTTAGGTTTATCGAACATTATTCACCTTATTGCCCTCACTGCATACAATTTGGTAAGACCCGACTCACAATAATACCGCCATCGGCAGCGTACTAACGGCAATTCCACCGTGGACATAATAGCTCCCATGTGGAAGAAATTGGCAGCCGAATACGAATCGTTAGAGACAACCCACGATTTTCACTTTGCCCAAGTCGATTGTTCTGTTCAAGGCGATCTCTGTCACCAAAATAATGTTCAGTTCTTTCCCCATTTGCAACTGTATGTGGACGGTCAGTTTGTTGAGACTTTTCCTTCCGCACAGCGCAACTGGGAAGGTCTTACGGCTTTTATTGCGGAAAAAACCGTTCAAGACAAAACAGACCCACCATCGGCAAACGCATATACGCCCAATGAAGCAGGTGTATCGGTGGATCTCGATCGTACAGCTTTCGATGCTGCAAAAAGCAGCGGTAAACCGTGGTTTGTCAAGTTCTATGCTCCCTGGTGCGGCTTCTGCAAGCGTTTAGCTCCCACATGGAAACTGATGGCCGATGAACTCAAAGGACAAGTCGATGTAGGCGAAGTCAACTGTGACGACCATCGTGGTATGTAGATACTTAGGAAAATGTATTCCTTCAACTTATCATGATGTAACTAACGATCCGCCACGGCAGATATTTGTACGGAGAATGGTGTAGCTGGTTATCCGACTTTGAAACTGTAAGCCTTTTTTTTGTGCAATAAGAAGTGTTGATCTTCGTATTCAGAATTCTGTTTTGCGATTAGATTCAAGGATGGAGTGGTTCACGATTACACGACGGCCGATCGTTCCGTTCTTAGTCTTGTCACTTTTGCAAGAACGTATGCCGGACCTGTCGTTCAACGTGTGACCAGTGCAGAACTCGGTGAACGTATTAAGGAGAATGCAGTGTCGTTTGTGCTGCTGGATCGAAGCAATAATCAGAATGCACTTGTAAGAAAATAATACCAATTCGGTGGCAGTTGAGGTAACTGTTTTGGGTTGACGTCTGCTTTTTTTTTTTTTTTTCGAATATAGACATTGGTAGAATCTGTTGCCCAGCGCTTCATGGATTCTATGAACTTTTACGTCGTTACCGAACAGCAGGCAGCGACACAGTTTAACCTTGAGGATGCTGATAAACCTACGATCGTAATTGCTAAAGATGGTACCCGTACGACCTACAAATCGCAAGAACTCGTGAATACACCAGCTGCACAGGAATCATTGGCCAAATGGATCGAATCCGAAAAGTTTCCTCTCGTTGTTACAATGAGGCCCAGCAATGCCGCCGACATCTTGAGTGGTGATCATATTGTGGCTTTAGCCGTTATTCAGGCTGACGATCAGCAACATCACCAACAGTTCCGCAAAATTGCCACTTCGTACGTAAAGCAGGGGATCAAAGAATCGGGTGCTCGGCTTTTATTTGCACAGATGGACAGCAAGATCTGGGGACAATTTATCCAAGAAAGATACGCCATTGCTTCATCAGATATACCTGCCCTTCTTCTCGTTGATGCAACCGTATGTGCTATTTACAGTTTTTTTTTCTTCCTGTGACTCTGATCTAAATGTGTGATACTAATGCTCTCTCAATTCCCATAGAAAAACACTTACTACAAGCAGGATGTGGAGAAGCGTGCTTTATCTTTTGATGATGCTTCGGCATTTTTGCGCGCTGTCGAAGATTTGTCCAGCGGAAAATTAGTAGGCACCTCGACTTTATCTTTGCCTGGCAAAATGGGTCAATTCTTTACGCACGGCTACGATTACGTCCGGCTCCACTGGATCATTATCGGTCTGAGTGTCGCTGTGCTCGGTGTGCTCTTTTACAGACTGCGTCGGCAGAAAAGCGCGAATCGTGGTAGCGGTTTGCCGTACCATCGTCCTTTGTCCATGACCGAACATAAAGATTAACGTGTACCTCTACCCCCGCTTTTTTGTTCTTTTTTTTTTATCAGCATGTAAATAATCAGATTTAGGTATTAAATTCATATAGATTGGATTTAAGATTTCATGTTATTGATGATCTTATCTTTGCGATTGATAATAGAAGGGGATAATGATCGCGCGCGACGATCACTGGGAGATGGGGTTTCGGTGGTCGAAATTGGGTATGAACATGGACGAGAAGGCGGATCTTGCGCGGTCAAGCTGCATCCTGGTTCCACTTGTCGACGACCTACTGTTGTATCTATTGGTGGTAAGACCGGTTTGGCAGACCGAGGGGATGGTGTTGCTGGATTTTTGCTTGAAGATTGGCGCGACCGGGAAGGTGAATGGATGGTGGGAGCATAGAAAGGAAGTTTACGTAGCCGTTTATTGGGCGGTTCGCTCGTTGTCTGGGGAGATCGGGAAGACGGCGATGTTCCCAAAGACGAATGTCCCCTTTGAAGTTTGGCTTTGAGTGCTTCCATGACTTTGCTGTGTGATAATTTATCTTCCGGCTTCGTATTCAGGGCGGTGGTAGGTGAGATGGGCGATGAGGTGTCAAACGAAGGGTATGGGAGTGTCGATTTACCTCCGGGGTAAGGAGAGCGATAAGATTGAGGTCTATTGCTCGAGGATGACATACGGTACACAACCGAGGGTTGTTCTGGCGGACACAATGGATGAGCAGAATGTGGATAAAAACCGGCCGGTGAAGGAGGTGGATGAGGGTAGGGAAGCCTTTGGCTGAAAGGGGGTGCGGGACCTGACGGCGGTGGTGGCTGAGTAAACGTTGACAGGGATGGATAGTCGCTGTTGGTAATCCGTGCAAGTACTTGTTGCTGCACGGGCGCCAACTGATGATAAATAGGAGCGCGTTCGTATCTCCCTTGCTCTTTCAAATAATCCAGATCCATCTGTCGCAACTGGATACGAGCTTCCTCTGCCTTTAAATTATCTCTTGCTGCTTGTTTCTAAACAGTCAAAGATTACTTTTCATTCTTTTTTACCCCCCAGCGCGTTATTGACGGTAGTTTTACCTTGTCTTCTTCTGATTTCGCCTTGAGAATAAAAGCTAGTAATTCCGGGTTATCTTCATATTTGTGAAGAATCTCTCGAATGGACAAATCCTCGGTATTGGATGAGCCTGATTTGGACGGCGGTATAGGCCAATGGAAGGCTGATCGAATTCCATTCGGAGAGTTATCGTGTCTTGGAGAGTGATGGGCCATGACAAAGAGCTCCTTTTTTGTGTTGCAAAAGTTCCTGAGATAACCCACATTAAACTTTCCAGCGCATTTCCAAATCCAATTCATGATTTTGAAAGTCCACAAATTCTGTATAAAATCAGTGGGAAGCACCGTCCTTCGGCATTGAAATACCGATCCCGCAAATGAAACAACCACTCTTGAAAAATCGCCTTAAAAAAGAGAGTGGCCTACTTTTCTCTATATATATTGTCGAATCTTATTGTATTAAGCCCAAGTACTTTGAATCACATGATTTGGAACTCCTTTATTGGAAGAAGTGCTCTTGTTGATAGGCAAAAGTCAACGTTCGTCTGTTTCTATTCAATTGCCGAAATTAAACAATGCTACAAACGCTTTTCCTTTCTTAGGGGCCATCATTTATCTCGACTAACCCGCGTTCCAATATCGTTGATCGGAGCTTGTGAGTTAGAATCGGCGAGAAAAGTCTATTGGAATTTGTTACTTTGAAAGAATTTCATAAAAAGTAGGACAGTAACCTTCCTTTGAGACTGGTGGAGATCTATAACGACAGATATAATCAGTCTATCATACATTCAAGTCTCGAGCTGGAAAGATAATGATCAATGGTAAGTCCTCGGCTATAAGCTTCATTTAGAAGGATCTTCTACGTGATGTGACACGTTATTCAATTGATCTTGGTGATAAATCAGTCATGGATGAAGAGGCTCAGTCGAGAACCTCACCCAGAATGGGCGCATCTAAATCCACTGTTTTGAACACCGTGAAGGATGGATAATACGAAAAGTAGTAGGCATACCACATAATGAAATATACAAAGCGTGCATAAAATTTGTAGAAACACTTATTAGGGCCATCTAAAGCTTGAGATCCGGGTCTGCCTCCGGTGATTACATTTGCATTAAGTGGGAGCTTCGAGGTGCATTATGCATAACCCGTATTATATTGGAGACAGACGGCACCAAGGGTCAATAGTTTAAGACCAAACATTCGACGGTTCCCTGCCTCGGTGTAGACACTTAGACATTTGTATGTAGCTTTGCTATTTCTTGGTTAAAAGTTCATTTTATATCATCGATGATTGACAACAAACGCAGATCGTCCTAATTCATAAAAATGAGTATGCCTATTGGCCACCTATTCTAATGCTTTTCCACGTTTTTTAGTAGCGCAAAATTTAGTTATCAGAAGTTTGTCTTCCCTTTTTTTTTCGCGTGAAAGCTTTTTAACCAAGAGCTTTATTCCGCGGGATCCGGGCCATTATCCTCGTCATGGGGTCATGCAAACCCCTAGTTTGTGAAACGTACCCATTAGCTTCATCCTTCTCACAACTTCTTCCTTTGATACATGCTCGTCGTCGCCAAAGCAACAATAAATATGTTTGATAGCCTCATGTCAGTATGAGTTCCACTTGATGATGGTTCAAAACAGTAGCATATTCTAGTGATCGTCTTCGACTTGGGGCTTTATCTTCCAATTTTTGTATTTCTGTCGATTACCAGAAAAGGACATAACCTGGGTCAGCGTCCCTTTTGATCGGAAAGCTGAATCATAAAAGATGAATATGAAGAATCTATTTTGCCAGATGAATGATTACTGGCAAGCTCATACATTGAATCAAAAGCATGCGTAAAACGGGAATTCAATCCAGAAAAGCCACGGAAGTTTCTTTACTCTATCGGTGCATAAATCAAGGTTTGATCAGTGGGCATGCAAAAAAAATAAAAAAATAAAAAAATAAAATAAAGAAGGGATCGTGGAAATACCATCCAGCTGTTGATGCCGTACCGAACCAATGAATAGCATATTGCAACTTCAGAAAAAAGTTGCCAAGGGAAATAAAGCTGTTTGAATTAAACATCGTATATGTTACCACAAATCAATCCTCAAGAACAACTAATCACGACAAATCTACTGGTTTCATTGTAGTGTCATTTATGCGGTCTATAGTTTCCCCTCCTCCTCCTCCTCCTCCCCCCAAGGGGATCGGTTTTTTATCTGAACGCCACTCGACTAAATTATTATTTTACGCATGGACTCGATCAATTTATTTTCATGGCTTCTTAAACCTGACACTTTACTTTCTTGACATCGTCGTTTCCCTTGCCCAAAATAATGGTGGATTCCCCACCTTCCGCATCTTTTTTCATCGAGATGCAAGCTCGTTAGAAAAGTTGATTTTGCTAGGCATGCCCTTTTTGGTAGCCAAGACCCACGGTAGCCAAATTTGGGCCATTCGTTGTAAACAGAAGGATGGAGATTGTCGACATGATGTCAATAAGGGATTCGATCCAATGGAATGAAATGAAGCAAACTTTATGTGAAAAAGTTTTTCAAACGACGACGGAAAACGATGAATGATAGAACGAAAAAGGGCGTCTTTTTTCTTTTTGTTTTTTGGCTCTTCTTCGTCTTCCATACTTCTGCTAATTCTACTACTCTCCAACGGCTCCTTCGATAAGCTGCTAATGAATCATGTTATTTTTCTTTAGATCTCTTTTGAGGATGATGGATGACAGCATTTCTTTTCTTCGCAGTAATTTATGACTACAGTTAAAGGACATCGTTTACTGATACTAGTTCTTTTTTCCCTTTTTTTTACGGTAGGTCGATGATCTGAACGGTCAACTAAGGTAAGTGAACAACGTTAGTGAACAAGGTAAGTCAAGAAGGTAAGTGAACAAGGTAAGTGATCCCCAACCTTTCCTTTCCTTCCCTTCCCTCCCCTATCCTCTTCCCTTCTCTACCTTCTCTCTTTCCTACCTTGCCCTCTCTCCCTTCGCTTACCCCCCCTTCCCTTCTCTACCTTCCTTTCCCTACCCTGCCCTCTCTTCCTTTCCCTACCCCTCTCTTCCTTTTCCTACCCTCTCTTCCGTTTCCTACCCTCTCTTCCGTTTCCTACTCTCACTCTTCCCTTCCCTACCTTCTTTCTTACCCTCCCCTCCCCGCTTTGCTTTTGGTCCCAACTGGCTTTTTGATGGTAAGTCTCTCTTTATTTTTTTCGTTTTGTGCTTTGCTTCATTGCTTCATTCATCATCCTCCACTGCCGCTTGTATCCTCGCCTGGCTATGGTTCCTTCTCTGGTTGCTGGTTACTCGCATGGTTTCTCTTAGGTGGTCCACATCCTCTGGTCCAGCCGTCATTTAATGCTAGGTTTTCTAAAATAGCGGTTCTATGATAAATATTCTGTAATGCTTATAAATAAAAACAAACACCACTTTGCTTGATAATATGTTTATACCACTATCATTTGAAGCTGTACCCTTCCGGAATACAACATTGTAGTGATCGGGTTATTTTATTCCTGATGAAGTTAAGAATAGCAACAAGGATAAGACCGAGCTTAGTTTCATCAGTTTAACTCAAGGTTGCTCCTTTGCGACAAACTGAATCGATCATTTTACACGATGGCGACGTTTCTTCAAAATCAGATAAAGAATGAAAGTAGGCACATTTTTTTTTTTTTGTCCTTCGTAGTTCACCGCACTTGTCAATATTATGGAAGAGGTCCATGCACAGTCTTGTTCTTCTGACGGAAAGCTCATTCTCCAGCATGCCATTTTCACCAAGGATCCCGCATTTCCCATCGCGAGAAGTAAGTTGTGCACTGGATCCCATTTCCACGAGCCCATCACGAGAACAGACTCAAATTTGGTCTATGTAATGGTTTTAACTCAGATTTACGGAATTTCAGCGTTGGACCATGCTCATTCTTGGATATTTTTCAATGAAATCAATAAAAATGCACGATTCCAATCGCCCCATGCCACTCAAGGAATTCGGTCAACTTTATTCGAAAAATTCCATTGGCTGATCTTGGCCTAGCGCAACATAAGCGATTTCTTCTACGCTTTACATGAGATGATAACTTATCAATTCTAAGTGTGGGTATCAGCGGCTTTATGACCATAGCATATACAAAAGGAACAATCAATGCGATCGGCCTGTCTAATAGCCCATGCCGGCGCGCCCTTTTTCGTCACATCCTCCAGTTTTTGCACGCACAGAGTAATCATGTATCGAGACTTGCAGTAAAATAGATTACGCACATTAATTGACGCTGTCTGAATTTCAAACCTGTTTTTTGTCAGAATGTCCAGAAAATCTCTGTATCAATCTAAAAAGGGAAAACAGACTTTTTTACCGTAGCTTTCTCACATTTTTTTTTCTTCGGAAAAAAATAAAACCTGACAATGGATACGACCGTCTGCTTCTCTCGTCCAGTGCATGCAGAAGGCGGCATGACTTGTCGACAACTGATCACCAATTCCGTACGATACAGTGCACCGTCCGATTCAGAAGACGAAAATACCAAACAGGACCAATTCACCTTACAGTCTCATCGTCGCGCTGCTCGACTCGCGTAAGAGCCTCAGTCACTTTGGTTCGATATCAGGGTCAACTGATTGCTTTCGTAGTAAACGACGATTCAACAAAGCACAGCAAGATTTGGCGCGTATTTGTTCAAGTCCTGATTTTGTATACAATGAACGCCTTCATCCTCACATTGTTTTCCCAGTAAGCCCACGCTCTTTTGTGCATTTTGTGCCTCGCACGTCAATCCAATTCATGAGCCTTTTTCTCCAGTTGTACACCGATGATAAAGCGTGGCTGGAACAACGAGCTGAATACTTGACCCGATTAGCTCAGTTACGACATGAAGAATACGAACAGCAACGTAAAAGACACACCGAAGAAATGAAGAAACTTCGAGCTGTACTGGCCAATATCGATCTTTCAAAGTAAAAAGTCAATGACATGTTTGAACCGTGAGAATAGAACTTCTTGATGGGCTCACCATAGCAATGTATTTCACTAGTCACGACGAAGAAGAAAACGAAGATAAAGCATTTGAAGATGATGTCAAAGAAAGACTCAAGGTACAAGGTTATGCACTCGTCAACTGACATCATCATGACTCACCTCCGTGGCAATGTACAGCGCATCGAAAAAGCTATTGCCGACGACAAAAAGAAACATGAGGAAGCCCTGGCCAAAGAAAAGGCCAAGGTTGCCGAAAAGAAGGAGGAACAGGAAAAATTACAAAAGGAAGCTGATCAGAAGAAGAAGGACGAAGATGCAGTAAAACAAAAGAAGGATCGCGCAGCGAAAATGGTAAGCCCAATGGTCGCAAAGTCCATGCACTTTGTACCATTGATTGACACCTTTTGTACCAGGCCCAGTCAACCGCTGTATCACCGCAAGGCTTGGAAGAATACAAGAAACATTTAGCCAAGATTGAGGTACGGCCCATCGTTTTGACAATTCCAAATGCTTTCGACTAATACCTGTTCATCTTGGTGCAGTGGTACAAATCCACGATCTATCCAAAATTGAAAACTAACGATGCCTTCCGAAAACAATGTTTCGAAGCACGTCGCTTTGTCAAACGAACCCTCGGTCAAATTCAATTCCGTCATGATATTATTGTTCAGAAGGTGACTTCCGTTATCTTGTTGCTTGACACATCATCAGAACAACTGACACATATATGCAGTATAATGCATTAGCACAATTTCTAGCGCAAACGCAGCGACAATCAGTAGATGTATTCCATGTTTTGTTAAACTACGTTGCCAAAACGCTTCTTGTAAGTTTTGCTTATGAACTTGTGTGCGATTGCTTCTCTTTTGCTAACCAGTAAAATGCCTCAGCTTCAAGTACAAACGGAAACACGTGCTGCCCCATTTTCGGCTTACTTCCTCGCCCGATTCGCCATGTTGGTGTGTGCGACCATTCCTGATTTCACTGACTACCTTTTGGGCCGTCTCGGAAAGCGATGTCCTTATCTGATACCGCAGTATCACGATAGTGATCCAGTAAGTACCTCTTACACACTATCTTTAATATTTGCTAAATGCCTCCATTTACCTTTTCGCAGTCGCTATCTGTGCAAGAAATCAAAAGTCGACTGCGATACATATATGCTGATAAATCTTCGGGGCGATTGGAAACTTTCATTGAACATGCCGAACGACAGAAATGTTTCATCATGTTTTATGCAGCGCTGATACAGACGAAGCCTGACCCAGGTCAGCCTGCCAATCCATTTTCTATCGGACTGGGGTGGACGTGGCTCGCTAGAATATGCAATATGCCATCTCGAGAAATTACACCCATGTTAGTCCATGCCTTTTTGGAATTCGCTGGCAAACGGATGCTGGAAACCTATCCTCGACAGTTACCAAAAGTATTACGATTGATTCGTACTCAAATCCTACCCTCGGTTCCTATACAACAAGGAAACGATAACGTTGCTGCCATCAAGTCATTCGAGCTGTATCTTGACGAATACTTCGCTACCGGACAGCTTGAATCGGCTCCTGAAGCATTAGCCCCCAAAGTGTAGCAGCGCCCATTTTTTTTTCCTTCATATGCATTACCAAAGAAATAGCCAATGATTCTTTTTTTTAAAAAAAAAATGCCATCATTTTTTATCCATCAACATTTGTTTCTCAAAATTTTGCAAGCCTACGAGAATCGGATGAAGAATAGTAATCATTATAATCTAACCGAGTGGAAAGTGATCGTAGGTCTTCATCATGGTATGACGCCAAGATCTCCAAGAACTCAAGTATATGTGTCTGAGAGGATGTTTGATGAGAAACTGAGATCATCCACTCCTCTTTTTTTCATTTTTCAGTAATTACCTTGAATTTCGATTCCACATCACGCTGTCGCGTCCGGATTTTCTCCAGGTTTCCCATATCAGCCGCTGGTAAGGCAGGATAACCGCCGCTTTCTCTTCGTGCCAGTTCCGATGATGCAAAAACATGTAAAAGATCCTTCAAGGAAATATGAGCCATCTTGAATAGGACGACCGAGTAAGGACGGTGGTTATGCTTACCAGTTCCGATTTGTATTTGAGGATAAGATCAAAGAGGCGGTGCAATCGCATCGAAAGTGCCTGGATCCAGATACAGTGAGTAATCCAATCTACTACCATAAGCGGCCAAAGATAAATCCGTCACGTACCTGGTTTTTCGCTCCATCAAGTAGCCCTTTCTGAGTGATTTCGGCGAGATACAATGAATGAGCCGCAATGATAGAGTCCAAGTCGATACTCTTGTCATTAATGTATGTTTCCAGTTTTTCCCACGAGCATTCCAATACTTCAAACAGATAATAATGTTGCAGCTGATAAATGAAATGAACCATTCGGCCAATCATTAGCTGCGCTTGATGTAAGTCTTGCGCCAGTTCTACAATGCGAAATACATGACTATAAGAGGAAATTCTGGAAACACACAATTGTCATGCTGGCATTCTTCTACTTTACCCGGAATCCCAGCAAAACTACGACTTGCAGTTCCCCAACAACGCCATGAAGCTGATAATGTGTATTCCACGCGCTTCAACCGCCAAAGGAAATTGAACATTCGAAGGTACTGGTTCATAGCTTGTGGACTGAAGACCGTGTTGATAGGTGAGTCAACGTGATAATCCAAAGTAAATACGTCCCAGCCTATATCGTCGGGCGAGATCTGTGGTGAAACGCATGAGGTTACTTTGACTGTCGGGACAACTCAGCGTGCTAGCTTAATTACCTCCAATAATCGAACATCCAGTCGGTTAAGAATCTCTGGATCATCGTATTGGGCGTTGGAAGCACGGATTGCGGTTTCAAGTACCCCCGTCAAGTTATGGCGGAACAAAGTATTAGCAGGTCGATTGAGGCCCGGGCTGGAAAAAAAGAATACAGTGGATGTCAGTATACGGCTTGGACATCTATTTCATTGACTTACCCCAGTGTGTCCATGAGATGCTGGATGAAATCTCCCTGACCGAGAAGCAGATATCGTTTTAGCGCTCGCAGATGATCCATTAGTTTATACTTGGTTTTCAGTAGTGCAAGCAATTGTTTGCTAGTGTCGAGATAGGTCACATCAATTGCTTGCTCGACAGCTTGGATATCGCCGTACTGGAAAGTATGAATAGCTACAGTATTTATTAATACATCGCACTGTATTCTGTGACGACCCAATACTGTTAGCTTACATGTGTGAGAAGAGGTAGGTGCATAGTATTTTTCAACGAGGGTATCATCATGACAGCTGTAGCGGATAAAATTGAGAGATTTCCCTATGGAGAAAATCTGGAGTAGATCATACAAATGGTTGAGATTTTGCAAGTACCAACAATGTAAAAGTAACCGTTACAGCGACTGTACCTTTTGTGCCAATTCTTTGGAAATAAATGTGGGAAGCATATTCTCTCGTATGGAGTACTTATTTTGCCATAATTCTTCTTCGGACACTGTAGGATCGCAGGCTACAAAAAATTCTTCGTAAGGGTCGTCCAGCTCGCCTTCATAGATCCATCGCTGCAGCATCTCGTAGAACGGACGCGATACCTAGGTAATCATTATTAACAGAAAGAAAAAAGCATGAATTTCAATAAACAAAGACTCACTTCCTGCAGCATATTGCTAATGTATTCATGATAAAACGGATCGCCGTGATTTGTATAATTGTGCATAATAGATACGAGAGCACCACCTTTTTGACCTGTAACCAATACTAAACAAGTTGGCATAATTGTCTTCAAATACCTTGTAAATTTCTACCGACCTTGACATGCATCCACCAAGACACTCATCAGTTGCAACTTTTGTAAACTTTCTTGTGTCCATAAGAGCAACCGTTTGAGACTCAAACTCTGCTCTGTCAGCAACGTGATTTCATCTCCGCCAGCGGATGTTTGCTTTTCGATCTGTGCTTCCAAGATAGCGATGAGTTTATAATACTCCGTCAGTTCATGTTGCAAGGTCGATGCAAATGACTACAAAAACAAAAGGTTGAGTCATTGTAAGCACAGATCAGGGTTCAATGGGATGTACCTGGCCCACGAGACCCACTTCAGGGTCGTTGAAACGAAGTTTGACAAAAGAATGCACTTGGCGGTAAAGCCAGCCTAATTCGGTCAATCGATAGACAAGATCCTTGGTGGATTGGGAAACCGATATCTGTGACAAGGAATAAGCGCCCAAGTCGAAGCCAAATCATCTCACAGCCACTTACTCTGCTGTCCATAGAGTACTCTTTAATCAAGGGGTCGTAACGAATGTATCGGCCATCAATGCCTTGGAAGATAAAGATCAAATCTCTCAATAATGTGGTTTCGGGAATATGGATGGCTGTGGTCACAGAGTTAAAAAAATACATACGCTCATATAACATATCATGTGAAACCTACCTGATGTGTCTGGGTCCACTGCGCGCTGGTATCTCGCGCGTGCCAGTTGTGCAGCCGCGGGCAAGGAACGATCGTCACTGACAGATTGAGCTGGGTAGTGGAACGGATCATCGGATTCGGAAGCGAGCCTTCGTCGGATATTACGTGGTGATACCTGTTGAACTTTAGGGGGTCGTGAGACCTCTGAGGATGAAAGGGATTGGAGTCCAGCTGGCAGGAACGGACTCGTCTCCTACAATCATTAGTCTGTCACTACTAACCTGTGGCAAGCCCAGCGGTTTCAGCAGTACGTACCGAAGGACATGCGAAGGTTAGATCTGCAGAGGGTGAATCGCTAAGCGATAATAACAAATACAGAATTGACCATTTGTTCTGCAGTACTTGCTTTATACATACAAAAAACAAAAGGAATAAAGATAAATAACGCTTCGTAAGCATTGAAATATCCGGTCTCCATCGCAGTACCTGGGAAGCCAGCTTGTTGTATAAATGGCCAAAACGTAATGATTTTGACGACTGTTTTGAATCACGTAATACTGCAAGCAAGTCAAGAAAAAGGGCCAATCAGTACGACCGTGGGTTGATTGCGGTTAGCTTCGATTGCTCACATTTTCGTCGAATGAGATTGGCTACGTTATTTTCATCTTCAACGACGGAAGGAATATTCTGGCTGTGCATTAGGGACCATGTAAGAAACGATGTTTCAATCGCGTTGCGAGTACATTCACGGGAATGGTCAACTCACTTTGCTAGAATGTGGGCATATTTATCAACCAGCTGCTGAATGTGAGCTTGATCTTGTTGCTGCGAATATCGGCTTTGGTCAGCATTGGTGGGAAGAAATCGGTGAATAAGTTTTTGGAGGGTTTTCAGGGTGCGTTGATCAAGTGACGGCAGATCGTCGTGACTGAAGGACGATCCAGAAGTTAGGCGAGACCGGTTGTGCGATCGATGACTGGCGTCGGAAGTGGATGTAGGTACTTGTGAACGGTTGGCTGACCCATGCAAAAACATGCGTAACGAGTCAGGCAAACTCATTCTATGAATGGAAAGAGTGACAAGGTGAACAATGAAGATTCATCAATTTTTCGCGACTGCGCGACAGCCGATTCACCGTAGGAGTTTCACCAAAAATTTCGACTTGCTCTGTGTAAATATTTTGCCAATTGTTCCTTGGTATGGCTGGCTTCTTTTTAGCCTCCATTGAAAGCTACCAAAAGAAGGCATGTAATATTGTCTCGTACCATGCACTACCCACATTGATTGCCCACTTTAAGATTCTCCTGTTCTCACCTTTTGCCAAATGTAGAAACGGGAAGAATTACACAGTTGAAATTCTAAGAATGTAATAAAGTTTCAGTATCCTTTTGCTGTGATCTGGATGCTATATGAAACCTTGCATTTTGTCAGATTTCACAACCTATTGTTGCTCTGATCCCCGTAACAAGCTCCTTGTTACTGCAGATATACCTGCGAATATTCACGGAACTCCATAGAAAGGCAGTCCATCCCTGCTAATCGGTGCCGTATTCGGAACCCTTTTCGGAAATCGGGATAATGTTCTTCAGGAAAGCGGAGGATCGACGATCCGATCATATTTTTCTTGGCATGTCGTTCCTTCAGCCCGCAAGTATGATAAGGCCATGACAAATCCTTTCATATAGTAAGGCACGGTTTCTTCAGAGGAATCCCGAATAATTACGCATATGTGCTCATTCAAGCATGGAGTGTAAAATGATGAGCGGGCTTCAAGGATCTACAAAAAAAAAACTTTTTGCTTAATTTAGACAGTGCTGACGTAATTTTTGAAATTTTGTTCCGCGTTTTGGGACCTTCCACTGTTGGCACTTTTTTGTGTTCATTTTTGGACTTTCCTCCCAGCGGCCATAGAACTTGTCTTTTTCCACCTTTTTCCCTTTTTCTTCTTCACACAGACTCTTTTTTTTCGTCATGGGGGAGTCGAAGCCAGATTACAAGGTTCTTATCAATGAACCGAACGAGTCTCCATCCCCTCCGCCTCATCGAGGTCCCAGTGTCGTGGCTCCTTCCATCATCACCCTTTCACCGGCCATGCGGGCGGCATTGCCTATAGCCAGTTACTGTTTCGCCAGTATTCTTATGACCATCACGAATAAATACGTATTAAGTGGATACGAATTCAACATGAACTTTTTACTATTGACAGTTCAGGTAAATCAAAAGCGTGAATGAGCATACTCATGTCGAAATGTTTTTTTCTTTGTCTCTTTTTTTTTTTTGTCACGATCAAAAGAAACGCTAACCTCAATTGCATCATGTAGAACGTGGTGACGGTGGCATTACTGCAGATCTTCAAATTCTTCAATCTGATCAAGTTTCGCGAGTTTGACAAGGACGAAGCGCGTAAATGGTTCCCTATTGCCCTGTCACTCGTCGCTATGATATATACTGGATCAAAAGCGTTGCAGTTCCTGCGAATTCCCATTTACACCATTTTCAAAAATTTAACTATTATTCTGATCGCTTACGGCGAAGTCATCTGGTTTGGTGGCAGTGTTACTCGCTTGATGTTGATCTCTTTCGGTCTTATGGTAAATGATATCATCGCACCGTGCCTGATGTCTCGGTTATTAATAGTCACTTGAATTTGTTCCCGGTCAGGTTTTATCTTCTGTCGTGGCCGGCTGGGCAGACATCTCCGATACATTGTCAGCCATCGTAGAACTTGATACCGCCTTCATTGGTTACTTTTGGATGACTACCAACTGCCTGTCATCCGCCGCCTTTGTGTTGTACATGCGCAAACGAATCAAGTTGACCAACTTTAAAGATTTCGATACTGTATATTACAACAATTTGCTCTCGATTCCATTGCTGATCATTCCTAGTCTCATTTTCGAGGATTGGAGCGCCGAAAATTTGCAAAGAACATTGTAAGTAGTGAACAGGGCCATCCATTGCCGCTGTGTTGTGTAATTGAGTCGCTGATCAACCGCATTTTTTATGATCTGTATTAGCCCCGTCGATATCCGTCAGCAAATGATTTATGCCATGGTTTTCTCCGGTGTCTCTGCTTTTGCCATGTCTTATGCATCGGCTTGGTGTGTACGAACAACGTCATCAACAACTTATTCCATGGTGGGTGCATTGAACAAATTGCCCATTGCCGCATCAGGCATCCTTTTCTTTGGCGATCCCGCTTCCATTACCAATATCTGTGCCATCATACTAGGTATGTCATTCAATCATTCTATTATAAAATGAATTATGAACGAAATTAACGAATCTTTGGTTTCCTGCTATTTCAAGGATTCGTTGCTGGTCTCGTTTACAGTTATGCGAAAACCATCGGTAGCAAATCCTCCTCTGGATCACAAAGCATTCCCATGTCGTCTTCCAGCCAAAGTGCCGCCGATGCGGTAAAAGCAGAAAACGGAAAATCATAATCTTCTTCATCACCTTGTTTTCAGTGTTCGTTTTTTCTTTTGGTTTTTTTTTTTTATTCTTCCGCTCATACTTAGAAAAATACAGCTCAACAACTAACTAAAAAATTATGGGTCGTCTCGTGGCGGAGTTATTACGGGGGGTCTGAAACAGACATCGGGAAATGGGATTAAAATTTTCTGGCGCTCTATTCGCATCATTGCACTTCTTTCTATTTTTTTCAACTGGATCTTTTATTGTTTGGAGAAAGATATCAAAAAAACAAGGAGCAAAACAGAGAATTTTGGGTTTTCCTTGCTTGAAGAGAAAACAAGGAAATCTTTTTTTCTTTTTTGTTCGTGCTTATTAAAACGATTCGACCCGGACCCGGTTGTGTGAAGATACCTGTATCCTTTTCCCTTGGTTTTTTTTTTTTTTTTTGCACAATTCCACTTCGTGGTCCATCGGTAAACTCGCGACGATAAACTCGCAATGAAGAACATCGAAGCGTCGAGAACACAGCACAGTTTCCATTTCCTACCTACATCGGATCATCTCGTTCCTATCCATACTTTACGTCAACGTTTTCTGGATATATGGCATTCGCTGACATGGACCGTTGTATTAAGGATCATCAAGGCCAATATTGCCGTCACCATTGCTCTGGGCCTGCTATTTGTCGAACCCATTCGTGAAAAAGTAGGTCTAGGCGGTGTTCTGGCTTGCGTTGCCGTAGAATTTGTGCATCCCGCTAAATCATACGGATTCATCAGTGAGGTAACCATGTGGGTGTGATCGTTGATACTCCTATAAAAAATTTGCTCTCTTTACCCCGCTATTTCTAAACCAAATTCACGGATGGTTGCACAAACAAACAAAAAGGACATCGTTTTCGGTGCCTTTATGTGTACGGTTTCCGCCGGTTGGTCGTTATTAGGCACCTACTGCGCTTCACTCGCTCGAAATCCGACAAGCGCCGTCCAGGCTCAGCCCAAAGTATGCGCTATTCTGGCCATCTTTTTGGTCGTAGGAGCATTTGTTCTCAATTACGTTCGTGTCAAGTTTGAACAAGCCAACGTCGGTGGCATGCTTTCAGCAACCATCATGGTCATCAGTCTTACAACAGCCGTACTTGATCACCAATGGAATCCTTACGCTGTCGTAAGTCTATCTCTCCCGAGATAAAATTTATCCCCCAAATTCGCTCCTTTTTTTCCCCACTCTTGTGTCCTGTGAGCCAATCTGTTGTTGTTTCCTGGTGCATTGTCGATCAGAGGCAAAAAAGTGTGTTTCCTATTTAGAACTCAGGTGCTCACTTTTTTTTTTCTTTTAGTTGCAAGATCTCGTTCCGGTGTTGGTTGGATTCATGCTTGTTTTGCTGGTCTGCATTATAATCTTGCCCGAAAATAGCACCCGCATCTACGTTCAACAACTTATCAAAACACTGGAAACGTTTGATGGAATCCTACAGCGTCAGGTCGATGGCTTTGTTCAGATCCGGTCTCAGGAAGCCACCACCCACCATCCCTTGTCGAATTTCGGATCCAAGGAAGCGCCGGAATCCTTGGTGACGATCCATACAACCATTGATACCATGCTTTCGGCACTCATTGAAAAGAAACGAATCGTTCGACGCGAAGCGTCTTATAATTGCATTGCACCCGGAGATGTGAGCGAGATGACGAAACTGGTCAAAAATCTGCGGATTCCCCTGCAGGGTATCGGCCTAAGTCGGGCCATGGAAAGCAATATGCGCAAAGCCGAATTAAGAAATCGCCTTGCAGCCAAGATGAAACACTTTGCCACCCATGATCATCTCGATCCAATGACAACAGACGATCAAGACGATGGTATCCAAGTTACCGACGACAGCGACATCACCCACGGATCCGACGAAGCACTTTCCATACCTGAAACCAACTCAGCCCCACCTCCGACCACCGCCGAACTGCAAAATGAGCTTGATGAAAAATACGCGGCGGCCGAACAAAAGTTGGCCTCTGGACAATCCAGTAACGAACGCGATCAAACGACCATTCGACTTGATTCGGCCGCTTTCCAACCCAGTGCGTGGCGGCAAGACTATGACGAGCTGTTGAAAACTGTGCGTCCGAATTATTTGGATTTACGGAAAGCATGCTCTACAGCGATCGATGAATGCATTCATCGATTGCGACGCATTCAGAGCCTTGATCCCCGGCTTGAAGGGCGTCCATTTTTCTTTCGCTACTTTATCAAGGCGAACAAAGGCGGTGCTCCGGCACCTGCAGATTACGCCAGGCATGTAGACCCTTCAGAAGCCTTGTTGTCTGCTATCCACCGGTTTGATAGATGCCGACTGAAGGGTCTGGACCGTTTATTCTCAGAAGACCACACGCCCCACCGTGCATTGTTTATGATGTTGTTATTCCAATGTGATCTTCGTGGTTACGCAGAATCTGTGTACACACTGACTTCTCTGATTTATGAGATGGATCACGGACGTACCAAGCGAAAATTTTGGTTACCGCATCTCCCTCTTCGTAAAATACTTCGACAGAAAGTGAATTTAGCCGATTCATACGATCTTGACACGCCTGGAGCCATTACTGAAAGCAATGCACTGACACTTCAGCGAACGTTGTCTGAACATAATGCGCGACTCCAATCCGTGGATTTTGACTCGTGTCACGCATTATCCACCCCGCAACGAGGACGATTACTTTCGCATCCCGAAGTCTTATCCCCCAACCCCCAACCCACCGTCGATATGTCGCACGTAGCCCTTCACCGTCCCAACAGTGCCTACCAGGAAACCCTGGAATACCTGAATTACCATGATCCGGACGTCGCGTTTCCTACTACTCCATCCCAGCGCTTCTTCTATACATGCTGGCGCTTCTGTGTGAACAACCTTTACACGGCCGATACAGCCTTTGCTTTCCGAGCGTGCATCGTCGTGGCGGCGTTGTCATTGCCTGCATTTCTCGAAGAGTCAGTCCACTGGTACAACGGTGCCCGAGGTCAGTGGGCGGTCATTGTGGCCCTGATTTGGATGGGACCATCCATTGGCAGCAACTTTTTCGGGTACGTCAAAAGAAAAACGGTATCCCATGTTCAGTGGATTTTAAAGAAATACTCAAAAATGCACATGAACATTTAAAAAGGACGATGGTCCGCACCGTAGGCACCTTCATTGGAGCCGTGATGGCTTTAATTATATGGGAGATTGGCCAAAGAACGATTTACGGTATCCTGATAGCCACCTTTATCTTCAATCTCCCGTGGTGGTTGATCTATCTCAACGGCAAGTTTTGGAAAGCCACCGGCATGTTTTCCTTGATTACCATTTCACTCAGTAAGTTGCTCGATATGCTCAAGTGAATATTCTCTGTAATTCATTGTCCATCGTAACGTAGTTATTGGATATTCCTACAACTACATGAAAGATCATTCCAATGTATCTGTTTATGAAGTCACATATCAGGTAGATATAGCAGAAACCAAAAAATATAGTGGGAGGGTCATGGTTCACTTACATCATTTGGATTGCTTAGCGTACCTTGTCTGTGCTAGCCGGCGTTCTTGGTGCATTGCTCTTGTCCATTTTCCCGTATCCACGCACGGGCCGTGTGGAGTTGAGACATCGTGCGGCGCGTACGTTGAATGAAATTGCTACTTTGTATTCATCCTTTCTAGCCTTGCTTTTGAAGAACTCGCAGTCGGATAACAAGGTGCGTCTCACTAATCAGAAGCTATTCAGAGCCATTGCGTCTTCCATTCGCCAGCAGATCAAGGGCGAGCGCGTATTATTGGAACAAAGTCGGTTTGAGCCGGCTTTGCGCGGTGTATTCCGCGAAGATCAGTACGTGCAAATGCTACAAATCTTTGATAACATGCTCAACTTGATGCTGGAGATGGAGTATTCATTATCCAAGGTCGATATAAAATGGCGTTCGGAGCTTGTAGATTATACCTGGAAAGAACGAAGAGACATGGTAAGGACTTGATGGCAAGCCTCCACTCGTACTACTTTGCGCTCAACCATATATGCAACGATATTGCTCTTCTAGATCGCGTCCTTTCTCACTTCACTTCATCTTGCGGCTAATGCGCTCATCAATAAGACAGCCTTGCCACCCTTCATACTAAGACCTACCAAGGCGCGTCGGATATTGACAAACAAAGCTCGTAAGCTGCCGCATTTAAAACCGGAACATCTGACCGCGCCAGAATATACCTATTACAGCGCTTACCTCATGAATTCTGAACAGCTGGCCGTGGAAATTGAACTGCTCGTTGCCACTGTTCAAGAATTGGTAGGTCCTGACAGCGTCAATCGATGGCTACAATATAGACCCTCTCATATTCCTGCATAACTATTTTGTTTTTCGTTGTTTATATCATTCGTAATATTTATCATATTAGAAACTATACGATGCAATAAAACCATGCTGTACAAAGAAAACGAAACAAGAACAGAGAAAACTATAAAATAAGAAAAACAAAATGAATAATCCAATGAAAAATGTCATTTTCGACATGACGGCAAGATGAAAAAATGTGTGAAAAAGCAAGACCATGTCGTGTAGCATGATCATCCTTTTGGTAAATATTGAAAAAATAAAAAAATCTGAGGAATGTATAAACAAGAAGATCGGCAAAGATCTTTGAGGTCAAATCAAAAAAGAAATCAGACACTTCTGATATGCTTGCTGCAACACCGCTTCATCAAAAGCACGTCATTACTTCGCGCTGAAGTTTTTTCGTGTTGATTCTGTTGGTTTGATGGTTGTGTAAAAGGGTTGAAAGAAAAATTATCGCTTTTCCGCTGGCCTTGGTTTGGAGATCTTGGAAACGCGGAAGGCTGTCAATGTCATTTGCGTGGTGGTGGTGTTGGACTCGGCCTTGACCTTGGCTCGTTTCACGACACGCGTACGATTGATATTTTCCTTTTCATCGTCCTCCTCCTCTTTCATTACAGATAACGATCGTCGCAGACGAGTTCGTGCCGCTGCCAGTGCTTTTTCGTCGGCAAGCTTGATTTCAGTTAGTCGCACCCATTCGTCGGTATCGCCCTGGACTTCGTAATCAAACACTTTTTCCCACTCTTTGGTGGGTGGCGTTCGATTAACAAAAATAACACGGCCAGTCTTTGTGCTGTGGATGATGCGGGCCGCTTGCTTGATAAACTTTTTCAGTGCTGGAATTTTCAGAGACGTCCCCATGACAATCATCAGATCCGGTCGTTTCTTAAGATCGCTGGCCTGCAGCTGACCGATCGTTTCACCGTGAGGATGATCTTCGTTATACAGTACAATATCTGGACGCAGAGTTCCCGTTGCCAGGGAACGTTTACCAAGACGCGTACGTTCGTTGTCCATTTCTTCGCATTTGGGACAGGGCGGAGCATTGCCTTCGCGAAACAGATTTTCGTGATCGGTGGAAAAATCATAAGAGGCTGCGCACAACGTGCACTTGACTTTGTTCATGGATCCATGCAGCTGAACGGTCGGAAGGTCGAGTGATTCTTCTAAACAGTCGATATTTTGGGTGTAACAGCGCATCAGTTGACCTCTTTCTTGAATGTCGCGAATAAATGAGTGCGTGCGGGTGGGTAAAGCAGTGGATATCAAAGATTTCAGTTCAGCCATAAATGTATAAAAACAACGTGTTCGATTTTCGTCCTTGAAAAGCATGGCGTCAAACAGTTCCTTGCCACGCAAGACGACGCTGGGATGTTTCTTCTTCACCAGATTGTACAGACCATCCGATGAACGAAAATCCTAAGGGAGAACAAACAATGGACATTAGAGAGCGGCAATAGTGGGAGGCTAGAAAAAAGACCAAACACGATGACCAGGTGTCTCGGAGATAGTCAAGGAGAATAATACGTACAGGAATGCCACCACTACAGGATATTCCTGCACCTGTGACAAACAGAATGCGTTTGCTACGAGCGATGCAAGCTGCCAAATCGGCAATGAGCGGATCAATAACTTCCGGAGGCTCTGATATCGATATTTTGACTTTCATTGATGGTGATGTGGACGGCATTAGTCAGTTGAGATCACGCGCAAAACCAACAGTTCATGAAACGGGAAGAAAAAGGAAAAAGGGAAGGAAAAAAAATTCCACAAGGACTTGCAAATTTGGCAATTTTTGTTTGCATTGGGTTTTTTGTGATTGTTTTTTTTGCCAATGGCCACCCTTGGAAATGTGAGCAGAATTATTTTGGAATTTCGTTCCCCCTTCCCCGGGCCGGACAGAAGACGTGATAATATCCCCTTTTCGGGTAAGGACACTGTTTCCGAAACCCGCATCCACCAGTCAGTTCAAAGCAAAAAAAAATATGATGAGAAAAAGAACTATTTTTTTTCATGTGTACAATGTCATCACAAGTCACCAACTGCGGCACTAAAGTAATTTCTATGATAGTGTTGATGCAGGTCACTTGATTATAGTTTGCATAAAAAGTGGGCGGGAACAGGGAAAAGAAATACATGATGATCTTTTTGCAAGTAAAGCATTTTATATGGTGACTAAACATTCATATGATGAAAAGATAGAAAATACAAGACAGAATAAAAAGCATGATGGTAAAATTATATTATTCAAATAAAAATCTAAATAACATGTATATTTGCTTTATACAAGCAACATCAGCTCTGTTATGGAGAAATTTGATTATAGTATTGGTCAAACTAACTTGTAAGAACCGTGTAGATGGGAAAAACCCTTGCTTCATCCAAACGAGCTTGTTAACAAAAGAATCGCTTGACTAAACCGCGGAGAGGACAAGTACTGTCTATAAAACGCAACGGTTGAAAACTGTTCAGTAAAACTCGAGTTTTTCTGCCTATTAAAAGACCGTCGAAGATGGCTCTTGTTGTCAAGTCATTGACAAAGTTTTTTCAGGCAATATCCTTGTTGCTCAAACTGTTATTCTCGGTTGAAACTCGCAGAATTTCACTCAGTTTCTGCAATTTTTGAAACTCAGCCCGTCTATTTTCTCACCTTTTTTTTTGAAAGGGGATCCAGGGTGGCTCAAATAACCACGGACACAGGGCACTGGTCATGGCGGCAGTTGGGCGATTCAAGCATGCAATTGCCAAGCAGTTATCTTTGATCACAACATGTTGTGAACCTCAAATATTGCAAGCCATAAGAACACCGCCCAAGAAAACAAACGCACAGTTTGCCGTGTCATTAGCTAAACTGGCGGCCACACTGCGACAAGATCCCAATGTCAATCTGCCGAATAATCCTTCGATCTGGTGCAAAGCAACTGCCAACAAAGTAAACACGCTATATACAGTTACTTTCAACGGGCAATAGTAATTCAAACCTTCTTTCGATTTCTTTCTGCTAGATCCAGGCCAATGATCTGATTGCCACAGCGACGGCGGACGGAAGCAATCTCAACTTTGGCGTCCAACAGACTGAATTCACCAAGCAAGTGCTTCAAGAAGTATACCATGAGAAAACGACTTATGGTTGGGCCCACATCCCGAAACCTCGGGAGAAACCCACGGTAGTCATCGATTATAGTTCACCTAATATCGCCAAACCATTTCATGCTGGCCACTTGCGAAGTACCATTATGGGCAACTTTGCAAAACGGATTCATCAGGCCATGAATTATAAGGTAGTTGGTATCAATTACTTGGGCGACTGGGGAAAGCAGTACGGTATGTTGATCTCCGTTGGGCATACGATGTTGTGATCTCGACTAACGACTGGTCATCAACCTCCCCCAAGGTTTGTTGGCAGTTGGATTTGAACGTTACGGTGACGAAGACGAGCTGAAAAAAAATCCGATCCATCATCTGTATGACGTCTATGTAAAAATCAATGTTGACGCTCGTGAAGACCCGGAAATTGATCGGCTCGCGAATGCGTACTTTAAGCGCATGGAAGAAGGTACGCTTCTCACCTCGTCCAATCCTTCTGTCAATATTATTGGATAACGAATGTTGCGTACTTTAGGCGATGAAAAGGCTTTATTGCAATGGCGCCGTTTCCGCAACTTGAGTATCGAATCATACACTGGTATCTACGATCGACTGGATATCCAATTCGATATGTACAGTGGTGAATCGCAAATTCATGACTATATTCCTCACGTATACCAACATTTGCAGCGACAAAATCTGCTCACCAAAACGGACGATGGTGCTTATGCTGTGGATCTCGAAAAATACAACCTGGGCAAAGCCATGATACAGCGGGCCGACGGTACTAGTCTCTATCTTACGCGCGATTTGGCTAGCTTGCTCATGCGACGCGACAAATTCAAATTCTCAAAGGCATTGTATGCCGTAGGCGTGGAACAAGAAGGCTATTTCAAGCAATTATTCAAAGTAGCGGAATTGATGTTTCCGGAAGATGCGTGGGCAAAACAGTTACAGCATGTGGGTTTTGGTCGTATCAACGGTATGTCGACCCGCAAAGGTACAGCGGTTTTCCTGCAAGATATCCTGGATGCGGCTCAAGATAAAATCATGGACTATATGCGAAATGACACGGCGAAATACGAACTTATTGGAGAAGACGGAGCCAAAATGATTGCGGATCAATTGGGTGTCTCAGCCATTTTGATCCAAGATATGAAGTCCAAACGAAATAAGAACTACACCTTTTCATGGGATCGCATGACCGATGCACGAGGAGACACGGGCGTTTTTCTCCAATATGCACATGCGCGGGCTTGCGGGTAAGATTTCTTGGCAAAAAACAATTGAGGTTTGCGCGCGAAATACTCATGCGAATCATTGTAGTATTGAACGCAAGGCAGAGATTGACATTCGCCCCAACTGCGATTTTGACTTGTTAAAAGAGGATGAAGCTTTTGAACTGGTACAAATGATTTCGCAATTCCCAGAACAGGTGGAAATGTCGTTCACCACGTTAGAACCGTGTACTTTGGTGAATTATCTTTTCAAATTATCCCATGCAACAAGCTTGGCCAGCCATTCTCTTCGTGTCAAAGGATCCGAGCCATCGGTAGCTGAAGCAAGAATGTTGCTCTTTTGGGCTGCACGAACAACACTTCATAATGGCCTGTCACTTCTTGGTATTCGACCCTTGGAACAAATGTAGTCCTGACAGACCGTCTCTTCATCCTAAATTCGTTTTCCGCATTGTTTAAAAGACATCATTACTTCATCCCACCTCTTGTAATTATTACCGCAAAAATAAAAAGTTACTGATCTGTCCCTTAGAAAACCATCATATGGCCTTGTTGCCACCTAGCTTACTTGATGATTCTGAATACCATGTGTATGCAGTCGCTGCGGGTTTAAATTTAGAATCTTTTTTTAGGAGCGAGATGCCAATGTTGCCTATCGCATCGGTCACGCTTTTTTTCCTTTGAATGTTTCCTGCAATAACAACATGCAGGAGAAGCACGGGAAAGAGAAGCATCACCATAAGAATAGTATTACATCCTTTATGCATTTATTATGTGATCCCTTTGGGAAAAAAAGGAGAAAACAGAGGGAAAAAAAATACGAAGCAAAAAGAGACATGAAAGATGAATTAGAAAGAATCTTGGAAAAAGAAAAGAGGATCAAAGAAAAAGAAAAAGTCATTACCATTCATGGTATGATTTGATTAAGTTAACTGAAAGAGAAAGAAGAAGAAAAAATTGTAAAAAGGAAGGATTGACTGCATGGATCCGACGTCATGGCTCATCGTACACAAACTTAAGCTGAAACTTGCACGCTTGCAGAACCGGCTTGAATTTCAGGCGGGTTGGCTACTGCTTCTTCGTGAGGTTGTTCTGCCACTTTATCAGGAAGATCATGGGTAGAGTTTGGAGGCGATGTTTTTTTCTTATCCCACTTTGGCAAACGAAGCATATGGGTAAGACGACGACTCAACAACGAAGGGTTTCGACGAGCAGAAGTTTCTTGACCGACAGCCGGTGTGGCATCTAAATCCAAAAAAAAAGGTCCAAAAAAGAAAAATGATGCATTGTGTGAGATGACTCGCATATCCTGTTACACACAATGCTCACATGCTTTATCCGCGGCGTTTTTGACTAACCCGGATTTATGCTTTTAAGCATCCAAAATTTTGGGAATTCTCACACTTACCCGTCGGGCTAGTTTCGACAGCTGCATTTGCATGACGTTCTTCTGATGTCTTGTGACTGAACAGTTTATTGGCGAGAAGATGGCGGCGAATCTGATCAGCAATGCCAATATCTTTAACGTGATCCTTGGGTGGTGGGGGTGGTGGTATATCATCTGCAGTGTGGACCATCGGTTCAGACGGCGAATCATCCACCGTGGTAGCCGGTTGGGCCGCTAAAATAGAGATGGGATCACGTTATTTCCCTATCTATCATGAGAAATAATAAACAAACGTAAACTTACCTGCAGCTGTTTCAGCGTGCTTTTCACCGCCGATCTTATTCGTCTCATCAAGTACATCCTAATGTCAAATTCATTGTCAATCTGAGTAACGTTACACGGTAAAAGCATATTCAATACGCCGTACCTTGGCTCGTTGAAGCATCACACTGAAGAAACCAGGCTTCTTCTTTTGACCTTCACTCTCATTCTCAACGATCTGGGTGTGAACCTCACGATCACTTTCGGTGACAGGTCCGTTGGAAGAAGGTTCGGCAGTAACAGAGACTTCAGGCACAGGAGCAGGCCCAGCCTCAGCCTCAGGTGTGCCTTTGACTTCTTTGCTTTCTGTCGCAGGGGAAAGAGCGGTTTTCGCCTTGCTTAGGAGCAATGAGAGGCGTTTCGTAGCACTGGATGCCGATTTATTGGAAAGGGGTGGCTCAGGAAGATCATTTTCAACCGTTGGATTCACGAGGTTGTTGGTATTACTTTCAGCAGTGTACCCAGCGACACCAGGAATGCCAATGACAGGCAACGGTGGCATCGGTTTGGCATCGGTTGCGGGAGCAGTGATTTCCGGAGTGGAAACAACTGGATCAGCAGCAGCAGCAGTAGAAGACATGACAAATGTGTAGGTGAAAAGGAAGAAACAATGAAAAAAAAAGAAACAGACAAATGCGGTCTTGATTGGGAGAGAGTCGCTTTATGCCGCGGCGGAGTATTAAAACTTAAGCATAGGATGCATCAGCGTGCACTTTATTTGTGTCGTTCTATTTTTTTGTGTCCCCTGATTGATGATACCTTCGTTTTTGATCGCGAGTATGCGTTATAATCTACCAGTAGTAAATTTTTTTATATATGGTTAGACATGGAATTGTTTGCTAATATACTTCGCTATGGTATATTCCATAAAGTCTAAATATATATGCCTAATGAACTCGTCTTAAAATGATCGTTTATCAATCATTTTCCAGCACATGGTGGTTAAAAAAGCTTGATGTTTTTAATATAAACTAGATTGTTCCTATGATTTTTTCCTGATCCCTGGAACCCTTCTTATAACCTTATTGTTATAGGTAGTTGTAGATGTAGGATTTGAATAACCTACTGTAAATGGCAAGGCAAATGAGGCATGTTATACAAACGTATTTCTACAAAGTATTACATGTCACTCGGCTTTGTCAGAAGAAATAGCAAAAACCGGGACAATGAACAAATTCATATCCTTTTCACGTATCAGATCTGTAATAACTCCCATACGACTGACATTTCCCCAGAATAACGCCATTATAGCTCATTGCTTGGGTTTGCATGATGTTGCTGGTTGATAAGCTCTTACAGTACCCTTAAAAAAAAAGATTTGCATAGAAATATTGGCTTCAATGGTACAAATTACTGGCACATAAAACGACAAGTGCGTCCCAATTTAATCTCTTTATGTCAGCTGCCCTAAAAAAACTTGTAAACTACAACGAAAGTTACTGCTTATTAAAAATAACTCTGAATCAGAGCTACTGCTTCAGTGGCATGAAAAGCTATTTTTTTACTCCTGCGGATGATGTTCATGCGGTGCCGGGGATAGCGGCGGCAATGGGGTCTTGCTCTGCCTGACGAGCTTGAAGTTCCTGCAGTGCCGTGTAGTTTCTGTGCATGGCTTGTCGAATGAATTCTTGCGAAGTAATGGGATCAGGATAGCGTGTGCGGCCTTGAATGATGGCGGATTTGTTGGCTTGATTGAAATAAGCAATCGAATATCGGGGACCTTGGTATTCGCCTACTTTGGGGGCACGCACACGATGAAAATTGCTCTTGAAAACATCGTCCGACCAACGCATGATCATGTCACCGAGGTTACACACAATTTCGCCTTCCTTGGGTGACACCGGGCTCCAAACGTCACCAACCGCAAACTCGGTCGATGCTTCTCGTCCAGGACACACTTCAAGACCGTCTTCACCAGGACGCTGGAATAATAAAGTGAGTGTATCGAAATCAGTGTGTGCCCCTGCGCGCCAATACTCGGGCGGGAAACTCTGCCCGGTGATATCATGGTAATGCAGACAACGCAAGGTATTGAGACAATCGGATTTCGTAATATCGTGGCAACGCGTAAAAAAGTCGGCTTCGAATCCCAAACCAAGAGCAAGACATGTCAAGAGCTTGGCAGACACTTCATTGCACTGATGCATGAAATCGGTGGCGGTCTCTTTAAAGTTGGGCGCATCTTCATGCTTGGGCCACAGCTCATCAACATTATGGAATCCCAGTTGAAGCGATTCCTTCAAGTCGGCCACCCCCGTGGATGGACGGATCTGGGCCAGTTTCTCCCAGCCCGCATTGCGCGATACATCAATAGGGTACTTGCTTTTCACGTTGTCCGGCAAGGCGAAAAAGTCATGGCTTGCCTGGAACATGGTGCGAATCGTTTCCACACTAATACCATGATTGACCACTGTGGATTAAACGTTTTTGATTAATATCTGGGACACGGTTGTTAGGTCACTCCTTTTTCATCATAATCACCATACCATAGAAGAATCCTTGCGTGGTAGCAGCCCGCATCAATTCTGTCACGATCTCATCTTGTCGACGTTCATAGTCACTGAGATCGATTTCAATAAAGTTGCGCTGAACCGTGGGCTTTGCTGATGTTTCCATTCCAGGTTGTCGATGGTGATTTTTTTTTTGCAATGAAAAACGATTGAAAATAGTGCGTGTCTGATTTATATTTCATCCATAGCGCGTTCTGGTCATGAGAAAAAGTCCGTATAAAGGACACTATATTTGCGTGTCCGCCGGTGATTACGTGTTACGAGCACTGTCCTAGGAACCTCATGATGGGCACTTCTCGTGAGATATTTTTTCCTTCATTTTTGTACGTTTGTGTGAGTCCTGAAACTTTGGATGAAAAATTTTGTATTTACAGCGTGATTTTACATGGAGTGGCTGGGACCATGGCAATCGGTTCGACTAACAATTTACAATTTTGGCAGTTATACTGCGGAATTTCCCACAGTAGGCTATAAAAAAATGAGTTTTACAGCTTTTTGCGGAAAGGCACATTCACACACTGATAATCATTGTCCCGTTTCGCGATAAAGACTTGTTGGTCTTCTTCTATCATGGACTGGTGGTACTCTTGATCGCGGAAATTGGAAAACGAGCACCAGAAAGCATGATCACATTCATCCTTCAGAACGCCTCCCTGAGTGACAGGCACACGATGATCGGGACGATTACCGCCAAGACGAGCAGAAGCAATCACATCGTCCCTGCAAAAAGAGGCATGAATTACCGCAAACGAAAGACTGAGAGAGACAAGCAGCGTGTCAATTTTGACTTACATGCGAATCATCAGTTGCTGTCTTCCGCTTCGGTTAATATCAGGGATCGAAGTACCCCACACGACACGCGCTACACCGCGATAGATACTCTGAGCAGCACACATGGGGCACTAAAAAGAGAAAAAATTATAGAGTCAATATCACTTTGCAAGGTATAATTTTCACACGTCATACAGGTTCCCCGGTGGTGTAAAGCGTTTGATGTGACCAGTCCAAACCTGGATCAGACATATCATCATTTGTGGGGGAAGGATAAAGTTCTGTGCAACTGTGATATATTTTTTTAGCTTTTGCGCCTCTTTTTTGTCATTCGAAATCAGCATTTTACTTCCAAAACGCCGCCGTTTCCCCTAAAGAGACGACCGCGCAAAATGAGTGACCCCGTTCTTTGAACCAAAGCAAAAAAGAGGACATGAAAGGCTATGTGGTTTACTTACCATGCAACAACTTGTTTTTTCTGTTGGAATTGGCTCCGAAGCATGAAATCTCGTTTTGGGTATGGTCCACCACCAATGCACCGAATGGGAACCGTGGATTATGCAACAAAGCATAATCTAGAGCAATCTTCATGTAGCACTCATCGATATCGTTTTGCTCCGTGTACTGCTGACAGTGATTGGCATGAGCTGTCGCTGCCAAGAGGCAAACGGCCGCAGTGAGCGAGAAAAGCTTCATGGTTCAAGTGAAGAAAAAAGAAGAGAACAAGAAACGCCCCACGGCGACTGGAAATTTATACCTTTTTTTTATTTTATGCTCAACCGTGAAAGTCCGCATGAAATGAGAACGATGATCAACGCTGACTTGCAACACAAGTTTGAAGGCCATTATTTTGCGATAAATACTCAATGACGGATATGCCTTTATGACATTTCCAAACTTAACCTTATATCATCCGTTTATGTAACGGTCAGCTGCGCTGTATTCGGCGCAGAAAGTCAAGCTCACTGTTACATTGCGAAATGAGTGAAGCCGCGGGACTGGATGATCTAAATTATTTATATAGCTTGTATTGTACTAGTTATGAGCTTCTAGACAGACTGCTTTCTCTTGGCGGTAAAGTATTGGAGCCGTCGGTGCTAATGTCATCGCTCTGATCGCTGCGACGGGCAGGCTGTGCATGTGTTTGTATTGATACATGGGGAGACTCTGTAAATAAACTTCTTGCGTGGTCTAATATATACTCCACCGCCTTGATTTTTCGATTCATTTCCAGGAGATCTTGTTTCTCTTTTGAATTCCTCATCAATGTGGGCCCAAATACAAGGGCAAGATTTTTTGTCGTCATTAGATTTTCCTTGCTTCGTTGCCGCACCCTGACGCATCGTTCATTATGATTCATGCTATGAAGTCGTACCGAAACTGTCTACTCACCTGTCTAAATGTTGTATTAAGAAGCGAACCGTAATGTAATGTTCAGGTGGCAGCTGCTGCAGCAATTCATGAATACGGTCATATCGCTCCCGAGCTTTACCGATATCTAATCAATGGATGTTTAACCAAAATGGAAAAATAAAACGTCCTCTGCGTAAACAGACTTACCCATGGCATCCATCAACTTGGGATGTAATTCATAGGTGAACAAAGGATCGGGGAGTTCTCTAAAATACTGCTTCAACAGGCTTGTCACAGCACATATATCGTTCCACTGTTCGTCGTCCGCCAAGTCAGGCACCATGCCTTGCTCGAATCTCTGTTGTAACAACCGGATTTGTCCTGCTCCACCAGACTTTCGATAAATGCCTTCGTGATCCATTCCTAAAATAAACGGGCTCTCAGTAAAAAACTGGCTTTTTCTTTTCATGACATTATCAAGCCTACTTACCGCGCGCTTCCACAGTGGCCACGCATTCCCGAACTAGCAAAGGCACGTTACCATTCTCACTTTGGACCTGCTTGCGTAGCTCATTTCCAAAAATCGGAACTTCATTACACCGTTGAGTGAGTGAAAAATCATCTACCAGTACGATGGTCTTGTTTTTTTACCTTTTGGAGGAAGCAATGGTTTTGCTGATGATTCTGATGATGAATTTGAAAGACATATTTGCTGCAACTCCGGAACGCACTTTGTATGGCATACTGTGCCACAATCTATCGTCGCAGGTATTCGTCAGATAAGAAAGAAAAAGGTTTTCCTCTTCTTCAACACCCAACGTTTACTTACATTCACATTGTAACTCGGTGTTTTTCCTCATTTTTTCTCCACAATGATCACATTTGGCGGGTTTGGTATACTTGTTATGTAGAAAGCTGTGGGCTATCGATGATGAATCTTTGGTTGTTGGTTTGCTACTTTTCAGCGGTTCCGAGGTTGATGCGGCAATTTTGTTGGTATTAGGTGATAAAGGTACCTGCAACTTATCGTCGTCCCGTTTCTTCACGTGTTTACCGGTCATACTACTACCCAGCTTACTGAACATGCTCCCTTTTCGAAAGCTGAACAGCTTATGAGGCGCTTCGTGAGCCGCCCATGGTTCTCGCGCCGCCGCCGGTGTATCGATGCCAAAATCTACCGACCTTCGGTGTCCAGTAGTCGGCGTATTTGAAGGGCCCGACATATCGACGGATCCGGCCCGATGTCTTTGAGTGGAATGATCATGGTTCGGTCTCAAATTTTCGTCGTTGGTAACAAAGTTGGTCCCAGCCATAAGCGCCAGCGCCTCCCGTTCACGCTCGCTTACGCGTCGTGATAAATCGTTGATGATCTCCGTTAATTCCGCGTTTTTATCATTCAACATGATCATTTCACTGATAGCTTCGTCTCTATCTTTTGTAAGCTGGTCAAACGTCTTCTTCAGTTCGGTAACCTCGCTCTTCAAAGAGAACATCTGTGTTTCATAGGATGCTTGCAGGTGCTTCCAATGTACATTGGGCGGTTCTTGCCTTTGGAACGATAATTGATGCGTTAGCCTCATTGACCTTTCTCGTTTTACCCGTTTTGCACCGCGCTTTCTTACTGATCGAGGATGGTTTGATAATTTTTCGCCAAGTCTTCAATCTCTTCCACAAGATGATCTCTTTGACGCCGAAGTTCATCACAGATACGGCCAAGGTTGTACGCGTCTTCATCTTCTTCCGTATTTGTTCCGACATCGACGGTGGATTTTCTGGACGCCGCCGCTACTTGTTCTTTCAATACTGTGAATTCTCTCTTCAGCTTATCCATTAGTCCATGTGTGTGAGATCTTGCTGCCACTTCCGCGACGTAATCGTCCTTGAGCGCATGATAATCGTTCATATCTTTACGGCATGCTGCCTGCAGTTAAAAAAAATGTTTCAGATAAATTGCCCAACGAACGTGAAACAATAACACTTTTACTTTATGCATGGCGTATTTGTCTTCCGCTTCCTTGCATTTGGTTTTGGCAACTTCCAACTCTTTTTTGAGTTCAGCTACGAGAGTAGCAGTCTGAACATCGCTATCATAGCCGTTGGTGGAAAGATCGCCGTCGGGTGAGGATGCTTTAGAGGTAACCGCGCTAACATAGTCTTGTTCTTGGAAGGAAGAGGAGGAGGATTGTACGACCGATGGACCGTGAAGCGGGCTAGACTGGTCTGAACTACTTTCCTGTAGATCATATTCATGATTCATATTCTGATTTTTTAACACTAAAAAAAAGTTTCAGTTTTTGAAAATTCTTTATATTATAAGCTTTGTTAGGGCTCACCCTCCTTCTCTCCCTGAAATGCATTTTGAGGAGTATTGCTACTTTGGACTGAATTGACTAAAGGACCTGTAGCAATATTTGTACACCCGAATGGCTGTACATGATTGGTTAATACAACATTGCTGGTAATGATGGCTACCGTAGCTGATGCTGTGAAAGGCTCGACTGGTTACAGCCATTATACACGATGAGCTATTTCGACTTACCGTGGGATGATTATCCGGTAATGCTTTGACCGCATCATGCTTTGTCAGTTGCAGAACCTTGGTTTTCCGATACAGCAGTTAGATTGACAAAATTATATGACGAATGTATTGGCCACATTTCTGTAATTAGGATGGCAGAATTGATACACGTACTGTTGACGGATCATCTGGCATATTGGTTTCAGGAACCCATTGCTGAGCCCACGTACAAGGATGAACATCCTGGTCTGTTTTAAGTGAAACCATGATGAGAACCATTTTATTTTATCTTTTTAGGTGTACAAGGTCTATTGTCTACCTGCGTCGCCGGTTTGCTTGATCGTTGGACTGTCAAATACGTTGGCTTCTACTGCTTCTCGACGACCGTTGCTAGGGTCATGGGCGCCATTGTCATGCTTTACGGAATGACGCATGAGCAAAAGTACTGATGGAGCGGTTACTCAAGATCAACGAGTTTAATAGCTGAAAAACCGGAAAAGGAGTGGTTTAGAAAACAGTGAATTGCCATCTGACCATTCCTTTTGCCGTCAAGACCATGGCAAGGAGTGCGGTTGGATCACTTAAAGTGCCGATAAAAGTAACAGATCCTCAATAGTACATAAAGATGCCCAATAATGACATTTAAATCAATGCCTTTTCTATGGTTTATGAGTGTATGCCAGCTTTATATCGATGTTTAATACAGTTTGTGGCAAAAGCAATTATTTAAAAGTGTTCTTTCCTTCAAAGGGCTTTTATTTTATATGCAAGCGGGCTTTAAAAAAGCTCGATTATTGGATTTTCCTGCTCATTTTCTGCAATGGGATCTCTTGCGACCAATACAGCCATTCATGCAGTGGCAAACGACAGAAAAATGTATTGCAAAAAAAATGACGCCGCCACCTCTAAAAAGTAAGTTATTACTACCCACATTCCTCAAAGCTAATATAAGTGGCATATTGTGTCAATATCACCAATAAATGATAAGGCGTCATATCGGCAAAAGTCTATTTTAAAGTCATTAGGAACGGGTGGGTTTTCTTCGCGGATCATAACAATGCTTAGATAATGTTGCACTGAGGAATATCCCGAGTGTCCCTTTTACTTGAGACATGAAATGTTTATTACTCATTTACTCCGAAACTTTTATGCGCTTTTCTACCTTTTCCAGCTTTATATAGTTTTATTATACATTCTTATTTTATCTATATCATGCTATGAGCTCTACTTTATCAAAGCATGCTTATGCGCGGAAATAGCAGTAAATGAGGAATAATATGAATAAAAATGAAATGTGCAGTTAAGCATTTTATTACATGGTGATCCTGTTACTGTGTGTTTGATACAGACGATTATGGTTTTCTTGGATACAGAACAGTTTCTGTTCCTAACTTGTTCAAGTCTTTGACTTGATGATGTAATGTGGAATTTGGGCAAGTCTTCGGCTTCTTCGGCTCTGAAAATGTTATACCAGTCCTTTTCTCTGCATTGATGATGGCTGGGTCACCAGACCAATGAAATTTTTCCTGCCACCCTTTGAAATGAAAATTCTCGGTTTGGGTTGTCGATTCTCCGCTTCTTCTCCTGCTCGGTGACACAGAATTTCATGAAATCCTCCTGCAAATTATCCACAGATAGATTGTGACAGTAATTGAACATGATTTCCCGGGATGTTAACGGATCCATTCAACCATCATCGTTGACTGCACCGACAAATACTGCATCTGTGAGACCGGGGAAACTACGGGTACGTGGTGTCTATTACAACGACTTGTGATCGGCTGATGAACGTCAAACATCGTTGTAGATTGAAATCCTTAGCTGCTTTCTCAACATTCCTGTGAAAAAGCCCTACGTTGTTATTACACTTGGAGGTAGGTTAAAAGTTATTGGTAAAAAATGAATAATATAATTGATTTTCAATTGTTCGGCAAGACCAACAATATCACACTTCCATATCCGAGGATGCCGAGGGTCGCTGGAATGAAAGTTTTGAATTATCCGTGAGCTTTCATGCTCAGCTTTTCGATACCATTCAATTGGATATTTATGATCATTTTATGGTGTTGTCTGACAAGCATGTTGGCCGCTGCGAAATCCGGTTGTCCACGCTTCAGCACATGCCAGAAAGCTATGTCAGCTACTACGAAGTGTGGGAGAAGAAGCTGTGCGTGGGTGGCAGTTCCAATGTCCCTGGTAAAAGGACTCGGATCACCAATTGTGGAGCCCTGCAAGCCAAGATAACCTATCGCTATCGCAATGCCGAGAAAGCGCCAGCTGCAATTCGTGAAACGAATGAGGAAAATCATCAACCACGCCGTCTCGCTGATCTGCCGAAACCAAAAAGCAATGAACTGAAGAGCACCAACCTCGTCAATGAACAACAACTTGCCGAAGAGTTTAAGCGACATTTAAGATTTCAACGCGAACGGCGGTCCACCAGCTCGAGATTTCAAAAGTTTGAAGAAGAATATCGAAAAGCAAAGGAACCATTAGCGGACACGATGGATTATCCCGACGATAGCGATACCGAGGACGAGCAGGACGACGATGATGTTCGTCCATTAACATTGACGAAGCAAAGTGCAAAAGCAAACTATGATCAATCACAGCGAAACAAAGTGACCCACCCCCCCGAAATGAAAGACGCCAAAGAACGACCTAAAAATCGCAAATTTGGTTCAATTTTTCAAGGCTCCAAGTCTTCTTCCATGAACACGTCTCGCTCAGTTACTCAGAGTCCCAAATTGGAAGCGCATGAAATCGATCCACTGGGGACGTCCAACGAAACTGTCATGAACACGCTGACTACCCTGTCCGATGATGACCAGACCTTGAAAGCGTATCCAGTACTAAAAGCCATTGGGGCTTGGACCATGAATAAGGAAACAAATCAAGTACTTCACACTGTTGGCAAATTATTGGCTGCATTTGTAAGACACTGACCGATAGATAAATTAACTCAATGACCTAACCAATCTGATACCCCGTTTTTTTAGGGTCAGGGGTTCGAACTGACCAATATGCAGGTGCTTGTCGGGTTCAATGTGCTGCAAAAGTTTTATCAAGAGATTCCGCGTGAACGCACATGGGACGTGGTAGAGGAATTGTCTGAAATCGACTTGGCAGCTTATTTCTGGAAATTTTCTGTGGCGTCGTATGGTTGGAAAGGTCTGAACTTTATCGGCCAAGGCAACGGCTACATCACAGATGCGGTGCGGAGTCATTCGGATGCATTATCGATTATCCAATATCTATCCATACCGAAAGATGATCTTTTGGCCTATGAGTTCAGAACTGCCGAAGCATTTCGACCCAGTTATTTTATTGCTCACGACCGCCATACCAATGCAATTGTGCTATCGATTCGGGGGACCATGGTAAGAGCTTACATGACCTGCAGCAAAATATCCTGGAATGTCCATCTAATTAATCCGTCAGAGTGTATTCGATACTTTGACTGACCTTGTATGTGAATATGAACCATGGCGTGGTGGACTTGTACATAAAGGCATGAAGGTAATGACTCTAAATGTCCTCATATGGCCTACCCCATGCTTACCTGCTTACTCTTTTGAATTCTCCTATTAGTCTTCAGCGCTTTGGTTTTTCCGCCATGTAGCACCACAACTAGTAGTTTACTGCAATGAGCATGGCGCGAGTGCTCTTTACATTTTGGGTCACAGTCTCGGTGCTGGCACCGCGGCTATTCTGACCATCATGCTATTGGATTACGTAAATGAATTTCGAAATGATACGACTGAAGAGTTTACTCTTCGATCGTTTGGGTATGCTCCGGCTTGTGCCATGAGCCTGGATCTGGCGACGAAATACAAGGTAGGTTATGACGACGGAGCATTTTTGAGCTTGAAAAGCTGTTAACAAGAATTTGCAGGACCACATTCAATCAATTGTGTTTGGAGATGATATTGTGAGCAAGCTCAGTTACGGATCGATGATGGATTTAAAGGATCTTATTATGGCAAGCGCTGACGCTGCTCAGCAGCTCAAGATTGGTCAGCTGCTGTGGGCAGGCAAAACGCAAAAGGATCGCTGGGATGCAGCGTTCGACAGGATACGGGAGGTACGGAGGCGATGTTTAGATACATTATCCAATCCAAAGGTAAATCTCTCGCATTTTGCTGTCATACTATGATAACCAAGTATTTACACCTGGACTTTAGCTTTACGTTGCTGGAAGTATCTATCAATTTTGGCTGGTATGACGACACATCATTGTGCTGCAAATCAATATGCTAATTTGTGATTTTTGAACAGGATCCTACCGCCAACAATCCAACACGAATAGTGGTTGAAAAAACAGAAGCTACTCGGGTTTCAAGCGAGATTATCCTTCGAAAGTCCATCATCTTTGATCATTTGCCGACCAACTTTGATTTGGCGTTTCGGCGGGCACGTGAAGCTCTCATGGTGGAAGGCGCACTAGGCAAATCCGACCAGCGAAAACCATCGGGTGTGCTGGACAAACCATCCTCACAAAGGGAAGAAGAACAATACATTGATCCTCGGTTACAGAAACCATACAATGATGACAGCAACGACCCCAATAACGACCACTCTAATATCTCAACCACTGCTCTTTGGGACGCCATTGCAGGACTTCGGCCCACCAATAGACAAGATAATTCAATGAAACATCCATAGTAACCACCTCACTAATAGCCTTATTTTTTAATTATACCCGTTGCTGTGTTTGCTGCAAAAACGACACCACTTTCTCATTTTTCAGCAGTCAAATGCTTGGTTTGATCCTATCTGTTGCCCATTTACGTTATAAAGATATATTTGTACGTGAATGCATACATTTGCGGGCTTTGTTACTCGAATCTGGTTATGCTTACCGTAACACGATAAAATTTGGACTGTTGGAGCGATGCTGACCTATATGCTCATAACCATCTTGAAAAAAAAAAAAAAAAAAAAAAAATTTCAATGGCTCTCTTGGTCATGAGTACTAAAAGTTTTTTATCATAAGAGACTGAAAAATCGAAAACCATCAAAAGAAAATCAATCGGATTCGGCTTCATCGCAAATCAGCCTAGAAACTGCATCCGCGGGATTATCTTTGCCCTTGCGATAACGAATATTGAAATCGTACTCCACCAAACAGGCGGCCCAACCTGAGAGCTTTTGGGGTCGTTTTGCTCAGCTTGAAGATGGACGTAAGGCTAGAATGATCGGTGAAGTCCCTTCAAATAATGGCGGAAATGATTGACACCCCAGACCATACCAAGAGCTTCCAAATGGGTAGGCGCATAACTCTTCTCGCTGCCACGCAGACTTCTGGACGCATACGCCACCACATATTCGTTTTCTAAGGTCTTCGCATCTTCAGCTTGCGACAGCACCGCACCCAAACCGAAAGTACTCGCATCCGTGGATAACACCTGCACCTTCTTCTTATCCGGAACACCAACAGAGGAAATTTCGTAAGGACTTCAATAAATTTGCGAAAAGCTTCTTCTTTGCGCCTCCCAAACGAATCTTGTATCCTTCCTCAACAACCTTGTTAACGGCTCCGCAATCGTAGCATAACCTTCGACGAAACGCCGGTAGTAGCCAGTCAACCCAAGGAAAGAACGGACATCATCGCAATTGCCGGAGTAGGAAACTTCTTCACCTTCGAGACATTATGATCGCCTGGGCGCACTCCATCGACCGTCACCGTATGTCCAGATACTCGACACTTTGCTGGCCAAAATGACACTTCTTCCTCTTCAGCCGCAGATTCAATCCTTCGCACGCTTCAAAAAGCAACGCCAGGTGTCGCTTCTGCTCTTCCAACGTATTTCAAGACGCCCAGACATCGTCCAAAAAGATAACCAGAAACTTGCCCAAGTACTCGGCCAAAATAGACTGCATCATACGCTGATACCCGCCAATCGCCGTAGAGATACCAAGTATAGAACACTGAACTGGAAAATTCCTCTCTTCGTCATAAAACCGGTACGTTCAGAATGTTCAGGATTCAGGGCCAACTGATGATAACCGGAAGTACAATCCAAACTGGAGAAATATTTAGCACCACCCATCATATCCACAGGTCGCCAATATGAGGCAGAGGATAAGCGTCTTGCTTGAGCATCTTGTTCAAGCCACGGTAACCGCTAACCAGACGCATCGTTACAATAGGTCTTCTCTTCTTCAGAAAAAAAAAACCTAAAATAAATTGTAAAAATGAGATCCCCCATCGGGGAGTCGAACCGATAATACGTTTAGTGGTGCGTTGTCAGTCCGAGGTACTGGTTGTTGAAAAAGAAAAACCCAAGAAGAAAAAATAAAACACTGTCTGCGTGCTACAAAAGAATAAGGCCTATGACGGATGAGCTAACAGTTGGAAATTAAATGCTCATAAACAAGAAATAAACCTTGAAGACCGAAGCTACTGCAGATCGTATCGGTTTAATGGCAGTAGGGAGTGATGTTCATGTTGGGAACATAGGCACGTCGTTGTCACGGAGTCTTCTTCAGCTCTCCACCATTGTGCGGCCAAGCCTTTGAAATGCATCGAAGCAATCAAATCGCCTCTTCGTCCGGCCTTTCGGTGACCTTCTTGAAGTTGTTCATTTGCTTCAACCAACCCAGCGGATCAGCATTCTGTGTTCCATCAAAGATTCTGGGCTCGCCAGAAATTTCGTGAGGTAAGACTTGCCCATATTCCTCGGCACGACCTCCAGTCCTTCTGGACCCGTCGGAGGACTTGCTTTGCGGCACCAAGTAGTCCATTTTGCTCCAACCTTGTCATATGCGTTCTGCGTATTTATCCGAGCGGCTTTTGTTAGAAATGCTTGAGTGTTAACTCGAGCTTTCGTACATTTACGGTTATGTCGCAAGGTCCACGGACAGAGTTGTCAAAACCAGACAAGCGTAGTTGATCACTGTTGGACACCAAACTGAACCAAAACAAACCGCCACCTCCTTACTGATTACCAAGACGCTTGCGCCAGAGTCGATCAGGACCTCAAAAACGATGCACACGGGTGCACGAAAGGGTTTGCGCTTTTTCATCGATTGAAAATCGTAAGGATAATTGTATTCGGTATCGTCGCTGTCATAACCTTCGGAAATTGGAACTGGCATCATATGAATGATCCGAAAAATCATCATCAGGTATAAATACTCGGGCACGACGGTCTTCTCGTCACTATCATCGTCAGGGTCTAGGGCAACTCGAGAGAGCACTTCTGGTACTACCTGCTGCTTGCCTGGGCGATACTGAATATCCGAGTCATAAAGCTCCAGCTCGTTGATCCAGCGTACTAGCCTGCGAATTGGTGTCTTTTGAGAACGTAAATATCAAAATTGCAGGTGGTGATTCTGAGCCGTGACTACAACATCCAAAATTGGTTACCTGCTTGAGAACTTTATCCACCATCCCAAAGTTCCAAGCGAAGCTAATGACTCGAGATGAGAGGGGATCGGCGTTGACCGTGTACATGCTTGGGGATTGTTGAAGCGTGCAATACTGACAAGGCGATCTGAGCGTATTTAATTTTTGTTCGCCAAAACTTTCTCCACCAAAATATGATACGTGGTGTTGAAGATCTTGTCATGTCGATCAGATGGAGCTTTTTTGATTCAAGATTTTTGGCAGAACCGGAGAACGTGATGAATATCTTCGATTTTCGTAACATGCATGATCCATGCAATTTTCCCCGTTGACACTGTAGGTGCTCTTGGCACAAGAGAAAGATAATATTGCACAGACTTCATGGTACGATCGATAGGTGCAGCGCCAAGAGAGCTTTCATGTGGTGCATGCAAAAATATAGTGCCATTTTTAGGCTATCCGCTGGTTAATGTTCTACGGCCGCATAGGAGGAAAAAGTGCAAGATAAACGACGAGAGTAACGATAAAATGACGTTGTTCACCCGTAAAAGTCGTGAGCGATTTACAGTATTTTTTGTCTCAATTTCAGCAGATATACGATTATCGTTTTTCTGAGTTGAGTGTCGTCTATTCTGGATAGGTTTTTGACTAAGGACAACATAATAACCGAATCGGAGGATTATTGTCTCATAAAAGTACCTGAGGATGACAAATTTTTTCATATTATTTTCTTCCAGTGGGCCTCTTCCCTTTATATATTCCCGCATGCTTTTCTTTAAAGCCATCTGCATTTCGATCCAATGCGAACAATAGTCTGCAACGGACGCGTGGTTCATACACCTTTAATAGTAAAAAGCTTTTACTTTATCATTATAGATCAGGATTAAAATCTGGACCGTTGGAGCGATGCTGACATTTATGCGGATGGCGAAAAATCAATCCAAATAAAGGCTCTCTCGATCATGAGTACTGCGAACAGAAGTCAGTAACTGCAGGCTTTTTTTCACCAGAAAAATAAAATAAAATAAGTAGCAAAAAAGAAATTCCCCATCGGGGAGTCGAACCCCGGCCGTCTCGGTGAAAGCGAGAAATCCTAACCGCTGGACCAATGAGGAATTGATGATATTTTATGCATAAAGTGTTTAACGACTGCATGCTGCGCGGACCGGACATCGGGTTTTTGTCGATATATTCCGTCGCGTTTCCGGCGTTCGAGTAATTTGTCCGGGGTTCCTAGCGCACTGCCTCTGCCATTGCCTGATCTGGGGTTGCCGAAAAAAAAAAGAGTCGATTCGCGATCGTTTTTGTTGCCGAAATTAGAGGGTCATGGCTGTGATCAACGATTATGTGACACGCTGCTACGGAGAAGAAGGAGCGAGGTATTTCTCTTGACAGCAAATTGGCCAGAAGATGGAAGACCAACGCGTGTGAACTTAGGTTGGTGCAGTTGTTTCGACTTGCCTTTGGTGACGATGCCGTTCCTGGAATGGATCCACTGATCTCAGAAGAATATGCGGTCAATACCGTGCTCTTAAGTGGCGATGCAGGCACAGGTGGGTGTTTGCTCGATTCTGTCGGTTGGAACGGTTCTATTGATTTGGTTCCAAAGGAAAATCGACTGTGCTAAAGATGCTGGCGGAAAACCATGGAGTTGCTGTATGAATGTTGGTTGCTCGTATAATAGCTTCTTTTATAATTGACTTGTGTACTTTATTGCTGTAGATATTTCAAGTAATGGTGGGTGATTTGGCAGCGGATTATGACGGAAGAGTTGGCAAAGGGCTTCAGACGACTGTATGGCAAGCGGTGAGTTTTCCGAAAAGTCTGAGTAAGTAGTGCAGATCACGATAGATCGACCGGTGCAGAAGAATAGGACTGACCAAGATAATTTTAGTTATATTGGAAGACGTAGATTTGTTTTTCCCGACCAATGCTGAATCGGAAAATGCGCCACTCATGACGATACTGCGCACAAGCTTGGAACTTATGTCTCGTCAACGTCAGTCCAATATCTCGAGAACTGTTTTGGTATGTAGTTCACCACTTTTTACAAAATTTCATATGAATGAGCTCGTTTCAATTAACTGATTTAAATGGTAGGCAGGAACTTCCCGAAAAGTGGGTTCCATAGCCACAGATTTTCGGCACCTTTTCGAGGCACGTATACTTTTTGGATACGAAAATGTGGAATGCAAGCGAATAATGACATTGAATGAATGTGCAGGACAAGATTCGTTTGCAGATCCCGACACCGGCGGAAAGACAGAGCATCCTACAATACCTTGCTTCTGGCTTGAAAGTGGAATCCACGATCAATTGGGACGAGAAAGCGGCTAAAGCACATGCATTTGTGGCGGCAGATTTGGCTCAATGGTGCCGACTCGCTGAAGAGAAAGCACTTCAGGAACGATCAAGCAAAAGTACGTCGATATATGTAGCACTGATATGACGCAAGAAGAAGAGCGATATTCACTCTTCTTTTTGTTTGCTTAGTTTTATCGCGTCACTTTGAGGAAACCTTTGATAATGTTCGACTGAGCAGTTTGCAAGAAATGACAATGGCAGAAAAGCCGGAAATTACGAGGTGGGATGATATTGGAGGATTGACTCACGCAAAGGTACGCGCTTACGCATTGTTAATTTCTGATAAACGGTCCACTAATTCTTTTTTTTTTCTTTGTGCAAAGCACGCACTTGAGGAATCGGCTGTATGGATTTACAAGCACGCTGATGCGTACAAACGACTAGGTATCCGACCATCGAAAGGGGTTCTTTTATACGGCCCACCAGGTACCGGTAAGACCATGTTGGCCAAAGCAGTGGCTACCGAGTCATCAGCGAATTTTCTGGCGGTGAGCATCCCTGATCTTGTCAAAGGGGAGGTAAAGTATTTAAAGTATTAATTTGGTACTGCTGATGTATCATGGTCCTGCTGTGTACTAACAGATAGGATGTAGGTGGGAGAATCCGAGAAAGCAGTTGCCAAGATCTTTGAGACCGCCATCCGTTGCAGTCCGTGCGTTATTTTTTTGGACGAGCTGGAAGCTGTGTTTGCTACGCGTGAAAGTAGTGGCGATGTAGGGAGAAAGGTAAGCAGAAAACCATTTTAGGGGCCCTTAAAAACAAAACTCAAAAATTGGTACGCTCTAGTTAATCTCACAATTCCTGATCGAAATGGATCATTTGGATAAATTGGACCAAAGTGTTATCCTGTTGGGAGCCACCAATCATTTGGATGCGATTGATAAATCTATTTTACGACCAGGTATAAAATGGGTTGGATCAAGGTGGGGGGGGGGGAAGGGGGGAGTTTGGCGCATAAAAAGAGACGCTGACCGTCGTGTATTCAAACACAATAGGACGATTAGACCGGTTGGTGTATGTGGGTGCTCCGGATGAAGCGGAACGTTTAGAAATTCTGCGCGTGCTCAGTGAAAAGACGCGAGTATCGGCAAATGTGGATCTAGCGGATGTGGCCAAAAGAACTTTAGGTTATACAGGAGCGGATCTCAAGGCTGTGATAAGGAAAGCGGGTCTCTCTGCTCTGAAGCGACGCCACAACTCTCATCAAGGCACCGCTCTCTGTATCGATCAGCAAGACATTGAAGCATCTTTAGCCGTCATTGAACCATCCATGTCATAATTTTGTTCTCTTTTTTTCCAAACCGCATACCCATACCAGTAAACTAATTGTCATTCTCTCATAATATATTCGCATCATAGGCTGAATGCTTGTGCCCGTTCTTGATGCCCTTAATGTTTTTTTTTCTCTTTTTCTTCTCGAAGATAGACTGACTAGGCATGTCGCAAACACCCTTCTATAGAAAGTTTTAGCAAAGAGAAAGCTATTGTTCATCAAATTAAGCTGACGATTAGTGTATGCTCGAATAATGAGCCAGAGAGAGGAAATCCACGTAGTGAATCATGCCCCTCCCCCCCCCAACAAGAAAATGTCAGCTATGAGCTACTTTTATCGAATGGAAGGCAATCATTGATGATATCATTCACTGTAGACATAGATAGTGGTGCATGAACAAGACAAGCCTGCGTATTTCCACAAAAGAACTATACTATGCAATTGTTTTTCGATTAAGATGATACTTGGAAAAAAGACGATGTGAATGATGGCTGGATATATGCGTGTGGCTGCCATTGATGCTAAAGCTATGGTTTTTTTGACAGAGAAAATTTCAATCCCCGCCGTAGGTGTGCCCCTCTAGCTTTTATTTTGTGTTTTTTCGCTTCTCCTCCTATCAAGCTAATCTACGAGAGAATCACTGCAGAATCCTTGGCCGAACACGAGAATAATTCAATCTAGACAAACGTTTGCATTCTTTCATTTCACGCGCGTCCCAATCGAAGCCTTTCTTATTTTTGTCGGACACGCTCAGTAGCTCTTGTAAATATTCGTCGTGCACATAAAAGAAAGAGTAAAAAGACGGGGATAAGCATTATTGACTTACCTTGGACATGTACTGTTGTGGTTCCGTAGGATCCTCGTTTGACCGCTTACATCGACGAACACAATCCTTGTTTTCAGCAGTTCTTGCGTAGTCCAAAGTCATGGATCCCAATTTATTTCAATCAATGCAGCAAGGCATGCCGCCTACTAGCCAACAGACACCCCCCAATTCTCGTATGATGATGTCTTTTCCGCACCAGACATCCGTGCCTCCCAATATGGACTCTTACGGTCTCACCAATTCGCCCATGGCAGCACAGTACATGAACAGTCCCAACGTACGAGCAAACATGCAATACACCCAGAACGAGTACGGGCAACTGCAACAAACCGCTTTAGCGAACATGAGCCCATTCGGAAGTCCACAAATGATGGGTGCCATGCCCCAATCAGCGGCGGCCATGGGCCACTTACCACAGCAGCAACAATACCTTCGTCAGGCCACGCATCCACAAAACGTATACTCTCCGCACAACATGATGGCATCACAAGGTAAGATACAGTCGCTTTGATTTTTGTACAATCCATTTCCACCGTCACTCACTGGTTTGCCGAACAGCTGCCGTATTACAAGCTCAATTACAGCAAAACAGAGGAATGTATACCGGAACAAACGATATGTCACCGCAATCAATGATGTTCCAACAACAACAACAACAACAGCAGCAGCAACAACAGCAACAACAACAAGCTGCAATGGCAATGAATCGAGGTACACTTTTTATCACGCTATTCATGACATGGGGAATAAAACGATCTAATCCACGCAACAGCTAAACAATCCCCGAATCAATCCCCCGTCATCGCAAATAGCCCGGCAATTAAAAGGGCAAGAACAGGTATATATCATACTATAGCAAACTTTTTCAAGCGTACTCTGTATTAATCATATTTCACTAGGATCTCCCATGGCGGCTTCTCCACAAATTGTAAGTGTATCCGAGTTTTCTCACTTTATAGCAATTTTACCAATCGATGTCGATCTTGTTTATGACAGAGCCGAATTATACCTTCGCAAGCCAATAATCGATATATGCAACAAATGAACGCACAGCAGCAGCAGCAACAGGGGATGATGCCCGGTGAGGTCGGCAACACTTCACCATCTATGCGATCCATGGATCAGTCGCCTTATCATGCATCGCGAAATGTATGGAGAAACTATTTCTTTCAATCCATTTTATTGTCTTACTGACACAATGTTTTTTAATACCCTTTCAGGAAGGAGAATTGAAAGACAGTCAAGGACAAGCAAGTAACAACGCGTCGCCTAGTTACATGCATCATCCTTCGTCTCCCGTCGCCAAGCGATCCGCAACGCCTGCCAGTGGAAACGCTACCCCTATTCAGAAACACAGATCACTCGCTGAAGCTCAGCATCAACACGAATCGAGACCGGACGAACGACAGACGCCGCCCCAGGAACCCATGACCACAAGCACGCCTCACAGCCAAGGCCATATGACCCCCGGAGGCGGTACACCGTTATCGCCTGCACATTCGGCCGCCCATATGAATCACACTGCCTCGCCTGCTACATCGGATAAGACCTCGGGTCCATCCGTAAAACCATCTTTGGTAACCTACATACCCAAGACACGTAATGTGGATACTTACGGCGGAATCGATCTCAAATATTTCGATAAATTCGAGATCAAGCCCTCCATCCCTCATCTTGGTGAACTAGGTAAGCCTGTGACTATGCTAATCCATCTTCGGAAAAATGCTCAACGGTACAAATCGCTTTTCTGGTAGGCACGGTGGATATTCATGCACTGTTGATGTCTCTGAAATCGGGCATGAAGATGGAGATTGCGACAGCCCTGAATGCGTTGACTGTGTTGACCGTCCAGCAACCGAATTTGATTCTTGTGCAATGCGACGATCTGCTCGATGTGCTGTTGGATTTCATAGAAAACGATATATTTGGAGCAGACGAATGCAGTGAAGAAAATGTAGTGGCAGCCGGTGAAAAACGAAAACCCGAGTCGCAGGAGGATGGGGTAGACCTATCCTATACGGAGCTTTTTGATATGTCGCTTGATGAAATGAAGAGCTTAATCCCGAATCTGGAAAACACCATGTCGGATCTGTGGACATCGAAGCGCGAAAGATGTTTGTGCATATTCAACTTGCTGCGAAACTTGTCTTTTATGAACGTCAACGTCGAGTATCTTGCGAAACATGCTCGATTGATTCAAGTCCTCGTGCGCGTGATTGACAGCACGCAGCAAATTACGGATGAAGAGCGTCAAACAAGTGCCATGAGCACCAGCATTCGTTGTGTCAATGTACGAAGGATGGATACACTCGATTTCCGAAAGAGCATTCTCATCATTTTATCGAATATTTCCACTTTATTAACATTGAGCGACGCGGAGATGGCAAATACGGTAGTCCAGATTTGTCATGATTTCTTAGCAAATGGACGGGATACCTACTACTCGTCGCTGGCGATCGAGACATGGACAAAGATCACTGTAAATTACGACAACCGAGCGATATTTGCCTCGCTGGCCAATCGAAAAAGACCGCACCATGCCGACCAAGACGCGTTTACAACCATTGAGGAAATTTGGGGCGAGTTGGCATGTGTGATCCGACGTGAATTCTTTACGTTTGACGGTCGTATTACGCCTGTGGGCAGCACCAATCAATTAGCAACACTAGAATTGTCGCTGATGGGACTCTACAATATTGTGATTATTGCGGACACGGATACACTCAAGGACCGATTAATCAAACGCGACAGAACGGTGGTGATGATGATCTTACGACTGTGCGTGGCGTACGGCGAACTGGGCGAACAAAACTACAGTGTTGTGACTAGACGAGGCATGGAATTGATCCGTTCACTGATCTATGGAGGAGAAGGAGCACGACGACGATCCAAGCGTCACCAAACCAAAAGCGATGACGACCATGAATCCAAAGTTGCAGCAGAGCGGGCCAATCAAATTCTTGATATAACCACGGTACGCGAAAAGCTCATGCTTGCCATGGTCAAACCTACGACGGACCCTATCATGTTACGGGATCTGTCGGATTTACTGGCACTAGTGGAATGCTCATGAGCAAAATAATAAGACGTTTGGTGGATTGTTCTAGTTGTTACTTTTTTCTTCTTTTTAAAAATTTAAATAAACCTTCTCTGCATATCATTTTGAATACTTCATCCTATCATCCCAGTACGTGTTGTGGCTGGTCCTGATCAGGGTGGCCACTCTCCTGCAGTGGTGCCTTGCACGGAGATTGAATTTGCGTTTCAGCAATCACTTTTTGGTGGCTTGACCGTCATCAGAGACGAATAAGATTCCTTGATTTTTTTTTTTTTTTTTAAATAGTCCTCTCCGCAGATCGGGTTTCTTGAGGAGTGATTAGTTTTTGTGTCCAACCATGCCTGAAGCCATGACGAAGCCTAGCGTTGATATGGAAGCGCTGTCCAAGAAAAAGCCCGAGGAAACCAGTTTTGCGGAATTGGTAACGTTGCCTGCGATTTTGAGATCCGTAAAGAAGTTATAATAACCCCATTGACTGTTTTTAGGGTATTTCCGAGGCTTTGTGCGAAGCTTGCGAAAAGCTCAATTTCAAGCATCCTACAGAGATTCAGAAAGAATCGATTCCTTGGGCTCTCGAAGGCCGTGATATCATTGGTCTTGCTCAGACTGGTTCTGGTAAAACTGCCGCATTTGCGCTTCCTATTATTCAGAGATTGTGGGATAATCCTCAGGCATTCTTTGCTTGTGTTATGGCCCCCACGAGGTGAGTGACGGTTTTGAAAGTCTTTGGAGATTCATTTACCCACCGCTGACTTACCTTTTTTTGTTTGTCTCCGTCAGAGAATTGGCTTACCAGATTGCCGAGACATTCGAAGCTTTGGGATCCGTCATTGGTGTGCGTTGTGCGGTGATTGTTGGTGGCATGGATATGATGACCCAGGCCATTGCGTTGTCCAAGCGACCTCACATTTTGGTATGCACGCCTGGTCGTCTTCAAGATCATTTAGAGAACACCAAAGGGTTCAGCTTGCGCACACTCAAATACTTGGTGATGGACGAAGCCGATCGTTTGTTAGATCTCGATTTCGGCCCCAAGATTGATCAGATTCTCAAAGTCATTCCCCGTGAACGCAATACGTTCCTTTTCTCTGCTACCATGACCACCAAAGTGGCCAAACTACAACGTGCAAGTTTGTCCAAACCTGTCAAAGTGGAAGTCGCTACAAAGTAAGTCGTACTCGATTTGACAAAAGAGACAGTTTTTACTTACAAGCACTTTTGTTCTGCAGATATTCTACCGTCAAAACATTGTTACAATACTATCTTTTCTTCCCATTGAAACACAAGGATTGCTACATGGTTTATCTGCTGAATGAACTTGCCGGCAACTCTACCATCATTTTTACCCGCACATGCAATGATACACAGAAAATCGCCATTATGCTGCGTAATCTTGGCTTTGCTGCCATTCCATTGCACGGTCAGTTGGCTCAGGCAAAGCGTTTGGGTGCATTGAACAAATTCAAAGCAGGAACACGCAACATTCTGGTGGCGACGGATGTGGCGAGTCGTGGTCTTGATATTCCAATGGTGGACGTTGTTATCAACTACGATGTGCCCCAGTCATCCAAAGATTACATTCATCGTGTCGGTCGTACCGCTCGAGCAGGCCGATCCGGCAAATCCTTGACGTTTGTCACACAGTATGATGTCGAATTGATTCAGCGTATTGAAAAGGATTTGGAACGAAAGTTGGATGGTTATCCTGTCGAGAAAGATCAAGTCATGATGTTGCAGGAACGTGTTAGCGAAGCACAGCGTATTGCGACGTTGGAACTGAAAGAGCGCGGTGGTGCACGAGGCAATTCGAAGCGCGGTCGAGGAGCTGATAACGACGACGACGACCAAGATCTCGAAGAAAAGAAAGATAATGGACAGAAAAAGCGCTTCAACAACAAGAAGAGACGTTAAATGCCCGTCCGACTTTTTTTTTTTCTTTTTATAAAATCATTGTAAAAATCATCCTTGTTCCCTACATCTATGCATTCATCCATCCGATTCCAACCCATTAAATTTGGAAAAACAAAATAAAGCGAATAAAAAAAAACCATTCAAAATCGGAATCATGCATCCACTTCAAAGTTGGTGATTTGAGGCAAGTAAGCGCATGCACTCAATTCGAGTACATAGACGTCTTCAAATACGTTTCTACCGTCAAATCCACCCAAGAGATAGAGACGACAATCATGCAATACAGTGGTATGGTAACCGCGCGGTGTGGGTGCGCCTCCATAGATCTTTCGAGATTCCCAGCTCATAGTCACTAAATACAAAACAGCGCGATATCAAAATGTCTGTTCGGTTCCCTGCTTTCTTTTTTTATGTGTGTGAGGTGGGGGGAGCTTACCAAGATTTAGCAACAAAACGTCATTGGAATACCGGCTTCCGTCATGTCCTCCAATGACGAAAATATAAGATCCAACCTGAGTAGCGGTGTGAGCCAATCGTGGCACAGCACGATCAATGTCCACATGAATCCACCGGTTGTCAACTAATCGGTCCAAACCGTGAGTGCCCCAAAAAATCTTCAAGTAAACCTTTAGCATTTCTCCAAATCATACCTAGATCCAGAATGTGAACGTCACTAAAACATTCGTGACCATCACTGCCGCCGTAGACGATCAATTTATCTTTCACAAGATTGCTTGTGTGGTATCCTCTCGCAATGGGTGGAGTCCCGGATGGTTTGAGCTGCGTCCAGCGCAGATGGGCTGGATCGGAGATGTCCAGAGCGTGGACATCAGCCAACGCCCTTGCACCGTCACCTCCACCTACAACGATGATTTTATCATTCCATAAACACGTCGCATGGGCTCTTCTCGGCGAGGGTATAGTGCCTTCCATGGGAGGTTTTGACCAAGTCAAGGTATCTACCGAGATTGTGGAGTAGTGAGATATGAATACGGTTTCAAATGCCTCAGCTACTGACAATGGTTTTGTGGTCTCATACATACCGATGTTCAGAATATACAGATCGTTAAAGTAATTGGGTCCATCGCCACCGCCGAACACGTAAAGATGGGTGGATCGTTTTCCAGACGCTAAGTCCTTATCGACAACGGTACAGGAATGCGCACGACATGGAGGTGGGATCTGTCCCGATACACGAGGTTTCGACCATGTGAGTGTGTCTTTTGTGCAATGGGAGTGGAAAATATACGTATTAGCTTTGCCTTCTTTGTTTTTTCGTGGTGTGAAGGAGAGGATCAGACGACGATTTCCCTCTTTTTGACTCACCCATATCCAAAATGTACAGCGAATTAAAACACGACTTGATATCACAGCCTCCAAATACATACAGCTGTTCCCCGATCAGATTGGCCGTGTGTGCTCTTAAAGGACGTGATGGGCCTCGACCATAGGTGATAGCACGCGACCAATACATGCCTGCTGCCGGAGCTGGAGCGACATTGGGGCTAGAATTAAGCTCAATGGCTGCCGCCAAGTAATCGGAAGTATGCAAGGATCGTTTGACTCTGTGTTGTGGCAAGTTACTGGACGAAACTGCTTTCCGCAATCCGTGACCTGTGTGTTTGACAGCCGGAGATGCTGCACTGTGACTTGAACGAGATTTGTCTGAACCGTGCGATGAAGTGGCACCGGGGTGAGGGTGTGTACCACCGTTGATCTGATGAAAGGACGCTACAGTGATCCAAAAATAAGGTAAAAAAAAAACCATGCTCGTGCTTCTAATTGTTCTTTTTTTTTTCTGTGCCTAATTTTTTTGGAGATCGAATTACCTAGCGGAGACGGTGATTGGGACATATCTTCGGGGCCATTACTGGCATTACTGTTGCTGCTACTACTGTGTATCATGCCACGCGAGGAAGTAGCCGAAGTCGATTGCAAACTTTCTTGTGCCGATCGTGCACTTGATCTAGAGGAATCCAGCGCATCGAGATATTCAGAACCCTGTAAACTGTCAGGCGGGAGTGTCGGGGATTCCGGTCGTTCGGATACACTTCTAAGGTGCAGCATAAGAGCCATGTTTGTACACCGTAGCATCGATTATGCTTGCCTATCACTGAAATCCGAATGCTCCATGGAAGATGTACTTGGTCGAACTGTCGCTGACAGCTGCGTAGAAGAACTCAATGCGCGATTTTGTCTGTTATCAGCAGATGATGATAAGCTCATTCTTCGGGGAACGCACGCGAGGAGCCACAAAACTGATACGTAAAAAGTAAGCCCCGCACTTCCGAAAAAGACAGTCTGACGTCGGCAGACGACCTTTTTTTTTGGGAGTTTTTTTCTTCTCTTTTTTCCTGCATCTCACTTTCTTTCCTACTTGACTCGGTCATGGCAGCTGCTACTACGTCCACTAAAAGCGACGCAACAGCTGGATCCCCAGCAGGCCAGCAAGTGACTATTTTACGCATTAAACGCAAACGCACCGAGGAGCCGCTCGAGGCATTGTGTAAATATTATCTTGCATAAAAAAAAAGAATCTCGAAATGGTCCACTTATCTACCCGATCGAATTCAGTGCTTCAGCAGGAGCAGGATAACGTCATTCAGCGAAATGAAAAACGAGTACGTAAAGAAACTGATGTGGCTGCCAGCAAAGCCTCTGCACTGTCAGGTAGGATACACAGATCAGCCATTCTTGGAGTCTATGAATCACTTTATTCACCCGAACGACGTGTTGTTGGCAGTCTCGGCGACAACCTTGCCTACGATCTTCCGTCTAGCAGAAACAGTCGAGGAAAAGAGTTTCCACAGTCCAAGTGAAGCACAAAAGCTCAAAGTATGCAACGATGACTGATTTGGACCATATATCAGCATAATGACCACATTGGATTGGTAGGATCGTATTACTCGACGATTACAAGCAGTGCATCGTGCTCAAGTGCCCGAATCATTGGAAGAACGAAAAGACAAAACGGTGGAAAAACAAATGGTGCGTCTCGAATGCTCGTAGTACGATAACGAAAGAAGGAAATTAAATCTTTTTTTTTTTTTTTGTTGATTGATCAGAAATCGTCTCGGCAAGCACGCTATCGTGTGATTCAGCAAAAACGAGGTATCGCAGCTGAGGATCGACCTCCCACGTATGTTTCTGATTTTATGGGAAGCAAGTTGATTTTTATGGCTCTTTCATTGACGGCTATTCATTTTTATAGAGTGGAAAGTGCAGCAGAAAAAGCAGCAAAGGATATGTTCCAAATGTATGAAGCAGTCAAGGACGAGGATGATACGAGCAAGAAAACAAAGTAAATGAAAAAATTATGATTTCATTTTACGAGCAACGACAACTCAATACGTATTCATTAGACTATTTGTGGACGAGGATGAGGAGAATCCAGATGATATTATGTGCAACTTTATTCCTATGGTCAAGGAATACCTTACCTGTAAGGGCGGGCCTATCCTCGTACAAAACATGATTTAACTTATATATTATATTATTGTATTAGTGAATGAAAAGCCAGAGGAAAGCGACGATGATTATGTATACGACGTGTATTATCAAGATGTGACAAATGCCAGTGCGGGGATCAATGCAGCTAACGTTGGATCACTGTAAGTACAAGCTCGTTTTGTAAAACAGGCGATGGTTCTCATATCTGTCACTAGGGTTTGGTTCAATGATGAGACAGAGTACCTCAATGATGACTCAGAGAGTGAGGCTGGGGATTATGAGGATGAGGATTCAAACGGTAAGTGCTTTGATAACGAGAATTTGGGACCAATAAGACTTCTTATACAGTAATTTAGCGGAGGATTATTATCAGAACGATTATCCAGAGGAAGAAAGCGATTTGGAATTTGAGGATCGTAAGTTTTTACTTTGACTGAATTTGTAAACATCCCGCTAACGCATCAATGGAAATGAAAATGATAGAATATCGCCATGATCTTTCTAGCGACGATGACGAGGGCTACTATTAGTGTATTTCCATGACCATTGACTTGAAAAAAAAAAAAAGAAAAACGAAAAACAAAGCAAGACAACACACTCACATCTCATTACAAATAGCATAACAAAAAAACGAGAACTTTCATCATAAACACCCTCTTAGCATTTTTATAAAGCGTCACATCATTCAGCTGCTTTTGTTTGAATCACCCTATTCTTTCTGTTGTAAATGTTGTTACTTGCCTATAGACTAACGCCATGATGGTAAAATATAATGAAGCGTAAATTCTTTGAATAGAGTAAAGGGGGTTACAACAGTTTCCTTTGGCTTAACGCAGAATAGCTAATTGAAAGAACGCGCTTGGCTGATTGGCTTAATCCACCGAATCTTCTCAGTTAGCGGTCAGTGCAAAAAAAAGGGAAAACCTTCAGTTGCCCGTTCTGCCATTGACAATTCAAGCGTACATAATGAAGTCTTCAGACAATGTAAGCCTACGACTGCATTCTCGAAGAACTTTTTATATTCTTACTCTGTCAGCAACTGCTTAGGAAGATGAGAGTGTATCTACAATGACCACGACGCGGAAGGCGGGTATTCCAGTTCCACCTTCTTTTCAAAGCGCTCCCGATTTTGCCATCAATATACCTTCATTCTCCAGCGCTCCCGATCTGTCCGGTAACCTTATTACTGCGTTTGAGATATGTAAAGCAAACTTTTACTCACATGGATTGGTTTTGTTCAAGAACTGGACGCCAAAGACGATAAAGAAACGAACCACAGTCGTTCACACAAAGAGAAAACCAAGCAGAAAAAACGACATAAGCGAACTTCACGATCGCCTTCTCCTCTAGGTAAACGTACACCGTCCATTTCGCCACATCATTTTGTCCGTACAACGACTGACCTTATGATGCAGCAAGGAGAAAACGCGAACGATCGCCTGATGATCGAGACAGACGAAAACGACGTTCTCGCTCACCCCGGGATCGCCGACGACGATCACGTTCACGATCGCCAAATAGTCAAAGGAGGAGACGAGAAGACGAAAGAAGGCATCGGCATTCACGATCGCCGGATCGTGAGAGACGATCGAAGCGATCGCGAGAGGCAAGACACGAATTGAATCAAAACATGGACTTGAGAGATGACATTAGACGCTAATATGCATGATTTCCAATAGAAATCCGAATCATCTTCACCAACACAACAGCACAGGTAACCAGTCTAATTCACCCAGCCAAGTGCAAAAGCAAGGAAAAAATGAGCCAGTGGGTGGCGGAATCGACGACAAAGCGCTGACTTTTGCATTGTTCTTTATGCTAGCATCAAGCTGTCCAGTGGTATTTTGTTGGTAGTGGACAAATATGGTGATCCCGATACGTTACGCTACGGACAGAATCATAGTTATAGTGTGCCTGGATATAAACGATCTGGAGGTTTGTGTGTTGTCTCTGCTATAATTTTGTTCCCGTGATCTCATTGCTCTGAATAGCCGGTCGCATACTTGGCTTATCCTTCCAGGATAGGATCGATCAAAGTAGCATGTCGACTAGTGCAGTAATTACCATTAGTCGTGACAAACAAAAGGTAACAAAGTGGTATTGGCATGATGCAAATAGAGTATTTTTTTTTTCATGCATCAAAAAACATTTAGAAACACATGCGTTATACGGACCGAGAGTATACCTGGAAAGAAACAGACAAGGCGATGAAGCGGTAAGACGATATCTGTTTCTGACCTACGAGAATCGAAAACGGCTAACCTGGGATGCCAATACAGTATGCGTATCAAGCCTGCATTATCAGTACAGGAAGGGTTGTCAGAACTCAACAAAGGCTTTATTTCCCTGGAGCAAGAAGAGCCTTCTCAAGCCGCCGAACATACATCAGATAACGCAATCCTTAGCAGCGGCCTAGATTATCGTAGCATTGAAGGCAATAGACCTGCTCAGCTAACGGACACTGCGGAAGAATCGGATGACGAAGATGGTGAAAGCTTTGATGAGTATGTGCGGCGGCGCACTATAGAATTCAATAGACAACTTGACCAGGTAAAATACATCCTTTGGACTGTACCGCAGCACACACCATCAACTGACACTATATAACAACATAAAACGCTACAGGATCCACACAATGCATCTCTGTGGCTCCAATTTGTAGATTTTCAAGAGGAGGCTGCTATGGGACTCAACACAGGAATTGAGGCCAAGTCGCGCAAAAGAGCCACCAAGGCCAGCCTGAATGAAGTGAAAATGAGTATTCTGGAAAAGGCACGAGACCATAATCCCGACAATGAAGATCTCATATTAGCCTATCTTAACTGTGGTGGCGAACTTTGGGAGTAAGTCACATTCGACCCCACCGTTCATGTTTGCGTACTAACATGTGGTTTTACTGCTTGTGGTAGTACATTGACATTATTACGGGAATGGGATGCTATTCTTAAACAGCACCCGGAATCGCTGCGGTTATGGGCCGACTATATCAATTTGCGACAGACGAATTTCGCTAGTTTCTCGTTTACTCAGTGTGTTAAAGTATACGAAAACTGTCTTTCCATGCTCAATAAGCGCGCATTGCGACTACAGAATCGACGAACCAAAGAAGATAATTATGAAGGTAACTGATTGGGGCACTTGCATAAACAAGAACGAAAGGAAATATTAACCATCACCATCTACCTTGGTTAGCCCGAGAGACCATAGAGTCGGTTATGGTATACGTGTTCCTTCGAGCCTGCTTGTTCATGAAGGAATCTGGTAAGTTTAACATAAATATCGTTCTCAATGGCTTGTTTAATCTTTTTTTTTTTTTTTTTTTTTTTTTTTTTTTTTTTTGCGTTTTCAATCGACCAGGATACCATGAAAAGGCCTTTGGTAGTTTACAAGCATTGATCGAATTCGTGTTGTTTCAACCCCAGCTGTACAGGATATCCGCCGAGATTCCTTTCAGAAACATGCTGACGGAATTCGACGAGTTTTGGGACAGTGAAGTTGCCCGTTTCGCTGAAAAGGTAAAATTTGAAAAAGAGAGGTTCCACTAGCATCAATGGCAAAATAAAAAGGGAACGCTCAAACTTTGGATGGTAGGGCGCTTTAGGATGGCATGAATACTATCGAGCTAAATACAGTAAGTTGTTTCCAGATCCACAGCATTCGTTGCACAGCGGATACTGACGAAAATCGGATGTAGATGACGAAGCCTTGCCGGGATTTTCTCCAGCGGAAGCTGATCCTGTGGATGACGGAAGTGACGATATAGAAGGTGAGAACCAGTCGAGATGATCGTTGTGTGTAGCCATATCTTTACTTACTCAGTGGTTCAGTCTTTGATTTTCAGGATTGGGTAAAAGCGGAGGAACAAAAGGAAAAACTGCATCGACTGCCTTTGAGAATGTCTGGTAAAATACATATATATATATAGACCACATCAGCATAGCATATTGGGTTATACTGACGGGATGGGATATAGTTGCCAAGCCGGAGCTCGTCGATGAAGATCCGTATCTTGTGACTCTTTCGGATGACGTTCGACCGTTTTTATTCAATATCACCACGGAAGAAGCTCGTTCAAGTCTCATTTACAGCATTTTTGCCTTGTTTGGCTTACCCTACACGCCTCATGGCGTGGGCACCAATACCCACTTTTGCACCGATACATTTACTCACAACAGTATATCGACGTCGGATTTCTGGCCGTCAAAAGAACAATCTCAACGCCTTCTTACCTACATCCACGGCGTGGCAATGGAACCCGAGTTACAAACAGACGAAAAGAGTCCATTCAACTTGCCCGTATCTTATCCTGTGGACGTGACCGAGTTGTTTGGACGAAAAGAACATTGGTTCCGATGCCTAGGACAGCAGTTGATCGATTGCGACACTGATGCTGAATTTGTTAGGTAGGTTATCACTGTTTTATTGAATGCAATTCATTATTTTTATGATTGACTGGCGTCTCATTGTGCGTACCAGAAATGCCTTGGAACAACTGCTGAAGCTCGAGAAAAGCGATGAATTGGCCATGCTTTATTTATCCTTTGCATCGAGCGGAAATTACAAGAGGTAAAAACAAGGAAATCTAGAAATTATATGAACAATGCCAACTTACACAATATGTGATCCTATTTCGCAGCGCTCGCAAGCTGGCAAAGCAGTTATTGAAAGATCAGCGTACCAATATGACATTATGGAATGCTTATGCTCAAATGGAAAGATATCATGGCAAAATAGACGAGGTAGGCATCCAGGGGAAGTTTTATCACCGAGAGAATGTAGCAACTGAAAGAAAACTTTGGATAGGCACGTAAAGTTTATTTAACAGCATTAAGCATGACAGGATCTTCTTCTGATCCAAGTGAAGCGCCTTTGATCCACGCCATGTTTGCACAGCTTGAAGTGGAAAACGACCGGCATAATGCAGCGCTCAACATTCTGGTGGCCATGGCGGACGGCGAAACATACAGTAAGCGTTGATCTTTCATGAAATGGATGGATTGGGACATCGTTTAATGTTATCTTTTTGTTGTTGGTGATCAGACGAAGGCAACTCCTCCTTGCCGACGAAGCCGCAGGTGCTAAAGACCAAAGAAGTAAGCTTGCATGATATTTTCCCATTTCACTTTGTCGCATACTGAAGGGATTATAGTTTTTTGCCCAACGCACAGCGCAATTCTCCACTTTGGTAGGAACAGCAAAAGAAACCAAGGCTGGTTATTACTATATTGTATGTCATGGGTTATTTGAATATCTTACCCAAGGCATCGACGCTGCATGTGCGGTCTACGACCGTGCTTTGAGATATGTTCGGGATCGACAGGCGGAGCGTGGATTTGTCAGTGAGAAGTTATGGAAAGCCTACGCCGAATTGCTGTGCCACCATCAAATGAAGAGCCACGGCGGTTACAAACCGGGATTACTACGGGATGCTATGACGCGTGCATTAGCGTTATTCCCCAACGATACGATATTTCTGGGCCTCTTTATTTGGAACGAAGCCAAAACCAAATTGCACGGTCGAGTTCGGGCATTCTTTGGCGAAGCACTGGAGAGGTAAACTTGGGAGGCCGAGAAATTAAAAAAAAAGAACACACGTTTCATTGCATGGTTTCATTAATTTTTATTATGATGCATCAGTTCCCCCAACGTTATGCTTTGGTTATCAGCGATTCAGAGCGAGTTACACCAATATTGTCCATATGACGTGAACCAGGTGCGATCCTTGTTTGAAAGAGCAGTTGAACATGCAAGGTAACTAGTGAACAACTTGAGTCTTGGTGATGGCACGGCGTTCATCGTATTGACGTGTATGTGATTGACAGCACCCGCCCGTCCATTATTTTATGGAAACTGTATATTGAGCACGAGGTGCGAAAAGGCGACCTGGAAAAAGCACGCTCACTGCTTTATCGCTCTGTGCGAGAGTGTCCTTGGTCCAAAGGTAAATGCACTAATTAATTGCACGCATTTTAATTTTTTAATCACTATTATGCGACAGAATTGTATTTGCTGGGGCTTCGATTATTGGGCCCGACCATGTCCGAGAAGGAGATTCACGAAATGACAAGCTTAATGATGGAGAAGGAAATCCGTTTGCGATGTTCGCTGGATGAAGCGTTATTCAGTTGAGCTGATCAGCAGCAGCAACAACACCTAATATACGCAGTTTGGAGCCAACCATGACTCGAAACATGGAAAATATTTTCAGGAGGAGCTTATTTACTCCATCCATCATCAAAAATACATCTCCTTTCCTGATTTTGTTGCCACCGTCTTTCAATGCACTGGACCCCAAAAAACGATATGCAAGAAAGAAAACAACCAACACAAAAATACAAAGTGGGATATTATCTTTTTGTTTTTTCCTAATTACTATTTCATAATTGTTGTTGTTTCGCAAAAAGATGTTTGAATGGATTACTTTTTCTGGATTGCTCGTGTACAACAATCCCGTAGATCCTTTTGATAAGAAAAACACTGGACCATACATTGCGCGTGAGTTATCCCAGTATCGAGCCACCATTGCTTATCCAGTGGCACATCGGAATTATCCGCGATGCCATGCTAGTACTGGGGTACCTGGATGGTGGTATTGCCCTCAGCCCATACCCGCAATAAATAAGCACCGATACAGCAGTCAACCACAGCATCGCCCATTGACAAAATATCACAGTTATCCGCCGTCAAGACCGAGCCGAAGAAGGAGTTCTCCCGCCTTCACCAGCATCCATCCTCCCCCACGTGCGGTTCAACACGTATCGGCATGTCCTACGGTAACGTGCTATCATTGTCGGTGTACGGTAGATGATCGAGGAGAAGCTCTGTATGACGAATTTGTACCACCACAAACCATGTCTATGAACTTGCCTCCGACGATCTCGAGTCTAACGCCCACGTCCACGTCGTTTATCCGGAAAGAAGCCAACGAGTGTTGTTGCCATTGTATACATAACAAAAACCAAATGGCCATGTGTTGCGGGCGAAATGCCTCTATTTGGACGGTCCATTCCATGTTATTTTTGTTCGGTTTCCTCATATTCCCGTTATGGTGGGCAGGAGCCTGCTTATTCTTGACGGATACTCCGCCCGCGATAGGCCATGATGACCAAGACCACTGTCATTATCTAACGCGCGATTTCCGGCATCTCAACTGCTGGATGAGCGTTCTTAGTTTGTTGATATTGGGGGTAGTTATTGCTTTATTCATTTTGTGGCAACATAATATTCTGCATTATGAACAAGACTAAAACAAAAAAAAGGATCTGAATAACAAAAAAAACTGTCGAGCTTTTTTTTCATTAAAGGATAGCCAATGAAAGAGACCACATATCCAGCTCTAAACATTGGCGATCACGAACCTTAACCGTCGCAGCTGTAGTCGCTCCATCGCCTCTCTTTTTTTCGCTCTTTTTCATCTTTTTTTCTCTCTTTTTACCTCTATACTATTCTTTCGCTTTAAAGAGATTGGCGATATTTTCCACCTTTTTCGAGCTAATTATCCACAACACAACTTGTCTTGTTCACTGTGGTTGCTGAACCCTTTCCTTTCGACACTCAAACAATAGCAGTTTGTAGCTATGCCTGGTAGTCATGACTACATTGAGTTGGAAACCGCCAGTCATCCAGATGAAGCCGATGATCTCGACATGAGCCCATTAGAAAGAGGAAAACACAATGTCCCGGAACCGCGGCACTCGTCAGAAGCGACGGAACATGATTACTTTTTGCAAGATAATGCACCAAATAAGGAGAAATGTCGGTTTCAAAAGGGCAAAGATTTCGCATGGCAGGTAAAAAGGATGAGATTTTTCTTTCATTTTATATACGCATCGTTTAGCGAACGACATTTTTTTTTTTTTTTCCCTGGATCTCCTTTTTCATAAGCTGCTCATCATTCATAAGGATATTTTCCCTTTCTTTCCCTTTCTCTCTCTCTCCCCTTTTTTTATGTTACTTGTATTAATTTTGTCGTGATGGATCTTACGATTTTTCTTCGTTTACTGTACACTTGTCTTCACACTTATGCTCATGTCACGACCTATTCGGAAAAATCAATGCTATGGCTACGCGCTTATTTCGTTTTACCTATGCAGGCTTTACCTTCCTTGATCATCTCCGTGTTTGGACTCATCATAGCTGGCTTTATCATGGACGAATTTCAGGTATACATCATCTAATTCCAACCTGGGCCTGTAATTGGGTGATTACCGCCTCAATTACCACGCATAAGCCTGCTCAGAACCTCTGCGCCTATCAACAGGATGATGAGAGAATGGCTCGATCCGTGGTGACAGGACTTGCGTAGATGCATTGATACAGTCTGGCTAACGTCCATTCATATAGCACTGGGACGTGTTCACGGAAACGAGCGAACTGTTTATCTTGTTGCCTATTTTGTTGAATCTCAAAGGCAATCTAGAAATGAATCTGGCGGCTAGATTATCCACCAGTGTAAGTTGCCCATCCATCGAAATGATGATATGAGCGTACAAGACGCGGGTGTCATGTCAAAAGGGTGCTAACATTTGCTTTGGGGTTTGTAGGCCAACTTGGGTGAATTGGATTATGGGCCAACTCGACGTTCTTTGGTGGTGGGTAACTTGGCACTGCTCCAAGTACAAGCGCTTGTTGCCGGTGCTTTGGCAGGTATCGCGTCATTTGCGCTTGGTCTGGTCACCAAACCCGGTAGACCCACCAGCTTTTACGAAAGCATGTACATGACATCCAGTTCCATGGTCTCTGCTTCAGTATCCTCCGCTATCCTCGGCCTTTTTATGTGCGCATTGGTGATATTAAGTAGACGATTTCACATCGATCCAGGTATGTAAAAAGTTTTCAGTGCGACCTTGAGGATGAATGAACATTGGCTGCGTTAATATTAAGCAAAATGGTTCATGATTAGACAACATCGCCTGTCCCCTGGCTTCTGCCACCGGTGATATCGTTACGTTAGTGGTTTTGGCGGCATGTGCATACATTTTACGAGGCCATATGGGTAAGCATGATCTCAGGGACCCCGCCATTACCGTCGTCACCTTTATTGATATGCTGTCATTTTTTTTTCTCACCGATGTTTCTCCCTTTTGTTCAACTCCTTGAATTTCCTTGTTTATTTCCATTGGGTGATTGCTCCTAGATTCGCTTTTCAGTACAGCGGTATTTCTTGCCATGTCGGCCATGTTGCCACTGTTTGGATTCATTGTCTGGAAAAACAAGCATGTCAATCATCTGCTCTTCAGTGGCTGGACACCGATCATTTGTGCTATGATTATATCCAGGTAATGTCTTATTCATGTTGCTGTGGGAGAAATCCTGTAGGTGATTCATGCAAAACGACGCGGAATCGTTATGAGGAGCTGTATCTCTGACAATGTGGATCGTTTTTCAGTTTGGCAGGCATTGTTCTAGAGGAATACGTCGAAGAATTCAAAGGTGTCGCCTTGTTGACACCGGTTCTGATTGGTCTTGCTGGCAATTTGGGGTCGATTTATGCGTCGCGTATCAGTACTTGCTTGCACAGCAAGACCAAAGAAGACTACCAGCTGGTGGAGTGGACATTGATGATCATGAATTTTCCAGTACAGCTTGTATTTCTACTGCTCATCTGGCGATTCAATATGGGTCAGCTAGACTATAATGGATGGTTTTTCTTGACGTACTTTGTCGTATCGATGATATGTGTAAGTAATCCATCAGCAGAACAGAAAGTGACAAAGCTCCAGGTATCTCATTGATGGATTCTGTGAATTTTGTAAATAGACTTGGATCTGCCTGAAAACTGCCAAGTTCATGACCCTCGGTTTCTGGAAACTCGATTATGACCCTGACAATTATGTGATCCCATACCTGTAAGACTGGGCTTTTTTTACGCCGTAATCTCATTTTTTGGAATATTAATTACACACTTTCCACATTTAGGACCGCAAGTATCGATGTGGTGGGCACAGTGTTACTGGTGGCTTCGTTTTCGTGGTTGACATCATCGGGTGCAACCAATATGGCGATTGATTCCTCCGCAACCACCGTGGCAACCCCAAGTCCTTCATAGAATTATCATCAACTGAAGCCGGTCTTCCTTCTCACAGATACATCATACCTTTTAAGTTGCGCCATTTTTCTCGGTGCTTCTCCATTCCCCTCACTCTTTTTCTCCCTCCCATATATACTTTTGGCATTGTTTTTTTCTTCTTATATTTATTATAATTTGCATAGTATTTCGCTCATTTTCTTCCCCCCTTTTTTTAACCTGCTATTCTTTGTTACTTGCATTCTCGATAAAAAAAAAAGCGATCACATCTGCATTGAATTAAGGTTTGTTTTTATATATTGAGAAATGATGCTTTTACATTTTTGATGATTAAGAGATGCTGATTATTTAGATGAATTTGCTGTATATTGAGTGATAGAGAAGAGATCTCCCAGGGGAACATCATCATCGTGGTCCTGGTCTTCCTCCGTTTGTCTTGCTTTGGCGTGTCGGAGGTACTCCATGTGAATGGCACTGTCGCAATCCACAATATACATGACGGCAGTAGTTGCATAAGGTTTTCTCGGCATCCATCCCTTATTCCAAGGCCGTTTCTTGGATGGCGGGTAATTGTATGATGGGCAAGGTAGCGTCGGTGGGATGGGTGTGCCGTGGTTTTCCAGTCGGCAAAGCAAATGCTTCAAGTGTAGCATTACCCAAAGCGGTAACCATTGTTGGCGGAGCTTTCCCGAGGTTGTGCGATACAGTGTGGCTCGTTGCCCGCAGTTGCTGACCGAAGAATGCTCTTGAACGACCAAGTTCCCATGGCTCGTCTTGTGCTGTGTATTGACTTTTCGTTTTCGTTTGTCTCGTCGAATCCACTGCGTACAATGAGACAGAATGGTGGCCATAGGAGAATTCAGTCGGTTGGTTGTGAGCGATCTGGTACGAAAAGTAGGATTATCGGCAATCATTCTTGAATAAAGGCACAAATACAGATTTTGAAGGAATTAAGAAAAAAAAAAAGCGCATCAAAAATAGATCCGTGGTGATGCCCATTTTAAAAATATAGTGCGCAAACATCTGTCTAAAAACAACCATGTCATGACTGTCAAATTTGGTATTCAGGGTTTCCCTTTCACTTCTGTACGATACCCAGCTTGATACATGTTACTGGCTCAATATTCAACTTTGAAGCGATGTTTCTTATTATCACCATTACATCATAGTATAAGTACGATGAGTCCATCCATATCATCGATGCAAAATGCACCCCAATAGTGTCCCTTTTTTGACTATCACAGGCTTTGGTGCATAAAATAATTGGTCTGTCTTTTTACAGCTTTTTCTCTCTGAGACGACAGTGATTTGGTCTGCATTGCACTGCAATTCTGTTGGGCACAAAAAAAAAAGAGATGTGCGGTTATTACACCGTAAAACAAGCACACACTCACTTATGAGAACTTACGGTTTTTCTTTGTATGACCAATGTTGAAAGTAAAAGAGTCTTCAAGCAACCAGAATTATTTTCGTTTTCTATCAACGACGAAGTGAAACGTACAATAAGAATATAGATGCACAGCATAATCTAGCATATGGTTGAAAGCATGAAGCCCCTTTTTTTTATAGCAGTTTCCCAATGTCAAGCTGGACAGTACGTTGCGATAAACTGTAAATTTGGGATAGCTAAAAATAGGTGTGTATGTGCGGAGAGGAGCTTTTAGGTATCCTTTTTTTGTAACTATACCGAGTAACATAAAAATATATGAAAGGGTCCCGAGACGATATTGTAGGAAACACGCGTGATGATAGGTCATTAAGCACGATAAAAATGTCCGAGGCCAAGGTTGTGCCCTGAATGAGGAGAAAGAAAAAAGAGCATTCAGCAGTCCCACACAAAGTTTGAGAACTTGCTGTTATTAGGGGAGGGGCCGGGAGGAGTTGGAAAACGCTAAAAAAAACAAAAAAAAAATTACAACGCTGCACTGTGTGGTGTGGCACAGCTGACATATTCCCATCCGCCGAGTCCATTTCAACCATTCAGTACAACCACCATGTCCACCAAGGCTAAAATGACATTGGGCGCATCCATCGTGTTGTGCTGTGGTACGATTTATGGCGTCCACTATCTCCAACGTTACGAGAAGGAGGTAAGAAAAAGCACTTTTTTGGCAACCGTCTCCAGCAACCGCAAAAAGATTCACGGTGTGAGTTTGAATTGCGTTTTTGTAGTTGATGGCATTAGGGGTTGAAAAAGACGAAGAACGTCGCAAGAAACGAGAACAACGCGAGCTGAATATGAAAGAATTAGAAGACCAACATGCGCTTCATAAAGCCTTACTGGAGACACAGTCCGTTTCCAAAGCCCCGTCCAATGAACCCGCATCCGAAGACGCCTAGATATACCGTATCCTACCCAACCCTACACCACCGTAGTCAGCTCACTTGCCAGTTATAGAAATCATTCCCCTAACAACCAAATCACAATAGAAAGAGTACAACTTTTTTTTATATGAGGGTAGATAAACCCTTCCTTCTCATGCTTTTATTACAAAAAATAGCAACAAAAGATGTATTCAATGAAGTGACTTAGTTCTGCTATAAAAAAGTTGCGCGTTAGTTGGACATTCTGGATATCACAATACATCATTATTCATAAAGATACTGAAGATACTTTACCTTGAAGACAAGAGTCAAATGGCACTTGCCACAGTACTGTCTGTCCTTGTGACCGGCCATAAAGACACCGGCACCGCAGGTGGAGTTGGGACATTCGCGACGGAGACGGGTGACTCTGCCGGATTCATCGACCTTGTAGTACTTCAAAATAGCCATCTTGACTTTCTTGCGCTTATGCTTGATCTTCTTGGGAGTGGTGTAGGTCTTCTTCTTACGCTTCTTACCACCACCCAACAATTCAGCGTTAAGGTGCAAGGTGTTGCTGTCTTCAATGCCGTAGACCGAGAGATCACCTTCGGCGAGAGGCTTACCGGCGTAGGACAACAACTGAGCACAGGCAGGAATACCTTCACGAGCTTCGATCATCGACTTGACAGTCGAGATGGAATCGTTGGAAGCGACATTGAGGAGAAGGGTGTTACCCTCAAGAGACTTGACAAAAAGTTGCATGGTTGAAACAGATAACTCGATTATTCTTCACTACAAGTGTATCGTTGGACGCTAGTGGTGAAAAAGAATCTATACACCATCTCAATTTTCAATATCATACTGCTTAAAAAAATAGATCGAATATGAGGTTTTTTCTTATTACCTTCCTCACTATCTTGATTAAACGTACAGGTAAAGAGAAAAAAAAAATTGTCAATGGGCGGCCCACCCAGCAAAAAATGATTGTTGATGGAACATAAAAATTTTTCTTATTGGATGCTTTGGACTGTGTCTGACCTGAACTTCAAACCCCGTAACACTCGGTTAGAGGAATTTTGGCAAAGGCACTAATTTCAACGTATACGAATGATACAAAGCCAGGTTTATAGTATGTTGTGGAGAAAATTTATGAAAGGGAGCAAAACCAGAGAACAACGGAAGCAAGCCAAGTTTTTTTTCAGAAGATTTGCAGGGACAAGATGAACCATCCTCTGGTAATTGATATCTTTTCAAATCTCATACTATCCAGATCAAAACCTTGAAGCTATAGCTTCTTCGGTCCAGTATTGTATCAAACACATCTATCTATAACAGGACATAATTGACTCCGTATTGCAGCTGGCATAGAGTAGGGTTTCTGCAGATCATAGACATGTCGCTTATTCAGCGTATGTTATGCATTGCAAACCCCACCGAATTCCATTATGCAAAGGAATAGGACGCCTGTAAGCATCCGGATACGGCTGAAACTGCTTATATTTGCATACACTGAGTATAGTCTTCCCAATATAATTCATTTTTGCTTCAGTCTAGCTTTTTTATTTATTTTACAATCCGAGAGTCTTTAATGCATTCTGTCGCACAATTTCATCGTAACGGTTGCGATCGGTACGCCAAATTTTCTAAGGATCGTTATGCCAGAATTAATAGACTGCACAAACTGCCGAGATTATAGACAAAATTGACTTACGCAAGCATCCACATTGGCACCGCTCTCATCGTTGGGTTCTATATATGAAAAAAAAAAGAGTGTTACTGCTATACTGTTCCGTAATCCAACCCATATTGCTTCTATGACACTCACCTGCTAACATGCTAACTACGCTCAATAGAATCTTTTCCACACTTTGGACGGGACTCCATCGTTCGGAACTGCTTTCGTACATATTGGGATCATCGCCTGGAGGATGCAAAATGGAAATACAAACTGTGCCATTGGGGTAAACGTTGGGATGGAAAAAGTCGCAGGTGAATCGCATAGTGGGGGACTCAATGGATAATCTTTTGGAAATGTTAATGTGGCAGGGAAAAGTCCGCCTTCGAAAGGTGTGCCTTCTGGACCACTACAAGGAAAGTAGCAAACTAAGTAACAGTTGATGTAGGAACAGTCATTCCAATTGAAACTTACGCAATTAATGCTTCCCAGACGAAAAAGTTATTCTCATCAATAGGGCCTAATATAAATTAACTCATCGTTCAGTATTATTTGAAGAAGGGGAATTCTGCATGCAATAGTCAACGATTTGTTACCTGCTGTAATGCCTTCTGGAGCATTCAATATCAGCTCTAGTGACGCCAAAGAAAAATGCTTGATAATGAGAAATACGTTGGGTGTGTCAACGGATACAATACAAAAACATACCTCGGTATTCAGTCATTAAGCGCTTGAGCGCTGTGGATCCAATGCTTCGATTAGGGTACATGATGAGTTTGAAGGTGGACAAAAAAAGATAGGTTTTTTGGATGTGTAATGTCTACCGCTTTCCCCTTTTTCTTTTTTGAGCTATATGCCAAATAGGGAAACTATACGACAAATGGCAGAAACGCTGTCACATCCATCGTCATCGGGAGTTGTTTTTTTCGAAAAAAAAAATAGGAAGGGGGTTGTGTTTAAAAAAATTAACACTACATTTTCCCTCTTAAATATAATATAAAAACGCCATGGGACTCTTTGGATCATCAAGTGAGGAAAACGTCGACGATGTTTACTCGCCTTCCGCCAACACATTTCAAGCGGACGAAGTTTCCGACAACAGTTATGAAAAGATGCCCGATTTCATGTCCAGCATTACTTATGATGCCACCAAATTGCAACCCATGGCTCTTCAAGGCGGTATCGATTTCTTGCAAGTAGACGATGCACCCGGTTCATCTATGGCCGGCGGCGCAGCATTGACCCCTTCACGAGGTTGGACCGATGATTTATGTTACGGTACCGGCACCACTTATTTAGCGGGTTTGACTTTGGGTGGAGCTGTGGGTCTTGCCGAGGGTATGAAAAAGAGCGCCGACGCACCTAATATGAAAATTCGTCTCAATACCACACTTAACACTATCACGCGTCGTGGCCCCGGTCTTGGTAACTCCGTCGGTGTGATTGCTATGATATACAACGGTGCCACTGCCATGATTGACGCATCCCGAGGAACTCACGACATGTTCAACAGCATCGCCGGTGGCGCTATTGCAGGCGCTATTTTCAAGAGCACAGCAGGTATGTATGGGGATGAAACTTGGATCTTCTTTTCTTTTGTCTATCATTTTTGGATTTGAGTTTTTTATTGCCGGATCAGAGGAATTTCATGCATTAATTCTGTTTTATTTCTTCTTATAATAGGAACTCGTGCAGCTGCCATTTCATCGGGCGTGTGTGCTGGTGCTGCCGGTGTTTGGTCTTTCTTGGTTTCCCAATGGTCCAACAACTAATAGATTTTCTTCCCTTTCTTTCTGTACAAAATAAATTACAACCCCATACTTTATCGAAACAGTTGAGAAACAACTGCGATTATTTTTCCTCTACGCGTTCACCGTTCATTATTTGGAAGTTCAGAATCACCAGGACAATTGTCTGATCCCGCTGTTGATGACAATATGTCGTGCTTTTCTGTATACGGACTATCATTACGCTCAACCAGCGGGTCGGTTTCACAGATGGTGGCCGTATCCTGATTCATGATGTGATCTCCTTCTTCGTCCGTATATCGCTCATCGTCATCGCTGCCGGTGCCAAAACTACCCGAATCGTAAAGATAATCTTCAACCACTGCGGGATCTTCACCCGTCATAAACTCTTGCTCAGCAAAAGTATTTTCATCAGCGTAGGCGTTTTCAAGAGCGAAACCTTCCTCGTGGAAATCAGGAGCGTAAGCTTCATCGTATTCCGGCATCATTTGTCTTTCCTCGAGCATGTGCATACGATCTTCCATTGTAATTTCGCGAACGAGATAACCCTCGGAATCGCGACGCACCAATTGTGTCCGACCTTTGGCTACTTCATTATCCATTCGTTCATAGATGGACGGGCGTAAATCATCCGGATCTCGCGGTGGCCAAATATAGGGGGTTTGCAAGTCTATTAACTGGTCCTCAGTTACCGCAACTAAATAAGCGTTGAAGCGCAAGCTCACCTGTGTGGCGTCGGACAGGAAATGAAAGACCGTCCCCACCCATGCGCTGAGGCCACATCCAAAGCAAAGGATTGCTTCCTAGTACGGCACTAATGTTTCGATAGATACCGACATCGAAAGGAAACTGAATCTAAGCACAACAAGGTGTCTAAATATCAGCGTTTGTGTTTCTTTTCCCTTTTTGCGTCTTGCTGGTACCACTTACCGGAGCAATTTTCCGCCGTCGAATGAGCCGCTTTACTTTGGTTCTTTCGCGTCCCTCAATGGTGGTTTGGCCTCGGCAAATACAGTACAAGTGGTATATACTAAGAATCCCTACGCAGAGTATGACAATGACAATCGCTGCAATGTCAACAATAAGAAATACAGTCTCGAATAATGTGGGTTGCATGAAATCCTAGAGTGATTTTTGTCAGTATAATAGGCTTACGAAAATCAGTGTCTATCATGGTCGTTACCCAATCGAGTCGATTGCTGTCCATCATGGCATACATGCGCCATATCAACAGCGAAAGAGCATAACTACATGTCACATCCACCCAAAAGACGAATCTTAAAAAGTGACCATAGTTGTCATGGCCGACACAGTTGTTGATCCAGGGGCAATGATGATCCATCTTCAATATACATCGCTGGCAATACCGACAATGATGGGCTCGTGGAGGCTTATAAACTTGACACGTCTTGCAAAATCGGGGGCCTGTTAACCCTTGAGGTGCATGTTCCTCCAGCACAGCATACGGTGGTTCCTACCATGTCCAGCCATACAAAGAATGAGTCAAGAAGAAGGTCCTGTCTCACAATAATCAGAGCGCCATAGTTACCCAGGTTGCAGGTACTTCACCTGGATCAACGGTGCATGCCAAGTAGTAATTAATGTAAATCATGCAAAGTCCAATATTCAGGGGAATCAGGGTTTTGGCGGTGAGCATGGAATCCATGCCAGCAAAGAACGGGAGGAGAATGAACCATTGGGCAGTAACAGCGAGAAATGTGATCAAGGTAGTGACACCTATGACGATCCAGCGACCGGGCACTTGATTAAACATTATCGCTCCATATACTGATTGGAAAAAAAGACGAGAGACAATCCAACAGTTGACGATTGGATTCGGCGATAAACAATAAAACGGGAAAGCAGTGGTTTTCACAATAAAGTGGTGATAAAGTAGGCCAAACCGCCACGGCTTTAGTCAGTTCAAGCGTCTAGCAGTGACGGAGTTTCCATGGACTTTCCTATTGTGATTTTTTTTCTCTTTCTCCTCGAAAACCACGCAATTTTTTGACGCTCAGATACATGGCCAAAAATATAATAAAAAAGGCTCGCTTCACGAACCCTGTTGCATTTGAGGAGGTAAAAAAACCCGCTTATTTTAGGCTGACCTGCCAGGCATACATTGCATTCTTCTTTTCATCTAGTGAGAACTTTATTGTTGCAAAATGTGGCTTACAAAACTCATTCGACCCAAAGAACTCTTTTTGTTGCAAGGAGGCTTAATTGGTGAAGGTTGAAAATAACGGCGTAATTCAAACCATGTTGCAAGTCGTTGTATGACAAACAATAGTCTAAAGTCTCAGCCCAGACACCGGTACAACCATTATCAGTTGCATCACGCACCAAGGAACAACAACAACAACAGCAAAACCCCTATCGTGAAAAGCGTTCTTTAAACTGGTCGAATTCACCGCGATGATCAGCGCATGATATATTGTTCTCTTTTTTTTTTCTGCATGAGTAATGTTTCGGAGATGGGCTGCTGCAAAAAAAAAAAAAAAAAAACGGCTGCAAATGAATTCCCAAAATATTGTCAAGGTGATAATAATGCCGTGGTAACCGTTTTGCATAATGTTTCTCCTGAATAAGATCATGCCGTTGTTATAGATATCAATCCAATTTGATGATAAAAAAAGCAAAAGATTGAATGCTTTGTGATCTTGGTTTCAGAGATGCGACGATAGAACATAAGGAAGGACAGGGCAATGAGAAAACCACGAACAAACAGTTAAACACGTTGCTTGGCAAAGATACAAAAAGGGATGGATTTTTTGCGTGAATAAAAACAAGGCCAGAGATATTTAGTGTGAGGAGGACCCTGTTCATGTCAAAAGGTGACCTGACCTGAATGATCCATAGTAAGTCAGTGAGTGACAAACACGTTTTTTATATAAAAAATCCAGTCACATAGGAAAAGAATGAAGAGCCCAAAACGTCATTTTATGAAACCGGTGTTGGTTTGGTGTGTGTGCGACCCTGAAAAAAAAAAGATGAAAAATAAAAAATTCCAAAGATATATAAATGCCGAACCCAACGGGTTGCCTATTCTTTCCTTTCCCTTCAAACCCTCTTTTTCATTCTTTTGAATCCCAAGCTTTGGGAGGATTTTCTTTTTTTTACGTGGAATTATTACAATTCAATTTTTTTAAACTTGCCTATTTGCTTATGCTGAATGATTCGCCCTGCAACGAGTCCGCTTCCAGACCGATCACCTCGTCGTTTTTACGCCGAATCTCATCGCCTGCGCCACCCTGTCCACAACCGTCCAAATCAATGAATTTTCTCGCTTCGCCACAGCCGCGACATACAAACAACAACCGATCCACCCTAAAGAAGCCATCCGATCGATCTTCGGCCCCCGTGCTCAATCGACTCTCCAGTATATTTTCTTCCAGTCTACGAAGACCATCGTGTCGTCGCATGAACAATTCCGCTGCCACACCCACCAAATCTGTATCAACTCGCCCAACCGAGGAATTCAAACCCTGTATATTGGCTACGTTTCCATCACCGGCGGCACGATCACGACAACATCTCGCCAGTCGACCTCGTCCGCATTCGCAGTTTGATATATCAAGTACCACAGACACTTTACGCAAGCGACGGCATACCGACGTGCATGTCACCTTGATGCGTCAAATTTCTGAAAGCAGCGAATCGAGTAGTGTGTCATCGACGAAAACATTACACAACAGCAGTACCAGTGGTAATTGTAGCAGCGGCAGCAGCAGCGATGAATCAGAAAAGGAGACGGATGAGGAAACTTCTGTGGCTACAGAGGAGGATCTGGGAGATGATGATTTCGTCAAGGGCGCGGAGCTAGGAGCTGGACTGGCTGGTCCCACGCCTGCCAAGTCCTGCAGCACCATCTATCCATCATTGGAAACGCGCATACACGATCTTCCCCACACCCAACGCCCTCAATCCCCTGCCAATGAAAGTCGATTGATCCGTGCTGGTCACGATCGTCCATTCAGCCCACGGGAGAAAAATCTTTTCCGACATCGCACCGTTTTTGGAAAAACCGATCATGCCAAAAAGGAAAATAAAACCGTCTCTATTTGGCGCGCCAGCGTCGAGAAGCTTTTGCAACAGTCTCCGCATAACGCGCCCGCCCTTTTAGGTGTAAGTAATGAATATCAAGAGAAAAAAAAAAAAGGGAAAAAGAGAAAGAAAGGCAAAAACAAAGGAACACACGCTATGCAACTTTTACTCGACTCATTAAAACTAATGGAAGAAAGGGGGTTCACGCCTCTCTTTTTCTTTTTTTTTTGCGCTTTTTTTTCTGTATTATTTTCGTGCTTTCATTTCCCAATGCGGTTATCTAACAGCCAGAACACGGGACTGCCAAGGACATCGCGTTGGCCAAGTTTATCGTGATCGAACTGTATACGACGGAACAATCCTATCATCGTTTACTCAAGATGGTCCAGACTGTATGTATCTATGCCTGATATGGGTTTCCCTTTTATTGTTTTTGTTTATGATCCGGATGGAGGAAATTTTTTCTAATGCGGTAGGAATGTAGAATTATATGCAAGTGATGGCGGAAGCGGCCCAGCCAAGAAATCCGCTTTTCAGGGCAGGGGATGTGCCTATTTTATTTCAACATCTACCGGATTTAATTGCTCTTTCCGAGAAACTTTTGACCGCATTTGAATACCATGCTTCTCAGCTGTGGCGAATGTTTTGTCCTGCTCAAGTCGGACCCATCTTTCGCAATCTGGAGGACGATCTGGTTGTGTTTCTGCGATACGCCATGCATTATCAAAACAATATCAAGTCCATTCGACGTGCATGCAATAATGTGCTTGTGTTAAAAATTGAGCAGGTACGCCCTTCTTGTTTGTTTGATTTGCCGCGTGAGAACTCACTAGGTTGATGTTTGGCTGTTGTTATTAGGAAACACTGAGTCAGAAAGATACGCATCGTCTTGGCATTGCCGATTACCTTATTGCCCCATTTCAGCGAGTCCCTCGGTATTGTTTGTTGATCAAAGGTAACACAAACTCGAGTTGGTGGAGCTTGTTCAGTAAAGAATCTAAACTTAAATGTTTTCCTTTTTCTTTATTACACTTCAGATCTCCTCAAGCATACTGAACGGTGTGACCCAAATTACAAGGATTTGGACATTGCCTTGAAACTACTGACGGGACTTGTCACTGCCATGGATTACGTTCAGGAAACTCATCGCATCAAATCTACCTTTTAGGATTCATCCATTTACCCAATCTCCTCTTTTCATCCATACCATCGAAAAGATACTAGGATACCGCCCAATGATGGAATTTACTATCTATTGGCCCTACATTCCTAACGAGATATCGATTTATGATGTCCCCCCCCCACCCCTCTATATGTGTCAACAGCTACATTACACCTTATTCCATTAAGTTATTTCCTTTTGTACGGTATTTCCTACTTTTGTTTTTTTGATCCTTCAACCGCAGATATATTTTATTTACGTAGAAAGACCGAAAACACACTACTGGATTTCAAATTATTGTTTATTATTGCATAATCAAACTTTAAAAAGTGTGGATTGAGGGGAACTACAAGTCCACCCATCCTCAGTTTCTAGGCCAAACGTCCAGCGCTTGAAAATCTTGAATGATTTCTTCTAGATTTTCTTGTGTAAGGTACGGTACTACATAATTGAATCCTGTCACGCGTTCAATTTTCGACCCGTCAATGGACAGATCATGATTGTATAGCAGTTCCTTGTCCAGGTACGGTGATAGAGGTGATCCCTGGATATTGGAAGCTTGCAGCAATTCCGCCCAAGGCGGCAAATGTTTGCGATTAATGTCCTTGATGACCGAATCCAAGTGTAGCTAGAAAATGGATGACATGAAATTAGGAAAACAAAATGCGAAACAATCCGTCGATCTCTCGTAATAGTACCTTTGTAAACGCCGAGATGAAACTGCTGTGATAACCGGTGCGAATGCCAAAGATCTGAGTCAAGAAGCCATTGATGGTTTCCTGGTCTAATCCGGTACAAAAAACCAATACGATTAGAAAACGCCAAATGAAATTGAAGGCAGAAAAGTGGGCTGGTCGGTCACACCACATTTACCTGTGTTTTGCTTATCTGACAAGTTGAAAATGGGCAGCTCCGCATGCGGGGCGTTCTCGATATACCACCTTGCCACATGCCAGCACGCTCTGGCCACATCCAACACGTGGACGGTATTCAGCTTGAGATCTTTGGACCACAACAACTTCATTTTTTCATCCAGCTGTTTGTAAATTCTTCCAATGATCAATCGTGGCGCTGCAGCAAAGTGATCACAAGAACAAAAATAAACATATTTTCAACGTGAGCTTTTTTTCCATTTCCAGCCATTCAAGACGCCGTTTAGAACCAACTTACTGAGACCCATGGTGGTACCAGTGCCATATACGATGGCAGGGCGCAATATGACCAGGTTTAATCTACGAATTCATCGCCAATTTTTCATTTAATAATTCATTTATCGCGTGCGTTTTCCGATGCGTTTTGTTTCCCTTTTTGGGATGGTTGCTCTTGTCCCGGTGGCAAAATGGATGATGCTTACCCTTGAATTGTTTTCAGTTCCTGCTTTGCTTTGAATTTGTATTTTGCAGGAATCGTCCATGGATTGATTCGTGAAGTTTCGGTTGAAGCTGTCTAATTGAGACATTCCCAGTGTGAGACCGCGGCTTGAAAGATAAAGCAGGGACAAAAAAAAAGAAGGGCGTTCATTGAAAAATATTTACCGGTCCGCTGTCATAGATTTCCGCCGTTGACATGACCACAAAGACTTTGATACCTCGTCTTGCTGCTTCGTAACCGCAATTGACTGCTACGCGATAAATGCGTTCTTCGTAAACCTAGTCATTGAAAGCATGAATAATTGTTTGGTACTTGATTTTTTTTTCTCGGCTTATTATCATGAGGGCCGTTATAATCGGCGCTCCTATATCCCTCACCTCCGGAACTTGGGAATATTTGGTTTCAGCTGCAAAATTGAAAACGTAGTCAAATTCGGTACCATCGTCTCGGTCAAAACTGGCCTTGATAGAATCTATCAATGATCTTGTGTTAGTCCATCATACGACCAAGCATTGGATGTTGGTTTAAGGTTCTCATTATTTGTTATTTATGATCCCTGATTTTTTCGCGATCTCCTTTTTTTTGGTTTCTGTTGCTTATCGGTCCGAAGTTTTACTTTTGGCAAGAGGGGATGCATGACTTACCGGGACGAGTCAGGTTGGCCTGACGGAACTCGACCCTAGTGAAGGCGTCGCGATGCTTTTTGGATAAGAGAGCGGTTTCCGGAAGCACTTTATCGACGACGCGAATATCATTGGACAGGTTGTTTGCGACAAGATAATGCACGAAATGACGTCCAATGAACCCCACTCCACCCAATATAAGGACAGACATTTTTTGATGTATGCTTGAAAGGAAAATCCAGGGATGATTGAGAATGAAAAACCCCAAAAAAATATCTGTCAGCAACGACCGATATCAATAAGATCAGAAGGAAGGGAGTGGTATATGAAAATGAACCGATTTAAAAAAGATGAAATTCAAGTGAAATGAAATCTCATATTGCTGTCCAATTTATATGAGCGTGAAATTGATCTTATTGATGGGTTATATGAATCAGGGAAATTGTGATATTTGCTCTGTGCGACGCGATACAGGAAATGGAGATTGCAAAAAGGGAAACATGACGCAAGCATTCGTTCGTTGGATGAACTGTTGTGTGGCTGTTTTGTTTCCAGATTCAAGAAGCAGGACGGGGTGTCAAAATTTGGATATTTATAGTTGATCAACCATTGTCCACCAATCATTGGTAACGATTGGATACGAGAAAATTTTGGAGACACGAAAAAATTTGTTGCCCAGCATTTCCATTTTGTGCAACCTTCACCTTGGTCCGTCCTTTCTTTTTGCACATCTTGGTTTCCTAAAACAAGTGAGAATAGAAGGGAGAAAAAGCCAATTCGCCTTTTTCCTTCTTGTTCTTTTTTTTTTCAGTTTCTTTTTTTTCTTATTTATCCTTATTTCTTTATTTTTCTCCCCTTTTTCACTTCAAGTGTTTAATTCTCTTTCTTCTTTTTTACTGTTGGTTTTTTAAAACGGCTGATTGTTGGACTTCTTTTTCGATTCTTCTGGAAAAAAAAATACCGGCCCTAAAAGCACATTCTTCTTGTTGCTTTTTTTCCCCTCTCTTAGTTGGATGTTTTCTTTTTGTAACGATACCATTACCGATCATTGCGTAGTTTTATAAAGAGCATCATGGATTCAACCGCGCGGCATTCAACCTATACACCTACCCTTAATCGAAGTCTTTCGTTCACGTCACAGTCCAGTACGAACGAACCACCGTTGGCATCGGACGCACTGGTATTTAACGACGATATAACAACGACCGGGAATCGACCCAAACGAAACAAATCGTTAGTTCGACCGGAAAGAGAACGAATTGACCCTAATCATCGACAATACCACTATCGACAAGCAGCCACGAAACGAGGGCCCGATCATGTTGTCCCCAGTACCACAGGCAACCAACCGGCTCGACCACTGGAACGACGACCGACGGCTCGTCAAGTGCTGCTTCGACGGGGTCGAAGTATCCTCGGAAGAGAAGAGAAACAGGCCGAGGAAGATGATATCGTCGCCCAGCCGAGAAGGAAAAAGAGCTGTTGGAAGTCTCTCCCCAGCCCCTGGATGACTTACTGCCGCATCATTACTTGTTGTATCCCAAAACCCTTGCTCCGGATGGTGGGCATCCCTGATGGTCCTGCACAGATGGCTTGGCGAGAAAAGATTGGCCTTGTGTCGTTCATTCTCTTGATTATGGCCTTTGTGGGTTTCCTGACCTTTGGTTTTACCCAAGCCGTATGCCCTATTCCCCCCTTGAGCGTGCACGGGGGTCAAGTCAGTCCCGGCTATCTAATTATTAACGGCTGGGCTTACATGTTGGCCGACTGGTCACAACATCCGGCTATCCCCGGTATGACCAATGATTCCACCAATCTTTTGTACCCGCCCGTCAATGGCGGTGGTATGGATGCGTCATTTTTATTCCAAACCCCAAGCCCTTCCTGCGCTTCCGTATTTCTTCCAAAGCAAGGCAATCAGCCCGTTTATTTTCCATGCCAGCTATTCAATCCCAACAACACCGTACCACCAGATCCAAACACTTTTACAAATCAGACGCGATGTCATTTAGGCCAAGCCTCCCGTAATCAGTTTCAGAATTTCCAAGTCAACGGTGTACCTTCCTCCAAAGGCGAACTGAACAAAGCGGCGCGAGTGTATTACAATTGGACCGATATCACTATGACGAATTACCTAATGGTCTATAACAAGTAAGTGTGGGAAATCCATGGACAAATAAGGAAGCCACGCGAGCATAAAAAGAGGAATCTTTTTGGAGAGACGTTGGACGAGGAAACACAAAGAATGTCATGAATTTCGATCGTTTATTTTTCTTTTATTTTTTTTATTTTTTCCCGTTATGAAATTGACAGTGATGTTTTGAATCTACGGCTATTACAATCATTGCCTCCAGCTTATTACGACGTTCCTCCGGGCGGATTGATCCAGCAAATATTGGCGGACATGGGATCGTTCGGTGGCAAAGATATGAGTCGTGCGATCAATGCGTATCGAGAACCGAATTCAAGTTGGCAAAAAGAAGCGGATTGCTTGTCAACGGTGATCAAAGTGGGCGCAGTGGATACGCTTAGTGTGGGATGCATGGCGTCCCAGATCGTACTTTACGTATCATTAGCCGTAATTCTTGGCGTCATCATCGTCAAGTTTGTGCTGGCGGTTATTTTTGGCTGGTTCTTATCATGGAAGTTGGGTAATTTCAAGGAAGGCGATTCGTATGCCGCACGAATGAAGCGAGAAGCGGAAATCGAAAACTGGACACGGGATATCCACACCGCCGCGCCTCTCAGCAAACCCAAGCAGCCACCTTCGTACAACAAAGGTCAAGCGAATAAACGCAAATCACTGTTTCCGCAGACCTCACGATTCACTCAACCCTTGCATGGCTCCACTCGATTCGATACCGATAAATTATCCACACCGTTATGGAAGACTCCTTCAGGGTAAGTTGCCAAAAAAAACTCAAAAATTTTTTATTCTAAAAAAGGGCCAAAAACAACGCAAGGAGAGGTCGCGTGATAAAGTATATCAAAAAAAAGGAGATTTGGAGTATAAAAAAAAAGAAAAAAGGCAATTCTATTTTTTGGGCATGTTTGTGTGTGTGTGTGTGAGTGTGTATGTTGGGGGATGGGGGTGCTGGATGATGAGGTTGGGGGACAAGAAGAGGAAATGGCAGGAGAAAAGATTGGAGAGGAGATTGGGGGCAACAAAAACAACAACAGTAGGGCTAAGCCCAAATGAATCACGCCAAATAACCTTTTTTTTTGTCATTCCACAGAGCCTTATCGACACCAGCATTTGGTGCAAGTCGACCCGGATCTTCTTATTTTGGTGCGTCGCCTTCAGCCCGGTTTCTTGGCGATGCAGGCAGTATGCGTATGTCCGGGATGCTTACACCATTGCGACCGCCGTCCGTGTATTCCTCCGATTTGCAAAGCGACACTTCCTCCAACACGAGCGGATGTCCGTTTCCATTATCACCCCATGTCGTGCCTCGTCCTCCCCCGGACTATATGCCATTTAATTTCCCGCTCGCTTACACCATTTGTCTTGTCACTTGCTATTCGGAAGGAGAAGATGGTATTCGAACGACCCTGGATTCCATTGCTACCAGTGACTATCCCAATTCGCACAAACTCCTCTTGGTGATTTGTGATGGTCTTATTACCGGTCATGGTAACGCCATGTCGACGCCGGATGTTTGTGTGTCTATGATGCAAGATTTTATCGTGGATCCCAAAGACGTTCAACCTGAACCTTATGTCGCCATTGCCGATGGATCCAAGCGAAACAATATGGGTAAAGTGTACGCCGGATACTACAAGTACGACGATAACACAATCGATCCCGCGCACCAACAGCGAGTCCCCATGATCACCATTGTGAAATGCGGAACTCCCGAGGAAGCCAACGAAGCAAAGCCCGGCAATCGCGGTAAACGCGACTCGCAAATCATCCTGATGCAGTTTATGCAAAAAGTGATGTTTGATGAACGCATGACAACAATGGAATACGATTTTTTCAATGCTATTTGGCGTATTACGGGCGTTACCCCTGACAGCTATGAGATTTGTCTGATGGTGGATGCAGATACCAAACTCTATCCAGATGCATTAAGCCGACTCGTGTCTTGTGCCGTCAAAGATCCAGATATTTCAGGCTTATGCGGTGAAACAAAGATCGCCAACAAAACAGGCAGTTGGGTCAGCATGATTCAAGGTAAAAAAAAAAAAAAAAAAAAAAAAAAAAAAAATCACAGCTCGGTGTCTGAGACGACATCCAAAAAATTAAGAACAACTTTTTTTAACGATGCCTATCTTTTTCTTTAGTGTTTGAATATTATATTTCGCATCATCAAAGCAAAGCCTTTGAATCTATCTTTGGTGGTGTGACGTGTTTGCCTGGTTGTTTCTGTATGTACCGTATCAAGGCACCCAAAGGTCCCAATGGTTACTGGGTGCCTGTTCTTGCCAATCCTGATATCGTTGAACATTATTCGGAAAACGTCGTCGATACATTGCATAAAAAGAACCTTTTACTATTGGGTGAGGATCGTTATCTGTCCACCCTCATGTTACGGACCTTCCCCAACCGAAAAATGATGTTTGTGCCACAAGCTGTGTAAGTATCCTTCAATCTATTGTCAAAAATTCCTGGAACGATACAATGCATCAAAGGATACTGAACCCAACTTTTTTTTAGGTGCAAAACGGTGGTGCCTGATACATTTTCTGTATTACTATCGCAACGACGACGATGGATCAATTCGACGATCCACAACTTGATGGAATTGCTGTTTGTTCACGACCTGTGCGGCACTTTTTGTTTTTCGATGCAATTCGTCGTTTTCATGGAACTGGTGGGTACGCTGGCGCTTCCCGCCGCCATTTCATTTACAATCTATCTGGTAATTATGGCCATTCTTGGCCAACCGGCCTTGATTCCTCTCATCCTACTGGCTGTCATTCTCGGGTTGCCGGCGGTACTGATTGTCATGACGAGCCGAAAAGTGGTCTATGTAGGCTGGATGTTGGTGTACCTTTTCAGCTTACCGATTTGGAACTTTGTTTTGCCAACTTATGCGTACTGGCATTTCGACGATTTTTCGTGGGGTGACACCCGTAAAATCGCAGGAGCAGGCAAAGAAAGCGGCCACGGCGATAAAGAAGGCGAGTTTGACAGCAGTCGTATTGTCATGAAGAAATGGAGCGAGTACGAAAAGGAACGACGGATCAATCAAGCTTTGGAACGCAATTTACCGCTGCCACGGTTCCTGGAACGACCTCGCAGTGTGGATATTTTCCGTGATTCGCAAATGTTCAAGCGATTGAGCAAAGCGGGTTCGTCTGGATCCAACGAAAGTGAAATGCCACTCACCCAGATGGATTACACTGGCAACACGCATCCGAACCCTGGCGCCAATGGCCCGGCAGGTGGCAGTGGTGGAGCCAGCAACAGCAGCGGATTAGTGCCTTCTGTGTTTCACAAGAAACAGCCACATGACTACTTTCATCGGACAGCCGATATGCCATTGACAACGCTTCATCCGGTTCATCAACGATTGCAGGAAACGGAGGACGAATTAGCCATTGACGAAGCTGTGCCGGCTACTACCACCACAAATTCGAAGCAAAAGAATGACTATTTTGCCAAATCGGAAGATTCAGGAACCACCACGGCTGTTCTCACTAATACCGACCGAGATTCAAATTGGATCCAACACAGCACACATGACAATAACTGGGCCAACCCCGCACCGCATCATACTAGATATCACGATCATCCTCATTCTGACCATACCAATAATTCCACCACCAGCCCTACTATTGACCGGTTACCATTCGATAACACCACGCGTCCTTCCCCTCCACCTCATAAAGAAGGCTAAAAAATTTTTTTCTTTCGTTACAATAATGATTTATTTTTTTTCTTTTCTCTTTTTCCTTTTTTTTTTTTTTCTTTGTATCATACGCAGATTCCACCCCTCCTTTTTTTCCAGGGCGTGCTATTGTTTTTTTTCCATTTTTCTTTAATACAGACAAGGCATATTGAACCCTTTTCCTCCCTGAATGTTTAAGCATGGTCTCTTCCATTTGTTTCTTGTTGAATTTTCCATTTTGGATTATGTGATTTTCCCAAAGGGAGCATGGTGACTGGTGCTGTTTGAAAACTGTATGTTTCTGTTTCAAAATTTCTGCGTTTCTGGAAAAACGTGGTATTTCTGGCAGATTTCCATTTTTTCATGGCTAAAAGCAGTCACGGTGCGTTTCCCATTTTCGTCGACCGGGGAACTCGATTCGGAATTGTCACCTTATTTTCGTCCTGCCAATGTTCCGCCGGGAACCAATAAATGGATAGTTGACACTGGATTAATGCTAATTGACGTACAGGAGTCGAATTATAGGTTTCAATTAAGGGCGCCATGCTATATCAGATATACACACCAACGGTTGCTTTTCGTCACGGCTGAAAGAAAGACAAACATGCTGGCTTTTTTTTTTCATTTCATCTGGGGTGAAGATCACCAGTTGAAACCCATTATACTCTCGAAAGAGGAGGAGAAAAATAGCCGATGGTCCGTAGACATGCTTGCTTTTCCGCGGTTCAGAAAGAAATTCAATTGCGGAACGCCGGGCGCCATTGTGTTGTACAATGGGTAATATTGTGCCGCACAATAGGGAAATTAACGGGTAAAGTTACGTTGATAATGAATGGAATCATAGGACACGGGAGGGAAGAACGTAGACCTTTCTTCTACGCGTGACTAAGAGAGGTTGGGATTTAATAATGGGCATCCTCGGTACTGGTTCCGGTAACTAAGCTTACTATTCCATTGTGACACGTTGTGTGATTAGAAAAGATACCATACCAAATAAAGTTATTGTTCTTTTCAAAGGAGTGTCAATAAGCAGAAACAAATGTAGGTCATAATGGTATATCCAAGCTTCAGGTGGGCGTCCTGTGATCCGGGTTTATCCAAAGGAACGGAAGAGGTTTGCATTGGCTCCACGGAGTAACAAAGAGACCGCTTGAATGGCCTATGATTGGATGAATCCATCTTCCGCCAATTCGCATTAGGCCGGGAAATGCTGACCTGGCCCGCACATACACCCACACACCACCGCTGAGAAAACCGAGCGCGCGTGAGCACGTGTGACAGTCCTGAACGCCGTTCTTTTTTTTTGCGTTTTATTATTTTATTAACTTTGAGTTTGCTTATTTTTTTTTTTTCCCACTGACCATTCTACAAGCATCGTCTGTGCGATTGTCGAATAGTTCCTGTCATTTTGGTCGAAGTTTGTTTTTTTCCGCCAGGTAAGGTATTGACCCGACAAAACCCCACCATGCTCAATAGGTTCATTTACCTATTTCGGTGTGTCTGGCTTTTTTGGTCGTTTCCCATTCTCCCCCCATGGTTTCACATTGTCCTGAACGGAATGACGAACAATCTAGAAATTAGTGCTCCCACTCCTTCCAGCATTAACGGTCCGTTGTGTGCATTCACCTTTGTTAATATGGTATGGTCGGTGAACAAACAACATGATAGACAGAAAATCAACGCGTGACCTATCTCCTTTGGTTTACTCACATCATTTTTTGAAAAAAAAAAGAAAATTGAGAAACACGTCAAGATCTCCTCTTCCAATTCCATAGTCCGCGCGAAATCAACCGATGCTTATCTGTGGCGAATGTGGAAGGTTCAAGTACGTTTGATGGATCGTGATGCATCACTCTCCGGATTTGTCGATCACATCGAGTATATTTTGCATGAATCATTTGAAAATCCTCGTGTTGGTAAGCAATTGCATGCAGAAATAACAACAAAAAAGGGTTCAGGGTGTGTAATCGTTGACGATGTACGATCGCGTTCACTTAGTGTGCACAAATGAGCCATATTTGCTGGAGCAAGAAGGTTGGGGAGAGTTTGATCTTGGGATCGTCTTTCATTTCAAGGATCCAAGTACAAGTCCTCAAACGCTTTGGTTCGATCTCAATTTCGCCAAACCAAAGTACTCGATTTACAGCACATTGGTGAGTTGACTTATTTTTTACGTTTTATTTTATGATCTGGGGTTATGGCCTGAAAATAACTAACGTGGGTTGACGGGGATTTGCAAAAAAAAAAAGGTGTTTCGCGATCCCAGTCCTGAGTTGATGTTATTGCTACGAACGGTATTTCAAAACGATTCACAGAAAAAGCGACGACGACTTTCGACGGATAATAAGCGACGTGGTAGCTCAACAGAGATGGAATTTATTATGGATGCAAAATACGCAGAAGATTGGCTGGCTTCCATGAGTCGAAGTCGTGGTATTGGAGCAAAGAATGTCCCCGAAGTAAGCCTACTTACTCCCATAGAGTGATTGTGTGATGGAGCAACCATGAACTTGACTGAACAAAAACACCCCTTTTTTTTTCTCTCTAGGATGTGGATCTATCTGATTTGGCACGATGTTTGCAATCCTTGGATGACGATGAATTAAGAGAATTATATCACATTCTGTCTAAATATAACACAAGTGATATGCTCTTTGTGGAAACTGAAGGTAAATCCATCGATCCGCTTACCTAAGGAAAAAAGGGAAAAAAGGGAAAAAAAAAGAAAAACAGAAAAAAAAAGGGAACAAAAACGTGGCATATCAGAGACAAAATCTTTTACATGGATTGTAAAATCAACCTGATGCAATTACTTAATGTTCTTATTTGCGTCTTTGTTTTCTGTAGCCGAAATTCTCTTTGATCTATACTCTCTTGGTCCGGTTCTGTTATCTAGACTGTGGGAGTTTTCCAAACATGTGAAAAGGCAGCGTCACGAACGATCCATAAACAACCATTATTATGCACATCATCCTCAGAACAACCCCTCTCATTGTGTCAATTCCGTTCCATTCTACGGATGATGGCCCGATTCCCCATTTTCTATCCCCATTTTATATCATCTGTACATGTCTTTTCTCTTTTTTTTTTCTAAACTCCTCTTTTTCACATAATGTAACCCTTTTTTTCAGCTTATATGCAGCTCTTTGGGTGTCCCTTCTTTGACGCTATTCTCCTTATCCTTTCTTTTTTTTCATTTCTGTGTGTGCGTATGTGGTTTTTGTTTACGTTCATCCCCTTACTTTTTTTTTCTTTCTCTGTCTTTGTTTGCTTGTTAGTTTCTTTTCCTTTATTTTCATCTTTCTCTTGTTTCCCTTGAATTTTATACCTCCTGGATTAAAATGGTATAGGGCCATCCAGCGCAAAAAAAAATCGTGGCGGGTTCCCTCCAAACTATCCTTTTCTCTTGCTTCAATTACTTATCTTATTACCATTGAATGGATAAATAAAATATAAAATGTTCAATGTATAAAATGTTGGAAGTTTATGGATCGGGTTACTTGGTTACAGCAATGACCTTTTTTTCGGTTCTTCTCCACGCGTTCAAAGTGGGCTACGCTAATTGGACCGATTTTTTTTCCTGGTCTTAGGGTGGAGTGGTTGTGTGCTGCTGTCTAAAAAAGGGTGCAGATTTGACAGCCAATGCGCCAAATAAAACTTTGCAAAACAGAAAATGATGGAGCATGCATTTGGAGATGTGATTGGCAGAAGACGAAATCACACGAGTTATAGAGAAGTAGCGAAAAGAAAAAAAAATCCCCCCATCTGTCAAAAAAAAAATTGCAGGTGAAACGGGAAAAGTATGAGACTGAAAAAAATATAACATGGTTTTTCTTTCGGCTTTGTTATTGCACAAATGCCACTGAAACCAGAAACCTCATAGATTTCCATTTGCACTGTTTTCGATCCGGTCAGACAGTGATAAATCAACCAGGTGATTTTTCATTAAAAGGGCGACTTTTTCTATTTTGCGCTGTTTAAAAATCGTAAATCCTTTTATTTCAAGCGCGTTGAAGACAGCTCTTTTTTTTTTCTTCTTATTTTCTCTTCTCCCTTGTGTGTCTTTATTCGTTCCGAAAGCTACTCTCCTTTTGACCTTTTTTTCTCCATCTCTACTTATTTGCTATGGCAACAGACGAGAAGAAGGAAGCTGTTCAGTTTGAAGAACAGCAACATCATGAGCATGAGGACGAAATTGCTCCCGAATTGGAAGTCCTGTTGCACACGGAACCTCTCCAAGGTTTATCGACAGCCGAAGTGGCAGATCGACAAGCCAAGTTTGGTCTCAACGAACTCCCCGAACGCAAGACCAATCCTTTCCTCAAATTCTTCTCCTATTTCACTGGTCCCATTTCTTATCTGATCGAAATTGCATGTATCATTGCTGCCATTGTGGGCGACTGGATCGACTTCGGCATCATTTTAGCCCTTCTCCTCATTAATGCATTCATTGGTTACATTGAAGAAGCCAAGGCCGAGTCGGCTTTGGATGCCCTTCGTCAAACTCTCGCTCTCAAGACCCGTTGTTTCCGTAATGGTGAATTGACCGAAATTCAAGTGTCCGAGCTAGTCCCTGGTGATGTGATTGTTCTCCGTATTGGTGATATTATTCCGGCCGATGCTCGTCTCCTTGGTCTTGGTGTCAACGGTGAAGATAATGACTCCGATCTTATGATCGATCAATCCGCTTTGACTGGTGAATCGCTTCCTGTGGCCAAACATAAGGGTTCCACCGCTTACTCTTCCAGTATTGTCAAGCAAGGTCAACAGCTCGCCGTGGTGACCAAGACTGGTGACAAGACTTTTATTGGTCGTGCCGCTAACCTGATTGCCATCACTACCGAAGAAGGTCATTTCCAGAAGATTATTGCCAAGATTGGCAACGTCTTGATTTTCTCCACTGTCGTTCTGGTTCTTATCGTGCTCATCTACCAACTCGTCAAGTACAAGGGAACTCCCAAGGGTAACTGGAAGGTCGTCCTCGAGAACTGTCTGGTCCTTACCGTTGCTGCCATTCCTGTCGGTTTGCCCACTGTCATGTCCGTGACCATGGCTCTTGGTGCCAAGCAATTGGCTTCCAAGCAGGTGATTGTCAAGCGTCTTACGGCCGTTGAAGAATTGGCTTCCGTTTCCGTCCTTTGTTCTGACAAGACCGGTACCCTGACCCTCAACGAATTGACTTTTGATGAACCCTGGTTGACCAACAACTACACCTCCGATGACATCTTGCTATACTCTTACCTCGCTGCTGAACCTGGTGCCAATGATCCCATTGAATCCGCTGTGCGTCGTGCCGCCGAAAGTTCCTTGGATGTGTTGCAGAACCGTCAAGACACCATGAGCGTTCCCGGCTACAAGGTTATCAAGTTCCAGCCTTTCGATCCTGTGACCAAGATGACTCGTGCTACCATTGTCAACCTGAACACCAACGAAACTTTCTCCGTGGCAAAGGGCGCTCCCCAGGTTATCACCCAGCTGGCTGGTGGCGATGACGATGCTGTCCGTGCTGTCAATTCTCTGGCTCGTCGTGGTCTTCGTGCTCTTGGTGTGGCCAAAACGATCAACAATACGGATAAATTCGAACTCGTCGGTATGATTTCTCTTTTGGATCCTCCTCGTCCCGATTCCGCCGAAACCATTGCCAACTGTAACGCTCTTGGTGTTGATGTCAAGATGATCACTGGTGATCAACAGATCATTGCCAAGGAAGTCGCCGCTCGTCTGGGTATGGGCCGTGTTATTCTCGATGCCAACCATTTGGTCGATCCTACCAAGTCCGAAGAAGAAGTGACCGAACATTGTCAACGTGCCGATGGTTTTGCCCAGGTTATTCCTGAACACAAGTACCGTGTCGTCGAATTGTTGCAGAACAAGGGTCTCCTCGTTGGTATGACTGGTGATGGTGTCAATGATGCTCCCGCTTTGAAGAAGGCCAATGTTGGTATTGCCGTCGAAGGTTGTACTGATGCTGCTCGTTCCGCCGCTGATATTGTCTTGTTGGCTCCTGGTCTTTCCACCATTACCGATGGTATCATGACCTCCCGTGCCATTTTCCAACGTCTTCGATCTTATGCCTTGTACCGTATCACTTCCACGATTCATTTCTTGCTCTTCATGTTCATCGTCACCTTGGTTGAAGACTGGACCATGCCTGCTATTCTGCTTATTATGATTTGTGTCTTGGTAAGTTTCTTTGATTTTGCAAAATCAATTGAATTCTTTTGATATTAATGAATTCTTTTCTATTATAGAACGATGCTGCTACTCTTGTGATTTCTGTCGATAACACTGAAATTTCTGAACGTCCTGACAAGTGGCGTATTGGTCAGCTGTTGACGTTGTCTTCGATCTTGGCTATCTTCTTGGCTATTCTGTCCTTCGCTCACTTTTACGTTGCTCGTGATGTGTTCCACGTCGATGACAATGTGTTGCATTCGATTATGTACTTGCATATTTCTTCGGCTCCTCATTTTGTCATTTTCTCCACTCGTGTCCCCGGTTACTTCTGGAAAAATATTCCTCACTGGATCTTTACTGTTTGTATTCTCGGTACTCAAGTCGTCGCTCTGTTCTTCTCCGTCTATGGTGTCTTTGGTGAAGCCGAAGGTGTCGCTCCTTGCGGTTACGGTTGGGGTTTTGCCGTTCTTGGTATCTCCCTTGTTTACTTTATGTTCCTTGATGTCGTCAAGGTCTTTGTCTTCCGTTACTGGAACTTTGAGCTTACTGCCTATCTCTGGCCCACCAAGGCTCGCCGTGCGAAGTTGGCCGCCCGCAAAGTTGAAACAGCCAAGCAGGATTACTTGGACAGCGCATGGGGCAAGGTCAATCGGTAAGTTTTTTGCAATGACAACAAAATCATTTTATTCGATATACTCATTTTTATCTATTTCTTTTATTATAGTGATGTCCAAGTTCATAACATCGCTTCAGCATTCAAGAGCCTCGAAAACGAGCATTAAATCTCCTCATTACTTAAATATTCGCTTTTTTCATATTGCTTTCATTCCAAAATAAACACTTTTAGTATGTAATTTCCCCACTAAAAAAAATAAGAAAACTCCTCCATTACTACGATTGGTGACCGAGAAAAAAAAATCTCTTTTCAAGGGTCTTTTATTTTTTTAATGTCCAGACAAAAAGAAATATTCTTTCTGTCGGTTGAGGTGGTGAGGTTTATTGAAGAAAGGGGTTTGAGATGGAATCACATGTCCGCCAGAATCTCCGCATTGCATTGACCAACAAACTGATGGCATGTGATAATCAAGCTGTCCAACCAAAAAAAAAAGGTTCAAGACGATCTTGATAGCTTGGCTATCTCGTTCCCTCAAACTACTTTAGGCAAATAAAACGGAGGAAAAGGCGTAGAAATGTTTCGCAGATTTCACATGCTGGTGAGATGAAAATGTATTATGGTGGCGAAAAAAAAAAAAGAAAAGCACACTTTATAAAGGGGAACAATTGAAGCGCGGCTACTCTACCACAAAATTTTGGGGAGAACCGAAAAAAAACCCAAGTGGCCCACTAAGGCAGACATTTCCTTTATTTTTATCTGCTTTTTTTTTCTTTCCATTTTTCGAATATCGATCTGACATGGTTCGAAATCACTCCCGTCCACGAAAGGCTTCCAAGGATTCGTCCGCCACAACCAATGGTAAGTTAATCAAGACAACTCCTTTTCATGTTTTTTTTTTTTCTTTCAGGAAGCATCTTGTTATTATTTTTGGGCAGTGGGCTTCATAGCTTTTGAAAAAAAAAAGAGTAATTGCTCCGCCTTCCTCCAAAAAAAAAAAAAAAAAAAAAAAAACCACAAGATCGCCTATCATCAAAACCAGATCTTTGGTTTTCTCCACTTTTTTTTCTCTTTTTTTTTGGTTTTGAAAAAGCTTAATCGAGTTTCGGCTGACTTGTTGTTTTTCTTTTTCCGCTAATCGATGGCAGGACATGTTAAACCTTCTGAGAACGGTCATGATCAGAGCTTGGAGGAAAAGCCACCAGTGTCCTTTTTTGTCAGTCGGATTTCTTCGTTACCCGTAGTCCAGGACAGCGTGTCGTACTGCCATGAGACATCATTGGGAAAACTGGCTACCATGACATTGCAAACTGTCCATCGCTACACCTATCCCCCTCCTGAATATGTCCAAACCTACTATAAAACCTACGTGCAACCCCAGCTTGAAAAGGCTGACCAATTGGGATGCCGATCCCTCGACATGATTCAGACTCGATTCCCAGAGATCAATCAACCTACCGCCGAACTCGTCGACTCGATCAAACGTCCTTCGTATCAGTATATCGAAAACTTGACTACGCCGGCTCAACGAATGGCTGAAACGGCCAATCATCGCCTTGGCACCGTCGTCGATCGGGCGCAATCCATGTTGGATCAGTATTTACCGAAACCTGAAACGATCCAAGAACAAGTTCAAGAAGAGACACGCAATGTGGAACATCACGAAGCCGAATCCAATCAAATGGTACGCGCTTATCGTTTGGTGTCAGAAACGCCTTCTCGTTTGACGCATCAAGTGTCCAGGTTACGAACGCGTCAAGAAATTATACAGTTGACCGATCCATCCTTGCTTCTTCGCACGGCGACAAGTCACTGGCAGAATTTGCAAGCCGCCCTGACAGAAACAATGATGGTGTATGCTCAAACCGCTCATTCACGACTTCCAACAACCGTCACAGATCGTCTGCAGCAGCTCCAAACAGCAGCTGTCAACACGATGCAACAACTATCGGGCCACATCCAGCAATTCGCTTCGTATGTCAAAGCACAGAAATCGTCGCCAGAATGGTTAACATCTCGGCTTCAATCGGCGGCCGATCTGACCAACCAGCAGTTGGAGTGGATGCGCGCGGAATTAGCCCGCAAAGATCTTTCGGCCTACGATAAAGCGAAAAACGTGGCCCAAGGTTTGCAAAGCCAACTGTTGCCAGTGCTTGAAACGCTGCAATCCCAACTTCAACCTTGGATGGAAGCCTTACGCCATGCGGCTGTGATTGAAGTGATTTTTGACAAGGACGCATCCAAAGATCCCCGACCTGTGCAGCCACAAGTCAATGAGAACCATCAATGAGCCATGCAGAAACACTAATAAAGAACAAAGTTTGAACACACAGACAAACCGTGTATCTATTGTGTAACGGTATGGCGGGGGGGATTTGTTTAATCCCAGAAAGGGAAAAATAAAAAAGTCGATGAATTAAAATTCAATCATCAACCTCCAAAAAGCTTTTTTTTACACGTTTGGGTTGCTTACACCACCGTTGATTTTTTTGTGTAATTTCATTAAAAGCACCGATGCTTTGTGCCACGAGTAATTCAATTACCAAATGTCGAAGGGTTTATTTTAGGAGCTCTCCATGGTGCTTAAAATAAGGACGAACTAAAATTACATTGAAAACGAATTTTTGCAATTGTGGCTTTTATTGAATCAAATACATGTCGATTGACGTATCTGAAATACGTCCCTAAGCTTTTTCTATAAAGGCCGTTTATACGTTACCTTGATGACCGTTAGAGACTTACCCGTGTGAAATACTACGAAGGTGTGCACTTGATATTAAAGCAAGATAACTGACTTGACAGAGAGTCGGATATTGCATTTCGCTTTGTAGACTGCTGCTGAAGCGATAGAACGCTCACCAATGGGAGCAGCATAGCGACGCAGACGGGCTTGTCAGAGAGAATCTACAAAACAACTACAGTCAGTGAAAAAGTCATGCCTTTACTTTTCTATGGGAGTCACATTGATACCAGCAAACAACACGATAGATATACTGTACGAATTAGTTTGGAAGATTTATCGCTTCAAGTTGCTTGTTATTTCCGAGGAACTTACGTAGTATACTAGCCGCTCCAAGATTCATTGGAGTCATGAACAGCCATAGAGTCTTTAGGTATTACGTAGCACCTCACTTTGGGCAGAAACCCGTCAGAAAATCCTACAAACAGGTTAGTTGAAGTTGCTACGATGCTTTCGACTTTTTTTCTCTCACCACAAAGAACTATACCTTTCTCCACTATGCGGAAAGCAATTCACTCAACATTATGCATACATCATAGAAGAGGGGTAAAAACATCAGCAACAAGCAACAGTAAAAAGGTCTATCGTCTTATACTATAAATTTTTACATGTTGGATGGAGAAAAAGAAAAAAAAGAGTATGACCTTTTTTCGATGATGTTTATTTTTTGCCACAAGGGGCGGCTCATTTTTACTGATGAGATATTAGGCCAAAAGGGGAACTCAATTACAGTAACAATTGTCAAGATCACTCGGAATGATCTCCCGATGAGATGCTAGATCATATATTGTAGCTAGCGCATTGATGAGTTGTCTAGCGCTATCACCATCAATAAACTCCCAATCGTTGCGTTTTATTGCTCAATTCGTGGGCGGATCAACTCTATAAGACCAGTAGCATTGTTTCCTATCAACAAGATACATGCTAAGACCTGGGCCACGATTTCGGCAAGGTCAACGAGCATGGCGCTGTAATACTGAACGAGTCTATGTCTATTATTGGGGTTGTTTGTTTTACGTCGTCTTTTCCAGGATAATGCCAGAAGTGAACATGAGTTACATCAGCTATATGATACATTGATCACCTGTGGTTATGCGTACAATACTCACTTTCCAGCAACCAGCAAGATAAGGACAGATGTGGATATGAGTTATATCACCAATGATAAACTGATCAAATTTAATCATGCATACAATACACCAATTTCCCAGCAGGAAAAGGAGGTGTAGAGATCACTTGTGATTATGCGTACAATACATCAATGAAGCACGTTATTCAAACTGCCCTCTGAAAGCATATAAATTCACTTGCTCACCTCCTCTCTTTTCCTTTTCCTTGGAGGCCAAGATCATATAACATCTTTGGCAACCCAGCCCGAATTCGGGTTCATATACACACAAGGTGAGCCAAAATAACCACAATTCAAACTGCGAAATCCATTTACTAAATTTGGGCTCCAAATTTCTTCAGTTGTGTAAGCGGTGACCGTCTTTATGCGACATGACACCAGTGGTGATTGACTCCTTTTCTCAGTCAACGTATTCATGACGACAACTCCTTTTATCAAAAAATTAAGGATCCTAAACCAATCAGGTCCGAAAAGGCGTTCTACTCATCATCGACAAAAAGGCGAGCAGTACGTGATTGTTGGCAGCAATGACGATCATCCCTCCCATTTGGGCCAGACGGAGTATGGATTTTCTTGACGAACTTGCCCATTTCCGGAGGAGTTTTTATTCTGTAGAAATCACATCATTCATCAACATGCATGCAAAATCAAAAATAAAAAAAAAAATAAAGACGTAACTTTAACGGGCACGCTAGTGGATTTGAGAAATAAATTGAAAGGGACACCGGGTCCGTGCATGAGATTATTTCATTTTCACTGAATTTTTCCCCAAAAGAAAGTCTACTCAAAATAGGAAATCTCCTGTTTCAGAAAAATGACTTCAGAATGCGTTCATCGTTTTTGAAAAATGCATATATAAGACGCAACGCGCAGGGGTTTGGCACTGACCACCTCGGATTCTTTTTTTTATCCTATTACAAAAAATATCAATTATGGCCTCCAAAGTGACTATTCCTACTGAACCTACCCCTAATTTGGTCGTGGTGACCAACATCCACAAGACCACGCAAGATAAGGCTATCCGCGAGTTTTTCCTGTTCTGTGGCAAGATCAAGGAATTCGAATTGCAGCCTGATGGCGAGCATCAGAAAGCCCTCATCATGTTCGAACGTGCATCTGCTGCCAAAACGGCCGTCCTTTTAAGCAATGGTAAGATAGTCACAACTGTGGGATAGTTGGTGAGTTCTGCAGAAGCTCATGAGTACGCGATTTTTTTTTATTTTTGTATTTAGCTTTGGTGGACAATGAACACATTCACGTGGAGCCGTACTTTGCCGAGACTCAAAACAACGAAAAGGCTGGTGCGGCTGTGAGCGAGGAAGAAGGCAAGGAAGTGCCTCCGGTGTCCAGCACCATGGCCGAGATGTTGGCGGCTGGTTACACTTTAACCGACAATGTGTTGGCTAAGGGTATCGAATACGATAACAAATACGGTCTCAGTCAGAAGGTGCAGCAATTCTTTGCCCAGATTCAGCAGAACCTGGCTCAGTTGGGTCAAAAGTACCATGTGACCGATCGTGCAATGGAAGTCGACAGCAAATTGGGTGTCCAGAACAAGGCGCAAAATGTGGCCACGACCGCCCAGCAAAAGGCCGAAGAGTTGATGCAATCACCTGCAGGTCAAAAGGTGCAAGGATTTGCTACCCAGATGTTGGACCAAATCAATGCTTTACACGCGGAAGCTCGTCGTATTGCGGTAAGTGGAAAATGTTCAGGTCGGGGAAAAGAGAAAAAGGAAAAAAGTAACTGATCAATGTGAAATAAAATAGGATGAGCGAAAGGGTACCAGCACTGGCGCCACGACCGAAGCCCCCAAGCCTCATACAGCATAAATCCTTGCTTTCAACTTTATCGTTACCGGAAATGACTATTGGTTTATGTGTATAATATGTAACATTTGTATATTTATTGGGTAAACACAGTGCGTAACTTCATAATGCAACCAAAAGAAATAAAACCTATAATACTTCACAAAAAAGAAAATAAAAAAAGGAATGGCATGGGTGGTGTATGTGTCCAGCACATACAAAAAGTAACATTTGACAATAACACCGTTATCATCTGGTATAGGGGTGTGTAAAAATAAAATAAAAAAAAGGCCTCCGGGGACGAGGGAAATCTATTGGTGGGTGGTCTTGAAATGTTTGCGCAAGGAACGACTGTGAAAGTACGCTTTGCCACAATCGGGCACAGGACAGGCGTGGGGTCTTTGCCCTGTATGGGTTTTGCAATGCGTGTTGAGCGAATCCGGTCGGGAGAATCGTTTATCGCATTGCGGACAGGCAAATGGTCGTTCACCTGTATGGGTGCGCATGTGATTGTACATTTTGTGACGCTTGAAGAAGGGTTTGTGATTTCGGAGACATCCGGCCCACTCACAGAAATAGGCAGGCTAAAACAACCAAAAGATTTTTTTTTTGTTTAGCATCTTTGTTTATGTGAAAATCAAACGAGTCAAAAACACAAACAAAAAGGTGTAGCGAGAAAAAACGCCATTTGTTTGGGAAGAAATTTACCTTGCCACTTTGGATGTGATCCGCATGGATATGGCGAATAAGCTGATCAAACCTTGCCATGGGAGGTTTCGTGCAGCCTTTCCATTGGCACACATGCAGTGCCTGGCGCAATGACGGCTGACCACCTGTTACCGTAGTAGTCGTAGTAATAGTCGACAGTTCTGTTCGGAATTGTTTTTCCTTTTCCAACTGGAGCACGCGTTCAATAAGTTGAGACCGCGACAACTGCTGCAAGGTGGAAGAGGAAGAGGAAGAAGAAGAAGAAGCGGAGACCAATGAGGTGGGTGACTGAACAAGGTTCATGTGATGGCCCAACAAGGAAATCATCGGTGCCTCTGGAGACGCGCTCCGATTGTCAGGCGTCAGCTGGCAAGCTTGATAAGTCACGTCATCGGTGATTATCCGAGAAGGAACCAACCCACACGGTTCCGCACATAACAAAGCTTCTGAAAAGAAAGCCGACATCGGTTCCGTAGGAAACATCAAGGATAATGGTTCGGAGCAACCTGTTTTTTTTTTTTTTTCGTTTAGTAGGGTGGATCGAAGCGTGCTTTTTTGGGGAGGGGGAGAGGATTTTGATCGATCAACAAAATACCTTTTTGGGGAGCCCATTCGAAATGGTCTGACGTGTTTGGGGAAGGATACGAGTCTGGCAATGGGTTGGTGGTAAGTTGCCAAAGGAACGAGTCCCAGGGGAGATCGGTGGGGCAAACAGAGTTCATGATGGAAGGAACAATAATAATCAGCACGTAAGGAAAGTTCAAAAGTCAAAGAGATGATGCAGTTTTAACTGTCAGAATAGAATACATAATATTTTTTTTCTTGGGCTTCAGCAAAACTGATTGTCCTTTTATATGATGATCTTCCGCACAGATGTCGAGGTACCGTGAAATCTGGTGTCACCTTGGAAATAAATAGATTCTTAATCATTGAGCTCACAGAAGAAGAAAAAAAAATAATATACTGGGTTAGTGGAAGAAAAAAGAAGACGGATTCCTAGCTTCTCGAATCACAGGTGCCACATGATATAGAAACCACACACTTTTTTGATGTGCCACATGGGTCGGATGGTCACTTTACCGATGAGATGTGACAATGCAGTGAACCCTAAAAAGACTGAGCCAGTTCAGACTCTGCTATTGCCTCATTTGACACTTATTTCAAAGCCCGAATCTATCTGGGCTCTGGCGCTCTGGCAGTGACGTGTGACACACACACACACTCGCTCGACCTAATTCAGCATAACCAGTTTGGGAACGGAAGTCGCTCCACCCGTTCACTCCGACCCGAAAGTTATGGAATCGTTAGTGGAAGCTTCAAGTCAAGAACTTGCTACACAAATACATCCAGACCGAGCAGTACAGTCGTCGGTAATTTACCAAGGATGAAAACCATATGACTGATCTGCAATCCTGACGTTATTGTTTCTTTGTAAAACAAGCTGAATCGATGGCACGATCAAACGTTACAGTGCAGACAACGGATAGAGGAGACAGCGGCCGGTGTAGTTAAGGTAAAAGATTCATATTTGTCAAGAGCGGAACAGTTGTGGATATTTTTATCATTCACACCATGAGGATTTATAGACGCGTGCGGAAACAGACGAGGTACAAGCGGCTGTACAATTACTGCGTGATAAAATGCAGCAGCTGCAGGAAACGTTTGACGAGATTGATCAAATCGAGGTCAGTTGTTATCGCTGTTATTTGCAGATACGAGTTTCTTTATTCATTTCTTTTTTGTTGATGTTGTAGGCGATTGTCAACACTGTCAAAGAGACTTATAATGAGGTGGCGGCCAGTGTTGAAGCGGTTGAAAAAGCCGTCGCGGCCAGCCATCGTACCAAACCTCTGTTCCAACTCGTAAGTAAACGATACGTTTTGAATCCAACATGTTTGGTGGTCTTAACGTTCGCATTGAATTTTTCTAGCCTATAGCCACCCGATCTGCCACGCCCGATATTCCCGTTCAACCCTACTTTCCACCACCACCACCTGTTCAAATCTATCACACAGACGATTTATTCAATTCGAGTAATAAACCAGCCTGATACACGCATAGGCAGATACCAAAAATGGATTGGGAAGCATTGACGAGATCAAAAAACAAAATCAAGTTGTTTAGGAACCCCTTCTAAAGTGTGTGCATGCGGCCATTTAAAAGCAACCACGTCTTTTTTTTTTCTTTGGGGTGACGTTTCTAGACGGCTGAGGATTGGTCGTCCGATTCCACGTTGGTTCCATAATGCGTTGTGTTTTGATATTCAGAGTAACTGTTGGTAGGCAGGGTTTGCGAAGGCGTGGAGGCGGTTCCCGAGGGTAATGGAGATGACATGGATACAGGTGGTACCGGATAATAAGCGACTGGATATTGAGGGAAGAACTGAGGCATATTGCCATACGGCATCATTCCTTGCACAGGTATTGGATATCCAAAAGCTGGATTACTATAGCCAAGTCCATACGCTAACATCCCCGTGTCAATCGTAATGGTTTTCCATATGAGCACAAAGGTTCACCACCTTTTTGTTTTTCATTGAACTACCTACCGTCATATGAATAATTTCGTTGTCCCATCCTTTTTTAAAAATTGATCAAACAATTTCACCATGAGTTTACTATACGAATTCCTCCCAAGTCCATGACCATATGAACTTACGATCCATAGTGTCGTCGACCAGCGTTAGGATCCCCTTTGACTGATGCACCGCCTGGACCAGACACATTGGCCGCCTGCATTCCTTTAGGTCCTTGCACCAAATCATACTCTACCTACAGCGCCCGACGAAACCCCACCGTCAGATATTTATCACTGCTTCTTACGCGATCGCGCGTTTTTCACGTTCATTGTTGAACAATAAGAGTGGCCTTTTACCTGTTCACCCTGTGGTACGGTTGCATACAATAGAATAACGAATGATTGGATGAGTCACTTCATCGTCATGGCATCGAGATTTCCTTTTTTTTGTATACCTCGCCTAGACTTTTAAATCCGCCATCGTGTTGTATTGCTGTATGATGAACAAAGACTTCTAAATGCAAGTTTTGGTTAACATGGTTTGTCTGTGGCAAGCCAAATAGGGTGTCGTTGGAATAGACCAGTGACCTTCTACGTTGGATTGACCTGGTTGATCGTCAGGTATGATAAAACCGTATCCTTTGACTGAGCTGAAAAACTTCACGTGGCCTGTTTTGCGCATCGACATGACAGCTGCTTGCAAGACAACCAATGGCAAAAAACAACAGTTGCAGAATGAGTATATAAATAAACCCTTCTTCTCCACGTTTGGGTTCAGCTTACCAAACCAGAAAGTGAGAAACGAGGAAAAAGAGCGCAAAAATTATGTGATTGCATAAGCGGTTGTTAGGTCGACGAATAAGAGAGAACCATGGAAAAACCCCCCAAACCAGTGTTTCGGGTTAATTTCGGGGCCTCTACTGCACCGTAAATACATCATTCTGGTTGTTAATCCATCCGCACACTCCCAATAAACTTCCACTGTCAACGCAGGATAGTCATCACTCTTTATGTTGCAAAGACATCCGTTTATGCGTGCAGCATTGGCGTACACTATTTAGGTCTTGATGGAAACTTAGACAGTCACAAACTGACGACATCAAGCCGTTTATATTTACACCCATGTTATTAGGGATGTCAACGATCGGTGGTGCCGTGAAGCCCATCTTCTTTGTCTTTGTCTAGCAGGATCATTCCAGACTAATTTTAGTGGCGAATAGACACTAAATAGCAATGGATCGGTCTTGCAAATATGACATTGAAAAAGAAGTCTTGGCTTCTATTTTTGATAGCCGGCCAATTCTAAAAAAAATTCGAGCTCGTTGTATCTTTATTACCAAAGCTTAATCGATTTTATTCTACTTTGTTGAGAAGACACACTAGCCAGAAAAAAAAAAGTCGTCTGTTGAACCGATGCATCATCCTCTTTTTTTTTTTTCAGCGATGGGTTGACGAACAGGCTGGGGGAGAGATGAGCCCCCATTTGACTATTGACTAGTAAAATCAGAATAAGGTCGACAAAAATAGAATAATGTCAGTCATCTCCACTTGAAGTGCTTGTCCTGGATATTCGATGGTCTTGTGGCAACGATAGGCTCCCATCACGGAGGTTCGATCTGGGAATCTTCGGAAGCGCTTTGTTTGGCAATCCCTCTGGTTTTTTCATCCTCAGCGGGAGGTTCCGTCTCATCACGAAATCGAGGTGGCGGCCATTTCGGCATTCATTTCTATTCTTGTTTCCTGTAGACTGATCTTCGTTTCGCAAATTTCCCAAAGAGGGAACGATACCCGGAGCATGTGACCATTGTAATTCATCACTGCACAGCAATCGCCCATCTGATACTTGGAGTCCTCAATTACGGAGCATATGTCAGCTCCCCGACAAGACCACCATGTTGGCATGTGTGTCCATGCAGATAGTGTTACGCAAAATCGCACAAGGCACAGTTAATGTGAATAGCATGTCCTTCTTATCATTTTTGAAATCGATAGTAAAAAACCAGAGGGATTTGAAAAGGTCGAGGAGATTGGAGTGAAATACCGTGTTATTGTTGGATCATGCGTCCATGTTGATCTATTTATCCAAAGAAAATAAACATTTGCCGTTCTCTTTTACACCATCGCATCTTTATTGTTGTAATACAGATTAAAAAAAAAGAAGAATCGTGACGAAGCTGGTCTGTTTCGATTGATAACTGTGATTCAAAAAAGAGAGTTGGCAGTCTAGGCTGCGCCAATTACTTTTTTTTTTTTTTTTTTTTTTTTTTTTTTTTTTTTTACACCAGCAAGATCACATTACAGATATGTGGGTGCCGTTTTCCGAAAAAGAAAAACAAGCAACTTGGCTTGCCCCAATTGATGGGTTGCAAAAACATTGGCGTATTGTCCAAGTGTCATTTTTTTTCTTCGGGGGATATACGGAACGAATACCGTTGAATGCATAGAACATTTTGCCAAGTATTTTTTTTTTTTTTTTTTATTCTTTGAAATGCAGGAGTAGGATCTTTTTCAAAGCTTTTCAGAAATAAACAAGAATGAAACTTTGACTGGTTTATCTCACATGACGCTTTTCTCAGAAATTCGCCGCATTGTATCGTATGCACAAGGTTTAGCCAAGTTTTTTATCGACTTGTATCAACTCATTTACACATGGTCAAGTCAGGACACCGTCGTGGCTTCTGCGCTGAATGGCGACCAGTCTCTTTACCAATGAGGATGGTCTCATTTATTACGTATTTTCCCAATCGGCATCCGTGTAACCATGAACGAAGCTGCACATATCCTTTTCCGTCTGGTGGGCCAACATCACCCAATGCCTAGAAGGGAGAGACACGCACACCTTCATTCAAACGCAAGTTTTTATTCCAAGCCTTGTTCTCATGCATGGCCACGATGTTATTTCAAACATGAAAGGAGAACCGATTACAGTAATGCCCAATATGCTTGTACCGGAAAAAACCTTTTTTCGTTTATCAGAACCTCACCATCACAAGGCACAGTGCCCAGAACGTGGACAGCCCACCACCACCGGATAAATCTGTATCTGAATTTCGCATTTCAAAAAGAGAGAGTAGGCTGATGCGTACGACGCACGATATGAAAATGAATGGCATGGCTGATATATTGTTTTACATTCATCTATGGGTGGTCTTTGTCTAGTGTATAATTTGATTGCAGTCTAAGGGGATGATGAAATACATGTCTAAAGTGTACAGAGAGGTATGATGGGAAGTGTCACTATCACTTTTTCTTGCCAAAGAAATTGATGTGTCGTTGTTTGCTACGGGGAGAAAGTTGCTCGATTGATTTGTCATTGCTCGTAGAGATCAGCTCGTCGACACATCCATTCATGCTGGGTTCGGGACGGTAATAGTTGAACTCAACGCCAATCAAGGTACGACAAAACTGATGAATCATGGATTTCACAAGTTCATAACGTCGTCTTGACGATTGTCCCGTCGTCATGAACACGGGGGAATCCGTATGAGGATTGGTATAAATTACCGCGTGTTGCTTTTCAAGATAATGTAACAATAGATCCACCGCTGTATGCCGACTGGTTTCATCGTAATGTGTGGTATGTTCTCCTTTTTTTTTTAACAAAAAAAAAAAAGATATGAAGAATATCAGTAGGCGAACGCATTGTCTAGAGTTCCATGTTTGACATACCACAATGCTTGACCATCTGTTGAAAGCTATCGGTCGATAGGAATCGCATATAGCTGGATTCAAGTAATGTATAAACGGCACGCTTGGCACTGTTGAAACAGCCATCCAAATCTTTCCTCTGAAGAGCTCCCGTCACATCACGTCGTACTTTATCGTCCAAATTCACTTCAAAAAAACTTTTGCTGGTGAGATAGGTGTTGTAGATATGCTGAGCTGTCGCCAGTTGCTGAACAATGGAAGTGTAAGCAAAGCTTTCGTATTGTTCAATTTCGATAAAGAAGAACTGTATCAAGGATATCTGTGAATATAGTGGTTGTGCGTTTGCGTCATATTTATGCACTTACGAGATTTTCACTGCTGTATTCTTCCAGTAAATGGAATAAGAAGTAACACAAGGGGATTTTGGACTGTAACATGGCCTTAATGCCTTCTTTGCGAATTTCCTTGATACAGATATCGTGAGGCGCTGTTTCTCCGAAAAAGTGATCCAGTTTACGGGATGATCGGGTGGTTTTGATCTTGTACAAGGTATGAACGTCAAAGCTGGGAAGAGGAGCTGATGTGGCTCCAGTGGCGGTTATGATGCTGGTCACCGATGACGATCGTGGACGACCTGAAGAATGGATACTGTCGTCATCGACACTGAGGTGACGAGGATCCGAAGAGTGAGAATCGTTATCGTCTTGCAAGGCCAAGTCCTGAAAGAAGCTTGTGGTGCTATCCGAGAGTAAAACAGGAGTCAGGGGTGGCTGGGAAGTGTTGGACTGCGAGTTGGCAAGACTGTTCCTTCGAGACGATGCTCGGGAATCGCTCAGTAGTTCCTGCACAACCGATGATCGACGAGATTTCGAAATGGATTTCGGAGTACGAGGAGATAAAAGTGCATCACTGCAGCTGGAGGCAGTGCTCAGGTTGATATATGAAGGCCGTCGCTTAGGCTTTGTCGAAGTGGCTACGGATCGCTCGATTTGCATCGCTGGATTTTATTTTTAGGTCCGTGGACGCCACGTGAGAGATAGTAAAAAAAAAAGTACAGTAGACAGGATAAAGCAAGTAGAGAAATCAACTGCAACACACAATCAAGAAAGCGGAAGAAAAAGAGAAAGGATTAAAAAAAAAGGGGGAGAAGCAATATTCAGCTGTCCGAATCATGATGAAATAACCAAAGGTCAGGGACGTTTTCAGATTGGTAAAGGCACTAAACCAATCATTTATTGACAATAAGGTTTCGAACCAATCATACCATGCGATCCTAATTATTTTGAAACATGGATCAACCATGGACCATTGATCGCTTGTACAAGAAAAACTCCGTCTGACCACTTATGATATCATTTTCCGGCACCGATCGGCCAGCCCTCGAAGGAAAGGATCACTTTCCATCACCGCCTTTTCCAGTGCAAACGTTGCTTTTCTTCGCTTCGTGTCCTTCCAAAGCACCGACTTTTCTGATGGCACCGTTCTTAATTCGGACAGCCACATATTCTCTTCCGAATATTTGCCAAAGAAATTGCACGTTTCAATGCCCAACCATTTGTCCTTGATCTCGGCAGGCCGTTTCCGCTGACGCTCCACAGTTTTGACATCGTCAAATACCATCAACTTGGTAACGTAATTCCGTGTATAGAAATGAATGAATATCGCAGGCGAGATGGCCGAAGCTCCAGCTGCATGAAAGAAAAAAGAGAAAAAAATGGGAGGGATAAGTATCAATCAGCACGAGAAATCATTGTGAAATTTTGCTGCGGATGAAGAACATTACCGAGGACGACACTCAGTGGCGGGGCTTGTCCTGTGCTCATCAATGCTGGAACCGCACACAGGCCGCAGATACCGAATAAGGATGCTGTCATTTTATATCGTCGGATGGTTTCGGCAAACGGGCCTATAAAGTTGCTCGAGGTGAGTACGTGGTTGCCAATGACATTGGAACTAGGTTTTCGAAAATCGAGCCCATTGCCAGAGAAACATGCATTACCAATATAGACCAATGTCTTGTTGATAGCTGGGGTTTCGCCCTGGACAGGTTGTGCAATGTGTTTGTTGCTGGTAAAAACGCCTGCGGCTTTTTTAGGGACTTGAGTCGCGTAAGTGGCTTTAGAAACAGTTAATCGTAACCATGAACCGTGGTGGCCGTGGCATGCTACACGAAGCCGATTCAGCATAACCATTTAGTAACTGACAAGTGCAATGATTCAACCATCAAAGCCACCCTGCCGCCCAAACGAAAAAAGTAACAAACATTTCATATCCCGCAATTTCTATTTTAGGCATGTAACTTCTGGTTTGTATCACACTTTTGTTTTTTTTTAATGCAATCTATCTTGTGGACAATTCCATGCTATTAGATGATACATCTCTTGAAGAATCTCGATGCATAGCCCGCCTCAACCGTTCCATCCACGGTCTATTGGGTTGCGCTGGTGACTGAGAAGGAACAGATGCCTCTCGCTCAGGAGTTGCCGTTGACAGTCTCCGCAGGATCCCTAACGGATCAGATCGTACACGGTCTTGCCAGGACTTTTGTTTCACAGTTTCGGTTGGGGGTGGCGAAAAGCAATCAAATTTGCAAAGAGGACATTCGGCTGATTTGGTTTTTAACCATGGATCTAAACAAAATAAAGGAACAGACAGGATGACAGACATATCGATCAATGAAACGATCTAATAACTCGCTAGGACCTGTTTTCAATTTTTTTCTTACCTATGCAAGTGCAATGATACTCATGTTTACACGGCAATTCTCGCACCAGCTCTCCGTGCTTGAACCCCTCAAGGCAGATAACGCACGTATCATCGTCAATGTCATCTGCTTTGAATCCCTGTTCTGACACCACTGACCATCGTTTGGCTAAATTGATGGTCACCGACGGCGTCGGGGCTGGCGTGACCGTCGTCCCCGCTTGATCCATTGTCGTATTATCTGAGGTTGGTGCTCCATTAGTTGAAGAAATAGATTTTGGTTGCGCTTCGTCTTCGTCTTTTTGGATAATGCGAGTGGGCAGTTCGTCAATCTGTTTTTGATCCAGGACGTGCTTGCCCATCGGTAGCATCTCCGGTGGGGGCGGTATGAGTCCTTCCTCCACCATTCGTCGTAGACGTCGATTCTTTTGCCGTAAACGAAAGTGCATGGCCACTAGCCAGTTACCGCACCATGAATTATTTAATCTGATCCCGGAAGAGAATCAAGCTGAAATTTTTACCTGAAGCGAAAAAACTCACTGCTAAAAGGACAATCATAATAATCAATGTAAGTTCCCATGGATTGGCAGTCCCTGAATCGGCGGGCATCATCAGAATTCTCACAGCTTGTTTGCTGTGATTTCGATTAGAAATGTCTTCGGGTACTTTGGCCACAAGTTCGAGGCGATGAAGTAGTTGAAACCCCAAACGATTATTAATGCAATAGGCTGGAATGGTAACATTAGAATTGGGTGGAATAAGCTGATATTGCGCCGAGAATGAATGAATAAAAAAAAATAGACAAGAATAAGAGAGAGTGAATTTACTGGTATGAAAATGTCATGAGGCCGACAGTTTTTCTTACCACGGTATTTTCTGGATTAATGGAATTATTATTTTCTGCATAGACAATGGCGCCGATAGCTCCATCCAACTGGGCCCAATTAAGTTTATCGGCAAAGGAACATGGCCCGCCGCTTTGGATGAGGGCAATTCTGGGTATATCATTATTATCGTAAAAGAGGGAGGATGAGGTTTGATTCGGAGACGAACAAGCCAATCCTCGGTTGTACAAAATGCCCCTGAGACCACTCTTGCTAGGTTGAGTGAGGTTCATGACGGGCTGAATATCCTCATCGTAGCTGATGCTAGCGATATCGGCACTGGTATGCTGGATGGACGACGAATTGGAGTAGATCCATACAACGTCTAAAAAAAGGGCACAGAAAACAGTAGGATCATCATAATTTTTTAATGAGGCTACATAAAAATGGACGATCACTTTTTTTTTCGTACCTTGAGTAATGGAAGGTCTCGATAGTTGGATGAACAGATTCCCACAGACACATGGGGACATGACTATGAATAAAAGAACGAGCCAGTGTGCGTGAAACCATGGTATCATTATTTATAAGATGCAGTAAAAGCAAAACGGCGGCGAAAAATAGTAAGTGAGCAAGCAGAGAGCAGGGAAAACTTTAGAAAACAGAAGGAAAAAGGCGAAAAAAAGACAAAAAGGCGGAGGAGAAAGGGTGAAGGAAAGGAGTTGAATTAAGAAAATAGAGATGACTAACTGACTTTGTACAATTGACCGCACCAAGGGAGAAGGAGAGTAAGTCAAAATACAATCGATTATTTTCTCACTTGTAGATACTCTTTTCCTTCTTTTTCTGGATTCCCTTTTTTTTTTTTATTACTATGATCACGTTTAGTTTGTGGTTTATGCTTTTCATTTGGCTCTCATTATTCTGCACCATCCTTTTGTAATTACATCGATACACACCATACGATATAAATCTTGTTGCTACCTTGGCAATTCTTTCAGTTGACTACCTTTCTGCGTCTCCCCTTGGGAGATCCAATTGAGGGACCTTTGTGTAACGCTTAAGCCGACTGACGGGAACCGAGTCGATCTTCCAGACCACAAACATGACCAGCATTAGAATGATGCATGTCTTTCCTCTAGAGGTGCATGTTGTTGACTGCACAATCATTATAAAAAGATATTAAAGAGTAAAGGTATTGCTTCGTCCCATGATCATTGCATTTTTATTTATCGCCATTGAATTCCACTGAGCGTTTGTATGCATTGATGAATATTTTGCATGAAACATTTCTGCTTGCACATGGTAACTCATCAGTTACTGTCAGCATATGAAAAGTTTTTTTTATTGATTAGAACTGCTTATCTACCTGAAAAAGACTGTTATTCATAGATTGGGTTGTTCGTACTTGGCACCATCATCCGTTACTGTGATACGTTGTCATGACCATGTTAAACTCCGTTCATCAATGTCAAATTATTGATCTCTTCCGATTTCTTTATCCTATGGGCAACATTACATACCAACATTGGTAAAGGACGGTGCACCCTGCCATGATTGCTGCTGAGAGCACCACCGATCGGAATCTGAAATTGACATTTCGCTGAGGTGATGTGAAGCCACATGGGGCTGGTTGCTGTGAGATGGAAACGACAAAATCAACTTGTTTTTTATTGGGATTTACACATCTTTTTCTCGCTATTTAAGCCCGTGTTAGTTATTGCAAATTTGAGATAGCAAGTCTATTTACAAAGGTGGTGAGGGCAAAAAATTATGTTCATCAAATCTTAGTCAGATTTTGGTGTTTGGGCCACCAAGTCATGTAATTGGATGCGGCGATTGTCAAATGTTTCTGAATTGTCTCACTTTTTTTTTCCATGTTAAAGATCGGATTTCCCCTGGGAACGATCTATAAATATTTGCGGACGGTTGCAGATTGTATCGTGTGCCTCATCATTCTCTTTTTTTTTTCTGATTTTCTATTGACCGCTATTAATTAACGTTATGAGCGGTACAGTATTGGCAATTGTTGCCATTGCACTGTCAGTTCTGGTACTGGCTTGTACGTCCTATGCCACGTTTAAAGTTCCATTATTCCGGACACGGGGCTTGGCTCTCAGTGCCTGTTTCTTTTCTGTCATTGAAGCCGCATTACTTTGTGCTTTATGTGGAAATGCATACGCCAGCACTTCTTATGTTCTTCAAGCCTCAGGCACAGTCGTGGGCTACTTATCGACCTTGTTCACATGGATGGTTCTTTTCGACACCTTACTGCTGAATAAGCATGCCTCCATGCAAAGTAAATGGATCCCATATTCGGCATGGTTCGCCGCCATGGTGGCCATTGCTCTCGGAGGCAGTCGTGGTGGCATGCAAGTAAAGGCACCCTACAGCAGCCGTTCGTCCTTCATCGCATTGAATATTACCGCCATGTACTTTATGTGGATATTTGTGATCCTCTTTACTGCAGCCGCCATACGTTGCCGTCGCGATATTGCCCATTTTAGGTCGTTCGTCATTTGTGGCGCTCTTCTCAGCTTAAATCCAGTATACCAATTTGTCTTGACGCTCTGCAGTCTACCCAGCAACAACACATTGTTAGATCATGTTTCCGTCCTGTTCGGTCTCACATTCGTCTTTGGCAACGTCGGTCGATATGTGGCGTTAATCATCGCTTCCTGGTCTAGCCACCATTGGCTCCGACCCCCGAGAACATACACTGTTACCAAGGAGGAGGTAGATGATGGTATCATTGTAAAAGAATACGATTAATCATTACCACCAGTCATCAAGATGTGCCTTTTCGGACCTATACTTCTAAATAATTTTTTGTAATATCCCTTTATTGTATTTTATGCGAAAAAAAGCAAACCACCATAACGTCTACTCATACTTTTACAAATAAAGCCTTTCTCTATGACATATGAACTCGCTTATGATCATTATGTATCCACAATCGCAGGTGTCGCAAGTACAGCGGCAAATGCCTCGCACGAATTTGACGTCATCAAGTGGATTATAGTTGGTGGTGGGTAGCACAGTTTCCCGACCGTCCACCGGCAGCTTTCCATTCGTTGACCAATGAATCATCAAGAGACATTTGATAAAGGTGTGGAATACCGCTTGCAAGGCAACGAGGCCTTTAAAAAAGGCGAATATCAGCAAGGTACTGTCAGTTGCTCCGAGTCATTTCGATTGATTCCTCATGTACTTTTTATTGCCATGGTGATTGAACAATTATGCAACAGCGCTAAGGAGTTACTATCACGCAATTTTGCATTTACGCACGGTGGGTGGCAATGAGAAAAAGGACGAATTCAAAGAAGCATCTGAAAAGCAGCTGGTGACGATTTACAACAACATGTCAGGTAAAGTTACCTAAAGTTGGTGTAGTAGGTCACATCCATCTGTCTAAAATGCGATGGTTTTTGGCCTATCCGTGATTTTATAGCCGTGTACTCCAAGCAAGACAAATGGGACCGTGTTCTGGAATATTCTCAAAAGGTAGGCAGAGGCAGAAGCAGATCCCAAGCCAAGCAAAATCAATACATCATATTGAATCATTGAACATATTTTAGGCCCACTCTCTGGATTCGTCCAACATTAAAACAAAGTTTCGTTTGGCTCAAGCATATTTACGGCGGGGTGATGTCGACCGCGCCAAACCACTTTTGGAAAGCTGCCTGGAGAATAATCCCAATGGTAACCACGTGCCCAAAGCGTCTAGTAGATCCAAAATTTAATGAAAGCACACCATGTTTTGGCTAATGCTTCCTTTTTTTGGGTTGCAGATGGATTGGTGAAACAGGAGATGGCGCAGTTGAAGAAATTAGAACAATCCCAGGAGGCCAAAGAAAAGTCGGTCTATCGAAACATGTTTGCGAAACTCCAAACGGACAAGTGATCCTGATCCTGTAGACAAATGATCCTTGAACAAGGTTTTAAGGTTTCCAAAAATTGGCCAACTGTATACACACTTTTTTGTCCATTTTTGCTTGTGGAATGAGTTTGTTTTTTTGGATATTAGTTATGATTCGGTGAGGGCAATCACCATAATAAAACATGCAAACAACATAATCAGTAGAGCCATACTGTATCCCATCCAACCATGCCCCACGCTAAATAGTCGATGAACAATTCTACGCTGATTTTTGAAGTAATTCAATACTGCCGCGCAAATGCTGACCAGGCCCAAACCGACGAATATACATGCAACAATTCTGGCCTTGGTCGGCACAGCATCCTCGGTCCACGGGAGTGAGTGAGCAGGTGCAAAATGCTTGGTTGGTAAATCAAGCAATGTCATGAAACCTAAACGGTGGACGGTTAAATGGACGGATTCACTAAACAGGACCATTTCGAATGGTCACCACGGGCAATTTCCCGGTGCATTTACCAATGAGACAAAGGGTCATGCCCGTCCGTAACCAGGTCAACATATTGCGTTCATTCGCAAAGTGATCCCGCGGATCAGGGCCTTCAATCTTGGTGTGTATAGATAAATCCAGGTATTTGTATACTTTTGAGCATTGCTGATTATTGCAAGCGATAAATCGTTTCGGCAAACGGGATTCAAGATTCGACATGGGAACAATACAAAGACGGAGGTTACCGGAAATAAAGCATACAGCCGTTTAGATCAAGAAAGAAAAATGAGAAAATCGAACAAAAATTTGAGAATGCACAAATAAGGAAGATGAGGGATGCACGAGAACCAAAAAATAAAGGTGTGGCAAGAAATGACAGCATGGAACGTATTATCATCAAAACGGAGTCCCAATAAAAAAGTGAAATGAAACATCATTACCATGGTCACAGGGCCATTGCTTCACCAGCGGAATATTGTTCCCATCGCATCATCCTGCTGAAAAGCTTTATCGTATCCAACATACGAGCGGTGTAAAAGGCGACCTTTTTCTGACTCATCGTTTCCAGAATCTGTAGATGCACATGCATGTGTTATGCATGGACGAGTAAAGGTGCAATTTCAAATAATATTTTGCTTTCGTCCTTTTCTTTTTTTTTTTCTCTTTTTGGCTGAGCAAATTTAACGATATTTTACACATACAAGTATGATACAAAAAGGCACTACGATGGATATATGGTATACAATAAAATGAAAAAAAAAATCAGAGTGGAATAATGGGGAATGAAATTAAGCATATAAGATTCTGTAATGGGGAGGTTGGGGGGGGGGCTTTAACAACACCAGCGATTGTACCAAGTGCGTTTTCTGTTTTTTCTTTTTTCATCCAGTTCTAGTTGGCGAGTGATATGCAATTCGTTGGGATACCACCATTGATGAATGAAATTGATAATAAAGCGTGGTAAAAATGCGAGAACGATAGCAATGAGAAAGGTCATCCAGAAAGTTCCTTGACCAAACACCATGTATGCCATCCCGTACAATGAATTGGAGGAAAATGCGCCATAAACGACAATCCAAAGAAACGTGATGACCATTTCAATACCAACAGCCAGAAACTGAATCCAGGTCCAATAGTAGGTATTGAAACCCGGGATAGCGTTTGCCAAAAAGATGGCAGTAACCGCCACCGAGGTGGAAAACTGAAGCATGGATTCCGGATGGCCATTGGAATTCGGATCGCTTTCATACAAGAAATAAAAGGCATAGAATACGACGAGCGATTGCCAAATAGCATCGGCAAAATACAGCCAAAATCGGTACTTGGTGTACAGTTTTCGTCGAATGCCAATATTGTAAACGGTAGGATATCGCATGAGATAGGGAGCCGTGATATCTTGATCAGTACAGCCTATTGCAATACCCAGATGCGATTAATGTATCGCACAATGGGCACCATTTTTTTCTTTCTTTCTATATCCACATACCAAGAACAATGATGGGCGCCAGGGTAAAGATGATATTGTACAATTGCAGGAATGAGTAGTCATAAAAGATGTTCCCGGAGAACCGACTGTAGATCTGATACCACAGCGAAGGAAATACCCAAAAGATATTCTTGAAAAAGAAATTCAGAATGCCTTCCGCCACACGCTCGTAGCTCCAGTGGCCTTGAACCAATAATAGCTTTTGCAGGAATCGAAACTGGGCGATGGCGTAGTCGGAGGCCATGGACGCTTGCACGCCTTCTTGGCCTGCAATACCAACGCCGACATTGGCGGCTTGAATCATGCTGACATCGTTGGCGCCATCGCCAACGGCCAAGGTAACGGCGCCTTGACCTCGACGTACAAGTTCGACGACCAGTGCTTTTTGGAGAGGACTGACGCGGCAACAGATGACGCTTTTACACAGTAAGCCTATCTCGAGCAATTTGGCTTTATTTTCATCCGAGTTGAATGCATGGGCTAGCGCAGAACCTTCAATGATGAGCGCGTGTTCTTGCGAGGTATCTTGATCGCTTTTATTGATCCCGTCTGCCACTTGCTCGAGTTCTTGAATGACATCATCGGCATTGTCGCTGCCACGCACGGTCCACAACTTCATTTCGCTGTCCAAAAGATTGCTTGCATAACCAATGTTGATGGCCGTTTCCAGCTTATCACCGGTAAGCACCCAGATCTTGATCCCGGCTATGCGCAGATTTTCGATGCATTGCGGCACACCTTCCTGCAGTTTATCCTCGATACCAGTAGCTCCCAAAAGAATCAGATCACGCTCAATCCTGTCTTGGAGCACTTCCATTTTCTCCTGACGGCCTTCGACGGCCGTGTTGGCATTCTCCATTGCCTCATTCCACTTTTGATACTCGTTCTCATCCATGGTGCGCCAAGCAATGACCAGCGTTCTCAAACCGTCGTTGGAAAACTGGTCGATATGATCTTGCGTGTTTCGGATAATGTCTTCTTGGCCCTGTTTGGCCAAGCGTTCCATGACCACATTGTCGGCTCCTTTGCAGTACAAGACAATATCGTTCCAGGGAGCCGGTCGACGTAAGATGACACTCATGCGTTTGCGTGTGGAATTGAACTCGAGCACGTTGAGCAATTCAAATTCGTAGTCTTGGCCAAGCATATTCATCGTGAGCTTTGTTCGATTCCGCTGTACAAATGCAAATCCGATATCCTTTGCAGCGCCCACCAATGCGGCCTCGTCAGGTGACTCGGCTTTATATTCAAGATGCTGGATGACGGTGTTGTCCAGATTTTTCAGTCGATTGGCGCTTGCAATGGTTTCGACACGGCTGCTGTGTCGTCGCAAAGGCGGTTCGGGGGCCTGTTTCGGAGATCGTCGAAATAAGCTTCGAAACCATTGATGCGGTTTGGAAATTGTTTGACGTAACGATGACGACGTTGAAGACGATTTCTTGGTATTGTTGCGCGCGTTTTGATCCTCCATGGATTTTGACGGCTCCGATTCCTCATTCTCCAGCACTTGGGGCTGCACTTTTTCGCCTACCTCTTCATCATTGACATCATCTGGTGCATCCTTCATCATCGGCCTTCCTTCAGCGTCTAATTTTTCCACAATGACGGTATGACATAATGACAACAGTAAAAAGAATTCTTGGACCAATTGTCGCTGACGTGAGGCGTTAGCGTTTTCGGACTTGGAATCTGGTTGCAGATCATGAAAAACGCGGGGATCGGCAAAGGATAACCGTTCAGGATCTAGAGAAGCGTACTGAGGAGTGAAAATGGAGCGCATTGTTTTCTCGTATTCCTGGAAGATGGCGTTTCGTTTTTGTACATGTTCCAGCATTTGCCTCTGCTCGTCTTCCTTTTCGGATATTTCCTTTTGTTTGGCTGTGCCGAGTTCTGCAGCATCCGCGTTGGGAAACGGCTGCTGCTGCTGCCCTTGTTGTTGTTGCTGTTGCTCTTTACGTAATCTTGCACCTCTAGCGCCTTCCGTTTCCTTGGCAAATCCGTTATCTCCGTACTTTTGTCCTCCAATAGAACATTCGCGAAATTCCATAATATTTCTCGTAAGCGTGCCCGTTTTGTCCGAAAAGATGTATTCAATTTGACCCAGATCATCAGATAAATTCCACTGACAAAAAAAAGATGGATTCGACGATGAAAACGAGGTGAGACTCAGATACACAACAGTAGTTCTGTCAGTGACTTACCGATTTGGGAATGCAACGCTTTTCTGATTCCTCGTCCCACATATCCAAGTCATTCCAAATAAAATACGCCTATCAAAAAAACGAATGGGACGGCGTCAGCAAGGGTTCATGGTTCCATTCCTAATAGCCTACCTGAAGCGTCTTGATGAATTCGATAGATACGTAAAGAGAAATGGGAATAATATTCTGGAAAATAATCAAGCTCGCCCTGGAAGGGAGGCCAAAGGTTTGAGTGAAATGATGTTCTTTGTTTTCTTTCGCGTCAATAAATTACCAGAAATTCGTGAAACCCACAAATGCTGGTGATCCCGATTGCCTGGTATACAATTGCGACGCAGCGTCACGGTCATCACTCGCCTTTTGGACCCCGGCCATGATGGCACAGACGAGACAAAGAATAAACAAGACCAAAAATGCAATGAGGACCTAAAGGCAATCATAAATGAACGTGCGGTAAGCAAAAAGGACCAAGCGCAGATCATCGAACAAAAAAAAAAAAAACTGAGACAAAGTGTGATACCTCTTCATTCATCTCCTTTTCAATTTGACTCCGCTTGCTCGGCGTCTCGCCCGAATTCAGCATGATCCTCGTATCTGTGCCAGTGAAAATAATGGCAGCGATTGCCCATTCGGTATTTCGAATCACATGTCCACGGAGCAGCATGTTATCAATGGTGAGTGGCACTTTGGTTTCTTCAGAAAAACGGGCGTTGTCGTCTTGGGCGAGTTGGGTGAGTTTGACGAGCGTGCCTTCAAACGAATAGAGATCCGGCGACGGCGCTCCACATTCGACGTAAAAGTGACACTGATCGAGACATTGCTGACCTGACTGAATGTGGGTGAAGGCAGGTACGCCATGACGAGGTTTGAGGTTGGTCTCTCCGTCGAGATCCTTAGTTTCGACAAAACACAGACCAGTTTCGTCGGAGCTGGACAGCAATACCGCGTCAGCGGGGCAGCTGTCGCCGTTGCGCAGTAGAATGAGATCACCGACTCGTACGTTCATGGATAATGATTGGTTGAATACTCCTCGTAAGTTGGGATCTTGATTTTCGTCGTGGCCGATCGGTAAAGGTGCATGTTTTTGAAAAGTATACCAAGGCGTGTGTTGGTTATCGTGAGCGGGATAATTGGGGTTGTCGTAACCTATGAGGGTATGAGTGGGTGTCCCGTTGAAACGAGCATCCACCTTGTGACGTTGCCAGTCTTCGAACCCGTCCTTAATGGCGCTAATGGCAACCACGGCACAAATGGGTAAGAGCGTGAGTGCCGGTGACTTGACGCCAAAATAGGGTAAAAGTTGTAATATAGCCATGAATAAGAAATAAATGTTGGCGGCTCGTCGAAACTGTTCAAACAGATTCTTAGGAACAAAGGTGAGAAGTGTATACTTGGAGGTGCGAATTTTGTTGGAGACGTAGGTTTGTTTGGGTCGTCCGTGTTTGTCGATCTCGTATTTCGGTAAAGGGAGGTTGACAAAGACACGACGACCACCTTCGGGAATCCGCCTTAACTTGACTCGAGTGCTGGAACGTCGAAGCCCTCTCGAAGAAGGGCGTCGTGATGCTTTGGACTGGGTAGAGCTGTGTCTACGTGGTGCCAAACCGGGCCCCGGCGTCGATCCCATCGAGACGGCACTACTTCGACGGGACATGACTTCTTCATAATTTTCATCTCTGGCAGAAGTGGTGTGGATATCATTTTTATGAGTTTTCCTCCAACGCCTTTCATGATACCAATCGGCAAGAGAACCCAAGTAGGTCATAACCCTATATATATGTATGTTATATATATATATTTATATATATAAGGGACTTGTAGATCAACCAATTATAAAAATAAATAAATAAAAAAAAAGGCGCTGGAAATCAATAGAAAAAAGAAGTGTGAAAAATACAAATCAAGCGAGGGGAGTTTTTTTTTTTTTTTCTTGACGAAAAAGAAGCGGGGTTTACCAGAATAGAAACAGATCTGTGAAAGGCAATGGACACCAAGCCAGACTATTCCATTTATCGTAGGTGAGCGTGATACAATATTCTCCTGTGTCATCGTTCGATGGTTGGGCTACGTCAAAAAGAAAAAAGAGCGATTATCAGAGCATTCGTATCACCATCCAACCATTTAGATCTTCCTTCCGTCAGCTCTCGGTCCATCAAAAGCTAAACTGTATTGATCCCTTTGATTTCTTTCTCAGCCAATCGCCGACCGCGTAGATCGATGTTGTAAGTTCTTTTTCAATGACAAACAATGATCATCATCCTCTTTGTTGACCCAAAAAAATTTTTTTTTTATTTTTTTTTTCATCAGGTTTGGCGAGTTTACATTTCTCACTCTGTAAAAATCAGACTTTATGAAATATGATGGTCTATTTTTCCTCGGCAGTGTGTGAGACTTATGGGCCCCGCACGTGAATCAGCCATGAAATGACGATAAGAACTGCAAAAAAAAAGTATACATGAAACTGGAATGATCGTGTCTCGGATGCAGTGCGCTTGTAATATCCGGAACGCCACTGAAGTTGAGGAGCCTGGATCTTCTTTTCCCAAGGACTCCATCGTGACCAATCATCGTTTGAATAACGAGACGTGACAGAAGCCACTCGATTCGATTCAAGCAACCCACTTGGGGTAATTTTTTTTTCTTTTGTCACCGATTGGGTCACGCTGTCTGATTTTCATCCCAAAAACAAGCAAACAACTTTTAGACGCAGCAACAAGAGCTCTTTCGCAGGTCGCCCCAGCCCATCTAACAAAAAAGGCCGACAAAAAGGTATTAAATTCTGTGTGACATGATGTCGATATACTGAAGGCGGTGATAAAAAAAACCTAGACATTGACTATACGCTTGGTGAAAGGGGAAAAAAAAATAGTCCTGACTACTTAAATTGGCTCCGAAGCACTGCAGGATCCATAACGCATTATGGGACCAAAGCTGCATAAAATCATTTGACAGTAAGCAATGCTGTCCATGATGTGCTGTGTGCCAGCTGTTTAGCAATATGAGCCCCAGGCTATTTTCGTAATATTGTCACCAACATTGGGTGTGCTTCCCAAGAGGATACATCGATTTTCAATAATAAGAGGATTAGGTATTCTCAGAAGAAAGCAGAACGACAAGAAACCGGGTCTACAAATCAAGTATATAACTGAACCAAACTACAAGCGCTATCCATCATATATGCACATACCAAGCGAAGAAGTACTGTACTGTGATGCTTATTCGCACACTGAACTCCAAATATCAGACAAACCTTGAAAGATAGTGGCAATTTGATCGTCTCTCCTTACTTTTTTTTTATTTTTTACTTGTGCAAGAGCAACATGAAGGGAAGTACCTCCAAACAATCCCTTTCCTTGATGATAACAACTATTAATTAACCATTTCACGTTTGTACCTACAAGCCGTGTTATTGTACCGTATAAGCTATCCAGAGCTGTCCAGTTCAATAGGTGTGCGGAATTTCAGGATTCACACACCGCCGGGATTCAGTCACGAAAGACGGTGGGCACTGCGCTCAATTTGCGTTCATTTTTCCCTTGACTGGCCAACTGAGCAATGACAGAAGCCAACGACTTTGAATCGTCCAACGAGGCCGAATTGGCTCGTTTGATGGAACTGCAGCGACTTGAACAACAAGCGTTCTTGAACCATATTGACTTTAACGACATTGACAGCGATGCTAGCGATTTCGATGTTCGTCGACGTTCCTCTACTTCCGCTGTTCTTCGTCCGCCCATGCCCGATTTACGTTTTGGCCAACAGTTCAATAAGACGGTTGAAAATTTACAAGCCAACGGGGCTTCCGGCGCCTCTATATTCTTCTCAGCCGTCATCAAAGATCAGATCATCATTCCTTTTGTCAGTGGCTTCACATGGAGTTTAGGCTCGCATCTTTGGCGTTGGTACCGACCGCGTAGAAAACCCGTCAATGCCGGAAATAGCAATGGAAACGGCTTCCTTACCCGTCTTTATACACGATTTTCTCTTTGGGCATCGTAAGTGAAGCAAAAGTGGAACAATCCTCAATTTGTGCCCGCATTTTAATCTTGCTCTTAGAAATACCTACCATACCTTGGTTCGCCTTCCATCCATCGTTCCAGAAATCAAACAAACCATCACCTCTTCCTGAATAAACCAATAAAAGAAAAAAGACACCAATTCGACGAGAGAAGAAATGGAAACAAAGACAGAAGACAGAAGAGGGGTCATCATGAACTCTTTTGCACTTTTAATATGAATTGCTTTTCTCTGCCCGCTCGACGCTGCATGACAATCTCGGCTTGTAAGCCATAATTTGCCCGCAGAATCTCGGCTACCTCGGTCGGCTTGTTTTCATTGATCAATAATAAATAGAAAACGCCTTTAGGCGACAACAGTTTCTGGAAAGAAAAATGCATGTTAAGGACTCCATCTCGGACCACCCACTGCAGCTGCATTATTTACCTCTACATAGGGAAGCATGGCATCGATCACTTGTCGACCATCAATACCCCCAGCCCAAGCGGCTTCGATCCCAACACTACCGACCTCTTCCGGAGGCGTCACTGCATATGGGGGGTTGAAACAGAGGACATCCACTTGACCAGCAAGTCGCGGTAATAAGGCTTCTGTCAACGAGGTTCGTACAGGTTCAATGGTGTGAATGGCATTGCGAACGGCGGTTTCTCGTGTCGCTTTGCAGGCATATGGGTTAATGTCGGTTGTAAAGTAAACTAAACAGTGGCAACTTTTGTTTTTAGATTTTTCTTTCACGGCACTCTAAATATAACTCCAAAACAGTGAAGGAGGCCAAGCCATTTCTTACTTGCGTTGTGGGCGCCAATGATTTTCGCCAGTAAAGTGGTAACGCAACCTGAGCCCGATCTAAGTTGTTTGGCCACCCTGTTACGGCTGGGCGCAGGCAGATGGATACATACAAAATAACACTTACCCGATCTCCAGGCAAACACGTGGCTGAAGATCCTGCAGCTGCGAAGCATCCTCTTCCAGGCAATCCAGTAGCAAGAATGTATCCTCTAAGGGAAGAATGATCGAGTTTCTTTTTTAGTGCCATGACCATGGCTGGTCAGTGGTGAGAAATGACACGTACCAGCAGGTTCGTATATTCTGTCAAAATCCTGACTGGTCAGGTGGGAAAGATCGGGAGTGGGGATCATGGGTGAGGGAGTAAATATGAGTCACTGTTGCTGAAAACGGTAGACAGCTCTGCTGGTGCACAGTTGATTTCGAGGTGCTTTGAAGTTTACTGTTATGAATAGGGAAAATAAAAAAATTGATGCGTTCACCGGGCTCAAAAAAAAAAATTCAAAAAGAGCAAATCAGCCGTATGCAAGCTGAGCTGTTTGTTTGTCAATGCCGAAAAAAAAATATAAGACATATAAGAAGGGCAAGCCCAGGCACATTATAACTTGCATCATTTTGTGGTTGTTGCCATTGATTTATCCTTCTTTCCGCTTTTTTCTGATTTTTATCTTTCATCACTTCTCATGGTCGACGTACGAATTCAAGGCTATAACGCTTTATTGAGCCCCTCTTACATTTCAGAGGAATTCCCTATCGTAAGTAGCAGGATATCGGTTCTTCTCATGTCTTTCTCGGCTGACCGAGCCGCCGTTTCGTCGGGATGGGTCTATCATTTTAGTGTGAGAAATCCAAGGAAACGGTCTTGTTGGCAAGAGAAGAGATTTCCAACATCATTCATAAGCAAGACGATCGTCTTTTTGTCATTGTGGGACCTTGCTCGATTCACGATACTATTGCTGCCAAGGAATACGGTGAGTAAGACGGGACGTCTGGGATCTCATGATTGGGGTTTATCACGCATTGGACGGGTTATGAATGAAATTTTTTGTATTAGCCAATTTATTACTCGGGGCCAAAGAACGGTTCAAAGATGACTTGGTCATTGTGATGCGCTCTTACTTTGAAAAGCCGAGAACCACCGTGGGTTGGAAAGGTCTCATCAATGATCCGGATATCGATGGAAGGTAGGTCATTCTCTCTCCCACTCTCTGGACTCCAATGTCTGATTCAATTTCGTATTAATCCATCAAATGTTTGCGGGTTCTTAACATGATGTCAGTTATGATATCAACAAAGGGCTACGAATTGCTCGTGGTTTGCTGCAGGAGCTGACGAAAATGGGAATCCCTGTGGCCGTGGAACTACTCGATACCATTTCACCCCAATACTTGGCCGATTTGATCTCTTGGGGAGCCATTGGTGCTCGCACGACCGAATCACAGCTGCATCGTGAACTGGCTTCGGGAAGCTCGTTTCCCATTGGTATGAAGAATGGTACCGACGGAAACCTCACCATTGCCATTGACGGTATTCGTGCCGCCAACGTTCCACACCACTTCCTTGGCATCACTCGTGCCGGTGTGGTCGCTATCACACATACCACCGGTAATCAAGATTGTCATGTTATCCTGAGGGGAGGCAATCAAGGCCCCAACTACAGCGCTGAACATGTCCAAAAGGCCAAAGCCCAGCTGGAAAAGGCCAATTTACCGGCCGCCTTGATGGTCGACTGTTCACACGGCAATTCCAACAAGGACCACCGCAACCAACCCAAAGTTGCAAAAAGTATTGCTGATCAGGTCGCCGCCGGCGAAGAATCCCTGGTTGGCGTCATGATCGAATCGCACCTGCACGAAGGAAAGCAAAATGTTCCCGCTGACGGTCCCATGGCATTAAAATACGGCGTGTCTATCACAGATGCTTGTATTGACTGGGATAGTACCGAAGACGTGCTCGAAACCTTGGCCGATGCAGTGAAGGCACGACGTGCATTACGTCAACAGTTGAGAAACTAATGATGATGGCCCAACCACGTATAGAGATAATCCCATGATCGCCATTCATTATTTTCTTTCATCTTTATGCTACTTATGTTATATCTTTTACTTTGTATAAATCAAGAATAAAAACGCATAAAAGAACATGAAGAATCACAACAACGAAAAATCATCAAAAATACAATGCTGTTTGATATACCTTTTTATTAATTAAAAAGTTGAAGATGTCTAAAAAAGAAAGGAAAGAAAAAAAAATGATGGGGTTTTTATGCGATTTCGTTGGAAGTTGCACGTTCAAGTGCAGGTTGGATTGCCTTGATTTTTTCCATCAACACATTGACTGCAAGACCGAATAATTCTTCAGGGGGATAAATGCCTGTGGATTCCACTTTGACTAATATGAATCACACCCATTTTGTCAGCCACTGTTCAATTTTTCTTTTTTTTTTACCGGTGTTGCATGAATTTTGGTATGAACTTACAGATAAAATGATCTCGCACGCGGGTCAGTCGAACTTTGTTCTCAAATTCTTTATGTCGAAGCACTTCTCTGCTGACGGTATCCTTGCGCGCATTCACGACCTTGGCTATTTTTTCTCCATTTTCCTCAACCACGTCCACAACGCCTTCGGGGAAGCATTTCTGGAATTTGTAAGCATCGTCACCGGTGATGGGTTTCAAAATGGTGATTTCCGGCAAAATGCGGTAAGAAGCTGTACCGACAGGCGACCATTTAGCGTGTTCTTGACCAACACCCTTGTGGCAATGTAATTCCATATCGACTTCCTGTCCCGGTCGAAGTTTGGCAATCAAAATATCATCGAGAACAGGTCGAATTGGCGCTTCCTTGAATCGCTCGGCCTGGTCACCCTTGGGTTCCCATACCAAATCTCCGGAATATACTGCGGAATTGATGTATTTAACGGCAGGATCCGTCTCATCGGGAGAAGCATCGGGATTACGTTCACATTTTTTCTTCAGCTTGAATACAATCGTGTTCAAATCGGTCGGTCCCTCTTCGTCTACAGATGCAATAATTGTACGTCAGCCAAACTGCGACTACCTGCGCCAAATCAATTAGTATCGTACCAGACTTATATTCGAAATGTTGAGGATCGGCTTTGATAGGGATCAAGCCTAAACGGTGTGCCAGCACTTCATCCTGAATAATCGATGTGTTGTTCATGATGTACACTTTTTCAATGGCCATGGTAGGCACCTGTGATTGAAAGTTAGTCCCTCCGGTTACATATCGATTTTTACTTGGAGAAAAAAAGAACATTTACCTCAGCAATGAGGATTCGACGGAAAGCGTTCGCGATGGAAGCATCGACACCGACGAGATCGAATTCAATGTCTGTGTCTGTGACTTGGTTGATCTTGAGTTTAAAGTTCTGCAAAAAGTAGGTTCAACGTAAGAAAAAAAGATCGCTCCTCACCCATAACAAAGTATATACCTTTTTGAATTGCTCCAGATTCCATTCGAGATTCAAGCCAGGATATTGATGAGGATAATCACTGCCGCTGACCTGAAAGTAGGTTGAATTAGTCCCAAATCAAGCCAGAATCGTTTTTCTGTCATAAAAGATACACACACTAGTCACTCGGTCGCGTTCCACAATCACTCGAGTGCGTAACAATTCAACGTTTTCAGGGAGTTGTGACATGCTGCTTTTTTCCTGGCACAACCTTTTGGTCAGAGAGATATTCAGCAGAATTAAAAAAAAAAAAGACGAAAAAAAAAAAATTTGTGACCAGCAAAAGAAATCGCCACAATCTGCCAAAAAAAGAGCGACCAGTATTGATTAGAAATCCGACATGTCATTACCGCTTTTGATCCTGCAAAATCCAGTTGCCTATTTGCTCTATGAACCAAATACAAGTACTTGAAAAAAGGTCACATTCTTATGAAAAAGCTTTTCAACACTGTCTTAACATTGTTATGGCAAATATTGTCACAAAGCACCTACTAATATTCCTGGTGCATTGAGTATGCTCAAGTAGAATCTGTTGGACTGATCCATTCAATGTGGTTCTTTTTTTTCTTCTCGAACAATGACAAAGGGGATTGGCAACTGCTGGTTTTTTTTTTGGCGGCTGCCGGGACTATGTTGTCGTTTAGTTATTAAGCACACCAGCAATGATGTATTACTCAGCAGTGCCATGTAGTTCCGGAATAGGCAACTTCAATGCCTGAAGCAAGATTATTTCAAGTCCAGAAATATTACAGCGGCTTGACATTTGTTTCATGTGGCATCAAAGGAGCATGACATATTTATATGTGCAAGTGAATGCATTCTTTGCTGTGGCCTGCATTATGATTCAACCCCAAGTGCCCATTTTTTTTTTCGTGACAAAATGGGGACCCCCTTATTCCGTGTCAGCAGTTTCTGATTGGATGCTGCAACAAGGGAATCGGGCACCAAAAAAGTGCCAAAAAACAGAAAGTCACGGTGCACAAGGGCGGTCCTTCAAATCATCCGGAACGCATTCATCTTTTTTCAAGTCGCTTTCCAAGACCGTCTTCTGAGAAGCTAGTAGATGAGGTGTTGAATTGAAACCTTTTCATTAGCCAACACCCCATAAAAATAACTATATCGCTTGTTTATATGGAACACAAGCCCAGAAAGCTCAAATCAACACACAGTAACGGACGACGTTCTTCTTTGACTAATCCCGATTCTTCTGCCAAACTTGCAACCGCATCTTCCATTTCAGGTTCTTCCACCACTGATCCCGCAGTCAACGCCAATCCATCCTTGAAGGAACGATATAATCTGCGAGCCGTCAAGGAAAACGCCAAAATACCTTCTCCCACTCAACCAAAGTCCAAGTTATCCTCCTCAGATATACCTGACAGCGCCACAACCGCAGCCGGACGTAGCCATACCACTGCTACCACTAGGTAAGCCCCACCTCTTTTTTTTTGTATTTCATGATAACACTTTTTCAAATGTATGTACTATTTCAAACAACGTGATGCTTACTTTTTTTTTTCTTGCTTTTCCATCAGACCCAGCAAGAAACGTAAGCAGACAGAATCCGAGTCATCCAAACCTTTGAGGAATAAGCGAAACAAAACCGGTACTGCAAAGTCGTCAACTCCTAAATCTCGTTCCCGTGCAAAGAATACCTCAATGGATAAATCGCAAACCGAAGTCAGTGGTTTCAAAAAGACTCTCCAGCAAAAAGGCAAGCAAACACGACAGCGAAAAACGTCGGCCACTCGCCGCGAACGCAACGTCTCGTCGGAGGGTTCGCAAGGAGAAGATTTGGACGAAACACTTCCCGCCGACGCTGCCGAAGGAACCTCCAAGAGGAAAGGAAAAGCCAAAGATACGACATCAAAATCGACAAAATCATCAAGGTAAACCCACTCCCGAAAACGAATGACATATGAACAAATAATTTCTGACTGGCAAGATTGGGTTGTGCCCCATCCCACCCCCTTTTTTTAAATTTTTATTTTTATAGCAAGGATAAATTACGACGGTCTAAAAAGCAGGCCGATCCTGAAACGCTCAATGTCGATGATTCAGCCGATAGTGATATGGACAGCACGCCCATGTCTTACTTTGATTTCTTCCACGGAGAAAACGAAGATGAACATACCATGGACGATGATATTGCCTCGGATGAAGATGACGACGAAAGACATCACGATTTAGAAGAAAGTTATGACCAAGATACATGGGATAGAGACCACGATAACGAAGATGACGAGGATGAGGATGATCAGAATGACTCAGCTGAGACAGATGATGAATTAGCCCGCGCTCGTCGCAATTTAGGTTATCATATGCAAGGTCTTTTTGGTGGCATGACTTCTGATATGTCCAACCGATTACGCTCTATCCTTTCCAGCCTCAAAAACCAGGAAGATTCCACCATGCAGCTTATTGCACTCCAGGAACTCGCCGAGATCTTGTCTGTCAGCAGCGAAGATAATTTGGCAGGCTTCTTCACCAGTGACAGTTTCGCCAAAGAACTGGTGCGTATCATGAAAGGCCAGGATGGCATGTTCGCCGAAGCGGAAATGGACAACGATATGATGTTGGCCCTTGCCATGAGTGGTGGCCTGGGAGGCGGTAATCCCGAAATCATGCTCTTGGCTTGCCGTTGTATCTCCAACCTCCTGGATGCCATGCCCTCAGCGATTACTAGCATCGTCTACCATGGAGCTGTGCGTGTGCTTTGTCAGAAACTTAAATCCATTGAATACATTGATCTTGCAGAACAAGCGCTTTGCGTAAGTGAAAACCGAGTCCGCGCATGGTCCCTCACACATTGTCTTCCCCCAACTGATCGTATTTTTTTCTTTTTGCCTAGGCTTTGGAAAAAATTGCGGCCCAACTTCCACGAGCGGTTGTTCATGAAGGTGGTCTGAGTGCGGCGTTGATGTACTTTGATTTTTTCAGCATCCATTCTCAACGAACAGCTTTACGTACGGCCGCCAACTGCATGCGTACTGTAAATGTCGACAGTTTTTCCCAAGTCATGGAAGTCGTTCCCACGTTACTCAATACCATTTCTTATCCCGATCGAAGTGTTGTGGAACTCACTTGCCTTTGTTGGGTCCGAATTGCCGAAAGTTTCAGGAATCATCGGGAACAACTGGAGAAGGCCGTGTCCATTGACTTGCTGAAAACGCTCATCGGTCTTATCCCTGTGCCTGGAAATGCCAATGCTGTGCGACCCGCCACCTTTATGGATTTGCTCCGCATTTTCCGCGCTATTTCAAAGAGTTCGTCCCAACTGGCCTGTGAATTGTTACACTTGAAAATCATCACTATCCTGTACCAGGTCGTCACTGGCATGGCCGAACCGGCTCAAGACTTGTCCAATCTTCCTGCACATGATCAAATCAATCTTGACAGCAAATGGCGCGATTCCACCCTCACCATCATGAAGATTATCGCTGATTTGCTTCCTTCCGTTCCCAAAGGTTGGTATATGCCCTCAGTTTGTTATCGCACTTTGCATAACAAAAAATGACTGAAACGCTAACCCTGGTTTGTGACAGATGATCTTCCCGGTGCAAAGCAGATCAAGGATGGCAAACCTGTCGCCACGCGAACTCGGTCGTCTCGTTTGAGCAGTGATGAGAAATTATCCAGCAAATCCGCCCAACCCGATCCACGTGTCCAGTTGTTCAAAGATCAACCCAAACTACTTCAACAGATCGGGCAACTTTTGGTGCCGTTACTATTGGAAATTTATACGTCGACCGTCAATTTACGCGTTCGTCAGCTGGTGACACACACTCTCGTCAAACTGATCTACTACTCGGATACGGAGGTGCTCAAGGTCGTTTTGAAGGACGTTCCGTTATCTGGATTCCTGGCCGGCCTTTTGACCCAGCAAGAGCATCCTGTGTTGGTCATCGATACCTTGTATCAAGCGCAGCTGCTGGTTGAAAAACTTCCTGACCCGTATCACTTCTTATTTGAAAGAGAAGGAGTGTTCCATGGGATCGAAAGTTTGGCCAACGAGACCGCGACGGAAGACATGCCCATCAACAATGCACTCGCGGTGGAAGAAAACGATTCGGATGCACGCGACATCGCTTCCAATTTTTCGGAAACGCAAGGCTCGGCCTTGGATCAGCTCATTGATTCGTCCGACCTACTTGAAGGTTCTGAAATGATGGAAGACATTGAAGGTGGCGATGAAGGTCTGGATGAAGCCGACAATGAAACCAATGAAGAACTCGATGATGATGATCAAGAGCAGTCCAAATCTGGCAGCAAAGGCGATCCCAGTGGCCCTCCGTCCGTGCGATTACCTCGAACTCGCTTTAGCTCCAACGATGACAAAGAAGGTTCAAGTTCGTTGAATGCCAGACGCAAATGGTTCGAGAACGACGACTTGCATCAGTTAATTCGCCAATCACGCCGTCAAGCTCGAACATCAACGACAGACCCTGAAAAAGGGTTGGGCCGCGCATCGAGTCGTCTTCAGATCACGCAGTTGGCGCAATGCTTTATTCAAAAGTATGAGGAACAGACCGCAAATGTAGGCCGTCGCGCCGATAACAGCTTGAAAGAAATTCAGAAATTTGTTCAAAATTTGAATGGGTCAAAACAAGATCCAGCGGCACGTCAAGTACTGGAAAATATGTTGCAGCATTTGCAAGTTTCCACTACGGGCATTAGCAGCTTTGAATTGACCAATTCAGGGCTAGTCGATGCGTTGTTGGCTTATCTCACCGACGAAAGTTATTCGCCCTACGCTTCTTTGCAAGATCGTCGTTCAACGTTCCGTCAAGTACTAATCGAAGCCCCATCGTCGGCCCATCTCAAGGAAAATACGCCCACCGCATTGCATATCCTTGTGACGCGTTTGCAAGAGTTGCTGAGTCGATTCGAGCCATTTGAAGTGGTGGCCCCTCTGGAATCTAGCTCGGGTGAACACTTTAGAAATCCCACCAACATGCTTGCCAAGCAGTTGCGACTTCGTCTAACGGGCGAAGGCGACAATATCCCTCGTGAATATCGTCATTTGATGGTGTCCACTCACGCCGTGGCCACCTTCAAGCTGCTGGAAGAATATCTTCTCACACGCATCGGAGGTCCAACGTCTTCCAAGACATCTAAGGGCAGAGACCGACCGAAACGATCCGACAGTGGTGATCGATCAAAGGTGGAGGATACAGACAGCTGTCACGAGACAACCGCCGAAGACGATCTTCATAATATTGATAAAATGAGTCTGGATGAAGATGATGAAGAGATGGATGTAAGTCAATCGATACCCTACGAAAATGGCCGATGAAGATAAGCTCATGGTTGTATATTAGGATGTGCAGACGTCCACCAAGAATTCTCGCAAGATCGGAAGCAAAAAAGAGGCCGAGAAGAACAAGGCAACTTCATCACGAAGAGAAACATTGCGCAGCCATTCCAAAAAATCGGCCACCAGTTCCAGCGCAGACGAACAAGCGGACAATGAGATGAATGAACGCGGGGAATGGAAGATTCAGTTTTCGCTCAAGGATACCCCCATCTCCACCGATACGACAGTGTACGGTGCTGTGCATCAGTATGAATTGCGGAATAAAAATCCCCTGACGGTCAGTCGTAATATCTGGGCCACAGCCTATCCGGTATCCTTTGAACGGGTTTGGGTCCCTGAAGTATCGAATTCTGCCAAAGTATCGTCTTCCGACCATCAGCCTGTGCCTCAGTTAGCCAATATTCAATGCTCGGACGTTCTATCGAGCAACACGGATTGTGTCAAGGTCCTGGGTTTGCTGAAAGCGCTCGCGTCGCTTGCGCGTATTTTCGAATGCGGTGCTTCAAGCGACAGGAGAATTCTGGTCAAAGATTTCGTGAACCGCAAGCTGACGGCCAAAATGAATCGTCAATTGGAAGAACCCTTGATTGTGGCCAGTGCATGTCTTCCCGACTGGGTGTATTGGCTTATGAAAGAAGCGCCTTTCCTGTTTCCGTTTGAGACGCGGTACCTGTTTATCCAAAGTACATCTTTCGGATACTCGCGCCTGATCGCTCGCTGGCAAAGTATGCAGATGCGGAATAACGGTCAGAACAGTGCTCGCGATGACGGACAACAACAGCAGCATGTTTTGGGACGCATGGAACGACAAAAGGTCCGCATTGTCAGATCGCAAATGTTGGAATCCGCCATCAAAATCCTGGATCTGTTTGGCAACTGGCAATCGGTGTTGGAAGTGGAATACATGGATGAAGAAGGCACCGGTCTGGGCCCTACGCTTGAATTTTATGCATCGACATCGCGTGAATTCTGCAAGCGACGTATCAATATGTGGCGTGATGATGGCGATGATCCTTCAAGTGAATACGTCAGTTGCAAGAACCAATTATTCCCTAGACCTCTGATGAAGGACTCCAACAGCAAATCGACAAAGAAGATTATCAGTCTCTTCAAAACCTTGGGCCAGTTTGTGGCCAAGGCAACGCTGGATTTCCGCATTATCGATATTCCCTTCAGTCCCGCCTTTTTCAAAGTGGTCTTTAGCGAAGAAAAGCCTAATGCTGCGCTTGTCGAGGTAATAGCTTTTTGCGGAATTCATTCCCAGGAATATATGTATTAAACTTGCCATTTTCTTAGGAAATTGATCCTATGCTTGGGCAATCTCTTCGTCTATTGCAACAATATTCAACAAAGAAGCAGGCGATTTATGCAGATGATACGCTCACTTTTGAGCAAAAGCGAGACGCGGTGAGCCAAATTGAAGTAGAAGGTGCTCGCTTGGAGGATTTGTGTCTTGATTTTACTGTGCCGGGCAGTGAAGGAGATGAGTTAAAGGTAAGCAATTGACGGTGATCCAATACACATTCATCTTGTTAATGCTTGATGCTTTTTGTCTAGGCCAGAGGAGCCGAGATACCAGTGACCATCTTTAACGTTGAAGAATATATCGATCTCTTGATCGGAGCCGTGGCAGGTCCGGGTATTGCTCGACAAATTGCGGCTTTCCGAGAAGGATTCAACGGATTATTTGCCATTGATGATCTCAAGATATTGACCAACAAGGAATTGGTGGCGCTGTTTGGTGTCGCGGAAGAGGATTGGTGTTATGCCAGTAAGTATGATTGGATTCAGGAATTAATGTTTTGTATCTTACAATCTCTTTTTTTTTTTTCCACAGCGTTGGCGGATGCTGTCAAAGCCGATCATGGCTTCACCATGGAAAGTCAGTCCATGAAAAATTTGTTGGAAATCCTCTCAGAGATGAATGATCATGAACGACGAGAATTCTTGCAATTCACCACAGGCAGCCCTCGTCTACCTATCGGAGGTAAGCTCTTTGTGCTTTTTCTTTTTTAATAAAATGGAGAGACTAATAATGATGAATGAAAATAGGCTGGAAAGCTATGCGCCCTGTATTCACAGTGGTTCGCAAGGTTCCGGAAGCGCCTCTTACAGCTGATGATTATTTACCGTCCGTCATGACGTGTGCAAATTATCTAAAGATGCCCGACTATTCCAACAAAGAAACGATGCGAAAACGGCTTTTCACCTCGATGCAAGAAGGCAAGGACAGCTTCTTGCTTTCTTAGATTCCTCCTCAATACACACTTTGCATTTTCCCACTCGAACTTATAGTATTCCTTTCTATCTTTTACATGCTTGCATGGCTGTCAAAATTCCCATCTTTCATCTGTATATCCGATTGATTCTTTTTTTTTTCCCAATTTATTCTCGCGCTTTCAATCTTCCGTTTCTCTCAAAATAAAAAAGCCTCCTGCTTTAGCATAATGATGTAGACTATCGTATTGTAGCTTGGAACACCTTGGGCATAAAGAGCTTTCACAAAAAAATTTCTCGACATCGCAAAACGGGAAAGCGTGATGTTAATCCTTTAGTTTGTAGTTTATTCAATATCTTTACGTAAATTTGGCTTTGCTGAACTGTAAGGAAAAACGAGTGTGGTCGATCAGCATCCCACACTTTTAACGTAGTCCAGTCCCTGTCCTTCTTTTACTTACATCCATTTCCGGGTGTTGCTTCTTGAAATTTTCAAACATTTGTTGCTTTTTCAGTTCATCGCTGTCAGGCTTTTTCAGCGCTTTTTGGCGTTGGTCAAACTATTTGGTAGACAACCTGGTGTTAGAAAGAGTAATTTGAACCCATGGATCGTATCAATACAAACCATCATTTTCTCCACCATGGCTCGAGTTTCACCATCTAAATCACTCAATTTGGAATTTTCGGGTTGAATCTTCTTTGTATTGATCTTGGGTGCTGAAGTGACGACGTGTTCCCACCATGTCATCTGATTGTTCTTCTCAAGATGGATATTGACTTCCTTTTGATTATCTGTTTCCCTTGTTTTAGTTGCTTCCATAGGCCAGTGGCAGCGTGAGTAGAGTTACATACCGACTGTCCAAGTACTGTCGTCCAACTTGATATCCTTGCAGAGCTCACCCTAGTGGATCAGGTCAGCACGACGAATCCTTGCAAAGATGCAATTCCTTCGACTCCTTACCTCGAGTATCGGCGACTGGCCTTTCAGACCCACTTTGATATGTTTTCTCTTTAGAACCACGTCGAGATCTCTTCCGCGAGTACCGACAGGAACAGGAATGCTAATGTCCACCTCTTGCAACGTCTGTTTCCATCTATGGACAGGCAAGACGAGTTAAGTGCCCGTGCCGTAAATGAGTGTCTCGCCATTCCGTGAACTCACTTGTAGGGAAGAGCTGCTTGTTCCGCATCCTCACGAGCTTTTTCCGCCTTATCGTAGGCTTCGCGTTCCTCGGGGGTCATATCGTCGTATTTCTTATCAGTGTCTGCCATGTCAAAAATGTCTCGATGAATATCGAAGTGTCCTTTTTTTTGGGGGGGGGGGGTTGGTGTTCTGGCGTTTTCGATGGCGCCTTGCATGACCACTAAATTAAGTAAACAGTCACAGTCATGCACGAATTCAAAAATTCCGCAGCCCAAGCTTTTGGTAAAAGCTGGTGATAAACTAGCATAACATTACACAAACGCTTCTCTGCAAGATTAAAGCACTATTTAAAGTTGATATACTATTTACGCTGATGATGGTTGCAGAGAAATCACAAATGAAGAACAAAAGCACAAACTGAAAGAAAAGAAAGAAAAGGGGAATGGAATCAAAAAAGAAAAATCAAATGGTTGGCTAATAAAATGACTTGAGTGCCTAGACCTGAAAGTATGGATGGTCCTAAAAACAAAGCAAGTTTTTCATTACCAAGATGTTGATAATACCAGCAAATTCTTTTCTACTTACCAGTAATTGGTGGGCTGATCCGCGATCGGATGGATCGCGACTGAGAAGGGTTTGTATGAGGCGACGAGTAAGGGTATTGGGAATTTGTCGTTCAAGGTGCGGAATTTCTAGTTCCATGGCATCGTTCCATCGTAAACCGTTATTTAAAATGGGTGTTGATGGTGCAGGATGGGATATAAAGTGGAGGATTGTCTCATCCTTGATATTGTTTGCAAATAAGGGTTGTTTGGTTTCCAGTTCCTGCAAAGAAAAATAACATGAGGATTCATCATCACAGGAGTTTTCTCTTTTGTTGCTTACATAAATGACGCAGCCAAGTGCCCAAAGATCGACACTGGCTGTAGCCACAACGCCATTGGCACCTTCAAGACCGTAGGTGGTTGCTCTTGCCACTTCCGGTGGGCAATAACGTGGTGTGATGACGCCGACGCATTCTTCGCCAATGGTACGACAGGCTTCAAAATCAATCAATTTCCATGGTTGGCCCACATTATGCATGATATTGCTTGGTTTTAAATCACAGAATGCAATGTCTTTTTGTGTCGGAGCAAGCCATGACAACAACAATCAGTAACTAAGGAAGAAATGAAAACCATTTTTTTCGGGCTTACATTGAGAATGACACCAGACCAAGCATTCGACAATATTCCGTGCAATGGAACGTTTCACATGATCTGTCCACGCTTCGGGCTCATGTCGTGCTCGTCGAAGAACGGTCGCCAGGGTTTCGTCGAGCTGTTCCATTGCTGTGACATAATGGATATGCTGATCATCGTCGCCTTGTTTGTAACTCGCCCTTCCATTGGATGAAGGCTGATGCCCGCGCATGCTTTCGTCCTCAATGGTCAATACTTCGAGCAGTTTAACAACGTATCTCGAATTGAGTTTTGTCAGTGTGCGGCATTCGCGTTCCCATGCTTCACGTCGTCCAAATGATTTAATGACAGCCTTGGAGCCAGGGGAACTCGGTTCATCTGTATTAGTCGAAGAAGACAGTTTGTACACAAACAGAATTTTGTTCGTAGGGCCCAGGATAGGTGCACGCAAAGTGTCCATCTTGTAAAGGCGCGGCATCATACTGATCAGTGGTGCAACAGCAGCCAATCGACTGCGTGTGGTGCTATCGGAAGCGTCTTGACTGGAAGTGACAGAGGATTCTTTGGTCGTCGTGCTCCGTGTCATGTTTGGAGACACATGACGATCTTCGTAAACAGAGCTGTGCTGCTCGCTGTGTTCTGATGAGGAAGCCGCTATGCCACTGGAACGCCCCAAGGTAGCCAACATTTCGAGCGGACTCACCGATTCGTAGAGACTGACATCGTTGGGGTGACCAGGAGGATAACCGTTCGTGGGTAATTCATGCACGTCATTTGTATGCGGTGTAACAGGTCTCGCCATAGGCACGCTGACGTTGGAGGATGGGTATTGATGATGCGTGAGAGGGACAGCCGATTTGGTGCCTTTCTGGTTCCAGGTGGTGCCGCTGGCCGATTCGGTGGCAGTGGTGGCAATACTAAACTGTTTATTGGCTGGGATGTATTGTATTGCGGTGGGAGGACTGACATTGAGTGACATTGAATCTGGAATGGTCCATTTATCTTCGTCTTCGGGTCTTTCTTCCACTTCCAAGGTGGGTGACGACGACGATGCGGTGTGAAAAACACGAGTGGTACGCGGTCCTGCCACGAGTGCACTGTCGTTTGTTTTGATACTTCGCAAAACTTCCATGCTACAGCTAAGTGGGGCTCCAGCGTCTGTGGCGGTAGGCGACGTGGGACTCGTCGTTGTGTAATGCTTCACTGAGACTTCCGGGTTGTGCTGTGCGGCAAATTTCGCGGCAGGTACGGAAAATTCGTTTGGTTTTTGATGCGTCACTTCATTGGGTACTTGCCCTTGTGCATTGTCATCGAGCAAGGGCGGTGGCATGAGCAAACATTTACTGACTCGGAATGAATCTTTGCTGGCTCGTGCGTCATTCGGGTTTGGGTGACGTGGACCAGGAATCATTTCCAGCGTTGCTGAACGCACACGACCTGTGTCACCAATCTCGGCCGGTCGACCGAAAGAATCTCGGGAATGGTTCGTCCATGCTTTTGATGTGCGTTTATAGGGATACGGGAGCAAGGTATTACTGTCATTCGACACGTAATCGTTGGCGTGCATTTTGCCCGAAGAGTGACGTTGTTCGTTATAATAGTAATTGTCGTATCCATAGTGATCATCGTAGTTGTCGACTTTTTCGACAACACTGTCGTCGTTGTTGTTGTTTTGTCGTCGTTTTCGTCGAATAAAAAAGAAGGCTCCCAACGCTGCTCCAAGAGCAGCCAACCCACCGATGACGGAGCCGGCAATAATGCCTGCTTGGTTTGATTTATGACCAGTTTGTGATGATGGCGAAGGGGGGTTTGGATCGGAAGGTTGGCCGTCTGGTGAATATCCCGTCGTCGTCACGCGTGTCCAACTCCAAGCGACAGGGTCAAGAACGTACATGGCTGTATCGTGATTGGCACTCACCCCCCATCCTCCATAAATATAGATTTTCTCTTTTTTTTCGTCAAGAACAGCGGAATGACCTAAAAAAAAAATAGAGCGTTGGAGTTCATATAGAGTTGACTAAACTCATCATGCGGAAATGATATTTCCAAACTTACCCATGCGTGAATTGGGTCCGTTACTTTTATTTGCCATGTCTTTGCGTTCCCAGGTCAAGGTTGGGTAACGAGTGGCGTCTAATACCCACACATCGGAATCATAAGGCTGGCCTGTACCACCGCCAAAGACGATCATTTTATCTTTCAGACAAGTGGCCGTATGTAATCGACGAGCTCCCGGCATGGCTCCATTGACTGAGCCTACGGAAACCTGCAAACTCCACCCTTTGCGTGCTAAATCGTAAATATGTACATTCTGGTTACCATGATAACACAGAATAAATAGAAAACAAAAAGGGTCAACATTTGGTGCGAGACGAATTGTGGCCCCGCGAATCATGAGTCGGGTCGGGATGAAAGAATTGGACAGCAGAGGCCAAACTTACTTGAGTGGCGTCGTTTGGATTTCCCGTGGCCGTTCCTCCAAAAGTCACCAGACAATTGCAAGCCGGTAAGTAACAAGTTGAATGGTCGGTGATACCGGCTCCGTTACTTCCCGTGGTCCATTGAAATGTGTTGGCGTCCATGAGATTGAGACTGTTGAGAACGGCATTGCTCATGGGCATGCCGTTGGCATCGACGGCGACTCCTCCATATGTGTAGATGGTATTGTTCACTCTGAGTGTGCTGAATCCTGTGGATCGAGCGGGTGGGTCGACGGATAACGAAGGAAAACTCCACGTCCAACTGTTGGTGTCCAATTTTTGAAGCATACCAGCTGAACCTCCTTGAGTGGTATTGCTGGCGATGGCTAGTAATTGTCCTGAACTCGGTAAACTGGTTGCTCCAAAGAACACTTGGGGTAACATGGTGGCCATTGTCTGTGCTTGAGGTTGGTACCACGACCCATTGCGTGAATCCCATGCCCACAAACTCGTGGAGCCATGAACGGGGGTGGTCGGATTGTCACTGTCTGTACCGCCGTAGATGATGACATGAGGATCAACATACACTGTGAATAAAAAGAGCAGTAATGGTTAAAATAAGGCCGAATATTATCGAGAAAAATTGAAGCCGCTGGTTGGAAAAAGGGACGAATTGGGCTTACCAGCGACGTGACCTGCTTTCCAAGTTCCATTGGTTTGAGGAGGACCCAAGAGGGAATCGCTGGATTGAGCGAGAACGACTGAAACAGTGAGAATGAAAATACGATATATCGATAACAACATCGTATATGTATTATACGTTGGAAGGAGGAGCAAGTGCAGCAAACAGCAACAGCAACAGCAACAAGGGGATTCTCAAGGATGAGGAGGACGAAGGACTCTAAGGGGAGAGGAGAATCGACAGAAGAAGAAAAAGAAAGGAAAAAGGTAAATCGTTGATAAGATTAGCACAACACATACACAAAAAAATTAAGGTGGCCCTGATTTTTTTTTCCAATTTGATGACCCGCTACGCTTATTCAGATTGTGAACAATGGAACTCGATGATGGCTACACAAGGTGCGGCCTTCCCACTTTGATTACAGTTGTACAAATGCGTCCTTTCAACCAGTAATGTCATTGCGTCACTTAAAAATCTTGTCACTAGTCAGCCAATATTAATGTCATACTTTTAGAAATGAAGTCACTCGTCGCGCTTAGCTCGTTTTGCTCATTTTGATCGATTTGTTTCTTTTGCTAAGTAAGTCTAGGGGCTTCACCATCTCTCGGGTACGTCGACGGTTTGGGTTACGACGTGTACGGCGAAGAACAGCTGGTCATCGAAGCCTCGAGCAATCAGCATAAAAAACGCGTGCAGCATACGTTGGATGACAGAGCGAAACAGTTTCACAGCTCGATATGTATGCGGCCTATTCCAATGCCAACTTTATCACGATGCAAAATGTGAAGTTTTCTGGCTTGCAATGTGTGAGAACCGGTGTTACGCTGCAACAGACATCCTTTGATGACGGTGAAAAGTGATACGTACGAAACAGCCCATTTCGATACACTTGCTATCTCACCTCGCTATAAAAAAAATAGTTTTCGGTCTGTTCAGTACGCTCGCCACCTCACCTCGCTACAAAAGAAATCCGATCGGTGAAGACCCCCGTAACTTATGATGAACGAACACGATGATTCCGAGTTATGGATCTTTTGGTGTATTTGCTGGTCGAGATTAAGGTGCAAGAACAGATACTGAACGACTTACGAGATGAACATGATGGAAAAGTTGAAGTGGATGAAAAGTATCAAGTAAAGACAGTTCTCTACAATGAAACAATAAAGTCACATCTCGCTTTTTCATTGGTATGCGTAAACGTATTTGCTATGAACATATGCAAGCGTCCAAATGCAAAATGAACAAAAACGGGCAAGTGACGAATGGCTCCATTTCTAAAATAAATAAATAAAAAAAAAGGCATTAATGTTGGTTGGTCAACGACATTTTCAAGCAAGGTCGGAAAGGATATATCATCTATAGAAAAACGTGCAAGTGAACCGACCAACCAAATTTTGCAATGGAGGAGGGGATATTGTTGTACAATTTCGCTATCGAAACAACAAGTTCTTGCATTCAACAACCTCCACAAATCTTTTGTAAGCCTACTATCATATGCAGGCAACTGCAGACGAAAGAAATAGCAAAGACGTTGCTATGGAACTGTGCATTAAGCGATGCTTTCTACATTTTATTGCCACGATCAGATAGTAAAACTTTTCATCTACTCTTAGTAAAGAGCCTGAGGGCTGCTGCGGGACAATCCTAGATATCTCGTATTTCTGCAAGGCCCCCGAAAATAGGTCAAGCATCATTATGAGGATCACTTGTCACCTGTTGAACACAACATTACCATAATCACGACCCAAGTCCTTTGTGATCCGATCCAAGGAAAATATGGCCTGATTCCCCCGGGGACAAAAAACCTTTACATACGTCGACCTATTCACAAATCTATGAAGAATAATTTAAAAGGCTGTTAATTTTCTCCAACAGATCGCCATCAACAGTCAGGTCCTGTTTGTTGATCGAAAAGTCAGGATCTTCATAGGAACACTTGATAGATACATATTTAGGGCTGCAGGAATATGTACAACTAATTCGCTCGCAGCAACGGAAGCATTTGGGTCTTTATGGAAATAATTACATTATGTTATTGTATCAAGCGAAAATAAATGTAGTGTTATCGACATTATGGTAGAATGTACAGCAGTCGACAATGATATATGTGGCGAAAATTACGTTTCTTGTTGTTTGAACTGGCGTGCTCTCACCGTTTTGTACCATAACTCCTTCTTCCGTCGGTGATATTGTTCTACGAATTCCGGGTGCTCTTTTGTAAACTGCTCTCGTAATTCTTTGGATTTTGCTTTGTACTTGTCTTGTTCCTCCTGCACCACGACAAAAAAAAAAAAAAAACGTAAGTTAGAATAAGTGACGGTCATTTTTACCAGTAGAAAATAATTCCCTCTTCCTCTCTCTTTCTTTTCATGCGAAAATATCCCCTTTTTTTCAGTACCTTTGGTAACGCCTTCCATCGCGCTGATATAATGCCGTTTAGTTCTTTTAATTTCAGTTCGGGATTTTCGGACCGGAGTTCTTTCCAAGCTTCTTTACTGTAAAGAATGAATCCATTCGGTGGATAACCATTGTTCCTTTGTTTATACTTTGTTTCACTCGAAAGAGCGTCCTGTGCTTCCTTTAAACGATCATAATAGGGCGCCTTTTCCTCCTGTAGACTCGTGTCAGATCTGGATTTAAATCATTTGAAGGATCCTCTGAACAAAATTACCTTGCTCAGGGCTTTCCATCGGTCACCCATCAGACGACTGATTTGTTTACTGGTGTAATAAGGAAATTCTTTCACTGCAGCATTTCGGTGTTCTTGATTATACTGTAGAAATGGATTGTACCGATTCGTCGGCTTTGGTTTACGCATCGTTTTGAACTGCCCGTAGCCCTTGGATCTGCGCTTGTCCTTGTTCTGTGACAAAGATATATTAGAAATTGATATTTTGTTATCCATGCATAATACTTACGGTCGATTCTGGGCCGTCTTTGCTTGCCTCCAACGTTCGCAAAAACTCATCGTGGGTCGCGATAACATCTCTGTCGGGCATAGCGGCTAGACCAGACGGGTAGGACTCTGAATCATCGTCGTCATCCGAAAATATGTCGCTGTTATCCAGGATGGCAGAAGGTTGGACATTGGATTTTCTCTTCGGTGCAGCCAACTCAGGCATCGTTGCAGACGGTCGTACCCTGGCAGAGGGTTGCTCTGGCGTATCGTCATATTCGTCAAAGTCCAACGATGCAGCGTCTTCCGCCCATGGATCCTGCAATTCACTCGATGATAACGGGCTGTCGTTTTTTTCCTTGGTTTTGAGTTTTCTCTGCATTTTTGATTTTTCGCTTTTTTCCGGTTCTTCGGTTTTTTTCGGACGATCTCGACGTCGTTTTACAGGCATTTCAACCGGCATAAAATCGTCATCATCCCCATTGTTATTGTATCGTCGACACTCGGGAAAGAAATCAAACAGCTTTTTCTGCAAATGCTGTTCCTTTTTGATGACAACCACTGGTGTAGATAATGAAGACTTTGATGAGGATAGCGTCGATGAAGGTTTGGTCAGTAGTTTATCGGTTGAATTGTGAAGATGGTGGATTGGTCTGGGGGATTTAGCTGTGGATATAGTGTCCAGTGAGGCAATCGATTTTTTTTGGTTGTCGATTGGGTTGGCTTTACGTGAAGATGAAGTGCGCTTGGGTGATGACGGTCGTACGGGTACTGGAGGGCGCTTCCTGTCGGATAAGCTCATTGCATCGTATTCACTTTGCGCGTCTTGATCATCGTCTCCAGGGCCATATTCGGATCCGGACGAAAGCATATCCATCTCGGCAAATCCAGGATTGTAAAACTGAATCGGCTCTCTTTTACGAAGCTGATACTCCACTCTCTTGTTCAGATTTTCTTTGGTTAATAACGACGCCGACTCCTGGTTGGACGCGTCTTGTTTCCGCCGCACAGGTGCCTTGGGCCATTGATCGACATCCATCACCGATGTTTCCAATTCTCCCTCGTTCACCGCTGGCGTTGATGATTTCTGCAATATTGCTTCCTTGCGGGCCGATTTGTTTGTCTGAAATTGCACGTCGTTTCGCGATGTTGATCTCTTTAGCTTTGTCTCCTTCTGCGCTGGTATATCGTCGTATAAGAATGAAAATGGATCTTCATCGTCCAGCCCACGTTGTCTTTTGTAGCGGCTTTTCGCTGTCTGCGGCTCAGCCATCGCCTTTCTGCTTGAACCTGCTGAAAAAAGGTCGTCGTCCAAAGATTCGTAATGACTTTCTGCCCCGGAATCCAGCGTCTGGTTGATTGTATAATCTCGCTCTAGCCCTTGGTCTGTACGAGGCTTATTTTTCACCACTGAATAGGTTGCAAAAAAGTCGTCGTCTAACGATGCGAGGGAAGCTTCTGAACCTTGATCAGACAAGTCATCGTCTTGGCTGTCGTCAGTGGCGTAGGGATCCTCTGTCGAAGTGCGATTCCAAGTCCATTGATATTTACAATTGGCACATTGGCTATTTTTTGCGAGGTGAAAATGAGTATATGGACGCGAATGCATTCCACAGGAACGGTTCAGTTTACACTTACGCTTGACCTGCTAATCGTCCTCGAGACCAGAAACTCACGTCCTCATTATGACATTTTGGACAGTCAAACACAAAAGAGGCTTCCGCTTGTTCTTGTACTTCTAATAGCTTGGTATTTAGTTGGAAATTGACCATTGGCTCTTCAAGTTCAATGGAAGGACCAACAAAAAGATTGTGGTAAAAGAAAATCAGTCTTTTTTCCCCTAGACCGCATTTGGCGGAGAATGAAAAGCATATCTTGCCGTCGTTCGGAAACTGTTGGCTTTTTGCACTATAGTCTTTTTCTTTTTAACCGAAAGGTTTATTTCGTGTCATCCAACAAAACGATAGCAAATGTTACTTTTGATCATAATCATCATGTTCAAATGAGGAAATAAATAGCGTAAAATGAGGTCTACCTAGATGTCTACTTAACAAACTGAAGAGACCTCTGGATGAATAGCGTGAGACTTGAACCGAGGGTAAGCAAAGATGGTGTGACAGTGGTGATATAAGGTTATTCAGATATGCTTGGGCAAATCCATAGGTTATACATATATTATGCATCACGTACAGTGCCTCCTTTCATTCATACCCATCTGTTCCATGCAAAAAGTTCTTTCTGATGACCTTTTTTTGGTCATAGTTTCTTGTCTTTATCATTTATCGTCTTCCTTTTTCTTTCTTGGCTTTTATCCCTCGATTATCGTCATCCCATCCCCCTTCCCTCTTTCGTCCCACCTCTTGGCTACCCCCCTTTGCCGAATTCATCCCCAGCCTTCCCTTTTTTTTTCTCACTCTTCAATTTCTTTCTTAGTTTCCCAATAAAATCTCAGCATGCTCTATCATGCGTTTATCACTCAGCGCCGACTAGTCTATCGATCATGGACACGTTGTACCACTGTTCATCTTTCCCAATGTCGGTATCAATCTTCTGCAGCCACCATTCAACAAGAAAAAACACGCTCCAACTTGAACGTCATCGACTTTTACCATGCATCGCTTTCTTCATCGCCCCATCATTATGCCTTCAAACTTGGCGTCTCAGGTTACCCAAAGAAAGGCAAAGTCATTGAACCCATCACCCAAGACGATGCCATCTATACCAGTGTACAAGTAGGCGACGACGCTTATTTTCAACGTCGTGACGCTCTCGGTGTAGCTGACGGTGTGGGTGGCTGGCGAAAACATGCTGGTACGCTTACCTTCTATTATTCTTTTGCATTTCCCCTCTTTTTTTTTTTTTTTTCTTTAATCCAACTATGCACAAACACAGCTTCTCAGCTTTCCCTATTTTCCATATGCCCAAGTCGTTTTCTCTTTTTTGTCATTTGATCTATCGTGAACGTATTTTATCTTGTTCACGGTTGTATCCATCGTACCTTTGTTTTTGTGTTTGGGAATGCCCAGTTTCCGTAGTGATATATGGCGGAATGACTAATGTTTGATCGGATATAGGAGCGAATCCTGCTTTGTATTCACGAAAACTGATGCACTATGCTCAGCTGGAACTCGATCGCATAAAGAGCAATGTACGACCTTACAATGTTCCACAGAACCACCCTGATCCCATTCAGGTGCTTGAAAATGCATACCATCTAACTTCCCTCGACGCCCAGAACGAGGTACGGTTTCAGATGATCACCCGGGTGATATCCGAATTAATTTGACATGCTTCACGTTGATTTATTCAACCATAGGGGATTGTAGGCTCAACCACCGCGTGTATCATCACTTTATGTCAAGATGAATTACGGATTGCCAATCTTGGCGACTGCGGCGTTTCCATCATTCGATGCAATGACTATATATTTCGATCGGAAGAACAGCAACACAGCTTCAACTTTCCCTACCAACTAGGCACAGCTTCTTTTGATTCTCCAGCAGATGCACAGGTAAATAGCCCACTGGCAGGATGACACAGATTATCGACAAAGGCGAGGCGTGGCAATTGCAAACAAATTATTATGTTTGTGTGATTTGGCGACACCACCTTTATATGTCTCGTGATCTCCACTCATGCTTTTTTTCGGCCTGTGTTTGTTTCATCCTCATTGATGAAAATTTCTGGCTTGTTTTTTTTTTTATTCTTCCTGAACAGCGGTTTACGGTGAAAATCGAAGAGGGGGATATCATCATTCTTGGTTCTGATGGATTATTCGATAATTTGTACGATGAAGAGATTCTGGAAGAGGTCCAAAAGTGTCTGCAATCAGAAACAAAGAGTCAGAATGAGGAGTTGGAAGAGGAAACAGTATACCAAAATGAAAAGCTTATCCAAACGAACAATAACCATACTGCAACGATCGGCTGTGCACCACAAAAAATCTCAGACGCATTGGCTTTGCGGGCGAAATTAGTAAGTGAAGACCTGGACAATCCTTCTTCGCCATTTCAAGTACGAGCGATGCATGAAGGCTTGTACTATCAGGTAGGTAGCAGTCTCTATTCTGTCGCAAATCGCATACTAATGTAAGACGGGTTCTCAGGGCGGAAAAGCAGACGACATCAGCGTGCTAGTAGCTGTTATCAGTCGAGATGAATGTCCACCAGAACCGTCTCCGCCGCCATTACCATGATCGCCTTTTCTTTCCGCTTTATACCCATGTACTCAATTTTTTATCTCATGTATATATCTTCGTTTTCTATTGTCACTTATTCATGTCATTTTTTACAGTACGGGGCTGTTTGGTTCCTTTTTTTTCTTTTATCTTTTACCAAACCATCTCAAAATATTTCTTGTTTTGTTGCCACTACCGCATTGTCATTCTTCATTAACAATATACCATTTCTGTATTGCTTACTTTTACAAGAAAGAACTGAAAAACTTTTTTGGATTTTTATCATCTTTAGATATCGATGAATTGATCTACAGGACGTGCATATAGATGATGTAGAATGTATTACAAAACAAAGGCATCATAAAAAGGGGAAAATTCACGGAAGTAGAGGCGTAAGGGATGTATGATATCCAAAGCGATTCGACTACGCAGGTGGGATAGATTTGTCGTGGTGGTGAACAACGACGACGTCGGAGAGTTCTTCATTCGTATCATCGTGAAGAAGACTGTCGGAACTCACATCCCCATCAAGGGCATCCGGTTCTTGCATCTGTTCACGCTGGCGCTCCAATTCTTCTTCCTGCCAATCGGCACCTCGAAAACTGCCTTCAATGCGAGCCATAATACAGCTTCCCAAACAGTTACCGAAAACATTGATTGAAGTACGCCCCATATCCATGATTGCATCTATTCCCATTATCATCGAAACGGCTTGACCCGGTAGTCCATACTGCACCAAGGTGCCCACCAAGACAATTAGCGATGCACGTGGAATAGCCGCCACACCTTTGGATGACAACATCAACGTGCCCATAATCGATAGTTGCGTACCAATGCTTAGATTGATGCCACCAGCTTGTGCAGCAAAAATACTGGCCAATGCAAGGTACAGTGTTGTACCGTCCAGATTGAATGAATAGCCACTACCAAAAAATTCATTCCATTTCAATCAGCCTACTGATCTCCGTCAGAGCAGCTTTAATTTCTCTTCCAACTTACCATGGAATTACAAAAGCAGTCAAGGAGCTTGGACAACCGAAAGAGCACATATTTTCCATGGCTTTTGGAAGTGCCGATTCACTGGAAGCCGAGCTAAAAGCAATCAGCCATGGTTGTGCCGCTGCTTTGAAAAACCCAATCACCGGGATACGTGCCACCAACATGATGGGAACGAGTATCACCACGACAAACACCACCAAGGACGCATACAGTGCACCAATTAGTTTACCCAGGTTAGCCAAAACATTAATTCCATTGGCTCCAATGGTGGCAGCAAGTGAGGCAGCGATACCGATAGGAGCATCTAAAGTGTACATTTAGTTCCAAATCCACATGAAAAACGGGAGGAATGACTGCTGACTTACAGTTCATAATTAGAGCGACAAATTTGAACATGATCAGGGATAAAGAATGATTGAACTCAAGCATGACTTTTTTCGAATGCTTATCCGCCTTCATCATGGCACAAGAGAACATGGCCGCGCAAAAGACAACACCCAAGATGGAGTTGTCTACTGCGGCTTTAAAGAAATTCTCGGGAATGATCATGAACAATTCATGATGCCATGTAATATCTTGGCCTTGCTGTGCTAATTCATCAAAATCTGATGTATCGCCCGTGAGCACCACGCCCTTGCCAGGCTTGATCAGATTCGCCATGATAAGACCCACGGCCAGGGCCAATGTAGTAATAATTTCAAAATACTGAAAAAAAAAGCCAGAGTTTAGATTTCTTCTTTAATTCAATCCAAAAACCTGAGAGAAATTTTTTATACTTACAATAATTGTCTTGACAGCAAGTTTGCCGACTTGGCCAACATCATCACCATGACCCGCGATGCCGACCACCAGGGTAGAGAAAATAAGAGGTATTTCGATAATGGTAATCATTCGGATAAACGCAGTTCCCAACGGTTTTATCTCTTGTCCGAATTGAGGAGCAAAATGGCCAATGAGGATTCCCACTGCCATGCCAATAACAATCCAGATTGTTAAGTTCGTTCGTCTTCTTAAAAACCGCCATATTTTGGCAAACGGTTTAAGAAATAGGTGCCATGCATGTCGAACGATTCGGCGTAGCTTGGCTCTGAAGGTAGTATTAGTGTATCGTTGTTTCTCGTCCGTATCGAGACTCGTTATCCGTTCTGTCTGTGATGAAAGGCTTTTACGGTCTTGATCCATCGTACTCAATAGATCAAGTCTATGAAAAAAAAATTTTATGAATAAAGGGGAGAGGAGGATTAAAAAAAAGGCTATGATCGAAATTTCCCTTTCTTATCGCCATTTATGCTCCTGAGTTTAGCGCTGATTGAACTCGTCAATTTTTTTTTTCTTTTTTCGTGTGCATAAGCACACCACTCGATTAAAGAAAAACCCTTGCACACAGACCATCCAACGTAATCGATCGGCAACGCTCGCAGATCGGTTTCGGTATCTAAACTTTTTGAAACATCACCAATGATCTCTGTAACCAAGAAAATAGGAATGGAAATGTTTCTTTAAAATTCATTTGTCTAACAAAGAAAAACCTTCTCGACCATCCGGAAATGGTCCAAGACCTGGTGATTCCCCAAACTCAAAAGACTATCATCGGCTTTATGTAAACATCCTCGCACGGTCTTTCAGGGATTCAAGAATGGACTTCCGAAATCAGGCACATCTCCCGGAACGTGTCCTTTTATCGTTACAGCATCCAATGTTATCTCTAAGTAACAGATTTCCTCCCGATAGTGACTCATTATGGCACGTATCATATCGTACTCACAAAACTGAAACCAAACAAGTTTAAATAATTAACCAGGCACACCGTATCCATGCTGTGAATAGAACGTCATTTGAACGCGAACCAATGATTGGGGGATGATGGAAATAGTAGGATTTTTATTTTTTATTTGACGATTCGGGATGTTGGGGAGCAAAAATGGGGAATCTATGATAATTCGAGAGATTGTAATTTGATAAGATTGGTGATTTCTCGTCGTCCTTTGAGCCATTCTTTGAACGTCGTCATTTTACGAGCTTCTTCTCCTACAATACTTTCATCATCGTCATTCTCCGTATGAGACTCTAAGCTGACAATATCTTCGGCCGATGATTCCGCATGCCCGATTTCTTCCAGCAAGTAATTGCCAAACACAATCAGGTAAAAGTATCGCACCAAGTAATTTAGCGCGACTTCTCGTGTGGCACGCCACTTTTTGGATCCGTGGTCTTGGCTCTCCGCTCGCAGTTTGTAATCATAAATCGCTTTTCGTAAGTTTTGCATATGATCGCACATATTGATGGCTTGATCCGTCAATTGCTTGGCTAATTTGCCATACGTCAACACACTAATCAGTTGCAGAATAATTCTGTATTCGCCATTCTCGTAACGCAGACGCTGTTCGTGGGACTCATCAATTTCTCGGTCTCCCATGCTGCTGTCAGCTCTGGTCGATTCCGGGCTTTCAATGATGAATGAGCCAGTCATGTCCGTGATCGTATCATTCTTCAATACCATCGACATCAAACAAGCAGTGACCATACCAGTGGTCGTTCGTCCTCGTCTAACAAATAAACCATCCATTAATACCCATGACCAACGGTTTGACTCGAGAGTTTTTTCATTGATCGTACCCCATTTGACAGTTGAAAACGACATCCACGCCTGCATTGGCGTTCAGAGTACGTTGAATCAGTTGATCGAATACGTCGGGAATTGGCGCTTGCTCATCCGTACTGTAACATCCGCACAAAGGATTATTACAAGTTCCTATTACAAAACAACTACATCCAGTGTGTACCACTTACATGGGAATACGAAGATAATCCACCATATAACCTTCGTCGATAATCGACTGGAACACTTCACTAGGTGTCTCGACGCATTCAACAGGCACAGTTTCCCACATGGGCTACAGACATAAGAGGAAAATGGACGATTAACCCAAAGAAAGAACATGCCATTTTACCAAGATTATTTTTCACGAACCAGTAATGTAAACCCGCCTTTGTCCGTGACTTCTTCATCGTGTAATAACAGACGTCCTTCGTATTCTTCCAATTCTTCCAAAGCATCGAGCTTCATACGATGTTCCATGCTTTCCACTCGTTCTTTTGCAATACCGGTGGTTTCCAGGTTTTTGAGTGGATCTTGGAAAAGACGCAACACGTACGGCTGCTTGTTGACATATAACACGGGCTCTTCACGAAGACAAGTCCATAGCACCTTGCGTTTACCACCGGGTCCGGCGTTCATTGTCTTTAGCACCGCCTTGATAGCGTCTTTCGATGGCATGGCACATCCGCAAATAAATGGAGGCACTGGAACATCATCGTCACCTCGTTCCATATCGGCGGCTAAACCGCTCAGGTTGGCTGACAAGCCAGCGACCTTGACCGTATTTTTCACCTTCTTCACTTCAACGCGACGGTAATTGTAGGCGCCCTCGATTTTCTCCTTCAGGCTCATCTTTTGACAACCGGGGAAGGCATCGTGCTTCAAGATGGTTTGCTGTGCCAACACTTGACCACGTCGCGCACTCACAACACGCATCACTTCACTCGACAGGGCCACACCGTCACCCACCGACTTTTCTACCGGCACCAATAAACTTTCGTCGTCAGCATGGAACATAAGCAAAATGCATTCCATTTCCTGATGACGCTTCATCCATCGTTCAAATGATTCGGTCTCATCCATGGTTTCGGGCGAAGTGCTGTTCAGGTACGCTTGGAAACAAATCAAGAGGAAGTACCGCTCAAGAGCAGCAATACCACGTTTGAGAGCTCGCTTTCGCTTTTTATCGTCCGTTTCATTATCTGCTTGGATGTGGGCCGACTCGATCATTTCGCGTAAGTTCAAATAAGCTCCACACTGGTCGATGGCTTGATCCACCATACTCTTGGTCTCCAAACCATTTTTGATGACTCTCAGCAGACTGTTGATAATTTGGTAGTTGATTTTGGTCGTGGACACCGTCTTGTCGCTCTCAGGTGCCTTGGAATGTCGCGAGGGATCCGAATGACGCATCCAATTGGTCAATAATGTTGCAATCACCGTACCTACACCATCATTGTTTAGTTCATTTCAGATCCACTGTATATAATATTCATCATCACATTACCAATAGTGGAGCGTCCCAGACCAATTTGACAGTTACTACAGATCATGTTTAGTGCCCATCGTTACTTTTTCAATGTTAGCACAGATCCAACTTACAGAATGAGAGCCGTCTTTGACAGGTCGACATTGCCAATAAGGTGGCGTAATTCATCGAAATCAGCCCACTGCGGCGGCTTTTCAGCGGTCAGAGGGACACGATGGTAATCAAGTAAAATATCGTCTTGTTGATGATGGTTATCCTGCGACAAATCGTCGGATACCTCTTGAGCCACCATCTCCATGACTTCCCGAACGGTGAGGATATCTTCCACGTCCACTTCTTCCCACACTGGCTGGACATCGCCTTCGGTATTCTCACCGTGCAACAGAATTCGGCCGTCATAATTCATCACTTCACGAATAACGTCTTCTTTGAGTCGCTCCTCCAGCTGTTCCAGGCGCGCACCCGTGATTCCCTTGTACACGCGAATGTTGCGCAAGGTAAAGTACCGGTCACGAAGCACGTACGGAATACCGTTAATGTAAATGATGGGTTCTTCACGTAAATTGATCCACAATACTTTTTCATTTTGCGGCCGATCGGTCAACAATCGACGCAACACTTGGCGCAATCCGTCCACTGTAGGCTGAGCTACGCCGTAGACGTGAGTATGCTTGATACGACGGAAATTCGATGCACCTTCGACAAAGAAGGTGTGATGCATTTGAGCACTGTGTGTAAAATAGTTGGAAGATCGCTCTTCTTCCTCATTCAGCAAAGGTTCTCCAGGCGTGGGCAGTCGCGATAACTGTTGCTGGTCTCCCTTGTCCTCCAACTGGCTTCGACGCCAAAAGTCCATTTTCAAAATGGTTTGCGACGTCAATACAATGCCTGTACGTGCCTGAAAACCATTCAACCATGATTAATCATCTGATAAGTCACCAGCCACACTATTCATCCAGCGCAGCGAATTCTGTCTCTTAGAACATTACCTTGAGAATGAATTGTTCCACTTCATTTGGAACAATACCTGTTTGAGCTCCGGCTCCGACCATCTCAAACATGCCGCGACCAAATCCAAGGGCGCCGTGACGACTCCATCGAGTCTCGAGCGGACCATGGGTGCTCAAGTTGCGCAGATCGTCCACGGGACGGAACAGATAGAGCTGAGGTCCTTTGCGACGCATGTGTTGTAACATGGTCCATATTTCTGTACGCGATTTCACCCACGAAGAGAAACGGGTCTCGAAGCGAGTATCCGGCGACTCGTTGATGTACGCTGTAAAACATAAAAGGAAAAAGTAGCGCTGGAGGCCATTCAGTGCCTTTTCCAAGTAAACATTGTTCGATCCCTCGTATCCAGAAGACGGCTCGGTTGTATGTCGAATGCGGTACATGAGAATATCCTCACGCAGATTGACGACCGCATCAGCTAATAAATATCCCGCACAAATTAAGTAAAAATGGTGGAATACGACAACATGCAGCAGTGTTCAACCTACATCGGTCAATGACTTCATCTAGCATCTTCTTGCTATAGATACCGCTGTCAAGCACAGACGTTAATGCAACAATAGCTTGATAATTGCCCATAATCGCTTCCTTCAAATTTTCAATCATCACGCTGCGTTCCAACGTCCACTCAATGGCTGAACGAGGTGACATCTTGGAGTTTAACCCTGACAGCATGAAAAATTTACCGGAAATCAGTACCTGACCATGGGCAAAAAAAGAAACGAAGAGTCGGCAGCCTACCTTTCTCCAATACATAGACTAATCGTAGTAAAGCATGGTTCTGATGACTTGCAATATCCGCTTCTTCCATGCCTTTCATGAGTTCAGGCGAAATAGCCAACTGGGCCTCTTCACTGTTTTCATCCAAAATCAAGGCAGTGGAATTATATCCGGGTATCGGGAACGGGTCGGCACAGCCTCTTTCGATCAACTGGGTACGTCGAATAATTTGAGCAATGATAATGCCAACCGTCGCTGCAGGTTCCCACTGCTCGTTACTTATCGGGTCTTCAAATAACAATTGATCACTGTCACTTACTTCGCACGCCACCCATGCCACAGTTGAAAATCAGGGAATCGGTGGGATCCAAGGATTTAATCACTCGCACGTATTCATCAAAATAGTTGTCTTCGGGAGCTTGTTCAGGCGAAATGGGAATACGGAAAAACTTGAGACGATATCCTTCAGCTTGGAAGACTCGGAATACTATATGAAACGTGTAAAAATCCTAAGGTTCATATCATATCTCCTTGACGACTCGGCCCATTCTTACCTTCGCGTGGTGTTTGCACGGTATCAGCTGCAATATAGCAAGGCACCACTGTTCCATCGGCTAAACAAAAAGAAAACCACCATGATCAGCACAACAGCAAATCAGCCACTCTTCGATGAGAAAACTCACATAATTCTTGATGGACCAGGAGCAAGCCACCCATACTGGAAGCTTCCTTCAGTACGTCGGCTTTCAAGCGCTCCTCCACCTTTTCTAAACGGACCGAATTGATACCCAAAAACGCCCCCATATTCTGCATGGGGTCCGCATAGTCACGCAAAACGTAAGGGTAACCATTTAAGTAAACTTTTTTCCCACGTTAGCATATTATTCATGCAGCGTATCCGGTGGCTCACTCGATCTCTTATCTTACCCAATGGTTCCTCCCGTGTCAAAAACCTAAAACAGTCATCTCATCAACAAATGACTCTCAGCTGATAAAAAGCCTAATATAAAGGAGAAAAAAAAACCAACACATACCAAGTACAGGATGACTGTGTTAAACTCTTGGGATGGCAATTCAATAAAGCCAAGATACTGGATAAACCGATAACCTGATAATAAAGTTTAGCTTAGAGTTCCTACCCTTTGCTCGTTTTTACCCCATTGACTACATACCGTGGGTTGAGCAACACCGTAGACATTCAAACCTGCCACACGAAAGTTTGGTGCACCCTGCAAATGAAAATCGAGTTTTGTATTCATGCCTAGATGTGTTTGACAGCGTTTAGCTACCCGATCCCACTTTGATGACCACCTTTTTTGCTGTCGGCGTACCTCTTGGAAAATGATCCATTTTCAAAATGGTGTTGCGAGTGAGTACATGTCCACTGCGAGTTTTGAGAACATGTGAGACCATTTTTAGTAGACGTCGAGGATCCTTGCTTTGTGGTGGTTCTTGACGCACGAGGTCTGAGTTTTCCGCCGAAGACGGGATAGGGCCATTGGTAGGACGAGGATGGTCCGAGCTGGAGTTGCTCGGATACGATTGCGAGTTTCGGCGTGAACTCGTCGACACTTCCTCACTATCATAACGGCATTGTTACTTCTTTTTTATTCCTTTGTTGGACATCCTAGCTTTACAGAACACACAACTTACAGTCGAGGAGGTACAAAGCGGCCATATTGATGATCAGAATGGTCTAATGCTCGCCGATGCAACGACCGAGGGGAATGGGGAAACGAGTGTTTTCGTTCATGGTGGTGCCTTGTTGGAGCCGCCAGTGGCGATGAAGCAGGTGAAGTTGGACTCGACGATGTGGACATGGTGAACACTCGTCGCGAAGAGAAAAGTAGCAGAAAGAAGAATACAGTTGGCTGAGTTTTCACTCCGCCAGGCTTTTTGTAGCTGGGTCACCAAAACCCAAAAATGAAACCAAAAATACGTCATAGGCCTGTTTTCGTTCCGACAGCTGTGTGTTTGTACACCTGCCCATTTCAATTCAGGAACACCGGCATTGTCATGGATTTACCATTTTTCTGATTTATCTGATGGATTCTATCAAACTTGACGTTACTGGATAATTTCAACGTATTATTGTCCGGATACGAACTTCTCATCAAGATGATTTCTATTGGCCGACGTCGTTTCACTGGTTCAACGCGCTTTGCCGTAATTTCAATGACAGCCTATATCTTATACGGCATGAATTTTCTGTCTGCACTGTAGGATCACAAACACAGTAAGGCTTTTTTTTTTTTTTGCCACGCTTTGGGATCTCGCATCAAACTCATCATTTGTATCCCGTGGTTCCTGAAATTCTCGGAAACGACTATTTCCGGTAATTGTGTGAAACCTTTTGATGTCCATGCTGACTCACGCCATTTGTGGAACCTCGGTTACTATAACGCAAAAGACTTTCTCAAAAATGAAACCAGAGCCGAATGTGGGGGTTACGAACGAGTTGTTATTTCAGACGAGAAAATGCTATTTCAAGTGCATCCAACCAACTATGCAGTTCATTTAAAGATTGCACCAACTCTTGCTGAACGCTTTCGTCCGTGCCAAGTCCGTCCAGTTGCAAAGGACGCACCACTGGAACATCTTCAACTGCACGTCCGGTAAGCCCAGGGGTCAATGACATTGGTACAGGACTTCCCCCCTTGGAAGAACCCGTCCGTGATTCCGCCGTATATTTCTCATTAGGCTTTCCTTTATGGCTCTGTTTTGTCTCCATGCTCCCTGCAGAGGCCGCCGTCTCAAGCGTACTTGTCGCTGATTCCAGAGCGGATCCCATTCCGTGCTACACCACAGTTGGTCAGATCCTAGGATACCAATATTTTGCCACGCATCACGTATTTTTTTACCTTTCTCGATTCGTCCACATGATCAGCACTGATACTCCGTCGATGAGATTCATAGGTCTGCGGCGTTTGTTTACCATCAGGTGTCATGCTTGATTGTTTCGACATTTTTACAGGCTGTTGTGCATGTTTCGATGCTTGGTAGATCTGCTGTTGTTTATTGGCAACGAGGGTTTTTAGTGGCATACTGTCCTCCTCCGAGTGACGAAGACTAATAGCGGATCGTACGCGACGAGCTAAAGGCGATGACGTATTCACATGTCCTTTAAGATTGGAAGTGGCATTGGGTATAGCTTCTGCGAAACTTGGGTGATGGCCGTGAACCGCATGCGCGTGAGACGATCCGCTTCTATTTTGATCAAGCACCATGCGTTGGTCGGAATGCGACCTTGCTCGAGACATGGGTCGGCCTTCGAGACCGGTATCTGAAGATGCCGATCGATTGGATGGTGACAATTTCGCGGTGGAGGGACTTCCCAGCGGTGCGTGGGAACGTATATGTGCACCAGGCACCAACTTCCCACTGCTCGACAGTATTTCAGACGAGGTATTGCTGACTTCCGAAGAGGGTGTTCCTATGGTTTCGCTGTAGGTAGGCTTCAACGTAAGCGGACTCACAGGTCGGATGGTGTCTTGGGGTGCTGATAAATTGGTCGACGCATCTTCCCGATTCATCTGCGGCGATATAGGGAATAGGAGAGGGGAATGATTAGCGGGTTGGGGAATGGAGGTCATGGACGGATTCAGATTAGAGTGGGCTTTCACGGTAGGCGAATAATCGATCTGTTGCGATGAAGTAGCGGTACGAAGAGGTTTCATGGTGGAGGTGGCTAACTGTGAAGTGGCACTGGCAGTGAAATCAATGACAGGTGACGGTGATAGAGAGGGGTGGGAAGGCGTTGCAGTCGAAGACGGATGCTGAGAAGAAGACATGAAATTGAGTGGCGCTGAATGAGCCATATCAGTTGTTGCCGAGGAAGATGAAGCATTGGGTGCATTGGCAAACAGTCGTAACAGGGGCAACGATTCAGGATTGCGATGGAAAGGACGATTCAGCGGTGAAGATCCACGACCATTTGGTGAACCGGCCACGTCGGTTGTCGAATGAAACAAATTATCTGTCATGGGCTCTGACAAAGGTAAGCTCCTCGGCTGCGTCACGGTGTCATTTCCGTGGAGCGTTTCGTTATGTTGAACATTATCCCTAATCGTCTATCCTCCGGTATTAGCTTATTTAGACTTTAGTCAGCGTTTTAAAAAACTCCCAAATACTTGCATCAAAGATCCATCCATCTTCAGCGATTCCCTCGAAAGAATCCATCTCACCAGCACGGTCTTCACTGCGACAAGTCCGCATGTGAGCTAAAACGGATCTATCCAATGAACACCAAACATTATCCATGTATTACCTATCACTGAGATCATCCGATATTATGCTGAGACGTTTGTTGGTTTCATTGTTGTTTTTCCACCATTCATAACGGGCAATGAGATTTCGTAAAATAGCTTTGGGTGTTTTGTTGGAGCTTTTGATAAATTTGGTTTTCATCAACTCGTCGGCGTTTAATCGCTGTCAGAAAAATCGTAAAATCAGCAAGACGCATGAATCGCCAGTGCAACCCAAGCAAACCCTACATCATTCGGATCTTCGCATAAACACGATTCAATGAAATCTTTTAGTTGGGTGGAGTGAGCATCATCCATCGTTGGCGGCTTAGTTTTCGGGATCAGTATGACCGCTCGCATGGGATCGACGTGAGCCAAGGGCGGGTTTCCTATGATCATCTCATATACAGTGATACCCAACGACCATATATCCGCCTAGAACACGATAAAATCGGTGTCAATACTGTTTGCAGGCCGATATGTATGCGACGTAATTGAATAATCGGCATCATATCTACCTTGTAATCGTAAGAAGCTCCTTCTCTGATGACTTCCGGTGCCATCCAGTATCTGCATAGGCAAGTTAAGAAAAAGGAACGTACTGGGCAATAGTGTATTTTCGCGTAAATTCAACATACGGTGTACCGACGAATGTGTTTCTTTTGAGCGAACTAACAGACGTCTGCCCTGCCACGCCAAAATCACACAGCTGAACATTGCCCTCTGCGGTCAAAAGGATATTCGCCGCTAAATTCAACCATGCAATCCAGTTAGTCGTCTGTCTCCACAAATCATCATCATCATCCAACGCACACCTTTGATATCTCTATGAATGATGTGATTCTTGTGCAAGTAGGATAACGCCAACAAAACTTCCCGTGTAATAACAGAGGCATATTTTTCTTCAATAGGACCTGACTTCATCTGTGAAAAACTGTGTCAGCCTTCCATTTCACCATCAAAAAGAAGATGCGTAACAATTTGGGGACGATGGACGTACAATAGTTCGGACACTACCGCCTGCAGCGTAATCCATAATGATCCACAGTTTGGTGTCGTTCAATATACTTCCATAATAAGGCGTAATATTTCGAGAACGAGCGAGAGTCAGCTGGGACAATAGACTGATTTCCTTCTGAATATCGTCGACGTCATCTTCCTCGGTGTCTAGGTTGAGCACCTTGATTGCGACGATTTGCTTTGTCTTGTTGTTGATCCTGCAAAAATGATTAGAAAGGGAATGAGCCATTCAAACAGGCATGAAACCCCATCACGTACCCCTTATAAACAGAACCATAGGCACCTTTACCCACTCTTTTCAGTTTGGTATAAAGCTGTGAAGCAGGCACCGCCGGCTTCTGTGACAAGGCGGACATGCTCGAGATCTTGCAAAAGAAACAAGCCGTTGGCCTACTGCAGGAGAGCGCCTATTCTTCCTCCGCTGTTTTGTGACTGCCAATGACGTTGGGCCTATCGTTTTTTTGTGCGCGTTTCCCAGAGACGTCTAGTGTTATTATCATAAGGTCTTTTTTGCTTTTGTACCATCTTCATCCTCAATTTTTTTGATATTATTACTGTAGGAATTTTGTTACAAATGGGATGGTGATGAAAACTGACATATTACGTTCATTTGCATTTTTGTTCCTATCCGTGGGAGAACACCATGAAATCTTGAGTCGATTGTTTCAAAAATTCAAAGAAAAAGCTCTTGGCGCATGTAAAAATGATTGACATTTACGCAATCTCGTGTCTTGCATCCCATGTTCTTTTTGTTGACAGAGTACTAAATATGCCCAAGAACGCTTGATTTGTCATTTTTTGTGCAATGTTACCGCGATGTCAATTTTTGACGTTTCTGATCGACTTCAATCCTTGACCACTAAACAAAACGATATATGATATGATACTCACTCTAAGATTTGGATGTACGAACAATGCCAATTTAATTTTCGTCAGAAATATACGTCTGCTATGGTTTTTTTTTGACGATGATGGATCCATGATTCCCATTTATTTATAAACCGCGTTGCGATTGGGATGCATAGCATATGATTTAAACAAACTCGATTATTTCTTTTTATCTCGTTCATGGTTGTTGCGCACGAATTATTAACTATTTGGTTTCCTGTGATCCGCTCATGGTATCTACCATCTGTCAAGCAGAGGAGCAAATGGGTATCATAACAAAATCATTTGGGGTTTTGTGAAGCTGAAACATCGTTCAAATTGACATAACCAGGTACAGCCCATCTCACAAAGAGATTGATTTTTGAATTAGCTGGCGTTTCGCTCACAAAAAAAAAAAAAAAGCGCGAAAAACGAGAATTAATATACAAGTGACAGTATCATACTGTAAGTGAGATGAATTTGATGGTGCAAAGAAAGTAAAAGCTCATCTCCATCCAAAGAGGCTGCGGTTAAGTTTGACAGCTTCAAATTAATCTTTTGATCTCCATGCATACCGAAAGAGAAACATGATCATGAAACCTCATTAAATTGCTGATGTCTACCTACACCAATGAATTTGACCGTCAATGCCTACATCGTGTATAATACCAGGAGTCGACCCACAGAAAGAGTCACAGCATCACTGATTACAAAGAAGTCCATTAGAAGCGGATCTATTTTACTGTCATTTTCATGCAGCGGGAACCGAATAAGGTCCGCAGCATCCCTTTTTTTTTTAAAAAAAAAAAAAAGATGAACTTGGCCACTTCATTTTCCATGGTTTCTTTAAACCTGACACTTTACTTTCTTGACATCGTCGTTTCCCTTGCACAAAATAATGGTGGATTCCCCACTTTCCGCATCTTTTTTCATCGAGATGCGAGCTTGTTAGAAAAGTTGATTTTGCTAGGCATGCCCTTTTTGGTAGCCAAGAACCCATATCAAAAAAACGATGGTAGCCAAATTTGGGCCATTCGTCGCAAACAGAGGGATGGACGTTGCCGACATGATGTCAATTATGTATTCAATCCAATGAAATGAATAGAAGCAAACTTTATGTGAAAAAGTTTTTCAAACGACGACGGAAAACGATGAATGATAGGACGAAAAAGGGCGTCTTTTTTCTTTTTGTTTTTTGGCTCTTTTCGTCTTTTTCTTCGTTTTTCTACTTCTGCTACTCTCCCATGGCTCTTTTGATAAGCTGCTAATGGATCATCATGTCATTTTTTCTTTAGATCTCTTTTGTGGATGATGGATGGCAGCATTTTCTTTTCTTCACAGTAATTTATGATTACAGTTGAAGGACATCGTTTACTGATACTTGCCCTTTTCCCCCCATTTTTTACTATAGGTCGATAATCTAAACAAGGTAAGTGAGCAAGGTAAGTGAACAAGGTTAGTGAACAAGGTAAGTCAAGAAGGTAAGTGAACAAGGTAAGTGGTCCCCCATCTTCCCTTTCCTCTCTTTTCGACCCTTTCATTCCCTCCTTTATCTACCCTTCTTCACTATCCTTTTCCCTTTCCTACTCTCTCTTCCCTCCGCTTCCCTCCCCTTCTGTTTCCTTTCCTTTCCTCTCTTCCTTTCATACCCACTTTCCGACTTTCCTTCCCTTCCCTATCCTTCCTTTTATTCGCTTCCCTTTCCTTCCCTTCCTTTCCCTACCCTCTCTTCCCCGTCCCCACCCTCCTTCCCTTCCCTTTCCTCTTCCTCTTCCTCTTTTTGCTTGATTTTTGGTTCCGATTGGCTGGCTGATGGTAAGTACCTTTTTCCTTTTTTTTTTTTTTGTCGTTTGCTTGTCATCCATCATCCTCCGGCGATGCCTGCCTTATGCTGTCTCCATGGTTTCTCCTCTGGTTTGCTTGCCATTCCCATCATGGTTTCTCTTGGTCGCAAGTCCTTGGTCCCCGGTGAACTTCCTGTGGCTTGCTTTAATATAGCTATTGTATCATAAATTGTAGTCTGTCACGTTTGTAAATAAAATACTTTCCTTTTCACCTTCACAACGTTATCATAATATCAATAAAACCTTATCTTAAACCGCCCCGGAACAGTTTTCATACGGAAACATACATTCCATGTGTTTATAGAAGCATAACAAGAAGGATAAAGCCAAATTTTGGTTTGTACTTGTTCAAGTTTGTTCTTGGGGCCAAACTGAATTGACCATGTAGCTTATGCGGCCGTTTCTTTCTCTTTGTGTGTGTGTGTGTGTGTGTGTGTGTGCGTGTGTTTCGCCTTACTCCAACATGTTGTATTATGTGTCTTATTCTTAATGTTATGCTGCGAACAATTTTCCAGAATCTTTTATGATTACATGAAAATTTCGATTTTAATTCCAGTCCGTCAAGTCCATTACATAACAGACACAGTCTATGTAACGGCGCCAATACCGATTCTCGAGTTGACCGAAATTCAGAAAAAAGAAGATCCACGAAGTGCATGGTGACAATCGTGTCACACCACCCAAAGAGCCTAGTCAACATTTCCGAACAGGCGGCGTAGCATTATCTATAATCATGAGGGATATTACAATTTTTATTTTTTTTTGGGTGTTGAATGAAAGCAAAAAGTTGTATGATGATGATGATTTTTTTTACTGCTTGCGTTTGCCTTTTCTGATTTCAGGGAACTTGAGAGGGACGACCAAGACGGCCTTCTTGGGACTGGTTCTGCTATCAAAGCCGGCAGCGGAAATTTCTTCGGCGGTGCACTTGTCTATTTTACAACCCAAGTTTCTAAGCATGTTGGCGGCCTTGGATGGCTTGATGGAGAGGTCTTTGGAAAGAGAATCAGGATATAACTTGAAATCAGCGACATACAGACACAGCACAAACAGATAACACAATATCTTGTCCGCCATCAACGGGGTACGGCTGAAAGAAAATACATCGAGTTAGCCTAATCACTCCAATTTACATTAAAAGTAATTCCTTACACATTGGAAATGGTGAATCGTTCGGTTAACTTGTCCACAATGATGGAGGGAGGGTTTTGTAAGGCGGCTTCAACTCTTCTGCGTTGTTTCAAATCGTCGGGTCGGATCTTGCGCAGGTATGCCATCAAGTAAGAAATATATACAACCATACGAAGCTTCTTGCGGTCCTTCTTGCCACTGCCCTTGATAATGGCCATCACACGGTCATTGACAAACGATGATAAACTGAAAGGCAAAAGATTCTGTACACCTTCCAATGTCGTCTCTTTCAACAAATCCTTTACAGGGACCGCGTTCAACTCGTCGTCGGTAACAATGCTCGAAATATCGTAGGCTTCTTCGGGAGTGGTGGCTTCCATATTGTGTGCAGGAATGGGCAATTCCTTTTCCATTTCCTTGCGCAGTTCCGCTTGTGATGGGGTGTTGGCAGTCGATTTGCCAATTTCGTGATGAATCGAGGCCATCACGTCTTCCAGTTCTTCACCCTTGACCAAATTGCGCTCCTCATCACGCAATTGAGCCTTGGCTTTGGCAGTACCAAAAGCCAGACCAAGAGCAGCTCGTGCTTGGCCGTAGGTATTGCTGGCAGAAGTCTTTTCACTCGTCGAGGACATGAGAGCCTTCACCTTTCGTCGCATGGCCATGACCGACGTCGGTGCAACGGTGAGTTCCTGTTTTTCCTTTGAAAAAACGCCAACGAGATATCTAAATAAGCAAGTTCAGTATCCCACATGGGTTGTTGATCTGCCCACAAGTCGACGATTCCTTACTTGCAGTAAACGCCTTGAGCTGCTTCGTCGCCAAAGTTGGCTGCTGAAAATACGACCTTCTCGGTCTCGCCGCTTACAAAGCGATGATTCTGTCTCTTCTTTGGGACATCACCTTGAAGTTTGTATGGGGTGAATCGAGTGTCACTGGAAGGCTGTGTACCGGGAAAGGCGGCTGTGAAACGGGTGAGTGGAAACTCATCAAAGATCGAGGGTGGGGGAATGTATAGGCTACGTTACCCAAGAATGGTGGTTCGATATTGTCCTGTTTCTTGGCTAAGCTCACTTTGATATGCTTGCCACTCTTGCTTTCAGAGCCCTCGGCGTGCTTTCTCTTGCCCATTTGCAAACTGACGGACTGGCCAAAAGTGTGTAATTTAAAAAAAATTGGCAGATTTCCTACTTTAACATGGTGAGTGGCTTCGATGAATACAAGTCACAATATCGCATTTGACGTGACCCCGCCGGATCTCCAAATCGTCCCAAATTCCACACCTTTTCCGACGACTGACGTTATCAGTTGCAATAAAAAAGAACGCACCCGTCTGCCCTCACACAATGGATACCGATTCAAAGATTACGGATTTCTGCGCTGTAACGGGCGCTTCTACAGAAGTGGCTGAGAATTATCTACAAGTAGGCTATGCCAATCGAAAATCGCGGTTTAGTCTGCACAGTGGTACTAACTTGCTGCTCTACAGATTGCTGACGGTGACGTTGAAACGGCCGTGACACTATACTTGGAAAGCGGTGATGGCGCTTCCCAGCCGGTTCCAACTGCCACCGAAACCGATACACGACAGTCAACACCTAGCTGGCAAATGGAAGACAGCAGCATGTTAACAGACGAAGAACTGGCTCGTCAGTTTCAGCAGGAAGAAGAAGAACGACAACAACGAGTCAGAGCGCCCATCGCCCCAAAACATGATATCCTTGCAGGTGGCAGTCCAATGTTTGATGAACAACCGTTTTGGCGATCGAGCGATGGTGAGAATGCAACTCGTTATTTTTTTGCGTTATGACTCACTTCTTAAACGTTTGGTTCTAGCCACAACTTATCCACCTCGCTCCGTCTTTAACCAAGGCGATTCTTCCACAAGCCCTCGTGATCCACTAGCAGGTAGATCGTCGTCATTTTTCAGACACGAAAAAATCAATTGGACAATGATACAGCCATCAAGCTAACACTGGTTTTTCACTCCCAGGCCGATCCACCTCTTTTGCCCCAGTGAATCCCACCGGTTCACCAGCCGTCTCTGCAAAAACAAGACGACTGGCTGATCTTTTCCGTCCTCCATTTGACATCATGTTTGAAGGAGGTTTTGAGGAGGTGAGAGATCACGACTCCCTGAATCATTTTGAGCTTTCTAACCGTCAATGTCGAATTCTTTCTAGGCACGGGCTGCAGCACGGGAAAAGAATAAATGGCTGCTGATCAATATTCACAATCCAACCGAATTCGCATGTCAGGTGCTCAATCGAGATTTATGGAGTGACCCATTCGTCAAGGACCTGGTGAAAGAATCGTTTATTTTTCTTCAGGTAAAATGAACAAAAGCTATACACGCGCAGAACTGCTCAGGGCATAACGTTTTATTGTACAACTAGTACCATAATGATACACCTGAAGGAAAACGCTATTTGACGCTTTATCCTATCCAAACATATCCCCATACAGCCATCATTGATGCACGCACAGGTAATTTATCCCTCAGATGTCGCAAGTGTAATCATTATCTGACGGTGTTTCTGGTCAGGCGAACGGGTCAAAGTGTGGGAATCGACATTGACACCCAATGATTTCCTCATGGAAGGTAAGAATTGAAGTCAACGATTTTGACGTGTAAACATGTTGTTGCTCACATTTGGTATCTATTAGTGACTGAATTTCTGGAACAGAGTGCACCCCCAGAGGTTGCACGTTCGGCAGCCATGAAACGACCACGTACAATGAAGGTGTGTGTCTTTTTTCAGATTTCCAAAAGAAAAGGGCGATTGTCTAAATCAGACCATCCTCATAGAATATATCCGACATGAGCGAAGAAGAACAAATCAATGCGGCCATTGCAGCATCGTTGGGCAGTACACCTCAAACCATGAGTTCCACCAGTCACGAAGGATCCCAGATATCCTTGGATGATGAAGCAAAGGTTGAGGAAGCAGAAAATGAGGCGAAACCAGAAGAACAGGAAGAAGAGCAAAACCAAGTCACCTCGGTGTTGGACTCAATACAACCTGTGCAAAGAGATGAACCAACGGATCTGGCAAATTCCACACGTATACAGATTAGAATGGCGGATGGAAGTCGCCTAATTCGACGATTATTAAAGTCGGACCCTGTTCGATATTTGTTTGAATTCATCAAATATCAAGTGCCAGAAGCACAAAGCAGGCCGTTTGAGGTAAGTATCTGATCTCCGGTATGCTACGCACTTGATCTCATGTGTTTAATGATTTTGCGTTTTTTTTTTCGTATTTAGTTGGTATTTAACCGTCAGCAACTGATTGAATTGGTGGATCAATCGATTGAAGAAGCTGGGCTGGCAAATGCGGCTGTTAATTTTGTCTTTGCCTAAGCCTAACCAAATGTATAATTTGAATTTCCCCATTCCTTTTTTTTTTTTTATTTTTTTTTTTACTCCACCTCTATAATTTGTACCTATGCAAGCACATCCATCAAGCCATTCATTCACCCTGTTCATTTGACGGTGCTTTTTAGCAAGTTGAACATATATGTATACGTGGCACTGTTTCTCTTCCATGCGGTGCGTTGCGGCTCATCTGTTTCTTTGGTCACAACAGCCATTCATCATGCACGTTCCGTACTGTGCGGTATCATGCAAATAAAAACGTCAAGTAGACGAAGGAGGAATTGAAAAGCATCATGGCAAGTGTTTTTATCATACGATAAAGGAACGAAACATTACAGATGAATGAGTAGTCATCAGGGCTGATCACGCATCGTGCGAAAAATGCCGGGAAATTCTCACGGTTTTCGTTGTTTTGTTTTTGAGCTGATTCCATGGTCGACGTATGCATCGGATGGATATAATGCTCGAAATATTGTAACCGAAATAAGTATCACGGAATATTTACAAAGTTAAAATCAGATGGACTGATATCATTGTTTGTCCATTTTTGTCTTCTCTGCTCCAATATGACATGACAGTGAATTCTCTTTCACGTTCTTTTTTATTCTTGTTATTGCCCCTTCAATAAGTCCCCTACCAGAAATGCATCGAACGTTATTACACCTGCAAAAACGGTTAAATATCTATAGCCAAGCAAACACAATCGTAAGTAGAATCATTTAGATTGGACGTCGATACAAATTGACATACCCAGATACGTTTTTCATTACTGTAGACGCGCACGTTCCATGGATCCACATGGCTGCGAAACGCGGTAAAAAGAGAATGTGACATTGTCATTTATGTATTTTTCCTAATCCCAAACACCTTGCAGTCAATTAGTACGTCAAAGGAGGGTCATCAACGGACATTGCAAGCACTTGATCAATCGGACCGGTACACGCTCCCAACTTACAGTCGCCCTGATATCATTATTGAGCGAGGGAAAGGCGCTTTTCTCTTTGACACTGAAGGACGGTCTTATCTTGATTTTACCGCTGGTATCGCTGTCACGGCTCTCGGACATGCGGATGCCACCGTGGCCCAGGTGCTCTATGATCAGGCAACCAAACTGGTTCACATTAGCAACGCTTTTCACAACGAAAATGCGGGAAAACTAGCTCAAAAGATCATCACCACCACTCGGCAGCATGGAGGAGACTGGGCCTATCAGTTATTTTTCTCTAATTCCGGCACCGAAGCCAACGAAGGCGCACTCAAGTTTGCTCGTAAATGGGGAAAACATATCCAAGGAAATGACAAGTACGAAGTGGTGTGCTTTACCAATGCTTTTCACGGACGATCCATGGGTGCCTTATCAGCCACCTTTAACCCAAAATATCGGGAGCCTTTTTCCCCGTTAGTGCCAGGTTTTGTGAGAGTGCCGTTCAACGACACAGAGCAGGCGACAAGAGCCATTACAGAAAAAACATGTGCCGTAATCATCGAACCCATCCAAGGTGAAGGGGGGATCCACGCTGCTTCGGCAGAATTTTTAAAAGCTTTACGGTCCCGGTGCAATGAAAAGAAAGCCCTTCTCATATTCGACGAGATTCAGGTAAGATAGCAAAAAATGAAGGTTCTTTTTTGTTTGACTTTTTTCATTATCGATCAATCTGCATTAAAAGACCTCGAAGACATGAAACAATCTGATATGGTTCTATGAGATATAGTGTGGTTTGGGTCGTACAGGCAAACTTTGGGCTCATCAACACTACGGTCAGCATTGTCAACCTGACATGCTCACGATGGCCAAACCGCTCGCCAATGGTATTCCTATTGGGGCTGTTATGACCAATGCCAAAGTAGCCGATATGCTTGTTATCGGTAGGTTGCATGATTTTTCTATTTCTATTTTTCGATGCTTATCAATGAGTATCAAACATGGGATTTTTTTTTCCAAGGGGATCACGGTACGACATTTGGTGGAAACCCTCTGGCCACCGCTGCTGCATTATCCGTGTTTGAAAGAATTAGTGAACCCGCGTTTCTCGATACGGTCACTGTTTCAGGAGCATTGCTCAAAGATGGATTGATGAGTTTAAAGGAACAGTATCCTGATATCATCCAACAAGTGCGCGGTCAGGGATTGCTCCTGGGATTGCAGTTCAGCAAAGATCCTGCGCCTCTGGTCAAGATAGCTCGCAAGCATGGATTGCTCATCCTAACCGGTGCTGGAAACACCGTTCGTATTGTCCCCCCTCTCAATATAAAACCAAAAGAATTATGCCTTGGGCTGGAAAAGTTGGGCAAGGCGTTACAACAGTTTTTATAGAAACGATTTCCCATTCAGAATATTATTGACAATAAATTGTCGGCCACGCTCGGATTTTCCGCCTTGCAATAGCCCGTTTTCTTCCTCTTCCCGCAAAGAGAAGAATTCGAAACGCCCATTGCTCAAGTACAAGGATGAGATTCATCATGATGGGAATAAAGAAAAGAAAAAAAAATTCTCACACATCACACCAGTGACTCATAATTTTTTCTTTGGTGGACGTAGTTTGACTGCGTTTTTTTCATGCAGGAAAAGAGAGCATGCATACGCAAGAAAAGTTCTGCAAATAACTTGCAGAAAAAACCAAGCTAGAGCGTCTCTTTTTTCTTTTTTGATGGTCAAGATCCTTCTACGGTGTCATTTCAACAAATTGAAATATCTATATAATTAAAATCTTTGAAAAATTAGCAATTTGTAAATCACATGACTTCCACGGAACCTTTTTTTTTTGCCTTCTCTCTTCAGAACCTCTTATTATTCTTTTTTTTTTTTTGTGCCTTCTTTTCTTCTTCAACTACACTAAGCTATCAGAACTTCTTAATATCTTTTTGCAATACACCAAGTCATTAGAATCTCAATTCTTTCGATTGGTGCCTTTTTCTTCTTTGAACCATGCCTCGCTGCCCATCTTGCAACGGCAACGATCACCAGCGTTCTACCAATCGTCGTTGCCCAAATTTCTCTCCACGAAACACTACTATAAATAATGGGCGAAACAATGAGCAGCAAAATGCGGTTTGCACCAGTTGTGGTCAAACAGGACATCGTCGTCGCTCAAACCGCCATTGTCCCCTTCATAATCAAGACGGAAATACAGAAAATTTCACCAATGTGGCTCGCGATCCCAATGTCTCGATGCCAAATCTTCATAATGTAGGAGCCATGAATGTCATCTGCAGCCACTGTCAGGCACGAATGTGGAGTGGAGAAAAAACTGCTGGAAGTACTATGAATGATCCTAAGTTTCAGCTCTGTTGTGGAAATGGTCAATTTGTACTTTCTCCTCTCAAACCCACCCCTCCTTTGATTGCCTCGCTTTTGACAGGGACTGGGGCGCAAGCAAAAGATTTCCGGCTCAAGATCAGAGCTTATTGTAGTGCTCTCAGTTTTACTTCTCTTGGTATAAATTTAGACGAAAGTGTAATGAATGGCAGACGGGGCGCTTACTGCTTCCGTATTCATGGAAGTGTTTACCATTTGATGGGATCGCTACTTCCTGCTAATGGCCAACGACCTGCATTTGCACAAATATACGTCCATGATACTGACAACGAAATATCAAATCGACATGCAATTGCAAGCCATCTCGCGCGAGACACCTTGGAAGTACTTCAGCAATTAATGCATGAAACCAATCCTTTCGTCCATCTTTTCAAGACAATGGCCCAATACATACAGGATAATGGTGGTGCTTCCAACATCAGAATGATTATTCGAGCTGACGATGTCCCAGATCCACGACGCTATAATGCACCAAATGCTTCTGAAATTGGTGTCATTATCGGTGAAAACGCAGAGGCCTCTGGAAGGGATATTGTGATCTGTACGCGTAGTAACCAACTGACATCAATCAGTGAGATGCATCGCCTGTATGACCCACTCCATTACGTGCTGATGTTTCCTGAAGGCGACCCTGGGTGGAACATTGAAACTCGATCGACCAGAAACGAGAAAGTCACCGTGATGAACTACTACAGTTTCAGATTGATGTATTGAAATGATGGACACCACTTGCACCTCTTTGGCCGACTCTTTCAGCAGTATATCGTAGATATGTATGCCAAGATGGAACAAAACCGCCTCAATTACCTTCGCCTCAACCAGGCCCGACTGCGTGCTGATGTGTATTCAGGCGTACAAGATGCTCTCCAACTTGACGACAACAATATGAATATGAATTCCATCGGTCAGCCTGTCATCCTTCCGTCGTCATTCATTGGCAGCCCTCGAAACATGCAACAGCTGTACCAAGATGCAATGAGTATCGTCAGATGTTTCGGAAAGCCTGACCTCTTCATTACATTCACGTGTAATCCAAAATGGCCAGAAATTCGGAATGAGCTTCTTGCTTCACAGACAGTATCTGATCGGCCAGATTTGACAGCACGAGTTTTCAACCTCAAGCTCAGAGCTCTTTTGAAGGATCTGACAAAAAATCATACACTTGGAAAAGTAATTGGCTACGTTTATACCGTCGAGTTCCAGAAAAGAGGATTGCCTCATGCGCATATTCTACTCATTTTAAAAGAAGCCGATAAACCTGTGACGCCAGAGCACTACGATTCTATCGTATCGGCGGAGATACCTGATCCACAGCAGTTCCCATCTGCTCATGCAACTGTCACGAACCATATGATGCATGGCCCATGTGGAATAGCAGCCTCGCATCCATCGCCATGCATGGAAAACGGTCGGTGCACAAAGCACTTCCCGCGTGCATTTCAAGAAGAGACAACGTGCAACGAAAATGGGTATCCTCTGTACCGAAGGCGCAATGACGGAAGAACCGTACGCAAAAATGGGATTTTACTTGACAACCGATGGGTTGTGCCGCATAATATTTACCTCTGCTCGAAATATGACGCACACATCAATGTCGAAATATGCACAACCATTAAATCAGTCAAGTATATCTACAAATATGTCTTCAAAGGACACGACCGTGCATCCGTTGTACTCCAGCCCGAAAACCATGATGAAATCCGTCAGTATCTTGATTCTCGGTACGTGTCAGCGTCTGAAGCCTGTTGGAGAATCTTTTCATTCTCTATGCATCACGAGTTTCCAGCACATCAAAGACTTGCAGTACATCTTCCAGGAGAAGAGATAATTTTTTTCCATGAGGATGAGAGTCCTCAAAATGTTGCAAGCCGCCGACCTTTGACGACATTAACAGCATGGTTCGAAACAAACCAGATTGATCCATCAGCAAGAACCATCTTATACTCTGATTTCCCAAGACATTACGTTTGGAATACAAGTGGAAGAAGAAGATGGACAGTTCGTGTTAGAGGACATAATACTGTTATTGGGCGCATATATAACATCTCCCCGCGGCAAGCGGAAAAATATTATCTTCGCCTCCTTCTCTATCATGTTCCTGGAGCAACTAGCTTTGAGGATCTGCGAACGGTCAACGGCCAACTTTGTTTGACATTCCAAGAAGCTGCACGCAGGCGTGGATTGCTTACCAACGATAACGAATGGGACCACTGTTTGGAAAATGCCGAGATCTATCAAGCACCCAGCTCCTTGAGGATGCTATTTGGCACAATTTTGGCTTTCTGTGAACCGTCTGACCCTTACGCACTTTGGCTTCGCCACAGACAACATATGGTGGAGGATCATCTCCATGCTGATAGAATTGAACAGAATGATGCATCTCTGGAACCAACAGAAACAATGTACGGACGCTGTATCATGGATATCGAGGATTATCTGCAATCACAGTCATTGTCTTTGCAAAATTTTGCTGGATTCTCTCTTCCTGAGGTTGATAGCCGTCCAACTTCCATATCTTTACCACGTCTACCACGTTTAGTTCAAGAACAGCTGTCACTTAACGAAGAAGCACAAAGGTTACCAAACCCAGCCAATCTGGACTTTAACCATGACCAGCAGATCATCTTTGACACTATCATCCGTGCAGCTGACGATGCATCACCAAGGAGCAAGCTATATTTTGTTGATGGACCTGGAGGAACTGGAAAAACATTTTTATTCAATGCCCTACTTTCCCATGTCCGTCGTAATGGAGAAATTGCTTTAGCCGTCGCATCCAGTGGAACAGCTGCTCTTCTTTTGGATGGTGGTCGTACCGCCCATTCACGGTTTAAGATACCATTGACTACGCACGAACATTCCTTTTGTAACGTGTCTCACAGAACGGAGCTTGCCCATTTACTGAAACTTACTAAGCTAATCATGTGGGATGAAGCATCGATGATAAACCGGTTTGCATTTGATGCAGTAGATCGAACATTTAGAGATCTCTTCAAAGCTGAAAACCCACGTCTGGAATCCGTACCGTTTGGAGGAAAGTTGGTAGTGTTTGGAGGTGATTTTCGACAAGTCCTGCCTGTGGTTCCCCGAGGGTCGCGTCCCGATATCGTCAATATGTGTATCAACCGCTCTGCTTCTTGGGCGCATGTGCAAACATTACGCCTGACGACCAATATGCGAGTTCAGAGACCACAACAAAACGAAAGTCCACAGGAACTTCAACAGTTCAGTGAATACTTGCTACGTATCGGTAATGGGACAGAGCCTACACGCTTGAATACAAGCTATATCAGCATCCCCCAAAGCATGGTAATTCCTGGCGAAAACTTGCAAAATTTGACTTCAGCTATATTTCATGACTTTCGGGAAGAGAATCTTTCTTCGCAGTACCTTACATCCCGCGCTATCCTTACACCGAAAAACTCTGACGTTGAGACAATCAATGATCTCCTTTTGGAACAGTTTCCAGGAGAGGCAACAGAGTATCTAAGCGCAGATAGCGTCTGTGATGAAAGTCAACAAATGCTGCATACCGTGGAGGTTCTCAATTCGATCAATCCTGGATGCCTTCCACCACACCGACTCCTACTAAAAATAGGTTGTCCTGTCATACTGCTGCGCAATCTCAATCCATCCAACGGTCTTTGCAACGGAACGAGGCTTATATGCCGCTCATTCCAACAGTTTGTGATCGAGGCAGAAATTGCAACCGGGAAACATGCAGGAAAATTGGTGTTTATACCTAGAATCAAGCTCAAGCCCACAGAAATGCAATCTCCTGTTGAATTTCAACGACGCCAATTTCCAGTGCGATTAGCGTTTGCAATGACAATTAACAAAGCACAAGGTCAGACCTTGGATGCTGTTGGGCTATATTTGCCGGCGTCAGTATTTTCCCATGGACAGTTGTACGTTGCTTTCTCCAGAGTCAAAAAACCATCTGCACTAAAGGTAATGCTTAAAAAAGAAAGTTCATTTTTACAAACTTCAAATGAACATTTCACCAAAAATATAGTATACCCTGAAGTCTACCAATAAATATCCCCAATTGTGATCTTGAAGATCACGGGCTCCACCTAGTCTATATAATTAAAATCTTTGAAAAATTAGCGATTTTGTAAATCACATGATCTACACCAAGTTATCAGGACCTGTTAAACCTTTTTTTTTATCTTTCAACCATGCCTCGCTGCCCACTTTCACGATAATAGGCGAAACAATTAGCAGCAAGATGCCGTTTGCGCCAGTTGTAGTTAAACAGAGTATCGTCGTCTTTCGAATAAAAATGTGAGTAGAGCTCTTTTTGAAGAAAAGGGGTTGATGATACGACTGGCGTTCTTCTGTAGCATCATTCAATTTGTTTTTTTTGTCAGTTATACTATATATGTCCTTTCACTCTCTTTCAATTTTCAATGAATCGAATAATACATAAGCAGACGTGCTTCGATCTATGAGTTCATGCACCAGTAAGGTGACTATTGTTTCATCCATGGAAAATCATATATTTTGGTCTTCAATTTTATCTTTCTTCTTTTGATTTTCTCTCTCTCTTTCTGTTTGCTTGATAAACCTCACTATCATTGTATCAAGATCCCATCCGCATCCATCATCCAGACCATTCTTATCCCGTGTACCTAACTTGGTTAAATTGACCACCATCCTCAAAAAGGTAAGCGTCGAGTGGTCTACCATCGATTTTGCTCCGGCAAAACAGACTTACCTCTCCTTTACTTCCATCCTTCTTCCAGCTTCCGGTTTCCGTTTTCTTTTCGCCTGACAAGTTCTGGATACTACAAGTTGACTTTCTCTCGCCATCCATCCATCCATTCATCCATCTGGCGAAATCGGATGACGTCAAAGGCCATCGTTGGTGGTGTGGCTCTTTTTTTAATCAGAAAAACGCTTACGTGTCCTCTTCATGTTCCTTTCCTTTGGATTGCTTCTCATCATATGGTATTCGAGATGTCTTCCCGATTATTTATTTTGTAGTTTATAGTTTGTATTTTGTATTTTATATTTCATGTACATATTCTTTTCGCAGTCTTTTCCTCTTTTTTTCCCACAGGGTTTTTTATGAGGTTTTTACTGACGCGACCATTGTTTTTTTATCATCATGTACTTTATTTGTTTCTTTCTTTTTATTCGGGGGACTCTCGATATATGGAATCCAACTCGAAGTTACCGTCACTTCTGGCCACGTCAATATTTTTTGCCTGCTCAAGCTGACACCACCGATCCATCGCTTAACTGTCCCTGGAAGCAATTTTATTTTCCGCATCGAAGAAGAAGCTTACCTGGCGGTCCGTATCATCTTTTTTTTTGTCCGGTTTACCATTTGGTTCAAAGGCAAGTCCAATTTCTTTTCCTTTGCTATGATGTAAGGAACATATACTAATTCAAATTTTTTTATAATCCAAGTCATGTCAAGTGATCAATTATTATTTATTGAAAACTGGAATAACAAAGGTAAATCTTGACGAAATTAAGATGTCATAAACAAAAGTTTGAGTTGTAGCGAGCATCTTACGGAGTCCACAGATCAATAGCACGGATGGTAAACGTGATGGCGCAGAAAGATATCATAAACGCGTGGAAAAGGTTCTCTTTTTGAATATGTAAAAGCAAATATATGATGGATAAATGCTATTCTAATGGTCAAGGGGTCTGTGGTTGCAAGTATTTATGGCTTGGTGGATTGATATGGGCGTGGTGGTGGTGGGCGATAGGGTTGCAGTTCGTATCGGTCAAACGATATCCTCAAACTAAAATATCTCAACAGTGGCATGGATACGGATTTGAGCTCCTCTTCCGTGGCTGATTGATTGTCCCCTTTTTTTGCTTTGGTCGCTGCGAAGGAAGCCAAAGCCAGTTCCAGTATTTCCCTTGCCTTTCCCATGTATTCTTCGCACGCCTGACAATACACGTAAATTATATGGATGCTGCATGTCTGCAGGATGTCGTCGTCAAAGAGCGTCGTCGTTCTTTGTCGCATCAAAAAAGCGAAGTAATCAACCGCCCGTTGCGGAGTCGGTGCCCGACGCATCATCACCTCAATGCTTCGCTGGAATGCGTCGATTTCGAAACGGGTGTATCGCCGTTGCTCATTCGCCGCTGCATGTTTCGCTAACGGTATGTCGAGTTGATGAACCAATTCTAGGAACAATTCTTCTGCTTTTTTGTAATTGGACCTCTGTATGGCCTCCCATAAGATGGCATACGAGAGTTTTGAAGCTTGACAATTCATATAACGGATATAATGAAAAGAGATGCGTCGAAAAAAAAATAGCTCTTCAAGTACCGTTGTCAGTGCTTTCGTTCGATAGGATCAGGTGACACAACATGCGTATCATCTGTTGATCCACTAGTAATCCCCCCCAAATTACATTCATTCTTCAATTCACATGATGTCTTAGGTGAGAACGGCTTGAAACGACTGCTTATAGTATGTGAAGAAAGAAAAATAGAGAGAACAATAGAAAACGTGATAAAGGTAATGCAATAGGTTGTTGAAAGTATGGATGATTTCGAAGAGATATGCGTTCTACAAATAGGGTTCAACTGAACGGGTGTCTCACTCGCTCATCAGAAGCCAAGACGGTGTCAAAATATAATCCCACCGAATCTACTGTCGTAATCCATGTAGTGGTCAGCAAGACAGTATCATTTCATTTCCTTGAAATGCGTCTCGATTACCTGTGCATGATGAAGGTCATAGTGAACCATGCCGTAGTAAACATAGCGAAAGAAACGCTGGCTACCTCCCCATAGGCCATAGTGGGAATAAATTACTCGCGTGTTGATTTGAAGACGAGAATACTCGGAATGGCGGTCAACACGGGCAGTATTATCATACTCATCATATAAATAGATAAACAGATTAACTTCCCTGTGTGTGTCTTCCGATTGCCAAGCCGTGGATACATTACCTATCAATGGGCATATAGTGATGTATCTCATGCAAAGTGAAAAGAAATAGTAACGCAACAAGCAGTGTAAGTGATACTCCACAAACGGCAACCAGATGGCCGGTACCACATACTAAGAAGTGGGCGATAAAACATCCAGTACGTAGAGGATCCTGAAAGTAAGGAACATAGTAAGGTGTGTACCGACGTGATGTTGGTGCTTGCAAACTGCAGTAGAATATCTTCTCCATCGGAAGGATTGAGCATACAAACAGAAAGTCCAAGTTCCAATAAAAAAAAGTGATTCGATGAGACCACGAGATAGCTTAACCATGTTGTTCTTCAATAGTTGTACAGTTAAATTGAAGAAGTCTGGGTAAAAATTTTACAAATCACAAAGAGGCAAGGTAATGTTGTTTTAAGTAGTCAAATAAGAGAGAAAACCAAAGGACAAAGACATACAAAAAAAAAGATGGATGCATTAGCAAGCCACACTTACTCTTTTGTTTTTACTTACAAAAAAACTCTTTTCACCACACGGTGGGAGCCGCCACCGCACACCGCCAAAGCATGGGCTTTGTTCAGACAATTTTTAAACTACACAGTAGAAGTACACAAAGCAAATGAGTGAGTGATCCGGCATAACATTCAAAAAAGAAAGGGCACTTGAGCACAAGTACATTACCTTTCACAATGAAAAAGTTTCATTATAGGCCACAAAAAAAAAAAACCCGTTTTCGGTGCGCAAGCTACTTGTGGAGGTTCAGTCGTTGATAGCACAGTTGTAGTCATTATGAGTATACGTACTGTACAGGATGGGTGATTTGAGCAAATGTTGATAACAATAAGCAATAAAAAATTATATGGCGCGATGGATGGTTTTGCGAAGAAAAGAAAAAAGAAATACTGTAGATGCGATGAAGAGAAAGAAAATGGATGGAAGATGCGTCTTTTAGACATGGAAAAAGAGCGATTCATCGCACATACTGTAGCTAAAAACCTTGATTATCCAATAATGAAGCAGAAAAAGGACGCCACGTGTCTTTTCTCATCGCATGAAATAGCTGCATGAAGTAGGTCTCAAATATTATGGTAGAGGAGATCGGTCGGGATGTCTTTATCCAGGTGTTCTTATGTTGGCTAGTTGGATACGCATGGTACAGACGGAATGAATAACACGTTAAACTGGCTTTTTTAAACTCGTGTTATACACTTTATCGAAAATAGAAGTTATCCTAATGAAGATGGCCTCTTCTTTTTGATGAACAAAGTCGTCAGTTTCAACGCATTTTCCCATCAGGATTACGCAGGTAGTCTACAAGGTCAAAAAATATGATGAGATCTCCACAATCCCCGCCAATAAAGGATCAAGTCATGATTTTTGCTTCCTTGCAATTTATTTATATCTTCATTACCTGAAAAAAAAAATGAACTGAACGATGGAAAAAGACATTAGGGAAGTCAACAAATTTGACGGGATTACAAACAATTTTGCCAGGGCACATTGCAAAAATGAAGAAGTGTCAAAAAGGAGGAGATAATGCAAGAACACACAGATACAAAAAAGGTGAAGTTACATTACATCGTGCTTGGTTGCCAAAAAAAGAAAAAAAAGCGGCTGATTGTTCATACTGTGTTCACGAATGGCAGCCAATCAAATACGACACCGGACTAACAATTCAGAGATCGGCTGGAAGAGCCAAGCAACAAGAGACATCACCCAACATCTCAGTGACAATGCTGGTCACTACTTGATGTTTCTCATTTCGTAACCGTACACGCTAACTTCTTTTTTAACTGTGAGACATTTTTTTCTGCTATGGAAGCCCAGAGTTGCTAGCCGTAAAAACCGAGAAAACTGGTATGTGAAGCTCTTATTACATAGTTTTGCCTGTAGCGTACGCGGAGAAGCAATGAGGAATGCAACGACCATTTTGACAAGGAAACAAGAAGACCGCCTCGTCTTTTTGCCTATTCCTTTTTAGTTGTCAAGTTGGACTGGTTTTTTTTCGACGTGAATCATTAGGTAAACAGATGGCAGTCTTCCTTCCTGTAACTCGTACAGCAAACATGTCAGACCGCGATCACTTCGAGTCCTGTGTTCGAATCCCAACTTTCAACGTGTGTAGCCCTTTCATGGAAGAAAAAGAGGTGGATCACAGTTAAAGAGCAAAGATTTGTATCAGGGCACAATCCGCATTAGCAGGCATAATTACAGAGACGCCTTCGTCAGGTTAGACAATCTTGACGCCGAGATTTATGTTGGAGGCCCCCACAATCTCAATCGGGCTCTTGACGGCGATATCGTGGCCGTACGCTTGCTGGATGCGGATTATGTGTGGCGCCAGAGGACACGAATAGAGCGACAACGGTTACATACACTCTCCAACCATGCAGTTGACAACGAAACCATCCAGAAGCCGACATATTGCGGCACAGTAGTTCGGGTGCTCGATCGCTTGCTAAATCGGTCAATCGTGCGGTAATCCGATGGTTCACAATGACCAAAATGACTTTAACTACGATTCACATCCGGAACTGAACTGGTATCGTTCTTTGTCTTTTAGGACTGTTTCTCTGAACAAACCGAGATCGGTAGAGGTCGGCAACGGTCGTCGTCCGAAGGAAGTGTGGTTCCAACCTAAAGACAACCGAGTCCCTTCCATCAAGATTCGCCTTCCATGTCCGCTACTGGAAGACATAGTCCACAACGAAGGCAAATATAGAAACATTCTTTATGAGGTTACTATTCCAATGCTTGCGATATCTACAGTATCGTCATTTTGGTTTCGTCTCTAATGATGTTTCTATAGGCCGATATAATTCAATGGGGCATCCATAGTTACTATCCATATGGCGTCATTGTGGATAAATGTTAGATGTTGACCAAGGTCGGCAACCTTGTCGTTCATGGCCCTGCCTAGCTCTTTGAACTCTCGAGGGAACAGGTCAACTCCATTAGTTAAACTGGATTAGCGCAACCAATTAAAATATCATGTAAATCATAACACTAAGCTGCCAGAACCTCTTAATTCTTTCTGCGCCTTTTTCTTTTATTTCTTTCTTTCAACCATGCCTCTGGGTAAAAAGAGAAGGAGACTGTGGACTACGGTCAAATGAAACTCACACATCTTTGCACCAGTTGTGGAACACAAGATAATCCGAATCCAAATGAAAACGGTTGTACCGTGTTATTTGCCAGATGGCATTTGCCAAATATCAAAACTCGATGTAATATGGCCAGCGATCGTCTTTTAGACGAGTGTAGGAGGTTTGATTGAGTCTTTTATTGTCCCTCATCATCAGCACGCAGATCGAGTCCATCTGGAGATACACTTTTTAATGTCAAAACCTCAGTTCTTGGTGCATGTTAACATAAAAAGCCTGCTTGCAAGTCCATGCTGCCTGAAATCCAGCTGGCATATGATCTGACCAGAAAATCGAACGTGATGCTGGAGACACGAGCTTGGACGCCGAGTTTGACTATTTATGTTTATCAAAAGAAGGAAATAATTGTTTTTTTTTTCTGGATTTCCCATTCGCTTTAGGCCGTAGGAATTGGCTTGCAGTTGTTTCGCTTAGTGATGATTGGTTAATCGGAAAAAGTTGCGAGGGGAACATAAAAAGGTTCTGTGGAGAAGAGAGCTTTCCGCGAAAGGCTGTTGTCGATATGAAAGGCTACACCGCGACACATTGGCGCAACAAAACTATGTTGCTTGCATGCGCTCCTTACCATCTGTCAGGACACGCTCAATGGTAGATCGTTATTGAGTTTCCATTCTCTTGAAAATATAATGATCGATATCCGTTCTGACAAACCTCCTTATTGCCACATCAAATTCGCAATCCGATCCTAACTAACAAGTCAATAATGACCTCTGACATAAGAATCTCTCGTAAGGATCGCTTCATTGGATACCCTGGATAAAGGGTTCGGTATAAATTTATAAAAGTCGGCTGTAAAGTCAATCGCCAAAGAGATGGTTCCAAAAAAATTTTCCTTTAATGATCGCTTGATTATGCTAGAGACTTCCTCTTTTTCAGCGGCTGCCCTTCGATGGTGCGACACAATTACCAGACACGAGAACATTAATTCAAAAGCCGATCAAATGATTCACCGCAAGGGGCCATCGTCCGAATTTTTGCCCATATCCACTTGAAGTTTCTCGGTTCGGAATCGAGCCTGCCAACCATTGATTTGCTTATGAAACCTTCCCTTTGCAACGATATCACTGGCTTGCCAGCTGTTAGAAAAAGGAGAAAACTAAACTGAAATGCTGTTGTTGTATAGTCCCTCGCGCCAAAGCAATGTTGGGTCCAATGCTCCACAATCTCGAGAATGAACCTCATCTTATTTTCCAGTTTATGCTGTCTTTTGTTGCCAGCCTTGGACTGTCTGTTTCATGGCGTGATTCATAAAGGCTGTGGGTGCTCGGATTGCATCCTTTTCCTTATTCTCAGTATGTTTTCTCGTATCAAACAGAATCTGGCTTCTTGTAGCCACAACGCCAAGGTTTGTCAGAAATATGGTTCAACTCAACTCGTATGATGAGGCTAATGGTTGACAATGAAAACAAAAAGCCGTACCAAGAGTACGTGATCGATAATGTAGCCGAAGAGATGTTGAAGACCAATGACCTGTATCGCGGTATCATTCGCATCAGTAAACGTGACCGAAATGATGCGTATGTAACGTCCGACGCTCTTGATGCTTGTATCTACGTGGGCGGCATCGTAATCGCGCACTTGACGGCGATGTGGTAGCCGTTAAGTTACTGAAGGTGGAACCTGTCTGGCAGAAGCGAACAGAAAGAGGACAAGAGCGCCAAGGGAAACTCAGTGCTTCCACCAAAAAGTCATTGGGCGATAACGACAGTAACTCGACCCAAAGGCCGAAATACTGCGGTGAAGTGGTGCTAATACTGGATCGCGCGGAAGGATTGTCATTTACAGGGTACGTTTCATGGCTCTATGCTCAATAATCAACAATGATTACTTTTATGGTGTTACCGTGAATCTGAACGGTTTCTATTCTTTGCATTTAGAACTGTTTCCTTGAACAAACCGGGACCGCCAGGAAAAAACGATCGCGATAATCGCGCCCCAAGAATAGCGTGGTTTAGACCAAAGGACAATCGAGTGCCTCTCATGGTCATTCCCGTTTCATGTCCACAACTGGACGGTGTTATTCATGATGAGGTTTTATACGAGGTTACTATTCCTATCAAAGCCTTTTTTTTTTTTTTGGTTCTATTGTTAACGAAATTGCTAGGCCAAAATCACCTATTGGAGTGCCCGCCACTTCTACCCGCGGGGCGAGATTATACGGAAAATCGACGACAATTGGAGTCATTTTTCGAAACTGACCAATACCATTTTACTTGACCATCATGTGATTCATACCCCATTCGATACTTCAATAACCGAAGTAACCAAAGGCTTGCCAAGATCAGCGCGAGACATGGATAGGGAGTATAGTCATCGACGATGCGATTTTACGCGCAAGCTTGTGTTCACGATTGACGCTGCTGATGCCAGAGGTTTGTTTGATTTTTTTTTTTTTTTTTGGCGGGGGGGGGGGGAAGAGGTGCCAGGGTACCAGGTGACAACAGAAATAACAACGTCTTGCATAATTTTCTTGTTTAGATGTCAATCAGGCTGTTCACTGCAAATTGCTGAGTGACGGTACCTTTGAAGTTGGGGTCCACATTGCCGACGTATCCTCTTTAGTCAGGCCAGGTACTATGCTTGATATCGAAGCTCGCAGACGAGGTGCAACCACGTACCTGGTGGATGGTATCGTTCCCATGTTGCCCGCCATTTTATGCGAAGAGCTTTGCACCTTGAATCCCTATGTTGAAAGGTACATCTTTGTTATGAGTCCAAGGCCTATCACTACTTGATTATCTCATAAATTTGTAGATTGGCATTTTCGGTTATCTGGAAAATGCAAGCGGACGGTGTCATCTTGGATACCTGGTTTGGTAAATCGATCATCAAGTACGTGTTTTGGAAGACAATATCCACAATGGATGAATATTAATCTGGTGAATGTGGACGGTTAGATCACGTGCCAAGCTCGCCTATGAAGATGCACAGAGTGTGATTGATACTGGCCTTTTACCAGGCGATGCAAACGTCAGTCCATTTTACGTTAGGCAGGTGGAAAATGCTATTACGGCGTTGTTTCGTTTGTCGCAACAGCTCCGACGCCGTCGTTATCTGCACAGGGCATTATCCATGGATTCTGTAAAACTTTGTTTCGACTTGGATCACCAAGGACAGCCGCAAGACATGTGGATTCATGAATTGAAAGAAGCGAATAAGCTCATTGAAGAATTTATGTTTTGTGCGAATACAACGGTGGCAGAAACTATCATGCGCCACTATCCTGACGAGGCTCTATTGCATCGGCCCGCGCTACCGATTGAACGGCGTTTGGTAGGATAAACACATGAAAGCAATCCCGTCGTCGGTCGAGATACTAATGAGGAATCAAATAGAACGAATTTATTGATCTGGTGAAAAAGCTCGGTTACGATTTCAACGGTTCTTCTGCAGACAGCTTGCAAGAAGCGGTCGACAGCATCACCGATGAGCATATCAAGCAAGCTCTTTTGGCTCTTGGTACCCGCCCGATGCAACGCGCACAATATTGTTGTGCCGGGACACTGGATGTTACTGAGCATAATCATTACACGTTGAACGAATCTCCCTACACTCATTTTACTTCGCCTGTTCGACGTTATGCCGACATTATTGTCCACCGTCAGTTACTGGCGGCCATCGAGGACCAAGGTAGAGAAACTGTGACGGGTCATGCCTCATTTATTCTCATCGGATCATGTTGCTGACCGAGTTTCACACATCTAGTTCATTGCAATTTGACTACTGAAATGGTACAGAAAATAGCGCTGCAGTGCAATCGTAAGGAAGATGACGCAAAGAACGCTCAGGAAGCTAGCACGATGTTGTATCTTGCAAAGTTCCTTCATAAGCTGACCTTGAGACAAGGGCCCATCATTCGTCCTGGCGTGGTGTTGGCCGTGCATGCTGAGGCGATCGAAATTTACGTACCTGATTACGGCCTGCAAAGAAAGATTTCCATGGAGTCTCTGCCACTCGAACGTTTTGAGTACAAAAATAGGACCTTGACGGTGTACTGGCAACGGGGGGTTGTACTCGATACGGCGCTTGAAAAAAGATTGTATGGGAAAGCAAGAGAACGGAAAAACGACCATGTTGTAAAAGACGGTATGGATGGTATGGAAGCATTGAAAGACGAGGTAGACGATGTTGGATCTAGCCTGTCAAATATACAAGTAACGGATGAATCCGTCACCAATTCGCCCTGTGTGGACCACGAGATTGCGCCTGTTGATGATAGTCCGATGCATGAACCGGAACTGGACGAAGCCACATGCATGCAACGATTCCGCATATTTACCGAGCTACAAGTTTTGGTTCAAATGGACATGGAACAATTCACACCTGGCGTCCGCATATTCCCCGTGAATCCATTCGGCGATTTGGGCCCGCTTTACCCATAATCAGCGTCTTCTTACTGGCACGTAATATGACTTGCGAAAAAATCACGAGATTTCAATGATTCCTTGGTTGATTGCACCTTGACTTGTTCCATACACAATGTGATAGCGACATTTAGTACCTCCACCTTTCTTTAGTTTATTGCGAATAAATATGATGAATCCTCTCCCTCAAAAAACAAAAAAAGATAAATAATATGCGGGTGCAATGAAGAAAATATTTGTACGAATGCGTATATATTCGCGGCATCATCGAGTCAATTGTCGGGTCGTCGGTTTGGGTCAATCCCTGACCCGAGCTGTCTAATCGATCCAACCTGGTTTTTATCGGTCGTTTCAGTCGATTGACTTGGTACAGTAGTACAATAATACTTTGAAAAGCTTCGTGAACAAATTTGGTTTTCCTTGCCAAAAATTTAGCAAGGTTCTGTTTGGATCTCTATGATCCTCTTTATGAAATACAAAAAAGAAAAAAAGGAGAAAAGGAAATAACAAAAAACAACAAAAAAAACAACAACAAAAAACAACAACAAAAAACAACAACAAAAACAACAACAACAAAAACAACAACAACAAAAACAAAAACAACAAAAACAACAAAAAAAGGGGAGAATGAGTCTATACTAGTCTATACAAAAATGATTGAATATGCGATATGAATATGAATACAAAAAAAAAAAAAACGAACATGAGGGAGCAAAATCACTGTGGGCTTTTTTGTCTTCGAAATGCTTGCGGACGTTCGTCTTCATTTTGGGCCATGTGGACAAAAACTGAGCGGATGTTCTTGCTTGCTGCAACGTCGCGGTTCCAAAATTTTCGGCAATTGCTGCATCTCAAAACGGCATGTATTCTTGCGCCTGGTCTATTCAAAACGTCTGGTCGTTCTCGTGCATTTTCTAAAGTTCGGGTTTTGCACGTGGGACAAATTTGCGAAGTAAGGTATTCATCTATCGTCAAAAATTTTGCGTGCTATGAAAATCATGTAAGACACTTATATCTCACATAATGAACTGTCACTTCTTACCGGGTCTCCCACGACAGCCCGTTGTAGATGCTGTTTGATGCGTTTCGTGGGAGCACTCTGCTTTCCTTGTATAGATGAAGCAAAATTGGCGTTTCCAAAAGCGATAATCGTATTTTGTCTATCTTGCGGCTGGTCTATGTGATCTAATTCGCGCCAGATTGGTTTGGTCGAAGGGGTATATTCTATGGGTCGTCTATACTTGCGGCTGCCGCCAAGCAAAACTTTCGCGATTTCCGTGGTGCCGGTTTGTTTTTTCATGTAAGATTTGAGCTTTAGATGGTTGAATCTATGGATTCTGGTTAGGAATCGAATGTTCAAGAGATATATGAAAGATGTTTGAAATACGGTACCTATTATCAAAAAAGTCGCAAAGTTCGGAATGGTGTTCTAATCGGCAGCGCACTGACTTGACAAAATCGGCGATAGAACTTGTTCGTTCGGAGGGTATATTCGCCATAATGGTCTTGATATGTGGGGTATCCTCAAAATATTTGGCTCGCTTATATGTCGCAAAATTGAAGCCGCAGAGATGGTAATATTCTTTGCAAGAAATTTTGCGAACTCGGTGTGGGGTATATGATGAACCGTCGGACGCAACAAAAATATCAGTCATTCCGGGGTCAACACCCCAAATTGTTGCATTCTTTAGATTTCGTTGCAAAGCTTTTGGTGTCCACTGTGGTAATGCAGGTTTCTTCGGTTTACGGAACAAAAATTCAGCGTCGGTGCCATCGGTTCTCATACAATTCCTAGTTGTAATTTTTTAGTCTACAATATTTTGGATGATCAATAAGCGGTAAACGTACCAAAAAAGACGTCTATCGGTAGCAAGGCTTTCTATCGTTCTGAAACCAAGCTTCTTCATGTCGAAAATTTCGAAATATGCGTTCTTTAAGGCCGTTTCGTTGGGTATAGCGCGGTTGCGCAGCTTGCAAGTGGTCAAAATTCCAGAAAATGATTGCCGGTCGAACTGCACATGTCGCATTTGGTATGAATAAATAGGCAAAAATGTAAAGCGGCGCGTTCCTTTCGGGTCGGTGTACTTTTCGGGTCGAAAATTGTTGGTGGCGATGGCGGTGATAGTTTCATGGATGAACTGGTGGAGCTGGTTCAAAATTTCGGCAGGAAGGGCTCGAACTCGGGGAGGAAGATTCAAAAATGTTCGTTGGCGGATGGCTTCCCGGACTGCGACGTTCAATGGAGCAAAAATCTTGTTGGATATATGGGTATCTTTTGTGATCTATTTTGATATTAGCGATCTACCATCAGTTGTATGTCAAGATTTCCTACGTACCTCTTTCACATGTCTATGAATGTAAGCATTGGAAACAAAATTTTGCGGTGTTTCTTCTCGGATAAAAATTTTTTGCTCGAACTTCTCCAAAATTTCATGCATGTGCGGTATGTACAAATGTGGGTTGTTGACAAAATCTTCTTTGGTTTTCTTTCCGGGCTTGGACTTGATGATATTGACAAAATTCTGAATGCTGGGATGGGATGCAGTGACTGGCTGGAGATTCTTTGGAAAATTGATAGGAGCGGCGGTGTCATTGATAGCTTGATCAAAAATGTAGTTCGCAATTGTTCGTCGTTTGGCCACGGTGACTCCTTCGACAAAAAGTGGATCATGGGTATCGGAAATGCGAGCAAAAATGTAGTGCTTGGTTTTCTCGGGGTAATTCTTCAAAATATGTTGCTGGACGGAGGTATAGTAATCTTTCGCAATTTCGGATATAATAGTTGAGTAGCCTTGGGATTCAAAATTGACTGCATGATATTCTGGGACTCGCGATTTAAATTCTATGTATGCGCTTTTGATTGTCGGCGATGCGTTTTTTCCTTGACCCATGACGGCGGCAAAAATGTTGTAAAAAAGCTTTTGGGAAAATTGCGGCAATGGGATCTCGTTCGTGATGCAGTACAAAACAAAAAAATTGGCAAAAAGGGAGCCGACGTAGGTGACGTCCCGTGCATGCTTGACGACTTCTTGAATGGTATCGATCAAAATCGGGTATCTGCAAATGTTTTTGAGCGAGGTCTTGACGATTGATGTTCTTTTGAGTGGAGTCAGCAAGGTGCGTCTTGGTCTATAATTGTCGCAAAATTTATTGGATGATCTAGAGTGCCCGGGCTTTCCGCAACTGGAGCAAACGTTTCGGTTCTGTTCAAAATCTATAAATCGGTAGTTGTTAATTAACATATAGGAACTCGCCATGTTGGGTTTTTGAATAATTACGTTCGTGTTGTTGGGTAACGGCGACGGCTTTGCCTTTGCCGTCTCCATCAAAAAAGGAGGAATCAGGACCAAAATCTATCATTTCAATCATATAAACATCTGTGTACATGGATCATAGTCATGCGGTCAGGACACCTACCGTCAGAGAAGTCTAACCATGTCAGATCTAAATCTTCGGGCAAAATTGTTGGAATCGATGTAGAAGAGCAAGGTTCAAAATCTAAAAAGTGCCAGTTCTTAATACATACAAACTCGCCATATTCTTGTTTGTCAAATAATTACTTTTGCGTTCAGCGGGGGCGGCAACGGCCTTGCCTTTTCCCTTTCCCGCGACAGGGGAAGAATCGGGGCCAAAATCTATCATTTGCAATCACATTAACGTCTGCGTAGATGGATCATAGTCATATGGTTAGTAGACTTACCGTCATACGGATCAAAATATGCAAGGTGATCGTCTTCAAAATTTGGAGCAAAATCGGCGGCATTGTCACGGGTACGCAAAGTTTTTGTGGAGCAGCTGGCTTCGTCTATCAATACTTGTTAATATATCTGCTTTGACGTATCCGTATCGATTTTGTAATTGAATACCCGAGCCAGCGTAGTTATGTTTTTCGAGCTTTGTGTTTTCTTTTTGATTCGCAAATGATGTATCTTTTTTTTGGGTTTTTTGTTTTTTGGATTTTTTTGGGGGGTTTTCAGTTGATTTTGTTTGCGCTAATTTCCTCTTCGGTGCACTATGTGTAGCTGAATACGGAACGCATCAATATCGCAATGAGTGTCTGTTGGATTGACTCTTATTACCAGAGGGAGTATTTGACTTGGTGGTAATCACGAGCTTTCTTCTTTTAAAAGTCGGTAGGGGTTGAAAATCATCATCCGAGTCATGCTGTTCGGATCCTGATATTTAATGGATTAGCCTCTCAACATCGATCACGCATCTTTTGTGACAATACTCTTTTTCGAGTCTTCTTGGATGGGGGCAATCTTTTTCGAGTTCTTTTTGGCTGACATATCAGTAAGATTTGAGTGGAATGGAAAAAAAGGAGCACATCACGAGTAGATCGTTCATGCATTTTATTGCCTTGGACTGTCAAAATTCACAGTCCAACTCATTTTTAATGCGATCCACACCATGTCTAATGTATTTTGATGCTACGATATAACGTCTATTTTAAAGCGTAGGTTACATTATATATTAAACAGCAGAGAAACCAAAGTGGTGATATTTTTATCCGATGGTGTATGGAAAATGAATGACAAATGTTAGAATGGAGATAGAGTATTTATTCAGGAACAGTCGAGACTGTATTGACCGGTATACGTATACCTGTGTCTTTTGACGATGGCACGACAAGTATTCAGTTGTTGCAAATGTTCCAGTTGGTTTATTACTTACAATTACGAGGCCATCGCTCGTATCCTACCTGAATACCACATCGAAAATCTCGGAGCGCAGAGATGATGTTCCTGAAAAACTGGACATGGTTTTAATGGCGCCTCACGGAGTTGTAGTCCCGCAAAGTTGCTCAAGTAGATGGACATGGAACTCTCGAAAAGACATGTACGACAACTTGAAATTTACCGGGTATGTACACCAAGCAATCAGTTTCCAACTCCCACAAACCCGGACGTAATGTTGTATGTTGAAATCGAGGGCGAAGCGGTTCGTAAAACGGGTCCGTTGGTTGCTAAAGGTTGACCGTGAGTGATTTGTATGGATTTCCGTAAATGCGGACAGTGAGTTTCGAGTGCTCGGTCGCCCCTTGGAATATGTTCTTCAAATGGTAGCTAACAATATATCGCACAATCATTAGTACTTCAGCTCTTAGTTAACATCCACTTTGACTTACCGTTCCAACAGTGGCAAAATGGGTATTGACCAAGTGAGTAATGGTCACAGTGAACGTGCTGTCCCGGACATGACGAAAGGCAACAAATCCGTCCACAAAGAGCGCAAGGGTGATACCAAACCCATTGGGAAACAACTGCTTGAATTCTTGGATGTTTGGCCGTCGACAACACCCACCATCATGACTTTAGGACTCACACGGCGGATAACCCAAGGGAGACATTGGTGGCGGCCTAACTTCGTTGAGAACAAGCTCATCAAAAATGGGGCACCGGAACTTACTTCATAATCTAAGCCGTGTGTTGTCGATCGCCGTATCGCGGTTCACCGCAGTGCAGACAACATACTCATCTTCACCGGAAAGAATGCAACCATTAGCACACGGGTGTAGATCCTTCGGTTGAATCGATCAGACTGCAGTCGATTTGCTGGTCGCCAGAGAGGCACTGTACATATCACCAAAGTTCCCGCGTAGGTCTTTCTCTGCATAACACTTAGTATACCCGGTCATCGTGACATTCTTTGGAGGGAATGTGTTACCTGACAATGCAGAGCAGCTCAAAATTTCATCTGACATAGGTTGCTTGTCCTTCCAGCGTGGGTACGTCGGGTGCTTCATCGCCTCCTCTCCAAGAACACGATCCACCGATGCTTCATCGAACAGGCCCGGGTCAGGGTCGTTAATTGTTTCCCCAGAACAATGTACTTGGGATTCTTTCTTTAGCTACGTTCCTCGGCACCGAGTCTCACCAAGACATGTCGATTTATTTCAACATTGCTGACACTGTTGATTGCGTCAACCGAGACCAAGTCATCCGCCACCGTTAATGATACTTCTGGAAGGGTATCGGACATGTTTATACTGTGGAATTCTTTGCCATCATGCTCCTCAGTAGCTCTGTAGTAGCGTGGAACATACATTAAACATCTGAACGGAAGTGGAGCGACAATAAATGGGCATGATTGTTAACAGTGTAAAAAAAACAGCTTCCTGCGGACACGACAGCTCGGCGCTAAAAAAATTTCTCAATGCATGTGATGCGCACGAGGAAAAATTTTCCTCAATTTGCACCGTTTTCCACAGCATGGATCGATGTCATATTGATTCAGGGGACCAACTATTTTCCAGTGTCTTTAAAATCGAATTACTACATGTCAGGATATCCCAATCAAGCTATGATTCTTTCGAACTTGTGGTGTGTCCACCAGTCGTCGCATTATCCATCATTGATGGGTGTTCCAAACGGAAATATCAAGATAACGTTGGAGGTGGATCGATCGGGACGACTTTATTCAAGTGTTCTTAAATTGGCTGGTCGGATACACATGGTACAAAAGTAATGGATGGCTCGTTAAACTATCCTTTAACTCGTATTATACACTTTATTGAAAAATAAAAGCCATCCTCATGAAGATGGCCTCTTCTATTTGATGAACAAAGTCGTCAGTTTCAGCGTATTTTCCCATCAGGATTACACAGGCATTCTACAAGGCCAAGGTAATATGACGAGATCCCCCACACTCCCCGCGGATAAAGGACCAAGTCATGATTTTTGTTTCCTTGTAATTTATTTGACTATTATTTCTTCATTTCCCGAGAAAAATGAATTGAAAGATGAAAAATACATTGGGGAAGTCAATCAATTTATCGGAATTACAGAGAATTTTGCCAGGGCACTGTGCATACACGACAATTTATCAGTTACCTCATCTATCATACCGGGTTAACACTTGCTCGTTTCGATCGCAGCTACTGCCTGCAACATCGATATCATTTCTGATTGCGAAGTCGTTGTCATACCTTTATTTGATATCGATTCCAATGTCCAAATCAACGCTTCACAGAGAACCGCTACTATAAAGAAGCTAAAAGTTCGGGTTTTCGTGTTGTCCGAATCTATCCCACCCTACCCCTTAAAGTTAATTTTTTTCCCAATCACATACACAAAAGCTCAGACAGACTTCATATAAAAAGGAACTCCAGATTGTTGCGTATTGTCGATATCACCCCTCCCCCTTTCTTTACGATATATACACTGGTGTCAATGTTTCGATACTTCTTCATTCGAGAAACAGCAACATAAAAATCGATAGATTCTTTCTTGTATTACCACCCCTTTTTTTCGATGCTTCCTTATTCGGTTGTGCAGCTGGTGACCAAAAAGTTCATTGTTCGCTTTTTTTGAGTTCCGCTGCTTCGCCGCTTCTATTTTTATTCGTTGCTGGGGGGGAGGGGGTCTGACAAGCATCGACGCTTCAACTTATATCTTTCCCTTTTTTTTCCCAAACTTGTCACTTGTCCTATACGATTTTTTTTTATCGCTTTATTTCTTTTTTGGAGCAAAGGTGAACTCCAAAATATTAATGTCAAAAAGTAAGCGGTTTACTTGTATTTTCATAACGACGATAGCCTCTCTCCCGACCGGACGCTGATTAAATTTACATGCACGGCAGGTTGGCACTGCGTAATCAATCCCACTTGCTTGGTTGGTTCTTTCGGGCAACAAAGACCTGTTGAGGCTTACAGGTTCGTTAATCATACTTCTTCTTTACTACATAAACTAACTTGTCATATTCTGGCTTTTTTTTTGTTTGGTTGATGTCAGTTGAGTAAACAGCTTGGAAAACAATGAAAGGGGTAATACGGCAAGGATGTTTCTGCTTGTGACCGGTTTTTCTTCACAATGAAAATAATGACTATGTACACCGGTTTCACAATTTAAAAAACGCGGTCGAAAATCCGAATCTTTTTTTCTCATTCCGTTTCTTTTATTTGATGATGCCTTACAACGCTACATATTACATTCCTCTCGTAACACTATCATTCACTACTAAAGGTATGTAGTTCACTGAAGCTCCCATGGGATACACATACTAATCGTTCTTTATTGGTCTATATCGACCAATCATAGATAATGTGAATGTCGTAGACTCGCAAATAAATGCAGATTTCACCTACAATCAAAATTGGCCCTTTACTATGAATGTTCGCAAGGACATCCAACCGAGCCCCGTCGGCGATAGAAACATGTACAGTCGCTTGGTCCAGAAAGTAAAAAAGCGGAACAAAACAGCCGAGACTCTACGAAAGGCAGTCGAGGAATGGCAAGCTGCCAAAAATCTTGTCCAAGCAAAGCAGCATGTCTTCACCAGTATCGATATTGAAGCATACGAAATCGACCATTCGATCTTGCTCGAAATTGGATGGAGCATGTATGACTCCAAGGACGACAAATACTTTCATCAACACTACCTAAATAACGCCTACCGTCACCTCAACAAAGGCAAATACGTTGATGACATGAGACTACGACACCTCCGTGTGGTGTAAATTCAAGCAAGCACTGGCCGAGTTGCGGAAGGATTTGGATTGGGCCGTGGCGCGGATTGGAGGGTTTGTCCTGGTTGGCCATAGACTCGACAGTGACCTGAAGTATTTGCGAAAGCAAAATTTCATGTGGCCTGGTCGACTAGGGCACCCAGATACGGTCGATGTATCGCAGAATGCAGTTGTCACCGCCCTTGACACAGATACGATCTTTGCTTTGTGATTCTCGGCCTGGTTTCATGGTGCTGCGAATACAATTGGTGGAAACTATGGTCTCTACTCCCCGTGGCATCACATCATTCGGTTAACAACTATTTCTTTATATAAATAAAGCTAATGCTGTAAAATTGGATGCGGCTCTTACATCAAAGCGAAAAGTAAAAAAAAAAAAAAAAATCGATGGTTGGTACATTGCCAAATTCGAGCTTGATCATAAACACACTATTCCTGAGCCATGAACATTTACTAAAATAACATGCCCAACGCGAAGCAATTGAAAGAAAGGTGAAAAGCAGTTTTGAAGCTGGTTTGAATCCTCAGGTTGTGCCAAACGTTCTTCAAGTCGAAGGAGTAGATAATGTACGCGATTATTCGCTATAGAGTTTGTTGTATTCGACACACATGCACCGATTTCTCATAGACGGATACCCCACTTTCTATTAGCCCGGATATTCTTTCTTTCTACTTTTATTTCCTCCTCAGATCCAGATACCGTTCGTTCTCTCATACAGTCGTCTTTACGAGGCGATTACTCAGGAATCATATAAACAACTGCAGGTGTTCATTCATTGTTGAAAAAATCCTTGGTATTCAGTATCGTTGACATCTTGGACCACTTTATTTTAAACGACAACGTCCGGTGAACCCTTTACTTCTCACCACGACTTTTTTCAACTCTTTGATTTTTTTTCCATTATTAAACCGTTACGGGCGTCCCAATTCAAATGGATGCTCAGCGATGTAGTCTGTATAGGTTGATCTGTCCTTATTCATGCATCGTTGGTGTGACTTTTTTTTCATCAAAGAAAAATTGGATGCGTTATTTTTCTTCTCTGTTCTTCTTTTACTTTCGGTTTCCTCCTCTTCTTCTTATCTGATACTTACTGCATCAAGTTCCCATCCGCATCCATCATCCATCATCCAGACCATTCTTATCCCGTGTATCTAACTTGGTTAAATCGACCACCATCCTCAAAAAGGTAAGCGTCGAGTGGTCCACAGTCAATTTTGCTTCGGCAAAATAGACTTACCTCTCTTTTTTTCCATCCTTCTTTTAGCTTCCGGCTTTCTTCAGCTTTCTTTTCGCCTGGCAAGTTCTGGATACTACAAGTTGACTTTCTCTCGCCGTCCATCCATCCATCCATCCATCTGGCGAAACCGGATGACGTCAAAGGCCATCGTTGGTGGTGTGACTCTCTTTTTCATCGGAAAAATGCTTACGTGTCCTCTTCATGTTCCTCTCCTTTGGATTGCTTCTCATGATATGGTATTCGAGATGTCTTCCCGATTATTGTATTTTGTAGTTCATAGTTTGTATTTTGTATTTTATATTTCATGTACATATTCTTTTCGCAGTCTTTTCCTCTTTTTTTCCCACAGGGTTTTTTAGGAGGTTTTTACTGACGCGACCATTTTTTTTTTTATCATCATGTACTTTATTTGTTTTTCTTCTTTTTATTCGGGGGACTCTCGATATCTGGAATCCAGCTCGAAATTACCGTCACTTCTGGCCACGTCAATATTTTTTTGCCTGCTCAAGCTGACACCACCGATCCATCGCTTAACTGTCCCTGGAAGCAAGTTTATTTTCCGCATCGAAGAAGAAGCTTACCTGGCGGTCCGTATTCATCTTTTTTTTTCCGGTACACCATTTGGTTCAAAGGCAAGTCCAATTTCTTTTCCTTTGCTATGATGTAATGAACGTATACTAATTCAAACTTTTTTTCAATGTCATATAATCCAAGTCATGTCAAGCGATCAATGGCTATCGAAAACTCAAATAACAAAGGTAAAATATCTTGACGAAAATTTGAATCAATCAAAGAGCTTACTAACTCATTTTTTTTAAATACCCAACATACCCACACATCTTTGTAGATCTATCATAGCCTGGGCGGGATGGAACTGAGGGGGGGAACCAGTGCTGCTTTGCGCGTGTTCAGAAACAAATCACGACGCATGGTATTGCCATAAGGTTGTCATTAATATACCGAAGTTCCGTCAAGAGTTCTCGCCCAGGTTATGCCGTGTATGCGTTAGGCTTTTTGTCTGACGAAAGTCGCTCAATGTAAGAGGGCGACCTCCGGTGGCAGGCGGCATCCATTGCACAGCGGGTGTACGGCTTGTTAAATCTGTAAATCTATCATAAATCGTCATTCTTTTTTCTATTCCAATTTTCCATACATTGACACAGAGCGGTTTCATCCACGCCAGCGTCCGGTTTCAACCACGTGATGATTCGGAATTCACGTGCCATGCCACCTAGCTTATTCGCAACTGTCAGAATTCCCCCGACAAACCCCGTACTTCTTCTCTTTTTTTCACTTCCCGGATCTCACCTCCAATGGCAGACGGGTATTCCAACATTAAACGCCAGCGTGTGAGCAAGGCTTGGTAAGTGAGGCCTCTTGTGTGCATCCACGAATCAATTACTCACCTGCTTGTCCTCCATAGCGAACAATGCAGACGTAAAAAAGTCAAATGTGACGGAGGTTTACCTTTATGCAATAATTGTGTGACCCTCGGTCTTCAATGCACATACAAGGAATCCACCAAAAAGGTAGATCAACCCTCATAAAAAGACGTCAGTGTCCCCATGGTTTGCTAATGTCGCACGGGTATCCATAGAGAGGACCTCCCAAAGGTTATATTGAGGCCATTGAAGGTCGTCTTCATCGACTGGAAGCATTACTGGGAAGCATCATTCAAGATGACGATCCTCGATTCAAAGCCATTATTGACGAATTAAATTCACCTTTGGAAACCATGTACGGAGAACTGGTGCGACCAAGACCCATGCGACGTCCGTCGTTTGCAGGAATTGACGGCGAGTTGGGCCCTTTCGATGATAGGCCCAGCACCGAGTTTCCCGAGCATCATCCGCAGCGGCCTATCGATAAATCAAAAATCGATACCAGCAATGATCATTTGGGCAGTCTAAGTATCGATGCAGGAGGCCAAGTACGATATTACGGCAAATCATCTGGATATTATATGCTGCGGTCGCGGCACCAATTATTACATGATGGTACCTTTCCGCTCAATACCAAACGTTTACGCTCAGGAGATACCGAATCGCGACCGCCACCTGTGGTGGATCCATTTGAGATGCCTCCCAAAGATTTAGAAGACCATTTACTGGAAATCTACTTTCGTCATTTTTACTCCCTGATTCCACTGCTACACAAAAAGACGTTCATGAGACGTATTCAGACCAAAGACGATCGACCGCCGGCGCTTTTACTCAATGCCATTTTTGCAATTGCTTCTCGCATATCTCCCGATATCCGTGTACGTGCTGATCCTATGCAACCCGATACGGCCGGCGATGCCTTTTTCGAAAGAGCTCGTATGCTCCTTGATTTGGAATGGGACAGTTTTCGAGTGTATACCGTACAAGCACTTTTATTGATGAGCAGTCATCAGAATGGGGCGCTAAAGACAGTGCGAGGCTGGCTGTACAGTGGGATGGTAAGCTGAACTGGTACAGAAAATTGGGAAGGCTACGTTTTCTTTTTTTTTTAAAAAAAAGGAGCGGTGGGGGTTTGGGGGAGGTGGTAAGTTCTTCTTGGTCGGACAAGGGCAGCCGAAAATACAGAAATACTGGGTTTAAAACTCGATGAGGGCGGTGATTAACCCTGAAACTTTTTTAGGCTTTTCGAATGTCGCAAAATCTTGGATTGCATAGAAATTGCGATGGCTGGCAGATACCGGAGACTGAAAAGGAGGAAAGAAAACGAGCGTTTTACGGTTGTTTGGTGGTGGACCGGTTATCGAGTGCGATGCATGGGCGCTCGCCTCTTATTGATGAACGTGATTACGATACGCCGTATCCTGCAGAGATCGACGAAGACGAAGTAGAAGGCGAGCCACCCATGATGGGCAATTTTCATCAGATGATTAAACTATGCGAACTTCTCGGCGAGATTCTTCGCGCATTGTATACGGTCAAGGGACGAAAACAACTATCGCAAATGACATCCACCGACGAAATTGTATCATGCTTGGATCGCAAGTTGAACCGTTGGATGAGTAAACTGCCCCCTTCTCTGCAATACCATCCTCCCAATACGCGTCTTGCGCAACGGGCTCCTGCGCCACCGATTCGCGTTTGCCAGTTACACATGCTATTCTACACGACCCTTATTCTGCTCCATCGACCATTTATTCCAGGAACAGCACAGGAAGTGACGCCTTCCGTGTTTCCATCCTCTTCCATCTGTACATTTGCAGCCAACAATATTCTGGATATCGTAGAATCCCTGCTAGCGGAAGGTCGACTTAACCACATCAACAACTATTCGTTGTATTTCCTGTTCACAGCGGGTATCATCTTTATTCATAATGCCGCTTCGCCCGACAGCATGTTTTCCTTTGAAGCGAAAATCAGTACCAACAAGATCATGAAAGCGATGGATGAGCTCGAAACGACGTGGATGACTTCAGCTCGCCATTGCAATATTTTGGGAGCCTTGGCAGGTTTACGGGATATCGATTTGGAAAGCGTGGATGAGAGTTTTACCAAACTGGCCGCTCAACGGTCCAAAGTACCTCCGTTCATTGCTGTCCCCAACTCACCGAACCCAATGTTTGAAAGCGGCGATGAGCAGCAAGACAGCAAGGATTTCCTAACCATGAACAATGGGTGTGGTCAGAAGCCTCCCATGGATTACTACGTTGGCACACGGCGATCCATAAGTAGCCAAAGCCGATCACCAGAACAAACAATGTATGGGACCGGCGCCGATGGCCTGCAGCCGCCTGGAAGCTATAACCCTTATTTTGTCATGGAGTCGACCCCGGTGACCGACCGTCCGTTCAATCCAAACGGGACAGCCTTTTGGGATGTTCCTGTCTCTTTTGATCTAAACGATTGGACAAGCTACTTTAACAATCAGAGCGATCCGAACAAGCAGCAGACGCTTGGCTAAAAAAGGGAACAGCAAATCATTCATGGATACTCTATACTTTGTTCCCTTTCATTCTCTTCTTACAACTGTTATTATATATATATATTTTATGGCATTTCTTTTTATTTAGGTATTTTTTTTTATTTGTAAATACATAGATCTTTGAACTACAGTTCCATTCCATGTTCTGATCCATTTCAGAGATAAGCCACTTGATTTATATTGTCGGCGGGAGCCTAATTCCTTATCTCCGGAAACCGACGGCCTTGGTTTTTTTTTCTTTTTTGATCATCTTTTTTTTTTTTTTTTTGGTCACTGTACGAATGGAGGGCTGGAAAGGATCATTTGCTCAAACACAGCTTGAGAAATTTGGATGGAACAAGTAAGGACGGAAGCAAAATGTCATGATGACTTCTTTTGACTGACATGACATTCTGTGTTTTAGAGGTGAAGGTCTCGGGAAGAATCGAGATGGCAATGTCAAGCACATCTCCGTCAGTGTGAAAAACGATAAAAAAGGTGTCGGCGTCGGGCAAGATCAGTGGGAATTTGCTTGGTGGGATCACTTGTATAACAAGAGTGCAAGTTCCGTCAGTGTAGAGAAAGACGAACAGAAAGGCGAGGTACAGCATGTCACTTGATTGCATAATCGACTCTGTCAGGGGATACTGACCTTGCCATTGATGGGTTTCTTTGTTTCTCACAGATCAAAGTATCAAAGAAAAAGAAGGATAGCGCACGACGATCCAAGACGGGTATTATCAGTACATCACGGCCAACGGGCAAGCGGGTGGATGACGAAACGACTGAAAGTGGATCGTCCGCCGCCGATTCCCCACAGGCATCGGGCATGGCGGCTTTGGCAGAGGAACGCAACTTAATGGACACAGTGCGAGATGTTCATGTGAATGTCGCTAAAAAAGTGGCATCGTCTATGCTTTATTCGGGATTTGTCAAAAGCACTTCGGGCGCATTGAATCCGTAAGTAGATCACAAAACAAAAAGCCAAGGGAAAAATTCGTATCAAACAGTGTCTTATATTGTTAAACTGTAGATCTTTGCTCTCTGATTCCAAACCATCTTCAGCAGCCACGAGTCCACCCAAGAGTGACGATGACGAAAGCGACGATGATGAATTGAAGGATTACTCGATTAAAATCAGTGATGCCGAGCTTTTTGCTGCTTGCGAAGGTCGAACCGCACGTAAAGGCGGTCGCGGTTTGGTAGAACAGAAAGGAAAATACGCTCGTGTGATGCAGGAATATCTTCGTTATTCCGACGATGAAAGCGAGTCGGTCACAGTAGGCATGAAAAGAAAACTTCAAGGCGACATCAAAGATACCACCTCCGAACCTATCACCACCAAGAAATCAAAAAAGGAGAAAAAGACGAAAAAGGATAAAAAGGCGGAAAAGGAGGAATCAGTAAAGCCGAAAAAGGAAAAGAAAGCAAAGAAGGAGAAGAAGGACAAGAAAGAGAAAAAGAGCAAGGTCAAGGAAAGTACTGAGGTGACATCCAAGGCTGCCAAGAAAGCAAAGAAAGACAAGAAGGAAAAGAAGGAAAAGAAAGAGAAAAAGAACAAAAACTAGAAAGAGCATATACACAAACGCATTCATCCATTTTTTTTTTTCATAATGTACATTTACAAACTATATTGAGCAATAGACTTCATATTTCATATGCGTCTTCTGTTTCTTCGCATACATGATATCATTATCCAGATCATGGAGATACCAGCTAGCGCAATGGTGGCAATTCCGCCGTACAGAAACCCTTGATGGGCCACCTTGCCACACACTGTATTGCATCGCTCTCCTTCGGTCCCTCCAAGAAAACTCGGTAATTTGACGCATTCAGCTGCACACTGGCGAGCGACCTTTTTGTTACTGACAAGCATAGCGATACCCGCCGCTAGCAGTGCCATGGCGACAATGAAACAGAGACATGAGCACCAGGAACAGGATGGGCCGTGACAAAGACAACACTGATTTTGCCTCGCATGATGAGGACGCTTTGTATGGGATGGCAAAGGGATCAATGGACGCGCAGGTTGGAAGTGAGCGATATGGGGTGGTTGCACCATCATGGGTCGACTGACTTTGGGATAATCATACGGTAGACTTGGCGAATAATAGGGATGGACAATATCCGTTCTTTGACGAAAAGACGGTCGTATTCCATAAGCTGTTTCGTTGTACGGGAAACTTGAAGGTTGCATTGGATGCCTGTAAAAGGGACCCGTCGGAGGAAATGAAGATATCCGCTCCGTCATCTCTGTGTCACCGTTTTGTTCAGCCCGTTCTTGCTCCTGTTCCATTCGCCGAAAATCTTCTAAAGATATTGCCTGGGGATCGTAATACGTATTCATTGACTGCATTCCTCTGTAAGGTTGAGACGCGTGGACATCGTGCTGAAACTGATTGGCATGACGGCTGTCATGCTGATTGGAAGGCGGAATGACAGTTTCTAGCCTTGGCGCCGACATGGAACGGTAATCGTGATTCAACTCGTGTTGTTGTGTGTTATCCGCTCGATTGGCCAAAGGCGGTGGGTATTCATTTGCGTAAGGATCGTTGGCCATTTCCTTAAATGATCCGGATCAGGAAAATTTAAATCAACGGGTTCAACCGGGGCATCCTTTAATTGCATGAAAGCGCAGGTTGAAAAATTAAATGGTCTCGGAATTTCATTGGACAAAATCATCGGTTTTGCTATTCAGCCACTGAAAAATTTCGACAGAAAAACGAAAACTTCAACGCAACAAAAGAAGGCAGCTTTTTGGAGGGACAATGATGAAAGGTTTGGAAGAAAAAGAAATACATTCAATAATATCCTTAGTATGTAAAAATGAAATATGTCTCGATGGTAACTATTGCTATATGTTTGTATGCAAAAAAAAGAAGAGGAGAAAATAGGAATAATCAAAAGATAATAAAGTGGTGATGAACTTTTTTTGGGGAGAAAGGGTTCGGGGAGTAAAAGGGGGACGACAATGGTTAGGTAGTTGTGATGGTGGCCGCTAGGTGAAACATGTTTTTCGGGATTTACGCGTGGATGGTTAGAGGAAGAAGAGGGCTTAGATAGAAAAGAAAACCACAGAGAGATAAAGAGGAAGAAAATGATGGAAAGCAGCAAAAGAAGAATGATATAAGAGTGACGAAAGAGAAAAAAAAGAGGAATACATAAAATAGAGTAAGGGGGGGGGGGCTTATCGCAGACGCGATTGACGGTCTTCTGGATCGCGCCGAACAACTTCCACCGTGGAGAAAACGTCCCAAAACCTCAAAGTTTCATCGCCAGCCCCAGTCACAATCGTGCTTCCATCATGACTCATGGACATGTACAAAACACGACTGGAGTGGCCGGTAAGTGTGGCAACTCGTTGCATCTTGTTTGCTTTCCATACAATCACTTGATTAGAAGAACTCACCGAGTTGCTGGCGTAACCATGGGTCGATACGATTTCGTTGGTCTTTTTGGACCATGCCACATTGCACACCTGGGACCCCGTGTCGTGAGAAGACAACAAGCTACCAGAGATGGCATTCCAGAATTTGATGGTCTTGTCTGCCGTTCCTCCACCGCTGACAAGCATGCCTCGAGCATGTGGACTCCAGTCGATGGCCTTGACAGCCGCACAGTGTTTCTTGAAGCGGTGCATAATGATGTTCTGGTGCGATTCCCACACAAGCAAGTTGTTGTCGTTACCTCCTGAAGCCAGCATCATACCGTCGGCACTCCACTTTAAGCCACACACTTCTTGGAGATGGCCCGTCAATTCGCGGAAATGAGGTTCAGGCGACCGCACATCGCGATGGAATATTTTGTGATCACGACCACCAGAAGTCAGAATATTGGAGCTCCAGGCCAAAGAACCTACCCTCGATGTATGGCTTGCCCAGGTACGGACGCGTCGTGATGTTTCGACATCCCACAGTAATACCTTGCCTTTATTGGACGCCACCGCCAGATGCGTTCCGTGCTGCGCCCAGTTCACCGAAGTCACCGTATCGGTAACAAAATCACACAATTTGGTGACCCGGCTGGTATTGGCATTCCACAAATAGACACACGAGCCAAGTCCCACAGCAAGAGTATCATTGGAGCCCCAGTCAACGAGATTCAGGTAGAAATCGTCCTTTTTTTTATATATAAAACATCCTAACAGGTGAATACCACAAGAATTGTCACACCCTACCCCTCACTCACTCTTTTTTTTTCTTTCTCACATTCTCCCGTTCTCTGCCTACATCTCTTGCACCACTACAGACATCAACACTAACCTGTAATTCAGGCGCGTCCAAAATTTTGATGGCGGATTGGCTGATATGGCGAGCTCTTTGTTGATGTGCAGCCATCACGCGTCGACCCACGTCACTGACGGGTGAAGCCGGTTGCCGAGGACTCAGAGATGAAACAATCCGTGGTGAATCGTCAAAGACACTGGCGTAATCGGCGGTGCTTGCAGTTCGCTGGGTGCTAAACTGTAGTACCCGCCGTGGTGTGCGGGAGCCTGAATCGGGATAGATAAAATCGTCAGCCGCAGTGGGATCGCCGCACACTTCGCCAAGGAAGTATGCGCTCATCCTTCTCGTTTCGAGATCTGCCGTGGAATCAAAAAAAAAAAAAAAAAAAAAAAAAAAAAAAAAAAAGCAAACGGAGGAAACCCATATCAATTTATGCACAACATGACATTACCATCGAATCGATCGTTGACGGAGGAGCAACAACTTACCTTGTTGAGAATGCTGGTCAGACTCGGTATTGGATCGACGTGGTCCGCTAGGTGAGTAGCCTTCTGTCATTTGAAATTCTCGCGTCAAGTTTCGCTCGCGGACGGGTATAAGTCTAACGACAGGCACAGAGGGGTCAGTATGTACAAATGGATATGGATATGGACTATTCTCTCAAACGACTTTTCTTTTCTTTTCGTAGTGAACGGTGAACGGTGAACTTTACCTGTCGCCTTGGGTCTGGTAACGTCGTTTTCGATAAGGAGAAGGAGGAAAGATGGGTTCCAATGGCGATTCGTAATTGAAAGAGTCTTGATCAGAAACAGGTATCGGTGGCGATCTAGGATTGGGTAAAGCACGTTCCGCTGCAGGATCGACGGTTTCGGCAGGGTTCACGGCTTCGTCATCTTGCTCTTCCTGCTCCTCTTCTTCGGGTTTTATCTCACGTTGGACTTGAGACGTGGCATTATGACGTGCTGAGCGTAATCTTCGTCTGTATGAGTCACTCATACTAGTGAACGAAGTCACTGGAAGGTTTGTATTTGCTGTGGGTGCTTGTAAAGTCGACACTGTAATATTGACAGGCGAAGGGAAAGAATGGGAAAACGAAGGAAATGTAACGCTCCGATTCCAAAGACCGTGCCGAAAATAAATTGCGTATTCAGTCGAAGTGGAGCGGGTTAGTCTATTTGGGGAGAGTGTATGAGAAACTGTTCCGTTTATAAGTGAGTGCTCTCCTTTACCTTTTAGCGAGCGGATATGCGGTTCAGTATCGGACTGTCCGATAGTTTAAGTGACAGCTCAAAAACCCTATCGTCTCCCTGACTTCTTTTTTTTTATAGATTTTTTCCAGCGTCTCGTGTCTGCGGTTGCCTTTTTGGTTTACCGATAAACGCTTTTTCTTGCCTTCTGCTATATTTCCAAATCGCGTGTGTCAATAAACATATACAATTTATTGTATCTCTGTGGCCCTTGGAAGGCTCATTCCATATTCATCACTTACACGGTGAAAAAGTAACTGTTATGTGAAGACGGAGGTTAATTTATGGTTCATTACCACATCTCGCCTGTTCCATTTCACCTAATGATAATAACTTTTTACCTTTTTTTTACAAATCGTTGGCTAAAAGCTATATGTATTATATCCACTTCCTGCCGCACTCCCTATGTTCTCATGATAACTCTCAAGCAAAGCCTGCCTTTGTTTACTTTTTACGTCATCATTTGTTGATACTCCGATATTTCAAGGACTGCCGTGATGTCATCACCTGTCATTTCTTTCTGAAAGGCACTTTTTAGGTGTGAATTGGTGGTTAGAAAAGGCCTGCTTGATACTTCTGAGGTCTTTGCAACTTCCACGGCATTGCCTCTACTTCAACGCGTGAGCTTAGTCTAAGAGGGATGTTATTAAATTCGTGCAACTTGGTTGGAAATATCCGCAATCATAATCCTTTCTGGTGTACCTGAAGTTCATTAATGCGAGTCTATGAAGGGATTTTCTGATGCCGAGAAAGAACACAAATACATTTTTTACATTGAAATGCAGTTGACAGGAGGAACATAAGTAAATTGTTCTGTGTAAGGAACGCCTAGAGTTCGCTAGACTGTACATATTTTTCAGATAAGACGATTAAAATACGCGTTGATTTTTAAAGCAAGGATCCCATCCACCGAATAAAGTCTCAAACTCACAAAGAAATACGAAATCATATAGTTTCTTGCACTGAATAATTGTTTACTGAAGCATTGTCTATAGAAATCGAAACAGAAAAGGCCACAACAACTGTGGTTCTGAAATTGTTGGTTGAGAGAAGTGCAGTATAGGCGGCACATCAGAGAGAAGAAGAGTAATGTTACGCCTGTTACTAGGCACATTCATCAACCATTAAGGAAAATCACCTGATTTGAGATAAAAAGAGACAGTGTGACGCTCCCTTGGTAGCCAAGACGATATTCATGCTTAAATCGCTGACCTTTTATTTTAGCCCGACTGCTGCTCTTATAAGTCTTTCAAGTGACACTTCTTCCTAAAGCTAATTTTCAGGAAGACGTGTATGGGGTCTCGGATATTGCTATCGTAACTCGTACGAATTTAATAAAGTTTTGTTTTGCCTGGTCACCATGCAGCTTTCGGTTCAGTTCAAGTTTCGGATTCGCCATTCAGGACAAAATATGCATCGACATGGCGACGATTTGCTTCCTTTCACCCAGATGCTAGTTTCAATTCTCAATCATTCAAGCTTTACCAACAAGCTGCTTCTGCATCACGGCAGCCGGGAGTTGGTACGATGCTTATCAAACGGATGCTTCTCAAGTCAAAATGACGTCACTTTTGGAAAGCGGCGCGATGAAGTTGAGAGGTTGTTCAAAGTAAAAAATTCCATCCACAAACGACCCCGGCCGTTGTGACACAAACCCAAAATAAAGATGATCCTTACGCTGCACGTCAGTGAAAATAAATAATTTTACACAAACAATTGTTTTCTTCTCTAAATGAGATGACAGTTCTAAAAAGGATTGAGTTTACTTCATATACATTTTATATCTATTTTTCACCCTATAAAAATAAAAAAAAAGTCAAAACGAAACGTCATTAGTAACGCATTCTGTTGTTCATGTTTTGCTCATTCCAATGTACGTACGCGAATCATGCGGCCAGCACCCCAGAGGGCACCAACGAGACCAGTACCCAAGACGAGGAAAGTACCGTAGACGAAGAGCTTGTCTCTGGGACCACGCATGAACAAGAGCTGGTTGGAGGGAGCCTAGCATCACGAAATGTAGACCAAGTTAGTGACATTGAACTCCACGGAAAAGGTTCATTGCAATATTCACCTGGAAGTAACGCTGGTTGGCGAGGACGTGGTTAGGTCGGTTGACGAGCGACATGACGATGAACTGAACAAAAGAATCGAAGGTGTCGAAAGAATAACAAAAAAAAACCGCAAACAAATTACCTTCGGGATTTTTCAAAGCGTTCCAAAAGCAGTCCAATTTCGCGAAAAAAAAATCACGTGTACCGCGGAGGTCTCCCCAGCAGCAGCTGTCAACGCCCTTTTTGGTGTTTGTGCGTTTCAGGATCATGTCGCAGTGTGCAGCATGCACAGACACCAACCCTTCTCTTTGATTTTATTTTTCGCCAACCCATAGAGTTTCTTGGCTATTCGAATTTTGTGGAGAAAGATTGTGTTATGGTTGAAGCAGATAAATCAATAATGAGTTTAGGGATTTTTTTTTTCCATTTTGTTCATCCATTTATTGCGGTTCACTGTCAAGTAAGCGAGAAAAATGTATTACTAGCAGAGTATCAAGAAATTGACGCTGCACAAATACAGTAATTATAGTTTCGATGTACTTTCTAGTACGAGATTACAGTATACGCTGATTCAGATTTACGAAAAAAAACAAGTGATTGCGTTAGGGATACTGTTCACGAATTGTTCAAATCGCCAATTTCTCTTCAGATTATGTATAATTCATGGTTCGTAAACCTATCTGATAGGCGAGTTTGATTTTGAGGTATGTTTGGTAGATTTTGTGATTTCTCTGTCGAAGAAGGTTGTCGATGCTGGCCTGAATAGCGACTCAAGTCGGTTAAGGAACTTATCGCTATTTCTAGGTATTTAAACAAATACGAACGATAAAAAGGTTGAATTTTTATTTGATTGATGTTTGTCAGAGCGTTAGCAGTAAGGCTAGATGTTGCTGTTGCGCTTTGCGCACGAAATCATAGGTTTATGAACATCGTAAGGACTTTGTAGTAAAGTGGGTCTAAACTCTCATTGAGTATCTGATATGTCATATTCTCCTACCAATAATGCTTTTGTTCGTAAGATTGCCATACATCAGTCGTGCTGTGCGATATCAGATATGCCGTAGCGAGTTCAATATTTCCGCTTTTATAACAGGCGACTTTGAAGTTGTAAATGCGTCATCTCCAGTTGAAACACCATCTCTACGACCGGCGCCCGGGCAAAAAGTCACGTTAATTTTTGCCGGAGATAGGGAAGTCGCGGGCCGGAAATTCGATGGCCTGCTTAGGCCTTGTAGACAGCAGCAAGATAAGAATTCTTCCTTCCCTTTCCTAACGTGGTCGATTCACATCCCATCGATCTGTAAATATGGCTGCAACTCAAGGTATGCAATCAATCGAACAAGCCATGGATGTATGGATGCATTAGATTCTAGATGGATTCATGGCTCTATTGATCGTACGACATGACGCTTTTTATCGATATCTTTTTTCCTTGGACTCTCATAACCCCATGCAACACACCATGACTGACGAATGTAATGATTTCTTTTAGCTCCCAAGGCTAAGGCTCTCGCTGCCAAGAAGTCGGCCCTCAAGGGTGTCAACGGTAAGAGCGTGCGCAAAATCCGCACCTCCACCCACTTCCACCGTCCCAAGACCTTGAAGTTGGCACGTAAGCCCAAGTACACTCGCAAGTCGGTTCCCCATATCCCCCGTATGGACCAGTACCGCATCATTCGTCAGCCTTTGAACACCGAGACTGCCATGAAGAAGATTGAAGAACAAAACACTTTGACCTTCGTCGTCGATGTCAAGGCTAACAAGTCCCAGATCAAGGACGCCGTTAAGCGTCTTTACGATGTTGAGGCCGCCAAGGTCAACACCCTTATCCGTCCCGACGGTTACAAGAAGGCTTACGTCCGTTTGACCGCCGATGTTGATGCTCTTGACGTTGCCAACAAGGTAAGCTTCGTAAAAATAAATTGAAAACGATGGCAACAGGTGCCATTTTGATACCAGTTATTCATGCAATACCTTGTCTTTTTTGTAGATTGGTTTCATCTAAGCGCATTTTTCCGTGTCATTCTCTAGTCGAGCAATTTCTCAATAAACTGGATTCATGTCCAAACAACAGACTACCATTCTGTACATTATGATTTTTCAAATGTCGCTACAAAATATGAGTAGAAAGAGATATCGTTTTTATAACAAATTGTATCGAGGCTCGTATTTATTTTGGATCGCGAATAATTCTAAAGAGCAAAGCAAAGGAAAAACTATTCTAACGAAAAAATAGAGGCTCTCCTTGTGAGTTCTTTAGCGAGACTTGAAATCTATAGACGAAAAGAAAACCGTTGTCATATGTGAGCAACCATGGATACCACAAGTGAAACAAATGTTACACAATAGATCAACCCAACAACACTTACAATCCAAAAGGACATTCATGGCTTCGGATTCTTCACCAAAATCGGTCACGGCAACGCAAGAGCAACCGACGACCTTACGGGCATTACCGTCACGATCAATCTTGCAAAGACCAGCCCATTCACCAAGTTTCTTGGCGTCCGACACTTTGATGAGATTGATATTGTGCTCGGCGCACAAAGCTTCGATCAACTTTACGTACTCGGACTCGGTACACGACTCGCAGAGCACTGCCAGATGAGCCTGGCGTCTAGTGTGAAAAATGAAAAAATAAGATTTGGTTGGAATCAACAAAAAAAGAGGCTGCCCAATCAAACTTGTTTCTTCTTTTCATGTCGACGCGTCATCGGATTCTCATCCCGTGCACACGGATCATTTTGAAAGAAAAGAAAAACCTGATAATGCAACCCATGGCAAGCATGAAATGCCGTTCTTCGCCTTACCTATCCAACGCCTTGACAGCCTCCCTCAAGCCGCGAGCAAGACCGTCGTGAACCAAGGCGCGACGCAGCACTTCCTGAAGGGCATCTTCGACAGACATGGCGCCCTTGGCAGTGTCAGCTGCAACTTCGACTTCTTGGTTCTCAATGATGACAGTCTCTTCCTCAGCAGACATGGTTCTTCGGTTCTGTGTTCGGCACTGTTGAAAAAAATTAATCCATCCATTCATCGGTCAGTTCGAATTGATCATCCATCTTTCTCTTTCCACTCGGCAACCGATTACTATTGAGTCGACACGTACGTAGAGGATAATAACAAAGGGATAATGTCTATTCGATGAACGACTTCATCCATTTGTAACACTGAACTTCGGACATTGGCCGGACGTCGGGATTTAAATATCCGCCTCCTGCGGATGCACCGAAGAGCAGTTTTCTTTTTGTGAATGAAATCCATCAGTTCGACGTAAGATTAAGTTATGAGATTTAGATACAGACTGCACCATATGATGTTCTCTGTTCTCTGTGGAAGTTTTTCATTCAACAAATTAAACAGTAAGCAGCATTTGCTGGCTCATTTAAAAGGTATTCTAGTGGTTATTTTATTACATCGTCATGGTGCCGCACCCTAATATGACAGGCAACGACTTTTGAAGCCGACCTTTTAGAGCGTGCATGCTAAGATTTGGAATTGATTCATTGTGGGTTTGCACCATTGATGAGAAATATTACGGATCAACTTTTTTTCTAGGGGTGCGAGCTCACAAAAGACTGAGCATCTTTAGCGAAAATCTCCATATTCCAATGATTTCATGATAGTAGAAGCGGTTGGAAGTCGAAGTAAAAATTCTCGACATTAGAGATTTTATTAGCTGTGATGAAGTCCCTAGTAAACCGCCAAGAAAATCACTTGCAGCTGAGACACCGGTAATTGTCTGGACAAAGCTTGCAATGTCAAAACGTGCACTGCTGTATCCATGACCGTTTGGTTGCGCTGAAAATAACGCAAACTCTGCCTTTCGCCAGATGATAACTAATGACTAACTCAATATCATTCACATATGAGAAATCTTGAGCACATGTTGGATTATCTGCAGCTGATAATAAAAAGCAAATTCACCGCGCACTGTAGCACAAGTGCTCGGGATTCATGCGTTTGTTTCATAAAATCACCCTCAGCTGGTGAAGTTATGATTTATAATGATAATAAGGCAGCAGATTCTTGTTTGTTTAAGATTTACCGTCGCCTTTGCTGAGCGCAAGGAGAGAGTATTTGCACTTTGAAGGAAGTGATCGTCAGGAGCATGTCGCAGGCAAAGGTGATTGGTCATCACAACATGCAAATTTTTTATCCCCCGAAACTCAATTTTGATAAGCTTACGCCCAAAAAATGCGATGACACAGGCTCTGGGAAAATGCCTGTCACGCAACAGCTTCTGCGGGACACAGCAAAAATAGCATACAGAAATAAAGCATTATATAGACAGCATAACACTGATTATATTAGTTGGAATAGAAATAGAAAAAGACAAAGACAAAGTTCAGAAAACAGCACGAGAATGAGAGATGCGAGAAAAAGGGATGAACATGGAAGGGTTTGAGATGATGACGCCAATGGGAGACATCTAATTAGGGCATAAGGCGGTTAAGAACCACAGGTGTATACTGGTACAAAGTCATTACAGAAAGGCAGACAATACTGAGCATAATGGTATCTACAAAAAAAAAAGGACAAAACTAGAGTTAGAAAGGAAAAAAGAGGCTGGTCATGAGAATAAATTCGACACATACTGAAGAGAGCCTTCTCCCAAGGTTCCAACATATAGAGAGCCGTCTGAAGCTCGTACTGATATATCTTGGTTGAAATATAACCTTGGATTCCTTCGTTTGACTTCATGATGCAAGGAAATAGGAAAAACGTATAGAGACAACAGAAAACTCTTGGCTTTTCCTCTGATCATAATTTTTTTTTCAAATTCCGTTTTTGAAACAGAAACCCACTTCGCGAAAAAAGTCACGCAACCTATGCGCTGAGTTCTCAATCTCGTCGGCAAGTGCATTTGTTGCTGTGGAAATGAGCAGTTGAGCATTGGTGAAATTATTATTGATCCGATAAAACGAAACTGATGATATAGTTGGACCTACTTGGCGAAGTTTATATTTATCAAAGTTTTGCAGAATGGTAACCACTTTTTACTTGCAGATAATGTGAGCCTAGAACGATGGATGAAGCCACAAGGCATTGCTTGTCTATGTATGCTGTCACGTCTTTTAACCCATCTAAGGCAACTGGTTCTAGAAAGTCTCTGTTGTTGATAATTCAAAGAGTTTAGCCATAACTGTCTGCAACAAAAGGAACAAAATTTTATACTTCACAGGACAAAATGCAGCAAACATTTTGTGCTACATAAAATCTCATCATCGACGTGGTGTCAGGAGCGCATGTGGTTGTTAATATAAATTGAAAAAAAAAAAAGAAAACTTCAATCTGAATCCTTTTCATAGAACAACGAAGGTGCGTAGTTCCATTCTTTCAAAAAACGTCGACATTGGGGACATATGCCAAGGAGTGTTCAAACCAGTACCAGGATATTACCGTTTCTGGGCTGCATTCATCGCATCCAACATTATTTTTCAAGGTTTAATCAAACCCCGTGTATTTACTCTTTGTCGCGATTTATTTTCTAAATTGTGGATGACAAAGCTCATGATCATCTCCTGGAAAATTTGACAGTGAGTTGTGAGTTACCAAATTCAGGGCGCGAAACAATTAGTGGGAATGCTTGATTGTGAGAAGGACTGGATGGGGATGTGGACACGCAGAGTGTGTACGGTGTTCGGGAATCGAAAAAGACGTTCACTGCATGGTGTGCGTGAAGATGTTGATAGATCATGCTCTGCCTTTTCCCTTTTCCTTCTTGGAACTGGGAGGCATCTCTTCCTTCATTTCATAATCTTCATCCTCTCCTTCGTCAAGTGATTCAAATTCGGCAACATGGATATCTTCCCATTTTACTATAAAACCCAGTGAATTTAGTGTTTGTTACGAGGCCAATGTTTCTCAAGAGCACTGACCATTATCCTTGTCGTAAAATACAAAAAAGACAAGAGCATCGTTGGTGACATTGGATTGGTCGACGGTCTTCTTATCCTCCAACAGGGCCGGTTCAGCGTCCGATTTGTCAAGAAATAAGCGAATCTCCTCCGGTGTACGATCGCCACCGAGGGCTGCGCATAGCTTGGATTTGACTTCAGCAATGGTATCCTTTAGATTGACATAAAGGAAAAGATTGGTTTTGTTTCGTTTGGCACGAATGTAAATGGGATTCAATACGTGGCTCTAATTAATGAAGAATGTGTCAGACGCTGTTGTTACATATTTCTTGCCACGACAATACACTCACCATGACGAAAGGCAAGGACAAGGGCGACGTTGCCCTTTGACCGTGGGTGCTTCACGCGATTGGGTCAATTGGCAGTCGTGACTTGAAAACTCCGGTTCGAACATTTTTTGGTCCGGCGACAAATTATGTGGAGGGATGCAAGCGCAATGGGGGCAGCCCAATGGTCGGGATGGATGCCGTACAAGTTCAGTGAATTCGCTCCAGAGGTGGCTCCCTCCTTTTCGCTTCTTATTCAAAATGGTATGTAGCCTGATGCTTTCATATTTTCTAGTCAAATGTTCGATGGATGCGCACCAGATGGCAATAAAGACGACGGATGAACGTGCAAAAATTTGGATGGATTGACGGGCGACGCTGTATACGATTTCAAAAAAAAGAAAACACATCACTTCCCACTCGCTCACTTTTCCTGAGAAAATGCACCACGCACGCCATGGGTCGATCGCTATTTCGCCATCCTCGTTCATTTTTTATACGAACACGACCTTTTTTATCTTCATCCATCTTTTTTTGAATCGTCAGCTTACGTTATTTTCTTCGCTTTTAGGCTGATCAAGCTCAAAGAAAGAGAACCTTCCGTAAATTCAGCTATCGCGGTGTTGACCTTGAGCAGCTCTTGGACTTGTCCTCTGAGCAGGTAAACAATCGTGTTCTTCATTGTTTATATCCCATCATCGAAGCGAACTTAGTTTAACGTTTTGACCCATGAATAGTTCATGGAGCTCGTCCACTGCCGTGCTCGCAGAAGATTCCAGCGCGGTCTTAAGCGCAAGCCTATGGGTCTCATCAAGAAGCTTCGTCAGGCCAAGAAGGAAGCTGCTGCTGACGAGAAGCCCGCCGTTGTCAAGACTCACCTCCGTGATATGATCATCGTTCCCGAAATGATCGGTTCCGTTGTCGGTATCTACAACGGTAAGACCTTCAACCAGGTCGAAATCAGACCTGAAATGGTCGGTTTCTACCTTGGTGAATTCTCCATCACCTACAAGCCCGTTCGTCACGGTCGTCCCGGTATTGGTGCCACCCACTCTTCCCGATTCGTTCCTCTCAAGTAAAAAAGAGTATCACTTTATTTCTTGGTTTGAACCTTTGTCAACTATTTTTTGAAAATTTTTGATGCAAAGCGTTCAAAAAAACAAATCCAATAAATGCCGAAAAAACAAAGGATGGTTGTTGCAAGTTTACGCTTCTTGAAGCCATTGCGACATGGCATAGTGCACTTGTTTGTGAGTTTCTTCAATATGGAATGAAGAAGTAGTATCAGAAACGTAAAAATCCTGCAAAATGACAGAGAACAAAGTTGTGAGGACAATGAGACGGGTTGAAAAGAAAGAAAAAATCCAGTTACCCAATGGTGCACCGACTGGGGGAGTACGGCATAGTAGGCGTCTTCGTTCCAATGCGATCGGTCGGGCGCTTCGTCACTGTTGACAGCCAGGGTTCGCCATGGATCCCATTGCCCGTCAATCCAAAAGACTCGTGAGAGACTGATATACCAACCTTTGTAAATTCGATTCATCATGCGCCACGCTGGCCGTGCGGGTACGTGGTGTTCCCCAAACATGAGCGGGCATTGCTTCTGATACCAGTCGGTGGTCAGTTTTCGGGACACGATCGACGGGTACCACAATGGGGGTGCGGTTTGCCAATACGCGTACTCAGTGCACCGTTGCCACATCCACGCACGATTCACGGCCGTGATATTCGTGTACATGGGCGATTGCGGATTGTGTGTATTAAGGCATTCACGAACGGAAGCGGTCGTAGCACATAGATCTGCGACCATTTTTCGTATATAATTGGCATACGCGTGAATGTACTCGGAAATGTCGGTGGCATGGTCAAATGCCACGCAAAATTCGTCGGAAAAACGATCCACAGTGGGAGTTTTGGTTTCCCACAATTTGAACGGTCGTGTGAGCACTACATTGACGAGTAAGCAAGATCCATCAGTCCTTGGTTTCGCATAATAGTCGCTTTGTTGATGGCTTACACTCGGCAAAATCATCGTCATGATCCAAATCGGCCACCCCAAATAATGATTTTATTTTCTTCTTTGATTCGGCGAATGGACCAAACAATATTGCATCAATGTGCGCAACGGCCGCCTGGATTTTACGGATACATTCGACGGGTCCATATCGGCGCATCGTGTCAAAGAACTGGTACATATCGTATCGGATTTCGACTGGCGCGGAGGATACCACGGCGGCAAAGACGAGATGCGGATACTTTTGTCGCATCCACGCCGCCAAATTGCCACTGTAACTGCCACCATACATGATCCATTTCGTCTCTGGACGTGGCAAGGTCCCAGCCAGATTCGGCAACTAGTTGTGTCCCGACCATGAGGATCTATTGTATCTGTTTCTTTGTCGTTTTGCGCTATATTCAAGAACATACGATACCTCGACCTTTTTTATAAAATAAGCCATGTCTTCCAAAGATTGTCGCGTATTCAGAGTTTGCAGGCTGGCCACTGAGAAATTCTAACGAGAGTGGACATCAAATCACGGAAAGAATGCGTGGGATTTTCAATGATCACTTACTGCCGAGGGCATGGATTTTCCGTAAAATCGATGTTCAATGACAATGACAATTCCGTGTAATTGGCGAGCCAAAAGCGCCATGGAAGAATTCGTCACAAAAGCTGCGCGTTCATCTGCAGGTCCTTCACCTGCATTATACACTAAAATAAAATAATGCAGATTCTCCTGTTAAATGGTTGGCCTTTTTTTTTCATTTCTTTTGGTGCTTATTGCAGATGAATGTGTATTGCAAGCTCGTTTTTTTATTTTTTATTATTATTTTTACTTACATATAACGGGTGCTCCTTCTTGATACCAATCGGTATTGGCCCAATATCGTTGCTGAAAAGACACCGAGTGACGATTAAAATGGTCAATTGGCTGCTGAAAGTAAAAAGGTCCATATCGGCGTTCTACAGAAGCGTGGCTTGTTTTTTTGTCGTATAGCTGAATATAGAATTCAATAGATAACAATAGTTAGGAAAGTCTACTTACATTGACTGTGCATTAACAGGTGGTAGAGAAAAACAAAAGACAGCAAAAAATAATAATAAAATTGGCCATTTTTCCATGATGAATAGGATGAGCGAAGAAGGCGGAAAAAGGGGACAAGGTTTATCCAAACATCCCTCTTTTTTATACGATTTCAATCTTTGCCTACTTGGCCGTTTTATGTTTATGTTTGATGCAACTTTATTTTCTGGCCATCGTAACTCAAAGCAGGGTATTGTGTTTTCATTTAGACATCTAGAAGCCCATACCATTTGTGATATTTCTTTTAGAGAAGATTATTTTATGCTTGGGCAATCAGCTGGTAAGTACTCTTTTTCCGAGGCACGCCATGTTGTTAGCCCCAACCACCGTATAACATGTGTAACTGAATGACACCATGTTATCTCAGAACAGCAATGCACGAAAATAAAAACGCACAATGGTAAATGTTTCAACAATGACAGCTCTCTTAAGTTACTTTTTTCATTCTTATTTTCAGCAATAACACAACGCTGCCGCTACAGTATATCAGAGCATATGGCAGCCATTTCTGTATATACTGTAACTGTTAGCTACCAGTAGTTGTATACTAAAGAATGTTATGATTTCACCTGAAACTCTTTGTCAAACAATTAATTCTGTGATTGATTCAAGGCACTAGGATACATCTTATTTGTAAACTTCCCTTAACAGAGATTGTTGGCAGGTCTTGGAGGCTTTCTGGAATCATGTGGTCAACTGAATAGTGGAGTGGAGTTCTGTTTTTTTTTTCTTCCCTGAACAATCCCAAACATCTGGGAAAAGTTTTTCTTTTGGTTTTTTTTTTTGGAAAAAGAAGGCGGTTGAATGTCCGCAGAGACGTTCCATATTGGGTAATATGCGGAAAGTCACAATCATGGCTGCATCGTTTTGGGAAACTTTCTTTCTCTGGCTGCTAAACTGGCAGGCGTGCATAACATATATATACATACACACACACTAATTCATGAGTCACGGCCGTCGCCATCCGGTCGATTCTGCCTACTTGGAACCCCCCTCACCGACTTCTCCTTCCCTTATTTCCTCATCCTCTCAGACCCCTCTTAATCAAACAGGAACCTCTCGTTCCCAATCTCATGAAGAAGAGCTCACCATGACCAACGACTCTACCGATGCTATCAACGCTGCTGATTCTGCCGACGATACCACTTATTTTTTACTAGACATTAATGCAGACAATACAAACGAAGAAACATCTCACAGTAACGAACGTCGTTCACGACGATCCAGTAAAAGCAGCACAGCTTCGTCGAGTTCGAGTGTGTCTGCGCAAGTGGTCATTGATCACGGAAACACGTTGCCACGACGATTGGAAAAGAGCGGTGCTGCTCATTTACTTCGTCCCGCTGACGATGAATCCGAAAGCGATTATGCATACAGTTACACCGCCGGCCATCGTGAAGTGGAACCACTGTCAAGCACAGATCGCCAATATTATACCAAGACGTCAACGGACGACCACGATGGATCAAGACCGGCGTTTAATACAACGAATTCGAGTGACGCCGATGGACGTACCACGGGCGCTTTTAGCTCCCAAAAGAATACAAGGCAGCCTTTCCGACAACGAGAAAGCCACAACTCGAGAGATCAGACCGTGGCCGATGAGGGCGACAGCCGAGGATCCGACAATCATACTTACAGGAAATCAAACGATCACGATAACGGCAATGGTTTAACGACGGTTTACACAGAAGAACAAGATGATTTAATGGACGAAATGCCCAGTTGGGATCAGGAAAGGTTGCGCCACAGAAAAACAATTGCTTATGAACGCACCAACGATGAAAACGAGCACTCGTATAGCCCGCGGGCAGGCCATCGAAGGCTTGATAAGAGGACCCAGCGCGTATTGCAAACCGATCTGCAATCCCATTCTTGGAGTCGCAGAGAAAGCCTTCAGAGTAACCGCGATCCGGGACTATCCAGTGACGATGCTTTGATGTAAGTAACTCTTTGATGTCGCTTCTTGCTGGATAAGTCTCAATGACCCACTCACCCTTTTTTGATAGGAAACTATTGCATATAGCACATCAAATATTGGATGAAGAACGCGCCAAAATTGCAAAAACCATTGGTAATTTGGGAAACGTCATCCTGTCATACGTCGTCGATCTAACCATGTTCATAATCAATAGATATTCGAGACTTCATGTTTCGACCGGAATCGATTCTCTCCGTAGTGGTAGCCGCTGTGTTGCTGGCTTTTTATATTGCGGGTTATTTAAAAGGTGCTCCTTACCAGTACCGTTTTACCGGGGCTCTGGTGGAATCATTGCTGATCCTTGCCATGGTGGCGTGGAACGGTTATTTGTTGCACAGGGAAAAGACGTTGGCGTATCGGGAAGTGACAGATCGTGCTGCGACCATCATTTCGGCATTGGAACGGAGTGGGATGAACATGGTGCAGGATACGAAGATTCCTTTTATTCCCTCCATGTCGGTGGCCAAGGTGGTGCGTGATGGCGTGGTGCGTATTTTCCCTGTCAATTTGCTGGTGGAAGGCGACGTTGTGGAAATGCTGTATGGCGATGTTGCGCCCGGTCGAATGAAGTATATTCACAAACCACCACCGTCCACTGACCCGACGTACTCATGCAACCCTCCAGAAGAATCAAAATCGAGTACAAAGATAGATACCACCTCGGTCGCATCCTCCAAACATTCCGATACCGCCAATCCCACAGTGCCTGTCCCACTTCAAATGCGCGAATATTACTTGGCCCAGGATCAAGCTTTCAAGCCTTCGTTCTTCGGCATTCCGCCACCAGCGGGTCTGGTGGACGAATATCTACGTGCACGCGGTCGCCACCAGTTCATCCTTCTCGAAACGCCGTTGGAAAAGAATATGCGCACCGCTCTGACGCAACAGCGTCCGGCCACTGTGCTCGCCAACGAAACACGTGTTCTTGTGCGTGTCTTTTATCGATGGATTATATGGATTGTTCTAGCGATCGCCCTCGTCGTAAATTTGTTGCGGTTTGGCCTCCGCGATATTGCTGTAGACCATTTTCCCGCGGATCAATTGGTCGAACAAGTGTTTGCCTTGTCCGCCTACGCCATCCTTCCTCTTTTACCGTTATGTTTGCCCACGTTGTGGTTGGTGGCTCGTAGTTTCGGCAACGCTCAACTATTGATCTTGTTTGAAGCGCTTCAAATTTCGAAAACAGAGTATGAAGACGACGACGAAGTGGATGAATTTGATGCGGAAGCTCCACCGCCGACCAAAGACGTTGAACTGAGCCCCAATGCGGTGTGGGATCGATTCTGTGCCTTGCTAACGAAATGGGACCGACTGTCTCTGACGCGATCGACCAATCTCCTCGAATCTCTGGGCAGTACGACGGTCATCTGTTGTCTGGACAGAGAAGGTACCATTTCGAATCCTTTCCCGACTGTCGAACAGTTGATGTTTCCCAATACCGAGGAAGACATCAACTTTTTGGACCTCGAAGAAGATTCTGAAGAACCGTTTGGCATCAAATTTGAAGATCAAGATTGGGAACACTACTTGCCGTGCTTGAAACCTATTGGATTGAATTTTATGTTGAATACCAACTGTGGCGTTCTTCAGGGCCGCAAACGATCCGATTACCATCGCCGCCGATCAAAGTTGCACGTCTATGGAAAAACAGTACCTGCTCGACAGTGTAAGTTTTGTAGCACGAACCGAAAGTAAAACCAAAAGAACAAGACCTCTAACCGATGCTGCGGACGTGTTTTTAGCTTGTCTTTGCCGCCTGAGTAAATGCATTGGCTTTCGAGAAGAAGCGCTGCAATCCTTTGCGTTGCGAGCCGAGATTTACACATTTGCTCCGTATCATGACATCTTGAATACGCCACGATATCAATACAGTCAATATTTCCAGTTTGAAGTGCCCAACGCTTTGTCCACCGTCTACGAAGAAAAGACGTCGGGCAGTTATCAGCTGTTGACGGATGGCCACCCGTCCCTCGTGCTTGATAAATGCTCCGATTATTGGGATGGCAACGCACTGCAAACCATGAGTGAAACCATGGAGAAGAAAATCAACGACTTTTTCCAGAACGCCATGGTTCACGATATGCAATGTATCGCGTACGCTTACCGACCCATCAATACAGTGAATGGAAGCCGGATTCCTTTCCTGAACCCGAATGACGATGATAATGAAGATCCAGGTTGCGCATTTGTTGTTCTCCCGTACAAATCGCCCAGCTCCGATCAATTTAGTAGCTCGGACTCGTCTTCAATGACCTCGACTAGCTCTGCACAGCCTTCTCGACCGCCTTCCCTTCCTCCTGCACCGTCTCCTGTTCCTTCTGTTTCCTTTGCTTCAATAACCATGTCTCTGGACAAGGATGCTTTTATGGCACCACAGCCAATGCCCTCGGTCGATGTGAATAAGAATACACTAACCAGTGTGCCTTCGAGACACTCGCCTAAAAAGCTAAAGGAGGTCCATGCCTCTGACGATGACAGCGACTCTGACTCGGATAATGACGGTTCCACCGACTATTCTTTCGAGGAAGACCATCCCGTGGATGAACAAGAAGAAGAAACCTTTTACAAGGAAGTCGTTAAGGGACAAATCTTTCTGGGCATGGCCGCACTCTGCCATCAGCCCAAGCAGGTACATCTTGCCTCCTCTCCCTTTAATTTTCTTTATGATATCGTGAACAGATCAGCTGATAGCTTGTAAATTGTCTTTAGAACGTGGTCGATTTTATTGAAGACTTGGGCCTTGCCGGGATTCGGTTCGTCTACTTTTCGCCGACCGCCGAACGAGAATCTAAAGGTATAGATTGAATTGCTAGCATGTTCTTTAAGCGAGTGGTAACTCAAATTTCAATTGTTCCTTTGTAGCATTCGCTGAGCGGTTGGGGTTGGAAACGGACTGGAATAGCTGCATACTTTTATCGAGCCCGGATGATGAAAACTGTGGGAACGGATATTTGCAGACCCACGATATCAAGGCCCAATTACCTCGCGGTATCGATCAGATCCGTCCTCATCTTGAAAATGTGGACGATATTCCACTCCACGTTTCCTTGTTTGCCGAATGTACACCACTGGCTATCAAGGAAATGATTCGCATTTTCCAAGAAAACGGCGAAGTGGTGTGCTCTATTGGTAATGCTCTGAATGTGAAAAACACCGAATCGTTTGCTTTGGTAAGTAGGATAACCCGATATCCAGCCCATGGACATGCATTATTCATACTTTGGCTCATGCACTATCTTTCAAGTCCGACATTAGTATTGCCATGGAGCCCATGCATACCCGAGCACAGACCAAGGGACGATTGTCTTTGAATGGCCGACAACCGCCTTTGGCAGTAGGTGCGTCCCTGGTGAGTTTGCCTTGCGGATTGTTCATGCAGTATGAAACCAGTCTCTATGCTGTAACGCAATTAATCAGAGACGCACGTCGACTCCTCAGCTGTGTCCGCACCGTAAGTCCCATTGTCGCTAGACAGACATAAAAAGGAACATTTTTTCTTGACCTTCAAGGTTTAGGGATTCGCATTCTACGCGGCGGCGTGTATGTCGCTTACGGTGATGCAGTTGCTTTCATTTTGTATGCTGTTACCGCCTCTGGTAAACGGCTATCAAATCCTGTGGATCATGTGGATAATCCTGCCTATGCTATCGATGTCGATGCTTTTCACTCCGCACGATGATAACATCATGCTGTTGATGCCTGGTAAGTCTCCTTCAATGGCCAGTACCTCGGTCGTTTGTGTCGAACAAAAATCGCGGGAGACACGGTTGCAGAACTGGAAGCCATTGGGAATCATTGCTATTCGCAGAGCCGATCACTAACGATCACGCACGAAATAGGAAAAAACATTGACCATCTGACGGATTTATGGCGGTTCATGGGGTACTTTGTTCTTCGATTCGCTTTGCCGATGGTGATGTGTTTAGCCATTTATGCCATGTAAGTATTCCGGAGCAGTACATGGAATTCACGTGGGCTAAAATGGATGGTTTCACAGGGTCATTATCTACAGTCTGGGGGTTGCCACAGGTGATGTTTTCGGTGGATTTGGTGCATCGGGATGGTTCCATTGGACTCACGAGGAACAGTGGGCTGTATTGTATGGTCAAAATTTCATGCTTATTGTTTTTGTTTGGTATTTGGGTAAGTGCAATTGAATGATTGTTCGTATGACATGAACCTTTAAGCAAATCACGGAAATTAGCATGGATCTCTCTGTCATTTTTGCATCGTACATCGTCGTTGCGCGAATTTTGGCCAACGAAAAACAAAATTTGGATTGGAGCTTTCTTTTCAAGGTAAAAGGGAAAAAAATCGGTATCCATGCACCGACGTGGATGTTGCATGCAATGGAGACTAAATGTCCTTCTGAATAGCATTGCCTTGCAATTCGTGTTCTGTGCAGTGTCACTGTACGACGGACCTTTTCCATTATCAAGGATCCCGTGGTATGTCTACTTTCTCGGCTTGATCTGGCCAGTGATCGTGGTGCCTGTCCAAGAATTGGTCAAGTTGCATGATGAGAAAGAATTCACACGGTTCCAGAAGCGATCGAAACTGGAGTTTAGTACAAAGGTAAGAAACGATAGGAAAAGAAAATAGTGCTCTTGCTGATTCTATCCCACAATAGCTCGGCATGCACTCTCCGCTGTAGTTTAAAAATCGACTACTAAAGCTCCTGTTGATTAAGAAATTGACTTATAACAATTTGTAAAAAAAAAAATACATTTATAAAAACTTTCCTCTTCCGTTTACCATACCATGGCCTCTTTACATGCGCATCAGCAATAAGCCCATGCGAGAGTGGACGAGCAAGCAATAGACGAAATCCAGTTATACCAAGATAGTCGATATGTCTCGGCGCCTGAAGCGATCTGCCGCATATACTCTTTTTCATTACACCATCGACCACCGGCAGTCATGCAGCTGGCTATGTATTTACCTGACCACCAGCAAGTGTTCTTTAACGAGGATGATACCCTAGAGGATGTGCTCCTACGCACAGAGAATGATTTGACGACCCTCAACGCCTACTTTATCCTGAATCGAAAGGACGAGTCCGCAAGGCACTTATGTTATCACCAGCTCCCATCAGAATATATTTTCGTCAGGGTTCCCGGCATGTCCGCAGTCATTGGCGCAGGCGCCAGCGTGGACAGCCGGCAGTTGGTCGTGTCTACTTTACCCCTCCCATTGATAGAGAGCGCTTTGCTTTACGCTTGCTGCTGCATCATATACCCGGCGCCACATCATTTGAATACCTCCGGACACATGACGGTGTCCTATACCCCTGTTTTGAAGAGGCTGCCCGTGCCCACGGGCTGATCCATTCCAGCCGTGAGAGGCCGTTAGTGCTTTTTAATTGAAGAAAGTTAACTAATGACAGTTAAAAAAAGGAAGCATTCGTAACTCTTAGAAAGAAATGCGGTTGCACTTGATGGTCTTTACCTAACAAGTTTCTCTTTTATAATTCCACTAAAGTCCGAGGTGATAGGAGGAAATCAAACCGTTTTCAGCCTCAAATTGTTCAACGTCGCCAAATGGTCTTTATCACAGCAATGTAATTGGCACTTGGACGTGTTTATTTTTTCTCTTCCGGTTGATAAAAACGCTTTGCTTTGTGCTTGCTATAGCCTCATGTGCCTGACGCCACAGGAAACCTGCGGACACATGACGGTATACTCTAGCCCACCATTCGAAGAGGTTGCACAAAGCTGCGGCTGGCACCACCAGTGGATCCGGCCTGGGCTTGTGTGAACAGTTCTGTCTCGATAACCAGTATCAATACGGATCCCGCGGAGAGGAACCAGATACCCCTCTTTGTAGAGCGCGAGCATGTTTGAAAACAGCAGTGTCAAGTTCAAAGCTCATCGACTTTGCGTAACCGAAATCCTGTACGAAAGAGTCGAAGACACGATAGAAGGGCGGAGGGCTGTGTTGGTCGTGGCTCGAGACGTATTTCGGCACTTGCGTACCTGCCACTTTCCCTTCGTGACGAACGCTCGGTCTCCATGACATTCTCACGGTGAAAGTGGCGGAAGATGTGGAACAGTGATACGAACGCAGCAACGAATATTTACAACGTTATGTATGGTGATGGATGTCCTGCTGCCTTTACTGGGAACCCTTTGTCTTGTCTTTTCTTTTCTATCGCCGTATCGAACACGGTTTCCCTAATTTAGGAAAGAATTTAGATTTTTACAATCTTCGCACTGGTATAAACAAGCCGACAAGGGAACACAAAAAGGAAAGGACACCAAAAAAAGAAAGAAAAAAAAAAAGCGGGTCTGAAGCCCAAGTTTTCCTACCTGCGCGAGCGAATCTCTTCCGTGACGTTAATGAACCAGGTATTTGATTGCTTTATCTTGTCCATGCAGTAGGATTGCAAGGGAATGAAAAAAGAACACTGCCCAATCACACCTGTATCAGCTCGAAAATAAGCAGACTAGCTGCTTGACCATGCGCTTGTTATTAATGTCACTTATCACATGCAGTGGATTTTCACCAGAGAAGAACTTGCACGAACGCCCTCCATCGCTGTTGACGGTTGGTCGGTCACGCAGGAACAACGGATGCGCTTGAGAGGCTCGGCGATGATCCAATCGTCCGGTTCCAGGCTAGCGCTGTAAGTGATGCGATCTTCATTGTTGACGAGACCGTGCAAGCTCGATCTGCGTCCGTTTATCACTAAAAAATTCAGATCCCAAGTAACAGTGGCTACCGCAGCAGTCTATTTCCATCGATTTTATACGAGGCGATCATTTCAGGATTATGATTTCGAAGTAGGTTCTCATCACAGCGACGACGGGACACCGTTTTTTTCCAAGCGATACTGATCGTGAATATACTTAATCAATAGTACGTTGCAGCTGCATGTATCTACCTTGCCGGTAAAGTAGAAGATTCAAGAGCGAAATTGCACGATATCATCCAGGTATGCGCCCATCATAATTACGGACGCGAAAATCATGTTGCCGAGAAGATCAAGGTAGTCAGTGGGATCGGTGATAGTACCCTCAATTCGCTAAAGACTCATCGTATACTAGATTTCGCAGCAATGGCGAGAAGCGATTATCTATTATGAGCAATTTCTCATCGAGACTCTGTGTTTTGATCTTACCGTCAATCACCCGCATCAGCTTGTTTTAGAGTTTGGAGAGGAGATTCAAGGTAGGTCGGCGATTGGATTTTTCCGAGGGGCCGAAAGGAAAAGAGCATTGGCTCAATCGTGGAAATGCGATAGCATCAGAACGTGTCGTGGCCGCTGCTTGGGCTTTTGCAAATGACAGGTAAATCCATCCGATCCCATCGACAGGAAATGTCACCTTCATTGACCTGTTCGCCACATCCAAAAGCATGCGCGTCCCTGTATGCCTAATGTATCATCCACAAATGGTGGCGGCCGCCTGTATGCTTCTCGGTTTTCGCGTCATGCGTGAAGATTTCCCGTTAGATCCAGATACCATTTGGGGACAAACACTTGACAAGGAACCAAAATTATTACAAGGTAAGCTAAAATAAACCAAGGTACACCATCAGTAAGGGAAAACAAGAAAGAGAAGCTAGAGCAAAATGTTGCAGAAATTGTTACAGAGATTACCAACGTTTATACCCTGTCACCACGAAGTGAATCATAATTTTTACCATTGGCATCTATCCATCCCGCACATAATGTACATCTTTCTGCAAAAGGATTCCATTGAACTTTTTCTCTACAACACATCGACACACATATCGTCCTCGTCGCCTCCAAGCTACAGTAACAATTGATCAGCATCACCATCTTCTTTGCGAAAGAGAAAAATTATATCATAAGTAAATTCCTTCTTTTTCTCCTGCCAACTCTTCCTCCAGCACTATTGTTCATGTTTGTTTCCATGTCCTGTATCGTATTGTACTTTATATTATTTTTGAAGGCTCTTTTTTGACATTCTTGTTAGTGAAGCTTCGATACCGTTGAATGAATAAAATGCATCACCCCAAATAAAAAGAGCCAAAGACATTGTTTCTCAGTTTTCTGCATTTTTTGTGAAAAAGTGCCGTAAACCCTCAAGGCTGAACGTCTCAGTTCTTCTCCAACATATGCATCACAAGTCAGGGCAAGGGGTTGATCGGAGATGATGTGATGAGGGACATGGATTTATATGATTTTGCACGACATTAGTTTTTAAAATGACTGCAAGAGCGTTCATTGGCCAAGTCAAAATTTCATAGTCACGACCGATATGGATGCTTGTGCATCCCATCGGCTCAAAAGAGACACACCCACATACTCACGTCTTTTCCCAAGTCATCTGTTGCTAGTCATCTGTTGAAGCGTGATTGACTGGGAAAAAAAGGCAACCAAAATTTCTGGAGCTTGCAGAGGTCAGTGGTGCGATTGGACTTAGGAAAAGAAAAAGAGCCCTTCCAAGGAAACATGTCGATGCGATGAACCTGGGGCATAACAGCAGAGCGACTAAATAACCATTGTGCCATTCTAGTCATTTAGGCTCGTTTCTTCACCATTCACTCTTTACATCTCTATAATTTTGACTTTGGTCTTATGGTGATTGCCCCAAGACGGTACACCAACTAGGACGCACCATTGATTACACGCCTATTTCTTTTGATTTTTTGGCCCCTTTTTCTCAAGCAGCATGTCCAACGCCTTATTGCTACGTCTATTCACGTCAGAGTTTTTCAACTCTTGGATCGCTGTGTCGTACCTATTTCGATACCCCGATAATGTAGGCATCCAGCATTATCTTTGCAGCGAATTAGAGAAATTCCCAGCCTCTGAAATCGAATTCTTCTTGCCCCAACTCATGTTAGTACCGTTGAAATCGAGAGAGAAAACAAAAATCATGCAAATCAGTAACCGAGTTACCGTCCACTTAGACATTTGTTGATCACTCGACCCACCGAATCGGTAGCCCTGGAATGCTTTTTGGTGGAAATGTGCGAAAAATCAACGCACATGGCAATCATGGTAATGAAGCTGTGCAGCTCTTGATTTTTTTCATTATTCAAATAGATTACTCAATCATACTGGACGCTTTTTTTTTCCAGAGTCTGTGGTACCTGCAAGCGTATTTATCGGATCTATCGAGCAATCCAGTCAGTCCTTCGTTCGATCTTTGCAAACGGCTCCTCAACAAGTGTCAAGCCATTGTGTTCTCTGACGGCAGTCCCGAGGCGTCGGGAATCATTGATCCTGTGGCGGCGGCCAATGTGGGGTTACCGGCACAAAAAGTACGTGAAAATGCCATGCCGGCTCTTGTCGGCATTGGAGCTATGCTGGCCGGGATTGGACAACCGATCATGACCAAGCCAGCAGGACGCATCGCGATAGCGCAAGGTCGACGCAATCGTCCTTTGAGTATCACTTCTTCCAATGACCCTATTCTTGCTCGACGGAATACGTTACCTGGAGCGACACCCGCAGAGGATCGTGATATTCGGCCGATCGTGCATTTGGAATCGTCTGGAAAAGATTCGTATTATTCCGACTCCCATTCCATAGGATCCTTGTCACCGACCCAGTCTTCATTTCCATCCCACTTTGACGTCCCTTTACCTTTTCAATCGGCGTCTCAACCAGAATTGCCCATCATCAAACGACGTTCTTCGCAATTCATGACGTTCAACAGTTCACCTTCGCTGGAAGATTTACATCGCGGAAAAGCGTTTTCCGTAGGACGATACCTGAAAAACGCCCATCAAAAATTGAACCAGAAAATGCGACCTACCGCGCGGTTGCCTAGCAAAGCATTATCTGTTTTTGATCCGAAATTAACAGCGTTGGGCCAATCGTCTGTGCCTACGAATTTCGCTCCTTTATCGCCGGCCATGTCGCACTGTTCCACGTCGTCAGAAGATTATATCCTGGACGCGCGACGCCACGGAGCACGAATATCCACGTCTTTCGATTCCAACGACAGCGGCTTAAAATCTGACGTCCAAGACGCGGATTCAGATCTGTCCGATGAGGATTATTCGGCGCTCTCGAAATTAAGCGTCGACCACCGAAAACTGTTGCTTCGATCCAATTATTTTCGTTCCGAAATGCAGTTTCTTTTGGCCCTGGTGGATATTGCTACGCGGCTTGTGATTGTGCCCAAGGCGGCAAGAATGAGCGCACTTCACGCCGAACTCACCTTGCTGAACCATAATCTGCCGGCCGAAATATGTATTCCTTTATGGTGTCCTGCTACCGCCGAAAAACCGTACCATCATCGTGTAGTGCGTATCAGCCCGTCAGATGCCGTGGTGTTAAATTCAGCTGAAAGAGTAAGTGGGTGATTCTCATAGTGATTAAAGTATGGTTTTGCTTATTCTATCAATTGCTACGTAGGCTCCCTACCTTTTGATGATTGAAGTGTTGGATGATGAATTGAGCTTTGAAGATGATTACTCGTCCGCCCTGTACCGCATGCGACGAATGATGAAACGCGAAAAGAAAAAGAGCAGCAGCAAACCCGCTTCGGCACGTACATCTCTCACACTACCTTTGGGCATCACTGCGCATTCGTCTCCACTTGCAGAACAATCCCCCTCAGAAGAATCCTCTAGTGAAGACAAGCAAGCAGCACAAGAAACGGATGCAGCGCCTGTGTCCGATGAGACTGAGGCAACCTCTCCCGGTTTGTTGGAAGTAACAAAGACGAGCGGAGACGCGGTGGAGCAACGTCGGGTCTCACGATCGGCTGATGAATACGCGGAACGCATGAGAACTGCGGCGGTGATGTTGGCCCAGTTACAGCAGAGTTGTACCAATGCATCGACCATCAGCTCGGCTAAATCAAAACAAGAAACGGAACAGATTCGTCAACGGATTATCAAGGAGATGATTGCGCTGGAGGAACAACGCATGACCAAGATGAAAACGGAGGGTGTCAGTAGCGGTGTCGGTGGAGGAGGAGGCGAAGGAGCTGGAGGCGACCTGATTGAAGATGAACAACACGTAGCATGGGTCGTCAACAAGGAAGATCCCAGCGGTAATTATTGCATTCCCATTCGAGACGGATAATTGATGTGATGTTGACTCGCATTTTTTTCTGTTCTTAGCGGCCGTGTTTTCCGAGGATTGGGAAACAAAGAAAGCCAGAATTCGTGCATCCTCACCATATGGCCATCTCCCGAACTGGCGTTTATTATCAGTGATTGTGAAAAACGGAGCCGATCTGCGGCAAGAGCAGTTTGCTATTCAGCTGATACGTGAAATGCAGCGGATATGGGAAGATACGGGAGTGGATGTATGGGTGAAATAGTAAGTTTCAACAAACCCCTTTATTATGGAAGGTGATTTTGGGCTAATCAGGCGACGCCTATCCCATTAGTTTCCGTGTTCTGGTGACTTCGGATAATTCAGGGTTGATTGAAACGCTGCGAAACACCATCTCGATCCATTCGATCAAGAAGGATGCTTACACTCGGCATTGGAATCAAAAAGGCATCGTGTTCACTTTACGGGATTATTTTGAAAGGGTAAACCCACTTGAATGCAAGCGTCACTCGCTTACGAAACCAAACTGTTAATCTATCACTCCTTGCCCATTGTAGACGTATGGCAATCCAGAATCGGACGAATTTTTGAAAGCGCAGGATGCATTTATGAGAAGTCTGGCGGGATATTCTATTGCTTGTTACATATTACAGATCAAGGACCGGTAAGCACTGAATTAAAATCGTTACGACGACATATGTCTTATGATGATGGAATTGTTGTTAGGCATAACGGTAACTTGTTAGTCGACAATATGGGTCACCTTATCCGTAAGTTAAAAAAATCAAACAATTGGCCAATACAATGCAAAGCAGCCACTGATGATAATGAATGGGTTAATGGATGTAGACATTGATTTTGGATTTATGCTGTCGAATTCGCCGGGATCGGTTGGGTTTGAAATGGCTGCGTTCAAGTTGCCTCAGGAATACATTGACCTTTTGGGAGGCATCTATGGCGAAAAATTTGCAGAGTATAAAGCGCTGATGAAGGCGGCGTTTCTGGCGGTAAGGAAACACAGCGAAAACATCCTACTACTGGTGGAAATGATGTGCCGCGACTCCAAGTTGCCATGTTTCCAAAATGGCGATCAAACCGTCCAACAACTACGTGATCGATTCCAACTCCACTTAACCGAACCGCAAGCGGAAGAATTTGTAGACAAACTGATCATGAGCAGCTGTTGCAATGTATTTACTCGACTTTACGATACTTATCAATATTATTCACAGGTAGGCTACAAGAAAAAATGGAGGACTGATATGAAATCGGGAATGGATATTAACAAACTCCCTTTTTTTTGCAGGGAATCCTGTAAACACCAATTCCATCATGCTTATATCATCCTATAACTCAATACCATTAGATAAACCTTCTCTTTTAATGTGTTACAAGTCGCAACCCATTTATCATTGTCGACTTGAGTAAATAAATTATAAAAAAAGACGTCATTTCTTTTTGGGGTTTTTGGGTTTCGAAGGATACAGCAAAATGCAAAAATGCAACGCATGAATGGGATAATGGAGTAAGGCGTACCGCACTACCAATGCATACCGATTATACGATTTCTCCATAACACGCTTGACTGATATAATAACCCCCGCAAGTTTGAGCAATGTCTATTCCCCAGCATATTGTCTCCCCGCACAACCGAAGAAGCTGTCCGCACATCTGACACAAATAAAAAGGGTACCAATATCCCCAGACATGACTGTACGGTTTTCAGGTCGATAGCAGTGCTGCATTTCATTCGAAAGTGAGTGAGCATAGTTTAGCCGACAATTGAAACAAAGGTTGATTCGATATTGAGAATAAAAAAATACAAGAAGCGAATGTTCATTGATTAACGTCTATACAAAGTGGAACATTGTTTAGGCAAGAGGGCTGATAAGCCTAAGGGTCAAATGGTAAGTATAATATCACTCAATCAGACAGACATTCATTGAAGCTTACTTCAACAAAGAGGGCTTGGGATTGCTGCGAGTCATGCCGAGGTAAATGACGAAAGGAATGAATCCCCAGTGAATGACGGTCTTGGAGATATCGACAACCTAAAATGGAATAATCATAAATATTGTATGTGTTGGTACCCTATTATCTACAAAGAGTACCTTCATAATAGATTCCTTTGTAGAGTCGTTCATATTTGTTATTCTTTGGCAGACAAACCTGTAATGTATAGTGCGATTTTTGTTTTTCTCCAAACTCACCCCAACCGTGACTCGATAATTTAACCGTCCTACTTTGGCAAGATCTAAAATGGGATGCAGTGATCCCTGGAAATCGCCAGTTTGGAGAGAGAGAGACAAAAAAAAAAAAAAGGGAAAATCGAACCTGATTGTATCGATATTGTGATATTGTCAATGAACATATGCAGGTTCATCATCTGTAATGAAAAGAAGCCCTGTTAACTAATTAAAGGCTTCATTTGCGTTAGTGCGACATTCGCAGGCAAATAAAGGATGTTTATCCGTGAAATGCTATAATCTCTAGTTCCTTGCTTTTATTTTTGGCAAGATTTTTTGGCTAGATTCTATTGGATTCGTACTGAATCTTGGTGAAGCTATTTAAATTATTACTGTATTTACAAAGAGGATGAACTCCACGAAAGTTAACGGTTTTCTTTTTTTTTTTTTTTTTTTTTTTTTTTTTGTGTGCATAAAATTACTTTTTCGTATTGCGTACGAGTTCGCTTGCCGACGCTAAGAGGTCAATGGCTGATCTGGTGCGAGGAAGCTGTTGGGGAGGTGCTTCAGCTGAAGCCGGAGGTTCCAGTAGGCTGTGCTGATCCTCAGAGTCGGTGGAATGGAGAGTCAAACCAGCCAGACGAGCTTCTGGGCGCTGAGCATGCGAGACTTCAAAAGAGGAGGTCGGCAGTTGACTGCTCGAATGACGGCGCGGTACATAGTATGGATGCTCGAAAGAAGTGCTGGCGCGCCGTGGCGTCAACCGTTTCGAGCTCACTGATAAATGTTGTGAATGCGATGGACGATGCCACGGTTCCGGAATAGGCAATTGATGATGTAAAGGATCGGATGAAAGCGGTGGCAACGAGTCGGCATAGTGATCCGCGGGTCTGCCGTGGCGACTGTCAATGCGACCATCACTTGAATGATGGCGATGATGATGATGGTGATAAGACGGACGCGATACATTGTCAAGAGCCATGGATTGATTGGTTGTCTCGCTTTTGGCTGAAGAAGCCGCCGCCGCTTTACTTCGATTGACTTTGGCTCGCCGGTTTTGGAACCATACCTGATCCATAAGCAATAAACTTATCAATACAAGTGTTATAACAACAGATGAAGATTGCATTTTACTTGCCTGAACTTCACGTTTGGTCATTCCCAATTCTTCGGCTAATTGTTCTCTGATTTCGGAACTTGGGGTATCAGTTTGCTCGAAAATGTCCATTAATCGATTGTATTGATGCGGCAAAATGCGTTTGCGCTTGGCCTTGGCCAAAGCCGAGACGACAATGCTACCGTCGTTGGTTTGATGAACTCCTGTTTTTGGATGATTCCACATATCGGGAGGCTCGACGGCGGTGGTCAGTTCAATGTGTGGTGTTCGCAAACCCCCACCCTTGTCCAGACCGGGAATGGCTAACATTGCACCTGGCGAGGACGCGACGCTGGACAATGGTGAGGATCGCAAAGAAAAGTAGTCGCGGCCTGAGTTGAAAGCTTGGTATTGGTCACCTTGGGTCCATGGCGGGGTAGGACCGGCATTCACAGAAGGTACTTTGATGCAAAGAGGATCTACCGGCTCCGTGTTCAATAAAGCAGAAATCGCCAATGACCGTCGTCTATTGGGAATGTCGTGGTTGTCTTGATGACGAATTCCATCCGGAGAGTTCATCACTTTTTCTTGACAGTTTTCCGTTTTCCTTTTGTATACAATGAATTAAATCAGAAAAAGATAAAAAATGATGCGCCAGATGCAACGCAAGAAAAGAGGACCAAAGAAAAAAAAAAGAATGTGAAAAGTTTTCTTTCAGCGACTATCATGCAAAATAGAAAAAAGAAATCGTTCTTAACCCCCCGTCATTAAACAAAACAAAAAGAAAAAAAAAAGATTAAAGACATATGAAACTTAATCTCAATTTTGAACAAGTTGTTCTTTTTCACACGGATGAATCAAAGGGTTCAAGGGTCCTCTTTGTATCGGCATGACCTTCCGGTCTTTGGTGCGCCAAAAAGTTGAACCTATTCTGCCATTGAATAGTATTTGTTACGGTGATGAGAAAATGGTCTTGGTCGTCACGATAGAGTAGTACGGTTACTGTTTATTTGAAGTGGAGGCACGGCTTCGGTAGCACTATTTTTATCGACCAACAAGTGTGGTATCTTTGGACTGTGACAATCATAAACATATTTGGGAAAATGGACATGCCTGGAAGACTCTCCTTAGACCTTTCCATTGTTCTCTCTATTGAAACAAGTCCCACTGTGTGTCATTATCATACAGATTGATCCAAATCACCATGCACATTTTTTCCAAAGCTCGTCTATATGATATTCTAAAAATGTTCGATAGACCTTTCCTCGTTATCAGAAACGTCGGATCTTGGACAAGTATGAGCACCCTGACGCAGACCGTAATTTGTTGATCTGTCAGCCAAGTTTCTGAATAGATTTATTCAAGACGATCCCCAATTAGGTGTCCGACTGAAGAGAAAAAAAAACCCTCTTCACGTCTGGCTATTTATACAATGAAGACGATAGGTTTGATGCCTCTATACTCCGGCTATTTATACAAAATACACAATCTATAGAAGGAGACTATGGATTTGATGCCTCTTTCGTCTTGAGAGAATAAACTTTTATACTCAACGCGTGGGGTTATGTATTGATATAAAAATAACACAATCACACTACGTACAGTGCTTTCAAAGTTTCGTATCACTTTGGATTGAATGAATATCTGGTCAAAGCAGGTAGAGTGTTTCAAAAATAAGAATTATTGTCCCACACAGCAGAACTATCCAGTGAGAGCGTCGCTCCCAAGAAAGAGAATCGTCTGAAAGAAAGGGAGTCATAAGTAAGTATCGTGTGCTGTCTGCATAAAAACCGAAAATAGTACACTTATCTTTCCCAGTACGTCGAGTATGAAGGGTAAACAGTTTTTGGGACCATATCAATGAAATCGTTAAAGGAAAAAAGGTTAGAATAGAGACACAGAACTTGAATAAGATAATATATCTGCGGCACGCAACTTGAATTATTCAACTCTTTGCAGACGTCGCTTCCGCAAGAGAACCCAAGTCAGAGAGCCTGATTGACAAAAGCCAAAATGACTGCATTGGTTGGTATCAAGGACGTTCGCCCAGAAGGACTACTAGCCGCAAGCATCCTGAATGTTGAAGCGGTGGGATAGAAAGGAAGGAAAAGAAAAGGCTTTTTTTTTTTGGTGTGTATATCGGAGAAATGTATTCTGCAACTGGTCGGCCATCTCGTCATGTCTTCCAAAACACGGGAGCGGTGTCACGTGAACGATATTCCTTCTTCTTTACCTCTCACGCCTTTATCGTACTTCCAAATGCCAAAAAGAAAAGAAACAAGCGAACTTACATCATCAAGAGAATAAAGCATGTATTTTCATTTACCAAATTGGCGTTTCGGCGAAGTGAGTAGTCAGCTCTTCATGAGTACTTTCTGTACTTTATGAGACATTTTTAGTAACGAGTTATGCATATTCGCGTGACAAAAGCGAGAGAGAGAGAGAGAGAGAGAGAGTGGCGGGGGGGGAAGGAAGAGAGAGGGGTACATATCGCGTTTTTAAACATGGGAAATTTACGAGGAACAAAACAGTGAAGGGATACATATATACGAAGGTTAGTTTCATGCCTCAGAGGGTGATGTATTGAGATTGAAAAAGCAGGCCATGTACGTTGTAATCAATAGCGCGAAGCCTCGCCTCGTGACTTGTTGGTGGACTTGTCGATCTTTGAGTACACTTGAGAGATGGGCACAGGACAGGCAATCTGAATAAGACACTACAGCAGGCTCCATGCTGTGGCAATGACTCCAGAAGCTGTGGCTTACTTTTGCAAGCGTGTCCAAGTTTTTCAATGTGGCAAATGTGTGTAGATAAGTGAGGGATGGCGCCATGACCAGGGACACATTTCTGTCAGCATGTGGAATTGATGCTGTTCTTTGCGCACCATGAAAAACGATATTTGAAAGCCATTGATTATAAACGCAATACCGCCAGCGAGAGGAGCCTGATCAATCGCCCTTTTGCAGGCGGCACCAAGCCGAACCACATCCAGGCACACAGAGTGCTTAGTTGTTGAATCATTGCCAACTTTGACCTCGCCAAAGCCAATAGAGTGGCCAAGATCGTGCTGTACAAGCGTGGATATTATAGCATCAGGCCGGATATCAGTTTCTACATCAGACTTGTTGGCCCATCGTAGAGCAACATTACGATCTTGATCAGCAATGATCTCGGATAGCAACGCCTCATAGTATGTTGACTTGCAGCTCCACTTCGCCAATTTTGTTCTGATCGAGCAGTCGATTGCGGAGCAACTTTGTCAGCCTATCAAAAAATTGCTTATAATTGCTAGTCCTTCCACTAAGTTGGCCTTGCAGCCCTGCATACTCGCCGCAAGGCTCAGGAGATCCCCTTGGGCATCGCGGATCGAGATGCTTCTGCTGTCGATGGCGCAAATTATTCTGAGGATGGACACGTAGTCGCTGTCACTCAGCGTGTTATCCGTAGTGTCCGTGTTCATCCAGTGCTCGACCATGTGATTGCATAACGAATGAAGCGTATCAAGCCCGAAAACGCGAGTCCTCAAAGAGCTATGATAGTTATCGGCCAAGAAGAGAATGCCCGACACCGAAAGAACCTCTTGCATATCTGTTTCTAACTGAAGCAGGTGCTGCGTTGCTCGTGACTCTCATTGGTACTCACGTAAGAGTTCGACAATGTTTCCAGGCGACTCTCTTTCCTTCCAGACGACTCTCTTTCTTGCGGGCGACACTCTCATATGGAATAGTCCTACGGTCTGGGACAATATTACTTGTCATGAAATACTCTACTTGCTTTGAGCAAATATTCATTCAATCCAATGAAAGCGATACGAAACTTTGGAAGCGCTGTAGTGTGATTGTGTTAGTTTTATATCAATACAAAACCCCACGTGTTCAGTGTAAAAATTTAATTCTATCAAGACGGAAGAGGCATCAAATCCATAGCCTCCTTCTATAGATTGTGTATTTTGTATAAATAGCCGGATGAAGGGCCTTTTTCTCTTCACTCGGACAACTGATTGGGATCGCCTTGTATAAATCAATTATCTTGAGCTCCTGTGAGAATCATGAAAATCGCCTGCTATATCCAGCGAGAACCTTGAAAATATGGAAGGAACCACTGTAAAGCAATTTCTTTCCAAATAACCTTCACCATGAGTTGATCGTACTTTATATTTGGAGTACTCTGATGCAGTCTAGAGTCGGGCTCCAAGAGAAATACAGCATAGTCAATAAAAAAACGCTATATACAGTAATCAGGCGCTGCTAATCCTTTTTAACAGGCATTTGATGATAACGATGGGCAGTGCGTAATTTATGAACTTGCTCTGGTCACTGATAGAGCTGCTGAAGATGAATTGGTATGAAGAACTTTTCTTGTGCTACTTATATTTTGTAACTGTAAATATTAAGCATATCGATGAAGACGAGTTGCCTGAAATCCCGGAGTCAATAGACTGGAAGAAGACGATTATGAAGATGATGAAGAAGAAACCATTGACGAACAGAAAGATCAGGAAAGAACTGCCGCCAAAGGGAATCAACGGTCTCATCAAGATACTGACAAAGCGTTTGCTGTTTTCCTCAGAATTGGGAACGAGACAAATCGATAATTCAAGGATGACTGGCGGGACGAGAAGAGCTTATCTAAGAGAATGTCAGCGCAGTGCTCCAAGTGACGAACAGTCTAGGACTTTAACATGAAAGCGATCAACAGTCGACAAAAATGACCGATTGTATTTGGTCCATGTTGCCAACATGATATTGAGGCCGCGGGGTATCCATCTTTTGCGCGTGAGATATCGCCAATCTCGAGACCGTCGCAGATACGTTGGAACTGGGCGCAGTCGCATTATACGAGATGTTTGATTTGAGGGATGCTCAGCTGCTTTTTTACGACGAAGACAATGTACTCTAATCGTATCTATTGATCAAAATTCACAAAGGAATAGAGTACTTTTGGCCGTTGACCGATCGACCAGTAAGCTGTGATTGGGTGTTGAACAGCATTAATGCAGCATATACGACTATGATCCTTTCACCACACAGTTCAGGGGGAACTACATACCGCTGCCAGTACGGTACGATTGACGTGGCTGCTAATTTTAGGGGATTACGGGTTCATTGTCGAGTGCCTGCGGCATTGTCATTTCTTTGTGGAATCTGCACAAAAGTATACACAGCTATGAGTATTCGTACATGGGTCGGTGTATATGTCAATGAAGATACTACGCACCAGTTCCAGGAAGCTATATCATGACTATACACACAGAGGCGTGCTTCACACCGATATGTCGACGTATCTCCAGAAACGATGTGAGATGGAAAGTAGTCGACCCATACGAGGCTTCCAGAAGCAAAAGAAGTTCATCCACCAAATCCATGTGGCAATGGTTGGAGCGCGATCTCCTGAAACGAGCCATCAGCAAAAGAAACAGTCGACCGATTTCGCGCCAATATTGCGGTATGAGCAGAAATAGGTTGGATGATTAAGGTTGTCAATAATTGAATTTCGCCTATTTATAGTTGTTTCGCGAAGAAGCAGATCAACGTACTTGCCAGACATCAAAGCTGGCTGATTGCATCCAAAACATCCGCCAGGTAACTTAAAATACTATCCTCCATTGGTAAGTTCCTCCAGGACTCCGGTAATATTCCTGGCTATGTAGACTTACAGAGTTGTTTTCATTTTTATAGGCGGATGCTTTCTTTGTTAAGCTGTCGGCGCTTGCTCAAAGCAAAAAGGGTAAGCGCCTCGAGCGAGCCCCGCTGGCAAAGGAGTATGTGGATGCCGAAACGCCTGTCAGGTTTGCTGTTTCCGATCAACCGCTGATAGCCCAATTGTTCAAAGCGATAAGACGAACAACACGTCAAATCCCACAGATAGCAAATTTTGAGACATGGGACCTTAATATCCTGATCTTATCTATCAGAAAGACGATTCCACACTCCGAAGACCTTTCACTGGATCAACTCCATCGAATGACGGTACTCCTAGCTATGGCCACAATCCGATTTCGACCGCCTTCGATATCAAGATATTATTATCTACCATCATGTGGTATTTCCTTGGCGTTCTTGGAAAATGCTCTAGACCAGCCATTCTCTACGCTTCCCGAGTATGTCTGGGCATACAAGTGCGACGCCAATACACCTGCAGATAGCATTGAGACTATCACCTTGGCGAAGTATATTCTCAATGATTTCAATGCAATTGTATGAAGCCTCAGCCATTGTCCCTCACCAACGAACGCACCCCTTTCTGCGAATCCGTTATGCCAGTGTTTAAGTATTTCAGCGCTGCAACTGGTTTGCGCTCGTTTATTTGGTACGATTCTGTTTGCGCAAATTTCCTGTCATGCAAATAACTCACACCATACTGCTGCAGGTGCAAAACCGCGTCGGCATCATGCAAGAGTCAAGAAGATGTGTTGATCCTTCTCGAGTGCACAAGTGCGTACTTAGAATCAGATATGATAGAGTTTCCCAACGCGTCCTTAACGACATTCAAACGACGTCAAGTGTTGGCCATCCAGGCTATTGACAATAAAATCACTCTGTTGGAATCCAAGTTTGACGGCAAAGTATTCACGTGCGTTGAGATCCGATCGGCACTGGTGCCAACTGACTGGGCAGGTCGTTTTCAGTGGATCAGAGTCTTTGAACTGCTAATTAAGTTGAAGGTAAATGAGGCACATGGAATATCACATCACTGTACAAAAATATCTCACCACAGAACCACTATTGTATTTTAGAAAATGTGCCTCGAACAGAATCATGTCACTGAAACTTTGTTGAAAGAAAAATATGATATTTTAGCATCAACGAAGAAGCTCCGGTCAAGCAACTGTGCTCCTCCCGCTTCTCCTCATGCTAATCCACCCTTGTACATAAATTCCATTCACAACATCCAATTATTCTCTATCATTGATAAAAGGCAGAATTGATGGCCGTGTCATCATTCTGTAATATGTTTATCTGATTAATCGCTGTCTTTGGCAAAGCCCAAAAGTCCATACGCTTGGATTATGCTGTCAAACACAATAAAAAAGCAAATCAATGTTCTACAAGAATGACTCAACGGTTGCTCAATGTCATGTTAAAATTCACTGATACTGTGCTTGTGCTGCTTGTAAATGGAAATGTATGTTAGCATGCAAAGGCGTCAAAAATACGACGCTTGATGCTATCTCTTCTTTCATATCCGTTGGACCTAATATTGCTCGTACAGTATTCACAGTTGGAAAGACAATGGTGACAAGTATATCCGCAAGGTTTGCCACATGCCATCGAAATTTCCCTTTTACAGTATTTCTTTGCAAGGGAGTCTACAAAATCCGACAAAATATATTTGGATCTTGGTAATGTTGAACGACCCAACCGATGGAAGCGAAGACAGGGCGCGCAGTTGTAATTTTGCGTTGGGTCATTGATGGCTGCCGAGAAGAATTTGGCCACCTTCTTTGTTATATTTCATCATTGAGGCGTTTTTGAACTTTTTCCAACCAATTGCTTAGGATTCCCTGATTGGTCTGATTGATCTTGCTGTATTGTTCACCTTACCTTGCTCTGTGATCTCACGACCATATAATCGTCGTAATCAATTATAGAGGCAAGTCAATAGTTTTTCTTCACCAACAGCCATGTCTAATAAATGATGTCCTGACTCGCCAAGAGCATTTGGCATCATAAATGAAGCTCGCGTGGTGCCAAATTTCGAATGGGCTCAATCCGAGAAATACCTGTATTTTTCAAAGACCGACGACCATGAGTAAAATTTGAGGTTGACAGGAACGACAGGGAACGAAATAGCTTATTAGTTTACCCTTTGTATGAATCGTATACACGCTGCTGCACGATGGCCGTCCATTCGACCCATGCAGCAATACTCGCGCCGTTCATTTGCTGTCGAGGTTAGTGAAAATAGCACCTACTGTTCCGTCCATAGCCTCACCACGCAAATTTCCAGACTCGAAACCGACTTTCACAACGATTTGTGCCTTTGACAAAAGATAAAGCATTGCTGTCCACCGCTGACGCCGCCTCGAGCCACACTCTATTGTTAAAAGCCGGTTTCCTGAGACAGGTGAGCCTAAAGTGACCTACGCGATGGGATGAAATTTGTTACTAACTCGGTCATCGATCGATGCAGTCCTCTTCCGGTATTTACTCACTGTTGCCCCTGGGATTACGAGTGATTGAAAAGATAAGCCGCATCATTGACGAAGAAATGCAAGCCATCGGTAAGTCGACGGAACAGGACGACCCAACTGGGCCGATACCATACCGAAAAAGAGCGGAAGAAAATCTCATCTGGACGATATGTAGGCGGTCAAAAATTAGCCCTTCCATTACTTTTGTCTTCGGAAAGCTGGAAAACAACAGGTCGATGGGATACCTCCAAAGGCGAAGTAAGTCAATCATTTCTTCAAATGGTTGTTTGCTTGGGACACTGGTATTAAATGATGAAAGCTTAGTTTTTCCGATTACAAGATCGTAAAGAAACCGATCTTCTTCTAGCGCCCACGCATGAGGAAGAAATTACTCGTCTCGTTGCAGGAGAATTGAAATCATTCAAACAATTGCCCATTCGATTATATCAAATCGGTAAGCAGAAAGGTGGTTGTTATGATACCACAATGGTTAACCGCGAATTGTGCTAGGCCGAAAATACCGTGATGAGCTTCGTCCTCGAGCTGGACTTTTAAGAGGAAGAGAGTTCATCATGAAAGATCTTTATTCATTTGATGTCTCGGTGGAAGACGCTTACGCAACCTACGATCAGCTCGCTGGAGCTTACAGGAAGATTTTTGATCGTGTCGGTGTTCCGTTCTTGGTGGTGAGTGATGAATATCGTTGGTTGCTGGACGTATACATGATCTGACCCCGGTTGCAATAGGCGGAAGCGGACAGTGGTAACATTGGCGGGTCAAAATCTCACGAATACCATCTTCTCTCGCCAGGTACCGATGTGGCATCTAAAAAAAATGATACGCTTTTCCTAATAGCTGAACTCTGTAGTGGGTGAAGATACTTTGTTGACGTGTTCTCATTGTGGTTACACGGCCAACCAGGAACTGGCGGTTGGAAAGCTTCCAGGTCCTACTCCTTCGATCACAAATGAAAATAGCTCCGTAACCGAAAAGCACACCAACGGCACCATGCGCTCTGCGGTCTTGGATGCTTTAAACATCACGGCAGACAAACAATCGGCACTGCAATTATCTTACTTCAAGTATGACGATGCTGCGTCTGGGGCTCGTATAGCTGCAGTGATGACGCTCAAGGGACGGGACGTGAATATACTCAAAGTGCAAGCCGCGCTAAGTCAATATCTCAAAGCGGGAAAACTGGTGGAAGAAACCGCCTCTATCGATTTGCAACCTTTGTCTGAACAAAAGGTGAATGCTGGAATCGCAGAGGACAATGCATCGGTGCATGTGTTTTTGGACGATGCTGTCGCTCCCTCGTTTCCGATAGAACCGTCTTCGTCGGCTAACATGGTGCTTCATTCACCGAGTCATTTTCGGTTAGCAGAAGCTGGTGATCAATGTGCTGTGTGCGACCATGACGGCCATCATCTCGACAGCGTGAAAGCCATCGAAGTCGGTCACACCTTTTATTTGGGAACCAAGTATTCTGATCCTTTGAAATGTCAAGTTCGATCCCCGAATAATGCCAAATCCTTGATTCCTGTCGAAATGGGATGTTACGGTATCGGTGTGTCACGCCTTGTCGCTTCGGTGGCGCAAATATGTCATGACGATCGCGGCGTGGTGTGGCCAAAGAGTCTTGCTCCTTACCGTGTCTGTATTCTTGCCACCGATGATCGCAATGAGGCGTTCCAGACCATCGCCAACAAGATATACGACGGATTAGAGATGATCGTTGATCCTGCGAGCCGTCCTGTCCAGAGTTTGTTCGGGGATGATATTGTGATTGATGATCGTAAGGGCGGTTTTGGCAGCAAGATGAAGGATGCTGAACTTATTGGGTATCCCTGGATTATCGTGATTGGCCAAAAAGCATTGAGCGAAGGCATCGTGGAGATCCATGAACGCATTCAAGGCCAACCCAACCGAAAAACGCACGTGCCCCTGGATACTGTAGAAAATTGGCTAGTAGAGCATTTGTAACATAGAAAATCATCATCATCACCTACAATATACATTATTATACGATATACGGTTTACAAAGGCAACAGTGGAGGGTTCAGCGTCTTTGATGAACAAGAGTCGATCAAATTGTTGACTACACACAAACCTGTCAATCCAATGCAGTTGAGATACGAATTTTCCAAAAAGGGCAAATGCGTCCCAGATTTCTTTTAGGTTGCCAATTAAGGCAATCCCCTTGTCACGGATTGTTCTTCGAACCCAGCTCCCGGACACTGGCTGGTACCTTTGACGTGCCACTGTTGCTTTCTGCTTTATTATTATGCAAGTGCTATACAATTGCCCATGCATGGATTGTTGCAGTTTTATTATTATGGATAGTGAAAAAAAAGCCTCAACGTCAAAAGTTCATGATGAATGCTTCCATCGTCGTGAATCAAAAAAAAAAAAAAGGTTGATTTGAGGCTTTTCGAGACTACTTGAAGATTTCCACTTTGCTTCGATGTAATTGAGGAACTTGTAAAAATAAAATAAAAAAAATTCAAAAAAGGGAATTCATATAAATACAGCTTGCCGTCAATTAAATTTTTGTCCTTTCCTTTTCCGTTACCCTTCTTTTGCTTTTTTTCTACTGCTTTCCAACAGTTACGGTTCGACGTTTCCTTGACTTATTGCCTTTGCAGTCGTTCCTTCCGCGATCATCCAACCATTATGTGGTCCTCTGGAAGAAGAAATTTTACTTGTTTTATCGACGAATCTGCCACCACCGCTGTACCGAGCTCGTCCACGGTCATGGCTGCGGCGCCTAGGCCTGCTATCGGTTCTTGCTCGACCAGACTGAGCCAGCAACCTGTGGCCATCGGTCACCCATTGATAGATCGTACAAATCGTGCACCTGAAATCGATCCATCGATCTGGGGTGGACCTTTGCATGCTCCTTGGGATCCTCCCGATAAGAAACGAGCCGTTCTACAGCCTAGAGAACAAGAAAAAATCAAAGCACGCTTTGATCCGTTCGAACGTTCTCCACTATTACTGGAACGATTGCCCAAATTGAAGGACCCGGCATCCACGCATATGACTACTCCTAGCGCCAGCGTCTTGCTTGGTAAGTAGACTGACCACTAACACAGTTTAAGCACACCTTGACTGCCCGATTCCAACGATCTGTCAACTTTTTTTCCCTTTTCTTTTTTATAGGCCCCCAAGTTACGCGCCATGTAGGCATCACCAATATCGGTCGCGATATGGATACTCGTTTACTCATAAAAGTCGTCGAGGCAAGTTTGCCTGTTAACCATCGGTGATCATATATGGCATTAGCTTATCTTTTTTTTTTTTTTAATAGCAAGCTGGCGATGTCAAGATTATCTATCCAGATTTTCTTCATTCCTCGGGAATGCTTATCATCTCTTACTATGACCTCCGTCATGCCGCGGAATGTTGCAGCAAGCTGTATTCGACCAACGTCAAGACGACTTACTTGGCCGACGTCCAACTGTCCCACATGGTCAATGTGGTCACGGAAACTTCAGACTGCATTTTGATGACACTCTGTGGCGCACGCGAACGACTGGGAATCTTTGATTACATAGTAATAAAAATTTTCAAGTGCCACAACGTCAAATGGCTCAGGACTGATGAACTTTTTTTTTTTTTTTTTTTTTTTTTCGCAGGGTCTTTTGCAAAACTTTGGTGCTGTTCGCCATTCGACGGAGATCAAGACCACCGACACCACCAAGGTTATCCTGGTTTCGTTTTACGATGAACGGGCAATCGAATACGTGCAAACGTATCTTCACGACAAAGTATTTCAGGTAATTGACCTTTTGGCACATCGATTTCATCCACTGTTTTGAACAGCAAACTAAAGAATTGGCTCATTGTAGGATATCCGTTTCCAAGTGAGTCAGCATGTCAACAAACCGGAATCGCGGAGTTGGCTTGCAGTCGACGACGTAGCCAGTTCTGGTACGCATTGGCCAAGCCATACGGATCATGCCGATCTGCAAAAAGTGTCGCTGGTTCCGCGGGCTGTACGACCGACCACTTCGCCGTTGTCGTTATCCCCTACGTCTCATGGCTTCCCCGCAATTGGTGCAGTAGGTACTAGTACCTCTGCTTTGATGGCTAATCATCCTTTCTCGTCGGGATCCCGGTCCCAAAGCCTGTTTGCCCACGATCCATTTGCTCCATCTCGTCCCACCCTGTTCTCCGAAGTGGCTGCTCAAGCCGCAGCAGCCCCGAGCCCGAGTTCGTCATTCTCTACCAGCAAACGACTTTCAAAGGACAGCGACATGATGAGCATGACATCCGAGATGAGCATGGATATATCGGATTGCAATGAATCGGTCGCAACTGATACCGAACGTTTGGATAACACATTTGACATTGATCGCGTGATACAGGGTAATGTGTAACATGAACTACTGTTTATGCAAGGAAAAAAATCGAACTGACTCTTTTTTTTTGATGGACTTTTTGTCACCGCAGGCAAAGATAAGCGCACCACTTTTATGATCCGGAATATTCCCAACAAGTACACCCAGGTAAGTGACGGGATTCCTATTACCGTTGGGCACATTGGTGGTTGATTTCATTTTTTAATCCCATTTTGTGTAGCAAATGTTGATTGAATGCATCAATGCGACCCACAAGGGCACCTACGATTTTCTTTATTTGCGCATTGATTTCAAAAATCGGTGTAACGTTGGCTATGCCTTTATCAATTTCATAGATGTCCAGTTAAGTCACCGAGTGCCAAACATGGTGTCATGTACACGTGTGTTTATTTAAACCTTTTTGTCATTAGATCTGTTGTCTCTTTTGCTCGCGAACGGGTGGGAAAAAGATGGTAAGTTGAACTATAAAAAGGAAATTCGAGGATCTTGAAATCTACGATATTCACATGATGAGGGATTTTTCCATCCCCGCCTCTTTTTCCGCTTTTCCTTCTCTCCTCATCCCCCCAAATCTGTTTTCTGTCCTGATAGGAACCGTTTCAACTCGGAAAAGCGATGTGCTCTATCCTATGCCAACATTCAAGGAAAAGAAGCCTTGATTGAAAAATTCAAAAACTCGAATGTGATGGAAGAAGATGAAAGTTACCGACCAAAGATCTTTTGCTCCTCGGGACCCCATAAAGGAGAAGAACGAGTAAGTTCTTTTGAATACCATAATGGATCCATTGTTACTCACCTTTTTTAATATCACGTAGCCTTTTCCTTCGCCCACAGTGCCGTTCGAATTACGTCGCCACCGCCAACAAATGCGTCAACGACGTGAAGTCGCTTCTCAGCACCATCATCATCCAAGTCACCAACCAGAGCAACAGCAGCGTTCAGCTCACCGTACACCAACTGCCTCGTCCTCTTCTTTGCTCGACTACTATTGAAAGCGAATTGAATCATGCAAATCAAACGAGAGAGAATATGGCCGTCTTGGTTTTTTGCTTGACATTGACATTGTATGCTCAGTTATTATTTTTTTTTTCTCTTCTCATCGTGAAATCATTCCCCGTTTTATCTTGTTCATGTTTCGCTTGATTTCACCAACGTGTACGTCTTTTTCCGGATTTTCAAAAACTGACTTGGATTCATCAAGTGGTTAAAAATCTATCCCATCTTTTTCAATGGTCATCTATGAGTCAATTATTTCTCATGTTCACACCTTATTTTATCTCTTTCTCTTTTTTTTTCCATATGATAGTATGCTTTTTTATCTTTCTTTCTTTCATTTCCCTTCTTTTTTAAGCTCTCCCTTTATCTTTTTCCCCTCCCCTGTCCCTCCCCCCAAATCCCCCCCCCCTTTTTTTTTTATTCTTATCAATGGTATTCAAGATAAATGCAAAAATAAAAAGGAAATGCCATGAAATGATATCATAAGATGGCTGCGATTGGGGTATCCGTGAGGGCTACTTGTTTAATATGTATAGAAGCAATATATGTAGTATAATGTCAGGATATATCGTGATAAGACGAAACACACAGAAAAGAACGAAAAATACGAGAGGATGCAAATGAGGTTACAGACGAATAAAAAAAAACGGATTAATGTTTTGCATGGGGAGAACAAAGGACTCTGCCTTTGACTAGGGAACGGTAGGCGGGATGAATGACAGCAAATGGTGGTGAAATACAGAATTCAATGGTACCGGAGGTTTGATCATCAATGTCAATCATGGATTCTGGATCGAATTGTTGTATTCCTTCACGAATGTCTGCTGCGGTGATATCGACTTCCTGGCTTTTAATTGCGAAACCTAATGCAAGTGCCTGTTCCACAAGCACCTGGACCTTGGCACCGTAATGCTTCCGTATGACCGGTTCGGATTTATCATGCTGGTAAATAAAGGGATACGCTTTTACTAATCCGCCGTAGAGATATTTCCAATTGTTCTGGACGGCGTTGTGCAGCAACTTGTGAACGTCATTGTCGCTGGTACTGTGTGCCACCACGACCAAAGCCATTTCTTGCCGTAATCGAATGGAGAAGGCTGGATCGTGGGTTTCGAACCATGACTGTAATTGATTGTACGCATCGACTACTTGGAGGCCCGGAAACACATTGGAATTCAAATTCTGAACCAATACATCCATCATAAATTTTTCCGTCAGCATTTTGATCCGTGGCGGCGATAACTGATTGCCGTCAGGGCCGGCTACGGCAAGACGATCAATAGCGTCGTGAAGATTCAACCAAAAGGTTTGCAACGCTTTCGGTGTGACATTGGGATCGGCGTGTTCGAGTAATTGACCGGCAAGTTCACTGATGAGATTTTGAAGTTGGTGAAGTTTGTCGACAATGGAGTCCAAATCATCATGAGTAGCCCGCATGGAACGAATATGGTCCGTGTAATTCTTTTGCAAGATTTTCATATCCTGGGTCCTCTTTTCCGTTTTCTCGCGTGTCTTTTCCAATCGTTCCGTTAGCGATTTGATATCTTCCTGATACTGTTTTTTCTCCAATCGATATGCTTCCAAATGCTGCCGTTGCCGTGACAGGCGAGCTTTAAGTGCTGCGATGGAAGTCCCTTCTGGCCGCATCGGCTGTTGCTGTTGCTGTGACTGATCTTGTGGTTGTTGCTGGTGCTGTTGTTGATGTTCCTGGGAGGTGTACTGGGATGCCCGATAATCGTATGTGGAACCTGCGTTGCTTCGAAGGGACGGATTTCTGTGAAGGGAGGCTGCGCTGGAAGAAGTTTGGAGGTAAGTAGAAGAGACGAAGGTTTGTTTGATTGAAGATTGACGGGAAAGGGAGCCTGAAAAATATAAAGGAAAGTGCACACGGTTAGTCGATGGGATAGATTGGTTGGCGTTGAAAGGAGAGAAGGGTGATTTGATTTACCTGCGGAGGAGCCGTGTTGGGGCGGCACGGGAGGCAGAATAGTGGACTGTTTCAGTGATTCATGACGCTTGGGTGTCTGTCTTCCATTTGCCACCGCCGGTTCCTGAGTCGTGTCGGCTTCAGAGATCATTGTGTGAGAACAGATACTGCTGTCCCGTGTTTGTGGACGAGACAGCGTGGTATCCAACAACGTATCTTCTGGTTGCGAGGCAAGCGACATGGTGGAAAAAGAAAGACTGAGTGGTGGGTCTGGCGAAGTTAGCAGCGAAGGGTTGATGGACTTCTTTTTGGACTTTTTTTGGAATAATCTTGACAACCGTTCCATTGATTTCTTTTTCTTGTGGCTGTTATTCGCATTGGTGTCTACATCAGGTTGCAACCATTCAGGCGAATGGTCGGATGGCGGGAGAGCGGATGGCGCACCTTCAGAACGCAGCATGGGGAAAAAAGGAAGAAGTGCAGCTTAGGAAGGTACGGTGAAGAGGAATACAACAGGTAAAGCAGAAAAGAAAGAGAAAAAAAAAGGACAGGTGGGGAGATAGGATTCAAGCTTATTCGAAACAAAAGAGGAGTGATGATAGGCTTTTTTTTTTTTTTTTTTTTTTTCATTCCCCTTACGAGAATTAGGAAAAATGCTGTTTGAAAGTCAGAGGATCCAATGCCAAGTAATCTGTCACCTAGTGCGAAAAAAAAAAAGTTATTTTTATATGCCAGTACTAAACGAGTGACGCGTCTGTATGCAGGCCCAATGATGTAGTCCACATGAGCATATGTTTAAATGAAAAAAAAAAGATGCATGTCAAAGAGAGAATATATTTTTGAAGATAAAAAAAAATGAAGCAGGAAAATTGGTAAGGGAGTCTTTTGATGAAGCACACACACGCGTCAGCCAATTACATAAAATCATCAAAATCGTCATATGCATTGTATGTTTCCATATCGTCGCGAGCGGCCGGCTTGCCAGCACCTACCAAAGAAGGTTTATCTTTACCCTTCTTCTTGGACTTTTGCGCTTCCTTGGCTTGACGCTGCTTGTCGTTGGCCATGGCCGACAACGAAGAAGACACCTTGCGGACGTCCATATCCTTCATGGGGGCACACAAATCACGCGCCAATTGATCCACAAAGTTGGCGTAGTTCATAGATTTCTACAACACATCAGACCGCCCCATGTTAATCATCCATCTTTTTTATGTAGCCAATAACCGGATCATTGGAAAACTCGTGCTTACCGAATGAGCAACGATGATCTCCGCCAAACGTTTGTGATACGCTTCAAATTCGACACGCGTCTTGGGCTTCCATTCCTCAATCGGCTTTTGCTTGTCATCATCTTCTAAAACCACAAAGAAACGTTCAGTGAAACCAATTATCACCAACATGATGCGGTTGATAAAAGAGACTTACTGACAGCCACGCCAGCAAAGAGATCAGTAGCGCTATTCAGATCAGCTTCCAATTCGAGATTGCGTAGACGTTGTTTACGTTCAAACGCGTCCTCTTCGGTTTCTTCTTCCAAAGCCTTGGCCTATAATACAATCCGAATCCAAAACCATCAGTCCTAGTGCCAAGCGACCGTGAGTGTGACTGCCTCGCAACGCTTACCATAGCAGCCTTCTTCTCTTCCAACTCCTTCCTCTTGGCTTCTTCGGCGGCCTTCTTTTCAGCAATCTTTTGAGCCAAAGGCACCTTTTTCTTTACAACGGGAGCAGCCGGCTTTTTTTCTTCCTCATCGGAATCCTCCCAGGAATCCTTGACATCATCTTCCACATCCTCGTCGTCCCATTTTTGCTTCTTAGGAATCGCGATCTCGAAATCCTGTTCTTCTTCTGATAAAAATACATTGTGTCAGAAAACAAATATACTCTATTGGTTCCCAGGAAACGTGTTGATTTGTTACCCCAATCACTCATAATGCGCGGAATACACTCGATTAAAGAAAATAAAACACAGAAAAAAAAATCGCTTACGGCTGCACCCAACTTCTTGACTCAAAAATTTTTCGGTGCCGGAGCTGACATCAGCAGACCCGGTCGTTTCCCGGTTGGCGGAAATTGGCTGCGACCCAAATTTGGACAACGGTAAATCAAAAAGCTTCAAGAAGACAAGGCCAAAAAAAAAAAAAAAAAAAAAAAAATAAAGCTGATCACGCCAAGCTCGGATTTCTCCTTTCCCCGCTCCGTTTTCCCAGTTATTATATCTTTGTTCCTTGACGGGATAAGCTTGTATAGTCATGCTTCGAGTTTATCTGCATCATCGTTCGAGCTTATGTCGAATACCGTCTCGTTGCTCGAAACGTCTGTATACCCAGTCATCGAAACCGCAGACGCTTTTGACCGAACATTTATACGGAAGGACGAGGATCTACACTAGTTTACCAACCATGGCGAAATCCAAGTCAGCTACGGCTTCGAAAACGCACATCGCGGCTCCGGTCACTTCGGCCCCGTTGTCTTGGGAATGGTTGCAACCCGTTGATCAAGATCCCAACAACACATCCACCGGCAACTCGTGGACAGAAAAGAAACGAAAAAGTCCCAGCTTTGGGTTCACCAACTCAATCAAACAAAATATGCGAGAAATGTTCTTGCCAGTAGGGTAACGCTTTTTGTCATGGCTTGCTCTGCTTATTGTCGCTGTTCCTGAAATTGTGATCCTTTTCTTCCCATTTATGGTGGGCATTTGCAATTTGCGTTCTTTTTACTTTTTCCAGATATCCGGAATCAGTGCACGGTTGTTATAAAAAGTTCCACATGTGGTTAGGTCTTGAAACTTATGTGGGATCAGCGGTAAGTGTTGCGAAAGGTACTTTGGTCATGATCCTGTTGGCTCACGAGATGGTTCGTTTCCAGATCGGTGTCTTGTGCTCTCAAGCCATGCTGGCATCTCTTGGATTGGGAACCGTGGAAGCGACAGGCGGTGCCGTCGCCATTCAATGGTAAGAAATAAAATTAAAGCATGTCCCTGAAGCTGAATAATTACTGACTCGATCTGTAGGGTTCTCAAGGACGGTATAGGCGAGTTTGGTAAACTGTTCTTCATCAAACGGTTTGCCAGTTCGTTTGATTCGCATCCCAAGACATGGAAGTTTGTAAGTACTACAATAATGGCCTTTGGATTCATGGAAAACGAAAAGCTAATCTGTTGTTCTCGTATGCCTTAGGTCTGTGAGATTTTTTCCTCGGTGGGATCCTTTCTCCAACTGTGCACAGTCATTGCTTCGCCCAAATTGTTTTTGCCTTTGGCAGCAGGTAAGTCCGTTTTGATGTACCCATGGTGAAATAGCCTACTGAAAAAGGACTGTCTAGTGGGAAATATGTTTGAGCTTATTCACGAGAGTATTTGGATCGCCAGTCATATGACATTCACCAAGCATTTTGCCGTAAGTTGTTCCCTACCATACTCGATTTTTTTTTTCCCTTTGACTCACGTATGTTTTCAATATGACAGCCAAATGGCAATATAGGTGACATTGTTGCCAAAGACGATGCACAAATGTCGACAGCACATTTGTTGGGCATGTTATCGGGAGTGGGATTGATTTCCATTTCTCATTCTCCGGTATTCCTGTTTGGTGCGTTTGCCGTTCTTTCCCCCATCAATATTTGGTCCACTGTCAAAATGCTTCACGCGGCAGAATTCGAGATTCTCAATCAAGCCAAATTGACCTTGTTGAGTCGTTCTTTCATCGATACGGGCAATGTCGAAGGATACACGGGATTGCGCCCTCGCGAAGTAGGATTTGGGGAATGGATTAAACCTTTCGGAGCCAAAGGCGGGGTTTCGGTGCGTATCAAGATGGGACCCAGTGCCGAGGAAGCCTATGGCGGAAGTGGAGAGATCGAAGGTGTCGTGCGTGTGATGCAGCAAGAAAACTATTTATTGAACTACCACCGTAATACCATGTACATCATGTTCCACGACGATGCTTCCTCGAATGATGTGATCCGTTCCATCCTGCATTCCATAAAATTCCACGATACGCTTACAGCCAAAGGTATTACCAAGGAAACCGATTGGGAAGGCTACATGGATGCCCTCGACGAAACACTCGCGTGGGCTCACAAGGAGACCCCGGCTTTTATGGCCGAATTAGCCAGCAAAAAATGGATGACGGATGCCGTCTATTGGAATGACAGGTTTGTAACACAAGAAAAACATCAAATAGATTACCTGTCCCATTTCGGACTAACTTGTTTTGTAGTGGTATGCGATTAACGTGGGAAGGACATCAGTCCAAGGAACAGGTCTCCCAATAAGGGATTCCCCTCTTCTTTTACCATGTCAAGATTTACCCCGCATTCTGCGTTCATGTCCTTTTTCAGCATGTTCATCTTTTTTACCTTTCGCCCCCTTCTTCTTACCTCATCTTTCCTCACTTGCCTTTTTTCCAGCATTTGTTCATAATTTTTTCCCCAATCCTCTAGACATTTAGCATTTTTTGGTTTTCACAGACCTCCCACAAACTTTCTACCTTGTTCTCCCCGTTTTTCCAATCCGTGTTCATTGCTTTTTTTTCAATGCCAATTGCATCACACTTTTTTAATTCCATTTCATCCCAAAAGTATAAAGTTATCGTATAAAATATTCATTCATCTCTTTTCGAGTTATCGGATAAGCCTATCGATGATTGTTGTCGCATGTAAAAAAGTAGTATTAGGGATTTTGTACAAGGGGAATAAGCGGGTCAAAAGAAAAAAAAAAAAAGAGACGTATTTTATGCTACTGTACGGAAATTGCCAAGCTCGTAATCGGGATATTTTTCTTGGATCAGTCCAATGATGGCGTCAATATCATGACACAGCGTTTGGATCCCCGTGTCCCATTTCATGATTTCCAGCATGGATTGTTCCACACGTTGACTTTGCTGCGGTGTGCCGTTGGCAGCAGCCGCGGCGGCGCTGATCATGTTAGTCTCGCTCTCCAACTCGTACGCTGCTCCACCCGATTCAAAACAAATAAGTTTATCGAGCTGATCGATGCTGCCAATCATTCGGTTCTCTCCAATCATGTGAGAAGCATAACGTTCCGCTTGCTCACTCGTCACGTTCAAAAGCGCAGCAAGACCATCAAACGTAATGCTATTATATATTTTGGACGCTGATAAAAGATTATGCTCGATAATCGCTCGATCGAACACGGTGGTATCATCGCTTAGCCGGGCCAGATGATGGGGTTTCAGTGTGGCGGCAAATTCGGTCACTTCGTTGTGTCGAATCACACGATCCAAGTATGTTTTCTCCAACATGGAGAATGACGCAAGGTGATGAGTCCGTTCGTCTTTGTATAATGTGGCCAGACTACGGGATCGCTGAGGACCGGCACCAGCGAGGATAGCACATTGAACAGCGGCAGTACTATAGAAAAAGAAAGCTGGTCAATAGTCGAGGGCCGGGGAGCAGTCGTGTCTCAATCACACTTACAGACACTGGATGCGCTCCTCTTCGTCCAGCTGCGTTACATAACTTAATTCATGGTATTTTGAGCATGCTTCAATGAATCGCCGTTTCGCATCCAAGATCCGCGCTTGTGACAGTTTGAACATGAGGGTCAGCACAAAGTCAGCATCGTTGGTCATCAATAAGGCGGCTCGATTTAGATAGGATTCAGCTGCCACCGCTTCGTCGACTTCCAACAACAGCCGTACAATTCGAATATATATCCGCAGTTTGTAATCATCGGTAATGGCTCTGTTACGCCACCAAATCTGTTTCAGTACGGTTTTGCGCTGTTGTATCCATTTTTCTGCCCCTTGTACAGTGCAGTTACCTGTGTCCCGAATCCAAAGGAATACCCTGTAATATCCTGGCCGCTTCCAGAAACTCTTCTTCTTCTTCGTAAATGGTGGCTAGTTTTTCCCTCAATTGGGAAAGCTACATGATGCTATTGTCAGCATAAAGTTGACACTACTGCATACGCAAAACGTGTCTTACGGGCTCTTCAAAGCTGACGGCACGTGTTTGGGCACGATCAATGGCAAAGGAAAGGATTTGCTTTTGCATGGAGCGATCGGTAATGCGAGTGTCGAATAAAGTGATGAATTCTGCCAACAACTGACGCGCTACAACGAGTCCCACTTGTTCATCCAGAATCGTGTCAATGTATTCTTGCAAATGCTGCATTTGTTGCATTCCCGCAGGCAACCCCGTCAGCACATCGTTGAGCACGCTTCGAAAAGCATCGAGTTTCTCCTTTTGCTGCGCGATATTAATACACGCTTGAATGCGGCTCGTGAAATTCATGAATTGACGAATCGATATCAGAGAACAAGCAACTTGGCGAAGTCTACTTTTTTTCGATTTTTAGCTTCCGCTAGGTGACGTCTCTTACATGCCAACCTTTTTGCTCATGCTTTCTTTATACGTTTTTATTCATGTTTATCAGATATTGAAAATGCACAGGCAGATGAGTTTGTAGGATTGCATATTAGATAAAATAGTTTCTGTGAGTGTGTGTGTGATCATACAGCGTTTGCTTGCTTGCTTGTTTAGAATTCCATCGAGACAGTGTCTAATTAATAGGTATCGTTAAACGATGGTGATTTATTATTTCTGTCATGCTTGTTCTCCTTACCTCGTTTTTCGCGTTGCACATCCAATAACAGGTTGTTCACAAACTTTTTGAAAATCTCCATATAGGGTTTAAGGGACGTTTTTTCATAATCTATAACGTCTCTCCTCTGTTAGAGCATGAAATATATACCATCTTTGCTTAATGTATGTATACCTGGTAATTTTCGTTCCGTATCTCCCATATGTCGTCGGTTGTATTCATTTAGTTCTTGCGATAATGATTGAAGGGTGGGGACGGTGAGTGGATCAAAGATCTCGGGCGAATCCATTGGTATCGGTACGCACACCCGATCTGCACAGAAATGTACCATTGAGTGAGCCTGGCAACCTGAACCGTGTTCAGTCACTTACGGGTTTTGGGGTGGACACAGAATGGACTCTTCAATAAATGGTTAATCTGAATAGACACCTTATCATCAAGACGAGGATAGCAATACTGAAAGATGATGTCTCTTGCGATATTTTCTCCTTCCTAGATATAACCCACCGATGTTTGAGTTGTTGTTGATAGCAATGTAAATGCTTTTTTCACTTACAGCGGCTTTCTTTTTATCACCCTTTGTCAGTGCTTGACGCAAATCTTCCCATTTGCTGATACCAGATCTTCCTGGTTCTTCCGTCCATTTTGCATCCAACGTGTTCCTCATGTCTAATATCACATGTAAGTACCCACCGAACAAGAATAAAGATGGGCTGAATTCTTACCTGCATCGGGTAAGATGGCCAGCACCTTGCTCCAGCTTTCTTGTGTCTCCAAGATGCCTTGCTTTTCTAATAGTAAAGGCACAAAGTACGATTTGATGATATCAAGGGATCGCCTATCATACGGGACAAGTGGTGAGAAGATGAGAAAATCTTACTTTTTGCTCGACAATGCTTACCGTAAGGATGTATGCATCACGGATGGCAATTTAACTTTTCTTGCCGAGTCAGCTCCGCCCTGTGTCTCTGTTCAGCATCCATTTCCTTTTTTTGTTCGCTTTTGCAAAAGTGATGTTACCTTGATGACTTCCAAATAGCTAACAATGGCTTTTCTACTGGTGTTGTCCAGTTTTCGTGCTCTCTCATCTGATACCCAGCAATGGACACCACGTCGTCCAGAATACACCCACAATAGATGCTCAAATCCAAAATCCTCTGTCATCATCAGCGTAAGTACGCATGAGTTTTCCGCCTTTCGATTGACAAAGTTTTACGAACCTCGCAAGGCAGCATCAATGACTTTGATTGCAATGGTCATGAATTGCCAGCATTTTTCACAAATATCGCCACCGCTAACACATCGCTCTCGATCAATAAAAGGTACCGTGTTGTTTAGTCGGTTGCCAAAGTTACCTGCAACATGTTCTAATTTCATCGTAGTCGGTCATATCGATATCAAAAACGAGTTCTTTTTCGAGAGGCCGGAAGGCCTTTTCGCTCACGGTTTTCTTGTCCTTGGGCTACGCCAATGGTTACTACGTGGAAGGATCATAACCACCGTCTGTCCATCCCACTCACCTTGACAGTGTATACCGCACCGATATCCATTTTGACCGGTTGTAACCGTTCAATTTCCTTTCTCAAATGGTTCACATCCGCAAACGAGTTGTAACGAATATAAATATCGGAAGCCAACGTGAAACTGAATTCGCGATTGATGAAGTTCTTGGTAGGCACTAAACCACGTCAAGCCGTCAATATCCAATCCGGCCCCAAAAACACAACCGGTCAAACTAAATCATTGCATTACCCAGGTCGTAGTTGAGCCATTGAAAGTAGGTTTTGTATGGGAAGAAGCGTTCGTAAAACATGCGCAGTAAAAAGATGGGATCTTCGTCTCGAGAAGTGAAGCTAAACCGATGAAAAATTCAGGTCAATTCGCCATTTCGATTACTTGGGCCCTTTTTTCCACCTACTCCATGGGTTCATCCATTTGAGAACGAGCAATCGTTTGGTGCACGGGTGTTTGTAACTGCACACTGGCAAATCGATTGTCGACGTGATCCAGCATGTCTTCGTCGTCATCTTTAAATATATCCTCTGCGGCCATATCTCTCAGCTCTTCGTGGACTATCAGACCGACATATGAGTACCATATATATATATCTATAGTGAATGAAGGTGATGCAAAGTATTACGTTGCAATGGGTCGGTGGCAGCCATGATATAATGGGTAATGTAACAATAGATCAGACGCGTGAAAAAAGCCTTGGAATTTTTTAAAACGCGTCCCAAAAATCGAGAGTTTTGTGAGTGGCCAATTTTTTTTTTGGCAACGCACACAAGTCACGACAGTCGGATTCGTTCGAGTGCCTGACTTTTTTCCAATGCAATTTTTCAGTTTAACCCATTATGGAGTTTGGCTTGGAGCGCACACAACGTCTGTTGCAAGCCCTCGGTAATCCCCATCATGCATTCAAGGTGATCCATGTAGCTGGAACCAACGGGAAAGGGTCAGTGTGTGCGTACATTGCGTCGGTTCTGCTTCAAGCCCAGCTCAAGGTCGGCCGATTCAATTCTCCCCATCTGCTTGAACCCCGTGACAGTATCAACGTGAATGGCGCACCCCTCGCACAAGCCATGTACGATCATGCCTGTACGGTGGTTCGAGATACCGATAAAACGCACCGTATCAAAGCTTCATCTTTTGAGTTGTTGGTAGTCACTGCTTTTTGGGTGTTTCGAGAAATGCAACTAGACTATGTGATTTTGGAAGTGGGTCTGGGTGGTCTGCTCGACGCCACCAATGTTGTGGAACACCCACTGTGTAGTATCATCACGCCCATCGGACTGGATCACGTTGATATATTAGGGGGATCGCTTCAGACAATTGCCCAAGCCAAAGCCGGTATCATGAAACCCGGTTGTCCGGTGATCATTGCTCCGCAGGATAATCCGGAGGCCCTGGAGACGCTCATTGGCCAAGCTCAAACTGTCAATGCACCCTATATCGTGGTATCACCCGCTCAATTCGTTTCTGACGATCGTTGTCGCCTGGACTATACCTTTGATGATACCCGTGTTCACTATGAGTATCCTGTTGTACTGCATGGCGATTACCAGCGGGTCAATTCGGCTACGGCTGTCACTGCTCTGGATTGGCTTTCTCGACGAAACGTGATCCCCCCTCTTGCACCCATACTGGAAAAAGGCATGGCCGCAACACGATGGCGTGGACGAATGGATTGGCTGACGGTCATCGATTATCCCAAGTTATCGGTTATTTCCGGTCTGTACAGTATGCTCGTCGACGGCGCCCATAATCTTCCTGCAGCGCAAGCCCTTCGTCGGCATGTCGATGCCTTGTGTCAAAAATACAAGCTGTCGCGGACGCTTTGGGTGATTGGTGCCACCGAAGGAAAAGATATCGATAGTATACTAAAGCAGCTAATTCACACTCATGACGCCGTTATATCTGTACCGTTTTCGCAACCAGCCGGTATGCCGTGGATCCACTGTGTCGCACCAGAGAAGATTGCCGAGCGTGCGCAGAATTGGACCTCGGAAACATACGCAACCGATTCCTTATCCGCAGCTCTTCAACAAACATCCTTCATCTATCACAAAGACAACGATTTAGTCGTTCTTTGTGGATCCCTGTATCTCGTCGCTGATCTCTATCGCCTGATAGAACAATAAAATTTTGCTTCTCGTCTGGACCGAGTTGTCACAGGAAATTTGGACGAATTGGGCATGCGTGGTATATAACATAAATAGTTTTGGATCGGCCGATACTGCATATTGTTTGCGTCGTACACCTTCAAATATAATGGCATCTATCAGCAGTCAAGGATCCAAATTGGATTGCGTGCGTAGGGAACGAGTGCGCGATCGATGTACCATAGATCCAGTCTCACGACGGTCGTTTTTAGGTTTAATCAAACAAGAATAATAGGTAAAAATTGTCGCACATAGTATGTTGAATTAAGGCGAAACGAAAACGTTCGCTCAGTTTCTTTTTTTTTTTTTTTTTTTTTTTTTTGATTGCAAAAGAAATGTCGCCGGCGCTGTTGATCCTCACATCCTCCCATACGATTATCGATTAAAAGAATTTTAGCAGCGAATTCCCAAATGGTCGTGGGAAGATCCAACAGAGTAATATGATCCTTCATGCGATGAGACAAACCGTCATGATAGCGACCTAACAGGGCGGCATTGTTCCAGCCACTCTTGACAGCCACACGACGGTAAGTGGCGGTATAATCTGATGCAGGGGATGACCTCTGACGGACGCGGATCAGGGCGGTTTCAGTTATCGAAAATACATCGACAATACCAAAAGCAGCACGGACTTTGTCGAGGAACGCAGTGAAGGTCAACATGCACGGATCAAGATCATCCGTACCCAATTTTTCCAGGTAATGACAAGCCCAAGGATAAGCGAGCAATCTTTACTATACCCCAACGATATCCTTCTGACACCAAGTAACCGCTATCGTCAAACGTGTCGTTGTATCCGCTCTTCTTGATACTACTGGCCATAAGATCGAATGCTGCACAAGGGATTCCAACTGTACAATATATGCCGAGGTACTGTATTATGTCTGATGACATGTCAATCATGCAAACGCAATCAACCATTTTTCTGTAACCATGCGATCAATCGATTTTTATGCAATAGTATATCATGAATCAAGCTTGATCCTGGCCAGATCACTCATCCCTACTATGTCCGATGACAAGTCAGTCATGTAGATCCAATTGCCCATTTCTATCATGATTCACTATGCGATCAGTTGGTTTTGGGGATATTGTAACATAAGTCAAACTTGATCCCGACCAGATCATTACCAGAATGCTGATTATGCCGTTGCTGTAAACGTTACTCGCGCGTCCATGGCTCTCTGCATGCACTTGAGATCGAACTTTTATTAACCGTAAATAATCAATCTTAGGCCTGCTTGGATTTAAGAATCACAGATCTAGCAAAGCAGTGAAAGAACTGGGTAATGAAGAAGGCTGATAAAGAGGATGCTGAAACGCTTTATAATACATTGGAGAAATGGATGATCTCTGTTAGAAAGCTGTATGAGACCAGCTGTCTTTATTTCGAAAAAATAAGCATACATTCAGATTGTGTTGAACGCTCGAAAGCTACTGTTAAGGTGATAAGCTTATCCCCAGTCGCTCGAGGGTCATAAATGCTGTCAATGACTGTCCGTGCTTACTGCATTCAAACGGGGAAATAGCTGTATACAGAGATGTGTTTCGTCTCAGGCGAATATTTTCGTTGACCATCGTCATAAGCCGAGAATCCTTCTTCAAAAACGTATGTATGGTCATTGAAAAGCTACGAATAATAAGAGTTTCATTGTCCCAAAACTATTCTCACGTCGCTTAGTTCAGTATTACAGACCTCAAGGTCTCCTTCTCGTTATCAAGACAAAATATCTTGTTGTTCTGTGCCCAATGAATTTCTTTTCCTAAATTTTTAGTCGATAGGCAAGACATGGCCAAAGATCCGGGCTAAATCTCTATCAGAAACAGGTCCTGTATGTTTCCAATGATTTCACATACCCTTCAATAGTCTCGTACCCGTTGCGAATATTCAGTCTCACATCGCTTCTTCGCGATAGATACCAGAATGCACCATTTCTGAGGCATGACTAGAGTATGATATTAGCTGAATAATACAGAATAAGACTCTCACTCCCAACTCACAACGGAAGATTTGGATGCTTCCAACCAAAACTTCCAGCAACACCATGTCGGCTGCACCCCATCTTTGACCAAAATTATCCAGCAAAATTGATTGGACGTTGCGATTTCCATTATCCAAAGATAATTTTAGGACGTAAGTTGGTAAATAAAAAATATGGCACAGTCGCTTTGTATTTGGGGACATCTCGTTTTCCTCTGTCTACAACTTTAACCTGATGGGTAACCCTCTTGTTTATGACTGTAGCGTATTGGAAGTGGGTCTCTGCCTGCGACTTTAGCATATCTCTCACAAGGTAAGATGCCTAATGTTTCTGTCTGGTGCTCCATAACCGCTTTGGTCCTCCTTTTCTAGCACAGCACGGTTTCCCTACCTGCCATGATTGTCGCTCATCGGATGCTATCACTTATTTGGGGTTTCCAATTTTTTTGTCCCCTGCTCAGTTATAGCGTTTCCTGGATCATTTGCTCGTTGCCATTCAAACTGGATGGAATATACACCAACGTAACCTTTCTGTGCGTGATCGTGCGACCGTTCTGAACACACTCGTCTTGTCCCGTCTCTGGCCTGTTTTACGTCTTACAGGAGCCCCCAAAAGTTCCTTCTGGAACAAACCCCGGTCCACATGTAGCCACTTTCTCATGCATCGCAGGTTTCCCAAAATCCAATATGACCATCTTTGTCTTCCCCGCTCTCAAGGTGGACTCCAGATACTTGACGCAAAACTTCAACAGCATGCTCTGGTTCTCCGTTAGTTGTTGCCCCCTCCAGTACCCTACTTCCGATCCAACAAGCTGCTGTTTTGCCATCCCATACCTTGTCCATCGTTTCTTGGCTATGAGGCCCAATATCTGTGATCACAGAGCTCAGTTCGCTTTCAAAGAAGCTCGAAGTCCCAGATGGATCCACAAACCTTCCTCTATCACAACCTTGCTGTACCACGCGGCGGACGGTTTGCCACATGACCATGATTTTCCAACCATTCCCAGCACTCGTCTTCCAGTTACCTAATGAAAGACATACGATCATTTTCCTAAGCTCCACATAAAAAGCACAGTTATTGAAAATAAAGTTGTATGTTACTGATCTGATTGCTGCTCCTTCTTCTTTTCTTTTTTTTATTGTTGTATTGTTGGCTTTTGAGGAAGTCGTAAGTGGCTCCCTAACTCAAATTTGTTTCACCACTTGTAAGAATGCGAAAACGAAGCCACTGTAATGGCGTTTCTCCATGGTGTTACAGGTATCCATGATTCTTTTCGACAAAACATATTCCTGTGAAAACCAATGGTGCTTAACCTTATCTTGCCACTTATTTGTTCTATTGGGTGGAGCTCAGGAGAGTAAGCGGGAGGATACACACATTCGCATCCAAATACTTCATGTATTTTCATATTTTTATAAGTATGAATATGAATGGGTACATTGTCCCTGCCTATACTGTCAGGATCACGCATTATACAGTACTGGCTAACCATCTATAAGCTGTTCGAGTGTGAATGGCCAACTGCTTTGTTGCAGCTGATGCAGTCATATACAGTATCAAGATACTTTCCGATAACAGTTTCAAGATGAACTGTATACATGATCTTATCATAAAGGTATGATGGTGAAAACAGTAAATCACTTTATTTACAGAAGTACCGATACAATTTATGATACATTCACTATATTACAGCGCCAATCGAAACCAGACTTGGATTAAGGATACTTGCAGCCAACCGAGAGAAACCATGGAGACAGTATGAAGCAGGCGACGGCGGAGGATGATGGATGATGGATGACAAGCAAATAAAAAAAAAGAGATTGAAAAATATGCTTACCATTGAGCCAGACAAAACCAAGACGGAAGAGAAGGGTAGGGAAGACGGTAAGATAAGGATGGATATGGAAGGGTAAAGAGTGGAGAAGAGAAGGGTGAAGTGTGGAGAAGGGAAGGGTGGGGAGTGGGAAAGGAAGGATGAAAAGTGAGGAAGGAAGGGGTGGAAAGTGGGAAAGGAAAGAGTGGAGAGCGGACTAAGTGAAGGGCGGATACGGAAATAAAAGTTGGCAAGGAAGGGAAGGATGGAGAGCGGGAAGGGAAGAGAAGGGAAGGGAAGGGAAGGGAAGGGAAGGGAAGGGAAGGGAAGGGAAGGGAAGGGAAGGGAGGGGAGGGGAAGGAAAAAAGAGGGAAGGGGAAGTGGAGAGTGGCAAAAGGAAGGGCGAAAATAGGGAAAGGAAATTGGATAAGGAAGAGAAGGGCAAAGAGTGGGGAGGGAAGGAAAGGGAAGGAAAGGGAAGGGAAGGGGAGAGAAGCGGAGGGAAGAGTGAGTAGGAAAGGGAAAAGGAAAGTGAAAAGAAGGGTAGATAAAGAGGGGAATGGAAGGGTCGAAAGGAGAGGGAAGGGAAGGTTGGGGACCACTTACCTTGTTTACTTACCTTCTTGACCTATCTTGTTCACTAACCTTGTTCACTTACCTTGCTCACTTACCTCGTTTAGATTATTGACCTATAGTAAAAATGGGGAAAAAAGAGCAAGTATCAGTAAATGATGTCCTTCAACTGTAGCCATAAATTACTGTGAAGAAAAGAAAATGCTGTCATCCATCATCCACAAAAGAGATCTAAAGAAAAAATGACATGATGATCCATTAGCAGCTTATCAAAAGAGCCATGGGAAAGTAGCAGAAGTAGAAAAACGAAGAAAAAGACGAAGAGCAAAAAAAAAAAAAAAAAAAAAAAAAAAAAAGGAAAACGACGCCCTTTTTCGTTTTATCATTCATCGTTTCCGTCGTCGTTTGAAAACTTTTTCACATAAAGTTTGCTTCGCTTCATTCCATTGGATCGAATCCATCATTGACATCATGTCGACAACGTCCATCCCTCTGTTTACTGCCAAGAACGGCCCAAATTTGGCTACCGTCATTTTTTCATCTGGGTCCTCGGTTACCAAAAAGGGCATGCCCAGCAAATCAGTATTTGCTAACGAGCTCCCATCTCGATGAAAAAAGACGCGGGAAGTGGGGAACCATACATAATCGCTGACAAAGGGGACGACGGTGTGAAGAAATCTAACTGTCAGATTTAAAGAAATAACCCCATCAGTGCACAGATCAAGGTTTTATGCGCAGCAGATGGGCCTTAAAAAGCAGATCGGTGGAATTCTGCCATGCCGCGGATACCACCTCTTCATGGATGCTGCTGGTCCAAGGTTCGTACATCAAAAAGCCTTCATGGAAACAAAAGAAAAATATTCATCCATCGCGTATGCTACCAGGCGATAAACAGCACTTCTAATCACAAAAAAACACACTGTCAAATGGAAGCACTGAAGTGTCATTCATCCATCGGATCAGGAAAAAGGTCCGCAAAATCGCGCCACCACAGAATCCTTTCTTTTCTTTTCTTTCAAAGGTGAACTTGGCCAATTTATTTCCATGGCTTCCGCAAACTTGACACATTACTTTTTTAAAACCGACGTTTCCCTTGCTTAAAATAATGGTGGATTCCCCACTTTCCGCATCGTTATTCATCGAGATGGGAGCTCGTTAGAAAGATTGACCTTGCTAGACGTGCCTTTTTTGGTAACAGAGGACCCAGATCAAAAACGACGGTAGCCAAATTTGGCCCATTGTTGTAAAAAATAGGCATGAATATTGTCGGCATGATGTCAATGATGGATTCGCACCTTCGGGAAAAGTATTCAAGTATTCGATTTTTTGCATATTGCAGGTTCGAATGTTCCCAAACAATTCAAAAATTTGAATATGCTAGCCATAAGGATTCAAAAAGCCTTAAAAACCTTGCTTTAGCAAATGTATGATAATTCATCATCGATGGGAAGTTCTTCGTTTTTCTGGGTTCAATATAGATTATTCTCGAGTATCTGAGCCTTTTGCCTGGCTTACAGATCCTACAACTCACTCAACGTCAACGATTATTTGGTAGGTTCAGCATTTCATCTTCTTTCACTTATCTTGAATTACTTCGACCGACGCAAAGCTTTTTTCACAGCCTTGAAAATGATCGCAAAAGAAAAATTTGAGAACACCAAATACTGTCTCTGAGCTTGTTGAACAGAACCGTCCCGAGCAGTTCTATCAGTCCCCAAACATGCAGATGAACGAAATGAATCCCTGACGCTTCCACCAAAAACTCTCCCGTAATTGAATAAAATAACTTCCAGTCTCCAAAATTTTCATTCTCACCTATGTGAATTCCAATGTAAACCAGGCCAAAAAGTTGCCTAACTGGTCCTTGCACTGTACTTCGGCAATTAATTGCTCTGAAAACGGACTCCAGTTCTCAGGACAGTTCGCAACAACAGGCAGCGCAATGGCATCCATTTTCCTCGTATTACAAGCGGACACGTCATTGAGGTCGTTGTCGTTGTCATCGTTATTTATCTCAAACATAAGATAGCCTTTCACTTTGAGTGAACCGCTTCCTATTCGTATATTCTGTCACTCTCGCAGCAAAATTCCTGCATTTCAGTAAGAAATGGTTCCAAAAAACTAAAAATGCCTGCAGGCGTTATTGGGACCAACTGTGGCGGAGATATCGAGGAAGGCTTATCACTTGGCTTATACAGCGGCCATCCAATTCTGGCACTGCCGAGGGCTCTCCAGCTGGTATTGTTGTACGCAAGAAGTCGAGTTTTTTCTGAAAACAATAGTTTAAGGAGCCTCTGATGAAATAGCCGCAGCTGTTGCATATTCTTGTCTCAATTCTTTTCGACATGATATGAAGTGAGTGAAACGGGAAAAGGCTGCTGAGATTGATTTTTGCGTTGCCAAAAAACATTTTCCGCCCGCTTGTTTTGCTTTTTTCTCTCACTCTCTTCTTTATTCTTTCTTTCAATGTCACAAAGTCAAGATTCTGCAACCCAGCTATTCACAACCTTCATTGGGATAATTTCTGAGTGCAAAGCTCTGGTCACTGCACTCGACACGCTTAGAGTTAATCTCGTAGCAATGAACTGCAAACTTGACGAGCTCAATACCCGACTAGAGGTGGCGTCGCCAAACGAAAAATCGCAAGCACTCCCATTGTATCAGCATGTTGGTAGTGAGTCAAGTCCCTTCGCGTACATGCCGATCAGACGCACGATACAGCATCGCCAATATGGTTCTGGTGCACCCAGAAAGTGGAGCTGGGAGCTCTTCAAGATCTTGGGGTGCGACGTCCTCAAGGAAAGGTGGGATGACAGCCTCCTGACCACCTTTAAAAAGAACGTAAAAGTGTTTACGAAGAGGCTGGTTTGGGACCTCCGGTCGAGGCATTCGTTACCCGCAACGGCAACATGGTCGGATCTTCCCTCCCCGATCCAGAACGAAGCTGTGCTGTTGTTGGAGGGAGGAGTAGGTGTGGATTTCCCGTTGAAAGCTTGTGCGGGCAACTGGGGCGCGCGCCTTCTGATGGTTCACGCGTTCCAAAAATGCAAAGTGAAAGGTAAGCTTGCAAATGGGCTGTTGCTAACCTGTGTCAGGTATTAAATCTTGTTATTAGAAGCCGTGGAACCTGAAGAAGGTGACGCCAGGTATGTTATAATGCGATACATGTCTTTGATGTTTTATGAACTAATGAAGAGCTACTTCAACGGATTTTACAGAATCCATGCTTCAGCTGAGGGAAGGTACGTTTTACTCCGTGTGTTCTTGTATAGATGAAGGCCTGTCGAAGCTGGTTCACTTACATCTCACAGCTAACTAATCACATTCTCTTATGATGCAGCATTTGCGACGAAGAAGTCTTGGCGCAGGACGAGCAGATGGCCGTTTCTGCTGAAGTTCACTCTCTCGCCAACGAGGTGAGCACATCGCCTTTGTGCACAGCTGTGCGAATGGGCTTTGACGCTCAGCTGTCCAGCGATGAGGACAACGAATTTGCCGGTGCTAAAGCTTTGCCAGGTAGAGTAATGATAGTCACAGCATCCAACCAAGCAGTGTGGCAAAAACATTAGGTTCATCTTGCCAATGTTGACTTCCTTGACAAATCATCTAACATCTTTCTGAAGGCAAGAAACGTGGTCGCCCGGCGAAAGCTATCAATTCCCGTAGTCTGTCCAAAGCTGTAACTACGAAGAGAGTCAAGAAGACTTTGACAAATAGGAAATCTCTTGAATAATCCTATTAATTTATTTAATAAACCAAATTATAAAAACCATTCGTGCGTGCTGTTGCTATTTGAATAAAAAAAAATGGAAGTGAGGTTCCAACCAATAACAATGCCGGTTGGAAGCCAATCAGAGAGACCCAACATGTTTCCAAGATTCAGAAAATACTCTAAATTATTCAATCGGAAACTCGAAAAATAATCGGAAAATTCCTGATTTTTTACAAACTTGAGTATCATATCCAAATATTCGAATATTATTTCCTTATCTATTTCTCTGGGAGAAGTAAAGACAAAGTCGACAAATTAGAAAGAACAAGGAGCATCAGGCGGAGAAGGTAAAAACCAAGAAAAGATAGATGCCAAAATGGGTTGAATAATGAAAAATCAGGACGACAAAGAAGGATATGATGATGATATTGAAAAGAACAATTTGATACTCCAGGTGGCATTTTTGGCACCAAGGAAAAGAACGCGTACCAAACCGAGTGATACAGTCGATCCTTGGTGCAGCCTCCTACTTCAGTGGTGCTTTGGTGGGCCCGAACGATGAAGAGTCACCGCCCCAAGTCAGGGCTGAAGGATCCCTTTTTCCCATTGTTTTAATAACCAACGAATGACGCAGCTGACGGTTGTAGTAGTGTGTACAAGAGGGGTATAGGTGCATACAGATTCATATCGGATACAGTTACAGTGAAGCCCGTTCCAAAGGCGCTATGATACAAATTTTCTTTTCTTTTCTTTTTTTTGTCCAATTCTATTGACCTGAGGTTTGTGATCGTTTAGGTGTTACAGGCGGATTGAGAGGCCAAATAGGTGAGGCAGCATCGGCAATTTCGCCGCTGGCACCGGCATTGATCCCTTTTTCGCTTTTAGCACGATGCACACGCGGACGATACGTGTCCACTGCGTCCACTTGCACTACGGTAACAGAGGCATGTCAGGACTCGCCAACATAGTCCCACTTTTTATCTTGTATATCTCACCTTTATAATGCTTCTCTTCGCACAGATAAGCGGCTGGTTTCAGTTCAATCACTGTATGTAATGGGATGCGTACATACGGTAATTCTTCATGATTCAGATTCATGAAATACCCATACATGCATCGTATCGTAGCTTGATGCGCAATAATCAAAATATTCTCTTGTCGTTCCAATTCCATAATAGCCGGCTCCAGACGCAATACAAGATCTCGGTAACTCTGTGCAAAAGTCATTTTCACTGATCGGTATATGGCATATTGTTGCCAATTATCGCTTACCTCACCACCTCGATATCGATAGTTGAATTTATCTTCATCCCTTGCTGCAAAATCATCAGGATACTTTTCCTATTGTTGTCGATTTTAGCGCGGCAAAAAGTCCTAATTAGTACTGGTGCAGAACTTGGACCACTTCCTTTGTATGACATGATTACCGCAATCTCCGCATAAGTCATGCCGTCACAAACTCCGGTATTTAATTCATCCAAGGCCTTCCATTGTTTCTTTGGGTACGGCAAATGAGCGGCTGTTTGGATCGTCCGTTTCATAGACGAAGTCCACACGGTCAAAGGACGATCACCGAGATTTTTGGCAATCAAATCAGGAAGGAGTCGTGCATACTCTAAACCACGTGGCGACAGATCGGCATCCCCTCCAATTTTGTCTTGGACATTAAAAACCGATTCACCGTGCTATGGCCATGTACCTCACGTGAATAACAGGAATCCGCAATCTTTTTTTCCGTGTATTGGTTGTAAAAACTTACTCGGCTGAACCAGATACGCTTCGGACGAATGTGGAGATTCATGAGATAAAATACGATTTTGCTTTCAAGAAAACCTTGGATCATGTTGATGACGTATTGACTGCCAACATTGATGAGTTTGATGTAGCTGTAATCCTGTTCGGTGATGGTTTCGTAAAACCCTTCATAATGCGAAATGCGCGCAACAAAGTCCTTCGTGGCAGTATCAGGATCCACGCCTTGGTAATCGGGCGATGATAGTTTGACGTCTCTGATGTTCGATAGGATGACGCTCTCGTCTTGACATATAGATTCGATGAACAGGATTTGGATATCATGCTTGGTCAACTCTTCATGTAACCATGTCCTACGTTCCGTGGTACTATTGGTGGCATCGTAAATGGCCACCGTGCCTTCATCCTCTTCAAACCATCGAAGCATATCTCTCAAAGCGTATTGTGCTGCTTCACGACGTTGACTCAACCCTTCTTGATTGTGAATGTCAAAGAATGCATGCGACATATGCGCACCAGCGATTTTGCGTCTGTAGTTGCCGACATTGAAAAGCTCGCATTGAATGCCTAACCAGTTCAAGTAACGTCGAACTATAATAATGCGTTGCATCAGCACTTTCCTGCCATCCCCCTACCAATGCCCCATAAATGTCATATATACTTTTTTGTGCAATATAGGTCTTTCCTCTGGCCGGCAGACCCACCATCTACCGTAAATGGGACTTGGTTAAGCTTCCATTGGATAACCCTTGCTGAATGCTGAATGCCCAACTTACCACACACACAAGTCGCACATCTACCAATGGAAATAATAGGATGCATTAGTCATTTTATTCAATGAAATTCCACCTCCACTGACATTTCGCCTTTCTGTTACTCACTTGCAGTCATAATATGTTACAATGGCTCAAAAGAGTGGAGTTCAGAAGGTTCTTTTGCAAAAAAAAAACCAGATAAAATCTCCGGAATTTTGAATGTCAGCTGTCAATCTCGGACGGCCATACCGGGCTCACCGCGCCAACAACCTCCATTGATTGCAATAACCATGCAATTAAACGTTTCTTTGAACTTCGATCCAAGTCCCTGTTGGAAAGATAATTGCCCCATTCAAGGTGCTTCTATGCTTCTTTGTTTGTTCAAGAATAAAGTAATAAGAAAAAAAAGAAAAAAAACTCAAAAACTTTATCGCACCACCTTCTATGACACATTCCTTTTTTTGTCTGCTTACATAAAAATTTGCCGCTGATCATGATTCAGCCGTCAAGTAACGTAAGCCCAATGGAGCGCGGATACAATTCCTGGTTCCCTGAAACGTCATTGTAGCGTCCTAAACAGATTTTTTTATATTACAGGTGGAGACAGACCAATAGCAAATTGGAAAGCAATCCTTTTCAATCCTTCAAATGAACCTTAGTTACAGTGCCTATAGGAAACAAAACACCAAATGACTGTCAACAACTGATAATATGATATCACTGTACGTACGACCACGTTCGCGTGCTCATGCTTCCGGCATGAAAAGCCACCAGCGATTTTGCTTGAATCCCTGTAGGATTAATAACTTTCTGACCGATAAATCAAGCGACTAACACTATTTTCTGTTGGTTACCTTGGACAATGACATTTTGTCAAACACAATTTGACTGGTGATTTGACCCAAAGTTTAATACAAGTCTGCCAATCAACTTTTTTTATGATACGAGGCACTGATAAATCAACCCATGCAAAATTATTACAGACACGTTGTATGATGGACAATGATAAACGTATACAGTATCTGCAACTGAAGCATGCCATGAGTTGCTAAGAAAAATAGAGTCGAGGCATACCAGCGTCCAACAGTAGAGAACATGGGATGATGCGAAGTGACGTGTTATGCAACCTATTCACATCCAGGGGCTGATAATACGGCAGCTATAATGGGCGATGCAACATAATAGCTCCCCACTCCCATCGTGCGGTTATGAGACGAAATGTAACCAGTGGGGGCAGATGGCCCCAAAATTGTTATTATCATAACAGCTTCCAGCACGATCGGTGTAGATTTAATAAAACATTTGATGCCATATTCATAAATTAATGAATATAGCAAACTTGGACGGAACTAGCCTTTCACTCAATGGTCCATCTCGATCCATATTTATTTTTATTTTTTGACAATGATTCCAGAAACGTTACGGCAATCGACACAAACTCATACAATTTATCAAGACAATACGTCGTGCTGCAAATGGCCCAAACCGTCACTATGCCCATGAGTGACATTGGTTAAAAAGAAAATTGGTGCAGTTGAGTCATATAATATGTTTGGCCGTGGATGGATCTGTTGAAATAACAAAAATGATCTTCCAGCTTTTTGCTCACCAACATGGAAATGTCGGAGTTTGCAATTCCAAAAACCCACCGATTTCTCCATGCGGCCTGACAGTTCAGACGACTGGAGAGGGTCCAAAAACGAGTGATTTCTTTCGGTTCATTCCGTGTTTGCCTCCTTTTTTTTGTATTCAAATCACACATCATTGAGCGATTATGGACGGGCCGCCAATCCAGCGCCAGACGTCCAGTCCCGGCGGGGGTATATCGCAACTTAAATCCTTATCCTTGGGAGCCGGCGTCAATCGAGATCAACAAGTGGAAAAGCTCCTAAAGGAAGTCAAACAACTCAAGCAGAAAGTCGATATTCTCGACAAGGAAAATATTGCGCTGAAAAAGAGCATCTATGATCTTTCAGCTCGCTATGCGCAGTCCATTTCACAGTCGGGTTTGTCTTACCGCCCGGGTCCGTTCGTCATCGACAGCGATTCCCCCACAGCAGGCAAAGGCATGATTACAAAAGCACAGGAAATGATCAACAAGGCCGTTCAAGAAGCCGGAGCCGATCTTGATGGTTTTCCATCCGGTAAAATACTCGAATGGCAAATTCCATCTCTTACTACTTTTTGCATTCAAACACGTTTTTTCTCGTTTTGCTTACCATCGTGAATAGGTGCAGGATATCCTCACGATTCCCGCGACGGCAAACCCTTCCAAATGCGCTACGAACTTCGGGTAATATGGGAAGAGCATACTTGGGACGAGCATGGGCAGTCTTGTTGAACCACATCTCACCTTTTGTTAATGTCAATAGGGTCATACGGGAGCCGTCCACACCGTCAGTTTCGCACCGAATGGCGCCTTGTTAGCGTCGGGATCATTTGATAAAACAGTTCGTATCTGGGACACATCAGCTCAGAAAGAGGTAAGCGTTTCGAAGGCACCCGTTTATTCTGTGATTTACAGATTATAACGCCCGATATTGTGTCGTGGTTTAGATGTTGTGCTTAAAGGCACACACCTTGAATGTGTCTGATCTTGCCTGGACCTCCGAGTCTACACGGTTGCTGTCAGGCGCATATGACGAAACGTGCAAAACATGGGACGTGGAAAGTGGCAAACTGCTGGGAAACTACGAAACTGAAGGATTTGTCCAATGTGTTGGTTGGGATTTTGTGGGTAAGTGGGATAGATCGCTCCTCTTCGGTTTTGCAGAAATTTAAGACAAGATGAATATTAGATTCGGACATCTTTTATTATGGCACTTCTCGGAAAATCTTGGCCATGGTGGATGTGCGTGTGGAAGGAGCAGCATCCGTGGTTATTCGTAGTGATGCCATGATTAACACGCTCTATGCATCTCGCGACGGCATTCACGTCATTACCGGTGACGCACAGGGCATGCTCAAAGTTTGGGATATCCGATCACGTAAGCTCCTTATTCTTTTTTTTTTCTCTATATATCTACTGAGCACAGAGCTCACACCACAATATATAGGACAATGCATCTCAGAAACTCAAAATGACCCTGGAAAAATGCCTATTACTCACATTTGTATTGGTCGTCGACGAACGGACGCATCTCGAAGAGCCAGTAAGTCATCGTACTGCGGTTTCTGTAGGATCGGTTGCACTGATCATTTGATTTGTTCACAGTTGACGATTACGATGAGCCAAGGTATATGGCCGTCAACAGTTACGACAACCGTATGTATTCCGCACAAACATGGTAAAGCCAAAAAGATAAGGCGTGTTTTGCTTATTTGGTTTTTGTTTTACGGTAGTACTTCGTGTATATGATCGCGGCATGGATCCGCCCAAATCTGATCCACGATTAGTGCACGCTCTCAAAGGGTTCAAGAATCGGAATTGGCCCATCAAGTCGTCCTTTTATTGTGGCAGTGGATGTGAGTCTTGTGGCATTAAAACAAGAAAAAAAGGCAAAAATTAATCCCTACATTAGATAACTCGTCCATCCTCAGTCGACCGTCAACCACCAACGATGTCTATGGCGATCCGGATTTATCGCCCAATCCAAGTGAATATTTTAACGATCTTGCCGAACCAAAAGAGGAAAAGAGCGTGCTCTTGGCGACGGGCAGTGCGGACCCGTACGCCTATCTTTACAATGTCGGCGAAGTAAGTTTTGGGACTCCTGAATCGGTGGTGGGATTACTTACGCATCGTTTTGAATGGTTTTAGGATAGTGCTGAGTTGATGCAGCGACTAGAAGGCCATACGGATCGTGTGTACGCTGTCAACTTCCACCCGACTGAACCTCTTCTCGCGACCGGCTCCGCAGATACTACGGTTAAACTATGGGGACCGAGTTTATCGCGAGGAAAGAAAAAGAGCATTCTCTAGTACCATTGATCATTTTTAGATATTCGCTCCATTTTTGCTTGTCCATGATCTTTTTTTGTATATACGCTTTTTTTTTCTTTTTTGACTTACAGTAATTGATGATTATGACATCAGGAATATCATTTCTGCATGATGCAATTTTTTTCCCCAATGCGCGTCCTTTTGATTTTGACATGTGGAATAGATTTGTCAATTGATTTTATTTTATTTTTTTACCTTCTCTTTCCGCTTTTCATTTTTTTCTTCTTTCGCTCATTGATGAATCCAAACAAGCGCTCACGAGACACGTTCGAATCAACTCAACAGTCGTTTCTAGACTCGATGGTTCCAGCAGACACAGGTTATACAGCTTTTCATTAAATATCCAAGGAACGCTCGTTAAAAGATCCACGCATTCTCCAGCCGTTGAAAGTTCTCCTTCATCTGTACCGGTCGACTTGGACTCGAGAAACGATGCACGTCCTTTGATGGCTATTAGGGAGGGAACAAGTGTTCCAATAGAACTTGGCTTATGCGTGCTTGACGTTCGCAGTAACGAGTGTCACTTGTCCCAGGTATTCTATTAAGTTCTCACAGCACTATTAATATATGCTCGCTCACGCTTTGAAAGATGATGGACTCGCAGTTATACGTCCGGACATTGCAGAAAATACATCTCTATGAACCACAGAAGGTAAAACCTTCACTTCTAGAGCAAGGCATTTTATTTTTCAACCTATCGCTAGATTCTCCTACCGGAACGTCGAACTCCACTTGTCAAAAGCAGAGTCTACCAACTTATTAAACAACACTTTCCCGCCATAGCCGTCAGCACACTGAAACCTCAGTATTTCAAATGTGATGAAGGTAACTTAATGTAACAGGATACACAATATTGGATCGATTCACCGTCTAATTGCTGCTCCTCATTGACATGAACAATATCAGGTTTAAACATTCTCAAGAAACATGGATTGAAAAAGGATGTCACTCCGCTGTTAATGACCTTGTCAAGCCGGTTTGTAAGCTTTCCTTAAAATCATGACTACAGCTGAAGATGTGTATTAGCCTGCGATGTCTCGAATCGGCTTGCGCTGTCTTTAGGTAGATATTCTCAGCGCTTTGAAACCGGTATCTGAACCTCACAAGATGCATAGCTATTGCGCTGAAACCGAAAATATCACATTCGAGGAAAATACTGTGAAATTGATTTACGAAGCTGCTCAGGGTATTTGCGTCGAATATCATTATGGATCGTACCTTTATTAACCTATCGTCAATAACGGTACAGAATGCATGCTTATCGGTCAGTATGGAGGTCCGTAACGATAATCCGTCAGCTTTTCTAACGTACGGCCAGATACTGTGACTGCACGAAACCTAGAGCTGGTGTCAAGCATTGACGGTCGAAAGAGTGATTCACTCTTTGGCGTGATGGATCAAACCGTGACACCTATGGGAGCCCGTTTTTTGCGTGCAAATATTCTTCAGCCCAGCAATCATATAGAAACAATAACCGACCGCTTGGATGCTGTGCAATATTTCATCGACAACGAACAAGCCCTCTTAGAAATTCGATCCTTTCTGTCGAACCTCGCTGATCTGGAGAAAGTCGTTTTTGATATTGCCAAAATGCCGACACAACAAACGACGAAATACGTGGAATCGAGGCTCAACCGGTTGCTTGCGCTCAAAATGGCTATCAAAGGTGTGGATCGTATAGCCGTCAAACTGTGTGGCGCAATACCTACGCTGCTGAGAACAATTAAAGACATCTTGTCCGATCCACAAATAGGTAAACAAAAGAATCATTGAGACCTTCAACTGCACATTCACCCCCCAACATACTAGATGAGATTGGAAATATTATCAATGAAAAATTCAACGAAGATCTATCCATGGAGACAAGTCGTATTGGAATAAAAAACCAGCGATGTTATGCGGTCAAGGTAAGCGTATATCACTGACGCTAGATCTTGCAAGATTTAACTTTTTGTGATCTACAATCTAGTCGAAAATCAACCACTTTTTAGATGTGGGTAATGTATTGATTCCTGTGTGTCATCCTGCAACTCGGTATTTGATATATGGATTCTATGCGGTTTCGGTAGCTCGCCAGACGTACAAGGAAACGATCGATGATATTTATGAGCTCGCCAATGAATACGCAGGTAAGATCAAGCTTGCACGTTATGAAAAAACAATAGACAGTTATAAATGTCAAAATAGAAACTTCGCAGTTGAAACTCAAGCTTCGAATGGACAGCAGACACCGATTTTATCTCTATGTATCAAAGCAACAATTGGGGAGCCAAGCGTTACCAAGTGAGTTTACCAACATTGTTGTGACAAAAGCGGGGTTTACTTTCACCACCTTGGAACTGGTAAGCGGCATATTCCCAGACCACAGTGCCCTTATTCACGCCGATAATGTAGTTGCAGAAAAACAGCCGTTTGCAAGAGTCCTTAGCTGAGATGTATCTCATGTCCGACAGGTAAGTTACGTTGGTATTAGTTGTTTACTTGTTAAAATCATCTTTGGCTCATCGTCATTTATTCAGTATCGTGACAGAAACACTGAAAAAGGTGTGCACCAAAGTCAGCATCATGTACAAAGTCGTGACCGCCATTGCTTCTTTGGATTTGGCTACCACGTTTGCTATGAACATTAAAGCGACTGATCGTGACTACGGTAAGCCATGCCCTAACACTGTACGACCTAGGCTGATACCTTTGAATATGATCCCATGAATTAGTGCGGCCTGATTTTTCAAACATATTCGCCATCAAATCAGGAAGGCATCCCATTCTGGATTATATCCGTCCGACTCCCGTGGTTCCCAATGACGCTTATGCTTCATTGTCAACGAGCTTCCAATTTATCACAGGACCGAACATGAGCGGCAAATCAACCTACATCAAACAAATTGCTTTACTTGTCATCATGGCGCACATGGGATCCTTGTGAGCCTCTTTTTTCTTTTTATTGATATGCACCAAAGTGCCTTTCAATCAGCTTTAACCATTCATTGTTAGTATTCCTGCTGAATATGCGTCCGTACGACCATGTGATCAGGTAGGTCAACAATGAAACGCGGCTATTACATCATTGAACCTTGATTTTTGCTTCACAGTTGTTGTCCCGATTAACCAATGACACGGACCTTATTGTGGGTACGTCTTCATTCATGACGGAATTGCTTGAAACCGCCTACTTGCTACGTAATGTAACCCCTTCAAGCCTGGTCATAATTGACGAACTTGGAAGAGGCAAGTTTCGACCGACGATGTAAGTTAGATTATGGATCCATGAATAACGGCCCACGTAGGTACATCGCCCACGGATGCATTTGGTATCGCTGGTGCAGTTGCGGAAGAGCTGATCAAGACAAACGTGGTATCGAGATGACGCTTCACAGGATAACTCGGTCACACTCATCCATCCTTCAATTTGTAGTCTTACTGCTTTTTTGCCACTCATTTGCATCAGCTTACGGATGCCTTCAAGAGATATCCAAACGTCGTTCACTTGCAGCTCAAAGTGGATGTGGTAAGTAAATATGTCATAATTTCTCGAAACCATGCCTGACTCGTGATAATTGTTACAACTATCCTTTTTGCTAGATTGATGATGATACAGACAACAGCTGCCAAATGAACTTCATGTACACTATCAGTGATGAAGAAAGTGATCCCGTGAAGCATTATGGTAACTGGTTCGAAACAGGAGAGTCGCTCATTTAATCTAACCGGATACGTTCATGCAGGGCTCAAAACGGCACAACTCATTGGATTTCCCAAAGAGATCATCGCTTGTGCAACCCGAATTACTACAGCAGTAGGTGGATCTTCATGACAATCACTCACCACCGTAATGGTTTCACGAATGATTGGTAGTTTGAACAGCGTGCATGTTCGATGAGCGAAGCATCCAGGCAGAAAGACAGGAAACATAAAGCTTTATTATGGGTAAGCGGTCCAACTGAGCAAAGCTTAAAATCGGGTCTGTTATTTGCGAGTTTCTCATGATCATTCGTACTCAGTGGGCAGACAAATTTCTGCAAATGGATGAAACGGTGTCCGAGAACGAGTTTTCCGAGCAGGTGGATCGATTACAACAGCAACTGATGCAACAATGGGCTTTACTATGATCTTTCATATTGAACAAAAATTCAACAAGCCAAAAACAAGAGGGAAAGAAAAGCGGTTATCCTTGACGCCAAGGCGCTTTTTTGCATGGTAGCGTAAATTAAATCACGACGCAGAATTTCATGAATGCTACAGCGATTTTTATCATCTGCTTATTTCAAGATAAATGTGCATGCTAATGTAAAAGAAAAGAACAGCTGAAAAAGAAAACCATAAAACAAAATAAAAAGATAAGATTCAAGAAGGAAATGACTACTGTATTACAAGTACAGAGATGCGGCAAAGATGATATCTCTGTGAATTTGGTTGATACCTACGATTCATTGTGAAAAAAAAGAGTTTTAGAGATGAGATGAACGAGGTGATTTGATCCATTTCACTGTTTTCAACTTACCTTGAGAGAACTTGTTTTCAAGCTCGGAGTTACCAATACTTTTGGCAGCTGCGGCCATTTGACGGAGTAGTTCTTCAAGTCGACGGAAAATACGAATTAATGAACCTTCGTATACTTCGGTCATTTTACAAATTTGCGAGAATTTAGCTCCTTGACACCATGCATAAACAACATCCATCAACTGGGGCTTAAATCGCTGCACATATTCATCTTCATCCATGTTCATTTTGCATTCGTTGGAAATCTTGGCAATACGTCGAGCGGTTTCCTGCATCAAACGCAAGGGACCGGCAAGTTCCTCTTGTAAACGGGCATTTTGATCCACCTGCAAATGCAAAAAAAAAGATGTAAGCATGCGGGCGAAAAACCATCATTATTCATCGCGATCATGGTCACTTGCCTTTTCATCAAACACGAAGCAACTTAACAAAGCCACGGACTGTTCGACCGTCAAATCATTGAAAACACCTTGGAAGATCATTTCCGTCAACAAAAGTTCGTCGCCCGTACTGATTTCACAGGCTACACGACCTTTCATTTCAACGACATCGGCCGACGTGGTGAAACCAAGCCTATAAATCAGAAAAACTAATTCAGTATCCATCGCGGACCCACAAGGTCATCTGATTCCTGACTTACCTTCGCATCACTCTTTTTCTGTTTTTCAGTTCATCCAGTTGGACAATCGATTGAGCATCTGTAATTCGTCGTTTCAAGTTTTTGATGTCATTGATGATGTTGGCTTTGTTAACGTAGGCATCGTATAATGTAGGCAACTCGGGCGAACTATTGAGAGGATGCGACATCAACTTCTCCTCCAAGATCACAATTTTCTGTAAACAAATGTGAGAAAACAAGTAAATAAAACAGCCGATATGCATCGTCTTGTTCAAAATGAATAGTGTACCTGAACGAGTTTCTTAAAAGCGGGATCTTTGATGTTCATGTTATCTACAGGATCCAAGAGGGGAATCTTTTCGGGAAATCGCTTCTTGATCTCTTTGATGGATTTGTAGATAGTTTGGCGAGCATCTTTACTTCGTACTTCTTTTGGAAGCACTAAGCGAATGTGACTAATGCCTTCTAGACACGACAGCATGACCGGCACAGCCTACGCAAATAATAAAAGTCAACCACCGAACAACGAGAGACCAAGAGTATCTGCAGAAAAACTTACCAGCATGGATCCTTCATCGTCCTTGGCGGGATAGAATCCTGTTGCATTTCCTTCGGCATCTTTTGATAAAGAGCTGTCTTTGGTACAGTAAAGTAGCACGTCCGCAAAGTAGGTTGGATTTTCAGGATCGTCCTTTTTGTTCTTTTGCTGAAGCTTGTGGAAGTTTAACACGACGCCCCATCCAAAGTCGACATTGTCATGCTTCACGCGAACAAGACGACCAGGTTGCATAAAAGGAAGACAGTAGGTAGGATGGTTAATCACGTCACGAACATCTTGCGAATAGGTGTCAATCTGTTTGCGGATCTCGTAGTAGCTTTGGATCTCTTCTTCATTTGGAATGACGATATCGTTCTTTTGATTCTCCAAATTCATCAATTCTAATCAATACCATATTAGATGACCATGCAAAGACAAAATAGACCAATGGAAAAAGAAAAAAAAATTATCGCGTACCTTTCTCCAAATGAGGGATATTGGCATCGTTTTGGAAGGTATAGAAACAACGCTCGAGCATGTATTCGGGGCTGACACCTTCAACACGCAACAGATTCAGCACCATGTTGTAACTCAAATGGAAAGCTGAATTCATGCGATCCGATTCACCCTAGAAAAATGTGTGGTTAGCATAATAGCTAGATGGACTGAATCGCCTCTTGCGCAACTCACCTGAACCATGCCCTTGGCAACAGCAGGTTCCATTTTTTCGTCAATCATCATGATAACCACACCACGCTCATCGAGACCTCTTCGACCTGCACGACCGGACATTTGGATATATTCACCCGAGGTCACCTAAATATAAATCGTCAGTGAGGAGGCATCCCTATGGAAGAGGCAGGAACAAGCATCCTTTTTTTTCGTACTACTTACCCAACGCATCGTTTTACCATCGAATTTACGGACACTTGTGAAAACGACCGTTTTGGCAGGCATATTCAAACCAATAGAGAAGGTTTCGGTGGCAAAAAGCACCTTGAGCAAATTTTCTTGGAAAAGCACTTCGATCACTTCCTTCATGATAGGCAGTAAACCACCATGATGGACACCGATACCACGACGCAATAGTGGAAGAAGTTGCTGAATCTGTGGCAGCTGACGATCATCGTCATTTAACGATGATATCGCGTTGTTGAACACTTGAGATACCATATCACGCTCATTATCTAATACCAAAAAAAAAAAAAAAAAAAAAAAAAAAAAAAAAAACCAGTGTAAGCGTCTCCATCGATTTGATCCGCCGATGTAAAACCCTCCGCATACCATCGTTGAAATCCAACTTGGACATTTGCAATGCATTCGCTTCACATTCACGCTTGGAGAAACTGAAAACAATGACGGGATGATAGTTTTTCATCATAATCATCTTAATGATGCGGTAAATATCGGTCGGACCATCGTTTTTGCCGCCCTTGTGCGTCTTTGGGCCTTTCTTTCCACGTGCACCGCGCGCTTTCGTACCACTGGGATCATCTCCTTGTGTGTCGGACAAGGCCGTAATGGCTCGCTGAAAGTTATCCTCTCGGAAGGTACTCTTTTCATCCACCACCAAATGAATACCCTCACCACCAGCAGGGAACAGATAATGTTGCAAAGGTGTGGGACGGAAATCGGTGTAGACAATATGACAAGGCTGTTCATGGATCTTACAAATCCATTCGGCAAACTCCATGGCGTTTGGAATGGTGGCTGACAAGAAAACATATCGAACAGCGTCGGGAAGCATAATAATGGATTCTTCCCAAACCACACCTCTCTCTGAAAGTATCAAGAACAATGAAATTAGTAAATACGCTGGTATTACCACTATTATGGATGTTCCACGTACCAGAATCTCTCATGTAATGGATTTCATCATAGACGACCCAGGCCACTTCACGAATGATTTCCGAACCACGGTAAAGCATTGAACGCAAAATCTCGGTAGTCATGACAAGACAGGATGCTTGAGGATTAATTGTCACATCACCGGTCATCAAACCCACATCACCGAATTCCTCGGTAAATTCACGATATTTCTGATTAGACAAAGCCTGGTATAATAAAGACAAGAACAATGTCAGTTTAAATCCACAAGTCACAACGTGTGAATGATTCAGCAACTAAAATACATTACCTTGATAGGTGAGGTATAGATAACACGCTGCTTGTTCTTCAAACACTGTGCAATAGCGTATTCGGCAACCACGGTTTTACCGGCGGACGTATGGGCAGAGACAAGAACGGATTCATTACGTTCGATAGAGGAAACAGCCACACGTTGGAAAGGATCGAGGGTGAATGGGTAAACACGGGCAGGATCGGCTGGCGGGACATGCTGCGAGATAGGAACGTAATCGTAATTGGGTGGCACAGCGACTTGATGACGAACCTATATCCCGAGAAAAAATAAACGCAAGAATAATAAAGATCAGCAACAGGTACACTTTCCATTTCAACAGAATCTGTAATAAAAGTGGCATTTTCGAGGCATTTACCTGATGGCTCAATGTGAGTTGCTCTCCTTCAGTGGCCACAGTGTTCTGCAGACCAGCAATGTTGGCCACTTGTCGAGACGATTCTTCTTCAAAAGTATCAGCAACAATAGGTGCCGGCTGCATGGCGTCTTCGGTTCTCAATCGTTTGACCTTGTCGTCTTCGGTTTCGCCCATTGGATTATCTTGATCTGTGGCGTCGCCATGCGAACGTTTGACAGGTGCCTGGGCCACTTGTTCATCGTCCAGATCGTCGTCGAAATCGTCTTCCGCTTGACCAGCAAACACGTCAAAGATAGAGTCTGTATTCTCGTCGTCAAACATGATCGACTACTGATTTATCAACCAAAGGAACAAATACTATGCAGTACGACTGACTTGTTCAAATAAAAAAAAAAATTGTTGCATTTTTCCCCAAGTCGCCTCTCAGCGAGCGTGACTGCTGAATGGCCTACAAATCTTTTTTTTTTTTTTTTGAACCAAAGCTGCCAAAAATTGCACTTTAGGTTCAGCAAGAGAAAACGATGAACGTTTCTGTAAGCCATTAGCTTTGCGTCATTTTTTTTTAGGTTTTGCTAGCCTTATTTACATTATTGTTTTTTCTACTTTTTCTGCCAAAACGAGCAATGATAAAATATACGTTTTGTTGTGTCCATCTGAGTGTCTGTGTTTGAAACGGAAAACGCCTCATCGATGCGATAAAACAGCTGAAAAAGATCCGTGAGCAAGAAACAGTAAAGATCCTTGTAGTGCTGTTAGAAACCCCTTCTATTCTTGGAATGTAAAGTAAACTTGGTGTTCTCTCTTCTTTTTTGGTTTTTTTCAACTATCATTGCGATCAAGTTTGTAATCTCAAGTAAAATAAAATTTATAATGTTCTCGTCACGAGCCAATCAAATGAGTCTTGTAAACGTTTGAGCTTCTTTTGATGAAGGATGGACACACACACATATTAACCAATTTATAATAGTGTATTTTAAAAAGATTCTGAAAAAAAAAAACAAGGGATAAACCTGCTGATTTCAAATGCATTTCAAATGAACTGCTATATTTAGGCACTTTGTCGCTCGAAAGAAGTAGGCAAAGAATCGCCCGGTTTGCCCATTTTTAGTACCGTTCTATCTAAAGGGAGAGATGGACCAATGAACTGCCCCATGCACATTCTGTCCCCTTGCGCATGCACCCACACACACACACAAAAGCACACACGCACACACAACAATACTTTTTATCCTGATCTCGTTAGTCAGTCTTTCAATTTGTTTGGAGCGTATATAAATAAGATCGCTGTTGACTGCCATTTTTTTCTTCCTTTCTTCTTCCGTTATTCCATCCATAATGCAAGCTACCATACATCACAGAACAGACCAAGAAGTCGATGTACACGCACCTGCAAGTACTTATTACACAACTGGAAGCAATGCAGGCGGAGTCACTAGTCGCTTGAAAACGTACACCGTAAGTCGCACTTATCGCTAATGTTTTTTTTTCCTTTGTTTCTGAGCTTGCTCCCTCCCTCTCTCTTTCAACCATACTCTGTTATTTAGGGACAATACAGCAAATTGCTTGACACCTCGTTGCCTCCACGCAAACGACGGGCTTCTCATGGTAAGTGCATGGTGGCCACCTTTTTTTTTGGGTCTCCGTCCGATGGAATGATGATCTTTTTTTTTTGTTGCTTGAATTGGCCAATTTACTAATTTTGGCATGGTCTGTTAGATGATAAGAACAAAGCCCAGAAATTTCTCATCGATGTAAAGGAAACACAGCGTATCTTGGTAGAGCAAGAAGATACCGATGGCGATTTCCAGATTACAGTCAACGATCTCGGTCCCAAGGTCTTCTCTGTTGGCACGGCCGACTCGGGCGGTTATCGGAAAATCGAAATCCGAGGCACCTACATGCTGTCCAATTTGCTGCAGGAGCTCGCATTGGCGGATGATTATGGACGTAAACACATCGTACTAGATGAAGCACGGTTAAATGAGATACCCGTGGATCGTCTGTCAAGGATGATCCGGCACAATTTTTGGGAAGGGTTGACTCGTCGGATTGATGCCGAAGGATTGGAGATCATCTGTGCCGATCCCAAGAATCGATCCGCCAATCATAATCCTCGCATCTACATTCCTTACGATGAAGACGAAATGTACGACTACTACAAGCAAGTAGCCGCTACACGGACCCACTTGCGATTGGAAGTCGAACGACTACCCAAGGAGATCACAGCAGAGTACGTCAAAAGTATCAACGACCGTCCTGGGATTCTTGCCTTGGCTATGCGAAAAGAGACGGATGCTTTCGGGCAAACGACGTTGCGGGGCGTGCCATTTGTGGTACCTGGTGGACGATTCAACGAGATGTATGGGTGGGATTCCTACTTTGAGACCTTGGGCTTGCTGGTGGACGATCGTGTGAATTTGGCTCAAGGCATGGTCGATAATTTTGTCTATCAAATCAAACATTACGGCAAGATTTTGAATGCCAACCGATCCTATTATTTATCACGATCTCAACCGCCTTTCTTGACGGACATGGCGCTTAAAGTTTACGCACGATTACCGACCGAATCATCGAGCGAGAACAAAGCTTGGTTGAAAACCGCCTTGGAAGCGGCTATCAAGGAATACCATACCGTCTGGATGGCCGAACCTCGACTGGACCCCCAAACGGGTTTATCGCGCTATCGACCTGCCGGTCTCGGTATCCCGCCCGAGACCGAAGCTTCCCACTTTGATCATGTGATCCTTCCCTATGCTAACAAGGCCAACCTCAGTATCCGTCAATATATGCACGATTACAACCAGGGTTTAATCAAGGAACCACGTCTGGACGAATATTTCTTGCATGATCGTGCCGTCCGCGAATCCGGTCACGATACCACTTATCGGTTCGAAAAAGTCTGCGCCAACTTGGCGACCATCGATCTCAATGCGCTGTTGTACAAATACGAGACAGATATTGCCCAAGCCATCCAAGCCATCTTTGGAGACGGTGCTTTGGTCGACCACAAAGGCGAACCGCAGTATGCCGATGTTTGGCTGCAACGCGCCAACGACCGTCAACAACGTATTGACCAATATCTGTGGAATGAGGAGCGCTGTTTATACTTTGATTATGATACGGTGAAAGAAGAGCAGATCACTTACGAGTCTGTCACTGCTTTCTGGGCCATGTGGGCGGGATGTGCTAGTCAGGAACAGGCAGAAAAAATGACGCAACATTCATTGCACAAGTTTGAAGCTTTGGGCGGGCTTGTTTCAGGTACCGAAGAATCGCGAGGTGTCACATCCCTGGACCGGCCTAATCGACAATGGGACTTCCCCTTTGGATGGGCGCCTCATCAAATCATGGTCTGGAAAGCCTTTGAAAATTACAACAAGGTTGACGTAGCCCGTCGGTTAGCTTACCGATGGTTGTATACGTAAGTGTCTTTGATCGCTTTTGGCCGAAAGTCATCCCCAATAATAAATGCCCTTTTTGTTGTCATGGTAGCATCACCAAATCATTTGTCGATTTCAACGGCGTGGTTCCCGAAAAGTTCGACGTTGTGAGTTTAACGCACAAGGTGGAGGTGGAATACGGGAATGTGGGCGTCGACTTTAAATATTTGCCACGCGAAGGCTTTGGATGGATGAATGCTTCGTATCAAATTGGATTGACCCTGATTACGACCCAAATGCGACGCGCTTTAGGAGCTTGCACCAACCCGGATCTCTTCTTTGAAAAGACCATGAAGCGAAATAACCAGTTTCACGGCGCTACTTTACAACGACGCAAATCACAAGAAGCGGCTGCCAAGGCCATCACTCGTAATGGATCGATCACTGCAGCTATCACGCGTATTGGGCCTGACGCACTGCCACCTTTATCTTTTATCGAGCTGACTGAACCTGCGGCATCCTCTTTGGATGCCAGCCTTTCTTCGGCTTCATCCGAGTAGATGAGTGAATCCAAATGATACATAAATAATACACTTGTTCAACATTCGTAGAAAAGCCATCCTCGTTTACATTAAAGGAGAAAAAAAAAGTTCAGGTTATGTATTTTATACATAGTCTGTGCGTTCATTCATTTTTTAAAGCGATACAATAAAATATAAGAGGTATTTTGAGTAAGAATAAGAGGTTATAGGTGGTAACGGAAGCGTACGTCGTGATCACCCGAAGGCATATCAGGTTGTTCATGCACAGTCTCACTGGTGTCTTCGTCGCGGACACTTGCATCTTCTGCTACATCTTTGGCTTGGGCCAAGTTGGCCTTGATTCGATTGGTGCGTTTCAGGAGCTGGCGGTGGATTAAGGCAAGTAAAATAAATAAGGAAATAAAGATAAGGTTGATGGTATGGCCGCGAACTATTACCCATCATCAATACCATGCTTTGTAGGGCCCGAAAAAAGATTTTGTCTTTTTATTTCTCACTTACTGTAACGAGGTGCATCTGATGCGCGATATATATTGGATCCCAGCAAACCTATGCAAGTATGGATGAGTGCATGTGATGTTGATGTTGTCTCAAAAATGACCCTTTTTATATTTCATTGCAAGCAGGTAAATAAAAGCAAAAAAGCAATGTACGAACCTGCAGAATTGTTCGCCGAAACGCCCATGGCTGTGGCTACACTTTTCTTCATATCCGGGGCAATGTTACTGGTCAACCACGCGTTGACAATAGGATTGATGACGAAAATGCCGGCCACAGCGATACAGACACCCGCATAAAGGGCCGAACGCCCTGTAAGAACAACCAACAAAATATAGCCAAGAAGACAGATCAGAGCACCGAGAATAGCATGGTAGGCGCGATCATTGCGACGGTCCGAAGAATAGGCGAGACCAATCATCTGACAATCAAGTACAGCAAAATTACCACCCACAACGCATTCATTACAAAGTTAGGTACACTTACCACTACCACGGCACAGAGGTATGGTGGAGCGGACATGAGATTGGCTGATAATTTATCATCATAACCCATGCCTTTGACAATGGAAGGAAGGAAGCTAAATAGCCAAAACACCAGCCATCAGCCATTCAGTACATGCTGATTCTATGCGACATGGGAAACCTTACTTTGAAATGCTTGTATTTGGCACACTGCCACAGAAGAACATGAGCATCCACATCCACACTTTCCAGTCGGTCATTGCTTCAAGGATCTGTTGTTTATTAGATGCAGAAAGGTCGCCCAAGGTTGTATGCCAAGGCCCATCGACCAGCCGGGTAACAGCAAGCGACTTCTCTTCCTCGGTGAGAAAACTCCATGTTGAGGGCGATTCTGGCAAATACAGCCTAAAAAGATTGGTGAGGTAAATAAAGGAAAAAAGTTAAAAGTTGCAAGCAAGCAAGCATTGACTGCAGCATGACAGTAGCTTACATTGCCACAAAGGCAAGCAGGACCGTGGGGATGCCTTCGATGAGGAAAAGCCACTAGAAAAGGGATAAGCGCATGGTAACAAGGGAATGAGGTTTGCTATTGGACTCACCTGCCACCCGGTTAGACCACCTGCCCCTCGAAATTGAAGGATTCCGTAGGCCAGGACGCCCGCTAACGTCAGAAGGGTTTTTTGTTCAATTCATCAGCAAACTGCATTTCTATGAACGATGAAAAAAAAATGTGACTTACCATACGCATGAGCTGCTACAGTGGATCCCCAAAAGATGGCAATGCGTGTAGCCTACAGATCGGAATCCGGTCAGACGGCCGTGTTTGTAATGACACATGATAAAAAGACAAAGAAAAAAAAAAGACGTGTACCATTTCATTCTTCTTGTAGAACGAGGTGAGAAAAAAGATGACCCCTGGAAAAAAGCCGGCTTCGAAGAATCCCAAAAGAAAACGGAATGCCATCAGCTGTGCGTAATTCTTTACAGAAGCATGCAAACACGCCACGGTGCCCCAAGCAAGCATCAACAAAGGCAGCCTTTTTTACATTGTTTTAAAATTGTTGGTTTTTCCGAGTCATCAGTATCTCTGATTTAAGAGTCTTTGTCAACGATAATTGCCACTTACCATCGTCGAGCAGTAAACCGTTTGAGGAGCATATTGCTTGGAATTTGAAATATTAGAAATCCTACCTAAAAATCAAAACATCACGGCGCATTATTATTATGTTTTAACTTTCACACGGTGTCGCGTGTTCTCCAACTACTTACATAGAAGATCGTGACGCACCAATTGAACTGATCGTGGGTTAAACCAACATCGGCTTCAAAGTTATCGAGAACAGCGTTGCCTTTTCCATCATTCATTTTTTCGTGTAAATAAGCGAGATATAAATAATAAAAAAATGACCTAAGCTGTGAAATTACCTAGACTCGAACGATCGAGAGACGAGAAGAGGTACATCAAGCTGAGAAAAGGTAGCAAGAAGAAATCATATTTGCGCACCAGCTTCTTTTCGGCTTCACGCCGTGCAAGATGATCTCCTTCTATTGGATCGGAGGGAGGTGATTTTAGCATGTCTTCTTTTGATGCAAGATTGGCTTCGAGGGAAAAAGAAGTGAGGATACCTTCTTCAACCATGGGTATTGGTTGATATTGGAAATCATTGGCCATTTTTATATCGGTTTAAGAAAAAAAATAATTAAATATTTGCTGGATGTATGCTTCTTTTTTTGGGGGGTTTAAGAACGGGAAAGAAGGGGAGAGCAAAAAATGGAATATCAATCAGAGAAAAGAGGTAAAATAAAGAGTGTCCGTGTCATATGCACAGTTAAAAAAAAAAACTGCCTGCATTATTTTCGATCCCTGTAGGAAATCTGCTTCACTCTCACAAGACGATAAAAAAAAAAAAAAAAAAAAACTCGTCACCTGCGTGTAATGCGGCGTTTCAAACTTGCAGTGAGAACCTATCCGGTCAAAGTGCTAACTCGATCGGTTGTTGACCAGACCCTGCCAAGACACTACGACAGAGCATGGAATGGAGCAAGTCGCCAAACGTTTGGGTATCTACGACAAAATGGAGCAAGGTAATAAAGCTTTTCCTTTGGGTTCACTTGCACTAGTTCCAAGTATTTATGTTGTCCCTACCTCAGTCGGTTTAGATGCACCGCAAGAGATCTTGACGCGTTCAGTAGCTGATCTCCAGAAAGTACTGAACATCAACGAAAGCAAAGCGCATGAACTGCTGAATGCGGCTTCAGCAGACGTGTTTCCTTGGTCAGCACGACAACAAACCGCTTTGGATCTTTCAACAGTAGAAGGACAGTTCCTTACCACAAACGATCCTTCCCTCGATAAGGTACTCGGCGGCGGTATTCACATCGGTACGGTGACCGAAGTCGTAGGCGAAAGGTAAATTGAAAAAAAAGGAATCATCAGAATTTCTAAGCTATTTTTTTTTCCCTGTTTCCCTTGAATTTTCTTGGTTCTTTGTCCGTCTTTTTTCTCGCTTATTGTGCTATGTTGATGATCATGATACGGATTTTTCGATCCGCGTTTATTTTTATTTTCATCAGGGAGCACGCTAAAATGGGAATAAAAAAGACGGAAACAATGTGAATAGAATGGAGCTAACTAGGAGTGGCGTCATGTAGTTCCTCAGGAAAGACGCAGCTATGCTTACAACTATGCCTGACCGCACAAAAACCTATCGATCAAAGTGGCTTAGGAGGAAGTAAGCTAACGTCAAGGAAAGAAGCAAAGAAATATCGATATTCACGCAAGATCTTGTGTTGTTGTAGCTGCCGTCTATTTGCACAGCGAAGGCCATTTTCCCATTGTTCGTTTGGAACAACTGGTGGATGTTTACGCCTCAAAGTTCAAACTTGATCGCGGGGCCATGAAACGATCGATCCATACCATGAAAATCATCGATAGCGAGCAACAATACCGTCTTGTCGCATATCAGCTTCCTGCTTTTTTGGAACGATATACCCGTGTGCGACTGGTAGTGATTGATTCCATTGGTGCCTCTTATCGTGGGGAACCTTCCACCAGCAATGATAAACGGAGATTTGATCGCATGACCGAAATTTGCGACATTGGAGCACGATTGAAAAAAATCGCACAGAAATATCGAGTCGCCGTCGTCGTCGTGAATCAAGTATCAGATGTTCCCTCCTCCAATAATGATGCATTGCCTATGGATCACGTGGATCCATGGATGGACTTTGCTATTGCATCCGAACCATTACAGGAACAATCACCTTCGCTGGGGCTATTCATCCAATCGCTCATCAAGAAACCAATTCTGGGTCTGGCATGGTCCAATGCTGTGACCACTCGGATCCGTTTAGCCCGATCACCCATGTCGGAAGGGATCAGAACACGTAGAGTTTTATTTGTGGAATTTTGCCCATTCGCTGCACGCAACGGTTTAGAAATCCAAATTGACGAACGAGGGGTGCATAAACTGCGTGGTCGAGATTAATTTTCCCCATGGGCTCAGAAATTTTGAACAAATTGAACAAAGGTCACAATGTGACGGTTTTTGGTTCCTTTTTTTTTTTTTCTTTGAATGTTCTCGAGCGCTGAAAAGAAACCGCATAAAGTTTTTTCGTTGATTTCTTGATTGCAGATTCCAACCACTATGGCTGCCAACATATTAGACAATTCGAGCGATATTTTATTATCGGCTTTTAATACCTCTTCAACCATCGATCTGTTTGCCATGGTCACTCACGGCATTGATCGACAACGTCTCCGCGTCTTTGATGTTCACTCGGGACTTGTCAGTCACGATTATTATCCCACCGACAAGGACGAATTCACTTGCTTAAAGTGGGTCAAGTTCCGCGAAGCCGATATCGAAAGCCAAGATGCCAAAGAACAAAAGAAGAGTAAATTTAAAGAGGTGAGTTACTTTATTCTCGATCCGTCATGGGTCCTATCTCTAGTCCACTAAATCCTCAATCGATCTTGTTTACAATGCAGATGATCCTTCTTGGTACTCAATCCGGCGATATCCTTGTATTTTCGCTTGCTGATAACACGGTGATCAAACGGATTGCAGCTATGGAAAATGTGGCGATATCCAATATTGTTTACTACAAGGCTGATAAAAGAGCGATCGCGCTGGGCGCTAATGGCCGAATTGTCGACGTATCGTTAACCACTGAAGAACTGGATGTTCGGTAAGTATTTTCGCTTGTGTTGGAAGTTCGGAGGGACTTCATGTGCTAAACGGGACAAAAATAGATCTTGGAGCTGTAAAAAGGTGTGCTGTATAGCCCCTTGTTCAGACAATATGCATCTGGCCGTAGCCACGGGTGGCGACATCACCATTTACGATATCATGAACCAAAAATCATTGAAAGAGATTTCATCCGCCCACACCAAATCCATTGCTCTTATGTCATATTCTAATTCAACCGATTTATTATTCTCTGTCGCGAAAAACGATCCAGTCATTCGTGTTTGGCCCGGTGTGCGCAACCGAAATACGACTCACGCAGACCGATTAGTCATGACAAGACCTGTTGTCTTTTTGGACGTGCCTCGAAAACGTGAGGATACCATTTTGGCCATCACAGAGGACGGCGTAGCCTCCATTTTCCGTCTCGTCGCGTCTTCAAAGGAAAAGGAGATGAAACGACCCACCATGACCATTGAGATTCTGTCTGACAGTAAACGCAACGAACATATTCCCATCCTCTCTTCTCGATTCATTCCCGATAAGGAAGGTAGCTCAGTGGTTATTGCTCGGGGATCCGGTGTTCGCGTCTTATTCGAGCCTGTGGTAAGTCATTGTATTTTGCCGACTTTTCAAGTGGACAGCATGTTAAAAATTTGAGAAATCGATATTTTATCTGTGACTAGCGTTATATGCAACAACAAGGAATCATCACGGGTGACGTTGTTTTGACCCGGTCCGTCGTTAAACGTACCTCGCAAACAGCTTCAGATGAGGTAAGCATAAAAGAAAAAGAAAAAGGGTTGTCTTCCATTATCTGTCATCCGTGTTAATGTCGAAAATTTACAGGCGGCATTAACTATGGAAGATATCAAAGCATTAAACGACCAATATGTACCACCGTCTCGAGAGTTCTTGCCGCGCATGCTTGTAGAGGCCACCTCTTCGATGGATACTGAGGCTATCAATGCATGCATTCGTCAAGACGATCCTGCTGCTATTCAGGCGGCTGTACGTGGTCTGCCAAAGATCAAAATCAATCAATTCATGAGATGGCTTTTGCCCCGCTACGAGCAAAATGTCGATGGGCAAGGCGCTGCATTGCAAAAATGGATCAAAACCATGGTTAGAGAACATCACAGCTACATGTTGGGCAACGAGGATATGGTCTCTGAACTGACACACTTATACGAATTGTTGAGCAAACGCCTCGAGACCTACCCTCAACTGTACGCTATGCAAGGTCGACTCGATCTGATCCAGAACCAGATCAACGTACGAACACGGACTGCCAATCTCGGCGATGAGGCCGTGATTTTCACAGATGAAGAAGAGGAAGAATCTGACGATGAGCTGGAAAACGATGTTCCGAGCGATATAGAAGATGAGAGACGAGAGAATAAAGACATGATGGATTTAATCGGTGATGCAGACGATTTTGAGGACAAGGTAAGTTGGATTAGTCTGTACAATGGCAAATGACAGACGATTAATTATACCAAAATGCTTTTTGTTCCGTAGGAAATGTTTGCGGAAGAGCATTTGACCGATGAAGAAGAGGAGGATGATGATGAAAACGAGGATGAAGACAGTGATTTAGAGGAATAGAAAACTTGAAAACTTCCCCACTCGACAAATATCATTCATTTTTAGGACAGACTATGTACAGTTAGAAAAAAGCATTAAAAATTTATTTAGCCGATGCACGATAGACAATCCGCTGTCATGCCTCGGCTATTCATTTGCATTGACACTTCCACCTGATAAAAAAGATTTTGGCTCACGTTGGCTCATTTAAAAATGAACTTATAAACTCATGTTTAAACTTTATTTTTCATCGGCAAGCAAAACTATTGGACAGTGTGGCCTTGACTGCTCTGAACACAGTAAGCCCATGTCAGCATCGCTGGTTTATTATGATCGACCTTGTGCTTCCATGTTGATCCACTTTTTTTCCATCGTGACTATTTTATGAACAACGAATGACCCATTCGAAATGAGGTAGACGTGGAGTCAAAGGTTTCATATACCTAAATAAGGAAATCCAGCGTCAATTTTCAGAGGATTTTTACACATGATAGACAGCAGTTTAAGAAGCAAATGTAATGGTGGGAGGTGAGAGCAACAGTTTGCTTGCTTTGCAGAGGGAACTGCAAGCGACGTTACACGATGCTTTGTTTGTTTAGCGTCGTCACGACGAGTTTGGTTACACCAAATGGGAACTAGGCCATTTGCCAGTTATAAAGCATTGTTCTTTTTTTAACTTGTCCGCATCATTTATTTCTTTTTTGCTTCTTTCGCTACGACCGATGACGTTTGTGCATTCTATAGCTCACAAAGTAAAATCCAAGGTCAAGGAAGGGGTATATGAATTGACCCACCGCAATGATCAAGAGGAACAAGAACGAGAAAAAGCCTATTTGGCTGCAAGTCATCGCTTCGGCTCCTTTGCACCGGTTCGCGACAATGCCCAAGTAAAATACTATATTGATGGTCATGATTATTGCTGGTAACAAAATTTAATCCCACATAAAAAAGAAGACATCGTTTTTATTGACTGTTAAATAATCCTGTCAATCCAGGGCAGTCTCGCAAGCGATTGAAGAAGCGGAAGAATGTGTTTTTATTGAAGACTGGTGGCTCGTAAGTTTGCGTAGAAAGAAAACTCGGGCGCTTATAATGACATTAGACAGAACTAAATATTTTTTTTTCTTTTTTTCTGCGTCAAAAACGTATTCAGTCTCCGGAATTGGTAAGTTGTCGGGCCGACGGGCAGGGGAAAACTCGAAAGAACAAAACAGAACCATGTCAGGCCTTACGTATGTGGAATGATAGTATCTTCGACGACCACCAGCGAAATACCCTGAATACCGCATTGATCAGTTATTGAAACGTAAAGCCGAGCAAGGTGTAATGATCTTTGTTGTTGTCTACAAGGTCAGTGTTTGATGGATCACGCGGAGAGGGGCGCTTTTTAGTTTACCCTTCTAAATGTATCATCCTGCAGGAAGTTGAACTAGCGATGCCACTGGATAGTATGCATACGAAGCGGGCCTTGCAAGCTTTACATTCGAATATTATCGGTAGGGCTTCGTTATTATTGTCTACAACCACGCTGTCAACTTACGGATACACTATTTAGTCCAAAGGCACCCGGATCACGCGATTGGTGGCACCTTTTTCTGGTCTCATCATGAAAAATTTGTAGTGATTGATAACAAGATAGCGTTTCTGGGCGGCATCGATTTATGCTTTGGGTAATGAGGAGAAACTCATCAAGGGGAAAAATCAAACACTGACGCATCATGGCTACAGACGGTGGGACACACACACTCATCGTTTGGCCGATTTCCATACAGCCGATCCGGGAATGGAAATGTTCCCAGGTAACGCCCTTGTCTCATTTCTTTGCTTTGTAACACCGGTCTCAAGCAAGAGAAAATAGGTCAAGATTATAATGATGCCCGTGTCCGTGATTTCAAAGACGGTAAGTTGAGTGGGGGAACAGTCGGTGGATGAAGCTCAAACAATTTTAACCTGTCTATTCAGTCAAGGATTGGGATATGCGACTCATTGACAAGACCGTTGTCCCCCGAATGCCGTGGCATGATATGTCAATGTGCATGGTAATGCTCGTGTCTGAAAAAAACAGCGGTGACAGAACCATCGATAAAATAAGGGCTGATCATTAAAGTATTTCTGTTTGTTAGCTGGGAGGTCCAGTGCTCGATGTAGCCCGTCATTTCTGTGAGCGATGGAACTATATCAAGCATGAGAAAGGCATGGATAAAAAACATATACCGTTCCTGGAACCGCCTTTGGGCGGTTTCGGCAATCGACAAGCATTCAAAATTCCCCTTCCGGATCGGTTACTGAACCAAACCCATCATTACCGTCATCATACAAGAGGCCAGCGTGGTACTTGCAACGCGCAAGTTCTTCGCAGCAGCGCCGAATGGAGTTCGGGTATTCAGTTGGAAGTAAGTGTCGATATCTGGCTCAACTGGGTGTATGGATAGGCTAACCATATGGTTTGGCAGAAATCTATTCAAACTGCATATATTGAAACCATCAATGCTGCTCAACACTACGTGTATATTGAAAATCAGTTTTTCAGTAAGTAGTTACGAAGAGGTGAACCAAAAGTCGCCGTTTGACTCTTTAACAAATTGGATGGCAGTTACGACGACAGAGGATGATCCAAACTATATTCTGAAAAACCAAATCGGCCAAGCACTCGTGAACCGCATCGTCAAGGCTTTTGAAGAAGGTCAAAAGTTTAAAGTGTTTGTTCTGATACCCTTGATGCCTGCTTTCCCGGCGGATCTCAGTACCAAAGAAGCAGCCACGGCTCGACTGGTGATGCATTATCAATATGTGTCCATCTGTCGTGGATCAAAGAGTATCTTTGAGAAACTCAAAGGAGCCGGTATCAACCCCGAAGATTATATTCGCTTTTACAGTTTGAGAAGCTACGACCGTATCAACCGTCGAAAACTCGAAGAGATGCTCGCTCAAGCCGCTGGGTACACCCCCAGCGTCCGTGTGACGACGGAAGACGAAGTCGAGGTTACCAAAGTGCAAAATGAGGATGATTTCATCGCATCCGATTCGGTTGGTTACGACAGCATGAAAGGAGGTGACCTTGAATCGGAACCCTGGGTCACCGATACAGCTTCACAAAAGCATCGCAGTCCAGAGAACGAACGACAAGAAGCGAGTGACTATGTGTCCGAAGAATTATATATCCATGCCAAGCTTTTGATTGCCGACGGTTGGTTAGCAAATCATGACGGTGACAGCGGACAATGGACTAACTTATGGAACGGACTATAGACCGCGTTGTGATTATGGGCTCAGCTAATCTCAATGATCGATCCCAGTGCGGAGATAGAGATTCGGAAATCGCCATGATTGTGGAAGATCAAGATATGATTGCTTCGCAAATGAATGGAGAGCCGGTAAATATCAAGCATAATAAGACGACTGTAGCTTGAGTGGTAAACGAGATTCATCTCACTACAAACAATCATTGCTTTTTAGTATCCTGCGGCTCGATTTGCTGCAACGTTACGACGCCAACTGTGGAAGGAACATTTGGGACTTCTTCCTGACCAGCCATTGGATATAGTGGACAATGCGATGCTGCCTCTTCCCGTACCTCAAATCGATTGGACAGATACTGAGGAAGATCGCATGGTCATGGATCCACTCGATGAAGATACCCTGAGTCTGTGGTATAACACTGCAGCCACCAACACGGAAGCTTTCCGAAACGTGTTTCATTGTGTTCCTGAGGCCAGTGGTAAGTCAGATGACCATCGTCAGCCAAGCGCAGCCTACTGAAAAATGATTGCTCTAGTGACCAATTGGGACCAATACAAGGCGTTCGCCCCTGATCCCGAGAAAATCGAAATCGGTCACATCTACGACCCTAACATGAGCGTCAAAGAAATCCGTCAAAACCTCAGCCGGATTCGCGGTCATCTTGTGGAGTTCCCTTATACCTTTTTGGAGAACATTAATTTGAAGGACGAAGCTATACCATTTATTGACGACGCTATGCAAGAACTTTATACCTAGAACTCTCGTCAATGCACTAAATTTCACTCACATCGTACTATTTTTGATAACTTTCAATATACACAGATCATATACAACACAATAGAATGTCTCATCATAGTAACAAACTAGTTTTAGTGGTCTTGTAGCTGGTTCGTGTAAGATGACGGCCGGCGATAAGGAGAAAGTGTCTATCGCACTTTGAATGGCACATCTTTTTCTCCATGGAACTTGAATTCGGCCGAAATCCGTAACTATCAAGTTTCGAATTCCGACCGTCACCTTTCAAAAAAAGCCACCGATTTTCCATCATTTTAGGTCATCTTCCAGGATAACTCATCGCTCCGCATTCCTAAACCCGTTTACCATGCCTCCCATCAGTGGCACCATTCCTCTGTTATCGTCCATTCTTAAGCCAGCTCTCGGCAAGACCTTGGCACCGGTTGCGGCTGCCATCTCACAGCAACCGACGTTTCCTGCCCATCAGCCCTACCACACGCATCGGTCCCAGCCCACTGTGAAAACCAACGATGAAGTGATCACCGAAAATGTTATCCTCAATTCCTTTCCTCGACCGAACCTGAAGCCTACCTTGGACTTTGCCAAGCTTTCCTCCAACAGCTTTGGCAACGTTACCTGTGGCAACTGTTGTGGACCGCATTCCACCCAGTTTTGTCCCTGTTAGCGAAGTTCGCCCGATTTTTTTTTCTTTCCATGTGTACTATAATATAATCAGCATCAAACTATTCCCCCCCCTTTTTTTTTTTGGTTACATGTATATTTATCAGCAAACGGATTTGTGAACACTAGATTGACAAGCTGGCTCCTTTTCATCACTATTTTCCGTTAATGCGCTGCAAGTTGTAATTATTTTTGAAATCTATAAATTTTTTCCACTTTTTCTATTCACACAGATTTGCCTCGTAAAAATGGTTGCAATGAATTTCCATATCTTAACCGGATAACAATGGACATTTATTGGGAAACGCGAGCTCGTCTCTTCTTTTGCTTGGCCTAAAAAAAAAAACGGACAATCAGCATTTGAGGATCGCAATGAATGTCAATAAATTGGCGACGTACCTTGTTCTTGCTCTTCAATTTGGCAGTTTTATTGGGCTTGGTAGACAGATTGCGGGCAATGACAGCAGGAGTGGTATTTGCAAATCGTGCAACAGGAAGCACGGCTTGTTTAAGTGCTCCGTTGAACAAGGACGACAACATGATGCAGTTGATCAAATGAAACTGTCACCGTTGCAGAATCTCTACGTTTTGTTTTGGTTGCGATCCTCCGGACGGACCGTGTGACCGCAATTTCCATATTTGGATTGTGAGAGCGTTTGGCTCGGTTTCTGCTTTTTTCAAGCGTTTTGTCTTCTTTGCTCCTCTACTCTTTTTCTTTTTTCTTTGGACTCTATTTTCTTTCCATATTATTTTTATACTAAGAGTGGTTGAGGTTTACAGCCTGTATACGAAATACGCTTCTTTTGCTGCTTTTATTTTTATATAATGTTGCAGGAGAAGTACATTGGGCTCATTCTCGCAATGAGTTCAAGCGTGTTCATCGGTCTTTCTTTCATTATCACAAAGAAGGGTCTCATTAATGTGAAGCAACAGCATCATGGTCAGTTCATTCGTTTTCCTTGTCTATTTCTCGTTGCTGATAAATCTTTGTTTCCAACAGGAGCCTCAGCGGCTGATGGACAATATCATTATCTCCGAAATTGGACATGGTGGGCTGGCATGGGAACAAGTACGTGTCTTTTATTGAACTTGAGGTTTGATTAAAATGGTTTTCACCCCGCCAAGTAACCGCATGAATGAATTGCGCTTCTCTGTTGCTTTTTTACTTACATTATTTTCAAGTGGCCGTGGGTGAAGTTCTGAATTTTTCGGCGTACTCGTTTGCACCTCCGATTCTTGTAACACCGCTTGGTGCGCTGAGTGTCATTACGGGGTGAGTTGCATGATTTGCGGATGTCATTTAGCAGTGATCACTGACCGTGCCATGGACAGAGCTATTTTTGCCTCTGTGTTTTTAAAGGAGAAGATGGGATCCATTGGGAAAATAGGTTGCCTGTTATCAGTGGTGGGAGCGGTCATTGTTGTCGTCCATGCACCAGAAGACAAAGAAGTTACATCGATCGAGGAGCTGTTGTTTTATGCCTTGCAGCCAGGTAACAAAAAGTCACATAGATTGGGATAGACAAATCATGAACAAGTGTATATGCTGATATGGTCATGTTAGCCTTTCTCATTTATGTGATGGTGGTGATTTCGATCAGCCTATATATGATCTATAAAGTGGTACCGAAATACGGCAAGAAAAACCCATTTGTGTACATTTCGATCTGCTCGTTAGTCGGCTCGGTATCTGTGATGGCAATCAAAGCTTTTGGTATTGCGGTCAAGCTAACGTTTGCCGGCAACAATCAATTTACACACCCGTCGACTTACGCCTTTGGTATCGTGGTGGCCATTTGTATTTTAACACAAATGAATTACTTTAACAAGGCATTGGAACAATTCTCCACCAATGTGTAAGTTTTTGCTGTTACCATCGCAACTCCAAGAGTTTTCCTCACGGATTTTCTAGTGTCAATCCTATTTATTTTTGCTGCTTTACAACAGCCACCCTTACAGCCTCTGTTATTTTATTCCGAGGATTCAACACGGACAATCCGGGCAATATCGTGTCGCTGATCTGTGGATTCATCATCATCATTTCTGGTGTATACCTATTGGACTCCATTGCTCAAGGCGCAGGCGCCGAACGCAAAAACGATCTGGAAGCCGATTTGCGGGATAGCGATGATGATGATGAAAGCACGCAGTTGCTGATGGGCGAATCCACCTTGACGGAGGATGATCAAGCCATGGGGTTAACCGAATTCACATCAGGGCAAACAACGGCCACTCGTACCTGAAGGTCACCCATCATTTTTTGAAACTAGCGGATAGATTCGATCGCAGATGCCTCCACCACAACATACATTTTACACATTGTATCATTCGTAATTATATCATGCCTATACAATTGCTTGTTTTATTCTTTTTTTTTTCTCTTGAGGAAACAGAAAAGGATCAGAAGGTAGCCTCTGAGAGGAGCCATTGTCATGTATCATTGAAAGAAAGATGTCAAGGAGATAATGATGGATTTAAACTCAAGTCCAGCAGGATTGCGGCTCGATTTGACTTGCCAGTTGTTGTATGGAGCTGGTTTCAAGCGTGTGCAAGTGAGCACACTGATAGTATAGTTCATCATTGAATTCAAAGGCATAGCGTCGTGCAAGATTCTGAAATATTAATACACGTTTGATGACCGTTGCCACGATGCGATGCTTTCTAAAATTCACAAGAGGTTGCTTCAGCAAGGGCGATACGTCGACTGTCTGATAAGCGGTATAAATGGGCTGTGCGGGGGTTTGGCTCGTAAGGTAGGACGGTTGTTCCGAATTGAAGACTAAATCGGAAAGGTAGATTCCCAGAAAGGGAATACATCCCCCAAAGGGTAGTTTAATCACCGACTTGTTCGACGATCTGTTGGTCCCTGAAAGTTCGATCTGCACCTCCATAGGCGACATGCCATACTCTTCTGCTACGTTGGTCATATGATCGCGAATATGTTTCCAATTCTTCATGGGCGATGTGAAAGCCGATAGTTGCATCAAGGTAGACATTTCACTGTGTCGGACCTGCGACCATGTTTTGTGCAAGCGCGAGACGGACGGTGATTGTAGGCCCAGCAAGATTTGAACCAGCGTGGCATAATTGGAGAATATTTTGCATTTCTGAGTGATATAGATTGCTTGTGAATAATGTTTTTGTAATTCAGGTGTACATGTCATTCGCAACTAACACTGACCTGGGCTATGCGAATAAACTTTTCAATGACCTTGACGCGTTCTGACAATCGAAAAGTCGAAACGATAACACTGGCTACCCATTGGCACACATCATTAAATCGCTCAATAATTTTCTCAATCCCGCCTTTTCCGGTCGTACGAGCAAGCTGCATCTGTCGTGTTCGCTTGGTATAATTGATGTGGTGCGCTTCAGGCTCGAAAGTATGTTTTTGTTCCCTGTCAAAGGAACCATATCGCGTAACTCCATTTACGCTGTGGTTTTGGCGCATTTGCGTCCAGCGACAGTGTACCATTTCCTCCCAATCAACATTCAGCAAGATATCTCGTTCGATCAAGCACAACTGCTGCGCAATATGGTCTGAGCGAGTTTTCAGGAGAAAGGAATAGGATGCATACAAATCCGTCTGATGCATTGGAACGTGTGCAGCGTTTGCCGGCGGAAATGCTGTGGATGATTCAGTGATAGACCGCGGTATGGCCTTTGTAAAGGACACATCATAAGCATTGTCTTTTTGAGGTGCAGACTTCAATGTGTTCAATGGTGTATTCAGATTAGACGGTACGCTAGAGCGCTTCGAGTGTCGTGTCTCGAGTTTGTCAGGCAGACGACAACTATTGGCGCGATATGGTAAAGATGCCTCCCTTGGTGTTCCAGAGTCCCTTTGGAAACCCTGATTTTTGGGCATGTTGAATGGAACAGTTGTATCGTCCTCGTCGGTATTGGGGTGGATATGGACGGCGGATACCTGTGACGATAAAGACCGCTTCTTGAATCGCTTCGTAAAACTTAGCAGACTTCGCTTACTGTTGTTGGAATTTTTTCGACTTTTGGGTGAAATAGTCGAAGATGATACTTTTTTGGATTCCATTATCTCGTTGGACGCTAGAACATGGCAACTCTTTGGTGTCAACGTCTGGCTGTGTATGGATTCACGGGGTGTTTTCATCGATTCCGTTATTGAGTGTTGGTCTTTGGGCGTATGGGCAACTTGACGATCGCTTGCAGTATCGGATTCACTTGCTGCTGCATTGTCTCTTTCCTTGGTATTGGTAGCGGTATTGACAGAATCGAATGAATCCCTGTTACTGCAAGCATGAATAGGCACAGGCGGTGGCGAGGTTGGTGCACGTTTGGTGATAGCATTCTGGTTACTTAGTGGAATGACCATAGGCAGTGGCATTGCTGTTGTGACTTCATCTGGTGATGATGATAAGGGTCTTGAAGGGGTATATTCAGGAGCGGACCGAGAAGCATGCGAGGTTTCTTCAGTGACATCTGTGCAGCCGTTATTTACAGAGGTTGATGATCGTTGCTGGTTTGCAAGGTTCAGAGAAGCTCGGTAGACAACACGCGGCCCGCCCGTTGAAGAATCATCTTTCAAGGGACTGCTGATGGACCCTGTATCGGTACGGTTAATCGACAATGGCTGTTGGTGCGCTTCTGGTAGTAGCCCATTTTCTATTTCCAATTCTTCGGATAACGCGTTGGAAAAATGATGATGCCATGCACCAGATTCATCTACCTCGTAATCCAGAGTGGATCGATTATCATCTTCATGACTGTAGTCGCTTTCCATTTCGTCGTCTGTTGTACCGGGGGTTACAATACTTTCAAGCGAATCATCTGATAATGTGCTAGAAGCACCCACACTATTGTCGTCCTGCAGCGGTTTTGTTTGACATTCCTCCAGCATGTATCGCTTCTCTTGCTCCAAGCGATGCAGATACGATGCTTTGACTGCATTCACTGATTGCTGTCGGGATTTATAGGGAGATGTTAACGTGTTGGAGCTGTATCGCTGACTCAGTGAATGGCAGTGGTCTCTGTGCGATATCCTATCCACCTTGTGTGGCAAGCTCCCCACCACCAATACTGGCGCATCGCGCGTGTCATGAATAGCCGTATTACCGTGATGGTTCTCATGAATATCAATCCCGTCTACGAAAGCTGTTTTCCATCTTAAACGGCCTTCTGATAATTTGTTGCGCACCAAAGTTTCCAACCGTTCTTGTTCCGAAGTGGGAGGCGGCGGGTCAATGATTTGGACGCGTTCAGAAATCGAGTTGCTGTAATAAATCTTTTTCAACCGACGTATCACCCGTTTGAGGCCTTTGACAATCCGTTGATCGCGTTTCGATCGTCGAATCGTGGGATGGCATGGAAGCGCATTCAGAAATGACGTCAAAACGATGCGAAGCTCGCGATCAGGGATGAAGTCATGCACAAAGTAATTCAGGAGCCAGTGTCGGAGCACGACAAATGTCCTGCAAAGTAAAAGTGCTGTCAATATGTGTGACAAAAAACAACTCATACTCTGGCGCACAATTACCGAATTCTGACGATACAGCGTTCTTCCTTGTTGTTCTGCAAGCTCCAGCGAAACCGTAATATCAGTAATTTGCATAATTGGACGGGTGAGATAAAGGAGCGATAGGTCAAGAAGAAATCGGTCATGAAGGTGTAATCTGCGGACTGAGAATGAATATGTCCATAGCAAAGAGGTCGCAGAGATCCAACTTACCAAGGGTATTTGTCAGTTTTTCGACGAGTTTTTCCACCGTAGCCGCTTCGATGATGCTTGCCGTCTCTCCTTCCGTCGGCAATGCAGACGTATTTGGAGTATCTTTGGGGGCCGATTTCCGTTTCCAAAGGGGGATCGAATGGATTCGATTGTCGATGTGGAAGAGTCTGTGTGCCTGCAGTATGGACATCTTCTTGTACCTGGCAGATCGGGGCGATTCATCTTTGAGTGTCGATACATTTTCGGCTGTAACGCGAGTCGCAAACCCAGTCGAGGCCGGTATCTTGGCAGCCGCTGAGCCGTGTGTCTTTTTTTTTTCAGAGTGAGGCGTCGTCACTGTCGCCATGGAGGCTGACATGGCCTGCGGATCGGAACCCCAAACAATTATGCGGGAATCGACATCTGATTTGAGTAAATCAAATATGGCAGGCGGGTATTCCGCAAAGACAAGGGGCGGTGCCACCTGAAGATAGGCGGTATCATACGTATAAGATGAGCTCCAATGGCTTGGCTCGGACGCAAATTCAATAGAGTGAGCTTCGGAAAAGATGGCGTCGTCTTCCAGGAGAAGATCGCCAAATTCGCTCACCAACGGTATTTCCGGTAACTGAAAGAGGGCAGTGTTCGATGACTTTGACGATGGGTGGTAATTGCTGAGATGCTGATCGTCGGCAATTCTACTGCGGGCTGAATGCTTGGTGTCTCCATCGTGATCGTAATCGTGATCGGCACTTGAGGATAGGCAAGTTCCGCGTTCCCAAAAGATCTTGGATTCTGTGTATTCTCGGACTCCGAATACTGTTGCCAATGCCGCTCGTTCCCGCCCGCCTTGGCGACCGTCCCCCATGAATTCCGTCGGAATGAGCGACGCGTTCCTTTTCATAAGCGGATCAGCGACAGCTGTTTCTTGTGGAAGAGGTATCTGAGTTGTCATGGCAGTGGCTACATTGAATTCATCTGTTGCTGTCATGACGGTTCTCACACCCGAGATGAACTAGTCAATAAAAGAAAGTTTTCGATGAGATGGGAATTTTTTTTACATTCTTTTTATGTTTATTTTCACGACCCGCTTTGTGCTTCTCTCATCCATCTTCGGATTAGTGGCCTTACAAGCGTCGTTTGTTTCCGCGTAGCGTATTCCGTCTTTTGTATTTATTGTTTTTTTTTGTGTGTTTGTATGTTCTCTTATTCATAAAATCGTCCAGGCATAGTCTTTTATGTATTGGACTGTCGATGATTATTTGCATTAGACCTGTGACAACGGGCATGGATGATTCAAGAACCTTTTTTCTCTTGCAACTTGCCAATCCAGAGTAAAATTTATTCTCGCTAACACAAATATCAGGCACGGTATGCTCGACCGTAAAGACTAGCTATGCCATGTAGGCTGCCGATCAAGCGGGGTATAGCTCGAACCGATATTTCATAACATTCAAAGCCTTACCACGAGGGTCATCACCACTGTTTACGCTGCTACAGTTTTGTTGTTTGGACCCTCCCGTACCGACATACAGAACTATTTGCAGGACAAATAATTACGTTTCATCAACAAAACAACGCGATACATGATGGTCCGAGTGATGCTTTGTTCAATTGAGACGAACAGCAAGATTGTATTCTATGAATGAAGGATGTATGTACAGTCAAGCAATGGTGGTCTATCTTATTTCCTTAAAAATGCCATCGCTTAGCAATATTAGTCACTGTATCGACAAAATTATCCCATGATGATCCCTTTGATAGCAGCGCAGCGTTCGCCTCTCCTTCTTGATCCCGTGATTTGATCTAGGGGCATAACATAACATTAGACAAACCAATACTTTGTCAAAACACACCATGTTAGCACATACCGTTAACTCTGTCCGTTGAGCTCGACTTGTCTGCTCTTCCAACTGATGAATTGTTACCAAATGATCCTCAAACAAATATCGCTTTTCGTTGCGGAATGCCACATCTACCAGAGCAAACTGTGCATCGTTATGACGAATAAAGGGAGGGCATTGCATCTCTGCATATCCGGTAAGAGAACAGCTGGCCAGTAATTCTTCAAGACATCCCGGCAGAGGCGCTTGCTCTACATCGTCAGGAACAGAGACGAGATCATCGCTCTGATATTGCACGAAACGCCGAGCGCATAACCGAGCATCCACATAGCCATTCAGTGCCAGCAGATCGATCACCGAGCGTCCATGTTCTCCAATGACTTTTTGTGGTTTCAGATTACCGGTTTCGTCCACCGTAAAATGAAGTTGGAAGCGACGAGGAGCCGTTGGTACGGGTTCCTCAGCGAAGCCTTCCATTTTAGCCAGCAAACCTGTACTGACGTATTCGGCCACAATCGTTCTCTGATGAATGCCACCTTCCGCAGTAAAAGGAAGGAGCAGCGATGTGACATTTGTAGGCGGTTGGCTGCAGTAGAGATATTAAAGTCAGTACGATCATTATCGCTCAATGATGGAAACCACTTCATAAACTCACCTCGCAAAAAAGTATTGTCTTGGTTGGAATGGACCCCTCATTGCTTCGCGCAAGGTTTCTGCTGAAAATGCTTCTTCAAGAAACGGTTGCAGCATGTTGACCTCTTGTTCTGGAGTGACAGGGTTCTCGAATAACAAATGACCGAAACTATAAAATTTGGTACCCATTTAATACCGTTGTACCTAGTTCACCACTGCTTCTTCAATGATTGTCCTTACGTTGCTTCCAAAGATGTATTCAGGTTCAATTCACCCCACGGCGCCAAAGGCGTGTTCAACAGATGTCGAAGCTGATCCTTTATGATCAGAGACGATCCAGGCTCTTGAAAAGAACTGGAAAGAAAAACTATAAGCCGCCGATGTTTTTTTCATCATCTTCAGTTGCAATCCAACTTACGCCCGGTTTTTCAAGGCAAAGAAGCGATAAAAGGAATCATCAATGTTTTTGATCTACAAAACATGGTAAATATATATAAAAATTCAGTGATTCCCACTACAGTGAAGCTTACCATTTCCGGAACCTGATCGTTGTTCGTTCGCGAGACCCGACTCCACCCACGTACTTTGGCAAATTGTGGCATGGCGGCTGAATCGTGCGCTGCAAGCATACTGAAAGGACCTGTCATCAATGGATGTTGTGGAGCATCTTGAATAAAGGTATGATCGGAAACTGTCAGTGGAGGTCTCAGGACGAAATTCATCTAGCGGCCACAAAAAGAAAAAGAGATGAGATTGATCACGAAAAGGATTTGTCATGGCGGTAAGTTATTACCTCGGTTATCATTAGACTTAATAGACGTTTGGCACGATCGATCGCTTCCTGATCTCTTCCAGCCACCATAAACTATTACATTGGGATCACTTTAACGTTGTACTCTTTTTAAAAGATGACCGGATTGTTTACCTCGAATCGTTCTCGTAGGTCGATATAAGCACCCGACATTTGAGAGATGGACGGTAAGAACCGTGCGCATTCACGTTTCAGTTCGGCGTAGTAAGATGGGGTTTTAAGCAATGGGCAAGGAACATTGACGCGCAAGATACCACCCAGCTTGGTGAGCTCCTTTCTCGCGCTGTTGACGCCTTCCCTCGGACCGTTCAGAATGTACGATAGATTTTTAGCATCAATGACAATTTTGACGCCATACTGTTTCTCGATTTGTCGCATATTATGTCCATGGTGTCCCGTAACAAAGAAAATTTCTTCGGGGGTGGTATTCAGCAGGCGGGTGATATTGTTTTCCTTTTTGCGAAGCGCTTCGATCGAGACTTGTTGTTTGGATACCAGTCCCCAGTGATTGTTAATAATCCTTGCAATAAGTGTATCTTTGCGTCCAGTATGTTTAAGGTCGTGATGCTTTAAATAAACCACAAGTTGTGGCACGGTATACGAATTTCGTAGCGTTGATTGCAGCTTGTCGAATAGTTGATCGCCCAAGACGCCCGTTTTTGATTTGGGCCGATGACTGTCGATCGCAGCAATTAGGCTTTCTGTACCTTCGACTGCTTCTTCTTTGGCGGGGGATTCCAACGTATGCACTATTTCCTGTAAGCGCTGAGACGGTAGAAGCTCTTCACCACCTTTTTTTCGGGCACGAGACGATGGATTTAACCAGCGAGACGAGTGGTGAAACTGAGCAGCTGAGGGCTTTGGAGACCAGCGCTGAATTTGTCTCATGTTCACTCTGTATACATGTTGTATGGATGGACGACAAAGAATTAGTTTATGCGTCGCCATGATCGCTTTGGCTTGGGAGCATATACAAAAAGTTGAATGTGATCGCCTTCACTGCGTTTTGGAGGCTTGGTTCAAAAGCATTATCCAATCAGATTCCAGAGATACAGCAGAATCGATTTTTTTTTTCTGCACCGCGAATTTGATAATGCGATTGAATAATATGGTATCGAGTGCTTGACCTATTATCTGTTATGAAGTCTTGAAGTGGTGATCCATCACAATCGCAGTGTGGGCATATTTTCATACTAAATTAATGGAATCATTAATCAGAATAGGCTGATCCCAGCTAATATTATTAGCCCTTCAAAACAACAACCCCCCCATTTATAGCTTGTGCGTCGAAAACAGAGCTTCTTTTTCTTTTCAAATTCCATCAAACTTCTTCAAAAAGGTAATTTATTGTGCTCAAGCGTCTCTTGGTCTAGTGAATCCAATGCCGCATCTCCCATCTTAAGTTATCCGAAGTGTAGTTTCAAAAATGTACAAAGTCTATAGGACTGGTTGGTGCGAAGTGGTGGTCCCTGCACTGCGGTGAAGACGCCTTTTTTTTTTGGTCAAAGGAGAGTAAGCCCTGTTTTCTGTAGGGTGTATCTTCTTATATCATTTTCCTTGATTCATCACTCACTTCACAGACAATCTTCAACTAGTTTTATCTATGCTATTTTTACTTGACTCCCGTAATTATCATTTGTTTGCGCTCGTATTATCAACATAAATCATGATCCTTCAGCTATAGCATTAAGTATAACAATTGAACCCCACTAGTCCATTATGCGTAACTGTTGAATTCAAGCTCAGTCACGACAATGTGGCAAAAAATGACATGTGAAAAATGAAAGGATAAAGAGCATCATAATCGGGGAAACAAACTTTCAACACCTTTTCAATTTTTAGTCTTCATCTGATCTCGTCATGGCTCCACCCTCCATGAACCGTTTCAAATCGGTCGAGGGAAAATTGGACTCAGAACAAACAACTCACGGACATCACAGCGACGACGGTCATTCGACAACGTCCAGCTTTTCATCTCCATATGCTGTCCACACTCTCGATCAGATCCCAACCCCTATCTTGAAACTTGTGGTAGGCCTCGGACCTACCGTTCGTTTGCTGTCGAGAGCCATACGAATTCTTCGATGGCAGGCCCATCCGCGACAATCGATTCTGGTCATTCTCGTGTGGATTGCTTGTTGTCTGTGGACGTGGCAGCTCTTGGCGTTTGGCTTGCCGCTCCTTTTGATCGCCAAATTATTGAAAGATTGGTTCCAAGTCCGTACCACTCGTGTCAAGCGAGAAGCACTCGAAAGGAAGCGGCTCAATGAACGACGTCAGCGTGAAGAAGCCGCTCGGCGAGAACGCGAAGAACACGACGACGATGATAATGACGATGATGGTGAACGTCTGCATTTGCAACGTTTGGAGCAGCAAAAGGAGGAGGAGCAGGAATTGATCAGTCGAAAAATCCAGCCAGACGGATATGTATCGCTGGACGATACCCTTCAAGATCTCGAAGTCGTTAACGATGGCTTGGCACGTATCAAGTATTATCTCGTATTGATCGCATCTCATCTGAATGGGACTCAAGCCGAAATTTTGGTCTCTTTATTCGCTGTGGGCATCTATGTTTGGCCCTTGTGGATCGTCATCAGTTGGGTATTGGGATCCGGTATGACCCTGGCGGTGATCGGTACACTGTTACTATTGAGTCCATCTCCCTGGTTTCATGTCATTTGCATGACCTTGCGTCGCAACAAGATACTTCGTCACGTTTTGGCCGCTATATGGGCGTACGGTGTTGCTGCTATCCTTACATCATGGCCTGTCAAAGCTTATCACATTGTCTCTTCTCCTGCTTCCGGCTCGTGGTTCACCCGCATCAAGTATTGGATATCCGAGTTTATCCATCTGTTCAAGGCCGAAAAACAAAAAGCTACCAAGGTGATCGGTATGCCCATCTCGGAAGAAAATATTGATGATACCTTCCCCCATGGGACACGGAGTGAAATGATGTTTCAGTTTGAAGTTTATGAGAATCAGGTAGGCAAAGCGGAGTCTGTTCAGTGTCCCCGAAATTATTCTTGCTCACGTCTAACTTACCGTCAATGAACAGCGTTGGTGGCTTGGTATGGGATGGACGACCAGCATGATGCCGAGCGAACGTGGACCATGGTAAGTGGGGGATTTCTCAGCAGAGGGAGGTCGTCTTATCGTGAACATAGGACCGATAATCAATTGGCGGAGATTCCCTCCAAAGAGGATTTTGCACTTCCCAAGACAACGCAAACAACGAAGCAGCAACCCGTTGGCACAAAAGGAGAAGTACTGGAGCAAATGACAAGCAAGCAATGGAGCTGGGTCGATGGCGACTGGTGGGTGGATATGACCGGCGAACTTCAAGGTCGCATTGACCATAATGGATGGGAATACGGCAACAATGCGTGGAAACAGTTGAGTGGAATGCCCGGAATGCACACGTTTACCCGCAAACGTCGTTGGTGTCGTCGAGCCCGGTTAGTGGAACGCCGGGTTCGGGTAGATCACGATACAAAGTCGGTGGACAACAATGGATTACGAAAAAGGATGTGATCGGCGATTAAAGAAACGCTGCATTACGTAATGTACTCAATGATGCGCGTATTATGATCCACAAGGAACTAAAGAACACAAAAACGTAAAAAAAAAAAAAAATACCCTCGTTCAAATTTCGATACTCTTTTCTCTTTTCCCTTCATTCCTCTTTCCCATCCACTACTACACCATGTTCGGATTCTTAAACCCCAAGACATACATTTTCAATAAACTGCAAGTGCCACAGCATGTAGAGAAGATGCGGCCCAAGGGATCCGCACGTCAAACGGCTATTGAACGTCGGTATCCTTACTTACAACGTGTCACTAAACGTAAATCCATGTCCGAGAAAAAGCAGAAAGCACTTCTGGCAAAGATTGGTCGCATCGCTGGTTGGTTGGATAATGCGGTGCCAGGATCTCCGATCCCACTTGGTTTGGACTCGTTGCTGGTAAGTGCATGATATTGATCATAAAGGAGACCAAGGATAGTCTATTAACATTTTCTTTCAGAGCTTTATCCCATTTGTGGGTGGCTTTATTGGTACGATCTTTTCGCTATATCAAGTATACCTGTCGTGTGCGTTTGGTATTCCTCTGTGGTTATTGATGCGAATGCTCATCAATGTGGCTATTGGTATGTCAGATGACTGACGTCACCGCTGTTCAATTTCATTTTTTGGATCACTCACCTTTTTTGGGATTGCTAGATTTGTGCATTGGTATCATACCTGTTCTCGGAGGTGTTCTCGATATGTTTTACAAGGCCAACTTATGGAATTACGAAGCATTGGAAGATTATCTTGATAATCCCCCGCCAACCAGCGATCCCAGCGCTTCCAGCAACGGCAATACTCCTCCTCCTGAGGAAGTGAGCCTTATGGAATTAGTCCTTGATCTTCTCAATATGATGATCACTACATTCTCTAGTGCCACTGGCAAGCTACAGAAAGAGGCGCTTCATCATCGACAGACCCGACAGACCCGACAGACCAAAAAAGTGAATTAAATCCAATTTTATTTATAATGATATCACTAATAGTACTCGAGAATGGCTAATTTCTGTATGAAAATTCGGTTGATATAATTGTTCCTTTTGAATTTTGTGGCGAGGAATAGAGAGATCGTATTACAGTAATGTGCTTCTCCTGCAACAAGAGATTCATTTTTGGGGAAAAATATGTTAGCAATCAATCGTTTTTATGGAAATGATATCACACTGCAGCGTGTCACATTTCTGAACCTTTGCACCGGACTGTTGTGGTTAAATCTTGAAGTTCATCTACTGGAATTAGGAATATGCTATGGGAGTGAGTGGCTCATGAGTTCGTCATATAATATAACTTGCTTAACCCTAGCACCATGGCCTTGAAAAGAAGAAGCTATGTACCTCTCGGCAGACAAAAGGGCTTACTGCTTCAAGTCATCAAACAGCAACTTAAAGAAAGCTTCAAGTGGGAATTTCCTTTTTTCACGATTTTAGTTTATGCCATATGCCTCATCACGACCGAGAAGGTAAAGCTTCCCAGAGACTACATTTCACCGTCTGGTATGGAAAGAATTATTTGTAAATGAAAGGTTGAACATTCGCTCTATTGGTAGACGCAAACCTAATCTCCTCTGACGTGGCAATTATTGAAGCTGACAATTTCCAAGGGCAAACGCAGGTCAAAATCAGCCCATCAAAAGAACTAAGCGAAGAAAAAAAAAGGGTAACTATAGTACAGTTAAAACAAGACTCAACGTTCTTATCCAGTCAATGTAATACCGAATCGAATGGTTGACTACAAGGAAAATATGCCTATCAAAGCAGCAGAGTGCTGATATATGCAGCATAAACGTGTCTTTAAAGAAAGGCAGCGTCGCGGGGTGGGCTTCAAGATGACAAGTTGTGATCTTTGGATATGTGGGTTTCTAGACTATGAAGAAGGGGGTGTGGAAGTGGATCCAAGAGGTGTCAGGATTTAGGATTATGTTAAATCAGAGTTCAGGCAGCATGTACTTGCAAACAGGCCTTTATTTAATATGTGTCAAGATAGAACCATTAAACGGTGGCTATACCATTGCATAGCGGTCATGTTTCGACCGCTTAAATAACATGTCCTCTGCTTGGTGATGATCAATGTGTTCGTTGTAGGGCTTCCTGTTTTCGTTGTCAAACATTAGCCTCATCATACGAGCCGAGTTGAGCCGTATTCTGATAAACCTGATCATTTATGTACCCGAAAGGGCACAGAGAAGCCACCTCGTTTTCGTGATGGGAGAACATGATGATGTTGCGTATGTCTGATGTTGTCGGGACAATTGCTAAAGGTGGAGCGAGCGTGTCCTGGCAGAAGAGCAAAAAAGTTCGAGGACGACATTAGGTATTTCAATGAATGACCGAAAGGATTAGGAAAAAAAGAAGCTAGGGAATAGGTCAAACTCGTGCAATGCCTTTTTTTATATTGTGAAATCGAATCAATATATCGCGGTCAATCGATTCAAAAAGGAAACGCAGATCATGATGATTCACGCTGGGCGCTTTTCTTCGATCAAACCGCAACAAATTTTTTGTGTCTCAGACCATAAGAATGTGACTAAAATTTCGATTCTAATGAGCGAGAAACGACGAAACCAAATTGTCTAAGGGCAAGTCCAATTTGCTGTCAAAAAACTTGCAGCATATGCAAGACCTTCCGTGTAAAGTTAAATGGTAAGGTTTATATTACCATTAAAGGTAAATGCTCGTGAAGCTTGAAGTCGGGTGGTGAGATCGAAGGCACATAGCAATGTAAGCTAGCAAATGTACTGTTGTTGATCCAGTTATTGTTGGCTTCGTTGAACAATGTTATTTGAACTCAACGGTAGATCGGGCTCTTTCTGTTATATTTAGCAGATCCATCCATCGATGTCAATATGATCTCAAACGCTCTTGGATAAATCATCTATGTTTTGCATTGTCGCACCTTTTCCATGCAACCTCGAATACCCATCACACAGTTTTGTATACAATCGCCAATTCTCATGCTTTATCAATCACACCACCATATGGCACCTTTTCATCATACTTGATTCATCCATTTACTGTATATGGCGACTATATCGTTCTTTACTGAATCAGATGAGTTCTCACTTGAGAGTATGAGCAAACGAATCCATCCAACAGGTGCACAATATTTTTCGCCTCTTCGTATTCGAACAGGTTAGATATAACACGAACATTAAGGAAAGCCATTTTGCTTTGCAGGATTGACATGTCCCATTATTGTGGATAGCATTTAATTTGCCGGTGCGAGATGTCCGCTTGACCACCTTTTCAACAGGCAACATCTAATGTATCAATGGGAAGTTTCTATCTTATGGAGGATGTCTCTAAGATCAATGTCTATATTTGTGTTAGACTAGATATCATCTCGGTTTTATTTGAGAAGCGTATTTTTCTAGGCATGTCCATGGCAAAAAGCAATTATGTCTGATCGTGTATCAATCTCTTCAGTTATTCACAATATGTTGAGAAAAGGCTAATGTAAGAAGAGTAGCGAAGCGGAAAACTCAAAGGGCTGCAGAGGAAGAACGGGGAGAAGAGCGAGGAAGAAGTAGTTCTCGTCTCTTTGAGTTCAAGGTGAACAATACTGGATTACCACTTTGGAAAATTTAAAAACAGAGCGTTGTGTATTTGGCTATTACGAAAAGGTTTTCGGATCTCTACAACTCAATACTGTACTCACTATCAACTCCTGTGATATCAGCATGGACCAAATAGATGGTATTGATGTGCAATTTGTGTTCAAAAACCGAAGGCGCCGCTCACGTCTCACTATATCCGAATGCCAAGTGTATTTTCGCCCGTATGGCATCAGAGAAAACGGCCGATTTAAACTCTTTTGTGCTGCTAATCAGTATCGATGGAGCACCATGACTCCATCCGCGCGGTCCCGATTATCAGGTAGTAACTGTATGTTTTTCATCATCTGATTTTACATACTGATGATGGGATTTCAGATACAATAACTTCAAAATTGAAACATCTATGAACAGCAAAAAAACCAAACAAAAATGGCCACATAACCGCTTAAGGGTATAGCCTAATCATAAAACACTTCATCAAAGCAAGAGGACAATATCTCGCAACGAGTACTTTTCGTTTCTTATATATAATTGTATTTTTGATAAAAAAGCAAGTATATTTGAAAAAAATTGATCACATTAAACTAAGATTTACAAGGACGAAACTTACAGTGAAATTCCCTATTCGTCATGGTGAGACTGATGGTATTAATTGAAAATCGCAATGGCGAAAGGAAAAAAAAATAAAAAAAGAAAAAAATTGAAATTAGTTCGGTTTTAAGTGGATACTGGGTGGTAATAGACGAGTAACAGAAGCTACCACATCGATCTTGGAGGGTGGGATGCTGTAGATGCGGGTGTGCGTGAGTGTGAGTGTATGTATACAAATGGTGCGACTATCAATCGATGAGGTTCTTCCAACTCTTGGGTTATGGGACGGCAAATGGAAGCAATGGAAAACAGAAAAAGAAAAAATGGGCGTATCACGTTGGTCTCAGTGACCCAACAAGTTCTCAAGCTCATCCTCATCGCTGATCAACTGGATAATACATTGCATGAGGTTGGCTACATCACCGTCTGAACACATCCAGACAAAGTTACGAACACGTTCCAATTGTGAGAGAGCCGTAAAGGAAGGTTGCGAAGCAATTACTTGGTTGGCTTTGGTACTTTCAATGACCACCTCTTCTTTGGCTTCGCTTATGAGTCGTTGCAGATGGATAGGTAAAGCGTAAACGTCTTCAGAGAACCCGGTGCCCATCAGGTAGGCTTTCATGTCCGGCGCCGTGAACAGATTCAGTAGGTAGTTGTAATGGAAAGGCTCTTCGATCAAGGGTTTGGGCTGATACACATTGTAAAACGGGCAGCTGTCTTCACCGTAGGGATAATTGAAGATATCATGATGACAATAACCACAGCAGTCGCTGTACAGATGATCATTGGGTGTGCTTGGAGAGAAATAGTTTATAGGTGCTTCCGACGTGGATGTGTGATTGATATCCATGGGAAAAGTGGTTGGAGTGGAAAGGATATTCATTGAATTTATATTGCAAAAAATGAAAATAAAAATAAATAAAAATAATAAGGAAAAAAAAGACGGGAGTTGCGGGGAAATCGAATAATGGAGGCAAAAAAGCAAATAAATAACTGGAAACTCAAAGTAGGAACTGAATTTGAATTGGCTGCGACGAACAAAAAGGCCGTCGATGTTCAATCAACCCCAGATCAAACATGAAATCATTCTATCCGCTGCTTCATTAGCATCAATTTGCTTTCATTTCTTTCCTTGAAAGTATTTTTCTTGATACATTAAGCCTCGGCATTGTACTTATTTATCAATAACACTCGCTCATACGCCATATCACTTGATATGTTTTCATGGCTTCATCAATTTCGGTGTTTCAAACCCGGTGACGACCAGGAACCATTCAGATTTTTGCGGACCCGGTTTTTCCACGGTCGAATTTTTAGTCTGTTTCTGCAGATCTGACGTTGTTATTCAGTTTGGATGGCGTTTTCATGACGGTTCCAGGATGAACACTTTACAGTCACTTTGGCTTGTAGACCGTATGTTATGAAACAAGATGAACGAACGAAGGTGCCATGAAGTCACCATGAAGCGTCTATTCGGTGATACAAACCCAGTTTGCTGTTTAACTTTTTTTGAAGACAAAAGCGAAAAAAAAAGCCTGTCAGAGGGGGAATGAATGCCGTGACGATTGTCACTAAGCAATCCAAAACCGGTTTTTCTCAGAACCGGTGGTCTTCTTTTTCCTTTTTATCAGATGATGGGGTATTGCAATGCTTATTATCCATATGCATACAATGAAGCGAGGAAAGTGAAAAGCATAATTGTTCACGGCATGATCCCGATACCCCAAACTATTCTTTCTTTGCTTAATCTTGACGGCCATGACAAAATGAAAAAAGAAGGAATAAAAAACGAGACAAAACAAATTTTTCTTTTCCCGCCGTCGCATCTGATTGGATGACCGGGAAAGAGCGGGTCTACGAGCTCCCAATTTAGAAACTGAGCTCCAATAACCCAATGCATAAACAATTCTTGAGCCAACTCAGTAAACCGGAAGTCGGAACCCAAGTAAAATGTCATACGATCCATGACCGCAGTAAATACGGTGGTTTTTCTTTCTTTTGAGCACCCCGCGTCTTTCGGTTTTCCCTAAATTTTTGTGCACATGGAGATGGTCTTCTTGTACTCTATTTTCTGCCGCCACCCACGATCATTTGTTGTCCATTTACACTAATCCGGTCGCACAAATAAAAAACAGAGGAAAACAGAGGATCTCCTTCTTTGATCGTAAACACGTTCACGTTGACTCGGCACGTTGCTTTCTTTTCCTTTTTTTCTGTTCCATGCACCCTGCTTCCAAACTATCATAGTGCACGAATTAATTTATAGTAGTGAGATGTAGCATGAGAGACCCAATGACGAGTTCAGCAAGATTTGCAACGACGCTGCCGAAAACAGGAGAGTCAGCGTGCGTCAACAACAACAATCGCAAAGTTCACACGAAAAGATCACAGCGTTCGATCATGCAACGCCCTGCAAATATGTTTGCGATTCTATAAGCTACTTGTCCAAGTTTTCAGTACGGTACCACGCTTTTGGAAGGTCTTGCTTGAAGGGCAAACGGATTATGAATACATAAATTGCATTCATTGAGTTGTCTGTGGTACGAATCTCGAGCTTCTTTAGTGGTTTTTTTATCGCTTTTAGACTGCTGTATCGAAAAGCTTAAGTGAAAATTTGCCCAAGATTCATATGTTTTTCTCTTGTGGAGCTCCACCACATGATTATCCAACAAAGTTTGTACCATGCGAAACTAATTCGTTGGTGGGTTGCATGACTTTTTTTTTCTATTTTCAGCAATTTCAAGATAAGAACTTTCATCATTCGCTTGTCCTCCCATTGCAAGATACCAATTATGAAGTTGTATGGGTTATCCTGCTACACAGTGTTTGGTATTGCGCCAATAGGATGATATGACAAACATGAAGTCATTTTTTACCCAAAATGCGAATTGAATGAAGTGTAACAAAACATATAACGCGCTTGAATGCAAGATGGTGTTTCTAGAAATATGTTGAAATTACTGTATGCAAATGGCAGCATTGATGTCAAAAGCCGCTTCTGACACATCCCATTTATAACCGTGGTTGCATTTGGTGCGACCTATGAACTGGTTTACATAACGCTGTTCTAAAGAAAACAAAAAAACCTATACACACTGAATTTGACGCAAGTCGACATTGACCGATTAACTGAATCCCCAAGTGATGATGGCAATTTTAAAGTCACGGCCAATTTTTTCGGTCCGTTTCTGGAACACGAGATTCTGTCCATTGATTCAAGATTTGCTTTTCCAGCATGAGCCACCATGCTCGTCACATTCACGCTCTTGATAAATCGACCATTCGAAGTCTTCACTCTGGTCAAGTTATTGTTGATTTGGTAGCCATTGTAAAAGAACTAGTCGAGTAAATAAAAAAGTCACCATGTTCCCCATCTCGACATGTGCGCTGACCTTTTTTCGTGAAGAAACGCACTAGACGCTCGCGCCACAGCGATTGATGTCAAACTAGTTGATCGAGGTCTTAACTCTATCCAAGTAAGCAACCAACGAATAACGGACGAATGATCCAATTGATATTGATAACGTGGACGTTTTGTAGGTAAAAGACAATGGTCACGGTATCCCAGAGCAGGATTGTCTATATATGGCAAAACCTCACTGCACTTCCAAAATTGCCTCATTCCAAGATATTGACTGCGTCACAAGCTATGGTTTTCGAGGTACATTTTGAACGTTCTTTTCAGACGTATACAATCGCTAATATCACTGATATAGGCGAGGCTTTAAGTGCGATCTGCGCTGTAGCGAACCATGTTCAGATCACGACGAGAACGGCCAATGACAGTATCGCAAAACAGTATGACGTCGATACCAAAGGCAGCATCGTCAACGCCAAACCTGTCAACCTGATGGCCGGAAGTGGCACGTTGGTCGTGGTTGAAAGTCCCTTTTACAACATCCCTGTACGACGGCAGGTATATGTTCATGAACATCCTATTAGGGAAATATTTCATTTCGCTTATGCATTTCCACATCGCTCAGGTCGCACAAAAGACGGCTCTCAGCACACTCAAAAACATTCAGGATGTGCTGGTAAAGTATGCTTTGGCCCATCCGGCTGTTCGGTTCACTCTTATGCAGGCGCAGAGCACAGCCGGCACAAAGAAAAATACCCAGTGGATCAAACCTATCACAACCGATATACTGTCAGGTATTGGGATCGTGTTTAGTCCCGCATTAGCCGATCTTCTGCAATCACATGATATCACCGAATCTTTCGAACAGATGCCGGATCAATCAGAACCCTCTATTCATCTACAGTGCATTCTGCCGAAAATTGATGCTGGTAAGCCGCCTGAGGCTTTAAACGTGACCTTCTTTCATAACAGAGGCTGCCGCTAGATCCAACATCGATCTACCGTGGCGATCGCGTTTTTATCTATGTCAACGGTCGTCCTATCAATTACTTAAAATCGGAGCTCAAGGATTTGGTGGTCATGTTCCGTAAGAGATACAGAGACGTCACCGGAGCTGTAGATGGTAATGTGAGCGACTAGATTCTTGTGGGTTTTTTTGCTGCTGACATTTGCTTTCCGATAGTACCAGTGAAGAAGACTCCATTCATGTATATGGATATCCATGTTCCAACCGATGAATATGATGGTAAGGTTCCGCCTTGTTACTTTCTAGCAATTCACTTTCTGTAACTTACCAATGGACGCAGTCAACGTTGAACCTAGCAAGTCAGCCATTATGTTTCATAATAAGCAGAGGTTACTAAATACCTTTGAAAAGCTATTGGACGATGTCTATGGATCCGCCATGGATCGTTTTTTCCATGCCCGCACTTTGGATCAACCACCCACGTACGTTGGCCGATTAACCAAAAGTTGCCTTGGGTAATGTGAAGGAACTGACTGGGACAATAGAATGACTGCGGGAGTAGCGGAAGAAGAGTACGAAGAAACTTTATTCCTACCAACGGCGCCTGCCACTGACAAGGTACCTGATCGTAGCATTCGTTCAGCTTCCGTTGGATCTACATCTTCAACCAAAGATCGCTTGCCGTCCTCCTACTCCGCCGTCACTCCGGTGCGTGAACTTCCTCCCCCCAGCCTGCCAACAGGATATTCTTCCCCAAAAGATCCCAGCGAAGATAATGACGAAGAAAACATTGCGCTTGATTTCTTTCGAAACATTCAATCGGGCGGTTCCCCCAACGATTCTTTTATCTCCCCACTTATGGAAGATGACATTGTTCATGGGAGTTCAACAGAAGACAGACTTTTTGAGCAAGTGGACACCTCGCAAGTCGCTGCCGATACATCAAAAGGTGTCGAGGAGAATGAAATCTCTCCACCGTCAACATCAGCTCAACAGCGTTTGTTTCACCTCCCATCACCTGCATCTTCCAAGCCGAGAGCGACGGAACTACCAACTGGGGGTCGATCCCCGAAGCGTCATCGTAGTGTGGATCATGCACCTGACTCGGTCGGAGAGAAGCGACAGCGAACGTTATCTGGAATGTTCAATATGGATAGAAGAGTTCAGTCAGAGGCTATCGCCTCCGGTTCAACTCGAACGATCCGTCCTCACGCGGATGGTGACGCAATAACAGCCGATGCTTCCGAAACGATTCCTCTGATGGATCGAAATGACACGTCAAGCCCACGTCTCAGCATACGCGGTCCTAGGAGGCGGAACATTGCTTCTCTTATGTCAGATTCAGAAACCAATCGATCTTATCTTTTCAAAACGCTGGATCAAGAAATATCGGCAACGTGGGATTTTGAAAAGATACAAAGGGCTTTCAAATTGGCTGCAGATATACCAAGCGAACCATGTCGCGTTTCGCTGGACGAATATACTCAATCAAACATGGATCCGCACAGTGCAAGCAGCGCAGCGATTCTTAAAAACCCAGACAATCCAAAATACTCGTTTTACATAACAAAGCGTCAATCCTCTGGTCGTGGAAGTCTTGCGCATGAAATTAATGTGATCGATCTGACCGCGTAAGGTTCAAGGAGTAAACGACGTATTGACCAAGTAAGACTAACGTTCAGAACTTGGTTGTTCTTTGTAGGATCCGAGCCTCATCGATATATCATGAGATGATTTCTTCCTACGAATTACCCTCGCAACCGCTAGATCGACCTATGCAGATGCGGCTAAGGTAAGACAACGAACCGCCAATTATTTCAACGGATCTGCAAGTTATTTACTGTGACACAGCATGACCGATCCGCTCTTTCGTACCGTGGCTTCTCTGTGTGTCCGTCAACATCAAATTGCCGACGATGGTCACGGTTGCTGTGGGCGTATGTACTCGATCATCACCGATAAACGGATCGTGGCCAATGGGTTCGGTTTACGTTGGCGAATCGGTAAGCACACCTTATCTCTGGAACTGCCTTGGTTACAGATTTCTGATATCTGATATCTTGCTTAAAGAAACAAATCCCTCTGAGCTGATATTGCAAGTGACATCGATTGCTTCCATCAACGATCAATACAGCAGTTACGATTTGATGCAGCTGCTTAGGCTTATCAGTGCGAATGGCGGTCATCAATCGCTCGAACAAGTGCGACCGAAAAAGGTACTCGTCTACTTGGAGCAACTGGCCAAGGACAAAGCCGAAAAATATACCCACAAGCTTGCTACAGATAAAGATGTTTCCACTGCAGGAGAGATGCTGGAACGTCTAGCATGGCAAGAAAAAGATAATTTTAGAATAGGCATAGATACCGGCGATGCTGTTGTTGCCTGTCAATTGTTTCAATAAGAATTTTCATTGGTGAATTTTCTTTCAATTTTTTCGGAATGGGTTCCCGGAATGAAACGTCACGATCCGGGATGCTTTAGATGTTCCGCTTGAACAACCGCTGTCTCGTGCAAGGGAAGTATTTCCGATGCGATTGGAGATTTTTTTGTTTCCCCCTCTTTGAATTTCTATTCAATAGTTTTATGTAAGTTGAATGGATGAGCAAATCAGCCGTCTTGGGGAAGGGTTCTCTTGAAGCAACAAATACAATTATCGATGGATACGTCGATTCGATGATGGATGAATGGATGGATTGGAATAGCAGAGAAAAAAACAACAACAACCTCAACCTCAACAAATACAAATACAACGAGTGGAACCCTTCTCCAAAACGAAATCGAAAGTCAAATGATCACGCCATGGAACTAACGACCTATTTTTTCAATCATCACAGCAAATGGCTGACTCTGCACCGGCCGATAGTAAGTGTCTTTGCTCGTCAATTAACGGTTTTGATCTTGCAAGATATTGATTCCATATATTAATAGGACGTGGTGGATTTGGACGTGGACGTGGTGGTCGCGGTGGTCGTGGTGGTCGCGGCCGTGGCCGTGGCCGTCGTGACGAAAAGAACGAATGGTAAGTGTTTTTTTGTACTGGGTCATCATTCCAGTGGATGACCGGATGGCAAAGGGAATTGTTTGCTAATGAAGCGATCGGTATAATATAGGGTTCCCGTGACCAAGCTTGGCCGTCTTGTTAAGGCTGGCAAGATCAAGTCCATGGAAGAAATTTATTTGTTCTCTCTCCCCATCAAGGAGTACCAGATCGTTGATTATTTCTTGCCCAGTCTCAAGGATGAAGTCATGAAGATCATGCCTGTCCAGAAGCAGACCCGTGCTGGTCAGCGTACTCGTTTCAAGGCTTTCGTTGTCATTGGTGATGGTAACGGTCATGTTGGTCTTGGTGTCAAGTGCTCCAAGGAAGTTGCTACCGCTATCCGTGGCGCCATCATCTTGGCCAAGCTCTCGGTTATTCCTGTCCGTCGTGGTTACTGGGGTACCGCTCTTGGTGACCCCCACACTGTGCCTTGCAAGGTCACTGGCAAGTGCGGTTCCGCTCTTTGCCGTCTTGTTCCTGCTCCCCGCGGTACTGGCATTGTTGCTGCTCCTACTCCCAAGAAGGTCTTGCAGTTGGCTGGTATCACCGATTGTTACACTACCTCTCGTGGTTCCACCCGCACTCTTGGTAACTTTGTCAAGGCTACCTTTGCTGCCATTGGCAACACCTATGGTTTCTTGACCCCCGACTTGTGGGAAGAGACCGAATTCACCAAGGCTCCCTTCCAGGAGCACACTGACTTCTTGTCCCAGAAGCAGAGAAAGTAAATCTCTCTTCAGTCGTGTCTCAAAAACATGATTATTTGTTGATTTAAATATATTGGCAATTATCATCCCAATTTTTTTTCATTCGTCTTACACTGGTATTTTTGGGGTGGTTGGGGAACCCTATGCTATGTATATGATGTGAGAATTGGTACAATGTAAATGTGAGAGTTTATTCACGCTATCATGGTTAGGGAGAATCGAGAAAATGGGGAAGCGTTGATCCTTTTATTGACACAATGGCACCGACAAATACCAAAGTTACAATTCCATTATACGAGAAAAGAGCGTGATATCATTTATTTCAAGTAATCTTCGCAACAGGATAATGATTGGTAGTTTTTCGGGAAACAGTATTGAACAGCAATGTGTATCTTTGGAAATCAATAGAGAAAAAGGGATCGATCAAGTTGTTACGGGATATGGTTTCTTCTTTTTTTTCTTTTTTTTGAGGTTTCGAGAAGGGTTTTCATCCATTATCGACACGAACACTGTGAGGAGCAATCGCAACCAACACCGGAGCCTCGGCCTAAATTATTTGGATAAGTATATGCAAGTGTCGCTGTGCTCAAAAGTAACTTACAGATGCATGCTTTTTGATGACGATAAAAGACTCGAGAGTCATCGTTGAATACAGGCGAACCTGTTACAGACAACGGTGCTGTTGCCGTTTGCTGCTCTGAAACGTGACCGGATGATGAACGAGTATAATCGGGAGAAATCCCCATACTCAACTCGACATTCTGTTCCGTTGGCATTGACAGGTTTTTAGAACGCTTGATGTCTTTTGGTGATACGGGCATTGTTAAAAGAGGGAATAAGCAAAGATAAGAAAAAAAGAAGTGTTTCTGCAGAATATATACAAAATCGAATATTCTGCATGAAAATGGGTGTGTATTGGTGCACCGTCGCCTGACAAGCAGAATTATAACTCCGATATGACGCACAAGAATGGCGACGTTTCCTTCTTGAAATGGAAAATCTGTGATGTCTCCACACCGCCCGAATGCGCACAAAGAAGCAGTTTAAATTTTTCCACATTTTGGAAGCTTCTGCATTTTATAAACATAAAGCGTCTCATTGGTCATTCCATGAAACTAATAGCTAACAACTGAGCGGAAAAGGGAATGGAGCCGAGATAACCTATCTTTGACTCGCTCATGGAGCGGCTGACTGACTTTTCGTCAACCTCGCTGTCCGATAAGCTTATTGTTCCCACGACAGAATTTTGATAAGCCATAAGACGTATGAAAACGTCATGAAGAGCATGGTGAACGCAACAAGCATAATGATTCAGCCACGAATGTTAAAGTACCATGGGTAATATTTGAACACCATTTGTCCAATAGCTAAAGATTGTTCATTTGCCGTTTTGAACAACTTTACCATAAATGTCCCTTCGTCTAGAAGGATAATATCGTATGCGGTGGATGGCACTTTGCAATGCTAAAAAAAGATGTTGAGCACTGCCTAACATTTTGTGACGTTTATTTGTTAGGCAGTACCACCAGACATGTCTTCTTTCGCGCCGCTTCGTCTGTGATGACCATTTATTCTATTTACAAGGCATCAAATGTCGTGTTTGTGACGAGGTTTGAAAAATAATTCCATAGACGTTTCCACTGACCTCCTAAGCAGAAGACGCATTCAGCCAGTGACACTTTCCGTAGCCAAAACTACAACATTGAGTTTTCCAAGACCAGAAGAATTCATGTTCTTTTTTAAGTCTGAGGCAGACGGCTTGAAGGTGTTGGAGATGTTCACTGTGATATCATCAATATATGCTACGACAATATGCTGTCCTCTAAGTATGGATCCAAGAATAGCCGTTCGCTGGATATTGGGCAAGCGATATCCTGAAAGTGTTGTGAAGCGGGCGTAACTGATATTTATGGGGATGGCGGTATTGTTCTTGTCAATATTTATATTGGCAGATCGGTGTGTATGGGAATGCAGTTCGGTACTATTCTTCGTTCATGTTATTGGGTTTGATTGGATGAAGATATTTGGGGATAGGCACCTGTACCATAGAGAAGAATAGAATAAGGTAAATAAGAGAATCAACACAGAGGAGGATTTAGAGAACAAGAATTAATTGTACCCACCAGTTTAAGCAGAACACGCCCTTTTCTCCATATAATTCTGCGCCTTGTTCCCATTCCCGTCAGGTTATCGGCTTGTGATACAAAGCAACGGAAGCGGGCAGAGAGGAGAGAACAGCGAAGGATGAGAAATCAGCCACAGGAACGGGCATGGAAAAGGAACCAGAGGAAGCACCCACGGGACTGGGCGCAGAGGGTGGGACAGAGGCAACAACCACAGGGACGGGCGAAGCAGCGAGTGCAGACGAACCGAGTTTGGCCGCATCGACCGTATCTTGGACTTGTTTTTTCAGTTCCTTTAATTCGGCCACATGACCGCAGTTCTCCATCCTGGCCAAGGCATTGCGGATGAGCTTCTTAATCACCTGGCCAATCGTAGTGAAGAACTTAGGGGCGGCCTCCAGGATCAACGAGCCGGCGAGATCATCAGTACTACTCAAATTACCGGGTCATTCAACAAGCAATGCAACATAATTTGAGCCAACACTTACCGCGACGCCTTGAGGAGGTCTCCATCTGCTTGATGGTAGCGGAATGGGTTTTTGAAATGTTGTAGTGCGACATGGCGATAAGAGAAAAGCAGTGAAAACAGTAAAGGTAAAAAAATAACAGTGGGGAGTCAAAAGACAAAGAAAAAACACGTTCTGGCCGGATAGAAGGAAAGGCAGCCACGGAACCAGGCGCACACAAAGGAACAGAGTAGTAGCCACGGAACCGGGCGCGCACAGAGGGACAGAGGTGGCAGCCACGGAGACGGGCGCAGAGAAGGGAAGACATGAGGGCACAGAGGCCAACGGAAACGGGTGAACGCGCCGGAGGTGAGGCAGCGATGGTCTCTGCAAGTTCGACTTCAGCTGCGTAAGGTCAGCCACATAACTTCGGCTTTCCAACATGGTGGCGACGCCTTCTGCAACTTCCTTACGACTTGGTCGACGGTGGTAAAGAAAGTTGGAGCCGCCTCCACGATAAGGAACGGGCTTGGTCGTCGACACTACGCCTTCGCTGATTAGTAAAATGTCACCAAAAACAGAAGACAATTAAACACGTACCTGACGAGCTTAAGGAGACTTTTCACTTGCTTGATTGTAGCGAAATAAATTTTAGAGACGTTAAATTGCGACATGGCGACAAGTAAGAACAGTAAAAACAATAAAAAAAAAAACACGTTCTGGCCGGATTCGCGTTTATCTCAACAGAATATTTTTGAACGTCACATAGGCATTTTGCTCGCCCAAGACCACTGCGAGCTGAAGTTTGAGCGTCTTGGCATTATTGAGAAAACGGGATTTTGAGACAAATTTCTGACAGTGGGTTTAATGATCCGACAGCTTAATTTTCGGTTCAGATGTGGCTCAAAAATTTGTAACCAATCGATGGTGGCCTGATTTATCAAAAGTTGGCGAAGATCATAAAATGTTCATTGTATAGCTCAGAATTGGCGTGGCTAAAAGTACGATCACACGGGCAAATGTTTATCGCCATTTTCTATCCTTAAGCGCTTATTGCCGCCCACAGGGTCGAGAACAAAGCCCAAAATATTTTCTTTGTATCGGACACGATTAAAATATCAAAAGTCATAGTAGGTATACCCAAGGAAAAGGGATCAATACACAAAATGTTCCAAGCTTTCCAATTGTAACACTTGTGGCAGCGAATGACACAAAGGGAAAGTCTATTTCTTTTTAGGAGCATCAGTTTGCATCGGGAGGTAAAAATTGAAGAAACGTATCACCCATTTAAGGAACTAACTTTTTGTCTCATGAAAAAGTCAGCACGTTCATTTTCATTCTTTTCCCCCCTTCTCTTTTTCTCTTTAGAATTACGATACCTCTACATGGCTTCCAAACGTTCGAGTCTCGGACTTCATCTTCTCAGCAGCCAAAAAAGGCAAGAACTGAAAGAAATGTTCACCAGTTTCGATAAAAATGGCGATGGAAAATTGTCACCGTCCGAACTAGAGAAAATGCTGCAATTCACTGGAATACAGACAAATGACGTGCCTTCCATGGTAACCACACATTCTTTTTCGTCCCTGAAACGAAAAAAAAAAGCTGTATTTGTTCTTGTAATAATCTCAGTTGTTTATTGTCCGAGAAGCTTAAGAACGTCCATACAGACAGCGAAGGCAACCTATCGTTTGAGGAGTTTGCGAAACTGATGCGACCTACATTGTCCGATCCGATACGACTGTCAGCGAAACAACTCGAACTGAAGGAAGCATTTGACGCTTTTGATAGAGATGGTGATGGAGTGATTAATGCGGCTGAACTGAAGCTAATGATGCAGGAGTTGGGGGATCGTATTACACAAGAGGAGGCTGAGCAGCTTATCCATGACGCTGACAAAAATCACGATGGAGTTGTGAATTTCGAAGAATTTTCGCAAATGATGGGCGTCCGCCCGCCCACCACTCCCATCGAAAAGAAGCAAGATCGATGCGAACACCACCATCATCATCGATACTCATTCAGGAGATTCTTCTGTTCTCACAAATAAAAACATCACGAAAGAATAAACAAACAGATGAACGAGAAAACTCAGACGGTCGGGAAAGAAACAGAATCCTCGCCAATCCGTTTTCGCTGCGGGGAAACGTGACTGCTAAGGAGTCAGGCTTTGCGCTCGGGAGACAATACGAATGGTCAGCCCTTTGTTTCCATGGAAAGAACCTTCTGCGGGTGTTTAGGTCCGTCAAATTATCCTTTTTCCCTAAACTCACGTTCCGTTCATTTCCCGAAAATTGAAATAAAAACGTTGAATGATTCATCATCAGATAAAATAAAACGTCTCAATACCTTATTCTTACAATAACTATTTATTTTTTTCACATTATCCCCTTCTCATATTATCCATGTTATAATCATGAACACATCGGTTGTGACACCGGAAGAACTTGATTCACTTCGTGAAGGTAATACAAAATAGTAAAGCATGGTATCCAAGCATAGATTCACTCACTGACCATCAATGGATGTCCACAGCGTTCAAGTTATATGATCTTCACAGTGCCGGCGGTATTAGTTTGCAAGACTTTGCCAAAGTACTGCAGGGCCTCGACATCGCCACGGATCCCGAACAAATCCAAATGTTGATCGATTCAGCGGATGCCAATCATGACAATAAAATTGACTTTGACGAATTTGTTGACGCCATGAACAAATATATACCCTCTGGATGTATCGATGACACGGACCTATCCAGTTCCACATGCACCATCATCTCGGAAAAACCCATATCCATGAAACATAAATTACGGTCGCCAGAAGAAGAAGAAATGATGCGGTGTTTTCAAGCGTTCGATACGAACAATGACGGTCATATTGACAGGGAAGAATTGGTGCATGTCATGGATAAACTTGGGAACCATCTTAGCGCCGAAGAAATCAAAGACATGATTGCCATCGCCGATACCAACAATGACGGTTATATTGACTTTGAAGAATTTATGCAACTCATTCCGCCAGCCTGAAACCATCCTTCGATAATATTTTTTAATTTAACACTTTTACTCTCATTCTCTATTTATTTCAGTGTCTGCACACATCCTTGTATCTCCAGTATAATCAGAAGGCCAAAAGGATGATTATACTTATACTCAGACGATGTGTTTATACTGAAGTCCATTTGTCACACTTCTTTAATCACATTTGTACTTGCTATATTTATTCAACAATTACTTTATATAAACGATTCACAGTTTGGACTTTTGCAGACACGAAAATCATTACTGTCGTTAGATATATGCTTTGGCTTTGGCTTCAGGTATACTTGTTTTGAAATGGCTTCTATTCGAATTCTATGCGATGGAAGGAAAGGCACTCATCGTTTGCCATGTGCTTTCATTTCCTTAGTCAATTTTTTGCAACTTTGTCTTCCCAGCACCTTCCCCAACTTCAAACGTTATCACTGTGTTCTCCAAAATCCCCATGTCATTTTATCTTTGCCGCGTAGGTTACGCAGATCGAAGAGAATAAGTAGATATACATAATATCATCCTAATGATGAGCGGGAAAACTCGACTTGATCGCCTTCTTCGACGGCTCTTTCCAAACATGAATCAGCCTGATCAAATCCCGTAAACTAATCAGCAGTGTGTGTTTATCGGTTACAATACAAATATAAAGTCAGTTTACTCAATAATGAACGCTGGTGGTTATTTCATATGATTCCCAAGTCTTGGCCTCTTAAAGAGGAGCCTCCACCAGAAAGCACTGTGTGTTGATCTGAGCGGGAAATGATAATAACAGATACAAAGAATCTCCGGACGTTTGAAGATGCGTACTCCAATTTCCTTTTGCGGGGGTTTCCGCATGCATGCAATCCATTCAGTTCGATATCAGGTCAAATGCATACCTTGACATCACGTCAATTATGCGATAACGCGTCTGCTGGTCGGATCCAAAATCTCGGATTTTAGGAAGTGAGCCTTATTTAGCTCTGTGATGCGCTTGGCAAACGATTCGAAAACGCGGTAGAGATGAACCCATTGTCCGGATTCAAATTCCACATACGAATTAACACTAATGTGATTACTAGAACATCATTAGAATTAAGAAAAAATAAGCAAAAGAACGGTGTAATGAAATGTTACATGAACGCGTTTAATTCGTTAATGATATTCCTGTAATTTTATAAAAACAAAGTGTCAAATTTGATGGCAAGTCCATGACAGAGGCGTTGTCGTATGTTTACAGCACTCATCATAAGCGCGATAAAAGTGCAGACGTGCATTGTTGCTGAAGATATTAGGATCAACAGCGGGATGGAATATGCTCAAAGTGCGGTTAGTAAACTTTTCAATTGCGCGAGACATAAAAAATGCGAATCCCATAACTCGTTATTTTTCCAAAGCAGCTTATTGTGATGGCCTAATTTTGGTTTGAAATAGTGGTAAAGACTTTTATTATCGTTGTTGCGAGACCTGATGAAGTACACAGTTACGTTTGAACAGTTCACTTATGCAACCGTTCAAAGGAGGCAATATGTGAATGCCCGTGCCACATGGACGTATACGAGCCTTGTGTAACATCGGCATGTGGTGCTGGCTTATTTTCTAATAGGCATCAGGTCGGAAGAGAAAAAAAAAAGTTTGCTGATCATGCAACACGCCTGGATCTTATTAAACAATCACAGCAAGGACAAGTGCACCATTTTTGAATCCTGATAGGAAAAAAAAAAAGAGCAAAAAAAGGGGAGCTTTTTCCTACTTCAAAAAGAAAAAAAGATACGATTGCAGCTGATCACTAGTTTATTTTCTAAAAACGGGCGTTATTTGGTGTGACGTTGACCCACGTTTCTTTTAACGGTGTCATTTTGCGCTGTCTCCTAACTGAAAGCTGCTTCTTCTCCGCTTTTTCATTATTGTTATTATTATTTTTTTTTCTTCCTGGACTTGAACGTCGCGAGTGAGACACTGCGCTTTGTAATCTCCTCTTTGCTTTTTCCATTCGTTCCGTCTCGATTCCCCATCTCTCCCGCGTATCATGGACTCTGATTCGCATCATCCGAATGGGGGCCTGGGTTATACCCCGAACCGTCGTATCTCGTTTGTAGGCATGAAAATCAATCAAGTGAAAACCGAATTGGAGAGTCAACTCCAGGATAAGGAACGACTTCTCGGCAGTATTCCTACCAATGGCATAAGCAAGAATGCGCTCCTGAAACAAACTGCAGAAATACGGCAAACTATCCAGGACCTCAATGCCCTGGACGAAGACGACGAACTACCAGCGACCAGCAGGAACCAACTGGAAAATTTAGCCAGTGAATTTCAATTTGTCAAAACGTTTCCATCAAAGGTATGACTTTTTTTTGTATTTGGTAAAGAGAAAGGTTTAAGTGCAACCTAAATTGCCAGATTCGGTTACATGTCGCTCATCGCTTTCCACTTGTGCCTCCCTTTTTCCAATGGCTCCCTTAGTCAGGCGTTGCTCGAGCGCAAGATGTGTCTCAACTATTACCTCCTCCGCCTAAAACGTCGACGTCCAGTAAACTCAGAACCAAACCTAATCGAGGACCACGACGAAATACAGACATCGAATTCGCCACCGAGATTGGTCAGGGATTGCTCATTGAAGTACGCAAATTGCAAGCGGCTTTGCAGGAAAAAGAGGAACGGATCAAACAATTGGAAGTGTCGGATGCTGAACATGAACGACATCATGAAACCACCCTGAAACACTTGAGACAATTGGAAGATGCGCAAGGTCGGTTCGTCGAGCACACTGGAAAACCCTATGTCGCGACATGCCAAAAACAAAAAAAAAAGAAACAAAACACTAACATGAGCCATATTTGACAGAAAAACTAAAAGAGGAGAACTGGAGTTTGGAAGTGGCTAATCAGGAATTGCGAACAAACATGTCGGAAGTGAATCAAACCGTAACCAAAGTGAATGCCGATTATGCAAGAGCCACCAAGCAATTGACCGAAGTATCGGAACAATTGGAAATGTCCAAGGCACAGGAAGAAAAGGCCAAAACATCACTGGAAACATTAAAGGCAAGGCACGAGCACGATGCGCAAGGGTTACGACGTCAAGCGGGCGCCCTCCAACGCGAAAATACTCAACTTCAAAAGCAACTGGAAGCACTATCGACGGAGCTTAAAATTTGTCAAGCCAAGCTGGCCATCAAGGCCACCGCGACGAACCGTCCCTTGCCCGTGGACAAGGAACCCAAGCTTCAGGAACAAGAGTCAGAACCCGACAATGATACTGACGCTTCACCGTCGTCATCCAATGGGGCGCATTCTGTTCGGTTTATCCAGGCAATGGAAACGGAAACGCTCCGACAATCGTTGGGCCACGCCCATCGTATTATTTCGAACCTGCGTAGCTCGTTACATAAGGAGAAATTAGAAAAGTTTGAGATCAAAAAAATGTTAAGCGACAGTCAGGAAACCATTGAACAGATGCGAAAAAAAATGAGCACGTGGCATTCAGGTTACGGTAACGGTAGAAAGAAATCTGGAAACAAGGCGGAAAAGAACCAACGGGCCAAGGTCTTGAGAAAACGAGGGGCCATTGCTCGTCAACCCAAAGGATTAAGCGAACCCGGTTCGGCTGTGAGTGATAAAGAAACCGATGCATACCCTGCAGACAGATTGGAAGAAGACGATCTTTTCGAGGAGGAGGACGAGGAAGATCAATTGGATCAAGACGATGACGACGATGAGGATGATGATGACGAAGACGAGGATGACGAGCTTGATCCACACGATTGGGGTTCTTCGCCATTCACATTCAACGGTCTAGGCAATTTCTCGGCACCGTTATCACTGTCCTCGGAATTGCAACACAGTAGCTCGCCAAAATCGACAGTGGATGTGGGCGTGAACACATGTACAGAAACCTCATTGAACGAATCTCTATCCACGCAACTGTTGCATGAAGAAAACAAGGAGAATATGATTCCAATTACTGAGGCCGAAGCTTTGCTAAAATCAGCGGTGGAGAAGGCGGTTAAAGAAGAGAGAGATGGATATGCATCATTGCATGCCAACATGATTTCAAAAGAAGAGTCGGAGGCCTTGGTGGCCTCTGTCCAAACCGCACTGGAGAATGAAAGAAATGAAGCGAAATTGCGACAGGCGGAGCTAATATCGCAAGCGCAAGTGGATATCTTAATACAGCAAGCGGTCGATAAAGCTGTCAACGCCGAACGGCTGAGAGCCGCCGACAGAGAAGCCGATATGATTTCCAAAGCCGAAGCTGAGTTGAAAGTAACGCAAGTTGAGAAAAGCATGGCCCAAGCCATGGAGCAAGCAGTAGCAAGTCTGAAAGAAGAAACGGCTATGCGTGAAAAGGAGATGATACCCAAGGATGCAGTGGATAGTCTTATCAAGACAGCGGTAAATGAAGCTTTATCAAAAGAACGGATGGAAGCCGCCGTGCAGCAAACGTACATGATCACTGACATTGAAGCGACCGACGTCCCGCCTCGTCCTACCGAAAATCAAGAATACCAAGGTCCCGTCAAAGACACCGCGGCAGACGACATGCTTTCGACGCACCATGTAGCCACCGACGCGGAACAACCGAGTCCTCAGCCGGCGGCAACAGATGCAAGATCGACAGAGGCCCTGGATGCTCAGATTGAAGACGCGGTGGAGAAAGCGTTGGCAAAGGAAAGAGAAGCTGTGGCGATAGCGCAGGCGACGATGATGTCCAAGGCAGAAGCCGATGCATTCATCAAGCAGCAGGTGGAGGAAGCCGTGAATCGAGAAAAAGAAGCCAGTCTGGCTCGCGAAGCTACCATGATGAGGCAATCGGAAGCCGAAGCCTTGGCACAAGCTCAAGTGGAACAATCATTGGCCAACCTGCGTGCCGACATGGCCAAGCAAGTAGAATCCATGATGGCCAAGGATGAAGTGGATCGTCTTATCAACGCATCGGTAGAAGAAGCCTTGGCCAAGGAACGAAAAGAAGCGAATCAACGAGAAATGACACTGATAAGTCGAGCCCAAGCCGATGAGTTGGTCCGACAATCCGTTGAAGAGGTCCTGGCAAAAGAAAGAGAGGCGACCATGGTATATCAGGCCCAATTGATGACCAAAGATCAAGTCGATGCCTTGGTACAAGAATCGGTAAATGAAGCTCTAGCAAAGGAAAGAGAAGCGACCACGATGTATCAGGCGCAGTTGATGACCAAAGACCAAGTCGATGCCTTGGTACAAGAATCGGTGAATGAAGCTTTGGCAAAGGAAAGACAAGAGGTTGCGGCGCGGGAAGCCAACATGATCTCCAAGGAAGAAGCGGATGCTTTAGCCAAAGCGTATGCTGCTGAACAACAGCTGTCCGCCCGGGACCGTGCCGATCATCTCGATACACTCTCCGTTCACAACCAATCATCTTATCAACAAAGCCCTCAGATCAACGAACCACCGATCGTGTCCACGTTCTTGTCCGAGAAATCCACCTCGGTATCTCGACTTGCCAAATTGTCGGGACTTGTCAAGTTACACCCTTCAGCATCCACGCCGGCCAATGGCCAACGGACACTACGTCCCTCATCCTCGATTTCATCGTTGCGATCCGAAAGTGGACGAAAATCGGTGTCGAATGCAAATGAAGCCCCAAGTTATGGCACCGTACGTATCGTGGAACAGCGAACATTGGCGCCGGTGCGTCCCACACCTTCACGATCGGATTCATTTGCTCGTTTCGGCTCCATGCGAAGTCTCCACAAGCAAACCACATCGACTTCGGGCTCTACCAACTCTTCCCTCGATGATACAACGGCCATATATCTTCCATCGTCTGCGGCCGGTTTCCTGGCTCAAAACACGCAAGGCACAGACACCGAAGTCATTTCAGCCATCACACAAACCATGATCGGAGAATGGATGTTCAAACACACTCGTCGTCACGTCGGCGGCGGCATCTCGGAAAACAAGCACAAACGATTCTTCTGGGTTCATCCCTACACGAGAACATTGTACTGGAGTGCCACCGAACCTGGGGTCGACAGCAACGAAGCCAAAGCCAAAAGCGGTATGCATTTAATTTTTCTACATAAAAGCTTCTCCCATTGACTCATCAACGCCATGGTTTTTCTGATTTTTTTTAGCTTTCATCGATTCGCTTTCAGTGGTGGCTAGCAATGACACGACGGGTGCTTCACCACTCAGTTTATTGATCAAAACCACGAAACGCGAATTGAAATTGACCGCTTCCGACATTGATCGTCATGAATTATGGCTTCTGGTAAGTGGATATACAGAGATCACCTTTTGTGCATGAGATAAGTATAGCAAATAATGCTATGAAATGATGTTATTTAGTCCTTATCTTATCTGGTGATGCGGCCAGAGACGGAAGGTAGTGAATCCGTGAAACAGGAAGGGAGCATCAAACCTTATCTCCACGAACAATCCAGTCTGAGCACAGGCATTCATTCTTACAATGGATATGATTCAGAAGACTCTGAAGACCTCATTGATATACGACAATGTTGCGACGGTAAACATGACCTTACCACCCTGAGTCGCGATCACAAGCATCATCATCATCACTAAATTACATACAAACCTTCCCTCCTCCAAAACCTTTTTTTCCCCTTTGTGCTTGCCCACATGTAATACCAGCTCCATAGAAAATACTCGCTTTTTTAATTGCTTCTCTCAAATAACGCTCGTTTCATTTTTTTTTCAGGCAAAAAAGTCAACCAAACAAACTATTATCTTGTTCGCCCTCAGTGTTAGATATATTAAAAGATTTGCAGCCAAGTCCGATGGCGGAAAACGCGTGATTTTCCGACGCGTCCATCTTTTTTTTTTTTTTTGGCTTTTTGAAATGGCGACCAAACGTACCAGATCTACTTTGGTTACATTAGTTATTCTTTTTCACAGTGTCATGCTTGTCTTGACATGACGGCTTCATATCGTTCCATTACAGACGATACTAATTTGGTGAACGATCCTTTTACCGAGATCCCCAACAGCCAAAGTCCGGTCGATGCAGCTCACATTGAGCAATTGGCGAGCATGAGTCTCGACCAACTTGCAGACCAATGGCACCTACAGAGTACGGCATCCTATACTATTCCCGAGCATGATCCCAAGGAGCCTGATCACAGTAAGTTGCGCTATTCATGGATTGGTGGCGGTATAGTTGATCTTTTATTTTCTTAGTGACGGACAAAATAGTGTCTGATCGAGCGGCTGCTGCGGTCACCGACAGCGATATGCATCTTTTCACTGACGAACCAACGCAGCAGCACAACACCAAGGTCGACCCGGGATTCACAGCCACCGACGATGTGTGGGAAGAGATACGACAAGATATGATCACGCGATATCCTACCAGTGTTGCAAACACCTCCATGATGGATTCGTTGCTTGAGAAAGCGATCAAGCGTGCGGAATCATATGAAAATAATATGAAAAACGTCAAAGACTTGACCACCGCCATGGAAACGCTTCAATCATTCAGCCGTGTGCAAGACAAGCCATCTTTGACGAATCGATCAGCTACACCATCCGTGCCGCGATCGTCTGCACCACGATCATCGAAACCAGCAAGCGCACGATCGTCCACCTCCGTGTGTCCGCAGCGCACCTTTCGAAAACGACGTGAAATCCAGCTGCGGCCATTTACGTTGGAAGGAGCTCAGTATCGATCGCTACTCCGACGCACAGCCCTGGATGCGATCATGGCGGAAGAAGAGATACCATCACAATCGGCTGCCAAGACGCATGGCAATCGATACGAATCGCAAGGCATTGTGGACGATGAGGAAGACGAGGACGAGGAATTTGTTCTCGAAAGCGATACTGAAAATGCAGTGGACAACGAGCTTTCAACGCTTTCATTAACAGAGGAAGAACTCAGCCTTGACAAGAACAAGGCGCCTGTGACTACGCATCGTGTAACCCAAGTTTACGGTCGAAAGAAGAAACGCAATAGTCAGCCTTCGTCTTCCTCCAAATCCCGGCGGTCCAAAGCGCAAACTCAACATAACCGAACGCATGATCCTTCCCATCTACTGATTCCGAAACGGAGACAACCCGTCTCCAGTGGATCGCCTGTAGATATATTTGACATTGATACCCCCCTCACCCACGCTTTTTCACGAAGAGAATCTGTGAAGTTACCAGAACCACCCGTCCAACCGTCTTTGAAACCACGAATTTTGGATTATCGAAAACCTCTCGAAACTCTGCTGTCGGATGTATTTAGCGACAACGAGGATGAACCTAGTATGAGCGTCGATCAAAATTCGAGTTCATTATCTGAGCAAGGAAACTCACACAGCAGTCTTGGCAGAAATCATCCACGATCACATAGTCCGGACAGCAGTGATAATGATACCCCACCGTACATCGCTGTACGCAGACATCCGAAAAAACGACGCATCCTGATTGAAGACAGCGATGACGAGATGACAATGTCTCCGTCATCTCATTCAGTACAAGATCAAGAATTCTCTGATGCCGAAAATCCTCATCGCAATCGTGTTACTGAATCATTGACGGAGAACGACATATTTGACCTTCCGAGCGAGATCTCTTCTAGTGCAACTTCACGACCTGCACGCAATCAATTACGTCGGAAACAGCCGGTGGACGATACCAGCTACATTGTAGCCGATCCCGGCTATGACGATGCCAATCATCGTCATCGCAATACGACGCTGGAGGAGGTTCGACAACATAAAACGGCGCTGAGAGGCATTCTGCCGCTTTCATTTGCCAAAGTGTTCAAAGATCAACTACAGGAAGAAGCTCAATCAAAGAGAACCCGTCCGCGGAAAGTGTCGCCTTCGTCTTCTTCCTCTGTGCAAAACCAAGCTTTACGAAAACAACATCGCAGTATGGATGGAGACCAAGGACAATCAAGCCATTATCGATCCTTGGCGAATGCTGAAGAATCGTTGAGGAGCCGACGTGTTGACTCATCTCCGTCTTTTGGTACGGATCGTCGCAGTTCAAGCCCCACGTCGCATGATGTATTCGATGATGTATTCGTTATGGACCCCGTCGAACCGCGACATGAATTGGAGTCTCTCGATAACCCGGTACCGGAATTCGCTGAATCCATAGCTTTGCAACCCGTACCCGAAAAACAATTATCGCTCACATTTGGCTTTGTACCTCACACTTCAACGAAATACCCATCGCATTCCGCTTACTTTAAGCGAGATCTATCTAGCAGTCTTGGGACGGAAGCGCGGCTCAAATCCGGAAACCCCCCCTTCGCCATACCCACTACTCCGATCATCCATGAATCATACAAATGTTACCGTATTTTTAGTCTCCACTTTCTACTGGAAGAATGTACCCCTGAACAATGTCCGAGCCTCCAAACATGCTTCCGGAAAGCGTTTCAGTACTTCGACAAGTCGTGGCGTTCAAATGCATCGGTGCCATCTCACTCTTTGTACGATCAAAATACCATCGAGTCGCTCCATTACAGTCAATGCATCGAGTTTTTCGCCTTTGTCTCCAAATGTCTGACGTTCGTGACGCATCGTATGGAAAAAGACCAACAGCGGTCGATGCTGCAATTTTTTTGCAAGGAAATCGTTTGTTTATGTTCTCGGGCGGTGATTCTGGCGAATGTCAAAGACCCGACGCAACCGCCTCGTTTACATTGGACTCAGGAAGGAGTGTTGGGATACCCGTGGCGAATGTTACTGCTACTGCTCACATATGCCGTGGATTGGTGCTTTCGGATTCAGCTAGTGGATGCCGACCTTCTTACATCTGAATGGACGGTGACCATGTGTCTGCGGCGCCTGGTAGGGTTGCTTTACTGTATTGGTCCCGATCATGCCATGGACGGGTTTTCAGAGTCCCCCATCCTTCCGCGTAACTCGATCATCAGTGAGGCATGGATGACCATCTTATTCTTGTTGAACCTACCGAATCCACCGTTGACGCTACCGGATGCTGCCCAGGACCAACGTGAGCGGTTTGTGTGGCAGCTACTGGACGAGTGCCGATCCAAGGATCCCACATGCAAAAAGGACACAGTATGGGACCACGCTGAATGGCTGTGGCAGTGGATCTTTGCTGTAGAAGCAGTACGGCAAGTTTTACCGCAAGAGCGCATATCACACGACGTGCCTCACCTCAATCGTCCCGCGGTCATTCAGCTGAACGGTATTTACGAGCAAATGAAGTCGATGGATGATACTGTTTTGTTGAACCAATGTCGTCAAAGCAAAGTGAACGCGTCCCTTGAAGCGTATGTCAAAGTGCACCTTTTGCGATACCATGCTTTGCTGCAAAAGTGGCATTGGGGTTGGGACAAGACGACGGTGCTCTATCTTCACCGATGGTTCCGTCGTTACATTCAGCTGCACAAGATTCCGGTGTCAGAAGACCAGTACTTTCCATCTTACGTTCGCTGTTTCCGAGGGACGCCCTCCACTATGACTGTATTGGAAAGCGACGGTTGTTTTGACATATTTTTGATGATCCTGACCATGGCGATCCGACAAGACTGTGACGTGATGACGGCCTGTAACGACGATGCCAATGTGGCGGATCAAACTTGCAAAAGTTTGCGACGGTTCCTTTCGCAGTTGGCGCCAACCCATGTGGTAGTGGTGAATCGTACGCCTCAAAAGAAGGACGTCGAACCGAGCAGTGCGCATGCGTATGCTATGCTGGCCGATCAATACAAGATGAATATGGTCTTATTGGACATTGTACCGGAAAAGGTGTTGCGTCGAACCATTGTGCAATGTCGATCGTTTTTGCGGTTTGAAGCTTCGGATCATAAAGCGAGACAACTATTCTTTGAAGGGTTTTACAACCTGGGACAAGTGTGTGGTTACCATCACGATGCGGAATGCCTACGTGCAATTGCGCACACAATGACTGAAAAGCTACGAATTGTGTGTCGAGAGTACTCGGACGAAGAAGCCAAGTGGTCTGCCACTGTCCAAGGCCCTCACGCATACAAACAATATCAGGAGCAGCACTTGTCGCGTCAGGATACGATTCAAACGGCCTTTGACTATTTCAAAAAGCTTATCCACAAAGCGCATTTCATGGAAGCCGAAGCCCAGGGCTGGCTTGATAACGCCTTGACGTATCTCCCTCCTGGCATCCAAATTGATGTTTGAAGTATCTGCTGAGTCATGGAAGAACCATCCTATGCTACATATTGATGGCATTGTCAACACTCACATCGCCTTACACTGTATGTTAGCTGAAAAGGCAAAATGTAAATAGCTCAGGACATAGATTTTTTTTTTCGGCTCTTTGATAAAAGAAAATGGATATCCTTAAAAATGGTCGCCACTGATTTCCTATTTCTTATAATGCGCCTGTGTCCTGCAAAATATGGATGGAATAAATCGCTTGACAACAGTGATAATATGAAAAGTCAAATTACGGCTTGGTCGTTTCGGAAGCCCAGCCAGCCGGTATCCTGGGCTTGCCCCTTTTAGAACGGCCAGATCTCATCTACAAGAAATTCCTTAAAATGCTGGAAAAACTTGTTACCGACTACAAAGGGTTTCGTGTATAACGGTAAACCAATGTATAATAAAAAAAAAAAAAAACCTTTTGTATTCAAAATCCTGTGAGAACAAACTGGCGAAAGAAGTATGTAATAAATTAGAAAGCATCATTTCGTGAGCTCTTATCAGTGTAAGGATTTTATCACCATTCTATGAATGAAAGCTTATATGAATCCACGTATCTATTGAGCAATCGTGCCAGTTTGAACAATGGGCTATTGGCTTTTCAAGTTGTATAAACGCTTAAATGGCTGGGCGCGGAAACATATTCTGTTCGTGCTGGCGTGTGACTGATGTTTTTTGCTGTTTTAAACGCATCAAGGAGAAATTAACCTTCTTAGTTTAGTCCATGAGTTTTCAGGCTTTGTTGATCTGACAATGCAGTCATAAGATTCAGGAGACGGACGAAAATCTGATTTGTACCGTGCATACGAAAGGTACGATGGAACCAACTGCAGTAAGGAGATCTCCTTTTGACCGTTTAAATGCATCCATTCAGGAAAATTTTTGGCAAATAAACTTGACAATGTGTAACCATGAACTATGGAGTGTAATAAACAAGATGGTCCAATTGCAAAAATACGAAAAAAAAAAACTAGGCAATGAACATTCTTTAATTGATTTAATGATTTAGAAATAAATGAAATTTGGAATTATATACAAAATGTTTCTTGTTTTTTGGACAATAGGTTATATTAAACAGGAACCCCATCGTTCCATGGGCGCTCTGTACACCGGTGTCATCCCAGTGCAGATACCGGCGGTAACTTCATCAGCCGATTTAACGACACTCGCGGTATAACCTCCAGATGAAGGGTCGTAGTGGGCCAGTGTCATGCCCAGTGGAGGCGTCTTTGGTCGAGGTGGTAGATCGTAGACAGGTCCATTATGAACGAGATCCATATCTGAAGATAAAGCTACAGAAGGCGTGGAGCAGGCGGAATCATAAGGTGATAAATAGGTTTGTGGTTGAGCCAACGTGGGTTGATCCGTGTGTACTCGTTTTACCGTGGAACTCTGAATGGTGGTGGTGAAATAAAAAAGTAGCATCCCAAAATTAGAAATAATTCAATATTGATTTGTTATCTACAATTACATACCAAATCAATTGACTCGTTCATCTTTCTTTTGCCAAGTGCTTCGTAGATCATTGTATTGTTTGCTATGTAGTAAGAAATAATAATAAAAAAAGAAAGTAAAGGGGGATCGTTCATTTGTGTTGGAGTTTTTTTCAACCCGAGAGAAAACTCCGAAACTGCCGAACCGCCGGCCTGTGACGGCTACGCATCATTAAGAATTCGGGGTTTTAAAACAAGAACAAAGCAAAAATCCCACAGAAACCAAAAAAAGATCCGTTGGACTATGCAAAAAAAAAAAAAAAAAACTTTTTTGTTTGAAAAACGAACCCACTAATTGCGCCCAACGCTTTTAGCTCGTCTGACTTTTTCTTTTTGACCAATAACAAACATAGCTTCAGTAACAAAGCCATCTTACTCGCTGATGGCAAGTGTAAGCAACCAAAAAAAAAAAAAAAGAGACCACAGCAGCATGTTTACATCCTCCTTACGATAAAAAAAGATATTGAATCCAGCCGTGACACCCTTAGATAAAAATGTACTTGTTTGATGACATATGCAATATCATAACATGTACAACATTGACATGTAATTAAATGGCAAAAACCGCTTTAAATACATCTGTCCGTTGATACTGAATCAGGAGCATACGATACCATGTTTCCTACAAAACCTAGGTTGGAACAATTTATTCTTCCAGATACTTTATCACAGTAGCATTTTCTGCGCGCACAAAAATGCGGCAGAGTTTCGCATTTAACGAAAAACATTAAATAACCCTCGGCCAATTTCTTATTTCAATGATGGTGTAAAATAATACGCCGTGACAACGGCCAACTGCAAGTTGCTACTGTTTTGGTTATAAGGAGCGCAAACAGAAAAAAAGTAATAAGCAGTGTCAAGTTGGTATTGTATCATGAGATAGCATCATTGGATTGTACGCCTCACACTCATTTGACGAAAATGCGCGACATCCATGTTGAGAAAGGCAACGCTTACGTATCTGCGAAAAAAAAATTCTTGCGTTTTCCATCAATTCCCACACCATCATATCTTTAGCACATAAACGTCATCACATACGAGAATGCTGCGTACAAATTCATACTGTAGCAAATTGAAAGAAGGGTGATACGGGAAAATGGATCATGGGACCCGCATCACTGTGGCGTTCATACCGCCATTTAGCTACCATAGATGTACTAGGAATGAATATCAAGAGACCCATTATCTTGCAGCATCTTCATTAAACTGCTATGTGAAAGTGCGCTACATCCTTGAGGTGTGTTCATGGACATAGGATATACACTGAATTGAATACAAAACGAAATCGTCACGAATGCATCAAACGCTCTAGAAATGAATGGCTTTAATGTATTCGTATGTAGAAAAATTTGGCAAGAATTGGATTGGGTTTAACCGTGTCCGGAAACTTTAAGAGTCACTGTACATTGTAAAAGAGCTCTGCCTGATGATATTGTCAACATGTGTAGATCAGTATATTACTGACGACATGCACATGTATCCGCATGGACATGTTTGTATATATTATATGTATTACAGATTAACTTGGTAAAGATCGCATGTGATAGGGCGTGCTGGGGTCCAACGATTGCATCATCTGAGGCGACTCCTATTGAATTTCTGGAATGCCTTCTAGCCTGCGTCTGGAATACAGTGGTCGAAGGGAGGCGCCTAAATCCATATGCAGATGCGACCCCAGCGGTAAAAGGCCTTCCACAACGGCTTCAGAAAACAGCGAACTCAGGGTATCTGAAGTGGATGTATCGTTTTCTATCAAGTGGTTTGTCAGACGGCAAATGTGGTTCCACACAATCGAAAGAATGGCAAAAGATGTCGTGGTTCCCGGAATGGCTGGATGATGCGTCGGAATACTATATACGACAGGTTAGTTAGTGTGTGCATCTATATTGACGGGAGATAAACATAGCACATGGCATATCACTTGCCTATCGAGATTTCGATACCGTCGTCGTGTAAACTTGACATTGTCGCGAGTGTAGGCGCGATTGGTACTGGTGGTGCTCGTCGTGGTTACACTTGCTTCGGACAGCTGGGCGTCAACGGGCTCCATGGCCTCAGCTGACAAGACCATGTCCAAATCGTGGGTTGTAAACTCCGCCCAGGGAGGATGAGGAGAAGCAGAAGTTGGCGACACTGGCTGGGATAGACTGGAAGCCGACGACATATGGATTGAATGGGCAAATGACGGTGGACAGATGCCACCGTGAGGTAAAAGAATATTAGGCATGCTGGTGGTGTCGGGTTCAAATTCTTGCTCGTCCGTCGTGGTTCGCCATTCCTGCTCACCCAGCATATGCTGTACGACCCTCGCAAACGCCGCGGGAGTGTTTGCGTCATGCGCGCTTCTGTTGTCGGAATTAATTACAAATAAACCGGTGCCGTCGTGAGCAGGCAACGCACTGAAGAACAGTGAGCTTTGACCATGGCTGGGATCGACCGTCGCATCGCCATGCATGTCGACGTCGGAAAACGATTCGGTATCGGAGGGACGAAAAGAAGAGAACGATTCGGTTTCCGAAGGTGGTAATGCCGGTGAAAGATTGCTGTGGGAGGGACTAGGTTGCGACGATGAGGCCGATGGCAAGGCTGAACTGATGACATGCCAATCGGTATCAGAGTCGGACGGGTACGAAGAACTGGGCTGAGTTACGCCAGGCGATAAAACCAGGTTGGTCTGAGTTACTGACCCGCTTTTGTGATATATCGAACTCATATCTTCGGAATCGGATGAAACCGAAGGTTGCGATCGATGATATCGCCTTCGATGCTGTTGAACAAACGCCATGTTATGTATAGAAAAGAACAATGAATAACAACAAAGAAATCGAAAGAAATCGAAAGAAAAAAGATCACTAAAAATAAAGCAAAAGCCTGTTTCCTTGGCTACAGGTAAAGAAAAAAAAAAAAAGAGGAAGTCAAGAAAAAAAAAACAAAGCGATGATGTGAGACCAGTTGACTTGGAACGCCCAAAGTCATTTCATTGAGAACCCGATCACTTTTCGTTCATTAACGTGACTGTTGCATGATGAGCACTCAATATGAGAAACTCACTATTGCATTCACCTGATGCTCTAACGATCCGGTCCGGACGCTTTCGCCGCTGTGGATCATGTTTCCTTGGTTTGGCACCCCATTTCCTGCAACTGAAGGTCGTCCATAATTCAGAGCAATTACAATTTATGCTAGATTCTCCCTTTATCTTTTGATCTGTGAGTGTGTATGTGTATCTGTGTTCCTTCTTGGTCGACCTGCCAATCATTATTTCTCCTTGAATTCGGGGACTTGCCTGAAATAAAGAATATAGATTTGCGTTGGCGGTCGGTTGGTTTTTATCTATGGCAGGCATTTGTCCCGCCTCATTCCTACTATAGTCGATGAATAAAAATCTTCAAAGCATACGGTGGAGTGTATGTCCCATTCTTCTATACAAGGAAGCCCAGAACCACGAAAAAATTGTCCGTAGCAACAAACTTTAGTGATGTCGCCATGTCAATCTTGAATTTTTGGTGCCTGCCCATTTTTCAATCGCAGATTCACACAGAGTGCAGTCACTTAAGAATAAGATTGGCATCTTGATTCAGATCTGAAATGCATTGTTCTTTTTCTGCAATTCAGATTCCCATTTCCTCTTTTTCCCAAGACTCCAACGATGAGCTATCAACCTCCATTGCCTGGCTCAAAAATTATTATTGTCGGTGGCGGCTGTTTTGGCCTGTCGACGGCTTACGCGCTATCACTCAAGAACAAGTATGATGTATGGGTTTATGACCGACAACCGATTCCTGTGCCGGACGCAGCATCTACAGGTAAATAGACACACTGTATCCCTGAAAAATAAACCATACAATTTAACCGCGTTCTTTGCAGATATTAACAAAATTGTGCGCATGGATTATGCCGATGAAACACTTTACATGCATATGGCCATTGAAGCCATGCCATTATGGCGCCAATGGAACCAAGAAAGAGCCGACATGGGCTTGTCACCCGTTTTCCATCAGACAGGTGTCTTGCTTCTATCCAGCAATGGCGAGTATTCCAAGTTTGAACGTTCGAGCATGCAACATATTCGAGAAGCCGGCTATGGCCATGTGATTGAAGAGTTTCCCAACGGTGAAGCCATCCTGAAACGATATCCGCAATTCAAGACGGCCGTGCAGAACGGTTACAACATTGGGTATCTCAACAAAGAAGGAGGTAAAATATGAGCTTAAGAAAGACCCCTCAACGGAAGATAACAGTGTATAACGGCCATTGTTTTGAAATGAATTCTCTAGGATGGTGCAATTCGTCCGAAGCTGTGAAACACATGTACTTTAAATGCCAACAAAACGGTGTGAACTTTGTGGTGGGTCCCGACAAAGGATGCCTGGAAAAACTAATCATGGCCTCGGATGGCCGTGGACAAATCCGCGGTATCCAAACAAAAGATGGTCGTACGCACGACGCGGCGCTTGTGATCCTTGCCACCGGTTCCTGGACGCCCGGTCTGGTGGATTTGTCTCAGCAAGTGGTGGCAACAGGCCAAACCGTCATTCACTTTGATATGCCTCCCGAATATCGCCAGACTCCCATCGATTCACCAGTATGGTGCGCAGATTTGTCGCGCACAGGTAAACCAAACCTTTTTCCTGTCTATACTGGATAGTCCACAATGTCTAAACGATTTTTGCAGGCTTTTACGGGTTCCCATTCAACAGTGACGGCAAATTGAAGGTGGGTCGCCATTTCAGCGGATACCTTTGGCCCCGAGAAGGTGATCAAATCTCGGTGCCACGCACCCAAATCACGCATGCCGGCGATACCATTCCTATTGGTGCCTTGCGCGATCTGCGCACATTTTTGGAGACCTTTTTCCCACACACCAGCAAGCTGAATGTGTCGCACGCAAGACTGTGTTGGTAAATAATAATCACCACGGTGCCGAGTTGGGTAATCAATTTTGGCGTTTTCGCTCATTCAAAAATTCCAGGTATTGTGATTCGATCGACGGACATTTCTTAATTGCTCCGCATCCAGATTATCAAAACCTAATCATCGCTTCGGGCGATTCTGGTCATGGCATGAAGTAAGTTAATGCAAACAGTCACACAGTTGAGTTGAGTCCATCTCACACCAACTTGATACAAGGTTCATCCCCAATATTGGGTTTAAAATCTGCCACGTTATTGAAGGCATCCAGTCGGACTATACTCGGGCATGGGCATGGCGTAATTTATCTGCCAAAGATACACGTTTGGACGGCTTGCGTGCCGATGTTCGAAGCCGTCCCTTGATCCTAGCCGAACCGGATAATGAGGATGCACGATTGGCCACACCCGAAGAACTGCTTGTATTGAAAGCCCATCTGTAGCCACATTTTTGGAATCAGTTCTGAAACTCCAAACATTCACGTCTTGCACATTTTTTATAGTAATTTTTTTAGATTAAATTTTTTGTTTCTAGGCAAGGAAATATAGGCTAATTCTTGGCTCCGACGTACTTGTTGAAGAAGTTGGCGGTTAATTGAATAGCTTCGGTGGCACGCTTGACGTTGAGTTCATCAGTGTAATCACCACGAGCGGCACAAAAACCGTGAGGCATATCTAAAAGAAAGAAAAATGCCAGAGTTTAGTAAAGCTGCATACTGCGAAACATTTATCGCTGTGCCTTACCGTCAAATCGATGATGTTCGCACTTGTCACCGAAAGGCTTTTGACGCAAAACGTTCATGTATTCGGTCTGAAGAGATGAATAAAAAGGTAAATCAAGAGGGCAATGTCAAACCAAATCTATGCTACGGATGATGTACTCACCATGTCAGGTTCGTCCTTGCTGGGAAGAGCCAAAATAGGAGCGTTGGCCTTTTCAGCATCCTTGACATCGACAAAGGATGGATGGACCATAGTAGCAGCAGAGTAGAAGCTGTCCTCAGCAGCCATAGCCACACCAATCTGTTGGGAAAGATAGACACGCTTAAGCATAACGGCGCTAGCCATGATGAACACTGACATCTTACCTTGGCACCCCAGCAGAAGCCGAGGATACCAGCCGAAGAGAAACCTTCCGATTCCAAATGTTTCTTGACTTCTGCGAGTTCAGGAGCAACCTGCGAAAAAATGAATTAATTCCTTTGATCGAAGCGCGCCATTAAAATATTCCATCAAGATTGCCATGCATCCCAATTCTACATACCACTTCCAAAGCACCCACGCGGGTGATCCAAGCAACCAAAGTGTCCATATCACCCATTCTTTCGTGGGACCAGTAATCACCGTGGAGAAGGTCCGGCATCACCACTCTGAAACCGCATTGTTGGGCAAGACGATCACAGAATTGCATGGTGTTGTTGCTGTGGAAAAGACAAAAGCCAGTTAGAATGATGGCATCTCCACAAGCAAAAATTCATTTCCCACATACTGCATGCCAAAGATGTCATAAATCACCACCACGAGCTTCTTGGCATCCTATATCACCATCGTTACTACCCACACGTCGAAATCTACGCGTTGCTGTTCGTCCGTTTTTGATCGGGTCGCTGATAAAAACAAGTTACCTTGGGGCCAACAACGTAGTTGGACATGTTGGCAATGGTTTCCATAGTACCAACGGGCTTGTAGTTGGATTCAACGGGAGGGATACAGCAGCAAGCTTGGGTAACAGCCATTTTTGAAATTAGGTTAGGAAAGAAGGTGTGGAAAATCGTGGAAAAAAAAGCAAATGAGGCAATTAAAAGAATTTCAACTTTCGCTTACTTAAACTCAGCGAATCATGTACATCAATTGGTTCCAGAAAACCATTAACCGGAAATCGATTTTTCCGAATAGTACTAGTCCCATACGAACGCTGTCACCTTCGAAGATGGATGAAACGAATAGCGAAAGAGATACTTGGTCGTTTTGCATGTAATCCGTGGATAACTCGCTTGAAAAGACATGAATATGATTCTTGACAAACGGTTTATTTGTATGCAGCATGCATAAGGGCGTTTGTTTTAATGCAGGTGCAACCAAGCCTCCGTGACCGGCTTTCGATTTTGAAAGTTCATGTCCAGTTTCAAAGACCATTTGCATTAAGTTCTGGTTGTGGCTATTTTGCACGACGAGAAAGTTTAAAAAGTAATGAAAGCGTCCAAGCCGACCATCTGCTGCAAGTGTAAAACGGCTCCCGCTACCGTTCTTGTTCGTCATGCTTATTATTGTCAGTAAGTAATCTATGCTTAAAGTTCTTGATCAGCTGGACCATGGGCTCACTGACAATTTTGTTTCCAGATCTTGTTTCCTCTTTGTCTTTGTTGGCAAATATCGGTCGATTTTAAGCAAATCCCGCTCGATTGCTCGCAATCGAGGAAAAGTGTTGCTGGCATGCTCCGGTGGTCCTTCTTCGATGTAAGTTTTTGAGGACAAAATAATTAATACAAGTGTCACCCATAGCTCACCTGCTGACTAGTGCCATGCTGAACCTGACGAATGAGTTTACGAGAGTGGCACCGCACGAAAAAAAGAAAATTCAGTTATTATCCTCGGTGATGGTATGTCATATTGACGAATCGGCTTTGTTTCAAGAACAGGTAAAAGGAATTTTCTTATCGTGCTACGCTTCGAATCATTTTTTCTAACAGATCGACAGTCTGGCACTGTGCAACATCTTGAAAGCATGATGAAGGAGCAGTATCCGAATATGGAGTTTAAGCATCATCGCATGGAGGACATTTTCAAGGATGAATTTATGGGAACCTCTGATTTTGATCAGGTCCTCAAGTGTGTCGACGATGCAAATAAGAAAGATAATGGTAGATGAAAAAGAAATCCATTTCTGGTGTGGTATAATAATGTGATGCTGATGGAATTCATTTTCTTTTTTGTAGAGCATCTTGTCCAATTCCTTCAAGCTGATCAATCCAATGCACCTGCTGATCATGGAGAAAGATTGCGCTTACTTTTCAGTAACATCATCAAAAACACTTCAAAAGAAAGTTTATACTGGCACCTTAAAATGACCATGTTACTGACAATCGCAAGGCGAGAAGGGTAAGCTACGAACATGAAAACGCGAGAAATGGCATGGTTCTGATGCATGTGAACAGATGCTCTTTTATTTTCATGGGTGACTCGTCGACGCTTCAGGCGATCAAGATGATTTCAATGACAAGCCAAGGTCGCGGCTACAGTATACCCTTCGATGTCGGTGTGGAGAACGATACATCTTTTAAGGATCTGGTGATTCTGAGACCAATGAAGGACATGCTAGCGAAAGAAATTGCCTACTACAATACCATCGTTGGGCTGAACAAGTACGTGGTTGCGCCCACCAACTGGGCCACCAAGATGCCGGCCAAGAGCTCCATTGAACGGTTGACTGAAGGTGAGGCATTTGGTCTCGCTGATCTATTGGAACGCGCAGCGCTAATGACCGGTTAGATTTCATTGTGTCGTTGGACAAGGATTTTCCTTCCACTGTCAGCACCATTTCCAGAACCGCTTCCAAGTTGACCCCATCCAAAAATTTAGATTTGCAGAGAACCTGCGCGATATGTTCTCTGTAAGTAGTGGAGCGTTTTTTTTTCTTTCTCGAGACAAGTGTAATAGGAGCTAACAATGATCGCCGGTGATGTGTGTTGTAGACCTTTCCAAGCCGGTATTGCCGAATGGCGTCATCGAATTACGGTTTCCAAGATGGATCCTGACCTGGAAAATGCCAGCAACTCTGCGGCAAACAAGAGTTGTGACAGTGCGGATGCTTGTTGTGGAGGGGGCAGCTGCGGCGGCAAGGACGAGCCGATCATTGATATGAATTTATGCTTGTGTTACAGCTGTCAAGTCGATTTGAAAGATTACAGAAAAGAGGCCGTGGAATTGTTGCCACCGTTTGTTGCAAAAAATGCATACAACCAGCAACGCGATGAAGGGCTGCGAAAACAAATAGAAGAATTTCTTTTAAGCGATGATGAAGCATAAAAAACAATAAAGTCAATTCATTAAAAAATAACGCAATGTGTATGTGGACGGGGCTTAAAATTGAACCTTGCTGCTGACGCAAACCGTGCCAATTTTTTTTCCAGTGTTTTTTATAACAAAAAGGAAAAAAAAAAAAGTTGCTTAGGAACGCGTTCTGTTGCGCAGAACAAACTCGTCAAAAGCAAACTTACAGTAAAAAGAGCTCGCGACGATATGCAAGCTCCTCCCAGAGTCCAAGGGCAAGCAGCGGGCCAAGCGCCAGCCATGCTGCCTACTCATCAACGAGCGCTAATACCTCCTACCACTCTCGATTTCCCCACCCAACGATTATATGCAATTTCTTTCTTCGTGCTACTGCAAGCATTCAAATTATACGATGCGATAAACGTCTACTGGACCTCCCACCCCGAGCAATACAGTGGCGTACTGATCAAATGGTGGATAATTGACGTGTTGTATATCGCCTTGCTGTGGATCGTCAAGATCCCTTGGCTGCAATTCACTGCATTTAAATCCATATTTCTCGCCGTGTTGTTGACCATGCTGGACGTTGCATTCTTTGTGCTTCCTTCGGTATGATCCAATGTCCCGTGTTGATTGTATGAATGAGCCACTAAGTCGCTTTTTTTTTCTCGCAGGCTATGCTCAGTGGTGTGTTGCTGAAAGCACTTTTAGGTACAGTAACGGGGTCCATGCCAAATAGACATGGGAACCACCATGGGTCAATGATATTTATTGACGTCATTTTGGTTTATGGTCTCTTTAGGCGAAACCTTTGGAAAACAAATTAGTGTTTCTCGAGCGAAAATGGTCAATGTCAAAGATGTTGTTTTCAATTCATCGCATATCCTGGGTCGACATACAGTGCATATCCTTCCTTACGGGTAAAGTGTAGTACCTTTTGAACATTGTTCGCATAGAGGACGGTGGGAACTGACTTTTTTTGGGGGATTGCAATGTAGGACGGCCAAGCTTAACCCGAACGACGAGTTCTTCTGCATTCCATCGAATGAAATTGGCAAAAAGGATATTCATATACCCATTGTCTTGAATAATACCGTTCCTCGAACGATCAGTGTGTCGCGCTACGATTTCGATACGGAAACCGCTTCCTCCAAGCAGTATTCTGGTCGTAATATTCAGAGAGCGACGGAAATTGGACAAGGAAAAGGGGGTCTCGAGTATTACTATATCCACGTCAAGAAACCTGGTGTATACAAGTTGGACAACATTGTCAGTAAAGATGGACTCGACGTCAGACTCTACAGTCGCCAAGTGTTTGTGTTTGTATGTCCTACTGTTCGCTTCAAACCGATCGCTCAACCGGACTACTGTTTGGGTGACAAGGAGAAACTTCAACTGGAGATCACCGGTGTACCTCCTCTTCAAGTAGAATACAAACGTCGTACGGGAACCCACCCCTCGGCTTTGCTCAAACTCGATCGTATTCAACCCAACGATTTCGATTCGCCTCTCGTGCGTATCCCAGGTGGACTGAAAAACGCCGATCCCTCTTTCTTCACGCCGGCCATGCATCAGGATTACCACTGGGCTGCCACGCAACAGCTATCGATTGATCTGGATTTGACATTTGAAGAAGCGCAGACTTACGAATTTGAACTGGTCCGTGTGACGGATGGCACGGGCAATGTCATGGATGTGGCTGAATCAGCCAAGCAGCAATTCTTTGTACGTCCTCATCCTACCGCACAATTCCAATGCAGTGCCACCGATCCTCTCAAGTTACTGGTCGGTTCGCGATCGACGGACTTGCCTCTCAAGTTGGACGGTACAGGTCCGTGGAACGTGGTGTATGAATTTACCCCTGAAGGAGGTGAATCGGACAAGGCTTCCAAGGAAACCGTGCGTCTTAATCACGCTCAATCCATTCTCAAGGCCAATGCTCCCGGTGAATACCGCTTGTTATCCGTCAATGACAATTACTGCAAGGGCGATATCCGATTCCCATCCACGTGTCAAGTGATTCAGCCTCCGTTACCTGTGGTCCACGTCGAATCGACGCCGATTCCCTCCGAATGCGCAGGCGATGCTGAAGCTGGTATGAAGTTTGTGGTGGAATTCCAAGGTACCCCGCCTTTCAACCTCGAATACGTGATCACCAAGACCGTGGGTCGAAGCGAAACGGTGATTGCCAAGAAACGCGAACGAATTGATCGGGCTCGTCACATCTTTACTTACATGCCGGCGTCCAGCGGTGATTACACTTACAAATTCCTGTCCTTGGATGATCGTTATTACAAGAACCAAAAGACCGACATTGCTCCTCTACACCAACGAGTGCATCCCCAACCCGATGCTCGATTTAGCAAATCGCTTTTGGATAAACAGGCCATCCGTACCTGTATCGGCGAATCCGTCAATCTGGACGTCGAACTCAGCGGTACCGGTCCATTCCGATTGTACTGGACATTCAACAAGGAGAAATTCTTTGCTACGGTGGAAGGCAACAAGTATACCATTGCCCTTCCTGCCTTTGAAGCCCCCAATCACTATGTTGTTTCCTTGGTCAAGGTAAGTTTGCGTTAATAATGAATATAAGCACTCGAAGCATAAACAAGCAGATTAATGTTAAACATTTGGTTTAATGACAGATTCACGATGCCAATGAATGTGTGAAAGAGTTGGAAGCGCGCGATGTGATTGTGGATGTACGACGTGATCGACCTACGGCCTTCTTCTACACAGAAGACAAAGAGGACACCGTGGTTGAAATTGCTGAAGGATCCAAGGCTCGTTTGCCTCTTCGACTGACCGGTGAAGGTCCCTGGCGCATGACGTATCGCAACAAGGACAAGGACGGTGCCGGTACGCGATCTGTTCTTCTGAGAGACCCGAATGCTGAAGTGGAAGTACGCGATGCTGGTGAATACGAGCTGGTGTCGGTGAAGGATTCCATTTGCCGCGGTGATGTGTTGCCACCTCATTACATTGTTCAATGGCTCGATAAACCTTCCGTGTCCATTGTCCAAGATCAAATGGAGCTCCGTGCCGATGGCGTATATGAACGTGCCCCTGTTTGTGCCGGTGTGAATGATGCATTTGACATTCAATTCCAAGGTAAAAATTTAATCGAATGTTTACGATTGGGACCGTGGCAGCGTGCTCGGGCGGGATAGCGTCCTTGAGCGAGATAGCATCATTGGTGTATGGGCAGTCACTTATATATAATTTTTGTTTTTGTTCATGTATAGGTCAGGGACCCTTCTACTGCATGTACGATCAGTACTATGATATGCAACATCGACGTGATCTTAGTCTGATGAAGACGGAAGAAATCAGTTCGGGTCTGCGCAAGGCTCGCGTGCCTTTGGAAACGAAGCGTAGCGGTATCTATCAGTACCACTTCACGAAATTGGCGGATCAACGGTACCCGACGCCTTTCAAGACAAAATCGTTGGTGGTGGAACAAAAAGTCCACGGTATTCCTACCGTCGGTTTCAAGAAGCACAGCAAGGATCGCGTTCTGTGTGTGGGTGATACTTTTGATTCGGATGAAATGGAACCGATCTGGCTTGAATTCACCGGACAAGCACCCTTCACGATCAACCTGCGTGTGAAGCATCAGTCGGAACTTCACGGCAAGATTGTTACTCTGGATGGCATCGAGACACACAAGTACAAGTTATTGCTTTCAGATGAAATCGAGTTGCCTGGACGTTACGATTTGCAGCTTCTTAGTGTGAGCGATGGCCACGGTTGCGGTGCATCGGTATCTGGACCGGACGCCCTCACTTCGATTGATGCTTTGGATATTGCCACGATTTCGCCCATCGACAGCTGTTCCGAGCTTTGTGTGGGTGATAATATCGAATTCAGTTTATCCGGCATGGGTCCATTCACGGTCTCTTACACGTTCAACCATCAAATGGAAAAGATCAAGTCGCCCTCTTCTCGTCTATCCATGCTGGCCGACAAGCCCGGTAACCTGACCATTGTGTCGGTGGGTGATCAGCGCAACAAATGCCGCTCGTTCCCCAAGGGAATGACGAAAACCGTGCATGAAATTCCAAGCTCCCTTGTCAGTGGTGGCAAAGAAATCATTGAAAATATAAGAGAAGGTAAAAGCATGTTTAAAAAAAAGCAATGCAAAGAATATATTGGTTGGCTAATTTGAGTTTGGTTATTTATTTTGGTTTCAAAGGTGACATGGTCAAAGCGGTGGTGGATCTTGTTGGTACTCCTCCCTTTGAGTTTGTGTGGCAACGAAGCGAACTGATCTGGGACCATCAGCGCAAGCACCACTATAAAGGCAAAGTGCTTGAAAGTCATATTGTGAACGGTGTGATGGAGCATCGCTATGAAATTAATACATCTGTGGAGGGTGTGATAGAGGTATTTGAAAACGTCTATCATCTTTGATAGTCTGCACTGAAAATCATACTCATCTTTGTTTTCATTTCTATATAGGTTGTGAGTATCAAGGATCGATATTGTCAGTATCCTCGTGCGCATTAAAAGAGGTCATTCAATAGCATAAAACAGTAATGTCTGATGTAAATAAACCAAAAAATCAAGATGATTATTTGCTCATCGTGCATCCACTTGGTTTTTTTAATTGAAATTTCATGGAAATCAAGATGTGTCAACCGGAAAAATTACAGTCTGAAGTATTCGGATGACTCATGCCAGCCAAGTTGTATGAACATGCTAATGTATAAACTTTGATTCTTTGTTTGGAGGTTCCTTTTTCTTTGTTTTTGATGAGATTGCGGAACTCTTTTTGGCTGACAAGGTTGTGTACAAAGAGTAGACTAGAAAAGAAAAGACAGAAAAGAAGACAAGATAGGAAACAACAACTAGACTATATACATAATGGGGCATCTGGAAATCGGATATTTGTGGATGCAAGTGTGCAGAAAAAAAAACGAGGTTGAAATGTGCATGAGAGTTTTTTTTTTTTTTTTTTGGGGAATGGTGCAGCTGCATGTGTTGTGTGTTCGTGCGTTTTTGTTTGTTTGTTAGTTTCTCATTTCGTAGACTTGCATTTTTGTTATGAAAACGCACATGTTTCGAAGGATGGAGGACGCTGTGAAAAGAAAAAAAAAACTCTGATCGTTTGCATGCATTGTGTGACTAATAGCCATGACCTTTTTTAGCCTGCATATCTCGGCTTTTCCATGAGGTCAAGGGTAAGGAAGCCGAAGGATGAAACTCATCGGGTCCAGGACCACCTGTCACCGAAGGCATGGAAGGATGCGATCGAAAATACGACGATCGTGCAGCCGGCAATCCAAATTTGGGTTCTTCAGCACGTAAAAATGCGGTCAATGGGCGATGCACAATCGTATCTTGGGTTGTTTGCATCGGTGAAGCGGACCGAGTAGACGTCGGCGAATCCCCATTGTTGCGATGCGGGTGACGTGCAGAATGGAGGTGAGGCGATGAAGGCAGGAACGGTGAGGGTCCGATCAGAGACGCATCCGTGGCAGGACGCGGTGCACCGTTGAACAATTTCTGTTGTCGCTTGGTTTCGGTGAAATTGGGTGCATAAGTGTGAGGATGACGCTTTTCCGGGATGGTGGAGGAGTGAGAAGCAAACAGCATAGGCGGTTCAGCTTCGATGACCATCATCTGAGAATCGGGATAACGTGGATGATGCTTTGCATAAGGGTAACCGGTGGGATGTTGCTATTGAAACGAAGAGAAAAACAACCACGTAATGTAAATAAAAGCAAAAAAGTGACATGACAAGTCAAAAAAACATCCAACCAAGGGATATATCGATGAGGGATGGAAAAAAATAAAATCAAAACAAAGGGTTAATAGGATCCAAGCCAAACATCTTTCCAGAACCTTAAGATGGGTTCCATTAAAATCTAACCTTGTGCATGTCATGCATAAATTGTTTTCGTGATTCTTGGGGCAATGAATATGTTCGATGTCGGTTATGCGGATGAACCGTGGGTTCCTGTGGGAATGGAGTAGATGCTGGTGAATGATTACCTTGAGCTGGTGGAGGAGGAGCATGATGCTGATAAGCTGATGGTGCATGTGGCTGCGCCTGCGTATGCGTCTGCGGTGGTGGCGGTTGAGGTTGTGGTTGCAGCTGTGGTTGCGGCTGTTGCATGCCAGTGTGAAAAGGCATGGCCGGGTGGCCCATCATGTCATGTCCTGGGAAACCTTTCAAATCTGCCATGCTATCATTCTAGAAGTGACGCGAAAAAATAAAATAATAATGCATTAGCTTCATTTGCTATACAGCCGACTATTTTTTTCCTTCTTTTTTGGGGAAGCCCCCTCCCCTACCGGTCGGCGTCGGGCAAGATCGGCATAGGTCATGTAACTGATGTAAGCATGTAAAGCGTTCCTTCGCACTCTAGGATTACGTCTCTTTTTTTTGAGCAAAATGATGAGTAAGGAAAAAGAGGGACATGGGAAATGATTTGAGATGCCAAAGTTACCATATGATCGTATTGTCTTGAAAAGTTGTGATTCATTGTCATTGGTATGTCGGTCTGAGCGGTCTATGTCATGTCACAGTAGATGGTGATGTGTCAGTTGTCAAAAGGTAGGAAACACGGTTGACAGAAGAATGGGGGCTTACAGGGTGGCCGACATTTCTGGAAGAATAAGCCGACGATGGATGGTTTCTAGAAGGCGGATCATTTGACACGGTGGAATTACCGGATCTGAGATATCAATAGAAAAAAAAAAATAAGAGTCAACTGCTTATGTAAAAATATCCACTCCTGGTTCCTTTGTTTATCACCGACCCTTTTGTCGTTGCTGCGGAGACAGAATGCATGTACCGCCCGTTGTTGCCTTCCATGCGGCCTGCGTGCTGCGACAACCTTGCAGTGTGCACCATGCTATCATGATACTCCGCATAGTGGCGCACAGATCCATAACCTGCATTCGACGACATTCTTAAACGACCTACATACACGCCAAAAAAAAAAAAAAAGAAGAAATAGGGAGTGCAAGAAAAATGGATGGCGTTAAAACGGGCCAACATCACGAAATGAACAATCACCATGGATTTTCCCCAAATTCATTTTTTTTTCCAATCATTGAGCCCAATTGCTACGGAATGAATTGGGATGAACGGTGACCATGATGATGGATCGATCACGTACCATCAGGCTTCACCGGTGGTTGAGTGGATGGCGTCTCCGTAAATGCAGGAGCCGCTGTATGATACCGGCGCGCATCGTGAACTCTATCTAAATTAATATCGTTAGATAGATGATGCGGGAGATGGAGAGAGATTTCCTTGAAGTAGCAAGGTTCAAGGCACGTGCTGAGGATGCGATCTGCAGGTGAATATACGTACCGTCAATTTGCGTAGCATTGACGTTCATACCTAAGACAAGTCAGGGGCAGAAAAAGGAAAAAAAAAGGATTATTTTGTTTTGAATATGAATACAGAGTTCTTTGTTCACACACACCATTGGGCTCTCGTGAATAGATTTGTTTGGTTGGAATTTGCGATCCTTCTTCATAGTCCGCCGGTACGGCTCTCTTGGTTAAACTGATTTCCCTATCGTAGGAAGACGGGGTAGCTAAACCACCGCAGCCGTAAGCGCGTTCATGCTGTGAAAGGAAGAAACAGCAATTAGATAAAGGGGAAAAATGATCTAGTCGATAATGCAAAGGTGCCGGGGGGTGTACCTGTGTGTCAGGTGCTCGCTCGTCATCATCTGGTGGATTCAAACAACAACAAAAAAAGATAATTGGGATTAGGAAAAAGAGGGTAACTAGGATTAGGATAATTTTTTTTTTCTTTTTGTGTCATGTGTGTACAATTTGGGGCAAGGTGTTAAAAATCACTGACCTAGCAAGTTTCGGATAGACATCGAATGACTGCTCACAGACTAGAGAAACAAAAACAACAGGTCGGTGATGAATTCGCTTGATCGGCTTGAGTAAAACTCGCGAACGAAGCGCTTTTTACCTTTTCCACTGGTTGGTGTTCGTGAGGCGTTATTGGATGTTTCGTGGTTCTGTTTGCATGATTAGCCAGCGAGATCAAAATTGAGCCGGCTTCTGCTTCGTCGGGATTAACGTCCATGTAATCATTGATGGGATGTTCGGTTGATTGGAAATGATCGTTGGTTAACGTATGTCGTGAACGATGAGGATCCGTCGAAACCTGGCGCGGAGGTGAAGGAGGATGCGGATCGTTTCTATTCATCTGCAGTGGATAATAAAGAGAGCCTGAGCTCGACATGATAGTGATGGTTGGAAACGATGGGAAAAAAAAGAGAGGAAGACGCACCGACTGGAAAAACGACGCAAAGACGAAGAGACCGGTCGTTAGCTAAAAAGGGAAAAAGGAAATAAAAAAAAAAGAACAAGTGAAATAAGCTTAAGAATACGAAAGAAAAAAAGAAAGAAAGAAAAAAAAACGACGCAACCAAAAGCAAGAAAAAGGGGGAAAAGGATAAACACTGAGGGTGCAAACTAGGAGTCAAGGAAAATGAAAAAAAAAGAAGAGAAAGCAAAAGAATAAGACCAAGGGAAAGAAAAAAGAAAGAGAAGAGAAAAAGAGAGACGAAAAAAACAAATAAAAAAAAAAAGAGAAAAAGAAAAAAAGGTGGGTGGATGCTCAAGCTCCAATAAGGGAGCTGCTGGTGTGTGATTCTACTGCAACGCGAAAAAAAAGTATGCATTTGGGTGTATGTGCATGTAGTATGTGTATGTGTACGTGTTACAATACACATACAAAAACAGGTCAATGCTGACGGCTTCAAACGAAGGATAATCGATCAAGCCAAATATAAAAAAAAAATAATGGATAGGGACGGCAATGAAACGGTCACATGTACTGAGCGCATAATTCATAAAAGGCGTTTTGCATGCAGTAATTATCATGACCCTCTCTGCATGTTTTCTTTTGTGGGAGGTGGATTGAAGTAAAAGAATTTTTTGGGTTGGATTTTTTTTTTTCGTCCATGCATTGTAGTACAGAAACGGAGCTGCATCGGTGTACAACTGTGCTGCAGGAGAGTAACACCGTACCTTACAAAAAAGCACATGGTCGCTTGAGAAACTACATATAGACCACTAGTCCGCATATAGGCGACTGGCTCCTTGAGGGCGAGACAAAGGGCCATGGAAGAAATGGGATTTAAGGGAAAAGGGTTGAAAAACAAGACAATTTAAGTAGATGCTTATCAATGCTCTTCGATCTTTTTTCCCTTTTTTTTTGCCATCTCATCATTACTACATCATTCTCTTCTTCCTCATTCCCTCTCGAGTTCCCTCTATTTATTTACATGTCGATTTTTTCCTTGCATATCACAGTGGCGCTGAAGTTAGGTTCCACTACGGCACTCGACCATTTCCTTTTTATTTAGCTTTTTTGGCTTGTTTTTTTTTCTCACCTGCTTCGTGAAATGACAGGCTTGTCTATGCGCAGCCGACAACTTTGTCAGCATCGGGCATATAAACCGACAATTGATCAGCCCTGTTACTTTCTTACGATGCGTGAGCATGGCTCCGAAACCTTAAATTTATATTTTTCAAACTTTAAAATGGGTGGCCCCGTTTTTTTTTTTTTTTTTTTTTTGTTAAAAAAGAATATTAAGGGACAAACCCAGATGGAAAGAAATAAGGATTACAGTTGACGCAGGGTGGTGAGGGGAAGCTTGCCTGTGATTTTTATGTCCGACCCTTGTCACTCATCGTATAATAAGGGCTTGGAATACCTGCCTCTTTCTCTTTGATCACAGAAATAACAATTGCCCACCCATGTCCACACTGCAAGCCAATTGATGTACCGATCTTTGGCACACCCTCAATTACAGACTCACTAATTTAGCCAAACCTTGTATTGAACCCGTGTATGCGTCGCTTAATTTTTTTTCTATATTTTTGGTTAGTTTTTTCTACAGTGAAACCATCATGAACTCATAAAGAAATATAGCCAAGGTTTTCATTGTAATTGCGTGACCATGTTACACAACTTGACTTCACGCCACACTGGAAACCACGCTTTCCGTTGCCTATGATTCAATCTGGTGTAATCCTTTTTGAATGGTCAATAACCTTGTGCTAAATATGTATCAATATGTATTAGGTGACCCATTGATCCAGCTTTTCCCTCCGTCGCCTTAGATCATGTAATACCATGGTGATCCAGCTTTTTTATCCCGCCGTCGTATCAGGGACTACAGTAATATTCCATACTTATAAAATTCTAATCGACTCTTTATCAGGCCTGGCAACTTGCCTATCATATTTTTTCTTTTCAGGTTTGGACAGATAAACATTTTTTTCAAATCAAATGAGATCCATATGGCTTCCCGCTATATTCAGTCTTTTCCTCGGATTGTAACACTGTTATTTCGCAGTTCACTTTATAACATCAATCTTTCTTTTTATTTCATCCATTGCATCAGCCTTGCAGCAGCACAAAGTAGAAAGACCTTGATTCTTTTGTATCCCAGGGATAAGATGTACGATACCCAAACCCGATATACAGTAATATGATGAATCCAAGTCACTGAGCAACAAGGCATGGCAGTCGTTTCCAGCGCAAAAATGGTATGCCAACGAAAGCAAAACATCAATTGCAACATCATGGCTACGCATTTGATTTGTTTTCATTTGGTCGATTCCTGCCATGCGGTTTCTTGTCTGTTGTTGCAACAGGTATATTACCATATGAATTCCATGTTCAAGCTTTTATGGACATTCGTTGCCACGGACGACCTTGAATAGTGTTTTATTTTTGGCTCACGGAGTATGACCCACGACTTTTATGACTTTGGTCTTTTTTGTGGTCAGTATTCTTTCACCCCACCACAACATATCAATACTCGCATGGTGGCGGCATATCAGCCAATTCTAACTTTCGTCAAGTTATACAACATTTTGAAAAGAAACAAGTAGGCAATGTATCCATTTTGGTTTTTGGGAAATCTACAACATCAAATGTATAAAAGTTTATTCCTCATCCTCAGAAGCGAGAGTTTGTGCAATACCTAAATCGAGAAAAATAAGTAAGCGTCAACTTTCAACTGCTACCACGGTACCCATGGTATTGACAAAAATGCGTATCTGTGGTTACTTACGATCCAAATCTCTCTGACCATCTTGAGTGATACGGCGACCACTAAAAGTGAAGAATAGAAAATAAAATTAACATGAATACATGGTCACAAGAGAGTGATGTATATTGTTTTGGACGAACGCTTACCCCTTCTTGTCCTTTTCCAAGACACCGATCTTTTCCAAAGACTGGAGAACCTTGCGGTTGACGGAGCCGGAAGCATCAACGTGGTGGGAGGGGCGGGAACCGCGGTTGACACGGCCACCGTGAACCTTGTTCAAAGCACCGACACCGACGCTCTTGCGGATATAGATGTGACGAGCAACGGAGGCTACACGATCGCCGCGAACGTTGAGTAAGTTACATGGTACACTTTTGTGGTCGCATGGCACTCTAATCAAGTCATGAAAATGAAGAACTTACCAGCGCGGACAAAGTACCAATCGGGGTCATAGGGAGCGAGTTCCTTGAAGGTACCGGTCTTGACAAGATCGGCCCACTTGGGAACATCGAGCTTACCAGTGCGCTTCAAGTAAGCAGCATAGGCCTTGATGAAAGCTAACCGAGAAAACATCCACTCGTCAATTTATGGTTCCATTACTAAAATAAAAAAATAAACCGCCCACTGCATTCGTTCGGGTCGAATATGGCGTCCACATACCGTGAGCGTTGACGTCCTTAACAGTAACTCCAGCCATTTGGGGGTAAAACTTTTGTGCGAAAAGAGAAAGAGACAGGCTTGTCGAAATTTTGTTAGATTTTCTCTCCCACTCGAGAAAAAGCCACCGAAATCTTTCGTCCACCAATGACCGGCGGGGCTTGTCGTTTTTTTTTTTTCACCCTCCAAAAAAGCTCCACACACTTCATCGCCAATAAGGACCAAAGAAAAAGCCCTCTTTTCTTCCCTGTCATAACTTGATACCATCACTGTTGAATCACTTTCTCTTATTGATGGGACAAGGATTTTCTTCTTTTTTTGCTTTGTAAAAAAATATCTATAGTACGGTTTATTACATGGAGGATAATCATATAGATGGCGCAAGATAAATAAATCTACAGAGATTCGGTAGTGGGGTGGAAGAAGAAGGCGAGAGCCACAATTGAGTACGAGGCCTAAAATACAAAGAGAGAGAGTGCGTATGATGTCAGTATACATATTCTCGATCATTACGGGGTGTTATTTCCATGAATCACTTTACCAAAAGCAGAATTCCCTCGAGCCAATTGGATCGGCCGTCTTGAATGAGATAGTTGACGATCATGACGCTGGCAAACAGCACTACTGTTTCAAAATTCTCAAAGAACAGAGTCATGGGCTGGCCAATTATCCAGCCAGTGATCACCAACACTGGGGTCACTAACAACCCAATTTGCAGTGAAGACGAAATAGCAATACCAATACACAAGTTCATCTTGTCCTTCATAGCAAAAGTGACCGAACTCACATGCTCAGCAGCACTGCAAGCAAAAATTAATATCATTTGAACACATCACATCGACCATCTTACTTTACTTACTTTCCGACCAAGGGAAGAAGAATGATACCAACAAATGTTTCATTGATACCCCACGCGTCCACCACACCTTCGATACTGTGAAAAAAGAAAAAAAAGAAGTTGGAAATCTTTCAATCTCGGGTCCACGTGGTCTAATGCAAACTTACGCTCCAACAAGGAATTCTGCATGAAGCGAAACAAAGCCGGCGATCACCAACAGTCTATGCGAGAACAAAAAGAATATAAGCATCAGCTTTGCGATTTCTGGGTCTAAAAAAACTCGTCACTAAACTCACGATAAGACGGAGAACTTGAGTGTTGTTTGAGGAATCTCTTCTTCGTCGGCTTCATCTTCATACTGTAGAAACGTGAGAAACTCGAGTTAATATCCCAATTCATCATGTTTCTTCATCCTTTATATTACCAAGTGCGTATGCGTTTTCAACTAAAACGAAAATCGGGTTTTATCAATACATTGGTTTCCCTTATTGACCAACAGGTGGTGTGATGATGCTTACTTGGAAGAAGAGCACGAGGACATAGACGATCAAAAGGATAATAGCTGTGCCGTGACTGACATTTAAAATACCAATGCGAGCTTCCACATCGTCCGATACCGTGGCGGCAAAAGCAGCAGGCACCAACAGCGAAAGCGTCGTTACAGCAAGAAGTGAAGAAGAAGTCTGAGCGGCTATCAATCATCTTGACATGTCAGCATCATCTTATCGATATTCGACCAGAAAAGATGGATCAACCGTTTGAATAACACTTTACCGGTGACGTTGAAGCTTTGTTCCTCACGCGAAGCGCCTCCCAACAAGAAGCAGAAACCGAGAACCTAACAACAGCAAAAAAGGTACTGTCAGTTGAATGTTTCGCAGGTTTCATTGGTGTTGGTGATTCACGTCTTACCAAGAGAATATTGGATAAAATTGAACCCAAAACGGAAGCTGATTTCGGTGTTTGGTTAGTGAATTGGCAAATGGGGGGAGGAGGATCGCTGATGTGGATCATCGTCGGTTAAATTATTTTACCTTGGACCACACGAATTAAACCTTCTTTCAAGGCAATGATACCAAGAATGAGTTCAACGGCGTTACCAAAGGTGGCGTTGAGAAGCTAGAAAATACTGGTTAGTGATTCGATCTCGGAATGTGATCACATTATCATATCTGCTTACCGAGCCCCATACAGATCCGCAACGAAGAGCGAGTTCCTCGGTGGCTAAGGCAAAAAACCCCATATCAATCAAGGCACGTTCTTTCATGTGAAACCATGGGCACCCCGAACGTGGGTTCCTGTCCACTTACCAAAACCTAAAAGTTTGGCGAGCGGGATAATGGCCATAAAGTTGAGGGAAAACACCACAGTGTCCGAAGCATTGGTTGCAGACACTGCTAATGCAATGGGCACAAATGGTAAAAGAAGATTGAATTTCGAAGAGGTCATCGTGGCTTTCAGGGACGACATGAACGAAGGATCTTCGAAAGACGCACGACCACTACCAAGCAGAGGTTGATGTTCGCGACTCATGCTTAGTTTAAAGAAAACTAAAAAAGATAAGGACTAAGGAACGGAGAGAAACAAGTAATAAGAAAAAAAAAAGGCCAAGACTGTTACTAATTAATCATTTTTATACGTTCTTTTTCGTGCTACCGAATTTTTGAGTGCCAAAAAAGTCTTTGCCAACAAATTAAGCGAGTGGCGCGTGGTGCCACATCGCAAATTTAAAAATAGAGCTCTCACCCTGTCGTGATTTCTCGGCTGAGCTGCTTCATAGTCTTTTTCCTTTTTTCTTATTGCCAAGCTTGTATCCACATATTAACCCAAAAGGAGGTCCCACTACCTTGGTTTTTCATCCCATCTCCTTCTCCTCTACTCACTGACTCTGCCTTATGTGCCTTGGCCGTGCTCCGATAAAAGGTTAAAAAAAGTGAGTCCTGGCAGCAGTGCACCTCGTTATGAGTGATTAAAATGTGCTGATGAAAGATCAAGATTAATTTTGCACCATTAAAATTTAGTCAAAAGCCAGTAGCATAAATAATACCTTCATCACACTAGACTTTCATCATACTACAATATGCATATATGTTTTTACACCAAATGAGCACATACACAACCCCGTTCAAGGAGTCACGGTCTAATGTGTATACAATATAAGCTAAAATAAATGATTTCTTTCATTCTATAATGTAATCCATTTCCTGTGTTGCTGTAAACTTCAACAATAAGCCAGTAAACTTCAAACCGTACAATCCGCATGCTCATTCGGTTCATGCTGCGGAGTAACGAATGAAATAATGTGCGATGACGAACCGGGTAAAGTGGATACTAACGTCACATGAGTACAATATTTTTATATATAAGATGGACACGGATTACGTTGTTGACGATAATTGTGGTCCTGAGCCCATGGATGACATTGTTGATGAGAATGAATTTTTGCTGTTGAGACCCTTGCTACTCATAGTGGAGTACATGAAAACTATGTCCCCAAGTGAATGCTCCTTTACTTCTCCTATGTTGATAGAAAAGCCAAAAGATGAAGGTACTCATATGAAGGAGGCAGATGTAAAACGGGATTATGTGCCTTTTACTGTTTCAAGATAAAGCTCGGTTTTTCGGTTAAAGATTGAAAAACTGGGTGAGTGCATCAGCTGCAGCGAAGCAATTGGGTATCCACATTCGAACAGCGTACAGATGGGTCTTGCAACTACAACACGTCCATACTAGGTACTATCTCACAAGTAGGTTTGATTACGGTTGCCGTAAAAAAAAAAAAAAACCAAGACCTGCGAAGATGAGAAAAGTTCATGAGTATACCCGTTCACGAACTGTAGCAGGCCATTGCATTAGCTTCTTAAAATCACCCTCGATAAAATGGATAAACGTCCGCATAGAAAAGGTGACTATTTAGTTGGGATAATGCACCCATTCATACACTTCATACACATGAAAACGTAAGGAAGTATATTGAGTATCGAGGATATAAATGTGCGTCTCTGCTTCCTACTTACTCTCCAGAGCTAACCCCGATAGAACAGTTTCGGTCGTGGCACAGAGTAAGGTGAAGCGCCATAGAATTACGAAGGCCTGCAACCGTGTAGAGAAAAGCCACTTTAATGGTTTTGTTTCTCATTCTTACGATACAAGTGTTGGGATCAATGTCGCTCAAAGTGCCTATGCAAGAGTCAGCAAAGTCCTTGATCGAAAGTTTTTTTTTATTTTTTATTTGTGGTTAATACAAAATATGATTAAGTTTTTCGACGATGACTCAAATGACAAACATGAGATCGATCCTTTGAACATGAAAAAAAGCCTTGATAAAGTGTTCGTCAGATTGTTGGTCGATGGAGCGCAGCGTCAGCTGCAAAAATTCCATGAACTGAAGCTTCTTTGAATGATACATGGTCGCAATATCCCGATTCGTCGTGTCTGCGCGTGTGGTTCACTTGACAGTCGGCAGAGACGATGAAAGACATCAAGTACCAGTAGGAGGTGCCGCATATCCATGACAAGTTTTGATAGATCGCGGATGGAATTGGAACGGTGACAGCTGCGAGCTCATAAAATCAGTACAAAACCAGATGATGGAAGCGTCATGTAGAATGAGACTCTGTTGCTCACAGCTTGAAGGCCAAGAACACCGTCCACGTTATATTCATCAAGAGCGTCTTTGCAAAATATTGCCACCCGCATGAGATCACTGCAGAGCATGTATTGTTGTCGGATTCCACCATGAGTTCAGCCTCTCCATAGGCGCTGCTTGTCGCCCAATGAATGCCTCTGGCACACGTAGTTGTTATATCTGGACGCATGTTCGTCAACATGTCCCTTTTCTTGACTTCTATGGTTCGTCCATCGAGCCGCCGGAAGAAAACGCCTGAAGACGGATCGTCAAAAAGCCCACACAGGAAAGGTTCCACAAAGCGGGTATTTGTTCCATTTCACGATTATTCTGGACCGGTTGAGTCGCTTTGGATAAGACTCTCTCTCCATGACGCTAGACAATCTCGACATCGTTCATGTAACATCAACACCGAAAGGATTCCCAGAGAAAGTCGAAAGCATTGGCATCCTCTGCCTGCATTAATGCCGCCATGTGGTCAAAGAGGGCCTTTCTTCTTGCTTGACGATAGGCAGAGGTTCATTCGAACCGTCTTCGTTATGGTGGAACGAAGGATGTCCACGAAGGCGCAGCAAGTAAAGTAGCAAGGAGAAAAAGGAGACGCACGGCAAATGATGACGCGTGCTAGCATAAAATTAGAGTTTCAAAATGTTGGCCTGTTTGGTCGGTCTGTAAATTTTTGGTTTGCAATGCAAAATGAAGGCGGTGTGACTGGTAAAGGCGAGACGGAGCCATGGGGAAGAAAAAAAGGGCCGATCGATATCATTTCTCAGTAGACCAGCATGGCACACGATCCGCAGACGGAATCATCGAAAGTCAAACGAGAACCCAATGTGACGCGGGATCAGTTCATTGCCAGTATTCTTCGCGGTGGTGAAGAAGGCCTCTTGGACACCGTCGACGGCATGGATTTCGATCAAGATAACCTGGACGACTTGGTTGTCGACGGCGACGACGATGACGATGAGGACGACGATATTCCTGGCTGGGACGCAGCCGACGCGTTTATTGACGACGATGAAATCACGCAAGTGTCTACTTTATCTGTCACTCCGTTTTATAATGTGCTGACATTTTTAACGTAAATTGTTATTTCTTTGGCTACCCCTTTCTTTTAACAGAAATCTGCTGAATCAAACCAAGGAACGACGATTGCAAGCTAAATCGGGCAGTTTGAAAGAAGCAGCAGAACAATTTCAGAATTTTGAGGATGAACTGATTGTGACGAGCGGCATCGGTAAAGTGCGCCACCGTAATCGACGTAGTGTGTTGGCGGGAGAAGCTCGCATTCCAGAAGAAGCCCGCACTCGACTGGGAGAAGCCAACTCGCTGTATATCAACAAGAACTTTGGTGCCGCCATCGATCTGTTGCAGGAAGTCATTACCGAATTCCCCAACGTGTACCAAGCATGGAATACTCTCGGTCTCGTTCACGAAGAACTCGGTAATACGGACAAATCGCTACAGCTCCGCATGGTCGCCGCACACATGTGCCAAGACGATGCAGCCCTGTGGAAAGAACTAGGTCTAAAATCCATGTAAGCAGGAACCTTTATTTCCATTTTTTATGGGGCATCCATATCAGACCAAAAATCAACTCAACTCTTAACTTTACTCTTTGATCCTTGCAGTGAGAATGATGCTATTCAGCAAGCCATTTACTGCTTGTCCAAAGCGCTGACCCTGAATCCGACCGACGTTGATACCCTGTGGGATCGTGCTTGCCTGTACAGAAAGCTCGGTAAAACCACTGAAGCCATTGATGGGTTCCAGCAGATTCTCGATATCGTCCCGCATCACTTCAAAGTCATCAACGAATTGGCTCAACTGTATCGCACCAAAGGTCAAACAACAGAAGCCATTGAACTGTACGAGAAAGCCATCGAATACCATCAAATCAATGAAAAAGTGGAAGAGGAAGAAGAGGAAGAAGAAGAAGAGGACGAGGAGGATGATTTCAAGGATAAACTAGGTTACGCGGAAATCAACATGCTCAGTGAACTGTATCTCATGCTCAATGAATACCGACGCTGTCTGGACTGTATGAAAACTGGTGTCCGCTATGTCCAGCACCGACAGCACGAAACATGGTGGTTTGACAATGACGACGAAAAAGATGACGAGTATTTGAAAGAAGATGATGAAGAAGCCGCATCGGATCGCTTAGAATTCCCCATTGAATTGCGTGTCCGCATGGGCGTCTGTCGCTTATACCTTGGCCAAGTCGATATTGCTACTGTAAGTAAACTAGCACAGCGTCATGGCACCACCGCAGTCCTTACATTTTTGGTCATTGCCATTAGAAACATTTCAACTATCTGCTACAATACCCTGCCACGGCTTATCCCGACTTGCACCAAGATATTGCTTACGCTTACATGGATAAACGACATTACGATCTGGCACTTTCGGTATTCCAAAAAATCATTGACGTCTCGGATGTAAGTTCTGCTACAAGATTTGCCCCTTTATTGCCTTCCTCCAAAGCCAATGGTCAACCATCCATATAGGAAGTTGAGGTAGACTTACTGATTCGCACGGCCGAGTGTTATCACGAAGCGGGAGATCTTGATACAGCGGCGATTTTCTATGTCAATGGTAATTCTTGCGATAACATCCAAGTTAAAAAAGAGGAGCGTCCTTTGGCTTATTAAAAGTGGTTGCCAATAGTGTTGGATGAGCAACGCGAGAACCTTGATGTCATGATGGCTTTGGCCTCCGTTTATGAAGAACAGGGCAAGGAAGACCGAGCTTTGGAATTGGTGGAATTTGGTAAGCTTTGATCACCGTATGTGCGTTTTTCTATGCGCGGCAGAGGACGATTGGCTCACAAGTTTGCCAGTGATGAAGAAACATCAAGAGGCACGCCGACAAAAGAAGACGGCTGAGGAAAAGTCAGCGGCCGAGTCGTCGGAAGGCGGTCCCTCTTCTGACAAACCGGGTCGATTGACCCAGAAGGCGTCGCTGTTCGATGAAGCCAAAAACCAGACCAGGACAGAACGGTACAGAAAATTGAGAGAACAACGCTTGGCCGAGGATGAGATGAAAGAATTGCAAGCCCGCAATCTTTTTATGAAAGCCGAAGAATTGGAAGGACTCATAGGAAACAATGTGGCCAACGCAGATCGTCATCTCATGCGCGAATTCATGCGAATTGCGCAAGAATTATGGGAAGATTTTAATCACACAAGAGCGTTTTATCCTTCCGTGAGAGTAAGTTGTTCTTTTTGTACATTGGATTCGACAGTTTCTATTCGTTGAGTTGACAGATGGCGGGCTTTTCCGTAGGAGCGACGATTTGAGGGGTTCTATGCTGTGCGAAGAGGTCGACGGCAGCGTTCTTCTACTGGTTTTGAAGCGCATCAAATGGCGAGCCGATTGCGCGACCGCATCAAGCGAGAAGACGGGGGTGTGGTGGAAATAATCAACGAAGAAGAGGATGAGCAACTTAGGGATGAAGAGGAACGCGAACTGCAAATGACCGAAGCCAACCATTTCCGTCAAATTCCCTTTGTTAATTGGCTTCGTGTTTTTATCAAGGTAAAGTGATTTCGGATGACCCAACATCAAAGGTGGCTAAAACTGACTTGACTTTTTTTTTATTGGCGCCACAGTATGCCATCATGCTCACGGCCACTCGACGATCCGAAAACGCGTATGATCTTCTGAAACGAGTCTGCGAAGCCAATGTGTTCTATCATGATGTGACGAAAAAGACATCCATCAAAGCCGCTTTAATGTGTTTGTATTAAAACCTTTGTGAAATGAACCGAGGTATAAGAAACTTACTCTTTGTGATGCTAGGCTGCGGTCTCATTAGTGGAAACTATCACATTGTGAACGAAGCATGTCGATGGTTCTCGAATTTCTACCAGTTCAAAAGTGAACCGTATCGACTCTACTGCACTGCATATTCCAGGTAAAATGATCTCTGTTGAGGACTGACTGCATCATGCCCTCTCCCTTCAACTTTTTGTGCTCACGGGTTTCGGATGCGATTTGGCTTTCCAATGAAATATTTAGTGGTATCCAAGATATGCATGCGTTTATTGCGCAGAGCAACATGAAATATTACGTGCGCAACATTCTCCTGATGGATGCGGTGGTGGCGCGAGAACGCGTATTGGCCGGTGATAAAGATAGTGTGGTAGGATTGGAGGAAATCAAGCAGTTGAAAGCGGTGATTTTGGCCATGAATGTCGATCCGTCCGCGGCAGATGAGCAAAACTACAAGCGATACTACCACGTCCCTGCGCACCTTGACGTCAAGGCGCAAAAAATTATGGGCATTGAAAACCCAAAGCGAGTTAATCCGGTATTGCTCACTTTGTTTGGCCATTTCAACAGTCTTTCGCGAAATTACGTTTCGGCGGCCTGTAAGTCGAGCGAGAAAAGAAATAAGAGTTTTATCGTGTAATTTGCCTCTGACAAAATGGATACTAGTGTTTTACATGAGATCGTATGCTTTGTCTCCCAAAGATCCATTGAATACGCTGTCCTTGGGTATCAGCCTGCTGCAATGTGCGATGCAACGTAAAACAGATAACCGACATTTACAAATCATGCAGGCAAGTAGTCCACTCAACTGTCATTGTATATTCCTATTTTCGTCTGACTGATACCTCTTATCAGGGCATGATGTTTCTCTTTGAATATAGAAAATTACGAGGTCCTAACCAAGAGACTGAATATAATCTTGGACGTGCCTTTCATCTTTTAGGTAAAGCCAAAAGACATGTCGATGACATGGAAGTTTGACCGATTTTTTTATTGTTCTTTATCTGACGCATCTCCTTGGTTACAGGTTTAACTCATTTGGCGGTGCCACATTATGAACGCGCGTTATGTTTACCTTCGGCCGCGAAGCAGGGAAAGGTGGCGGAAAAGGATATCAAGGATGTATACAAGTGGCCGGTAGAGCATGAGGACGTGGATGAGAAAGAAGACAGCTCAGACTTGACATGGGAAACGGCCTACAATTTGCATTCCATCTATATCACCAGTGGATCCCCCAATCTAGCGCAAATTGTACTTCTGAAATACTGCACGATATAGAAAAAGCATCTAATACCACGTTCATCGATGGATTTCTGTAGCAGTGACTCGGAAAACTCCCATCTTCCCATCCCCCTTGTGCATAACATGAACTTTAACAGCTTTCAGCATTAATAACCATCCGTATCATGGCAAAAACAAAAAAAAAAACTATGAACAGTATTACTACAATAGAATGTTTGTCGTGTTTCAAAGAAAAGAAAGAAATGATACGCCTAATGATCTATGGTTCTCTTTTTTTTTTAGAATTCGTAACCTTCGACCTTGAACAGTTCACCGTAATCAAAATAGCGGGTCATGAGTTTCTGCACGGGACGAGGAAGATTCATGGAGGTTAAAATGTTTTGCATCTTGGACAATCCAGCGGTTCGGATCAATTTGTTGAGACTGCAAGCGATTTCAGTCGGATACTGCGGAAAGTCATAACAGTGAGTCATCATACACGCGGTGATTATAGTTTGCTTCTCCACTTACCACAATCTCATGGTACCAACGTTCATGGTATACCGTCAATTTGACAGCCGCCACCAGTGCTTTCTGAACATTGCCTTCCTTGGCATAGATTTCTAGCAGACGCATCCATGATTTGGCAGAGAATTTATGATCCAAGCATTGCTCGTATGCTTCTTTTGCCTCATCCTATAGCGTATAGCGTAATCAATCGTTCAGCTGGATAATGAAACTAACGAATACGCCTTTTCTCAAATTGTGTTTACCTCGTGCCACAATCGAAGCGCCAGGTCACCCAGTAATTCCCATTCGGTGCCTGTCTTGCGGTAAGGCATTTGCTGAGCACGGTAGTGGGCGGATTCCGTTCTCCAAAAGGTATATACACGCAGATCTTCGTATAAGACCATGAAAAGATTATCAAGCCAGCGTTCGCAAAGTCGCTTGTTGCCAAACGAGAAGCTCGCTTCCTGCTTGGCGGGCGTCTTTGCTCCCTCTTTCTTTTCCTGAATTATGATTCGCGTCAGTCCCGCTACCATATGATATTGTCTATGGAAAATTAGGTACCTTGTCGTCTTCCGCTGCCTGGACCGGTTTCTCTAAAGACGTTTGGTCAATGTGAGGGCTGTGGCTGGATTTCTCTTCCGACTCGGCCGTCGGCGCATCGTCATCCAGATTGACGTTTTCCATCTGTTCCGTTAGTTCATCCTTCTCTTCCTTTTCTTCGGTTTCTTGTTGATTCTCTGCGGAGGATCCTCCTTCGGTTGGCTGGGTGGCGGCACCTTCATTCGTCGCCGCTTTGTCTTCCAAAGTGGGGGACGACGCAGACTTGGCGTCGGAAGCTGACGCTGCTTCTTGCTCTTGTTCTTCGCGAGGTTGTGAGATACTGATTTTTTTCTCTTCTTCTTTGGCCTTTTGCATTCGATATTCTTCTTCCATCACAAATACTTGGGATCGGCATCTCAGCAGATCATCCCAGCCAATTTTAGCCGCCAAACGCGTCAACAAAGCATACGCCTTGGAAAACGTGCCATGCAGTGCCGGCGCAGGAAGACGTAACAAATTCGAATCCGCCTATCATGACAAAAACAACAAAGAAAAAAAAAAGCAATCCATTTAACATCAGCTGTGAACCCCCCCCCCAAAAAAAAAAGAAATGGGATCCGAAATCTTCACGACAAAATTCGTACCTCGGTTTCGCGGCCCGTGGCATCTTCCTCCATGATACCCGAGCTGATGATATCGGGTTTTACAGGGAGATGGGTTCGTGCTGGAGGTGGCATACGATGCATATCACGTTCACTGTAAGTGAACATGGGACATGAATTGAGTGTCAGAAGAGCCTAAAATCATGGCTTGTAAGTTGACTCTATTTTTTGAAGATCCATAGTGATAATAATAAAAAACAAGGCGCCTTACATTTTTATAGTCCTCGACGTCAATGTACACTAAAGTATTTCTTAAGTATCGACCTTGGTGAAGGTTTTTGTGCTCCAGTTTTTAGACAGAGACAGGATCTTACCTTCGGTTAATTTAGCCCACGTCAAGAATTCGGAAGGTGTGATATCGACTGCAAATTTGGCAAGCTTCAGAGCCATTTGATACTCTCCCTAAAAAAACGAGTTAATGAAAGATGCGCAACCCTTTTCTTTGGGGGAGGTGGTGGACCATGTTTCCTGGGTTACCTTGCTACGCAACAGGTCCACTTGGACGTGAAGGAGGGGATAACTCATGGGTGCGGATTTCAGATCGTGGTAGAGCACTTTGACCGCTTTCACTTCTTCATTTTGACCGATATATGACTGCGCCAACAGAGCACCGACTTCGGGATCCTTCTTGTGCAGTTTCTCGAATAATTCAATGGCAGGTCCGTATCGAAAACTATCCCCGAAATACTTCATGACGCCCGAGGTCAGGTGATTATGCACCGAAGTGGCCACCTGAATCTCAGGTTTGCTTCCCAATTGCCATCCTAAAATTAGGAACGATGGATTAAAACGATCCCGAGCTCGATTTATCCCAATCACAACTTGGCGAACTTACCCTTCCAGTACAAGGCGTCCACCGCTTCCAAGAACCGCTGTTCGGCTGATAAACTAGTGATGGGATCAATCTTTCGGTAGCCGGCCAAACGATAGTAGCTGTCGTCGGAATAAAGAATCGCGCGAAGCACCGCAGACAGATAGGTTTCTTGCCAAATGGTGGCAGTGGCCTCATGACTACCATGTTCCACTTTTCGTATCAACGATTTCCTCTTTTACGTTGTGCAAGAACAGCTATTCTTTTGGCTTACCGTTCACCTCGTACATCTACGTAATAGCTTTCCACACCGCCCGGAATCTTGACTTCCACTCGAACATCGACACGAGAAAACGCGTTAAAGCAACTAGCCCAGGACAAAAAGAAAAAGTTGATCAAGAGGTGAGTGTCTTGGACGCGGTGTGTCTCGCTTTGAATCCTTTTTACCAGTAGATGCCTGAGCGGATGCGCCATGCATTTGATTTGGGGAACCAGGACTGGGATTCATCCTGTTATTCGCTAATGGATGAGCGCGCGGTTTTAAATTTTAGTGAGTAATAAGCTTGTCGACTACTGACCATCGAATACGTGAGTGAGTTCAGGTAAGCGGCTAATGTGGCGGATGATGAGGCATCCACACCAGAGACGTAGTGATAACTGCCAACCTATAAAGGGAATAGAACACGTTGGAACAAAGAGTGTTGCTGGTAGAGTTGAAGGGCGGATTACGAACGTACATCTTTTACACCGGGCTTGGCATTGGCTTTAATGATGTGACACAGATCAGGAGGACCTAATTCGCGGAACGTGCCTGACAAAAGAAAACAAGCGTGAGTACCATAGAGACCAGGTCAAAAGGTACGATAACCGATGAACCAGAAAAAGGAACACCAGTGCCAACAAAGAAAAGAAAAAGGGAAAAATCGAGTGGGTCCCTGAGAAGGGGCAGAGAAAATAAAGTAAATTCCATGTACACCGTGCCACTTACCCAAAGCATCGCTTCGCGCAATGATGGACTCTCCAAGGTCCGTTTCGAAAAACTCTGGAATGTCTTTAAGCGTTTCCGTCATGGTCTTTATTTCAGTTGCAGCTGGAACAAAAGCGAAAATAAAGCACCGGCTCCAAAATTGGCGACAAATCCACTGCGCGCGAAAACAGCAAGATGCGTCGCGGCTAAAATCAGCCAATCACATCACGCCCACCTTTGCACACCGCTCATGAGAAAAAGCTGGCATCCGATTGCATGTCGCGCGTTTATCATAAACCTCTGAAACGCATTTCATTGTTATTGATCTACAATATGCCAATAAATCACACAAAGGCTACGTTTCGCTTGAGACTCACGGTTTTCAAAATGGATGTGTATATGCATACAAGTTTTAGATTCGTTTAAAAACGACTTTTTTTTTGGTAGAATATTATAGTTTTTAAATAAATATGAGAGTGAATGCAGTGTTCCTTATGCTGACAAGGTTCGATTTTCTAGGGTGGCTCGCTCCACGGCAAGCATCCATGCTTCATCCTCAGTGTCTGCCAGCTCTACAGCATGAACACCAAGTCCACCCACCGACGTCTGATAGCAATCGAATCCTTCGGCTGCCAGTAATTTCATCACCTCATCAATGGTTGTCTGCGGTACATCTAAAACCACAAGATTATCACATATAAGTCCATGTTCTCTCCCAACTTATTTCTATCCGTAGCCATGTCACGTACCATTTCTCATCAGGGTGACCGAGCATCCACCGCCACCAGCTCCTGTCAGCTTGGTCGACATACCGTGGTCGGTGGTGATCGACTTGATCTTTTCAAGACTGGCGTGACTGACACCTAAAGCTTGTAACAGACAATGATTGATATTCACAAGGTCCTGAAAAAGAGACGAGCCACACGAGATGAGATGGACTTGAAAATCCCGGAGAGAGGTTGATTGCCTTTAACATACCTCGAGTTCTTCCATTAACTGGGCTTCGGAGAGCTTTTCTTGTCGATACAAAAGGAAGGCGTCACGACAGCGTAAAGAAACGCCATCAATGGCATCCAAGATAGGGTCAATGACCTGGGGGTACTTGATCTTTCTCGTCGTCACTCCGGCAACCAAAGCACTCGTTGATCGTGGCACCTTGGTATTGGTCAGCAACAGCCTCAGCGACTGGAAACCTTCCAATGTTTTGAACCCTTGTCCCTTTACAAATGTCTTGGCTCCACCTAAATTGTCATACCATAAAACATTTTTCTCTTTAAAAAAACAGGCTCCTGACAAGAAAGAAATGGTATGGATCAAGCGTTACCATAAGTAGCCACAGCGTTGTCTACACCACTGGGGTTGCCGTGAATGACTTGTTCCGCTCGGAAAGCGTAGCGATTAATTGTTTCGAGATACTGTTCTTTGTGTTCCGATGAAAGGAAATCGTGGGGAATGTGACCAAATTGGATCAGCAAAGCGGTGGCAATGCCCACGGAGTAACTGGCCGAACTGCCGAGTCCCGCGCCCACAGGAACAAACGAACGCGTGCAGATGGACATGCCAGACAGTTGACGGTTTTTCGGGGCGAGAGCAATGTACAGACAGAGGAAAGCAAGCGTCGCCTGCTTTTGAGCAGGGATCGCTGTTTCACCCAACAAGTTATCAAATTGAGTCTGCAACTCGGCAGAAACGTCCAACGGATGCCGGGTATCTGTGTCAAACGTTCTGAGTCACGGGACTGACGACGGCGCCTTCCATCTGTCCCAGAAAGCACGGTGCTTACCTGAGTCATCGTCGGTCATGGTCAGGGGTAATTCTGAAATGGACCATTGGCGTTCGCATTGGACGTCAGGCAGTTGAAGGTGAATGATATTGTCATCTCTTTGGGTCATGTGAAGAAAAGCACGAAGTCCCAACGAGGCGGCCACCGCATTCTTTCAGATCGTCAATAAAATATAAAGCTAGACTTCAGAGAAGCTCAGAAATGATAAAAACTCACTTTTTGATGGACCACTGCATGTTCGCCAAACAAGATGACTTTGCCTGGAGCCGAGATCAGCATACGTTTAGGGACTCGGGGCATAGTACTGATATCAACCGTCATGGTACGATGAAATGCGTGAAAAATGTCAATGATAGGGGGGGAGATGAGAAGAAAACAGAAGCCTCGAGCCTTTTCACAGCAAACGCATTAGTCAAGGGGGCCCAATTTTCTTGGTTGCCTGAACCAAAAAAAAAGTTTATACGCCACGATTGCCTTTTTTAGAAATCTGGAAAAAGATCGTGGCTCATGCGGGACGCTCTCTCTTACTCTATGGCAAGGCCGATAAATTTCCCCCATTCAAAAAAAAAAAAAAAAAAAAAAATCGGTCAATATGAGAAAATAAACATTGAGCGATGATGAAAAAGATCATTTACTGGGTCATGGATAGCCTGGTTTTTAGGCTGTCAAGCTAATTAGACCCTTCTGACAGCATTCAAATGAGTCTGCAAGCATCAAGCGTGTAACCTCCTTTCGTTCTTAAAATGGTAAATTATACTCGAGCATGCAGATGGCCGACATGATGTTTTGGTTTGATCGTCTTGCCAAGAAATTTGGAATGACAGAAGCTTTTCGAGCTCCAGTACGTGGCCTACCAGCTGCGGCGTTTGTTGGCATGGCGATCGAGTCCATGCACGCCAAGTCTTCCCTATCGATTTCATTTACGAGATTGCCATGAATATAGTTCGGAAAAAAGTTTGCAAGGTTTATGCATGCTGCAGCAACTGTGGTGGACCGGTGTTGGCTTGCGTGTTCATGACGCTTACTTTCATCACGTTTCCCTGAAGAAGGAAAAATCAGAATGGATGAAAACACGAAAAGGTTTCAGGTATTTTAATGCACATCATCTTGATGAGTAAGAAACCCGGCAAGAATTTTACCTTCAAGTAGTATGTGCTTACAAAATATGATGAATAATGATGATGTTGGCGGCCCGGTTGAAAGCAAAAAGACCACGACCGTCTCCCACATGTGCGGTAATCCACAGAGCTTATTTGATGCTGAGTTTTATTCTACCGCACAGTGATCGCAAAGTGGCCAGTCCACGTAACACACCTTTTTTTTGTAATGTAACCTTCCTGTGTCCATCGGACCGTTGTTGCGGTTCAAGGACGTGGTTCCATAGCAATAAAATGGGATAATACATTCAATTTTTCCTTAAAAATACATATTCTAAAACTTATTGAAATGGTATTTTCATCAAGTTCATCAACATGGAAACTATGTGATGAACCATGGAAAACCAAAACACCATTCGCCCGGAGGGCGGTTACTCAAAAAGACGAAATGTTTGCCTAAAAAGGGATATTGTGCTCGTAGATAAGGTTTTCATTGGATACGGAGTTTATTTTTTTGCCTTTGCGTTTTCTTGACCTTCGAAGGGAAATATCCATGGGTTTAGTTTCAGAAGATCTCGAAGGGAAAAAAAGTGCTTATGGAATGGAAAACCATACCATCTTCCATACGTCTGATTACTTCCAAAAATTGCTAATTACATGAAACTAGCACGGAAAAGGGTATATTCACAAATTAACAGAAAACGCCCATTCTTTTTTTCTTTTTTTGGTCCCTACAAGGGACAAACAAAAGAAAAAAGGAAAACCAACCATAGTGGCATCAGTTCACAGTGAACGGTAACAAAGACTGCAAGTGGTAGATATATTCCTTTAAAAGGACCCGGGAACTTGAGCCAATCACGGACCGGGAATTAAACACGTTTGCAGAGCAGTAACAGTGAGTTGAGCTTTGTAGTGATTTAGTAATGGGACACACAAAAAAACAGTAAAAAAAAAAAAAAAAAATTGTCCAAAAACGATGAGACAGTGGTAAGAAACCGGGCGGTGGCGAATCGTTGGACAAGTTTGGATCAACGAGTTAAGCGGCCACGCGTAGAAGAGTCGAACGTTGATTGGCTTGTGATAATATGGAAACAATGGAACGGCCCCACTCAGCGATTCGAAAACCGTTCATAACCAATGAAAGAACGCTCACACGACCTCACTTGAGCCAAAGATTTTTTTAATTTTTTTTTGGATCAAAGAGAAGATCCCCCATCCCGGTAGATCACCTATAAAAGGAACGCATCATTTTCCTGATTCCTTTCTTTTTTTGTTTTCATTATAACCTTTATCTGTCCTCTCTCTTCCTTACCTACTCCCATTTCTCATTGTCCTTGAACATGACAGCTGCCTTGTCCATTCAGGAGCAACAACAATTCGCGACAGCCGAAGAAAAGTTGAAGAGTCTCGAGAGACTCGACGATGGCGCTGGCAAACAATGGAATTGGTTTACTATCCGTACGATTTTGACTTCCGGAGCCGGTTTTTTCACGGATTCCTATGATGTGTTCATCATTAACTTGGTGACGCCTATGCTTGGTTTCGTGTATTATGCTCACAATGGCAACAAGATCCCTTCGGATATTGAAGGTATCCTCAAGGGCATGGCATCCGTCGGTACCTTGATCGGTCAACTTGTCTTTGGTTTCATGGGTGATATCTTTGGTCGCAAAATCTACGGTCTCGAATTGATGATCATTATTCTCGGTACCATCAACTGTGCTACTTCTGCTTCCGCCATCCGTGGTGTCTCGGCCATTGGTTTCCTTGGTCTCTGGCGTTTTATTCTCGGTATCGGTGTGGGTGGTGATTACCCCATGTCAGCTACCATTACCTCGGAATGGTCCTCGGCCGGTCGTCGTGGTATGATGATGGCGCTCATTTTCTCCATGCAAGGTATCGGTAACTTGGCTGCTGCCATTGTCACCTTGATTCTTTTGGCCATTTTCAAGAACGCCATTATTGCCGATGTCATGAATTTGGACTATGTGTGGCGTCTCTGTATCGGTCTTGGTGCCGTGCCTGCCGTCGCTACCATCTACCTTCGTTTCACCATGCCTGAATCGCCCCGTTACGCTCTCAATGTGCAGCACGATGTCGAAGCCGCCGCGGCCGCCAAAGGTCAACAAGCCTCGGATGAACTGGTCAAGCAATACACCAAGGTCGAAGAGAAGCGTGATCACTGGGCCGAATTCCGCGCTTACTTTAGCCAGTGGAAGCATTTCAAGGTTCTTCTTGGTACCTCGTTGTCTTGGTTCCTTTTGGATGTCGCTTTTTACGGTATTGGTCTGAACAACACGTATGTGCTTTCGGCCATTGGTTACTCCAACAAGGACACTCCCTTTGAGACCTTGTGGGCCAACACCGTGGGTCAAATCATTATTACTTGTCTTGGTTCCGTTCCTGGTTACTACTTGACCGTCTTCCTCATTGAACGTTGGGGTCGTCGTCCCATTCAGATCATGGGTTTCGCTGTGTGCACGGTTCTCTTTGCCATTCTTGCCGGTGCTTACTACAAGTTGCGCGATGAAGCTTTGCCTGCTTTCATTTTCATTTTCACATTGTGCCAGTTGTTCATGAACTTTGGTGCCAACAGCACAACATTTATCATTCCTGGCGAGGTGTTCCCTACCAAGGTGCGTGCTTCCGCTCACGGTATTTCCGCTGCTTCTGGTAAAGCCGGCGCTATCCTGGCCGCTTTTGCTTTCAACGTGTTGGTCGATATTGGTTCCACCAAGAAGGGTGAGCACGCTTTCTTGCCTCAAACATTGGGTATCTTTGCCGCTGTCATGTTCCTCGGTCTGGTCGTCACGCTGCTTTGGATCCCCGAGTCCAAGGGCAAGGATCTCGAAGAATTCGAAGAAGGCTACATTGCTCCCGTCGCCATGGCCTCGGGCTCTTCTGGCAATTCCAGCGTCCAAGATGAAGCCATCCTTCACGATGCAAACTCTGGCGCCGCACAGAAAGTCTAGATAGACCAACCTTTTTTTTATCTCCTCCATTCTCTTTTTATCTCGCATGTAGTTTTATTGTATCATCTTAATCCCATCTATTTATACGCTCTTCTTTTGTAAATATACCATTGATCTCTTTTTCAAAAATCATTATTAAACAACTCGCTGATTCAAATTGACATTCTGCCTCTCACTGAAGAAAAAAACAAAGGACGAACGAGCTAGTACATTAACGAGCCAATGCTCACTTCTGACAAAAACTGAAAGCTGATTGATTTTTGGTGGGTTTAATTCAATGATGAGGCTTTTGTTTGTCCTTCATATTACTGTACATATTGGACTTATTGTTTGGGTGATCTGTTATTACGAAGTTTTGTTTGTGTTGATTGATTTTGTTTGTTACTGCACACCATGTAAATTTGACAACAAGTGTCTTTTTTTTCCTACCAATGACAATAACATCTGTGACAGTTGAGGCACCTTGTTTAATTGTATTCTCGGCTGGTGATCCATGTACTTGGTGCTTCATGCACTAGTCATCCAGCCTGAAGGAGACTTCCTGTGCGATACAGCGTAATAGGTGCGCTGGGGTTATTTTTTGTACAACCGAATGCTGTAGTATGACGTTATGGTTCTAATTTTTTATTCATGGGTTGCATGGCCTATCTATACGGTGCCATCTTTGATACCATACGATGCTGATGGCATTGAAAATTTAAGAGCGTCACTTGTCGGGAGGATATCGAACCCATGGAACAGGTTGATCGACACTACATTAATTACAGCTAAATAGGCCAGGACGGCTTGGCATGCGTATGTGCAAAGAACACAATATGGGGTCCATTGGATCGACATTGACCAGTCATATGGCTCGCTTACCTCTCCACCATTTTTTGTCTTTGTTATAGCATCTTCAATTTATGCATGCACATGCTTCGCTTGGATGAACGTCCTTTCGGTTATCCAGATTTCATGGAATCGAAGAAAAATTTCAGCTTTTTTACGGGGGCTGGGCGGAGCCCTAAATTGCACCTCGTGTGGTGCCTCCACGCAGAAAAAAAAAAAGAAAGAGAAGCAACAGGAGCCAATGGGTAGGACGACCTATCCCTTTTTATGTTTCAGGATGGAGATTATGACCAACGAAATACGAGATTTCCCATTTCCATTATTGATTTCATTTGGTCTTTTTTTTTTATACAATTTTGTTTTCCAATCAAATGATGAAATAAAAAAAAATCAAAGGATGACAGCGTGGGAAAAGCGATCATAGGTTGAATGGCTAATGAAAGAATGGCAGCAATATTTTTTGTTTCTTCCAATGAGTAAACTGGGGCAAGTTTCCGGTGCTGACATTATGCTAGTGCAAAATACCATTTCAGGCTCCAGGTTTTTTTTTGTCCTTTTTTTAAGGGGGAAAATCCATCAATCCTCTCCAGCCTAAAAAAAAAAAAAAAGAAGTAGTAACTGCACACATGATTTTATTATCTGCCCATCGATGCCATTTTATTTACCTTGGCGTGGATCTATCACTAAGCAACGCTGACAGACGATCCAAACATGAGCGGAAAAACAAGTAAATAGACCCACCTCGCACTGACCACCTGGTGTTTGAGCGATGTTCTCCAAGGTTACGTGTTATTTGTCCCACCGACTTTACGAATAACAATAGCACACTTGCCATCCGCCAAAAAGAAAAAAAGTAAGGAACGGAAAAAGACTTCCTTTTTTTTGTGTGCCATGTGCTTTTTACGCATACCGCGCTTGTTATCGCGCAGTAAGTTCGTATTGATAATTGATAAGGAATCCATTTCATCGGCGGTGTATCAACTACTGCCTCCTTTATTTTTTCTGTAATGGGTTTCTCGTCCGGCAAACCGTTGAATCGTCATGCGTGTAACCTTATAAAATGACGATGAAGTCAAGGTTTCTCGATGAAACGTCAACGACCTCTCTACTGGACTGGCTTGATGAAGGCCTTGTCAGCTTAGGAATTTCTAGTTTCTCAGAGTCAATCAAAAACGATTCGGAAATGGCCACACGGAAAAAAAAAAAGGTGAAACGTAGTACGCGCACAACGGGATGGATTCCGAGGGGGAGGGGCCTTTTTGGTGGAATAACAAAACCTCCCACGTTACCATACCGGAACGGGAGATAAAAAAAAAAGATTCTCAGTTAAAGCATCCTCCAAACAAGGACATATCAAAAAAAAATTCTGATACGATGATAAAATCTCCATGGTGCAGGTACCCCACATGGAGACGGATTTTAGTCTAAACCAAATGACTCGCATCATGAACGATTTCAGAAACCCAATTTCAGATCCTAGACAACACAAGAGATACCATTCTTATCCGTATCAGGCGTTTCTTCAAAGATGAGAAAAAAAAAGTGGTGACCCATGGGGGAAACCAGACAGATAATCGTCAGAGGCATTTTAGACAACATGTTTTTGTTTTGGCTTTTTGTTTTTTCTTTATTTGTTTGTAAACTGTTGAGAAAAGCAGCCTTCAGGCAAGTTATCCAAGCTTAGAGTTTCAGTTGAAGGCCAATCTGTTATTTTTTTTTTCGAGTGGCAAAAGATGGTTCAGGTCCAGTTTTGCCATGTGCAACATCAACAGTGCATAATGCACATGCGAGTTGGAGGAATCCCAGGAACATGAGAAAGCCAATTCAGTCCATTCTTCAATGCGTGCGGCGTATCTGACCATATCCGGGATGGTGGGAGTACGATGATTAAAAAAAAAGCAACAGCTGAAACGAATCCTATTCACGCCTGCGACAGGATTCTTTTCGTCGCTATTTTAGGAACCTTTTTGAAATCTTTGTATAGCTTTTTTTTGTGTTCGACAACAACACGATAATCAAGCAAACAGAGCTTTGAAGATCTCTGTTTAAGTGATGGAGTCATTGAGCGACAAAAAGAAAAAAAAAACAGAGTGATATTTATGTGTAAAACCATCCATTGCCGATGGGATAAAGAAAAAGCGGCGAAAACGGGTCTCCGGCGCCTTCAATATGAGAGGAGAAATAATTAAAAAACAGAGAGCGGATCATCCCAACATGGGAAAAAAAAAACGATGCCTCTTGAAAAAGCCCTTTTTTCATCTTTTGCATGCAGCCAAGCCCCATCGGTTCGCTTTAACCTTTTGCACGAAGAGTGTAGAAGGCGCTTTGTGCATGTTGAAAAATTATTGGGCTTCATTCGATGGATGTGGCCGAGAACGAGAGTGAGTTTTTTTTCTTTATTTCCAAAAGCGAACTTACCGGAGGATTGGGCTTATTGGGCGTAACGGATTGGAGGACCGCTCGGTGGGCTTCACAAGGGGGGGGGGGAAGTAAGGGGATGAGACTCATCCGCGCCAAAATAAAGTTTCTTCCTTTTTTTTGGCGGCATACAAACACCGGCAAACGAAAAAAAAAGAGTCGCGAATACACAAAAGAAACCACATCATGGTGTTGGTCAAACTGAACTGTCGTCATGGGTAACGGACGGTGATACTGTGGAATGAAACGGAAAATAAGAACAAGGCAGATCAGAAGCAACCCAAAAGACAACATCATGATAAACCGGTCAACCTATTCGTAATAGATTGCTGCGTGGAAGATCCGGGTTCGTCAGCCGATAGCCAAGAATCAGACGAGTGAAGAACCGTTTTTTTCAAACAGAACAGGGATACACTAACCACTTTTGCTTACAATAGATCGCATCACTTGACCCAACTTACTTGGTGCCTCTGCTTCTCTCTCTATCTCTCTTTCGCCGTCTCTCGTTTTTTTTTTTTGCGCTATCTCTCTCTCTATTCACATTTGTCTCCCCTCCCCCCAAAAAATAAGCCAACCTCTGTTCTTCTTCGCTCTTCACTGCTCCCCCCATCCACCCCTCCCCTTCCTATGTTTCGTATTTGTGAAGCTCTGTTTTGGTTTAAAAAATAAATATTTTTCTTTCTGTAAAAGCTTTTTTTTTTCTTTTTCCTTTCTCTTCTTCTTCTCAATCTTAATCAGACCTTTATTTTTTTTCCTCTTTTCGCTTTTTTTATATTATCGATTCTTTTGCTACTTGTGTGTGATCTTTGATAACCATTATCAAGTGTCTCATCGTTTGGCGAACTACATTCAAAGTTTTTTTTTTATTCATCCATCCGCATCCCACCTGTATTCCTATTCTTTTTTTTTACTTACTATTTGCTCACTCAGTACTCTTCCCTCTATTTCATCAGCTCTCATAAGGACACGCATTTCTACATTCTCATTCTCGTTGTTTCTTTCTGTACCCATATAATCCAATTGTTGCCAACGGTATATCTATGATGACTGAACTTCACAGCCCCAGTTCTGGCTTTAATGCTGTGGAATGGTTAGACCGACCCATCATGCACAGCATGTCAAACAGTGGTACAACGTATTCATCGCACAGTTTCCAAACCAATCAATTTGGCCACAGCCCGGGCAACCTGGATCCGCATGCGCAAGAAGTTGTCAGTGACGGACGCTATCAGCCTGGCGGTTTCTGTGCTCAGTTGCCACCCATCAATGCTTCTCTCCCGACTTCGTCCAGTAACGCGTCGCCAGTTACCACGACAACCACCCCATCGACGCAGCAGCAGCAACAGCAGCAGCAACCGCATCCGATCGGTCATGTACATCCCGGATGCAACAATGTGCATGACAACGAAGAAGCTAAAAAAGTATCTTGTACCACTGGCATGTCGCAAGCTTACTCCGCGGTGGTTTCAAATGTGCCAGCTGCATCTTGGATGCAAATGGCTTATCCAACACGAGATTCCTATGATTTTGGTCACGATCAGTCGCAATACCATCATAATCATGGCCAACCTACGCCTTCTCCTACGGCTTCAACGGATCGTAGTCAATCCAACAAAAAGCAACGGACGCCTTCCACCAAGGACATCCGAGTGGAGAAAAATACCGTGGGTAAACCGCCTTACTCCTACGCCACGTTGATCAAGTACGCCATTGAAAAGAGCCCGCAACAGAAACTTACCTTGAGCGAAATTTACCAATGGATCATCGAACATTACCCCTATTACGGCACCGCAGGTACCGGCTGGAAAGTAAGTATCCTAAAAAAATTGAAAATAAAAACCCATTTTCATATGCATTTCTGGTTCACCCATTGGATTGAAACTAACTTTTTTTTTTGTCAACGCAGAATTCCATTCGTCACAACTTGTCGTTAAACAAGATTTTTGTGCGTGTGGCTCGTCCTATCAATGAACCTGGCAAAGGGTCTTACTGGGTAGTCGATATGAAAGCGGCGGAAGCTGAGCAACGTACGCGACATACCATTACTGCACGTGGTCGGTCGAACCGGTCAGCTAGTGATCCTACTTCGGCCCCTTACCGCCCGGAATCATGGTCGTCATCTTCCGTGAATCGTCGGTATCCTCGAGACTCGCGGTCGCTTTCCCTGGATTCCAACAATGCCAAACCGAATCATGCAGCTACCGCTGCCGCTGCCGCCGCGGCTGCTGCTGCTGTCGCATCTAATAATAGCTACTATGGCAACAATTACGGTTACGGTCGACATCATTTTGCGCTTCAACATGGACACCATCACCATCACGCCGCCGCGGCCGCTGCTGCTGCTGCAACCAACGAATTAACACGGAGTCACAGTGATCAATACGTTTCACCTTCCAGTACCGCGACGGCTGCAGCAACAGGCAATGGATACGATTTCTACGCCATGGATGCTCACTATCATCATCACCACCACCATCCACACCATGCACATCATCACCCCCATCATCATCATCACCATCATCATCCGCTTCAGCGATCACATCCCGGTTCCCTGTCCACTCCGATGACAATGAACGGAGCCAATCATAACGGCAATGTATCTTACGGATCGATGTATGATGCGTACCATCAAAACGTGTACTCCAATTATCCCTACAGCAACGAATCGACTCACACCGCAACCATGGAAGCGTCAACTCCTTCGGCCGCACCCCATACTCCCGAGGACATGCAATTCTCGCCGACCAAGCATCAATATTCTCCCACGCCATCGGTGGCGGCCGTAGCACCTGTCCATCAACAACCCCTGTTGACGCCGCCATCGACGTCGCCCACCACGTCGGCTTGGAATCCCACTGGTGCAACCCTTCTTCCGGCTCCGCAAGGTTCAGAGGAGTTGTCCCAAGTATCTACGCCCGATGATCAATTTGCCACACCACAACCTCAGTGCCGTCGTATGCCAAGTACCAATGAATCCAAAAACCCGTTCAACGTTTGACAAGGAAAAACAAACCTTGTCTTCTCTTCTCTTTCTTCCCCCCCAAAAAAAAGAACCAAGAGAGACCGAGCTAAATCAGAAAATTCGCATCCCTCTTCTCTTTTTTATATAACCCAAAATGAATCGTGTTAATGTATAGCATATATTATATTTTAAGAAAAAAAAGAAAAAGCTGGAAAAAAAAAGACTCCCCCAAAAAAAAAAAATATGAATCTGGCGCACACCTTGTTTTATGTTTCCATAGTTTACTTTAGTTTTTTTTTTTCCCTTTTTATTCTGTGCAAAGTTTATTCATATTTGTATTTTTTTCCCCTTATGTCATTGACCCGATATTTTGAGGTTACAAACGAAAAAAAAGCAATCAATGAAATGTGTTTTTATACTATTCCCTTGAAAATTCTCTTTGTTATATTTGGCCTCAATGTAGAAATAAAAAGATGCTGTTCTTCTATCTGTGGTTTTGTACGGGTTTCTGTCACTATCACTTGCCTGATTTGGATCTCACCTAACAACATGCCATTTTCTGCAATGACTCGTTCCATAAATTTCATCGTGTCATGGTCTTGTCACTTACTCTCCTCCTTCAACCAGTGAGGATAACATTTAAACATAGAGACACTTGGTTGTTCATGATAAAGTAGTAAAAAGTTTTTTGACAATGGGTGTGGCTGATGACGTGGACATTTTGTGGGTGAAATGATGGTAATTTTTTTGGCACTTTCCTGTTTCTGACCTTGAATTTTATTTTTTTCCTTTTCATTCAAACCATTTGTAGAAGGATGGCTCCAGCACGAAAGCAAGTGAGTCATCAGGCCGTCCATTGGTCCAAAGCATTGGACTGATCAACTGTTGTTTTTAAAGATAGATAAAGCTACGCTTGAAGCGTATCAGAGAGAACGAAGACCCGAAGGTGGCACGTACAATATCTGGCATAACCGATACAGCGGTCTCGAAAAGGATTGGAGTAAACGAGGGTAAGTCCGTCACCCGATCCATCGTCGACAAGCACACTCAATCTCATGCATTGGCTCATTGATAGGTTGAGAGCCAAGTTCAAATGCAATCCTGCCAAAGATTCGGGCGAAACTGCCGGATCTCGCAATCCACACGCTTATTTTTGTCTGTATTTCGCCAAAGGCATGTGCTCTCAAGGAGCGCAATGCTCCATGTGGCATCGCATTCCCAACGAAAATGACGAAGTTCAAACGACCATCGATTGCTTTGGACGCGATAAGTTTACGTATGTAATTTCAGTGGATGATCAGGACCATTCAGAGATGTATTGATGCCAAGCCATTAGGGAATTCCGAGAAGATATGGGTGGTGTAGGTGGATTTAACACAAGTAATCGCACATTGTATGTGGGCCGTATTGCTGTAAGCGACAGTATGGAGGAAGTGGTTCGACGTCACTTTTCACCGTTTGGCAATATTGAACGAAGTAAGTTTGAAAGGAGAGACAAAGGACAGGAGGACTCGATGCTGACCCGTCATTTGACCCGTTAACGCACCACAGTTAGAATCCTCAAACATCGAGGTGTTGCGTTTGTCACTTACACAACTCGCTCCAATGCTGAGTTTGCAAGAGAAGCCATGATGAGTCAGAGTCTAGATCACAATGAAATTATCAATGTTAGGTAAGTTGGAGAGTGTCAAATCGTGTTGCAGTGGGAAGGATAAAAAGGGCTTACAGCGAGATTTTTTTTTTCTTTTCACAAGATGGGCCACCGAGGATCCCAACGCTTTCCACAACAGAGAACGTGCGCAAGAAGAAGTGCAAAAAAGACGTCACGACCAAGAGCTTGCTGAATCGCACGAAACCCAAGAAGGCGAAGCCGATTTACCTGCAGAATATACGTATCTGAAGAGGGACACGGCAGAAGACGAGTTTGACGAAATGGAAGATCGTGTGAAACGGCAAAAAGCAGAAGAAGTCGCACGAGAACATACACCTTACTATGATACAGCTTCAGCCGCCGCGATCTACGGCTTTGAGCAAGTGCAAGCGCCTCCGGTTCCCGAATCGTACCCCTCCACCACGCTAGCCCCCCAAACAGCAACCCAACCTTCCGTGACCAAACCCAACAGCATCATTCCTCTCAATGTACTTGAATCTCTCAAATCCATCCAATCCAAGGAATCACCCGTGCCTGCCAAATCAACCCAATCCTCGCAACCCACCGGTCTCGGAAGCTTGGCAAATTATGGCAGTGACGATGAAGACGACGACGATGAATAAAAATAAACTATTTCTGATCCAGGGCATTTCAAATAAAAAGTCAATCCATAGCAACGCAGTATCAGCGCGCACATTGTCATTTTTTTCCCTGTATTTTCATTTGATTTTGTCGAGGACAATCGGTTCAAAGAGGTTTTCCGATGGGCGGCTATCTTTGTCGTGGAGGATGGCGGAGAGTGAAATACGAAGTGAAAGCATAGTGCAGGCAAAAGTATGCATCCTTTCAAAGACTTTACCATAACCGGTGTGTTTACCATTTAAGATGTTACACGACAGTGGATCTTGGCACATGATGGGGGATGTTGATGCTTTTCTTGCTGAAATGAAAAAAAAGAAGCATCATGCTATCATCAGACATTGTGCAGCAATTCCATATGCACTAGGCCAAATACGCTTCCTATCGGGCATAAGCTGAAACTGTAGCATCATACGATGGATTTAAAGATGTGCATGCAAAAGCTTCCAATCCGTGACTCCTTTTGCATTTTCATCCGCCAGGTGCCCGTCACTCGTACAATTCGAAGTATGAATGGAGCGGATTGTACCATTTTATAAAGTGAAAGAGGGGGTTCTTGGTTGTTTGATGGATGTTAATTCATCTGAACAAGTAAGAGAGACTGGCATGTGAAGAGGCCGATTGTCGTGAGGCTAGTCAAAGCAAACAAACTGATCACACAAATTTGGAACGGCTCAGCGATTTTCACATGAAAAGATGAAACCATAATTTCGCGATCGTCTCTCCCGGAAAAGCACAGGACCGCCGCTTCTCCATTGGAAACAAGCTATAATGGTCCTCTACGCGAGCCTATTCCACATCTTGGATACCCTTAGACCTGTAATTTCTCTACGCAATCCAGCTTTTTTACTGAGTCTTTTATTCCGTTCATTGAACCTGTCAACATTGAGCGCATTCATAATATTAAGGGGAGCAGATGCCTGTTCTATTTACATGTGATCTTCTTAGTGTGAATTATCTTGTGGGACAAAGGTTTCCACATCTTGCTTTGCCTGGCCACCAAAAATTTTGCCTTCGCGCCAATCCTTTCTAATCTGGTACACTTTTTCGGCGTCGTTGGTCAGTCCAGAGATATCAACGTCGGCGACGAGCATCTCTTGTCGATTGTGGTCGCATTGCGCGACGGGGCCCTTGAAAGGCACCGTGATCTGGGTGCGTCCCGCTAGTTGACCAAACGGTTGAGGTCGATCCACATCACTCTCGTTGGCCGCATTGACAAACACCATACAAATTTCATTTTCAAACGCTCGCGCGGTGCATACCGCATTGATCAGTTTCGCTTCGCTCATGGAATCATGGCCTTGACCCACTTCTCCTGCATCCTCAAACGACCAGTAAGCTATGAAGGTCACTCTGTAAGCCGCTATTCTTGAGAGAAATAAAGTAGAAAAAAGGAACTAAGACTTCTTACCTGGGGCAATAACCAGTTGAGCATGGTGCTTGAGGACCATATGGCGAAATCCTTCTGGAAAAGCGATATCCCAGCATACGCACATCCCCAAGGTGATGCCAAACCGATTCTTTACCGTGGCAAATCCATGTTTCCCGCCTTTCATGTACTCTCGTTCGGGGTGCCACAAGTGCACCTTTCGATACTCCAGTAACACTTCCCCACTTTTATCAATATAATAAGCACAGTTGTACAGGTGACCGTCGTGAGGATCCCTCTCAATGACCGTCCCAGGGACAATATCTAATTCGTATTTCCGGGCAAGGTCGCAGAACCGATTCCGGGCACCATTGTTCACAACATGGGTACCTGGGCCTCCAACAAAGTACCTGAATACCAAGCAGTTGAATGAGCATGGGTTGCCCAAGACACAATGGACACTGTGACGCTGCTTACTCTGGGAACACGACAAGATCGACGTTGGTCTCGGCGGCTTTGGCAAGGTACTGCTCAATGCGTATCCAGTTTTCGTCTTTGTCTTCGTGATTGATATGAAATTGAACAGCTGCGATGCGCATCATGGCAAAGGAATAAGATGGAGTCAAACTTAATGTGTCGGTTCGAACGCAAAATGCATGACGTTACAACTGGTAACCCCGCAAGCTCCGCTATTTTCTCTGGCGTTGGTAATAAGATTCGCAAAGAGCACCAATCACATTATCTTGCTTAACTCAAACTGGCACGTCTGTGGGCAAAATACAACTACATCCTTTTACGGTCACACAGCTGATGGCTTGAATATAATTGCAATCAGTGAATAACTATGGTTTGTCTTTAGTTGTCTCCTCCATGGATACCTGGAATCAGTTAAAATAAAATACGCGGATAGAACTGCCGTAGATCTGTTTGGTCATAATCTCAGTTACCTAGCGAGCATGCACCTTCCTGACGCACGTATACTTTCACACCAAGTTGTTTAGAAGAGTAGACAAACGTTGTATTGCCCAAAGGAGCCCAACTTTATGCTTTATGGCTCGTTCCCGGAGTACGGTTGAAATGGTTTTTTGTCGGTGTGTTATTGAAATAATAATTTTACAGAAGAGAAGGAAAAAAAGATGACACAAATGGCTGATAAACAATTGCTAGCATGTAGTCAAAACGCTCCTTCGTATGTACTCTCCTAGTATTTAATTGCTTTTACCACCAAAGCACTTATATGGACTAGACATTTGTAATCCTGAACTTGCGTTTATAAATTATTAGGAATTTGTAATAATGGTGTGCTGCGTATCCTCCTAAGATATTGCTTTTAAACAAAATTCGAGGACATTATTCGGACGAATTATTCATGGCCTCTCATGTTTTCATTGAATGGCAGTATTTATTTTTATAGGACGTACGATTGCTCTGGCTCATTGGTATTCAATCAAATCAAAAATTGAGGATAAAAATCGACCTAGGCATGATAATCAAAGATATTGCGATTTTGGGTGGTCGATTACAACGACATAATGGAGTACCTGTTAGGCTATGTTCCCGGTTATCAATGAGAGATCCAACCATCAATTTGCTCACGGGCATATGGCAATATCTACACTGTTATTTATCCACTGAAACTTACAATTGGGAATATTTCAGCACAGACTTGGGGAGCAAGGAGCTTTGTTTGGCTTGGACCAATCAGGCGCATTTGAAGGTGTGACGTATATTTTAAACTGCGGCAGTGTTCTTTTTTTTTAAGAGACTCCTCGAAGCTGACACGCATACACGAATTTTCTACCTTTCGTAGTTTTAATCTTCTCGTTTGCGGCTGTTCTCTCGTTGCGACCTTTTTCGACATTCACGAGTCATTATTATGAATGCGAATCAGCGACCACCAGCTTCTCCACCTACAGGGGCACCTTTTCGACCCATGGCTCCTCCTCCAGCGCCAGGCATGCATCCAGTCACACAATTCGCACGGCCACCGTCGGGATCGCCTGCGCGTCCACCTATGCAAGGTGCGCCCATACCCTCGGCTCGTCCACCTTTAGCTCCTGGTGCAGGTAATATGGTGCATCCGATGAATCCTCACGGGATTGTTTCTCACTGTTTCCATGACACTGTAGCTCGTCCCATGCAACCACAGCAACGTCCTGTGATGGGATCCTTGCCAGGCATGCCGCCCCAACAGAGACCTGGTATGCCTTTGCCTCAGCCAGGTGCTATGCAATCACCCCCCATACAAAATTCTGCCAATCTAGTGTCGTCCATGCAAAATATGCATCTACGGCCATCTTCACCTGTCCGACCTCCGCCAACAGGCCCACAGGTAGGGTTTTTTCACGATGATGGCCGTACCATAGGGCATCTTTGGTTTATGCCGCTTTTTCTTATAGGCACCGCCTAGTGGACGATCGAAACGAGTGTATGCTGTGAGTCCCGAAATTGCAGGAACAACGGCTTCGGCTCGACCTCCCAGTAGTGCGCCCTGGCCTCACGGTTTACCACAGCAGCTACCTCCTCATCCACCCGCTCCTGCCCCAGGTATGCCGGCCATCTCTTCACCCGCCGCCACAGGTACACACCCCGCAGGACCAGCACCCGTACCACCCCAACCACAACCTGCCATCCATCAACCTCTGGCACCTCCTACTGTCATGGGTGCTAAACCATCCCCGAGAGCAGGCGTCGGCTACACTCAAGGTCCTTATACTCATACTCAACAGCAGTTACCACCCGAACTTCGACCTCCCCAACAACCGCGTCACCGTATTGATCCTGACCAAATGCCAGCCCCTGTGCAAGTCCGAGAACAGGATCAAATCCTCTTTGACGATAAATTTTTCGGGACGCTCGAACGCGATCGCGTGCCTCTGGCAACGACACGCTACATTGGGTTGGATCAAGGTCGGTTCGAACGGAAATGGAAATAGAGACTGATTAAGAGGGTGATTTGTGAGTGATTAACAGGAATTTCAACCATAGGCAATTGCAATCCTCGGTTTATGCGTTCCACGGTGGATAAAATGCCTTTCAGTCGAGAAATAGCCTACGTTTCCAAACTTCCCATCGGTTTAATCATTCAACCTCTTGCCAAACAAAGACCGGACGAAGTCCCAGTACAGGTCGTCGATCACGGTGAAGAAGGACCGGTGCGATGTACTCGATGTCGAGCCTACATCAATCCTTGGTGCACCTTTGTCCAGGGAGGAGCCCGGTTCATCTGCAGCATTTGCTCGCATTCAAATGAAGGTAAAGAGGACTCGGGTCTGTGTGGATGATACGGCACGCCTAGGACGAGCTAACAGGGTGGACGTTTTTTTTAGTGCCATCGTGGTATTTTGCCAATGTGGACATGTCGGGACGCCGAATAGATGTAGAACAACGGCCTGAATTGCGATATGGATCGGTAGAATTTGAAGTGCCCAAAGATTACAATTCGGCGCGTACTCCATCTCCACTCAACTATGTATTTGCTATTGATGTGTCGGCCCATGCCGTTCGTACGGGTATGCTAGAAGCTTGCTGTGGTGCCTTGTTAGAAACCCTGTACGGAGCCCATTCCGAGCAACAAAAACTAAATCCAGGAAGCAAAATTGGCATCTTGACCTTTGACAAAGCCGTGCACTATTATAATTTATCGGTACGACCAACGAGATAACATTCCCTAAAGTAGCGATCATGCTAAACATTCTTTTTGTATTTAGGCATCTCTAAGTCAAGTCCAAATGATGGTGGTTCCCGATATTGATGATTTGTTTGTTCCCTTGGAGGATGGTTTTCTAGTGGATCCCATGGCATCAAAGTAAGCAACGCTGGAACAAGATGACGAAAAGGATGTATCTCATCATCTTGCCGTATGTTTAGAGATATCATTGAGGAGCTGTTACAAAATCTGCCCACCATGTTCAAAGAAACGCAGAAACCGGAAGCCGTGTTTTCCTCGGCGGTGCGCGGTGGTATGCTTGCCTTGGTAGGTCACAGATAGGACGAAAAAAAGATGACAGATGGACAACTTTGGAGAACGTGGACTGAAATGATGAGGTAGCAAAAAACCGGCGGTCAAGTATTTGTATTCCAGTCGTGTCTTCCGACTTATGGCCCCGATGCATTGAAATCGCGCGATGACAAGGCTTTGTATGGCACGGATAAGGAAAAGACATTGCTGAGTGTGCAAAGCGAAAAATACACCGACCTTGGAAAGGAGTGTGTGAAGAACGGGGTGTGCGTGAATTCGTGGTTCTTCCCCACCCACTACGTGGATGTGGCCACGTTGGGCGCCATTTCCGAATTAACAGGCGGAGACGTTCGTTACTATCCCAACTTTACTGCACGCGACAAACCAAAACTCATCTATCAGTTGGATCACGACGTTCATCGTGAGATTGGTTATGACGGTGTTTTGCGTGTACGATGCTCCGATGGTAAGCGGTTGACTATTTTCATTCATCTGCAGCATGCCTTAACGGAAAACGTCCACAGGTTTGCAGGTGATTGATCACTACGGCAACTGTCACATGAGTACGTATACAGACATGGAACTGGCAGGTATCGATGAGGACAAGACGATTGCGGCGGTGCTGAAACATGACAGCAAGCTGGATACCAACCGAGGCGTGTCGTTCCAATGTGCATTACTCTATACCAATAAACAAGGTCGACGACGGGTGCGTGTGCATAATTTGAACCTCTCCGTCACCACCCAAATTGCCGATGTGTTCCGATTTGGTGATGAAGATGCAGCGATTAGCATCTTACTTCGACAAGGTAAGTGATGAAAAGAAAACATGCGAGGAACAAATGTAAAGCAAGAGCAGACAAACCCAAATCTCACATGCTGCCTCTCAGCCATTTTTGATCTTCCTCATAAAAATAGAAAAGATGTGCATCAAAAGTTGACCGATCTGTGTGTCAACATTTTGATGGCTTATCGCAACAACTGCGCGTCTTCCACGTCTTCCGGACAACTCATTCTTCCCGAAGCATTCAAATTGCTACCCGTGTACGTTCACGGTGCGCTTCGATCGTCGGCCTTGCGAGGAGGTAAAAAGCTGGATGGCTGTATTGCGTATCAACGTTTTTCTTTACCAAGGCCTTTTCTTTTTGGTTTTAGTGGGTGTGGATGTGAATACCGATTTTCGATCAGCGGGCATGCGATTATTCAACAGTCTTAGTGTGGCGGAACTCGTGTGGACACTGTATCCTCGTATGTTTGCTGTGCATACGATGGACAATCAGGTAACACCTTCAAATCCTGAATGTTCTTGTGAAAGAGAATCTTTGCTAACCCTGCTTATTATTAACTGGTTATCAGTGTGGTACATCCAACATGAAGGGCGAAGTTCTACTGCCACCTATGGTGCGTGTGTCGTACGATCGACTGGATCCGAAAGGCGCATATCTCGTTGGTGAGTAAAACCGATGAATCATAAATGGGAGGACCTTTTTTAATAGTATGAAAATCTATTAGATACGGGATCCGACATGTTTTTGTGGTTAGGAAGTAATATTGCGCCAGAGCTGCTGGAGGAGATCTTTGCTGTGAAATCTCTGGATCAGGTGGATCCGGAAATGGTATGTGAATTATGGTAACTGAATAAGAGGAGGATGCCCTTACTGACTGACGATTTGGTTTCTCTCCCTTTTAGACTTTACTACCGGCATTGACGACGGAGCGCTCGCATCAACTTCATGGTATTATTCGGTATCTGCAGAGTCAAAGATCACGTTATCTTCAGCTCCGCATTATACGTCAGAATATGGATCCCATGGAGTTCATCTTTTCCACTTGGATGACCGAAGATCGCAATGCTGAAGTGCAGACATATGTCGACTTTATGTGCGTCCTCCACCGAAAGATCCAAGAAGAAATGAAAAAAGCAAACAACTAAAAAAAAAAAAAAAAAAGAATAATTCCCACCTGTAACAATAACCTTGCATCTTGATGTCTTTTTATTCTCATTATTATTTGGCAGGCGTGAAAGCTTGGATTGATTGGAGACACGGATACGGCACAGGAACAAGCGACGCTATACATAGAATATTTAAAAAAAAAAAGGCGCTTTTTTCTGAGCTGCAGTGGTGATAAAACCGAACAATCGGGCAATGCAAATGATGCAATAGACTAACTCTATTTGTCGATTGTTCGCAATGACAGACAAAACACAGCAACTGCCATTGCCCACGGGGGGAAAAGAATGGTTTTATTGGTCTATTTTTTACTTGTTGACTGCCTCAAAGTAGGCTTGAGAATCCTTGGGGTTGGCCTTGATGGTCTTGTCACCCTTGCGCCAGTTGGCAGGACAGACCTGAAAGAGGAATTTTAACAACCATTCTCGTCTGCGCTTTCGATGTAAAATTACTTACCTCACCGTGCTCGTCAGTGAACTTGATGGCTTCAATGACTCTCAATGTTTCGTCGACTGATCGTCCAATAGGCAAATCGTGGATGTGAGCAACACGAAGGGTGCCCTTGGGATCGATCACGAACAAACCACGCAAAGCGAGACCAGCATCAGGAATCAATACTTTGAAAATACAGAAACATGAACCGAGTGAGACTATGAACACAAGCACGACCATGCTCCATACCACTTACCATTGTAATCAGTGGCAATTTCCTTTTTGATATCGGAAACTGTTCATTCAGGTGTCAGTAATCATGTAACAAAGATGAAAATTTCCTATGAATCTTACTGAGAGGAATCTGGATATCACCAAGGCCACCCTTGTTTCTGGGAAGGTTGGTCCATGCTGTTGACCGTCAAAAAAACATTGTGAGTTATAAGAATGCTGCGCATTTGATAAATCATATTGCAAAAACGAAATCTATACCCAAATGAGAGTGAACGTTGCTAAAAAAATCAACGATGTGAGTAGGTTGATTCAAAGCAATTAACCATTGAACTCGTCACTTACTCAACACTGATACCAACGACTTCGGCACCGAGCGCACGGAACTCATCAATGCGATCGCTAAAAGCGAGTAACTCAGTGGGACAAACAAAAGTGAAATCGGCAGGATAAAACACCTTGATATCCCCATTGGTTTAGTATGATAACAAAGGCGAGACTCGGAAACCCTGGAAGCTTACCATGACGACGAATTTGTTCTTGTAATCTGCCAATGACAACTTCTTGAATTCACCTTGCACAAGAGCATCAGCCGTCCACTGAGGAGCAGCATCTAATAAAAGACAACGCGATTACATCAAAGATTAGTCGCGTGGATTGTGGAAACAAGTTGTGAGTGGTTATTTTTCCTACGTTGAATGGTGGCGCGGGGACGTTCGGTGGTCGTTGACAAGGAACGCGACATCAAGGTCGACTGGGTGGCAAGAGATGCTGGTCGAACCAAGGGACGCACAGCCGCCACAGCGGAAGTAGTGCGGGCAACACGGGGAAGGGCGGAAAGAGCAGCACGACGAAGAGCAAACATGATTAAGAAAAACACGAAGAAAGGGAATTGACAGACCACTGACTTTTTTTGCTTTTTTAATACACTGGCTGAGTGGGAATGATTAGTGCACCTGGGCAGCTGCCCAATCAGCGTCACCCCGGAGGCTCCGTATGCCGCCGCATCAATTGTTTTAATGTGTTTGCTGCAGAGGAGCGATATCAAGTCATCCGGAACAACGAAATCTTTACAGATACATTATGCCTTGTTAATCCAGCCATTCATGGCATCCTGCAAAAGTCGTACCTACTACAGTGGGGTAATGATATGGAAACTCTTGATCCGAGTAACCCCTGATTTTCTGGTAAAACAGATAAAGGACGATGCAAAATGAAAAAAAAGTCTAATAATTTCATGATTTATTCTGCTCTGATGAGGATGCTGGTTGTGATGGGGACGGTTCCTGTTTGTTGTTTGTGCCTGCTGTTGTTTCGTGATCTTTGCCATGGGAATCGGCAATCGGTTTATCGTACTTGATGTAATCTTTCTTGCCGTGCCGATGGGTGAACCGTTTGGAGGAATTGGTTCGATAATGGTCTTGGATCAGTTTGTAAAAGAAGCGGTAATAGAATAACAAGTTATCGTACCGGCCATCATAAGCCGTGGTCGTTTCATAGGCTTCGGCATATTCTCGATAAAAATAGTAAATGGCTTCGATGGTCGCCAAGTGATGCTCGCTTAATTGTTGATATCGCCAAAAATGAGTTTCACGAGGGCTGATGGTGACCTTTTGCAGGGATTGAAGGCCGGGAGTTTCTCGAGCAATTTTGTTGGCTTGTTTCCATGTCCCGTCAATCACAATGACACGGTCAAACGAGTCGCGAGGAATATCTTTGAGGGTTTTGGCGTCGGGACCGGGGAATAGTAGAAGGGTGCGTTCAGGATTTTCTAATTTGGGCATGGATTGCCAGTTGTAAATATCGACATCCTCGTTGGCGATCACTCGGGCATGGATGGCCGTAGATTTGCCGTCCAGTTCTTGCTCGTGCTTGACGCTACAGAATGCAACAGTACAGGGTGAGCTACAGATGGGCGAGGGCCTAATGAAGGGACTACTTACACATCCAAGTGAACGGGCAACTTTAGAAAAGGCACACTGGAGCGATCCATGCCCACGACGTCGAAACAACGGTAGCAAAAGTACTTGACAGTCTTTTGACAGCGCAAACACTTGTGACGATCGGTGGCGGATTTCAGTATACTGTCATCACTAATGTTCAGATGGTCAAAGGGCGATTCTTCCGGATGATCTCGCTTGGTGCCCACTTCAATAGTCTGATCGCTCATGATGGGGATTATGCCAAAAAAAAAAAAATGTGTAATTTTTCCTGCTTTCGCCAAACCCGAGAAGTAGTGTCGGACCTCCGGTCACACAAATTGACAAAGATTCAGAGGCTTGGGCAGAACCCGAGAGGGGAGCTCATTCGACATTGGACCCCCGTTCTCTTCAAGCGTACTCACCTTGCGTTCTTTTGGATCATCCACCATGTCTTTACGTTTGCTCACCCGATCCATCCCTCAGCAGGCCCTTCGACCGCGCATTTACCGTCCGGCTGTGGTGTCATTAACCTACCGTCAGTCCTACTCTGGTAAACTATCCCTTCCATATTTATGATCCCCGTCACCTATTGTGTATTCAAATTCAAACTTGCTGTAGCCATTTCTTCACAACCGCCTACTGCAGCTGCAGGTGAAGCTGTCAAGGCTATTGCAACGGCAGCTGACAAGAAAGGTAAGCCGTAGCACTGTTAGACCAAAAGACTCGTTGCTTACAAGACGAATGGATCATCAGACGAGACCAAAGCTTCCGATGCCGCCACGGAAAAGAAGGACGACAACAAGGAAAATAAGAATGTGGGCGAATCCGCAGAACATGGTTATGCTCACGGTACGTATCATTGGACCCTGGAACGAGCCTCCGCCGTGACCTTGGTTCCTTTGATGAGCACACAAATGATCTGGGGCGCTCACCCCATCGTCGATGGCTTGCTGGGTGTTATTTTGCCTTTCCACATTCATATGGGTATGTTTTCTCTTTATCAAAGCCATGGAAACGGATATCTGGAACCATAAAGGAAAAGTAAACTCATTGGGATGATTAGGCTTTGATTCGTGTATTACCGATTACATTCCGAAACGAGTGTATCCTCGGCTCCATCCGCTGGCCAAATGGTCTCTGAGAGCCGCAACGGCGCTCACCATGTGGGGTTTATACGAATTCAATACCAACGATTTAGGTGTGACCGAAGGCATCGCACGTATTTGGACAGCATAAAATAGGAAAAATAGATATATAAAAAAAACCCTCCAAAATCGAAAGAATACCAATTCAAGACCATATAGAAAGATCATTTACTAAACAAACTGCTAATCGATGTAATATGAAAGGCTTTATCTGCAAGAAATGTAGCTCCGTTTTTGAATCATGTTCGGCACAACATATTATGAATTAAATGAATGGGATAACGAACAGCACTAATGAATGCAGCAAGGTACCTACAGCTACCTATTCATTCATGATGTGGTGAAAATTTAGGATCCATTATCGGGGTGCAAAGCGACGGCGAGTTATGATTCTTGTTGTGGGTTTTCTCAAATATTTTAATTTAAAAAAAGATGTCATCAAATGAGGTGTTTTTCTTAGGTTGATTTTCTTGCGTCTGTGATGGTGTCTGTGATGGTGTACTGAGATTGAACACGTCGTTAAAGTTGGGTTTCTCTGTGGAAGGCTTGGGTTCTTCAGAGGGACTACCAAAAATGGAACTTAATTCGTCCTTGATCGAATAGGAAGATGTACTGGGATTTGGCGAGGAAGAAGGTCCTTCAAATGCAGACAAGTCAAATCCATATTTGGACCGGGCCGTGGTGCTGGTAGGTTTGGTGGTGACAGGGGAGGTGGAAGACACAGTGGGCGTGGCGGAAAAGGCAGGCTTGGGGGAGGAGACAGGATTTGCATGTTTGGCGAATGGACTTGTGACGGATGCCTTTGCAAAGGAAGGTGAAGAGGAAGCGGAAGGCAAGTCTTTGGACGTTTTCACCGGGGTTGTGGGTGTGAATGATTCTTCCATGGTACTGAGATCGGGAAACTTGGCTTCAATTTCGCTGATATCAACGTTGGATCCAGACATTCGTTTCTGTTTGGCTTCGGATTCCTGCTTCAAGTGATTTAATGATACTTTGGGAGAAGACGGCCGCGAGGTCTTGAATCCGGCAAATGGGTCATAGTTCTTGTGATTCGACGAGACTTTACTGCTGGTGGTACTGCTCGGGGACATGGGTCGACCGGCAGCCGATGACGAGCTAGGACTGAACGGCGGGAACCCACCTTCGTCTTTCTCCTCGTGCACTTTTCCAAACATGCCTGTATCGGGCACCGCTGATAATGCAAATAAATCCGAGCCCGCATCATGACTGGTCGAGTCTTTTTTCAAAGATGCATTTTCCGCTTTCAAGGCTTCCAGTTCCTTTTCCGCCAGTTCAGCTCGTTCCTTTTGGAATTTAGTTTCGGCACGGTACGTTTGTAGTGATCGCAACAATTCCTCTTTCTTCTTCTTTTGTGTTTCCAATTCTTGCTCGGCCTTCTCCGCCGACCGTTTCCATTGGGCCAACTTTTCTTTTTCTTGATCAATTTTTTCTTGCAACTCACGCACGGTCTCGGCCTCCGCATCATGCTGTGAACGTAGCGAAGTCACACGCTGACTTTCGCTCTGCACTTCACTCTGCAAAGTAGCGAAAGTGTTCTCCAGCAGCGATCTCTCATGATTCAGATCCGATTTCCCTGCATCTTTCCACTGAGGTGTGCTGTTGGATTCGGCTAGCATTAATGCAATCCCAGTAAGCTTTTTTCGTTTTATACCATTCGGCTTGTTCCTCTTACCAGCCTGATTATCTGACAATCCTAACAGATCAATCGCTGCCAAGGACGACGGTTGCTGTTGTTGGAAACCGGGTGGTCCTATCGTACAACATCAAAGGTTTACTGCCTGCACTGGACATGGATTGTGACCACCTTTTTGCTCACTTACTCGGTAAGGCATTGGGAATTTGGCCACCGGCGATGCGTCGATTGATCAGATGCATTGCAATGGCAAATTCGTTTTCATTTAATCGTCCTGTGGAATTGGTATCCGCTAAATCCCAAATACGGGCAAGATCTGATTCAGGAAGTTTGGAGTGTCGGAAAAACTGGACCGCATCCGCTCCTACAAGTGCACGGTGTCAAATCCTGCGCAATCGCACGCAAACACGCACAATCACCATTGGCTTACCTGAGATGTATCCGCTATTGTCGGTAGCAATGCGTGCAAAGTAACCTTTGTATGTGGATAATTCTTCAGGCGAGATGTCGAGCACGCCTCTGTCTGCATTATGCGACTGTTCACCGGTAAAGAGCGAAGAAGGTTGACGACCGAGCCCACCGCCTGTGGCATGCGACATTAGGGGCGAAGTCCCTGTGTATTGCGGTTTAACATATCCTGTGGTCATGCGTCCTGTGGCTGCAGCATAGATGTGACTTGGAAGAGAAGATGGAAGAGAAGTAATATTGCCTTTCAGTATCTGACCGATGTAATGCATGGCAATAATGAACTCAGTCTGATTTAAAGTCCCTGATTTTCGCGTATCAGCCAAGTCCCACACATTTTCCAAGGTGGACAGAGGTAATCCCGATCGAAGAAACATTTGTCTTGCCTTGTCCGCTGTCCAGACTCTCATTAATCCTCTGACACATGTGAAAGAAGAAAGTAACAAAAGAGATGTACCTGTCAAGACACCCTCTACCGGGTTAGCCGTGTGGAAAAAGCTGATGTACTTGTTTCTATCTTCTGGTGAAATGGTTTCACCAGCGTTGCTAGTCATGGGACTGGTGGGTGCTCTGTTGTTGAAGCGCGGGGTCGAAACAGATGACGGGGCGGGTGTGGTACCATCGAAATAAGGTAGAGAAACTAAATTTTTTTGGCGTAAAGAGAGCCGGGTTAGTGGTGTCTGCTGTGACGGTGGCCAAGAAGCGCTCTGCTCGGCAAAACCGGCAAGAGCTTACGCACCTACCCGTTGTCGATAGAATAGGTGAAGCGGTCAAGATGCCATGTTGTGCACAAGCAATCAGCTTGAGTGCCACTGCAAATTCCTGGTCGGTCAGGAACCCTTTATTGTCATTGTCGGCGGCCGTCCAGAACTGGATAAGCAGGACAGTTGAAATAAGTTGGAAGCCCACAAAACAAAAAGCTTGATGAGAAGGGGAGGCGCCAAGCTTAGCGACCAAGACGTACCTCTGACAAGATGTTCATTGGGACGTTGGATTTCTTGAAGAAAGCCATTGCTTCGTCTTTGAGAACGATGCCTTTGTCATCGGCATCGACTTTTTTAAACAAGTCGGCATAAACTTGCTTTTCCTGAGGAGTAAGCTTGGACTGCCAATGATCTACGAAATAGTTGCATAAGTATCCATGTCTATACTTGAATACAACTTGGGTTTTATTCGAGAAAGACGACAGTACCAGCAGAATTAGGTGTGGACATGTAGACTAAGTACAGAAATGAGGGGAGGAGTTCGATAGAAAAATTAGGAATTCTAAACCGAGGGGGGTAAGCAAGGCGTTCTACTTACGGCGGAGATGGAAAAAAGAACTTACTTTATCCGCATTGGCCTTTTCGACCTACGGTTACACTCAATGACCATACTCGCTCCAAAGCGTATCTGGAGCATGTTGGGGAGAGTTTATAGCTCGTGTTTTCATTGAACATTCGGCTTTCTGGCAACGGTTGCCTATCAACGGCATCGAATATGTCAAATACGGATACAGACCAAACTTTGTAAAAGTACATCTCTTTGCGCTGTGCGCTGGAAACACTTTTTGGCAAACAGTGTGCTTTCTATGTTTTCTTTCTTTCTATACATGGTTGAATGCAACCTGGCACATGAATTTTCGGTTAAGTTTTGGTTGAGCATTTTAGCAAATCTTGACGCACATCGGCATCAGGCATCTTGTTGGGCTCCCTTTCTCAGTGCTTAGTTGACTCAGAATATTGCCCAAACTACACAATCTAAATAAACAAATTTTGTCCTTTGGATAAGCAAGGGGTTTCTGTTGACTATATCTGGAAATTAGGTTGGCAAACGTTTGTAGCTCTGCCCAGATAACGACTTGTACAATTTTTTGCATGGTATACCATCAAAGCAAACGCTGTTTACGTCTGCCCGAGATTATTCTTTTGCGCTCTTGGTTTTTCTTTTATTTCCAAGATAATGCTTCAGTAAGACTTTAACTATCCTCATTCTAACATAAACCATAGTCATTAAAGCCAAACGATAACTGTGAGCAAGCGAAAACAAAAACCCCTCCATTTCTAGTGTCAAAATAAAATGGTTCCTGAACCCAAAGTTTTTTATTGCGCGACACGTGAAACATGGAAACTCCACTTTAGCGATAATCAATGACCTTTTTGACATAGTAAGCACCCGCCGTCAACGAAATGACCGACAAGGCCACCGGCACCGGTTTCTTGAATCCAGTGGAAACAGCACGCGGGATCATGGCACCGGCCAGAAGAGTCGAGGCAGCCACCGCGGTCTCATGGCCATAGTCTCTGTTTTGCTGGATCAAATAACCAGCAACACCGTACAGCGTACCCACACCGAGACCAGCTGCCAAAGACGGAATGGAACGCGTGCGTGCAAATCCAACAATGCCTCTAAATCCCCTTGTGCCATTAGTTCACCTAGTCGCCATCAATTCTACATTTAGATTCTTACCCAGTTGCGCACAGCGCAGCCATAGTGTATGTAGGATGGTGAGACATTATAAAAAGAAGTAGCGATGAGTTGCAGTTGCTGCGAGACGAAGGAACAAATAAATTTAAAAAAATAAAAGGAAAGGGTTCGCAAGCCGCCGCTTGATTATCCGGGAAATGAAGGACGACCTTCTGCTTCCGAACTTAGCTAATAAAGTCCATTCCCTGTAAAAGCGTCCAAAGACTTGTCATGCGTGCATCAAAGACGTGCTCTCCACTGTCTTCGACCTATCACAGCCCTTGTGGAAAGATGTTACCAGCCATGAAAGTCTTCTGCCAGGGACGTCCATGCACGGCACAATTTATCCGATTCCGGAAGGTCCGCTCAAGTCCCTCGGTCATCAAAACATGCATCCAGTTCTAGCAGAGAACACGTGCAGTGTCTAATACTCTGCTTCATCGTAAGACGGAATATCTATTATATAACCAATAAGGGTACGGTTTATACACCAAATATATCGCCTACGATGAAGAAGAACAAGCAGGGCAGAACTCACGGCAATATGTCCCTTTATGGAAAAACGCGATCGTTTGAACCACATCCATTCTGGACAAGCTAAACAGTTATCTTTCGATTGTTTTGGCGAGACGCTTTGGATGATTTTGCAGCACGTCATTTACATGTACCGCGTTGTTGAAGGGTTTGCTTTTTGTTCTTTTTCAATGCTTTGTCTGAGTCGACTATGGTGAGTACCGAGAACCTTTTCCAAAATCCTCACCTGAAGAACGACACACTCAATCCTATAATGCTTGGGACCATCTCTGTATCGGCTTACAGTAATAGATCTACAACCTAAGTCTATGCAGGCATATATGGCACGATCCAATAATGGATTTTCGGTAAAGACATGTTCTCATATGTTTACCGGTACATACATCTACGATGCGACTTATTGTTAAAGTATCCCAAACATCTTCATTCATTTATTAGTTGCATGCAATCATGGAGCCAATCAGAATCGTTATTTTTTTAGGTCCCGCCTTTGTTGGCTGTTGTTGATTTCTGAGTTGGGCTGCTTCAGCATTTCCCTGGATTTTTTGATACCTTCATGGCAGACGATGTGCGGCTGTCTCAAGCCCTTGTTAAATCGACAACTGAATCGCAGCAAGGTGGATCTAGTAAACCTGTAAAACGACGAGCACGGTTAGCCTTATCTTGTCAACGGTAAGCATTTTTCACCCAACCCGACTTTTTTGGTGAAACTGACAATCTCGCGAATCACAGTTGTCGTAAACATCGATCCAAATGTTCTCGCACACGTCCAGCCTGTGATCAATGCATTGAAGCCGAAGCCTCGTGTGAATACTTGGATAAACCGGGTGATTTGGAAAGCACGGCTTTGCGAGATCGATTTGCAGGTCTTGAAGATCAGATTGATTCACTGGTGGGTGAGTTTGATCTGATTGAAAAACTAGTTGCCAATCAGCAACGAACCCTGCTTCGCACCGATGCTCTGCACAAGTGGAGTATTCAGACCGACTCGGCCAACGGGTTAACGATCGAAACTCACATGAAAGACGTGGAAGAAATTTATTCCACCTTGATCAGATTTGCCCTCGATAATGCCACCACCACTTCCTCGTCCTACGCACCTCAACCTAATGTCTCTTCTCCCTCCTGCTTTATCCGAAATAATGCCATCTATCCGACCGTCCGCCTAAGTCATTTCACCAGCTTGCAACCCCAATCTACCTCGACAGATGAACCCAAGGAAGAAATCACACAACCGCCACAAGCTTTGCCACCGGAAGTTCTGCGGCCTTTGTTAAGTCTCTATTCAACTTGCCTTTTGCATGGTGGAATTCAGCCTCTCGATGACACATTCTTTGCCATGTTACTTGACCCTTCGCTCGTATCTTCCTCACCCTGTCTCCAACTCCTTCTCGCTTCAATCATTTGTCACATGTTGATTCATACCTATTGCTGGCACCAACATATCCTCCGTCCATTGTCCATGACCAAAGAAGCATGCACCCAACTTGCACTACAACATTATCGCTGGGCAAAACACCTTTTAGCCTCGGTCTATTTCGATACGCCTTGCCTTTTGACGATTCACGCTATTTGTAATCTTGTCCTCTATCATATGGAAAATGGCAATATTTGTGCCATTTACTTATACTCCGGCATGGCGGTACGTATGGCGCTGGCTCTCCAGTTATATGCCGAGGACACATTGGACGCCGTTGTACAGGCTCAGGCTGAATATCTGCCTGGCCAATCGTTGCAGAGGATCAGTACGTACTCTAGATCCCTCATCTTGTTTTTATACTGTTTGGACACAGCCTCGTCCCATTACCACAACAAACCCTACGAAGTCCACCTCGAAGATGATCATTCGAGTCAAAAATCGTTTTTCTATCGATCTTTGACCTCCTTATCAAACGATTCCCAAGTCAATCAAGCGCAAGTCTTGTTTCAACGTTTGGAATTCCAGTCATGTCAGCTTACGCGGGATATTCGACGAACTTGCTTTGTTAACGACAAACAACAAACTCCTTTCAAGGAAATTGAACGCATCGAACAAGCACTGACTATGTATCGGATGGCACTGCCCAACATCAACATCGCACTTGTGAATCAATCCTCTTCATGGCAGATTCGCAATGTTTATATCCCATGGATCAAATATCACGGCTTGTGGATTTTGCTTCATCAGACTTATCTTCCTACTCCGATGTCTTTGGAACGGTGTATAACAGCCGCATTTTCTATAGTAGACCTGTTCAAAACCTGGAATCAGCATATCGATTGTTACTTCCGACCTTGCGTTCATGAACTGAAGCAAGCATGTGATATCTTGTTATACCTCGTCGACACGCAATCCATGGTTCGAGCTCAAGCATTGGCAGGTCTGAACGTGCTTTTGGATGTGATTCTGCATACGCCAGTTCATGACATTGCGAAAACGCGACCATTTGTACAGCGAATCCAGCAAGCCCTGCAACAGCAATAACCCGCCGGATATATATATATATATATATATATATTGTTGGGGATATAATTTTTTTCCTCAGTTCGTTAGAACGTGTCCATCCGCTCAAAGATGGACTAATAAAACAAAATGGATATAACACAAAACAGAATGCGAGCTAAAGGAGGGTCAGGGAAAATAGAGTAAAAATTTGTTTCTTTTTGCTTAATTCGGATGTATTGTTTTTTTTTTCTTTGCTTGCACCTAGACTGTTGGGCCAGGAGCAGCTTTAGGCGAAGGTGATCGAGAAGACTGCGGTGGCGGGATGGGCATGGTAGGTGCAGACTTAGCTATAGGTGAACGAGATCTCGATTCTCTTGGGGGCATGGGAGGGTAGCGCTCGTCAGGATATCTGGGCGGTGAACGAGAACGAGAATCATACCGACGGTCAAGCGGAGGTGGAGAGCGACCACGAGGAGATGGTGAACGAGCGCCACGATAAGGGCTACGTGATCGGCTGCGGCTACGTCCGTAAGACACCCGACGTGGAGGAAGACGACGTGGGCTAGGAGAACGGCGCCGACGAGGAGAACGATCGAAGCGCCATGATGAACTAGGAGCGTTTCTAGCCCACTATGAAAGTTTCAATAGCTTGTTCGGGATAATCGGAATTGATCAATTATTTTTTTCTTACCTGAACACTGATAGGATAACCGTCTATACGTCTACCATGCATTTCGTAGTAAGCATCCTCGGCATCACGAGGATCTTCGAATTCGACGAAAGCATATCTGTCGATTTACAACAGCAGAGGATCAAAAGGAGAGACAGAAAACAAGTCAATGAATTTAGAATTTAAAAAAAAAAATTAGACCGATTAAATTGAAACACAGGTGGCGAACGACTTACGGTTTGGAAGAGTAAGTTTTTGGAGCGGGAATATCACAACGAACAAGGCGACCATATCTTTCGGGCGATAGGAAAGCATATCCAGAAACAGAGGTGAAGGGGTACGTTAGTCGTCAGTTATATTTTTTTGCAATTGAGAATTGATTGTTTCGCTCGTCCGTAGAAAACAACCCGGGTCCGCATTACAGCCGCGTCACTCTTTCGTCCGTTTTCGACGATGAAGGGTGCTTGCGGATTGGATCCTCGCGGTGTCGTTCGACGATGTACCTTTCAAAATCGTAGGCAAGATCTCTTGCGCGACATCTGGAACCGAAACCGGCAACGAAAAGCGTAGTTCTCATGGCACGACGAAAAGGGGGCTGAACGGTGAGGGTTACTGCGAGGTAGAAAAAAAAAAAAGAAAAAGGAAAAGAAGAGAAAAAGTGAGCGAATGACATTCAAAGAATCTTCTAGCGCGTATGGTTGTGTGACAGTCAGTTGCACATGCTGGCGCTCCGACAACCCTCGGCAACGGTGACTGGATGTAATTTTTTCCCCTGGTTTCCATTAAGCTCTTTACTGAACTTGTCATGTCCAATAATTTTTTTATCAATCGGTCTCTATTTTTTTGGGTCCAATTAAATACATGCATTAGCTTTCGACATGCAGTAGAGGAAGCTTTTTCAGTTTGTTCGTCAGTTGGGCAGAAACAACTATGTACGAGGAACTCTTTCTTTGCTTTTTTTCTGTCGGTTCAATTCGGTAATAAATTTAATAGCATTCATACGACACATGACTATTTTATGTTGATTACACAACTTCACGGTGATATGCTTTTTTTATTGTGCATTAGCAAGTAGACTTTGACCAAAATTGAGACCATGTCTGCAAGATAGGATGAAGAATGATAACAGAATGAGAATCTTTTATATTTGACGTGAAAAAAGTTTACAATGAATAAGTGATAGGTTATCTTATTTGGCGGATTTGCCTTTTTTTGCCTGGTTCAGGAAATATTCGCCACTCTCCAATTGCAGATCGATCTTGGATGGCTGTTGTGCTGGTGGGAAGGGAGTGTATTCCTTCTTCTTGATCTTGCTCTTGTCAATCTTCTTCTTGGACTTCATGTTTCTCTTCTTGAAGTGCGGTAAGAATCTATCCCATGACTCGTTTGCCAGTTTGGGATCCTTTGCAAGTTCGCGCTTGATCATTAATTCCTAATCAAAAAAATTATATATATGAGCAATCCATATCAAAAGGTAATCAACTGTGGAATATTGGAACCTACTTTGATGTGATAAATAGGATGGATATTCCTCATGCAGTCGAGAACAATGCGACGAAGATCTTTCAAACCCTTATAAGGTCCCATGGCAGATACCGTGTTACCTTGAACCATCATATAACATGATGTCAACAATTCAATGGCCTATCTTAAGCGAATGAGCTTTTCCATTCCGCACCGTGTGCATACACCTGTACTTTATACCTTCAGTGTAGAGCCATTGGGTCCCAAGAGTCTTTGTCTACGCTTGACAAAGCGCTCTTTATTACGCACAAGGTTACCAATCTTGATAATGTCGCATGCTACACCGTCTTCCATGATTTTCACCGCCTAATGTCTTTGGTTACTATGGAATCTCATTGCAGATCAAAGCAAGCTAAATCGTTACCTGTGGAAACGGTACACTTCTTGCCAGGAGTTTGATCAAATCGCGCGCCTTGAGAATTGCATAGGGATCATACGTTTTACGAGTCGTTTTCACTGTCATGCTACCTTCCACCAAATCCAGTAAACAAGCAATGCCCTATCCATCAAAGTGTTAAAAGAATTGTCGATTCTGCTCAATCTTGGACGCATCACTTACATGCTTTTCAAGAGCTTTTGTGACGTGAGGCCAAACCTCTCTCAGGTAATTCTCCCGGTATTTAGGAAACAAGGTAGCGAACGAAGATTCTTCACTAAAAGGAGCTACGATTTCCTCGGGCTTGAATTCATCAACCTTCCAGTGATCAATGTCATCGGTATCCCAAGCTTAAGCAATAACCATGTTAATATATAGAGCAAAAACTCATTATTTTTTAGTGTTTTTTACTTACGCTTATCCTTTCTGAAGCGCTTGTTGTTGGATTTGGGCTGTTCTTCTGCAGGTCCTTCCATGATCTATGCCGAAGTTTGGGGAAAAAAGGCTTGAAACTTGGAAGAAAAAAAAATGTAATTGTGCTGAGTTTAAACATGTGTCCATCATGTTCGACCCCCCAACTGGTGGCTTTGGCGCCCGGTCGGCCATTCAATTGTCGCCTGCAAAAAAAGCTACAAACGAATGTGTGATTTTCTAGTCGTAACTTGGCAAAAGAAGAGCCGGTTGTTGGACGATATACTACAATCGGCCAATACTTTACGTGCCCCTCTACAAGTATTTACTAACACAAGCATTCAGATACTGTAGACATTTAAAGTTGCTTTGACTTTCAACACTTTATCCTGTCACAAAAACTGGTATTAACATTACAAGTCTTTTTTACCCGAATGATGGCGTAGATATGTTGAGCTGAGTATATCTGGGTGGTAATTGTAATGATTAGGATACTTGTTGAATAAGTTTTGGGCACAGTGCTCCATGCTCTCAACGGTGTGAAAAGAGAGAAAACGGTTTTTTCAGGTTTATTCTTATTTTTCATTTCACAGTAACCAGTTACACGCTGCCAATCGACATGTCGTTGCTAGCTTTACAATTTTCTTTCTATAAGTTCTTTGGAGATCATCCTGATGATCGTTTGTTTGTTCATTGATCATGTATAGCGATTCTGCACTTGGCAGACAAGCTTGATGACATGGCTTTGTATATTTTATTCTCAAGAGGCGTTGGATGTCAATAAGATTTCGGCTGCTCGGTTTAAATCGTATCGTGCAGAGACAATAGCATTGATAATTGTTTCTCGCGAATAGCCCGGAAACATGGAAGAAACGGTACGGATATTTTCTTCCGACACCCGTGAAGTTTGAGCGCTTACACCGCGTCGCTGACGAGAACCGGAAGGGCGTGCTATTGATGGACTGTTGCTGGCTCTGGACGAAGAAGTCGACGATTTTGATTTGGTGGAAAGGATAGGAAGGATATAGCTTGATGCAAATGATCTCAAGGCAGAAGGGAATCGCCACTGCTTGATGTAGCCGACATTGGATTGATACAGTTGCGAAATGACCCATCCACAAGCGCACGGTATAATTGATGAGACTGAGTGAGATATCATGAGCTAATAATAAAACATGAGACGAAAAAACCACTGGTTATTGTAAATGATATCCAAGGAGGATTAAAATAGAAAATACCTGAAAGGCAGCTGTGTAGATGTAGAATTTGTCTGTCATGGCAAACTGTTCAGGTGTCTGAGGAGCGGCATTAGCAGGAATCAGCTTTCGGTAGCAGAAAATCATCGCAAAGACCAATGCATAGCTACCAATAACCATAAGTAATGAACCTCTGGCGTTCTCTCTTTTATAGTAAAGGAACTTACGGTCCGCTGGCGATCCATCTGACCATGGAAAGGCTCCCAACTTGCAGCAAAGTGGAGAACACAATGCATACAAAGATAAAGGCCTACAGACTGGTGTTAAAGAATATACGGGATATTCAGAGGAATACACCTCTGGTTTGAAGCAAAAACCCACCGAGTATTTGGACGAGCCAAAGCGACGTTCAATGATGCGCATTTTGTAGATGAGCCATGTGCCGACAGCAGCCGTACCAATAGTAGGAAAAGCCCACGGAGAGGCGGCTAATCGCCACAACTAACAATAAAACAATAAGGTTAACGATAATGGACGTAAATTCCGAATTCGCAAGACCTCGTACTTGATGGTGCTGAACAAGTTGATGCAGAGAAACGTCGAAACGTGCATTTAGGAAAACCGAAAGCGCCGAACAAGTTCCAACCGTGGTGACTAATAGCTTCGTCACAGGCGCGCCACGAAATCCTATATGGTAGGCCTTAGTTTTGGCTCTGCAACAGCTAATTACTCGAGCCACATTCGACAAGTCAACAAGTACCTGAAGGTTCCGAAGAACTCATTGTAGACTGCAATAGAAGGACGGCGAACGACTTGGGCCTTTTTCACTATTCGGTTTGGCCTTGCTGAATTGTCATGTTTTGAAACTCCGGTTTTCGCTTTGGAAGACTGGACATTGACCCTCATTAAATCGATCTTGTCCTCATTTCTCCGCATCCTTCTCTCCAACTTTCAGAAAACAGTTTATTTAGTAAGAGTAACTTAATTAAAATGTTATCATGCTAATGCTAATACTATTACGTCTTCCGAAAACATTTTGAGTATTGAATGGCTGTCAAATTTTTTATCCACAGCCATGATACGCGGGCCCTCACTCCAAATGTTATCAAGGTTTTTGCAGCCGCATAAAATCACCCAACATTGATGATTGTCGAATTCGTTCTTCGCCTATTTTCGCAAAACAGTTCGAGAAGTAAGGAAGAACACTTTTTTGTGTAGACAACGAACGTGAACCCACGATGCACCTGCATCCTACAGTGACCGCTGACTTTGGGTACAGCTTGCGGAGTATCCCTTTGCAAAGGGATTGCACATATGCGTACAGTTATTCCGGCTTACATGGCCTCATTCTAGGCTTAAATATCAATGGCAATGCCAAGCATGTAATTGAAAGTAGAAGATCTTCTCTGATGCGTCGTAAGATGGAAAATTATATTCCTTGTCCAAGAGCTAAAACCGATGAGTTGTTATGGGTACAGTAATGCGCTAAAATGTGGGTTTTCCCTACAAGCTAAATATATCAAGGAAGAGAACCCAGCTTAATCATTTGATCCAGTTCAAACCTAGAAAGATTTTCCGCCATCGCTTATGGCTGATAAATTCTTATTCGCGTCCTATCGCTTGACATTAAAAGTGGCAATCAATCATATCATAAATGGTAATAAGATTGTGTAGGAGAAAGCGTTTCATTATAAAAAAAAGCTGTGTGTGGTTGGTCTGCAACTTGAAAGTCATTTGTTTCACAAGGAAGCGGCCTTTGCCCGATTGAGCTACGGAATCTTGTTACTCATTGGATGCAAACTATTGTGACTGGTATATTGAAAAATCGGCCATAAAAATTTTGTTTTTATTATTAGTTCCCTTTTTTTTCCTACCCTTTCTTGACATAGGACATTCTCCCTTTCCAACCTAACCGATCCCCTTTTTTTTCCTTCGTCGAACACTATGTCATCTTACTCCTCCTACTACTCTTCTTCGTCTTCCAGACATCATAATGACGGAGGCCACTCTTCTTCGTCTTATGGTGGAAGCAGCAGCCGTGGTTACAGCGGAGGTTACTCTAGCCGTGGTGGCAGCTATCGCGATAATCGTGATGTCTCTCCTCGTCGATCCAGCAGACCGTAAGTGCAACAAAATTTCACCCCATCTGAAAATCTTGTGGAATTAATCAAACCTGATCTTGTTTTATAGTAGTTCCGATCATCACTCCTCATCCCGCGATCGTGGCGATCGTGGCGGCTACTCATCCTACGGATCGTACCGTTCGTCCGGCGACAACTATGGTGCTTCCACCCGAAGCTATGGTGGCAGCGGCGCCGCTTACGGTGGTGGCGGATATGGTGGCGGTTACGGCGGCGCTCCCGGTGGCGGTGACCGTATGAGCCAGCTTGGCTCTACCCTGAAGAATATCGATTGGGATATGAACGCTTTGCCTCCCTTTGAAAAGAACTTTTATCAAGAACATCCCGATGTTGCTGCGCGATCCGCCGAAGAAGTGCAACAGATGAGAGCTGCAGCCAATATGACGGTTACAGGCCGTGGCGTTCCCAAGCCTTTGAAGACCTTTGAGGAAGCCAACTTCCCCTCTTATGTGATGAAAGAACTTGTCGCTCTTGGATTCCCTTCGCCTACTCCTATCCAGTGTCAAGGTTGGCCTATGGCTTTGAGCGGTCATGACGTTGTCGGTGTTGCCGAAACTGGTTCCGGAAAAACTCTCGCTTATACTCTTCCTGCCATTGTCCACATCAACGCTCAGCCTTTGTTGAATCCTGGCGATGGCCCCATCGTCTTGATTTTGGCTCCTACTAGAGAACTCGCCGTTCAGATTCAAAACGAATGTACAAAGTTTGGTCACAGCTCTCGAATCAAGAATACCTGTTTATACGGTGGTACCCCTCGTGGTCCTCAAATTAGAGATTTGGCTAGAGGTACGTATTCCTTACATTGCAACAGTGTTCATAGTTTCCTAAAACTCACCGTCGTTGGTCATTTTTAATAGGTGTTGAAATTTGCATTGCTACTCCCGGTCGTTTGATTGATATGCTTGAAGGTGGCAAGACCAATCTTCGTCGCGTCACCTACCTTGTGCTTGATGAAGCCGACAGAATGCTCGATATGGGTTTTGAACCTCAGATTCGCAAGATCGTCAACCAAATTCGTCCTGACCGTCAAACCCTCATGTGGAGTGCTACTTGGCCCAAGTCCGTCCAGCGTTTGGCTGAATCCTATTTGAAGGAATATATCCAAGTCACCGTCGGTTCTCTCCAATTGAGTGCTTCGCACAATGTCACTCAGATTGTCGAAGTTTGCGCCGAACAAGAAAAACGTGGAAAGTAAGTATAATGATGGCTTCTGATACGCAAAATAAGACAATGGTTTTGACTTACATGACTGCACAATAGGCTGATTACCCAACTTGAGCGTATCATGGAAGAACCCGAAGCTGAAAGAAAGACTATTATCTTCACCAGCACGAAGCGTACCGCTGATGATATCACTCGATTCTTACGACAGGACGGTTTCCCTGCTTTGGCTATCCACGGTGACAAACAACAAAAGGAACGTGATTGGGTGCTTAATCAATTCCGTACCGGTGGTCATCCTATTATGGTCGCAACCGATGTGGCTTCTCGTGGTATTGGTAAGTATATCACACTGAAAAAGAAAAAAAAAAAAGAAAAATGCAGAAAGTACTCGCCCCGCATTCCATGCGCACCGTTTGATTTCGACTCAGAGGATTGCAGTTTGAGAGATTGGTTTATGGTCTCTAACTTGCATAGAGTTCTGAAAATCGAAGCCTAGCAAGTGGCGATAGCGTTGTTCGACGGGCTCAATGTAAAAATCGAGTCTGAAAGACGTCACTTCTCTCTTCAACCAGCGAAGGAAAGCGCTATCACCACGAAATCGGTCGCTTTGCGGATTCCCAAAAATTATACTTTGGAGTGTTGCCCACCTTCGAAAGCCTTTGGCCGGAAGACATGTACATTTTTCAAGCGTCCATCTATTCTTTCGGCTTGTTTGAAGTGTTTGTGGACAACTAAAGCAGGCTTCCCGTCAGCAAAGCAGATGCTTTCTCGCGTGCCATTTTGGACTGCAAAGTTTTTCTTTTTCCTTAAAAAAAAAGGATTGTTTCGAACTCTTTGACTGATGATTTTTTTTTCTCTCTATTATTAGATGTCAAGGATGTCAAATTTGTTATCAACTACGATTTCCCGACAAACATTGAAGATTATGTGCATCGTGTTGGTCGTACTGGCCGTGGTGGTCGCACAGGTTCATCCATCACCTTCTTCACCGCGGAAAATGCCCGCTCTGCTCGGGATCTGGTCCAGATTTTACAAGAGACACAACAACACATTGATCCTCGACTGCAGATGATGGTCGTTGCCGGTGGGCGCGGTGGAGGTGCAGGTCGTCGTTACGGTGGAGGCGGATATCACCGCGGTGGAGGAGGTGGCGGTATGTACGGTGGCTACCGCGGCGGCGCTCCTCGATGGTAAAGAAGAAAGGAGAAGTTTTCTCAAAAAGGAAAATCGGTCATCTTATGGTTGGAGATGTATTTCATGGTGTTTTATCCGCCCTCTCCTATTTTTTCCGCTCAATCTGTGTCATTTATACATTTTTCCCCCATTTCAATTTCACATTCTGGTTTTTTCGGCGTTACCTTTCTCCTATAATCATCGTTCAAGACAAAATGTCTGAATAGAGAATAAATAAATTTGCTTTCATGGATCGCTAACAATCACATATATCTCGAGAACTTGTATCTGTGTTTGAATTTTATTTTTTTCCAATGTAAAATCGTCTGGTGATCGTCAAAAGAAAAGAGACGATAGATATAATACCGTTCAGAGAATGGCTGTTTCCAGAAGTTTGCTTTCGCGGAGTCTGTTAATGACTTGGGCAATTTGATATGCGGTTGGTCTTGTGTAATCGCCGTGAACATAAAAGGTTGAGGAAACGAATTCATCCATGGATGACAAGAGGTGATCGTTATTATCCTTGCTGTAAGCTTTATCCATGATATTTTCCACTTGGGTGACCATGTCGCGCACCTTTAACGGTTGGATCTTTTCTTGATGATACAACCATGCTAGGATATCCGCTATAAGTAGTACTTGGCCTTGCTCTGCAAGTTGTTCCAAATCTTGCAAACATAAATCATAGGCTTTCTCAAAGCCTATAATGTAGTTGTTTCTCACACGAATTCGTCGTGACAAGTAATCCGGAAGTTCAAGGCATCGATGGCTGACGGTTCCATAAGATGAGCCTATCGTTAAGTCTTGTCAGTAAATCAATCACGAATCATTGGGTGGAAAAATCAAGGATACAAACCTCCTTCCTCCGACAGATTGGAAGGATACTGTTGTGCTATCTGCTTGGCGAAATCTGTAATATCTCTATACAAATCGAGAAGTATTTCATGAGGAGCCAGCGTTACAACAGCTTACAGATTGATCAATTACCTGGGTTTATAGTTGTACATTTCAATGATGGTATCAGCGACATCGACGTAATCACCGCAACCGCCAATGACGAGGATACTGGAGACTCCTTTTTCTCTGAATAACGTCCGGATCTTGTAAATAAGTGGAGTAATAGGTTCTCGGTCTTTGGCCACGATCAACTGCATACGTCTGTCACGAATCAAGAAATTCGTGGCGCTAGTGTCCTCATCAAAAGCAAACGCAGTGACTTGCATCTAAAATGCTTCAATACCGACACTTTTCGGGAATGGGTTGCTCAGTCTTTACCTCCAACATCTCTTGAATACTTGCAGCCATCGACGTGCTGCCACTGGCATGCGTCGTACAGAATTTCTTGGTGCTGGCATTGAACGGTAAATTATTGATGTATGGGCTAATGTCGGTACCTTCTACACTTCGACCATCTTCTGTTCTGATTTTCACAAGGGTAGGATCGGCCACGACGTATTCACGACCATCACCTAGTTACACAAGTGATGAGCATATCAAAGCACCGGAACATGAAATAGAATCGTTACCAGGAATATGATCATAGATGCCTTGTTGTAAAGCTTGCAGTAGCGTCGATTTTCCCTAGGAAGTCGTCGTCAGACTTCTCGCCAATAGACCGGCTTCTTGGAGATCAATCAGACTTACATGGTAGCCACCTCCCTATTATCGAAAAGTATGATCAGTACGTGAAAGTGAGCTATAAATGCATCACTGGATCTTACGGCAATCATGGTAACACCGCGCTTAATGCCCATACCAACGATCGTCTTCCCTGAAGGGCAACTAAACGACACTTCCATGGATGTGGGTGCTTTGAATGGCACAGAATTGCTTGTCAAAGGAAGTTCGGAAACGCCGGAAACTCGAGGTAATACGGCACCGTTAGGAACGAAAGCTACCAGGTCTATTGCAAAAGACGGTTACTATAAAATCAAAAAATTTTGGGACGGATTGCCCGTCAGTTTATACTAGCATACCATGGTCCCATAATTGAGCCCTCAGCCATTGTTGATCTTCAATGCATTGGATAAATTCCTCGAGGTGTCGCTGATCAGTTCGCACTGAAGCTTGCAAAAACCGCTCTACTAATTGTGGTAGGTCTTTTAAAAGCATCTCAATGCACTTGTGCGCCATAATGGATCGGCCTGTTTAGAAAAACTGTCAGCGCAGACCAATCTATTGTTAAGATGTCAAACATAGCACTGACCTTGAGCGGGTAAGGGTACCCTTAAACGTACTTCTAAGGCTCCTTCATGTACCATCATCGAACTTCGCTCCAACACTTTTTGAGAGACACTGGATATCGAGAACCGGTCGGCCTTTGACAAATCCACTGACGTATCATTCATCTCGTGAATCAAGTGACGGATCAGATAATCGGCCAACGCGATTTTCCTTGGCATGTTCATCAGTATCCCATAAATGTCTATCAGTTCGTGTGACAAATAAAAAAAAGGTACCTCGTCTGGCTGGAATACCAATGTGGTTGCAGTTGTGCTACGGAAGCAGGTATACAGACACGGATAATACTTGGTGGCGCATGAGGATCGCTCTGAACGTGCGCAAATTTAAGCGAGTATAATGGAAACGAAAATACGTCTATGCGGGGCAAAATCTCTCTAAGTTGGTGAAACACCCGTCTTTTTTTCCACAATAACAGAGCTTACAGCGTGTCAAGCTTTTGTATGCTTGATATGGCTTCCAGTTCAAAGAAATAAGCAAGCGTCGCAGCATGTTATCATCTTCTTAAAGGCATGAGGCTTCCGGATTTTTTTTATTGACCCTGGAGTGGTTTACCTTGTAAGTTTACGGATTCCGGCTGCCGATCAGTGGTGGTCGACCACGATCGACGATTACCACCACCGTATTTCTGCTTATAGTAAGATCCGCCGCGTTTTTCACCGCCTTTCATTGTTGGCTGATAGAAACTACGATTTGACATGAAGGAGCGTTCGAGCAATGTTTGAACTCGGCAAGTGACAGATAGTGTCCCGGGAAAAGTGTGGATAAATATATGTATCTTACTGAGCTTGAAAAATTCTGGTACGTTTATCATATCACTTTGATGCCAGGCTTTATGCTTTACTTTGAATGCCCCATTTTTGGTCTTCTCGAAGTAGTGATACATAATGAATGAGAACATTTTACAGATTCCCCTTTGGCCAAATTGAGTTCTTTGGCATATGTAGCTTCTTTTTTATATATAGGACATGTTTTTTCTTCTGTATGCATATCAATTTTCATTAATGGTATGTAAGCCAAACCGTTGTCCATTCTGCCGTTCTACAGTACTATATTATAAATCTATTCTTCAGAAGCAACTAGATTTAAAAATTTTGTTTACGCCGCTTTCGGTTATCCTTTTGCGTCAGTGGCTACGATATATATTAGGGTAAAAATAAACTTTACCTTAAAACAATGAAAACCAAAAGAGAAAAAGGATAACCTCGAGCAGTTATAAACAGCGTTCTCTTGATGAGTATTCCGTTTTGTAATACGAATTAAGCCATTATCTTACCAGACCTACACAGCATTTTATGAGTTCAAATTTTTGGATATGAGCCAACTGTCATATTTATATTATGCCCGCGAACACTACGTCGTGTGTCTCCCGCATTGGAAGAAGCCTCCGCAGCACCTGCATCTAAAAATTTCTCCTATTCAGCATCACTGTCAAATTCGTAGTCGAGATTCTGTGTTACCGGTGTGCGGGGTGGTAATGATTTTTTTCAGCATATTGATTCATGGCTGAATTTTTTAAAATGGGTGCAATGTCATCCCGTCGAGCAAGAAGCTTGCACCAGCAAGAGCGATGCAGTTGCTGCTTGAGTGTCCCGGTTTTGTGTAGTTCGTCCTGTTCGATATAACGGACAATCGATATTCATACACAAAGACGATCCGTGAACTGAGCGTATTTCGGAGCTTGCTCCAACGGCTTTCCTCCTTGGTCGGATGACCGGACCGAAACAGTCCATGCACGTTTGTGAACTACGAAACTCGTTCGTCATTCCCACAACAGCGTGCTGACTATCCTGTTCGTGTGCCAGTGTTGCTTTTAAATTTTGCCCATCGGTTACCCGAGAAACGGCAACGTATAATTGACCATGAATAAACACTGGAACCGGGAGGTATAACCCAACTTTGCCCAAGGATTGGCCCTGTGATTTCGGCAGGCTCAACTGGAAGCAACGTAATGGGAAAACATAAACTTAACGCGTGCAATGTCAGAGGAGGTTTAAAGAAAAATATATACCTTCCATAGTTGAAGGCACTGGCGCAGGTGGAGCGACATCCTCAGCGTCGGCTGTCATGTTTCGAGGATTTAAGGGACAGAGCGTGTTGACACGTTTTGATGGTCTGTACCGCCACATTGGCAAAGTAGATCTATCCGACATTGGAAAATATCCAAGACAAATGTATACACTGCAGCGTAGTTTTTAGTAAGCTACTGCCAAGAGAATATGTAATATACCTTGTTGGGTGACTTGAATAAACTCAGCAGTTGTATTCGTGCGATTCAACGGACAACGTGAACTCGTCATTCTTTAGTGATCCGTACGTCCACATTGACAGCGTCTGGTAAGGTCTATCCGAATTCGAGAAATCTTCTAAAAGAATGCCTTTTTTGAAAAATTACTTCAAGAGAAAATGTGTATACATTGTGGAGAGAAATTAATAAACGGCTGCGCTTGTGCTTCTTGAACAAACGGCTGCACTTGGATTAACCGCTCAGTAATTGTATTTCTGGAGTTCAGCGGACACAGCGAGCTCGTAATTCTTCCATGATCCGTGCTTTCACAACGGCAAGGCATATTTAAGATTTTTTTTAGTTGTGACAGGATACAAAATCAAAACAATCTTTCTCTTTATATACTGTCGGACAGTGTGTGGGCAACGTCCCTTTTTGTGTAGATTGCTTTTATGAAACAGTATGTGGCAATGGCCCCAGAAAAGGCAATAAAAAAACCCACAACATTGCTATTTTTCGATTATGAAATCCCAAAGAGGCTCTTTTTGTTGTTGATATTTTTGCGAACATGGTTGTCCAAAACCATCGTGGAACAAGATGTGACGGGCTTTTGGGTCACTTTTTTAAAGATACGCTTTTCTGAAATGACAGGGCTTTGGTTCTTTTCATGCTCAGATTATCCGTAAGATACGCCGGGCAGCAAGCCCGTTGCACCATTGAACGTCGGCAGACCTCCTTTCTGTACGCTTGCAACCGAACATTTCGTTCTTCGGTCAAGTGCGCTGACAGACATGAACGTGCCCATCCCAAACCGTCGCCATGTAAGTCGTTTACGAGATTAGTGAAATGAATGTCATAACTGACTGCGATGTTCCATTAGCTGGCCAGTTTTATACAGTCCGACCTATGCGTTTTTGGGTCGACAGCATTCTAAAGCGGGAGAACCAGAAAAGTATCACAAAACCTCGCAAAGAGCGCCAGCTTATCGAAAAGACGGTAAGGCCTCTTTAACATCTCGGATTATGACACCATATGCATAATTAAAAAATCTTTCGATCTCCGTCAACGCTATCAGATGTCGGACAGTTATCTGAAGGAATATCTTCCTTTCAAAACATCGCCCGAACTACTTGACGAATATGTCTACGCAGACGGACGTATTCGCACAGGAAAACTTTTGGAAGGTAAATGCGTCGACAGGAAACATCCTTTGCGATATAAAAATTCTGACACATGCAGCACAGATTTGGATGCATTGGCTGGTGCAATCGCCTACAAGCATATCGATAACGGGGATCCCGATGCTCCAGCAGTCACTGTTGTGACAGCCAGTGTGGATCGATTGGATCTCTTCTTGCCAAAAGCCGTGGAAAATTACAAATTGAGCGGCATGGTAACCTATGCGGGTAACAGTTCGATGGAGAGTAAGTGGATTGCCCTTTTAATTTTATCTTAAAAAAATCGTGGGCCAAGCAGGATGGCTAAAAGCTATTTTTGCCAGTTTTCATCAAAGCGGAAACGGTTTCTGACGAGGAGACTGGAGATGCTGATACGGATTACATCTCGGCGACAACTGAGGATTTTGGTATGCTCGGCCCGAACACCGTGCTTGCCACTAGGTTCACTATGGTGGCCATCGATTCTCAGACGCAAAAGCCGGTTACTGTGAATCCGCTTAAACCCACTTCACCGACGGAAGAGCGATTGTTCGATATTGCGAAAGCCAATAAGAAGCGAAAGAAGCGTAATGCTGAATTGTCATTGACGAAACAGCCTCCGACGCCGGAGGAACGGCTGACGATTCACGACATTTTCTTGCAGTATTCGCAATACAGTGACGTGGGTGATGATTCCTTTGTCACTAGCACCTCGTCCGATGAAAAGCAACCTCTGCCTGATAATCTGATGTGGATGCGCGATACACGAATCGAAAGTAATTTCCTTATGCAACCGCAAGATCGCAACATTCACAACAACATTTTTGGTGGCTATCTCATGCGTCGTGCGTTTGAATTGGCCTTTTCCGATGCGAGCCTTTTCATGCGTTCTCGTTCACCTATTCTACTTGCTATGGATGAAGTGATATTCCGAAGACCGGTTCATGTGGGTTCACTTTTGAACTTGAAAGCTGGCATCGTCCACGCCGAGGGATATCCTCATCGATCCGTCCAAGTCCGCGTGGTCGCTGAAGTGGTCGATATCGAAAACGGTTCGCGAGAGACTACCAACATCTTTTATTTCACTTTAGCCAGCCCTGACGACAAGGCGAAATTGAAACGCATTTTGCCCAAGACGTATGCCGAGACAATGCTGTGGTTGGATGCCAAACGTCGTCGGTTCCAAGGTGTGAACGCTCGACAGTTGCTGTTGGATGAATTATCGCCGAAGCACTTATCTGACGATTGCGAAGGTTCGGATGATTTGAAAAACTGAATACAAAAAAAAAAAAAAAAATTACTGTATTTTTAAATTATTTAAAAGAAGAGATTTATTGCATCCTATCCATCATTGTCGTTTTTTTTTCTTTTAAGCAAACAATGGTAAGCCCAAGCCCATATCATCGGGATTATTGAAACGTAATCCACAGCTGAGCGAATCGATTTCTTTCTGATCTTCCTTGTCCAAAGACCAAGAGAATACATCGCGATTGGATTTCAAACGCTCTTCGTGCTCGCTCTTTGGGATAACAGCGATGCCTCTTTCAATAGCCCATCGCAGCAACACTTGACCGGTTGACACTTTGTACTTATCGGCAATCGCCTTGATTTTGTCGTGGCTAAGCAGAGGTTGTGTGGTCTTTCCCGCTTCAGACATACCACTATAGGAGCCTGGACCGAATGATGAATAAGCTGTCACTTGAATTCCCTGAGACTGTACCCATTCCACCAGACGCTTTTGGGGCAAATAAGGGTGAATTTCGACTGTCAAGGTCAAGTGAGTAAATTTTGGCCAGATTTAATGGCTTAAAATGCTGGAGATAATGCTTACCTTGCAATGTGGCGGGTTTGATTCGGCAATAACTTAACAAGTCCAAGACTGACTGAACGTTGAAATTGGAAATACCGATATTGCGCGCCAATCCATCATCCACCAGTTTCTCCATTTCGCGCCATGTTTCGTGCATAGGCGAACGCTCAAATTCGAGGCTGTCCTCGTTGTTAGGCTGATACCAGCTTGGTGGATATTTATCCTTTGGGTCAACGTATTTCAACGGCACAGGGACTAATGGATAATGCAAACGTGAGCGTGTTTGGTTGAATTAAAGGAGGAATCCCCAGTGAAGACTTACAGTGAACCAGGTACAAGTCAAAATACTCCAAGTTCCAATCTTTCAATTGCTTTTCGGCAGCAGAGCGTACATGGTCTTTCGAGTGGAAGGTATTCCATAACTTGGAAACCACTACATAAACAATTTAATTTCCAAGGCAACAATTTGACCATTACTTTGTATCGGTTGTCATACCAAACAATTCTTGACGCTTGACCAATCCATCCTGAATTGCTTTCTTCAAACCACGTCCCACTTCCGCTTCATTGCCGTAATCACAAGCGCCATCAAAAAGGCGATAACCAGCTTTGACGGCAGCGTAAATAGTGTTCTCCACATCATCTTTGCTCACTTTCCAGCAACCAAAGCCTACAAGAGGCATCTTGTCGCCGGTGCGGTTAAGTTGGACGTAGTCTTGGTTTGTCATATGAAAAGAGACTTTACTGAATAAAGGGATAAAAGGCACGTTACGATCAGAGCGCTATTATATACTCGAAATCCTTGACTGCCCTTTTGAGGAAATTTTATACGCAACAATGATGACAAGCTGAGACATTACATCTAACAAAACTTTACGTTGGAAGAAACATCGTATATTGAAGGATTGTATACCAATATTGCATCAAACTGTGAAACTGCCCAATGCTCAATGTTACCAGGAAAGCTGCATTTTTAACCATGTGCCATTGTGATACAGTAATTTCGATAGAAAGAGCAACCGGAGTTAACCCATTGTTCGGTATTTCGGGAGTTTGCCCGCCTCTTGAAAAATGACAGCATTGTTAAACCAGTAAGCTGTAACCGGGCCATTTCTTAACTGCATGAAAGAGTGGGGAAGATACTTTTATTGAACCCCTAATGTTGGCTGTACAATATCGATCGACCTGTGATAAACGAATGTGGATCATCTATTTATCTTTCTGCATTGTGTGACAGCCCGATTTATCTATCATTGGCAATTTTTTTATCTCGAAACTTCCATTGTTCTTAAAAGTTTAACGAGGACCCAGCGACTTGACAAAGCGTATGCAATGTTTTTAACATCCGAATGATAAATATGAATATAAAATCGAAAAAACATAAACAATACAAAAGTAGTCACTATGAAAAGCGTTTGTTCCAGAGAAAGAAATATCAGGAATTTTTAGTGAATTTTCTCGGAATCTCCAGACAGCAAGAAGGCGGGGTCTTCCGTCCCCGCACCCCCTGGTTCGTCCATCAGAAACTAGAATTTCAAAGCCCGCCTAGTCTAACAGACTTGGGGATTTGTGCCGATCGTCAACAGTGGGATGATCACGGGGGAGGCACTGTTAAATGTAAATAAAGTAGAAAAAAAAAACATGATCAGATTCTGCAGGAAGCGGTGGAAAAAAAAAAAGGTAGAAAAGGGTAGACAAAAAGGGAAATCTCGAAATACTTGTCTTGCACAAGTTGAAGGCGAGCTTGAAAATGTGACTCATTGTTTATCTGACTTGTGTTGCAATGACTCACTGGAAATTCGCGCTACGTTCACTAAAATTTCTGACATCCTATAAATTGATTTTGGAAGGATAATTTCACTGGTTTCACCCACTTGACCTCTCTTAATTGTTATTGTCTTCTTTATTCCTTTTCACACTATGACCGGCTATTCTACCAAGCAAGCTAAACCTCAGCATTTCATTACCACAGCTGACTTCACCGCCGATCAGCTTTTGGAATTCGTGAACCGCGCTATCCAGTTCAAAGTCGAATCCAAGTACAAGAAAGACCGCACAGAACGACCTATGACCGGCAAGTCCATGGCCGTATTATTCTCAAAACGTTCCACTCGTACTCGTGTTGCCACCGAAACCGCTGTAGCCTACTTGGGTATGCTCACTTTTTTCATTCCTATTCACCTCAAAAGACAGTACATCCCATCTCAATGCCAGTCACTCATCACTAAATTATAATATTTCTATAGGTGGCCATGCCATGTTCCTCGGTTCACAAGACATTCAGTTGGGTGTCAATGAATCTTTATTAGATACCTCGCGCGTTATTAGCTCCATGGTCGATGGTATCATGGCTCGCGTAGGCAAACATCAGGAAATTGAGGTGCGTATTCAGTGATGAGAAGAGAGAGAGAAAAAAATAAAAAGAGATCAAGCAGTTCAGAGATTTCGGCTGGGGGTTTGTGATCATCGGTGAAACCTGATGGACTAAATGAAATTTTTCGTTTTTCCATTTTTAGTTGCTCGCCCAAGAATCCACCGTGCCTGTCATTAATGCTTTATCTGACAAATATCATCCTACCCAAATTCTTGCCGATCTTATGACCATTCATGAATACATTCATCACCGTCAAAATGGTGTTTCCGACCAATACACAGCACACACGCAGCATCCTCGCGAAACTCTGAAGGGCTTGAAGGTCGCGTGGGTTGGTGACGCAAACAACATCTTACAGGAAATCTTGGTGGCTTTCCCTAAAGTGGGTATCAGCGTCGCCGCCGCTGCTCCTCCTGGTTATGTCTGCGATGACGATGTCGTTGCTATTGCCAAGGCTGATGCCGAAAAATCTGGCGCCACTGTCTCCTTTACCACCAAACCCGAAGAAGCCATCAAGGATGCCGATATCATTGTTACCGATACATGGTAAAGTATTAGGACCACCACTGCGGTGATTTTCTATTCTGGGAACTAGGAAGGGGAACACACACAGTGGCACAAGCAAAGAGTTGCGGCAGAATAGGAAATCTAACCAATATTTTTTTATTCTTTACAGGGTAAGCATGGGTCAAGAAGACGAAAAGGCAAAACGATTGCGCGAATTTGCTGGTTACCAAGTAACAATGGATCTTGCCAAGCGTGGTGGTGCCAAGCCTGATTGGGCTTTCATGCATTGCTTGCCTCGCAAGCCTGAAGAAGTTGATGACGAGGTAAATAGAGCAAAAAAAAAAAAAAAAAAGCGACGAAGGAGGGAAGAAAAATGCCTCAAGTCGTCATGTGTTTTGGAAAAGCATTGTACTAAAACTCTTCCCTTTTTTTTTTCTTTTTCAAAAAAAGGTCTTTTACTCTGACCGATCTCTGGTATTCCCTGAAGCGGAAAACCGAAAATGGACTATCCTTGCTGTTATCGACGCGTTAGTCGTTAAGGGCGGTATCTAGATGCAAATAGAAAACCAAATAACTTGTACTTTTTCCCCTTGTAATTTTTGAAAATAAAAAGAATGCCAAAGAACATCGCAGATAGTGAGCTCCATCAGTGCTAACCTGCAAAAGGGAAAGCAGCATGATTCATTAAAAGTCAGACTCGGCCGAATTCCCAACATTCAGCGCTCGCACCACACGTTTTTGCATAGACGAAAACGATGACTAGCGGTTTCCGTGGCATGAATTACCAGGTTGGGTTGGAGGAGTGGAGTTTGGTATGTTTTTAAACAGAAAAGGGACACTCCAAGTTTACCGAGCATGAATTCCTGGGGTACGCTCTAATGACATTTTACCTTTTTGCACAAAAGTGGTAGCATTGCCGAAACAAGTTGAGAGCAAATAAGGATTATGAGATCACCGTTATTTGCGCAGAAAAAAAATAAGGGCGCACGCGATAAAAAGGAACTTCCATGTTAAGGTAAAAGATATCGGGTACCTGATCGGAGTGAACGAGGAACGAGACACATGAAAATGGTAGGAGTCGATTGTGGGAACTCCATTTCCAGGCTTCTAAACGAAACCTTATCTTTAACTCACCACACTAACGGAGGCACATTATCAGGTCAAGTGGAATTTCTTGCCATCACCTATCCCTCGGCATCCCTGGATGGGAACGAAAAAATAGTACACTATAGTATTTGGACTAGTTTATGGCAAGATATTGATCGATAAGAAATGATAGAGGAACATCACTTATGCACTATGACCTCCTTGCAAACATTGACGCTGATTCTTTTGAAAGAGCTGCCATCTGCTGCTGGCCAGATTTCAATTCCCGCAATGACGTTCCTTCACTTGAGTTCCCGTTAATTTTAACTTACCAGAAATGTCTCCTTCCCGCTTTCAGGGCGACCACAAAAAAAACCCAGGTCACTCGTGTTTCTTGCTTCAAGTTTATTTGACAAGTACGACATGGTCTCGCACTGATGTGTCTGTAATATTAATCATGGAATCCACTCGAAAATATACTTTTTTTTCATCAACATTGTTTACTCAGGGCGGCATAAGAAAAATGTTAAAAGAGAGAAACGTATTATTTTATGCGCATTTTGATTATCCGCCAATTCAAATATACTTCTTGAAACCCATTTTCAGAGGAGACCCAGGATCGTGTTCTTCCTTTGGGGGGAAGATAGGGCCAACATTTAGCGGAGAAGCATTGATTTGATAAAGATAAAGCTAACAGCTAAAAGAAGTAAATGAACGATGACCCGGACAGAGCACCATTCTGTCCGGCACCATGAATTCCGGTAACCTAGGGAAAACCGGTAATCTGGATTTTAAAATATCAAATGGACCATTGGTCCCTTGGAACTCAGACCATGAATTCCCAGACGAAAAGCCAGGTGGTTTGTGGGGAAGGCACGTCCTGCAGTTCATCAAGGAGTCCTTGAATCATTGCCTGCCCTAGTTTGTCGGTGATGGTCACTTATATGGATCAAAAGTTACGTCAAATTACTGATAACGAGTTATCAGTGATGGATATATCCTTGTACCCTGTTTCTTTTTCCCAAACATATTAGGCAATGTGCACCCATTACAAAAATTAAAGTAAAAAAAAAAAAAATTCGACCAAGTTGGGTACGAGCTGTGGGTACCCAATGCGGTGATGCAATTTGATGGAGTATCTAAGATCTAAGCCATTTTGGGAGATATGTATTTTTTCTACACGACCGCATAAACCTTAGTCAAGAGATTGAAGAAAACAGAAAACAGATTGCAATTTCCAAAAAAAGGGGGTTCATGACGACATTGGCAGGATCGATTTCAACCCGATAACCTTACTTTAATTACGGATTGATTCATCTATATAAATGCCCTGTTCTCGCAAGCTCAATTCCAACATCACCAAATCCCAGTTTTATCTGTTGATTTCTCTTTTTTATCTATAACCTTTAAAAAACCACATCACAACAATGACTATTGAATATTTGCCTCTTCAATCCGGTGATAAGATGCCTCTTATTGGTTTCGGCTGCTGGAAAGTCGATCCCAAAGATGCCCCTGAAACCATCTACAATGCCATCAAGGTTGGCTACCGCCTCATTGACAGCGCTTCCAACTACAAGAACGAAGAAGCTATTGGCAAGGGTATTAACATGGCCATCAAGGACGGTCTGGTGAAACGTGAAGAATTGTTTGTCACCACCAAACTCTGGAGTACCTATCACAAGAAGGAACATGTTCGCGAGGCTCTTGAAAAGCAACTTGAACAGCTCGGCTTGGACTATGTTGATATGTTCCTTGTTCACTGTAAGTATCATTTTGCCACATGTCAAAAAGAAAGCAACCCATCGGCCCAATTCGTGTTACTTACTTTTTGAATTTTTTTCTTCCCTTCTCGGTAGTCCCTCTTCCTTTGAAGCACGTTCCCATTGATGTCAAGTATCCTCCTGGCTGGTATCAACCGGGTGAAGACGTGATCACTTTGGACCGTGCTCCTATGCACGAATGTTGGGCTGCCATGGAACAGCTTGTGGAGGCGGGCCTCACACGCAACATCGGTGTCTCCAACTTCAATGTCCAGCTTCTCATGGATATGCTCACCTATGCCAAGATCAAGCCGGCTCTTTTGCAAGTCGAATTGCACCCCTACTTGCAGCAAGAACACCTTGTGCGCTGGGTTCAACAACAAGGCATCGCCGTAACCGCCTACTCTTCCTTTGGTCCTACCTCATTTATCGCCACGGGCTCCAAGCGCGCAAAGGGCGTGGAACCTCTCTTTGAGAACCCTACTATCAAGGACATTGCTGCCAAGTATAACCGCAACCCTTCAGAGGTCTGTTTGCGCTGGTCCCTTGAGCGCAATGTGGCTGTTGTTCCCAAGAGTTTGAATGTTGACCGCATGAAGATGAATCTTAGCGCCCTCGACTGGAAAATGGATGAGGAAGACGTTCAGGCCATCAATCAGCTTGATATGGGTCTCCGATTCAATGATCCTATGGTCAACGCTCAAAAATTGCCCATTTTCTATTAGTTGAAAAGTAGCTAGACATTCTCCGATTTATTCCCCATCACCCCATCTTTTTTCTCTTTTACCACCCTCTTCATCATAATGTAAATGTTTTTCTCTCGATTTTTCCTTTGTTACTCGCTTCCTCACCATAACCAATAAAAGAATCCGTGATATAGATATGAATTTCTTGTTCCCACACTTCAGAATAAGTGTAGGCGCCATCTAAATCTTGGTTGTTTGTTTGGTTTTTTTTTTTTTTTTTTTTTTTTTTTTTTTCGTTCAAGAGCACTATAATTTGCATTACTCTCAGCTGGCTCTATTTTCCGTAAGAATATACCTTTCAGAAGACTGATATAGGAATCAATAGAAGGAGATACAGCTCACGTATTTTTGAAATGTAGTATGTAAGCTACATTTTGCATGTACTCACATTAGCTGTCCATGGTATGCATGTACATCAAAGAAATTAAGGAATTACAGGGCGCTATTCGGACTTGTCATGATGGCGGAAAAACGAGGGCCGATACTGTATATGTTTATCCATGAAACTAACAACAGCAGCGCAATGCTAAAGCAATAAATTGGTCTATATTTACGAATCTGTCAAAATGCGCTAATACACGAGCTGGAGAAACCCATCGAACGATAACCAATCCTCCTGGATGGAAGAAGAGACTTTTTCCCCGAAAAAGCATGCACCCATTACTGACTGCTTCTTTTCGCATGCTTCTTAGGTAGATAACATTCGCACCGCTTCCCTTTTACGATTACTTAACGTTTGCTAGCTCATCTCCCGCTCATGATACGGATTGACAACCATGACAAACATGATTATGTACGATTCTTTTTGGTTTCATTACACAGAGTAACATGCCGTTGCACCCTAGACGGCAAGGTACAGTTACCCGATTTAACCAACCTTGTACAGACACAATTAGGGTCTTGATGGAGCGATATGCATCCACTCATGGCTGCTCGACTGTTATTCCGAGTTGCGCCTGATAACTTGATTATCATATTAAAAAAAATTGGGCTGAGACTCTTGTCCGGAATTTCCCTCAAAAGATTTCGGACAAGCCTTGAGCATGTAACATTATTTCCCCATATGGTTATTACAGTGACACGCTTTGGAGAGCCCTGAACAAGGAAAAATGATACTGGAAAACCTTAAAGCCCATCACGTCATGTGTGACATCCATTTCAATGGTGTCTCAGTTCCCCGCCCACCAAATAAGGTGGACACACCTTTTATCTGGTACTTATCGGACGATACCGTATTCCTCTGACACTGTCATTAAAAGTTTGTTACATTGTATATGGCAATTGATGTAAGACGCGAGCCTAATCTTATATCTGCACGAAAATACAGCTGCATCGCCCTTGCCCTATCATTATTGGCTTTTAGCACTGGATAAAATGAGAGGCATCGCCGCTTGTAAGGAATACTTGGAGTAAGCTCATAAATGATAGTCCATCGATGAAGAGAATTAAAGACCTTTTCCTTTCATCCCTTAATTACGTATTTCTGCTTTCATCTTGTTACAAGTACACGAATGGATTTACTTGCTGTCTCTTCTATTGGCAGCCTTCAATTAAAGCATCAGACCACTGTATCCAGGTAGCTGAAACATGGGCACCTATTCATTGATCAAATCTGGCTGCAACGAAAGCTTGTTGACAGCTGAGGCAGATTAAAACTCATTTTCCGTAACAACATTGATTGGAAAGGCGATCTTCTTGATTTGAGCTTCTTTAAGAAAACAATTATTATTGCGGTCGACATGCAGTATGTACAAGAGGTGAAACCGTCATTCCAAGGCCGTTGGGCTGGGAGCTCCAGAATTTGTTTCAATCCTTATACGCCACTATCATCAGTTGCTGAGATATTTCTCTACGGAACTTACTTATGCCTACATATTTGGATCTTTCGTCCTGACGCAATGCATGTCGCTGGTAGCAATATATTCGAAATACTTGTTGACAACATCTTACATGCTTGCAACTGGTTGTTACACTTGATCGATTATCTTCTCTTTTTTTTTTCGCTGCCACCTTTCTCCAGTAAAGAAAAACTCCAACAAAGGAAACAGCAAGACAACGAAGGCTATGAAGCAGAGACCGGTGAACAACTGGAGGGAAAAAAAAATTGAAGAAAAGGACGACAGAAGTATATCAGGACACTAATGGAATGTTAGAGTGGGTGGTTAAAATGTAGTGGCTCTGTTATCCACAACGTCGAGTCTTGAGTCCAAAGAGAATTAACGTGCAGCCGATCTTTTTATTTTCCCTTTCCTCCAAGGTTTTGCATTTTTTAGAACCTTCCTTTTATTTTTCTCAAGCTCCAGGGTGGACAATATCCGCAATGACATTTGCTCACACTCTTGGAAAAAGAAAAGCTTTTGCTTTACTTTAATTTTTCCCTTTCCGGAAATGTTCTCTTATATCGCCAATTTCATGCCAAAAAGAATCACGGATGCCGCGTGCTCACGTTCCCCAATAAAACAAACTTGTGCTGCCCTCTTCAGGAGCAAAAATAATTACAACTCGATTCCAATTGTCGTGGCTGAAGCGGATAACGTCCGAAAATGGTAATCAGCTTAGCATCTTGCTAAGTACAACCATCCTTTTATCAAAGTTTTAGCCGCTCAGCCATTATCCTCTTTAAGAACATAGACCGAATAAGCACATATAAATATCTCCTTATAATTGACAAAAATAAAGCGTTATCTTTCCTATCCCTAATCCTCTTGTTTCCCACTCTGGTGATCTTGCCGGTATATCAGATCCGAGTGAAGTACGACACAATTCATCATCGATTTCGCCAAAAAAAAGTAATAGCAGAAACAAGTGCTAAAAAATATGCTCACTACAGGGGTCGAACCTGTGACCTTGGCGTTATTAGCACCACGCTCTAACCAACTGAGCTAAGCGAGCACCTCTCTTTCTGGTTTTTATCATTTTTCTCGTTTTTATAGGCGGGAAAACGTTTACCCGAAATTGCGAACGCCCCATCCACACCTCAAACCTATCCATCCACCAGCCATCCTTTGCAACATCGTACATCTGTTTGGCTAGACATACCTGCCCGAATCTCAGATTTTTCCACCGACCCATCCTCTCAATATCGCTAATTTTACAAAAGTGAATCGTACGAACGAAACCTCTCGTCTGTTTTCGCCTACTACTGCTCCCGCTTTGCCCCCTGTCTTTTCGAACCCAGACCCAATTTTTGTGTCCGGCCCGCACCCGACAAATTTTATTGACACCCCGATGGCGGCCAATTTCCCCTCCATGCCATCACCCAACGCCAACCAATTTGAGGCTTTATGTGCCCAAATGGCTCACCTGACCTCCCAAGTCTCCACTTACGAAGCGAAATTCGCTAAACTCGACTCCCTGCTCGCCGAAGTGGATGCACTCCGAGCAGAGAACACCAACCTCCGTGCCGACAATGAGGCCCTCCAAGCTCGTTTAGCCGCCGCACTGTCCCCACGCCCCACTTCTGCTGCTGTGACCTCCACCACCTCTTCGCCTGCCAAACCCTCAGGCACAAAAACCGCCAAGCCCTCCTCTTCCGTTCCCCTTGGCTCCGATCAGTCCTCATGGGCTACTGTGACCAAAAAATATCGCCCGGTCCAACCTGTTGCTCTCGCCCGCCGTCAGGCTGCTGCTGCCCGTGCCTTCCAACCAAACGATGGCCCCACAGGTTATAAATACCTGTATGTTCCTCGCTCCCGCCGATTGACCCGGCAAGAAGTCCGTTCGCGGCTTCGACGTTTGGGCATTGACCCATACCGCGTCCTCGACATCATATTCCCAGCTCGTTCCGTTATTGGACTTCTTGTCCATGTTCAATACTATGAATTTGCTATGGCCCAAATTGTGAACTCCAAAATTCAACCGCTCACCGATTTCGACCCCCTGGCTATCACCATCATTGGTGACCCTGAAATAAAACAAATGCCCATTCCCGATCAAGAAGCCTTTGTGTTTGATCTCCACCGCAGCCGATGTGAACGCGCAATTTCCCATCTGCCATACCACATTGCCTCCCCTGTTGCCCGCTCCTTCCTTGCTGACGGCATTTTGGACGACGCCGATCTGCCAAAACTGCTGTACAAATGTCGTGGTGCCCCTCCCCAGCCCATCAAGGATGCTGAATCCACCGACGGTAGCTCCAACGACCCGGATCAACCCATGACCGATGCTGACGACGCTCCCCTTACTGAAACATTTTAAATATGACGACCGTTTCTCCACATCTATTTTCTACAGTCACTCCGTTAATTCACAACACTTCTCCATCATCCATCCCACTCAACATTGGCCTGTGGAACGCCAATGGTTTACAAGCTTCCCTGGTTGATGATCTCCTCCGCCATTGTTCCTCCTTTTCCCTCGTCTTTGTTACCGAAACCTGGCTACTGTCACCCAACAAACTTCGTACCCATTGGCCCCAGCATCACCTCTACGGTTCTTCGGTTGCCGGTAATTTCCGTGGTAGCGAAGGTGTCTCTGCTCTCATCCACCCGGATTTTCCACTTCCTGTCACTCCTTTCCCACTTCCCTCTAAATATGCCCTTGGTATTCGCCTGGGTCCCTCTCTACGCCTGATCTGTCTCTACCTCCCGCCTTCTCTTTCCCTCGATGCTGTCTCCAATGTGCTCTCCTCTATTCCGCTCACCGACGATACCATCATTTGTGGGGATCTCAACGCCCGCCTTGGCACTGTTACTGGAGATCGCATCAGCACTCCACGTGGTCAGTTGCTACAGGACTGGGTCAACGAACGCTCCTTAACAATTCTCAACTCTTCCCTCGCGTATGGCATCCCTACTTACCACACTTTCCGCAACCACCAAGTTCACAGTAGCATTGTGGATTATTTTATTACCAACCTTCCCGCTCTCCCCCAGTCCCACCTCCATATTTTTTCTGATCTCTCCCTTGGGTCTGATCATAAGTTGATGTCGCTCTTATTCAACTACACACCTCCCAATTCCACCACTCCCTCCACTCCTTCACCCTCTCCCCGCCGTCTCTGGAATTTATCTCGCCTCAAAGAATTCGACGTTAACCAGTTGTACGTTGCCACCTTTCATTCATTATCACAACCACTCACAGAGACGCTTCAACAGCTATCCTCTGATCCCCCTCCCACATGTCCACCCATTGATCAACTCAATGCCGCTCTCAACACCGCCATTTATTCCGCTTTGGATAAATCGGTTGGTGTCCGAAACCCCCGCCCTCACAAATGGCAAACATTTTGGAATGCCGAACTGCAAACACTGGCTGATCACCGGGATCGCACTTACCGTAGGTGGTGTCGGGCCGTTGGCCTGGATAAAGCCCCTTGGTGGGATAAACACCAACATGCCGCCAACCTTTTCCGAAGTGCTGTTAGACGAGCGAAACGACAAGCATGGCGTACGTTTTGTGATACTTTGGCCCGTGGGGATTTCCCCAAAGCGATGTCAAAAATTAAATCCATCCGCAACCGTCGCCGCCAACAAGTGACCTTCTGCCATCCTGATGGACCTGCCGCTGGTGCTACTGCCATGCGTGACCACCTGGACACAGTGTATTCTGGTAATGGTTTACCATTGATCCGTCCTCCACCGCTTTCTTCTCCCGCTCCTCTACTCCCATTTCAGCCGTCTACGGACCCCACCATACCTTCCTTTGATTCTGACATCATTGCCAAGACCATTGATCGCCTCCCTCGACGCAAAGCTCCCGGATCGGATCACATCTGTACGGAGATGCTTTTACCGATCAAGTCTCTTCTGGCCCCCATCCTCTCATTAATTTTCGACCTTTGTGTCCAATGGGCATATGTCCCCTCCCTCTGGCGTGAAGCTCAAGTCGTCCCAATCCACAAGAAAGGTGATGCTTCTTCGCCCAGTAATTACCGCCCCATCTCACTCACCTCCATCATCCGAAAACTCTTTGAAATGTGTCTCTTGCCCTTTGTGGAACTCGCTGCTCCCCCCCTCGATGTCTCTCAAGGTGGCTTTCGGCATCAACGTAGTGCGTTGGATCAAGCCCTCTGCTTGCATGACTTGATGCGCGCCTACCGCGATCGCCATAATCATTACCCGGTAGTTGCATTCCTGGACATCAAGTCCGCTTATGATACCGTCGACCGACGTGTTATCTGGCAATCTCTTCTTGCTTGTTCTGCCCCCCCAGCCCTGGTATCCCTTCTTGCCCACATGTTTGATGATGTCTCCATTACGGTCCTGCTCAGCAATCATGTCTCCACTCCTTTCGTCCCTGCCACTGGTGTCCTACAAGGCTCAGTCCTCAGTCCGTTCCTTTACTCAATATACATCAACACCTTACCTGTTCTCCTTCGCTCCGCTGCTTCCCTTCCCACCACGTCCGTCCTATCTTGTTCCCCTACTCGTCCACCTCCCTACAATGTCGCTCCACCTTTTGGCCTTCCTTTCGGTCCCCTTTCCATTCCTTCCTCTGATCCCTCGCCCACCCCCATCAACTGTCTATTATACGCAGATGATGTGGCCCTCGTTGGTTCTGCCCGTGATGTCCAGCACATGTTGTCGCTTGCTGAGGCCCACTCGGTTGCTCTTGGTTACAAATGGAGTCCCTCCAAATGTGCCATCTTAAATGCGCCAGTTCCCAGTTCGCGCAGCTACGTTAGGTTGAGTCTCTACAACGTTCCCCTCCCACCAGTCGATGAATTCATTTATCTTGGTATACCCTTCCGCTCCAAAGGCATCGATGTTTCTGCCATGATCCGCCATCGCGCGCAAAGCACCTTCCTCGCCATGTCTCAACTTAACGCTATGGGCCTGAACCGCAATGGTTTTCCGTTGCTATTCTCGGTTCGGATATACGCTGCCTTCGTCCGCCCCAAGTTGGAGTATGGATTGGCCATTGCCCACTTGCTAAAAAAAGAATACGCCGAGCTCGAACGTGTACAAGATCGTTGCCTCCGAATGATCGTTGGCGGCCATCGCACATCCTCCACCCAAGTTCTGAAGCACCTGTGCAACCTTCCGACCATGTCTTTTCGTGCAGACACCTTAGTGCTGAAGTTTTGCCTTCGTACCGGCTGGCTCCCGGACGATTGCCTCCTTACGCTCCTTTCACCTTCCGTTCCTTTGTCTCTTCTCTCTCGTCTCCGTGAGCGAAAAATCGCTCGCGATTATCCCATGGATGATTCCTCTCCCTCACGTCTTAAGCGATGGCTACGCCAATATCGCCAGACCCATTTCACCGCCTTCCTTGCTTCCACCGATCGTGTTCTCATTCGTGCTTGCCGATCGTCACTCGAAATTGATCCTGTTCTTTTTGTCCCGGCTTCCCGGCCCGATCGTAGTCGCCTTGTGCGATGGCGTATGGGGTGGCTACCAGGAAAACCTCGTCCGTGCGCCTGTGGCTTTGGTGAGACCAAACGATCCCATTTGATGGTTTGCCACAAGATCCCTTCGACCCTTTGGGATAGCCTCCCCTTTCCTCCTTCGGATTTTACTGGTGTCCGATTGGATTATACACTCAACCAGTTGCCAACCTCCCGTTCCGCTGCCATGCCCACCTTTTGGTCCGACCTCTGTACCATTCTTTGGCACATCGACCAACTGTGCAATCCCGACGGCGATTATAGCACTGATCCCACCCCGGGCCAAGTTTGGCCTGCTGTTTCTGTCTCTACCCCTGGTGAAGCGCGCCTGGATCTCCCTCTGGCATCTTCCTCCCACTGCCACAACCATTAGAGCACGTTGCGGAGGAGACCATGGAGTGAACGGTGGCGTCTTAGCTAGTGTTCCTCACCCTTTCTTTTGCCTTTTTGCACCTCTGTGAGATTCTATAGGTGTTCTTTTTCGTTTCCCCCTTTCCTTTGTTTCTCATGATGGTATGGCCTATAGAGGACCCTGCAAAGGGTCGATTGGCCATCCCTCCAATAAACTTATACACTTTCGACTGAGCTAAGCGAGCACCTCTCTTTCTGGTTTTTATCACTTTTCTCGTTTTTATAGGCGGGAAAACGTTTACCCGAAATTGCGAACGCCCCATCCACACCTCAAACCTATCCACCCATCAGCCATCCTTTGCAATATCGTACATCTGTTTGGCTAGACATACCTGCCCGAATCTCAGATTTTTCCACCGATCCATCCTCTCAATATCGCTAATTTTACAAAAGTGAATCGTACGAACGAAACCTCTCGTCTTTTTTCGCCTACTACTGCTCCCGCTTTGCCCCCCGTCTTTTCGAACCCAGACCCAATTTTTCTGTCCGGCCCGCACCCGACAAATTTTATTGACACCCCGATGGCGGCCAATTTCCCCTCCATGCCATCACCCAACGCCAACCAATTTGAGGCTTTATGTGCCCAAATGGCTCACCTGACCTCCCAAGTCTCCACTTACGAAGCGAAATTCGCTAAACTCGACTCCCTGCTCGCCGAAGTGGATGCACTCCGAGCAGAGAACACCAACCTCCGTGCCGACAATGAGGCCCTTCAAGCTCGTTTAGCCGCCGCACTGTCCCCACACCCCACTTCTGCTGCTGTGACCTCCACCACCTCTTCGCCTGCCAAACCCTCAGGCACAAAAACCGCCAAGCCCTCCTCTTCCGTTCCCCTTGGCTCCGATCAGTCCTCATGGGCTACTGTGACCAAAAAATATCGCCCGGTCCAACCTGTTGCTCTCGCCCGCCGTCAGGCTGCTGCTGCCCGTGCCTTCCAACCAAACGATGGCCCCACAGGTTATAAATACCTGTATGTTCCTCGCTCCCGCCGATTGACCCGGCAAGAAGTCCGTTCGCGGCTTCGACGTTTGGGCATTGACCCATACCGCGTCCTCGACATCATTTTCCCAGCTCGTTCCGTTATTGGACTTCTTGTCCATGTTCAATACTATGAATTTGCTATGGCCCAAATTGTGAACTCCAAAATTCAACCGCTCACCGATTTCGACCCCCTGGCTATCACCATCATTGGTGACCCTGAAATAAAACAAATGCCCATTCCCGATCAAGAAGCCTTTGTGTTTGATCTCCACCGCAGCCGATGCGAACGCGCAATTTCCCATCTGCCATACCACATTGCCTCCCCTGTTGCCCGCTCCTTCCTTGCTGACGGCATTTTGGACGACGCCGATCTGCCAAAACTGCTGTATCAATGTCGTGGTGCCCCTCCCCAGCCCATCAAGGATGCTGAATCCACCGACGGTAGCTCCAACGACCCGGATCAACCCATGACCGATGCTGACGACGCTCCCCTTACTGAAACATTTTAAATATGACGACCGTTTCTCCACATCTATTTTCTACAGCCACTCCGTTAATTCACAACACTTCTCCATCATCCATCCCACTCAACATTGGCCTGTGGAACGCCAATGGTTTACAAGCTTCCCTGGTTGATGATCTCCTCCGCCATTGTTCCTCCTTTTCCCTCGTCTTTGTTACCGAAACCTGGCTACTGTCACCCAACAAACTTCGTACCCATTGGCCCCAGCATCACCTCTATGGTTCTTCGGTTGCCGGTAATTTCCGTGGTAGCGAAGGTGTCTCTGCTCTCATCCACCCGGATTTTCCACTTCCTGTCACTCCTTTCCCACTTCCCTCCAAATATGCCCTTGGTATTCGCCTGGGTCCCTCTCTACGCCTGATCTGTCTCTACCTCCCGCCTTCTCTTTCCCTCGATGCTGTCTCCAATGTGCTCTCCTCTATTCCGCTCACCGACGATACCATCATTTGTGGGGATCTCAACGCCCGCCTTGGCACTGTTACTGGAGATCGCATCAGCACTCCACGTGGTCAGTTGCTACAGGACTGGGTCAACGAACGCTCCTTAACAATTCTCAACTCTTCCCTCGCGTATGGCATCCCTACTTACCACACTTTCCGCAACCACCAAGTTCACAGTAGCATTGTGGATTATTTTATTACCAACCTTCCCGCTCTCCCCCAGTCCCACCTCCATATTTTTTCCGATCTCTCCCTTGGGTCTGATCATAAGTTGATGTCGCTCTTATTCAACTACACACCTCCCAATTCCACCACTCCCTCCACTCCTTCACCCTCTCCCCGCCGTCTCTGGAATTTATCTCGCCTCAAAGAATTCGACGTTAACCAGTTGTACGTTGCCACCTTTCATTCATTATCACAACCACTCACAGAGACGCTTCAACAGCTATCCTCTGATCCCCCTCCCACATGTCCACCCATTGATCAACTCAATGCCGCTCTCAACACCGCCATTTATTCCGCTTTGGATAAATCGGTTGGTGTCCGAAACCCCCGCCCTCACAAATGGCAAACATTTTGGAATGCCGAACTGCAAACACTGGCTGATCACCGGGATCGCACTTACCGTAGGTGGTGTCGGGCCGTTGGCCTGGATAAAGCCCCTTGGTGGGATAAACACCAACATGCCGCCAACCTTTTCCGAAGTGCTGTTAGACGAGCGAAACGACAAGCATGGCGCACGTTTTGTGATACTTTGGCCCGTGGGGATTTCCCCAAAGCAATGTCAAAAATTAAATCCATCCGCAACCGTCGCCGCCAACAAGTGACCTTCTGCCATCCTGATGGACCTGCCGCTGGTGCTACTGCCATGCGTGACCACCTGGACACAGTGTATTCTGGTAGTGGTTTACCATTGATCCGTCCTCCACCGCTTTCTTCTCCCGCTCCTCTACTCCCATTTCAGCCGTCTACGGACCCCACCATACCTTCCTTTGATTCTGACATTATTGCCAAGACCATTGATCGCCTCCCTCGACGCAAAGCTCCCGGATCGGATCACATCTGTACGGAGATGCTTTTACCGATCAAGTCTCTTCTGGCCCCCATCCTCTCATTAATTTTCGACCTTTGTGTCCAATGGGCATATGTCCCCTCCCTCTGGCGTGAAGCTCAAGTCGTCCCAATCCACAAGAAAGGTGATGCTTCTTCGCCCAGTAATTACCGCCCCATCTCACTCACCTCCATCATCCGAAAACTCTTTGAAATGTGTCTCTTGCCCTTTGTGGAACTCGCTGCTCCCCCCCTCGATGTCTCTCAAGGTGGCTTTCGGCATCAACGTAGTGCGTTGGATCAAGCCCTCTGCTTGCATGACTTGATGCGCGCCTACCGCGATCGCCATAATCATTACCCGGTAGTTGCATTCCTGGACATCAAGTCCGCTTATGATACCGTCGACCGACGTGTTATCTGGCAATCTCTTCTTGCTTGTTCTGCCCCCCCAGCCCTGGTATCCCTTCTTGCCCACATGTTTGATGATGTCTCCATTACGGTTCTGCTCAGCAATCATGTCTCCACTCCTTTCGTCCCTGCCACTGGTGTCCTACAAGGCTCAGTCCTCAGTCCGTTCCTTTACTCAATATACATCAACACCTTACCTGTTCTCCTTCGTTCCGCTGCTTCCCTTCCCACCACGTCCGTCCTATCTTGTTCCCCTACTCGTCCACCTCCCTACAATGTCGCTCCACCTTTTGGCCTTCCTTTCGGTCCCCTTTCCATTCCTTCCTCTGATCCCTCGCCCACCCCCATCAACTGTCTATTATACGCAGATGATGTGGCCCTCGTTGGTTCTGCCCGTGATGTCCAGCACATGTTGTCGCTTGCTGAGGCCCACTCGGTTGCTCTTGGTTACAAATGGAGTCCCTCCAAATGTGCCATCTTAAATGCGCCAGTTCCCAGTTCGCGCAGCTACGTTAGGTTGAGTCTCTACAACGTTCCCCTCCCGCCAGTCGATGAATTCATTTATCTTGGTGTACCCTTCCGCTCCAAAGGCATCGATGTTTCTGCCATGATCCGCCATCGCGCGCAAAGCACCTTCCTCGCCATGTCTCAACTTAACGCTATGGGCCTGAACCGCAATGGTTTTCCGTTGCTCTTCTCGGTTCGGATATACGCTGCCTTCGTCCGCCCCAAGTTGGAGTATGGATTGGCCATTGCCCACTTGCTAAAAAAAGAATACGCCGAGCTCGAACGTGTACAAGATCGTTGCCTCCGAATGATCGTTGGCGGCCATCGCACATCCTCCACCCAAGTTCTGAAGCACCTGTGCAACCTTCCGACCATGTCTTTTCGTGCAGACACCTTAGTGCTGAAGTTTTGCCTTCGTACCGGCTGGCTCCCGGACGATTGCCTCCTTACGCTCCTTTCACCTTCCGTTCCTTTGTCTCTTCTCTCTCGTCTCCGTGAGCGAAAAATCGCTCGCGATTATCCCATGGATGATTCCTCTCCCTCACGTCTTAAGCGATGGCTACGCCAATATCGCCAGACCCATTTCACCGCCTTCCTTGCTTCCACCGATCGTGTTCTCATTCGTGCTTGCCGATCGTCACTCGAAATTGATCCTGTTCTTTTTGTCCCGGCTTCCCGGCCCGATCGTAGTCGCCTTGTGCGATGGCGTATGGGGTGGCTACCAGGAAAACCTCGTCCGTGCGCCTGTGGCTTTGGTGAGACCAAACGATCCCATTTGATGGTTTGCCACAAGATCCCTTCGACCCTTTGGGATAGCCTCCCCTTTCCTCCTTCGGATTTTACTGGTGTCCGATTGGATTATACACTCAACCAGTTGCCAACCTCCCGTTCCGCTGCCATGCCCACCTTTTGGTCTGACCTCTGTACCATTCTTTGGCACATCGACCAACTGTGCAATCCCGACGGCGATTATAGCACTGATCCCACCCCGGGCCAAGTTTGGCCTGCTGTTTCTGTCTCTACCCCTGGTGAAGCGCGCCTGGATCTCCCTCTGGCATCTTCCTCCCACTGCCACAACCATTAGAGCACGTTGCGGAGGAGACCATGGAGTGAACGGTGGCGTCTTAGCTAGTGTTCCTCACCCTTTCTTTTGCCTTTTTGCACCTCTGTGAGATTCTATAGGTGTTCTTTTTCGTTTCCCCCTTTCCTTTGTTTCCCATGATGGTATGGCCTATAGAGGACCCTGCAAAGGGTCGATTGGCCATCCCTCCAATAAACTTATACACTTTCGACTGAGCTAAGCGAGCACCCTTTTTCCGCTCTTCATCACTTTTTTCTCGTTTTTATAGCGGGGAAACTTTTAGCCGGAATTACACCTGTTCCACCCACACTTAAATCCCTTCCATCCATCATACATCCTTTGCCATATCGTGCATCCACCCCCTACCGACCTATTTCTGAAGTTTGAAATCGTTACCATCGTTCTTCTCTGAGATATCTCCAATTCAAGAAAAGTGTATCAAAGAAACACAACGTTAATTTCAGCCAGTTCCATCGCCGAATCTCGTTTTCCGGCAACCGCTTCGAAACTCGCATCGCCTTCTGTGTCCGGACCGGACTCAAATTTTGAATTTCGCTCGCCGACGACGCATCTCCATCCGATGTCCACAACTTCCCCTGACCAATTTGCGGCCATGCAGGCCCAAATTAATTACCTGACTGCGCAAGTCACTACGCACCGTACTGAACTCGACCAGATCCGCCACCTACTCGAAGAAAATCAGCAACTCCGTAATGAAAATGCCCAGTTGAAAGCCCAACTTGCTGCCGCTACCGCTAGCGTTTCCACTTCCTACTCCAAGCCTACTGTATCCACTTCTGCCCCTAATACTGAGACTGCAACCCGCCCAACTTCAACCCCTTCTGCACCCATGGGTTCTGACGCCTCGCAGTGGGCTACAGTCACCAAAAAGTACCGTCCTGTCCGACCTAAACCTAAGCCCAAAACTCGGGCTTCAGATGCTCGCACCTTTCAGATTACCGACGGCCCAAGTGGCTTCCAGTACTTGTATATTCCTCGATCTCGCCGCCTTACCCGCCACGAAACCCGTACCCGTCTTCGCCGTCTGGGCGTTGATCCATACCGTGTGCTTGACATCACTTTCCCCGCTCGTTCTGTTGTCGGCCTCCTGATCCATGTGCAATACCGTGCGCTCGTAGAGGAGACCCTCGGTCAGCATAATATCCTGGTGATCCACGACTTTGATCCCTGTGACCCCATCCACATGGCTGATCCTGAAGTCAAGCAGATGTCCCTCGCAGATCAACAAGCGTTTGCTGAGTCTCTCCATTCTGCACGATGCGAAAAAGCAGTGCTCCGTCTTCCATATCACCTTGCCTCCCCCATTGCCCGCTCTTTCCTGGAAGCCAACATTTTCGATACTGATGATGTCTCTCGTCTTCTGAGTCGCTGTCGTGGTGCTCCTGTGCCCCCTACCAACACTGATACTACCGAGAAAGACGACACTGATCCTGATACTGATATGGCCGACGCCAAACATGAACGCGCACCTGCCAGCAATGGCAAGCTTTAAAAAAAAAAATGATTAATCAACACAACACATTCACTCCTTCTTCGTCAACCTCGCTTGCCACTCATCTCCTAACGCTCCCATCTCCAACCCCACCTGTTTCCACCACCCCCTTTCGCATCGGCTTATGGAATGCCAATGGTCTCCAAGCCTCCTTAGTCGATGACATCCTCCAACACTGCCAGTCCTTTTCTCTACTTTTTATCACCGAAACTTGGTTAATCTCTCCAGCTCGACTCCGTACTTCTTGGTCCCAGTACCATTTATATGGTAGCCCTGTTGCGGGTAATTTCCGTGGTTCCCATGGTATTTCTGCTCTTGTTTCCCCCAGCTTTCCTTTCCACATTCTGCAATTTCCCATACCGTCTCCACATGCCCTCGGGCTACAGATCGGTACCTCGTTACGCATTATTTGCCTGTATCTGCCGCCCTCTCTGTCCTCTGATGAAGTCCTTGCTACCTTGAACGCTATCCCACTGACCCAAGACACTATTATTTGTGGCGATTTAAATGCTCGCCTGGGCCCCCTCACTGGTGACCATCGTTCAAATACCCGCGGACCCCTTCTCCAAGACTGGGTGGAAGAACGCAACCTTCAAATCCTCAACATCTCTTTGGCATACGGCATTCCTACCTTCCTCAACTACCGGAACGACCAGCTCCATAGCAGCATCGTTGATTATTTCATTACAAATATGCCTCACCTTTCGTCTTCATCGCTCCACATCTATTCTGCTTTGCATCTTGGCTCCGATCACAAGCTGATGGCCTTATCCTTCCCGTACCGTGACCCCAATGCCTCGGTCAACACGATCCCTCCTTCTTCATCAAGTCGCCGTCTCTGGAACCTCTCGCGCTTGAACGAAACGGACGTACACAAGCTGTACATTGATACTTTTCGCTGCCTGTCGGCACCTCTCTCTACCCAACTCCGGGACCTTTCCCATGATCCGCCTCCTACCCGACCCCCGATTGACCAGCTGAACCACGATCTTAACGATCTTATCTATACTGCATTGGACAAATCGGTGTGCCGGCGTGCCCCTCGGCCTCCTTCCTGGAAATCGTTTTGGAATGCAGAGCTACAGGCTCTTGCTGACGAACGTGAACGTTGCTACCGTCGATGGCATCGAGCCATTGGGCTTGACAAAGTCCCCTGGTGGGATCGCCTCCAACATGCTGCTGCCCGTTTCCGATGTGCTGTGCGTTATGCTAAGCGTCAGGCTTGGCGTGCATTCTGTGATAAATTGGCCCGCGGCGATTTCTCTCGTGCAACTGCGACCGTCAAAAGTATCCGAAACCGCCGTAACCAACAGGTGCGATTTACACATCCCGATGGCCCTGCGGTTGGTGCCCAAGTCCTCCGCAACCATATGGCGAACGTCTACTCTGGCCAGCATCTGCCAATTGCCCGACCTCCTCCACTGTCTGCCACCAGCCAATCGCTTCCCTTCGACATCGCCTCTACCTCTCTCTCGCACACGTTTACCAAAGAGAACATTATTGCCACCTTGAAACGCCTATCACAACGAAAAGCCCCAGGTCCCGATGATTTACGTGCCGAAATGTTACTCCCGATCGCAGACTCTCTTGCCCCCTTGCTTGCCCACCTGTTTACCATCTGTACCCAATGGTCCTATACTCCCACAGTGTGGCGTCATGCTCAGGTAGTTCCTATCCACAAACAAGGTGCCCCCAACGACCCTGCCCACTTTCGTCCAATTTCTCTGACCTCGATTGTACGCAAACTTTTCGAGATGATTCTCTTACCAGCATTGGAAATCACAGCCCCATCCCTGGACGTCGCACAAGGCGGTTTTCGACATCAACGTAGTGCCCTGGATCAAGCCCTCTGCTTGCACGACTTGATGCGCGCCTACCGCGATCGTCACAACCACTACCCTGTTGTTGCTTTCTTGGACATCAAGGCCGCTTACGATACTGTTGACCGTCGAATTGTCTGGCAGACCCTCCTTGCCTCTTCCACGCCTCTTGTACTCGTCTCGCTTCTAGCGCACATGTTTGATGATGTCTCCGTCACAGTTCTTTTGCAAAACCATGCCTCCACGCCTTTCACCCCATCTACTGGTGTGCTACAAGGCTCCGTCCTCAGTCCATTTCTCTATTCTTTATATATTAACACTCTGCCTGCTCTTTTGCGCTCTGCCGCCTCTCTTTCGACCACCACAGTGCCCTCCATTTCACCATCGCGACCACCTCTCTATGATGCTTCTGCGCCCAACGGCTTGCCGTTTGGACCCATCCCATCTGACAGTGACCCCATTGCCTCACCGACTCCCATCAACTGCCTGTTGTATGCGGACGACATCGCCTTGGTTGGCTCGGCTCGCGAGGTACAACACATGCTCACTCTTGCTGAAACTCATGCTCATGTCCTGGGCTATAAATGGAGTCCGCCAAAATGTGCCATCCTGAATGCACCTGTACCCACTTCTCGTAGCTTTGTCCATCTCTCCCTGTATGGTGATATGCTCCCTGCAGTGGATGAATTTATATATCTTGGGATTCCGTTCAACTCCAAAGGTCTCGCCACTTCTGCTTTGATCCGACATCGAGCACGCAGCACTTTTTTGGCCATGTCCCAGCTTAACGCTATGGGTCTCAATCGCAATGGCTTCCCACTTTTGTTTTCAGCACGAATCTACGCAACTTTCATCCGGCCCAAACTGGAATATGGGCTTGCTATCGCACACTTACTCCAAAAAGATTATAAAGAGCTTGCACGTGTCCAAGACCGATGCCTTCGAATGATAGTGGGCGGCCATAAGAGTGCTTCTACTCAAGTGCTGGTTCACATCTGCAACCTCCCGAGCATGTCATTCCGCGCTGATACCTTGGTCCTGAAATTCTGCCTGCGGATGAGCTACCTGCCCGATGATTGCCTCATGCCTCTTGTTTCTTCGTCTGTGCGTTTGTCACTGCTGTCACGCCTCCAAGAACGTCCAATTGTGGTCGATCATCCTGCTGAACAGATGTCTTCCTCACGCCTTACCACATGGCTACGCAATTATCGGCAACGTCACTTCACTGCTTTCCTGGCCAGTACCCAAAGAGTTCTAATTCGAGCCTGCCGCCCTACCCTGATAGTGGATCCAATACTCTACGTCCCTGCTTCGCGAGCTGATCGTAGCCGCTTAGTGCGATGGCGTATGGGCTGGCTACCGGGGAAACCTCGTCCTTGTCGCTGTGGCTTCAGTACTACCACCCGTTCCCATCTCATGGAGTGCCCTGTTGTCCCTTCCCAACTTTGGTTCTCCCTTCCATCCTGTGTTCCAAATTTTCCTGGCGTTCGCATTGATTACGTTTTGAATCAACTGCCTCTCTCACGTTCCGCCTCGGCACCAACTTATTGGTCAGACCTTTGCACCATCCTCTGGCACTTTGACCAGCTCTGTAACCCTGACGGAGATTACACAAGTGATCCTACCCCCGGCCAAGTCTGGATAGACCTCTCGCCTCCTACTGCCTCTCGCGAATCGCGCCTGGAACTGCCTCTGGCATCTTCCTCCCACTGCGACACCATCTAAGCACGTTGCGGAGGGGACCATGTAGTGAAAGGTAGCTTAGTAGCCTGTGTTCCTCTACTCTCTCACCCTACTTTTTTTCTTCCATCTTTTTGTGATCTATAGATGTTTTTTTCGTTTTATTTCTTAATTGTCCCATAGGGTAGCCGATATCGATTTCATAATCATTAAGGCCATACCCCTCAATAAACATATACATTTTCGACTGAGCTAAGCGAGCTTTTTTGCTGAGAAATCAGCATTACAAATATAACGCCTTAGTAACGTGACTGCGAATTGGTCACGTTTCGCGTTTCTGATTGGGTGCTTGTATAATCACCTTCCAAATACAGGTGGCGGTTGTTGAAAGTCGTTGGGGAATAAAATTGGCAAGCGTTGAATCTTTTTTTGATGGATGCAAGTGTGGCGATATACTTTATTTGATGGATTTTAATAATTGGAAAGGGTGATAGTCAATTGGCAAAAGAATCCAGTTCTGTGCTAAACGGTGACTGTAAAGATCTATTTTTATGAACAAGGGCATTGATAATTGCGCAGGAAGTAAACCAGAAATAATTTGATGTTGAATCGTAAACTAATGATGAATTTGTGATAAACAGCATGATGCAACGATTAGGAACCACATTATCGCTTTGGCGGTAGGCAAGCGCCTGCGACGGCAAGTTGATCTGCCCTTTCATTGCCGTGGTGGCCGGAATGACCTCGTACATGGATGAACTCTGTTTTCCCAGCTCTCGAATCCACCAAATGCAGTAATCTTTCCAACAAGTCTCGATTCTCCACGGGTTTGCCAGTCGATGTTTTCCAATTGTTCTTGATCCAAGACTTACTCCAGCTGGTGGCTGCATTGATCACGTACATCGAATCGGTTTTGATGTGAAGCGGCTTTCTTTCGTGTTGTGCTTGCTCAAGAGCTGAAATAACCGCCGTAATTTCGGCACGTTGATTTGTCTGTCGAGGTCCAGGTAAACGCTCGCTCACATTCCGTGGATCCTGTTCTCCCCAATACACACCATAACCTGCACGAGCCCCTGCGCGACCATTACCCGCCGTGGCACCGTCGGTGTATACGACGACGGCATCCGTTGAATCGACGGCTGTCTGTTTCTTTGCAGGGCGGGCATAATGATCGTCTTGTGCTCGTCGTTTGACGACAGGTATTGTGGGATGATCTGGTGTAGGTGCAGGACTCTCTTCTACTACATGTATGTATCCCGATCGGAAAGTTGGTGCATTGGTGCCTTCTGAGAATTGTTTGGCTTCTTGAAAAGTTTCAAACTTTTTGTACTTGGCACCCGGGTATCCCTGGACCTGATCTTTGCACTCATTCCAAGTTTGGAAAACTCCTCGACTGCGTCCCACGTTGACTGCATAGTAGTATTGCTTTTTCATCGTCAATGATAACCGATGGGTGCGATGACGAATGAGGTTGAAAATGATGCCGACGAGTGTTTAAGGAAAGGAAAGGTTGAGAAATCACAGAGGACAAGTGTGACCTGGAATTTTAGACAATTTTCCTTCAATGACCAAAAAATGTTTCGCCATCATATATATCTTGCCCTTTATTTTTCTTGTCATTAAACCGAGAAGATATACCATGTTTTTTCCACTGCATTATCCATTCGTAGTTGTTATCAATATCACTGGAGGGTTATAGATATCGAGCCTGGGTATAGTGTAGAGATATTGTCAAACACCGAAAATGAACTCCCCCTCTCTCCCCAGCAAGATGTATCCACGAATGACTGAGCAAAGTACACTCACAGGACGCAGGAGCTATCTCAAACGGGTCAAAGGAAATGAAAAACAAAGCACTGCTCATCGTAGCACAGCTGTAACGCGAGTAGACGCAAAACAGAAAACAGCTTGACGTACGATATAGCAACTTAAACTGCGCAGTTTCCCAGCTCCCTGAAGCGAACCCGTGAATCCCTGCTTAATGTTGACAATGCAGGTAAAAAATGTAAGAGAAAACAAAAAGTGATTCAGGTTTCCCCTTGATTGAGAGCATCCATGAAATAAGAAGCCCATTCAATTTGCATGGCAAGCTATTTTTATCAACAATAATATCAATGGTATTTGGAAAAATTCGAACAAGATGCGCACGATAGATATGGGATGATGGATTACTGTACATCTCAGCACAATTGTTTATTATTTCTTTTTTTTCAATTTATATCATTGCACTATGCTATTATTTCGTGAAAAATAAAAAAAAAATATCTTCGTTTTACAAGAATTTTATATTGAACATGATTCGTCGTTGTTGGTTCGCTACATTGAAGATCCCCTTTTTTCAGAATGACTCGGGTTTCAAAAACGTTTTCCCTCCACAGAACGGGTTGCTGCAGCATGGTCACGTAAATAAGGGACATGCAAACCCACCGGTTGCAGGCGTAGCAACCACTGTCGGTTTGTAACCGAACCATTCGAGACCAAAAATGTGCAGAGTGATCCAAAAATGCAGCTGCAGCGACTCGCGTTGTAAGTGAGGATGGGCTGTAGTGGAATTATTGATATTATTGTGATCGGCTGGATCCGTTGGTTGAGGTGTGCACGCTTTCACAAGACTGGAAAAGGTAGTGTCCGTTTCGTCCCGGGCCTGGTAATCTAGTACTATCGGTAGTTGGATAGTGGAAATAGCATGCGGTGGTAATAAAATGACTTCAGCATTGGCATCGTCGTTGCCTACGCCTTTCCCAATGACGACGCCAGTTAATGCGTCTTTAACAAGGGACTGCACTTTGACTAAGCGAGTGGGAACATGATTCTGACGATTATCTACCGTGACATTGACGAGCCATTCGCTTTCAAAGGCCACATTGCCAACCATCACTCCTTGGCGAGTCTTGGACACTTTGGGTGCGGTCGTGAGCGAGGCACCTTCCACCCGCATCAATGGAGTTCGAGGCCACAAGACGTACGAGACCGCCAGTAAGAGTAACATGCTGATAAACGTTCCAAACACCCAACTACGACGTCCACATCGACGGCTCTTCTTGGCGGATTTTTTGTTATTTATTTTTCGCGCAGGTTGCGGTTGCTGTGGGCCACAGCTGATAAAGCAACAACCGACCCACATACCACGCTGCGGGATCTCGTCTCCTTCTTCTTCGGCCGCCATATTCTGCCATCGGCTATGCTTTCGATGATTATCTCGCTCATGATCTTGATCATGGTCTCCAATTGATTCATTATCCCGGTCGTCAGCGTAGTCGATTTTTTGAACTGCTGAGCAAGCATCACTCAGAGCGGGATCCTGCGGTGCACCGTAGTAATCTCCGAATGAGTAAGGTCGAGCCCCCATATATTTTTCTTCGTAATATTTCTCGCTCTCCGTGCTGGATTTCTTCTTTTCAATTTGAACCAGTGTCTCCTGACTTCCCCATGGTCGAGCGTTGTAGTGCTCTCCACGAACTGACCCAGTAGGGGTCGGTAGTGAAAGATCAAGCGGGAGAAGATTGGTATCAAATATACTAGGCGCATCAAGGGGATGAACCGGCTCAGCTATATCAAAAAAAGGTTTGTAAAAACCATCGATTAGCATTCTTTTGGGAAACAAGATCTTGGGAGGGGGCTGCTTACGTTGAGTCGGATGAATATTCTCACCTGCGTCGACCAGCGAGCGAGATCGATCCCTATTCGGTGTACTCTGTGGAGACGGCGATTGCATAAACGCTCTTGCTATGGTGAGGCGCTCGGGATCGGCTGCTGAGGCGGCATTGACGGATAACGTGCGTCCTGAAAAGCTGGAGGAGGATCGATCCCGTCCTCCAACAGAACCATGATCGCTCGATGGAGTCGGCATAAACCTATCTGCTACGGATAGCCTGCCTGCAGGATTATCGGAATAAGAAGTGGAGGTGATGGAAATAGCCGTGATGGAAGGTGCTGGTGAAACGCTCCGGGTTTGACTGTAGTTGGCCGACATGAACTTGTCGGCAATGGATAGACGGGGGGTTGGGCTAGGGCATTTATTGATACGAGGTGCGGGAGCTGATGGACGACGTAAATCGAGATCGGTAGTTGAGGCTACGGTGGAAAAGGATTGAGCACGACGTTGTTGTTGTTGCTGAGCGTAAGCTGTTGCTGTAGTTAATCGAGAAGAAGTCGTTGATGGTGCAGCCGCTGTTGCTCGTGGAATGGAAGGTCGAGATTTGCTTGGACGATCGGACCTTGCTGTGCCTGAGCTGACAGAAGAAGGTCGACGTGATCGAGACTGTGACGGGGAGACCATTCTTTATATTTCAGTTACCCAAAAGTACAGTAGATGTAGCTAGAATAGTAGTAAGAGAAAGAAAAATCAAGTTAAAGAAAGACAACTAGGTAATTTTGAAAGTAATGATGATTAACGAAGGACGACAAAAAAGTAATAAGGAGAAACTGGGAGACCGATTAAGCAAGAAGAAGGGAGACAGCGTGAAAAAAAAAGAAATGGAGAACGAAGGGAAGATGGGATGAAAAAAAAAAAAAGTAGAATGAATAAATTTGGAGATGGAGGGAGGGGAGCGTGGGTTGCTGAGGGGCTGCTTTCTCCTCAATCCATCTTCTTCCTCGACCGTGCACTCCTTCCCGCCAGTCACTGCATCAAGTCAACTTGCCTTTTAAAGATTCATTGAGGGTACCGAAAAACGACACTAGTTCGCTGTATCGCAGGTAAAAAAAAGACAGTTTGTCTATTTTGGAGTCCCCTTTTTTTTGATATCCAAACATATATGACTTGGAGTTCAAGGAGGTTGAAAACGGAGTATTCAAAACATATAAACCATAAAAGTTATGTATGTAGTATGTTATTTCATTTTCTATTTTGATTCTTGATCTGACAAACGAAGAACTACGACAGCTGGATTGTTTTTCTTTGTTCATCATCTTTTTCTCAATTAGGTTGATTACCATTAAGCTTTTATAAAAAAAAAAGAAAATTCAACCATGCAACTACTAACCTCGATTCCACGATGCTATCTATTCTTGTTCCCGGACAAGGTTTTCTTACAATTCCTGCGCGCAACGATTGTTGCGTCAAATGATGACTCACAGTATTGTTTTAATTAGATGGCTTTTTTCTCCTCATTCATTCCCAGGAAGCTTTAACCTTGATCCGCTACTTATTGTCTTGCCTTTTAAGGCATAATTTCCTCTCCTGTTGACAAAATGAAGAAGAGGTATCATACATTCAATAATGACAAGCGAATAGGGTCATGTTATATTGACTATCTGTCATTCGTAGTTGTACCTTTCAGATCCTTGTCAGAACCATTCCGTAGATTCGCTGACAACAGATATTGAAAATCAAACAGTTCACAGAGCTAGGACTTCAGCTTCTTGCCGAAAGCCTATTTTCATCCGCAAGAAATATTACATCTAAGGCCACTTTTAAAAAGATCTGTCAGTTTGATTTTTGATACGCTTTTACTGCGGACAGATTGTGGAGTACAGAAATCCCATTTTCCCTCAGCTCCAATGATCCTTTTCGGAATTGACCTTTATTTCGAGAATTACATTGTATTCTGTGAAGCAAGTGGATCGAAAAAGACTGACACAGTAGAGGATCAAATCATACTTGCTAACCGGTTGGAGAAACCAGTTTAACAGAAGGCTCCAAGGCTTAGGTGTTTACAGTGAATTTTTTGGGCTCAAATGGTGGCTAGATGGATGAACCACATTAGATATTCTGAATTTTCAATAAATACCCCCATACCAAGAGTTATTTCACATTCAAACCATTGGATAATGTTCATTTTCGCATTGTCTTTTTATAGAAGCGGTATACAAAAATATCAATCATATACGAGAAAAAAGATACCTTTCAATTGCAAGATAATATCGTATTTTAGATCACAGATATCTAATGACTTGCTGAGCATGGAGAGCTAGGCAATATTTTGTCAAAACACACCCAAGTTGTAAGTGGATTTCTGTGCCGTTGTACCAGAAGAGTGGAAGGCTTGATTGGTAGAGAATCTATTTATATTTTTCGGTTACACCAGCTCCTACGCTTGGTGATGAGGCTAATTGGTTTTTAAAGTCCCATCTCCCTTCCACGCAGTTTTTCCCCGCCCAAACTCCTATTTTTTCTTCATACAGCGTCCTTTGCTGCTTTTACTTTTCCCTATTTATTGACTGGTTAACGGAACGATGCTGTTTTCAGCCTTAGGAACGATCATTGTCTCAGCTCTTGGTTTGGTAGCAGCTCAACAACCCACAAACGCTGATTCCAACAGTCATTTGACACCCACTGCAACAAAATATGCTGATACATTCAAGAATGCGGGCGGTCGAGTACTTCATGACAAGGTCAACGGTATGATCTTTTTTTCTTTCTACAATTAGTTCTTTCCATCGCATTAACGCCATTTGCACAGTCTATCTCATTTTCTATGGTGAATGGAACTCTACCGAGGCAAAGACAGATCAGTCCATCATTATGAATTTCTTGGACCGTGTTTCAACTGCCCCTTGGTTCTCGACATGTAAGCTACAATACTTGATGATTGAGCTTTTTTTTTTTTTTTTTTTTCCCCATGGATTCTCTAACAAAAGCAACTCGTATCTAGTGAAAAAGTATCCTGATAGCAACGGAAACACAGTGACGGGACCGTTGAATCTAGCGGCTGCATTGACTGACTCCGGCAGTCATGGTTTACAGCTTAACGATGCCAATACCCACCAACAAATTGTGACCGATGCTGTGAATTCCGGTTATCTTTCAGCCACCAACCAGCTCGACGGTGACGGTGTTTATATCATTTTGGCCGGTCAGAATGTGCAGGACAAAGATTTCTGCAACGCCCATTGTGGCTATAACAGTTACAATGATCAATTCCAGTACATTTTCGTCGGTCATCCTAAACTCTGTCAGGACAGGTAATGTTTATAATCACAAAAACAGCCGAGCCTGTAGAACATGCATTGATGACATGTTTCATAGATGTATCCCACCATTCAACAAGGAGACTTCACCCAACAACAGTCCTGCCGCTGACGCCTTCATCACGATCCTTTCGCATGAACTTCAAGATATATTGACCGACCCCAAAGGCGATGGCTGGGTCATTCAAGAAAATCAAAAGAGAATCGAATTAGGTGATTTCTGTGCCGGAGCTAATGTTACACAGGAACAATGGTTTGGTCAATTGTCTCAGATAGAAGCCGGCAAAAACGCAAGCTACAACATTGCCATTGATGGCAACAAGTATCTCGTTCAAACCATCTTTGATCGAGAGAAAAAATCATGCGTCCTCTCTGGCAACTAAAGCAAGTGAAAACTTTTTTTTTTTCACTCAAATGTCCATACGATACCCGTTCCTTTTCTTTCCTCCAACTCCGCCTCATATACATTTTTTTTGTACCATGAAAAAATTGTAAAAAAACCACCATTTGCTCAGATAGTTCTGATTGGCTCAGCGATTAAAGCGTTCAAGCAAAAAATATTTTATTGCAGTGGCAAATCACCAATCAAGTGAGCACTTGATTGATACTGTTAGATGCTGCGGACGACCAGTCCTAAAAATTGGATGGTCCTTGAGAAAGCTGTTAGATCCAGAAAACTTTTGCTTCCCACAGCAACACCATGAAGCACATTGTATTTAAAAGACAATGTCATGATCTCTATCTCTAGTTATCATCAAAAGAATCGTCGTTCTCAGGTTTTATCATTTTACCAAGAGCTACGTTTGAAAAATCGATTTCTTTAATGATCACGGAGCTGTCAGCAATGGAAGAGACATGTGACCGACCATTGCGGCATAAAGACAAGAATCATTGCTTTTAGCATTAGTTGACCTATGATATATGAATCAATGGGTTCTTTTTTTCCCTAATATGCAATTGAGGCGAGTGTATCATTGGAAATTAAAAACATGTTTTGTCGAAACCAAAAATAATTATAATTTAGCCTATGATCTATCAAATGATAATTTATATAGTAAAAGTATACTACAAGATGATGTATGTAGGGCACAGCATCATCTCGTTTACTGCTGCAGCCTTATTGCAGGCTTGCCTTGACAGCGGCGGATTTTACACGAATCCATTCTTTGACACCATACAGCGATCTAAAACCAGTAGGTCCATTGATCGCGTTATCGAAAGGGATCTTCTTGTTGACACGAGCAATAAAGTCGATGGCCGTCAGCAAATCAAACGCCAGCGGCAGGGAAGCGGCTTCGCCATCGCTGGCATTTCCATGGAAGAGGTTTGCAAGGATATCTTTACCACCAGGAAGAAAACTGAGACCAGGACGGACACGTGGTAATGATTGGTCCCATGCAATGTCTTCCCTCAGGAACTCGGCCAGAGAATCAATAACAGGATCGCTCTTGTCGTACAGTTCGTTCAAGATGGTGCGTAAACGCTGTTCAAATAGCTGACGGTAATGTGGAATGTTCAGCACGGCAACCATGAGAGGCTTGGAATCGACGCCAGCAAATTTTTTATAGTCGCCTTCACGAATCATGCCCATATTGACCGGACCACTGCCCATGGAAAAATCCAAATCCCAGTCCATCCAAATAAATCGACTTTGCTGAGGATCCTGATAGAGGTAGTAATTGTTCTTGTTCTGGAGGTATCCGTCCCAAAAACCATTGAGAAATTCCAAGGCCATACTAAACAGAGCACATGTCATAAGATATGGGTGAGCGAAAGCTTTGTTTGTGGCAGCCACTCACTTGATGATAAAGGTCTCGACATCCAAGCGTTTTTCCCAAATGTCCACTGTAGCGTTGAGATCCTGGTCAGGTTGCTTCTGCAGCTGCAGCTGATCGTCGATAAATTTGGTGAAATCGCGCAACTGGACAAAACCTTTGGGACCCAATTCAGCGTCTTCCTCGAGAGAATAGCCGCTGTCGTTGTACAGGTTCAAATCCTCTCCAAAATAACTGAGATCCGAAGATCGACCATGGCGCGTCCCCTCTCCTCTATAAAGCACGCCATGATCGTACGGTCTGTTGCCTCCGTTAAACTCGGTGCGAAGAAAAGTGGAATCGTATTTTTCAGCCAGTACAAATAGACCAATGGCCCGATCATTGATAAACAATCTAAATGGATAAATGTTTCAGGGGAAAAAATCCATTGGAAAACCAAAACCAAGGCACAAGATAATGAAAGAAGAAAAGATCATGTTTACCTTATGTAGGATGCTTGTGATGCAGGCACGCCAGCAGCATATACCATATCATATGCTAGCTTCTCCCGCATATAGCTGGGGTCATTGCCAGTTGTACGAATTTTGAGCTTGCGGAAGCCTTCAAAGTCCTGGCCTTTGGGAAGATTCAGATTGTATGCAAGTTTGGTATACTGACGAGATGAACGGCCTCCCAATTTCATCTTGACATCTGAGAACTGGCGTATTTTGTTCGAACTAGAAATCCGACCGCAGAAAAAAAAGACCCCCAACCCAAAATGGTTACTTTTGACGCAAAATAATAATCATGCTTACAGATATGCTTACCTTATATAAGTGAAGTTCACTTGAACATCAATATCTTGCATATAGCGTGAGTGCAGATTATCGATTGCGGATTGTGGACCCGTGACATGAATAGTAGGAATTTCACCTTCAGGATGCAAGTCGGATGGGCCTCGATTATATCGGGTAGGCCAACCAAGCGAAGGGAACGTCTCAACGTGACGGTGATTCCAATTACGACCGAAAAACTCGTTAGGAGTCGTGCCCCGTATCGGTCGATCAACCTGGCGTTCAAAATTTTCCCCTTCTACGACCTCTGTGGTCCCTTTTTTCAATTTGACGTACTGGTAAGAAGAAGCAGCAGGTGCTTCGCCTTTGTGAAGTATATAAGATTCAGCAGAAGGGGTAAGAGGGTATACTGTGCCGTTAATACGAACGGCCAAATCTTGGTTGGAAGCGACGCTGATGACTGCATATGTAATTTGCTCCTGGGCCGCTACTAGAACCGCTAGCAAGAACACTACCATTACGGGATTAATAGAGAGAAAGAGCAAGTTATGTCCTACTGTCTAACCTAGTAGGCTGGTATGTAATAGTTGACCACCCATGAAGAAGAAAAAGAAGAAAGAAAAAAAAAAACTGTACGAGTTGGTCTGCAAAGAAGGGGATTTCGGTGTCAAAAATCCGAGCGCACAAATTTATAGGCAACAGTCGAGCTACTCCTGGTGTCTCCTTATGCATGACTATTTTTTAGTACACTATGGGTTTGTAAGCAGTATTGCATTCACAGGAAATGACAGAATAATACGGAATAAAAAGCAGCTCCTCATGCTATTGCCACCCTTAACATGTGTGCTGCCATTCGTTTCGGATTATTGCTTCTGACTTTCTAACTTGCCGATAAATAATGGTTTCGTGAGGTGATAGGTAATCTATCATGATGTAATCACATTGTATGATGCTTGGCAGTACTGCTTTTTTGCAACACCATATCATATAGTGACGAATAGCAAAGCTTGCTGATATTGAAATGCTAGTAAGCATGGAAGCATGCTACAACAACCATGTTACCATAACATGTTACAATACTGTGATAATGAGCATCCTCTTTTCAAGCGACGAGTCATGTCACTGACATAAATAAGATACCCCTAGAATGTTATGATGGCGCAAAAGTCAACGTCACAATCACAAAGATGGTGAAGAAAGTCCCTTTTTTTTTGCGAGATGTTTGCTATCCGGATATGAAAAAGCTCAACGTCGATCCTCGGTTAGATCGTCCAGGAGTCATTTTTTATGCGAGTATTGTCTCCGATGGCCTTGGCAGGAAACTGCAGAAAAATTAATTGCGTCCAGCAGAAAATTTGCCACCGATTTCAATTACGTTACAGTTACTGTGTGCATAACGTCATCATAGAATTGCAAACGACATGGTGGATGCATCTGTATGCATAAAAAGGTGTGAACGCCTTGTGTCAGCAATAATATGTTTGCTATTTTTTTATTTTTTTATTTCTGTTATGCTCGAGGAATCTGACAAGATGTGGAGAAGAACCTGGTCATGCCGACAGCTGAATATCTTAACAGCACTTTCTATCCATGAATATTTATGATCTTTTGATTCGTTTTCCAGATTTTCTGCAACAGCCAAAAGAGAAAAAGATTTGTTCATATACAAGACGAGGGTAAAATATACAACGACTTTGATGACGGCATTTATGATCCCGAGATTTGAAGGACTACCCAGTCCAAACCTTGGAAAAGACTATATACCAAATGGTGTGAAAAAAAAATTGATCATTCATCTAGTTCACTGAGCACATACCCATCTCCTGATAATGCTGAGCAAGCCTACGAAGAAAAAAAAAGTGTTATAGGGAAGCTCACAAGATCTCACCAGTCTTTTTCGTTTTCCCCACCTGAATATGCCATTGGCGGTCTTTCAAAGAAGTCAAAGCCAATGCATCCGACACCTGAGCTGCCGTCAACGCGCCCTTTACGTCTTGCTTATTCGCGAACACGAGGAGACTCGCTTCCCGAAGTTGCTAAGCAAAATTCATGGTTACGTAAAAATATTGAAACCACGTATCTTTGTCCGTTTTCTATGCGTCGTTGACCAACCTCGTTCTCCATCATGGCGTGTAATTCTTGTTTGGCAATGTGTAGTCGATTGGCATCGGTACTGTCAATGACTAAAATCACAGCCTAAATTTTATGTTCAGTGTGTCCCCCTTTGTCGTCTCATTTCCGTTGATATTGCATACCTTTGTATCTACATAATATGTTTTCCATGACGCTCGTAAAGATTCCTGTCCGCCTATATCCTGAATGACAGTGTTATTACGTGAGATGCTGGGAGGGATGAAATGAGACACTTGCCCACATCATGAACTTGATATTTTTATATTCTACTTCTTCTACATTGCTTCCAATAGTAGGCGTGGTGGTGACCACTTGATTCATTAACCTAGTTCAGATTTAGTGACAAACTCTGCAATAGCGTCCGAGGGACACTTACAGTTTGTACAGGATCGTGGTTTTTCCAGCATTGTCAAGACCGACAATGATAATCTTTACTTCTGCTTTGGAAAATAGTCGATTCCAAAGACTGCTAAATACGAGTCCCATTAAAGTTTCTGGTCGTTGGATGATCCGGCACAATAGACGTTCCTCTTTCGTCTATTTCCTTGCTCAACCCGCTTCAGGCGGTGTTTGAAAATGAGTGATGCCGCGCACTTTCAACAAATTGCCAAGCAGGCAGGCAGCAGGCAGGGTTTTACGTTGGATCCTTTCGCTAGTCTTTAGAATATCAACATTTACTTCCAGACATACAGTAGGGGAAAACTAGTATTTTGATATTCTCGAGTACATATGGAACTTAAAACAAAATATATGTTGGCTTACGATTACTCTTCTTCGTCAGAATCGTCCTCGTATAATTCATTTGCTTTCGCCCAGTAACTCGCCAACTGGTTGATAGTTTGACGATCGGAATGTAACGGTTGAAGCATGACTGCCAATAACCGCTGATACGAAGGATGAACCTGGGACGCTACGGCAATGGCATTATCAATATGCGTATTCAACTGTGCGGGATTAGCAAATAAACTTGTTCTCTGCTGAATGCTGTCGAATAATGGACGCTGCGTCGCGATACAGTAAACAATGCAACCGAGGGCCCAAATGTCCATGGCCGGGTGAGCTACAACTCCACTATGGGTGCTGATTTCCGGAGCGGCATTGACGTCTACGGAAGTAAGTTTTATGGTTTCCCCTATTCTGCAGGACTGCTGAAGCCCAGTAAGATGCCACTCCGTAATGGTACTTGGCTTTTCGTAGAAGAAGCTGTCGAGGTTTAGATTCATATGGACGCGTCCTTGAGCATGCATTTCGCCTATAGCATTCAGTATGGAATATACGGACCAAGATTGGAAAACGAATCGGGATGGGTCGATAGCACGAACGGTGCTTTCAAACAAGAAATGGCGCAGTGATTGATGCGGGAAAACGGTCGAAGTGAGCCACAAGTACTGGTAACCTTTGGGGGTTGGCTGGTCCAAAGCGATGGCCATATGATGTTCGATAATACGAGGTGAACTCAATATTTGAGCGGATGTAACGGATCGAATGAAAGCGTCTCGATTGTCTTGCGTAAAATAGTGAACCGTGTAAGGCTGCTTATTGCCAGAGCATTGACGTATAGCGTAAACGGCCTCATAAACAGGGGGCGCTTCCGACAGTTCAAACGATGCATTCATGAATGTTGTATGAGCTGGTGCATTGGGTTCATACGTGGGCCGGTCACCGGGATTAGTCGTTAGATGAGTTACACCTGGTGGTTCTTTGAGCCATGTTTGATGCCAAGGAGCGTTTGGAACCTTTTCGGACAAATTTTCACTTTCATCCAAAATAAAAGTTGATTCAATGTCTCTGGAAGCGATAAAGTTTTGACTGGATGGAGCAAGTTTCATGGATTCACCTTTGGCTGCTTTACTGAATGAATGTCTGCGACGGCGGCGGCAGAAGAAGAATAGACCCGCAATCAGGGCAATTGCAACAACACCACCAATGACCCCACCGGCGATGGCCCCTGCATTTGGTTTGGATCCACTACTCGACGGTGCCGGTGATCCTGTATAGGTGCGCTCTGGTCCAGCGTTCGACGATATTGTGTTACCATTAGGCAACGGAGCTCCTTCAAAGGCAAAGCCTGAACTCATCAAGTTATCTAGTCTGGTACTGTTGTAGACTTTAAAAGAGGTCGGCTGCATTTCCAAAAAGTACGCCATCTCGTTGTCATATACCAATGAAACATGTTGCCAGGTTGAAGGTATGGCAAGTTCTTTTGACTTTGTTTTTGACGATGATGGGTATGTGGAGCTGGATGGTACGCCGGTTGCCGTCAAGGTGCTGAGTCCCGCCATACTCTCCGATTGAACTGATGTTGGATTGTATTCTGAGGCACTTGATGAAATAAGCTTCATATTGGGTCCATCTGCAGCTTGCCGCTTCATCAAGTTGGACTCGTCCGCATTAAGAATATCGATGTATAACTTGTTGTTTTCTTGTGCAAAGAGAAGAAAGTCGTTAGCAGATGTTGTCATACGTATCGCCGTCTGAGGATGCATATCGTAAGGAAATCTTTTTTCGGGCTGAAGTGCCTTAGTATTTATGAGAAATCGTTGTAGATATTGCGGACCCACTAGCAGGAAACCAAGATTGTCTTTGTCATTGAGAACGATACTGTAGCGGGAGTCGGCCAGGGTCCCCTTGTATACCAGGGTAGTTGTCGTGTGTGTCTGCCTCGTACAATGTACTTCAAAAGTGTTATGTTCAGAGTACCATAAGCCTAAGCACGTGCCGCCATTATAGAGGATAGCAGCAATAGCATCAGGCTCTCCATTCAACGAAAATTCCATCTCCTCGATACTTGCGTTATATTTAGGTTGAAACCGGTAAATCCTAGTTGCATTTTCTAATACAAGATCATGGAAATGAAAAAAAATAAAAAATTGTTAGAATTGCAAAAATAGAATCACCCATGCTCGACACGATACCAGATTTTCCGACAAAGTAGAATGTGTTCTGATTGATATTATAACTGCAAACTGGTTTAACGAACTGAACATTGCTAGAGCTATCGAATTCCAACGTTGTATTTGAAGGAATTGGAGGCCTGAGGCCATTTAGGCGGTATAGATCGGATTTGTACAGCTGAACCTGCTGGTATTTATTTGCAGTAAGATAGTATATCTGCCCATCGTTGACAGCAATACATTGTGACATAGCAGTCGCTCCAACGCTTCAAAAGCTCGGAAATAAACAGAAAGGAGCCAAGTCAGCGAACAAGAAGAAAAAGTTGATCACAAAATACTAATCATAAAAGAAGCTTTTCTGAATGAGAATCGCAAAGCTAAGGCTTAGACGTTCAGTGTAACGCGATGTGCAAGTATTGTGTCGTACGGTGTGAATCCAAGCCAAAACCGTGGGCAGTGACGTAGAAAAAAAAGATCATCGCGTTTGGCTCAGCTATTTTGAATACAGTTATGAAATCTTTTGCAATGGGCAGCAATTGTCCTTCAAATAAAATAAAAAAATAGAATAACTACCGAATCAGAGAACATAGCGCACATAGCGCAGCCCATGATACACCTTTGTGTAGCATAGTTAAAATGCGACACAAAAGAGCATGGTTCTTCTAATATGTATAGAGGGCATGGAACAAAAAGAAAAGGAAATATCAAATCCATGGAACGAGTAGCCTTGTAGGGTTTTTTTCTTTTGAGATTATGTCCCAAAGTCCTAGTTACGGGAGTCTCATTGAAGTCACTGGTAAAATTGAAGAGAATGTCATCATTGCTTTCGAGGCTATCATTGATTTCTTCTTTAGCTTGAATGTAACTCTATATATTCAGCGAAAGTATGACAAAGAATCTTGAATTCTTAGATAAAGAAGAAATATTCTGTATTGCGAACATTGTACGCATTGAAGATACGATGGCTGGTTGAGTTTTTATTTTTGTGCGAGTGAGTCAGTGAATTGACGACAGTTCACGCACATGAAAAAAACGATGAATTTTATGATATGTACACGGAAGATGGGAATTAAAAATGATCAGTAGGATGCGATTTGGAATAAATGACGAAAAAGAAAGTGGGATTTTAGAGAGATCACGTGCGATAAATGATGATTCCTTCGGAAGGAATGGGCTCGTCTTCCTGCTGGTGAATAACGGAATGATCAATGGCAACTTGAGTTTTATCGGCAATCCAGTTGCCAACGTTTAGTTTCTGTTCACTCTCGAGATTGAATCCTGCAGCTGCTGCTGGAAGCAGACCCACTTGCTGAATAGCCGGACACAAAGCTAGAAGTTCCGTGATGTGCTGACTGGACCATGTTCGCCGTGTGGCCAGTGTCAGCGATCGGAGCTTCTTTGGCGGAGATGATTCGAGTTCTTTCAGCAAAGCTTGAGCATGAATGTGAATTTGACAGCTGAGGAGTAGTTCCGACAGTTCTGTGCAGTGCGTAAGCAGTTTTCCAAGTGTACTTGCATCGATCGATGTGTAGTTTGTTTGATTGGCAGCACCAATCAGCTCTAGACGCTCCAATTTTAAGGGATGATCGGCGGTCTTGAACGCATGATCGGATAAAGTGGTCCAGCCACACAATGTCAACTCTTGCAGTTGAAGGCAGTTGGCTAATAAATAGCGAACAATGCTGTCACGGACGCCCCATATTTGAATCGATCGAATGTGGCTGACATGGGGTCCGACAATGGCTTGCAGATCGGCTAATGTCCACAAAGTACATGTTTTGTGGCAAGTGGATGCGGATGACAGCATTGACGGATTGAGTTGCAGATCGCGCCAAACCGCTGGGTGGTCACAAAACGTGCGTAATCGTTTTGACGACAGTCGCAATAAACTGATATCCTTCAAGGATAAATACGATATAATTTGCCATACTATCTCAGCCGGTAAAGTTGAAATCATAAGAATGTGGATAGCAGTGAGAGAAAAGAAAAGTTTGGAGAAGAGGAAGAAATAAGTATATAACAGCAGATAAGCGCAAAGAAAATATTGAAAAATTAAAGAAGCTGTAGGAAACCGTTCAAAGGGAAAAAGAAAATAAACAATGAGGGAAAAAGAGTATCTATATCCTTTTTATAAGGTATGTGAGCAGGGGGTTTAGTAAAAGGTGAGCCTTCGGGCCAGGCCGAAACATTGATAAAAAAAAATTCTAGAAAAAAAGGGAGCAACATTAAGTAGCGAACGTGGTGACGAAAGACAAAAAAAAAATATGCATCAACGCAACGTGAAAGAACTTCAGCATGGAATTGTACGTCATTTGCATATATAGCACGTATAGCTTGTCTGATTTTAACTTGTATTTACATAGCTCCTTTTCTTCTTGTTTGCCAAGACTTGCTTGGGAAAGACTTTTCTTAGTAGTCCTTTCACGTTTGATTCGCGTCTTTTTTTTTTTTTTTTTTTTTTTTTTTTTTTTTGCTACTCTGGTTCCCCCATTTTGCGGCAATAAATTCCCATGAGAGGCGATATCAACAGATAAAATGTTTCCGAAGTTTGCTCGATTTACAGTTAACTTTCTTCCGAACCTGGAATGACTAATAGACGGGGCAACAAAAAACTAAAAATGGTGAGTCATGTACCGAGACCTTGGGTAACCAAGACACAAGAAGTGATGATACTCTTTGGAGGTCTGTAACGAATAAAATATGCGATCCATTGTGACGGTCGATGGCCCTTTTGTAATTTGCCTTTTTTGGTATTTATATTGGCCCCCCGTCGCCAGCGTCATTGGGCATCTTTTTCTCCGACTTGGTGCTGAGAGCCATTTTCCCGCTCAGGAATTATTGTCGGAGCGGTTCGTATCGAGTAAACCATTCATCCCATTGGATATTGTCACGAAACTAAAGGAACCTAATCTCACCCAGACGACCCGTAGTGTCGGCAACCAGCGAAATAGATCATGACTGCTTGAGTCGGCGCGGAAACCAAGTCCCAGACCGCCTTTTTTTTTTTTTATACTTAAGCGCAGATCGAACATGTCGAGCTTTTGCCCGATTCCCTGAAATATTGCCTTGTTGTTTTTATATTTCTTTTCTGATCTTTTCATTTTAGTTTATTTATCATTTCTTTTTACCTCTCTTTTCGAGAAGTAGTTGTACCATATCATTTGCATCGACGATATCACCTATATATCCAGCCGTACATTGATTCATATCTATCATTTGCATTGACAGTTAATTAATTGATATGTTCAATATATCAAAGGAACGATCTCGCAAGAAACCTCTTTTCCTATGGTTCCGTGCCCACCCCAACTATGTTCTCTTCACCGTGGCCATCTCGCTTCTTACCGATGTAAGTGTGCCTGCTGCCCTGTCTGATATGCAATTGCAGTCTTGTTGACTCATATATCATTCATAGATGATGGTCTATACCATAATCGTGCCTATCAGTAAGTTGACATTATCTCGCTCAGTCTTTGTTTCTGATATAATTAACGTGATTGTCTTTTAGTGCCTTTTGTGATTAGTGCTCTTCAACAAGGAAGACCACCTGATTCGGGCGGAAGCCCTTATGATGGCAAAGTTGAAAATGGAGGAAGCACATCGCAACAGACCGGCGTTTTATTGGCGCTGTTTGCTGCAGGCTTACTGATCGGATCGCCTATTCTCGGATACTTGGGTAAATGATTTTCTCCAATCGCAATTCCTTTTTCATTTTCCATTGCAACACAGGCAATACTAATTCGATCATAATTCTTTCTTTTCTTACAGGCGATCGCATGACACGAAGAAGAATCCCTATGTTACTCGGTATTCTCGGTTTATTTGGCTCAACATTTTTGTTCTTGTACGGCACACAATATTGGGAATTCCTTGTTGCCCGTTTCCTGCAAGGTTTCTCAGATGCATGTGTCTGGACGTTGGGCATGTGCCTTATAGCAGATACGTTCCCCATCGAAACGTTGGGCCTACAGGTAAGACTTTGTAGTTCACGTCAATGCCGGGATCATTAGTTAAAACAAATTCCATTAGATGGGCAAAGTCTTGCTATTCCATTCCGTTGGTCTTGTTGCTGGTGCACCAGTAGGCGGTAAGTTCCTTTTTTTTTTTCCCTCGCATCAGCTGTGTTGACCAATCCACATGACTCATCTGCCAAATTTTATAGGGGGTAAGTAACAATTTCGAGATAGGCTTATGATCTACGTATTCAATGCATGTTTGCTTGCATTTAGCTTTATATCAGCAATTCGGTTACAAGGCGCCCTTCATCCTGTGTGTCGCTTTAACCGGATTTGATTTTCTGCTGCGTTTATTCCTAGTCGAGCGTCGCAATCAACCCGCGGAATGGTTCAGTGACATAAAGGGTTCAGAGGAGAAGTCTTCACCAACCATTATGTCTAATGATGAAACAGGTATTGCGGAAGCTACCACTCAAACCGCACGTCGACAGGTCAGCACCTGGCAATTGCTGAAACATCCTCGCTTGTTATGTGGTATGCTGGTCGCATTTGCACAAGGAACCGTTTTCAATGTTTTTGAGGTAAGGACAAGACTATAATTTCGTGTAATTTGTTCAATCTAAGATGAAAAAAAAATCTGACATTGTCCTTTAGCCTACGCTGACGGTGCGTTTATCTACCGAGTGGGGTTTTGACTCTGCCAAAATCGGTCTTGTATTTTTGGCTCAGGTCATCCCTACATTCGTGTCAGCACCCATGTCTGGTTATCTGTCAGATCGCTTTGGCCCCAAAATCGTCACAGTTCCTTCGATGATCTTATGTGCAATTGCTGTTTTGTTGATGGGAATTCCTAATGCACACACTGCAGGCGGTGTTGCTCCGTTGATTGTGTTACTTGCCATTCAGGGCGGAACTGCACACGCTTTTGTCACTCCCGTTCTCTCGGAAATCGCTTACGTCGTACAATCGCAAAACCCGGAAGGGGGTGATGATGGTCAAGGCAGAAGTTATGCCCTTTTCAACATTGCTTTTGGTTTAGGTGAGTTTTCCCATTGGAGAGACCACAATTCTGGTCAATATTATTGTTACTGACTCTAATGACATGTCAACAGGCAGTCTTGCAGGTCCTCTAGTCGGCGGTTTTGTTTATGGAGCTGTCGGGTTCTTCTGGCTCTGTATCATCATTGGATGTTTCCTCATCCTTTGCATTCCTTTCCCCTTTAGATATATGGGAGGTACCAAACAATTTATCATTCGAAAGACCACCGCCAAATCTTTGGAAGCATTCCCCAACACTGTGAACGAAACGATCGATGCCAAAGAAGGCAAGCAATCGATGTCGCGTGATGATACTGCTAACAAAGCATAGTTATATCAACGCAAGGTGACTGTATGCTGTCAATGGTTTATCAAATTCTTCAGATCCCTGGCAAATATTTATCTTGTATTTAGAAATCATTTCTTTTCATTTGTATTTTCTACACGCAAAGCAACGCAATCAGACATCTAGAATAAATAATCATTGGCTGCTTATACTGTATCCGTCGCCCTTGGAGTGTGCAGTTGATCTCAATAATTCGGATAATGGGTAAACCAAAAATTACAAGCTAACCAGATGTATGGGTGGACGAAGGATCAATAAATAATCGAATCTGCCGACCCGCTGCGGTCATGCTGGTTTCTTTACTTTGCAGTCTTGTCAACATACCATTTTCAACGATCCAGGATAACAAACAAATACTAAATATTTTCGAGGGCAACAGTTACACAAGTTGTAAAACAAGACCTGCAAAGTGATTATAAACCCAGTGACTGTAGATTGCTAGGTTCAAAGGATCGGTGCATCAGTAATCGCTGTAAAAACGATGTTAGACAATTACATTTTCCAATCTGAGCCCATGATAACAACTGTCGGTCAATATATTGATTGTTCAGCGGATCTTTTCCAGTGCCACCATCTCAAAATGAAATGCATTCCCACCGTAACGGAAAAATACCCGAGACGGTAAAGATACAAGATTCATCAGCCATATTTTTACAGTAAAAAACGGGAAAATGAAATTAAATTTATTGTACAATCTAAGCAGAAGCGGCACCGGCGACACGGCGGCCTTGAACATATACATGAAGCAAGTTCTTATCACTACCGTTGAACAAGAACTTTTGAACCTTTTGGTAGGGGGATTCCATGCCCATCAAATCAACACCACCATCGTTCTCAAGATCCACCCACAAAGCATCGAAGGCTTTACCCTTTTCAAAGTTACCAATGGTGTCTTGCAGGCCCAAGACCTTGGCACCACCCATTGTAGCAAGGTACAACAATTCTGCAGGTGACAGAGGAACGTAATCATCACCACCCTTGAGCATACCATCGCGCTTGAGAACCTTGATGGTTTTGGAGGCAAAGAAGGTCGATCGAATAGCATCCAACATCGAGGGAGCAAAACCACCAGCAACGTCAGTACCGAGGCCGACCTTGACACCACTTTCCATGAAACGACGAACATCGCAAACACCCGAGTGCAAAGAGAAGTTGGAGTTGGCGCAGTGAGAAATACCAGTCTTACGGTCAGCCAACATCTTGATTTCATCGTCCGTCATGTGAACACAGTGCGCCATGTAAGATTTTTCGCCCAAAAGGTTGTGGTCATCGTAAATAGCAGTGTAATCCTTGGATTCGGGGAACAAAGAGCAGGTGAACTGAATTTCGTCAGGGTTCTCGCACAAGTGAGTCTGGATCGGGACATCATATTCCTTAGCGATCTCACTGAGACCGTTCATGAGACGGGAAGAGCAGGTAATAGCGAAACGGGGAGTGACGACCGGCGTCAACAGCTTGCTTTCCTTCTTTTGCACATATTCCACAAAGGTGCGTGTGTTTTTCAAGCTAGCATCGGTTTCTTCGATGTAGAAATCGGGAGCGTTCTGATCCATGTTGACTTTACCAATGTAAGCACGCTGACCAAGATTTTCAATGATATCCGTCAATTTTTGGCAAGCCTCGAGATGGATAGTGGCAAACCAACTGCAGGTAGTGGTTCCGTTTCGCAAAAAGCGGGAAACAGCGGTAGTGTAAGCCTTGTCGGCGTGTTCCACATTCTTGAAAGCAGTCTCGGTGGGGAATACGTAGGTATTAAGCCATTCAAGTAATTGCATGTCCATACCAGAGCCAGTGAACACGTATTGAGGGGCATGCTATCATACAGTGACTGGATTAGTCGGGGAAAGGGGAAAACTATTTGGGGGTTGGCTTCACTTACAGCGTGGGTGTCAACGAAACCGGGGACAATGAATTGGGAAGCGTTTAAACGGTGAAGCTAATAACAAAGAGAGTGACGAATCAATAACCGTTGTGTCCATCCGGAGCGAATACCTCCTACTTACGTTATAGTCCTTGATCTCGTTCTTTTGAAGGTAGGCATCGACATCTTCAACGTTGCGTTCCATATGAACGATCACACCGTTGTCAACGACAAGGACACCATTGGTGATGATTTCTAATTCGGTGATGCTGAGCGAGTGGACTAAGGTACCGTAAAAGACGTTACAAGGAGACATTGTTGGAGAAAACGAAAAAAAACCATTTTCTTGCCAACTGGCGTTGCCGAAGGTATTTTATACTGTCCAGAAAAGGCAAGCATTATTTTTCCCGTCAAGCGTCATTCTAAGCGGTATTTGAAAGTAAGTTGCCATGTTCATGGGTTCTGCCAGATCATCCCAGCTCGCCATCTTTTGTGCTCATTACCAAATTTGGAAATTATACCACGAAATATAGGTGTTTTTTTTGGCGTGACGGTCATTTTGCCTTTGTTAATGATGTTACTCTCATTGTAGAGTTTTGGTACATGTTCCGTAGAAATCGATTTCAGATACGGTTTTATATTAACAGGTGCTGGGACACCTCCGAAGAAAAACTTTTTTTTTGCTGATTTTCAACTACTTTTTCCTTAAACCCAGTAGAAACGAAGTTTTCTTTTTTGTTTGATTAAAAATGCGACCACTTGTTTTCTTCATCAGCCACACAGAGAACACTGTCTTTCCGAAAACAATGGTCAATTCTAGATTGGGTGTCTTGTTATTATCCTGTGAGAAAATGATTCCAAGGCACAAAGATCAGACCCATTTAATAATAGATACCGAGATGGAAATGGACGCACAACAGAAGCTTATCAATTGATCCCAAGCTAATACATAACCGATAAAGGGTCCCAGTTCCCTGTCACATACTTGGTTGGGCAAAAGCCTTACACAGCGGTCTTTTGAGGTTTCCCAAATCACCAGACACACCGAAAGACCCGCCCAGCCTGTCTTTCCGCGGCTGCCGCTAAATACGGATATTTACCAACTATACATCTATTTTTCTCTTTCAACATTGGCCACTTTCAATATACTTCCGTATCTATCATGAGATCCAAAAATGTATGCTTCAGAAGTAGTTTCCGTCACTCTTGTGTGATTAACTTGAAAACGACTTACTTAATAATCAGAATATTTTCCAAGTAATCCATTTGTTGTCAGATACTCGTTACTTCTTAGTTGCACGTATTGGAAGTAAAGAAACTCCTGCGGCATGAGATGAAAATATAAATCCTATACAGTTTATTCAACTCAAAAGCCACAAAATTGAAAGTCAAATGAGAAGCAGCAGTTTAATATGAAAAAAGTCAGATCAACAAATCTTTGGAAAATGAAACTAGTCAAACTGAAGAAAAATGGAGAAATAGGCAAAATATGGATGTAGCAACGCAGCTGTAATATCAAGTGGCCTTTGGCTGGGAAGAACCAACCACGTGGGCAGGGCAGACGACACAGCGCCCTTCACCGCAGGTCAACATTGCCGAAAACACATTAAATAAAAAGGAGCGACAATGCAAAAAAGCAACTGAAGTTTCCGTTTTTGCAACATGCATCAAAAAATCCTGTGCGTTTGGTTGGAGAAAACGATGGCAAGTGGTTCAACTCATTGGCCTAACATTCATGCGCAGTCAATTTTCGTTACACAATCTATTCACCCTATTGTCATATTCTTTGGGTCATACATGCCATGCCCATGTCAAATACAATACACAGGCAGCCGATAATCTTCCGTTCGCATTTCACGATAATGGGACACGGCTGCGCTTAGGCTACATGACAGTCACGTAAACATCAGACAGCGTACAGCTCTGTAGGTTTCGATCATGTAAAGGTTTCTTTCTCCATTACGAAAAACAAAATACATTATTTGAAGGTAAGCATATGCATAAAGTATGAGCCCCTTCTGTGAATCTCTTGAAACAGCGAGCACATACCTTGGTTTCCTGAGTTTGCGGCCTTGGAGACTGCAAACGATGTGATTAAGGAAAAAAAATTGGAATATTGATACATTGCTCCTGTATTATGACTTTTTTTTGGCTGTGTGTTTGGCATGCGTTAGTAGATATGCGAACTGGGAAATGAATCATCCGCCATTCCCTGAGCAGTACGCTGGCTTTCCGGCGATTCCAAGTCATGGAATAGGTTTGGTCCAATGAATAAGCGCGGCGGGTTTGCGCGAAACCATAACCCGTAATTACTATTATCCTTTTTATATTTTTATAAACTGCTTTATTATAATCTTTCATATTGAAGAGCCATCGTATATATTATATCGCAGAGTATTAAGCTTGGTCATATCCTCCCAATATTTTGTTTAAAGTTTATTTTTGAACAATGCTCACGTAGAAAAAAAAAAAATGCAAATGCCCCATTGTGGCTCAATGGCACCATATTTTTAAGTCCGAAAGAAGCGCTGGAAAAGGAACTTCAACCAATTGTCAAGTCACACACGCATTCTTCACTGGAAAAACTTTGGTCTCAGCACCTTTGAACGTTCCGGAACTGGGCTTCTTCGAGGATTTCGTTTTGAAGACATGCTTACAAAGTCATCCACCCGGCGTAAGATATCTTATGTCGTTAAGCTACCCAACGAGAAGCAAGCGCATTGTCTGGGAGTCAACTCCTTAGCCATAGATGCCGAGTCGCTCGACTATGCAAACGGCGACACTGCTGACGGAGGCATTCTTTATTCAGCCGGTCGAGACGGTGTTATTGCCGCTTGGAACTTGCACATGAAGTTCAAGCGAGACATCACTCCTACAACCGACGGAAACAATGCAAAATGGGTTCTCGATCGTGAGTTACAGGTAGACCGCTTCCCCCCCGCCATCGCCAATTCGATCGACAGCTCTAACCAACTACCTCATTACATCAGCAATCAACTCCAGAAACAACTTGCAAAGCATTCACACAAATGCACACTGATTGGGTGAACGATATTGTTGTTTGCGACCGTGGTCAATGTGGTACATATCATGGAAACAAAACGATTTTCCCATTATATTCTTTTTCTCAACCCAGCCCACATAGTCATCTCCGCGTCGTCTGACCGTGCCATAAAACTATGGAGACCTCACAGCACTGCCTCAACCAACGCTCACACCATCGGATGGCATACCGACTATGTCAAATGTCTAGCTAATGCCTCAAAAGCTGGTTGGGTGGCTAGTGCAGGTTTCGATAAAGATATCAAGATTTGGGATCTCGAACGTTGCGCTGCCTCATTGAGCATTGGAGCAGGTGCGCTTGAACCTAACAGTGATATTGTCGAAGACATTAGTAAGTCGATAAAAAGATATTGGCGCTGTAAGCTGAAGCTAAACACATCCTAAAGATGTAGGTGCGAGTTCAAAGTCATCCATTTACGCTATGGCTGTCAATCCTTCGGGTTCATTGCTTGCCACCGGTTCACCAGAAAAGGTACGTGCAATGAATAAGAATAGTTAAGCAATACTTTTTACTGAAAAGAAAGGAAACAAATAAATTAGGTGGTCCGATTGTGGGATCCACGTTCCGGTAAACGCATAAGCAAACTAACCGGCCATACGGACAACATTAGGGCCTTGCTAGTTAGCCATGACGGGAAGCACGTACGTGAACGAAGAAAAGATGTTTATTGATAGAGTGAAAACTAATGTCATCAAAAGATCCTGTCTGGCTCTTCGGATTCAACCATCAAACTATGGTCTGTTAAGGCTCAGCGTTGTTTAGCGACGTACGAAACCCACACAGACTCGGTGTGGTCTCTTTTCTCGCAACACCCCGACCTCAAAGTATTCTACGCAGGTTCACGCGACGGTTTAGTCACAAAGACCGAATTAGGAGACACGGATGTGTTTGGATCCGAAGAAAGTGAATGCGTGGGGTTATTCAAGGAGAAATCCGGTGTAGTAAAGGTAATCTAGAGCAGAAGATCGCGTGAAAAAATTGTGTTATTTTTTTTTTTTCTCATGGTCATTTTTGCAAAGATTGTGGCCCTTGACGACACATTTGTATGGACGGCAACATCGAGCGCAAGCATCAATCGATGGGTTTGTATATCACCATAAGAAAAGATGATATGGTTTTTGAGCTAATGCAATCTTTAGTTGTCTATTCCCTCTCGAGAGCATCGTCAGCATTTGACAATCTCGGATTATAACCCGAATATTCCATCCGTTGCCACGATGAAATTGCCTGCTTCGAAGCCGCCATTCTCGAACCAAATGCCTGATTACTTTATTGGAAATGATAACTTGACCATGTATGCTGGATCCGTGATGTCCATTCCTATCAGTTATCACGATGAAGATCCCGAATCCGCGGGGTCGATCCAGCCTTTGCGTGACACACCTGACTATGTGATTCCAGGTAATAGAGGATTGGACATCATTCATCAATTTCTCACGGTTCAATTAATACATTCGTCGACATATTAGGCAAAGCGGGTATTACTGCCCATCTCGTGCTACATAATCGAAGACACGTCCTAACGCAAGATAATAACGGAGAAGTTGCGTTATGGGATCTTGTAAAGGTAACTTTGAATAACATTAATTGCACAAGTACACAGTTGCCTCATATAAGTGTTCTATATTCAGTGTGAGCAAGTGAAGAAATATGGCAAACAGACTCTGAAAGAAATAGCGGATCAGATCGACACGGTTGAAAGCTTTCCGGCCTGGTGCACGGTGGATACTCGAATTGGCGTAAGTAATTCCCTCAGTTCAAGTGTACAAAAGGCTAATTATCGACTTGCAGGCCATTACTGTGCAGTTGCACCAATATAATTGTTTTGACTGTGAAATGTATGCGGATGAGGCTGGATTACCAGAAAACTATGAAATTCGAGAAGATCAACGAAGTAAGTTTTCACCGCACGTGATTTTTTTTTGTCTTGCTTCATGATTCGCTTATGAACAAATGCATCAGTCAATCTCGGAAAGTGGGTTTTGGCCAACCTTTTCTCGAAATTTGTGGATGCAGAAATGGCCTTGGCGGAACAAGGGGTTATTCGATTTGAGGAGGCGTCGGACCAGAAGAATAAAAGAACAGAATCGGTCCGAAGTAAATCGGTCCAGCTGGCAAGACCTGTTTACCCGGAAGCACCGAAAACCTCGACGAGTTCCGTGGATATCCAGAATGGACCGAAAGATACATCTCTGAAGAGTATCAGCAGGAGTCAAGGGCCTCCTCCACTCAAACTCCCACTTTCAGCTATCACTACCGATACGGACGACTCACCATTTTATCCAGATGCACAGTCACCGCAGAAGAACAGCATGTTTCAGGGCCCATTCACAGCTCCCCCGACTACCAACCATCAGTTTGATTACTTTTCTGGAGCACACCATCCTGTTAAACAGGACTCTGTTGTACAGCCACCGCCTCCAGCTGCACTTCCGACTTTGCCCACATCCCCAACCAATTCCACCTTCATCAATAGACTCAAAAATCTATCTGTCAAAGCAAAGTTGTCACGCATCCCTACTTCGGAGGATGGCTTGGACAATACAGATATAGATCATCACAAGCAAAGCAGGAGCCATAGTACGGTAAGTAAAGTGTGTCTCTAAATTATCCATTTTAGGATGAGTGTTTAACATGCCGTATCTGTTATGCATAGTCAATCCATCCTACCGAAGAAAAGAAGCAACACCCCGAAAATCATCATCATGAAAAAGAGTCTTCAATTGCTTTTGCGACTACTAAAACCTCACGGCCGTCCGAAGCTGCGACAGATACTTCGGAAGAGACTTATACCCCTCCATCATTAGACGAATTCCCGCCATTGACCATTCCATCTGATACAACCATCATTATTGCAGAACAAAGCGCGGAAGCATCTACCGACATGAATCTTTACCGGGGCACAGTCGGCACCGTAGGAGAGGATGCGGATGTGATAATCAAACTTGCTCCTGCCTGGCTTTTGCACTATCTACTATACGTAAGCTGACTACCATGGTGATACAGGCTTTTTGATTTCTTGATAACTAATCCCGCATAAATCTCTCGCTTTTATAGAATAAGATCCCAAACAAGGAGGTGGTGAAGTTGACGTTTATTCTGAAGCCCATGGAAGGATCTGTCCTGCAAATGTTACCTGGCGGGTAAGTGCTTGCGCAAAATGATGGATTATGTTCGCTATGTAACTGGAGATTTTTCAATTACAGAGCCAACAATCGTCTACTGGCGAACAGGATTTTGCGTGTCCGAAAGTTATTGCAGTATATTGAAGAAAAACTTCAAGTGGATACTTCGGAGGATGCTCATCCAGTTGAGCTTTTATGCGGAGAGACTGTACTGACACCCACCATGACATTGGCCACCATCAAACAGCACATTTTGAAATCAAGCGGTGATATCCCACTAACATACCGTTTGAAAGGAGAAACATCACCCCAAATGTCTTCCTAATTTAATGTTAGATAATCTCTGCAGGTCAGAGCCATGTTTCACGCAAATGTAATGAAGCATAGGAGCATCGTAATACAGCATCTGAAGAAGGTTTCAATTTATCATAATTTATTGCAAAAACCCTTTATTTTGACATAGTAATCCAAAACTCTGAGGAATATAAGCTTCATTTTGATGTTTCTTGAACATCGATAGATTGTATATTATGCATCGTTCCTTTCCCTCCATTTACTCTGAAATCGGAATTTCTTCACAGTGAGTCCTCGCATCTTATCCCCTTAACAACCCCATCTCTCCAGATACTACTTGTAAACATTAGTGACTTTGTTGCATCAGCGCGGAAATTATAGTGTCCACTTTATCTTTGCTGACGGTAAACAAAGCCTGGCACGCAGATATCAGTTGCCTGACAGAGTTCTGGCATTATTAGCGGGTATTATGGGACAATAACGCGATTCGCATTCGTTCTTTTACACGCATAAAAAGTTTTAATACATATATTTTCTTCATACAAGTCCTTTAGCGATTAATATCACGTTTTCAACTCGATTACAAAGGACCCTCGGTTGACGGATGTGCCATTTTTCAACCGTGGGGAAACCTGAGTTCAATTTGGATGTCGGAGTTTATCTTGCTTTGATGTTTAGAGCCGAGACAGACTTTGATTGGATAGTGAGACTTTTCGTTTCACCGATTGCCGTTTTGAGATAATGATTGTGACTTTGAAAATGAAGTGTTCCCCGCACATTTTTTCCCACGCATTTCGACGTTCACCCGTTCTATCCTCCTCTTTATTGCTTTCACTTCCTCTCTGTTTCGGTTTATCCCCTTTTCCTTATACTCCTGACTTATATCTAGAATACATGTTCCAAATACACCTGCGGTTATGCAAAAACGCTGCAAATCAGTTTTCGCAGTGTCGCTCCACGAGCTTTATGCGTCAACGCACGCCACTCTCTACCCATGTCACTAGACACTGGTACTCTAGTCAACTAGGTTTGTTGCAAGAGAAAAAGCTCGTTACATCCACTATAATCGTTGGCTGACAACACTGACAGATCGTAAGCCTCTCTTCGATAAGATCTTGATTGCCAACAGGTAAGTTCTAAGCTTGGACACGTCAAAGAATCGTCGCACACAGGTTATTCATGGTATCAATAGAGGTGAGATTGCCCTGCGTGTCATGCGCACTGCCAAGGATTTGGGCATCAAGACCGTCGCAGTGTATAGCGAAGCCGATGCCTATGCACAGCACGTGAAAATGGTACTTTTTGAAAGATCAATTAACACGGCTTTTCCTTTTTTACTGACGCGTTACTTTTCGAACGATTAGGCTGACGAAGCCTTCTTGATTGGCCCTGCTGCTTCTGCTCAAAGTTATCTGTGCATCGATAAAATTCTTGAAGTTGCAAGATTGAGTGGTTCCCAAGCTATTCACCCTGGTTATGGTTTCCTTTCTGAAAACGCCGAATTTGCTGATCGCGTCAAAGCTGCCCAGATCGCCTTTATTGGTCCCTCTGGTGACGCTATGCGATCCATGGGTTCCAAGAGGTAGGTTGCATGTCGTTCTCAGCTTTGCATAGAGTTGATTCTTAACGGGCTTTTTTTTCTGTGTCTTTCTTCCCCTTTAGTGAATCAAAGTATATCATGGAAGACGCAGGTGTTCCGGTTGTTCCAGGCTACCACGGCGAAAATCAGGATGTTGGTTTCTTGAAGGATCAAGCCGATAAGATTGGATACCCAGTGTTGATCAAGGCGATCAAGGGAGGCGGAGGCAAGGGTATGCGTATTGTGCGTTCGCCAAGCGAGTTTGAAGAAATGCTGGAATCGTCAAAGAGAGAATCTATCAAGTCCTTTGGCGATGATAAGGTCCTCGTTGAGAAGTATTTGGAACGTCCTCGCCACGTCGAAGTTCAGGTGTTTGCCGACAAGTATGACAATGTCGTTCATTTGTTTGAACGTGATTGTTCGGTGCAAAGACGTCATCAAAAAGTGATTGAAGAAGCGCCTGCTCCTGGTTTGTCCGAGGAAATCCGTGCTGAATTGGGTGCCAAAGCCGTTGCTGCTGCTCGTGCTGTCGGTTACGAAAACGCCGGCACTGTCGAATTCATCATGGACAACGTGGACAAGCAGTTTTACTTTATGGAAATGAACACACGTTTGCAGGTCGAACATCCAGTCACGGAAATGGTCACAAACACCGATTTGGTGCATTGGCAGTTGGAGGTAAGGAAAAGTCATATACCCAATGGCAAAAGACAAAGCAAGGCTGATAATAGTATAGGTTGCGGCTGGTAATCCTTTGCCCATGTCACAAGATCAACTCCGCCTGACAGGACACGCATTTGAAGCTCGTGTATATGCGGAAAAGCCTAGAAAGTAAGACAACGATCACACGGACGCCAAAATGAACAAACATCTAATTTTAAACCTTTTTTCACTACCATAAAAGCCATTTCCTTCCCGATACCGGTCCACTTTTCAGCGTTCGTACGCCTGCTGTGTCACCTGATGTACGACTAGAAACTGGTTTTATCCAAGGTGATCAGATCAGTGTGCACTATGACCCCATGATTGCCAAATTGGTGGTGCATGGTGAAGACCGCAACGATGCCTTGCGTCGCTTCCGCAGAGCATTGGAGCAATATCAGGTACATCAGTTAAAAAAGTGTTGACACGCATTCTTTTTTTTACTTATGACCGACGTCATTCCAGATTGTTGGCTTGGAAACCAACATCGGCTTCATTAAAACCGTAGCTGAACATCCCGAATTTATCAAAGGTCAGGTGGAGACTGGGTTTATCCAGGTAAGCCACATTTTAAATTAGAAAGATAAAATAATTCTGCACTTCTACTACCACACTAGTCGCCAAAGTCTAACCATAAATCTTCCCTGTGTAGCAATATGAGAAAGACCTGTTGAAGGCACCTGATGCGCCCAACGCGACCACTTTGGCATTGGCTGCGGACGCACTCCGTCTGCGAGAAATTGCGCAATATAAAAATAACCCTAAAGGTTCGTCTTGTAAAAGTTGGGATCTTCACATACGAATGTTCCATTGAACTTGGTATCATTTGCGTTTATAGATCCTTATTCACCATGGAGCAACCTTCACCAATCTTTCCGCTTGAATTCTGTGGATAAACGTACTTTCCAAATGTCTGCTCAAGATAAGGAATACAAGGTTCTCGTTTCTACCAATAACGCCAGCGGCAAGACCGATTTTGAGATCGTCGATACCTCGAGCGGTGAAAGTGTGAAGAAGTTCACGGATGTTGAAAGCCATCTTGACGAAGAAGGTTTGCTTATTTCGAACATCGATAACAAGCAAATCAAGAGCAACGTGGTTGTCCACCAAGATGAAGTTGTTGTGTTCGACGAGGTAGGGCAAACTGTTGCACAAAGTACCTCAAGTAGCAATAAACTCACCCTAAACATAGGCTGGTCGAACCGAGTTGAAATTGCCGATACCTGCATATGTCACAGGCAGTGGAGCTGGAGCTGAAGCTGCAGGCTCTGTGAAGACCCCTATGCCTTGCAAGATTTCTCAAGTTTTGGTGAAGCCCGGTCAAAAGATCGAGAAAGACATGGCTCTCATTGTCCTGGAGGCAATGAAGATGGAGCACGTCATTAAAGCTCCCATGGCCGGTACGATCGATCAAGTTCTGTACAACGTTGGTGACCTGGTTGAGGAGAATAAGAGTTTGGTGACCTTTGCCGATAAAGAATAATAATTGATACTATAATAAATCCCTTTGACACATCCTTTTAGACGAAAAAGATAAAGATAAAGAAAAAACCATATCTTAACAATCTTGTATACTTTGTTTCCAAAGTCTTGTTTGGGAGGTCAGGATTGCATGCGGCTTGCTATTCACGCACCGACTGAGTTTTTTTCCCACTTTATTGTGCGCCCAACCTCCTTACAATTTTTTTTTGTGTGCATTTTTGTAATTTTGGCACGGTTGCAGGAAAACCCCACCATATAAAAGTGCAGCATCAATTTGGCATTTTTATTTCCAGCTCACTCCCGTTTCTTCCGACGGCTTCTCTTTTTTTTCTTCTTCACTTTCTCTTCAACGCAAAATACCAATGCTGAGTGCTAATCCATCAAAACTTACTACTGCGCAGATGTTCCTTCCGAATAATCGAGCCGGTAACAGCGATGCGTGTCGAACTAGCGGTGATGCACTATCGTCAGAGGATGTAAATTCAATAATCTAGAAAGGCTGCTGCGAGCAGAGTACTAACCGTTGTATAGATTCTTTTGGAACCTTTCCATTACCTCTGCGCCCATCCTGGCAAAGACATTCGTGCGAAAATGATGGATGCCTTCAATTTATGGCTCAAAGTGCCTGAAGAGCAACTTGCCGTTATCACCCGTGTCATCGAAATGCTGCATTGCGCGAGCTTACTGTAAGTGAATTACTTGTCATCTCGTTGTGTTTTAGCAAAGGAGAGAGAGATATTTGAGAAGGACTGATTAGATTAATTATTGATGTCTGATGGGAATATCTTCTTTTGTTGTTTGTTTGGGTCTTAGTATCGATGATGTGGAAGATGGATCGGTGCTGCGTCGCGGTGTCCCGGTTGCGCATCACATTTATGGCGTTCCACAAACGATCAATTGCGCCAATTATGTCTATTTTTTGGCGCTGGCAGAAATCAACAAGCTGAATAATCCACGCATGGTCACTATTTATACCGGTAGGCTTAATTAAGGATTATCCACCAAAAAACACATGGCAGGAACTGTTTCTCAACACTTGCAATTTTTTTTTCTCTGAATTTTAGATGAATTGATTAATTTGCATCGTGGTCAAGGTGTGTGATGCTTGAACGACTGAGCGATTTCTTTCCATTCATATGTAAAAAACGTTTTTTTAGGCATGGAACTATTTTGGCGCGACACGTTAACGTGCCCCTCTGAGGCCGAGTTTTTGGAGATGGTGGATAATAGTGAGTAAAAAAAAAAATGAAGCAGAATCAATTGGCGACAAGAAGATAACCAAAGGGGTAGAAACCGGTGGACTGTTGCGTTTGGCCGTGAAACTGATGCAAGAAGCAAGCCAATCTTCCATGTAAGTGACCATCCGAAAAATGAAATAGAGTCCATCAGCTAACATCAGGGCAATTTTGGAACCGTGTTTTCGTTTGTGTTACAGAGATTACACGGGTTTGGTGAGCAAAATTGGCATCCATTTCCAAGTGCGCGATGACTACATGAACCTTCAATCAAAGACTGTACGTGTATTTACGGTTCACTGATAACAGCATCATGATATGGCTGACAGTACCTTTTTGTAGTATACCGACAACAAGGGCTTCTGTGAAGACCTGACAGAGGGCAAATTTTCTTTCCCTATCATCCATTCCATCCGAACCGATCCATCCAACCGCCAGCTTTTAAACATTTTGAAGCAGCGTAGCGAATCTGTAGAATTGAAACAGTTCGCCTTGCAGCTTCTGGAAAAGACAAACACGTTCGCGTATTGCCGGGCTTTTCTGACAGACATGGAAACAAAAGCACGTGAAGAAATTGCCAAATTAGGCGGCAATCCAAAGCTCGAAAAGATATTGGATCTCTTGACCGTGAAAGAGTGAAAAAGCGACTGATGTGTTTGCTTTTCATGATACCATGGATAAAATCAAGGAGCAAAGTGAAAGAATTCGACATAAACTAACTGAAAAATTCCCTTGATAATTGTCCCCAGCATACATAAATAAAAACATACCAGATGAAAATGCAAAAAGGTCAAAAGAGTTTGTATGTTCCCCATGGCCCATCGTAAAAAAGGTGGAAAACATGCTGGAAACGATTATTCAAACCCCGCAACCAAGCCTCCATCCGATTTCCCTGGTCGCCTTAACCGAAGAAAGTGGTCTTGCGTACAATCCATAAACGCAAAAAGTTGGCATCATGGATCCTTACGAACAGACGTTCAACGAGAGCGCCATGCCGGATGCGGATTTGGACGACAGTGAAATTCAAAAGTTAGAAAAGGAATTGGCTCCTCAATCCTCAGACTACTATGCCCTACTTAATGTGTCGAAAACGGTAATGCCCCCCACCACAGTCCATTTCGGCAGTCAACATTCTTATATTTACGCCATTTATGGTTATGCATCCAATTAGGCTACTCCAGAAGAGCTCAAAGAAGCATACAAAAGACTATGCCGTTTCTTCCACCCTGACAAGGTATATATCAAGATTGCTACTGCGCGCCATGCTTTTAATTGTATTCACATTGACGTTTCCGCAGCACAACGATAGTGAAAAAAAGAAACTAGCTGAAGCACGTTTTCAAGTTATTCATCACGCTTATGAAGGTACGTTTTGAATTCAGTTGTATAATAGATAGGAGTACTGAGTTGTGCGATTATGTCGTGTCTCTCTAGTCTTGAGCGACCCTATGAAGCGAGTGATCTACGATACCTATGGTGAGGAAGGCTTGAATGCGTCTTGGGAAGTAGGCCACCGTTACAAAACCACGGAAGAGGTAAAGAAACCATTGGTTATATTGGCTAGCGCTTAAAAAACTAGATGGAAACATGTTGATGTGTATGGAGTAGTTGAGAGCCGAATACGAGCACAAGGCTCGTTTGCAACGTGAACAAGATTTGGAGAACCTTGTGCGTTCTCGAGGAGAATTTCATCTTGGCCTTGACTTATCCCAAGTGTTTGATCCTTATGAACCTCCCGTATTCCCTACTGGGTTTGGACAACCTATCACTCGCCCCAAACCAAAAGGTCCTCTTCATGCATTGAAGAAAACGCAAGTGCAGCAATTGTTTATGCGTCATTCATTTGAGGTAGCAAATAAGGAGGGATGTGATGCTGTGTAAAATCATGGAAATCTAATAACAACATTACACACTAGACGCCGATCGGGACACGAACGCATGCGGTTATTGGTGGATCCATGGTATCGCGTAGTGGTCTTGGCGGAGGAAACATCATGGGTACTATACGTCATACGGTATCGCCTAAACTATGGGGAGAGGTAAATATTGTGGCAAGAATGAGAAGAAAACATCCACATGCGTCTAATTTCAATCTCGTAGTTCACTGCAACGCTCTTGAAACCCAGAGGCTGCACGCTCAAGACATTCTATACCGTTTCGTCAGACAGGTAAGTCATGATTTATAGGACAAAATATAGTTGTCGAGGAGTGCTTGAATTGTGTTTACTGATGTGTGCCTCATTAGTTTCGTAAACACGACAGTTCAGACACGCACGTTGGCGGCGCCTCCTGTACTTTCGGTTACAGCTGGTCGTCGATTGTTTACAACCACCACCGGTTACATCACGTATCGTACAGGCGAATGGTCTTTGCTTGGTTGGGGTGGGGATGTGTCGCGAAAATCCGATCGATCGTCTTTGTCACTTGGCTTGGCAGGTGCCAAGAAAAAGGGAAATTACACAGTCGAACTTCAGGTGAGGAGATTGAAAAGAATCCTAAAATTTCTGCGGTAATTCCACAGTTTATGCTATTGCTGTGACGCTGAACTTGGGGATTTTTTTAATAGACTGGTATTATTTCCTCTCACATCGCTGCGGATTATACGCACAAGATGATGAATCAAATGCAACTGCGTGTGTCTGGGTCGCTTTCAACCGTGGGTGGTATTGTTGCGAGTCTTGGTAGCGACCATAAATTATCTGAACATACACGTTTCGGGATGTCGATGGAATGTGGTCTAGCCTCCGGTGTGGTAGTCAAATTCAGGTATGTATGATGAGAATTATTTCAGGAGATCATGCCGTACCGGTCAAATTATTTATCAATTTTTCTTCCTTTTTTTTTCTTTGCATCGTTCCTTGCCATGATACAGAGTGTCTCGATTGGGACAAAAGATTGTTTTACCTTTTATTTTGTCCAACGAATTTGATGCCAAATTGGCGTTCTTTGGTGCCGTGTTGCCAGCCTCCGTGGCTTTTGCTGTGGATCATTTCGTGTTGAAGCCCCGACGACGAAGGCAGATTCAAGAGTGAGTATTGGCAAACCAATGCAGTTTGTGCCTCGATGCTTAATATTCGTCGTATAGAAAAATTCAGGAGCTTCGTGAGGAACATGCCGACTATTTGGCTTCCAAGAAGGAGCAAGCACTGGATGCTCAGCGTCTGATGAGCGAGATCAGTGACCGAAAGAAGAAGCAAGAAGAAAAGAAAAAGGATGGTAAGCTAGCATCACGTTGAGATCGGCTAGAAAAACGGGGGGTTGAAGGCTAAGCATGGCACACGTAGGTCTTGTCATTGTGAAGGCGTTATACGGTCATTTGGAAAACTTGAAAGATGATGACAGTGAAGAGGAAACGGAAGGCGTCATTGATGTGACGGTGGTTATCCAAACATTGGTGAATGAATCAAGATTAACTATTCCTGGAGGACATTCAAAGGTAAAGCATAAAGAAAATGAAGAAAAGAAAATGAAGAATATGGCAATGAAAGCACGAATGGATGGATCGTATTGATCCATGTGGCGGACTTTTGATTCCTTTCTTTCTTACCATCCACTTTAAAAAAAAAAAACTTTTTAGGCGAATATTCTTGGATTTTATGATCCCTGCCTTGGCGAACGCAAAAAACTTCGGGTTGAATATTTGTTCCATCATAGAATGCATCAAGTGACTGTAGAAGACACAGCGCCACTGATCTGTCCCATGCGATGTAAGTAAAAAAGTTAAAAGCAGACTGTGTTCGAAACCCGTTTTGAAGATCGAGATTTTCATTGTATCTTTATTTGTCTTAGCGCATCTCATTTAGATTTTTGTTATAAAAATAAAAATGTTACACAAACTAATGGTGGCAAATTCATCTTCAGTCCATTCAGTTTGAAGAGTGATTAGTGGTGCCACACAAAGGCGCACTATGGAAATAGTAACCACTTGCCTATACTTGGGATGCGCTTATTTTTTTTTCTCTCTTTTGTATTTTTTTTTTTCTTTTCCCTCTCTTTCTCGTTTTATTTTTCATTTTTCTCCCTTTTTTTCCTTTCCCTTTTCCCTCCCTGCCTTCTTTAATAACTTTTTTTTTTTTTTGCCAACTTATCAGTAAAGGAAAAAAAAAAAAAAAGCTTCTCCACATAAACGTTTTTTTAGAGGACAGTGAAACCGTCGCTCTACGAAAAAAAGTTCAGGAATCGCATAGACTATGTCGAATCCAAATCGAGTGTCTGGTTATACACCCGCCCTTCGAGGCTTAGGTCCAGATCAACGTGGCGTTCCCGCCAATCGTCAAAATTATCATGCTCATCCGCAAAGGCCACCCACACAGCGATTCTCACAGTCTCCTGCCTATGGTATGGATAATCTGCCTCGTCCTCGTCCGCCACCTCACCGCCAACCCTACCCGGGTCAATCCGCCAACTCTCCCCACCGTGGCCTTCCACGATCCCAAGATTCAAGGGATTCACGCGATTCCGCCCCTCAATCATCGTTTCACTACCCACCGCAACACCAATCACGACAATCGTACGCTCAGCGTCCTATGCCTGGAGCCACTTCAAGCGCAGGACCAGCAGGCGGTCGACCTATGATGCGTCCTCCGGTCAGTTATAATGCACAGATACGTCCAGGGGGTCATGGTGCGTATCGTCGCAGTAGTATGAATCGATCCAGATCGCTTTCTCGTCCTGAACGTCAACGACCACGACAAGGAATGATTCGATCGCCTTCTCAACAACGGGCTATGGCCAATCGTTACCCTATGCAACCAGGAACCCAAAATCCAATGATGATGCAAGGTCGACCGCGGCCCAACCAGCCAATGTCCAATCGCCTGCAGCAACAGTTGCAACAACAGAAGCTGCATCAGCAGCAGGAAGCATTACTGGATCAGGCACCGTTGCAAGCCAATCGTGCTCAAGAGGAATTAATAGACGAAGAAAAACCCAAAGTTCTCACCAGTTGGTGGGCTTGGATCGCCTTTCTCGCTACATGCTGTATTCCCAACTGGTTTATCCGTGTATGTTTTCGAAAACCCAATGCAATGATGCAGCAAGCCTGGAGAGAAAAGGTAATCCATCATTCCCCGCTTTCCCCTCACAGCTTCAAAAAAAAAAAAGCAAAATCCCCCCCTCCCTTCTCCGCTTTATCCAGATCTTCAAGAATTTTTCATTCTATTGGGTGGATATTGCAAAAAGGGAAAAAACGACCAAAACAGAAAACTCAGCAACTCACCTTTGATCTGCTTCATGCTAGCTTACGCTCGTGTATATGATCCTTCTCCTTTGCGGTGCACTTACCTTTATCACCTATGGTCTCAATCGTACTCTTTGTCCATCCACTCATACGAATTATCCCTATTCGCAAAAAGTGAACGGTCAACGTACACCGGTCTGGCGCCAAGACGTTCGCGTTTTTGGTCAATTATATCCGTTGGATAAAATGAAGGATTTCTTCTCAGCCAAAGGATTAAATTTAACGAATGATTACGAAAACATGGACATTAGTTCCATCTTTGACGGTGATACAACCGGTTCTTGTACTCGTTTTGATACGGGCGGCGGTGTCAGTACCTTGGGGGCATGCCGTGTCAACAGTCCATACGGTAAGTTGCTACTTTTTTTTTCTTTTTTGGGTCGCCCCTCTATTTTTTTTTCCCTTGTTTACCTACACCATGTGCATTCGCATTGACGATCCATTATGATAGGTGGTTCTATTTCCACAACGGATGGGAAGTGTTTGTCTGTCAGCGAACTGCGCTCTTTCTATCATTCCACTGTCACACTTGGCTTTGATTGGGCCGACCTCCGTCCTAAAGGTGTGGATGCACTAGGTGATACCGATCTAGTTGTACTCGGCGATTCAGGTAAAAATAACAAATCATCATGACAAAACCGAAAAGAACCTGATCGATAAAATCTGAATTTTCCTACTGACTCATCATCCATGTCATTTTTTCCTTAGTTCTGAATTTGACACGTTACTTTAACAGCAACAACAAATTCTTTGGTGACGATGTGGATCGAGTTTTACATGCTAGTCGTGGTAACGATTTATCGTATGCATTACTCTACAACCGAGCCGGAAAAGAGGCCCGACGTTGTTTGAGTTCACGCTACACAGTTGGTATTATGGAAACAGAAGCGGCCGGTTGTATTGCATCGCAAATTATTATGACGGTGATGTTGTCTGTGATTATTGCGATGATTGTGGTTCGTTACGCCATGGCCTTGATGTTCCAATGGTTCATTGCACGTCGTTTGGTCAAGCCAGGCGGAAGATCGAATTGGTTGGCTTGGCGTTCTATCAAGGGTGGTAACGAAGATCCAGCGAACCATGTCCCGGGTCCCTACAACAACTACGGTCCTATGAATGTCGCTCGAGGATCCAATACTTCACTGACATCGGGTTCTTCCTCACGTGGTACCCCTTTAAGTGAACATAACTCTGCCGTGGAACTTGGCGGACCTCGCTCGGATATCGTCACGACGGAGCTGTACACAGTGATGCTGGTTACATGTTATTCGGAGGGCGAAGAAGGTCTTCGTACGACCATGGATAGTTTGGCCGAAACCACATATTCCAAAAAGCACAAGGTACAGCTCACACACCTATGCATGCCATAAGCGCAGCTGTTATTGATTGTTTTTGATTCGCAGATATTTTTCGTCATTGCTGACGGCATGATCACCGGTGCGGGCGAAACAAAATCCACTCCTGATATCGTCGTTAGTATGATGGATTTGGATCCTACCATGAGCAATCCCAAAGCTTCTTCCTACCTTGCTATTGCTGACGGTGAGAAACAATTGAATATGGCCAAAGTGGTATGTTATTTTTCCCTTCTTCCTTTTTCTTTTCCACTCTTGTCGGTTGAGTTTGAATTAAGGCTCAGCATTGTTTTTCTTTTTCCCGCACTTAGTATGCTGGTCATTATAAAGGGGTCCCTTGTATCACCATTGTCAAATGTGGAACAGAAGAGGAGACAGATGCTCCCAAGGCGGGCAATCGTGGTAAACGTGATTCGCAGGTAAGCATCCATTCAAACAAAGATCGTCATATCAACAATTGCGTATCCTGCAATGGCCAAGAAAAATATAGAAAAAGCTGGGATGGGCAAAGGCAGTAGACACACAGCGGTATGCAAAAGGATCAATTGCTACATATGTTAACCTTCCTTGGTTTAGCTTATCCTGATGAGTTTCTTTCAACGTGTCCTTTTCAACGACCGTCTGTCAGAGCTCGATTACGAAATCTTTTGGAAAATGACATGGCTCATGAAAGGTGTAACGCCCGATAAATTTGAATTAGTTCTGATGGTGAGTTTAGCATGCTTTTCTTATTTCGGTATACATGTCCGCAACTTGTTACTCACCTGATCATCTGCTATTGAAAGGTGGATGCCGATACCAAAGTATTACCAGAAGCTATTACCTATATGGTAGCTGCCATGGCCAACGATATCACTATTATGGGTCTGTGTGGTGAAACTCGCATTGCCAACAAACGAGCTTCTTGTAAGTTTTGTACTACGGTCCCAAACACCGCTGTGAGGGTACATTCAGAGTAAATTCGCCTTACGTGGTTTGTTGATTTTGTAGGGGTGACGGCTATTCAAGTTTTTGAATACTATATTTCGCATCATTATGCCAAAGCTTTCGAGTCACTTTTCGGCATTGTGACATGTTTGCCCGGTTGTTTCAGTATGTACCGCATCAAGACACCTAAAAACGGAGCATGGGTACCTATTCTTGCGAATCCCGATATTATTTTGGAATACAATCAAAATATCGTCACGACGCTTCATGCCAAGAATTTACTTTTGCTCGGTGAAGATCGATTCCTGTCAACCCTTATGCTGCGCACTTTCCCCAAACGACAAATGATGTTTGTTCCTCAGGCTCGTTGTAGGACAGTCGTACCTGACGAATTCAAGGTGTTATTATCGCAACGTCGACGATGGATTAACTCGACAGTACATAATTTGATGGAACTTGTTCTCGTTTCGGATCTTTGCGGTATTGCCTGTTTATCAATGCAATTCTCAGTCTTTGTCGATCTGATCGGTACTTTGGTACTTCCCGCCGCTATCTGTTTGACAATCTACCTTATTATCGACACTGCCATTTCCAGCAATCCTCAATGGCAATCGCTGGCATTACTGTTGGCCATTCTTGGTTTACCTGCCGTGCTTATCGCTGTGACGACGCTTAAATTCGTTTATATCCTCTGGATGTGTGGTAAGTATTTAGCAGCCATGGCCCAGCCCATCATTTATTTAATCTCCATGAGATTATAACTAATCTGTATTTTTTCTTTCTGTCAGTGTATATTATTGCCTTGCCCATCTGGAATTTTATTCTGCCAGTGTACTCATTCTGGCATTTCGACGATTTCTCATGGGGTGCAACGCGTGTTGTGGCTGGTGAAAAGAAGGACAAGGGTCACGGTGATGCTGAGGGCAAATTTGATTCTTCGCGTCTGGTGATGAAGAAATGGGAAGATTGGGAAGCTGAACGAACCGGTCAACGCATTAACAAGAACAAGCTCGCCTTGAAAACGCCATTGGATCCTCCTGCTTTCGATGGCAGTAATAAGGGCACAATCACACCAGCAACCGCGCCATTTGGCACGATCTTCAATGACCGTAAAATGTTTGGTCACTCTCCCGCGTCCACCATCAAAGCTCCCAGCAGCGTATCCTCATAAAAAAAATTAATATATAGTCTCTTTATCCCTCCTTCCCGCCCTTTTTCAGCTATAGAAGAAGGAAATTGTATAAATAAAGAAATGCATAATCATACAACGCATCCTTGCATACAATATCATGGTACGCCAAGTGAATTCGTTATATGCACTATCTGTATAATATGTCCAATTTTCTTTCAAATGCCGGAGCAAGATACACATTCCTATCTTTATGCATATGTCTACAATTTTGCATCGTACAGTTTAATTGAAAGTAGATATTCGGTGCGCAACTACAACATATTATATCGCTGACAGTTAAGATCATTTTTGAGTATACATACGAAGATCGTCACTTAAGTTACCAAAATAGAAAAATGAGATAGGATACAGTATGTCTTTGTAACGGAGAGCGTATCTGTGTATTCAAATGATTTTGCAAAGTATAGTAAATATGCGACGACGAGAAAGAAGAAATGGGTGGAAGATGCGTGGTATTTTATAGACATGGAAAAAGAGGCGATCCCTCGTACTGTATCATAGCTGAAGAACTTTATTGTCCAATAATGAAGCACGAACAAGACGCCATGTGTCTGTTCTCGGCGCTTCATGACATATTATCGATTCGTAAGAGAGTGTGGCCTCATCGCATGAAAAAGCTGCATGAAGTAGGTCTCAGATAATGTTAGAGTTGATCGATTGGGATGTCTTTATTCAAGTGTTCATATATTGGCTGGTCGGATACACAGCTGCACATAACTTTGCTGCATACGCAATGGATGGCTCGTTAAACTATCTTCCAGCTCGTATTATACATTTTATTGAAAATAGAAGTCATCCTCATGAAGATGACCTTTGCTTTTTAATGAACAAAGTCATCAGTTTCAGCGCATTTTCCCAACAGATTACGTAGGTATCATGCAAGGCCAAAGTAGTATGAGAAGATCCACCTCACTCCCACCAATAACGGACCAAGTCGAATTTTTGTTTTCTTGCAATTTATTTTATTATCATCTCTTCATTTCTCAAACAAAAAAAAAAATGAATTGAAAGATGGAGATAAACATTAAGGAAGTCAAAAAAATATCGGGATTACTTGGAATTTTGCCAGGGCATTGTAGTTGTAACAATGCCTTGCTCGCCAGTTATCGATATAGAAAAATATGACTAATTAATGACTATGATATACAAGATTGGGGTTGTCATGCTACTGAGGTTAAACTAAAAGAAGAGGAAACGGAAGCGGAACGATGGCTTAAGATAGCAGCAATGGCGTCACAAAATGTATCCAATTCATCGTTATTTCGAGTCTGTACCATGTCTTTAAATTCGTCCGTACTGCATGCAGCTGATAGATGTGACAGGATGAATGTAAGACATACGCGAAGCAACAATCGGAAAGGCCACGTGTCTGAATGGATACCGCCTGCTGCGTCCATGGGGCTACGACAACGGCGATAGAGCAAGAGAGAGCCTTCCATGCTGTGACAACACAGCGGGCTTTGCTGAAGTTGGTTGAAAATCCATTGTTCGCATGCCAATCGAACATTATCGGACCCATATTGATCCGAAAGCTGAAGCAAATCAATCACATCGCGCCAGCCGATACTCCTTGGAAAGATCAGGGTCAGATCGAGATGTTTGGATCGTTGGTTGTCGATCGCTTCAACGACGCGGAAAAACTGTACCAAACTGTCATGTTGTACATTTTGGAGCATGACCGAATCTGCAGTATTTTCCGCATATTGGTTGCTGAGGAGTGCTTCGAACATGGCGGATTGTCGTACCAAAACACTGCGTTGTCCATATATTGGCTCTGTTGATGTGGGCGTCACAAAACTCACCGTCATGTCGTTGTTCGTATGGCGATCGTCCATAATCGTTGGCGAGTTGCACTTTAGAGTCACCATATCTCGATTCATTTCAGCTAAATCAGATTCCTCGCCAGGATTGAGCGTCTGGGCCAAGGCTTCTATCACTTGCGCAGCTGCATGGCGACGCCCAAGCGGTGCCAACGTTGGGTTTTCCGTGGTCATCGTTCGCTGTGATGATACCTGAAAGTCCGATGCGTATTCAAGATCGTAGACGAGCATATGACACAAAATGCCAAATACACTTTTGGAATAGACAATCCCTTCGGCGGCGCGAACGCCAAGATTATACTCCCATGTCGTGGGCGACAGGTTGGCGTACCCGATGGCCACTGCCGTTAATTCGTGCAATCTGATAGCATCATCGTCGTCTTCAGTGTAATCAAATAATCGCTGATATCGCTGAAGGTTCTTGCTCGATAGTTCCGTGCCAAGCGCTTGTCGTAAGCGAACTTTTGATCCATCCATTTCGTCGTAAGCAAGCAGCGGCTTGAAAAGTATGGTAAATACGTCTTTCAATACTGTGTATTTCACATTCTCCTTGCAGCCAAGCATACGAATCAAGCCGCGATAAAGAGCACCAAAGCATTGTTTGGAGTGGGCAGCCTTGAGATGTGAATCAGTGTCTATGGAGGCGTCATTGTAACGAGACGATGCATGAGGAACAGGATTGGAGTCCACTGAATCAGGTGCTGCATCACAATCGTCGGTGGGCCATGCATCGTCCACCTTGATAGCTTCTTCAGCGGCCTCAGGGACGCTGATATTCGTGTCAATGTCCATGTAAACAGTTTCTAGATCTTCGCATGACAGGTAACACAGCAACTTTGCGAGATAGTGCATGGATGCTCTTCGTTGCATCAGTTGTTGTCCAAAGTCGGGAATACCGCAAACGTCTTCAAACACCGTGGATGCCATCGTCATCAGTCGGCAGTCTTCCTTCCAGAAGGATTGTATTTGGGAGTAGTTTACATCGGCATCGGACCCATCGGATATGAGCATCCAGGGAAACAAAGCCGATAGCAATACAGAAACGAGTGGTGAACACTGCTTTTCATCCTCCTCCACAGTATGGTGGAACCATGGAATGATATCTTCGCAGTCGTTTTTGTCGTTGGTCCATACTATCCATTGCTGAAGCGACGGGGTGTCATACTTGTAGACATGCACGATTTCAAACGAATAGATAATGAGAGTATCCCATACGGTTTGATCGCTCGTCTTTTGTTTGGCGCGTATGCCAGATCGATGATTGATAGCTTCCAACAGCAAGTGCATAACAACGGGAATGATGGGATGTTCAGTCCGTAATCGAGTTCGTACAACGGCTGTTTTTTCTGCCATAGATGCGATGAAGCGCACAAACAGCGCAAACATTTTGAAGATATCGGTTGACTCGAACATTACTTTTGATTTTGGCGTGGCGACATCAATAATGTTCAGAACATTTCCGTCAAGGATTCGTTCATAAGCGCGCGGGTGCCGTGATATTGTCTCCAAAGCAATCAGAGCTCGTTTGGCTTTGTATACAATAGAGAAGGATCGAGGGATGTCGTTTGATGACTGAATGGTATTCACCAATTCCAAGGCTGCGATGGCATGCTGAATGGTTGGTTTCCAGATATATGGATTGAGTCCTGCATGGGCCGTGGCAAGCACATCAATGGCATCGTTGTAATGCAAAAAGTAAACCGTTAACCTTTCTAGACGACCGCGTAATGGGGACTGATCAAGAATGTCCTCATCCCATAAGATGGTGAGCAAGGATTTCAGGCAAAAGGCTACTGGTCCGGCGATGTGCGCAATATGATCCGACGGCGTATGCTGAACGTACTGAATGAACGTCTCCAACAAAATAATGAGCAAGCCCTCATACTGCTGCAGCATTGCATTGTTGACATTTGATCCACGGGCTTCAGCGTCTACACGTATATCGTTGGAAAGAATCACCATTGTTCCAAAGTCTTGTATGTATTCGGATCTCATAGGCTGGCAGACAAAGACTTGCAGTAAATTCGTGATATCAATGACCATTTGCCCGAAAAAGGAGCTGTTCTCCGGGATGACATTGGCAATGCTGATCGCAATTTGCATTAATCGCTTGATGAGATAGACACTCACAGTGGGAGGTTTGGGTATCTGGATTTGTCGAGGAGGGTTTTCCGCCGTATCTGTATGGAGGTACATAAATGGGGTTTGTGCTAAATGAGTAGCAAGTTTTCGCATCTCGAGAACCAGGACATGCATCCACTTCCTTTGTGATTCGATCGACGCCACATGGTAGGCTGCATTGGGAGACAATGCTGTGTATTTACTGATAATGCTGGTAAGACTACAAATAAGACGTCCTTCATCGTGCAGCTTCTCCTCCAACTGTTGATGGCATGTGCACAAAGATTCCCATCCACGAACAATAGCTACAAAGCTTACAGATTCTGCAAATGCAAGCATCTTGCCATGCACTTTTTCCCCGGCTTTCTTTTCGCCCGGTTTCGTCAACGAGTCCAGCAAACGACTCGCTTTTAGATGGTCATCAAGAAGCGATTTTCGAGATTCGTCCCCCTGCTGAAAAAAAGTCACCAGTTCGTCAGGAATTTCACCGAGAATGCGCGAAAGGATCCAAAAAGCATCTTGCTCAATCAACTCGTCCGGGAACTCATTTGCGTGGGCCGATAATGCGCGTAAGCAATAGTGACGTATGGGCCGTATGCTGCTGCTGGTCCAATGGAGAAGATGCATGATCGCTCGCAGTCGCCGAATATCTGTTAGAACCCCTGTGGTATCTTCAGCATCTTCTATCTTGTGTAAGCATTCCAACAGGTTGTACAAAAACTTGGATGCCGCCTGGATGCCATTTCGTATATTATCGTCTGAAGGTTCGTAAGTTGTATCGCCGTGATCGAGTTGTCGAATGCTGAAACGAACACAGCCTCTGAATGACGCTAGCTTCAAGAGGGGACCTATCGGCTGTGTTTGCGATTTGATGCGATTGACGAATATATAGTCAAGGCAACGTAACAGACGATGCATGGGCCACTGATCGGTAGGATGCTTCGCAGCAGCCAAAAGTCGGCGTAATATGGCATCAATGGCAGGTAAAGGTGCTGTGCGCAAGTCTTTCTGGCATTGTTCGCTCGCCTGTTTGTTTGGCAATCGTAATGCACTGTAAATGGTTGTAAGGCGAAACTTTGCTGTGGATGGTGGCATGCATGTGTCCGTCATTGAAAGTGGCAACTCAGCAGGATTAAAAACATGAATTGATGCAATCCACCCACCCAAAAATTTCAGGCTCATCGTTTTCGCCGTTTTTGAGAACGGATTCTCTCTTGGTGCCGCTGGCTCTACTTTCTTTATGTTTTTTTTTTTCAATACCGTTTATTCTATCTTACTATTCACCCAACTGAGAGAATACTCTAGTACGAATGGATCAACTTTCCTGATTTTTCAAGCTGGGAATAGCACCAGCAGCGTTTTCTTTATCTCGGTTGCACAAACACACAAATACCTTTCCTGGATGCCTCTCCGATCCCTGCTGGTTTACTTTGACAGTGCAATGATTATCGTGCAGCAAACCTTATCCACTACAGTAATAACGACCCAGGTATAAAGTTTCAATGGTGTGTGTGCCTTTATTTTTACTGGAATTGCTAGCGATTTAAGACATATAATCAAGAGCGATGAGATCAGCAAACAAGGGCTTGTACTTGGATACATAAGCCAAATGAGCGGGATGGTCCGAATAGGTTGCCAGATCCTGTTATTTCATCACGATCAGTACCTCCATACCTTTTTGTCATATTTCCCTTGGCTCTTACCTCTTTCTTCTCCAATTCAACAACCCAGCCTAAAGATACCCATTGAATCAGTTTCCACCATCACGCGTTCGAGAATTGAAACATCTTATTCTCCCTTACCCCATTCAAATCCTTTGCTTCTGTCAGTGAAAGTTTTGCCAGCCGTGGCTGCTTTAATTTCTGGGATATCGTTTTTCAAGGCCAATACGTCTTCCATAGCCTTTTCCTTGGTAGCCTCGTCAACTTCAGGCTTAAACTTGACAATAACTGCAGAATATTAAGTATGAGTAGCTGGATAAAGTGGCTTACTCGTGCATGTCAATGTACCAATGTGAACGAGCTTCATGTTGCAAACGGAAAAAGAGACAGAATGAGAAACAGCGCGACTTTATCCGAAAGAGTGGCAAAAAGACTATTTTTCAAGCGGAGCCAAAAAAAGAAAGAATGGCGGAGATTTTGAGGGTCTTTGAGCGGGTTCCGCGACTGTTCCCCTAGTCCTTATTTTTTTTGTTCGTGTTTGCCCTTCAAATCGCATTCAACGATGCGATCAGAAAAGCATTCCAGGAATGCGAGAAGAAGAGATCGGCACAAAGTAAGCTGCATGAATACCTTGTACGAGTAAATAGACTGATAGTTGGAATAAGAACGACAATCAGGATAAAGATGCACCTAGAACAATCCTGCAAGCACCGCCCGTTATTCTTGAACGACGCGACCGCCATCCAGCTGCCATTTCATCGACTTTACCAGCAAGAGAAGTACCAGAGTCACAAGTCAAGCCTCAAATTCTTGGTGCAGCCCCGATTATCAAGGAAGCATTGAACATTCCAGTACCCAAAGTGGAAACGGAGAAGCAGACGGTGATCCCCTTTTACAGGAAACAGAGCAAATTTAACACCGAGGCTGTGCTGAAGGCAGGTACATCCATGAATAAGAGGAAATTATCGGTGTACTGATTTCAATTTTTTGCATGTATATATTAGGTTTTAGGTGATTATCCTGGTCATTTCGTTGTTGGTGTGATCGGACAACAAGGTGTGGGCAAATCCGCGATCTTGTCTAGTTTCACAGAGGATCCAGCAAATGTAAGTTAACAAGTCTGAAACGGCCATCGGTCTGTCCTCCATCTAAATTTTAAAGCTAGACATTCCCAACACAACATCAAAACCTATTCTTACAGCACGGTCATAAAACGAACGGTATCGATCTGTATGTCACATCTGAACGGACGATCCTTCTAGATACAGAGGTAGGGAAGAAGACGTAGACTTACTGGGGTAGCTTCAGATTGGATACTCAAATCGGTTTCACTGCCTAGCCTATCATGTGCTGGTCCGTTTTAGACAAGGCGCTGCGAAATGGTTCCTTGGACGGTTTGCATCCCGACATTTGGCTGGAAATGGATGTAAGACGAATCGTATTGAAACAGGCATATATTCTATATGTCTATGACTAGTGATAAGACGGACAAAGAGTGTTAACGTTATTCTGGCAGACTCTTTACAATCTGATATTCCTTTTAAACATCTGCAATGTCTTGATCCTGGTGTCTGAAGGCTCCCAAATCGATATGACAACAATCAAATACCTGCAGCGTGCCGAAATGCTGAAATTCGATATTCCTCATTTCCCATTGATACCCCCGTCTGCTTTAGGTCAATCCCATCCAGATACGAACGCTTATCCCGATATCGGTAAGGTTTCTGGTGGATCAACTCGTGTTCATCCAGTATATATTGACATACAACGTATTCCGCTCCAGTTTTTGTTGCCAATCAATGCCACGATGACGACTTCACATGGCAACACTATGAAGGCGCACAGTCAGTGCTCAAGCATTTATTTGCCGACTCCCAACTAAGGACAAAAGGTATAAATACAGGCAAGATATTCACAAAATCATCGTGCCCATTTTAACAAACGTAATTTAGGATTGGTATCGCTTGGAAAAGCACTGCCGGCTTTTCGCATGACAGCAGATGATACTGTCAATCTCTTCTTTCTCCCCTACAGCTCTGACGCCTTTTCCGATCATAACGACAGCATCAATAATCTTAATCGCGTAACGGATGTGGACAATGGGTATCCTCGGTCCTCCACGGCATGCAGTGTGGAATCATATGACGTATTGATAACTGCATTGCGTGATCAAGTGATGGCCGCACCTAGGTTGACAGGCAAAAAAGGTCAAATCTCGGAAAAAGAATGGTATGTTTTCTCCAACGTGCTACGTGAACAGCGAAACAACCAGTTAATTGGGGGAATGCGTAGGTTTCGCAACGCCATGAAATCGTACGAGTTGGCGAGAAAATCCGAGTACATCTCAGAATATCTGAAAATTGTGAGGAAATTGCGCGACGGTTAAAGCAGTCCATGCCGTAATCACGAAACCACGCTCAAATGCTTCATGCCGTCAAAAGAAATCCCATTCCCCGTTGCTATGCGAATACTTCCCGATACGTAAGGCCTCTTGGCCGCGACTCTGTTTGATCAACCAGATAATTATCTAGTTGACCATCCTTTCATTTGACGGCATAATGAACAAAAGCACCAAAGTGATATCCAAGAAACATCACAGGATCTGGTAGTTTTTATGCAGATTCACCTACATGCTTTTGAATAAATCATAAATTACGTATGATGATGGCCGACTTGCAAGAAAATGCTTCCTACACTGTATGACAGATCGATCATTTCACAGTGAACCTGTTTTCGGGTCAATATATCACTATCAAAAATATACAGAGCAGTGGCAAAACATGGTGCATAGACAGTGGATATATATGTTTTTATACTGGCTCTATATCGAGCCGTTTTTCTTTTCTGTTATTGAATTACGCAGCAAACGCCCCGATGATGTCGCTACGTGTTATAACGCCCTTGATTTGCTCATCCACATCGCACCACCAAATCCTGTAGGCATGATTCAGAACAAATGATGACATGATCTGTGACAAAGTGAATTGGTCATGGCACGTCAAAGGCGGATATAGGTCGCCTTGGCTATCCTTCAAAAACATGAGCACCGGCTTTTTCAGAGTCTCCAGACGGTCGCGATTGAGCCCACGAAGATTTTGAGGGCAAAGTTCAGCAATCAGACTTCCTTGCGGATCAATGATAGGCAAGGCAGTGATATGGCCGTCTTCCGCCAACGTTTGGAAACCGTCGATGGCAACGGAGCTGACCATCATCCTTTTCAGAGGGACGCGGCGGCCATGACGTCGTTGTAATGACATGTCCAGAATTTTTTCAACTGAAATATTGATGATATCTCCCAATTGGTGGTTGTGGTGTTGCAAGTAGTTGATAAGGTCCATCTGCGATAATAAAATGGGGACGTCGTCCTGTCTCTGAACGAGGACGCGATGTGTATCCGGCGCACTCAAAAGCGAGATCAAGTGTTGCAGAGAGTCGGTGGGTTGAACAATGACTAGACGCGAGCTTTCTTTTGTAACGCCAACAGCTTCTTTCAGCGGTTTCAACAGGATGTCTTTGTGATCCAGGACAGACCGCAGGGGTGCCTAAAACAAGAATGAACAAGCATCGGGGTTATAAAAACGCTGTAATTCCCACGGGTCATCCTTGTTTCCAAGCAACACAAACCTGGTTGGCTAGTAAAATTAACAGATCCCAGACGCTAACAATCGTGATATACTGCTTTTCACCATTATCCATTCGATAGATAGGAATGGATAAAATATCTTGTGCCAACATGAGATCAAAAGCCTCTTCAATGGTATTGGTATCAATCATATCAAATAAAGCGTCTGCTTGAGGCGGCTTCACATCCTTGAGAATGTCCGCTACCGTTTTTGAGGAAATGAACTCTTTGTGGCGTAAGAAAGACGAAGTATCATTGTGCTGGCTACTGTTGTCGCTGAAATTGTTCGTTTTTTCATCAACAACCGCCATTTTCAAAAGTATTTGATTTGAGAACAAGAAAACAAAAAAAGTTTTGGAAAAGTGAATCAGGCTCGATTAGCCTGTTGAGCTAAAAATCAAAAGCGGGATCAAAAAGTTGTGACTTTCTTTAATTTTCAAGGCTTGGGAAATCGGTTCTCTTGAGCCGGTTGGCCCGACGATTTTCATGACGGTTTGCAGCACCATAAACAGTCATTCATCTGAAGTCACAAACCGACTACAATGGGAGTCATTTCACTGAAGTGTGCTGGGATTTACCATAACTTCTGACTTCATCGACGAGTGCTCGCTTCAAATCCAAGCTTTTCAACTTTTCAGATATTACTAATAAATGATATATTCTGAAATTAAATCAAACATCTTTCGAACAATTATCGTGTTACTTTTCATGTTCAGAAAGGTTACTCTAAAAATAATCAAAGGATCAATAAAACTGGTGGCCTTTGACCTCACTATTCTGAAAATTACTATCAATTTATTTATACAAATCTATCACAGCTGCAGTTATAAGCTTTCAATTGAAAATTCCATCCTTTTTCATTCGGAAAATATTGATAGACGACAAGGACCCTATAAGCAGTGGCATTGCATCTTACGACATCAATAATGGAACAGAGGTTTACTTGCATCAAGGTTGTACTAGGTAACGGTCCAGCTTGATGCATTATACATAAATTACATGATCTCAATCGACTTTAAGCTACTTGTACTGTTAACAACTGGTACTCAGTTAAAAAATATAGTCCCCATATTTTATTTGATTGGCTAAATGGATGAGGGAAAAAGTTGCATACACAATTGATACCAAACGCGTCTGCTGCCCCCTCATGTATTTTCATGCATCAAAGACCCACGGCATATATTTGAAACTGATATCAAATGTCGGATGTAAGACGAGAAAGTTGAAGCGTTTCATCTGCAGTTTGCCGTAGCTGCCACTATTGTGATTGCGTGTCCCATTCTAGGTCCATGGAGACGGATCAATAGAAAAATCACATGTGGCAAATAAAATTTTCTCGACCTTTCCACACTTTCTCGTTACGCAGATTGGATTGCTGACATCGGCATACACACGGAAAGACTCCTTGCAGGTAAAGAGTTGAAATACTGGTTGGATGTAAAGAACTCGCTTTTCCTTTCAAAAAATTATTGTTTAGTGCTTCTGATGAATTTAATTTAATGTTTCCCGCTCGCTTCATCAGCTATCATTGCATTCAGCCAATCTTAATCGTGAGTAACCTCTGTGACAAATAAAAAAAAGTGCTTTGGCATGGAACCGCCCCGGTTACACGCGCCTCGCGTAACGAAATCGTTGAGCCAAAGTCCGTTGGTCGACAAGTGTAAAAAGTGATTCATGATCATGTGTCATTTGATATTCATCCCCAGAATACCTGAGGAACAAATGCCTTTCCAGTCTGTGGATGTGTTTATGTGTTTTCGCCTTTTCATGCATGAAGGCTGGCTCGGACGTATCAAGTTTAAGAGACTGCAGTCAACAAAGACACAAGCTTTTAGTCTGGACAAACCAACCTTGTCCATAACCCTTGTAACGTACAAAACTTGTCGTTGTCTCTTGTTATTTAATTTACTTTATCTGTGCACTACAACCACTGGATTGTATGCTAGCTTATTATAGCAATAGATTTTATTTTATTTTTCGCTCAAGATGTTGCTTACTTAATGCTATCAAATCAGCGCAAACATTCAGAAAAGTTCACTTTGTGGATCCAGCCGCAGCGACGTTCTGGCCGAAACTCCTTGCAGGGGGTGGAATGGAACAAAATAGAACAACTACAGCCGAGGCACGGGAGAAAAAACACGATATATCTTGCTCGAGAAAGAGTACAACATGACATGAAAATGTTTGATACTATGCAATATGGATGTGAAAAGGGTATTGTAGGAACGTCTCAGGCTCTGCTCAACGAGGTCTTATAAAAATCATCTGTTGTCTGCATAGGTTACCAACAACCGGGTAATTATGGCTTTCATAGGTCTAGATTGAAGTTGCCCTTTCTTTTTCTCATCGCTTGATTTCACAAGCTTCAAATATTTGCCGTTGGATTACAGTTTGGTGGCACTTCACATGCAGGTATGGAACCAAGGCTAAACGGTTGGCGGTGATCGTGCAGGTCTGGGGACATCGTTAAGTTTACCAATCATATGCATGTACGTTGGCGAAGAATATACCTGTTTCGATAGTTCCGTCGCACGCAACTGCTTTAGATCGATGGTATCGACTGTTTTCCGAGAGGCGAGACACTTAATCCCACAAGGATGAGCTATTTCTCTCAATATGAAGCGATTGTGACACGCAACAACTGAACCCATGTAGCATTAAATTACGAAGAAGCAAAATGTGTTACGGATGACAGGTAACCTTAAAGACTGTAAAATTTTCTCTGTGAAGCATTTGTTTAATGTACACTGCGCCCTGCGTAACCGACCATCCTGATGTCCGCTTTTAGGAAACAGGCTAGGAAAGGAAAAAAGAAAGAATCCAGTAAAACTACTGGCTGCATGTCGCTCGGGATTATCGATTTATTTGGGCCGGGCAGAGCACACAAAATCTTACTGTGGAAGGAAACACAGACTGTCTTTTTGTGTAATGAGCGATATGACAAACACAAGTCGATCCGACAGTTCGTTTCGAATATTCCAGGTCTTGGAAAACCAAAGCTTGCCGTATCTCACCATGCTAAACGAAAAAGTTATTTTATAGTTTTACGTGGATGGTTGTTTCCTTTCCGTTCACTAGAGTGATAACTCATCGTTATTATGCAGAAATACAGACGAACATAAAAAATGAACTAAATACGTTTCTATGCAACGAGAGCTTTTAAGAATGTGTTTCAAGGGCACTAAGATTCTGTGCTACTCTCATGATAATGTAGCAGCTTAAAAAAATCTCAAGCAATACACAACTGCTACACAGCAAGAAATCGCCAGTCGCGTCTACTTTTTACAACACCTTTGAGCTTATTTTTATTGCTTTCTTTCTTCCTCTTCGTTTTTGCCAAACGCTCTTTTTCCCTTTATACCTCTGTTCAATTTTTCCCGTTGGGCATTTTCTTTTTGTCGTTTAGCACTTCACTAAGGATTCTAAGGACGTTCATAAGAAAATACAAGAAGATAAATGACGTCGCACGGCAAATTTCCTGAAGGATGGTTTTTCATCAAAAACCTCAGCAACGGCTGCGTGTTGATGGCCGACAACGCCTCGACAAAATCTGGCGAAACGATCGTGATTTCTTCACTCCGTAATAACGATCATGAAGTGCAATTATGGCGACATGGTGAAGACGGACGCTTGTACAACAAAAAGACGGGACTTGTATTGGATGTCAAAGGTATTTTTTTTTCTGAAATCCGTCTTTTTGGGATGCTCGGAAGATCATCCCGATGGTGTTCTCAAGAGAGGGCGCGGGGAATACAGCCCTGTGTTTTTCCAAACTGCACATCACTTTGTATCGGAGTTTGCAAAAATAGACAACTGATGCATTAGTTTTAACAGGTGATGCAAAAGCTGGATCCGAGATTGTGCAACAAGCTCCGGCCAATGACCACAGCCCTTGCCAAACCTTTGGCATTTCGGCTGAAGGCCACATCTATCTTACGGAGAAGCCATCCCTTGTCCTTGGTATCAAGGAATCCTTCTTCTCACGCCGCGAGGGTCTCCATGTCCACCTGCAACTCGTCGATAAGCGCACCATGGATCGAAAGGAGCAGCGATGGGACTTTGTGGTCCCTGTGATGAAGCAATCCTCTTCTTCAACTTTAGGTTTGCTTAAGCGCACCTTGAGCAGTGCATCCGGTCTGGGTGGTTCGGATAACAACAGCTCCAAACCATCTATCCATCGCCAATCTTCCAATGGTATGTACAGTTTTTTTTGTTGGGTTTTTTTGCACATACACTAACGCTACTGGAATATACACCTAGATGCGCTCTCTACTCATTCTGGTTCCACATCCTCACTTTTGGATCATGATGATTCCTACATTGTCCCTGCCGGTAGTTTCCCGGACAAGGACTTTTTCCTCAAGGCACAAAGCACCGGTTATTTCATCGGTGTAGAAGCCGGTTCTTTGAACAACCCTGGTGCCCGATTGACCATTGACGCCCTTCGCAAGACGGCTTACAACTCCCAGTTGTGGTCGTATGATGCTGCTACTCATCGCTTGGTGAACAAGCAGTCCGGGTTTGCTCTTACGGCGGAAGAGCTCAAAGAGGATGCTTACGTATGTCAATCTTCCGCCAATAGCGATCCCAGCTACAAACTTCAAGCCTGGACAATGACTGCCGATGGTCATGTCGCCTTAAAATCCGATGAATCGTTTGTCCTCGCTTTCAAGGACAGCTGGTTCGGTACCACTCGCGAAGGGGCTCACGTGCATCTTCAGCGCGCGGCTAATGATGCCCTGAAGTTTCAACAGTTCCGTGTGGTTTTCCCTCTCATTAAAGAGTCTTCCTCCACCAGCACTCGAACCATTATCGAGCGTCATGGTGTTTTCCCTGATGGCTGGTTCTTTGTAAAGAACCAACAAAACGGGCTCGTAGTGACCGCTAAAGATGACGATCACATCGTACTGGCTTCAAAGTTGGACACATCACACTATCACAGCCAGCTGTGGTCGCACAGAGACGGCTTTTTAATTAACCAGCACACAAAGACGGTCCTGGATGTCCGTGGTGGTAAGTCAACTATACAAACGGAGTGGCTGACTTTTTTCCTGGACGATAAAAATTCATAATTTCCTTTTACCCCTTTAGGCTGTATCATTGGCGGCGCTCAAGTATGCCACTATCATGAAAAGAAAAAAGATAACGAGAACCAGCAGTGGGCTTTGACGCCTGAAGGCCATATCTATGTGAAATCTCAGCCTACCCTTGTATTGGCTATCCCAGAAGATGAGAGCAACCAATCCCGCATTTACTTGGCTCACAAGAACATGGAGCATAAGCAACAGCAATGGAACTTTGTTCTGCCTGTCTTTAAGAAGAAGATCGGTAAGTAGCCATAATAGACCATCATCCTATGCCCATGACCTAACTTTTTGTTTCAGTCAATGTCGCTAAACCGGTCGTCACCAAGACAATCACGTACCGTTATGCTCGCTACCCTACAGGCTGGTTCATGGTGCGATCCTTTATCAATGGATCCACGGCCGAAAAGCCTTTGGTTCTGACGGCGGTCGAATCGCGTGTGCGACTGATGTCTGTGAACTTTGAGCAATGGCAATCTCAGCTGTGGACTTATCGAAATGGTGCCTTGATCAATTTCCAAACCCAATTGGCCGTTTCCGTAAGCAGTAAGTTGATTGATTCGTGTTCGAATTCTCATGCGAAAAAATGTGATCCGGTTCCATGTCAGGGCTCACCAACTTTTTTTCTTAACCTCGTGTAGCAATTGCCGCACAAGCTGGCTTAATTCAAGCACCGTATCAAGACAAAGCTGAAACTCAACAGTGGCATCTCACTATTGATGGTTATCTCATCCATGCTGTTGATTCTTCACTGGCTGTATGCAGCAAGAACGATGAACTGGTTCTGACCGAACATGCTTCCGCCGAAGAGGAGCATCGCTGGGGATTGCTCATGCCCGAAATCACCTTCAATGGTCACATTCAAATCCTGTCTCGCTGGACCGTCATTTTGCTGGAAGAATGGCGCCGTGTACGTGAACAAACGGTTCAAAAGGTGATCCATCGTGTTGCCGAATGGCCTCAGACAACGTTTTTCATTGCTGCCCATGATTCCATGATGCTGGTTCCCGATCGATCGGAAGCCTTCTCTTATTTGATGCTCCGCAAACTTGATTACAAGCGCTATGAAGATTATCTGTGGCAATTCAAGAATGGGTTCCTGGTTCACTATGCTACCGGTCTCGTTTTGCATGCTGCAGGTACACCTGAACTTTCAATCATGGTCTGTCCTAGTGCCGATGTACTTACTCCTTGCTTTTGTTCCTAGACAATTTGGTCAATGGTAGCCATTTACAAATCCGCGGAGAATTGATCAACGAGAATCAACACGCCGATGAGCGTCAGATGTGGACAATCAAAACCGATGGTTCTATTGCCTCTGCCTCTATGAGTTCGCTTGGATTCGGCGTAATCCAGCATGGTAATCGTTATGCTGTTGAATTGTGTGATACTAACAATGCTAGTGAACATTACTCGTGGAGCTTGCTCTATGGAAAATACGAAAACAAGGAGCTCATTGGAACCGAAACTATCATCCTGTCTGCTGCATCATTGCAAAGAGGTAAAATTATTAGCCTTTCCATGCCACGATGTGTGAAAATACATGAGACTGACGCTCATTTCGGCCGGTATAGAATCAAGCAGCCGCAAGCTTGTCACCATCAGCTATGGTTTATTCCCTGAAAACTGGTTCTACATCCGCAGCAAGGCTGACAAGTCTTTGGTGTTGACCACTGCCACTTCCAAGAAGGGTGCCAAATTGATTCTGTCCAAACTGGATTTCAAGGTCTTCCGTCGCCAATTGTGGCATTACCGTGACGATGGTTGCCTCGCTAATCTGGAATCCGATTATGTCATTGATGTCGCTGGTGGCGCTCTGCAACATGGAAGCGATATTATTCAGTGGAACGAAAAGATGCTCAAACGAAGCCGCAAGAACCAATTGTGGAGCTTATCCGTCCATGGTCACATCCATCCTCGTTCACGTCCTGGTCTGGCACTGGTGCCCCTCGAGGTCAAGGAAGCGGCCGAAGTCAAATTGTTAGCTCGCGGTGCCTTGTCGCTTGAACACCAGCAATGGACCTTTGCCTCGCCTGTGTTTGGTAAACGTCAATACTCTGGCGTCATTACTGCATCTCAGATCATGGATGACGGTATTTTCGTCAACAGCGTGGGTGATGCTGCCCTTGAAGTTTCCAGCCGCGAATCGTATGAGCGCTTGACCAAGCGTACCATTATTCGACGCTGGGGTATTTTCCCTGACCAGGCTTTCTTTATTCGTTGCGCTTACGGCAAGGAAAATCTCGCTTTGACTGTGGAGCAGAAACCTTTGTCGGTGAATGGCGCCACTGAATATGAAGTGGTTCTGCGTGCTCTCAATTTCAAGGAGTACAAGTGGCAGTTCTGGACATTCCAAGAAGGACACCTCATTAACGTGCAAACCGGTTTGGCGCTCGATGGCCAGATTGTCAAGGGCCAACTCATTGAAGACGGTCTCCGTTGCCAGCTGTACGTGAGAGAAAAATCAGCCGCGGAAAGCCAGTATTGGGCGTTGACCGCTGAAGGCGAAATCCATTTGACTTCCGAACAACATCTCGTTATTGGCGTGGCGAATGCCGAACGTGCCTGTGTTGAAGGCGCTCAAGTGGGCTTGAAAGCCTTGAAGGCTCGCAAGGTAGATTCCAATGGCAAACAAACCTGGTTGCTGCGATCCGAAGAATGGCTTCGCTGGCGATTCTCCAAGCCAGTTTACGGTACCAAGAAGGTGACTACGGTTGTGAGCGGCGCCGCCGCCGCCGTGGCTGGAGCCGCTATTGCCGGTGAGATTGCTGAAGTTATCGAAGGTCTCCAGGATGAAAAGGTGGTTGTCAAGGAAAACGAAGATTCTGACCATGAAGAATCCGATGAAGACTCCGACGATTCTGATAACGAACAAGACGATGTGCCTCAAACTGTGCGTGCCGACGAGGAGAAGAAGACCATGGCTGTTGTCACTGACAACAAGGTGACTCATGAAGAACAAACCCAAGTATCTCAGCCTATCACTCCTGTAACACCTACATCTCCCGTGGTTTCCAAAATCAAGCAGCAAAAGAAGCTCAAGACGTTGCAGTACCACCGACAGGCTTCGTTCCAGTTACGAGATGATTACGTTCCTACCGGATTTGAAAAGGTCGTCCGTTACAAGAACCATCAAGGCACTTTCCCCAACGGTTATTTCTTTATCAAGAGTCACCTTCACGGTTTTGTTCTCGATGTGCTCGATGACGCTGTGGAAAATGCTCAGATCGTCCTCAAACGTCTTCGTACTACTGACTTTGCTTCCCAGCTCTGGTCCTTCCGTGACGGCTATCTGACCAACCTCAAGGGTCAACGCTTGGTCTTGGATGGTGCCAAGTCTGATGTAGTCAAGGCCGGTGAGCGTGTCCATTTGGCTGTTCAGAAATCGTCCCACTGTGATGATCAGTTGTGGGAATACACCATAGCAGGTCTTATCCACCTGCGTGCCAAACGGTCCCTGGTGCTTTCCATCAAGGAACTCCGCCGTTCTGACACTTACTCCTACATTGATGTCTTTTTGCAAGAAGAACTGGTGCGTCCTGATCATACTCATGCTCGTAGTGAACAACGTTGGGAGATCCTTATTCCTGCCATGATCCCCATGAGCCAATCCGAAACCAAGGTCAAGATCATTGAAGGAGGAAGAATTAGTGCAATCAGCAGCTCCGCATCCGCCGTTCTCGCCTTCAAATGGATCAAAGAAACATTTGAACACAAGATCACCACCCAAGATCAGTGGCCAAGCAGTGACAATTGGTTCTTTATCCGATTCGGCACGGACGACGTCTTTTTGGCCGCTGGCGAGAACGATCATACCGTTGGTCTTCATCAGTTGGAAGAAGGTGCCAATTATCGTCGCTACATGTGGATGTACGCCGATGGCTTCCTCATCAATTACAAGCATATGCTGCGAATTGCCGTTGACGAAGGTAAGATATACCAAGAATGACAAAAAAAATAGAATAATGGAATGATGCTCAATCAAACCTTTTTTCTTTCTTCGCTAGCTACTCAAACATGGATATTGACGGATGCTCAAGAGTCCGCCCATCAACTTGTCAAGATTTCCGCCAAGGGTGTCATTTCTATTCACATCCATCAGACGGTTCACTATCTCCGCATTGAGCAAAAGGAGACCAAGTACCAACTGAAACTGGCCTCCGAAGAAGACAAGGGTCAAACGGTACAACTCCACGTTCCTGTTTTCTCTGATCATGAAGTTGAGAAGAGTGCCAACGTTGCTTCTACTACGGCTATTTCCTGGCTTCGTACGCAACGCAAGACTGTCACTACCATTGTCATGCGCCGCGGTGTGTTCCCTGATGCTCCTTGGTTCTTTATCAAGATTGACAAAGATCATTGTCAAGACTTGCAAGAAGAATACGTGCTTGCCATTGACGCCAACTCTTCCAGTATTGTCGTACAAAAGATGTGCTACGCTGAATTTAGACGCCAGCTTTGGACTTTCCGCGATGGCCTTTTGATCAATTATGGCAGCAAGATGGTCATTGATGTGAACGGTTCGTATCATCCACTTTTTTTGTTCATTCTAGAGCCCTTCTTTGGATTTGTTTACTAACGTGGCCAAAATTTGTTTTTTAGGTTCCATTGCTTCAAACAATCATATTGTGTGTGCCACTGAAGCGGGTGTCAGCAGCCAAAAGTGGAGCTTGACAGCCGAAGGTCATATCCAGCTTGACAGCTACGATAAGCTGGTCATTGGTTACTCCGAATCCTTGAAGGAAAATTTGGCCTTGAAGTTGGTTGCCATTGATCAAGCCGAGTTCACCGGTATGCGTTGGAGATTCGCCGTTCCTGTGTTTGGCAAAAAGACAACCACTACCGAAACCGCCGTCACATTTGACAGCATTACGGAAGCTGTCGAGCAAGGCGCCTCCATCCAGGAAGTGGAAGAAATCCGCTACACTGTGCAAGATGTTTTCCAGAAGCCTTCTGTTGCTGAGGAATCAAACCACCGTATCCATGATGTCTTGAAGACAGTCGGTATTGCTGCCGGTGCTACCGCTGCTGCTGTGGTAGCTGTCGGTGCTGCTTCCAAGGCGGCCGATGCCTACCACCATACCGATGCCCACAAGATCCATCAAGATGAATCTGTTCATACCGGTGCTGAAGCGACTACGACTACTGATGATGTCCGTAAAGAAACCTTGACACTGACTCATGCTTCGAAAGCGTCCGTTTCAGTCATTAAGGAGTCCCAAGTCCTGGTGCGCGCCTGGCGTATTGTTTTCATGCAGCGTATCCGAAAGTGCAAGACTCAAGAAGAATTCGCCATTGCAATTGAACAGGGTCAGCAAGAACTTTATCAGCGACTTGATGAGCACGTCCGCTTGCACGCGTCTGTCCATCATCTTGTGTCTGGAGCGACTCCTGAATGGCAGGTCTCCATTGAGCAAGTCAAAGAACTTTTCCGTGCCCGTTTGTTTGACAAGCTTAGCAACAAGGTGAAAAGCTCAACGACGAGCCACATTACTTTCGAAGAATTGCAAATCGAGGAAAGTCTGTCGACAACCTTTACCGAGATCAATCAACATTATGAGCAAGTGTTGACGCAAGAAACCCAGACCGTTGCTACTGAGAACGAGACCGAAACCACGACGGAAGACCATGAATTGGTGCTTGCTTCTGCATCCAGCATCCTCGTGACGGTGGATAGCCTCAAGGTGACCGTCCGTTACTGGCTCGCTGACTTGTACAAGCGACTTTCCTCCAAGAAGAACGTTTCTGATGAGGAACTCAAGCAAACCATCGAGGAAGCTCGTCAAGAACTCACAGAGAAGTTGAATCGTTACCAGGTTTCAGTGTGTGAACATGCTGAGAAGACCAAGGTGAATACGGTCACCGTGAAGCAATCCGTGGAGGTCGCCATTGCTCGCACCCAGGCCATCGTCAATGAGCAGTTGAAGATTGTCGAAACTGAGAAGCATCCCACGGAGGAGCAATGGACCAAGGTCACTGAAGTCGTTGGTGTCCGTTTGTCTGAGCAGTTGAAGACTTGCCAGACTGCTATTTCTCAGGAATTGGCAACTACTGGTACCGTTCAAGAATCCAAGGTGACCGTTGTGATCGACCAAAAGAACACGGAAGCTGCCAAGGAAACTGTTTCCAGCAAGATTGTGGAAAGCAAGACTCGCGTGACGGCGTGGTTCAGCCAGTTGGTGTCAAACATTCACGAGTGTGTTCAGGTCTCCGGAGACAACTATGCTCAAGATATTGTGACGCTTGTGGAAGGTGCCCAAGTCGAGATTGTAGCCTTGATTGACGAAGTCAAGTTCGTTTTACGAGCCTACCATGGACATCTGTCGCATCTCACCTCGGCTGAACGTAACCGTCTCGAATATGAACTGGAAAACGTCAAGGCTTCGTTGATTGCTACCATCATCCAATACAAGACCTGCGCTCAGCAATCGAATGTTTCCAAGGAAGATATTCTGCGCTACACCCAGATCTCGTTTGGTAGCGAAAATGAGAAGTTGGTCTTGAGCGAATTGGAAGAAATGAAGATCAAGATTGTCGGTGTCACCGTTACTGAGAGCAAGAAGGTCGAAGCTGTGATTGAAAACGAGTCCTCTACCATTACCTCCAGCACTCAAGAATCCGTGGTCCAAGCCAAGAAGGAAGAGGTCGTGGTTGAAACCGAAAAACCCAAGGTGGCCATTGAAACCAAGGTCCAACAAGTCGTTGATCAAGGCCAAAAGGGTGGACAGGTGGTTTCTGAAATCAAGCATGAAGCGGTTGTTGAGAAAGACCAAGTTCAGCAAGTCGTTTCTGAAACCAAGACATCGCAAGTCATTGCCCATAATCAAAAGGAAGCCAAGGAGACCGAGGTGGTAACTGAAGTTGTTACTGGTGCAGTCGATGTTGTATGTGAAGCTGGTCAAACGGTATCTGTCGAAAAGAAACAAGAAGATGTTGTTGACACAAAGAAGCAACAAGTCATCGTTGAAGAAAAGAAGCACCAAATCGTTGTTGGCGATCAGAAAGATCACGTTGTCACTGGTGGTGGAGCGATCCAGGTTGTTACTGGTGACAAGTCTCAGCAAGTCATCATCGAAGATAAGCAGCACAAAGTGACGGGTAAGTTACAAGGATTTTTTTTGAAACAGGTTGAGAAGGAAGAGAGAAATTGTACTCACACATTCCAAAAAATGTTAGACAACGTGGTCAAGAAACCAACTCAAGTTGTATCGGAGCAAAAGTCGGAAGGCAAAAAGATTGCCGTGGCCGCCGGTGCGTCTGTTGCCCTTGGCGCTGCCGCTGCCGCTGTTGCGTCCGCTGCTATTCGTCATCACCATCAAGAAAAGGACACTCAAGGATTAACCGAAGTCTCTACCGGAACGTCCGCTGTGATTGGTACTCAACCCTCGACAGCCATCCATGCTCACGATCATGAAGAAAAGTTGGTCGTCATCCTTGAAGAAACCAAGGTCACTGTTCAACAGTGGTTCAGCCGCCTGACAGAAAAGATTGTTGCCCGTACCAATCAAGGCGGAGAGAACGTATCTCAGGACATTGATCTTATCGTTGTCGAAGCTTTGGAAGAATTCTCTGTGACCATTGAGAAAGCCAAGCAATCGGCCAAGGTGTCCGCTGGTACTTCGCAAACCACCGTGCATGAAAGCTTGACGTCCATTCGAACCACCGTGTGGCAACAAGTGACCGAGTTCAAACAGACCGTTCCATCATCCTCGCAAGAAGCTGAACAAAAATTGGCCAGCATCAAACAGTCCTTGTTGACTCACTTTGAAACCGCCGTTGAAGAGTGCAAGGATGTGATTCCGGTGATTCCACGCAGAAAGTCATCCTTGACCATTGGCAAGACCATGTCTGAAAAGACGCACAAGGTTCAATCCCAGATCGCAGTTGTGGTTGAAGAGACCAAGGTGTATGTTCAAGAATGGTTCCGTCGTTTAACCGACCGTGTTTCTCAACGCGTCCAGCAAGGAGGTGACAATGTCTCGGCTGACGTGGCCCTGATTATTTCCGAAGCCCGTCAGGAAATCACGGTGATTACCGAAAATTCCAAGTCCAAGCTTCAGTCCAAGGTCGATGTCACATCCACCACCAATGCTTCTGAGCTTTTGATCATCCAAGAGGCACAAAAGAAGATGGATGTGACCATTACCCAGGTTCAAGAAAGTGTTCTTGTCAAGGTGACCGAGGTGGAACAAATCGCATTGGAGTCCGATTCGGCTACGGTTTCCGAGAAACTGTCCGTCGTCTGTCAAGAAACGACCGAGAAGATTCACACCTCATTGACCATGTCTGAAAAGCTCATTGAACACCATCTCGATGTCGTCGCCGAGTCCTCTGTTACTGAGGAGGTGGAGCATCAACAGGAATCCGAATCTGGTGCCGTGGTGGTTGTGCCTGCCAAGCAGCAGCAAGTCGAGAACGTCACCCAAGAGACAATTGTGCAAGCCACGACTTCGGAGACTGCATTGAATGTTGTGGTGACCACTTCGCATCGTGTCTCGAGCTCCGTTTCTGCGTTGATCGAACAGATCCATGTTCGCATGTCCCATGGTACCGCCAACCTTGAGGAAGATATTGCCAAGTATATTGCTGCTACTGAGCATGAACTGCAGGTCATCTGTGAGGGTGCAGAACACAGCTTGGGCGACTTTTCCGAGAAGCAGCAGTTTATCGCGGTGATCCAATCCATCAAAGCTTCCACCATTTCGCGTGTGTCCCAGGTCAAGCATGTCGTTGTTGTCAACGTGGATCACAAGCTTGTGAATGAAAAGTTGTTGAAGATCTCTGAAGAAGCATCCCACGAAATCTTTGCCCATGTTGAATCGATCAAGCAAACCGTTCACGTCCAGAAGCACGGTACCACGATCAAGATCATTCCCACTCAGCCGCAGGAGGTCGCTAAGGTTGAGAAGCCTCAAGAGATCCACAAAGACGACCATGAGTCCCATTTGGCCAAGAAGGTGCTTATTGGATCCGCCGCCGTGGCTGCCGGTACTGCCATAGCTGTGGAAGTGGCCAAGAAGTTGAAGCAACACAAGGAACAGGAGGAAAAGAAGCACTCTGTTATTGTGGTGGGTCAACAAGGTACAACCGAGTCGTCCGCAACCAACGTCATCGTGGTCACCGAAGTCGACAAGGTCAAGGTCCAGTTTACCGAATGGTTCAGGCGGTTCACGTCTGCCGTTACTTCACAGGAATCCATCACAGATGAGAAGCAATTGACCATTGTTATTCAGCAATACCGTGAAGAATTCTTGAAGATTACGCAAGCCTCGAAAGCCAACGTCCAGTTGAAGGAACAGCACAAGACTTTGGTTTGGGTTGAGGAAACAGTCCTTGCTCAGATCACCCGTATCCAAGAAATGACGTTGCAGGCCAAGACTCAGGGTGTCATTGATGTTCACTCTCGCTTGGAAGTTTTGAAGATTGTTACCGAACAAGAAGTCGGTGCCGCTCTGGATCAATGCAAGTCTGCCAGCCACAGTTGGGTTGCCGTCACCGTGGAGCAATTGAAGCTCAAGGAGAATGCTTTGCTCGACATCAAATCGGAGATGGCGCTCGTTACCCAGGATGCCAAAGCTACTTTGACCACTTGCATTCAAGACCTTGTGGCTCGTGTTACGCTTCGTATTCAGCAAGGTGGTTCCAACGTTTACGAAGATGTCAAGGTGATTATCGAGCAAGGCCGTCAGCAACTGGTGACTCGCGCAGAGCAGGTTCAAGTGACTGCTTCGAAGCGTCTTTCGGCTTTCCAAACCAAGACCACCGTCGTCGTGGGTACTGCTGCTTTGGCTGGCATTGCTACCGCTGAATTGAGCCATGTTCTCAAGGAAACCGAAACCACGCTCAAGTACAAGATGGAACATATCGACGCTTGCGTGAAGCACGACCAGAGTTCCACTGTCTTGGAAAAGATTTCCGCTATTCAGCATGAAACGACCGTTCACATCCACGACAGTATCGACAAATGCAAGCACAACTTTGTTTCTTCCGTTTCCAAGCACCATGAAGAAGGCCACGTTGTCACTGGTCACCAGCAAGTGCAGGTGATTGAACAGCAGCCCGTTGCCCAGGTTTCCGTTACGGTTCACGAGGTCAAGGTGACCATCCGAGAATGGCTCCACTCTTTGGCTGAGAAGGTCTCGGTTATCGTCAAGCAAGACAAACCAAACACCCAACAGGAAATTGATCTCTTGATTACCAAGGAAACCGAACTCATGACACAGCATTTGGAATTGTCCAATACCAAGATCACCGAATCGCTCAAGTCCCAAACTGAAATTGAAGCTTGGCACGCCACGTTCGAATCGGTGAAGACGACGATTGTTCAGAGTGCTACCGAAATTAAGACGGTGAGTGCCCACGTCTGTGACAAGTCTCGCACGGATACTGGCTTGGAACAAATTACCTCGGTTATTGCTGTGAACGAGCAACGCATCAGCGAAGTGCTTGTCCATTACGAACAGAGCGTTACTGTTGTTGAAACTGTTGAGTCTCACAAGGAAACGGAGCAGAAGCACGGATCCCAGACCATCGTTGCCGGAAAGACCGACACCAAGACCGAAACCAAGACTGACTCCAAGGTCGACGATTCATCGAAGAAGACAGAAGGAGCCGTCGTTGTTACTGTTGTGTTTGTAGAGCACGTCAAGTCAACCATCCATTCCTGGCTCTACAAGTTAATGGAAGCTGTCTCTACTTGCAGCAAGAAGGGTGGATCTACCGAAGACATCAACGCTATTGTTGTGCGTGCCAAAAAGACCCTCACTGTTGAATTTGATTGCGTGACCAAGTGTGTTAGCCAACAAGAACGCAACTCTCTTGAATGGATCCGTGGTGTCGCTCTTCAAGGTGCCCTTCAAATTCAGCAAATCGGTGTCCAGTCCGTTGCCGCCAAGAGCAAAACCGGTGGCTTTGAAGCCATGAAGCCACTTGTGGATAGCATCCTTACCCAAATCGACGTGGTCATCCATCAATGTGATTCCAAGTTGAAGATTACATTACAAAAGATTGGTTCAGTAAGTATAAAACTTGTATTTCATTGTTGGAAGAAGTTCTCATCGTTTTTTTTTTTTGTAGCATGATGTCAAGCAATCCAAGGACGAGAAGAAAACCACCGTCAAGGGTGACAAGAAGCACGATGGACGTGACGAAAAGAAATCCAAATGTGATAAATCCAATAAAAAGGTGAGCGAATACCTATTCGTAATTTGTCTTGATCAGCCCACTCACTCAAAAATTTTATTAACACAAGGATGATGACTCGGATTCTTCCGATGATGAGAAGAAACATGACAAGAAGAAGCATGACATGAAGAAGCATGACGAAAAGAAACATGATGAGAAAAAGTCCAAGAAGGAGCATGAAAAGAATGTAAGTACGCGATACTCTTCATATTTTTGGGGTATACTAAGAGAGGCGGTTGCTTTATCTTTCCAGGAAAAGAAGGAGTCTCATCATGCATCCGGTGAAGCTGCTATTGCCATCATTCACCATGATGAACAGAAGCAAGCTGGCAAGATTACAACCGTTACCAGTGACTCCATTGCTTCGCTTCACGTGGTGATTCAACAGTGGTTCGAAGCCCTGATGTCCAATGTCTCTTCTATTGTTCAGGCTGGTGGTAGTAAAGCCAACGAGGAAATCCAAGTCACCGTTGAAGAAGCTACCGTGAAGATCACCGAAATTCTCAAAGTGGCCGATGTCAAGGCAGAAGGTTGTTTCACCAACAAGTCCTCGCTTCAGCAATACCGTGCTTCCTTGCAATGGGCTCGCAACTTGGTTATCCAAGGATCACTTCAGGTCAAGGCGATTGCTTTGAATGCCACGGCCTCTTCATCGCGTGTCAACATCATGCCTCAGTTGCGTCCTTTGGTTGGCTCTATTCAGGTCCAGATCGACACCGAACTTTCCAAGTACAAGCTGGATCTGATCCATGTGGATGAATCGCATGCCGTCCAACAAAAGAAGGCCGAAGAAAAGATTGACGATTGCCGTAAATCGGCTGAAAAGAAGAAACATCAATGCACTGATATCAAAGCGCGTGTACCCGACTTGTTGGAAGAAGCTACCGTAGTAATCATTGGCTCGCTTACCGCTTTGGTTGATAAAATCTCTGTGCGTTGCAAGCAGAACGAAGACCACTTAGAACAAGACGTCAATGTCATTATCGTTCAAGGTCGTCAAGAATTGAACCAGGCCATTCAAAAAGCGCAGGAATCCGTGTTTGCCAAGCTCCAAACCGAGGAGCATGATGAAACCGTGTCTGTTATTCGTACCCGAATTGAGGAAAGCTTCAAAACCATCCAAGTTTCGGTGAATCAGCAAGTGGTGGAAATTCAGAACACTGCATGCACTCACAAGACTAACAGCGTTGTCGTTGAGAAGTTGACCGGTATTCTGGAAAAGAGCAAGACTGAAATTCATCATGCGGTGACCACCGTTCACAAGGAATCCACCGAGATTTTGGAAACTGCCCATTCCCACGCCGAGGCAACGGTGACCATTGTAGACACCGTGGACATTGTCAAGCAAAAGATCATCTCTTGGTATGCTCGCCTTGAACATGAAATAACGGTGATCCTTGGCAGTGATGAGAAGGATAAGGAATCCAAGGTGAAACTGTTGATCAACGAAGCCCAGGTTGACATTGGCCGTCTTATTCACGAGTCGAAGCAAAGCGTCCACTCTGGTTCCGCCGTCATTCGCAAGACTTCAGGCCATGTATCTCAAGAAGACTTGATTGCTACTCTCGATTGGCTCCATACTCAGGTCAATGCCGAGGTTGAAGAAATCCGCGTGATCGGTATCCAGGCCACCAAGGATCACAGTGTTGATGTCAAGACTGCCATTACCAGCATCACTCACAAGTCGCAAAAGAAGATCGAGACGGCTCTCAATCATTCCACTGCCTTGGTCGTCGGTATGGCCGCGGCTGCTGCTATCACATTGCACCATGACGAAAAATCCAACAACTGGACGGTCGATGTCAAGGAGAACGTAACCGTGATTTCCGATTGGTTCAAGATCGTGACACAAAAGATTTCCGGCTGTGTGAAGCAAGGCGGCAACGTGGCTCACAACGTAGACTTGACGGCGCATCAAGCTGAAGAAGAAATTGCCGAAATTATCAGCCAAGCTCGCATTGACTTCCGCAAACGCTTATCCGACCAGAAGCAACTCGACCAAGCCGCGCTCAAGTATGCTTGTGAGCATTATGAGCACAGCCTTGAAGCCGTACGTGTGGCCATCACGGCGGAAATCGCCGAAGTCAAGAAGACCGCTCTCGAAGTGCATGCTTCCGGTGAAATTGTGGAGCTCGACGAGAAATTGACCAAGATTACCCAAGAATCTACGGAACGCATCAAGATCGAGATGGGATCTACCGTCACCATCAGTGAGAAGAAGACCGCCCACGGTGCGCCGCAAAAGGGATCCCTGGTGGAAATCGCTATCGACGAGAAAGAAGATGCCATCGTGGTAGGATCCGAAGATATTGCTGCAGGTCACGAAGAAACCACGGTTGAGATTACTCACGGCAAGGATGAAAAGAAGGCTCAAACCATCGTCGTCGGTTCGGGTGCCAACACGGGTGCTACTCACACGATTGTTGTCAAGAACCAACCGCACACCATTTCGCAAGGTAAGAGGGGAAAAGGGAATGCCATGGCGGTTTATAAAACAAAGACGCTCATTTACGTTTCTTGTTGTAGTTGATATTACCGAAACCGTGACCGAGGTCAAGACGCAAGTCACTCAGTGCTCTACCACTCTTATTGAGAAGCTGTCTCAACAAATCAAGCAGACGGATGTCTCATCGGTCAAGAACGTCAAAGTGGTAGTTCAGGAGACTCGCGTGGAGATTGAAAAACTCATCGCTGCACACAAGTCCAAATTGGAAACCTGGGTCACCTATGGTGTTGTCTCGGCAACCGCTGTATCTACCTTCAAGGCTACCCTGGAGTGGATTGCGTCGTTGATGTTGGAAGAAACCAACAAGATCGAAGCCATGGCTATCCAGTCGGTGGAAGGAAAGACGGATCTCGTTCAACAGATGCAAGAGGTTGTGGTATCAACCGAACAGCAGGTTCACACTGAGCTTGATCGTATCCATGTCACCGTCAAGGAGCAATACCACAAGGATACCACCGTCATGCATGAGAAGTTGGAAACTATTCTCAAGAGCACGCAAGACACCAAAACTTATATTGTTCGCTGGGTTGCAAGCTTGAATGAAAAGGTCAAGGCTCGAATTGAACAAGGCGGTCCTTCCGTTCATGAAGATACTCTGGCGATTATCAAGGAGGAAGAATCCAAGGTTATGTCCGTGATTGACAAGACCAAGACCCAAGTGTCGTCGTCGATTTCCACTGTGCAATACCAGGAAATTTCCGCATCCCTTGAACAGGTGCAAACGGTTGTTATCTCTCATGTTCATTCCTTGGAGTCAACTTTATCTCAAGGATCTGTCACCGAGAAGATTACCGCCATTGACAAGTTGAATGAATCCACATGCCATACAGTGACCGAGAAACTGACGATTGTCGAAGAAACCGTCTGCAAGCACAAGCACGAAACCTATACCGTGATTGCTGGTCAGCAATCCACCACGGACAAGGTGTCGCAAGTTGTTGTTGTCGGCCAGAAACCCACCACGGACAAGGTATCGCAAGTCATCGTCGTCGGCCAGCAACCTACCACTGACAAGGTGTCCCAAACCGTCGTTGTCGGTCATCAAGAGACAAAGACCGAGGCCCATGAAAGTGACAAGCATCAAGCAACCACCATTGTGGTCGGTCAAAAGCCGGCTGCAAAGACCGATGTTGTGGTTGGCCACGAAGCTGAACATATCAAGGTAGAAGGTTCCCACAAGCAACAAGAGTCTCACAAGCAAGAAGAAGAAAAGTCCCATCACGGTGTTTCTATGGGTGCTATTGTTGCCGGTTCACTCGCTATTGGTGGTGCCACTGCGGTTGCTGCTGGTGTCATTGCTCATCACAAGCATCAGAAGCAAGAAGAACACAAGGAGCAAGCTCATCAACAACAGCAAAGCACGAGCCAGCAAACGGGATCCATGTCTGCTATCCATGTGGTTGCTGGTGAACAAGCACACGACCAAACCAAGGTAACCACCGAAGGTGAAAAGCATACCGTGGTAATTCACGCTGGCGAGTCCGAACAAAAAATGTGCAAGCCATCGGAACAATCTCACGATGAGGTCAAGAAACAAGGCGAGCTTCATACCGTGGTTATCAAGACCGGTTCCCCTACCACGGTCACTCAACCTGTCAATGTGCAAGTTGGAAGCGACAAGACTTCAGAACAGGTTGCAATTCACCTTGAACATCAAGACCAGCAATCCAGCGAGAAGCAGGGTGAGAAACACACCATCATCATCAAGCCGGGCTCATCGGGTGCCATCGTTCAAGAAGCCGAAACGAAGACGCAAATTGTCTTGACCTACAACAGCGCCTCCGAGACTATTGAAAGTACCAAGATCGCCGTGACTCAGTGGTTCCACGAATTGACGATCAAGGTCTCCGCCTGTGCCAAAGCAGGAAACAAGGAAGAGGTCAAGGTGGTGACCGAAGAAGCTCGAAAGCAACTGGTGAACATCATTGTTCGCGCCAAATCTTCCGGTGCCAAGCATAGTGCTTCTTTCAACGATTACGCTCATTACATTGGCAAGATTGAATGGATCTATTCCGTTGCATCTACTCAGGTAACCGAAATTGAAGAAGCCGGTGTCCTCGCTGCTACAAAGAAGGTCGATATCACGGAGCAAATTCAAACGGTGGCCATCGCTACTTGTCATCAGATCGAAGTCACCCTAGAGCAACTCAAGTCCACATTGCGCGCTACGGTGACCGCCACCAAACAACAAGTGACGGAACTCGACTCTCATAAGCAAGCCTCTGCGGTGGTGATCATTGAAGAAACCCGTGCATCTGCCATGACCTGGTTTGCCGAACTTTCCTCCCGATTGTCCGAACGAATCAAGCAAGGTGGTGCGAATGTCCAGCAAGATGTCGTCCAAATCATTGAATCGGCCGAACAGCAGATCGAAGGTATCCTCAGTGCAAGCAAGGTGAACGACGAAGTGATCCGACATCAGGTGTCTGGTGCTCTCAGCATCGTTCGCGATACGTTGAGAGCTCAGATTATTACCGTGAAACGATTGGTGACTCATGCTAAGCATTCCATTGTGGAGAACGACGAACGCGACAAGATCCTCTCGGCCTGCGAAGTTTCCAAGCATAGCATTCAAACCGCTTTTGCTTCAGCAGTCAGTGTGATCAATCACAAGAGTAAGTCAATAACGATAGGTCATAAAAAACATTCAAACATACTAATATTGATTTTTTTTGTTTAGCAACTGATGTGCAACAAGGCCAAACCCATACGGTTATCATCCATGTGGATCAAGATAAGCATCAAGCTTCCCAGGCCGTCATTGCTGCTCAACTGGTCAATCAAGAATCCGTGACCATTGTTACTTCTGCTAGCCAAAATGTCCAAACTTGGTATATTCATCTCAAGGACAAGTTGCTGCAACTCTCGGAACGCAACGAATGGAATGAAGAGCGCACCAGCGCTGTGATCAGTCAATCGGAGCTGGAACTTAAAACCATGTTGAATGAATACGAGAACAAGTGCCGTTCCGATACCCATTTGAAGATCTTTTACGAACATTTGCGCACTACGGTCGAAAACCAGTTGCAGACGGTCAAGTATGAAGTGTCCCATAACAAGACCATCATCAAGACTTCTTTAGACACTATTGAAACGAAATTGATTCAAGAGGTGACTACTCATGTCGATGCCATCAAGCACATTACTGTCTCCGCCGACAAGAAGAAGGATGATGAACATCGCCAAGACAAGATTTCCACCGTTGAAAAAGTCGCTATTGGTTCTGCAGCTATCGCCTCGGCCGCTGCTGTGGCTGTTGGTATCCATCACAGCCACGACAAGGAAAAACATGAAGCCAAGTCCCAAAAGGTGCAGCTCGTTGCGAAGAATCAGGTTCACACTGTCAAAGTCAAGATTGACGAATGGTATACCCGACTCATCGAGAAAGTCACGGTTCGCACTCAGCAAGGTGGCGATAACACGGCTCACGATATCACGGTGATTACTCAAGAAGCTCAAGTCGAGTTGGACTCCATTATCTCGGAATGCAAGTCAAACATCACTACTGTCTCTTCGCAGCAGCAAGTTACCGAAGAACGTACCTTTACTACAACGCTCGAATGGATCCGTACCACCGCTACCACTCAGGTGACGGAAATTCAAACCATCGTCAAGCATAGCGACAGTGCTATTGATGTGAAGCAGCAAATTGAAAACTTGACTTTGGCATCCAAGAAGCAAGTGGACAATGCCCTCGAACTTCATATTGATGAAACCGTTGTCCAGGTGGTGGAAGATTTGGAAGTCGTCGGTTCCATTGACGTTGAAAAGCAGACAAAGGTACAGAAGACCAAGGTGACGATCGTTGAAGAAACCAAGGAGGAAGCCAGGGAACGTGTACGCAAGGACCTGCAAGTCGTGACGGTGGAAATTAAGAACCGTTTGGCTCTCCGTCTCGATGTACTGGTCAAGGACATTCGTGTGGTTATCCAGCAAGGCGGTAACGATGTTCAAGAAGAAGTGACGAAACTAGTGGCTGCCGCCGAGAGCGAAATCGATATCTTGATCAAGGAATTCAAGGCTCAATTTATCAGTTCCGGCAAGACTTCGGAGACGACTCACACTAGGACCGAAATTGCTTGTCTCGTCACCAAGGCCCACAAGCAGTCGTTGGATTGTCTCGACAGTCTCAAGGCCACCGTGATGATGAAGCTTTCCCTTATCCGCAAATTGGTCCTCCGCATCCGCGTCGAAGAACTCATCACCATTGACGAGCAGATCTCTGCCATTGTGGTGCGCACCAAGAAGCATATCTATCACGTCCTTGAACACTCCACCGAAACGGCTATTACAACTGCTTTTGATAGTAACGTTGTCACCTGGGTTGAAACCACGGAACTCCCTGTCGCTTTCAGCAAGGCCCGTGTGTTTGCTTTTGACTTGCCTGGTACCATTGTCGATTATCAGCTCTCCATTTCCAAGGCCCTTCGTGATCGCGAACTGTTCCAAGGCGTGGATACCGATGCATTTGTTGCTCAATGGTACGCTGGTTATTTGAAGCAGAAGGAGACATCCCTTGAAGCCTTTGACGATGAAATCCTCCAAAGTGTCCTTGTTCAACTCTTGCAATCTCATTCGAAACAGTATTGTGACGCTGATCTCCAAGTCCTTTGCGGTCTTTGGCACGAACTCAATGCCTTTGACGATGCTATGGTGGGTGTTCGCCGGTTGAAACAGCACAACATGAAGACGGTCGCTTTCTCGCATGTCCTTTCCACAAGCACGATGGTCGACCTTGCGCAGCACGCCTGCCTTTGCTGGCACGCTCAGTTCAGCTCCGAAATGTTCCATGATCACAAGGTTGACTCGATGATTGCTGGAACAGCCAAACTTCTTCGTGTCAAGTCGGACGAATTGGTGATTGTCTCTGCCAACCCTACTGTGCTTAACGCGGCCAAGAACCAAGGTGCTCAAACCGTCCTCATCACCCGTAACGAAGAAACGACACACCATGAATATGGTATCGTTCTCGATGGCATCGATATGTTGGCCGAAAGCTTCGAAGCACTCTTGGAACATCAAACTGTTCATCAAACCGAAAGTCAAACCAACCAACATCGCTCGCTATTCCAAAGAATCAAATCCACCGCTGCTGAGGAACGTATATAGTTTTTTAAAAGAGTTTGGACAATACATCAGTAAATAGTTTAGCTATTGAATTTGTGATGTGGAATTTTTACAAGTGAATAAAAAATGCGATGAATGTATTATTATAAATGCTTCTTTTTTTTCATGATGGTATCTCTGATAAAGTTTTCGAAACTATGCCGCACTTAGGATGGTCCCTCATCCATTGCCAAAGATCTCACTGCGTTCCATTGATATACTTCGATTGTTTGATTCAGTAGACCGAGAATGAGTTCGTCTTGACCATCTGCATTGACATCTCCAAATGTAACGACATGCGGCCAATCTGAGGTTTCTATTGTCGCTACTGGCTGTAACATTAATTTGTACTGGTTAGTATCGCGACAGGCGAACGATGACCATCATACAACTTACTTGGCCGTCTTTGTATACGTGAACGGTATTAGAATGGCCGACGCAGACAACGAGATCGGTATCATGATCACCAAGACAACGAGGTCGAAAACCGACAACTTTGTTCAGACAGAAACCAACCTTGAACCACCGATAGATCTGTGAATCAATTCCAAAAAGAAAAGAAAACATAAAAGTTGGAAAAATGGTCATTGACAGTGATGTATCGATCATACCTCATAGTTCACCATGATATAGACATAACCATCTTGACCAGCCAGCAGCACTTGGCAACTATCTAATTTTGTTGCCCCGTTTCCTGTTTTTTGCGTTTTTGTAGGAGTGGTTACGAAATTTTTCATTGTTTCAGTATTAAGGAAATGGCCTGCACATATCTATAGCGATGCAAATGAGTATCTTTATTGGTGGATTTCAAAGTAGCTCAAGCAACACTTACTGAACGGACAACAGTGGGTACTCGTAGACTTTGAATTCGCTCTCCATCCTGAATAAAGTGTATAAACGGATAACCATCGCATACCAACAAGCAAGACATTTCCATGCCGAAACAGTCTGTCAAAGTGGCAGATAGGATGCATCGAATAAAAGGTGAACGTCGTCCTTTCTATCATTATTATATGCGGTGAGTTTTGTCTGTGTGTCACGTCATGAGTATTGCTTGTTCCTGCAGGTACCATTCCTAGAGTGGCCAGCTTGGCGGATTCCTCTGCCACATTCAACTTCCACAGAGCATCGTATTGTTGAAAACTGGTGACTGTACCGCTGTTGTCCCCGGCAACAATCTCATAGCCGCTCACTATAGTGATAAAAAGGAGCTCCGTTAGTATGCGTTGTCTCAACAATGCCTACTCTCAGGTGGGAACTTGCCAAGATCTTTATGAATTTGAATCTGGGTCACTGATGCACCGAGATCGCGTTTACTGAGAATTTGCTGTCGGGAGAAAAGCGTAATCACACCCCCCGAATCGCCCACCACCAGATCGGTCGCACCATATCCTGTAAGATCATAGAGCTGCAATGCTTGTATGGAAGCACCTTTTGTCTCTAGTAAGCATTCCACTGGCTATCACAAGGACATATGAATTTTTGGATAGCTCATGTATCGTTTATGTGGATACTATACCTTTGTTTGATTAAGAATGAGGACACGTCCAGCAGTTGTACCAATAAGCAGGTCATTTTCTTCGCTCAAATCATCCAGAAATGGTTTACCAACTACCACACAATTGATGGAGTCTTCAAGTTTACTGGACCATAATTTGTTGAACTGAAAGTGCCATGCTTTCTCATTAGCACACGACATGGCCGCTCAAAGAAGACAAGCTACAATAGGAAATGGCGGGAGTGGAAATTTCACCTTTTTTCTTTTCACTGCGAGCGGTTCAATGCAGACCCGCTGTCTTATTCATCGTTCCGTTCGTAATATTGATATACGAGAAACAGCCCAAAACGTACAAAAATGAACATTCAAAAGTTCACAAAAATGGTGTATTTTCGTCAATCATAATCGATTTCAGAACAGGATTTCTATTTACACATACCACGACGTTTTCTGTCTTTTTTTTTCTTTTCTTTTTGAACTATAGGTATTAAACTAATTGTAGTATGGAGATGCTGGATAATAGAAATATTGACCATCATAACTTACACCTGCCGGTGGATGTTGTTGCGTTGAGGGGACGGTCTGATGGTCTGCTGCTGAGTCTCTAGAATCGTTGGGTCCTGCAGATTGCCCGCTGCCGGTATCGTGTGCCGTATGATCGGGAGCGATACCCCAACCTTCATCTGCTTCTTCGTATTCTACAGGTTGACTGGCAGGATCCAAACCGAGCGTATGTGGTGACGGGCTTCCGGTAGCTGTATGCATGGGAACCGGTGCAGGATAGTAGTAGTAAGGGTACATCGTTGACGCATCCATGCCATAATAGACCATGCCGTTGGCTTCAAAACCGCCAGGAGGTGCCCCCGCGCTCGAGACCATGGGTGCTGAAGAAGCCGCCTGATAGGGACTATTATCGCCAGTCGTTGGCACGGTCATCGGTTGGAAAGGCATAGCATACATCGGCATTGGCATTGGTCCGCCTCCAGGGGCCATACCTGGCATTAACGGTACATACGCAATGGCAGAACCGTTGCCAGCCATCATCGGAGCCTGTTGGTAGAAAAATGGCGGCTGTCCCATGGGCTGCATCTGAGAATGCGAAGGCGTACTCGATCTTACGCTACCCGCAGGACTGCCATCGGTATCCGTGTCCCGCCGGCGCCAATCATCATCATAACCGGGTCTTCGCTGACTGCGCGGACTGGATTTCGGTTGATCCCAAGTAGCCACCGGTCGATTGCTGGGTGAACGTTGCATCGGTTTACCACGACGGGGTTGATTCGACCCCCTGGATGGACGGCTTTTTCGATCGTTTTCTTGAATTTCAACACCAGGTGGTGGAGTGGGAATACCAAGAATCTGTGCGGCCTTGCCCCATCCAGCATCGCTTTCCGCTTCCAGGATAATTTCTACATCAGAGTCTTCTTCGCCCTCATTTTGGTCTTGCAATGGCTGCTCGGGGGCGGCGTCAGTTTCCGGAACCATCCACGTTGCCTCCACAGATGATGCGGGCGCAGGGATCGTTCCCCATGACGAAGTATCAGCTTGGGTCACCGGTACAACCGGTTCTGAAACAGGCTTCTTCTGTGAAAGATACCCACGACCTTTTCGTTGTTGTTGCTGGCGCGACTGCTTCGAAGATTTATTCCATTGGCTCCATTCATTCGATGCTTTATCGTCTTTTCGGTCACGCCAGTTACTCTTTTGGGTCGTTTGGTTGCTTCTTCCAGCATCAAAGGATTCCGTACCGACTTGGCCCCAAGAGGAACCGTTCTCTGCAGAAGTGCCCCAGCCATCAGTGTTGTTCCATCCAGCAGCTTCACCTTGCAAAGTTCCTAGGTCGCCCCAACCATTGGTAGCCGGCGCATCGTTGATTGGCTTCTTCTCTTCTGCTGTAGCCATTGCTGCTGCTGCACCGTCAGCCACAGGCCATCCGTTCTCCTTTGCGGCTTCAGTGTCTACCACTGGCCAGCCATTCTCAGCAGCTGCTTTGGCCTCGTCAACCACTGCCCATCCATTCTCAAGAGCTGGCTTGGAAACCTGAGGAACTGCCTGTTTGGTCTCTTTCGGTAACGATGCGGTTTCTGTCGATCCCCATCCAGATTTCTCGACATTTTTGGTTGTATCAGCCGACGGTGGCCATGCTTCCGCGCTTGCCTTGGATTCTTTGGGAGTCGACCAACCGTTTTCCTTCACAGAATCACCCTCCGCGAGCATCGACCATCCATTCTCAGTAGTCACCGGTTTCGTGTCTTCTGTGGGCCAACCATTATCGTTCAGGGCTGCCGTCGGTCCCCAGCCCGCATTTTCAACAGGAACTTGAATCTCACCCCATCCCGCAGAATCAGTCTTGACATCGCCTGAATTATCAGTTTGGACATTTTGCTCATCAAGTGCCTTTGCTTTGTTGACCGCTGGTTTGGCATGCGACATCTTATTTCCGTGAGATGACGGAGACTGCTTGTTGAAGCTGGAAGCACCGCGTGGTTTCTCTCCTCTAGAAGCTCTGCTTCTTCCAGTGGCCGCCGGCTTTTTGGCGCTCCCAAATTGATCTTTCGCCGCGGTACTGGTATTGGTGACTCCGAATTGGTCGTCATTCCAGCTGTCATATTGTGCTTGTACAGCCGGTGCACCCCAACCGTCTTCAGCCGGTGGTGCTGCTGATGCAGGTAAGCTCCCCCATGATGAATCCTCTGCAACAACAGGGTCCACTGTTCCGGAGGTCACGGGCTTGCTCTCCTTTTCAACGTCACCCCATCCATCCGGCGTTGCCTCTTGTACTGTGTTGGGATTGTCTGAAGATTTGACTTCAGTAAGGGTATTCGCCGATGTCATTGCAGAAACTAACTCAGGCCACTCTTCAACAATAGGCGCGGATTTGGTGCTGATATTTTGCCACTGTTGATTGGCAGTTTCTCCATCCACTTTGCGACGTGTATCCCGGCTGCGATAGCGATGTGTCCCTGGGGAGTGCTGTGACCTCATTTCCCTTCGTTCTGCGCCATTTCGTCGGTTACGTTCCTCTTGTTCTTCTAAGCGCATCAATTCTTCAAACCCGTCGTGGGTCCACCGTTGGCTAAGCAATGTCTCGATTTCTTCTGGTGTACGCCCGTTCCTCAGCATGGTTCTTCGACCATGGCGTAAGCGAGAATCTTGTGCTTGCGGTGACAGCATCGCTTTTTCAAAGGCATGTTCTGAGCTTGTTCTTAATGTATCTTCTCTGTAACGATCATCGTGACCCCAAAATTGCCCTACATATGGAACAAAACTGGGATCCTGTGCGAGCTTCTTTCTGTATTCACGGTGTTCTTCGATGCGCTTTTCACGTTCTGACACGGGTTGCGCGCTTTCGGTAGGTTGACTTGTTCCATCGGATGGAGTGTAGTCTTCCATGGAACGTTGCTTTGTCATATAGTCAATTACTTCTACCGTTTCGGATTCGGACTTTCGAGGTTCGCTTGGCTGTCGTTCTGGGGATGGGGTTTGTAACGGGGCCTCTTGTTCCTCTTTCTTGCTAACCAAGTCATTATCGTCTAATCCGTCCTCATCTTTCTCTGAATTCCCCTCTTCTTCTACTTGATGCTCGTGTTCGACTTCGTCATCTTCTTCATCGTCGTCTTCGTCTTCAGTGGAACTGAAATAATCATCGTCCGCAGAATCGTCTGACGAACCGCTATGGTCGTTGTCATCATCGTCGGAGATAGCATCCGATCCAGAGTGATCATTGTCTTCATCTTCACTATACACGTTGTCTATAGTATCTTGACCTCTTCTACGTGATTTGAGAAGTTTTGACATGGTGGATAACTGCAGAAATAAAGTAGGTCCAAAACGGTTGCCTTCTCTTGCAGAAGCTGGATTGCAGGGACAACAGAGGCGTGACTGCCTCGGCTGTCGAGCTCCACCAGTAAGGGATTTCACAGGCACAGTCCAAGTTTCATGTTGCAACTGTGGTTTTTTGTGCGTCCCTATCATTGGCGTCGCTTTGTCCCATTTGCATATAATATGTTCCTATTTAAAAACTTTTTATTTGGATGCAACTTTATAGTTGTGAGTTGATATAAATTTCCATTTCCGTGTGTTAGGCTGCTCATCATTTTTGAAACTTGACTCCCATTTACCAGAGCCGTTTTAATAGACTTCCCCATCTTGCGTCAAGCCGTGAACGGCCGTTGATGTACTATCAGGTTATTTTCCTTAATCGTCTGAGGCTTCTATAAACCACTCAGGGGCGAACATGAAACGAGATTAGAAAATTTCCTAGACTTGTCCATTTTTAGCTGACGATGTTGCTTGGGAGCTTGTGCGTGTATATACAGTATATGACGAACTATTACACCTTACTGAATAACAATGAATGTAGTAGCTGTCATCAAAGAAAGCCAAAACTTGATGAATATCAACGCCATGGCGCAAAGGAGTAAAAGCCTAAAAATACACTACTATCGAAGGAAATGATAAAGCCCGGATTAACCAATGAAACCACATTTTGATTTTTTTGAATGCACGCAGGATGAAGTCCTTGGTGGATCTTGCTCCACTTCACGACTAAATTACTGCAGCTGGCTTCTTGTATGTTTCTTGTATCATTGTCCCTATTTTGATCGTGTATTGCAGTTGAGACTTTGAGGCTTTTCGTTCGGATGCAAAAAACCTCAAAAACTTCAGGTATTATCGTCCCACTTTCTTTATTTTGTTTGCTGTGTATCGCAGCTGATGTTTTGACGCTTTTCTCACGAGAAGTGCTCAAGGTAATCCGGTCTGAGAGCTTGTGAACAAACAGGAGCGTGCTGTGCCAGCTATTGTATCTTTTAAATTACGATTAGACACAAAATAAATCCACTTGAATTTATTTGGTAGTTAATGGCATTCCAAGCTATACATAACCACTCAGGCTTTTTACCAAATATGGTTCCAGAACTTACTTGCCCTTCACACCCACACCTATCCCACCAAATCCAATCTTTGACTCTCATTTGTAGTTGCGGTTTCCGTCCTCATGAATAGAAAGTGGTGATAAAAAAAAAGGAAAGAAACGGATATGATACATGTAAGTCAAGTCGTGCCTGTTTTTGCACAAAAAAAAAAAAAGAAACGGGGAAGATCCTCATCATCAAAGTAATACAAATTACCAAAGACGAACGATACGTATATAATGGGTCGAAGAGCTCGTTTCTTTGGCCTCAAGGAAACGCGTCCGCTAGAGATGACTTTCCGTCACACAAGGGCTTCTTTAATGATACGAGTCTCTGTATTTTATGGAGCAATTGATCAGCTCTTATATTTGATGTACTTTCATTATCTTCTTGTATTATCGATTACAACTGCGCGGTCGATCATCAAAAGGGAATTTATCGAACAGGGTACATGGGGCCAGTTGATCTTCCAACCCAAGGTTGGCGTGACTGTGGTCTGGTTTGTGCGCCGGTTGTGCTCACAGAGGTTGAAAAAAAAAACTCAATTTCAATGAACGACGTGGTTTCTTCACGTAAACCACCTTAAAAGCTGTATTCTATTAGTATTTTTATAGTTGTTGTAAACAGACAACCATGACCGAAAATGAGAATGATTCAAGTTTTGTCGACCTTAACCTGAGTGACCATGACGACACCGATCTTACGAGACGATTCTCCTCCACGCATCTGGACCGCCCTGCTTCTCACGACATGCAGACGCCACCACCATCCGACAGCGGCAACCCTGGGGCCTCCATCAAGGACTCCGATACCCAACTCGTAGCCGACCGATTACTGAACGACTTGTCCGAAGAGGACGCGACGTCAAAAAATGCTGCAACTTTTCCCATGAATCCACCCCAGTCAGCACCTTACACATCTCCTCCCTCCGCAAACCCCAATACTAGCCAACCCCCGCCCCATTCTCAGTATGATCAGTTTTTCGAAGAAGTATCGCTCGACCTGCCACGCGATACAGAACAAAGTCGCGAACGATCCAATTCAAGCAAATTGCTTAAATTTATGCCACGTCGTACACCGGCCATGCCAAGCTCAGACCTGTCCCTGTCGATTAATACAACCGACGCCGGTCCATTTTATTCCATTTCCGACGTACTGGATGATTCACCCTCCACAGGTTCCAAGGCAGCCGGCGCCGCCGCTGCTGCTGCTGCCGCCGCGATGGCAGCCGCGGCCTCAGGAAGAGACACCGACGGAGCAGCTGATCAAAAAGCCAATCAGCGTGGAGCGCGACGAAATATTCACGAACAGGAAGTCATTGTGACCTCTGGCGGATCATCCGTAAAGGGTATTCAGCGTCGCTCAAGGTAAAAAAAATCATTGGATGGGCGAAGAAAAAAATCACAGCGCCCTTTTTTTTTTCTTCATGCAGTGACTGATCTTTTTCCAAGTTTGAATCCATTTACTCGAACAAAAGCCACACACCATAAACCAACACCACTGGAATCCGTAATATCCAAGACACGTCCCAGGTAGCGTAGTGATGTTATTTTTATACACTGCCAATGATCCTGACATTGCACCAGAATGCTACCGCCGAAAAATCCACAGGAAGAAAAAAAGCATTTACAGCAGCATGAAGCAATGATGAAAAAAGCACTTCAACTGGGTATGAGCAAAATCTGGAAGCGTCAATGCAAGTCACTCATATGAGACATTGATTTAGAGGCAAAACGTGAGAAGGAATACCATCGACGAAAGGAGCAAAAAGACAAAAAGCTCTCGCAAGCTACGCAGATTTGGGAAAGAGATATTCTGCCTCACTGGAACACAAAGTATGTATACAACATCACGAAAAAAGATCTAGCGAGTATGTATTAAGTTGTACTATTAGATCCAAAGACAAGAAGACGCGCGAATTGTGGCTGCAAGGTATCCCTCCGCGGTGTCGTAAACGTGTCTGGTTAATCGCCATCGATAATCCGTTAAAGCTATCCAAGGGTGGGTGGTCATGGAACTTATTTACTCAATGTACGCATGTCACTTAAAATAAGGAGGGTTCACTAGATGTATTTCAGCAATGCCTGAGAAGAGTACCACAGATCCCCCGGACAACACATGCTGATGACAAAAAATATGAATATGAATCATCGACGAACATCATGAGCAATAAGCGAGCCAATGCTTCATACGAACATCAAACGTTGAACAACAACAGCGGTCACAGTGGAATGGAGCGAAGCTATTCTTCAGATGATATACAAGAAATGGAAGGTCATACTGATGAATCCTTTTACAACTTCCGACGCACCCGACGAACCAGCAGTCTAAACGTTCTACACGAAGATGAGGATAAGAAAAGCGGATCAGGTGGACTAGAAGTTCCACCTTCACCACGATCGTCTTCCGAAAGTACCACCGTGACTTATGAACTGCATCGCCCTGAAGAGAATTATGCTTCACAGGACGATCAGAATGTGGACAAAACAGATATGGGTTTCGGAGGACGAGCGGCCATGGAACTTTTATCTGAGGAGTCCTTGGACCAATACCGTAACAGTTTTGATGATTCGGTTCAAGTGGAAGACGATTATGTATTGGATGACGAGGATGAAAATGGCACCGAAGATAACGACAACTTGGAAGCTCTGGGGAGCCATCCGGACGCGACATCAGCTGATATGACCACCATTGCCTTTCTGAATAAAATGATTGATGAAGATATCCTGCGGACACTACCCAGCTTGTGCGTATTTCAGGTAAGCGTAGGTCATTGCACGCAACGGAGAAAAAATTGGTAACCTTTGCGTGATTAGCCGGATGGGCCCCTATTCTCTTCTGTACGCAAAGTGTTGCATGCTTATGTCGGTTATCAACCGACCCTGACCTATGTAAGTGAAAGACGTGTTGTGTTTGAATGCATATGTTGATGTCCTATCTTTTTCTTGTGAACCCTTACTTGCTGGTAGACCCGTGGTACCTCATTTTTGGCTGGGATGTTACTGTTGAATATGGGAACCCAGGATACTTTCCAAGCTTTGGTGAATCTGATTCACCGCAGCGACATACTGTGGTCCTTTTATCACGCAGACGAGGCTCGAGTCAAAAGTTACTTCAAAATTTTTAACGTGGTGTTCGCCGAAAACTTACCTAAACTATACCTGCATTTCAAGAACCTGGCATTAACACCTGATAACTACTTACCGGACTGGTTCATGACCATCTTCTCCTCGGTGATCCCACTGGAACTCTCTTCAAGGCTGTGGGATATCTTTTTGTTAGAGGGCGACATTGTACTTATTAGAACCGGATTGGTGGTACTGAAGTACCTGGAACCATTGCTTTGGGGTGGAGGGTTTGGGGAGACGGTTAAAATATTGAATATGGGCTTTGTGGGAGAACATCGCGGAGAAGAAGTCAGAGCTGCATTAGCTGTGAGCGGCCATATCACTCAAGGCGAACAGGATCAGTTCTTTGACGAGATCATTGGAAAGGATGGTATCCATTTGGATGATATCAAATATCGTGAACTGTATGAAGCTCACTTCATTCCTCGATAAAATCATTTTGAACCTCATGCGTCTGAAAAAAAAAAGAAAATGCATTGTGACCCCAAAAACCCTTTTCTTGACTTTGCGGAATCTGAAATGTGACCTCAGTTCAGGATGAAGTTGGGCAATCTCAAGCAGCTGCCAATTGCCAGACATTTTTCCTAAAGGAAACATCATGAAGTTAAAATCATGGTTTCCATTTCTATTTCTTTTGTATTATTTCTCGCTATTTGGTGACATTGCAGCCGAACTAGCGGTTCGATATCGTAATGAAGGATACGCTTCTCCTTACGCCAAACAGCATTCAACTGCGGCGCTCACCGAAACCTCATCTTCAGCGCCATTGATACCAACCGATTTAGTTCTCGTCTCGACGCTGGATGGTTCTATACGTGGAGTCGATCGATTAGAAGGACGAGTTTATTGGACCCTTCAGGGCGGACCTGGCGGATCCTTGATCAAGTCCAGCACGCACTTCAAAAGCCGTATGGAAGCCAGCACAGACGATGGAGACTTGCATACTTCTTCTCGAGATCCACCAATTTTCGATATCATATCTGACGATGAAGAGGACGAAAACGAGGATTATTTAAAAGATGGATACTTGGCCCTGGGCCAGCAACCATCTGCCAGCAAAAGCAAAGTGGATCATGCGCCACCCCATCGACATGTCTATTATATCGTGGAACCCAGTAACGGTGGGACACTCTATCTCTACAGTGAAGATGAACAGGGACATGTTCGCCCTTTGGAGGTAATTATGTGGCATGCTGTTTTATGAAGCATTTTTATTCATTGATAGATCGTTTTAGAAACTTCCTTTTACTGTAGAGGATATTGTCATGCTTTCACCGCATCGAACGGCTGATGGAACAACCTATATTGGCAGAAAATCAACTGTCATGATAGCTATTGATCCACGAACTGGAAAGATCTTGCAGAAATTCGATTTGTCACGTATGCATGATGTGCGCAAAATGGCGGCGGGCGGCGAATTACCTCCACATACAATATTTCTTGGAAGACACGGTAAGTGCACTCAGAAAAAGAACCTAAGAATCGAATATCAAACATTAACCAACGCTTTATCTCCTGGGATTCCCACAAAAAAAAAAGAGTACAAATTGGCGATTTTCAATGGAGACAATGAAAAATGGTGGAATGTGACATACAGCGAATTTGTACCGAACCGATTGGACTGGGATCTGCCGTTGAATAGCGCCCCAGCCGAGATTTACATTGCACCGGACGCTAGTCGCGCTGTTACTGGCATTAAAGTCTCCACAGGTGCGTACTGGATATCCATTTTTGGATATGTTCCATAGTATTAATTGTTGTGTCGCTTGCTTAGGTGACTTGATGTGGTCCCTGGATCTACCATATCCTGTGGTTTCCGTCTTTGATGTGTTCCGTCGGCCGGATTATACTATTGTTCTTTCGAAACAAGAAGCACCGCATCATACGCTGACCAAAGGAAACATTGGTAGAATGCTAAGCATGCTCAAACGAGGCGACGGACGCACCACTGCCTATGTTGGCATTCACGATGGAAGTTTGTATGCATTATCCACCGAGCGATTCCCCTTGGTACAAATTTCGCAATGGTCTTCCATCTACACCGATCTACCTCCTGGTGCGACGTGGCCAATGATTGAATCGGGCGACAAGAGAAAAACAGGCGATCCTGATCAAGACGATGATGATTCTTACCCAGAATGGCGGCCTAAACCACATTACACATGCTGTGCTGAATGTGACTATCATACAGACTGTCTCGTAGGCCAGCATGTGGTTCGCGAAAAGAAAGTTCGGCTGCCCGCCACTCTTCCTCCATCGGAGATCAGCACACCTATCGTGCTTCCTCCCGGCACATTACCTCCTGGGCCTCTATATGAGGAGCCCAAGACAGGATTCTTTTATGACGGCATGGGTAAATTCTGGAAGAGTTACGTGCTCGGTCTCGCTGTTCTACTGTATTTCAAGAGACAACAGGCGATGCAACTCTACACCATTTACGCAGCACCTATTCTGACATGGCTTGTCACCAAATTCCGCGATTATAAGTCCACCAAGCAACGTAAACCATCCAAATCGAAAAACAAAAAGCATTCCACCACACCAGCATCCTCCCAAACCTCTTCTACACCAACCTCGATACCCACCTCTGCATCTCCACCTACATCAATTGCATCCATTTCTTCAGAGCCGAAAACAGTGAAAGAATCAAATAATTCTGTTCCGTCTTCCGACGATATGCGGGGAACTTCCCATAGTCCCACGAAATCATCTTCTACGTCTCAGCAACACCAATCCTCTTCCCTTCAGTCGGACCCCACTTCCACTGCGACACAGCTCATTAGCAATCCCTTGACTACTGATACCGAAACGGCAACTGCAGGCTCTAAGGGAATCGATCTCGAAAAGTTTGAATCAAAACCCAAAGTACTATCTCTTTCCGATACGGTGCTAGGTGGGTCTTTGTTAATGGTTTAATCGAATCTGCAAATGCGTCATCGCTCTAATCAGATGATACAGGCTATGGTAGTCATGGTACAGTTGTATACGAAGGCTACTTTGACGGTCGAACAGTGGCCGTGAAACGTCTTTTGATCGACTTTTATGATATCGCTTACCAAGAAGTGAAACTACTCCAAGAGAGCGACGACCATCCCAACGTGATTCGTTACTTTTACAAGGTATGCTTCACGATGCCAAGATCGATCGATCCAATACACGGAGCAACTTAAAATTTGTCAATAGGAAGAAACAGATCGATTCTTATACATAGCTTTGGAGCTATGCTATGGGTCGCTTCACGATTTCATGGAACGATCACTTACCATACCCAATATGCAGCTTTTTGATCAAATGAATCCTGCAAATATTCTATATCAAATTATGTGCGGCATTCGGCACCTGCACTCTCTCAAAATCGTGCATCGCGATATTAAACCGCAGAATATTCTATTGGCACCCAATCGACATCGCAAGTCGGATGATCCGTCGGCACTCCGCATCCTCATTTCCGATTTTGGACTCTGTAAAAAGCTGGACGGCGAGGCAAGTAGCTTCCATTACACTGCCGCGTCTCCAGCGGGCACGTCGGGTTGGCGAGCACCGGAATTGTTGGCGGGCGCGTTATCGGCCAAAGCGACCGATACGAGTTTGAGTAGTCAAGGTGACAGACATGGTCGGCATGGGACAGATCCTAATCGTATTGGGCCTGTGAAAGCGACTCGAGCTATCGATATCTTTTCCGCCGGATGTGTTTTTTACTATGTCCTTAGTGGAGGAGAGCATCCTTTTGGTAACCGGTTTGGAAGAGAGAGCAATATCCTGAAGAACGATTACGATTTAAGCAAGCTGAAAAACATGGGCGAAGATGGAGTAGAAGTGACCGATCTCATTGAACGGATGATTCATCCCGAACCGCGGTCACGGTGAGTAGAGAATTTAGGGAGACGGTTATACCTTGAGTGTAAGCTACTGACAAAGACTTTGTCTAACCCGCTTTTTTTTTCCACAGACCAACGGCTGATATGGTATTATTGCATCCGTTCTTTTGGTCTCCAGCAAAACGGCTTGCTTTCTTGCAAGACGCGTCAGATCGGTTTGAAGTGGAGCAGCGTGATCCGCCTTCGTTACTGCTGCAACAGCTGGAAACCAATGCCGAAAGTGTGATTGGTCACGACTGGTATCGGAAGATCGACCGAGTCTTCGCCAACGATTTGGGAAAATTCAGAAAATACGATGGAAAACGCGTTCGAGATTTGTTGCGTGCTTTGAGGAACAAGGTAATCCTTTAATTTGCATAGCCACGCAAGCCATCAGAAAAAAAAAACTAACAAGAGAGAGTGTATAGAAACACCACTGGCAGGATCTACCGCCCGCTGTCAAGCGAACGTTGGGTGAACCGCCGGACAATTACCTCTATTACTTTACCGCCCGATTCCCACGTTTATTATTGCATACGTACTATGTCATTGCGAATGATGCTGCGATATCGAGCGAAGGGACATTGCGGCAATATTTCTAGAGTTTCATGTATATATAATATTTTTAAGAATCTATTCGTCCTTGATCACGGCATTGCAATGAATTTTGACTACGTCGTCCAAATTTTCCATGTCATCAAGACATTTTTCTACTAGTTCTGCGGTGTCTTTATCAGCGATTTCCATTGAACTCATCGGAATGTATGTCGCACTCATATCTTGCACTTCATATCTGTGATCCGAAAGCGCTTTGCTAATGGCGTTGAGTTGCGGAAATTCGCAAATGATCTGTCAAGAGGAATCACCCGTATGCGCATTAATGACATTTGACCTTTTGTATTTGCTCGATCATTTGAGATTACCTCCACAACGTCTTCTTCTTCTTCGATATCTTCAGCACCAGCCTCAATAGCAGCGTCCATCATTTCTTCGAAAGAATGACCAGATTCTCCCGCAGTAAATGCAATCTTTCCTTTTTTCTCGAACAAGTATCCCACAGAGGTTACAGATCCGCTAATTAAAAGTTAATTGAGGTTAATCCTTGGCCCTAATTTGTATAAAATCGGCACAGATCGATAAACTTACCCCACGCGATTTAATACTTCCTTGACATCTTTGACAGTGCGGGACTTCTTATCGGTGACCGCCTCACTAGAAAGCACAAAATAAGTCGACTGCATGATTCTATCGTCCTGCCAAACATACATTATCATCGCAATGCCTCCCGGACCCACTGCTTCATACACCATGTCTTCCAGTACGTCTTTGTTGTTTTTATCGGATGCCTAATAAATGAATTAGCTCCAATTCTTTCCTCTGGTATGTCCTCATAAACCAGCTTCTCTTACCTTTTTCATGGCATTCTCAATATTATCCTTGGGCATATTGGCTGCTCGTGCACGATTGAGTACTGTGGCTAATCGAGTGTTGATACTGGGATCAGGTCCAGCAGCTGGGCAACATGACAAGGGGTTAGCGGAATCCGTTCGTTATAAGGCCCTCCTCCGCAGACAAATAGTAGCGTACCTTTGACAGCGGAGCAAATTTCCAGCGAGATTTTGGAGTATATCTTGCTCTTCTTGGCGTCTTTGGCTCCTTTCGTGTGTTTTACTTTGCTCCATTTGTTGTGTCCCTGTGTGCAAAAAGACGAATAAATACCATCGTCGAATTTCAAATGCAATGGTTTGATTGAGCTTACAGCAAATCGTTGTTGCTGATGAAGTTGAAGCCATGCGTTGGCCAAGCATGGCTGAACATGGGATGAAGGTCGTAACCGTGCGACCGGGGCAAAACGTGCAAGACGACAAAACATGGTCAAAAAGTGAACACTTGCATCGAGAGGGAAATTTGTCAAGTCAGTCACAATAATTTTTTCCAGGCAAAGGATTCACTCCAGCACTTACAATATGATTTATTCGAAGCGAACAACATGAGTTGCTTCAGTAGATTCACACCAAACACTATGCAATGTAATTTTCCTGCTTATTATTCTATCAGACGTTAACTTTTACGACTGAGCATACCAGCATCTAATCCTTCACAGACTGGTCGCTGTTGGAACGCTTTTGACAGTTTTCGGATCCAATCAAAGGAAGATATCAGTTAAGAGACATGGACACGATATGAGTAAGATGAAGATATTGGTACATCTCATCTTGTATTACCGTATGCATGATAGGGTGACATAAAGCAGTCTACTGCGACATATCGAGGTGAAATCCCCTGAATCCACAGTACCAACAGTGCATTTGATTATTGGACCGGAGCATAACGTTCTAAAGCATACGTTAACCTTAATCGTGTAGCTATGCAAAGTGTACGACGGGATACTTGTTATAAAGAAGAGCACGGATACAATGAATCAACGAATATTCTATCACATTGAAAGTGAAATACATCACCTGAAGTCGCATTGATGATACCTGTCAATGCGCTTTATCCTAGAAATACAAGTTGAGCTGCATGCACCAATAACTCTGTGGCTTCTACAGTTTGCCGCAGAGATAGTCAACCTCCCGTTCTCTGAAAGTGTCTATCATCTATTAGCATGAATTGGATGAGATGACTGGTTATAAAGCTATGCATCACACTTGCGTATCAGCTTTCAGCTACATGATGCACACCCGTACTCGCTAGTATGCACTGCGTTAATTTTGCTGTGCATATGCTTCGACACTGTATGATATAATTTATCAAGCTCTCAACTTAAATTGATGGATAACAGGCATAGAACGTCTATTGTATTTGAAGGTTACATAAAGACAAGATTGGCTAAAATGCTGAAAAAGGGCACTTATCAACACTTCCGCCACAAGCAGGTTAATCATGTGCACCTGCGAGTGGTAAAAAAGTCATACTTATCCTGTAGAAATGAAATTTTGCCTACGCAGCAAAGAAAAGAAAAAAAAAGGAAGGAAAAAAAAAGAACAAGGCTGAACAATGTATGGACAGCAGTGAACCGAAAAAAAGGCGAGGACGGTGAAAAACGCAGCGAAACTGACCCTGCTTTGTGTAGGTGAAGAGTAATTGCTCATTACGCACAATATTGTCTTTTTGTCCCTCACCATTGTGGAACTGCACTTGACCAGTTACAGACGGGCATGGGCACTCTTTTACAAATGGATATCGATTACGACTATGGAGTCATGTTAAAACCCCTTTTGGATAGTGTAATCGCCCTAATCTTTTTACTACATGTCACGGTATTAAATATGATATTTTAGGAGTGGGTTAGATAGCAATGATTATGGATGTGATAACGTTAAGATTCCGGAATTCCTGTTAACCAAGTGCTGCTTGAAACTGGCACTCTTTTTCAGAGACTCCCATCCATCATCGAATGTCATTCGTTGATTGGATATTGTTCGCCTGTTTAAAAATCATGAGAAAAAAAAAAGCTGTTAGTTCAATGGCGGAGCATTTTTAAGTTAGGGTCGTATCAGCGGTTTTGTGGGTTCTGAGTTCCGGTAAATAGACTATGGACAATTATCTAGATTTTTCATTAAACTTCAGAGAAGAGAAAAGCCCAATCCCTGAAAAAAAAAAAGAATACTATGATGGCATAAAAAAAAAAGCGACCTGAGAGCACGAGGTTCATACAGAAAGTTTTATGAGGATCAGCATTTCCAGGCCAGGAGTCGTCAGACAGCGTTGCCAATGTTACACGAGAATTACTCTGTGACACGGCTATGGAGAAAGGGGAAAAAATACAACAACGTCAGAGTGGTTCACCCCTTTTTACCCTGCTTCCTCTTCTCTGATCCACTACTCATCCTAGGCCTCCATCACATCGGTGTTCCTTGTTTTTTTTTCCTTTCTGCTTGTTTCTTCACACCGTCGTTTTATTTATTTTGTTGTTGCTGCTACTGCGACTCGGTTCTTCGTATTAGCATATACCGGCTAGCCTTTTGAGACTGATGACAGAAATCATAAAAGACGGCTATCTTTCCGTGAAAGAGGACGGTTTACGAGCATGGATATGGTCTAAACGATTTTGCGTACTACGAGATCAGGCATTGACCTTCCATCGAAACGAAGTAAGTTCATCCGCCTCCCGAGATGATAGCGTGGCACGGCAAGCTCATCCCCTCGTTTTCTTTGTTCCTCTGCCTCTGTGTCACTTTATTTTTTTGTTGCTACTGCTGAGCAAAGCAATCGGGCCAATGTGTAGCATTAATATTTCTCAAGGAGATCACCTCGGTGACACGCACCGATCTGAAACCCTATTGCTTCGAAATCGCAACAAAAGACAAGACATACTACATCGCATGTAAAAGCGATGAAGAATTGTATTCATGGATGGATGAAATCTACAACGTAAGTTCAGGAGTGTCGTCAACGTCAGGAATAAAAAAACACGTGCGGGATGATTGAGTGTCGTTTTCACAGCGATCTTCGGTCGGCGCTTCAGGTCCGACGAATTTTGTACACGAGGTGCACGTTGGCTTTGATCCTATCACGGGCGCCTTCACCGTAAGTAGCAAGTCAGTATGATGATAACTCGCGTTGGATTCTAATGTCACTACAGGGATTGCCCGATCAATGGACGAAATTGTTGAAAGGATCTGCTATTACAGCAGAAGATGCCGCCAAAAATCCACAAGCCGTGTTGGATGTACTGGAATTCTACACCGAACAGACAAAACGCGAAGCCGAAGAGTACGGCTCTTCTCATCTGAAGGGCGCGGTAGAACGTCGAAGCGACGATCGATGGGCCGCTTTCATGCAGGATGCCCAAAAATCACCCACATCGCCCATGCCTTCACAGCATCGACCACCCCCTCGTCCAGCTCCCCCACCACCCACAAATGCTCGTCGACCCGATCGTGATTTGAACGATATGGTGGATGATCTGTCTATAAACCGTTCCGTAAGTATATACGCAGGATTTGGCCGGCGATTATTCTCGGTCGCAGCGAATTTTTTTATCGTACGGATAGATCTCCTTCTAATGCATGTTCCATGGTGGGACCATTTATAGGACCGCACCCCTCCCTCCAAACTGACGCCACCACGTTCGCCTAATCCGCTAGATACACCCAGAGACTATCGTCCTTTGGGCCCAGGGGACAGAGCACCACCATCACCCGTAGGCTATCGACTTTTTTCTTTCTTTCACTCTCCCAGCTTGGTGCATTTCATTTTGCCTAACCACGTGCGTCTTATAGGGTCTGTATCCTCGTTCACCACGCGATGTTAGCCCCGGTCGTCCAGCTTATGGTAAACCCTATCCCCGACCTGAACCTTCCAAGTCGCATGGTACTTCGCATTCTCAAAGACCCGCTCGTGGCAGCAGTATTTCTGTCTATGACGATCGCATGTATGAACGTGAAAAATACGAGCGTGAATTACGCGAACGAGAGCGGGAACACCGTGAACGTGAGCGAGAAAAGGAAAGAATGCGAGAACGGGAGCGTGAAAAAGAAAAAGAAAGAGAGCGAATCCAACGTGAACGTGAGCGTGAGCGTGAGCGCGAAAAGGAGCGTGAAATGCGTGAACGTGAACGAGAACGAGAAAAGGCGGCGGCTCAGGTCAACACGCCCACCAAGAAGAAGGTGGAACAACGTATTAGTACCATGACCGAAGCTCAAATCATGGATAAATTACGTAAGGCACTTTTTCTTTTTGCAAAGATTTTAGCGTTACTCAAATGCTCCTGTGATCTTTTGTAGGATCGGTCGTCACGCGTGGTGATCCCAATGAATATTACAAAAAGTTGCGACGGGTTGGTCAAGGGTAAGTGTCAATGGGCACAACTGGTTTTCCCCCTTTTTTTTTTATCCAAACTCATCCCCATCTTCAGTGCATCCGGCTCGGTTTACGTCGCAACGTCGTTGGCTACCAATACCAAAGTGGCTATCAAACAGATGGACCTTGCTCATCAGCCTCGTAAGGAATTAATTGTCAACGAAATTTTGGTCATGAAGGAATCCCAGCATCCCAATATTGTCAACTTCCTCGACTCATTTCTCGTCAAGAACTCTGATCTTTGGGTGATTATGGAATTTATGGAAGGCGGTGCTTTAACGGACGTTATCGATAACAACACAATGACTGAGCAACAAATTGCCACCGTCTGTCTAGAGGTAAAATAAAACAATGCGGCATGATGATCGTTTGTGCAACTATGATGTTTACTAAAACAACGTCAACAGACAACGGCCGGTCTTCACCATTTGCATTCACAAAACATTATCCACAGAGATATCAAATCGGACAATATTTTGTTGAGTTCGCATGGACAAGTGAAGATCAGCGATTTCGGTTTTTGTGCCAAGCTCACTGAAAACCGCAGCAAGCGTGCCACTATGGTGGGAACACCCTATTGGATGGCTCCCGAGGTTGTGAAACAAAAGGAATACGGTGCCAAGGTAGACATTTGGTCATTAGGTATCATGGCCATTGAAATGATCGAAAACGAGCCGCCTTACCTGGACGAAGAACCATTGAAAGCACTTTATTTAATCGCCACCAATGGAACCCCTACTTTGAAAAGTCCTGAAAAACTGTCACGAGAACTCAAGAGCTTCCTGGCCGTATGCCTTTGCGTCGATGTACGATCAAGAGCAACAGCAGCCGAATTACTGGAGGTATGTTTTTTACAATGGTTCCTTTTTTGAAAATCAATTTCTTTTTGTTCTAGGCAACTGACCCTCCCCCCTTTTTTTTTCTTGTTCATCCTTAGCATGAGTTCCTCAAAAAGGCAGGACCTTTGGAAATCCTCGCACCGTTGTTGAAGTTCAAGTCCGGCAAACACTAAAAGGCTTGACACTTGGGATTCCTCCTTTCTTTTTTACCACTGGGTAAAAAAGGATCAAAAAGAAAAGCACATCATTCAATGCATTTTCGGTCTCAATGTATGCTTCCATCAGAAAATAGTAGATTCATTGCATGTACGCGATGTATGATATATTTGTTCTAACACAATAGCGGAGGAACAATACATTTACTTATTTGTCTTCCCATTTTTCCTTACCTGCAATAGCTTATTGTTATTGTCAAAATTCGTTCACTTCCGGATTGTTTATAAAATAAAAAGCGATGAAATTCATATTAAACGCTAGAGGAAAACATTTATACTATCAACAAACGGTTTGCATTCTCTTTTTCACCTCTGAATTGACCGGCAATATTGTGGGAGTATTTCTTCGCTGCCAACGATTTTGAAATGCGTGACTTGCAAGTCATCCTTCCATAATCCATTTTTGGGTTTTTTTTTTCTTGAGTTAGCCAACAGCGAAAAAAAAAAAAGTGCATTCCTAAACACATTATATAAAATGGAGGAAAATGTTTTGACAATGGATGTTGGTGAGGGCATAAACGATTTTCACACGACTTTTGTTTCTGCAATGACGTCTTACACTGCTGGCAGATATGCTGGAGGCTGAATTGCCGGCCTACACTGAACAATCGCCAGATACTACTGAAAAGCCCGCAGAAGAAGCCAAAGACGAAACAAAAGACTCTACGTTTGACCCTTCACGACGAGCCGAAGCTCTGTTCTTATACGGATTGGATGACATGAGCACCAAAGATATTCACGCTTATTGTGAAGGCTTGAATCTGAAAAAGATTGAATGGATCAATGATTCTTCCTGTAAGTCGGATATCGCATACATTTGTGCAGAGGAAACAAAAATAGTCAACGTTTAGAACTCATTCCATGCCTTAGGTAATCTCGTTTTTACTGTCGAATCGGACGCCAAAGCCGCCGCTCAAGCTCTACTGGAAACACCCCTACCTGCAGACGCGGATTTATCACACAAAGAATTACAGAAGGCCAAACCCTTCCAAAAGGATGAACGGCAGTTTAATAATCTACAACTACGCGTATCCACTGATTACGACTTGAAAGAAAAAGGAGCACGAGAACGTAGTCGCTATTATTTGTTACATGGTACAGAAGACTCTGAAGTTGGAGAGCGCGAAAGAGAGAGCAGCAGCCGAGGTGATATTCAGAGCCGATTGGGACCTCGACGTGACGACCGTCGACCCCGCGATCGATATCAGGACCGGAAGAGCAGTGGTGTTTTCCGTCGACTGGGAAGACATGCATTGGAGGACGATGATGATCGTGACCGACGGTATTCGCAACGAAGAGGGCGATCGCGCCATGGCTCACGGCGACGCTCCATGTCTCCTCTGCGGGAAATAAGCCAACACGATGAACACGATAAAGATGAAGAGGACAAGCCAGTGGAGATTCCAGATAGATTGAAAGGACGCTTGAATTTTAACAAGGCATCTGATTCATGATACTAATTGCATTACTTTTTATTATTATTTTTTATTGTTGCCTGGATCAGCCAAAATCTCCCGTTTTTGTTCATTTATTTGAAATTCTATTACAAGACACAGAGACTTGCCAAAATACATTACCATACACAGTTGACGTCTTTATCTGTCGGTTCACATGTGGACGCAGCCGCAAATGCGTTCAATTAGGCTACATGAGGGTAATATCCTGCTTTGCACAATGACGCCCGGAATGCAATTTTTGCTAATTCAGTACTAATCTTACTGCTTCGCCAAAGGCCTCATCGTTTTATGCTCAAATATCATGGAGCATGAAAGAGGAATACTTGAAATTTTTCGACAATTATAACCGTTGTTGTCATAAAAAGATCGTAGTCAAACAAAAGTGTTTTCTAATGCATGCTGGTTAGATAATACCGTATGAATATGTGAGCAAACAGAACTGTAGATCAACTGTATGTATGGATATGAGCCCAGCTGTGTCGCTTATTGAAGGTTCAGTTGAACATTAATTAATATTCTAACTTTTTGCGTTTTTGATCTCACAAAGCCGAAGCCAATAAGAGACACTCTTACTCAAAAAAACGTGTTATTCTTTGTGCGTTGCAGTTTTATTAGCCACTTTGCTGATCGGTTCGCAAGGCAAAAAGAGGGGAGAATCACAAAGGTGTTTATTATCATCGCATGAACAGATTTCGCCATAATTGCCATGCTGTCTGCTCCTTGGATAAGCATGCACTCCTGCTTACGCAAGGCGTTGTCAATCGCAGAGATTGTTGCAAATGAATCATTATACTGCTATTATTGTCGGTATGACACTGTGCAGTAAAGAATGTGATGCGCGGCTCGGCTATTCGACCCTTTGCTTTACATGATTTATTCTTATTACGAGTCAGACCGGCTGATGCGGAATAAAGCCACCTGTCGAAACAGCTCAAATGGTTTCGCGCAGTTGGTATACTGAGTGGCACCGGGGTTACTTGGTCCGCCAGGAACCGCTTGTTCATTATTTCCACTTGAACGAAATCCAATTCAAAAAGGCTGCTATTAGGAGTCAAAGGCGAATCGAGTGTTCGACAACAGGAAACAGTCGACATTGTAGAATCCGAAGTAGTTGGAAGACTGCATTCATCGCTGCCGCGCCGACTATGGCGGACGGAATTGGTATCGTCTGCTGCCAAAGATGCACGGTGAATCCAATAATGGGGGCTCGCATGACACGAATCGGGCGGATCTGTATGAATTAAGATCAGTTGAACGCCGTGCGGTACGAGGGGTTTCGCCGTATTACTTACAGCTGGTATTCGAACCATAAAGATTATAGTTGTGCATCCCACCGTTGGCGTTACTGCTGCAATAAACTTCTCCTTCAAGACGCTGAAGACGCTCTTGCAGTAGATGACAAGTTAATTTCTGAATATTGGGCCTAGCGTATGTCAAATGAATGCTTCCTTTTTTTTTATATGGCCAGTCAAGGCGAATCAGAAAAGAAAAATAATGGAAACATATGATTTACCCATGTGATGCTAACGCAAGGAGCAGTTCAAGAGGCGTCTTGTCTTGCCATAAAACTTTTAATGTTTCCCATACGCGTCCGTCGAGATCTCGGGCTGTATAAGCAATTGGGTGGTGTAAATACGGATTTTTCAATGGAGACATGGATTGTACGATAGGATGTATTATATAGGGTCCGTTGGGTGAGTTGTCTTCCAGTAGCCATGGGTGTTTTAATACTTCATCCATCTATTCGTGAGGAAAAACAAAAAGTTGGTAGAAGGTTTAGATTTAGAGATAAATATGCAACAATTGATTTCGTTACCGTTAGGCGTTTAGACGGTTGAACGACGAGCATTCGTCTAATTAAATCTCGAGCTTCACAAGATACGTTTTCCGATACTGGACGGTAATGGCCCGATTTGATTTTGGCGAGTAGTCGTCCCATATGTTCATCATCAAATGGAAGATGGCCGGTCAGAAGTGCATAAAGTATAACACCACAGGACCACACATCGGTTAATGGTCCATTGTATGGTCTGCCCTGAAATAGAAATCTTGTCAAACCATACAATACGTTAACGAAATCATGCAATGGTCATACTCTCACAATTTCTGGACTCGCATAATGCGGAGACCTAGGAGATGGAATGTTTTTGTTAGTGGTCTGGGGGTTTGGGTGGTGGAGAATATGTGTACATATGAGTCTATGAGCCTTCTGTCTGTATTCCTCTTTTGTTGCTCTGATCGCCTTTTTTGTTTTTTTTTCTTCGTTGCACACAGTACATGCATTAGGAAGCTTACCCGCAGCTGGTCTTTAAGTGTGCATTAGGAACCTGCATGGCCGCCATTCCAAAATCGGCAATCTTGATCAGCTTCTGTGTCTTGTCCAGCAAGACATTCTCGGGCTTGAGATCTCTGTGACTATCACGATGACAAACCCCTTAATTACGGTCATTCCTTTCTTTTTTTTGGTGTGGTGGTTTTGTTTGTTGTTCAAGGCACAAAAAACTGAAATGGATGATGTATACCTGATGTGATGGGCGTGGCACCATGCTAAAGCTTGGGCCAGCTGTCGAAACAAACATTTTGCTTCATTCTCTGGTAATCTACCACGTTGAGCCAATAGATGGAAAAGCTCACCACCTTCGAGATACTCCATGACAAAGTAAACATAGGTGGAATCTTGCAGCACTTGTTTAAGTTGCACCAAATGTGGATGATTTAGCAACTGCAGCACGGCCAACTCACGTTGCACCGCCTTTTCCGTACTCCCAATCAGATGGCAGCGTGCAATCATTTTGATAGCGACTTGTTCACCAGTATGTCGATTTACGGCGAGTTTAACGCGACCTTTAGGAGGGCAATAGGGTCAGTCATAAAAATAGGATATCCCTAAATAGGGAAAAGTAAACAAGAAAGGAAATAGAAAAGGATATGGCTCCCTACCCGAAGCTCCACGTCCAATGGTTCTGCCTAAAACATAGTCACCAATCTCTCGCTGCTTATGGTGGGAGAATAAATATCGATGCTCTGTAGACGTTCGTGAGAGCGCGGTTATGAACGGCATCAAAAAAAAATCAATTCGTAAACTGTTTCTTCTTATTTGTCGCTTTTTACAAGGCAGATGGCTGCTATTCAGCCCAAAACGTATTAGAGGGTTTTGCAAGAAGCAATAAAGAAAAAAAAATGAGATGAAATGAAAAGATAAAGAAGGTAAGAAAAGGGGCGGATGACGAAAAAAAAAGAGCTGTCGTGTTTTTTTAAAATTTGTAATACGTGTTTCCAGTCCCATACGCGAGACGCCGCCACCTATTGATAGGTATTTATTCCTATGCACAAATGAAAATTTGATATGTCTAAATCCATCTGCAAGCTGATAAACGATAATCTTCTTGTTATTAATCTCCAAATCCAAATGGTTACTTTTCATGCTAATTTATATAACCCCATTATCCTATTTTTTGCGATACATGCATCCTTCTTGAAATCAAGATTTTTACTCCTCTGTTTGGCGAAAAAGAACATGTCCTTGCCTGTCCTTATTCATCACGCTACAGCGGTATGTGTGATTGTTGCTTTTTTGGCTGTGATCATACTTTATCAATTTTTTTTTTCTTTTTTCTCTTTTATTTTCCTTTGTGAATAAGATGACACTACTAAGAGGAGAAAAAAAACTACACATAACATATATATATACAGAATGAGATAGAATAAAAAGACACGGATGAAACGGGAAAAAAAAAAGACCACATAAAAATCCAGAACGGAAAATATGTTGGTTGGATATGTACGATAATGAGTATCAACAAGGATGATATACATCGCCTGCTCAAGATTTGACCAAGGTGGCGAATCCAATGGTAAAAATACCGATAAAGAAGAATAAGGGTACCAGGTGCAGACTACTATGAGCTCGGACAGCTTGTGGGAGCATACTCTACATTATGGGTTCATTAGCATTTTGGATGATACTATAACGAGCAACATTTACCTGAACCGCTATTAATGTCATCATACCGCTGGTTAATCCGAAAATAAACCCAAACAAACGATTCTCGTCTCTCTCACTGACATTATGTAACGCTAGTAACCCCAAAATAGCGCCCAATGGTTGCGACAGACCTCCTAGAAACGAAGAATAGCCAAACGCAATGACTCGAGACTTGGTGGCGTAATACAGCGGCAACGCAATCATGGCGCCTTCAATCAGATTGTGGATGGACATCGCCACAGTTACGCTTAAACCTAATTGTCGCGAAGCACGACTGGAAATAAACATCACCAAGCCCTCTGTTGGACAAAGTCAATGGTCGATTCTAATGCCATCATATTCAAATATCCTTCACTGACCTGGAAATTTGTGGATGCAAATAGCAATCGCCGTCTGAATGCCAATACTCAAATAGCTGTCGTGATCATGTTGGGTTAGGTTGACATGACCATGCTGATGCTCGTCGGAAGCCGGTTCGCGACATGCACGGTCATTGACTGAGCCATATTCGGAGTGATGACCAGGTATATGTTGATCGTGGTATAAAGGATGCTGTTCTTCATCACCGGTATGATTGTGCACCCATTTTCCGTGAGCATTGTCGTGGTTGAAATCAGCTCCATGCGCACCGCAGGCGTCAATGGCATCAGGAGTAAACCACCGGACAATGTAAGTGATGAGCAACGTGACAGCGGCTCCAGCAAAGAAGCAGGTATAAGTTAAAAAGTCACTGTGCAATCGTTTCTGGGCCGCGGGAAGAAGGGTATACAGGGAGGAGAATAAAAGAACGCCCGAAGCGAGGGAAAGCGAAGCTGCCAAAAACTTTGGATTCTCCAGTATCGATCCTTGAGAGCTTTTCCACAATTTATCGACAAACACAATGGACGCTGGAAACGATCGAAAAGAAAAAAAGAAGACTTGATAAGCTAAAAGGAAACGAAAGCGCCCCACAGCATTAGCACGCAAGGACTTACCTCCGGTAATGCATGCTAAAGACGATACCAGTACGAAATACCAGCCTTCGCGGGAATCGGCTTCTATTAGACTAGTGGCATTCATGAATAGAACGAGAAGGAATGAGGCTTCACAAATTGAAGAATTGATAAGATAACTGGGAAGGTACACAGAGTTTTTCGCAGTTTTGTTTTTTCAGCGGAGCAAATATCTTTCATTGAACAGTCACATGATGCACACCGTCTGATCTGCGCCGTGCCTGCACCTTGCATGCAAACCAATGGCGACACTCTTCGTATGATGACTGCTGACCTAGAAAAAAAAACAAAGCAGGTTGACTAATCTTTAGAGACGAGGTCACACTGGTAAAGCCATTGCAGTTCCTTTTTCTTTTTTTTGCTACTGTAGGTCTGTTGACAGTTCATCGGGACTTCATATCTTACCATTCGTTAGTCTCGGTGCCTGGTGAACATTGCAGGAAAAAAGCCGAAATTGTTCCGCTCGTTCAGGAGGGCTCAGCGGTTGGTTCCGAAAACACCGAATTATTATTTCTTGAATGACTGTAGCCATTAGAATCTGACATCTTGGAAGAACACGTCATGATTTTCTAAAGAATTGTGAGGAATTACTGTTCTTCACTAGAATAGAATCACCCCCAAAGCGTCCAATTAATATCAGTGAACATCAATTAATAAGCTTTCCACTTGATGTACCATGAAGAGCAAATGGTAAAGATTCAGCTGATTTAACTATCAGTTGCTTATAATTTGCACCGGTTATAATTTGGATCTTCCATGGATCGGGCAACGGGCAGCTCTTGGGGGTGTGTTTTTTCCCGTAGAATTCCGAAGATTGTTCTATCGGTTGTGGGATGATAGTGTTCCATGAGTTTCTCAACGCGCCTTTACAAGACTTGAGCTTTGCTTGTATTTTGAAACTTTGGCCACTCCGTTTCAACATGTCCCATATTCAAACGATGTTCCCTGATGAAAAAAGGGAGAACTCCAATTAGTCTAACTGGAAACCAACTACGATATAGATAAAATACGATATGCTAGCCTGAAGTATCAACTACGTTTTACCCATTTGATGCCAAATTGTTCATTTCTGATTTGCGGAATTCATGCAGCAAATTTTAGCTTTAACAAGTAACCCAATGCATTTCGAATAAAAAGTCACAAGTAGTGACTTGCGATTATTTGTCCCCTTTGGATCGGGATTTTGAAGGATTTTTTTTTTCTACTCCAAGTTTGATACTGCAGTAATCTTAAAACCAGCATCAATGGTCAACGTTGCAATTAGAGAAAGGCCAGAAGGAATGGAAGATTTCCAACGCCCCGCTTCCGGTATGAGATAAAAAGAAAAAGAATATATGGATTTTCACAGTTGCATTTGGTTTACTCACCGTGGATCGTTTGTGATCAATTCAATAGCTTTTCCGGAAGAAGAGAATGGTAACGAACCAATCCATGTAACTACCGGCAGTTATAGCTAACATTTGACCATAGAATCGGGATCGGAAGCCGGTTCAAATTCTGAAGAGGAGGAAAATGACGAAGAGGAAGAAGACGAGGAATCTGAATCCGAGGACGAAGAAGAAGACGAAACAGCTGCACTTTTAACGCCTGCGTTGGATTCACAGATTCTGCGTACCATTGCTGCTATTCAGACAAAGGATCCCAAAGTCTACGATACCAAAAACAGCTTTTTCTCTGAGGAACAGCTGGAAAAAGCCAAAGCGGAATGGGAAAAGAAGCAAAAAGAGCAAAAGAACAAGGAAAAGAAGATGACTTTGAAAGAATACCAAAACGAGGTTCTGTTGAAGCACGGCGGCTTTATCGAAGAAGAAGAACAAGCTGCGGAAGAACCGCCAATGACCCACACCGAGGAACAGGACGCGATCAAAAAAGCTTTCAAAGCTGCAGCCTTTGGCACTCTTGACGACGAAGAGGATGAAGAGGAAGAGGAAGACGATTTCCTCACCAAACGAGACAAAACTCATGAGGAACAGGAGGCGGAAGAAGAAGATTACAAGTCGTTTCTTTTGGAGAATATGGCCGTAAGTGTGAATTTTTTTTGGGGGGGATAACCCATTGATCAAAGCAAGGTGAAAAAGAAAAAGAAAAAAACTGAACAATGGCTTTCAGGGAGATGAAGCCGCAGCGGCAGCCTTCAAGGAATGGCACAACTACAAAGACAATCCAAACTTATCGGCCGATGATGCTTTTTTGATTGAGTAAGTGGAAACATGCTAATCAGTTGATAGTATCTGCCGCTTTTTTTGCTGACAAAAAGTTTTCCGAAGTTATGTCTTGAACCGTGGATGGGTCGACAAGAGAGAAGCTCAAGCAGTTCCTACCTATGAGGAAGTGACGGCGGTCGATAGAGATGAAGACGAAGAATATTTGGATCAGGTGGATCGTTTTGAAAGCAAATACAATTTCCGCTTCGAAGAAGAGTAAGTACATTTATAATCATGAAGGAAATAACTATACGATCTAACAACATCTTGGTGTGGTTTAGTGGTGGTGCACAAATTATTTCGCATGCACGTAATATTGAAGGTACCGTTCGTCGAGAGGAAAGCCGACGAAAGCGCAACAGAGAACGAAAGAAAGCCAAGCGTGAAGCTCTCAAACAGCAGAAGATGGAAGAAGTGAAGCGCTTAAAGAATGAAAAGATGAAGGAGATTCATGAACGCTTGAAGCAGATTCAGGAAATTACAGGAACAGAAGGTAAGCTTGGATTTTACATAGCACCTTCCACATTGGACCCCACTAATGCTGTTCTCTTCCTTGGCAGTAACCGGTTTGGAAAACCTTGATCTGGAGGGTGACTTCGATCCTGAAAAGTACGATTCACAAATGGCTGGCGTATTTGACGACCAATATTATGAAGGCGAAGAAAACGAGAAACCTGTGTGGGATGATGATATTGAAGGATATGAATCCCAGGAGGAAGCAGGCGAGAATTACAATGACGATGATGATATGATCATGGATGCCGATTACTTACCTGGCGGTGAGAAGTATGGTACCTTGTCCAACCGCAAGAAGCGTAAATTGGCTCAAATGGGAGCCGATGCAACAGAAAGCGACAAAGTGAAACTGGCCAAGACTGTCGAGAATTCTACAGGAGTCGATGCCGCAGCAAAATCACAGGCCAAGGAGGACTATGAAAAATTGATGGATGAATACTACTCTTTGAATTTCGAAGATATCATTGGTGGCGATCTCCCGACACGTTTCAAGTATGCTCAAACGGAACCCGAAGATTACGGTTTGACAGCGGAAGAAATCCTTTTGGCAGACGACAAAGAATTGAACAAATACATTGGCATGAAAGCATTAGCACCGTAAGTCGGAAGTGATTCTTTGTGTGCCTTATCTGTCGTCTCACTAACAATATCCATCCATGTTTAAATTTTTAGATATCGCAATGAGCGCAAGAAGGCCTATGAAAAGAAACAACTGCAGCGTGCGCAAAAGTCGAAACTGAGAACCCTTCGTCGACATATTGACTCCCAGCTGGAAAGAGTTCAGCATAAAAATCAAGGCTACAACAAACATAAGCATCAACATGGTTCCGGCAAGCATAAGCATCACGACTCTGGCAAGTCTAAGCATTAGAAAAACAATCTCGTCTCATAAACTCCCAAGCATCTCTTTTGTTTTAATTATATTTCCCCTGTGATCTTGTTTTTGTGGACATGGCTGAACAATGATCGTTTCAATACATTTACAATTCGAAACAATTTATTATGGCAAGCCATCGGTGATGTGATTCTCGTTACTGTTTTATCCTCTGAATGACGTCTTCAAATTGTTCTCGGATATTGAAACAAGCATCTTCTCCAGTTTGAAATTTTGGTAACTCGAATAAGAGGGGCAGGTGCGCTTTCGGCTGCATATTCACTGTCTTTATGATGATTGGGTTTTTTTGTAGCAAATCATTTCCCAAGAAACAAGTCGACAAAATGATTGGTGGAAAATGTGACACACGTGGTGGAAAGGTTTTTTCCATTTGAAATGACTATTTTTTTTTCTCAGTTCCAAATTCTCTCCTTTCTTTATTCCAGACTTTATCTTTTGGTTTAATTATTTTTAACAAGATGGCTCTTTTCATTGGAAGAATCCCTAGGGATATGAGTACCGTAAGCTCTCTTGTTTATGATCTGTGAATGTTGGAGGAGTTGAAAGTCGTCTGTCTGCGGATACCTTATATGAATTGGTTCGTCAGCGTGATCTTGAAGATGTGTTCAGCAAGTACGGTTCGATCACTCGGCTCGATCTAAAGCAAGGTAGATATCAAAAACCACCCAGCATGTTTGTTGTTTCTTTTCTAAACGCTCTTTACTATTTTGTTTAGGCTTTGGCTTTGTTGAATTTGAAGATAACCGTGATGCGGAAGATGCTTTGAAAGGCGTCAAAGATCACGTAATACCGCAAAGCCGCCATCTTCTTTTATCCAGTTAACCAACGAGAAAAATTTTCTTTTTTGTTAGGAACAAATTATTGTAGAATGGGCAAAGAACGGTGGAAAGCGACCTGGAGAGAACGAGTGCTTCCATTGTGGAAAAGAAGGTAAATTTGGAATAACGAAAGCGCATTGCGCTTCTCTCTTTCTCTTGGCCTTGTTGCTTCCTGTTCGTTTTTGCTGACGGATGGTTTTCCCCCTTTTATCTTATCATTTGTTTAGGTCACTGGGCTAGAGATTGTCGTGCACGCAACCGTGATGGCGGCAGTCGCTTTGGCGGTCGTGATCGTGATCGATCCCCTCGACGTGACAGAAGGTATAGCCCCGATTGATGTTCCGTACCTTGTCAGTGACATTTGAGCGATGTCCTTCTGGTCTTCTTTTTTTACATGCCGGAAAGCTCTCTCTCTTGCTTGCTTGCCACCTGTTTTTCGTCCATTCCCTCTGACACAAAGCATTGCTTTTTTTTCTGTATGCTTACTCCGTTCCTTTTCAACTTTTGATGCTTCTCCATCCACTCGATTATTGGGTATGCCAACGAGAAAAAAAATTCACTTAGTTTTATGACCCTTATTCATTGGCTGAACTAACATGATACTTGATAGCGTACAAAGGGATTTTGGCCGCAGAGATTATGATCGCAGAGATCGTGACCGATCGCCTCGTCGTGATTATCGTTCCAAGGATTACCAGCGTCCTGCTGAGCGTCGCGACCGTGGTTTTGCTCGCGGCGATGAGCGTGACTCTCGCAAGGAAGACCGTGAATATCGCAGAGAAGACCGTGGTGCTCGCAGAGAAGAGAGAGAGGAATTCCGCAATGGTGATCGTGCCAGTCCTGAAAAAGAAGATCGCGAGTAAAAAAAGTCTTTTCTTCAAGCTAACCTGTTCCCCCAATCATAATTAACAAAAAAAAAAAATGCATCTTGTTTGAAAGAGATTAGATGCTATTGTTTTCTTCATGACTATTAAAACCTCTAAAAGCTTAGTTATGCTTTTATAAACATTGCTATTAAATAAAGGGAAAAAAAAAAGACGAAGGCTTTTATTTGCTGTTTGGATCTGGTCTTTGGGGTGAGGATGATGCGCTGCTTAGCGAGCTAAGTGACTGGATAATGAATGATCCGTCAGTACCATGTCTGTTTGAGTATTAGATTGTTTTAGTGAGATTAGCCAGATACTATGTTCAACGTGAGTAATTGACGCGGCGGCATTTTCTTTTGTAACGATGGGTCTTACCACGACAATGGTTTGGTCGTCACCGTGGAGGTTGAACTTATCATGTAAAAGCTTGCGACCTTTTCTTTCAAGGTTGGAAATCCCAATGTCTTCGTATGATTCCTGCTGCGAGTGAATTTCGGTTTCCAGTAACTTTTGTTGTTCTTCATCGCTGCTTGCAGGTGATTCTTCTTCATCGCCGGAAAGATTCTCATTCTCGTCATCTGTATCAAATCGAAGATCTCCATAGATAAAATCAAAGAAATCACTGGTCTCACTGAATGCCGAGCATTCGCTTGCTCTTCGTGCCGGTTTAGGATAACAATTGAAATTTGGAACAGAAAGCACCTGATGTCGCCGCTGGTGCTGCTGCAAGGTTTGTAACGTGATGGTCGCTTGGTTTTCGTCTGACAGAGTGCCATCTTCCTCCGTTCCAGGACCCCATTCGTCAGAAAACTCGTTGATCAGCTCTCTAGCCACCGAATGCTGGGGCAGCTTTTCGGAAGGGGGCGGGGCAACCGATGAAAAGTAGTCTTCCTGTTCATTTTCTCGGTCTTCGATCCGTTTCAGATAGCTCATGATGCGTCGCACGCTCCAGCGTCTTGATATCTCATGATTGCTAAGAGAGGCACCGGATTCACAGCTGCTGTCAGTTGGGATTTCTCTTGGAGGCAGTCGATGATCTGTCAAGTACAGATGATAGTATACGTAGGCTTTCAAACCCATACTGAAGAATACAGTTCGTAAATAAGCCAAGTATGCAAGGTCCTCCTGTGGCATGGAAAAAAAAAAGGTACAGTCATTTTTACAACGGATAAGCAGCTGGCCGTATATGTGACACGATGACTTACAGTAAAATACGTCATTGCATCGAGGATATCGTGAATCCATTGCCCTTCCAAATAAAGCGGACTGGTGATGAGGTTGCCTTCGTTATGATGACGAAGATTGATTTCAAGACAACTGATTTCCAAACGATAAATGCTAGGATCAACATTTCTCTTTGCTGTGCCCATCAATTTCATTGGGCCAAGTTCAGTATCGGTGACAAGGCCGTCCTTGAACCAATCCACGATACAATGTTGGGTACGTGAATTGCCAGGTACAAAGATGGCCAAGGCTTCAACGACCTGTTGAATATGACTAACCGTTTTTTTTTTCTTGGTGTTTAGTTGGGTTTGCCATGGGAGAAAGCAGATTTTTTTATACCTTTTGTACTCGTCATCACCAATGATTAATACAGGCCTGCCTGTCATTAACGAGAATATAATATGGTGCATGCAATGCTGGTATTTCTTTAGCGTTCGAAGGATGGTATGGTTCGTTGCAAAGGTATTGTCCAATGGCCATAACTGAGATGTTTCAGGTGTGATTGGGAAAATATCTTGTTCTCGAATGACATTATTGTGTTTTTGTAAAGGAGGTTCAGTCATCCCCGATGTTTCTGGTGTTCGAAATGCATCCTTTTCCGCTTCGGATAGCCTCAGATGCTAACTCCATATCATTCAGAAAAATGGTAGAAATCTTTGAATGATTCTTGCACATACCAGGTCAATGTTTTGCTGCAGATTGTTTTGCATCGAGGGGCTACTACGATATGTATAAGTAGTGATAAAGGGTATATTGTTGCAATAGCGTACATGTACAAATCGCGTGGGTATGGATTTTCCATATTCATGACGAACATGCGTCCAATGGTAATTTCGCTCGATATGGGGTCTGTAAGTATGCTGTGAGATGATTCGTTCGCTTCAGATGGGCATGATGCTTTCCATCTACCGACCTAGAAAAGCCTGTTCTTCATCGTTTATATCAAGTACAACATTACTTTGGCAAAGGTCCTTGATAATTTCCATCAAATAATTAATGGCTTCGGCGTACATATCATGCGCAATCGCTGTGGCAAATGATCGGTCTTTGGGCTTATTTGCGCAGTGCACGGACTGTTCTTCAATAATGCTAGCCAAAGGAATGACCTTGGTTTGCGCAAGGCTCCGGTGAGGATGGGCGGAGGGTATCTGAGGATGCGGTGGATCGGATGCAGATTGGGCCTTGGTATCGGGTTTCTGGCAAAGCTGAGCTACGGTACGTAGTTTACGTTCGAAATGAGCGACTGGATAAAGTGCGTCAATGGATTTGGGCTTGACAAAGCCGAGTATTAAATTCAAATGCTCAACGCACAAATGCATTCAAAAAAAAAAGAAGGTGATGCAACTTACAACGTAATCTTTCGGTGGCTCAATGGTTTGTTGACTTTCTCCATGGAGACTGGCGGTCTCACGCGCGCTTGAGGTGTCAAACAGCTTTCCATGGGTTTGGGTATCAGTATTATCACGCATAGTTTGATTAACATAAGTCTCGACGCTGTCCAGCATTAATCGTGTGACTGTACTCGCTTGCTGTATTGCTTCGACGGATAAATTTTCCCTTGTCGCAGGTACCAAGTTGCTGTCGTCGTTGCAAACAAGCATGTTCTCAGTATGCTGAAGATCGAGAAGCTTGCATTTGAGATCCAAAATAAAGTTGGAGAAATTGCCTTTCTTCATTAATCTTGAGATCTGGGTTGATCACAGTGACATTAGCTTAACATATGCAACTACGAATCATGAAAAGAAATAATAGTCCCACATACTTCGTTGAATCTGTTCATGAACTTGTCAAATCGCATGATGATTTTCTGAGGATCGCGTGTAATATAGGATAAGGCTACCGGATGAACATATCCACGCGCATTGATATCAAAAAGGGTAAGATGATGTGTCTATTGAAAGTCAAAGGCATCCATGAGTGACTTGAGAAATAGTATGTTGAAATCAAAAGTTATCCTCCCTTACAAAGGCAAAGAATATATGTTCCGAGTCGGTAAAGTAAACTTGAGTATCATCTGGAACGGAGAACATGTAGGGATTGCTGGTAGGATAAGTGGTGTCATTTGAGACAAAGGCACTGTCACCTTCCTTTGACGCTTGTTTGTTTCCGTGGTCGTGGCTCAAATCGCTATGTCGGAAAAACAATCTGAGCCGAAGAGTAATAATGCTGTCTACATGCTTTTTTGTTTGAACATGCTTCACTCACTATTCCGAATCAGGACTATGATCGACGGACACGACTCGCATGACGAAAGCATTGAAATCAAAGAGGTCTAATCCTAGTGCTTCAAGATCTTTCTGCAATTCGGCTTTGGCAGCATGATCCACGGTTGCTTTGCTTGTGTAATACTTGAGATCGAGGTACGTATTGTTGGTCACGACCGCTAATGCCATGGGACCTTCGATTTCGGAAAATTCACTAATCAAGACAAAGTCTCGATAGGTGTGGTGCAAATGACTCGACAAGAGTTCCTCGTTCCACCGACATTCTTTGGCATCCTCGTCCCTGGCAGCGCAAGTGCGAAGAAACGAAAATACGGTAAGGGTTCAAAAATAAATACTTTTTACTAAGCAAAGTTGAGCTTACGTAAAAGCAGCAGCTTTGGTAATCTCATCTTGGAATGCCATGAGCATAATCCAGACAAGTCATCAGCGAGAGAAAAAGAGGTTTAAAAAAATAGCTGTGAAACTGAGACTGAATATATGACATGGAATCCGTTTTTTTTCTTTGGATTCCAAGCAACAGTGGATGCCTGGCACTGTTACAAGCCACGTCTGCACTATGTGGGATACTTCTGTCATCTTTTTTTTTTTTGCTGGAGACTCACGCGAACAAAGTAAAAAGAAATACAAGGACGAACGTTTGAGGTTATATTTCTGCTGAAATGGAGCGTCTTTAGGGACTTGAAATCTAGCAATGGGTGCTTATTTATCCTCTGCCCCAACTTGGAGTTATCCTCGTTTTCCGAAAACATGAAAACAGCGGCAAACAAAGAACGTCGAGCCGTGTATCAGCATGCATGTTTTATCCGTTGAGCCGAAGAGAAATACTCAGTTCCTGTATGCATGTGTAACCCGATGCTTTCCTTTTTGCAGTGTGTCACTCGAATCCATCAATGAAGCCAAAATACATCTAGCACCAGTGGCCGTTTGTGCATGCTTTCCATTAGGAAAGCTATTCAATCCCATTACAACCTAACTTATTAGGTCCCAGTTATTTTTTGGTGCAGTTTTCCGCATTCAGTCTTGCATCAAAGGGACGTCAAAAGGGGATGATGGATGATAGGTATCGAGCCCAGGTTACGGCACTGCATTGTAAAAAAGATAATGGATGAAGCCTCATTTCTTGATCGTTTACAATAGGAGCCTGCTTTCTTTAACTTGCAATCGTTTGCAATATCGCCATGCGTTGCTAATACCAAATATAGTAATTTCTTTTTGGTATTGTGAGTACTGATCCGATGGAAATAATTTGGGGAAAAAGAAGATGCTAATGAAAGAGCCTGTAGTTGTAACTTGCACACTCTATCAATTGAGCTGTCTCTCCTTCTCATTAAATTCTTCTGCTAATACTTTATGCAGCTGGCTGAGTCATAGACCAAAACGTCCGCAAAAAAAAAAAAAGGACAAGGAAGTCAATCTGCGTGAAGAAAACCCAAGCGCGGCGCTGAAATAATAAAAACAAGGGCGGAACAACGCAACATTCCAACTCCGCCAAAGAGCGGAGATAAAAGGGGAGCGACAGCTGCAGGATTCGAACCTGCGCGGGCAAAGCCCATGAGATTTCGAGTCTCACTCCTTAACCGCTCGGACAAGCTGTCTCAATTTACCAATGGGTGTTAAAACAGACATGTCGAAAAAAAATAGAGGAAATTTTTGCTCAAAAATACGTAGCTCTTCTTCATTTCGGTGTGGAATATTGTATAGATGAGCAGGAAGATGTTTTCTGGCGGTTTTTTATGTAAAATGTAGTTAGAAACGACGATTTCATTATTTTTCAACTTTGCAGAAAAAGGGAAATTTTTTATGTAATTCAACTGCAGAAAATAAGATCAGCGGGAAATCTGAATAGCAGAAACGAAGTTTGGATGCGAAATTGCCAATCTATGCTTATAAAAGCGATAGAAAAGTAGTCTCATAAGAATTAAAGGTTGAACGTAGATTATTGTGGTATATCCACTACTTGTCGTATTATCCATCCTAGACTGGTGTTCCCAAACAGGAAAGATCGGGATCTAGACGTGTTTCCCATTCTGAGTGAGCTTCTCTATTAGAACACCGATTGAGCCTCTTCATCCGTAACTTAGATCTATCGCCGAGATCAATTCATACGGGTAAAGCTGTCACATCACAGCATGTGGATCCTTCCTAATACACCTTATAACCGAGGACTGCTCACTGATAATTATTAATTCCGACTCAAGACTAAAGTATAAATAAGCAGAGCAACTAATCAAAATAAAGGCATCCCACAGTCTCAAAGAATTCTCATTGTCTCTTTTGTTCTAAATTCTCTCGTATATCACAATTATGAATAACTCTCTGAATTTCTCGATATGATTTTTAAGATGATGTTCTATCAAAAAACCTACTTCATTTTTTCGTTTTTATATTTTGGGAAGTACAAGACCACCAACCGATTCATGCACCTATTTTCTGAAATTATATTTTTCATCCATCGATCTTTATTTATCTTATTTATCTTTTTTCAGCTACAATCATTCACTCATCCGATTTTGACGTTATATCCTTTTATCTGACTATGCCCCATTTTCTCTTAAACCATCCTTCGCACTTTTTTGCATATTTCCTGATTATAGAGCCACCTGATAAACATCTCTGAATTGTGGATTTGTCACCGAACATTTAAATACCTTGTACAACGAATCGAATAAATGACATTAAATACCCATCTTAAAAACACCAGTAAAAGAAGTAATATTCTGAACAGATATCGTTCTTATTAATCCCTTTTCCTTGCAAAACTGTATCTTTTCTTTTAAAACATTCACAGTCAGCGCGATTTTTATTGCACTTTTGGATTGACAGTGAAAACTCCTCGGTGTCAATCCATCCTTTATTTTTATTTTTCGCTGAATAATCCATACAATCGGACATGCATCGAAAAATAGTATATCTGGTGATCAGAACTTTTTACTTAATCAAAGGCATACTTCCTATCTAAGTGATGAATTTTAAAATTGCAAGAACAACAGACTAATATTGACATAAAGTCCTGATTTCAATGACATAAGTTTATCATACATAGTATATAAAAACGCAGTCTTTTTACTTCGGACATGATGTTACAAATGCTAGATACGAGAATGATATTGAGATTATAAACGGGATGTTTCCGTACAGGATCTGTGTATATTTTCCTGGCTTACTTTGGATATATTGAATTGCGACCGTATTTCAAATATTACTGCAAAGACATTTCCACCAAAAGAATCAAGAATCGAGGATTTTGTGGACGGGCGGGAATGCTGTATATTTATTGCGAGGATTTCAAATAAAAAAAAATCAAACCGGCCGAAAGCAATTTTCAAAACGATCAGTGACAGCATACAAAAACTCGAGCTCATTGCACTATATGATAAACGGTTTTCGTTTTTATTGCAACAACAGCAAAAGGCGATCAGCTTACAGGATGATATGTCTGGATAGCTTGTGTGATTGAAAAAGAGTGCGCACAGTTGCGTATTATTTCTTTCAAGTATTGTACAAAAGATAAATACAGACATATTTGAGAGGTGCTGCATGTTTGTGATACACGCACAACCCAAAAAACCAACGAAGAGTGGCACAACATGGCACGCAGATAAACAGATATAGCCCAGGGGATTTACGTTGGAAATCCATGGGTCGCGTATCCATAGTTGAGTGTCAGATCTACTCGGAATCGTCATGCACAGCCCGATCACCGAATGGAAATCTCGCACAGGTGATACGGAGCCGACCCATCTCATTCTTTTTCTTCCGAAAACAACAAGGTTTAGAAGCATGTCCGTTAGGGAACCTAATGGGAGGTTTTTCACTCTGGCAGCAATACAGAACTGTGGAGATCGCTAAAGCGACAAAAAAAAAGCTCGTGCTTTGAAGTTGGTATACTCTTTTATATAGCAAAACAGCGACGGCCCATGTTATGTAAAAGACACAACCAGTGGGATCATCTTCAAAACAAGAATAAAGCCGGATCTTTTTTTTGGGGGGGGGAGAAAGAGGTCTAATACATCTGTTGTAAACCTGAGCAACATTATTTTCATGAAAATTTGACAAAGGTATCATCTGGCGAAGACGAATGTCTGTGATTATTCGATTCATCAAAATACACATTTTCGCCCTGATATGCTTGCCGCATGAACGAACGACTGGGCACCAAATACATTTTTTTTAACGATTTCTCTTTGCTTCTTCTGTTTTAAGTTCGGTTTTCTTTGTGTGTATGTGTGTGTGTGTGTACGTTGTTGTTGTTATTGTTTGTCAAACAATAAATTATGCACATCATCAGCTTCCCGTTCATATACTAACTACAGTAGCAATACCACGACTTCCACCCTATGCAGGGAGCAGCACTTGATACCAAGATCTGATATTTCAGGCACTCATGTTCCTCTCATAAACAAAACTGTGAAATCGTATGACGACCATTTTTTTTTTTGGTTTTTGTTTTTTACCGCTACTCTGTCATTATGAAGTTTTTCTTTTTTTTTTGGGTAAAAGGGGTTTCATTATGACTTTGGTGAGGAATGTCCGGCTTTTGTGAAACGATCTCGGTAAACAGTCATGACGGATGACAGCATATCATGTGGTGCTGAAAAGCGCGGGCGGACAGAGCGCGGATGACAGTTCATGAAATTCAGTTCCGTACCAATATTATCCAATGTATTGGTCCAAGAAGAATCACTTTTGTCACGAAATCTTTTCTTCTTTTTTCATTTGGGCAACTTTTATGTAGTGGATAATGTCAACCATGACAAGGCATGGCCATGTCGAAACTTCATGTGGCTCATGTCCAGTGGTTACTTTTTCCTTTTTTTTATCCTCTCCTGTTCGTCTTGTCACACAACATCACACAGGGCCACACTGGATTAGGTTGTTTATCTATTGACGGTACTAGAAATGCATAAAATGCCCCTAAATTCTTGAACTCTCCATCAGTCTCTGCTAGCAATTAAATGGGCAATCATTAAACACAGCAGCTAGTTGCGGATGTTTAAAAGGACAGTTGAGGATTCAATTGCCCTTTTTCTTTTTGTCTGCGGCCGCACCCACCCCTTATCAGTCAGTTGCAACAAAAGAGAAAACTTTGTCTATTTATCCCTTTTTCTTTTTTTTTTTTTCCTTTTGATTCTACTTTTTTCATTTTATTCCCCAAAATTTCCTTTCCTTTATGTTGAAATCAGGCCAACCTATTCAAACCACCGGTAATAACCTGGTGGGACTGTGGCGTCCTTCCTTTGTCAAAGTCGGCAACCAATTATACGTTTATGGCGGCGGAGGAAATGTTACCAACGATTTACACGTCCTTCATTTAGGCGATATGCGATGGGAAACCATCAAGGTAAATGAAAAGAAAAAGAAGAGACAAGATGAACAAGTTGAACAAGGGAAAAGGAAAAAGGAAAGAGCATCTCATTACAGAATTAAAAAAGAAAAAGAATAATTCAAGAATTGAGCGAGTTGTCTGTTGGAGAGAAAGAAAAAAAAAATCCCTTGTCGAAATGCTCCTTTTTTTTTTCTCTTGTTCTTTTTATACATTTTCCATCATTTACTTATTTACGATACAATAGGCAGTGAAAGGTATTCCGCCGTGTAAACGATATGGACATACAGCGACGCTTTGGAACGACCACATTATCGTGTTTGGTATTTTGAAACTCAGAGTGTGCATAATGAAATGAAAGAAAAATATGAACGATGGGTTTTATAGGAGGATGCAACGAATACCAAGGATACTGCAACGACGTTCACATTTTCGATATACAAAAATCCACTTGGCATCAACCTAATATAAGCGGCAGTATATCAGCCCGTTATTTACACAGTGCGGTGATTTACGATGATAAATTATTCGTCTATGGAGGTTTTGCGAAGAATTCTGACTGTAAGGAGTTCGCCTTGGGCTAAGGGGGGGGGGAGGCGGGTGGGACTTTGGAGGGGAAAAGGATGAACAAAAAAAAAAGAAAAAGAAGAGAGAACAAGTGAGCCGGGGAGAGAGCGGGTGAGTAAACAGTGGGACAAAAAGAAAAGCAAGAAGGCCGGTTTGGTATTGCATAGGATGTGTGGAGATGTTACAGTGAGGATGGAGAGGCATGGGTTGTATGAGCCCAATGTGTGTATTGTTTTCTTTTTGTTGATCATCCGTTGTATTAGGTACTTATGTATTAGAGGAAATCAGCGTTTTAGATTTGAAAACACTGACTTGGCATAAATACCATGGCGTTCCACCAAGATATAACCATTCAGCAACCGTGATCAACAACAAGATGTATATTTACGCTGGCAAGGACGAGCACGGCAATACGGTATCCGACCTTTTTGCGATCAACTTGGCCACGCCACCTTACACGCCTCATTTGATTCTAAGCGGAAAACAATCGAGCGCGCATTCGCAAATGGTACTGTTAAAGAGTCAGCACTTTTGCGAAGCGGTATGTGGCAAATTATTGGTGTTTGGTCGATACCTCGTCAACCATCAGGCGGCGGCGACACCCAATCCAGAGAGTATGTACGGGTTGTGGATGCTGGATTTAGACACATTGGAATGGCAGCGACAGGAATGCAACGCGAATTTCGAAGTGGGTGGATGGAATTACTTTACGGTGATATCTGAGCGAAATCGAGATGAGGTGGCGATGCATAACTTGTTTTTCCTTGGAAACACCGATCCCTACCGTCCTCAGGGATATGATCATTTCAGGTAAACCCAGCACCATTTCACAAGTGATAGGAGTTTTTAGGGGGAAAAACAAATCAACTCATCAGATCTCCATCCTGCGGTGATCGGACATTTTTTTTTTTTTTTTTTTTTTTTTTTTTTTTTTTTTGGTTCCTTTAGAGACGCATTAATTATCAACGGCGAATCACTCGGCTTATACGACATTCTCCCACTGCAAGTGTCCCATGAATTCGCGCAACTTCTCAATAATCCCGAGTTATCGGATTTCATGATTGTCCCCGCCAACGGTCAACCTCTCCACGTCCATCAAGTGATCCTGATTACGCGCTGGCCGCATTTCAGAAACATGTACAAATCGGGAATGATCGAAGCGCAGCAACGACGCATGGAAATTCCAGAACCCTACGAAGTGGTGCTGGCCTTTTTGAAATATCTGTACAGCGACCAATTGGATGAAAATGAGCCATGGCAAGTCGTATGTGAAGTGTTGGTAATAGCCAACATGTACCTTCTCAACCGATTGAAGAAAATATGTTGTGAACGGCTGTATCGTCAGCATCTGACGGTCGAATCGTGCTGTTTGATCTTTGAAAAAGCGATCCTAGCTGAAGAAACGGGCTTGAAACTTCTGACCCTCGATTACATGTTCCGCAATTACGGCTCGGTATTGAAATCCAACTTGCTGTATCAGATGCCCAAGGAGGTAAGGCAAGAGTTCCTGGAAGCGGTCCCGGACGAAGCAGTGCTGGAAGTCAGTCGATCACGCTCGCTTCCTACCGGCTTATCGAAATATCCTGCCACGACCGCCCCAGCCATCACGGCACCTCCTCCACCTACCATGTCAGGCACGCTTCATCCCCATCAAACATACCCCAGCTATTCCCAACAACCACCGCACGCTTTAGGATATACACAATCCATCAACTTACGACATGGTATCAGTCGGTCACCCAATGAAATGATCTCTGCTTCCGCAACAGCAAACAGTGGCAGCATGAGCGTGGGCGTGTTGTGATTCTTTTTCTTCCTCCTACATACCTTCCTTCCTTCCTCATTTTTGCTTATTTAAATGTTTTTGTTTTTATTTCCCTTCTTTCATAACTTTCGATGTAATTATAATTTCGCTTTGCTTTGTTCCTGCTCTGTTTTTACCATTTTTCTTCTTGTCATTGTAGCAGGCCGTTTTTGCTTTTGACTTCTCTTTCTTCCTTGCCTTTGTTCTTGTTTTTTCGTGATCGAGTTGATTCGGTTTTCTTTTTTTTTTTTCCTCAAAATTTCTTTATTATGCTGTCTCCCCATGTTCACTAATAACTCTGCCAGCTTAGAATAGCGGCAGATCAACGATTTTCGAATTTTCCAGCAAAATGCACTTCGTTGATTGACTCTTTTGTTCATGTTGGCACACTCCCTGATTTGTCTTCCCCCTTTCGCTCATCTAGGTTGCGTTAGAAAAAGTACCTTTTCTTTTTTTTTTTTTTTTTTTTTTTTTGAAAAGAATCCTCTTTTATAAAAAGGTTTGAACGTTCCGCCTATTACATGCAACGTAGCCTGTATCTGTTGTTGAATTTGTATAATCCGACTCATTCTTAGATCGTGAAGCTTTTTACAACCATCCTTCAATTGAGAAACGAGGCAATGCTGAAGGAACTATTATATACTGTAGAAACCTCAGTTTATTTGAGAACTTTGTTGTTTGGCAGCAGATCTCTTCAAGTATTTATTCATAGAGTGATGTCTATGTCTCCCATTGAAAATATATCACAAGCCATGTTATGACGTGTTTGTAAGCAGCCCCATGAGATATTTTCGTCTGTAATAGATCCGTAAATCATCAATCCAGAATTTGTTGTAAGTATAACCGCAATATCTATATATTAATTTTTTTCAAATAAAAAACTGGTTGGATGTGTTTCATTCCTTGAAACGGAACGCTTGCCACCTTAATTACATGGTAAGACTGCATTGACTTTCTAAAAACATAAAATCCATCGCGTCCAACACGAGCCGGCATCATGTATTCTATTTTGTCTCATGTATTGGTTCTATTTTATCTTGTCATACAAGAAAGATAATCTGCATAGCGCTGATTATTGCCTAAAACAATCAATGAGAATTCAGATGATGCCACAACTATGGTATCAAACTTTGTCAAGACCCCAGCTTTGCATAACAACGCAATGCGAGCTCCAAAAAAAAAAAAAACCCTCCGTTCATAAATTTTTATGCAGTCGTGTTTTCTGGATTATCTTTCGGCGTATTCCCTACATATGGCATGCCATTCTAAAAAATATCAAGGATCGTGCAATATCGTATGCCGTGCTTTTTTTTTTTTTTGTTCACTCAAGGCTCAGCCACGTCAGCGCCAAAATGACCAAGACCGAGCTCATAAAAAAGGTCTGGTTACCAACTCTGCGGACCAAAGTTTTACATCCTTTGCGTGACTTGCTGGTGGTTTACCTGTATAGATGGATTACAAAATATGTCACTGGTGTATGGTAATTTGTCTTTGAATGAGGTGCACAGCCTGCAGACCAGTTGTCTTTCACGTGCCATAACTTCATGGAACGCATCGTTTGGGAAAGCGCATAATATATTTGATTGCTTTCAGATAGTCCCCATGCAACGCCAATTCGTCCAAACCACACAACCAACATAACCATTGAAGAGACTCCACCACGTTGTCCACCGGTTATATAGGTTGATGTTATCCCGCGGCAACCGTCGACGCGACAAAAAGACGATGACTTCAGCAGGCAGTATACTGTGAAAGATAGATCCACCCTTTTTTTTTCCTATTAATGAGAATAAGTTCTTTGCCTGTTAAAGGTGTGGCATTAATCGCGGGTTGCCAAGGGGATATCCAAGATTTCACCCATGGCCATATTTAGGAAAACGCAGTGTTTGGTTGATCCTTGCCCCTTTTGGGCTCAGTGTTGTTCTGTATGGAAAAGGGGTTAAAAATATACGATTGGGAAAGGACGTTCGGCTTTGCAAGCCAATCGTTGAATATCGGGACCTCAAAATTCCAATGGCGTCTTGGCACAAAAAGTTAAAAATAGCACACAGGGAGTATGTTCTTAAGAAGGACCCAAAAAAAAAAAAATTTCAGAAGCGGCATGAATATATAAACGAAAAGGAACACAAACGATTTGGTCTTTTTTTTTCTTGGTTCTTTTCAACGAATACTTTCACTCTTTATTATTTAACTTTCATCATGCTCGCCGACACAACCAAGTTGACTTCGTGTTTTCTCAAGCAATCGATTACTAAAAAGCGGAAAGCTGTACGCTTCAGCTGCAAAGATACAGTTCGATTCACTCACAGCGCCGCTGAATACGACCGGTCGTCCATGACACACACTTTCTATACGTTCCGACCCCCGCCACCGGTTGAGGCTTGCAAGTCGCCACGCTCAGCAACCGTGTCACTCATGCCAAGGCCCCGGATCGCTCCGCTGGATCTGTCCATTGTTCCGAATGCGTCAAGGCGGACACCTGCATGGCATACTCCCACACACGCTGTCAAAACAAAACCTAAATTGCAAATCAACACAGAATCTATTGAAGGACCCTCTTTCTTCACCCGATTATCCACTCATTATCGATGCTTTGATGAAGACGAAGGTAACAGCTTCCTTGTCTCCATTGCCTCGCCGTGTCCGCCCACCGCTTGCTCCACTTGTTGAATATTTTCATTGTTCCATCTTGTCCATACCGCACATATAAAATGCACACATACCCACACGTACAAAGCCCCTCATTTATACATTATCATAGTGGATATTATTATATTTTTGAATACTGTAAAGAAAAAAATAAAACAAATTGGCACCCATCACCATGTAGCTTCATCTGCACTAATGGCCATTGGAAATTGCTTTTGAAAGACAGTCATTAATATATATGAACCACTCGAGCTTATTTTTTGAACCCTGGGCTATGACTTACCGCAGTTTTGGAAGGTTCATGGATTTCCTCATTTTCAGGGGTGACGATATGGCCATTCACACTGCTTTGTCGACTGTGGTTCCGGCTGCTCCCCGATAAATCGAGACTGGGGATGTAGCCATCCAGTAATCGCATGGACCGCCTTTCAATGGTCAAGGTGAGGTCATCGGCATCATATAAGGAAGGTTTACGTGGAAAAGGAGAAGTGTGGGACGGTTGGGGGTGTGGTGCGGGAGGAGGGTTGGTAGATTGCTCAGGTTTTTGGAGAACGTGGCGGTGAAGGATGGAAGCGCCTTTCGAATGTGGACTTTGGGCCCAATAAAGCAGCGCAATTTTATACAAATTGTAGTTGGGGAACATGGATAATAATTGCGGGTTCCAGTTATCCAGCACTACAAGAGATTTTGGGAATGTCAACAGCTCACGGTCATCATATAGCAGGTGTTCAGGATCCAATTACCGTGTAATATCCCAAAAATTATCCAATAGGTGACCCACCCTTTGCAATCTTGCAAATGTTCAATGGTCTGCTCGTTTTCATGTTGTTTGACCAAGTGCCAGCACCGCCATGCAGGGTAGGCCACGCCTAATACGGCAATAAAGAGAGACGTGGATCGCATGTAACAACGGCGTAGTAAAAAGACAAGGGAAGCAGAGGAGCTGAGAAACACAAGCGACGGATGCACACCTTGGCGCATCAAAAATTTCAATACCCGTGAATGCGCATACATCGATTCCAGCGATCGTACACGACTCACCGATGCTTGGCAACAAGGCACGGTCAAGAAGTCAAGATTGATAGGTAAACGTCGATTCAAGCTACTGATCAGCCGTTCAATCGCTTTTGACGTTGCATAATATCGCGTATCATCTTTATCGTTGCCATTGCTGTCTGAATTCATGAAATCAAAAGTGTTGGAAACGATGCAAAAACGTTATATAAGTTGGCTCAACGGAGTTTTTCAACTCATGTTCTTTTTTTTGTTCTCAATTTGCATGTGATTCCAAAAATTCCCGTTTTAAAATTCAGTGCCTGGATCATGAGGCTCACTGTGTTTAATTCCCATCCTTCTTACTTCAAGTAATTAATCTTTTCCATTTTCATCAGTAGTACCTATCATTTTATCCACTTTGTGTATCCTCATTTCAAACGAGAATTGGCTTGGTGAAAATAGAGCTTATTCACAATAAATAGGGCTATCTTGCTTTTACTTTATTTTGACACACCACCTTCATTCTATCCCGACTCGACAACAATATCTCCACTACGATCATCTGCAACACTCGAGGCATATTGGAAGCCCAATATGTCATCGTCATCGTACTGAATGCGTTTCTTCCTTCGCGTACGGCCTCGGGTATCTCCTTTGGATTTGCCAATGAATTTTGGTGCGTTGACACCTTTGAGCAGGGGATTATTCGCATAAGTGCCAGCAGATGAGTCGGCAGCTACGGGATCAGTCGCACCCGTAGGAGTTGGAATGGTATCTTGTTCATCATATTCCTCTTCGCTCGATTCCGTGTCTGCATCCTGTACCACGACCTGCTTTGTGTTCACATCGATCGTCATGACGCGACGCTTCGGCCGACCGTCCGTCGCCAATTTCTTCATATTGGCTTGCTGTTTCTTTAGAAGCAGAGCTCGCTCTTGCGGCGATAGCCAAGGATTGTACTGATCTGTCGGAAGAACAAAATCGGTCGCTTGATCTACTCAATGCAATTGTTAAATTATGGTGACCGTCCCGTGCATTGATATGCCAACCCATACCGATAATTTTACTGCGCTGAGCACTGGTTCGCTGAAATTCCAGCAACTTTTCCTTATGTTCCTCGGCCTTTTTCCGCTGGTCCTCCTCTTTGGATTCATCCCATAAACTGTCATGACGTCGCGGGATGATTTCACCACTGACTTTGGATGCGTATCGAACGGGGGCTGAGGATGGCGCGGCTTTTCCTCGTCGTTGCTGCTGCTGCTGATGTTGTAATTGTTTTTGTTCGGATCGCTTCTTTTTTGCTTCGGCAATCAGCGCCACCTGCTGCTCTTTGGACAAGACGGGAGTGCCGCAAAACGTACATGGTCCCGGTCCTTCCATGGTACAAATAATCTTTCCACAGTTGAGACAGTTGGGAGCAATGGTCAGTAAGGGGTGCTTTGTAGCTATAGTGAATTAGGATCAGTAAAGGTTTGGGCGACCTGGCAAATTTACATTTGTTACCTTGGCATTGGCATGCGCGGCGTTTGCCTTGTTTGGTGTCCGCCTTGATATCCAATTCTTTTAATGCCACCTCCAGGGTCATTTCTGGTTTCTTCTTCTTCTTTTTATCAAGTTTGTCAGAAATCAAGGTTGACTCGGTCGATGTTTGCGATGAACCCGACGCGGCTGCTTTGCCCTTTTTATGCTTCTGTCGGCTGAATCTCATCAATTACGCACAGGTGAGATTGATCGATCAAGAAGAGTGCATGAGTTTGGCTGTGATAGTTACCCCATATAATAGTCGTCGTCTTTCTCCTTTTTAACATACACATTGATATTACTGGGCCACTGCATGTTACTTTCGGTTGCCGGTAAAGAGGGAAACTGCGACGTGGGTTCGCGAGTATCATGTCGAGGAGGCTCTGGCTTTTGGTTGCCTTTGTTGTCCTTTTTTTGATTCTTTTGACTTGCAAATCGACGGGTAACAAATTCTTGAATGAAGGGTGCTGTTTCTTCACTGTGTCCAACCATTTCCTAAGCGATTCATTGGTTATGGGTGAGAATCTGCCATTCCATTCGATTAAGATCACGTCTGTGCCTACCTGGAGATTTTCTCTGAGAACTTGAGGTGAATCTGCACTCAATAGGTACGGTATCACTTGAGACTGCAAAGTCTCTGGATCGAATCCGAGAAATATGCTCAATTGCTCCTCTGCCCAATCTTCAAATGACATGTGTGTGTGTTACGCTTGCTCAAACAGCTGCGGCGCCAGCTTTTTTGGATCATTTGGAACTTTTCATACTCCGTACAGAATGTCAAAAGCCAAGCTCAAAGTCCGAATGGACGGTCACGTGGTGTGTGCGGGGAGCGCAAAGAGGCGAACCTCAAATTATGCGAGGGGGAGACGTCGGACGGAGCGGGCGGACGAAGGGCGCAGTGAGGGCCAAAAGATGCCATCCATCCTGCAGCCTACGAACTTTCCTTTTTGAACGAAATCCAATAGTATGGGTAAGTTGAAAGGTCACCATTAAGTTAGGAGAAGGATCGAAAAGATAGGGGCGAGAGGATGGATGGATGGATTAACGGGATGGATGAATTGAGATGGACAGATAAAATGTCCATGGTCTCTTTCAATCAAAAACTAACCAAAAAACGTGTGATATATAGGTAAGGGACAGCCTAGAGGTTTGAACGCAGCCCGTAAGCTTCGCATTCACCGTCGTGAACAACGTTGGGCCGATAAGCAATACAAGAAGAGAGCTCTTGGTACCGCTTTCCGCTCCTCTCCTTTTGCCGGTGCTTCTCACGCCAAGGGTATTGTCCTTGAAAAGATGTAAGCACTCAATTCAAAAATGGAGAAAAATAGTTGCAGAATGGTCAAAGTGGCATATGCTAATGTGGAATTTTGCATTGCAGTGGTGTTGAAGCTAAGCAGCCTAACTCTGCCATTCGTAAGTGTGTCCGTGTTCAGCTTATCAAGAACGGCAAGAAGATTACCGCTTTCGTCCCCAACGATGGTTGTTTGAACTTTGTCGACGAGAACGACGAAGTCCTCATTGCCGGTTTCGGTCGTAAGGGTCGTGCTGTTGGTGATATTCCTGGTGTCCGTTTCAAGATCGTCAAGGTCGCTGGTGTCTCCCTTCTTGCTTTGTACAAGGAAAAGAAGGAAAAGCCCAGATCATAAACATATCTTTTTTATGGAATAACACATCGTGTATTTACAGTTGGATACTTCTACAAATATGAAACCGTTGGAAATCTTGATCAAAAATTACGGACCAAAAAAAAGTAATGGTCTTATATATGAAGTTGGTAGAGTGAGAGAGAAGGGAGGAGAAAAAATAGTCTGAAAGAAGGAGATGAATGGGAGAAGAAGAGAAGGGGGAAGAATACGGCAATGAAGCGAGGGTATGTTCTATGATTTTTTGGAAGATGGTTGTTCTTCATGCCATCGATGTGTCACATAGGCGATGCCAGTGAGGACGAGGCCCAAGCGCCACAGACGCGACCATACGTGAATATGTTCTTTTCCCATCGTAGACGGGTCTTTATCCTTGCCCGCAGCTTCGCGTCGCTTGGCCGCATTCGCTAGACGTTCACGTCGACGTCGTTCCTCAGCTTCGTAGTGCCGCGCGTAATGTTCTTGATGATTGAACGTGGAACTCCCTTGAGGATGCATTCGTTCGGCTTGCGCACGAGCACTGGCGGAACCTGTATTGCGAGCTCGCCTTGCTCGTGCATGCCAAGCCGCCGAAGGTCCCGATGCATAGCTGGATTTGCGTGGAATCGTTGGTTGGTAATCTAATTCGGCATCGTACTGTCTTCTGGTGGCTTCGTTCCCCAGTACCGCGTAGGCATCATTCACTTGCAAAAACATTTTATGGGCTTCTTCATCTTTGGGGTTAAGATCCGGATGGTACTTTTTGGACAATCGGTAATATTGAGCTTTGATAGCTTTCTTATCGGCATGGCGATGCACCTGCAATATATCGTAATGGTGCTGTCTGTGTCGTTGCAGTGAGCGTGCAGAAGAATGGAAATACCGTCCAAGCATGAATATTAGACAAAAAAAAGGGGGTGGGGATTCAGTGATTACGATGACGTTCAAAAAGTTTTAGATTATAAAAATTTTAATCCGCGAAAGCATAGCAAATGAACGCTTCCCCCCATACCACCCCATATGACCATTTCAAAATCAATCTATATAATCTCAAGTCTTTCTTTTTAACATTCTCTCGGCAGCAACAATCCCGTGACTTCGTCGTTCTGTTATCCCTCCAATACTGTGCTCTGATATTTAGTGGATTTTGAGCCAAGCGACAGCGACTTACTGCGCTTTACCAGTGCGACTGAAAAGTGCGTTTGTAATTTGTGTTGACGTGTTATTATAACAAGCCGTACACCCGCTGTGCAATGGATGCCACCTGCTACTGGATGCCGCACTCTTGCCTTGAGCGACATTCGTCAGACAAAAAGCCTAACGCAATACGGCATAACCTGGGCGAGACTCTTGATGGAACTTTGGTATATTAATGTCAATACTCTGGCATACCATGAAACACTTTTAATGAACAAAGCAGCACTTATTGATCCCCTCCGTTCTGTCCCGCCCAAGGTTATGATAGATCTACAAAGATGTGTGGGAATGTTGGGTATTTAAAAAAAATGAGTTAGTAAGCTCTTTGGTTGATTCAAATCTCGTTGAGATATTTTACCTTTGATGTTTGATGCAGCAGATACCGAGGGCTTCCCGACCGAAATAAAGAAAGGATACAAATATAAAAAAAAAGTAAATACAATAGGTGCGTCTGTAAAAACCCCCTAAAAACCCTGTGGGAAAAAAAGGAGGAAAAGACTGCAAGAAGACTATTCACTAAAATACAAAATACATACTACAACTACAAAATAAAATGGTCGGGAAGAAATATCGAAGGCGATACCACGGGCAGCAATCCATATGAGAGGAACCTGGGGAGGACGCGTCAGCGTTTCCCGATGAAAAAGAGAGCCACACGACCGAAGATGTCCTTTGACGACAAAAACCGGATTGGCCACAATCTGGTGCCCGAACAAAGTAGAAAGGTTTTGGAGGGATGGATGGCTTGAATGGCTTGCCAGGCAAAAGAAAACCGGAGAGAAAACCAAAAGCTAAAGACAGAATAGAGAAAAAGGACAGGTAAATTTTTTCTTGTCGAAAAACGGATAGTCGTATCACACAAAAGGTACCTTTTTTCATAATAATCGAATCGACCGGATCAGATACACGCCATAGTCTGGATGATGGATGATGGATGCAATGATAGTGAGGGATTTCCAGGCAAACAGAAGAGATGCAAAACTAAAGAAGAAGAAAAAATTCGGACAAAAATATGTGATTTTCCATGGATGAAACAATAGTCACCTCACTGATGCATGAATGATGAGCTACACAGATCGAAGCATATCTGCTCCATGTATCATTCGATTACTGAAGAGAATGAAAGGGCATATACAGTATAACTGACAGATAACCCAAATTAAATGATGCTACAAAACACCAGATCGTCGTATCGTCAATCACCTTTCTTCGAAAAAGAGCTCCACTCACATTTTATGTGAACGGCGACGATGCTCTGTTTGACCACAACTGGTGCAAACGGCATCTTGCTGCTGATTGTTTCGCCTATTATCGTGAAAGTGGGCAGCGAGGCATGGTTGAAAGATGAAAAAAAGGTTTAACAGGTCTTGATAACTTAGTGTAGATCATGTGATTTACAAAATCGCTAATTTTTCAAAGATAATATGCAGAAGTTCAGTGATAGGCAAAGAAAAGCAAAAATATAATAATACTCAAGGCGGTTTATTTTTATTTCTTATCGTCATCCTTCTTTTCCTTCTTCATGTCGTCTAATGCTTTTTGGATACGAGCATCATTGGCATCCACACCAGGTAACGAGCCGAGCACAGCGGATATCATTTCTTCGTTGTCTCCATTGTTATCGTTCATTGACATTTGTAAGGCCCGTTGAAGCTGATCTTCCTCGCTTAAATCTTCCATATTGACATCCTCCTCCTAAAGCATGAGCCATACCAATGTGTCAGTACGATTATTTTTGTACTTTTTGCTTATCGATGTTGATACTGTACCTGGACTTCTTGCGCCTGACTCATCGACATGGCCAAGGCGGCCTGTAATTCTGCGTCTTCAGCATTGATATCTTCGGATGGTGCGGGTTTTGAGTCTATCGCCATACTGTCGTCGCCTTTACCAGATGATTCTCCCTTCTTTTCGCCTTCTCCTCGCTTTGCTGCTTCTGCTTCCTGACGTGCCTTTTCTTCTTCAAGCGAAATACGTAGCGCCTTTTTTTTTTTTCGTAAAAAAAAAGTTTGAATGGTTAGCTTTAGCCCACACCCCCAGTAGGATTTTCGCGATGGCCACACTTACCAATGCCAGTTCAGGATCAAGATTAGGATCGATACCAAATTCAAAGTCACCTCCGCCGGTAGCAAAGCTTCCCGATGAACCTTCTTCACCAGCTATGATAGGAGTAGAGATGAGCATGTCACTCAAGAGATGAGGTCCAGGAGGAATCGTGACCAAATGACTATTGAATAATGCAATACAAATCACGTCAGATCCGTATTTAATACGTTGTCTCTCTTTCTTTCCATAGGTTACGTGATCAGTTATTACCTGTTATTGCTGTTATTCACGGTATTGATAAATGCTTCGAGCTTGGCTGTGTTTTCGGATTCTTCCCCAAAATTCACGACATCAATGGCCACGTTGTTCTTTTTCAGTTTTTTCGCTAGTTTGACCAAGGTTCGCTCGTCCGCTTCTACAGGACTACCGACAAACACGATGATTCTTTGACGTTGGTTTCGATTCTGTCTGTGTTTCAACGCAAGCTAAAAAAAAGACCATTCATACATGCGTTAGGGTACCCAAAAAAGGGGGAGCTGCCAAATGACACAAGGCACACCCAATGCAGGATTCCAGTCAGTGGAACACTTACTTGTGCGATCTGTACACCGGTCAGGAAATCGGCTTTTCCACCGGCCTTAACACCATGTAAAGCACTCAGAATTTTGCCAACGTCCGTGGTAAGTGTGACTAGGACCTCCGGGCTCTTGCCAGCCATGGTCATGAGGCCCACTGTGTTTTCCGGATTGGATTGTGTTTTTGAAGAAAAGACGATATTCACTGCTTCATTCTGTGCGACAAGACGAGTAGGCGAATAATCGCCATTACGCATCCATTCGGAATTGTCCACACTGGAATAATGAAAAAAGGAAACAGCAACGATTAAACTGCGGGAAAACGGTAACGATAAATCTCCAGCGTGGCAACTTACACAATCATTGACGCTTCCATGACCATGATGAAAGTATTTTGCTATTTGATAAAGACGTAAAAGTAGATATTCAGGACACAAGATCGAACAAGTTGCTTGTGAACCAAATATATCGATAAAGCGCGTATTATAAGAGCTGACGCAAGGTGCGGAAGCGATAGACAGACGTCATTCTTAGCTGTGACTGTTTGTGCATTTGGCCGTTGATTTGGATTCCCGCCAAGGTGTTCTCCAAATCTCACAGGCAAAAAAAGCTGCAAGGCACCGAAAGTTTTTGACTCGTTCGCAGAGAAGCCCTTTTCTGGATATGACCGACAATAAAGACGCCTCCACATCACCGCTAGAGAATCACGATGACAAAACTACCACACAATTATCATTGAAAGAGATGAAAACATTTGAACGGTGGCGCAAGGGCTTACAGTATCTCACGGGCTTGGGCATGTCCAAGGAAGAACAAATGCAGTTCGAAGGCCAAGTAAGGGAAGAACTGAAAGAAGGACAATGCAAACAATGCGAACTGTGGAAAGACAATTTATTAAAGAACAGTAAGTGAACAGTGCCAAGATGGACCGCAACAGAGCTTGATGATCTGAGGAAGGGGCATTTGTAGGTCCTTCGGTTCGTTTCATGGTGGATAATTTACAAAAAGTCGGCAAGGAAATGACCAGAGACAGCTTTCAATGTTTTCCTTGCGATGAATCACGAGCGGGTGGATTTTCACCCGAGGAAGGTGTGCTTCTTTGTGCCAATCATTTCAATTCCAAGACGCATCAGGAGACTACCATGGTTCACGAAATGGTCCACATGTGGGATCATCATAAGTTCAAGGTAGACTGGGGCAACCTTCGTCATCATGCTTGCAGTGAGGTAGGTTTTCATCAAAACTAGTTACAATTGACATGGACGCTTACCATTCCATTCACAGGTGAGAGCAGCAAGTTTAAGTGGAGACTGCAATTGGTCCCGAGAGATTCAGCGTGGATTCTACACATTTACCAAACAGCATCAGGCCTGCGTCAAACGTCGTGCCATCTTATCCGTGGCCGAAAATCCCAATTGTAAAAACATGGAAGAAGCCGAACGAGCGGTCAACAGTGTCTTTGACAGTTGCTTTGCAGACACTCGACCTTTTGATGAAATTTACTAATTTATTTCCTGTCAATATCATTTGTAACTTTTTATTGCATCCTAGAAAAGAAATAGAATACTACTACTGAATAGATGTATCCTTTCAACTCACCTAATCTCACTTTGCAGCCATCTTGTTTCTGATCAATTTACCTGCACTGTATAAAGACGAGCATCCTTCCACTTTTTGTTTGGAACATGGGTAAAGGAAGCAATGCTAAAAATCCCTGGAAAGAAAAATCATTTCGTTGATAATCTTCTTTATGTTAACCTGGGATGTGCAGCAAGCGAACCATTAAAGATTATCAAGGTCATCATCGAGTCGATTATCTCAGCATCCGACAAGGGTGGACCATGCGTTGCTGCGGAATGGGAACAGGCGGAGAGGAGCGATCCCCATTCCATTGGGCATTGTCGGTCGGGGTTTGAGGGGGAACCTTTTGAAATGCCGCATTTGAAGCCAACCCCTCCTTTCCTTCTTTGTACTTTCAAGCTTTCCTAAAAAAATGTCCAAAAAGCGATCCATGATGCGCAAGGAGCAATCCGAGCGAGATAGATATAAACATTTGTGCACTTGTTCTGTAAGGAGAGGAGAACATGACTGATTCCATTGATCGAAGTGTTGACTCTTATCGTTGACTTTAGTACTACAGCCAGGTGGCTGCATTCCACCTGGGCTTGGATTCTGCCCAACGTCAAGGAATGCAAGGCTATTTTATTAGAATACCACTGGAGCTGATAGGTAAGTGAGACTATATTATGTATATACCGAATGGTGGACGGTGATTGACCATTGTTGCTTGGAAAAATAAAAGACTTGACGGCAGCTTTTATTGCCAGTATGCTTGACGGTGAAGATATATTGTTGTTTCCCTATCCGAGTTCGGAATCGTTTCGTGCCAACGTGAATTTCATCCAAAAAACACTTTTGAAAGCTCAAATTTCATGGTCATCCCTTATCGCTTGTCTTTGGTATCTCGATCGATTGCCGAGAAAAAGAAGAGATCAACAACGACGAAGAAAATCATGGAGTTCCAAAGATCTGTTTATCGCTAGCATTGTGGTCGCTGACAAATATCTGTAAGCATAATATCGTTCATTTTTTTTTTTTCAATACTTTCACATGATACTGACTTGTATTCTCATACCCCAGTGCGGACATCACCTGGACCAATGCGGATTGGGTCGAAAATACCAATTACGTCTACAGTCTTGACAGAATCAATCAATTGGAGCGTCAACTTCTTCAAGAACTGGATCATCGCTTATTTATTACTGAAGAAGAGTACCGCCAATTTTGTCACTACCTGGAATTTCGGCTACATTTACCGCACATTATGGGAGATGCCATCATGCTACGCTCACTGACCTACAAAGATATTCACGTGCTCAGTCAAGCATTGCCAGCAGCGTACGTTGGTCGTCTGCATCTTTCTCTGCGTCCTTATGAGGCGATTGCTCTTTTAGCCAAGACGGTCTTCTCAATCAGTGTGGTTTACAGTGCAGCAATGGTGATTATGGTATTAGCCGGATATTTGATGCATCAATATGCAGAGTATATCAGAGAAGCGGCCCGGTTACTGTTGACTGAACATCACTTGAAGGAGCATTGCCTTACCCTGGTATTGAATCAAGTTGATTTCCACATGGTCCCTCAAAAACTGGCTCAACTGATGAATGCAACAGCCATTGAGTCTATAAAACGGTACGATCGAACGCCCACTTCCGCTTACCTATTCGTGGATCAATGAAAGCCGGCCATATTGCTTTCTCTTTGTGATTTTCTCAATATGCAATTTAGTTTCCATGTAATAAATAGGTTCTTTGTCCTATATTCCAAGCTGTCGCCATTCGGTTCCCGCAAGGGGTCAAGGGTATTCACTGTTTTCTTTGTTTCTGTGCAGTTTTTGCAGAAAGCTTATTTAGAATTCAAACTCAGAGACAACTTCTGCAAAGAAACGAGTGGAAAAAAAAAAAAAAAACTTGGTCACATTTGTCTAGAAAAATTGCCTGGTTGAGCAACCGCCAAAGAAATGTTGAGGGCAGATTGATTCCACGTCCCAGATACAGAATTTGCGTTATTGTCGTCAAGCAACGCTGTCCACTGATTTTCTATCGCTTCCAGTTCACTCTATCATGAGCTTTGCAAGCGAGTACGACGATGAGTACGGTCCAGTCGTCAGTGCCTGGGGAGATCAGGCCAAGTCAATCATGTCCACGGACGAATCCGAATCCAAAAGGTGGGATACTCTGATCGATCCGTCGGTCAAGTTAGGGCCTGCTGGTATAGGTACTGGCAATCTCCATCGCAAAGGTCGTAATTACATTCCTGTCGATGAAAAGGCCATTTTGCATCAACGATTGAAAACGCCCATTCCTGGTTCAAAGAAGAACAAGTTGATCGCCAATGCCGTCGACAAACGTACTTCGTCCAACCCAAAGCCGGCCAACAAAGATTTTAAACACCACTCGTCTACGGCTCGATCCAATTCGTTCGCCCCAGTGACAGCCAATACCACCACCACCCCGACCTCCTCGTCGCGAATACCTCCTCGCCGTCGACCGGCTTCTCAAATCAACAGTGCTTGGGCTGATCCGAAAGCCTTGGCCATTGATCCCTTTTGGATATCGTCCACATCATCGACATCCGAGCAGATCGAGAAACCCGAGGAACCCGAGGAACCCGCGAAGTCTGAGAAGCCAACCCAATTAAAGCAAGATACCATGGCATCCTTTGCGGATGCGCCTATCTCGACTGAAGCTGACGCGAACCATGCCGCCGGATGGAACAATTTAGCTCCGGAGGAAACTCCATCGTGGCTTCGAGCAGAACAAGAGCTTATTATGGCTCAAAATGCAGCAACTTTAGATTATGGACAGATAAATCGTCCGTCGTTTATGCAGCCAAATTCGGCTTTAGCAGCTAACCCGCTACTGCGTAATGATGTGACGAATATGCGCAAACCGCCGGGTCTGTCGCCTATCCATCTGTACGATCAATTACCGCAGAAACCTTCCTTCATGTCCAACGGTGGATTATCTTCCAGCAATCCCGTCATTGTCATTGTGGATATTGAGCTACAAGAAAATCATCACGTTCCTGTTAGCGTACGCCTTTACGACGATCCTGTGGTCCTGACCAAACTCTTCGCGTACCAGTATAACATTTCATCCACCATCATAATCAGTCATTTATTACAGATGTTTACACAACAAAAAGCACAAGCGCTCGCAAAGCGTCAGTATACCTTGCAAAACTACTAACTAAAAAAGTCCCCCCAAAAAAAGATCTCATCATTATCATCGATCTACTTTATTGACATCATTTCCCTTTGCTACTGTTGTTGGAAGTAACCGAGCATTTATGGAAGCAAATAAATAATACCAAGATTTCCACGCAGCACTGTTCACAGTATAACTTTATGACAAGGCAGAGTATCGACAGGAACAACGTAGATTGAGGAGCTGGTACGGACGTAATTTTCATGAAGAGTCTGCTTCTGATATAAACATAAAAACGCTCAAGAGCTGGTCCAAAAAAGGTACTCGTGCTATTGTTACCAGGCCTACTGCGAGAGGGTCATCTCTGCCGCAAGTTTGATTACGATTGGTTCGAAAAAAACACAAAGACCAAGGCCTATCAAAAGTCTAATCCAGTGGTTGTCATTACAGTAACCGTCGTCTGCCTAGTCGCCAGGCATGGGGATGGCCTGAGAGATATATATCCTTTGCGTGATTATAATAGCTGTTTCTTTACTTCAAGATACATAAATTCGTCTCAGCCACTTAAATACTACACGAATAACAATTGGATTAGAGGAAAGAACGCGAGGTCCAAATCAAACACTTTGGAGTAAAAAGCAGTCGTTAACGTGAATATCACTTCCATTTATGACAAGGTGTGATGCGTTGCAAAGAACATTTCTCTTTATTTAGTACGATGATTATTCAAGCATTGTCAAAGTTGGGAGATCGAGTGATTATCGCTTTTCAAAGACGTGCATACAGCTGAGTAAATAACTAAAAAGGACTCCATGGCTACTTTCTTTTTCTTCTCCCTCGACATTATGATCTGTTACGTCGTAGCTTCATTATAACAAGCCGTACACCCGCTGTGCAATGGATGCCACCTGCTACTGGATGCCGCACTCTTGCCTTGAGCGACATTCGTCAGACAAAAAGCCTAACGCAATACGGCATAACCTGGGCGAGACTCTTGATGGAACTTTGGTATATTAATGTCAATACTCTGGCATACCATGAAACACTTTTAATGAACAAAGCAGCACTTATTGACCCCCTCCGTTCTGTCCCGCCCGAGGTTATGATAGATCTACAAAGATGTGTGGGAATGTTGGGTATTTAAAAAAAATGAGTTAGTAAGCTCTTTGGTTGATTCAAATTTCGTTGAGATATTTTACCTTTGATGTTTGATGCAGCAGATACCGAGGGCTTCCCGACCGAAATAAAGAAATGTACAAATATAAAAAAAAAGTAAATACAATAGGTGCGTCTGTAAAAACCCCCTAAAAACCCTGTGGGAAAAAAAAGGAGGAAAAGACTGCAAGAAGACTATTCACTAAAATACAAAATACATACTACAACTACAAAATAAAATGGTCGGGAAGAAATATCGAAGGCGATACCACGGGCAGCAATCCATATGAGAGGAACCTGGGGAGGACGCGTCAGCGTTTCCCGATGAGAAAGAGAGCCACACGACCGAAGATGTCCTTTGACGACAAAAACCGGATTGGCCACAATCTGGTGCCCGAACAAAGTAGAAAGGTTTTGGAGGGATGGATGGCTTGAATGGCTTGCCAGGCAAAAGAAAACCGGAGAGAAAACCAAAAGCTAAAGACAGAATAGAGAAAAAGGACAGGTAAATTTTTTCTTGTCGAAAAACGGATAGTCGTATCACACAAAAGGTACCTTTTTTCATAATAATCGAATCGACCGGATCAGATACACGCCATAGTCTGGATGATGGGTGATGGATGCAATGATAGTGAGGGATTTCCAGGCAAACAGAAGAGATGCAAAACTAAAGAAGAAGAAAAAATTCGGACAAAAATATGTGATTTTCCATGGATGAAACAATAGTCACCTCACTGATGCATGAATGATGAGCTACACTGATCGAAGCATATCTGCTCCATGTATCATTCGATTACTGAAGAGAATGAAAGGGCATATACAGTATAACTGACAGATAACCCAAATTAAATGATGCTACAAAACACCAGATCGTCGTATCGTCAATCACCTTTCTTCAAAAAAGAGCTCCACTCACATTTTATGTGAACGGCGACGATGCTCTGTTTGACCACAACTGGCGCAAACGGCATCTTGCTGTTGATTGTTTCGCCTATTATCGTGAAAGTGGGCAGCGAGGCATGGTTGAAAGATGAAAAAAAGGTTTAACAGGTCTTGATAACTTAGTGTAGATCATGTGATTTACAAAATCGCTAATTTTTCAAAGATTTTAATTATAATCAATGGAGTCGCGCAGGTCATAAGTGAATCCGGTGGCTCTCAGTTCGTAAAGTTGATGGTCACTTCTGTTTATTGAGTTAACACTTGGTTAAGTTCTTAATGAGAATAGCAGAGGCATCTTGGGATGTCGAGCACATGCGAGAGTCTAATAGAGTAATAAGAGAATTGAGATTGAGAATATGGGACGTGCAGAGGAGAAAGGAACATGAAGAGCGGTTTTCTTTTGACGCAAATGGAGAAACTGGTTGATGCAGCAAGTCGGTTATGCAGGTATTTCACAGCCGGCACTACTCGTCGTCAAACGGGTGACGATCAGATGTCGCCAGGCTGTAAATGTTGAAGAACTTGTCGCCTGCCTTGGCCCAACCGTACTCATATGCTTCAGAAAGTAAGTTGTCCGGGGATGACGGGGCAGAGACGAAGGCCAACGGATTGTCCTTCGGCGGGTTATAGAATGCTGAGCGGGTGAAGTAGGCGTATTCGGTTGCCTCAAGGACAATCGGTGCCCGGTGAACGCTGTTGCGAATTGTATTTTGTTCATGATGGACCACTAGCCTGTCTATCGACTTGCGTACCATTGTGGCATTCCTTTCCAATTTGTAAACGACGTTTACTAAGAAGAAGATCTAAGCCTTGAATTGACCAAATGATGAGAACGTTTGCGGAAAATGGAGATAGCCTTGATGTACCGCCGTGTACACACCAGGACGCGCAAGATGAACCGATCCTACCATGGCTTCCGTTGCGTTCACTTGCATGAAGAACGAGCTGGGGAAGGAATTAGATCTGTGGCCAGGATATGCTGCAGCGAGTCATCCAAGTCGTCCTTGGCTTCGCGCATCAGCTTGGAGCGGCCCAATGTAAGCTTGCTACCCAGGCCATTCTTCGTTGCTTCCACGCACATGAGATCGTGCTCCTTTGCCCTGGTGTCATAAAGGCTGCGAATGCCCTCTTTGAACCCGACATTGACCTCATCATACCGTCTTTTGCGGGCCATTGACCCCGCCTTGGGGCTCGATTCTCCGATTTTCAGACGTAGCAAACCGTGGATGTTAATAACTGCCTCCACAAGGGGTGTCCAGACTTGCACTATGAAATCATATTCGGTTACCCGATCGATATGACTTGGGTCGAGGAGGAATTGGTTCGACTCAATGATTTGTAGTACCACCGTGATCACGTCCAGCAGTTTTTTTTCCTCATTTGTTTTCGTCTTGACTTTCTGAATATATTCCTTTGCTTTATCGGTGTCATTTGTGCGTGCAATGAGCGCGCCCACGACGTCCCATGTTTGCGCCATCACATCAGGCAACGGCACTTCATGAAGTAGGCACTTCGTCACAAAGGGATGAACAAAGTCGTCCATTCGTCGTCTGTGCATCCAAGGAATATCTTTGTGGATTCCTGGTCAACGAGATCAAGGGTGGAAGATAAGCCACACATCATCCAGTGCTGTTGGCAATCGTCGATGGCCTTTCCTGCACTCCATTGCTGGAAAATATTCAAAGCTTTGCGCTTGATGACTGTACCGACAGTTGAGCCTTGAATTAGTAAGCCATCTGTCTCATCCATGGTCAAATAAGAAGCGATAATACGGGCGTCGTCGTTGCCATGGTGGTCGATGACAAGTAGGTCATCATGGCGCTTGTCTTGTGTAGGCTTGTCGTCGTCGCGAGGGTTATCGGCAGAGGAAGCGGGGATGTTTTCCTTATTAGAGTTATCCAAATCATCAAGCGTGTTGTCAAGTTCTTTCCCGAAATGAGCGGCTCCAAGACGTGATAATTTGATGCCGTTCACGCGACCGCAGTCTATTGCTTTGGCCTTTTCAAGCGTCAAGTCAAAGGCGACGTCAAAAGCAGCACTGATCTTCTTGGACTTGTACCAGGTTGCAAGCGATAAGCAGTAAGACGCGACAGGTGCATCGTCGCATCGATGTTTGGCAATGATATTTAATGCGTTTGTCCCCTTTCACTTTCTTTGCTGCTTCATTTCGTTGGACGCCATCCTGGAGCAACTCACCGAGCATAAGATTGAAGTTCGCCCAGTCACGCACTTTCAACACATGGAAGGGCTAAAGGCACCTTGAATAACGAGCACTCTTTTTGAGACAAACAAAAGTCTTGTCGAATGCCAAATGGCGTGGGACGGCAGTTCATGGCTTTGACAACAATAGTAGGGAAACCCTATTTTTTTGGCCAACACTACAGGCACTCAGTTTTCCACTCGAAATGTAATTAGCGTGACATCACAGTAAATCCTTCAACAAAATGACCTCTCCAGACACTCGGTTTCGTCTTTCATCTTGCAACCTTTTCGTGTGAATCTTCTATATTTTACTTTCTGTATTACCCGTACCGTATTTATTTATATAAAAACGCTGTTGTCTTCTATGCCCAATCTGCGTGGAATCCCGTCCAATGCTTGTCTTCTTTCATCATACTGTCAAATAAGTGCATTTGTAAGATACTGATATATGGCGAGTATTTTCGATATACTTTGTAGCCTGATTTTCTTTAACTGTCTCAGTCAAGTCTACCACTTCCATCATCTCAGAGCTAACCGGTTTTCTACAGATACAGCTGCTCAATTTCCAAGCTCATTTGTGGATACAATTAGTGACTCACATTTTTTTTTGTCGGATGACATACGCCGTCCTTTAGAAAATAGTCCTTCATTTCTCGGACTGCTTGAGTCATATCCTTCTCCGTGATAGCACCCAGGGCAATTTTCTGAAACATCTCGTGGATATCAAGCTGCACGAGTTCCCTTTTGCCTTTATCCTTTTCCGCCACCTGGTTCATCAACTGGATCTTGAAGTTTTGTTGAAGGTGGATGTAGCACAGGATATTGTGTGCTGCAGGGAAAACGTTTGCAATTGCAGCTCGAAGCGTATCAGTTACAATGACAGACTGGAGGTTGAGCTTTTCTTCAAGATTCTCGGGCCAAACGGCAGCTTTAAGAGACTTCAAGGCCCATTCATAGTTATGGATTTGCTCTTCACGGATCCAGGCACCAGCGATCTTGAAAGTGGCCAAGGAGCCCACTTTTTTGGACATGACATTGCTGGTTCCAACAATATTCACGAAAACGAGCTTGTGTATGTTCGACAATTTCGAGTGGGAAACCGTGTGTCTGTAGTGTTAGCCTTTTTTTTTCCTATACGACGCCTGATCCGCGACACACAAATTTCGTATTATCATATTCCCCAACAAGGTGCGAAATCCGCAGATGGCCCGGTGGAGGAAGCTGCCTTTGAGGTATCTCGTTGCACAGTAAGCTGAATAAAGAAGCCAATGAGCTTGACGCGCGGTATATGTACACGGTCACCGTTATGGGCAATACTCACGATCTTGGCTTCAATAAAGAGTTATGCAACGATCGGCAAGCTGGGTTTGTTCCATTACATGAATCTCTTCAAACGTAGAGAATGAGGCAATAAATTTTCCGGGGAAAGCTACATAAGCAAGCGAAGCATTATAAAGCAAAACAGCAGCTGCATTATGCAACTTAAGAATCCGTGCAAACTGCGTCTGCGATAAAATATTCCGGATAACCTCTGAACTCTAATGAAATGTTTGGTGAAGAAGTAACATAATTGATCGTAATCAGAAAGATATAAATTATGTTGAGACGACATTTAGTAAGAGCAAAAGAAAAGGAGAGATGGGATAATAAAGGCATGAATCATTAGTTCTGTGATCTATATCTGCTTATAGTCGCTGATGGATCGTTATATCTGTTGATAAAGAAAACGTTTATTCATTACCTATGCTTTTCGGCATTTGTGACCATCTGTGACCAAGTTCACAAATTTGTGGCCCCGACTTGGAATGCTGTGAATTGTTTCGTGTCTGTGTTCATCTACCATGTCTAGTCAGGCCAAGTTTCAAGCATTTGCGAATTATGATTTCGATAACGATGGTCGATTTCAGGTATATACAGTGATACAGAGGCTATGCAATATTTGGACAATGTCGTTAACGTGAGGCATAACTTAGTCGGGGGTATCCGCCATTGTAAATCAGCAAGCCGATAGTAATCAAGGGGACGTACTGGAGAAGGCCAAGTGGTTCTATTATAACAAGTCAGTTGCTTGAACAATGGAAATAGATAGGATGAATACCATATATTCAAAGGGAAATTGTTGTCACTGGTATATCAGGTTTATTGAAGCTTTTGATTATGATGAATATCAAGCGTGGAAAGCGGGGACCCCAGGTGCTTCTGATGGTGGTGAAGAAAAACAGGGTAACAAAAATAATAATGATATCATGGTTCTTAAAACGTGATACGCATTTCTTTTTTACTCATACATTAGAAAGATGCAGAACAAAGTCAAGACGATGAACGACCACCGCGCCTCACATTTCAAGAAATTGTGCAGATGATCGAGACAGGCCAGGAGATACCAGGTAATGTTGAGGAATGAAAAAGCAAGGATCCATTGCAGCCGCCCTTTGTATCATCCGATGTCATGTGAACTAAACAAAGCAAAAAAATTTGTATGCATTGGGGCATTATTTTAGGAATCAAGCAAATTCCGGACACGCTGAATGAAGGTACACCCAGTACCCCAAAGTTGAAAGCACGACCCAAGCCATGGGAAACCAAGAGGGAACCAGCCAATGTCACATCAGCCAACGATACATCGAAATAACTCAACACTCTACGGTATTGGATGCCTTTTTTTTTCTATTTGATTTCCTTGGCTGGTAAAAGGAAATACAATGGGGAAACCCCAATGCTCCATCCTTGGTGTATGACGAAACTTGCTAAACATTGAATCGAGCTAGTAAGAAAAAAAATGCATATTTTATCGAGTGGAATATTACAAGACCTGCATGAAGAATAGAATTATGCAATCCAAAACAGTCAAAAGGCAGAAAGATAAAAATCGGACCCACTATTCTACCGAGGCAGTGGTGGAATCGGATGAAAAACAACAACAAAGGAAAAAAAAAGGATAGTCATTGCATAGGGCTTATACGATAATCTGGATGGAGACAGGTTCGCGGGAATGAATGTGTTATAAATAATCCAATGTTGTTATAGTCAAACCATGACACTTACAGTACACCACAGGAAGCTAGATTGTTTTCCTATTCTTATCCTGTTTTTGTTTTGTCAGAAGATAAGAGACCTGGCGTGTCAAGAAAAAAAAACTTTTTTCCTGAGAAAAGTGAAATGCAATGCATGCATGTCAAGCCGAAATGATACAGATTGCAAAAGATCCAGGAGAGGAAAAAAAAAAAAAATAAGGAAAAAAGAGAGGACGACGGGTGGGTGGCAATTGCCTCATTAAGGAGGATTATGGCTGTAGCCATGGAGTGATTTATCGTATGACTTTGATCACCGAGTTCGATGCAAGGAAAGCCTGGTTGGATCCATGATGGTGCACCTCGCATCGGATGGGTTTCTGCATGCAAATGATATAAAAAACTAAAAAGCAAATGGCGGACATAATTCATCCTCTCAAATAAATTCGCCATTTTTGGAGCCGGTGGATGGAAGAAAATAACCTCTCTTTTAGACAAAATAAAGGGATTATGCACTTGCTTGAAGATTGAACGGCATCATGAAAAAAAAGAATTACTTTGCCCTTTTTTTTGCCTATATATGGTTTTATATCTCTTTTTATAGCCATTTTTTTTTTTTGTTTTTCATACATATTCCTTTTTTTTTCCTGGACTTAGTTTTATTTTGATATTTCATCTCTCTCTCTTTTTGTTCCTTCTTTTTATTGATTCTTCTTTATATTCTTTTTTATTTTTTGTTTATCGTCAGAACCAAACGAGTAGCGGTTTTTATTGACACGTACTATTCACCGCTCGAGTTTTTGAGTTTCTGTACTAGTTATCATTAATAGCTCTTTCATTGTTGTGGTGCTCTTTTTTTATTATTTCATCCTGAAATTTTTGTCGGCTACCTAGCGACTGTAACACTCGGTAATGATCTTTGTCTTGTCAAGTAACAGTAATCCCATTAGACAAATGTTGACTCATTTTTTTCGTTTTACATAGAATTCTCACCATGGATATCAGACACCTTTTATGTGAACCTTGTAATGATGTCAAGGCGTGGTATCCTATGCTCCCTAAATCGGCGTTCCAACCTGTGGATTATTCTGACAATGTGATCCATCATCATTGTATCAATACTCCCAGTCGTAGTGTCAGCAGCAGTAGTATTAGTAGTGGGGGCAGTACCAGTAGCAATACCAGTCAAACGAATTTCTCCCCACGCGACAGTTGGAGTCCACCCACTCACTACAGTCGGCGACGTACCAACAGTGCCGGCAGTTCAGTGTCGGTGACACCGAAAACGAATTATTCAGCTACGAACCGACGTCGATGCACATCTGCAAGTGGAGCGCCCAATGCGGTGACGCAACGAACACCCTGGACCCCCATGGAAGACCATTTGCTCCGATTGGGTTACGAGCAAGGTTTGTCGTGGGCCATGGTTTCTTCGACGTATTTACCTCACCGATCCAGAGGTTGTTGCTGGGGTCGCTTCAAGACGTTACAAAACAAAGATGCAATGACAACGGCACGAGAATCCAACCGATTTGGAAAATTTGCTTAATGCAATCATCAAAATAAGCTCTGTTTTCCCGTTCCTTGCGCCTCGATTTCGATTTTTCGACTATATTTTTTCGACCTTTCTTTATGCCATTTCAATTTCCATTGGGCCACATCATCCATCATCCCTCTCCTTTCTTTCATTTTTTATGCACGTTTTCGTTTTTTTTTTCAATGCCTTTATATATTTTGCCAGATCCATGCTTTGAAAGATGTTTTAATTATAGTGTTTATCTTGTTATTTGTATGCTTTATAGACCCGGTCATCCATTTTTTGTCATATTCTCAATTTTATGCATAAATTAGACATGTCTCTAAAAAATCGTCACACTTTTTTTTTTGGGGTGGGAGGAAAAAAAAAGGGAGATTCCCAGCTTTCTGTATTTGATTGGCATTTTTATCTCTTTTTTCTTGGCCTTTGGATATGGTCAAAGCAGTGACGGGCGTTTTACTGGAGTGTGATAGTACAGTAAAGCAAATCATACTGAATCTCAATAAGCGCGGAAACTTTGTTATCGAAGATCTTGACGACACTCATTTGTTCATTGAAGCTTCGTGGGTTAAACAACTTCAGTACGAACTGGATCGCATCTTGGACGAAAACTCGTATACCATTTCCGGTGAAGATAAAGAAAGTCGCAACAAAAACTAGTCAGCACTTGTCCATCTCTTTTTTACTTTCCTATCTCTCGAAACTATTCCTGTTCCTGTATACCAAAATGAGTTCCCAAAAACGAAATATGCGATGTCCTCAATGTGGCACCAAACGATTCAGAAAGTCGGCGGAAGGTCATTACATCTGTAAATATGGACATCAGTTGCTGGTAAGCTTTTCTTTCTGTTTTGTTGTCTAGCAACTTACACTCGCTGGGTTTGTTCATTTCCAGGGTTGGCAAGAAGAAACCGCAGATGAGACCGTACCTCCTACAAGTCGTTTGAAACGCAAGAAACACAAAAAAGTGATTGAAAAAAATAACCGCAGTATGTCTGTCGCACACACTCCATCTTTGGTTATTCTCGGTTCACTCATCCTTTGTCTCGCTTGCATAGAATTGTATGGCGCAGAGTTACGCACGCTGACGTATCGTATTTTCCAGTATGGTTTGCGAATGATGGCACGAACGTTTGTACGCGATATCGGATTACCGGCTGAATTCGAAGTATGTTTATCCCAGGGGTTTGGTTCTGCTTTTTGAAGCATCGTTAGCTGATGCTCTTTCTGTTAGTATGTGACACGTGAACTGTGGATTCTCTATGTTCAGGACGCCAACATCGTTTTAGCGGATCAGCATTTGTTTGAAGATGAGATCAAACCGCGACGCCGAAAACATTCCATAGACGATGATCTCGATCTCGATTTACAGTTGGCATCCGATGACGAACCTTCAAGCAGTGCACCCATGGTGATGACGAGCGCCACCTCTACGGATACAAAAAGCACCAAGTCCCATTCATTGAGCTTTCAGAATATCATTACTCTGTGTTACCTGGCGTGTCGTTGGTTACGCTGTCCGGTGCTGGTCAGTGATATCCGCCGTTGGTGTATCACGGGTAAACTTCCTTACCTAAGACTCAACAACTCGATACCTGAATCGATCCGACTTCAGTTGGATAATCGGGACCTGCAAAATTTGCGAGTCGTCCCAAACGTCAGTGGATTACATCGACAAGCATTGCAGTTTATGCAACGATATGAAAAAAATTGCCAACTTGTCTTTCCAGAGATCAACCACCCACTGATTCTTGCTCGATTCTGGCATCATTTTGTTTTACCTCGTAAGTTCGTTGTTATTGAAAAACGCATGGTGAGAGAATTTGTACAATGTGTTAACTCATTGGATCACTACCAGCGGATATGTATTTCTGCGCGATGGGATTGTATGAAATGCTCAAAGAAAAGGGATACCATAAACGGTACCGCTGGGAAGGAGAATCGCCTGACGTGCAGTGTATGATATGCATTCTCATTGCGGTCAAGTTCATTTACGTCTTGAATGATATTGAGTAAGTACAGCTATCAGAAAAACGAGAAAAAGGAAAATAGGAAGTGTTGATCATGGCTTTTACAGTGAGGGAGATCCCTATTACGATGACAATGCGCTGAATCCGCCCTTACCAAAATCGACTTGGTTAAAACTTGTAACAACCAATGCGGAGCGATGGCATCGTACTATAGATACAAGGTTTGCAACCATTATTGCTTCATTTCTTGCTTTATACGAATGTCGCGCGTATCTAACCCCCCCCCCCACCATTTTTTTTTTCAAAGTGCAATCAATTCGCCCGATATTGATTTTGGCCCGCTTATCAAATACATTGACGAGTTCGCGAGCCGACAAATTCATTACCGTGGTCGAGCAAATAAAAGTAAGTGATGGTGGCGATCGATCGGAGTGCGTAAAACAACCTCTTTCTCACACGGGACTTGGGATTAGAAAACATGTTGCAAGATTATATGCAGCGTCTAAGCCGTGACTTGGGAGCAAGCTTTAGTGAGCCAAGTCTGTCGTCTGACCATGATGTCTTCCTTAATTCGTATCAAGATCTTTTGGAAACCGTGGCGAAGCCTCGCGCATCAACGTACCTTGCCGGTAGTAAATATCTGTGGTACGGTGTCGATCGGAAGGACGTTTTCCCCAAAGAGTATGAATCCGTGGTTGGTTTCGGAGCAAGCATCCTGGAGATTGAAGTTATTGAACTTCAAGCACACTTGCGAAACGCCGAGAAAAAGCTGTACTTACACGCTAGACACAAAGGAATTGTCCAGGATCCGTAATTTCCCAAAATTTTATCACCGTTTCTTTTTCTTCTTCTCCTTCCATGTTTCATATTTCATCTTTATACTTTACTTTTACATCCAAAACCTTTCTTGAAAATTGTTTTTATCGTTCCTTTTATTGCAAAACTTGTCAACATTCAGTTAGCATCATTATCAAGAAGCCATGACATACGGCGCATCTGTCGATTTTGAATCCTGCAAATATAAAAGAAGGCGCAGGATATCCTTGATATCTCTTCTACTTACAAAGTCCTCCAATAATGGAAACATGTTTCTGATTGCCTTTCATAAGCACAGGCGAGCGATTGACGATCAAATAGGTCTTTTTCTTTCGATTTCAGACGGAGACAGTTTCGAAGGGTTGTGTTCAAGCATAAAATCAAGACAATAAGGAGCAGATCCACACATAACTAGAAGCAGTGTGCGACTAGAAAAAATCCAAATTGATCTATGTAGCAATAAAATGTACCAAGTCTCATAAGTTGCTCACGAACTATGATAGGAAAGTTGGTTTTAGTCCGTCATCACACGGAGTTCCCTAGTTTTCTTATTGTTTCACTGTGCGACCTAGGTGATAAGACCATCGGAAGGGTTCCGTGCCCGTTTCAAGGAATGGCTCAGCGATACCTTTGGTTGTCATGAGTATCCGTAGCAATTTTACGGCATATTAAGCCGATCAGTCCGCGGTAAACAACTTTCATAGGAACCGAACCGGTGTGCCTGGAAAAAAGGTCCAACACACTGAGTTTTTATTCGGGGATAACACGACTGTATCACGGCAGAAAATGGGTCTTGCATTATGAACGGAAGTGACATTTGTGACATGCTCATGTCATGACAGTTTGTTTAGGCTTATAGCTTTTCTGGCAGGCAATCCAAGGCGTGTGGTTCTTTGAAATTTGGGGTGATGACGCAATTCTTTTTTGTTCATATAACGCGCAATGCAGGCTGAACGCCCTTTTTCTTTGTCTTTTGACTCCCTACTGTTTTTTTCTTTACCGTCTTACTGTTCTTACCGCTTTCAACATGCCTTTCTCCAAAGTTTCCAAAATCCACCTGGCGACTATCAACCAGATGAAAACACTCATCAAGCTTTCTCAGTACGTGTTGAACCAGTGCTTACTTTGCTGACTTTTTTACTGACGTGTAATTGTGTAGCGCTGACGCCCACGCCAGTTCTTTGATCGTGGAGGCTGCGCCGAAATTTAACGTGATGACGAAATTGAAGCGCGATTCCATTGCCAAGATGGAAAACCGCAAGCTCGCCGATGAGTTCGAAGCCTTGAAGGCAGAGGTGCAAGACCAAATTGAGTTCGCTGAACTTTGTGCCGCTTCTCCCCCCGTCCGTTCGCCCGTTGTTGCGCCCGCTTCTGTGGCTTCTTTCGTTCCTTCGCCCGTTGCCGTGGCTGCTCTTACTCCCTCTTCTCCTGTGGCTGCCTTTGTGCCCAATTCTTTCCCGGTGTCCGTTTCCGCGTCTGTGCCCGCGTTGGTTTCCTCTGCTGCGGCCGTGCCTTCCCTTGCCGCCTTTTCCATTGCTGTGCTTGCTCCCGTGTCTGTCCCCACTTTCTGTTCCCGCTGGTGCTCTTTTCGGCCAGCAGTCGAAAATCAAGAACAACAGCAGCAACGTTTCTTTGATGAAGAAACCCAACAAGAATACATCGACGATCCCATGGACGTCGATCATCCAGACGAGTTGGTCGACTGGATGGACGCTCATCATTAGACGTCCATCCAGGATGCCTTACAGTACCATTCGTACAGGTAATTTACTGGGTTCACAAACCCGACTGAAGAGCCATATTTAACTCCTTTTTATCCTATAGCCAAAGGCAACAAAAAAATGATGATCGACGTCCATACCTTTTGTTTCAATCGTAAGCGTTTTCTGCATGATCAATACGTTCCGTGTGCTGATCTATGATGTCGTTTCTGTAGAGCACCAGGCGGCATGCCTCTTAAGCCTGTTGAGGTTATACGTGGCGTCGGACATCCATGAACTCCTCCGGCGTAAAGGATGAAATCGCCCGGAGCATACGCGACAAACGGATGACCAAAAGTACTTGAATGGTAAGAAGTCCACAGAAGCTGCTTTGAATTATCATCAAACTCTGATTTTGTTTGATTCCGTATATTGTAGGTCCACCAACCGATCGAAGAAAAGCCGATAGGACGACGAAATGTCTCCTATCGGCTGTACCCATTGTACCACCCTCTTCCTGCCAGCGAAGCATGCCAGGATGTTTCCCCCACCCGTTCTTCTTCTTTTCACTGATAGGATCCTAAGTGAAAGAGGCCAAAAAAAAAAAAAAAAATGAAGGTGAGATATAAAAAAAAAGAAAAAAAAAAGGAAAAAAAAAATAGGTAGGACGTATGCTAGGCTCAGTAGCTGCCGCGATCCCTGTCACAGCACCGATACGGACGCGGGTTCCCCTGTATGAACTCACCGAGCCTGCTCGCCCAGACCACCATACAAGTACGATCCAATATATGCATGTTTGCTCCGAGTCTGACGCGGTTGAAGTCCGCCTTGATATGTACTTCCGGTAAGTAAATTGAAGCACCAATACAAACCTTGAAAGCGGATTGTCTAACTGAAAAGAGTCGTTTCATATGTAGAGAACCTCGGCTTCGGCCGTGGTTCCGCCGGCAAGGGTAGATCGCGTCGCATAGACTACGGTTACGAAGCTAATTAGTGTCTGCAACAGCATCGGATTGTGCGCCATACAGGGCATGATGTGGAAAGGGCAGTAAGTGAGGTCTGCAGGTGAGTTCTCCAGCGTAAATACTGTAGATGAGGGTCTCCCGTAACAGGAATTTTATGCGGCAGTGGAAGGTATAGTATGCGTCCTACCAAATCTCACGGCCTCAGGATCCCACCCATTGTACTGTATGTCATAGCATCCTGCGCATTAATTCTTTGTATATCCATATTTTCTCAATGCTGCCTACAAGGCTATCCAATATGTACAAAAATAACCTCTTTTCTCAATGATGGAAATATGTACGCCTAAACGATATTCCTACACATCCCTATATTGTGCGTTATTCCCAACGTTGTAATAAACCGTGCTTTGGTGGCTTTCATTACAGTTTACTGCATAATTTTCACCAAACATGGATGAGCAACAGGTGATGGTTAATTCGTCAACCTATTATTTTTCTGAATCTTGATTCGTTTCTGTTGAACAAACTAGGAATGGAGTATCTGTAGCCTTTCATTGAATGACTTTTCGATGACCACCACCAAAGGCGAATCATGTGAAAGAGAATCCACAAAAGTTGAGCTAGACTATTTTTCTCGGGCCATCGGCCAGTCGATTCTCTAATTCACAGACAAGGTTTTTGTTTGTTATTCATGCTGGTAGACAGCTTACTGTAGCAGGGAGTTAAGTTTACTGCGGCAATATCCCCAAAATAATATAGTAATAGTATGCTTGATCATTTTAACCATCATCAAAGAAAGGGATCAAATCGCAGATTGATGGCTTTCTTTGTTTACGATTATTTGTATAAATACAACTGCTTTTTCACGTAGTTTCTTTTTCTTGATCGTACCGTGGCTCTCTGAATAGAGCCATGCTTTTCAGATTAGATCTTGGCTCGCAGACGAGGTTGGAGACGGAGCTTGAGGTAGACGACCAAAAGGACACCCAAGATGTATGCAGCACCAGTGAGAATGGAGTAACTGAAAAACGGTGGCGTTTGGACCGACTCCTCAATCGCGCCAGCGATATTGGGTCCAAACATACTGATCACCGTTACCACCAAAAACAACGAGAAACCTGACTCGAATTTTTCCATTCCCGTAATGGTCGCCGTCACTGAAGGCGCTGAAAAAGTGGTTGCTGGTTAGCGTCAGTTTTTCCTTTTTAAAAAAAAGATCCAGCTGACCAACACACGCTAAAGTACATCCTCTAGAACTTACCCAGAGAAATGAATGCCCCACCAAAGAATCCAAAGATAGACGAATAGGCCATCAACATGGCAAAATCATGCGATAAGGTCCAGATGGTGAGCGAACTCACACCAGCGAGTAATGAACCGAAAATAATGGTATTCATATGACCGAATCGATCAGCTGCAAGTCTGACAAAAAGCGATCGTTTTAGTAGCGAATTCAACTCCCAATCATTGCCCAATTATATATCTTACCCACCAAGTATTCGTCCGACCGAGTTGAGACCTGAGGCAACGCATATCAGCGCCGAGCCTTGGTACGATGTTAATCCCAAGTAGGTTGCATGAGCTGTACCAGTGAACAAACATCATTTAGCCGCTGAAGTTTTTTTTTTTTTCGTTTTCACCCCCCCCCCCCCCCCCCCCCCCCCCCCCCTCCCCCTCGGGGAGCGCAGGCAAAAGAACTCGGTAGGGTACTCACATGGTAAAAAGAAGTAAGGGATATTAAATGCACTTTCCATCAGAATGTCGGACATGCACCAGATGATGAAATTGAAATCCTTGAGCACAGACCATTCGACGACGTCTTTCAGTTTCATAGGAGGTACGTCCTCTTGGTCGTGCGATGGCTCGCTGGAAGCATTGGTCGGACGACGTACTTTGAATAAAAGACAAGTCGGCAAACCTACAAACAAACTAATCCACCCCATAATACGATAACATCTACAAATTTTGCACTTTAAAGGACTGCTCAACCGCACCAGTTGACGTTGTTTTGTTTTTTGCTTTACCGTTGAATGCCCAGTTGTTCATTCATGCTTGTCATAATAAAAGGCATAACGAGACCACCAATGCTGGGACCACAAGAAGAAATGCCCAAAGCTGTGCCACGATGTTTTGTAAACCATTGGGGGACCTGACTTGTGGTGACCTTGATGATCATCCGGTTAGTTTAACAGGATTGAGGGGATGTTTCGTAAAAATGGTATCTACTAACGTAGAAAATAATGGCAGCGCCGACACCATACAATGCACCTTGGGTCAAATAGAGATGCCAGATCTACCGAGACCAATGTTATCCGGTTGACATTATTTTGTCTAAAGCGAGCCGAACGACTTACTTTGGTGCTTAGACTTGCAAATTCTAGCCCTGCAACACAGCATAAGACAGCCGAAATGAGCAACGTTCGAGCTTTGATGACTGAAAGTAGTACTTGAGCAAACGGGCCGAGAATATTGACTAAAATGTTGGCAATGGTGCCAATAAAGCTGAGAGCAATAGTCTGGGAAGGAAACATCTTTTGTTCATAGGAGTCTTGCATAACGCCTAATCACATACAACAACAAGAAAAGACATTAGAGTCTGTAAGCCCAGAAATAGCAATCTCCAACGCTTCACTGACCCCTAATGACCGCCACAGAAACATGGGTTTGATTGACAGAAATCCATTGTTCAATACATATCTTTACATATGAGTCTTCTCTTTCATTTACCAACTGGTGAGGATACCAAAACTGATGACTTGGAGTAAAAAGGCCCCAAGAACAATGAACCATCCATAGCCACCATCCGGTAGATATTCATCAGGCGATGAACTTGAAGGAGGGATTTTCTCGCTGACGGTTTCTCGAGACGCTGTGTCTTTTGTTTGTTCGTCTCATGGTTTAGAAAAAAGATGCGTTAAGCTGCATGAATTCGTTACTCACCTTGCTGTACAGATGAGTGAGTCATCACCGATACTGATTTATCCTCACTGTTGTTGACAGTGAGACTCTCCAATGAACGATTATCGCTAATGATCATGTTAAAAAGGACGGCGAGACAAAAAGGTCCTACAAAATTTCAGAGGATACAAAAAGAAATTCAAAGCAATAAAAATTAAATACATCATGAAAGTTACAAAGTATTTTCACCAGACATTTTGCTGTAGCTGACATTAGGTCACTTTACGTCGTTTCAAGCCGACAATCAATTTCATGCCACTCATGTTCGGTCATTCCCTTTTGAAATTTGACCGGGCAACACGCATAACATGACAGAAAATGATGAATAATGAGAAGGATCCATCCATCTTGGAAACAATGATAGAAGCGCATGTTCTATTGTATATTTTTTTTCATCATTATTTTTCGTTTTATTTTGTATTATTGAATGATATGATGGTTTGGTTTATATGCACAAAAAGATGAGTGAAAAAGAACCTAGGTTGCGGGAGGGGGAGAGGGAATATGGGTTTAAATAAATTGAGGAGCAAATTTTTGGACAGAAAAAAAAGTCTAAATTTTGGCAAAGATCTTGTTTTTGCACATCTTCATCTTCAAGATAACGAGAATCACACCGCCTATCACGTAAGCGAGACCGGCGAACATTTTGTAGGTAAAGTAGGGTTCGGCATTCACATGGGTTTCGATGGCGCTCGAAATACTGGGACCAAAAACGGCGAGGATACTGAATAACATCAACACTGATAAACCAGTGGGATATTTTTCCATGCCGAGAATCGTGGCCGTAATAGGTGACACTAAAAAAAGTTATCAGCGAATAAGTCGATTAAGAAAAATGGGAATTCTGGAAAAAAGAGAGGGACGCAGTCGTTGCACACTTACTCAACGCAAAGTAAGAACCACAGGTGAGACCGAAAATGACGGAAAACGCCATCAACACTCCATAGCTGTAAGCGAAATTCCAGATCAAAAGATTGCTTAAACCGCAAATGAAGGTGAAGATGATATCTGCATTCAGTCGACCAATCATATCGCCGATCTGGCCAACCACCACACGACCGGTGAAATTAGCAGCTGACATGACAGCAATGAGCACGGAACTTTGAGACGGAGTCAGACCAATGTAACTGGCATAAGCTGGGAAGAAGAAAAAAGAAAAAAAAAGAATGAGCAAAAATCGGGAATTACCAAAAGGAGATTTAACCATAAATAGCCGAACAAAAAAAAAAAAACTTACATGGAACAAAAAAGTAAGGCACAAAGTAACCAGCGAGCGAAATGACAGAACCGATAATCCAGATAACAAATGTGCTGTTCTTGAGTACATCAAGGGAAAGAATGGCACTCAATTTCTTCATGCGCTTCTTGGCCGGGAACTTCTCCTTGATCACGATACAGGTAATGACATCACAGACGAGGCACACAAAACCGAGGATGCGGTAAGTCCAGCCAACACCGAGTGTATTGTTGAGCGGGGTCAGGAAGAAGGGGAACACAAGACCACCGATACCGCCACCACTGGCGGCCAAACCCAGGGCAAGACCTCGACGACGATTGAACCACTGCGGAGTAATGCCCATGGCAATCACCCATAAGAAAGAAGCACCCGCACCGAATAAAACACCTTGCGTCAGATACAAATGCCAAATCTGAATTGGAACAAGAAGAAAAGAAAAAGTACACAGATATGAGTCATGAGTGATACGCGATGGTTTAAAAAGGAAAGCAGAATAAAAAAAAATCATGGTGGTGGCATTTTTTTTTATATACCTTTGTACTAAAACCGGCCAATTCCAGACCAAGAGAGGCCAAAATGGTACCGGCAATCAAGACGACTCGGAAACCAAAAATGGAGGCCAAGACTTGTGCCAATGGACTCATCAAGTTGACGAAAACTTCCATCAAGGTACCAGCCCAACTGAGTTGAAATTGCGCATCGGGTATGTCAGTAAAAACGTGCTGGTCATAATAATCTTGCATGATACCTGTGAAGGACAAAAAAAAACTATAGAGTGAGCATCAATGTTGATTTTTTGAGAAGCTTTTTCTTATGTCCACTTACCCCTAAAAGAAGAAAATCGCGAACAAAAAAAAAGCGCGTAAAAATGAAAAAAAAAGATAATGTTAGTTCAACTTACTACCCATGACAAATATCAAGGATAAAACAAAAGAAAAAATGTTGAAGTAGCAGTAGCCACTATGACCCATAACCTGTGCAAAGGTTTTGCCATAGCTTCGTTTGTACCACGTCAGGATTGCCTACCAGCTAGCAGCAGTACCGAAACTAGTGACTTGAGCCATGAACGCGCCGAGAACCACAAACCAACCGTAGCCTCCGTCTTCCCAATCATCTTCATTTTCGGGAAAGACATACGCTTTGCGGTTGCTTGCTGATTCACAGTCCTTCTCGTTAACATCTAGCCATATAAAAAAATGAAAAATGATAAAAAAAGAAAAGAACGTCCGGTAAGTACAAAGTGTTCCAATGGGATCATTAAAAAGGGAAAGCCATCATTGCACAAAATGATTGGAATTTCTCTCTCTGCCAAAAAGAGTTTTTCGGTGACATACGGTTCGAAAGATCACTGGGTTCTTTGGTGGTTTCCAGCACTGCCTGGTCCGCCGCAGGCAATCCTTTCGTTTCATACACGGTATTGACCGAGTTGACACTCGCTTCGTTAATCACGGTCGGATCCATTGAATGATTTTTTTTAATTGCACACAATTGGTAAATAGGAAAAAAATAAAAAAGATAAAAAAAAAATTGGTATTTAAAGGAAAAGAAAAATGTTTGCTTTAAAAGATCAAGTTCAATCGACTGCCAATGGTGCCGTCTGTTTTATAGAAGAAAAAAAAACGCAATTCATCTTCCGATGCCATATTCCATGGAAACCAATCAATGGCAGCTATGAAACCACCGGAATCATGAGATGGCGGAAGAGCTGACGAACTTTCCTTTCTGGTTTCAGCCGATTTTGCCTGCTGTTTCCTGCGCATGGTACTTCCTGGATAGGTTCGTAGTTTCAAACGATTCAACATCCGCCGAGCTTTTTTGTCTCAATAGTAGGTGTGTAGCCAGCATAAAACTGATGTTATATCGGAAAGTAACCCACCCTACTTGGTTTCCTTTTTTATTCCATCGTTTCCCAGGTTGCACAATTCCGCCCAAAACCCAACCGATTTCCATCGTATGCATGAGATCAGTCAATTTTTTTTTCCGGTAAAAATCATGTTTACCCAGTGGGGAAATCATGGAAGCGTTCTTTGTAGATGTTTAGATGTTCAAATGAATAAATTTACAGTTTTTCCCGATCTGCAGTGTAACATTTTCTACATGGTTGTGTAGATATGGGATCCATGAGAAATGGGAAGCAAAAACAAAAGAAGGTCAAGAAAGATATTAAGAAGAACACACAAAAGTAACAAAAAAGCTATTTATCAAAAATTTAAAAAAAAATAGTGAACACAAAAGGAATCGATGCAAAAATCAGTCTCTTCTTTTTTTTTTTTCTGTGGCATGCATGTTGTTGTATTATTATGACATTGACATTTGTTTGGACGGCGTACTAGGAAGCGAGGTGCGATGATTGCCAATTGGCTCTTGTTGTCGTGGGAGGTGACTGTGATCTGAATCGACGGCCGTTTCGGCAATGGAACGAGTACCAATGGACAAGGGTCTCGTTCTGACCGACATGGTATCGTAATCCAAGGAGAGCTGAGATTGTGACCATTCAGGCATGGAAAGTGGCTCGTGTTGATTCGTAATACGTTTCACGTAAATGGCAGACAGCTTCTTTTCTGTATACAACGCCAGCGTTTTCTTTCGTTGCTTATCGCCAAATCGTGAACGGGGAAGTTGGTGGCTTGGGATCATCACCACCGTGTCTATCAGGAAAGCGTGTTTTTCCAATACCGCGCTGACGATCAATGGCACCGCGGAAACCGCATTCTCGCTCGATTTAATGGCAGCAATCACAATGATTTCATTCGCTATTTGCAATATAACACTGTTTTCAAAAAAAAAGATAAATCGTTAGCCAATGATATTTGCCAATTCCCGGTCCCTAATTTTTCTATTTGTGTATAATTCCCGGGTGAAACCATTTGACTGAAACCTATGAACGAAAAGAAAAAAAAAAGGAAAAAACTCCTCATCAAATTATTTTACCTTCCGCCAGGTTGAAGAGCCGGATGACTACGTTCAATGCTACTTTCCACAAATGAAGGGAAGTATACCAAGCCGTTGCGTTCAATCTTTTCGCTTTTCGCTCCCAGCACAAACAAGCATTGTCCTTCTTCCATCATTGTTGATGCATTGTTGACGCGTCGTTGCACGTTCCACAAGAACCCAAGGTCTCCGGTCCGCATATACTTGATCCGAGGATCCGTACCGGCAATCGAACACTCAAAGGTAGCCAGTCGTGCGTTTTCTTCCAGTCCATGGAAAGATCGAATATTGCTGTCAGACGCCACCCAGATTTCGCCAATCATGCCACTCGGACACAAGGTTTGTGTTTCAGGATTCACAATGGCTACCATGGTATTGCTAGGAACAATGCCTGAATCATGCAATAACACGCCAAAAGGTTCGTCTTCCGGAGGTAAGGTCCGAATAATGCCCTGTCGAAGCCACACCGCATCCGCAAGTAACGGCAACGGTTCCAGCAGCATATAGGACCGCGTGGTCACCATTGGATTGGCAAAGTGACTATATACATTATTGATGACGCCTTTAGGTAATCGACATCCAGCCAGATATCGAGCCACATGTTGATCTAATCCGACAAACGCATTCATATTGATTAGCCTAGTAGAAAACAAGACATCTTTTTGGTAAATACTTACAGAGAATCGGGTTCGGAGTCCCATTCACGGCCAACATGAAATTCTGCACCGCTTGCAGCGACAGGCGTCGAGTTTCAGCTGGCGTGATGCGATTCATGGCATATTGCATCAATGCTTGGTTGACAAACACATCCTTGGCTAAAAAAAATCAAGAGCCGACAAACATTGTGAGTTCATATGGGGCCCATCTCACCCTCATGGCGAGTTTTTTTTTTTCTTTTTTTACCTTTGTAGCGTTGCAACATTTCGAAAAACGTCATTGGATTAACATAAAATTCAGCCAGTGGGATAACCACTGTGACACATCCTATAGTAAATTCATGTTTTAATAAAAAGAAACCTCTTTTTCCCTGAAAACGATACCATTTTTTTTTTTTTTTTTTTTTTTGCTTACCAACATAGACACCGCAGAAAACAGAGTGCAAGAGCCCCAAACCATCAAATCCGCCAAGACCAGTAGCGACCAATCCACGGGGTGGCTTCATCTGACAAGTGGTCTTTTGCGTTCGGCACTGGTTCATGATCGTCGCATGGTTCAGGTAGCTGTAAAACTTGGTGGCATCTGCTCCATACTGGATGGAGATCATGCAAGGTACACTGTAGTTTTTGGCCCATTCCGCTCGGACAGACCATCCACTTTCCCTGCCTAGCAGCTTGTCGGTACGGGACGCTTTGGAGATATTGACGGTGTCAGGCAACTTGTACGATTTGTATTTATGCACTTCCTGCTTCAAAATTGGATGCACCGTTTTACTTTTGAGCATATCGTCGGAAGTAGAATTGACAACGGTGAAATCGATGCCCAGTTCACGTGCTGCGCCAATGTACGAGAGCACATCCTCTTTGATACGTTGCGATTGCTGTTGCGGATCCGGGGGTTCAATGGGGACAGCAATGATGCCGAGAACAAAACAGGCATAGATACAATAAATCCATTCCACGCTGTACGGCATGAGAATCAGCGCTTTATGTCCTCGTTTATATCCTTTCTTGGAAAGGTAATTGGCCACCGACACCACCTTGGTATTCATTTTGCGCCACGAGTAAGCTTTGGTGTTGGCGGTCCCATTGTTGGAATGCGTCACTGACACAAACGCCGTTTCTTCAGGGTACAGTTTGGTGCGCCATTGAAGTACATCAATAATATTGGTGAATTGAGCCAGATCCAGTTCCGTCCGTTCGTCCACCACTTTCTCTACAGGCTCGATCCCGGTATGCTGTTGACGAGGCACCGGTGGAAGCAAGCCAGTTCGGATGGCGGTATCGTAAGCTGCCGATGTCTGCCAGATGTTGACCGTAGGATCTTCGGCCATGCCCAAATTAAATACGGTTCGATCCACATCCATCTTTACCGACCGAATGGGTAATTTTCCTGCCATGAACGCGCGTTTGACCATCAGGGCATGAATTTGTCGTCGACCGTGTTTCAAATGACGCGGTAACGCATTGTTGGCTACCATTAATACGGCATACACACGGATCCCGTTGTATTCAAGCAATGCTTCATCAATGTCGCCAGCGACTTGGCGCAATTCGGCCCGATCAAGCGATGATTCACAGGCGACAATGGGCATATGCTGATCATTGACCGTGATCTCAAACGCCGCACTACATAAAAAAAAAGCAAGTTAGCGGGGTACAGCCATTTTGGGTAAACTAAGCATCGTCATTGGTGTTACCATTGTTCGATACGCGCTCGCTTGTTGAGAGTTTCCACAATGTCCGACGTAAAGTGAGTTTCTTCGATGCCGAGGGTCGCACCAAGACGTTGTTGACGTATACGATCCTCGTATGTGCCAAAAATGACCAATCGTCCCCCGATCATGGTGCCACACAATCCAGTGCGCAGAAATTCTTGATTATACAGCTCCGGATAAAATGTATCCGGTGGTACAATAATAGGTCGTGCATGAAAGATGGCCTCGGTATGTTTCGCCAGTGCCCAAAAACCGCCCGATAAGGAAGGTGCATCAATCCAGATCTCCCCAATGGTATCTGGCGGGCAAAGCGTTGTGGTATCCGGGTCAACAATGGCAATGGTAGCTGCGCAAAAAGAATAACAAGAAAAATATTCTTGTCAGATGATCACTTCTTGACAAAGACCTTGTCGAGCGAACAAGCGAGCGCGCCTATCAAACTTACCTTCCGGAATGGCAAATCCAAACGAACCTACACGAACACGGCCCGGTTCATTCATGTTCTGAGTTTTGCGGGCTTCGTCGCCGGCGGCCACGACCACCACTTTGTTCATTTTCAACGCTTCCACATCCAGTAAACATTGCCACACATCTTTGGAATGTCCGGTCGCTAAAGCGGATCGCGTGGTCACGAGGGGTTTGTCCGAACCATCCTCTTTTTCTTCCTGTATGACGTACTCTTCCAATCGTGCGGGACCCAAATTATCCCGGAAACTAAGAATAAACCCGCCATGTTCTGCCAGCGAGATGACGGGACACACCACTTCCAAGGGATTATCCGTATTGCCAAGAGGCGTGAGCAATTTGTCGGCAATGTACTCATCCAGATCAGGTTTCACCACATTCGTATCCACAAATAGAAACCGCAATGACGACAAATCAGGCACAATCTTTTTGCTGTATTGAAGCACCTCCTTTGTCCGCGTCTGATAGAAATGCGTCACAAACTTTAGCGAAGGATAATCTGCCAAAGCAATCGTCGCTAGATACGATAAGAAAACAAAGAAAAAAAAACATTGAAAGATCAGCATTTGTATCACACAAGGTCGTGCAGAGTGCCATCAGGCTACACGCATTGAATAAACGATGTAGAGACTACCATACCTTTGTATTTGGATAAGATGTAGATCCAGACGGCGGGGGTGTCAATGACACTGGCACTGGTGAACACGGAGTGATTGCCACTGAAAATTGTGCATAAAACAGATACGACCAATCCGATCTGTTGTCGTGGTTCGAGATAGCTTACGAGACAATCCGCCGAAGGACGCCCTGATTTTGATTGTGGAGTGAGGGTGACTCCTTCCTGATCGTTCAATGTCACATTGGTTTCCGTCACGGCCGCTTGGTAGACTTTACATTCGGACATGATGGTTTGATGCGCTACTGTGACCCCTTTGAGTTCTCCATTGGGCGCTTTGGCAAATTCGATGTAAGCCAACTCGGGTAGCTTGATGGGTGGATACTCGGACTTTTTCTTGGGAGGATACCAGGTCCCGATATCATTAGTTTTCCACCAATCAATGTTGCCCGGGAGTTCAATGGATCTCGATTGCATATCCTTGTTAAATGCGCGCAGATTATGATCCGTTGTCAAAACGAGAGTGGCATTCGTCAGGTTAAGAATGAAGGATAATTCGGACAAATCTTCGGCCGCGTTGATCGGCACGGCCACCACGCCGGCCAAGAAACAGCCAAACATGGCAACAATGAAATCCAGCACCTCTGATTTCCGATAAATGAGCGCCACACGATCGCCCAAGGCCACTTTAGATCGATCGCGGATTTGGATCGCCAATTTCTGAGCTTTCGCATTCAGCTTGTCCCAGGTTAATGTGGTCGGTTCCTTGCCCTTGGCATCCACCAAGGTGAAAGCGATCGAGTCTCGAAGAGAAGGTTGGGTACCACGGAAACGCAACACTTCGGCCAAATTGGTAAACGTATTGAGTTCGGTCTGGGTAATCGTATCTTTCAGGTCAAAAGGCACTTCGCGCGGCTTCAAAGGCAGCATTTGACGCCCCGCCAAATCCATGAGCATCATTTGTTCGTTGGGATCGTCGACCATGAGTTTAGGTTGAGGCGCAGGCTCAATGGCTTTGAACGTTGTCGCCATGTAACTGTCACCGTATCGACTTCGACCGAGCGAAGCCGATCGTCGGATCAACGATTGCGATCGACCCATCTCTGAAAAGCTACAACCCGAATATCGCGATGTATTGCGTATCGATACAGACGATGATTCACGACCTCGCATGGACATGGTTTCTATCCAATGTTTCAACAAATAAGAAAAAAAGTAGGTATTAACAAGACGGTTGATCGCGCATTCTCATCGAGCCCGTTAAGCCTGTCTCCCAACACCCCCTTCCAAAATCTGAGCCATGGAAGTTCTCTCCCTGCCTCTTCTTACAGACATCCTCCAGAGATCGACAAACTTACCCCAATCAAGTTCGTTTTGAAAGGCTTGCTGACGAATGGGTGAGGTGATCATGTCTTGAGGAATGGACGGATCCGGTGGAACGGCTACGGGAGGTGGTACAGGTCTGCCTGGATTGTGGTGCAATAGAGAAGGATCGACGTTGGTTCCATTGATGGGAAGTCGATTGGGTCGAGGCAACGGATAGTTGGCGACAGAATTACCTGATATAGAAGGCGTGTTTGGATTTTGAAGTGCGTAGGGTTGGCCCGCTGACGAAGGCAACGGGCGATACATGGGACCTGGACTGTAGATACCAGAAGCATTGGACGGAGCATAACCGGGCATCATATACCGTGGTTGCGGTGGAGGTTGGCCGAAATGCTGAAGCGATGCGGATCCGTGAGCGGGCGGGGGTGGACCGGCGCCTGGATACGGTTGTCGAGGAGGCATTCGGTTGTCATACATTGGCCGATTGGCAGGACGCATAGGTAGCCCGGTGACGGGATGCGTAGGAGGCATGGGTTGCGGCCAAGGCGGTTGTTGTAAAGTGGGTGGTAGTGGTGGTTGCTGGGATGGGTACGGACGATACTGATTCAACATGGTCAAATTGGTCGATGATCCGGACAATGGCATGCCAGCTGGCTGAGTCGCCGCCATTGACGGTGACATCGATCGTGAAGCGGTTTCCTGGTCCTTTAGCTGCAAATCAAAGTAAGAGGAAGAGGATGCGGCGGTGTTGGTACGTGTAGGCGAGTGGGTGGGGGATGGTAGATAATCGAGAAAATCAACCACATCCGCGGCACTTGGTTCGGGACCAAGATCGATAGGTTCGCCAAGCTCGTTGTACTCCAAGTCTTCGCTGTGAAAGGCATTATTGTCGTCGGTGGAATGCTGCGTCTCAGGATCCGTGGCATTGGAAATCGACTTTATCGAGGGAGACTGGATATCGCGCGGATGGTCGTTCGAGGTCGCTGCAAACATGGGAAGGTTAACGTCACTCCCATTCTCCACTGCCGAAGCATGAGTCGGTACGGGTGGAAGTGAGTCGTTTGTGTAAGGCTTGAGTAAAAGGGCCTTCTTCTTTTCGTAACCCTTCTGAGTGATGTCGCCTTCATGGAGTTCCAAGTCTAGAATGCGCAACTTTTCCCAGACATCCCAGGGCAGATCATCACTAGGGTCTGACATGAGTAAAAGAGAGGGTGGGACAAGAAAGCGTGTAACGGGCTGTGGAAGAAGTGGGAAGCGCACAAAATCGTCTTCAAAGGAAAGGGAGGGAAGGAGGCCGTCTTTTTTTTTTCTTTTTTTTTTTTTTCTTAGTTCTTCAAAACGATAATCGTAATAAGTTGTTCAAAAACGGGGTTGACAAATTTTTCCAGAATGGAGTCCAAAGTGAGTTGAATTTTTTCTGGTCGAATTTTTTTTTTTTTTTGCGCTAGTTCAACTGTCATGGAAACTCCCAAGTGACATTCCCCGTGTGCAATGAAACGAACTATGATTTTTTTGTTACTGTAGGGCCACGTATAGATACCGAGCATGCGTTCAGGATGTTATCGAGACACACTTCATGAGCCCTTTTTTTTTCATTTAATTTGCCGGTATTTGAAAATGGATGCATCCGTTTGGAATAGTGCGGTTTCCCTTGGGTGCGAGCAGTAGGACGTATGCGTGGTACAGGATAAATAGGGAAAGAGGTAAGGTTGTTCTGCACCGAAATTTGAAAATGATCAACTGGGAAGATATCATGTTAAGCGATCCAAATCGTTCCATCGCACGTGCGCCATCACGATCTCACTCAGAAGCACTAGCAGCCGGAATCGATTAAATGGAAAAAAGAGCCCCCTTCCTTGGACTATAAAATGCTAGGTAGATCCACCTTTTTTTTTTTTTTTATGGACAACATCTTTGTTGCCATCCCAAGGGAAAAGTATGTCTTGATTTTATGGCAACAGTCAAGCAAATTTAAACTTTTTACTCGGAACCATTTTCTTACATATTAAGCACATCCGAACAATTGGGGCCCTTTCATTTTGATTGACTGGCAAAGCTCTATTTAATCACCATAACAATATGGTCACTTTGCTCTTAAAATATTGTATTGCAACTGCCATCTTCAGCGTCATAATGCATTCGAGTGCTCGGACATGATTTAAAGGCGAGTAATGTATTTGAAAGCTCGGAGCTCATTCTGTATACTATATGTTCTACGAGGTGCCTATATAGTTAGAGTAAAATTATTTTTTCTTTATATTCATCAATCAGTAAAAAATACATGAAAGAAGTAGGAAAGAGTGCATGGGAGCATTTCTTGGGAATGATGTAAAAAGGTGTCGTTTGCAACAAAAACCGCTGGCCCAGGACCAGCCAAGCCTAGCCAACTGACTGCCAAAATCGCTATTCTCAAACGGAAAACATGCTACACGCCCTCCATTTTGCACAACATGAGCAAAAAAGTGTCAGTGGGATTTGTCACATATCATTTATTTTAATTTCCTGTTCTTGAAAATAAACTTTGTATGTGTCAGATATGTGTTGCAAAGATGGATGATTAAAGTTTCATAAAAATCACTGAACGACACTGGCAGTTTCACAGACTTAGCAAGGCAACTTTGAAGATTTTATTGGCGGCAAGAAGGTGCGTGTATGTTGACGTAGGCGCCAACAACTTGCATTCATTCTGCATTCAGGATTTTTATCAATATATAGGGCCAGCCTGCACATTTGATCTTGGATGAAAGTTACAAAAACACTCAACATCATTGCCAGATACGTGATACAGAATGGAAGCAATGAATCCAGATTAGTTTTGGCTTTGCACGAACATTGACTAGTTCCATTTGGATGTCAAAAGCCAGCAGTGAAAACATTGAAAGAAAAAAAAAAGGTTGGCATGGGCACGTTGTCATGCACTTGACCCTGTTTTCGCGTCATTTCTTTGTAGTTGCCATCATAAACAGCAGAAAAACAAAGCTGTAAATAAAGAGAAAAAAAAGTCGTTATTGCTGCAATCGAATGAGGCGGTCGATCTTCCAAATAAAAATAAAAAATAAAAAAGGATGCTGTCGTTTAGATCTGTACAACGTCGCGTAACCTTGTCATTTTCAATCTCCTACTTTCAAAGAGGATTTGTATCATTCAACCCCATCCCCATGTAAAAGGTAATGTGGGTATCTACTGCTCACTCTATATATCAAGTTATGAGACCTTGATACATTAAAGTATTGATAGTCGAGCAAAGCATTGGCGACGTCAAATAACGAGTTGCCTGATTTGTTGATTATGCATTCATGTTCAAGCCCCGTTCAAGGGAAGCGAAAACACAGTTGCCCGATTTTTTGCACTCCACTGTGCTCGCTCCTTGATTTTCCAGGTCAGGATTTTTTTTTTCTTCTTCTAGTACTTTGTACTCTTTCTTATTCCAGTTGTGGGGTTTCTCTCTTATTTCTACTTTTTTTGTTTTGTCTTTGTTTTGTGAGAGCAGTACAAATGTTTAAAGTGGGTTTACCGAGTTGGTTATCGTATGCGTTGTCCGTCACCGGTTTGGCGGGATTAGCCGGTGCCACTTTTTTATACCTGTACCAATGCGATCTAATCTATCCTTCGTCATTCCCTGAAGGATCGAGAACCGAGGTAAAGGCAGCCACCAAGTGGACCAAGAAAAAAAAATACGCATCCCAACATGGCGTTCACAATATCACCCTTTTACTTTAGGTGGCCAAACCGTCGGATTACGGTCTTAAATACACAGAAGAGACTTTAACCACCAAAGATAAAGTTAAATTGCGTAGCTACATCATGACATTGGAGAATGAAGCCGAAGCCAAGGCGGCACCGACCATTTTGTATTTTCATGCAAGTAACTTGGTTGAGAAAAGAAAAAAATATTTGTTCTTGACTAACGCTTCTTCTAATATGAGCAGGCGAATGCAGGCAATATGGTAGGCAATTCAAAGTTCCCCAGCTGATGGAAATGATACTAAATCCAAAATTCTCATGCTTTGATGACAGGGTCACCGCTTACCTATTGCGAAAATATTTGTACAAAAGTACAAATATAATGTTGTTATGTTATCTTACAGAGGGTAAGATTTAACTTGCCACGTGTCGTATCACTCTTTGACTACTGAGGCATTTTACATCCACATTTAGCTATGGATTCAGTGAAGGCAAAGCGAATGAAAAAGGTCTTCGCATTGATGCCCAAGTAAGGAATTTTCTTTGGAGGAGCATCGTTTTTCAAGGATGCATGATTTAACCGTGACTTGTAGACCATGTTAGATTTTGTTAAAAATCACCCCATTCTCAAGGATACCCGATTAATAGCCTATGGTCAATCCATTGGCGGGGCTGTCGCCATTGACCTTGTGTCTCGAAACGAGGATGTTTTCTCCGGTCTCATTCTTGAAAACACCTTTTTAAGCTTGGTAATATGTCGTAAGCTTTACGCATCAAGTGATCAGTGTATATTGACCCTTTTTTTGCGTAGCCTAAAATGATTCCACACGTCCTGCCCATGCTTCGCTACTTTACATTTTTATGCCATCAGCAGTGGCCTTCGGAAGCGAGTGTTCAACGCATTGTAAAGACACCTGTTCTTTTCCTGGCGGGAGCACGCGATGAATTGGTACCACCGTCGCATATGGTCAAGTTGCATGAACTTTGCGGTACGCGCGACATCAAAGATTGGGTGATCTTTGAGCGAGGCATGCATAATGATACGTGTATGCAGCCCGGTTATTTCACGGCGATTCGTGAATTTATTGAGAAACGTATTTTGAAAGAAGAGCGAGTGGATCCGCAAGAAGAAGAAAAAGAGAAAGAAAAGAAGACGGTGGCCGCGGTCAAGATTGATGGTGTGGAAACGACGGACAAGCGACAAACGGAATCGTATCAATTAGTCAGCGGTGTCGCTGATGCCAAGGGCATGACCCATAGCTTCCAAGTAGAAGAAATTGAACTTGAAGAAGAGGATGAACAATAAAAAAACAAACCAAGAAAGATCAACAAATCATTACTCATATTCAACGTTAAAGAGGAACCCTTCAAAGCCCAACCAGTGCATGCAAAAAGGGAAAAAAATGGGGGATTTTTGTTTTCAACTTCCGTTGGATCCCAGTCACCCAGTTTTCCGAAGCCAAAAAAAGAAAAGAAGAGACAAACGGCCTTTATCTCCGTCTAGTCTCCTTTGCTCTTTTTGTACAATCCTTTTCGATCAACGTCTTTCTATTCCTTTTTAAGGCTTTGAACTGAGATTCTAGCCTAGTCATAGCTTATTTTATTTCGTGTGGGTTTTCCTTGGTCAATTTTTCATACAAGTTGCTTAATTTTGGTCTTCTTTTTTGAGTTGTAACTTTTTACTTTTTTGCTACGTCGTTTTTCTTTTTTTCTTTGTGCTCTCATGGAACAAACCACGATACCAGTGCTTGACGATGCCACCAATAATGCCACGACAGTCAACATGACACCACCGTCACTGCCACCTCTGCAACGGTCGCCTTCAGCCGGCAAGGCCAACTTGCGTGCTTCATCGTCATCTATGGGCATGGAAAGAGGTCCCAAGCGGCACAGTCGCACTCATTCGATTCAAGTTCATTCACAGCTTCCTTTGAAGAAATCACACAACCGACGAGGTTCGTTGCCTCCGCTTCAAGTGAGCACTTCGCCGTTCAACAAACTGGCCGGTGTCGACTTTAGTTCACCTCTTCATTCCCCCTTTGTCACCCAGTCCGCGTTTCCCTCGTTACCTGAAAAAGGCAGCGTTTCCATCAGCATCAATCCGAAATCCGATATACTCAACGTTATGACCAATACGCGACACCAAAATATGCTCAAAAATTTGGGTTATATTCTACTATGGTACTTCTTTTCCACTTCTCTGTCCCTGTACAACAAGAACTTGATGGGCAAAGACCGATTTAATTTCAATTTCCCACTGTTGATGAGCGCTATTCATGCCGGTCTGCACTCTCTCATTACCACCATCATGGTCGCTGTCAACGGCGATCGCTGGGGCGCAAAACAGATTTCACTGTCAAACTATATCACCCGAGTGGTAAGTTACTCTGTCTTTTTGTTTTCTCAAAATTGGGGAAAATAATTTCTTTTTTGGTCAATGACGATCAGGTACCGTGCGGTGTGGCTGCTGCTTTGGAAATTGGATGTTCAAATGCATCGCTGGTGTTTATTACGTTATCATTTTATACCATGGTGAAGTCGAGTACGCCGATTTGGGTGTTACTGTTCTCATTTCTGTTTGGATTCGAAAAGCCACGGTTTCTACTTATTGCGATCATCCTGGTGATGGTGCTGGGCGTGGTGTTGACAGTGGAAGGCGAGAGAAAGTTCGACGTAATGGGATTTCTGCTGGTGCTGGTAGCCGCAGTGGTTTCGGGCCTTCGATGGAACTTGACTCAATTGTTACTGCAACAAGATCGATTAGGGATCAATAGCCCGATCGCCACATTGTACCACTTGAGTCCCATCATGTTTGTGATTATGCTGACCCTCAGTCTGGCGTTTGAAAACCCGATTGCCGAATTCAAGGAATCCAAACACTTTGATTCTTTCTCGCACGTGATGGAATCCTTTGGTTTGATGGCAATTGGTGGTTTACTAGGTACGTTGACAGGTTGGCCGCTGGTTGCAAGAGAGTGTGTGTCTGTGTGTACGAGTGAGAGAAGACAGAGACAGGAAACAAAGGAGGGGATGGATGATTCATCGATGATGAAACCGATATTGACACAACACATGTGGTTTAGCTTTTGCCATGACGCTAGCCGAACTTTATCTAATCAAGAATACCAATACAGTCACGTTGAGCGTGGCCGGGATCAGTAAAGAGATCGTGGTGATCGCACTCTCTGTGTTGATCTATGGAGATCTGCTTACAACCAAAAGTTTCCTGGGGTAAGTCATAAAAAAAAATGTTACAGATCGCATCATGTTTTTCAATCAAGATCAACTGACCTTTTTCTTGGGGATGACGATGTAGGCTATTTGTATCGATTTCCGGGATTATTGCCTACAACTGGTACAAATTATCTAAAACACAGTTGTATACTGATCATTCACGACAATACCAAGTGATTCCAATGAATTCATCTTCGAGAAAACTCGAAGATTGATTTGACACACAGTTGACTGGTCTCCTATTTTGTTATTTCTTTTTTTTTTTTTTTATCTCTTTTTCAGTCTTTTTTCTTTTCATCGGATTGGACGCCGCAACCGGTTGTACTACCGTTCCTTGGCTTCGAGCACACTGTTATGCTGTTACTATTCCAGTGGCGTGTAACCAACCCTCCATCTCTTGGAATTCACAATTCTATTTGGGTTTCAGCCGAGATGCAAAAGAAAAAAAAAAAAAGCGGGACCGCCAAGACTGAATGACAAACCCTGTTTTCCTCCCGATGTTGGACACCGGGGGAAGGGCTTTTGGTTGTTTATAAAAAAAATTTACACATGGATCAACATACAAAATAATCAAAACTTACACTAAAAATGATACATCAAACGTTCAAGGCGATGACAACACTTGATAAGTTTGTTCTAATTTTCAACAAAAAAGAGAGAAAAAAAGGGAAGAAGTGAGCGAAAAAAAAAGGGCAGCAAAAAAGAAAAAAGCTGATTGGATCCAATGTTCGCACCCGATAACAGAAAAACCGGTGGGATGGGAACACAAAAACGCACCATATGAGCATGATCACTCTGGCTTTTTTTCGTCCAACCCGAGCTCCGATGGGTGGATCCGTTTCGATGCTGGTGCCGGTTTCGTTATCGACGATAAAGATGGCCATTTGGTGGTTGGCGGCTTTTGATACGTTAGATCCGGTTGAGGACCACTGCCATCGGGCTAAAAAAAAATAATGCGTAATAGAAAATAAGCAAGGTGAAATCCACTGCGGTTCAAATGCATGTCGATTTCGGACGTACCTTTTCTTCCATATGCGTTTCGTTATCGGCCGATACATGAATCAAATGAGTGCCTTGACCTTTCGGTACTCGATGAGCCACACCATCCGCATCTAATACAACCTCGTGGACTGTGGTCTGAACAAAAGATCTGTTAGAAATCCGGTTCCGGTGACATTGACCTTTTTTTTATTGCCATTTTAAATTTCATTTGAATCGTCACCTTATCAACCAGAGGATTCGAATAGCAACAACCCATGATGATAAATGATGATACACAGAAAATAGAGAAATAGAGAAAAGTAGATAATAATAAAGTAACAAGTAAAAAATTAGAAAAAAAGTTAAAGAAGTTACAAGAAACCAAAAACAAGGGAAAAGAAAGAGGGAAAATCCAAACTTGGGATTTCTCCATTGTTTAAATAAAAATCTTGTTTACCGTTTCAGCTTTTTTTTTTCCCTCTACGCTAAAAAAGGTTTAACTGTTGTTTTTTTTTTCTTTGTTTTTTTTTTTTTTTCGTGTAAGCAGTGGAATGGTTCCATTGTTTGTCTAGGAAGACTCTTCTTCACTCTCGCTCCATGCATCCAACATATTCTATACATAGTATATTTTTGTTAGCCGTTGGATGAATTGAAATAAATCGCGCAGTTGAAATTTGATCCTAACCTCACTGATAGCCTCTGTCGTGCTCGCGTTGACCGACGAAGGTTCCCATACTAAAATCTCACAGTCATTGGACCCGCTGTACAGTTCCTGATAAGCAGGCCGTTTTTCGATACTGGTCACTCGTCCATATGCACCTCGTAGTCGTGCCATTAACCGTCCGTCCAATAACCCAAACACAAGCACTTGATGATCATCGCTGGGAACGTAAATAAGCGGTGGCCATACATCTGCATCCGACACTACTGCTTCAAGGCAGGACTGAAACCGGTTTCGAAAATACGATCCATAATTTACCAACGTATTATGTCCACTGTAGGTATCCCAGCAACGGATCTTTTCATCTAATCCCAGCGACACCAGGAACGTCCCATCTTTTGATAAAGTGAGTCCATTCACCCCTTTCCCATGCGCCAAGTTCGTTTCAGCCAACGGATCCCGATCCACTTGTTTTTTTTTTTTAGGAAACAACCAACCAACGCCAGGACAGAGTGAGTTTTTTTTTTCCTTCTTCTTTGACGGTGGGAGAAAATATTTTGCGGGTGAGAAGCAGAAGAGATAACTTACCAGCGTTATCTTGATCGAGTGACATAAGGCAGGCGGCGGCTCTTCGAATATCCCACACTCTCAGTGTGCCATCGTTTCTATACATGGATTTGGCTGCTGCGTCAGGATCATGTTTATGCATACAACCTACAGCGGCAGCTAGTTTACCCTCCCGAAAAAAGTATATGTTCCTGCCGTGGTGACCATGCGCATGATAATACCGCACCGTGATGCCCAGTGAGTGAATGAGTGAGTGCGCCACTTCTTAGATCGCACAGTCGAATTTGTGGTTCCGCTGCCGCTGCTATAAATACCCATTGGCTTCTGTAAATTACTGTTTTTGGCATCTGTCCCAGAATAAACATCTCTTACTCGCAATCAGGCAATGGTCCGCAATGGGCGACATGACCGCAGAATTGACGCGGGATTCCAGATCAAAGCTATAAACATCCTTTTTGCGCGGTGTGTTACGCTGCGGTATCTTTTTTTTTTCTTTTTCGTGTCTTTCTCCCATTCACCGGCGTTTTTTTTTCTCCCTGTCCTACCTACCGTCATGGTGTTCGTGTCCCAGACACGTACACTCGCATCATAGCTGCCGGTCACAAACATGCCCGTATCGAAAGAAAACCAGGTTACGGAGGACACCGCATATCTATGCCGATGGGTCCTAGTATCATGCATATCGATAAGATAGTATGTTCTGTAGTCCACATCCTCATCGCCCGTGCTTTCTGAAAAAACATAACAAAAAAAGGAGAAAAGAGAGACACAAGAATCCGGGAAAAATAAAAAACAATTTTACCTTGAAACACTAGCTACGGGGACTATTTTGCTGCGGGTGCCTTCCGGCATTACTTGCAAATCGTAAACGTGAATTCGTCCATCGGCGCCTCCCGACAACAAACTGACCATGAGATAAGCATGCTGCACGGACGACTCACTCATGCCATGTCAAGGCTTACTAGCGCTGCTCAACTGTTTCGATTTCAATGGAATTCACCGCACCTAATTCGGAAGCATTTTTCATTAGCATGCGTATTGCATACAGAAGCGCAGCCCACGATAAAACGTGCCTCTGTGCGTTCGCACCACCTCCTTTGTATGGCTTAGCTGCAGAGAATAAACACGTTTGGTTGTTTCTGCGCGCTTGATTTTCAGTGGTTTTATGGTTCCATATTCGCGTTGCTTCAGGAAACTGTACATGACATAACCTCGTTCCGTTTCTCATTGGACGTCCCCAAAAATGGCATGAAAAATCTCTGATTATTAAATCGTGACGTTGCGCTTTTCGTCTTCAACCGCAGCACATGCTGGAAATTCAATATCCAGTCGATATCACTATTATCTACATGCCTGTCAATGCAAGGCATTGTAACAAATGCAGATCAAGCAGCATAATAATGAATAAAGCAATTCATCGCCTACATCGTCTACTGATTTTTCTCCACACGATGGTGTTCCAGCCAGGAGAAAGGGCAGCTTGCGCACAATGGAGCTTGAAAGTGTAAAACTCCGCCATCCAATTTCGTTTGCCTTGCCATTCATCGTCTGAACCAAATTTGTATCACACGGTTGATGGATTACCGAAGGGAAGTGCAGGAATACGCTGAAGATGCAGCCATTCTGCGATTCTACAATTTAGATTCTTTGGAACCGGAAGTGTGGACGGATGAAGCCACCGGTCACCAGGATGAACAGGAATCCACCCTTCAACAGTTTTCCCGCGCCGGCATGATGGACGCCCACGAACCGGCCTTGAGAGACACCGAAAACGAAACCGATCTGCAAATGATGGACGATAGCGACCCATTGGGAATACACGCGTCCATTTTTGAAAAGTAGGCAGGACTCTCCCCAGCTCCATAAACGAAAACCTCACAATATCATCACTCATCCCGATCACCATAGTAAAATACCACGCAACGCCAATATATCACAACTAAAAGAACGTATGTCAGATAATATAGTTAAAGTTAACAAAAAAAAAGGACGCAATAACTGACAAATAACCTTTTGTTTCTGTTTATTCAAAAAAAAAAAGAATCGAGTTTGATTGTATCCAACAAGTCATTCAACCCACAGCAGTTTTTATTGCAGGTGCATAAACACACAACGTATAATGATCTGGTGGCTGGAGAAGAATACCTTCGTCGTGGAGTGGATAAACGCGCCGAAGCATTGAAATCGCTTGTTCACACCAATTTCGATCGGTTTGTCAGCGCAAAAACTACCATCGATCATGTCTACGAAGAGATGAAGTCCAAACAATTGAATGCCGAACAAGAGTTTGGCACAAGGAACTTGGAAAAAGCCTTGGAAGGTACTCTCTTGCCTTTTTCTACGTCTTTATTATATGCGACATGTCTAAAAAAACTTTTTGACAGATGCCAATTCGCGTGCGGATCAGATCTACGGTCCTATCGTGGAACGTCGTCAAAAGGTGGAAAAAGTACGCAGTACCCTGAATATTTTGCAGCGGTACAAATTCTTTTTCAATCTTCCTAGCAGTTTGTTGGAATCCATCAAGCAGGTAACTGGGTCATAGACATATGGATAACAGAAAAACCCGATTGACGCGTACTAAACCTTCAAATAGAACAAGTATGAGACGGCCATTCGTGATTACAAGAGAGGAAAATATTTGTATCAGGTGCTCAAAGGAAACGAAGAATCCGACAGTACGAATGAAGCCGGTTCGATGCCGATGATGGATACTGTTAACGCAAACGCAGATACCACGGATTTGCATCGCAAAGTCTTTGATAAAGTGTGGGCCGAAGTCAACAAGATTGTGGCCGAACTGCAAAACGTGCTTTATCAAATGTTGGCCGATGCTTGGCGTAGTATGGACGAACAAGAAAAAACCATAAAGTAAGATTTTTTGTCACTGAATGAACGCAAATGCACATATCCTCACGATATTTATCCTGGATTTCTCCTATTAGTTTTCTGTTTGATCTGGATACAACCGAAGATCCGGCATGGTTCTATCTTGACAGCCAATATCAATGGACGATGGGATTGATGCAACAAAACTATGACGCCAACGTGGAAAAGATTGAAAAGTTGAAGCAAGCCAGCGATACCATGGAGTCGGATGTCCAACGTAACATTGCGTTGAAAAGGGCCATTGATCAAGCAAAGGCCAAAAATATTGATCTGAACTTGATCGAACTGGACAGTGGTAACCATTTCATTTCATCTTTTTGTCCATGGTCTCGCTTTACCAACACGATGCTCGATTAGATCATGAATCCGAGTTGAAACTGTGGCAGATGACCCAAGATTTGGTCCAATCGCTTTCAGCCCTGTTACTTCGTTGTTTACCTGATTTTTGGCGATTATCCAAAGCGTTCATCGAAGGCAAATTCGCAAACAAGGTAGTGTATTTGTTCCACATGGATTGCTTTTAGTGTTACGTTCCAGTGTTACGTTCCATTAATATACCGATATAAAACTGGGTAGGCTGCTAATGCGAAATCGATCTCTGGAGGCCCAAAACGTCGTCGTCAGGGCGTGGATCTTGCCAAAGTGGAAAATTGCCAAAAAATGACGCGCAATATCGTTGACCGTTACGCGCGTCTCATCTCGAATTACTTTGACCTTGATCAGAAAGAGCTGGAAACCGCCCGACGTTCGGACGGCAATAAACAAACGATCATGCCCAAATTTCTTCCTGTGAATACCAATTCCATTCACGTGTCCGAGTATCTGACGCGAATCATTACCGATTTAGCCAATTGTGTCAACGACATCAGTTCCATCCATTTACCTGGAGAAGCGTTTTCCGGTCTGACCGATCTTATGGAAAAAGCACGCTGGAAGTTTGTCGACGTCTTGTGTGCCTGTTGGGAACGAGGTAAAAGCTGGAGAAAAGTCAAAAAAAAGGGCAATGCCATTCTAAACCATGGTCACTAGATGCCAAGACCTTTTACTTATTGGAAGAGTGGGTTCTTGATCCGGAATCGCCACAATACACCGGTCTACTGAAGCGCTATTACATGTATCACAAATTTTGTGCTCGCTCAGCTTACAAAATGTCCCACCTGACCGCAGTAAGCGATGAAGTCATCGAGGCGGTAAGTGAGGCCGAACTGACAGAAAATGATGGGATCTTATGGGTACTGACGGCTCCCATGACAGCGGGTTGAACTGAGTCCACGATACATTGGACGCATCCGAAATTCATTCCTCGATTCCACTTATACCTTCCTGGACGGGCTAGTCCAACTCGCCTTTTCAGACTATAAACCGCTCAACGAAAAGGATGAGTTGCAATTGATCAAGAAGCGAGATAAAATTGATGTGCACTCCATGGTAAACCAAAAGACTGACGCGTCGCCGAGTAACAAGAGAAAACAATTCTGATATGGCTCATATTTTTAGGATATCCGTATTCTTTTGACGGTGAGCAATCTGGGCCATATGCGGTCCAATGTTTTGCGAAAACTGGTTGGACTGTTTGAAGCTGCCTACAAGTGTAATATGGAAGAAGACCTAAAGGTATGCATGGATCAAATTACATTTTTCTGATCCATATTGATTTGAGGAGTGCCATAGACCCTGATCGAAGTGGTGGATCAATTGGACCATATTCTGTTCAACGATTACATCAAACGAAAATCATCACTGATTCGTGATATTATTCGTCGGGGCATCCTGTCCAACGGCATTGACTGGTTCAGCATCTCCAAACCTACAGGTAGAGTGACACACCGTAATGAATGACTTTGTGACGTGGGTTGCTGATGGATCTGTCTCTCTTAATTTTCCCATCCTCATCAGAGGTTCACTCGTTCGTATACAAAGCACTAATGACGATGGTCGTGATTCATTCTCAAGTGAGCAGTGTAGCCAAGCAGTTGATCCACCGTGCCTTGTCGGCGTTACTGGAAGCCATGGCCAAAGATTGTCTTGAAAGCTTTCGAGAGATTGAACGGTTCGGTATGGGCGGCATGTTGCAAGCGACGTTGGAAATTGAATTCATGCATCAAACGCTTTCGCAATACGTGACATCAACAGCCTCCGAGACCCTTCAACTGATCTACCAAACCATCGAACAAGCGTACGATCCCCAACGTCAACATTCCGGCAATCTGCAATCCGAACTGAACCACGTGAAAGAATTGCTGGTATTTAGTCGCAAAAGTACAGTTCTTCAGTTCTTATGTTTCAAACAGAACAAAGATCGTAAGCGAGCTTAGAAAATGCAAACACAACAAAATTCCGAACCATTCATCGTATACAGATACCAGAATATCAATAATAATAATAAAAAAAGTTGATGGCAACTTCTTTTCGTTGAAAGAAAGACGAACAAGAAAAAATAGAAAACAGTAGAATGAAATAATAAGAAAAGAAGATCAGAAAAAGAACCAAAAAAAAGGCAGAGTAAATGGAGAAGTAGATAGGAAAGACAAATCATTTCTTTTACATGCAAAAGAATCGTGTAAAAAAAAGCGCCATTATCCGTTGCATGAGGCAAATAGTCATGATAGTTTTCCTACGAGGTATGAAAAGGGGGAAATCTGTTGTGGCGCTTTCTTTTTCTAAAATATCTTTTTATGAATGATATCGGGATCTTCTTGAAACTCTTCTGCAGAGACCCACATCTGAAATGATGACAAAGAAAAAGCAAACGCCGCAAAAGTTATTATTACACTCTAGCAAGCTTTCAAGACATTATTTACATTACCTTTTTGAAAGTACTTAACGAGGCGAGAATGGAACCACCGATCCATGTACTGTATTTGCGTTCGGGTGGCGCATAGATTTTGATCTTGATGTCCTTCAATGCAAGACGCTTGATTTCAGACAGCATACGCTCACCAAAGCCTACAAATATGAAAATATGAGTATGGAGTCAATCCATAAGTTGAATAATAGCGGTTGCATTTTTACCTCTGCAGAGAGTCGAGCCACCGGAAAGAACCACATTCGAGTACAACGATTTTCTCAAATCCAGATCAGCGCGACTAATGCAGTCCACCACCAATTGGTGAATGCCGGGATATTCCTCGCCAATCAATTCCGGCTGAAACAGAATTTCAGGGGCACGGAAACGTTCAGCACCCAACTACATGAATTGGACAAAATTGTCAATGAACTTTTTTGATTTTTGGCGTGTGCCCATTTTTTCTTTTACTGAATATTTACCTTGATAATGTTACCATCAGGAAGAACAAAATCGTCCATTTTCCCGCTGGTCTCTTTTTCTTCTTTGGCCGGATTCAATGCAATGTAACAGGTCTTTTCTTTGATAATTCGCACCACTTCCTTTTCAGCCGTAGTGTGGAAATTATAACCAGATTTACGAAGTAGTAATTGCAAATATTCTGTTACGTCTCTGCAAACAATAATCCAATGCGAATGTCAGTTAGTCAGCCAGTCCATGGGTTTGCATTCTATTGGATGATGGGGACCAAGAAATGGGCGGGACGGTACGTTACCTTCCGGCAATATCGATACGTCGAATCGCGTGGGGAATAGCGAAACCTTCAAAAACAGGTACGGCATGGGTCACACCGTCACCCGAATCGAGCACGATACCAGTCGTTCGACCTGAAGAATACCTGGCAACATGATGGGCATGAGGCGTCTCTATGGAGCCTGAAACCTCGCATGCATTAAGGAAAAAAGTAAATTACTTACAGACTCAGCACCGCTTGGATCGATGTGAACAGCGCCGGCACGTTGAAGGTTTCAAAGAACATGGCAGCAGCAGAGTCGCGGTTGGAACGTGGATTAAGAGGTGCTTCCGTCAGCAGTACAGGATGCTGTTGTCAAAACAAGTACAGACATTTAAAAACATTGGATCTTTATCATACAAATGAAACACGTGTCAAAGTGACGGTAGTGTGTTCTTTTTTACCTCTTCTGATAATGTCTTGAGTTCATCCGTGTAAATGTATTGCCAAATACGTTCCATATCTTCCCAATCCGTCACAATGCCGTGTTTAATAGGGTATCTAATTTTCAGCAAACCGCGCAATTCTTGCGCTTTGCGACCGATAAAAGTCTCATCTTCCACCGCACCGGCCATGATACGAATATGCTTGGGGCGACCGACTCTGCGAAATACCTTGGTTACCAATGCGACAACCCGAAGGAGGCACATTATAACACAGAAAAAGGTGACGACTTACAATGAAGGGAAGAAACATTTGGGCTGTTCCGCGCCCGCAAATCCAGCCTTGATGACCCCCGATCCCTATTGAAAAGAAGGTGAGCTTGGACGGTGATGAAAAGAGATGATGGCGCTTTTCAGGAACCGCTCCCTACGTTATCGATCACCACAGGCTGGTTGGTCAGGACCTACAAGGTACACGCAAATGAACAGTTATTTTTCCTCTGGGTTTGTGATTGAAAATAGCAAAAAAAACCTCAGTAGCCTACATCGTCAAACTCTGAATTCATTTCGGTGCCGAAATGGGGTTGAATGAAATCGGTGGACAGCCAGTTTCTGCGCGTAGGAGGACCCACGCGGGGACTCGTGACGTCAAAATCGACACTGAAAAATTTAGGGTGCCGAATTTCCTGCGCTGGAAATTTGAGAACTTGATCAAAATAACCTTTTTTTTTTCTCTGTCTTGTTTTTTATACACAGCTTTTCGCCCATTTTTGAGGTTAAAAGAGAGTGGTCAATGAAGCAAACAGAATTATCGCTTCAGTTCAGAGTACGTCTTCTCACGACTCGTTTATCTTTTATACCTTTTGTTTTCGTATTCACTCTTTCAGTAGAAGCGGCACAGTGAACGACCATTACCGCACGATGAAAAGCCTAGCAAACGGTCTCCCAGTGCATTTCTTTCCAGCACGGACAAACCTATAAAAGACACCACCAAACATTTTTTCAAACCAGAAGTAGCACACGATGTCAAGGTTAGCTATATTTTTGAAAAAGCATGGCGCTCATGCTTTGGTCAATCGTGTTTTTTTAACCCATGGGTCGATCGACATGTTTTAGCCTGCGGCACCCAAGACGAGATCGAAAAGCGTCAGCAAGGTAACCATTGTTGATTATCAATGATGCAGCCATGGTTAACAATTGTTTGTAGTCTGCCGAGCCGAAACGACGATCTACGCGTGTTTTGACAAAGGGACAGCAGCAGATCAATTTTTGTACCGTTGCACCGAGCCCAACCCCAGCAGCCACCGTAAAGGACAAGCCTCATCCGCACGACGCTGCGACCAAACAGCACGATACTGCATCTACCGTACCGGCCAAACGTGCCCTGGAAGATACTTTGTCGCAACGATCCTCCACTGTGAAGAAACCTCACACTGATCCAGTCCCAGTCTCAGTTCCTTCCAGCGAAAACAGCCATGGCGCGTCTGTGACAAAATGTGAAAAACTTGATAGCGACATTGACAGACAACAAACTACGCTGCAAGTGGCCGATGCGGTGACCAAGTCATTGCCACCAGTGAATGAAACTGTCATTGACCAGCATGAGCCAGTTGACCCATTGCCATCTCCAACTACCGTCACTGAGCCTGTTACTGACAAGACAGCTCAAGTAAACATCGACCCGGCAAGCAGTAACGAAGCGAGCAAAAGCAATACCGACGTCCAACAAGATGATACCGTTGATGAAGGAGGTAAAGTGGACCGTGTTACATCAGCCAAAGAAGCCTTGACCGGTGAATCACTGCCTGGATCCTCTGCAACACCAAGAATGTACATGCTTGAGGTACGTTGACTTTTTTTTTGGCCTATCACGCTCAACAGGAAATAATTTAATTACATTGTTTAGAGCGATAAAACGCGCATTGCTGAAGAGCAATATATTCTTGAAAAGTTGCATGAAGCGCTCGACATGAGCTTGAACTTTCACCTTGGCCATAATCGAGTCGCTTTCTACCACAAAATCGAACCCATGTTGCGAAATACTACCAGAAAGTAAGTCAACGAGAACAAGTCAACGCCAAAAACTGCAAGGAAAAAGAAGAAAAGGAAAACTCACAGAGTGCTTGATTTAAATAGAAATATCACGTTGGCTCATGTTTCAAAGATTCTGTACCTTGCTCCTGAACTTTATGACATCCATCCTCGCATCGTAAAGGAATTTGGACGAACCATTGAAGCTTACATTCTTGAATTTGGCAAACAGTGGATCGTGCCACTATCAGGAAAAGATGCCTATAAGCGAAAAACCATGTTATCCAGCCGCATCCAATCGTATTTTGAAGCACATAAAGAGGTAATTTTGAATGATCCTCAAGACTCACCGGGCTTTTGACTAAAACATTTTTACACCAGCCTTCCGCTACCATTCCTGAAAAACCGTTGCCGAAAATTGAAAAGGTCGTTGACAAGGCTGAATGGTTGCGTCAAGCTGAACTACCTTCCGGTATCAAATCCATTCTGGAAATCAAGGAACGTCGTCGCAAGGATGCCGAAACGGAAGCCGAACAAAAACAACAGGGTCCCCGTCCATTACCGAAAGGCAATGTGAAGGAAAGAGGAAAAGCGCTTTTGGAAAGAGTAAGTGTTGTTTAGACTTTGCTGATCGGAGTGTTGCATTTTTTTTTTCTTACTCTCTATTTACTCCAGCTTCGAGCCCGACAAAAGGCCAATGAAGAACAGCGCGATTAAATGCCATTTCCATTTCAACAAGCTGTATATAACTCATTCATACCTTCTGCTTGGCAATTTCTGTTTGAAATCTGCTTTCATATCTATTTTTCATGACCATGCTTTTATTTTTTCTATGTAATCATTGCGGTTCAATTGTTATATTTTTCTTTCTTGATAGGTTTTTTTTTTTTATTTCTCTCTCTCTCTTCATTTTTTACATTCTGAAAAATGAAACAATATATCATTAAAAAGAACAACGACGGATGATCGATTTCTTTTGCTGCCACAAAATTTATTTGCGTGCCCAAGTTGACAAGGAAAAAAAAAAGTTTATCTGTCACCTTATTGAGAACGACAACCAATCACTACCAAGTGGAATGATACCTCTTGATAAAACGATGCTTATCGGTGACGAAACCATAATGTTGATGTCCAAAGTCGATGAGGCATCCATGCCCATTGAATGCTCTGAAAGTTCAGTACTTCATGCGCATGGCCATTTTTTTTATTCGTCAGTGTCACTCGACACCAACGAAAAAAGAAAATGGACCGGATACCTCGGCCACCAATCAGTCGAGTTTTGCCCTAGATTTCAGTTCTGTGCTTGGAACAAATATCCAAAGATTGGCAATAAATAATTTCAACTATTGTTAATATCGGCAAGTGTCACAATGAAAACGATCGGCAAATACACTTTTATTTAAACGGCTTTTTTGTTGTTGCTTGTTCAAATATATTGTATTTTTGTTTTTATGTTTGAGCTTTGTTTTAGGCTTCCCTTTGAAGGGAAGCCGCCGTGGAAAGCGACCAAAGGCAGGGCCACTCAAGAAAAAGTGGCCCAGAAAAAGGGTAGCCGAGAGAGGTAGCCAGAGAAGAAGGCCACGGAAGGAAAGTGGCCCAAGGAAAATGGTCCAAGGACAGCCACCAAGGAAAGGTGACCAAGAAAAGCGGCCGGCAGGAAAAGGAATCCAAGGAAAGAGGGCCACACAGGGAAAGTCGGCCAGAGGAAAGTGGCCCAGGGATGGCCACCAAGGAAAGGTGGCCTAGAAAAAGCGGCCGACGGGAAGAGGGCCACAGAGAAAAAGTGGCCCCGGAAAAGTGGCCGCACCAGAAAAATGACCCAAGTAAATGGCCTGGCCAAGGAAAGTGGCCGCAACGAAGGCCAAGAAGCAAAGTCCACCGAGGACAACCGAGGAGAAAGGTCCCAACAAAGCCGGACCACCACCAGCCAGCAAGCGAAAGAAGGCGGACAAGGTCGCCAAAAGAACGCCCAGAAAAACCAAGTCGCGAAAACACCGCGAACAGAATGCCGCAAGCCAAACGACAGGCAACGGACAACGGACAAATGGCAACAGGCCACAGGCCACAGGCAACAAGGAAGGGTGAAGCACCAAGGGACGAAGTTCCAAAGGACGAGATACCAAAGGACAAGGCGGCACAAGAGGCACAGGACGCAACGACAGGCAACCACAAAAGAGCGCAACAGACAAGGACCAGCAACAACAAGGACAAGAACCACAGCAAAAAAGGAAAAAAAAAAGAAACAAGCAAAAGAAGAGAAAAGCAAAAGGGGTGAAGGAAAAAAATAAGTACATAAAAAATAAAAATAAAAAGAAAGAGGAAAAAACGCCGGGCGGTGGGATACGTGAAAAGGGAAAAATTTCTCTTTTTTTAACGACTAGTCGCAGTGGGCCAAACTAGTCGCACCATTCCCAGTCCATGGGATCATCGATGTCGATGACCGCAGTCGGAAGTTGTTCTTCCTTCGAGGTAACAACGACCACACTACCATCACCAACACCTTCCCCATCGACTGGCTCTTCGTCGAGGATTTCCCGAAGGATATCCTCGACTTCGGACAGATAAATCTGGTCGCCACGAGGCGCCAAAGGCATGCGCACAGAGGAGAAAGTGAAAGCGCAAGAAGTGGGGACAGGAGACAAAGGGGCAGGAGCAAGCACAGAAGCCGAACGGGACATGGGCACAGAGGCTAAGGAGGAAGTGGGCACATCGGCACAAGGCGCGATGGCAGAGCAAGAAGGCGCAGAGGCCAGAACGGAAGAAGGCACAACGGCCACAGACGAGGCAGGCACAAGGGCAACAGAAGTGGCCGCAGTGGCCGCAACAGAGGAAAGCATGCCGGCAACGGACGGTGGCACGACGGCAACAAAGTTAAAGGGCGCAGAGGCCACAACAGAAGCAAGAGGCACACCGGCAGCAGAAGAACCATGCACGGAGGCAAGAGAAGAGGGCACAGAGGCCACGACAGGAGAAGGCACACCGGCACCGGAGGAGCAAGGCAGGGTGGCAGAAGAAGAAGGCACCAAGGCCGACGAAGGAAGGATGCCAACACAGTTGAGAGGCGCAGAGGCCACAGGAGCAGAAGAAACAGGCACATCGGCAACAGAGGAGCCAGACACGACGGCAGAAGAAGAAGGCGCAGAGGCTACGACAGAAGAAGGCACCAAGGCCAAAGACAAGGGCACAACGGCAACGAACGAGAACGAGTCCACGGGAGCAGGAGCAGGAGCAGGAACCGGAGCCGAAGGCAAGGGACGAGAGAGCTTTTTGGCCATTGCGGCACGACGAGAAGCGGAAGAGGCGTTTTTCAGAAATTTGCGGTCTGGCATGATGGATAACTTTTAGGAAAAAAAAGGGATTTTGCCTTCTTTTTATATGATTTTTCTTTTTCGCAAGTCATGACAAGGTTGAAAGGCAGTCATCGAATGAAAAAACCAAAAAATACGATTTAGGTGTAGAGAGACGTGCCGCATTTGTATAGACGCGTGAAATTAATTTATGAGTATCCCGGCAACAATTTGGAAGATACAAGGATGTTTCTCCTTATGAAAAGTTTCAGACACGTCTTCAAAAAACGAGATAAAGGGCATAATGCATAAATAAGTCCAAGCGGACATTTTGATGATTTCAAGTCCGAAAGGCATCGAACAAGATGGAAGCGGTCCATGGGTTCGATTCACTTTGATCCTGTCCCAAAGCACGGCATCCATTACTATTGTTCAGATTTTGGTCCATCCAAAGCCGCCTTTTCAAGACGAATCCGTACAAATTCGAAGCATTTCTGTAGAGGCGCATCGGGCCGAGTTACGGTTTTTTCTTATTTTTTTTGGCACCCATCCATCAGCGTACACCTAAGAAATCAATCGTAATAGATGTATACAACTATGGGAATGGGTGGTCTTGGGCCTTTTGCAAGGTTGATCAAGGGCAACTCAGTGATATTAAACAATAGGCGTGGTTTGGATCCTTCGGAGTTACAAACACCCACTATGCAGCTCGTTACTGAATCATTTTGCGGCGCCTCTTTTTCTTTTTGAAATAAGCTCTATTTGCCACAGTCTACTTGATGGATCGAAAAGGATCGAAGAGTACGGCACAATAAAATTAATTTGGAACTCAAAGCCAGCACATAGATCTCAGCAGCATGAAATGGTTTATACTAGATGCATCGCGCAATAACAAAACTCTTATTATCCTTCTCATTTGCTAGTGCCGTTCCGAGTACAGCATATTTTTCTGAGACAGTGTCGTATCGATGGATCTTATTCAGTGAATTATTTAAGGTTGAAACTGTATGAGGCATTGCAATCAAACTGGGAGAAGACGCTACAGTAATATGCTTTCGTTTCAATAAATGGTGGCCTCTCTTGTTAATTTTTGATGGTGAATGCAAATGTTACAAGAATGGAGCATCTATTAATTTTTTTTTCTCTTCTTTACAAAAGGTCATCTCTCCAGTGATCCTGAAATATTGATAACATTTACATATTTAGTCCTTTAAATCCAGGTGGGGTGAATAGAAAAAGGTCACCGGAAAAACCTAATAATGGTACAAAAACGAAAGAAAACACAAATTTTAGGGATTGTATGGTTTACTACTTTTTTCTTATTTTTTTTTCTTCTTTAGGCGCTCGCGTCCTGTCAAAAAAGAGGTGAGTTACATTGGCCAGATAAACAACACATGAAATCATTTGTCAACTTACCTTGCTTGCATTCAAAACCTTTTCATATTCTGCTTTTAATTGTTTGCTAGGCGGCACGTAACCAGAGTCATCCTCTTCTTCTTCGGGCATCACCTCGGAAGGTTCAACCTTGGCAGCGACAAGAATCTTGGCCACATATTTGCCTGCTTGAGGAACGTCGATGGTCAAATCTTCGTATCCTTCCATGAATGGTTGCAGTGCCTTGATGAAAGCTTCCTTTTCGATCAGGTTTTCTTTGTACAGGTCGCCAATCATCTCACACACCATGTTGACATCGTTTTCCTTCTTTTCCACCACAGAAAGCATCTGAGTGACAAGAATAACACGATGATCCAATTCATCGAATTCCTTGACGCATTCGTACAATTCCTACACAAAAAACATGATATCAATATCAACGACTCTGTCAGGAAATGGTTTCAATAGACTCTTTTTTTTTCTTACCTTCTTATCACGGATATTGTAGTATTCTTCCAATGTATTCTTAGCCTTGCGCTTGACAGCATCTTCGCTCAACTTGGGCTTGTCTTCACTGGAAGCGGCCGCACCAGCTGGGCTAGAGGTATCATCGGATTCCTCGGATGGCATCGAAGCACCACGAGGCAACAGTTGCAATTTCTTTCTTTCCACAGGCTTCTCTTCTTCATGGCCCTCACCACCCAACATACTAAAGAAAAAACAAAAAGCATAAGGTGAGTCGACCGGCGAATATCAGGCACGTTTGTTGTTGTTGTTATGCTTACTCAAAGATATTGGTGGTTTGAGGAGCTGGGCTAGATCTGCCATCGCCAGCGGGTCCGATCTTTTCATTGCCTTTATTGGTGAGAGTGCGGTTCAAGCTGGCAAACGGACTGTTGGAGGGACCCAACACGTTACCGCGCGGTCGGCTACGGTCGGTCTTGCCGAAATTGGTTAAATCATTCACACGACCTCGAGGAGTACCTGTAGGGCTACCAGCACCCACTGTGCTCCATCCATCGGTCTGAGGTGCACCGCTGCTCGAGTTTTCACGTTGCATATCTCTGCCGCCACCACCACGATGAGAGCTCTGTCGTGACATGCTGTGAGGAGGAGGACCACGGCTGCTGGAAGTACGCTTCATCGACTCCTTTTCTTGCTGACTCTTGGCCTTTTCAGCCTGTCAAGAAATAGAATTTAAGTAAACATATAGCGACCGATCAAGCCAGCCCGTCAAAAAACTTACCTCTTGATGAATCTGGGCAATGGTAGTAGGAGCGGGTTGGTTACCACGACGAGGGACCCACTTGCTCTTACGGAGATCAAAGACATCCTATATGACAAATATAGATGTTAGCATAAAATCAGGAATTAAGATCCACGCCCCATAAAAACATCACTTGCCTGAATCATGAACTTGACTCTGGAGCTCAAGTTGGGGCTGGTCATCATTTCTTCCTTCATGCGTTTGAAGAAGACGTCGATCCATCCCTGTCGCTTGGGGCTCTTGTCCATGACGGCACCAATGGTGGTGAGCAATTTACACAGCGATTCGACTTCTTCATCTTCGGCCTGGGAAGCATTGTTACACAGACGCTTCAAGCACTCCAACATGATACGGTCGGTAAGCATGCTTCGCTTGTAAAGTTCACCAATGAACTGGACGAGACCCAGACCTTGACGCTTGGCTTTGGCTGCAGCGTAGTATTCATCGGTCATCATTACTTCACCGCCACTTTCTTCCAACTTGGGCAAATTGGTCTTCCAACCGCGTTCGAATTCGGACTGACAACGATTGAGGAGGTATTTGCGGAAAAGGAACACACCAGAGACGACTTCGCCATCCTGGCTGACAGTGGTCTCATCGCGGATATCATCGGTCATCAGGTCACACATCTTGCGACAAAGTTGAGCCCACATGCTGGCAAAAGGCGGTTCATCACAAGCTTTTTCAAAAGTCAAACGAATGACGGTACGAAGGGATTCGCCATTGTTTTCCTTTTCCGACTGCTTGGCATACGAGAAAATCTGATCGGAAATGGAGTCGAACTTTTCAAGCGTCAATTTGTTCAGCAAGGACTTGACCTTACGAATGATCACATCCTGGGGTATCAAATCACTGTCGTCGGCGGGTTTCTGGGCTTGGCCTGTCAAAGCCACCGGCATCCATCGGTTCTGACTCTTCTCCAAAGGCACGACTTGATCCATGGGAATGGTAGGTCCACCTTGCTGTTCTCTGGGAGGATGACGGCCCTTGCCACCACGACCGCTACGGCTGCGACCACCGTGAGATCCATCACGTTGCATAGGGGAACCGGGACCACCGGGAGAAGGCATGTTATGACTACCGCTACCTTGGCGACCAATGGGACGGCCACCAGCGAATTTACCCATTTCGGCACGTCCGTCACGCGAACCGTGGCGGAACATTCCACCATCCATGGGGGAACCAGGTGTACGGGGACCACGACCACCACGTTCCGAGGTTTGTCGTCGTTGCATACCACCGCGGGAACCACGGTCGTTTTGTTCATCACCAATGTTCTGGAACGCGGACAAGTCTTCGTTGGTCTCCAAGCAAAGAGGCTGGAACTGGAGCAAGAAAGCCGGATCGTACTGAATCTTGCCCGTTTCGGACAATTTACCTCCCTGGGGAGCCTTGACATTGGGCGGGTATTGGATGGTGCTGGGATCTTCAATGGTACGCATGGGAGTGGTAGGAACCTTGGGAGAACGAGTAGGGGTGGAAGGCGATTGAGCAGGCGATTCGGACATGACGTGAGGAGGAATAGCCGAAAGATCTAGATGACCAGGAGCACGACCGGCCTTAGTGGCGGCGATGGAAGCAATACGTTGTTCTTCTTCCTTCTTTCGCTTTTCATCTTCCTGTTCCTTCTTTTGCTTTTCTTCGGCTTCACGAACACGGGTTTCTTCAGCTTCGCGAGCGAGAGCTTCTTCGTGCTCCTTCTGTTCACGTTCCTTGCGTTCGTTTTCTTCACGTTGACGCTGCTCACGCTCTTCACGTTCTTGACGTTCCTTTTCTTCCTTTTCCTTACGTTCCTTCTCTTCACGTTCCTTTTCTTCCTGAGCCTTGCGTTCAGCTTCGGCGCGCTCCTTCTCTTCACGCTCCTTGCGCTCTTTTTCTTCTTGCGCCTTCTTTTCGGCTTCAAGGCGTTCCTTCTCCTCACGCTCCTTGCGTTCAGCCTCTTCCTTCAGTTTACGTTCCTCTTCCTCCTTTTGTTTGCGAGCAGCTTCTTCCTGTTCGGCCTTTTCACGTTCTTCACTCTGCTTGATGGCAGGATCGACGATCTTCACAGGTCGAGGAGGGGAGAAAGTTAAGACGGGTTTCGCACTCTTGTCCTTCTTATCGTCGGATCTTCCGGAATCTTTACTGCTGGTGCCGGAAAGGGGGCTGGAAAGGATGGAATCAGTCTTGATCTTTTCTTTCGTCACAGGATCAATAATGGCCAACGCCTTGCTTCTAGGAGGTTGAATAAAGGATTGTGCAGGACGTGCCCCCATGCCGCCATAAGGTGACATTGGCATAGGAGGATACTGGGCCGGGAAATACTGAGGATGACCTTCATAATCTTGGCGCACATACTAAAACGTAATGATAAGTATAAGGCAAAAAGCCACCCGAAAAAAATTGCCCATCCTCTTCCGGCTTGTCGTCCAACATTCCTCAACCCCTTTCAAAAAAAAAAGAGATGTAGAGAAAACCTGCACTTACGTATTGACCGTGACCTGACATGGGTGCTGTCCATGTATGAGGAGAAATGTTCTGAGCGGGAGGCAAAGATGGAGAAGTGGCAGTAGCCATGTGAGGCGAGATGGGTTTCTTGGGATGATGAGGAATGTATCCCGATTGCGCATTTTGAATGTTGGGAGAATGACCCATCTGAGGGTTGTGTTTTCCCTGATGGTTGTAATGCTGGCGATGACCACCGTAATGACGGCCACCATGATTGGTTTGATAATGAGGTTGAGATGCATTTTGCGAGTCACCCATGGAGTTGTTGGAACCGCGTCGTTGAGAATAACCCTGTGGCACAAATGGTTGTGTGAACAATTTGTTTTTGTGTGTATCAGCAGCTGTCTGCTGCGTTGTGTTTGCAGAAGGCGACATGGTTCTTGGTATATCTGACGTCTTTTGGATTCGACTACTACCCTGACCGTATCGGACAGTAGCAGCTGCAGCAGCCGGCTGAAAATAAATCCAGGAAGCCGTGAGCCAAAAATATTTTCAAAAGAAACGCACACCGCCCAATGTCAAATAGTCATAACAACAAACACAGAGAGAGACAGAGCCATAGAGAGCGAGAAAAAAAAAAAAGAAATGCAACAACTTACCGATGATGTGTCGACGGCAGGTAAGCTACCAAAGGCTACTTCTGTAGGCTTGTGAGGAGTTTGAACATCGGCTGCTTTGGAAGCCGAAGGTGGCTCATTCGCAGGCTGATTGATGGAACCAAACTGAATAGCTGCTTTGAAAATGTCAAACATCAGTGAACCCCATTTCCAAGATCAATCCGTAAAAAACAAAAAACGAGTTTCAACTTACTTTTACCAGCATCGGCCGGCGGTGCTCGAGGGAGCTGAACGGGAGCATTTCTAGATGTTTTCGAAGGTGTAGATGACGGCTTAGCATTCGATCTAAACGGAATTAAAAACATAAAAAATAAAGAATAAATAAAAAGGGGTCAAAATAAAGTTAGATACGATGAAATTGAAAACAAGCGGGCCATTTTAAAACGATCAGCGAACTGAAAAGTAGAGTGGGGTTGGGTTGGGTGGGTTGGATTGGGTGGCGAAAGAAAAAAAAAATTCGCAAAAAGATGCAAAAAAAAAGACGACGAATAGAAAATGAATATATAAAAGAGAGATACGTACGCATTTGGCAAAGTGCTTCCTAAAGCCGCAGCAAACGAGGGAGGCGTGGCCTTTTCTCCAGAGGGTGATGGTGAAGTCTGTGATCCATTTATCCGTTGGTTGCCATTGAGATTGGATTTATCAGCGGGTGAATCTGGACCTGAGGTAGCCGTTGTGTTGGATGATGATGCGGTAGTAGTTCTATGATTGGATGGCGTTTCCTGTGTCTGCGAGCTTCTCTTCGCAGCTTGTGCGTAGTTAAACACTGCTTGTGGAGTCGACTTTGCGTTGGTGTTTTCGGTGTTGTTTTGTGTTCTATTCATTAGTTTAAGTTTTCTTCAAACGGTCATATCCTAGCAGGACCTAAAAGTGGCTTTGAACATAAAATGGGAAATCATGTCGTCAGAGATCCAAACCTTAACAAGCTGCCATTACAAGACGAAACTATTCTTTACTTACTGATAGTGGTGCTGCTTCCAAAAAGAGAGAGAGAGGAAAAGAGGCAGACAAGTGCACCAAGCAGTACGCGAAGAAAGGAGTATTAGAAAAAAAAAAATCCCTTGCTTCCTGTCCAGCAAAACCCCGTCGTTGACTTTTTGTTGGATGGATGAAAAAAAAAAAAAAAAAAAAGTTTCACGGGCTGACGTCACCCCTTTTGCCCGAAATTTTTTTTGTGTTTTTTTATTTTTTGGTATTATTTTCCCAAAAGCAGCCACTCATTGTTTTTGTAAATATGCATCATGTAATCCATATTAAAGTTTCTTTTTAGGCATCAAAAACCCCTCTACTTTTTTTTGATTTTTTTTAACGTTGAAGGGTTAAAAAAACCCATGTTTTTGATTGGTTCATTAAGGTAGAATGTCAATGATAAAGCAATTTTCTTTTTTTCGTCGTATGATCAGAAAATGTATGCGCTATCTGCAGCGTTTATTGAAATTTGTATTTGTGATAAAAGAGAACATGCAATAAAGGAAAGATGAAATAAAAAAGAGAAGAAAAACAAGAAATTCTATCATTTTCGGGTTTTGGAAAAATGTATTTACAAGGTGCTTTCGAGCTGACCAGTGGCGGCCAGGATAAGACCGTGGAACAAAGGAGCCGGCTTCAGAGGACGGGTAAGGTATTCGGGATGATACTGGCAGCCCACAAAGTAGGGATGATTCTCCATTTCAACGATTTCCATACGTTGGCCCGTTTCGTCTTTGCCGACAAAACGAAGACCCTTCTCTTCAAACTTGGACACGTGTTCAGGGTTAACTTCATAACGATGACGATGACGTTCGTCTACCGAAGGAGCACCACCGTACAATTTACGCACACGCGAGTTTTCTGTGTTGTCTTGGAAGACCGTGGCACGAAGACCCAAACGCATAGTACCACCCAAATGGGTCTTTGAGATTTCAGGCATATACACCACCACAGGAGTCTTGGTTTCGGGTTCCATTTCCGCCGAATGAGCGTCGGTCATACCACACACATTGCGAGCAAATTCAATAACAGCGATCTGCATACCCAAACAGATACCCAAATAAGGCACCTTGTTTTCACGAGCCCACTTGGCTGCCATGACCATGCCTTCGATACCGCGGGCACCGAAACCACCAGGCACAAGCACACCATCGGCCGAACACAAACTCTGCCAGGATTCATGGAACTTGATAGGATCGGTCTTCAACGCTTCCTGCTCCAAATCGGTGGCTTCAATCCACTTGATCTCCGATTTGCGGCCGCAAGCCAAACTGGCATGCTCCAAAGACTTGTACACCGAGATGTAAGAATCGTGAAGATTGGTATACTTGCCCACCAAAGCAATGGTCACAGTTTCACGCAAATGTTCGTAGCTACCGGCCAAAGAGGTCCATCGATTCCACAACGCTTCACCGGCCGAACGACGTTCTTCAGGAATATTGAGAGCATCAAGACCCAATCGACGACGGAAGAAATCAATCACACCATGCTGACGCATCAAAATAGGGACATGGTAGACTGAAGACACATCTTGCACGGCCAACACTTGCTCGGGACCGACGTGACAGAACATGGAAATCTTGCTGGCGACGCTGTCATCCAAAGGCTTGGACGAACGACAAGCGATCAAATCAGGGGTCAAACCGGCACCACGAAGATCACGCACGCTCATCTGAGTAGGCTTGGTCTTTTGTTCACCAACGGATCCAACCACGGGAACCAAGGAGACGTGAATCAAACAAAAGTTTTCATGACCCACACGGAACTGGAACTGACGCATGGCTTCAACAAAGGGAGCAGATTCAATATCACCGACGGTACCACCCAATTCGATAATGCAAACATCAGGGGCTTCACCGGATTCGTCCACAGGCATGGCTGCCACACGTTCAACCCAGTTCTGGATAGCATCGGTAATATGGGGCACCACTTGCACTGTCTTGCCAAGGTAATCACCTCGACGTTCCTTCTCAATCACTTCACTGTAGATTTTGCCCGTGGTAATGTTGTTGATACGGCTCAACTGAACATCCAAGAAACGTTCATAATTGCCCAGATCAAGATCGACTTCGCCACCGTCGTTCAACACAAAGACCTCACCTACAGAATCCCGGCAGAACATTGTCTTAGATCCAACTGACCAAGGACACCCATATACCCAAATCATTCAATATTTTTTTGATCAACTACATACCGTGATCCAAAGGACTCATCAAACCAGCATCGATGTTCAAATAGGGATCGATTTTGATGGCTGTCACACGCAAGCCCAAGCTCTTCAAAAGAGTGCCGGTGCTCGAGGCAATTACACCCTTTCCGATACCGGAGATAACACCACCAGAGACAACGATATACTTGGTCATTATATGATTATTTTAATAAAGGAGGGAAAAAAAAGTATATTAAAAAAAAAAAAGTAGGGCGCCTTTCAGAGGTTAAAAGAAAGGGAAGTTTATCCAAGGAGCGAAAAATTTCGCACAAAATACTGGTGAAAAAATGTGACGCTTCTTTTTTTGATGGACAGTGGCTTGGACCAATCTTTTTTTTTCGGAAATTCGAATGAGATTTTTTTTTTCATTCCATGTCTGTCCAATCGGCATCGTCGTCGTCGGCTTGATTGGACCAAACAATGGCTTCCGTCGCTTGTTCAAACTCTGCTGCGGCGACCACCACATTATAACAGTCCTGATAGTTCACATAGCGCAGCTGCATGCATTTCCGCGCCAGATACCACAGTCCTTCCTCGGAAACCAGTTCGCAGCTGGCAATATTCAGCCACCGCAAGTGTTGGCAATGGTCGGCAATAGCCCGAAGCGACGTGTCGGTGATTTCGGCTGATGACAGATCCAGTTCCTCCAACTGAGAACAGTGCTCAGCAACATGATTTATGGCCGTATCATTCACAAATCGGCACCCGGCCACCGATAAATAAACCAGATTAGGGAAACCTTCCACCGCAGCAGATAATTGCCGATTTTCACTGGATTACATGAAATATTTAGTCAGAGGTTATTTCTCTGATGACAGAAAAAAGTGTGCAAAGAAAAACATACAAACTGCATAGACTCAAATCCAGACGTTGCAAGTCTTTCGTTTTCTGAGATAGATCCATGAGCATTGGTCCTATTCGCTTGCGCCAACGGTGAGGTGTAAGTTGCAAGTCGATGGTACGAACATGGTAGCTTTGCTTGGTAAGATGGGTAGCGAAGCGTTGAAAACTTTCAACGGTGGGGAATATGGGCGAATGGTAAAGCAATGGCGAAGAAATGGCGTGAAATTGTCGTGATACACGGTTGAGACTGGCTAATGTTTTTTGATCATCTTGAAGCAACGATACGATAGCCGTCAATATCTCATAAGCGAGCTTGTCCATGACAGACCATATCGGGGTTTGCCCAAAACTGGCAAAAATGAACGGTGTGACCGTGACCCCATGTGGCGCCCGTTAAAAAATAGCGCAGTTGGAGGACTTGCCAGCGATGAAGCATCCTATAGTTTTCTGCACTTGACCTTTTTCCAGCTTATTTGGGCACAAGTAATATGGATGCATAGCCATGAAACGGAGAGAGAGTTGGACATGGCAAAAAGATAGATAATTCGACATGCTTTTGCACAGCAACAGACAGTGCAGCAGTAGCCGTGTCTTGGGCTACCCAACAGTGAAAGGAGAAAAACAAGGCTTGACAAGTGATCTGTAGAATGTCTCAAAAGTCAAAACTCAGACCGCAGCAGCCGAAGACTGATACGCAATTGTTCGAAATAAAACATAGCAGAAAAAATGTGACGTTCTGCACAGCATGCCCTGAGGACTTGAACCCCTTCACTATGGAATGAAGGCCCTCAAATAGACGTTCCGTCAGAGCGCGTGAGGAAAAAAAGAAAGTGGCACCCAATATCAAAAGAGAAAAGAGAATAGACATTTGCCAAGTTCAATCGAGGCTTCATCAAAGACGCGTAAGCGTAATGGCGATAGCCGTCACAAACAGCGAATTTCCCCCAATCTCATGCAATTGCACTTATTTTGAAGACGTCTTTCTCTTTCAGAGTCAGTTTATTACTTGCTTTTGTGATTCTTTTTTTACTCATTGATACAACTGTAATCCAATATGGTATGCATGCCTTCCCATTTACAAAAAAGACAATTTCGGTCACCCATTCACAGGTTTATCCTGGTAGTTGTTACGCGTACGCTCGAAAGAAGGCATGCACCGCATTCAGGTGGAACCTCAGGACACCTTTGCGTCGTTTGCTGAAAAAGTAAGCTTTCGAAAACCATAACGTTACCCAGTAAATATCTAATGGAATTTACTTAGATTGCTAAAGTACTAAACATGACGGATGTATCGACGTTGGCCATGAGTGACCAACCCAATACCTCAAATGCCACTTCTATTATGCAACTAGCGAACCAATCCTTGGCATCTGCCAATCTCAAGTAAGTTGGCTAGTGCGACATTTTTCCTTTTTATAAGGCTCTCATTGATATGGTGTATAGACATGGTGATATTGTCTACATTACGTATGTTGAACCTGTCCAGGAGCAGGAACCGGTCAAGACCACGCAAGAAGAACGAAAACCACAGACAACGACATCGGGATATATCCCCATCGAGGAACTGTCCAATATCAAGCAAGATGCCGTGGACGATTTTCTCGAAAAGCAACGTGGACTGATTCAACGATCAAAAGATACTAAATTGTAAGTTGGACAGACATTTTTTTTTGTGAAAGTGAGAAAAGAATGGGGCTTCATATTGCTTCCATTTTAGCTGTCGACACGGAAGTAATGCCATGTGCGATTATTGTATGCCACTGGAGGTAGATGAATTTTTGGCTCATATGGATATGTAAACGATGTATTCATTTCATTTTTTTTCCGTGATGTCTGCAGCCGTACGATCAAGGGTATCTTGAGGAAAACAAAATCAAGCACATGTCGTTTCATGCGTATCTTCGTCAAATCAATTCCGCGCAACAAACAAAAGCTCCTTCCAGTGCGATCGTAAAACAGCTGCCTCCGCTGGAAGAGCCCAATTACAAAGTCAAGGTCCCCTGTACGGGCGGCCATGCGCCTTGGCCCGAAGGTATTTGCACCAAATGTCAGCCCAGCGCCATTACACTGCAAAGACAGGTCAGTTCTTGATAAAATGGCCAAGGAAACGGCGTTCACCGGGTCTCACGTTATTATGCTATCAATGCTAGACTTATCGAGCCGTGGATCACGTCGAATTTTCATCGGCGGCACTCATCGACAATTTCATCCACTACTGGCGTGAATCGGGATGTCAACGGTTTGGATACATGTATGGACGTTATGAACCGTATTTAGACGTGCCTCTGGGAATCAAGGCGGTAGTGGAAGCCATTTACGAACCACCGCAGGAGACCCATGTGGATGGTCTGAAACTGGACATTCCTTGGGCCGAGGAAAAATTGGTGAATCAAGTCGCGGAAGCTTGTGGACTGGTGAAAATTGGCATGATTTTCACGGATTTAACGGACGATGGGACTGGCAAAGGCACAGTGTACGCGAAGCGCCATGTGGATTCGTACTTTTTATCTTCGCTTGAATGTTGTTTTGCGGCCGAAATGCAACGTCGTCATCCCAACTATTCTCGTCACTCGGCTACCGGGAAATACAGCTCCAAGTTTGTTACCTGTGTTGTTTCCGGCGACGTGGAAGGCAATATTGATGTCACAGCATACCAAGTCTCGGATACCATGACGGCCATGCATGAAGCTGGCATCGTGGAACCTAGTCGCAAACCGTCGGTCATGCGCGTCAAAGAAAGTATTCCTCACGAACGTTATGTGCCCGAGGTATTCTACAAATTCAAAAACGAGTACAACGTCATGGTGAAAGAACCTGCCAAGCCGACCTTTCCCGTGGAGTATCTGTTGGTCAATGTAAGCTCAAATCGAATGATATTAGGTTTTATTTTTCGGTGTTAATCTCTTGGCAATGGTAGGTAACGAATGGTTTCCCGCAAAACCCCAATGTTCTTTTCAAATCGACGGCAGGCTACGTGGTGGAAAACCGACCTGGTGTAGCCCATCAGGATATGGGCACGCTCAGCAATCATTTATTGCATGTTCAAAGCTCATCGGAACTGAAGCAGGTGCTGTCTGATTTCCATTTGTTATGCTCGATTCGATCGACCGAGATCTTGGGGCTGGCGGAATTTAAAAAATTATGCGAGATTGCAACCCAGCCTAATCAAAGTGCGGATGAATTGGAGCACATGGAGGGTTGGAATACACTGATCATGGTTCTGAAAACCGCAGGTAAATCTCGAGTTCTTTTTTTTTATCGGTTGAGGACATGCCTTATTTAATATTGGCTATTTATTACAGAGGGTAATGCTCGTGCCAATACACCTGCTGCCGCGACATCCAGTGCTGGCCCTAGCACCAGCACACCGGCCGTTTCAGCCACCCCAGTGGAGAAATCATGTAGACATTGTACATTTGCCAATCCTGGCACAAACGTCAACTGCGAAATGTGTGGTTTACCACTGGATGAATGAAAACCATGACCGTGCTGTCATTTTGTTTTGTCTCTGTTCTTTTTTTTATCAGGTTTCTGTTTTGCACAATGATCTTGAGAATATGTTATCAGGAGATCCATAAGTAGGAGTTGTTGTTTATTTTCAGAGATACTTGGTTATCTAATATTACGTATGTATGTATGTGGAATAACGTCTTGTGTTGAAGAAAAAAATTAGAGAAATGGGACGCAGCGATATTTGGTTGCATGACAGGGAGTGGCGAAGATCTAATCTGGGAGTGGAACCGAAAAAAAAATAAAAAAGATGACCGAAGGAATGGGTTGGAAGTGAAAAAAAATCCTTCAGGAGATGCCCTATTTCTGATTAAGATGTCACCTAGATTGTTAACAAATGAGGAGGGATGTCACGAAGCACTTGATAGGCATTGCAGAAATTTAGACAATACCATGTGAAAGGAAGCCTTAAATATGCGGTGAACAATTACAAAGATTCAAAGTTACACGAATTTGTATCGAAACTTTTTTTTTAATCGTTTCATTGAGCGATTTTATTACACTTGTTTTTTCTTTCGTTATGAAGAATCCGTATTTAAAAACTTATTATTGATAATACATATAAAAAAACACCCCCTTCAACTGTAAAACTTATTCAAGATACCCCGTCTATGTTGCCTAATTCTCGCTTCATTCCTTCATCATCGTCCGAATCGCACCATGTTCACCACCACCACTCTCGACCACGAGCATCGTCGACGGCGTCTCAACATAAACCAAAGTCTAATTTCTTATCGCGATTTATGACGCCCACCCCATCGAAACCACCCTACACGAAACCATCTTCCGCATCATTACCTCACCTGCCTCCTATTGGACAACGGATCAAGCGAAAACCGCTAGTGTCTGATCATGGCGTCGAACCGACCTTGAGCGACCCTAGATTTACAGCGCCCATGACAACCGCAGCCATCACAGAAACCATGGTGATCTCTTCAGCGATAGAAGAAAACGAAACGATGAAAAAGGTGAGAAAAGCTGTATGTGTTCACAGATAATGGACGACTATTTGTTGATCTGGTATTGGTTTGGTTTTTTTTTTCCCCTTGCGATGTAAGCAACAGCAAGCAGGCACCGGCAGTATCCGAGGATTTGGAAAATTCTTTAAAAAATTAGGCAAGCCAGCGGAGGACGATTTCGATCTGTCGTGGCCCATGCATGATCCGTCTACTAACCCGAGTAGCAGCCCCCATCCTGCATCCGATTTGATGGTTCGTCATCATCCTCATATTCCTTTGGCCTCCCCTCCGCCTGTCGATCATCATGTACCACCCTATTCATCCTTCACTCCCCCGTCACGAGAAGAAGATGTCGCAGCGGCTGCAATTCGCGACTCCTTGCCCTTGTCTACTTATCGCGCATCCTCCACCAACCTCAATAATATCCAACCTAAATATAGCCATTCTACACCTACTACCAAAAAATCTGATGGACAGTCTCAGCCATCTTCTATACCTCGCATGGAAGATGTTTACCCATCGCACGATCCCTTTCGCTCACGCTGGTCCAATGCTTCCACCCACAAATCCTCAGGATCTTATTCGCTTTACAGTACATTTGGCACCGAATCCTATTGTTCCTCCGAATTCGTCGATGCAGAGGAAAAATTTAATTCCGCAGCCAACGATACCACCGACGATCCACCCAAACCCGTCAGCCAGCACGAAATGCACTCGAGCCAAGCCATGGATCCAAACGAGGATGTCAGTGACAGCCAAAGCGATATCTCGGAAGAGCATGATGTGTTTGTCGATGCGACCGGATGTTCTCAGGAAGAGATTGAACGCGAATTAAAGGAGCGAAAATTGTCCAAACGCCTCAGCGGTGGCCACTACGGAAGCGCCGGAGGCCTTGTTTTCAGCATCGTGACCCCACCTCCGATTCCGCCAAAAAGCCACCATCGACGACCGCCCGAAGACATTGTCAATGCCATGTTGAATTGGAAAAGGCAAAGTCTGCCGGGCAGACGGGCCAGTCAAGGCTCCTCCCTCAGTCAAGGGGCCTCGATTACCATTGTCATTGATGAAAACCAAGAGCCCGAGGCCGACAGTGGCAAAATTTTGATGCCTTCCGCGGCGGATAACGAACGAGAGAAGCGCAATGAATCCTTGGAGATATTTTCTCAAGCCGTGAACGAAGCGCTCAGTGGCATGACACTCGCCCCGCAGCTAAAACCGGACCAAGAGGATGACCAAACGCAATTGACCGTTGAAGCCAAGACCGCGGCACAGCGGTTATGGAATGAAGACGAAGCATTTATGGAAAGAGAGCGGGTGGCGGAATGGCTCGGTTCAGCGTAACTAATAATGTCTTTTTTGGAATCAACTTGGACTTTCTTTGAAAAATCTCACGCAACAATATGTCATCCTTAGCAAACCGTTGAATGCCAAGACGTTGGTGTTGTACATGGAGAACTTTGATTTCCGGACATTGCGGTTAGATACCGCGTTTAGGTAGGGAAAAAAAGAGATGGATTTGCATTTCATGTCGTCCAATCAACTCAAACCATTTGGATGCAGGAAATTATGCGGCAAACTTTATTTCAAAGCGGAAGCGCAGCAAATCGATCGCATTTTGGAAGCCTTTGCTAATCGGTACTGGAGTTGTAATCCACGGTGTCTTTTTGGCAGCGCAGGTAAAATAATGATACCTCTCCATTTCCTGGATGTTTTAACACTGAATGGACTTTTTCTTTTTATTGATGAGTAGACGTTGTGTATGCCATTGTTTATTCGTTGCTGTTGCTCAACACAGATCTTCATGTGGCACGCGGCAACTATGCTCGTATGACGCGACAAGCGTTTGTGAAAAATACAATGGCAACGATCCAAGACCAACGGCAAGGGGCTGCCAACAGTGGCACGGTTCAATTATCACGTGCATGGGAAGCTGAGGTGGAAGCGTATCTCAAAGTAGGTCTTGCTTCCATTAATGGGCCATACAACAAGCCCCCAGTTAATGCATTTGTTTAACTACTCCGATCCTTAGGACCTTTACGTGTCCGTGAAACAACACCAGATTTTGCAATCGCTGCCAAAGCATTTGGACACACGTCCTGTGCTGGAGAAACGCAGTAGCGTCATGCTGGGTGGAGCTCGTCGCGTGGTTGATTTCAAACGAAGTGTTGGCAATATGGTCCGGAAAACAGCCCGTGAAAGTATGCTGTTTCCCGATGACTTCGAAGTAAGTCAAGAATAGAGAAAAAAACCATGACAACCTACTACGAGTGCTGAATTTTTATTTTTCTTTCGAATTTGTTGCAGGCTCGATCGAGCACAAGTTCAGGGCAACAATCGCCGTTGACGCCGTCGTCACCGCCGCCTCCAAGGTCACCGAGACGAAGCTCCTTTTCGTCGACACTGTCGGCTACGTCTTCGGGCTCGCATCCGACACGTGGCTTGCTATCGCCGCATCCTCAACCGATGATGCACTTTATGAATACCCACGCGTCAGCACTCTTCAGCAATCAACCTCCCTACCTGAAAGAAGGCGTGGTGATGCGTAAACATCTTTTGGAGTCGGCCGTCCATAAAGCAAAACATCGCGATTGGCGAGAATGCTTCATGGTGGTTACCGAAGGCGAGCTACGGATGTATGCCTTGCAGAGCAACGACACACCCGAACGTAAAAGCATGCTGCGGTCCAGCAGTGCCAGTTTTGCCCATCTCGCCGACTCTCTCAAACTAAACAGTAACAGCATTCACGCCGCACCGTCTTCCTTTGGTGGGGTCCCATCCAACCAGTGGGCGGTAAGTCGGCTTTGGTCGTTCAAATGGACACGAGTGACAAAACGCGCTGATTCTTACGTTTCTTTGGTCTAGTCGACATGTCAGCTTTTAAGTACGATCAAGCTCAACCACTCACTGTCCAATGTATTGCCTCCACCAGGGTACAATCGGCAGCGACCGCACGTGTTTGCATTGCAACAATCCAATGGCGGCGTGTATCTGTTTCAAGCTGGATCCGCCGAACAGGTGTCGGAATGGGTGGCGACTTGCAATTATTGGGCGGCAAGAGAAAGCAAGGAACCTTTGAGCGGCGGAGTGAGCAATATGGAGTACGGTTGGGGCAACTGTTTGAACGACGTTATCATGGATCTGGACGATGTGGATCAAGGCCAAGTTATTCCCGGGAGTCATACGCGGGACGCGGATCATATTACACTCTATGACTGGCGTGCCCCCGCTCCACCCATGGTCTCCAGTACCTTGTCAGAAAAAGATCAGCGTGACGCACTTCAGAGGCATTTGCAAGTGCTTAATTACGATATCAATAATCATCGCGATCTGAAAAAGAAAATCCTGGTCAAGGTAAGACCTCGCGTCACGAATGGATGAAGCGTTTTTACAACTAACTGATGATGCATGATGGATAGTTCCCGAGCAAGAGCAACAACAATACCAAAGCCCTAAGCAATTGGGAAGCCAAATCGAAATATTTACTGCACGAGATCATCAAGTATCAAAATTACTGCGACATTCTGGAGAAATGTATTTTACAGCATACTAACGGAGCCACCGATGATCCTGTCAAACCCGCTTCTCCATCGACAGATTATCAAAACGGCCATACCGCCCTAACTAACGCCATGGATGATAAGCTTCAACTGTTTGCCATATAAACCTTGCGAACTGCATGTATTGGCGAAGCGCTGTCCCAAAAAGTTTTCAACATCAGCAAAGAGATGTCTTCCCTCTCACAAAATTTCCGTAATTTTCATCCACCCATTTTATATCTTAAGCTGTTTTTCTTTCGATAACGATTGTAGTAATTTTCCAAGCACTTAATTCTTGCTGCCCTTTGCATCTTTGTACTTTTGCGTCCATTTCTAGTTCCACATATAAAATGACCGACAGCATACCCGAAAAGCCTTTACAGCATGTCGATGCTCTTGCGGATTGGCAGCATTGTATTCCCTTGATACCCAATATGGCCGTCATTCATTATTTGCGACGAGCCAGCTCCATGCTCGATCTGTAAGTGTCGTTGTCTCGTCGGCACAACCACCTCGTCCCAAGCTAACGACGTTCTTTTGGTCTACTTAGTCCCGTACGCACCACGGCAACTGCAATATGTTACTATCATCGATTCAATAAATTCATGGCACAACAAAAGCACCAAGCTGTTTCGCGCAATGCTCATCCCGTCGACGACGCTTTACCTCTACACACAAATCACGAAGTAAATACCTTTATTGGTTTGATATGGGATTTTTACTTTGGTGTATTGATCGGCTCTCTGTTACTTGGCTTTTTCAGCTCCTTGCTACGACTTGTCTCCATTTAGCATGTAAATCAACAGAAGTACCGAGAAAAGTACGCGATCTCGTCAACGTAGGCTACAGGCAAGTCTTGCTTCCATGTAAAAACGAAACGTACATGAATGCCGTAAAGCCTTACACATGTGTTTTAGGTATTACCATCCGAACGACGGTATACTGCAAGTAGACGAGGTGAGACAGGATGTCGCTTGTGTAGTCTATTTGACGGGCGCTAACAAGATGCTTTTTATTTTTCGTCAGACTTATTTCAAGATGCGATCTTCGCTGGTGACGAGCGAGTTGTTACTGGTGCGTGCGCTGGACTACGATTTAGAGGTCGATCTACCGTTTGCATTTTGTCTCAATGTACTGCGAAACATGGCCTCGGTACCACTGTACAAAGAACTTCGACGATACGGTGCCATGACAGGACGTGGTTGGCAAAAGGATTTGTGGCGACAAATGGAACAAGATATACACCCGGATTTAAGCGCCATTGCTCGTCTTGCTTGGATGTTTCTGTGGGATAGGTAAAATGAGAGGATAAAAAAAAAGCGTCTTTACGAGGAAGCGGTTTTGATCTGTTAACTGATATCTATATTGCTTGCTTTGATGACGTTTAGTTTAATATCACCCAAGATCGTTTTGAACCACTCCACCCCTGGTGTTGCATTAGGATGTCTCTATCTGGCATTACGTACATCGAATGCACCGTTTCCCTTTACGATGAGCGAGGTAAAATCATGGTTGTAACGATTGCATGCGAACCTTGGTGTCTAACGCTTCCATGATATTGTTAGTGGGTGGACATGTGGGGAGCATCAGAAAATATATCGGTTCAAGCGGTGCGAGGTAAGCTCAATGCCCATATCTCTCTTGGATCTTTTACTTGTGTTCTCATACATTGATGTTAGACGTCGTCACTGATCTATTGGAATTATATGAAAAGTCATCCATCACTGCTGACGATGCTCATGAATAAAAGCATCCAAAAATTTAATCTTAGTGAAAATACCGCAATATAACGATCAGGCATCGCATTAAGCCAAATGGATGACCCTTTTTTTTCACGCTTTTGATGACTTGAATGATAAAAAACAGAAAGATGAGTAAAAAAAGTTGGAAATTATGAAAACGAAAAAAAAAAAGATTTGTGACAGCAACCAAATTAAGCAAGCCAAATGGGAGGAGGTAAGGGATGATAAAAAAGAAAAGTATAAGAGAATGGAACAATATAAAACGCTGGAATCGTATTACAGCACTCCCATCACTTCCAATTTATGTCGCTCTATGGGATACAAATTGGTTATACTCGGAAACCAATGACCATCCTATCGATTGTATGACTTACGCGTTTGACGTGAATCGGCTTCTTCTGCTTCACTGTCTTCACCATCATTATAATCATCCGCATGAAAGTCGCGTGGAACTTCCTGCATCCCCACCGATGGCGCGAAAGGCATACTTCGTAAATTATCAATGATCTTGCGACTGCATTGGAAGAATACATGGGTGAGCAAAAAGATCAACAACGATTCTACCCATGCTCCCAAGTTTTTGTCACTTACATGGTCTGATCCAAATACTCTCTCGTATTATGGTTGGTCATGTTGTTGGCGGGGACATCCAATTTATACTCCGGTCCGTAATACTCAAAATAGTTGTTATAAGGCAGTTCCACTGTGAACAGAAAGAAGCATTAGTTTTCACAGCACTGCACAGGAACCGTATGCCATCTCTTTTGGTAAAACTATCACGAAACCTTACTTTCTGTCAAATCTTCCCCGACGGCCAGACCCGTTTCAAAGGTCCAGGTTCTTGCGACATTGCGGATGGTGTATCCACCACCACCAACCATGATCATGGGGATATTGAAAGATCGCATGTATTCAACACAGGCTGCGTGACCACGCATCGATAGGTTGAAACACCCCAATCGATCGCCCGCTAATGAATCGCCGCCACACTGCAACACAATCGCTCCCGGTCGATACCACTCCATGATGTGCTGGATGATTGGCTTGAATACACTTCGGTAGGTCTCATCATCTATGCCGTCCCTTAAAGGCACATTGACGGCATACTTTTTTCCTTTGCCCAAACCGGTATCCTGCACTCGATGTGTCAGATCCAACTGAATGAATCCCCTCCCCTTCTTGTCGGACATACCTTGATATCACCCGTACCAGGAAAGAATTCGCCAAATTTATGAAAGGAGCATGTCATGACACGATCCGTGGTATAAAATGCTTCTTCTACGCCATCACCGTGGTGAACGTCGATATCAACATAAAGCACTCTTTGATGATATCTACACAATCTTCCGTCAGAATCCATAATAGCCGCCATGAATTGGTACAGGGAATCACGCTTTACCGTAAAAGCTCTAATATGCCGAGTACAATATCGTTCACGTAACAGAAACCAGACGCTTCTGTCTTTTTGGCGTGATGCAGACCACCGGCCCAGTTCACAGCAATATCGGCTTCGCCATCCAATAACTTGTTGGCTGCGCCTAGATACCATGGAATCCTCTCTTGATTAGCCCTTGGGTCCAATAAATCCTACTCTATACAGATAATTTACCAATGGTACCGCCTGCTGAGATGGAGCAAAACTCAAACAGGCCTTCAAACACAGGACAATCTTCACCGACATTGACTAGAAAAATGCTTCTTGTTCAAACCCCAATGTACACCATTTCCCTGGCTTTTCTGTCGTCGACTTACATCGTGCGATCCCCTGTTCCAATCCACCGTGTTGCATAGCGAGTATTTCGAGATTATCCGGTGTAACGTTTTGTAAGAAATTGATGTATTCATCTGAATGAAACCGTGTCATTTGGTATGCGGTCGTCCGTTTGGGTTTCTAGGAAACATCGATCAGTTATTGCCATCCTAGGCGGTACCAGAACAAAATCCCAGGCTACATACAACGATATCGAGTTTCTTGTAAAGACCGTAATTCACGACCATGTTGTGCACCATATGCATACGTTTTGGCTTCATGTAATGGCCTTGGTTCAAAAAAACGACGGTATTAGTTCCTCAACTTGCCCAAAAATATAGCTGTCAGCAGTACCTGGACCATAGTTGAAGTTACCGACATCGTCTACAACAACAGCAATGGAATGGAGATGAGAGGTGGATCTTTTTTTTTTCAAAGTTCGCGATGGAAGCATGCTTACGATCATAAAAATAGGATACTCGTCTTTTGGAGCAATTGGCAAGACTGTAAGAATTTGACATTGCAGTAAACGAAATGGGCTTGCTTTAAAATTTGGACTTTGGCAAGTGAAATGGATATGACTTGGAAAAAGAGAGAGAGAAAACAAAGTGTCCGTAGCAGGAAAGCACGAATAGGGGAACGGAGCGACTTGATTTTCTGGGTCCTTTCAATTTTCATTCGCAGCCACCAGTCTTATTCCAGCACTGATAAAAAAGCAGTCTTCCCGCATTACACCCTATTGCCGTTGAACGATGGCTTGACCAACAACGATCCTTGCCAAGCCATCAAAGAGGTTGCTGAACAGAGTCATCAAAAACCTCATTTTCAGGTCGATCTTCAAGATTATTTATAGTTGTTTAGTACATTTTTGTTATAAGTCTTGTAATGAAAATGGTGTATTTTTTATTTAGCTACAAAGAGATGAAAACTAATATTGAACGATCAGTCCAAGGAATAAAAGAAGCGTGGACACATAGGTATGGGTAGCGATGGTACGATAAGCATTGGAGGTCATATCGGTATCCTGACCAGAAGATAAAGAAGAAGGAGAGGAAGGATCAGACGAAGCGACTTCACCGGATGCGGCGGGTACGGATGAATTATTATTTTGTTGTTCAGGAATCGCCGCCGACGAGCCATTGTTAGTGGGATAGACAAAATTGGTTTCCCAATAGGGATTCTGGATGTTATGGCATTGATTGTGTGGCATCACGCGGAATACTTTTTGGATTTCAGGTAGCCATTTTTCGGCCATGGACACGGTGGAGTTGTTAAGTTCGTGTTGTAACACAACATGACCGGTGGCATTATCCGTGCCATTGGCCCGACTGTCGATCCATCCCTGGAAATACCCATCTACCACACTCGGTGAAAGATGACCGCCTCCCGAACCAGGCATATTCCAATCATCCGTATCCAAGTCCCACGTCACTGTCGTCATCCCCATCTGCCACGCAATAGCACGCACACGATCATCGACGTCTCCGTAAGGCGGTCGCCAGCATTTCGCCGTGACACCCGTGACTTCTTTGATCGCTCGCAGAGTCCAGTAAAGCTCGGCCACCACTACTTCATTGCTCTGCGCTGTCATAGATGGATGCGACCACGTATGGCTGCACAATGTATGACCGTCAGCTAGCGCACGTCGAGCCGCTGCTGGCGCAGCAATAACATTGGAACCGATATCTATCAATCATCGGGTCAGCTATCTCGAAAATATTTCGATTGGATGTTTTTCACTTTCGCAAAAGTTAATGCAGGGCGAGTTCCACTTACAAAAGAGACTGGCTTTCTGTTTGTGCTCGGCTAAAAAGTCGTACAATCGTGGCTCGGCCCACTGACTGTCATCGTCTTCTGGAAGGGGTCCATCATCATATGTCTACAACAACAACAAAAATCGAGACAGAGTAAGCCATTCATGTCATCCCTTGCTTCCACTTTAGAGCCATTGAAACTTACCAAACCCCAATCACCGGGTATTGGGCAATTGAAGATATCTGGCGGAATATTGGGGCGAGTGGACTGGGTACATCCTGTGGCGGTCCACCAGCAATCGGGATCGGCTTTATCGTCATAGCCGCCCATGTCGACGTCGCCGCCTTTACCCGCTTTTCGTACGGTAATGTTGGGTACTTGGGACCAATCCAAGGCCTTGATCACAGCTTGTACATCAGGTGAATCCACAGGTGGCGATTTCCAACCTGGAGGATAATTTTGTAGCGCAAAGGGAGCGGTTTCCAACGGCCCTGTTGGTACATCACCTAAAGGGTACGAGTCTGTATTTCCCGGTATAGGCTGAATGTTGGACAACCAAACCGGGGAGCTTTGTGGCGGGATCGATGCTTCGATAGTTTCTGTAGCGTTTTGAGCGCCAACGAGAAACGATCCTACCAATAAGCTTAAAAAGGTGGTCGGTGCTATTAGACGCAATAGCATTGAAGTGAATGGGTGAAAAAAATAAAAAGCCTATTTTTTGATTTTTGGTCACCCTCAATGGTTCTTAATATATAGATATGCGGCATTGGCAAAACTGGAAATATTTGATTCATCATCAGACATTTTCAATACTTTAGCCGTGTCGGATCAGCCCAAACCATTTGATTTCGGCCATGCTCCTTTTCTTGCATATATCACGTCCCTACAAAAAGGGGGCTTGATCTTTTCTGTTTTTTCGTCATAGCAAGGTATACTATAAAATTAAGAAAAATATCGGATAAAAATTCATTCAACGGCGTCATTTGCTACGCATCGCATCATACCAATAGCGTAGTGTACAGTGAAAAAAAAATTATAAAGAGACAATGGCCGTTTAATAATTCAATCCAAAGATGTACATAAAAAACATATGTTCTATAACAACAGTGAAATACTGACGGACCTCTCGAACAAGCTTTCCAGCCTCGATGCATATGCCCGGCTGTATTTAATATTGAGCGATCTGTATCGAGTTTATATGTCATATCAAGACATGAGTTTGATTCCTCGTATCAAATACTCTTCATTTGAGATGATTCTTTTTTAAAGTGCTCATGGTCGGTACATGATAACGACATGACAAACCCTGTCATTTTTTGGGCTATAGAGTGTCTAAATTATTCAAGAAACCTAAGCATCGTAATTTATTCATGACACAATTCCCATACTGTAACTTGCAGAGGTGAATGTGGGGTTTTAGTATAAGATAAAAAAAAAAAAGGTCATGACAGGTACGATTTTCATCCGTCACCTGCAGCTAAAAACTTGTTCGCTTACACGGGCTGTTGATACAGCAGTGGCCGATGCAGGAGATTGGCGTACTGCGAATTGAACATCATGGAACCTTGTCGATTTATTTATCTTTTGGCACATCAGTCTGGAAGGGAATGCTCGCATATGCGAAACAAAAAATGAACCTATCCCGGATTGGATGCCGATCATTGGATGTCATGCATAAAGAAGTCGAAAGAAAGATGCAGCTTTTCACACGACAATGTCACTGACTCTGATGAATCCAAAATAAATCAACGATCCTGCAAATTTCGCATCGTTGGCCGCTCTGGCATCGACGTTTCAGGAAATTTCGTCATCAAATCGTTGTACGATTTGCAATTGCGATGCTTGCACTCTCACGTATTCAGAACTCAAATTCACAGGTGATACTGATTAAGAGAAAGTATGTATTAAAAATAAAATACTTTCTTATGCGTACTGCTTGTGATCAAGGTCATCCAACGATGGACGGCAGCATGGATAAATGGCCATCGTAAATTAAACCGGACATGGTTCAGAGCAAGCGACCAAAGGCAACCAGATCCGTTGCATTTATGCTTTTCGTTCGACAGGTGATAATAGTGATATTGTATGGGCTAGCATGCTGCAGCCATTTGCTTGATTTACATGAAAAAGCTCACTTTTTTTTTCTTCGCAATTGTGTCCAATTCGCAATCTGCAGTCAGGCTCGGGTAATTATTTCGTTTTGCTAGACAGCGAGGAATTTGTCAAGGAAAAACAATATGGTATCATTCAATTCAGTTTATGCGGCTAGCAATAGGATAAGACTGCAAAGGTTGAATTGGCCGACAAGCACTAGACGGAAATATACAGTATCCGATAATATGCTGATACAGGCGTACAGTCGCTTCCTAAGTTTATGTTTTGTTATCAAGGTCATGCTCCGCTGCGCAAAAACCAAAGTGTTTTATTTTAGATGATTGATGGATGGGTGGACATGTGAGAAGTATAACCCAATTGTTTAAAGGCTTTTCAATAGTTCTGATCATCCATATTGCCTCCTATGATACACCACCTTTAATTTCGAACTGCTTCACCCGTTGGGTCTCGCAAATCGGAACACATCTACCAAAGGTCTGCATCCATAGTAATTTTGTTTCATTCCGTTTCATCTCCCTTTGTTTTGTTTAAAAATGATTATATAAGAATAACCAAAAAGCTTTTCAGGTTCGGGATTCGACGGCCCCGTATTATCTCAACCTTATTAAAATGTTTGCCTCTGAGTTGCCATCTTTGGATATATTCCACCGTCACATTTGTTTGCCGACAAAAGACCGCTGATGATTGGGTAGTTTCAAACTCAATGAACGTTGATTGGATAAAACTGTTGTAATCACATGATTTACGATAAGATCTGAGCGGATGTTGAATTATGGCTCATGATTTGTGCTTCCTTTTGTGAATAGATAGACCGTGATACATACACGGATGCAAGAGATCGTGTTGCTTTGCATTATCCAGGCCTGTTCCTTTCTTCTTTCTTATTCTTCCTCTGTAAAACTATTTCAATGTCATCTTCAAACGTTTATTGTGCTTCTTGCAGTTTGCCAGGACATGCTCGCTCCACCAACCGCAACTGCCCCAACAACCCCCGACGTGCCCAACAAAGTAGAATTACTACAACCCGAGGACCAAGCGAAGTCCGTTGCAGAGATTGCCAACAACTGGGTCACCAGCGTTCCAACCATTTCGCTTGCCCGTTGAATCCAGCAAGATTGGCTATGAGGGTGGCTGGAGAAAGTGACACTACGGAACGTATTCGTACTTTACCTGCGCCCGTTGCCCAAGCAGATTTCGACCATCATGCTAATACGCTGTCAAGTGAACAATCAGGAACGCTCAACAGTGGCCGAAATAACGAGTGGGAACTTCCAGAGAGACATACCTTGGGACGCATGGATGTTGTCTGCAATTTCTGTCAGGCACACATGTGGGCCAAAGAAAGCTCATCTGAATCGAACTCCAATCCGCAGTTCCAACTCTGCTGTGGCCAAGGTTCCGCTGTGCTTCCACCTTTGGAGCCTACACCTCCAACCATCGCCCGTCTCCTTCGTAGCGACAATGAAGAAGGGCGAGATTTCCGTGAGCAGATCCGCGCCTATAATATGAATTTGAGTTTTACTTCGGTAGGCGCCCAAATAGATGAATCCGTGGCCAACAATCCCAACGGAGCCTACTGCTACCGTATCCAAGGTGGCATTTACCACCAGATCGGCGGTCTACTACCACCAACCGAGAGTCATACCCCTGCGTTTGCCCAAATGTACATTTATGATTCCAACACACAACTTAGACACCGGCATGCTGTGGCACCCTATCTGCAGAATGCCACCCTTCTCATTCTACAAGATCTGCTTACCGAAGTCAACCCGTTCGTGCCGTTGCTGCAGTCGATGGCCCAGGTCTTGCGTGAATCTGAGGAAGCCGTAGATGTGAGGCTACTCATAAGTGCGGAAAACACGCCTGATGTTCGTCGTTACAATGCACCCACAGCTAGCGAAGTTGGAGTGATCCTGGTAGACAGTACGATCACACCAAACAGTAGCCGCGATATTGTGCTCCGATCGAGAAGCTATGGGCTTCAACGCATCAGTCAAATGCACCAGTACTACGACGCGCTCCACTATGTCCTCATGTTCCCGCATGGTGATCTCGGGTGGAACATCCACTCACGCTCGCCAAGCGGTCGAAGCATTACCGTCATGCAATGGTATAGCTACCGTCTGATGATGCGCGATAACAGCCACGATTTGCACCTGTACGGCCGATTGTTCCAGCAATATATAGTGGATATGTATGCAAAAATGGAACAGAACCGACTCACGTATTTGCGGCTAAACCAGGCAAACCTGCGCACGGAACTGTACCGAGGTATCGTAGATGCGGTAGAACTCGGCGACAATGACCTCCAAAACGTCGGGCAAAGGGTCATTCTCCCATCCACCTTTATTGGCAGCCCGAGACACATGCGCCAACTTTACCATGATGCGATGAATATCGTACGTCGATGCGGGCAGCCGGATCTCTTTATTACTTTCACTTGCAATCCTCAGTGGGTGGAAATTCAGGACGAGTTGGCTCCACTCCAGACAGCTGTTGATCGGCCCGACCTTTGCGCTCGAGTTTTTAACATGAAGCGTAAAGCTCTCATGGAAGATTTGACCAAGAAGCATGTTTTGGGTAGGGTAGTTGCCCATGTCCATACTGTGGAATTTCAAAAACGAGGATTACCGCACCTCCATCTGCTTTTGGTGTTACATCTGGACGACAAGCTGAGAACACTGGACGATTATGATCGCATTGTGTCAGCTGAACTTCCGGACAGACAGAGATTTCCTGATCTCTACGACACCGTCAGCAGATGTATGATGCACGGTCCGTGTGGAACCATGCATCCGAGGTCTCCGTGCATGGAAAACGGCTCCTGTAAGAAGCGTTACGCGCGCTCCTTCAACGAAGCTACCGTCGAAGATCACAGGGGTTACCCTTTGTACCGTCGTCGCAACCAAGGTTCATCTTTCAACCATGCCTCGGTCCCCATCTTGCAACGACAACGATTATCAGCGCTCTACAAGTCATGGTTGCCCAAATTTCTCTCCACGAAACACTTCCACGAATAATAGGCGAAACAATCAGCAGCAAGATGCCGTTTGCGCCAGTTGTGGTCAAACAGAGCATCGTCGCCGTTCACATAAAATGTGAGTGGAGCTCTTTTTTGAAGAAAGGTGATTGACGATACGACGATCTGGTGTTTTGTAGCATCATTTAATTTGGGTTATCTGTCAGTTATACTGTATATGCCCTTTCATTCTCTTCAGTAATCGAATGATACATGGAGCAGATATGCTTCGATCTGTGTAGCTCATCATTCATGCAGCAGTGAGGTGACTATTGTTTCATCCATGGAAAATCACATATTTTTGTCCGAATTTTTTCTTCTTCTTTAGTTTTGCATCTCATCGGGAAACGCTGACGCGTCCTCCCCAGGTTCCTCTCATATGGATTGCTGCCCGTGGTATCGCCTTCGATATTTCTTCCCGACCATTTTATTTTGTAGTTGTAGTATGTATTTTGTATTTTAGTGATTAGTCTTCTTGCAGTCTTTTCCTCCTTTTTTTTCCCACAGGGTTTTTAGGGGGTTTTTACAGACGCACCTATTGTATTTACTTTTTTTTTATATTTGTATCCTTTCTTTATTTCGGTCGGGAAGCCCTCGGTATCTGCTGCATCAAACATCAAAGGTAAAATATCTCAACGAAATTTGAATCAACCAAAGAGCTTACTAACTCATTTTTTTTAAATACCCAACATTCCCACACATCTTTGTAGATCTATCATAACCTTGGGCGGGACAGAACGGAGGGGGTCAATAAGTGCTGCTTTGTTCATTAAAAGTGTTTCATGGTATGCCAGAGTATTGACATTAATATACCAAAGTTCCATCAAGAGTCTCGCCCAGGTTATGCCGTATTGCGTTAGGCTTTTTGTCTGACGAATGTCGCTCAAGGCAAGAGTGCGGCATCCAGTAGCAGGTGGCATCCATTGCACAGCGGGTGTACGGCTTGTTATGACAAACAAAAGGGCTATAAATATGGTAATTTTTCTTTTTTTAGTAAATGGGTAAAACTATTTGATCATCCGTCGAGGACTCACGTCCAATGATTAAAATATCCCGCGTATGAATTTTTTCAAGTCCTGCTCAAAAAGATAGCCAAATCGGTTTCTGATATTTTTGGCAAAACTCTTTAAAGTTAGTTAAAAACCAAAGAACAACTCTTCACATTTTTTAATCTATAATATGCATTTACCTGAGTTTCATGTCAATGAACTTGGATTATTACTGGTTGTATATGAGGGGGGAAAACTGTCGAATCTTTTTTTAAAGCGGAGAAAAAGTGGCACTCGTCCTTTTGAGGATATTTTAATCTTTTGCTTGAATCCTGCAACAATGATAATCAATTGAAACCCTGGGAACTTAGCATGCTAAGCAACTCGCGTAGCATCGTGTATATTTTCGTAATAATTCGATCAGAGAACATTAGTTGCTTGCAATGCCTGAGACTATAGTATATACGCTTTCTTCTCAAAAGCTAAAATGAGTTTACAACTCCAATATGAGGGAATCCAAATTCCACAGTGAATCACGAAAGTTCCATGGTCTTCGAATAAGGTTGACAAAAATGATTACGTCGCCACATCGCAGAAATTCCGGTTTCCTTGTGAAATCATAAATTGCACAATCACCAGTTAAAAGGGATGAAAGGATGACTTAACAGTATACTTCGAGGTGTTTCTTCATTTCCGTCAACTGCGGCTTGTGCAACAAAATATGCCAAGACATTTCGCCCCAGTTCGTGGTCAGTGTTTCCATGTTTGCACGTTGAGTTGTTTTGACTTTTTGCCTGATCCCTTGGAAGCGGAATTGGGCTGCTGATGTGTGTGTTGATGTTCTCAGGGGGGTTCCGTTTCCAGCAATGAGATGCGTCTGTTGTAGATGGGGCCGAACCAATGTTGTTGTCCATGATCATCTCAATTGCGAAACGCTGTGACCTGAGGACAACGTTGAGTGTTGCCGTTTTCATTCATCATCGTTCCAACCGCACAGAAAAAATAGGAAATGAAAAGGGACCTTGTTTCACCAACGTAAAACATCCCGGCTCCCATTTCACATGTGTGCCACTGCATACTGGAAAACAATGTGCAAGATAGACTTTTACGTTTTCTGCCCAACAAACTCTTTTATTTGTTTATTTTGCCATTGTGCCGCGTAATTGAGGAAAAAAGGATGATAAACAGTGCTGTGGGATTACGATGGATCGATAGAGCACTCATCGTTCTTCCAAACAATACTGTGAGATGAACGGTTGCTGCATGGAAGATGCATGCTTGAGGATCCTCAATGCGTGTGCAAGTTTCGAATTTCAGGAGATGGCATCTTGTATCATGGCAACTCCTGCTTTTCAGTATCGCCGATCCAAAAATTCTGTAAAAATGTTTTGAGTTCCCGCTTCAGAATTCTATTTTTTGATTTTGGGGATTACGTGACTTTCGGCGTGTTGTGGTAGGACAAGGCCATCCACATTAGCCATTAGTCATTTTTCCGGTTTACCAGGTTCACGGCATCCGAAGTTTAACGGACCGACTGCGCATGGGAGCGTTTTTTACTTATTTTTTTTTTGTAAGGGTTAGCTATGGGCTGAGGGAAATTGGCATATTTGTATGGAATCGAATGATTGAAACCATGGAAACAGTAGTTTTGGTTTTGAGTACCAGAAAAAAAAAATTAAACAACAACGTGCACAATGACTTTTTGTAATTCACCATTTGCAGGTAATTTTGACCTTTTTGTAACGTCAGTCAAGACTATTTTGGAATGGGGGGCTCAGCCTGGCGCGTTACACACAATGTAAAAATGAGCTGAAAATGGATAAAAATAGTGGACGAGAAAACATTTTCCCGCAAGGCCATGTAGGAGTTGATGGCGAAAAAATAGGGTTTAAACATGAAGGTCAAAAAAGTTTTCACCGGGTGATCCCACTCACAATTGATACAGATGCACCCGGAAAGTGTGCTTGATCGTTCCTAAAAAAAGCATAGACTTTGAGCTCCACAATCGCCGACCTAAACCGTCCGCTAGAATTTCCCGGTATACCCATGACGCGTCCTATCTTCGGCTCACTATATAAACCACGGTGTCCCGTTCCTTCCATGTCCCTTTAGAATCCATCGCCACCCAAAATTTTTCTTCATCTTTTCTCGCCCTTGGCATTGTTTTTCTCCCCTCTGTCTACCCACAACACCTATCATTAAAATGCAGCTGCAATTGATCGGTGCTATGCTTCTTGCCACGGGCACATTTGTCACCGCCCAACAATCGGCCTCGCCTAGTGCTTCTTCTCCTTCTTCGACCTCTTCTTCCATCTTGGCCGTTCAATCGCCCACTTGGTTGCCTAAATTTTCTAAACCGGCCGGTGTCAATGACGGCTACACCGGCAAGCCCAACATCACCGATACTTTGCCTACCGAAACCTTGGATTTGAGTGCCTACCCTGAACCTTGGTCAGCGCCTGTCACCGACCACCCCGAAATTCAGGCCGTAATGAAAGCCATCGATTGGAACCACGTTCCCAAGTCGTCTATCAAAAAGGATGATTCCAATGGCGATATCTCGTTCTCCGGTTACGATGAAAGCAAGGATCCCGACTGTTGGTGGTCCGATACCAACTGTATCCAGCCCAAGGTGCCATACTTGCCTCAAGATGTCGTTTACTGTCCCAATGTGGGTGACTGGGGCTTGAACTATGACGACGGTCCAATGAACCCTAACCATGAAGATGGACCCCTGAACGACGACAAGTGGGCTGAACCTGAACTTTACAATTTCTTGGCCAAGAACAACAACCAGAAAGCCACGCTCTTCTACATTGGTTCCAACGTCGTGACGTTCCCTGCTGCTGCCAGACGCGCTCTGAACGATGGTCACGTTCTTTGCGTCCATACCTGGTCGCATCCTCAAATGACGACCCAGTCCAACGAAAAGGTGGTGGCTGAATTATACTGGACTTTGCGTGCCATCAAGGAAGCTACGGGCGTGACCCCTCGCTGCTGGCGTCCACCTTTTGGTGATGTGGACGATCGTGTGCGTGCCATTGCTTGGCAAATGGGTATGCGTACCATGCTTTGGGACGAAGACACCGATGACTGGAACATGCCCGGCGATGGTGGAGGTGACTTGGCTCCTTCGACCGTGGACGGTTACTTTGAAGACTGGATCAACAAGCGCAAGAATGGTACCGACAACGAACACGGCCACATTGTCCTTGAACACGAACTCAACAACTCGACCGTATCCATGACCGAAAAGTGGTTGCCCAAGCTTCAAGAGACATTTAATGTCGTTTCCATGCATCAGTGTTTGAACATTTCGCAGCCTTACTGGGAAGAGAACTGGGTCTATCCTACCGAAGCTAACCCTGATCCTGCCCAAAACAACAACAGCAACAACACCGCCAGCAGTTCCTCTTCTTCCACTTCTCCTTCTTCCTCGTCTTCGGCCTCTGACTCTTCCTCTTCTGAGAAGGCTTCCTCTGAAAGCTCCAAGCAATTGAGTTCCAGCACGGACTCTCCTTCCGATGCCAATTCGGCCGCCTCCTCTTTGACCCTTTCCCTCGCCACCGGCATTGTTATGCTTGGTACTGCCTTGTCACTCACTCTTTAAAATTCCTATTTTAGCCCGCCCACTTTATATTTGTTACATAATTTATAAACCATTTTTTGACAAATCTGTATTTCATTTGATATACAATACATCTTTATGTACAGTACATGTATTCCAGAGGTCTTTTCTGCCCATTTTTCTTTTCAAGTGTGAGTGGGATCTTCGCATGTGCCAAAGGTAGCCCCGTTATAGCGTCGGCAGTACGTTCCTTGCGCACACACCTCATTTTGTGTGCACACTAATGTTCAAGTTTGAATTATCGTTTCGTTAAAAAAAAAAAAAAGAAGGAACATCCTTCTTTAACTCACATTGATGTAACGATTTGATTTTCGGCAAGTCCACAGCGAGCACAGTAACAGTAGCCAAAAGAATAGCCAGGATAATGCTTCTCATGATGATAAAATGCTATTGGTTTTTGCAAAGTGAAAAAGAGGGCACGCAGCAGAAAACGAGCAACAAGAGAGAGAGAGAGAGAGAGGAAAAAAAAAGAGTCAGTGAAGGCGAGTACCCCGCTGGTGATGATGTTTATATATGGTATCATGGATAACAGTTGATGTGTGAGTATGCGAGATGGATACCATCTAAACATATGCAAAGCAAATGTTCGTGTTTATGCGTAGTTGAGAATTCTAAATACATCCAGGTGATTGTCCTGTTTTATTGTGCCTGAACGGAACTGTTGAAATGACCCATGGGCAAAAATGTGAACCGAGGCACGGGCGGGGCTACAGGCAATACATTATGTTGTCCTTGCTGAGGTGGTTTCTGCGCTCCCATTTTACGGGTGCTAAATGGGCAACAGACGATGAAAACAAACAGGTGCAGGGAAAGAACAGAAAACAGAAATAAAAAAGAAACAAACATGCATTTAGTGGGATAATCACCTTGAAGTAACCGCATTCCAAGGGAAAGGTTACTTTTTTTTGAGCCATTCAACTTACCTGGACAGGGTATTCTGTTGCGCTCGGGTAAGAATACTCATAATCAAAAGTTGCTTCAGGTAAAATCGTTCAGCGGCTGTAGCAAATTGGTTTTCGATCACAGCCCAGTTAATGGGATCGATCTATATTGTGACGCCATGGGTTGGTAACGTGGTTTCGCCATCCGATTTCATTTTTAGTTGGAAAGCTTACCGCTTGTTTAGCCTTGGTTGTGATCTGCGCATTCTCTGTTGTTGTCATGCCATCGTCATTCAAAACGATGCTCAAAAAGTAAACATCAAAAATGAGCTGAGTTGCGCCTTTTTCGGTAAGGTCGAGCGGCTCGCGCGCAAGAAAAGCTGAAACCGTCTTGCGCGTCGCCTGCCACAGCTTCTCGCGGAGTGATTGCACAACAATCTAAAGCAAAAAATAAAAAAGAAATGAGCTAATGGCAATAACATGCATTAATTAAATTTACCTTATCAAGCATATTGCTATTCACACGCTGCATCTCTTCGCACACCCTAAATATAGCTCGTACAATGTCATTCGTAGCCTGTGTAGGGAAAACGAGATCGGCCTCGTTTCCTATTCACCTGTCAGCCTAGGTTTCTTTGGAAAGCAGCAAGGAAATTCAAAGGAAACAAAGTTGCAAATAAGACACAACTTACGTTCCCATAATAAAGCAGCGGCACATTCGTCATTCCAGTGTAGGGTTGTCAAGGCGATGTGCAATGCGGAAGCATATTCACCACACACACTGTCTATCCAGCCACGATGCGCCTCGTGAAAGGTTTCCAACAAGTCGTTTTTCACTTGAAGATACCTTGTATCTGTGGTTATTGAAATAACATGGCATTAGATCAAAGCTTCAATCATCTTCATGTACATGTTACGATACCTTTGTCAATATCACTGCGCAATTCAAATGATCGCACGGCTGATGAGAAGCAAGAGAAAGCACGTGGTAATTCTTTGGATAACGTAGCAATGGTCCGTGCCAAACGTCCAATCACGATAGCGACATCATTGGCTGGAAATACATCAAGGTTTTAAAAAACATGGTACCAACCCCCCAGCTGTCATCAATGTTACGTACCCGACTTTTTATCTGCCCACGCATCAAGATCTTTGAAAAGCAACCTTAAGCCATCGACATATTGTGTCAAAGCCGCAGAACATTCGTTTTGGAAATAGAAAGAGATCATCTCGGTATCTCTAATGGTCAGCAAAAAAGCGTCAGATCGCCGGAAACGCGTTCATAAAAACCCATTTTCAAGACGTACGCTTTGCAATCAAAGACTTCCTGATCACGGAAAGCTAAATGATATTCCACATCTTGACGGAGTGATTGCAGCTTTTCATCAAATTTCGACTGCAACTGTTCAATGGCGGTGGTTCGTTCGTTGGCGGCCTGTTTGACCATTCTTTTAAAAGATTCAATCTCTGATACGTTGGATGAGTTTGGTAGTGTAATGACAGAGTTTGGACGGCGAGAACTGGGCCAGATGGGCAGTGATAATTGAAAACCTGAATGACCAAGAGGTGATGCGTCATTATCAACGAGAACCATGACAACAAAACATCTGCTATTATTTACCTTTGTGAGGTTGTTGCCCATCCGCAAGGAGGGGCCATACGGATTGCTTGGGTTGTTGAGCCAATTCATGGAGTCCTGCTCGAATCAACTGTTTCGCCTGTTCATTGATACTGTCACGCAGTAATGTATTCCAAATGGAATAATGGGTTCCCAGGAGGCCTTGGCAAACCTTGGACACAACAAAAGTTTAAGAACGGTGACAGAACTTGGACGGGTCGCATTGGGATACAGAAAATATTTTACCTGTTGCCAACCGGAGCCAGGCTGATCATCCTTCTGCAAAAGCTCCCATACACGCGAACGCACTTGAACCAGTTTCTTTTGCGTCGTCAGTTGTTGTAATATGGAATTTAAATGATCACGAAGCAGGTGATGAACCTGATCAAGCCACGCTTGCATGGCCAGTCGCACTTCGTCCACCGTCAATGGATCGCCTGTATCCATAGGTGGGGAGTAATTTTGCACAGGTTCTGGTAAATAGCGTACCAATAAATAAGCATTGGTACTCGGGGAAAACAAGCGAGCAATGGAAGAGGGGGACTTCATAAAGTTGGTTTGACTATCCCGCACATAGTTCACCAGCACATGGGGTCCGCTGATGTACATATCGAATACATGGGTGAACGTCGCTTTGACTATTTGAATCACTTCACGAAGCTGATGCGCGACACGATCTTCCTGCATTTCGGCCGACTTGCTCTCTTTGGTGGACCACGTCATCTGGTTTTTTATATTTTGCATTCGTATCTCCAACAGCTTGGTTAAGGTATCACTGAAGGTGAGACTTTTCAAGATCATTTGCGCTGTCAAGATTTCGGCAATGGGCTGGAAAAACCATTACGTTGGGTATCAGTGGGTGGTTGGGGCATCGAAATCTATCATTGTGTGCGTTGTGTTTACCTTGGCATCCTGTTCAGGCACACCCAAATGTGCGGTTGATTTCTGCATAATTTGTGGTTTAAAAAAACTGACAGCATCCCATTGACGATGAACCACCGGAAAAGCCTCCTACAAAATAGTACGATTTCTGAGCGAATAGAAACTCTTTCAGTAACCATTTCCAAATATATTACATTGATATCGATCGAAGTGTCAAAGGTTTCCGAATCCAGCATATCGTGGATAAGGCTGGCGATCGTGTACAGACGTGTCGCATGCAAATAATCGTGGTTTTCCAGAGCGTGCCATATCTGCAAAAACACAGATGAGATGTTTAGCAAGCGAAAGATCCCCGTTTGTATCTGTTTCTGGCAATACCTGTTCTGGAACATCGACAAGCGCTTTAATAAGAGACGTCAATACGTACAAGGGTCGCTGTTTTCGTTCTACGAAGCGGGTTAACAAGGTTAGCTCAACAGCCACTACCTCTTCCACGTATCATGCATGTTGACACCCTCACAACATCATGATACCACACCCATAGAACTTTGAGTAGGGTCAAAGAAAAATAAATAGTCGTACCTCCTGAGGCCTGGGTTGCTGCTTCGCGCGTTTGTATCGCATGTTTGCGTATCCTTCCAACTTCGCAAATAGATTGCATGTGGTCCACGGTTTTTTGCACTTGTTGAGCTGTTTTACTCATGGCAATGATGGTGTCGGCGGCCGAAATGAGATCCACGTATTGTTCTCTATTATGTAAAAGAAGTAATGAGCCCATCACAAAAGCATAGACATTCATGGGTTCTTGTCTCCCTACCCTACCATGGCCCGCAACTTTTTTTGCTGCATGGCAATGTTATTTCTATTATATGGTACGGTGAGGGGTGGTTGTTGTTAGTGTGTACATTGAGGTGAATAAATGTCGTGGTGAAGCAAGGACGGACCTTGTACGTTTTTCCAGCGCTCGTGCTTCGGCGATACTGGCTTGCTGAAAATATATTTCGGGATCATATTGTAAATTATCGTGAATGGGCGAGGTGGATGTAATGCTGTTGGACCTCGACATGGTAAGATAAAAAGAAGCAAAACCGTGAAAATCGGCCAACTCCCAAGTCCACCGTCACATTTGGTTTCGTTATGAACAACCCGGTCACGGGCGTGATCTCTCAACATGACTAGCTCTTGACGATATTGCAGAAATAGGAATCATTTACCGCAAATAATTTTATGGTCAAGCGAAATAGTAAATAAAGAAAAGGAAGTTTCTTTCGCACCCGGTAGTCAGTACCTAAAGTCGTCCGTTTCTAGTGATAAGGATTGTCTTGTATCTGGGGCAACGCCGCTTGTCGTTTTTGTGCAGAAGTCCGTATATAACGCTGCAGACTGTGCTTTACCAATGAGTAAAACATAGGACGGTGGAAAAGGTGGGTATGATTTTCAGCTACAGTGCAACCACTGCTGAGTAGAGTTCATAAACCACATTGGGTGAACCCTGGTTTCGTCACTGTCCCTCCATGCTGGCACTCGGCAATTTCGGACCACAACGATGGATGAAAGGGGGAATGGCGGTTGTTGCCTAATATAAACCCAGTGTATCCATACAATTCTATTTAATTGCTCAAGCATAATGGTTTCCATTGCATGCAATAATTGACGGCATCTGTATTCTGGTTACGGGCAATATAACTAATTAAGAACCAGGGTAGAGACGTCTTTGAAGGTCAAGATAAAATATAGGAGCAAACCATGTTCAGACGCAAAATTCAGGCACCCAAAAAAAATAAAAGCATCATTTCGTGAACTCCGCCGCCACGGATCCAGTGTGGAAGGGACCCGAAAAAAGTACCTTCTTTTATCGCACAAACCACGCTCCTCAATCCATGCTCTATTCATCCTCATTTGCTGCATAGCCCCGTCTCACGTTCTTCATCTAATTTATTCATTCATCATCTCATTCGCAAGGTCACTGTACCGTGGATTCACGGATTCACCGACAGCGCCCTTTTTCTTTTTTCCCCTCTTTTTACTTTGTACATTGGCCTTTACGATGGTTGGTCCATGGCTGATCCTGTGGGCTCAGCTCTGCGCGACCTTCATCATTGCTGTTATTGGTACGCAACTGGTTATTTTGACTCAACATTGTACGGGTTACTCACAATCTTTTTTTCATCAGCCCAGGGAACTCGCAGCGATCGACTTTCTCGGGTGGAAACAATCAATAATCCTCGAATTACCTTGATGTTAACGTCAATGCACGGAATCACGGCCAAACGTTCAGCGATACCCACAACCCCATCTGTCATTGATCTTGAACACGATGCATCTTTTCTACTTCAGTTCTCTGCCTTTGAACAGTCGTTTCATCTGTATTTAATTCCAAACATTGACATGTTTCACCCGGACGCTACTGTCACGATTGAACACACCGATGGTCAGCAACATGTCGAGCCCATTCGCCGAGATCAATTTCGCATATATAAAGGCATGGTCTCGGAAACACCAATAGAGTTACCGGAAACAATACCCGATGACTTGATCACCGAAAAACAACATACCCACTGGGCACGTATCACGCTTCGACACGATATTCAGTAAGAATCTGGCTCACAATGTGTGGAAAAATTGAAGCATTCATTTTATTTTTCTTTTCTCAATTGAAAAAAGGAGCGAGCATCCCCTTTTCGAAGGTGCGTTTGCAGTGAATAGCGATGTGTACCATATCAAGACGCAATCGAACTTCAGGTTACGGAAGCGAAACGACGATCCCTATCCGAACAGCGACGACGCCATGGTGATCTATCGAGATTCCGACACCATCGCCGCCCCGTTCCATTCAGTTCCATTTATGCACCGATTTGACACGCGAGACGTTAAGGACGATATCACTTGTGGCATGGAAGATTTGACTTACAATCAAGAACTCACAGGCTTACGACGAGGGAATCGGAATAGTACGACGGTGTCGGTTCCACCACTCATGGACAACAGCAGTAGTAATTACGGTATCGTCCCCTTGGACCATGTCAATCTGTTGACAAAGCGAAACACACCTTTGCAAGGGTGTCCAACCGCCAGGAAAAGTACGTCTACCGAAAAAAAAGGAAAAATCAATAGGCGAATAAAACAGATACTGATCTCACCTGTCCATTTTCCCTTCAGTTGCTTTTATGGGTGCAGGTAAATACCCTTTCTCTCAAAGGCTACTCTGCATGCCAACTGTGTTGTTACAGACCCTGATTTGTTCAACGATTTCGCTGTAGCGGCGGATTGTACGTATACTTCTTCTTATGGCGGTGTCCGCAGCGCCAAAATTCAAATCGTCAATGACTGGAATGTCGCTTCCGGTGTTTTTGAACGTACGTTTAACGTTTCCCTCGGTTTAATTTACCTTCATCTGTCAAGCCCCGAGTGTCCACGTCGATCCAAATCCCAGAACAACTGGAATCAGCGCTGCTCCAACTTTTACACCATCAATGACCGTCTCAGCGACTTTAGTTTATGGCGTGGCAAGAAAGGCGAAGATGGTGCCGCTTTGTGGCACTTGATGACCCGGTGCTCGTATGTCAATTGTAGTGTTATGAAAAATTTGTCTTTGCTTTTTAACATGGATTTGTTGAACCTTTTTTGTCTAGCACCGGGATCAAAGTGGGCATCGCATGGTTAAGTCAATTGTGCGAAACCCAGGCTTCGCAACAAGTCGAAGGTAAGTAGCCCCTTCTCCGGTTTATCACGGGTCCTAAACGTATGTGCAGATAACGGATCTTTTGAATGGGTCTCTGGCACTGGGGTTTCTTCCATTACGCGTGAAGAGTGGAAGGTGGTGGCCCATGAAATTGGACACGGATTTGGTATGATTTTTTTTTGTCGGTTGACAGGTATATGCGGACAGCAAACTGACACATAGTTTTCCTTTTTCTGCGTAGGTGCTATTCATGATTGTATGGCTCAATCGTGCCCCTGTATTGGTAACTGCGGATGCTGTCCGCTGAGTGAGACGCGTTGCAGTGCCGGTGAAACGTATCTGATGAATCCTACCAGCAATGTTTCTACCAACGATTTCAGTCCATGTTCTATGGCGGATATTTGTAGCTCGTTCCCCAACATTGGCTACTGCCTTCAATGTAAGCTATTGTGCCCTGATTGAAAAACAAAGGCATACTCGGTATGATTCCATTATTGACACGGTTATGGTTGCTCAGCACCGAATGCGCTTACAACGGGGACTACCTCCCTGTGCGGGAACGGTATCCTTGAACCGGGAGAAGAGTGTGATCCAGGTCTCACCGACAGTAATTGCTGTGACGCTCGGACATGCCGTCTGAAACCGCACGCGATTTGCGAGTAAGTGTCTCACATCTATCCAACCACAAAAGAGATCTTTTCATGTGTCTGAACCAATTTTCTTTCTTAGTGATTACAGTCATCAGTGTTGCTTAAACTGCGATATTGCACCGGCCACTACTGTCTGTCGCCCGCCTGTGTCGGAGTGTGATACCATTGAATACTGCACTGGCTCTTCTGTGCAATGTCCTGACGATCATTACGACGACGATGGTACCCCTTGCGCGAACGGTACAATGAAGTGCGCTTCGGGAGTATGCACATCCCGCGACGCTCAATGTATCGCGCGCGGGTTGCGACTCAATGTCAGTGAACAGTGCTCGTTTCAGAAAGATTCTTGCCAAGTGAGTTGCGCCGATCCCTCGGATTCTCGCAACTGCTTGGTATTAAGCGGTATGTTTCTCGACGGCACGGAATGCGGCTTGGCAGGCTACTGCCATAAAGGCTCCTGCGTGAGCACAGGCGTATGTAAGTACACGCTGATATCCATCATCAAAAGAGAAAAGGTTGGACTGATTCACGTCGTGTGCAGGGAATACGGTCAAAGCGTGGGTCGATCAGAACAAGCAAATTGCTATTCCTGTGTTTATCTTTGGCCCCTTGATCTTGCTGGCCATTCTGGGATGGGGCATTTGGTTCGCTGTGAAACGGTATAGAAGGCGACGCATGGGCGCCAAAGATAAGGACTCTCGCCCGCCTTCCATCGCTAAAGATCAGGATGAACCTACTCCCTCCATCCATCGCGGTATGGACCACCATTCACCGGCGCATATCACTTCTTCACGAGACGATCATCACGCGTTCTTTTTTGCGGATCATCACCCTGACAGAACCCTCGCGGTGCCTCCCACGGACCATGCGCTAGCAATCCCTTCACTCAGTCCTTCGTGGAACAGTGCTTCGGACACACAACCCTATGAAGAATGGGAATTACGGACGCTGCCCAACCATCAACGTCGGGCCTCGTTTGCTTCCAGTCACGGTTACAGACGAGCAGATAGAAGTCGAAATCCTTCGACCACCACAGCTGCAACCAACCATCCTAATGACGGTGTAGAAAGCATGTTGCCTCCTGGATCGAATAACGTGGATCATGTCGACTCGGTTCTATTCCCTGATTTAGTACCATCCAATGGCCCTACCATGGAAACCAATTACGCCTTTATTACCAGCGGTACTCATCGCCGGGCCAAATCTAATATCTAACATTTTTATTCATATACCATCACGATGCCCTTTTTCTCTCTCCAATTTTTGTATTCCATTGTCAGCTCTCAATTACTCATATTACATATACTGTCTTGCTCGCATTTGCAAAATAAATATTTAACAAACCATGCCAATTAATCAGTTTATGATCTTACCAAATTGACATACATATTCATTGCTGTAAAAATAAAGACACATTTTACCGCCCCAACGGCAATCTCACCCACATTTTCATTTACTTACCCTTTATCATGCTAAAAAAAAAAAAACCATCGTCAATGATCAACCTAAAAAAGACATTGTTGCTTTAATTTATTCACTTTCCATCAACATCAAACACATAGCCCTCATTATCCTCTCATCTATCGCCCGTAAAATATAAATTCCTATTATTATTATTTTCCTCTCCGTCATTCACATTACTTTTTGCCTCGATCCACTACACAAAAGTGCCGGCTTAAAAATCAATTGCTATAGAAACTAATAATTTGCTTCACGTCAAAGATCGTTGTTAGAGGTAGAATCGGCTAGTTGGTAAAGTAGACGGGGTTTGCGTTTTTTTTTTTTTTTTTTTTTCAGTTCGAAATTTTCAAGTGAGCACCAGATAACAAAGAGCGACGTATATCAGATCGTTGCGTTCCTCGGGACGATCTATCATAATAAAAAGAGCCAAGGACACATAGTGTCGGGATCGAAGATCGATATAGATATAAAAAAGATTAAAAGAACAAGTGCGCTACTCTGAGCGTCGAAAAGGTCAGAAGAGATGTGTTGATATGTTATTCACTGCTTTATTTCGGATTGAATTTGAAGGGTAGTTATACTTAAAGAATCAACTATGCTAATAATTGTCAAACAACGTGAAGATTATCACTAGATGAATATATGAACATTAGCACATAAAGTAGCAAACATTAATGGGTGAATTAGTGAACGTCAGAAAGTGAAGTGGTGAGCATTAAAAGGTGACTAAATGAAACATCATGGTGTAAAGTTCGGTGGGTAAAAAAGAAAAGGGGCACTGGTGTAAGAGATCAGGCACAGAAAATGACAGGTCGATTCTCACAACAACGATTGTGATTTACGTCCCGATTTATTTACGCTTGTGAAATGTCCCGTTATTTATTTACGATTGTGAATTATGTCCCATTATTTAGTCACGATTGTGATTTCTGACTCGTTGTTTAGTTACGATTTTCTCGCTAGTTAGTTACGGCCTGTGATTTTATGTCCCTGATTGTGAATTATGTCCCTCTTTTTAGTTACGGTTTCGCTTTACGATCCACTGCTTTTAGTTGTGATATCAATGTATCCGTTATGATTTCACACATATATCTGATGCTCACTGACAACGAACTGAAACCGATCTACCTTACCGCAAGTTTAAGATCGCCTTACCAACAAGCCAACAAAAGCCTAACAACGTATCCAACCCTCCCCCATGACAATCAAATGGTAAAGGTTGGTCGGACGCCGTCCATAGTGATGGCTTCCTCAGTTTACCCAGTAATATTGGATCGTTTTGTCGATCGTTGCCATTCCCCCTACAAGGTCAATATACAGTGTGCCTAGTGCATCAGCTAAGCGGACGGGTTGAATCAGAAAATTGGACACTTTCCATAATGATGGCACAGTATTTATGTAGGTTAGTAATCAGTGCAATAAAAAAGACCATGATACCGCGTTGATACCAGCGTGTGCACAATCAGGCAAAGGTGCCCAATGAAGGTCGAGTGCAGCCGGTGTTGACGTTACAATTTCAGCCAAAATAAGCCAGTGAGGCCTGGGTATCATGGAGGAAACCAGCCAATGAAGGTCCGAGGTGCATTTAGACTACCGCCGGTATTCACGTTACACGTTCAGCAAAATGAGCCAATGAAGATTGGTGTCAGTGAGGAAACAGGAATAAGGTACCACTGCTGCCAATCAACGTGGTTTTTTGATCAGGGAAAACCCACTTCACTCGGTATCAGGTAGCTTGTAATCGGTTATACATACGCAGAAACTACAGATTAAGCAACCACGTATCTGTAGGTTGATGAGGGTCAATGAGTCGTGCGAGGGTCATAGCACTTGCCTCATTATATTACTGTAAGTTGTCACTTTGTCACACAAATATCACTATGTGATGTACAGACCATGCATATCCTCAAATTCTTCACCAGCCAAAACTTTGATCCAAAAAAGAACAGTGTCTTGAACGAAATCCATGCAGGGTATCGGATAAGACCCGCAGTCAATGTGTAGTTCCTGCACCGTTGGAACGACAACCGATGATGAAAAACATATAACTTGTACCATTGACAAGGTGTGCGCCGGTCCTCACAGAGAAGGCAAAGGCCCTTTAAGAGCGAGAAGTTGTAGATCGATTCTGTGTTTTGAAAGGCCAATTCACACCGTTTTGCCTTTTTTTTTTATTTTCTCTGCCTGGCCCGACCTTGACAAGCAAAGGTTTGCCAACCAAACCACGCACAATGCGATTCTTGCTTGCATATTCGCCTTATTTTTAACAGCCACAGCAAGTGGTATGGTAGCGATAAATCTAATTCACATCGAGTCGCGAAATGTTAAGTCATAATGGGTATCTAGTGCGTCCGTATTGTGCCATTGCCCTTTCGTGGCATCGAAACTGCTGCGGCTGGTGCCAGTTATTTGTAATTTAGGAATGATAAAATGAAGTGTATTTCTTGAAGCAGGGATTGACTCAATTTGCAATCCAATTTTATAAAATGAGAGTTAGTGGATGGGAGTGGGAAATGAAGATGGTTGGAGTGACACTTTTTTTTTGTTTTCTTCCGTATTAAGGGGGAGTGACCAAGGGCACCAGAACGACATTGCTGGCATTCAACTCCCTTCGGAAATTGGAGATGTTCTGCGTAAACCGTTCTCGATCTTTGACATGCAACGTCCAGTTGATGCCTTCCATCAATGTATTCAGTGCTGTTGTTACTAGCTCACGTCGCTCAGGCAACTGCTGCTCAATCACCGCGTTAATGTATTTCATCGTATACTGTGTGTAAAAAAAAGTTATTGATCAGCATGGTGACAAGAGACATTTTCCCCCTTCCTTCCCTTTTAAGCGTATTACCTCTCGTTGTATCACCATCAGTGCGTACAAGGGACGTGAGAGAGCCCATTGTTCATTGTTATCATCAAACAGGACGAGATTAAAAATCGTGGCGAGCAGGGTGGGCAATATTTGCGGATACTGCGTGAAGTAGTTGAGCAACCAATGACCACTGCCCGTAGTTGCATCAAACGAGGATCGTCGTTGTTCTTCAATCACCGGATTTAGCTGCGGGTTCTCCAAGAAACTGGCAATATTGTAAACAGCAGCACAGGCGTGCGATCGGACCGTACTGTCCGACGATTCAATACATTGTTCACAGGCTTGCATAAGATAGATGAAAGCTTCGGGTGAAATCGTCGGCAAAGCCATCAGCTGCTCCCGAGATAATTCATCAATCAGATAACAAAATGCCCGTGACAACTTTGGGAAAGCCTAATCAACCATGTTGGTGAGTTTTACATATCCGCGTGATTAAAAAAGCATCCACCACTATCGGCATTTTACCATTAGGTCACTCATAGGAATATCAAGGAGCATCTGCATCATCATATTAAACACATTATCGATGCATTTATCCTGATAAAGCCAGAACACGCCAAAGTTGATGTATCGTCCTCCGAGGCATCGAGATAAGATACTGAAACACAGTCCCATGCCCTTGTATCTAATAAATGCACACTGTGAGTCAGGACATCGGCATGAACCTTTCTTTTCAAAACATACTTGTAATCATATTTACGATTGGGATCGGTCACAGGTTGTTCAATGATCTTTCGACCTAGACAATGTCTCCTGTTAATAACGCGCACGTTTCGCAGGGCAATAAATAAGAAAGGTACCGTAGTTGCATATAATTTGGCTTGCGTTGCGGAACATTAAAATGCCGTTGGGCGAGGAAATTTCAAAGTTGAGTCGTTGGCATTTATTGTGGACGAATTCGGCGTAAAAGAACAACAGTGACGTGACAATGGGATCGGGGGCCCACGCTTCGAGAGCACGTAAAAGAACGGGCATGTAGTCCGGATAGAACCAATCGAAAAAAACGGTGAATTCTCGGCGGCTTTGAATAGGGGTAATGAAACCACACAGATCGGTAAAAATGTCCTGCAGCGTACGCTAGATCGCATTGTCGATTAGATCCATGCTCTGTATATCGTGCACGTCATTTACTTACGCGGACCGACTCCTGTTGAAACGCTTCCAATGTGTCGAGTGGACCAAGGCTTTGCAATCGCATATCAAAGGGTTTCATAAAGGCTTGCAATTCACGTCGTCCCACGTTGTCGTTCGCAAATAGCAGCTTGCAGAGGACATGGTAGTACAGCTTTTTGTTCTGCTGCTGTTTAGGATGGTCAAAGAAGGTGAACTGGCCCGACATGTGGTTTTCAAGCAACATTTGCGTGACTTGAAGTTTTCGCAAATTCTTGGAAGGACTGTATCTGGAACCGAAACGAGGGTGAGTCAGTCATCCATTTTCCGCCATTCTCAGCCCATGTTAAATGACGAACCCGTTGGCCAGCTCCTGAAATAATTCAAGCGTACGACGAACCACTTGCTCATTATCACCCCAATGCTGCAAATTGCCCACACTACAAACAAATACGCATTAATAACAATACCGATTTGAATACAGCGCAGCCGACATATTTCTTTTTGTTGTTGCTATGGGCTTACATTTTGCGCATGATCATGCTAAGCATTTGAACATGGTCGTTGATGCCAAAGACTTCGTTAATTTTGGTATAGATCTAACACTAATGTCAATATTTCGACAAAAAACAAGTCGTAACAATGGATGCATTATTTCCACCTACCTCTTTTCCACTCATACTGTCACCCATGTATGATTTTTTGAACTGATTGAAAAAGGCAATAAAGGCCAGATCCAGCTTTTCGTTCATAAAGGTATTGCCATGCTGAGTCTGTAACGCTTGTTGGACATTCATCAGTTGCAGCACCTTGGTAGTAAGTTGGCTGTCCACAGTATCCAAGGTATCGGAGCTGAGGAAGGACTGAATCAAAATTTCAACGGATCAGTACTTTCACGTCCTTATGGTCTAACAGGTTGGGCTTACCGATCGATTGCCTATGCATGCGGCAATCATGTACACAAGCCAAGCAAACTTGGTTTCAATCATTTCTAGCGCCTCTTTGAAATCGTTTCCGGCTGTCATGCCTGATGCAGCACCAGCAATGAGACCCTGATAAATCGGACAAAGCGGGGAAAAAATGAGTGAGCCGCAAAACAAGCAGATTGGATATCCTTGTGCCAGCAATTAATTTTACCTCATACTGGGAAGCAATGGGATCAAATATCGCCAGCAGTGCAGTACTCGATTGTTCGTATTTGCATCGTGCAATTTGTCCAAGCATATTCAATGTTTCCATAAGAGAATCCTCATTTTCCAATGGGTCTACACAATGATGCCATGAGTGACAGTTCAGCGAATCCATTCGCCAATGAGACCATGCATATATACCTTCCAATCCTTCATCAATAATCACGGGAACCGACTCCATTACCGTTGAAATATACGCCTGCGTCAGCTGTCAATGGAGGGTGAGCAAATGTCCATACAAATGTGTGTTCATGCAGTTCGCGAAACTGATAAATTGACACTTACTTCAACGGTGATACTCTCTAGTTTTTGCACGGTGCCTTCGCCCAACTGATGATAATAGGTCATGCTTTGCACAATACGCGACCAGAATCCGAGAATGTACATGGCAGTATTGGGTGCCCACTACCAGCCGTACAAGCATTGGATGTTAGATGCTCCATCACATCACCCTTGCACGCTCACACACGCCTACCTTCCATGACTGAAACGCCTGCAGCGAGAAATTGGCCACCAACTGGATCCAATCAAGATACCCTGCCTTTTCTGCCAATTCGTTTAATGGAGCGGTGGATCGGAAGCGGTACAGAAAACGGCAGAATCCATTGTAATTATCCGCATCATTCATTCCCTGCGAAGTAAGCATGATCTCCCTTGCACCGTCCATGAGAGCAAGTACAAACGCTGACCGTTCATTGTGAGTCGTAAATAATGACTTGCGCACCGATGCAATCATGACAATACATTCCATCACCTGTCATCATACGTATTAGTTCACTGAGATCGTTAGCCTGCCTTGCGACGTTTTTGACCAAAGCTTACTTTGGAAGAAAAGGGTGGCAGAAATGTGCGGTAAGCAGTGAAGAAAGTGCTGACAAAGTCTTCTTTGATGAACATAGGGCGCCAAGTGGCAGGGACCTTGAGGGACAATCGATCAGCCAAGGATGTTCATATACAACATAGATATAGTGCGAAGAATTACCTGGACGGTGCCTACATCTTCACCGGCGTCATCGGAACTGGTGCCATTAAAATCGTACGAAAAGCATTTGACCAGCACACTCAGTGTCGCGTCCTTTAAGCGATCTTGCTGACCAGCTATTTATCACATAGGTTGGGTCAACTGCAGTATCTAAAGCGTGCGCACATCATCACCAGACTTACGATTTGCGTAGGTCACTGTCTGACCCAATATCTCCTTAAAAGTGTCTAATGCCATTTGGCATATTTCCAGTAACTGGGTGTCTCGGAACCTTCCGGCTATAAACGGCCGTTTTAGTATATAGCAGCGTCCCGTCAGGTCGTCTTTTATACTTTACCCGACTTTCGAAACTTGGCTAGATTTCTTGCGAAGCTCGGTGGATTGATATCTTGCACAAGGATGGCTAGAATCTGCATACCGATGATACGATGATCCATCGATGCCTAGTAACAGCGGTGATGTCATTATAAGCTTCCCTATCCACATTACTCATACACTGCTTGTTTCGGATTTTTACTTGATTAAATTGCACAATATCCTCATGAATATGGCGATATGAATCGAATTCTTGCCAGCCTAATAGGGTCACCAAGGCAAGAAGACTGGCCAATTGATTCACGACAAAAGGAACCAGATCGGGATGTCGAAAAGCATAATCGAGCAAGAAAGCGCCTACAGCATTACTGTCAGCGACCAGGGTTCTTGAACATGAACCATTTTGTGTGTGTGTGTGTTTTTGGCTTACGCAGCTGAATTTTGGCATCGTCGCTAAACACAGGGAATTGAGCTTGTACCAGCTGCTTGAGTCGAGAAAGGCAGAATGTTTGAACATAAGGACTGGCCGAGTTTTCCAACAATATACGAAGCGACGAAGCGGTACCGGTTGGCGTGGTGATTCCAAAACTCGGTAGGGCCTCCATACGAGATGCTAGCAATGGATGGTTCTTGGCCATGCCACCACCGGGTTCATCGGCAAACGTAGGAAACGCGCATTCAAGCAAGATTTGGGTTTCCTCACGTTCTTCCGACGATTTCGGATTATACAATTTTTCACACAACGAAATAAAGTAGGGTATGCGATCATCGGTTTGCGCCATGATGGTAATAGAAGGTTACAGACACACAAAAAAAAAAAAACTGGGCAGACCTTTTTATTCTATGAATGCGCGTTTGAGAACCAAAAAAAAAAAGTCTCCCGTGGTTGCCGAATTTTCAAGACCGAATATGTAAAAAAAGAAAAAAAATGGCATGGACGAGGAATTTTCCAGCTCCACCGAACAACTGTTTTTATTGAGCTTCCCTTTTTCTTTTTTCTTTAGTGTTTCCTGAATCGCCGTTTGGAGGCGACCTTCTTTCCTTTGGTTTTTTCTCTTTTATCGGCTTCTACAGGTTCATGGTCGGTGGATTCGGTACTTTCTTCATCCGGGCTCGTATCGGTGGGTGGTGGCGGTGTGATTTTTGTCGGGAGGCCTTGTCCTATCTTGGGTTCAGGCTTGGGCTCTTCGTCTATTGATTCTTCTTCTATGGGCTCCTGGTCCGTCGCCTCGGTACTCTCTTTGTGAACAGACGAGGCGGTAGGTGCTGAGGTGAGTGAAGAAGGGGCATTATTTTCAAGTGCCTGCTTCACACGATCCATGAAACTCTGTGCCCGCTTTAGCATATCCGGATCGGCATTGGATTCCATCGCATGCGACACGTAAGCGTAAGCATCTTTAAAACTCGTATGCCACAAGGATCCGTAATTTGAGGGCACTTTCCAGAAACAAAAGTGAATATTACCAAGCAAAGCAACTCCATTGTGCATCACGTACCTGTAGAACTGAGATTATCCAAGGCTCGAAGAATGTGACGCTGAATATCGGACACCGCATTGGAACTTTGAGCCATGGCCAACAACGTCGGAATCACACTGAACTGGTCGCCTGCCGAGGCGTCCGTCTGGATCATCCGTTGGGTATTTCCATCTGCAGCGAAAAACAATATGTTTATCAGTTGCCACGACTAACACAAGTGTGAACTACCTTTTGTTTCCTTACCATGCGCTGCCAGGTTGGCCAGACATCGCGCAACGTGTCGGTGAATTTCCACATTGGAAGGGAAGATAGCCGGAACATTGCAAAGGTACTCGAGAAACAGCGGTAGGTCCATCAACTTTTTTTGTGACACATCTACACACTCAATCGAGTTAATACTAGACAACCAATCCCTCTTTACCCATCCTCGATTCAAAAATTACTGTTCGTAGCAAAATTGGCCTAAAGAAAAATTGAACCGTTCTCTTAAGTCCTTCTCATAATGATTCCATGAATTCAGGGGTTTCCATACCAGTGCACAGCAAGCATGAGATACCGTGGCTGTATGGATACTCTGCTCTGTAACGTTTTCTCCGGTCGCATTGGATGGACGTTCGATACCGTCAAGGCTATCCATCTTTTTCGACATGTAGATACTCAACGTCTCCATCCTTTCCTTGGGTGATTCTCGGCCTTCCATTTGTGGTAAAAGCGCAATGATGGACATCAATGCTCGAGCGCCATCCCCTTCAAGCAAAGAAGACTTGTATTTGTCTAACGTACCGACAGATACCGATAGATACCATTAGATCCGCAGGTTTCCCACCAAAACTGACTGTGAGTGTAATACAAACCATTTCGTAAGGATAAGTAAGCCATTGTTTTGGCAATGTATTTCCTCGTTTCTTCGTTATTGGATCGTAACAACTGAGGTAACTTGTCGCTGCCTTTCAATATGTCAATGATGCTCGGTTGCGTGGTCACTAAGGTATCCGATGAATTGCATTAAGAATTTTCCTTTTACAAAGATCACGAAAAAAAAAGAAGTAGTGCCGAGGGGCTCAAGAGGGTGAAACCACGGTCTTACCTGAAGCACTGATGGCTGAAATGGCTTTAGCGGCTAAATTTTGTACAATGGTGATTCTATCTTTCAAAGCGTCTTCTTCGGAAGCAATGGTTTCGTTGTCCACCTTGGTCCCACGATGATCGTCTGAATTGATGGGTTCGAAAGTGGAGAGTACAAGCAATCCATCAAACACGCCTTCGTTTACGATTTCCTTCTGACTCAGAATGCCTAGCAGCCGTCGTCAGTACAATTTGTATCCAATGTCATTGCTACCATGCAGTTTTTTTTACCGGCACGAGACAGTTGATACAGAATGTGGGTGCAATTAATTAGGATTTCATACATCATGCTCTGGCGTATTTCGGAATGGTCGGTGTCGGTCTGCAACGGGCCTCCATTGACGTGCGGAGACACAGAATGGGGACCGGTACCATCGCTCGTGGTGCCGGAAAGACTAGATTGAGAAGAGATCACAGAGGTTCGTTTTTCTTTTAAATCTGCCGTAAAGCCTTTGTCCAACTGCGCATAATGCCGAATGAGATGCAACAACGGAGGCAATGCCCACTTGGTGATAATCACGGGCCGAATGGATTCTAAGACAAAGGTGCGAGCTCAGCAACCACGATCTACGTTACCCTACTCCCGGAAAATTATTGTTACCTTTTTCGGCGAGCATTGCCAGTATTGTCGTAATGAGGTGATGAAGTTGGATATTGATAGAGGAACGACACAGCCATATCAGGGCATCAACGCCTCCGTGAACCACCATATTATGCAATTCCAATTCTGAAAATCATCCCCGGTTCAGCCATTCCGTCCATGACGTATGAATCAGCACACTGTTACCTACCATTGTCTCGTTCGGTCATTTCCAGTAAACCGCGAGCACCATGCATCTAATGCAAGTATTTTTTTTTACGCTTGAGCCATCCTGTTTTTGGTTACACTTTTGCATGCTTTTATTTTTGATTCGCCGAATCAAAAATCAGTGGGTGTACCTGAGTGGTCAATCCATGATCTTCGTCAATCGCATAAGTCACTAGGTACGCCACTTCAAAGCAGTTATTGCACACTCGCACAGGTTTGGATCCGTAACCAAGTTGAGGTAGTGGTACGCTTCGGGAGGAACAGTCGTGACAAAATATATTCCCGCTGTGTGTGTGCTTTTCTTTTTAGCCAAAACCAATACCCACCGCATTCGATAACCAAGCTCACCTACCAATGTCGACAATGATGCTAAAAAGAATGCAACGTTTAATAAAGAGTTGTGTATCAGATTATTGAAAGAAGCGTACCCTTCGACGAAGTGCTCCAAACGCATTGTTGCACGAGAGACAGTGAGTGACATCCATGTCGTTGACCCAAATGGGCCGAGGCAAGAGAAATGTTAGCCTTTCATCTTGCATTTGCATTCTAAAATAAAAAGAGTGGTACTAAAGAGATCTAGAAAATAAAACAAAAAACCCTAAGTCGGCTGGGGTGGGTAGGTCTGTAAAGGGAAAATAAAAAGCGTTCGGAAAGAGGAAGAAAAAAGATACGAGTCAGCTGAACCATGCACGCTTGAATTTCCCATCTCAGCGCTTGGAAAAAAATCCCGTCATCTCATTGGACATTCAACCGAAAATTGACTCACTCCCCCCCACCCACCAAATGCAAAAATAAAACACCCAACGATTCCTTGCTGAATGTCGGCGTCTTTTTTTTATTAGTATGTTATTATTTACTATCAAAGCGCGAATTACAGAAGTCCGATCAATAATACGGCAGTTTTTTGTTAGGGTACGGTGGAGTTGTTGGATGTTTGTTCAGATAATGTTTCATTGGGGGTGTGATCTGCAGGGACAGTCAGTGTGGGTGCTTCGGCAAGTTTCTCTGGCGTAGAACGTCCTTCCACTGAGCCGCCTTCATCTCGGTCTTCATCCTCGTCTTCGTCGTCCGAACCTCTCGTTCCCCGTTCATCACATCTAATGTAACCCATTGTTATCGCTAATTCAAAAAAGGAAAGAGACGCCCCAGTTTCAGACTCTCTTTAGAAACACCGTACCTGAAATGATTAAAATACTGTTCGTCCGTCACGGCGCCTGGAAACGTGTAGAGACCATCTCTCCAGTATTTCCATATTTTTCGTTCCGTCAATGTTTCATGGGTGGTGGGATCAATGATTGTCACTTCATCGCCCGTCCCTTCTCGACTGAGCTTCCAACTTTCGTCACTCAATGCACTACCGCCTGGCAGTTTCTTATGCCGTAAATCCCAGTGGAGCATCCTGCATAATTCCGGTACGATATCATCCGCGTTGCCCAACAGCTGAACATCAAACGTCATGTGCGTAATAGGTGTTCGGTTAATCAAAATTTGCGGCACACTGTGCGGAATCTGCGACATGATCTCTGACACAGGCGACACCTTTAACGACGACCCCATCACAATGAGTAGATCAACCTTGTCCGTATCCACAGCAAGTAAATGATCGAATTCATCCGGTAATTTTTCACCAAAAAAGGTAATATCCTGATTTGAACGATGGGTTTTTTTGGTTATTGTCATCTTAGTATCTTGCGTCATTCGTTTCGAAGATAGTGGACGTGACACCTACCGGCTTCATGATCGATCGGCCTCGGTGAGGATGCGTATCGTTGTCATCCTCATCACTTGAGGATGACGTCTTTGAGGGAATTCGGGTCGCCGCGCACTGTGGACAAGGAGGAATCGTCTAATCCGAACTTCTCGTTAAGTCGCTCCACTACCTCCCGCCCTTTTGCATGGGCCTATTTCACAAAAAGCTGGTCCGCTTACCTGGTTGAAAATGTATTCTTCAATATCCTTTCCATCGCATTTGAAACCACACGTGACGCAACTGGCGGTGGCAAAGCTGCCGTGACAATTGACGACGTGTTGTATCTCGGCCTTGTGTTCTAGGGTGTCGATGTTCTGCGTATAGTTGCGGAGCAATTTGCCCTTGTCTTCTACTAATTTAACAAACATGTGGCTGGGACTGGGTTCGTAGTTGCTGGGATACAGTTCCTTGGCAAACGAATAAAAAATCTCGGGACTGTCTCGAAAGTATTCAATGTCGAACATTTGCTGCGGATCGTCGAGATGATATTCTTGCAATCTTGAATAAATGCCCGTCTCGGAACGGAAGTCAGGGATGCCACACGACACCGACACACCGGCACCCGAGACAATCATCACATTCTTGGCTTCTCGAAGCAATCCAATCACGTCGTCCAACGTATTGACATTGTCCAGCCGACGTCGCTTACGTAAGTGACGGCTAATAACGGCACGAAGTATAGGAAATAGATCGCGATCGGTCGCCAACATGGTAGCTCTAGGATTCTGTGGGATCAACCAACAATTAAGAAAAAAACAGGAATTCCGAGTCAGCTGCATCCAATAACGCATGCAATGAGAGTACAAAATAAAACGTATACCATAATAATATTGAACGCTTCGAGCAATTTCGCCACGGGCACGGATTCTTGAATGACGTATTTTTCAATAAACTTGATCATACCTTGGCAACCAGATAAGTCTTCCTTTTCTCTTCTTTTATCCATGAACGATTTGCCCTGCAAAGAAAAAAAAAAACTCACCGATTTGCCTTGCTTCCTCCTGCAACAGCTCTGCTTCCTCATCTGTGTAGCTTGTCCATGCTGGGTTTGGGAGACACACACAAAAAAAAGGGGAATGGGGGGATCAGCAAAAACATATATGGTGCGCCTAATTGCTAGACCGCAAAATATTTACATGGTTTATAAACACTCTCGTCATCGTACTCGTCCACATTGACGTCTTCCAAACTGTCATTGTCAGCACCAAACGTAGCGTGATCCAGTAATTCCTGGCCGCATAAGCTTGCATCGCTGTCACTTTCACTGCCTCCGGCCCAATCTTGGTCGGATTCTTCATTGTAATCTTGATCAAAATCGTGATCGTAAATAGTGCTCGTGACAGTTTGTTGGGTCACTTTGGTCTCTTGTTCGTTGCTACTGTCGCTGCTGCCCTCGTGCGTCACCGTCGTTTCGCTCGTTATGGCCACGTTGTACAATGTGTCTTCGTCCATACCTGCCGTAGAAAAATAAACCACCATACCAGTTATTAGACATCATTTCACGTACTTTGAAGCATGTACCGATCTACCTTTTACTGTTGTCTTTTCCAATCGGACTCGTTTGGTAGATCGATCGTCATCTTCATCGGGCAAACCGTCAGAAACGATCGTTTGATCATGAAGAAGTGTGTCGCGGAGAGAGTCAGCTGTACGTTTATCCGAAGTGGACGGCAGCATGGCGTTGGATTCGTCGGCCGGTGATGAACGGTGGTCGGGCTGACTCATATTTCAGCGTCTCATGGGTTAGGAGGATCGGCAGGGTGCGCTCACTTTGTTCAAGGCCATCCCTTGGCGGGGAAATTCAAAGTCACGCTCATAGCCTCTTTTTCCATCCATGCAATAAAAATAAAATCCCTGAGCGAAAAAAATTGAATGCACGAGTGACATTTCAAATCAGCTTCCATCCACTGTTTATCCAACACGGTCTTTCGGCCATCAATAGATACAAGAAAAAAAAGATATTATGTGATATAAGATCCCAGTCATGATATAGACTTTGGAGAACATCAAAATTATAACATCGACACCACGACCGGGAGGGACATATATTTTGTATGATTAATGACAGTACCATGGTTGCAGCAGATCGACACCATGGCACAGAGTGATCAACGGTATGAGCGTGATTTTAATTCCAGTTACGTATACCCATCCTTACTTGGGAAGAAGTGAAATAAGGGAACCGAAATGCTGCGCTGCAATCAACAAGTTTTGAACGAGAACACCTGTGGAATTCCCAAACTGCAAACTTGATATGATTCCAAAACGCCATTCTTTTATTTTTACCATCCATGCTATGTCAAAATTTTTTAGTCGCGAATGTGCCCACATTGCTCTTTTAACTGCGATTTTGCTGTCAAATCATTCTTGTAAAACGTCGTTTTATTTGTTCCCTTTTTTTTTCAGAGCTGCAGGCCAAAAGATACACGGCCGAGAACGTTGAAAAAATTCACGCCATGCAGAATGTTGAATGTTCATGCCAAAGTCAAAGTTTATGGTAAAAGTAGATGATGAGGCATTCATGTCGATTCCACACTGGCATCTTTCGGTGCTTCAGGAGACTGGCGAAATTATTTCTTCGCCAAAATAAAGTGACCATCTACCGTGTCAGGCTTCACGCGACAATGTCAAAATTTGCGGAAACCATCATCTTTTGATAATTTTCTTTGTGGCAACAATGAATCGAGGAAGCATTTAAACTTGACTGAACGACTTCGTTTTTATTTTTGTGTACAATTTGTTATCAATTGTTTAGCGACAGCTATACCGATTAACAGCTTCGTTATGGTGTTCTTTATTTTTGGATCCCGTAGTATCGATCTTCTTATCAAATACCAACAATGGCGGCAGAGAAAAGAGGAAAAATTCATTCTTTATTCGTGAATGTATATTTTGAGCTTGGTTTTAGGCTTCCCTTCGAAAACGATGAAGGGAAGCCTCTGGAGAAAGACGTTGGGCCACACAGAAAGTGGCCCAAAAGGAAGCGTCCAGGAAAGACGGCACGCGGAAAAAAGTGGCTACCAGGAACGGCCAAAGAGAGAGAGTGGCCCAAGAGATAGGCCACATGGAGAAAGTGGCCAGTCGAAGGTGGCCGGAGAAGAAGGCCATGCGGAAAGGAGACCGCAGGAAAAACGGTCAAAGCGGGTAGTGGCCCCGAAGAAAGGGCTACCTCAAAAGGCGCTGGAAGGCGGCCAGCCAGAGAGGCCGAAACGGAAAACCGGTCCAAGGAAAGCGCCACCTCAAAAGACGGTGGAGTGTGGCCCGCGGGAACGGCCACAAAGGGGAAACGTGGCCCAGGGAAAGCGCCAGGAAAAAAGGTCACAAAGGAAGGTGACTCAGAGAAATGGCCAGGAAAAAGGCCACGCGGGGAAGTGGCCCAAGGAAAAGGGCCCACGGAAAAAAAAAAAAGCCAAGCTGAGAAATGGCCCAAGGAGAAAGCGGCCAGGAGAAAAGGCCGCACCAAATGCCAGACAGAAACACCGGCGCCAAAGTTCACCGAGGCGCGCCGAGAGAAAAAGCCAGAAACAAAGGTCATAAACGGAGACCACAAAGGTAGCCGGGAAACCAAAGGACGACCAGAGAACAAGCAGCGGACAACAAGTCAGACGGAATGCCAAAGACAAGCACCAGGCAACCGGCAACACCGAAGGCAACGCAACGCAAGACCAAGACAAGGCCAACGGAAAACGCCAAAGGACAAATCGCCAAAGGGCAAGGCGACACGGACGGCACAAGGACGCGACCAAAGGCAACCGCAACGGGGTGCAGAGACAACAACAGACAACAACAACAAAGGGGGGGGGGGAGAGCGAAAAGAAACAAGAGACAAGAAAAAGAAAAAGAAGGAGGAAAATTGCAGGCGGCGGAATACGTGAGAAGGGAATAAATTCCCTTGTTTTAACCGACTAGTCGTAGGGAGCCAGATTAGTAGCACCATTCCCAGTTTATGGGATCGAAAAGGGTATACACCCAATCTATTTCTTCCACATGGACTTTGCCTGGGCCAGTGGCGCAAGCCGACCAGGTCGACTCCTCAGTCGAACCCAGCGGCTCCCAATCCACTGGATTGTCGATATCATCGGCAACGGGAGGCGGAAGTTGTTCCTTTTTACGGGAGACAACAACCCCACGGCCGCCATCATAATCTCCCCACTGGATTGGCTCGTCGAGGAAGGTCTCCAACAAAATGTCTTCGACCTCTCCACCGGTGGGCGCCACAGGCTTGCGAACCGGGGACAAATGGGCAGAAGTAGGCACACGGACGACAGAAACAGCAGGCACTGACGCCGCAGAAGACGAAGGGCGAGGGAAGGAGAAACCGAAAGGACAGGACGGAACAGAAGGAGGAGCGACAAAGTCGAAGGAGCAGGAAGGCACTGAGGCCAAAGGAGATAAGGCAGGCGCAGAGACCGCAACAGAGGAAGAAAGCACACTGACGGAGGAACGGGGCACACCGGCAACAGAGGAAGAGGGCACGGCGGCAGAAGAGGACGAACGAGCGAGTTTTGGCCATTAAGGCACGGCGGGCGGAAGCAGAAGTATTCTTCAAAAACTTGCGGTCAGGAATTTTAAGAATCAGTAGGGATAAAGAAAAAAAATGGAAAAAAGGATTTTTTTGTCCATCGTTTTATATGATTCCGCAAGTCATGACAAGGTTGAAAGGCAGCCATCGAATGAAAAACCAAAAAATACGAACTTTGCGAGATTTGGGTGTAGAGAGATGTGCCGCATTTGTATAGACGCGTAAATTAATTCATGAGTTTCCCGGCAACAATTGGGAAGATACAAGAATGTTTCACCTTATGAAAAGTTTCACACATGTCTTCAAAAAAATGGACAAAAGGCATAATGCATAAAGAAGTCCAAGCGGACATTTTGATGATTTCAAGTCCGAAAGGCATCGAACAAAATGGAAGCGGTCCATGGGTTCGATTCACTTGATCCTGTCCCAAGGCACGGCATCCATTACTTTTGTTCAGATTTTAATCCATCCAAAACCGCCTTCTCACGACGAATCCGTACAAATTCGAAGCATCTCTGTAGAGGCGCACGGGCCGAGTTACGGTTTTTTCCTATTTTTTTGCACCCATCCATCAACCTACGCCTAAGGAAATCAATAGTAAGAAAGCATATCACGACAAATCCCAAAAAAAAATTAAGGTCTGCTTGGGTTTTTGTAACGCTGACCAAGGGCAAACAATAATATTAAACAATTAGGCGTGCTTCCAGCTGCGCCTCGGAGTTACAAACTCAGTATGCAAAGACCCTGAATCCCAAGGTTCGGTTGCTCGTTCATACAGTGATACAAGGAAAATTTGAAGCATGGCTCTGAAAGATTACATCCAACTCTTGTTTTTAAATGGAATTGGTTGATTCATATTGTGTGCACCTTCAGGTTCACTGCCGTTCAAGTACAGGCTTTGCATTCGGAATGTATTACATCACTGACCGATAGTGTCCCGACATGGCGTTAGCGTGATTGAATGTCAGATCATTTACAATATGGGTGATGGAGCATTGGCATGTAAAAACAAGTCAGGTGCTCGTTTTATCCAAGGTGATCTCGTTACTGAAGCACCATAAAAGGCGTTTTATGCAGCTTTTTCGCGCCGATCAGATCGTTAAACAAAATCTCCATAACAGGTATTTTTGCTTGGCGAATGAACTACAGTGCTATTCCAGAAAACAACCGTTGAAAACAATTTAGTCTAAATTTGTGTGTAACGCGATTTGACAAGCTGGATCGGCCGTGATAAATGGATAATATCTATTACAGAAAGGTGTGCCTGTGGATGGGGAATGATATAGTATCCATCACAATAGGCGCTGATACGGATCATGGAACACACATTTGGGAGCAGTAATCTTGGAAATAAAGGAATGATACAAGAAGGAAAGGGTGAATAAATAGTAATAGTAAGGGTAACAAAACAAAGCAATGAAGGAAATTGTGGATGGGAATAGGATGGTCGGAACAATCGCATAAAGGAGATCAAGAGTTATGAAAGCGATTGGCTTCAACTATCTGGGAGAGCATCCGATGACTTTTTCTCGGTCTGGGGACGTAACCACGGACTGGTTTTTGGAGAAGAGCTGGTGGTGGCGGTGGATGAGGATCCCTTTTTCCACGCCGTCTGTAGCTTTCGGATTTCGCGCTGTGAATCGGGACTCGGTGGATTGGATAGATCAATGATATGCCAATCCGATCCTGCAAAGTTGCTCACTTGTCCATGAACACTTTCTTCCAATTTCATCAATTCCACCACAAATCCAATATTAGGCGATGCGTTTGGCCGCGATTTGATAATATGTCGGTACGCACGCTTCAACGTCCATTTTTCCACCAAGATCAAATACGCCAAAATCACCGCCACCGATCGCGATTTTCCCGCCTTGCAATGCACGTAAATCGGCTCATGGGCCCCTTTTGCATCCTCTAACAAACAAAACAAACAAAAAAAAAGATCATAAAATCCCACGAATGAGCTACTTGAAAAACCGTGATTCATGAAGCTCTCAAATTTACCAATGACTCGCACGGCTGTATGCAGAGTTTCGTATACATTGCGCATTTCCACGGTGTCGCGTGCGGATACTTTTGTGTATTTAAACGCTTCTTTGAGCCCGGGAACGTCGTCATCGCATTCCTCTGCCATGTTCAGGATCCGTCGAATGGATCGCAATTTCAACGCTTTCAATTGATCGGTCGTCGCGATTTCAGGTCCAAGGTATAGAAAGCCGGGAACAATCTCAGAGATGATAAACGCATATTCATTTTCGGTGGCGGGGGTAACTTCTTCCGGCATCGGTGTGCTTGGTATGTGAGATGAGGGTGGATCGATGGGTGTGGCAGGTACATCATGCGTTTTGGCCAACGGATGCGGCGATGGCAAAGATGAGTTCGACGATCCTTGCGTTCGATCGGTTCCTTCTGGAATACTTAGTAGCCCGGCTTTATCCGGTTTGACGGTACCTAATTTCGACTTTACATCGTTCCGACGTTGAGAGCCTGAAAAGTACTTGTTTTTCCGGACATTGCTGGTATCCAATGTAAATAGACTGGCCCGACGTTGGACGTTGGTGCCTGTTTTGATGGAAGGAATGGATGCGGTGGTGGCACTGCGTGATAGCATCGGGGTAGGCATGGACAGTTGGGTACCACGACTGAGAGAGCGTACAGGGGCGGGGGTCTTGGTGAGATCGCTTTCCATCCAGTCCGGGCTGTGGGTATCTGAAAGATTTTGGAATGGGGTATCTAATCGGTGGTATAAGGTGCCGACCATCAGCTCGTCGGCATGTGGCCACTCTTGGAACTTTTTGAACCCATCCTGAAGCCAGCATACACGCAAGTTCTGTTTCGTGTCCGAAAACGATTTATCCAACACACCAATCAGTGTCCACGCATCGGATGATGTATCCTGTTCTGACATGGCATGGTCGTACACCATCACTTTCTGAACCGAGGTTTGCGAGCCGTGTTGGTCCATCCATCGCAAGTAGTAATCGACTCCCTCTGGTGTGGTAATAAAGCTTTCCAAATTGAAATGCGAGATGGTGCCTCGTCGATACCGTTTGATCAGGAGCGAAGGTAGATTTACATTGATGGAATGGGAAATCCGTGCTTTTTCAAACTCGGCTAAATCGCGCATATCGATCAACAGTGGTGCGGTGCTCGCGTGTTGAAGCATTCTTCCCAGCTCTTCTACGGTGACGCACGTCGCATTTTTGATCGCTTTATTCATGGCACCACTGGAAGCGTGACCGTGAGGGTTCGTATGGACGGGACTCAGCGTCTCTGACACTTTCTTGGCCAATTTGTGCACCGGATTCACCTTGGTGCCACCGTTGACCTTGGTATCATTGGACAGTGATGAGGATGCATTGCGTGGCGACACGGGCGAACACAGGTTTTTCTTGACTTTGTTATGGAGTCGTGTTCTCACGGGTTGTGGTGGTGAAGGCGACGCATTGGTCGTTGCATGCTGAACAATGCTCGGTGAACTATTGACGCTGTGTGATTTTGACGCAGTCGACAGTGGTGGTCGTGCGTGAGGGTGATGATGGTCACTGGCGGTATCTGGTACAGCATGGTCCTCGTCATTGGGAGGATACCTGAAGAGCGAATGAGCGGTATTGGCTGTGGGTGGTGCGGAGCGCAGTGGAGCATTGGGTGTTATCCGACGGGAAGGATCGTCGAGGGTCATTTGGGACGGTAACCTGGTGGAGAGAAGATCCAAAGCGGAACCGGCAGACTTGGGTGCGGACATGTCGTCGAGTTGTGAAGGCATCGGTAAGAAGTAACTGGGGATGAAATGTGGTGTTGAGGATTTTGGTATGTGGGTGGTGGAGCCCAACGATGGTACAAAGATCAAAAAAACGACAAACTGTTAGAGAGAGGCTGAGGCGAAACCCAAAACAAGCCCTCTTCTCCTGACAGATGTTAATAGAATTCCCCCGGTTTCGCCGCATTTTTTTTTTTTTTTTTTTTTCGCCCTTCGAGAAAAACTTTGTAAAATTTTCAAACTACAAAAATAGCATCCCAGTTTTCCCATGCTGTTTGTTTATAAAAAAAAAAAAAAGGCTATTAACTCTGGTTATTGACAGCAATATCTTCTTCCCAGTAAACAAGCCAAGTGCTGAAAATAACCTTGCAACACAAATATTCGTATTAAATAGCCGTAGTTTGGTGTAATTGGAAGCGTTCCCGTCCGCTCCTCCTTTTTTTGGGCCGTTTCTTCTCAAATGTAAATTTTTCACTATTTCCACATGAAGATCCGGTGATCGGATGATGCAAGTCATCTCTTTGTTAAGATTATGACTCTATTTGCTTGCCCATCTTCAATTCATCCTTATGATTTGTTATTAAACTAATCAGTACAGCAAACACCTCATGTCTGCGGTTTGTTTGTTTCACTACTTTTTCGCGAGGCCATTTCTTCCTGGGATTATAACCATGCATCATGCGTCTCGATATTCCAGGATTCTAATGAATGCATCATCCAGTTCACGTCAATAAATGCCGATTGCTTTCTTGTTTACGGCATCATACCCTAAGCAAACGAAGAATTTTTGTCCTGAAAATTCTGTTTCAGACCTATTTTTAGACCGCCCATCTCCTTGGATAAGTTAATGCCAAAACTTTACGTTGCATGGTTGTCGATGTCGTCGTCACTCTGGATAAAATTAACACACCAGCTACAGTTAAAAAGCTGCATCAAAATGGATTATCGACAGAGAATGTAAGACTCTTGCCTGCACTATGAATAAAAAAAAAAGAGGACCCGGCAAATTATGGTCGTTGACTTTCATATGTTGTAAATAAGTCTTGTAAAGAAGTTATGGAGAGTGGTATGGCAACATTGTCGGAGGGCGACTATGCTACCAGATGTAACAGATAGACTTCGTGTCAATGCAAGCTGTATTTGAATACGGACACAGTGTTTTATAAGGAGCCATCACCCAAAATGGAATAAATTTTTCTTCAGGCGTTAGACTGCCGGACAATGGTCCGATGGGAGTTATTCCCTTCATATGGGATTGAGGGTCATCGGCCGGACCATGCATTGTAACCACAGTATTATCATGCCTTGCAATGACATTGTAAAAATAAATATTATCAATAGCACACAATAGCACACTGTGTGTCGCTATTCAAAGAGTCTGTTCATGAATACTTTACCACTGTTCAATACATTGGCCGACAGTACATTGTCATGCTCAACAAGTGATAATGATATTCTTTCATGTCATCATTTTGTGTTCCCTTAAAACGTTCTGTCATTGAAAATATGCTCGTTTAGGAATGCAGCGTTTACCACATTTGCATGTGACAAGCCAACGGAGATTGACGGTGAGAAAAAAAATGGAATTTCACAGCTTCCCCACACAGTTACGAGAAACTTAAAGCAAAACGACCCAATTCTGTTTTTTTATTTTGTTTCCCTTTTTCTATTTTTTTTAATTCCTTTTTCCATTGAATCTTTGCGTCATGGTTGCTAACAAAGTATATGTCGTTGGTGTGGGCATGTCCAAGTTTATCAAGCCTCGTGGTGAGGTCGATTATCCAGGTATGTATTTTGTGTTTTTGCGCTGTATCTGCATTTCTGACAGTTCACGGATCGATATTTTCTATTGACACAGAATTCGGCTTGGAAGCGGCTGTAAAAGCATTAAGAGACGCCAACATATCTTATGACGCTGTTGAATACGCTACTGTTGGTTACGTCTATGGCGATAGTACTGCCGGCCAACGTGTGCTTTACCAACTTGGCATGACGCAGATTCCCATCATCAATGTGAACAACAACTGTTCCACTGGATCGGCGGCTTTGTACCAGGCACGTAACGCGGTGGCATCCGGTACTGTCGATTGCGCATTGGCGCTTGGGTTCGAACGCATGGCAAGAGGATCTCTCACGTCGACCTTTTCGGATCGCACCAATCCTCTCGGTAAATTAGTTTAGCCAGTTAAGGGGTACCGCCAGGTCATCATTCTGATTTGGCTCATCGTGCACCTTGATAGATCATGTCAATATCGTCATGGCAGGGGAAGTCGGATTCGACCCCAAAGCACCTCCTGCCGCCCAAATTTTTGGTAATGCAGGCATCGCATACTGCGAAAAATACGGTGCCACGCCCCAGCACCTAGCCAAAATTGCGGAAAAGAACCATCGACACAGGTACTTCAGTGTTTTCCCCCGTGGGATTACCCCTTCCACCTCGATCTAAGCTCGTGTCAATTTTTTCTTCATGAATTCACTAGCGCAAAAAACCCTTACTCTCAATTCCGCGATATTTATACGTTGGAGCAGATTGAAAAGTCGCCTCAGGTATTTGGCCCTCTGACGAAACTTCAATGTTGTCCCACTTCGGACGGCGCTGGGTGCGCCATCGTGGCCAGCGAAGCGTTTGTGAAGAAGCATAACTTGATGGACCAAGCAGTCGAAATCGTAGCCCAAGTTATGGCCACTGATTCACCTAAAATGCTGTCGACGGATGCCATTGAATGGGCCGGCGCGGACATGACACGTCGAGCTGCAAAGGATGCATACAGAATTGCCGGTATTTCGCCCAAGGATGTTCAAGTCATCGAGTTGCACGATTGTTTCTCGGCCAATGAACTACTTACGTACGACACTTTGGGCTTGACGGCGCCCGGTCAAGCTCACAAACTCATCGACTCCAATGATAACACATACGGTGGCAAATTCGTGGTCAATCCTTCAGGAGGATTGATTTCCAAGGGCCATCCCCTGGGCGCGACCGGTTTAGCACAGTGCAGCGGTACATCGTGCAAGATCCATCTGTGAACATTTTGGATTAAGTTGACTTATCCTGTTTTTGTTTTATGCATAGAACTGGTATGGCAGTTGCGCCACTGGGCTGGTGATCGGCAAGTACCTAATGCCACGTATGCATTGCAACACAATGTGGGCCTTGGCGGCGCTGTAGTCGTCACCATATACAAAAAGGCAACAGGCACCATGGCTCAACCCACCGTAGGATATAATCCCGCAGTGGAAGCTCGTCCTATCACTCAGGAAGAATACGAGAAGGCAGCATCCAAAGCCAAAAACAGAGCTGCATTCCTCGAAGCTAAACTTTAACCAGTCTCACCCAATCACACACAAATATATTCATTTATTTATTCCTCTTGCTCCCAAAACCATCAAACTCCAGCAGACGTGACGAGTAAAGTGTTTATTCTATGATAATAATGTACAAGCAAATAGGAAATAGGAATAGATTCAGTAACCTTTCAAGACCTTATATGCTATTACATTGCTGCATTGCAAAATTCAGAGTAGTCACAAGTCCAAACAAGCAAGCTTCTGGAATTTTGTTCAATTTAAGAAACAAACAAACTAAATTTCACCCACGATTTACAAACAAAGAGAAGCCCGCGTTTTTAGAAAAAAGCCTTCATTGTTGAGTAATCATACACGCGTCATTCATTTAATTCATGTGAAGGTGACTTCAATCCTGAAAATCAGCACCATGTTTGTCATCTTAAAAAAGTGGCTATGCATAGTCGATTGGTATGATAAGAGGATTAGAATAATCAAAGAGCATAGAAATAATTAGGTGAATCAATAATGCGACTTTTGTATTTTACATAAGATAAAACTCATCGACAGGAAATGTCGATCGCTCTGACACTAGTTCTTTACGATCATATTTGGGCTTTACCCGAGCACATTTAGGTAGGATTGTAATATACCCAGTCTTTATTTAACGCCACCCCAGGAAGCTACGCTAGCTTTGTTCCATCCAACAAACTGTACGATAATCTTCGCCACTTGGTCTAGGATACGAACATTGAGTTAGAATAAATAAATCAATAAAAAAGCCATATGAAATCATCTCTTACCGATTCCCTCTCTGAGGATGGACACTTCCCTGATTCTCTCTCTTTCTCTGTCCGCAGAAATCGTGCGAACGGACATCGGAAGCAGCTGGATGAAATCGAACTTACCTGCGCATCACTGCGAAAAAGCTATTGAGGATCTGAACGGCCATTATGGGATGTAGCCCTGTAGAGCCTCAAATAGGTGCTCTGAAGAGACCCTGTCCCTTTTGTATAGCTGACTGTTGTTGGGGTCAATCGGTGAATACACCGCGCTCACCAACTGCAAGAGCTGTGCGTCAGTGAGCAGCGATTTTTTTTTTCGCAGTTGACGGAGATGTCACGCTAGGCCCAGCAGTTGTGAACCTTCAGCCTATCCTCTTCCTCAGCTTGGTCAAGGTAGGCGTGGTTTGAGAATGGCCGCGAGCTGATCAACGCCTTCGGAAGGATGATCGGCTTCTGGGGGTCGGACTAATATACCAGCGTCTTATTCTCCAGCCCGTCGAGGTCATTCAAGGTTAGACCACATGGCCCGGATAGCGTCGGGACAATGATAAACAGCAAATACGCAACACTTGCCAAAGGCCATCTTCTACTGGTATTTGGAGTGGCACCCCGTCCCCTTGTATGCAACAGACAGTAAAGGTAATCAACTCTTGCAATTCCGGGCTATGTTGATTAAGCAGGTAATATCGGAAACCGTCGTACTGCTGAACTGCTTTCAAGACGCGAAGGATAATGTCTCTACCGGACAGTGCCTCCATGACGAGATCAAGAGCGACAATACTTGTAAAGTTATCGAGAGTTTCCCGAATAAAAAGAAAGAAAAATAAAAAAAAAGTACATGATGATAACAAAAAAAACAATGGTCGCGTCAGTAAAAACCTCCTAAAAACCCTGTGTGAAAAAAAGAGGAAAAGACTGCGAAAAGAATATGTACATGAAATATAAAATACAAAATGCAAACTATAAACTATAAACTACAAAATACAAAATACAATAATCGGGAAGACATCTCGAATACGATATCATGAGAAGCAATCCAAAGGAGAGGAACATGAAGAGGACAGGTAAGCGTTTTTCCGATGAAAAAGAGAGTCACACCACCGATGATGGCCATCCAGTTTCGCCAGATGGATGGATGGATGGCGAGAGAAAGTGAACTTGTAGTATCCAGAACTTGTCAGGCGAAAAGAAAACGGAGAAAACCGGAAGCTGGAAGAAGGGATGGAAAAAAAAGAGAGGTAAGTCTATTTTGCCGGAGCAAAATCGATGGTGACACGCGACGCTTGAGAATGGTAGTCGATTTAACCAAGTTAGATAAACGGGATAAGAATGGTCTGGATGATGGATGCGGATGGGATCTTGATACAATGATAGTGAGGGTTTATCAAGCAAACAGAAAGAGAGAGAGAAAATCAAAAGAAAAAAGATAAGATTGAAGACAAAAATATATGGTTTTCCATGGATGAAACAATAGTCATCCTACTGATGCATGAATTCATAGATCGAAGCAAGTCTGCTTATGTATTATTCGATTCATTGAAAATTGAAAGAGAATGAAAGGTATAAATGACAGTATAACTGACAGAAAACCCAAATTAAAGGATGCTACAGAAGAACGCCAGTCGTATCATCAACCACTTTTCTTCAAAAAGAGCTCTACTCACATTTTTATTTGAAAGACGACGATGCTCTGTTTGACCAAAGCTGGCGCAAACGGTACCTTGCTGCTGATTGTTTCGTCTAATATCGTGAAAGTGGGCAGCGAGGCATGGTTGGAAGATAAAAAAAAAAGGTTTAACAGGTCCTGATAACTTGGTGTAGATCTTGTGATTTACAAATCGCTAATTTCCCAAACATTTTAATAAAGTTGAGATTGTTTAGATTATTCGTCTTATCCAATACAGGCAAATTCACAAATGATAAATTATTTTACCTGTCGTGCAAGGTTTTTGGTATTTGCGTAATTTTTATTGACGGAGCAATATGACAACCTCTTGGATAGAAATTAGTATAAGCCACGCTTAACTACTAAGGTAGAGTCGTTGTGATGGCATGATAGACCGCGTTGTGCCACGCGTGAATCTGTGAAGCTGATATCTATAGTTACTTACGAGGTATACCACAGGCAAATCAAAGCCCGAATTTGAATTCCATGGAATCATGTGGAGATGGGTACGGTATTAGTACGCTGTCATCAGAAAAGTAATTTACATTACTAGGCAGACAGTAACGGTGAGACAACTTGACAGTATTGATGTTGAAGGAAGCTGATGTTAATCAGAAAAATTGTAAATTATTCTCCCTTTCGCGCCTTTTTTGACCTTTGAATACTACATATTCGGACCCTTATAAAGCACATGCGCAAGTGGATGGATGTAGGATGTTTGGTGGGGAGGGAGCGTCAAGGAAATGATGAAAAATGCAAGATCTGGGGCGGAGCCACGCTGTATTTGTTTCCATTGCCTATTTTGTCATCGAGGCTACACAAAACTGGAAAACTCAAAAAAGTGGATCTGTTTGTTACTATCACAAGCTCATCAGTTTCCTTTTTCTGCGACCAATAGTGGATGTTGTTTATCGCCCGTGGAAGGTACAAACCGTGAACGGTGATACTGAATTGTTCCATTGTCTACGCATTAATTCAAAGAGCTTATAAAACACTTTTTGGCCACCCAGATGATGATTCATATATCTGAGGAAAAACAGGCCGACTATCTTGGAGAACAAAGAACTGTGTGTGTGTCGGGAACCGTGCCAACGGTGGGCTAATTTGGGAATTTTTTCCGACCAAACTTTTGGCAAGGTTCATTTCGAAAGATCATTAGCTTTTTCCTTTTATCTTTCTTTTGTTTCAATCGTCATGAATCACCTCCGGAAAGCGTTTTCAAAGAAGCAGGGAGATGGTCCAAAAAAGAAAAACCGGTATTCCCTTATAAGCTTCTCTAAATTCGGTTCTTCGTCCAGCGACAGCAGCATTGCCTTTGATGTTCAGTCTCAGCCTCGATCCAACCGCCACAGTTGCATGACCATCTTACCGAGCTCGCTTTCGCCGTCCGGCGTGAAGAGTGTATCGAGTCGAACCGAAGTGGCCTCTGAAATATCGCACAAAGACGGTTTGTCTGATCTGGCGCCTCCCAAAGACCACGACATTGTCTCTTCAGAAAACTATCTGCAACTGGGAATGCAGTATCATGAACGAGGTGAATTGGAGAAAGCCACTCAGTATTGGCGGCTAGCTGCCAAAGAAGAGCAACCTTTAGGTCTGTTCTTTTACGGTATCGCTTTACGGCACGGCTGGGTAAGATTGGAATAGCAACCACTGGCTAGGACATCGATCCATATTTACACTTTTTTTTTTCGCAAAAGGGTTGTCAAAAAGATCCCGCTGTTGCGGTGCAGTACTTGCAGAAAGCGGCCGAGTGTGCGGTGTACGATCTTCAGACCGGCATCTCCACCGCAGCTCTTGTGGCCAAATCTGAGCTTGTGTTGGCGATTCATGAACTCGGCGTTTGTTTCCGTCATGGATGGGGCGTAAGTGTTTCGTCGTTTTGGAACACGTAGGTTTCAGCTCGTGTAAATAACCTTCTTGTCATCCCCAGGTTCCGAAAAATGTCGTTAGTGCAGCGTATTACTTTGAAATTGCCGCGAATCTGGGTGATCCCGATGCGCAGAACGAGTTGGCTTTCTGTTACGCTCATGGTCAAGGTGTGAAAAAGGATGTCTTCAAGGCCGCCAAATACTATCGCATGGCCCATCGCCAGGGTCAAGGATTGGTGGGTAACTCTTGGATATGGAAGGAGAAGTACGATGTCGTGGATGACTGAAATGCTTCACCTTCTCCCGCGGATTTTCCACTTTCCTGTTTTGGCCGGTCCAATAATCTGTCGCAATTATGTAAATATCATTGTATTGGAAACTTATCTCTTTGTATTCTATATATCTCCCAACATTCCTATCTTTCAAGTACAGTACATAAAACCATCATATATGCAAGAATCGTGTCAGAGCCTTTATATGTTATTCCCTCAGTTGGCGAAGCAACGACAGAACAGCTTGATTTTCCCAATATCTATGTTGATTGTTACCCACATTTGTTAAAATAATTGTCGTGTGTGAATCCAGTCATGCTATGGGATAACGGGTTAATGGCATACGTTGAGGGCGCCTACGATTAGCAACATAAACTTAGCAACCCAAGCATGCAGCTTCACCGGGAGGAACTGTTGCTAGGTGGGATGAGTCGACCCACGAACGCCGTAAAGGCAGTATCAATTTTGTCAAAAATGTCGCTCAGCGATCCGTCTTCCGTGAGGTCACCTTCGATTTGCGACTATACCATCAATATAATACTTTATCGTGGATAAAATCCAGATTAAGCTTGGTCGGCCTTTTTTCAATTATCATTGATAGATATGATGCACGAAGCAACCTTTTTCTATCGCGGATCAAGGAAAAAGTAGAGAAAGAATGTGTAAGCATCCAACGGAGCAGGATACGTATCACCCATTGGGATAAGTAAAATACCAATTTGGATTCTGGACATGGAGATAAACAGAGAGACCCGCTAAACGTAATATAATTGTTTCCAACACCAATTCGATGATTTATCGTTGCCAGGACCAGTGATCTTCGTTTTGATCGGTGTCTCGCATTGAAAGTATACAATAATCACTCAACGGATAAGGGGAACCAAAAAAAGCGAAAGAACAGTGGATGGCAGAAATTATTTTCTCATAGTGCTACGTATTGGTGTTAGATTTTTATTTCATTTCATTTAGGCTGTGGATACAATTGCGTGTCCGTCATGGTCCGCGTGCGGCGGGTGCTCGATATGGTTAGCAAGGAAAAAGAAATTCAGATCGCCCTTAGCTCATCTTCATTATTTAAATAAGACACCGCGGGAGACCCAGAGTCAATTTCCCCACTTGAATATTCACTGCACAATGAAGCTTTCTACTATCCTTATCTGCGCTGCTACCATCTTCTCCGTACACGCTGCGTCGCTGAACGAAAGACATAAAGATATTGGATGCAAATGCATCATGACAGCCCCCTCAAAGAATAACACCGATACCACTTTCTGCTTATGTTACAATCACAAAGATGGCGTGAAAAATGACACTCCTGCTTGTCAATCGTTGCTAGGTTCGTTAACAAGAGAATTGTACGTCAACAGGGATCAATTCATTCATACAACCTGATGCTTTTAGATGATGTTTTCGAATACTGTACGCGTCATAACAGGAAAACATCCGAATGGGATAACTGCGTCAAGCAGCATTGCCCTTGCAACGAACCTCTTACGGACAAGTTACACCGACTATTCTAATAGTTAGGAAACAAGGACAAAGTAACGGTTGAGAATTAACACAAGTCCCCTTGTTAATTTAAAAAAGTGACGGAAAACCATGGAATCGAAGTTTAATAAAAAAATTTCAGCAGCCGAACGATCCGTATAACACTGTATATTTAGTCACGATGTCCCCAGAATTAATAACAGCATTCAGAGTTTCCCTCGTGTATCAAAAAATCGATCCAGTCTCTGTTGGTTTGTTTCCCTATTATCTCGTCTATACACACAAAGTACAAAATAGTTCATGCACGAAAGAATGTGCCATCATCATAAATAATAACAAATTATTATCGGGTAAAATGTTCAAGATGATCCAGATGCTTTAGATGCTTGCGGTTTCTCATTCTCTTTGTGGGAGGACGAAGAGGACGGTGAGGAAGGTTGCATAGGAATATCGGCAGGTGAGACATCCGGTCTCACGCGTTGATACACAGTGCCGATGATCTTGAGAGCCTGCGCTCGTCTCTTTTTTGTATCCTTGTCTGCCAAAGGATCGTTCAGGACACTGTCGCATACGTCGCGAAGCACACTTTCCACTTCCAATTTCGATCCACGCCAGATCGCTTGTAAGCCCTAAAAAACAGTCAATGCAAACGGTGTAAATTTTCTCTCTCCATCGCGCATCAACCTGCCGACTCAAACGAGTGCTTTACCTTTTCCGCTGCCAATTCCTCGAGTTTCTTCTTCTCTTCTTCAGTTAAACCTTTTTCATCCGCTTCTTGCAATTGGCTAAAACTGGATTGTAAATCCAGGGCGGTGCGCAAGGTACCGACGGTTTCGCTAAAGATGTAGCCCTTTTCCTTCATGCTGTGGAACATGCCACCCAGACCAAAAGCCACGCTCTTGCCCAGATACTGATTGGCTTTGGCGGTATATGTGTAGCCGATTGCATGCAAAAGTTCGACACCGTAGTTTTCATGCTTGAGATCTTCGGCTTCGATTTGAATGATATTTGTAAAGGCCGCAACCGACGTGGGTGAAGTATCGGGCAGTTCGGTATATAGACTCAGTTTGTTGACGAGTTTACCGCTCAATACTTCCACACGCTTGGCCCGCGTTTCTGCCCGTTCCTTTTCGGCTTGCTCTTTGACTGCGTTCTTCTCGGCTTTTTGTTCCGGCGTTAATGCTGCATCCGCTTGTTCTTCATCGGCTGTCTCCATCGCTTCGCGCATATCACGTCCAATGGAAATCTCGCCGATGATATCCACAAATCGATCACCACCAAACGATTGTCGGAAAAACTCCTCAGGGTCCACTAACCATCGCAAACTCAAACTGTCAAGCCATCACAATTCCATATCAACCGATTTCCCCGGCTCTTTTAATTTTTTGCTTACCAAAGCCTCCATTCGGCTCCTCTTCACCGTATTCGTTGTATCGTTTTCTGAGAGTTGGATCTGAAAGGACCTGATATGCTTCGGATATTTTTTTAAACTACGTTGGGGCTCCCCAAGTTAGACTTGATTCATTCTCGATCAACGGATTCTCTGTTAATTTGTTGTCTTTTTTTCTTCTTCTTTACTTTACCTTGTCCTCAGCGGTTGGATCATCTCTATTTTTGTCAGGGTGATATTTGATGGCCATTTTTCGGTACGCTTTTTTAATTTCATCTTGTGTTGCCGTAGAACTCACGCCAAGCAAATCGTAATATTCGGTCGAAGCCGGCTTCTCGTCTGAGAGACAAAATACAAATATTATCAGTCTTGTTATGTTTTTCTAACGAATGCTACCACTATTATGAGTTAGACATTTGAATTCTTTACCTGTTCCTTTTCTCCGTGATTTCGTCTTGGGGGAATTGCCTTTAATTCCTGTACCGGCAGCATCGAGTTCGTAACTCACAACTTTGCCGCAAGCCCAACACTGAACGTCCACTTTCTGGCCTTTCAGACCGGATTCAGGCAGAAACTCGAGCGGGGTAATGCACTCTTTGCAGGTGGTTTTGATATAGGGTTCTGGTTTTCGAGATTGGTAGACCATGGCGATAGAAGCTGAAACGACCTACTCCGCTTGGCGGAGCCCAGTTTCTATCTCTGCCACCTGATTGTCCAAGCCCTTTGAACACACTCGAGGAAAACACGTCACACAATTTCCTCTGGTTTCTTCCTGCTTGCATTCATTTTTGGGAATTTCGATTCCCATTTTCAAGTTCTCTCTCTCAACCTGTGTTGACAATGGTGAAAGGAAAAAAGCAGCAAGCAAAGACAACTTCATCCAAAGTGGTGAAACCATTGGATGAATTTCTTGGATTTAAAGTACTTCCTGTGCTTGTGAAAGAAAATTGTCGACATTACATGTACATGAAGCAACATATTGCCCGATCATCCGCCAGTGATCTCCCCGAAGATCAGACGCTCTTCCTCGTTAACTTGCCAGCAGATACCACCGACCAGCATCTGAAGCATTTCTTTGCTCCCAGCAAAATCGCACACATCTATTATCAAGGTTCACTAAGCTCAGCACAGATTGAAGGACAGGAACCTATCCCGGCTACACATCACACAAAGCAACCTAGAGGAAAGAAGCGAAAAGCATTAGAAGCAGCGATCGTGAATGCCAAGCCCACAGAATTAAGGCATCTGTTTTCTGGAGGCAAGTCCGCACACATCGTATTTGAATCAGCACGTGATTTGAACCGAGTATTGGAGTTCACCCGCATTGATCGAAAATGGACGTTGGGTGAAGAAAAGGATACCGTGCAACCCTTGGGATTCCAACGTAAGTGAGACTGGATTTTACAAGATTAGTGACACATTGACCTTGTTTTCGTACGAGTATTTATGCCAATATTGGTAGGCTATGTCCTTGCATTTGAACTTTCGCGACCGGATCACGAGTCACTTCAGCAAAATGTGGATTCGTTTATGATGAAGTTCAAAGCAAATGAATATCAGAAAGAACGTGAAGCTTTGGAACGCATGAATAAGATGGATGAAGACGGTTTTGTTGTTGTAACACGACACAAGAAGGTCAAGACGAGCGATGGCACCGTGAATGTGTTAGCAGGAGCCGCCGAGCCAATCATTGATCCCAGAAAAGTAAACAAGAAGAAAGAACTCGTCGACTTTTATCGGTTCCAACTTCGAGAAAAGAAACAGAGTGGTAAGCATCGATGATATGAAAAAGGAGTTCTGTCATACACAAGAGTCTAATGGTTGTCAAACGCTAGAATTGCTTGATCTGCGGCGACGTTTCGAGGAGGACAAGGCAAAAATTGCTCAATTGAAGCAGTCAAGGAAGTTTAAGCCTTTTTAGATGGGGTTTAAGAACAAATGAATGGAAAGCAAGAAGAGAATTACATTACCAAAAAAAAAAAAAAAAAAAAAAAATAAAGGAGTCGGAGAAAGGGGTTGACCCTTACTTGCCACTCACATATAGCGCCCGCGCAATGCAGAGTCTAATGGACAGTCTCAGCATATATTCTGTCGCTCATTCTTTTTTTTCCATCGTATACATATATCATTCATTTGGTATTTCATCGTTGCTGTCGTGTGATCTCTCTCACATTCACCTTTTCCACCACTCGCCTTTTTTTTTTGTCCCTTTTCCCCGCCTTGGTTGGGTTCTTCGTTGGTAAGTGCCACTTGTTTGCCAACTCGTCATTCCTTCTTCATTTCCAAACGACCTGTCATTGTGAAAACTGAACGTCAAACAAGATCCTGTTTTCATTGGTCAAAGTCGTCTCTGAAATTTTCAAACTGAAGAACTGATAAATAGGAGGGCTCGATCATCAGTTGGAAGAAAAGAGGAAACAAACCACCATAAAAAAATAACACTTGCAGGATCTTTCTTTTTTTTTTTTTTTTTATTTATTTGTTTCGTGTTACGGTCGATCTCCTTTTTATTTCCTTATTTCTTTTTTGCATCTTGTATTATAATCATGGAAGGCCCACGTTCAGCTACCGTTGCGTCTGAATGTTCTGCATTTAGTTGCATTTCCAGTGATGATCGATCGTATTCTCTATCATCAACAGGTTATACAACGCCCGTATCCACCTCAATGCTGAGTTCTCCTGAAGATGACGAGCCATTAGAAGCAGAGACTCAACGACGACGCAAGCAATCCATTCGCCGACTTCATGCCATTCACGAATTATTGCAAACCGAACGTGATTATGTGGAAGATCTGCATCATCTAGTCAAGGTAATATTTCTCGTGATATCTGCATGAAAACCTTTTTTTTTTTTTTTTGCAACTTGGTGTGGTATGGGTAAAGAGAGAGAGAAAGAGGAAGATATTGGTTTTCGATCCGACGCAAGAAAAAAAAAAGTAACATGACCTCTATTTCATGTGGTTTAGATATGCTTTCAACAGGCACTGGCTCGCCAAGAGTGGATTCCCAAATCCAATAAGCAAATGATTATGCGAAACGCCGATGCCATTCTTGCATTTCATCAACAGTTCCTTGCAGATTTGGAATACACTCTCTCAAATGACACTGGAAATTGTGTCATCACCATCGCCAACTTATTCCTTCATTTGGTACATTGCATTAACTTGCATGTGTAACATTCCTTTTGGGCTTACCATCATTGCTAATAGAATCAGTGCTTCCTTCTCTATACATCTTATTGTGACAGACACACAGACGCACTGGATTTGTGTATCGAGTACCGGAGCAAGCCCGAATGGACTTTGTTTCTAAAAGAATGCGCGGCAGTTGACCCCATGCAGTCGCCTTCCAACCCATCTGTAGCCAACAAACGCCTTCATTTTGAAGATTATCTCATCAAGGTAGCTCAATATTGGGATCATTCAACTTATGGTTTTTTTTAGCTTGTCACTGATGCATTTTGTACCATTTTGGATGTTTTCCTTGTGATCGCAGCCTGTGCAAAGAATATGCCGTTATCCCTTGCTTTTTAGGGAAATCTTGCGGAATACTCCTTCGGAAACAGAGGAACATATTCTCCTTCGAGAAGTCTTACGAAAAATGCAGGCCATTTTGACGGATATCGACCAACAGAAATACCAACGTGATATTCGTAAACGAACGGAATTGTTCATTGAACGGCTCGAGGAAGACTGGAGGATGAAGAAGCGTCACTTGAGCCGGCTCGGCAACCTAGAAATTGCCGGTGCACTTGATGTCACATTGGCTGCCCCAGGTCAGACCACCACTCGGCCACGGTATTTGGGATGTTTTGTATTCCCCACCTATATCATCTTCGCAAGAGCCAAGAAAGTGACCTCGTACGTTCCTAAGCATTGGTTTCCTCTCAAGCTCGTCGAAGTCCAAGAACTGCCCGACCGACATGGTAAGAATAAACAAACATGCCAAGAATATAACGAGAAAAAATGGGTCTACAGGTTTCCCGTGATGAAAAATATTTATATTGAACCATGCCCCATGCTAGGCAAAACCGAAAATACCTTTATCATCCGATGCCGACAGTATGTGTTTACATTGACGGCCAGTTGTCTCCAGGAGAAACATCTGTGGGTCAACAAGTTGGTGTCCCTTGTCGAAGGTGCCAAAACCAAATCCAATGTCGACGGTCACGGTCCCGAAGAATTTTTGGTCACATCGCTTGCTGGCGTTAATTTACCTGCAAATACCCATCGACAACCGATTCGCCTATCCCACTCCGTCACCAATTTGTTTGAGTTGAGTAAACCGTGTCCATCATTCACGACAGCCAGTTTATCTCCCTACGAAAACGGCTCGATGCGTCGATCATTGTCCGTCAGCTTGAGCCTGCACCTCGCCAAAGACACTGACAACGACAACGACAACGAGGTGATGCCCCCGTTGCCTATCAACACCATGCAATTGATCCAGCGCTATTCCACCGATGAAGCGAGCCAGAAAAAGTGCCAAGAACTGAAAAACCGCAACAATTCCGAAACATATACAAAGCCGTCCCTTGAATCGTTTGGGGTGGCGAATATGCGAAAACGACCGAGTTCTCTGGATCTACTTTCCTCATCGCATTACTCACCGGGTATGCTGGGTAAGATACGCAACAATCATCAGAACACTATACGTATATCCACCGATCACAAGTTTCGCGACGTATGTACTCAAGAGTACTTGTCATCACGAGCGTGGTACATGCGTGACAAGGAACTGACGGACCTCCGCCGACGCCCGTCTACCCCAATGTTTATGCGATCGTCGATCTCCAGTTTCACCATCAAACGTGGCCATGACAGCCATGTTTCATGTCGCGATTCAGTCGATTCACGACGTCCCTCCATTTCCATTAGCAGTATTGATACTGTTAGCAGTCGACACGAGGACAGCATCCATGAAAGGCGAAGACGATCGCTCACCTCGAGCCCCAAGCGTGCCAGCGAGCTGTCACAACTGGAAGGATTGGATGAAGAAATATTTGCTGATGACCTGGAGATCGATTATTTGCCGCCTCCATGTGCTAATCACACTCAACGAAGCCGACCGAATTCAATGATACTGGATGGACGGTTCAAACGGATGCCTGACATGACTCTTGCGAGACCAGAAAATAACCAAGTCAATGATTCCATGTCTCTCAGTGCTACAGTAAGTGCCCCCCCCCCCTACACCACGAATGCGTACCGTGTACGCATATCATTGGGCCTCTTGCTGATTCCTGTTTCTGTTAAAAGACTGGGAGTGATCAGTGGGATCGTATATCATTTGTAGCACCGTCGGTGAGCCAGCATGACGGTGACGGGGGAAAACGACGTGTCTCTGTTGCGAAAGAAAAACAGCGGCACCCCGTTAAAATCAAAAGTCCGCTCACCTATTGGATAAAAGGGATCGATACATCTGCGGCAAAGATGTCCAAATCTCGACCACGTTCAGAAACTCTCCCCAGCACTCGACTGACAGCGTTCTCCTTCCGTTCGACGCCACCCTCCTCCACCGAAAAGAAGGGCTGGAAAAAGAGAATCATGCTAAAACTACGAAAACCCAATGATACAATGATTCCGTCAGAAGAACATGTGTAATAAAATGAATCATTTCTAAAATAAAGAAAAAAAAAATAAAGAAAAGAATGCTGATAAGAAAGAGAATAATCAAAAAGAGAAAGAAAAAAAAAAGAAGAAAAAAAATGGTGGCTCCTTGCTGATGGCTGACCAATAAGGGAGTGCAAACGTCCCACTGTTGCTTTTCAGTGACGGACCACATGGTGGTTTTAGGACTCAGCAGCAGACGAGCGACAACCCCCTTAACCGTATTCTTTTCGCTTCTCGCCATGTTTCGGCAGCAATTACACACAATCTCCAAGTTGACAACCTCCACGTTAAAGTATGCTTCCAATACCGTCACCTTCTTTTCATTATCAGCTGCCGATGATCCCACCATTCCTTCTTCGCAGCTCATTGAATTCTGGATAGCTGAAACACAACGAGGTTTGGTAAGCCTTCTACCCGTTTTCCGAAAAAAAAAAAAAACAGGACGTCATATATTTAGGGTGGCTGTGAATATTGATGGTAGTTTGGACTCGTAGGATGCGTTTTTTGACGATCAATTTGATATTGCTCAATCCATTTTTATGCAACACGCTTCAGAATCGCCGTTTCATGCAGTAGGCTGTGCATTAATGGCTTACGTGGAGGCCATGCTTGGGTTTGAAGCCGAAAAGATCCAGTACGCATTGGACAGAATTGCGGCCGCCGAGAGTTTAGCGCGCCAATTCGCCAAAAAGAGCCGTCAGCGGCATAAGACCAGCGACACCGATACCCTTTCTTCGTCCACACATCAAACGGATAGTGATGCTGAAACCGATCCAGGCACTGTTTCAATTTCATTTGGATCAGAAACCAAGGAAGTAACCGATAAGAGCCATAAGAAGCGATCGCATCATCGTTCACCCGGAAGCATCCACTATGATTTGTTGGAAACCAACTGTATGTTGATGTCAGCTACCATTCAATTTCTTCGCAATAGCTGGATCGAATACATGAAGGCCGCCTACAAATTACGAAAAGCGTATAAAATGTACGAGCAGATGTTTGAAGTACTTACGGGCCATAAAACCAGCGATTACGCGGCCAGTCTACGAAAAGCGAAACGACGACAAAGCACCACCACGGACGCCGAAGAAGTATCGCCCAACCCCGCGAGTCCGTCTGAAAACTCGGATAAATTCTCCACGTGTGGTCGTTCGTCGTGGACGGACCATAAACGGTTCAGTATGTCCAGGCTCGGACATGGTTCGCGAGCGAGCCATGACTCAATTCTGTCATCCTCGGTACCTTCGTCCCCCGGCAACTATATGCGTCAACTTCATCAACAGACCCTCAATCAAAAACGACGATCCATGACCACCTTGGAACTGAATGGATCAAGTCATGCACGCGATGAAAGCATTATCATTGAAGATAATACGATCGAAAGCGGGATATTCTTTGGGATCGGCTTATTTAGTCTCATATTTTCACTTTTGCCGCCCAAAGGTAAAAAATGATTGTTTTTCTGTCGTCAAAATGACCGCAAAAATTAGTTCCTTTCAAAGAAAACAGCTCCTTTACTTACTCGTTTATGCTAGTGAACAAGATCTTAAACACATTGGGATTCCATTCATCAAGGCCTTTCGCATTACATTTATTACAAAAATCGTACACCAGCCAAGGACTGTATTCCTGTTTAAGCGTGCTCACCCTGCTTGCCTATTACACTAATCTCTCTTTATTCATCCATCCCCAACTTTTACCCAGTTCACTCAGTCTCGCCAGCGCACGTGCAATGTTGGACCAAATGAAGGCAAGGTTTCCCAGTGGCAAAATATGGAAACTATTGGAGGGAAAATTATGCAAGATGGAGGGAAATACGCGCAGAGGGGTAGAAATCTTACGCGATGCAAGACGTCGTGACGGCATACGGAGGGATCTACCCAACGGCATCGCATATACAGGTTCGGATTATACTGCAGGCACCGAACCAAGACATCGAAAAGAATCCATGGTCAGCGAATTGGCTCAATTGCAAGCACTCGCCGTCTACGAAATGGGCTGGTAAGTTTAATAATACCACATTACAACGAGGCCAAAGCTCATGATGCGTCATGAAAAAAAATTGTCAGGGGGCAAATTTTCTTGGGTGAATATTTCCAGGCTTCCGAGACATTTTTCCGACTAGAAAGCATGAATAACTGGTCCCGCGCATTCTACCACTACATTGCCACTTGTTGCATGTTTGGCGACGGCGATTTTGATGAAGCGGCTGCCGAATTCTTGCAGATCCCTCGTATTCTGGAGCGTAAACGGCAGCTCGGTGGACGATTGCTGCCCAATGAAATATTTGCCGAACGCAAAATCGCTTCTTGGAGGCAGAAATCTCAAAATATCCTTGATGGCAGCACATTGCAGTCGGCGGTGGTAGTGAATCCGCTGTGGGAGCTCATCTATTTGTGGAACGGTATACCGCAGCTGGGCACCAGCATGCTAGACGATATGAGGCAACAATTACTGGAACGGTTAAAATCAAGTCAAGGACCCTCGGACAAAGCCGAGCTTCAGCTCCTACTGGGAGTGGTGGTTCGTGAACAGGGCGATTATACCACATCAGAGCAATATCTCAAGAGCACCATTCAGATGGAAGAAAAAATCGTGCATGACCGCTGGGTTATCCCGTACGCAATGTATGAACTGGCCGCCTTGCGATGTTTTCATCTAAAAGATACGAACCACCATGCTTCGATTGCAAAGGAAGCACGAGACTGGATAAGACGGTCCGAGCAATTTTTCCACCAACATCAACACTCCTCGTCAGCGTTCAGCCACGGAACAGAGACAGTAGAACATGGAGATTCTGATTGGGAAAGCCGGTTACACGTACGCTGTCAGTTATTGCTGGAAAAGTTGGATGATGTTGCCCCAGCTTGATCCAATTATCTTCAAGTCCTCTTATTTTCAGAAAATAAAACATCTAAAAAAAACGGACGGTATTGCTCCATTATCATTGGTCATTTCCTTTTGATACTCCGCCGTCCATATATAAAGTGTTGTTGGGAGCGTCTCAAATTTCCACACACTTCTGTCACCGGTTCTTTTCTTACCCTCTCTCTGTTTTTTCTTATTTCTTTGATTTGTGTCATTATGGGTAAAGATGGATTCATGACTCCCAAGGCTATTGCCAATCGCATCAAGGCCAAGGGCTTGATGAAGCTCAAGTTCTACTGTCAGATTTGTCAAAAGTCCTGTCGTGATGAAAACGGATTCAAATGCCATACCATGTCCGAGTCACATCAGCGCCAAATGCTCCTTGTCGCTCAAAGTCCTGGAAAATTCATTCACAGTTTTTCAGATCAGTTCAAAAATGAGTTTGTCAGTATTCTTTCTCGTCGTCACGGTACCAAACGTGTTTTTGCCAACCAAGTATATCAGGAATACATTGCCGATCGTCACCATTTACATATGAATGCTACCCGTTGGAACTCATTGTCCGAATTCGTGAAACATTTGGGCCGAGAAGGCATTTGCCATGTGGATGAAACTGAACGAGGATGGTATATTACTTGGATCGACAATAGCCCAAAGGCTTTAGCGAGACAGGTAAGTTGCATGAAAGGAGAAGACAAAAACAGTTTAATGCGGGATGACTAATGCATTCCTGAACATTGATATCGTAGGCTGCTATTCAAAAGATGGATCGTATGCAAAAGGACGACGAGGAACGAGAACAGCAGTTACTGAACGAGCAAATTGAAAAGGCGAAAAAGTCGGCTGAGGAACGAGGGGAAATGGAGACACAGCAAGCTACGGAATTGAAACGAGACGAAGCAGCGCCCATCAAATTGAGCTTGTCATTGAAGCCAGCGGCCGCCCCGGCTGCCACAGAGGCACCCAAGGCAATGAACGGCAATAAAATGAAGATGATGATGAAAAAGCCGGGTGGATTATCAGCGCTGGCGAAAAAGTCGGCCTTTGGAACCTCTGGGGCCTCTGGGGCCTCTGAGAGTAGTACGCCTCATCGAAGCAATATCATGATCGGTACCGGATTGGGCAAACGCAAATCAAGTGAAGGCAGTGAAGAAGAATCCTCTTCAAAGAAAAACAAAACCATACCAGCTTAAAGTCTAACTTTTAATGTACATATCATTCTAGAGCAATTTCAATAAATATCATTCTTCGTTTTTTTCTATCTTGACAGGAGAATGCTTGACGCTACCGCAGCAGCCTATATACGATTACCCTGTTCAGCATGTCCTTACTTGTCAATGAAAGAGAAGGGATTGATAAGATCACCGTGGATTACTGTGAAGCAGTCAATGCCGATCAGTGTCACATGTGCTGCCAGAGGGGGAAAAAAAGAGAGAAAAAAAGTTTCCGCTTTTTTATAACAAATGGTACAGCTTTGACACATGCATACAGGAAATCATGGGGGGGGGGGAGGGGCATTTATTGGTTGGCACTGGGAGTGGATGTCGGGGTGGGTGAGGTTTGAGTTGAGGGGGACGGTTCGACGGGAGAAGACGATGCTTTAGTTTGAGCTTGAGCTTGCAAGGTGGCTTGAATAGGGGATGAATTAGAAGGAGGATTAGCGCCGTGAGCCCGTAATGCCGATTGAAGGGTGGCGGAAAGTTGACTGGCCAATTGAGGCGGTAACTGAGCAATGGCTTGAGGAAGAAGTTGAGCAATGGAGGCTGGAAGAGGGTAACGAACAGGATCGAGCAGATGTTGGCGAATTGTATTCTGCAACTGCAATTGAAGCTGCGCTTGTATATTTTGAGTATTAGCAGCGGCCGGTGGCGCAGCCGGGGAAGATGATGGAGCAGGAGTGGTGACAGGAGCGGCAGTCGATGGAGCAGAAACTGAAGGTTGTGAAGAGACGGCCGCGGCACCAGAGTCAGTTGTTGCTGCTGCTGTTGCTGTTGCAGTTGTTGTTGTTGCTGCTGGTGCTGGTGGCGCTGTTACGGTGGCGGATGATGTGGTTGGTATAAGTTTGGTAGACTTGGACGCTTCGGGACTGGTTGCCACATTGCTATCGATTGCCACAGCAGATGTGGTCTCGCCCACCGTGGTGGCGGGTTGACTTGATCTTGCTGAATCGAGCGTACTGATATCGTCATCACTGTCAGATCCCTCTTTTTTAATTCGTTTGCGCATGTCGGCCACGGGACTGGTGCTGACCGAGTTGTTGCCACTGGGCCCTTTACTGGCGGTTCGCTTATTTCTCTTGTAGATCCCATTGGTAAACTGATTCTCGGCCGTGGAATCGATGGTCCAAAAAGCGCCTTTTCCAGGTTCAGCATCGCCTCGTGGTACTTTGACAAAAGCTTTGTTCAAGGATAAATTATGACGAATCGAGTTCTTAAAAAAAAAATGGAGCACAATCATCAGTAAGCTTTTCTTTGTTGTCTGATATTCCGGATCCTCTTCGTTATGGGATCCTCGATGAAGAGCTTTACCTGCCAGCCATTCTGAGCCATTTGATAATAGGGATAATGCGTGGTAATGTAAGTATAGATGCCATTCAATGTCATGCGCTTATCGTTGGTAGAATTGATGGCTTGCGCGATGAGAGATGCGTAAGAGTAGGGCGGTTTAACGTCTTTGCTTCCATATTGATTGGGTTCCGGTGAGTCATTTCGATCCTCGGAACCAAAAATTTCTTCTTTGGAAATACTTTCTCGAGCTTCTTCTTTTTTCTGGTTTTGCAGAGATTGTTTCTCTAACTGATGTGGGGTAGAGATGTATCCAAAATTCTCATTTCGAGGTGACTCTTCCATATCCATCCGTGGTAGTAAGAAAACAAATGATACCTCACCGATCTGGATTTTGGTGCTGTAAAGGCGAATAAAAAAAAAATGAGTGGGAAAATTTTTTTTTTATTTGCTCATCATCCCCCCACCGTCGAGGCACCACCACCAGCAACCATCACCACCAAAGACTACCCAAATCTCGCCCAAAAGACAAAGAGAGATAAAAAGCTTACCGATTCTCGAGGGGAACTGTCACTCCTCTTTCCACAAACTGTTCGTTGACGAAAGCTCCATTTTTGCCAAAAACCATCATCTCGAAACGTTGGGTTGTAAAGTTGTAAAAAAGACGAGCATGCTGACGAGAAACTGATTTGGTATTCCCGAGTGGAATGTCGACATTATCTGGTTTGGCAGCCTTGCGTCCGAGAGTGACTTGCAAGGTGCGAATGTAGTAACAGAAATCCTCGCCTTCCAATTTGGCATAGGCTTGTACAGGTCCGGCATCGACCGAGGCGGCCGTGGGTTGATTGTCGTTGGACGAAGTGGAGTGAAGGGAAGAGCTATTATCAGTTGAAGTCACACTTGAAGAAGTGTTTATACTTGGACTAGCATTGAGCGATGTCATGAGAAAGCCAAGAAACCAAAAAAGACAAATTAGAGCGTAAAAATGTCGCTTTGGACAAGATGGCAAAAGGGAACCCAAAAAAAAAAAGAGTGGCGGACAATGGACTGACTGACTTGAATGACAGCAAAAGGGCAGAAAAGAGATTGGCAGAAGTAGAAAAAAAGGCTGCTAAAGAAGAACAAGAAGAAGAGGGTATTGCAATAGCGGTAACAGGGAAAAACCCACAAGCACTTTCTTTTTCCTCAACTATTAGCCCAACCAATGGAAAAAGTCCCAAAAAAAAAAGAAAAATGGAACTGGACGAGTGAAAACGAAAAAATAAACAAAAAAACATCGAAAAAAAGACACCGGAAAAAGTCCGACGCCACCGCCCCGAAGAGTGTGAAAAAAAAAAGGTTGAAATTTTCATATTATGGTTTTTTTTTTTCAAGGGAATAAGAATAAATTATAAAAAAAAAAAAGATGTTTACAATTTTGAGAGAAGACCTCTAGGTTGCATCTTCTCATAAGCCAACTTGGCCAAATAGTCTACAGGAGTGGGCACGAAATGGTCTTTCAAGTTGCGGATATCCACCATTTCAGGTTTGATGTCAGCCAAAGTGGGAGCGCCCATCAATCGCATACACATTTCCAATTCATTCTACGAATTTTCAAAGTCAGACTCATCTGTACCTTTTTTTTTTTTTTTTGTCTGTGTCTTATTTACCTGGAAAAGTTCAATAAGGCGCTCAACGCCAGCATCGCCATAAGCGGACATGGCGTACTAGAAAAGGGAAAAAAATGATCAGCATTTGTTTATATCACATTAGGTTCAAAAATGACTTACTAATGCAGGTCGACCAATACCGACACCCTTGGCACCGAGAGCCAGCGCCTTGAAAATGTCACTGCCACGCTTGATACCACCGTCAATATATACCTCGAAACCTTGATCTAAACCTTCCTTCTTCAACGCTTCCATCACTTCAGCAAGAATTTCAATGGACGAAGGTGCAAAGTCCAACTGGCGACCACCGTGGTTAGACAGGACAACACCTTGACAACCGCACTTGGCAGCAATCACTGCATCCTCAGCCGTCTGAATACCCTTGATAATAATAGGCATCTTTGTAATACTGCGGAACCACGGAATATCAGCCCAGCTAAGCGAAGGATCAATAAATGTGCTGATAGCGCGAGCAGCACCTTCGTTGCGAGGAATATCGCTATCCGACAACTCATCGGGAGCTTCTTGAGAATACTTTTGACGCATATCCTTTTCACGACGACCTGTACAATTGTCGTTGTTGGAAAATTAATAAAAACAGAAAACCCCAAAATTCGCCATCATGCGTCGTTCACACGGAACCAATCTGAACTTACCGAGTTGGGGAGCATCGGCGGTGATGAAAAGACCCTTCACACCTCGTGATTCGGCATAGGTGACAATTTTCTTGGTAACGTTGCGGTCCGAGTTGACATACAACTGAAGCCACTGGGTTTGATCGGGAAGCTTAGCATCCACAATTTCATCAAATGAGCAAGATGCAAGCGTAGGAATCATTTGGATGATGTTTTTCTTTCCTGCAGCGCGCGTCAACACTTTTTCACCGTCGGGATGACCGAGTTTTCCCAGAGCTGTAGCCGTGATGTACAAGGGCATGGACACACGAGTGCCGAGCATGGTGGTGGACATGTCCACCTTGGCCACATCCACCATGACACGAGGTCGCAACCAGATGCGATGGAAAGCATTGTGATTCTCACGAACCGAGATTTCGTCATCCGCACCTGAAGAGTAGTATGCCCATGCATCTCCACGAAGAACCTGCTTCGCTACGGCTAAAAAAAATTGGGAGTGGGGGGGAGGGTCGGTTAGAAAATAAAGTTTGTTTTTGGTTCCTTGGCTTGACACTGGAAAGTTTACATCCGCGTTTTACTCACTTTCAAAATCATACGTGTTGTACATTTCTTCCAACCGGGGCATATTTTCTCGTGCCAATCGGATACGTTTGTCCTCTTCGGTTTCAACCTTTTCAACGTTGGCCAACGCAGCTTCATCCACAGCGCCCATGCACACCTCCGGTGGAAGGTATTTGGCAATAATGTCGATAGGATGGATGGGATCAAATGCAGCAGTAGCATCTTGACCTGCATATCTCAAAATAATTTTTTGACCGCCGGGATGTTCGGGCAAGAATTGCGTAAGATCGTACACCTTTCCGTGGATAATGATCCAGATATCATCTACATCGAAAATACGTATCAGGCACACAGTTTTTTGAACCTTGTGTTTATTTCATGCACGGACCTTTGGTATTATGTTTAGCGACCTCTTCGAGCGAAAGAATCTTCATTGTGCCCAATTAATGATATGAAAATACAGAGGAGAGAGAGAAAAGAGTGGGGAAAAAAGAAAAAAGAAGCACTGAAGAGTGTGTGAGAAATTACGCTGGAGAAGAAAATTAAAGCTTTTGGCCTTGTGTGGCCCATTTAACTTTATAGGGAATTTTTCATCCAATAGAAAATGCGCAAACGCTGTGACTGCTTCATTCTTTATGGAAATGTTTGAGTTTTTTCTACCTTCAGATGCCGACCTGCCAGGAACGATAAACCCATAGATGGTGCTTTTTACGACTTTCGGCAGAAGATGGGGGGAAAAATATCCATCATCTCAAAATATAGGCGGCCTCCACCATTGTGAAGAGCCGCCATTGATCTGTCAGATTCCATAATTCAAAGTTGAAACACATTATTTCGTCTCCCCATCGAAAGATCGATTGCTTTGAACATTCAATATCCGTCCAATTCCCGTTCTTCATTTGACATGTTCCGTACAGTTTCAGGTCTCCAAACAAGTGGGGATCTACGAAAACGACCGCCTTTGTTTAACCTTATACCTCTTTAGGTAGGCTTTAACAGGAATTCGTCCTTGTTTTAAGCGATCCGCTGACACCTAATGCATTCACTAGATCAACCATCGTGTAACTATCGGCATGTCAAATTCGCCATGCCATCTTTGATAACAAGGTATCCGACCACCCACTGATAAGCATTGATCTCGTAATTATCACCATAAACAACATGCTCAAATCAAAACCTGCAAAAAAAAGGCCATAACAACTATGACTGAATCTGGCAAAAGGTGGTTTTCATATGCTTATGATGCAACAAGTTTGGAAGAGGATTGTTTTTATTCTCACTTGCATCGTCTTTATTAGATTGCTCCAATTTTCTCTTATCTGACGCGGCTTCCTTCCTTGCAGACGATGCACACAATCTTAAGGTTTTTTACTCTTTATGGTAACGCGTGTCACAAGACGCATAAGGTAACCGTTCCGGATAACATGTAGACTTGGCTTGACTTCATCCAGCATGGTTATGTTTCCTTATCCTTTCTGCACACTGTGCAGTTTATTACATCACTGGCATATGCAGATAGGTATAACAGCATAATGCAAATAACAATTACTCGGAAAACGTCTCGATTAAATTATGACGTATTTTATTTATTTTACATCATCCATGAAAGAACAGATGAAAGAAGTTGAAGGAGAAATTACACAGTATACATGTATGTTTTCTTGGTCATGCTGTAGTTATTTAATTCGATAGAAATGTGCTAAGTATACATGCTGCTTCAAGAAAAGGAAAGTTCTTGATTGAAAGGTGGCTATTTTTTCGGCATTATAAGCAATTTGGACATGTAGAAAGTCGGTGACGAGTGTCTGAGACTATATAGAAGAATGAGTGTACGGTAATGGAAAATGAATATTTTATCCAGGAACAGCCGAGAGAGTATGGAGTAGGTAAACGAATATAGCAATTACAACAGTTCAAAAAGTGAAGAGCTCAGGTCGTAATGAAAGAAAGCGTAACAAACTAAAGCCCAGTTTCCTTGAAGCATGCGAAACCGAACGATGATCGAATGAAGCGACGATAATGGATTCACTCCGCCAATATCAGCACGGCATTATTCCTTTATATCAAGGCTAACTTATACAGTATGCTAGTCCCCCTCTTTAAATTTCGCTACCATATTATATATAATATTGAAACTCGCTAAACGCGTCTTCCAGGCGGACCCACCAAAAACCCTTTTTCTGAATACATTTTCCTCTCATTGTGGGATTTCGAGTCCCGCCAAGGCCAAAAAATAAAATCAAAAACAAAAGGTGACTGGATTGCACAGAGTCGCGCCGTGGGTCGATCCGCCGATCGAGAACAACACCAAGTACGATTGCAGCTACCTTTGCTTACTTTGAAATATAGTCTTATAAAGGGCTATGATTGCCATACAGTATACGGTAAATCCGAGCTTTCGCGCCAGTATCCTGCGCTGCCTTTCCTCGCTCTTTCTCTTTTCACTTACTTCCCCTTCATATTATTGTAAATATTAGGTGCAATAGATGATTAGGACCACATTAATTTATTGCATTGGTCCTAAACAGTAATGATCGTTTGTACGTAAACAGCCATATCGCCCACATATATGTAGAAGCAAGACCAACAAGCGATTATGATGACGTTGACTTTATTGAGGCTCCTAATAAACTCTATACAGTATATATCTTTATATTGGTTTGCTACAGAGTTTTACCGGAACTCTGAAGACTTATCTTTACCCTTAGACTGTTGAAACATTTATTTTGTCGAATATGAATATCAAAGGTTGAAATGCTGCAAAAGGGTGGCTGCATAGCGAAAACCATAAGTTGAGAGTATAAGTTGCTTGAAAACGGTGCTATTTGGTCATCGATTTGTGGATATGTCTGGACAAATAATACCGCAAAGGTAGGCCAACGAAACATATAATTAGGCATGATCCGCTGTTTTTCTCCTTTTCACTTACAGTTAGTTACAACGGCTCGCTTACACAAGTTGAACTGCTCCTCATTTGTATGTACGATCAAAAATAACTCCTGCAATTACTGCGCACTTCAATTTGACACTATTGAAGCAATACTGTGTGATTCTCTTTGAAATTTTTACATAAGAATTTTTCATAGTTACACTGGAGGCTACACTTTGAATACAAAAAGATACTAGGATTATCTTTTATTGCTGGTGAGAATAAGAAATCATCTTTATTTTTCGATTACAATATTCAGATCCAAAAATGATAAATGTTTGATTGTGCATGATGTTTGAATAAATATAGTTCAATCTTATTCATATTGTCATTGTAGATGGATTGAGGACTTTACACAGTGTCCTACAGTACCCAATTTCTGGATTCTGGAAATACACCAATTTTTTTTATTTCCAGTTCGGCAAAAATCACGGAATGAATTGACTTTTTGTACTACACGGTCAATGAAAAGGCCCGCGATGAAAAAGATGCCCAACGACGCTTAAAACGTAGATACAAAAGTCTTTCATATATGTATTAACAGCTAGATTAATAATAATAAAGATAATAGTTTACAGTAAAAGTCGCAGCAGGCAATTTCTTGACTGGCTGGTCGATCCCTCCCCATGTCAAGGACCGAATTCGGCAATATGATACGACAGGATGAGAGGCCTTTTTCCCTCTCCGAAATAAAAAAAATTATAATTGATCGACAGAAATTGGCTGGCTCATTTCCCTATTCCTTCTTGGCCTTGTTGTTCTCAAAGAGTCCGGATGACGATATTGCAATCACTGCGAAGTAGGCTGGCTTTTCGCTTGACCCTCATTTTGCTCACGGTTGCCGCCTGCCTGTACATGATCATCGCGTTGGCCAGCTATCCCAACAGCAACCACCTTTTACAACAGAAAATCACCGTCGCCAATGATTGGTACTATGAGCGACCGGCCGTCATGCACCACCCGAACCCCCATTTGAAAGCAGCCATGGTCACATTTATCAAAAACGACCGTGGACAGCTCAACAACTTACGTTTTACAATGCGCAATCTGGAAGACAATTTCAATTTTGCTCACGGATATCCCTACGTTGTTTTCTCAAACGAAAATTTAAGCGACGAATTCAAAGAACTTTTAAATTCCATCACTCGCGGTCAAGTATTTTTCGAAACGTTGGACAAGCACATGTACGGCTACGCACCGAGTATCGATTTGATCAAAGCAGCCAAGGCTCGTAAAGACATGAAAAACGTCATGTTTGGTGATGATGAAGACTACCGCTTTCAATCGCGCTTTATGTCTGGCATGATCTTTAGGTAAAAAAGTCATGATCCTTATGACACACCATCGTCTCGTAAAAGAACAGTGGAGCTAAATACGGGTATCTATTTCAACTAGGCATCCCATCTTGAAAAATCTCGATTACTACTGGCGTATTGAAGCTGGTACCGAGTACGTCTGTCCTATTAATTTTGATCCGTTCCAGTACATGCAGGACCATGATAAAAAGCTATCCTTCTCAATGGCGCTTTACGAATACCACGAAACCATTCCCACTCTTTACGATACAGCCATGCAATTTGCTTCTGAACATGAAACGTGGATACAAAAGAATCAACCGGGGAGTCTGTGGAAGTTTATTCTCAACGAATCACAAGAATACAATCGATGTCACTTTTGGAGCAATTTCCAGGTAATGTTATCAAACTTTCATGCTCTTGGAAACCGACTAGTTTTTTTAATCTTCAGCATTGATTAGATCGCCGATCTCAAATTCTTTCAAAGTGAACAATATCAGGCTTTCTTTGATTATTTGGATAAAGCGGGTGGCTTCTTTTACGAACGATGGTATAGTTTTTTGGGATCGCGGCTAATTTTGTCAGGCAATCTTGTTAACATGGCAATTGCATGATAGGGGTGATCCTGTGATTCATTCGCTGGCAGCAGTCCTCTTTCTTGAAAAGGAGCAAGTGCATTTCTGGGATAATATCGGCTATCGCGTAGCGAATTCATTTACCCATTGTCCGACCAACCTTTCTCTCTATTCGCAGTGTTCTTGTCGTCCTCAACAAAATTTTGACAATGACGGCTACAGTTGTTTGCAATTCTTTCTCTCAGCATAGATCTCTCAAATGAAGGAAACAAAAAAAAAAGTACCAATGCCCTTTATAATACATTACTATTATTTATTTTTATTATATGAATCCCTTACCCCCCCTTTTTTTTCACCATGGGTTCAAGTCCTACAGCATCCAATAAATTACAGTCTCTCTTTTTCTTTCTTGCAGTAGTACGATCATGGGATTAATTCCAAGATGTAACCGTATATTTACATGAATTTGGAAAAAAGAATACAAAACATGATCTCGATTGCCCCTGTTGTATGATTAGGAGTGGTTGCCACGGTGTTGTTAATTAGAAGTGATTGCCACCGAGGTGCGTGTACCAGCTAGGGTGGATCCTCCTTTTTTATAAATTCCTGGGCTTCCAGAGTCCTTTATCTAATAGTTCCTCATCGGCACGCCGTGCTGCATCGAGTTCAATGTACTTTTGCGCCAGATGCTGTTCGTCGGCCGTGAATTCGCGAATCTTGTCCGTCTCCTTGATGCATGACGTTTCAAAATCCCAATCTTCGCCTTCGGCATAATGAGTAAATTTGAGATACCGATCCGGCCATTTGTTCTTGTCGCGCAAAAGCCCACCATTCCACCACAAAGGTTGACCATCGGTATCCAGATGCAATTGATTACCGCACACCCTGGAGGCATCGCCTCCGTCACCTAGTCCACCAATTACCGCTCCATAAGATTTGATGAAACTATAGGGACTCTGCACCATTTCATAACCTATCCAAAACGTCTAGTTTCACCCAAGTTCTTAGCATGATGAATCGCTATGGTTTCAAATGACAACAGTCTCACCTCTTTATCGCCATGAGAATGCTTATAAGACACTTTGGTCCGTTCCTCTCGATCGTTCATCTTACATGTGGACAGCAATCCAAGAAGCGACTTTTTCTTGTTGATCACCACGACACCCGATTCCTGCTCATGGGCCGAGGTCACTTTCCACCAACGGCTCTTTTCCACAAACGAACTTTTAGTAGGCAAAAAGGAACGGAGCCACGTATGGCCTACATCCCATCCAGGAAACAGCGTGCGATCGAGAAAGAATAGAGATCCCGTTTTGAGATACCCTTTGTCCTCGAAAAGAAGATCGGGCTTCTTGAAAAAGTACACATCGGCATCCACCAAAATGACCTCGGTAAAGCTGCTTGCAATGATACTGTAAGGTTTCAGGGACCAACCAGAGAACTGGGTATACCGATCATCTATCACATCCACAATTGGCCGCGTCCGAACATTGACAAATTCGGTCTCCAGGTACCGTCGTTTGGCTGGGGTCAAGTCGTTGTCTCGAATGTAAAAGATTTCGATGGGTAAATCGGACTTGAGCACTTGTCGGATGGTACGAACTGCCGTGGCAGCGTACTTGAATTGATAATTGCCAACACACATCACGATGCCTCTGCCAGCAGTGGCTTTGGTGATTTGAAAGCTGTTCTCCCAAGAAAGATGGAGCCACGGGTAAAGCGTCTTTTCCAGGTCCATCAACAATACCCAGGTGTCCCTGTATACGGGATCGATGGCCACGTCGATCCTACCGTCGGCCAGAATAGGATCAAAATACTGGAACAACGACTTGAACAATCGCTGCTGAAGAGTTAAAGTCTGAAAATCAGGCATTGTATCAGGCACCGTTAGTAATCGAGCGATCGATAATTGGCCTACGGCTGTTTGTAGCGCCTGCATATCATTTTCTGGGAAAATCCGGCCTCAAATAATTAGATGGCACGATCAATAAAAATGGATTGCCCTTTTTTGTCATGAACTATACCTGTCCATGGCTTTACCGGCGTAGGTATAGCGATTTCATGGGTGATATTGAGAACGGGTATATCGCTATCCGTCATCTTTACAACTACAGCATAATTTTTCTCTCTAAGTTTTTGAATCCAATGGAAACCGCAAATGTAGGGCAACGTTACCGGGTTCAACCACACTTTGATGGTTCCGTATCCACCTCAACTTTATTGCTTCTTTGGCTTCCTGGCTCAGTCTTTCTCGCTGCTTTTGCCGTTCAGCGTAATGTTGATCTTGCTGCGTTTGCCATTCCAACGTTGATCTCTCTTGCCCTTGTTGGTCACGGCTTTGTACTGTCCACAGACAGAGGAGAGTAAAAAATAGCACAGCACACAGTGCCCATGGCATCCCTAAACCTCGACAGTTGTACATCAAAAATAGAGATCATCCACTCGTGCTTCAATTGAGAGATTGTCCAGGGCACAACAGTATAAAAAAAGAAAATCACTTGTGAAACGGGTCAAAAACTGGACCTCATTTGATTTGATCCAGACCGTGCAATAAATTCAAGTTCCACTGCAAAAAATACCATTTTTGGAACCATCAAAGTGATACCCGGGGGACAACAAACAATGGCAATGGACCACCAAAGAAGCTTAATTTTTTATTATTTCTCGGTTTACCCATTGGATTAGTACGCGAACGCGGATTAATTATCTCGTTCACTAGCTCTCCTGGCCATTAAAATCACCCATGATGTTATAAAAGTTTAACCAAACACAAAAGAACTCGAGCAGTGACCATAATGCACTTTGCCCATGATCAGTGTGACATATATTTCTCTTTGGTCAAAATTAGAGAGCTTCATTCGATGCACATATCAACAACATACTGAGTGGGCAAGAAACGATTTCCCTTCTTCGTTCCATGGTTCTGAATCGCTCCTTGACGACTGTAGTCACAGGGCGGTCTTTGATTTCGTCAAAAGCGGAAGTGCAGGGCAGTGCTACAGCAGGAAGGCAGTCTTGGACAGTTTGCAGTCTCATCTATCCACCAAACCCTGCACATGACCCTCGACAAAGAAGAGACGTCCACATCAAAAGTAGCCATCATTACTGGAGCCAATGCTGGTGTTGGTTACGGCATTTGTCAGCGGCTTCTCGAACTTGAGGGCGACTCTATGACTATTGTTATGGCATGCCGGAGTCAAACCAGAGCCAGCAATGCTCGCCAGAAGCTCTTGGCCCAATTTCCCTATGCAACAATTGACATTATCCTCGTGGATATAGGCGACGTCCTCAGCGTGCTGGAATTCTGTCATCAAATCAGAGAAAAGTAGGGATTCGGAGACTGTGGATCTATTTCTTTTTTTTGGCTTATGACAGCCTCCATTGACCAACATTGCATTAGATACAACCATGTCAACTACCTATTCTGTAATGCAGGCATATTGAGTGCCCTTGGCATCAAGTGGAGTCGGTTATTCTTCTATTTTCTCAAAGATCCTGTTGGATTGATGGAACGATCGGACGCCACCATTCAAGCCATGGGCGAATTGAACCCAGACGGCATGGGTAGAGTCTTTGCTTGCAACGTCTTTGGTCATTATGTGATGGTAACGTTTAAGGGAAATAGCGAACCCCTCATATGTTTTGTGAATTTAAGCCGATTCATTGTATGGATAGATGCGCGAATTGGAGCAATTGCTGTCAAATTCGGGCGATGGGCGTGTTATCTGGACAAGTTCCATCACCGCAGAAAAGGCATCATTTGATATCGAAGATTGGCAAGGGTTGAAGAGGTACCGGATTCAATAGTTTCTGTTACGATCCATGGCATCGTAGAACTGACGTTGCTCCCTTGTTTTGTTTTAGTCTTGTTCCTTATGAGGCATCTAAATGGGCTTGCGATCTTGTTGCTATTGCCACCAATGATCGATTCATTCAAGAAGGCCTTAATGTGGTGTCCTTCACTACTTCTCCTGGTGTAGTGGCCAGTAATATTGGAAGCCTCCCAACTTGGATCATTAAAGCCCGAACCTTGATCCATTATCTGGTATGATTTTTCTTTGTTTCTTTACATTGCCGTCTCCATGGATCTGAATAATTCATTTTCGCGGCTTTACATGTAGTTTCGTCTTTGTGGTGTCACCTCCCAAAATATCACAGGGTACAATGGCGCCATTGCTGATGTGTTTGTCGCGCTTCAACCGCTAGCTGCTGTCAATTACTGGTTCCGATATTGTTCTTTATCGAATCGATGGGGAAAAGCTTATGTGGAAGCCCAAGCATTGGAAGAGTATGATCCTGAAATTGCAGAAAAGTTGCTTCAAAAATGCGAACTCGCCTATCAAGCATGGAAGAAGAACCCTAAAAAGAAAATGGAGGAAGCCCAAGAGCACGAAGCGCATCAGGCTGACTCGGAAAACCTGCCTTTACTATCCTGAACACCCTATTCTAATCCCTTCCTGATCCTTTTTCCTTTGGTTTTTTGCTTTCGTAGCCTACTTTTTTGTATTCCATCTTGAGTAATCAATTCTGGATACCTGGAGACATATTTTTACAACGGTTTGTAAGAGGACATTACTTGGTAGCCACACGCATTAATAAAAATACATTATTTCCTATTGAGAGATCAAAGTCATTACTTTAAAGTGGAGAAGTTGATCAAGCAAAATGTCTTTAGAGTATGTGTCATCAATTCGAGTGCCGAATTGGTCAATTGGTCAATGACAGTGCCAAAAAAAGGAGTCATTTCTGTGACAACTCTGCCAAATTTCTGGCAAACAAAACGATGATAACCGAAATAAAAGCCGAGAATCATGTGTAATGAGATTTTGGATCAATCGGCTTGCCGGGCCATTTTAAATACGCTGCTACTTCACTGGGTGCCATGTCACTTTCATCGACGGTGACACGATCAAGATTTTTCGAAGGGGTGGTATAGGTGCCTTGAAGTTGCGCACGTCGGCGGTCACAAATGGTGGCTACACGGAGGCGAATGTGCGACAAGGACATCTCCAAAAGTTCGTCTTCGGTGTAACCGTTGGACAAAAGGAACGCGATGAGCTGGCCTTCAATACTCAGTGCTTGAGTACCCGGCCTTGATTTGTATAGCTTGGCTTCGAGTATCTGACGTTTTCTTGTTGTTCTGCTCTGTTGGGCACGAAGATAGGATGGTGCGTGGCAAGGCAAAATTGTGTTGGTGGATATGTGCTTTTCTGTGCTTTTTGGAGCATCTTTGGCATGGTATAAAGTCAAAATTTCGTACAAGTACAGATGGATGTTTCGTGGTGTCACTGGCGTGTTTGGTTTCATCAACCACGGTAAATATCGCTGATTATCCAATACATACTGATACAGTCGCTTGGTCAGCTCCTTGTATCGGTCATATAGCGTCGATGTGGCGCAATTTAGCGACCTGGCTAGCGTGTCCCAATCAATCCGGGACACAGGCGACGAGAGACTGAGAAATGTCAATACAACGGCTGCGCCAACCACTGGTCGTCGTGCTCGACCGATATCCAAATCACTTTCTATAGTAAAGTGCATCGTGCCTTGCACCATTTTCCTGAGTTCCTTCAGATCCGCCGTTTTGGCTGGCTCTTTCTGCTTTTTCGTACGGTGCTCCACCATCATTTGCTTCATCGGGTCGTACAACCGTGAAATCACCGTCTCTACTTGTTTTTCTACTTTCCATATATCGTCAGCGAGTCTTAATCGTGATTTGATTTCCATATACACGCGCACCATCTTGCGAAAGTTCATGCCGACTTTGGCGCAATAATCGCACAGCATATAATTCGGTAACCGATGACGTGAAACCAAAGCAACTAGACTGAGGGCGACTTCGGCACTCTTCCTGCCTTTGAAGCCGGTGGCGCGGAACCGTTCAAAAAGTTGCATGGCAGCGACTATGTCTTCTTCCGGTACCGCAAAAGCAGCGGCATACTTTTTGATCCATGCTTCTACAATGAGTGTCTAAATGACGTTGGTAAACAAGGACGCCTTTTGTTTGTATTCGGTAAGGAAATACTCACTTTGCCCTGTTTATGAAAAAGAGAACCAGCTCCATGAGTGATGAGAGGTGCATCATTTAGAACAGTATGGCAATTAAGACACACTAGGACATGGTCGTCCTCAGAAAAGTTGCATGATCCACATGAAGGACATACATCCATCGTCAAAGAAAGACGACGAACATCCGCAACAATCATTGTTAATTTTCGCATAAAAACCTGTCACACTACAAGCACGGGTTCTATGATCGATGCTTTTTTTCTTTCATTCACATCTGTTCTTTTTCTTTTTTTGGCACCCGCTTTCAATATTGGTTTGTTTCTTTTGGGAGTCCATTGACGTTGTTGCCCGTTTGTTCTTCTTTTTCTCTTCCCTTAGCCTTGATTTCTTTTTTTTTGGGGGGGTGGGTGGTTTCTCGTTATCGCATTTCTACCGTTTAAAGTGTAGAACTATCCAAAATTGCATGACCACCGTGTCATATTAGTAATTCATGGAACAATCGCGTGTAATCCAAATGTGAACAGAGATTCGGAATGGACTTCTTGGTTCACGAACAGATATGATAGCTCTGATTTAACAGCACGAGTTTTCAACCTCAAGTTAAAAGCACTTTTAGAGGATTTAACAAAAAGCCATATTTCGTTCTGTTAAGACAAAAGAGTTATTGTCCTGATCGCTAGAACAGGTTTAGGCGCTTTATTTGAAGGAACAATGACTTTACAGCGCTTGTCATGATTTTGTGTCTCACAAATCAATTGAGGGCTGATTCAGGCAACATGTCTTGATATCTTCGGAACAATCTAGACCAAATTCACCACATTGTTGGGGGCAGTTGGCTTTAGCAAGTCCACTGTGTTCGCCAAGCAGATTGGATACATGCCCTCACGACATTCTTGTGGGATCCATCTTGAAGTACCAACGACCCAGTCAGCAAACGATAGATTGAGGAGACCGAAGAGCACAAAGATAATTTGATAATTTGATGGATTCTGTGAACAGAATTTCACTAAAGAATTGAATATTTATTATGGCTTTTTTTTTGATTTTTTCTACACAACCTACTATACAGTATCATAACCGAGTTATCGATCTCGGTCTACTTTTTAATGATAAAAATTATACAATTAAAGTTAAAAATAAAATTAAGGATACCGTTTTATGAAGCTAACAAAATTCGCGCGGAAGTGTTTATTATATGTATAACAACACGGCAGTTATCAATAACATTATCCATAGAAAGGAGAAAGTTCCTTTTGAAATGCCGTCTTATTGCTGAACGGTAATCGTTAATTGATAACACGGACCAGTTAACAATATTATTTTCGACGATGTCTTGAAAAGCTCCAATGCTTGAGTCCCGGTGATCTGTTGGCATATTGCTGAGGGTGACAGGCAAATTCGAGTGCCGGTATCCATTTATAATTCTCTTTTTTTTTATACATCTTTCTTTTGCATAAAGGTATAGTTGAAGTTGAGCTAGATAGTGCTACCACGTTTACAGGTAATATTTATGTCAAAGGAGTCCGTATTACGAAGAACATTGTCTGAAGGATGACGGTGCTGAGTTTTGCTTTTGAATTGATGGCTGGGAATCTTATTGTACCGAATTGCGGCACAGAGGCAGAAATTGCAACCGGAAAACATCCAGAAAAACTGGTGTTATCCCTAAAAGTAAGGTCTAGGTAGCAGACCTGCAGTCTCCTCTTGAATTTCAACGATGCCTATTTTCCAGTGCGATTAACCTTGCTAAGAAGATTCACAAAGCACAAGGACAGACTTGGATGCCGTACAAGTATCAGTATTTTCATCAACCAACTGCACTAAAGGTCATAGTTAAAAAAGAATGTTTATGTTACAGACTTTGAATGAACATTATGCCAAAGACATTATATTGAAGTATATTAGTAAAAAAACCAATTTTTTGGGATCACGGGCTCCACCTAATCTCCAGTAAAATTATTTAGGGTTCTCTATCTATAGAATATCATGAGTTGCATAGGTTTCAAGACATATTTATTGGTCATGTTTGTGAATTGAATTTCCACCCATTAGTTCAAAAGCAAAACTAAGCACCGTCATCTTTCAGTTCGTAATACGGACACCCTTGACATAAATATTACCTGTAAACGTGGTAGCACTATCTAGCTCAACTTCAACTATACCTTTATGCAAAAGAAAGATGTATAAAAAAAAAGAGAATTATAAATGGATACCGGCACTCGAATTTGCCTGTCACCCTCAGCAATATGCCAACAGATCACCGGGACTCAAGCATTGGAGCTTTTCAAGACATCGTCGAAAATAATATTGTTAACTGCCGTGTTGTTATACATACAATAAACACTTCCGCGCGAATTTTGTTAGCTTCATAAAACGGTATCCTTAATTTTATTTTTAACTTTAATTGTATATTTTTTATCATTAAAAAGTAGACCGAGATCGGTAACTCGGTTATGATACTGTATAGTAGGTTGTGTAGAAAAAATCCAAAAAAAAAACCATATAAATATTTAATTCTTTAGTGAAATTCTGTTCACAGAATCTCCATCAAATTATCAAACTATGAAACAAATGTTGTTCTTTATCTTTGTGCTCTTCGGTCTCCTCAATCTATCGTTTGCTGACTGGGTCGGTGGTACTGCTATGGTATGCCCCAAAATCCCACAACAATGTCGTGAGAACATGCGTCCAATCTGCGTGGCGAATACAGCGGACACTGCTAAAGCCGCCTGCCCCCAACAATGTGGTGAATTTGGTCTAGATTGTATCGAAGGTTTCAAGACATGTTGCCTGTGACTACACAAAAATCACGATAAGCGCTTTCAATTATAACTGTTCCATCGAACAAAGCGCCTAAAACTTGTTCTAGCAATCAGGGCAATAAACCTTTTGTCTTAACAAATACAAAATGCTGCTCGTTATGATGGCAGTCCTTTTGCGTAAAGTGGCCTTCATAAATTAAAAAAAATGAAAAAAGCAAACCACTCTGCCTGCGTAGGACGGAGATAGGTCGTTATTTTTTTGGCCCATATGTAAAAAAAGCGAGACCAAATGTTCTTGGGCCCATTATGTCGCGGTTCCATATATACCGTATTACACGTTTCACAAACAAGACCAGCATGGATAGCTTGACTCCTTGTTCTCCATTAGCCTGACGATGTTTCATTTTCTTTTCAGGCTCTTGGAAATTTGGACAAATATTTTCATCGATCATGATGGTTTGTCCATGGGTTCGTTACCCTAACGACCGTCGCGTCAGCATTTTTTCTTTCTCTTCAACGAAGGGAAAGCCACTACAAACTGAGGGCAACAAAAGGAATGAAACCAAAGCATCTTGCAGGAAAGGAGGATCAATAGCTTTACAAGGAAGAGCAAAAGCATTGGTGAAACTGAATAAAAAATAGACGTATAAGGGCTTCTAATTATTACAAGGAGCGATCGACTGCATCGAGATATTCCTACATGGTCCGCATAAGCGAATCCATACTGGCATCTCTTGCCTAGGTAAACCATGTGCAGCATACGCAATTTGCTGTGGCCCTTCTATGATTACATTGTAGGTTGTATTTAGAGGAAACTGGCTGAATGGGTGGTGGCATCAGAGGGCCTTTCGGTTTCCTGCGTTTCGGCTTTTGATGAAGACTGAACATTCGTCGCATCAGAGCATTCTGTATTTGATCCCAACTAATCAAAGAACTTGAGTTTCAATGGATATGAGCAAAGGCAACTGGTCATCATCTGCACTGTCAACACAACATCATGCGCATCCATGCAGCATAGATATTGTGCAATAGATAATGAAATAACAGTATGAGAAAAATATTGAAGGATGCTCCAGCTATTATGAGACCGCTTTTAGTAGTCCAACACAGTTGCATCGTAAACGTATACAGAGGTGTGCATTTTCTTATGTGGATTATAAGCAACTATGAATCCATCGTGTATCTCCGACCTTCAAATAAAAAAGGAAGAGCCTTTTTTCATCATCAGCATAGCAGGGCAGCATATGGCCTTATCTTAAGTCTTGACTGTTTGTAATTGATATGATCACATTACTGTGAGTACCAAATATTCTGAGCTCAATTGTGCATGAATGGGAATGGTGGCAATAAAATCCAGCCAAGAAAGAAAAAATGCAACAAACAATTGGAGTCGCATCCATCGGACCTAGCTTTAGCTTGATATGCTTGCCAAAAGCTAAGTGAATCTGTATCTAGCGGTACATAATGTAAAGAAGAGAAGAGAAGATTCAAATACTTTATATGGTTGTATTATGTTAGGACTCGTCATGGATGTTTTTGCTGGGTTTGTAGGCAATTCTGTTCCTGAACTCTATAATCGTGACGGTTTTTCTAAATGCTGATGCCCATGAAAGGGCGGTTTTTTTTTTTTTTTTTTTTTTGCCTATGAATTGACAGCTTCTTGCCATCAATAGTTTGCCATGCTGAATCGGATAAAACGCAACATTTACCCCGTCCTTGCCGTTATCACACTTCCGGTGGGATACTATGTCGGTATACAGTTAAGAGAAAATGCCGACAAAAAGGCACTATTACAACAAGCCAATGAAGCGCAATTGGAGTACTTGCAAAAGCAACGAATGCAAATGCTGGAAGAAGATAAAGTCGTACGCCAAAAAATAGAACAGTTGAAACAAGAACGCGAAGCAGCGGAAGCGCGGGAAGCTCGAAGAAAGGAATATTTTGGGAAATGAGCAGGTCTCATTGCTATCATATCATCGGTCGGATCTTGGTCCCTAGAGATTGTCATGACAATAGCTAATTTCAACAAGCTAAGAAAATTTTGTATACTCTATGGTTTACCCTACCAAACTCTCACAAAGCATGCAGCCCAGCATACATTAATAAAGGTTTGTTAGCAACGACGCCTTGTCGACGCATATCATTTTTTGATGATGTTCAAACTTTGGATTGGCTGTGAACCTGGTCTTCCGTGCGCGAACTTTATTTCCTGGTTTTTTTTTTATTTTTATTTTATTTTATAGTAGTTTGCATGCGTCAGTTACTCAGTTCTTGATAGACGTGCTGGTTACGATAAAATATGATATTAAACAAGATAAATAGCGGATGCATGTGATATCTATCATTGGCAAACGATCTTTACCGATTTGAACCGGCTATATCGGCAGATAATGGTCCCTACGGGTATATTGTTGGTACAATCGTCAACCACTAAGCCCTAAAACCTGCTTGAGCCTTGTTTTGCATGGAATTTTATTGCTTCTTGAATAAGCAATATAATATCAACTGATTAACTCACGCGAATCGACGACAAGCGAAATGAATATGACGCAGGCAATATTACATTTTTGTATTTGCTCTCCTGTTAAACTGCTCAAAAGGGTCGAAAGAAAAGCGACTATGTCGAGGCAATCGCTTGCCTGCATTGACAAACAGCGACCCCAAATGACTGGTTCAGCGTTTAAGCAGTCACACGACAAGAACAAGAAACTCCGCTGCACCTGTTGATTAAAGCAAGATTTCGACACATCATTCATTTCTTTTTCACTGCAACTTATTATTTTGTCAAGGAAAACAATGTCTCTTGCACCAGCCATCCTTACCCAACAATCCGAACCGCAAAGCCCTCGCAATGCCATGTTTACATGTCTCGCTTGTCATGTTGCATTTCCGACTTCAGATCGGCAACGACAGCACTATCGTACAGAGTAAGTCCTACCTTTAACATCCGTTTCAACGACAAAGGGTTATTGATGTTTTTTCTCGGTCCAGTTGGCATAAGTACAACCTGAAGAGAAAGATTGCTAATCTAACTCCCGTTACTGCGGAGCAATTCGCACAAAAAGTACTCGGTAAGAACCTTTTTTGACAAAGAAGCTGCGATTGCGCAATGGAATGTCTAACACTGGATTAGCGCAACAAGCGAAAGGTAGGGAGGAAGCGGAACGGGCAGGACTGGTATATGAATGCGTTGTTTGCCGGTAAGTGTCCACTTCTCGGATCTGTTTCTGAGCACGTTGGCAGAGCATTAATAAGCATGCGGCCTAAAAAAATAATAGTAAAACCTACTTGTCGGAGAATGCTTTCACCAATCACATCTATTCTCGCAAACACAAGGAAATGGAAGCGAAGGGCGGTTCCCGCGTAGACGCTTTGATCAATCAACATAAACGTGAAGTCCGCATGTTCTCATCCGAAGGCGAATCCGATGCTGAATCTCATGGTGCCTCGGTCTCAGAAGAAGGGACACCCAGAGATCCGTTGGCCTACTGCTTGTTCTGTTCGCAAGTGAATACCGATTTCGAGATGAATCTGGACCATATGGCGAGTGTGCATGGATTCTTTTTACCGGATATAGAGTACTTGGAGGATACCCGTGGCTTGATTGCCTACTTGGTCGAAAAGGTTCAGGATGGTATCTGTATATACTGCAACGGTCGTGGTCGTGAATGGAAGAGCGTTGAAGCGGTTCGATCTCACATGGTAAGTACCTACCCCAACTGTAAGGAAAACAAATATACATGTTGTTGATGCAGACACCACGATTTAGTTGGACAAGGGTCACTGCAAGATGGCTTACGATGAGAGTGAAGATCCTGATGCTTTATTGCGATTTTACGACTTTGGTCCGATCGATTTGGACGACGAGTCCGATACGGCATTCAACGTCAAAGATGCCGAACTGATACTGAACAACGGTGCCCGCTTGGGTCATCGAAACGATCTGAGATATTTTAAACAACGTTTGCGAAAGAATGTATGTACTATGATAGGGTCAGGGCGTGGTATAATCATATACGGAGGGTTAACCTAAAAGCGGGGCATTGATAGACTCTGGCGCATGATGATATCAAAGCAATTGAACAAGAAGCGCATAACGATGATGAGTTGGAAAGTCCGAAAAGTCGCCAACGGAAACAACGACTGGCCATTACAAATGGACGTTATCCCAGCGTTCAGCTCGCTGAAAAACAAGGTATCAAAGAAGCCTCGGTGCGTCAAAACTACGGACATCAAGTGGCTTTCAAACATAATCTTACCAATACGCTCCGTGCACGCAATCAAAATCCAATTTAATTTTATCATGTACATTATCATTGGTTCATTGTAAACATAGCTGTCACCCACTTGTTTAAATATAATACAAATCAAGTCATTTGAGCCTGAGTCATTCGAGAAACGAATATTTTGATGTGTTCTTGATCGCGACTTTTGGGCTCGCGACGCGTGACTGTTAATATGCATCGGTTGCATTGGGGGACTTGAATCGCGTTTGCTCAAACTCGATTTTCTTTTTGACAAATACAATAATAAGTGAACCATTGCGCAGCGTTATGGAGGGACAGTTTATTCTTCATGACGAAATTGTTCGTCTGCAAGATAAGACCACAGCCGAATATTATATTCCCAACGAAATGGCCATAGCGGGTCAAAGTGATCACGAATTAGCTCGGTACCTGAATGGTATGAGTGTTTAGTCCCATGGCTTGCACAACCAATTACCTTTTGACTCAAACCAACCAAATGCAGATATTACCGATAGAATTGAAGTCTCTTCCGATGCCATTGTTGATCCCATTGTTTTTGACAAAATTCGCAGCTTTCTAAAGTAATGTTATGAACGCCCTTGTGGAAAAACCAAAATGCCCTTCTTATTCATTCGCTTTTTAGAAATCTGTCAAGTCTCAATCAACGTATATGCAACCGACTGCTCGATATTCTTCTTTCTGGTACATTTAACTGATATCGTGTTCATGGGCCTTCTCAATTAACACAAAAAACCCTAGCTTTCAAATCCGAAATCAGAACGGCATCGGACGATCTCGACAACAACGAAAAAGATACTTTTGCCGGACATCGTCAACACCTTGAATTGTACAGTTTCTTGATCTATTGGTTTTTGACAGCTGTGGAAGAGAAATCGTCTGGCACCACAACAAAGTCAAAGGTTAGCACCGTTATCATTCACTGCTTTCACCAATATACTCACAACGAAGTCGTCTCATTAGAAAGGGAAACACCGATCGGACGATGCCAATGCAAAAGATTACAGTACACAAAAAGCAAAAGCCTTTGATGCGATTGGGTGGTTACTGGAACTCAAATTGGGCAATATTTGGACATTGACGCCCGAACGCAATACGTTTATCACGTAAGTGATGATTTTCCATCCAGCGAACATGACACCTTTTCCGATAACAGACGACTGTTAGCCTTTTCACAAAACCGGCATACCAAGTGTTTGAGAATCCACACTACGTGAAATCGAGCATCGTGAAAACTCGGGCGTTTAAAATATTAAGCCTTTGCATCAAGAACTACGGGCATCTTTCTGGTATGGATAGATGGATCTCGGCAATCCAAACAGACGATTCAATGCTTATATGTGTGTAGCTTCCCAAACGACCATCATGCAAACTTTGCAGTACTGGGAGCATTCGGCCGAACCCATGGCGGAATTTCTGCAATATCTGGTGAATCAACACGATTATAGACAGTTAGCCGATGAAATTTTACGAGAAATCAGTAACAAGGAGTTCAAGGATACCACAACCAAAGAACTCAAAGATACACCCAATGCCAAGACTTTTGCCATCTTTCTTCAAAAGCTCGCTGAATTGTCGCCAAAAACCATCCTCAAGAATCTCGGTTTACTCATTCATCAGTTGGATAGCGAGGTAAACCTGCTTATCGGTTATATAAGCCTATACCTTTAAAAGAGAGACACTTACCGGTGGATGATTTATTGCTTCTAGTCTTATACCATGCGCATTGCACTCATCGATATTCTCGGCATGCTCATTGTTGATCTCACGGAAAATGGAAACGATTCACCGTCGCAAAAAGATCAAATCAATGGATTCTTTGATATATTGGAAGAGCGCATGTTGGATCCTATCTCCTTTGTACGATCCAAAGTTCTTCAAACCTATCTGCGACTTTTAAAGTAAGGAATGCAAATGAGTCCATGGGTCAGACAGTGGATTGACGGTATGTTTAGTTTGCGCGCCAAATTCCCCAAGCGCCGTCATGCCCTCGGCGTATTGACCATTCGTCATTTGGAGGATAAAAGTAGCTCGGTCAGGAAATACGCAATTCGAACTCTCACCAAATTGATGGCCACTCATCCTTACAGCATGTACGGTGGAGAACTGGACCTAGTGGAATGGGGAAAGCGGTTCCAGAAAATCCAAGAGGAACTGGAGGTACGCTGCTGTCGTTTCGGAGATATCGAATCATAGCTTGATGTCTTGTTTGTATAATCTTGTTTAGAATGTGACACGTCCAGCTCAAGCAGCAGTGGAGGAGGTGGCTGCAAACAACAGCGAAGAAGAAGCTGCTACAAATACCCAAAACACCACGGACAATGACACTGAGACGAATAACCAGAGTACGGAAGACAGTGAAGCTGCTACAGAGGATGTGGAAATGAGCGAAGCATCGCAGAGCGAGCCTATCGCCACGACGGAACCGGAATCCACGACGATCTCAGAACCCGCGACAATCCCAGAGCCAGTGAACATGGTGTCTCCGGAAAAGCTACAACAGCTCAATTTGATGCGTGCTTTTCATGCCGACGCTATCAGATTTATCCAACAAATTCACACCGCTATCCCTACGATATGTCAGATTTTATCCTCCAAATCAAAAGCGGAAGTTATTGAAGCGATGGATTTCCTGGTCACGGCGTATAACTACAAAATCAAAGAAGCTTCGGTAAGTGCACTGCTTGCATTACGAGTCATCTGCCAACTACTGACCAGACCCTGTTAGACTGGCATCAAAAAAATGCTTCATTTGATCTGGACCAAAGATACTAGTGATGAAGGCAAGGGCGTCAAGATGAAGCTTTTGGAATGCTACCGAAATTTGTATCTTGAAATGGATGCCAAGCTGAGCAGCAAAGAAAATATCAATGTCATTGCGAGAAATCTTATTCAGCTCACTTATAACACGACGGTGGCCGAATTAACATCGCTCGAACAAGTGCTCAGTACGCTCATGCCCGATAGTGTCATTTCCGACCAAGTGATCTACAAGCTCTGGAGTGTTTATGGTAAAAAAAAAAAAAAAAAAAAAAAAAAAAGAAAAAAAGAGAACCGTCTAAGATCTTCACGTAAGATATTCATGTCATATTATAGCTTTCAAGGGCAATATTCCCAAAAGTCAGCGAAGAGGAGCCATCATTATTCTCGGCATGTTGGCCAAAGCAAATACCGAAATCATCTCTGGAAAGATTGATCTGTTGCTCCGAGTCGGTTTAGGTCGACTTGGCAAGGTAAAGAATTATAAAATTACGAAGGCTACCACCGTGCTGATAAACTTATTTGTACGTGTTATCCATCATAATGATACCTTTTTTTCCAGGCCGACTTGAGTTTGGCAAAATACTCGTGCATCGCTCTTCAAAGACTGGCAGGCACGAAATCCGAAAAAGTTCGAGGTGTGCATGAAGGTGTACGTCTTCCCATGACCCATCCCATCTTTGCCCGTTTAAAAGATATCATTGAGAGTTCAAGCGATGCTATTGAATGGTTCAGCCTGACGGAGCAAGCGATCAATACAGTATATCTGTTGGGCGAACATCCCGATACACTGTGCGCGGAAATTATCAAAACCATGTCAGTGAAAGTGTTTGGTTTGGCCGAAACGGAAAATTCGCAACAGACCGAGGAAGGACTGCCCAACAGTGATACACAGATGGACATCGATTACAACATGAGTCTCTCACAGCAAGCGTTACCGTATCCACACCACCCAACGCATCGAAGTTCTTTTGAACTCAGTCAGTTGATCTTTATTGTGGGCCACGTGGCTCTGAAGCAGATTGTGTATCTCGAGATCGTCGAAGCTGTGTGTAAACGGAAAAAGAGCGCGAAAGAAGGTAAGTCGTCGTGGCGAGAGTCATGAGGGTCGCGTGCGATTGTCTGACAATGCAACTCTTGGCTATGTTTAGATAATGAACAACGCCAGACAGCTGGTCAAGAAGACGAGTTGGAGCAAGTTGGAGGCACGGCTGAAGACGATATTGTGGATGCCATGACGCACATCCGTGAACGAGAAATTCTTTTTGGTCCCAATTCCTTACTAGCTCGTTACGGCCCTCTACTCACGGAAATTTGTTCTTATAACAAAGTGTATACGGTAAGCAAGACAGAGGCATGCTGCAGGGCTGATCCACGGATTCACTGATCCACTGATCCACTGATCCGCTGATCCTTATTCACTTTTATTGACAGGATCGTGTGCTTCAAATGACGGCAACGTTGGCCCTTGCCAAATTCATGTGTGTCAGTTCCGATTTCTGTGAAAAGAACCTTCGGTTGTTATTCACCATCCTGGAAAAATCCAAAAATGCTACTATCCGTAGCAATATTGTGATTGCACTGGGTGATATGGCGGTCTGTTTCAACACGCTCCTGGATGAGAATATCACGTTCCTTTACAACCGTCTGGGGGACAAGGAGACGGTAGTGAAGAAAAATGCGGTCATGGTTCTGACGCATTTAATCCTCAATGGCATGGTCAAAGTCAAGGGACAAATTAGCGAAATGGCCAAGTGTCTTGAAGACCCCGATCAACGTATTGCGGATTTGGCCAAGCTGTTCTTCACCGAACTGGCGACAAAGGATAACGCCATTTACAACAATTTACCGGATATGATCAGTAACCTTACCACGGGTGCTAACCGAGTGGAAGAAGAGAGCTTCCACAAAATTATGAAATTTATCTTTTCCTTTGACTTCGCCGAAAAGGTAAAACTAATTACTTTACTATTTGTCGAACCGCTCAGTGATATTGACAATCACGATTTTGCAGGAAAAGCAAGCTGAAAACGTGGTGGACAAGCTGTGTCAGCGATTTCAAAACACCGACGACGAACGTACATGGCGCGATATTGCTTTTTGTCTGTCATTGCTTCCTTTCAAATCCGAGCGCAGTTACAGGAAACTGCTGGAGTCACTTCCAATGTATCAAGATAAACTTCATGTAGAATCGGTGCATAAAAGTTTCCTGGAAATCGTTGCCAAGGTATGGTTGCTGTTGAATCATGAAAGGATTGGCATGGATAATTGATTATCTGCATCTAGGGCCGCGCTCAAAAGCTTCAGAAACCGGAATTGAAGAGCGTCATTGATGAACTGGAACAAAAACTTGAAAAACAAAGCGAAGCACAGGAACAAAATGAGACCACCACCCAACCCCGTAAAGCATCATCTTCCAAACGAGGTAACACCATGGATTCCCAATGACTCGATGATTTTATTTGCTGATTTGTCGACTTTTTCTTTTTTATTTTTTTTGTTATCAGTTTTGCGAAGTTCAAGGAGCAAGAAACAAACCAATGTGAGTACACCAAAAACGCCAACGCGGCGACGCAAGCGTGCTTTACCTGATACCGATGATGAATCGGAGGACGATCAAGATATGCCAGATTTGGACAACGACGAAACAGAAGATGATGATGATGATGATATTGAGGAAGATGATGATTTGGTAGAGGATGCCACCGCAGATCCGGTCGACGGGAGCGTGGAGGAATAATATCAATAGCCATAAACTGTGTCAACGATGCATAACAGGAACCTTGTAAATAATTGAAACTATAACAATAATAATAACCGGAAAAAGACATCAGTATTTATAATCTGGATACTAAGCAAAATTCTTACGGCGAAGGAAAAACCAGTAATTAACTCGTGTCTTTTTTTTTCCATCCATGATGTCTGGGTTTGATGTAATAGAGAACAATATGCAGCCAGGCATTGGCGGAGTTTTGTAGATACTCCGCCCTGTGTGACTTTCACTATTGGACCTTTTTTCTATCGATCTGCTGGTTTTGCGATGGGGGATCCTCGCTTCGTTCTCTCTGAAACCACAGCACCGACTTTTTGTACCATGCATGACAATAAGCTTTTTAATTCCTCCGATGATAAAACCGTAAGAGAGATTTCTTCCAAAAGTTGGCGACCAAAGAAGCCTTGAAATATATTCCAAACTAATGATAGATTATGGTCGTATCAGTCTTCGCTCATTCTCTATGATGCGAGTGGGGATGATATTAGATGCTTGTTTCGTAAAGCCCAGGCAAAAAGGAACACGCTTGAATCGCCATACTGTAGGGATAATTGCACGACAGACATTGCTCCGTATCAGTTACTGCACCGACCTGCAGGTTCCTCTACTGCTCGTAGATTTTTGGGCCAGTTGTTTAGTGTCATGTTCTCTCACGAAGATCGATATTTCAACAACGACAGAACTGAACTAAGCAAGGATATATTTCCGGCCTGAAACGCGTTTACAATTTTCATACCGTAAGCAGTATATGCTCATGAGATGAAAAAGAATGTTATGCTCATCTTCAATTTTTTTTTTTGTTTTGTTTTCGACACTCAAACAGAACGACATCCATCTTACAAATTGATTATTCAGTGTTGTGTTCTATTTTTTTTCATCAACCGTGGCTGGGTTACGGTTTTGTTGCAGGATCAAAAGCAATCAAGTGGTATCGATTTTTCATGGCTGAGTTTCAAGGTGGCAACGTGTAGCACGACGCATGCAAGTTATCGCACAAGTTGCACAGAATGAAGAATTAGTCCGACACTCACTCCATCAGAGCAATACTGTATAATATGAAGAAATCTTAAATTTAGAGGCATTTTCAACCGGTCAGGTGCCTGACAACATCTATAAAAATTAAGGGGTTACTTTTAAATTCTCCCAATATGGTAAAAATGACGCTAACACTCTGGCGACCAAACATCCAAACTCAGGTTTTGGAAACATGCTTGCATGTTCTCGCTATTATTAGATGCGCCTCTATTTTTTTTTTTTTTTTTTGTTTTGTTTGGTTTGGTGTTACGCTTTTGGCTTTCGGTGCCATAAAAAGAAGCATTGTTCAGATCGAGCAAATGCGACTGCTGCCGAGGCATTCTGAATTGTTGCATGACAAGCGTTCATCGATGCTATCTCGCACGCATGTATACGGTGATATTGAACTAAGAATGGCTCGGTGACATCTCATGCATAACGTCAGCTGGTTCAATAATCAATTGGAGCACATGTGTTATGATGCAATGAGTCCCATACCGTAGAGAACAGATAATTTCAAGCAATTTGTTTCAGTGATCGTCTGACACCGTCCGCATCATATGAATGCGGGAAAAACAAGAATTCTGCCTTTGAACAAGTTTACTGCATTAAAAGGGTTCCTCCAGCGCTTCACGCCGTTGTGCAAGCTTGAACAGCGGGCTTAATGAAGGGGATTTCGCCTACTATTGTGTATAGCTTAGGACAAAGGTTCAACCGCAAAACCGAGCAAGCAAAGACGCGCGCAGTGGGCATGAGAGAAATGAACAATACTTTTTTGGTCACTTATTGATCGAGGGTGCTGTGTCCTCTTCACTTTACATATGCTATGCAAAAGGTACAGAGCCTATTATTTATTTTTAGGAGGACAGAATGCACCAGCGACTATACAAAGATTTCGATTGGTAAACTGGGCGTCGTAGATGGGTGTATATTTCGTTGGAAAGACGGCCAAATGCTCCCGACTAGGCAGCGTATAAGTAAATTGAACTTGACATAGTATGATTGAATATACATAATAATGAAAGAACATTACCTTTCCGTCACTGCCTTTTTCTGCTTGTCAAGGTCATAATCCATTCGCATGCGTTTGGTATCGGATCCAGAAATCAAAGGCGTCGCTGTATCCATCGAGTCTTCATTCACATCCCACATTCTCACCGTGCAATCGGCACCACTGGAAACCAACACATTATTGTCCGCACTAAACGCAACAGAATAGATAAAGTCGGTATGTCCCGTCATGCATTTCAATCGTTTCCCTGAACTCAGATCCCAAACAATGATGGATTTATCTTCGCCTATATTGACGCAGCATCATTTTTGTTTTTAGATATTTTTCGTATGGACTGCATCGATGAATCATTCCTGCTTTGGAAAAAGTCCTTACCTGCAGATGCCATCCACTTCCCGTTGGGAGATACAGCTACAGTCTTTACACCGCCAGTATGACCTGTGAATACACGAACACAAGCACCCGTTTGCACATCCCACATGCGAACTGTGCGATCGCTGGATCCTGTGACCAAATACTTGGAATTTGGATGAAATTTCACCGTCTAATAAAAAAAAATATTAGTATCACCAATCCCACATCATCCTTCTTTTCTTTTTTCTTGTGAGGATCAAATAACTTACATCAACATCAGACAGATGGCCAGCAAATACTCGGAGGGACGTGATGTGATCACAACTCCATAATCTTGCTGTACGATCATGCGAAGCTGTAGCGAAATAAAAGCCAAAAGGCCCGAAATCCACATCCCACACCGGATGATTGTGTCCCTTGTAAATCACCAAGTTGGAAAACGTCTGAGTACTCCATAACCGCGCTAGCATACAGATTCATGATGAGATTCAACGTCAACAGGCGCAGCACACCACGTAATATGTATACATACCTGTTTTATCTTCGGAACACGAAACGAGGTATTTATTGTCAGGGCTGAAACTTACGCCATAGACAGGACCGGAATGACCGACCAGTCTTTTGTAGTCTGAGCCGTGACGTTCCTTTTGTCGGTTGAGATCGGCATCTTTGCAAAAAGATGAATATCAATACACGGCAACCGTCATCATCCGACACACCAGCACTTACAATCATTCACATGAGCCGGGTTGATTGCATTGCGCAGTGCTCGCAATTTCTCTCCCTTTAGACTCCAAATTTTGATGAAGGATTCAGAAAATCCACCCGCAACAAGACTTGCATCCTTGGATACGGTAACACAATTCAAACTACATGCGAATGTCAGTCAACACATGAAAATCTGCCATCACCCACCCCTTTTTTCCACTACTCACTTGTCATGGGTGTTGTGAAATGTATAGCAGCATATACTTGGTAAAGAGGAAGGACCGAGCGGAATACGTTTTGCTACATCTTCCAGGGAATCGATTTCCGCTTGAAGATCGGTGCCTTTGCTGTTATTTGCTATGAATGAGCTGATATCCCATGGCTCTGCTCATGTTTTTCTGGTTGACTTACTAAGGTGGTAAGGGAATGTCGCCAAAGGCCGGTCGCTCTACTGATGAATCTTGCTTCAGCTTTTTGTATGTACTTAGTAATGGTAAATAGTCGCTTTGGAATGGCTACATTTGAGACAATACAACACGGTCAGTGATTCATGTTCCACTTTCCAATAACAGATAAAAAGAAAAATCATCATCATCATCCTACCTGGTCCGCCATCTCATCCTTCCTTGCGTTATCTTTATCTTTTAATGCTTGCTCGAGTTCTTCCTTGAATGAGGGATCGGGTTGTGGTTGGCCAAGTTGAACAGGTTGTTGATTGAATGCTTCAATTTGCTGTGATTCATGACCGGTGATACCGATTACATCGTCTGTCTCCAATCCGCCCGCGGAGTTCAGGAGTTTGCCATGCACGACTAAAAAAATTGACCATGATTAAGCTACGCTTGAACCCAAAAACCCATCCAGCTAATAAAGGAACCAAAAGCTTACCTTGTATATTAAGGTACTGGTTAACAATCCGCAGTAAAAGCATAAACTTATTATCTTGAAGATAGTTGAGAAACAGTTCAAACGGTACGCTCGACATGCGCAAGTTGTATTTGTTGCTACGATAAATTTGGGCTAATTCGTTTTCGCGTACGTGTTGCGCGTCGGTGACGGTGGCAAGTCTATTCAGATCGGGAGTATGTAATTCGACATGGTCGCCCTTGTAAGTCTCCATGAACTTTTTGGCTAATACATTTCGGGTTACATCCGAGATAGTCATTTTACAGTCTCCATCAAGTTTAATGGCATACCTTCTTTCGACAAGTTTTTGCTGACGAGATCCAGATAAGCATGCACAAAGATCGGGAAAAGAACGGATCGCAATTCCGGCTAATTTTTTCCAGATGGTATGAGCGGGCTGCTTCTTACGAAATGGCGGTGGCCCTGAACTTACTTTATACCAATCCAGGGAATTCTCGATCCACTCTCGAAGACTTTTGTAACTAACATCGTATGCTTCAGGATCGTCAATTTCCTCGTTAGTTTTGGAAGATTCTGGTTCTGGTTCTTCAGCTGGTTCCTCTATAGGCTCAGGCTCCAATTCTTTCAAGAATATTCGTTCCGTTGCCTTGTAACCTTTCTTCTGTAAATAGGACAATACAATTTTATCCAAATCGGATGGGGATGGCATGTTAAGAATAGACGCTTGTTGCTGTTGTGAAGAATTAGGGTCCGCATTGGGACCAGAAGGCCCAGGAGCAGCTACGTTTGGCGGTGCAGGCGAATTGGACATGGCATTCAATCGGTGAGCAGTGAAAGGAACGCGAAAGCGAGCTGTCTCCAGCGCCCTTTTTTGGCAGTGACGTCACATCCATTTATGCGGTGGCTTGTCCACAAAAGCAATAGCAGCTTTTTCCGCTGCCTACTCGTTCTGTATATCAAAGTTGCACCTCAATTAGGAGCCTAATAAGACGTGCATTTGGCGGTGCAAAAAAAGGGCCATCTTATGTCTCTTGTTAGAAACCGTGTGAATAAGTCGCCTTAAAAATGGTGTAGATGACAGCTTTGTCGCTTCAACACTGCACACACAGCATTTTAATAAAATGTAGCAATCCAAAAACAAAGCCAATATTTTACATAATACATAAGATTTATTACATGATCTTAAAGCTAGGCTTGAACGTATCATTTGAAAGGAATGGAAACCATGCAACAGAACTTGGTTCCTGCAAAAGAGCCATTCAAATTTCGGTGAAAGCTATTGAATTGTAGCTCCGCCGGAACCGCTCGGGGTTCCGAGCGCAGCACAAGGCAGGACATCTGGCTGGTGATCGTTTGCTCTTCCTCTTTACCCGAAATGGTGAGTAAATCTTATAATTTGAGACAAGAGAATGGATGTAGAGATAAGAATAGGATGGGAGGGATTGATATTACAGATATCGATGATTGGGTGAACGGATGGATGGATGGATGGATATCGAACGGCCTTTTTTTTTCTATTACCTGGAAATGGTGGCGATCATACAAAAGTAAGATGAGCATAATGCTAATGGATATTTTTGGGGGAATCGTATAGCCTACCAGACTTCACCATAACCGTAAGAAGCGTGGTCACGTCTCGGCCGGTCACGGTCGTGTTGGCAAGCACAGAAAGCATCCTGGTGGTCGCGGTCTTGCTGGTGGTCAGCACCATCACCGTATCAACATGGATAAGTACCATCCCGGTTACTTTGGTAAGGTCGGTATGCGCCACTTCCACTTGAAGAAGAACCAGACCTGGCGCCCCGTTATCAACCTCGACCAGATCTGGTCTTTGGCTGGTGAAGGTGTTCGTGAAAAGTACAAGAACACCGAAAAGGTTCCCGTCATCGACGCTCTCCAGAACGGTTACGGCAAGGTCCTCGCCAAGGGTTCCGTCAGCCAGCCCGTCATCGTCCGCACCCGTTATGTCTCTCGCCGTGCCGAAGAAAAGATCAAGGCCGCCGGTGGTGGTAAGTGCAACTCATTGTTGATGATTATTGACGGGGTCTAACTTTTGTCTTCCATTGTTCTTTTATTCTTTTCTGCAGTTGTCGAATTGATTGCTTAAATCATGAAATAAAAAAACCAACTCAATGTTCATACATCTACTATATTATTCTACACATTTTATATACATATGCGTTTTTTGTTATACACTCTGTATGGTTTTACAAATGGGTAACTTGTAGGTTTCGAGCACCCAGTATCTGTGAATATGCAAGGAATGAATGAGATGATTTTTTCTGCCAACGCTCCCATTTTTCCCAACTTACCGTTGACGGACGCCATCCCAAACCCCCTTTTCGTCAGCCGTACCGATCGGCATTTCGACGTATTCCGTGCTTAGACCGAAATCGTGCAGATCGACTTCAGATACACGGCAATAGATGTCATGGAAAAATTGATTCGTTGCCCCGAGACCGTTGAACCATGTATAGATACCGTCTGTTTTCAGGATATTTGGTACAGCTTCGTGGAATGCGCGAAGGTCATCATAAAACTCTGTGACAGCAGGTTAAATTAGAGATGGCACAATTGGAAAGGAAGGTCGCAATCAGGAAAAATTACCTCCATAGGTATCGAAAAAGATGCCATCAAATGTCGTGGTCAAAGTCGGTACAACGTCTTGCCAGCGACCGAAAAGGATTGTCACACCGGGTTTTTTATCCCAACCAAGTTCCTTCATGTGTGCGTAAACGTCGGGATGGGCTTCGATGATATAGTGGTTGCGAGGTTTGTACTTTTGAAGCTCGGAATCAATCAAACCGAGACCAAAGCCTACGTTCAACACATCCAATCCTTCCCGAGGGCACATCACTTTGGCATGTTCCACCATCAATGGTCCTTCCCAACCCATCATCACAGCGTCGTTGTTCGCATCCAAAAGTTTGTTATCGTCATAATGCAGCTTCTGATGAAGATAATCCTCGTTGGGCGCGCCTTGTGCTTCGTCGTCATCGTCTTGAAAAGCGGCCTTCAAAGCTCTCAAGATAAGTTCCGCGCGCGTTCCTTCATCGACCAGTCGTTCATACACCTTAGTGTGTCCGTTCTGCAATGCCAGCTCTCCTGCCGAAACCTCTTTCTTATCGAGCAAATTGTACGGGTGATGTTCAGATAGTAACCAGTCGATAACATCCATATGACCGTGTTCAGCGGCGTGGTGAAGAGGTGTGCGGCCCAGATCATCGCCATTGAAGCAAATATCAGCGCCTTGTTCCACTAGCGATTTGGCTTTTTCCTGAAGCAGCGGACGTCAGACTACCGAACTACGAACATAGGTCATGTCATAAATTTACCACATCACCGGCAACAACTGCAGCAATCAAGTCATTGCCTTGTTTCAACTCTTCGGCCGTATAGTCTGCTTCCTCGTCTTCTTGCTCGTTGACTTGCGTTTGACTTTCTACTGCAGGTGCGGAATCCTCCTGAGGTTCATCATTGACGACGATGTCTTCCGACTTTTGTCTTTTAGAGTCAGGTTCTTCGTTGACGCGATCCATTGTTCCAAATACTATGCAAATTTGGGCTTTTTTGACAAGAAAAATTGTTTTGGCATTTTTCCGGATTTCTGATCCGAGTGGCCGTATACAAGCCACTCAAATAAGGGTAAATCGCTTATGCAACCAAATGTATTTTGGCATTAAAGACAATTAATATTCAAGCTGAATTGATAATTGGTACGGAAGACTTAGCATACAATGGGTCCCTTCATTTGTATACCTTTATTACAAGGTATCCATGGAAACGTGTCGTGGAGTCGGTTTCTTGTGAGCAGGAAACGGTCAAGTCTGGCGTACCTTCCTTTTTCGGTTTATCCGACGTCCCTCGCGCTCCGCAGGAATTTTTTAAAAAAGGGGACTCTGGGACTTTGTGCATGGACCCAGACCATGGCAAATACCGATGTGGACAATGTGTTAAAAGGTGCATTCTAATGAGTCTGGAGTACGGCATTGTTTACTAACATAATAAAACCAAAGACGTGGGTGATCTCGACAACGTTTTGTTCCAGAAGCCTCAACAGAGATTACAGCATGAACTCGGAGCATTCGTTCAAGCTTTCGACGTGAGTCCTGGCTTGCATTTGACAAGATTTCACTTTCTCATTAAATACATGGATAGGACAACTGTCACAGCAAGATCAATCCCGAAACGCTCGCCAGTCATTATGTTCAGCTTGTACAAAGTGTTCAACAACTGGAGCAAGCCAAGCAATGCCACTTTGACTTTGAAGAGATATCAAACCAAGGTGGGTGATACACCGCGATGTGGATAGGTGTGTTTTTTCTTACCTTCCTTCCTTTATTGTAATACTATTATTGCAGCCAGCACTACAAAGGAACGTTTAGCAGCTCTTCAGGATATCATCACACAGACGGAACACTCACCGGAAACCGATGAACTTGACGTGCAACGGCAAGAGTTTCTGAAAATGTTGGAACAGAAACAAAAGAAAGACCTTCAGCGTTGGCAAATGGAAAAGGACAAACTAGAAGAATATTATACCAAGAAAACACGAGAATCAACCTATCGAAATTTGGTGGGCTCCAATGCATGGTCGTAACCCGGTTCAATTTTTCCTCAAACAGCGCCCAAAAAGCTCAAATACCATTCATGGATTGGCTGCTGAAGTGACCTCCTTCGCAATTTACTGTTAAACGTGAAAACAGAAGCACAACCAAGATATACGATCTTTTGGTGCAAACAACAATTGTGAGAAAACCCAATAGTAAAGATGGGACTTTTCCTTTCTTATCGAAAGCAAAACTCATGATTCCCCAATACCGATAAACCTTCTTTTTTTATCTCGCTCAAAAAATCAACCTCAGCAAGCAGTCAATGATGGTCGATGCGCAAATTAAACTGCTCTAATGTTATTTAAATACTACATGTCAAATGAAAATGTTTCTATTATTGCAGTTACATGATAAAAAACCCAGCTTACTAAAACAATACAAAATCACCATCGTCAGGTATATCACCAGTGACGGTCGGTGTTACTCGACATCACCTTTGTGCTCATGGCAACCCGATTTGTGGCAATTCTCTTGTCAATGCCCAATTTGCCGAAAAAGGTGCCAGACCTTCCACCGCATGGAAAAAAAAAAGAATACGCTTACAAGTGATTTACAAGCCAGTAAAACATGAGTGTTTCGAAATGTTCATTGACACTGGCATGCCGCAGCCCGTGCTTCTCGGTAGGGTATACTTGCAGGTAGTGAGGTTTCTTATGCTTCAGGAGCTCAGCGACAAGTTCTTCCGTATTGCGAAAGTGAACATTCTCGTCGATATATCCGTGAGCAATCAGCAATCGGTGATCACTGTTAAATAATAACCCGTTCAGTGGTCCCATTCTATTTGTATGAATGGCTGTCTTTTTTTACTTACGTGTCCGGGAATTGCCCGATCCAATGCAGAACACTACTACGCGCGTAATTATCCGCATACTCGGACGGCAGGCCCATGTATCGTTCTGTATAGGCAGCATCGTATAATTCCCAACGTGTCACGGGGGCTCCGGTGATGGCTATTTTGAAAAGGTCGGGGTACTGAGCCAATCCCATGAGACTCAAGTAGCCTCCATACGACCAGCCTGTCACGGCGACTCGGTCCAGGTCAATCACACTGTGCAACATTCCATCCTCTGTCGCTTGTGCACCAAATTTGCTGTTGGCCAGATACTGGAGCCCTGCTATCTGATCTTTCAATTCGATCATGCCCAGCTTGTGTTTGATATATGACTCGAACTTTAAACCTCGATCGCATGAACCGCGGCCATCCATAATCACCACCGCAAAACCAAAGTAGGTCGACATCAAATAACGAAGTAATCGTGCAAACTTGAAATCATTGGTCACCAATTGCGTTTTCGGCCCGCCATAGATGTATAGAATGGTGGGGTAGCTGTTCCCTGCTGCGTAATTCCTTGGTTTATACAAGCATCCATGTAGACGAGTTCCTGCGTTGTATGCAATTAAATACTCACACCATCTGCAGATGCAACAAAAATCAGGAAAAAATGGGGATCTTACCATCATTGGCAGGAAATGTAAAGAGTTCTCCCCGGGGTATCGATTGCTTGTTCTGGGTGACATCAGTGACAGAATCTGGTGGACAAAGCCAGACATCGTTGCTTTTGAATTTATATTCGCTTGCAGGAGGAGAGGTCGGTGATACCGTGATGTGACTATCCTGACTGCCATACGATGTACCTGTATCCTCAAACTCATTTTCGTCCTCTTTGTCAAAGATGGATGCCAGCAGGACGGTATTGTCGTCGGAGACCGTGGGCAAGGCGCCATGCGAGCTGTAGTTTAGCTTTCGCAGTGCCAAAACAGGTGGCTGGCTTAAGCTAGAAAACTGGTCCACAAATACGCCCAGCTCCAGGTTCATGGTAATGGTGTGACTGAATCCAGGCGTCGTCAGGAGAACGGGGGTGCTCCGCTCATTGTAACGCACGACATAGAGATGGGTTTCCAGATCGGAAGGATGTTTGGCAGTAAAGAAAACCAATTGACGCCCTTCATCTACCTGAATTGATTTATCTGTAACACACCAATCTCCTTCTGTCAGTTGTCGTACGGTGCTGGTTCCGGTAAGATGATCTTGGATCACTAGATACAAATGTCGAAACCCAGACTTTTCAGAGCTCCAAATGAATTCGGTACGACCAACGGATGTCGAGTTTAAGAAATGATAAGCGTCTGCAATATTGATCCATATGTCGGTTTCTTCTTGCCACAAAATATCGAATTCCAAAGACGGCGTGTCTCCTTGCTGTTGCATCCGCTGAAATTCCTCGAATGTCCTGAACTGTGTGCAGCTTATCCTCAGGACCACCATGCGTGTTTGATCCCTCGAAAGTAGTTGCAACCATACACTAACACTCGCGTTAGGTGGATACTCTAGTTGAGATTTGCAGGGTGAACCCACCTTTGATTGTCCGGAAGCCAGCCGAATCGAACAATATACTCTATCCAAGGGAACGACTTGCGCAAGGCGGGATCCCAAATCCGTTTATGTACAATGGAACTGTTGTCATCGCCAAAGGACGGCTTAAATTCGACAAGGCGTACTGAACTCTTAGCATTGGGGCGTCCAGCGCGCGGGTAACGGATAGCTTCTGGAGGAGTTTTATCGGCCACGGAATTGACCTCGGTATCAGCCGGCGCCACCAGATCGACCTCTTCTTCTGACGTTTCCAGATATAAAATGCGATTCACCTCCGACTCGGTTACAGGTTCCCAATAATAGCTCGTAAATCGGTGAAACTCTTCCTGCAAAACGGTTAAACGAGTGTCGCCTCGAAAAAAATATATTCGTTCCCAAATTTCACACCTGCATCATGTATTCCGCCACACCGCAGCTGATTGCCGGTTTCGAAGGGTCCTGGGCGCAAAACGTCAACTGTAATTCACATCCGTCGAGATTACAGACCCATATGTCTCGATTGCGAATAAAAGCCACGAGCTCATTGTGATAGCCGCCTAATTTAGGATCCGCTCGCATACATCGGTCGGCGACGTCGGAACCTTTGGTGTAAGTGGTTTTGGAAGAAGTGTGATCAAGTGCACACGTTGACAGTGAAGTAGGTGAATTCGATAAATAAGATGGCACCTGCAAAGTCGATTGAACTTCACTTGGCTGAGGAACCAGCACCGGCATCTTGATCAAAAAAGTTGCTTAGAAAAAATTTCTTGCATAAAAAAGAAAAAAACCGCATTGACGTCTGCCCTTGTTTGTACTCACCATGCCATTGTCTCGAACGTACATACGATTATCGTTACCAAAGACGATGAGCATTCTTCCGCTCGAGTATTCATAGTAAGTGACGCCTTGGGGTGGCATCGAGACCTCTGACAGCATGGGTGAATCATTGGACGGGTTAGAGGCCATGTCACCAAGGAACGCTTTCGACCAAGTGAGAACTGGTAACGTAGACAACTTGTTCAAGTTTCCCTCGTTTCCCTTGTGCAGCTTGCCGTTGACCGAGGTATCTGTGAATAGACCAAAAAAAATTGTTCGTTTAGAGACTATCCAGGCTGTGCTTGTTTCGCGTTGTTTTCCATACTTACCTTTTGCAGACAAGATATCATTATCCGAGAGAAATCCAGCAAAGTCTACTTTATACAGTGCTAAATGGCGACTAAGACTGCCGTCGTCTGTAATGTTGTTGGCGAGGAAATAAAGTGTGGAGGACGAAGCATCAATGGCGAAATCTTTGATGACGGCCAATGCTTGGGCAGGAAAGCTTGCGTGAATTTGGGCCCGAAATGTTCTGACTTGCTGTCGGATTTGATCCCAGTTATAGGATTTGGACATGTCAAGCAGCCAGGCAAGAAAAGTGAAGACGGGGACAGTGTGGAAGCCAAAAAGAGGATTCGAATGATTGCGCGAGCATGATTGCATTGGAACGATTTCCCAAACTCAGATCGGCCGCATCGACATCACGTGCTTGCCGGATCAGTGGAGTTTTTCACCTACTTTTTTTTTCTGGGTGTTTCCCCCAGTGGAGATAGTTCCTGCTCTCCCCTCTCGAGCACCCTTCCAGTCTATGCTTTGAATTTTCTTGGCCATGGATCCTTATTTTGACAATATCTCGTCTTTCAATCCGCAGCTTTACGAAAGCACCAATATTCCGCCTCCTACCGATCGTATGTTTGACTACAGTGGCTACGCCGCCGGTCTCATTACTACCACCACTCCTTCGCAATTTGACGCTGGACCTTCAGTTGAACCTCCTATGAATCGTGGCAAAGTTCCCCCTATTCTACCATCGTTTCAGGCCATACCGTCCTCTACCACCACATCCGTGCCAGAATCCAACCGATACTCCGGCATGTACACCAGTACAGGATTCGACATGTTATCGGTCCTTTCACGAGTCGTGAATAGGTAAAGATATAAAAAAGTCGATCTATCATTCCTTTCCCACCGCTCGTAATGAAAGAAAAAAAAACTGACCCCGCTCTCCAAAAAGACCTAATCCACAGATTAACCTTGGGCCCATCGATTTGTCTTGTTCTTTTGTCGTCGTAGACGCTCGGCAATACGATTTTCCTATTATCTACGCTTCGCCCATGTTTGAACGCTTGACGGGATACGCACCTAGCGAAGTGGTGGGCCGCAACTGTCGATTTCTTCAGGCACCAGATGGAAGAGTCGTAATCGGTTCTCGACGTAAATACACCGACAATACAACTGTGTATCACATCAAAATGCATATGGTCCAGGGCAAAGAATCACAATCAAGCATCATTAATTACCAGAAAACAGGGCAGGTACTTTTTTAAAAAAGAGTGTTGGTGAAATTATTTTTTCATGGTGAGATGTTTAACAACTGATGATTTTGCCAATTCTTACAGCCATTTGTAAACCTTCTTACCATTATTCCTATCGCGGCTAATTCGGACGAGATTGAATATTTTGTTGGACTTCAAGCCGATCTTGTCGAACAACCAAACACGGTTATTCGCAGTATGAAGGGTAGTTAAGGTATTTTCATTATATTTTGGGGTGGGAAATAGGGATACACTGATGAAGACCAAAAACGAAACCACCGCCCCCCTCCCCCACCACAACCACCACCACCCATCCCCCAAGTTCATTGTAAAACTGCAAGCCTCACCATGGGATATCTGAGTGAAAGAGAGGGGCGTGAAAGCAAGGTTACACAGTCCACTTGCTTACGCAGGATTGCTGTAGACGGCACCTATGTCCTCAATTATCGCAATATAACTATACCACAAACCATTCGTGCAAGCAAGTATCACCTCATTGGATGATCGGATCTCGTCCTTTTAACACTAAATATATATATATATATATTTGTAGATGGCGACTTTGAACCGGACACAAATGGCAAAGATCCTGTTAAAGAATGGATTCGGCCACCGTCACCGAAGTCAACTATAGCCACGGTTGACAATGAAACACCAATGAATGTCGAGAGTCTCATCAAAGAAGCCAATACGGATGATGGACGATTCCGACGTTGTTGGCATGAGCTCTTGTTAGATCAGAGTCCGGATATGATCCATGTATTGACCATCAAAGGCATCTTCTTATACGTGTCGAAAGCGACAGAAACCCTTCTGGGTTATAAGCCTTCTGAACTGTTGGGCAAATTGCTCAAAGACATTTGTCATCCGTCCGATCTGACCACGGTCATGAGGGAGCTTAAACAAGCGTCGAGTGATTCCATGGATCCTGTCAATCTGATATATCGGGTAAGAAAGAAAAACTCGGACTATATGTGGATTGAATGCTCGGGAAAGTTACGCAACGAAGATGGAAGAGGGCGAAAGTACGTCGTTCTTTCGGGTCGGGAACGCCCAATGTACCAATTACCGCGGCGTGTCCTGGGCCTGGGACAAAGACTGTATCTCAGCAATGATACGTCGAGAAGGAGTGCTTACAGCCGAGGGGCAGATGATCACATATTTTGGAGTAAACTAAGTATGGACGGGCTGCTATTATACACGAGTTGGGCATGTGCCAATATTCTGGGGATACCACCGAACGACATCATTGGCATGTCGTTGTACCAGCTTATGCGAAGTAACCGAACGACCGATCTCACGCGTGCACTGGCCGAAGTGAAAGAAGGCAAAATTGTTCACTTGCAACACATCTTATTAAATCATGCAGGCATGGAAGTTATGGTGGACTCGGTATTCTATCCGGACGGTGCAACCTCGGCCAGTGATCGTCCATCATTTGTTCTGATGCAAACCAAAGTCATGGATGCCGACACCACGAACGATGCCAGTCCCGCGTTTGTTTCTATAGATCCCAATACTGTCGAAGCCGACACAAAAGAAACCCTCGACGATAGGGCCGACGATTTAAAGCCTAGCTCCACTGGCTCCTATGATCAAATGGTGGAGGAACTAAACATTGCAAGGAACGCCAATTGGCAATACGAGTTACACCAACTGCGCATCAATAACAAACGGCTGCGTGATGAACTCGGTCAATTGATCAAGAAACTGCGAGAGGTAAGCGAATGGGCTTCGATGGATCCAACGGTATCGGTAACTGAATGGACACTTTATACTTAGGAAGGAAAAGGGACCGAAAGTGATCTCACTGTCTGTTCATCATGTTTCCGTCGACTTCCTGGATTGAAGGAGTTGCCTAGCCAATCATCGCAGAAATCTCTTTTATGCAATACATGCACGCTGAATACCATATCATGAAAAAATAACTTCGCATTTATCCTTTTTTTTCTTTTGTTCTACTAGCCTCGCATATCATAATCTGCTGCGTATACTTGTTCAATATTATAGTCATTGATTTTTTATACATAACAAGCTTTCTTTTGCTGATCGATTTTTTTTCAACAGAGAGACATGTTCTTTTATTTTTGTTTGTATAGCTGTTCCCAAATAAAAGTGCCGAGAAAATGAAGGAACCATGGGGTGCGTCTTTGTCAGACAATTCATGCCAAAAAATCGTCTTTGGGCAGCATTGATTGGATATAATCCAAAAGCCTTTGCAAGCCGGCCGGAGTTGTGACTATTTTTATTTTGTTCGGTAAGGAATTGAAATGGGCTTCCTGAAAGCTTCCCAGCTGCTTCCCTATCCTTTCAACGAAAATGGCATCCATTGGTGTACGTTATCCATCCATTCAATCCGCTGTGATGATCATATCATGATGAATCCGTCCATGCTAATTTCTTGTATATTTTGAACAGATCATCAAGTCGTACCCTCAGAACCCTCGTGCCGCCAAGGCCGTGATTGCCGTAAGTAGAAACTGAATTCGAACAAGCCATGACAATAGTAAAAGCTGACCATTTAATTTTCTTTGGTTGATGAATAGGCTGCCTACAATGGCGTCGAAGTCAACATTCAGGACTTTGACATGACCCAGCTTAAGGATGAAGCTTTCATTTCCAAGTTCCCCATGGGCAAGGTTCCCGTTTTCGAGAGCCCTGAAGTCGATCTCTTTGAATCCTCCGCCATTGGTTACTATGGTAGGTGCACAGAAAAAACGTTCGAAGAAAGAGAGCAAGAGTGACTTATTGTATTGGTTTAGCTGCTGCCATCAAGGAGAACTCTCCCCTTGTCGGTGCCAATGCTGTTGAGAAGGCTTTGATCATGCAATGGGTTCTCTTTGCTGACAACGAAATCAACAACAACGTTGGTCAGTGGATCTACCCCTTGATGGGCTACATGCCCTACATGAAGCCCACCGTTGACGGTGCCATTGAAAAGACCAAGAGAGCCATGGCTGCTTTGGACAAGATCTTGTTGACCAAGACCTTCCTTGTTGGTGAATCTGTCACCTACGCCGATATTGCCCTTGTCACCTCCCTTGTGTTGCCCTACAAGGTCGTTTTCGACAAGGCTTTCCGCTCCCAGTACAAGAACGTCACCCGTTACTTCAACACCCTCGTCAACCAGAAGCACTTCAAGGCCGCCCTTGGTGAAATCACTCTTTGCGAGACTCCCTTGAAGTACACTCCTCCCAAGAAGGAGAAGAAGGAACCCAAGAAGGAAGCTCCCAAGAAGGAAGCTGCCAAGAAGGAAGCCGCTCCCGCTGAAGAGGCTCCCAAGCCCGCTCCCAAGCCCAAGTCCGCTCTTGACTTGCTCCCTCCCTCCAAGTTCGTCATGGATGAATGGAAGCGTATGTACTCCAACAACGACTCTGATGTCGCCATGAAGTGGTTCTGGGAACACCACGATCCCGAGGGTTACTCTCTCTGGAGAGTCGACTACAAGTACAACGACGAATTGACCATGACTTTCATGTCCAACAACTTGATCGGTGGTTTCTACGCTCGTCTTGAACGTGCCAAGAAGTATGCTTTCGCTTCCATGGTCGTCTGCGGTACCAACAACAACAACACCATCTCTGGTTACTTCCTTATCCGTGGTCAAGAAGTGCCCTTCGAAGTCTATGATGCTGCTGATTACGACTCTTACTCCTTCAAGAAGATCGAACCTTCTGAATACGAAAGCAAGAAGGATGAAATCTACAAGTACTTTGCTTGGGAAGTTGAGGGTTTCGCTGATGGCAAGATCTTCAAGTAAATTTTTTTTCTCCATCACTCCCACTGTTTTTCATGCATCATGCCAAATAAAATTGTAATCGTTTGCAGTTGTATCAAGTCCACTTTTCCCGTAATAAATTGTCATCTCTCGTATTAATATATCGCGTTTCAAAGCCATGCTCTTCACTTTGGTAAAAAAAAAAAGACTGGACGATGCCAAGCCACACAGGTGGAGAAAGAAAAAAGCCCAATTTTTAATGTCCCACTTCATCCAACCATTCCAGTTTGTTATTGAGCTGCATAATGATGTTTGGAGACGAGAGAGAGGAGACTTTACGCGAGGTAGCTGCCCTCGGTAATATCAAGGCGGTGCATCACTTTATTCATGCAGGTGTCAATATCAATTCTCAGAACAAGATGAATGGCTGGTGAGTACAGTTGGTAAATCGGCAAATTTGGATGATGCATCCTATATGTTCCTTGACACTGATGTGTAGAAAAAAGGACGGCCTTACATTGGGCGGCTCACCGCGGTCACGAACTCATTATACGGCAATTGTTGGGTAACGGCGCTGATCCGAATATCAAGACGAACAAAGGTCAAACGGCATACGACTTGGCCGCCACATACGATACGATTGCTTCTTTACTGAAGGATGCCATGGGCGAGGTCGATACTGCTACTTTACATCCCGAACCCGACCTGCCTGTTGTTCCTTCTTACCTAAAAAATCCGGATCTCGAAAAGTCATGGCTTCACCCAGAGGAATTTTCTGAAAATAAGCTCGAGAAAATTGTACGTCAACAAGCCGCGGTCGATGCCGTGCAGGAAACCGCCCCCGTCGTCACCTCTTCCCAACCTCCTACACAAAAAGAGCACGTATCGTCGACTCCTTTGGAAACAGAGAAAGAAATTCTGGTATACCTTGGCTCCCGGTCCGATGAAAATATCCTGGGATCGATTTTTTTGAAGAATCAAACGATCGATGCCGTGATAGACCAAATGAAAGAGGTACGTGTTCGAGTGTTCAGTGATTTACTCTCTTGTGATACTTATCATACGTTGCAGGAATTGGACAATGTACCCTCCTCATTTTCGATCGCCCGTCACAACGGGAAAATGGCTATTCCTATCAACTCGAAGCAGATGAACAAGAAACTTTTAGATTTATTCCGCAGTGATGACGATGTCCTTGTTATTATTCCCTCCTCTTCTTCATAAGTAAGTACCAAATTGTCAAGCACAGTTCACGATCCTTTGCTCATTGAACCAGTTTACAGAATCATATAATAAAAAACACAGTAGACCATAAGGAGTTTACATCTTTTTTTATTTTATCTTTCCACGGTCGCAATTGATGTGCTGGCTGATGCGGTTTCTGATGAAAAAGATGCTGGTTTTGTCATAACCTGTGTCTTTCTTATTGTGCAAGGGAAATCATCCCCGAAACCAAGAGCAACCAACAGACTTCAACTAAGACCCGATGTAAAAAGGTTTAGCATAAGGGACAGAACCAAGTCTGACATGCAAATGGGGAATCAAGGGAAAATTGAATGAATAAAAAAACATCCCTTTCGGGAATTTCGGTAGTTTCAAATTCGCCTTCTCTGGGAATGTGGCATGTTTACGTCTATACGGTGTTGAATTTTGCATGTCATGGTCAATGATTAATAACGGATAGTATAGAGAGGAAACAACTATCATAGTCATCGTTGATTCATCGTACTGTTTATTGCACACAGATGGAAGAACAGGCGAAAAAGAATGGGTGACATGGACTATTTTTGCGACAAGATGACTGGATCCATACATCCAGTCATTGGTTATGTCTATTTTGGTATCATCTATGGATTCAGTTGGCTGCGCTATTTCTGATTCGGATCCTTTCTTTCTTCTTGTGTTCTTTTTTTTTTCGTACTTCGGCTATTATAGAAGCTGGCGGATTTCTCTTCTGTTCTAATTATTCTACGAAAACGACAAAGAAGAGGAGATCATGGTATCCTCTTCGGAGAATAATAGCCACGATGATAGTGGTCGTACCGAACCATCTTCGCATTTGGAACCAGCGGCACAGATACCCGGATCTCCCTCTAGTCGAAAGTCAGTACCATCTAATTTACGTGTTGATACATCAATGAGAGACCAATCCTCTGTCAGTTCAAACCACTCAACCCATCAGACGACGTCTCGGCCTCCCAATACCCCTTCCCATCAACGTGACGCTCCTTCTGAGAAAGATGACGCTTCAAAAATCGATCTCGCGGAAAAAGCAATCACGGAAAGCGAAACTCCACGCGCCGAAGATCTTCGCCGAGCTCGGTATTTGACCTATACCGCCGTAAAAGAAGAGGAAGAAGCGAAACCCAAAGGATGGAAAGGACCCGGTAGTTACTGGGTAGCGGCAAGTTGGGCTTTCACGTGGTGGGCGCCACCGTTGATTCTGCGCGTCTTTGGTACAGCCCACTCTAACAGATCCGTGTGTATACATGCAGATACGAAATATTAACCAAAGACATGCATTTATATCTATCTGGCAGGAATCCGTGACAAACAGATGCAACAAGCTTGGCGAGAAAAAGTGGCGCTGGTTCAGATCATCATATTGCTGTGTGCGGCTGTGGGTTTTTTGACGTTTGGATTTAATGCCACGGTGTGCGGTCGACAGCCTAACCGGATCAAGCCTGCCGGTGTGGCCAACGATCAAATCATCATATCCGGTCGAGCCTTTGATCTCAAAACCTTCCGACATCCTACACCGTATCCTGGTGTCCCCGGCAGCGGTGATCTGCAAGAGTATGGCTTGGGCGGAAAAGATTTATCCTTCATGTTCCAAGTCGTCAACTACCATTGCAAGGATCTCTTAATACCGCTTATTGCCGACGATGCCAAAGGAAATGTCGCCAACTATTTCCCTTGTGTTCCCATTGATCGTTACGAACCTGCACTTAACAGTACCGATAACCCGAAACGCGACGGGTGCCACATTACACGCAAATCACGAAGAGCGCTGCGACGATTAAAAGTCGTTGGCGATGTATATTACAACTGGACAGACATTCAGCAACCAGGCACGAGTTTAGTGGCTTTCAACGGGTGAGTCCATATCTTGAATGCCACAAAGAAAAAAAAAAGTGCGGTGCATGAAAATCATACTAAGGGGTTCACTGCCAAAATCTACAGCAATGTTCTTGATCTGTCACGGCTGCGGTATCTGACACCCAATGTTCCTTTGCCACTGTCAATCGCCCAATTTGTTGGTCCCGGAAGTGCATTTATTGGCCGCGATGCCACCTATTGGTTGACGACGACGGCCGATCGGTTAAAGTTGGGTCAATGTTTAACGGATATACTCAAAGTCGGCGTGTTGGACTCCAAATCCGCTGGGTGTATTATTTCCGATATCGTGCTCTGGGTATCGTTGGCGGTTATTCTTGGGGTGGTTTTGATCCGTTTTTTCCTGGCTCTGATTTTTGGATGGTTTTTATCATGGAAACTGGGGAGTATTCGTGAGGAAACGGCCGAGGAACGGAGACAACGGCAGGAAGCCGTGCTGGATTGGGAAATGAACAACGTCGAAGATATGCATTACCCTCGAACGCGAAGTATTGCATCCGTACAAGACCTGCAAAATCCATCTAACAACTCTCTTTCGACCACCGACATGGATGCTGCGGCTGCTGGCACGCCTGGAGCCGTTCACACACGTAATAACAGTACCAGCAGCGTTTCGTCCGGCCGAGCCGCCATGGGTACACCCAAAGCCAAACGTCGCTTTCTTCCCATCACCTCCCGATTTACTCAACCCAATTCGCCGAGCCAACTGAAAACGTCGCGCTTTTACCATGCCAACGGGATGGAAAGTCCTCTCCGCACTACCCCATCCTCGCCAAATCATATGTCGTATATGCTCAACTCGAGTTTTTTCAATACTTTCGATTCACTGGCTCTTCCACAAAGCGGGTCGGCTTCCAATCTTCAAGCCCAAGAGCAATACAACTTCAATTTTGACCTTATTCACACCTTTATGGTCGTCACATGCTATTCCGAAGGTGAAGAGGGTCTGCGCACCACCATTGATTCACTGGCCAATACAGATTATCCTTCTTCTCACAAGCTGCTGCTCGTTATTTGTGACGGCATCATTATCGGTTCAGGCAACGGGGCGTCGACTCCCGATATTGTCTTGTCAATGATGAAGGATGATCTAGTTCCCCGTAACCAAGTGAAAGCCTCTTCGTACGTTGCGATTGCCGACGGTACCAAACGACATAATAAGGCCAAGGTGTATGCAGGCTACTACAGATATAACGACGATCCGAGTAAAGCTCCCGAAGTCGTTCCTGAATCCGAACAGAAGCATGTACCTATGATTGTTATTGTCAAATGCGGTGCTGAAGCGGAAGCCAAGGATAAAAAGCCCGGAAATCGTGGTAAACGTGATAGTCAAGTCATTTTGATGAACGCAATGCAAAAAGTGTACAACGGAGAACGCATGTGCGAACTTGAATACGAATTCTGCAAAGCCATTATCAAACTCACGGGATATCATCCATCAAGGTTCGAAACATGTCTCATGGTAAATTATCAGCAGTGTCAAATCACTTTACCGGGCGATCTTTGATATTAATTTCTCTCCCGTTACGATTGTTTAAATAGGTTGATGCAGATACCAAGGTTTACCCCGATTCTTTGGCGCGTATGATTGCTTGCATGTCGCGCGATGCTACTATTATGGGTTTATGTGGTGAAACAAAAATTGCCAATAAGGCAGACAGTTGGATCACGGCCATCCAAGGTATATATAAAAAAAAAAAATAGAAGTGATTCTACCTATTACACGTTTTTTGTCAGGTGGGAGAATTAACAAGATGGATAGTTTTTGAATATTATATATCACATCACATGAGCAAAGCTTTCGAGTCCATTTTTGGAGGTGTGACATGCTTGCCTGGATGTTTCTGCATGTATCGAATCATTGCACCCAAAGGCGACCGTTTTATTCCGATCTTCTGCTCTTCCGATATCGTCGAAAAGTATTCCGAAAACATTGTAGATACATTGCATAAAAAGAACTTGCTACTTCTCGGCGAAGATCGATATCTCACCACCCTCATGTTGCGCACGTTTCCAAAACGCAAGATGATTTTTGTGCCTCAAGCGGTAAAAGAAGAAAAAACCATGTCTAGTGAATATTGATGGCCATCTTATTTATTATGAATGTTGAATTCTTGTAGGTCTGCAAGACAGTGGTACCTGACACATTTAAAATTCTTCTTTCACAGCGACGACGATGGATTAATTCCACGGTTCACAATTTATTGGAACTGGTGCTGATTCGCGATTTATGTGGCACATTTTGCTTTTCCATGCAATTTGTGGTATTCATGGAACTGGTGGGCACGGTGGTACTGCCGGCAGCTATTTCTTTCACCATTTATCTTATTATCATTTCATTTTTTGTCACACCGGTGCCTCTGATTCCTCTGTTATTGTTGGCGGCGATTCTTGGTTTGCCGGCCGTATTGATTGCGCTCACCACACGTAAAATGGCCTACGTTGGCTGGATGATTGTGTACCTTGGGTCGTTACCGATATGGAATCTTGTGTTGCCAGCGTATGCGTATTGGCATTTTGACGATTTCTCGTGGGGCCAAACACGTCAAGTGCAAGGAGCCGGCGATGAAAAGAAGGAAGATCACGGTCGACGTGAAGGTGAATTTGACAGCACCGGAATTATTATGCGTCGATTCGAAGAATGGGCTAGACAAGAGAGGAAACTCATGGCAGAAAACAAAACCCCATCGTCCCAGCTCATTAGAGGTTACCCTGCCATATATTACGGTCATTAAATTTTGTTTTTTTCAGCAGTGCCCATTGTATCAATGCCATTTTTCATATTCTACCTTTTTTCAAAAGCGTTATCTTGCAGTATAGTTTTACTTGTTTCTATAAATACAATCCACCTTTTTTTTTTTTTTGCCACACATCACTTGTATCTTGCTCGACTTCTTTTTGGAAGGTTAAACCAAAAGTCTATGAATTGTACCTTTAAAAGCTATTTAGTGTAAGATTTGGTCCCATCTGCCTGCTGTTACCAGAAAGTGCAGTTACAGCTAATTCAAACCTTATCACAGTAATAAGTGTTCATTCTAAAGTATTTATAGGGAATTCATGTGTTTTTTTTTTCTTTTCTTTTTGCGTTACACGTTACGCTCTCTTGTGGAAGTTATCGCGAGAACGTAACAGTTACGCTCCCTTGTGTGTATGGAAGCAACTTTTCAGTCCGGATTGAAATAGACGGAATTATATGTGCTTTTGGGACAAGCAAGTGCTAAAAGACCATTTTGCTATTGGATACGCCTTGAAAAAAGGGATAAGATCGACAAAGTCACCAAAGTGGCATACTTGGCTGCATGGTCAGACTGACGTCTTTGGAGCGCCGCAGCGCAAATTGCACGTCACAAACGAGGTGCAGCCCAACTTTTTTATTTTTTATTTTTTGTCGGCGCGACCATATTGAGGCTATCCATCTCATTATCGAACGCGTACCATGGGTAATTTATTCCTGCATCTATTTAAGAGGCCCTTTACTTACTATCTTGACCACTTTTGATAGCCTTCTCTTTCGGAAACACCGGTGCTAATCAGCAAGGTACCGGTTTCGGTAGCTTTGGCGCAAGTAAGTGACGTTGAGAATGAGCAGTGTCGTTGCTGTTCTCTCATTAGGAATTTCAATAGACCAAAACACAGGATCCACCTTTGGGTCGTCTACTGCAACGCCGGCATTCGGAACGCAAACATCGGCGGCACCCACAACTGGATTTTCATTCGGCAGTTCGACCACGCCAGCCAGCACCACCACGGGTGGTGGAGGACTTTTTGGCGCATCCACCACTCCTTCCAACACCGCATTTGGTAGCTCCACCAATCCACCTGCCACTGGCAATGCCGGTTTTGGAGGATTTGGTGCATCCAATGCTGGCACCGGATTCGGTGCTTCAGCCAACAAAGGATTTGGTTCGACAGCCACCTCGGCTCCTGCCACTGGTCTCGGTGGCTTCGGTACGTCGGCCGCATCCGCACCCGCATCGACAGGCAGCGCCGGCTTTGGTTCGTTTGGCACCGCGACAGCACCTACATCGACCGGTTTTGGCGGCTTTGGCACATCTACGACGCCTGCTACTTCAGCTACCACGACGACGACGACACCTGCTTTTGGTGGATTTGGAGGTTTCGGTTCTACCGCGGCAACGACAACGACAAGCGCTCCTGCCACGACAGGTGCGACGAATTCATTGTTTGGAGCCAAACCAAGCACTCCAGGAGGCTTCGGCTTTGGACAAACCAGCAGCACACCTGCTTCAACAACAGCGACGTCCACCCCCGCTTCCGGTCTTGGCGGCGGTTTCTCCTTTGGAAATACCAACACAACTACCACTTCTACTGCGGCATCGGCTCCTAAAACTTTTTCGCTCGGCGGTGCTTCTACAGCTTCGAGCCAGCCTGCCTCGTCTGCTCCCAGCCTGGGAGGTAGCTTTGGTGGCGGCAGCTTGTTTGGAGCCAAATCGACACCAGCTTCCAGTAAGTGGTCACTGAATGGAATGTGGATATTGGGTCTTTTTTGAGTGTCTGATGAACTTTTTTCTTTACTCCTTTGCCATTTTAGCGGCTACTTCCACAGCTACTACTACAGCCTCAGGAACGGCTTCGATCCTAGGCAATAGCGCTCCTACATTGACATCACAACCTACAGTATCTGCAGCTGGTAGCGGCGCCAATGCCGCCGGTACAACATCCGCTTCTGCTCCTGTGGTCGCTCCCACTCCATCCTCGCTCAAGAATAAGACCATGGAAGAAATCATGAATATGTGGACAAAGGATCTCGAAAAATACACCAAACTGTTCCATCAACAGGCAGCTCAAGTATCTGAATGGGATCGACATTTGATCGCCAATGGCAGTCAGGTAAAATATTTCTTTTCAAAGACTGGTCTATGCAGGATATTCATGTTTGATATAGATCTCCAAACTTCACGATGAAGTGACCAAAATCGAAATGACACAACGAGAGATTGATCAGAATCTGGACTATGTCAATACACAACAAGATGAATTGAGTAACATACTTGATAACTACGAAAAACAGATCAAAGAAACGATGGAAGAGAGCAACTTACAGCAACCTATGCAGCCAGCGGATATCCAAAGAGAAAAGGCGTACACACTTGCAGAGAATTTGAACGGTCAACTGGACGATGTCAACCGTAACCTTACCATCATGATTGAAGAAATTAACAAGATGGGTGGTGCGCAACAATCGGCTGTTGATGAAGACGGTGATGTGGTAAGTTGTCTTGTACGATACAAGATGCGAGAATTTCGGTGACATGTATTAATTTCTTGGAATGGCGAATGTAGGTGGGCCAGATTGTGAAGATTCTTAATTCGCATTTGTCTTCCTTACAATGGATCGACAGTGCGTCCATGCAATTGCAGACTAAATTGAAAGAAGTTGCTCATCTGAAGGAAGAAGCTATCAGGAATCAAGATTCTGTATTGAAGAAGGCGTAACTGATTTGTATAGCATTAACTAAAAGAAGAAATAAACCCAAAACATCATGGAAATTGCTTGAATAGCTGCCCACAGTGCGTCACCTCACCGTTGTTTGTAAACAAGTTGGCCGCAGGAATACGATATACGAAACAAAGAATAATGGTTTTGGTGATGCTCATCATTTTCGGGAGGGCCTTACAAAATCAGGTAACAATGGATAAAAACGCGTGCGACGACATAGAATCATGCAGTTAGGAAGCCGCGACATGCGAAATAAAACTTTATCATACGGCGCCTGTTCTTGTGGGTCAGTAAACTCAAATCCAGATACGTCTCGCAAGATATGCATATTATCTAACCTCTCAAGGAGATCGAATCGGAAGCAAAGAGTTCACAAATTCATCACAAGACTTTTGAATGCCTTGAACGATGGGCGTTGCTCTTGCGCTATCATCCGACGATACAACAGTGCCATGGATACTTGAGATAAAAAAAAAAAGTTCTCTATTATACAGAAAAGAAACGGTGGTACTTGTTAATTTATCCGAGCGCATGAGAATTCATGCAGCATGATCACACATCTTTTTCATTTCTTATCTTTCTGTCACTCTCGGATGTTGTGGTATCTTTTGATGGCTGCACTGAGTAGCCTATCATAAACGTAGTAAACCATTGACGAGAAAGACAGTGTTTCTTTTTTGAAAGGGGCAACTTTGGTCATACCTAACAACGTCTTTGCTGAAACACCATGACATCCATGCATCTGGATTATGCGAGTTCACCCATACCTATCACATATCCGATTTCTAGCCTGCAAGAATAGTACAGTAATCATCGAAAGAAGGTATAATTATGAGTACGCTAGTTTGTTGTTTTCGGTTTCTCTTTGTTTCAATGAGAACATTATCACTTAACCAATGTATTGATCTTTGTTTTTGTTCGCCTTTAGAACTTGGATGTGGCTGACTTGCATCGTTCTTATAGTGGTGAATTTTAGAGTTTAGGGTTTTCAGCGATTAGAAATTTTGTTTGTGTTACTTGATGATGAAATTGAAGATGCACACGTGCGATCGTCATTGAAATAAAAAAGATGAATATTTGGAGGAGCGGACCTATTTCAGTCAAGTGATAAAATCATGCATGTTTCCTCACAATGTTTTGATGACTAAATGTTGACGGGTTCAAGCGACACATCAAGATTGAAAACTTCCCGAAAAAAATAGTGACAACGCCACCATGTTCACAGTGATACGTTGCCCAAAATCGGCTATTTAACGAGAAAAAAAAGGGGGTGACATGGTGAATGTTGTATATTTCTGATTTATTTTATTTTTTATATGTCCGATTCACAAAAAGCTAAAACTTTCAATAGAGACTGTTTCTCCCTTCATCCAATGTATTTCGATATGCCCACGTTCAAATTGAGACTTTTTCTTTCAATGACTTCAAAACTGTCCCTCACAAAGCCAGCATGGTCTGGGAAAAAATAAAATAAAAAAAAGGTCGCCATTTTTCTTGTTGCAGTTCCGTTTGAGTTTGCCAGAGAGTGAGTGTGTGAGTGAGCGAGTAATATTGATATCTTTTATATTAGATGGAAACATCTTCAATTTCTTTCAATGCGTTTTGCAATTCTTCGCTTTCGTGATCGAAACGTAATCCTGTTTGAAAGGCTTCTGCTGCTTCCTCGGCTCGACCTAATCCGTAAAGAGCCTTGCCTTTTCTAAACCAACCCTTGCTCCATTCACGCTTGAGCCGCGTCACCATTTCCGCATCCACATAAGCATCGACATAGTTCTTCAACGCGAGATGGGCAGCAGAGCGATTGCTGAGTACCGGCGCCAGTTCTTCACGAACGTACTGAAATGCAAGAGGTTCCCACAAAGGACGAGACCACGACAGGTCGACGGCCATGGTATAGAATCGAATAGCTTCATCGTAATTGCCCGTCTTGAAATGCTTGTTACCTTCTTCCTTGAGCCGAGTCACCTGAGCATTGCGCACGGGATTAGGTGCATTGGGTGGCGGTAATTCCTTCACGTGTTTCAATGTGGTGGCAAGAGCATTGTGGTCAGCCCAATCCACATTGCAGGCTTGACATTGATCAGCTCCGTGAGCTTTGCAAAGAATCCGTTCACCATCATTGGTGACGGTGACATCCCAACAGACTTGTGCCATATCTTTCGAGAGTTTTTATGTGGGTTTTGGTATCCTTGTTACAGAGAGAAAAAGAGTCTCGATACAAAAGCAAAAAGAACAAGAAGAAGAAGAAGAAGTGCACTGACTCGACTCTCTTTTTTTCCCTTTGAAATTTTCTGTCACCAGTTATTTCGTTCCCCGTCCCACAGGTGGCACCACCACCCTCATCGATCACCGTTCGTCCAATCGTAGACTGTAACATCTACAGGCCCTGTGTTTAATTTTTTATCATTTTCTCGATGACTATGTAAGTGAATTTGGAGTATGTCTAGCACTGAGCACCAAAAGGAGTGGTAGCCGATATGGGAAATCAAAACGGTATCCAGTAGCATTGCCTCTCAATACAAGCAATCTCGTGGATAATGTGTTTTTGGTCAAAACTATCCCCAAACACTAGATATATATACAGGTGCTTATGGGTTTTGACGTTTAAATTACTTGTGATGCTATTTCAGTTAACATAAAAGAACTGATCAGAGGGAATATGTCTTTTGCTAAATCCGCACTGCTCGATTTACCATGCGCTTCGGTCTTTCTGAAGCTCGAAATTTTGCCCAAATGGCTACTTTTAATACTATATTATATCCACACCTACCGTGCCAAGAAAGCTTTAACATCACCGACAAACAGAGTAACCGTTGAGTGCGTGTGATTGACATGGCTCTCGGAACTTTTTTTTTCATCAGTTAGTGCCCTTCTGTCCAGTCAAATGATATCTTCTACTTTTCACTCGCAAGTTACTGTCTATCATTATTCGCTTATGTATTTCGAGAAATACAAGCGCTTTAAATTGGCGAAACGGAAGATAAAACTCTAGGTGGATTATTACAAAGAGTATAGGGTTGATGTCATGCCAAGATGTGATCTGATCACAGAAGTGCGAAAAAGGAAATTCCATAAAATGGCATGGCTATCATGTCAACAGAATTCGATCTCAACCCTTGGTCAACATTGATGCGCTGCCATGAGTCTCACGATATATCATACCATCGCACACAGAATGGATGTTCAGCCCGCGATGCAAGTTGTGCTTTACAGTCCAACTTTTGAAATCTAATGAGAATATTTGATTTTTATCATGTGTATAGTTGATAGAGCTGATGATTAGATTGTCCACATTGGAAAAATTGTTATCTTGCGAAAAAGAACGAATATACCGAGGCGAAGTAAACCACCAGTCAACGACTTGTTTCCCTTTCCCCAGCAATTACTGCAAACTTTTCAGATACAGTATACCGGTATATCAACAAAGAATATAACATCAGCTCATTAAACCTATATTTTAATAGAGCGTTTTTTTTTGGCCTTGACATCGCCACTTTTTAACTACATGATCATTGCATAGTATAGCACACCAGCCAACGGAACGCAGGCAGGTCCGATTGCCTCTAAATTTTGGATCTCCGGTAGCACGTCACTGCTTTTTACTTTTCGGTTTTGCCGCTTTTGAGATTTTTTTTTTCTAGCTGCGTCAGTCTGCCTTGCCATCTACGAGTCACCGAACATGAGGTGAGCATTTGAACGGATAGATTGCCATGAAAGAAACCATGGAGACTGATTTCATCCTATTAGCACAATAGCAAACAAACCACGATCTGAAATGACCGAGGAAGAGCTCCGTCAGCAGGAGGAAATGGAGTTCAACACAGGCCCTCTTTCTGTTTTGCAGCAAGCAGTGAAGAACAACAATCAGATCTTGATCAGTTGCCGTAACAATCACAAAATGTTGGCTCGTGTGAAGGCTTTTGACCGTCACTGCAATATGGTCTTGGAAAACGTCAAAGAGGTATTGGAATTTGCATTTCCATACTCCTCACTCACTGAATGAAATTGTAACCGTGTCTCCCTTTTCTCATAGATGTGGACCGAAACACCTAGAACCGGAAAGGGCGCCAAAGCCAAGCCTGTGAACAAGGATCGCTTTGTCAGTAAAATGTTCCTTCGCGGTGATACCGTAGTTTTAGGTAATGTGCTCATCATGTTCGTGATCGTTCCAATGTTCTTCTCCAAGCTAATATTTGACTGGAATACTGTAGTGTTGCGCAACACGGTATAAATACAAGTTCTTTTTTTTTATTCTTTCCTGTCTCTTCGCTACGCTGATGTTTTCCATCATTTTTATTCATTCAGTATAAAGTCACCTGTTCTTTGAAGCACTCATTTTTTGGTTGTTTATTGGCCTCGATTCGCTGCAGCTGGTATAGTGTGATGGTAATTCAGGATGCGGACACAGCTTTCGATACAGTGTAGTACGATGACACACGTATTGGATGGAAGGGAATAAGAAAAGGACGTTTTTGTGAAACGTGTGATGGGGAAATATGTTATATTTATGAAATTTAAACATTTTGTGCTTGGTTTGGATGCAACAACGAAGTGACGTGTGTGTGGTATGGATAACGGGCGACGTGGGGATGAATCGGACATGGGATGGTAGTGATTTTGGTATAGAGCGTATTAAATCTGTTCTGGTACAGAATAAGGTTCAACGGGTAATGTAGACGGTGACTGGAAGTAACCGGTGCTCCTACGCCGTTCCTGGTTTTTTGCTGTGGGGGATATAGAAGGAATATAGCTGTGTACAATGTTGGAAGTGGAGAGTGAGAGTGAAAATGGATTGCGGTTAATGTTGGATCGACTGGTATCGGGAAGAGAAGAAGGCGACATCGTTTCTGTCGACGAGATTTCCTTGCGGATACTGGCTAACCCGGTGTCGGTGGATATTGCCTTGGATAATGGAATTGGATGTTGCACCGAAGACCAATGCTGGGATGCAGGCTTGGGAGGAGGAGCGGACGCCGCTTCTTCTTTTTGCTTTTCATGCCGGTGTAGTTTTCGATACGCACGTTGTCGACTGTGACGCCAATGTTCAACATCCAGTTGGAAAAAGGTCGCACCATCCGCAAGTCCGTAAGGATTGGTTTCCGGATCCTAATGCACTATGTGAGTCGAAAACGTTTAGTATAGTACTTATCCGTCTCGTTTTACCTGAAAAGTGACCACACACTCGGTGATGGAAGTGATGCGTGCCACGATCCATTCGTCGGTCTGCATTTGTCCTATGACGCTTTCAGAGGGTTTCAAGAAATAGTAGGGAGCATTGATGTTGAATGCCGCCCAAGGTTTTCCCGAGGTGTTGCTGCGTGTAGGTAAAAACAAGGCAACATCGCCTACTTTGAAACTAGCCAGACGCGTGAATTTTATTGATTAATGTATTCTGCTGCTTCAAGTCACTTACTTGCGAAAAGCAATCTTTTCATGGGTAGTCACCACCAACTTGTTGTATTTTTCTATCGAGCAAAACAAGTCGGATTTAATTTCCCCGTGTCCTTTTATTTCTATTTACTCTTTTCTTACCTTTGAGTTGTTTGTATTCTTTTTGCCAACGTCGGTTATAATCACGAGCTTCCCTAATGGATTTGCCGACAGAGGAGACGAACAGTTTATGATCAATGGCATTTGCAGCATCCATGATCATCTCGCATGCAGCGATATCAAAGTTGGGCAATGGTTCGAGCGAGTCAGAGACACCGATATGGCTACCCGGCAACTGCAATTGTTCGATCAGTTCTTTGATGATAAAAATAATGAACTCTTCGAGTTTTTGGGCCATTCGGATTGCCAATTGGTAAGCTTCTGCGTACTCGATTCCCTGTAGCATTGCCGGTGGAGGAGACCTCTTGCTGTCATGATCGTGTCGGGATTCCTATGACCCGCTCTCAGTTCATCTGCTGATAAAAAACGCCAGTACGCCATACCTTTGTTTGTTTGTGCAAGGCTTGGTCAAATTCTTGTAGTAGCGTCAGGATGTCTATGTCTCCGTTCACCGATCTATCGAGATGTTTGTCCCACAGTTCGATGACTGCTGTGCGAATGGCTTCTTGCCCAGCCATCATCTATTATTTCGAATTTGTTTTGTAAATCATGTCTTTCGACAGCCGATACAACCGAGATGGTTTTTTTTTTACCTCCTCGAGCCATTTCTGTTTCTCCATCCAATCATTTTCTGCCTTGGCGACCATTTCCCTGGCCTGGGCTAATCGCTGCTTGATGTCTTCTCGGGCTTGTTCACTATTGCCCTTTTCCAACGACAGCATCTGAATTTTATTTTCCATCTAACAACATCAGTTTGAGCAACAAGCGCTGGTATTGTGTTTGAGGGTAACAGTGTCGTTACCTCTATCTTTTCTGCGGCCGCTTGCTGCGTTATTGCATCATGATCCGACTGTACCCGAGTCAGTTGCATGTCAAGGTCGTTCTTTTCCTGTCGGACAGCTTGTAGCTGTGTTTCCATTATCTGTCGTTGCTCTAGTTCAATGCGCAGTCGGTCATTAAACTCCTCCATTTCCTCCTGATGGGCTCGCTTCAAATCTTGGATTTCCTCATAATGCTTGGCTTTCAGTTTCTCGCATGTACGCTTGTGCTCTTCCAATACATCTTGCATCTGTGAGCAAGCTTTCAGTAAGATGTGTACTGGCGTTTCCAAAGTTCTCCTCTTTACCCTTCCACGTAATTCGTCTTCGACGCTGGCAATACGTATATCGGCCAAATTATCCTTGATTTGCGCTTCTTTCAACAACTAAATAGATTGCCCTCATTATTTTCCTATTCGTATGCGTTTCCACCGTCAATCCGCTTACACTCTTGCGATTTTCCTCGTAGGTTTGTCGCTCTTCGTCCAGCAATTGCTCAAGCTCTTGGATTTGTAGTCGCATATCTTCTTTCTCATGCTCGTTCTGAACCCGATACGCATCTGCCTAAAAATTCATCCATTGTGTTTGTTGGCCTAGTCGACTGAAATTCCAAGAATAAGAAAAAGAAAGGCCTACCTTTTCCTGTTCTTCAATCAACTGTCCATGCATCTTATTGATAAACGTTTCGCGTTGATAAACCGTATCCTGCAGCTGTTGAATTTCTTTTTTCATTTGCGCAATAAGCTGATCCTTGTCCGTCGGAGAAGGTGAATGTCCGATATCCAGAATCTTGTCCTTTCCACCTTCCACTACCGAATAAGCAAAGGAGTCATTGGAAGAAACAGTGAAACGGTCCCCTTCGTCGGCATCTTTTGATCGGAGCTCTGGCGTCATGTTCAAGTTTTTCTGCAACGTACGCTCCAGTGAGGCGATTTTGGCTTCGTAATCTTTCAACTGATTTTCCGCATTGTACGATGCGTGAATCGGAGATACTGAGTCAGCCAAAGGCGATACCATTCGTCTGCTAGTGCCGCCCATGGACTTGGGAGGTTGAGGAATAGAGAACATGTCTTGGACATCTTTGAGGAAATCGACTTTGAGGCCATCCAATTTCTTGTTCATATCATGCAATACACTTAGAAAGTTGTCGCCATTGAGCCATCTTTTGGATTTTGACCGCAGTGGAGTGGACTGGTCCATACTGGTGGATTGATACAATGATTTCCCCTTGGCTTTTGATATTTTGGAAAAGGCTGAATGGCCATAAAATTGACTCAACAGGGTGATGTAATCTAGAATAACTGTGAGACTCTCCGATGACAAGCCTCTTTTAAAAGACTGGTAACCATTTTACCTAAAATGTCGTCGCGTTCAATTTCCGGATACTTTGATTTGGCGCAAATAGTCGAGATTTCGCAATGAGAGGCCGAATCTTCCAATGCGACAAAGTTAAAGGGCAAGATGGGGGCAATATCGTGACGAAAGGTCTGTCTTCGTTTTTCTTCTTGATCACGGTATCTGGCCAGCAGATCAGCTACCATATCGGCGTTTTGTATCAGCAACTAAGGACAAAAATTCATCAGTTAGTAAGTGAGTCAAGTGCTGTGTAAAAGGTTCAAACCACTTACTTTCATGTATTCATTTCGTCGTACGAGTTCTATTAACAAAGCGCCCTTTCACCAAGGGACGAACATGTATAAATTAGACGATCGGATGGCAAGGTTCCAAAAAAAAATAGATAGAAAAAGAAAAAGGGAAAAATAAGCAAAAGATGAGTTAAACACACGTTTTGATAGTTTTGTTGTCATTGGTATATTTACATAGGCAAATAGGAGTTCACGGGGTGATTCGAGGCCGTGGTGGCCGTTGGTTTGTTTTAATTCGGAGAGATCTTTATTAGCTGTTTCGAGTCGTGGGGTTACAGCGGCGATCTCACTTTGCAACTGAGAGACGGTGTTCATGTTCTTGAGAAAACTCTCGATCGCGCAGCGCTTCTTCCACGCCAAATCGTTGACCCGTTGTCGTATGCTGGCTTCGTAGTCTGATAATTTGGGGAGATAATCACGTACATGGATCTCGGCCAGGTGACTGAATGCTTCCAGGGTTTTCTTGGCATGCGATGATAAACCGTTGGTCGATGGGCTACTATTGATGTTTCTTGCATGCGCGGCGGTCGTGTTGAGTGTCAGTGAAGAGAGCAGGGACTGAAGTGGAATATTCAACAGTTCCGAGATCTTGCTGTAGATTCGGCCAAGGTCGCGTTTGATTTTGTCGCGCAGAAACTGGGCCTTGTTTAGCATTTCCTGGATATCGGATAACGTGGTGTCCAAGGATTGCAGATCGTGATCTTCCGCCATTTGTCTGTGTAAATCGGATTCCCAAGCCTCTAAATCGGAGGCCAAGTTGCGCAACTCTTGGAGTTCGGCTGTCAAATGATCGCAACGTTTCAGCGTATCGTCCTTCACGTGCTCAATGGCTGCGTCATTGATAAAGTGAACAAGGCGGCCTTGGCCCTTGACAATCTCGGGGTCGTTGATATGTTGAAGGATCTGAGGATGAATTTGGATATGGCGCAGAATGCTGAGATCGATATTGACGGCGTCCAACAATGCCGTGTGTCTGGCCAGTTCTTTATCCGCGGCTGTAAAAAGAGTTTGAATGCCTTGTTTGGCAAACCGGTTGTGTGACTCGAGATTGGTCAACGCCACATTGAGTGCCATGGTTTGTGATTTTTGTTCCGTTACGATCGTCTGTGCAAGTTGTGTATGCAAGTTCGCCGTTTTTATGAGTGACTAGAATTTTGGTGTTAGTCTGTTTATCCATGTCGGTGGGATAAAACGAAAAAGACCACATGTGGACCCACGGGAAAAAAAAAAAAAAAGGGAGGATATCTATCATGTTGATGCGGACTTACCTGACAATAGACATCGAAACTGCTGAAAAGTGATAAATACAATTCGCAGGATTGTGATACCGTGAGTTTTTCAATGGATCGTTTATGATTCAAAGCTTGTAAAGCTCGTAATGCTAAACAGGAAAACAGATTTTCAGGTCAGGTTTCAATGATGGGAGAAAAACTGCGACAGGGCATTTACCATCAAAAGGTGGCACTTTGGGTTCCAATGTCGGTGTTTCCACGTCTAAAAGTGTAGCTATTTCCTCCGGTGAGCTCCCCAGATAGTGACGATCATAACAAAACACGATATATTCGTCCTGTCAAGGAACACACCATCGGAAATAAATTCGCGTTTAGTATAAGTGTTGATTTTTTTGCTTTTGAAAAGCTTATCTGTCACCTGTCCGGTAGCGTGAAGTACATCGCTAAACTGATCTTGTCGGACTTGAGTACCATAACTTGTCATGAGGATCTGACTGTCGGCAGGGACACCTGTACATCGTTCAAGTTCCTTTTTCAAATCGTCTAGTCTAAAATGAAGAAAAACGTTTATTAAACAGCAGGGTCACAATGGCGGGCATAATTGCTCATGGGGACATTGGTGGGAGGCGGGGCCTTACGTGCGAAAGGTATCCAGTGCGGTACTGCGCCAGTTGATTTGCTGGCCTGTTTCGGCCCGATAAACCTTCATAGTAAAAAGAAAAAAAGAGGGTATATTGTACGAACAGAGAACTTATGGCGTGTGCAGCTACGTACGAGTATGGTAATTGTTTAGAAGAAGGAAAAAAAAAGAAAGAAAGTAAGGGAGAGAGATGAGGGGAAGGGATTGCTGAGAAAAAAAAATGCATGACAGAAAATGCAATAAAGCAGGTGACTGTCTCAGAGCTCCAAATTTTGTATGACCGGCCCCATCAGCACTTTTTTTTTCTTTCTTTTTTGGTCCCTTTCTCTTTATCATTTTCTTTCTTCATTGCTCTTTTTTATCATTTTCATCTATTTGCCCTTTTTTTATATATAGTTTTCCTTTCCAGCCGCTTTTTTTTTCTTGCTCTTCACACACAGATCTTTCAATAGTTTTTCATTTTTTGCTGATGTCCGATGTTACTTTACCACCTCTGAAAACCGTCCTTTCACTGCAACCATGCAACGATCGCACTGTCGAGTCACCATCATCGGCTAGTTCAAGTTACACAAATCATCAAAATCCTGTGCTTCTCTTCCATAGCCATTCGCAACTGAATTTACCTCCGCTGGCCACACAACCACCATCAACCTTACCCACCAATTTATCGTCATCCGCAGCACCATCGAAACCAAATTCAACTGCTGCGCAACCTATCAATATCAATAGCAACAATGTTGCTGCTGCGACAACCGAACCATCTTTGCCTTCAAAACTACACATGTTCTTTAGTTATCAGAATGACCACATTGCCACCGCCCTTGACGGTCCCTCGTTTTCGAAAAACTCCTCACTTCACACTCCGGCGGGTACTTTATCCAATCGAACGACGAAAACCGACGAAACACACCCATCCTCTTCTCAAAACAGTAATCCTTCCTCCACATTTATAAATACCACCACCAACGATCATGCAATTCCAACCACCGCCAATGCGGAGGATTGTACTCACAATGCGGGCATGAACCGACGAAGGAAATACCGTCGTAGTAGTGAGAGCAATGACGTGAGAATGATCAAAGATTCCAACCACCGACGACCCCCACGTACCTCCGCCAAAGACGAACCCGATGATCCTACCAAAACAGACATTGACAAACACATACGAGCCATGAATTGGTACCAGAAAATGCAGCTGTCAGACGACATATGGGTACGTTCTTGTCCCGCCAAACTATGTCTTCGTTATTTATCTCCAAGGGTCATCATTAATTATTATTTTTCGTCCCTCAGAACGAAACCTGCGACTTGTTTCTCTGCGTCCGAGAAACCAAAACACTGAAAAGCCGCGGTCCCAACCGAAAATGCATCCACATCCTGGCTTCCATCTTGTACATCCTTTGTCGTAAATACAACAATCCTCGTACTTTTGCCGAAATATGTACCGCGGCCGGTATCAAGAAACATGAAATTGGTGTGTACTATCGTTTGATGCTTAAATTACTTGAACCGACTGGATTCACCACCAGCGGTTTACGGACCACCGATATCGAAGAGTTCCTAAAGAGATGGTGCAGTAACCTTCACCTGGAAGATTGGGTCGCTCGAGCAGCGATGCATGTCTTTCAGCGCGCTTACGAACTCAACCTGATGGCTGGCAAATGTCCCATTTCCATTGGTGCCGCCAGCATTTGTTTATGCTGTCAAGGATGGCAATCGTCTCCAGAAAATGATCGCGAGACAGCCAATGACGCCCAAGCAAATCTGTGGCGAGATCAACGTGACATTGCCCTTGCAGCAGGGGTTGTATCAGTTACCCTCATCACTTGTTATCGAGTGCTGTGGCAGCATCGATCATTGCTATTTCCCCAATGGTTTATAAATAAAATATGTCTCCATCCAGAGTAAACATTCATATCTCTTGTTATTCCCATGTTCAATGTAAACTAGTGACTGCCACCTTATACCATCTAGCATGAAATAAAAATAAAAAAATAACCGTCTCCTGATTGTTTGTTTGCATCATATATTAAAAAAAAATTACAAGGCAATGATCAGGGTAACAGACGCCTTTATGCCGACATTGAATGGAATATACTTACTGGCCATGCTCATGTATCAAATGGTTTGACAAAAAAGACATGAACCAAAATGATTTTATTTTTTTTCGTTTTGCATTAATCAAATGATATATAAGAGTGGTGATATTGGCAAGTCCAAGATATTAAAAGCACATAAATTTGCTCCTTTTATGCGTCATCATCAATGTGTCTAATCGATCTTCTAGAATGGCTCGCGCCTTTTCCGCCTTTTCTTTCAACAGTCGTTCCTGATGCAACCGTGACTCTAGGTGTTGCCGATTGCCTTCCGCTTCTTGCTCGAGACGCACAATGTGTTCTTTCAACATTTGCAGTTCACGATCATTGCTGTGTTTTTCGTGTAATAACACGTCCAATTGTTTCTTTGTTTCTCTCGTTTTGGACTCGGAACGAGATAACTGCGTTTCCAGCTTGCCAATGATGTGTTGGTGGGCCCTGATATCACTGTCGGCCTGATCAATGATCCGTTGGTAACTGGTTCGCGAACTTTCGCCATCTTCCATCACCGAATGACTGGTGCCCGTGGGGATCGGTGTACTCGCACTGGATCGGATAGGGTACATGGGCATGGTGTCAGGAATCGGAGGAAGTGGATTGGAGGGCGGTGGAGACGGTGCAAATGACATGGGTGACATGGCCCGGTCATGGGCCCCTGGTGGTGGTGGCTGTGATTGAGAAACGGACCGCAAGCTTGGGAACGATCGCAACCCCGAGTCAGACGATACCGAATGGATCGATCCGCGCTGCTTGGGCGTGGTATCCCCTTGATCTTCCCGTCTTTTGCAGCTCATGGTCTCAGACGGCGGGGGTGACAGAGACCGGACCGACATTTGAACGGATCGAGAAGGCGACGTGGGTCGGCTCGTGATGGACTTGTCCTGGTCCCGATATCTGGTGGCTCGGCCATAATCAAGAAGCATGTGTCGCGGTGATTTCATATCCGGAGACCTTACACGATAGTTTGGCATAGTAGGCAAGTGATCCGACATGGATCGGAAAGACGAGTCTTCCAACGATCCGGGGCCGTGCAGTCCGTGCGACTCTCTCCGAAGCGAATCAATGATTCTCTGCTGAGCTGCAATGGTGTGACGCGACGTTTCCAGATCGTTCAATGCAATCTCGTAACTGGCTTCAAAGTCTTCCTGTTCCGTCTGTTTGGCTTTTTCAAGCGCCTTGATCTTGTCTTCCAATTTCTCAATCATGCCTGTGTGATCATTCGCGCGGACCAGCGCGCGTTCCTCCTCCATGGTTTGTTCCAATGCTTGAATCTTTTTCTCAAAAGCCGCCGATTTCGCCAATTCTCGTACAAGGTTGTAGTGCACTTGTTCCGCCTTTTGTTTGTCCGTGCTCATCTGTTCCACCGTAGCATCCAGTTCCTCCACACGACTTTCCAGAGCGCGTGTCCGCTGCTGATCAATGAGCGACACTTTTTGTTGCTTTTGCAGTGTGTCCACCAACATCTCCTGCTCGTTCAAACGCTGCTTAAAATCCATGATCTCGCTTTTCAAACGCGCATTGTCCGTTTCCAAGATTGCCACCATCTCCTGGTACTCCTTTTTGCGTTGGCGAAAAGCATGCTGTTGATCTTCGTACGTGGTATACAATTGGTCAAATCGATCATCCTGATGCTGAAGTCGGTGATCAATGTACCGGATCGTCATTTCCAGTCGCTGGCGTTCCTTCACCATGGATGAAACTTGTCGTTGCAAATCTTGTGATTGCTCTTGCCATTTCTCTTTTCTCTCGATTTCTTCCTTCCAACACTTTTTCAAGTGGTCGATTTCGCCATCACGCTGGGTTAGTTGTTGACATAGGTTCGCAGTGTACGTGTCCATCTCTGCTTGTTTTCGCTCCAATCCAACAATCATGGCCGTTTGACTTTTCTCCAGCGCTCGATACCGTGCGAGATCCAATTTGCAACGTTCCAATTCCTCCAACCGTAATCTCAAACTAATTTGCGTGCCCTGTTCGTTTTCCCACATATGCTTCCGTAACACGGCATTGTTCTCCTGAGCATCCGCCAGTTGGTCGTGGTAGATCTGTTCTTTTTCTTTGCATATATCGTATGCTCGTTTCAATCGTTCGATTTCCTGCGTCATCTCCTTTTCCATCGATACAGCAGCTTGATCGACTTTTTGCTTATACTGTTCATGCTGATACAGCAGATCGTTCCACAGTTTTTCCCATTGCATATTCTGTGAATATACTTCTCGAAGTTCATGTTCCCGTTCTTTAAGCGATCCATCCATGGTGGCGACCGTCCTTTCCAGTTCGGCGATTTGTTCACTTTGCAGTGCTCGAGCATCCATCAGTTCCTGCTGGTTCTTTTGATAGTCAAGCAATTCCAAGCGAAGTTTCCGCACCATGTCTGTATCATTGCCATCGCTTATCGGTTCGTCTTGTTCTTTTACTGCTTTGCCAAAACATTCAAGCGTGGCGACGGTTTCGGCTAGATCGGCTTCGTGGATACTGATACACGCTATCACCAGCATAGGACACCGTTCATCGGCCGCCATTAAATTGTGATACATGGATGGCATTGTCGGAAACTGACAAAGGGTTTCTGTCACCGCCTTGACACTATCGGTAGTAAGGATAAAGTGAAGATGGGATTGCTTGACGGTCCATTCGCCTTCGGTATCCTTTCGCTTGTTCCGTGCTTGCTTTTCCATTTGACCAATGATCTCTTTGACACTGGGGGAGCTGTTTGCACGCAAAAAGCTTCCCTGTTGCCGTCGCAAAGGTGTGGATTTGGACCCATCGTTTTTGGGTTTACTGATCCACACTTCTTGTTTATACAAAATCGAAAATATACAATGCGACGAGTTGTGTAACCGTCGTTTCATTCCTTGATTAAAAAATCTAGTGATGTTCTCGTAAGTCAAAAAGTGACCAAATCACAGAATAGAAAAAAAAATTGTGTGCTGATGATGTAGGATGATGTAGGAAAGAGAGTAAGCCAAATCAGGAAATTTTCACCCACCTTTTCATATCATGCGTGCTGGACACTGTCCGTTCCAGGCAATGATCAATGACCTTTGTATCACCGAGCAAATCGTAGACGTGATCATTATGTAATTCCACCATGCACACCTTGAATGTGTAACGATGATCCGTCAAAGAAGTGGTGGTTCGAAGATCGATCATGGAAGTGGTTCGAAGTCGCACTGGACGGGCCTGCCGTCCATGGGTATGTAACGTATTTACACTGCGACCGGTTTTCTCGCCGTACTGTTGAAATAACACATCGCTCGCATAACTAATCAAGTCTGTGCCATGGCAGTTTTTTCCGTGAGTTTACACTGTATGAAAGACTAAGAAAACCTAACGGATCTCACTTACCACTGTGACTCTGCTCGATGAACCTCAACGGTCCCTGCCAATTCACGCACACTTCAGTATCTCCGCAAATAAAATTTTAAAAAAGAAACGGGGAAAATTTAAAGTTTTACCTTGGTGATAATAGAAGCATCATCACCTAGAAGACGAAAATGCAAAAATTGAGACGATGGTTCCAAATAATTATTCAAAGAGACAATTTTTTTTTTACCTTCCAAGAATCGATTGACCATGTTACATGTGGTGTCAAGAAGGGATGTGGATGTCGGATCGAGCAATGTCACGGAACTGTCAATAGTGAAACGTTTTTGAAAAGGAGCGAGAATCAACGTGTCGTTTTGTTTTGTCAAAAAGGAGCATGTCTCGCTGTGGCCATGATCGTCATTGGACATGCCGCGCACCACTACAAACATGGAACAATGGGTCATGATGGGGATGGAGCGAAAACGAAAGAAAAGAAAAAAAAGAAAGACCCAGGCACCTACCCAAGCGCGTGTTGTCTGGATTAATATAACTGGCCGGCATCAATGTTTTGTAAGATTCACCCGCATGCATAATCAACAGCGAGACAAGGCATCCAAATTAAAGAAATTGATCCAAAAAAAAGGAGGGGCAAAGAGAAGGGGGGGGGGGAGTGAAAAAAAAAAAAAAATCTTGATAGGCAACACAAAATCATGGAATACATGGAATACCCCATATGATTGCCCAATCTCCGTCTGTCCATTTTTGTACCAATTTGAATGATTGGCTTTCAGTTTCCCAGATATAAAAAAAATAATTGACCATGCAGAGCGCAATTTTTGTTCATGCTTCACGGAGGCTGTGCCATATAAGGAAAGGTTTTTTTGTTCTGCTTTAAATGAGGATTTCAAAAGAAATTTAAAGGGAAATGCTAGTTTTTCGGTCGATGTAAAAGGCGGACAGCGTCCTTGGAGTAGATGTAACTTGCGCCCGACCAGACAGTGGTAGCACCGACCAACCAACTAGGCGACGCATTTGAAAATCAATGATCCAGTTCTTTGAACTAGACAACATGAGAGGAAAAAAAAAAAAGAAGTGACTTACTGCATTCCGGTCATTAATTCGGCAGAAGGCATACCCACCGTGACCGAGGTGAGCGAAAATCCCATCAACAGTAACTGCAACGCCGTATTCACTTTGCTGATCATGGTCGGTCGTACTTCGGCCGAGGGTATGGAGAAATCAAAGTAACGTATAAGAGTTTTCTAACATAAAGAACAAAAAAAATCCGGTCTAAGCAGTGCTTCCCTCTTCCTAATCTAAGCTCGTTATCGTAACTCACCGGTGCCGGGAGAGAAATGTATCGGTAGTAGAAGCTAGCAAGCACCAAGCCAACATCACGTCCCAGAATCACCGTAGCCAATGGAACTAGACACAATTGTTTCTATGGTTATTTTCCTCAAAAAAAAAAAAAGTCTCCCTTTTTATTTGGTCTCCTGTGCCTTACCTGGTATTACATTTTCCATGGCCAGGGTTACTGTCATTACTGTCATGAGCATTTTGTCGGCGGCAGGATCAATGATACTGCCGGTAAACGTTTTCATATTGTATCGTCGTGCAATGTATCCATCCAACTAGAGCTCCATGCATGAGTCATCTCTCCAATTCCTCCTTTTATCTTTTAGCCTCACCATATCGGTCAGTCCAGACAACGCAAACATGCCCAATGCGAAATTATAGTCGTGCTGCAAAATCAGGTAACCGATAAACGGAGCTGATAACAGGCGTCCAAACGTCAAGAAATTGGGAATTGTATAAATATTTTCCTTGGCGATCGGCATGGATTGTTTTAACTGGTCAAAGCATTCGCTTAAGTCATTGGTTCTTTGTTTCGCATCTCTCAGAGCAGACGAGCATGTACCTTGTTGAGCACTTCTTTTGTAGTGTCGGCTTTCTTTTGCAGTGCGTTTCGCTTGTCTGGCTCCGGGTTGCCCGAAGATAAAGGCGCTATCAGCACATGTCGTACATCGAAACCGCGACGCGATCGTAACTTTGATGCATGGAAAACAGATCTACAAAATAGTATTTTTTTTTGAGCTAATGAACGGGCCTCCGTGTTAAAGAGGTGTGTGGGGGGAAAAATGCTCACCTCGCCGTCTTTGGCAATGTCGCGAAATGGCACGACCGTTGCAGGGTAGCAGGCGTTATTCGATGTAATATCAATGTTTTAGGCACTTGTTTCGCGAAAGAAGCCATCGGTAACCGTAAAAGAAGCATTGTTGACGGCTTCAATTAGGACAAAGGACCGCCTGGCGACTTTTTTTTTTTTTTTTCTCAAGGACCAGCCAAAAAAAAAAAACGACAAAGAAATCGGGCAAGCGGTCGGACTTTGTGACTGGATTCAATCTTGACGAAAGATATGATATGAGCCGAGAAACAGTGATCAAAATAAGAGTAATGTAAATAGCCACATAAAAGTAAAAAAGATGTCATTGAGTTATTACAGCGCGGTTTATAAAAAAAGAAAAAAAAGATTCAATACAAAACATACGAAAGTAAAAGAGGTATTGTGTAAATAGTTGTAAGAGCACAGTAAAACATGGTGCAGTAGGCTTTTTGGAGGAGTGTTTAACTTCTTTTTGGTATTTTTTTTTCTCTCTGATATATTTTTTCAGTTTCTTGATGAAAATGATGGTTGTTTTTTTTCGCTTTTTTTTTTTTTTTTTTTTTTTTTTTTTTTTGTCTGGATGAATGGTGGGATCGGTGTGGTGGGAAAAAAAAAAGAAGAAATATCGTGCAGATTGGAACGCATGCTTATTTCCAGAATTGCCACGTTTTGCGTTTCGATTCTTTATCGGTCACCGATTTTGTCTAAGGACCAAATTATCAGATTCCTTGTTATGGTGGTACATCACGCTTTTTTTTTCATTAGAAATTGTTCAAACATACCTTATTCGCCTTGTCCTTCTTGAACAGAGTAAAGATACCCGACTTCTTTCGCTGTAGCGAACCATCCTTTAGTAATGATCGTTTCGCGGGTTTCTCTAACCCGGCCTTCTTTTCATCTGACCGATCCGTCGTGGCTGTCTTTGAATCCGACAAGGTGGAAGGTGCTTTTTCGGCCTTCTTGTCAGGCAAGGGAGGTTTCGCTTCTTCCTTCTTTTCATCACTGCCGGTCTTTGGAGCTGCTGCTGCTGTTGCTGCTGCTGCTGCCGGTGCTGCCGCACCCACGTTTTGGGTTGCTTCTTCTATTAATTTTTCTGTCTTCTGCGTGGCTTCGTCAGATTGAGTTTCCTCGTCAGGCACGGCCGGTGGAACTTGTTCTGAGGATTCGGAAGGCTTTGGATCTGCTACGGTTTCGACAGCAGGCGTCTCCTTTGTTGCTGGATTGGATGACTCGGTGGATACTGGCACTGGGACCGCCGATGGCTTCTCCGAGGTAGATTGCTCCACTGTAGTGGGTTCCGAGGTTGCTGCTGGTGCTGCAACGGCCGCATCCTTATCGTGTGATTCTTCTGCTGACGTAACCTTCTCCTTTTCATCGGCCGAAACAGCTTCGGTGATGATGGGTTCCGATTCAGTGGTATCCTTGGAAACATCATTCGCTGAAGAGGAAGAAGAGGTGATGATCTCCTTGGCAGCGGAGGATGGATTGGGTGCGTCAACAGGTTCAGATGGCTTCCCAGTTTCTGCAGACTCGACTGTAGACTTGGGCTCCTCTTCTTGCTTCTCCTGAACAACTGGAGGCTCAACATCATTCGCTTTTGCCTGCTGCTGCTGCTGCTGCTGCTGTTGCTCCTCCTCACCCTCCTTCTTGTCTGTCTCCTTTTCCTTGACTTGCTCCTTTCCGATTTCATTGGTCAATGGATTTTCCTTTTGATCTGCCTTTTCAGTTTCCTCAGAAGGTGCAGAGGTTGCTTCTACTGGCTTGCTTTCATCTGTGACATTGGTTGTCAAGGCATTCGGGACTTCAGGGGTCGACGTCTCAGTGGACTGACTCAATTGATCGCCACCTGTCACCACATGCGTCGTCAAGGTAGCTGGATTGGCAATAGCCGCGGCGGTGTTGGCGACGTCCGAAACCGTCATCGGTGGTTCCTGAGCCATTGGCTGAGATGGAGTAGACTTTTCGATGGAAGTATCCGTGCTGGTGGACATGCTTTCGGTGGGCGTCCCGGCCGTAGCGTTGGCGGCTTTCTTTTGCGCTTCTCTCTTACGTGCGCGCTTTTGAGCTCGGCTGTTGGCGTTATTAGAATGTTTCTTGGCCATAATATTTTAATAGAATAAGCAGTAACAAAAAACCGGTAAGAATCAATAAAATTAATAAAAATTAAATCAATACGAAAAAAAAAAAAAAACGAGAAAAAGAAAAAAAAGAAGAAAGCAGAGTGCGCCAAAAAAGACGACTCTGAAAAAAAATAAAACCCCTAAATTGATGGAGGTTCAAAATTAGCTTTCGGACTGCGATTCTTGTAATATTTTTGAGTTACGAGAAGCAGATCCTTTGATCAAAAAAAGGCAATTGGAGTCATCATTCACCTCCACAGGCGAATCACACACCATCCGACGTCAAAAAGGCGAAAAAGAAAACCTTGTACTACGGTCCCAGCGCCGCCCTACAACACGCTTGTTCCTTAATTGTATGTCTTTCAGATGGTGATTTGCCTTTGACTTATCCATTCACCACTTTTTGTACACTGGAAATTTCACCGTCCTGTGATGTTCTTGGACATCATTACCTGATTTATTCAAAATTCCATATGTCATTTTACCGCTAGATTTGTTTTTTTTTTTATTTTTTTCATCTCTTTCATTTTGCGATTGCATTTTTGGGCTTGATAGTATTTTGTCACAAACTACCCCACGGCGGTTTCAACTTGGAACTGTTGCATACATCGTCCCTTGATTGAGTTTGTGGAGTCAACGAAAATCTTTTTTTTTCCTCCATTGACCATCCACTTTTTTTTCCTGTGAGGAAAATATTTTAAGTCTCACTTTTTCATCAGCTCTATTTTGGCTTCAATGTGTAGACCTTATCTATTGAACACCGAACGACCACGCTTTTATCATGTCATGATCTCGATCATTCTCTTTCTCAAAAATCAAAGATCAAGCAGCAATGACCGCTGTATGGCAACAAAGCAGGAAAGTTGATACAGAACTGCAGTGTAAAGCTCACTGACAAACTCGAATTTTTCCTTCTCCTGGCACTTTATAACACGCACCTCTGTCTCCGCAAATAAATCACTTTTTACAGCTTTATTTGCAACCTCCTGAGTGGCAATACAGTAAGACTCATCTTCTCCTTATTCAGACTTTTTTTCACTTTGCTTTCTCTCCAACCAACAAGCTAAAAGATCGCAAAGAATGGGTTATTCGATAAGCATTGCGGTGCTTTGAGTGAATTGATTGTCAACAAGGTTTATATTTAAGGTTTAACGAACATAATATGAGGGCTTTCCTTCTGTAATAACGCATATCATATGAATTATGATCCATTAATGCCGCATCATCATTGTACTGGAAGCGGGACGATTTCTATTCTACTGTACTTGTCCATTCACGTGCCAATAGATTGAGTAACAAGAAGAAGCGATTGCCTTGCTTCATTTGCAGTTGCACCTAGATTTCGCTGAGCCTGTATTGTTTGCTACACTACCATTGCAACCATTCATCAAAAATAGCCGATGCTGCTGTGTCACCGGCGTTGACACGTTTTTTTCCTAGACGGTCATTGGAAATGGGGTACGGATCTTGCCGCACAAGGACACGTTGTCAAAAAGTTGTATCACGCGAATTAAATTGTTGTTCAACTCGAACCGTCCGTAATATGGATGCAACACTATTTATTCACAGTCTAAAATGGCAGCTGAACTATGAAACTAGTGGATGTATCATCATCGCAGTTACCGTACTTACTCTGGCAAAAAGTCAATCTGCTTGTTATACCGCGACACTGTAGTAGCTTCTTTGGTTACACAAACAACAACTTGCAGTTTATCAAAATAAAAAAAAAACCTAATCCTCCTAAGCCCAATGCAAAAAAATTGCGCCAACTCCCCTCACTGGGTTTCTGAGACATCTGAGGGGCTGGATTGAGCTGCCAGCCAAAGGTCATCAAGATATTCAGGTGAACAATAACCGATCATAAGCGATCGCGTAGAACGAAACTCGCATGCTTGAACAGAAAAGGCACCGCTAAATTTCATTGATAACTTTTTTTTCCCTTTTTTTCGCTTCCTTTTGTTGATCCACACAAGTCAATTTCACGGGTAGAAATTGCCGGATCAGCTAATGTCACTTTCGGCCGTCACTGGATATCTTGGTGATCTGTGTCCTAAGATACTGCCTAGCTCACATAAAAAGAGATTCATGTTCGCGTGGGGAGAATTTCTTTTTATGAGACGGATAGTCTAAATCTCTACTGTAACATTAAAGATCCTTCAATGGCCGAAAGCCGCGGCTTCCCTGCCACGGACAATGATCGTTGTAGTGAAGACATGCTACCACGTTACAGAAGTGGATTTCCCCTTTATGGAGTGTATTTTCCTTCGTGATCCGCATCATTTTTACGACGTACAGTATTATACTGTACTCTCAGAGATTCGTCGTAGTCCCTATCGCCGATCGCAATACCCATTGCGAGCATGACAGGAAATTCATGGATTATGCAACTCTTTTTTCTCTGGTTCATGAGAATGAGAGTATTTCTTTTGCATGTGTTTATGAAGTAAAATTACAATGCAATTCAATAACTTAAGAGTGGATATATCTATCTTTATATAAGTGCGTTATTTAGGAGGGAGATCGGATTTAAGAAGAGAGGGCTTTCTTCTTGTTGGCTTCAGCAAACTTGGTAAGCACCACTTTGCATTTCGTCTCCTTGCACAGATCGCCCAGGCCGGATTTATCCATGCGGTCAAAGAAGGTAAGACCAGCACCGCGTTCAACCGCATCCAATGGGACCTTGAACTGCTCCAATGGGGTATCATCCGAAATAGGACGATTGGGAAGAACAAAGGCACCCACGCTGTAGCGTCCATTGTTTTGTGTGAGGATCACCTTGTAGAAATGGGTCGGCACAGCCACATTGGGCGGGTTACCGATCACTTGGTACTTCACATAGAATTTTCCATCGTTTTCCTGATGAGGCAAATACAAAGGTCCCGTAAACACATACACATCCGAGAAACTCTTGGTCAAGTTGCGGCAAAAGTTTTCGAAATAAGCCCAGTCTAGCAATTAGAAAAAGCCCGTTAGCTTTTCCTTGAGTCCTTTTTTTCCTGTTTCCACTGAAAATGCCAGCGCTTACAGTCGCGGTTAAATCCATCGCCTACTTGAGGAGAGATATTGGTCAAGTAAAAGGTCTCGTCCATAGCATCCTGGCTAATCTTGGCATCCGCTGCAGGCACCATATGTCCTCGGTCAAAATTGCTGCGGAAATAGTCGGACAAACGAGCTCGGAACATGGGAGGAACGGTTTCATCTTCTTTGAACTGCGATTTTTTGCGATCAACGCCATCCGCACGCTGAATGGAAGTCGCCGTGAGATGTTCCGCAACCCAGTTGGGATTACGATCACGACGGTTATAGGAAACGACATACGCATTGCGATAAATCGTATCGCTCACGGGACCTGAGAAAACAAGGCATTAGCAGTGGGTTGCATCCTTTTCGGTCTTGCTCATTTTTTACCAGGGAATCCGAACGGCAAGATCTCGCGGGCTTTCTCTACCATTTCGACGGATCGAGGTTGATGAGGGCCAGGCATGGGACCACGAGGAACGGGTGTGGCAGGCACAGCTGGCACGCCACCTGCGGGTACAGGGACAGGCGGTGCAGGTCCAGGAACAGGCATCATACCCGTAGGACGACGAGGCTGCGAGAAGCGGTGATAGGTCGCCATGGAAATGGCACCCAACGCAGCACCTCCTACCACTAAACCAACACTTTTGCTCGCCATGAAAACCAAATAAAGAAAACCAGTTACGACGCTATTTGTTTCGTCTGTTTTCCCCTTTTTGATGCACGTTTGGATAAATCTCGCAGTCACTGATCGGAGCCGTTGAAAAAAAAAAAAAGTTTAAAATTTTCCCCTCCTCACCGCCCAAATATCTTCAGAGACGGTTCATGATTCCTAGAGTCTATTTCCCCACAGGATCAAGTCGCAGAGGCGTTTTTCAATGAAAATATAAATAGATTGTGGATTATGGTATGGCTAATATACAGAATTGGTTCCATGTCCGTTTAACACAGAACTTCGGTATTCACTACGCGCCTGCAGTTCATCCAGCAGTCGTTGGTGTAGGACGAGTAGGACATGATTCATTAACCATTATTCTGATTTTTCAAAAAGTATTATGCTGGCTACATTTTTCTTTCGGTCGCTTGTAGAAATCTATATGATGTTGGTGTACACCGGTATAAAAACCCGGCAGAGATCCTGATTTCCACACAATCGCCAAGGTTGACGAACGGTTGGTCACACATTGCCACCCATAGCTTCAGTTTCGACGACTCTTGTTATTCGCGAAATTCATATTCGAAATCGCTGCATTTTTAATGCTATGTGTTATGTTACAGTTTTTACAATCAATGTCATGATCTGGTACGCTCTACTCTAGTTTGCTCCTGACTGTGAATGCTTTACGTGCTTTTTGCATTGGTAAACCAATAATAGCTCGTGAGACAATGAAAGCCCAAGGAAAAAGGTTTACTTTCAAACCATAGAATAATCCAGATCGTGTAACAGGGTTCAAGATAGATTGATACGCCATTTGCAACTGTTATTGCAGACTGCAAATTTTTTATTTTTGACCAATGGCACACTGACCCTTGGCAAGCATTCCCATGATTGACCTATTGGCGATGCCGGGCCACCGAAAAAATGGAAACGGTGGTAAACCATAAGATTGAAACATTGGCAAACACACCAACCACGTACACGTACAACATCACAGGATCAATGCGCTCTTCGTATTGACGGTGTGAATATTTGTGCCAGATATGACTTTTCTTTCCGTAAACGGTCTATCGTCTTGTCTTTTGTGTCACCATCGTATTCTCCCTTCGTTATCTCTCGAAAAGAAATACAGACAAAGAATGAATCAACACAATGTCATGTCAAGTGGTTTAGACTATGTTTTGACATGAATTCATCTATTGGAATGATAGCATTACGATATTTAATGAGTTCCATTGTCAGATGGCAGGGAATCAGAAGTCCGAATGGCGGACCCAGCGAATTTCCCTATATAGAAGTTTTTCCCATTTTCATCAGGTTTTTTTGTACTTTTTAAAGCAAAATCTTATTTTCTTGCATCTCGCATTCTTGTTGACTCTTTTCACTTGTGATCTTTCTCACATAAAGTTTATACCCTCTGTCTCCCCCCTCTCTCTTTTTGTTTTTCAATTTCAAGCTTTTTTCATGGGCAACGGACTTTCAGCGATTGTATCCATAGGTTTAACGTTCCTGTTATCTCAAGTGATGACCAAAGTCATTTGGGCGAATAAGTACCCGGACGGCAAACGGAAACAGGCGTGGCCAACCGCACCTTCGCAACTGCCATACTTTTGGAACGCCTTTGACGCGTTTCACGTGTCTTATTGCAAGTCGTTCACGGAATGGAGTCAGAAAATCGGAACGCTGTTTTCAGTGAAAATCGGGCAGAAGCGAGTGATCGTCTTGAACGAACCCAAACTGGTTCGACAAACGTTTGTGGAGATGGATCAATACAATTCATCGAGAACCTTGTCCGATACCGTGGAAGTCATCATGTCAGATAACGGTAAGCATAGGAGAAGGCTTTGGGGAATTGTACAAGTGAGTGATACTAATCCGCGGTTGAAACTCTTAAGGGAAAACGGTATTTACGGCTCCTTTTACACTTTATTGGAGCCGTCTTCGTCGCGGGATCAACAAGGTCATTGGTAAATCGCAGTATCACGGGTGGATGGACCTCTTTCATCGTCAGGCGGAGAAATTCGTCAATGGTATTTCGTTGAATGACGCCAAGGTCGTGGAGGCCGATCAGTTGCGACAGTTGGTGGAATTGATTGCTCTCCATATATCATTGCATATCGTCGTGGGAGAAGAGGTTGATCCAGAAACCATGCTGACGCTGACGCAAAAAGTGCAAAAGGCCGAGGTTTGGCAAAAAGAATCATGGCATATCTACAGTCGTTTTTTTCCTGTGGTGCGACAGCTGTACGTGGCCTTCACCGCACTGCTAGGCAACCGTTCGATCACGTATCTACGAAACGACATTCTTGAAATCTTTCTCACGGTGCAAAAGGACGAACAAAAAGGCATCGCGGCGGCGCTGGCTGATATTGCCCCATCCAAGAATGATCCCACGCCCGAACAACTCACCAAGGACCAAATTCTCGTCAACCTGGTTCACTTGACCGTGCACAGCTACAAGTACCTGTCGGCAGCTCTGTTTAGTGCTTTACAACGAGTGGCGACCAGCGCCGATTGGCAAAACAAGATGTTGGACAAGGATCCAGAGCAAGCGTTACGGTATGCAAAGGCCTTTATCAATGAAGTCTTGCGTTACGATGGTCCTGTGAAGATGTTCTCGCATGCTGCTCGCGTTGATTATGAATTGACCGTCGACGATAAAGCATACCGTGTCGATGAGGATGTGGAACTGGTGGCAAATCTGGATGCGATCCACTTTGACGAGCGGTACTACGCCGAACCGCATCAATTCAACCCCGACCGTTTTTTGGGTACCTCCTATGTGTCGCTGTTGGATGAAAAAGTGCCAACAAGTAAAGGTTTGAATGCGCGTGATCACCTTGCATTTGGCGCTGGACGTCGGGCATGTCAAGGAAGCTTGGTGGCAGAGGAGATGTTGGCAGCCATTCTTTTGAAGGTGGTCCAAACCTACCAATTGAAGCATCAGGGGATTATCCGAACACAAGTCATGAGCGGTGTTTGGTCATGGATGGGGCGCATGGAAACCAAAGGCAACGATATCGAATTCATTAAACGACCATAGGCCCTGTTGGGAACGTAATTGTAGATAACAAAATCAGAAAAAACCAAGAGGACGGTTGCCTGAACCTATTGGAAGCGGTCGTCTCCTTTTTTCTTTTATTCCTTTAATCTTACTCAGTCTTTGCATTAAATAAAAATAATATAATACTTTGGTCATAAAATCATATGTTCAAAGAGTCATTATTTTTTTTTGTCATGCCTCTCAAGAGGGCTTTTACAATTATGCTCTTTATTCAATATGCATGCACTCTCTTGAAGATAAATGAGTAGGTATTTTTTTTTCTCTTTTTTTACAGATGCAACAAGTTGTATACAGTCTTCGCGAAAAAAGGGGGACGCCTTTCTTTTCTGTTTTGCCTTTCTTTTGGAAAAACCCAATTGATGATATGCTCTAATCGTTTTCGTCGTCATTCAGGACCAGCATCAGACTAAGGTACTCGGAAGAGTATTGTCGATTATCCCGAGGGATGGTGGCGGTGGGGCTGCCGGATCCACTGTAGACGGAGTGGATATACGTTTGAGTACTAGATCCAGAATGAGGCAGGAGCTCTGATTCAGACGAGGTATCAGGATATTGACCTGTCACGAGCGAAGCGGAGGGTGAAGCCGCAGTATAAGTCGTTAAAGGGGTAGGCGGTTGACTAGTCTGCAGCGTTGACGCGGTCGGGGTAGGCACGGCATCTGTTTGACTCCAGATTGAGTTGTCGAGGTAACCATCGTAATCGGCGATCGCTCGACTGACACTGTATTGCGAGGTTTGGGAAAGAGACCGTTGCGGGGGTTCGGACCATGGCGACGCGACGGTGGCCGAAGGGGTAAGAACCATACCAACACTTCGAGGGATGGGGGCCACGATACCGGGTTCGGGCGGTTCAATGGTGGATCGAAGCGAAGTCAACGACGGTTGCGTCAACAGGGACGATCGACGCGGGGGTGATGTGGAAGAAGCCATGCCATCGCTATTGGTGGTACTGCTTTCTCCGCCAGAAGTGGTGGTGGTGCCGGTGGTGCGCCCGCTCGAATCCGTCGATGCAGCAAACGTGCGGTGTTGCCCAATGACAAAAATTTGAGTTGCTTTGCTGGTAGTTTCGTGGTCTTTCAGAACGATGCAGCTGATATTATTGGGATAAATGTTGGTACCTAGATAACTGCTGTTGGTGCTATTGGCGCTGTCGGAAAGCATGGATGCGCCCGATGCGGATGATGCGGATGGGACGGATGTAGTCAACCATGACCAGTGACGATGGCGAAGATCAAATACATCCACGGCCATGACTGAATAAGCGTGCAAGGTATTGGTGTCGTCACCATCTTGACGAATGGTTTGACCACCAATGATGACGAGTTTCTTATGTCCGACATAGCAGATGGTGCAACCGAATCGATCGCGCGGTGGTTGACCTGTCGTCACCAACACGAAATCTTCTCGAAGCGAGTGAGAAATGTCTTCGTCCAAAATGTCGTAATTCATCCATGACTGACTGGTTCTTCGCAATCGCCTTCGGTAGGACATGGCTTCCGGATGATCGTACTTGTACCATATCCATGTCCGGCAATCCAGACGATACAGTACATCGTACACCATGTTGGTATCAGCGTCGATGCGGCAGCCACCAAACACGTAAAAATCATCGCCCACGAGACACGTGGCATGACCGAAACGCGCAGCAGGTATTTGACTGTATCATTTTGGACCAGAAAAGAAAAAAAACAAAGGACTGTTAGCTTTTTTGTATGAGGTAATGACGACTTCATGCTTGTTAAGGTTACCCGTGCGTCGTTGGTTCAATCCAGATATGTGTTAACGTATCGTACAGAAATAAATCGTTTTCGCCTGTTATGATGAATTAGTCGTGTCGGGGGGACAAGAGATCGTTATGATTGCATATTGATGATCAGCTATGACGATTGTGTTTTTTCATCGCTCGCCATATCTGTCATGATTAAATTTTATTACCGGAGGAATCCGCGCACAGTCCACCAAAAATGACAAGGTAACGATCGTGCAGCACGTCCAATGAATGGTCGAATCTAGGCCCTGGCAACCGACCGGTGACGTTTTGGATTTTTTCCAGTTCGAACGTTGTCGTGTTCAAAACGTAGAGATCGTTGGATAGCGTTCCCTGATAGATGCAGCGGCCTCCAAATAGGTAGATATGATGACCAATAGCAACGATGGGGGTGATGAACGGGGTGTAATCGGGACATTTGTGAGTGATTATACGGGGCGACGGTTCCCAAGTGTACGTCTTCATATCAAAGATGAAGCAGACCGGCTCCACCGTCATGAAAGGCATGTAGATTTTATCGTCAATGCGGGCCAAACAACGCGTGTGGTAGGCGGGAGGAGAAGATGCGATCCCTGCATTGGTTCGCGTGGGATGACTCGTGTGAGGAGGAGGAGGTGCTGGAAGGAACGGCTGAAGATGTTGCTGATATGACAATGGTTGTTGTGGCTCGGTGAGTGAAGTCGACAGACTAGGTGTTCCTTGGGCTGAAGGCGACATGGTGCTGGAGGACATGGCGGCAGCAATAGCCACAGCGGTAGGCGGTGGAGTTGCTTGACTGACATATTTCCAGTGGACGGAATCAAAGCTCAGCTCTTTGCGTACCAGGGAATAGAAGAATTGGTTCGTTTCGGATAATTTCGCTAATGAAAATGTGTCTAAACTGCGCATGATCAATTGTAGAACTTCTACATTTAACTTTTGCAAGCGGCAACTAGGATGGTCCACTTCCATCTGACTGCTTTGGGATTGCAACATCAGAAAGACTGAACCACGAAGAGGAGAAAAAAGAAGAGAAAAAAAAGTGAAACCTAAGCGCTAACTGAGATTGGTAAAAAAAAAAAAAAAAAAAAAAAAAAAAAAAAAGGGAAATTACAATTGCAATTTTATTTCTTGCGTTTTTTAAAAAAAAGATCGATCAAAACGCGTTTTCACCGATCATCATCATTGGATCGCCTTCACGGGCATGGATACACAAACAATATGCGAGCTTAACAGAATTCATGTCTTACTGTTTTGAGTAACTCGTTCCGCACAATCGGATACACTTTCGGGTTTCAATCTTTTTTTCCAGTGGGTTGGCTTTTTTGTATTTTTTTGGTTCCTGTATTTAGCCTGTTTCACTGTTTTGATGCAGTTCCCCTTGGCGAAATTGATGTGAATTTTTGTTCTAGATTTTTAACGTTGACTGTAAAAGGAAAAAGAGGGGTTTGGTATTGTTTCGATTCACCTGGAAGCATGCAGATAAAGTAGAATGCTCTCCAACATTCTGGTGCTTTCTTTCCCTATTGACATCTCCCCTCCAGTGAGGTTCAACTTCCGCTAAGCCGGGCTGAAAATATAAAATAAAAAAAACCGATCCCTGTTTGTACGACTTTATGACGTCTAAAAGCTTCCATTGTGTACGCGTTTAACCTTAATGCAATTGGTTTTCCACAAACAGCATAGACCCAAAGGCTAAATCTTGAATGGAATGATTCACTCCAAGTAAAACTAATCTTCGCGTCGTGCAAGGTTTAAAACCATCTCGAAAACAGTAAATGAACCAAGTTTCATGGCACCTGATAGACGTGCCTATTTCGTACAGTGGGTTCTAGAATGTTGCTGATTTAACCTTGACGAATGGACTTTAAATTATCTATATAGAAAATATCTCCAATCAGTAAATAGCGCTTCTTGAAATCCAATGTTTACGAAATTTTTTGCGGACGCGATACGCAGACAAAAGAAACGAGAAAACCTTTTTTTTTTCTTTGTTTTTATTAGCTGTTATAAAAAACAAGTCATCCCACTATCACCACTGTCACTAGTACTTCTTTTATTATTATTATGGTTATCTGTACAGTCGTTTAATTGTTTCTCCATTCGATCTGCTGCGTGTCGCAAGGATAAAATATGTGGCATCAGACTCACTTCATCTCGCATCAGTTTGAGACACAAGATCAGGTTGGCAAGGATACGATCCGCCGTCACACCGTCCCGAAATGGTTGCTGTCCATTGTATCTCAATGCCCGCAATAAAATTCCCCAAGCAATCACCGCAGCCCGATAATCGAAAAAGCAAGCGTAAGGTTTCATGCGCATGAACCGTAATAATCGAATCACCTGAATCGCGGTATCAATCGCTACATCCAACGCGGTCTGATCGATATTGGACACCCCAATACGGAACGCCGATATGCAAGCTTCAATGAATTCCTCGTCGGTGCCGTCAAATTGGATATACTCTTGGCAGTATCGAATATGTTTCAAGCGCGTATCACCACTGCCACGTGGTGAGCCCCGGATAACACTGGGATCAAATTCGTCATCGTCATTTTCAAAGTATTGCAACATGGCCGCTTGCTCGCCAGTCTCATTCGGCTGTTTTGGTAATTTCGATTTCGCCATCACCAGGTATTCGCTGTACACCTTGATGGTGCTTAAAATAGGCAAAGGGTTCGAAGAACATTCTCGCTCCAATAGTTCGAAAAATCCGCGGTCATCCCCGATTTTCTGGAAGAGGGGCAGCGATAATCTAAAGGATGGCGGCAACGACGAATACCAATGGCGAATAATCATTTCCAGTTGGTGCGAAAAGGTCCCAAAAAATGTGTCTTTATCGTCAAAATCGCCATTGCGCATGAAAGCGTCGACACTTCGCTGCAAGTGATGCATGTACTTGTACAACTGCAAATGGCGCGCTTCTTCCATCGTGTCGCCCTCGTGTACCCCCAGAATATCTTTGGTTTCGTGAAAGTGATAGTACACCATATCGGGCGAGCTTGTATAACCTGGATTACCGGAATTGGAGGCAGCAAGGTGAGCAATGGTTTTGCTGTAGAGCAAAAACCGAAACAGACGTTGTTGCAAGACAATTAATCCATCAGCTGATGATGATGTATTGGTGGTCCGTTGAGCTCGGAGCAGATGAGACACACGTTCGGCCATCTCCGCGTAAAGGATACTGTCCCGTATTTGGGCGGTCTGTACTTTATAGAAGCTCATAAAGATGTATGCCGCAAACGTCTCAATGGATGGATCATCAAACGTATCTTGCAAGAGTTCGTGCGCCTGCTGGAAATAGTATTCGCTGTAAACCGCCAGATGCACCGTAGGTATCAGTGCGGCCACGTGCCGACAATTAAGCGAACAAATAGCGGCGCACAAGGCCATGAGCGCGGGTGAGTGTAGAATCGACGCATGTTTGCGCAAAATAGTGTTGATAAATGTAGGAATATGAATGGCGACGTGTTGTAAATGCAAGCAACTGGTGTAAGTACGGAGGAGTTTGGTTGTCAAGGAGACCAGCGAATCCGTCGGCATGACACTTTTATCGACCGTGCCACGGTGAAGCGAGCTCAAGTGAATGCCTCGCACAAGAATCTTGAATCGTGATTTGCCATAGTGTTGCCATACGAGTAATCGTAGAATGCTCAAGATGGGATCGGGCTCGGTATAACGTTGGAACGGCATGGGGACATGATCCTGAAACGCCAGCGTTGTAATCATGTGTTGCAAATTAGCTAAAAGATCGGCATGCGTTGCGATGCTGGTACTGATGCTCAAATGTCCGTCATTGACAGTTAATGTCCAAGGCTTGGTATCTTTTGTATGGACCAGCGACGCAGCATACCGACCGCTTTGTGCAATGACTGGATTAGTGGATCGTCGACTCGGCGTGTCTATGGATTGACGCCGTTTTTTGTGCTCATGGCGTCGGTTCGATTGCATCTGTATTCGATTCAATTCCTTTTCAATGGTGGCCAGACTATCTTCGAGTGTTTCTACATCTTGCAGTAATCGGATTTGTTGCAGGTATTCCTGATCGGCTGGCGAAGGCAACTGTATGTATCGGCATTCTACTTCGTACTTTATGCATCTGATCAACCGTTGGCGTCAGTCAGTACGCTGTCTCTTCAATGTTCCAATGAAAAATGAAAAAAGCAATGTACCTTTGACAAGGTTGGTCGTAGCTGCAGCGTCGCTTATGTTCCCGGCATTCTTATTTCAATGTAAAAACAAAATGTCTTGTGTGAATGGTACAGCGTCAAAAAGAACAATAAAAAGTTTTACTGCCTACCAATACAGGGATTCCTTCGGATACCGCTGGAGGGTTGGTTCATACAGCACGGTTGTGTTTCAGAGGCGAAAAAAAGGATAATAGGAGATGACTGTGACTTGGAAACTAGTCAATACAACTTCGTAACAATCACCAAATCGAGCAATTCTCCTTTGGTATGAATAAAAACTCCACCGATCTCAGCATGAAAATAGCGCTATTTATTTGCCAGATCTGCACTGTAGCAACTATATTGGATTCACTGGACTAGACTACTAGGACGTTGACGGTGATGTTTATGATGCAAGAAATCATAATTAAAGCTTTGTACATAGTTTGTGTCACGGGACTCCAAGCATTGTACACACATAGCGGTGCAAATGTTTTAAATTCATGGCCGACTGGACGTGATTTATGGCTGGGTATGTCTTCACCTAATCAGTGATTCAGTCTCTTACCGGTGCGGAGGTATCGACCATACCCAAGAGCCCGTCGCAAGGTTTCTGTTGAATGAACCTTAACTAGCGTGGATTTGATATAATGAATCTTTCATTTGTTCTCTGCTATTAGAACTTTGGAATATTCGGGAAAACGAAGCGCTTCAATGCCTTGGTGGATTTCCCATTTCGATACGCTCAACCAAGACCGAACATTCAGGGTGGTCTTTCATTATCAAAGTCCAGTCGTAAAAGGCCAGCAAGGGCCATGTTCCCGGTCATTTCACCACATAGACAGGGAGTTACGCCCAAGTCCTCAGAGCCGTTGAAGTCCATCAAGGGGACATACTCGTTGATATTCCATGGTAAAGCCGAAAAAATGCCAACCCCTAAGTCCCAGTAAGCATGCGCCATCACCAACAATACTACCATTCGCGTCAGTAATCCGATGGACGACAGATTATTGGCCCACGTGCCGCTCATGTACGCTGATGAAATTTGGAGTGTTGCTGACCACGTTATCGATTTTGCCGACGTTAATTTCTGCTCAGAATCTTGCTCTCTTTCCTTTTGAAAAGAACGCACAGGATCAACCGTTCAGAGTTAGCCACTATCCTTGTTTGGGCATACCACAAGTTGAAGTTTAAGAGTCTCGGCTACAAAGGTCGGGGGTATCCGGTTTTTAACAGACAGCGAGCAGTGACAGTAACATGCTCAGTCACTCTGGCAACGCCGCTCAATACTCGGCTACTTTGTCATCTTTCTTTGCTAAACCCGTGGTTTTACTGAAGCTGTTGTTCATATACGAAAAAGTTGAGTCCCAACTAGCCAGTTGAAGTGCATTTACATTATATTTTCAGCCGATGTTCCTCGAATTTCTGAGATCCGCAATAGGTTTTAAACAAAGAAGCATCTAATGTAATTAAACAATCAAACCGATGGACCCAACGGTCCGGTTTGTTTACTCCTGTAAATAGGCGAAAAATGCATACTACAATCCTCTCAAGAGGTGAATCAACCACAGCCCCCAAAAAACAGCAGCATGTAGATTTTCTGCAGGAGAAACGCACACTGGGATACATTTCTACAAGTTTATCAAAATTAATGAATCTGAGCTAGTCGCATTGCCAGAAAAGGAAACGGTTGAGAAAGCAGCGATGGTTTTTGCTTTGAGGATGACAAAGTGTGTGAAGAAAAGATCTGCAGGATGAGAAACAAAAATGCCTCATATGTATAATAAAGCACGGAGGACCAGCCATGTGAGCCTTGGTTCCTAATACCTGAGTTCCCACGACAATGTTAATGTCGGTGTATAAATTCAAGGACATTGAGGAGCATTGAATATAAATAAGCATCGATTGCTTGGCGCTGGTTGATTTTATTGTTCTTCATTTGAATAACATGACAGCAGCTCACTCTCTCAAAGATAAGGTGGCCGTGATCACCGGTGGCAGTCGCGGTGTCGGTAAAGCAGTGGCGGATGCCCTGGTGGCCGCAGGCGCCAAGGTGGTGATCGGTGACCTGTTGGATAAAGAAGGCCAAGAACTGGTGCAAAGTTACAATGAAAAGTGCGTGTTTTTCCCCACCCTGTATTTTGCCATCATTTTCTAACCGAGTCAATAGGTCCGCCGAGAACGAAAAGGTGGCCGCTTACCTCCACACTGACGTCCGAAAGTATAGCGATAACAAAGCACTTTTCCAGTTGGCAGAGAAAGAATTTGGTGGCGTGGATGTAACTTTTCCAAAAAAAAAAAAAAAAAAAAAAAAAAAAAAAAATCCTGAGAGTGTTTCGGCGAGCCTTGCTGACGATGAGAGGATCATTTTTTAGATTGCCATTCTCAATGCTGGCATTGCCACCAACAGCAATTCTGTGTTCACTCCGTTGGACGACGAACTGGAAGCTCGTATGTTTGACGTAAATATTATTTCGGTTGTCAAAGGAACCAAGGTGGCCATCCTGCATATGGCGAAACGCGGCGGAGGAGTCATTGTACATACAGCCTCCCTCGCTGGATTTTACGCCTCACCTAGTCTCAGCTCGTATACAGCCAGTAAACACGCAGTGGTGGGTTATACACGATCGTTCCAATTGCTGCCTCAGGTTTGCAACGTCCGTGTCAACGCGATTTGTCCTTACTGGATCGGTATGGCCTTGATGATGTCTTTTTTGTTTATGGTTCATGAAACTGGACCATTGGACTGACAACATTAAAAATAGAAACGGACCTTCTCAATAGCTTGAGCTCTAGAGAAGGCGCCGATCCCATGGAAGGCTTGATAGCTGTGTCGCCTCGTGTTCCCATCGATACGGTCGTCGAAGGATTTTTGACCTTGATCACCGATGAAACGCGCAATGGTAAGTGGCCAAAAAATGAATAAAGAATCTGGGGACTCGTGACATGCTAACAACGAGGGTCACAGCTCAAACATTGATGGCTCTACCCGACGGTCTCCAAGTCCAAGACCCGTTGCCACCTAAAGATAGTCTTTTTACCGCTGAAAATCTCGCTCACAGTCCGATATACCTGGCTGAAGCCGTTGCTGATTTTAAAAAGAAGCTGGCCAAAGCAATGGAAGAATATGGCATTTGAGCTTTCTAGCCCGATAGAGACTGATTTCTCGATATTAATACTAATAAAAGATTTGTATTTTCTATAATTCCAATGCGATGAATGGTGATGCAATGCAGATGTATTAACGGGTAGGCTTACAGGGGAAAAAAAAAATTATGTGAGGGGAAATCCCCCATTTAGGAATCGTTGCATTCGGGATTCTCCACCCACTTTTTGAAAACTTGAGTGCAGTCAAAGGCCGGCTTTCCAAGCTTTTCATTGACTTCGTTGTGTCGTCGACACAACCATTCACTTAACTTTTTACGACTGCCTACACGAACAGGCTCCTTCTCCATCGCCTTTTTAAAGTCATCCTGCAAACTGTTGTTCAGTGATACGACACGATGACCATTTCTCAACTACTACTCACCTTGCAATACCAACAAGGATAATTGTCTGCAAATGTAGTAATAAATGTTCTCATGCTCTCCATTTGGGATGGAGCAGGACGATCCGGGTAATATGCCGCCGCTGTATGTAATAGTGTCCACGCAGCGTTACCGAGGGTCTCTACATCGGCCGGGCAATTGCGCTTTTGCCAGCTGCTTTCTACAAGTATATTCAGCGTTACCACCGCTCGTCAAAAAAAAAAGGCGCATTCTTTAATGGTTGTACCCGATGCTGCAGAAGTGGACTGATCAGAGTCTGAAACTGATGTCGACATGAGATTCGCGAAAGATGCCGCTGAGATGGACCAAAAAAAATTGTTGTGTAGAAGCTCGCGGTGATAATATCTACGCTTGTGATTGGTCAGAAAGTCTTGTCGATGAACAGATTCCCAGTTTCGTGGGATGTTATGCACAGCTACCAATATGAGAATAACAAGCTTCCATAGGCGAAGCCAAATCAGTAAAGAAAAAAAAAAAAAGGCTGCACATGAGCTACAAAGGGTCTTGGCATAGTTAGCGTTTCCAGGTTATGAGTTTCAAAAGTGGATTCTATTCGCTTGTTAAGCCTGTGATTTTACATAAGAATGGTCCTAAACATCAACAAGCATTTTTGTTCTTTTCTGTTCTGTACCTGAGGCACACGTTGGTTCTTCACCAAACGATGCCACACAGACACGAGAGTTTCAAGATGTGTAATATAGAATCCATTAACCCAATACAGCTTTCACTCACTTTCCTTTTTCTCATAATCTCTTATATAATCTTTAGGCTACCTAATGATGCTGTATTTGTATCCATTTGCGATCTAAAAAGATGACATCTTGTCACTGGAATACTCGAAGTGGCGATCCTGCAATCCGAAAAAAGGAAAAAGAAGGGCTCTATCAGTAGCGGGATCTGAATTTCTTTTTTTTGGGAAGGGATCTTTATCCGTGGTGTGTTCCACTCAGTCGAGGCTTTTTCCACTTAATCACCGCTAATTCACTTGAGCCAGCTATTCCTAATTCTCTTGTACCTTACCGTTTGCGCTCTATATCTTTACATACATATCTGATGGCGTCGGCGTTTAGCAATATTCAGCGTTTTTTCGGAAAAAAGTCGCCCGATGAATTGGTACGCCCTCACACCTTTTTTCCTCCTCGTTTGCCACCTCTTGCGTGAATGAATTCAAGGTTGATAGTGAATGTCTGACATTAGGTTCGCAAATGGCGGCAAGAAATACGTGCCCAACAGCGAATAATACAACGGCAAATTCATGCCATTGACCTGGAAGAAGCCAAAGTTAAAAAGTCGATCAAACAAGTGGCCAAAAAAGGCGATGCCAAGAACTGTAAAATATTAGCCAAAGAACTGATACGATCCCAGCGACATAAAGATAGACTGTATACCAGCAAAGCGCAAATGAACTCTATTGTCATGCAACTCGAACATCAACTTGGTAAGTATTTCTACGGAACGGTATTAACGGTGGACGAGGGATGGATTAGCAGACAGGGTTTTATTGTATGACTGGTGCGAGGTACGAGGGACAATACTACTATGGATACTAACGGTAATATTTTCTAGCGACGTTGAAGGTGGCAGGCACTTTGCAAAAAAGTAGCGAAATCATGCAAAGCGTGAATCAACTTGTTCGACTGCCGGAAGTGTCACAAGCAATGCAACAAATGTCTATGGAGATGACCAAAGTGAGTGAAACGGGGAAAATCGAGATATGACTTGCGATATTGACTTTAGATTCTATTAGGCGGGCATTATGGAAGAAATGATTGATGATACCATGGAGATGATGGATGATGACGATATTGAGGAAGCGGCGGATGAAGAAGTCAGCAACGTTCTATATCAAATCACAGATGGTAAGATGGTTAGGTTTGCGGAGACAGAGAATTCATATACTAATGGTGGATACTGTTAGGCATGCTGGGCGAAGCGGGTTCAGTTGGTCCAGCATTGGAAAAGAAACCAGAAGTCGTTGTGGCAGAGGAGGAAGAAGAAGAAGAAGAAGGGCCGGAATTGGATATGATGCAAAAACGACTTCAGGTATGTTGACGAATCATAAGATGGGAACTTTGTACTGGACTGACCACGGATCCACAGGCACTCAAAGGATAATCGATGCATGGTGATCGTCTGATATAATGAAAAATGGGAGGATGCCGAACCTTTTCTATATGTAACAGTTTTCTTTTGTTTGGGAACAAGTGTTTTTGGCCAAATTCCACGCATGCCGTGATTTGTGAAACTATTGTCATTCATTTTTTTTGGAAAAAAATGATTTGCCTCGGTCTTTGATATCCAAGGCCAAGAGAATGGTAGCTAAAACCTGTAGTTGAGTATGCATCTTTGGTTCCCAAGATATCCGTTGCGAAAAGATGCGTCTTTCTGCTTTTCTTCTTTTTCCATCCAAAAACTGATGATGTGATTAGAAGGATTGATAAAAAAAAATGGCTGGCCATAGGGAGAGAAAGCAGAATCCGAACACCCATATGCAAAAAATGCCATATGCTCAGTAATATCGTTTGCAACTTGATATAAGCATTGCTGCAAGTACAGATCAACAAAACTGACGTCATGAGCTCGACGACAACGGCGAGACGCCAAGTCTTTTTGCTTCTTTTTTTCTCTTTTTCTTATTTTGAGGCTCAGACACGATCGCGAAGCCCCGCTTTCCATTTGACTGTCTGTTTCTATTGTGCTTCGACACATATACCCACTGTCTACCTACAAAAATGAGCGGTTTAGAAAGTAAGCGGGCAATCTCCTATGAAAATGTCAAACGTTGCAATTGACTGATCCCTTATAGAGCAACTATTTCAGCTCAAGGTAGATTATCGGACGACTTCAGTTATCATTACTTTTACCTGTTTTCTTGAAACACTCATTTTTTCGCTCTAGTTTACTGCCAAACAATTGAGCAAACAATCGAAACGATGTACAAAAGATGAAGCAACTGAAAAAGCCAAATTAAAAAAGGTAAGTTTAACATGGTGCCTCTACAGTTACGAATGTGGAAAGAAAAAGGAAAAAAAAAAAGAGCAAGTGACTGATTGAGCGGGCATTTGGGTTATTAGGCGATACAAGACGGTAATATGGAAGTGGCACGGCTATATGCTTCCAATGCTATTCGTAAGAAGAATGAGTCATTGAATCTCTTGCGTCTGTCATCGAGAATTGATGCTGTCGCAAGTCGAGTGCAGACCGCAGTGACCATGCGAAAAGTAGGTGCCCTCATGGAGTCGGCGCAGTGAGAATCGCCGATTGACTGAACTCTCTCTGTGTGTGTATAGGTGACGTCTTCAATGGCCAGTGTGGTAAAGGGAATGGATAGAGCCATGGAATCCATGAATCTTGAAAAGGCAGGTATCGCATGACAACCAGATCGGAGATACATGCTTTGTCCTTATTCTTACGGTGAGATAGATCTCTATGGTGATGGATAAATTCGAGTCTCAGTTCGAAGACCTGGACGTGCAGACGGAATACATGGAAGGGGCCATGGCAGGCACTACCACGATGACAACGCCTCAGAATGAAGTGGAAACATTAATGCAGCAAGTGGCGGACGAGCATGGTATAGAGATGAGCCAGGAACTCGGTCGTTTGGAACCGGGCAAGATGGTGGCCGAAGCTCAGAAACAAAAGGAAAGAGGTGAAGATGAGCTCTTGACCGAACGATTGAGAGCCTTGAGACAGTAAAACAATAAACTGACAGAAATAACATCTACATGGGGGAGTTACATGGGTCACGATAAGACTGTTCTCTTTCTTGTCGGTCAACAAATGGATCTTTTATTTTCCCTTTTTTCCCCTGTTGCTTTTTATACACAAAATTATTATGCGCAAGCAACTCAGGTCTCGATGGACAACGCAGTCAAGGTTAAACTATGATGTCCTAGGACAAAAAAAAAAAAAAGATGCTCATCTGCACCCTTACTGTTTATATTGTGCGGGATTGAGAGGGAGTGGAAAAGGACACGGGAGCGGATAGGAATGGGTAAGAAACAATGGCCAAAAAAAAAAGACACATGATGATCACACGAAAAAAAAAAAAAAAAATCGCTACATAAAGGAACTGTATGCTTTAAAACTATGATACAAATGGTGGAATGAAAAAAGGCAAGAGATAGGTCGTCGAAAAACCCAAAAAAAAAAAAAAAAAAAAAAAAAATATCACAGAAAACAGGGTGCTATACACAACTAGGAGAAAAGTTCCAGAAATCCCTCTATACTGATACCGAGCCTTTCCACCAGGAAATAGCCGCATGTCGGATCGGGATAAGTCGGCTGCCACAGAGATCGATCCGTGTGAGAGATGAGGGGTCTTTGTCTTTTGTAGAAAGAAGGTAATAAAGGCCGTGGCGGGAATAGTTTGTCGTCAGTGTTGACGAGCGGAACGCAAGATGGTTCAGGAATCCTTGGCACTATGTGGACCAAGGATGCGTCGAGAAGACAACCATGCTGTTGGATGGTCATTTCTTGAATTTGAGACCGTTTCAAAGGATAATCACTGGCTCCAGAGAAAGTGCCACCTCTTACTGGAGGAAAACATTTTCGAATATCTCCCAGAGATACAAGCGACCGGTCATGAGTTCCTCGAAGCACGAGTTTGCCATGGGATACATAGGTATCCTTGACTTTGAAACAATGCTGTGCCGACTCAAAGTCAGGAAGTAACCAGATGAGACGATATTTGGTATCGAGCGTCTTATAATGGAGAGGCATGATGGACTCGTTCTTTTTCCCTGTCCATGTGTGTTTGACGGCTAACAGCTCATGAAGGTTGGTGGAGACGAGGTGCAACAAAGGTTCGGGGTGCTGCCGTAACTTGATTCTGAGCGCTTCATCCACCAGTTTTGCCGGAAAGACGGTATATAGCTGAGTAAAAGAGGATAGTGAAATCTTTACAAGTATCTGCAAGACTACTTCCAAAGGTAATCTATCCATTTCAGACAAAGAGGAACGACGAAAGCAGACGATAGGAAAGAAATTTGTAATGCAAAAGGACGAATTTCCCCATTTCATGGCATTACGAATTTTGAAACAAGAGAGACCATTAGCCAATCACAGTTAATTTTAGTTTTCGAAAATGGGCGGTCGTGCTTTGAAATCAAAAAATTAACCCAAACGTGGGCGTGAAATTCATCCGCACCCCACACAGTATTCGTACTTTCAAAACCTTCACCTGCCGAACAATAGCATCATTTATTGAAACCAAATCAATTACAGGAAGGGAATGATAAAGGATTAGAAATTTTTGGGACTCGTGGTGATAAAAATGAGGCTGAGCCTTTGTTCGGAGCAGCTTTCCTCCGTCTGAGCCGCGTGCACTAAGCAATACTATAACACAGCTCGAAGTTGGTCCTGCAAAACTCCGTCCAAAATGAATTTCTGTGAGGTTTCTTGCATGGTCATTGTTATACACTTGTATATTCCCTTGTTCTCTCTTTCTATTCCTACCTTGCACATTGAAAAGTCTCCATCAGCCACTTTAACTCATGTAAGCCATGTTCATGGCGAACATGGCTTGTGGGCCAGGAGAACTGGAAGGCTTTAATAACAACAAGTGATCACAGTCCAATTGCTTGAGATTCTCCTTTTACTATTTTTCGTATGTGTGAACTGCATGCGCTCTTTCACTTTTTATGTAATGTATTTTAGCGTGGATCAAGTAATTATTTCGTTTGAACTTGTGTTTCAAAACTATGCTCGGCGGAATTTCACCACAGTGGGGTTGCTTTTGAGAGCATGACGCCGATGGAACAGCAAGAAGTTGAATTTACAAGTTCAGGCTCCAAAAACACTTTTTTTATCGTCAGAATAGGCAGTTTCTAGAGGGGGTATGCGATTTTTTTTCTTAGTTTTGCATCCATTGGTATGTCATGGCACAAATGGTCATGTTGGTCCTAGGCAGATACACACAGTGTCTGTTTATGATGATCAGCTAATTAAATTGTTTCACAGAAAGGGATGCTAGAAAGGAAGAAAAAAAAGAGGTGACCTTTTTGCTGCGTCATGAAACGAGCAGCCAATCATCAGTGTTCCTAATTTTGTCCGGAGGAAGCCACTGTATCAATCGATTGAATTAAATTCAACTGCATCAAGTACTGTATAAAACTTATCAGATGTAATGAGAATGGTTGCCATAGGATCACTCCCCACAAATGTGGTTTTTTTCTCCATAGTTACATAAAAAAAGGATCCTGTCGTGGCTGCCATGGGTGGAAAGCCCGACAAGGCTTGAAACAATATGATTATCCCTAATTTTCCTTTTTATTTTTCACCGTATGCAAGGATAAGTGGAATGTGAAGGGGGGTAAATAGGCATGATCATGTTCAGGGATCCTCGGAAGCAATAAAGTTTTCCTTCCTTGGACTGATTCTTATTTTTACGGCGGAGGAAGTGGGGCTTTGTTTTTTGGCCCAATCACACAGAGAAAGGATTGCAACGTGCATTTAGTCAGCCATCCGAGCTAAATGGATGGCGATCAGGGCACAGTTTTAGTGTCGCTTTTTATTTATTCTTTGCTTTGCGCGATGCGAAATTTCAACGCACATGTTCTTCACCGAGTCGTGTCACAGGATCGTACAATTTACCGGATTTGGCCACGCTCCGTCCTTTTTTTTTTTTCTATACGAAAATTTTCGTGGCATGGAAATTTTTCACAGTGGCACAAAAAAAACCAGTTGCATTTACCGGGACAAACATAAAGAATGCATGATTGCAATACGACCATATATACAGATAAAAAGATATCGAAACCATACCAATCGTTGGCAACGGAATAAAAAACAAAAAAAAGAGTGGTGGGATGGACAAGGCAAAAAAGAAAAAAAAACAATAAATGATTGGCTGTTTACAAACGAGCAGGAATGCAAAAAAAAGAGAATAAAGTAGCGTGTTGAAAGTTCCAATGATGGGATAGATTGAATAAAAAAAAGAAAAGGAAAAAGAAAAAAAAAAAAAAGAAGAGGCCTAGAATTCAATATCATCTTCCCCGGAATCTTCCGCTGAAGAGGAGCCATGTGAAACAGATGCGGTGCTTCGACTTGCATTTCGCCAGGATGTTGTGGAGGCCCGTTTTCGCAGTTTGCGTCGATGACTGTATCGTGCGGAAGGGAATCCACTGCGGTTACGTTTCTTGATGACATCGGTCTTCATGCTCAGAGGACGTTCGGTACCGTGAAGTTTCAAGAACAAGCCGCATGCATTGCACAGTGGATCGCCGCCTGCGTTGCGACGCCATAACGGAGTATTCGTGGTGTCGCAGTTGGTGCATCGTAAATTTGGGTTGTTGGCCATGCCATCCTTGAGAGGGCTAGGAGATGGATGGGGAACGGGATTCTTTTTTGAACGGGGCACGGGCTTGGACTTTTTCGTAGATTGTTTCCTTTTTACAGATCGCACGTGCTGTTGCTGCCCTGACAGCAACCAATCCGGATCGCTGTCATGATCGTTGTCTTCGTAATTATCGCTATCGTCATCTTGATCATTTATTTCCAAATATTCCTCCTTGACCGTCGCCGTCTCTTTCACGGACGAAGCCACGGAAGATGCCACGGAAGATGAAGCCACGGGAGAAGCCAACAACGACGCCGCCACATCATCATTATCACCATCATCACCATCGTCTTCTCCGTCTTTCGTTATTGCGCTCTTCTCTTGTTGGATTTCGGTCGCTGGTTCGGGCATGTCATAATGGGTGGACGGTGGTTCAGCAACCGGTATGAATTCATGCTGTGGTGAAACTGTCTTATTCTCCATGGAGAAGGCAGTCTCGGTTGGAAAGTGGTGTGAATCCTTAAAGGCATGGAAGGAGCTAAACATGTTGATGGACGTGACATTGGGTTGAGAAAACATAATTTGCTGAGGGTGTATATGTGCTGGCGTTAAGAGTTCATGGTGATGGAGGTATGCCGTATCGAAATCCAATGCGGATGAGGAATACAAAGGTGAAGGAGGTCCGATGAAAGCAGCGGAACCGTCACGATCCGTAGCATAATCGACAAAATCATTGAGACATCTCATATCAATATCGATGGCTGCAGGATTAATCGTGGCGACAGGTTGAAAGCTTTCGAGCATTCTAGAAGACGGATACAATAAAGTGTCTAGAAAAGGTGCATTGGAATGCGTAGGAGAGGGCAATGGGGGAAAGCAATGAAAAGCGTTGTATGCAAAGGCCGGTTGCTGTTGAATATGGGAAAACATGACGAAAAAGAAAACCCCTCACACTGGTCCTCTGATCGGGTAAAGAATGAAATAAAAAAATCAAACAAGTACAAAAGAGAAAGAAGAATAGAAAAAAGGAGTCGAAAAGATGGGAAAAAAAAGAAGAAAAAGCACCACTTGTTGTAGACTGAGGCTTTTAATCGATGCATCAAATGACGAGCATTTTTTTTACGCTTGACATTGTAGGTGACACGGGAAAATTTCCAAGATGACATAAAAAAGATAGCGATCGCCTCATTTTCTTTTTGGTCCTTTTGTCTGGACCAAACCGTCCGCTAGGATGACAGGGATTTGAGGGGTCAAATCACCCTGTTTAACCAAATAAAGCACTGATAACAGTTCCAACACACAGGTTGCTTCGTTATTATCCTCCCCGAGCGACCATTAGATTGAAACGAAAAAAGAACTCTTATCCCTTCCTGCATATTTTTTTTCGGGTCCGGTCGTGCAAGCTGTGGCGTCCCTTCCTTAAAAGGTGGAGATTTTTGATAGAAAATTTTTGGCTGGCTCTATATCTGTCACAAGATCGGTGCTGTAGATCGGAACTCGATAAGCCCAAAGCCAAGACCTAAACTATTGTACAGCTTATTGTGCTTTTTTCACAACCTTTTTTTTTTTTTTTTTTTTTGCCTTGCTCGTTAATATTTTTGTGCTTTCGCCCTTTGTCAATGTATTGGAATAAATAAGACGGGCACAAATCAGAACAAAGAAGGATCGCGTTATCTCTGCTCACAAAGACGACACTTTTTTTTTGGTTCAATAAAACCACATTAAACGGTTTAGCCATGTTACACACACATTTATTGCCACCCTTTTTTTCGCTTTGTTTGGCGCATAAATTAATAGATGGCGACTCTTCTCATCATCCAAAGCAAGCCCGTCATATAGTAAAAAACTTTTTCACCTGTGTAGATTGGCAGGTTTTTGCACTTTGAGCCACATGACCACATGAACCCACAGTATCGGAAACCAGTTCCGAGCATGTCGCCTTGTTGTTGTATATGTAGACCTTATTGTCCCCAACTATCTGTAGGTATACGACAAAAAAATTACGAATACAATATCCGTATTCATATCTAGTTTTCCGCCGGATTCCAACGTGGAGGAAGGAACACTAGCTGCCTCTCATTTTGACCAAAAAGTAAAATTATAAAAAAGCCAAGAAATTTGAGAAAAGAGCGTCAACAAAACCACAGCCGCACCGTTCAATTACATGCCTTTGACTTGGAGCCTATGATGCAACAATGCTGTCATTACGGCAAATGGACTAACTAGCATGAGGTTAAAACTCGTCTGCTAAAGCTCGCTCTAGCGTAGACGGGGCCAACCACCAATCCAGTTTAAACCGCAATGTCTATAATGTCAAGCAGCTTTAAAATTTTTAGAATGTTTTCCAAATCTTTTGAAACACAAAGGGTTCCTCTCCATCATTTCAAAAATCATTCGAATTCACTGGAATCACCTACATCAAAGCACACTGGTTATGCGTGGGAACAAAAAAACGATGTACCAACGTACCTTTTTTACCTGGTCAAAAAGGAATTTGTAAAAGAACAAAAGAACAACACGCTGATTGATCAATGTACGGGAGTCTGCATATTGAAATCAGTGTCAATGCTAAAGTTCATGTGATGCTCAACCCGCATACATATATAATCCTACCATGTTTACAAATGCGTCACTCTTGTTTTTCAACTTGTTCTTTTTTCCTTTTTCCATTTTCATTTGCTTTTTATTCTATGCCATTTACTATTGAACCTATCGTCCCTACTTCGCTGCAATCTGGCGTCGACTTTGGAGCCATCATTAACGATTTGGATCTAGAGAAATTGACGGGTAAGCAAACGGACGGTAGATCTTCAGAATTCGCGTTTCGCATCTTTTTGACCTAGTTTATTAGACGACGATTATAAGCAACTGGAGAATGCGGTTTATACATATCAAGTCGTAGTTGTACGAAATCAGGGCCATATCAGTCCCCAAACACAGTATGAGTTGACGAGACGGTTTGACCCTTCTTGCCATACGTATGGCCACGGCAAACAATCGCGTGCCAAGCAATCAGTAATTTCAAGGGACATCTCGCCGCTACCTGATGTTCCCCAAGTGCAGCTGTTAGGCAACGGCGTTGTCAGGAATTATCAAAATATCGACGAACGCCACCTCCACCATCCTGATCATCGAACGTTCCATCATACCCCGCTGACCGAAGAAGATATTGCCAACAACAAGACTCGCTTCTATCGTTGGCATATGGATGCCGCCTTGTACGAGCTGGAATTGCCAAAAGTGACCACCTTGTTCTGTGTACAAAATCCGGTACAGAGTCAAATCAACTTTCTCTAAACAAGAGCAGATGACACTGAAGCTATTAACGCTGTTACAGGAACCCAGACGTCAGACGGTGCACTACGATGATGGTTCAGGTCACACTTTGGATGTGCAGCTGGGCACGACCGCATGTAAATGATTACAATGGCGATTTTGAACTTTTCCGGCTTTTTCTAATTTGTCCTAAATTAGTCATTTCTGGCCAAAAGGCGTTTGAATTATTGTCGACCGAAATGAAAGACTTGGCTTTCCGCACTCAAGCAAAGTATGCCCCTCATCCTTACTTGTGGATGTCCAAAGCCAAATCCCGGTCCAACGGACTGGGCATGGTCACAGAAGGCAAAGAACTGTCGCCCGAAGAATTACCGCCCATCCAAGAGGAGCATATCAAAACCTACCCATTGGTAACGTGAAAGAGCTCACCTGGGAAAAGTCCCCCATCCTTTGTATACTAATATGCCATCCTGTATGTAGCTGTGGAAAAATCCAGTGACCAAAAAAGTGCATCTGCAACTCCATCCTGCCGCTGTCCAGGATCTCATCATTGATGGAAAGCCCGTTGGCGATCTTTTCCAAGTGCGCGAAATTATCTACAAATTGCAGCGACCGGCCATCAATCCCGAAAACATCTATGCTCACGAATGGAAGAATGGCGACATGGTCATCTTTCATAACCGCGGCGTATTGCATTCTGTGGTGGGGTCGCTGAATGATAATGACAAACGAATTTTCCATCAATGCAATATTGCCAGCGGTGAAGGACCTCTCCCTGCTACAGAGGAAGACTTGGCTCCTTACCTCGCCACAGGCGCATAAAATGCAAAAGAGACTTCCTTCTCCCACCCCAGCTATCACAAATACGAAAAAAAAAGCATGAGTGATTCAATAACATGGTTTATTTACATATGTACGGGGACATGATGAATAGTATATGATTAAAGAGGAATGCTTCCATGTTTTTTCCACGGATTTTGTAGGGATTTGGTTTTCAACAGATCCAACTGTTCAATTAATCGTGCACGAGTCAATCTGTCAGCACAAAAACAATGAGAATCAAAGACTGGATTTTGCGGGGCGCACAGGTTTTTTTTTTTTTTTTTTTTTTTTTTTTTTTTTTTTTTTTTTTTTACCTGGGTTCAATAATGTCATCAAGGTAACCTCGTCGGGCGGCGAATAAGGGAGTAGCGAATTTCTCTTTGTATTCTTTTTGCATAGTGGCTTTATCGGGATGATTTCTAAAGATCACTTCAACCGCTCCCGCCGCGCCCATCACCGCAATTTCCGCGGTCGGCCATGCCACACTATAGATCATAAAAAGATCAAAATCAACGAGTTCAGCTGACGCTTTCTTGTGTTTTTCTTACTTGTAATCGCCTCTCAAATGCTTGGAGCTCATCACGATATAGGCTCCACCGTAAGCTTTTCGGATAATGACAGTCAATTTAGGTACGGTGGCTTCGCAATAGGCATAAAGTAACTTGGCTCCGTGGCGAATAATGCCACCTTGTTCCTGTTTTGTTCCGGGAAGAAATCCGGGAACATCCACGAGTGACACGAGAGGGATATTGAACGCATCACAAAATCGGATAAACCTGGCCGCTTTGACGGATGCATCCATGTCCAAAGCCCCAGACGATACAAGAGGTTGATTGGCTACTAATCCTACCGTTTGACCTCCCATTCGTCCGAGACCCACGAGAATATTACCCGCGAACTTGGGTGAAATCTCAAAGAAAGAATGTCGATCAACAATCTAAAAAAAAGTGAATGAACCAAAGATGAGACGTCTGATTTATTATATTTTGGGGGATATTACTTACTCTGTTGATAACCTCTTTCATATCATAAGCCAAATTGGAATTGGTGGGTACAATGGTGTCAAGAGCTGAATCCATTCTGTCCAACGGATCATCACATGGGCGGACAGGGACGGGATCACGGTTGGATAATGGAAGATAATCAAAGAATTCTCGGATGCTGCAAGCCAATAATTGTTTTACCTGTCAATCTTTTTTTTCTTGCTTCTTGTCGTCGACCCATGTGGGGTCAAGGTTAGGACACTTACCCTTGCAAAGCTTCAACATCGTTGGTGAATGTTCGGTGGGCGACGCCACTTATATGAGTGTGTACTTTGGCTCCGCCGAGCATTTCCTGGGTCACTTCTTCATTGGTAACGGCTCGCACCACCTCTGGCCCTGTGACAAACATATGCGACGTGTCTCGAACCATAAATGTGAAATCTGTCAGAGCAGGAGAATAAACGGCTCCGCCCGCGCATGGACCCATAATCAACGACAACTGCGGCACGACCCCCGATGCCAATACGTTTTTCTTTTTGTTTTTCAGGAAATCATATGAATATCTTTGATAAGTTTGGCCTCTGGGATGGATAAGTAGATGAAATAATTTTTTTACCTGGAATATATCGGCATATCCTGCCAGTGAATCCACGCCTTCCTGAATCCGCGCCCCGCCGGAATCTTGCAAACCGATAATGGGAGCTCCCACCGTCATGGCTTGATCCATGACTTTGAGAATCTTTTGAGAATTTGTCTTTGATAGACTGCCGCCAAATACAGTAAAATCTTGACTGTATACAAACACCCGTCGTCCATAAATGGTTCCATGACCTGTCACTACACCATCGCCTGCGATCTTTTTTTTATTGTTATTCATACTCGTTCGTCTGTGCAACGACTTTTTTGTAACAAGTCTTTTTTCTTTCCTTTTTAATTGCTTACCGTTTTGCCTTCCATTCCAAAGTCAGTACATTGATGTTCCATAAACATATCGTATTCACGGAAGGAATCTTTATCCAGTAATAATTTTAACCGTTCACGCGCGGTTAATTTTCCCTGGGATCATGGGTTCAGTACCGCCCTTTTCGACCTTTCCACGCCATAAGCCTTCCATGCGAGCTTCATTACCTTGGCATGTTGTGCATCGATTTTCGCTTTGCCGCCGCCATGAATGGCTTCTTGCCGTTTTTCGTCAATGGTGACAAACGATCTCTGCAATGGACAAATAAAAAGTTAACTTGTCACATTCGCCCGTCCGACATTTTCGGTTCGGCAGTACTTGATTGCAATATAATCGAGTCCAACATCGGAAACCGTTACGTCGAAAGGCAATGGAGAACATGTCACTGCGATTCGGCTTGATAAGAAAAAAAAGTTTCAAAAGAATAAAGTGAGTTAGGAAAAAGAGGTGGAACTGAATGAAATTGAACTCCGAAAGGGTTTTTGATCAGGCACTTTTTTTTATTATGATTTTCCCAAACATCATCAAGATAGTTTTTCGGTATTATTGATTACGGTTATGAACAAGAGGAACGGTTTGTGTTTTTGTAAGAGTGTTTTTTTTGTGTATATTCAAGATGCAGAAGATATCGGTGAAGATTGGCGATGCCTTGCAGTAGCAACAGTTGGTTTGCAGGTAGGCCACCGTCCGGAAAACGAAACGTAACTGTTTAGAAAAAATTGGTCCAAATAAATAAGACGGGTATCCTGATAAAAGAGAAGAATGATAGAGAATAACTTACTGAGGCTATATATATGTAAAAAGTCAAATGCGTAAAGTAAAATCAAACCCGAAAAGAGAAACGGATACAGATCGTTAATATCAAATCGTCTTATTGCACTAGAAGTTCGTCTGTCTGGCTTTTTTTGTCTTCTACTGGAAAACTTACACAATCGCTTGATTTATGTTTACCTATTTTCTCGGGCAAATTAGAGGAAATGGTTAAAAGGCGAACCATATCAGTGGACTTACTGGAACCACAGAGATAGCAAGTAACGGGTGTCATGCTGCCAAAAGAGTAAATGGAGTTCAAAATCAACAAGTGATAAAGAAAAAAAGTAAAAAGAAAAAGGTCGGCTCCAAAGGTGGACTACTTTATATTCAGAAAAAGTAAAACGTTGTTATCACGCTCTCTCAATCAAAAGCTCTGGAACCTTTTTATGGGGACGGGTTTTGGGGGACAAGAAGGAAAGCGAGCGAACCGAGCCCTTTCCATTTTCTTCTACTGACCCCTTTCCCTTTTTTTTTTTCTCTCTCGCATTTGTTGTCAAAGCAATGAAACAAATAAGTCGATTATGCTTCACCTCTTTTAGAAGAAAAACGTGGTTCCGAAAAGTCTCAAACTGTTCACAAACCCTTTCATTCCGTTTCATCTTCTTTTAAACTCTGACCTTTGACGTTTACTGTCGTTCATCGTAACACAGACACATAAATCACATCGTCAAACAATTCCCGCTTTCGAAAACAACGAAAAAAAAAGTAAACATGAGATACTTTGGCCACCATGGACATTGACGCAACCTCGGGTGATGGATGATCCTATTCCATGACACTTGACGGATGACTCATGTGGTTTGGCTCCATCGGCGGTAAAATCAGACAGTTTCAATGGGCTATCATATGTCACTGAACGTATCAAATAGCTTATGCAGGATATCAACAAGTTGAGATCATTCCATCCACCAAATGATGGCTTATGGCCTGCTATTGGTGCATCATAAAACGAAAATAACCGATCGACCTATGATCGTTGTTTTCCTGTTTTTTTTTTATCAAAATACTAGATACAATAAATACATAAACAAAAAGATCAACTTAAAAAAAGAAACAATATACACCTTTGTCGAGCAGACAGATGAACTCCCTGATTGAAGACGGACATTTCCAAGCCTTGCAGATAATACTTTACAGTACAATCTTTTTAACATTCTGAAAAAAAAAGAAAAAGATGGAGCAAAACATTGTATAATGTGATCTAGGTACCATGAACAGTTTCCGTGGCCATCTGCCATGAAGGGACTCCTTGACTGGATTTCAAAAAAAAAAAAAAAAAAAAAAAAAAAGGATACACGCATCCACCACGACTATTCCCACGCACTACTCCTAACTCTCCATGATCGAATTTTCATTTCTTTTATTATTTTCTTTCTTCAATCGCTTGATCGAATGACATCAAAATATTAAACAGTGTCAATAATGGAAAATAATGCATGGTGTTTCCTAATAACCTAGACTCATGGGAAATTGCAATTGGTCTTCATCCAGTCCTTCTCTTTTACAAGATCATCAATTGAATATGTGCGTGTGCGCTTTTACATTAGCTGTATGTATTCCCAGCCATTGGATCACTTCCTGTTTCATATGAGACATGCAGCAGCCTTCTTTTGACTTGAGAAGCCGAACTTGATGTGAAATCTATTGCATCACCATCATTAGTTCAAAGTTGTGCAAGGAATTGCATCAAAATTCTTTACATCGTAATTGCAACCAAATTAAAATGTCATTTGAATTGCTGATATAAATGTCATGGTATCTTTCAAGTGACGAATTAAAAATGTTTTATGTGCATCATTGACAGACACACGGAGAAGGAAAAAAATAGTATACCCCTCTGTAGCAAGTCAATGTTACTGTGAGACCATCGGCAACATGAATATTAAAAAAGTTTATGATGCATAAACCTTCCTTGTCATAAAGTCTGGGAATCCCAGAAACCCAAAATTTTTGATCTCAAAAATAAATAGTGATTGACACATAACGATCTTCTACGTATATCATGCAAGCAATGGCCATTGAACAAGCAAAAACGGTCCCTCATGCCTAATACTACACTTTTTGGGTGTTAATCATCTTATTTTGCTGTAACAAATCACCGTAAAACCATCACTTTGGTAGACGTGAAATGAAAAAAGAGTTTGTGAATGTAAAATATCATGCATCTATTGCGACGTCATTCAGTTTATTATTTTCAGTTGAACGCAACGTGGAACGCCTCATTGGATGCGGTTCCTAGAAATTTTTAATTTTGCTAAACCTATTGGCCCCCCTTTTTTTTTTCGTTCGCTTCTTTCACTTGACCGTTTCGTTCAAAAGGGTATGAATAGCGACACCGCAGAAGTAGGGTTGAAAATCGCCTATGCGGCGTTGATGACCATGGCTGTCATTCCGATCTACGCTGGATCGTTTGCTGCTTTCCGTGTGATGAAACGTCCTGCCAATGCTCCGCGTGCAAAGAAGAAGAGCGCGTCACCTTTGGAAGATTCCGACGATGAAGAGGAAATCTCTGAAAGCCTTACAGCCAGCGATGCTTGGATGTTTCCTGTCATTGGATCAGGCGTTCTCTTTTCTTTGTACCTTTTATTCCGTTTCTTGGATAAAAAGTATATCAATATCCTCATCACCGTTTATTTCTCCGTCATGGGCTGCTTAGCCGTCGCCAAAACCGGTCTTCTCATTGCCAAACGCATCGTTCCTCTGGCCTTGTTGAAAAACGTTCAAAAGTACAAAATTACCCTGTCCAAGCAAGATGCCAGTAAGTAATTGTTTGCGCGTCCACATACAAATTGTCAATTTGTCGCTTATGCTGTGGTTTGACTTTTTTTAGTCATTTCTCGCACCAGTTTCACTGCCGTTCACGGTATTTTGTTGCTCCTTTCGGCTGCATTGACGGTCTATTACAGTCTTACCAAGAACTGGATTGCTTCCAACGTTTTTGGCATCTCCTTTTCCATCAATGCTATCCAATTGTTATCTTTGGACTCTTTCAAGACCGGCATGATTTTGCTTTCTGGACTGTTCTTTTATGACGTCTTTTGGGTATTTGGAACTGAAGTGATGGTCAGCGTTGCCAAGAACTTTGATGCCCCCATCAAAGTGATTTGGCCCAGGGATATCATTGACTTTATCATGAATTCATCGACTGAACGTAATTTTGCTATGCTTGGCCTGGGAGACATCGTGATTCCAGGTAAGTTTTTGATTCTACTGGTCGCTTTCTCCCACAAAGAAGGAAAAAAAAAATAGGAAGTATCATCTGATCTTTGCAACTGATGGGGTGACGGATTCTTAGGTATTTTCGTGGCTCTTTGTCTCCGCTTTGATCGACACATGGCATGGCAACGCCATCCTGTGGGTGATTTCCGTTCCACCAATTTCAGCAAACCTTATTTCAAGGCCTGCTGTATTGCTTATGTGATTGGATTGGGAACGACGATGATCGTGATGCATGTGTTCAACGCCGCTCAACCCGCGCTTCTCTACTTGTCGCCGGCTTGTATTCTGTCCGTTTTAATCACGGGCACTATGCGTGGTGAACTCAAGGACGTGTTTAGCTACTCTTCCGAAGAATCCGATGACGAAAAGAAGAATAAGAAGAAGTCGACCGGTGCTAGCACCAGCAAGCGAGTGACCCGCAACACGCCCGCAGCACCTAGCCCGATGAAAACTCGATCATCCACCGTCGGGGATGACGAGGACCATACCGACCACAGCGACCACAGCGCCGATGGTGAAGATACCGCAAATAGTACCTCTTCCGAAACTCCTAGAACGAGATCCCGACGAAATACCAGAAGCAAAAAGAAATAAATTTCTAACACATTCCCCCTTCGAAAGATACAATACGTATAAAGAATAAGTCATCTGTTCTTAGTTAGTATTTTCTATTTATACTTGTTGAAAAAGAAAAAACCATATTCGTAAAAACGCAACCCACATGCCAATATAGGGCGACGCGTCAAATGCTTTACCCGTACGAAATGAGATACATATATTCCACCTTCTTTTTTCCGTTCTCTATTTACAACATCAAACGGTAAAGGCCTGCCGAAATAAACACTGCAATTTTTCCATAAAAGTGTTTGTTATTAGAGCCATGTCATTCTCGAATCGCCCTGTTGACTTACCAACGCCTGCCACACCAAGACCAACTGCTTGGTTGGATTTGCCCGCCACCTTATTAAGCTTGTTGGCTTCGCGTAAAGCATAACCACCAAGACCACCAAAAGCTAATGCACCGGTAATCTTACAAGGCAGACAATCTTCATACTTTTTCGCATTTTTCAGCTCGCTGACAGCGTCATTTGAAGTGTTGAGTGCTTGATTCTTATCCATGGGTGAAATGTGCAACCGGAAAGCAATTGTGAAAGCAAGAAAAAAAAAGAATCACTACGGTTATTTTGGTCATGGGTGACCAAACTTGGTAAAAAAGATTTGTGAATATATAGAAATCAAATTACTTTTATGGAATATAACTGGGATTATAACGAAAACTTTCCAAAAAAGGCGATTTTTTTTGGTTACGGTCATGAGAAAATATTTAGGTCAGAAACGCCGACTTTAGCCCAAGTGGCGAAATGGATATCGCATCCCCCTCCTAAGGGGAAGATTGCGGGTTCGAGTCCCGTCTTGGGTAAGCCTTTTAATCACCGCAAATTTTCTTCATTTTACCAAATATGGTATTGGTGATTGTACGTTTCTGTTGCCTTTTTTAAATTTTTTGGTATCGCCTTGATGCGAATAAGCCAATGTGAGAGATTATTGTGACCTGTTGGCGTTTGGGTGCGTTGATCCTTGCACAAGTGACAATGGTTTGGTGCTGGGACATTGATGCAACAGAGAAAAAAGTCCGCCTTTTGCACCCAATGAGCAATGCGTGTTGGATTTCATAGGGAAATAACACCGTACTATAATAAAGGTAATCATCCATTGTGATGGCTAATCTAAAGAGGTTTTCAATGAGATGGAACCTATGTCAGTTACGCCGGTTCTTCTTTTGCGCCGATTAGATTTGCTATACCAAAGTTTAGCAAATACGGAAGACAGCGCATTGGCTCGTCCGCAGATCGATGTCTGGAGGAACCTTCGAGAAGGTATGAAGGACCAATGGATGAACGAGGCATACCAAAGGTATTGCCTGGAAAACGGAAGAAATATAGACCGAATCCGTTTAGCATTAAAGTGGTCCGTAATACTTCTTGATTGGTTATGTTTCGGAATAATAGAAAACCGTGCAGGAAGTTGACGAGAACCTTCCTGAAGATTGTAGACATAAAAATGATCTTGATAGAAAATATAAATATGACCATGTTATGGTAGAAATAAAGAATGAAAAAAACTACAGATTTAAACTGAACTCTAAAGGAGTACTCAAATCTGACACCTAGTGCAATGCGTCGCGTCGAATGAAACAGAAGGGCTTTGACAAGTGAAAACCAAAAAATTGGAAATGCAGTTAATGCATAATTTGAAAGCCCGTTTACTTCTATCTCTGTTTCGCACGCCATCATTACTGTTACAAGAATCAAGATTTGATTAGGGAAGAATGAGAAGCTGTAGACTGTGGTCCGTAACATAACTGAGAAAAGATTGTAGTCATGAGATTGAAAAAACCGATTACACTACTATGTCAAATCGGAAAATTTACCCAGTGATGATGGTGCACCGCCTTCAAGGATAGATCATACCACAAATCCAATAGCATTAGTATCTGATTACTGGATACTACAGCTATATTCAGCTCGCTGAATGCTAAAAAAAAATTACCAAAAGAAAACAGCAAAAAGTGACCAAGGATGTGATAGGTGAAACTTAAAAGATTATATTATGTAAATTACAGTTGTTTTTTGATCGACTAGACATAACTTTTTTTGAAGGGGTGGGAAATCTGGTTTGCAGATGAGTCAATGGAAAAAGGGGAGGGAATAAAAATAAAAAATTAAGTTACAGTGTAGAGAGCGGGTATCAATTTTTGAGGGAAAGCACAGCCATCCAGTCAGTTAAGCTTGCTCCAGGCTGCAAGGAGTCATTGGTGATTCGATCTCGCTTATCGAGGCCGAGTAGTAGTCTTCTTCATCGTCCTCTTTGAATTCGGCCATGCCTGAATCCCGCTTATTGAACATCGGTCGTTTGACTTTTCCTTCCTCACAGAGGTCGCGGTACTGCTGGGTCTTGACAAATTTGGGAACCGAGTCCGAAGCCATTAGCCTGCAAATGTGCTCGTTCACGCGGTCAAACCATTTCAGCATCATCCTTAAGCTTTGAGAAGACGATGATAACGGGGAAATGACAATGGTAGGACTCATCTGACCAGGCGAATACGTTTGTACAACGGTGATCACAGAAGAAACCAAACGATCCATTTCCTGGCGCATCGAGTGTTCAACATTGAGTTCAAAAGGTGCTTTGGGGGCCAAGTAGCGTGTCCAGATATCGTAGGCATCTTCCAATAAGCTGCGCTGGTTCTGTGAAGGCATCGCGGGACTCTGGTTACGACATTTGTGTCTTAAGTTGGTGTAATCGATCCAAAAGTCGAGATTTTCTTCGCAAAAGTTGGTCCGCAAAAAGTCCTTGAATAAAGATCTTAGCTGGGGATTATCCAAAATCGTCTTTAATCGGTACGAGTTGCATTCTTTGCCGTCGACATGGGAAATTTCTTTGGCGCTAGGTGTCGATAACAGCGAATCCGCTTGAGAATGATGGCTTGCACGACGCTTACCAAACTGGTCAATGCCATCCGGGCCGTCGTTGCAAACGGATAATGGCCTTGAACCGCTATCGCTACTGATAACAGACGCCGTGGAAATTGGACTGGGCGGCATCATGTCTCGGTCGCACATCGCGGTCTCTGCAGCGGCCGCGGCCGCCAATTGATCGGTCACAATTTTCTTGCCAGCCTTGGTAATTATGAACAGAGTAGTCTTGGAAGTCGACAAGAAATCAGTACCTGATTTGGCTCCTTCAAGGTAATCGATCCATCCATGACGCAAGAATTCTCTAGCCAACAGTTCGGCTTCGTCTCGAGACGCAATCGAACAGTACTCCAGCAACCAGTCGCAGCACAGTTGAGAAGGGAAAATGGCTCGCATTCGAGTGCCTGTTTCGGAATTGGTAGGCAGGACCTCGGGAAATGAAGCCGTGAGCATCCAGTTGTTGACCAGGTTTAACTGTGGATCACGTAGCAGTTCAATACTAAACACACTGTTACATGTTGAAGTAGGAGGGGAGGGGGGGTGTCGGGAAGCTTTGGCGCCAAAATTGGCCGACAGCAGGGCATTCACGGAACGGGGGGTAATGGACTCGCTTTCCAAGGGCAAACTGGTGACCATGACGCGGAAGAGGACGGACAACTTGGAGCGATTGAAATGGATTTGATCGTCATCTTCGGATCGGTCGAGGAAAATCACTTGTGTTGAAGGCACGGATTCAAAGTGGCCACTAAAAGGAGCCAGATCCACACCGGTGCGAATGCAGAATTCCTGAAAGATGCAGAGCCCTTTGCATGTGAGTCGCCAAATGCCTTTATCACGAAAGTTGCGGTTGCTAGGTTCCACTGCTGACTCCAGTAACCGTGACCATAAGAACTGTTGGCATAGTGCCTTGGCCATATCTCTTGCCATATTAAATGTGGTAGTGACGGTGCGGACTTGAACTTTGGACTCATCGGCCGGGTCATGGACACGAACGCTGTGAGAGAACCTCAGAGAACCAAGCGCTGCCACCGTATCATCGGAAGTGAATGTATGGTGATAGTTCTTGAACAGGTATCGGTTGACGCTCAGTGGGACTTGAACAATTAATGCGCCAAATAAATCATGAATATCCTGTAAATGCCAAAAGTAGCAATCAGTCAATGATATCATGACATTCCTATTTTTTGTAATAGGTTGTATTGGCCATTGCCATGGTGGGGACTGGGATGAACGATTGCTCTGTCAACCCAGCCTGATCTGAAGGGAATCCGGTTCTTTACACACCTTCATAAAGGGACGCCCATCAATATTAAACTTCAAGATGGAAGTATAGGATTGTTGAGCCATTCGATGAAAGTTATATATGCAAGCAAGTAAAGATTAAAAAAAGAAGAGAAATGACAAGTAATTAAACCGTTGAAAGAATATAAAAAGAAAAACCGAAAAAAAAGATAGAAACCAGTACAAGAACACTGCTTTTACATTCACGGATGACTGGCAATTTACTTAAATAGAGGAATCCCCTTCGATACCGACAAAAAGGATCCCAGCATGCTAAATGGGTGAAAACTGGACAAAAGGGAGGAGGCAATACGAATCCGGCATGAAACAAGCGATATTACCTCCTTTAGTAAAAATGCATTAGGAGGTACTTTCTCGCTTTTCCTTATTCTTATTTCTACGCCTCTAACCAACAAGGTAAGCTGTCATTTGTTATGTTGACAACTCTAAATTCGAATAGTTTATTTGCGAGAAGCTTTTTTGTTTTTTTTGTTTTTTTTGTTGCCTAGTTTTTTACCTTTTTTTCTAGGGGTTGTTGCTCTTTTTAGATTCTTTGATTCTCAAGCTGGGAAAGACTCTCGCGAACGTGGTAGAATAAAGAAAAAAAAAGTCTAGCGTGGCGACGCATCTCAATGAAAATGCCGCTCGTGCATTTTTTTTTTTGTCATGGTGCACACCTGAAAAAGAAGAACCCCAAAGAAGTCCCTTTTTGCCATCTTTTTTCAGAAAAGAAAAAACCTGAAAAAAAATGAATTTAGAAAGAATTCTTCAAGATCTTGCACGATTAAGAAGAACAAGGCTTATTCAAAATAGGAGACTCCTCCACATTATCAAAATAGTGAAAATAAAGGATTCTCCAATATCTCCACGATATCAAAAAATCAGGACATTTTCTTTCCTTTTTCTTTATTTAACATGATTAAGGTTGTGGAAAAAAAGTAGGAGTTTCAGGCGAAGCAAATAATAATAATAAAAAAAAGGGAACACACACAAGAACGATTTACACGTGCAATCAATTGCTTGACTGATCTAACAAGAAGTTGGTGGCTTTGGTCAGGTCTTGGTCGTACCTGTCAAGCGCTTCCTTGGCATTTTGTCGGTTAAAGCCCATTTTAACCAGTTCTTCAATCTTGTTATCTCCTTTGACGGAAGACTCCTTCTTCTCATTCACGGACTCCTGAACATCGTCAAAGCTTGAGAATGCATCATCAAAACCAATGGGTATCGATGCATTATTATTGTTGCTATTATCTGAAGTGCCTTGATTCGTGCCTTTGGATGTGCCTGGACCTCCAAAGATGGAATCCCAATCGTCTTCGTCCTTCATCTTGTTGCTTGTTGCCGGGGTTGCACTCGATGTGATCTTGGTTGCTGTGGAACTACTGCCGAAATCAGGGAAATTGAAGCCACCAAAACTGCTAGCCCAATTGGTTTTTGAAGGCGAGGCTGGCGAGGCTGACGAAGCCGCTTCAGGTTTGGGAACCGTAGGCTCTTTAGGGAGATCAAATGCAGAAAAAGCATCATCAAAATCATCAAAGTCATGCTCATGAGCTTTATCCACAATTTTCACATCGTTCAATTCTTTGGAAAACGCCTTTTCAAAATCATCTTCGGCATCTTCCATCGGTTCCTCATTCGGTTTCTGGGCCGGTGTAGGTGTAGATGAACTGGCCGCCGCCGATGCATTGGCAGGTGCAGGTGCTGGTGCTGCTGGTGGAGGTGGAGGTGGAGCACGTTGTTTCTTTTGCGTTGTCATTGCTGCAGCAGCCTTGGTTTCGGAAGACTGTCGGTGATGGTGTCGACTTTGTGGCGGTGGAGGAGGAGGAGGCGCCTGACGAGCTGTACGACCAGGAGTGCTTGCAGGAGATTCATATTCACTCACTGAATCCTTATCCTCAGATGTAGGGCCCTTTGCATCCTCTTTTTGTTGATGATGAATGGGGTCAAATCCATCGGTAGCAGGTGGGTGGTTTTCCGAGGATCCAGAATGACCGCCATGAGTTGGCTCGGATGGCGCCACGGCATCATTGGTAGTGAACGTACCAAATATGGCATCAAAGTCATCCATTGCAGCAGCAGCACCACCTCCACTTGCGGTGGTGGACTGCGGTTCCTTGTTTTCCGTACTTTGAGCGCTTTCTGTTCCGGCACTGCTACTCCCTGATTGCGAGGAGCTGGATCCCTCATCACTGCTCGTCCTACTTTCTTCCTTTGGCGTTTCAATCTGGGACTTGATGGCCGGTTCTTTAGTCTCGTTTTCCAGGGCCTTGGCTTCGGCGACTTCCATCTTTGGCGAAAAGATGTCAAAGAAATCATTCGAACCGGTCGAGGGTTCAGAGGGATTGCCGAAAGGAGAGGCAAAGAGCGATGGTGATGGTTGTTGATCTTGTCGCTGTGGTAATGTCTGCGATGCAGATGGTGAAGTGGGTAACGCTGGTGCTGGTGAGGCAGTTGCAGGGGTTGCACCGGCGATCTCTGAAGCATGAGTTTCCATTCCAGTGGAAGATGTCCGGCCTTGGTGGTCTGGCTGCTTGTTCATATTCTCCTGAATAGCATGCACTTCCTTAAATTCGTCCAAATCACGCTTTGCTTGATCACGATCTTGTTCGGACGCAGTCACTTGGCGTCGATTGATATCGAGCATCATACCCTGCTGTTTCACCTGAGAACGTAAATCCTCCAATTCTTGCACCAATTGAGTCGTTTCCACTTGAATGTCATGCACACGGTGACGGAGACTCTCACTTTCAGCACGACCATTTTCCAACGTCTGTTTGAGCTGGGCAATCTGATTCTGGACTTCCAGCAATTCGCGCTGCGCGGCATCGTGCTCGTCTCTCACCTGCACGAATGCAGGTTCTTCCTGCCGCAGCTTTTCCTGCAATTCATTTAAATCCTTGACTTCGGTCTCGTGAGCTAATCGGACTTGAGCCATTTGCGCTTGCAATTCCTGCTTTTGTTTCGCCAATTGCTCCAGTGTCTGTTCAGCCGTCAGTTTCTGAGTCTTGACTTCTCCTGTTGCCCTTCTCAAATCGGCCATTTGGTTCTGCATTTGGTTTACTTGGTTCGTTTCTTGCGTCAATTGCTCGTTATTACCGAAATCGCCCAACAGATCCTGATCATCCATGAGAGACGTGCCTACCATCATACAAGGACATTGGTGACTATATCAGTACCGTTCATCTTGAATCTTTTTTTCCTTCTCCATCAAACCGCCCGAAAATCTTATTCCCGATTCGTCCTTTCTTCCTTTTTTTTTCCCCTCTTAGCTTACCTCGAGAAGACGAAGGATTGAATGGATCTACGGTGAGTGAACTAGGTGACGGCCGTGCTGCCATGGTTGCTGCGCGTTGAAGTTCATTACCGGAAAATGCTCGTGCGGGTGCAGGGGAGGGACTGGGCATGAATGGCACATGGGGACTTGGGGGAATTAAGCTTTGTGGCAAAGACGAAGGCAAGGCTTCGCCACGTAGCCGCTTATGAATCAAATGCATCGCAACGGCAAATTCGTTACGCGACAATCGACCTCGTTGTTGCATATCCGCCAGGTCCCAAATGTGAGCCAAGTCCGCTTCGGGTAATCGTGAGTTCTTGAAGAATTCCACAGCATCTTTTCCTTGCATAAATCCCGTCCGTTGCGTATCGATCTTGTCAAAGAAAGCATCAAACTGGGCCTTTTCTTGCGCCGACACGTCCCATTGCGTCGGTGTATCCATAGCGGCCGCAGAGCCGAAAGCCATCGTGCCGAGCGAGTCGATGGTTTGCGATCGTTGAGGAGGGGTCATCATACCTGTCATTTGTCGAGCAATGGTCGGAGTGTGTGCAGGATGCTGTCCACTCAATTGACGAGGTAGAAATGCGGGCGACGAAGTAAATTCGGCCGAGGATTGACGTACAACAGGTGATGGCACAGGATTACCACCGGCAGAGGCGTACACGCTCGGAGGTAACTGTGTAGGTAGTACAGACAAGGTGCCATCCATTAATTTAGCAATGTAATGCATTGCAATGACAAACTCGGTTTGATTCAATGCGCCTGAGCGACGTACATCGGCCAGATTCCTTTTCGATTTTCCCATATTTTTCAGTTAATACATGATGGATGGATTACCACGTTGTTTCTCCGTTCCCCAATTTTTTTTTGATGTACATACCAAATCTGGCCCAACGTATCGGTCGGTAATTTCGATTTTAAAAAGATGCTTTTGGCTTTCTCGGCATCCAGCACGCCGTCCACGGGATGATGAACATTAAAAATGGATGCATACTTTTCGCGTTCGGCAGGTTGAATAATGGTGGCTGCTGTATTGCTGGTTTGACTGTCGTTTCGATGAGGACTGGCAACGATGTCCGGTTTGAACCCTTCAAATTGAGGCAGAGGAACACCTACAGCCCATAACAGGTATCAGTGCTGCGTCCCCGTCAAAATGCTTTACCCCAGATTTTCTACTCACGCGTCGAGAGAATAGGATCCTTGGCTTCCTGGCCATGTTGTGCACAAGCGATGAGTTTCAAAGCAATGGAAAACGTTTCGGGCGTAAGGTAGCCGACATTATCACGGTCGGCTGTCTCCCATATCTAGCCACCACGCCGAAAAAGAAAGAGTCAGCATAAAAAATATATGCATGGTATAGCTGCCATTGGTTCAGAACCAACCTCTGAAAGAATTTCGTTGGGTACACCGGATGACGCAAAGAAACGCACGGCTTCAGTGCCAGTAACGATGCCCGGTTTGCTCTGACTGGCCTTTTTGAATAATTGTGCATAAACGTGACGTTCTTGTGGAGTCAATTGCGACTCCCAAGATACTAAACTGGACATGATGACGTTCAATTAGAAAGCTGTTGAAATTGGGCTTTTTGGTGAACGAGTTCGAGATGGAAGGAAAAAGAAAAAAAGGAAATCTTATCCCAACTTTTTTGCACTCACACTGCGCACGATTGTCTTAGCCGTTCAAGTCACACACCGCCATTATCCAAATTAGGCAATGGACATGGACGATCATGAACAAACCGCCGGATGATATTTTTAGCCACTCGAACTCTGTTTTTTAATTGCTTTTTTTCATTCGCGCCTGTTATTCTTGGGAACAGATAAACTATGATCAACTGTCAAAACAATCGATCATCTTTTAATTCAAATTCAACCAAACGATTGGAATGATCTTTCGACGGGGTGCATCGCTCGAGAATATAAAGTGCATTGACCATCTATTTCTTATCATCGCTTTTTCTTGAGACAAATTTTCTTTTTTTTGCCAAGAACCTTGGTAAAACAAAGAGAGTTGAATGCCAAGAGAAAAATAAAGCGTCATTGGATCAAAAGAGTCCAAAATTTGTCTCTTTGTCACCCATACTGACCATTTTTTTGGCAGATACCATCTCTTTAATTTGTCACATACAAATGAGTAAGCTTCCCGTGCGGTGTTGTTTTTTTCATTTCGTTGGGCAGCCAACCCGACTCCGCCTCACAGCTGAGATTGAATTGGTATCGTAGTGTTGCCTCACAAAAAAAAAGGTCATTAAAAAGAAGAGTTTATCCCGGAGGCATAGGCATGGGCTGTTTGTAGCGAGAGAGAGAGAATACCAAAAAAAAAAAAAAAAAAAAAAAAAAAAAAGCTCACACTGAGAAATCATGGAAATGGATCATCTCTCGAGGAGTAAAATATCATCCCCCGCAAAAACCGGTTTTTCTGGCAATGACGAATTTCCAAAATTCAGAATTCTCTCCTTTGACAGAAAAGGCAAAACACAATTTCCCCACAAGAAGAACCACTTTTTTGCTTTTTTCGTCATTATTGGATTGTGGAACGTTTGGATGGCAGGGTCATTTGTATCCAGAACATCTAGATGCTTTCAGTTGATATGAGGGATGGTTTCTCTCCTTCGTTGGCTTGTCAAATCATCCTTATTTTCGGTCAACCGGAAGTAGGTCGTATTCAGGGTTCTATGACGTACATTTGCGATACGGTTTTGCATCCAAGGCCCCTTGCCTACATTTTCTTCAAGGCGTTCCCTGATGAAAAAAAATGGACGCGTAATCAATGGCTCCTTAGCATTATCCCAAAGGAAGGGATCCTGTAACGAGGAGTATCGTCATTCCCAACGTAACCAGCACCAGAAAATGTTGTTTCTAGAACCAGTAGGAGGAGCGATAATGTAATTCTCGCAGTAGTTCCCTCTCTGATAGTTATGAAACTCACATTGATAAATTCCAAGCAACAATTGCTAATGTGCATGTAATTATCCATCATTCATTAGACACACTTGTCTTCATGCTTGTGAAACCAACTCTTTTTTCTTTGGTTATCATGCGGTGAATAGCAGCCAAGGGTGTTTATCGATGAAAAAAAAAGGTCGATAAATGAGGAGCCCAGGGAACGCAAAGGGAGTTGCCTCATTGTCAATAAGTACCCATTCATTTATTTATGGTTAGTCTCAGAAAAATTGAATGTTGTTTGCAAGTTGCCTTTATTTCTTTATGGCGGCACAGGGGTGCCAGCGGAAAAGGACTTGATCTCGACAAACGATGATAGCATTCTGGAAACTCAGCGTGCTGAATAATAATTTCCACAAAAGGAGGAATAACAAAAAAAGAAAAATAAGGCTTGGTTGACAAAGAGGAAAGAGGAGGCATATCGTGGTTATGGTAGATAAGTCAAGCTTACGTTGAGGTGAGGGCGCAAAAGAGATAAGTGATACAGCAGTGACCCAACATTGGCGGAGTTATAATTATGGCACTTGCGGGTTACGGTTTTTTCATGCCGCACAAAGTAAAAAAAAAAAAAAAAAAAAAAAAAAAAAAAAAGTCAATCGGTCATCTGGTGGGAATATCACACGCAGTTCAACTTACGTACTCAAAACTATCGTTTCTTTTGTCCCTTTTCTTTTCTTCTGTTGTTGTTTTTTTTACCAGTGATGCAAGTTCAAAAACGCGTGAACCAGATTCGACATCATTTGGCGAGTACCGATACGTCTTCGTCACGTAGGAGGATGACATTTTCTTTTTTTTTTTTTCGTTATGGAAAATAAAACCACCCCGGTTTATACTTACTGAGGACACATTATGGTTTCTAATAGTACGGGTGCCGCATCATCCGGATCTTCCGCCGTACATGACACCTCTGAACCCAGTCCGGTTCTTGCTGCGTAGTGCCCAAACGTATCCCAACAAGGTAGCGGTCATCGACGGCGAGAAAAAGTATACCTATGCCACCTTGGCTGAACGATGTCTTTGTCTGGCCAACGTCCTTTTGAACATGGGAATCAAGAAAGGCGATCGAGTGGGGATCTTATGCCAGAATCTCCCTGCAGTAGTGGAGGCACACTACGCCGTTCCTGCCATTGGCGCTATCACGGTACCTCTCAATACGCGGTTGGCCTCGGCGGAAATCGAATACATTCTCAACCACTCTGGCACCACCGTGCTGCTTGTGCAAGACATATTCCTTGATCAGTTGTCGGAAAAAGCCAAACAACATCTGAAACTTATTCATGTGGCTGACAGTCCTAATAACCCGTATGACCAGACCCTGACTACGGGCATGCATCAAAAAAGTTGGTATGAAATCTGGGTGGAACCGAAAGAAACCGACACCATTTCCGTAAATTACACATCGGGATCGACGGGACGCCCCAAAGGGGTGCAAGCCACTTATCGCGGAGGCTACATGACAGCCATCGCTGACATTATCCATATGAATCTAACCTTTCACAGCGTCTTTTTGTTCACCGTTCCCATGTTTCACTGCAATGGTTTGTTCATCTTATCTTTCCATTTCCATTCTCGTAATTTTTCTGCATGAGCAAATGCTTACTGCATACTGTTTGCTTGCAGGTTGGGCTTACCCCTGGGCGCTGGTGGCTACGGGCGGTGAGTGCATACAGAGAAAGGGCAATTTTAGGCACCATGCACTACGGTGAACTAACTGTGGCGCTCTGGATAGGAACCCAGGTGATGCTGGCCAAGATGGATTATGGTGTTATCTGGAAACTGTTTGAAGAAGCCGGTGTGACACACTATGGTGGTGCGCCAACCGTGCAGGCGGAAATCATTAACCATAGTCTGGCTCATCGATTGCCACGACCAGTGACCGTCATGGTGGGAGGTGGGGGTTCCAGACCGACTTTGAATTTTTTTCCCAAGGGAAGGCCATCATTTTACTGACCCAACCACTACCCCATTACCAGGCTCGCCTTTGGCAGGTTCCGTGATCAAGAGGATGAGAGCGTTGAATATTCATCCAGTCCATATTTACGGATTGACGGAAACCCATGGTCCAAGTACCGTTACGTATGAGCCGTCGATAATTGACCATCTACCAGAGTCCGAGCAATATCGTCACTTAGCGCGTCAAGGTCACGCTATGGTGGTAACGGACGAAATGCAAGTGGTGGATAGAGACACGGGCAAGGCTGTGCCTTGCGATGGAGAAACCATCGGCGAAGTTTGCTACACAGGCAATCAACTCATGTCAGGTTACTTTCGTGATCCTGAGGCGACCAGGGTCGCATTTCGGAATAACATGTTTTGGTCCGGCGATTTGGCCGTGCAGCATCCAGACGGCACGATTGAGCTGGTAGATCGAAGCAAGGATTTGATTATTTCTGGCGGAGAGAATATTTCTTCAATCGAACTTGAAAACACCTTGATGGAGCTGGAGCCAATACTAGAATGGTAACGTGACCTGCTACGACCAATGTGCAAGCAAAATAGACAACGCAGGCTGTGATTTGGGCTTACGTAATGGTATCCTAGTGCGGTGGTGGCTGGTCCAGACGATCGTTGGGGTGAACGACCCTATGCCTTTATCGTGATCAAAAAGGGCCAATCTCTCACCGACGATCAAGTTATCAAACACTGCCGGTCAAGACTCGCAGGGTTCAAGGTAAGTTTCAAGTCAAATATGCTTTAAAAATACCTCGCTCACCTTTATAACGTAATTTTTAGTGCCCTTCAAAGATAAAATTTGTTGACGTTATTCCCAGAACTAGGTATCTTACCTTATCGTATTTAAATTTTTTTTTTTTCAGTTGATGTTTACTTTTTTCTTTATAGTACCGGAAAAATCCAGAAATTCGTCTTGCGTAACGAGCTGTGGAAAGACCGTGAGAGACGCATCAACTAGAAAAATTGCGTCACCCGTGTCTTCTTCATTTGTTGGCTACTTATGCGATTTTCAAGGATGATGGTTGGACGGGTTGGTAACAGTAGTCTTTGCATTCTTTTTGGCGGCCATGACTTAACAGTAAGATGCGAGTATCTGTTTATGCCTAGCGGCAAACTCATCGAAATCAATATCGAGCTATTTCATGACAATATACATTTGATAATGGTCATCATCACGATAATAGGATAACTTTTTTGTTGTGGTTTCTTCGGTGGTCCCAGTATAATGTTTTAGATATTTTCGTTTTTCTGCAGTATCATCAAAAAGAGACCTTTATTCACGGTACATATGGATTGAATTCATTGATATCATTAAATTAGAGTTAAAGCTTGGACAGCAGGCCTCTTGGAATCATCTTTTCGTAGGAAGAGCCACTAAGGTTGTCGGTCGGGCTTTGTACAAAGTGATCTTTAAGGTTTCGGATATCAACCATGTCCCTGGTGATGTGACCGAGAGTAGGAGCGCCCATGAGTCGCATACACATGACAAGTTCATCTTTCAATAATTGAATGAGACGCTTCACGCCGGCGTCACCGTAAGTGGCCATGGCATACAGTGCTGGACGACCAATACCGACTCCCTTGGCTCCCAAAGCAATGGCTTTGAAAATATCGGACCCGCGACGAATACCACCATCAATGTATACTTCGAAATCCTTATCCAGGCCTTCTTTCTGCAATGCATCCATCACTTCAGGCAGGATTTCAATAGCCGACGGAGCAAAATCAAGCTGGCGACCACCGTGGTTAGAGATAACAATACCTTGGCATCCATGCTGAGCCGCCAACACGGCGTCTTCGGCAGTCTGAATACCCTTCAACATGATAGGCATCTTGGTAATGGATTTAAGCCATTTCAAATCTTCCCAGTTGAGTGAAGGATCAATAAAAGTACTGATGTAGCGAGCAGCACCTTCCCCACGATTCACATCTTGATCTTTGTTTTCCATTTCACCGGGAGCTTCATCCGAATATTTCGATCGCATATCCTTTTCACGTCGACCTGACAAAAAACATTCAAAACATGTGAGTCCACATTTTTCTGGAAAGGTTCACAAGGGATAAACTTTACCTAATTGAGGAGCGTCGACGGTGACGAAGAGTCCCTTGACACCACGCTTTTCGGCATGCTGAATAAATTTCTTGGTGACTTCACGATCTGAATTGACATACAGTTGCAACCATTGTGTTTGTTCAGGCGTGGCTGCATCCACAATTTGATCAAAAGAACAGGAAGCCAGCGTGGGGATCATTTGAATGATGTTGGCATCGGCCGCGGCGCGTGTCAAGACAACCTCGCCTTCGGGATGACCCAATTTACCCAGTGCAGTACCAGTAATGTAGAGCGGCATGGAACAGGTAGTCCGCAACATGGGGGCTGTTGTATCGATATTTTTCACATTGACCATCACACGTGGACGTAGCCAAATACGATGGAAAGCGTTGTGATTTTCCCGCATGGAAATCTCGTCGTCCGCACCAGACGAATAATAAGCCCATGCTTCAGCTTTGAGGATCGTCTTGGCAATAGCTAAAAAAAAACCGGTAAGCTATCTTTAAAGTAGGATACACCGGTTTTTCTTGATTCCCCACTTACATTCAAAATCGAAGGAATTGTACATTTCTTCGATCTTGGGCATATTTTCTCTTGCGAGTTTGATCCGTTTCTCCTCTTCTGTTTCTTCTCTTTGCTCGTTCTCCAGGGTCGACACATCAATTTCACCCATGCAAACATCGGCGGTGAGGTAACGGGATATAATATCGGGTGGATGAACAGGATCAAAGGCATTCGTGGCATCACGGCCAGCGTACTTTAAGATGATACTCTGTCCACCAGGATGATCGGGTAAAAACTGGGTAAGATCATAGACTTTGTCATGAATGATCACCCACAGATCCTCTATGTCCATCAACCGCCCAATTTTTAGCAAACAATGGCCAAAACTCACACAATATGTGGGGTGAGAGGTTTACCTTTTGTATTGTGTTGAGATACTTCTTTTTGTGAAAGCATCTTCATTTTCGCTTCAGCCATTTTATTATAATACAAAAAAAAGAGAGGGGGAATTGGCAAGTAAAAAGTATAAACGAGGTGTGTGTATATAATGTAATAAAAGAAAAAAAAAATGTGCAGAAATCAGAAAAAAATAATTTACGCTTCTTTTAAAAAAGTTGCAGCGGGATTCTGCATAAAGTTATGATTTGTTCCGTCATCGAGATAGTTTGAAGCGATCTGATAGGTGCACGTTGACGGGTTTAGAAAATTGTAATTCATTAGGGATAGTGTGAAATCGGAGAATTATCCGTTCCTGGTCCATCCACCAACAACAAACAAATTCACTGAGCTCTTCAGACGTACTGTACCCTCGTCGCAGTTTCTGAGATAGAAGAATAACACAGGACAACCACAAAGAACCTCATGGTACCCAATTCGTTTGATGGAAAGAAAAATGTGCTCAAATAAAAATGGTGAGTGTTCCTATGGTAAATTTTGGATCATTCGTGACTTTTTCCTTGTGGAGACCTGAAACATGTTCTTGGCTTTATACGGAAACCCCGTTGAGTTTGTTCTCTAGCCGTTCTTCAGGGTGGTTCACTCGCCCCATCCAATATACCTCTCTCACATATACCGCCTTTACGCTTCTCTTTTCCTGGACACAAGTTTTGGAACACGACTTTTTCGGTCCCGTCAAATGTCATGGCAACTCCCATTTTCGTGTCTTCAGTTACGATTTAAATACAAATAAAAAATAAAGATTAACTGCATAGATAGCTGCTTATCTTGCATTACCGGCAAGCCGGATAGAGCAAAACACTTCACAAGTTGTACGACTTTCTGGATTTGCTCAGTAAACGATATTCCTCTTACGGTAGTCGTCGCATGGATCGTCTAGTGCTTTGCAACATTCCACTCCCAAATTTCGTCATTGCCACTCATTTTACTGTAAGAGGAGAAGTGCCCCATCTCTTGAACTATTTTTTTTTTTTTTTTTGCTCTGATTTTTTTCCGTTCCACCCTATCTGAAACCATGCGAAAAGCAAGTAATATCCATGAGAACACATGGGTCAGATCAACAATCGGTGTTTTCATATTCGTTGAGATGCTTTTTAACCTTGCGAATTAAGTTCACACAATATATATTGAGCAGTATGCCTCTTGTAGCATGTTCAATCTTTCGCAGTAGGGGGCAAAGAACATTCCAGTACATGAACCGCGTTATCTAGTAGTAGCAAACAAGCTGCTTACAACAGTGATAAATAATACCGATTTTATGGCAGATAATAAATGTGGTCGTTCTTTTCACAAGCTTTCTTGATTCAACCCATACTCAGTTTGCATTATACGTTGCTCATGATTGCACTTTAGTAATTTGGTTCCAGGCCCGCAAAAAGCAGCATCGCATCTTTTTTTCCTCGGCAATGCATCAGCTGATTCTTCTGTCCAGACTAGCTTTTTTTTTTGGCAAATAAGATTAAGATAGTGTATCATGGGCGCGAAAAGATATAAAAAAAATGCACTGTGTTGTCCAGTCCATGTGTTCTGTTTGCCATGAAAAAGTTGCAAGCAATTAAAAAAAAAAAAAAAACCGCTGACTTTGGAAGGTGCAGCTCAGCGCGCACGGGACTGCTGAAACGAATGAAATTCATTACAAGCTCACAGTAACTTTCCTGCCCGCAGAAACCATTCACAATTACGAGCGAACAATAACCATTTCCCTCCATGGCAGCCAACGAGACAACCGCAGGAGTACCTCGACATGTAAAAAACACCCAGTGCTTGGTTTTTTTTTTGGGGGGGGGGAAATGTCTAACGTTATCATGTGGGGTTCCGCCTAGGTATTCACGTTGCCAACTCCTACGGACATTACCATGACATTAACGTGGGTCACCGTGCGCCAAGAGGACAACTTTTTACTGCAACGATCCCAAGCACCGGGAAATCCGATTTTCAAAAACTTGTTGAACACCATTGCTAATGTGTAAGCGAAATATTTGTAGTCTTGGCTTCATGGCTTTTTTAACGTTTTTGCATAATTCCGACCACGGTTGGGTCAAAAAATAATAATAATAGGTTCGACACAAAACAACCGCCTTTCCGCATATTATTTCAAAGAGATGTCAATACAACGTGCTTACAGATTGCGGTAGCTGAGAGCGAAAATGCTATTGAGGCTGCATGGAGTTGGATACAGAATAATATGATCCCCGAACTTGATAACATTGATGAACCATTCCAAAAGGAAGAATGGGTGGTGGAGAAGATGAATATGATCGTTACGCACACAGGTATGTATATCGATGGCAACATGATTTCATGCATGTTTTTTTGTTTGGCATTAAATGTTGTATTTTGATTCCCAGATACGGCAACGGATGAACTATCTACGGATGAAAATGTACGCAATGCATCCCGCACGTTCCGTCAATTATTCGACGTTCCACCATCAGAACGTTTCGTCAGCTGTAAGTGCTATTGTCGCAAATTCTCATGAAAATATTAACTTTTTCCGACCTCTAGATTATTCATGTGCATGGTCGGGTCGACAAGGATGGATGTATATTAGTGAGAATTATCTTGGATTTCATTCCTTATTGCTCGGTGTTGAAAAGAAATTTCTCCTCGAGCTCAAAGATGTACAAGAGTTGAAGAAGGAAAATTCCAAGAGTTTGTTTTCTGATAATCTTCGCATCATCACAAAGGACAAAAAAGAAGTAAGCCTTGTTACGGTGTCACAGGACATGCAATACTGATTACTTGCCACACCTTTGTAGTACCTCTTCACCACCATGTTCAAACGCGACGAGGTAATTTTGGAGACGAACAGAGCGGTCAAGCAAGCACCAAAATGAACATTGAGTATTGAATGGGTGATAGGTGTACGATTTACTGGTTCAATTGACAGGTCAGGCCATGCTTCGTCTTTTAAAGAATGCAGGAGGCGACGCGCCGGGAGCTTCCAACAGCCCGAGCGATATCGTGGACAATCAGACAACCGTCGCTGGACGCGCATTGGATGGAGGACAACTCATCAGTCCCTTGAAACAAGATCTAGCAGCCAAGAAGCGAAACCACAGTTTCTGCTTGCATTTTCGACTTCCTTTGACGGAAGAGTTGATTGATACCCTCGAGGTCACGTACATGAAACCTCATTATACAAAAACCAAGTCAGGATCACCTCCACCGGAAAAGACCCTGTATCAAGGTCGGCTCTATCTGTCCGGTGCGTATATAACGTTTGAGTCCATGTTACGGTTGCCTCAACCGCAGCAACATCAACCGATCTGCTGGCTTGTATTCCCACTCTATACGATCCGCCGCGTCGAACGACTTAATACCGGCAGCTATGTATCAGCCTTGTCCATTTCCACGTGGCACAAGATGGAGCATATTTTTCAACTTCACGTAAAACTTGTTTTTCATCATGGGGAAATCAAAAAGGACGGATTGATTGACGCTGTCAGTTACTGTAGGCTCCAAAGACGGCATGTGAACGATTTTGTCAACGATTTGCAATTCATCTCAAAGATCAATTGCAAACCGCGGCTCTCAAGACGTTTTTAAAAACCCTGGAATCCGAGCGGTTGTTGAACAAGCAAGAACCGGTTCTTGTCGACGTGGATGAACCCGCAGGCGGTCTTGGATTACTCTTTGGATATCCTGGTGATGCCAAAGTGAACAAAGATCGCGGTAAAACCAAACTCTGGACACATTATTTCCTAGGTAACACATTAATCGAATGCAGTTCCTTATAATCTTCTTTTCACGTGTCTGTGTTGGCACTCACTCTATTCCCTGAATAGAGAATGGGCGCAATTTGACCATGGTTCGGGAGCCAACCTTTGGTAAACTTGTACGAGTTGGTCTTCCGAACGCTCTGCGAGGCGAATTATGGGAAGTGTGCTCAGGAGCGATCTATTTGCGCTTCGCCAATCAAGGCGTCTATGAAGATATCCTACGAAAATATGAAGGTCAAACATCGACATCTACCGAAGAAATCGAGAAAGATCTCAACAGGCAAGTTGAACCAATGAAGTTATTTCCCATTTTCTTGTAGCGGTTATGGAAGAACCTCTCGGGTCGTTGGTGATTCCCAAAATTCTGATTTTTTCTTCTTTCACCGAGTAGATCGCTTCCGGAATACTCGGCGTATCAGAAACCAGAAGGCATCAACCGATTACGACGTGTATTGACTGCTTACTCGTGGAAAAATCCGGAATTGGGTTATTGCCAGGCCATGAACATTGTCACATCAGCGTTGCTTATGTATGTGGTGAAACTATACTGCTCGTAGTCTAACGATGACCGCGACTTACAGCATTCCATAGTTACACATCTGAAGAACAAGCGTTTTGGATCCTCAATACCCTGGTAGATCGCATGTGTCCTGGTTATTACAGGCAAGTCCGAAGAAAGGCCCTACGAGATGGATGTCAGGCTGATGCATCATTTTTACAGCACATCGATGTATGGCGCACTTTTAGATCAAATTATTTTCGAGCAATTGGTGGAAAAGACGATGCCGTTATTATGGAATCATTTCAAGAAGACCGACGTTCAATTATCCGTAGCATGTCTACCGTGGTTCTTGAGTTTGTATATCAATTCTATGCCATTGTTATTTGCATTTCGTGTCCTTGATTGTTTGTTCATGGAAGGGCCAAGAATTCTATTTCAAATTGGGTAAGGGCGCTCTTGCTCTGTCACATTCAGTAACACCGTGCTAACGTTTTTGTAGGCTTGGTATGTGCGATGTTGCATCGTGGTCAATACGAGTATTTTTAAATTTACGCATATATGATATGAATAGCTGTTCTCAAGTTAAATGGCGAAGAATTACTGCAGACAAAGGATGATGGAGCGTTCCTGGATATTCTCAAAGATTTTTTCACCTCGTTGGATAGCCCTACCGAACATGAAACAAGCAGTGGAAGGAACAAGCGACTGACGGTAAGAGGGCCATACAAACAGTCATGAAGCAAGCTTGTACCCATACGATCATGATGTCTAACATATGTTATTTCTTGATTTTAGAAATTCAACGAGGTGATGTTGACAGCTGTAAGTTTATCAATTTCATCATTTGCTGTGACAAAAAAAAGAGATGACTGATGGAATGACATATGACAGTACCGGGAGTTTGCCATGGTAACAGATGAACTGGTGACGGAGCTGCGACGCACGAACCAGCTGAAAGTGGTGGCTGGAATTGAATCTTACACGAAGCGATCGGCTATTCGTCATCTGAATGACACGGCTGGATTTAGCAAAGATGATATCGCGACGGTGTATGACAAATTTTTTGGAGCACTGTATTATTCAAAGCAACAGGACGATAAACCGGAAACACGGATGAATTTGGATACGTTTCAACGCATGTTGGCCAGCATGACATCATGGGGAAAGCTCAAAGTGATGGACGACACTTCAGATGAGCAAGCCGTCAAACAAGTGGGAAGGCAATTCATCGCTAGGCTCTATCAATATTTCAAGCTGGATCATGAACAAGGCATCGATTTCCAAGGAGCAGTAACTGGATTAAGCGAAATTTTGCACGGTGTAAGTTCCTCGCCATCCGCCTTCCGTTTCTTGGTGGTTTTATTTGGTCGCGTTATTCATCATCAGTTGTAATGATTTTTTAGGACTTGATGTCACATATCGGATTTTTTTTCAAGTTGTATGACGAGGATAAAGATGGATTACTTCGGAATGCAGATATCATTGCGATGGCCAAAGAGCTGTTGTGGCTCTTCCGATACTATAAACCGGACTTGGCTTGGGATGCCATTTGCAGTTTAGTGGTACACAGCGATGAGCAATCAGAAATTGCCCGTGGTGAGGAACCCGAGGAAGCCGAGTTGGCCCGACAGTTGGCAGAATTAACGATGACTGATCCATCAGCGACGCCTGTGCAACGATTCAGCCAACTCGATGCGTCCTTGTCATCCAAAACGGTGGAAATTGCCGAACCATCTTTTCGGATGATCATTTTAACCAATGAATGTCTTGAGATGTTTTTTGATCACGGTTTTGTCGACACATTCCGCTTGGTGCAATCCACCACAGAACGAACCAAGAGCTTGGGTCGCGAATTGTTTGAAAATCTGTTTGCCGAAGGTAAAAAGTTGGCGACGGATGTGCCGACCCCCACCGCCAAACTACGACCTTCACCTTCACCATCCCCTTCCGCATCACAACACACACACTCACCTTCTGTCTCGTCACCTTCTTCCGTGTATAACCAATCTCCTCCATCCGATGACAACAAAGAAAAGGCAAAGAAGCAAGATATGTCGGATGAAGTCGATTATCTGTTTACCGAGCTGGGTCATTTGGATGTATAATAGTCTTTTTTTTTTTTTTCGCCATCATCATCGTCGTCAATAAAAGCATATGTCAGAAGAAAAGAGCGTGTTACGATGAATGAAAACATCATGAGCATTTGCAGAAAACAAAAGAAGAAAAAATGCCCGCTTTGGGCAAAATAACGATGTGCGTGGGACAGACGACGTAACATGGATCGCATTGAGCTTGTTGCTTGGTGCATCCAAAGACGCGTTTACCATAACGGAAGCTTGGTGCTTTTACGGAACCATCTGGGTAATGAACCGATAGTGATTAAATAATCAGAAACGGTAAACATCGGGAAATGGTTGGGACATGATGATAAAAAAAAAGCTCAGGACTGCCATGACAAAAAAAACACAATGACATAAAAACGTGGCACATCGACATGTGAAAACTGTGTAACATGGGTAGCAGAGTTTAACTCGAAAAGCTAAAATTCATTTTACGTATAAATGCAAACCTGATCTACGCTCCATGGCCATTCTTCATTCGTATCTTGTTTTATCATATAAGCGTTCTTTTATTTTCTAATTACCCAAAACACCATGAAATTTACCACTCTGATTACTATTGTTGTGGCCGCTTGCTATCCTACGCTCGGTGCTGTAGCTGCTCCTGTGACAGCCGATCAGCCTGATAATACCACCCTCAAAGTCAGCAGCCCTTCCGCAAACAGCACACTGCAGCCTGGGCGCAAGTAAGTAGAACAGTATAACTACTCCACGATCCCAGTCAGCGTTAATTAACATGTGTTGTTATTTTAGTCACGTCATTGGTAATTTTTTTATAGTTTATCTAAATGCTGTTCCAATGGACTAATCATGTTATAATTGAATGTATAGCTTGGTCCCAGCTTCAGGACAACTCGCCTATTGCAATTTCGCTTGTTTTTGGCGATCGTCCTCAAGACACAAAAGCAGAGATCGTTGATGGACTCAAAGGATCTTTGGGCGCCTATTTCTGGACAGTAAGTGGTTTGCATGTCAATGGATTGCCTTTGGGCAACTGTCATTGAGTTCGCGGCGTTCATTAGGTGCCCGACAATTTGAAAGACTCTTCTTCAGCAACATGGAAAATTGCGATCCGTTACCATGACACCCAGATGTAAGTGCACTTTGCAATCATCACCGTCACCAAGGCGTCCAAGACTAATTCAAATTGGCATGGTAAACAGATCTTATTCCGGGGCGTTTTTCATTTCCAATACTTCTCATGGTTCTCCCTCGGTGAACGATAATCCCACACCATCAGCCGCGAATCAGTTGGCCGGTACCACCGCCACAGCCAGCATTGATATTGTTTCCCCCGATGGTAAAACCATGAATGACCAAAATCTCGCTCTCTCAAATCATCACGTTCCTCTCCGCCTTGTGTTTGGTACTTTGCTTTTGTCCATGATGGCGCTATTATAAATGGCATGGTTGCTATCGTTTGATACCCATTTTCATTTTGCTTGTCTATTTTGATCCATCATCCATTCCCCGAATGTTTTTTTTTTCCTGTACAAATGCACCAACGGTAGGGTGCAATATAGATTTTTAATGTTACTGCAATGAATAAACATAGTTTGAATACATCGGAAATATGAAGGTTGTCTAAAAGGGCATGGAGGATTTCTGCTTGGCGAGTTCTTTTAATTTGTCCTGTTATAAAAAGAGTGAGTAAAAACGATGGCAAGCATTAGTAATTATTCAAAATGAGAGAAATGGTCGGTTTAACGTAGGGACAATTTACCTCTTTCCATCCCTGAATGGTCTTGGGCATATTTTCGAGATTCTTGCGAATCTTTTCTTGTCTTTCGGCGCGCATGCGTTCGTGTTTCTCGAGTTTGTTAGGCTTGTAACGGAGTGGCTTGGGTGCGGTCTTGGAAGGAAGACCGATGGATAAGGGATCAATGTTTTGCTGTAAACAAGCTTTGCGAAGATCGTTTTGAATGCGTCGAGAGACCTGCGGTGGTCGCCAGTGACCTTTATTTGTGGCTTCGTTGATAACGAATTGTGGCTTCACATCAGCTTCTGTCAAAGGCTTGACCAGTTTGTCCAGAAACTTTTTGGAAAACACTCGTTGTGTGGCCATGATGAATGGATTGAAAAGCAGACACTCAAGTTGCCTTGGAGGTCGGATTACGAACAAAATAAACAGGTGCAATCTGAATGAGCGGAGTATCAAGTTTTGTCGCAAGGGGAAAATCCCAGCCCACCATGGGGAAAAGCCACCCACTCATTGGACCATAAGCCACTCGCCCTCTGGATGGTAAGGCCTCCTGTAACTGCATATCTCATGGTTCGTAACTGATAAAGTCCTTTATTGAATGATTATGAAGCATATAAAGATTGAGTTTTCTCGTGGCAATGGATCGTGATCACTTCAAAAAGAGTGGGCGGGTAGTGTTGTATGACGATGTCCATGACCCTTTTGGAGCGCTGAAGTAGTGCCTTGTGATGGATATCATGTCCCCTTTAAAGTATTATTGCTGCTATAGCATTGTTTGACTGCCCTATGTAAGCAAAATACCGTCTTATCTTATTTATATATCCGTAATAGATAGTTGCCTTGATACTGTGGATCACACATTAGCTACTATAGTTAGGCGAGAAACGAAAATCATGGAAGCACGGTGTATTGACTCCACTCCACATATACTATACAGAGTCATGGAGTGAAATGATACAATAAGAAGGGCTGCATGTTAATTTTTCAAGAATTAGAAGGCAGTGGAACCAAGGCATTGCTCAATAGAGTAACGTCGTTCCGCAACGTGATGTGCGACACTGCATGGGAATAAATTCGCACATGGATTACAACACCGACATGTATGGGCGTGGAAATACAGCAACAAATAATGTGCTGTTTACCATATAACCATTGTGTGAATGATCACATCATTTTTTTTTTTTTTTCAACTGTTGATTATCTGTAAAATCTAGATTCATCATCACCGATAATTCATCATTATAATCGCCCCCGGGGTGTTGCTCAGTCATAGTCAGTCGGATTTGTTGCGAAAGGAAGGCGGGCAAAGTGATGGCTGGTAAGATATAATGTGTTTCAAAGAAGTTCACGAGCCATCATTTCGTATGCATGAACTGCATCAATTGCGATGATTGTTTTCTTTTGAATATTGTACCATCAAATCAAGAACTTCGTTGTCATGTAGATCATATGCTGAGCATGCATGACTTTGGTAAATAAAAAGCAATCTGTACTTTATGATTCAACGTGGGATGAAAATGCAAAGAGTATTTCATTCCACGTTTGTTTATCAACACTTCAATTTCAACACAGTTTCATCTTTAAGATGTATTGCCTTCGAGTTATTTATCCGAGAAAAAATAGAGGGTCCGTGTGTCCAAACAAATTTTCCATCAGCGAAAAGTGTTACATCAAACAGATACCTTCATTGTATTTTTTTTTTCTGTATCACCAAGGGAGTAGAAAGATGAGAAAAATAAAATAAAGAAAGCTGCAGTGATATGCAGAATATGAACATGTATAGAACTATGGGCTAAGAAAAAAAATGCGTCAAAAATGATAAAGAATGTGAGAAAGAAACAAAGGGCAAAGAAAAATAATAACAGTAATGCTGGGCTCAGGTATACAAAACATACAAACATCGTGAAATAAACATCATGAGTGATGAATACCGTTTCAAAGCAGTTTGTCGACCACGCTCAAGGCTGTAAAGACAGTAAAGGTACAGACGGGAATACAGATCACTCCATAACTCCAGAACAGCATACGAAGCATTTCTTCCTCGCAAAAATCGTTGACTTGAGTGATTTGAACGAGATTGATAGCTGTCGGTGTGCATCCAAGGACGATCATCATGACAATGAAAACCGGATCACTTGCCAAAGTGGACCAACGAGATCCATACAACACAAAGGCAATCACGATAGGAATCACAAAGAGAGGCATCAAAAGGAGACGTACGCTGATGGCTGTGAAGACAGGTTTTCGAACAGCATGCGAGTGATGCTGGGATTCGGAAATACAGGCTAATTGAGAGCCGAGACAGGTGAGAATGATGGGCACGGAAGCGCGACCGCACGTTTCGATGGCCTTGGTAAAGGAAGGATACATGAAGGAATCTTTGTCGTACAAGAATCCTTTCAGCGGAGATAAACCCACGATCAATGCAAGCACAGCGGCGTACAAAGGAGGCGACATAAAATTATCGACCTTTCGCGCAAAGAGATACGCATTTGTTTTCAAGGATCGTGTCAATGACTGGGCGCGGGATTGGGCTATGGACGGGAACGGAAACGTGGCGAGCAAAGGACTCGTTTCAGAGAGACTGGAGGCTTTGGCTTTGGGCTCGTCTGGTGGACCTGCCAAAGTCGTGGAACTCAGCTGGCGGTCGGGCAACCCTGCGCGACGTTCTACGGCACTGAGGTCGTCCGACAGGGAAGAAGTCGACGACCCCTGGTCGTTGTTGATAGTGTGATAGTTAAAGGTCAGGATGGGTGGTGTCAAGGGCGGTGTGACATGAATTTGAGCATCGCAAACCGTACGACCATCCGTATCGTAATCGTCTTCACGTTTCTGCAAAAGGCTGTAGCCGTATGACCATCGGATCAGATTGCCAAAAATGGCAAAAAACAAAGTGTACGAGATGCCTCTAAGAAAAAAAAAAGAGAATCAACGTGAGTATACCGTTCAGTGTATATCGGTTATTCGTCGGCTTCTTGAACGAAAAAAGAACTCTCCTCGTGATTGCAAACGCAACGCGCAAAAAGAAGAAAAAGAAAAAAGGGCTGAAGGCCTTACCTTGCTGCTACGGAAACTTCTGTATCATCGGTATCCCAAAACAGAATATTTCCGGCTTCGGAGACCGCCAAGCTAGAGATAATAGCGATCGGCAGGGAATTGGTATTGGAAAACATGACACATGCCAAGACAAAACGACGATAAGGCGCATTGAGACCGACCAATCGAGATGTAATTTGGCTGGCTGAGAAGCTGATTATGGCAAACACAAGATAAAAGGCAGGAATGGGCCAAAATGCCAATAGTTTTTCCAGAGAGATAATGGAAGCGATGTTGGAAAACAACAAGCAGGGTGTAAAAAACACCATGTTTAGTTTGGAAAGCCACTAGAACCATATTAGGGTAAGTTTATGTTTGCCCGATTGTTCTTTCCTCCTGTTCTCGATCGTGGTCCATGCCATGGCGTCCGACAGCAAGAACTTGCCAAACAAAAATCGAGATGCATGCACCCAATCGGTTTTTTTTTTTTTTTTTTTTCAAGGGATAGTGGAGAAGATGGGTTTACCTTTTGCTTATCCATGGTAAAGTAACCTTTTCTTGTTAAAAGGTAACCAAGGAGAACGATGGTCATGACTTGGAAAATGGCCTGGACAGAATCGATAAGTTCCATGTTATCCTGGTGTTCGTAGTAAATAACGATGTTTACCTGAATGGCGGCGATAATTAAATTGAGCATCGCCATGGCGTTAAAATGAATTTAAAGATAAAATAGTTAGGGAGAACCACTCCAGTAATGATGATGATGAACCACCAAGAGAAAGAGAAAAAAACAAATAAAAGAAAAGTAGAGAGAAGAAGATGATGAAAGGAAAAAGAGAAGAAGACGATTGATGAAAAAGACTATTTTGTATTGAATTACGATGCTTATATATGAATGGCAGAATTTCAGGTTTCGTTGCACCAAAAGTTTTTCTTCTTTTTTTCCATGAAAGAGTTTCCCCGCTTGGGTGGTTTTTTTTTTTTTTTTTTTTTGTCGCATTTAAAGCGTTTCAAGGTAGGATTGTATAATGCGTACGCGCCTTGTCGTTTTGTTTGTTTGTTTAATAACAAAAAGACGAGGCGTTTTCCTTTTCTTTTTGTTTTTTTGGCCAGCGGATAACTTTGGAGCTTTTCTAGTCACTCGTAAATCACCAGTTTGTGATTGTGAGCCTTTTCCTGCTTTTTTTTTTTATATGTTCATTTCTTTTTCATTCTTTTTACTTTGGCATTTCCTTTTGCTCTTCTCTGCTTTTTTTTCATGCATATCTTTTTTCCATGGTTTACTGTCGTATTGTTGTGATGGCTATGCTGTATTTCTCTTTTTTATTGGTGTCGGTTATAATAGAAGGGAGTGGAGAGGCATCCTATTTATGCGGACTTGAAAAGAAGAATCGCGATTTGACCGTGATAAAAGTAAATAAAATGCTTCGATTCTATATGATGAAAAAACAAAGGATCTTCCGTAAGTCAAGCTGGCTCCAAATAGCCTAAATTTTCCCAACCCCTGGTCTGTCCCTTCTTTCATATTCAGCTAGTTATCATGATGACCTCTTTAAGGAGCCCGTTAACCACAATTTCCACCAAAGCAATATTTTACCGTGCGTTACAAAGCTGCCAAAGTTACGACCCACAACGCAGTGCCAGGTAGGACCTAAACAGAAATTTCGTCATCTGTCAAAATTCTGGACTTGACGCGTGTGCATCTCGGTTATCATGACCCATGGACCGTAGACTTACCATACTTCTTGTCGAATTCGCGTTTAATGTGTGCAGCAATATCTTTTTCAATGTTGTACTTTTCCAAGGCTTGAGTGCTACATTCAATAGCCTCTTGCTGCATCTCTTCGCTCATATCGGCGCTCTTGATGACGGCTTTTGGGTCTGACATCTGAAGTGGAAAAAAAAATTGGATAAGTGGGACGTGGTTACAAATGAACAGTGAAGAAAAAGGAAACGGTAGATAACCTTTGCTTGGTGTGAAAGATGAAAGAAGAAAGAAAAAGAAGGTGGAACGAGCAAAAGAATAGCTGGCGGGGGTTGGAAAAATAGGAGGAATCGATGAAAACTTTGTTGCCCGTTTTCCATATTTGAATTTCCTTGCCGTGTCCCAGAAAAAAAAAAGAGATAGAATAGAAACTCAGCGCAGAGGGATGTGACGTAGCTCATGACAACAACTACTTGACTCGTCATCGTACAACGTGGGGGGATTTAAAAAAATTATGCGAGATGCTCCAAGAATACGTACAACCCAAGATACGGGAAATATAAAAACAGCGTGGTTTGACTGGGTGCCCGAGAAAGCAATAAAAATGGGTAAGAATGTCTCGGGCCAATGGTAAAAAACCATTCCGAGAAATTACCGAATATGTCATTTTTTTTTATTGGGCTGAGTGCCATCTCCGGTCCAAAAAAATAATAATGATACCATTCTGTGTGGGTTTCTGGCTTTCTATATATTGATTACACCTCGTTGTCTTTTTTTTTTTTCATCTCCCCTTGTTTCCCTTTTCCTTCTTTCTTTTCTTTGCATTCAGTTATCTAAAAAAAAGAAGATCCCATGGGTAAACTATTGAATATATTGGGCAAAAAAGATAAAAACAAGCCCACTGCCCCCTTAACCCCTCTCTATCCCGATGGTCCGCTTGAATATGGCTTGACAGCAAGAGAAGGTCGCGCCAATAATACGGTGGATGAAAATGGCATCCGTCAAGTGGCCGGTTGCTTGCCAATTGATCCAATTAATCATCGCTTCTTGCTCATCACTTCCACCAGCGACAAGAACGTCTGGGTCATTGTAAGTTTATCAATTGCAATTGCATTTTCTGCTTTTTTCCTTGCTTGTTCAGCATTGATACTGATGATTGTAATTTTCATTGATGTTTCATTTTTTTCAACTCAGCCCAAGGGCGGATGGGAGCAAGATGAAACCGTCCGACAAGCCGCTATGCGTGAGACTTGGGAAGAAGCCGGTGTCAAGGGCCCATTGACACGCCATATTGGCACCTTTGTCGAAAAAGCTCGCGAAGGCGGGATTCGAGCACATCATTGGATATATGAAATGGAAATTCGAGAAGTTGCGCAACGATTTCCCGAAGAGCATAAACGGGAACGACGTTGGGTAACGTGGCAGCAAATCACGAATCTTAAACTGTTTGCTGATGACATCTAAACAAAACATAATTCTTCTGTGTGTAGTTTACTTATGACGAGGCTATGATTGCTACTCGAGCTCACTATATGCACGATGCCATCAGTATGTCGAGTATCAGCCCACTGTCGCACCCCGAACTGGCCGAGAAGAAAAAGAAAAAGAAGAAGAAAAATAAAAAGAAGAAAGAGGAAGACGAGCTCGACAGCGAAGACGCCGAAGATCGAGATGAAAATGGTGACGTTGAAAAGAAAAAGAAGAAGAAAAAGAAGAAAGAACAAGAATTGAGCACGGACGAATCCCTCGGTGAACCCGTCGTGGCTACTGAGGATTCGGAAAAAAAGAAAAAGAAGAAGAAGAAGAAACAGCAAGAAACAGACGACGATGATGATGACTCGGGACGACTTGGAGAAGCCGTGATTCCAACCGATGACAGCGAGAAGAAAAAGAAGAAGAAAAAGGATGTATCCGAATGCGAGCTTGGTGAAGCAGTGGTTCCGACCGAGGATAGTGAGAAAAAGAAGAAGAAGAAGAAGAAACAGGAATCGGAAGGGTTAGAAGGAGCCCCAGTGGGCACGGCTTACGATGCGCCACCAGGATACGATGATGGTGATGACAATTCAGAGGAAAAGAAGAAGAAAAAGAAGGATAAAAAGAAGAATAAGAAGAAGAACCAGGAAGAACAAGCCGACCAAGCCAACATCTTTGCCAGTTATACATCGCCCGATCCCGCAGGTACCATTGGTGCCCAACCACAACCTGTTAATGGTCTGCAGTACAATAACGGGCCTGTGGCTTACGGAACCAATGCACCCACTGGATCAGCCAAAGTTGAGGATGCATCTCATTTGAATGCTGAAGTACTGCCGCGACGACAGTCAAGCTTAACGGACGAAAAAACATTGAATGAAAACTTCACTTTACTAACAACATAGAAAAAAATCTCATGGGTTGCCTCTCTCTCTCTTTCAAGAAGACAACCATTTCATTCATTCATCAACAGCATTTCAATCTGTCTGATGAATGGACTGCATTCTTTTTTTTTTTTGCCTCTCACACTCCCTTCTTTTGTCTCATTCTTCACTTTTAAACATCATGTAACCTTATCTTCTTTGTGTATCGTTTTGTAGTTGGTGTTGTCTTTCTATATATTAAAAATAATGACACAGATTCTCCCAAAATCGCACTTGTTTTCCTTCTTTTGTGATTCGACATTAGCTGATATGTCTGCTTCCACGTGTGGTTTACCGGGAATGGCTTCACCTCATAGTCACCGTTCTGAATTTCAATTTATTTATAGATTCTGAACATGGGCTCTCAAAAAACTGCCCTTGCAGTCATGCATGATTGCTATTTGTAATCATATGAGTTTCCAAAACCTTTTAATCATTTTGAATAGCCAAAAGATGAAGACAAAGGGAAATGTAAAGCATATTTACTGATGGCTTGGATTATCAGGCGCATACTTTGGATACATGACCTGGTACAATGCGAGTATGCCATTCTGATGATGCTAGGTTTGACAAGCCCAACAACTTTGGTTTGATGCTGACCTTTCATTGGTCATCATTGCGCTGGAACCGCCTTGTGCTCTTTTTGTTTCAACTACCGCATCACCCTCCAGACTCTCCATGGTCATAGGGGAAACGCTCTCATGTTTGACAGAGAGATAGTGCAATGTCGTCTTCGCATAGCCTGAACCTTTCACTCAATTAAAATTTAAAAATTTAATTGTATCGTTGCTTGCTTATTGTGGCCGTAAAGAAGATGAACTTTTAGGCTTTAGAGCTCCAGCGATCCCTTGCAGTATCTTTTGCGCAATTGTCCGCAAATACAGAAATATACTGAATCTGTAGTGATCAAAACTGATCTTGCTGCTACCGCCTCCGCCGTACGTTAAGAGAAAACTTTGGTTATGGAAATACAGTGACCGGAAATCGTTCTTGCACAAATCAACCGGTAACTTGATGGTATTTGTGTTGGGTAGTCTTTTATTCCAGCAATGCAGTTTCTCTGGGTGACAAACACCTTGACATTTTGAGATGTTTACCTTAATTGCATGGTGTGTTCCGTATACTCGCTGTATTGTCGAAAAGTATTTCTACCTCATCGAAACATTTTCTTCAATAATATCTTGCTCTATTTCAACATTGTCAACGGCCAACTTGAGAGGGGTTCATTGCCGCAACTGGAACCTGGGTTATCTTTCGATTTTGAACCTCGGTTTCTGGTTTCCTCTTCTTCATTGTCAGTGTAATATTTTGTTTTCTATCTTGACATCCTACAACGTATAGTCAACGCCAAACGATAATCCCAACAAAACCGATCTTAATTTTTGCATTAGGTGAGCACAGCATTGACTTTGGATTCTCGGCGGCGGCCAGTCTACCCGGAACCACATGCTTGATGATTTTGCGGTTCCGCAGCATGATAAGAGACGCTTTATTACATGATCTTGCTTAATAAGTTGTTTACGATAAGATACAATTTCCAACGAACTAGCGCCACATTGATTAAGTCTAAAAAGATACGATGATTGAGTGCAGTGAACAAAATCTAAACGAGATAGTCAAGCTGGCTTGGTAATGCAAATCAAGTGTCATTGACTTGGCATTTTCTCATTTCAGGCGAAGAAGAAAGGATTTAGTCTCAATTCTCCTTGATCTTATACGATGATTAACGTTATCAAATAAGCATTCGGTGACATCTATCAAATCATGCTTCATATCCACATACTTGTCTCATAGTTCGCCTTGACAAAACTGAAGAAGTTTGGATCAAAGATCGAAAGCAAGCCGCTTTGTCGGCGCCTGTAGTTGAGTCATTGTTCAGGTGATACGCTTGAGTGACTCGGCAACTCCGCCCGAGTTGACAAATCCCTGGGTCCTGCTTTGTTAGTTTCCAAGGCCTCTAAGGCCTTGGTTGGGAAACGAGAACGTATCATGCTGGTACTACGAAATGAAGTTAGATTATCCGCTTTATCAAGTTCACCTTTGACGCAATTCTTGTAAATTTTTATATGAGAGAATTCTTATGTTCGTCAGAGAACGAGATTAGTTTGAATGATTGCAACCAGCAATGTCGTTAAAGTACCTGTACAACTTTTGATCGATGGAATATGGATCAAAGTAAGCAGGGACAGGAACCGCCTGACACGTGGTTTCACCGCGTACAGCCAACTCATTTTTTGCAATGGGAAAAAAGTTCTTTTCGGTACTCACTAACTTTTTTTGGTTATACTGGAATATGCTTGTCGCAGGGATTGATTAACTTGCACGATGTCTTTTAAATTCAGTGGTTTTGTGAGCTATTATAATGCATATACTGCGATCATGACATCATTTTACTGCGGTAATGATCTGTGCGTCATACTCAGCAATGGGCCTGAATTATTTGTCAAAAGCAAGGGCCGAGCTGTCAATTTCCTTTGATATCTACGAAATAATTCATTGGATCATATAATAGTGCAATGCCGGGATTGATAGGATTCATTTTGGTTTTCTTTTTTCTTTTTATTATTCGGTAAACACAAAAATAAAAGAAAAGGTCAACGAGATGCGCCAGGCAGGAGAAGGAAAGCGAAATCAAACAGAAAGGATTGATAACGTAAAATGACGAGAAACAATAAGAGTGAAGATAATAAAGGGCATAGGATCTATCATGGGGTCCCACAAATAAATGGGCTGCAAGAGAGAAGAAACAAAAAGAGAAGCAATAAGAGAATAATATATGATACAAAAGATTCAGAAAGATAAAAAAAAATCGTTGAAACGAAAGAATATGGATAAACGATAAAACAATAGAAAACATTACAAGCAAGAATATATAAATCGACAAAGAGGAAGGAGAGTTGTGAAAAGAAAAGAAAAATGTGGTAGAACGGTCATGTGTTTCATTTTCGTCGTGCCGTCGATCGTCGTGCGGGAGAAAAACCATCCAGGGCTGCACGCTTTTTCGATCGTCGGTCCATTCCATCGTCTAGAGATAAATCAACAATAAGCAGATGAGATCACGCGACCCTTTTTAAACTGCCAAGAAGTTTCATTCAATAAAAAAATAAGAAAGCTCACCTGAATGATGGGCATCGTAAGGCAAAATATCGAGTTCACTCTTACGTTCGGCTTCCAGTTCCAGCATGGGTTGTAATATTCTTCTCCTGGCATTGATAAACCAGTTGCTGATTTGATTCAGTGTCAGATTGGTTTGTCTGGCCAGATTGGCTTTTTCCTCTTCGCTAGGATAAGGGTGTTTCTTATGTTGTGAAAGCCATTCCCGCAAAACCGCCGTGACCGCTTTGGGAAGATTACCACGTCGACGTTTTACACCGGCAGGTTTGACATCGTCCACGGCCGCTGGTGGCGAAGGTACACGATGCACCATTGGATCGGCTGATAACGATGGCTTGGATAGTCGCAGACGGCTTCTTCGACGAGTGGTTAAAGCAGCGGGAGGCGGAGTTGAAGAACTTTTAGGAGGAGAAGGAAGCATAATGGGCGAAGGAGACGAAGCAAGGGAAGGAACTGGCGATGGATGATCAGTCGTAGGATGTTCTACACGACCAAAAAAAAAATATCATAGAGATAAGTATACCATAATAATTTTTCTGGTTACTTGGAGATAGCCGGATGGGGGTGGGGGATGGGGGTGAATTGCCCAGTATCTCAAGTATAACCAAAGTAAGGTACGATTCCCAAACAGAGGCAGTTTGTGCCTCTTTCCTTTCCTGTCTGTCAAATTTACCTCTGGACCACAGAATAATATCAGACCAGAATCGTCCGTTGTGTTCCAGCATCTGATTGATACGTCGACGATGAGATTCAATAAACGGTTCGTAATGAGGATCATTGTAAGGAATGTGGACATGTTCCAGGTCACCTGATTCGTCTCTGACGAATTGATGATCATGAAACAGAATGACCGGACTAAAGGTACGTTTCTAAGTTCATTTTGTATTGGTTACCATAGGAAGCCAATGCTCAAAAAAGATTTTCACTGCACCATACGTCAAACCCTAGTTTTTACTTACTCTCGTATTGACAGATGACGAGCAGGACATTAGACGTGACATGATGAACAGCGGAAACTCAAAAATACGAAAAAACCAATTTTTGAAACCAACAAACAGGTGTGACAGTGGGGCTTCGTTTTTGGCACAACGAAAAATAAACAAGGGAGATTTTTATATACAAAAGCAATAAGAAACCAAAAAGACTGCACTGATAATTTTTTGTTTTTGCAGGCAGAAAATGGGGTGGAACGGGGAATAAAACGTCGAAAGCAAGTGAAGAAGATGTCCTATTTAAACAAAGCCACCACCTGTGCGACGCGTGACCAAGTTGAAAAAAGTGACATTTCCGCAACCCTCCAAAAAGATCATATGAACGGCTAAATCGCCAGATGAAATAAAAAATAATAATAAAATAAAAAAGGTTCGTATAAAAAAAGAAAGGCACAAGTAAAAGGATAAGAACAAGACAAATGAAAAGGAGTTGGATAACATGGTCTCTTTTCATCTTATGTGATGTTCTTCACTATGCAGTTGGTTGGATTTTACATAATCCGTTTGGAGAGACCAGCTAAATTTAGCAAAAATATGGAGAGGGGATGAAAAAAGTCAGAGTGGAAAATTGGCAAGGGAAATTGCATATGGCGGGATGCGTTACGCTTTGACCATCTGAGGTTTTTTTTTTCTTTTTTTTTTTTTTTGGGACACATTAATTCACACACTGATCAACTGATTTTGGTGCAAGATGCGACCACAAATGGTTCTAGGTGTCTTTCCTATTATATCCAAACTCACCACTATCAGATACAACTGCACCCTTTTGCTTTTCTTTTTGTCCCCTTTGCTCCATTTGGGAGATATTTTAAGTGCTCACTTTTTCGCATGAAATATACTTTTTTTCCCCTCCTACGCCTACACAAAACTTGCTTTATCACATCACATGATATTCCAAATATCAGATCCTATCCATCCCTGGGACGACCCGGTTCTGCATTTATATTATATGTAGGGTAACGGTATCATGAGATACTGGGTAGGTCCTTGATGAACAGTAGCCCTCCTTTTTACCAACCAAGGTACAAAAGATTCACACAAGTCCATCTTTGGCACCTATAGTTGCCTCGAAAATATGAACGGGATTCCTTAGTTGTTCAACCAAGAAAATACAAGCTGCAGTCGACTATCAACTGTCAAAAATCATCCCATTCCATCTGTGTGTTGGTCAGAAATCTGAGAAGGAGCAGACGGAAATTGAGCCTGAACCTTAAAAAATTTCCCTTCGCCATCATCTGAGCCAATAAGGGAAAAGTTGATCTTGAGATCATCATTTGTCTATCTTGATAGAAAGAAAAAAGGGATTCTGCAATCACTCCCTTTATTCAGTACCGGATATCGTCAACTGCGCCGTGACTAGCAACTTAACAAAAAAAAATGATCATCCTTCATCTGCCATCTGATGGAAATATAGGAAACCCGAAAATACAAGCCAACAATGGCAGCATACCGCATGCATCCGCGTCTGCCCCACCAAATCGGAAATTCCTGGCGGCAAGCTGGCCTCGATGATGCGTATCATGAAACCAAATAGATAAATAGATGCCTGAAAAATATGCCCATAATTCGCATTTCTGATACACATTGTGTCTCCTAAATGTACAATGTACCTATCCATTGGAAGACATTTGCCATTTTTGATGGTTCAGAGTAGACTGATCTTACCGTGCAGTGGGCCTGTATTTTCTTTATTGATCTGCGGCCGGCCATCTGTTTTCCATTTCTCAACGGTAGAATTCATATGATACTGCTTCACTGACACCTGACAGTTTGATGTCACAAATTTCTTAGCAATAGAACTGTATTGCCTAGAGACCTTGCTTCAAGAGAACGTTGCCGAATAGCCATGGTAATGAATTGGATCTGCAGTTGCCTAGCCTCTTGGGGTGCAGTTGTCCCTTCTTTGGGTAGTTTTTGACTTTTTTCTTTCATCGGTGCATGAATACAGTGTAGTCGACTTTTTGCACGGTGGAACTGTGTAAGCTCTCTTGCATCAATATAAAGCCCAAAATGTTCTGCGTTATAAATACAATACAATCTTTTGTTCGTTTTTTTATTGATCGTTGAAAAAGTCTAAGATAATATGAGAGTTGGCGTTTTTGAAATTTTTACTGTTTGTGGTTGAGGATTTAAAGTCCCATGACTTCCTTCAATTGGGCTTTTCTGCTTTCAATTTCAGTGGCATCGGCGTCGGGTGTCATCATCATGTCGTCGAGCGTCTTTGAGTAAGGACCGAGCTTCTGTTTCAAGATATCGTCTACTCGTTGATCGACATTTTCTAATGTAACAAAGGATTCACTCGAAGCATACAGTTGAACAAGGTGCTTTCGTCGTGCTGCACGCAGCTTTTCGATGTGATGTTCACGATTTAACGCTCGTTGTGCCTCCCGATCAATGTGTTTGCCATCTTCCTTTTCCAAATCCAGTTCCAACATATGCACCACCTTGGCCTCATGTTCCAAAGCATCGTGTTTCTCTTTGGCCAGAGTGGCCTTCAATTGCTGCAATCGTTCCTCATTTTGAGCCTTCTTGGTGGCCGCGGCGGCTTCTCGACGACCGTGCTTTTCTAGTAATTCGCTAGCATATTGATGACGGAGAGAACGCAAGTCTTCACGATGTTGCTTTTTGGGGCTGGTAAAAGTTTTCTTTGATGCGTCGGATTTGCCCATGTGAGAAGGAAGAGAGTTGGCCAGGTTACGTCGCTTATTGACAATCTTTGGAGTTTCACGGCTGCCTTCTGGTGCGGCAAAACCAGGGGCATATTTACGGCCAGCCGTTGATGCCGAAGCTTCTGACGTTACCGATCGTCGTCCAATATATTGGCATGGCTTGACCACATTTGTTAAACGGCTGAATCGAAGCATGGCAGCGGATGTAATTTCAACCTGTCACTGTTACTGCCAGTCAAGAAAATAAAAAAAATAGGCCCAACAAATAAAAAATTTGGTCCAGCCCCGCTGACATCAGCGAACAGTCACACAAATTTCTCGAGGGAAAAAAGAAAAAAAGCTTCGTTCTTGGAGTCACAAGGAGAGATGTGTGAGATGACTACGTGTGTGTGTTCTTCCTGGAGAACGATTCTGAAGCTCCATGGTACTGCCTCTTGCGTGATGGCTATAGTTGAAGCATGAAAGCTACTTGTACGGTGACCATAATGCCGAAAGCATGTAGATTTGCTTGTGTGGAGCTAGCGGCAGCATAGAATCAAGTTTCCTCTTGCGTCTGGAATGCTTGAGGTTATTAGATTAGCCATCGCAATGAGGAAAAGAGTAACTTCACGCCCATGATATATTCTCTTGCTCGATATGCTCATTAAAGATTTTAAGTATGAGAAATGAATTCTCCAAAACAGCTCAATAAAATATTCAACAAGTAACACATGCCTGATACTTTAATGGGGATTCCTTCCCTTTTTATATTTTTGGTGTTTGCACATTCATCCTCGCGGGTCTGGATACCCAACAGCCTGTAAGACGTACTTCGTTTTCGATGCCGGGCTTTAGCTTGGTCGCTTTTATATGATCAGACGGGGACCAGCTTTCTCCGTGCAGCTCATGCGCAATTTGGTTTGACTAAAAACGTGAAAAGCGGCTCTGTTGCTATGATGATGATAGGTTAAATGTCGCATGGTTTGCCTGTTGAGGTGTCGTCTCTTGGATTCTCTCTGAGGATAGGCCCCATACAACTTAATGAGAAGCTTCTGGTTTTTTACTGCTTACATTTTGGGAAAATATCCATTGCGGATACTCAGAAAAAGTTGGCTTCTTTCCTTATCAACCCACGTTACTGGATGTTTGTTAAAAATACGAGTGACTACAATCAATTGTTTTCAACCTCCGTAATCAGGCTGTTCGGGGTCATATCCGCGGCACGCTCAAATCGCTCAACCGATAGACCCTCGTGTCATCGTCCACTGACACATCTTTGCCTCGTCCATCAGACACTGCACACCTTTGGATGATTAGCATTTTCAAGGAAAAAGATCGTTCGATGAAGTGTGCTTTGATTTGACACAGGATCGGCTCTCCAACCATGTTTATGAAAAAAAGGGCCAAGACGCCATTGGCACAAATTTATGGTCTGCGTCAAGTTCCGGTGGGATGTGATAAAACTTTTTAACTCCCGATTTAAATTTTGACGCGGGCAAGCACTTATTGAGAATTTTTTTTTCTCTGCTTTCCTCCCTTTCTTGTTTGCAGAAAACCCGCCCGCGATGAACTCGACGGCATTGTATGATTCTACTACCCAGCTCAACTGGGCAGAACAAAAATGGGAGCAAATGTACGAAGGACGCAATCCGTTGCTTGTAACAGGCATTTTCGCTTTCCTGATGCACGAATTCGTGTACTTCGGTCGTTTCATCCCTTTCCTCATTTGCGACTACATTCCATACTTCAAAAAGTATAAGCTTCAAGAGGTACCATAAAACACTTGATGACCATGCGTGCCAATGTCAATTATAGGAGACTGATGAAAGAAACTTGATAGGCCAAAGCCAATACCACCGATGACTACTGGAACTGCACCAAAAAGGTGCTTTACGCTCACTTTGTCTTTGAAGGGCCTTTGATCTTTTTGTTTCATCCCATGGCAACCATGCTTGGCATGAAAGTCGCCGCCCCTTTCCCCGCATGGTAAGCTGAGCAAGAAAAAGGGAGAAACCCTGGAGAAAAAAGAAAAAAAAAAGAACCATGGAAAAACTGATTCAGATGATTGGACTAGGCAACAAATGCTTCCTCAGATCGCCATCTTTTTCATTTTCGAAGACTTTTACCACTATCATATGCATCGTTTCATGCATTGGCCTCCATTCTATAAAAAGGTTCACAAGGTCCACCACGAATACGCCGCTCCTTTCGGTATTGCTGCAGAATACGCACATCCTATCGAGACCATGATTTTAGGTTTCGGCACCGTGTGCGGTCCTTTAATTTACCACGCTGTTGCCAATTACTTCGATTTCGGGGCCGAATGGGATCTTCATCTGATTACCATGTTATCATGGATCGTCTTGCGTTTATTCCAAGCTATTGATGCTCACTCGGGTTACGATTTCCCTTGGTCTCTCCACAACTGGGTGCCTTTCTGGGCTGGCGCTGAACATCATGACTATCACCACCAAGCCTTCGTTGGAAACTACTCCTCTTCCTTCCGTTGGTGGGACTATCTTTTCGGCACTGACAAAAAGTACCGCGCCTACCGTCAGCGTCAACGCCTCGAACGTTTGAAGGTCAAAACAAAATAAGCTTTGTATTCGCTTCAGTCCTGGCTTTTGGCTTCTCCTCTACTTTTTAATCTTTTCTCTATACATTTACACTTCCTAATTTTCGCACTATCATATTAATGGTTTCGTTCTTTGGCTTTTTTTTTGTCCATCCTCCCCATTCTTGGTTATACTGCATCTCCATACGCACACATGCTTTTATATAATAATAGAGAGCTCTTTTTTTCTGGATTAACTTGCAGAAATTAAAAATTATGTATCCATGGATGCACATACAGCGAACAACGCAATGGTTTTCAATAATCAATCTGCACATGACACCCTGGAAGTTCCTAAAAGTCTTTTGATGTCATACATTCGGAAAAATGAAAGCAAACCGGGACAGTCATTCATGACACATTGCCCGTCACGAGCTTGTCAAACCATCCAAGCAAACACAGATATTATATTCTGGTGCTCCCCAATTTTGTGTATGTCCCAAGTCCTATTGTTAGTGATATCGCACAGTTGTCCTGCGTATGTGATTAGGCCAGTCAATTTGGGGCGAAAGATAGTATCTCGAAAAGCAAATTGCTGTGAGCCATGTCATTTTATTTCATCCCAATTTTTCAGCTGGCTAGGAGTTTGATAAACAAGGATCCCAAGGGCAACTATGTGTCACGGTAAATGATTTGTAGTTCTCAAGCCACCAAAGGTTGATATTCTGGTTCAGTGGAACTGGGTTGCGTCGGCACCCTCTCGTGAGTTTGACCAAAGAGTCGAATGGCCAGAGCTTTCAACGGCCATGCCGTGGTAATCATTGCTGCAGCCAGTGCTGCCCAATGCACCACAGGCCATATGCTATGCATTGGCAACCAAGAAAAAAAAAGAGGCTTGAACGCTGTCCGATTTTCGTCAGTTTTTTTTTGGTGGGCGGTTGCTTATCTTTTCAAAGATCGTCCAAAGCCCCATTGCCACAGCGTAAGCGGCTGAGACGCCTCCTGTGTGACTAGCCGCCTCTACATAGCCAACCGCTAAAGCGACCGAGATCAGTAACGCGATGTAATTGAAGATCACATGCAAAAGATCCGGCGGTAGCACCCCGGAGAACTTGTCCCTGCGTATGACCGTAAATGCGGTAAAAAGCGTTCACCAACGTCATGAAAGCCGTAAAACCGTGCCACAGCCAAAAAGGAAGATGGATGCAAATATTGTCCGTCCATAAAGCCGGTCGATAACGATTCTTCAGATTATCTAATGTGAATGATGTAAGACAAAAAAGAGACCCTATGAGAATTCTCAGCACTAGTTCTCACTTACACACAATGTAAGACAGCGATGACAAGAGTAACAATATAATGAATGACACCACAAATGAAAGCACCCGTTGGCTATTTTCCTTCAATGACCAGTCAAATAACATTTTTTCATATTTGGATCACTTGTCATCATTTTTACTTACCAATAGACTAAACCAGGATGTATTCAAGATGGCGATCAATTCAACATGATGATGCTCTTTGTCGTCTTACGTTTCTATGCGATTAAACATAATCGATGCCCTCCGGCAAAAGCCGACACGGTCGATGACAGAAAGTATAGATACACCGCCGTATTCAGTATTTTTTGGTATAGATTCTCGGTGTTTACCATTGTCAATTTTGACAACACAGTAGCTGAACTAAGAAGCGAAAAAGAATAAAAAGGCTCAATGATCCGTTACATGTCAGTGACGTGGACTTGCAAAAAGCATAAAAACCGGTCTCGCCCACACGCTGGACAGATGAACGTTTGATTTGCCCATTAAGGAATGTCGTTTCAATCGATCGCAGTTTTTGCTGTTTATTATCAAAAGATTCAAGCGACTTGTTTGCATAAAACAAGGACTGTTGCACAAATTCAATAAACATGCTGATCTCGATGCTTTGCCTTGTGGGTCCTTCCACTGCGCCGATTGCTACGTCCTCCGTGAAGACTGACAGAGAAGGATGGCTCATTAAAAGCACAAATAGTTTGCGTTTGATACATTTTTTATCGCACAAGAAAAATGAATTTATACCATTTATTTAACCCTTCACAATGACAAGAGAACTAGCACTTTCATTCATCCATAAATCTGAAAAAGAGTAAAAAAAGGCTAGTTTATAATTCTTGTCTTCTATAACAGGCGCTCTTATTCACGATGGAGGATAGATGTTATTCTACGCTCATGTTTCGCATCAGCTTTTAAAGGATTAAATTGATCACACGTAACAGTTTATGCAACAGGCGACATAAAAAGTCGCATAAAGAAAACATACCAACCCTAACCGTCACACGTTGTTTGTTACGTAGAAATGAGCGAGTATAAACGGCAGGATGTTGTTCACCATGCGCCAAAGCACCAACGATAAGATGCATATTGCAGCTGGCATTGACATAGTGTGTTACAGCTGGTATACAATGCTACACACTATGCATCAACGCCGTCCGGAGCTGCCGCTGTTTCAATTTCTACCGCGAGCAAACCTACCATCCTTTGTCAGTTGCGGGCTTCTTTAGCCTGGTTTGGGCTTTTGACCAAGAAATATAACACCAGTATACGTACATGGATTTGCTCTAATCAATCGAAACGACCATTCGAAGAATCCTTACGCATGCTGCAGCGATCCATGTCATGCAATGTTGCAGTACGATGTTTGAGGAGGTTTTTGTCAAAGAATGTTCAAGGGCGTAATATCCTGCGCTGCCCTGAATTGAGATCAAGCATGTCTGGACCGTGATCAACGAAGCAAGCCAAGCATTGGCTGAAATATGTAACATATTTTATGTAGCACATGTCAACAGAAGAGGTTTCTAAGTATTATTTTGAATGAGATGAGTGTAGTTGTATAAATGTCGCATATGTAATCGATAGGTAGGAAGATTATATGGTGATGGAGTATGCAGGCTTTCTTCCTTTTTTTTTTACGCTATCTCCTTCTTTTCATTGTGCATTATAGATTCCTTAGGTTTGCGAATGTCATAATGCTTCACAAATAGACATGCTACCAGGGTGACAACAGCGGCGACCGTTGCTGTGGGAGTACGTTAGCAGACAAGAAATAAACTGAAACGCCACATTAAGAGAAAAACTTACCGAGCAGATATACTTTATCAAATGCATTCATAACGGTGGCCAGAATACGATGTTGGAGGCTCGCAGGCATATGCTTCAGGAGCGCGAGACTGTGACTGGGAGGCTTGAAATGCAGTTCCGTAAACAGTTTCTCCAGATCGGTTCTGGAGTAGTAACTTAACAAACTACCCCCCAAATTGATACCGAGAGCACCTCCAATTATTCTATGACAAAAGGAAAAAGGGAAATCAATGTTATGGTTAAATAGGAAAAAAGCATTGCTCGTTCCGTTCTTTGCATTGTCTCGTACCTGAAGAATTGTCCATGAGCGGTGGCAATGGATAGACTAAAAAAAAATAAGCAATGGGTCCTTTCACAACTTTCGTGCATATTTGAGCTTGTCCATTAACTTACTCTCTAGGGGAAACCGCGGCTTGTCCACCAACGACAAAGGCTTGCTTGCATAAACCTACGCCAAATCCAACCGTGGCCAAAGACGCATACTGATACAACTCGGTTGATTCAACTACGAATTGATACATCAATGCTGAACCGACAATGACAATGGCGGAACCAAGCCACAAGCACAGGCGATACCGCTCTGTTCGGGAAATAAGGAAGCCAGCAATGATACTCGCGATGACCGCCGGGATAAAGAAGGACAGCAGCTTGATGGCTGAAATGAGAGCTGTATCGCCATTGATGAGCTGAAATTGGAGTGGCACGTAGTAAACTACAGCATAATCGACAATGCCGCCAGCGAATTGAGCGAGAAATAAGGCAGTATTTGTACGTGAGAGCACCATGCGACGCGGGAATATAGGGGCATGCTCCACCAACCATATTTCGGAGATCACAAAGGTGACAATGGTTGCAGTTCCCACGGCGAAAAGAGCGATAATGCGAGGCTGGTCCCAATCAGTGTCAGCAGCCCCCAGGTGAACCGCTGTAAGCAAGCAGATCGTGCCAGGCATCAATAGAATGAGACTACCATAGTCAACTTGTCGCAACTGGGTGCTCAGTGGTACATCTCGCTCGTGATTCTGCTTTGGATAATAATAAGCCAGTAACCCCATCGCGGGTACGCTACATGATACAAATGCATTAATAAATCCATAGGTTGGTAGGCACATGTTTCTTTTGAAAGTCGGTCAATGAGCCGATGCTTACCCAATGATCGGATTGATGTAGAACAACCATCTGTAAGAAGAGGACGTATCAGTAAGATGTAGCAAGTATTACAATGATTCAAGGCGAAACGAGCAGACACATGCCTCCATGCACCAAGGTCTGACAAAACACCTCCAAGTACCGGGCCAACCAATGCAGCAATGGCAAAAACGACACCAAGAACGCTTTGATATTTGGCTAATAAAATATAAAATAGAATATGTGAGTATGATGTTGAACTGTTGCCAGACATCCGTAAAAAAATAGGAACCTCTGTCGATATCTGGCACAAGATCACAGATAATGATCAACACTACAGTGACGAGACCCGCTCCACCGATGCCTTGGACAGCTGTTGATGATAGAAATAACATTGTTGAGTGATCTCTGTTTTACAGCATATCAAGGGTGAAATTTAGGGAGGTCGAGTCATGCATACCTCTGGATATAATGAGCATCATCATACTTTGTGCTGCTCCACAGAGGATACTGCCAAGCAAAAATATGGCCAGAGCGATAAGATAGACTTGTTTGTGTCCGCTGAAATCAAAGCAAAGCAAGATGAATATGGCAAGCACGTTTTGGATCAGGAGCAACAACGGGGACATTGTTGTAAATAACTTACATGATGTCTGCAAAGATGCCATACATTGGCTGAAAGCCGCTCATTGTGACGAGATATGCAGTTCCGACCTGTAGTCATGCAGGAAATGAATGTTGCCTCCTTTATTTAGATTTGTTATTTTACTGCATTTTACCCAGCTAATGTCGTCTGCTCCATGAAATTCGTTTGAAATAGTCTCTAAAGCAGTAATAACGACGGTTTGATCCAGAACACTCATGAAAAAGCCTGCCAGTAACCTGAAGCAAGAAAAAAAGGTCATTGCAATAATAATAAAAAACAGGTTACAAAAAATGATCATTACTAAAGGACCGCAAGAGACCAAAGCCAACACTTACGTTCCAAACACTATAACAAAGCGCTTGCGGTCCAATCCTTGCAGTGGATATTCTCGGGAATCCTCCGCCACGACGGTATGGATGCTTTCTTGACACTTCTCCTTTGTGTCGAGCGATGGTTCACGAGATGGATCGTAGTATGTCATGGCGACATATAAAGAAAGGATCGGAGGTAAAAAGAAGGATAGTAACTCTAACTAAACTCTTTTCTTTTATAGATAACAGCTCAACAGCGTGGAATGCGAACTTTAGAGGGGTGATGATCCCTTGAGATCTTCAATGCCTTATTGAATCTCCGCCAATGGCAGCAAGCTGAGATCCCTTTTGAGGAGCACGATTTCGCCACGCTGTGTGGCTTAGCGTCGCCAGCTCTTTTGTAATTGAAGGGAAATTCCGACTGGTTTTATCACATAAATCTCAACTGCGAGACACTAATTGATCAGTAACTTTGCCATGGGCAAACGTAAATTTGTCGCGATGAGCGAAACGACGGATGATTCAGGGACTAGTAAGCTGACTCGTTTTAAGAGATTTATGGCTGTGTTATTCATCGAAACGACCTTATCTAGGTGGCGAGGAGGACTTTATCTCACTGAATTTGGGTGGCGAAGATGAACCCAAGAGCCGACAAGAACGACGACACCATGAACGCAAAGAGTCGAAACGAAAAAGAGAAAAAGACGACAGCGAGCAAGATAATCTTGTCTGTTGTCCTTGGATGGAGCTCATGGACTCCACAGCACCAGAAGCACCGCATAAAAGGTTCGTTGGACACCCCCGCCAAACTGTAATGCTGCGCAATGGACCCCTTGGGGTTTGCTTACGATTACCTTTAGATTACAAAAGGAAGTGGAATGCTTTCTTCGCTACATGGAACCTACAGAAGCAGAAAGACAATTGCGCGAATACCTTGTGCATAAAATTCGTTGGGCCGTTCAGAGCCGCTATTCCGAAGACGTAGAAGTGCACGTATTTGGTAGCTTTGGCTCCAACTTGTATCTTCCCAACAGGTAAACTTCGTTACATTTTGATGGTCACTATTTTAGATGTTTCTCTAAACATTGTTCTGTTCGTGGATTTTAGTGACATTGACGTCGTCGTCTGTACACCTCCTCATATTCAAGTGACGTTACGTAATCTGGCGAGAGTTCTGGAAAACGCCGGTGTATGCAGCTCACCCCAAGTGATTGAAAAAGCAATGGTAAGGGAGCAGAGACTGCCCGCAAAAATCTTTTTAGACGATTCTAATCCATCTTATAAATAATGTTAGGTGCCTGTCATCAAATTCAGGGATCTGTTGACGGATTTGCCTGTGGATATCGTGATTGATTCCACGTCTGGTTTGGGCAGTGGTAAGGTGATTCGTCAAATGATGAAAAAGCAGCCGGCGCTGCGTCCATTGACGCTCATCATTAAACACTTTCTTGCGCTTCATGATCTGAATGAGGTGTTCACGGGAGGTATTGGCGGCTATGCCACTGTCTGTCTCGTTATGAGCTTTCTCCAGGTACGCCTACTGTTATTATTAAATTTCCATCGAAGTGTCTAATCGGCTCGCACTGCTTTGTTTTTTTAGATCCATCCAAAATTGGCTTCAGGAAGAATGAAAGCTGAAAATAATCTGGGTGTGTTGTTGCTGGATTTTCTTCAGCTGTATGGCCATCACTTTAGCATGGATACGGTCGGAATCTGCCCCAAAACTGCTTCTTATTTCCAAACGGTAAGTCATTACGGGAAAAAAAATTATAGCTGGTATACGGGTATGGGTTGACGGGATTGAACTGATGTAACTGTGACATAGAATGGACGCAATTTATCCATGCGAGGTCATCGGCATTATTTCTCAATCCGTGATCCTGATTGTCTATCAAATGATTTGGGATGCAAATCCTTCAATTCATATCATGTACGATCCAGTTTCAATTATTCCTATCTGGTACTTTCGCGCAAGATGTTCCAGATGTATGCCGATTGGCAGGGAAAGAGAGACCGATGTGGGGTCACGGAAGAGAAATTCAAGAGGGTCAACTGGGATGCGTCCTTGCTGGGCTCCATACTGACCGTGTCGATGAACGTGATGGATCAACGGGAACGGATACACAGGGTTTATACCGACAAATCATGGCTAAGAGAAGAAGCGGCAAGCACGTTTAAGTTGAACCAAGAAAAATGCTAAGGCTTATGACTGGTTTATTCCTACGAGATGTCATGTCTATACATCCTCCATTTTTATCGCCATCTATGATTACCCTACGAAACCGACCATGCCAAATCCATTACTCACTTGGCGTCCTGGCGTTCTTCCCTTGCTTTATGTAAATACAATACAACGGCTGTAAATCTACGTGATGCAGTATTGAAAAGCACCTTGTGGTTTTTCCAAAGACAACAAAAACAATAGTAATCATTCTCATGCATGCGATCACCTTATGCTTCTTTAATTTGGTGACTCGAATGGTATAAAATCATTTTACCGGCTATGCTGATAATCAAAGATATGACTCGGCAATAAATGCTAAAAACAAAACATGTTATCGCAGCTTCATTTACATCCTCCTATCGAAAACTTTGAGGTGGCCATTATTCTATCGTCAACAATAACATGGAGCGACTAGGAAAATCTTGTACGATAGTAAAAAAGGGTATCATGTATGAACTTGCCTGACTTTGGAGACGACGAAATAAGGAAAAAGAGGAGAAGGTAACATAGCTTGAGATAGCCTTTGATAAAGCACTGGATATTCTGTATCATATTTCTACAATATACGAGCTTTTCAGTACGATATTTAATGTATTTTTCCTTGTCCACGGTATTCAAAAAATTGTCTCCTTTTGTAATGCAGCCCACTGAAAATTATGTTGAGGAAAAACGTCACTCCCCTCCCATTGAAAACGTATTGTTTCCCTTGCAAGCTTTCTGAGTTTCTTTTTTCAAAAAAAGTCGCCCATCAGCTCGGCCATTGGTCACCATGAACTTCTCTCCATACGCTCCTTCGCCTGACGAAGATCGCACCAAAAGAATCCAGCAAGAAAAAAATAAAAACAAACAGCCTCAGGCGAAAAACAAGCAAACATTCAACTATGCGCCGGTCAACTCATCGGCATCCACTTACAGTCCGTATCAAGCTGGAGACAACCGACCTGGCTTGGGATTTCCAAGCTCATCTACCACACTTATCAATGAAGGCTTATTCTCAGGTCCTTCAGGCTTGGGAGCTCCTTCCGGAGTTCCAGTGGGCACACAGCGCGTAAACAAGTATGAGACCGCCTTACCGATCCGTGTTGATTTTGAAGCAGCCCTGACCTATATACTTGGCCCTGTTACAGGTAACAACACTGGAATAATACATTTGCCAATCTATTGTTGATAGGCATTATTTAACTCTGACGCAATAGGCCTGTTATTCTTGATCCTTGAGACACAAAATGATTATGTGCGATTTCATGCATGGCAGGTAAAAATTAAAGCCAACAATGATTTTCATCGGCTTCTCATATGGATTTCTCTACCTGTAGTCATCGCTAGTCTTTCTTGCACTGATGCTCTGCCACTTTGTTATCATGTTTATTTCAAGTTTTCTCTCCTGGGCTCTCTTTTGCTTTGACATTTTCCTACTGCTGTGGTTAACGTAAGCTTTTCGAATTCATTAGCGGAAAAGTCATGTATACACGGTCATCTGACATGCAGCAGATATAGGGCCTATTTGGATGGAGCCACATTGGAACGTTATGAATTACCATACTTTGGACCTATTGCCTCTCGATGGGTTGATGAAGAATAACCAGGTATTCAGTTTCCATGCAAACCGCTGGCGATATCAGCTTGAGATACCGCATATTGTATTCGTCCCTTCTGTACAAACGAATGAAATCTTTCCTTTCCCCCCTCCATCTCCTTCTTTGCTCTTTAAGAGGCCTTATATATCTTTTTTAAAGAGTAGCCGTGTAATGATATGAATCTATTTTCAACCATGAGTCTGTTACAAACACGACTGACATCCGCTACAACGTATGTTAAAAACAACTACAACATGGTGAATCGACAAAGTCATCACCGTTCTCGCAAGAAATTCAAAGAGGCAATCCTGAGTCGTCCCGGTGAATAGTGAACCCATTCCTCAGAGAATTCCCTATTTCCATGAATGCTTAGAACACTCTCTGGCCTGCTTTGGACTCTTACGATATAAACTATCGATTTGGTAAAGGCAACACCTTATTATTGTTGTCGAAGTCCATCCAAACAGCCAATTCGAAACTTTCCATCAATTGGCTCGACCTTTTTTTTCTACGCGGGATTTCGGCAACATACCTATAAATTGCTTCCCTATTCGGCGCTCACGGTCAGCTTGTTATGCCCAGATTGACGGTAAAGAATCCTTTGCCATTGACAGCTGCATTACGCTTAAAGTGGTTGCCATGGCATTGAAGAAAGTTGGGGATGGCGAGATGTTATGTATGAGGAGGTCAGGAACTTCTTTTTTCCAAGTGGCGAAAGATGGTTTGTTGGTAAAAATACGAGGAAAAAGGTGACAAGCGGAGAAAAGGCGACAGGCAATTTTTTTTTTTTTTTTACACCGACTGTAACTGCACATATGAGCCTGTAAGGCAGCGATTACACGTTAATCCAAGGGCCCATTGATCATAGGCAATGACCTTGTCCTGGTGATGGGGAATGCGACCACTATTCCTTATCAAACCAGCTACAGATGGTTGGGAAGAAATTTTTATGAGGATGGCGGGACAAGGCGGAAAATAGGAAAGAAAAGAAGTAGGATAAGGTTTTGTGACCGGTTGAACAAGGGACGATCAACCATTATTATTATTTCTCAACATACAGTAAGATGGCAAAAGGAAAAATGTAGGTATTAAAATTGAAAGTAAACAGACGGGAAAAAAAAGGAATATACAATGCATCATGGGTGGGTTGAAGGGGGAAGATAAGTATATGATATAAGAGGTGTAGAGAAATCCGCCAAGAGTCGACTGGTTTTATGGGTTTTTTCGATCAAATAAAAGGCATTGCCTACTACAATCAGGGTTTTTTCAAGTCTCTTTTACAAATTACATTTCAGGCAATAAATTTCGGGAATAGATGATGCGCGCGATTGTGTATGTGTAAGTGTTCCCATGAAGAAATAACGGTGGAAAAGTTTGGGAACATCGTGGGATGGGAAAAAAAAAATTTTTCTCCCTTTTGATTTTGCATGTTACTGTCACTGGGATGGTTTGGGAACGTCACTACTTTCGTGGCTGAGGGATGATTTTTTGGATGATGCACTTGATGTACCGTTGGTCGTTTGACGTCTCAAGGATTCTGGGGGTGAGCGACTTTGCGCCAGTCGTTTGTTGGCTGCTCCTGAAAATAGAGAGAGAGAAAAAAAAAAGAACAAGCGTGAATACAATGATGGTTACATTACATGCACGTTTGGTGATCACTTACGAATCCGCGCTCTGTCTGCACGGTCAATTTTTTCAATGACCATTGTTAGTAGCTTCAGCCACTCCTCTTGCTCCTTTTCGTTGCTGGCATAGATGATATGTACAGTGGGCGTACCCATGAACGTGGTATTCAGCGTATCCACACCCTGGAAGGATGAAGTGATTTCAATCCCATAAGGACAGCCGCCGTTGCTTTCGCTCAAAGGCAAAGCACGGATCTTGGCCCGTTCCAGATGGATTTGTCCTTTGTACTGAAGCGTCATACGCTTCATTTCCTGTTTTGGTCGCACAACCACGAGAAGATCAGAAAATAGCAGATAGGTCCGGTCTTCACCATTCGCTTTGGGATCCGACAATTGGCCTTGCAGTATCAGTCGACGCTGGGCTCGAACTCCGAAAGGTGCACCCACCAAAGCTTGATGGATCATCAACACTTGATCTACATTATCGCAATCGTCTACCCTGTTATCGACATGTCGCTTATTGAGTACACATTCATGTCTGAACTGTCAAAAAAAAAGAAACCATTACAAAAACATAATAATACGTACTTGATTTTGATTTGCTCGGCAAGAGAGAGAATGCGTTTTTTACACTTGCGTAACCCTGCATAATCTGGATGCATGGGCGTGGTAGCGTCGGCTAATTTACTCATCAACTGAGCGTATCGACTGACACAACCTGCAGGTATTTGCAGCAGCGAAAGCAACGTCGCACCTTTCAATGTGGCATCTTTATGGGCTGACTAAACATCATGAAGGTTACTCGACTATATCCCATGGAAGGTAGAAGAAATCAAGTTTACATCAATGAATTTTTTGAATGGTTCGTAGCGTGTCAATCGTTCGTATGTTGTCACAGCAACATCATAATTATCAAGGTACACATGGTAACATTTTAAATATGAAAACTATTCGTTTGGTTAGCATGACCAAAACAAAATCAAACGAATCGCAAGATCTAATTACCCAAGTTAAAAGGACATCCGAAATGATTTGTGTAGGTCCCCATATTTTAAGGCTAAAATCAAACACCAAAAAAAAATGGAAGAAAAAAAAAAGAATCATGAGCGCGGAGAAAGCAAGAGGAAACAATGAGAAAGCATAATGGACTGGTTACATTACCGTTCCTCAAGCGATTGAAGGATATGCTGGTGCACCTGATAGATTTCTTCCAGATTGCCGAATAACCAACGCATTTCTTTTTCGGTGCAAATCGTTTTTTTCATCGACAGGAATTTGAATGACGAGGATTTTTGACCTTTCCGAAGTGGTTGGAAAAAGATGTGCATGATCAGACTAAGCGATTGAAGGTAGGCTTGTTCCGAAGCATATAATTGTTGAACAAGGGTTTCCCGATTACGATGCACTAATTCGTGGTCTAGTGATACAATAATTTTATTACCGGCCGAAATAGGATAGCGGATATGTCCAGTGAAACATACCGATCAGTGCATCATCAACGTCGTCGTAATCAAGATTATCGATGATATCGAACTGTCCGTCGGCGTAGATGTCTTGAATGGGCGAGATAGAATTGGAAGTGGTCGGCGTGGCAAGTGTGGTGATGCTACTGGGGTATTGAAGATTGGAACTGGCAAGACTACTCGTGCGACTGGACACACTACTCATGCTGAGCGCTTGTTGTCGAGGTCGAATAGTGGGCGAAGCTCCATGATCGGCGATAGGCGCCATTGCCCAAGGATGGAAAATAAATTATCCCAATAGCAGTAAATGATTGACGTTAACAACAGCTGTCCAATAACTTGCTGATTTTTTTTTGGTTTTTTTGGTTTTGATCAGTACGAGAACTATCAAGACAACAGTTCAAAAACTAGAAAATGAACTGCAGAAGCAAGGGAAGAAAAAGGAAATAAAGAAAAACAGTGAAAGTTATAGAGGGGAAAAAAAAAAAGATAAAAGGAAGGAGAAAATAAAGAAGAGGGAAAAAAAAGAAGTGTTAAAACAGTCGTTGTCACGATAACTAGACGAAAATTTTATGATCGTATAAGGAAAGTTAAAAAAAGGTTGTAATGAAAGCGGATGAAATGTGAAGTAAAAGATGTGCGGAGCCAAGAAAAAAGGACGAGCCCTGGTCAGGTGCAAACAAGAAACACAAGGTCCACGGAGAATAGCCGGGCGTGCGGTTACTGTACTTCAAAAAAAAAAAAAAAAAAGAATTCTTCCAATATTGGACAACTTACAAAGCTTGTACGATGTGATTCAAACGCATCCATGATAAACTGTCTATCTTCCAATAACTCGACACAGAATAACCTTGCCGTCTTTTCCTTTCTATCCATTGCGTAACCTTCAAAATCATCGTTTTTCCCGTTCCATCTATTCTTCCCCTTTGTCTGCCGCTGCATCTTATCCAAATTGGCAGTTGTGCATCAACTCGACTTGTCATTGGGTTCGATCTCCGATCAGTGATCGCTCTTTTTCGAGCTTGTTCTTATCGGTTCTTCCTATATCCTTTTTCGAAGCATCAACCTTGTATGCATCACTTGCCATCTTTGTTACACTTCGCTGTCAAAGCTTTGGTGATATTCATTTGAGCTTTATATCAAAAATGAATTTTTTCATTTGAATTCCACCGTGACGTAAACGTCACATGACCATCCACTGGAGAGAAAAAAGGGGGGGACTCAGAAGGATTTCTCGGGTCGATTTTTTTTTTTTTTTCATCCCAACTTGCTTGTTTTTCTGACTGCAGAAATGGAGGACGAAGGTAAGTCGATCTTGACCGAGATCAGATCTCGATGATATTGGTTTTATTTGAATCTCGACTGACTCAGTTGATCATGTTATAGAGATTTGTAGAGTATGTCGATGTGAATCAACACCGAATCATCCACTCTATCACCCTTGCAAATGCTCTGGCAGCATTCGCTTTGTACATCAAGATTGGTAATGAGGAATACATGATTAATCGTCATTAACCATTGCATTAGCTTGTATTAACTTGGCTTTGATGGATAGTCTGTTGGAATGGCTGGCGCATAGTAAAAAAAAGTACGTCGCCTTTGGAAAAAAAAAAATACCTGAAACGCATAATGAGTTTCTATATCGGTTTTTTGGATCATGATTATTCAATTATACTGATTCTTTCCTTTCAAAGATATTGCGAATTATGCGAACACCCGTTTACTTTTACGCCCATCTACAGAGAGGATATGCCTGAACGAGTTCCACTGAACGTGCTCCTTAAGCAGTGCATCCGGCGTGCTGGATTTCTCCTTAAAATAACACTTCGTGCCATCCTGGTGATCATGATCTGGCTGGTGATGTTACCGTACTTCACCTTGTGGACCTGGCGATTTTATTTTTGGAGCGGGGAGAATATCGGTTTTCCGCAAGCGAAAGACCAAACATTAATGCAACAATCATCATCATCATCCTCACTAGTGTCTGACGATCAGGTATCGTCAGCATTAAATGACACCTCACCTCATTCTTCCATCTCATTTACCGGCGTCAATATCAGGTAGAACATATGATAGCTTTTAGGGTTTTGATTCTGCAAATAATTACTGACTTCCCCCCCCCTGATTTTAGGGGCACGCTCGCCGACTGTCTGGAGGGCCAAATCATTACCGCTTTTGTTATTCTTCTTTTTGTGGCAGCTTATCTTTTCCGAGAATGGGTGACTCAAAATATGCCCCCAGACGATCAAGCGCAACAACCACCTCAACCACCTCAACCGCAAGAAGTGGAAGTTCCGAATGGCATGCCACGAAGGGTTCCACCTACTCATCATCAACTAGACGAATTACCAGATGATCAGCGATTTGCACAACAGCAAGTAGCGGTCGCCACTCTTTTGCAAGCCATGCAAAACGTCAATGTGCCCAACGACGAAATCGAACTCGAACGTACACAGCTCACGGCACGGTTAGAAGATGTTCGTCGCGAACTGCAAAGACGTAGGTTGGCTGCACTGCAATCTGTGCATCATCATGAAGATGCAGCGACAGTGGACAATGAAATGGTGGCTCAGGAGGGAAATGAAACGGAGACAGAGGGTTCGACTGCAGGGTCAGGGCCCATCGATTATCAGTCGCATCATTCTTCCACGTATGCCTCTTCAGCCTCCTATGAACCCTCAAGTATACCGTGGGAGGACCGAGTCGAAGAATTATGGTCACCAAATACTGACCGCTTTCACGACAAACCTTCCGATGTCGACTCATTGTTCGAGAGTACATCGACTTCCCGATCATCTGCGAGTCCAAACCTTGCTGATATTGATGTGCATATACCTAATCAACATACCGAACATACCGAACATCCGCAACGACCCATCTTGCGTTCAGACTGGTCTAGTCACAATGCGGCGGCCGTTACGGATGATGCAGCCCAAGCCACTAATATTCGATGGCGTGCTCCCGAATTTGAAGCGCCCATGGATGAGCAAATCGATCAACATGCGGAACCCAATTTTCACCTGAACCGATTTGATGGCGCAGGAAGAGGTGCGAATCCTATTCCACCCGTTGAATTTGAACCATTTGGAGGCAACGATGACGATAACAACAATAATAATAATAATAACGGGGAACCAGCTGAGGACGAAGAAGAGCCTTTCGATCTCGCGGATGATCTTGATGGCGTGCTGGAGGCGATTGGCATGCGCGGCAACCCTTGGATGCTGGTGCAAAACTCGGTTCTCATGTCATTGGTGATAAGTTTATGCTTGGGTGTGGCTGTATGGATACCTTATGTAATTGGACGCCTTGTTATTCTGGTAAGACCTCATCGTATAGTAACGTCCTGGCTCATGGCCGACGTGGCGAAGCGGGGCAGAACAGTCGTTGATGAATTTGGTTGAACTTGTGTAGATTCGACCCATCAGTTTTATTCAGACACCGATTTATATGATGCGCTTGATCACCGATCCACTGGTGGATATAGTGTTGGATCGCTTGATGCCCTTGGTTGCTTCTTCTTTGGATTCCAAAGAGACCAGTTTCCGAAATGCTCTCCTTCCGGAAAAAATTCAGGTGGCGGCTGCGGCCTGGTACGATCATGTTCTACAAGGAGTTTCGCACTTATTGACGATGGTGCATTGGGACATGTCAAAGGATTCTACATCAGTGTTATGGACAAACCATACGGAACCATTGCAGTCCACAGATCTGTCCAATGCTACGTCTGTGTGGCCTTTGGTGCAGGAAAAATTACAGACGGCCGGCGTCGCTGTAGCCAATCGATGGCATCAATTTGCTGTAGGGCAAACAGGGCTGGATCGTGTTGCCTGTGTCTTGTTGGGATACGGTGTCTTGATTTTTGTCGGCTCATGGTACCTGACACGGGGTCGCAACGTTACACGGCGATCAACAGCAGACAGCGTACAGGAAATTATTCGGCAGCAGGGTGTATTCCTCAAGGTTCTTTTGTTTATCTTGATTGAACTGGTGATCTTTCCTTCTGTTTGTGGTGTTTTGCTGGACCTTGCGACCCTGCCGCTATTCGCCAACACGTCGGCGGCTTCCCGATTGGCGTTCCATCAGGCTAATCCCTATTCTTCCACTTTCTTACATTGGTTCCTTGGTACTGGATTTCTGTTCAACTTTGCCGTTTTTGTGACGCTTTGCAGAGAAGTGGTTCGACCCGGCGTCATGTGGTTCATCCGTGACCCGAATGATCCTCAATTTCATCCCGTTCAAGAGATGGTGGAACGCCCTACGAGAACCTTGTTGCAAAAAATCGGTCAAAGTGCTTTGATGTATTCCGTGATGATCGTCATCGGTGTAGGCGGCGTTATTTTTGTCACCCATCACACGACATCACTGTTCCCGCTTTATCTCCCTTTGGAGTAAGTGTTTTTACCTTTTTTATCATTGTCATGGCATCTACGTCTTGACCATTTTTTTTCATTAACGTGTGGTTTGACTATTAGTAAACCATTATCGACTTTGGCAATTGATTTATTGCTCGTGCAATTCTTATTGCCCCCGCTTATCAATTACCTTGAGCCACGAAAGTTTGCAAAAGAGGCATTGTATAACTGGTGGCGCTTGGTCTCACGTCGTTTACGTCTCACGTCATTTATGTTCAATGGTCGATATCCTGAAGAGGAGGGTACACATATCCGGAAATCATGGAAAGCTTGGCTTTTCATGAAGCAAGCCACGGTCGTTTCTGACGTATATGCCGATGTCGCCATTCCACCCCACAATGCTGACGTGATATTCCGACGGGATGGTCAACTTGTACGTGTGCCAAAACATGACGGCGTCCCTGTTGTGCCCGGTCGTCGCATGCTTGTTCCCGTCGATCCTGTCAATTTCCTTCCTATCGACGAACAAGAACGCATGGCCGGTCATCCGGCAGCATCTGATTCGGGCGATGAAGAGCAATCCACCACGGTTGTCTATGTGCCGCCCCAGTTTCAGTTGAGGGTAAATTAGGATGCCAAAAATACCGCCCACCTGTTCTTGATGGCTCACTCAAAATGAATAGGTAATCATTTTCTTATTGCTCATGTGGCTCTCCCTCTCGGCGCTGGCGTTTTCCATTATGATTGCACCTTGTAAGCTTGACTCATCAACGATAAATCGTGGATGGTTCGTAAATATTCACCTTTATTTGAATTTCCCTAGTGTTGCTGGGCAGACATCTCTTTGAAACGTACCTTGGTGCGGAAAACCAGGTCCATGATGTTTATGCTTTCAGCTTGGGGGCCTATGTCATGGTTCTTTTGAGCATTGTTGTCAACTGGTTCAGCCATCTGTTTGATACCTGGCAAGCCGAAAGCTGGGACGTGGCTTATAATGTAATGAAGAGCAGTATCAAAGAAAAGTTGTATTTGGTAAGTTCAGGGTTATTACTTTGAAGGAAAAAAAAATTCGTGCAAAAATCAAAGTTTGCATATTAATTGTTGATATTCCTCTTATGTAGATGGTCAAGTTTATCTATTTGGGGCTGAGCGCGGGCTTAGTAGTACCTTTGCTTCTGGGGGTGACGGTGGATCTCTATATTTTTATGCCTATTAGGTTAGCCAAGTCCAGCGAAGCATTGGTGCTTCATTTACCGGAGGTATGTGCTTATTGTCGTACCATGGTGGATAAATTACCCTCGGTTCTCACGCAGAACACTTGTTTTTCTCAATAGTGCTGGTCATTCGGTGTAGCCTACCTTAGTATAATTTATGGGGTAGCGCACGTGATACCGAACAATAACCTACGACGTACTCTCGATCAATTGTTGGAAAATGGAGTCATGCAGCTGAACCCGTGGGGGATCACGCGCACGATAATTGTGCCGATGGTTGTGGGTTCTATTGCAGCGATTTCCATACCGGGTATTTTGGCCTGGGGAGTAGTCCAGATGTTGGGTAAGTGCGACGATTCTAGTACCTTGTCCAATTCGTAGTATTATTTTCACGTATGCTAACTCCCCGACGTATCTAGCGAAACACGATCCTTCTATTCAATTGGCTATTGTTCGATGCATGTACCCTGGCGTCTTTTGTTTGATTGTGGTGATTCTAATGTGTATATTGTTGACCAAATTGGCGAAAATCTGGATGAAAACCGTCAGAGACGATACCTATCTCATCGGCAAACGACTGCATAATCTGGAAGACAGTACGGCCTCTGCTGCATCGACTTAGAAATTGTTGTTTATATCTGTACATTATAATATGTGAGTTATTTCATAGTTGTTGTTGTTTATTTTTTGTTTCTTTTTTCCACCGTTGGCATGGCTGTAATAATGAGTATATATCTGAAAGTGAACGACATAAAACTTGGCGCTGGCCAATGAATCATTTGCAAAAAATCAATGAAGAAATAAACTTCTAACGTCTATTCAACTGCATGAATATTTTTGGCATGTGCGATATACGCATCATCTTTCTTGGAAGCTGATATGAAAAATATCAAATCGATTTTGTTCCATCTGTATGCTGAAAGAGTTGTATGGAAATCAACAGAAACATAGTAAGAGGATCAAAGCACCAATCCGGAAAATGGATTGCAGCATTAGGCAGGTACAACACTTCATGTTAGGGTAAATTGTACAACGCGATGACTGCGTAACCTCGACTTTTTCTTGCTGGGAGTGCAACCCATGACTCAAGAGTCTCATGAGCGCTACACAGGGTATGGCAACACAAAATAGGATTTGTACTTCATATAATATGAAAAAGGGCCATATGTACGTTCTGAATAGTCCATGACAATGTGAGGAGAGTGGCCTGTCGTCACAATAGGAAGCTGCTACTGCTTATCAGTGAAAACAGTTATAAAGCAAAGACTCTTTTCGTTTTTCTTTTTCTCTTTCGGCTTGCTTTCTTTCTCCTTTGCTTCTTTCCACCTTTTTTTTTTTGCCATTGTTCTTTGTCTTTCTACTTTGTTTTTGTACTTCCTTTTATTGTTGCCATGAGCAGTACATATTCAGAACCTAATCTAACTTATCATCCTTACTATAGTATGTATGCCATGCGTCGTACAAAAAATGGAGACTGTTATACTTCTGACAACATTGGTTTGTTGTCACCGTCTTCATTAAACCAAGATATCGGCCCCCATTTTGTAGCAGAATCGAAACGTCCGCGATCCAGTTCTCGTCATTATCGGCGGGAGAGTCACCGATCGTTCAGTAGCATAACGGGTTCACCGTATCATATGGTCAGCAGTCGCACCGGCTCGCCCGCCAGCCACTACAACAACAATCTTACTGGTTCCTCCCGAGCCAGTTCCAATTACAGTTGGCTCGTGTTCATGAATGAGAAATGGGTGCCATTCGATGTACAGAATCAACTCAAGTTGGAGCAGACATTAACGCTGGGCGGTACATTTGTTGATATTTGCGATTCCCATTTTCCAGACATGAAGCGCGTACGAGCATTCCCAAAAAACAACTATCTCAGTTATTTGGGAGTCAAATACCGGTTATCGCGGATAGTGCAACCGGATGTAGATGTCTGGGTGAACCGTACGGCAACCACTGACGAGGCATGAGCATTCCCTTGTCCTTTCCGCACAGAAACCCCAATTCACACCTACATACAATAACGCACTTTGCACTTGCACCTGAACCCACATTACAATCACCGTCATAATCACGCACCTTTTTTTTCAACACACCCACGGCGTAACCTTTTCTCAAAAAGTAAGCCCACGCACAACACGATAACAAAAAAACCCCGATAATGTTCTTCTTCATTTCGCTTTCAATTATGATCATTGCGCTACTTGTGTCTCTCCTCGTTGTTTCTCTCACCTCCTTTTTTTTCCCGCAACAAACTGATCGAGAAATAAGTGGAGTTACCCATTTTTTTTATTTTTTATTTTTTGTTTCGTGAAAGAATGTACAGTTGATTTCAAATAGTAAAGTCGTAACTTTTGGCAATGTAGCCTCACTGTTTTTTTTAAAGCAAGGTCACGAGATCCGCACATGGCATCATGTCCTCTTGCGTTGGTTTACAGATTTCCCTATTCTTCATTAATCCGGGAAATCGCTCACTTCTCTATGTTTTATTTGTCATGCTTTATCCCCAAATAACTGATTCTGAAATGGTACCTTTCGACGCAAATTCGTCAAATTGCATTGATTATAACGTGTAAAAAGTTTGATATTTGAATATGTCTTTCACAAATCCTTGCATTCTATTAGCAGAGGCTGGATATCAACAAGTAAGCCTACGTGTGGAACAGGATAAGTTTGCAAATCTTCGTAATAAGCTTTATTTGAGTGAACTTGTATACCATCAAAGCATAGCTTTAAGCTGATGTTTCCCCACCATGCTCTGATAAGATGACATTATGAGATGGAATGATGTTTCTTCAAAGCTTCCTCAAAAATTGAAGCTTTATAAGCTAATGCAATGCACATAATAACTCTTAAATCTCGACCTTGGACCGCTTTCCAATATTGTACAATCAGAAGTAGAAAATATGGACTTGCGTTTATCAGCGATTAATTGCAGTTTATAATGAATCAAGTCATCCAAGCCCAAGTTCTTTGAGGAATAAAACTTAACCTGCCGTAGCCATGACAGCATACTAATCATGTGTATTATTTACAAAGTACATCCGTCTTGCTGTGATCCTTGATTCGCCTTCCTCAACCAAATATATCTGGATACCGATAATATCAACGTATGGTGCGGATGCTGATGCTTATGCTGAGACGTTGAAACACGCTTCAATACGCTTTATTCTTCTGCAGCACTGGTACGAAGTTATGAAAAAACTCAAAAATAAAATTCTCTTCTGCCATAATTTCATCAGAGCGTGTTATAATCATGCGCTATGATCCTGAATAGTTGCACAATAAAGTTTGCACAGAAAAGCATCATGATGAATATGTATTTGTATACAGTATAAATCAACAATAATGAGAAATGACGAGTTGATTATTCACATGGTCTAGTCCCTTCTCTATTTGTGGTAGTCATCATGCGCAATATGAACACCTGGTGATACAGCGGCGGTATAAACAGCTGCAGGTGCATCGGGTTCCAATATCCGATATCCGAAAGTGCGAAGCTCCAGGTTTTGCCTCGATATGTACCACGTGTTGAAGACGACAAATACGTCTCCAGAATTTACCGTTTCCTTGTTCTATCCAAAGGAAAACAGTTAGTAGAATCATTTAAGCCTTATTCTAATGATTTCGGGAAAACTCATATTCTTGCTTCTTCAATAACACTGTATGTTGTACTGCGCAGATTCTAGATACAATGGAGAAAAAGTTCCAAATGCATGCTGACTCATTTGCTCTATCATACTTGGTCTACTCAGCCGTAACATAAGACTACGATCTTTGCTCTACTGCAGTTTTCTAGGTATTAGATTAACAGCAAGGGCCACCAGGAAGCACTTTATTACAGAGGGGTGGTAGGGTCAGACACATAACATCGAGATACACGATCCTGGATAGAATACACGTTTTTTATTGTTCACAAAAGATGGTATATTGGCGGTATGCTACAAAAATGTTGAGGTCATAATTACATAAATACATTGACAAACGAAATTGATGATTGAAATTGACGTTAAAAAAAAAATGGGCTTTTCTTCTTTGACTGCTTCTTAGACGACTTGCTTCCGACCAAATCGAGCGGAGATTGCACGGCGTTTGAGCCAACAGCCATACAAGCAACCAGCGACCAAAAATAGAACACAAATAACGATAACGGCAATAAGCCATTTTTCCAAATGGGTAGGGCGCTTGACTTGAGGTCGAGGATCCGTGATGGAAACGTATGGTGGGTCATTGGCGCCGGTACTGAGTTGATAAGCGATGAGCCCCTGGAACGGAGCATTGTAATCGAGTGCTACTTCCGTTTGATCGTAGTCATTACGTTCATCGTAAAAGTGATCATCTTTGCTGGGTCCACCCACGATAGCACCTGCGATATTCACTTTATTTTAGTATTCCAAAATTGACCATTTTTTTTCCGCCATTAGCAATTTACCGTAAAGGATATATTTTTCTTCCGGTGGTACAGAGTTAATGTGGTTGATATCGTTGCCTCCTGATGCTCCAGCATGATGCGGGTTATGCGGTGAGTTCATATGCACACCACAGACATAGGGGGTTAACCTAATTGCGCCAAATTTAGTTTTTGTATGTAAATGTATAATTTCACCAAGAATAGCTCCCTGAAACAGATCACTTATTTTGTTTCATCCATTTGTCTTTCACCTCATCCGCCTCCTTTTTTCATGGCGCAGAAGCGAAAAAAAAATCAACTTACATCATATTTTGTCCAAGTAAATAATTCACTTGATTGGTGGCAAAAGAGGTGTAATCGTCCCGTTTGGACGAGTCAACGCGACTGTAAATCAGGGCGAGCAAAGCAATATCTTGTGCAGGCACCAGTGAATTCGCGTCACTGGCACCGTCACACCATAGAAGACCGCCCTTGGTGAAATCGCAGGGGCTTCCTTTGGATGGATGGATCATCGTATCGATGTACTTTTGTGCTGCGTTTTTATATTTGCTGTTGCCGCTGTCGGCTTGACTGCCCAGGACATACACGGCGCCTGTTTGGTCACTCCAGTCCATTACAGTAGGCGATGATTTATCCAGCTGAAAACGATCAAAATAGTCGGAGGCTTTGTCACGGTAAGTGGTGTTTCCGGTGGCTCGATACAACCATAATGCACCGTAAACCAATTGATTTTTGTAATCATTCGTGTTATAATAATCAGCAATGGCAGGAATGGAATTGGTGTAGGCGGCCCATGGTTTGGCCGTGTCGGCGAAATTGTATACCGATTCGGCATGCGATTGTAAGCGGTCAGCATATTTGGAATCGTTCAAATAGTGGCGATAAAGATGCGAAGCTGAAGCGAAAGCGGCCGCTGTCAAGGCTGCAGCATCTGTACCGGGCACCGATTGGTTGACCATGTACGACGGGCGGGGTGTCGGTATATGGGTATCCGGTCCTATCATTGAAATAGATTTCAGAGTTTTGCGTTTAAAAATAAACGTGCCAAGCAAAAAGTGATCAAGGGTCATTTTCTTTACCCCAATAGTTATTATCAACATCGCCATCGCCCACCTAATTTCGGCAAAAGGTTACACGAACTGTCGTATTTATTTTACTCAGCGTCCCAATACTGTACCTGGACATAAAGCACGTTGGGTTGAGGATGAGCTTTCATTAGCCAATCCGTGCCCCAGCGAATCGTATTATCGAGATATTGCGTCTGTTTTGCTTTTTCGTAGCCATCGAACCATTCAATAGCGCCCCATGCCAACAAGGTAAGGGAGTGCGCTAATGGCAACGTAAACTTTAGATAGTCACTGGTGAACCATAAAATAAAATAAAAAATATGCACATAAGCGATAATGTAATGGCCGGTTATCATTCATGTCAATTGAAAATTTACCCAGCATCATAATAACCTCCAGAAAGGTCGACGTTGTTGTCTTTGCCGTCTTGAAGACCGGAATCCGAGCGCCTAAGAAATTGCAAAACCATTCACCGTTTCCATGGTTAATGAATGTTGCCCTTGTCAATTAAAATTGTGCAGGATTACCATGAGACGCGGTTGTCGGCAGGCAATTTCCCGCTACGCTGAGCTTCGTAAAACCACATTGAATCATTGAGCAAGGCAGTATAATGAGGATTCACTTGTTCCTGGGTCACTACGCTACCGATAGTGAGTATCAGTAGCGTGAGAGGCATTAGCAAAAACATGAGGTAAAGTGAAAGAGAACGGCGGAAAGGATGAACCGAGCACGCACGCAAAGAAAAAAAAAATTCAGGGAAAAAAATAGAAGGTCCAAAAAAAGAGTGGATCGGATAAGACGACGGAGTTTCCTTATTAACGCTTTTAAAACAGTGTGTGCGCATGCATGTGGCTGAATGTTTGAAAATTCACGAACAGGCAGTGATTGGTGAATGGGAGAAAGGATAAAGTAGCTTTTTTTATTAGCTCAGAAAGAAAAAGGGATCGACATTATGACTAGTTTTTTTTTCTACGGCGGTCGATGGTCAGCCTTTTTCGAACATTGAATTTTTCTGACACCAGTCTTGCGCGATTCTTTGCCATGACGTCAATTTTGGAGCATTACCAATTGTGTGACTCCAAATTTCCCTGGAAACACTAAAAATGCTCTGTGCGTTCTGTCTGTTTTATGAACACTTTTTAATATCTTTTTTCTTTCTTTCTTCTATTTTTTTTGATTCAGTTAATATAACTAACTATGCCTAATTATATCGGTGCTATTGATCAAGGAACCACTTCCACACGATTCATCATTTTCGATGAGGAAGGCAGACTCGTTACTTCCTATCAACGGAATTTTGAGCAGATCTATCCTCGACCAGGGTAAGGCAACATATCAAGGGATACAACAGATCGTATTTCTTATTTCTTCCTGTACATGGTTTAATTAATGTTTCCCATTTTATACATATTTGTTTTCTTATTCATCAATTACAGCTGGATCGAGCATGATCCAAGAGAATTAATTTCCTGCACCAAGAAGTGTATGGTCGAAGCGATGCGCAAATTTGAATGGATGGGTCATAAAGCACATCATTTAAAAGCCATCGGTATTACCAACCAACGTGAGACCACGATTCTATGGGACAAGGAAACCGGTGAACCTTTGTACAATGCCATTGTGTGGGGAGATACTCGCACGAACAAAATGGTGAAAAAATTGCACAACAAAGAAGGCCGACAGGAAGTTGAGAAAAAGTGCGGGCTACCGATTCACAACTACTTTGCTGCTGTCAAATTAGCGTGGCTGATCAAATATCGCAAAGACGTCAAAAAGGCGATCGATGACAAGCGAGCCCTATTCGGTACAGTCGATTCTTGGCTTATCTGGGTAAGTATTTTTTCATTCTCAGCCCATCGAGAAATCCGTTTTTGTCTGACACATCAAAAAACATCATCAGAATTTGACAGGAGGCATCAACGGTGGTGTGCACGTCACGGATGTCACGAATGCAAGTCGTACGATGCTTATGAATATCCATACATGCAAATGGGATCCTGAGCTTTTAGAGTAAGTAGTTCGCTCCTTCTGTATATAGGTTAGGGCCATTGTGATCTCATGTTGACGTCTACTCAGGTTCTTTGGCCTGCCTGAGTCTATATTGCCGAAAATTGTGTCGTCAGCCGAGCATTATGGTGATATGAAGATCGAAGGCTCACTTAACGGAATACCCATCACCGGATGTCTAGGCGATCAACAAGCTGCCCTTGTCGGACAAAGATGTTTTACCGGTGGTGAAGCAAAGAACACCTACGGTACCGGTGCTTTTCTGCTATTGAATATCGGCACCAAGCCAGCTATCAGCAAACACGGTCTATTGACGAGTATTGGTTACCAGCTAGGCAAAGATCAACCGGTGCATTATGTCATGGAAGGTTCTATCAGTGTGGCAGGATCAGCGATTGAATGGCTGAAAACCAATATGGGTGTGATTGGAGACCCCAGAGAGATGGATACGCTGGCTTCCAAGGTGCAAGACACCGGCGGTGTCATGTTCGTTACCGCCTTTTCGGGCCTGTTTGCTCCCTATTGGCGGGATGATGCCAGAGGCACCATTGTTGGCTTGACCCAGTACACAACCAAACATCATTTGGCAAGAGCTACTCTAGAATCGGTGTGTCTCTCTGTCGGTTCGATTTTGGAAGCTATGAAAAACGAGGGCCACGTCCCGCTTAAAGTGCTCAAAGCAGACGGCGGCATGTCCAAATCTGATACATGTATGCAAATCCAAGCAGACGTACTGGGCATTCCTGTGGGTGAGTTTCTGAAAGATTGACTGATTTGACATTTTAAGATAAAATGTAATGACTGACAATACCATCCTATTTTTCAGAACGACCCGCCATGAGTGAAACCACTGGTTTAGGCGCAGCATTTGCCGCCGGCATTGGTGTTGGCATGTGGAAGGATCTTGAAGCTATTAAAAAGCTCGCTGTGGAAGGTGCCGATCGATTTGAACCTTCCATGAGTGAAAAAGGTAAAGGATCGCAAACAGAATGCCAAAAAAAACAGTGTTTTCTCACATACTTTCTGTAATTAGATCGCAAACTGAAATCATATCAGTGGGAAGAAGCCATCAAACGCAGCTTTGGTTGGACAGATGTATATCACGAAGATGATGATGAAGAATAAACTAGAGAAAAATAGAAAACTATTGTACAGCACACAGCATTATATTATCTATATAAAGGTTATTTCATCAATAAGAATGAAATGCGGGAAAAAGAGGGGCAATGTGGCAAGGAATGATGAGAAAGGGGGGACTTATTGAGCAATATGAACAAGATGATGGTAAAATGTTGTGATTGATGGTGATTTTTTGGGGGAACGGAATATGTGTATGATATTTTTGAGTTTGTTACTTTTTGAGAGATCTCTGCCCGGTTTTGAGATGGGTTAAACGACGATCGTCCACCCGATTAAGAAATGCCACTTTTTCCATGTAACCATCCTTATTGCGATATTTCAAATCGTCGCGAATGCCTTCCCGATCCACATAGTGTTGCCAATCCAGTCGACTCTTGTCCAGAGTATTCATTTTAGGCACCTTGATGTTATACTGTGACACCAAATCCGATAATGTTGACTTGGGCCGTCGAATGGTGTTGGCTGATTTACGAGGCTTTTCCGGTGTTGAACTAAAAAGTGAAACGGCGCAAGTTAAATTTTTTGACAAAAAAATGCAAGCATCTTTTTTTTGACATACGTCTTTTCATGTGTTGGTGCAGGTGCCTGATTAAGGGAAGCAGATATATCATCCAACGGGTGTTTGGTGATATCATCAGTTGGTGTAAGCGGTTCTTTCTTGTTTGACGGTTTCGCGTTCATTTCTTTCCAGATAGCATCGATCCTAGCCTTTTTGTTGACTTTGTCTTCCTCATTCTCAATTCTAACGGAAACGAAAAAGATCACTGTCAGCTTTTTTCTGAATCATGAATGCCATGATTGCCATGTTCGAATGAGCCATACTTTGTCCGTTTGAGAGTGATCGTATCTGTATCTGCTTTGCGTTTAGTGGAAAGATGTGCTGCATCATCGTCTTGAGGAGTATCGACTTCATCCACCTCATCGGCGTCATGTTCACTATCCTCGTCGTTATCGCTGTGCTCCTCCGCTGCTTCTACGCGCTAATGTTAGTGGTTGTTTTTGCTGCTTGTCATTTTTAAGCTTCTCAAGCTTACGATCGGGGATATAGTCAGAATCGTCATCGGAATCTTCGAGATCATTTGGGTGTTCACCGTATGTCCCTTCTTCCAGCAAAAGATTCAGTTTATCGTCAGATGGCATTATAAAAATAAATATAGAAAAAAAAGTAATAAGAGAAACCCAAGCACAGCCAGCAGGAAGCGAAAAAAAAAAAAAGAAAAAAATTTGAATTCAAGAAAAAATTCGGTGAGTTCTGTCTCAGATATTTAAAACTCAATTTTGGGATGTGACTCTTCTCTCTCCGCAACAAAGCCATCCTTTCTATTTCTTCACCTTTTTTTGTTCCCCTTTTTGCCTTTTTAATATACTGACATGGCGAGTCCAATGGCTACTGCAATGGGAGGCAATCCCGGTATTCCCGAAGATCAACAACAAACAATTAAGATGATTCAGGGTCTCATGGAATCCTGTCCTGTAAAAACTGGCATGGCAGGCGGTGCTGGTAAGTTAAACCATGACAAAGTGCTTTTTAAAAGCGCAGTACTGACAGAACATGTGACGTTTGCCTTAGGTTTTGTCATGGGTGGTGCATTTGGTCTATTCATGTCGTCTTTTGAATATGCCGGACCTACTGTCAATGAAGACATTGTGAATCAGTCAACGAAACAGCAACTGAAGCATGCGTTAAAGGATATGGGTTCTCGATCGTGGTCCATGGCCAAGAATTTTGCTGTGGTCGGTGCCATTTATTCCGGCTCAGAATGCTGCATTGAATCCGTAAGTGTTGCAATCAAATAGAAAGTAGTGAAAAGAAATTATGGGGTATTTGAGTTCCGAGAAAGCTTATATTTCCTTCTTTCCAATTTTGCACAGTACCGCGCAAAGAACGATCTGTATAATAGTGCTATAGCAGGTTGCTTCACAGGTGGTGTATTGGCTGCAAAGGCAGGTCCTCAAGCAACCATGTTTGGATGTGCAGGTTTCGCTGCTTTCTCCACTGCCATTGATATGTACATGCGTAGAGATTAGACAACTATAGAAGGGGTGGATACATCTAACGACAAGAGATACCCGGCTACAAACCCACTGCCAATTTCCCACTCTCTTTCGGTCATTCTAGAAAAAAAAACATTTACAGCTTGATGTATAGACATAAAAACACAAATCAGGGGTTCTGACTGCATATTGAAAATCTTTTAATGAATAGAGCACATTTTATTTTAATCCTCCATCCAAAAATGGATCCAAATCAAACTGCATTTTCTATACGTGCAAGCTCTGACTTTCTGTTCTTTTTCTGCTTGCCATCCTGATAATAACTTCGACATTGTTGTTTTCCTTGGACACTGTACAGTACGTACTGTGCTTTTGTTCTTCCATTCGATATTGATGAGCGATTACTACAACTAACAAAGCTATCGTTTTCTACGCTATCTCTTCCATCTGTCAATGCAAGCTAGAAATGAATGAGTAAAGACTATAATTCGACAATCAACTTTTCAGAAACGACTGCGGCGAGGAGAACCATACTTTATTTATGACTCATGCACTTTTTTCCCCGGTTTTGCCAAAATCAGGCACCCGTGTCCGCGTGCCATGTCGGAATTGCAAAAAGCCGGCATCACCAAGGTTTATATGTCGCTCAGGACGACTGCGGCAGGTTTTTCGTTTTCTCACCTGCAACCATGGACTTTGTACAATTTTGCAAGAAGCTACCCAAGATTGAGCTCCATGCTCACATTAACGGAAGCATTAGTCCACAAACTATGAAAGAGCTGGTCAAGCGCAAAAAGGCAACGAAGCCTGAACTGGCTGACTTTTCTATTCCAGAGGGTTTAGAATATATTACAGAGTAAATGGCATTCCTCGCTGTTGATTTTACACTCCATTCTTGACCATGTCGACTGACGGTTCTGTCTATTAGCTTCTTTCCCCTCTTCAAGTTTATATACCAACTGACCGACGACGAGGAGTCTGTGCGTTTGGTGACTCGTCGTACGATTGATGAATTTGCCGAGGACGGTGTACGGTACCTTGAACTGCGCAGTACACCGCGCGCAAATCCCGAAACTGGTACATATCTGTGATGCTGATGCAGGAAATAGTAGCGTGTTTATTAAATGCTTGAAACAATCACTAGGCATGACCAAGGAATCATATGTGGCTTCAGTCTTGTCTGTTGTCAATGAACCACGCCAGAATATCCGGGTAAAATTGATTATCTCGATTGATCGCCGAAACACGCTGGAAGAAGCTCAAGAGGTAGTGGATTTGGCGATTAAGTTCCGAGATCAAGGCATCGTAGGTATTGATCTCTGCGGAGATGTCATGGTGGGCTCCTTTGACAAGTTAAAGCCGGCATTTGAGCGAGCCAAAGCGGAGCATTTCAAAATTACACTGCATTTCAATGAAGTCAAGGAGAACATCCCCGAAGCCCCTAGTATGCTTTCAGTCAATCCTGACAGACTAGGCCATGCTACACTTCTTGATGACGCGTCACGTGAAACGATCTACAAGAATCAGTGCCCTATTGAGGTTTGCATGACATCCAACGTGTTGTGCAAAACTGTTTCTTCTTATGAAGCCCATCACGTAAAAGATTTACTTAAACAAGGCCATCCATTTGTCCTTTGCGTAAGTTCCCAACTACAAATCTGCTAGGGCTTAAGCAGCATGACCGGTGTACGGACCTTTTTCTTCTTTTTCAAAGTCTAATAGATCGCCGTAGACTGACGACAAGGGAGTTTTCTTCTCTGAATTATCCAACGAGTATGCAAAGGCAGGCGTGGCTTTTGACATGACGCGCGAACAATTATTTCAAGCTTCCTTCCAAGCCATTGATGCTATATTTGATGATGACAGGGTGAAGGAAACGCTTAAACAAGACTGGCAAACTTGGCGGAAGCTCAACCAACAAGAATTCAGCGGCTAATACATGGTATGATAAATTTGCCCTTTTAGTAAACTATCCGGTTAATCGAATTTTTGCTCCAAAGGTCGAATGTAGTGTTTTGGGAAATCAACATTCAGCATATAAACGTGATGTCTGATAGTTGAAGTTAAAATATGTTAGCCATTCATTTTTTCTTACCAAACTGCAAAATAAACATGAATTTGGCCCACTTACGTTTCTTGTTCAATGTTTCCTGTCTGCAGGTCGACACGCACCGGTACATGATGGATTCGACTATCAAAGGAAACATGGTAACCTCGCTCAGATAGAACGTCCATAACGATATTTACAAAATGGTTATTTGCCAAAGCTGGATCCTCACTGATGCATGGGGTTCAATTAGTGGGAAAACTTGAGACAGATTTTTCATTTCTTCATTATTTTACTCACGTTCGGATATTCGCATGGCCGCTGATAGAGTGTCGTTGCACTTGAGGTATCACACTCCTGTCGATAAATTGAATTGCTCTCTGTAAAGTCTCAGGTTCGGAATCTTGATAATGTTCAAGACGACTGATGAGGTCCTGTTATTGCGAGAAAAAGCAAAAACAGTCATGAGGGATTTGTTTTCTCCTACATACACTGTAGCGAACACGTACCTGACGGGCATGAATACCAATTTGAGTGGCTACCGGAATATGAGAAATGGCGTCAAAACAGTCTGAATCTAATTCTAACGAAGACTGATATTCGAATTCTTTGAGGATAATTTGCATGACATCCTTGATGGTGCCCGTGGCATTGACAAGATCTATATTCATTGTAAACTATAAATATTCGATGTCACCCACGTTATTCCTCTGAGCTGACTTACGAAATGGAAACATTTTTGAGAGTTTCAACAGTGATCCATAATGAGCCTTGAAGATGGAGTATCGTTCGCGAATCAAGGTTTCATCATTGTCCGTGACACGTTCCTCCCAAAGGACGCCTTGGCCTGTTTTGCGCACTTGCATATTATGCTCTCGAATCATTCGGCCACGGATCAACTGTCGTTGGACAGAAATCTCTTCATCCACATAAAGAACAGCGATGCGGAATACAGGCCGTCTAGCAGAAAAAAAAACCAACAATACCATCATGAGTTGTCGGACAATACGATAAATGACAAGTGTCTGACATACGGGAAATGATCGCGCAATGATGTATCCCAAAATTCACGCCGGAGTTCTGTCATTTTATCATGCAGCATTTTCAAAGCTTCCACTTGGATATCGGTACGAGGAAACCCATCCACGAGCACACCCACTGTAGGATCGCAATCGAGCATCGCATGAAGTAACAGCTCGATCACATAGCGATCAGAAATCATTTGCCCTTGATTGATGAGCTGCTTGCACTCCGGTGTTTGAAGTAATTGAGACACAGAAATAGGTGCGTTGGTGATCCCGCGTGCTCGTAATATCGAAGGCGTATGTGTCCCTTTACCCGATCTGTTCATATTAATAACGATCAAAAAGTTTCTCCATCCATTGATCGCTTTCTCAACTTAAGCCTACCCTGGTGCACCCATCAAAAAGATAAATTCGCGTGGTAAATGAATGTTTTCTCTTCCGTAATGGTCCTCAATATGCTTCCACGCTTGATTAAATATGAGCTTTGCATCTTTGATCTCGCTCACTCTATCATGCCGTAAGCCCTTTTGCGTCGGCATCAAAAGATTTCAGGCACCCATACCTTGATTCCTGATTTTCATTCAGATTCACAGCCGCGCTGCGTGCTGATGTTGTCGCTGTACGAATGACTGGAATGACACTCATGGCGTGAGCGGATGGATAAAATTTGCCTTGCTGCTCGAGCATGGCAACACTTACAACTATGCTGAATTTGGCGGTTGCCATAAGGATAACCGGTGTAACGGATAGCCCTGACCGCAACGGTTGGACTTCCTTTTATAGTGCGAATCGCACCCGGAGTTGGGTTAAAGACCAGGCTGAAAAGATGGCGAAAGGACATTGGATGGGAAGCAAGCAAGTGTTACTGAACAACGAATAAGAAGCCAAAGAGACAAAACGGTTCGAATTCATTAGGAATAAGTTTACACGTGATTGAATCAAAACATTTGCCCCCCTTGTCATTCTGTCACAGCCGCAGATGCTGGGGTAACTGTAACGATGGATACGCTAAAATCCATCCCAGACACTGCATCTTTCATATCACTCAGGCAACATCATCCGTGATTATTCCTGACGTGACCATCATGCTAGCCACATTCAGTGATCATGAGGTAACAGCATATGTGGATGCGATATGCACGTTTTGACTGAGGTTGCAATGTTTGTCTGCTTATATCGGACCACTGCATCAATACTGCTTTCCATTGGTTATTTTAATCTGGCCGTAATGAATCGTGGAAACTATGGACTTTTTGTTGTGTGCGTTGGGGCATTTGCATGTACGGTATTATTAAGGGCGAGTTATCATTCATTTGCTGATAACTGGCTCATTTGCACTTACAATAGCAATAGCAGCATTTGGCGCGTTTCATTATCGATAATCATGATGACAGTCTGCTCTCTTTATCGAAGCGTCAGAAATCAATATTCTGATAATGATTGGCCAGCGTGGGAATCACGGCAAGTCGATCCGGGAAAAAAAAAATTCACCGTCATTGTGAAGTCACGACATCTTTTTTCGGAGAGCGGGCAAAAAATTGCATAATTTAGCCGCCTGGACTGGTAAGCAATATCCAGCCTATGTTCCGTAAAGTAGTGAGAACGTCCTCCAAGGTTCTTTTAGGGACTACTGTACTTGGTGTCGGTGCTTATGGCATAGATTCTCGAACGGAGGCCCAACTTTTACAACGTAATGTTCGCACGTTTTATAATGGCGTTGCATTCGCTCTAGACTACAAACTCAATTTCCGTCCACCACGCCATGCTGGTGACATGGATGCATTCGATGCACTTCATGAACGACTGGCCAATCGTATGTTTGATCTATTTGCTGACAACGGTGGCCTCTATATCAAGATGGGACAAGCCATTGGAACGCAAGCGGCCATGTTGCCTCCAGCATATCAAAAGCGGGCGAGGGAGCTATTTGACTCCGCACCAGCTGTTCCTTTTGAAGTGGTGCAGCGAGTATTTATGGAAGATAATAACGGACTGCATCCAAATGAAGTATTTGCCGAGTTTGATACCAAGCCTATAGCATCGGCTTCCATTGCCCAAGTCCACAAAGCTCGACTGAAGAACGGAGACTGGGTAGCTGTGAAAATCCAGAAACCGGCCATTCAAAAGCAGATGAATTCGGACTTGGCAGCGTTCCGAATTATTCTCAAAGTTTATGAAAAGATCTTTGACCTACCGTTAACCTGGAGTGCCGATTACATAGAGAAACATACCCGCATGGAAGCCGATTTCGAGAGTGAAGCAAGGTAAGATGAGGGTGCATCATCGTATCACCGATCTGGTATGGCGGGAAAGCTCACCCGGAATTTGGCATTCACAGAAACGCGCAAAAAGCATGGCATTTTATGCAGCAGGAAACCAGTTTACGTGATCTCGTGTATATTCCTCGCGTTTATCCGGAATTCAGTACAAAGCGTGTCCTTGTGTGCGAATGGGTTGACGGGATTCAACTGACGGACAGAGACAAAATCAAATCGGCGGGTCTCGACAGTGAGGCGGCCATGAAAATTGCCATCGATGCTTTTGCCAGTCAGATTTTCAAGAGCGGGTTCGTGCATGGTACGTTTGGGAAATGGCAATGCTGGAGGAAATATCACTAGGAGCTCACCACCAGTCTAGGAGATCCGCACCCCGGCAATGTGCTTGTTCGACCGAATCCGAAGAATAAAAGCAAGACACAGGTCGTCATCATTGATCACGGACTGTATATCCAGGAATCCGAAAAGTGGGTATTCTACTTGAATGGCAAGGAACACACGTTACCTAACCTCGTTTTATAGATTCCGCTTAGAATATTGTAAACTGTGGGAAGCGCTTTTCATGCTGGATATGAAGACCATGAATAAAATATGCGAAAGCTGGGTACGTACTGGGAAGACAGGTTGCGACGCGATCGCTAGTCAGTGGATTGATCAATGTTTGATTTTGCATGTGCTCTAGGGTATTCATGACTCGAATATCTTTGCTTCGATCACTCTACAAAAGCCATTCTCGCCAAACAAAGCCGTCCATCTTGGAAAGCAGACTCTGAATGCTCACGACATGTACGAGCTGCAAGTCAACCTCAAGCACCGTATTAAATACTTCTTACAAGATCAAGCATTATTTCCTCGCGAACTTATCTTCATTTCACGCAACATGAATATCGTACGTGCCAACAATAAGGTGTTGGGAAGCCCCGTCAATCGTATCAACGTCATGGCACGCTGGGCGGTGCGAGGCTTATCTGTCCGCAATGATCCTTCAACACACGAAATGGCTAAACTGTCGATTACCCAGTGGATGAGGCTTCATATCCGTGGCACATTTCACACTATCCTTTTCGACTGCAGCTTATTCCTGATGAGTCTGAGTTTCTGGATCGTCAAACTGCGGGAACGAGCTGTCAGCCTGTGGAAAGGTACTGCAAGCAAAGGTTTTGAAGACATCTTGGACGATAAACTGAAAGAGCAGGTAAGAAAAACGCTTTGTAAAGTTTTGGTCTGGTAAACTAATCATCATTTTTACAAACTTTAGATCCAGCGTCAATTTGGCGTTGTGGTGGATGATTCCATATTCGATGCATAGTAAAAATAATAATAGATGCTCCCTCCCCCCGTCTTTATACTATTTTTCTCTTTTTTTTTTGTAAATTATTTTCCAAACTTAAAATACACAAGTATGTACTTTGCGGCTTTATTCGACAAAAGATCATCCACAGCATTAACACCGGTATTATGGAAAAAGGGACGATAGTCTTGATATGTGCCAATCATTATTCCTGGAATCTTTTGGGGTCGCAACAATAATAGTGTCAAGGATGGAAAGTAAAAGCCAGGTATAAACAAAGATGGATCAAGTATATGGCACGGATTTTTGTCAGAAACAGGTTACTCGCAAAGAGGTTATTACGATGACCCTTCGCAGCTGTATCCACTACATTTAAGCTATATGCGTTCCTTCTCATGCTGAAGAGTTCAATTATTGGTGCAACTTGCGCACATTTCTATTTCTTAACATAATCCATTTAACGGATGAACCATTAAATCAAACAAGTTCAGCATAAAAAATGGGTAAATCATGCTATCTTATAGTTGGAAGACTCTTTGCTCACTCAAACTTGGGCTATACTTTCCCAGCCTGAACAACGATATTCAGCTGTAAGCGAAAAAAAAAAAAAATCTGGCAGAAGAAAAAAAAAAGTTTTGTGACTCGGGGCCCCAAAATTTTTTCCCGCAATAAAATGATGGACGCGGTGACAGGAAGTTCTTTCCCTATTTTCTCATCTATAACAAAGTACGTATACTTGGCCCATCCATGTGGCAAAACACATCCATCCATCCACGCACCATTCATCCATTACACTAAACGATGGATGAAGCAAATGCATAGATGGATGGTAATTATTTGGTGCTTTTGAGAGTCAGTTATTAATCCTCTTCCTTTTTTTTTACTTTTGATAGTCGCCATGGGTAAGGAGAAGACTCACGTTAACGTCGTCGTCATTGGTCACGTCGATTCCGGCAAGTCCACCACCACTGGTCACTTGATTTACAAGTGCGGTGGTATTGACAAGCGTACCATTGAAAAGTTCGAGAAGGAAGCCGCCGAACTCGGTAAGGGTTCCTTCAAGTACGCTTGGGTTCTTGACAAGCTCAAGGCTGAACGTGAGCGTGGTATCACCATCGATATCGCCTTGTGGAAGTTCGAAACCCCCAAGTACCACGTTACTGTCATTGATGCCCCCGGCCATCGTGATTTCATCAAGAACATGATTACCGGTACCTCCCAGGCTGATTGCGGTATCTTGATTATTGCTGCCGGTACTGGTGAATTCGAAGCTGGTATCTCCAAGGATGGTCAGACCCGTGAGCACGCTTTGTTGGCTTTCACCCTCGGTGTCCGTCAGCTCATCGTTGCCATCAACAAGATGGATTCCACCAAGTGGTCCGAAGCCCGTTACAACGAAATCGTTAAGGAAGTCTCCGCTTTCATCAAGAAGATCGGTTTCAACCCCAAGGCTGTTCCCTTCGTCCCCATCTCTGGCTGGCACGGTGACAACATGTTGGAAGAATCTACCAACATGCCCTGGTTCAAGGGATGGACCAAGGAAACCAAGGCTGGTTCCAAGACTGGTAAGACCCTTCTTGAAGCCATCGACAACATCGAACCCCCGGTGCGTCCCTCCGACAAGCCCCTCCGTCTTCCCCTCCAGGATGTCTACAAGATTGGTGGTATCGGTACTGTGCCCGTTGGTCGTGTTGAAACTGGTGTTATCAAGGCTGGTATGGTCGTCACTTTCGCCCCTGCCAACGTCACCACTGAAGTCAAGTCCGTCGAAATGCATCACGAACAGCTCGTTGAAGGTGTTCCTGGTGACAACGTTGGTTTCAACGTGAAGAACGTTTCCGTCAAGGATATCCGTCGTGGTAACGTCTGCTCTGACTCCAAGAACGACCCCGCCAAGGAAGCCGGTTCCTTCACCGCCCAGGTTATTGTCTTGAACCACCCTGGTCAGATTGGTGCTGGTTACGCTCCCGTCTTGGATTGCCACACTGCTCACATTGCTTGTAAGTTCGCTGAGCTCCTTGAGAAGATTGACCGTCGTTCCGGCAAGTCCCTCGAAGCTGCTCCCAAGTTCGTCAAGTCTGGTGACTCCGCCATCGTCAAGATGGTTCCCTCCAAGCCCATGTGTGTTGAAGCTTACACTGAATATCCTCCTCTTGGTCGTTTCGCTGTCCGTGACATGCGTCAAACTGTCGCTGTCGGTGTCATCAAGGCCGTTGAGAAGGTTGACAAGACTGGCAAGGTCACCAAGGCCGCTGCCAAGGCTAGCAAGAAATAAGCTATTTCCACTTAGTTTTTGCTAGATGAGACAATTCGGTTACTAGGAACTCATTGCTTTTTTAATCATTGGTCAGAAAAACATCCATGTAACCTAACATTTCAACTCAAAATATAAAAGAAAAAGGCGATTCTTCGACCTTTTTGTATCAATTTCTATATAATCCCCTTTGACATCTCTCATTTCTGTTATATGATGTGTGATTATTGTATCGATCTGGAAAACTCATGTTGAGTAGAATACCTCTCTATTTCCCAGCCATCACGTGGGTAAAAAAAAAAGGTGCACATGATAGATGTTTGAGCGCGTCTCACCAGCTTATCACTGTTCTTGCTGTCTTTTTTAAGAGATCGTTGTTGTTTGATAGATGACAGCCCAGTTGATCGTTGAATGATCCTACGCTCATAGAATGCCATAGCAACGAACCGATTGTTTATGCAAATTAGAAGTGGGAAGCTTGATTGTATTCAGATAGCACGCAATGAAGAGGTACCCCTTCAGCACAAAATCTTCACAAGCCCGTAGTATATTTTCCAGTGAGGGTAAACTAGTCATGCCACGTCCCTCCGAATTATTTCTGGATGCAAACTATCATCAGTGGTCATGGCTGTAACTCTGTGGAAGCATTGTGCATCAGTTGATTTCAGCACAGACCAGCTTACCGCCAGCTAAGAATAAATTCTAACTACAGTCATTTCAAAAAGTAAAGTCGCTGGTTTTGAATTTGATGTCGTGCAAGAAGTTTGTGTGTTCAACAACAATGTCGACTGATCCAAAAATAAAGTCGTGTTCACGTGTCCTGGACCTTGTTTATTTTTACTTGTCGCTTAGTAATTATCCAATAAAATTTCTTGGCATTAATACGGAGTTTAAAAATTACCATTTCGCGGATGTTGCCCGAAGGGGCATTATCTTGTCATGGATAATGCTCCAATCCATAGCTCAACTGACATTGGAAAGTATATTCACTCTCGAGGGTATCGATTTGTCTATCTTCCTCCGTATTCTCCTGAACTGAATCCAATTGAGCAGTTCTGGTCAGTTGTCAAGAGTAAAGTTAAGCGAAATAGGGGTTTCTGGAAAAAGAAAACATTTGATGACTAGGATCAGTGAAGCATGCAATAGTTTATATTTAAGTGACTTCAAAGGATTTGTTTCTCATTCTGCTAAATGTTTTAGCAAGTGTCTCAACAAAGAAAAGTTATAGAGTTTCTATCAGTTTTGGCAACTTGGTGCAAAAAAAAAAAAAAAAAAAAAAAAAAAAAAAAAAAGAGCTCGAGACAAAGAACCCATACACCACGACATAGTCAAAAGCCCAAAATGCAGTGATAAGAATTGGGTAAACAGTAACTTAAGGAACATATAATTCATAAAATATCTAGGCTGCTAAAGCTAAGCTAGCAAAAATGCTTAGGCTGCTACAGCTAGGCTAGCAAAAATTGCTTAGGCTGCTACAGCTAGGCTAGCAAAAATTGCTTAGGCTGCTAAAGCTAGGCTATGTGATATCAAGCACGAAAAAATTATAATAAAACAAAAAAAAACCAAATAATAAGTGATCTGACTAGCTGACTATCAAAGAATAAATCTTCTGCTTTATTCACAATTTGGAACTCTCTCTTTTATACTTTTTCTAATAAATTGTGCAACCTGGTAATTGTTGAAGATGTGTAGCTGATTGGTATCTTGTAAGTACCAATCATCAATACCTTCTTAATTACTAACTCTCTAATGAATATCTTACAATCCATAGAAAGCAATGCCATTATCCCATGTACCTTATTGGATACATTCAAGAATTATAATTATGTAAGATGTGATCTATTATTAATGCTGCGATGACTGGCTACAAGGATTAAAGGTGCCTGAATCGGGGAGCCTGTATACAACAGGCTAGCAAAAATGCTGGCTGGTAAAGCTAGGCTGGTAAAGCTAGGCTAGCAAAAATGCTAGGCTGGTAAAGCTAGGCTAGCAAAAATGCTAGGCTGGTAAAAAAAAAGCTAAGCTAGCAAAAATGCTAGGCTGGTAAAAAAAAGCTAGGCTAGCAAAAATGCTAGGCTGGTAAAAAAAGCTAGGCTAGCAAAAATGCTAGATTGAAAAAAAATGCCGAGCCTAGCAAAATATTCTTGCTGCTAAGACGACCATGCTCATGCACAAGAGAAAGCTGTTACGCATTCGGCCCAAGTGGCATAGATGCCTTTGTCAACTATTCATTTTTTTTATTAAACTAAAAAACTGAGAAAGATGTCAATTGTGTCGTAGCTCCAGGCTGCATTGTCGCTTGCGATTTTTAGATTCGGAAAAAAGCTGATGAATTTTGGCCATGGACAAAGTTGGGGCGTGTCGATTGCTGATGACATTTGGGTGAGCTGCACGAACACAAAGCCGGTCAAATGCATCCAAAACCTTGAGGATCGCGGGTGCCTCGGTGATCAAGGCGGGCAAGTTTTGAATGCTGTCCGGTATCTGGATTTTTGCAATCGAGATCAGGGTATAAAGGCTCTGGGCTGGCAAGGTGAGCACGTAAAAGACAACTGTCCTGCCAATGATTTGGATGCCTAAAATGCCTTCGAAGAGTTGACTATCTAGCGCTTCCTTGCAAAATATGGCAACCTTGATGAGATCTCTGCACAAACCGAAATGGTCACAACCATGTACAGCTGGTTTTGCTTCACCATATGCAAGGCTGCCTGTCCATTTGACACCACATGATCTGGTTACGCAGACATCAGGACGAGATCGAGTCGATTCGTTAGCCTTGGCCTCCAAAGTTCTTTCGTCTGTCCATCGCAGGTACACGCCATTGTCTGGATCATCGAAGAGCCCTGCCAGAAAGGGCTCCGCGAAACGAGAGCAAAGTTCGGATTCATTCATGTTTTCATCCAATGCAAAAAAAGGAAGCTTTGCCACCAAGTTTGCCAACATCTTCGCCATCCGCTTTTCCTTGCCTTGCAGCGACATTGCCTTCAGTTTGATCTCTGCCGCATCACGATCGATATCCTTGTTCAGGAATTGTTCAATGACATTAAGGAAGCTTGTTGTGGTTGTGAGGGGTAGTGGTATGCGCTTGATGTCGAATAACTGCCGGATATGAACATTGGTTGTATGCCAGTCATCATAGTCGAAAAATGGCTTTAATTCGTCAGGATACTTGTTGGAATCTAACAGTAACACTGACGTCGATGCAAGGGCCAGGATCAGATCGTCTTCCAAAGATTGCTTCCACTTGTTGATCACCAATGAAGTCTTCATCTCATGGAAAGCATTCGACACGCTAAAGCCGTTGGCCACCACTAAGTGCTTTCCGAGTGGTTGATCCAGATTCACGCCATCGAGGCAAAGATTTTCGTTATATTGTCGCTTTCGCTCGGTGCTAATGATGGAAGAACTAGAGTTACTGGCACTGGAAGAAACGCTGGAGCGCGAGCTGCATGACTCCCGGCCATGTTGAACTTCCTCGTGTTGCTCTTGAAAGATTTCCTTTTTTTTCCCATTTCAACATGCCAGGACCAACTGTTGTATTCCTTGTTCATCGTTGTTTTAGGTGCAACGATCGAAAGCTCAAGCTATCTTCTGCACAAAGCTTACGGCGTCATTTGACCAGCCATCATCTATTTCAGTTCCCAGTCGCATGGACACCATTCGGCGACACAACAGCAACAGTTATATCTTTGTCCGTGAACCCTCCAGCTCCTCGAACGATCTCAAAATTCGACAGCACTTTGCTTGCCCTTGCTGTGCCGATCATTTCGCTAACTTGTCTCATCTTGAAGCCCACTTCACGATAGACCACCAGCAGTACCTTAATATTGAGTAGACGTGCTTGATATCACATAGCCTAGCTTTTAGCAGCCTAGCATTTTTGCTAGCCTAGCTTTTTAGCAGCCTAGATATTTTATGAATTATATGTTCCTTAAGTTACTATTTACCCAATTCTTATCACTGCATTTTGGCTTTTGACTATGTCGTGGTGTATGGGTTCTTTGTCTCGAGCTCTTTTTTTTTTTTTTTTTTTTTTTTTTTTTTTTGCACCAAGTTGCCAAAACTGATAGAAACTCTATAACTTTTCTTTGTTGAGACACTTGCTAAAACATTTAGCAGAATGAGAAACAAATCCTTTGAAGTCACTTAAATATAAACTATTGCATGCTTCACTGATCCTAGTCATCAATGTTTCTTTTTCCAGAAACCTATTTCGCTTAACTTTACTCTTGACAACTGACCAGAACTGCTCAATTGGGTTCAGTTCAGGAGAATACGGAGGAAGATAGACAAATCGATACCCTCGAGAGCGAATATACTTTCCAATGTCAGTTGAGCTATGGATTGGAGCATTATCCATGACAAGATAATGCCCCTTCATTTGTGGGTACTTGTCCATTTCATCCATTGTTGCCTTTAAAAAACTCAAGTAATGCCCTGTCACTGTTCCTATACTATAACCATCGGCTTCGCGGCCAAGCTTTCTCTTTTTAATGCGCTTTGGAACTCGCAAACTAACATTAATTAAGCCAGTGGCAGATATTGCACCTAAAATCGACGTTGCGTTCGCTTTCGTTGTGGGTACTGTAACTATTGCAGGAGTTCCCTTCTTTGACCAAGTCATACCTCGTTTCAAATTGATATGAAAAGCCGATTCATCAAGAAAGACACAATTTGTTGTAAAATCCATGTCAGTTTGCTGCCACTTTTGTACCCAATCGTACCTTTGTTGAATCTTTTCTTCGCTATTTCTTTCTACAGGCTGAAATTGTGCCTGCTTAATAGATAGATTGCACTTAGTTGTCATGAAGTTATAAACAGTGCTACGAGAAACATTAAGATCTGCAAAACTTTGCATTAAACTTTCTGCTACTTCAGTTACAACCGCAGAAGGATTTTCATCAATGTAATTTAAAAGAAACTGCTTATGCTCCTCTCCAAGAATACGACGCCGACCTGACTTTTTCTTCTTCTCGAAAATGCTTTCAGGGTGCTCGTTATAACGTTTGACCCATCTCTGTGCTGCTCGGATATGAATACCTAATTGTCTCGCAGCAGCAGAAGCATTCAAGCATTTGCTGAAAAATAAATGAAAAAATCTAGTCTTGTCTTCATCAGAGTAATTTGTATAGCATCTTTTATTGCATTGCTCCATATCGACATCATTGTTCCTTTCATCAGTAACTGGATGAATTACAGGATTAGATGGTCTCTCTGGAGGTTTATTCATTAGGAATTGAGTACGACAACTTATTGTTTCGATAGCAAATAGCTCCTCATCAACAACAAGATCCATGGGCTCAACTCCATTCCCATCAACAACATGGCCTTGCCCATCTTCGTAAAGAAATTGCATACTCATTCTGAATGTCTCTAAAAATGTAAATACGAAAAGAAAGCAGCAAAAAGCAAGCTCCCCCCTTTTCATTGCATGGCAACATCCGCGAAATGGTAACTTTTAAACTCCGTATTAATGCCAAGAAATTTTATTGGATAATTACTAAGCGACAAGTAAAAATAAACAAGGTCCAGGACACGTGAACACGACTTTATTTTTGGATCAGTTGACATTGTTGTTGAACACACAAATTTCTTGCACGACATCAAATTCAAAACCAGCGACTTTACTTTTTGAAATGACTGTATTTCTGTCATCAAATGTCACCCGATGTCGCCATTCTGGAAATTCGCTTGAGACGCACTGAAACAATTTAAGAATAATCTCCATCATAAAATCAGATAGGTCGACTTGGTTATTTCGCCCTGCATCTACGTCGATATTAATGATAATAAACCCACGGAACCACGATGCGGTTGCAATAGACCATATTGAAGCGCTTTTAATCCGGTATTTACCTTCAAGTTTGGCAGAATCTGAAACCGTTATTATTCGGCTATCGATCAAACCTCAAGGGATGAATACAGACCAAGAAGGACAATGTGACTTTTCGCGTAAAACAGTGTACACCCTTCTAGAAGGAAACGATATAAAAAGATTCTTGTGTGGACAAGCTTGGTGAAATTCATACGTATCTGTTACCTTTAATCATTGCAACGCATCACACGTGGCGCATACAAAATTGCTCAAATTTCGTTTCCAGCGAAACAATGAGATTGACCGATCTTCAGAAAGCCATGGTTCCCTGATAACATTTCAAACATCTTTGTCGCTAAATATAGCTGTTCACTTGTTGCTGGCATGTGAAGCGAACGAGAGGACACGCTATATCTTTGCACTTTCATAACTCACAAATAGCAAGACATGCCTCAATTAATCTTAAGAAAAGCACGCTCTGATATACAAATGTCTGCATAATATAAGCTTCGAGTAACGCGTTTGTAACAATGCAGTAGACAATAGACCCCAAAGGAAAAACAAAAAAAGAAAGTTGCAACTGTGCAGAAATGCTAAAATCTGTTTATAGTAATTACTTCGTTTTTGGATCGATGAAACGAGATGCCGAGTCGTACAAAATAGTTATGGAAGGGTTACGCGAGGTAAGCAAAGGAAGTTACAAAAATAGCGAGGAAGCATAAGAGTGAGTTCCATTGAGCAGAAGAAGCCAAGTTTTGGTCCTTGAAAATACTGGTATTCCTCGTAGGCTGCGGTCCCACGCTTCCGGAATTGGACGCGGCCGATGAAGCGCTCGGCTGAGGAATTGGTGCAGGACGGATCACCAAAGGAACTGTTACGTTGGTCTGCGATATATTATCCAAGAAGATAGCCTGCAAAGGAAACACATTAGAATCGGGCATCCTGCTTTTGGTTTCCTAAAAGAAAAGCATCATTGCATCCTTACGTTGTAATTGCCTGCCTTCGTGGTGGTAGGGATATTATACTAGATTAGGACGCAAATAAAATAAGAAAAAAGACGCAATTATTCGAATCAATAATGAATTGGTAATTAAGGGTGACCCTTGCGGTGATATTTACTTGCACGAGGACTTACATCATATTGGTGTTCATACACAATGGCGCCACCATCAATGGTCTTTTGAGCACTGAACCCTTGTCCGATTTCGGCCTGAGGAACCATGACAACACTGTTTGTAGCATTGCTGGTTTCAACCAAGGTCATTGATAACTGAAGATCTAGAGAAGTAAGTTAGATACCATGGATGCTCGGTTAGAAACCGGGGAAAAAGTCTGCCTACTGTCGGCGGTTGTGTTCGCGGCAATTTGATAGATAAGAGGAAGCTTCTGGCCGGCGACATAAGGGGCGTTCGGTGTAGGCTGTGTTACATTGTATTGGTAATTAGGGGATTGTAATAATGCTTGCGCGGAGGCCGCGGCCAAGAGCAGGATAAGAGCAGTAGAGTGCATAATTGACGGAACCTTTCAAAGCAAAAAAGAAAAAGGGGGAGGAAAGAAGCTCAAACGAAAACAAAGAAAACAGGGTCGGCCAAAGTTTATTTTACGCTGGTTTTTTTTTGGCTGACAATCCGCCGCAAAAAAAAAAAAAAAATTGTTTGTGTCACCGCGTAGAATAGGTTTCTCTCGTTGACGATGACTGATTGGTGTGCCCCACCATGAGTTGCTTTATTTGACTCTTTTTTCAATCACTTCACCTTTCAACGTCTTTGTCTAAATATACGCGACAGATTTTTTTCTAAAGGTCATACTATTACCGACCCGTAACCTTTTGTGCCTGATAAAGTGACAAGATGGTCGAGATTACCTAACACCGAAAACTAATCGTGACATTCGGCAATTCCCTACACTTTCCGAATGGGGAACCAACAACATCTTGAGCATATTCGCTAGTTATGTTCCGTTATACTGGATGTAATGCAAAATTGCACATTTTTTGACCATGATCGAAAGTTATTTTTTTAATGGGAATTGATGAAGGTTCTATTATTTTGGCAAAGAATATACAGGTATTAAACAAGAAAATGATAAGGATGATGAATTGCTGACAAGATATACATAACAAAATATATGATGAAAAGGGGCAACAACAAGAGATTTACAACTTTTTCTTTGGTAACGGAGCTAACTTGATAAATGCTGAAAGTCCACGAGGCGCCGATAAGAAACGGCAACCCATGGAGTGGATAGCACGGGCAACCGGGCCATGAAAACCGTAGATACAACGCAAAGCGATCCATTGTTGCTTAGGTTTCGGGACTTTGGTGCGTAACGGGAAACCGCTATGGTTACGAAGTGTAGGGGCAATCGCCATGTAAATTTCGAAAGCGGCGCGAATAGCATCTTGAACTTCTTCTGGCAATCCATTGATTCCTCGTTGAGCTTGATCGGTGATTTGATCGGACAAGTCCAAGATACGAAGAGCATATGTTTTCAGTATATGGTCACCGATTTGTTGCGGTTCACGGCTGTGCTTCAGCATACTGTATTCCGTACTGGGGTTGCTCATGTATTGCAGCGGTACATAGCAACGGCCAACGAGGCTGTCGGCAATCACATCGCGAGCAATGTTGATCAATTGAAGACACTGTGATAAAGAAAATAAAAAAACATAATGAGATTCAAGACCGTCGACGATGCAAGTGATGGCAAATTTTAGCTTACCTGGCCTGTAGCTCGGGCTCGGGCAAGGACGGTATTGTCACGAGCGACGGTATCAGCACCATTCCAGTTTCCGCGGCCGGTCTTGTACATGATCACACATGTACAGAGTTCACCAAAGGTACCCGAAATCAGGGCAGCGTATCGGAGTAATTCCTCCTGAGAACGGATTGGTGCGCCGTTAAGATCCATTTCCCATGCATCCGTCAACTCAAACATAGCACGGGGGCATAAGTAGTGAGCAACGCGGGCAAAAGAACGAAAGACAGATAAAACATCCTCGGAAGGCAGGAGTTCTGCATACAGGGTCCAGTTGATATGGTTAGGCAGTGTTGCGTCATTCGCGATGTTGTTCGATGGTTGTTGCTGAACTTTATCGTTGTTGGAGAATGCTTCACGTAAGAATCGACGGATGATCGCCAAGTTTTCTCGGCATTCTTCAGGAGTGGGTGCATCGTCGACTAAATCATCAGCAATACGGAAAAATGCGTATATCAAGCACAGGTCTTGGCGCAAGTTGACTGGAAACAACGCCGCCATCGTTTTCCAGGATCTTGATGCAGGTCCAAGAAGTCGAATTGCGGTTTTAAGGTCATCAATTGGCCCTGCGTTCAAATCGGTCTCCGCAGGCAAGTTAGCAACGAGCTGAATCATGGCAAACCAATATTCATGCGTCAATGGGTTTTGCATCTTGGTTATCCACTTGGTATCACAAGTCACCAAATGAGGATAAGTGTTCATCAAAGCGTCCAGATGATCGAGGACACTGCACGCCATCGCAACGAGGAAACCGTACGCAGTCCAATCAAGGAACGTCCACGTGGACAGCATCTGACTCTCGATAGGAGATCGCTGGCTACTAAGAGTTCCCATGATAGCGACCATCAACGAAGTCGTGACCAAAGATTGGCAACGTCGAAGCAAGTAAGAACCGGAAAGGTACCACAAACCACCCATAATAGGGGCCAAAGTATGCCAAGCTGTTGTCGTTTGACTGTAGCCAAAGAAAGAAAAAAAAAAAGAACCGGAAAATTTTCACGAGGCGCAAAAACGAAGCCAAAAAAGTTAAAAATACGAAAAATTGGGTGGCAAAAAAAATTACAGAGTTTAGGGGTGGATAAAGAAAAAGAAATGATAGAAAAAAAAATTAGGACAATGACCAAATTAGTTTAATTGCATAAGAAATACGTTTGATTGACCTTGTCTCTCTTACCTAACGATACCGAATAACACCAGTGCCATGGAGATACCATGACGAATCAAGATGGATGTGAAACTGTTGGCGCGGGGGTTGACAAACAATATGGCGAAATGCCATCTTGTCAATAAGCCCAGTATAGAAACAGCCATGGCAGCACCCAAAGCAAGTACAGTGGCGTCAATAAACAAATACGACTGGGAATATGATTGTTGTTGTTGATGATTCATTGTTGATTGCACGGGCCGGTAGTGTGAAGACCAGTGTAACCGGTAGTCTGCTGTTACTGTGTTGTTGGCGGTATAGTATTTTTCGTCTGCCAGTGATGATACAGAAAGAATCCATGGTGTGAAAAAAGCGATGGTGCTGAAGACGTAGTATTTAACACGATCCAATCTGGTGATAAAAGGTCGATACAGAACAAATGCTGTCAAGAAGGCAGCAAAAATTGGGATGATAGATGTATACATAAGAAATAAAAAAGAATGAATACAAATGGGTAAAGAGTGGTTCAACCGGTTTGAGAGCTTTATTTTTATAGGAATAAGAACAAAAAAAAGTTCGGAGTCATCCCCGTCCCACCATCGATCTGTCTTCCATGCTCCTTTTTCCCCCCCAAATAAACATCCAAGAAAAAAAACCAGTGTCGCAGTATTTCCCCCTGGAAGTTCATCGGTGGGTAGGCATCTAAAATAGGCAACTGAGAGATAGGAATTACGCGCGTTGAAAACCAACGGAAAAACAAAAGGCAGTTGGCCTATTTTGTCAAGATTTCAATGAAAATGATAACGTGCGTCAAGTTCTTTTCTGAGTAACTGTGCCGCATGTAAACCAAAACAGAGGTTTATGTTTATATGCTGCAGCTCCCCGACTTATCATTGTTATTTGACGTGAGAAAGGCGTTTGGCGATAACATAAATGTAATCCAAAGGAGGAGAAGCTCAGGCGAGCAAAACCTTATGTGTAGCGGTCAAACCTCTCTGCGTAATTTTATGCTATTTTGACCCATCATTATTATCCTCAAACTATGCCGTGAGTTGCAGCGAACCGGTTTTCACGCATTAGGTTCATTTTTGTTCTTAGAATTCGCAGTCATCTTTACTATACCGATGAGATGGGAAAACACAAACCATTGCACTTGCCGTATATATGGCAGACCGATACACAAACTAACCGGTCTATATCTGTCGACATTATCCAAAGACACGATTCGTTGTGAAACCTTTTAATGTAAGCATAAACACAAACATATCTGGCTCGATGAATTCTCAGTTCTGAGTCGACTCTTCACAATCCGACCAACAGTAAAAAAAGAAAAAGAAAAAACTAGACCAACTCCTCGCGGTCGGCCGCATACGTGTGTCAAAACTTCCGCCCATCAGCAGACATGGCCAACTGTCATCAGTACCTGCTTTATTTGCCACTCCGTCTCCCCTTTGACTCCAGCTTTTTCGCCCAAAGAAGGCTAGATGATCTCCTCTCTCCTTTGACATGCCTTTAGGAGAATATCCTGAAGGACACCTTTGTCTTTTGCACTACCTTTACATTGGCCATACATGGAGCGATCCGCACGAGACTTTTTTTTCACAAATTGGCGTTATACAGCGATCTTATTGTACCACTTGGTCCAGGCCGTTAATGGTATTGCAAAAAGAAGGCTGGGACTTGCTGCATCACTGTCATACGTTCTAGAGAACGCTTCCCCATGCTTATTGACAATAAGAGAAAACAGTACGCCATATACAAGGATATAACCGGAATGGATGCATGTGGCAACCACGTCATGCTTCGTTCAAAAATTCCTCTATCTGGTGGAATAGACAAACGTTTTTCCGTGGCCTTTTGTTTGACAATCCGTATTTCGAACTAGATACGATGTATTAAATAAAACACTGATGCTTCACCACACCATGTCTAGAATCCTCATTAGTGAAACCGTGATACATTACGCACAGCACTTCAATCATCCACGGGTGTACGAAGCAGTTGCCTTTTCAATCAAATCTTCAGGATGCTTCACATAATCCACAGGGTCAATTTTTTTTATGGTGGCAAAGCCCTTTGGATAAGAGCGCAAAGCGATGTTGCTGCAAGGGTTGCCCCTATTAAATGAACCTGTTGTCCTGCTTTATTTTTTTTGTTGACGGATAATGATACACTTGACTCGCTTGCCACTAAATCTTAATTGGTGGCAAAATAGTAGCCGTGACCTTACTGTTTTCTTTTCTGTAAAACGTAGCAGAAATGTGAACCAGCTAGCTTAGTAATCTGCGGCAAGACCAATTTTCATTATCATTAAAAACCATGGCATCAGCCAAAACTCAAAATTGAAGCGCAGCAACATAGCGAAGCAATGGATTGATCATTCAATTTACTTGCTCTGTATTGACATGGTGATGTTTTTTTCGCATCAATTTTTAGAAGAAAAACAGAGCACCCTCCTTATCTCCTAGCTCCTATGGACATGGCTCACATGTCCCTTGCCTCCAGGGACAAGTGCACTATCAGCCTCTGTCTGCCGCATGATCCTGTAAATATCGGGGAAAGCGTCGCTGCTAGGATACTCGGTCTGGTCCTATTTCTGATTCCAGTTACTGAGCAATGGCAAAAAAAAACCGGTGTTCCAGATACGATCGATGCACCACAGAGTGGTTACACTATCACAAAACTCTAAACTTTCTCTCTTTTTGTTAACGACTTCGCCATTACGTAGTGGCACGAAAATCCGAGCACTGTCCTCTTTTGTTTAATACAAATGAAGGTTTGATGGGAGAATGTGATTGGCAATCAATTCGAGCAGGTGCCATTCAATTTTGTGTCCTCTTTGAGTTTTCCATTTTTCCACCCCAAGCAGCGAAGAAAAAAGAAGGCACTGTATTATTTTTTATTTTTGGCAACCAGAACAGGAAGACCGCACGGAATATTACAAATAGTGCTTTGTTTTCTCAGTATCTTTAAGCTTACGATGGTCTATTGTCTTTGGCGGTTTAGCTCGCAAACCGGTTTGCCATGCATTGACGGAATTTAATGTACTGTCATATCATTCAATTCTGACAGTATTTGAGTTTATGTTTATGTAACTGTCGATACATGTCTCAAAAACTTCTCATGGTCACCAGATGTAATACTGATCCATAGCTTCCGATTCACGTTCTACATGCGCCCCACTATCATATGATGAGCATTAACTCTTAAATGCCAAGCCCACTCATCGCTAATCGAAAACTGTAAACAGCTTGAAAAGACAGTTGCGTGGATCGGGGCAGCAACCTCATCAAAGTCAAAAAGTTTGGTAGTACGCACTAAAAAAAAAAAAAAAAAAAAAAAACGATCCGTTTAAACATAAGCCATCGATGTGCTTTTGCTCTGTACCATGAGGTAATTGTATGGTGAGAGATTCACACGGGAAATACGTGTGCCTTAAAACCAAAGTGGAGCTTTTCTATGTGTGCCAGTACATTCGTCAACGTGTATTTTAAACTCGCAATGTGAGCAGATTTTAATCTGTTGAAGGGATTGGAGCTGTCGACTACCGCAACGTGAATTGCACCTTCTTATGGAGTCTAGTGGTACTTTACTTAATATTATCCTGTAATATTGGAAAATGGTATATTGCACCTTACACAATCTTCTCCAGGGTCGCCTATGTCGTACCCTTCATTACATTTTGTCCTACAGAGCGAATTTTCGAAGCATTTTGCAATCATTATTTTCCCATTTTATCGTATGAGTCCAAGGTATGGGCGACAAACACGGTGATTATACATCTGCACGTTCTTCCTAATTTTATCCACGTAAAAATCACCGCATTGACTTTAGTTTCTTATCGACTGCACATTCTCCAATAATGCAGTCCATTGCTGCCATCCTGCGTTTTGGACTAGAATTTTTGAATTGGCAGAATAGATACGAAAGTCAAGTTCATTCATCATTTACATTCATCGCCAAAGTTCTCGTACATTATGGCATGCTCGAAGCCCTCTCGCATGTAGAAACCCCCTAATTTTGCATATCTAAGCGATTGGCGCTTCGGCTAACAATACAGATCGCCACAAAGACTGCATATCATACTGCGGAGAAAGAAGAAGTAGCTCCATGTTGCAGCATGATATCATGCACTCATGCAAAAGGTAGTGAAGGAATCCCGATGTGTACCGATTCCATAGTTCTGATGGAATCTTATCTCATAAAGTCCGGCATGTGTTATGCGCATTTATGCAAGTTTTACTGCTTCATACATTGCAGCTAAATACATAATGCGTCGGATTCCGATTTATCGGATAAGCATATGTGTGAGTTTCTAGTCTTCTAACAAATAATTTATGTGCATCATTTATTGCTTAAAAGTCAACTGGGCTACCTAGCGGTCATTTTGTCTGGAAGATCAGATGTATTACATGTTTTTATCTCTTTCACTTTGGCATAGTGAAGCGAAGATCGGAACTTAATGTCGGAACATGGTGCAGATGAGCCATGCTTATTTCGTAATTCGTACGCAGATTGTTTTACCTTTTTGAACACACATGCATCGTGCCTTGGTACTTCTTCTGCTATTCATCGCTTTTTTTATGCATATGCAATCACTGGCGGCGGGATGAGAATTGGAAGACACTGATACCAACATGATGAGTCAATTCGGTTCCCAAACACAGGGAATAGTGCATTGATGCACACAGACAAGTCGAGAATTGGAATATTCTTGACGGGGGGAGGGGGATTAACCGATGAACCCAGAAATTTTTGTGAATCCTCCAATCCTGAATAAGTTTCAAAGACAATTATAGTACGTTATGATCCTACATACTCCGGTGATCCTATTTGGCGCGATGACTCTGGTGAATTATTTGTTTATTATTGTTCTATGGTTTTCGGATAGAGCAATTCTTGATTATAAAGGTGCCATCATGTGGAAAGATATGCGAATCCAACGGTTCATATGATGCTTTCCGACAACCGATAATGATTGCTGTCAGGCAATTGTGAGAAGGAAGTTTACAAACAACGTCATCTTTCTGACGAAATCGCAATGGCAAGCTTCATTCTAATTAAGTACCGAGAATATTGCTACATCGTCATGAGTTCTATCCTTATCCGAGGAAGACTGGTTGAATATCCGTCTACCAAAGTGAGGAATTGCTTAGCATAGTTGCAATGATTTACTCATTGTCAGCATAAGTCATATCCAGTTACTGGGGTTATCCTAAGAACTCGGTAGTACTACTATATATAAAATGATTCGATCCCATACAGCCACATGCATCTCACCATTGGTCCTTCTAATCATTCGTCATGTGCCGTCAAGCGTCGAAAACATAACCGATGCAGCTGTCGAAACAAATTAAATATGTAGATATCGTTCTGTGAGATGCCCGACCACTCATCCTGTAAACTGACTTTAGCCGAAGATTTCCAATGTTATCAGCCGAATGTTAAGCACTGCTATGCACAAATACTCAGCGGTTCCTGAAACGGATGCGTAACCTTGCTGATCCCAATAAAATACGGCGGAGTGAATGCGTACTGCACAGAAGCAAGCCTGCCATTATGTAAAAGGAATATGCTATTTTGGATACGGGGCATTGGTATCCTATGCTGTAGCGACAACAAATATCGTGCCGAGAAGTCTGAGGACTGACTCCGCCCATGCATATTGCTGAACAGAGCACGCGGGAGCAACACCAACAATATCGGACTAGGGGAAGGTTCCCAATGAGGAGCACGACATTCATCATGAGTGAATACAATTACCCAATACTCAAATCCAAGCATTATCGGTGATGCTTTTGAACCAAAAACGAAGGATTGTTATAATAAACAACGTTGTATGAACTGTATTGTAAACATTGCATAGTCGAAGGATCCGTAACTTCCTCATCGGAAAAAGAAAGCAAACCAATCATGCCCTACCCAGCCCAGATGCATCTTAAACTTGCGAGCTACCCCAAAGAGGAATTCTTTTTTCTCTCGATCGGTACCTTTCTATCCGTCTCGATTTTCGATTGGTTCAACCTTGTGGCAACGAATTACGCTTGATCCAATCGTTTCTAAACTCCTTTGGTTTTTTGCGCTGTTTTCCCGCGCCATGATCAACTTTCCGTAGACGTCGTACTACTTGGCTCAGACACAGCCTGTCGTTTACAATTTTTACTAGCTTTCGAATATTGTATCCACCTGCATTGCTTCTTCTTACAAAATGTAAAAAGCAAATCCAGAGAAGACGATCCGAAAAAAAATAAAAAAATCGATCTCCGAACAGCAGCCAAAATAAAACGATCGCAATGGGACTCGAACCCACAATCTCCAGATTCGAAGTCTGGCGCCTTAATCCATTAGGCCATGCGACCTTGCTTTTCAAGGAAATTTTTACAATAATTGTCACAAACTAAATCACGTGACTAAGACGGAGACTTCTGATTGGCTGGAATGCCTGCGCCGATTCTCCTAGCGTCTCTGGGTGACAGAACAGTGGAAATCCGGGACATACAGCGATATTCCTGATGTATGGTCCTACTGGTGTCACTGAGAGATCTTTGTACGTTTTATTGTTGGTCTTTGCGAAGATGGTAAAGGTGAGCGATATGTGTATTTCCTAGGATTTTCCGTGAATACAATATGTAGTTCTGGTCTTGGCTTTTTGTTCACGGATATAGTTTTTGATGCCCAGGGTCATCTAATATACAATATTGGCATTGTGATGCCTACTCGTCCTTCTTGCAAGTTTCTGAACAAGGAGCTTTCATATTTGAGATGATGAATGAACACGTCGCCGCATTGGGCTGAATTTGAAAAAGCGCTTATCAGATGAAAGCGTTGTGTGACTTGTTTGAGATAAAGGCTGCCTGACTGACAAACGTTTGACTCGAACCAAATCATGGATCGTTCGCTACTCATATTATACGGTTCTGAGACGGGATCTGCGCAGGATGTGGCTGAGAATATCGGACGACAAGCTCGCCGACGTCGATTTCGCATAAGAGTGCTTGCGATGGACGATTATGACAAAGTAAATTGACAAAGACACAATGGCACGCCTTTCTCTTATGACTCTCATAACTTATCTTTATTATGTAGTTGCAACTTGTAAACGAAAAGCTAGTGATTTTTGTATGCTCTACGTCTGGCCAAGGCGACGAACCCGCCAATATGAAAGTAAGGTCTATCGCACGATTCATTTCTAATTGTGGCACAGCTAATGGACTGAATTCTTTCCAGAAATTCTGGCGGTTCTTACTCAGAAAGAATCTGCCTCACGATATCCTGAGTCATTTAGACTGTGCTGTATTTGGCTTAGGAGATTCATCGTATCGCAAGTAGGTTGACAAAGGAAGCAAAGAGGATCAGTTCGATCCTTTATATGAGGCGGAAAAAAATTAACTCCTATTTCTTATCAGATTTAATTACCCGTCCAAGAAATTGTACAAGCGACTCACACAATTGGGCGCCAATATGCTTTGTGAGCGAGGCGATGGTGATGATCAGCACTACCAGGGAGTTGATGGAGGGTTAAGTCCTTGGTTAAAGGACCTTTGGCAAAACATTATGAGGAAGTACCCGTTGCCCATGGGTACAGAATTGATACCGGACGATGTATTATATCCTTTTTCACTTTTGTGAAGAGCCGTCTGTGATGATGATTTGCAACATGTTTTTCCTTAACTTGAGCCACACGTTACCACCTTCTGTTCGCATAGAATTTTTATCAGGCGACGGGAAGGACAGAATGGCTTCATTTGTGCAACAACAAAGAGAACCAGGAGAATACGATCTGATTGTCAAACAAAACCAGCGAATAACGGCAGAAGATCATTTTCAAGATGTGCGACACGTTATTCTTTCTGATCCATCCGAGCAGCTTGCGTGAGTATGGCAAACAATGATTGGTGTGGACAATCTCTTACCGTATACCCCAGGTATGAACCAGGAGATGTCGCGGTTATCACACCCAGGAATATTCCCCAAGACGTAGATGCTTTCCTGGAGCTGATGGGATGGACAGAGTATGCCGATCGTCACTTGCAGCTGCATCCTGCTCAAGGTAATTTCAATTGATGAGAACCTGGAAAACTACAGTTAATTTAACGTCTGATGAGTAGACCACCAGATTCCGACTCATTGGCCGTCGGTGATGACTTTTCGCGATCTTTTTGTGAACTGTCTCGACATTTTTGGAGTACCACGACGATCTTTCTTTGAAATGCTGGCATATTTTACCAAAGACGAGAATCACACCGAGAGATTACGCGAATTTAACACTCCAGAAGGATTGGTAAGTTCTTTGCAGTGAAGCAAGTACAACTTGAAAGTTATTGACCATCAAGTTTTGGATTGTATCCCAATGTAGGATGATATGTGGGCTTATTGCCAGCGACCTCGACGAACCATCGCCGAAGTGCTATTTGATTTCAAGCCAGTGGATATCCCTTTCGATTATATGCTTGACCTTTTCCCTCCTCTGCAACCACGTTCGTTCTCAATCGCTTCAAGTCTCAAGGTAATGCGCGGAAAATTACAGGACTAGTTCACTCATATACTAAATATAACCCGTGTTATAGGCTCATCCGAATGAAATTCATCTTTGTGTTGCCATTGTCAAATATAAAACCGTGCTTCGAAGGATTCGTCGTGGTGTTTTGACAAAGTGGTTGTCCAGTTTACAGCCCGAAGATACAATTGAGCGTATACGCATCGCCAAAGGCACCATGAAACTTCCTCCCTCTTCCGACATACCATTGATTGCGATCGGTCCAGGTAAATAGGACTGGAAGGGGGTACGATTATAATGCTGCTGTTTCTAACATGGATGACAGGCACCGGTATTGCGCCCATGCGATCATTTATAGAAGAGCGAATTAAGAATAACGCCAAGGGTAGGTTTTCTGGATGAAAAGAAGGGAAATTATACAGTAAGCTAAAACCAAAATGATAGACAACGTTTTGTTCTTTGGATGTCGCTATAGAGATAAAGATTATCATTACAGGGAAGAATGGGAAAAGTATGTAGCAGATGGATCGCTTACGGTATTTACAGCGTTTTCCCGAGATCAGGTACGATTCAGTAAGCAAAGGTTTGAGATGTTTTCCGTATAACTAACGCGAATTTTGTAGGAGGAAAAACTATATGTCCAGGACCGTATCCGCGAGAATGCATCATTGGTGTGGTATTTGATCGATAAATGTCAAGCCAAAGTGATATTGTCAGGGTAAGTGGTAGATCATTCTGAACTAAAGGAAAAAGGGCAATTTTATTCAATTTCTCTTGTATAGTTCGGCCGATAAAATGCCGAAAGAGGTTGCTTACGCATTCAAACAAGTATTCATGTCGCAAGGGGGACTTGATGCAGCAGCAGCAGAGGAGTATTTTGACAAGATGAGCAAAACAGGACAGTATCAAGAAGAATGTTGGTCATAATAATAGCTATATGAATTTTTGTACAAAAAGATAAATACAAATCATGGAGCCTCTAGAATCGATAACGTGCTCGTCGGGCACAGATGAGAAACTCTTTAGGTTCAGTTGTTGTATCGTGGTACCCCAAGGGACCAATGTCGCAATCGGCACACGATAAGTATTTGACCGGTCCTACTGCTTTTGAGAAGCCGACGTTTTCGAAATCCATCATATTCGTTACTCGCCAAAAGTGAATTTCGTTGGCGTCATCTGCCAAGGGACCGACGTTATCTGGCAGAACATTATCAGGCAAAGATAACTAAAATGTACAAGTTAACGAAATGGTTCTTTGAGTGATTTCAGGGGAAAATATTTTACTTTGCTGCCATCACGTTCGACCCATGTTGCTGTGTTCGCTCTGAAAATCATACAATTGCAGTTGTCCTTTGGGCATAAAATATCTGCTGCGTTTTTTCCCGAATGCACCAGTTCTTCCAAAGGATTCTTTATTGCGTCAAATCGGACTGCCATGATGATGTCTTGACCAAAAAGATGTGCACAGGTGTTGAGACTGCGAGTTTGATAACTCGGTATATTGAGGGCCCGACATTGATTCTCGAATTGCCAGCTCTAAGCTGGAAATAGCAGAAGATTAGCGCTTGCGTGCTGACACTGTCAATGTACTTTTGTTGCAACATTTTGTAGTTTTTTATGAACCCATTTGGAAGTACCTGAGTAGCACACAAATTCGATAAGAACGTTTTTATTGCCAAGTGCAGTACCCTGGCAAATTCTCTGTAATCCCGATAAATTTATTGACTCTAATCTTATTTTCACCTTTCAGTTCATTTTTCTCGGGAATGAAGAAATGATAATAAAATAATTGCAGAGAAACAAAAGCCTTGATTTGATCCTTTATTGGCGCGAGTGAGGTTGGATCTCCTCATATTTCTTTGGCCCTGTAGAATACCTGCGTAATCCTGATGGGAAAATGCGCTGAAACTGACGACTTTGTTCATCAAAGAGAGGCCATATTCATGAGCATGACTTTATTTTTCGATAGAATGTATAATACGAGTTGAAAGGCAGTATAACAAGTCATCGATTACGTCTGTAGCAGAGTTATTTGCAGTTGTGTATCCTGCCAACCGATATATGAACACTTGAATAATGACATCCCGGTCGATCGTACTTCATGCAGCTTTTTCATGCGATGGGCACACACTCTATATCAATTAATAGATATGACATGAAGCGGTGCGAAAAGATACATGGCGTCTTTTTCCTGCTTCATTATTGGACGCTTTTTAATATCGTCTCTTTTTCCATGCCTATAAAATACCACGCATCTTCCATCCATTTCTTATTTTCTCATCATCGCACATCTATTCCTTTTTTTTTTTTTTTCCTTCGCAAAACCATCCATCGCCCCATATATCTTTTATTGCTTGTTCTTATCAAAGTTTGCTCAAATCAACCGATCTTGTACACGTATACTCATAATGTCCACAACTCTGATTCCAACAACGAAACCTCCCCACATATAGTCGCGCTCCAAAAAACTGTTTTTTTTTTTTTTTTTTTTTGGATGCTCCAAACATGAAACTTCTTTGGAAGATAATATGTTGTGCTCAAGTTCCCTTGATCTTTTAACATTATGCCGAATTACTCACTTGCTGTGCGTGCTTCTGTAGCTTAATAGAGGTACGAACAAACCCCACGCCTTGGGAGTGTGCGGTGGCGGCTCCCACCCATGTGGTGACCACAGTTTTTTTTGTAAGTAAAAACAAAGAAGGGTAATCGTGGCTTGCCTAATGCATCCAAATTTTTATGTCTTGTCCTTTGGTTCCCTCTCTTATTTGATTAATTTTAACTTAATTACATTACCTGGCCTTATTAAATTCGGTTTTGTGAAAGGTATCCAGATGTTTACAGTTAAACTTTACTATAAATCGGAGATCATCTTATAATTGCTAGGATGTACGAGAGCGTAATACTTACTATATGTTATTATATGAGGTGATAAACTTACTAACTGTCCGAAGAGAAATGGAACAAGCTTAACAGCTTCACTGCGAGCAGTAGCATTAACTCAATTTGCAAGCTTTTTTTGTCGGCATTACTCGCGCACCCGCAGCATATGGATCAGACTTTTCCAAGACCGACAGAAAAAATGCACCCTCATTGTGTGATTCTCCGCCAATGCTCACTTTGGGTGATGAATATGTCAAGGAACAAAGTGATTAGGAGACAATGACGACACTTTTTTTTCAAGAGTCACAAATTCTGTTGATAATAGCAAAGAAACACCTAATCCGCCCACTTCTTCATACTTTTTCGTATTCTTTGTCGTTATCATGTGGTCCTTTAATCAATCTTTAATCTCTAACTGCGAAAGTTCCACCTGTGAATCCTTCACCACCCGTATTTTCAACACGTTCCAACACGTGACTTTGCCCTCGTGGCTCTCTGCCTCTGTGCCTCTGCCGAACCAGGTGGTTGAACAGGCCAACAATATTCAAGTCTTTCTCCGTTACCGGTAAGTAACAATGGCGCGCACTGTCTGTCTCAATTGAACTCATTGACTTGATTTTTAGTGGTCTCCATGGGGATAATGACGTCTCCCCCGCTACTTTGAAGGCCAACCCGTCTTCTCCTGAAAAAGAGGTCTTATTCGGCAATGAGCAAGAACGCTATACCTTTGATCATGTCTTTGATCAATCTTCCTCCCAAGAATCCATATTTCGCCAAGTGGCTGAACCCATGATTGAACAAATCATGAACGGGTAATAAATCGGACGACCGTGCACTTTATGCGTTTCAGCGGTAACTGATTTTTATCGCACCCTTAGTTATAACTGCGCCGTGATCGCCTGCGGACAAAGCGGTTCTGGCAAATCGTAAGTGATTTAACGGCCTTGATTGGTTGAGACCACATAACCTTATCACACACTATTTTAAACTCCCACGTTTTTCGTCACGGTAGATATACCATGCAAGGAAATATGGAGGAATTTTCCAAAAACTGCCCTGTCGATGCAGGCATGGTGCCTCGAACCCTCTACCGACTCTTTGAAAACTTGCGACTTTGCAAATACGATGCCGCTGTGCAAATTTCCCTTGTCGAGCTCTGCAACAATCGTCTTTGCGATTTGCTCAGCATTCATGACAACCATTCCAATCTGGGGGTCCAACTCGACCCCATTACTTCCGCTGTGACAATCCAGGGGTGCAACGAACCATTAATTCGCTCTGCTGACGAAGGCCTCAGCATTCTTCGTTATGGCATGAAGGTACGAACCATCGGCGCCACGAACTCGCATACAGCTTCAAAGTAAGCAAGGACAACTCAATTGTGTCTCGTTATTTTGTGAAGCAACAATTGATTTCTTTTTTTATTCGTAGCCGTGGCCACTGCTTTTTAACTATTAAAGTCAATATCCGAGACATCGTCGGCGATAAGGCTATCATTCGGAGCGGCAAACTGGCCTTTGTCGACCTTGCTGGTTCCGAACTAAATACCGAAGGCTATCTCAGCCATGTCTTCCAAAGTGAAACTGCTTACGTCAATAAGGGCTTATTGGCCCTTCAAGATGTCATCCAGGAACTGGCCGGCTCCGGATCTACCAACTTATACGGGTACTGTATGCTAGATTAGGTTTTCTAATATATATTTGACGATAGATAACTAACGCTATGTGTATAATTGCTTTGGTTGTTCGTAGATCTAGCATGCTGACATGCTTACTTAAAGATTCATTGGGTGGTCATACCCAGACATGCATTCTGGCTACTGCCTCAACCGCCGAGGCTCACTACAATGACACATTGGCCACTTTAAAAAATGCCACTCTTGCCAGACAAATTGCCAATTACCCGCGTACTAATGCAACTACCTATCACGATTATCATGCCGGCGCTCTAGAAGTGCCTAACGAAAAACCCAATGCAGAAGTAAAGGTAATTAGTTCATTATTTCCAGAGCGCTATTGAATTTGATTACTCATTGCAATTATAGTACAATGAAGAAACGAATCAAGTCAGCATGTCCAAGGAACTGTTCTGTGCTTGGGAACAAGAAATGAAGAAATTGAAAGAATCATGCCAACAAAACGTTGACGAATTGCAAAAATACAGAGAACAAATGTATCAAGAAGGACAACGCGGGAATAACTGCGCCCCTGGTTTTGGAAACCAAATATTGAACGTTACCAAAAAGGAGCCGGAGAAGAAAGCACAGGTGGCCAAGTTGACATTGCAAATTCAACATCAAGGTGAAATGATGGAGCACCAAGCCGTTTATTCCCGGGAGATAATCGCTGCGTTGAGTAGCACTATTCAAGAAAAGGAGGAGCAGATCGCCGCGTTGAATGAAAGGGTGACTAGATATGAGCAGATCATCAAGGAACATGATGATAAAATCACCCGAATCACGGAAAGAAAAGATGGAGAAATCGCGCAGCTGAATGCACAAAACAAAGAAATCATCTTCATCAGCAAAAGAAAGGACGAAGAAATAGCACGACTGAATGAAACGGTGGTGAAATGTGAACAGACTATCGAAGACAAGAACGACGAAATTAAACGCATGTTCAAAGTTCACGGTCAGCGAAGGGCCGTTGTGATTGAAGTCGTTGAGGAACGTGACCGGATGATCGAGGAGGACAAGAAAGAAGTGGAAAACCTAAAACGCACAATTGAATTCAACCAAAGATACCACGACACATACGTGCAAGATCTTGAAGCAGAGATGGAAGCTCAGCAAATATTGCTTCGAATCAAGGATGAAGAGCTTCAAAAGCTGAAGGCGTTCGATTCTAAACACGAGCAACAAGAAAATGATGAGGCTGGTATGATGAAGAGAATCGATCAAGTAGAGAACCAAGTGCCGAGATGCTACACCACGCTTACTACGGTCAATGAAACCAAAAGCCCAGAGCCAGCCAAGGGAATACTTCGGGATGCCAGTAACCAAGCAACGGGCAAGAGGAAGCGAAAGGTTGAGTTCGCCGACAATTTGGTTACCGAATATTCACTTGATCCATTGGCACACGATGAGTCGGAAATCCAAGACGTCAAGGAAGAACCCCCGGACCGATCGTTCAACAAGGAGAATCAACCTCGACGCAAGTAAGGAATTGGTTGTTTGGGTTACAGATAATTAATCACTTTGTACTTTTTCATAGGACGCCTTAAACGACAGAAAAGTTTCATCATGTAATTCCGCAACAGATCGCCACCTTTCAAGTTTCCTAGTCTTCCTTCCTCCTTGCCCCCCCCTTTCTGCCATTGTCGATATTTTTTTTATATGTTTTTATCCATTATTTTTACCCTTCACAGTTTCCGTTTTATCACTTGCTTACGTATAACCCAGCTTATGAAAAAAAGATTTAAACCAGAAAGATTTTTAAAATTGATCAATGATTGCATTATCCACCTTTTTCGTTGTGTCATTGTATCGTAATAGACCAAAGCAAAAAACACTAGGCTTTTCATGGCCGACCGATCCTATGCTGCCATCAATTCGGATCACAGCATTTCGCTTCACGACCGACATGACAATATCGACTGTACTCATAACGATTGGAATGGCATTCAGCACAGCTTCAGAGGCACACTCTTCATTATTACTCAATAAATGGCAAAAACCGTGAATCCCAAACGAAACGGACCAGCAAGTTACAAAGTAAGATGGTCAAGTCGGTGCATGTTGCAAGGATATTCAGCTGAGCTTTGGCTAAAAGACACAGGTATGACAACGACCATGTCGCTTTATAACGAATACTGAATTAAGGCGTAGTGAATAATAAGGAAGATATACTGTGTTAGCTAGTCTTGGGCGAGTTGGCCCACTGTTAATCCACTCAAGCTGAGTGGGACCATAGGCGTATCGCTTCGGATAGCCTCAATAGTGTTTGTATCATTATTTATTTTGAATAACATATTGTCATCGCTTTCAGGCCGTGGATCGAACGGCGGCAAGGTTATGTTGCTCTTCGAAAGCATTCGGACCGCACCTGCCAGACCAATAGCGAATGCAGCTTGCTGGTCGCGATTCCTCGTTGCGTGTCCTCTTCGGACGGCAGGACAATCTGGGTTGATGCATTTGACGGCACCAAGTAGTTGCTTCTTTTTGCCATTGGGTAATGTTTTTGTCGCAAGTTCTGTTTGATGAAAACGAAACACACAGGTCTTGGATGAGCAAAATTCGTTTGTCATTGCAACAGCAGTGTTTCGTGCATGTGCAGTCCGCATCTTCTTTCCTCCTCGCCGTGCGTGACCTCTGATACGTGATCCGACTCCGGTGCCCGCGTTCCCGATGCACATAACCAAGGTATTTGCCGAATCCCCGCTGGTAATTTCTTTAGATGCCAGCATGTCGTAAACTTGCTTGGTCCGCAATGATTGTGTATATGCAACTTTTTTAGACTTATGATTGCGGCAAAAGCCACGCAATGCATCACCTGTATCCATTTGCAACTATAACCAGTGTGACTTCAGTGCATCCACTTGATTCAAGAATCTCTACATACCTTGAAGCTACTCAATGCTTCCTCCTGCGTCCAAGCACTCCAGATCGGGTTTTGGCTTAACAATTTCTCAGCGCTTTTCGATCGAAGAAGACATCTATCTTTTAGGTTAGTCATCTATCCTTTCAGTGTAGCAAAAAAGAAAAAAAAAACAATACCTTCTTCAACTTCTCACGTCTTCTTCGGTGCCTTCTGGAAAACGATACTTCTTCGATATGTTTGGCACTGCTTTTAATTGGTTTCGGAAGCAGCAGTTCAGAATCACTGAGAGCATCTTCTGTTTCGACATCGGCGCAAGATTCGAGGCAAGCATATCTGTTATATAGGCGCAAATGCCTGCTGATGGTCGGCACATTCAATGGCACTGTCACTGACATTGTCTTGAGTCCGTAATCCGTTCCGGAAAAAGTTACGGCATGCTGTAACTAGCTGATATCCATTCGTTGCGCTTCATCCATGCATTGAGGAAAGGCTACTGCAGGCACTGTACACGTTTATTTCCCTCAGTGGGTATTTGCTGGGTTGTATTAGTTCATCAGTCCCTCGATTCAAATGTATAAGATATAACGTACCTGTCGTTGCAATAGATAACGCTTGTTCTTTGCCTTGCGTAAAGTTTTCCTGCATTCCAGAAGAGCATAATTCTCCCTACGAACCGCAGCCTTCTTGCCTTGCCAACTTGTATGATTTTCATCAGAACGGTTATGATAGAATTGGTCCTTCAAAATTCTCATCTCCTTTTGGACCTTTCCTCTGGTTGTCACGATCTGCTTTTGACGTTTTTGCAGGCTGTCGATTGTTTTGCTCAAGGAGTCGATCTGCTTCTTGGTTTCGTCGTTTTGTACCGTCGCGGGAGTGAGTTGTGCTTTCTTACGTTCATGACGTTTGTCGTATCTTGAAATCATGTCATAGCATTGGTGGTTTATTCGTGCTCCTTGTAAAATGGCCACGTGTCCGTTCGTTGAAATGCGGTGTTTGAATGCCAATCCATAGCCTTTGCATATCTTATGGATCTGTCCCAAATCAAATATGGATGCAATGACACCAATGGGATACTTCCGCGCCTCCACCAGGGATTGGATTGGATGGCCGTTTTCCCATGCCTTTTTGCGAGCCAAACAATTCGTAAATGCTAGTTTCGTCAAGGTGTAGCACATGCTCCGCTGAAGGAGAGACTGAGGGATGAATTTGTTTTGTGAATTTGCTGTATCCCGCCAGACGAAGGATCACATTAGAAAGTGTGATAAACGGTAAGAGGAGGACAGGGTGCTTCTGCAGCTTTCCGTTCTTGGGATAATAAGGTGCAAGTTGGTCTGAAATCAATGTAATGAGTCGGTATTCCTCGTTCGTCCAGGAGATAGTTCGCGGTGTGTGCTTGTCAATACGCGATTTTGTGCCAGTTCCGTCAATACTTGATTCCGTAATCAGCTTCTTAACCACCGCCTTTATAGTGTTCAAACGACGACAGATCAGGTCCTTTAGTAAAGTGTTAAATGCAAATTCTGAACTGGACTTCCCTTCTCGTGACTCACCTGATGATCAACGAATGTTATTTGTTGTTCTTCGGTTTGACGGATGTCTATCCCCTCCTCTTCCTCTAATCTTTCTTCTTCGTCGTCTTCTTCCTCAATGAGCTCCAACAGATCTTCTTCATCGACATTTGGCACATCCGATATATACAGCGTTTCGATTTCATCGGTGATATCGCGCATAGTCACCTCCCTGTCTGGCTGAGTACATACAACCGGCGTAACCTGATCAGAGACTTTTCGCTATTCTGAGCTTGCGCTAAACTTTTCATTTCTTGCTTGATTCGCCGTTTCAACGCCTTCTTTGTTGCACGGGGGCATTTTCGTTTATCGTCGACTTTCTGAGTTTCTCTTGGTATTGACTTTCACGGGCTGGAGCCAAATGTATCCGCAATAAAACGCGAACTACTCGATCCAAGATTTTTCCGGGTGCTGCGCGGGACCATAGAGTTTTGACGTTGATAGAATATTCCTTGATTGCAGCATTGATCGTTTGAGAGCAGCCAGGCATATCTGAAAACGATTGCGCCATTTCTGGTAAACTCTTGCACCAATCGAACCAGAGGGAAGGAAAGCCACGGGATTCTGTTTTCGTTGCTGCGGAGCTTATAAACCGCGAATATAAAAACTGCAAATGCCGCGGCGACAGAAGATCATCATGCGCATCAATCTGCTTGTTGCTGCTGCCGTCCGTGACTCTCGCATGCAGTCTATCTTGTAAACCATCAGGTATCGGTGGAATCGGTATTATTTTGAAAGTCCCGAGAAATTCGCTTTGCCATTGAAACGCTGGCGGGAAAAGATGATGAAAATTGAATAAGGCTGGTGGTGTCTGGGTGTTGCCATTTGGCGATTTGCTATAATTCAAGCAAGTGAGATAAGTAAGCATTGATAGTTTGGAGATGATGCCGGTAAGGTGAATTGAAAACTTGCTGATGCTTTGCAAAAAGTTATCGCGGTAGGGAGATCGGAACGAATGACTCGTGAAAGTGGGACAGAGCAAGTACGAATAAGTTGTTTGGATTTTTTCGGATCCGTGACAGGATCGTCCGTCTGCTGATCTTCATTCTCGTTTGCTTCAATTTTACTGCGGACACTGTTGAAAGTATCGTCGAAATGATTCATGACATACTCGCGCCAAAGTGCCATGTAGTCAATCTTTTCTTTGATGAGCGTTCTCATCAATTTCCTTTTCAGCAAGCGCCGTGCACTCTTTGTATACTCCACGGATGAACTCCATTTCTACAGAGCTATTCTGCCTTGTTGACGTACTGCAGTAAGGATACTGTCGAAGAGGAAGGTCTTGCCTGTGCCACCAGGACCGTCGATGAAGAACAATCGGGCTGATGCATTGCTTCCATGCGCGACACTGTGGATGATTGCATCGTATACGGCACGTTGGTTTTCGTTCAAGCGTTCATGACTTTCAGGTGCGTTGGCGGCATCTGCGATAAGATCGTATTGTTCTCTTATGAGTCGAAGCTGAGTGCGGCGTCCCATTCTGTCAATTTCTTGGCGAGCAGGGAGAACAAAACCATCATAGTTGAGCAAAGAACTTGACTGACGGTTGAGATGATCTTCAATGTCAAGCAACGCGCGATCGTACACGGTTTGCGGTGCCTCCACTTGACCGACGTCGCCCGGATTTTGAGTTCTCCAAAATGGATATAGTCTTCTGCCAAATGCTGGCGAAACTGCATCCAAAGCGCAAACGGGTCAGGAGCCTGACATTCATTAACAATGATGGCGAACAGAAATCGAAGAGCACACGGCATTTGATACGTGGGCATGACAATGCCGTCGACTGTTCGAATGTGTTCGAAGCTCTGTGCTCCGGGGACGCTATATAGCAACATTCGAAGGTAGTACTTCTCTACTTGACGCGGTGAAACAGCGTAGACGCGCCCGATTGTGTTACCAAATCCACGTTGGCGAGGTTCCCATCTATGGGATCTGGGATGGTAGACGTATCGTTCTGGAAAATCGGGATACAGAAGAGTACGTGCGTGAGGATCAAGTCGGTTTCGCGCAAACCACGCAGTCAATGTGGTTTCGTGCTGACGATCTGCAACGATCTGCGGGTTTTCGTCCTCCCGGAACTGCACAACCTGCTCGTTTTCAAGGTGGATAGCGAGGCGTTGTGTGCTCGGATACTCACGATGCATTGTGAACGACAGCAACCGGTGAACGGCCTCGGCAGCGGATACATACCGGGCATCAATGAAGCGAGTGATCTCATCGACTTGCCCTTGGACGTTTCTGTCATTGTCGACACGATACATTGCTGCTGCAGCTCGATCATGGCCTTTGTATACATATTTGTATAAGTATTTGACACTTTCCAAGGAAGTACAAATTTCGGCATTGATGTGAGCGTTGTATTTCGCACATAGAAATCTATTATGCGGCACGACCCATCTGTTGTCCAACTGAACATTGTTTTTGAGAACGACATCTCCATTATTGCGGCGACCGTAAAGAGGGTAGCCCCTGGGATCTTCGATGGTAGCGTCGTTAAAGGAGCGCGGGTAGCACTTTTTATATGAGCCGTTTTCCATGCAGGGAGACCTCGGATGCGTTGTTCCACACGGACCGTGCATCATACATCTGCTGACGGTGTCGTAGAGATCAGGAAATCTCTCTCTGTCCGGAAGTTCGGCACACACGATACGATCATAGTCATCAAGTGTTCTCGGCTTATCGTCTGGATGTAGCACCAAAAGTAAATGAAGATGCGGTAAGCCTCGCTTCTGAAACTCCACCGTGTGTACATGGGCAACGACTCTTCCCAAAACATGGCTCTTCGTTAGATCTTCCATCAGAGCTTTACGCTTCATATTGAAAACTCGCGCACAAAGATCGGGCCGATCAACAACGGTTTGGAGAGGAGCCAGCTCGTCCTGTATTTCCTTCCACTGAGGATTGCAAGTGAAAGTGATGAATAGATCGGGATGCCCGCATCGACGTACGATGTTCATGGAATCATGGTAAAGCTGGCGCATGTGCCTGGGGCTGCCAATGAAAGTGGACGGCAAGATCACCCGTTGCCCGACGCTCTGAAGCTCATTGTCACCCAGCTCTACTGCATCTACGACACCTCGATACAGATCTGTTCGCAGATTCGTCTGGTTGAGCCGTAGGTATGTCAGCCGATTCTGCTCCATTTTTTGCATACATGTCCACTATGTACTGCTGGAACAGGCGTCCGAACAAGTAGAGATCATGGCCGTTATCGCGTACCATGAGACGATAGCTGTACCACTGCATCACTGTAATGGTTCGACCGTTCGGGGAGCGTATTCCAACCGAGGTCACCATGTAGAAACATCAAGACGTACTGGAGAGCATCATAGTGCTGATTCATCTCGCTGATATGTTGTAACCCCCAAACATTTTAATAAGGTTGAGAAAAGTAAAATAATACAGTAAAAAAATGTCTAGTCGACACCCTCCGTCACTCCCGTTCGGGCTACCATAGATCTAGACCGGTTCGTTGGATATTTAATGCATCAGTAAGAGCTTTCGTATTCGAAAGTCCGTTCAAGATCTTGATGTCTGACTCCTCAATAATCATTGATAGTTCAATACGCCAAAGCAACAAAAGGTTGGCGAACATCATGTAGTCTTTTCTCGATAGAAAAGAGATCGTCTCGCTTACTCGATGATCAGTTTGACCAGAAGCACAAGCGCGCGACTTAAATTCCCCTCGAAAAATTTATGACGAGTGATAAAGACCGTGTGGGTGCCCAGTTGCTCAAGATCGCGAAGAAAATGGAGCAATTCAGATATATAGTATATAACAGCTTGGAAGTCTCTGCAAAGCAGATCCATGGAAAGACCTATCGAATCTATACTAGAAAGGATCGACGCTGTTATCAAGACTCAGGGTGGCAGTACCCGATGGTGATCATTTTTCCTTGGCGATGGCTCATCTGTCATCCAAATTTTTTTTTTTTTTTTTTTTTTTTTTTTTTTTTTTTTTTTGGTAATAGAATCGGTATAACCTGATCATAGTTGGATTTGACTTGGTGTGCATAGCATGGTTTGTTTAGGTCACTCGAAGAAGTATGGGAAAGTAAAGAAAGTGATAAAAAACTGGCGCAAATAGAAACAGCCTATTTTTTTTTTTTTCATTGTCCTGGTGATTTTTAGTGCTACAATTCTACGTTTTGCTGATATATGTAGAAGTTTCTTTCGAAGCCAAGTCATATATTCCAAACGGGGATTCTGCTATCGCGACAGGAAGGTTGTCAGTGCATTTTGCGAAGAGTGTGTCTAGAATGAAACCTGAATTGGGACTGAAATAGCTCTTCAAAAGATTGCGCTCTTTTTTTTTGACGTCACTGACCCGGAACTTTTTTGTTTCTGACTTTGTATTTTTTTTCGTTCTGTGTTCCCAGCCAAAAAAAAAATTGTTGCCCTGGACATTTTCGGATTCTCCGTTTTTCTCTTTTTTGTCTGAAACTTTTAACTGTTCTTTCCTCTCTTGTTTTTATTGTTGAAGAATAGTATTTATTATGTCATCTGTAGAAGTACAAGAACCTGTCATCAATAATGACACAGTCCAGGAGCTCCCTGCCGTGTCCGAACCTGCTGTTCAAGAGGTTTCCACGCGTGAAGAGCACGTTCCGTTGAGCGATGTGATCCAAAGCGCTATCGATACGGCCATCGCTTCCGGCAGCCTCAATGTTCACGACATTATTCAAACCATTTCTGCGCCCACTACACTGGAGAAAGTGGAAGAGACACCCGTGACAGCACCTTTATCTGAGGATAAACAAGCGGAGCCCGCCGAAGAAGTCGCACCTGCAGCCGAAGAAGCATCGGAAACAGTTGTTGAGGAAACAAAGACTGAAGAACCAGTTCAGGAAGTATCCGAGTCTGAAGAAAAGGAACAATCAGAGAGTGAACAGGAAACACTTCCCGCTGAAGTTAGCCAGCCTATTGAATCAGAGGTTCAGGAAGGGGCCTTGGAAGAGGCCTTGGAAGAGACTCAGGATGAGACTCAGGCTCGTGAAGTTGAGCAAGAGAACAATGAGCCCACCATGCTCGTCGTTGATGCTGCCGTTCCCGTCAAGGATATTGATAACCTTCAAGAAGCACAAGCCGCTGCCCCGATTGAATCATCCGAAAACAAGATTGACGAATCTACACCTGCCGATGAAGATACAAAGGAGTTGTCGGATGCTGTTAAACATGCCATTGCCAGTGCTGTCTCCGCTTCAGCCATCGATATTGATGCCATTGTTGGCGACATTGTTCGTGCCAAGGAAGCCGCCGCTGCTGAACGCGAAATTCAATCACAGCAGCAGTCCGAGGAAATTAAGCCTGCGGAAGAGACTTTGGTGGCTGCAACTGAAGAACCAGTTCAAGAGGAATCGGCTGAACAGAAGGAAGAGACGGAGCAAACTGAGGCCGAAAAGGAGGAGGAACCCGTAGAACAGGAAGAGTCCAAGGAAGAGACCGAAGAGGCCGAACCTGCCGCGGAGGAAGAGCCCGTCCAGGAGCAACAAGGTGAACAACAACAAGAACAAACCGAGGAACCTATTGCAGAGGTAAAGGAGGAACAATCCCAGGAAAGCGAGTCCGTGTTGAGTGAGTCGGTTCAGCATGCGATTGCTACTGCTACTGCTGCCGCTGCTATCGATATGGATGCGATCTTGAGCTCTCTCGCTGCGCCCAAGGAAACCGAAGATGAAAAGGTCAAGGAAGTGAAGCAAATCGATGCTGCTGTGGAATCTACGATCCTCGAACCTGCTGTTGAAGAACCATCCACTGAATCTTTGGTCGAGGAGCGAAATGCACCTGAGGAACCAAAGTCGGTTGAAAATCTTCGTGAAGAAACGGAAGCTCCCACGGAGGCAGCTGAGGTTGAACCTATCCAAGAAGCCGCCTCCGAACACATTCCCAGCAAGGAAGAGGAAGTGAGAGAGGATGTGATTGCTGCCAACGAAGCAACCGGCGTGGAGAAGGAGATCCCCGCAACACCTGTTGAGGAGACCGAAGCTCGCGACGTCGCTCCGCCTGCCTTGGTCGAAGAGATCAACGCTGCTGATGAGCCAAAGGATACTGAAGCCATCAAGGAAGAAGTCATTGCGCCTACTGTGGTTACGGATGTGGAACCTGTGTCGGAACTTGGAGTTGAAGAACCAAGCAAGGAAGATACCAGCAAACCCACACTTATCGAAGAAACCGATGTAGCTGAACAGATCAAATCTGTAGATGAATTGAAAGAAGAAGTGGTTGCCCCTGTTGAAGTGTCTGAGGTCGAACTTCATGCCGAAGTTCCCGCAGATGAGGTGTCTGAAACAGCTGCCGTCGGAGAAGTACCTTTGATCAATACTGTGCCTGAATTTGCTGCTGAAAAGGAGAACAATGAGCCAGTCGAAATTGTCAAGTCTGAGACTTCCAACGCTCCCTTAGCCGCTGAAGCAACCGAGATCTACGAGGAACCTGCTCAACATGCCGCTGAGGAGTTGGTTGCCAAGGCCGATACTCAAGTGGAAGCTCATCCTGAAGAGCCTGTTACTGTCGAACAATTCAAGCCTACCGATGCAGTTGCGGTTGAATCCGAAGCACCTACACAGACCGAGTCGAGCAAGAACGAAGAACCCGCATTGCCTCAAGCCGATGAGGTGGTCCGTCAAGCCAACGAAGCAGTGGAGACTCAGCCTACCGAACCTGTTGAAGTTGCTCAACGCCAAGTGCCTGCTGAACAGCCCGCCGTTGAAGCTCCATCTACCGAAGCACCCGCTATTCAAAAGCCTGAACCTGTGGTACCTGTTCCCATGGCTGCCAGTGATGTGAACCCTCATCCACCTGCATCGCACCAGGATAAGCAGTTGCCTTCTATCCCTGCTACTGAAGAACAGCTCCAGCAGCCTCAGCAACCCCAGCAGCAAGAACCCGTAGCACAACCTGTCAAGACCCAGGAAGAACCTCAACCTGAGCCTGCAACCCAAAAGAGCCGATGCGCCATCATGTAAAGAAAAAAAGAGAAAAATTAGTATGTGTCAAAACGTAAAAAAATACCAAGGATTTTATAATACCATCCTTTTCGATAAAACTAGGTAGTCTATTGTAAGTTGTTCTTTATCCATAGTCATTTTTAATTTGTAAAAGGCGTCTATTGAGATGTACAAATCTTTGTATTTTATTGAATGCAGTAAGATGGATAAAGATTTCTTATCTGTGGGAATCCTCGTCCGATGTATCGATGATGACTTCATCTGGGTTTTTGGGCGTCTTGTAATTGAAAGGATTGAGTCTCGTACTTACGAAAAAGGTGATGAAAGCAATGCAAGCGAGTACAGTCCAGCTGATGTGTGCTCGAATCATTAAAGGAAGCCATTGCATCCGTAAAGCACTATAAAACCATTTAGTATTCCCCTTCTATTGGCTAAAACTGGATGAATTGGCGGCTACGTACGTTGACCAAACAAAACCTGACGACGCTGATCCGGTGGCTCGCATGGCACTAGCGACCGCTGTATAGGGAAATAATGCTTTAATGTCTTGTGGAAATGGTTACGTGGGAGTTATCACTTACATTGAGAAAATCCATTAATCGTGCCCAAAGCATCCGCTCGGGGTGCAGCGTTGCTGGTTAACATAATGCCGCTTGTATAGGCTACTGTTTGACACAATGTCTTGAGCGCAATACCGACGAATAAGCCAATACGTACCCAGAATTTGGAGCCCGAGCCACCGGAGAAATCCGGCACGTCATACAGCAAGCGAATAAACCCGTGAGTGAAAAAGACCAATATACTTAAGAACAGAACTCTTCTGAATAAATTCAAGCAGCCAAAGTAGCGTGTAAGGTGATGGAAGAGAAAGATTTGCACGAATAGCGTAACACATCCACCAAATGATAAGGCGGTACCGATTTCGGCCGAAGTCAAGCCTAATCCACCCAAATGTCTCCGACTTGCAGACCAAATGCTGACAAGATCTAAAGCACAGATTAACCTCAGCTCTTCAAAGCCACAGTTGCTTTCTATATTCTTACCATCATAAAACACGTTTTGATAGGAAACCAAGGCGTAATTGAAACAGATGAGCAATACAGGGCGTGTCAATGCTTCTTTGAGCGACAAACGAGGCGGGTTGACTGAAACCGTATTGTTGGCTCCCTGAGAAGCATCGAACGTAGAATAACTTGAATCCACATCTGCAAGTAAAGGAGCTTCACTTGGGTCTGTTTTTGCTCGCTTGGTAGCCAGCGTCTCTTGTAAGAATAAGAATCCAGCTATCCACAGAGCGGATGATAAGCCTGAAGCCACAATGCAAGGTAACAAGTAAGGATAGGTGGTAAACAGATCGGTAAGATAGCTCCCCTCATTAAAAAGATAAGGATACTTTTGAACCGGTTGAGATAGGTAACCTAATCACGCAAAATACGGAGCCATGATGAATTGCTTCGCTCCATACTAAAAATGAAAAAAAAAAAAGCTATCGCATGTCTATCCTTACCGCCTAAAGCCGAGCCGACTATACTGCCTATCCCGAAAACGACCTGAAGCATCGAAAATGCTCTTGCTCTACGCATTTCAGAATAGCCTGTCGTCAATTCCGAGAGCATACTTTTCATCACTCCGATATTGCCATTCTAATACCGCCAATGAGCATTCTTTCCGATAAAATGTTGCAATTGCAGTTGGGAAATACTTACAAGAAGACCACTGAATAACTTCGTCAACAAAGCCCAACGATAAGACTTTGATAGGCCAAATAACAGTTCGGTGATAATCGTGCTTGCAAGGCCCATAAGAATGACCGGTCGACGACCAATCCGATCGGAAAGCATCCCCCACGGCATACCTGAATAGCTATTTGTTCATATAGTGCACATTGCATAGATAATGTGAATATTTGAGATTCTGACGAACCTGTAGCCAATTGGGCTATGGAAAATGCGGATGCGATCAAGCCTACGTAATAGCCGACATGTGTTTCATCCGTGAAATGGAAATCCCTGATCATCTATTACGATAGTTTAGTAAAACTATGCAATTTGGCGGTTTGATTATTCGATATGGAACCAGCCTACGAAATAAATGAATGGTATATGAAGACTAAAGCTAACAGGTTCCTAGAGAGCCGTGCGTGAGATTTCGAGATCCGTTTTGACATGGTGAAGGTGGACATTACTGCAAATCGGCACCCACAAATCAGAAAAAGCTGCAACTTTGGCAGACGTTTTTCTGAGGGATCCATATTTCAACGTAGGGATGTATCACAAATTGAAAGAAAGGGGGGAGGTAGAGGATGGTTGGAATTAGAAACCATGAATTTGAAGCTTAAATTGAGATCCAGCAGAAAACCGGAAGCCGGTTTCCATATGTTTGGTTCATCCAGTCTGGGTCATGGGAGTACAAATATCCAAATAAGTAATGTAGAGTTTCGTGAATCCGCTCCACCCTTGTTTTCATTTTTTGCATGCATAAACCATTTGAATCACGGATAGAACTCGAGAATTTAAGATTCTGCTAGATCTAACCGTACTCTTTACCCCTCTCATCCCCCCATTTTCCATTTTCCTTTTTTTTTTTTTTTTGCATATATTATTCAATCAAAAAATGACAACGGAGGAAGATACAACCGTGTCTTCTATGCGTTCAGCACTCCGCCGTTACGCTGTCTGGTTGCTGATTCCTGTCATTGTAGCATTCTGCTACAATGCAGGACCGCCATCTGTATTTCAGGCCATGGATCGCCAAGTGTTACCTACCAATGTCAAACCAACTCATTACGATCTTACGCTGTCGCCTGACTTGCAGGCCTTTGTATTTCAAGGACGAGTCAAAGTAGAGTATGTTTAGTGCAACTTCTTTCCCTGGAAAAATCCAGTAACATGTGGCGGTTGATCCATTTAGTCTTGACGTGGTCGAACCAACCACATCCCTTACTTTGAATGCGCAAGACATCAATATCCAATCAGCAAGTTTATACAAAGATCAAAAGTATGGCAGCTCAATTTGCTCATATGACACAGAAAGAAGCTGCATATAGATTGTCTAACATACATGTTGATCTTTCTTTTTCAGTTCTCAGAACGCCACCAACATCACTTACAACTCAGATAAGCATGAGGCAACATTGACCTTTGCCGACACTATACCAGCTTCTGCCAAAGTCACTTTGGATCTAGTCTTTGACGGTGTGCTTAACGATCAAATGGCTGGATTCTACCGTTCCTCCTATAAGGATGCAAACGGAACCACACAGTAAGTTATAAAATGGAAAAATGCTGGTCATGTGCAAGATGATCAATATTTACCATTGTGTAACAAGATACCTGGCAACGACGCAGTTTGAAGCAACCGACGCTCGCCGAGCTTTCCCATGCTGGGATGAGGTAATATTACGCCATCAATCAAAATTTGCTCCCAGGCCTTCCGACTAAGCATACGCTCTCTTCATGATTAGCCTTCTTTGAAAGCAACGTTTGATATCACGTTGATTGTGCCCTCTGATCTGACGGCGCTTTCAAACATGGAGGTAGCCTCAGAGGCACCGTTCGATGACCATCGTAAACAAGTGAAATATGCAACCACTCCCCGTATGAGCACATACCTTGTCGCGTTCATAGTCGGTCCCTTTGAGTATATCGAAGCCTATACTACGGGAGAATTCAATAATCATCCTATTCGAACACGCGTATATGCATTACCTGGAAGTGTTGAACAAGGAAGACACGCTCTGAATGTCAGTATCCATGCTTTGGAATACTATGCTCAGATATTCGGCGAACCTTATCCCTTGAGGAAAATGGATCTAGTAGCCATTCCGGATTTTGAGGCAGGTGCAATGGAGAATTGGGGTAAGTCTTTTCGTTCATGCCTGTAATTGTCCCCTGTCATATTCACTTTTTTTTTCTTTTTTTTTTTTTTTTGGTTTAGGCCTTGTCACATTCAGGACTTCATCTGTAAGCATATCCGAGTCAGGAGTATTTAAACCGAAATTTATATTTTGCCATCTATCTCTTTAGTTGCTGTATGACGAGCATGCGTCTTCCTTGGACACAAAGAAGGATACGGCTTACACAGTGAGCCATGAGCTTGCCCATCAGTGGTTTGGGAATCTGGTTAGTGTTGCATTATGCTTAGTTTGGTGCATAACCTCATTTAAATTGCTGGATTTACTAGGTGACCATGGCATGGTGGGATCACTTGTGGCTTAATGAAGGATTTGCCACCTGGGTTGGATGGTTGGCAGTCGACAAGTTGTTCCCAGAATGGAATGTTTGGACATCTTTTGTGGTCGAAGATATGCAAAAGGGCTTACAGTTGGATGCTTTACGGTCATCGCATCCTATTGAAGTGGTTGTCAACGATCCATCTGAAATCCATCAAATCTTTGACTCCATCTCCTACAGTAAGGGGGCCAGTGTCATCCGTATGTTGAGTTCATGGCTTGGCGTAGACACTTTCCTGGCTGGTGTGCGGCGATACGTGCAATTACACAAGTACGACAATGCTTCCACGGATGATTTGTGGGCAGCCTTGGGCGAAGTAGCTGGCGTCAACGTATCCGCTGTCATGACCATGTGGACAGCACAAGTTGGCGTAAGGATATCATTTCATAACTTGTTGCGGCTCAATCCTTATTCTTGATTTTTTTCTTTAGTTTCCTGTGCTAATCGTTGGTGATGGAGCCAAGCGAGACAATGTACGTTTATCGCAGAGACGCTATCTCTTGAATGGAGTACCTACACCAGAGGAAGATACGTAAGTTGTTAAGCGGAGATTTACACTGTAGTCGGAATTGAGCAGTGTTTAACACATTATGGCAGCACGACATGGAGCATTCCCTTGAACGTTCAAGTAGCAAACGGCGACATGGTATCCCGTCTCTTCAATGAGAAGAGCGGGTATTTGGACATACCGTCAACATCTTTGTTTAAGCTCAACAGCGGACAAACCGGGTTCTATCGCACAGCATATCCTTCAGAGATGATAAGCTTATTTGTGGACGACTTGTCGAAAGGAAGTAATGGCGTGCTTTTAACGGACGCAAGGGATCGAGCGGGACTATTGGCTGATGCTGGTAACCTTTGTGTGAGTGGCGAACAATCAACCACCGTTTTTCTGGATCTAGCAAACGCTCTTGCCAGCGAGTCAGACCCTTTGTAAGTCACGATACGCAAGACCTTGTTTAGCAGCTTTAACTAACAGAAAATTACCTTTTATAGTGTATGGCAAGAATTAAGTGTGCATCTGAACAATATTATCGCCACATGGAGCGATGAACCGGATGAGGTCAAAAACCAGTTACAATCGTTCCGCCGACGACTTTTCGCGGCCGTTGCGGATAAGGTTGGATGGGATTACAGTCCGCAAGACGGTTACTCTCAGATCATACTACGCACGCTTGCCATCTCGATGGCAGGCCGGTCCGGCGATCCAAAAGCAGTTGCCCAAGCGCGCGAGAAATTAGCAAAGGCTGTCGAGGAGCATGATTGGGCCATCCTGAATGCCAACATTTTTTCAAGTATTCTCAATACTGTACTATTGGCGGCTGATACGGGAGAAGAAGAAACAAGAGTATGGGAAATAATTCATAACATTTACCTCAACGAAAGTCTACCGTCGGATCAGCGCAAGGAAACCCTGAAAATACTGGGCAAAGCGAAAAGTAGAACACTGCAACAGCGATACCTCAATATGGCATTTGACGAGAATCAAATACGTCCGCAAGATACGGCCTACGTTTTTACTGCGTAAGTAGTAATTATTTAAATTACGAGTAACAGCTTTTTACTAATGACATAAAAATATCAGCCTTGGCGGTAACCCATATGGCCGTGATTACCTGTGGGAGTATTTCACAACAAATTACGACCAATTACACACTCGGTTTGCACAATCAATGAGCTTATTTAGCAACCTTGTAAAAGCAACTGTCAGCAGCTTTACATCGTTAGAGAAACTGAACGAAGCTGAAGCTTTCTTTGCTAACAAAGATACCCGAGAATACGACAGGGCACTCCGTCAAACCTTGGAATCGAGCAAGGGCAAAGCTCAATGGCTGATCAGAGACCGAGATCAAGTAGCGGCTTGGTTAAAAGATCACGCCTCAACCAGCACCAGTATAAAAGAGCCGAATAAATAAAACAAAATGTCTTTCCATTTCATGATAATGGGCGGAGCCATTTCTTCACATTTACTACGCTCTGACAACATATATCCAAGGACAACGTTAATGTATATTCAATAGCAATCGGATGGAGAAACTGTAATAAAATAAAGATAAGAAAAGCGCGCTATAAAAGACAGAAGATCAAGAAAATTTCGGCCTTGTTGCTGGTTACTCCTTGCAATGTGGCCGAGCCATAATTGGAAAGAGCGGAGAGCCAAAAGCATATAATGTGGAAAGAAAGTGGTTGCCAACGACCACCATTTCACCATAAACATCTACAATAATGAGCAATTCCACATTTTACGACTGGCGATCTTTACAAGAAGAGTGGATCCATCATTACCAAGCGTTAGACCCTTCAGCGGGTACTCTCATCAGAAATTTCTTTGAACCTGCCTCCTTCTTCGCAGAGAACACATTCACATCCAGCATTCCGCTATGTATTGGTAAGTGTCTCCCATTTTTCAACGTGACCGACTTTGACAAACTCGAAATGGCTGATAATCGTTTTAGGCACAAGTACACAGACAGAGCGCACAGCAATCATTATATCCGCCGATGTATGCGAGCGATTACGACGACTGGTCGGCTCCACAATCCAAGGATGGCCAGCTCCCTCTATGCCGACCTTCCACGACGATTATAAAGATATACAACCTAGCCCCGTCGGCGATAAAAACATGTATAGTCGCTTGCTCCAGAAAGTAAAAAAGCGTAACAAAACAGCCGAGACTCTACGAAAGGCAGTCGAGGAATGGCAAACTGCCAAAAATCTTGTGCAAGCAAAGCAGCATGTCTTCATCAGTATCGATATTGAAGCATACGAAATCGACCATTCGATATTGCTCGAAATTGGATGGAGCATGTATGACTCCAAGAACGACAAATATCTTGATCAACACTATTTAAATAACGCCTACCGCCACCTGAACAACGGCAAATACGTTGATGACATGAAATTACGATTCATGTTCGGCACCTCTGTGTGGTGCAACTTCAAGCAAGCACTGGCCGAGTTGCGGAAGGACTTGGATTGGGCCGTGGCGCGAGATGGAGGGTTTGTCCTGGTTGGTCATGGTCTCGATAGTGATTTGAAATATCTGCGAAAGCAGAATTTCATGTGGCCTGGTCGACCGGGGCAGCCAGATACAATGGATGTATCGCAGAGTGCAGTTGTCACGATTCTTAACACGGATACAATCTTTGGCGCAACCATTCGCGATATGCACAATCCTCCATCGCTTGGTAGAACACTGACGCTTCTCAACATTGACACCTGGTGCTTGCATAATGCAGGTAAGGACATTCACCCGTAGTTGTAGGTAGATATGACATGAACACGATCTGATATATATTGTAGGCAATGATGCTCATTATACACTTGTTCTCTTGATGGCTTTAGTTGGTAAAGCTTAATTCATACTTCATTTTTTCAATTCAAATAATAAGAAATAGCCCTGCTTACAACATATCGGTATCAAAGCGCACAGTACGATATGTATTCCTTACTGATCACCAGCCCTTACTTTTCAAAGACTCCCGATGATTCCATTATTTTTGTTCCTGATGTTTGTTGATTTTTAAGCAGCAACAGCTATTTTGGAGGTAAAGACGAAAAAGGGAACGACCAGTGACGGTCATAACTTGGGAATCGAATGAATCAAACACTCAGACCATGCTTACAACCATGAAATAAACTGCAGTTCTACGTTGTATAGGTAGACAAAGACATGTCAAGAATGGTATTCTATGAGGTGGTTGTCTGTTCCAAGCAGAGAAGTTCATGTAATATGTCTGTCTGACTGGTGTTCCTTTTTACACTTGTCGATCTCGTAGAGTTTTTCTTCGGGGTCAACAAGTTCCTCCTCCTGTAGGCTGTAAAAAGCTGGAAAACAAATATCGCATGCTTCTTCGCTTAAATGGACGTGTTTTCTCCCGTTGGCTTATTGAGGCGCCGAAATCAATTTCGGTGGAAAGGATAAGACACCACGGGCTGGGAAATGTTGGCTGGGCCGCTGCAGTTTGTCCCTGCAGCTAACCTGACGCACAGAACATTCTTCATTCCAAAGTTCTCGATGATATAATGATCTTTACAAAAGTTGGGTGTTCATTTTTGCCATCATATGTGGATTTACTTTTTGTTCAAATTACATTTTGGGTTCTTCGTCCAATGCTTTTTGCTAGGCTGATGCCAGTTGCACAGCAGGTGCTGCAGTATAAAACCAGTGCCACATCGTTGCAGTTTTCCATGTGGCATCCTAGAACGGGATGATGTAAAAGGGAAATTCGGATGTCCTATGATACATGCATGGTTTTCGCATGGTTTAATCTGCAATATGCCAAGAGCTTTAAATAAATAGAATAGCCTTTATTTAGATTGCATGACCCTAATTTCCACGTGGATAATTAACAAAGTTCCGCTCAGATAAATCATTGCAGTGGTAATGAATCTGCTGACACTAGGTGTCTTTGCTTTTCCGGCAAAAACTCTGGGATGAAGTGAACGAGCTAAAGGCAGTATTCGAATCCTATCGCAGCGGATGTAAGGAAACGTAAAATGGCGAATTTAGTTACAAGGGCTAGATCATATGTGGCTGCCCGAAGCCAAGTGCTTCGTCTGAATGATATCTGCCATGCTCTGCACTCGGGTCAAAGCTGGGTGATGATCTGGATTGAACGTATTTTTTAGTCCGCCATATCGGCTTTGCGGCACACTATTGTATCCGAATTTGAACGAACTATTTCCAGGTCCCCCCCCAAAAAAGCGGGCGTTTCTGATTATGTCAAAATCGTCAAAACCAAATTGTTTGTCTCAAAGAGTCAAACTCACGAATAGAACACCAGAAGAACAAATGGATGATTCTTCCGTCTTCTTCCCATCCCACGGAATCACCCTACTTAAACCATGCAATGGTTTAAAGTTTCAGTCTGAAATCCATTCATCTTCTAGAATACACATTTTTTTTTCAACCCAATGCATATTGGTTGGCTCTGATCCAAAAATAGTTTGATTAACTGGTCGTTTGTATCAGTGCCCAGCAAATTCTAGGAACCGTCAAGGGCGCCAGAGCTACTGAGGCTCAATCTGCGCGCTTTTTATTGTAGTCTGAAACAAGTCCAATGGAATACCATAATCTTTCAAATATTCAGCTGGGTCCATCGTACGATCAAATCAAAACGGTTACACTGCTTGGCAGAATGGCCGTGCACTCGTGGAAGAAATGCTAAATTAGTGATTTGCAACACTCAGCATGGTCTCACAAATTATATGATGCTTAACTCGTTTTAATGTCATTAGTTGAGGACAATCACTGTTCAAGTATCAGAAAATGGAGTTAATGCACAAAATCAAGATGAAGACGGGGAATCTACACACGCACACAAGTTTTTTTGTCTATAAATGGAAGTCATACCAGTTGTGTCTATTGAAAAATATAAGAGGGAAAAAAAATTACAACCTGATGAAGAAAAATGGAATAAAAGAAAACAAATGATGTATAGAGAGTGCAAAGTTAAAAAAAAGAAGGGCATAGAATAATGGATCAAATAGCATCGTCAAAAGAAAAAAAATACGACGCTGAAGGCATAAGGAGGGACATATAGGTGCATCAAGCATCATGGGGAAAGCAAAAGAGAAAAATAAAAATAAACGGTTATATACAAAAAATGAGGAACACACAAGCACACAAAGCACACAAAGCACACTCCTTGTGTAGAGTACGTATAAGCGGGAAGAGAGAAAAGCGGAAAAGAACAACTGAGGAAAGGCTAAGGAAGAGAGGTCGCGAGGTGATTGAATGAGAGAATGGCCGCCGCTACATCAGAGAATCTAGTTGATTTCGATAGGATATCCACCATAATTGACGTTGCCTGAAGAATGGTACAATGACGATTGAGGATATTGGTGAGAGTAATAGGAATAATGGTGATCCGCCCAGGCAGATGCTGGAATAGATTGATATGGCGATGATGGGTACTCTGACCATCGATGAGGCTGAGGCTTTGGTTCAGATACGTAGGCTGAAAAAGCTCGCTGGTGCTGCTGTTGATGGGTATAAGGGTGATTGGGACGACATACGATGGGAGCCACCAACGGCGGGGAAGCGCGATAGCGGAAACAGTCGTTGGGAGTGATGGGAGGACTGACGGGTGAATCCGCTTCTTCAGAATCACAGCTTGTAGCAGGAGAGGTGGGAGTGAGATTCAATGACTGTGCGATTCTGTTCATGCTATGATCGATGCATAAGTACGTGTTGTTCATCAAAGTTTCATTGATGTTAAAGAAATAGAAATGATATTTACGTGTAAGCTTTCCATTGGGGATCATGGCATCGTTGATGTCTCGATAAGGTCGTTTTACGTGTGAACGATTTGCCGCAGTCGGGGTAGTGACAGACATAAGGGCGTTTACCAGTATGCGTGCGTCGGTGTCTGGCCAAAGATGACGACTAAAACATATCAAGTAAGGTTAGACACCTTGTTTTTTGTTGTTGCTCATAATTAACTTCCTCATACATACATCACTGAATGACTTGCCACATGAATCATATTCGCAAACATGAGGTCTTTCGCCGGTATGCGTACGGTAGTGAACGGTCAATGCAGAGCGTTGAATAAACTGTTTGCCGCATCCGTCCCATTCGCAATGGTAAGGTCGTTCTCCGGTGTGGATACGACGATGTCTGGAAAGGTCGGAACGTCGAGAAAAGCGTTTACCGCATTCATCCCAAGTGCATTCGTATGGTTTGTCGCTATCGGATGAAGCGACGCTGGCAGTTTCCATAGTTTCTTCCTGAGTGTTGAGCAAATTGCGAATATCCATAGTTAAAGGTGTCAAAAGGCTTAAGATAAAATAAACGATAAAAAGTGGCACAAGACTTATAAAGGAAAAAATAAAACAGAAACTAACAGAGGTTGGATCTCAAAGAGGAGGGATAAAGGTCAAAAGACGAGAGAAAAAAAAAAAAAAGAGAATTTAGAAGGGAGACAATGAAGATTCTCGCTCAGTTTATATAGACGTGTAGGTCACGGGTTTAAAAACCGCACTTAAAAAAAAGATTTTAAGGTTTTACACAGGGAAACGCAACACATCACCCGTGGCACAACAGATATGGAAATGACAGACATTATGGCTATTGCTGTTTTGTCCTTTTTGTTTTTGGTTTTGCCACACATACTGTGACAATCACCCAAAAACTTTGATAACCAGTAGATGCTCTTGCTTTTGCATACGCCATTGTTTGTTTATTTTTGTTCTTGATTGAACCCTGCGCATGAGCATGCAACAAATGATGGTCAGTGTGGTAATAGTTCAAATGAAACCTCGACTCGAGGGAAAATTTGGGGGGAGAGGTATTAATCCAAGACCTGTTTTTGTCTCATTCTGGGGTTGACTTACTGGTCCCTCGGTCATGCACGGCCTGGGTGATCGCCTCACTCTAAATTCTCAATGGGGTCCGAGCTGCTCTTCTGCTTACTTAATTTGTCATGGTTCATCGTGGAATGAAAATTTTCGGCTGTCAATTTTTTTTTAACAGCCATCCTAATCTGACTGCGAATATTAAAAAAATGGCGCTGCCTCGGTGTCCTCCTAACGGGGCGATGAGCTTCCAGAAGAAGTAGGCGGCTGTTAATTAAATTAATGAACATATTATATCACCCATTTGCCAGTCCTTTCGTTCTATTGGTCAATCTTAATCCACTATACTTTTTAAATAGCCCAAAATTGTGAATCCTCCACCGCTTAACCTGCTTTTCAACTGGACTCCATGTGGTCTTTGCAGCCCTTTGTTCTTATTGGCTTATATTGCCTTTGCTTCATCAACGACATTTCAATCGGCACGATAAGCGGGGATCAAATGTGATTGAAGCGTAGACTACTCCGAACGCAGTAATCTCCTTTTGCCGCGGTGTCTAATAGACCAACGAACCTGTTGAGGGATGGAACACTTCGTTTCTAGGATACATGATGTCCCACTCACATTATTCTGACTCATCCCATGGCGTTGATCTGTGTTATTGCTGTATTAAGGGGAAAAGTCGACAGATGGGAAGGAAAGGAATGCTACAAGCGCTCTTGGTTCGCTTTCGCGGTTTATTGACCATAAATTTTTATCGAACAATGGAGTGAACTCAATGGCCACGTTTTTCAGAACGCTAATTTTTTACGTGATACACATCATCGCGTGTTCGTCTAGGTTGCACCATCGATCGAATTTGGATGTCATTTGGTAAAACCACGACAACACTTTGTTGTTCGGATAGGTTCTGAGACGCGTGAGACAAGTCATCAGATATGGCAAATTCTCTACCAACAGAGTACCTATCGGAACCCAGGGCACGAGCCATAATCCTACTCGATTGGTATTACTTTCACCGCCACTTTTTCCTGAACCTGTACAGCTTCATATTACCACATAAGAAAAACGAGTTAAATGACATCCATTTATCTTCAAAAATAGCTTGTAGCAAAAATCTATCTTTTATCCCTACATGTGTGTGCCCCGTGGAAAAAAGATTTACGCATCTTGGATAGGTTAGAATACGTGGGCGTCAATGTATGACTGAAGACGCAAAACATATTGATCTCGTGCGACATTTGAAGGGAAAAACCGTACTTTTTAAGGTATTTGCCGCGTCATCTAACGGTAAAATTATGGTTTCTCATGTCAGCGACTGACCCGGTCATTGTAGGAGTCCTTATTGATTCTAGAAGCAGAAGATCCTTTTCATCTTATTTAAACATGGCACAACCATGATGCAATCATTTTGTACACTTCTTTGTTCCTATAAAAGGCCCCCACCTTATTCTGCGTTGCCTCAAGCTGTCTGGTGGGCTTACTTTGCCAAGATGACATAGCACATCTACGGAGACTTAAATAGTCTATGTTGCGATACACGATTGGTCAGTGGTATTTATATCGTCTGTTCAGCGTGGAATAAAAATCATATGGCATCGGATGTTTTCTTTCCGATCGCGTTGTCTGAGTTCGATCTCCACATGGCAGTAGAGCACAGCAACAAACGTAATGGGGGGAGTAACAAAAAGGGAAGGGATCAATTGACATTCATTTTCCGACGGCAATCTAGCGCAGTGGCTACTTACCAACTCGGTATCTCTAAAATTGAATGTAGCACCACCCTATCATTGGTTGCACTAATTGGGGTTAATTCGAGTCCACCATTATCACCGCAATGTCTCTCGACTCCCTCGTGGCAACGTCGCGCCACAAAGAGCAAAACAACATCTTATCACACCACCGTACCCAGGTAGAAATTGGTTAATACTATTGGAACGAAACAGAGAAATGCCGCATGTCTGTCACCGATGTTTCGAACATCACAGGGCGCAGGTCCTCGAAGGCCCCAGCGAGCTGAGAGGCAAAATGCTCCACTCCGTTTTTTTTTTATCCTCGCGTGCGCATGGTTTTCAAGTCCGATGCTGATGAATGATGATCCTCGGAACGAATCGGCACGCAAGTGATACATGGAGGTCATCTGGGATTGTCGTATTTCGCATGCGCTGCCATTAAACGAGTGAATACAGCATCGCTAGCCGATGGATTTCTACAGCGCACCTTTTTCTAGGTCTATGTTACGCATAAATGATGATCACTTGTGCTTCACCGGTTTTTTTTTTTTTTTTTTTTTCACTTGGACGCAAGTGATCGTTTGACAGAAAGTGATGCGGTTATTGTGATACCTTACCAATGGCATATCCACAAGATGGGGTCGTCATTCCCCATCTACCTGATGCTCAAGAAACGACCATGATTGTTTTTTTTCTGTTTTCTCTATTTCGCTTAATTTGGATAATCCGAGACTCTGACCAAGTTACGCACATCTGTTTTTTACGGTTTCTCGGTATCCTTACTTTGTGAAGACACAGAGGTCATTGCTTATATGCCCGTCCTACCACGAGTAATTTACCACTGTCGAAAGTTGTATAAAAGGACATATTATTCTATGCAGCGAATGAGCCCTGTCACATAGGGTTTAAGCGACATAGAGTTCGAAAGAGTTATGGTCTCCATCGAGGGCAAAATAAAAAATGAGCTCCGTAGATGAATCAATGTACCCACTTTTTGAAGCGTGGGACATAAATGGCTATTGTAAGGTAATGCAAACATGGAAGCAAAAGATCGGGGCTCCGGTAAACCTTCTTAAGGAAGGTTGGATTTAGCGAACCGCCCTTTCTCTCCTCTTTTTTTTTAGCCTCTTTGGGGTTTTTTTATCCATTTACCAACGATTTATTCATTCATAAAACTTTTTAGCAAGCGCAAAGAGTGCATGTACGGATTCTGGCTATCTGTAAAAGGCCCCACTTGTGGTGCGCCCCCCCCCCCCAATTACTGAAAGCTGAAAAAAAGGAGTCAGCAGTGATGGTACGCCATACCGAACCCGCAAATGTTATCCACATGAAAGAATCGCACAGAATGCTACGTTGCAAAACTCATTGTTACATAACACTAAGAGGCAGATGATCACATTTTTATCCGAACCACGGAACTCCCATATTTGATCATTTCGAAATCATCCTATCGTCAACCATGGAACATACACAGTCGCACAAGCTCTTTTCCTTCAGTTCCCCTGATGATTCATTATCAGCCAAAGACACTGCCGCATAAGGCATTATAGTTTATAAGAGGTCCACAGGTTGACAAGGGCGCGTCGATTAGACCGGGATATACAGATCTCTTGATACGGGCGTTTATTATCGTGGTAACTTTGTTTGTGCTTCTTTATAACTTGTTTTCGCGTCTAAGCAGACTTGACTAATTGCTCCAAAACTTTTTCAACATCCTGTGCAGAGGTGTTCTGCAATACGGCCTTGCGTTCAACACCTTTCTCTATTGAACATGACAATTGAATCAGTGAGGACGTTTGGGATATGTCATTCAAGTACAAATTCTTTTCGCTTACCGAAGCGAGCAAACACACGAGCCTCTGCGCCACTGGCTTCACGGATCAAGATGGGAAGTTCGGGGTTAGCCTTCTTCAAGGCAGTGTAGTTCTTTGCCACGAAATCTCTATTGTAGATTGATCAGCCATGGCCTGTCCCTAGGGCAAAATCATTGATCATATCGCTTATTCGCCTACCTGAGACCACTGCTGGCAGGAGATGTTTGGCAGAACTGAACACGAAGTTCCTTGATGCCTTTGCTCAATTGTGATTTAAAGAGGGACATGGTTATTTCGAAGTGAGGCAGTGTCGAGATGTTCAAAATCGATGTTGATTTTGTTTTTCCCCAGCCAAAAGCGAAAAACTCGGACATTCAAAATATGTTCACGTCATCAGAGCAATTTGATTGGATGATTTCCCCTTTCTCTCGCTCTCCCATCACACCAAATCTTTGCATTTTTTTTTCCGTTTTGTGGGAAGAAGCACTGGATGAAATAAAACATACAGATATATTTTAAAAAAAAAGCAAAACATGATGAACATTTTAGATAACTGCAGAAAAAAAAAACTCTAAGGGAACAAATGATGAGACAATGGATTTATAGTAATTGAATGAATAAAAGTACGGGAGAAAAGAAACACTTCTTAATGTCTTTTGCGCTTGCCGGCGGCAATCTTTGATCCCTTTAATCGACTTCCTAAAACCTTCTTTGCCGCGTCGTCTGGCTTCACCTTGTTTCGGTTCTTATTCTTCACGTTGGCCGTTTCGTAATAATGTACACCAATCTTCTTCTTCTTGCTCGGAGGAGCAGCATCCTCAACGACGAAACCGTTTTCGACAACGGATTTGCTCTTCTTTCGTGGAGATGCTTCTTCATCTTCGTCTTGCTCTTCCTCCTCCTCTTCTTCTTCCTCATCCTCTGATGCTTCATTTTCCATATCGCTCATTTCCAGCTCGCTGTCGACCTCTGCATTTTCGGCTTCTTCATCTTCTCCTTCAATCACAGGAGCCTGAACAGTAGGACCTTCTTCGCCTACGACGCTTTCAAAGATTTCGTCCCAATCAGTGACTTTCTCTGTCTTGGAAACCTTAGAAGTCTTGCTGTCACTGGCTCCAGTAGCAGTTTCTTTCTGCTTTTTCTTCATGGATGCCACCTTCTCACGTTCTTCGGCGAGCAATTCAGCGTTGTTGGCAAGATCATCCTCCAAGAAATCAGCAGTGACAGCAATTTTGCCAAACAGCTGTTCGACACCAATCTTTCGATCTTCTTCGCTGTCAGGTTTGGGACCAACGGCTTCTGGTGGAGGTACATAGTAAGGGATTCTTCCACGAAGCCAGTCATTGAGGACCATCACTGACACGTTGTGAAGATCAGGCTCGCCACGTTTGACCAATTTGCCAGTTTTACGAGCAAGTTGTTCCAAGAAATCGGTGGAATCTTTCCAGTCATGCAAACCGTAGGTACGTTTCAAATATTCTCTGCGTACTCGCTCCATAATGGTAGGGATGGTGTCTTCGGGATTGGGAATATTCTCTACACGTACGGAACCCTTCAAGATAATATCGGTTTCGTTGTCATCCACATTGGGAGGTACGACACCGGGACAATCAATGAGATAGATACGCTTCATCAAAGTAATGTATTGCCAGACTTTGGTTTCACCAGGAATAGGAGCGACGTTGCATACTTTCTTGGCCTTCAATGTATTGATGATTGAAGATTTGCCAGTATTAGGGTAACCAATGAAACCGACGGAAATTTGCTTCTTGTCACTGTGCAATGACGAGAATTGGCGCAAAAGCTGGATAAGGGAACCTTTGCCAAACGAGTTATTGATCGAAGCGTGGAATGCAAGTGTAGGGCAATCCTTTGACAATGTAGCCACCCATCTCGCCTAACGAAACCAATGAATATTTTGTTTCCAGTATAAGGGCCTTGAGCATAAAACTTACAGTAACCCAAGTTGGCACAAGATCACACTTGTTAAGAACAAATAACAAGTGTTTGTGAGGCTTCTCTTTGCGGATATAATTTTCAACGTTGCGACAGCGAGTACCGATAGGATCGCGAGCATCAAGGACGTGAATAATAATATCCGAGGAATCGATGACTTTGTATAATTCGTTCCAGATACGTTTTGATTGACCAGCCTGCAGATACCATGCTCGTGCCTCATCTACGAAATCGGTCTCCTTATTCGCCAATAAGCTGCTGTCCTTGCTTGCTTGATAATTTTCTGATGACAATAATTGTGAGCCTGAAAATCCATTTCAAGCATGGAAACATGCTGATTGTAACGAATAATTACCATGTTTGTCATCCACTTTGGTGACCATTTCTTCCAAACATCCAATATTCAGTTTCGGGCGTTTTCGCTGGGCTTTAGCACCGAATGTGTTGGCGAAGGAATCGGTTTCCAGAATATGCATGCGGCCTTGCTTGGTAGGATCTTGCAATAAAGACATGGGCAATTTGTTTTGCTTCAGCAAGACTTGATAAGGATCATGGACTTTAGCGCCGAGCGATTCACGGAAATCTTCCAATGCTTTCTGGCCAATGACTCGAGTGTTACCTGCAAATCAAAGTGAGTACTCAATTCTCTCGTTCATCACGTTGACAGGCAGCAAAAAGCGATCTTACCGAACCATTTTCTGTTGGGAGCAATGCGAGCAGTGGGGGCATCGGTGCTTTGAAAATCGGCAGCTTTGATGATTTGACCTTGAGCATTACGGATGGCCTTGCCACCTTTCAGCATCTTCACAAACTTGACTTTCTTGGCATCTCTGTAGAAATTCTCTCCCTTCACTCGAACATTGCCAGCACGATCATCGCCACCTTGCTTTTCTCGAGACACTCGAGACTTTTCCTTCTTGTATTGACCCATCGGTAGATCGTGCAGAAAAGTTGATCAACGGAACTGGCAACTTTTTTTTTTTTTTTCTTGCCAAAAAAATGCAATTGAGACTGCTTTTTCTCTGTGCCTTTTTTGGCGGAGATAGAAATCCATGCAAGGCGAAGAATCTTTTTTTTTTGTGGAGGACGCTATCATCGCCCCTGTACGGTGATAAAAACTAGTGACCTTAAAAAGGTTGATTATATGCTATTAGACCGTTATATAGGTATATACTGAGTGGTACTACTTAAGGGTTATCTCAAACAAAACATATACCTCTTTAACTGTTTGCGATAAAAAACAGCAATTTGGCGCCACAGAGAAAATAAAAACCATTCACCCGTCTTGAATACAGAAAAAGCAATACACATTGGATTGCTTTTTTAGGTGACCGCCGTAAACGCTAATGAGCTTGTAAGTGATGGATATGAGTGGCTGATTTGCCAATCGGTTGGCTTAAAATTTCTTAAATAACGAGATCTGGAAAATATGGTTTTATCCCTAATTTTCTTCACATTGAAAGCCATGCAAGGTAATTCCACTGTTTATTCTTTTCTTTTTCGACCGACATTCGGATAAAATAAGATGATTATGGTAACCTAAAGTCGATACAGATATTCTTGCCCAAATTCGCGATCTGCAATCAGTTATTGATGACTTTGAGAAACACGGACACAGTTTCGGAGAATTATCAGACACACAACAAAAGGTTCAGGTACACGACGAACCAGATGTGAGCATAGAAGGTTCAGAAAATATCGATTACCCTATCGATGAGAAAACACTAGTGGAAGATATGCATGGAGAAACACCAACGGATGAATGGCACATCGAAGAGAAACAGCTTGCGCCTGCATTATCTCAAATAACGTTCCGCTTTTCAGACGACTTTTCTTCTTTGGCGGACCACTTGGCTCAGTTCTCGATAGACTATCAGCAAATGCATGCAACCACAGACCAACAGGAGGAGGAACCAAAACGGGACGTACAAATACATGCGGATCCTGTCATACGAATTTTTGCTGACAGAGAGACCAGTGATACTGAGGAATCGCAATCTACAATTGATACGCCCGGAATGTCGCCAAAGACCGTGCCAAGAAACACATCATGTAAATTCATTCCGCTCAGACGTCGCAAGGAGCATAACGCACAACAACCTATGCAGTACCATGCACGTTCGTATACTGAAATGATGCGAATTACAGACACCAAGGAACGCATAGCATTCTATGAGCGAACCTGCGATCAGTGTTTGCATGCCGAATCAAAGTTATCTTCTTGGATCAAGCGACAGAAAGAAAAAGGCCTACCGACACCATTAACAGAAGGTATAAAGTCAAGTTGAGATAAAATAAGGATATGTATTTATACTATTTCATTTAAATTTGGATCAGGGTATCAGCCACCACCACGATTGCCATGTGAGGAAACACCTGTTTCTATTCGGTCGAGCCATTTTGCAAACATGAGCCGATCTTTCAGTGGATCGGTGAGTATGATCTGGCGAAAAGCTTCCAAGAACGGATTAAGCGATCCTCTTCGACCGCGCGACCAAAAAGGCCTATTTTCGGGCTCCAGCAGTCGTCTCTCACTTGCACGTGCTGCGCATCCTCCCCGGGTATCGCCTGCATATATTAAACCTTTTCATGATATTCAGCGACTGCCAGTTAAAAGCAAAAGCACGTCGTCCGGACTAACACCTCTCAATATGAGCTTATTGCATCGCAACTACAGCTTGCAGTCGGCAAGCCCACTTTCAGCTACCCTTCACACGCCTCATTCATATTCATCCTTGCGTTCCAGATCCAGTACTCAGTCAATTAGAGAGCGTTACTATACTCCTACAACGTCCACTAATCCTTTGGAAGAAATGTGCATCGCACTGCCTCATATTCATCGAAGCGTTTTGCAAGGTTACCTGGCAGAAGCCAACGGAGATCCCATGCTCGGAATTACACTTGCCGTCCGACAGCTAAAAACAATTTCCTCTTCTACATCAAGACAAAGCATCCCTATCCAGTAAAAAAAAAAAAGCCTGATCGAAATAAACGTACTATCCGGACAATTTGTTTTGCAAATCCATGCAGAAACCAGTGGCTGTAACGCAGAGGATGCTTAATGTATTCAGGGAAACCACGTCAGTAACAAAGTTTTGAAACTCACATTATGATATCGTTAGAAAAAGAGCGTATTAATTAAGAAAGTTATGCCTGAAACATTTCCTTTTGGGCCTTTTAACCACTCTGTAAACCGTTGTAAAAGGGAAGGTGCGCTGGGTTTCAGTGAAGCTTTGCATTGGCTTTTCACTTTTTACGCCCCGCTGATTTTTTACAAGGTTCTGTCACTGCTGTGAGATGGTGCATAAAAAAAAATTTAAGAACTTTTATATCCTGCCACACCAAACAGTAATTTGCATCATGCGTTGCCGGTGTGGAAGTACGAATCACCAAAGAGTCTCGAACTCACGGTGTCCCTTGAACCCAAGGAATACAACTGCTGACCAGATCATCCAAGAGCCGCAGTTTATTCCTGAGCAGGTTATTCAAGGACCGCAGCAGATTGAAGTTTCTTCACAATGTAAACATCTCTCTTGATGATTTTTTTTTTCGAAAGATGCATATTTCTGAACTCTTTAAAATTTCGGATAGACCATACCAGGCGTTGTCAATGTGGACATACGGATCACCAAAGAATGACGAGTTCACGGTGTCTGTTGAATCGCACGAATACAACTGCTGAGTTTATTCAAGTCACCCAACAAGGTATTTTACATATATTCTCTTGGCAGTAGTTTATTCAAAATTATGCCACATTGTATACATTTGTTTTGGATATTTCCAATTTCTGAGATCCTGATAGATTTGATTTGCCAATGTGGGGGCACAGATCACCAAAACGTGTCAAGTAGGCTCTGTCCCTTAAATCCTAGAAGTATGGCAGACGACGTTGAGGATACCGATCCACTTGCACCTGTGTCTTCAATTATGGAAGGTATGAATTTTTCTTTCAAAGCCCCTCTGACATTGCACGCATTAAGTTTATGTTTTCCCATTATGTTGCTACCAGTTGAGCCAGCTGACGTTGAGGATACCGTTCCACTTGCTCCCGTGTCTTCAACTACGGAAGGTATACATTTTCGTCAAAGCTCCTCTAACATTGCATGCATTAAGAGCTTATATTTTCCATATACGTTGCTTTATCAGTAGGACCATCCCACAATACTGCCCGCATCTCCTTTGAAGAATTTCAAGGAGGGGCCTCAATTCGTGCTCCAAACGTCAACATCGATGGAGTAATGGACAATGGCAGCATGACCTTGGTCTGTGTTTCCTGTGGAGCCAAAGGCTGGGAATCCGAAAAAGTGGCTGGAACCCGTCAAGAACCTCGGTTTGTTATTTGCGCAACCAGGGAAAGGTCCAGTTGCCCGTCCTTCAGCCGCCTCTTGAAGAACTGTGACAATTACTCACCGGCCAAGACGCGATCTCCAAGGAGTTCATCCATTATATCCGAAAGTACAATACCCTTTTTGCATTTACTTCGATTGGTGTCGAGGTATGTACATCATGGCAGTTGTGATGCCGAGACAACACTCAAACAAAAACAGAAAAACGTTGCTTACTAAATTGGGTTTGATATACTGTAGATTGATGAGGAATTGGCCAATGCAAGATCTGGCAGTTATACCTTCCGTATGCATGGCACTATCCATCACAGAATTACCCAATATGCATCCTCAGCAAACTTTCAACCGTCATTCTCGCAATTATACATATATGATCCTGATATCCAGGCAGCAAACATCGGTCATCTATGTTTGACGATCTCCATCCCCAAATCCCCCAACTTTTGCAGACGATGATGGCTCGGGTGAATCCGTATACCCGTATATACCAATCTGCTGGAGAACATTTGCGAGGTAACGATACCGCAACGGGATACGAAATTGTTCTACGCGACATGCGATAATACCCGTCGTCTATTACCTGGGGGTCATCGCGGACAGTATCTGCAGCCGGCCGCCACCAATATAGCGGCTATCATACCAGACAGATCAAGACAGCAAGGCACCACTGTCGGCTACTGCCGCGATGTCAGAATAAAGCTGCAAGGCGGTGACGGTTTACTACGTATTGACAAACGCCATCCTCTTTATGACCCATTACAGTACGTGCTCATATTGACGAGGGGAGAGCACTGCTGTTGGGAATCATGTGGATCAGCAAGTTACTATACCCCGGATCATGCTCTATTACGAAAAGGCCGATCTTCCATTTACTCTCTCACGTCGGCAATTGCCTTTACGTCTGGCTTTTGTGTTAACAATCAACAAACCGCAAGGTTAGTCATTGGGCAAAGTCAGGTTATACCTTCCGGCACCAGTGTTCAGCCATGGTCAGTTATACATTGCAGTTTCTCAGGTAAGTGATGGGCAGGATTTGAAGGTAACACTGGCACACGAACATGCTGAAACGCGAATCACCAACAACATCGTATATCATGAGGCTTTTTCTCGAATTTGATCAATTCAATAAAGATGCGGCTCTCGAAGAAAAAATATATCATTGATTGGGATCAAGCATGATTGTGAGAAACAGAGTTCCTGAAGTAATAGCTGACTTTCGTCGGAGCAGAATTTCCCCAGTCGGGGGTCCAGGGGGGTTTACCCCCCTTGGCGACGCTAACTCTGTTGAATGACCCGAAGCGGCTCATTCAGTCGAAGCGAAGCGAGACAAGAGGTAGCTAGTGATACCTATATACCTACCATTATTAAAATGTTTGGGAGTTATGCGCGCTAATTTTCAGTCACAAGACAGCCACATTGGGTTTTTGCTACATTTGTCGGCTTTGATTGGGTAATTTTTGAAAAACAAATATATATGATTGATTGCAACGAAACCAGACAGCTGTTGATCGGCCCGACCTTTGCGCTCGAATTTTTAACATGAAGCGTAAAGCCCTGATGGAAGATCTAAAGAAGAACCATGTTTGGGAAGAGTCGTTACCCATGTACACACGGCGAGTTTTAGAAGCGAGGCTTACTGCATCTTCATTTGCTTTTGGTGTTACTCCGGAGGATAAGCCGAGAACACTTGATGACTATGATCGTATCGTGTGTGCCGAACTTCCGGACAGAGAGAGATTTCCTGATCTCTACGACACTGTCAGCAGATGTATGATGCACGGTCCGTGTGGAACAACGCATCCGAGGTCTCCCTGCATGGAAAACGGCTCATGTAAAAAGTGCTACCCGCGCTCCTTTAACGACACTACCATCGAAGATCCCAGGGGCTCCCCTCTTTACCGTCGCCGCAATAATGGAGATGTCGTTCTCAAAAACAATGTTCAGTTGGACAACAGATGGGTCGTGCCGCATAATAGATTTCTATGTGCGAAATACAACGCTCACATCAATGTCGAATTTGTACTTCCTTGGAAAGTGTCAAATACTTGTACAAATATGTATACAAAGGCCATGATCGAGCTGCAGCAGCAATGTATCGTGTCGACAATGACAGAAATGTCCAAGGACAAGTCGATGAGATCACTCGCTTCATTGATGCCCGGTATGTATCCGCTGCCGAGGCCGTTCACCGGTTGCTGTCGTTCACAATGCATCGTGAGTATCCGAGCACACAACGCCTCGCTATCCACCTTGAAAACGAGCAGGTTGTGCAGTTCCGGGAGGACGAAAACCCGCAGATCGTTGCAGATCGTCAGCACGAAACCACATTGACTGCGTGGTTTGCGCGAAACCGACTTGATCCTCACGCACGTACTCTTCTGTATCCCGATTTTCCAGAACGATACGTCTACCATCCCAGATCCCATAGATGGGAACCTCGCCAACGTGGATTTGGTAACACGATCGGGCGCGTCTACGCTGTTTCACCGCGTCAAGTAGAGAAGTACTACCTTCGAATGTTGCTATATAGCGTCCCCGGAGCACAGAGCTTCGAACACATTCGAACAGTCGACGGCATTGTCATGCCCACGTATCAAATGCCGTGTGCTCTTCGATTTCTGTTCGCCATCATTGTTAATGAATGTCAGGCTCCTGACCCGTTTGCGCTTTGGATGCAGTTTCGCCAGCATTTGGCAGAAGACTATATCCATTTTGGAGAACTCAAAATCCGGGCGACGTCGGTCAAGTGGAGGCACCGCAAACCGTGTACGATCGCGCGTTGCTTGACATTGAAGATCATCTCAACCGTCAGTCAAGTTCTTTGCTCAACTATGATGGTTTTGTTCTCCCTGCTCGCCAAGAAATTGACAGAATGGGACGCCGCACTCAGCTTCGACTCATAAGAGAACAATACGATCTTATCGCAGATGCCGCCAACGCACCTGAAAGTCATGAACGCTTGAACGAAAACCAACGTGCCGTATACGATGCAATCATCCACAGTGTCGCGCATGGAAGCAATGCATCAGCCCGATTGTTCTTCATCGACGGTCCTGGTGGCACAGGCAAGACCTTCCTCTTCGACAGTATCCTTACTGCAGTACGTCAACAAGGCAGAATAGCTCTGTAGAAATGGAGTTCATCCGTGGAGTATACAAAGAGTGCACGGCGCTTGCTGAAAAGGAAATTGATGAGAACGCTCATCAAAGAAAAGATTGACTACATGGCACTTTGGCGCGAGTATGTCATGAATCATTTCGACGATACTTTCAACAGTGTCCGCAGTAAAATTGAAGCAAACGAGAATGAAGATCAGCAGACGGACGATCCTGTCACGGATCCGAAAAAATCCAAACAACTTATTCGTACTTGCTCTGTCCCACTTTCACGAGTCATTCGTTCCGATCTCCCTACCGCGATAACTTTTTGCAAAGCATCAGCAAGTTTTCAATTCACCTTACCGGCATCATCTCCAAACTATCAATGCTTACTTATCTCACTTGCTTGAATTATAGCAAATCGCCAAATGGCAACACCCAGACACCACCAGCCTTATTCAATTTTCATCATCTTTTCCCGCCAGCGTTTCAATGGCAAAGCGAATTTCTCGGGACTTTCAAAATGATACCGATTCCACCGATACCTGATAGTTTACAAGATAGACTGCATGCGAGAGTCACGGACGACAGCAGCAACAAGCAGATTGATGCGCATGATGATCTTCTGTCGCCGCGGCATTTGCAGTTTTTATATTCGCGGTTTATAAGCTCCGCAGCAACGAAAACAGAATCCCGTGGCTTTCCTTCCCTCTGGTTCGATTGGTGCAAGAGTTTACCAGAAATGGCGCAATCGTTTTCAGATATGCCTGGCTGCTCTCAAACGATCAATGCTGCAATCAAGAAATATTCTATCAACGTCAAAACTCTATGGTCCCGCGCAGCACCCGGAAAAATCTTGGATCGAGTAGTTCGCGTTTTATTGCGGATACATTTGGCTCCAGCCCGTGAAAGTCAATACCAAGAGAAACTCAGAAAGTCGACGATAAACGAAAATGCCCCCGTGCAACAAAGAAGGCGTTGGAACGGCGAATCAAGCAAGAAATGAAAAGTTTAGCGCAAGCTCAGAATAGCGAAAAGTCTCTGATCAGGTTACGCCGGTTGTATGTACAATCTCAGCCAGACAGAGAGGTGACTATGCGCGATATCACCGATGAAATCGAAACGCTGTATATATCGGATGTGCCAAATGTCGATGAAGAAGATCTGTTGGAGCTCATTGAGGAAGAAGACGACGAAGAAGAAGAAAGATTAGAGGAAGAGGAGGGGATAGACATCCGTCAAACCGAAGAACAACAAATAACATTCGTTGATCATCAGGTGAGTCACGAGAAGGGAAGTCCAGTTCAGAATTTGCATTTAACACTTTACTAAAGGACCTGATCTGTCGTCGTTTGAGCGCTATCAAGGCGGTGGTCAAGAAGTTGATTACGGAATCAAGCACTGATGAAACCGGTACAGAATCGCGTATTCAAAAGCACACACCAAGAAATATCTCATGGATAACTGAGGAATACCGAGTAATTACATTGATTTCTGACCAATTTGCCCCTTATTTTCCAAAGTACGGGAAATTGCAGAAGCACCCGGCCCTCCTGTTACCATTCATGACACTGTGTAATGCGATCTTTCGTCTGGCGGGTTACGGCAAACTTACAAGATCAGTTCATCCTGTGGTCTCGCCATCCGCCGAACAAACGCTCCACCTAGACGAAACAAGTATCTACGAGCTTTTCGGTTCATCTTTTGGCATGTATCAATTCGTTTCATGAAACAACAATCCCATCACATCCTTGGTCGAAGCGCGGAAAAATCCTGTCGGCATTATTGCAGCGATATTTGATCTGGGAAAAGCCAAGGACATCTGCGAGAGCTATGGATTGACGTTCCAACACCGAATCTCAACAAATGGCAAAGTGGCGATCCTCCAAGGATTACTGATTCATCGTCGAACGTACGAAATGACATCGAGATATGATAGACGGCATGAACGCAAAAAATCAAGTGCTAAACCGGTCGTTCAAGACGACGACACGAAAAATCAGATCGATTCATTGACTGATGTTATTGATGGCTTGCAAAAACGGCAAAAAGATACCGTGAAATTGAGGCAATCATTACAAAACGAGGTGAAACTGGCAAAAGGCCGATTCTATGAAGACCGTTCCGACTTGAATTTCAGAAATTGGCAACATAAAAAGGCTGCAATGCAGAGGGAAAATCGGGCGCTTTTGACATGCCGAACAAGTTTGCGCAAGGCAAAAAATGGACGTTATTTGTTGCGAGGCCAGGTAAGTTAATTTGTAAATTGAATCAACGGCTGTTTGAACTAATGCAACCCATATTGATAGCTGTACCGAGGAAAAGATACAGAGGAAGAAAGACGTGATACTGTCCCTACAGCAGCATTTCCTCAATGCATGGACGAGGCGAGAAGATTGGACATCTCCCAATTACAGCATGCCGTAACTTTTTCCGGAACGGATTATGGAATCCAAACAATGTCGGTGACCGTGCCTTTGACCATACCGACCATCAGCAGGCACTTGCAGTTATACAACAGATACGCTTGTCGTGAAACTTGCGCTGACTTCGAAGCAGGAGATGTTCTTACCGATCCTGAGCTGTTCCTTCCGAAACCGGTTAAAATCCGTGCCAAGAACATCGAAGAAATCTCATTTGCGAGAAGACACAGAAGAAGACGTGAAAAATTAAAGAAGGTATTATTTTATTCACATCTGGAGAATGGCTGACTGACTGGAAAATAGATGACTCCTTCGATCAGGAGCACTGAAGAAATGTTGAGCCGTAACCCAATTTCGCACGCTTGGACGCAGGAAGAAGCATTGCATAGTTTCAAAGTATGCAGATTTTTCTTGAACCAAGTGGATATACTAAACTCACACCGTCATTGTTGTAGTTACAAGAAGATGCAAGCGACACATTGCGTAATTTTTATCATAATCGCAAGTCCAAGAAAATAGCATATACGCAGTCATTGCGTACAAAGCGAGCCTATGCGATGCTGGCGTCAAGCGAACGGGCGCAAATGACCGATCGAAATGTTCCAACGAACTTAGTGATGTGCATTGGAAATGCTGGGACAGGTGTGGGCTCTCGCATCAGAGGCCATGCACGAAGAGGGGGGAAGAAGATGCGGACAGAGCACTCAAAAAACACGACAGTCGCTATAACAAATGAATTCTGCTCATCGAAGACTTGCGTATTCTGTTTCCAACAAACAGAGCTAACGAAACGAAGCTTACCTGATGGAAAAACGAAGCAAGTCCTTGGTGCAGTCCGATGCATCAACCCAGATTGTCCTGCCGTCCAAAGAGGTCACGCAACGAGGAATCGCGACCAGCAAGCTGCATTCGCTATTTGGTCTGGCAGGTGCGGTCCGAATGCTTTCGAAGAACAACATGACCTTGTCACCCTTCGATCCACGGCCGCAAAGCAACGACAATATGTTATTCAAAATGAATAACGATACAATCACTATCGAGGCTATCCGAAGCGATACGCCTATGGTCCCACTCAGCTTGAGTGGATTAACAGTGGGCCAACACGCCCAAGGCTAGTTATTATGCAATTTTGTTCCAGTTGTTTCATTCTTTCGAAATGCAATTTTTGCATCACTGAATTGACGCTATTGAAAAAAAGGCCAAGGATATGCGAAAATGAAAACAATTTGGCCTACGCGCGGACTTGCTTCTCCATACCAAGATCAGTTGATGGATCTATCTGTCCGCATTGTCAACATTGACTATTACCTAAGCGATCTTGGTCCATTTGATCGTAGTTCTACCCCATTCAGTAATGCTCCTCTGAAGAAAGTTCCCGTCATTCGCATATTCGGTTCCACACCTGTAGGGCAGAAAACATGTGTTCATGTCCATCAGGTAATCTATCCGATCCGTTTGGATCATCGCAAGCAAGCGATGCGCGATCTCCTGATCTAACTTTTGCGCCATGTATTGTTTTTGCCTTCATATATATACTATAGGTATATCCCTACTTTTTCGTTCCATTCGATCTGACGTCCGACAATCCAACGGCAATACAACAAGAGATCTATCGATTCGGCACAGCTTTAAATCATGTCATGAATTTGTCACAAAGCAAGACAAAGGAAACGACTGAACAATATATCGCGGCTATCGTACTCGTCAAGGGCATCCCATTCTATGGATATCATACTCGGTACCAAACGTTCCTCAAGATCTATCTTCTCAATCCTTCCCATAAATTACGCATGCTGGAATTATTGCAAAGTGGCGCAGTCCTGGAAGCGGTATTCCAACCTTATGAAGCGCATATTCCTTATGAACTCCAATTTTTAATGGACTACAACTTGTACGGAATGAATTGGATTCAGTTTTCTGCTGTGGACGCACCAGATACATCGGATTTGTGGTTGTCGTTGAGATTCAGGCAACCGCTTCTGAACGAACCAAAGGCCTCCTTTCTCAATCCGACCTTTGTGTCACCGACATCTAGTATGAATCATCCAGTCTTCACGGCACGATCTGTACCCGAGCATTTGCAGTGGCGTCAATTGCAGCGAACAAGTTATTGCGAACTAGAACTAGATGTTACCGCCATGGCAATTGCTAACCGCTTACAAGTCAAAGAACGCGATATCCATTCCGGGCTCAAGAACGACAAAGAATCCGTATCCACGAAATCTTCAGCGCCAAAAGAAAATATTGACAAGTTTGTAAAGTCATTGGCAGGTATATGGGAAGATGAAACCAACCGACGGCGTTTCCGAGGTGTTCAGTCGCCGATCCCGCCCGTTTCCCAAGTAGAAGAGCGCTTGGAACATACTCCCTGGTCGAATGAAACCGATCTTTGGCGCATGATTGATGCGATGATAAAGGAAGATGATCAGAATCAGGAAGTCGCCGACGACTCTTTTCCAAAAGTATTGACGGCTTTTCAAGCTGTTGAAGCATTGTATCCCGCGCGCTATTACGAATGGATGAATGCTCGAGGTCAAATGACAGCCATCAGTTCGGAACATAGCAGCCACCCACAAGTGTCTCTTATCACACCACCTACCGATCTTGGCTTGGACGAAGAGAATCTGCATGCTTTATTTGATAAAAGCACCGGTTCAGGTTCGCCAGGAGAGCAGGAAACACCCATGCAAGAGTCTGAAGCGCCTACCTCCACTTTTGCCGAACAATTGCTCAAAAAAGGAGCCAATGTCAATCGCGGTGCCATTGAAAATATTCTCCAAGCCGACTCATTCCATGGTGGCAGCTTGGATACCGATGCGTTACTAGAAATGGTCGAAGAAGCGGAACAAGACGAACAGTATGACAAAGCTCAGGAGGAAGATCTTATCGACAACGATGAGGATCATGATGAAATTGTTGAATGGATAGAGCGAATGAAGGAAGAGAAAGTCGGCCCTTCCCAAGTATCTCGACGTGTCGAAATCGAATATGAAGATGTTATTGGTGATAAAAATGTTGGAGATAACAAGTACGGGTGCCTAAATATCTTGGGTTTCATATTCATTAGTTCGAGCAATAACCTTGCGCTTCTTTAGCGGATCATCCCATAACGAAAAACCATGGCCTTCTAGAATGATGACAGATTCATTGACAGGTTCCGACCAGCTCACGATCAGTGATGTGCCCCCTAGTTCGTCCGCGTAAATATAATTGCAATATGTTATCCTTTAAGGAAATGAAGGCTGAAGCTTTTTTTTCCCAGGAACCGTAGGAAACGAAAATCAAGGCATATACCGCAAGTAGATGGTGCTGACGATGAAGAAGACATACCCGACGATACAAATCTAAATGCAGAAGAGGCATGGGCATCTATGCGACGGTCTTACCGGCGAGAGAAACAAAGGCGGTATACTCGCGTCTCACAAGAAGATTCACTGAAATATCGCCCCACCAGCTTATCATCGGTGGAAGAGGCGTGGCCTGAGTCATCCAAGCAAGATCGAAACAAAACTACATCCCATGTGCAAACTACTCGTGAACGCGATGACGAAGACGATCTTCCAACAGTAGCGGTTTCACCATTCGATGAGGCAGCTTCTTCTCCAAATGACACCAATGTTCATCGAGAGGACAGGCGGTCGGTTGACGGGAGAAGCAGTGGTCAAGTCATGATGTCCAACGGACATCCAAGCTACTTTATCGAGCGACTCAACGGCATGTGGTCACCTCGGCAAGACCAGGAAGAGATCCGCTACCCTGCTTTCTGGTTTGATCCTCCGAAGCCCTTTTCACCTCATCAAGCAGAGACGGAGTCTGCCGTGTGCGAGCAATCGAGCCAGACATCGGAGCTTAGCAACCCATTTCTCGATGTAGAAGACGATCTTATGATGAACCATGAAGCATTTCCTTCGTCAAGTTTACTACAAATGTCCACCTATCACAAACCTGATACAAAAGCGTCAAGAGAATACATCTACAAACCAGCGCCACCCGCGGTTGATCCACCGACAACAGTTTCGTATCAATCTCCCTACTACAGTAACCCAGATGATGTCCCTTCGCGTCCTAAAGTATTTGCCGGAAAGGAATTCAAGCTCCTTTCTCACAGTGTGATTCATCTGAAAGAGTTCGACCCATCTCCTGTTACTGATATCACGTTTGTGGATCTTCGTGCAACGCATTGGTGGCGAGTGTCTCGGATTCGCAATTGGATGCCTGCCAAAGACCCGCCTGCTTTGCGAAGTGTGACACGTTGGTTGGAAGAAAAAGAAAAAGAAAAAGAGGAAGAACAAAAAGTACCAGCAGTGGAAAATTCCTCAAATAGCCAGGTAGGTTAATGACACCTATCGATAGTTCGTTGCAGAGTCATTGATATGTAGTGTGGATCTAGCTCGATCGCCCGACCGCCAAGATGTCGTATGATTTCAAATTCAGTATAAGCAAGCCCAAGGCTAAAGTTACGAAAATTCGAGACTATATTGATCTTTTCAGCCTAGAAATTCATGGTAACCAATTATACATAGTCGTAATTATCCACTGACGACGGCTTATAAGGGAGCATCAAGTGAATACTAGGGCGAACTTTTTGCCGGATTTTGACCGCGATCCTGTGCAGATGGCGTTTTGGTGCTTGCAAACAGAAGATGATTCGATCGTATCGAACGGATTTCAACAAGGTTATCACATCGGGATTATTGCAGTGTCCGGAATGGATCCACACTCTCTAGGGTTTCACAGTACGATTGTGTGTCACATAAAATGCTGCTGTCATTGCTTAGACTAATGATTTCTGTAGATGTGGATGTGGAGCTTGTAGACAGCGAGAAGGATTTACTGCACGCTCTCATTGATCGTGTGCGTTTATATGATCCCGATCTTTTGGTCGGTTACGAGCTTCACAGTGCTTCATGGGGTTATCTCATCGAGCGAGCAGCCACCTACGGTAAATCATGCAATAATGGACATCTACATTCATCTTGGCACTCACTCACGCTTTTAGATATCAACCTTATTGATGAGCTGTCGCGAGTTTATACCACTTCACAGAACATCCAGCGAGACAGATGGGGTTACCAAAAAGCTTCGGTTTTTCGCGTGATTGGCAGACATATGATCAATGTATGGCGTTTGATGAAGAGTGAAGTTAATTTGAAGAGTTATACATACGAAAACGTCGTCTACAACCTGCTTCACTACAGGTAATCAAAGGATACTTAAATTCAAGTGATCCACTGCTCATCTTTTATGACCAGAGTTCCTCATTTTTCCCATCAAATCCTGACAGCATGGTATCAACATGGCGCGGCTGTGGTGAAGCATCGACTAGTGCGGTATTATTTGGAGCGGGTTCAGATTAACTTGGATCTTTTGGATATCTCTGAGGTTATCAGTCGTACAGCCGAGTCGGCTCGTGTCTTTGGGATCGATTTCTACTCTGTCATCACTCGCGGTTCCCAATTCAAAGTCGAATCCACCATGTTACGCATCGCTAAACCTGAAAACTACATGCTGATCAGTCCCAGTCGCAAGCAGGTAATTGGACGAAGACGGTAGACCCAATGGTGCACTGACAAGCTTGTATTTAGGTTGCAGAGCAACGCGCTATTGAATGTCTGCCTCTGATCATGGAGCCTTTATCAAAATTCTACGCGAGCCCACTAGTCGTTCTTGATTTCCAGTCGCTGTATCCATCGATCATGATTGCGTACAATTACTGGTAGCTGGTGCAAATACATGCTCTGCAACTGGGTCGGCTGACTTAGTTTCACTGTAGTTATTCCACGTGTCTCGGAAGAGTCCGTCGCTCAGGAGACAGTCGGAAGTTTGGTGTCAGCGATCTGATGATTTCACCTAAACTACTTGAAGAGCTCAAGGAGCAAATAAACGGTACGTTACCCAATTATGGTTACGGATATCGAATGAACTGAAGAAGCAGATAATTATTATAGTTGCGCCTAACGGTGTAATGTATGTCAAGGAAAGTATAAGAAAGAGCCTTCTTGCCAAAATGTTGACGGAGCTCCTGGATACGCGTGTCATGGTGAAGCGATCGATGAAAGATTACAAAGAAGACCGGGTAGGTACAATTCCTCTCTCAAAAAGAGTATCATTTACTCACAGAAAATCTATACAGGGATTGCTACGATTACTGAATGCTCGCCAACTGACGTTGAAATATCTGGCAAATGTTACTTACGGTTATACCTCGGCCACATTTTCGGGTAGAATGCCGGCGGTCGATATTGCTGACAGCATTGTTCAAACTGGACGAGAAATGCTGGAAAAGGTATACTTGGGAATCAATAACTATTTGGAAATAATTCAAACATTCTGCGATTCGATCAATAGACAATTGAACTAGTTAACTCAACCGAACGCTGGGGAGCAAAAGTGGTCTATGGAGATACGGATAGTGTTTTTGTCTATTTCCCTGGAAAGACCCGTGATGATGCCTTTACTATTGGGAACGAGATTGCGCAAACCATCACGAAAATGTTCCCTGCGCCCATTAAACTGAAATTCGAAAAGGTAAAATTCTACTTGTACTTTCCTGACTAGTCAAGGGATCGGCATGCAATGGGTACTGAAAAATACAATCTAGGTGTACCATCCTTCGGTCCTCGTGGCGAAAAAGAGATATGTCGGTTTCAAATACGAGAGTCCGGAAGATAAAGAGCCTGCCTTTGAAGCCAAGGGGATTGAGACGGTCCGCAGAGATGGCGTGGTGGCGACGCAAAAAATTCAAGAAAGTTCCTTAAAGTAAGTCGATCGCAGCCCTTTGCTTGAAATCCATGGATTCAATAACAGTTGGACAGAATCCTTTTCCGCACGCAGGATATGTGTGAACTCAAGCAATACTTGTACCGGGAGTGGACCAAGATATTATCAAATCGAGTGTCTTTGCAGGACTTTATCATAGCCAAAGAGGTTCGACTTGGAACATATCGATCAATACCTCACGGTGCAAAGGTAGCGCAGGATAACATGGCTATGGATCCGCGCGCGGAACCTCAATATGGAGAACGAGTTCCCTATGTCGTTGTCTATCGCGGTGCCAACGCCACGCTCAAAGAAAAGGTAGTACGACCTGAAGCGGTACTGCTTGACAAGTAAGTTTCTCCATATCCGTTGCTACGGGCGAACCCTATAGTAATGCATTGATTTATTTATTCAGCTCTTTACGGTTGGATGCTGAATACTATATCCGCAAACAAATCATCCCGCCCTTGGAAAGAATATTTAATCTCGTAGGCGTTGGTAAGCTGAATCTGTTGCGCGTGCTCAGTTGAGCATCGAGTATCTAACATTGCTTAGATATCATGGCGTGGTATGACAGCATGCCTAGATCTCAGAAAGCGGCCGCGTTGGCATTATCGTACTACGACGAGGTTCAGGACAAAGGGGTCAACCGGATTGACCGCTATTACGCAAGCAGTCACTGTATCATCTGCCGGCAACTTTCTGACCAGCGTAAGCACACCAGAGTTCTAACGTAACCTTGATTTTACTCACTTCAGTTGATAGCCATCTGCGACAAATGCAAACATCAGAAAAGCTTATCGCTGCTGACGCTTATTTCTCGGCAACGGGAGACTCAAGAAAAACTGGGTGCTGTGCTAGAGGTGTGTGATAATTGCTCTCAAATATCCCCCTTGCTCACGGCTTCTACAAACCCACATGCCGCCATTGGGCGTAGTGGATATGCTGATCACCCATGTGATTCTCTTGATTGCCCTGTATTCTACGAACGCATCAAAGCGAAAAATGACGTCCGCGCTACATCCACTTACGATACATTACTTGAACAACTGTCAGACTAAATTCCCCACTTCATATTTATATCGTTTCTGGTATACCTCATCAGACTCAAAACATGATATGCAAAATGACTTTTTTTTGTTTTTGTTCTTTTATGAAGATTCGTTTTCGTTTCAATTGGACGAAGCTTAAGAAGATATATAAACAGATGCTACCCTGGTCGCCGACTATTTTAGCATCACGGAGTTGCTAGACCGTTGACACTCCATTTTTATTCGGTCTTGGAGTTGGTGGCGACAAAGCGCTATCGAAGAAGCGATTAACATGCGCACAACAAAATGTCCCAATTATGGTGTAACTTACTTGTTCCTTCTGCTGGCCCTTTTCCCATTTAGCGAATTTGAGACCATTACGATCGCGCTGAGCAGCCACAGTGCGAAGATCTTCCTTCAAGGAATTGCGGAGGGCCTTGGCGCAAATGTTGGCGTATTGAAGGTAACTAAATCAACAAGCTACGCGTTTAGGACATTCCGCTCAAAGATAGACTTAATTTTTCACGTACGAAAAACCGGCAGCTTTCCAGGCAGACATGATGAAAGAAAAACGATGAAAGAAAGTTATCGAAGCAAACTATTTTTTAGCCCAAATAAAAGCCGACTGCAGGCGTTTTAGAAACAACGTCATAAGAGGCTGATAAAATATGAGCCGAAATGAGTCTAAAAAGAAGGAATCCGTTTCACTTTTTTTTTTTTGTGTGTGCGTGTGTGGCTGCGCAGATTCTCTGAAGGCGCATACTTTACCGTTGGCAAAATAACATTCATGAAGAGCATTTATTGAAAGCTTCGGGGTTCATCGTCATTGACATGGATGGTTTCCTAAGCGTGAAGAGGAATTTGAAAAAAAGAACCAAGTCAAGAGTTCTATGGCGGAAGAAGCTTTTGCGTTGGTCCCAGTTCACGCTAGGGCCAGTGGAATTGATCAGCAGTTAGATCAGCGCCAGTGGCACAGCATACAATATGTAGGTTACACTGTAGCTTTTTTGGCGCTTTAAGGTTGACATGCCGAGATGTTCAGCCGTTGTAGTACGATACTGCTTGTCGATTTTGATGTTACCTTGCTGACGACCCATTTGACGAAATCCGAACAGGCAAATTTGGGCGAATAATGGTAGACTTACAGAACCATTAGTTATAGGGGATAATGAAGGCTTCATATGTCCATTAGGTAATTCATGAGGTACTGCTGCTGTCAACTGCCTAATAAAACAAGGTAGACGAAAAGCGACAAGAATAATAGCCTATAAATTGATGGAACACGCAGATGGTGCGGTTGAAAGCTGCCACTGACAAAAAATATTGTTCCTGTTAAGGTGTGGCAGTGGTTCCTTTGATTCGTCCTCTCCTTTCTGCGTGTCCTGAATATGATTGGTGCTCTTGACAGAAAAATCGAAAAAAAAATAACGCATCGAGTATGGTATGTGATTTGCGATTTGGAGTCTTCTCATTTTATATATTCAAAGATATATTCCTTTATTTCTAATGAAGACCATGATAGATGGAATTCGATTCAATTTAAACTTGAGAATCTCAACTGAATCATATTCAATTTGATTGTCATCCACTCCAAAACATTTGAAAAAAAAAAAGAAAAAAGGAAAAGGGTCACAAAATGACAGTCACGAAGGGCGAAAAATGTAAAAATCCTGACAGGTGCAAGCTTTTTTTATTTTTTTATTCCCCTTTCCAATTTTTTTTATTGAAAACGTCGTAATGTCTTTCCGTGGTCGTAGTTGCTATAACTGTGGTGAACGCAAGTAGTCCTATTTTCTTTATGTTTGTTGTTGGCGGTGTGAATGTTCGTGTGGTTGTGTAATCTGATGAACAGCATGCATGTTGATTCAGATCAACCTGTAGCCTTTTTTTACTGGATCTATGTCGTTAGACGTTGGTCTTTGAAGGTTACTTCAAGAGTTGATCTAGAAAGTGATATGTGCATCAATGCTTGAATCGCTTTACTATTTAATACCATTTTTATTTTATATGTCGAACAATAAAGAGAGATGCAAGGTCGGAATGATGAAAGAAGTTTGTGGCTTATTCTATATATTTTTTTTTTATTTTGTATGGAACAACAGCTGGTCACCAAGCTAAGGATTGCGAAAAGACTGGTTCCGTTTGGTAAGCAGCCGTTTTTGATTGTCAACACTCATTGAGTGTTTATAATCAGAAAGGAAGAAAAATGAACTGGAATTGCAGATATTGACTGCTGTGTTTATTAGCTACAACTGCAAACAAGAAGGTCATTTGAGCAAGGACTGCACTGAACCTCGCGCTGAGAAGACTTGCTACAACTGCAACCAGACTGGCCATTTGGTAAGCAACAGGTTTTGTTTTTTGAGTCATGGCAGTGGTGGATTCCTAACATGTTGCTTTCTTGTAAAAGTCTCGCGATTGCCCTGAAGCCAGCAACAACGACTACAGCAGTGGTCCCTCTTGCTACACCGTAAGTGATAAGGGTGAAGTTCTTTGGAAACAAGCATTGGGTTGACCTTTTTTTTTTTCTTTTGTTGTGTTAGTGTGGCAAGTCTGGTCACATCTCTCGCAACTGCCGTGAAGGTGGTCGTGGTGGTTTCGGTTCCGACAGAAGCTGTTACAAGTGCGGTGGTCAAGGCCACATGAGCCGCGAATGCCCCTCTGGTGCCTCTGGTCAAAAGTGCTACAACTGCGGTGGTTCTGGCCACATCTCCCGTGATTGCGATCAACCCGCCCAGGCCAAGGTCTGCTACAAGTGCCAGCAACCTGGTCACATCTCCCGTGATTGCCCTGAACAGCAATAATTTCTTCTCGATTTTTGGCTTGCTCTGTGTGTGTTTCCAGATTCATGTAAAATAAACATCTTCTGCCACTTTTGTACACAATTTATATGGTGATTTTCATGGAGCCTTATGCCGTGACGCTCTGCATGTGTGGGCTTTAATAAATGTCTGCATCCAGTAATTACATCCACTTGTCCCACTTGCTGATTCATCATCGAATGCATTGAATGTTTGTTCAATCATGCCAAAACTGAAAATCAGATTGTTTGTTTAAATTTATGCGTGAAATGGGCTTCACTGTCGTCGTCGTAACTCAGCCATTGTCATCGTACAGAAACAAAACAGAACTGCTCATCCGTTTCAAACGAGCAAAAAATCAATCATGATCAGATATCAAATTTTTATCGATTTTTTTTTTGCGTACTATGTATAAAAGAAACAAACAATAAAAACGCTTTATGATTTAGCGTCTCATTTTCTTGCGTGGTGCTTCTTCTTCTTCACCATTGCGTTTCATCTTTCGCTCATCCGCTAAAGCAATCAATACGTGTTAGTTTTAAATCGTCATACACACCTTATTCAAACAGTTGTTATACCTTTGCGCGCTTTTTCTTCTAATTCATCCCAATCTAATAACGAATAAAGCAAAAGAAGTTATTAGTGATCTAAAACTATCGCTATATGGCACGAATAACAAACCTTCGCCAGAGTCCGACAATTCTTCCTCTTCCTCTTCATCTTCCGACGCATTTGAACCATAATCGCTTTCATCGTCACTGGAGCTTTCTTCCAATTCTTCTGAACTAATTTCAAATTCACTGGCCGAATCTGATTGATCCTCAGGATCCTCATCCTATGATAAAAAAAAATATTACAAATTAAATAAACTATTCGTTTCGTTGAGACGAAAATCGTAACCTACATCGCTGCCGGCTCCAAGGAAATTCCAACCGCCATTCTTGTAGAATTCTGCAGGGTCCTCGTTCACTGTCTTCATGATCATACTCCAGTTGAGATTCACAGGGCCTTCTGTGAAAGCTACTTCGACAGAGCTATAACAGCCATTGAATATAATGTTTTACATACAACATCCATCACGCTGGACATCACTTACTCGAGCCAGTCTTTGACGTTATCAAGTTGCGCCATGGGAATAGTGTTGATCTGTATCGGTTGACGGTGGAAGTCTTTGAAGACAAACACCATATCAAAGTTCTTGAGACCAAACTGTACGCGCTCCAAGTGAGCAATTTCAATGTCGCTCAGCGTAATGATAAGGAAAGGAGGATCAGACAAATGAACCAGACAATCAGTGGTAGGTTGCAATAAAACATTGGATCGGAAAGGAACACCCTGGAAACCAAGTTCTCGGAACGGAATATCAACTTCGATACGTCCATCACTCTATACATCATCCAACCCTGTCAATTTCATTATTACATCTACATTGTTTAATCTCCCAACTTACTGCTTCTGCAATCTTTTCAGCAAACACCTTGAATTCTTTGTTGAGATTTGCTCGTCTCCTTCGTTCTTCTTGTTCCGATTCCAGCTCATCTTCATCACCATACACATGTCGTCGTCGCTTGTTACCAGTTTCATCAAACTGGATATCGGACGCTTCACGATAGAATTGAATGTCCTAAGCAAAGGATGTGTAAGCTTAATCACAATCTTATACTTATTTGTCCATGACTGATATTCGCTTTGTACCTTTGTCTTCTTCTTGCCAATCAGCACAGGGTTTTTGAAATGAATGTGGATTAGCACCAGGAGTTCGTTATCACAAGGCTGGAAGAACAAGTGTTTAACGTTGCTAAACAATACATCTACAAAATAGATTAGAAAAAAAGAGGTATTGACTCGTAGTTATTCGTGTTACTCACTGAAAGAGTTGTCTGAACGGATGGACTGATATCGTAGACCATTGGTATGGATTTCTAATTCACCAGGCAAACGTTTGCCGTCCACTTGGGGTCGGACATACACATCGGGTAACCGAAGCGGGCGACGTCCTTTGACCTGAATCAAGTTATCTTGCTCGACTACATCAGCCATTTCTTTGCGCTGAGCTTCCTTCTTGGCAGCGTCCTTCTTCAGGTCAGTGATATTGCGGAAGATTTCCGCCATACGATGTGTATCCGCACTACGGAACGTAAGTGCGCGAACAAAGGTGGCTGTAGGATCATCGAATGGCTACGTGATTTAAACGTTTAGCGTAAAACTGACACTACTATTGGTGATCTCAGTTTTTCATTGTCTTACCATATCCTCCTTCTTACCGCCTGCTTGTCCAGGTGTGAGGAAGTTCAAACGAAGCATGACGAAATCACCTTCGTCGCTCTTGCTTGCATTCTTCAAAGTAGAAATATGGAAAGGCACAGCCATACCGTAAATGGGAAGGATGATGGATTCAGCTCGTTTATCGACGATAATCTACGACAAACAGTTGTGAGCAATGGAACTAATCATTCAGCTATGTTCATCATAATCAGCCACTATTTACCTTTTGATCCCGGATTTCACGAGGAAGTTTGGCTTCGGTTCGGTAACTTTCGAACTTGCGGAAGACAGCTTTACTTTCGTTCTGGCCATTTTCTCCGCCTTCTGAGAATTTAGCAAGACCTTCAGCGAGTTTCTGAGCGAACAACTGCTTTTGATGTTCTTTGCGCTTCTGTTCACGAGATTCTTCTTCTTGCTCCTCACTGCGGAATTTGCTTCTCAAGATAGCCGATTTCGGCAACGGCTCTTTCTTGACGGGACGCGCAGGAGCTTTGCTTGCTTCCGCCATCTCGGCATCACCTCCTTCGTCCTTGAAGAAATATGAGATTTCGTTAAGTCGCTTGCTACAGTCCGTCAACATCGTAGGTGCTTCCATCGTCACACGAATCGTATCGATCAAAAGGAGCGAATACATCTTGCTGCGATCGTCGGCTGGTTTAGGGTTTTCTAAATCCGCAAAGCCCAAAGACAAATTCACAACCATGCCGTTCTTCAATTCTCGAACGTTTTTGGCGGATAACACATAACTGCCTTCGCGAAATTCAATGCCCATGCCGAAACCGATGTTCTTTGTGAAGTGTTTTTCCAAGTCAGGGCGCTTTGATTTGATATAACCAAGCGCCTTTTGGTAAATATCTTTGATTTTCACGCCGTCACGAATATTGTCGAGCACACGAGTTTGAAGATCGACCAAGAATTCGTAATTTTTTTCCTGGATTTTACTAGGATCGATCAGGAAAGTACGTCCAATGTTGGAGCAGTAGTATTTGTAACGTGCGCCGAGTGAGCAGATGATAACACCCGCATGCAATGGTTTGTTGTCTGAAACCGCAGATGATCGCAAATCGTAATTTCCGCCACTCTGAATAATGGGAGTGTAACACCAATCGATATCGTCCTTGTTCTCAACCTACACGAACCATTGATTAGTTGATGCGAGGGAGCACAAAATTAGTTGTTACAGTAATTAATATCTTATATCAACCTCGGGCGGAATACGCAAGCGTTTTGCCATCTTTGGATCCAGCAGAGCTTCTTCGGTTTGCTCAGCCAATTTCTCGTGGCTGACTTTCTTCTCCTCGTCCACGATTGTCGACATCTCGTCGATAAAGTAGTTCTTCATCACGTTGGAGCTAATCTTGGCGGCGATACGCATGGTTCTCTATGGAGATGGTGAGTTGGACGTCATCCCTGTATTGTTCAATGCGGGCATCACATACCACTTCTTCTTCATCCTTGACCGCTAAACATGCGGAAACGGCTGGAGCAATATCCACTTCCTCAAAGCTTTTGCCGGCTTGTTTCCATGCACGGTTCCATTCGTCCACATTTTTTCCCTTGAATTTATCCTTGACGATGACACCCACTCGTTTCTACACATATGCAACATCAAAAAAAAAGCCTGCACATTGTCTTTTTGCATAACAGGGACTTACGCCACTCAAAGCTTCCACCAAAGGTTCGTACAAGGGTACGTTCTGCTCGATATTCTTTCCACGTCGAATAATGTCCACTGGAACTTGCTTGTCACCTCGCTTGACGGTTTCCAGAACATCCGCTATAAAACATGTCGTTAAGCGATGGGTGATCTCAACGTTCCGACCAGGCAATGTACAGCTCTACCTTTCTTCATACTGCAAACAAATGTAATTTTCTCAGGAGTGAAGACGATTAGTGTTTGGAAGATGGGGAATCCCAACAGCCAGGTCTGTATTATCGTCAGCCATCAATGCCATGCTTGAGATTACTGCAAGATCACGATCATACCTGAGCTGTGACTGATTTTCGATAAGGATTTTCTTCGTCATCGTCACCGACAAGCAACACTAACGCATCCACATTTTGGAATAACTCGGCATTGGTAGGGCTCTATTATCCAATATTGACGTCGGTAAGCGTTGGAGCAACTCTGCAAGCGGTACTTTGGGCACGTTGCCAAAAGTGTGGCACAGCAAACCAATTATGGAGGATTTGCTTACCTTCCACTGAGAAAGCAGAAATCGGGCCCTCTTGTGAAAGCGCTTAGCGTCGATCTCGATCGTAGCCATCAATTAAAACGAAATGTCAAGGCACCACGCCGAGTAGATCGCAATAAAAAAAAAAGAACCGCGTCCAACATTTTCTCGCGATGAGCACAACGGGACCGCCATTTGCCGGACACCGCTCGGCGGCGCGAAATTGCTCGACGTGACGTAATTTTTCGCGCTCGCTCTTTTTGCGTTCCAGTCATCGTCTCTGTTCCTGTTCATAGCTGCCTCTATGTTTTGTCCCCCCAGCAACTCGTTTTTACCCTTTTAGCCCGTTCCAGTCCATTACATCAAGACTATAGACTATACAGTAGAAAGAGCCGATTTCTCGGATTTATGAACAAAGGACAAAAAAAGATAAGAAATAATGTCAAGATCGTTCATGTAAAGTGGTAGTGCAGCAGCAAGGGTTTAACGACAATATAGCAAATGTATCCTGTTAGCGATCTCTTGTAAATTTCGCCCCCTGGTCTAATACCATATTGACGAATACCATGTGGACGCTGTATAATGCTTCGCTCTCATCGTAAAACTCTGGGCGTGCTAAAAAGATTTCCATCTTCAAACAATGACAAAAAAAAGACGTCTACTTGTATGCTGATGTTATACATTATGCATTTTTTATTATTATTGCACAGAATGGTTATTTTATCATGGATATGTGTCTTTTTTTTGGGCGAAGGAAAATGATAAGAAAATAAGAAAAAGAGAAGAGTATGAATACAGGGTTGTAGGAGCTATGAAGGGTTTTTTATGATAAAAATGAAAGAAAAAGAAAAAAATAAGACTTCATCAACCGGCGACTTGGTCATTATTTTCTCTTATTTCTTCACTTGCAAACGATCAACAGGGAACTTCTTGGCCAAATAGGTATGGATAGGACCAAGAACGATGAACTTCTCGTAGCCTAAAGCAGCGGCCATGTTGGCAACACAGATACCCCACAACTTCCAACGGAAGTCCCACGGCATCACGTTATGACCAAGTGGTGTGTTATAGGGTTCAATGTTGGTGGGAGGTGGCGTGTAACCCATGGATTCAAGAACACTCTTGGTACCGCAGTTGAAACGGAAGAGACAACCGAAACGGTTGGGGCCTGCCAAAGTCCAGTAAGAAACGATAGCAATGTAGAGCAACCACAAGAACACAAGAGGATAGTTGCGCCAGAAGCTTCGACGGAACTTGTAACCAAAGTTGAATACCGCAGCGTTGTTGATAAACTGGAAGAGACACACCAAAGCGAGGACTTCAGCTTCGTAGTTATCTGCCAACAACCACCACTTGGACAAATCGACAGCCAATGCATCGAATTCATTGCAGCGGAACCAGTCTTGCTTGAATAACATAACAAAAGCACCGATAAGGAAGAGCCAGTTGATGGCAACCAAACCCATACCAGAGGCCAAAGTCTGAGGACCCAGTAAGCGAGCGGTAGGACGTTGATCATGGAGATGGGAAGCGGCCTTTGACTGAGACACAGCCCAGGTCATAAACACGGTGATAAACACATCAATAGCAATCCACACATTTTGACCCATGGTCACGGAGAAGTAGAAAGTATAGATCTTGAGCATCATCATAACTTGACCATACACTGCAGAAACAAAGCAACAAAGTGTGAGCACGGTTGCGCAAGTCATCATATAACACAATGCCAGTTCATCGCATACTTACAGATAAGGTACTTGTAACCGGTCAAAGAGGTGGCCAAAGCGGCTCTACCTTGACGAATCAACTCCACACAGGAGCTGACACTACGGATACTGGTACTGAAAGGAGACACAATGGAAGCTTCGGCATCCGACATAGCAATACCCACGTGGGCAGCACGCAGAGCACCACAATCGTTACCACCGTCACCAGTCATAGCCGTAATACCACGTTCCATGTGAAGTTGGATACATTGCACTTTGCCATTGGGGGTCATACGAGCGAACACACGAATGTCCAAAAGATACTTGCGAATCAAATCATGGTCAACCAACCAGTTGAAAGCCTTGCCGGTAACAGCAAGTTCCACAGGAGTATGGTTCTTGTTATACAGATATTCATCAACGTTGACATCAGAGAAGGTTTCGGGTTCATCGACATCGGTCCACACCAAGCGATCAGTACGTTTGTCCACATCACCAAGCAAGACCTTGGCACCAGATTCGGCCATACCACACTGACGAGCAATGTAAACACCAGTAAGAGCGGTATCACCAGTAATCATGATGGTACGGGTAGCACCACGCTTGAGTTCAGCAATGTTTTCAGTAGTATCAGGCTTCAACTGGTTCTTGAACACGATCAAACCGATAAAGTTAATTTCTTCTTCCATTTGGTCGCGAGTCCATTCACGGAAACCTTCCATGCCGCCAATCTGGTCAAGATGGATTTCACGATGAGCGAGGGCAAGCACATAGCAACCGTGGCGGGCAAGATCAGCCGTGGCGCGGTCATAGTCGGCGGGAACAGAGTCGGGAGTGGAAAGATCCTTGATCTTCTCGTAAGCACCCTTGACAAAGATATGGATCTTGTTGGTGTGTGTATCAAGAACGGCAACGGACATGGACATTCTGGCGTGAACAAATTCAAAGCGTTTCAAAACGTGAACATGAGCCTTGATGTCACCGGGAGCATCCACAGGAGGAGCAAGCGTGTCAACATATTCTTCATTGTCATCGTTGATATCTTGAAGCGTCCACTTGGAAGAACGGAACATTTCAATATCGACAGGGTTACCAATGAACTGACCGTTCAAGGTCGTGACAGCGTGACAAGTAGCCAAAGCAATTTGCATCAAACGAGGAATGTCTTGAATGTTTTCGCAGTGAGCATCGAATTCAGGAGTAACACCATTGGCACGCTGTTCAACGACGTTGTCCACGTTCTTGATGGGCTGGGCACCGTAGAATTCAAGACCTTCCTTGGTCAAAGTACCAGTCTTATCGAAACAGAAAAGCTGAACCTTGCCAGCCATCAAGATACGGGGCAAGTCAACACAGAAGATCTTCTTGCTGCTCAAACGACCAGCGGCAACAGATTGACCAACGACCAAGGCAGCAGGAAGCAAAGGCGAAACCAGTTGACAAATGGCAAACATGGCGTAGAACCAAGCGCTGGTACCACTGGTGTAGAGCCAGATAGCAAGACCAAGGCAGATAAGACCACAGCAAAGCAAGACCAAAATGACAATCTTGATCTGTTCGTCAAAGACAAAGGAAACACGAGTAGGGAACAGAATCTTCTTGACAAGTTCACCCTTATCAGTGGCAGTACCAGTTTGGGTGACGAGAGCGCATACACGACGACCGTGATCCGGCTGAGCCTGAGAAATGATAGTACCAGAGAAGATGGTGGAGATCTTGCCAGCGCCCATACGATCATAGGTAGCATGATCGTTATCTCGAAGAGGGAACTTTCGGATGGGCAAAGGTTCACCGGTCAACGATGATTCATCCGCCACAATGTTACCACTAAGGATAACGGCATCACAGGGGGTAGTCTTGCTTTCATCAACTTCGAACACATCACCAGGCACAAGGTCGGCGGTCGACATTTCTTGCCATTTACCGTCACGAAGAATGTTGACTTTATCGGTAAATTCAGCCATCTTCTTGATACGGAGTTCGGACCGCAAACGCACCACCACCTTGACGAAAGCAGAGACCAGAATGACAGCAGTATCGGCCACACCTACTTGCCAATAGGCGAAGTAGTAGAAGAGCCAAAGAGCATTGAATTGGTAAATGTAGAAGAAGGACGAGAATTCGCGGAGCACAGCCATAGCGAAGTTGGGGACATACACTTCAATGAAGTTGGTACCAATCAGTTCTTCACGCTTGGCAGCTTCTTCAGTGCTGAGACCATCCTTGAGGCTTGCCAATTCAGCCGGGGTATCACCCAAGTTGAATGCATGAGGAGAAAACAGTTGGGTTTCAGGATGATAGACATAACGGGTACATTGGTAGATGAAGTACTTGGTGCCAGACCGGGTCTTCTCCAATGAAGCGGTGGTTACAACAACATCAAGGCCAAAGAAATGCTTGAATGTCTTTTCGAGCCAGCGAACAGAATCCATGATAATATCATCATCTTCAAGGAAAATAATGGCTATTGCAAAACATAACAAGTTAATATCCACATGAAAAATTTCTTATTGATTTCTTTCCCCGATATTTACCTGGTTCCATTTTTTCGACCTGAACGTAATGACCCTCAGCATAGGTACATTGGATGCGGAAGAAGTTGGGAATGCGGCTCTTGAAGATGGTCAAGCAAGCAAACCAAATAAAGTTGACATACCATTGACCAATGAAGGTACTGGATTGAACCACTTGGTCACCCTTGAACATGAGATAGTCGTGATAGTAGTCGTAGACGACGGTAATCAAGTAACAGAGCATGCCAATAGTTTGCAAGATGTAGCAAATAAAGAAGAAAGAGCCAAGGTAATCACGCTTGTAGGCCTTGATAATCATTCTTTCCTCTTCGTTTTCAATAGAGGACATAGTGGAACGGCCATCAGTAGTGGGAGGTTGCTGGGAAGGAAGAAACAATGTCAGATTTCCGACCTAAATTCGAGACGAACCAATGACAAATGCTTACCGATTGATCCCGATGCTTTTCGCCAGCCTCGACATTGGCGGCCTTTTTCTCATCAACTGAATCGGAAGCTCGCTCACGATATTCTTCCATACGGCGCTCACGAATTTTGTGATAGTTCGCCTTAATCACCTATTTAAAAGTGAAAGGTCAAAGTCAGTATGGTTCCATAGTATTTTTCATGGGGGCGACGGGACATTTCCGATTCAGATATTCGATCAACTCAGCAGAAGAAAAGAAAAAAGGTGTGTACCTTTTCACGAGCCGACTTGTATAAAGTCCAGATGATCAAGAAACCAGCGCATGAGCCATAGAAGACAAAGAGAGCAATAAAGATAGGTTCATGGAAATTCAAAGCGCCATAATCAGGCGTAGGACAGTTGCCCCACATGATCGATTGAGGGTTGGATTCCCAAGCAGGAGTACCATCCAAGCCAGCATCAGCCGAGCAAGCTTTCAAGCTTAGAGCATCCTTATCATTGGCCACAAAGTTTTGAATGTCGACGTGCTGATTAGGTGCACAAGGATAAACGTTACCGACCAAGGCCGGTGCACCAGGACAGGCACATTTGGATTCGAGATCACTAGGGCATGATTCACGACATTGACCGTCAACACACCAAGTTTGTCCAGGTGGACAGGAAGGTTGCAAGCTTTGAGGACATTGTGAAACTTCTCTCACACATAATAGAGGACAAGGATAATCAAAGTAGGTCGGTAAGGGACATTGTGTGCCATTGGGATAATGGCCATTGACTTTAAATGAGGAGAAAAAACGGAGAAATTTTTGATTCATAAGTATGCAGATTCGAAACAATAACGCCAAAACAAAGAGAAGTTTGAATTGATCATTTACCTTCATTCCACGCAGGAATGGACCATACTAATGATGGCAATAAAGTCAATGTATAGAGCAACGCAAGTGGTACACTTAATTGCTTCATACAGAAAAAATACAGATATTGACAGAAACGACGATGCAAGAAAAATTTTAGAGTTCCCTTTATATAATTTCGTTTCATATTTTTTTTTCTTTCTACGAACAGCATAGTTTCAAACGCCCTGAATCCAGCAGATAGAAAAAAAAATTGAACTTCAGTAAATTCAAATGCAGCTGACACATTGGTTTTGCTTCTTTCCAATCTGATAGGTTGAAGTCGTCTGGGGAACCGATGGCTCTGACGGCAGCTGTGTAACTCTAATTTCTGTTTTGTGAATTGCAAATCAAGATGATCAAGGCACATCAATGCGCCGTGTTTTTAAATTCAAAGCATCCTGATCTGTGGATATGTGTGTTTATTTCGATGCATTAAATGTTGGTAAAACAAAACACTTGACAAATTCAGATGGCATATCGGCAAGTACCTGAGAAATGAGCTAACAGAAAATGGATGTTCGGACCTTGGTATGACAGACTGCCTTTCTTTTTGCAGAAAAAACCCCAAAAAGGGTACAGGGCGGCCTTCAATTTGACGTCAGAGACTTGCGAGTTTATATACCGGTATTTTAAGCTCATGGAATGTTGTGTTCCCGCGGTGTAAGGAAAGTTGGAAGTTTACTATTCGCTGCCAAAGTCCGTGCCACAACCGAAAGATCGGAAGGATCTTCAACTGGCGTCAACGCTTCTGCATGCGTAGATAAAATCACACAAAAAATGAGAAAAATAAGCTGCATATCCCCATGATTATTGCCATCGCTTTTTGACATGGCTTTGGGCGCTCTTTTTTTTTTCTTTTAGACCGCTGATAAAGCGAAATCATGGTGATTGGCTCGAAAAAGTTTTTTTAGTTCCCTATTCGCTGATTTGACAGCGTGGCTTCGTTCGATCCACCGACACTCCGCTGATTGATTAGAGACTTCCTCAAACCACGTGTCTTACAGGGCGAAACACTGTGAGAAGATTTCGGATCGGTTCAATAGAAGCTAAACCAAAGAAGAATTTGCTTTTTGGCAAACAATGTAGAGGAAATAGAGAAAGAGGACTGGTAATAAGGAGATCGAAAGATATAAACACCACGGTATTCTTTTTTTTATGGCACCGACTATGACGTACAGCATCTTTGAATACGTTTTATTATGGAAAAACAAAAGAAATGAGCCAGGAAGATCAATACATGCTCCAATAACGTTTGCCTCCAAATGCCCGAACATCGTCATTGAAAACAAAATATCCATTCGTCATTCGTCATGACAATGGAGAAAAACATTTTATTCAAAATAATGGAATAAAATAAGGGTCAGTTTCCGGTAATTCATGGTTGTGATGACAACGTCTAAAGTAAAGACACTTTTGTGTGTGGAAAATTTAATTACCCGCAGCGGACAACGATCATGGTGGGAAATGAGGTGCAACTCCACTTACATATCTCCGTTTTTGGTAGCGACCTCTATGTCAATGGGAGGCTTGCGAATCCAATATGTGCAGTACTACTTACTTTAAACGCTGTAGGCTTGAAATGTAGTGTCACCATCCTGCTCCTATCAACTTTTCGATGTAGCGTGCATATATCCGATGCTGCACCTGAAAATAAAGTTATCTCAGACAAAGCTATTCGTATTGCTCGACCCATGAAAAAAAATCGTTGTACTTGGTTCACAGATTTTTGTTTACCTGCCACATTATCGCTGAAAGTTGACCTATCAAATTGAAGCGTTGATTCAATAGTCAGGACGTCGCTGTTGATGTCAAGTATGACTCCTTATTGGTCGTTGGGCTGAATGCTCAGAATTTCAAACAGCGTCCTTGGGCGACATGGTGGTGTTTTTTTTTCTTTTTTTTTTTGAGGTTGCCGGATCGCCTTATCATTCGTTTAATGTCGCGCGATGCGAAAAGAGAGAGAAGAGAAAAAAAACGCTACGTCTTACATCATATCAATTCTCATCTGTTTAAGCACTTTTAAAGGAAAAGAAGAGAACATAACCGAACCTTTTAGTGACAAAAAAGCTCTGATTTTATGGTATGATGGATGACAACGCAAAAACAAATTCAGAAAGTTGCACTGTAATTTCCTGTTGTCGCACATCATAAGATCGGTAAAATGTTTGAAAAGAAAAATTGTACAAATGATATGCATAGCCAACATGGAAGGAAAAATCCGCTGTGTCAATAGAGGTTGAAGAAGACTGAACGGTGATGTTTTTTGACCTAACGTGTACGGTTCCAGACATTAGGGAACAATAAAAAAAAAAAAACTTATGCTAAAAAAACTGTTTTTAATTCTTATTCATCACCAATGAAAAAGAAGCAGCAAGCTGGACGATAAAGAAACCTCGGCAAAATGCGCCGATGCCGCTTCTTTATTTCTGGTAGGGGGACCAGGCGGACCGAATTTTTTGATTTTGGACGATTGTCGCACAAGAAATTTGGCATTGTTGTATAAACGCGTTAACTTTCTCGGCTCATGCTCCTTTCTATATTTTGAGATATAGTTTATTTGAGTAGTGAATATTTTCATGGAAGGATTACAAGGTCATATCATCTATGAAAATGACTGTCTCGAACTCATGGATCTATGTCATTGGTGAGGAAGCACACGCTATTCAGACAGTTAGCTCTCATACCGACTATTTGCGCACTCTGACGAGTGAATATCACTGTGAGCCTGTTACACATGTCAATGAATTAACTGAGCTGATGAGCGTATCAAATATACGACTGCTGTATAACATACACTGACAAAGATTAAATTTAGCTGCTTTAAATTGATGTTTGAAAACGTTTAAGCGCGTTGACAGCGGCGAAGCAGTTAGGAATTTCATGTTTTTCTCAGTACCACAGCGGAGTTGACAATATGAAAAGGAATCACTCCCCTTCGCATTCTTCATGGATCATAAAACAGTTATCTCTGAATACGTTCATGAAAATCTGTCAGTTGTTCTTGAAGATGGAGCTGTCAGGTATTTGAGGGTCTCCAAGTATCTAAAACTAGACTCTATCGAGTTGTGAAGAATGAATGCAAATTCACATTGAGAAAAAGCATGATTCCACCTGTAGTAGAAATTGACAAGGCTAAAATACAAGAGCCCTAGATTGGGTATGCAAATTATCTCAGCTTCCTTAATGGTAATAGATGGGATGGAGAATGATAAACATACGGAAGGGCAATATTTGATATGTGGTAATGGCTAATGTTCGGAAGACTGAAGAAATGTCTGGGCATATTGAACCTCGAGGATATCGATGCGTTACACATATCTTCCATGATACTTGCTTGAACTATTGAGCAATTTTATAACGAGTAGAGGATAAGAGATAAGTTTCTGCTTAGAGAGACTTTAAGAACACGAATCAGTGATGCATCCAAGTAGTTTCGATTGAAAGATTTCAAAGCTTTGCTTCTCTTCTTAGCGACGCTTATATAACAACTACATTATTGGCCACTTTAACCTGAAAAAAATAAGTAACACTTTATTTGGAGACGGCTAATGGCGCATTCTTGTTTGCCGTTCCTTTTCAGTTTTTACTGACGTTGATCGCTTGCGAAGAATAAAGCCACCGTCACTGACCCAACTTTGTTGATGGTCTGCGGGTATCTTCTTCATCGTCGTCTTTCGTCGGTTCACGAGAGCTTCGATCTTCTTGGCGGCATTCATCGCAATATCCTTGACTTACATCAACCGTGTAACAACTGCGAGCAAGCAGATTATCTCCCCAAGGGATTCGAACATCGTCAGTTCACTGAGCTTGGTGATCCTGTGTAGTTTCGGCGATGAGATCAAAATTGCGAAAGTGATAATCTTATGACCTTGGATCAAGACACCCGCCACGGACGGTTGGCGACTCCGAGCGGAATAAAATCGTTGATCATGCAACGCATCTCTTGCCAATTCTCACGAGATCGGCTTCGAACCGAGGGGGAAAGCCAGGCCATTTAAACTGGCCTACGATCACCGAGTGAACGGCTTTCACGCTCCCAGCGAAAACAGGTTTGATTATATCCACTTTTTTATTCATTTTATCGGGCTCTTGCCTATCAACCTCGGTGACCTTGCCTACAATGGATGAGTCAATATATACTCGAAGAACAACACCGAAATATCCGTTGACATACCACGATCAGTTTTCTTATTCTTGTATCTTTATTCACTTTGTACTCTTGTTCAGATGGTGATTTGCCCAATCGATCTTCAACAAAGGCTTGTAGTCAAAGATGGTCTTGAATGTGGGCGCAATGCTACCTTGCCATGCTTGACGGTGAGACCAGGATAATGGGGCTTCAAGGGATCGCCAGGACGTGACCAGCAATGCTATGAACGTGAGAATCTTCGATTGAATAATCCGGCGGACCAGCAACAAAGATCGGCAACAGCTGTAACATTGATTGCATTGTATGTACATCGACCTTGGTTTCGGTCCCAATGGCTTCAGCGAGATGCGACGCTGTTGTTGATAACAGTGTCATCCAATCGTCCTAGTTGGCTTGACTTAAAATCGAAACGCCACTGTGGTGATTGCAGCGGTCTTGGAGGCGCATTGATGGGCACTGGTATAATGATTTTTTGGTGCAATTCTGAGTTCCAATCCTTGGAAACCGAGGTCGAGTGCCTGCCAATTGTCGCAGATCCGACATCTGTCCTACGGGATTCCGTAGTTTGACATGTAGGGTATCACCGACGCACTTGCGTGCATCCGCAACGTCCAATTAAGTGGTAAAAAAAAACGAGCTTCGAGATGCGATACAGGCTAGCTTCAGCAAGTGAAACAGTTTGTATGGATAGCACAATTCGACGATGTCTCGTTTTCATCACTGTGACCACAGTCATATCGAAATAACAGTCGTTTTTGTGGCCCTGATGGTAATCGTCAGGCAAATCAGAGGAGATGTTTTTATTGAGTTGGTACGATTCAACGGGGACCAGATCAAAAAAGGTTGAAGATATGCGCTTATCTTCTATTTCTTCCGCACAACCACATCGACTTCTGCGCAGTCCCAGTCCTAGCCTTTGAAGCCTACGATGGTTCTCCCGTTCAAGCTCCATTGATCTGCTCCCCTATGGTCCGACTATGGATCTCCACGGATAATGATGGTCCTACCCGTTCCCTGAACTCTTCCTGGGCAACGTCATCACCAAACATCGCCCAAAACCCACTCCACCGTCTGCTCGTCGGATTGTTGACAATGCAAGAGGCGTCCAGCCAATTGCCGGGCCACAAATATATCTGGTTCACCGGTTCTCACCGCATGTTCCGCCCAGAAATCCGCGACTATAATTTCAATAACGACTGTGACCACAGCTATCCATTATGATGACAACAATGAAAACAACGAACCTTCCTGGGTGATCAGCAGGAGCAGCAGCACCGATATTGTTGCATTGTGTTATCATTCAAAAGCAACACGTTAAAGCTACGAAATCCTGTGGAACAGATGTCGGATCTGCGACAATTTGGCGCTGCACGATATTTATCTCTTTGACACCGCCCAGCACTCAACCACGGTTTCCAAGGATTGGAACTCAGAATTGCACCAAAAGATCATTACATCGTTGCCAGTCAATCTGGCCCTAAGACCTCTTCAATCATTACAATGATGTTTCGATTTAAGTCAAGGAAACTATGACGATTGGATGACACCATTATCAACAGCAGCGTCGCACCTCATTGAAGCCATTGCGACCGAAACATGGTGGACGTACACACAAAGCAATCGAAGGTACAGCGGTTGCCGATTTGCTGCTGGTCCGCCGGATTGTTCCATCGAAGACTCTTACGTTCACAAATGCATAACGCCCAGTTTCAAGTCTATCTTTGACTGACTATTATGCATCGACTACGGGATGGTCCATGTAACCAGACGAGAGGGTGGTGTTAAGTGCTTTCACAAGACAAGACAAGGTGGAGAACAAGATGGTATGGGAGAATACAGAATTCGACAGTGTCTTTTCAAGTGCCAAGGCCGTCCATTCATGGGTCTCGGTAACCGTAGGCGACAATTAGGTCTTATTCAGCTCGGAGTCGTCAACCCGTCCGTTGTGGGTGTCTTGATCCAAGGTCATAAAATTACCACTTTCCCAATTCGGTCTCATATCGTCGAAACTTGACGATATTGGAATGCCTTGGGGGAGATAATCTGCTTGCCCGCTATTGTCACCCGTATGATGCAAGTCAAGGAGATTGCGATGAATACCGCCAAGAAGGACGAAGGTCGAATCTCTCGTGAACCAGCGAAAGACGTCGATGAAGAGCATACCCCCAAGCCATCAACAAAGTTGGGTCAGTGACGGTGGCTTTATCTTGCGCAAGCGATCAACGTCAGTAAAAACTAAAAATGAACGGCAAACAAGAATGCGCCATTAGCCGTGTCCAAAAAAAGTATTACTTTCTTTTTACATTTTCAATTGTATTTTTTGCAGGTTGAAGTGGCGATAATATAGTTTCCCCATTGAGACACTCATCTAAGTATCGATAAAAAATGAGGAAGCGAACCTTTAGAATCACTCAACCTTATACTATTGGATGCGTCACTGATTCACGTTGTCAAAGTCTCTCCATCCAAGAACTTGTTACTTTCGTACCCTACTCTTATAACAGATCAAAGCTGCCAAACAAAATCGAATTCAAGCGAGTATGGTGAAAGATAGACTCATCGAATTATCTTCGAGGATCAATACGTCTAGAATTCTTCAGCCTTAGGATAGGAGCATTATCCGCTACCAAATAAATGCCCCCCTCATACGCTTCTACTTGTCCATCACATCTATTGTTATTGAAAGACGTAGACTTTGCAAATGGTGTTTATTAGATTGTTTTTTATCGGTTGCACAACACAATGTCTTTAGATGGTGAGTTCCTAATAAATCGCATGAACATATTAGAATCGAAATGTTTACTGAAAAGGACAAAAGACCACTTACCATGATAGCATTGACGATATCGTTGTTGTTGTTCTTCAAAGCCTTGATAGCCTTGTTGCGGGAGACATTGGCCTGGCTGACAACCAATTCGATGTCCTTCTCCTCAACACCAGTAGCATCGACTTCTTCATCATCCTCTTCCTCAGCAGCGGCATCAGCGGAAGGAGCAGCAGCTTCAGCTTCTTCGGCCTTGGCAGCAGCTTCAGCAGCGAGCTGTTGAGCAGCAGCCTGCTGGGCACGGGCTTGCATGTTTTCCATTTCCATTTCACCGAAAACGATGTAGGTGTCAGAGTTGACACTCTTGTACACATCAGGTCTGGTGATGGCGAAGACAACCTGTGAGCGAGGAAAAATGAACCAAATCACATTAGACATGAACGCGAAAAAAAAAATGGATGAAGCAGAATAAAAGGGAATACATACACCGCGACCACGAGTGAAAGTAACGCGGGTGATACCAGCGACGGGCTTCAAGCCGTTGTTCAAGATGGTCTTGCGAGCCTTCTTTTCACCACGGGACTGGGGAGTATCGGCAACAGTGGTGTTTTCAACTTGTTCCTCGGCGACCTGCTGCTCGACGGGCTTCTCTTCAACGGGGGCGGACATCTAACGAGCCATGATGAGTATCTTACTCAATAAACCAACCATAATAATCGCTGAATGAACTCGATTCAAAAGAATGGTGCATGCATGTCACTCCCGCGCGACTAAAGAACCCCATCAAGCGTGCAATGACAAAGAAAACTAGCGTGACATCGTCGTGTCATTCAAATCGAACTTGTCCAAATCACGTATCCATTCATCCATCCATCTGAAAAAAAAATCCAGCATGCATCCATTCTTTTGTCGATGTTCATCCGTGATTACGATTGACTATGCCCATGTTGACTAACTTACGATGCTTAGATGTGATGGAAAGAGGAAGATTTCTCGATGACCGGGCCTGACTTTCAATACCACCGGACGAGGGTTTCGTAACTCCCCAAATTCGGAATCTCGAAAATTTGGTCGTTGAACACGTCACACCCCTAATGCGCCAGTCAATTTTCAAAAAAGGACACGCAACCGTCTCTTTTTCGTTACTTAACCTCGTTCATAATGGAGTGTCTTTTCGGTATTACAGGCAAAGATTTCACGTTGTTGGTTGCAGACACCAACTCAGCTCGCAGTATTGTGGTGATGAAGTCGACTGAAGATAAATCGCGCGACCTGAACGACTCCACGGTCATGTTGTATTCAGGCGAACCTGGCGATACAGTCAACTTTGCCGAATATATTCAACGCAACATCAAATTGTACAGCATTCGCAACGGTATTGAACTGAGTCCAAAGGCAGTAGCCACTTTCACACGTCGTGAATTGGCAGATTCGCTTCGAAGCAGAGTAAGGCTCATTTTACCTTTTTTTTTTATGACGGCGTGGAACTCAATGTACTCATTGTACTTTACTTTTGCTTCTTTTTTTTGCATATTAGCATCCTTACTCTGTGAATTTGATTATTGGTGGTTACGATCGTAAAGCGGAAAAATCGGAATTGTTCTGGATCGATTATCTGGGAGCCATGGCGTCACTTCCATTTGCAGCACAAGGCTACGGTGCCTACTTTTGCACATCTTTAATGGATCGTTACTACCGCCCAGATATGGATTTAGAAGAAGCAAAGAAGATCATGCGTATGTGCGTAGAAGAACTAAAGACCCGATTTATTGTGCATATGCCCAAGTTCTCGGCGAAACTGGTCAACAAGGATGGCGTGACAGAAATCGAACTTTAAAAAAGCACAACGGCCTTTATTTCTATTCAAATGCGACGAATTTCTACATGTGTATAATGTTGGCTTTTTAAAAAGGAAACAAACGTATTAAAAAACCGATTCCCTATATAACTGTCTCGAGCATTCATTTTGCTAAAAAAGTGAAAGGTTCATTCATGTATGCTATTTCTTTTCTTTGTCTTCATTTTCTGATACCATTAGTTTCTCGAATCCTTTCGCAATATCTTGTCGAGCCTAATGAAAAAAATAATTCCATTCGTCAGGTAGGGTCAACGCATGTCTTATGATTCCAAACTTACCAGCTCACTCGCAGGCGCCTTGGGATTCAAATATCCCATAAAAAAGTTAATAGCGACCCACTTGTTGTTAACCGTGCCCAAATCCTTTCCCTGTTAAGGACACGCAAATATAAAACCGTTAGATATTTGAAAATTCGCTCACAGCATCGTCTCTTGTCTGAATGGGATTTACCTCGAACTCCATTTTAAGTCCACCTTCCCTCGTCTTTGTAAATACAAACTCTGTATTGCTTTTCACTTTGGCGTTGATAAAAATGGTCTTGAATTCTTGAATGCCTTTAATCACATCCATCTCCTGATCCTCGGTCCAGTCGGCGTTCTGTTCTCGCATACGTTGCAACAACGCTCGGGTAAATCCATCACGTAAATGTTGGGTATTCGTGGCTCGAACAGGAACTTTTGTTTCCAATTGCATAAATTAGGCTTGATGCCCTGTACCTTGAGACACTATTGTCAACATACCAATACGAATACTGACATCCATCGGCTGATGCAGCAATGCCAAGGCCAGTTTCTCGTCTCCCAAGAACTCGCGTTTATCGAAATCCTATGCAATTGGGTCAATGAATATGCGTCTTCAAGGGCAAGATGACCCGTTCCTTGAATTTTTTTTTTTTTACCTTCCAGCCTTCAACCTGTCGCAATGCGCCAATATCCTCGCCTCGCATATACAATCCGAGAACGTAGACATTAAGGTTCATGAAACTCACTTGTCGGGCCCCCAAACCAATAAGACGTTTCCATTCAGAGCCGGTCTGCAAGTTGATGGGAAATGCAAGCTTTGTCTCAGGATCTAGTGGTCCTAACGGTGAGTCGAGTTATTCACAGGTCAGCTGCAAAAGCCTACCTTCTACCGTGCCAGCGTAAGCGGTGGCAGCTTCGGAAAGAACCACAGAATGTTGTGTTTGCCAGGCATAATAAGCACTGCCGAAACCCAATCCCAAAACGGCCCAAGCACCTACCCGGGCGGCGGATGGCCAGCGATGCTGCTTGCATAAACTAAATATCTGTCACTTTGTCTCCATAGTGATAACAAGCTTACTTTAGCCACTGTGGCAGAGGCCGTGGCAAAGGATCGTGAAGAAATGACAGCCGGGGAGACAAAGGTCAATCGTGCCAAAGGACGTGTAAAGCGATTCATGGTGAGTGGCAAGAAATAGTGGTTCGATTCCAACACAATTAAAAAAAAACCCTTACCGTAATTCCAGCAGAGGTCAGGTGACCACTGGATGCGGAGTGCTAATTCACTAAAACAAGTAAACTCGTCACATCCACCAAAATGCTGCAAAGGCGTTGGTTGTCTCCCCTTTGACTTTCGGATCTATACTTATTCGGCACCATGGTAAGCTTGAAAGACAAGTAAATCTGCAAATGTCAACTGACTGACCAATTCATGGGGCAACCTTAGGCTCGTAATGAAGAAAAAGCGCAATCTATGCTGTACCGTTTCCGCGAAGCGCAAGCAGCGGAACTGGGCGGTATCAGTCGACGACAGAAACGTCCTGGTGCTGCTTCCTCTGTCAACAATATAGGCGAATGTGAGAAATGGCGCCGAGATGTATTACAGGAAATTTCGCGAAAAGTTTCCAAGATTCAAGACAGTAAGTACCCATTGCCTGTTCAGCTATGGCTTGCAATTGTAGAGATGGCGATCTTGACCATTTTCATTGTTTCTGCACACAGCGAGTTTATCCGATTACCAAGTACGCGATCTGAATGACGAGATCAATCGCTTGATGCGAGAAAAATACTATTGGGAACGAAGAATACGAGAACTCGGTGGTGCAGTCTACTCTGTAAGTGGAAGCTCCATAGGCCTCCCTTTGGGTACTCTACTGTTGAAGTAGCGCTTATTTGACTTTTTTTTTTTACAGCGTGCACCTAAAATGATTGATGCCGAAGGCAAAGAGGTACCGGGTCATCGAGGATACAAGTAAGTTGCTGATTATTGTCACAAGATTTGCTCGAGGCAAGCATATTGATTGATCGCAAAACACCAGATATTTCGGTCGTGCGAAGGATTTACCAGGTGTACGAGAACTGTTCGAAACGGAAGCCGCTGAACCTGTATCACGTACTCGTGCCGAGATATATCGTAACATTGACGCAGATTATTACGGCTATCGCGACGAAGAAGATGGTCTGATATTGGAATACGAGAAGCAGCGTGAACCGGAACTTGTAGAGCGAGCATTAAATAGACCTGACGAAGAACCGGAAGAAGAAGCCGGTGAAGCGGAAACCGATCAAAAATCACAGGCAAAGGACAAAGCGGATCACCAACCCATGGATCTCGATAAAGATGTGGTGGATGTGCCGGTACCAAGTCAGGAGGATGTAGAGAAATACCTTGTGGAAAGGAGGAGACAAGAGGTAGGTTCTTCTGGCATTTTGGCGAGAGAATATTATGCTAATGGCAATGGTTTAGTTGTTGGAGAAATACGTGTCCGATGATTTGAAGCATATCACAGAAGAAACAAAAGAGTTAACAGGCATGTCATAGAATCGACGTCAATCAGTAAAAAGAACAAAGTGTTTTCTATTTTTTTTTTTTTTTTCAAATGCCCATTTGTCCATTTTGGTGCCATGGTTTTTGGCCTGTTCTATTACAACGGCATTTGTATCAAATCTCGAGATTTCCCATCTTTCAACGTTATTGCTTGATAACACTTGCATCAGTAATATTACCCACATCCTTCATGGAAAATAATTGGAAGAATTGGTAGCGAAATATCCTGTCAAAGTAGTTTAAACGCGAATAATAAGCTCGCCCATGGATCAACTTGTAGGTTCCGATTCAAGTAGGCTGGATATCTTATAATTTTCCCTCACATTTCGAGTCAGGCATGGAAGGGAAGTACAACAGAGCTATAGCCATACCAACGGAGCGTATACAATGACTACGGGGAGTATCCCACTTGCCAATGGCTGTATGTTGGAGCTATAAGGTGTTCTCATGCTGTATTTATTAGGTGTCTGAGGTCATTTTGTAAGGGTTTTGCAGCTCGGTGCGATCCACACGAACAAAGCTCTCCCATTGGGTCCGCCGAAATGCGAAATTTTTCGTTTGGAAGAGCGGAGTTGGGACATGCAAACACGATATTCCACCCGTTGCAAGAAAGAGAGTTTCGACACAACAGCATCATGTCACTCCCAAGATTATGCTCTCGAATTCGCTTTGCGGCAGGTCCAGCATTTGCTTACCATGCAAAACGCATGGCTTCAAGTCACACTACCAAAGTAGTTGAGCGCGAATTACCGCAAATGTCTTCAAAGTCTCGTGTACCGTACTATATTGGAGGTGCAATCGTTGGCACCGCAGTTTGGGTGGTTGGCTTGTCGTCTGCTCTGAATTATCAACGTTTATCTAGCAGCGTTGTCAGCGGTACTCTGTTTACAGTTCGCTATGATCCTCTTGTTGTGGCACTCCTGGGTGACAACATCGATTATGCAGACAAATGGCCATGGATTACCGGCTCAGTCAATCATTTGCAAGGCAAAGTGAATATCTCGTTTGACGTTGTTGGTTCGAAAGGTAATTGCCATTTTATGATCAATAAGGGAAAATAGGGATAGGAATAAGCGTTGTTTTGGGAGACAAAAGAGCGTGGAGGGGGAAACACGATAAGCTCAGTCTAGTTGTTCATTATATACTCAACAAAATCACAATTGCATAGGTGAACGTGCGCGAGTCAAATTTTCTTCTGTTCGCCAAGGGCCGGCATGGCGTACAATTGAATTTACCGTGACCCGAGAATCAGACGGTCAAGTTGTCGATATCGGTCAGCAGGAACTTACGGAAGTAGGCGCACCCCTTGTACCGCTACTTTAAACACACCTTTTTTGTAGAATAATCACATAGAATAAATGCTGTTCTGTATAAATCAACCCTTGAACCTCACTTTTTTCAGCTTATGCTAAGAGGAACCTTATAATTACGACGGTTTGACATTTTGCAATATCGTCTTAGAATTGTTTCTTTTCGTGTTCAACTCAAATCCCAAACAACATAGGCGTCTGTAAAGTTTATTCGAAAACGAAATGCAATTATACATTACTCAGTTGGAAAGGCCAATGGGATGAGTAGCGATCATCGATGGTATTGGAGCAAATCATCACTGTAGCATCCGGTTGATCAAAGCAATACATGCGATCCAAGGGCTTTTCTGTGGGACGGACATACGAAGAAAGCCCGCGGTGGGGGTCTTCCGGCAATGATGCCTGCCATCCCTGCACAGACAATAGAGAATAGGAAGAAGCAGAAGTATTCGTGGAGGGTGCCACATTGTAACCCACGATCAATGATGATTTCGCTTTTCTGTTTGAGTCTTGTAGTCCACAATTAGTTTCCCATCGAACGGCGCCACCCGTCCATTCCCGAATAAGATGTAAGATGCGTTCTTTGACTTCCTGCGTAGCGGCTGGCAAGGGCTGAGGCAATAAATCGCGAGGAAGATTTGAGTCGTTAGGGTTTGCATAAGGAGCTAATATGGTATCAGAAGGCGACTTGGTTGCTTTATTCGCCATAGGAGCTTTATGCGGCAGCGACAGTTTGACAATCTTCTCGTTTGGAGTATTAGTGGTCGAAGTAGAGCTCATGGGAGCTTTTGCAGAGGGTTTTGATGAAGATGAACGCACAGGTACAGCACTCGTGTTTTTGGTGGACGAATGATTTGGAAGATGGGTCTTCTTCACAGCGGTTTGACGTTTGGGGACGAGTACTTTCAAGCGTGCTATTTCCATATCATGCGAACTTGGTAAGGCGACGTCAGGCGTATTTGTCGCCGATATGGGTGGAGATCGTAATTTTTGTTTAATGGACGTGGGATCGTTCCACGCTGATTTGATATTCCTCTTTTCATCTTCCACTACGGAGTGGACCAAGTTGGGGAACTCATGTTCAAACTCTTTGGGAGACGGCGGTGTAGAGCTTGTAGTCGAAGATAAAGATGATTGTGGCGATGGTTGATGAAAATGAGAGGGTTTATGAAATGCTGTTGCATAGGATGAATGGGTTTGAGATGGACGACCTGTTCGCAGATGTACCGGATAAGGCGCGGAATTAGATGAATGTGGAGAAAGCGAACTTATATCTTTATCGGAAATGAAAGAATAGAAACAAAAAAACCTATTAGATACGTCGCTTCCAGGTGAAGACTGCATTTTTTTCTCCTTTTTTTTTTCTTTATTCCGATCCTTTATGCTGTCACCCATCTCCTTCTTCCATTCACTTCTTTTACTTTTATTTGTCAATCATTGCTTTCATTTACCTGTATCATTGGATAACCATGGTATCGAGTGTCTGTCGTTCTCCATGACCTCACGATGCGCTAATAACACAGACGTAAGCAAGAGATATCCGTCGTCGACATAACGTCGAATTCATTAAAAAAAAGGGAAGATACAAACCAGCATCACACGATGAAAATGCCAACGCTGGCCATTGCTTGATGGATGATGGTTGGTTGTTGGATGACGATTGCATCCAACTAGGCGCAAAAACATAGGCTGAGGAACGACGTATGGAAGACGTTGAATTGTGTTTTCCAGGAACGGCTTGACTATCCACAAGAGCTTGTTTCGTTTTTAGAGCACCAACGGCAGGAGCCATGAGGAGAATGAAAGTTCAGCCCGAAGACTTTACAGTAGAAGCACGTTATTGCCAGCAATGGTGCGTACGAGAAAACGACAATGTGAATTCAACAATCGAAAAAAAGGGGAAAGTAGGCCACAAATGCAAATTGACGACAACGAAGGGAAGTGAAATGGCGTGTCAAAAAAATATAACTGCAGGTCAACTCGTTTGGCGGAATATGTGAATGCTTTGGAAATGGAATGGATTCTTTTTCTCTTTTTCTCTTTTTTTTTCTTGGGTGTGCGTAGATAAAATAGTTTTATAAAGACGGAAGAATATGCAGCAGGAGGTTATTGAACAGTATAAATAAAAATAGTATGAATGCAAATATAAATTACAAAAATTCTCAATAGAGCAAAACCAAAGACATCGAGTTTTTCAAAAAGGGAAGAAAAAGAGTACTACAACGTAATATGAACCAGCAACAAGCAGAAATTCAGTGGCAATGACAAAGAAGCAAAAAGGAAAAAATCGGAAAATGAAATAGAAAATGCGGACTGAGTTACGATTCTCACACCCCTCAAACGTCATTGAAAATGGGAATTTTTTTCCCTCATGCAACCCATCCGTGATTCCAACAAGCAATGTCGTCAGGCACTTGGAAATTGATGTCTCCGTCCCGATCAAGGTCAATATCACTCAATATAAAATTTCTCATGAATTATGGCCTTTTTTTATATGCCACGAAGGATTCGTCCATGGGGGAATTAGAGAAAAAAAAATCCCCTCTCCCAGTCTCAATAGCAATGCATCGATATATTGCATCGGTGTCACCGTGGCTACGGTTGACCGATCGACTTATCCACCTATATTTTTGAATAACAACGCAAACCATCCATTAAAGTTTTTAGGTAAGATTTAGCAAAAGGCTGACCGTCAGCCCTTGCACCTTTCTCTTGACTCTTGCTCTGTCCTGGAGATGACCGGCACTTTGTAGACCACTATTTGTTGAATTCTTATTTTCTCACACAAGTATACACTGAGAATTACAATGATCCGCAAAAGATTTTTGATTATTCAGAATAATCGCATGACTGTCAGTTCACCGTTGATTTAAAGTCACCCACGCCGATATAACAACGATGGATTCTTGTATCTGCAATCTCAGCGGCACTTCTCACATGTCCATTATGCCTGGCCATGTGGCTTTGGCCGCTGCTATGATGCATACGGGCATTGCAAACCACTTCCTGGCAGCGCATAATAAATACCTGCCGCAGAAATACCAAAACAACCAATTCAGCGCCTCAAAGCATTCCTCCTATACTTGGGAGCCACATTTTTATCAATGCTTAAAGGAAGCCATCATCAAATTCCCGTTTGTATATTGCTGATTCTACACGGCTCATCTCCCCATTCGAAGCAATACACTCTCTCAATATGAAAAGGTATCATGAGGAGGGTATGGTTACGCCATCTGTGGAATCGATTTCGCCACTTCATTGTGAAACGTACAATCCATCTCTTCAGGGCACGGAGTTTGATAAAAATGTCGCTGAATAGGCTCATCGCACAGATTGCACGACGTGACATTGTCAATAACATCATCAATCTCAATATGCATAAACAAATAAAACTTGTTGGCTTCAATATTTTTTATTTCTTCTTCTTATTCCGTCTCTTCCATCGTTTATTAGTATCACAATTGTTCGGAGAGATGACAGTATCTGATATTCAGAACCTTAAGCTTTCCAATGGAAAGGTCATTCAAGGTAAGGGCTAACAAACGAAAAGGCAAATAAAGAACTGGGTCATACTCATGCGGTTGAATCTGTAGCTCACACCTATCTTTTCATTAACAATGAATTTGTTCCCGGTCGGGGACCATTGATCGAGACAATCAATCCAGCTACAGAAGAAGCTATCTGCTCTGTGCAATCTGCTAGTGAGGAAGATGTCGACGCGGCTGTTCGTGCCGCTACTCAGTGCTATGAATCGGTGTGGCGAAAAACATCACCGGCTGATCGTGGTCGCCTCATCAATAAGTTGGCCGACCTGATGGAAAGAGATATCGAAGAGTTGGCTGCTTTGGATGCCCTTGATAACGGCAAATCCTTTGTCATTGCTCGCGACGGTGACATTACCGATTCCATTGCCTGTTTTAGATACTTTGCGGGCTGGGCTGACAAGATCCACGGCAAAACTATAGATACTACGTTTGATAAATGGTGTTATACGCGTCATGAACCTTTAGGTGTCGTTGGCGCTATTATTCCATGGAATTATCCAACTATGATGGCAGCCTGGAAATTTGCTCCGGCTTTGGCGGCCGGTAATTGCGGTAAGTTTAAATTTGAGAACGATGACAGCGGTTTTGAAGATTTACATTACTGTTGTCTCACATAATTATGAAAGTCGTGATGAAGACGTCGGAAATTACTCCATTATCTGCTTATAAATTTGCCGCTCTGGTGAAAGAAGCGGGTTTCCCACCTGTAAGTAATGAGGCGAGGATTGATGTTCAATATGTGGTACACACACTCACATCTATCTGCACAGGGCGTCGTCAACATCATCACAGGATATGGACATACCGTTGGCAAATACCTAAGCCAGCATTTGGGTATCGCAAAGATGGCTTTTACTGGGTCTACACTGACAGGGCAGAAAATCATGGAATCATCTGCGCAAAGTAACCTGAAGAAGCTCCAGTTAGAGCTGGGAGGAAAATCCGCTCAAATCGTGTGTGCGGATGCAGACATTCCGAACGCCGCCGAAAAAGCTTGCTTCGGCATCTTTAATAATCATGGACAAAACTGCAATGCCGGAACTCGCATCTTTGTGCACGAATCAATCCACGATGAATTCTTGGCGGCGTTTGTGCGACATGTCGAGAGTATCAAGTTGGGCGATCCATTCGATCCCGAGACCTTTCAGGGGCCACAAATCAACAAGGCCCAGTTTGACCGAATTCTGGATTATATTGCCATTGGAGAAAAAGAAGGCGCTTCTCTTTATCTTGGCGGCAAACGCTGGCAAGACAAAGGTTATTTTATCGAACCTACCATCTTCATCCATTGCCGAAACGACATGCGTATTATGCAAGAAGAGATCTTTGGTCCCGTCGTGTGCATCAGTACTTTCAAAACGATTGACGAAGCTATTGAACTGGCGAACGATTCCAAATTTGGTCTAGCTGGTGGCGTCTACACCAGTAATCTCGACACCGCCATCAGGGTGTCAAATGAACTCAAAGCTGGTACGGTCTGGGTGAATTGCTTCGATGTTTTTGATCAAGCCACACCTTTTGGCGGATACAAACAATCCGGATTTGGTAAAGAGCTGGGAAAGTACGCGTTGCAGGAATATACCCAAGTAAAGGTGGTGAAAATTCAACTGGGCGCGTCGAATGGCTTATAATAAAACAGCAATAAGTCACCTTTAAGCTATTATTTCATCGGACTGGGCTGAATTTGATAAGCAAATCAGAAATAGACGATAGATCATTGCAAACCAAAAATCATCAAAATGATACCTATAAAATAAGCTCATTACATTGATGCGATGTGCAAGGTGGAATAGGAAAAATAGTCGATCAGAAGGGTTTGCCGCATTTGATGAACACGTAATACATTATCGAACCTATATGTGCCGTATTGTGTTTGTGTGGGTGTTGAAGTGTATTATAATGTGCTTCCCAGGAATCCGATTACAGATTAAATCAGTGCGCCAACCTAAATTGGAGATTCATGGAAAATAGGAAATTAGACGCATATGCGAGATGGAAGAGGTAAAGCTATAAGAAAAAGCACTTGGAACCTATTTTGAACATTTAGCAGGATGGGACTGTTGTCAATTTTTTAAAGTATAAAAGTCGTGGCCTTTGTTTTCTCTCTTTTTCCTTTTCTTTCCCTCTTTAGTTTGTTTCCCACTTTTACCTGCCTTCATCCGCCTTTTATCTTTCTTAACAACTCTTCACTATTTTAATTATCTCTTTTTTTTATGACTCTCGTTATGTCTGTGCGCACTGAATATGCTGTCGACCCGATTTCCCTCTCAGCCCTCGATCTGAAGTTGCTGCAAGCCACGCTGAAAATGAACACTCGCTCTGGAGGAAGACTTGCACGCAAAGAACCATGCTCGGATCATTGTATCGCGCGAAAGCAATGGTCAACGCGGCAACAGAAGTCATCGGCTTCAAGCGCGGAAAGAAAGAAGTTGATGAAGAAAAATCATTTGATATGAAGAAATTCAAGGCTGCGGGCGAAAGCTGACGGTCCAAAACCAGCGCCAACAGCCATGACTGTTGCATATAGAGGCCGACAAAGAGGAGGACATTCTTTCGATGCCATGGATTTAGAATGGTGTCAGGAAAGAAGAAGTTTGGTTTGACCCGATGGAGGTTGATAACCCCCATTGGCTGGCTCTGGGACTCCGCGTGATGGCCGTTTGAAGAAAAGTTGATGCAAGAAGCGGCCATGAGAACCGTGGACATCGACGTGGTGGAGGCGTCCAGTTTGTCGGCGGAAGATCAAGACGTCTGGCAACGAGAAGAACAGCTTCTGAGACAGAGGAGCTTCGTCCCATGAATATCGATGACGATAAAATTGTAGCTGTAGGCGAACAAGTCGTGTGGCCAAGGGAAGAGGTTTTGGGACAGAGCAGCTTCGTGCGCATGAATATCGTCGATGATAGAATTGCAGTTGTAGATGATCAAGTGGACGAACAAGCGGGGCCAGTAGTCGAGTCAATGGACATTGACGGTTTCCGTCTATCCGAGTTGGAAGCAGGCCAATTTAATTATAACACGCAGGAAGAAGCGGACACGATTGCGCGGCGGGGGGTAGAACGTCGAGAGCGCGGCGAGGAGAACAGGATATTGTATTTGACCTAAATAACCATCACGAAATATGAATAAAAGAGAATGAGCTTCAGTTTCACAATACTTCTTGATTCTTACTTATTCTTAATATTTTGTCTTTAGATATAACAATACTGCTTCTTACTCTTGCCATGGCTGTCAGACTATAAAGGCAAACATTGGGACATATATGAATGTCGCACCTTTATCTGACCGAGCTTATTGAAGCCTTGTAGAAAAACGAGCAAGGACAAACGATGAATCTGTTTCCAATGAAATGACGAGATCAAATAGTCGTCAGGATTCGGAAGCAAGTTCGTCAGCTTTCCCATTTCCTATTTTTCTTTCTTTCCTTTTTACTTTTTTCTCAGAGGTTGTACTTTTGAAATTACTACGCAATGCAGTACATACTGCAATGGGCCGCCATCAATAGTGTACGCTTGGTTTTATTCACATGGCCAAACCCAGCATTCAAAAGGCCGGTTCTTGTCCAGAACAAGCATGCCAATTTTTTAGTACACCATTCATCCAATAATAATAGTAAGTTGTATACTAGTTAAGCAAGATAAATAAATACATGGATTTTTTTTACGCGTGTCTGCCATTCTTAGTAGCGAGTGGAGACTTTCCGGAAAGAGATGTTCGACTGAGTGCATTGCTCAGCGTAGAAGCACGCGCAAGCATGCGCTCCTGGTGGTAAGTTGATAAAGAGGACAAGCTGGAGATGGACATCATGGACAACCGTTTCTTATCCGTACGAATGCTGAGTGCCATAGAGATTCGCCTATTGTCCACAATAGAACGCGTAGCTGCTGAACGATTGCTGATCGTCGATAATCGTTTGGCGGTTGATGATGCCATGGAGATCCGAGAAGACCCTGTGTTTGCTCCGGATCTAAAATTGCTGCAACCACAAATTTTTACGTTGAATATCCTGTTTTCCTATATGACCTGGGTGCAATCCATTCTACTTACCTTTGTTGCATGGATGAAGGTTTGGACACTGCCACGGCACCAAGATCACGTTCACGGATTCGTTCCATGAGGTCAGTCAGTTGATCACTGATTGATAGCAGCGAAACATGATCTTGTCCTACAAGCTTATCGACTTGTGGCTCAATTAAATTGGACCCCAGTTGGCGTAAATGAGCGCCAATGTCAGCTTGATCGCGTTTCAGCTCTTCTATCGCTTCCTGCAGCTGGCCGTGCACATTTTGCAATTGCTCTAATTCTTTCACAATCCACTGATGGCGATCTGATTCTTCGGAAGGATCTTGCTTCAGATCGGCTTGAGGAGGAAGAGGGGGAGGATTTTGTCCGGCTTCCAGCTGCGATTGACCTGCTTGCATCAAGTTGCTGTCGATACCTTCTGATACTTCATCGACCACTTCCCACACTTTGATGACTTCCTCTTTTCGATGTTTCACGATCGTTTCCAGTTCCGTCTTGAGTGCAAACACTTGAGGCGACACCTCTGCTGCATCATTGAACAACGCCAACATTTGACTTCGAGTTTCTTCCAACTCCGAGTTGGCTTGGCCCAGGAACGCTTGCGTCTCAAGCAGCGATTGCCTTGAACGCCCAATATGGTAGCTTCCTAAGACCTTCAGGCAGTAAAGACTGGCATCCAAGCGAATCATCCAACACCGTGCCGACACTCTGCTTGTGCATCGTTCGAGGTTCGCCACTAGGCTGCTCTCACTCGCAGAGGAACTGCAGTCGGTTTCATCCTCCGTTTCAATCACCTCTGTCACTAAATCGGCATCCTCTTTCCAATCCTTCTCGATACGTACAAATGGACCTTCGTCGATCTCCAATCGTTCCAAGAGCCCTTGTAGCAGTAAAGGCGGTCGTACTTGACGCAGCTCCTGGCGCGTTCCATCTAACTGGTTTTCCACAGCAAGTAGCTCCTTGCGAAGTTGTTGTCGTTCTTTATCCAGCTCCGCTTGACGATCGAATAGCTTCTGTGTGTGTTGCATGACTGCTTGCAATTCAGCAGAAACAATATCTTTGGTACGTGGCGACCTATTTTGATTCCCATGTTGAGCACCGTGCGTTTGTGTATCCACGTCGTTCTTGCCGGTGCCCATGAGGTGCGTGTTTCCGGTTTCCAACGCCATTAGCTCGTTTTCCAGCGTAAGACACGTTTCGTACATTTGCTTCTTCTCGGCAAGAATTTCTTCCGTCATGACATGAATTTCATCAAGATCTTTCTGAATCTCCTGCAGGTTGGCGTTCAAGATTTCAAAACTGAGCTCCAGTTCGTTCAAGGATCCACGAGGAACTTCGCGCATACTTGGAGGTTGAGATCCGTGACGGTAGATTTGGACAGTGTGTAACTGCTGCTTCCAATAGGGTACACGGACGGATCGAGAAACAGCCGAGAGAGGTGAAGCCACTGTGAGAGATTTTTCTTTGACGACCACATCAGCTGCTGGTTTGGACAACAACTCCCGTACGGTATTCCAACGAGATTCAATCTGTCGCCGAGTTGTATCCAAAGATGGGTCATGGCCCCGCTGACATCGTTGCTGTATCGTGGCGAGCATCTGTTCCACAGCAACCCTCATGTCTTGACATAATCGGTTGCGATCTTCGCGTTGATAGAGGATGGGATCCATAGGGACGGTTTCAACGATCAGTAAAGATTGATTCAAATTGCTAACAGCGGTCCAAAATTCGACGTCATCCTGTATACCGTCCGTTTGGATTGTATCTATGTGACGGCTCACCGCTTTTCGAAGCTGCTCAGTCTGATGTACGAGCTCCTCCTGATCCAGCTCTAGCTGACAGAAACGTCCTTCGATCCTTTCCAAGACATCAAACAACTTCTCCACCTTGTCACGTTGCAGTTCCGACATCTCCCAGTCTGCTTGGTACACCTGTTCCACCTGTTCCAGTTCCTCGCGGTAACGTAACATCACACTTTCTGTGCGCTGATCCGTTTCGTCAAACATTTCGTGGGCTTCACGTAACTCATACCGGAGTCGGATCATCGTATTGTGAAGCGACTCGGGAGTGCCAGTCTGATTCGAATTCTCGGGACTCCAGGATCCTTTAATGGTGTCCGTCATGTACGCTAATGCTGTCTCGATGGACGTCGTAAAGTTGGTCTGGTAGTTGTAGAAGGCCTTGAGGATCTTTTCAAAGTCAGCATCCACTTGTTCATACGTATCACGTTTAATCTGCACTCGTCTTGCGGCGGCGGCTTCGGATACCGAAGATGAAAAGGCCTCCACCGTGAGACCCAAGTTTTTCTTGCTTTTAGAATCGGCCACCGACGACTGCATCGTGGACTGTGACGGGGATCGACGCATTATGGTGCGATCGTCGCTGGGAAGGTCCAATGATTTGATATTATTGCTGGCAAAAGACGTTAAAGACTTCATCTTGTTGGAAATTTTACGTTCCTTTTCCAAACCTAACAAGAAATTGTCAGTACATAAAGACGCGTCCTCCAATGTTGTTTCCACCATGCCATACCTAGGATACAGTCCCGTACTTCTTCTGATTTGCATACATCCAATGGTGTAAGGCCTTTCTTATTCTTAATCGTAAGATCGGCCTGACCCTCGAGAATCAATACTGACAGTACTTCGGGTACACCTCCAAACTCTGAAGCGAAATGCAATGGTGTATTTCCAGTCGGATCGACAATGTTCACCAGTGCGCCTAGACGAATAAGGAGAGAAGCACACATGGCAAGATGCTGGGGTACGCTCGACATCCCAACCAGGTCTTTCACGATCTGACGCTGAGTGGGCTCTGAGGGAGACATTGAACCACTATGCTCCGAAACATAAGAACGAGCCGACACGGTGCTTTGCATTGAAAAGCGGTGGGCTGACGATGGGTTGAGGGTCATGGAATGTTCTTCTTCGACGATTCTGGGTTCCATAGGTGGACTAGCCGTGGGCGATGAGGAGTTCATTCGTTGTCGGTTTGAACCTTTCTTGGCATTTTCCGCTTTTGCACTCTTTTGTATACCCCACGTTCTGCCATCTTTGTCCACTCCAAAGCGCGCCAAATGATGCAAAGCGGTACGTCCGTAAAATGTTTGCGCATTGATATCTGCGCCTGCCTGATAAAGCATGGCGATGGTGTCTAACGAGGGTAATGGCTTGGTGCGCATGGCGTGATGCAAAGCGGTTAAGCCGGTTTTCGGGTCGTGATGATTGACAAGAAGTGGACCGGCCGAGGGACGATCGTCAGGCCGTAGTTGAGGGGACCACAGTAACATGGTTTGCAAGGCCGTATGATCGTGGACTTTGATTGCTTGCACAAAGCCCTGCTGAAGTATTTCGATATAGGATGAGGCATTTGGATCCATCAATTCCACTTGCTTTAAAACTTCAAATTGGATATGTGAAAGTGAAGACGGATGAGGAGGGACGGTGCCAATCAATGTGGAAAGCTTGGAATAGTGTAAAGGAAATTTTTTCAGGGGCAAAGATGTGTGAAGGCTCTACTCCAAAAACATGACAAGAGCGAATTTTGGTGAATACATCATGACTGCCGACAAATGAACGATGTTTTTTGAACCTACCGAAAGATCACATCGTCGCTTGCGAAGAGCTTCTTCACATGCTTGAACGATCTCTGGACTACGCTCAGCGTATTGTATAGCAGACCATCCGTGGTTATCGGTAAGATCAGGCGATGCCATGTAATAGAGCAACATTTTCACAATAGGGAGATTTCCGTCGCGTGCTTTTGTTTCGAATTTTTTTGGATCAGTTAATGTAATGTTGGAAAAAGTAACCAGGGTTACCAGATCTTACCCGCATACATGAGAGCAGTGGCATTTTTGCTGTCTGTACCGTCGACATTGACACGACCATCGTCGAGTAATAACTGAATGATTTCAGCTTTGCCAAGATAACTGGCTAAGCAAAGTGGGGTGATCCCTTTAATTTCATATTGTGAAGCGTCCAACGTGGAAACATAAAGATTAGGATGCCTTAAAAGGATATTTTTCATGATATCAAAATGGCGCTCATGTGTTTGCGCGATCAAGTGCAAATTGGAGGTATTGATGTTGGAGGCATCCAAATCGAGACCATAAATGGCACACACGAGTGCGGTTCTATAAATTGGTACGGTTATTGATCATCCCCACCCATGAAAAACTCCTTGCTGGTTCATAAGCACGTCGTTTGATATACCTTCCTCGACCGTCTTTCATATTGATATCTGCACCCGCACTGAGTAGTAAGCGAACCATATCAGCGTGACCGCCCAAGACAGCAATATTTAAAGGCCGAGTCTGATATTCTTGATTTGACTGCAGTTTTTCCATCAGTTCAGGATTAGCGGCGACTCCAGGTGGGATGACAGGCGAGTATGTATCTTTGGCGTTCCATGTTATCGGGCTATTGACATCGTGACCCGACTGAATGAAATGTCTTGCCTGCTGGAGATCATTCTTTGCTACGGCGAATAGAAACTCCATCCTCAGAAACAACTGAAATGAAAGAAGGAGCAAGAACAGGAAAGAAGAGCATATAAAAGTAAGGGGTGATCTTGGCTTAAATATCGTACTGTTGTTGTTGCATCTTTTTTTTTTTTCATGGGGAACGTGAGAATAGGGAGTTGAAAACCAACATCATTAAGGATTCGAAGCTTGATCCCACAGAGACTCAAAGTCGAGGTTGCCCAAGATGGAACGCATACCCGTCTCCGAAACCAAGTATCAACCTTGTCAACCTTTTTTATTTGAAAAGCCGCATTGGCTTGATCGTGGATGACATCAGCTGCACCTATCCATAGGTTTTGTGCATTTTCTGCCCGAGGGTCACTGCATATCAAGGCAAGTGTATAGTGAGAGAAGTGGGTCAATGTGCGCCATGAGGGGATTCTGTAAATATTATATAAACTGATGTGATTGTCTTTTATTTGTTTGTTTATTTTTTTTCAACTGCTGCCTTTTCAAGCGCATTGTTTTTCGTTTTTGGTTGAATGTCCGCATGATTTGACCGTGTTCCATGAACTTCTCTCAATGTCGATCCTTTTTCATATTAATACTGTCTTGTATCATCTGTCCATGGTTTAAATGATTGGATCGTCAAATAAGTATCATTACCCAAGGTATTGTAGTGAGCAAGCAGTATTGCCAAGAACTTGGATAAAGCGGCTCATTAGTTTGCTCATTTTTCGGTCCGAGTACCAATGTTTTCATTCCCTGTTTGATTGGGCCCATCACACAGCGCTCAATTTTTTTTTTCACTTTAATTTTTCCGTGTCAAATTTTCCTCTTTCTCATTTCCTGCTATTGCCAACTATCCCGCAATGTCATGGCAGCAAACAAAGACCATTCTCAAAATTTAGCGGCATTTACTGAATGGTAACTTGATACCATTCACATCCTCCAACACGAATCAATACACGCGTCTCATTTTCCATTTTCATAACGCTTCATAGTCTGAAATCATGGAAAGTTTATAATGATCAAGGTGCCAATCTGTTGGCTCAAATAAATCTTGACGATGATAGCAATCATCAAGAGAATGCGCGTCAGATAAAAGATATTGTTCAGAATCGTAAGTTAATGTTTGCTCCTTCATAAATGTTTTTAACCAAAAGCTCACCCTGGACGCGTCGGCAATAAGTCAAGCAGGTGCTGGAAACCATGCATGAGAAATATAATGAGAGTTTAGTACTCCACAGTCTGCAACAAACCGCCGCTCAAAGCGATATCACTGTGGATGGCCCGGAATGCATCGAAACTATGCGAAAATGCATTGATATGCATGAGCAGGAATATATGATCAAGGTGAGGAAGAAAGGGGAGAAAAAAAAAGAACAAGAAAACAATCGTCAACATGATGAAGCTGATGATCCGTGATGATGCGCAGAAATCCATTCAATCTATTCTTTGTCAGGAAGGTTTTGCAACCCGGCAACATTTGACAGGCTGTATCGCGTTGTGGAAAACAGAAGCCTATTTGGACGATGAAGTGCAAGAAAAATTACGACAACTATCTGGCCCTTCATGAATAAACCTTACCCTGAAAATACAATAGTCGGTCTCGCGCATACTATGTTAATTTTTTCTTTCCTTTCCGTTGATTGACTGAAAACATGATGGGTGGAAGTGACATTCTAGTTCCACTGATCCAAATTTACGCGGTCAGAATATTGTCCGACCAAACGTCCTCAAAAAGCTTTCAGAAAGTCTAAAACTACTTCAGCCGCTCGATATTCTACGCTATTGTACATTTTGTCAAATTATGTCCCGGAAAAACACAATCGTCTGATTTCTCATCAGCATACTCTGTTCAAAGGACATGACGTTCATATCGCCCCAAAGCAATCTTTGCAACGTACCCAGGTTTCTCATGGATTGACTAATGTCATGTAAAAATATTTTTTGACGCATCGTACAACCATGAAATGTGTCTTGTAATCATTCCCGTCAATTGAGATAGAGATCGATCTATATTTTTGTACTACTTTATCTTTAAAGCTATAGATGGTTTACTTTTCTTTTCTATGAAGTATGCCACAAACGAAAGGACTAAATGCGAAGGAAACATCTAAAATGCGGATCGTTCGACGAGTATATCGAAAATGTAAAGGAAGAAATGGACAAGTGGACTAGGAGGTTTGGGATGTGGTGGTGTTGATGTTGGCGGTGGGAGTGGTAGTGGTAGGAGTAGTGATAGGGGTAGGGCAATCTGATGAAAACGTACCTCTGCCCGCTTCGTTTAGCCGCCCACGATGTCCCAAGAAATAATCCTAAAAGTTCGAAAAAAAAGGTCAGTGGAACCCATGGTTGCACCAAGGTTTGCCAGTGTTACTTACCATGACGAATTGTGACCCCAAAAAATTGGCACGATCCCGGATAAAATTGATGGCTCTGTTTTCCCAAGACTCTAATTGATCTTTGACCACTGTTTGCCAAGATTCAATAGATTTTGTCATCCACACTTGTTGTTCCTACCAATGAATTTCCTGATGAGTTTTATATGCAACCGCACAATAGCAAGCTCCTAGCCATGTGTAAAGTCCACACTAAAAAAAAAAAAAACTCACCTTGAAATAGGAAATATTAAGCTCTTCCGCGCTAACCCCTCGTTCGAGATTACGACGAAGATAGACATTGTAGTTGCGAACGATGCGTGTTATGAGATCCGAAGTTGACACTCCGTCGGTCCGCTGGGTCGGCAAAAATTTGCCCTGAGCTTTGACAAAGCTGTACACATCGCCCGATTCGGCGGATTTGTACGGTTCAGCATCATGAGCTACATAGTCAATTTGATGCTTGTCCAGGAACTCCTGCGTTACAACCCATGGTGCATTCTCAATCACCTCGTCCACCCACTTGCAATGCCGAACGGCTTCATAACGTTCCGCATCAGTCATGACCGTCTTGCCCTTACGTCTGTGCGTTACTTCATCGTTACACACTAAAATTCCATGAGCATCCCATTAGCGATGACATTCTTACTATATAAACACCATCACATCAAGGATTATTACCGCCCACAAGTAGGTAGACATCGTTAAATGCCCGTTTAGCTTGTTCCAGCGCTTTTGCATGGCCAAAATGGAACATGTCATAAATACCATCACAATACACTCGCACAGGTCTACCTACAGGGGGCTAATTGTATTGTAAGCTACGACGCCAGATTCATTCTGCAATCACATTGCAACTGGAATTACTTCATTAATGGGAAAGTCATAACCAGTCACCATTTTCTGGTATTTCGGCACAGGTGAATTGCAACCAGACGAAATAGGAGTTGGCAAACTGGCAGCTTTGGATTGGACGACGTTAGGATGCATAAAAAATGAGACTGTCATTGTCACAATAGTGAGACATGGTTTGAATCAACTTACCCTGAGCAACGGTGGTAGTAACAATGGTGGGCATGATTTGAGGTAAATAGGGAAAGGAGAAAAAGCGCTAGTCCTGGTATTTCATGAATTGCGACACTTAAACACTTCGCCGTCACATGGTTTCGGGGATCAGACAGTGTTGTGCCATCTTAGAACCAAACTAAGATCTATATAGCAATTCACAACTAAATAGCACAGGGTAGTGCGATGACTGTTATTTTTCCTCTGCTTTACACGACAGGACCTCAATAGAGCACTTTATGATTTTATGGCTTGACAGTTTTCGAACCTGCATCAAGGGAATATGCAACACAATGATTCTGTCATTGATGAAATGTAATTATTTTTAATGATGCTTTATCAAAGGCTTTCAACCGATTTGAGCCATATCATAGTCAGATTATATAGAAGATACTTTTGAAAAGATTTCTTTGCCTTGATAACAGATACCACAAGGGAAAATTGGATCCCTTTGTGGTGACTGAAACCTATCTGGTGCGACTAACAAAAAGTGCATATTATGGTTAGCCTGTGAAATACCTACACTATCGTATATGCAAACCCAAATATCAGGACATGGGCTCTTCGATTACAAAGGCATATTCTTTTCCGATTGAATAAAGATAACGGAAGCACCATGCAAACGATCATCCATCGGTGACGTTATAGGGCCCACCGTATTATGTTTTCGTGCGACGCACGAAACGAGAAGTGTGTTTACGAATCACGACATGGTGAAATACAGGTTTTCTTCTACGTGACCAAAAAAAAAGAAAACAGAGAATTTTTTTTACCGATCCTAACCAAGTTGAAAAAATGCATATTAGAGAATCCCCCATTGACACCATTAATTTTCCATGCCATACGTACAATAAAAGTACAGGATTCGACAAACATCGTATGCAAAAAAGGACATTTTAATATGTGAAAAGCAGCTCTCTGTGAACAAATTTACCACATATCAGCAATACCTACTTGCCCTGCAAATGGTGAAGCATAAACAGAAAAAAACTGGTTAAACCCTTGTGACCACCGTTGACAGCATGATAGCAGGACACTTACAGTAGGCAAAATAGTAAAAGAGCCAAAGAACAGTGAATTGATGATAAAGCGGATAACGTATTTAAATATTAGGCAAGTAGAATCAGTACATGATTTTTGGGACCAGGTATAATGTAATGAAGGGATATGGAGGTTCGAATTTTTCATACAGAGCATAGAGAAAAAGTGGCGGATGCGTAAATTTTTCAAACATACAAATATGGGTGTGGGACAACAAATGTCAGGGCAAGGGATGAAGAGAGATCATATTGGGTGCATAACAATAGGGATACGAAAGGGGAAAGCCAAACAAATAATAATAGCATAAGAATTTTCTTACAGAATACCCACGCGAGAAGACTTGTGTCCAGTGATCATGTTCTTAAAAGTCTTCCAGAAACGGCCGATCCTTGTAGGCGCGCTGGTGGGTGTCAGTGTAGGTTCCGTGGAATGTGTTTGCTTTTTCAAATCATCGTGTGTGGTGGATTTTGAACGGCGTGGCGAAGGAAATCCGAATCCATGACGCGGCTGAGGTGAGGAACTATCATGTTGGTTATCGGTCAAAGATTTGTGAGAGGAAGTGGCGAACAATCGGGAGGAAAGGTTTTTCAGGCTGGATGACAGATCGATTTTCGAGGCGGCTGAAGATTGTGGCGGAGTCATGGGGGGTCTTGGCATAAGGTTATCGAGTATTTCTTCGATAGACGACGAGGGAGTTACACTGGCAGGGTTGTTGTCTTTGGCTGCTTTCTTACGTAATATACTTACGCCAAAGAAGGATGACCCGAGGATAGATGGTTTGGAAGGTATCGATGGATTGGGATGTTCATTGCTGGCCGATGGTGAAGCCTTTGGCGGGTGTTTTCGCGAGGATGAAACAGAAGATGATAATTTCGACGGCAGTGCTTTGAACTTGGCTGACAAGGATGACGGTGAAAAAGCAGACCGTCTTCCCGATTTGTCAGCCTTGATGGGCTCATTATCATCACCATTATCCCGTGGCGTTATTATTGCAGCTTCCGAGCTTTGTGCGGAAATTTCTGAATGCGCCGTCGACGACAGATCCTTGGATTGGCGCTTGCTAAATATCTTTCTCAAAGATTCTACGGTGCCTTTCTTGACTTCTAACCGGGGCAGCCGTTCGGAAGGTGCTGTACTCTCGGATTTCGACGAGACTTGAAACAGCGACCGTAGCGAGCGCACTGTTCCTTGTTGCACAGAGCTTAAAATCGAGGTTCGATGACTGATTGCTGAATCTGCGTCAACGTCCGACTTTGTGTACTGCGACGTAGTCGACGATCGTGATCGCAGTGATGCAGATCCTGTTCGAAAATCGCGGAAGGATGTTTTGGTGGATGTTTTGCTCGAGGTCATGGAGGGTGAAATTGGCTTCTTGGGCGCCACTCGTGCGACATCCCGAGGATCTGCTTCGGCAACGGGTAAAAAATGACAATCGTTATGAAAGGGAAAGGCCAATGGTCGAGGACAACTATATACAAGATCATGCTGTCGAGGAGGCTGACGCTTCTTTTTACGTTCGGCTTTGACTGCTTTGCTAACATTGATTTCCGTAGTACAACCAACGTAACCAGCGCCGTCGGACGATGCTTCTTTGCCCGTGTCTATGGAATCGGGTTGGGCTGCAGATGTGTGAAAAGAGTGAGAGATAGCCGATGTAGGGGATGAAGATGCTGAACCATATCCACTGTCTACGCCGGATGTATTTGGTGCGTGCGATGGCGTCTTTGGTCGATTTCGTTTCGAACGGATAGCATGATATTGTTCTCGCCTTGAACTTGCAGAGTGGAAATACATAGTTTATAAATATGTGACAATGTTGCTAGGATAAAGTATAGAATAATATCAATTCACCTCAAGGTAAAAAGAAATACTGAACCTAAAGAAAAATGAATTGACAAATAATAATAATAAAAAAAGAAAAGAAAAAAAAAAAAACTGCAGCAAAATAAAAAGAAAAAGAAAAGCTTTATTTGGTGTTACTTCTGTTGCACGAAACAGCGCTTGACTAAAGTGGTAAAGTGGTATGGACGATGAGCGCTTCCAAAATTCATCTGCTGAACCATAATGGTAAACAACAAGACTGTGACAATAAAAAAAATGAGAAATTAAACTTCTGTTCTAATGTGAAACAAACATTGAAATAAGGGTGAGACACTCTGCAACCGACCATCCAAGATGACAACCCAACTTTTTGCACACACAATGGAGTTCCATTCAAAATAAAGACTCCGAATCAAGCCATGTGGTGAAATAGCTATTTTCGGAATGAACACCAAATTTCTGTCGTGCGCAAAATATCACTGTATCAGGTCATTGAATCGGATTTCCTTTTCACCCAATGGTATAGTTGTATGCGTGTTACTTTCGTCGATCTGGAGCGGTTTCATAGCAAGTGCAATCAACAATCGATGATATAGTTTCATATTCTTGGTCATGATAGTAAGATATGCCATTTGTTTTTCTTTTTGTAAGTTTCCGCAAATCATCTTGCACTTTGACTGTGATAAAAACGAATGACTAACTCACGTATTATTATATTGGACCATATGATTCCCATGTTGCCATAGTGGCATGGAATCGAAAGAAACGTGGTTTATGCATCACAAGAAAAAAAAAAACTTTATCAACATCATAAAATATAAACATATGATTTGTATGATCTGTTTATCGACAACGCACTCTTGTTATGTTGATACCAACCAACGCCTTCGAATTCATCCATTTTTGAACAGTAATCGATTTTTTGCTTCAATAGAACCAAACACTTTATCTGTAACGTGAAACTACCTTCTGCATGTCAACTTGGTTCTTAACTTCAACACGAACGGTTGTCCTTCATCAAAGTTCTTTATTGCTCACAGAAGCGAAAACCATTTGCTTAAAAAACAAAGGAGCTTAAAACTTTCACTATTATATCGCCTTATTATCTGTCAATGGATGACGAGATGAAAGTGAATACAAATACGGATTTTCCTGTAGTCTAGCACCACCTAGGTTATCCGAATTATTCAAGGACCCATCCAGGCCCAGTAACGCCGTATAAATATCCAGATTGCTGGATTGCCGTTTGAAAATATTTGGGTCTATTTCATGCAGAGAACGAAACGATGTATCCAAGAGGATATTCTTTGCAAGGGTGTTTAGATCCAGCGTTCCATGAACCTGCAAGCGATTGAGCCCAGTGGCACCGATTTTGGGACGCATCAACGTCGGAGGAAGGATAACTGCCTTCGCAAGTGTGAAGACAGCGCACGGTTGAGCTTCCGAAAAAGGGCGAAATAAACTCAAAATTGAGAAATTTCTGCTGCGACAACGAACATGACAGGCTAATGGCGTTTCCCCCCAATTCAGGCAAGCATGAAAAAGGCCTTTCTTAGAATGATCCGGCATTGTTTCTTATACTGGCTTACTTACTTTCTACTCTGATGCGATCCCTTTGGCAATTCCTCCACACTCACAACATCAGCCAATATTACAATGTATTTATCCAAGCAGGAGCCACCGACGACGACTTGAATCAGTTACTGCATTTCAACGATCAAGAATTAGACGAGTTTCTGCAAGCCATCAATGTGCTGCCATTTCATTGCATCAAACTGAAATGCGCCTTGCGTGAATTGCGACTTCGGGAGCAGGTGGACCATTCCCCACCACAATCACCATCGTCTTTCACCCGTCCAGCTTTGGCGTCTTTATTGAACAATGATGATGATGTAGGTAGTTTGCTTATAACTAGGATGATAACGAATACGCTAAAAAAGTAAGGTCAGGCGGCATTCGCAGTTGAGCGTCCGCCTTCGCCGCCTCTTTCTGCCAGTCCTAGCCATACCGTCTCTTGCAATGAGAATGCTCCATCCCATGATGTAATATCGCGTCAAATTATCCTATCGCATGCTGTTATTTATGGCAAAAATAATTCTCGATCATTGACATCGTACGAAATAGCCATCAATCAGGCTGCAGCGGCGTTGGCGCTCGATGATCCATCCTTAATCAAGCAAAAGGGCCAGCTATTCCAGTTGGCTAAGCAACGGTTGTTAGAAGACGGTTATCAATATAGGCGAGGCCACAGCCGTTCCAAATTGACGGATGCTCTACCACAAATCAAAGATCGAAGAAAATCTGCATGCCTTGGCAAACTCAAAAGACGCGAACATGCCAGACGAATGTCTGAAGAACGATTACGAAAGATTCGACTGTTAGATGAACAAGTACGGGCTGTTTCGACAGACATACAACGCTGTCATGCCGAAATTTGTCGCAATCAGACCAATCAAGTTGAGGTGGCTCCCAGCGCGATTGAAATCCAGTTGCGTCAGCATCAGGACAAGCGTTCGCGCTTAGTCCGAGAATTGCGAAAATTACGATCTCAAGAACGGAAACATCAATGGTACGAAAGGCGCAAAGCACATGATTCAGGTTCATTCATCACTTGCGACCATCCATCCACATAACTATGCATATCCATGACGATGCTTTGCCCAAAGTTTTCAAACTTACAAACCATCGTATAAGTTTTGCAGAACTGTATTTCATGTTTTCTATTTCCTCAAGTCCAAAAGTCTTCCCCCCGTCCTTAATTTAAATATCCTGTTTCTCAGAACATTTTTTCCATATATGCTGTTGCTGTATGTATTATTTCCATCTTATTTCGAACTAATTTGTATCAAGATAATATAAAGCGAAATACATATAGGGCAAAAATGGAAGCACATCTCGTGGGCTATGACAGCACAAGAAGATAATTTAATGTTTGATTTGTACAGAATGACATTGAATACAAAAGAAGGGTGATCTACAAGCGGGGTTGTTCGTTGAGCGATGGCACAAATACAGACAGTCAAGGAATTTCTGAGTTTCTGGATGATGGTGTGAATTTACATAATACTGCACGCTTGTAAATCTTTTTGACCGTCATCCATCAAGCGTTTCATTTCTTCATGCTGTTGTCGAGTAGTGGAATTGGTCTTTTGCAATCGTTCTTTTGCTTCCGCGTGTCCTTTGGAAGCTGCTCTTCGATAATATGTCTGCGCTCGTTCATAGTCGCGAAGCGTACCAGTCCCCGTCTCATAGTACCATCTTGTTAAAAAGAGAGAAAGATATGCATAAGTACCATCGCTATTTTGATGGGCAACTTCACATGAAATGGACTTACCCGAGTAGAAATAGTCCTTCGACCGATTCCTGATCGGCTGCTCGTTGGCACCACATGAACGCTGCGTCCTCGTCACGATTCGTATTTATCAGCCAACCGGACTCGTCACTGGCACGCCGTTTCTCTTCATCATGATCTTTCGGACCGTGGCTCCCGTTATTGTAAAGCCGACTGAGTCCCACCATAGCGTCTGTATCTTTGGCGTTGGCGGCTAATTCGTAATTTGTAAAGCTCTTGGCAAAATTCATCGGGACCCCGTACAGACCGTGCTCGTAAATGTAGGCCAAACGTGTTTGCGCCGCGACATGAGCTAGCTGAGCGGCTCGTTCGAAAAAATTGACAGCTGCATTGGCTCCGCCATAAGGTTTGACCAATTCACTGTTCTCGAGTTACTTTTTTTTATGTTGCACGTATATTCGTATTTCCCAAATACTTACCTTGGAATATCGGCTTTGGGATACGTGTTGGTGAGAAGCAGAGCAAACACATACGGAGGTTCGTTGCATGACTCGGTCGCATTGCCAGCCGCTTCGTACAGCAATTGTAGACCTGCTGTCATGTTTTGTCGCTGACCAAAATAACCATGCAGATTGATAAGTCCTAATCGCTATATAAAAAAAAAAAGGGAAATAAGCATCATGTCGAGTGAGTCGGCTGATTGCAATGGGTTGACTCAAAAAAAGAAATTACTGGTTATCATACATAGATAGCATCCACAAAACCTTTGTCGGCTGCCCGTTTATAATTTGCAAAAGCTGCTGCATGATAACCTTGCGAGGCATAGTATTCCGCGACCGCATACATGGCTTCCGGTACACCTTCACGCGCAGCTATTTCGTAGTACTTGAGCGATTTCGCCGGATTCTTCTTGAAGCCGTACAGTCCGCAGTCCATCCACAATGCTTGCAAATAAGCGGCTTCGGCTACCCTCTCCTTGGCTAATCGCCTAATCCATCGCACACCTTCTTCTTCCAGCACCTTCTTTTTCCGACGATTCGATTCATAGTCAGTGCCGGAAATGATGGGTCGTGCTATATCGATACTGGCGCGCATAGTACTCGTTGAAGTCCGCGGTTGCGAATAGAGAGCTGATAACTGCGACATGGCGGGGCTGGCAGGTTTGGCATCCACGCTGTGTCGAATCCCCTCGCCTCGTCGCATCCGACCTCCCAATTCCCCGAGAAGGTTTTGATGGAAACCAGACATATGTTTACTTGCACGGTGGCTCGGATGACACTCGTACAAATCGGCAATTTCCAATAAATATTTTGCGTAACTAAGCTGCACTTTTTTGTCGCCGGTTTTCAAGGCCATATTTCGATAGAGTTTGATCGCGTCGGGATGGTTCGTGAGACTGTAAGATGCTTTGGCATATTTCGAAGAAGTTTGGGTACTGGCCATGGAGGCTAGACTGTCGGTAGTCTTCATCATGGTTACACTCGCATTACTTAGGCTCGTCATGGACGGTGGTGCAGGCTCTGAATTTAATGCGAGTGTATCACCATCGCTTAGTTGCTGATGGCGGATTGCGTCATATCCACTAAAGTAGTTTGTCCCAGAAACGTTTTCCGTTTCCACAGCAGTCAACGTCGAAGGCATACGTACCACTGTACCATCTGGCTTAAACCGTGGTCGGGACGAGCCTACAGTAGGCGACGACCCATTGATCGCATGGACTTCAGAGAGGACCGGAGTTTTGTTCATGGCAATTTTCATATGATTATCTGTTGTGTGAATCTCTAACTTGTTCTGGATAGAGTCGTTTACAGAAGAAGGAACGTCGCTCACAGTACCGTCCATCGTGGAGATTGATGTGGGTGTATCTGTCGCATTATCATGGCGGCCTGCAGATGATATAGATGGGGTATTTTCGTAGGTTGTGGCAGGATTGGCGGGCAATAAGGAATTATTATGCTGGGCGGTGATAAAAGAAGGTGATAGAAAGTCTGCGGTATCAGAGGGTAACAAAGAAAATCCGAAATCGAACTGTGGCAACCAATCGAGGGGTAAGGGTGTGGCTGGGGGTTGTTCTTGCAATACTTTGGATTGTCGTCTCGAGAGCGGTTGCGATGGCCGGGTGGTGGTTGTCAATGGCAGCCGAGTTTCAGGCGCAACGTAATGCGTATCCTGTTGTTTTACATCATGATGGTGTGGTGATTCCACTTTCTCAGGGGTTGCAAGCGAAAATGAAGTGGCGGGTGTCAAGAACGGTAAGTGAGCCTCCTTACTTTCGTCAATCAAAGCATGGGCTGCGGGGATAGGAGTGGTGGGTTTTATTAATTTGTTTGGGCTTGATGCGGATTCGACAGAGGGTTGTAGGCTCGGTATTTCGGAATAGCCACTGACAGTAGGGTCGATCATGACTTTCGTAGAAGAGGGCGCTGTGTAGGAGTGAACGGAGATTGAATGTCGCTTACTGGATCGGCAATCATCGTCTTCATCCTCACTGGAAGAGTCCGGATCTGGATTGATCACCCGAAGCGCCCATCGATTCGTTTCTGGTTGCACTGTACCGTTATCTGAAAGGGCTGAAACGGTGGATCGGCTGCGTTGAAGATTCGCCTCGTCTCCGGACGACGAGAGAGCGATTGCACCGTTGTTTGCGGCCACCGTGGGCTCTGGACTGTTTATTTCGGTTGCATTCTTTTGACGTCCCGTTATGAGCGACGAGGACGAGCCACCTATCTTATGAGGGAAAAACGATGACGACGAATGCAATCCGAAATTGCTGATTTTCTTGGTACGACGAGACGGCATGGGATCAGGCTGTTTGGCTTGGTGATCAGAGATGTGGTTAGTTACTGCATTGGGTCGAAATGAGAACATGAATGAGTGTGAAGGCAAAATCAAAAAAAGAAAAAACAAGGTTATTAAAAAATTGAATATGTGTATGTATAACGTGAATAAATAGTATGAATTAAAGTTTATGAGAGAAGGATGGACGAGATTGGGAGCAAAGTTATAAATAAAATTAGGTAAAAAAAGAAAAAGAAAGGAACAGAAAGAATTGCGTTCAACCGCGCAATCGCCGTTGGAAAAATGTAAAAAAAAAAGTGGCCACAGCATGGTCCATCGAAAACCTTGATGGGGAACAAGGCACGTGGCCCGATCTGGATTGGATGCGGTTCACCAAGAATGGAAAGTGTTGAGGAACTCAGGAATGACAAAAACCGATTTTTTTCGTACCATGTTCAAGATGTGAACTCACGGTTAAACAACAATTTGCACTCTGCACCCTCTGCAATCAAAAAAAAAAAAAAAAAAAACATCATTGCCTTTCTCCCTTCATCGCGTGAATATTGCGCCTCAGCTGCACGATGTAATCACACTCGGCCTTTTTGATTTTTTGTCGTCACATATATGCATATTCTATTTATTTTTTCTGTTATTGCTTGTCCGATCCAGTGGACTTTTTCCTGTTTATGGTTGATGAGGTTTTGACATCCGAATAGCCAATCCGTCAATGAGATCAGCAATAATGTGAAAGAATGGGGTTCTGCGCCATTTAAAAAACTCGGCGATTGGAGCTGTTGTTAATTTTTTTTTGTTGGCTTCGTGCCGATACTCCTTCATGCAACAAACAATATTCAGGGGTATAGTAATACCATATTTTTTCTCATTCAGGTCATGAATAATTTTTTCTCCAATGTAATCACGCTGCAGAGTGGTTATTTAAATGCTTATCTTAAGAAATCAATAGGATTACAACTGATTCATCCCCTAAGCAGCCATCATCCTTCGAGTATGTAGCTGCTTACTTTGTCAGCTTGATTATCCGTAAAGAACGACTGAAAAAACCTCTAAATCACGAGGATTCACTAACATTTCTCTCAAGTAAATCTCGTGTTTCGCATAGCCCAAGACATGGGCAGAGCTTGACGGAAGCACCGCCTCGTTTTAGTCGAAAAATCAGACTGATATGATAGCGAAACAATAAGATCTTCTAATCCCGATTTCAATCTTTCAATGAGGCGTCAACATAAGTAAATCAGTGAATGCAAATCGTGGCTCGATTTGCGTATGGATTTGTACAAAATTTTTACCCAGATCTGTATGGCTGTAAAAAAGAAAGAAATTGCAAGAGATTGCGCATTGTTACCTCGCAGCATTAGCGATCATATGCACCTGATCGACATCAGTAACGCCTCATACTGTAATACCTCAATAAAATAAATTTAAGTGAGGCATTACAGGTATGGCCGACTTTTGCTCATTCACTGCTTGTACATATCATAAGCGGCTCCAGCTGATTTCCGAATTTACTTTGTCAGCCCGCAGATGTAATGGTATGGTCTTGTGTTCCTGAAAGTTTTGTGTTCCTGGAAGGGTACTGAAACATATTGAAACAGTTTGACTCCCGACACCAAAAACCCAAATCGATGAAGAACCAAAGAAATACTAGCAAAACGACAGTCCTTCTTAACTGTATATTTTTACTTTTTTTACAATCCAAGTTTACATGGGAGACAGCAGCAGGCTGTTGGATCTAGAACGCGCATGTACGTCACCCAGTTTTTCTATACTTTCCTCGATCTTGGACATCCTTTCCATTAGAGTGGAGGTCATTTCCTCCAGTTTCAGTAAGCGTTCGGTATCATCATCGTCGTGCTGACGAAGACATAACGCTCGATTGATGGGAAAGAAGCTGTAATTCATATCTTTCAGACAGCCTGCCACATAGGATTCGGGTCCGGTATATTCCGTGCGATCCTTATTCTTCAGATGAACAATAAAAAATAGGTATTGCCTGTAAAAGGCAGTTGTAGGTTAGTTTCAAGATATCCATGGGAGCTCATGCATAAAGAACGTACCATATATTGTGATCATTTTTGACATGGTCTTCAAATCCCTTCTTGGCGTGTCGTTGAAATTCGACTGCATTGATACTGCAGATAAAGCATGCTAGCATAAATTTGTGTTATAAATCCCTCTCGTGATCAAGCTTATACTTGACTACAGTCAACTTACACGTCTTCATATCTTGTAATATAGCCGATCTCTCTTTCATGCAAAAAAAATAAAATAAAAAATATCAGTAACATGAACACAAAGTGACTAGGATTTTTCCACTTACCATCACGAAGATGACCAAACGTATCGAAAATAATACCAAAGATGGCGTTCAATAGAAACACAACCACAATCAGGTAAAATGACATTTCAAATATAGTGCGCCAGCCTCGAGGCTGCACCTGCTCGTCCGGTTCCAATATATCACCAATACCACCTCCAGAACGTACGCTAGCATTAACCGCGTATTAAGCTTTTTTTCTCTGAAGAAAATTGGAAGACCAACAACTTACCCATGAGACAATACAGTGACAAAGCATTCTGAGAGTGAATCGCAGTAAAGCCCTTTGGATGCATCAAACTCGGATCGAAAATACATGTAAGCAACAACACTGTGAATATACACAACAATAATTCCCAACAGAGCCTACATATTATCAAGGCGTCAGCAAGCTATGCATAATTGGCTTATGCATCTTATAATAATGTGCAGCACTTACTGTTCTCGAAATGGAGCTGACGTTCAGCGTGATACTAGCGATAACACCTTGCAAGATCCGGTCACGAAAGACAAAGTCGAGAAGATGAACGGCATAAAATCCGGGGTAAAAAAGACCAAGGACGGAAAATCCAACCATGATCAAATGGTATAAGAATTGAGTTTCGAACAAACTCGCCAATAAAAATCGAAGATCAAAAGGCTAAGAAGATTCAGCATCAGTATCATCATCACTGCATAACAACGCAGATTACCAACCTTATCAGTAAATTTCTCTCCAGTCATGAGATTTTTCTCGATGGCCAGCTTCTCTTCCGTGGCCTTGTCATCGTTTGAAAGATTCTCGGCGGTTTTTGTTGAATGACGATACACAAGGATAGGCAACTGAATAAAATAGAATTCCGCGGTGGATAATAACCAGAAAACGAGGTGACAGATTTCCAGGGTCAATGTCACACAGACTTTGGTGGTAAAGCGCGACGATAATTGATTCGCATTGCCCACATCAAACAGCATTGAGGAATACACCAGCATCAACGCGTTTAACAAGATGGTTGCGACATACGATGCTTTCCACCATAAATGGCTGTACTTGGTCAGCAGGGATAGGTAGCGATTCTGTGCTACACGAGCCTGATTCTCAATTCTAGCAAGTATTTCATTATTGTTATACTTTTCGGGAAAAAAAAGACGTAGAAACCATCTACTTACTCATAAATGATCTTGCCGGATTGCTGTACAAGGTCCTCGATTTTTGTCGACGGGGAATCTCTAAAATCATTACAAAAGATCCAATCACTATATGTCCTGATATCCCTTTCCCTTTTCACAGTAGTTTACCTTTTTACGTTCCATAAGAAACGTTGCTTTGTACTGTCTCGTAGGTATTTGCATACTTCGGGAATAGGAAACAGAACGCGCATGAGCTGCTTATCTTGACCATAATCCATCACCACTTCGATTTTCCCCGTATGCCTTTGGAAGTAATTGAACGCTGCGCTTTGGTCGATCAGCGAACGCTATACAGAGAAAAAAAAAAAGGTTATAAAGATACACACAATTTAAGCCTTTGGTATCCGGACTCACCTGATCTTCATCCAAGGCTGGCCAAAGAGTCATCATCAACATACAATAAAGGAAACCACACTCCAGCTTCTCAAATACATCTGGAGAATTGAGATCCGCTCGATTGTTATCATAGATGGCATTCATGTTCGAAAGCACGGTGGATAAATCAAGCGTTTGAGCCATCGCTTGAAAGATGACTTCGCTGTTATCCATGCTTCCTTCCAGTAAACTCAATAAGCAAATAACCACTTTACTCTAAATATAGTTTTGAGGTGAATAAACAAGAAAGCACAAAGAAAGATGTGAATATGACAGTACCTTGAGTTCATTCACCAATGATCTTGGACAATTGGGATACGGTTCTCGAAGGATGGTATTTACTGGGTTGATAATCTTGTCATTGAAAATAGTAAGCTATCCTCAGGTGGTCAGCAGAACTGTATAAAGCACGAGAAAATAATAAATCATAGCTTGTACCTGATTCTCAAGACATCCCTACAAAGCAAATCATGAGTAACAAGTCTCGCCAAAAGCAAATGGGGTCATATACGTACTTGAGCAAGTTCGGTAATCGTATCTAGCACTTGGATGATCAGTCGAACATTTTGGATATTACAAAGAGGTACGATGGCGTGTAAATATTCGACGACATCTTGCACGATATTGAAACTCTTGATATTATCGGGCTGTTTAGCCAAATAGGTCTGTAGATTGATATTGTGACCTTCGACCATCAGCTGCAAGGCGCGCATCGTATCCTTCATACTCGCAAAATCCTCGTCTGCCGTACCGAATTCGGCCGTCTCGTTCGCCATTAAATTGGAAATTTTCTGGTACACTAAGACCGATTCAGCATTCATTTGCTTCTGCCCTAAATGCCGCTTCCGCAAGCCGCTGCGTGATAGATCCAAGCTCGACGAGTGACGCCGATGCGACTTCTTGATGTCTTCGAGTGATCGCTTATCGACCGACTCCAGACTCAAAATAGACTGTTGCCGATTCATTTTATAAGCCGCTCGCACCAGATGGAGTTGGGCTTCTTCCAAAGAAGCAATCCCGTTTCTGAGACGTTGGTGGAAGGAATAGAAGAACCGCTCTTCTCTAAATATTGTAAACAAACACGATATGCAACAGTTCGTTAGAATCAATATACCTATTGCATTATCTATAACATGTACCTGATGCTGTAAAAGTACTCCTCGAGTTTATCCTACCATGGATAAAGATGGATAAGCTCTTCAAAAAAAAAAACTCAAAAAAATAAAAAGGGGTTGTTACCTGAACATTCTTGTTACCACCTTCCAGCAAAGCGATCAAAAGTTTTAGCGAAGCCTCAAACATTTGTCGCCGCGGAGAGGATAAAAGAGTCTGGGTCACCAAGGTACAGCCGAGTCCGTTCAATATGTTTTGCGCCTCTGCTTTTTTCTTCTCCAATGTCTCAAAGCGTACAGGTTCTTCCGCTGCGTTGACTTGCCATCGTTCTCGGATATATTGCAATGGGATTTCTTCCAAGATTTTCATCGTAGCCACCTGATAATGTTCCGTTTTCTTGTCATATTTTGTGCTGGTCATCATGGATAAATAATCAATGAGCGATTTCACGTCTTGTACCGACTGATCGTCAATTAAATTGAAATGAGAACCTAATGTACACCCGAATCAGAATTTTTTCCTCCGCATTGACTAACAAAAGATTGCGCTGTATTGAGCGAATAGGCCTCACCAAGCTTTTTGAATTCATTTCTTTGGAGGATCAAGACGCCTTGATCTGCTTTAAGGGCTCGGACAAAACCTTGAAACTTGACGTTCACTGGATCGTGATGGGCGGCTTGGTGATTGGTTGCGTCAGTCAGCTTTAACATTGCATCTCGCAGCTTATCCCGCAAATCTTCTGGATGGACACTTCCACGAAAACCAGAGACATTGATCATACTGTCAAGGCACGCAAGCGTGTTCTGCAACGCGTTACGATCACCGTACGCGGGCTGAAGGAGATCAACCACGCGATCAACGAGCTTTGGGCAAAGACTGAACAATGAGTTGTTAACGGTGGTTTCAAACGATATGTGGTATTCGAATACGGAACGTAGGAACACTAGCACGCCATTGTATACGAATGCCTGATTCTCTTCCGTCGGTTCAACTTCGGCTTGGACAATGGCATGATAAGCCTTCTCGATCATCATCCTCATACTTCGATTGTCGCTCACAGGTTCGTGAGAGGGAACATCAATATTATCTAGATAAATGGAGCTGAGGAACCGAAGCATCACCGTTTTCAGGCGCACGGGTGCACCTTGGTCCTGAAGTACCATGGCAATATCATGGATAGAAAACACGGTACGGGCAAACTAGATGAATCAATTTCAGTTAACGTTAGTATGGTTATTTGTCCAGCGATCATTGGAGCAACACTTACCGATTGGCCGTATGTATTATCGCCTTGCCCACAGACAGCTAGCAACTCAATGAGAGCAATGCAGTAATCCAGATGCTTGGATTTCGTAAGATCGTAAACGGTGTCAAACGGTACGTAGAGACTGCGACGATCCATCATTAAACGCATCACACAGTCTTGGTTTCTCTTGATAAGTTTTCCGCGCGCTTTCATGGCGTCATGCAGCAAATGCAAATACTCTCCGTGATAACCCTTGGACAGTTCCAGTATTCGCTTGATCTGCTCTTCCCGCATTCGTACACTGACATGCAAATTGTTCCGACAGAGTCCGTAAAGGCTAACGGCCAACGTTGGATCGTGTGCGCAGATGTCTATCAGCAAGTCAAGATTTTGCAATATAAAGACGCCCTATAACCTCGATACAAATCCATTTAGTAACCAGTAGCGCTCAAATTGTGTTTAATTTGAAGGTCCATCACACGGTACCTGCAATTCTGGATCATCCTGGGTCAGTTCAACGAGGAAGTCCAGGCACAGCTTCATTGTCCCTATGCAATCCGTATCTTGTTCGTTACACAGTTCAGCCATCTTTTTCACACTGGTGGATTTGAGGTTTTTCACGGCGGTGAGAAGTGTGATAATGAGTGGATGGGCGTTTAGATTTTTGAAAAGTTTTGCGTAGATATTTCGTTGGTTTTTCGTCGTTTCAAGAGAACAGAGACTGTCATCAAAATCAATGGTTTTACCGTTGAACAAACCAATAAATTGTTGCAAAATCGTGTCCACGGCTGGATGGTCTTTGACACTCAGGCGATCGGAAGCGAGGAAAGATCGAAGCATCGCCAGGCGCTTCTTAATGCCGTGATAGACAAACACTTGCTGTGGTTCAGTCAATAGCATCACCCGCGACGTTTTCTGAAACAAATCTAGGTGCAATTGTCTAGCTTGGAAAAAAAAATTTCATAGAATTTCGTACTTTTTTATCCTACCTTCACTATCGTTGTAAATACGATGCATGACCACCACGGCGATCCGCTTCAGTGGAGCGTACTGGTACCGCAAAATATCTTTTAATATCGGCATCAATATGTTTTCACGCTGGCGTAATAATGTTTCCTCGTATATCGTGGTCAACATGTCGTGAAGCGACCGCAACGGTTTCAGCTGAGTATTACTATCTTTGTGTTAGTCTCACTTATATGCTCCTTGGCGATAGTTGTTTTGTCTCACCTTTCCATGCGCTTCCATTCGGAGGCCAGCATAGCCATACGAACATGGAGTCGCAAATCGAAAATGAGGTCAAAAATTTCCAGAATCTGAATCTTGGTGTTCATCGCGTCCAAGGTATCTTCTGAAAGAAGGTATCGCTCGTTCCTAGTTCATCAACGTGAGTATAGCTTGCCCGTAAAAATCGACATGTCACTGCAGCAAAAATTAAGTTACCATTGTGATGCATCGTGGTTGGGTGCTGTTAGGTGCTTTAAATGTTGAATATTTCTAAAAGCTTGATGTATCAGTGACCGTATTATACTTTAAAACGCTTGTCTGGACCGCTTTACCGTGCATCTATGCGTCCGTCAAGTACATGTACCAAGGCTCGGAACAATCGTTTTACATCCCCTGGTTCGGTGAAAAATCCCAACCGTAGCTGAGAGAATATCAGTTTGAGAACTGCCGATAAAAACTGGGTATCGGGCTTGGCATCCATAAGCTTAGGTGACATATTTTTGTTAGTAAAGTGATGTACTTGGTAATTTTACTGCCAGGGGAAACTTACTAGATGCCGTCGATCGTCAAGAAAAACAAGGGCCCAATGTTTTAACTGATCGAAAAATTCTGGACAACGGCTTTCCAAACTACCGGTCCCACCCGAAGGATATTCAATGGGCCCGCAAAGCGTATCGAATTGTAAAGTGAAATCAGGTAATAAAACTTCGCTAAAGGGAGACACCTCAACGTAGAGGACTACGCATCAAACAGATGACGGTGAGGATGGTGTGACACAATGTGTGGTAATCTTACCAGACCATTCAACACTTTACCTCTGAGTATATGACAGAATTGGGCGCGAATATTGCTTGGCAAGCCCGGATCACCGATACACTTGAGACAAACATTCTTGGGGATGAGCTGTCGCTGAGACTCCAAAGTCTTGTTGCTTGACCCGTGAACGAGTGTAGAAATTATATGTAATACACTCTCCACGAACAGCCCAAGTATAGGGACGCTTCGATGGACCAGGGATTCCAGGTTGCGCCAGCTGTCGCCCATAATCTTCACTTCGACTATACCAGCATCCACCGACAAGCGTGTTTGAAATAAACATTCATTTCGTGGATCCACACCAAACAACTGCTCAGATACGTAGTGACGGTAAGGGATGAGTACGTCGGACGTTTCCGTATGGCATAAAGCACTCAGAAGGTTGAAAAAGGATGCGATTTCTTCGCCTTCAGCTAATCCGTAAAAGTCATCTTGGATGTACTGCGAAAGTATCCTCTGCGTTCGTCTTTTGACCAGATCGACGAGGGTCGGAATGAGCTGAGGTTGAGCAGTCGTGATATGCTCAATAACAGCGGTGTTATTCTTCACAAGTTGGATCATCATGCTCGCCACACCTATATCACTTTCCATATGCTGCTGGAACATGTGTATACCATCATCACCGGCCACGTGGAGCACATGAAGTTGATTCTCTTGATGATCCGATGGTTCGTTCTGTACAGGCCCCTCTATGAGAAAAACACGCAGCAAATGATAACAAAGACTAAGAATCGTCTTTAAGCGATATTCGTTGGTTGTCTGCAAATGATCCAATGGTACGGCTCTCTCGTATTCTGCGGAAAAATAGACCTGCGTGTCTTTTGCTGTGCGTACTCGTCGACGTTTCCCTAGATCAAAAGGGATTTGGATCATGCTAATCACGGCTTCAATGACGCCTATGTCGCGAAGTAACACTTGGTGATCTGTTGAATCAAAAACTCAATCAATGTCATGAAAGTAAGAAAGATAGAAGGCGTAATGTCTTACATGGGATGGGTATACCCACGCGTTTGGTGGGATCGTTTTCCTTGGTTCTCGTACAAAATTTGATCAACGCGCTCTGAGGTGCGCATTGGGTGAATTCACACAAGTTAATACCGCGTGCTAACCGCTAAAAGAAATCACCTGTTCATGAGCTTACCAGAGTATCGCACATGGCTTGAAATTCTTCCTGATCAATAGGAAAATAGCTGCCACTTTCGGGTGTATTTTCCGCATCCAGTTCCACTTTACGTTCTTGCTTGATAAACCATTGCAAGCGAGGTAATAGTTCATTGACGAAAATGAATGTATCCGATAACGGGTTATTCACCAACGTGATGGAGAAGCAATCATGATAATAAAAATCTTGCGATGCCGTCACGTTATGGATCAACGTATCTTCACTTGGCGATGATGTGCTAATGTCCGTAGAGTCCCGTGGTAGTCCGATATTGGATGATCCATGGTTCGTTGAGTGAGGGATAGGTGAAGTTGTGAGAGGATCGACACTTAGTGAGACGGTTGGCAAGGATCGTTGAGCACGTCTGATTTCATCATCGTCTGCAGCATGAATCCAGCATTGGCTTGCTACATGTTGAATCCGTACGTAGGAGCCAAAGGGCACTCTTGAGCTCACAGGATCGGAAGCAGGAATTAATTTGAAAAGCGTGCCATCATTCCCTTCTGGGCAAACGGGATTTTTCACCAGACGCAAGGAATAGGTGACTTTCTGACTGAGGACATCGATCCGCACATTGTTCGGATCGATATACAGATAGCGTCGTGAAGCTGCGTGACGAATGCGTACAGGTTTTTTCCAGGATAATTTGGAACCTTGAGAACTGTCTGCATTTTCGATCTGAAACATGAAATATGCAGGAGTGAATTCCTTATGTCTCAAAACAAACAGCCATGATCATGCACACTCACTTCCCAAAAAGCCAAGGGCGAATCACTTTCTTTAGGATCCAGTGGATTGATCACATGTTTGCGCAGTCGAACATCGTGTCTGTCACTGCAAAGTAAAAAAGAAACCGGTTGAGAACCTTTTTGGGCTGTGTCTAATTTGTTTTCATTTTTTTCTTTCTTACCTTATCAGCATAGGCGACTCGAGATAAGCTTCCATTTCTTTGTGGTAGAATCGAACGTATTGGCCTGGATGAATGAATTTGGATGTACTCATGCCTTGTTGTGCAAATGCAGACGCGTGACACTTCATGGTCCAAGAAGAAATCCGAGTATGGGAAAAGACCTCGTAATAGTCGGTGGAAAAAAGATCAGAACGTAATGGGTTCGTGCCCACGTTGAGATACCCTTCAGGACGTACGCACTGAATGGCAAAGGTGTCGCCTAGACGCACAGGTTCGCCGTCGACACGAATTCTGTAACGCGGCATGATCTTGAAGTAGCCAATCAAATCTTGCGATAGATTGACTTGCAGATGGGATATGTCGCCTTTGCAGGTTCGCCCGGTCACTGTCAGGTATTTTCGAAAATGTTTACTGTAAAGTTGTATGACTTGGCCATACAGCACCGGTTTTCCAAACAATCGTTTTCTTTCGGTTTCGTTCTGACTTTGTTCTTTGTGTGCTTCGCGTTGCAGTTCTCTCAATTCCTGCAGTTCTTCAATGGTGCCTTGACTCACAATGGATTCTTCGTCCTCGTCATCGCCAAAGAATTGCTTTAGTGCCCGTTTCTCGGTGTACCATTGCTGAGGTTCGATTCTGAATATACAACTGCCAATCGCTTCAGACGACAAGCGATCATGTCGCGTAGGTCGTACACACGCTCGAGTTTCCAAGGGATTCTCAGCAATCAGTACATTGTTGTTCTCATCGTACAGTATAATCTCGTCTCCTATGCGCAGAAATGCTTCGCCTGTCTTTGCCATAGTTCGAGTGACACTGTTTGCATAAGCTGATTGCAGACTGTAGCGTTATTGCTTCTTCAAGGTCCGATTGTTTGTGACGTTTTCAAAGCGCTTGCCTACTTCGTCTGGCCCCTTCCAGTCTTCTCACATGAAATCGGAGGATGAATTGATGAAATTCAGAGCTTAGGGCTGAATCGGTCTTGTCACATTGTCCGCCGTCGTGCAATCCCGTACTGTACGTGTTAGCTGTAAATATTTTTGATGCGTCAATGACATGCAACTTTCACAGCTTGTGAAAGCCAATAACATGATTATCGGTTGATCTTACCTCAAGAATTCATGAAAAGATCAGAATCAACAGTGCAAGGGAGTATCAAAAAGTGCACGATTTTGCTCAAATCAATTACTTGTGCCCGGACACCAATAGGAGAAGCTCGAGCCGTGGTAAATGACAAACAAAATTCCCAACCGCTACGGACCTTTTATTCCTTTACAAATTTTAGTCTCCTTCCGGATTACATAGTCACATTGAGAACATCGACACTTTTAAAGATGTCATTATTCCTGAGATAAGATTCTGTACCAACGTGCAATTTGTGTGTACATCAAGATTTATCTCGAACACTGGTTGAATTGCGGTGCTGTATAACCATTAGTCTAACCATCCTCCCAAAAGTGTGCATGTCACCAGTAAAAAAAAAATTTCACTGTATATTGGTATAAAGATCAGCGCGTCTCCCATTTCCTATTCTCTTATAATTTGCATGGTTCATGATGATCCTGAAAACAAAACGATTTTTCCCCAGTTAAAGTTCCATGCCGATTCCCGGATTTCGGTTGCTGACACTGAAAAAAACCAACGACAGTCCATCAAAAGAATGGTTACACTAAGAACCAAATCTCTAGCAGTTATAGATCTGATCCCTCGGACGTCTCACCTATATTGTAGGTAGAGTGCATCCTATTGGAGTAGCACGACCGGCATTTTCCCGACTGTAACAGGTTTAGGATGGAAAAAGAAGAAGCATCATCGTAGATCTCTATCCCGCTCTTATGTTGTGTTACACCGATTGCAAAGCCTGGTTTTGTTTTACACTTTTTATTTTTTGGCTTAAAACAGAAAAAGGGTGATTTAGCCATGAACTAAGGCGCACTTTTTTTGATTTCCCTTTTTTCTCCTCTTTTTTGTTTTCTCCTTTATCTATATACCTTCGACTATGCATTTCCTACTGGAAGCCTGGTATCGCAAAGTAAGCCTAATGAGACGGTGATACCTTGACCTATACCTGGGTTGTTGACCTTTGGATCATTTACAGCCTTTAGAACCAAAGCTACTTGTATATATTCGAGGGTTCACCGCCTCTTTGATGAGCATGGCATTCTTGGTTTACTGTGGATATCTCGGCTGGCAAGTAGGGCTCACATTCATTTAGCTCTGTGATTGTCATACTTAGCTTTTGAACGCTTTGACAGGTCTATTATGATAAGCCGTTGCTGCTCATATCAAGCGAAACCATATCGCCAGCTTTTCCTGGACCCGACATTGAAATGTGCGTTCAATCATCCAGTATGACCCTTCATCGAATCGATTTTATAGACCCCGCTTGGAACACCCTGACGATTCAAGACGTGTCGAAATACGTGTCTCTGGGCCAACGCGAAGCTTGGGATACTAATTGGTGTTACCTTTTCCACTCCGATGCAGTTTATTACGCAACAGATTCACAAGCAGCACTGCCTGGCAAGACAGTCATTCGACGCATGGATGTTTACTGGCGTATTGATAGCCTGGCCAACGTCTCTGCTGTGTCTGTCGCGGTACCGGGCGTCGCTGTTCATCTTTACGCAAACTCATTGAATTCTTGGAATATACGACCAGACGATGCCTTGACAAAAGCTAAAGTAAGATCGTTGAGCCAACCAAAATCCCGAGACCCCATCGCGATATATTTGTCTCATAACCTTGACGATGTTTCTAGACTCAGAAGCTGCAGGATATTAAACTTGGTCTTTACCGGTCCACCACTTTTCAAAATCACTCAAGCACCATTTTCTTCACCCCCACGAAGTACAGAGCCATCAAACCAAAGGATGTAACATCGGTGCTTGGATTTGTAAGTCTGGCTGGTGATGAAATCGACACCTCTCTTTTTATTTTACCAGATGATGGCTAATACATCTAGATACTGGTAATTTTTTTTTTGAAAGGACACATCTTATGAGGATCTTGTTACAATTGAAACAGTGCAGCACACTTGGCCGTTACATGCCAACAATGTTAATCTCACCAGAGGCGTAAGTCATGCATGGAACAACACATGTACTGGCTTGAAATTTTTAGCTCATACTCTCTGCTGTGATACAGGATTATCACGGTTTGTTTATGCTACAACTGGCCAGTTCGCACATGGAAGTGCAGGTAATTTCCCAATAGGAGCAAGAGCTACCACAGGTCCGAATTATTCATGCATGAAGCTTTTATTTTTCTCAAAAGACGGAACAGCGTCAACATACAACGCTGGCGGCTCTTGCATTGGCAGGTGGTAGCTATGGCTTGTTGACGACGTTGTACATTCTTTTATTTGGTATGACACGTCTTACACCCTGGGGTTTGATACATCACGTTCCAGTACTCGTCAGTCGAGGCAAAGGCAAATTTCAGTGTGGTAATTTGGCTGACACGGCTTCGGATCGCACGGACGATCGATCCACTTCCAGTAAAGGCAGTAGTTCGATTCCTTGGTTCTTCCGTCGTCATCTCTTTGGACGTTATAAATCCAGCGATTCAGCAGAGATGATCCCTATGGAGAGAAAGTCGACATTTAGGGACAACGTTCCAGCTTTCAATGGCGGGCAAGCTGCGGTTTCAGCCGACAACCGATCTCAGAGTTTTATCATGCAAAGCTTACCGCTTGCAGACAACTGCAGCGATGTCGATCCAAAAGGTGAAATGGTCACACAAGCCATGATTTCTCAAGATCGAGCTGTCAGTCTGGAAGGACGCATCGAAGAATTGGAAATGTTTTTAAGAGAATACTTTTTGAATACGGAATATCTGGACCATCTGCGTCGCCGGAGACTACGACGTCAAACGACCCTTCAGATGGCTGAAGAACAGAATCATGCTACAGTGATTGACAATATGGGCGTTTTGGAACGTCAACCTCACCACGATTACCCGCATCACTTACAATCCGAGGCCGTAGCTGATGTACCTGAATCCAATATCCCTTATACCAAATTTTAAACCAGCTACAGTAATGCTTGATATCGTATTTGTTACTATTTTATTCACACAAGTCCTTCACTCTATTATACAACTTATTCCCATGCTGTTGCATTTTTCTGTTGAGAACAAGCATTCATAGACACTTACATTAGCAAATTTTATCGTTTTACAAACATGATTATGTGAATTTTTTCTTTTGTTTTGCCAGGACAAGTTGGTTGAATGATGATATATTACGCTTTTAGGCGTCTACGCCTAGAGGACGCTCTTTGTACAATATAGAATGGGTTTAAACTTGCAGATCTAATTACGCGCGTGTTACAGGCTGGCCATTTGCTGCTGCAAACATCATGTCGAGACCTTTACGGAAGGATTGTGTAACGAGCTTGTTGTTGCCCAATCCGTAGGTATCAAACACTTCCTTCCACCACAAGTACCATTGCTTGACTTCATCGTAGTTCACATGGCTCCGATCCAATGTTAACCATTTGAATAGCACATCGAGCCACTTGCTAAAGAATTCATTTTCCAATAATTGACCCATCAGTGTTTCGGACAGCAGATCTTTCCAAGCAAGGCACCAGATCAATGGTTCCAGCTGTTGATCTCGCGGGTTAACCACGAATTCTCCGCGGAGCACCTGAGTGAGTTTGGGTAGGACAGATTTCACAAGGAAGGACTCCATTTGCGCGGGCGTCCATACTTCTTTCCATGGTGTGATGATATGTAAAGCGGATTCGTCCGAAGGGTGCCATTGACGTAGAATGACCGAGAGCTTTTGTCGTATGCTAACGAATATATCAGCAAGACGCCAGGCTTGCAGTGACGGCAACCAGGGATGGATCCACGTATGAATCATAACGGGGTCGTTGCGAGGATCCCAAGCAGATACCGCATTGTTTAATTTAGGTAAAATCAATTGATTGATGATGTTTTCGAATACGAATTGCGGCAAAATGGGTGGCTTCCACGCTTCCATCAGTTGAATTAAAGGATCCGGATCCCGCACGCTCCAGTCATTACTTGAAAAAAAAAAGGAAGAATTTAGTACAAACAAGAAAAATGGTTGCAGACATTGTTTCTCTTGACTTACTTTATCGCACTTCGTACTCGAGTGAGCCAAATGGTATTCATCATGGCTTCATAAGGAGTCATGACAAGCAGGTCTTTCCGTCTTCTCGGGCGAGAACGAGCCCACCCAGCGTCGGTCATCATTAACTGATCGTCGTTACTTCGGAGTAAGGGTCGCCAGCGAGTAATATCATCCAAACCCCATGTAGGTTGCTGAAGAACGTTCCAATGAATCGATTGGAACTTCATGACTTGCGCCCACACTGCCACTACGAGTGAATCCAACCCCAAGCTCTTCACTTCATCCACGTATTTCGTCAGCAGAGGATCGAAAAGATGACCGAACAACTCGGAGATGCTGCTTGTCTCGAACGACTTGGATGCCAATGCATTTTTGGAAGCGAGTTCCAATTGATGTGCAATCTGTACCACTTCCTCTATTTTCCGCTGTTTCGTCTCGACTTCCTGTTGCCGTTTTTCGATTAATAGCAAGTCAGCCTTGAGTGCGTCCATGCGGTAAACCGATTGTTGTTTTTCTCTCGACAAGTTCTCCAAAGCGCCTCGCGATAGATCGACCAGTAATCGAAGGTTATGCCGTAATTCTGGTAATCGTGTGGTTGTCTCCATTAAAGTGGGTGAATCGGTTCGCTTGATTTCCGATAGTGAAATCTCGCGTATACTGGGACCTGTCATATCGATGACCTTTTGTTGTGTCTGCACCCCGGTTTCGGCCGCCGTTTCTGCTAGAATATCTGTAGCCGTCTTGTAAACCACCTTTGGCTTCCTTGGTGCTGCCGGTCCAGTTCGCTTCCATGCCCCTCGTTTGGCTCCTTTTTTCTTCGTTTCCTCCTCTGCTACTTCTTCAGACTCTTCTTCTGACGAACTGACCTCTCCTCTTTCACGCGCTTCTTGTTTAGCTTGCGATGTGCGTTCGTCGAATCCCCTGAAACCCATACCCATACGTGCAGGACGCTGCTTGGTTTCGACCGGGTTCACAATACCTTCCCCTTTGGAACCCAAACCTTTACCGACGTTCCAACCCATTTTCTGCAGCATGCGTTGACCATAGCCGGTAGTATGTTTAGTAAATTGGGCGAATCCAGGTGCCGGTGCGGGCGATGCTGTTCTTGACGTTGATGTTCTTTTAGGCATCTTGGATCGAGGGGTTGAGGCAGGCGAATCCGCAGCTTTGGGTGATTCACCTGGTTTCGGCGAATCCTTGGCTAACTGGAAACTGGGCATGCCAGCGAGAAAGCTGGAGCCAGCGGCAGAGCCACCTGAGCCAAGTCCTCCTCTGGGTGCTCCAAAACCGTCGTCGTCTTCTTCGCCATCTTCATCGACGAATCGTTGACGTTTCCGTTGACCAGTGAATCCGGCCATTTCCTCTTCAAGATCGCTTTCTGTAATGTCAAAATTGATTTTTCCGGGTTCGTCATCGGACGAGTCTCCTCCATCGTCCATGTATTGTTTACGACGTCCCATGACAGATGGAATGGTGATAAGAAAATGGGGGTTTTTTACAGGTGCGAAATGAGTATCGAAGTGTCACCAGCAAACCCTCATTCAATTCGCTTAAAAGTGACTGCGAACTGCAAGTGGGGGAAATTTTGGTAATGAAAAAAAAGGTGGGTTTATTCTTTTTTTTTGTGAAAGAGCAAATGTTAAAAGAAAGAAAGAATAAGAAAAAAAAAAGTCTACAAAAATATCTGTCTCTGTAAATTAAAACGGATTCTTTTTTATTTAGGCAGTGGCGGATGCTTGAGCAGCTTCAATGGACTTTTGGAAATTTGCCATGCGAGCTTCAAGTTCTGGTCGGAAGTGACGAATCAAACCTTGAACGGGCCATGCAGCAGCATCACCCAAAGCACAAATGGTATGACCTTCAATTTGCTTGGTCAATTCCCAGATTTGATCAATTTCTTCGGTATGACCACGACCGTCTTCGAAACGATCCATCATCGACTCGAGCCACTTGGTACCTTCTCTGCAAGGAGTACATTGACCGCAAGATTCGTGGCGGTAAAACTTGGAGAAACGAGAAATAGCGCGAACGATATCGGTACTCTTATCCATGACAATGACAGCAGCTGTACCCAAACCGGAGTTGGCATCACGAAGAGCGTCGAAATCCATCAATACGTCGTCACACACGCTCTTGGGCATCACAGGAACGGATGAACCACCGGGCACAATACCGAGCAAGTTATCCCATCCACCACGAACACCACCGCAGTGCTTCTCAATAAGTTCTCTCAAAGGAATTGACATTTCCTCTTCAACTGTACAAGGGTTGTTCACATGGCCAGAGATACAGAACAACTTGGTACCGCTGTTACGAGGACGACCGAAACCGGCAAACCACGAACCACCACTATGTAACGCAAAAAAAAAAGAAACCGGTTAGTAAAATAGAAAAAAATCAAGGAAAAATAAAAAGCGAGATGATCGAAGACACAAAAGCCTAGTTTGCACATTCTCACATCATCATAGTCGTAGAAAAAAAGACCAATATAGTTACCGTCTAAGAATAGTGGGAGCGACAGCAACGGTTTCGACGTTTGTAACAGTAGTGGGGCAACCGAAAAGACCGACATCAGCAGGGAACGGAGGCTTCAATCTGGGCTTGCCTTGTTTGCCTTCAATGGATTCGATCAAACTGGTTTCCTCACCGCAAATGTAAGCACCGGCACCACGGTGAATATAGACATCAAAATCATAGCCAGTACCGCAAGCATTCTTGCCGATCAAACCAGCAGCATAAGCCTCGTTGATGGCTTCCTGGAGATGACAAGCTTCCTGATAGAACTCGCCACGGATATAAATGTAGGCTGCAAATTCATCATCATATCAATGGTTAAAATACGCGTTATCACAAAGCAAAAATCCCTCTTTTTTTTTTTCTTTTGGATGTTTAAATCGCGAGCGAGGCTCATCGCTAGGGATCAACGGAGAACAAAGAATCTAAAACTTACCAGCGTTGGCCTTCATGGCAGAACCGGCCAACAAGCAGCCTTCAACCAACTTGTGGGGATCACCGCGCAGAATTTCACGATCCTTACAGGTACCAGGTTCACCTTCATCAGCGTTAATGACGAGATATCGAGGACTAAGAGATGAAAAAAATTATGGTTTTGGGTTAATAAAACCCGAAAAAAACGAAAAATGCAAAACCATGGAAACGCGAAAGTATTACCGTCCATCCAAGGGCTTGTTCATGAAACTCCATTTCAAACCGGTGGGGAAACCAGCACCACCACGACCACGAAGGCCGGACTCCTTCATTTCTTTCAAGATCCATTCGTGGCCCTTGAGAAGAATTTCCTTGGTCTTGTACCAATCACCACGCTTCAATGCACCCTTCAAACGGAAATCGTGCTTTGAGTAAACGTTGGTGAAAATGCGGTCATCATCAGCCAAACCACCAAAAGTGGTCTTGCCCGTAATGGGATTGGCGTTGGGATCGGCATCGGTGGCGTAGGAACGAGAAATGGTGGGAATCGCGCGCAAGTTACGAGCCAATGGAGCAACAGCTATGATAAAACGACAAAGTGTGAATGGCTGAAATAAAAAAAAAAAAGAGAAACGTCGTCTCGTGGATATAAATTACCTCGCTTAGCAGCAATGGATCTCAACATCACAGATAAGCAGTTGCAAATGTAAGAGTGGGGAGGTGAGGGGATTTACGAGAGCAACCGAATTAATTTGAACAGTGTTTTTATTTCTTTTTGATGGGGCTTGCAACAGAGGGGCACCTCGGACCCGAAAAATTCACGTGACATATACGTCACCCTTTTTAAAAAATCCTATTTTTTTTTGACTTGTGACCATCAAGGACACCAAAAGATTTTTTTAATTTGCATCGCGCACGAACACGAACCCGCTTCGCGTGGAAAAAAAAAGGCGGTGATTTTATTTATTTCTTCTCCTTGTTGGCGTGAAAAAAAAAAAATCAATCCTTCAAATTATTGCTAGAACAAAAATATAACCATCATCGTTAATATCTAAATGATGCAATACGCGTCCCAAGATGGTCTGTTTCCAGACTTTCGTGTGCGCAAACTTCCCACTATTACATACAAGCGCAAACAGCGTGCCTTTCCTCCAGTCTCAACATGGAACCCCACCATGCCATCATCATCATCATTCCTCACCCCACCAACAGTAACATCCGAATCTCGAAACACATCGGCCAGTCATGATTCTGCGGAAAAATCGACGGTTACAACAGAGAACAACCCACTGACGGTCTTTCAGCGTCTTCGAAAAGAGTTGGATAATGCGGTGGATATTTTTGGATTTCCTTCCGAGGGAGATCCTATCAAAAGAAGACAACACGAGAATGAGGAACAAACTAACAAAATTTTGCCTAATAATGTCGGCAAGAGCAAGGAATCAAGTGTATTCGATATATTTGACCTGCCAGATCCTTCTCATCGCGCATCTCAGCACTTGGATATTTTTGATCTGCCCCCAGAAGATGGTCATGAAGCCGAAGTCAAACTGCTCGTCGCTACATCTCGCGACGCGCCAGCGCAATCAACTTCTCCTGCTCCTCCACGTAAGACATACCAAAAGGCGACGAAGCATGCCAAACTGAAAGCGATCCCGCCCCAATCGATCTATCCGTCTGCATCGAATCATTCATCTGCAACAACATCTCCTCAAAAGACCTATGGCAAACGCAAAGCTAAAGCCGTTGAACATCATCCATCCTATCATCAGACGCCGATCCACCCTATTTCTCCCTCGGCACACCAAGTTTTATCCACTTGTTCCATGCTAATGACGCGAACTCCCCAGGAGATTGTCCCATCATCACCTTCCTCATCAACTTCTTCTTCATCCTCAAACTCCGGTGCGTCAACAGCGCCTAAACGCAAATTGAATCTTATCTCGCGACTGAAGAGCGCCAGCGGTGAGTCGACCGATATTGACCGTAATCGATGGTACGAGTTTTCGGACGATGATGATGGTGATGAGAGTGCACAAGATGAATCGAATCTAGCCTCACCAAAAACCACGCCAAAGAATGATTTCGGAAAAGAGCCTTCGCCTGAACTCAGCTACCAGGAACGCATGGAACGCGAGTTATCTTCTTTGATGCGATCAGAGTTTGATGAAGAAAATGAAGCTTCAACAATACAAGCATCCACACCACGCCATAATGCCATTTACACTCCGGATAAATGTAATGTACGAATCACTTACAGTCGCTCTACTCGGATACAGCACTCAACTTGAAATGGATATCCCAAATCGGATGAAAATTTACACAAGCTGGTGAAACAGCTCATTTATCGTTTTAAATATCTATACATTTCACTATTGTAAATAATCGTTTAACAAAGCCCTACACAAACTTTCTGGATGCCGCCTGCTACTGTAAAAAAGTGCATGCATGGATAAAGATACTCTGCATAGCATCTGGCTTTGGTCTTTTTTCAATAGGAATGGGATTTTTCCAGCTTTTTGTAGGGCAAGGGTTTTTCTTCTGCAAGACTTTTTGATTTGCTCATTGTGCGAATTGATTTTCAGGGCCCATCCCAGCTTCTATTTTTGGTAACCAAAATGACCTCATTTCCGGTGACTTTGGGGTCCGGGAAGATGATGAAAAAAAGCTGGGGCCACGCACAGTCGGTCGTCACTTGTTCACTTGACATTCTCCTCATGTCCAACACTCAACAACCTATTAAAGTCGGTATTATCGGTACTGGCATCTTTGCTTACCGTCACTTGCGCGCTTACCAAGCATTGGGAGCCGAAAAATATCAGTTGGTGGCATGTGCCAACCGTTCCCGGGATAAAGCGGTGAAATTTGCTGCTGAGGTAAGCTGAGCATCTACCCAAATCTCGCTGCGACGATTCTTATATCGGGCATTGGTCTTTATCTTTTTAGGCGGGTATCCCAGAGTCAGCCATTTATTCGGATCCTCTGGAATTGATCAACGATCCTAATGTGGAACTCATTGACACTCTTTTGCCGGTTCAGTACAACCGCGGTGTAAGTGGGCGTGGTCTCTGTTTCTCTTGGCGTTATTTTATTTGTCTCACTTTGTGTTACAGATCGTCGAAGCCGCTATTGCCGCCAACAAGCATATCATTTTTGAGAAGCCCATTGGTAAGCTGGTGACCGTTGTATATGTGAGTCTTTAAACTGCTGTAACTGAGCGTTTTCCTTTCTGTTGTGTTTTTGGTATTGCAGCGGCTTCTTTGGAGGATGCTCGCAAAATTGTGTTGGCAGCACGCAAGGCCAAGACCGTAGTGGCTGTGGCCGAAAATTGGGCTTATCATCCTTTGGTTACGGCGGTTGGTTCGTTCATCGAAAAGGGCGGTATTGGTGAAATCGTCAATTTCACCTATGACTCCACTCGTCCCTACAGTCCAAATTCCCCTTACTATGCAACCAACTGGCGTATGAACCCAGAACATCCAGGGTAAGATCGCGCGTTTTATTTACCACGAAGAAAGGCAGTCAACTTATGGGATGGTCATAAAATGTAGAGGCTATCTTAGCGATGGTGGTGTCCACGATATGTGTCATCTGAAGATCGCTTTGGGATGGTTCGATACAGTGAGCGCATTCACCACCAAGCGACACACGGTTCATGGTGCCGATGACACATTGGCCAGTACGGTCCGATTGAAGAACGGTGCTATTGGTGTCGCCAACTTTACTTTCGTAAGTATAGCTGATACCTTCTCAACGGATAGAAACTGAGACTAACCAATGTCTTGCATAGTGTTCCGCAGGCATGAAAAGTTTGCGCCTGGAGATCCACGGTACCAACGGCAGCATTATTCTTAAAAACGACACAGATGTGGAGCTGTTTAATGAGCAAGGAGAATCTGTGGACACGCAGTATATAAAGGATCTTGCCCAGGAAGTGTCGAGCGGCGGATTCACTGATGTGGAAGGTGAACTGTACAATTTGTATCAAACCTTACGTCACGGAGCCAAGCTCGGTATTTCTATCGATGACTGTTTCCACCACTTGGCTTTCTTCATTGCTGCTTTGGAATCTGCACGTGAAATGAAGGCCGTAAAGTTACCAGAGATTGAGGAATAGAAATAGAAAATAAAAAACCGAACGCTTCATGCTAATGACGAAGATTGTCTGTCAAGTAATTCCCATTGGTCGTCGTCGTCATCGTCGTATTGAGCTGGAGCGTGGTATCGCCAAGTCTTATTTTCTCTACCACCTGGAATCCATCGCAACAGTCCCGAGCCACGTAGCAGGCTTTGACCAACTAGGGGAAAAAAGCAACCCATGTTTAGCCCAACACCCGTCAGCATATAAAATATGAGAAAAAAGAGCTTTTACCACATGTGCCACAGCAGAAACACCAGCAGAGACCTGACAGAAACAGTAGGCAAATACCTAATATCAGCAGTGACAGCTCTAGATAACTAAGTTCCATGCGGAAGAAATGAAAAAAGCACTGCAGCCGACTGTATATTTAGGCCGGTGATACAAGGCACGACAAAATGCGGGGACTGGACATGCGTCACCTTTCAGGCACCATCATGAAATGATATAAAATTAGCAGTGCTTTGAATGATGCCATAACAACATGGCTCATGAAGTATGAAATGAATGTTGCACGGAATAAATACATAGTCATTTTTTATATGTGAGTTAGCATATAGACGTTATTGCTCAAATAGCGATATCTGGGGCCATGGTCGACAGTAAGGATGAGCGGTGCGAAATTGTGGCTTAGTGAAACAAATTTCGTTTTCTCCTCCTAATCCCGGGCACATCTCCAACGGTCCAATACAGGCAGAGAAAGAAAAACTTACGGGTTGAAACGCATTCGATTTTTTTTTCTCTTTACCTATAAACGATCCCACCAAGTCTATGTAAAACAGCTGAGACATGTCTTTTCAGCTGACTGAGACTTGCAGGCATTCGTTTTATTTCATACAACGGCGATGGTTCTTGAGAACCTTGCGTGCATTATCCACCACGGCCGTTGCGTCAAATACCAGTCTTCTCCTTAAAAGCAGTGCACCAACCTACGTGGAAGCAGAAAAACCCGTTTCCGCCGAGTCCAATACACAACGTCCGTTAACAACGCAGCATGTAGAAGAATTGTTATCGTTTTACAAAGGACGAGCCAGCGCTCATCGTCAATCGAAATACTGGTCAAAGATAATTCAAGTTTATACGGATGCCCAAAACCTACATATTCCACCTACTCGATCTACCATGTTGACCGCTATGGCCGCATTTGGTCGATCCGGCCGATTCGACGATGCCGCTAAACTTTATTCTGACCTAAACCTCGCTGGCGATTCCAAAGATCTTTTACTCCATCAAACGTTCCTCGATGCATGTCTGCATTGCGGGCGCATAGAAGCCGCCGGCAAGGTTTTGCAACTTATTCAACGCGCGGACGATCAAGAAACGGTTGTGCAGAGTACATGGCGTTTTATCGATGTGTGTATAAAGAAGAACAGTATGCGACGTGCCATTGAGGCTGCCAAGGATTTGAAACACCATGTTGCAAACCTCGATCCATCCAATCTGGAGAAAACGTGTGAATTACTATGGCACGGGTATGCGAAATTGGCAGTACGGCATCATGGTGTGGGATTGGATACGAAGCCATACACGGTACAAGCATTTCTTACCGAGTTTGCCGGCAAACAGCAAAGTGCGTTGGCCTGTATGAAAGAATATCCGATCGAAGCATGGCCACAACCTCCGTTGGTCAAAGAGGCACTGCACATGGAACATATTTTGAACCAAGGTCGATACAGAGCATGCGTCACTAGATACCAAGCCTTGATAACAGGTGATCTTCAAGCCACAGCTGAAAAGGATACACGTATCGCGACCCTTGCAGCCGTTGCATCATGTGCCACCGGCAATTGGACAAAATGCGAATCAATACTGTCAAAATTCAAAATCGACGTTTCCTCGAGCACGCTGCAACGTGTGATGGATGGTCTGGTTGACGCGGCGTCCGGTACTCCGCCAATTACGGGAGCTATTTTATTACGATCACTGCAGACCATGGAACGCGTTTGGGGCGTACGAGCCAGTTCAAAGACCATTGTGCACCTGCTACGATTTATCGGAAATCGTGGTGAAATTCAGGATGCTTACAAACTATACCGTTGGGTGCGAGAGGACGCAAAGAGGCACTCATCCTCGGCACCAGTCACCACCAGCAGTCGTGCGGTAGATCCGGCGATATCCTTGTCCTTACTGAAAGCTGCACTCGCCAATGGCCAGATGCTAATAGCAGAACGGGCATTCCGTGATTTATTATACCATACATCCGCCGACGGCGTCAGGCCTCCCCGACTGTGGTTATCCAACATGATGATGAATGGCTACGCTGTCCAGTACCCTACACCTAATCTACCCCGAGTCAAACGAACGTACCAACGGATTCTCCAGGCTGGCGATGATCCTGATCGAGTGACATTCAACACCCTGATCAAAACCTTCATCCGATGTGACAATTACTCAGCCGCACAAAAGACGTTTGACATGATGCTGGAATCAGGCATTACACCGGATAACTGGACAGTGAACACCATCATTCAAGGCTGGGTTGCGAAACAAAACTGGCAGCAAATTGAACGATTCATGTTAAAGATCCGCGATTGTGATGCGACTTTGGAGCTTGATACAGTAACATTCAATCTACTAGTGCAAGGATTTCTTCGACTGAATCCGAACGATGCCCATGCAACACAGCACTTGGCACGAAGAAAGCAATGGAAAGAGCTGCGGCAACTAGAAAAACAGCGGCACCAGGACGTCTATAAAATCAAAAGCGAGGTCATATGGACTATTCTAGCGGATGCTACGGGATTGACGCAAGACGATATCCACAATGCGGTGCAGAATTCCACCCATGCAGATGGACAAGAATGCCAACGACAACCACATACCCAGCACAACACATCAAAGCATAAACCGTTTATTACCTATTTTAAAGGAGCGGCACCCGATGCGGCAACTTACAAACTTTTCATGAAAGCATTTAACAAGGCAGGTGACCCTGTGGCAGCCTCCAAACTCCATCATTGGTTCATGCGTTGTCATTCTTAAAACATATGTTCATAGCAGTAAATGTTTTCTTTGTATATATTTTTTACCCATTTAATACGCTGGATTGTCATTGGTTTTTTTTTTTTTTCATAAAATATCGGATGGGGGAACATGTAAGAGTTTAATGTGGGAGTAAGTTCATACGTCTATCATATGTTGTATCAGATTAAATACTTGTTCGTAAGCGGGAGCTTTGCAGATGGAAGAGTCTCCTCCTGAGTATGATTTACATGGTCTTCTACCAGCGATTGGTCCCATCCATTTTTTGCTGTTGACTTGTGGATCAAGGAGGAGCATCGGTGGTTTGCGCTGTATACGTGAGCAACAATAAATAAGCCTCGTGCCGAGACGCTGATAGCTTGATGGATGCAGTAAAAACGGCGAGACCCTTGGGCGGGGTGATCCCGGTACTTCGATCTTGCGTCCATCCTCCTTCATCGGTGGGCCACGCAACATGGATTAAACAATTATCAGGATGCCAAGATCATTTGTTCATCCATAAAAGTGTTCAGAAGTGTTACGCCATGCTTTGCCAAGTCAAACAATCAACTAGGGCTGTGTTGACCTTAAATTTTACTTGGATACACTCAATTTTAGATGCCCTGTACCAATCAACTGTGTAGACATGATCATGGCTATAAACTATGAAATCGAGACTTGGGCTGCGACGCTCAAATTTTGTCATATTCTATTTGGCCACCGAGGGAATTACAAAGACAGGCAATAATTGGGCCAAGGCCAATATGGTTATTCACGCCTCGGTTTTTCTTCATGATACATTACTAAAACTGTAGATGCAGAGGCTATCTTGCATTTGTCTCTGGTGGTTGTTCGTTTTCCTTTTTTGTTTCTACCATTTACGGTTTCCCTTGTTGTCTGTTTAACATTGCAAACAATGCATACATAACACACCACTTTGTATCTGTTGGTGTATGTTTTCTCAACTCATCATATAAAGCAACCAATAAACACAGATTGACACCTTCACATTTTGTCATACGTGGAATCTGTGCTACGAATAGATGCATTGCATGTCACTTGCTCTTTTCAACCATTTGATTGTTATTGTATCACTTTATGGCAAAAATGGTGCAACGTAGCAAAGGACCGACAAACGGACACCATTCAGTATATGTTTTGTTTGTCATAGATTGGACACCCCTTTCTTGCGTTTGTTGCTTCATTAAAAACAAAGTCCATCTTGGTAGATCTTGGTGGCGATAAATTTTTTTCAATCATCATAGGCTTGGGAGAAATGAAACGCACGAAAAATCAAAAGAGTGAACCATTATCTATAAAAGGTAACACCCTAAACAATCAAGGTCATATTAAGCATGCTCATTTCTTCTGGCATAGTTTTCCCGCTTTCTTGTTCGTTTTCTTGCATCTGACCAGCGTTCAAAAAACTTGTCGACGTCTTCTCTGGTGCACACATCTGACGAATAATTTCAAGACGAAGCCATGGTAAGTTGAATATTTCCGACCCTATTGAGCTTGGCGACATGTAATTCCCGGGGAACGGATTTCGGTTGAAAATGCAACTGTAGCATATATAAACGTCCGATATAGATAGACTATTAAGCGTATTTTTTTTTCCTTTGCTCGGGCAGATCTTTTTACCTCTTTCGCGTTCTTCTCATTATGGGTAAACTATTCAAAGTCAATTATTCATCCTCTCCTTCCACTACTATTTCATCCACCCCGCCCATCTCGAAGCAATCACGTCGTATTGCAAAATTCGTAAAAAAAGTTTTCACAGTACCGCGCAAAGCATCGATCAGTCAGCTAAATCTTCCTATTCATCCCAGCTACTCATTTACGGTAAACCGTGAAGACGATGCCCTGGCCCACGAGAAGTTTCTGGCATTGCAATCTGATTTATCGGATGTGGAGCCTTCGCTAACTTCGTTAACGGAAGACAAGGAAGTCGAGGCACGCACATGGAAGGATATGCTGGAACCTGAAGTACTTCTTGGTTACTGTCTTACCGCCCAACAAATAAAGTATCAAGAGATTATGAACGAGCTTATCAATACGGAGCAAAATTATTCGGAAGACATTGTCCTCCTGTACAGGGTATGTATCAATCTACAAAAAGATGGCCCATCTATACAGGTGCATGAATTTAACACGGATAAATTTCTTGCAGATTTTTGGCAAGGAGATTCTTGCTCAAAGCAATATACCCGAATGTCTGCGGTTGATCTTTACCAGCTTATTAGAAATTATCAAATTGCACGCGCGCTTGCATAAAGTAACGATTCCTTACCACCTTGGTCTCCAGTCATACCTTTCATGATTCTAAATCTATTGCAATTTAGGAATTACGCGTGCGTCAGCATAAGCAATTCCCTATCTTAATTAGTATCGCCGATATATTTCGCGAGCACGTAAGTCGTTTGTCCTATTACCATAAGATGACTGTGTCGGCTAAAGGTATCTTTAGGTTTCTTCATTTACTGTATACAGTGACTACTACATGAACTTTGAGGAAGCCAACGATATCATCATGAACTGCATGTCTATCGAAGAAGATCCGCTTGGTATTTTTATAAAAGTAAGTGAATCCTATACCAATTGAGACTGCAGGCAAAATAACGTACTATTTTTCATTTCAGAATCGAATGAACTGGCCCGAATGCCGTAATCTGACACTCCAGGCCTTTCTATTAAAACCTATTCAACGGCTCATGAAATACCCACTCTTTTTCAAGGTTTGTTTCTCGGTTGGACTTGGAAGAATCAAACAGAAAAAATTCACATGTTTGATGGTCTCGTAGAATCTTTGCTGCTGCTTTTCAGCAGAAGATACTCTATTGGCGGACCATAAATTATTCCTTATTGAGATCGAAAGCATCATTCGCTCCATCGAGAAAGATACAAAAGACATCAACGAACATAAAAAATTGCAAGAGTTAGCCACACGTATCCAGGGTTTAGAAGTAAGTTTGGCTTTTTGCAGCAGATCCACGTAAAAAAAAAACGAGGAGGGACACCCAATCTCACGCGCATCAACATAGCAATATGGCATTAATCTGACAGAATCAGGTCGACGCCTCGTGCATGAAGGATATCTTACGTACTTGCCAACGGCACAGACACCGTTAACCATCCCATCCTGGCCGGACGATGAGGACAAACCTCCCATTGATAAACCTCATCCAAATGCCGTTATGCAACGGAAGCTGGGTAGTAAAAGAAAGCGGGTTTACGTATTTCTTTTCAACGACATGATCCTCTGTACATCGGTAAGTACGGCTATTTATTGCATTCAAGCTCCCAATGCTTGCCAAGTCATCTATTCACGCCGCTTCTCGTGAAATATGCAGACACAAGTTCGTTCCATCGTTATTGGGCAGCAACGGACCTCGAGCAACAAATCGTGTTATGGGATTGGGCCGCATGTACACTTCCAAATCGTTCAGGTTCCCGGCCAGATCACGCTGACAGATCGATACGTGACTCGACGCGCAAGTTCGATGACTTCTCCTCGAGAGGGACCTGCCAAGTCTTTAAGCCGATTCAGTCTTCGCAAAAACCGAGTAAACGTCGAACGATCCCACTCCCAAAGTAAGAAACAAGAGGTCTACGAAGAGCATCCTCGCCAGTTTGTGTGCTCGATTGCGGCCAATTCAATAGCGAACATGTTATTTGAGACTGACACGGCCCAAGAGAAGAAAGTGTGGTGCAACCAGATGGAGCGTGTATTGAGTCAGCATGTGCAGCGTCCAGCTTGGTGGGATGCTGAACCTGAACCTACGTCGCCGTCTGTATTCGAAGCGTTTGCACCAGATCAAGTGCAAGAGAATGGTCATACTTTCCCAGAAACCGAGGATACTATGATGTGGGATGCCGAAACCGAGAATATGACATCCGCTGTGTCCCCGCCGCCGGTGGTCGATGTCGCACAAATAGTTGATCAGCACGGTGCCGCTTTAAGTTATGGTGAGACAGCAACACATGAAAACCAAATCACGCTCATGGAACCCTCATCAACACCACCCGAACCATATCAATATTCTCATTACACTGAATATAATACATCCGCATTATTCCTCCAACCGTCCGTGTCACACACATCACACCATCACGGCCACAGCATCGGATATAGGAGCGAGGCGGTTCCCTGTATGGAATGTCTGCGCGTCGACCCGCCTGTGAAGACAGTTGCAGCTCGACATGTGACAACGCTCGTCAACCATGCTTCTCATCAAGCTATACGCTATCCCTCATAATACCATGCGCGATCTTTTCATCATACTATAGCATCTGCTTAACCAGTAGCGCAACCTTGCAGCCATATACATTTCCTCATCGGTCTATTGATGATCGGCCACTTCACTTATTATAGCATTCACATGCAGAAATGCATGCTCACTGTATTCTATCATCTTACTGCATGCCATGATTATCCTTGCTGTTTTTCCACGTATAGATTCTTTTGACTCTTGTAGATTGATTGAACTTGCAAATAAAATAAAAAATTACTCTCATTCATTCAAACATGAAACGTACAGGTTAGACAGGTACCATTAGCTTATAAAGTGTGGTGATGATAGTGATCGATTAGATTGTGAAGAATCAAAATGATATCCGATGTCCATGCGTTTTATGATATATCATTTTGGAAGGGTGTGCTGGAAAAAGATTGCTTGCTTGGATTCACGATCCGTTGATAATAACAATGCTATACGATTACCGGTAGCTGACAGGATATATTGATGCCGGAAACATATCTTCTAATTCCAGCTGATCATCCAAAGGCGACTTTTCGGGATTCTCGATTCGGCCTTGAGAAAGTGAATCGAATTAGCAGGGTTTCATGACCCAGGTACGGTTGCTTATGCTCACGTGTCCTGCTCAGGCTTGGTGGGACGATCCTTTTCAGTAAAAGAAAAAGCAAGGATGATCAAATCGTTGGTTAGATTTTTTTTTTTTTTTTTTTTTTTTTTTTTTGTGCAGACATGTCAGGAACTCATTGGTGTTCAGCAAGAATTCAATGTCAAGTGTTAAAGATGGTAATTATCTGGGGTTACCTATTTCCACAGAACGCCAGTAGCCAACAGCCAGTTGAATAAAAAAAGAAAAAGGCACAGAAAAAAAAAAATTTTCTCTGTTTTCTCCAATCGGACTGTACGGAAGCGATCGGACGAGCAATACAGTAGTGTGGTTTTCTGGTGCCCAATATCTAATCAGCCAATAAGATCATAAAGCATCAAGTATAAATGGTCAAACAGAAAAAAAAAAAAAAAGCTGCGGGATCAGCATATACGAATAATATGACGCCTCAAAAGATACGTGCATGGAGCGGAAAAGCAAAAGTACATGAAAAAAAAAAAAAACAATCAAGGTCAGATAGAAAAGAAGATCGTTTCTCTCGCGATAAAAAAAAATTTCAACATTTGGGGAAGTGCAATAGAGTGTTTAATCTCCGAATATCAAAAAAAAAAAAAGTTTGTTTCCGCTGTTTTAAAAAGCAATCGATTTCTGTTCTGGCGTTTAGATTGCTCCTTTTGCCTTGCTTGTCTGCCTCTTCTCGTTCTTCTTACCCTCCTCCACCTTCTCCCTCCCTATTAACTCCATTTTTCGCTCTCTTTTTCACATCCTCTAATCCTCTATTTAATCATGGCCGTGAAAAGGACCGCCGCCGCTACACCCGGACTTCAGACCGAGGAAGCCGCTGCTAAGGGATGGGAAATTCCCAACTTTACTATCAAGGAAATTCGTGAAGCTATCCCCGCTCATTGCTTCAAACGCGATACATTTCGGTCGTTCACTTATGTCCTTCATGATCTTACTATCATGTTTTCCTTGGGCTACCTGGCCACCTTCATTGATCGCATCCCTTCACCTGTTCTTCGCTGGTCCGCATGGTTGACCTACTGGATCGTCCAGGGTATCTGTAGTACCGGCCTCTGGGTCCTTGGTCACGAATGTGGCCATCAAGCTTTCAGTCCTTCCAAGGTAAATTAAGGGTTTCTAAAATAAGGAAACGCGATAGACAAATGATCATCTGATGAACGCTTGGGCGCTAATACATTTGTATCAATATTTTAGTTAATCAACAACAGCGTTGGCATGGTTCTTCATTCGGCATTGCTGGTTCCTTATCATTCATGGAGATACTCACATTCTAAGCATCACAAAGCAACTGGACACATGTCAAAGGATCAGGTAAACATCAGTGACAATAGAAAAACTTTTTTTTATCTTTCCCTTTTTTTATTGGGTGGCAATTTTTTTTTTTTTTGGGTTCCCCATGCAATTCCCCCCTGAACTCAAATTTCTGACATTGGTCATTATAGGTATTTGTTCCCTCTACTCGCAGCGAAGTTGGATTGCCTCCCCGTGATCAAGATCCCGAGGGTGATGGCCCACACTCGGCCTTCGAGGAAACCCCCATCATGGCTCTTTGGAACATGACTTTAATGATGTTATTTGGCTGGCCATTGTACTTGTTGACCAATGTTTCTGGACAAGACTATCCTGGCTGGGCTTCGCATTTCAACCCTTATTGCGCCATTTTTGAAAAGAACCAGAGATGGGACGTTGTCACTTCTACCATCGGAATCTTGGTGACCATGGCTGGCCTGGCATACTGTGGTTCCGTGTTTGGTTCTTTGGCTGTTATCAAATACTATGTCATTCCCTACCTCTTTGTTAATTTTTGGCTTACTCTCATCACTTACCTTCAACACACGGATCCCAAACTTCCCCATTACCGCGAAAACCTCTGGAACTTCCAAAGAGGAGCTGCCTTGACCGTCGATCGCTCTTATGGCACTATCATCGATTATTTGCATCATCACATCTCCGACACCCACGTCGCTCATCACTTTTTCTCCACCATGCCTCATTATCATGCCGAAGAAGCGACCCGCTACATCAAGAAGGCGCTTGGCAAGCATTACATGTACGATCCCACTCCTATCGCGGTTGCTTTCTGGCGATCATGGAACGAGTGCCGATTCGTTGAAGACGAAGGCGATGTTGTTTTCTACAAGAACTAGACTTGGTCGAGCGGAGTCCATCCCCCATATATTCATATTCAGCATGACCAATAAAAAGTAAAATCGTACCATCAAGGTCAAACCAACCCCAACGCGCTATTTTTCATGTCTCGAAGTGGTTGAATTCATTGGTCTGCTGAGCATATCCCAAGTGATTAAAAATGTCGTGGTTTTGTATTCTTTTTTTTTTCTTGTTTGCAGGCAGTTTGGAAAAATCCAAAAGATGCACGCACTGATTGCTTCGCTGCGTTTTCATTGGCCAAACAACTTGACCCAAAATAGTGAGATATCCGGGGCATTATCACGCAGTTATGCCGTCCACCAAAAAAAAAAAAAAAAAAAAGCCGACTGGGTAAGACTGATTCCTTGCCAAGGAGAAAACAACCGTGGTACAAGTGTGGTGCTTTCTTTACAAAAACTTTGCAAACTAAATGCAGGGAATGCAAAGCTTGCGTGCCAAGCAGTGTCCTCTGTCCTCCTGAAATGAACACAGCATTCGTCAAATGACCCCTCTTCATTCAGGTGACTGCGCTTGGCCAATTGAACACTTGAGCTGTGTGTACGATTTTATGACTACAGGACAGTCTTTGAAGGCTGACGATCAAGATTGTCGTTAATAGATGATGAGCAAATCAGAGGCATAGGACTTTGAGTTACGTGACATATCAGTGGCTTGAGCAGCTTTTCAAGAAGTGTATGAAAACAATGCGCGAAATAGATACAATCTGTAACACTATTTTTCGCCAAATTATACTTGTTCTTCAAGAGGCAGGGACTACGCGAATAATGGGCATTACTTATAGTGTTACGCATACTTATTGTGGGTTAGAAAGTCACTGGATGTTCAGCCGAAAAGGTCATGCCAAGTGTCCATTTTGGCTCGTAGATTGTCCAGGGCTCTGCCTATAAATGGGAAAGTTTCAGCTCCAACTGTCCCCATTGGGTCAAGGTGGGAGATCTGACTGGTGGGATCACTCCGACAAAAATAAATATTTTTGTCGCTGTTTCTGACTTCAGCTTTTCTTTTCCCTTTTCTTACATATTTCTGTCTCGACCAGTTAAAGCGAAATACCATGGAAAAATTTAAGGAGGTAAAAAATCACAAAGAAATAAAAACAACCGTGGATGGTCTTGGCGATTATAAGTTGGCTCAGAGTGACTAAAGTAATGAACCACATCACTCCTTCATCAGAAACTTACCGCTCTTCGTGCCGAAGCTGAAACTGCTAATGCTCGTGCTGATGAGCTTGAAGCCACCGTGAAGCAGTTGGAGGCTGAACATACTTCCAAAGACCACGAACTCTTATCCCTTCAAATCCGTGTCAAGAACCTCGAAGAGCAACTCGAAAAGACAGAAAATCAGCTGAAGGACACCTCGGCGAAGTAAGTAGTACAAAGGAAAAAAATAAAAAAAAAAGCCAGCATGTGTTGCTTGTGGGTTCTTTTTGTATGTGCGAATTTATGCTGACTTGATTATTAGGTTTAACGAAGCCGATCTCAAAGCTGAACAGGCCGAACGCAAGGTGGCGAGCCTTGAAAGCGAACTTGAGGAGAAGGAGAAGAAATATGAGGAAACTTTGGAGAAGTACAACACTTCCAAGGCAGAGTTGGACGAGTTGGCACGCCAGTTCGACGAGTTGTAGATCCACCCTATTCTCTTTGCATTTGTATCTACTTGAAACCAGAGACATCAAAATATATCAGACAAAGCAGGAAAGTAAAGAAGGGACAAACACGTAAAAAAGAAAAAAAAAAAATTGGAAGGGATTTTTCAAAATGGAGCATGCTGGCTGATACGCTGTTAATCGCCATTATCGTTTGCTTAATTTCTCTCTCTCTTTCTCGCTTTCTTCACTTTCAAAGAAAAAATTCTCATATTTCCCTCGCAATCAATAAATACTTTTTATTTGAATCTAGACGACATTGTCCACGCCAGTACCACCGAGTATTTTTGTGCTTGCATGCGGCTGCTTCTTCAGAGCAGCAATACCTAATCGATGGAGTAAGCCAAACAAAGAAAAATTGAACAGTGCGGCCCCCCTTGTTTTCCTCTTCCGGATATTCTCTTACCATAGCAAATGGCTGCCAATAACAAAAACACAGCTGGAGCCACAAGACTAGTGACGCTTATCTTGGTTGATAAAAACATGACAATGGCAAATCTATTCACACAGAATGAGCCATACGTCGTTGTTCATTCTTGCCTAGAATCACTTACACCAGATACAGTGCTGCACGGAAATAGGAATTTTCAAATCGAGCAATGAAGGCATCGCTGGGAAAGAATGAACGAAACACATCAACCATATACCTCTTACCCATTTTTTGATCAGATATTTTATCTCCTTTGGACTTACAATTTCGGACTAGTTGGACAAAACTTGAAGAACAGTTTGTTACAACGTGCTGCAAAATGGATATAAGCTTCGCTTGGTTTTCATTACCTTTGTACAGAGAGGCACTTCAACGAATACTAGAATAGCAGCAAATACCCTGTCATCGAGGGATCAGTGACTCATTCATCAAGATAGCGTGATGGCTCGCTGACTCTCCCCCCCCCCTCCCCTCTCTTTCTCTCTCTGACATCTTACCAGCCAATAATCGCAAAAGGTATATTACTAAGAAGAGACACGACACCCAGTGCGATCAATACTGAAAATAACTATGTTTAGAATAATAGAAACTCCTGGCTTTGACTCCACAACTGACTTACATATTATAGAAATAAGACCGCACCTTTAGAGCAAAGAGTTATGGAACCAGACGTATGCCATGAAATAATATAGAAAAAAGCATGAGCATTCAGCAAAAAAAGGCCAAGAGCATAAAAAGAGTGAAATCGTCAGCAAGACGATCAAGCTTTTCTTTCAAGACAGGCTATGTTGGTCATTACCATTGGGCATATAAAGAAAAGTTGCGTGATGCGAATTCGTCAAGAATGCTCATAATGAGAGACAGAGTCAAAAAGTGTGCAAAACAAAGAAAAAGTTGGACGAGAACGCGCTGGTGGTCAAGCGAGAAAGCGAAGCAAGTGCTGACTTTGAATTTGCGAACACGGCAAGTGTCACGAAGGGCTTTTTATTTTCCCTTGTCTCTTTTCCTGGGTCAAATCTTGTTGAAACACATGGCTACAGTACATAATGCAGGCATTTTGTCGAATTTTCGCACATGGCAGATAAAACTAATAACCGGTCATTTTCATTTTAAGGTTTGAAGAATCAAAAAAGCTTGCATAAACAAAGACAAAAATCCATGATGGTCGCAACAAAAGCGTTTGTCAGCTGGTTCATACAATTGCTGAGTATGTTCATCTGATCTGACGCGCATATTCTTATCACTGCCAAGCATGCAGCAAAGAATATTATGCTAGAACCCAACCAAACTTTACAGCTGATATGCTTCATCGCTGTTGTAGAACGACGCACATTCATTTACCGCCATTTCAGAAATTATATATCCACACAAACTGTCGACAAGTGGCAACCATTTCTTTAATCCAAGGAAGGAAGAACGCGGCAATCAACTTTAACCTACCTCAAGGTGTTCTTTTAAAGCCTTTTATTCGCAAATGCCGGAATCGTACGAAATAACCTTTTGTTTTCTTTTGCGACCAAAAAAACATCTAACGTTCGCTCGTTAGCTTTTGGGCAAGCTAAACAATTTTCAGCCTCTCTCGACAAGACCTAATTCAGCGCTAATAATAAAATATGGAAGGATAAGATGTTTATTCTTTGAATTCACGAGGATATTGTCCAAGCCATCAACAATAGTGCCTGCAGCAGTGTAAATATTAAAATGACAGGCTACAACTTATGACGCATCGTGCTGACTCACGAAGCCAGAACTTCTTGAAGAGTGACAATCCATTATGTCAAAGATCGCTAAGAAAAAAAAAAACTCAAAGATGATTGGTTGAGCACAACACGATTATAAAAAATCGTGAAAAGCAGCAAAAAAAGCGCTCCCGGGTGGGCTTGAACCACCAACCTCCTGATTAACAGTCAGACGCGCTAGCCAATTGCGCCACAGGAGCTCTTGTTTTTCCAAATTTAGAAAATGCATGACGAAAACAAATGCATAATTTTTTCGACCAATCATATTTGAGGTTTTCTCATCGCTTTCCCGTGATTGGATGGTTTCCGCCCGAGGCATTGTTTCTAATCAGGGATGTCCCACCCCCGATTGTCCGAAATTCCTTGGCTTTCTATTGATTCTTACTGAGAGAAGCAGGTTGCCTACGAAAAGATGACGCTTTGGTATGTGATGGCCAAGTCAGGAAAGTGAAGCTTGCTGGATAGGTTGCTTATCCATGTAATCCAAGTCATGTGACCTCTTGGCGGAGTGTTTCTACGTTTTGGTTGATATTCTGTCATTAGCCAAAAAATAAAAATGCTATTTTTTTCCCTTCTACACTGTTGATAACGCGTGCCCAATAACTTACAATCTACTGAAATTGCAAGGTGAACATGTGAAAAAGGTGCAACTCAAAATATTATCAAAACGTTTGGATGTGTCTCGCAGTGGATAGCACGGAGTGACGTATTTGATTTTTTGAGACGCCGAAACGGGGGAAGGTAAGTGATCGTGAGCTCAACTCCGTTGAACTTTTTTTTTTTTCCAGATTGATTTGGGAGCTTTTTTCTTTTCTCGTCACCTATTTATTATTAAGCTTTCAATATGACGACGGCCAAAAGCGCTTCTTACGACTATTTAATAAAACTTTTGCTTATCGGTGATTCTGGTAAGTTCTTTTATGATGACTTTTTAGACGGGCTGGGTGGATAAATTCTGGGGGGCCGTAATGACGAACCATTTTGCTCTTTCTTTTTTTTTTGGTTTAGGCGTCGGCAAGAGTTGTTTGCTCCTTCGATTTTCAGATGACTCCTTTACACCTTCTTTCATTACGACTATTGGTATTGACTTTAAAATTCGTACAATTGAACTCGATGGAAAACGCATCAAGTTGCAAATTTGGGATACAGCGGGTCAAGAACGATTCCGTACCATCACCACCGGTAAGCAACTGGAATAGAACTGTACAGGAAAAAGCGTGGAAAAGAGATTTTTTCTAACTGTTATGTCTTGCTTCATATTACTGGTAGCATACTATCGAGGTGCTATGGGTATTCTTCTAGTATACGATGTGACGGATGAGAAGTCATTCAGCAGTAAGTGTTCTTTTCCTCTTCTACTTTTTTTTAGCTTCTCTTTTTCTTTTTTAAGGTTATGTGAGACCGAGTACTATGCACACCATCTGACTTTGGTTTTTTCGACTTGTACAGATGTACGAAATTGGTTTTCGAATATCGAACAACATGCGAGTGAAGGCGTCAATAAGATTTTGATTGGCAACAAGTGCGATATGGAAGACAAGAGGGTCGGTAGAAATGGCAGTTTGAGCTCTTCTTACCTTTTGTCCACCGAAAATTTCGATTAACGCCAAAAATAATTGTGTGTGGCTGTAGGTGGTAACGACCGAACAAGGAGAACAGTTGGCAGGTGAACTTGGTATCCGCTTCATGGAAACGAGTGCAAAAGCAAATATTGGCGTCGAGGAAGCCTTCTTCAACTTGGCAAGGTACTTTTTTTAACTTGGCTCTCAGTGTCAACGGTGATTGAAATCCGCTTGAAATCTCACCGGGTCTTCTTTTCTAGGGATATCAAGAAGCGTTTAATTGATACTCAGCAAGCTCAGCAAGCGCGTCAAAGAGAAGAAGTGCGATTGGACACGACGCCTGGAAAGACCACCTCCAACGGCGGTTGCTGTTAAACTTTTGAATATCGAAATATTTTTTTCTTCCCATTTGTAGGATGTCCATATAAAAAAAAAATCAAAAAAAGGAAGAAAGAAAAAAAAGAAAAAGAGGAAGAAAAACAAAAGAGTTACTATCCGTTTTTGGGTTACCATACCATACCTTCCTTTCTCCTGTTATTTTTTTTTTCTTCAAACTCTTCTTCAGTCGTGGATCACTTTTATACAAACTTTTGAATTTCGTCCTTCTTTTTTCTTTTTTCCTTCATTCTCCTTTTTTCTCTCTTTATATCGTCATCCATGATGTCTTTACTTGCCTACAAGTGCCTTTGTTCCATTTTTCTCAAATAAAAAATGCTCTAGTTTGATCTTTTCGGTTGCTGTGCTGATATTGCACACGGTCAATATGCATCAATATCGAATGTAGAATATTTTCTCGAGTTAGATGCTGTTTTTATGCATTTCAGGCATCTTAGAAAAAAGCAATTACATTAGGGCTTGTTTTGGACAAGCTAACAAGACTATGAGTGAAGTGAAAATAGTCTGCCTTACCTGTATTTCATTGAATGAAGCGTAGTTCCCCTTTATATATGTCTTGATCCTGAGCCATTTTTATGAAAGGTATCCAGATACTTTATACGTGTAATTTGATTTACCCGATGCGGCATTCCATGATGTCAGAAACACTTCAACAAATGCGATAGGAAGGAAAAAAAAAAGGGAAACGGTCTCAATTTGACGCTCTCCCTGTGCTGAATTTTTTTTTTTTTTTTTGGTTTTTTTGGGTGTGGTTCATTTTCTTTTTTTTTATTCTTCCTTGACGGCATTTCTTCGACACGTCCTCAACATGTCACAAACTGACGAGTCCACAGAGATAACTGAAGGTGTGGCTTCTTTGAAAGTTCAAGGTGAAGATGTTAAAGAAGTAGGCCACGCCGCAGTTGGGTCAAAAGTGGAACTGGAATGGCTGCGCGAGCTCTACCTGCCCAAACAATTAAGTGACCGAGAAGTGAACCATGAAGACGGCACCATTGTATACAAGAATATACGATCGTACCCACCTATCCGTCGACTAAGACCGTCTGAGCGAAAGCGCATTCTCGTTACTGGCGGTGCAGGATTTGTGGGGTCCCACCTGGTCGATCGTCTAATGTGGATGGGCCACGAAGTCATTGTTCTGGACAATTTTTTTACAGGAACCAAACGCAATGTCGAACACTGGATTGGTCATCCTCATTTTGAACTGGTGCGTCATGACGTGGTGGACCCATTTATGATCGAAGTATCCCAGATTTATCACTTGGCTTGTCCTGCGTCTCCTCCTCATTATCAATACAACCCGACCAAAACCGTGAAAACCAGTGTGATGGGCACAATCAATATGCTTGGTTTAGCCAAACGAACCAAAGCAAGGTTCTTATTAACTTCCACATCGGGTAAGTGACCAATCCCAAGGGAATTGCAGCATGAATCATAGGCTGACCCTTTGACGGTGATGGTTTTTAGAGGTGTATGGTGATCCCGAGGAACATCCTCAGAAAGAAACTTATTGGGGTCATGTGAATCCCATCGGACCAAGAGCTTGTTACGACGAAGGCAAACGTATTGCTGAAACTCTAACGTACGCTTACATGCGCCAGAACGATGTGGACGTCCGTGTGGCACGAATCTTCAAGTACGTAATTGCTTATATCTTTTTTTTTTTTTTTTTTTTTTTTTTTTTTTTTTGGTATCGACATCTAAACTAACATATTTGCTTTTCTAGTACCTTTGGTAAAGAGTTTAATTGAATGTTAAATTCCAAAACACGGGTTGTATTCTAACACATGTTTTTGTTGTTCGAATAGGACCTCGCATGTCGCCTGCTGATGGACGAGTCGTTAGCAATTTTATCATGCAAGCACTCAAGGGCGAATCGCTGACATTGTATGGTGACGGCCAGCAAACGCGTTCATTCCAGTACATACACGATCTTGTGGATGGGTTGATTTTGTTGATGAATAGGAATTATATGGAACCTGTGAATTTGGGCAATCCTGATGAGTACTCCATCAAGGACTTTGCCGATATCATTCGCGAAAAGGTCTTGACTCCTCCGTTGTCGGCCAGTAGTGTCGATATTAAAATCTTGCCGGCGGCAATGGATGATCCAAAGAAACGCAAACCCGATATTTCTCGAGCGAAAAAGTACATTGGTTGGGAACCCCGATTTTCGGTCAAACAAGGCTTGCAAGAAACGGTCGACTGGTTCAAATTACAGATGGCAGAAGGATTGATCTAACAATGACTTTGATGCGCCCAACTTTTTCTCCATCTTACAGCACATACACAAAAACCCATTATCCGCATCTTTTGCATCAGTTACACCTTTCCCCTTTTTTTCTTGTTCTTCGCTATCTACTTTCCTTTTCCGTACCCCATCCTATTGATCTGTGATTCATACAAATCCAAATGTGCACACGAAATATCTTGTTCTTTTTTCCCATGTGTCAGAAGTTGGATCAGTTGATGAAATGGTGTTTTCGATTTCATCCTTTCATTCTTTTTTGCTATATTCGTGAAAACGCGCGATATGCTACTTGGGAAAGGGGCTACATTAACAGGATATCAGAGAACGAAAGGCACAACAGCCTTTCGATTCTTGGGGTAGTTGGGGAATTCCTTTTTATACCACTTGTGTATACGCCATGCGCGAGGAAACAAAGTACTCATGGTAGCAATGGCAAAGGTGAGGGCTGGTGTGCTTGGCCAGCAGGTCACGGCGTACCCTGTCCATTCCAATGCTTCCGCAAAATAATTGGGACAACTCACGTATCGGAAGAGACCTCCATGTGGTATAAAGTACCGCTTGGTATCTTGAGCTTTTTTCTTTTCCCGTAACTTGAACAGAATGTTATCATGGTAAACATTGAGGCCAAATCCCAAGGCCCAGAGGGCAACGCCACACCAAGTATTCAAACCCCAATGAAGGTCGTGGAGCGTGACGGAAGTACCGTTGGTGTAGCCATTGAGCGCATTGAAGGCTAGTGCAGATACCATGGTCAACCAGTGAATGGGAGCTATCGAGGATGCTCGATATGGATGAATAATGCTTCGGTTCACATAATGGATCAACCAGAGGCTGGTGGGCAATACTTGACTGGCCGTCCAACGCGGATGAACCAAGTAGACCGATGCAAGATAGACCATCGGTGAAACGATTTCCATGATACCCCACGCCCATTTGCCCGGCAAGCGTCGATCGAGAAAGAATTTATTTGTGAATTTGCCTAATCAACATTTAACAAACCACTTCCTCATTGATCCAAATCAGAAATCCGGTATTACCGTAGGGAGCATCAACAAACAATAGAACAGGCAGCACTACAGGAGAATAGGCTGCATAAATCTTGACAGCGGTCTCATACGTGTGTGGGTTGATCCACCATTCTCTTATTGTTTCCCAAGTCATCGTTGAGGACGGACAATAACTTCTTCCGAGAATAAGAAACCACCGTTCAAATGACCCAAGTAGAAAATGATGTCATATCCTATAAAACGAAAGGGTTTATAATTGTAACCCTTTCTACAATTGCCATGGCGAAAATAAAAAAAGGATTTGAGCTGGTCCATATTTGAGATTTTTATAGTGGATGATTCATTAAAACTTGAATAACTGAATGAATAATCTAGAAATTATCGTGAATCACAGATACATCCAAGTCTTTTGTGATGGCATGAATGCCAAAGAACAATCGATATCGATATTGCTGTGACGGCGCGAAAAAAAAAAAAAACTTTGTGCCGCGTTTCAGTTGTAACGGCGGTGCAATTACATTGTTGTTCTTTGAAAGCAATAATGGGATGGATAATGATCCATCATGCGCACTGTATAATAGATATTGACGTCAAGCCAAGCTCAATTCATGCTCATCATTACGAGCTGAAATATGCAGTATGGCGTAGTGAGTAGTTGGAATTTAACTCAAACAACATGGTGAATTTTGGTCCCTCAATTCAAAGAAATTCGTTCACAGACAGGCCAATGGATCCTTAATTTTTCTTCGTCTTCGAAACCACCTCGTGTTATATTTCTTTGTAGTTGAAATGGAAAAATAAGATAATCAGAATGTCGAACTGGATTGTTGCCTTGGTTTTTTTTTTTTTTGTTTTGTTCAAGCCGGTTGAACCCCCCATTATCCAATATGATAAGCGAAAAAAATGATAAGGAAAATGAGAGTGAAACAGAAATGATTGGCTGAGGCAAGATCTGTTTTAGTGTGACTAAGGATGCAAAAGGCGGAGGGGATGGGTTTTAAGTTTATACGGGTTTGGGGGGTCCTTACTGTGCCGGGGCACAACACAGAAGACTGCATATAAAAAGAAACATCGCGGCCTTTCTTTTTCGTTTTTTTTTTTTTTTGCTCATTTTAGGGTGGTTTCTTTTTTTTTTTTGGTCATTTTTTTTCATTTTTTTCATATATTAAAAAATAAGTGAATTACCATGGGCAAAGGAAAACGTGCTCATACAATCAGTATACCAACCATCAATTTGACGCCGCCAAAGTCGTCAGCAGACCACTCCTTCAGTGTGGCGACTCCTCCGTTTTTGACCAAACTGAATGCACACGATGATCCCACCCTGTCACCCACCACCGCCGCCACCCGTTGGATTCCACCCCGTAAACCCAAGAAAAATTATAATGACTTGGAACATAAGATGGAAGCGGCACCGCTCTATGTGCTTGTATTGACCTATCTCAACTATTTCGTCCTCATCTTGTTTGGTCATCTACGTGACATTCTCGGCAAGATCTTTAAGCCGCAAGCCTATTCGCACTTGAAAATGAACCAGGTAAGGAAAAATGTTACACAGAATAACGGATACCCATCCTCCGTTTCGATTTCCGCTCACCCTGTTCTTTTTTTTTGGTGTTGTTTTTGCCATCGCTCCCTTTAGGGATATGCACCTTTGGTATCTGATTTCGATTCCTTTTACACACGTCGTCTTTACATGCGTATTCGGTACAGTATAAAATCTGTGATAATGTTCTATTTTTAAAAAATAGGCTTGCTAATCGCTGAGATTACATTCATTTTGTAACAGAGATTGCTGGAATCGGCCAATTACCGGTGTCGCTTCCCGAACCGTCAAGCTTCTCGATCGTGTAAGTCATGATTTCAATAAAACCTTTAGGTAGGTTAGCGACCCATGCAGCCACACACACAAACTTTATGCATGTTACTCATACTACAGACGATATCTAGATTGACCGGCACCGTTACCGACGCTCTTAATTTTGCCTCTTACAACTACCTTGGTTTTGCTCAATGCGAGGGTCCCTGTGCCGATGATGTGGAACAAGCAACCGCTCAATTAGGTATTGCCTCCCCCAGCCCTCGCGCTGAAGCTGGTTCCACCAAACAACACGCTGCATTGGAACAATTGGTCGCTCGCTTCGTCGGTAAAGAAGATGCCATGGTAATCAGTATGGGTTTCGCCACAAATTCTACCACTATCCCTGCTCTCGTTGACAAGGTAATTTTTTTTTGGGCCCCAAATGTCTTGCTTAAAGCGTTATAGTTACTGACTGTTTTTTTTTTTTTTGGTTTCCAATAGGGTTGCCTTATTATTTCGGATGAATTGAATCATTCTTCCATCATTTTCGGCGCTCGTTTGTCCGGTGCATCCGTTCGCGTGTTCAAACACAACAACATGGAGGACCTGCGTGAACTTCTCCGTGAAGTTATCTCGCAGGGCCAACCCCGTACTCATCGCCCCTGGAAGAAAATCCTCGTTATCGTTGAAGGTCTTTACTCCATGGAGGGTTCAGTTGTCAACTTGCCCGAATTGGTAGAGTTGAAAAAGGAATTTAAGGTAACCCCATACATCTCATTTTCCAACTTTTAACCGTGTTCCGTCTTTTGTTTGATGATGCTAATAATGCACTCTTTGTGTCTTATTTCGTAGTTCTACTTGTATGTTGATGAAGCCCACTCGATTGGTGCCATGGGCGAGAATGGCGGGGGTGTTTGCGATTTCTACGGTGTGGATCCTGCCAACGTCGATATTTTGATGGGAACTTTTACCAAATCGTTTGGTGCCGCCGGTGGTTACATCGCCGCTGATAAGGTATATTAATAGCCTTACACACTTGGGATTGTTGCACTCACTCTTTGAAATTCACCCATCTTTATTTTTTTGATTTTTTTTAGGCGGTCATTGATCACTTGCGCGTTACCAACCATGCCTATCTTTATGCCGAACCCATTTCTGTACCTGTCACGCAACAAATCATCAGCAGCATGAAAATTATTTGGTAAGATAATAATCATGCCTTTGTTGATGATGGTTGGAAGCTGAACGGAATCTGTCACTTTAGTGGTGAAGATGGTACCGACGAAGGACGACGAAAAATTAAGCAGTTGGCTGAAAACTCTTTATATTTTGCTGCTCGTCTACGACAAATGGGCTTCATTGTGTACGGCGATCACGGTAGCCCAGTTGTACCATTGCTGTTGTTCAATCCTGCCAAAATTCCGTAAGTTTGACACACAACTTACCCCATCCATGTTACATGTGGTTTATGTGATTTTCTGACATCTTTCCAAAAGTGCCTTTTCGCGTGAACTGCTAAAACGAGGCATCGCGGTTTGCGTCGTCGGTTACCCTGCTACTCCCATTATTTCCTCTCGCGCTCGATTTTGTTTATCCGCCTCCCATACCAAGGACGATATTGGTAAGATCCCTTGTGGCTCGTTGATCGATGTTTTCTCAATACTTATTGTAATGCTGTTGTTATATAGATCACGCTCTGGAAACCATTAGCGAAGTGGGCGATCTGCTTATGCTCAAAGTTAGCCAAGAATGCAAAGATCAATAATTGTGCTTTTTCATCCTTTTTTTATTTATTTATTGTTTCTTTTGTCCCTAATGCCTTGTTCCATCTAATGTAATGTTTACTTCTTCCTTTTTTTTTTTTTTCCTTACATTCCCCTTTTTCATCTCTTGATTTATCCATTTGTTTATTAGTCAAGTGGATCATGTAATCGTTTGTCTATCATCGCTCTATAAAAAATGTCATCTAAACAACTCACGGGACCCGTGAGTGCTTTCACTGTAATTACGTCTATGGTCATTCTTCGTCTATATACACATGCTGTTGTTGTTCAGCTCAGCGAATGACAATGGATCAAATTAAAAAAAAAATTAGATATGTATACAAAATTGCCAGAAGGGCGGTGCAAAACACTCTCACGCCGGTACGGTGACATATTCGCGTTTGGCCAGCAATTGCTTTACCATGTTTTTACGTCCACGTGATTTTCTCGAACGCCACACTCGGGCACATTTCACCCAAGCACAGAATCCAAAAAGGATCAAAACAATAATACCACCCACAATGGAAGTTTTGATCAGTAACAAGTAAGGTCGACCGCTCTAGATCATGAAAAAAGGTACATTGTGAGCGGAATCGTAACGAGTTACACTTGAACCAGTCACTCCTTCAATTCTGCTTACGTGATTCAACCACCAACAGGTGGAGTTTCTTCCAACCACCCAGCAGTTGTCTCCTGTAGCGGAATTAAGGTTTATCCAGAATAAATGATGGGTGGGATCGGTGGACTCTGATTCGTCATCCACAGATTCGTGCACCAAGTCCTTTTGTAACACATTGAAAAGCATCCGATTTTGTTGTGCAATTCGCGGTGTATCAAACACATAATCTTCTGGACAGGCTGAAAGAGCCCGATCGTACGAGAAAAATGTAGGCGTCAAAACCCACTGCAGCCCAATATGGATCAGTAAATTTCATGCAGATTCAAATATCCCCGGCAATTTTGGCGTACCTCATTGGCGTCATTGACGTGACGACAAGCAACTCGAAGTAAATGCGTACAATCACCAGCACGCCACCGTCCATTCCATCGCTGGATCATTGCACAGTGAAGATTGCCACTCGTACGAGGTTCGCCCACTTCCCACGACCAAATCGATGATAAAATATTATCTGCAAAATGACCAGTGTCATTGACAGAATAGGACGATCCTTTCTCGCTGTAATTGGAAGCTGTGAAATAAGGCGAGTAACCACATTCAGTAGCATGAAGCGCCGTATCATAGGTGAATCGGTCCTGGCCGTCCATCATGAAACTCCATGACCATGACAACACCGATGCTTGTTGACTGGGAGGTTGCCAATGCGTGCTATTTCCGTCGGCAGGAATCATCACTGTCGTGTTGCCAGGCCGGTTGCAATCCGCCCATCCGGTAGCATTCATATCCTTCAACGTAACCTTTTCCATCCTTGATCCAGCTCCAAGTACTTCCGGGTCAAAGATAATATCTCGATCATCGGATATATCATAATTGCTTCCGTTCGGTAGGTTATTCTTCCCGAATCCAACTAGCAGTTGCACGTTTCGTTCGACGAGATAGCCCCACGCTGGCCATGCCGGTGAAGGGTCATTGTGATCAGTGCGAGACGGCAGCGGATAAGGCATACCGTCGACATAGAAACTGCCGTTGACATTACGTCGATTATCTGTGAGATTTCGAGGCGTATAATAGCGAGGTGAATTATTGACGGAGCGATCAATAGCAGATTGAATAATGTTTGACAGACTCGAGTCATCGTTGGAAGAAATCTTTTCAGGTTTCAATGCATAGGCGCCGGATGTACCGTTGAGTGAGTGTAAATTGAGGATTAAGAATATTAGATGGGTGTTGGCCGAGTCGGTAGAGAGATCGGTCATGAGGAGATAGTTGTTCACAGCTTCCATGAACTGACGAAAACTGGTAGACGGGCTGCAATTATATCTTCCAACTCGGCGAAGATTCGTATTGCGGTCGTGGTCGTCATCGGTGGCCGTTACGGGCATCACTTCGGGGCAAAGTTGCCATGTCGCTCGAGAAGCATCCCAGTAAATGTCGAGGACGAGCCGTTGGTATCCCATGACCAAGAGATTTTCCACAGTTTGTATATTCTCTGCAGAATAGTCTCGGTCAAAATATGACGCCAGGTGGATGGCAGGCCAATGTATCCGATCAATGGTGACATTGAGTGCAATGTCTCGCTGTATCCGCAGCGCTGAGGTGATGTTGGGCGAGGTAAATGATAATCCTTGGTACGGTGTCGAGCCCAGGTAAGTATTAGGCAAACTCAATGTTCTCGACCATTGAGCAAAGCTGCTGCTGCCCATGAGCAATGTGAACAGTGCTAGCCACCATGCATTGGCTCTTGCTGGCATATAACTAACGGAAAGTAACTACTGCTTTGTGGCGAAAGAATTGGGAAAAAGGCCGAATTACGACAACCTGATTTGGGATAACCACGCCTACAATTAACACTCCGTCAACTCTAATGATTGACCTGGGACATAGTGTAACATGTTTATCACAATGAGCCGTGTATATCCTCCATTGTACTCGTTGTGCAATCAAATCGTTGGAACCTGGCAATAACCTGAGAAAAACAATGTTCCAAGGTAGTGAAATAGCACCACTCACTCCAACTTCTGGTGTGCACGTCTTCTGACTATCAACGGAATGTCTCCGTCCGTTGCTTGCAGCTGTAAAAGTCCAGTCTAACACCTATGAATTGAAGATTGACTTTATCTCTTACATTGATCTGCCAAAATAAAAAGACAGAAATGAGAGTTTGCGGATAGCTTCGTTCCGTTAATCTACGGTTGTCGTGCTCCACATCGTCGTAGTCTTATCTTTCCGATGTTCAATTTTGCGTGCGGTATATTCAGATTATGCTCACAGTTATTTTTTATTTTTTTTTGTGAAGCAAATAATTGGTACAAGATTCACATAAAGGGTTATTGTTATTTTCCGATTCAAATAGGTCAAAACTTTGTATCAGGTCGAGGGATCGCTCAGTTCCACAAATGCTGTAGGCTCTCCGAATAGTACGCGACATCAATCTTGGCAATCATGACCCAATGTCTGACTGCATTTAGAATCGTATCTACTATCATTGCAATAAATCCCTCTACTGGAAAAAGATTAGGAAAGCGCAAAGGGAGATGTGTCATGACAGCTCTGCCAATAAGAATAATCGATGCTCTTAGGCTACTATTATCGTTATGCGATATGATCGGTTCTTCCGAGTTTTCTCTCAAGCCGGTTAGTTTCTACTGTCTCCGATTTTGCCATATCACATAGTGTAACTGAGGTACATTTGTGATCAACGCTTGGATGCTCCCGAACTTTAGTTCACTTCTCCGTTCCTATTACATACTGTCCTGGACCCTCATATCCGGAAGATGGTATACTTTATCAGGATATTAATTACTGGCTCAGGTAATAAACTCGTCGCCGTATGTGTTTGAAAGGGCAGTTGCCGTCTGTAATTATCGTCCAGGATCTTATACATATTTTTAGTGATCCGGTAAGTAAAGTAATACAGCGCACGGGCAAATCTAAAAAGATAAAGTTCGCCGTCTGGCGTTCTCCGCGTTAAAAAAAAAACAAGAGAACGAGACAACTCGAAGAAGACTCATAGAGTAATGTAATCAAGGAACTGACCCTCCACGTGATATAATGGAATCAAGAGCAAGCGTTATTTGTTTTGTGCAAAATTTGATCATCCTTTCGCTGTCCGATGTTCCCCAAATAAATAATAGCTAATATTGAACGAATTTTTTAAAGATAGCATCATTCGTACGATGTACTATCTATGCAATTTACAGTGGTTATTTCCTCCTATAGGCTAAAGCATGCGGGCCAAAAAGAATAAAAATTTTTATAACTTTCTACATCGATCCGCTTCGGAAATTCGAAGTTTACTTTTGTGCAGCTAATCTCACGAAACAGCCAACATAATCGTTCATGTCTATTGCTCGCATATTTGCTATAATGTTTTGCTTTTGTGTATTGCAAAGAAAAATGTTCAATGGAAGAGTCAATGTTCTTTTTAATAGAATGTGCGATATAAAGCATCTACACAGAACCGGGATAATATGCAGAAGAAGGGGGATGATATACAAGATGAATTTTTTTTATGTGAGCATGCAAATTTTCTCATGGTCTCCAAGGAACGAGGGGACTTGCAGGGCGTGACAAGCCATTAGGAAGTGGTAAACTGATATGCCCCTGCGTGAGGTCTTTACGAATCAACGGGTTTTCACTGATCATTTCACCGACAGTTTTGACGTTCTTGCACCGGTTCGCGGCTGGCCTGCGCTGAAAATGGGAATGAATAGAGTTAGCTTTGACGCCTTGCTGAAGTGAATCACTGGCTGACTTGTGGTACGCGTACTTCTCTTTGACGATGGATTCACTGGAACACACAGAGGACGAGGTCACAGAGTATAACGAGTGTGCGCAAGAACCATAAAGCGAATGAGTCGGGTGCCCCGAACTGGCCGTGGATTTACGGTGACACGGTGTAATTAGGTTGGACGCTTCCTTGTTCCCATGGAAGTGGGCCTTGACACTCAAATCACGTTGTGCATGGATGCGCCGAATGGTGTGAACTTCCGGCGAATGCGATCGTCCTTCGGTTGACGTGGCTCCTGCAGTCGAATCGCTGATGGTAGGTTGCATTACTGTCACTGATAAATTGTTCGATAGTGATCGCACACGTCGTGTACTTGTGGGAATACGTGATGGGCGACGTGCTGGTTTATCGCACTCGCTCTTTATACTCCGGCGTTCGTTGCTTGAGAGGGACGATGCCTGCGAAGCGCCGTCAGCCGTCGCGTCCAAAGAGTTGGCAGTGGAAGAGGCCAGGCTCGTAGTGTCATATGCATGGGTGGCTGTAGGAATGGGAGAGTTTGGTGAGGATAGTGCTGTTGCTTCGGCATGAATGGCGGGAAACGCTGGATCCATTGCGGGGCGCTGCTGTTGTTGTTGTTTGTGTTCCTCTTCTTGGGGGTAGTTATTTGTATTCGTGTGTACGAGCATGTGGGATGACGATCGTTTCAAAGGTTTCGATGGGGGTTCGTTGATGGCGGATATTTCTTCTTCAACTTTCAGTAGATAAGCAACGTTATCGAACACCAGCAATCCCACTAAAAGAGCCCAGCGTAAGGCCTTTTGAGTGATGCGGACGGGCAAGATTGTGTGTGTTGAAACTTTTGAACCTAGGCGACTGATAAACTGGATCATGGACGCTTGGGCTTGAAGAAGGAATATAGTGGTAAAGGAAGGAGTACGTGCATTTCTCGAAGATTGACAAGAAGAACCATCGCTGCTGGGGAAGACGTCCTTTTTGGCGTAATCGTACAAGCCTAAACGACGTTCAAACAAAGTACTCTTTTGCGTGGATCTCTTAATCATGCGGGGTAATCGGTTCTTTTAGTGATATCAAAAAGCGCTTCGGAAAGTTCAAGTCTGAGGGTGACAAAGAACAATAAGGAAGGATCAGGAACAGAGAAAAGGAAAGCCAATTTTAACCCAGTGCGAAAAAGTCACCTTTTATGGGCCATCAAGGCCGGTCAGTTGTAAAAGGAAACGCCCAATTGTTTATGCATCGAATAACCCAAAAAAAAGTTTATCCAATTAGCCCTCCTGTCGATGCTGTAAGATCGTGATAGATCCGTCAATACTTCTCCCATTTACGTAACGTCTCCTTTATTCGCTTTTGCATCTTTTTGTTTCTTTTTATTTTGCATGAAAGGCTGTTGTGATCATGCGCTCATTGCATCCGTGCCCACAACGCATTCTTTTTTTTTCCGCTTCAAACTTTCACGATGCGATAATCCTACACTATTTACGCGGGAATCGTTATTCAGCAGCTGCGCACTCATGTCGTTCCTCTTTATCATTTGTAAATCAACTGTATTGTCTCATGCGAAAATAGGTAAAATGGACTTTTTTCAACAGTGATAAATACGGACAATGTGCTATCATCCTTAACCAAATCGGTTTCACATCCGGCTGTGCAACCATATGAAAGTCAAAGTTGCGCCAATCCAATAATATGGTAAATTGACCTGGCTGTTAGCAAAACCGAATGAATCAAAACCTGAGATAAGGAGAACAAGTGGATGATCAGCGATTGACGCGAGAAAGTTTTGACAACGCCACATATGACGATAGGGTGACATCTTTTGCCAATTAACCCTACGCTAATATCTCCTGTCATTCGGTTTCAATATCCTTTGGTCTGATTCAAAAACATTTCTTGTTTTTCTTTTCTCATTATTCTACAACAAAAAGTTAAACAAAATCTCACAAGATGAATTCGCATATAAAGAACAGATGATTTATTTTAAGCGATCCGCCTTTCAAAAGGAGAATTCTACCTTGTGCGGTTGAACGGCCTATCATCAAATGTTCTCATGTTCGTCACAATGATGACAAGAAGAAAGCGAAATCCTCATTAATATTGCTATTGCAATACCTGTAAACATCAAGTTCGTGTCAAGTTTAGAGAAAGTATTTTACTATAACCTTCTGATAGTATTCAACTTTATACTACATGCTTATTTTAAATCAATGTTTTCACATTGTGCTGAAATCCTTACCACGACACATACGGCATCTAATAGAGTGCCTGTAAGCACAACAGTATTATTCGAATTCATCTATTTGTGCTTATTGCATCACTTTGCTATCGCAGTTTTTAACTGTTCACTGTGAACCCTGTAGATTCTTACTGCCACATCTCAATTAGAAAGTTTCCCTATTAGTGAATTGCAGCAAGCAGCGCCCAATGGCAGATTTATATACAATACGACACAAACATTACACAGAAACCGCTCGCTGAGTCGACTCTAATATCATCAATGAATGTCCACGTTGTATGAATCATTCATAGATTTTTCATAACAAACTTATGAAGCGTCAAACCGTCCATTCAAAAGGCGCCAGACGTTCTTGGTGGACTGCTTCGGACTTTTAAAAACCATACCATGTAAGGGAAACCGCTCGACTTCATTGACGACAAACGACATAACGATTCAACCTTTGAACCATCCATGTCACCATGGGTACGAAACAAATGGTACTGTGGTATATCTAATGTAACGGATACTAAGGCTTTCTTTTATTTTGCAGAACGTCTGCGAAGAAGGAGAGGACTACGCAAGAGTAAAGAGATATTGTCAGATTCAAGTGTGTCGGACGACAGTGGGCCATGGACCAACGATTCATCAAATCGGTCAAAAACTTTCGTCCAAACCGCATCTTCCGATACAGTCGAAAGCGCTCCGAAAAATACGAGAGATTTCACTACTGCAGAGATCGATCTGATACTCGAGACCTTGAACGAACATGCCGTGGAATGGTTGCGTCACGGCACTGATCACATCATCTCTCAATACCTGGCAGATAAAATACCACACGAACCGCACTTGATAAGATGGAAAATCAAAACTCTAGTAAGGTTATCAATAACCTAGTGACGGTAAGATGGTACTAAATTGGATTTTCACCAGGCCAGCTTATCCGTGATGCTCAAGGATAAGAATATCTCTCAAGTTCAGCCGCTAGTAACAGCGGGACCTGCAGACGCGAATCTTTTATCATGCAACAATTTGGATTTACAGTCCACAGTGCTCCGTCGGTTGGTTAGTTCCGAAGCAGGTAAAAAAGTTCATGGCTGGCTACTAAAAAAAATACATTCAAAGTACTGAACAAGACACCCGTTAAGCCCACTTGTTAGAAAACGAGGCCCGCAACCCTTTTACCTCGCCTGTTAAAGACAACTCGAGATCCCTGAGACCGATGCTGATGAAGTTGCTCGACGTTGCTTCCGAGTTAAATTGGATGGAAAAAATGCGACAAGATACATACACCTGTGATATTGCGGAAATTTGCTTTCGAGAAATCATGTGGCGATATGAGAATACACCCGTGAATCAACGTTCAGGTCGTGAATGGAGATGGTACAGAGACATACGACAATACGTACAAGATTATGAAAACGACAAATTTCAAATAACCTATAACTTGGAGACGACGAAGCAAACGCACAATGAGCTCGTGCAATTCCTACAACGCGCGGGTATGGGCGAACGAAATCCGGTTGGAAAGGGATCGTATACGCAGTTGGAGCGCCATCTGATTGGAAACACGACAACACGCTTCAACACCGGTAATTCATCCACTAGGGGAAAAATCGACAGAGGCCGATCCTTTGCTCTCAATGGTAAGCCCGATTCATTCAATTTTTGAGATTTTCAACGAAAAATGACGATGGTAGTCCCGTTCTTAGAATCATCTATTGCAAGTTCATCCAAAAATACCAAACAGTCATCGCAGGCTGACCATTTAAATACCCCTACGAACGATGAAAAAGCAAAGTACATATACTTTCCTATTTCTCACAAGACACGCGACCGAGTTATCGCGCTGCCAAAGGATTTCGCCAATACCGACAAGTACCGCTCATCCAGTATTCGCCATCGACGTCGTATCGAGCCGGAACAAGTCATCAGAGTACCGCCCAAATACATTGCCAAACATGAGAAAGAACTGCTTAGCGATTGGATCGATTCTGCAGAACGATTTTTATTCGAAAGCGTGCAGTCATATTACGAGGAATGGGCTACAATCAATGCATTCATCGCGGAAGAAAATCAACGACTCGAATTTCACCGACGAAAAAAGCAAAAAACTGTAGACACCTCTTTTTAATCAGTCACAAACTCTTTCGAAATCACATGCACATCTTTGATGTGCATACCGTAAATATTCCCGTTTATCTTCTTTGTGATCAAATGTTATTTCAACATCTGTTTATTTTCTGCATCTTTTCTTTTTACAATTATTTTATTTCATTGTAATATTGTCCATATTATAAAAGCCCGTATGCCATGCTAACTCGATGCCTTTCAATAATCTGTACTCATTGTCATAATTGATTGAAATTTGTCAATTATATCGTACGATCATGAGCGAGTGATATTGCCAAGATCTATGTTGTATAAAATTTAAACAATTGCGATAATAATTTCCTTTTTGTGTAGCTCACTAATATAAGCGCCTGACGTTCGCTCAGTAGCTACAATTTCATACCAAAAACTCTCTCTGGAAAAGCAATGAATAAAGAAGGCCAATGCAGATGGATGTCTCAAAAAGTTTGGTGACACGTGATCTGAATTCGAAATCGGTGTTCCATTTCGTCGACCCCATCGCAATCTATCTCACCAACCCACTAAACTAATCAATAAATTAAAACAATTCCATGCCATCTCCTCCCAAGCCTTGGGAAGTTAATAATGCAACCGGAGCGACGGCGGCAGCGACATCAGCATCAACGCTTACGCCTGCTGCTAGTAGTGCGATGACAACGGCGACAGATACTAGTACACCATCGGTGCCATCACGACCGTCTACTGTAGGCATGGGTAGCAGCTATGGTGGTAAGTGAAAAATAACGGCGGATACCTAAAAAACGCTTGCAACTCAATTTGATTTTGTTTTTGGTAGGAGGCTACGGTACTGGGAGTTACGGTTCGAGTTACAGTAGTCCATACAGCAGAATGGGCGGTTACGGCAGCTATGGTTCTTCCTTGGGTTCCTATGGCTCCTACGGAGGCGTGGGTAGTTATGGCGGTTTGGGGAGTTATGGAGGTTTAAGTTCCTATTCTCCTTACAGCCGTTTTGGTAGCTATGGAAGTAGTTATTCACCGTACAGTCGATTGGGTTACGGCGGAGGAGGCATGTATGGCACAGGAGGCATGTATGGCGGCCCTGGTGGTCCCGGTGATGAATTCAGTTTAACACAGCGGATGGAGGCTGGTACTCGCGCTACTTTTGAAGTGATTGAATCCATTGTTGGTGCCTTTGGTGGATTTGCCCAGATGCTTGATTCGACTTTTATGGCAACCTATTCCAGTTTTATGGCGATGGTCGGCATGGCGGAACAGTTGGGCTATCTGCGCAAATATCTCGGCCGTATATTCAGTATTTATACATGGATTCGATTCATTAAACGGTTGTTCTACAAATTGCGGGGTAAAGAGGTGCCACCTGAATTGCAAGACAATGACTTATCGGAGGAGGAGAAAGTCCAAGAAAACAACGAAGCGACAAACGAAGTTGCTCTGCCTGACGAGGTGCAGCCCTCCCCACCACGTAAATCCTACAAACGACGTGTGGTGCTCTTTTTAGCCGTGGTTCTTGGTATACCCTATGCCATGTATAAAATTATCCAACGTTCCAACCGCCAAAAAGCCGGTCCGCACCCAATGATGCTCCAAGGCCCAGCCATGCCGCAACATCCACCGGAAATGGCTACGGTCCTCTTTGATTTTGCTGCGGAATCCCCAGTTGAACTCACTTTACATCGTGGTGATACCGTTCAAGTCCTTTCAAAAACAGATCCTGGTACGGGGCTTCCAAGTGAATGGTGGCACGGATGCCTTCCCAACGGTATGACCGGTATTTTCCCCAGTAATTATGTTCAGATCATACCGCCACCGTCAATGACCGCATCAGCAAGGAAACAACAGTAATGAAGCGTTTCTCTCCAATCTTTCTTTGTGCCACACCCATACCAATGTATACCATTCCTCAGTCATATCATCCAAAGAAAGAAAATGCTCTCGGGTAGAATAGTTTGTCTTTGATGTTGGTATACATGATGCAACATAGAAAAAATGTACATGCCTCTGCAAGCGGACGGTTTATGATTTATTCTTCAAAAGTTTTACTTCAATGAGGCGGGTGTTGTCCTCCTTTTTTGTGTGTGTTGTGTTTTTTTGATTTTTCTTCTTCAATCTTTTGATTTTGCGTGTCACCGGATTTGTTTTCTAAAGAAGCTGAATATCGAGATCTTCCATGGATAACGTTTCATTCTGTCGGAATAAAGGAAGTAATTTGATCACATAATTCCTGTGCCGCAGCTGGATTAGCCACCTAGACAATGAGAACAACAAGGTAAATCATCAGACGCAATGATTAATATGTGTGTCAGAGATGGAGGATCACTCAGTAAGACAAACTGAAACGTACCCGCAATGCGTAATTCACCAGCGTTGCTTTATCATCCATCTTTTCAATGGCGACAAAACGTACAAATTTCTCTTGCATAATAAAGACCTTCATCTTTGGGAACAGTAGCAGATTCAGAATAAGGCGAAATACAGAATCGGCGCGCATCACCAATCGCGTTTGTGGTGGTTTATCGTCGAATTCTTTCTGATTGATACGAAGTGTTCCAACCCCACGCTCCTTCCAAGTATCTGTTGTCGTATCAAGGACAAGAAGCTTCGCCTTGGTTTGATATAATGTGTATTCGTCTTCTTCTCCCGTAATAACTGTCACGATGCAATATTTTAATGCGATGAATAATCAACCATGGGTGACAGGCTTCTCAGTTAATCATCCCTACCTTCGGTGGGTTTCACACCAGGCACTTTAGCTTTGATGCCTTCACCAAAGCTTGGTCCATTGGCGCTTAACGGTTCAGGTGCATGCGACGGGGATTGAGGGGGTTTGGCGCTGTCTTTATCGGTAGACTGATGGGCGGTTTCCTTTTTGTCGGATTCGTCATCTTCTTTTGATAGTGATCCGGCACTCGATGATTTTGAAAGAGAAGAAAAGGCATTTGTGGAAGCGGATTGTGCTGCTAGCGCAAAAGGAGAAGCCGAGGCATTTGCAAACGAGGCAAAACTTGGTGTCGTTGATGACGATGAAGGTTTTGCAGTTACTGAACTAGAGAAACCGCCGAATGAAGAGCTCCCAAATCCGCCAAAGGTGGGCTGTGCGAGGAAAAAAAAGTACAATGCAAAAGAGAGAAAAAGCAGTTGAGTTTTCCAGTTTGTCTTCTTTCGATGACGGCCCTTTCTTTCCCATTTCTCTTCTGACCAGCAGTAGTGACCGTAACTGACAGAACCCATATTTACCTTTTGTGATGTGGTTGTCTTTTGTTGAGTTGCTGCCCATCCTTTGGTACCGAAGCCTGATGTGGTTCCAAATGTATATTTGGAGTTTTCCTTGGTGTCGGTTTTCGCATCTTCCTTTTTGGATTCCGGCTCGTCCTCTGCAAATTCTCCCCAGTCCTCATCTGCTCCGCCTTCTTTGCCTCCACCAAACTGTGCAAACGAAGTCAAAGTCGGTTTGCTGGTATGCGCATTATCCTGTTCATTTGATGTGGTATGCGTGGATCCTTCATCCATTGGCTCTTTTTCCGTTGCCTCCTCAGGTTGAGCAGCAGCTTTTTCTCGTGGAAAGGGTTCGTTATCCTCTGTATTTTCTGTTGCTCCAGTGGACAGGCGTTCCTCATCATCTGACGTTTCTTCAATCGTGCGTCTGCTATCCTGCTGTTCGGAGGAGACGGCGGATCCTTGCGAATCTTCCATTAACTCTACACCATCGTCCGATACCGAATAAGCCATTGCATCACGGCACAGACTATTTTTTTTTTTTTTTGGCGGGGGGTCCTAACCTTCTTTATCTGTCGTCGTCATATCTTTGAGATTTCGTCGAATCGTACTCATTGACGCTGTGGCGGCTTCTTCTTCGCGTTTCCTGTGAGTGAATCCCAGTGGATGTGAGCATTTCATCTTCATCAGATTCTTTTTTGTTTTTTGTTTTTATGTCATCAACTCACGTTTTCTTTGGTGCTGACACTGTCGTTGGCTTTTCTTCCGGTGCAGGCTGGGAAGGACAACAAAGGTGCACTCACTCTGTTAGTCGATGATGCTTTGGGAAGAAGATCACAACGGGAAACTCCATTGCACAGTAACATGATGTATACCTCATCTTTGGGCGTGGATGCAGGTTCAACCGATTGAGCGCGACCTCTCTTCTTGTTGGAGGCAATGTCGTCTATAGAAAAACATAGAGGTATGAGTTGGCTCCAGTGGATTCTTTTGCGCCTGTTGTTCTCGGTCGGTCAAAATAACAAACTTTTTGGTTTCTCGCAGAGTTCATTATACGATCGACACAGCCGATTATGAAGAATAGATGCATACCGATTTCAATGTTATTATCAGGTGGAGTAGCCATAGTATAGTAAGAACCGTTTTTTAGTACTTTCACGCAATAGTAGCACGAATGCTTCTTTTTTTTTGTTGAGCCGTTGAAAAACAACAAACACAGAAGTACCGTTCCGGAGTTTTAACCCTGCTTTCATCAAAAAAGTGACTTGTATCATCATCTCTTTCGATCCCGGCTCATTCAATGGAACCTTCAATGGAACAAACAGTTTCCCCCCCCCCACTGATCACGATACTTTAGGAAGAACTACTTCGTTTGACGATCCACCCACTCATGGTTCCAAGACTTGTACTATATCGATTTGGTTGTAATCACCACATAATCGCAATACAGAAAAAGGATCCAATGATGATGATAGAAATACCATGTAACAATGCATGCTTGGTGGGTGCTTTTGATTAAATTCAAGTATGAAACGAATCAACTGCCGGTACAAAATATCTATATTTAATCCATATTCAGAAATGATGCGTTATTTCCTAAAAACGTATTTACAAAGTGCATTCCATTGTGTATCTTTTTACGGGCATCGTCCAATGTCTGCAAAGATATCATCGAATCACATAAAGGCTGTATCAGCCATTGATTCATATATGTATATATATAAAGCATGTACACACACAACGAGAGGTTATGTCAACCTTTCATTTCATGTGAATGCGGAGCATGTCTTCGTCCTCCAACAAGTAGATTTCCAGCCAGTCAGAAAATGCCGTCTTGAAGCGATACCACGGTACCCAAGATGGTCCGCTGTGTTGCAACAGCATCGATGATTGGGGTTCGTCCCATAGGCCATAAGGATCCTCGACGCTGCTAAGAAGCAAGGACGCAAGGAATTGGCTTGCAAATAACCCGCTGAGCCAGACCGTCAATAGAAGCAAGGCGTTCTGATATGGGCTAACCATAAACATGGATTTGCAATAGGCGAAAATATCTGCGCTGTATACAACAGAAGGCAACTACAAAGAGCCAGAAAAAAATCATTAGTTGGATGGACACTTTCAATAATGCGTCTTGGTTCATGAGTATATATATATTTACCTTATGTTCTATGCATTTATTGATAACAATAAACAAGTCGGAAAGTGAGTAAACTGCATGAGAAAAAATAGAAGAATGTAATATAATTTACCAGTCAAGTTAGTCCGCGACATGGGTTGCTTCAACTTCACAGACTGCAGAATCTTGATGATCCGTGACTTGTCGTCCTCCTCGTGTACATTGCATGTGATTTGCTCGATAATTCGCGCTTGATCATCTAGTTCTTTATGTAGGCTTTGGACTTCTTTGTCATGATCGATCGTCAGCGTGTTGCAACGGCCGCAATCATTCGTTGTAAAGTCACATTGGATCTCCTTCTGGACAGCGCCAACCGCTTCCGTTTGCGTGCTACTGTGAAACTGAGAGACTTCCTTTCTGCGTTGAGCTTCCATGAGTATCTGGATCTCTTGTTGCAGATGACGATTCTCAGCTTCCAACATATTCTTCAGATCCTCCCTCTTTTGATACTCTGTCACGGTCCAATGTAAGTCATCGTGAAAAAAAGTGACCCAGTGTGAATTATATTGTACCATTTTTGAGTTCCTCCTCAAGTGTGGCTATTTTGGTGTGGCAGTCGTCGTTTTGTTTCTCCAGTTGCTTTTGTTTCTTGGCATTCAAAGCCTAAGCAAAGAAAACAATATAAAATAAAGAATATTAGGTACTCAAGCACAATTTTTTTTCATGGACTCGTTGAAAAAAGTTGTTCAGTCAATTACCTGAGTATTGGCATAGATGGCTTCTCCCTCTGCATCAAAGTCTTCTGCGTATGCATTTTCTGGCTCAAGCTCCGATCTCAGATTCTATAAAGAACAAGCCATATGAGAAAAGAGGGTTTGTCTGTCAGACTTCAACATAGAAAGATGGGTTACCATTGTCGGTGAAGATTGGTAACCAAGAGCTGATCCCGCACGAGCCATGTCAAGATTGAACTTGAACTTATCAATAATGTGTTTCAATTCCTCGTTCTCGTCTTCCAACTTTTGAATCACTCCTGAAAAGGATGACATTTGCAACAGTTGATCCTCCAAATCTTGATTTGCGGTATATGCTTTGTCCCGCTCTTCTTCTAAATCCGTAATCTCTGCTTCCAGTTCCTGAATTCTTTGCTGCGCTTGCTTTAATTGCTTTCCGCAACCTTCCAACATTTCTTGTGTTCGGCCAAGTTCCTCTAAAAAGTAACACAGTCTTTCGTCTTAGACAATGAAGCAGTGGCTTCAAAGTGGCTGTCATCTTACCACATTTTTCTTCCAATAGCTTTTTGGATTCTTGTTGCGAGAGACGGAGACGAGTTGTCTCCGATTGTTGCTGGTGCACCAGTTTTTCAAGCTGTCATCCGCCCACATGATTAACTGACACGATGCAAAACCAACTTTTTTCTTTTGAAATCATCGCTCACCTCAGCAATGTCTTCCAGTCTTTGTTTATCTGTTGAATTATGCTGCGAGATGATCTTTTTCTGCTCCGCGATTTCTTGTTTCATTCGCTGGATATCAACTTGCAATTCCGAGATCCGATCATCATATTCACGCGCCACATCGTTAATGCGCGCTTGTTCGGCACGTAGCTGCTCCAATGAATCTAGCTTGTAATGGTCCCGAGTTGAGGAGGGTTCTGGATTGCCGATCTAAGCGTTCATTCTCTTTTTAGTACTAATTGTAAAAAGGGAATTGTATTGACATGTTCGAACTTGCCTCGTCGTGAATAAACCCCGAACCGTAACTGTCATGACGACCTTGGAGATCAGTTTTTTCGTAATCATAGATATCAAGATCCCCATCAGACAACTGCTGATGAAAAGTAAACTTGCGTCTACGGGAGGTGGGGATATTAACGTCATTCACATTATGCTGTGGAAAAACAATAATAATAAAAATTTAAGAATGAAACCTCCATTGTTAGTGAGAATTCAAAACTTGGCCATTGTTTCTCTTTGATGGTTTACCGTGGATGAAGAGTTTGAAGTAACAGAAGGGTGATTATCGCTGCCGTTGCCATCATTCCTATCGTCGAAACCTTCTTCTTCCAAGGTTTGATATCTTCTTTGCAACGAAGACAGTCTGGGTCGTCGAGCGGTATCTGCTAAAGGGCGTGATGTACGTTGGATTGAATCGAAACGGGAGGAGCTTCGAGAAGCAGTTGGACGAGGAGAAAGAGCAGGTTGCGATTCGTTGGGGGGTTCATTGTTTGTCGACGGCTTTGCGTTCGCATCATTTCTGGAGTAGTTGATTACGTCCAGCAGGTCGAAGAATTCCTGCGGCGACAATTCGACATCAGCATTTTTCACAATATACGGTTTAAGGGTTTCTTTCTGTTCGTTTGTGAAGAAAGTCACTTGGGCCATGTCTTCTAACTGATCGATTAACTGCGTCCATTCTTTGAGAGTGGCCGTTCTTTTCTTGTAGAAAATCGACTGTTCAAAAAGGTCTAGCAAGGCCTCATAGAGATGTTTGTCAAACCCTTCTGCCTAACGCGTAACAAGATGGTACAACGTGAGCCATTTTTTTCTTCTTTTTCTCGTCCATCACCCCTCCACTTACTTCGTCGTTGGTTTGATACACGATATAAGACTGGTCCATCTGACATTGCATAGTGATGGGATGTGAGGTGATTGTGTTGATTGAGTGGCAAGAAGTTGGTGATGCCAGGTACCGTGAAATGGGGGCAACAGGGTTGGGAAGGCGGAAGCTTTATGTGAAACACAACAAGCGGAGTAAGGCACGATTGTGGCGATGGCTGGAACAAGAGGAAGAACAAGACAAAAGAAACAACGCGTTCCAAAGACTTGCGATGGTAAAGTGAAGAAAGGAGCGAAAAAAAAAGGTGAAATAGAAAAGATGCACACAAAGAACAAAAGATTTTATATTGTTCAATTTTTTTTTCTTACTTCCTTTTTTGTAACAGTGGGGAAACCGAGAGTTCATGACATTCTCGCTCATGTCAGCGGATCCTCCAAAAAAATTCCTGTATTTACCACTATTATCCTTCACAAAGAACTTATTCGCTTATTGGCCATTGTTATTATATTAATCCTTCAGTTAACGTGGGGGGTTGATGATAACTCGATTTACGGCGCAAATCAAATAATCAAAAGGTAGTATTGTATAAATTTGTATGCATATGAAATGTTTGACTTTTGTCAGATGCGACTTTATTTATCTGTTTTCTTTTTTGGCAGGTGATTGTATGGACCAGTTTGTATTAGGATTTCATATTATTAGCGGCCACGGCTGCGCTTATGGATCTCTTGCGAGACTTTTTCCGCAGCGACATTTTCAGACTACGTGATATACTTTCTGCACGGGACATGGTGCCATGTTCAACCGGATCATCGAACGGTGGTGGTGTTTCGGTGACAGGCGTACAGATGGAAAAGGCTCGACTGATCGGTGACATGGGTAAATTCATAGGAAGTGTCAGGCTTGGACTATGCAGTTGAGCACTCGAACCTTGTCGCACCAGTGGAATTCGTTCGCTGGTTTCTTTGGCGGACGATTTCCTTGAGCTACTACCCTCTTCTTCTGTGTGTTTGGCCTGATCCATTCGCTTGATTTCTTGGGCGAAATTCTTTTTGAAAACTATACAATTTCTCGTTAGAAAAATGGACCATGCGCAGCTTACTCATCCTTACGACTTACAATCGATAAGAGTATTGTGAAACGGCCGCATTTCAGGACTAACGATTTTGCTGTGGGTATCTAGACAGTCGCTGATAATACGCACCTATTTGAAATGGAGAGGTACGCAGAGATCAGTCACTGAAAAAAAAGGACGCTTTCATAAAGTGAGTAAGGTGACAAGGTGAACCATACCTGATCATCAATGGCTGCACGCAGTCGGCCAATCCAAGGCCGCATATCGGGATGTTGTTCCCAGTACTCGGTGGTAAGGAATGCTTTCTTGTAAAGCGGGACACCGCCGTTGACGGGAGCATCCACCGCGCCATTGAGAGCCATGGAAAAAGGATTGATATTGATAGGACCGGAAGGTGGGCGGGATTGGACAACGTAAACCATGTATTTCTTTTGCAATTCCTCTAGCTCGCGATTTTTATTCTCCATCGCAACGACGGCATTTTCGATTGGCGAGACTTCCTTTACCGTAATGCTCACAATCTTGGATCGTCGCGCAATTGTAGGGAAGCTCTCTTCACACACGAGCACCGCCTTTTCTGTCCACAGATTCAAAAAGTCGGATTCGGGCTTGCTTGCATCCTCAACGGATGGCTGGGTTCCTTTATGCACTGGTCGCGAAAATGTGAATCGGGATACCTCATTGGATTGATAGTACTTTTTGATGTTATCCGAGGCAAGGGCGTGCTTTGTATTGGATGCATCGTCGGATACCGATCCTGGCGCCGGTTCTGGTATCACAGCGGTAATCTGCAAATACTGCTCGTCTAATCCACTTTCCAATTCTCGAAGTTGGTCCTCAGGCAACACCGCAGCGGTCGCCAGCTTTCCTGAAAGCAATTGCGCGTTCGGGTGGCGGTTTTGCATACGTTCCACAAAGGACGACATCTTTTCCCATTCCAGTCCTCGGTAAATGAACTGATGGTTGCGTACACTTGCTGGGAATCCACGACCATAGAACCCGACTCGGAAGTACTCCGTAAAGTACCTTTCCTTCTCCACAATATCCTGCACCAGTTTGGCTTGACGCTGTAAAACTTCGCTCAACTTGTGATAGTTGAATACGGTGTATTCGTATTCGTGCGCCAATTCTTTGCACAGCTGCACACTGATTTCCCATGCACTGCCTCGCTCAAGGTACGAAATCATGGTCCAGTAGAGTGCTTCTTTCCGTTCAAACGAGCTTTGTTGCGGAAAATCGAGGTCAGGCAATACTTCCAATTCTTCATAGGGATCCCATCGTAACAGATCGGCATGGAAACGTAAGGTCAGCGCCGCTTCCACATAATTGTGCGAGTCCACGTGCAATTGAACAAGTTGATGCACGTATTTGATGTAGATCTCTTCTCTTTCGATCACCTGGATGAACTTCATGAGTTTCAAAGTCGCATTGATTCGTTCGTCCATAAATTCGTCATTATCCATCGGCAAACTTCGAATTTGCAGTAACAATTCCAAGAAATTGCGCAAGGATTCCACAGTTTGTTTGCTGGTTTCGATCAAGTGGTCAGTGTTTTGAGCATGCAACTTCTTGCTTAGAGCATACTCCAATTCGGGAATCATTTTCGCGACAATGGTTTCGTTGCCCTTATTTTCTGACATGACCAATCGATCCATGGTACCAATCAACAAATGCGTCACGCGGGGTAGTTCACCGAGGGACAGTTCAATGGTAATGATGTCAGCAATCACCTGGATAGCTGCCGATCGCATCCGGTCATGATGGGTCAAACTTGCCGCACACAGAGGTCGAACAATGATCGGCATCAGATCGATTTGAAGAAACGAGACCTCAGGTGTAGGCACTAAGTTGGAATCACGGGGATGCAATTGCGACAAGCGATCGCCGCGTCGTCGAGAACGATCGTTTCGGATGTGACCTACCATCATCTTCAAAGCCAACGCGTCCGGGTCGCTGGCCGTACTCGAAGGCCGTGGTTCAGACATCGGCGACGATTTCGCTTCCTTCTTCTCTTCATCCACGGACGCCGGTTGCTCCTCTTCCGCGATCGGTTCATACGTTGACCTTCGTCCAAAGTAAGCTAACAGTTCCGGTCTACGGTGCTCGTCACTGCGGCCATGTTTTGGTCCAGCCAAGGCCCACAGGGTTAACAACGTTCTCGCTCCCACCGCTCCCTTCATATTGCCTGCAATTTTCCAGATTGCTCGTTGCGATTGGGGTAAGTATGTTTCGATCTCCAATTGATGGCTGGAAATGGCGCGCAAAAACGTGACAAAGAAGGTTTTCCACAGCCGTAATGTCGCCGAGTCGGTGGGTGGATCGTCGCTTTCATCAAGCGGAGGAATAAACGCCTCCATTTCAAAGATGTCAATGACAGGAGCAAGGATATTGCACAAGACAATCTGATGCGAAATGATATCGAGATTCAGCCATTGATGGGGCAACTTGCGTGTTTCTTTTGTCGTATCGTCTTCGCAACGGTCCAAACCTTCCATCGTGCCACTCGAACTTTCAAGAATCTGGAAATCATCGCCAAACAAGATGGCCGAACATACATGACACACCTTTCGCAAGAATTCCGCCGTGGCATCCGTGCCTTCCTGGGCATGCATCGAACGCAGAAAACAAACCCATTGCTGACGCGGTGTGAGATAAAAGAGCTCCAAAAGGACCACCGTCAAATCCAGTAATCCAGTAGTCACCATCGCGGCTAGATCGTTGCCAACAGACAATAACGTGTTCTTGGAATTCGAAGATTGGAAAGGATAACTCGAAGGAAAAGGTGAAATGGGCGACGTCGCAAGTGCTTGCAGTACCACGGAAAATTTCGATCCACCTCCTTCATGTCCATCTCCTACGTTACTCGTTTTCTGGCCAAACGAATTGCCGCGTTCGCGAAGAACGTTGAGTGAATTCCGGGATGAGCTGGGCCGCGATAACGGATGCGACGTTTCGATACCTGTGGACAGCACACCGTACGGCATACCAGATGCTTGTACGGCTTGACGCACCAATCGCTGAAGGTCCTTGTAGCAATTCAAAAGCTGAGGTAAAAGCTGCAAGGCAATTTCGGTGATAGTCATTAGATCCACTTGAGGTTCATCCAATGTCTCGTCATCCCCACCGCCACTGGTCGCCATGGAAATCGGTCGTGATATGGTACTGAGGGAAGGAGAAGAAATCGTGGAAGACGAAAGACCCGACGTAGACATGCCACACGATTTTCGCACTTTATCCAGAACTTCACTCATAATCGTTAACGATAATCGGAGGTTCTCCAGCCACTGGACGCGAGGTAGTCGAGTCTGTTGATAATGATCCTGATCGTTGCCGTCGTTGTGAAGAGAAAAGATGACATCCTTGGCCACGGCCATGTACGAGTTGAGCCACATTTTCACCCACTTGAACACGTTCTTGGCTAATCCCGATCGGCAAGTACTGTCGTTGAACACGGGCCCTTTCACGATAGCGAGAATCATGCACAGTTTGAATCCGACCAGTTTGCCGGTGACATGCGAACACGCATCGACAAATTTGGTAGCGATCTCCACGAGTTGTCGGGACGAAAAAATGCGTCGCAGCTCGGTAAGAATATCTGCAAAATGTTGCAAAGCGAGGGTCTGAGTACCGATCATGGCATTGGGCTGGTCTGGGTTCATTATCTGCGTGATCAAATCCAACAGTTGCTGAAGTTCGTCTTTAAACATGATATCACGCAGTCCACGTTCTCCTTCCTCTTCGTTTTGTTGCTGCAGCAATCGCGAGCGTACAATGAATCGGAAGAGGTAGTCCCACACCTTCATGCTGCTGCGCAATCGTTTCGCTTTTCTCGGATCGCCGGGATTCGCACATAATCGGAGCATGCCTTTCAACATTTCGTCGCAGGTGAGTTCGACTTTTCCCAACAAGTAACGCGGTTTAGTACTTGACAAGGCGTCGTCCGATGAAGACAACGATGCGTTGGACGTCGAAGTCGAGAACCGGTGGTCAATGTAAACGTCGAGGACGGGACGAAAATTGCTGAAACGGCGATCTTGCACAATCCCCAGCACCCAAATCATCGCGGCCAATGCTTGATCGTTGAGTTTTTCCTGCATTTCAACATTGTCGTGACGGAAGGCCAGGATATCCAGTAAAGCATCAAATATATCACCCAGGAATTTGACCACTTCCATTTCTCCAACAAACGTAAACTTGTCCAGCACGGCCAGTAACTCTTCAGCATCGTTGGTATCCTCATTCAGCAGCGATCGCCAGTTGAGTAGCTTGACGAGTGTTTTGTTTTGCGTGAATCGGGTAGAACATAAAAAGGTGGTCAATGTAAGGGTATCGCGAACGGTGCTCAGTTTCCCTGCGACCACTGTAGGGGTATTGGTTCCGGAAGACGTGACATCTTGGATGCTGGTATTGCTGTTGTTGTTACTGCCATAATGAAAGATCGAACTTGAGCTGAATCCACCCGCCGTGTGATTGCCGATCGATCCTTTGAAACTGCCCGATTGCGAATTCTGATGTCCTACGCGTGCTCGTGGCTGATTCGCTCGGCCATTCGTGTTCTCATATGCCTGCATGTTGGACGGGGAGGACGATCGGTAGCACCACGGTACAGCATCGATGTAATTGGAAGGATGCGGTAATTGACGATCGTATTTGTAGAGGTAAAGGGTATGCGAACCGTCAGCAATAAAGTCTCGATGCAACGGTGGCAAGAATAGCGGCAGGAATCCAATGGCGATGATTTTATCGTGCGTCGAAGAGACCCCGGTTCCGGCCGTGGGCGTATGATCACCCGACGGTCGCGATGCCGCACCTGTGCCTGACTGTGTGGCTGTACCATAACTGCTTCGATGTTTGACCGTAATAAAAACGTGCGACCGTTCCCAAAGACGAAGATCGCTGATCTTGACCTTGACCATTTCGGCCCACTTGGGACGCTGGTCATGGTACAGTATTATACTGTCCCAATACGTTGTGGAGGGAGCTCCTGCACCGGCCGATAACGCGTTCTCTACCGGTTCGCCTGAGATGTTGTCGCGAACGCACAGTGTCAGTTGGATGTTGCGTGACCGGCCAAATTGAGCAAAATCGCCCGATTGCAAAGTGATGTAGAGTTCGTTCCGTTCGTCGTCGGGAAACACGACATCGGGAAATCCCAACCGTGCGGTACGTGGGACATCGGCCAAGATAGCAGCATTTGTTTTCAAAACATCATCCAATTGACCGTAAAACATGCGAAGGTACACGCAAAGCGCTTCGGCTCGAGGATGTTTGGTGAACTCTTTGACGTTGTTATTGATGATGTCTTCGTGAAGCGTGGCAAACGAAGATTCGGAAGCGGCGGTATAAATACGGATATCGTGTTCTGCCATTTGTTGATGCATCGAGGTCGTGGTGGTGATAGCGGCGGCCCCCGTAGGAGTGAAAACGTTGGGTGCATTCATGTGAGATACAGACCCCCATCCGACCGAAGACGGAATGAGGCCTCCATCCTGTTCGGGTTTTTGCAGCAACGGACCGAGATGAAGCACGGCGCATCCAAAAGGTCGACGGCACAAATGACTACTTGAGGTAACGGTGGAGGTCGTTGAGGATGATGATGGATTGCGTTGACTCCCTGCGTTTTCAAAGTAACTCATCATACGGTGACTGTCGCCGCTACCAAAGATCATGGATGCGTGGCTGCCAATGGTTCCCAAATGATCTTTTTCCTTGTCAACAAACTTCATCCCACCCAAGCGCACCACGCGGCAAACAAGGTAAAGCTGATCATTCAAATCATGGGCGGATAAATCGGCAAACAATGTCTGCAATTTGCCTATTTGACTTTCATCCTTGGGCATCCCGTTATCGTTGAGAATGACAACGAATTGTTCCGTGACGAATTTCTTTTCGGCTTTGGTATAGAGAGAGAAGTACAGTTCGGCATGCTCCCCGGGCTGACAAATGTGAGCGATGCAAGCTTTCAGTTCGAAAAAGAGATGATGGAATTTGGCGCCTTTGGCAGCAGCGGAAGGGGTGCCTCCGGTCAGATTGGTGGAAGAGGAAGACATTGAAGCCGAAGAGCTGAATGGATCATGAAATGAAGTGGAATGGGAAGAGGTACGAGTGGGGGACGAAGCGTCGGTTAAACTGAAACGAGAGGAAGCGTAGGCCGAAGTAGGTGAAGAGGAAAAGGATTGGGTCGTAGCAGCATGTTCGAGGTTGGCATATTTCCAATGCATACGATAAAGAGTGGCAAGAGAAGCGGTATTGGCGTCGAGGAGGTAACCACGTTCAGGATGACGAATAATAATTTCCTTGTTCTGCGATAAATTCATGATGACCATTTTGTAGATGATTTCTTTTCTTAATCTGGCAAGTTCTTCTCTCGACAAGGCTTGATCCAGCAGTTGTCGCCGTGCCTGAAATAGATAATTAATGTGATCACGCACCGATTTGAACGAAGTATATTTACTCTGCTGCAAGTAAGTGTAAAGCATGCTGTTCCATTCACTGACACACGCTCCAATTTCATCAATTAAAGGTTCGCTAACGCCCGTCACCGTCGATTGATCAAAGCGTGCCAAAGGAAGAGGAGGTGGGGTGAAGTGACGATGTTTCAAGTTGGTGGGGGTCGTGCTATTGTTGCCGCTGTACATAGGGTTGGTCGTCGATGCATCAAATTCCAAGCCCAAATCGCCCAAGCTGCCTGGGCGAGCAGGAATCAATTCTTCCTGCTTGATCTTGAGAGGCGTTTGAATGTGCGATTCGGAAAACGATCGGGCAAGGCTCGGTAGCTCTGGTAATAAGGAAGGTGAAAGAGTATCCATGACACCGGAATCTGGACGGCGTATCACAACGGTGTCACCTTCGTTTGGGTCGATATCAAGATATTCTTTGATTTGAACGTGAGATCGGGGAAAACACCCAATAGGAGCCGCATTGGGTTTCCTGCCTTCTTCCAAGGCACATACAACATAACCTCTGTACCAAGCGTCCTGTTGTTCAAAGATGAATAGTTCGTCTCCGACTTCCAAAGGAATCAGGTGGGAATAATCAGCAGCATTAGCAGAGCAATGGTCGGAGGTACGATAAGATGACGAGGATCCGGTGGTGTGAATGGAAGCCGTGTCAGTTTGTGGCGATAATAAAGGTGAATAAAGCGTCGAGTAAGTTGTCGGAGGTCGGGAAGTGGAAGTGGATGGCGAAGGATGAATGGCAGAAGGTGTAAAAGGGTAAATGGCTATTCCATGAGCGATTTTGGGCAACGGCAGCCACTTCATCACGCTGTCACGTTGAGTATAGGTAAGAATGAGCGAAAAGGGTGGCAGCTGCTTTCTCTCTTCTTCTTGTTCCCCTTCTTGAACGAAGAATTAGAGAAAATCCAGGAAAAAAAAAGAATGGAAAAAATAAAAAGGTAGGACGTACAAGAAATTATGGAAGTTCACGCTCAAATGATTACTGGCAAGAGAATAAAAAATAAAGAGATTAAATATGTAGATAAATATATCTTATATGTAACTAAATAAATAGAAAAAGGAACGAACAAGGCGGAACACGAGAGAGAGAGAAAGGGAAATGCAGAAGAAAAAATATATATCAATTGCGGTTGTCAGGGAAAAAAGGGGGGGCCAACACTAAACATTGTTTAAGATTGACGGTCGGACAAAAAAAAAGGGAAGAGGTGGTGTCGCATTTTTCGAAACTGCGGTATCCCAAATTGACATTTTTCACCAACCCACCTTATCCGTTTGGGCTTTTTCTTCTAGTTCTAGAAAATGAATTGCAGAACTTATCTTTCTAAGCGGATAATCTGGGAGGGAGACAAGCTGTTGGATTTTAATAACAAAATCGCATTCTCTGATAATGCTTCAATCCCTCTACAAAAATAGACAGTCACGAATGGATGAGATTATGCGCCCACTGTAATGCAATCAATATCCACAAAATTTGCCAATTAGTATCAACATCAAATTGGTTGAATGATCCTGCAGCAACAAAAGCATGTCACAAAAAGCAAAAGTCAAAGAGTGGGAAGAAGTCGGAAGGGCTGTTCTCAGGAAACTAGTAAGCAGTGACTCTACAGTTTGCAGAGCAGGTGCATCGCGTTCATTTGTCCATCACGGTCCAATGTCATCTCGGAATGGATTACAAACTAGCACTGGAAATAAGATATTTTTGACGATAAACAACTTGAGATTGTAACGTGGCAGACCGTATGGTGTCACATGTGTCTGAGCGTGACAAACACAGATAAATAGAGATCAGCGCGTTTTTTGTCTATTTCTCTGAAATCGAATTATGAAAGCATGAAATGTGACTTTTGCATTCATCTTATTTTCCAATTACTGCTCACCATTACTGGATAAAACGGCCTAGGGGTCTCTTGGAAAACTTAAGTCATTCTCTGAAAAAGCTTGTTAAATATACATTTTACTTGTTATCTCGGGTCAGCATTGTACTTTTAATAAAGAGAATGAAGGTTAAAAAAGACTCACGAACCACTGTGTCATTTGCTGTTTTTTATTGCATTCGTGCTCGACGTCTTTTTGTAGTAATCAAAAAATCCATTGGATGAAGATTAGTAGCTTATGCAAGATCAGGCTTCGAATCACTTTGTCGCTCGTTTTGGTTTTCGTAATCGATACAAATTCAATGTTTCGTCAAACGATATGTCGGTTACTTTCTTTTGCCATTGGATGGCGGGTATAAGGTCGACCGTGAATCGCTTTTTCGCTTCTGCCAGAAAAGCGTCTTGAGCAGCTTGATTGCGGACTTCACTGATACAAATAATGTAGGTTTGACTTGTCGCCAAATGATCCATTGTTTCCACAAGGTCAATGGCGCTGGCTTCCGAGTAGATACAATCACAAGCGACAATGTAATCAATATCTCCCATCGACTTGATGTGACTAATAGCTTCGGCATCATTCCAAAGCAACGGTTCAACAATGATGGATTGATTGTCTTGCTTTGCTGTGTTTTCCCGTCGGCCGGTGATGGTGTGCACCGCGTAATTGTTCGCTTCCACATTTCGCTCCATTGTAGGCAGCAACTCGGCAATATCTGTGATGGTGACATTCTCCAGACCGAGCTTGTGTAACATGATACCAATCAAACCGACTCCGGACCCTAGTTCGACCCACCGCTTGTTGCGATCCAGTTGAATGAAGTTGTGGCGATCGCGTTTATGGCTGAGAGCATAGAGATATTTACAAAATACGATGGATGTCAGCCAAATATAACCACCGAGATGGTTGGAATGAGGATCTTGTACCAGCACCACATCCTCGTCGCCAATGTGAATCGTTAACCGTTCCGCCGACTGAAGTTCCCAGCGATCCAGTTTGGACGTGTCTCGTATATACGGCTTGCCATCTTCCCATCCTTCAATGGTAGCAATGGCCTTTTCTTCTTTCATCGTACGCTATGTTTTTTTTATTATTATTTGTAAAGTGGACCTACGGCTTGGACGGCAAAGACAGGGCCACCAAAGAAGAAAAAAAGAAAAAAAGTTTAAAACAACGTCCAAATCAAAGGGTGTGACTTTTTTGATGCATCAATGAGCTTTGACCGTGCGAACTTTTTCTTGTCGGATTTACGTTGCATTGAATTTGTTGACTTCAAACGCGGTTAAAATAAGAAAAAGAGCATGGTACAGTTTTATTAAAAAAAGTTTTTGCTAGTGTACAATATTAAGATTGAAGGAAAAAAAAAAGAGTCTCTTTTGTGCGCACACCCTATTCGGCCCCAATATTCAAAACCCACAGATGAGGTTGGTGCTTTTAGGTTCGTTTGACAAACGTTTTGGCGGTTTTATCCTTGTTATGTTCCATCCACGTTTTCACATCACATGCCCAAGTGGCTTCATGCGTGCCAAACCAACCGATCTTCTGTTTCTTGACCAACTTGAATCCATGTCGCTTTTCAAGCACTTGTTCGGCCGCCATTTGCATTTCATTGGTCTGCGCGTACACCGTTTCGATATCGTGTTCACTTGCCCAGGTCATGGCTCGGTTGATCAGCAAGGTCGACAATCCACAATCTTGGAAATCGTACCGTACAGCTAATCGTTGCAACGTGGCGGTGTGAGGCTCGTGGGCGCGAGCAAAAATGCGTTTCTCCGCAGACGGAACCTGCTTGAACATGGCAGGGACAGGCAGGTGGTATCGATTGCAAATACCGGCCCCCAATCGCTTCCAGGCTGGCAAAAGAACCGGCTGTTTATCTTCGATATCTTGCGCATTGCATGCCAATCCCACCATACCGCAGGGTGTGTCTTCCATGGTGAGGACCCAAAAATGGGAAGGTCGTTGTAACTCGGAGGGCTTCATTTCTTTTTCGCCATCTTTTCCCTCTTTCTCGGATCGGTTGAGATAATACACTTGGGGATCACTTAAATCATTCTGTCTCGCTTCTTCCACACGCGCCACCGTTTCGAACCGGTCCGTGGTCACAAATAATGTGGCGAAGCCCACCGCGCTCCAAGCGAACGTCAAGAATAGTTTCAAGACCAAATGCACCCATGCCGGTACGTCCATGCCCGACAATAGAATCGGCACAATCATTAACAAATAGGAATACACGGCGAACCAAATAACCCACGTCCACGGGGACCACAGTTTTCGTCGTACACCTTCGGGAACAAGCGAGAAATAAGTACTGTAGAACAAATGGTCGACATGCTCGGCATCGCTTGACTTGTAAGTACGAAGCACTAATTTCGGTGTTGCAGAATTCGTTTTGGGAGTCGATGGAGTGGCATCAGCCTTCTTAGCATTAACCATGGCGAGATGGTGGAGACGGAAAAAGATAACCGAGCCCACTGGAAAAACCGTGCACCCACGCTTAATAACCGCCCGCTAAGGCGGGGTTTAAATCCTAATTTCACCGACGAAATAGGGAAATGGGTCCCCCATCTGCAAGCAAGTTTATCTTGGTCACACTGACATGGCTGGCCAGACTTTTTTTTTTTCATGATTCCCTCTCACACACACAGAAGTTTTGCAATAGCGCTGCATACATATTATATTAATTGACCTCTGTATAGCTTCTTTGATTCCTTTAATCTATAAAGCAGAGTAGTAGAAGGGTTCCTTTTTTTTTATTCCCCATCCACATACCCATATTTAAGAATATTCTGGAATTCCCGTTTATCGGCGTTAACTTGTGCCATTCATGAGAACAATTACTTATACAACCATCAGAAAAACATACAGCGGCTAGCCTATCTTATACTGTTAACTTAAAAAAGAATGGCGACTTTATTTTGTTGATCAATGCTTTCAATAGCGGATGAAAGAAGGTTTGAGTGGCGTGGATTAAAGAAGAATAGCGATCGACTGTGCATTTAGGATAAGCAGCTTTTCTTTCAGAGAGATGAGCTTCCCTTACTTTCAGATCTTTAGTCCTCTGCTTCTTTCTTTGGCGCTTTGGGCGCTTTAGCTTTAGGAGGGCCTCGCTTGCGCTTGGTGGTTTTGGCACTTGCCAATGGCTTGGCTTGCTGCGCCAATTTTTCGTCTTCAGCAAGAATGGCCTACAATAATTACCATTGTCAATGAAAAATCCGGAAATAATATAGAACTTCATTTCACAACGGTGCATACCTCCCATTGTTCTAAGAATGCATTCAAATCTTGTCGCCAAAAGTCTTTGGGACTGGTCGCTTTGACAGTCTCCAATTCATTTAGTTTGGATTCTCGTTGGTGACGCATGTCGGCAACCTAAACAAGGAGCCGTGTAAGAGACTACCGGTCGACGACAGTTTGATTACAAAAAGGAGTACCTTTTGAGTAGTGAATCCGCGAACACTGATAGTGAACAGATAATCATAACCACTATCCTGTCCTTCTGCCGTATCCAACTGATTGCCTTCATCATCTTCCGTCACAAGCACGTTCTTCTTCTTGCGTGGATAAATACGCTTCAAACCAAGCGTTTGCATATCGGCAATAACATCTTCTTCTTTTCGATTGTGATAAACAAGGTCACCATTCAATACCAACTCAATGAAGCGAGATTTGTTGTCCAAGCGATCGTATTCGTCTTGCAAGACATAGATCAGATGGTTCTATGATGTGTTGTATGAGCATCAATTCTCCTGCGCCTAACACTCGATCATTATCTCTTTTTACCTTGCGCAACTGATAATACTCAAGTCGCAAATCGTAAAATTCACGTAATACTTGCTCCGGAGTCTCATACTTCTTGATCTTTCCATCTTTATCAAAGCACACAATGTTGTTTGTGGAAATCGAAGAAGTGATCTTGAGCACCTTCAATAATCCAATGTCTTCCGCCTTGTTCAAGTTGGTGTTATCCATGTCAATGGTGAATTCTACCGCACTGTCGGTGGAGTTATTGGAATAATCCTAGTCATGTTTCAGTGATGAATAGCCATTTTCATTTCATGTGATCCACTTTCAAGGACTTACCAGAATAACGACCTCGGGCTTCTTATCCTTGGGCTCACGCAAGAGTTCCAAATGGTCCTTGAAGTTATCGGTCCATAAACGCACAGGCAATTCGGTCACTTTAACCTTTCCGTCTCCCTCGACGCTGGCGATACCGTTCACTGTGTATTTGCCGCTGCCAGAAGGAATGATGTCACCCTACCCAGACCGCCCGCGTCAGTATACGACGAACCTTGGTTCACATTATCTCATGCTGTTGCTATTGCCATTTTTACCTTGAATCCTCTGAACCACGGCTTCATAGACACAACTTCCTCATCGTTCATCATGCGCATCAGATTATCGACAATATCCTTGGGATTGTAATTGGGAATGGTCGTACTCCAGCCTATACCGATCATTACAACACATAAAATCCAAGTTATTTTTCAGTGCACGGTCCCACGTTTTTTTTTTTCATCTCAAATTTTTACATACCCGTGCCGATACCGTCCGCACCGTTGACCAAAACCATGGGCAAGATAGGCATATACCTAACACGGCTCGGGTTAATGACGCCTTCCAAGTAAGAAAAATGTGGACATCGAGCTTACCACTTGGGTTCAATGGACTTGCTTTCTTCAATGAGATATTCAAGCACTTCATCATCGTCAGGATGGAAGATATATCGCGCAATTTTCGTTAAACGGGTGAACAGATAACGAGGACTGGCCGCAGCTTTGCCACCCTACCATATCACATGAGATTTCCATCAATATTTTGTTGACAGGGATAATCACTTACTTCATGACGTGAGCCGAACTGACCAGCAGGATGCAAGATGTTGATATTGTTACTGCCCACGAAATCCTGGGCCATATTAATCACAGTAGCAGCTACACTAGCTTCACCGTGATGATATTGCGTTATACCAGCGACATAATTTGCCAATTGGGCAACCTAATCATCATCATCAACCGTACTATTCTTCTAGTGATATACCGTAAAAAATTGGCTCGTACCTTAATTTCCGAGTTTTTGCCGCGCTTGATGGAACCAAAAAGAACCTTGCGTTGCCCAGGTTTAAAACCATCAACAACCGAAGGAATCGAACGAATGTTATCCGCCATACTGAATTGCATCAGTTCCATGTTGACAAAGTCAGCAATCTTGATACGACTGACACTGTGATCAAGGTAAGTTCCGGACTATAAATCAAAAATGTAGCAGACGTCAGTAAAGTTCTCTGTTGGTCGAGGCAGGTAGAGTTTGATCAGCTTACATCATATTTTGTCAACCAGTCTTTACGTTCGGTGACCTTCTTCTTACTAAAAGCCATCTCGATCAAAGCACGGTCTTCCTTATCCGGAGGAATGAATTCTTTTTTGTGAATATCCAAGTTGCTAAAGTATTTACGCGCATCGGATTTGTCAGAAGTACCCAGACCCTAACCGCCATGACTTAGGTAAGCAATCCTGTATACTCCGAGCATCATGTTCCACGTCAGTTCCTTACCTTGAAGTACTTTGGTTCCCATTCGTTACGCTTATTATGTTCTTCAGCCCACGTTATATACTCGGGAATAGTAAAGAACGTGATGTCTTGTTTGGTTCTCTTATGTCGACACTAACGTTGTAAAACGCACATGTTAATCGTCTTTTCATCATCCTCATCGAAAAAAAATAATATACTTACTCTGATAATAGGCGTAATAAATTCGAGCAAGAAACCCGGAATATCAAGAAGCGATGGGAACATTTGATCAATGAAATTGATCAAGAGACCTTTAATATGCGATCCGTCGTGATCCTAAACAAGTATTGCGTCAAGTCTTTCCGCTCTCAGCACTTTTATGTGGCATCCTTTTTTCTGCTTTTCTTTCCACTGATCATTCGTCATCCTACCTGATCTGTCATGATCATCAGTTTGCCGTAACGGAGATCATCCACCGAAGTGTAAGTCTTGCCGTGTTTCAAGCCAAGAATAGCTTTGATATTGGTGATTTCTGCATTGCTCATGATTTGAGCATTGGGACAATCGCGCACATTCAAAAGTTTGCCACGAAGAGGGAATACACCGTATTCATCACGACCCACAACCGATAAACCACTCAGCACCAGCGTCTTGGCAGAGTCACCTTCCGTCAAGATCAAGGTACAATTCTTATTCTTGGGTTTCACACCAGCCCAGTTGGCGTCTTCCAATTTGGGAATTCTCAAGCGTCTACAGATGATAATACACAACATTCAATGCATCGAAATCGCAAGGTATATATAACAGTAAAGTTCTTACCTTGTCATTTTGCCACTGTCCGCTTTGGACATTTGTTCTTCTTCCTTGAACTTGACCCACTTGACGATGTTGTCGATGAGACCCGAAGTAGAAACTACAAAGTGTCACTCCAGGTGAGGCGCCCAAGTTAATAAGCGTTTAGAAAATGAATGACTTACTGTCTTTGATGAATTTATCACTCAACGTATAGGTGGAACCAAATGAACTGGGACGAAGGGTCATGTTTTCCTTGGTTTGAGAATCAAACGAAGGATTCTCGATCAGACAGTTCAAGAAGATGCACATGTGATTCTTGATTTGGAAAGGACGAATCGTTTTACTGCCGCTCTTCTTCTGAACAATAGGGGTGATGGCCTTGACAATTTGATCCGCAATATAGTTGACATGCGTACCACCTTTGGCGGTACAAATACTGTTGACGAAACTGATCTATAGACAAACTGTGAGCAACCACTGTGTCCAGTGAATCGCCATCATTCGCATCACACTGTACCTGATTGAACTGACCGTCACTAACGGCGAAGCTGACTTGCCATCTCGAATTGCTGGATTGCGTATCATGAATGATGGGCTTCTTACCCTCGGCATTACGAATATCCATTGATTTAGTGTATAATTCGGTGTATTTCAAGAATCCCTTGACTGGAATCTTTGTGCCATTCAGGTACACGTTGACGCCATTCACACAGCCCGCTAAATCATACACACGTTTCTTGATTAAGGCTTCGAAATCCTCATCCATTTCTGACATGCCGAATTTCGATAAATCGGGCTTGAAGGAAATACGGGTGTACTCTTCGCCTCGAGAGTTGGAAGTCACCTTGGGTTCGCCCTTGATCGACATATTGTTTCGGAAAACCTGGCGATACTTGAGTTGTCGCTCTTTATCAGCCGTCTCGACAGTGAATTCGGTACTGAAGATATTGCACAGCTTCGCACCATAACCGTTACGCCCACCGGTGACTTTCTTTTCGTTGTCGTTGTAGTTGGACGAGGTCAACAAGTGACCAAAAATCAATTCGGGTACGTAAACTTGTTCATCCTTGTGGACATCAATTGGAATACCACGGCCATTATTCTGAATCGAGATTAGATTTTGTGACCGATCGATGATCACCTTGATCTGGTTCATGGACGGATCGCGAATCTGTACAGGAAAGAAAAAAAGATGCCATGTCAGAGTTTGCTTATCGTCCGAATTGAAATGGATGAGCACTTACTTTGTTATCGGCCGCATTGACCAGAATTTCATCCACAATTTTATAAAGACCGGGAACGTATCTGATTTTTTTCTTCTTGATGGCGTCTTCTTCCGAATCAAAGACCCACATTTCCAGCTCTTCGGCTTCGGTGGATCCAATATAAGTATCTGGACGCAAAAGAATGTGCTCCAACTGAGTTTTCTTTTGATAGATCTCTTCAATGGTTCGCTGATCATAATCGCCTTTCGTCGAAGCAGTGGATCTTGGGGTAGGCGCGTCCGTCATGGTTGTATCTGGTTCCGAAACAGCAGGACTGGCGGAGTTCTTCTTTGCGGGCGACTTTCGTTTGGCTGGAGGTTTGGGGCTCTCCGTTATGGTGGCATCGGGGCTAGCGATCGATGCCGTCGCTTTGGTAGCGCGCTTCTTGGGTTGAGCTACTTTTCGCACCTGGAATTGCAATTCATCATTTGGTGGAAATGTCGACGTGATGAGACCAGAATTAAGGTGTCGCGTACGTACCTTCTTGGGGGGTTCATCCGGCATATAGTTATCAGATTCGTCACCAGAATCGTTGGATTCGTACGGCGAGTTGTAATCATCGTCTTGAAAATCGTCGTCGGATACCGTCATGGCCAGTTTGTATGTGATGCACCCGCTAAAAGAAAAGGGGAGACGTGAAAGAAAAAAAAATTCGCCCACCGTGCCGCAGAAGGAAAAGGCCAACGGTGACTGCTTCATCACGCGTTCCTGGATCGGACACGCGATTTACGCTCAACAACGCGTGTCGCTTGACCATTGCATAATTCGTCATGGTCAAGGCCATTCAATCGTAGAAAAGTGAGCATGTCAAGTGATTGATTATAAAAAAAAAAGTGTTATTTAGTATGAATAACAAAAAAAAGTAATGTATATGTATAGACAAGGGGTAAGAAGTGTTACAAAAAAAAATACGGAAGTCAAGCTCTCAAGGAAAGCCGAATGCTTCTTCATAAGACTGAGCGACAACTGATGGGTTTGGTTACAAGTAAGCTATTAGAGTTGGCGGCTGGGCAAAAATTAGATTCAATCGCAACAAGAGCGAATGGCATTCAGCATGGTCTTGATCTTTTCCTCATCGCCACCATAAATATCTGTAAAAAAAAAAAGGCAAAACACAAAAAGCGTAATATGGATGAGTCAAGATTGTTTGCAAGGAGAGGGAAGCATTGGTATACGCACCTTTAATGGTAAAGTGACCATCCACCGCCACACCTTCTCGTCCCATGAATTTGAAGGCAGCCACCAGAATATCGAGGACCATCATACTGTTGGAGCCTCCTTCGACCACCGGTGGTCGTCGAACGTCTTTGTTGAACACGGCTTCAAGCAAAAGTATCAGTGTTTCTCCGTCCTGAAACGCACCACGCAGTTCTTTGATCTGCTTTTTCGAAGGCAGAAAAGCGTTGATCCAGTTGACATAGTCTTCTGAATCATCCAGCTGGTGTTTTGACGAGGCCATCATCGTTGCATATGTTTCTTCCTCATCTGCTACACTACTAGAGATGCGTCCATTCTTGAATTCATCCCACTCGTCGTCGTTGCATGATATGGAGTATTCCATGATATCGGATGCTTCACGGTGATCCTGGTCCATCTCGTGGTCAAGATCCTCTTCTTCATCGCAAGTATTGAAACTGTGACTAATGGATGACCCTTTGCCTTCTTCTTGAAGCATGCTCATTTTGGCGTCGCTCGACTTGAGTTTGGGCGGTTTGTACATGATCATCGACGGCGGTCTGGGTCTCATTCGTCGTGCCACTTCCAGGGACACGGTAGCAATTTGATTGGACGACATGACAGGAGCTAATATGCATAAAGATGTCAGTGGTTCTGAACTGCAGGTACAAAGCATCATGTACGAGCTGGGTCGAAAATTTTAATATATTTACCTTGGTAATCGCGGGCAATGGTCATTTTCATTAGTTCCTTGACCCAGGTCTTCATCTGTTGCTCGGTATCGGTGTAGAAGAAAAAAGTGCGTTCCCGTTCATGCTGGGCCTTGAAACAGTACTTGCCGCTGTGAATATTGTCGTCGACCACGATCCGATATCCACGCAAATTGATGATGCCTTTCATGCGCACATCCTTCGGACTCTTAAAGTAAAACAGGTTGGATCCCTTGAGAACGAACCACCGCTTATTCCACGTCTTATACTTGTCACTCTGCTTATGGAGCCACCCCTCATGTTCCGGTGCTTGGAACGCATCGGCGGTGGATACTCGATGAAGCAATGGATCATCGACACATGATACAGACAGCTTGTGAATATTGGGCGGGAAAACTGGATCTTCTGAGATGATCGTCGACTAAAAAAAAATCATGGTTTAGCAATGAACAAAATGTATAAAAGTGAGACCTTCAATGGTGATGGCACTTACGTAATTGAGCGACCAATCATTGCTTGTGGCGGAAGCGGAGATGTCACTGTGCGATGAACTGTCGTCGAAGCGATCTAACCCATAATGTTTGGAAGGGGTAGGGATGCGTTGTGATGCGTGTTTAGGATCAGGGAATCGTTCAGTGCTCCGCATGGTGCTATTGGACGAGCTCGACTTTTTGGATGACATGGTATTAAATGTATTGGATCGGCTGACGTTGGAGGAACCGAGACTCTGAGGGGAAATAGGACGTATATGATCGGTAGGTAATCGCATCATCGAGGAAGGGTCGTATCCATGATCGCCCTCATCCTTGAGTTGAGGCGGTAAAGGTGCTTTGCGAGGGTATTGGTATAAACCGTCTGAATCGACCGGGGATGGCGGAGTAGACTGTGCATTCAATCGACGGTTGCCCTTCTCTTCCGAATAAAATGAATCGATTGGTAGTGTTGGATGGTAACTATTGGTGCCAGGTGCATTGGGCGATCGATGATGTGTATACTGCAACTGCAACACCAAAAATAATGGGATGTTAGGTCATGAACGCATCTTTCTTCCTGCTCCCTAGAGTATCGTCTGTACCGCTCAGATGTTGATGATACGTCTTTCCCAATGAACCCCCTTTTTTTTCATCTTTCCCTTGCCTTTACCCCTTTTCGCACTATTTCGGTTCGGGAAGTAGTTACGCTTTCCAAGCACAAGCGAAAACCTAAATACTTGCCTCTGATGATAGCGGAGAAGAATGGAGTGAAGTATGTGTGGCCGTATTTTTTAGCGATTGAATAGCGTGCATAATTTTATATCGCTTGCCGTAGGTGCTAATGCCAAGTTCTTTCAACGAATCGATGGTAAGGTCCAGCAATATATCACCGGTAATTTCATGATCTATTCATGCCGAGGATCAAAGCGAAAAACAATCATAGACAAAAGGACAGGTTAGTAAGCTCATATGATACAAAAATTGTAAAATCCCCCTTGTTGGGGTTCGGAAAAGAAAAAAAAAAGGCAAGCCTCCTATTTTAAATCTACAAACTCTGTCTCATGAACAGAAAAAAAAATACCCGTGCTCATAAACGAAAAGAAGCAATCGTACCGATGAAATTCTTTGCCACAGAGCCAAGGCCTACTGTATTGAGCCAGTCAGCGACACGATCAAGATTCCAATGAGCAACAGGTGGCGGGTTCGTGCATTGTGTCATGTCGACCGTTGGTAACAGTTGCACTTCGGAAATGGCACTGTCTATTTGACTTTCCAACATCAGCAATGAGTTGTAACGACCATTGTCATGCGTAGTGGCATCAGTTTGGTTGCAAGGCATAAACGTTGATCCAGTCGATTTCGTTTGTCGAGGGACATGAGGTTTCTCGGGCGAAGTGTAATTCATAGGGAACAAACCCACTTCACCGTGAATATTACGTCCCTATATTTTCAGAATATGTGAGTAATACAGATCCATGGTGAGGCAAAATACAAAGGAGATCTTACCTGCCACCATCCGTCTAGATATTTTTCATCTTTTTCCAATACGAGAATTGGTTCACCAATGTGAAAATTGATTTCGTCGTTGTTTTCGGCTTCAAAATTATGGACAGCATAGACCGTTTCATGGTGGGTCATAACGAATTATGATATTTTTGCTTATACCGGAAAGGAAAGAAGAAAAAGGGTCTGGTTGATACTGGATCGTCGGAACAGAAAGAAAAGGAAAGGAAAGGCGAAGGGAAAGAGAAGTTAAAGAGGAGTTGAAGATGTGATTCAAGGGGCAAGGCAAAGAAAGAATACAGAGGATAAAAAAATGAGCGAAAAAACGAAAGAGAATGAGGAAAAAAAAAAAAAAAGAAGGTCGATGGGATGAAAAGGGAGACCACTAAAAAAGATATAAAATAAGATCGAAAAAAAAAAGAGTTAATGAGGAGGTCCAAGGACCGTGTGGCGGAGTGAAAAGGTTGAAAGTGAACGGTTACACAGCAATCATTTTGCACTTTGTTTCATTTGTTCGTGGATAATGAAGTGTAGCAAATTAGGAATCCAGTATTTTGCCTAGATTGCATATTCGATCAAGAGGTTTTTTAAGGGGGGGACAATCAAATACGTGGAGGAGAGAACTATTGTCAGCTCAGGAACCAATCTGACACACACCAAGCAACTCCTTGACCATTAAAAGGAACAATGATACGACGCTTGAAGGTAAAAGGCACGTGGCTTATCGTCATTTCTACTCTTCTCCTATCTATTGCCGCTGATCGACATGGCAAATTTTCAGTCGTTCTTCTTGACATTGAATAAATCACCATTGTGAGTGAGAAGACGGCATGAAAATCAATGCAAGAGGTTCATGAACAAAGATGGAACACAAGGATCGTGTCTCTTTCAAGATTTTCGATTTATTGCTTGTGCTACGTAACTTAAATTATGCACTGATTCTTCGTTTTTTCTTGATTCATGCATTCGCATGACAACCTGAAATATTTTGTCACGATGCTTGGACGACTTTTTTTTTAACAAAAAAAAAAAAAAAAACTTGTGTATTCAAGATCAACGACGATTTGCTTCTCGCCATCTAAATGTATGGATTATACCCGAGTCATCAACATTTTCCTTGCTCTGAGCCGATAGAGTTACCCGAGGAATTGCCGGATCTAAACTTGATACGACAATGGTTCAACCCTTGCATCCAGAAAAACTTGGGGCAATGCACAAGCGCCGTTAGGCTATGTAAAGACCACGTTTGGCTCATTATCTCAAAAGTCTTCTACTTGCTTTGAATGCGCTTGCTTGCGTCGTCGAACATGCATCATTGTCTCGTATCCATCAAAGGAAATATAAAGTATCTGAATTCATCTCATCCTCCTTTTTTTTCTATAACCTTTAATAAAATGAAATATTTCTCTTCATTACGTAACAGAAATAGACCTGACGTATTACATTATGCAGCTTCCCCATTTTCATTGTTCTTTTGCGGATGGTACGACGATTGCAGCTGAACATGTACAGTTACGATGAACAATGGTGCTCAATGCATTATCACCACAGCTGCCCGTTATTTTTTTTACAACACTTTCGTGCAACCCATCAATTTCCTGAGCTTAAATCGGGCGCTGGTGTTGATGTGATACGGCGACGCTGATGGACCAACCAATGCATGTCGAAAAAAAAGTTTTCAAGGCGCCTCCAGCCACTCGTCAATTGCGAGCGCTCCAGCCAGCATATCCAAGAGCAATCATGGTGTTGTCCCTCATTGTGGGTTAATGGTGGCATAACCTGTTATCAAAAAGGCTCATGGTCTTGCTGTAAAGACGGGTTTGCCATCCGAAGCATAATGCAAGCACATGCGATGGCACCACCGATTGGTTGAATTTGACACCCCGCTACTGGCAACCTTCCCACTCGTCTACAAGGGAAGCCAAAGAAGGTTTTTTCCCTGTGACGACCCTGAGATCCGGTACATATTCCGCTTCCTCCTAAAAGTAGATACTTTGTTGAATTTTGCTATTTACGTACCCAAGAGATCAAATAAATTATTCAGGGACACATTGATGCAACATGTAAAAACTGGAACTGATCAGGCTTTTGCAAGAACGCGCCATGATGCCAGTACCAATACAGTATAGTTTTGACCATTCAAAAGGTGCAGTTGCTATTATTTTATGACAAATGTTCTCCCTAACCTAAATGATAAAAAGGTTTTTATAAGGTTTTATAACAGAAGTCGTAGCAATGGTAGCTTACATTGACCAATGCAAGTAGTCGGATCACTTGCTGGTCGCCGAAAAATGTGAAGTATCGTACACTTTTCTCCTGTATTTTTTCGTGCAGTGAAGACTTGTTGGCATTTGGCGCAAACCGCTGCATGGAATGGTCCTACTTTTTCAGATCTATAGCTCATTTTGAGGAATGATGTACCTGATAGCAGAAAACATGGCATGGGTTGTAGGGGCTTGTTAAATCTTTCATCGAACAAAGAGAAACAGTGAGACCGTATTACGGTAACTTTGAGGTTGATAGAAAATCCCTCACTGATAATAAATTGATGAATCATAAAAAAAATGGATGATTTCACAGCATCCGTTGTCACTCTCAGAGTAACCATCAAGTAAATACTGTAGCGATTCTTAAATAGATGGGGCTGTTGACTCTCATCCTAGATCCAGGATTTGTCTGTGTCTGGCACGGTTAATAATAAGCAAATGGACGCGGGCAGTTACGTGATTGCTCTGCTACTGAAATTGTTTGTTTGCATAGTAAGAGTGTTTTTTCTCTCTGGGTTATATTATATAAAAGTGCGCTACTTTCAGTTTGACGTGCTAACTTGCCTTCTCATGTTAGAACCATTTCCTTGGGGCAATTAAAATGAATTTTCCATGACACTCGAGCAACAGGTTTCCAGGGCGGGGAACAGGCAAAGGCGCGCGAAAAAAATTCAGTTCAGCTGAAAAGAATTGATCGTGGAAACGCTTGAAGCGGCTTTCGAAATCGTGGCGAACGATGTGAGCAAGAAGGAATTGTGTAATGTGAACATGGATAAATTTAAAGCGGTAAAAATGAATAAGGATGAACAGAACAAACGCCACAAACATAACATGCATTTCTGAAGCAGACGACGGGATTTCGTAAAAAGCGAGGGATTGATTTTTGATTGGATAATCACGTTCCCGTATCATCATTTTTCATTGGTCGGCAATACGGTATATTTGGGTTGTAAGACTGTTCGAAGCACTGTATGCGAGTGCAAATCCGTGCTTGCAGCAATACAGCAATGCGGTGGTTTTTAACATGATTTTGGAGTTTTGTTCTGCATATTATTTGTTTGACTTGCAATTGCGCTTTCATCTATCTGATCATAGATGCAACCGTCCCTACTATAAAAAAAAGAAAGCTCAAAGCAAGCGCAAAAACTGAAAGCTTCCATGGAAATAGCGACAACGTTCGTAGATGACCGTATTGAAGTATAGCACCAGGATAAAATTTAATTCAGAGAAAAAACAAGGCACACTATGCCGACAAACATTCTGGTTGCTGAGCAGTCGCGTAATCACCCCCATCCATGGGCTTATCGCTAACCATACCAGATACAGTCCAGTGCCACATATTCGATAAATCCCGGCACTTTTTTGGAGCCATTTGAAAATGGCTACTGCGCATGGTCTAGATGTTCTTTATAATTTTGTAAGTTTTTGTTTACTTTGAAATTTTTTGATCATTCATCATTCTTTTATTTTAGTGTGGGTTCCTCCACCAACACTCTTCAGCGGCTTTGTGATGGGATTTAAATGTTACCTTCAATCCGCTGAACGATTAAAGCCATGCGTATAGATGAGCCAAAGTTTGGATAAGCTAAAGCTTTAGGAAAGGGTACCATTCCAAGCATTGACGTTCTATAAATTTTTCACTACCTCAGGGAACAGGAGAACGGTGTAAACATATTTTATATTTTCTAGCGAGGAATAAGCGGGTCGACTCGCATGAGGTAAAAGGAAACTGTCATCGCCGTGATCTTCCATCCAGTAATAAATACCTTATAAATAACTTCCTTATTAATAAGATTAGGAGAAGCAGCCATAATGAAAAAAAAAAAGCAATTGCATCTTTTGAATCGCCAAAATCTACTGTATTATCATCCATGGAAATTCTAAACTTTTGGGCTTTCTCTTCCTTCTTTACTTTACTCTACTTTTTTGTTTTCCCCCTTCCTTGTGTTTAGGTTTTATTTCTGCTACTCTTTTATTTTATCATTCTTCTTCTTTTGCCTTAGAGTTACGAGATGGTTTTCCATCATGACACTAATAAGTACCATCAGCTCAACGCACCTCAGCGTTACTCTCCCGTAACTGTTGGTACGCCTGCTGCATCCACGACCAACGGATTCGATTATCACAGTCAAGGTACCACTGACTGACACGTTTAATGATGATAAAAAGCTGATGACCCGTATTGCCCATACTTTTTTTCCGTTTTGCTATAAGCTCGGTCGCGCAGTGCTACGAGGAATTTCTCTTGCTTACCGAGTGACGACGAAAGCGATCGCGAGGATGATCTTTCGCAAAGCTCAGATGATGAATATGCACAAACAAATCATGTCGAGTCCAAAAGAGCGTCGATGAAATCTGTTGGCTTTTCATCGAAGCCGGCGCGGAAAACGCAACCATTACCCAGTGATGCAGAAGACAGCGATGATGGTAAAAATAAGGTTCAATTCAGATAAAGTGAAGAACTCTAATTTTTGTATGTGCACTAGAAAGCGATCATCAGCCGTTGTCTCACCAGCAGTATCGATATGCAGGTGATGCGCTTCCCCCGCATAATCTACGGCAGCAACAGCGGCCTACGCTCTTTTCGACACGCTCCGACAGTATACCTTTACAAGAAACAGGGGACGGCAGTGACGATAATCAAGTCATTGGTCATCGATCGCGATGGTCAAGAATGCATACATCACAGCCTTACACCCCACAGGTCCCCTTGATTCAATATCAATATCAACGTTTGCAGCAGCAGCAACAATATCAACAACAACAACAGCAACCGCTATTAAATAAGCGGAGCAGTTTGTCTGGTATGGAGTTATTGATGCAGCGGGAGCAAGATAAACTAGATGCCAAACGGCAAAAACCCAAAGTGGCGGTGAAGATTGAAGGATTATTGGCGAAATTACCGGAACCTGGTGCGCTGAATATCAGCTTCCAACAACTGCAGCATGAAAAAACATTACCAAAAAGCCAAGATGCTCAACGGTGCCTTTCACGGCCATCCTCTACTGCGACATTCTCTCCAGGAGCATCCTCTTCGCCTTACAACAGTTCAAAATCCAATGCGCCGTATGCAAACGATCTAGTTCAGTCGTCCGTCTTCCCGATGGCGAGGTGGTCTACATCCATGGTTCATGACTATACAGCCGCAGGCGGAATTCCACGCCGGTCTTCGACCTCCATGATGATATCGCAATTTCCTTCGTGATTGCCTATATTGCTGATACTATCGCCTTTTCCCGAGTCTCTTCACCTTTCTTTGTTTTCGGCACATTTAAAGTTTTTCCACCTTTTCGTTTTGACCCCCCTTTCAGACATTCTGTGATACAATATTATATCCTTTTGCTAGAGTTTTGCCCAATAAATCACCAATAGCGATAACCTCATTAATGTGATATATTTAATGTAGTCAACTCGCAGCAGAAAATTTTCACCACCTTATCATTGCGAGATTAAGCGTTCGAAATATGATGATATAATTGCCCAAAATCTCGCAAATGTTCGGTTGCTACCGAATAGCTTAAAATAACCATGTTATACACTATGTAGTCAGAGCCAACTGCTTCGGTCAATGCCATCCGCATTATTCGGCTAAGACAGCTCAACCGAAACCCAGCCGAAAGTCAAAATTTTCCAAGCAAAAAAGAGCGACGATGCTCTTAAACTCCGACTGGCGAAGTTCTTTCGGATGTCTGCTGGGCACAGAGTGGTTTTGCGTTTCGAAACGCTTGACCTTTTATACTTTGTCGACTGTCAACGCGGGAAGAGTATGCATCAATCAATGGTGTCTGCGACAAATCAAAGATCTTTCAAGCTCTAGTGGTAATGTCACAATTATCAAGTGGGCAATCATTGGCCGCCCAGTCTTTCGAAAGATGGCGACAACGTGGAGGCTAGGTTACACCATCATTTTTCCCACGAAATTTTTGTTATTCCCGATGATCTGTCACTGCAAACATGATCCGGTTGCAATTTTGCGGAGCTTTTCCTTTGTCTGATCCGCTCACATGTGAGCTGGGCTGAAGCTGCCGGAATTAAGGGGTGGCTACATATAGCAACAAGCGTTTTGCCTTCAAAGCTTATCATGAACTTTCGCATCTCGGTTCCCCAGTTTTCTGTGAAGAAGAACGCCACGTGGGGTTAGTTCAAGATGGATGAAAAGTGTCTTCGGAAGATATTTTTAAATTCCCGACCCGTCAGACTATACTCATGTTTCTGGATGTTTGAGTGGGATGGCAACAGCTCAAAAAAGCATACCATGGTAACTGATAGGTATCAAGGCATCATCTCGGCTTATATATAATGTATCATTTTAAACTTGTGGGTGTATTCTTTACTTTTTGAACGGTCTAAAGTGCAACTGTGTGATTGATCACAGTCCAGCCGGGATTCAATGGGCTGTTGCTGGACGGAAAAGAAACCGCCAAAAAAAAAGACGTCGTAGATGGAAAACTAGAAAAAAAATTTTTTTTTTGACAGTAACCAGGGTTGCTGACGATAATTTTTTTTTTTTTTTTACTTTCTTTTCATTTCCGGACTGATTTCCTGTTGATGTCAGTCATGGACCCGGCGAAGAAAACGGGTGCAGCGTCGTACAGTGCTACAGACAGTGGAGCTTCCTTTGGCAAAGAAGATATTTCCTGCAGCTGTAGGTATCCCGCTTACGTAGATCAACAATAAAAAGCATTCATGCACGAACAATGCACTAAATTCCACTGCTCGGTTTTTTTTTATCTGCATCGATATAAACTTTTAGCTACGGAAGAGCATAACGCAACTAACATCGACGATGCGATCGATCGTGAAAAGCAGGGATCCAATTTAACCGCCTTTTTCAACGTCGTGTGTGTTGTGGCTGGTACCGGTGCACTCGGCCTGCCTTATGCTCTCAACCAAGGTGGCTGGATTGGTTTACTGATTTTGGGCCTCAGTTGGCTCTTTTCTGTCTGTGAGTATCCTTTCTCTTTTGACATCCGTGAGTTGCTGTGACCTTGTGTGTTGACCTATATCATGTTGGATTAGATACGGGTGTTATTTTAATTCGTTGTCTTTATTACGATGGAACCAACCGATTAACGTCGTATCAAGAAGTGGCAGAAGCGTCTTTTGGTGTTATTGGAGGCTGGATTGCCTTTTTCTTCACAGCCGTTACTTTGATCGGTGTGCCTGTTCTCTACCTTTTGTTGGCCGGACAAAATCTGCACGGGGTGTGCAAGGGGACAGCAGGCGAATTGACCTTCCCGATCTGGACCATCATTTGCGCTGCTTTAGTGGCTATTCCGTTTGTCTGCTTCAAGAGCTTGAAAGAAATCGGTGTTCTGAGCACTTTCGGTACGATTTCCACTTTTGTCGTTATTATCATCGTGCTTGCCGTGGCCGTGAAGGAACAACATAATCAAATCGATGTGCACCATGATCCCGTCATTTGGAATATGTTTCCCATTGCTCTCAGTTCCATCGCTTTCAGTTTCGGTTTGTATTCACATGTCCTCTTGAATTCAAGATTGTGCATATCGCTAACGCACGATGTGGATTTTTTTCTCGTTAATAGGCGGCAATCCGGTCTATGCCCATGTGGAAGCTGGTATGCGACGACCTCAGGATTGGAACAAGGTTATTCTTTACGGTTTGACTGCTTGTGTTGCCATGTACTTCTTGGTGGCTGTTCCTGGCTACTATGTTTACGGCCGAGATACCCGATCCCCCATTTACGATAACCTTCCCAATGCCGGTCCAAAGACAGCTTCGATTGTCATTATCACGGTCCACGTCCTGTTAGCCGCTCCTATCCTTTTAACCTCCTTTGCTTTGGATCTCGAAAAAATGCTGCGCATCAATGCCGAGCACCGATCGCGTTGGATGGAATGGATTCTTCGCATTGCTCTGCGTGGCGCATTAATGGTGGTCATCACTGTGATTGCTATTTATGTGCCTTTCTTTGGTGATTTCATGTCGTTGCTTGGTGCTTTCTCCAACTGTGCTCTGATCTTCATCTTCCCTGTCGTTTTCTACTTCAAGTTAACCGGTTGGCGCAAACCTTGGTACGAAATGATTCTTGCCTTTTTCGTTATCCTTCTAGGTGTGGTGGGTTTGATTTTCGGTACTATTTCGGCTATTCAAGCATTGGACAAGGACTTCAAAGGCCTTCATAATTCGTCGTAAATTGTACATATTGTATCTCTCTTCACACACATTCACATGCACACACACCTCTTTTTCTATTCTATCCTATCTATCATTTCTCCCTCATCTTTGGAATTATCCTTTTCATATCCTTCTCTTATTTGATTTTATAAATATTTATATGATTTACTCCAATATTATGATATGTTGGCAAAGATTTTCTACGACCTGTATGACAGATCAAATGGAGCTTTGCCATTCAAACAAAAGTGGGTTTGCCAATAATTATCACAAGAGAGATAGTCGCAGCACTTTTTTTTTTGTGTGATCGAAGTTGTATTTTACATGGGACAGGTGTCCTGAAGACGACATTCATGCTGCGAATAAAAAGTGGCTTAAAAGCCGACGTCGGATTGGATGAAGCTTTTGTGTGCCATTTTTTTCTTTCAGGATACCTGGATTTTTCCTTTTCCTTCTGGTTTACCCATTCTACCACTACCGTCTTTACAAATGCCATCAAGCAGAGAAGGTAATCATTCTTGCCCCATCACAAAATACATTCGCTTACAGATGATCTCCTTTTCTGCGTACAGACCGTCGACGACGAAGGAGAGATTCTGAAGCCACTAAACCTCACATGTCCTCTACTCATGGTGATCGTCGACGCTACGAACATGGACGAAGATATCAGAGCTATGACGGCAGTTCAGCGTAAGTATCTATTTTTTCTAGAACATGAAGCAGCTTTCGTGCTAGGTCTGTGAATAATATTGGGCCACAGACCGATGCAATGGTGGCCATCGCGAAGCATGTTGCAAGGTCAACTACCCGCGAAGCAAAATGGCTGGTTTTTCGTTCTCGTGTCCTACAGAAATAGACCAATGGTACTTACATACATCATCCATTTTAGGAGGCGTTACTCAGTATCACCAGATTATTCTAGCTACAAAGGCAAACATAAACATGGTAAAGCACGCAGCGCACACCGAGACACTTCTGGATACAGCTGCTATTCGTCCCGTTCAAGATCACATGACAATCGCGGTCCCCAAATCGAGGAGGAAGAGGAGGATCGTGCCGATTATCGCAAAGGCGGGTATCATCCGGTCCAAGTGGGAGAGCGCTACAAAGATGGGCGGTATGTGGTCGTGAGGAAACTAGGCTGGGGTCATTTTTCGACTGTCTGGCTTGTGCGCGATCAAAGGTATAAACAATAAATCCATTCTTTGACGTCATACTGGACACACGGAAGCATTGACGTCTCTTAGTACCGGAAAACACTTTGCTATGAAAGTCGTGAAATCAGCCAAGCACTATACCGAGACCGCATTGGATGAAATCAAGTTGCTTGAACGCGTCGCTGAATCAGATCCTAAAGCTGTCGGCGCCGAATACGTCACAGCCATCGTCGACCACTTTTATGTCCATGGTCCCAATGGATCTCACGTCTGCATGACTTTTGAGGTACTAGGCGAGAATCTGCTTTCTCTCATTAAACGGTACAAACACCGAGGCATCCCTGTACATCTTGTGAAACAAATCGCGAAGCAGATGTTGCTTGGCCTGGATTACCTTCATCGTACTTGCGGCATTATTCACACCGACCTGAAACCGGAGAATGTACTGATGTGTGTCGACAATGTCGAAGAACTGTTACGGAAATCTACCAGCATCACCATAGAGACGGACATTACCAAGGATCGTTCGGACGATGAAAGCAGAGTATTGCAAGAAGATGATGATCGTGGTCGAAGTACGGTACGGAAGCAACGAGGCACGCACGTAAAAATGCTGCCATCACAACCTTTGTCGTCCGATCTGCAAAATCGCTCCGATGAAAAACGAGGTCGTCCAGAGAAATCAGCAAGATCACGCTCCAGGTAACAAAAAAAGGGCATATTCTCATTGTCATCAACTCAACAAAGGATACAATACAAATGTATATCCTTTACGATGTTCCATCATGAATACTGACATTAGAGTCTATTTTGCAGATCACCTGCTCGCTCACGATACGGAACTTACCACAGACATGAAGCGATGGAAGATCCAGATGAATATGGACAGGACGATATCAAAATCAAGATTGCTGATTTAGGCAATGCTTGCTGGGTCAACCATCATTTTACCGAGGATATTCAAACACGCCAATATCGATCTCCAGAAGTAATTCTTGGTGCAAAGTGGGACGCTGGAGCAGATATCTGGAGTTTGGCATGCATGGTAGGATCGATAACTGAGGATGGTCAAAAGGTGTTATGTGAGGGTAACAGGTGAAAAAAATGGATAGTTGACAATGGTTATTATAGATTTTTGAACTTTTGACGGGCAACTTCTTGTTTGATCCCCAGAAAGGATCGCGATTCAACCGCGATGATGGTAAAGTATTTTTTTTTTTTTTTTTTTTTTTTTTTTTTTTTTTTGCGTCCATGGACATTGGTGTAGATCGCCAAAATTCCTTTTTTTGGAAATCCCGCTGAACTTTCTGCTATTTTTAATGTAGATCATTTGGCCCAAATCATCGAGTTAGTGGGCCCGATGGACCGAGATTTTGCCCTTTCAGGAAAAATGTCTCACGAATTTTTCAATCGAAAAGGGCATCTCCGCCACATCAATAGACTAAAATACTGGAGCCTACGCGACGTATTGCTTGAAAAATACGGGTTCCATCGACATGAAGCGGATGAAATTGCGAGTTTCCTTGAACCCATGTTGGCGTATGACCATCGAGCTCAGGCCAACGATTTATTAGATCATCCTTGGTTGAACGAAGTAGACCCCATTTTACCCGGTGAAAAGGAAGAACGCGCAACATGGACAAGTGATCGTCCATGGAAGGATTGGGAACGAAAACAGAAGCGAAGAAGATACCAATAAAACCTACTTTTTTTTCCCAATCGAAAAGAGTACCTTGTTATCATGGATAGGCTAAGGAAAAGCAAAGAATAGATTGTGATGTGGGTTTTGCTTAAAACAGACGATTAGAGGCTTGGCAGTTTTAAACTATTTTTGTTTCCTTCTTCTCTCCCCCCTTCTTTTTCTGTCTCCACTGCGACCCCGTTTCCCCCTAATTTGTTCGTAAGAATACGCTGAAAGCTGTGTTTTTTTTGCGTTCATTTCTTTTTTCTTTTTCGCTTAAGCTACTGTTTTTTTCTTATTTATTTGGTGAGACGCTGTTGCTGCTTAAGAACGTATCTTTCAGCTTTCGTCACCGTTTATTTTTCATTTTTTCGTTTCTCTTCCACTTTTTCTTTCGTTTTCCCTTCGTTCACACTTTGGATCCCACTGCACCGTTCGAGTTTCTATTTTGCGATCTTCAGCATATTTTAAAACCATGGTAACACCATTGTTGAAACCCGAAGTGAACAGTCGAGCCCATATGACATGCCAATCGCCAACATCACCACTCATACAAAGTCCCAGTCACCGACGCGCTGGCAGCTCACACCTTTTTCCTGACACGATCTCACTTGAACTCGGTAACGCGCAACGACGAGATAAGCAGCCGTCTTATCTTTTCGTCAAAGACAAGTTACTCCAGTCGACACGATGGCCGTATTATTTTCCAGCCATACGCAATAACTGCAACCGATACACATACCGCACCCAGTCCTTTTCCACGATCCCACGCTATCTCAAAGTGTTTCTACTGATAGTGTGTTTTTTCCTGATTTTAAGTTATGTACCGTTATTTAGCTTTGTCAGGGAAACCGACCTGTCTGAAACCAATACCACGCCATCGCCGCTTTCAGCCGCCGCCCATGCCAAACCCAGACTGTGGCGGTCCGGATCCACCACCGCCACCACCACTCGAAACCAAATCATCCTTTACAGAATCATCGGCAACGATCTCCCACCACGACATAAAGACGGTCAAACACTATCGAACCTACGATTTATCTTGGAGCACGAACAGAATTTTCCCGACACCAAGAAAATCTTTGTACTGAATCGGATTGCTGATGCTGTACGTGAGACGGCGCTTATCGAATTACTGGATCAATTCCATATGGACTATATTAGGATTCCGTTTGTGGAACGCGAGTACCAGCAACTCGATTTCCGGTTGGAGGATTTCCCAGAACCGGACTTCCTACATTCGGATTACTACCGTCGGTTTTCCAAAGTGTCGAAACTACGAGCGTTGGACTACACTTATCACGACAAAAATGTTTATGCGATGAATAACGTAAGTTGCATCTTATTGGAAGCTCGACATAAAAAGCAGTCAGAAAAAATGGTGTGGGAAGGATCTGCGCAGGACCAAACCTTCATTACCCCGAGCTTGGTACCATAACCAAACAAAAACACGTCATGGGCTCATCACGGATTATATTTAGAATGGCGGACGTAACGCGGCGTTGCACCATGCGCGAACGATCCCCAATGCGCGTTGGATTATGCCCTTTGATGGAAACTGTTATCTTAGTGCCAATGGGTTTCAAGAAATCAAAACACAACTGGATCGTTACGGTCATAACACCAAATACTTTATCGTGCCTATGACTCGTTTACTTAATAACTCGATTCTGCTGGATGGCGTCGACGAACGTCCCAAAACACCCGAAGAACCTCAAATCATGTTTCGCTATGACGCTAATGAAGAATATAACTTGAATATGCGATATGGACGCCGTAGCAAGGTAGGCTTTGATCTATTTTTTTTTTTTTTTTTTTTTTTTTTTTTTTTTTGCTGTAAAAGGCATGCTGTTATTGTTGTTGTTGTTGTTGGTGTTTTGAAATGGAAGGCTTACTCCGAATCCAGTTAGAATTACTGTGGAGACTTGGCGCACTAGAGAATCGGCGGTTAAATCGTCCTATAGTTCCTTGGGAATTCGCTGAGCGATCCTACAGTCAAGACAAGGGCAATTTCCGTACGATTGGATGGGTATATCGTCTATTCTCTGGGAATCAGCAACAGGAGGAAAATAAGAAGGAAGCCTCCTCGTATCGTGCTTTCAACCGATTATTGGCAATCCAGGCATCCTTGGATCACCTCGATGAAACGATTGCACGACGTCATTTTCGACAAGATAAATTGTTTCTCTTTGATGAAAAGGCCATGGTTCAGCTTCGTTATCGCTATTGGAGTAAGGACACGGATATAAACGCTATGATGCAACAGTTGGCGAAGGTGGCCAATGATATACTGAAGAAACGCGACGAAACCTATGCAGCTGCCACTGCCGCCGAAGGCGATGAAAATACCAGTATTTTGGCAGCCAATCTTTCGATGGTGGAACTCACACAGCAAGTGACCACGCTCACACTTGCGTACTATTATCTCGGAGATGAACAATACGGAAGGTACGCCGCCGATCTCGTCAGGATTCACATGTTGAAAGACTATACGGTGAAGGAACTCGAGTCGTATAAACCGGCGCAAATGCTCCGCGACACGGTCAGTCACCACCTGGACTTTCTTTTCGATCAAGGCTACTCTTTCCCGAGCCTGCATCATTCCACTTGGACCACGCCGAAGCAACCGAATTTGGCTATTCTTGCCACCTCCGATCTTTCGCGAGGGGATCTGTCCCCGCTACTGGATTGTCTCCGTTTGCTACGACGCGCAGAAATGCTAACTCACAAAGACTATCTGGATTTGCAAGTCATAGCAGCGGAGCTGTTGGAAAATTTGATCACGTCACCTACGGGGATCCACTTGGCTCAACTCGCTGATTATCGCGGCATTTTATACGATCTGCAGGTCACCGCATTGGCGTCCTTCACCGATGATGTGCGTTTATTTTTGCGCGTCGCTAATCGATGTCGAACGCGGATTGGCAAGCAATTTACGGCCGATGGCGCGCAACCGTATCAAGAAAGCTCGACGTATGCTCGTTTCTCGCCTTCCCTTGCCGACTCGTCTTCTTCCGACACCATGAGACGCATCTTACTACATTACGAAACCCTGAACCTTCAATATTGGACCTTGTTGACGCGGGGAATCCAGAATATGGGTATAGCCAAGGATATCTGGCATTATACGGCCAAAAACGGTGCCCGGGTGTCGCATGCGGTGGTAGCCCACCTGAAAAAGCATGCTACTCTTGTCTCTCAGGCGCCTGAGAAGGACGCGGCATTTATAACGTCTCGGTTGCGACCATTAGTTCATTTAGCCAATGCTGCTTTTGCAGCCAGCAATCACAGTTTAGCGCCGGCGGATCAAGCGTGGATGGATCAACATCGTACTTTATTCGGTGACCCCTGGGTTTCCGAACTGGAGGCACAAACAAATAACTTGGCCAGTGACGACGGTTCATTGGAGGTAGCTGTTTCCAATCATCAGTTGAACGAAGACCAAATTCAACCAAGAGAAGGGATACCGCAGTTTTGGATGTTAAGCATCGCATCTTAATATTCCCGTCTTGTTATTACTCAGCTTTCCCATTTTGTATAAACTTGAAACTATAAAAAAGAGATTCCCATATAAACACCATTTTGTATCATTGTAAAATAAAAATAAAAACAAGATCAAGATCAAGCAAAATATATCAATCGTATATACGCTCGTTGTTTGCTGTGCTGTGTGAAAGGTGCTACGGGCGATATGGTTTCACGGGGCTAAATCAATTATCATAAGGACGCTCAAAATGATGCTTTTATGTCTGATATTTATATACAATTCAATGAAATTCTATGCGATCTTTGCTTTCTTTTTCTGTGGTTGTTGTTGCTCTTGCTTTTGTTGCTGTGGCTGCTGCTGTTGCTTTTTGCTGCCATTTTTCGTCGTCTGATCGTGGGCTTCAGGTTTACGCTTCTGTTTTGCTAACGGTGCGGTGGTTTCGAGAGCCCGGATATATGTGTTTTGATAAGGTTGATTGGCAGGAATTCCATCGGCGGCCCAGGGGGTCTTGACAGGCTGAACGGTATCGAGCAGCAACCGCAATTTCTCTTCCTGACCTTCTTTGACATCGAGAAGTATGGCCGACGCAGATCGTAAGCCCAATGAAGCTGCTAAAGAGGGTTCCGCATTTTCAGGTAATGGTACAATTTTAATCCGTGCTAATCCGGCCATCGACAATAAGTGAGTGCAGAGATGGGCTGGTTTCATGTCTCTTTTGCATACAAACACCGTAGGCGTGAGCGATGGATCGTGTTGCTTTTGATTTTCCGATCGTGCTATACAAGTTTCCAAATATCTGGTAACTTCATTTATACCAGAATGCAAGCGCTGAAGTACTTCGGGGGGAGTGGGAGCAGCAGCAGTGGGATCTTTTTTCCTTGCGCTTTTGTGTCGCGAAACCAAAGATCGATATTCCTCAATCGGTTTTAGCACACTACATACCAGAACGAATTTCGTCAAACCATAAATTTCCTCGGCAATATCTCTCTTCGATACAACTTTTTTTGACTGCACTTACACTAACAATTCATCCAAAATGTCTTTTCCCAATGTTGCCGATACGCGAGGCCTACACTTGATCAGTATTCTTAACTTTATCTCTAACAAGTAAAAATAATGCCGTACCATAAAATGGAGAATGGTGCGCCAAGTACATTTTTGAACACTTTACGTTGCTCGGGAGTATTCTTACGACCGATGTTGCTCCCTTGATGAGTTTTCGGTGGCATGACTGTATCGGGTTCTATTGTGTCTTTTTGCTGTCATTTCTTCCGGGTTTTTGCCGCTTATAGGGATTTTTCTGTGACTGCGATCTTTTGATGATCCCAAGGCACAGAGAAAAAGATCCGTCAAAGTTTATCCTCTTTGCTCTATTTTCTTTTCCACTACAAGCATCCTCTTCCTTTCATCCGGTATACAAACGGCTGTCCTGAAGACAATGTTCACAGATATTGGCGAAAATGTGTTGTTCAAGTTTGTTTGATTGTCCGCCAGTTTACATTGAATAAGAACCTCATGGATAGTTCTATGCGGTTCATATGGTGTCATTATCTGGGCGGTTAGTTTGTCATTTTAGTCGCTCATCCGTTGAATATGGTTTAGCGGACTGATCCTAAAAAAGAAGAAACGACCTGAAATAGGTAATTGCTATTCATTATTTTGATCTGACAAGTTCCATGTGCTAGCATTGGGTGTCAATTGTTCTGTTTTCACACTGCATACCTATACCAAAACATGGGTTGTTTTTTTTCGTCACCTTCTTATTTTGGCTTTTTTCTTACGAGCCATTAAATTTTAAGGAAAAAAAAATAGTTGATCATTCGTTTTTTATCACTTACAGACAACGGAATTGCTTTTTGCCCCTCGGTTCTGACCGCAAGTCGGTTTCATGATAAAATGCTCCTTGTTGTGCAAGACCCACGGTGTTTTCACGCTGGTTTTTAAAAAAAATGAAGGATAGGCGCAGGAACATCTCAGTCGGAGCTTTCCGGGAAATCAGTCCATGACGCTAAAGTCCTTTTTTCAAACTGCAGTGCAACCATGGAGTAATTTGGCTGAATAACTGTATTATTGCCAGGCAAAATGTTAAATACTACATTAAATTGTGGAAGACATAAGGAACACCAAAGAGAAGGATGACGGAACAAAAAAGAAAAAAAGCATGAGATAAAGAAGAGGGTATAACAGAACCAATATACAGTACAAAGAAAGGAGCATCCGAAGAGAAAAAAAAAAAGAAATAAAGCCACAACCCAGACGAACATAAAATGAAGCGGTTCATCATCCATTCATCTTACAGAATCTTGCACAGCTTTTTATGAAGCCGTAAAATACCTCCAGACATGGCAGATTTGGTAGCGGCTATAATCACATCATCCACATAACGGTTTAGTTTGGCACTACACTCATAATACTTGGCGCCAATCTCTCTAGCTAGTCTTTCGCCCTGTGATGAAAAAAACTCGTTAAAAGATGGAATGCCTTCACTTTTTTAATGCTCGATTGCCATTGTTTACTTGCCTCTTCTGCCGTAATTAAACGATGTCCCATGGCGTTCAGCTGCGCAATACGGTTCTGATTCTCCCTCAAATCGATTTTCATGCCCACTAAAAGTTTTGGTATATTCTCACAAAAATGGGTGACTTCTGGCAACCACTATTTGTAAAACATTGAGTTAGGAAATAAGTCGAATGGGTAGATAGATCATCCAATAAAAAAACTTACTCTATCCTGAACATTGGAAAATGAGGTAGGCTGATCAATAGCAAAGCAGATGAGCACCACATCGGTTTCTGGATACGACAAAGGGCGCAATCGGTCGTAATCTTCTTGGCCGGCTGTATCCCATAACGCCAATTCCACCACTTTGCCATTGTCCAACTGAACATTGGCTATATAATTTTCAAACACCGTTGGAACGTATCGCTAATAGAATTGGAATCCAATGAGACTTCAGCTTCTCGTATATATCCCTCTTTACCAATTTACTGGTACCAGAAAGAAAAATACGTTTTTGGTGATGCCAGCTCTGGTCGGCTTGTCCCTGTATGTTTGCCATCACCCCCTTACTCACCTCTGGAAAAGCACCCTTTTGATATACAACGAGAAGACTGGTTTTGCCACAACCGCCGTCCCCGACAACGACAAGTTTCTTTCGAGCGACCTGCGTAATAATCATATTATAATGAAAGAGAACCGCCAAAAAAAAAGTAAAAAAAGATTCACATAGAAAAAAATAGTAGCACGACAAAAAGAAAGATACATTATGAAAAAAACGAGACATCAGTCAATTGTCATGGCGATTCAAAAGGGATCAGGAAATAGTTACTCTGGTCATGGAAACAATCGCAAGTGGTAGGGAACGAGAAAAACCGAGAAGGAAAGCCCACGGAGCAAGGAAAAAAAAATATGGAAACAAGAAAATAAATGAGAATAAAAAGGAAACTGTTGAAAAAAAAAGTTCGGCAGCACAAAAAACCAATCGATAGGCGAATGATGACTGAAGATTGTGCTCGTGCACCAAATACCTAATGAAGAAAAAAAATGTCACAGCTTCTTGGCTTAAATCCCAGGCATTACAAAACGACATAAAAATGGAAAGAAAGAGCCCATTTCAGTAACAAGGTCCATCACAAAGATCCATGATTTATATGATACATTATGTATATTTATATAACCACCCATTAAGAAACGGGTCAGACGATGCCTTCACCGTCTTGGTCCTTTCCTTTCTTTTTTGGTTTTGTAATACATCGTCATTGACATAAAAAAAATGCGTTCTCATTATTCTAATCTTCGATAAATCCCATTTCTTGCATCAGCACAAGTACCGCCATCTTGCCATTCTTTTCTGCAAATTCACGTAACGGCGTCTGAAGCTTCGGTACCTTTGTCAGGATTTCTTGAAGTTGCTCTTTTGGTAAATGAACCGCTATTTTGACCGAGTCTGGCAGTGATTTCTAAAATCAACCCCGTCAATCTTTCCACGGGTAATAATGCATGATTTCTTCCCCTTTGTTTATCTGGAATAACTTACCTCGACACATTTTACAAAACCATCCCATAGTTTTGGATACGTCCACACCCGCTTGGATATCAGCTTTTGAAGCAGATTCAAGATGACATTTATGAGATTTTTATATACAGAAACGGTGCGGATCATCTATGCAATACGGAGGGGGAAAAATAAATAAAGTCAGTCACTCAGGCACCGTTGTTTGTTGTCACGATAACATGATTTCATGACGCTTGATCTGTATTGACTTACCGTCACCATGAAAAGCAGAGGAATCCTTGGCCGTTCAATCAATTGTTGAAGCGCAGTCGCGACGAACTTTGGTTCGAATGTTTCGGGCATGGTGAAACATATATTGATAGCTTCCACTGCCTTGGGTAACGGTACGTCTTCATCCATCTCATGCAAAGCCAATAATAATTCGCTGGGTGACATGGGCGCTTTGACATTATTGGTACTCGATGCCGATCGTGAGAATACTTTTTTGACTACGTTTCGTTGACCTTCAGTATTATTCAAAAGATCCACAATTCGCGGTAAATTATGACGAATGTCCTCCTAAAAAAACAGTGACGCGAATTAGTATCATTAGTTCGTTGTCTCCACAACAACAAAAGTGTGCTCTCTCTTTCTCTCTTAACCGCAAATCGTACCTTGCTCAAACCCGATATAATAGGTATAAGGAATTTAGCATCCAGCCTTCGTTCTTGATAAACTGATTTGACCGCCGATACAAGCTCAGGTGTCGGGCGTACTATGCAGCCATCACATGATAATGAGATGTTTGTTCATTGCTCGAATCACCAAAATGGTAGTCGCATTTACCTGTGTCACACAGAATGACCAAAATTCGAATCACAAGCGTTTCAGCACCAGGAGGGAATTCTTTAACAAGGTTAATGATGATGGGGGATTGCATGCCAACAGATTTGATGAGATTAAATATGTGTAGACGAATGAGACGTTGAATGCGATCGGAAGCATGGATGTAAACATCAAACAATCTACAAAAGAACACAACCGGTTAATTTATCGTGCATCTACCTTTTTTTTTGTTCCCGCCGTGGAAGTTTTTTTTTTTTTTTTTTTTTTTTTGGTGGTCAAGAAACTTACTGATGGAGTAACTCGTGTTTTTTGACACACAGGGCAAAATACAGCTCAGCATGACGAACCACGTCCTGTTCCGTCCAGCCTTGGGCCTCCTCCTCGGGTGCTTCCGTCATCGTACTGTCTTCGCCTGTGTCTTGTGGTGCCTCTTGTACTTCTTTTAATTGCGCCGTTTTTAACTCCTGTAAGGACTCGATAGCATATTGTTCCACTTTGCGAGCAATGACAGGGTGATCCGGAACCCATTTTTTCACAGCGACAATGCTCGTTGATCGTGTCTTCACATCCGCACTGATGCACAGATTCAACAACACATCAAGACATGGATCGCGCACAGGAGGTCTTTGCTGAATAATATCACGCAGCGTCGCTACGCACCATACAAAATGGCTCGGTTCCTCTTCCATGTGTTGACGCAAAATATCGATTACTTTCTGATCCAAAGCAGGAGCTGACGCCAGCACGCGGTTCAGCGATTTATCCTTGATATCCAACTTGGCGATGGCCGCTTCCAGTAACCGGTGGAGCCATTTGAAGTAAGAGGCCTTGTAGTGAGGATCTCCTTTCTTATACAATGTGTCACATTGGAATTCTTCGTAGAGCCAGTCTAACGCTAATCCATGTCTATAATAAATCATATTTCAATCCACGTGAGTGCTTTGTTTTCCCTTCAAGCCTATACATTGGGATGCGAGGATTACCTTTGCTGAAAATCAGAAATGATAAAATCAAGAAGCATTTGTTTCAGTTCGTCGGCATCATTTTCTTGATGCTGTTCCTCCGCTGCCGATGTCATATCTGTATCCTCTTCCTGACCAGATGACTCGGTTCCATTGGCGGGCATGACGGTGCCTCGAGTGAGCAGTTTGGCAACGAGCAAAAGCCAAACGGTTTTAGCTGGTGTACGCCATTCAATCGGTCGTCCTCCCACCTGCTCTGTCACCGCCTTTGGGATTTGTTGCTGCAGCATGGTTTCCGATTCAAAAATACGTTGAATTGTCGACTTTAACATCATTCGCTGATCTTCATATGAAAGCGAGCTAGGAGCCGCCAATTCGTAAGGCTGCATTTTTAAAGCTTGGCTTGCACGTTCCTGCACACTGGCAAGAGGAACTCGTTTTGTATCCTTTTCGTCGACGGTCAATAATTTGGTATCTGCCATCAGCGTATCTTCCTGCTTAATAAGTGGATCGGTGGATGTTGGCATCGGCGGCGGGGTCGTAGTTGGCGTCGTGGATTCCATAGGCTCCACTGGTTCCGGTACTTGGGACGCGGATTGGCCTGAAGAAGATACCTAGTGACAATGCCATGGTTATCGTCATGCTGACCTTTCAACCATCCAGATACTAGGCGTAGACTTACCAACGAATCTTTATTTTGTACCAAAGTCTCCATGGACACACTGTGAAATACTGCCAGACAAATATCCACGACCATTGGCAAAGGTAATGTGGTGACATCGAAATTTGCCAGTATATTAGCGTTGGAAGGCGCTGCGGCGGTGGTTTCGGCAACTCGCGATTTTTTTTCCTGTCCACCGTCAACCGTTGCCAAGGCACGTTTACGCTTTGTTTCTTCTTGACTTCCTTCACGCCGTTCGCGTTCTCGCTGTTCACGTTCTTGTAGTCGCGCCTGTCGACTTTGAAACATAGCTGTATTTCCACCCACTGAACCAAATGCTTGGATCAGCTCTGTTCGATAACTCGCCAAAGGCTCGGATCTGTAATACCCGGTGTTTTTAGCTTAGAGCACGTAGTTTGGACCTTCAATTGAGTCGTACCTTATCATTGCTACGAAAGCAAGTTTGATTGCCTTATCCACGTTCCTTGCGATAATAGGAGAACATCTAGGCGCCACTGTTTTCGACCATGCGACAAAGGTTTCCATTATGGGCGGCGTCAATTGTGTTCGCTTTTTCGCCAGCGGTACAAGAGATTGGACTGTTGCTGTTAAAACGGGCTCCGAGCTATGAAAGAATATACTGTAATTAATCTCTAACCCTTATCCTCGCCTGCACTTCTTCACCTACCCGTCATTGGCTTTTAATCGGTCGACCAGCATATTAAACATTTCCTGCCCTTTCTGTTCCAATTCTTTTACATTTAAAAGACGATGATCTGGTCGAATTAAACTTAAAGACACGTCGTTCTAAAACAACCATCACCATGAGAACAAACGGTTGATGACGCTCACGGTTAAAACACTACCTTATCGTGAACGCTTGTTCTTTCGCTGCGTGACTGTATCACAATGAGTACTTGCAGACATTTGGTCGCATTGATCTTGACACCGGTGTTGGGATGATCAAATAATTGCTCGCGTACGATAGTGATCAGGTCCGTCGTGGTCTGCCACATGCGTGTTTCGGCTTCATTTTGACATCTATTTTTTTTTTTTTTCCATTCGTTCGTTACTGACATGCGTCCTATCGAGGTATCGGTGCGTACCCGCTGACTTACACAGTTTTGAATATGTGTGGAAGCACTGTGGCGAAAGCTCGAATGGCGTCTTTGAGTGTTCTCAAATGCACGTCTTCGTCCGCTTTGGCCAGTCCAGTGTTGATCACTTCCGTCAAGGCATCCAGGAATGCATTGGTCGCATAAACCTGGGCACTGGTAGGATGCGCTAGCACTTCTTGATCAAATTCTTGTAGTTGCGCTAGCTGTTGATCGTAATCCATTGATTATGTAAGGAAAAAGGTAACGTTTGGCCGAAATAACTGATGTCAGTCAAGACTCGTAAGCGCGAAAAGTGGTAAGAAGGAAAAGAGCGTATTATTTCCGGTAGATATCGACTATCTCTACGAACACGTGAGCTCTGACTTGGAGAAGTTTCAAATCAATACAATGGGCAGTATCGACTGGCGATCTCGTGCTGTAGTGATGAGTTGGATTTGTGTATGCTTTTCCTTTCGAGAAGAACCAGTAACTCTTGGGACCGCACACCATCACAAAGGCAAAATTTTGGCCAGTTTCGATAAAATTCAAACCGCGCATGTTCTTCTCATATTGGCCACCAAATGGAGTCACAATCGCACGGCACCATGATTCAGGTTTGTACTTGCAAAATATTATAATTTATTATAAAGGCGTAAAGTTGTTGCCAATAATAGTGAGAGAGAGTCAGCAAAGCTTGTTATTTGCAATTGTGTTATATACTACCAACGGCGGCTGGCGTGATGTGTTGCTATCCTGGCTTGCGTGCCTTGAGCAACTTGTCTTTCGATGAAGTATACCCGGTTTGATCCATATCATCTGTAGATAACCTAGCAAGGGAACTAACTATATATACAAAATGTCAAGCCATAAAGCCCGTCTACTATCAGTTGAAAAAACATTGAAATCATGAGAAAATTGGTCTCTTTATCTGTGATCTTTAATAATGCAAGTAAACGTCAGTAGGATGCAGCCAAAAGCAGTACTGTATCCAACGCTTATGTAGACTCTTCTTTCTTTGTTGTTTATTATATATTCTGGCGAAAGTACTCCGCCTTGCAACAGATGGTATAGGGAACAAGAGATCGCTTTTATGATTACTTTTGGGGCAGGTTCATTAAAAATAGTATTGCCTCAGTTTGCCGGACCCAACACTTGCTGTGAAAACTGATCGTTATACGAATCTTTTGATTTTTAGCTAGCTTAATAAAACAACCTCATATGGTCCTTGACTAAAATAGTTGCAATGCTGCCAAATCTTGCGCAAAATGGCATAATTGGATCAATTCGCTTCATCACGTGCTTATTTTGCAATTTGGGCGCAGAGTTTCGCCATGAATTATGCGGCTCGTTGTTCAATGGTTTTTTTTTCTGGCTTTTTTCCCTTTTTCAAATTTCATCCGTCCTTTTTTCTCCTTTAGTTCATAATGCGGTCCATTATGCTGCTTCCATTAACGCTTGTCAGTGTCGTATTGGCATCGCCTGTGCAGAACGTGGTGGACAACCGTCCTGCACCTGTACCAATCGAACTTTTCGTCATGAGTAAATGCCCAGATAAACAAGCCTGCGAAGCGGTTTTCAAGGATGTTTGTGAGTCAAAAAACACAAACTGTTTTGTCAAAAACGATGACTCATAACTGCTTTGTCATCCATCTCTTGTAGTGGAGCAAGTAAAGGTGCCGGTATCGCTCGACGTCAATTACATAGCTTCACACAATCCAAGAGCGCCATATGAACATACATGGTATAACAAAAAAACGAGATGCAGCTATTTCGTTGCTTGCTTTGTTTCTCAAACTTACCATAGCATGCACGGTTCCTCAGAGTGCCTAGGAAACATCCAGGAACTGTGTTTCAAGCACGTCTACCCATCACATCAAGACTGGTTCGCTTTTGATCTTTGTCTCAACGAGCGTTTACAGAGTATCGGGCGGGACGACCTGTTGGCCCCTCGATGCGGTAAGGCTCATCTTTCCCACATTACATCACACAGGGTTTATTTCTCAACAGCTTCCTAATTTGTATAATTTTTCGTCGGCCGTTTCAGCCCAGCGCCTTCACAAAAATTTTGCACCCGTTGCATCGTGCATTGACGGCCAACAAGGTATCGACTTGCTCCATAGCTCAGTCGACCGTACACAATCCTTGGGCGTCACGTAAGCAATAATATGGGAGTCAAACTGTCGTTTAACTATTAACTATCCTTTATTCGTATTACCCCTGCATTTTACCTTTTCAACGATGGTTTAACTGACAACAGTAAAAGCTGCACGGTGTTTATCAACAATAAACTGCGATGTATTCACGATGGCAGTTGGAAAGTAAGTAAACATGTATCATTCGACTGAAAAAGAGAAATGACCAAGGGAGACAACGAAACACTTATTATTCTTCTTCACGCGAAGGAATGTGACGGTGGATCAAGAGTGGAAGATTTTGTACGAACGATCGAAGATAGTTATCGACAGTGATTGAGACATTACCAGCCAATCATTTCAGGGAAATACCGATTTTTTCTGCTCTTAAAATTCAGTTATTTTCATAGTACTCCCCTATATCTTTTGGCTGTAAGTCGTAGTTTGAAATTGACTTTGGCGAATCGCAGCAACCGATTTTCCCTCTTGAACCAAGGAAATTTCAGAACAGAAACAATAAAAAAAAAAAAAAGAAACCCTTTGGAATCATGAAATTTGGTGTGATTTCCCCAATCAGGCGATAAATTTTTTTGGCAGTGACCTCTATGGTTTCCCGGGACTTTTCTAAACACCACTTCAACTCGCAATGCAGTGTAACTTTGTGGGAAAAAAACCAAATCAAGATAGCTCGTCCTTTTGCACTGGGAAAAATACTATCATCTGGGAAACTCCTGGAAGGATAGAGGGAATGATTAGGGTGAAATGGAAAAAGGATGCAGGTACGTTGTGTAACCAATCGGAACGCAAATTTGCCCGCGGAAATTGTTTCAATGTCTGATGATTGGATTGTTTGGCAAGTGGCTGTATCACGATATGTTTTCAAAAAGAAAATCGTCCCGCTTTAAATATAACAGGAGACGCTTGGAGAAATTGGTTTTTTACATTTTTTTCTCTTTCACTTTTTCCTTTTTTTTCTTTCCTCATCACTATGACCGGTATGGAAGCCCCCTATCAAGCTAGCTACGCCTACCTCAGCGAGCGCATTCCCGAAGAATTCAAGAATCTCGAATTGGGTATCATTTGCGGCTCCGGTCTCGGTGGTCTTGTCGATACCATTGATGCTTCGACCAAGGTCGAAATCCCCTATGGTGAAATTCCCGGTTTCGTTGTGAGCACAGGTAAGGGTCGTCACTGGGGGCTTGAAACAGAGAGATCTGGCTGTGAATGTATGGAAACGATGAAGGTTAACGAAATATTTTGCACTCATAGTTGCTGGTCATGCCGGTAAGCTCGTGTTCGGCCATTTGGGTGAATCCCGTATCCCTACCGTGTTCATGGTCGGTCGTTTCCATTTCTATGAAGGCCACACCATGCAACAGTGCACTCTCCCTGTCCGTGTTATGAAGCTTTTGGGTGTCAAGTACTTGATCGTGACCAATGCTTGCGGCTCCTTGAATCCCGACAACAAGGTTGGTGATTTGATGATCATCAACGACCATCTTTCCATTCCTGGTGTTGCTGGCAATCACCCTCTCCGTGGTCACAACGATGAGACCTTTGGTCCCCGTTTCCCCGCTGTCTCGGACGCTTACACTTACTCCTTGCGCAAGATTGCTTTCCGCGCCGCTTTCGATGTCGGCATCTCTCCCGATGACATCCGTGAAGGTGTTTACGCCATGGTTTCTGGTCCCAGTTTCGAAACTCGTGTCGAGGCCCGTTACTTGGCCTCCATTGGTGCTGATGCTGTTGGCATGTCGACCATTCCCGAAGTCGTGGTTGCCCGTCACGCCGGTATCAAGTGTCTGGGTATCAGTTTGATCACCAACTTGGTCGTGTCTGCCCGTGGCAAGGACGCCAAGCTCGAAGTGCTCCGTGAACGTGGTTTGACCGATAAGGAGGATACTGAAATCGATACCGAAGCAACCATTGCTAACCATGAAGAAGTCTTGGAAACCAGCGCTCGTAGAGCTGGCGATATGCAGCGCATGGTCAAGAGAATTGCTGATTTATTGGCTACTGAAAAGGACCTTTAAATAAGTCACCTTGAATAGGGTGAGGTTTAAAGGTGGACGGCGGGTGGGAATTGTATTATAGTCTCTTTTTTGTTTTTTTACATAAGAAGTTTGTCTTATTTTGTTTATAAAACGTGATTCATCTGTTATAATCATCACTTTTTCATTTCACCGTGTTTGGATGCATATGATCTTTTCTTATCCGCGGCTGAAGTTGACTTGCAAGCCATGCCGTCAGGCTCCTTATATCGCGCAAGATTTCACACGCAATCATCGATTGCCTAAAAAGGAACAATATTGAGTCGGATTTTCCCGACAATCACTCATCTCGATTCTTTTTTATCCAAAAAAAGGGGTGCTAACCTCCATTTACATTGTTTCCCCCATCCATTGCATAGAGTTTGAAAATGATAACTCACGAGAAATTAGATACACTACCTTGTCTACATAAAGTAGTTAAACAATAATTGTTTTGTATCCGTGGCCCGCCAATCGATGCTGATCCCGGTGTTCTGAAAGAAAGGAGAGCTTATCTTTTGTCGTTGTTTCCGATGGTAGAAATATGAATTAAATTTGATTGGATAATTAGTGTAAAGTCCGTTCCAATGAGATTTGATAGAATGAACGAGAACAATTATGTATAAAGAAAAATGGTCAAAGTGGCTTTTTTAGTAAAATGTAAGAGCAGAATCACAAGTGGTTTGAATGATGAAAGCTGATGGGTGCGATCGGAGTCAAGTGGCTGACCACTAAAGAATTTTGACTCAACCCCGGCCAAATTTTGCGGTGTGCCCAGGATTTTTTATTAAATAGGTTTCTGTTCCCCCGAAGCTTATTCTACGCTTCTTCCTTCCCTTACTTCCCCTTTCCACTTTTTCCATTATGTACAACTTGGCCAAGGTGTCTCGTTCCCGATTTGCTCCTATGCTCACCCGCAATGTATGTATCCTACCTGAAAAAAAACAAAGCAGTAACTGTTGTGTACCTGTCATCAATCAATCTAACATGTTACTTTCTCCTCTTTTAGGTGGGTGCCAGCGCCACCATGGCTCGCTCTTACAGCTCGGCCATCAATGGTCCCGTTATTGGTATTGATTTGGGTACCACCAACTCCTGTGTGTCCGTCATGGAAGGCAAGAACCCTCGCGTCATCGAAAATGCCGAAGGTGCCCGCACTACCCCTTCCGTTGTCGCCTTTGGCAAAGACGGGGAACTTTTGGTCGGTCAAGCTGCCAAGCGTCAGGTAAAGTATTGTGATCTCTGGATGGATTCTTTCAGATCTTTACTTTGTAGGTGGAGGGGATGTGAGGTTGTAGAGAGGGGATGGCGCAGCCATTTCCCTTGGTCCCAGATGGATAGGGATGGACAAATGAATGATCTCGGAATGAGAGTTATGTGAGCTTGGTGGACTAATGTGATGGATTTTCGGTTAGGCTGTCGTGAACTCTCAAAATACCATCTACGCCACCAAGCGTTTGATCGGTCGTCAGTTCAAGGATTCGGCTGTTCAGGCTGATTTGAAGGCTGTCTCTTACAAGATTGTTCCCCACACCAACGGTGATGCCTGGGTTGAAGCTCAAGGCAAGAAGTACTCTCCTTCTCAAATGGGTGCTTTCGTCTTGGGTAAGATGAAGGAGACTGCCGAAGGTTTCCTTGGCAAGAAGGTCAAGCACGCTGTCGTCACTGTGCCTGCTTACTTCAACGATGCTCAGCGTCAAGCCACCAAGGATGCTGGTAAGATCGCCGGTCTTGAAGTCTTGCGTGTGATCAACGAACCTACCGCTGCCGCTCTCGCCTACGGTCTTGACAAGGCCGGTGACAAGACCATTGCTGTCTACGATTTGGGTGGTGGTACCTTTGATATCTCCGTTCTCGAAATCCAAAACGGTGTGTTTGAAGTCAAGTCCACCAATGGTGACACCGCTCTCGGTGGTGAAGATTTCGACTCCCACTTGGTTCGCTTCGTCATTGAAGATTTCAAGAAGGAATCCGGTCTCGATCTTTCTACTGATCGTATGGCTATTCAGCGTATCCGTGAAGCTTGTGAAAAGGCCAAGATTGAATTGTCTTCCACTGTCCAGACCGATATCAACTTGCCTTACATCACCGCCGATGCTTCCGGTCCCAAGCATATCAACACCAAATTGACCCGTGCCAAGTTCGAAACCATTGTTGGTGACCTCGTTCAGCGCACCGTTCCCCCCTGTGAGAAGGCTATCAAGGATGCCGGTATCTCTAGCAAGGATATTGGTGATGTCATTCTTGTCGGTGGTATGTCTCGTATGCCGAAGGTCGTTGAGACTGTGAAGAGTGTGTTTGGTAAGGAACCCAGCAAGTCGGTCAACCCTGATGAAGCTGTGGCTATGGGTGCTGCTATCCAGGGTGGTGTTTTGGCTGGTTCCGTCACCGACATCTTGTTGCTCGATGTCACTCCTCTTTCTCTCGGTATCGAAACCCTCGGTGGTGTGTTCACTCGTTTGATCAACCGTAACACTACCATCCCCACCAAGAAGGCTCAAGTTTTCTCCACTGCCGCCGACGGTCAAACCCAGGTCCAAGTCCGTGTGTTCCAGGGTGAACGTGAATTATGCCGTGACAACAAGTTGTTGGGTGACTTCAACTTGACCGGTATTCCTCCCGCTCCCAAGGGTGTTCCTCAAATTCAGGTCGAATTCGACATTGATGCTGATGGTATCGTCAACGTCAGCGCCAAGGACAAGGCTACCAACCGTGATCAATCCATGACCATTGCTGCCTCTTCCGGTTTGAGCAATGATGAAATCGAAAACATGATCCAGCAAGCTGAAGCCAACGCTGAAGCCGATCGTGCTCGTCGTGATACCATTGAAATGGCCAACCGCGCCGATTCCGTTATGAGCGAAACCGAGAAGGCTATGGATGACTTCAAGGAGCAATTGGATAAGGCCGAAGCTGACAAGCTCAAGGAAAAGATTGCTGCTCTCCGTGGCGAAGCCATGAAGGCTCAATCCGGTGACGCTGCCGTCAACCCTGAAGAATTGAAGGCCAAGATTGACGATCTCCAACAGAGCAGCTTGAAGCTCTTCGAGATGGTATACAAGAACCGCGCTTCCCAAAACGACGGCGGTGCCGCCCAAGAAAACTCTGGCTCCAACCCCCAGTAAAAAAAGTCTAACATCTGATCACAACACCTCCAATTTATTCAAGGAATGCAAAAAAGAACAGAAGAAAAATTAAATATCCTTATTGTAGATTAGAACCTATAGATGTCGTAAATACGATTTCATCGCGATGCAATGTTAATATCCTCTATTCATTTTTTTTTATCAAACACCACCCCCATTTACATGTTATCAATACTATTTGATTGATTCATTCTATCAACACTGCTGATATTTCATGATGCTTGATCTATTTTTTTTATCACAAAATTTGTGAGACTCTGAGACTCGCAATTATCAACTGCTCACTCAACACCGGTATATTCCATGCACTAGTACCTTGCCCCTATATATCCTTGTTCTCCACACTTATGATGTAATTGTGTTTAGCTGCACGCGCTATAAGATGAAGCGGTTTACCATGCCCATATAAAATAACAGAATCATCCCTGTCACTGCGAACTCACTGCTTCGTCAATGAATAAGAATGCATTCACTGGAAGGCAGACATTCACTCTTGGCGGATAAAAGATAATTAAATAAAAAGGTGTTTTTTAATCGAGAGATTGCTGAGCATCGGTTAAACATTATGATATCAATTTGGGGCGTGCTATGGAATCGTCAACATGCCGTGTGCAGAATCTTTCCGATCGAGAGAATTTAGGTGCGTCTAAACGATTTAGTGGTGCTTCTTGTCCTTGAGGAAAAAGTATTCGAAACCACAGTATGCGGTGAAAGCGACGGTGGCAATGCCGAGACCAGGGAACAAGGTTCTGAAATTGGAGCTCTTGGAGAAAATGGGGTGCTTTCTCCAGGCTTCACGTCTAGCCCAGGGATCGTGATATACAGGAGTCTTTACTTGTGCTTCGGTGTGGCTTCGGAGAGACATGATTAACCGGTCGTTTCTATTGCCAAAGAGAAAAGCAGACTTATTGAAACAGGCAGCCAGATTATTGACAAACAAGAAGCCCTGCCTGCCTCGCGCGCGAAAAAACATCCCAAGTGACGTCACAAAAAAGTCACATCGTGCCAAACTGAGTTCTGATTGCCGTTTTCGCTGATCATTTTTGGAATTTTCGTATGTTTTGTTGGACAGAAGCATCGCATAGATTACTTCCTTATTATGATCTGGTTTTTCTCGTTTCCTAATGAGACTTTAAATTCCTTAAGCCAAGCTTTGAATTATTTCAATTTCTAACTATAACTTGTAAAAAACTTCTGAGTATTAGTCTTGTTTATGATACATGGATATCGAAAAACGAAGCGTAATAGGATGTCCGGGGCGAAGCTGGCGGCGCCATTTTGCGCTCTCGCAAGTCTATTTATTTCTTGATATCCATGGTTCTGCATGAGGTCTTGAACATGCTTTTTGTGGAAGGTAAAGAGCTCACGCATATCATATCAACACAACTAGAGCAGTGGGAGCCATCGCTTGATGCACGCGACGCGATTTGATAAGTGAGTCAAAGGAGCTTCTCCGCTGAATCTAGACAAAGACAATTTGTTGCAAGCGTGCAGCTACTTCCGTGTCCAAATGCGTCATGAAGAGCGTCTAAAAAAATAGGAAAAAAGCATCCTCCTGTGCATTGGTCGAGCCGAATCCGATATGTATTTTCGTGCTTACGGGAGATCACAATGAAAAAGTCATTCGGATCAACGTTTATGAGTGACATTAGGTTCTACGTAGGTGAATTCTCACTTTCATTCGAGATTTGCTATGTGTGTTTTGGGTTGGCAGCCCTCTTGGTGAACTAATTGTATTGGCGAGTTTCAATCTTGAAAAAATTTTGGATAAATCGATAAATCCGCGATCGAAAATTCCGACATGTTGCCGCAGCAACAGTGTGTGAAAAATTCCGCGTTGTGATACATGAGCTGCAGACGAAGACGCCCGACGTTTTGGTTTCGCCAAGGTATATAAGCACAGCGAAGGCAAGAAACTAGCATTTTTTGTCAAATTTTAGTCTGCTCATACGAATAAAATGAGTCAATACGACAATCCCGATTTCTTCGCTTCATACAAACTAATGAAGCGTTCGCAAGATGGTCTTGCTGGCGCTGGCGAATGGCATGAGCTGAAAAACATGATTCCTGATCTCAATGGCAAGCGATTGTTGGATCTTGGTTGTGGCTACGGCTGGCATTGCATCTATGCGGCGCAGCAAGGAGCTAGTAAAGTGGTCGGCATTGATCTCTCTCAAAAAATGATTCAGCAAGCTCAAGAAACCAATAATGCCCCCGTCATCGATTACGAATGTTGCGGTATCGAACAGTATAGTTATCCAAAAGACACTTTCGACGTCGTCATCAGCTCGCTAGCTTTCCACTATATTGCGTCCTTCAGTGACATTTGTGCCAACGTGAAACAAACACTTGTCAACGGTGGAGATTTCGTGTTCTCTGTGGAACATCCTGTTTTTACGGCGCACGGATCCGGTGACTGGATTTATGATGAAAATGGCAAGCCCAAGTACTGGCCTGTCGATCGCTACTCCATGGAAGGAGAACGCCATCCCAACTTTTTGGGTCACGACATCAAAAAATATCACAAGACACTGGCCACCTATGTCAACACTTTGATTAATCATGGCTTTACCCTCACCAAGTTCGTCGAACCTCTACCGGAAGGTCTGAAAGAAATCTGTACACTGAACAACGGATCTGAACCTTTACCTGATCTTCCAGAAGCAATGTATGACGAAGGTCGCCGTCCAATGATGTTATTGATTTCAGCCAAGCTGACAAAATAAAGAAGAAGAAGAAAGCACCGCCTACTTGCATCCTGGTGCAAGAATACGCCACATCCGTCCCATCTTTAAATAACTCATTCTAAAAACATTGCGTGAGATGTTTTCACTGCATTAAACATATTATTCAGTTGGCTGGTTCCATTTACGGGAAAAAAAAAGATCGAACATGAAAATAACGTGAATCGCATAGGTGGTATTACTGCATCTTCCGGAACAAATTGCAAGTAGAGCAGCCCATGTTATTGAAAAAATTGTGTTTAGAACAGCAGACATGTAATGTTATATTCGAAGCAATCGTCGTTCTCAGATAGTTTATTAATATCCCACTTTCCATGGGATGGCGAACATTGTGAGATAACGAGAATGTTCACGAGGAGAAACTAAGAGTTGAAACAGTCAACAAACAATTGGCAATTACTTTTCTTCCCAACATAGATTGCTTCACGATTGACCGCGGTTAAGCTGCTTGTCTCAGGACCTCAACTACAGTATTTCATAACAAAAATACAAGGCTTTGACATGGAAAATACTGGAAACCTTTCTCAACGTGCGCTAACGAACCTCGCCGTCACCTGTCCCATGCGCACGGCGTTTCTCGGAGCGCTGTCATCGCTGTACCATGCAACAGACAACCCGGCAGGAGCCATCAATTTGGGAATGGCTCAGAATGATCTAATATGCAACGAGATGTTGGAAAAAGTATAACCACACCCCCATGCTGCATTTGAGCCGTGACAAGAAACTCAATAATGAAAAATCTCATTTTAGATATCCTCTTCCACGCCGCTGCGGGAAGTGGTTAGTGTTATTAAGGATTTCGTATTACGCATTTTCTACGGCTAAAATAGGCGATGTAGGATCTAAGTTATGGCGACCCACACGGTTCCAAGCGCCTTCGAGGTCGACTGGCCGGCTTTTTCAACACATATTTCAACCCTCATACACCTGTTTTGGACAACCATATCCTTGTGACGCCTGGTGCGGGAGCGGCCGTGTACCAATTAGCAACTGTCATTGCTGATGTCGACGAGTACATTATGGTTCCCAGTCCCTACTATGGCACCTTTGATTTAGATATTCGCCTCAACACAGGCATCCGCATTTTTACTGTGGGCATTTTTCACACTGAAACGCTATCCGTGGACTTTGTGCTGTTGCACAGAGCAATGGAGAAAGCGACCAGCCAAGGATTGCGAGTCAAGGCCATTCTGATCAACAATCCGCATAATCCTTTGGGACAGTAAGTGAAATATGCCGATGGGTTGCAACACGAATCTCATCACCTGGCGTGCAATCGATTTCAAAAGGTGCTTCAGTCGTGAGGACATCAAGTTATTCATTTATTTCGCGTCGCGTTACAACATTCACATCATCTTCGATGAAGTTTATGCATTATCCACGTTTAGTCCTTTTCTTCGCGAGGAGACAAATCAAGGGGACCATACTAGCGTTCGCGATAAATTGGCGGAAAGTCCCTTTTGTTCCGCTTTGGCGGTGGACAATGTGCCGCAACTTATCGATCCCAAGCTGGTTCATGTTGTTTACAGTTTATCGAAAGATTTCGGTTTGAATGGTCTTCGCGTAGGATTCATCATTGATCAATACAACGACTATCTGAAGCAAGCGTTAATATTAACTTCGTAAGTTTCTCGACATTGATCGTCCCTGATACCTAACGCTGGATTTTTGTCGGTAGGTCTTTCAGTTACATATCAACGGTGACCGATCGACTAGTTTACAACTTATTTTCTGATACAGTATGGATCGACAAGTAAGCCATCAATATGACAAAGTATCAGTTCTTGAGACGTAGTAGTAAATTTATTCGGAATGTCACAGACTCATTCATACAAATCTGCAACGGTTGGCGGCATCCTACATCCGTACCACCTCTTTCCTTTCATCGCATAACATCAAGTTCTTTCCTGCCCAGTCAGGTCATTTTCTATTTCTCGATTTGCGAGATGATTTACGCAAAAGATGCGGTGACATACCAACGTTCAGCGACGAAGCAGATTTACTGAATGACCTACTTCACAATGGTGTTTACATAGCACCCGGCGAAGGGTTCCACACCGTTGAACCAGGCTTTTTTCGTATGACCTTTTCTGTTGAATGGAATACGCTCAAACGCGGGTTACAGATACTGTATCATACGCTAAGAAGTGAACCGGCCACCCACGCCAACAAAGTCTGATTGCGTCCAGATAAGTTTTATGCCAGTAATAGAGCTGTGTTTGGATATAGTGCTTGTATTTAAATATACTTTGGATATCGATTCGAATAGCAGATCAACTATTTCGAAGGAAGGGTAACAAAAATGGATAAGAAGTATACTATGACGTGTTTAGGAGGACATGGAAAAGTACTTTTGAGTAGCTGATAAGGCATGATAGCGAACTTCAGGGTCTTGATGGGTCATCAATTCCATGATTCTCTGCTTAGCTCCTACTTCCTGAAGACGTCTGTGACCAAACATTGTCAGCATGCGCTCCACTTTTTATAGCACGAATACAAACTTACTTTCGGCCATCAGACGATGTATACTTGACGTATTGCCCGAGATCATGGCAGGCAATAGCAAGTACCGTTGGGTTATTCGAAGAACTCATCAAGCGCGTCAACAGTCTACGGCAACCGATTTTGTTTATCCATTATTCGGTTCATCCCTTGCTGCAAAGTAGGCTTTACCTTAACAAGTGATAGTCTTGATCATTCAATCGCCCGGCGTTTTGGCGCCAAAAGTTATCGGATTGATGAGGTGGTGTCCATTCCAATTTACCCGTTTCAACTTCGGCCGCATATGCCTCAAAGGTTCTACGCAGAGCGTGTCAACACAGTCAAACTTTTTTGTGCACCATGCCGTTGTATCTCACGACATACGTCAAGCTCTGAAAGTTCTCTTGCAATTGTGTCTTTACAAACTCGATATCCTCCACAATTTCCTGATCGGACCACTTTCTCGTACTTAGATGCTCAGCGAATGGCAGCACTTTGACGACCAGCATCGCCGATAAATTGGCTCGAGGGGCACGCTCAATGAGGTTCTAAAATTGGAAAGCAAGATTATTCTTACATGTAAAAGGTTTCTTGCAATGTCTTGGTCCTTTTTGTGTCTTTCTTTCTTTCTTTTACCTTGAAAATAGCCACAACAACACGGATCACTTTTTCTTTGACGGCGTGTTTCGCAATATCGACCAGGCTAGGCAGCACATCGTGCTTGCTATCAAACCCTTTTTTAAATTCCACCATCATCCTTGTCGCGCAGAATAAAAATAATTACCGGTTGAGTTGAGCCGCAATTTCATCATCAAACGTCAACAGCCAGATTGCAAACGTGATTTCGTAAACCTTTTGAGGGTTATTATTCCCTCGCTTCAAAATAGCCACCAATCTAATCAGTGGGATCGTCAATATGTGCCATCGCGCTCATCATTGATCAGTGCGTCTTACGAGTCTACTGCATGTGGAGTTTGCCAAAATGCTTTGCGGTAAGCTGGTATGTGGAATAGGGCATCAAGGATCTGGATATTAAGCTCGGTGACAGGGGCATTTCTACTCTGCAACTGAAACGTCATCCAGCGGAAAAAGTCACCAATATCGATATCCCGGTGGGAGGTCGAGCTGCATACGTGTGAATGAGTGCACACCTTTATACAATGGGATCGGGCTCTTTGGGGGCATGAACAAAAACATGGAGAGCTTACCATATAAGCAAGGTCAAAATTTTGCTCGCTTGTATACCGATAAACTCGTCGTTGATACGTAGCGCTCTAGGAGAAAGTTCATCAGGATTATCATCGTGTTTCTCGTTACAGATGCTTAGCAAATACTTGCTTATGGAATGGTCCAAAGGGAAAGTCTGGACGCCCAACGCTTGCCTCGTGGAATAAAAAAATTCTTTCATCATGGTCTAATCCATAACAGTCGGGGGGTGGCAATCAAAAATTTTAGCCTTTTTCGAACGTTTCAACAGCCACGGTTGCCTTTCATGCATTTACATACCATTCAACATGTCATGAACTAATACCAGGACTTTTTGAACGGCATCCACTCTAGCCAAATTTTGCATCAATTCCAGATATAAACCCGCATAATGAATGCCGTGCTAGTAAAAATGAAAAGTATTTCACGCAATGTTAAGCGATCTGTTCTGCTTTTGACCGCCTGACCTTTTTTTGGTACCTCCGAAATGATGGACGTGATTTCCTCGGGTGACTTATTCTCGATATGTTCAACCATCACTCTTTCGTCCTCGGTGATCAGTCCTGCTCGTTCATAATCCTAGGTGATTCCAGAAGATGAGTCTAGAGAACATACTCACATAGTACAACCTGTCCGTCCCAATCCGGCATCGCCATTATTAAATGTTTCAAGAATATTTTCCGTTGCCAGGACCAGCTGAAGCAAAAAACCGCCTTTTCCTTATCCCACATTTTCTACCCGTGCCACAGCGTATGCGTCGCTCGTCCTCAATGAGTTACCTGCCATGGTATAGGTTCATGTCTTATTTTCTCCAGCAAATCATCCAAGTAAGGGTGCGAAATGATGCTGAGGGTGACATCCTTGATCAAGTCCTCACGTGCAATGGCCGAACTTGGACAGATATCACTGGAGGAAGGCACAACTATCGACTGAGCTGATAACATGGGGTGTAACGCGTGTAGAAATATACAGGAAGAAGCAGTGAAAGATGAACTGTTTTATCGAGACGGCGGGATTCCGATTTTTAAAGGGGGCGGTGACGTTTTAGGATCATGCACAAAGCTATCTCAAATTTAGGTTTTGAAACGTGTAGCATCTTGCAGTCCCCTTGATAGAAAAGGCTGAACAATCCTGGACCTTTCCTTTGAAAAGGGTGATGTTTTTATTCTCAACTACCTTAACGAAGCACTTGCCCAAGGTGTACCCCCATCAACAGTAAATAACACCTACAAAGACACATGCCATAATGGTGCAAGGTGGCCGGGTCCCGACCATGTGCTGAAAACCAAGTGAAAACAAAGGAAGACAAACCTCTATCTGTCTAACAAAGCCCACCTTTGATGACGTCTTTATATCCTTTGGTTTTTGCCCGCCATTTTAAATAACTTTTAACTTGACTTTATTATGTTACCCACTTTTTCTTTAATTTTGTTGATTTTATCAGTTAAACTGAGGCGGTGTTACCGATTACAGAACACTGTTTGTTGATGGACCAAAAAATATTACGGTTCTCTTTAAGCCTTGATTTGCATGTCTGTAAATGGTCTTCTTTTTTTTTTTTTAACCGTGGGCTCTTCAAGGAGTCGAGAAAAGAAAAAAAAAATGCAGCAAGACCTTGCCTTTTCTCATGATTACCATAATAGGCAGTTATGACGTCTCTTTCATCTCAACCGCGACCGACAATCGTCGTTTTTTATTTTTTCCAAAAAAACTCTCCCTCCTCCCTTTTATTCTTTTTACACCAGCAGACGTCTTCTTAAAAATATCATGGCCTCCAGACAAACTCAACAAGCTAACCAAGGACAAAGAAAATCGTATCAGTTTAAGCTGGTTCTTCTTGGTAAATAATCCAACCTCGCTATCAGCACCGCTGCTTTATCGCCGTTCTCTCTCTCTTCATCTGCTTACATATGCTCTCTTTTAAATAGGAGAATCGGCAGTGGGCAAATCTAGGTATGGCCCCATTTGATAATATCAGTGGAAGAAACTGCGCTTTTATTTCGAAGAACTGTGTTTTAATGCTGAGTATTTTAGCTTGGTAATGCGATTTGTCAAGGATCACTTTGATGAATACAGAGAAAGCACCATTGGCGGTACGTTTAACCTCATCCGTTATTTTCTCAACGGTGCGTTGTGCTCACTTTATCTTTATGTCTTGTTCCAGCCGCTTTCCTTGCACAAACTATTACTCTGGACGATAACACGACGGTGAAATTCGAAATTTGGTACAGTTTTTCAATAACCGTTCATAATGTTCATCATGGGCAACGAAAAAAAAAAAGAGTGCTTTAGCTCTAATGGTTGGCTGCGTCATTAGGGATACGGCAGGTCAAGAACGATACAAGGTAAGCCATCCAAACCCTTCAGCTAATGAAACAATATTGTCGGATAGGTTCATTCATTTTTCGCTAATTTCATGTATTCAATAGAGCTTGGCGCCAATGTACTACCGCAATGCAAACTGCGCTGTGGTTGTCTATGATATTACACAAGCTGTAAGTTTTGGTCTTTTGTGTTTTTTTCTATGACTTGGCCCTTACATATATATATACCTATTCATTGACTTTTTGAAATTTGTTTGCATCTGTTATGTACACAGTCATCATTGGATAAGGCAAAGGCTTGGGTGAATGAATTACAACGTCAAGCCGATCCAAATATTGTGATTGCCTTAGCAGGAAATAAGAGTGACCTTGAATCTCGACGAGCTATTGAAACCCAGGTGAGAAAAAGTGGGATTTTGACCTCTTCATGTGACAAGCAGAAGCATCTTTTTTTTTTATCATGGCGTTCTTGCTCATACGTGGAATCACATTATCTCACCTCATTTTTTTTATATGTATTTTACAGACGGCGCAAGAATATGCCGATGAAGCGGGACTGTTATTTTTTGAGACCTCGGCAAAGACGGCTCACAATGTGACGGAATTGTTCACTTCGATAGCAAAGCGTATGCCTCTTGATCAGCTTGCTGACAGCACACGTGGCAGAAACAGAGGACTGGATGGTCGCGGAGTTGATTTAGACCGCCCAACGAATGTAAATGGATGTGCCTGTAAGTAATAATTCCTTTTTTTTTTTTTCCCGAAATGACATGCATTTTCAATATCAGAGGATATTTGATTAATCACTCGAATTTTGGTTGACCCAGGTTAAATTTGCCAATATATATCCACCTTTTTCGTCGCCATTTCCGTCATTTTTGTATTGTTACTCACGCTTTCTTTTTCATTGCGCGCCTCCGACTTACTGTTGTTAATCAATCTATTTGCTTCACCTGCTTTTCAGTGTCCACTTTCTTTCCGCTGATATTTCTTCTTTTTTTTTTTCTTTTCCCGACAATCACCGAATGTCATGATCCTTTCGTTTTTTTTTTTAAGCAATATAAACTAGGTTAATGTTCGCTTATGGTCACTGCGCTTATACATATTTGTCGATAATGATCATTAGACTTCGACAACAGAGATTAGAAAATGATGGATCAGAGAGATGGCAATAATATTTTGCCCAAAAATTAACAGGAATGCATGAAAATGGGAGCTTGATAAAAAGGAAATTAAAAAAAAAGAGAGAAGTAGCTTGCTAATTAACGACGTCGTGATCGACTACTGGGCACCGGTGTGCTTGATTTGGATCGTCCACCTTTCTTCTTCTTCAGAAACAAAATAAAAATAGTGATTCAGTAAAATTTTTCGGTATAGCATTTGATTATTGCGGCTTTTTTTTTTACCTTTTTCTCTTCTCTATATCGTTCTTCGATTTCCGCATTTTCTTTCTGGATCAATCCGATCAGAGTGTTGCATCTCCTTGCGATTTCTTGAGATGTCCTTGATTTGAGGAACCAATCAAAACGGAATAACGGCGATTCCCTGATTTCGCGACGAATATAGTCATACACATTTTCTGTGCCGTAACCATATTTTTCCAACATCACTACCAGGAATCGATCCTCTTCTTCTGTATAATGTTTGCCTTTGGTAGGCTGCGTATAGTGAATCTTCAACTGCTGTAAAGGCATACGATGACGGGCCACTTTTTCCGTCAATTGTTCTTGGATTTCGGCCTGTTTCTCTAATTCGTTTTCGCCTTTTTCGATTTTTGAAATTTGTCTATCATAATCTGTTTGAAAAAAAAAGAATTGCACACGTTTAGCATCCAAGCCGATCTTCTGAAAGGGATATCCTGAACATACCTGCTATTTCTTTATATCGGGACCAAAACACTTTGGAATATTTCTTTACTTCATCCAAGGTTTTGCCTTCAATTTCGGTAACAATGGCCGCCAAGTTTTGTCTGGAAACGTAGGAAACACAATGAATCAAGGAATCCAAAAAGCTTTTGGTCCGTGAGAATAGTCGTTACCTGCCATATTTTGCGCAAGCGTTGATAAAGCTATAGAAATCCTTTTTGCTCCAATTAGAAAATCCCTAAGAGTTATTCATGGGTCAGTACTCAATAAATCGATGTTGGGTCAATGCAGGCTGCAACTATGTCAAATAATTACCTTTGCATATAATGTCTTGCGTTCTTCTTCTTCTTTCTCCGTTAATGGTTCGGCTATTGATGCGTTAGATGACCTGCAATCAAGTGACGAGTTCCGGGGACCAACCTTCATCGATCTTTTGTTGTTCTTCTGCCCTTTCGTTTTCCAAGGCCTCCATTTCTTCTGCATCACCTGTATCAGCTACCGGTGGGATTTTGTAACCGAGCGATTTCTACTCGCCAGTGTAAGCTCAAATCAACATGGAAACAAATAAATAAAAAAAACCAAAAAAGTAAGACCCTTTACCCTCAAGTACAACGTGTCCTTCTCATTCAAATCGGCTAAACGCGGCGGGAAGAATTGGAAATCCTCACTAAAGATCCAAAATTAAAAAGTGTTAGTATTATATTCAAAATTGAAAGCGAGAAAAAAAATATACTGACATGGCATAACGTTTCGGACGAGGCGCTTTGGTGGATGGAGTTTTGTGTGATATACGGAGCGCCTCTTTGTAGTAATCATCGACGGCATAGTTTGCCTTACGCTCGCGTTTGGCCGGACCAAGCCAAGAGAGACCAATACCCGCCGCTTTACGCTAGCAATAAAGTATTTTTTTGAGTATCCGCAAATAACGACATTATAACGGCTCGTCACTTACCTTGTTACTCCAGTCCTGACCATTCCATTGGTAGGCACTTTCCGATGTAAAGTTTTTAAGGTCGTCTATATTATAATTGGAATATTTCTTGTTCAATTCCGCTGTCTTCTCTTCGCCTTGGCGCAGAATTTCGTCAATGTCGTCGTAGTTTGTATCATCGTCGGTTTCGGCTTCTTTGAAAATCTTTTCCGCACCATGTTGAATCATGGTCAAGAGCTCATCTTTGCTGGCCGCTTATTTTTTTTAAATAGAGAAAGAAATGGAGCAAATGAATTGTCGATATGTTGTCACTCGGTCCGATCACACAAATTATATATTCGTACCTTTTTGTTGTGGCATCATGCGACCTTGTTGGATAACCAGCTGATCTAATCGCAGCTTTTGCGCGGCTCTCTCGAGCACCTTTTCTTCAATAGCGTTCTAATATATCGAATTGGCGCCATGAGAATGATAGCTCACAGTGACACAAACAATGATCATTCTTGATATACCTCAGTGACAAGTCGGAACACGTATACTTGCTTCGTTTGACCGATACGATGCGCACGATCCATCGCTTGAAGATCCACTTGAGGGTTCCTATATCAATTCATGTCAACATGCTGTGAACAGGTTCTGTCATCATTCGAGGAATACGCACCAATCGCTGTCGTAGAGAATAACAATGTCAGCCGAGGTCAAATTGATACCCAGGCCACCTGCGCGGGTGGTCAATAAAAAGATAAACTTGTCGCTGTCAGGTTTGTTGTATTCATCAATGGCATCGATACGCTCTTCTTGTCCAGTCTGACCGTCAATACGACAATAGCCTATTGGTAACAGCGCGGATCGTGTTATCAGTATTTTGTTATTTACAAATGACACCGAGCGACGTCAAGACATTACCATAGCCTTTCCACCAACAGTAATCTTCCAAGATATCCAAGACGCGACTCATTTGACTGAAAAGCAAAACGCGTGAACCTTGAGCTTTGAATCTTGTGAGCAACTTGTCCAAGACAAGCATTTTGCCCGCATTGTCCACGATGTGTTGATCCGTGGTATATGGCGGACCAGGTTCCTAATTCCTCCAGTTTAATTTTTCCTGCAACTGATCCTTTTTTTTCTAGCCGCTCTAATACTTACGGCGCCATCAAAGAGGTAAGGATGATTGCAGCATTTACGGAGCTGCATGACAATATTGAGCAGTCTCGTTTTTCCTTCCCTTTTGGACATACCGACCGCGCCTAGTAAATCAGCCACAACGATCAGCATGCATATTTAGTTTGGCCCATGCTCGGTACCCAAGCTTACCGTTGATAGCGTCAATATCCTTTTCAAGGATTCGTTGATACCACTGGCGTTGCATGGGGCTCATTTTCACATAAATATTGATCTCCTTCTTGGGCAACAGCGATTTTTCAACATCCGACTTGATACGTCTCAATAAGAAAGGTCGCAATACCTTACAAACAAAGATCGATCAGATCACAAAGCACAGATAATATCAATAGATTATCAGAGTACTTACTTTATGCAATTGCTCAACAATCTTCTTTTGATCGCCACCCTGCTTTTCAAACCACTCATCGAAAACCTCGGACGAGCTGAAAACGTCAGGAAGCAAGAAATTCAGAAGCGCCTTGATCGATAATCGTGAGTAGGGTGAATGACAAAAATATCATGGATATTGCTTATCAAAAAAACTTACCCAAAGTTCGTGAAGGTTGTTTTGCAGCGGTGTACCGGTGATCAACATGCGGTGTTTTGACTGAAGAATACGCACAATTTGCGACAGCATGGAATTTTCGTTCTTGATACGATGCGCTTCGTCAATGATGATGTATTCCCAGGAAATCTTCTTGAGCTGCGTTTTCTCCATCAGACAAATCTCATATGAAGTAATGCATACTTCAAAATCAAGTGGTTGAATGCGTGATTTGATCAATTCGGCCTACATGAAAAAAAAAAAATTTAAGGCAAATGAGTTTTGATGCATTGATAGTGCTTGCTGGAAGATGTATTTACCCTGTGTTCCTTGTCTCCGTGGAAAACAAAGGCATTAAAGTCGGGTACCCATTTTTTAAATTCGTTGCTCCAGTTATGCAAGGTGGATTTGGGTACAACGACGAGATGAGGACCGGCAATGCCTCGGACATGCTTCAAATAACCGAGAAACGAGATGGTCTGGAGCGTTTTTCCCAAACCCTGGAGATAGACATTTTGTCAGTGACCATAGAATAGAATCCATACTGCGCATCACATATTGATAGACGACATCATACCATCTCATCCGCAAGAATTCCATTGATGCCGTTTTCATAGAGGGAGATCATCCAATTCAAGCCTTGTACCTGATAGTCTCTCAAGGTACCACCGGTGACATCTAATGGCATGAAAGATATCAGTCTGTGCTACAATTTAAATCTATGCGATAAAAATTATAAAGGCTTACAGCTCGGTGATTCGGTAAACACCGTCAATTGTTCACTAGAGGCTCCAGATTCGTCCTTTAATATTTCCTCGTCTTCTTCTTTTTCGGTTTTACGTCTACGTCTGGATCTGTGGTTTGAGAAAAATATCAAAAGTGTCAATGAGAAATGATACGTGACAATCCTTTTCTGATGACGCGTTTACCCCTCTTCTGATTTGTGCATTTCTTCCTCCTTTAAGACCGTTCGCATTGCGTCGTCCTTGACATCTTTCAAGTTCAAAAAATGGGCAAATAATTCCGTCTGGCCCAAAAGATATCGGTAACGCTTCAGACGCGTCTCATACTAAAACGCACCAAAAATAAGAAGATCGCGACAAGGTGAGCCAATGCGGATTGTGTAGGACTGAAAAAAATCGCAGAGAAAAGAAAACGTACAAGAGACTCTTCGCTCTGTTTCTTGTTTAGCACCATCGGTGTTGATGCTCCTGATTCGACATCCTAACAATATGAGAAAAAAAATGAGCGCGAGTCACTAGCGTGCCAAAACGGCATGGATCGTCCAAAACTTACCGATGCCGTTTGTGGCGTGGCTGGACCTTGAGAAGGGTTTAATGGGCTCGCCTGCAGGAAAATAATTAACGTTTTTGCTATCGGTCAATCAGTGAACTGAGATGACCTACATAATCGGTGGGCGTATCGGTAGGTGTATCGGTAGGCTGATCATTGTGATCATTAATCTGATCTACGGCCATAGGATCGACCTGTGACATGTCAGAAAATGTCAGTAACATGCGGCTCAAGTGAGTTTACAGCTTGTTTATAGAATGAGTATCGAACCTTTACTTCAGCTTCAGACATGTGGAATGTTTGCAAGAGAAAGAGCAAATCCTCAAAGCACAATTTCCCAATTTGCAATTTGAGATACGTTTGCGTGACTGCAACCGACATTGCGCGACTGAGAAAAGGGACTGCGAAAGGTGAATGACATTCCCAGCTGGCATCATGGATAACGATGACCCTTTTTATTGGGGTTCTGAAAAAATAAATACTACAATAAATGTTGCTATTATGCAGAGGAAAGATGATCAAAAATGCTAATGTGAGAGAGATCAAGAAACAGGAATGTCGGAAGCCACCGTTTTATACGATGGCGGCCGAATTAAATCGTAGGCTGGCAATTGAGGTTGATCGTTCATAGGCGTGTGTCGCAGGAATTTAGGTTTGGTACGCAACGAGGTATCTTCGATCACCCACGTTTCGGCGTATGACATCAAATCGGGTGGTAATTGAGCTCCCGGCATCAAGGTGCCAAATGTGATGGGGATAGCAAAGATTTTTTTTCTGGTCACCAGTGGTCCGTGCCGTATTTTCACGCTAACGCAAAGTTTATATTCTACAGTGAATCGATTGGAATAGGTGGTTGTAGGCGCTTGATAATATGGTATTGGGAGAGAGGTCATGATATCGACAGCAGAATTATGCGACAAACGATGCTCTAAATGGGTAATGGTCAAGGCTTCGGTGCGAGAGAATGTTTTGTGGACAATGGTGATGTATCTCTTCAAATAAAGGCGAATATTGGAGATCGGGAATTCATATTTATCCGGTGATGATTGAGTGGACTGAAGTGTAAGGGCAATGGGTATATGCTTGGTCTCAAGAAGGTTGAAGGAAACACTCGGTAATCGGAGACGAGCGTGTATGCGGGCCGTGATCTGTGTCTCTTTTTGGAAAGCACTCAATGGCTTTTGCGGGCTGGTTTCGAGAATGGGGTAAAAATGGACGTTGAATGGCGCGGTGTAGAAGGACGTTTCGCCTGGTCGTTCTAGCGATGCAATTAGCGTAAACGTAGTCGCAATGAGATAATGATCAAACGAAGGTGGATAATTGATTAAAGGCATTTCGCACACAAAAGGGAATCGATGTTCTCCTGCTTCCAGAACTGGCCACGGTGCGGCGCGCGTTGCTGAAGAACCCCACAGAGTAGTGCGCACAGCAAACAAGCGTCCATCGTCGTTTTTGATCTTTTCCCATCCCATGGCATCGTAGTTGACTCTTTCTAGAGAAGCAAATCAATACTGAAGAAAAAATTGGAAGCAATATCATCATGACAACTAGAATACAATTTTCAATGTGCCCACAAAAAAGAGAGCAAGATGATCTGGGGTTGCCAAGTGACTCACCTACTGCCTTGAATACGAGTTTCAGGTGTTGCGCAGGCAACGGTTCGGCAAGGGTTATTTTGACATCGCCCTCAAAAACCGATCCGGGATAACATTCGATCTTTCGGGCATGATTGTAATACTGTGGTGCAAAACAAATATCAAAAAGGGTGGGAGCATGTTTCTGCCCTTTGAAGGTATCCATGACCGTCATTTTAGGGAATAATGGGGCAGGTTAATATGAAGAGGGGACACACAGACAACACAAGTTTCGTTAGATCGTTTCGCACACACGCCAAAAGAAAAAATATGGAAAACGAGTTAAAAAAAAAGGAATGATAGAGTTTAAAAGCATGTTTTTGGATCTAAGCTTATTATTCACATGAGTTGCCATTCCAGAGCATAATCTTCACTCAGTCAAAAAGTCCCACGATCATATTTTGCCGGAAAACTAGCCAAACCCACTGCTGCGTTTCAAAATGGTGCTGATAAGGATGCAAGCCGGCGGACCGGAAAAACTAGTGCACTTGCCCCAAATATGCTTATACGGAATGAATTTCCTTTTTGCGGTCCAGATTATAGACGGGTTCTCCCTGGTTATATTTTAAGAGAAGATCTTTTTGCATCCAGTCTTTTTGTGCTGACTCATAGATTGCGAAGACGTTTGATCAGCACCTCGAGATCATTTAATCTGTCCATTGCATTCAGTCTGCGGTTGACAAGGATGACGTTGTCATTATGATTATGTCAGATGTTGTATATGGAATAGGTGATAACTAGAAATTTAAACTCGATGTCTGAATGGACCATTCATAAGTTTTTATTGCGAAACAGGATTGACAAAGTAGACCCGTATCTTTTGTATTTTTTGGTGATACCAAAATCTCGCATGGCTATGTCCTGACTTTCGGTCTCTTACCCCATTGGACAGCCAAGTGTACAAGTCTTAAACTCATCACATAATCATACATTGCTATACTCACCTGCAATAAAAGCTGTTGTCCGGCTTTTGAACGCGAGTCAAATGTCGGAGAAAAGCTATTTTTTCGATAAATGCATAATGATCTTTGTCATTGTGGACTTGCGAATAATGCTTATATAATCAATATTATTGGGATTTACTATAGCAGTCTGGCGCCACTTCCTACCTACCTCCAATTAAAAATGAATTGTCGTATGTGAGAAGACGAAAGTGGCGAGCTTGCTGTGCCATGGGCAAAAGCGTCTTTGCCGGAGTTGTAATGTGACGTGCAAGCTGCGGGCGTCGATTCAAAATGGGCAAAGTGCCCTTTTCATGCTGTCCACCACTGCCCTCTGGATAAAGCGTCGATGTCGATAGGACGTACGACACTCCTTTTGGTTTCCGTATTCGCATTTCTTAAGTTATTGTCCTTTTCATGGGAGAGCGCTCATAAATCACATGGTTCGTCATTACTCGTAAAACGCACTGAATTAGCCTCGTCACTATCCGAAAGAGAGGTATGACAAAAGCGAGAGTCAGTCGTGCATTCGTAGCAGCACGTCCTCAATAGCTTTTTTTTCGTATGATAGTGCGATAATGTATATCAGTATGACGATCAGTGTGCCTATGTCATGCAGCATTGCTCTGACGCCGTCCCGGGATTGATCAACTATATCCAAATCTATTTCTGTGCATCTCCAATTGGAAGGTCTTTTCTCTTTGTCATTTTTGTAAGTATAGTCGACATATTTTGCCGTGGTGTATCAACATGGAGTTAACGGATTGCCAATGGGGAGTAGTGCGCATGGTTGTTATTCCTATTTGGCTTTGTCGGGATTGCCGCATCCGATTTTTTCTGTAAGTTTTATGCGCCAAGGAATTGATAGATTGTTAAATATCAATTCAGGTCCGAACTTACAGACGATTGCCACTGCCTTGCATCTTTCCGAAAGCTTAGTAAGAATTAGCCTATATAAAAAAATCTCGACAATGAACTGACATCCGCCGCTCATGTAGACTGGCGTGACCTTTCTTGCGTTAGGCAACGGGTCGCCCGACTTGTTTTCAACCTTTAGGTAAAAAAAAAAAAAAAAAAAAAAAGAGTAATTGGTTGCATGTGTCTCATGACTCCCTTTCTTCTTATAGTGCCATGCAATCCAATATGGGTTCGTTAGCCCTAGGCGAGTTGATCGGTGCCGCAGCGTTTATTGTCAGTGTGGTTGCAGGGTGAGTTGAGGGATTGGGGTTTATTCGGCCACGGTTCCGAGGAAAATTGCCATCTCAACGCAATTAATTACCTAGATGCATGTGTGCGAACAAACCATTCAGGGCGAAAAAATTTGGCTTTCTGCGCGATGTTTCTTTTTTCACTTTGGCGATCGTGCTAGTGATGATCATTGTGGCCGATGGCTTGATCCATTTATATGAATCCATCCTATTGATCGTCTTTTATCTCGTATACGTATCGACCGTAGTTGCTGGCAATTACTACATGAAGCGTCGATCGGCTTATCAAAACCTCGTTCAGCGTGCACGGTTGGAATATGAAGAAACAGGAAACGACATCGATGATCTTATCTTGCGAGGTCACGCGTTTGAAGGTAGCAGTTAGCTCAAGTCTTGCTTCGATCAGATTTCACTCATCGATGATCTCTAGAACCGGTACTTCAAGAGGATGAAATGGAATTATATGACGAAGGATTCGAGGTAGAAGGATACCAAAGCGATTATCGACAGCATCGAAATCCGTTGCATCCAAAGCTACGCATCCGCACGTCGCTGTTTTCAGCTATAGAAGTAAGACAGGATTGGGCATTGTACCTATGCGAGAGATATTGATTAGGAAGGAACTTAGTTCCAAGATGTTGTTCACTCATTGCAAAATGCTATCCCTGGATATCATCACATACGTAACATTCGACGACGACGGGAGAGTATGTTGCGAGGAGCACGACGAGCCTCTAATACCGTGCCTCTGACACAGCGGCAGCCAGCCGAAACGTCAAACGCCGATGACCCGGATGCCGTCTCTCCTGACAGCCCTGGATTATCTCCAACGCCGACCAATGAGCTGCAGAACGAATTGACCCCGAGGCAAAGGTTTTACCAAGACGTTCGTCGTCACCTATTCCCCTCTCTTTGGAATTTCCGACGGAAACCGCTCTTTAGCAAGATCAGCTCGCTGATTTCCGCCCCCGTACTGTTCCTTTTAGTGATTACTCTACCTGTCGTTAAGGAAGATGCTTTGGAAAGTAAAAACGGCATTCAGCTCGATGATGATGCGCTCGCTATGCTTGAGGACCCCGTAGAAGAGGAAACCGGCGCCATGGCGTTTGGCGATGCCGATGAAGAACTGCCTTCTTGGTGCCGATGGCTCACTGCCACTCACCTTTTGTGTTCACCCATCTTTGTGGCGGTTGTCCTATCGATGACAGGGATCGCGCGTCCCGTCATTATCCTACCTATTGTAGTGGCGGTGAGTGGTTTGACATCGGCGGCTTTTCTGTTCACTACGTCCGATCATATGCGACCTCGACTCTATTGGATGATGTGCTTTGTCGGTTTCGTTATTGCAGTCGTATGGATTTACGTTATCGCCAATGAAGTCGTCGGCGTATTACAGGTGATTGGCATGGCCATAGGCGTGAGTGATGCAATTTTAGGTCTCACGGTTTTCGCCATGGTAAGCTTGCCCCGAAACTCATTGCCCATATTTCTTTTAACTGACAGTTTCCACTGCGATGACACGATAGGGAAACAGCCTGGGCGATTTCGTCGCCAATGTGACCATGGCGAAGCTGGGCTTTCCGCTCATGGCAATGAGTGCTTGCTTTGGTGGACCCATGTTGAGTAAGGAAAATCATTTGCGAAATCTGTGGTATCAAACAAGTTAACTGACCCACAATTAACTGTTTTACAGATATTATGCTCGGTGTAGGCCTTGGGGCTACATATGTTACACTACAGCGCGAAGAACCTTATGCCATTGAAGTTTCGTCTACCATCCTTGTTTCGGCCATCGGCCTGCTCATTGTGCTTGTATCTTCCCTTATCTTGGTGCCGCTGAACGGTTTCCGAATGTCTCGAAAGTTCGGTTACGCCTGGATTGGCATTTATTTGATCTGTACAGTCATTAACCTATACCTTGAAATCAGTCATTGATTTGACTTGAAAGCAAACCCTCTGCTTTGATACAAAATAAATTGTTATGTATAGCATAAGTGTATCATTAAAGCGCGGAACGAAATCGGCTCATTTCCCATTTACCAATGCGTATAGGATCAGCAAGAGGTCCTCCGGAAAACGAACGTTTTATTTTGATATTAATTGGCTTTCTTTTCGCTGATGTTCAGCTGATCAATATGTTGCTGTTGTTCTGATTGTTTCGCGTCTTCAGCGGGAGGAGGGTCAATGACAGCCGTTAGCATATACGCCGCGGCGGCTTGTGAAATGCCGTAGCCAATGACGCCAACAAAGGGTATGCGAACAAGGATATAAGCGATGGCCGAAAATCCAAACAGCACATCCTTCCGTCCACTGAACCATCTCAGCTTTTCTTTATGACTCATCCCCATCCGAGCAAAGTAAGGTTCGAGCAACTCGCGCATCAAAGTACGCATGCCAATTAAAGCACGTACCAAAGTCTTGGTCGCCCCTTGTGGTAAAAAGAGAAAACAGATACCGACCACCACCGCTTGGGTGTTGCCAAGGGACCGATAAGTAGCATAGGCAGCTAAATACCAAAATATGAGGGATTAGTCACAGTCATGCATTTACGCTTTTGTGCACGAATTACCAGCCGCGGGGAAAACGTAGGGGCCGACAATGGGCATAAAGGACAGGGCATAAATCACCAAGCCAAGGCGTAAATTCTTCCACATGCGTTTCATGTAACCCTTCATTTGCGGCCAAATTTCTTTGCGGTAATTGCGCTTCTGGAAAGCCGGCGCATACGGGGCTCGGTCTGGATGCTGGGAATCAATATATCTGAGTGACTCCATAAACAGGTCATCGAGCGGTTTCGGATAGACATAGCGCATGAGCATTAATCCCACCAAAGGCACCATAACGATGACATCCCGAATGTTTTGTCTTGTTGTTGTGATGAGTTCGGCCATGTGAATCTCATCTTTCGAAGAAGTCAGCCAAATCGCTATTTGCGCGATGAAGAGCACTATGCCGACAAGAACGTTGCTGACAAGATATATAATGAACGACAACGCAGACAAGTACAGAACAATACGCAAGTATTTATGAGTACGAAGATTAGGATTCTGTAGCACCAAGCGAATGCCATGCATAGCATAATCTACACCATCTTGGAGCCCTTTGATGGTCCAGCGCGCCATGAGGAAGCGAAATAAAGAATAATCGAGAAAGCGTATGGACACCGAACTTGACTTTTTTTTTCTTTTCAACCCATGTGACTTTTTGTTCATGCACACCACCCACTTGACGCCTCTCCCCACCCCCAACGCATTTACACGGCAAATCAATGACCGTTAACACACGAGTTTCAACGGTGACTTTGGTGATAATCATTCAAATCGTTCCTTTTTATTACTCGTTCTTCTTTTTTTCCCATTCTTCCGGAGTATATGATTTCTGCGACGAACGACGACAAACCCTTTAGTTGGCTGGATAAAGAAACGGAAAAGCAGAGAAATCATTTACCTGCGAAAATGCGTGTACTTTGCTGATTTCTTCCTTCAGTTTATCATTGACAAGTTTATGACGAGCGAGCAATCTCTTTTCCCGGAATAAGGGCGATACGATGACAACCTCGTACATCTGTCCACAACCGGACGACAGGTCAACAATGTCCTAAACACCATTTCTCAAATCAACGACTATCCTGAAAGGCTGACCGTGTAAATACATACCACATGTTCAGCTTCCAAACGTTCTACAATAGCTGCCTTCAAGGACTCAGCAGTAACACCCGAATGATCCGACATGGTGATGAATAATATGCGAAGCAAGAACAAGGACAATCAAATGAACCTGTCTGCCAACTTTACGTGTGACGACTGTTTCACGGGAGGCGTCGTGATTTTCTGACTTCAAAATGTTTTGACTGTTGCAATGCAAAAAAAAAAAATTTTGGGAATTAAATGGGCTTCCACAGCAGAAAAAAAATCGAATCGAGCTCCAATGGGTCAATCCTACGTGTAAGTCAGCCAATGACATGCAGTTAGGACCTTATTGTGTATATCCTTCTAATTGATTACCCTCATGAAAAGTTATGAAAAGAACGATGTTGACCCTCGCTACAGTAACAAAGCATTCTTACAGCAAGTATTCAACCTTTTGTGGGGGTTTCGATTTTTTTCACTGTTCTGTTTCTGCAGCAACGAAAGAGCATGATAGTTTGTCATGACGAATTCGGAGACAGTTCGGCACGGGTTTCCGTTCAGCCTCCTGTTTTCTGCCACTGTGGTTGAACAATGACTGCTAATAAGGCGCAGCAGATCGAAAAATCTAAAATTCGGCACGAAAAGGGGCCATAAAGTTTCAATTGCCCCAGTGAGTTTCAGTGTCTATTCACGACAAGCATGGAAATGCAAGTAGGGTCATTCCATGATAAAATGATTTGTCCAGATCACTTGATTGCGTAGCCAAGAAAGAATCTAATCAACAAAGACTAGGTTAAAAAAAAAGGTGAGAAAAAAAGGAACCATTGCTTTGACTGGGAAACTTTATCCAATCAAGCAAGAACGGTTAATTTTTAAACCGTGACACCAGGTGGTTCATTCATTCATGCTGCTATTCAATTGAATTCCCCTTTTTTTTGGTTCTTGGTTTCTAACCACGTCTATGCATAAACTCAAGAACACATTTCTACGCTCGCATCTCTCAAAAGAGGTCGAAGAACGCAGGTCGCATCAGTTTGCAAAACGACTTTCCGCCAATAAACATAATCTCGAAACGAACAATCCGTCACCCCGTGGCCCTCCTGCCATCAGTCTGGATGAACTGTCTGATGTTGAACGCCCCATATATCATTCTTGGTGGAAAGACTTGGATCCCTTTTCACTCGGCACGATTGACAATGAAGCTGCATTCAAGTTTCTAACAGGCTGTGGTCTTCCTGACCATAAAATGGAACAGGTGCACCTCTTCTTTCATTTATCTCGTACGAGATTTCCTGGCACTTAATTCACACTCATTTTTATGTTTTCCCACAGATACTCGCTTACTTTGAAGGTATCACCGATGGTCTTACCGAGTTGCGTTTCTACGCCATTCTACGTTTGATTGCCCATGCCCAGAATGGCCGATCTGTCAACCCTGATCTGGTATACTTGGGAGGTAAAACTTTATTTTTCTTATTCGAGTGGGAAGCAGCTGATACAGCTGTAGTAACTAGGAAAAGCGGACCAAAGGCTGATATGTTTTTTTTTTTTTGTTATAAAGCACCTATTCCACGATTTCAGACAAAAGCTATCGATGCACTGATCAAATCGGATAATCAGAGCAAGCCAAGTCCTGCTTCTCTTCAAAGTAACACAATGGCCTCAAACACATGGAACAAGGATACACAGAACCACGCTGTGTCTCCTCAGTGGTGGGCTGAACCGTCAAAAACGTCGGACGATCCATCCTCATGTTTCAAACAACCACAGCAGCAGCCGTCTTCACAATCCATATTCCTTCCATCCAACCAACCGATGTCTCCACCCATGATGTCGCCTCCTTATTCCAATCCGCCTATGCAACAGGCAACTTTAATACCGCAACCAACACCGAATCTCCAATATCAGGCGTCTTGGTTACAAGACATGCCACAAATTTTTAATGTCCCGTTTAATGAACCCATAAATATACCAACCTCCAATGAACCATTCCAGTCAGCGAAAAATGTCCAGAAGCAACTGTATACGCACTCACGTTCTCGATCCGTTCCTTTCTCTATATCTCCCGCCGTGAATCCGAGTCCTTCCGATGATTCACCTGCACCATCCATCCCCGTGCGACCACGACGTCCAACGTTAATATCTTCGCGCGCATCCATGGATGCCGATGCTATTCAACGACTCACAACTGCCATTGATACCTCGGGCATTGATACCGGTCAATCACTACTTCTTACCCAGCGCTTCGTTCCAAAACCGACCAACAATCCGTTTGAAAACGATGCTTCTGATACCGAGGACTATACCTCACCATTTGAGGACCATGCCGCCTGTTTTCCGGCCAAGGTGGAACCCAACAAACGACCCAATTCAATGAATATGTTACCACCACCGGTTCCTGATAAAGCGACGAAACCCGCCTTTCCCAAATACGCACGTAACGCTTCACCACACCATCCATTTATGCTGAAGCGAAGCCAGAGTCATCACTGTCCCCAACAGTCCGCTGAAGAAGACAGTTACTCACATTTGACCGAAGGTGCAAAGTTATTTCGTAACAAATCATTGGGAGGGAACTATTATGGATTGATGAATTTGTAATTTTGTCGTGTGATGTACCTTTCTTCATTACTCACGAAGATGTGTTGACGGTGCATTTTGCTCAGAGAAAAGGCTGAATCTGTAAAACTATGTACTTTATATGTTGTTTCCTCGCCTTTCATCTTTGCTTTTTGTTCATGCATCCATTTTCTTGTTTGTTTCCGAAATATCAACACAAGTTTTGACAACCGAAAAAAACAACAAACCAATGAATATGCCCTTATTCTGATTTCCCTCTAATTCGGTGCGCCTATTTCTGTGACTAGTTTGGTGATGAGGATAAGAAAAACTTAGAAAACTAGACACTTCCGCTCTTATTTAATGTATCAGCGGCATCTCAAACAACTTTGTATTCCGATGCTCCGCTCTATTTTACAATCCAAAAAAGGTAATAAAATGCTATTTTTACTCGATTATCAAGATGGCAAATTTTTTGGCGAGTTGGAGCGTTCGCATGGCGAAATGGATAACGCGTCTGCTTCCGGAGCTGAAGATTGTGGGTTCGAGTCCCACTGCGAACGTGTGCTTTTACCTTTTTTGGAATTTTTTTACGATTTTTATCCAATCAGAACAGCCCATTTCCTCTGGGATCGAAAAGTGTGTAACGCAAAAGGCAACCGATAGCTACGGTTGCTTGCTGCTATTCTTCTTTCCAATGCAGCCGCCCTAATGCCTAACAATATAGCTAGTTTGAGAGAAATGAAGCATGAAGGAAATAGAAAAAAATGAGTAGAGAAACTACAAAGTAAAGAAAATCTTTTTCTTTTATTAAGCCTGAGTAAACCCATTTTGTTGCAGTCTATTGCTCGTCCCTGGGATATACGGGAAAATAGTTCGATTGAAAAAAGAAAAAAGGGAACCACTCGGGAAAACAAAGTAAATAATCCGCAATAAACTTGGGTAGGTAGGGAAAATACAATTTACGAACAAAAGAAGGAAGAAAAAGATCAAATGTTTAGGATTAAAAGAGAAAGTACATGAGATGATGTTTATTTTTCCAGAGGTGCAATGCATCTGTTTTCTTCATTTACCATGCAAGAAAAATCGATTCGAGCCATTGATGTCACCAATTCTAAGCAAGAAATATATACGATAAACAAGGAAGTTGAGAAGAGCATTCGGATCACATCTAGGACGACATAATCCATACTTCTATTTCTCTTTCGTCTTTTTGGTACCTGATCAATTTTACAGCGCAAGATTCGTTCTTCTCGATATTTAATTCCCTATCATTGTCAAGCGACTTCAGTGATCAGACGAAGAAGTGAAGCTATAATACTCCTTGTTACCGTTTGAACTATTTATGACATTACCTGTGGCAATGCTTCAGATGCTGTTTTATAACATACTGTATGATCAGAAGCGCAATATGAAAAATCATTATAATGATCATTCGTGGCATTTGCAACAATTCCTTTGCTCAATCATCCCATCTCTCCTTGCTTTCTCTTTCACTTCGCTTTTAGATTCCATTTAATCCGACTCTGCGCCAGTATCGCAAGAGAATGATTATTGGTTTTGCTATGGTCTGGGCACTGTGACTAATGAAGGGAAACCTTCATGCCATACTACGTTTCAAATTTGATATGAAGGCAGATCGGTCATCACTCGTCTGGAGTTTTTTTTTTCTTTCTTTCGTAAAAATCAGTTTACGCACTCTTTAACCTTTTCCTCACTGTTGTAGTCTACGTGCTATAGCTGAGATTTTTTTCTCAAGTCAAACAAGGTGCTTCTATAGTAAAAGTCATAGTGCTTCACCGGATCGCCCAATACGACTGAACGGTTTCCACCAATGCACTCAAAATAAATCTGGTTTGTGCTGCTTATAAATAATTCTAGAGCAAACTATCTTTCCCTGTTCCCAAAAATAATGTTAGGATCCAACCAGTACTGTTCAGCCCATTTTCGTGCTGTACGAACTTGAACAGCAGGAACCGCGCTCTGATACTCCTCAAACAGCAGCTTGAAGATCCTCACTTTGATCTGATTGAAATAGCGTGTATAATTTCGCTTCGCTTCATTGAAACTTTGATGACAGGGGCTTCACATCCTTCTCTACCTGCATTGCCATTATATTTTTTCTTCGCCAGAAGCGTATGAAATCTCAGTGTTCTCTATGTAAAAACTGCTCAAAAAGCGCATCATACGAGAGTGTTTCACGAATACCTCTTCTGCTCTTAGATTACCCGGTAATTACGGAATAAGGTTAGCATAGCGGCAAAAGTATAAAACCGAGATCTACCTGACATAATGTAAGCAGGCACCATGTCTTATCGGTTGGCCACACATTATCAACGCTATTTACCAATAATTACAACAACATTAAGGCATGGTTTCGCAGACAGCAATACTGTGTAGCTAACCAAACTTGGGATTCATTCACATTACTTTTATTAGGAAATGATCGCATCGCATTATCGTATCACTCAGTTTACAAACTCAGTTATGCTTTGGAACACAATGCCGCGCCGTTACTAACCCGACGCCATCCTTTTGAGAAGTCATTTTGTCCTACCGGCGGCTGAAGATCAATTACACCTTAATTCGACCTGGGATCTTCCTCAAACAAACTGTCCGAGGATGGGGATCGCCGATAAGCATAAGAGATTAGTTGGGTGGGATTGCAGCGCTATTCTGTTCCCTATACTTATCATAGGTCATATTGGTTAATGCGATAGTCCTTTGGCGGCAATGAAAGCCGTTGAACCTCGTTTAATTACTGAGCCAAGTATGCGCCCCTGAATTTTGAACAAGACAAATGTCATGCGTTTCATTCCGGGAAAAAGATCGCCTTTGGTTTTTTCGTTCGATCTAGGTAGGGTAAAAGATCCCAAAAAATAATTTCATGGCAATTATGAAGGTTTATGGTTCGGACTCGAATGTGCTGGGTTTCAGTGGTGCAGAGACCACCAGACAGGAAAAAAATTAACCTTGTCACACATCGTTGTCTTGGACCGAACACCAGCTCAGGGACCAGCTATTAGAAAGGGATGTGCCAAATAGTATACGTCCTGTTTAAGAAAAACCATAATGGATGGATTGGATCGCAGATAGCTTTGTAAATTAAGTACTGGTTTCTATTTCTTATTACATCTTTTAGAGATTTAACGTCAACAGCTTTTGCCAGCCAAGAGCGGCAAAGAACTCGATTGGAAATACAGGCATTTACGGTAATGTTATCCAAGCATAATTTTTGTTATTTGTGGCAATAACTGAAAGACATTTCAGGCCCGATATTTCCTTTTCTGTATTAGTGATTGCCATCGGGAACACGGTCGATCTGTCATCCTTTGCCATGATATAAAAGGAGCGCATTGCAGTTGCAAATTCCATCATCAACAACCAACCAAACACCCCTTCCTTTCCTTTCCCTTCTCTTTCATTTCAATTTCCTGTCATGAAACTGTCTAGCACCAAATTCATTGGAGTAGCTGGTTCTATTCTCCTTGCCCTTTCCGGAGCCCAAGCTGCCTTCCCTGATGGTCACAACGTAGTCTCTTACTGGGGTCAGGTATGACTTGACTTGGTTCCATGAAACTGTTACTATCGGCTTCTGAATCATAATTTCTTTTGGTAGAATTCTGCTGGTGGCGGCAGTACGCAAGACCAGTTGGCATCCTACTGTGATGATTCATCCGACGTTCTGATCATGTCCTTTTTGACCGATTACAACGTCGGCTCTCTTCCTTCGCTGAATCTTGCCAATGCCTGTGTCGGAACGAACTTCCCTGGTACCAATCTGCTCAAGTGCGATAAAGTTGGTGAAGGTATGCGAAAAATCATTTCTCAGTTTGGCGAGACAAACACTAACAACACAATCACGTATCACAGATATCAAAAAATGCCAGAAGAAGGGCAAGAAGGTCCTTTTGTCGCTTGGAGGTGCCTCTGGCGCTTACGGTTTCAAGTCCGATGCCGAAGGCAAGACCTTTGCAAAGACGTTGTGGGACATCTTTGGTGGAGGTGACAGCGATACGCGTCCTTTCGGTGACGCTGTTGTCGATGGTTTCGATCTCGATATTGAAGGCGGCGGTGGCACTGGTTACGTCGCTTTGATCAAGGAGCTTCGCAGCTTATTTGCCAAAGATTCTTCCAAGGATTACTATATTACTGCGGCCCCTCAATGTCCCTTCCCCGATGCAATGCTCGGTACGGTGATTGATGAAGCAGGCGTCGATGCTGTCAATGTTCAATTCTACAACAACTACTGCTCAACTGCCAGTTCCAGCTTTAACTTTGACACCTGGGATAACTGGGCAAAGACCAAGTCTCCCAATAAGGACGTCAAGGTGTTCATTGGTATTCCCGGTTCGTCCAGCGCTGCTGGTAGCGGTTATGTCGCCTTTGAGCAACTCAAGGACATTGTCAAGTCGGTTGCCTCGACTTATTCCAGCTATGGCGGCGTCAGTATTTGGGGTAAGCATCCAAGCGAAAAATAGCATTCTATGAATACCATTAATTGACTTATCCGCTTTTAGACGCTTCTCAATCCTACGGCAATACCGAAGTTTCACCCAACTACGCTGCGGCCGTTGCCAAACTCGTCAAAGAAGGATCTTCAAGCTCTGGATCGGATGAAGACAGTGGCAGCAATGACAATGACAATGACAGCAGTGACAATGACAGCAACGATGACGACTCTACCTCAAGCTCGTCCAGCAAGCCAACCCCCACTACGGATTCTCCCCATAATGCTGTGGTCACATCAAAGAGCCTCACTGCTACATCCACCAAGGCATCCCAATCTTCTCAGCCGACATCTTCTGCTGGCGATGATAAAGACGATAGCAACGATGGCAGCGACAGCAACGACAACGACAACGCCAACGCCAACGCCAACGACAGTGACAGTGACAACGACAACAGCGATCCCTCTTGCGTCAAGGACGGTGATTCCTGCTCCAACGAAGGACAGTACGTCTGTACTGGCAAGCAATTTGCTGTGTGCAACCATGGTGAATGGATGGTTCAATCATGCCGCTCTGGTCAGGTCTGCTTCAGTACCACGGACAAGACTTCCATTTATTGCGCTCCTGGAACCGGAGCTTCCGATACCTGCTCGGCCAAATCTCCCAAGAAAGCTGGCTTGACTACGCTGGCCAAGCCCGAGGGTGCTGTGGCTCGTCCTTTCAAGTCTTCCCGCGTTACTTCCGGTCTTTCGGTTACCAAGTCGGACGAAAAGAGTTTCGAAGCTTTGATCAACGCTCGCAAGATGGACATCAAGCCTTTCAAGGGTAGCGTAATGGTTCAGTTCACCGCTCCTCCCAATATCAAGGTCACCCATGCTGAGAACGGCAAGGTCAAGCAAAACGGTCAGAACGTCAAGATTCAGCTCAAGAACCCCAAGAAGAAGAGCATGTCCCTCGTTTTCTCCATCAAGGGTTCCGTTCATGATGGCGTATTCACTGCTCCCGATGCTAAGAGCATGAAGTTTGGTGCTTAGATTTTTTTTCTTCTTCTTCCGTCTGGCACGGCTCAATAAAAACAATTATTGTGGAGAAAAGCTTCTTCACATCTTTCATTTATCCTTTACTTCGTGATGTCTCTTCATTTATTGTCAAACTCGCAATTGCGGTCTACTAGATTCTGAATACCTCGATTACACTAATAAAATTTCAAAGCACAATCAAGCACAACAAAGGGAATGGTACAAATATAAAGAGACAGCCATCCTATAGGTGGTATGCGATTTCCTAAACAGAAGCTATGTTTATAGGTGCGTTCATAATATATAAGAATAATGGCATGGAATAAAAAAAGGGGAATCATGTACAGAGTTGGGTCGTTATCTAGGAAGCGCATGTATGACTACGATATTCATATGATTGCACCTCCGGTGTCCATGTGAAATGATGAATGAAAAAATTTTACAGGAAGCATGCTATTACAACACTTGAGTAGGCTGTCGCGGCATGGATGTTTGCGATGAGACATTTAAATGAGCGGATGAGGAAGAATGATGGTTAGTTATCATAGGAGAAGCATGAATCGACGCTGAGAAAATATCAGAATTAGCTTTTTAAATGTTAACTTGTTTGAAGAAGCAAAGTACCTCCATTGGTATGCAGTTGTTGTTGTTGATTTGCTGCCATGGCGAATTGAACAGCATTTCTGTGTTGACTGGTTGCACCACTTACCACTGCTGCCATATTCGCCACAATCATGTCGTTTGTCATAGCAACCGCTGCTTGTTGCGGCGTTAATTTCAGTCGGCTGTTCTGTCGTTTTAAAGGTAGAGGAGACAGCTGAGGAGATTGGGGTTGAGATCCATTGGTACGAATGCCCGATATTCGTTGCTGGGTGTTGACCCTTTGATTAGCGGCGTGAATAGTGCTGCTCATCATACTCAAAGGGGTCAAAAATGGAATGGTAACAAGACTTCGGAGTTCAACTTCAGAGAGAAGTTGCACACGATGGCGCAGAAACCTGAATAAAATGGGTCACCAATCAGTTTCAATTCTTTTTCCCTGGTCTTTCCTTCCTTTCTTCATACCACTTACCGATTTTGCATTTCATCGACGGAGCAATCATTAGATTCTTCATCGCTGGATATATCGGAATCGAATTGATAGCGATCAGATAATTTGTGACCAGGAGATCGAGGTTTGGAATTCACACGATCAATGAAGATACGCCCGCATCGTCCCAGCCGTTTGCGGTAGTGCGATCGGGTTCCCTCTGACAGCTTTTTGTAAAACCGTGAAGGCAGCGACGGAGAAAATGGTTGATAAGGTGACTGCAAAAATTTAACAAGCAAAAGATTCAACGACAGGCATAGTAAGTTCAATGCATGCTTTTTGGAACTCATTGGATGCCATGACTTACATCGGTAATATCCTCGTAAGGAGCGTCCAATTCCCTTTTGCGAGCAAGATCAGAGTCAATGACAAGCTGCAGCTGTGATTTTTTCTGGAAATCTTCTCGCTTCAGTCGATGAAGCGGTATTTTGATAGTAGTACTACCAGCAACATTCCGTGAGTACGTTGACGACGCAGTAGGTGATAAAAAAAAGCAAACATGAACTTACCCCGATGAACCAGAATCCAACATGACTCTGCGCTTTTTCTTGGGAACAAATAAAAGATCGTCCTCTTCTTTGATCCCAAGAGCACGTTGATATTCGCGGAATTTACATTTTTTGTCAAACACGGTATGTTCAAGCACCAAATCCTCTTTTCGAATCTTTTCTCGTCGCAAAACCATTTCCAACAAATTACGTGCCATTTCCATTTCCGTGCGCAGTTTCCGCAGTCGTTCAAGTGATTGTTGATCTGTACGTCTGGTTTTACGAACGGGTCGTGCTTCCCGCCGACGGAAGCAAACGTATGGATCAATTTCGTTCCTTATGATATCTTCAAATCGAAGACGAGGAATGACGGGTTTTCCCTCTCGCCTTTGCCGTCTTTGTTTCCAATGAGCATAGACCGGCTCAGTATCCGACCGTTTACGAAGTAAAGAATATTCTAACGCATAGGATACCAATTCTTGGTAGGGAGGAATTTGGGATAGATCCTAGCATGATTTCATAAATTAGGAAACAGGGTTTAAGCTGGCTACAGTATCCAGCGTATCATCGATATGGACTTACAAGGTCAAGGTGAGGGTAATGTTTATCTGCTATAGATTCAAACTGCCACATGATCTGTTCAAAGTCGTCCTCAGAAAGCGAGGTATGCAGCCGACTGTTCAATTGTTTCAAAAATGCTTCGTCGTCTTCGTCCATCACATAAGGACAACCGCATGTATCTTCAACGACAGACGAAAAACGGACAAATGTGGAAGGCTCTTTGAATATTCTCTTATAGAGTACATGGTACTTGCTATCATCGATTGTGTGAGAGGCGTCGGGAGTGGGAATATAAGTCTCCACTTTGGCACCTGTGGTTACCGCCGCCTGAGCCGCCGAGATGGCCGCCTGAAGGTCATGCTGAAATTCATCAGGCGGGGACGTCGGACAAAGAAAAATTAGTCATTGCCCCCAAAATTGTATAACTGGTATTGTAAAAACGGGATGATTGGCCCTCTGAAGAACGATATGGATACTATACCTCCTCCTCCTCTTCTTTCTCAACACCTGTCTCTATCTGAGGGACGGACCGCTGCATATTTGCGGGATCCATAAGACCTGAGAGCTGAGACTCTCTGTATATGGGAAGTGGATGCTTTGGAGAAAGCTTTTTCACACGAAATCTTGAGGCCATGGAGTTGGTCATGTTGGACTAGAATCTTAAACTTCAGACAAGTTGATATAGGGAGACCGTAAGCAGAATCAAGCTGAGTGAAATCAGCAATAGAATAATATGGTCTGTTGAGCTTTTCACAAACGAGGACCAAACCTATTGGTGTGATTTTGGGGCAGAGTTTCTTGAGCAGCTCCTGATGACGTACGACCAAATTTCTTTTCGGCATTCCTGACTGGTTCAGTGTTTTCCTTGCTGAGCGGTCATGACTGATGACCCCTTGAAAAAAACAAAAAGAGAAATCTCACAACCTTCATTGGTATCCCACCATCCTCATTTACTAGTTAGCATGTATAACCATCATTAAGTGGTAGAAAATTACAACTTTAATAAGGACAGTGTCATCCATTTCAGAAATAAAAAAAAAGGAGATATTTCCAATTTGATTTCGTGCACATTGCAACGAAAAAAGAAAATCAGCTATTATTCCATTTTTCATTTTAGACAATAACGTCAAGGGTGTATATACAATATAAAGATTGAAAGAGAAAATTATTCTTCATCAGAACCTTCTTCACCGGATGATGATTTGGCTTCAGAATCATATTCTTCCGCTACTTCACTACCGCTATCATCTGGTGCAAAGTCCTCATCGGCTATAAAAACAAGCAAAGGGTTTAATCAGAGACAAGAAATTTTAGAGTTGAACCATACTGTTAGACACTTACGACTTTCATCCTCCTCATCGGAAGCTGCTTCAGTACGTCGTTTCTTGCGACTGCTATCGTATTCTTCATCTTCCTCGTCTTCCAAATCATCCAAGTCTGTGTAGGTAACGATAGTCTCCTCGGCGGCCTCACTCTTGACTTTAACCCCCTTGGACTTGAGGAAATCTTCCAAGTTTGCATATTCTTCTCGATTGATACTGGAGAACTGGACATCGTTGCCGGCACGCATATGGAACTTCATATCAAAGGTACGGGAGCTGCCTCCCGATGTACTACCAACACGGGAGAAAGTGACGACACCGATCTCGTTGAAAGGAATGAAAGTGGGTGGTTTAGGGATGAACAAGAAGCTCTTTTCAAGAGGATATAGATAACCTTCGTTGGCTTTCATAGAGCATTTCAGGGCATGAGCACCGTGATGACTAGGCAATGACAAGACGGGTAAGTGGATGAATTCCCCTATAGTGAACAATTTCTTTGATCCATACCTTCTGTAAGCACCAGGGACCGTCACCTTTCTTCCTGTTAAGGCTCGGAAAACAGAGCTAACCACTTCATACGTCGGTGCATCATAATGCTTTTGCAGCTTGTTTTCGTATTTCTCGCCCAGTGTAGCTCTGATAGAATGATTGTGAGTAAATGATGGTTTTTTACGCCTCGTTTGCAAAAAGTAGCTACTCACTCATCCAGATTTAATTCAACGTCGATTTCGTCTTCACGTACAAACTGGAACACAAGGAAGGGATACTTGGTTTGACCTTGACGCAGTGGTGGATCCAACCCAATCTATAGAAAACACCCATGATCAATCCGCTTTGCCTACACATTTTTCGGAGGCGGTTCCAGATTGACTACGTACGACAAGCAAAACATGCACTTCGTCGGGTTTCAATAATAAGAAAAGTTTGATGATATTAGAGTACAGAATCTTGTAATCGTAAGTTTTGCCGCGAAGACGGAGGAAATCTTGATACATATCGATGTTGTAACGACCACTAAAAAAACACATCAATATAAGCCACACTACAATCCACTGAGCAGCTTTTAGATCCCTAAGCGACTTACCGAGGGGTCAAACAAAGAACTTCCTGGAATTGGACAATGTTCTCGGTGGTCATTTGGCTCAATTCGAGCTTCGATTTCACCGTTTCGTAAAAGACGATGTCTGCGTTAACTTCTTCTTCTTCTTCTGGTTCCTCTTCGTCAGACTTGGTGTCGGATTCCTTGGCGACTGTACCAGGAATGTAGAAACTGACGTCCATGAGTTCATCGACGTCTTTGGGATTAACCCCTTCTGGCGGAGGCTGGCCAGGATCGACAAAGTTGATCGACACTTCGTTTTTACCGGCTTTGTTGGCACCAATAGCTTGTGCTAAAGGCAACTCAAACATGGGCCGATTGGTGACATTGAAGATGAGATTGGAACCTATCGATAGCAGGTGAATGAGCTGAGATCCGTCTTAAAGCAGCTGCAAGGTTCCATCAAACACACACCCTGAAAATCGGTTCTACCCCAGTTCCACCCTTTGACACTGAGTTCCTTGGCTTCCAGCTGTAAACTGTAGAACTGCTTAACGGCCTTGCTCAAGTCCTCGAAAAACTTTTGGGAGAGGTCAAAGAAAGGATGAGTACTCTGATTGAAAAGCTAACATATTATTTGATACAAGAAGCGTACCTCGGATTCAAAACCATCAAACTTCATGATGGTATTGTCCTTGAGCACGATGCGCAGTCCATAACCTCTTGCTACTCGGATCCAGGAGAGCTTCTTCAGATCGTCCGCGGCAACTACCACTTGAGATTTATCACTAGCTTTCCAACCGATAGCGGTGGGTGTCAATCGAAATCTTCCTTTATCGGAATGGACTCCATAATGGATTCCATTGAAATCCACGTTTTTTCTGTCAGCCATGAAGAAAAAAATCGGAAAAGCAAAAGTAACGCGTCCTCACCAAAAAAAAAAAAAAATCGCTTTTTTTTGGGCACGGCGTTTTCCCGTGCGTCAGCTCGGCAAACTCCGCGCCATTGGTCAACAGCAGAAATCAACTTTTTTCGTTCAATTAATCCCAACGGTAAAAAATGATGCAACTTATCTCACAGAGACTTACTTTAATAAACGGCCTGTCAATTACCCTATACATAAAAAGGTCCTGAATTTATAGCTTCTCAAATGATTCCTAAAGTTTTATTTTCCAAGATCTGAGGCAGACTAACGCTTGACATGTTGATATCACTTGATTTCATTTCATGGCACTTGCTTTCTTTACTGTCATGGCTAAGCTTTATAGCATAAACGCATGAGGTAGCTCTTTGTCTTTAGACATAATCTTTAGTGAAGAAGCATGCATATACATTGTAGTAGGCGCGAGTTTGTGCAATTGCTTTTGCTGTGAACAACCATTATTGCGCATGAACGAGCAAGAATATAGGATTCGCTCCTTTGATTTCGATACAGCAATCAAGATAAGTTGATGCACTATACATTTGGCATAGTTTTTAAAGCGTCCATTTGTTATGCCGCAGAGAGTCTGATTGCGCATCCGTATTACAGACCTCATATTTTGGCTATTTGGCATATCTAGAACATTTAGTGCTTGTATAATAACGTAAAAGCTACTAAATTATAATTGTAGCAAGGCCAAATCTTATAATTGTATAAGTGCATATACAAAATCCGTTAAGTGCATTACCTCATTCCGATGCAAAGCGCTAAAGTACCCTGCTGCACGATTGGTTCCTGCAGTGCATGTTGTATAACACCAAGCCACTATAGAATGCTGAAGATAGAATAACTTTGGTGCAGTAGTTTGAATGTAAGATGGAATGTTAACAGTTAAAGTAGTGACATGACAACAGTTGAAAGACAAGTGACAATTGAATCTCGTGTTCAAACAATGGATAAATATGCAGAAATGGTTGGACAGAATACTGTATTTGTTGGATTTTTGTGGGAAAAGCTTATTCGTAAAAGTACTGTATTGGTCACGGAAGAACACGAAACTGGGCTTGCCATACACAAAGTCAAAGATTTATTTGCTTTGTTTAGAAGTATCGTTTCTTTGAACTCGTCATCTGATAAACACGAACTCAACTGTGTTTACAATGGTTTATAAGGTGACGTGAAAAAAAGAAAAACAATGGAAGCATCCCAGACGAATGGATGGAATGCGGATGAGGTGATATTTTTTCGGGTGCATTCCCGGATTTTCTGTTGGTTCACTTTTAACATGCAATGTAGTTTTTTGTCGCTTTTTCTTACGAGAAGCAAGAGGAATATTTTACGAAACGTTAGAAACATCAGCAGTAAAGGTTTTTTTGCTCCACGCGAACATGGATAAAAAAAAGAAGTCGCACCAAGCATCGAGAAAAGGAAACAGCAAGATATCATATGATGTCTGTGTTTCTTTAAAAAAAAAGTGCCTAGTAGAGAGAGTGAACAACTCATTTTAACTGCGCAGGTGATACAATCCACAAAGTGCAAACGCCTCTTTTTCTTGTTACTAGGTTGCACTAGATGACACTATAAAAGGGAGATTGATTTTCTAGCTTTCTTTGTTCTCTTTTTATTTTAGTGTTCTACATAAGTTTTTATATCTCTTTCTGATTTAAAACCGAAAACGATGTCTGATTTCTTTCATGAAGTGAATGCCATGTGCTCATATCAGTGCAGTATCTTTGATGGTGACATCGTACTTGATTCTGCCGTGGAAAGTATGTCGGCAGCTTGCATAGCTGGATGGCTTCAGCGCAACCCTACCGCCAAAGCATCGTTGACTCTGGATGGCGAAACTATCGATCTACCTGTATACACCTTACGAAGAAGAAATGCCGTCGTGGCTGACTTACCTGACGCTCCACCTCTTATTGTTGCATAAAAAAAAGGAACCCACTACTCATAGAATGGCATGCCGTCTTTCATCGTGTACATTTTTTTCCCCTTGCAAGGCATACCGTATAATTTATTTCTGAAAGCTTCATTTCAAGCTTTGTAAAAATTCTCGATCTATACATATCTCCATTTTCATCTTCCTTTTTTTTCCCTTTCATTTTTAGCTTATCTCCTACCATTTGTACCTGTGTATTTCTATCTTATTTTCCATTCAAAGTAAAAGCGCAGAAAGAAAAGGCATACATTGTGTGTTCGTTTGTCGAGTTATTCATTTTTTTCTGGAGGCTTGGAAAATGAGCACTGATGCGAGTGAACGTGTTTTTTGTTCTCCACTTTTATTGTACCGCATTCGGCAAGGATCACCCGACCAAGCTTTGTATTCCCTTTAGATCGCTGATGCCAAAAGATTTTTTTTTGTGGAACACAAGGATACAGCGATTCTAGCCTTTGATGGGACCGCTTGACGAAAAAAGCCACTATTGAAAAACTAGTTTGTATACAAAATTTGAACGCACTGGCTCGTCCTCAAGATAACACATTGTTACAGAAAAAATCACTCAAGTCGCATGAAAAGCATAGGAGAAGCATAGGAGAAGCAGCCCTTAGACATGAATTTTTTCTTTGTTCCTTCTCATATTTCTTCGTGAAGAGTTGCTTTGCGCTTCAGATAGCGGTGCAAGAGATATGATGACCGGTGGTAGACCAATTAGCTGCCATACTGTATGCATTTTCCGATTGGTTCAACGAGTGTTTGATAATCTAGAATTTGCATTTATTTGAATCTGCTCGGATGGTCTTTCCGTGATTACCTCGGTTCAGTCGGTTCAGCCGGTTCATTCGGTATCTGAGCAAAGCTCGTTCGGAATCTGACTTCCGCTCATGAAGAACAAAGCCTCGGTGATGTTCCCTCTTTAAAATAGCTTCGCCGTGAGCGATTCTTTAAATGACTCAATTGTTCCACTTGGATAGTTAATGAAACCCCGTTTCACATCAAGGCACTTGTAAACATGCATTATCAAAGCAAGCTGAATAGTTTGTTTGTGCAAGTTGAAACGTGCATCGTGCATGATATCAGACACAGCACATCGACGGCAGATGTTCTAGCCATGGAGTATATTCGAACCATTTCGTAGCATTGAGTTGACATGTTCAACAATGGATCGAACACGCTGATACATCTCATGCTTAGATTTCATTGATTTTTCGCAGCCATCGATCCCCGATGGGGCGTTGTATGACAGGCTTAGCGTGACTCTTGAAATCTTTGGAAAGGATAGAAATCGAGAATTTCTCTGGGTGAAGGGAAAATTACGGTTGCTCTGGCAGCAAGCTGAGGACAGTAAATGGAGAGCATCACGGCTCACCGTCCATTAGCTTGCTTACACGATACTCTATGCAAGACCTTATAGATGTATCCAAATTGCTCAGAACATAGATTGATCAAGCATGCTTCTGTCTGCTCATGGTAGATCCAAGCATTCCGTTGTATCATGTTAAACACTGTGTATTCGAAAGTTTCGGGATAACGCGATAAAGATGGTACAAACACTTTTTTGCAATGCATCGTATTGTTGTTCACAGTGTTTCCCACCTAGTAAGCACTGTGAATAGCAAGTAGATGCTAGATCAAGACATGCTCATACGTGAGGGTTGCTTTGCAACCCAAACTACCGTCAGCGACAAGAAAATTCGTGGCGGTGAGGATTCACGTACACATTCAATTATTTCATATAGTACATACTGGCAGAGGGGCGTACCTGTTCTGTCGGGTCTATTCACTATGGGCACTAAATGAAATACTTTTTCTTTACACTATTTTGTCTTGGCCATCAATAACGGATAAATGGCTTGTGTGTGATGGATACACTGTCATGGTTGGTATGACCTTGAAAAATGACATGAGGCCGGGCTGTAAGGGGCAACCGACTGCATGCTAAACGATTGAATTTCACTCTTGCCTTGTCAATGTAATTTTTGGGTTATCGCCACTCGGCGAAAGTAAAGGGATTGGCTGATGAAGTAACGGCAGTGTAATAGTTTAAATGCGCGTGGAACGGCATTTTTTGACACTGCGGATCAGAAAAGCAAGAAGTCTGCAATCCGCGAAGTGCAAGGCCCAGACTTGTGTGGATAAACGGGTTGCAACAATACCAGCTTCTGTTTGTGTTACTAGCACGTCACTGTACTCATCATTTGTTTTCGATCGACGCTGTAAAACACTACGGAACGATAAATGAGCTGAAGAGCACATCTCACGATGATGCATCTTTTTTATCAAAAAAACGATCAAGCTGAAGGTGATGTTGTAATCAAATAATACAGTATGTGGCGACATCCTATGTGAGAATACAGCAATGTTATCCATCTTTCATTTGGTAAAATCGTATATACAATTGCTCTTCCCAACCCATCGATAAGGTGCTGAGGAAGAAAGCAAATCATGAAAGAAATAAGGAGAATAAATATAAGGAAATGTACGTGTGTCTGTGTAAAATGTGAATGTAAGAAGAGGGTTAAAAACGAAAAAGAAAATATAAAGTAATCTCAAAGAACATGTAAACAATGTCCATGGATAAGGTATCTTGTGTGTAGGGGAAATCAGCACTTTTTTATCTCCCCGACCGCATTAAAGTGTACTGGATCGGTTGTAGAAAATAACGTTGGGCATGGAACTGCCTTGGGTAAATGAAGTATTGCGTCGTCGAAGCATGCTGTCCTCGGCTTCACGTTCTTCGAGTTGTTCCGACGGTAACAAAACGGCACGATCAATCGCAGCAGGCAGACCTTGAAACAGAAAGTACGATTAGCCACGTTCGTGCCAATGCCGTCGTAGGTGGGGACTACAATGATGGGACTTACCTCGATGACGGCCACGATACATCAATAGAATAAGAACAAGTTTGCTTAATGTGCGATACTGGCCTGCTTGAGACACAACGGTGTTTGGGTATCCTGTGGACGCACCGACGTTACCGAAAGCCGAAACACATTCGTAGATCACTGTAGCAATCGTGACCGGAGAAGGTGACATGATGGCTTCGCTTTCAAGAACGCAGATCAAAAAGATGCCAACAATGACCCAGCAAATATCACTGGTCAATTGTCGCTGAATCTGAGTCACGACAAAGAAATCCGGGCCTCGCAACACTTTTTTCGACGTTGTCATGACACTATTGATGGTAGGATGGCGACGGAGTTTGATAAATGGCGCAGGACCGGATAACTCTTGTTCGGTAAATCGCATGGGATCTTCATCATCGCCACGAAAAATGCCAAGAGCACGTTCCTGAACAAAAAATCCAAGTATGGTGAATACTCGCGTGCATTTATATCGACTCATCCGCCATTGTGCGCTTCAACATAGGGTATCGCTTTTACCTGATACACGTTACTGTTACGCATGGAGATGGCCACAGGGTATACACTGATATACATGGCAACAATGTAAACGAGTTGGGTGCCCGGATTAAGATCCATGAGAGATACCACACTGAATCCAGCTACAAACACAGTCGAGAACACAGGGGGTGAATATCACGCATTCATGGATTCAAAATTGAACTACAGTGTTTAGCCTTACCATTTCTCGTTGCAACCGATTGAAAAAGACCGTCGAGAAATCGCGAACCCCAAGTGATTCCTTTCAGCACCGGTAGCCAGTAATTGAGGGCTAGGAAACAGATGAGTTCCACCAAGGTGATGGCGATCAGAATAATCAAAAGCCACCAAGTTTGTGTGGAAGGGAATAATGTCGTGTAACAACGACGGGGATGATCAAGTAGAAAGCGAAAGGTTTCCCGGCGCATGGACCGTGACGCCGGCGTCAGTTTCCATAAACACCAGATGATAAATCGTAACAGAATGGCAAATGCAGTGTTACCCACTAAAATTAGAATAATGGAAATAATAAGTGGGAATGGTGCATTTTGAAACGGCGCCATGCTAGCATCCAAAAGTGAAAGGCCAAGGTTGTTGAATGCGGAAATACTGAGAAAAAACGAGAAGAACCAAGGATCGGACGGAGTAGGGTTGGAGGTGCGCAAGACGTCTTGGGCATAACTGGAGGCGGCAATATAGATTCGAACAAAGAAAGCAGACAGAATCATGAAGCCAAAGTAATAGGTGGGGACAAGACTCGTGAGGAAATCAATGGCTCGGTATTCGGCTCCTCCAATGCGATACCGCTGTTCGCGTGTCAGTTGACTTTTATCGACAGGTTGTCGCATAATATCGTCGCCATCGGCGGAGGTGGTATCCGTACTGAAGCGGTGATCGGCGTCGTGGGTATGTGATTCGTCTGCAATTTTTTGAAGTAATTCTTCAAAACGTCGATCTTTTTCCAGTCGTCGACGAGCTTCTTCACGTTGTTGTTTGATGTTTTCTGCAAATGCAATGCCCTGTGTTCCTGACACTGTGTGTGCTTCGGTAAACTGCGTGGTGCCAGTCAGGGAAGTCGGGGTCGTCACACGTTGAAGTGCGTCAGAATCGCCCGTCATGGATGCATGGCGACTGGATTTGTTATCGTCGAAAGAAGACGAAGTCGAGGCACCGGTGCTGTCAAAAGGATGACTCGGCATGGAGATTTGCTTTTCAAGATTGGGATAGTCCTCGTGCATGGGATGACGATCTTGGGTAATGGTGATGGCAGGATGACCTTGTTGGCGCATGGACTGCTGTCGTTCGCGGAATTGGGTAATAAGATGGTAAATGTCGTTGTTGGTACATTCTTGTCCGTCGCAGGAACCACGACGACTAGGGGAAAAACGGGGTTGCTTGGTTCCGCTGACAGGTGTGGATCGGGTGGACATGAAAGACATTCGTCGTCGTATCGGTTCTCCAAAGGCAATTGCACTGCCTTGTCGTTTGGTGGCCATTTCGATATCGTCGGCTCTTTGTCGCAGTTTCCGTCGATGTTCTTCACGCATGCGTTGCGCTTTATTGTAGATAAGAATATCTTCAAACCGTTTGGAGAAGTAGTATTTTCGTACACAGAGGATGATGATAGAAATAGCTACATGAGATGTGATGAGAGAATCGATGATCAGGAGCACGAGCTGGTATGTGCTCATAGCGGACATGGCGATGGTATTGAGACCGGTATTAGTAGATCCAGTAGTGGCCATAAAGAGAGCATCGATGTACGCCCAGTTTGTGCCCGGTTCACAGTAATACAGACCGGAGGAGATAAAGATCACCAAGGCGATGTACGAGTAGTGAAGTTCCAGGAAGTGGACCTTATTTTCCCAGAAATAACGTATTCTACTCCCCAGTCCGGTCATGGGTGGAAGAGAAAGAGAGAAGGAAAAAGGCAAGAAAGGAGCAGGAGAAAGAAAAAACTAGATAGAATGATGGTTTCGGAAGGTTGAGAAAAAAAATATGGGGAAGGGAAAAAGAAAATGAAATAAAAATTACATCTTTTTTAAAGGGGCTGCAGATGAATTGTCAAAAAAAAAAAAAAAATACAAAAAGATACTGGCGAGCTTGTTACAAATTGACTGCTTTCATTCACGGGCGGCGACTTAAAAAAAATCTATTGCTTCTGATGGGGAACTTGACAGTGTTTTGTCTGAGGCATTTCTTCGATTGGCGAATGGGCCTGAAAATAGCCTATTTTTCGATCCGCAATTGTTTCCGTAAATTACTATTCCATTCAAGCTGATTGAGATGAGATACGTCGAGCGGAAGATCTTCCTGTGTTTTGTCGCATGAGGGCCTACTTCATTTTCGGTTTAGCCAGGTATTGTTGCAAATCGTGTAACGACAGGACCGAATGGTCAAGCTACGGTTTCAAAGTGCTTAAACGAAATTATCATATGAGGATGACGCTATTCAATGAAAAAACGATCGTGTTCGTCTTTATCTGTATACTTTCCTCTATCTATGTTTGTCTTGCTTTTCTTTTTTTTTTTTGCATTACAAAATTAACAGTTACGCACTCGGGATTTTTTTGGTTCTGCTGCTCATTTATCAGTGATAAATTGAATACAGAAAATATATATACAATAAGGAGCCTCCATAGGGTGGTTTCCTTCTTTTTGTTCCTCTCATTAGATAGAATAAAGGAACGAAGCAAGGAGAGACGAAAACGACGTTACTTTTTTTTTCGCCACTGAATGACCGACACTGCCAGGGTGACCGGTGACTGATCGACCGACGCTTGATTTCTCAAAACATGAAAAAAATTTGTTTCACCTGTAATCATGCATGGTCACAAAAAAACAATGGGTTATTTTGTTCCAATCAGAATTGAGCAATTTTTTTCACCATGGCACAAGAAGTTCGATGTTCAAACCCAGGCCAAAAAGGAAAAACCTACTAATGTTGCTGTAAAGACTCACCCTACGTTATCGAAACGAATATGCACATCAATAACGTGCACGCTTGATCATCATACGCTTGATCATCATCCTAATAATTCTGGTCAAAGGCTTGGACGATGATGTGATGAAACACCTAATGATGTCAATTTAAAAATAAAAGAAATTCCATGCAACCACGATTATGTTCGTGGATGTCATCAAGTGTCATACTGCCATCATGCGCTTTCTGCATACGCTGCGAGTTTATTCTGTTATTGTTTTCTTGTCCAACAACCGGTTCGTTGTCTGTAAAGGCAAGAGAAACTCTGCGCGATTTGTTATCACACGTCATTTCTAACGTATTTGTTCCTGGCATCACGAGGGCCATCGAATAAGCCGGATACGCACGTATCTCTCACGGTCCTTCATCCTGGCCCAGAATGCATCAAATTTATTGCTCGGGCACGCTATACACACATGTATCAGTAGAGATCAGACGACCCGTAGGTACAAATAAAGGTGGATCTTTATCATTTCATGCAGCAAGCGAACCAAAAAACAGGAACAGAGCTTGTTTTTTCATGATATATCCACGTATCACTTTGTAATATGTTTTTATTCTGTGACAAAAAACAATACTGTATAATCAATGGGATAATCATCATCCATTATACGTGATTTGAAACACATGATCGCAATGTGTATGTTCATTCCGGTGGCTAATACGCTAACATGGTTGTTGGAGTTATGCAAAGAATGGACCTTGACGAGAATATTGGATTGGTTTTGCCTTTTCAAAGGCGAAGGATTGCTTACAACCTACTGGTAGTTCTTTACCTCAGACATCCGACAATAGGGTTGTCTTCCTCAAAAATATGTATCAATAAATTACATGACGTGAGGATAGAAACTATAGAACTTTACCTTGTTGAAACGTAATCTGATCCACATCGACGGACCATGAAATGAATTGATCGCTGTTTATGACAGAAATCGGAGAGATCTATCACTTCCACCTAATACATCTATATACATAATTATGCATTATCTCTCGAGGATAACATTTAGATAGAAAGTTATCTGAGGATCATGGGAATAATTTAGAGTTTGTGTTGCTTACATTGCTGCTTTAGTGTCGGTGGGGCAACTAAATCATTTCCGAATTCTGGAAACCATGTTCCCCAAATGTCGGTAGATAGGTAGATAGGTAGATAGGTAGATAGAACAAATACCTTAAGTCATTTGCTATTATACCGTCATTGACTGTTATTGACTGAGTTTTTCTTCTTATTTGTCTTCCTTTGGACTTTTTTTTCAATGTCTGTGAAACGATACCACCTTTGTTTTACGTAATACGTTTACCGAGACAGAGTCGCAGACATTGTATCTGGTATCTGAAGGAAGCATGACAGCTGTCCTCTATTGCAAACCAACACAGAAGAGTTTTGCCGGAGGTTGCAATTTCACAAAAGAAAAAATATTTCATCTGCCTTCTTGTATGCTTCTTGCATCGCCACCCTCTAATATGTTACTTTTTTAGTGTGCATTTCACGTTGATCAGCGATAAATGGTTCTGCGTCGTCCGGCCTGATTTGTCGCTTCCCATTTTTTTGTCATTGACTTCAAGTTTTGTGACTTCAAATTGACTTGAATGTCAGTGCTCTTCACAAGCATTGCCAATGAAATCTGGATGTCAACTCCGTTAAAGTCAGGCCTTCAGATACGATATGACGGATAATGTCGTGACATGGCCAGCCAGCTAAAGCCGTGACTCTGCGCTATTTAAGGACGAAATTCCATAGCATGTTATTTACCCAGTAGATCTTGATATCAGTCTTCTGATCAAAAAGTCTATTTTTGTAATCATTCAAGCTTGTCCTTGCGCCTACTGATTAGTCGTTTTCTGCTTTTGAAAACTTAATATTGGCGTTTTCAGCCATTCATATTTTTGAAATATAATATAAAATCAAGATGTTTTTTTCTTCATGCTCCAGCATTGAGCTTTAAGAAATGCTGAAAACTTGGAACAATAACTGTATTAACTAATATATCAGAAAAAGAGAACAAGAAAAAAAATATTCTATATATAAACTGTAATGCGAGAAGCGGTTAACTGGGTGGGCATAAGAACCCTCCCGTTGGCGGCGTCGCTGCCACGGTCGGCACCCAAATGATACCAAAGATATGGAAGGCTACCTAAAAGAGACAATAAGGTTTAAAAATTTGGCATCTGTGTATTCCATATGAGAAATGCCCATCGCTGGGATTTGACTTACGTGGAGAACAACATTGAGCGCAGGAGATGGCGCTCCTGCTTTTTGTGGTCCGCATGCATTGTACAAATTCTGCATCGTCGGGTCATTGCCCATGAGCACAGGTGCATAATCGATATTGAACACAACTGGGAGATTGATCAACCTTCGAGGCGGTAGCACGATGGAGGAAATACTGCCGAATGCAAACTTCTTCAACGTTAAGCTATCCATTAAAGCAAAATCCAGCCTTGTGATATGGGTCGGGATCCAGTTTTCGCGATTGTCCAGTGTCACATTCACTTGCCACGTTGCACGCATCGTCGCATGCGTATTTTCTGGAATCCATCGCGTTACAGCGACATTATCAGCACGTCCACCCAGGATTACCAACGGCGTACGTGGCCAGCAAAAGAACGCCGCCACCGCTCCTAGAACGCAGATGATAAACATGGAGAAAACGCACACTCGCGCCCATAATCGCTGTCGGTTGCTTTTCAAGTCAGACGTAGGAACCTCTGAAACGATGGATGATGCATGATCGTCTGCTTTTTTGTCTACGGCAACCGCCGTCTCCCAACGTTCCATGTACTGTGGGCAGTCATTTTTTGTTTCCATATTCGCTACGGTATGATTCGGGTCGTTCGGTATGTGCAGCGCTACACCGTGGTCGTAACAAGAAGATACAGAGGAACCACAACAAGATCGAGTATTCATCGATCGGTAGCATCCGTCTTTGTCATCGCAGCAGTAATCCGCATTGTGGACATGGGCTGACGCACAATAGCTTAGTTTTTTGCAACTACAGACTATGGGATGTCTACCATGGTCAGTCACGGTGTGCTCCAACATAAGCTATATTTATATGAGTACCTGTAGTTGCATCGTTATCTATTGGATGACCATCACAAAAATGAGCGGATGAAGAAGAGTCGTTTTTATTCATCAACAAAACTGAAGAAAAAAAGGGAAATGAGGAAAAATGGCTTTTGCTTATGAGCGGCAGCATCAAGGTTAAAACTGGGATGCATGAAATTCACCCCCTTGAAGAGTCACAAATCATATCAAACAAATCAAGCCATAAACAATCCATCCCGCAGCCATATCCATCTTACTCTGGCCTGCTTACGTTTATATTGCAACGGCCCATCTTTCGTCACGGAATCTGAACGCAAGTTCGCGTTAACGTTAACGAGCCACGGCGTTTTCCGATGTCGATTCCGTTTTGTGACAAATTACTATTTTAGGCAGCGCGGGAAAAAAGACGCGGTGGAAAAATGCTTTTCCCACTTTTATTAATCCTTTTTTCTGTTGCAGTGAGCGTTGGATATATCCTTCTCATTTAGTAAAAATAAAATGGTACAAACAAAACCGTTCGGCGCTTGGCCATCGCCCGTTACTGTGGAATCGCTTACTGTAGGTAAACCCGCTACGGATGTTTGTGTTGATCCGACTACGCAATGCGTTTACTGGTGCGAAGTGATTCCGGCCGAAGAAGGACGCGGTCAAATTTTCTCTCAGTCGCTTCGTGGACCGTCCTCTCCTAAACCGTTGCTTCCCAAAGGCTACAGTTGCGTTTCTCGAGTACACGAATATGGCGGTGGTAGTTTCAAAGTGCACAAGGGTCTTCTTGTATTCTCAAACGATACCGATCATCGTTTGCACAAGATCGATTTAACTCGCGATTCTCTAACCATCACACCTCTGACTCCGGAGAACAAACTGCTTCGATATGCTGATTTGGACATTACCGACGAATACATTGTTTGCGTTCGTGAGGAGCACTTTGAAAATGAGGAACCCAAAGACGTCGTCAATACACTCGTAGCTATCGACTTGCAAGGCCAGCAACCGGTTCAGATTATTGCTCAAGGCAACGATTTCTATTCTACCCCTCGTGTTTCACCAGACGGCAAGCACTTGGCTTATATCACTTGGGTGCACAGCAACATGCCCTGGGATTTTACTCGTCTTTATTATGCTAGCATTCACTACAACGCAGGCAAGCTCACTCTCGACTCGGACGATTGGATCGCTGGTAAAACCGTCGATGAAAGCATTGTGGTAAGTACAGGTCAAAAGAGCTCAGCATCTGTGCGACAGTGTACCACATCAACTTAAACCGGGCCATTGCAATAGGAATGCAAATTTGGCGTCGATAATACGTTGTATTTCGCCTCGGATCGCTCAGGCTTTTGGAATATTTATCGCTTTCATCAAGATGAAATCCAACTCGTGCTCGAGAAGCCATTGTCCCAGGAATTTGCAGGTCCCGCCTGGCGATTCAATGATTCTTCCTTCATCCCTTCGCAGACCGATGCTTCTAAGCTGTACTGCATCAACAAGTCAAAGCTTGCCGTGATTGACGTTTCGAGTCGCAAAATGACGGACATTCCTACCAACTTTGAGCATTTTGATCAGCTACGCACGTTTGTACTGGATGGTCAGGAATATCTTGTTGCCAATGCCGCTTCTACAACCGCTTCGGTGGAATTAGTTGCGTTGAACGTGGATACCAACGATGTCAGCGTGTTGAAACCTTCCAGTGGACTCTCACTCGATCCCTCGTATATCTCCATTGGAAAAGAAATCGAGTTTCCCACCACCGACAACAAAATATCTTATTGTTACTTTTACGAGCCAAAGAATCCTGAATATGTTGGCGAAGGTCAACCTCCGTTGCGTGTGCTTTCTCACGGCGGCCCCACGTCCCAATCAGACAACGCTTACTCGCTTGCTATTCAGTACTGGACCACTCGCGGCTTTGCCGTTGCCGATGTCAATTACAGTGGCAGCACAGGCTACGGACGGGAATACCGCAACCGTCTTCAGAAGAACTGGGGTATTATGGACGTCGACGATTGCTGTAATGCCGCTCTTTATCTGGCTGAAAAGGGCTTGGTTGATCGTAATAAATTAGCTATCGAGGGTGGCAGCGCAGGTAAAAGAAAAATTGTCAAGTGCAAATGATATGTTTGGATTCTCATCTTTTGTCGCCTTGTCTTCCGTGCTCAGGTGGTTTCACGACACTGTAAGTTGCTATACAAAGGATCTTGTTCCTTTTACTGAGATTATTGACCCCTCTATCCATTAGTGCTAGTGTGGCTTTCCGCAATGTATTCAGTGCTGGATGCTGCCTTTACGGCATTTCGGATATCACGCTTCTCGCAAAGGAAACTCATAAATTTGAATCCCGCTATCCTGGTATGCAATGTATAAACGAACCGAATGAGTAGAATGATTCGAACTTGACAAAATTTGAACCGGTGTAGATCAACTTATCGGCGAGTACCCCAAGGATGAGCAAGTGTACATTGATCGGTAAGTTTGGCCCCCGGTGGAGGAGAGGAGGCGAGGAGGTTTTCCAGCCCAATGCTTTGCATCGATGACACAAACTGAACACACAATATCATCACCAACAGCTCGCCTTTGTTCAAGGCTGACCAGATTAAATGCCCTGTCATCTTTTTCCAAGGTGCTGAGGACAAGGTAGTCCCACCTTCGCAATCGGAAATTATGGTCGAGGCTATGAAGAAAAAGGGAGTTCCTGTTGCTTATGTGAAATACGAAGGCGAAGCTCACGGTATAAACAAAAAGAAGCGTACTCCAATCTGGACAGCCATCTAAAATAGCTTCTTCCCTTTCTCTAGGTTTCCGTCGGGCTGAAAACATTAAGCGCACCATGGAACTTGAACAATGGTTCTATGGTCAAATTTTCGGCTTCCCTGTTGAAGGCATTGAAGGAGTGGAAATTTACAATTTCTCACCATCGCAGTAAATGAAAATCATTATCGTCTGGTTCCTCCATATGCGATCTTTACCCATGTTCATCCTCTCTTTGGATGCTGAAAAGCTCGTACAAAATAAAACCATGTCACAATGATGGAACGTTGATGCAACTTCACACTAAGAGCACATCAATGTACTATCGCAAACTGATAACACGACCCCATTTGCATTCGTTTGTTTTCTGCCATTGAAATAATATGAATCATTTATTGCTGCTCACTAAATGAAAGGGATTCGTGTTATTGATTTTCTTGCCAATGGAATTCATTTTCATGCAATTTGAGTCACTTACGTGAATATAAACAGATTATTGGTTGCAGCTACAGCGATGGTATTTTCTCGAGGATGCCAAGAAGCATGTAAGATCTTTTTACCGAAATCCATCGAATCCGCATTGGCCATACCCATCTTGTTGGGACCTCGTGTTGTTGCCAGCTTGTTCTTTGAGGAACCGGGACGCTTGGCCTTGAATGCACTTTTATCAGCCTGCAATGTGACATCGCCCTTTCCTTCTCGGTCATAAAGATGGAATGTGTTGTTGTAGGAACCGGTCAACACATGCCTGCAATAATAAGAATTGATACAATTGAGTGAACAATGATCCCCAACCCCACTCAGGTTCTTTCATGCGAAAACAAGAGTAAGTTTACCTGTCATCACCGCTGAAAGTACATTCGAACTTGTCGAAAATGCAATCATTCTCATACAAGTCGCACAGTTTGGTTCTGAGTTGATCATGAATGTTGATGGTTTGTACGGGTTTGTTGTCCATGTTGATATCCCAGATTTTGAGCGTCAGGTAATCGCGTGAAAGAATATAACGTCCATCGTGACTGAAGCTGACGTCCGATACAGAAGAAATGATTTCGGAGAAAAACGATCGGTTGGCTGGATCTTCTGGTTCCTCGAACACTGTGCAGCAAAACGGAGCATTGATTTAACGTTTACACTTGACACATCTCCATTGACAATTCATGCCACGCTTACCCTTTGCATGCTGATCACATAAAGCCGATTCACGCATATCGCTCAACTTGATAGTGCCTTTGCTTGAACTGTACATGAATACATTGCAGTGATGGGGATGGAATTCAGCGGCTGTAATCACTTCTGTCAATTCTTCCATATTGGCCGGTTTAATATCGACAATATCTGTGAGAAAAGAAAAAGCAAAAGGGGAAAAATAAGAATGAATACGACGAAAATAGTTGGCAACAACGACAGCGCGCGCTTTTTGGCTTCTGGTTGCATCCGATACTTACTGAAACTCTGGTCCGAAATATCAAGATTCCATAGATTGATACGTAAATCATCAGCGGAAATGTATGTTTCGCTGTCAGAGTTGATGGATATCGAATTGATGTGGTAGGCATGAGCTAAACGATATGTAACATGAGATTAGACGCCATGAGAAGAAAGATCGTCTTTTTTTTTCTTACCATTAGCGTATACTTTTCTGGGGACAGCAGCAATAATGGTATCATGATGTGCTAATTTGGGAACACGCAGTGAGCTTGCGATCGGCTGCGGGCCATCACTGAGATTATTTTCTGCTACTACTTTGAGCGACTTCTCAAAGACTTTCCATAACTTGATTGTTTTATCTAGACCAACAAAAAAGGTCAATAAAGGGACGATTTCAAATCCGTGAAAACTTTACCATTTGTCGATAATAAAAAGTGGGCAGCGTTGGTTCGCCGACACCATTTGATCTTGTTGATTTTCTCTTCTATTTCCAAGCTTTTCAAATAATCGAATTCGGCTTCATGGGACTGGAACTCGGTGTGAAATTTGTATTCGCAGCCTTTTTTCTGCAGATGACCAAGTTAGCATGCCATTGACACAAGGCAAAGTCACTTTGTTCAACGTCATCACTCACGCTTTCATTTCGTTCGAAAAGCACTACACGTCCGCCTTTGTCGCCCGTTGCAAGGTAATCACCCGTTTGATCAAATTCCACCGTCGAGATGATATCAGCTGCACGAATGGAAAAGAATAACCGTTATTTAATACAAGTGGTTTGAATTCAGAGAGTTTAATAAAGCAGTGTGGCGTTTGTAAAAGGGTGGTATGGCAGTACGTAATACACCTCTCACCGCGGGGATGCAGCGTCAACATTTGCACCCAAGGTAGAGGACATTTTCGGGCGAAGGGGAGGATGAAGCGAGTCAAATAGGTATGCTTACCTTCAGTGACGTCGTCGGAATCGCCTTTGTCGCCAAAGCATTGAGCAAATTTCCAGTTATGTTCTTCGTTCATGGTTTTGCGATTAGTCTTTTTTTTATTTTTTTTTGTCAGTTGGCGGTGCACAAAAGAAAGCCAGTGAAATCGGGGTGAATTTTTTGCTTTTTTTTTTTTATTTTTCCAGCTCAGGCGCGCCTTTCATGAACATCAGACACGCACAGAGGACTGCGAAATTGATGCAGATCCTCGGCTCCGATGCAAGGGAGGAAAAAACCCAAAAATTCCTAATCAACTCTTTATAAAAAAATAAAAAAACCTTCAAATTCCTCCAACGTGTTGCATTTCTCTGTTAATAATGTCAAGTCGATCAAGTATTTGGTAAATGAACTACCCAGGAAGCATTAATTAAGTACATTTGATTGTTGCAATTCGAAAGATTTGTTCAGAATATCGATGCTGAGCAAATGATGGATTGGATAGTTTAATATAGACAATTTAGGTCAGCAAACCGAAGTATAGAGAGCAACAACAATACATTTTTACTCATTTATCCTGTCATGAAAGCATAGAATTCCTTACTTCAACCATCAGCAGTAATAGATCTTGTTTGTAGTTTTTTCTTACTTTAACTTTTTCGGACACAAAAAAAAAAGAAATAACATATCAACCTAAATCGTGCGTACCGTAAAACACTGCTTCACAATGGCTGCAACTTCCCATAATAGAAAACTGTCTGGATAAAAAAAAAATGCATTAAAAGTTGGGTGAAATGCAGTCATTCACCACGACAAAGTATCATTAATTCCTGCACTGTCATTAAAATGGTATTTCTCAGACTTATAACTTGATGTGGGATAGTTATTTTAATTATGTTAGTTCGCCTGGCCAGCGTTCCTGTGAAATGATGGAGAGTGAGATGCATTGCTTTGGTCATATCATATAGCGAACTTACATAGAGTCCAACTGGGCTTTGAATCGCTTATTGATATCTTGTCGCTTAATTTTTTGCGCAGCTGTCAGCAGTCCCTATCAAAATGAACCAACGTGAGTGACTCGCTGGAGATACATTGCATCAAAATGCGGATACTTACAGACTCCACCGTCCATTCATCATGGCAAATGTAAACATCAAAAATCAATTCCGCCGACTTGAAACCAGCCTTCTTGCCTTCTGTGATTAACGCACCTAAGATTGCCTTTTTCAATTTTGGATGCTCACAGAGACGTTCCCAGCATGGTTCTTCAATATCCAGCTCCTTGGCCAATTGTCGTACAGCCGGTTCAGCCGGGACCATCACCGCCACTGGACGAGGCAGAAGGGAATCACCATACACACAGAGATTGTTCACATATAGGCAGCTCTTGTAAACGGACTCGAGTTTTTCAAGTGCAATGTATTCGCCGTTGCTCATTTTGACCAGATTCTTTTTACGATCGATGATCGTCAAAGTACCATTGGCGTTCCATTGAGCAATGTCACCCGTCTTTAACCAGCCGTCCTCAGTAATGGTCTCCCGCGTCAAGTCGTCCCGGCGCCAATAACCTTGCATGATCGACGGACCGCGGGCCCACACTTCACCTTGTGGAATGGGATTATTGGAAAAGTAATTGGCTTCTGGTACATCCACCAGTTTGACTTCGCAGCATGGTACGGGCGCTCCGACATGACCAAACCCATGTTCTGCCGGTCGCATTAGAGCACACATTCTAACGAGCAAAGTATTATTTTTTAGCATCATGATTTTCTTCCGTGAGCCCATGAGGACATTGATGAAAAAACTTACCCACAGCTTTCAGTCATACCGAAGCCGCCCAATAGAGGGCATACGGCCACGGTAAGGAACCTTTGGGTCTCGAGAGCTAAAGGAGCACCACCAGATAGCGCATAACGAAGACGACCACCCAACTGTGCCCTGATCTTGTTGAACACGATTTTATCGAGCACAGCTGTAGATAACTGCTTTTCCTGAAGCCAAGCCTTGCAAGCAAAAGCTTTGTGAAAGATTTTCTGGGACGTAGGTGAAGCAGCATTCACCTTTGACAAGATGCCCTTACGGATCGATTCCCACACAGCCGGCACACCCGCCATCAACGAAGGTTGGAACTCTTTAATATCACCTTGGCAATTGCGTACCGATGTATCCGTCAACGTCTTTACTGATCCATATCCGATCGTAACACCCCAGTAGATGCAACAGTTTTCCACAGCAAATTCCAATACATGCGCCAGTGGTAAGTAAGCAATGATACTGTCATCAGGTTTGAGAATCGGTTGCAACAGTCTAGTCACACCCGCCACTACGTTGTAATGAGAATGAAATCTAGTTTAACATTCGTTCTAAACCGCATCTGCTTATTCTTTTTCTCTCTTTCTTGAACCCTTACCTGCAGCCACGATATTCTTGTGTGTCAAAACGACACCCTTTGGATCACCGGTGCTTCCAGAGGTATACATAATACAAGAGAGATCGTCCGGAGTAGGTTTCTGAGGAGTAATTGGATGTTCCTTGCCCAAATCAAGCAGTGCTTCAAACGACAAGGCATTTTGAATGTGATTGATCGACTTGAGCTTATCCAAAGTGTCCGGGGAGGCAACCCCGTTGTAGATAATGACACGGAGGGAAGGGCATTTTTCAACTACGCGGGCTACGGTGGGCAAAAGCTCCCCCGTGGTGAAAATAGCTTGCACTTCGGTTTCATTCATTGAATGCAGTAATCCATCTTCACCGAGGGTTTCATAGGCTGTGACCATGGTCATATTTTGCGTAAACAGTCCGTGAGCCATTAATAACCAGTTTAAACTGTGGCCAACATTTTAGATTAGGAATTGGATCGATCGCATCCCGATTTTGGACATTTTCTTACCTCGTGGAGGCGAAAATTTCGACCTTGCTCTTTTGTTGCAGGCCCAATTGGACCAAACCACAGCCGACCTGATGTGCGATCTCCACTGCTTCCCTGTAGGTAATATAATGGAAAGGAGATACCTGAAAGTATTTCCACGTTTTCTTCTCCTTGGTTTCAACACCATCGACAAACTTCGATACTTCTTTGATTTCCTCGATCGTGTTTTCGACTTGACGGAATCCGAATCCTTTTTTGTCCTTGTATTTTCTGGCGCTCGATTGCAACACGTCGTACAATGTCTGAACGTCAGGAGCGGGGACTTGGAGAACACCTTCTGGTGCGAGGTGAGATCGACGAATGGGACCACCTCCGGGCTGGTTTGTCCCAATTTCAACGGAGAATTGCTTCATTGTCACAAACAATAACTGGTTAAAACAGTGAAGAAAAAGATCGAAGCAGAGAAATGCAGAATGGAGGTTTTGATAGATTTCTAAGCCTTTTTGGGGAAATTGGGTAAAATTTGTAACTCCGTGACACAAGCAATTGCTCAAGAAAGAAATAAAGGAAAGTGCGAAAAAAGAAAAAGGAAAAAGCTTAATTCTTTGATCCCCACCATTACACCTCAAAAAAAGGCAGTCCCATTCCATGGAGACTCATTCAACGGCCTCAATCCCATACAACCATGGTAAAGGAGTTGGAGGCCCATGGGTGCCTCCAAGGGAACTGGATGACTAATAAACCAGTCGATCGACCATCCAACCGTGACGCGATCGATCATCCCAGTTAAATAAAAAAAAGTCAAGGATCTTTTTTCATCGGATCAAGTACCTATCGTTGAAACCTAATGGTATGGCCCCCTGTTTATATGCTCATACTGTAACAACAAGGTTTTTATACTGGATGGTGTGGTTGTTATTTTCATGTGAATAGGAAAGGAGAAAAAAAAAAGATTCTAAGTTACACAATGCCTGGGACATTGTCGCGCCGAAATCATCCAGCCTTTGATAGGTTGCATCTGATTTTGTGCGACACTATATGATGGTTCCGAAATTTATTGTAATGAGCGACGCATGTAGTACAAATCAAACTTGGAGAATCTCATTTCTTAGGAGAAATCCCATTTCTTATGACAGCTTGTGTTGATACGGGAGCCGGATATCATTACTATACGAAGACTCATATCATGTTATCATCATCAAGATGATGAATGAATTTGACATTGAATTTTCTTTGACTTCATTGTGACCAAACGTTTCGGCTTGGATTCTATGGCCTGAAAGACGAAATATAACAAAGAGCTTCCGACATCATAAAACGGCAGTTTTTGCAGAATTGAGCGACCCTTGGTCAACAAGCATGCGCGGTTGGAACAGAATAATGTTCCAAAATACAACTTTCAGATTTCTTTTCTATTCTAATGAGGATTAACTTGAAGTATTTAAATTTCTGATCCCTTTGGTCGCTTATCTGTTTGGGTATCGTTATCTATCCTCATTTCTGAATTTGCTTTTGCATTATCAGCGTAATAAAGTCTCTTGTTAGGTTTTTGTATCATGCATAACGTTCGATCGTTGTGTGCGAATGAGATCGACCGTTGACTGATTTTTAAAAAAGATTTTCGATGGTTTCAAAAACCGATAAATGAATAAGAGATTAGACATACCGCCACACGAAGCTTGGAATATTGGCAAAAGGATATCACAATCAAAAGCATTCTAACTGTTGTCTCTGGAATATCACTGAGTTCCCTCGCGGGTGGTTTAACTTGGTTCATGAGCCATATTGAATGACGAAAATATTCGCACAATATCTTTATAATCTATCTATCTATAGTAAAGAATGTTGGGGTTCAGGTCAGCCTACCTACGCTAATGATTATCTTGATTCACAGGAGTGGCTCATACTCAAGAAGGAAAAAATAAATGGAGCAAGTTTCGATAAATAACAATGACCGTACTTTTTATTTCCCGCAACCCAAGAGAAAATCAATCAGTACGTTATATGCATGCAAAAAAGTAATGACATCGGGTTCACAAGCACCATTCCTTTTCGTTTCCCCTGGGGGACAGAAATGAATCGTTTCCGGTGCGATACGAATGTGCTGAGTTTGAATGGTGAAGACGAAAAGAGGGATCTCCATCCCTTCCGCTGTTGGCATCCTTCCCGATTTCACCCTACAAAAGCTTAAAATGGGTTGTTTTGGACCAAAGCGCCAACGGACCAATGGTACCATTGTCAGAAAACCGAATTTTTCCGGATTTAATACTTTTCTACCTCACCTCTCAATAGCTTGGTGGGTCACAGCACTCCCATAGTATCCTTTCTCCTCCTCTTCCCCTAAGTAGTAAAGTCTCTGTGCGCATATGAAGATTTCAAACTATATCCATAAAAGTCAATTTGATCTTTGTTCTCTTTCACCAATGATATGTCAGCTTCCGATAGCACAAAAGGCAAAAAGAGCGCAGAGATAATAGGAGAAACAGTACTTCTTCAAAGCTTCAGCACGAGAAATGACGGGAAGAAGCCGCGAAGATAAAGGGGCCAATTTCTACCACGTGGCTAAAAAGGGAATTCATGGCTCTAGGTATTTTTCAGAAGCTGTAACAAATCGGGAGTCCGTTTGCTGGCTGTGTCTGAAATAAATACTTAATCGGGCAAACGATAGATATTGAGTCTGTGTCACGATGATAATGAGGGCTGGAGAAAAAAGGAATACAGAAGGGGATGAAACCGGTAAGCTCTAGCTTATCTCTTGCTATACGTTCCGGCCATGAATAGCCAAACCATTCATAAACGGCCATCATTCATCGTCCATTTCCTCTTTTTTCTTCTTCTTTTCTTATTCCAACACTTTCTTTCTTCACTATTCTTCCCCACATTATGCATCTGGTTCCACGAGAATTAGATAAGCTTCTCATTCATCAAGGTACTTGTCAGCAACAATGCTTGTGTGACCTATCCTTTTGCTCATCTTTTTCTATTATATCTGCACCTACAGTCGGTTCTTTAGCTCAGCAACGTCTTATTCGCGGCATTCAACTTAATCACGCCGAAGCCAATGCCCTGATCGTCACTCAACTACTCCAATACTTGCGCACCGGCCGCTATTCAGTTCCCCAGTTATTGGAAATGGGCAAACAGATCCTGGGACGCCGTCAAGTCCGACCTGAAGTGTCCGATACACTTCAGAAAATTCATATCACCGGCAATTTCCCAGATGGTTCTCGTATTCTTGCGATTGACAACCCTATCTGCACCGAGAATGGCAATTTGGAAATGGCCTTTTATGGCACTTCATTATCGTTGCCTGATTTGGATCAATTCCCCTCGTCTCCGCTCTCATCTCGCCAAGACCAGTCGGACAATCAAATCATCCAGCCTGGCATGATCGATTTGAATGTCAACCGAAAGCGATACTCTATTGCGGTTGTTAATCACGGCAGTGAACCTGTTCGAGTATGTCTCGTGAAAAAAAAAACCATTAATGCAATAATAATACTCACATTTTTCCTTTCTTTTCCCATCAGGTCGGCTCCCATAATCATTTCATGGAAGTTCATGCTGCATTGAGCTTCAACCGAGCTTTGGCTTACGGCATGCGATTGGATATCCCTGCTGGCGCCAGCATTAACTTCCAACCTGGTGACTACAAAGTGGTTGCTCTCGTGGAAATTGGTGGCAAAAAGATCATTTCCGGTGACAGTGTGGCTTCCGGTCCAGTCGATATGATCAAGTTGCCCTCGATTATGATGCATCTCTTGAAGAGAGGATACCTCCATGACCCCAAGAGCCCTTTGCTGCCTTACACCCCTCCTTGCTCTGTCGACCGCCAGTTTTATGCCCAACAATATGGACCCACCACAGGCGACATGGTTCGTTTGGGCAATACACAATTGTGCGTCTCTGTGGAAAAAGATTACACCGTTTACGGCGACGAATGCAAGTTTCCCACCGGAAAGATTCCTGCCGATGATATGCGCCACATGGCTAGCATCGATGATAAACAAGCTCTTGATTTGGTGATTACCAATGCATTGGTCATCGATTCCACAGGCATTATCAAGGCCGATATCGGTATCAAGGAGGGTGCCATCGTCGGTGTTGGCAAAGCTGGCAATCCAGACACAATGGATGGTGTAACCTCGGGAATGATCCTTGGCCCCAACACGGAAATATTAGCAGGTGAAGGCAAAATGTTTACCGCAGGCGGTATTCATTCACATGCCGATGCTGTTTATCCGGACCTAAGCTATCATGTAAGTTATCTCAGTGATATTTTTTCTTCTCCAATGATCCCTTCAATTAATCAATGTCTGCTCTTATTAGACTCTTGCCAGCGGTGTCACCACGCTTATTGCATGTCCCAACGACATACACTCCGATTTTATTGCCCACACCATGAAAGCTACCGATAGCCTTCCCATCAACTTTGCTGTGATGGCTAAAAGCGCGCAGATTGACAAAGACAGTGAACGATCCACCCAAGACAAACTGGAAGGCGCTGGCGCCATTTCCGCGATCCATTCTTCCTCTTCCATCGTCGCAAGCACAGAAATCGTCGAACAGACATGGCAAACCGCCAATATAATTCTATCAAAGCAAGACAAGTTTTCGGAAGACTCATGTAGACACGACAACAATTACTTGGTCAAGCGATCCATTGCCGCATACACCAGTGAAGCGGCTGCCACCCACGGTATCTCCCACATGGTTGGGTCCCTAGTTGCGGGCAACTTGGCCGACATCGTTTGCTACCAAACCGAATTTTTCGGTTCCAAGCCTGATTGCGTTTTAAAATCTGGTGTGATTGCCTGGAGTTCTTTGGGTAAGTTGCATGGCTAGTTTTTTTTTGATATTTTGATGATACAGGAAGTTTAACGACTTATTCCTACCACTTAGGCAATCCTCATAAACATATTCCAACCATGCAATCTATTCTCGCTCGATCTATTTACGACACTCGAGCTTCCAAACTCCCGGAAAACTGTATTCTGTTTACCTCCAAACTCGCCCTCACAAATGGCAGCCTTCAAGATTTCGCTTTACGGAAACGCATTGAAGCTGTCCAACCTTGTCCCACAACATCGCATTCTATCGGAGTCACTTCCATGGTAGATTCACGCAAAGACGCTACGAAAGCATACTCGCATGCATGCAAACCTGTCGATACCTTGCCTCTTCAACCCTCTGTATATCTTTTCTAATTACTACCTTTTCACCGATAATGCCTATTTTTCCTCCATCCCGTAATCCCATTTTGCATTTTATCTTTTTGCTTCATACTCCTCTTCATTTGTAAACATACCATATAACGCAAGTACCCCCTTTGAGCTTGCTTGAATACCATTTTTTTTTCTTTTTGCTTTGCTTTCTAATACGCTATATACACACGTATAAACTCCACCGTCTTATTACGTAAAATCATACAAATACTTGTCAATTTCGAAGCGTACACTTTTAGCCACCGAGCGAATAAACTCAAAGCTGACATTGCACTGATATTTGGCTCCATCCAGGCGATCCATTTTAGTCGATCGAACCAGTAATCGTAACGTTGTTAAGCTGGTGATCTAATCATGACCGCACCTTATCAGCAGGGGGAGCGAAAAAACAAAAATGCAACCATCATGCTTACCTGTAATTGGATATCAATATTGTCTTCCAGAGTCTCTCCGATGATACTGTAAAAGATGGCCAGCATACGTTCTACAGGAAAAGGCTTCGGTCCCAGTAATTGCTGTCTCATTTTGCCTCCCAGCTTGTCAACAGTGCCTTTACGCACCCCGCCGCCCTTTTTCTTCCGTCGCTCTTCGGCTGTTCTGGAAAAATAGCGAACATCAAACTTTGGAGGATTATACGAGGCCAGGTAAGAAGCTAGTAACAAAAACTTGGTGTAGTATGGCAAGTCGAAATCGGCTAACAACCAACGATATTCGTTTAGAAAGCGTGAATCGAGCATTGATTTTCTCATCCGGTTTACCTCTGTTTCCATTTCGTGAGTTTTGCAGGAATGATGTAGCGGTTGTTTTTGTATCCAGTTGTTCAGTAGCTTTCGTCCACTCCGCACTTGAAATTTCGCGCAGATACAGTTTCTCACTGGCTTCTGCAATATAGGGTCGAGCTAAATTCAAGAGCTTGGCTTTCTCATGTTTTTGTGCTAAAAAGACGACGAAAGCAACATGGTTAACATCACCAATTCAAACAAGGTTTTTGTAAGCGTGTTTCATTCTACCTCGTCCTTGCTGAATAGGCTTCAGATATAGGGGGAACAGTAAGGCTGCGAAGTAGCGAATCTCATTCAGGTCTTTACAATTGTGGTTAAAGACGGAATAAATGATATCCACGTAATCTCTGAAGAAGGCAACATCCAGCTCCAGATATTCTTGTGGTGACGGCGATAACGATGTGCTGGTACTGGAAGATGGATTTTCATCGTTATTGTCATTATCACTGTCCGATGAATCGTCCATGTCTTTTTCTCGGAGAATGGGTATGCGACGTCCTGAAGCAGCAAAGTCGAGCTCCAAAATCTGTAAAGTATCTTCTTTCGTGTAATCCGGGAATCGGATCAGTAAAGGCTCATATACACCGCCTTTCATTCGGAATTTCTCAAATACAATACTGCTGATCAAAATCACGCAAATATTTCGTCGTGCCTGGTTTTTTCACGCGTTATATCCATGAGCACCTATTCTATTCCCAATGATCCTTTGCATTCACTTCAACGTACCAACTCCGAAAGTCGTAATAGCGCAGGTAGTACAGTAGACGACATATCACGCAAACGTTCTGCCCGATCCAGGATCTACAGTTGATCCGCCAGTGAGTGGCCATCCATGTCAACAGCTTTACATTCTTGTGATCTTTACCAAATACCGTGTTTCTTGCTGATCGTCTTGATCTTTGTACATGTGGCCTTCCTGAATAACCTGAACGAACTGATGAATACTGTCAATCCGGCAGACGCCTGTAAACTGATTATTCCAAGACGGTGTCCAATCGCACCATTGGTTCATGGCGTGCTCAAACACCATGCGCGGCGAATGGCATTCAATACAATTGACAAATGCCCATGATGTACGCTTGAGCGTTTTTTCAAGGACGGCACGAACCACGCTCGTTTTACCAGATGAGGGACAGCCATAAACGAAAATGCTAGGAACAACAGCATCGGTGGGCTAGGAACACGGGTATAGATCGTTAGATCAACTTAAGTTTGAATACAACAATGGCGCGAGTTGTACCTGTCCTATCAGTGAGAGTAACGTATTGATTTGCTTGGCGCGCCCGGGAAATCGGGTTTGCAGGTCATTCTCAGTGTCCTGCTGATCGCTCATGGGTGAAAAGAACAGCGCTGAAGAGTGGCGATGTAGCAAGCAAAGAGGACGTGACTTGAAAATTTGAAGCATCCCCCAACTGGTCTCTCATGCACTGTGTCGGAGATGAGATTGATTGGACATATTTCCTTGACAACGCCATTGGCCATTACCGGGTGCTTCCTAGTCATTGCTGTATAGTATCGATAATAGATCAAAGCAATAGAAAAAAAAAGGCTCAAGAACACCAACAGCATAAAATTTTTGTAATCTTTATTGCTACATGTCGCCTACAGCAAACAACGGAAAAAAAAGTACTGTATACATTTTGGCCCTTAGAAATGCGCAATCTCGTATCTGTTGACTGCTCTGTTGAGGATGAACGTCAAGCAAACGATAAATATGAATTGGGCGTCAAAATTTTATTGATATGTTTTGTTCACTGCAGTTTCTGCATTCAAAGTATAGTGTTACAAATATAGGAAAACCATGACTGGTATCAAAAAAAAATCTTTCTGCCTCAAGCAATGGCGTTATGACTCTCCAAAGCTGCTTGTTAACAGTTGCAATCACTGGAATCCGACTTGATTTTCATGACTTCATCCAAGAGTTCACCGTTATCTTCATCGACGGACCAGACCATAACACCACCGAGATTCTTGGATCGAGCATAGTTGACCTTGACCGCCATGGAAACGGGATCATCGTAAGAAATAAACACCTTATTCGTAGGATTGAATAACCATGGGGTTTGAGTGACATTGTCCCAGGTGCGCACCCATGGGGAAGCGGCGGTGGTTGGGCTGGTTAAAATGCCTTCCGAGCGCAGATTGGCGTAGCGCCAGATACCGGAAAGACCGCCAGGATCTTTGGAACAGTAGGGATCTTGCCAGTAAGCGTCATAAGAATCACCCTTGGGTGGCTGACCCGGGACTTGGCCTTGATATTGAGACTTGGTTTTGGTCATGTCCACAGTAGCAGCTACACAATAATCAATATCATGATAATATTATATGGTCTGCCTCGAATAACTTACTCGCTGAGCGTCCGTAAAAGGCGACGCCGGGTACAATTTTGCTGGCTGGCATACCGGCTTTGGTCCATGCATCGATAGCAGACACAAAACTGTCAGCATCTCCAAAACCATTTTCAAAGTTGAAAGGAGCATTGGGTCCTAAAACAATAGAACTAGTTCAGAGGACGGTTGATGAAATGGAGTATGCGGACGAGTTTACCTGTCGTGGTGTTCCATGCACCGTTGATATCATACGTCATCAGGCTCACACGGTCAAGTACTTTAGCATATTCCGACACGTCGGACATGTAGCCCGAAGAAGTGACGAATGGACGAACATGGGCAGCAATAGTAAGTTCTTTCTTGCCTGAGCCATACTTGCTATCCAGAGCAGTTCTCAGTTCTCGGAGCAAGGTGAGAAGGTTTTTGGCATCATTAGCAGGATCAAAAGCATTGCAACCAGCTCCTTGGCGACCAGGATATTCCCAATCTAAATTACAAGATTTTAGATATTAGAGCACAAGATGTACAGAAAATTCACGGAATGTCAATCTTACCAATGTCAATTCCATCAATGCCGTAGGTGTCAATTTGCTTGATATTCCAATCAATAAAGTTTTTACGGCGTCCAGCATCCGCAGCCATCGGACTAAAATCGAACCATTGAGTATAACATCCATGGAGCGAGTGGTTGCTGTGCTTACCTAAAGGTTAAGCATCCGGACCAACCACCAATGGAGATCAGCACTTTTGCATTCTTTGCGTGAGCAGCTTTGGTAAGCTGAGGCAGTTGAGTAGATACGGCCCAATCATCCGTCCATTCGGGAGTATCCCCCTTGATCATGATAGCAAAAGCATAGTTGATGTGCGTGTATTTGGAGAAATCAATATTGGTAACTGTCAAAGGGATCAGTGACAGCCATTGCATGACGCAGATTTGTCAGTACTGTACCTGGCCATCTTGCATATAACCCTGTAATGACAGATAGAGTTGAGTACATTGTAGATCGATCACACTCGATCGCACTCGATCATCACTTACAGTTTGGGAAGTAGCCAACAATCACCTTGTCAGCTAATGTACAGGTAATACTCAGGAACAACGATACCAAGGCAAGCTTCATTGCTAAATCAGACTCGTTTGAGATTGAGAGATGAACTGGACAAGTTGAATCTTTCGTCGTCGACCCTTAAAAGGTTTATATAACCTTTGTCGGTGACCAGAATCTCGAAATTTGCGCTTCATTGTATTTCCTTTCTCGTCATGCATGATTTTCGCCTCTATTATGTAACGCGTTATGCTGTGTCAGGTCATGTGCAACTGCAATCGCAATACAAATTGCCCGCAAATTGCAAAGACCCGTTCCCTGATCTTTTTGTACCTCAGTGGAAGGTACATGTTGTGATGATTATCCATCATATGAAATTCCCTTCACCGGCAATTACTCTTCTTAGGTAATTAACTAGGACGCATGGTGTTGTCATTGCATCCGCGGAATTGCGGTGCGTTGAATGATTGGGCATCAAGTTAAGGTTTCTTCAATCATGCGATCTCGCGTCCCTGATTATTTGGTATATTACATAAATAATTGGAAACTTGGCGGTGTGTAAAATAAGGAGAACAGATTGCCCAAGGCACCGGAAGGAACAGATAGTATTTCCGCACGGCGTAAATCCAAGTCAACCCAGAAACTTCCAAATGTCTCAAGTTAATCTCAATGAAGCGTTATGCAGTTGTTATGGTTTCCCAATAGCTATTCATGTGATTAGATATTTGGGCCCTGACTCGTCTAAACGATCCGCCAAAATAAGCAAGCTATTATCTGCAGGTCCGCCACCGTATTTTGATCTAACCGCTTATTGTTTACCGCACGTGGATTTTTATATCTTTCAACTAGCTCCTACATAGTATGTTTTATCGAATAAAAAATTATTTTGAATGCATTCATTGTAAAACTGTGGATTGGAGAAGTTGGAACACCGAGCATGACTTGTTGTGGTAATGACCAGCAGCACAACATCAGTTATTATTGTAAAATTGGACAACGGAAGCAGTTCCCGAAGCATGTGAATGGATTTGATATTGTCGGATCTGGTGCTAAAGACCCAACCGATATTCTTTGCCAAGGTTGTGATGAAGTTATCAGTGAAATGACCAATTTCCCTGTCAACGTCAACACGTCCATGTCTTCCTCCGCAGAATTTAAGCACAAGTTTGCCTGCTTGCACTGATAGCGTGGAGGCGGTTCACGGCATAATAAATACAGGCATTACCAATTGTTCTTTCGCTACTCTGAATGCATTTCTTGTTGTTTTGAACAGACACACCCTCTATTTGGATGGTGACTGATGGTCGTTCGCAGTAGCGTTATGTTTTACCGGCTTTGTCCTACGGTTTTCCAATTTGACATATTAACAGCATGTAACAAGACCAGCCATTGCCCGTCCGGCAGATCGACGGAGTGGGTCTGAACCGGGCAAAATACAGCAGCTCGCTTCGGACACTGTCCACGGAGTTAAAAGAATGTGTACCGATCCGCATCATTCCGGATGAATCTACGGACTTTAGCCGGTCAGCAAAAGCTTTGACCTTTAAAAATATATAAGGCCAAATTCACGCATTATGCATCCGTCTTCGTTTTCCTCAAGGTCGAAACTTCTACAGTCCGAGGTGTTCGGCGTTGTTGCTTGATGTGAAACGGATTGGTTCCTTTTCTGACCGGAAAAACTGGCGTATGAAGACGAACGATAAACGTGCACAAAGCAAAAGCCACGTTTCAGGCAACTGCTGCTGGACTCCTTGGTCTTCGGCTCGGACTGCCTCAATAAGGCATTTCGGCCCGAAACACAAAGAAGTACTTGGGGGAACTCACGCGCCGCCATTCAGCATTGCCGCCACTGCGATCGATTGTGCCACGCGCGAGAATCTTCATAGACCGGTGAAAAACTTCCTCCACGAATTCCGAAACTGAATCCGTATACTTGCGTAGACTTCCGTATCCTTTCGTAGACTTCTGTATGTAAATCAATGAGGTTGAGAGGTTCATGAATTGAAGAATCTGATGTGACTCGCTGGATATACGCTTTTTCGCGGTTTAATGGTGCAACCGCTCCTTGGTTCCATGTCGGCATTCATTCTGTATGAGATATTGCTGCTTAATGTACCTCTTGCTGTCCTCGAGCCATTCAGCATCTAAATAAAGCCTTTGCAATCATGCGGAAAAGGTATAGATTTGGTTACTATACGGCTACAGTTGACTATTCACCCGGCAGTACATTTGTGTTCTCTGCTTCACCATGTATTCACGTCTCACGGATTTTAAACAAACACCGATTCCTATTTCATGCGAAAACTGTGCCTACAATGGCTTCAAACATGCTGCGAGGACAATTCATTGTTTTATGATACTTTCAAAAAACCAGAAACGGAGCTTAAAACTGAAAGAAGAAAGACTCAAGCAAGAAGTCATCAATGGTTCCTCGATGCCTAATACTATGTATTTGAATAGACACTAGATCTAGGGTCGGAGCTTCTTTGGTAAAAGTAGGTTTGCAAAAAGTCGTAACGAATACAAGTTCCAAGGCACATGCAACAAAACTTGAAACAGTCATTTTTTTACAGGTTACGGTATCCAATCACGAGTTATTGTATACGAGCTTTACTGGTCCAAATGAAAAGATATAGTAGCCCAAAGTAGACACTAGATCTGGTGTGGACCCCGGGGTTTGACCATGAATGAAATCTTTGACGCGAACATACAAGCCAGCAGAAGCACAGGATTTTTTTTTTACAATATTAAAGGCCATCCAAGGCGTCATGAAACAAGGATAATGATGACCCCAGGATATCTTGCGGAAACGTTTGCCAGCTTTCCATGGGCTTTCCGAAGAAGGCAACCACCCGGCGATCAATTCAATTTTTTTTTGGGTTGGCTATTTTTGAATCACCGCACATTTTGTTTCTGTATAACCGACATGTAATTTCGGAATAAGCAGAAAGGGTCGGGATCACTGCGCAATCCAGGAATCCTTCTCTGCTCATTCGTCTTGCAAAAGGTGAGCATCTGTGACCCTAAACCATCCATCCACCCCCATCCATTTAAGCGATCCATCCATCGAATACATCTCTCGTGTCACGACATCAATATTAACCGATATGCTCCAAAAAATTATAGTATCACCATGCAAATCTTTGTCAAGACTCTGACTGGCAAGACCATCACCCTTGAGGTCGAAAGGTAATGCCCGTTCTTCTAATGTGCCAAAATGCGCTACAAGCTTTAAAAACTAGCAGAGACCAGCTTTTTCTAACATGAATGACATTATATTGGAATAGCTCTGACAGCATTGATAATGTCAAGCAAAAGATTCAAGACAAGGAAGGTGAGTTCATTGAGCACTCAATCCAGCGACATTGTCCAATTTTTTTTATTCATCGACGAAACGAATTAGGTATTCCTCCGGATCAGCAACGTTTGATTTTCGCTGGTAAGCAGCTCGAGGATGGTCGCACCTTGTCCGACTACAACATCCAAAAGGAATCCACCCTTCACTTGGTCCTCCGTCTTCGTGGTGGTATCATTGAACCTTCCTTGAAGGCTTTGGCTTCCAAGTACAACTGCGACAAGATGATTTGCCGCAAGTGCTATGCTCGTCTTCCCCCTCGTGCCACCAACTGCCGTAAGAGAAAGTGTGGTCACACCAATCAGCTTCGTCCCAAGAAGAAGGTAATTTCTTTCATTACCACTGGCCTCGTTTGGACATGGTCAACTAACTTACTTTCACTTTTAGCTCAAATAAGCGTATTGCTTATTCTTTGCATGGTACCTACAATAAAAAGTGTATTGTTGGTTTTCAAGACAAATTCTTGGTCTTTATTGTGTATTGCTCTACTTTTGCTTTTGCTTTTAGTTTCTATGAAATGTTTTCTAGTGGATTAGGAGGAAGTATCGGTGGTATCCATGGCGGATACTTCGTTACTGGTTTGAGCTTGCAGTGCTTGTTGTTTTGCCATGCCTTCTCGTCGTTTTCGTTCGCGCCGTTCCTCTTTGGTTTCTACATGCTGCATGATGTTGGCTGATTCCACTTCTTTCTTCATCATGTCCAAAAATAATTTCATGCGGTCCATATTTTGCATAAACTTTTGGTTGGACATGGTCACGAGGAGGTATAAGTAATCTGGATCCACTAAGCATACGATCCGATGGGTAATGGGGTCGACATAAGCAATGGGCGTATCAAGTTTATGTGTACTCCGGATAGCGAGCATTTGTCGAGATCGGGAAGGTGTAATACCGCTGTTCTGATAACCGGCTTGAAATGCGAGGCCAAGTAAACGCATAGCCGTATGCTGATGCGAAGCTTCTACGTGAAGGATCTAAATTTTGCAAATTTTTCTTTGTTAGAGCGAATGATGTATCATGTAGCAAGTGTCAATGAATTAATTACCAAGGGTTCGAATTTGAAATAAACAAGCTGTTTCTGCAAAATATTCTCGGGTCGTTCAGTGGCCAAACTCACACGATCGATTTGATCACCAAAAAGAAGCTTCAAAACCCATTGGTCTCGTTGTTCGCGATTCATGGTCGGTATGTCGACAGGATCATGGGTAACATATAACCAAGTACCGCCTTTAGTTGTCTTTTCAAGCGTATCTTCACTCTCAGCTTTTTCCAATCCTTCACAGTAAATGGCAATGCGGCCAGAACAACTGCTTGTCGTATAGTAGTCGGGATGTTCATTAATAATGTGAATGAGATCAAGAATAGGTGCATCCACAAATCCTTTGGGTGATTTGTCCCGTCGATTAGGATCAAGAGCTTCTACAAGTGAAGACACCACGTGTTGCTTTCGTGTCAAAAAAGTATCCGCCATAATAATCAATTCGAAAAGAAGAAATAACGACGACAACCAAACAAGTGTAATTTTTTTTTTTTTTTTTTTTTTTTTTTTGTATGCGGGTTGAGATGGAAACCAGCGAAATTGCAGGTGGGCAAAAGAAATGTGACGCTCTTTTTCTACCTATTCTTCATGCTCGGTGGTGACACTACCATATCTGACAATGACACCTTTGATATTGCAATAAATTTTCGATATAAAGCTTGGAATTCGGGCATCGGCGGTGGGCGGCAGAAGCCATTCATCCAGATGAGTGGCCGCTGCATGCATGGCTTCTCGGGTATAAGGGGATAAAAAGTATCGTAAACGTAGAAAATGACCAAAAATAATGAGTGCCAAAATGGATGTCTGAAACCTAAATACCACAAGGAAATAGACCGTCAGTTCATTGAACGTGGTTTTTGATCTCATGCACTGATGGTGATACTTACAACGCGACACCTACGATAAGTCGGCCCATGATACCCACCACTTCTATATACGCAGCCAGCTGCATTGCCCCTTCGTGGTATTCATCCGTCAGTTGCTTGATAGCCTGACATGTCTTGTTGATCGTGGAACGATTGGTAGCGGGGAAAAAGACAGGGATTATCGTCGAACGAATGTACGCAAAAGTGTGGAATATTGAAAAAATAGAAAATGGGATCAAGGTCACTAATGTAATCAAAACTGGTGCGTCAGCATATGCAGGCATGATTTTCAATTGATTCAAACGATTTACCTGTAATAGGATGGTAAGCATACCAGTAAAAGGCCAATGCCAGGTACTGGGTATTTTCATTACGGAAAATGTCCATGGACCATCGCTTGGGAGCCTACAATATACGTATGCTTTCCGGTGAATACTGATGTCAATATACAAGGTGCACGGACGATTGTCTCCTGGTATCCAAATACTGGAGACAAGTCAACGTGGACCGAAGGTCAATGGTTGACATTTACTCTCACCGAGTTCCAAACCACTACAGCGTAAGATATCAGGGCACCCAGATAGGCGCGTTTGTAATAGGTAGCATTGGCATTCAATGACATGACGGACATGAAGTACAGCATGGCATTGCACACAACGCATACATGACCGCACCACCAGTAAAACTGCGGGTGCTAGAAAAAGACATCATAAAAAATAAAACGAAATTCCGAGTGTGAGTTTGGTCATCGTTGGATGGCTGGACCTGCTCCCATGATGCTCACCTTGATAAGCACCGCCAATCGGTCTTGCAATGACGGTGCGGTGGATGTCATCAGGAAAAGGAGATAAAGCAAAGCTGCACCATGCTGCATGCACCTTTCTCGGCAATTTTCTGTGTTCGTACCCCGCGATTTCATCGGATCATTCCATTGGGGCGGTCACATGTGAAAACTTCATCATTTGCTTGGAAAGCGTATTATTTTTTTTCTCTCTCATCGCGAATCGTCCATTGCCATGCCGACTTTAGAATTGATTGAAGACGAGAACCCTTTTCTGTTATCTAAACCTAAACCGCAGTTTGACAATTTATCCGCCGAAGAACAAGCTGCTTTTTTGGATAAAGTAGCGGCTGAAGTGTCAAACGATCCTGCCGCTTTGAATCGTCTCGCTTCGACATTTTTGAAGCAGGCTACCAAGGACGATTTCAACAATGTTACCGTGCAACCTATTCCCGGTTACGTTTGCCGGACCAGTACCGTAGCGTCCAACAATGAAAAACATAAAGTAGGCACCACTGTGTACATCAACATCTGCCATGCCGCTGCCATTCCGGAACCGACTTTGGCTACCGAAGCCGAGATCCAGAAGGCATTGAATGCTGAACCCGATGCCAAATACAGAGTACCCTTGAGTATGGGGGAACCGAGATTTGAGAAAACGACTGGTAAAAAGAAGGAACCGTGTTTCATGCGAATGAAAAATTGACCAACCAATTTTTTTTTTTTTTTTTTTTTTTTTTTTGCGTGAATGTGTAGCTGATAAAGTATGCCTCATCATGGATGCCTGTATCCATACTCAGCCTTACCTTCGTTCCGAACGCGATCTTGATTTTAGATTATACATTATGGAGCTGGCCATGGAATATGTGGAGGAAAATGAACACATTTCTCTGAGTCGAGGTTGGTTCTTTCATGCAAAAGGGTACTATGATAATGCACGCTAACATGTGATCCCGCTTTCCAGAGTTTACCATGCCAAAGATGAGTTCCAAGGGAACCATTCCTAAACGTATTGTCCGACTACCCAAGCCATCATTGATGACTGCTGTACGTCAGAGCACAGATGCGGCTAGCACGCAGTGGAAATGCACACCGACGGTGTCGGTGCAGGGAAAACACATCCTTGTTGTCGTTCCAATGCCGAATCTTGTACGTATCATACCCAGAAAGTTCCTAAAGATGACAATCGCTCACATAACTGCTATAGAACTCTTCCGACTGGAGACTGGATATGGAAACCAAGCAGTTGATCATTTCCGTCAACGGTGTTGCGTCCCATATCCCTCTGCCAAGGGATATAGACATCAATGCCGCGGAGAACACGGCTCAGTTTTATAAAAAGAGTCGCGATCTCGTCGTTTGTTTGAGTATCCAAAACGGCTCTGCCAACGCTGGCTCTGAAACAAGAAGACAATACCTGTAATTGATAGAGCATTCTCGCATATGTACCATACTACATTTAATTTTACAATCATTTTTCGCATCACTGTATTGACTTCCATTTCTTACACTGAGAAGCGATAGACTGAAGGTTCTTTTGCACAGCAACCATGACAATATCAAATACCGTTACACTATAGCAATACTCACTGAATTGAAAATAGGTGCCGGAAACCGCATATCCCTTCATGGAAAAAACAACAATCACTGTTTGCATCAAGCTAAGAATAATATTCAGGTGGAAAGTCATCATTTTAATAGTATAGTTTATAAAGCTGTTTTCTGATGAATTTCCTGGAGAATAGCTCCGGCCCCCATGTCGAGCAGCTTTTGAGCTACGGTATTTCCAAGCTTTTCAGCCAGTTGCACTTTGGCTTCCACGTCATTGGCATCGGTAAAGGATATTGCTTCTTCATGTTCCACCACCGTTTGACCGTCCACGCTAGCAACCAGACCTCGGAGGCTTAAACTGTCCTCTTTTAATAATGTGTTTACGCCAATAGGAACGCTGCAACCGCCTTCAAGGGCACGCATGAGCGCTCGTTCGCTGACGCATCGAATACGTGTGGCATCGTGGCTCAGTTTCTCCAACAATCGGCGACAGTGCATATCATTCTCACGGCATTCAATGCCAAGAGCGCCCTGCGAGACGGCGTGCAACGAATCGTTGGGTGGTAAAATTTGAGAAATGCGGTCTGCGTGACCCAATCGAACCAATCCTGCTACTGCCAAGATGATACCCGCATAGTCTCCATTGGGATCGTCCAATTTCGATAATCGTGTATTTCTAACAATCAGACAAAAAATATGAGATCCCTTTTCATCAGTGACTTATTTTTTTTTTTTTTAGCAAAGATGATACTTACAAGTTGCCACGCTAAGATTTCACCGCGTCATATGAAATAAAATACATATTAGATCCGTAGGTTCGTCTTGGATGACTACCGGGCAAAAAGTAGGGAACAACCACTTACCACATCTTTGAATACCAAGGACGGGTATCGACGTTTCAACTGAGCTACGCGACGCAAACTGCTTGTACCAATGACGGCTCCTACAGGCAAGCTAGCCAAAGAATAGCCTTTCCACTTGGGTGATAATACGAGGGCATCGTTGGGATCTTCTCTTTCGGTGACTGCGCCCAAAAACATGCCAGGAGGCAAGGTGGTAGGAAGATCTTTCAAGCTGTGAACAACGAAATCCACTCGTCCGTCTTCCAATGCCACTTCCAGTTCCTTTGTGAACAATGCCTTCTCACCGATTTTGCTCAATGCAACGTCAAGGATACGGTCGCCGGTGGTGGACATGGCTTCCACTTTGAATTCATATTCAGGATACAGACTTTGCAATGTATCACGGACAATGTGGGTCTGCACAAGAGCCAACTGCGATTTTCGGCTACCAATAGTATACACCTTCTTGTCGTCGGACGCCATGGCGAAAGAACAGTCAGAACCTGAAAAGTAAAAAAGAACCAGCTTCAGCGATCCCACATGGGCGACTGCACAAAAAAAAATATCCACTAAATTCAGATCCCGATGCCCAATCCTCTTTTCGCTTATGACAAATGAAAAAAACAATAAGAAAAAAAAGATGCTGATGCAGAGAGATAGAAAAAAATATGTATAATAGTGTATTTGGATTGGGACATGTTCTACAGCGCGTTGTTGATAATCTCAAATGCTTGTTTGTATACTTCTAGCAAGGATTTGCATTTCTCACGTTCCGAAGCCATAGCTTCATCTTCTTGAAGCAACTCATTAAAGAGCTCTTCCTTATATAATGTAGCCACGAGACGGTTTTGAACTGCCTCGCGGGAGTAGTTGACCAAAAGATGCATGACCGCCTTGGGCACCAAGTCTTGAATATTTTTTCGTACAATGTTGAAGTAACTGGTAATCAAAGTGCCTGTACATCGTGAAGAAGTATAAGCATCAACGAAAATGACGAAGATTAAAAAGAAGCTCAAAATGGACTTACGAATTAATTGTGCTTCTAACCCTTCCCGATCCGACTGCGCAATGTGACCGTCGTTGTTCAATGATGCCTGTATCTCTTGGTTACTTCTCTACTCTTTCAAAAGATGCGAAACTGAAATGTACCTGTTCAAGTTTACGCTCCAATTCAGTTTCCATGACGCTGTTCACAGAGAAAGGTGGTGCATATTGTGAACTATTCATCATTTCCTGAGATCCCAACGCAGGACGCTCGTTCTTGTGCGCTCCTCCGAAGAAGTAGGTTAAAAACGAGTCTTTGGGCATCGAGGAAGGATCGGCGTTAGGATCCCTGTGAATTACTCCATTGGGCATACCCATCGATCCTTCTTCATCGGCTCGACTGCTTGCACTGATCACGCTCGATGGTGGCGATACACGCGGCTTTGAGTTGGCAACAAAATGAAAAAAAAAGTAGCTGTCAATGTCCCGACCTCATTCATAAAAAGGCTGGTTGTTATTACGCACGAAGCTTACCCGCCGCTTATCGATCTTCTTCTTTTTCTTGGATTCGGTTTCGAGACTTGCCATGGCACCTGCTGCGCCTAAGAAATCCGGATGGTTGGTATTGATGTAGGCGCGTTCAATGGCAATCAGACTCTCAACGTAGGTAGAAGTCGGCCCGAGTCTTTCTCTCAATAACTCGGAAACCACCTCAACCAATTTCGTTTGAAGCTTTGGGTATCGCATCAATTCCTACCAACAGAGACTCACTTCAGTCTCGCTGAACTTCTTTACTCAACTCAACACCCATATTAGCTTACGCACCTTATTCTCCGAGTTGTGGCAAATTTTCATCAGTTCTTCGTACACGAGTTCAACACATCGCAAACTGGGTGCTTCTAATAATTTGATCTGTGGTCTTACTAACAGATCAAACGCGAGTTCAGGAACAAAAAGGGATGGACGGGGTCCGGTGGAATTGCGAATGGCAGTACGGATGTCGTTGTTGTTGAGGTTGGCACACGGAGGGATAGCATCCAACGCATTACCGAATACGTTGTTAAAAATAAAATAGATTCGTGCACCACCGCATCTATTGGAATCGTGAGTAAACAGCGACATGATGTTACTCCATTGTAAAATGTACTTACAGTTCTTTGGTAGACATCTCGGCCGATGTACCATCAATAGCCGCCACAAAATCATTGGCAAACTTTGTTAATAACCGTAAAACAAGAGAGCCCTAAAAATATCCGCCGCAAGTTAGAGAGAATATCTTTTTTTCCTAAAAAATGATCATACTCGATGGACTGCTCCAGTGGTAAAGGTGGGGTCGCCGTATTGTGCTAGCTCCTTTTGTGTTTGGCTGATTAAACCACTGAGTTTGGTTCGCAACTCGGGTAACTTTTCTTTGATGTGTGCAAGCAGAATCTTTGATTCATCATTAATCAGTATCCTCGTCCCATGTGATGTGAGTTATATCACTTACAGCATTGAGCTGCCTGCTGAGGTATTTGGTGCCGCAGCGATGGGCGATATTTCGGTAAGATGGGTGCTGTAGAAAGAAATCGTTTTCGGCCTTGATTGCATCCACCATGGCTTTATTTGTAAGAATATCTTGTTGGCTGCGGTTCACCACACCAATGAAGCCCAACTTTAGAGGGTAAGCGCGACCGGTGAGAACATCCAGCGCATTGGTTCCGGCATCCATCAAATCCAATTTCGTAAGCACGCCCACCGTGCGTTTACCTGAATAGAAAATTTGTAAGAAAACAAAATGCATAATGAAGGATAGGGATGCGACAGGCGATCGGTGACATGAAAATTTTTGGGACATTGTACCTTCGGGGTCCACTTGGCGCGCCAACTTGATGCTCTCGGAGTTCGCCATGTCGTTGTTCGCAGGAGTCACCGCCAAAATGATACTTTTTTCCAAGCCAAAAAAAACGCCAATTAATATCCCGGTATTAACAAGAAACGGGTTCAGCCCCGCCGCTTTACGAACCTGTTGGGATTGGAAATGTAATCCATGACAAGACTGCGGATCTGCTTTTCAATGTCACTGGGCTGATCACCTATTGAACAATGAGGATTCAACAAATCTCCGTTATTCATTTGCACAAAACAACTCGCAACGCCAGCACCCTACCGATAGGAATCTATAGCAACCGAGGGAAAAAAAAAGGCAACCGTTCAAAGTGAGTTGGGACTCGGTCGGAATGTGCACCAATGGAAACCATGCCAACTTACCTTGGTCAATCCTGGGAGATCCACCAGCGTCAGTGTGAGCACTTTTGGTGAATAAATGCGCAAGTGGATAGGCATGCGAGAGATGCCCTTATTTTCGCCCGCTAAACGGGTGGTTTCTCGCTCAATTTCGTGCCGAATGTCGGAGAAGTCGTAGAATTTCTTTTCCTTCAGATGAAGGAACTCGCCGTATTCGAGAGCCGTGGGTTGCGGCAGCGTTATCAACTGGAGAATCAAGGGACGTCGAGTAATGATACCACTGCCACGAGGCAAAAAGTCCCGCTGCACAATAGTCTCGAGAACCGACGACTTGCCCGACGATTGGGATCCAACCACGACGATTTGGGGTAGGTCCAGTGTTTCGTGCGAGCTAATGGACGACAGGACCGTTTGGACCTTGTTCGTCAATTCGATCAAATCATTCATGTCGGCAACGAAAACAACACGCGAATCAGCTTTTGCAGCAAAATGAGATAAATGGACAAGGTCAGCCGCTTGTCGTTCAGGAACCGGGCTTCAATGTCCGACTCGCAATGATGACGTGAAATATCCATCTCCACTTCATTTTCGCCCCGATTTCTAGTTGTCGAAAAAAAAAGAGGACTGGGTTTTTTTTATCGGTATCGCTGTCATTGCATTTTCCTAAGTGAAACCCGCCCAGTGTCCTTTTCTTTTTACTGCGCTTTGGGAACAATATGGCTTCGCAACATCCTCCCCATGGTCAGCAGAGTGATACCTCCGGTCGTCGTTTGGTAGACATCGGGTTATCGACTGCCCAACAGCAATATCAACACCAGGGCCCTATGTCGTCTCAACAACAGCCCAACGCACCTGGAGGAACCATACCACAACACCCACCGCCTCAACACGTTATACCTCCTGCCGCGCGAGCCTCCAGTGCGCATCCTGTTTTCGATCTCGGTCAGTTCTGGCAAGAGCAAATGCGCCTAGCAGAATCCTTCGATTCCGACTTTAAGAACCACCCTTTACCTTTGGCGCGAATTAAAAAAGTCATGAAGACCGATCAAGATGTCAAGGTACGTGTGTCTCGGTGTCCATCTCAACTACAAGCCTATGAGGTTTTATTCCACCTAACGACGCTTGGTTTTGCATGGATAGATGATCAGTGCCGAGGTTTGCTTGAAAAAGACACGGTTAACTTGGATATAATGACGAATCATGATATGATAGGCACCTATACTGTTTGCTAAAGGTTGTGAAATCTTTATCACTGAATTAACCAAGCGTGCATGGTAAGAACCTCGCTTTATATAATCTAAATGTGGAAATGTCAACTGACTCATCGTATCTAGGGTTCATGCAGAAGAAAATAAACGACGCACCCTGCAGCGATCGGATATCGCCACGGCCATCACCAAAACCGACATGTGTGACTTCTTGATCGATATTGTGCCCCGTGAAGAAGCTGCCAAAGTAAGCGCTATGTTTGGCAGATATTCGCGTAAAAAAATTACGCTGTCTGTAATTAAGTTGTCTGTAATTACGTTGTTGATGTTTGTATTCTCATTTAGTCGACCAATCAAATGTATGATCAAAGCGGCTATGCAAACTATTACCAATCATCGAATATGCCACAGTATGCATCTACACAGGTAAATAAAAAGCTAAGACATTATCCTCTCTTTCCATGGAGGGTTCTGCACCGACAAGAATTCCCATTAAAAGGAATTCAACTGAATAGATGGCTGGACATCCAATCGATACCGCTGCTGCCTATTACCCTCAGTTATCGCAGGTAAATCAACATCAACAGAATCCTTATGGCTAATGCATGATAAGGAATGCTTACCTGTTACATGGATTCCAGCTGACACCGGAGCAAGTACAGCAATATCAATTACAATTGCAACAGTTTGCTGCGCAACAACACCCCTATGCTGCTGCAGCAGCCGCCGCCGCCGCCGCCGCCGCTGCAGCACAAAATTCGTCCGGCCATTCGCAACCATCCACTCTATCGAGCGCACCTCAGAGCCAGCCTGACAATACATCTTCTGCATAAAACTGAAATTTTACAAACCATAAGAAGTGCGAAGACGACAAAAATCGGTCTCGCCGTCCTTTTTATCTTTAAGGAACCCATCAAAAAACAGATGCAACCTTTTCATATATAAACATGTAGACACTTACTGTACTTTTAACCGCCTTTCATCTTTCATCCTTTATCCTTCCAGCGTGTCCGTCATATTCTCGTGTCATTAAAAAAAAGGGACTGTTATTTAGACGAGACTTTTACTGCTTTTTTTATTTTTACATTAAACTGCAGAAAAATGTAGGATGACTATACAATCTAGATAAGATCAGCGACGTTCATGGGCATTTCTTCAATTTGAGTGTTGTAGAACTGTTCAATGTCTCTCATCATGCGAACATCGTCGTTGGCAACGAAGTTGATAGCAACACCCTTACGACCGAAACGACCACCACGACCAATTCTGTGAATGTAGTTTTCGCGGTTGGAGGGAAGATCGTAGCTAAGAAAAAAAAATTATCAAATTAGTTCCAGCGCTATCCATTCTTTTCTGCAGTTAAGAGGAAACTTACTTGATGACCAAAGAAACTTGCTGGACATCAATACCACGAGCCAACAAATCGGTGGTGATCAAGACACGCGAGGAACCGGAACGGAATTCCTTCATGATGACATCACGCTGAGCCTGGTCCATATCACCGTGCATGGCGGAAACAGTGAATTCACGGGCGTGAAGCTTATCGGTGAGCCAGTCGACCTTTCTGCGAGTGTTACAGAAGATAACGGCCTGGGTAATAGTGACAGTCTCGTACAAATCACAGAGAGTATCGAGCTTCCATTCCTCCTTTTCGACGGCAATGTAGAACTGCTTGATACCTTCGAGGGTCAATTCATCACGCTTGACCAAAATACGGATGGGATCACGCATGAACTTGGTGGTGACTTCCATGACATCAGCAGGCATGGTAGCGGAAAGCAAGACAACCTGGGCGTCACCAGGCAAGAGCTGGAAGACGTCGTAGATTTGATCCTTGAAACCACGGGACAACATTTCATCAGCTTCATCAAGAACGAACATCTTGACGCTGTCGGTCTTGAAAGCACGACGGTTGTTGATCATATCAAAGACACGACCGGGGGTACCGACAACGATGTGGCAACCTTCCTGGAGCTTGGCCATATCCTCGCGGACGTTGGTACCACCAATACAGGCGTGGCACTCGATGCCCATGAAATCACCAAGGGCAAGGACGACCTTCTGGATCTGGAGAGCCAACTCACGGGTGGGAGCGAGAATCAAAGCCTGGGTAGCCTTCAATTCAACGTTGATAGATTGAAGAATGGAGATGGAGAAGGTGGCGGTTTTACCGGTACCAGATTGGGCCTGAGCAATCACATCATGACCCTTGATGACAGGCATGATAGCACGCTGCTGAATGGTCGAGGGGCGCTCGAAACTGTAAAGTTACACATACAAAAAAAAGCAAGCATTTCATCAGTCTGAGGACTCTCCTTATGTTTCGGACATATGAATGCAACGACGATGTCTTGAAGTGCGTACATCCTTATTAAGCCCATGAAACAAAAACTTACCCATAAGCATAAATACCACGAAGAAGCTCGTTGTTGAGGCCCATGTTGTCGAAGTTGTCAACAACATCATCCCAGTTGGACTGTGAAGGAAAAAAAAAAAAAAAGAAAGTTTAGAACATCGCAAAAAAAAAAACGGATCTTGACCCATGGATCAGCTTTTCATCGGCACTCACCTCGATCTCGTTTTCAGTAACTTCTTTCAAAGGTTCGTTGCTATTAATATGAATAAAAGAGATTAGATGAGTACCATGTATATTACAGATGTAATAACCCAATGCTCTGCTATAAGCCTCTTTATCATTCTTAAGCCACCAATGGCAACGACGATTGTTCCATCCCTCAGGGTAACGTTCCCATGTTGCCCAATGCTACACCGTTGCCACCTGTTGTCCTCTAAGCTACATATCGCAGCAAATAATAAGCGATCTTTACCTCATGCTGTCAATGACTATAATAAGTCTAAATAAAAGGAAGGAAAAATTCTGGTTTGGGGCACCGTTGACAAAATAAAAAAAAATTTGGTTGTATATGCGTACTGTAAAATACAAACCTTAGTCGGACTACTACGTCATCCGCACCGTAAATTTTTTTTTCGAAAATTTGGTTTTCAGCCAATCTTATCATGGCTGACGGGATGAATGAACCAGTGAGGAGAACGGATCTTGGCCGAAAACAGACTTTCTGTACCTTCCCATTAGTTTCATATTACGATCCTTAAATTTATTCACCTTGCGTGGTTCCTGAGAATGTGTATAACAGGCATTCTACTTCTTTTGTACGGCATGAAACTCATATATGACGAACACAATTCCTTTTAGACTTTAGTGCCCAAATATGGATATCACGAAAAAAAAATGCAAGATCTAAACTCAGTTTACCAAGCAATGGGAACTAAGAGACACTTCGGTTCCTTTTCCCTTTCTTTTACCTCTCTTTTCCTATCTTCCTTTTTGTATTTGTTTCGGATATGGCACCCAAAGTTTTGTGTACCCGTATTCTTCCGCCGGCTGCACAACGACGGCTCGAAGCCCAGGGGTTTGATCTTGTGCAATGGAAGAAGGACACTGCCATGCCGCGCGAGGAATTGCTGGCAAACGTCGCCGGTAAGGACAGTGTTTGACCCGCATCGCGTCGTGTCGCTTTCTTTTTGCGCTGTGCATTATGGGATGGGATAGAACGTTCTTACGCAAAATTTGCCCGGATGTAGGTGTGGACGCAGTTATCTGTCTCTTGAGTGACCAGATAAACGACGAATTATTGGATCATGCAGGTCCTCAGCTCAAAACGATCGCAACAATGAGCGTTGGATACGATCATATCGATGTTGACGCTGTTCGTGCCCGAGGAATTCACATTGGTTATACACCCGATGTGCTGACAGACGCTACAGCCGATTTAACCGTGCTATTGACATTGGCAGCTGCGCGTCGGATGAAAGAGGTAAAATAACGCAAAGCACACATGATTCATGGGAGTCAGCACATTGATCTACAAATTTTCGGTGGGAATTAGGGTATTCGCGCCGCGGAGAATGGAGAGGTACATACACAACAATGTTTAAAAGATTTCCTAAACGGGCAATGCATTTTGCGGATCATTCACACGCGTAGACGTGACCTTTTCTATTTTCATAGTGGGGAGAATGGCGACCTACCTGGTTATTAGGATCTCAATTCACCGGCAAAACATTGGGCGTGATTGGTCTGGGAAGAATCGGAGAAGCCGTAGCGAAACGTCTTCAGGCATTCGGTATTCAGCGCACCTTGTACTGGGGCCGCAAAGAGCGACCCAATGCGGTGAATGCTGAGTTTGCTTCTTTGGACGAATTACTGGCTCAATCGGACTATGTGGTCGTGTGTGCTGCTTTGACCCGCGCCACCAAACATATGCTAAATTATGATGCCTTCAAAAAGATGAAGAGAACAGCTGTAAGGTGTTTGAGTGTTTGTATATCACAGACGATCGATGTTTACCATGAAGTGCATAGGTGTTTGTGAATACTGCTCGTGGCGGTATCGTACAGCAAGATGATTTGGGTAAGTTACTTAAGAAAAACCGGATCAGGCATAGCTTACTCACAGCGGATAACGGCTAGTTCGTGCTCTGGAAGAGAATTTGATCGCTTCGTGTGGTCTTGATGTGACAACGCCTGAACCGCTTCCCACGGATCACCGCCTGTATCAGTTCCCTAACTGTACTATTCTGCCTCATATTGGTAAGTGGAAATAACAAACACGGCCAAAAGGAGGGTATCATACTGTACCCGTGACGCGCTAAACAAATTGTACATGTCCTTAGCAAGCGCCACCATTGAGACAAGAGAAAAAATGGCGGACATGTGCGTAGATAACGTGCTGGCTGGCTTATCCGGCGCGGCATTGCCCTTTGCTGTGCCAGATCAGTAATGTATCGCTATCTCTTTTTCGTACATAAACAAATGTATTCATATTCCTCCATACATGAAAATCGGAGCATAGACCATCTGTGTTGCGCAAGTTCTTCGTTTATTAAGACATCCCAGATGCCGTTAGCAGATAGTTTTGGTCAATCATGGTCGAGGCACGGCATCAATTCGTACGTACCCTTGCCCTTTCATGAGCATACTGTAGCAGGACTGAATCATAGATACCTGCAATTCTAACTGTATCAAATAATATTTATTTAATCTTAGTAGTTCTTTTATATAAATATACAACGATAACGAGGAGCCTAGATGGAAGTAATGCAGCTGCCAAAAAATCGTCGAATAATTTCGCGACCATAGGGAATATAGCTGGCTCTAAAATGCAATGGATATCAGATGTCTATATCCTCTTTCATAGTTACGAGATTATACTTACGAGTACCACACCAATGCGCAAAACTGAATAATCACCAACACGATAGACAGCACGAAATTGTGAAGCTAATGATAAACGAAGCAAATTTGAGCTGTGTGATTCAAGAGTAATTGATTCAGCGATACTTACCAATATAGAGAGAACAAGTGTCAGTACCAGCAGTGCCAGGTAAATACTTGTGGCCCAAAAGCGCACTAAATTCGAAGTTAAAATAACCACAGATTAGGATGTAATGTTCATCAATCATTTGTGGTGAAGACGAAAAATTCACCTGGAGCAAACATGGTCTTAATCTGCTTTGGGATACCGATAATGAACGTTAAACTGAATGGGTTTTTTTTTTTTTTTTTTTTTTTTTTTTTTTTTTTTTTTTTTTTTTGGTTTGCATGGATTTATTAGTGACTTTTCTTTTTTATCACGATGACCCTTTAGTCACTGTACAAAGTGGTTTACCTGAATAATGAAATTACGTTGCCGATACTGTATATGATGGCAAAACCGACAACGTTTCCTCCCAACAAAAACAGCGTCGACTGGACAATAAGTCATTCCGAACATTAGTTTCGATAGGGTTCAAACACCATGGCGCTCTGCATTATACCTACCAAAATGGATATAATCATGCCAATGACAAAGCTAAAGGCCATGATATTAATATACTGGGTCTTTCATTGCTTGGATTTCGGTTGACATACCATGCTCCAAAAGCATAAAGACGCTGCATACGGGTCAAGCCGCAGAAGCGCCAATTGCCTAGTTGGCGCGTGAGTTCCAGGTTTTCAACACAACAATTGCCAAATAACAAAGAGGTTACCGTCGTCCATGACGCCCTGATCGCTGAATTCACCCGAAAAGAAACCAAACGCCATATTGATGAATTCGTGGAAAACCTTCAGAGAACATGGACCGTGTTGCCACCATGGCTGACAATGGAAACGGTCGGGGTTTCATTTCATCGTGACAAAAAATTCCTTTCATGTGACCCCAAAAGTTACATAGTCTTTTTTGTTTTCTGACTTGCCGTTTTTCCCGTTCACCGTCACTTTTTACTCTGAACAATGAACGTGGCACGCGTCATATTTGGTCGAAAGCAATGTTACTCGACATCTTCTAAAGGCTGGATTCAAAGGCAGGCTCGCGATCCGTTTGTGAAGGCCGCGAAATCGAACCAATTCCGTGCTCGCAGTGCCTTTAAACTTGTTCAGCTCAATGATAAATACCGCGTTCTGCGGAACGGATATACCGTCATCGATTGTGGGGCCGCTCCAGGTGGCTGGACTCAGGTGGCGGCTAAAAAGGTTCAGGGCAAAGGTCTTGTGATTGGCATTGATCTGTTGCCGATCGATCCGATTCCCGGTGCCCACTTGATCCAGGGCAACTTTATGTATCCCCAAACTCAGGCCTCTGTTCGAACTATCCTCGGTGATCGCAAAGCCGACTTGGTATGCTCTGATATGGCACCCAGTTTCTCCGGAAATCATGTAGCAGATCATGCTCGTTCAATGGTAAAAAAATACGTTCCCATTGAATATTATTCTCGCGACCGAAACCCTGATCTGATAGCGGATGTTCTCCCATAGGAACTTTGTGAATCAGCTTTAATGTTTGCTCAAACGACTCTCAAACCAGGAGGTGCGTTTATTGCCAAGGTAACTGTCGCAATGAGAAATTGGGGCGCGTCTTGATGTAAAAGAATGTGATATTGACCTTGTACTTTTTAGTTCCTCATGGGAGGAAGTGAAGTTGAATTCCGGAAAAAGTTGCAGACACTCTTTGGCAAAGTGAAACAAGAGAAGCCTGAAGCGTCACGCAAAAAGTCGACAGAAGGATTCTTTGTAGCATTGAACTATTTGCCCTCCAAATGACTGAAGAGTAATCCTTCACATTACCTATTGATGGCGACCTATTGATGACGAAAAAGAAAACCAACCTAAGAAGCATGACGAAAGGGAGACGTTCGATATACGCTATCAGCGGTTTCTTGTTTTTTATTCTAAAATATGTACACATCATACGCGGCCGCGCCACTTTTGATCTTTTCCAAGCCACGCTGACGATTTTCGGTCGCATTCTTCCGATGATAACGTAACATCCTTTGGCGCTACGGATGCGTTCTCTGGAGCTACTCGATGATGTCGCTTGAACCACTGGCGGAGCTTAGGTCGCGCAGAACGCAACGAGGGCGATGACGTGGAAGAAGGCATCATTGAGAAAGGCACAGGGTATGATAGCATGGGCTCATAGCATTGTTGGGGAGTGGGGACCCAGCCGTCGGCCCTTTTACGAGCTGCCTCATCCAGATACTGCGAAGAATAATGGATGGAAGGAACCGGTTCTTTGGTGATCATATTATCGTGGACGGGTTCAGCAGGCAATGGCTTCTTCTTATGGCGCAACAGATGACGCATGGCGTACGTTGACACGGTGCGCACATACGTTTGTGATTCAGTGTCCATGAACGGAAGACAGCGCATCAAAGTGCACCAATGCATATAGGCGGCGTCCAGCGGGTCCTTGCTATGCTCTTGGTCTATATCGGATAAGCCCAATCGTTTAATCAATTCGGAGTAAGCGGTGGAAACATTGGGAGATTGGACATGTAACGTGGAATGCGTGCTGTCATCCGGTGTCATTGCTTCTTTGTTCGCTACGGCTTGCTCTAATTTATCTACTTGAGCCGATAACTGATACAGTATATGGATAATATCCTTCAATGCCAACGCCTGTTGATCATTTCCTCTGCCATCGCTGGGTAATGCTAGCATGAGTTCTGACGAAAATAAAAGAAAAAAGGTTTTTCGAAAGCCTTAAAATATGAAAGTAATGAAAGTGCTCTGATCAAAAGATTGGAAAAAGATAGAAAAATAAAAGTGGCTACAATGCAAGATCGCATTACGACAGCATTGGTAAAAAAAAAAAAAAAATTGTAAACAGCACATTCCCCAAGTGAATAATGTAGAAATGCAAATCCCAAATGACAGTGCCAACTAAAATTCTAGACGGTTCAACCTAGCCAACTATGCGGTCATTTCACTATTATCGCACTTACGGCACTTACGGCACTTACGGCACTCTCACTGCAAGTTGAATGAATCCTTACAGCAAAAAAGCATGCTGTAGATAACTGAACATAAAGTGTGAAGCAAAAACGTCCTCCGCTTTTTCAATAAGCACTTGTGCATCTGTACATACCGGTCCGTGTTCCGCCATCAACCAGTCACATGGAAAACACTGTGACAACGTAGAACATTCTCTAAATGACCACCCACCATGCCATATCTCATTGTCTTTGATTTTCTTCTGCACAGTGTAAAAAGTATGTAAAAGCCAGCAAATACTTGCAGCATGCAGTCAATGCTGCGGTGACACCTTGAAGCTCTATTCTATCCAAATTGTTTTTATAACGGAAATATCAACAATACATGCCGAATGGTACATATTACAAAGACAAAGTATAACTCGTCACATCATTCGAAGTTGCCCAGCAATATCGATGATTTTTTTGACGCAGAACATTTAAAATTTTCACCGATCATTGTAGGACTTTATCGGACGGATGGAGGGACGAGGGGGTATCGTTGGAGGGGTTTCCCAATATTGATGTGAACCACTCGTGTTCTCCATACTAACACGGCCTCCCTCCTCATCCTCATCATACGCGTCATCTGGGACGCTGTAAGGCCACATGCCTGATGTGGCCTGAGAAAGATCCTCGACATCATTATCCATTCCTTGAGGTCGGCCGCGATCGATAGTATGTTTTACACCAGCGCCAGTCTCATCGTAAAATGTATCATCGACGCTGCTAGGACGGCTGTCGCTTGTGCCACTGATACTGAATCGCATAATCGAACTGGCATTGCTGAGAACCGAACTGGAATACTGACCGCTGCAAGTACCAGAACTAACTCGACCGAAAGACATGCTCTTCTGTCTTGGTGGCTCACGTAACGTACTTAGTTCCTGAAAAGAAAAAGAGGACGGGCCAATCAGTCACTCGCTACACAAGCTATAGCATCACAGTATGCTTATACTTACATCGACCAATGCCTCGCTTACCCAGGGCCGCATCAGAATAAAATGGGTAATCAATTTCTGTTGTTCATCCAGGTCATCATCGTCCTTTCCATCATGTTTGTCAGTGTTTCCCATATGACCCACACTCTGTTGTGTATGGATACTGGTGCTACTGCTGTTATTGTGGTTGTTACCAAATAGAGACGAGGCACCACCGCTGAGACGTCCAATGCCGGATTTGCTCCGTTGCAGGGCTTTTGAAAGCACAGGACGAATGTGATGGTGAGGATGATGGGAGCCATGATGGTGTTTGGTGGGTGAAGACCGTTTAAATCGGACATAGTTGGACGGGGGAGACGAAGGATAGGCCGGACACGCCTGGAATTGTTCCATCATGTGCAATAAATCGGCCACGCGAGGATCGTCCGCCACAACGTTTTCTGATGGTTGGTGTTGCTGTTGCTGCTGTTGTTTGACGGCGGTGATCAGATACGTCATATCATGGATAAAAGTGCCGAGAAATGGCACCGTGGGTTGGCTGTAACACTGGGCACGAATGCTTGCCACGCTTTTGCCATTCACCACTGTGGTACTGACCATACCCATGTGTTCTCGATATCGACCGTAGTTTTCGGCTTCGGACATGAGTTCCATCAATGAATCGAGCTTGGCCATGCTCTTTTTGGGAATGTAAGCCCACGTTCGTCGTAATCGCTCTACGGGAGGCGTACCTAGCGCGCAGACAATGGCTTTCAACGATTGATAGTTACGGAATTCATGGCATTTGGATGCTATGGTGATCCAGTGGTTGATATGTTGAGCACGAGATGACGCTTCTTGAGGAAGTAAGATGGAATGCTCGATCGATCGTGTGATAAAGTTGAAAAAGTCGGTCGAAGCGACGACCCGTGGATGGGGTGTCCTGGGATGATGTTCGAGCAGAGCATGGCTGGGAATAGCGCGGAAAATAGCCGATTCAATCGTGGTCAACTGATAGGCTACCAGTGAAGGTTGGAAGTGAAGAATGGTAGGAATGGTGGCTGCGCTCATATACAACGTACGAACACGGTTCAACGTATGCTTGGCTTCGGCTATGTAGGGGGTATATCGAAGAATGGCCTGGTTCAGCTCATCTTCGGTGAGAGGGTCATTTTGTGCTTGTTGCTTTCTTTCTCTATAGTCTTTCAATGCAAGCTCGAGCTCGTCCAGCTTTGATTGCAGTATGCGATGCGTGGTAAGTAAAGGGGGTATAGGTATCAGAGGTACATGATCGTGCTGAGGTGAAGAGGAAAGAGGAATAAGTGTATCACCATGATGGGTTTGCGCTGGCACAAGGTGAGTCGGATCCACTTGACCATCTTCGTAAAGAACCGAGGTACTGCTATCCTCGTCTGCATGATCCGATGGAGATGGATATGAAGCGGTGGATGGCATGCTTTGAGTCCGTACGTGATAACGGGGATGTGATTGGGTCCACGGAGCCGTGGGCTCAACCGGCGACGGGCCGGCTTCTTTGGATGACAAGGAAAATGAGGAAGGGGGCCGACAGGGATTGGTGCGCATGGGTTTCGGTGGTAACACAGGCTTTATATGGTGAACAACAGATGGTTTTGGTGGTACGGGTGGTGGCGGTATTTTTTTCACTTGATGAACGCCAGTATAAGCGTTATCTACTACGTTCCGATTCTGCACTGAAGTAGTAGGACCGCCATGCGGTTCCAGCATACTCTCGAGATGCTTCAAGCATTCTCGTATGACGGTCAACGATGAATGATAATCCGGAGGTGGAGATACGATGGCTATCAGTTGGGTTGTTTTTTAACAGTTAGGCTTTTTTTGCGTTCCATTTTCATAAAGTTTGGGCTATGTCCGATAAGGAAAACGCACAACAATGGACGAACCGGACATCGAAAAACGTTCTTAAAGCTTGTTGTGCCGTGGACAGATAGGTCATGTAAGCGTCCTACAAATGGATAAGTTCAGTTTCTTGTTCCTGGGAAATCGTGTGCCTGTTTATTTGTCTTTATATTTTTTTAAGCTATGAAAACGCACCTTTAGTTGGCCCTGCTGTTGGTACTCAAGAGCAAAAGCCAAAGAAGATTGAACATCTTCCATGATGAACACGATGGGAAAGAGCGATCAGGATGACTAAAGCGAGATAAAAAATGAAAATTGAGGAAAACGGAATACAGGGACAACAGTTAAGAAAATTGTAATGATGAACAGGGAAAATAAGAATAAGGATAAAGTAAGCAATTACAGATTTGGAAAGAATGAGGGAAAAGGAAGGAAAAAAAAAGAAAAGAGAAAAAGAAACGATAGTTTAATCCATGCAATCAAATAAGCATTCATTATCGTGTACAGTGACCCACAAAAAAAGGGGGAACTACCGTAATTTTAAAATGCCCTATAAAAAGTGGCTCGTATTTTTGCATCTGATACTTAACTCACCCACTGCAACCATCCCACTCTTTTTTTTTATTACAGGTACGATGAGCGAGGATATGTTGCTGGACGTTTTTCGGCCATTGACAATAGCTGCCATAAAATCGTTATTGCAACTGTGGTTGACGACACCTTGCTGCCAGCTGCACACATGGATTAATCCATCGTCAAAATGTCGCAATTGTTCCAATTTCCTTTGACCACACCTCGAGCAAAAATTACCATTTTCTGTTAGCTGTACGTTTTTATCAAGTAAAACGCGTTACTTTAGAAGTGGAGAAGAAAAATCGGTAAAGAGACTGATAATCTGTTGTGCAAGACACTATAAAACGATCGTTGCAAAGTTTGAATGGTATGAGGGTCGATTGAGCTGACTCTAGTTCTTTACGACCGTGTTTGGGACTTGGACCACTTATTTTATTCGTATGAGTGACATCCACCAATTGCAAACGAAATAATGATACCCAAATAGTATTGCAGAAACATGTAGAGAGCAATAAAATGTGTACTATTTGGCAGGATAAAGTGATATGACATTGGAGCAGTTGAAGTCCGTCATCTTAAAAGTTTGGATTACGATGCAAACAGAAGACTTTGGGACAACTTGACAGTCTTTGCTGTTGCGATAAACATGGCCGTCACTTTCAGGTCTTTTATTTTTATTACGACTTGCGCAAATATATACATATTCCGGCCCTTTACATGAGTTGTAGAACTGCTTGATAAGGAGGACCGTAAAGGAAGTGATAAAAATGCGACCGGAAAATGAATTGGGACCTTTTTATCTTAGGGCGCTGAACATGAGGAAGGAGTTTCAAAAGTGACAAGGGTCATTCTTAAATGACATGGAATTGATCCTTCCATACCATGTATTCCTTTTGTCCCGATTCGTGATCCTTCAGTAAATTTCCTGTTTCCATATCAATAGGCCAGCCCGCAATCGAAATCTCGGCTTCGGTGTCGTGCCATGTATAAACCAGCATTTTCACTTCGTTTTTGCGCCTTTGCACCCATCCCTCCGGAATATAAAAGTCGTGCTGAGGACTGTCTCCGTTGCCGTAATAACGCGCCATGAGATGATCGTTCAAGTAAATGTAACCGGTCCATTGTCCTTCCAGATGCAAACGAAGAGGAATATTAAAACTGGCGCTAGCACTCTTGAGGCCGTGATCAAATCGGAATCGCATCCATCGTGCGCCATCGTCTAAAAGCACAGGGAATCGATACATCGATTTTTCCTGTTGCACACCGTTGCATTGAGTCCAAGGCAATGTTGCACGTTCATCGGGGACTCCGACGGTATTAAAGGGATTATCCAATTTGCGCACATCCACACCGGCAATTTGCCATGCATCTTGAGCTCGCTGCGTCTCATTGTGCGAAAGTCCACTGAGAGTGGCCTTGATGATTCCATGCGGGTTACGAACATCGTCCATGACGAAAGCTTGGCGGTGCAACCCAAAGTTGCTCACCAGAATGACGAGCTGGTTTTCCAATCGGCCTTCCCGAGACAAGTAGGGGGACAGGTCGTAAGTATGCGATCCTAGGAACCATGGATCAGGACCAATTTTGGCGCCGGGAGCAAACAGTTGGCGTGAATAGGTAGTGTGGCCACCGACAATGCGCCCGTTAAGGAGCACCGTGCTGCGATGGCGGGCATTGAGGGATAATTTCACTTTGGGCTGTTGCTGAGATGGCGTAAGAAACGTTGTTTGATACACCGTATGGCCGCTGGTAAAATGATAATCCAACGAGTCCCATGTCAGACGACCATCATGAGGACGGTGCATCAACGGTTGCCAAGGTAGTTTTTCAAAGTAGACGGGACGTGCTTCCCAATGACTTAAGGACACCACAATCGGCAGCGGGAACTGTTGATGGGCATGTTGTTTCAAATCTGCGGTACGGACCAGGGGGAGCTGTTCGTACACGCCCTTGAAGTTGTGAAGTAAACGACGGTCGGTCGACGTATCAAAGGACAATACTTGAAGATTTCGATTCGACGGGTGATAATTGACTTCCAGGTGCTTATCATGAGGGTTGTAAAACATATCGTCTGCGCCCCAGGCAAGAAAAGCTGGAGAACGTTTGACTCCCTGATTCCAGTAAGGTTCTTGAAATTCGGCGTACAGTGTTTTCGCATCCTCACCGGTCAAACCAACAAGATAGAGATTGCCGGTGGTGGTAGCGAGTTTGGTCCATCCGTTGGTTTTTTCAAATGTCAATATCATGACTTGGCCCTCCTGCCGCCACACATCGTTTTGCATATTGCCGGTCATGCTCAAGGCTTTCTTCATAAACGCCATCGCACCAATCTCGTTGGGTTCAACGACCCAGACCTCGTCGTTGCCGTTCGGATGTAACATGCGAGCAAGGATTGGAACGGTGGATACAATGAGATGCAGACCATTGGCCGTTTGATAATTGCCAATGCCAATAAACGAGGTTTTGTAGGGCAAGTGACAGCCTAAACTGAAAGCTTGATCGTTGTAACGGACCGAGACTTCGAAATTATCACGCTTTTTGCGATCAAAGTTACGGAAAAAGTTGAATTCCACGGCTTGATCGGCGCCGACGGCCACACGTTGTCGATTCAATACATGAGGGATGGAGGTTTTGACGCTAGCATGTTGTACCAGGTCGGTTTTGGTGAAATAAGGATCGAAGGAACGAGCGAATAAAATCGTTTGCCGAAGCAAGCGGCCGCGAGAAGACATGTAACCATATTCCCGAATACACGCCGAGTAATCATACGAAGTATACACATCGCTAATAAGAACAAACAAAGATGTCAATATCTGATCCACATTAATCATGATCCAACACCGAGAAAAAAGAGAGTATAAGAAAGATAAAAAAGAGGTTGACACTTACGGATCGCCAAGCATCCCCCAGTTGGTACCTCCATAAACCATATAAAGGTTTATCATGCTTGAACCTTGAGCCAGTAAGGTTTCCACGAGAATTTTAGTGTAATGATCGCCAAAATAGTTATAGATCGTATCATAAGTATGATTCAATTGGTAATGGTTAAACCATCCACCTTGGAGTTCGGGGACAAATAGTGGCGACTGCATTGACCAAAGACATATTGGTTACTGAAAATGGCCGAGCATTCTTTTTTCATGAATATCCATCACATACCTCGGCTGCACCATGTCCAAATCCGCGCACCTTCTTTTCCAAGCCATCCATCGATTTTTCCATTTGTTTTACGCTCCATTCGCCCCACGCATCGGCCATAGAATCTGCATTGATCAACCAAGTCTTTGGTGAGCTGGAAGGAGGAAAGACTATCGCAAGTAAAATCATGTTTTAGTGGTTGTTCTTGATTATGCAGTGTTAAGGTTTTTGCTTACCAACATATTTATCGAACCCGTACAGATCAATGCCGAATTTCTGCTTGGCTCCTTGACTTTTTTCATGTTTGCGTGGGTTCCATCCACCTTCTTCAAACCCGTCATTGGTGAATAAAGGCACGGTGATTCCTGCGTCTCTGGCTGCCTTGGCAAGCACGCGCATCTGATCGCGTAGACCCACAGGAAGGAGATGACCGAGGGTTTCGAATAGTTCATTGTCAATTTGAACAGCGAGGACGCACCTCTTTTTGCCGTGAGCCTGATCGGTGATTTGGTGTTTGCCGAGAATAGGAAGGATATGGTTCAGCCACTGAATTTCGTAGGCGGCGAATTTGGGATCGTACTTGCGCCACAGCATGAACTGGTTATGTCGTATTCTGAGGTCGCGTTTCGCAATAAGCCAAGCCGGGTAGCCTCCACCTTGAGTTTCGGCGCATATATAAGGTCCCGGAGCGGCCAAGACAAAGAGTCCCAGTTCCTCGCACAAGTTCAACAGGTAGTCCACATCACGATTACCGTCGAATAAATAGACGTTTTCGTCCGGTGAATGGTATCCCCAGTGGAAATAGATACGAATGGTATTCATGCCAGCGGATCGGTACTGCTTCAGAATCGCTGGCCAGCGTTCCCGATCGGGGACACGCCAATAGTGGAATTCGCCCGAGAACAGCATAGTCGGTTCCCCTTGAATGGAAAGCGCGTGCTTATCCCAGTCGAGAATGTCATGGTACTGTGTGCGATTGTAAGCGACTGATTCCGTGGTGATATCGAGAGTACCCCACGTGCGCTGATGAGCGTAATACACGAAACCCGAAAGCAAGGCCGGTATAATAGCGAACAAGGAATAAAGCGGTGTCATATCAGCCATACGTTATTATTCTTGATTACTGAAAGCAACCACACGCATACGACTGGCCAATAAATTATCTCGAGAACGAAAAAGAAAAAGAGAAAAGCCAAGAAGCGTGCACTAAATTCTTCGTCTCATGCAGAAATGACGTCGTTTATGGGCTTTATGACTTGGCGCAATTTATTTCCACCGTAGGAATAGCTCATAATCAATATAAAGTGAAAAATGCTTCTATATATTCACTATCATCCTGATGAAATAAAAGGATATATCTTGCTTATAAACCTGTGCATGCAGTGATCATGAAACAGGATGCACTGGGGGTTGTACGCACAATGAAGCCGCTGGAAGAGAGCGCCTCTTCGTCGCGTCGGATTCTCTCCAATCAGGTAATTTTGATGACGTGAACCCGATTTAAAAGGAATGCCCGAAAATTTCGTGTCCGGGCGGTTTTTGTAAACAACCCTGGGCACCCCTCACCAATTTTTTTTTTTTTTTTTTGAATTGTAACTCGACAGTCAAAGCCAGTGGCACCACTGAATACTTTTCTCTATTTGTCGTTCTTCCCCCACTCTTCCTTCATGGCTTCCAAACTACTTTCGAATACCCTTCAATCCAACGTCAACTTGACCAAGCAGGTAAATATCCTTCTTCTTTCATTCCTGACAATGTCAACAACATCCACGAAAAGCCCCCCCAAAAACGACCACGTCGTGACAAACAATAACACCATCTCTTCAACGCCACTTTCATTCCCCCGATCAACGTAAACCCAACATCCGTTGCTAATTCACGTTTTTTGTTTCATTTTTTTTCTTCCTTTGTAACCAGTTTGTGCGTCCTTTGGCAACCGCTGCTAAGCAAGCCGCTGCTACACGCACCACCGTTCTTCCCAACGGTTTGACCATCGCCACCGAAGAAAACGCCAATGCTGGTGCCGCCACCGTCGGTGTGTGGATTGATGCAGGTTCTCGTTCGGAGACTGCCAAGACGAACGGTGCTGCCAACTTCTTGGAACACCTCGCTATCAAGGTGAGCTACCCCTTTCAATTACTTTTCCTTCCTGTATCAAACGTAAAACCACGACCTCTTTCTCGTCATTCTATGACAAGTGGCTCTTGGATTTTCCCCCCGTGGATAGCATTTATGGAAGGATGGGACAAAGGAGGATTTTTGCTGATTATGGAAACGCGTTTTATCTGACCCTCGTTCCTTTTTTTTTTTTTTCGTTCTCTCTTTTATTATTTCCTTTAGAGCCAAGCTTCGTCTTTCGAAAAGGTCGGTGGTATCCTCAATGCTCGCACTACTCGTGAGCAGACTTTCTACGCTGCCAAGACCTTGGGTGCTAGCGCTTCCCAGTCTGTCCAGATTCTCGCTGATTTGATTCAGAACCCCACCATCGACAATGCCGCCATTAACAGCACTCGCAACAGTGTCTTGCGCGAACAATCCAAGGCCGAAAACGATGCCGTCCAGGTCGTCTTTGATCATTTGCACGCCACCGCTTTCCAGGGTGATTCGATGAGCCGTCCTGTTGCCGGTGTCAAGGAAACTGTGGAGGGTTTGACGGCTGAGGATTTGGCTGCCTACAAGAAGGAAAACTACACCGCCAGCCGCATGGTCCTCGTCGGTTCCGGTGATGTGAACCACGATGAACTTGTTCGCGCTGCTGAGAAGAGCTTTGGTCAGCTCGAGTCTGGTGCCCCCGCTCAATTCGCCAAGCCCGTCTTCACCGGTTCGGAAATCCGTCTCCGTGATGACGTTCTTCCTCAAGCTCACATTGCCATGGCTGTCGAAGGTGCCGGCTACCTCACTCCCGACTACTTCAAGTTGGCTGTCATGCAAGCTTTGATCGGCTCTTGGGATAAGAACTTGGGCGCTTCCGCCAACTTGTCTTCCCGATTGTCCACCATTGTCAACGGTAACCACCTTGCCAACTCGTTCGCCTCCATCAACATGGGATACAAGAACACCGGTCTCTGGGGTATCTACTTCGCCACCGAGAACAAGACCCAGATCGATGACTTTGTCCACTTCACTCAGAAGGAATGGGTTCGCTTGTCTACATCCGTCACTGCCAGCGAAGTTGAACGCGCAAAGCAGCAGCTCCAAGCCGGTTTATTGCTCACCCGTGACTCCACCTGCGCTGTCGCACAGGATATTGGTAGCCAGATCCTTGCCGCTGGCAAGCGTATGACTGCCGATGAATTGAAGGCCGCCATTAGCAAGGTCACCTTGTCCGACGTTCGTGAAGCCGCCAACAAGTATCTGTGGGATCAAGAAGTTGCCGTGGTTGGTTATGGTCCTGTCGAAGGCTTGACCGACTACAACAGAGTTCGTGGCAACATGTCTTACAACAGGTAACGTTATTCGTCAATATGCATTTGGATTGATTCGTAGGAGTGCAATTTCATTTTAACTGACTTCTTGTTTTGTCTTTCTCATTTCATAGATTCTAAGCACCAGTAGATAAGGGATAGAAAAAACCCCGCAACAAGACCTCCAAAACATCGATAAACAAATTGTTCAATTACTACTATTTAAAAGAAATATCAAAACAATGATCAACCAATTGGTTAGCGCATTTCATGTCGCTTATAGAACACAATTCATGACGGACGCCTGGGATAAACTGGCTTACTACAGTTGTTTTCGCACACAGGGTAAAAATGTGTTGCAAGCGATACAGGAGGGACGCCATGTAATCTGCATAGTGTGGATCCAACAGCAAGGTGGTTCCGCTTAAAAAAATGAATGCTTTTGGAATGAGCGAATGATGCATTGAATTACCATATCAGGACATGTTGTATCATCCCTTTAATTCTCATTGATGCAGCAGTCGACAAATTGGATTTTTTTTTTAATCATAAAGAGCTTTTCGAGACAATCATTGCCAAGGAGTGCCATGGATCAGCAGTTTTTCGGCTTGCTGATTTGCTGCTTTTTGCCAAAAGAAAATGTTCTATCTCCAGGGCATGACCTCGAGATTCCAATGCAACAAGTGATGCTGGTCTAGGCATTAGTAGACTAGGATTCTCGTTTGGGTCTAGAAGTTCACAAGCCGTACTGATTTAGCGATTTGCTATTGTGTATTTTCTCCAGGTATCACCGAATGAAGGGGTTTGACACGTGAAATTCTCGCTGTTAGTGTGTTTTTCGATGATCCAACACATAATATCAATGTTTATGTTTTCGTATGCCATGATAAATTCCCATCCGATCACAGAGAAAATGAAACCATTATAGTGCTATATGCTTCATAGCTGACAATAACAGCAACCGTCTTACCAGTATCCAAAAAAGCATTCAGTACGACAACAAATGAGAGTTACAGTATTCTAGGACTTTTTAGTTCGTTTTCTTTGTGCACCAGTGAATCGAGTCACTAATAGAAAGATACCAGGCACGCAAAGCATATATGTGAGCCAATGTAATGTACCAGTTGTATGTTTGGGTGATTGACAGTTGGGAACACAGCTCGACAAGGTAGGATGATGAAGAATATTTTCAAGTTCTGTGAAGACTTTCAAGTTGCTAGCGGCAATCATGGAAAATAAGATCGTTGTTTTGTGTAACGAGAACCAGGACAAGCAATAAAAGCAGGTGATAGACACTCTTACATATCATTTTTTGTTCTTTTTCTCTCTTTGTCTTTTTCTATATGGTAAGCCAGGCTGTTCCTGTAAAACAAGGTCGTTTCGTCGAGCATTTCGACCGTCCTTTCATACCTGAAGCGTTCCAATCCTCTACCGAAAGCATGAAAACCTTATCCTCAGACAAGTCGCTCAAATTACCTCGCTTCTTGTCCTTTGCCAGTAGCACCGTTAGTGTCGACAAGCAACATCCAACCGCCTCGGCCGCCGCCGCTAGTTTACATTCTTCACCCCAAACTTCGGCCGGATCTCCTACAGTACCACAACCGCCCAGCTTGCCGGCCTCTCGAGACAGTGACCTCAACACTTCCAATGATCTCTTGATCGATCCCGGTCAGAGGCATCCGACCACTGCGTCCAAAGCACCCTCATCCATCAACAAAAGCAAGCGATCAAGAGTGAGCCTCAATAGAGCCCAACTTATTATTCAAAGACTGGATAAGTGGGTACTATTTTTAAAGGTGGTCTATCTTTGGTTGGAGATGGTACGGAAGCAGCAAAATCACAAAGGAGCAGCTTACTGCCATCAAGCCCACGATATTTTCAAAGGAGACCCGGCTTTAACGAACGATAACAGTCAATCTGATAATAAACGACCAACCATCCGTGACAGCTTGGACCTGAGCGGCCAGAAAATACAGGATTGTCCATCCACTGATGACTACCTCCGACAACATCACTTGCCCAGTCTGAAAAAGCTACGCAAACAATCTAAAGATCAAGTTCAAGACCTTTTATCCAGATCCGATCTGGCTTTGGATGAACTGCTACGTCGTGCGGAAATTACGCGAAAAACCATGTCACAGTTAAACAAACTGTGCAAAGCAACGGACGCCCGTCGCAAAGAATCGGTGCACGATCCATGGTTAGCTAACCTTTGTAAGTGTGTGGACAATGAATCGTTCATTCATTCATATGAATCGAAAGGAGTACACATTTATTAATGGCCACAATATTTAACAGACGTTCTTCGTCAATTGAAACGGGAAGTGGACGAAGAGAATCGCTTGCGGCTCCTCATGGTGCCAGTCCAACAAACCACTGCGGCGTTGGAACAAGAGATTTTGAAGGCATTGCAATCCGCGCTGCAGTGGGGTTACCAACGACAGCCGGATCAAGCGAAATCTATGGCTGCTCTCATTGACAAGGTGGTGCCTATGGCCCAATGGAATCAGATAGCCACCCGAGCTTATTACGACATTGTTCCTGAAAAGCAGCCCACCAAAGATTACCGTCGGATCAACTACAACAATAAGCATCACCCTCTTGTGCTGACATTACACAAAGGGAAGTTAGGACGGCGGACTGGTTTACTAAAACAGTACACGGACCATTATTACGTGTTAACACAGTGTAAGTGTGCCGAAAGGAAAGGAAATCCACACATTGCACCAAGCGCCCAGCCACTCACTCATTCGTTTTCGAACAGCCGGTTACTTGTACCAATTTCGACTCGGCGATAAAGTATCGCCAGAGACTTCGATATATATTCCAAATGCTACCATCACCCCTTCTGCTGATCTTAACACCGTAACACAAAGCCCCACGGTTGGAGACGCGGACGAGTCATCTCACGTAGAATACACATTTGAAATTCATCGATCGGCAACCTCTGTATTGCAACGCGAGAGGTCGTTCAACCTGCGTGCCGAATCTGCCAATGATCTTCGACAATGGTGCCACCTTTTGATGCAAATGGCGATAATCAAAGATACCTCCATGCTGATCCAAGCAGATACGCTAAAGTCGACCTTATCATCACCTGTTTCTACACCCGCTCGAGAGAAACAAGCCATCGAAGCCACCGCTGCTTCACCAATGACCCAATCAAACAATTTAGCCACCCAGACGGAGGCTCGTTCATCGTATGTTCGCTCTGAGGCCAACGTGGAAGAACCATTGTCACCCAAATCGACTGATGATCAGTCACATTATTCTTCTTCCTTTGTCGATGCAAGAGAGGAAGAAGAATGTGAAGATTATGTCAGTGTGGAATCCACTGAGAGCTTCAACGAACCAATTGTATATTATGGCAAGCTTTCGCAAGAACAGCAGTCAAACAGTCCTCCTTTCTCTCATCATGTTACGCCGGCGGAAAAGCCTCGACGGTCTGAAGAGGCAGAACACACACTACCGCCCGCGGTAGAAATGAAGCTTTCAACAAAATCCGACAACTATAATTACAGAGTGAGCACCGCTACTTTTGGTGTTCCTTCCTCGACTTTGCATGTCGTTCCACATTCTGTATCGACGTCGGTGGACGCGTCTGAGGAGTGTGCATTGCAGCTGACATCTTCCGCATCTGAGGCCTCCTCTTCCACCAACTCCGCCACCGTTCCGTCTTTAACAACCAACACTCACCTTTCATCCGCCACTTCTTCTCGCGCTTTCACCACGTATCAGGCGAACTTGGCCTCCGTCACATCAACAGATAATTACTCCTATGTCATGCCCATCTCCTTTGGATCTCACTCGTCCTAAAGCTCTTCTCCATATCTAAGAGTTGTCGAATAAAAACAATGCATTTTTAGGATCTTCAAGTTCTCATGTTTCACTCGAATTCATCTGTAACCCATTATTCTGTATGACCATCGCTGCCATCACTCGTGCTGCTGCATGATATACGCTTTTATGGAAATAGACATTTCCCAAAGTTACGACCTCCGTAAAAATTTCCTGTTACTCGGGGCGGCAATGGATTGGTCCAGCACCCAGTAATCGGGATATGGCAGCTGGAAATTATGTTCAAAGAGCGTTTTTGTGGTAGTACATTGTTGCTATTGGTCTACTGCTTTGGTGGGTTGGGGGTGAGGAAGGTAAAAGTTTAAGTCGAAACATTGGTAATAGGTCAGAAACATGTCATGGGCAGGGCAACAAAGCAGAAACCGTTGTAGGCTAGGATACACGATGGCAGTATTCCGTGGGTCATCGCGTATCCTGGCCTACAATGGTTTCTGCTTTGTTTCTCTACCCATGGCAGCAGGAAATGTAGCATTTGAAAGCTTATTACGGAGACGCATCTATATCGAAAATCGGTTCACACTGGACGGAGTGTGAACGATTTGTTCATCTTCACTGTGCGGCACATTAATTACTTGTCATCCCATGTGGTGATACGAATATGTGGTGGAATGAAAAAAGCGGAAAGCTTATCCCGTCCTGGTGACACTTGGACAGAGGATAACACAAAAAGTCATCGAATATTTGCAACGTCTCCACTAGAGGAATATTTAGTCAAGACAAGGGGGTGATGTCCCTCGCTTACTCTACCGAAAGCGGGTATGAGAAAAATTTCGAGTGTAAATTATTAAACTTATTTTATCACATCACGGTTACTGTTTTCGGTTACTGCATGTCAGACCCAGACTTTTTTGAGCTCATCTATTGTATTGGTTCATTGCAAATCATATGTTCATTCTTTCCACCAAGATTGCCGTAAGAGGAATAGCACGCATCTCATTTTTCTTGATTTTTAACAGGATCGGGACGTGCAATTGAAGCAACGCCGCATGAATGCATCTTCTCGTCGTTATTTCTTCTTGTGATGGGAGCTGCAACGTGTCTTGGGGTGGTTGTCATTTTTCTAAAAAAAAAAAAAAAAAAAAAAAAAAAAAATAAGAGAGCAAATGAATGTAATTTGATTAAGTAACAAAATGAAACTAACAATATGCATAAACAGATCTGGGAAAAAAAAATAATACATGCAGAAATAATAAGAAGGTAGGTATCTTGAAACAAGAATTAGTAAATGCGTGAAAAAGTGATGAGGGTAGGAATATAACGAACTACTAGGTTTTTTTTTTCTATTTTTCTAAAGACGATAAATAAAGTTGGGATCCTGCACATCAGTTAAATCGTCCTCGACATTGGTGACATATTCGCTCGGTTTGGATAAGCGCTGCTTATTGACAATGGCCATGCGCCAACGGGCAATCAGTAATAACACAATAACGATGGTATTGGCAACGATGTAACCGATCATGCCACCGATATACGTCGGTTTTTGACTTTCAACCATCATCAACGGTCCCACAAAGTTGCCGACAGTGTAAAACACCATCAAAAGACCATTGTAAAAGATCTTCTTTGTATAACCAGATACGTTGTTGGCAATCGTGGTCACTAGCAACACATAGGCGGCACAATAGGACCAGGCAAGGTAGAATCCAACGAGCTTGGCCTTGGGGACAGGAATCACCACCAGGAGGATCAGGCCAATAATATCGATCACCATCAAGCCACAAGCGGTGTAAATCGTCTGCTTAGTTCGTTGGACCACCCACACGGCTCCCATAATCAGGATGATATCCGATCCACCTGTGCCAATACTCAGCAGCACCGATTGCAGTTGCTGAAAACGAATTGGTAAATGAATTTCTGCCTCAACTAATTATTTTTAAAAAGGTGCTTGTTACTTACGTTGAATCCAAATGTTTGGGTGAGTTGGCCGTTGTAGATGGTCATGGCGCCATTTTGCAGATTGACCAGCAAACAAGCAAAGCAAAGGCACCATAATCGCGGTTCCTTGAGAGCTTCCATGATCTGAGCCCGGTTAGCCGATGTGGTGCGAACGACGGCATTATCTCTTGTACGTTCTTCGATGAGAATTTCTTGTTCAGCGTTCAGCTTCAAGACTTTCGATTTGGGATTATCGATCAAGAAGAAAAAGGTAACAACGCCGACCACCACTGTGCAGGAACCGAGAATGATCATGATCCTAAAAGAATTAGAGTGAGTGATGACATTGCCACACCAACAAGGCACAGGTATTTTTTTGTTTTTCGTTATTTACCATTGCCAGGTTTTTAAACCGTAGGTATTGGTCATTCTACCAATACCATACGTTACAAGGCCTCCAAAGATAAGTGAAAAGCCATTGCAGAGCCAAAAGATACCCAAACGAGCGGCCTGTTCTGAGCGGCGATAAAAGGTACTGATCAACAATGTCAGAGATGGATAAATGCCGGCTTCCAGCAGACCCAGCAAGAATCTCAAAGCTGCCATTTGCGAGAAGTTGGTGCCAAAGGCCGTGCACACCAACACCACACCCCACAAGGTGACAATGACACCCATGTACCGGCCAATGGGTACCATTTGCAAAATGAAATTATTAGGCAGCTAATATTATAATCGGATGAAGCACAAACGTTAACATGTCAGTTTGAAAATACTACACAGGTGGTTTTCAGAATTTACCTGAAACAATAGGTAACCTAGATAGAAAATAGATCCAAGCAAGCTGTACTGGTCACCCACCAGATTCAGATCGCTTTTGAACGAGAAGATGGCAGCGTAATTAATACTTGATTTGTCGATAAACTAGGAAAAATCACTTTGTCGATGAGTTACGTGATCGGACGGTGCCACCATCAAAAATGACCAAAAAAGATGGAATTTCATCTTCTCGATACCATTTCCCTTCTAAAAAGAGTAATCGATAATGATCAGCTTTTCTTTACTGTACCTGAATAAAATCAATAGTACAAATGATGGGCATAATCAGCCAGTCGATTTTACGAACGAGGGCTCTCTCCTCCTCGCTCTTTATTGGATCCGGCTCCTCTTCGCGTTCAAGGTAACTACTGCCATCGTAGAAGCGATCCTCGCCATATAATGTTTTACTGGACCGTTTGTCAAAATCGTCCATGGCAATATCGGACGATGATCGAAGCGTTGGGTTCATTCCAGAGCAAGTGATCAATCACAGTCAAAGAAAGGTAAGAAAAAAATAGTGGAAATGAAAAAACAGGGCTTGGGAAAAGCAATCTTCAAAAAGTCGAAAATAGGAATTGCCACAAAAAAATTAAAATACAAGGACCAAAAAAAAATTGTCTATAAAGCGAAGTTGCAGGGAGCACAGAAAATTTTTATCAAAATGGTAAATGACATGGCTTATCTGGTCCACGGCTTTGGGTTTCTTTTTTACCTATCATAACGATAGATCGGGAATAAGAGGTGTTGCCTTCGTTCAATTCGTGTGCAACCATTAACTTTGGTACGGACAACGGTGGTGGTTATCAATGTGATTATTATCAAAGCAGATCAGTGTGCATTTGCACAAAATATCCCGTTGATTGAATGGTAAAATGCATGCAGTCTGCCGATTTACTCCGACATGACTTTATAAAAACGCATGGAACGAGGCCCATGGTCAAAAGAGAACCTTGACCTAGTACAAATGGCTGAAAGAGGTCGAAAGACTGGAGATGATTCCAATCGATGATCGATTTTTAAGATCCCGTCACGATCATTGCTACTGTTGGTCTGTCGCACAGACCGCCATTTGTGTTTGTTACCGTTTTTGCCCCCCACCCCCAACCCCCAGCACTGACAAGTAAAAAATTTCATCACCATGGCGATGACAGCTTGGCATCTCTGGAGGGTCTCTCAGCGGGAAACGGATCCTTGGGCTGATGCGAGCTCATTTGTGAGGATACACTTTGTTCAAAGTTTAAAGACGATGGCTATTTTTTGTCTTCGGTCATTGAAAAAAATCGTGCGAGGCCGCCATATTTTTTTTTGTTTTGTTACATGGATTGGCGACAAATTGGCGCACAGACAGATGAGAGTGGCAATTCAGGGTTCGTGCTTCTTTACCATGTTTGAAGCCAACAAATGAACTCGATTGATCGACTTATTCTGAAGCTTGATTGACATTTATGGCTGCCAGCAATACAATGACAGTGAAGGAAGGTCCGACAGTTTTGAGACTTTCTGGAAATATTGAAGATTTTCATGTATAAACCTTGCTGTCGGTGGCTGTAGTCAGTTGTTATGTGCAGTCCAGTTGGAGATTTGTTGCCCATGCTGACTATCAAAGAAAATACAGCAACTGGGTGCAGATCCCGGTCTTTCACGATCCCAATTGCAATACCAGAACAAAAAACATCTTTTAGTTCGATAAACTCAATTACACTTCAGTACACTACATTGAATTATAGATCATTTCTCCAGAATCCAGCAATATCTTTTTATATTCTTCAATACCGTTCTGGGGTTTTCGAAAAAGCAAAAAAGTGTAGGCCCCACCGATTGGTGAAGAAGATTGGATCCATATCCGTTGCATTTCTTGATATTTGTCTTTTCATGCAGTTGAACGCATTTTTCAGCGAGCTTTTCCGAGCGCCTTATTTAAATGATAGCGAGTGGTTCCAGCCATTTTGGTTCGGAAAAGCGAGGTTGGTTCTCGGCGGACCCGCCTCTTGGTTCCATAGAGGGGAAAAAAAAAAGTAAAATCCGATTTTGGTTTGGTAGTACATTTCACGCCCAAGTGCGGACTTGGCGAATATTTCTTCATGGACATCAGCGAGCCCCAGTGGGATAGAAAAAGGAAGAAATAAACCTTAAAGAAGCATTGATGTCTCTTTGCACGTTTACAGAGCATTCACACGTCTTTTTGTGTTCAATCGATGGGAGTGACGGAATGAGGTGATCTATGATCGAACACAAATTTTTTTTTTGTCATAAATGAAGTGCAACTGTAATATCGTACGACTTGCCAGAGACAGTACCATTTCTTTTTATATCAAAACGAGAGGAAAAAAAAAGAGAAAAATAAATCCATGAGTGATGAATGCAATGGAAGTAACTGCGATATTAGTGAGAATATTACATGATATTTTGAAAAATAAGCAGCCGAGCTACAAGATTAAGATAAAAAAAAAAGTGGAAGTGGGAATAAAAAAAGTGGAAAATTACAGACGGTAAATGAAATTAGGATCTTCCTGATCTGTCATATCTTCAAACATCGCCGCATTGGGCTGAGGGTTGGCCAGACGTTGACGGTTAGAGCGAGCCATGAACCAGTGAGCGCCCAACAGACAGGCAATGCAAAGAGCGTCAGCAACAATATAACCGACCATACCACCGATGTATAAGGGGGCCTGAGACTGAACCATCATTTTAGGGCCAACAAAGTTACCGATGGTGTACAAGACGGTGATACAGCTGCTGTAGAAAGCTTTCTTGGTGTAGCCAGACACGTTGTTAGCCACAGACACGAGAAGCAAAGTATAAGAAGCAGCGTAGGCCCAGCACAGGTAAAGACCGACAATCTTGGCTTGAGCCAAAGGAATGACCAACAAAAGGATAAGACCAAGGATGGTAAAGCAAAGCAAGCCACACGCAGTCACCAAGGTATAACCGTAGTAACGATTGATCAATACAGCGGCAACAATGTACACACAGTCAACGGCACCGGAGGGAATATTCAACAAGATAGCGTCCAAGTTCTAGAGTAGAAAAATTATCAGTACGTGCTGCAACCATGGTGAAACAGACATAGCCTCGTGAAAAAGCAACTTACCGCAAAACCGAAACCGTTGATAATAATGGAACTGAAGGTGTTCAGAGCACCGTTTTGCAGATTGATAAGGAAGGAGGCGAGAATGAACAGGTAGAAGCGAGGTTCGCGGAGCGATTCCATGATTTGGTTACGCTTGATAACTTCAGTACGAACCACGGCATTGTCGCGCATACGTTCGTCAACAATGGCTTCTTGTTCCTTGGTCAAACGAAGGAAGCGAGACTTGGGGGTATCAACGAGACCAAAGAAGCAGATGATACCAAAAAGCATGGTAACAGCACCAAGAATAATCATGATCCACTGCCAGGGATCTTTTCCGAGGACGTTGTTCATGTGACCAATACCGTAGCCGACGAGACCACCAACGGACAAGGCAATACCGTTACAGATGTATACGGCACCCAAACGACCGGCTTGTTCCTTTCGGCGGTAAAGCGTACTGATCAACATAACGCAGCATGGGTAGATACCGGCTTCGAAGAAACCAAGCAAGAAACGGAGCGCAGCAAGTTGGGAAAAGTTTTTGGCCTCACATGTCACGGTGAGAACAAGACCCCAAAGGACAATCAAACCACCAATATACTTGCTGAGAGGAACACGTTGCAAACAGTAAGCATTGATGGGCTATAGAAAAGTCACAGAATAAAAGGGTGAGTACTTTGTGTCATTATCCAGAAACAAAAAGAAAAGAGAGTCGCAAATGTACCTGGTACAAGAGATAACCGAGGTAAAAGATGGATCCGAGCCAACCAAGTTGATCAGCATCAATGTGGGTATCTTGCATAATTCCCAGTTGACTGGCATAGTTAATAGCTGATTTATCAAAGAACTAATGGGACAAAAAAAGTATCATATCAGCATATGTTTGGTTGTGCAATAAAAGAAAGCAAATGATTCGTGAGAGCCTTCAAAATTGACAGGCGAACGAATAAATTTTTTTCTGTAGAAATTTTTTTTAATTTTTACCTGCAAGAAATTGAGAACGGCAATAAAGGGCATGACATAGATGTAATCCAGCTTGCGGACAAGGCTCTTTTCTGCCGCACTTTGAACATAGTGGCTTCGTCCTTTATCATCAATGTCTTGGAGCTGGCCTGCTTTCGTGTGAATAGATTCTCGGTCCATGTAATCGACGTGTTTCTCGGTATGATAAGAGATCTGCTCCTCGGCCACGATCACCTCCTCCTTGGTGGTATATTCGATCTTTGAATCGCCTGCAGCCGACATTGAAGACGAAAGACTAAAAAGAAAAAGTTTAAAGGGGAAAGAGGCAAACGGTCAGATGAACAACAAGTGGCGAACAAAAACTAAAACTTTTTATACCTTGATGAAGATTTAAAAGCCGTAATTCTTGTGTGCCGCAAAAAGCATGCTAGGTTGCTATCATTAAGTTTCTTTCCAGGATCATATATGGTTCACTAAGATTAAATCAGGTAGTACAAATCCAACGAACCTCGGCATCGTGTAATCCACCAGTGATTCGCCGCCTGCGCTTTCTCTTTTTTTTTACGGTTCCTCGATAGTGTCACCATGCATTCGTTTTAAGGTCCGTCTACCGTCTCTCCCATTTGTGAATGCGCGGTTTTTTTTTTTGCTTCGGTCTTCTCAGTCCAAGTTCCGCATTATACAAAATGAAACATTTCCAATGAGAATACCCGATTTCCCAGTTTTAACCGCCCGGATCGCAAACCATACCATAATCTTCAATGAACAGAAAAACTTCCTCTTGTGATCAAAGAAATGAAAAAAAATTCTTTTTTTCTTCATTTAGGGAATTGCCAAAAGGAAAGAGTTGATGTTCAACGCCCCAGCGCGGAATTTCAAAAACTTTTTTTTTTTTTTCAGTCATAAGTTTTTTGTTTCGCCTGAAAAATATCAGGCAGTCCACCGAAAGCGTAGAAGCTTGGGGGAGGTGCACCAGCTCCTATTTATGGAGAGGTGCTAATGTTAGTGCGACTTTGGATCAGTCAATTGAAAGCATTGCAGAATCAAAACAACGTCAATGTATCATTGACTCAAAAATTCAGATAATGCATGGACCATTGAAAGCTTTTATATTTCGCCATATTTAGATTTTCTCCACCTCGATCCTGAGACTTTGTGCTTCTTTTACGTACATTCATCGATCCATGTCATGGCATTACTGCGATAAAATAAACAGAAATGAAAAGCAAAAAAAAAGTAAATTCTGTGTTTTGCTCTGATCTATGTGTTGTGCTTTGGAAGGTGATGCCCTCGGTGGCGTTGATTGTATACTTCTTACTTCATTGAAAATCATTGTTTTCTTGCCATTTACATCAAGCAAGTTGAACTGCACTGTAATTGACTGGTTTTACAAAAACCTTTTATCGCTTTTGAGAATGGAAATGAAATTGGAAGCAATATCGTGCCCGTTTGGGAGTTCAATGCGCCAATACGATGCCGACCTTTGGATTCCATTTTGCTAAAGGTGGTAGAATTTTGAGCATGCAAGTTTTACAGTCAGCAAGAGTATCAAATAAGAAGTGCAGTTGCCTGGATATCATTTTTGTCAATTACGTTCGGTTGCTACAGAAAGTGACAGTTGCGCTTTACCGTGACTTCAACAACGTATCATGTAGCAACCGGTCGATTTATGATTGTTATACTGAAAAGCATACTGACTGGATGGTCTTGATAATTATATGTATGGCCAATTTCAATTGAATCCATCCACAGTAAAGTTCTTCACCAGATGAAAAAATAACGTACGAGATCGGGTGTCAAGAATTTACATCATTTCCTAGATTGACAAGAGGGGGACCAGTATTTGTGAAGTTGGGAATTTTACTTTAAAGTTTGGAGCAGTGTGCATGCAAGTTCTAGAGTGGTTAAACATCGATGCATGCTCATCACGCTTTTTTTTTTGTTCCCATGCCCTAGTGGCTATGCGATGCGGTCTTCATGTTAAGAACTGTAGATTTTACCTGTAGTCTAGACGCCGGTGTTTTCTTCTTTTTTGTCCATACCCTTTTTTTTTTCGTTTTGCCTTTTTGTCTACCTTCATGTACGACGTGACAAGAAGGGCCCAATTTGTAGTTTTTCTATTGGTGTCTTGTGTATTCTGTCGGGATAATTATAAAACACGTTTTAAAATGTAGTACACAACGATCACCATGTACTTATTTGGTCAGTTTCTTTTCTCCCTTGAAATTGTACTGTTCGTTTTGCGTGTCTTGGTTTGCTTCCAAGCACGAACGGGTTCCTGACCGACACAGGGAAGATCAGGAATTCACATTCCGCCCATTCAAGATATCGGAACCATCGAACCGGAATTTTCGGATATTGATGACATCAACCTGCAAACTGCGGTGGTCCGGGCCATCTCTCTGAGGGATGATCAAATACGGAATTTCTCTTGTTCCTTTTGAGTCACCCCGGACAATGACGGCCCTAATTTTTTCACCGAAATTATCGTTTTTTGTTTTTTCTTCGGGTTTGTGCTGTTTCTTCTTACCTTCCCCCCTTCTTTCGCCCTCTCTTTGAGCCGTTTCTGTTCTCGTCATGGTTCGCCAGTACATCCAACGGATGGCAGCTGCGTCGCAACTGTTCCGACTTGGCTCACCGGTCAAACCGCTTCTGGTGCCTCCCCTTTTGACTTATTTCCGCCCGGCCGTCACTCAACGATTACTTCATACCCATTCCGTTCCTTCACCCGATACAACCACCACTACCACTACCACCCAAGGTACTTCTTCTCCGTCTTTCGCAAAACCTATTCGACTGTCTCAGCCGTCGATCTCTCGTACCGATTCCGATTCCGATACCGAGCCTTCTGACAAGTTTCACTTTGTCGCCCACGCTTCGTGGCATCCGAAAACCCGTCGTAATACCAAACGGCGATCCGCTGCCACAAACATTGGCAATGTCGATGCTGGGGAAGACGCTTTCTTTCATACAATGACCCCGGCAGGCATGGCATTAGGTGTAGCAGACGGGGTTGGCGGTTGGGCCGAAGTAGGCGTCGATCCAGGTAAGATTATTTATATCTTCCGAAATGTTCCGTTTATATGTATTATTTGGATGTATTGACACATGATTATTTGTTGCTTTGATTTTCCTATTCAGCTTTGTTTTCTTGGACATTGATGAACAACGCGGCTTACGTGGCCGAAGCGCAAGTGATGGATGCTCATCATATCCTCGATAAAGCTTTCAACGAATTACAACTCAGTGGCAAAGTGGCCGCAGGCAGTTCAACGGCGTGTATTTTGAACTTGTGCAAAGCAACAGGAAAGATGACTACATGCAATCTGGGTGACAGTGCATTTTTGTTGATTCGTGACAGTAAAGTCGTCTATGAAAGTCCAAGCCAACAGCATTACTTCAACTGCCCGTACGTGTCTCCCTATCATGTCATACACATCGTGCCATGCAAGCATACTAACTGTGCGACCTTTTCTTTCTGTTCTCACACTTTAGTTATCAACTTACCGTTGTCCCTGAAACCTATCCCAACCGCGATTTATTCGTCACCGACATGCCCAAAGACGGCGACCAGAAGAGCTTTTTCCTGAAAGAGAACGATATCATTTTATTAGCCACCGATGGCTATTTCGACAACGTTTATGCCCAAGAGACCTTGGCAATCGTTAATGCCAAAATGGAATACATTCTTGATCAAGACAACCAGGTGTCGGACGAAGACGTGATTGCCACTGTGAGTGATTTATCGCAAACCTTGGCTGACACCGCCCGACAATTAAGCTTGGACCACAAGCGACTAAGCCCATGGGCCCGAGCTGCCCAAGCACATGGCAGTAAATATCGTGGCGGCAAAGTCGACGACATCACATGTATCGTAACATTAGTCCGCGGTCAAGGTTCCGCTGATAATGAATAACGAAATCATCCCCACGTCATTATCTAAGTTCACTCTTTTATTTTACTTCCACGATTATATATCTCTCCTTCTTGTACATATCTCGAATGTATCATACAAAAAAAAAAAAATAACCATCTGCCAAGCACGCATCTGTCCCCGCTTATTCCGAATAAACAATAGAAAGAGCCCGCATACAGTATCCTCATGAGATATTGGGCGTGCTATCAATGTACAATCCAATACATAAGCCATAATGTCCATAGGCAAGATTTGATATGCGATATGCGATATGGAGGAAGCAGCGAAAAATAAAAATAAAAATTGGATTGCATCAGAACAGAAGCAAAGAGCGTCGATATCTTTAGTATTCAGATACAGCAGGATAATCATAGATCATCCTACTGCTTCTGTTTCACCAAGATTCGTTCCACTTAAACCAATCAAATACAGTAGTATGAAACACACACATTGGTAAAAACACATGCAAAAAAAAAGGTCAAAGTAACATGCGATGGCACCAGATCAGCGAGGCGACACTACGTATTCGAACTCGTATTTTTGTACTATTGGGCATTGTCAAATGCTTGAACTACACGACGATCCTGACCATAACTGGGCCACAAAGAAGCTATGAATGTGTAAGTGCCTCGTTTCAAGGAATGGAGAAATGTCCGTCGTGGAGGGTCGGCTGGTTGGTCACCCGCCGTCGATCCGGAAGCTTGGCCTTCTGCTGACGAAGAAGGATCGCGAAAACTCGAAGCATCTTCGCCGTTATTAGACATGGATCCACTGTGGGTGTTTTCTGAGAAGGCAGTTTCTGACTCGGTTTGTCTCGCTTGTTCCGAAGGCGGGGGAGGGGTTGGTGTGGAGGCTGATGATGGCGGTGCCGGTGCGGGTGGTTGTGCTTGTTCGTTGTGTCTCATTGCCGGGGCCTGCCCTCCATTATGCATGTTATCCATTTGCACACGATGAATCACTAGTCGCAACCGTCCCGTCTGATAAAGAAAGAAAACAAATGCCATGGCATGAAATAGGAGTATCCTTTCTAGACTGGCCCCTTGACAAATGATGAATAATACAAAGATCAGTTTCAATGCTAACCAGATGGAGGTCGCTCGAGCGACGTAGCGAAAGGCAAAGATCGGTCTGTCTGGTTCAACATTCGGCACCGCGGCATTGGCGGGGGCATTGGAAGGAGGGAATGGCATATTAGGCTGAGCGCTATAAACAGACTGGGTATGTGGTGGCTGATTTAAAGGTGGTGCTTCCGTTGGTACAAGTACAGGTGCAAGATAGTATTGTCCACTAAAACCATTTCACATATTCCTCAATTCAACCTGGTCTCAAGACCCTAAGCCAAGAGTGTCAAAAGCAAACTTACTTTAGAGCGACGAGTTGATAGCCACCCGGCAGCAAAGGTGGATAAACCGGCAAGTTCGGTTGTGAGGGAGGAGCATTCATGTTGGAAGTAGAAGCTGATTCCGAAGACAACGGTTGCGATGGATTGGATAACGAAATAGGCACTGATCCTACAGGCATGGTAGGCGTTTTATTCGCTGAATAAGCCGACTGCAACGAAGGTTTGACGACAAGATGTAATGTAGGCACCACGTCCATATCCAGCTATTGCATGACGAACAACCAATGACAGTTATAATATATGAATATTAGATACGGGTTTACTGTGATGCTCCTTTTTTGCTTTTTTACCTTGGCAAAGATTGCGCTCAAATGAACGTCATCATCAAGTAATTTGCCGCTGTAGATAATGCGCTGATTCGCCGGTGAAGGTTTCTGAGGATGGTTGTCCTGAATTATGCGCTTTAACGATAACAGCGTGGCGTCTCTTGGCACCGTCAACGTCAATGTCTCGCTGAGGGTTGGCGAGCGAATGTAAACGGTTTGTTGAGCACTCGCTGGGTCGTTGACATCCATCGAGAGTTGCTGGATTGAAATTAGAAGGGAAAAAGGAGAAAGAAAGCCAGTGTGCTGAAAAAGGCTGGTTTCCAATAGTTCCAAACCAGATAGAAACCCTCTGAAGCCAATCACCATCCTGAACGACTTCATTATGCAGTCACATGACACGTTGTCCAATCATATCGATGCAGAAGTTTTCCCGAACAATGGTTGTCTTATTTTATCAAAACAATTTTAAAATGACGGTGAGGGAAACCTATCTAAGTTCACAAAATAAAAGAGTATATACATACGGATAATCATAGAAGAAACAATCTATAATTTGTACAAGCGACGAAAAGGAAAATGGCAAGGAGAAAAGGGAACAAAAAGAGTGGACAAGTTGAAATAGATAACGATCAGTTTTATAAGGTGGCTTGCTTTTTTACCGGATCTTTCAGGCTGCGTGAAGATCCACATGTCTTGGTTCGACTGGAAAAGGTAGAGGCAGTAGTAGTGGATGGTTTGGCATGGAATCTGACATGATGCTCCGTAGCGGTGGTAGGTGCGCGCCCCATTTAGATATATCTTCAATGGCCGGGGGCGGTGTTAGTGACGGAGTAAAGGTATCACGAGGCGGGGGCGGTGTATCGCGACACAGATGGTAATTTTCCAAGGATGAGGGAGCAGGTAAAGAATGTATAAAGGAAGCGGAAGACGTGGAGATGATGGAGCTCGGCGGTGACATGGAATAGGGTTGTTGGAAGCAGGTGCTGGGAGGCGACAGAGATGGCGTGGCAAACCGGCTGCTGCTGTAGGAAGGAGCCACGGGTGGGGGTTTCGATGTCATAACGGGTTTGCTACTGGATTGCCAACGAGACAGATAAACATGCTGTGTATTTGGTTTGAAGTAGGCTGGCAAGGCTAATTTTTTGGCACAGGGTGGTGGCTCTTCATGTTTGGCCAAGGGTCGTAGGGACTGAGTTTGTGGAGGTTGATTTTTACGCTTACGTCCATTGGGTGACCTACATATCGGTAGGTTGACAGGATAAGAAAAATATTCCTAATATGATCACTCTCGTGTATGACACATACGACTGCAAACGATACTCTTTCCGCATCCGTATTTTTACACCCTGATCGGAAAATGTCTGTGAAAGGAAAGTCGATTCCACCGCGCCCGGGTATCGCTTAGGCAGATACACCGTAAATGGTTCCGAGACGATCGTTTTCCGGTTTTCGGCATGACCACTGTCAGAAGAGAAAGAGAAACAAAAAGCCAAGGAAAAAAAAAATTTAAAGCCAAGGATAAATTAGGTTATACAGGTCTGGGTATTACTGAGTCTGTGCGTGTACAATTACTTACTCGAAAACTTCAAATAGACTGAAATGCAGGCGATATTGGCCTTCCTTTTTCACAGCCAAATCACCAAAGACAAAAAAGCCGCCATCTATACAGTGAAACGTTTTAAACACGAGGTCCAACAGAATGATTCCGGCCAAAGTTTTACCTGTATCATCAACGTCTCGAAGTCGATATAAAGAGGAGACGGCGGATCCTGAGAATAAGTCTTGTGAAGGGAGCGTTACAGCCGATGCGTCGCACGGAATGAGATTGGCTACCATATAGTAAAACGGACTTTGAAGCCATTTTCTTATCAACAAAGACAATAATAAGGTTAAATTTTAGGACGAAATAATCTAATCTTGGAAATTTTTTTTTCTGCTTGGAAAAAAAAAAAGGAAAGCGTGTCTTACTTTGTTTCATCCGTGGAGCATCCTAACCAGCGCATCTGAATGATCGGCGATGGTTCAATAGGTCGTCTATCTATGGTACGACACGCGCAACTACGATCAGCGGAGCCCGGACAATGGGGACCGAAATAAACAGGTATTTACCACGCTCGTTAGGAACGCTCATTTTCGCCTGCACTGGTTGTTGCCGAATGATCAATTCATAGTCCCTAATTTTCATATAACACCTTTTGGTTTTAACGAGGATGTTCCTGAAACACCGACATGTAGTGGATGACAAGTGTAAACGAGGAGAGAAAGAGACAAATGGCCTACCGTTCAGCAGGGATTTCAGCGAGTGACGAAGAAATAAAACGGTAGGTACAGCTACTCATACGAAGAAAAGAGGAACAAAGAAAAAGAAGAAACCAACTGGAATAACTTGCACAAAAGAATTAAACACCAACGCAATGGGGAAAGGTTTTCCCTTCAAGTAGGTGTTCGCATCTCTTTTTATTTCCTTTCCAAGTAAATATGGCTTGTTTTTTAAGAAGGAGTCTAAATATGGATAACCACGCTATACCGAAGATGATCATTTTTCTGCCAGGTTTGTCCCGGGAAAAATCCCAACCCAACGATCCAATCATATCACGTGGACTGTATTCTTGAGCCTAACTCATTTGGGACAGATCATTCTCTACGCTTTTACTTCTTCGTACCATGACTTTTTTCGGTTTTTTTTTTTTGTCGACAGGCAACGCGAAACCGTCATTTGCTAGGTAATACCTTCGGTGTTTTGTCATTGTCGACAAAACGGCTACTTTCAAATAGATGCCGACTTTCAATCATTGACTCGATTATGTCTTAATTAAATTAAAGGCTCCTCTGGCAAGCTCGCTAACAGCAAGCGTGGATAAACTATATGAATACATTCGCAAGAAAGGTTAACTTTATATATATATCACTGCTCTTGTTTCCAAGGAAGAGAGCTCTATCAAAATGCTCGCCTTTCGGAACTTGTCCATCGTTAAAGGCAAAGACGATATACTACTTTAGCATTGATGCGAAATGCCTAACTTGAAATCAAATAATCCCAGACTACAAGATTGCAGTGTGGTTTTAACAAATCGAACGAAGTCGTTTTAGGTAATTTTAATTCTGGATTGCTTCGCTCTAATTTTTTCATTAATTCGTCCAGAACGGCTGACGGGTTCTCGTCAATAGAACAGCATTTTTGTGTTCCTCATGAGAATACAGTATGCGGATATCGACTAGACTTTCTCCGTTTCTGAAAGATATGCTACTGTCAGGGTTATTCTCGTATTTCGCAGGTTCTTTTTGTGCTGTAGTAGTGTGAATCCCAAGCTAATTGGCGATGACAGCTGCACTCAAGTATCTCTCGAGTAACAGCTTGAATAACCTTACTTTGTCTTGGTCAGGATGAGATAGCGTGTATCATTTCGCTTCACAGATTTTCTTCCATAACATCTTTATTAGACCTCGCCTCCTTTTCTACTTGCATTTTCTCTATTCTTTCTCCCCTTTCTAAAGAAAGTTGAGCTAAAAATTATCAATGAGGGCTTAGCATTTCAAGACGAAACAGCCGCTCCTCATCAACAATATAATCCATCGGTTCAGGTCTGCCATACTCATCGACGATAACAGACCTTTCCCATTTTCAATCAAGGATTGGATGCTCATTATCTGTGGTCGCTGGTGTATATATCATGACGGAAATAAAATTTTGGACCGCTGGTCCCTTACAAAAAAAAAAACGAAAAAGTAGCGGTTCGTCCTGTCATCAACTATTTTTCTTTTGTTAGGTCAACAAGCGGCGAAACCGATGCATTCTGTTTCTCTTTACGCGGTATCTCGCAGATTCTTCACAAATTATATGTCACTGATAACCCGACCTCACTATCCCTTTTGTCAACGTTTATTGGCCCCTTATCTTTCCCAGCAAATTGTATGCATTTCTAAGACTAGCATGTGCGGAAATTTTTTTTAAAATATTCTTTGCAGCAGCTACTATGATAGCACGCTTGTCAGTTCATCCTGTTCATCCCCACGATTTATTCTATGTGTTCCTCAAAAACCCCCCAAAAGATATTGCTAATTTGTGGTGTTCTCGTCGATAGTTGTATGGTCATTGATGGATGATAGCAGTTCTCGCGAGATGTTTTGCTGGAGAGATGATGACTCAGGTAAGCTGTTTCCTGACGATGGGTCGCTTGAATCACGGGAAGCTGAAGTGGGGGGCTCCAGCATGGGTGATGATGGATTTGATATGCATTGGCGCTTGCATGTTCTTATGAAAGCCATCCCTTCCTTTAGTAAATCGATGGTTCGCTTTTTCGCGTTGGAATAGTCGGCGTCGTCGTCAAGCATCCTTATGGCCTTGCCACATCGTAATTCTATTTCATTAATAACACGTAACAAGTGACTTATCCTTGAGTGCTCAGTAACCTGTTTTTGGATAATTGGTTCTGCGATGTAATATAGCTGTTGGATGGTTGGGTCATCATGATGAGTGTGTTCGGCCAACAATTGTTTCTGTTCCATGAAGAAGGAGCCAAGAGCGACAACCGGATCCAACGGTATTTTATCGATATGGGAAGAAATTGATTCTTTGCTTAGAATGAAGCATTGGTTTGCCCATGGATAGCAGGGTAACTTGAAAAGAAAAGGCTTTGACTTGTTCTTGGTGGCTTTGTTCAGGACTTGGCGGCTACATTGATCGATGGCAGTAACCAGAACGACAGGCAACGCACCGTATGCAGAGAAAATTTCGTCACAATGTCGTAGAACACGGAGCAAGTAGTTCTTGTCTACAGCAGATGAAAATTCAACAAGGACCGGCGGCCTGTCTTTCGACTTATCCGCGGCATACACAACACTAGATTCTAATAGGTTTGGCGAATAATGCTCATTGGCGCCTTGTCCTAAATTAAACAACGGGAATAGCCGGTGAATACACTGAACTCTAGTAGAGCCAATAGGAACTTACCAATCAATGCTTCAATAACGATCTTTTTCGCTTCGCTGCTTTGCAAAACATGTTCGATCATCAGATCTGCTCCGTAGCAGTTGTCAACAGGTAAAGAGAAAGAAAGTGCATTAGTATCAGCGCTTGTTGTCATAAAAAACTACAGTTGTTCGCCAACACCAATTGAAAAGGTTACACGACCACAAGAAGAAAAAGGTGTTCACAACCCTTTAGTTGATAGAAAAAAAAAAAGCGGCTTGTTGTCGCAACTCCTCTTTAATAAAGTTGTCGACAACAAACCGTCGCCGCAGTTTTTGTTGTCGATGACTGCGTTTTCGTTCGTGTCGTTACCTTCTTGCAGTTTTGTAATCGACATAACTTCTTACTGTAGAGTTGCTTTTTTATTATGGCGACAAGTGAAGAAAACGAAACACTTTTTTTCTCTTCACCCGAAGCTAACAGTCCTGGAACCGGTATAGTGAGAAAACAAGTTCTGCAGACCACCGAAGCGAAACGCATCATTATCGAAGCAATGATCGGTAAGTTCATATCGGCTATACTAGAATTCAGCCTATATTCACTGGCCTTTCCCGTTGTTTGGATTAGGACAAAGCGCCAATAACCATTATTCGCCAAGGCCTACCGTGTGGCCAAACGGATTGAATTCTGATGTCTTGTATGCCACGGAGAGCTCGAATGATAATCCACCCGTCCTTGTTCAAATTCAGTATGCTGTAAACAACGACTTCCTTCACCGTGTTGTAGGATATTGCAAGGAAATTTTCGCTGAATATGGTGCATCACCTGTTGTCCTTGTAATAGCCATCCATGAATGCAGCCGCCAGATCCTGAACAAAGCCAGCAAGATCAAGTCAAAGCCCTTTTTTTTCAAGTTACCCTGCTATCCATGGGCAAACCAATGCTTCATTCTAAGCAAAGAATCAATTTCTTCCCATATCGATAAAACACCGTTGGATCCGGTTGTCGCTCTTGGTTCCTTCTTTGTGGAACAGAAGCAAACGTTGGCCGAACACACTCATCATGACGATCCAACCATCCAACAGCTATACTGCATCACAAGACGCATTGTCCAGAACCAGATTAAGCAAAAATCAAGGATAAGTCATTTGTTACGTGTCGTCGAAGATGCAGAATCACGATATGACAAGGTCATAAGGATGCTTGACGACGATGCCGATGATACCAAAACGAAAAAGCGAAGTATCGATTATCTGGAGGAAGCGATGAATTTGTTAAGAACATACAAGCGCCAATACATATCAAGCCCATCATCAACCATGTCGGGGTTTTCCACTTCATCCGCCCGTCATTCAAGGGACCCATCGCTCGAACCGCCATCATCCACTAATGACCATGGCACTACGGACGATAACACCACAAACTGGCAATATATAGAAGAATACATGGAAGAAATTGGGGGTGACAGAATGAATTGGGAAGCTTGCTATAAGGATGGCTGCCGCAAAGGTTATTTCAAAACATATTCCACACCTGCTAGTCTTAAGAATGCATACAATCGTTGGAAAAACAAGGACTAATACACACGACACATTGATTCAGGACAATTGCTTTTGGAAACACAAAGACAAAAAACAATGCGGTGGAGGTATCAGTGACATACAAACAACAGGAAGAATATGTGAGAAATCGGGTAAATAGGTGCATCCCTTTGGTTTTGAAAATGACGGCTTTTTGATAGGCTCGGGTGCGTCAAAGATTAAAGGCCCCTCTGACGAGCATGCTGATCATCATATGCGAAGATATTCAATAGGAAAAAGTAAGAATCAGGAAATACTGTGGACTCTTTTTTTTCAATATTCTGTGATCGCTCTTTATATCATTTAGTAGAGTGCCATTTTGGGATAATGTATAAATTATGTTACAGTGAGCTCCGCCTTTTTTCAAAGCGGATGTGCCGAGAATTTTCAAAAAACCAGTTGGGGAACAACGAGGAATTCCCGGACATTCAATGAGGTGGACACCGATGAATTTGTGTTTTTGAAGTTACACAACTAAAATTCTACGCTGTCGACAATGATCAAGAATGCTCAGCGCAGGGCGACTTTTCATAAGATTAGCAGCTTTTGAGGAAGAAGACCTGTTTCTCTCATATCACACCGTGATTCAAGCGGTCCAAGCAGCCCAGACGTAAAACCTGAGCCTGAAATTGACAATCGTACTATCTCCAAATTTATCTTCGCGCGATTTACCTTGCCAGCGTTAGATTCTGATGGACAACTCTTCACGAAGAAGAACTCTGGGAGGGTACTTTAAAAAATGTGTAAACACAATGAAGCAAAGCAGGTTACGTTAGACATGGGTTTTTAGCCATAAATGCGGATATACAATAAAATATGATAACCCCGGATTTTTCAAAGGCAGGTGAAAAAAACTGAGGTTTGGAAATTCTCGGTGCTAGAACCGGATCGTGCTTGATCCAGAGGAAAAAAATCGAGTGGAAAAGAGCAGGGGCTGACTGTATACTGTACGACAAATGGACGAATCACGTATGATGGAAAGGTATCGTTTTGATAATCCACGGGATGGTTGTACAGTGCAGGTATTTTAGCCATTAAATCATGACAAATAAAAGTGCAGTACATTTTAAAGTCCAATAATCATCCATCACATCGTAATAAAGGATCCGTTCCTTAATTATGAAGCGATTATAGATCCATAATCGACCACTAGACTAGTGTACCCGATTCATTCAGGCATTTAACAATCCCAATCCCGATCCACGGTCAAAGACAGAATCTCAGCTGTCAATGTCAGTAGCTCATATGCTAATAAGCTCACACTTCGATCATCTATCTCAGATACACTAAATCAGACGATATAAAAAGAATAAGAGTAGACTTTAACTTTTAAAGAGATAAGGTTTTTTCATCTTAATCAAATATACAAAGAGTCTCAACGTATTTTATTTGTCTTTTTGTATTTATTCTTCCTATCTCAAACCCCAAACACCACATATAGGAAGTATGTGATGAGTATCTGAGACTGTATAGAAAAAGAGTGATAACGGAAAATGGATACATGTATCCAGGAACGGCCGAAATTGGATCGAATAGGCGAGTTAGTATGTATGACAAGCACAACAGGACTCACTGCCAGTTTGAAACAGCCATTTGAAGTAAGAGTATTTGACATTAATAAAGGTGTATTATCTGCATGACGCGTTTGATCGCAGGTTCCTGCCTGAGCGTCTTCGGTTGATCACTCTCCGCTTTGCAGTGAATTCCTTGACCTTTTCGCAGCTCTTCTTTTTTCCAGTAATCGTCTACACTTTCTTGGACGTTAGGAAGTTCAACCTTGATCCATTGATCAGGTTCAGCCGAATACTTTTCAAACGAACTTTATAATCCACGTTTATTGACAGAACCACGATGGTTGATGGCAATTTAATTTCGTAAATACCATCTGTGGGTAAAACTTCGTCTTGCCAGATAAGTTTTAAAGCTCATATGGGGAATAATTGATCGTCGAATCGGAAAATCGATAAAGATAAAGAGAAGAAACAAATGCTACTCCGAGCGACTAGCGTAGAAGAGTTTTATTGGTTCTTTTTTCACTGCTTTATTTCGCATCGAAAGTAATGTTTTGCTAAATATCGTTTTAATTGATCGAAAGCAGAACGTCAATAAACGGGAAATGAGTTATCAATAAGTGACTAACGGAATATCCATTTGTTAAAAACAGGGCATCAAAGAGTGGAAAACGGGATACTGTATTAGGAAAGTGAGCACGACACATTGCTGCTTGAAAAATAGGGACAATCATAGACCGTGGTGCTAATTTTTCACATCATCCTAGCTCGTTGGTTCGTTGACGCCTGTTACCATCTGACAGTCAGCCAAACTGAATTATCGAAAGTATGATGCATTGATATGTCGTTATGGCGAGCCATCCATCCAAGGTGAGTCCCTCCCTCGTACTTTGTTGTAATGGGGACAGGGCTGGGACGAGAACTGGACGGAATGGAATTGAGTCAATATGATCAAGAGTGGAATGTGACAAGAGAAACCGGAAATAACTGGGATGATTATCAATGATTGGCAGGAACCAGGAACAGAAGTATGCATGGACGCACACAAGAACAAGGCCAAGACAAGACAAAAAAAATGAGTAACAAAAACTAGGGGTGGTAACAAGATAAACTGATAACGTTTTATTGTACAGATACAGTAGTGGGATATTTATATCAGGATAATATATAAATACTGTAGAATATGGAAATATGAAAAGAGGATAATTAAAGAGACGCTTCTTTTTTATCTAACAGTTCATGATATTCGTCCATTATCCATCGTCCCAGTCAATCGTCGATGCCTCAGGCTTTAATGACTTTGAACAAAGGAACTTCTGCCATACAATCCGTATCGCAACGTGAAAGGGTCCTACATCATATTGGCATCACGGCAGTATCAAGGGCCTGAATGCCCTGCGCAAGATGGCTGATATCGATGGTAACGGTGGGCTGGCCTTGCAAGAGTTATCTGACAAAGTTCAGCAACGAATCCGAATGGCCAAATGGTCCTGCATAAAAATTTCGCTGTGTCAATGCTTTTCCTTGTCCATTAGTTTCTTTGTGATGCAAAATAGCTGACAGGTGGAGCGTCCCTGCTTCCATAATTATTCGGGCCGTGCGACTGGATAAAATGGAATCCAAATGCTGGTACTCATCGTGTCAGCAAAGGGAGTATTTCATACAGCACTTACCTTTTGATATTCACGAAACCTGGGGAACGTTAGCGGTTCTTCTTTTAAGGTCTGATTAGGTTGAAGAAGACGGTTCGCGTATTAGCATCAGCTAGGGCAGGACTTTTTTGTTCGAATGGATTAACCGCAAATTTACAGGACTGCAGCGCCAGGATGTCAGGATCACCGCTGTGACGCGAGTATTGGACATTCATTGAGGCAAAATGCTTACGGATTTCCAAGAGGGAAACTAGAGTAGTGAACTGCTAAACAAATGACGCCGGTAAATATAAAGATAAGACCAAGCGCACCCACCACGTTTTCACATACTCGCCAGCAACAAGCGGTGAAACTGAGCATTTTTGTTTTCTCTCTTTACCCGGTATCTCGCAGATTCTTTACGTTCTCTGTATGCCATGAAAACTCCACCACATTACTCTCTTTTTTCAACGCTTATTGATCCCTTTTTTCCAGCAATTGTATGCATTCTTAAGGCTAGCATGTGCGGAATAATTTTTCTTTAAAATATCCTCTGCGGCAGCCATCATGATAGCAAGCTTCCCGAATATTCCTGGTCACACCCGGTTTGTTCCATGTATTTGTCAATAATTGTTGTTCTCGTCCATAGTTGCATAGGCTCATTGATGGAGGATGATGCTGGCAGTTCTAGCGAGATGATTTGTTGGACAGCTGATATTCTGATAGGATCTCTTGGATTACGGGCAGGTGAAGCGGTAGATTCCGGCATGGGTGATGATGGAATTGATATGTACTGGCGCCTTCTTTTTCTTTAAAAAAGCCGTCCATTCCCTCAAATAATCAATAGTCCGCTTTTTGGGGTTGGTATCGTCGGCGCCGTCGTCAAGCATGGTTAACCTGATCGCGTCTTACATGATATCGAAATCACAGCAATATCAACGACTTGAATGCCCTGCAAAGGTTGGCTAATATCGATTGTAACGGTAGGCTGGTCCTACGAGAGCTAATGTGACAAAGTTCACAGTAGCTAATTCGATTGGCCACGTTGTCCCGCATAAAGTTCTGCTCTGTCCAGCATTTTTTGGGATGCGATATGCCAGACGGATGGATTGTCCTAGCTTGCTTCAATAAATGTTGGAGCCATATGAGCCGGATAAGATGGGATCGAAGAGGCATTTACAGCAATATACTACTAAATAAAGAACGTTGGTAAGTACTCTCATAAGGCCAAGCGAACAAATCAACATGATCATTGTACCTCCGCTGACATGTCTTCACAGTCTCGTCAGCAATTGTTGTGAAGAACCCGATCACGGGCGTGACCTTTCGATTGGGCTAGCGCTTGATGATGTTGCAAAAATAGGAATCTCTTATATCAATTGGCTAAATTGATTTACCGCGAAGAATTTTATGTTCAAGAAAAATAGCAAAAATAAAGAAGAGCTCCTTTCGCATCGAGTCTCCAGTCTTAAAGTTGTCGACTAACCCGCTACGGATAGTTTATCGTATTGACAAATCCAGTTATTTTACGCAGTTCAGGAAATCCGTTGAACACCTTTTATTCATTTTTTTATCGAATTTTCTTCATCCGATCGTATAACCTTTTATTTCCGCAGCTACAACACATCCTTAACAATCCCAGTCACAACACAATACAGTACATGGTGAAATAGATGCAGCTTTTTTTTTCTCTTTACCCGGTATCTCACAGATTTTTGCGTTTGGAAAGCCATCATTTATGAAAAAACCAAAAGAACAGATAGCGTTCACCAAAAAAAAAGAAAAACGAAAACCAGACTATCATCAACAGGTGTTATTTTGTTGACGCTGGCTGAAGTAACATATTTCATTGGCTTGCGCATCTTCAATTCTTGTTTTGCGGCAACCAATGTAGATCCGCCATTTCGAAAAAACCAAAAGAACAGAAGTTTAAAACAAATCGACAACAACAACAAAACACTTGTTGTCGATTTTTTTTTTTTGTTGTCGATTTTTTTTAAACTTCTGTTCTTTTGGTTTTTTCAAAATGGCGGATTTACATTGGTTGCCAGTGGCAAAAAAACAAAAGTTAAAAAGGCGACAGTCAATGAAAATCCGCCATTTTGAAAAAACCAAAAGAACAGAAGTTTAAAAAAAATCGACAACAAAAAAAAAAAATCGACAACAAGTGTTTTGTTGTTGTTGTCGATTTGTTTTAAACTTCTGTTCTTTTGGTTTTTTCAAAATGGCGGATTTTCATTGACTGTCGCCTTTTTAACTTTTGTTTTTTTGCCACTGGCAACCAATGTAAATCCGCCATTTTGAAAAAACCAAAAGAACAGAAGTTTAAAACAAATCGACAACAACAACAAAACACTTGTTGTCGATTTTTTTTAAACTTCTGTTCTTTTGGTTTTTTCGAAATGGCGGATCTACATTGGCTGTCGCAGGCCAAAAAAACAAAAACAAAAGTACAGCTCGAATCTTGGATGGCCACAGCCTAGAAATGGAACAGTGAAGGTGCAGCACAATTGGCGAAGTACTCTAATTATCGTCTCGTAGTGGCTTCATATGGAGAGAAATCTGCAATCGAAATTATCATCGCCATAAACCACTACAGATCGATTTTGCTTCCTCGGCCAGTAGCTGCGGGCACCAAATAATTTTAAACCAAAACTCAAGAAGATCCACTGGACGTGCTATCTTGCAGTTGCAGTAGCATACATTCAAGATTTATGCCGACTACATTGAGAAGAAAAGCAGGATGTTTCATCAAGGGTCTTTATAGAAGTTTTGGCTCTGGGCAATCTCCTCTGTTCCGTGAATCACTTAGGAAGCAGCTCGATACTCACAGTTGCCGTCTGCTTCCGGGTTGCCGTTGTCGTGTTTGGTACAATAATGTATTCCACATATATATTCCTCTTTCATCGCATTATGTGCATGTTCACGGATAAGTCTCACCCTCAGAACATTCGCAATTTCAAAGATACCGAGTTGTACCACACTCAAATCCTAAATAGTGAAGATGAACCTCATGATCATCTTTATTCAGGAACCGACCTTTGATAAAACAATCATGCGATCCACATTCATAAATTTACCGTCTCCTTGTCAACCAAACGTCACAAGGACGACCATTTCCTCTTACCATTCGTCTATAGTACCTTCAACGACAGCATTTACAGCAATAGCGAGTTCTTATGCTGTAGATGATTAATTCAAATAATGATTCACCATAAACTATGTAATCAAAAATAAAAATGAAGAGCTGATCTGGGCCTTTTTTCCCATCTCTTGTTGCTCAATAAATCAGGGTCTCAGAAGGTTTCAGTCTTCCTGTGTTCCAACATTTACTTTATTCACAAACACTATAAACCAGAAACACTGTCATGACCATTCCCGCGCACACGCTGTCTTGGCGATAATGCATGACCATGTGCATTATTAGTCCAAGCACACTCCTTCACTGTTGCCATGCTGGTCCATGCGCTTACCCCTATACTTGCTCTTGTGTTCTTCTCTATCGTTGTCTTTCCTCCTTTTATTGATCTATGCGTTACCGCATGTTATGCTCTGCATTTCATTTATTTATTTTATTATCGTTGTCTCTTCTGTTTCGCATCTTTTAGTATAAATACCCGACCTCTTTTATGAAATAAACCTCAGTCAAGAATTGTGTGTGTGTGTGTATTCTCTCGCACTATCTTGTTCTCCATCTTGTCTTGTCCTTGTCTTGGTTCTCTTCCTGTTTCTATTCTTGTTCCGATTTCGTCCTTATCCTTTGTTCCTGTTTTATTCCTTTTCTTGTCTTGTCTTGTCCTTGTCTTGCGAAAGCACTTAACACCACCCTCTTGTCCAGCTTGCACTGATCCTCCCATATTCAGTGCATAACAAACACCCTGCCCGCTGAAACCCATTCTGCTGTATTACCGCCCCTTTTTTTCACTGTGCATTGCAGTTGAACTCAAGATCCTTCTTACCGTATTTTTTTTTTTTTGATAATCTCCTTAAACACTGGCTTCGCTTTCCTCGACGGAACATTTCCCTTTTTGATTGTAGTCAGCCTTTGGAAGAAAATAGAAAAAAATATAAATACCCCATCCCATATCATGAATAAACGACAACTTCTATCCTCCTATTCTTTGTTTAATTTTTTTTTTGTTTTTTTTTTTTTGTTTTTTTTTTTTTGTTTTTTGTTTTTTTACATCTATCATCCATTCTGAAATAGCCAGCGAGATACAAGAAAACGACACTCCTGGAGGTGACCGGTTCAAATGTCTATAAAACGGTGCGGTTGAAAGCAGATTATGCTACACACATCCATTGTTTCCCATTAACCAAAATTCAAGGAGAGTATCCGAATAAGTTATCCATGATGTTTGATGGTTTACTAACATTGTTCATCATATAGAAAAATCGTATATGATTGCTCTGGTCAAGAGCACCTTAACAAAAAAAAATCCTGAACCCTTGTTAGGCTGTGCCCCCAGTCGCTGGCAAGGGTTTCAAGTTTTACCAATTGCTGTGAATGGTAATATCTCGCTTCCTCATACACTTTCTTAAGCTTACAATTGGAACCTTTAGTAACAGCTGGGCAGGAAAGGAACTGTCAACAAGCCTCCCCGTTAGGCCCCGGGTTGGTAAGTGAAAAAAAAAGATGACGGAAGCAAACTTTTTTGTATCTTTATGTGCAAACTCCATGTGCATTTAGCAAAACCCGGCCAGGGTTTACAAAAAAAAAAAAAAAAAACCGCCGCCCGAACACGAAATTTTCGGGCAATCCTCGTCAACAAAATTACCTGAGTGAATAGCATTCAACCCGACGAAGAGGCGCTCTCTTCATAGCGGCTGTCATGTTACTGGGAACCCTAGTGCACCCTGTTTCATGATCACTGCATGCACAGCTTTATAAGCAGGATATATCCTTTGATTTAATGATAGTGAATATATAGAGGCATTTTTCACCTAAATATTGATTGAGCCGTTCTTTCGATTGAAATAAATTGCGCCAAGTCAAAAGCCCATAAACGATGTCATTTCTGCATGAGACGAAAATTTAGTGCAGCTTCTTGGCTTTTCTCATTTCTTTTTCGCTCTCGAGATAGTTTATTAGCAGTCGTATGCGTGTGGTTGCTTTAATCAAGAATAATAACGTATGGCTGATATGACACCGCTTTATTCCTTGTTCGCTCTTATACCCGCCTTGCTTTCGGGTTTCTTGTATTACGCTCATCAGTGCACGTGGGGTACTCTCGATACGCCCCGATCGGGAACGCTGGCCAGCGATTTTGAAGCAGTACCGATCCGCTGGCATGAGTACCATTCGTATCTATTCAACGGAGATACAATTCACCGGACGAAAACGTCTATTTATTCGACGGTAATCGTGATGTAGACTATCTGGTTGAACTTGTGCGAGGAACTTGGACTCTTTCTCTTGGAGCATAATCAAGAACAACAACCTAAAGGGTGATTTTTCTTTCAATAGTCTTTCCCCCTTCCAGCTCACCAAAGACTTGTTGATCAATGCAGATTCTATGGCCGATGCGTGGGGCGAATGGAGCGTAAAGCAAATGGAAAAATCGATGGATGGCTTGCAAAAGAAGGTGTGCGGGTTTGGACATGGTGCAGCCGAGGTATCTGATGGATATTCATGTAAAAAGGATGCTTGGCCATTTTCAGTAACCGTTTTGTCAACGCAGTCGCCATCGTTTGTCCCCGAACGCCAAGGTGGATGGTTTAACCATTACCAGTTGAACCATACTTATGATGCGATCTATAACTGTTTGGGCGATCATTACAATTAAGTTCTCGTGGAAACTTTACTGGCTCAAGGTTCAACCATGGTAAACCTCTATATGGTCTATGGAGGTACCAATTGTGGTATGCTTGGCGACCCGTAAGTGTCCTCTTTTTTTTTGCTTTCTTATCCTCTCTTATCCTCTCTTTCTCGGTGTTAGGTCATGGTGGGTCGGATATTGACGTTTTTTGTTTGTGCTTACTAGCGATGTGTATACTTCGTATGATTACTCGGCCTGTATTCGGGAACATGGTTACATGTCTTCTCGCGGCCGCTTGCTTCGGCAAACGATTTTGTTCGCTCGTTCCTTCGATCCTTATTTCACCAAAACCGACCTGGTACAACATGCTAGCGTGAAAACCTCCATCCCTCATGTATTGAATCGACAACGTGTGGCCGTCGGCGCCGATCAAGCCGTGGAATTCAACTTTTTCCGTAACTTTGATCGCAAAAAGCGTGATAATTTCGAAGTCTCGGTCCGTTACAACGATCAAGCTTTCAGTTTAGGCTGTCACTTGCCCTACAAAACCTCGTTTATTGGCATTGGCAATTATCAAACGGCCAATGGTCTGCATCTCATTGTATCCACCGTTCCAATCCTTGCTCGCATGTTACATCCGAACGGCAACGACGAGGTCTGGGTCGTTGAACCCAACGAGATTGGTGCGATGGCGTTTATGAAGAAAGCCTTGAGCATGACCGGCAATATGCAAAACGATGTGTGGCGGCAGGAGGGCCAAGTCATGATATTGACATTTGAAAAAACCAACGGATGGACCAAACTCGCTACCACCACCGGCAATCTCTATCTTGTTGGTTTGACCGGTGAGGATGCGAAAACACTGTACGCCGAATTTCAAGAACCTTACTGGAATCAGGGAGTCAAACGTTCTCCAGCTTTTCTTGCTTGGGGCGCAGACGATATGTTTTACAACCCTCATGATAAGCACCTGGAAGTCAATTATCACCCGTCGAATCGAAATCTTCAAGTATTGTCCTTTGATACGTCGACCGACCGTCGTTTACTTCACAACTTCAAGGGCGTGTACGAACAGCTCCCCCTGGTCCGTACCGCAGATTTGAAACAACATGCCCATCAACAGTTCCCGCTGCCGATTGTGGTGTCCTTAAGTCATTGGGAAGCACGTCCCGTCTACTTTGAAAAACTACCTTGGCAACCGTTGATGCACCGTCCTCATGATGGTCGTCTGACATGGGACTCGTTGGATTATCATTTTACCAGCGGCCATACGGTGTATCAAACAACGTTTCTTACGCCATCTCAGCAACAGCCCAAAGTGAAATTATCCCTCAATGCCCGCCATCGCAGCACGGTGATCCTTAACGGGCGCATTGTCGGTGGCCACACTACCTATTCACGCCAACTGTTTGCTCCCGGCGCCAAAATTGGTCCTGATCCATGGTTCCTAGGATCGCATACTTACGACCTGTCCCCCTACTTGTCTCGGGAAGGCCGATTGGAAAACCAGCTCGTCATTCTGGTGAGCAACTTTGGGTTGCACCGCCAAGCTTTCGTCATGGACGATGTTCGTAACCCGCATGGAATCATCAAGGCCACTCTCAGTGGACTTTCGCACAATGAGACGCAGCGAGCTCAAGATGCATGGCAAATTGCCGGTGTGGATGTGCGCAAATTGGATAATCCCTTTAATACCGTCGGAGTCCCCGATGAACGTGCAACATTGCCTTGGACTCAATGCAACGGTGTGCAACAGGAAAAATCGATGTATCGATTCCCTGTGCTTTTAGACGATGGCGCACGATGGATGCGATTCCGATTTGATCACGGCCTCAAGAGTGCTAGCGCCAGTTTTAATATTCCTCTTCGTTTGCATCTGGAAGGACAATGGACCGGTTACATTTACTTGAACGATCATCTCATGGCGCGTTATTACGGCAACGGAGACAGTCCTCAGCACGACTTTTATATTCCGGAGGGATGGGTGCAAAGGCGCAAAAACGAAGTGAAAATGCTGGTTTATACATGGCACGACACCGAACCCGAGATTTCGATTGCGGGCTGGCCTATTGATATGGAAACAGGAAATTTACTGAAGGATCACGAATCGGGACAAAAGGAATACATGGTATGGAAGGATCAATTCCATGTCATTTAAGAATGATCCTTGTCACTTTTGAAACTCCTTTCCTCATATTCAGCGCTCTAAGAAAAAAAAGGTTCCAATTCATTTGCTGGTCGCATTTTTATCATTTCCTTTACGATCCTCCTTATCAAGCATTTCTACAACTCATGTAAAGGGCCGAAATATGTATATATTTGTGCAAGTCATAGTAAAAATAAAAGACGTGAAAGTGACGGCCATCTTTATCCTTTCTGTAACAGCAAAGACTGTCAATGTGTCCCTGAATCTTACTGTTGGCATCGTAATCCAAAATTTTAAGATGACGGACTTTAACTGTTCCAAGGTCATATACAGTAACTTTATGTTGCCAATAGTACACATTTTATTGTTCTCCACATGTTTCTGCATTCCATTGGAGTCATTTCAATCGACGTTCCCATACCATTCAAACTTTTGCAGGGTTCGTTTATAATGTCTCGCACAACAGATCGGAAACATGCAAATAACGGGAACGAAGTTCTGAAGTGTAAGCTTGGTGGTCATGACATTGGTAGTTCGGCACCGTACCGTTCCGCTTATCGGGGAAAGGCTGAGTCGTCATGATTCGTTGACATCACCATCATCTTTTTCCTTCGTTGCAACTTCTGCGTTCTTGGTGTGTCTAGCCGTAGGCGGTACTGTATTTGGCAATTCATCATGTTGGCTGCATGCCGGTACAAAATCCTGGAGTTGTGCGTTTAGTGGTGCTATTTTCGGCAACTCACTTGTTGGCTACGTAACATCACAACATCCGATCCTGCCATCAGTTGCTGCCAGCAGCTATTCCAATAGCCATGGATCTTATCTGCGGAGGACTGGATATTTTTGAATACACCATCCAGCCCCCGATCTTCCTATACCGTAAACTAGTATTTTCTTTTTATTTTATTTTTTGTATCCATTTCAATTTCCAATCCAATCTCAAGCCGGCTCAGGGAGCCAGCCACAGCCAAAATTCCATAGCAACCACAATGACCACAAAATAAAAGTGCCAATAACAGTGCCATGGCAATCGCAGCCATAGCAACCGCGGCTACGGAAATTACAGTAGTGTACAGTGACCACTTGATTTAAGAATCACCGCGGAAGCTGCGAAAAATGATTCCTAAATCGAATTATTCTTAGATCGATTCGATCATACATTTGTAAAGTGATTCTAAATCCGAGAATATTCTTAATCGAGCACAAGCCGTACACCCGTTGTGCAATGGATGCCACCTGCTACTGAAATGTCACACTCTTACATTGAGTGACATTCATCAGACAAAACGTCTAACGCATATACCGCATAACTTGAGCGAGACTCTTGATGGAACTTCGTATATTAATGTCAATACTCTGGCATACCATGAAAAACTTTTAATGAACAAAGCCGCACTTATTGACCCCTCCCTTCTGTCCCGCCCAAGGTTATGATAGGTCTAGAAAGATGTGTGGGTGTGTTGGGTATTTAAAAAGAAATGAGTTAGTAAGCTCTTTGATTGAATCAAATGTCGTTAAGATATTTTACCTTTTGTTATGCGATGCAGCAATATCGAGAGCTTCCCGACCGAAAAAAAGAAAGGGTACGCGTCTGTAGAAACCCCCTAAAACCCTGTGGGGAAAAAAAGGAGGAAAAGACTGCAAGAAGACTATTAACTAAAATACAAAATACACACTACAAACTACAAATAAAATGGTCGGGAAGAATAGAAATACCAAAGGCGATACCACGGGTAGCAATCCAGAGAAGAGGAACCTGAGTAGGACGCGTAAGCGTTTTTCGATGAAAAAAGAGTCACACCACTGACGATGCCCTTTGACGACAAAAACCGGATTGGCCACATCTGGTGCACGAACAAAGTAAAAAAATTCTGGAGGATGGATGGCTTGCCAGACGAAAAGAAAACCGGAGACAAAACCCAAAGGTAAAGAAGAATAGAGAAAAAGGACAGGTCAGTTTTCCCTTGTCAGAAAAGGAATAGTCACATCACACAAAAGGTACCTTTTTGATAATACTCGACTATATCGGTTACAGATACACGCAGGATAATCAATAGTCTGGATGATGGATGCGGATGCGGATGTGGATGCAATGATAGTGAGAGTTTTTCAAGCAAACAGAAAGAAAGGAGGAGACCAAAGAAGAAGACAAAATTGAAGACTCAATACATGATTTCCCATGGATGAAACAATAGTCACCCTACTGATGCATGAATTCATAGATATCATGAATAGAAGCATGTCTGTCATGTACAATTCGATCATTGAAAACTGAAGAGAATGAAAGGGCATATACAATATAATAAAAAAAGAACCAAAATAAATGATGTTACAGAACACCCAGATCGACATCGACAACAGCCTTTTTCAAAAGGAGCTCTACTCACATTTTATTTGGACGACAACGATGCTCTGCACAACTGACGCAAAGGCATCTTGCTGCTGATTATTTCGCCTATTACCGTGGAAGTGGAAAGCGAGGCATGGTTGAAAGATAAAAAAAGGTGCAAAAAGGATTAACAGGTCTTGATAAGTTAGTGTAGATCATGTGATTTACAAATCCTAAATCGAGTGGCGACTGCACGTCGTCCGCAATCACCATAGCAGCAAGCATAATTACCTCAGCAAGCATAGGCCGTTCAGCAATTCAAAAAAGATCGGGTAAAGACGGTCCAAAATGGCTGCAACCCTCTCAGATGAAACGCGGTAATGACTACAGCTGGCAATATCTTGGAACCAACTAACTTGCTACTTTCCTGGGGTAAAAAATATCTGGCTCTATGCGGGTATATATACTCACACTGCCAACCGGCCGCATTGAAACAAAAGGAAGATGACCAGCGTAAAGTTTGGCAAAGTTGGGATCATTGTAAGGTTTTTTTTGGGCGTATTCTTATTATTCAAATGATAGCGCTGTATCCATCGTTCCAAAAGGAGTTCAATCTGCTTCCTCGAGAACCCAGCATATCTACTTGGACCCAGGGATTGCGTCGTCTAAGGAAAGAATCCATTGCTCAGTCGTACCTTAAATTACTGGGATAGATCCGCGTAGGTTTATTGACAATAACTGTGATGCAATTTTGGATACAACTAATTGTATGGTGCGACATGTATTCAGCTCCTCAGCTGTGTCAACCTAAGCCCAGGTGCTAAATTTGGTAATTTTTTTGATGACATTATACTTACCCAGCGGTGTTGTCGATAATATCATTTTTTAGTGCTATCGATATTTTTGTTATTTATTGTTATCGATAACAAAACTTATTTACTATGTCAACAAGCGATGAAACTGATGCACTTTTATTTCGTTTGCCTTTCGGCAACCGTCCAGGAACAGACCTAATGAGTAAACACGTGTTGCAGAGCAACAAAGCCAGAAATATTATTATAGATGCCATTATCGGTAAGTTTCTATCGTTTCTACTAGAATTCAGTGTAGATTCACCGATTCTTCTCGTCGTTGGATTAGGAGAAAGCGGCAAAGAGGAGTATTGGCCAAGGCCCACTGAATGGCCAAATCGATTGAAGTCGGATGTACTTTATGCCGCCGACAACTCAGAGGGCCTGCCACCTGTCCTCGTCGAGGTTCAATACTCTGTAGATAACAAGTTCTTGCACCGTCTTGTTCGCTACTGCGAAGAAATTATCACTGCGTACGATGTGCCACCTGTCGTTATGGTAATTGCCATACACGAGTGCAGCCGATCAGTCCTCAAAGCAGCGAAGACCGATAAAAAGAAGACATTTTTCTTCAAGCTTCCCTGCTATCCATGGGCAGAAGAATGCTTTATCTTAAGCAAGGAGTCAATCTGTGCGCATCTACAGAAAACGCCTCTGGAACCGATTGTCGCCCTTGGCTCCTTCTTTGTAGACCAAAAGCAAGCATTGGTCGAACATGACCACCATGATGATCCTACGATAAAGCAATTATATCATATTGCAGGCCGTATCGTCCAAAATCAAGTTACGGTGGAAGAAACACGAATTGACCAGTTGCTACGTGTGATCCATGAGGCCGAATCATTCAGTGACAAAGCGATCAGCACGCTTGACGACGGCGACGATGATAGCACGAAAAAACGAGCCATTGGCTACATGAAGCAAGCAAGAGCTCTGTTGAAGGCGTGCAAGCGCCAAAGGACATCGTCGCCAGAAGCAGACCAGAACGGCCGCAATTGGCGTTACATTGAACGATACCTGGAAAAAAACCAGGGTTCCAGAATGAAGTGGCCCAATTGCTACCAAGATGGCATCCGGGAAGGTTACTTCCAACACTTTTCCAACTATACTAGTTTGAAAAATGCGTACAACCGCTGGAAGAAAGGCGACCAATAAACGTAGCTACCGAGTAAAAAGAAGAAAATGCAATTCATTGACATATCAAAAAACTGTGCTGATAACAGTGAAAAATGACGGTGTCGGAGCAATTCTTAGTGTTTGGAAGATAACGGCTCTTTCATTGAATGAATTTCGTCTTGAATTAAAGATCGCTCTGGCAAGCATGCTGACTGTTATATTCGAAGATAAAAAATATGAAACGTGAGATCAAAAGCATATTGTTATTTCTATGATTTAATAAAGGCCGGTATCGAATGATGTACGATTGCGAATATACGACAAATGGACATAAAGGAACCGTGTGGTGAAATAATGCGATGAGTATCTGAGACAACGAAAAATGACTGTGTTTATTCAGGAACATCTAAAATTGCATTGACTGGACGAGTCAATATATTGAGTAAAATAAGTAACCGCTTAAAGAATATATTGACATGAATAAAGGTGTGTGATCTTCATTATACATTTGATCGCAGGTTTCTGCGTTAGCCTTTGCTTGGTCAATTTCAAAAGCCTTTTCCCTTTCCAGTAATCGTCTACACTCTGTTGTGCGTTAAGATCTCCATTGATCATGTTCAGCCGAATAAGCTTTTCCACGAACTTTGTATTCACGCTTATTGACTAAATCACGAGGTTGATGACAGCTTCTATTTCGTAGTATCATCGCTGGGTAAAACTTCGTTTTGGGAAATAAGTTTAAAGGCCAATAGGGACTATAATTGCGCGTAATTAATACACCAGTTATGTCTGTTCGCAAGTACTAGCGTTAGTGTTTTGTTAAATACTGGATATGGTCCATCATAGAAAGGTGGAACTCAGCGGGATATGCGAAAGACGAGCTAACACGTGACTGTAAGTAGGTATGTCAACGATATGGTTCTTATCGTCAAATACTTCTTTTTGTGCTTCAACAGCTAACTTTGCTCATTGATGAATAGCGGAGAATACAACACCAGCAATATAATCTAGCATATCTAGTAGCTGCTGGTACATCATGGGCTGTTTGTTGGGATTATCATGGCTATTATTGTTACTGTAATCGGTAGACTTCAAGTGCAGAGTATGTCAAGTTCATACGCCTGGCATATATTAAAGAAAAGGGTGCTGTTTGTAACCTTTTGATACGTTATGGTTCATTGCCGATCGGACAATAGGTACATGCCAATTTCAGTATTTTCTAGTGCCTCGGATGTATTTCTTTACGACTTCCTGTGCAGTACTTATCACTACCATAAAAATTATAGTTCCAACCACCGTACAAATACATAAGGAACATCAAAGTCCTTTTTTATAATAATCTCACAAAGATAAAGCATTGATTTAATAAATAAATTATTCCAGTGCCATTAATAGTTGATGTGATTGTCGAATGATCCTGGACGTGTTTCGCCATAGATGCTGGTGTACGGTTACTGTGGTTGCTGCTATGGTGAACTGCGGACAGTGTACTGTAATAGCCGTGGTTGCTTTAGCTGCGATTGCTATGGCCATTTTTATTGTTGCGGTCATTGTCGTTGCTATGGTATTGTGTGCGGGGTAACTGGCTGTAGGACTGGTTTGAGATCGAATGGGAAATTGAAGAACAATAAAAAAGGAAGCTGAACTAAAAATGGACTACGGTATAGGAAGATTGGGCGCTGTATTATCCAAAAGAATGTCCAACAATCCGCAGATTGTGCTAATGGCAAATTGGAGCAAACTGTAGGCAGCCGATGCCAGGTTCGGGTGATGTGCTGTCACATAACTAGCAATTGAGGTTGCCGAAAACAGCACCACTAAGGACACGACTTCAGGTTTTTGTACCAGAATGCAGCTAACAGAACCATTTACCGAATACCGTATCATATCGCCTAAAATCACCATTGTTGCGACGACGGTATAACGGGTAACCACTGTGATCTTCGATAGTAGCTTCATTGAAGGAGCGCGGGTAACGCGTTTTACATGAGCCGTTTTCCATGCAGGGAGACCTCGGATGCGTTGTTCCACACGGACGGTGCATCATACATCTGCTGACGGCTGGACATCCCAAGGACCCTAAGTTGCAAGGAACGGGAAAACAAGGCGGTGAGATTAGTGGATTATGACGACCCAGCCAGTGCACCCGGTAGCCAAAGTGGTATGGTGCCGAACGACCAGTACACAACCATCAAGGTTTACATTTCAAAAGTCCTTCCCGTTATTTGTTTTGTTATTAATAACTCGATCGCACTATCCTCTCTTTTTATTATTATTCCAAAACCATTTCTATTGAACCAATGTGTTTGCGTTTATGACCTTTTTTTCGGTGATTGTATTCATTCTTTAAGACCAGCACATGGGGCATAACTTCTAAAGTATCCTTTGCGGCAGCCATCATTATAACAATCGTGCCAATTCATTCTATCACCCCAACGTATCTCGGTGAGGGGTCTCTTGACTCGTGGGCAGATGAAGTGGTAGACTCCGGCATAGGAGGCGACGGATTTGACATGCATTCGCGCTAGACCCTTCTTAACATAGTCATTCCTTCCTTCAGACATGCGAGGGTTTTCTTTTTCGCTTTGGTACCGTTGGCGTCGTCGTCAAGCATGGTTATGGCCTGTTATATCGAGATTTGGTATCGTCGATGTCACGTAGCAAATAGTTGATCCGTGATTCCTCCGGCCTAACCTCACTTCGGACAATGCGGTTTGCGATACGGTATAGCTGCTAGATTGTTAGGTCACCGTTATGACCGCATTCGGCCAATAACTGTTTTTATTCCACAATGGAGCCAAGAGCAACAACCGAATCCAACGGGAATTTTCGAACTTGATTTTTTGCTTAAAAAAACAACATTTCTCTGCCCATGTAAACTCGGCAACTTGAGAAGAAAGGGCTTTGACTTGTTCTTGCTTGCTTTGACCAAGCCTGGTGGCTGCATTTACGAAGGGCAATAACCAGAACAACATGTGACTCACTATACTCGGCGGAAATCCCCTCACAATATCGCACGAGACGTTGGAGGAAGTTATTTTCTCCAGCATAATCAATCTCGACGAGGACGGGTGGCATATCTTTGAAGTTACCAGTGGAAGAAAGACATCAGACTTCAAACCGTTTGGCCATTGAGTAGGTCGTGACAAGTCGTGACTAATATTGATCAATGGCGCGCTTCGCCCTAAAACCAAACAATGGGAAGAGCCCAGTGAATATACGCTGAATATCAGTAGAGTCGATAGGAACTTACGACTGGTTGCTTCGCTAATGCTGTTCTCGCTTTGTTACTCTGCAACACATGTTTGCTCATCGGATTTGTTCCGGGACGGTTGGCCACGGGTGAAAGGGAAGAAAAACGGCGTCGGTTTCACTGCCTTGTTGGCATAATGGAAAAAAAAAATCAGTCTGTCGATAAGACAAGTGTGTCAATAGCACAAGTTATAAAGAGTTGTCAACAACTCCCCACAAAATTAAGGTGTCGATAACAATCCTTTGGTTGGAAAGCATACGTCATCAAAATTACAAAGCACAGCATACCACTATTCTCTTTTATTTTGATAAAAGAACATTTTTCGTGAGTCCATGCATCTTTGTTTTTCCAGAAGTTATATGCACTCTTGAGGCTAACATGTGTTGAATATTTCGTGAAATAGCGATCGCGGCAAGCTTGCCATTTCATCTTGTCATCCACCATTTCTTCCATGTATTTGTGTGATTTACCACCTCAAAAAGGAGAAGTGGTTCGATACCAACTCCACCAAGAGGATACGCATTCCCAGAAATAATCAAAAATAAAAGTACATTCATGTATTCCTCGAAGAGGAGTACATTTCTTGAATAATGAAACTATACTAGCGCGCGGTATAGGATGTATGTAGATACTTATTGCTTTGTCCTTTCGGAATTATTATAAAGACCAGTGTATCAGACATCCTAGACTTTAAAACTTCTTCTGATGATGCATTCTTGGCACGAACGGGTTTCAGCTCGCAGGGTGTTTGTGGTTTATATAAACCGTGTGGTGTTTGTGAATAAAGTAAATGTTGGAACACAGGAAGACTGAAACCTTCTGAGACCCTGATTTATTGAGCAACAAGAGATGGGAAAAAAGGCCCAGATCAGCTCTTCATTTTTATTTTTGATTACATAGTTTATGGTGAATCATTATTTGAATTAATCATCTACAGCATAAGAACTCGCTATTGCTGTAAATGCTGTCGTTGAAGGTACTATAGACGAATGGTAAGAGGAAATGGTCGTCCTTGTGACGTTTGGTTGACAAGGAGACGGTAAATTTATGAATGTGGATCGCATGATTGTTTTATCAAAGGTCGGTTCCTGAATAAAGATGATCATGAGGTTCATCTTCACTATTTAGGATTTGAGTGTGGTACAACTCGGTATCTTTGAAATTGCGAATGTTCTGAGGGTGAGACTTATCCGTGAACATGCACATAATGCGATGAAAGAGGAATATATATGTGGAATACATTATTGTACCAAACACGACAACGGCAACCCGGAAGCAGACGGCAACTGTGAGTATCGAGCTGCTTCCTAAGTGATTCACGGAACAGAGGAGATTGCCCAGAGCCAAAACTTCTATAAAGACCCTTGATGAAACATCCTGCTTTTCTTCTCAATGTAGTCGGCATAAATCTTGAATGTATGCTACTGCAACTGCAAGATAGCACGTCCAGTGGTTCTTCTTGAGTTTTGGTTTAAAATTATTTGGTGCCCGCAGCTACTGGCCGAGGAAGCAAAATCGATCTGTAGTGGTTTATGGCGATGATAATTTCGATTGCAGATTTCTCTCCATATGAAGCCACTACGAGACGATAATTAGAGTACTTCGCCAATTGTGCTGCACCTTCACTGTTCCATTTTTAGGCTGTGGCCATCCAAGATTCGAGCTGTACTTTTGTTTTTGTTTTTTTGGCCTGCGACAGCCAATGTAGATCCGCCATTTCGAAAAAACCAAAAGAACAGAAGTTTAAAACAAATCGACAACAACAACTAAAACACTTGTTGTCGATTTTTTTTTTTTGTTGTCGATTTGTTTTAAACTCCTGTTCTTTTGGTTTTTTCAAAATGGCGGATTTACATTGGTTGCCAGTGGCAAAAAAACAGAAGTTAAAAAGGCGACAGTCAATGTAAATCCGCCATTTCGAAAAAACCAAAAGAACAGAAGTTTAAAACAAATCGACAACAACAACAAAACACTTGTTGTCGATTTTCTTTTTTGTTGTCGATTTTTTTAAACTCCTGTTCTTTTGGTTTTTTCAAAATGGCGGATTTTCATTGACTGTCGCCTTTTTAACTTTTGTTTTTTTGCCACTGGCAACCAATGTAAATCCGCCATTTTGAAAAAACCAAAAGAACAGGAGTTTAAAACAAATCGACAACAACAACAAAACACTTGTTGTCGATTTTTTTTTTTTGTTGTCGATTTTTTTAAACTCCTGTTCTTTTGGTTTTTTCAAAATGGCGGATTTTCATTGACTGTCGCCTTTTTAACTTTTGTTTTTTTGCCACTGGCAACCAATGTAAATCCGCCATTTTGAAAAAACCAAAAGAACAGGAGTTTAAAACAAATCGACAACAACAACTAAAACACTTGTTGTCGATTTTTTTTTTTTGTTGTCGATTTTTTTTAAACTCCTGTTCTTTTGGTTTTTTCAAAATGGCGGATTTACATTGGTTGCCAGTGGCAAAAAAACAAAAGTTAAAAAGGCGACAGTCAATGAAAATCCGCCATTTTGAAAAAACCAAAAGAACAGGAGTTTAAAAAAAATCGACAACAAAAAAAAAAAATCGACAACAAGTGTTTTAGTTGTTGTTGTCGATTTGTTTTAAACTCCTGTTCTTTTGGTTTTTTTTGAAATGGCGGATCTACATTGGCTGCCGGTCAAAACAAGAATTGAAGATGCGCAAGCCAATGAAAATATGTTTCGACAACAACGCACAATTCTGTACCGGAAACTAATGAAACGAAGAGCGTCAACATGCACTTATTCGTTGCTGATGCGGCCTGTTGTGGATGTTCCGGTCGGCATTTAAAATATTGGTCCGGAGTTGGCTGTCCGGCATGCGGCCCGGAATTTGCGAATGTAAATTTTAGCTTAAATCGAATTGATCGTGCATTGTGAATAAATCGACTCTTCTTTGAGATCTATTTTTTTGGGGGCCTTACGTTTATTTCGTGCTGACAGCAGACTTATTGACGACCCTATTTCTAACATTATATCGACTTTGACTGTCACGGAAATATACTTGGATTGCAGTATCAGAACGGCAATAAGGAGTATTATCAGAACGGTACTGATCGTATATTTTTGCGGGAAGGCGGAAACCGTGCAACGACCTTCACTGTTTTATTTTACCTTGATCATATCTGTACCGCGGGCTTTATCGCTTACCACTCATTCCCCGATCCCTATTTTCGTTCTTCTTTAATCGCCAGCCACATACCCGTATCATTGCTTTTATGAATAATGACGGCTTCCCATTGGCTGGTGCTAAAAAAACCACGCTGAAAATTGCTCTCGATATTTAAAAATACAGCTGTTCAATCTTCTGGGTGCTTTTTTAGCAGCAGCCAATAAGAAGCCGTCATTATTCATAGAAGCAACGAATAAGTGCATGTTGACATTCTTCGTTTCATTAGTTACCGGTACAGAATTGTGCGTTGTTGTCGACTACAGTGATTTTTAGAAGACGACAACAATCGCTCGGTGGTCTTTTTTATGGCAGCAACCAATGGGTCTTCGCGAATCCATCACTGCTAGCATCGATAGCGAGCAAGCCAGCCGATCAACCACCACACCATCTAAGAGTACGGACAATACTGGAGGGTGACAGGGTGAAAACGCATAAAACAAGAAAGCGACAGGAACAAAAAGGTGTTTAGTGCTTTCACAGGACAGGAATAAGACAAGACAGGACAAGACAAGAGATTACAGCTGCCACATTGCTGTCGCTTGCCCTCCCCCAATCCTGCGACGCTCTGCCCCAAAAAGCATCGCAACAACACAAGTTCCACTTCTGAAACGAAGGAAACTACGCCTTCCGTTCCCACGATCAAAAAAGAAAATCAGCCTGCAGGTTACGGACCCCGCCGTGTCAACAGCAACTTGCTGGACCGGCTACTGGTCAACCAACCAGATTCAAGTGCTTCAGGATCATCGACCGACAACTCTGCTCAGGCCAACTTGTCTTCTATAAATTCTCACAGTGATGGATCTCCGTCACTTAATGTAGCTCGCCGTTCTAGCGACTCTCCCAACTAATCAAGGCACTCTGATTTCACTCAACACGCAACTGAAGGAAGCGACGTCTGACGGCGCTTCCACTGTATTGTATAGATAGGGCTTACATATGCCACTACAGAAGAATTACCTCGGTTGAAGCAGATTAGAGACACAAAGTATTGACACATCATTTGTATATTAAATCCCGATCCCGATATATATTCTTTACCGCAAGATATTGTCGAGATGATCTCTTTCGAGAATAAAACAGTTTCACCGTACTCAAGTCTCAACCAATATACAACACACTGTTCCTGTGACAATTCTTAACCTAGATACCAGCAAATATAATGCTAATAAAGATGAAGATTACATTCCCAGTCACGACGGTGCTGATACCATCATGGATGAGGATGAGGGTGAGGAAGCCTCGTCCATCCACCCTTCTTCTACCCCACACTCTCAATAATGAGTCTACTTATTGGGTCTCTCGATTGCCGCTGTCTCTGCAAAGGAGTAGCTAAATCACACAATCCTTATTCGTGCATTCCTACGTGAAGAAGCTCTCGATCTCGTAGCCTTACAAGGTACTATGCTTCCCAACTCGGATGACGAAAACCGCGTATCCCTGCAATTACAAGCTTGGAACTTGATCACATAATTCCTGCACAAGATTGTCCGCGCAATACTTCCTCCGGTGACTCTGGTGACCCTGGTGACTCTGGGCTGGGAATCCGCCCTATCTCGTCCACTTCTCCTTCGCCTGGCCACTGCAACCCCACAGTACTTCGATCATCGCCACATTCAGTGCACCAGCCCGATGACTGCGTGGCCGCTTCACCACAAGACCTCGAGACTCTCCGTGTGGCTACTCTCTGTCAGCGATAGAACTTTCCGATCTCTCTCCAATAGCACAGCAACGCTTGAGTGCCAAGCCGCTCTATTTAACGGTCACCAACGTTGCTGACCTTCCTGCTCGATTCGCTTTCCTGGCCTGGGCCCACGATCATCCTATCCTCTTTTCCGACTTTCAGGTGCCGATCTCGCTAATTTTTTTCATTTATTCACAGCACTGGGCACGATCAACTGAGTACGATCAAAGTCTGGAGGGAGGCGGTACCTCTTCTTCATCAGCAACCATACTCTCTAGTTATTTGACACTCGCGTCAATGATTTGATAACATCACTTGCTTCCGCGGCGCTACCGCTCCCCATCCATCGCCCGTCTATTGATTTGAGCAATACCTTGCGCTATTTGAGTGGTATATCTTTAAACACACATTGCACTCTATCTCAGCCGCAACCCAAGATTCTCTTCTTGATTACCATGGCTACCTTCCTACGATCCTCCGAACTCCAACATATTTCGTTGACGTCCACTAAAATATCTTCCGGCAATATTCTCACCTTTGTAGTGGTCACACCTAAAGAGCGCAGAAAGGGGCACTGGATCATCAAACCATTCCTCGTCCATCCGCACCACGACGCCACCCTTTGTCCCGTACGCGCCTTTCAACAACTGCAACATTACCACTAGCTTAACGTCGACTTTCGGATACCTTGTTTATCAACTTTTATCAACTTTTATCACCCCAATAAACCAGTCTATGTAGCCAACAATCAGTTGTTGACTCCGGAAACTCATTCGCCTATCTACCTCCGAACGCTAAGTCACTATACGATCTATCGCTTCGGCCCTGACCGCCGCCGAGGCATCGCTCTGGATGACGTTGTTAAGCTTGGCAACTGGACTTCTCCCTCCACGTTCCAACCTCATGATCGTCGCAATTTGCACTCTGAGGAAGCATTTATCCTCTCTTCTCCTATCATCTCAAGTCTAAAAGTAAAGTATAGAAACCTCTGAAAGGACAGCTTGTGACAACAAAAACCGCTATTTTTCGTTTCTTCGGGAAAATGACGGCTTCTCATTGGCCGTCGCCACAGATAAAAACCAGAAGTACAGGGTGCGAAGGCAACAAACAACATGGTGTTTTTGGAACATGAAGGATGTCACCCAAGAACATAACCTTTTTCGTTAGGATTACACTTTTCTTTTATTTTTGATACGTAAGTATTTTTTGTGAACCAGTTGCTGTTTTTCCAGTGGTGGTAAGCACTCCAAATGCTAACGTGTATTGAAGCAGCTTTTTCAGCAGCCATCACTGAAACAAGCTTGCCAGTTCTTTTCATCATTGCTGATTTCTTCCAGCTATTGTTCAATAAATTGCCAGTTTCTAATATCCTCGTCTGGCAATTGCGGTGACGGGTCTCTTGTATCGCAGGCAGAGCAAGTGGCAGACTCTGGCAAGGGGATGATGCTGATGCTGATGAGTCGATGCACTGGCGCTTGCATGTTCTCAACATGGCCATTCCTTCCTTTTAAATAATCGATCGTCCTCTTTTTTGTGTTGGCATCGTCAGTGTCTTCGCCCAGCATGCCAATGGCCTTGTCCTACCGTGATTCTGCATCATCGATTACACGTAGCAAGTAGCTAATACGTGATCAGCCGTAACTTGATAATTGAAGATCCGTTCCGCGATGCAGTACAACTGCTTAATCGTCGGGTCATTATGGTGGGCGTGTTCGGCCAATGATTGTTTTTGTTCACCGAAGAATGAGCAAAGCGCAACAACCGGGTCCAACAGTGTTTTATCCATACGCGCTTTTTCAAGAAATTGAAAGGAACATTTATCTGCCCACGGATAGCACGGCGACTTGCGAAAAAGAGGCTTTGATTTGAGCTTCGTTGCTTATCGTCCAGAGCAGACAAGAGGGACAAAGCAGAATCATCGTCGGGCCTAGCCGACGCTCCCGACACCACATATGGCCAGAAGAAGAAATGTCATCCATTTGGTCGAGGGCGATCAACATCAACCGAAAACTGTTGAACGCTTGCCGGTGTTCCCCCTGGAAAGCATTCACAAACGTTTTGGCGTCCCGCAGCTGACCACGTCGGGCACAAGTGCCCAACTGCAAAAAGTCGGCACGCCATGAACTGCCAAACCACAAAATCCGACCATCGTTCACGCCGCATTGGCGGCAAGTTGCGAAAATAACGGAAAACGCCCATTGTCAGGCGCAGTGTCGCATCTGAATGACCAAGACCGGCGGCTGCATTCATGTATGGCAATCACCAGAACGATCGGTGCCACGCCATACTCGGTCGCAATTTCCTCCCAGTAACGGGAAACACAGTACAAGAAGTTGTTATCGACAACATCTTGCACCTCGCACCTCGATGAGGACGCGTGGCAGGTTTTTGAGCTGTCGGCGGCATAACAACATTGTACTTCAATCCATATGGCCATTCAGTAGATCTTGTTCAATATTCGTCAATGGTGCCTTGTCCTAATCCGAACGATGGGAAGAACCAGAACCAGAACCAGTGAGTATACACTGAATTCTAATAGTGCCGAGAAGAAAATCAAAATTAGAAAAACTAAATAATGATATGCAATTTTTAAACATTAAAGATGATATATATGATATTTTTTAACTCACCAACGATTACTCCGATAAGTATATTTTCTTCGCTTCTTCGCACTGCAACACAAGCTTGCTCCTCAGGTCTGTTCCCGGACGGTTGGCGAAGGATGAAGGAAATCAAATATACGGTGTCGACAATGACCTTCTTGGTACTTGCACGAGAAGCACACCTTGGTCAAAGTACCGCCATCTAATCGAACCCCTTCTCGTCGACCTTGGTCCAAGTGAGCTTGCGGTGCACCTGCTCGTCAATCCAGTCGGAAAGCTGCATAGAGATGGGTCTCAAGAGTTCACACCCCTTGACCTTGATGGGCGTACGAAGGGAGCGGACAAAGTTGTAAACTAACTCCCGGTCTTGAGGCATGTTGGCTTCCTGTACTTTAAGAGGACTTCCCCTACTACTGGCGCTCCCTTTTGTTACCAGCATGATAGCTACCATCGTGCTCGTAGCCGCCACTCGACTGCGAAGAACCGCCGCATGAAGCCTTCCCTCGCTTGGATGTGAAGCGAGTTTCTATTTCTCTTCTTTTGACGGCGATCTACTACGGAAAACATGCTCGCCACCCTCCGGGCAGTCTGGAGGACCTGAGAACAGGGTCCGTCTCTGCCCCCCGGTGATCAGTGCACCGCGAGTCCACTTGGACCAAGGTCAAACACACCTTGATCAAGGTGTGTTTGTCCGTCCCAGTGGTAAGGTGTTGATATCAACACCTTGGCACTGTTTTTTCTTCCACGTTTCGTCAACCGTCTCGGAGCGAATCTTCAACGGTGACGTACCACTGAAAACATGTTCGCCGCGCACGGGACAGTCTGGAGGACTTGGGAACAGGGCCCGTCTCTGCGCATTGCAAGTCCACTTGGACCAAAGTCAAAGACACCTTGACCAAGGTGCGTTTCAGCACAAGTATCAAGAGGGTGTTGTCAACACCTTGTACGATTTTTTCGATTACCCTTGGCCAACCGATCCGTTCTTTTCCCGTTCCCCTTCACCAACCGTCCAGGAACGGATCGGTTCAGCAAGTTTTTCTCGGGACTATTAGAATTCAGTTTACTTTCACTGATTCTTCTCATGGTTTGGATTAGGACCCAACGCCATTGACGATTGCTGGCCATGATCGCATCACGATATAACGAGGCAGCAGTCATCCTGACGAGGACGTCGATAACTCAGACGCCAAAAAGCGAACTTTAGACTGGCTGCACGAAGTAATGACATACGTTCGAACATGCAAGCGGTAATGCATGAGCCCGACGTCACCTTCGCCGGAGGTTACATACAAAAACGACCATGAGTCGAACAACGCCAACGCAAGAAATTGGCAATACGTTCAAGCATACAAGGAAGGAGTTGATGACAAGATCAACTGGAAAGCTTGCTTTTATGGTGGCGCCGCCAAGGTTACTTCAGTAATTATTCAACATGTCAGCCTCAAGAGCGCTTACCACCAATGGAAAAAAAAAAAAAAAACTCATTGACTCAAAAGTAACGTTTTTATATCAAAAATAAAAGAGATTACCGTGGCCGAGTTAGTTAGTGACGTACAAACAACGGGGAGAATCTGTGAGACACCGAGTAAAGAGGAAAAAGTGTATCTTGTTTGACATAACAGAAAAAAAAGCCAGTTGAGCTGTCGAAAACAATGAAAATTGAAGGTGTCGAAAACAACCCTTTGGAAGATGACGGTTTTTCATTCATTGGCTGGATTACGCTTGACATCAAAGGCTCGCTGGCAAGTACACTGACAGCATGCGTGGCAAACATATAAAAGACATTCGCAAGGCAAATTACCTTATTTTTATATCAATGATCTTGATTCCATGGAATTAGGGCTCTCTTATAGTGCCTGCCTTTCAAGACTTATCCATCTTTGAAAGAGCGAGAATATACTACCTTAAATTAAGCAATTGTGTGAATGCCTAACTTTAAATCACTTAGCCTCAGACTAATAGATTGCAATGTTGTTTTACAACGTCAAACAAAGTAGTTCGCGATATTATTAATTCTGGAATGCTTGCTTTAACTTTTTCCTTACTTCGTCGCAGAACGACTGAAGGAAACTTTTTCGAACTTTCCAGAGGTAAGGCAGCTAAATATTCAGCGACTAGCAGGATGAGGTGTGAACTTTTTGTTTCCTTTCGCGCGACTGGATATAGAAATCCGGATCGTACAGTGAGGTAAAATAACTACATATCCAATGATCGCATCCATCATTTTTGACCAACGCAAAGGAGAATACTTCACTCTAGTTTATCGGTTTTTACCAAAAAAAAACCATATAACTGCATTCCTTCATTGGTAACCAGCTTTTGAACATATTATCTGCACGCGCTTTTGTTATCTTGTGAAGCCAGTTCCCACTGGGATATCCTGTGAATGGACTAACAAATATTTTCTAAAGTCCAGCAGATTGTCTAAAAACAGAAAGAAACATGACGTAAGAAAACACGCATTGGCCCGGTTTGATCGTATGGGATGAATTAGGTTTTCAATCCCAGCCAAGCAAAAAAAAAAATCACGCATAACTGGACTTTTTTTTAGACACCTTTACCCTCTATTGTTCTATCTTTTTCTATCATTCTTTTGTTACTTTCTCTCAATGTATTTCGATCATTCAACCGTAGGACTTCTTGTTCGTCCAGGAGTTTCTGTCCTTCAAAGAACGCTGTCGTTGGATGATTACCTCCAACTGCAGGCTTTGCTTCGGTACGAGCAAGCGCAACGTCAGCAGCAGTACCATCATCATCAGCCTCATCATCCGCATCACCACGCTGGTCACGCTCATTATAATCATCAGCACATGCACCCTTATGCATCGCCGGATTCATGGAGAGCAAGGCGCGAACAAGCCCGGCTGCAGCAAGCCATCGAGAATCTGAGACTTCTCAAAGAAAATTATCGACGGGAAAAATGCCGTCAAATTGAGCGATGTCTCGCAAATTATAGACAAAGGGCGCTTATCCGTGCCGTTCAACAGGAAGAAGAAGAACGGTTCTATCGCCAGTGTCTCGCTGCGGCCATTGAACGTCAGCGAGCCAATGCGTTTTGGCGGCAATACGTAGCCAATCGAGAAGCTACAGGTCAAAAACCCGCCGCCACGAATGCCGACTCGTCTGAGGAAGAAGATCCGGAATTCCTAGATTATCGTTCCCAACGTCTGGCTTCACTTCTTAAAACGGTCTTTGGGCAGGTCGATGATACACTGGTGACTGAACAGCAAGAACAAGACCAGCATGAACCGAAAGAAGAGGACAGCGAGGAAGAACAGCAGTCGTACGGCGATCTTTGGAATTACATTGCTGAGCAACAAGCCCAACGAGACGAAAACTCTGATGAATACGTTCCGGAAAATGAAACACCGCGATCCGCTTTCTTGGCCCCGGAGCATGAGCAGCTGAGAGACGAAAAGACATGCAACGAAACTGCTCCACAAACGGAAGTCCCGAAACAGGAAGCACCGGAAAAGGAAGAATCTCCGCGAGTCGAAGAAGAGGAAAGCGAGGAGGAACCAAAAGAGGATACAATTAAAGCATTACCGCCAGTGGATAGTCACGTCATGACCTTGAAAGATTTACTCAACGAATTGGTGGCTGTGCCCGTGAATGCTGAAGAAAGCGATGAACCCAAACCATCGGGTATTTGGGCCGCCGATGATCCTCACATCGTGGGTGGTCCCGAAGAAAAGGAAGAACCCAGCCCTTCCAAGCAACTCGATATTCCCGACTTTGCACCACAGCATGTTGTTACCGCCGCGGAACCCTCGCCGATGAAAGAAATCAGACAAGGAATCGCATCGCTTGAGGCTAAAGAAGCGGAAGAGCTTGAGAACGAAGCTCAACGTGTCCATGAAATTGCGGCTCAGCAGCGTCAAGACGACCAAGTGAGTCCTATCGAACCACTTACAAAAGAAAATCCACCAGCAAACGAGGAAGCAGACGAGCAAGAAAACGATGAACGTTTTGGTCAATTGAAAAAACTAAAGGAAGAGTTGGATGGTATCAGGGTGAAATACGAACACCAGTTATCGGGGGCTCCGCTTCAGTTCCAGAAATCGCATGGCACCTTGTTATTGACGGCCACGACGGCGAACAATCGAGCATTTTTGGGATGCGAGGACGAGATCATGCGATGTATGTTTAAATTGGACGCCGTGCAGTCCGAGGGGAACGAGAACATCCGACGTCAAAGAAGAGCGCTTGTCAAGGAAGCTGAAGCCATGCTTGAAACCCTGGATGAACACAAACAAGACGAATTGGAGAAAGCACGCCATCATGATCAGAGCCGTCGGTCTTCCGCCGTGCATGCGTGAAGAAACACACACACCGAAAAAAAAGGGGTGATCCTCAATAGAGTAAAAAAACCAAGCGAAAAGCACACCATCCACACATGCATATGTATATATATAAAAAAAATTTACGCACAATGACATGACTCGCTTGATTTCCAGAAAATCAAAAAAAAGGACTTAATATATTCCACATTTTTGGCCAATGAGACCAACTTTTTGTTATGTTTCTCTGGATAAAAAAAAACTGTTCCGCCGCTTAGTAATTTTTGTTGATTGATCCATGTTTACTCTCGCTTCGTTACCATATCCTATAGCCCATTTCCTTGGTTATCGCAAGCCTACATATAAGCCACGCATATTGCCATTATGGCGAGTGTGTCTCTGGTCATTCCTGGGAGCGTGGGTTGGCATCATAATCTTGGAAGTGGTGTTTGCATGTGGTGCCCAGTTCCAGATCCATAAAACGCCCGTCATTATTGGCAGTTTTGTAAGTCCATGAAATAAAACGGCATGATGAGATGCAATGGCCGACTCATTCCACCATTGGTATAGGGTGCATCGGCGGTGCTGTTGTATGGTGCGATTGATTCACCTTTGGGGCAACCGCGCAACGCCTTTTTTGGGCATTTTTTCGGTGCCTTGGTGGGCGTGATTATCTCTCAATTGTTTACCCAAGTACCCAAAGATTGGGTATCTGAGGGTCAAGAGCATGCTGTTATGTGGGTTGCCGGAGCCACAGCGATGGCATTGACGTTGGTTGTTATGCAAGTCACTAAGACGGTGCATCCGCCTGGGGGAGCCACAGCCCTGATTGCGGTGGTACAAGATACGGCGGTGGCCATGAAATGGTACTACATTGGCATTGTGGTGTTATCCATCTCATTGCAGATCTGTATTGCTACTCTTATCAATAATATCGATCGTCGTTACCCTATCTATTGGTGGTCACCCAAGAAATTTCCAATGACGTTCGATCCCACTACTGCTTCCACAGTGATACCCCGGCCTCACGAAGTGGCCAATAACGAAGAATTGGTGGTGGACGACAGCAGTTTGACAGAAGCCGAAAGAGGACAGATGGAGCCGAAAACCAGTAACATGCAAAGCCGGACCAGCTCATCGTCTACAGTCTTGCAACAGATTTACCAACCTTTGAATGAAGCCACCCGCCTCTTGTCAAAAAATCACTTCCATTACGTCATTTTGCCCGAAGATGCTCCCATCGTTCTTTCACCGACAACCGCTCAATTGCTCACCGATGAGGAACGAGCCTGCCTGGACCGTATCCACGCAAAGTTGAAGGCCGCTGAATCATAGACAGTGGTCGATCTGTTTTTGCTGAGCTGCCTTTACCTATTTATTCTTGCATTGTTCCGCTAATGCTGTCTGCACTTATTCCACAGCAAAACTGTTATTCACATCCCATTATCTTTATTTGCTTTTTAGAATTTTCATTTTATTCAGTGATGTACTTTTACATCGTTTTGCTTTCCCTGTCATCAAAATCAACAATAATCATCGGTTTATATTCTATTTATTTCTTTTCTCCTTGAAGGGTGACTACCACCTTTCTATCGCCGCCGTGATTGCGATGCTCACAAAGATAGATGCTACATCATACCATGTTAGCCATCACTCGCTTCCTCGATAAGTAACATGCTTCTAATTTACCCTTGCCATGTGCCTGTTGCCAGGCGACCGTTTGAAATGGGAATATTCAACGAAACACCGATAATGCCGGATTTCAAATGACCAGGCTGCAGAGCGATCCAAATTAGATAACCACCATAAAAAAACAACAACTCATGATGAGATATGCAAATTACCATATCATCTGGGCCTTCATCGGTATGAATATATGGAAAATCTTCAGGACAGATTTTATCAAGCGCCATATTCATATCGCGTCGCACATCAGGATCGCAGTTCTCATTGAGCATCAATGAGGCAGATGTATGTTGTACTAAAAACAATAACCCATGAGCATCGCCACGCTCACCCGATCCACGCAGCTCACCGTCAAAGTACCCAACTTACAGAAAATATTGGCCATGCCGACCTTGTAGTCGCGAATCTCGGGCACTTGTTTTACAATTTCGTCATGGACCAAATGGCAACCTAACAAGTCCGTATACGGCGCTTCAACAGTTGTATTCGTACATTGTTTGATTGTGGTAACCTACCTTTGCCACGTCTTTGCAATCGAATTTGGCGTTGGAACCAGCTCATTTCTTTGTTAGACCAATTACTTTGCAGAAGAAAAAAAAAACCAGAATGCGAGGAAAAAAATGGGACGCGGATGAATGATATGAACTGAGTGTCACAGTTTCCAAAATTGGAACACAAGTCCTGAAATGTTGTCTGTGCGGCTATTTCGTCACGTCCAAGCTTGAATTTTTTTAATTTAATTTTTTCGCCTAGCAGCACATCACATGCACCATAACATTGAAGCACGACGCATCGGTAAAAGCTCGTCGGAACGGATGTGATGGTTTATTTTGAGCCATAACAGCCAGAAGAGGCGATATTATCCAAAAATGTTCCTCAGCCGATATTCAACATGAAAACGTCCCGCTTGAACCCATCATCTACCATTTCCATGGAAATGATATAACCCAATCCCATATGAAAAAATTTTCTAAGGATATCTTCAGAGTAACTCTCTCTGTCTCTGAAGAATACGTACTGGATTGTCAAATTTTGTATTATTCATAGAAGACATATTGCGTATCAAAAATGGCCAGTCTTCAGCATAGAGAAATCAAATCAGGCTGCGTTAATTCAAAAATTGATGGGATCTTTCCGTTTTGGCGCACTGGCCTAGCTACCCGGAAAAACGATCGAATCACTGTATCTTTGTCCCTCAAACTCGTCCTGCCAACATCAAGTCCAAGGCTGCCTACCAGAAACTCTGTTACGGAAAGATTTCTTCAGCTTTGTTCATTATTTACGGAAACAATAGACCATCGACTAGCGGAATCAAACAGAAAATACGCAAGTGCTTCGCTGCTCAGAACGAAACGGCATACAAGGCATCATTTGCTTGATTTGATCTGCTACAATGAGTTCAGTGCTGTTTCTTATCCGCAACAAAATATCCTTGTTTGAGAGATTTTGTCAATGCATTGCTAAGAACTTTTTTGAATCGAAAGTTCGATCGAATTTGCTGTCTTACTCAGTAATTAGCAAATTCGGTAAACTCAATAATTTTTCCTTTTCAAGACCTGATCAAGCTCAGGAAATTGCATGATTCTCAAATATTTTCATGCAAACAAGCCGACAGGTCCAAGAAGGTATATCCGAAATTCTAATGCTTGTACTGTATATGCCTCCCCTGTGCTGCTCATGAACCAACGTTTGCTATCCCTACCTTAAAAAGCGGCACCATAATATACGCTGGGAATAAATGACGTAGCAGTAATAGAAGGTTTTATTTCATTGAATGCTTGCTTTAATGCAATTTACGGATCTCCTTGTGTGTGACCTTATTTTGCTCTGCACCCTCAAAGGAAACGGCAATGTCAAGGAAATACGAATGATCCCGCTGAAGAGTTGTTCGAGAAAACAACAAGGTTTCCGTTCCGAGCTGACCTTTAAAAGTGAATCCGGTTACCGTGGAACAGAGATTCCCTTGACGAGGGAGTGGAGTGCTCCTCTTTTTTGAACCGTAAATGGTTTCATACTTAGCGTGTGTCTGAGTTGTTGACCGAAAATACGACAAAGTAAAGACTGTAAATGAGCACAAATGAGAAGACCGGTCATGGCGTCATACGCTTCAGGTTTTTCGTGCCCGCCCACAATAGCTTGCTTTTCACATGTGCCAGCCATTCGGAGCTGCAATTAAAAAATGGATATCCTGGAGCAAATGGGAGCTGGAGCCAATAAGAGTCGCATGATACCAAATAGGGTAAAATGCCTTTCTTCCAACCGACCCTCCAAGGGTTGTCTCCGAGAGAACGAGACTGGGGCACCTTGATCGTGGCCTTGATAATTTGTCGATGGTTGAACTGTGCAACTAAATGACGCAAAACAACCTAAGGGTAAAGGAGATTGAAATCGATTCCAAGGAACCGCTCGGCTGGTGTTCACCTAGACAGAAAACGAAGAAGGAAAAAAAGAGCCACCGAAACTACCAGTTGTTTCCCACGCGAAAAGAATGAGGGCAGCGCATAAAAAATTCCTATAGGGTGATGGTTTCTACCCCACACAGCGTCTGACTTGAGTTTTCTTATTTTTCAGTCGTGATCATGGTTTACCCAAAGCACTTTTTTTTTCACGCCTTTTTACAAATATATTAACGCTAATAAATTTGTGAAGCCATTGAATTACATTTGTCACTCAAAGGTGATTTATTTCGCGGTCTTTTTGTAACGGTACATGCGTCATTTTGCTATGAGGAGCATAATGACTAGGGCGAAATCGGGAACGATGTTCTCCGATCAGTCCCCTTGGAGACTGCAAAAGGCAACCTGGTGAGCGGGGTCTGAAAGAATGACGACGAATCCCATGTGGGGCAGACCTGCTTTTCCGTGAGTGGTCGAAAGCGTCTACTCCGATCGGAAGAGACGCTTTCTGAAAAAGACGAGGTAAAACCGATGTGGGGAATATATATAGAGGGGTCAAAGATCGCCTTGAACGATAACTCTATCTTTTTTTTTGTTCCTTCTATAACTTATTATCATTATGGTTGCTTCCAGACCCGGTTCCCCTTACACAGGCCGTCCTACCAGCTCTTGCTCGACCCACACCAAGGTCGAGGAAGAATTGCATGAAGTTGCCGGTATTGATTACGATAAGGTACCATTATCCTACAGTCGCATACCGCCTGATGATCATTCGGGGCTACATATTGGTGAACTTGGTGTACTTACTATTGGCTTGGCATCATGTTATTATAGGTTACTATCAAGCGCAACCCTTCTGTTGCTGTCTTGTACGAAGAAGCTTTGACCTATGAACAAGGTACCGTGATTTCCTCCGCCGGTGCTTTGTGTGCCTACTCTGGCAAGAAGACTGGTCGTTCTCCCAAGGACAAGCGTATCGTCGAAGAAGAAACCTCTTCCAAGGATATCTGGTGGGGTCCCGTCAACTCCCCCATCTCTGAACAGGTCTTCTTGATTAACCGTGAACGTGCTGTTGATTATTTGAATACCCGTACTCGTCTCTACGTGTTCGATGGTTTCGCCGGTTGGGATCCCAAGTACCGCATCAAGGTCCGTGTGGTGGCTTCCCGTGCCTACCACTTGTTGTTCATGCGCAATATGTTGATCCGTCCCACCGAAGAAGAATTGGAGAACTTTGGTACCCCCGACTTCACCATCTTCAACGCTGGTGAATTCCCTGCTAACCGCTACACCACCGGTATGACCTCTACCACATCGGTGTCTATCAACTTCAAGCGTGCTGAAATGGTCATCCTCGGTACTGAATACGCTGGTGAAATGAAGAAGGGTGTAAGTATTTGGAGAAAAACTTGGCGATACAAGAAAGACAAAGGATCAAAGGAAAAAATTGGGTACTAAATGGTTGGGTTATTTAGATCTTCACTGTCATGCATTACCTTATGCCCAAGGCTGGTGTGTTGTCTCTTCACTCTTCTGCCAACGAAGGTCCCGATGGCGATGTTTCCCTCTTCTTTGGTTTGTCCGGTACCGGCAAGACCACTCTCAGTGCCGATCCCAAGCGTAAATTGATCGGTGATGACGAACACTGCTGGTCCGATCAGGGTGTCTTCAACATTGAAGGTGGTTGCTATGCCAAGTGCATTGACTTGTCTGCCGAGAAGGAACCCGATATTTTCAACGCTATCAAGTTCGGTTCCATCTTGGAAAACGTTGTGTTGGATGAAGAGACTCGTGTCGTTGATTACTCTGATGACTTCCTTACTGAGAACACTCGTTGCGCTTACCCCATCTACCACATTCCCAACGCCAAGCTTCCTTGCATGGGTGGTCACCCCAAGAACATCATCTTGTTGACCTGCGATGCTTTCGGTGTGCTTCCTCCTGTGTCCAAGTTGACTCCCGAACAAGCCATGTACCACTTCATCTCCGGCTACACCACCAAGGTTCCCGGCACTGAAGACGGTATTGTTGAACCTACCGCTACTTTCTCGGCCTGTTTCGGTGCTCCCTTCTTGGTGCTTCACCCTCAACGCTATGCCACCATGTTGGCTCAGAAGATGTCTGAACACAAGGCTAACGCCTGGTTGATCAACACCGGCTGGATCGGTGGTAAGGCTGGCGTGGCCAAGCGTTGCCCTCTCAAGTACACTCGTGCTATTTTGGATGCTATTCATAACGGTGAATTGGCCAATGCTGAATACGCCCACTACGATGTCTTCAACCTCCAGGTCCCTACCAAGGTCACCAACGTTCCTGATGAGCTTCTGGATCCTCGCAAGATCTGGATGGGTACTCCCAAGGAATTCGATGAATCCTTGCACAAGGTGGCCGGTATGTTTGTCGAGAACTTCAAGACCTTCCAGGATGGTGCTTCTCCCGAAACCTTGGCTGCCGGTCCCAAGTTGTAAATTCGCTCAGAAAAGAAAATAAGTACCCTCTCTTTCCCAAATCCCAACTTGTTTCTAATATTTCATCGCATCTACCCACTTCTTTATTATTCCTTCTCCATCACATCATTTCCTATTATTTCCCTTTTTTTTTTCTTTCTGTATAATTTGCGATCATTTAGAATTCTTCCAATCAATTGTCCATTGATGGAATAAAAAAGTATATATTTGTCTTTTGTATCATCTATCCAAGAACTGGTTCTAATCATGTTTAGTGTTGAACTGCTGAGCTCCAAACCAGTACTTCTGATATGGCGGAATCTTTTTTTAGGGAATATCAGGGGTTGCTATTCTTATTCCTTTTCGGTTCCTTTTATAGTCGGTGGCACACATGATTAAAGTGATGGGTGATGCATAAAGTAAACTTTTCTGATTGCAGGATAAGGTAAATTTGAAAATAATGCAGAAAGAGGGATACGTATTGCTTGAAATAAAGGGGGAGTAACGAGTGTCAAAACTATATTTCCAGCCAAAGATGGAGATTCAAGGTTGACACGATGTTTGGGATTAACCGATATTATGAACACATGGTTTTGAGGATCTCTCAGGGGATAAGACCTTCTGAGTACAAAATGGCAAAGTTGCGAAATCGATCGAAAAAAAAGGATCGAATGGGAACCAATCAAAAGCTTTGTTTTCATCCATTTCCCTCTAACTTGTGCTTTGGTGTTTCTCGTGGTCCCATCTCCTGCTTCAGGCCATCATCGTTTGCGTCTTTTCAAAAGTCGCTCCTGTGTTCCAGCTATTCGTTTGCACTGACAATTGGCATTCTTATGATCATACGTTATTATTTCTGATGGGGCTGTGCGTAAAACAATGATCAACAAAGCAGATTTGTTTCTAGGACGTGGGGAATGTCGGAAAATTCCTTTCCTTTGCGTACTTGGACTCAGTGAGTCTCAATCAAGTAACAATTTTATTTATTGTTTATTAGCTATTTTATGGCTAAATAGTCGACCATCACAAGGGCGGCTGTCTGTAAAGGAATCACCGAAATATCTCATGCATATATGAGATTGTATGCATATTCTGATTTTCGGATGGTTTAGAGCCCTCTATCCCTTATTTTGAGCGGTGCTGTATTTGCATGGTCCTACTTGACAAAGTTTCTGCACTATACTGTATCCTGTGAAGATCATTATCCGGGGCGGGCAAATGAATGGGGATTGACTACAATCATTGACTTGTTCATTATGCAATTCACGGATCATACGCAAAAAAAAAGGACTTTCAAATGATGAATCATTTGTCAAATGTTGTCCATGATTTGTATACTAATTCATCATCCATAGAATGACCCAGCCTAGCACCTATCATCAGCTTGTAAAAGGTCTCCCCCCAAAGCTGGCATGCGAGGCAAAATACGTGGTTGGCTTCAGGACATTACGATCGATGGGTCCTGGATCATGTTCATACATCATATGGAACATATGAACCTTTCTCGCACATGATAATACAATGACTGGACACATTCACATCGAATGATTGATTATATCATTTATTTTGAATATTTCGAAGGATTTATCCGTGGACACGTACTTCCAAGGTCAATTCGAACAAATAAAATGGTTTCTTCAATTCAATGATGGATTGGCTGAACGACATCAGTTGAACAATTACAATAAAAAAGAAGAAAGCAGGTGATTTTGGCGTAATACGATTGGTGGCGAATGGGCACTTATTTTCTCCCATAGAAATATTTTATTTTATTTGTAATTTCATCCCTGAACTTCGTTGTTCACAGGGTGACGATTTTTTTTTTCATGCCAATCGCATTAAAGAACAAACCAAATTGGGAATTTCATTCCGTGCTGTTGGGTCCGTCACACATGCAACACCGTAAAATGGTTTTTTTTTCTGTGCTCAACCAAAAATCCACAACACAGTATAAGCTTTGACTAATTACGACTTTTTTTTTAGTTGATTGCTACGATTCATTCCCCTTCTTGAATAACCCCTCTTTTGGTCCTATCTAGCCACATTCGTCATAGTACAAATAATACTTAAATATAGAGGGGGGATATAAGAAACAAAATATGAGAAAACAATGAAATAAAAAGGAGCGGTCAGTTACTGTATAATGGATCTACTACATGTCAGGTCAGGTATAAAGAGAAAAAGCAAGGGAATAGTATAACTGCTGGTTAAAGGTAGAAATATAGAAAAATAGGGTATTATTTTTTCACTGCTGGAATAAGGATAAGAAAAAAAAAAGGTGGTTGCATGATATATGTACATAAGAATTGAGTGATAATTTTTTTTTGGTTTTTTTTTCTGTTGGATTCGATCGGATTCCATGTTTTTCTGCTACTTCAGGATCTGGAGTTCTTTTGCAATCTTTTACCTTTTTTCCTTGAGAAATTTTTTTTTTGGGGGCATGCAGATGACGGAAGAATAGCGATAGTAAAAGGAAGGCATGCATTTCATAAGCGTAATTGGCCTTGCAAAGCTTGCAATTGGCGTTTGTCTTCGCTGGAGGATAGGTTGCACCAGTTAATGTCTTGAACCAAGAGAGGCGGTTGAGCTGGCATCATCATAGGTTGGAACGAAGGAGAGGCGAGATCGGTGACATCTTCATCGGAGGAAAATGGGGAAGACGATAATGAGAGTGGCGGTGACACGGGCGTTTTACTGACGGAGGAGGTAGCGATGGTGGAGACTTCAGTAGGAGTAGAGATATGATACTCCATGGTAAGCGGTGGGACAGTTGAACACGAGAGATCTTGACGTAAATTATGAAGAGTGGCGGAATGACCACCACTGGTGTCCAAGGGATTTAATTCAGGGTACAGTCCTTTGGGAACTTTAATGTGAGATAAGAGGGGATGCTGCGATGGCTGGGTAAGACGACCGGCAGCAATATCGGCTTTGGTGTAATAAGAGATGAGATGGATCTTTTGATTTGTGGCCGTACAGATCGAGAAACTTTGCTTGATCAAACCTCCGGATTTGTAGGAACAGCTGGAAGCCGCTTTGGAAATTGGTAGATATGACGATTGCGATGACGACGACGACGATGAAGGGCGGCGTGGACGGCGTTTGGTATCCAGTTCGCGATAAGTCAGAAAACTGCCGAGGACTCTACTGGGGGACCATGTACGACCATCGGTCCAACGTCGCATGCCAGCTTCCCGTTCATCCCATGCAAATACCGATCCTGAACGTATATTCAGTCGCTCTTTGCTACTTAATCGTCGCTGCACACGGCTCAGTTGACCACGACGACAAGCTTCAAACACGATGAGAGCATCCTGCGGGGTCTTAATATAACCAACGAAAGTTTCCATATTTGGTGCGTAAAAAAAAAGCAAAAAGAAGGGGGGAGAGGAAAAAGAGATAAAACGGAAGGGAAAAAAGGAAACCAAAAAAAAAAAAGATGAAACTTTATAAGCGATCAAAAAGAGCAGATCAAAATAAGCAGACACACAAAAAAGCAAAAAGGCAAAAAAAAAAAACAGATTAAAAAGTGATTACTAAGATGGAGTCCAAAAAAAGAGGCAAAAAACGAAGATCACAAAAAGAAAGAGGGAGATGATGATAAAGAGAAAAAAAAAAAAAAAGAAAGGGAGCTAGAGGGAAAAAAGAGGGTTATAAAAAAGCCAAATGAACAAATGGCTATTTATAACAGGAAATTTTAAGCTTTTTTTTCTTCGTTCCTTTTGTTTTTCACTAGTGCAATTTAGGTCATTTTGAGGGGATTCTAATCCATCGACGCTAAAATAAAAAATCCGCATTTTTTATGCAGAGGGGTTAAATCGACATTTTTTAGTTTAAAAGCATGGATAATGTCTGAATGGGGAAAAATGTCGATTTCCAACGATACGTCATCTGTGGTCGAGACCGAATCGCAAATTTCTATGCCCTTCTATGATTTGTCTCGCTTTTTTCAACTTTCCCCATCTTTCTATTTCGCCATGACACCCAACCCCCTTTTTATTTCCCATCTTTTCAAATATTATACTTTTTTTTTCTCACCAACAAACAACAATGAACATTGAACAACATTACCAAAAAATAGGCTTTTTCTTCCCACATGCTTTTTGGACCTTTTTTTCCTTCTTCCTGTTTTTTCAGTTTGTTTATCAAAACAAATCATCCATGACCAGCTTCATACTTTCTAAATTTTTCTTGTTTCCCCATCCCCCCAAAAAAAAGGTCGATGTGGATCTCCAAAGGGAATAGTTTTTTTTTTTTCTGTACGATATACAAACAATAGTTTAAAATTGAAAATGGATCATGATATCCGATCCGTTGGGTCTCACGCTTTAAACTATAAAACCTTAAAAAATGGCATTATGACTTCTTGGCTTCCACCGATTCAACGTAAGGGATAATGTTCATAAAATAACCGATTCGACGGCATTCACTTCGGGCTTGCTTGGTCTCGTGTCCACATGCAACAAAAAAATAATGAAGACTAATCGACATCTACAAATACCATGACAAAAACAGCAAAGTTTCACATTAATCATCTTTTAAACTTTTTTTTCCCGTCCTCACCATGCGTTGATGGTGACTAGGAACCTTTTTTTTTTTTTTAGGTTTTCCTTACCAGGACATGCCACCTAAAGATAACACAAAAAACAAAGAAATAAGCATAACATGCGATCGGCGTCACCATGATCTCAACCCCATCAGTGACATCGGTTGAATCATTCCTCCCTCCTTTGGCGTCTTTTTCTTATTCTCTGTTATCTTACCAGGCATGAAGCTGAAAGTTCGGTACACCATAGTCATAAATGAAACATAGGTTGGAATCAAAGAGCCAAACCCCAATGGCTGCAATGAGATAATACGTGCCGGTATGGAAAAGTCGGCGGACTTCGCTTTTTTGCACTTGCCGATAGGATTTCCACACAAACCAGAAACAACTCCACATGACAACTCCGAAACTAAATCTAATTTAGTCTTTTCGCCAAATCGTCGATGGGGAGGGATAAAAAGGCTTCTTTTCTCCATCGATCGAAGAGTATTTCACTTACGACGTTTGGAACATATAGAATTGAGTGGTGCCCTTGGATTGACTGGTCACGTAGGTCGCCAATCCACAGTAGCATGCAATGCAGATACCATACAGGTGGCGTTCATATCCGTGTTCTTTTAACAGAATCCACAGCAGGTAGCATGCGGTCCAAACCATCGGAACCTAATTATTATCATTGGTGAGACCATCCGCCGATTGTCAAAAAAGGGGCAATGGCCTTTTTTTTTTCTCTTTTTTACCTCATCCCACATTTGATGCTCAAACTGTAATGTCGCATGAAACAAAACACTGATTGGATATCGCCATCGACGATATTTAGCGCAACATTCGGTTTGGCTTACTCATCCGACTTTTTATCACGCGCTCATTACCTGCCAATACCGACGACAATGATGAGGAGGTAAGCACCCGATATCCGCCAACCGACCGATCGATGATGGAACCCCACACCCAAAAGCCCTAGGACAATCATGGCTAAACTCTAAATAACAAGGGGGACGAGAAGCGAGCGCCATTTGGTTATTTCTTAATCATGTCCTGTTTCTACTACCTTGATGACCGTAAACTTTGTTCCCTCCCCCTCCCCTTTTTTTTTAACCTTTCCCCGATACATACAGACAGAGTATTCCACCATTCTGCTACGTAGTACCAATGCGTATAATTCTTTTCACACCTATACAGAGCATACTTTTTTTTAGTCATGATGATTCTATTACTTTTATAGACGTATCTCCGACCAGTCAACAGAGCTTGTTATCGGTCCCCAATATCCGACGGGTTCAACATCCAGCAAGTTGTTCGTCATGATGTCTGCTCTTCACCAACAGATGAAGCTCGAATTGTTAAAGAGAATAAAGGAAAAATGGAACGATAAAGTGAAAAACGAACTCAGTTTTTCTTCTTTTTTCAAGTCACGAAAAACTTGTACGCGTGTGTCTCATTGCATGTTCAGAAATATCAAATATTCATTTCGTCTATCCACGCTAATAAGGCTGAGAGTGTCGGTTGTTTCGTGTCATTCTGCGCCACGACATGGTCAATCTCATCTTGCAGAAAAGTCAGCGATGGAGGCAGGGTCGTTTGTTGCGAAATGACAAGAATAGGAAAGTGGGGTTCAAATTCGGATAACGCCTCGTTTGCCCAAAAGTTGGGCTGATCCCGATCGTGCAGTTGCTCAATCATGGCTAAAGCCGAAACGGGCTGATTGGCTACAAACTTTCTGCAGAGACCCCAGGAACCTTTGTCAAAGCCGACAAGGAGTGGAGGGAAAAAGCACCGATCGCGTGCAATGGTAACAAGATCTAAGATAGCTGTTTTAGTATTTTGGTGATTTTATCACCTTGTTTCTTTGGTGACGGAGGACCTGCCTTGATAATAAGTGTTGAGCGAGTCTTTTTTTGAGGATTCTAATTCCTCAGATGAATACAAGGCCGTCGTCGATTGATAACCGAGTTCGCTGAATCGTCGTTGCCATTCCGTAGCTTCGTGTGATAAACTTGTTCCTATCAGGAAAATCGGCGTCGGTTGTTTCCGTTTGCAGCTGCTGTGTGCGTCGGCGTGAGTAACAGTGACTTTGGTGCGCTTAGACGTGAACACCAGTCGTAGCAGTCGTGGCCGTAAATAGTGCATGGTGCGAGAGGTGAATACCGTATCGCCAACCGCTCACAGACCAGGTGACTCGCATTTCGTCGATTGAGGTCCGCTGTTTGGCGAGCTCATTCAAATAAGAATTCAGCAATTAGGCGCGATGGGTTGTGCATTTTATATAGTCTCTCATCAAGGTTGTGCACAATAGTGGCCTGATTTTTTTCACAATCTTCGGGAGACGGTAGTGCATCAATTTCGTATCCGTTCTGTTAGCAAAATGGGGAGGGGGAGAACCTTCCCTTCTTCCCCCCCCCCTTTTTCATTGGTTCTGAACATGTCGCATTTCGTCATCGCTCACAGGCCATGAATGACTCCTGAAATGCTAGAGGTGGACCACATGCTGATGCAACACAAAAACAATTTAAAGTTGGGTCTGGTTGTACGTCGCGAGGTTATTCATCCATCTGGACCGATGCTCAGCCATGAGACGTTCTTAGATTCGTTGTTTATTTTGGTTCCTACGCATCATAATAGAAATTCCCCTATTCGAAACGCATGACATACATTCATGTTATTAGAACCCTAAAAGTTTTTCATGTTTTCAGGCAGAATATTTTTTTCCGTTTTTTACTGAATCTCGATCATGAGCAGAATTACGGTTTGGACTTCTGCGATAATTTCCGATTCAACTGCAGAATTTCGGTTTAAGCATCAAGACATTGCCTATTTTAGAGCAGCAATGATGCCATCACGTAATTCCATTCCAAAGATGTGCATGTTAATGAACTTTGACACATAACATACACACATATTTACATCCTTACAGTTCACTCCTAAACTGCGCCTATACCGGTTAACAAAGTGGGATTGCTTTTTACCGTTCATCTCTCATCCTTCCCCTGTCTACTCGATCTCGATTCAGCACGCATGCTTTACTTTTTATGGAAAATAACTCTTTGCTAATATTTTCTGCCTGAGCAGAATGAGCACCACACACACCAAAAAAAAAGGCGGCCTGCGTATGGACGGATAGCAACAAGGTTATAGTATGAGCAGAGATCCTGCCAAAACATTGCTGCAAATAACGAAAGCGGAGAGCGACGATGCATGACTGCAGTTCAAAACTCAATTTCTGTTCGGTAAAACTGATGGGAGAAACTTCGATCGATGCAATCGGTTGCCCAAACTAGGAAATAAGGATATCCTGTCCCTTGAAATATGTCGATTTCGATCTTTGGCCCGTTTCTAAAAGCTTGGATGATGCCATTGTTTCCTTTCCCATCGTTACAGCCTGCCGCCAAAGCTTATCTGAGGAACACAGTACTCTGCTTTGACCTTATTCCTCTACTTGATTCGTACAAAGTTGGTTTATCACGACGATGTAAGAGGCAAGGAAGCTTCCTTGCTGTGTTTTATTTGCGTCACGGATGAGAATACATCCACTGTATAAGCTATAGAACCAAACTGGTGCAGATTCCAAGAACATTCTCTCAGCACCCTATTGTCAAAATAGAAGAATCTATAATGCATGAGCCAAAAGGTCAATATTTCCTTACCAGTCAGTACAAATATGCAAGATGAAGTCATCGACAACTTTACCTTCTTCAAAATAAATTTTACATTGATGATCTCACTGGTCTCAAGGTTGTTTTTTAACGTATCTGCATAATCCTGCGACTCGTGCATCGGAGGAATCTCGTTGATCCCTCTCATAATGCTTTTCTCTTGATGATTTCTAATAATAACGACAGCTTCAGGTCCCCCAAAATAAGAGACGATTGGTTTTGCTCACTCGGCAAAACGTCTGGATGGTCTCATGACAAGGTTACTCGATTTGATTTGATTAACTACTAATTTGGATAAGAGAACTACCCAGTTTCGGGTTAATGTAGTTCACCAAATTCAACCGATTTGTTAAAGTGCAGGCCTTCAATTACTGATAACCACCGCTGTGTCCTACAAGTCGTTTTTTCAGAACACATAATACTGAGGAGAATGAACTCGTGAAGTTTTCGCAGGCTTCACACTGCTTGACTTCCAATCAGATGAGAAGATCTATTTGAAGGTCATGCTATTCAACGCTTTTTTTTTTTTTTAAAAAAAAAAAGCAAGGCTTTTTAAATACCATGGAGCAATGCCATGGCAATAGGCCATTTTCTCCATGGTGCCGTTCACGCGTTTCATCCAGCAATGGCATGGCTATGAGTGGATCCTCCCGTGCGGGTTTGTATTTGCTATATTGTATTTGATTTCGCCATACAATGAAGGAGGAAAATAAAGTGCGTCGCGAATTCTGAGAAAAACATCGTCCTCACGGATTCGCTATATCGAGGACATGTCACACACATCAATGGGCCACCCTATTACCTGTCATTTCATGGCTGGTATTGGTGCAATGGCTGAGAAAGAAAATCGAGAGCATCTTTGCTAAGATCGACGAGCACACGTGCAAAACCGCTCGATTTAAACGGCTTGTACAACCAGCATTAAATGAATATATTGTTCGCAGAACTTGGTGATTTCTTTTCGTTCTTTTCCCCATGGCATCCAAACAAATTGATCCGTCGCAAACGGGTGCGGTTTCATCACGAAGCACCGGATTTCACCAGCGTAAAATATCCTTGACAACGGCATGTCCACCTACGGGTCGCCCAGACTCAAAGCATCATCCATCCTATGCCAACTTTCTCAATCAACAACTGTCGGCCAATCCGCTGTCACCATCATCCTCTTACTGGTATAAAAGGCTGTATCGATGGCGGATTGTGCGGGTCATCGTATGGGCCTACATTCTTCTCAGCGTCGGATTATTCACTCTACATATCCTGTCCTCCATTTGGCCCACGGAATCAAAAGGTAAAAGCCAGAAACAAAATTTGTCCTCCTGTTGCTTGTTTTGTTTGGCATGTCAATTTCGTACACGAGGAATTGAACAGAGGCAAAAGCAAATAACACCAGCAAGTGGTGGTCATGTACTGAAAGTATACTGACACATGATTCCAAGTACATCAGACATCGCTTTCCTCCCAGTATTCGCCATCAGAACTCAACCGGGTCACTCCACAACTCCGAATATCAAAAATGTTTAGCAAATCAAGTACACATATGGACCATGTGCGTCCGTTTTGGTTCACAGCAACCACCCAACCCAAAGCGGAAGCGCTCACTCTTACCACCGTCCTCACTCTTGATGAGTGGGATCAGCTCAAGCGTTTGACAGAGATATGGCAGGGTACGTGACAGTTCCAAAGGATCTTTTATTTTTCGAAAGAGGAAGACAAATTGGCTGGAACTCAACCTCATTGAACAGGTCCCATTTCTGCTACGTTGCAACTGGTATCTGACAATGGTCTTCAATCGGGAACGGTACTTCAACAGTTGGCTCGCATTCGTCGTGAGTACGATGCCAGCCCTTCATTACAGCAATACGTGGATCTCCATCTGGTGATACGGCCGGACGCCCGACACGAAGAATTTCCAATCTTTAGTACCGGCGGAATGCAAGAAGCACGTAACCTTGCACGACTGTTCAGTCGATCCAAATATTTTGTGGCCATGCCAGTCACCACGTTGTGGACGACCAATTTGACCAATGCCGTGGAAGAATACAAGGATATTTTGGATGAAGGAGACGTGCTAGTGGTCCCGACTTTTGCGTTTCCGAGAAGACACAATGGGATGATAGAAACGTCTTGGCCAAAGGAGAGAGAAGGCATCATTGAATGGGTGCGTGCCGGTCGTATGGGCATGCTTGATTATCATTGGCCCATGAACCGCGGACCTTCTTCGTGGCCCGAGTGGCAGGAAGCTGAGGAAGCCTACTTGGTGACAGAATACGATTTCCATTATAACCCCGTTTACATCGCAACTCGCGACGATCATCCTTGGTAAGAGAAAAAAAAAAGGTGAATCAAGTATATAAATTGCGGTTCACACGCTCAATCTCGGTCAACCGGTTCTAGGTGTGAGGAACGATTTGAAGATCAATTGTCCGCTTGTGTCTACTCTATGTTCCTGGCCGGCTCCGACTTGTTTGTGTTACATGACAATTTCATTGTGCGCACAGGACAAGAGCCCGAAGATAAATTGACGGAGACCGAGGTAATTGATTCAAAAAAGTCTTGATCACGGAAGTGGACCTGCATAGAAAGAAAGACGCGAAAATTTTAATTGCAGTTATGCTCTTACTGACGGTGAATTTCTTCTTCCTTGTAGCGCGCAATGCAAGTGGCTTTCTACAAGAACTTCCGTATTGAACAGTGTGTATTTTACGCACGGCAGTTTGACCAGAACGGATTGTTCGATACAGAAATAGCCAGCCATGTGAAACAAGAGTGTGCGAAAGCACTGGGCAGTCTGCAGAAGGAAAAAATGATTGGAAAACCGCATCAGCATTAACGACATACTACAGATCATTTCTTAGCATTTTTAGATATAAAACACCATAAATTACTCATGCAATTACAAATAGAGAAACAAAAAACTCTTCTGTTGGTAAGCAGACGGAAAGCAATTTCAACCGTCATTTCAAAAACCTAAAACTCGGTTAAATGCACCAATTGTCCACCCGTGTTTCAGACTTCCCATGGGCTGGGGGGACGTGCTTTTTTATTTCTTTTTCTCTTGGGAAGGGGCGTTTTGAAACTACCCCACTTTTCAATTTGTTCCTTTCTCTTGTTTCCACTGTTTGACTCTTTGCTCCTGCCTTGATATTTTTTTGTTACACCCTCATGGCATCCTCAGCGGCATCACAGACGTTATTGCAACGTTTTATTAATTCTCCCACCGGTCCCAAGACCATTCATTTTTGGGCACCCGCTATGAAATGGGTATGTACCCTACTGACTCCATTGCCAATGCATAGATGAACCCTAACCACCATTTATCTTTTCAGGGATTGGTGTTTGCAGGAATAGGTGACTTTACTCGTCCGGCTGATAAATTGAGCTTACCACAGAATGTCTGTAAGTCTTCTCTGCCATTCCTCTTGTTACACGAACAGTGGGAGTCAGCACTTTTTTTCTAAAAATCTTGCTGTAGCACTCATGATGACAGGCGCGATATGGAGTCGTTGGTCGATGGTCATCATTCCCAAGAATTGGTCGCTACTTGCTGTTAATGCGTTTTTGGCCGCCACGGGTGCTACGCAAGTTGTACGAATATTAAAGTAAGGAAGGAGGCATATAAAAACCCAGAGTGAACGGGGACGGAAAATTGACCTTCAATGCGCGTTTTAGGTACCAGCAAACTGAAGAGTATCGGCAAAAACAAGCTTCTGACCAGGCCGTATAACCACTTCCCTGTCAAAATGTTCCTGTCGAGTTGTATGACTGTGTCTACGGCCCTTCCATTTTCGAATCATCCTTCCCGCCCGACCACCATCCACGTTTCCTCTTTTTCATGCTTTCTCTGACCGTGATCGTTGTCTGAAGGATGGCTTTCTGCTCGAGATCCTCAATCTTCGTTATTAGCAGCTATATCCTACTTCTCGCGCTTTTATGATCCTCGTACCTCCATATTCCACTTGATCGATTAATCACTTTTGTTTTGTTTCCGGACTCTATACATAAACTGCGTACATCGTATCAGACAGAGCAGACTTGGTTGTGATTGTAGCCGTAGTATGCTCGATAATAATGCCATGGTGAGAGCTAAGCACATCAACTGTGTGTAGACCCTCAACAGCGAATCAGTCTGCATGTCAGGTGCACAAAATTTAACAGTGTCATGTGCTTCAGATCACTTTTCAAAGGCAAGTGCAAGGCAATAAGTTTTCGCGCACAAGGTTCGTAGTTGAATCATTTTTTACCGGCTGACTGTGAATGACGAAAAGATAAACGAGGCATATCCACATTGAATTTCCTGCTGATTTACAATAGTGCAACCGTTTCCTACGGAGGATGAAGATGCTGAAGTCATTTCTCAATAAACAAGCCATATATAGTCGATCTTGGCCATGCACAGGCCCCGATGACTTGTTTTCTCCTATTACTTAGAATTATGTATATAACCCTTTTTTTTCTCTTCCCTATTCATCATCTATTGTTTTATAACTCTTTTTTATTTATTTATTTCGCTGTACGTTTTTTTTTCCTCTCTTTTCCGCATATACTCCAAAGTTTGCGTTCAATGTCCACTTCTCCGTCTGTGCCTGTTCAACAATGGACTGCTCCTAAAGTATCTCAAAAGACCAAAGACATTACTCTTGGCTTTGTTATAGGCGGTCTCGCTGCTTGCGGAGCCGTAACATTTACTAATCCCTGGGAGGTATTGTACGCTTAGCACGAGAACACGACGGCTGTAGCTACGCATCAGTCCTTTTCCTGTTTCATACTTTGGATCCTCGTCACTAAATGTAACGCATGCTTACTGCAGGTAGTCAAAACACGATTGCAGCTTCAGGGAGAATTGGTGCGAGCGGGAGCTCTATCGGAAGCCGCCCGACCTTACCATAACAGTTTCCAAGCCTTGAAACTGGTGTTTCAGCACGAAGGTTTGAGAGGCATCCAACGAGGTTTAGGCGTCGCTTATGTGTATCAGATATGCTTGAATGGAAGCCGGTTGGGATTATACGAACCGATACGATCCACCGTCGTCAATACATTCGCACTAAAAAGAGATCATTCACTGTTGGCAGCTGGTGTGTTTGCTGGAGCATCAGGGGGCATAGTGGGAGCCGTTATAGGTTCTCCACTGTATTTGATCAAGACAAGAAGACAGTCTTTCTCGCCCATCTTCCGTCAAATCGGTCATCAACATAAGATGGGATCGTCGTTCTCGACATTGTTGCAGATATACCGATCGGAGGGGTTCAAAGGTATCTATCGAGGAGCGGACGCAGCCATGGCGCGCGCCGGGCTTGGTTCCGCCGTGCAAATGCCAAGTTATATGATCGGCAAAGATATTCTGATCCAGAAATTCGGATGCCCCGATACCATCAAAACCCATCTCGGTACTTCCATGTTCACCGGGTTACTAGTATGTATTGCTATGAATCCTTTCGATGTCATCTCGACGCGAATGTACAACCAGGGAGTGGATCCAAAAACCGGACGAGGACTTTTATACAGCAGCCCCGTGGACTGTTTCTTTAAAATGATTCGTACAGAAGGTATAAGGGGACTGTATAAAGGATTCTTGGCTCATTTCCTCCGTATTGGGTAAGTAGCAAAGCGCAAAAACCGGATGGTAGCTTGGTGATTGGAATGCTAATTTATTATAAAACTTTGTCAATAGACCACATACAACGCTCATGTTTGTCTTTATGGAACAGTTAACAACCATGGGAAAAGCACTGTGTAGAAATCTCTCAGAAACGTAGCGAAAATTTAGGTTTTGAAAACGTTGAATCTTGAAAAGTTTTCAGATTACCTGTCAAAGCTTGCATCTTCAATCTTTGGGATTCCCTATTTTGACCACGTGGCTTTGGCCCACAGTGATTCATCCCTGTCATTAATTCATTAATCATTGCACTTTCTTTATCTCCTGTCCTTTCCACCTCTTCTTGATAGATACCATGGATATTACCTAGAAATATTCAAAAAAAAATTAGGTTGACAATCCGATTTGGCTAGCTTTTGTTTTATATCTGCAAAAGCGATTTTCGATTTTTTTTTTTTCCGTTTCCGCCCCCTTTTTCTTCGGTATCCACTCTTTCGTTCCGCGCCGTGCATCGCTGTCATGTCTATTGAACCTGAAGTTCCATATGAAATTACGGACGACTATGAAGATGACTGGCGTGATTCCACTATTCTCATGGACAGTCAGTCTGGAAGCGATGCCAATAATGCGCGCTCGACCGTCTATGAGACCATGCCTGATCGTATTCCGGACGATCACTGGGTGCTTCCTTCCACGAACTCTTTAAGCGATATTCTCGGGACGCGACGCCAACGTTTGGAAGAAATTCGATTCAGTACCGGAACGTACATTGAATACAATCAACCAAAACATCAAGTGGACATTTGGGGTGATCGAGTCGCGGTTGAAAAAGCCAAGAAGCATCTGGATTTTCTCGCATCGCAAGCCGCGCTCAACCATCCTGTGAAGACAAAGACCAGAAAGTGGAGCAAACCTGAGCGAGAGTTGACCGAGCGCGAAAGACAAAAAGCAGAGCGTCGTCTGGCCAGATTGGCCGAAGAGAAGAGCTACCAGGGCCAACCTCCTACGCCTCAACCCTTCACTGCGATGTTTGCTCTGCCGGATCAGTCGGTGCCAATTCCCAAGCTTCTTGGTGAGAAGGATTCCTATTTGAACAGCCTTCGCTCTCAATGCAAATGCTACATGTGGTTCGATCCTCAGCTGTACGCGATCAAAATCGTTGGTCAAGAGGAGCAAAATGTAATTCAAGCTACCGCTCGCATCCGGAATTGGTATCTCAAGTGCGCGCGACGTCCTGCCTCTCGCACCCTTCGTCTGTTGAATCAACCCTCCAACAACGTAGACATCAAGTTTGGCAAATTACCACCGAAATTCGTCACCTACAAGTTTACCAAAGAACAGCAGGAACGATTCATGCTCGACAATCAATGTCTTATGGAACCTGTGAGCAAGGGCGTTGTCGACACGATAAGAGAGCGATGCGGTGATTTGATTGATTTGGAAGACAGCAAGGATCAGCCTGCCAAACCGATCACGACGCTTTCACCCCGTGCGCAAACGCTGAATGAACGGAACTTGAAATCCATTCAGGATGCTTTGGAAGTCGGTCTCGAGAGCCTTCGTCTGTTTGATTGGGAGATCCGCATGAAGATTCGCTACGGACAGATTTGTCTGGTCGACTATCCGAAGAAGAGCAGTGACCACTTCTTTACTATTGAGGAACTGTCCGACAAGTACTTTCCCAAACCACAGTTCCGCTCGGTGCTTGCACCTTGCATCGGCAAAACACGCACGCAGATGAAGCCTCTTTTCGAATACCTTACAACTCACTGTGAAGAATTTGCTGATTCACCTCGCACATCATACTCCATCAATGCCATGCAACAGCCGACCTTCTCACTTCGACCAATGCGTGGCGAATCCGTCCCTCCACCTGGGGAACCGTGGAAAACACTGTTGACGGCTCGTTTCCGATCCGACGGTCAAATTGGTTTATGGAACTGCTTAACGCAATGTCAAGATTTGGTATCGATCAGCTGCGCTGAACTGGAAGGCAATTATTCATGGGAAGCCAAATTGGAATACGGTCGACGCTTACCTTCCGAATCGAATACCCCTCACGGTCGTTTCGCGGAACAGCTACGTAAAGGACCTGAAAATCGACTTATCCTTGTCAAAGTCCCGGATTATGAGCCCTTGTTGGTTACACAGAAGACCAAGTGGGTGTATGGATGGGGCGAATATATCGTGGAAGTGGGTTGTGATGAATTATGGGATCTGACTCGTGTTGAACATAACAAGGCCGGGCTGCCTCTGGATCTCGGTCAAACGGAGCCGCATCGTACGTTCTACAAAGTTTCCATTTACAAAGAAGCTTGGCGTGATCGATTTGCTGAAAATCTTGGACTAAATATCGGCGAAGCTCCCCGATGGACCCCCATTGATTTTCTGGCTGCAGAAAATGAGGATGTTTCTGTCTTTATGCAAATGGCGAATACCTTTGGAAATATCTTGACCCAAGAGGTCCCACTTTATTGGAATACGAAGGATCAATCTCTTGTTTGAATTTTGCTACAGTAGTCCACATATTCCCCACACATCTTTTTTTTGCACGGTAGAGTTGTTCTCCCCCACAACCAACGATGAATAAAAAAAATTAATGCATTTAGCTTCGCGGAAGTTTAATTCAACCACGATCTTCATCCGCTGTGCAAAATATCATATCTGGTTTTAGATCATGGCGATGAAAGCACAAGTCAAATAAAACATGAGTCGATACGTACATCAACCGTCTATGGAAGGGAGATCCATATCAATATTCATGCTTCTTGTCACATGTTTAGCTTGTATTTTGTTGCAAAAGGGGGACGCAGAAATGTCACATCCAAAATTCTCCGCTCGTCGTCAGATCGCTGTCACAGTGGGACAGTGATGTGTGTGACAACGGAAAAACACTTGCCGTCATTTTTTTTTTTTAATTTAGCTTCACTGCGGACATTTCCTTTATGTTATAAAAGTAGTTTGCTTTATCAGTCATCTTGTTTCTGACATAGTTTTAAAAAAAAACCATCGTTTCATCATCTCATCATGGCCCCGCTTGAAGTTATTGGCGCAGGATTTGGCCGTACAGGCACCAACAGTTTGCGTGAAGCATTAAACATCTTGGGGTAGGTACCGATACCTAGGTCACACTCTGTAGCTTATGCTTCAGCGGTTCTAACTGGAATCCTTAAACAGTTACAGTACACACCATATGGTGTGTTTTATGCAAAACCCTACTCTTGATGCTTCCATCTTCAAGAATGCGTATCTGAATAGGGATCAGCCCGTTGACTGGGATCGTGCTTATGATGGTTTTACAGCCGCGGTAGACTGGCCAACTTGTGCTTTCTACAAGGAGCTGATGGTCAAGTACCCCGATGCAAAGATCTTGCTGACCGAACGAGACGCTGACAGCTGGTATAAATCTGTCAAAAACACAATTTATCAACGTGCTCGCGAATCTATGGAGAATCACGATTACCCACCGAATCTCGCCCAAATGGGAGATATGGCGCGCACCGTTGTGCTGGATGGTGCTTTCAATGACCCTGAACTCTTTGCCAATGAAGAAGAAATGAAACGTCGTTTCCTAGAACATAACGCAGAGGTCAAACGTACCGTTCCCGCCGATCGATTACTGGTGATCCAGCTGGGTGAAGGCTGGAACCGACTTTGCGAGTTTTTAGGTAAACCAGTGCCCAATGTGCCTTATCCAAACACCAATTCTACCGAGAACTTCCACGACTTGGTCACCTCCATGCAGAAAAAAGAAATAGCTGTCAGCCATTAAATTTCCAGGGAAATGACTCTTTTTTCTTTCATACCTGTTTACAAGCTTCATACTCCCCTTCTCACCCTCCCCACGATACTATGACCCTTGCAATAAAATACTGAGAGTATTTTCATGTACCTTGGTTTCCTTTGACATCTCACCAATGACCTACTTCTGCTGTTTTCCATTGGACATCGGAGTATAAAAGTAAAAAGAACATTACATCACTTGAACAGCGCCTCATTAAGCGGGGTCGAAAAAATTATGGTTGGTGTTCTCGAAGCAGGCAAAAGTTCATCCTTCACATTTAGCCATTCCTCAGTTGTCGCATTGAATACATCATATATTAAATTACTATGGCAAGATCCTCCTATGGAATTGTTATACTTCTAGTTGCTTCTGGTGGTTCTTGCTCAAGGCAGACTGCAAGCGCTTTCAACTTATTTTGTAGGTCTTTCAAGCAACATTATCTGTGGATTGACTTCGCATACAGATGAGAATCATCTGCAAATTTGCGGAATAGGTGATATTAGGCACAAGTTAATCTAGACAAGTTACATGACATTTTGGAAGCATCGTTGACCGAGTGCAGCAGCTTATCGGTCCATCATTCTTCCCACGCTGAGAACAGATCCCAGATCGTTGTATCTGAAAAAATTCAATGATCAAGCAAACCTGCTATAGCCAACAAATACCAAAGCGGATAAATTCTGCTGTTTTGGCCGATCTTTTTATTAGGGTCAGCTGCACCAGGTTCACACGTCGGTAGAACCCGAAGCGGGCTGATTATGAACCACTGTTTTACAAGCATCCTAAAGTTCGTACGACCTATTTCATATGAGCAAGCATTGCGCCATAAGACGTTTTAGGTGCAACCACCAAAATGGAAGAGCTGTATGCCAGTATGAACTGGTCTGTCTCTGCTGTATATGTCACGAAACAACTTGTACTGACGGCAGGATGATTAATAGAGAGCAAGCTTAACGGCATGGAAACCCAGATTCGTGAGTTGTAGAATTGCCCGGATTTCTGCAAGAGTCACGATATCTTTGTATTGGTTACTCGGTTTATACGTCGAAAGCATTTAGCCCGAAACTGAGTTGTTTTAATAGTTTCTCCGGTACAACATGGAGAAAACAGGTAATCTGATAAATCAGTGAATATGCATATGCATTTTTTAAAAGGTCACGCTAGAGTCGAGAACCAAATCAATAGCCTGCCCGAGAGAGGAATGTTTTACCTTTGCAGGTCTCGAAAACATTTTCCCCAAGAGAGATGCTTGGATTCTTCATGCAGGATTGTGCAATTTTTTGTTTTCTCCTGGCGATTCACTGCGGATATTTGCTTTTTGTGCTCGCTTTTTAATCATGCTATGGCAACTACTGAAATAACAGACACGAGAATTGTACAGGTACCTGAAGAAGAAACAGCTTACTTTATGCCAGACTAGTTGCGATCACTGAAGCAGCTCCCTTCCACCTGTTTGGTTTTTTTCATTTTGCAAAGCGAGAAAAATGCCGAAAAACCGGGCCTTCAAATCAGTGCATGAGGGTCGGAAGTTGCTTTTCCCAAATCGTGACTTGAAATGCTTATTTTATTTGCTGCCGGAAATCTTTTATTTTTGTAAGGCACATTGTCCATTGGACGCTTTGCTTTCTTGTTTAACAATATACCACTTTTTTTCCCAAGTATATACCATGGCACCGCTTGAAGTGATTGGAGCAGGCTTTGGCCGTACAGGTACCCAGAGCTTGAAAGAAGCATTAAATACATTAGGGTACGTTCGTTGACGAGGTGGATGATGCTTTGACACGGTGTTCTGAATAGTTTTTACTACAGATATAATACAATGCATATGACATCGTTTATAGCCGACCCTACGCTGGATCCTACTATTTTTAAGGATGCCTATATGGATAAAGACAAGCCTGTTGATTGGGATCAAGCTTATAAAGGCTTTACGGCCGCCGTGGACTGGCCAACTTGCCTTTTCTACAAAGAACTGATGGCCAAGTACCCAAATGCCAAGTTTATTCTTACCATGCGAGACGCTGATAGCTGGTATAAATCGATCAAAAACACCATCCACCCACGAGTCCGTGACGTCCTTGCGGGTGGCGACCATCCTGAACATCTGGTTCGCATGGTGGATATGGTAGCCACGGTGGAACTGGATGGGGCGCACAGGGACCCGGCGTTATTTGCGAACGAGGACGAAATGAAGCGTCGTTTTATGAAGCATAACGAAGAAGTCCAACGAACGATTCCGGCCGAGCGTTTGTTGATATTACAACTGGGGGAAGGGTGGGATCGCTTGTGTCGATTTTTGAATAAGCCAGTTCCCAAGGTGCCTTATCCAAGTAGCAATTCAACCGAGAAATTCAATGCGTCAACTGAGCGATTTTTGTCTCAAGCAGCTGCAAGCAGCAGTGCCTAATTTTAGTGTTCAATGGACGCCATCCCTATACGCTGTACAATTTTCATGTGACTGAAAAATAAATCAAGCTGATTCATGCATGCAGCTTTTGAGTTATACAGTGACAGTAGTCTCACTCGATTCAATGACCAATCCCAAATGTCTGAACTAATGAAAAAAGACTGATTTTCAGTTATTCTCGTTGACTGTAGCACAACGGGAGAAGCCGACGTTGGAAAGGTCATACAGCTGAAACACTAAAAAGTACTGAAAAGCCCAAAAACGCAGTGCACTGATTTCCGTTGCAACGCTATTTTGAGATGGAAAATAAACAAGTCTACAAAGTCTGTATACTTTGCCTTCCCACTATACATATTGCACAGTACCAGCAAATTGGGAATCTGACCTGTAGTGGTGTAACAGCAAAAAACTACTTCATTCATCGGTTTTCTTGTCTGCCATCTACCTTTATTGGTTGAAAATTTGCATTGGTCAAGACAATGCTAGATATCAGTATTTGAAGAAAAACAAACTGTATTTGTTGATGTTGATATAAAAGGGTTAACCGCACATCTTTTGTTATTCAATGTTTGATTCTGTTCTCGATGAGCGTACTGTAGGTGTATGATTCAACTGGATTTTATCATATCCGATTATATCAAAAACATCTTTGATCAAAGAGGAATTTCTGAATCAGCTCATCCAATTTTTTGTTGTCGTCCTTGGAAGCTTATTTGTTAGTCATTCTGATTCGTGCGGAGTTGAAAAGATTTTTCAGATAACAATTTGCTTTTTTTTTGTTCGCGCTTTTTGGGATTTTCCATTTTGCAGGCTCGTTTGACATGTCCACCAAACTCCTTATTGCTTCAAAGGCAACGCCTTTCCCTTACGGTAATACTAAACTTAATAGCTGTTTATTATGTAACGTTGGTAATAACTGGTCATAAATTTTAGGCGCTATTGCTGTTGCCGCCCAAGTCAATGCAGTTAAAGCCAATGCTGTTACTGTTGAATTTCGTGACGCTAAAACCCTCGAAGCGGACGGCGCTGCAAAGGCTGTTGCTCTTATCAAATATGAAGGGTACGTGTTTTGTTCTTTCTTTTACAATGCGGCAGTTGTAATGACTCGTTCCTACAGCAATAACTACGACAATGTGAATGCCATTGCTCGTCTTCTCGGTCGGTTGCATCCCGAAGCCGCCATTTACAATCCCAAGGATCCGATCTCTTCCACTTTGGTACGTAAAATATACTCATACATGTCATGCGCATCCTATTTAAACGACTTATTCTCGAAATAGATCGACCAATGGCTCGATTTTGCCGAATCCAAGTTGGCTACTGCCGATTTCAAGTCGCTCGATGGTGCTTTCAAGACTCTTAACAAGTATCTCACCCTCCGCTCGTACTTGGTTGGCTACCATGCCTCCATTGCTGATTTCGTCGTTTGGGGTACATTAAGAGGTAATAAAGGAAAAGGGAGCGGCTGGTGAGTTGTGTTCAGGATAATTTATGCGACATCACTACGTAGCATCTCCTGTCTTTGCTCGCATTATCAAGACCAAGAAAGAATCTCTTGGTAACTACCTCGTCCGTTGGTACGACTATATCTCCTCTCTTGAGGCCGCTCAATATGCTTTGAACAGCTTGCAAAAATTGACCAAGGCTGCTCAGGTAAGTTGGTTCAGCAAAGCTTGAAGATAATAATGACTCACATCGTATCAATGTTGTTATGGTTCTAGGCCAAGACCAGCGATCAGGGTAAATTCGAGATTGGTCTTACTGAGGCCGAGATGGGCAAGGTTTGCACCCGTTTCCCTCCTGAGCCCAGTGGTTACCTTCACATCGGTCACGCCAAGGCTGCTCTCATGAACCAGTACTTTGCGCAGACCTACAAGGGTAAATTGATCATTCGTTTCGATGACACCAACCCCAGCAAAGAAAAGACCGAATTTGAGGACTCTATCAAGGAAGATTTGGCTTTGATCGGCGTCGATTCTTCGGTGGTTACTCACACCTCGGATTACTTTGATCAAATGTATGACTATGCTCTTAAGATGATCAAGGAAGGCAAGGCCTACGTCGATGACACCGATCAGGCTACCATGCGTGACGAACGTATGAAGGGTCTCCCCTCCAAGTGCCGTGATTTGTCCGTCGAGGAAAATTTGCGTCGTTTCGAAGAAATGAAGAACGGTACTGAATTTGTAAGCATTATGTCTACTTCTGTCCCTGTTATATGGGAAAACCGTGTCTCATTGTCCCTTATTTTCTTGCTTCTTTTTCTATAGGGTCAGACCTGTTGTTTGCGTGCCAAGATCAAGCACGACGATCTTAACGGTACTCTTCGTGATCCTGTTATCTACCGTTGCAACTTGACTCCTCATCATTATACTGGCGACAAGTGGAAGATTTATCCTACCTATGACTTTGCATGCCCTATTGTCGATAGCATTGAAGGTGTTTCTCACGCTTTGCGTACCAATGAATACCGCGATCGCAATGTTCAGTACTACTGGATGTTGGAAGCCCTGGGTCTTCGTAAGCCTGTCATCTGGGATTTCAGCCGTATGAACTTTGTCTACACTCTCTTGTCCAAGCGCAAGTTGCAGTGGTTTGTTAACGAAGGTCACGTCACTGGATGGGATGATCCTCGTTTCCCTACCGTCCGCGGTATCCGCCGTCGTGGTTTGACGATTGAAGCCTTGAAGCAGTACATCTTGATGCAAGGCGCTTCTCAAAACACTTTGCTTCTCGAATGGGACAAGTTGTGGGCCATCAACAGAAAGGTCATTGATCCCATCGCCCCTCGCCACACTGCTGTTTTGAAGGACAACATGGTCCACGTCAACATTCAAGGTGCTCCTGCCACTCCCGAAGTCAAGGAAGTTCCCAAGCATAAGAAAAACTTGGACATCGGCCAAAAGAAGACCACTTACTCCAACCATATTGTGTTCGACCAAGAGGATGCCGTGTCCTTGGAAGTCGGTGAGGAGGTAAAGCATCCATTATTATTTTTTTGCCTCACGTCAATGTAGCTCTAATCTTTACTCATGACGACGTCAATAGATCACTCTCATGGATTGGGGTAACGCATTTGTGCGCAAGGTTGAGAAGGACGAGGCCGGCAAAGCTACCAGCGTTGACTTGGAATTGCATTTGGAAGGTGATTTCAAGAAGACCAAGAAGAAGATCTCGTGGTTGTCTTATGGTGATGAGGTTGCCGATGTTGTCTTGCTTGACTATGACTACTTGATTACCAAGAAGAAGGTTGAGGAAGGTGATGATGTCAAGGACCTTGTTACCCCTGTCAGTGAATTCAAGGTGTCTGCTGTGGCTGATGCCAACGTGAAGGACCTCAAGAAGGGTGATATCATTCAATTTGAGCGCAAGGGTTATTATATTCTCGACGCTCCCGCCACCGATGCAGCCCCCGCCCACTTCATTCACATTCCCGATGGCAAGGCTACCTCCACTGCCTCCAAGGCTGATGATAAGAAGCCTGCCGCTAAGAAATAGATATAAAAGAAAGCAACAAAGAGCATAGACCAAACCAACCTGTCTGCATAACTGCTGTTGCAAGAAAAAATAAAAATCTTGTAACGTTTACTCGTATTTTAGTTTTTCTTTTTGATAGTTATGGGGCTTGTTAGTTAGCTTGAACGATGATACACACAGTACAACTTTGACTTATAATGCGTGTTTGGCACTGAATGAAAGATTTTCTATAAATAGAAATTTGCCATTTGTGCGAACCGGAGTCGATGAGGTGACGGTGGTCCGGAGATCGGATCCCGGATACCGGACTCTAAAATTTACGAGCGACACGATGTGGTCCCATATTAACCAGCTGTGAATCGGATGCCATTGAACCTTCTTCTACAAATCACTTCATCATGGGTAAGTAACACTTTGTCAAGAAGTTTATTTTCTTATTAGCAAATATGGATAAGAAGGATGGGAGGAGAGGAAGTGTGGATGGATGGATCCTCCCTTTTTTATTTCGTATCGATGAGCCAGTGGATGGGGTTTGGTGTTCAAAACGACGATGGAAAAGAAGCAGCAAGATAATAGCACATGGACCATGGACGAAAATCAGCTCAGAGACAAGCCTCATTATCCCTCACTTTGCTTCGATCTTTTGGAACCACTTGAATTGCGACAGAAAGCGTGACCTGTTGTTGTACTGTCGAGACACGACGTCTGTTGCTGATGACTTTTTTTGCTGCCATCACTTGGCAAGTCCCGCAAGATGCTTGCTCGGTGCTGTACATCGGCTCCCCCACCCCAACTGGCTCCATCGACTTCTTTTGTGATACTTCCCTCCCTTAATTTTTTTTTTGGCTCATTTGTGAAGCAGTGCTGGGGAGTATACAACGAAAGCATAGAAACCAAATGACTTATAATTCTTTCATTTTGCAGGCAAGGGACAACCTAGAGGTTTGAATGCCGCTCGTAAGTTGCGCATCCACCGTCGTGAGCAACGCTGGGCTGACAAGCAATACAAGAAGAGAGCTCTTGGTACTGCTTTCCGCTCCTCTCCTTTTGCCGGTGCTTCCCACGCCAAGGGTATCGTCCTTGAAAAGATGTAAGTGTGACCCCGTTTATAATGCGGCTGCTGCAACTGCTGTCTGGCTTTAACTGAACAGTCCCACTAAAACTCCATCAATTTATGCAGTGGTGTCGAAGCCAAGCAGCCTAACTCTGCCATTCGTAAGTGTGTCCGTGTCCAGTTGATCAAGAACGGCAAGAAGATCACTGCTTTCGTCCCCAACGATGGTTGTTTGAACTTTGTTGACGAAAACGACGAAGTCCTCATTGCCGGTTTCGGTCGTAAGGGTCGTGCCGTTGGTGATATTCCTGGTGTCCGTTTCAAGATCGTCAAGGTCGCTGGTGTCTCTCTTCTTGCTTTGTACAAGGAGAAGAAGGAGAAGCCCAGATCTTAAATGCACCAACTGCAAATGTTTCTCCATTTTCTATACATTGGAGTTTGCATGAGTACAATAAAATATCGCTGATCTACACAAAATAATGTTTTACGATTTTGATATTGATGGAATGGAGAGCAGAGAGCTTCATCAGTGATAGAGATATTTGGGATATAATAGATCTATAGGAAGAAAAAAAAAACAATAAAAAAAAAATATATGTAATAAGATCAGAAGAAAAGGCATGTGCAGAGAAAAAGGAATGACCGCATATGATGTACAAAGTTAATTAGAAGAATGACTTTTTGAACAAAGTGAAAGAAGGGGGGGGAAAAAGATGAAATTGGTCCACCTTCCTTGAAATGGTAAAGAGATAACAATGAGTACAAATGATTTTCACAGCATACAATGAAAGAAAACGAAAACCAGTGATATGCAAAAGCGAATACCATGAACTGGGGGTTCGTTCAAGAAGAAGATAATTCGGGTATGGTAGGATCCTTGGCCACCACCGCGGTGGTTTGATTTTCGTCTTGAAGCAGCATTTGCTTTTCCACTTCAAGGCAGGCTATCACGAAATAGGACCATGAGAATTTCACTGTCAAAGAATACTGCTGCTTTTGTCTACTTACTATTAATGAGATGTTTGCCATATGTATATTTCTTCAATCCAGGAAGATGAGGCTTGATTTTGGACACCAGAAGCTCTCTTTGTTCGCCATCCACAACGTCGAGCATTTTTTGAACCACATAATTTGCATACTATGAGCATGAATAAGAGATGGTGAGTATTCCACATCCGTCATTGTTGCTTGTTTGATGGCATACCTGATCTTTCATCATAGACATGAGGGAATAGGTTCTAGTATAATACATGATGCGTTAAGCGACGTTCTTTTTTCTCCCTTGAGATGACTGACAGGATAAAAATAATATTTACCCATCAGTACGAATCTGAAGCACTTCATCGATCAAGGCTTGACGATCGTTTTTACATCCAAAAGCAACACATTTTTCCACGACATTGCTGGCGAATTTATGCTTGCTGAGTGGTAGACACTGGCCGCGCACTTTGCTAATAATCAACTCGCGGTCTTTTGGTTTTCCGTGTTCGAGAATATGCTGAATGACATAGTTGCCGTACTGATCTTGAATCAGCTGCGCCGAGCAATGATGAAGCTCATCCAATAAATGATTCTATGAGGCACGTCAATTATCATTGCTCATTCCATATACACACGGATATTCCACTTACGGTTTGTTTATCGGAGCAGTGCTCGAACATGCGCTGAATGACACGACAGCCGTACGGATGTGTGGCAAGCGTGTAGACTTGACCCTTGAATGTGTCAATGATAAATTGGATGTGCTGCGGCGGGACACGCTCAATGGCCTTTTGAACGACGTGGTTACCGTTCTGATCTTTGACACATTTCAAGACGTTGCCTTCAAGTTCTCGAATCAAGGCAGCTTGTTGATCGATGAGAACGTGTTCAAGAGCCTGCAAGACGTACGGGTAGGTCAGTGAAATGAAAATAAATCTTGGGTTTGAACGCACAATTTTTTCTTACCTTTTGAACCACGCGACAGCCGTACATTTGCAAGGACAACGACAGAACATGACCTTCCATGTGCTTGGCGAGAATGGTTTTCTGGGCTTGATTTCCGTGTTCAAAAAATTTTTGGATAACGTAGTTACCAAACACGTCTGTCATTAGTTGCAGGCAGTTGGGCAGAATCTCTTCAAATACGAGCTGCTTCTCATCGCTGGTGGCCGTCTCCAACTTTTGTTGAATGAATCGCGAACCATGCTGATCACCACTAAACTCAACAATATGATATACAATATCCTAAGTCATATAGAGATGTATTATCAGCACCTCGGGCATCTTTCTTTGTTTCACTCGGGAGAGATTATTTTACCTTGATTTCGTATTTTCGGCTCTTGTTATTTCTGAATTCTTCCAATAACGGGCTTCGAATCATGTGAAGAGTGTCTGGAGGCGGGGAGCTGAGCATTTCACGCCTCGGTAAGACACCTGCAGGCCGTGCACGAGTGACAGGGTAAACATTATTGGGATAAGGATTGTTGACAGCAGCAGCCGGTGGCCAATGATGTTTCACTTGTTGCTGGCGTAACATCTGTTCACGTAGAAGAAGGATCTGTTCCTGTTGCAGCAGGATCTGACGTTGGCGTGACTGGAGTTGACGCAAAAGACGATCATTCACACGATTGGAAGCATATTCATTGGTAGGTAGATTGCGTGAACTGGCCTGAGACGAGGCATAGTCATTCCATGACGTTTCTGCATTGTCCATCGTGGCAGCGCGAGACTGAAACGAACTTGTCATGGTATTCAATGAACCGGACGACGGGTATTTACCGAGCTGTCGTCTCGCTTCTATCATTCGCCGATATTCCGCTTCGTTTTCCGCATACCGTTGATGCAACTCGGTCCATCCAACCGAGGCCGCGTGATCATTCGCACCAAACAGTGGTGGAGATAATAATCCATTTCGTGGTTCGAACTCTAAAGCGCTGTTGGCTGCAAGGGCCAGTGGAGTCGAAATTAATTGAATGAGCGAATACAATCTTGATGTCTTTCGGAAGAACCAGTTACCTGACAACATGGGTTCACTAGGTGAAGCATTGGCGGACCATGGGTGGACATTGTTCGGATGCAGTACAGGGTCAAGGCTAGGAGAAGATAGGGAGAACGGGGCCGTATTGGTGCGTGACACCAAACGTGGTCGATTGAAGCCCTGTAAGGATTCTGCAGAGAGCAAGGTTTCCGGCTGTGATGAACTCTGGTTAGTGATGCATAATAACTCACAACAGTTTGTGCCTTAAGGTCTTACCTCGTCATGGAGACCCAGATTATTCATATCAAGACTAAGATTGTATTCTTGTTGATCCATGGGCATGTGCACTTGGTTTTGGAGCGCTCGGATAGGCGGTGTAGAATTTGCTCGAGGAAACGGAGACTCGCTTCTGGAAAAACGATCCATGTTGGGCATTTCTGTACCTGACGGGTAAGCCGATGGAAAAGAAGGTAGTGCATGGTTAAAACTCTAATGAATACATTTAGCTTAAAATTTTTGCCATTGCAGTAGATGATGATTGCTCAATACGGACATTCTCGGCCGAGGTTTGCCATCCGGGAAGAGACCAAGAAGCTGGACTGTGGGTCCGAGAAGTAGAACCAGTGACAGGAGGAGGCGAGCGATGAAGCGTATCCGTTGTATAGTTGGGCATATCTTGGAATACTGTTTGAATATAGGTTGAATAAAAATCCACCTCAGTCTGTAGAAAGCGAATGTACTTACAATGGCTCGATTTTGGATTCGCGGTAGAGTGATTGGACCATGATTGACTGGAAGGATCAAAGATGGGGGATCTACCGGCTTGCGGATTGGTCCATGTTTTGTCGGACATGGGATAATACAACAAATGTTGATCTGGAGGGGCGCTGCTGGATCGTTCACGTTCTCCGCCAAAACCAGTGTCACCATCCACACGACCTCTCAAGAGATCGGCTAACTGAGAAGGCGAAAAAGGACGACCGTTTAACCCGATAAAAAGGAGAATATACCACGCAAGATGAAATGAACAGGGTAAAATATGGCAATTAGACATGAAGGAAAAGAAAAAAAGATTGAGTGATGAGTAATTTTTCTTTTTGTGGGTGTATGTCATTGCTTTTACAGAATATAAATGCATAATGAAGCATTGGATGGATTGCCTACCTGACCCATCGGATAATTCATCGCCTTTGGCTGCTGAAGATCAGTTCGTCTGTGTTCTAGCGCGTTTCGATGCATGACAATGTGGGGCGGTCGCGCTTCAAAACGGGACCTCGAGTTTCGTTAGTTTGCGTACAAGAGAATAATGTATATACGATAAATTCTTCAATTATAGAATTAATCTTCTGTCGTCAATGATACACCCTGACGACTGTTGCCAAAAAATAACAATATATGCAGGGAAAAAAGAGATGAGCAGTAAAAAAAAAAAAAAAAAAAACCGATGGTGTCGATGAGCGGAAGGCAAGGTCAACGAGAGCCAAAAGTGTGCAATGAACAGAATGGGCCAACTAATGTAAAATTAGTTGCAAAGTGAAATGGAAAAAAAAAGAGAAACTGAAGTGGAGAAGAGGTCAAAAAAAAAGAGTCAGCGCCCGAACAAGTAACAAATTGGGAAAAAGAACTTGACGCTTTTCAGTGATGAACACAGAAACTCAATTGCTACATTTGTGCGGGTGGAGAAAAAATCAAAGATGACTTAATTCCAGCCCAGACATAGTGTCCGGTCGAATCGAACCATTTCGTACCATGACTTTCCTGATCCTCGTGTCTGTGCTTCCCTTTCCTCCTCATTTCTTCGGTTGCGTTGCAAGGTACCGCTTTTGGTCACTCCCCACGTTGACCTCCATCACTCCGACACACGCTCTCAAGGGTAACCTCCAAAGAAGAAAAAAAAAACCATCTTGATCCCGAGAACGTAACGCCGTCACAACTCCTTAGTCTCCTTGTGCATCTGACTCGGCCATCATCATGCACTCCGGCATTAAAAGATTCCACATAAACATGTATTCGTTAGAATAAGCACATTAATACATTCAGTGTCATTCTATAGGCCCGAACTACAGAATATCAATCATCAAAACGTTCAATTGGCACGCCGGTCATTCTGTCAATTTTTTTTGAAGGCCTTTCATCATATATTATTCTTATCTTGACACAAGATCCTTGTTTTGCTGAGCCGAGCAATTTGCATTAAATCCTGCAAATAGGCCTTTAATATTTGGCGTTCTCATCACTTTAATACAGGACATGGTATTATTGCAAGTACTACCAAATATAACACTGTTACCAAAATATTGCATGACAGTAAGTGAGCATAAAAAATTAGTAAAGAAAAAAAAAGCCAAAATCGATTTATTTTTCCTTCCTGCCAGGCACGTTACAGTTCATAATACATATATGCTTTTTATTTATTTGATGCTGCCGCCTTGGACAGTGGGGGCTCTGGCTTGAACGGTTTCGCCAGATTGGGTTCTAATCAAGAAAGGCTTGTCACCAAAGCAGGCAATGCAATCGTCCTTGGTCTTGAAATCGGGTTGAACAGTTTCCCAGTACTTCTTCTTGGGCGGCAAAATCTTCTCAGGTTCGCCTTCCATGCCTTCAAAGAAGACACGGTCACCAGGCTTGACCTTGCTGGTATCCACAGGTGCAAGCAATTCGACCTTGCTGCCATCAGGGGCAGTGGCACAGAGAACCATACCCTCGGATTTGATACCACGCATGCTAGCAGGCTTCAAGTTGGTCAAACAGAGTACCCATCGGTTCTATTTGTAAAAGAGACAGAGACAGAAACAATCATCAGTCCATCCATCGATCATCTGAAGTCACCATAGTATATCGCCAAAATGTTGTTAACTCACCTGCATCTCTTCCAAAGGATACCATCGAACCAAACCAGAGACAATGGTGCGATAGACGCCTTCACCATCACCCAAATCAATTTCTTCAACATACAAAGAATCAGCACCTTCGTGCTTTCTGCAGTTGCGAATATAACCGACACGGATATCCAAGCGAGAAACAACAGGCTGATCAGACTCGGGAGCTGGAGCAGCTATTGAGCAATACCGAATAAACATTAACGCGTCAGACGATATCTTCACAATGCCAGACAATAATTCAGACAAGACGAAAAGTCTTTTTACCAGCAGGTTTTTTCTCCTTCTTTTCCTTCTTCTCCTTCTTCTTGCCATCCTTCTTATCGCCCTTGGCGGCTACATCAGCCTTGGCAGCTTCTTTGGCGGGAGCAGCTTTCGCATCTTCCTTGGTAGCAGCACCGCGCTTCTTATCGTCCTTTTTCTGCAAGTATACAAATCCCGGGTAAGAAAGCGATTCGAAACTCTCAGATAATTACGAAATCTTACAGCAGGAGCGGCAATGACGGGTTCAGGAACGTCGTCGAGATTCATTTCAACGATAGAAAAGTCTTCCGTCAACTTGTGTTCTCTTACAACCAGATTCTGGATAAGATCGAACCAGCGCATGACGTTGGGGCAAGCGGTGACTTTCATGTTTTTCTAGGATGGAGGATCCTGCATGAGATTCCATCATTTTTTTCCCATGATATTCCTATTCATTTGTCCACTTACCGTGTAGGCATGCAAGATACCAAAGATGACAAGATCCACCAAGGTCAGGCGGTTGGCAACAAAAAAGGTGTTTTGACTCAAGTGAGCATCGAGTTTTTTCTGTAACCAATAAACGGCATGAATATAGATATCACACAGCAAGCCAATATCGAAACATGTACATACCTCAAGAGCGGCAATGACATCTTTTTTAGCCACGGTGCGGAGGCCAGAAGTCGCGTAAGTGAGCCATTCTTCCACCTAGTAAAGCAAAAAAGGTATTAACATTCACTGCAGGAAGACAAAAACCGGCGGAGCACACATGGCGGTCATTTCCTTTTTTTTACCTGAGCTTGTTCGTCTTTGTTTGACCCTAATAACTCGTGATGGGCTTGACCAGCAAGATATTTGCAAATGCTGTTAGGGCAATCGACTTTGGTGCCGTCAATCTGGTTTAATGTAAGTGGTCAGCAAGGGAAAGTGTACGTTCATCTATGCATGTTATGCGCGCCTCTACCTCCAAACTCATTTCCTTGGCGGTTTCCAAAGGAATAGTAGACCCGGTGTATTTGTACACGAGCACAATATCTTTAGGTGCCTTTTCAGGCAGACGTAAAGTAGCAGCGACCATGGTAGACGGACGTTTCGATACGACGGACAATACGACCCGGGTTTTCCTTTGACCTCTTAAAAAAAAAAAAAGTCAAGCTCGATTGTCGTGGCTTAGATCGACGAGCGGACTTTCAAACATGTCGCGGAAGCGACGGAAGATGCTTCAAGAAATAAAGCAAATTGAGACACCGGGAAACGAAAAGCACGACGCGGACACTATGCTTCCAGATTTAAATGAAAAACCGTTCATGATCACTGATGAAAGTCTCACTAAACCAACCTAATTTCACTATCTTGCTCATTTTTGCTGCTCATTTTGGATGCTGGTGTTCATTTTCGTTCCACCTTGCTCAATTTCAAAAAATCGCCCAATCATTTGTTTGTGTTGTTTATTTTCGACTGCTCTGACCAATTTCATTAACATCACCCAACTTACAGTGTGAAATCTATCTCTGATCATTTTAATCATTAACTGATGGGGAGCTTTTTCTAATTTTATCAAACTTACTTTTGACAGACAAAGCAGAGTTTGTGAGACAGGTGCGGATTCAATAAAAAGTCAATCAGTTTATCAGAGACAAAAATAAACATTGATATGATTTTACCATAAACAGCAGCCGTCTTTGCTACGGCGCATGCTGGAAAATCAATGACCGCCCCTCGCCGGACGCGATGCTGGTGGCAATTTCATGCAAAACCTTACCCTGAAGTCGCCAAATAGCGAAGAGGAAACAGGCCAGATGGACCAAAAATCATCAATTTTTTGACAACAGTCATTGAAGTGCACTGGGGAAAAAAAAAGCCTTTATTGCCATCAGCATGAAAATTTTTTCCTCTCTTTATTTCCTTATTTTATTTTACCTTTCCGCAGTACGTAATGCACATCACAGATCCATCCTCAAGCAAACGATACCAAGGCTTAACAGCTCAACAAATAATATTGTTAAAGAAGCAAAGAAAACAGCGATCTTTCGAGGAGAAGCGCGTACGTGAGAAGATGGAGAAACAGGAGCAAGGTATACATAATAAAATTCTCAATGATAAAGTGACACCACTCACAGATCATCGGTAGTCTCCAAACGACGCGGAGCTCAAGGGCATAAACATGCACGAAGTCGGGAGTGCCCCTACAACAGTAAGTGAATATCAAATTCGACCTATGTACTATGCCATCCATTCTCATGTCCAACAAAAGACAGCAAGAAGCGTACCAAGGAAGACGCCGAAAAGAAGAAGATCGCAAACAAACGACGAAAACGAGAAGCTCAAGGCCGAAGGATTGAGCCTTGCAAGAAGTGCACAAGCCAAGGCATATACGACCCTGCAGACCCACATTCCAAAAGAGCTTCTCCTCATTGCCCTTTCCACAAATTGCTACTAGACGAACACTTATTTCAAAAGTTCCAAGGCCCCTTCACGCGTTTTGTTGTCAAAAATTGGCCTCACGAAAATTTTCTGCTTGCCTCCCGATTCCGCCGCACGCTTCAATGTTGAACTTGAACGAAAGATTAATTTTGTACGAGAAATCGCAATCAAATCCATGCTGTTCGCGTATTATTTCTTTTTGCGCTGTCAGCCATCTAAATATAGAACAAACAACAATTTTATGCTGCGCACAATCCACAACAGAAGCCACATCAGAATGTCTATATACCACCATTTTTGATATATGCGAAGAACTTCGGCATTTACAGCAAACTACAGCGAAAGAGACTTGCTTCATCCATTTGCGATTCAATCAACAATAATGAACTATCGCATTTGCATAACCTTTTGGAAGAAACCGTCACAGAAATCAACAAGTTTTGACACTGATACCCGCGCGTTGATCGCAGTAAACAACTGTTTATCCCTCTGCGGAGACGATCCTCAACACAGTACGCACATTTCCTCTTGCCCCAAGCTACAGTTTTGTCAAGCCTCGTGTCATGATTGACACTATCACGTTACAGACACTTTTGCGCCGCTCCAACAACCAAGAAGTTTTGTTAGAAACCGCACCCGCCGACGCCAATAACAAGCATGAACTGGCGACTTTCAGTTTGCACGAATTTTCGACATGTTCCAAAGTCCGATATAGAGTCAGTGATCATCACTAAGCATTCACCAACCACATCAGCATTGACGGGCATGCAGTATCATTCATTTTTGCAAAGCCAACAGCAACTTACGAGCGGTATCCCGATTTAGACATTGACGATTTTGATGAGGAAGACCTGCAAGACTATTTTGAATTATGGGGTTTGGAACCAGGCCATAGAAGTTTTTGTTGCAAGCAATGGACAAGGCCATCAAGCTCATCAGGATATACGATCTTTCACATAGTCGGAATATTAGCGAAAAGACTGGCTACAAAAAGACCAATAAGAAGGTAGAAGAACTGCGCAAGTCCAGCCGTTCATTATCCAATCGCGAACCCGCATCCATAGAATCATTGGAAAAGCAACTTTTATCCCTCAAGGTGGCAAGTCTCCAAGCGTATCATCTATATCTATTTTCCATCACCGGCGTATTGCATCAACTTTAGGGATTGTACGATACCCAATTCAACGAGCTGCGATTTTTGAATTACAAAGGACAACATCGGATGCAAGCGGAGATGATGAACATTTTTGTCTACGGCGGCCGCAAATATGACAAGCGAAAAGCAAGAAAGCGCAAGAAGTACAGGAAGGAGCAGAAGGGGAAGAAGCGCAAAGGGAAGAAAAAGGAAAGGTAAGTATAGGCCATTGAGATCACTGGAAGCAATTGAATAACTCACACTCGTCCTTCTCCCAGTTTTAGGAAGCCGGGAAAGTGGAAAGGCGCCGATTTTAAAAAAATCCCAAAAGATGTCCTTGATCGCATTTGGCAATGGCAGATGGGGAACCAACATAGGAGGAGGTTTGCCCGATATCTCCGGGATGTGTCAATCGATTCTGAAAAAGGCCGAAAACCAAGGCCTGTTCGTTGTCGTCCCTATTTACTTCACAGGTAAATTTGTGTTACTCATCCAGAATGCCATTCAACTGACTTGAACCCGTTTCAAAGGTTTGCAACAACTTCCACCAAGGATCGCTGAAGCATATTTGTGGCAATGACGGAACAGAACTGCATTCCATCTTGGTCTGCACAGAGACAATATGCAAGACAATGTGGAACCGTGATGTCGCGAGCAAGAACAACTACGAAATTTGCCGTCAGCATCGCGTCCGGCGAGATGCGGGCATTGATTTTCCAGCATGCGTCGTAGCAAAGACGGCTGCTGTTTACGGTAAAATCATATCAATGTTTATTTTGGTGTCTGATAAACTGATTTGACTTTTTATTGAATTTGCACCTGCCTCACAAACTCTGCTTTGTCTGTCAAAAGGAAGTTTAGTAAAAACTCAGATTTCAAGAAGCGCCATTGACTGTTTGTTTTTTTTTCGGTTCGTGAACATTTCGCAAAAATTAGGGGAAAAAACCCGCACAGCGAAACCCTCTCTCTTTTTCATTCCCTCCCCTTTCATCATCTCGGTCCATTGCTGCCTTTTCCCTGCAAACCGTTGATTGCTTCAATTCCAAAATGTCCAAGGCTTCATCTTTTGTTCGCGAATATAAGCTCGTCATGGTTGGTGGAGGAGGTAAGTGGCATGGCTCCTGCTTGAAAATAAAAAGAAACCCCCTGGTTGGAGGCGGGGTGTAGCAGTAAAAGATCAAGCATGAGTGCATAATTTTTTTTTATTTGTTCTTTTGGGAAATTGATACGAAAATATATAGGTGTTGGTAAATCGGCATTGACGATCCAGTTTATTCAGTCTCACTTTGTCGATGAATACGACCCTACCATTGAAGGTTCGCAAGGCGACACAAACCAGAGAAAAATACTGAACTAAACCGAACCCGCGCGATTTTTGCATAGATTCTTATCGCAAGCAATGTGTAATCGATTCAGAAACTGCTTTATTAGACGTTTTGGATACAGCTGGACAAGAAGAATACAGGTAAATGTCGAGGCAAAAAAGTAAGCTTTGTGATGAATGAAAATAAGCGTACTTATCATTTTCGTTTCTACCGAAACCCTTTAGTGCTATGCGTGAGCAGTACATGCGTAACGGTGAAGGCTTTTTATTGGTGTATTCCATCACTTCGAGAATGTCGTTTGAAGAGATTACGACCTTTTATCAACAAATCTGTCGCGTGAAAGACCGAGATTATTTTCCTATGGTGCTCGTGGCTAATAAGAGCGATCTGGAAGCGGATCGACAAGTATCGAGTCAGGAAGGACGCGATCTTGCCAAACAATTTGGATGCCACTTTATCGAAACATCAGCAAAACAACGTATCAATGTGGACGAAGCGTTCTACGAAGTCGTTCGAGACATTCGTCGGTTTAACAAGGAACAAGAGACACGTGGTGGAGGCGGACATGATCAATTTCACATTCAGGATGCTCCCGACGTCGCCTCGGACAAGTGCTGCATTTTGATGTAAAGAATCCGGCGAACCAGTATTGAATGCCGTTCGTATAACATCGCCTGTTGTCTGTTCTTCTCTGCCTATTGTTATTTTTTTACTTGATTCCTAGGTGTATTTCATCTTTTGGCTATTCTTTTATATCTCTCTGATCCTTGCTTATTTTTCCCAATCGCTCTTCCTTATCCCCCACCTCGCACCCAACATTTACAGAATCATTCATCCACCTCTCTCCCCAATCCCCACCCAACGTACATCCCGCGTAAAAATTCATGATTGCCTTCAACGACCCAAAACGAGCACATGATCCTCCATCGCTTTCCTTTTTTCTACTTTTTTTAATATCCTGTTTTTTTTTATTTATTTTTTTAATCCCATGATCCTCGTAATTTCCGCAATTTTTCCTTATCAGTGAATCCAAGGAACTCTTGTGGATGCAGCTCCGATTATTATGGTGCTAGGTTGTGTTCAGTGTATCTTCCACAAAGAGACAATTGCGTTCCGTCCATCGATGCAGTGCTTGTACATCAAATGGGTATTTGAATTAATGCAATGCCTTTTTGATATATTGCTAGCTTATTACTCTTGTTAGGTCATTTTCGTCATTTGTTTTCCTTTTTCCTTCTTTCCTTTTTATAATTATTATCCTTTCCAATATGTAATATTTAGATGCATGTACAACAACCCGCCAGCTATTTTACTTTTCACAAATTTTTGGTCTATTCAAGAAAATTTTGTGCAACGGCATTGGAGCCAATCAGGGGGCTTCTCTTAAATGTGGATAAGAGCCAGTGTTTGGCAAAAAACCAAGCCCGCATGGTTCAAAAAAAAAAAAAAAAAAAAAAAAAAAAAAAAAAAAAGGTGCCTACAGCTGCCTTATTTATCCAATCTTTCCTGGGATGACGAAAGCGGAAACGGGTATTTTATTGTGCAAAGATGAAAATAGAATTACGATATAGCTAAATAACATAATGAAAAGAGGCGCATAATTTTGTTTTTCCTTTTACGCGTTGCAAAGTGTATCACACAAGGGGAATCCATGCCATTAACCAAAAAAAAAAAAAAAAAAAAAAAAGATATTGGATCGGCCAAGTATCAAACGGTCAATGTGGCTTCACAAATGATAATCCAGGAAAGGAAAAAATGGGTATTATAGGATGTGGCATTTGAATTTCTTCTTTGTTTTGTCTTTGGACGACATCTGTCGGTTGATTTGTCGCACCACATCATAGAAAACCTCATCCACGTTGATCTTATATCGTGCCGACGTCTCGTAGAAAGGTTTCCCACCCCATTGCTGTGACAGCATCATGCCTTGCTCTCTTGACACCATACGTTCATCTTCCAAATCGCACTTGTTACCTACCAATACCATAGGTACCTGTCAACATAACCATCAGAAGAGATCCATTCATGGAAACAAGTAAAAAATTAAAAGTTGAAACCAGGAGGAAACAGGAGCGAAACCACCAATGGAATGACAGAAAACAAATGTGTAATATAAGAGTAAAAAAAAATAAAAAAAAATTGTTAAGTCATTTGAAATCCTCAATTTCTGTTTGACGGATACTTACGTTATCGGTATCTTTCACCCGTAAAATTTGCTCTCTAAGTTCGTGCAAATCGGTCAAGGTGACCATGCTGGTGATGGAAAAGACCAAAATGAAGCCTTGTCCATTCTTCATATAGAGATCGCGCATGGCCGTGAATTGTTCGGTTCCAGCGGTATCGAGAATTTCGAGCATACATTGCTGTCCGTCTACTTTGACTTGCTTGCGGTACGAATCTTCAATGGTGGGATCATATTTTTCCACAAAGATAGATTGCACAAATTGCACCGTCTACACATTTGACAAGTCAGTCTTATACTTTATCTTGGCGAATTCAAATAAGCTGAATTTTTTTTCTTTTTTATTTATTTACCAAGGCTGATTTACCGACACCTCCGGATCCTAAAACGACGAGTTTGTACTCTCTCATGATGTGTTAAAGATGAGGCTATAACAGAATGAGGAACAAGATGGTGATGACTGCTTTAAAGCGTGGTGCAAGTAAGAATAAAGAAAAAAACGTAGAAACAAGAGAAAGGAAATGAAAAAGAAAAGCGCGTGGAATAATAAGGAGACCAAGTTGCTGATACACGCAAACTGTCAGTTGCTGAAATAATAAATGAATAAATAAAAAAAGGTAAAAAACAAGAGAAGTCGTATGAATCAAATAGACTAAAAAAAAATTGTAAAAAATCCACGGTAAAATGAAGTGATGCCGTCATTAGGGAGTCGCTGGTCGTTCTCCGTACGCTCATCCTTGGGTAGTTTCCCCCAATCACGCGCGTTACAGCAGTGTGTCCATTTTCGGCTCTTGCCTTTGGTCGATTAATATTGTGTTACCTGGTTTTGTACCAGATCGAGATCCAGATCGCGAGGCAGGTTTGATGTGCAAATAATTCATGCAACAACAAAGATCGATCTCAAATCATGTTCATGCCCTGTCACCTGTTATGAATGATTCCCATAGTCAACTCATTATCGCTAAATGGCGTTCCCCTCATGGCATCCACCGTATCGTTGAGGATCTGTGCCCAGCAATGCAAATCCATCAACACGCATTCGCGAGCTATGATAGCAAACTTTTTGCTGGCTTTCACCGTGCAAGAAAAACCACGATCAGAGCCAGATCTTGATGAAACATTATCATCATGCCTTCCAAATCTTTCATTGCTCCAATATCAGCACAGGTCGGCCAAAAAAATAGGATTGTTTCTACGATTTGCAGCACCCTTCGAGATATCATTTTAAACTCATTTGTCGACCTGAACTCAACTTGGCATATTGCTCAGCGACACTTGTCACTATCACTGTATCTTTATATTCATTACCAACTTGACATTGCATAATAGAGAGTTGTTTCCTTGTCTTTTGTTGTCTAGAAATGTCACGAGTAGAATTGAACCGTGTGGGATAGATATGGCGGTGTGGAGGAATTGTTATTGGCTTTTTTCAAATTCAGGACCATCATGCATCGGCATAATGAGTAATAAAGTTTCAGATTAGAAAATGGCACTTTTGGTAAGCTGTCAGAAATGGATTATGCCGAGATGGTATATATCATTGTTTGATCTTCATTTCGACTTATTTTGCGATGGTATGCATATTATCGATCGATGGGCGCCAAAAAAAGGGTAAAGACAATACACTGATTCTCGTGGATCGTTTCTCTATTCACACGTATAAATAGTTTGCAACAATGTTATCCCGAGTCGGCGAAGCATTCAATACACGGATATACCAGTTTTATCGGAGTCTTCACCCTTTTTTGCTTCGCACTTTTTTCAATCTTTATGTATTGAGCTTCCAACGAAACCTGCAACTTCGTGATACACTTATCAATAAGTGGCCATTCTACTTGCAAAATTTGTTGAGGAACAACAGTCATATCCTTTCAGACGAAGCAAAGTGTTGATGGTATCTCGCCCTTCCAATAATTGTCGCGTGTGGGGTGTTTGGCTCTCTTGGAATACAGCTTCCAAGTGAGCGGTTCTCAAATCCATGACGTAAATTGCATATCGTTTTGAATTCATTGTCGCCAAACTCCGCATGTAAAAGATCATTTTTTCCCGTTTCATTTTCTTGGCGATTATTTACTTTTCTGTTCCCATTGCTCGTCACCATGGTCTCCATTGGTTCCAGTTCATCAAGCAAAGCATCTCTGAACACCACCTCCACTCAAAGTACTATGCCTGATTTACTCAATTTTCGAGATTTGGGAGTCTCAACGGCTGACAATGACGCCGGCAAACAGTATATATCGCAAAAAGAAAGACACTGAATCATGCCACATGACGCTCATTGGCAATTTCTTTTGTTGTTAGATACATAAAAGAAGGCTTCATTTTCCGCTCTGCATCGCTTGATAAACTCACACAGCAGAATGTGGAAGACTTTATAAAAGAACACAATATCCGAACCATCATCGATTTACGGTCGACGTAAGTTATGCTTTCCTAAGGTGCATTTTCGGGGAACTAATGCATTTACCGGTTCCCAGAGTTGAAGGCGGTGAACATGTACCCATCGACCAAAGTTTCCCTACCACTGCCATTCAAAAGGTAAGCTTGTCACATAAACCAAGCAGGTTCCATACCCAGCCGTCCTGAACCGTTAATTTAAAGGTCCGCAAGACGGATTTGGTGGCGGATGCACCCATCATCAATGTCGATACAAATCATCCCAAGGAAGAAAAGCCCAATGTGATTGTTGAACGGGGAAAACAACTCCAAAGTCAAGTACTGCGTAAAAAGTATAGAATTGACTTTGCAGGAAGAAATTTTCAACGATCGTGCATATGGATGTCTTGTACACTGCGCCTGAAAGTGTAAGTCTTGACATCATCAGTCCCTGGAAAGAATCTGCCACAACTAATATTGCAAAAATTGTACTCAGTATCATCATTGTATTGATGATATTATGTCAGCGAAAGAAGGCCGCCGTGTATGTGGCACGAGAAGTCTTGACGCCTATGGGAGTCGCCAACATGTACAAGCAGTTTGTCACTTACTGCCAGTCCGAAATTCTGGAAGCATTGCAGGTGTTTACCGATCCCGAGAACTATCCTATCCACGTGCATTGTACGCAAGGCAAAGACAGAACAGGACTTGTCTCTTGCTTAATCGAATACATCGCCGGAGTGCCGGAAGACATCATTGTCAAGGACTATGCCAAAACACAAGCTGGTTTGGAGCCGATTCGCACGGAAATGCTCGTCGATTTGAAAAATGCTGGTTTATCCGAAGAATTTGCCAATGCCCCACCCAAAGTAAGTTCGCCTCGTTACTCTGCCTATGAGACAATCAGTTAATCGAGAGCATCCATAGTTTATGGAGGAGCTGTTAGGGTTCCTGAAAGAAAAGTACGGTTCTGTCACCGGGTTCCTTGATCACATCGGTTTCAACGAAGCGTCTCGCCAGCAGGTTCGCGATATCATTGTAGCATAAATATTATCATTACCTGCCTACGTCCATCTGTCTACGTCCAAGCTTGACGACTGTCTGTATAAACAATTTTGTCATTACATGTATAAAAAAAGTATTTATATTAAAGGGACATGCCTTGAACGGGGAAATGCTCATGTGGTTTTGGACGGCTACGTATTTCCATGACGAAAAACCTATCATCAACAATTGAGTATTCTCTAGAGAGAGCACTCGTGTTGTCACAGCAGCATGCAAGGCACATTGATATGTCAAACATGGTGCAAGTTCATTATGACTACAGTGTGTCATATGTTGTTTCCGCTGGAATCCTGATGGAATCATGAGTAAATGCATAATCTATCGCATAAGCTGGAAATCCTAAAAAGTAATAGTTTAAATTGATCTTACATGTCATCACACGTACTTTTTATCACTTGTTGCATAATCGATTGCTTTTATTTCTTAGATTGGAGTACGATTATTGCCTTATTGTTGTCGCATTATGCAAAATTCGCTCATATAACTGTATGTCTGCTCTCATTGATGCGTTTCGACAATTTACCGATGGTATCCGTGCCGTCGGTCCAATATTTCTTCTAGGCTATAAATCGTTCGGTACGTCGCACAACTGCATTTCTCATATTCATTCCTCTGATTCTTTTCAATCCTATAGTGTCACGCGACGTGAATGTTGTTCCCCCCTAATGTTGCGGCGCATTTGCCGATTTCCACACTTTCTAATTCCAAGGTTGTGGGTTTGTCGACTAGTGAGAGTGAACAAACCAATTGCTATTCGCAACGCACCTTTCTGTACGATCAAGGGACATGCATACAGCAGATGGCGTCAAAGGAGTGTCACCATGGCATTGCCGCAGCAAAATAAAATGAAATAGCTTTTCAAATATCTGTCTCTATTCCCAAATCAGCTTCCTGATTAAATAAGTAGGACAAAAGTTTTGACCCAATGCCTATGGTCTTCTTCGCTGTGCTGCCTATCCATATTTGAGAGCTCAGTGGTAGATCAGACATGAGAGATGCTGCAAGGACGGATCACTCAATCTCAGTAACAGCAGTGAGGAACATGAATTAGGGAAAGGGACAAGAGCAATTATGAAAAACGTGTGCGGTTTTTTCAAGGCATTGAGCCCAATGGTTTCAAGTGACAGCGAGGAAAGAGGGAAAAAGGATATTCCCAAAGAAAAATAGCGGATCAGGTGCAAGAAAGCTATAAAAAAACATAGGCTCCTTGCTGAATTCTAACCCTGCGATTGGACGGCGGTCCATTACTCACATTGGAGAGCCGAGCGCTGCCAGGTCTGTTGGCGTGGCCCCCCATATAAAAAAAGTCTTAAAAAATTTTGAGACTATCCTCTTTTTATCACCTTTTTTTTAAAAAAAAAATTGTTATATAATTCTTTTATTTTGAATACGATGAATGAAAGCCCTTGTTTTCTACCATGTCTTGAGCTCGTACCACTGACGCCTGACGACGAACCGAACGAACTACAAACATATGACGATGACCCACCTTGTACCTGGCTTGAAGACTCGGAGTGTCAAGAAAATTTGTTTCAAATTTTGCCACTCAACCCAGAGGAAACGGTTGTCGACAGCAACAATCACATTCAAACCCATATCAAGTTATTTTTTGAGGAATTGGGATATCTAACAGAGGAACCCGAGCCCATTGATCCAAACGTTGACTATGAAGCGTTGAATGAAGCACTAATGAAAGAGCGGAACAATAAATTGCGCCGCCACCACATCGATCTTTCAAGACTGCCTTCCCTGGATCGCGGTTCTATCCGCTCTGGCATTTCTTCTTCCTCCTCTTCCACACAACACGACGACGTAAGATCCCCTCACTTTATGGGCCATTTATTCCCTCATCCTCCAATGCACGACCACAACCATTTGTCATATCACTACCCAATCGATGTTAAATCCCACCAGCCACATCCGCATCCTCCCTACCACGCTTCTTCCCACCTTCACCGTCTGTCTTGCCAAGTTCAGCATCATATTACCACCCAGACGAACTAATGATCCGCTTATCGCCGTACGATGATGCCATTGGTTCCAAATTTGTAGATAAGCTTCCGATTCTTTTTCCTTTTTCTTTCATCCAATTTTCACTTCACCATTTTTGTGCCATCCTTTCTCTGCGTCACTATACCACTATATAATAAACTAATACTATCGACGCGCCTTTTTGTTTCATTTTCTTAGAAACACAAAGAAAAAGGACGACCATTATCGTCGAACGTTGACAAGTTGAGACTACCATTTGTTTGTTGTGGTCGTCTTTTTTTTCCTTTTTTTTAGGAGACGTAAAAAATCCCATTTTTGTCCAAAGTGATCTTTCCTTTCATCTCTCCCCCTTGGAAAAATCCTGCACAGCGCATCGATAATGAAAGTATCCTTCTTTTTTGGGCGCCATATTTTCTTTTTTGTTGCGTCTCAACTGACTACAACGATCCATGATTGGTGCATTGAGCATAAACTTTTTTTTTTATTTGGCTTCTCAATAGTTTTCCTTGGCTTCTTTGGCCAGTGTCTCGCCTTTCCGTTTGATCACACCCAAATGAATGATACGATCGCCTGCCATGGCCACCGGATTCGAACTGCGACCAATCACCTGTCATACCAATCCAAAAAAGAATTGAATTCATCAGTCGGTGCTTTTCAATGCCAGCCACTATGCAACTTACAATACCCGTGCAGGGTGAGAAGTATTCGTCAACAACATTGCCAAACATGTTCTTGATACGACCAATAAGATCGCCTTTGCTGACGATCGTGTTTACACCAGGATATACTTCAAGAACGCCACCTACTTTGGTGTATATCTATATTTTGCATCAATGAGTGAACAACCCTGTCTTCATCTGCTGAATCATGGTCGGTTGACTTACCCAGAATCCACTAGAGCATAGTAGCGTATTTGCTGGTCCTATCATCATATCTTTGCCTGCATTTTCCAAAGGATACATGTGGAGATAATCCAGTAAATGCATGACCCCTTGGAACGCCCACTATCCACAAAAAAAAAAGAAAAAAAAAGGTTCAACGGCAAAACATCGCCATACGTTCAAGCCAAGCCAAGCACGCAGCCAATAAAATAAACAATAATAGAAATCCAAGTTTGGCAATCAATATTGATGTTGTTCAAAATAGAGCAGCCTGACCGTTCATTGTTTTACCTGGACATACTGATTTTGGAATAATTGAGGATTGCCGATTTCTACCGTGATGGCCTTAATACCGCGTGCTGAAGCCGCCGATCGCAGTGTACCTAACAAAACATCCCATCAATAGGAGTGTCCTTACCTTTTTCAAGAAGATCAAAAAGAAATATGATACTGACCATCTTGTCCAGAATTATGCAACACGATTTGAGGCTGTTGCAGCTTGGCCAACATGGCCGATGCAGGATCGTTCTATACCCATCTTGGCTTAGTCGCTTTTATGTAAGCAGCTCACATGTGTACCCTGATTTAATTACCATATCAGCACGGACATAGTACGAATTCACGCGACCGAAACTTGCGGTATGCAGATCGACGAGATACTGGAGCTGTGCGATAATCTTATGCATCAGCTGATAACAGTACACTTGAGAAGCAAATCCATCTTCTTTGCCTGGGAACATTCGATTTAAATCACGGCCATCCGCAAACTCGCGTCGAAATTTGAGATAGCCCGCGACATTGACACACGGCACCGCCACCACCGTCCCTTTGAGTTTTTGAACATCGATCTCGGATACAACGCGATGAATACAAGGGACACCGTTGAGCTCGTTACCGTGAACCGCTGCAGTGATTCCCACCACCGGTCCGTCTTCTTCACCTCGCAAGACGATCACTGGCACACGGATCCATTCACCCAGTCCTTGCGTCATCATTTTGATCCATACTGTGTTGGTCGTTTTGGGCGCAAAGTCTTCAATCACAAGTCGATCGCGAACCAGCGGCGGAGGCATAGCCGAACCTCTATCCATGGCTGCAAGGGCTGGAGGTTCATACATCTGCGTAGGAGCATAGGTTCCACCTAACATGGCCAAACTGTCGCGGCGCAGACTTTCATCCAACGAAGAAAAACTGGACCGCTTCAGCGTCGCTGCTAACTCTTCAATCACATCCGATGCTGAGGATCGCCGGCGCTGACCCATGGCGTGTATCTCCGGTTGGTTTCCCAGTGGTTGATCTTCACAAGGCACCAAAGAACTGCGACGACGGCATTCACGTCGTTGACTCGGAGCATCATTGCTTATTGATGTTTCCTGCTCCTTGTCGGATTTTCCCTTGCGATCCTTGTGCGTATTCAATCCCGATCGAGGGCTTTCCGACACTTCAATCGTGATGACAGTTGTATCTAAGAAGAATGATGGCATTAACAATGATTCGCCACATGCTCATTTTTCAACTTACTGACACCGGGACGGGCCTTGTTACCAAAAGCATCCGCCGAATGGATTTGCAGTGATGTAGGGCTGGCATCTTCATCGCGTTCCACATACAGGGATTGACCTTCAGAGACCAAGTGCGACGACGCTTTCGAATGCTCGCCATCCAAACGTACTTCAGCATAACCTTCAACAACATAGAGCAAGGCAAACGCGCCAAATAACAACTTCTCGCCCGGTTGTCCTCCTTCATCCAGAGCTGAATACCCAATCTTATCCACATGAAATTGCGCCGAGCCGAGGTCACGGTTGATCATAAACTGTAATGTTTCAATGGGTGGGTTTGTCACCTTGCAGATGGTCGCCCTTGTGTCATTTTAGGCTTCTTTTTAGCATCTACTTGAGTAACAAAAGCCGTTTTTTGACATACCATTCGCCTTTCCACGTGTACGGAAATAAAGGCTTGATGCTCGTGGATTGTTCATTCCCTTGATGATTCAATAGCAAACTTTGTTGTCGCTCGTGGTCAAAAGGCAAAACGATGATCGAGCTGTAGATCAATTAAAGCCTTTTTAGACTCCATTCATTATGGTTATTTCAGCACTACAAACCTATCATAGCCAGGAAACAAAGAGTAGGTGCAGTTCGCATCAATAGAATGGATACTAAACCGCCAGAAAAAGGATTCCTTCTGATAATCTTTATCGGGAGGATAGATGCTGATCTCGGACGTGGACCCTAGTCCGTTTTTCCACGGCAATTCGCGATAATCATTTCTAACAAAGAAGAAAGCCATACTGTGTTATTGCTACCGCTTGCACTGATGGGGAGTCTATCAACCAACCAAGTGATACGTACTTTGGATCAAGTAGTGCCACTTTCAACAATGAGGGATCCGGTGAATCCGATTCGAGCATGACGGCTCGCGATTGCGAGGACTTTTTGTGTGTCTCAGCCATGGCGCAATTGAATACAACTAAATCTCTCAGAAACACGTCAAGAGCCTTTTATCAAGGCAGAACGATACCCTGTTCAACGCATAATATTCGCTAGTGCATGTTTCACTTGATTTGGAAATTTGCTTTCGACAAGGGGAAATAAAGCGATCGCATAGGAGCGTTCTGAAACAATGAGTTCGACCCTTTTCTGTCAAATTCAACCATTTTGAAGGCGCACATCATGACATAGACATGGAATCATGTATTGCGACCCATAATATGGCGCCAAAATTGTATCATGCATAAGCAGCAAGCATCAACGCATTAAAATATGCGTACTTGTCACCCCAGATTTTATCATACTAAAGCCCTTCCCTTGCTCATCAATTGCAGACAAATGGAATCATTGTTTCGTTTTGACATATCCTTCGCATCTAATCCGTCCGGTAAATAGCATGCAACATACTGTAGTTTTTTTTTAGTGTTGGACCAATCCGTATTTTATTTCGAAAATGAAAATGAATAAAATGTAATGTACAATTTGAATATGCAGTGATGATGCCATTGTTTTTAGTGCGAAAAAGTTACCATTTGTTATGGTTTTCAAAGCCGCTACGTCCTACTTTGGAATCCTGTTGGGAGGAATGCAACGCACTGGGATCCGAGATCGGTTGGTTATACACCTCCGTCGGACGTAGCGCGGTGCTCAACCTAGTGGATGCAACGGCCGTATTGAGAATTAAGCTATTTTCGAGCCTGCTCGAGCGAAATCTTGACGGCGCTCCAAACGAAGACGCACAATCCTCAGTCGTGGAAGTGACAGTTGACGAATCGATATGAACGAAGAGATGGTCCGAAGGAGATGATGAATCTGTTGGCGACAATGGATATGGGAATTCAGGTGTGTAGCAATTTGCATGTGTCGGCAAATCCGCTTTGACAGCATCCTGCGACGGTGTATAGCTTTCAAGATCAGCATAATTCTGATATTGCGGAAGAATCGGCAGACCAGGCAAGGGACATCCTTCCTCGCTTACATAGCCGTTTCCTTGTTGGAGATACATGAAATCCACTTGTTCATTGCCGTCGTTATCTCGACTTTCAGACCATGATTTGACCGGGAGACCGATCATGGGAAATGTTTCAGAGGGTATAGTGGGTTCTTGCGATCCGTGGTTGGTCGGCAACACATTGGATGATTCCTTCAGTTCCAAGGCAGTGACGCCAGTGGATTTCTTTTTCAGTTTTTGGATTTTGTCAACAAGACTGGCTCTCTTTTTCAGGCGTTTAGAGATCGTCGTTAGTGGAGATTCCAGACCCACAGACGTCGCTGTAGCTTCTGCTGCCATATTGGGGAAAAACGGTAAAACGATATCGGCATGTTGACCGTCTGCTGAACCGTTTGTGGACGAGGTATCATGAGTTGATGAAAGACCTACAGTAGGCAACTTTGTACTGTCATCTCTTGTTGGGGAGGGTATACTATTTCGTTCTGGAATGGGTTGATTGTCTGTCATGTTGGAATTCCCGTCTAAAGATAGCAAGGACCGTTTAACATATTAAAATCAGCAAAAAATGGATCCACGGTAATTACCAGCTTTGACAGGCATTGTTGAAAAGGTTGTATTCAAATCGAACATCAGCGACCCTCCTTCCTCCGGTTTGTTGGGCTTTACCGGCTGTCCCAAGCACGAAGTGATATCCCCTTCTAGACGAAGGATAGACTGCATTTTCCTCAATTGCTCGTTGTGTGAAGTGCCTGCATAGGCGTTACTTTCCTCGACATTCCTCTGCAGCTCTTTCCGTCGGTATAGAAGCATTTCTGGGTCTGTACCCATACGTAAAAGGGCGGACAGATCGGATACATCTGCATTGTCCTCAACGAACCGAACCATCGACTTTGGAAATTGGGCACCATTGCATTTCACAGCGGTGGTATCACTGCCGTCAATGACAGGTTTCTCCAAATGTTTCTCTTCAACTAAAGCTGGATGACAGTTTGCCAATGGTACGCTGGATCCATTGGCTAACTTGCTTGCTGATGCAGCAGCAGGAGCAGCAGCAGCCGCAGATTTCGCAGGTTGTCGCTTTTTTCGTGGTTTATTTGTTGCTGGTTTGCGTCGGCTCTTGGGTGGACTCGTGGATGGAGGAATTTCAATGTCATGCTTGCCCTGCGCTTGAACTAGCCCGTCTGAAACCTCTGTGCTTACAGTGGCATTCGGCTGCATTCTATCGTTCCCAGATGCGTTAACTCGCGCGCTTTGGTCGATCTCCATGACTTTATCTGACATTTCCATTGATGGCGCGTTTGAAAGGTCCTCTATCTCGTTTGTCCTTTCACTAGTATCATTTTGAGCTGGAGCTTGAAATGAAGCAGTAGACGCGTCAGAAGATGCTGGTTTTGGATCAGTATTTTCTTGAACTTTTGCTAGATTGGCAAGGTATTCCTTTGCCAATGATAATTCTTCGTCCCCTAATAATGAATTAGTTTGCCGACTTTTGCTGTTTCCTGATATCATCACAAACCTGATTCCAGGGAGCGCAACGCACCAATTTTCGATTTTGAAAGTACCGGAACCTGTAATGTTCCTGTTGTCGATTTTTGCAGAAGATCTTGTTCACCATGCAATCCATTTTCAGGCTCAAGTGATGATGAGGTGATGGTCTGTGTGTCTTGTGATGCGTTCTTCTTCTGTCTAACACGTGAAGCTTTGGCTAGCTTGGGCTTGGCAATTTTGCGAACAACCGCTTTTCCTTTTTTCTTTGATGAACCCGGTTGTTTTGATGATTCACCATTGATGACTGAGCTTACGTCTCCACAATTGACCATAGCATCTTCGCGCACGCCAGGAGCAGCTTCCATCGTATACAGCATTTCACTCATCGTATCTGCAGGCAGAGAAGGGTTCACCGTCTGTACTGATGTGGGCGCGAGATCACTGTTCGTTGGTACCGTGAGGGATGCCATAGGCTCAAGCGAAGCGTCTCCGACAGCTTTCGGGCCAATACCTTTTGACTTTGGCGTTCGAGGTTTCTTTTTTCTGCCAGCAGATTTCGGTTGTCGGGAAGGCAAGTTGTTAGTTGACGGCTCTGAAAAAGAACATAGTTCCTCATTTACAGATCCGACAAGTCTGGCATTGTCCGTGATTACTGTTTGATCTGGCGTGAATGGCGAATGGCCGGCAAGCTGAAGATGCGATGGACTATGCGGTTGGCAAGAATTCGCATCGGTGCCAGGATAAAGCGACGGTGAGTCATTATCTTCCAAAGAACAGTTCGCCATTCTCTCTTCGATGGATAGTTCTGCAGAAGAAGAGGACTGTGGCGGTGGACCGTAGAATGGATTGGATTCCAAAAGAGAATACATTGATGTAGGGCCCACTGGCAGTGATGGTTTCGGTTTTGCTGAACGCCCTTTTCCCTTTTTAACCGCGCCTTTACCTTTTCTCACTGCAACTGTGCTGCCGGCATTTTGCTCCTCAACGTTCTCCAATGGTTGACCATCGGATGATTTTTCCTGCGCTTTTGTTTTCGCCGCTTTTCCTTTCACCGTTCCATTCGCCAACTTCGGTTTCGAGGTCCTTCGTTTCGTAGTGGCCTTTTTCGGTTGCTTTGGCTGGTGATTAAGATCGGCACGCTCTGTATCTACTTGCTGATCCACCACTTGCGAAAATTGTGCAAAGTCTCCAGTACCTTCGCCTGGGTTTCCCGGTGGTGTTGATGGCTTATCCAATGTCTCCGCTCTGTCGTACTTATCATCGCCCTGCAACGCCGTTGGTCTATGGCGCTCGTTTTCTGGGTCAAGCGGAGAATCTTGAGGAGGGCATAGCGACTCGTTTGCGTTGTCTTCAGAATACATTTGTGCCATGAGCTGGCACTCGATACAGTCTGGATGCAAGAGAGCCGATGCTTTTATGCTTGATCCAGCTTCCTCTGATCGGATAACCATACAGCAATCGCATAACGTTCCGTTTGACATGAAAGGGTAATAATCTCCGTCGGTTGATCCAGGATTCATGGGTTGTTGAGCATCAATGTCGGGATCAGATTCTTCGTTGGATGTAGTGGCTGCGGCAATCGGCTTTGCGTCCGGCATGTCGTGACAAGTTTGTTCATTGCATGCATCCGTGGCAGGTTGATCGATGTTATCTGAGATAACAACGGATACAGCCTTTTCTTGGTGAAATGGTTTCTTTGGTGATCTTCTACGTTTCTCAGAGGTCGGCTTTTTACGCCGCAATTCTGGTCGCTCCTTTTCCGGTTCCAAAGTTTGGCTTTCCTCTTTCTCCAGTTCGATCGTGGTTTCTGCGGACGCCGGTGTTTCTATGGTTTGAGTTGGCGGTCGACGTTGTCTCTGTCGTCGGGTAGGCCATTCCAATCCATAGATGGTATAATGTCTTTCACAACGACAACACCGTTTACTGATCTTTTTCCGTAATGATAACATGTTGCCACAAACAATGCACGTCAATCGAGATGCGTCAATGCCGATATCAAGTAGTTTGCCGTCACGGAATAAGGTCATAAATTTGATGCTTGCCTTTTCGTCGATGGTGTCTTCAAAATTCTCACTCGCCACCGAGGAAACCTCTGATACATCATCGAATAGGTCGGTATGAAAATCGTCAGCAGTGCTAGAGACACGTCTAACGGATCCGTTCATATCAGCACATATGTCGCCATTCGTTGATAACACTTCAGAATCGTTTGGGGTAAAGGAATCTACGTCCATGACACCAGTTTCACTCTTATCTGTTATCGTCGTAGATGGCAACGGGTTTGAATGTGCTGTCTGTGGTATAGATAGGTCGGCGCTTGGTTCGTCTCCATTGATTTGATACGACGACGGGTTATGTGGTTCGATAGATGGTCCGTACGACTGCGGTGCAGATGATACGTCTTCCTTTTCGTTCGTCATAGAATTATCCCCTTCCGCTGAGCGTGTTGGTATTCGTTCTTCCGTTTTCGGCTTTTTAGTGATATCGATGTACACATTCACATCCGTTACTAGGCTATCAATTTTTCGTTTCGAGCTGTGTGTAGATGAATGAACGACACCGTTATAGGACGGCAGCCATCCATTTTCGCTGCAAGATATGCCTGGCGAAAGACAATGACGAGTTGAGCCAATAAATCATGACGGACAGTGCATTTTCACGGTCTACCTTCTTCAGAGCAAGAATCTACTGCTCGGTCTTCCATCTGTTCTGCCGTTGCTTTTCGACTCCTTGGATTTCGTCCTCTTACTCTGCTAGGTGGAATATGAAATTCTTTATCTTGCTTGCTTTTGTGTGTGCCTCTCGCCTTGCCATCGGATTGTAAGAAAAACACTACAAAACAATATAGCGATGAGTCGCAATCTAGACACATAACATTTAAGGAGATACTCACTTTCGTACGAGGCCACCGCCCTTTTTCGCCGACTGCGGCGAGAGGTGGAAACGCCTTCCTTTTCACTCACAGAGGTGTCGCTGGCACGGCAGAAATATCCTTGGCCACGCCTGACAAAGTGCAATATGTCAGCATACCGCCGTCCATGCGAGTATCTCGATCCAAGCTTACTTTTCGCATGTTAAACAACGGCATTCGCAGTTATTGATGCCAAAATAATGCTCGCCATAGAACACCGTCACCTCGTCTCCGCACTCGATTTCTCGGACAACCTTGAAGGTAATTGCGTGCATCCCCAGTGGTATAAACTAATGAAACACTCGTGTCTTTAGTGTGTTGCCCCCTTTTTTTCTCGGTGCCCCGTGTTTCGTGGATACCCCGCATGTCCGCCGTCTTTGTATACCTGACAATTAGCGTTACAATCGTGCTGTGAAAAAACTTGCGACGGTAAGTAAAGCAGAAAAATAGATCCGGTTATTGACAAATCACTTACATTCATGAATCGAGCTGGGCCGAGAAATAGACAATTGCGTTTTTTTCGTTGTGAATACATGACGGAAAAATCTCTATTTCTGCTCTTTAGATACAGATCATCTTGCTCTTCGAGACAGGCGATTCGACCGGTGCACATTCTTATTTCATCGCCAATTTCCCAGTGTTTCGTAGAGATGATGCAACCTTGCACAGATAACCCATCATCACTATAGCGAGACGTGTCGGCAATTTCATAGCCTGCAGAACTGACGAACCTATGGCGATGGAAGAGGTGATCAGAATCACGAACGATCGGAGATTTGTTCACATAGCAGTATTACATGTTGAGGTAGCGTTTCATATGCTGCAGGAATTCGTGCTGCTGCTGTTCTGTCTTGTTCATCAGAAAATCCTTGATATCTTGATGTCTACAAATTCACGGAATCGCTTGGTTATTGACTGCTGTTTGCTATTCGGGAACAAAAAAGACGCAGCTGCTCATCGGTCGTACGCCAGTCGTCAATCTGTATACATGACGCGCTCAGAACAAGAGGAAACGATCTGTTGAATGCATCTTTTCTGATCGTGTCACATTGAGATAAGTCAACACTCATTGCCGCATAGCATCCATGATATATTGTGTCGAATGGGTTGCTGCTCGAAATATGCGGTGTGTTCGTTGTATTGCCCCTTTCTCCGAAACAGTGCTAATGAACAAAGAAAAAAATAAAGATGGAAAATATGAATTACTCACTGTGCAAGTTCCTTGACAGCTTGCATGACATGTCCGGCGGGAACGATGTGTCGTTGCAGAACGCGTAAAATGTGCTCTTTAGAAATGGACAGCAGTTTTACGTTATCATTCATCTTGATGGTGGGGAACCATAGGAAGAAGTTGTCCAAGAATAGATCGCATAATATATCGTCATATTGCGACAGTAAACTGAAGTCCATGCCGGATTAAAAGGGTGGACCGCTGGAAACGTCAACAAGAGAACCGCGATGAATACGTGTATTCCAAGTTTTCCAATGGCAGGCACAGCTGAAAGGTCCGAAATAAGCTGCGAGGTCGTTCGGATAAAAAAGACTCCCGCTAAAAAGTCTATTTGTAATAATTCCAAAGGAAAGTAGTAAAGCGATGATGAGGACGATCTTAGTTTCAACTGCTCTTTTTTTTTCGACCCATTCGGGGCAACGGTCCCAAGTTTTGCGTTGTTCGCTGCCATCGTTCTTCAAAGCATCACGTGACACACGCGTTTTGCTTTACGCTCCACAAACATTGCTGCACCTTTCATAATAGATACCGAATGGTCAATGCTAGATAAGAACACAAAAAAGTGCATGCACAAATTTCGCTTATTCTAATTGTTGCCTCTTTTATGAAATCGTATTCAAAAATATAAAAAGATAACAAACAATTACAGAAAAAGGGTACCTCCTTCCTTCTAACATGGAAGGTATGCGGTTTTATCTTCTAACGGGAAAGAGATTTTAGTTGGTGGTATGTTTCTTCGCAACGGTCAACATTCTCAGCAGTAATGGCATCATGGCATTCCAGCCGCGAATCGAGCAACCAGTTCATGTATTCGTTCTCTAAAAGATGAGCGTCCACTTCATTAAGCAGTTGGAAAATCACCAGTGTGTCGTGACGCAGCATGGCCACCCGTTCTCTGCTGAACATCAATTCCACCGCCAACTGATGATACTGAGAGCTGTGCCAACGGCGTATGTGAGTTTCATTCGTGGACGCCTTCATCTCCAGAAACTGCTGGAAGCTAAGAGCAGCGATTGGCATCATGGTTAATGATTTTACGAAAATGTGGTTGCTCATTGACTATTTCTTACCTCTTGGTTCCAGCATAAGCAGGTTGAACTTTGCTCTTTAGCAAACCGTCTTCAATGTCACGAAGATACACAGCGCGCCAGACGATTTGATTCGAAGGTACCGATGCAAGATGATCAATGGACGTGCCAGCACGCATCCAAACACTGATCATATACAGGAAGAACAGCACAGCAAGACCGATATTCACGTACAGAGGCAGACTGGTGATTAGATTCTGAATCAGATCCACGCCATCTTTTAGCATTCCTAGCCAGCCATTGTCGCTTGTCGGTTGGGCAACGTCCGATGTAGAGGTATTCTTGCGCTTCATACTGACGTGGGCGCTGCGTTTGAGAGAGGCACCATGGGACAAGCCCTTTTGTTGCTGACTTGACCCACCGTGCTTCTTTGCGTTGATGTTATTAGCCGCCTCTTCAATGAGAGGCACGAATTTCGCAATGCTTTCGCTCATGCCTTTGAGAGCCGCTTTACTGACAAGACCTGAGAACAACGAAAAAAAAAAATAAGAACAAAAGCTGCTCATAATGTGACCTTGATACCCCTCTGAATTTATAATATACCTTTGACCATCAAACTCTTGATAAATTTGACACCCATGTGACACGTTAATTTGCATTGCGATTTGCTGACCCAAGTGATACAGTAACGAATGGAAGGAATGAAAGCATCAGCATAAGGCAAAGCATCCGCTTTGGTAGAAATCTGAACAACGTAGCGACTAAACGGAGATATTAGGTATTCTTATTCGAGATCCACGCTCAATCGATCAACTTACATGTAATCGTCTTTTCGCAACAGCACCTGGGTTTCATTCACTTCGGTTTCCTTGACCTTGACTGTGGTAAAGATAAGAGCAAAATGATGGATCAGGCACATCGTTTTTTTTTTTTTTTTTTTGGCCCTTTTGATGATAAGAATACTTACCCATTGGGTTATTCACAGGCATGATATATTTCAACGAACGTTGTTCTTGACCTCCAGCGTTACTCCATTCGGTCACACGGATATCTAAGCAAAAGAACACAAGTTCATACGTGTACTTTCGCGGACGAACAAGTGCACAAATTTCTAACCTTTACAACCGCTGTCAATGGATTTACGTTCCCAGATGCCTCCATTCACGGAAGCACCTGCTTGTTCCTCCGAGAACAACAGCTCGTACAGTGCCTTGGCTGATATTGGTAGTTCCACTTCCGCCTCGCGCTTCTCCAGGTGATCTTCACATTCGCATGAACAAGGCCCTGAAGGTGCTTGAATATGCGAAGGCAATTCATCGTCTAAAAATATGCACCGAATCTCATCAATCCCTTTGTTTCTACCGCAGCATTATTTTATATATTGTGCCATTGCGTTACCATCTTTGCCACTGGATCCCTCCACGCTCTTTTCGGAAGGTGGAGAAGCAGTTTTAGCACGATCATCTTCGGTTGATTTGCTTTCTGATTCCGGATCATGATGCTTAGATTTTCCTTGCTTTTGCGCTTGGCGATGTCCTTCTTCCAACCGTGCCACTTTATTGGCGTCAAAGAATCCACTACTTCCAGTGACTGTGGCAGCCATCATGGCGGCTGCAAGTGCCGATTTTGGTTGAATGACTGGCTTTGATGATCCTGAACTCTTGCGGTGCGCGCGTTTCTTCTTCTCGGTGGATTTACTGGGGATCGGTGGCTTTGCTGAATCAGCTGAATGTAGATCGGCTGAAGCATGGTTATGTCTGAACAGGTCAGGAGACGATCGCACTTTGCTCGGTTCAGATTTGATAATGGTAGTCACTTGAGGCTGATTCTTTGATTTGCTTTTGGCGGCCGACAAATGATGCAGAATATCATACATCGTTTGCAAAGGCACAGGCTAGAGTATTCCGGGCAGAAGAGAGATTGGAGAAAAACGTGTGTAAGCCGATTTTTCTTCCCGTGTCTTTGGAATGCCAATGTGTGAGATGGGTTACACACACAAAAAAACTTACTTTGGAATTCTTGGCATTGTCAACTGCGAACCGAAGTTTCTCGGCAACGACATCAATGTCATCCATCAGCGTCGATAAAATAACCGGATCGCGCGCTTCGCCCGAGCCGGGATGATTTACAAGGTCAATGGCCAGAACAACATGATTCTTGTTGCCGGTATTGACAATAGAGGGATCGCGAATCAGACGGACGCTGCTGATATCTTTCAAGCGAATAGCAACCTATAAAACATTGACCACGCCGTGAGATCATTAAAGAGAACGTATCTTTCTTTCACTGACGCTACTTACGGTGTTGACACAGGTCATCATGATGCAGCTATAGAACCAGAAAGCTTCCTGCGTAATAAATGCACGGCCGGTGTACGAATATCCGAATTCCGATAATGGAGGTGTAACAGGTTCCTGCAGCTTTAAACTGAATTCCTGTTCCAATGTATCCAAACCCGTCCCCGCAGCGACAGGTGATGACGGTGGTTCCGGCAATTTAGTCTCGGTGGCATTCATCTGAGGTTTCTTTTTCAATGTGCTTAAAAAGGCTAGATTGACGCAAGTGATGGGAGACAATTAATGCAAAAGAATACAATACACAAAATATTTTTGGAGTCGCGATAACTTACTGTCCAGCACCACCTCATGGGTTGCTACTCCTCCAAAGAGATGACGAAGCTCCCGGTTTCGAACTTCCAACGATGGGTCATAACCTGTCAAGTCGACTTTGGGTGTATTCGAATCGTCATGTTGTGTAGGCCAAATGATTTGACATCCGTCCACGTCAGCAAAGTTATTGGAAGCGCCAGTACCAGTAGGAGAAAGTGGATTATCAAGGTTTGTATCTTCATTGTTGTTGTGGAACATGCTAGGTACCAAGGTCCATGGTATACCCCAAGACGAGGTTTGTGACGAGGGCGGCTGCTGCGAGGATGACGGAGGTTGGGACGAGAATGGCTGATTGGTTGCAGCGGAATTGCCGTTGGACGGATTTTCGGCGGCAAAGGATACCGATTGCGAGGGAAAGGCCGGGGAGGAAGGAACGGAGGACGGACCGCTGGACGTGGTTGGTGCTGCACGAGCCGCTTCCCAAGCCAACAAGGGTGTCAAAGAAGCAGCGGAGTCCAAAGATGCGGTATTTTGATGCTCAGGAGACGTGGATAACATCACGATAGAAGGTCGCGTGGCACTAGTCGAGGTCCCGCTGGATTTGGAGACGGCCAATGTGGAAGTACTGCTCATAGCAGAAATGGGCATGGTCGTCGAAGAGTTATTCAATGAAAGCTTAGTACCGGACTTGGTTTCCGAGATTTGATGCATGGAGGGCCTTGGTGTGGAAGGATCCGATGCGGCGGACAAGGATCCAGGATCAGCGGTCTGTCCGAGCGTGTGTAGATCCAGCTCTTCATTTTGCAGCATTAAACGCTTTGCTTTTTCAAAACTGGCCAACCAATCCCTCATTTCCTCTTCCGTTTCGGCCTGCAATGCGATCGGAGCTCTACCCAGAATGTGATTAATAAGTATCAGCGAAGGTCACTTGACAGCGGACGGGTTGGATTACTTACTGTTGGGCACACAAAACCTCAAAGCAAAAACGGCGATCAATGTCCTGCATCGGTTTAATTTCGCATAAAAGAACGGACACGCGCAACCCCGCCGTAATGGCGCCCTTCACCTTGGCCGAGTTATTGATGTTGCAGTAACCAAAATAGCCATCATACAGGAAAAACCATTTTCGATTCCAGTAATTACGTGAACCCCGAGTGAGCAAGTAACCCCATTTGTGATTTGTTTGGTCCGTGAGCACGGTTGAAAAATCCAGGGAATGACGGCTGTTCAGAGCAGCATTCGGTCCGTGGATCGGGGTATATTTTTCCAAATCTCGCGGAGGTTGCGTTTGGCTAATGTATTCATCCTCCAACTTTTTCCGCGCCATCTGAAGTGCATGCAACTGATAATTGCAGGTGCCCTTATCCTACAAACAAAAAAACTGTTAGAAAAACATCTTTACAGCGTTATCACCCTTTCGTCGCTTACATCAATAAGCCATTGCTTCCACGACGCTAAGCTGCTCGTCAGTGACTGCCACACTTCCATACCTCCGTCGAAATCTTTTAAATGGGCCATGGTCGCAAAGGAGAAGCGTTCGACGAGCACATGCTCGAGCAAAGAGCGAAAGTGAAGAATACGAACAACGTATTGACCTGATAACCGTATATAGGCTTTACGAGCTTCATGTAAACGGAATGCTTCTTCACGAACAGCCGATACCTCTTTTGCCTTGCTTTGGCTCGCGTATCTCGAAAGCTGGGTTTCGTAACGTTCCAACGCTTTATCATGTTGCTTGCGGAAATCCTAAGAAATGGGTGGATTTAGAAACATTTGTTCGCCCTTGTGACAGTTATGCAACTACATCAAAGAATTTTGGCATGGATCTATTCGCTTACTTTGATTTCTTTGAGGTGAGTCTTCACAAATTGATGCAGTGGTTGAATAAAGTTGTCTTCCAAATCGGTCACCTAGAGTTTAGAAAAGGATGTGACATTGGATGTCAACGGTTTGGATTCCGAGATTTCATCAGTTTGTGCGACGCAATACTCACCAACTTGGTTTTGAAGGCTAAGCTTGTTTGAAGGGCGTCCGAGAAGCTTTTGATTACAGCGCCCGTAAAATTTGGATCTAAGGAGAAGAAAAAACAAATCCAATTACAATTAAGCTTCATTGTCAAGGAGGCTCTTTTTATCTTTTTTTTTTTTAAAAAAAAAAAAGAAACTTGGCGCCTTTGCAGGAGTTTGCGCGAGCTTACCTATCAAAGCTTCGTCGAGACCGTGAGGAATAGCCTTTTTACAAAGTGCGTTGGTCTCGAGGTTGAATTCTGTGGAAAGATCAGATGTGAACGTTGAGCATCTTGGTTGAAATAAAAGCAAAGCGAGATTAAGGTGACTTACTATTCAATTTGTCGCAGTAAAGCTTGACCTGTTTGGAGACAGAATCCAGCCATTTCTCCAACAGTTCCAGCTGCTCATCAAAATGATAGACGCTGGCTCTGAATACCGGAGAATCCTTGACGGCATCATGCAATGTGATGAGAGTGGAATGGGACGAAGTATTCGCCAGTTGCATATCGGCACCTTGCGTCTAAACAAATGGGGAAAACAGAAAGAAGCTCTTTTGGGTCGCTCCACGTTCGGGCTCTCCAAGGGGGCGAAAAATTGCGCCCTCGAATTCTTTTTTTTTCCCGCATTCTGTTGGGCTGAGTTTTACCGACGGTTGATGAGCATTTCCGCGTTTTTCAATTTCAGACGAATGTCGTATGAACAGATGGAAACCGGGATCTTAATAAAACTTCACAGATGTCAAGAACGTGTAGTTTGAAGCAGGTAGGAAGAAATTTGTTGATGGGAAAGCATATTATGCGATCGCCCGTCTATTTGCTGTTGTTATATTACAGTGCGTGCATGTATGTGATTCAAATACCGACCGTAATGAGCCATCAACTCCGTTGCAACGTTGTCTCATTTTAACATGCTGTTGCGGAACAATTCGCTAAGCACCTTTACAGATCGCATTCATCTAGGTTACAACAATAAACATTTGCGGTATTTCTATTTATGTCGTATAAAGTTACACTTTTTTATACTTCTCAGTCATTGGAGACCAAACTTGAGACATTGGGACCAAAAAGGGCAGTAAGAGCGCAAGCTGAGTAAAAAGTATCGTCAAGACAACAGCAAGACTAGGTTTTTAGCTGTGCATTCCCAGCACGGAAATGAACCTTGGATACCTCGGATTGAGGAAAGGCCTTGCCAACTCGTTTCTAACGAAGCTGTGATGAAGTCTCAAAGTCACTTTTCAGCAAAATAACTGTTTTATACTTTTTCATAGCGATTCATGCCGCAAATTCGTGATGAATTTAAGAGATATCGGATTGTGCAGGTTGCGTGCTTGATCATCAGAATGCGCAAAGCTCCTTTCATGAGTTTTGAATGCGTTCTTAAAAGATCCAAGTATCAATGGTGGATGGGCACAAGGATTTGTAGATATGCAAAAAGATCTGTGTTGAAATCTTTGAATCGCGTAAAAAAGCGCTGAAAGGATCCTTTTTTTTTACGCGTATAGATAGAATATATGGAATGCGCAGTAAGCTTGCTCACGCATTCAGTACCAGTTTAATTTCGGCATGAAATAACTTCCCCAGTTGGGCACCACACATAAAACAGAAGATGCAAGGACAGTAGAGAGAAAGCATAGTTCTTGACCAATTGAGCTTCTGAAATAGATCATTAGCAAAATGGGAAAATTGTGGCGGTGTCGCTTCTTGCTGAAGGGTGCGTGTGGGCCAGAAAAAAAGGTGTCTATGATTTTTACGTTTTTGGGAATTGCGCTGTTTGTCATTCTGAATTCTGATTGGCCATCTGCCCCGAATCACCATCAGTTTCCGAGGTAAGCGAGCGACGACCCCACCCTCTTTATTTTTATATCCTATTGTGCCAAAGTGCCATGTCTGCTGAAAAGGAGCCCGACTTGAAGTCGCTAGCTAAAGCGCTCTCAGAGAGCTATTCGTCTTTATTAAAATATTCGTCGCTCCCAGATAATGCCGTAAGCACAGTCCAACATCTCCAAAGTGCAGTACAATGCCTCTGAACTCTGTTATAGATTACCAATCACTTGTCGCAGCTTGCAAAGTACAGCAGCCATTTGCCTCTTTCCTGGTTCACTTCCTCTTTGATTCAGGTGCTTGTTGTACTCAACGATCGATTCCGCAAGCAACAGCAATACCCCGCCCTCGCTTCCATCTACACCTTGTGGGCCGTATGGACTCGTCGACTTTCCGGTTCGCCCACCGATATTCAGAACGCAGACCCTCAGCTATCCAATGTTCTTGGCTTGATGCGAGAATTACTCTTGTCCGATCTTCCGCCGACTGCATTGGCCATTCGTAAAGATGCTTGGATAGGATTGGTGGCTCTCGTTGGTCGCTGTCCCCCAGGCTTTCCAGAGGCAAAGCTAATCGAGGCCATGACCGATATCATCGATCGATATGCTGAGCAACCCGATATATGCGAGGCTATGGGAGAGACTTTTGATGCTGGTGTGGCGCATTGCTTGGCCCAAACAACCATGCTTAACGAATTGGAAATGGATCACTGTCAACGTTTATTGGAAGCGGAAGTGAAAATGGTATCTGGACGGGAAGCCGGCATCCGATCGCTTATGACGGTCATGGAGCATACAGTGGATGTTCGCTCGCAGCAGAAACCGCAGACACGTGCAGAGGCTGATTTACAAACGCTGGTGCGACTGGCCGATACCATTTTGCAGAGCGATCCACTCGCTTCTTTACCCATCCGAATGACACGCATGGCTATTCTTGCCGGCATCCTGTAATTATTCTTGACTGTGTATCGCTGCTGATGGTAATAATAATAATTGTGCTGTATGTTGTTAGTCGCATGCTTCAATTCACGCAAGGACCGAAAACGAAAAAGGTGAAGGCGCTGCGCAACGAAGCGGAAACTCTATATGTCCGCCATCTGGATGCATTGGTCACGGATATTTTAAAGCCCGAGCAAGTTCATCAGTTTGACAAGTATCAAGGTGAGAGGATTGGCTGCAAACAAAAAGTCATCGATCGATGACTCATGGATGATGATCGATCATAGATATTATCTTGATTTTTGTTGGTCAATGTATTCCAAACATACCTTCCAAAGCATTGAGAGAACTTCATTTACCATCCTTGTTACATGTATGCGTTTCTGCCCTGTTGACCAACCATCGTACATGGAACAACGGCCAGTTTCTATACAATCTGAAAAACACCAAAGAAACAGTTCAGCATTTGAATGATCTTGTTGACAACGCCTTGTTCAAGGATATTGGTCGCGTCTCCCGTGCAATAGGAAACATTGTCCGAGCCATGCTTGAATCCAACAGTGAAGACAACGCGCCTCATGTACAGGAGGTTCTTGATCGGTAAGATTTGACGCGGGATATGATCCAAACAATGGTAATGTCTAATCACAGTTTTACAGGTTGGTGGCGTTCTCTTATAATGTCTTGATTAGTTGGGATCGATTCATTCTGGAGCATCCGGAGTCTCTCATGAACGAAGGTTAGATCTGCGCCAGTGTGGAAAACAACAATTGTGGATCTAACATTGAATTGGTGTATTTAGCCGAGAAACAAACTTTGAAGAATCTGGATACAGCGATATTGTCGATATTGAAAGCGATGCTATTTGCGTTTACGGCTATTGTAAAGACTGTTGCTGTCGATGTATCCAATGGCGAAGGACTGCTGGCGGTACAATACTCTGGTATGACGGTCGATATGCAAATGTCACTGAAGTTTTGGCACTTGGCTAACTGTTTAGCAGCTCAGGACATACTGTCTATCTATGCCAATCTACAGTTCGTTACGGATAAACTAGGATCAGGAACCGGTTTCCAAGCCTACCAAGATACCTTAACCAATGCGGTGGCGTATCTCACTCATGAAGATCATCTTTGTCAACTCAATCGATTTATTTCGCTCGCTTTTCGTGAATATGGTAAGAAAAGAAAAAGAAAAAAAAAACTCGAATAACAATGAGTAGCTGATCGATGGATTAACCCTATGATACTGTAGCTCCTCAGCAGTTCATCAATGATCCAACCCATCCTACCGATATTCTTTCACCGGGACATACTGCTCGATTAACCTTTTTCACTAATCTTATTGAGCAAGTGATGAAAGACATTGATGATACCATTCTGGAAAACGATATCCTTCCTGTGATTTACCCTGTCTTGAAATGGCGAAAGATCAAGAACAAGGAGTTATACGAAAGCGCGCATGCAGCTATGCTGAGCATCTTTGCCGCCGAAAAGCCAGTATCTCGCGAAGTGGCAGGCGTCTATGCTAACATCTTGATTGAGGTAATTTATCGCTTACGTTTTGGATAAAACTCAATGCTAAAGTTGAATTGGGAATCTTTAGAGCTTCCCGGAACCTATGACGCATCATCAGCTGCGTTTCGCCTACACCACCATGATCCAATCGCTATGTGCTATGGACGACGCGTTAGCGTGGTTGACCGTGGCAAGGGTACTCGAGAAGTTGCGGACGCTTGAGAGCGAGCAAGACACGGTGCTTCAATCTCAGTATACAGTGGTCCTCATTGATCTATTGAAACCCATGTCGTTGGGTCCTTTTCTCGGCAAGCTGTTGCAGGAAATCGAATACCAAGTGTTGAAGCAGGAGACACCCAATGCACGAGAAGCAACGTTAAAAATCATATTTGAAGTGGTTAGCGGGACTGGCATTTCAGATATGAGACGTGTGGAGGCTGTAGGATGGTTTTTAGATTTGAAACGTCGCGTGGCAGCTCTCTCTACCCATAAATATGAAGAGCAAAAAGAGCGAAAATGATACGTCTTTGATACGATTTAGCTCAATACATGTATACTTAAATAGATGTTGTGAATGCAAGGATGTTTTTGATTTCTTTTATATGTGCTTGTTTCTTGATATACATTTTCTATCATTGGCATACAACAATATCCTTTCGGTATATATATGATGAACGTTGGTCCTCGCTGAATATTAGCGCGAGTTTCGGCCCAAAATATACTGGATGACAACGCTTTAGGTTTAGAAGTAAGAGATGTCGCCAAACTTCTCCTTGTAACCGGGGATAGTGAACTTGCCCTTTTGGAGCATACCCTCGATCTCCTTGACAATCTCGGGTTTGGCGTTCAAGATATCGTCGACCTAAAAAGAAAAAAGGGGAGCAACGTGCATCAGTAACCGGACCTAGTTACGGTGTCTTGGATGCCTTATTTTACCTTTAACTGTTCAATGGGACGAGAGCCTTGAATATTATCAAGGGTAGCATGAAGATCCTTCAATTCAGTGTCAATCTGTTGAACCTTCTGCTTAGCCTTCTCGACCTAGAGAAACGAACGCGTAAAAAATAAAAAATAAAAAGGTGAGTGACAAGAGATATGACAATTATAAACACAAGTTAACATACAGCCTTGGCTTCAAATTTGTCAATGGCCTTCAATTGAGCATCCAAGTCGTAGGTGACAGGCTTGAATCCAGACAAAGCTTTTTCGGATTGAGCGACGATGTCTTGATTTTTCAAGACCTTGCGGTAGTGAGCAAAATCGACGGTGGTGGATTGTTCTTTGAGTTCGTGCAAGAGACGCTTCACTTCATCGTTGCGCTTGCGGAATGCCAACAAGGAAGCCGCGCTTTCTTTGGGAAGACTTCCGGCCAACTTGGACCAGTCGAGTTGCTTAGCAGCAGCACGTACAGTAGTAGGAATCATGACAACTGTTATGTAAAACCTGTCGTGCTTGGTGGGGCAATTTTTTTTTTTTTTTTTTTTTCACCGTTGCTCCGGGTATGGTGGTCAGTTCAGTTTTAGTCCACACAGGGGCGCGCCCTTAATTTTCGGTGGACGTCATCAGAATTAGTGTGACTATTTTAAAAAATGATTTTATGACTTACGAGCGCGCGGACCTAACAAGAGGCTAGTTGGCGGGGCTTTCAACGCCGAGCGCAGTAAATGCGCGCTGAGGTCGTTGCAAGGCGACCGGTCGAGAATCGAGTCGATACCCTGACTGGATGTACCGCTGTAAGATGCGTCGAATATTGATACCAGCATTGATATCGCGATTCCAGATCTGACAAACAAACTGAATATCGACGTTTCAGAAAGATTACAAATGAAGATAGGTTTACCAGCGGATTTGAAATATCGTTTTCTGACACACACTGGGGACACAGTCGAGCCGGGTAAACGATGCTTTTCCATCCGCGACCTACACCAAGTTGTATTGATATGGTTTCAAAGAGTCAAAGAACTTTGGTTAGTAAGCTTACCTGCAGGTCTTCTTGCAGGACATTCCGAACTGTAGCCGAGTATATTGCCTTCGTTGTCCAAGCAACGTTGTCTCGGCCTTCTATCTACACCTCTCAGTCTCTTCTTCTTTTTCCTAATATATTGTTGGTCAATTCATGCGTAAGCATTGATACGTGACGTGAACTTACTTGTGATCACAGACGCGAAGCTGTTCATCTCGCACATCCACTGTCGTGGAATCACATCGACTGCAAACTTTGCTAGTCAGATATTCATCGACGCAAATCACGAGAGCTTTCTGTCCCAAGACTTGACGGAGCCCCTAATGTTCTGATTAAAACTTTGTTCAAGTTGAGCAATTGATAATGTTATACCTTTACTGGGACGGGAGCATTGCCTTTCATGGGTCGTAAGTCTGCATCACCAAACGCGAAAATCACCGGTCCAGCGGGCCGCTCTTCGTCTTTGACGACGTTGTCTTCTGGAATCCTTGTACACCCATTGTTGAGGCTATCAAACTCAAAGGTTAGTATTCTTTTTTTGTTTACACAATAGCAAAGTAGTACTTACAATTCTTGATTCAGCAACATCTCCCAGCAATGTGTCTGCAATTTTATGCAAAGTCATCTTTCTTTGTGACGCTAGTAGGGCACGCTTTTCGCGATGCTTGTAATGACAGTTGAATGCATGTAGACTATTTATACTTACTATTAGTATGAAATGACGTTAATTTTTTCTTTTTCATTTAATTTACCGTCGATGGACGCGAGATAATGTTCGAAGATAGCTCTGAAATCCAGCTACTGTTGCATCACTTGAGGGAGTATTCCCAAGTTCTTCGTAGATGCCGTCGATGTTCGCAGCTTTCCGGTTTTTCAGTTCCATCTGCTGAGACCAAGTAAACATGCTGCTCCTCCTAAGACACACACAAAGGGAAAAGCTCAATAATCGTATGTGCATAACGAGTGAGTTACTTACTGATACTGGCCATTGGTTACGGAGAAGATATGTCTCTGTCTTCATCAACGTCATGCAGATTTTGATCGCTGTCCACAGCCGTGATTATTGACCTCTGACCTATGTGCAGTTGTATAAGTTACTGTTTCATCCCTTGGTAAAAAAAAAAGCATTGCCTCTATTACCTGAGTCGATTCCAACCACTCGTGCTTCTGGGTCTAAGCCAGTCGGGTTTTTGCTCAAATGATAAATGCCGCAAGTCCATGATGACATGTTGGGCTCCCGTGGCAGCAACTGAAATTCCTTTTTTGTCTGCGGGAAAGGCGCTAATGTCAAAAAATCAATATCAATATCAATTGTCACAGTTATGTCACTGGTCGAACTCTACCTCGATCCCAACGTTTAATGAATTTAACAGATATCATCATCCCGTCGGTTTCAACGCTGTAGTAAAACTGCGTGTGTTTTTCATCAGAAGCTATAATGATACGATTCATTAAATGTGTGCTCGGGTAAAGAACTATGGTTTACTTACGTGTTCCCGCGTCTGCCGCCCGCAGCCGGTTTGGACAGAGCTTATCCAGTGCGAAAATTTCTTCCCACAAGGTTTCTTTGAATTGATCATTCTTATTCAACCGCTTAAATTCCGTCAAAGTAATGAAATGCTCCGTGAATATTGGCTTCGTCTCATTCTCTGTGAAATAAGCGATGTTGTTTAGTACATAGCATCTTTAGGGGTTTTTTTTGGCTTACTTTGAGGATGTTCGGTACATTATGTCCGGAAATCCGTGCTTGATATAGGAAATGGTACACGCCAGTTCCATGGATAGGCACATAGCCTAAAATATGCTGTGTAAGATGTTGTGTGTATCGTGTTTGTTCACATGGAGAAGCATACCAATCTGATGAGAGGCCAAAGGGAGAAGTGTCCATCTCCTTCCCTCATATAAGATTTGCTCTCTGAAGGAGCCAAGCAGAAAAACGAAGAAGGCCTGAAGTGTGCCTTGAACCAGCAGCTTCTTCAATTGCATCGGCTGTGGTGGTGGTGCCAAACGACTGGTTGAATTCATGGAGCATCTCCCCATAAAAATGGCGAATCTTTCAATTTCGCCTGGGACACCTTCCCAGTTATCCATATTGAATTCTTCATGCTTAAGCAAATGAAGGACTGCGTTATTCCCTATATTGTAATTGTAAGATGGTATACAATCAAAAATTGGACATTAACTTTACCTAACGCTTTTGCACTTCGCGGTAGCTGGACTTCATTGCGCTTGGCAAAAGACCGCAAAAAGGCTTCCCAGACACGAAGCATGTATTTTCGATAATTCCCTCCCAAATGTAAGATGGCGTCTGTGAATGTTATGGTTAGATCGAATATAACCCCATTAAGGTTTGTTTATTACTTGTATGAGCTTTGGAGGCATAATCGTCTGCAAGATCCAAAAGGACTGGTCGCCACTGAGGAAACTGATAGCCTATAAAGGAAGTATACGTTAACTTCCCCTGCAATGATGTTTTATGTATCTGGCGGCATAACGAACCTCGAGTTACAGGAAGAAAAAAATGCTCAAAGGTATGCCATAGGTCCAATTCCCATTGGATGTCTCTGATATTGGGCGCCTTGTTAAAAAAAAATTGTCAGTAATTATTTGGAAGCCAAATGTTGAATAGTTTCACATACCGGCGCCCCAGCTTGACAGCGTGCGGCTGCCAACATAAAACACTTCTTATAGAAAAGCTTGTTGTCTAGTGGAGGACTCATAAAAGATGACGGATCGTTTATCCAGCGCAGGGCATGAAGTAATGCTAAATTATTAGCGTCTCTTCTCAGGAGACTATATTCTTCTGCAAGCGTCCTCAATGGTTGCTGGATTATAAGATATTGAGCCTCCATTTTCCAAGTGATGTATGTAAAAGTCATAAGAGTTTACCCGCAGTGAGCGATAGGCACTATTCAAGAACGTAGACAGCTTGATTGTTCGGACTGTCAAGTATCTAAAGTCGCGGATCGACGCTAGCGTATATTGTCTGCTCATGTGGTCATAGGAGATATATCAATATATGTAAAACAAATTTTGTAAAGAAGTTAAGGTTATGTAAAGCAGTAAAATAGATCGGTAATATGGGACAAACACAAATAAGTGCAAAAAGAAGGAGAAATGACGAAAAAATGTTAAAAAGAGAGAGGGAAAAAAAGAAAGAAAGACAACCTTTTTACAGAGGATCGAGCAGCTCTGCCTCGTTCACGTGACTCTCGTTTCTATCTACCGCAACTCATGCTCTATCATCGGCTGATGGAAAATTTTATAGCAGCAGATAAAAGAAGCGAGAAGTTAGTGAGCACCAAATATACTTGACAGCTATATGAAATCGATTTGAACACGGTCGAGAAGGGTGGTAAGAATTGATAAGAACAAAGAAACCCAAAAAGATGGAAATAACAGCAAGAGATACTTCTGTTATGTGTGCACGGATTTGGGTGAGAAATGATCCAGCTAATAATCAAATAAAATAATCTACACGAAAATCGCAAAGAACGGGATTGAACTAATAGAAAGGAAACTTAGCAAACGGGATATCAGGTCAGAGCTGGAGGACCCTAAAAAGAGAATGGATTGTGTTGATATCGCCGTGGTCATTGTCAATCATGCCTGCTTGGAGGCCTCATGTATGACATCCATACACACAATAAACGAAAGGACCTAAACTGTATTGGTAATTACCGATTTATTTTATTTTGGAAAAAAAAAAAAACCAAAGACCTTGCCACTATAAAGATATGACCCCATCTATGTACTTACCTCCAACTGCCATCGACTCATCAAAGCAGTTATTGACCATCCATCATCAGCGTTGTCAAACTGCATATAATACCCATTTTTCGTTAACCTTCTATCCCCCTCAACGCCAAACATTCATGCATATTTTCATGAAGTTGGAATCTCTTCTTTCGTTGGATGGCGTTGTATATACGTACATGTAACCGATGAAGCTATGACAAAGCATCGCGCTCTTCAACTTACCTCAATCTGCCATGTGCTCATGAAGGCCAACATCGACCACCCACCATCAACAGCGTCGTACTTGCAGAAATGGTCAGTTTCTTCGATTCTCAATTACCACAAACGCAAGCTCTCATTCACATCTTCATGAAGACGTGAATTCTTCTTCAGTAGTCTCTGAATCGCGTTGTACACATGCATGTATCCGATGGAGAAACTTTTCGGGATGAGCGCCTCACCATTCCACACCTTAGTAAGAAATATGATGAGTATATGATTATTACCTCGTAATGATATCCATAATATACCTTGGTCAGAGTGTCGCTGTCCAAGCGAAGCATCTCATTGATCTTGGCCCAAGTGAACTTGCTTTGCACTTGCTCCTCAATCCAGTTGGAGAGACGCTCAAAGATGGGGCCCGTTCTCAAGTACTCCTAGCTGCCTGGAGTGTGGCCGACGCGTTTCCAATGATAGGTCACCTCAACAAAACCCCTTTCAGCCTCATAGGAGGAGACAGAGATTCGGGCTTGACATCCACAACGGATGGAAGGCTTGACGCGGCGCTTCTTCGCGGTGGAGTGGTAGCTACCAGCACGATGACACGTATAATGATCGCGAATAAAGAGAGCGCCAGGAGCAGGGTAAGGCTTGTGCACGAAAGTACAGTATAGCTACAAGACGTATTATTTACCTGCAGATGTTTACGATAGGAAATGACTTACCGCTCTTCTTGTTCCTTAATGAAGCGAGCAATGTCGTCTTGCGGGAGCATGAAGACAGCAGGGGATTCAGCGGCGAAGGGCCGGCGGGCTGAACAACAGCAGCAGTGATATCGTTTATGGCTTGCGGGACGGACATGACTTACGTTATGTAGAAACGGACAGCAGAAAGAGAAAGGGCGTTATAGGGAACGCGCATAGTAAAAATTGTGACGTACGGGAAAGGATTGCTGTCGAACGCCGTGTTGGAGAATCTCTCCAATTGGGAAGCTCTATCTTAATCAACTGGATCGATAACTCTGTGTTTGCAAAATAACAAGCGACCCTCGTAGACTTCACTCTTATAATGTCGCAAGCATTCATAAAGAGGAAATTAATGGAATTTTCCAACAATAATTTATACTTTATGTATGAAATAAGAACCAATAACAGAGAAGCTTAAGTAGAATACAGGGGATATTTGTTCAGCAAATAGAACTAGATAAAATCAATGTTTGGACACTCAATCCAAAAATGGAAGCCAATGCCAAGTAGATGCGTCAACAGCAACGTAAAATTTAGTACAGCGAAAATTTTTCCGTAACACATTTACAGCATATCTTACATGGTAGCGTGTCTTTTCACCAGCACGGCTACTACAGTATTACGGATGGCTGATTCAATCAAGACTTGCTGCATGACATATATTGTATGTTATTGAATTACATGCGAAAAAGAAAAAAAAAAAAGGCGGCTGGTGCAGCAGCATATTTTACTGTCCAGTGTCCATCGTTGATCAGCAGACCTTGTGACACCTAATACAAATGGTATACTTGGTTGTTATTGTTTATCGTTAATCCTAAACCTTTTTTTTTTTCCCCTTCTTCCTTTCGTCATTTCCATATTGCATATTTTCTTATTCTTCTACTTTTCCTTTTTATTGCTTTTACTCTTACTTTTGGTGTACAGTTCAATGTTATCCGCAACTTTAACTGAAAAAGTACTGTCTCGTCTCAAGGATTGGAAATTGGGGATACGGCCGTCCGGTGAATTAGCAGACTTTCCGTGCTTTGTACAGACCGATATCCCGAGAATCACGCCTCTTATCGAAGATCAATCTTGCGCATGGATTGTCACTCAGAGTGCGTGGACCGCCAATCTGGTATCCTGTGGTGTACTTTGGACCATGAACAATGATAGCACTATGCGTGCATTTTCCGAGTGTCAGATGATGTTCCATCCTCGATTATCTGATCCACATCATAAAGTGGTGCATTTACTGCACTTTGATACGCATGCTTGGTTTCCCATCAACCGTATTCTCAGGCCTACAGTGAAGTGCCAGTCGGCCATTGAATCCGCTTTGGCTAATTTGCCGGATCAGGAAGAGACATGGAAAGCGTTATGCAGAGTGTGGCACGAGTTTGGTTTCTTTTGGCCACAAAAAATTGTCCTGGGTCAGCGTGTCCACATCAAGGTGCCGTATCAGCTCACCTCGGAAAAAGAGCGCTTATATCGGCTAAAGATTGCCAAAGATGAAGCCTTTATCGAATTTCAACGACAAAAAGGCAAACTGGAAATGAACAAAGAGAAGCCTCTAAAAGGTAAGCTTATTTGGAATTCCTCGACCCCTCGGTCGGAAGGAGAACGTTTGGGTTTTATCTAATAGCATGCACTAGCTAGAAGGACCGAAAGATGACGCCTTGCTGCAGCATGCTTCCACCACATGGACCATTATCAAACGAGACGATATATTACCTATCCACGAATTTCTTTCTACCAAGTTGCGAGATCAGATCGTGCAAGTCATCTATCAGCGATTTCATCGTATTCCCCTCCAATACCCGTTTAAGCTCCGCAATTTACACACAACGGGTTATCTCAGTTGGCGACTGAATACGAAAAAGAAGGCGAAACAGGCACCATCTGATACCGATCAGTTTCTATTTGGTTCGCTTCCTTTGGAATCTATGCGACCAACACAGAGCCAGTACCTTTGGCGATTTACATTTGATGCGTCACAAAGGGTACCGTCGTTCATTAATTTGGACGCTGCCACGTATCAGTCGCATTACCTTCGATGTGGTACCCGGATCTATCTATCACCGGCCTGTGACACTCCTTGCTATCTGCGTAGACATGATTCCTCTGTGATGCTCGATAATACTTCGCCGATCAGCCATATATTACCCAGTCATCGCATGATCTTGACGAGGTTACCCCTACCGAAAGATGCAGATCGGAGCAACACAGCGTCCCGTGTAAGAGCGGTGTCGCTTGTCAGCACGGACGGTCTTGAGCATAATTCGAGCTACGACATTTCGCAGGACTGGACCATCGAAATGCCCGGGCTGGGGCTTGGACGTGACGACGATGCATCGACGGACGAGCGGTTGAATATTGATATTCAAATAGGTCGCCTAAAACCCATCATCGACGGAGACATTATCGCTTTGAGACAATTGCTTTACCTGTGTTCGGTAGCCAACATTGGCAATGGGCATCGTCACGGCTGGGAAACTAATAGTTTATCACCAACAGCATGGAATCCCGAGCCCAGTCAGTCACCACGACAAAAAAACATCAACCCGAATGACGTCCATCACCCGGTGTTGGCAAAGGAACACGCTCTTGTAAGCTCACCCACGGAACAATGTTGGGTCATTGAGCTGGCCACGGCTGCGGATCTGGAGAGGCATCCATTCTATGCGCCAACCTCTTCAAAAGAAATTGACTTGCATGCATCGATATCAGGCAATACATCCACGAACGACGTGAACGATCCAAATCTGTCCAACGTTCGAACCCTTATATCCATGGCTTATCCCCGTCTTAAAGCTGCAGCCAGTGTTGAAAGTCTGCGTCCCAGTGTGAAGTCAGTCCGGAAAGTACAATCAATGGATTCTATTCTGACAACTCCGTACGCCAGTCTCTCCATCGATAACATGTTCACTCCCAATAATTTATCAATGTCAGAATCCACTGCGCAAGAATCTTTGACTGACATGAAGAGTAAACAACCTCCCGTTATTGCAACAACAACGCCGTTACCGGCCTCCGTCATCGGTAGACCAGCTCCTGTGGACGTCTCTCCGGTGATCAAGTTCGATGTAAACGACATGGATGTGGTAGCCAACGCGCGAGCACAACCCTACTTGAAATTCTATGCAGCCCAGCAAAATACAATGACATGGTCTCAGTTGGTGCGCAATGCAAGCTTAACGAAATTACGTCGTCTTGTACATCCCAAGTCGGGAGCTAATCATAAGATCAAACGATAAATAGAATGTATGCAAAACATGTACAAAACTTTTATATGATGTACGGAGTGAGGAAATGGGAAAAAGAAAAAAGTTAGACAATAGCCGCTTACGCAGTAAGATTATCATATTATAACACAGCCGTTTAACTATCTTCTTCTTCTTCATCTTCATCATGTTCTCTGAAGCGGGGATTCTATGCCACGATGACAGCTTGATTAGTTTTTTTTTTTTTTTTTTTTTTTTTTTTTTTTTTTTTTTTTTCCAATATGATGCTGATAATACAGGAGCCTACCTGTTCCTTTTGACGCTTTCTGTCCATATCCTCTGCAGAGTCCTCTTGTCCACGATCCCGCTTTCTATTACCTATTAATCACGACGCCAAAGTATTATATATGAGCAATTGGTTGCATTTCACCGACATGCGGTTGTTGCTAAAACTCACCAGCGCTCGTTCCCACACGGTTCTTATATTCGTCAGCACCTTTGGGAATCTCTTTGATGGCTTCATAGTTCTCTTTAATATTTCTTGCTCTGTCTTGTTCAAGTTGCATGCGCATACGATGGCCCCAACCGCCACGTCCAGCGTCATATTCCATGCGATACTCGTCACGTACTTGCCCACCGCTACGTCCGCGACCGTATTGACGTCCCTCTTTGAAACCTGGATCTAAATCACAACGAATGACACGATCGTCGAGCTTTGTACCATTGGCGTATTTCATGCAATCCAGCGCATCACTTCGATGATAGTATCTATCATGAAAATGTCAAAAAGAATTCGCTTCCACGATGGCAAGAAAGATATGGCAAGCTTACTCGACAAAGCAGAACCCACATGGGGTCTTTTGATTACGATCTAAGCCCATAATGATACGTTTAATTTCGCCGCATTTCGAAAATAATTCGTAGATTTGTTCTTCCGTTGTATAAAATGAGAGATTGCCGACGTAGAGGGTGGTGGTGCTGGAGAGATCGTCGACAAATTGATTGGAAGTTCCCTACATTTGGAGATCCTAGTAAGCAAACTGAAGCAAAAGCGCGAATAAAGAATGAATGGGGCAAGGAACCTGGTATAATTGGTCGCGGTAGCTGGAAGGCACAGCGAGAGAATTCACGAGTGAGGTCATGGTTGAGGACAGCAAGAAAACGTAGTGGCCCGATCGAACACTTTTTGCAGAAATTCAAACGCCAAGTGACTGTCGCCAATTCCCGCTCGCAAACTCCTCAATTTTGCAATGCATCTTTTTCAGCCAACATTCACATCCATCCGAAGACTCCAATTCAGTCAAAAAGTCATAGCATGACGTCACGCTGAGAACAATGAATATGTTCTGAGCTTTGACGCTGAAGACTGGCGAAGCTTTCCACAATCTTGTGCAAGTGATTTGCTCTACGTGAACATCATTTAGCTGCCGACGTTCGCGACGCTGTTGCCAAATATGAAGGAAAGTTCAACATCGCACTCGTGGTCAAACGATCCAACTACCATGTAACCTCTTTCACATGCAAGCACTACGGAGAATGGAGAACCCGCAAAGGTGGCGCCGACGATGACGCCCTTGAAGACCAAGAAATTTCAGGCCAGCCGCTTATCAAGAGCACATGAAGCCAGAAAATTGACTGTGAATGCTTCATCAACATGAGGCACTCAAAGTTGGGCAAGTGGTATGCTAAGGACTGGATGGCTGAACACAAATGTGTCATATAAGAGGTCAGAAAGGTGTACGGCCTTTACAGACAACAACCTGCAAAAGTCGCATCAGCTGTATCAAAGACGTCGACTTTGTCTGAAACCAGCTCATCCACCGCAAGCACGCCAGATCCAGCAGCCGTATCCATATATCTCCAAGCGGCCAGATCAGATCGCATGCACGTTGACGATGCCGACATCTCACAGCGCTTTTTCGAGCTTCAACAAGCCAAATTTCTGTATCGATATCCTAAAGCTTTTGTCTTTTGATCTCTTATTCTGGGAATACATCTTTTCGAAGATACACTTTGGACTAGCGCCTACATTTTTGGAAGTCTCTTTTACGAGTCGCGACCGCTGGCCAGTTATCCCTGGAATCGGTTGTTCACTTGATCTTCTCATCATCGTCCATTTTTCTACTACATAAGAACAATCGCATTCATCCATAATGGCACGATTATTTGTTATCAAGCTCTACCGACGCGTGCGCCATAAGGTCCAAGCAAAGGCACCGAGAACTTGAATCCCCTGTAACATCGACCGTATGGCTGCCTGTCCGCAAGTGTTCTGTATGGCCCACCGCAATGAGGACGGTCAACTGGATTCCATTTACAAGAAGCTTATCGTAACGACATCTCAGCTTTTGCGCGACTTACCCATAAATCCAACCAATGCAGTCATCAGTGAGTTCGAGCTGATTACAGCATACTTGATACCAGCTCCGAAACCGCTCGATGCGTTGGGCGGCTACCGAGTCCCCCGAGAGTAGCAGACGTACAATTGCCAGTAAGTAGCCCGATTGTCTTATCACAATGTACCCAGAAGACACCGACGATGGTGTAAACATTGGATATGGAGAAGTTAAAGCGCGAAAGCGAACGGCGACATCACTATCTTGTCAATCGTGACTTGATCCGCCTTGCGCTCTTTACCAAAAAATCAATCGACGATGACAGCTTTGCTACCCGCACTACCTTGGCTATCCATACTACTGGTTCTACTTTGACTTTATATTTACTCAAGATCCAAAGTGACGGCCTGAATATCATGACCGAATTGGCCCAGTTTCAGGTTCCTATGGCTGGGTCCGAGATTCCTTCATTTCTGGCGAAGTTTACAACCTTAAAAATGGCATTTATGTTTTTCTCAACGAATGCACTCCACTGTCAACCGAAAGCAATGCCTATCCTTCATCTTGGCGTCGCGCCTCCTTATCTCCGAGTGATGAAGCGCTAATCTTGACCAAGAAAAACCGTAAACGCAAGAAGTATTCTAGCTACGATCCCTAACAACTGATGTCTTTATATTCTTCCTTTTATTCACTTTTTTGTTTTACGTAGTAAAGACGATCACATCTCTCCCTGCCAAAACAAAAAGATGGTTTCATTCAGAAATTTCGTCAATCTACCTGAGTATCGATGCGCATCATAGCATGGCTTCTGAGGCAAACGAATTTAGTTTTCGTACAACCTGAGTTTCGTTCTCGCCATCGGGCGAATTTACCTTCCGGAAAAAGAGTGCACCAGTTGGCTTGATCCGCCGCCAAGTTTAAATTTTGGGTGACACCACCGAGTTATTAGAGTCGAGGGAACACCAAGAATAGCATTTAACCACCTTTTAATTTTCTATTCCGATCATTTTCCTTCTTTCTTTCCTTTACGATGGAAAAATACTATCATGGGCAGCAATATAATACAGCAGCGCAGCCGGGATATGGTCAAGGTCAATACGATAGCTATGCGATGCATTATCTCCCGCCACAACAAGGCTATTCGGTGAACCATCCGGACGAGTATTCTGACCATTACAACCGATCTGGAAGCACGCCCGTACCTACTCCTAGCAATGATAATGGATACGTCGTTGACAATAGTGCTGACCGAAGTCATATCGTCGGCATGGCGATGCCGTCAGATGGAGGATATCGAAATTTTGAAAAGGCCGCCTATGTTCCTATCGATGGTGCAGGAAGCATCCGACAACGCCGATCTTGCATCGATATGTTCTGCTGTGGATGCTGCACCTGTTGTCCCCGTTGGATGCGATGGTGCACCTGTTTAATACTTATCATCATCGTCGGGTTAGGCATTGCTGTGGGTGTACTGGCGGCTATATTTAAAGTGCCGGAAGTGAAATTTCAAGGCATCGAAGGACAGCCAGCAGTCAGCCTCAACGGCACAAGCCTCAACATGATGATGAATTTCAGTATCAGCGTCAACAATCCAAATATTGAAAGCATTACATTTGAAACCATTGAAGCAACGGTAAGTTTTCAAATCATTTATTTGGTCCGTTTATGAGGATGAGAGTATGCCGGATGACACGATGTCTCTCTAGGCCTTTTACCCAGGACATCATGATATTCCTTTAGGCGGTGGCACCAAAAAAGACCTCCACATTCGCTCCAACGGTGTCACCAACTTTACATTTCCTTTTGAAGTCAAGGTTGATGCACAGCAGAGTGCCTCAAAATCCATTGCGGCCGACATCCTTACCAAATGCGGCCTTGTTGGAGGCGAACGGCAAGATCTTACAATAGACTACGACGTGAAACCCACAGTTCGCATTGTAGGAATTCCTATTTCTATTACCTTGAGCAACAAAGCCAGTTTTCCTTGTCCAATTGATGTAAGTGTCTCATTTTTGGATGTTTTGCCGCACCTCGAATACTAAACGATTTATATAGGGCAATGATGTATTTTCAATCCTTGATAAATTACTTCCCCTTATCCCACCGGATCTACTGCCGAACAATGGTTCATGAGAATAAAAACAGCTGTAACAGGATCGGGATTAGTTGTATTCGACAAAATAATTTAATGCGGTCTATGCATATCGTTACTTCCATATCGGGATAAGCAACGATGATAACATATGAATGCATCTCAGTGGCTGTCGACTAGGAACAGTAAAGTTCTATGTTCAAAATTATTCGACGGGTAAGTTGGAGGCAATCGCCTACACCTCCTTATAGTGTACTTTTACTTTTAGAATAAAGACAACAACTCGATCTGAATCATTGCGTCGATACTGTATGACGGCAAAACATAGTTCTGCATGATAATGGCGTTATGCTGCGTTTTCTTGGATTTGCAAGACTACGTCGTCCCAATTGTACAGTATAAACCAAGTTTTATTGTATTACCATGCGCTTTTACTAATTTTCGACGTGCCAAGCAGCTTGTATTTTTGTTGGCAAGTAAAAATCAAAATCGAGGAAGCCATAGATGGATGGTTTGCCTACTCCTTCATTGTCACACATTTTTGAGACCAGCTCCAAACAAAAAAAAAACCCGCTCTTTTTTTTTGGATGCGTGCATTTATTTCAGGAAAACCCAGAATGACACGGCTATTTCTCACTCTTGCAACGCGTAATTTATTTGTAAACCCATCTTACATTAAACGCACCATGTCGACTACAACTAAGCATATGGATGACGATTGCATCTTCTGCAAGATTGTACGGTAAGCATTGACAGTTGACACCTATTGACGTTTGTTGCCCATGTTTAAGCATCGGTCACAATTTAGTGGCAAAGTTCCTTCCAAGAAAGTCGCAGAAACTGATAAAAGGTGAGTAATACGATATGGGGCTTTCGCTTTTTATTGCCATCAATAATACTGTTGCTACGTAGTTTTGCGTTCATGGATATTGAACCTCTGAGCTCTGGCCACGTGGTGAGTGTTGTCGCATAAATGTGAATAATGTCGAATTACTCAAAAGCAGTTGCATAAAAATATAGCTCATTATTCCTAAATGTAAGCCAAGCCAATCTTTACTTTAATGCAGTCGCTGATAATGATCGACTAGACCATGCCAAGTATATGCATGAGTTGCCAGATGAATACTTGTCAGATGTCATGCCTATTGCAAAGCGTATCGCTATTGCTGCAGACTTGGACCAATACAATGTTCTTCAGGTAATTTCTCCAAGCGAACACAATACCGAGTCACATATTGACTATTCCCGTTTAATAGAACAATGGTAAACTGGCTAATCAGGTAAGAGATTACCGGGATTTCACAAAGTCTGTTGATCAGTGATAACATCGCAAATCTAGGCTGTACCACACGTTCATTTCCACGTCATTCCCAAGCCCAACGAAGAAACCGGCTTGGGTATCCGATGGAAGCCCATGGAGACGACCCCTGACGATATTACAGCTGTTTACGAAAGAATCCTAAAGAAGCTGTGAGGCGTGCGGTTATTGGATCTGAGATCTGATTGAACCGTCGTCAGATTCTCATCATTGTCTTTAAATTTCGAACCCAACTGAAAGAAAATTGATTCGAGACAATAAAAAAAAATTCGATGCGTGCTTCCTCGCAATAACCCACACTTCTGTATTTCTCTCCCTTTTTCCCCGATCTTGCAATGTCTCTTCTATATGCAACGGCTGCAAGAAATATCCGCTGTGGACCATTCTCTAGGACGTTCACCACCATATCAGGCGCCACATGTAAACCGCTGATCCGTCCTGCACCTGTTATGAATCCACTCATGGCACGTCTATCCCCACATTCACGAGTAACCACTGCAGCAGTTCCCTCTTATCAGCATCAAACTGTCCGGTCATTATCCATGTGGCGGATTCCCATTCTGATTGCCACAGCCGGCAAAACCAAAAGACGACTTGCTGTAACGGCTCTTTTGGGTGGCGCGAGTCTCATTAGCGCTGTCGTGGGACCTGTGGTATGGATTATCCTTGGTGGCACAGGCGCTTTTGTAGCGTGGCGCGTATGGCGTCAAACGAACAAATGGTGGAAATACATTGGACCTCCAGCCGCGACCATTGCTGGATCTGCCGTTCCCATGACCTCGACGGTGTGGAACGCCGTTAAAAACCACGTTGGAAAACACCGAGCGGCTGATGAGGTGCGCCAGAAAGCGATCGATCATGTCAAGGAGTGGGCGCAGACCCAGCAAGGACGACAAATTCTACTGAATGAATTCAGTGTAGATCACGTCGATGAACTCACCTTCTTCCCCACCCATTCGTCAGAAACGGTAACACGCAAAATATCACAAAATGAGGGAAAAGAAGAGACTGAAAGAAACGAGGTGAAAGTGGAATTTTGGGTGGAAGACGATCAAACGATGGGAAACCGAGGTGGAGGTTGCATTGTGCATGCCTGGGCCTCCGTTGACAAGAAAGGTCAACCACACCTCGAAAGCCTCAAATTAAGCGCACCTGGATGGCATGACGATGAAACTGTACCATTACATTACGACAGGGATACAGGAAGGGAAAGATTGTCATAGATCTCTTGGGGGAATTGAGCAAATGTGTTGCTGCTATATATGTATTCCGGATGGACATCCTCTATTTCTGTTCTTGTAAATACACTCTAGATAAAGATCATTTTTAAAATTCAGTTACTCGCAAACATCAAGGACCTGATGTTGCAGAATGCGTTCTTTTTTGGGGGGATTTCGGATCACAGGCGACTGCGGGTCAATAGTGCGACTGCGGGATTATTACTTCTTGCTGCCATCATCCTCGGGCTGCGACGGTGTACGGAAAGGCGCCTCCTTACGAGATTCCGCCAAGAGGTTATCGATACCTTTTTCTTTCAGTGTTACCTATTGCAGTTGATTCATGGTGAGATATGATTCATTAGATAATCATTTCAGAAGTTTTTAGTGACTTGTACCATGACACATGCACGATAATCCTTGAACAGATCTTCGCATTCCGGAGTTGTGTCGCCTTTGAGAAATTTTTCGGAATACCACTTGTTGAAGCAATTATCGTACTTTTGCTTCAATTCTGTGCAATTAGGACCGACGCTGGAAGACATAACAAAAAAATAAAAAAAGAGTTTGCAACTATGCAAGGAATCCGAGGTGACGGGGGAAGGAAAACCAAAATATGGAAGAACACCTCGATTGGTTATTTCTGATTCCGGATTGAAATTCCGCTATAGTGGCTGTGCCATTTATCAAAAGAGGACTGCCGCACAACTCATGCAATAGGCAAATACAGTTTATTCAACTTGAATATCAAACCAGACATTTGCCCGGAAGAATTACATCAAGTGGGCAGAACAGAGTACGTAGTGACTATGCAGCGCAGGTTAACCTATAAAACATGCGCCGGAACAGTGCATGGCCGGTGTTGATAGAGCATTGCATGGAACGAACAAAGAGTTTTGATATTTTACAAGCAGCGTAAACACAGGACCCGCATTAACCTGAACAATGGAACTTCTGCCAAACAATCCATAATCGAAACCTGGTAGCGTCTTGCGTGATAGCTGCAGTACAGCAATTCAACGACTTGAATGCCCTATAAAGGATGGCTAAATATCGATTATAACGGTAGGCTAGTCCTACCAGAACTGATCTAACAAAGTTCACAGCGGCAAATTAGGTTAACCACGTTGTCCCGCATAAATTCTGCCCTGTCCAGCATTTTTTGGGGATGCGAAAATGGCAGACGGATGGATTGTCCCAGCTTACTTCAATAACTATTGGCACCATACGACGGATAAAATGGAATCAAAGAGGTATCTATATCGGTGTACTACATAAACAAAAACGTCGGTGAGTACTCTCATAAGGACAAGCGACAAATCAATAGATCTTCGTCCTCCGCTGGCATGTCTTCAAGCCACGCCAGCAATAAGCAGTAAAATTCGATACTTTTTGTATCTCGAGATTCTTCCCCTGTTTGTATGTCACGAATAATTTGACCGCATTATTCTCTTTTAATTCTATAAGAGCCCCGAAAAGTGCAAATGTTGACGCTGTTTTTTGGGGGAGGTTTCGTTATCGTCAACATCAAAAAACATACCGGAAGCCAGCTGAAATGGCCGATTTTAACGTTTTCGTCACTACCGTTCAATAACGCTTGGAGTAGCATGGTATCATCTGCACGTTCTATGATTTTGGTAACTTGGTGGTTGTTGTTTGTATCTTGTATCTCACCCTTTAATCTTTTAAGCTGATAATATGCTTTCGTAGATACAATACAGTAATAAGTTCAACTGAAGATATATACAGTGTGTGTCAATATTTTATTACGTGGATGTTTGTAATCCGTCAATTATAATTTGCTATGTTAAAGGTACATCATAAATGGATCACAGCTTGAATAGCTGTGATGATGATTCACCAAGAGAAGTGCAGGAATTGCGAATTTTTTAACTCATGTCTCAGGAGACGATTGGGCAGAAATAGTCAAAAAATTTAATTTAATTTCATTGTTTCTTGGAAAGCATTCTATATTGCAGCTTTTTTTTCCATCTTCTGTTAATACTTTGATCCATCGCCATGTCCAATAATGCTGATCTCTTGAAGCGTATTGCCGAACTTTCTGGAGCTATTGAACAACATCGGATGAACCAGCCCGATCATGGTCCAACTTACAGTCCGACATCCTATCGCGGCCGACCGTGGACACGAGGGCGAGGACGGGGCAACATGACGTTGAACAACACCACACCACATCCCGCAAAAGGAAGTCCCAACAGGACACTAATAGTGAATCAATCGCAAGCAAAACCATTCTCTGCAACACCCTCCCATTCAGCAACTTCCTCGTCTGCAGTGGTGCATACCCATCATCGAAAGCTAGATAACACCAAACCAAGCGTCTCACCGTCCGCTGTGAAGCTACCAAGTGCCGTTCCAGGCCCAACTGGCTATGCCTCTTCTGTTCCCGCCAAACGACCTTTTGGGACAAGTCAGCATAGGACCCTCATCAACAATTATGGCGCTTCGACAATAACGAGCATTCCACCAGCAGCAGCAGCAGCAACAGCGACAGCGAGCACCGCACAGCGACCCATTCATCGACCATTGCATCGACCAAACGTAAGCCACAACAAGACACTCCTTTTCAACAAAAGCTCTTCAGGCATTCCGGGCGTCGGTGTGCCTACGACAGTTTCCCGTTCGATCAATGCCGCAGGGCAGGAAACGGTTACTGTCAACGGTGTGTCCTACATTGACAAGGGAAATAAACTGGTACGCCAAGGCCATGTCGGTTCAACGCCTGCTCCTCGGGTGCTTGTAAAACGGCTTTCAAAAAGGTAAGCTTGTTGGGAAATCGTGCAGGTCGCAAAGCAATCGAGCGAATCCTTATTTTGTTTTTATAATGTATAGTAATAAATACAATAATATGGTGCTGGGCAAACGTCCGCGCATACGAACGGAAAAGAAACGACATGTCCGCAGTAAGAAAGGAAACATGGTCTTAATGCGTGAACCTGAAGGGTATACAAGGCAAGGACGTAGCGGCAAATCTCTCGTTCTGAATACCAAAAAGATGCAAAAACAATACTGTGGATTTTATACACGTTACGGTAAGTGCTCAATGATAAGGTTTAAATATCAGACACTAATGGTCAGCTTTGGTGCTATAGGCAAATGTCCCAACGGACCGTCATGCCTCTTCAAGCATGACCCGGCTCGACGGGCCATCTGTCCTCGCTTTCTCAATAAACGGTGCAAAAAACCTGCAGGACAGTGCAAGTTATCTCATACACCTACTCCAAACATTATGCCTCATTGCGTCCATTTTCAACGAGGAAGGTGTAGCAATGATGATTGTCCTTACCCTCACGTGCGTGTTAGTCCAGATGCACCGATTTGTCGCGCTTTTGCCACAGAAGGATATTGTCCAAAAGGACTGGAGTGTCCGCAGAAGCATGTTCACGTATGTCCGGAATTTGCTGAAACATCCAAATGTTCGAATGCCAACTGTCGCTTGCCACACGTAACGCGAAGAACAGGCGACCAACAAAAAGCCACCGGTATTGTGCGCCCTGGTAGCTGGGTTAGTGCACATTATTTCCATGCTCAGAAGCAAGCAAGAGCCGAACAACAAAAAGAACGCGCAGCGAAACGTCAGCGCATGAGTGTCAGGTTTAACCATGTCACCGGCAAACCAGAAACAGACCAGGACGATGATGATACCAAGGAAGAAAATGAAGAAGATGGGTTTGTTCGACTATTTGATAACAGCGATGACGAAGGATGGAGTCAATTCTATGCCAAGGAATCGACAGATACCGATGACGAAAGCGAGGAAGAGAAAAATGAGGATCAAATATCAAGTACCCAACAAGCCTCAAACGGAGAAGGATTTGTTCGATTGCATAATGACAGCGGCGATCAAGCCTCGGCTCAATTCAGTACGAATGATCCGAAAGAACAGGAACTCGGTGAATTGCGATTTAGTGATAAAGGTGAAGACGAAGATGACGGCGAGGAAGATGAAGATGACGAAAGCGAGGAAGAAGACGATAGCGAAGATGATGAGGCGGAAGAGGGAAAAGAAGTAGAGAGTGCTCAAGCACACATGGAACAAGATGAAAAATCATTGGAAAGTGACAAGACGGCGGATGCATTGGCAGATGAAGCTGACACCGACAATGAATATGAGGAAGTATATGAAGCGGTTTCAGATGATAGTGAATATGAGGATGCTGTGGGCGACATCACGTACAGCTAAATCTGTGAAAGGGGATGGACCTTTCGCTTCAGATTCTTGTATAATATTTTGTATTACCTTGTGGATACCTTAGCCATACGCATTTCTTGAGAATTTATCGAAATAAATAACACTTTATGTTCAACCGATGCATGGTGTTTGACAATATCATGGAACTGTATATCATTCGCATGTATAATACGAGAAATATGCTTTTATTCGTCGATCCCCCCTCCCGTAATTAAAAATCTATGAATCACAATGTTTGCCTTTCACTATTTTACATGAATAAAAATGATGATATCGGGTGAGTTGCTTTCAGAGGGCATAACAAACGAATCAATCTGCGGATTGTCCTTTGCTACAGCAATGGCCCAATTCGTTTCGATGGACCACGCCCATCTCACGGTTGGTCGTTCACGACGTCCGCTTCTTCTTCTTGTGCAATGTTACCATCGTCCAAATCCATCAGCGTCAATTCTTCAATAACGCTGCCATCAACGGCGCCTTCATGATCTGCTTCAATTAATCTACTTCCGGGAGGTTTGGAATCAAGTTGCATGGTATCGACCTTTTGGTTATTTAGATTGTAAGCATTCCAGACAAGATGCCAGCGCCCCGCATCGGAAGGTTGGAATTCCATCATGACGTAGTGAAAATCGAGGACACTGCTGTCATACATTCGCCAGTCGGCTACTTTTTCAAAGTCAAGGTCACCGCCTGCTCCTCCAATGATAGCATAATGCACGCCGTTGCGTTCACCGCGTTGATAATTATGTTGATGACCGGAAATCACCAGATCCACACCGTACTTCTCGAACAATGGTACAAAGCGATCCTTCACAAAAGCACCCCATTCGCTTTGCTTCTTTTCAAACCATCCTTCAGGTTCCCAATATTCAATAAAGGGCGGTACATGGACAACCACCACACGAAAATGAGCTTGCTGAGATGCTTCACTCGCCAGTTCTCGCCGTAACCATTCATCTTGCTGTATCCAGTCCAGGTTACTGTCCAAGATACACCATCGAATCGCGCCATTTGCCATGGAGAATGCATACCAAGGATCGTTGGAAGGATTGGTACGCGTGTAATGGTATTCGTAAGTTGGATCGTGATCATGGTTGCCGTGTGCATAGATCATTGGCATGGATTGGCCGAGATGATAATAGGTCAGTGGGCCCACAAAGTCCGTTTCCCATTGTCGCAGTGAAAAATACTGCTGTACAGCATCCCCAGCATGCAACAAATAGTGTGGTTTATGCTTTAGCCGAGACACCTGTCGTAATAATGTGGCGAATGTATTCATACCGAACTGATTATCCGCCATGGCCGCGACTCGGATGGTTTGCATTTCAGTGTTGGCGTACCAAGAAAAAGTATGTCTCGTCAACACTTTGCCCTTGTTCGTCCGAATATCGTAACGATAATTTGTATCGGCGTCCAGGGGGCCTATGGTCGCTTTATATGCAAAATGTCGAGCATCGAGTTCCAAGGGGCTGATACGCACATTGACCGCTTTCTTTGATGACACTGGTTGCCAGGTAATCCACATGTCTTTTTCTCTCATTCCACAGTTCATCTCCCATACGATCTGTACGTGCTGTGTATCGTGAACATAGAGCATGGGCTGTTTCCTGATGGTGCCGCACGGTATCCATCCCCGATCAAATAGAGAATTATCCAGCTTGATCATGAGAAATGCCCATAATACTTGCAATCGACTCCAATAATAGATTAACAGTAACGATAGTATTCCAGCAAAAAACAATGTGCGTTTCTTATTCCATCGAGGCCAACGATGAGGTATTGCGGTAGTTAAAGGTAGACTTGAAATATTTCCCCGATTTTCCAATGCTTTCAAGAAAAGATCATCTCGATTGATGCGATCGTTCCGGTCCTGGGGATAAGGGGACGTCGGTTGTTTGTGCTGAAACGATACGGAGGAATAAGGTTCGTAATTAGGTTGGAGATTCATTATGCCTCTTCCATGGCCAAGTAAAAAAAGTTGGAATTTGCCACTCAGTCGCCACAAGTAACCCCCCCAAAAATGCTTGGAAAATTTGGCGAGTCACCACATCCACAAGCTTATCCCGGAAACCACAAAGTTGCAGTAAAACTCCGATCACGTCGATCCAGCGGGATCATAAAAGAGGATCTCTTTTGAACATGCAATAGGCATTGGTTACAATCTATAAAATTATATTATGCACAGGGAATGGTGTTCTATGATGTACATAAAACAGAAGTGGATGACTATTTAGTAGCGACAATGACCATGTTTCTCGGTGAAATGATGGGATCAAACAAGGGCCACATCCACACTCCTTTGGTAGCGCTCTGTAGAGGATTCAACGATTCCTTCAAATACAGCCAACGGTCCATGAGAACGATGCTTTCAAGTACGGGGGCAAGTAAGGCTCGTATCGTCCAGAATATGGCCATTTGCTTGTCTACTTGCTTCTCCTTGTATTCTTGATAATATCGTGAAGCTTCCTCCTGTGTGATGCTGTCCTCGGGTATATTTAATCGGGCAAGAGCTGCTTTAACATAAACTGGGAACGAGGTAAAGTCTTTCTTTTTGTTTAGACGCCCAATCACCGGAGCAGCTGAGGCTTTGGCTAGTTCTTTCTCCACCATGATCAGCTGTAAGAAGAGAATGAGTGTAAGCTCTACACCCTATCACGTATCCATCCATTGTGTGTAGGGTACCTGTAATAATGCGCGGAAAAAGTGATGTTCATACGCTTTCAAGCTGTCATCTTTTTTATCAAGCCATCGAGACGGAGCTTGACAAGCCAACATTCGCGCTGTCGATCCGAGCCGGTAATCGGTAGATTTCAACGCACGACTCATGGGAAAACCATTATGCTCGCCTTCTTCCGTTAAGAAATGGTAACAACAGCCCACACTAACCAAGGCGACCATCTCTTCACTTTCGGCAAAGAGTTGTAACATCAAGCTGGAGAGATCGCCACAGGCATGTAATCCACACAGTAACCAATGTTCATCACTGTGAGTACTCCATCGCGACAATATATTCGATGCATTCTCGGGGCCAATCGTATCTGTAACGTGATGTAAATCGAATGCTTTCCCTCCTTTCATAGCTTTTGCGTTGAATTTTTTGGCACCGCAAGTTTGTACTTCGGAGGAATCCACTGCCAATACTTTTAAACGGTGTTGGTATGCCAAAGCGCGTGATAAGTATCCCTGTCCAGCACCTAAATCCACGACCGATGCCACATGCTGCTTGCGCGCTATTTGCTCGATCAAGGCGTTCATTCGCTCCACCTAAATCTCGAATTTTAATACGTCTAATATCACTGAGTGTAAACACGATCATAACATTTTACCTCGTGAATTTTTTTTTCGGTCATGCCAGGCAAAATATGCTTATCGATCGGACAACTCGGTGAGGGGACTGTGCAATGGCGGTTAATGTTTTTGTCATTCGTCGTTTTAACTGAAATAGGGGATCAATTGGCGCAGGCATACTCAACAGTCATCACTCGGACACCGTGACAAGGACAGGTTGTGTGCTGCCTGAATATATTCTTTCAAGGAAGGAGGCCAGTTCGACTATGACATAATCCAAGCATTGAGTGTTGCCTGCCACACAGCGACAGAAGAATAACAACATAAATACCAAGCTTGTGTTGCAGGCAGCTAATTGTACCAAGACGGAAGACCATTCGTCGGTTGAATCGTCAGCAGTTGGTAAAAGTGCCTTTTGCCACTCTGGATCCAATAAATCCCACTGGTTATTTGTCATGAAATCGACCACATGAAGATCTGTCAAGTGACGATAGCGTTCAAAAAAGCCGATCAGCGACTGAAGATACTCTTCCGGTGACGCGTCCGAAAACTGTGGCGGAAGGTGGATCTCTTTCGACATGTCAAGGTGCTCCATTGTCAATAACAGGAACACAAAAGAGATACGCAAATGAAAAATTTGTGGCTTGCATGAATTTTCACCGTAGTAAAAAAAAAAAAACCCTCCGCAAGGGTTCTGCATTATGCCCGCTATTCACAAAAAGCACGTGATGCTGCGACGATCCATTCTTTTGATGCACCAGTTGAATAGCAATATTATCCATTGCCATTAGAAAAAAGTCATGGCGGAGGAAGAAGAACTAAAGTCTCGAAAACCAAAAAGTAAGGAAAGCTGTCTCTTTGAAATACCAACAAGACAATGAACGCTTACCTAGGCATCTCTGCTGACATCTAGACGGTCCATTTCGACAGCAACGATTACCAGCATGGCAGCCTGTACTGACACCACGGACCGTGCTCCCCACCTTTTTTATTATTGGCATTCTTTTTATTCCCATTGGTGGCCTCATGTACTGGTCTAGTTCTCGTGTATGATCCTGGACATTGTATTACACGCACGATTCGTATTACTCACCATTCTCACTTGTCATGTCTGTTAGATCTATGAAGTCATGATCGATTATTCGCAGTGCGATCAATATGCGACACCGGTCTATCTGCAGCCAGCAGCATACAGCTTTGAATTTCCAAAGTCCGCGGGTGATGTTCAGCAAGAGCCCCCGGTAAGAGGTTGTCGTTCTGACACCCACATAAACAATTTTCCCTAATTTAAATGTCTAGGTTTACCATTTTGAAAACGCTACAAAGTTCATCGATCCTTCGTGGCAAAATCCCAACAACCTTACTTTCAAGCAATGCGTCCTTGATTTTACCTTGCCGTCAGCCATATCTCCGCCAATATACATCTATTACCGACTCACAAATTTCTATCAGAATCATCGTCAATATATCAAGAGCTACGATGCGAACCAACTATTTGGCCATCCAGTGTCTGCCGGTACTGCCAGAACGAACTGTGATCCTCTGGCTGTAAATGGGAATAATCAGGTCATCTATCCTTGCGGCTTGATCGCTAATTCAATGTTTAACGGTAAGTATCGAAAATCAAAAGGCTGCGTTATTATATTGCTTACTCATTCGATATGCTTATTCGCAGATACGATCTCCAATCTGACATCTGTTAATGCACCTCAAGATTTAAGCTACGGTTTCTCCAAAAAAGGAATAGCATGGCCTACCGACAAGCAAAAATACGGACCTACGCGGTACCAGGTTTCACAAATCGTTCCACCACCAAACTGGGCCCTCCGTTATCCTGATGGCAAGTATACGGAACAATATCCACCTCCCGATCTGTCACAAGAAGAACCATTTATGGTATGGATGCATGTGGCCGCATTGCATGATTTTCGCAAGATTTGGGGACGGAACGACCATGACAAGTTATTCGCGGGAAGATGGCGTGTGCGCATCGATATGAGTATGATGATCAAAACGATGTAGCCAAGAAAAAGAGTATGAGAACTAACTTTATAGCTACAGATTTTGACACGCGGCAGTATGATGGCACCAAGTGGTTCGTTTTATCGGGAACTTCAAAATTGGGCGGTCGAAATCCGTTCCTGGGTATCGCCTACATGGCAATCGGTGCATTGTGTCTGTTTTTAGGTTTTATCTTTGCTATTCGACACTGCATTAAGCCGAGAAGACTGGGCGACGAGTCTTATCTTTCATGGAATCAACGCGGTGGCGGATTACCAAGCAATAACCGAAATAAAACCGTTCGTTTTGACAATTAAACATTAGCACTAATTAACCCATCTGTTCCTGTTGACGTTTCAATATCGCATGTTTACATCTATTAATTCACATTACGTTTACCAATCCTTTATAAATGAACATGATCATTCATAAATTTATCTACTGTAATAAATAGATAAAAAAGGTTGCAGCATATTAAAATTATGTACTTCGAATGACAATGCAAATCACAGCATCACCTCGCCAATTACTCTGTATTCTGTTAGGCAAAGATTCATACGGCATGCATATCTCATTTTCGGGCTGCTCCGGCCTACAGTATCTTGATTCAAAAAAGGTGCAATGAGTGTCATTATCTTTATGTATCCAGCTCTTCCTAGCTGACATCAAATCCATCATCGTTTGCTGGAGAATGGTAAGATCAAAAGTAATTGGCATCCCATAACTGTTCTAGATTTTCTGATCATCCAGACGAAGAATACGCCTTCTCGCCGTTCGACTGCGATATGACGACCTCCAACAAAAGCGAAGGAGGCAGGCAGGTATTTGTTTGATTTATCAGTAGCTGCAGATGCAGAGCCTATTATTGATACTTTTGGCAATGCGGTCGAAATGTCTTCCGAGTCCGCCGACAACTTTGGTGATATGGGTTACGATACCTTTTTAATTTTTATTTTTAAAGGTGCAAGGGCAAGGAGAAAATCGAACAGAGGTCATCTGCAACATTTTCAACCGAATGATATTGGTAAAATCATATCTTGATACATTTTGACTTTCAAGTTGCGTCAAGGAACACCCCATCAGTGTCAAGTGACCACCTTGTTGAAAAGGCATGCACTGTTGGTGAATGCATCTGAGTTTAAAATATGAATCCAACGACTAATCGGGAAGAGGCTCACAGTCACAGGGTTACTGTCCAGCACAATAAACAAAGGGGAAACCGGACCTTGTTTTTATTTTTTTCTTTACTTTGACCGTCGTAAACCTTCTATTTCTCAATGGCATCTTTGTTCCGATCGTCGGTTGTTCGGGTCAGCCGGCCTCTTCGACAGTTCCATACAGCTGCCCCGGTGGCTTCGCATATTGGACGAACACAACTTTCCTATGGCCAAGATGTCACCATCACTCACGATGCCACACCCATCACAACTCCTCGCATTTCCTCGGAACGTGATAACACCATGTTGACAGTGACCGGACCACTCGGTACCTTGAAGATGCCTATCAAACCTTTCGTCAAACTTCAATTCACTTCTTCCACTGGAGAAGATGCGGAAAACATTTTACAAGTATCCGTGGAGGACGAAACCATCAAACAACAACGAGCCATGTGGGGTACCACTCGCAATTTAATCAACAATATGATCGTCGGTGTCTCTGAAGGATACCGTATGCAACTGCGATTAGTCGGTGTGGGTTACAGAGGTGTACTGGAAAACGATCGCACCTTATCCCTGAAGCTTGGCTACTCACATCCCGTTGTCATCCCGATACCCGAAGGTATCACTTGCACTGTACCGCAGCCTAATCGTGTGCTTTTGCAGAGCTCCGATTTACAAAAAGTGACCCAACTTGCCGCTACGATCCAAAGTTGGAGAAAGCCAGAACCATACAACCAAAAGGGTATTTTCATCAACGACGAGACCATCAAGAAGAAGGAAGGAAAGAAGAAATAGTTATAGACTTTGTATTCATATTATTAAAATTTTTTCATGTATTCATCATCTCATGCTTTAATTTTTTTGGGATCGAAAGTTACGGTGTTAGCGGAATAGGTTATCGTGGAGGATCCACTGACAGCGTTAGAGGGCTATGAAATGTCTCTTTGAAGACAGTGGGTGATATTATGGAAGAATTGCATGTAGAAATCGGTCATTCATACTAATATGTAATCTGCAATGCTGTCTATCCACGCAATTACCGTGGGCAACAAGCTTACTTTTGTACATCTCAAAAAAGGGAAGTGAACTGTCCGGCGGAGAACAAATTACCTTATGGAAATGTCTAAAGAGATTATGTGGAACTTTACATGTACAGTTTAAATTGAAAAAATCTGGGTAAAAATTTTACAAATCAAAGTTTTTTTAAAGGAGGTAAGGTAATGTTGTTAAGTTTAAGTTAATCATATAAGAGAGAAATCCAAAGGACAAAGACATACAAAAAAAAACAATAGGGATGCACTAGACAAGCCACACTTACTCTTCTTTTGCTTTTACTTACAAAAAAACTGTTTTCACCGCTTCGCGGGAGCCGCCACCGCACACCGCCAAGGCATGGGCTTTGTTCATCAGTTATTTAAACTACACAGTAAAAGCGCACAAAGCAAGTGAGTAATTCGGCATAACATTCAAAAAAGAAAGGTCATTTGAGCTATTTGTGGAGGTTCAGTCGTTGATAGCACAGTTGTAGTCATCATGAGTATACGTACAGGATAGTTGATTTGAGCAATGTTGATAAGAATAAGCAATGAAAAAATATATTCCCATAGATGGATGGTTTTGCGCAAGAAAAAAGAAAATAGATGTGCGATGAAGAGGCAAAAAAATGGATGGAAGATGCGTCGTCTTTTATAGACATGAAAAAAGAGGCGATATTAAAAACCTTTATTGCCCAATAATGAAGCAGGAAAAAGACGCCATGTGGCTTTTCTCATCGCTTCACGTCATATTTATCCTTTGATGAGAGAGTGTGGCTTCATCGCATGAAATAGCTGCATGAAGTAGGTCTCAGATAATGTTAGAGCGAGATCTTTATTCTCAAGTGTTCTTATGTTGGCTGTTTCGGATACACAGGTCAAAAAAATTATGATAAGATGCCCCACACTCCCCGCCAATAAAGGACCAAGTCATGATTTTTGCTTCCTTGAAATCATTTCTTTATCTCCCGAGAAAAATGAACTGAAGATGCAAAAGACATTAGGGAAGTCAATAAATTTATCGGGATTACAAAAAATTTTGCCAGGGCACTGTATATGGATCCTACTGCACTAGCAAAATAGCAATATAGCAAAAGAGAACTGCTGTGATACAGTGGAACGATGCAATGCGTGAGATTCAAGTAAGTACACAATTCCCGCCCCCCCCCTTTTTTTTTTTTTTTTTTTTTTTTTTGCAAGAGCTCAGCGCCGGCTATACTTGTGGTTGTTACCGTTGCCTTCCGAGACATAGACAACTAGCGTTCTCCTTAGAAGACTAAGTGGGACACCTGGACTTTTCACTTTGCGTTGGTTGAAGCTCATCCTGCTACAACTTGTCGGAAAAATTGTTGAAGCATCTTTTCCTATCTGTGATGATGAAAATGGAGCCTTATCCGTGCGTCCTCGAAACATTAGTGCTTTGTGAATTCAGGTCGCCGGTTTGCTATTGCATAAGATTCATGAAATAACATTGTACATCCACATTTTGGCGAGCAATATAAAATTTGTTTGATCCACATCGGGGTTTAGATATCTTTGATGAGCATGTCGATCTTGACCTGTGCTTCTCAAATAACCGTATTACCGTTATGGTGTTTATAATCGTAACACACTCCTTTTCAGGATATATTCAACTCTCACAAACATGACTTGGCCCTGACGATGAAACACACATCTAACGTCGTTCTACATCGTTCTAATAAGGCTTACTGATATCGTGATGTTGGATCATTCTCTATTAATGTTCAGGATGATGTGATCCTGTGAACAAACAAGAAAATGAACTGGTATATTTGCTACTAGTATGGTTTCGTTGATAGCTTCCGGTTGGTGGTAATCATCGGTTACCGTACCTGTCGCCGCGTTGCCGAGCTGGACGCGCAGACCGTCAACGGATATTGTAACGTCTTCATACTTCCAGCATAAGCACTGAGGCATATGTGGAAAGCAAATTGCACTCAAGCAAAGAATGCAATGTATCTAAAATTGCATCGAAACAAAGGTGCCTGACGGTGCATTTGCGAGCTCGATCGGTGCCGCAGTCTCTGCAAGTCCGACTTGAGTGGCGCTTTAGCTTCATTCGGGGAAAAGCTCGTGAGCCACCGATTGACAGAATAGATCGAATGCGTTTGTATCTGAAGTTTATGATGTTATTTATCACACTTTATAAGGAACTAAGCAGGAGTCAAAAGAGCTTCATTAACAGGAGTCCCCAGAGACGGAGCACAAGTGATGGAACAGAGTGCTGAAGCACGGAATAACGGTAAAGACTCACAAATGAAAAAAAAGACAGTCCATGGAGTGTGCTTGAATACGACTGTCGGAGACACTTTGTGTTACTATCAGCAACAAATCAGAAATCACCAATTTTATTTCAATATCGTGAAGCGTTTCCCTTTCCCTCTCTTTTTTTTCTACTTGGCTTCTTTTTCCTTCTTTCTCTTCTTTATTGTGATATTCCCGTCTTTATTTGAAATGGCTCCTGTTACTGTTTCCGCTGCAGGCATCGGTGTCGCTCACTTGCCGAACCAAAGGCACAAGATTGTCACCAAGCGCGGTGCCAATTTCACTATTATGGTGTGCGGTAAAATACCTCATCACGATCATCTCGGGCGAAAGACCGCTTCTCATCATTGCCTTGACTGTTATAATAGGCGAATCGGGTGTGGGCAAAACCACGTTTATTAATACTCTGTTCACGACCTCTATCAAAGACTACAAAGACCCCGCCAAGCGCCATGAAAAACAGCTGGATAGAACAGTGGAAATTGAAATTACTAAAGCTGGTAAGCTCTATTTTTTTCGTCAACTCGGGTTTTTCTGAAGAATTAGTCATACTAAGCTGATTAGAGCTCGAGGAAAAAATGTTCAAAGTGAAACTGAGCGTTATCGATACGCCCGGATTTGGCGATTATGTCAATAATTACGACAGCTGGATGCCTGTGGTTGAATTTCTCGATGATCAGCATGAAAACTACATGCGTCAGGAACAGCAACCTGTCCGTCAGGGCGTGGCCGACATGCGAGTCCATGCCTGTCTTTATTTCATTCGACCGACGGGTCACAGGTGAGTGAGTGAAAACCGTGGCATTTTAAGCCTATCCTCTTTTTGAAATTTCAATGAATCGAAAACTCATTTCAGGGATTAGCTTAAAACCCCTGGATATCGAAGTGATGAAACGTCTCGGTTCACGAGTGAATCTTATTCCAGTGATTGCCAAGGCTGATACTCTTACACCAAAGGATCTGGCAGAATTCAAACGCAGAGTAAGTCACTCAGAGCGATGAAATCAATCAGGGTAGCTTCCCACCCTCGACGGGGTTGTTGAAGCGCGAAAATGCATTGAAAACAAGATACATACAAGGGATCGGGCATCTTGATGAGAACGAAGAATTTGACGGTTTCTGCTGTATAGATCCTGGAAGTCATTGAAGCACAAAATATTCGAGTATACTCTTGTCCTATTGAGAGTGACGACGAAGGAATGACGGAGCGCAACAGGAGTATCATGGCTGCCATGCCTTTCTCCGTGATTGGTTCAACACAAACCGTGCGCACACCAGATGGTCGCGAAGTCAAGGGACGCCAGTATTCTTGGGGTGTTGCTGAAGTCGAAAATGAGGATCATTGCGACTTTAAGAAACTGCGAAATCTGTTGATTCGTACACATATGCTCGATTTGATTTCAACAACCGAAGAACAGCATTACGAGAACTATCGTCAGCAGCAGATGGCCACCCGCAAATTTGGCGAACCAAAGTAATTATTATTTCACCAATCACACTGTGTATCTTGTGCGACAGTTGAGTAATCGTACTATTTTTGTTTTCTTTTGTTTTCTTTTAGGGTCAAGAAGTATGAAAACCCGAAACATAGGGAGAAAGAAGATGCACTCCGTAAAGTATTTACTGAGCAAGTGAGACAAGAGGAGAATCGTTTCCGCCAATGGGAACAACAGGTATGCACAGTTGGAGGAAGCAAAGAAGGAGTGAGCATGGTTTCCACTGTTCAGATACTGATGGGTTTACATTCTTTCTGTTTTCTGCGATTAGCTCATCAGTGAACGCGATCGTTTAAATAAGGATCTCGAGACACAACATGCGCAGATCAAGGCTCTTGAAGCTGACTTAGAACATATGTATCATCAACATGGCCGTGGCACGATGAGAAAGTAGACCTGGAGTCAATGTGCTTCGATGAATACCTCATTATATTTCCTTAGTTTTTAAATTCCTTTTTCTTTGTTTGATTCCAGATATCAATACTCATCATTATACTAAACTCAAAACATTTGACAAGAACTTCCTTTATAAATTTGATAGAGCAATGTTGTGCAGTTGACATCATTCGATATAAAATTACCACGCTAACGATCGTCACAATCTTTCAATTCCATTTTCTGCCTTTGCTTCCTTCTGTTTTGTTTGAATAATCCTGCTGTTATGATGGACTTTTATTACATTGTAAGCGTCTGCAGTCGGCGGAAGGGCCTCCACCATAAAGCTCAGCCGGATGGACTGGTCTACTAGAACTGTAAATAATACAACCCTTTTACCGTTCATTGCTTCCTTTTCCATTCACATGGCCGAAAAAGGAGCCACTCCTGATATCAAATTGTTTAAATAATGTCACCTGATATATTAAGCACGACATCGTTGTGGTGGCAGCGATATCGGCCGAGAAACCGTGTCTTTGCTTAGTGGATTAAATAATACAGAATCTTACATAATGCCATGAACCACTGTCAAAGCCAAACAATGGATACAATTTAACAAATACGGCGCACGCAAATGAAACATTTGATTATACATATTTACTCTTGAAGCTAATTAGGCAATTGTCAGGGTCGACCTTGACTTGCGGTAAGTATAGGTCAAGTATTGTCCAAAGATCACGGTATCAAACATGAGTGTTCCTGCACTACCCATGATGTAGGGTACGGCTTCAAGTAAGGACTGTCGTGTAGCATGTGGATTTGTGAATATACTCAATGTGTAAGTGAGATTTCCCATGGCGGCAAAAAAGAAGAGAGCCATTGACAACCCTTCTACAGAGCGGCGACGGAAATTTTGTGCGATCTGTGGCAACCGCGATGATAGATACAGAAAAGTGCATAACCAGGCGAAAAAACGTCCCACCCACAGCATTTCTTCGTCCGAAAGGACATGGGACATGTCTCGTGATGTAATGGTGGGTGTTGTGACACTTAATGATAGGACGCCGACGACAAGAAGCTGGGTATACTTGGGTGCACGATCAGTCTGACCACATAATTGGGTTTGTTCCGTGGGTTGATTAGCAGTTGATAAGCTGGCAGATTTCAATTGAGATTCCCTGTCGTACAATGGGCGAGATTGACTGCTAGAACTACAGGTGCTTTCGACGTTATAAATATAAGATTTCGGCTCCTCGGGATTCAACCATTGGCGAAGACGATTGTCGGCGAATTTTACATAATATAGCCATTGCATACAAAGCACGGTATCTATAATGATAAAATAAATAGACAGATATAACTGGAATCGCAACTGGTTCGTTTCTATACAGCCAATAAAATTGGCCACATCACCTAGTATATATAGAACATGCATATTAGGTCTCATTATCTTTTTTTTTTCGGTTCTTTTGAACCGTTCAACATCTCTCGTGAGATGTTTCTTTTACCGATGAGCCAAATGGTTAAAAACGTGAAACTAAGAGATTCAGCGTCATGTAACCGGTAATTTTTGATGACTTGTCTATAGGGCCAAAAATTACTTAACACCCAAATGCAATTTAAGCGTGATCGAAGACCAAGTGCTTCAACTTACGGCATTTGAGCGTTTAACCAACAAAAAATGGACAAATAACCGAGTAATACACTGATAGAATCCCTCCATCCGTAGACACAATCACCGAATAATGTCTGTTATTATTTTACGTAGCAATACACCAATACATGAGTTTGTCATACAGAAGGCAGTGTTTTTCAATCATTGATTACATGAATCCACTGCACATACGGGACGCCATCGACAATAGGTTGGCAGGTATGCGTCATGAATATGTATATAGGAGTAATTGACAGTACTTAAAATGTCAATATGTATTAATAAAACAAAAAAGAAATGTGGAAGAACAAGAAGAAGAAGAAGAAGAAGAAGAAGAAAGATAAAGACAATGAGAGTTATGATTATGATTTTTATGTGTGAATCAATGCAGGAGTGCCAAAATCATTCAAAAATGCGAAATTGGCACACGTATTAGGAAACTCGCGGAGTTCAGGGACCCCATCTGATCTTTTTTACCATATCAAGCAGTTACGACGACAGCCCTTGAATTACTTTCTTTGGGTAACAACACCCCCGCTTCGCGAACTTTGTATACAGCATTTTCTCCAGCATCAGCTGTATATCCATTATGACTACGCGATGACGGTACCACTAAGTAATCCCGTCCGCACCACCTACTCCGGCTGTGGATTTTTCCTAGTCTTGTATGGTGGAACCGAGTTCTTTGACGGGTCACCCTCATCGTTTTTCCTTCGTGTCATTTATTATCACAGATACTCGAGTGGATGGACATATACGAATAGAGCGGATGATTTCAATGATCAACCAAACGTGAAGTTACAGGTGCAGGTGTCACATGCATGTGCACTGAAAAAGTCCAATGGCCGCAGATTCAGTACAGTTTAACTGAAAAAATCTGGGTAAAAATTTTACAAATCAAAAATTTTTTAAACGAGGTAAGGTAATGTTGTTAAGTTCAAGTTAATCATATAAGAGAGAAATCCAAAGGACAAAGACGTACAAAAAAAAAACAATATGAATGCATTAGACAAGCCACACTTACTCTTCTTTTGCTTTTACAAAAAAACTGTTGTCACCACACTGTGGGAGCCGCCACCGCACACCGCCAAGGCATGGGCTTTGTTCAGACAATTTTTAAACTACACAGTAGAAGCACACAAAGCAAGTGAGTGAGTGATTCGGCATAACATTCAAAAAAGAAAGGGCACTCGAGAACAAATACATTACCTTTCAAAAAAAAAAATCTTTGTTGCCGTCAAAAAAAAAAAAAGAAAAAAAAAAGGTTTTCGGCGCGCAAGCTATAATGTGGAGATTCAGTCGTTTTGATAGCCCAGTTGTGGTCATCATGAGTATATGTACAGGATGGGTGATTTGAGCAAATGTTGATGAAAATGAGCAATAAAAAAATGTATGGCGCGATGAATGGATGGATTTTGCGCAAGAAAAAAGAAAATAGATGTACGATGAAGAGGAAATAAAATGGATGGAAGATGCGTCGTATTTTATAGACATGAAAAAAGAGGCGATATTAAAAACCTTTATTGTCCAATAATGAAGCAGGAAAAAAGACGCCATGTGTCTTTTCTCATCGCTTCATGTCATAATTATCCTTTGATAAGAGAGTGTGGCCTCACCGCATGAAATAGTTGCATGAAGTAGGTCTCAGATAATGTTAGAGGGGAGATCTTTATTCTCAAGTGCTCTTATGTGGGCTGTTTCGGATACACAGGTCAGATGCCCCACACTTAATGAAGCACCAAGTCATGATTTTTGCTTCTTTGCAATTTATTTGACTATCATTTCTTTATCTCCCGAGAAAAATGAACTGAAGATGCAAAAGACATTAGGGAAGTCAATAAATTTATCGGGATTACAAAAAATTTTGCCAGATTCAGTATATGGATTACAGGGCGCGCGTACACAACACTATCATGGGTTGACATTCAGTTTGACCTCAGTATTATTAGACTGATCGATTCGTTACAATCCCTACTTGCTCTTGGCCTTACGGTAGATGAACGTGCTTCAGGTGACGAGTGCTGCGCCTTTTTCGCTAAACTCAACTACAAACCTACAGAAACTATCAATGGTAGAGATCATATTATTGTCAAAGAGAATGACTCCTGAATCCAGCACATCCTTTTTTTAGATATTAATGTGTGATTTGATACATAAATTCCTTACTGGGACGCCAACTGATCGCACTTTGATCTTTCTGGCAACGAATGCTTTTTTTAGGTCCGACTTGTTGTGACTGAGAATGCGATTACTCGCCACAGACACGCTCAGATTCTCGGTGAAACCTTTCTCACCAGTGATTCACAATGTTCATTGGCATAACAGGGCCAAGCTGCAGCGGGAAGCACACAGTTGCTAAATATTTAGTCGAACACCATAATTTTACACTACTTGCCCTTGAAACGAATACCGCTCATACCCACCAACCCATTCGTCAACATGCGCGCGTCTTCCCCACATTGAAACAAATGCAGCGCTTCGTCACCGAACGATGGCGAGAAAATTACGTTACATGTGACATTGACGGCCGCGGCCTTTGGCTCTTAAAGTAAGCAATCTGTTGATCTGCTCCTCCCATGTCATTTTCTCCTACTCACATCACTTTTGCTGAGATCAGAAAACGCCCTTTTTTCTTACTGGCAGCTGTCGAAGCCCCTATTTTTATGCGATACGAACGATGCGTGGCAAGGTAACTATTTTGTCCTCAAGCATTTGTCTTCAAGCATTTGAATACCATTATTTCTTTTGTTAACTCTTAATACCACGCGATACGCTTAGAGACGAAGCCAGAGGTGAACGACCATTAACATTGGACGAATTTGTCAGAAAGGACGACTTGGCCTTGTTCAACGTGTCGGCAACAACGGATTCAATCGATAAGAAAGAATCAAATACACCTTTATACACCCTAATGTCGTTGTCGGACGTTGCCATCACAAACACGTTCAAAGACCCTTGCGCTTTCTTTGCTTCATTGGACAAGCTGGAATTGACCAATTTTGAACGCCTGCGACCTTCTTGGGATACCTATTTCATGCATCTGTCTGATTTAGCAGCTCGAAGATCGAACTGCATGAAGCGTCGAGTAGGTTGTATCTTGGTAAAAGATTCCCGTGTCATTGCGACTGGATATAACGGTACTCCGCGCGGATTACGAAATTGTAACGAAGGCGGTTGCGATCGATGCAATCAAGGTGCCCCTTGTGGTACTGGCCTGGATCGGTGTTTATGTATGCACGCTGAGGAAAACGCTTTGCTTGAGGCGGGAAGAGGACGGGTGGATTTCAGCAATGGTGTTGTTCTTTACTGCAATACGTAAGTGGTATTCATCTGACTATATTCTTTTCGCTATCTAACATAACAACAACAACATGATAGATGCCCTTGTCTCGGTAAGTTGTTGAGCACTCGTACCAGTGACAAACCGGAACAGTAATGGAGATGTACTAACGCAACTTTTCGATCGAATAGGTTGTGCAATTAAAATTGTGCAGCAGGGCGTTAAAGAGGTTGTTTATTCGAAATCCTATGGTATGGATGAAATGACATCCAAGGTGTTTCAAGAGGCAAAAGTGAAGATGCGACAACACAGTCCGCCGAGCATGCGATTAGAAATGCAAGTTGATATCACCGAACTCGATGAAGCAATTGTAGGCTCATTGGGTTGGGACCGTCAAGAAGCAGAACGTCGCGACTCTTTACCAGATGTATCTTAGGCGTCGGTGTCCTCATATAACCTTGGATTATTTATACTTTCCTTCTATTTACTCAGCTAGCTGACCTTATTACGAAAATGCATTGGAGGATGTGACATCGCAAAAATTATGCGTGATATCTTTGTTTTAATCTGGAAAAAGATGATATTACTGCATGTTGGGAAGAACTTTTTCGGCAACAGTGTGGATAAAATAGTAAGACCAATGGTTTAAGAAAGCCAGAAGAGACCTTTTCTCAACTTGTCATGTCGCGTTCAGAAACTTGATACAAAGCAAATATCAGGTATGGAAATAAAATGTAACAAATTAAAAATAGGCTGCCATGCGGGTTGCAGATATAGATCAAAAAGCATATTTCATATATGCCATTTCTATATTTGTTTTACTTCTCCAGTGATAAAACCTATTGAGTTTCGTAAGTAACATGAACGGCTGCTTGTTAATTGCTTCGCCGCACCTGCATATACCGTGCATATGATGCTAAGCGACCTGAAATGATTCTGTGTGATTAAAGAAAGACAAAACATGAGTTATGTAATATGAATAACGCAATAGGAAAGGTTAAGCTTTTCTTATCACTTCTCCGCTTTGAACACTCGGCCACTGAAAATTTGGTATCCATTTTCGTGTTGTATCAAAATCAAAACGACCAGAAAGATTGCGTATATCTCCAACTTTATCAACAATCACGGTCAATGATTGGTACAATTATTGTTTGGTGGTTGCCGGTTATTTCTTGCTATGTTTGGTTAGATGCGATCTCAATCTCAACGTTTTACAGAGAAGAGGTCTTTTGCGGGTATTGTGATACAGAATGCCATTTTAAACCTTCTGAATTGTATTTAAACTCCCAATGTTTTGCAGATTCTTAACCTTCCCGACATATCGATGCATGATCATCCGAAGGTGGTTTCCGAACTGTGGTCCAAGAAGGACCGTCTAAAACTTCACAATGTCAGTAGGCATTATGGTTTGGGTATGAAATCTCTGCTCAGTAATGTGCATAATCTGCTTTTGATCCCGATAGTCTCTGCGCAAAATATGGAACGGTTGACAAGCTTTGTTCGGATGTCTAAATTATGGTGACTCAATGCGTGAGGAATCTCTCTGGTTTTTTTCGATCAGTAAAGCTCTATTATGGGTTGCAGGATCCTTTTGGCATGAACAAAAATAAGACATTCGCACAGGTTTGGCCATAGCTGTAGGTGTTAGGTCTTACCAAACTACTTGTGAAAATCAGTGGCAAAGATGTAATTTCGAGCTTATGTTGTGGGAAAACCGGTTGATTTGCATGGTCAAAAATAACGGTGAACATGGAAAAATTTTATAGGTATGATACACAACTTAGTTCCCATTAGCGGTCAATGTATGATCTTTTTTTCAAACCTTATCCCGGGGCGCCTCTCCAATGTACGACAAGTTGATGGTTTTGCTTGCATGTGCTTATGTATTTACAAGAGATACACCGACCGATTTGAACTTGAATGATCCATTTGTATACCTCCTGAGTTTCTAAATGTCATGGCTGCCTTGCCATATACCAACAACATCATCCTGTATCAAGTTGATTTCCCATACTGGAAGCTGCGGCATGGAAACCGTTCATTAATTTGGTCAAATCTCTGTATGACTTTATACAGCAACAAATCACTACTTAGACACTTTCTCAAGAATCTTCCATGAGATCTAAGCTCAGGTACAAATAGTTGCTCGGCATGTCCGCCATTTTCTCAAATTTTCACACGATTTTCGTACAAGCCCAACCCAATATACCCCCAAAATTGAGTGACAGCGGAAGAGCCCGGATACAACTTTTGGATAGTACATTAAAGACCACAAGGATCCACAAACGATAAGGATGTCACCATAGTAATTCAGACGGTGGCACCCGATGATTTTCAACAGTAAAACAGAGAAACCCCGGAAATACCATGTCCTTAAGCGTCACATTGAAAAAAGAAAAAAAGAAAAAGTGTAATCATGTACAGAAATATTCTATGCTGTAGATCGTTAAGATTCTGTGGTATTACCAAGTTTATTTGCTGGCATATCGTTTCAACGTGCAGCAAAATTTGAGATCACATTCAGCGTTAACTTTTCCCAGTCGGCGTCCTTTCAAATCCCGAACTGCGCATGTTAACCAACTTTTTATAGGTTTCTTCGACGGGTATAAAAGCAAGCAGCGACTGTAAATTTCAGCACCCTTTCCGTATATTTCAACAAAATTGTACACATAGCATGACTGTAAGCGAACGCGAATATTATGATCCTGCAACTACAAATTATTGGCTACCGATCGATGAGATCGAGCAAGATCGATTGGATGAGGTAAAGGAACCATGTAAACACAAATTAACTGGATCCCTGTTAAAAGAAAGTTCATGGTTCGCTTGTTTAGATCCATTTCGCTCTGAAAGATTTATATGATGGGTACCATCTTGTGACTGAAAGGCTACATGCTGAAGATCAATTCTGTCTGACGATTGATCGTTTACGTCGATATACCAAATAGAAATGTTTTGACAAAAACCCATTGTTTACTGCGTAAGGGTATGAAGATATTGGACGTTGGTTGCGGTCCTGCCACTTGGCTTTTGGTAGGTTCACCGATGGGTTCCCTGGTCGTCTGTGCGCACGGCGGAGCTCTAAACGTCACGATTAGGATATGGCGATGAGTTTTCAAAAATGTGAATTTACCGGTGTGGATCTAAGTAAAGACATGTTCCCCAATATCAAACCTAACAACGTTGAGTTGGTCATCGCCGATGTTCTGCAAGGTTTGCCCTTTGAGGATGGTACTTTTGATTTTGTACACATGCGTCTTTTATGCCGCGCGTTCAAAAAGGACGAATGGGAAACCGTCTTTCGCGAGTTGCTCAGAGTGACTAAACCTGGAGGATACATTGAATCCCTCGAATCCGACATCAGAGCAAGTATAAGCACACACTTTGGAGATGACGCAAATTATAGTACTGATATAGGACGGGTATTGCATTAGGGGGAAACTAAGCTCAGCAAAATCTGTAAGTGCTCTTTCTCAGTAAATCGTAAAATGTCATGAATGCTCAACAATTCTAGTTATCGATCTTTCCGAACAACATGATCAAAATCCCCGCATTGCTATTCATATTGGAGAAATATTGACCAAGCTTGGAGCTAATATCATCCAAACAGATGAGCGCAGCGTCAATCTGGGTAAGGCAAAAGGCATCATAGTAGTACTTTAATACCGCTTTGCTTATATTACTGTTTGCACGTGGATTCTGCTGATCCGACAATTAGGAAACAATGATATACTGGCGGCCAAATTCTTATCAATGATTAAGCATTCTATTGAAAGTTTGATTCCTTTTATAAGACCATACCTTGACCTTAAAGAAGGCGACGATCCATCCTCGGCGATCCAGGAACTATTGGATGAACTAAAGGCATCTGAACAGAAATCTGTTTTCATTGCCTACCTTGCTCAGAAACCCGAATAAATACACAGATTGTATTTCGTGCATATACACGTTCCTCGCCAAGTAGGATGCGAGAATAACAAATTGTTTTCATTGATTGGACATAAAAAGCAATGGTTGCCCCAATTTTTTTGTTTTTTCGGTATATCATATACGGCATGGTTTTTTGTAATAAAGGAGTGCGGACGAAGCCCTTCATCACTGTTGACGTTTGCCCAATAATATTGGAGACATGTCAGTAGCAAAATAATAGCCAGTAATAGTATACATGATGTAAGAGTTACTTTTATGATGCGAAACAACGATGCCAAAATGACTCAAGTAAGCTTATGAAGGTGACCGCAGCAAGGTCTCCATACGTCTGGTGGTGACATTCAACAACTTTCAAAGCCGTGTAACTGAAATTTCCCGATTTGGATTGTTTACAAGCATTGCCACCAAAAATAGGAAAAGCATAATAAAATGCATTACTTTTTCTCTCCCCGTGCCGGTGAAAAGATTCTGTATCCTTTTTTTTCTTTTCTTTTCCTTAACTATGACAGCCATTACTTCAAATAATTTATTGAGCAAATCAAAAGATGTAGGAGGATCATTCATACACAGCTATGGCACCAAAGTGTTTATGCGCCCTCGATTGGACGACGTACTGGACGCAGTACAGCAAGCACGATTCAACGAAAAGAAATACGTGTGGGTCGAAGATTCCCAGAATGGCTACGTGAGGGCACATGTTATCCACGAAGACGAGCAGCAAGCTGAGATAGAACTAGAGAACGGCCTGGTAAGAGAAACAATGACTACAAGGTGGCACTTGCAGGCAACGATCCTGACTTTCTAAATAGACACGGCATGTGCCTATCAGCAAGGTTTATCCGATGAACCCGCCCAAATTCGACATGGTGGATGACATGGCTGAGTTGACCCACCTGAATGAACCTTCCGTTATTCATAACTTGTCCGTCCGATACCAAGCAAAGCACATCTATGTAAGTTGGATATTGTGAGAGTTACGAGAAGCAATAAACTAATGGAGGAACTATAGACCTACTCCGGGTTGTTTTTGGTGGCGGTGAATCCATACCGGCAACTTCCCATTTACTCGGATGAATATGTCCAGAACTATAAAGGTCGACGACGAGGAGAGATGCCTCCTCACATCTACGCTGTAGCCGACCAAGCGTATCATGACATGCTGCAGGACCGCGAGAATCAATCCATCCTAATTACGTAAGTATCAGTTTGGTATCTTGGCTCAGTATGACAAGGATTAAATGTAAAAGAATCCAATGCTAGTGGTGAATCGGGTGCTGGCAAGACGGAAAACACAAAGATCGTGATTCAATACCTCACCACGGTAGCGAGTGATGGTACCCGGACTGAAACAAGCCAACTGGAACAGCAGATTTTGCAAGCAAATCCTATATTGGAAGCCTTTGGTAATGCGCAGACCATTCGCAATAACAACTCATCGCGCTTCGTAAGTGAATTGTACTTGTCTTGCGTTGGTCAGCTTCATGTACGCTTATCATTTATGATAGGGTAAATTCATCCGTATTGAATTCAACATGCGAGCTCAAATCTGTGGTGCCAACATTGAATGGTATTTGCTGGAGAAGTCCCGTGTGCACCAACAATCGCCAAAGGAACGCAATTATCATATTTTTTATCAGTTACTGAGTGCTGATGAATCTATCAAAGGTATGTGTACAATGTTCGTCGTGCAACAATCTTGAATTAACACAGTGTCATTAGAGCAACTGCTCCTGGGGAACGGGCGGTCAACCGATTACGGATTTACCAAACATTCAAGACCCACAATTGATGGCGTAGATGATGGCCAAGCATTCCGTCAACTAATGGTAACACTATGAAACTAACAAACTCGAGATTGAAATGTTACTAAAGCATGGGTCAATTTTTCACAGACATCGCTGGATATTATGGGGTTGTCGGATAAAGAGAAGTTAGATTACTTCCGTATAGTGGCTGTAGTACTGCATCTGGGCAATATTGTCATCACACCGGACTATCGTGGTGATCGCGCCGATATTCGCGATTTTGCGGTACTTGAGCGGGTGTGCCATTTGCTGGGCATTCCAGCTCAGGAGTTCAAGAAGTGCCTACTTAGCCCACGTATCAAAGCCGGTCGTGATTGGGTCAATCAGGCGAAATCGCCAGCTCAGGTGACGGCGAGTCTGGATGCTTTGGCCAAATCTCTGTACGAACGTAATTTTGCCAGTTTGGTCGAGCGCGTGAACCGGGCGATCGATGGTCAGAAACCAGCAGACAAGATGGGTTTTATTGGCGTGCTAGATATTGCTGGCTTTGAGATATTCGAGGTAAGTTTTCTAAATCAACATTAGCATTCTCACGATTAAGAAAGCCTTACACGAAAAATTTGGGATCCACGTAGGTCAACAGTTTCGAGCAACTCTGTATCAATTACACCAATGAAAAACTCCAACAATTCTTTAATCACAACATGTTTGTGCTGGAGCAGGAAGAATATCAAAAAGAAAAAATTGATTGGTCCTATATCAACTTTGGTTTGGATCTTCAGCCCACCATTGACTTGATCGAAAAAACAAATGTAAGTTACCGTCGCTTTAACGAATCATAATGCCTTGTGTAACAATTGCGTAAAATAGCCTGTGGGAATCTTATCCTGCCTTGAAGAAGAATGTGTGGCTCCCCGAGGAACGGATAAGCGATTCTTGGACAAGTTGTCCGAAGTATGGGATAACGATACGGGAGAGAGCAAGTTCAAGACGACTCGGTTCAAAGACGGATTTATCGTAAGACACTATGCCGGCGATGTGGAGTACTCGACCATTGGTTGGATTGATAAGAACAAAGATCCCTTGAATGAAGATATCACTCGGTTATTGGCACAATCCAGCCAACGCCATGTCGCCACCTTGTACGAAGACTACCTGACAGAAGAGGACGATAACAGCTGGAGACACGGCCATGGCACCAGTGGTGCATTAACTTTGTTGAAGCTACGCAAAGGAGGTGGTTCATTTCGCACAGTTGGTCAGCGCCACAAGCAACAACTGCTATCGCTCATGAACACGTTATACATGACTCATCCTCACTTTGTCCGGTGTATTCTGCCGAACAATCGAAAGCGCCCAGGAGAAATTCAGAGCAAACTTGTTCTAGACCAGTTGCGTTGCAACGGCGTGCTGGAAGGTATCCGTATCTGTCGCAAGGGTTTCCCGAACCGTCTTTCTTTTGCCGATTTCCGCAAACGCTATGAAGTACTTTGTCCCAATGTGCTTCCACCAAACGCATTTATTGATGGTCGCAGTGCTTGCCAGACCCTGTTGGATTGTATGGAATTGGATCATGACCGTTACAGAATCGGTACCACCAAAGTCTTTTTCAAAGCAACAGTGGTAAGTGGTGACAGAAAAACGACACGATCAAAAAAGCAATACCTCATATAAATATCTTTCTAGCTTGCCGATCTAGAAGAAGCGCGCGATAAGAAACTTGGCGAGTATATCACACGGTTCCAAGCAATGTGTCGTCGCTACATTGCCCGTCGTCACATTTCGAGGGTCGCGCGACAAACTGAAGCAATCAAAGTGATGCAACGAAATGCGCGAATCTATGTCACGTTACGTGAATGGCCATGGTGGAAAGTATATGCCAAGCTGAAACCCCTCAATGTGGCGTATCGCGTCGAGACTCAAATCAAGGAAAAGGACCAAAAGATTCTCCGATTGGAAACCGAGCTCAAGACACAAAAGGAACAAGTCGCGTGCCTCAGTGAAAGGACCGAAGAACTGGAATCACAACAACAGGACTACAAGGAACTGTTGCGAAGCGAGCAGTTACTGACTCAGGAACTGCAAGACAGCAAACAGAGCCTACTGGACAAAGTGACCAATTCAGAAGAGCGGGTAGAGAGTTTGTGTGAAGCACTGGATGAAGCCCGGGATCAGAATTGCACGTTACAACAACAGCTGGAGGCTGCTTACAAAGAAAACAAGGCACAAGCGGGCATGATTGCACGATTGCATCAAGACATACGCGAGTACAATGACGATAACGAGAAATTGGCACTTCAGTACAAGTCGTTGAGGGAGGAACATGAGAACGTTTTGCGAGAGCTAGCTCTGTTGAAGAAGGAGCATGCATCTCTGTCGCAGCACAACACATCGTTGGAACAAGCTTTTGATGACCAGCGAGCGCATGTGGAGAAACTTGAAGCAGATTTAGTCGAGACTCGGTCAAAGGAGCATGCCCTGAAAAAGACCAATACTGAGCAGAGCAAACAGATTATGAATCTAGAAAAAGAGAAAGAGGTAAAAATTATTATAGTGGCAACCAAACCAAAAAATATTCCTATTAACCGGTTGTACCTTGATGTGTAGATTCAGCAAAAGACACAAAACCAAAAGATCGCAGAAACAACCGCGTCTGTGGAAGCGATGAAACTATCCCTACGAGAGTCGAGCCACGCACTGGAGAAGGAAAAAGCTGGTCGAGAAGAAGCACAGAAGGAGACCAAGTCATTGAAGGAGAAGATTGACAAGTTACAGAATACCCATGCTACCGAACGAAACGAGTGGCAACAGCGCAACGAGCAACTGGAAGATGACCGGCAACAGCTAGTGTCCCTCTTGCAAGCTGAAGCGGCTGATGCAGCAGCAAGAGCGGCTAGGTATGTACCTATTGCTTTTCCTTTCACATGAATTTTTGATATTTAACGACATGATTTTTATTATTAGACTGGATCAGGCACTTGCACAGTTACATATCAAAATACCCCCATCATCTCAGTAATTCTATTTTATAAAGAAAATCAGCGGGATGAAATCGCTGATATTTATATACCCTATTAAGTTGCGACTTGTGACATGCGCCCTTGAAAGATGCTGTCTTTGATAATTGTACTGCTTACGGAAAGCTACTTGTTGTCCCGGCAAACTGAGCTTATGATGAAATGGGGGGAATACTCCGCTCCGCGTTCCCGCGTTTAAAGCCAGCCCTGAATTTGGGCCATGACGCTGGATTCTGTCACGTGCTCCGCTGAGAAATGGAAAGACTTCAGCTTCCTTTTTTACTTCCTAGCTTTAGGTCCTCTCATTCATCATGCCCTCCTTGGCTCTTTCAAGTGCAGAGGACAAGAACAAAGTCAGAAGGGCTTTGCCGACTGCTGTAAGAAACGCTACAACAGTTACATATCATCCGCATAATTGGCTCACCATATCTTAACAATAGAAAATATATGCAGCCACGGTAGCTCGCTTATATGTCGCTTATCCGAATCCTAACAAATGGGCTTACGCCAACGTCTGGGGTGCCGTCGCATTTCTCAAAGACAAAAAAAAGCATGCTTTGTATCTGCGTATGGTAGATTTGACGGTAAATCTCGAGGTGTTGGGGAAAAAGTACTGCAAGGCCGACTGAAACTGATCTTTATTTTTTTATTGAATAGAATCACAGAGGAGTCATTTGGGAACAAGAATTGTATGATGGGTTCGAATTCAAAATGGAGACGCCTTTCTTCTATACGTTTGCTACCGATGTAAGTACCGAGACTAGGAACGGTAATAATTATTATTCAGGCACTGAATTACTTGGCTTTTTCCTTTTACAGGAATACATGGCAGGGTTATCATTTGCTGACACTACGGATGCATCTGTTTTCTATACAAAAATAACCACTCGAGAATCTCTCCGACAATCTAAAAACAAAAAAGGTAACTGGTGAGAAGAGAAGAAAGAGGAACACAAGCAAAAGACTCCCAAGCTTGGCTTTCTTTTTGGATAACGAGTAGCTAATATCACAATGAAATGTACAGGAACTAGCACTGCTAAGCAAAAATCAAAAGGCAAGCTGGATAAGACGCAAATCGGTCTACCATCCGAATTCAGGTACTAATGAGATTGGCAAGGATATGATTGGGATTTTAATGGTTGACCGGAAAACCACGTGTAGGCATTTGGGACATATTGGCTACACGCCCGAAAAAGGGTTCAGTGTGCAGAACAATGACCCTGAGTGGAATGGCTTGTTTGATCAATTGCAATCGCTTGGTATTTCTGCCAAAGAAATCCATGAGAATGAGGACTTTATCAAAGAGTTCGTAAGTGAACGTGGCGGTCCGCCTCCACCTCCGCCTCGACCTTCTTCAGCAGCTATTCGTAAATCTCGTCCTCCTCCACCTCCGCCTCCTTCCCGACGAGCAGCTCCTCCTCCACCGCCTGTTGGTGGTAAGTTATCAATCATTGATTTGCCTTTAAATTGAACTTTCTTCGCTCATCTGCTCCCATATCCCTTAGGTCGTCGTCCGCCTCCACCTCCACCTCCACCTGCTGCAAGAAGAGCAGCACCACCTCCACCTCCACCTCTGGCTTCATCTGCTGGAAGACGAAGTCTTGCACCGCCACGTCCTCCGCCTCCACCGCGCCCTGTTTCGTATGCTTCGCGAAGCCCATCGACTTCTTCGAGAACTGGAACGCCATCTCTTCCTGGAAGACCATCACCGCCAGCAGTCACTTCGCCTGTATCCACGCCGCTAGTGTCTACTCCAACAGTACCCACTCCACCTATTATTCACAGAGAGACGCCGCATTCGCCTATTAAATCGAATAACCCCTACCGTCAGTCGATGGGAATGGAATCTCCGGCAGCATCTTCTCCGATTGCACCCCCTTCGTTCAGAGCACCTTCGCCAGTGCCTGCTTCGCCGGTACCTGCTTCACCAGTGTCTCCGTCATATGAGGAAACGTATGATTATCCGGATAACGACACGCGATCATCCTCGCCTGAATTTTACGATGCATCGGAGGCACCGATTCCACCACCATTACCACCTATGCCTCATTCAGGTCGTCCAACCCCGCCACTGCCGCCACCTATTCCGAGTAGAGACAAAAGAGGTCCACCACCGTTGCCACCCGGTAGACCGACGCCATCTAATCCACCGCCAAAACCTGTTGAACAAGAGCCATCTTATGATAATGAGTCTTACAACCCTTACATGTCATCTGCAGCTCCTCCTCCGCCTCCACCACCTCCTCCACCTCCACCAGTTGGAGGTGCACCCCCACCTCCACCTCCACCGCCGCCGCCTCCACCAGTAGGTGGTGCACCTCCTCCACCTCCACCTCCATTTGCACCATCGCCTGCAATGTCCGGTTCACCTATGCCCGTTGCATCAGGTAATGGTGAACGTGGTGCCTTGCTGGAATCCATTCGAAACGCAGGAGGTATCCATTCTTTGAAGAGCATACCTAAAGAAGCCCGAAGAGATCGCAGCGGCCCGGCCACAGGTGGCGCGAATGCCGCTGCTGCTGTAGCTGGAGGTGCTGCTGCTGGTGCAGCAGGCGGCAATGACTTGACCACCAGTTTATTAGCAGCCTTGCAAGATCGTAAAAAAGCCATCCAGTCCGATGATGAGGATGATAGTGACGATGAGGACGATTGGGATGACGATTTGTAGTTTCAACCGTTGTCTGTTTAGTTTCTGGATAATCGTATTTTTCGAATAAATAGATGCTCCAGTCTTTTTTTTAATGTCATATCAAGTACAAGTGATTATTTCTTGCAGCAGGTCCGGTGCATCCAAGTATGCATTCGGATGTTTCCTATCCATCGAAAGTTGATATCTATCGACGTTGAACTCATTATGCGAACGCTCTATTTAGTCTCAATAGAAATAGATAAAAGAAGTTGGGGGTTCAGTAATAGCCTAAGAGATATTCGAGACGAATAGCTCTGTGCACCTCAAAGAAACAGGTAGCAAAAAGGAGAAATCACAAGCAGCATTCAATCGAATCAGTCACTAGATCTGAAGAACCAAATACAATATGCAACTGGCTGATTCGTATGGTATAAGACTTTTTGCGCTATAAAATCTTCTTTTATGGCCCGCAGTGCGTCATTCGAAATGGAAAGGAAATATTGTTTGAGCAAATGATTTTTATACAGTGATGAATGAACAACATATATAATAGAGCTTGTCAAAAAGCGGCGTGGTGTGAAGGTATCGATAAATAATAATAATATGGGTTTAAGCTACTAAGAGATGATAACGAAAAGTGTGAATGGTAAAGGGAATGAGCAAAGAAATAAAATGTCTACAAAATTATGATTGCACCTGCTCGGCTTCTTCACGTGCAATGAGTGTTTGCGTAGCAGTTCGGACCGCTTCATCCGCGCTAAAGTGAAAGAATGGGTAGCGATCCTTGGGCATGGGAATAGAATGTTTCGTCGTAGAGCTAGCATCATCCGCCGTCTTTATATCGTACTGAATGCTCTCGACGTCGCTAGACTTCTGCTCTTGGTAAGCTTTCTGCGGACCATCCTTGTGGGCAGGCACAATGGGGAGAATCTCTTGAACAGCATTGTTGGTGTCCTGGTCAGATGTATAGCGTGGTTGTGTACCAAAACCTGCCACAATCAAAGACTCGCGAATGGCAGCTTGGGCAATATTGATAAAGTGGAACTCGACGTGATGGCCGCTGTAACGATTCAAGGTATTCTGAGCGTCGACAATAGCTTGAAGACCGCTGGTATCAAGGTTGTTGACACTGGCAAAGTCGAGAATAAGAGCATGCAGGCGAGGTAATTGTTGTCTTTCGGCGTCCTTGACCGGGTCGGCATCATCGTTCCACGCACGGTCTCCTTTAGATAACACCTGTTGAGATCTTCTCGTGTTTTCCTTGGCATAACTGATAATCTTATCGGTGATATAGCCAGAATTAGGATAGGTGATGGATTCTTCGATGCGGCACATCAAGATACCGGATGGTAAGTCCTCGACAAGTTTTCCGAGAGAGGGGTGATCCTTGGACACGTACAGATATTGTTGCGCAATATCGGATTTCTCAGGCTCGGGACTAGTGAGAGGAACACGACCGAGGACCCAGAAACGAGGACGGGCGATACGGAACAGCAGAATAGCCAATGACAAAGCAAGGGAGGCATAGATACCATATTCCACGGTAGTGAAGAAAGTGACGATGACAGTGGTCACGAAGACGAATAATTCCCACAGAGAAATTCTCGCCAATCGACGAATGTAAGCCGGTCCAGAGACAAGGTCAGCAACGGCGTGAATGACGACGGCGGCAAGCGTGGCGTCGGGGATGTAATAGAAAGCTGGGGTCAGAGCGTACAAGGCAAGAACCACCACGAGACCGGAGAAGATACCAGCAATTGGAGTTTTAACGCCTGAACGGGCCTTGATGGCTGTTCGAGAAAAGGAACCTGTAGACGGATAAGCACTAGAAAAAGGAAAATCCGAGGTTGAGTATTCCTCTTGAAACAATGTTTGTACACAAACATAAATCTTACCCAAAGAAAGCAGCCCAGATGTTGGTGAAACCAATAGCGATAATCTCTTGATCAGGATTGATCGCATAATCATTGATACGACCAAAGGACTTGGCAATAGCCACGTGCTCCAGAATCAGGATAATCACAGCGGAAGGTAAAGATGGAGCGACAGCAGAAATAACATCGGTAGTGACATGGGGCACAGCCATAGCCTGGAAACCAGCAGGCACAGTTTTAAGGATACTGATTGGGCTTGTATCTTTTCCGATATTAATGAGGAAAGCGATCAGAGTACCGAAAATTACGAGGATACCGTTGCGCATGATGGACAGGAAGAACAAGTGAGTCTCATATTTCTTGTAGCGTTGACCGAGCTTTTGACAAGCATAACGAACGCCATAAAGCCAAATCAGCCCAGTAAGGCCAAAGGCAACGTCCACTTTTGTTTTTGGCAGGTTTTTAAAAAAATTGCCAAAGATCAAATAAGTCGAATCTTGGGTATTGATGCCTTTGATACCAAACAGTTTCGGCCATTGGCCGACCGTAATCGTAATGGCACTGCCTGTCATGAAACCAGCAATGGCAGGACCTGCGTGATAAAATTTGCATTAGAAAAAAAAAACGTAGTTGCAACTACTGTAACAAGTTCGTCCCACATACCAGGGATAAAATCTACAAGGATTCCGAGGCGAATAAGACCAAGAAACATAGCAACGGAACCACTCAACAAAGACAAGGCGACAGCGATCTGAGGAGCGGTGATTTCAGGGCTCTCAGCAGCTACTCGAGTTACGGTTTGACCGATTAAAAGAGACATGACAGCTATAAAAGGCTAGGTGTGAGTGTTTCCGAATGGGACAACAGCGAATAAAGTGGGGAGCATTACCGGTGGGGCCAATACTGATATCTTTCGATGTAGCGAAAAGACAATAAACGCACAAACCAACAAAAGCAGTACTATATTTACGTGGATAGATGTTAGCATAACGAGGTACAGTTTGATGTATTCGATAAATTCAACTTACTATAGACCATATTGGGGAGGTAATTCGGCAATCTTTGCATAACCCATACTTTGAGGAACGACAACGACACCGACGGTCAGACCAGCAATAAGATCCCGAACAAGCCACTACAACAAACATGTTTCAGATTGAGTCCTGATGTTTTTTCTGCAACGTTCAAAAAAAATGGTTCTCACTTGAAGATTATAACGATGAATCCAGGTAGCAATTGGGAACAGACTAACAGCGTAATTGCGGCTGGATCGAGGCAGATTATGCACGAATGTCCGTGCTTTTTCCTTGCGTGACACGGACTCGTAGTCGATGATGATACCAGTAGCCGAAGGGGCGCTCATGAGAAACTACTGAGTGGATCGTTTTGCAGAGATAAACAAAAGTAAAAGATCATGTTTTATATATACTCGAAATTTCGATAGGTGAGATGGATGGATTTTTCGAAAAAGTTTTGCGCTTAGTACCACCACTATTGCGCCATCGGTTTCCATGATCGCACCTTTGGTCGAGTTTCGTGCTACTCCGACTTTTTTAAACTGTCAGATTCCTGTTTTAAAAAATGTTGTACTGCGAAAACTTTACAGAAAAGGCAAATTTGCATCTCACGTGCTCTATGGCACCATCGTGCACGTCTTCATGAGGTTCACACCATTTTTAAGATCTTGATCGAGTAACAGCAGCGTGATTGCGAAATAATATGGCGTTACATCTTCCTATCCATCATCACCTCCATATTTCAACATCCTTGTGCACCCACGCATAATTTATGCTGCAAAACCCATTGATTCTTATGCCATCATCTATTTGTCTATACCCTCGCTGCTTCCACATGGTCCATGAGCATGCGCATTGACCTACACTATGGGAGAAAAAAAAAGTCAAAGGACGTAGTCCGAAAAAGGATTGCTATTTTAGGAATTTGTCTTACCTTGGTGTAAATATTTTGGCCAATGTTATTGGATTATCTTTAGCGCGCTGGCTTGTATTATGAATTCCACAAGGGCAATGCTTCGCATATCTCGACTCCATTCACGTCACGATCCCAGATCCTGTTGCAAGCCTCGCACTTGAGGACGCGGAAAAGTGAAGCATCATCTGCCGGCTCTTTTATCTTTGGTAGAGTCATTTCTTCCATAGCAGGAGCACCTGAGAGGGGCGAAAAAAGCAAACACAGTTGTGACAAAAATGTTTGACTATTTCCGCGATTACTCGTTCCGTTGGAAGATTGCGAATTCTTCAAAAGCAAGGCTGATGTATCAACATGATTAACTACATATCCGATACAGATATTCATCAATCCGACCTCTGTTTTATTGTCTTTGCATAAGCCCAGATACAGATATTCTCTTTAGTTGCCACTATCTCCTCCAGACCAAGACATTGTTCTTTTTATCGGAACCTCAGCTCTAAAGAGGCCATTACTCAGGTATCATATACATATTCATCAGTGTTCATTGTGTAATAAATGATCATATTTTCAACCTCGTTGACATCTTGAACTTTACGCCTTTAATCCTATGGATAGATCTGTCGCTCTCTAACATAGAGCTTGAAGCGTTGTTTCGTGTGACCCACAGAAGCAGGCAAGTGGATCCAATCGCTCGAGCATAGACTGGATACACATAGTAGTGAATTCCATGTTCGTAATTTTGGAACTTGCCATAGTACGCTCGAGATTCGTTACATCAGCATGTCCTTTCCACTTCATGATCAGGGCGGTCGTTTGCTTGTAATATGCCGTGGTGTAATATCCAACCTTGAATATTTGTCGAATTTCGTGCGGAGCATCCACTGACTGCTGTTCAGCAGTTTAAACTGGTCCGACATCGCATTCTCTCAGGAACTCCTTACCACAGCATAGGTGAGCTGGATCGTTGCCTCTACCTGTACCTCCCTGGCGACGGCTACTTGCTGGCGATGTACCTCTCCATGTGGGCGTTGTTCTCGTGCAAGATCCGGAGGAATACCTGGGGGCTCCTTGGCAAACGTATTCATGTTCAGGCGATTTTCATAGGAGCCCAACCGGTCACTGGTTTCTGAAAATAATGTCAGCACTGCATTGTTGGCAATGTCACCATGCTCCGCAGGAATGTTGATATTGAAGGCAACATTATCAGTGGGTGGTGCGCAAAAAGATGGTACGTAAACCAAGCCAGCTTGGAGACATGGGATTTGGATAAATAAATCCTGTGAAAAAATGGACAAGGGGTGTCACTATATTATATTGGATACATGGTTTCTTTGAACCTTACCGGTGCGATCTCTCGAATACGAAGCTGCAAAACTCGACGTATCGCGACTCGAAATTCTCGACAATGTTGCTCGTAAAGGTCTTCACCATTTGGAACAAGAGTTCAATGGGAGAGACACGCACCACCTCGTGTGCTTTGGTTCGGTAAGCGTAGAGAACCGCTTGCAGATGTTGATCCAACTGGTGCGGATCCTTGGCAGAGCTGTGCTAGCTAGCACAGAGCCATACATGGGCTGGTTTCGCAACCGGCTGAAGCTACCTGTCGGAAAAAGCTCCAAGTACGATTGATAAACTCGCTGCAGTTCGTCTTTCGGGAGATTTCTGTTCTTGGAGATGATGCCTCCCCCGAGCAACTGTTGAAAGACGCTTTAGAAGAAGGTCTGCTCGAACATGATCGCTGGTAGTGCGTCGTTCGTGGCGAGTTTGTGTTGGTGATAATAGGTGGCGAATAAACGCGGATTTGATTATCACCATACTTCATAGGAGAGGCAACCCCACTTCATGATTCCACCTTTGCTATGCTTGACGGTAAGATCAAGATGCGGTTTCAAGGAATCGCCAGAATGTGACCAGCAGTATTTGACGCCATCAGAGCCCCAGACCTTGATTATTGTGGTGAATACGAGTCCGTCATGTATTGGAATAGCGCACTTCGGCTTTTACGTCGATGAAGGGATTCGAAGTTCTTGACGAAATGTTTTGAAAGAAACCCATTGTACGTCGTGTCTTGCACTTCTTCGCTGTTGAGCCTTCTTCTTGAACGTGAATTCGTTTGCTTGTCATAAGAAAGGCTGGCGAAAAGCGAAAAAAAAGGGGCCATTCCGATTTGATTTATTTTTCATTTTTCTCACGCACCTGACCTCTTGTTATGACGGAAGTGTTCTAGGCAACTATATTTCATTCTAGTGCATTCGGCTGCTCAATTGCCATGGATTCCAGTCCCGCATTGTTTATCAATTCAATCCTTTTTTCCCAACCGACAATCATATAATAACAATGAACAGTCAAGCTGATACCGGTATCAAGTATTGCCCAAAGTGTCACAGATCGAAAGATGTTTAACAAGTTTCCGCAACGTTATGTATATCGGCACATGTGTGGGTGTCTTTTGTCCAAGAGCCTTCTTATTGCTTTCACGGAACCCCAAATTTTCTTCTTTGTTTATATGAACATCCTCCCGAGTCCCTTGGTTGTACACGCCCATGACTACTGATTTCAGTTCTGTGCCATTCTATGAAAAAAACTGCCGTGCATCTGTCTCCCTTTCTATTTCAACGTAATAACAATGAATATCGGTCACATGCTACTGGTAAAGATTTTGCCGAATATACTGATTCTATGATGTATTGTTCATGTTATGAACCTTCGAATGTTGGCAGTGCGATAGCGACATCTTGGCGTAATTACCGAAAAAGGTGTAATTCCCATAGACTTGCTCATTTTTTCGGTCAAGCCTGCTTATTTTCGACAGCATTGCAAAACTTCATGCCACTCGCCCAAATACAGAAAATCTATGCAAATTCGTCGATGTCTCTCGAAGCAAGACGATGGTCTGTTGCCCCTGCGAAAATTGATAGCTATTTAAATATGCGCCCTTCAAACATGTCTGTCAAATAAAAGTGCCATAAATCTATGCCCACTGATTGGTTTTTGGAAATATGCACGAATAAACACTCCGCTATGTGCCAGGCAGATTGGGGTGGGTGCCAAAAAAATTCGGGAAGTTTGCACAAAGGCAAAGGTTGATAACTTACGTACAATTCCGTGTCCTTGCTTGCAGTTTCCGCCTTTGTTAGCTGCATCCTCCTTATCCATACTGCTTCGTTCCCTCACCCTGTTTTACTGAGCCCAAGTTTCCCCCTGGAACAACCCGTCAAATTCTTTCCCCAGAAATAAGATCCGCTGTGACTGTGAGTGGGGAGGATAGGAAGTGTGGAAACTGAACATTTTTCCACAATCGTTGTCTCTTTCGAATTGAACCCCTCAATATGAATAGTAGCGAACACATCTATCAGATCCTTCAGACTGACGATTCCATTAAACTACCTGAATCTCAGTCTGGTCGCGCGAGCTTTCCCTCTGCAACTACTGGTCAGCCCGAACTTCTTTCCGCAACAACGAACAATGACCAGCTGGTCGAATATCTTTTCACCGACGAGTCGTTTTTGCCGACAAGTAGGAACAATGCTTCGAACATGCCAGTGAATGAACAACACATGTCCTGGCAAACCATGTCTCTGGGTTCATTCCAAGATCTTGCTGTCGATGGAGTGAATACTGCAGGCATGCCTAGTAACGATGCCAATCATCGCCATTCCGACGAGGATGAATATACAGAAATGCAACTCAAGATGATGACTTCCAAGGAGCGGCGACAACTGAGAAACAAAATCTCGGCCAGAAATTTTAGAAACAGGAGGAAAGGTAATTCGAAACGGTCTACAATATGTTGTGGCATGGGGCTGGACTCCTTACTGTATTATTTCCTCGATATGGTATCTAATCTCGATACACTTTTGTAGAATACATCACGACTCTGGAAAATCAAATTGAAAAATACAGATCCGAGAATTCTCAATTGAAACTGGAAGTAAAGTGGTCGCAAACAACGATGGAACGCTTGCAAAAGGAAAATGATCAGTTAAGACTGCAGCTTGCTCTTTGCAACAAAGGCATCAAAGAGGAGCAGTCGCAAGAACCTGGCTATCCCCTTTCTTCTAAACCCATGATCCAGCCCGGTTATACGATTGCTGTTCCTCCACCGGCAAATCATTTGCCAACCTATGACCCACTGACCATGTCTCAGCATCATTTTGCTCCCGAATTCACTGTTCCCTCGGACTCTTCCTCTTCATCCGATTCCTCCCATTCGCCACCTCGCCAACCTAGCCAATCAAACGATTCATGGGATTTAGTTTTTTCCGAGTTTTCTCCCACCCATTGCACTTACTTGTCGCACGCCGCTATGCCGAATTGGGATTTCACCCCCTTACTATCCAAAGTTGAAGAAGCATTGCCATCGACCAATCCAAGCGATATTTTCCATCAATATCCGCTGTTAGCGCCGGCGCTCATGTCGATCATCGTTACCCATTCCATGACCATGACAACAGAAGAGCTTTTGCGAAACGCTCAGTTGCAAGCACCTATCACTCAACCCTCCTCACGTTCGTTTGCTGAAGACATGTTCCTTTCGCCCAAATTCAACGCCAAACTTCGATCTCCCACGTTGCCTGCACTCACGAATACGGATATCGAAGCTATGTGGGGCAGTTTGTTGAAGCATATGCCCACCAACAGTAAACCCCATCGCGTCGTTACAAGCTACACCGATCCCCCTGTCACCGGAATGCAGACGTACTGTCCTCTGTTCGTCATTCAGAAGACATTATGTCGTTTTGTTATTAACGTGGTGGTTGCACGCTATCCTCACTTGGAGCATAACTGTATTAAGTACCTACCTGTCTGTGAGAAGTTCAAGAGACGGTTGATCATGCCTGCCTAAATACTACCCCGCCCTCATACTCCGTTTGTAAATAATGATCATCCCAAAATGCCACTCATTTGGAAGCATAGATCCTAATCCCTCTCTTTTGCTTTTCTCGTTCGTTTCTGTCCCATCCTTGCCGCTTATGTTTTTTTCTTGCCATCTTTTATACTTATTGTTGTTCTTTTTTCTCCAACCTAATAAACAACATCAAAACTTGTAACCTCCCGTTACGTTTGTCCACCAAGGGTCCTCTTGACATTCGTACTCAATGAAAAAAGTTTTTGATCGATTATCATATAGTGGTATATCATTCAAGGTTGTAGTTAAGGATCATAGATGACGTATGGAATAGAAGGTAGGAACACTTGCTAAACAGAGACATAAGCACCGCCACCGCCGCCGCTGCGTCTGTGAGTCGAGAAAGAATCCATCATGTGCGAGATCAGATCCTGTGAAACTCGATGTCAGATTTATCGTAATTCATTTTTCCTTGGTCAATTAAGCGAAACCCACCTTGATAAGGTACGGCAAGTCAAGCCAGAAATCTGACAAAACACATTTCATGAGTATGGGAGATACATGTTGCTTAAAAAAATGCACTTTACCTCGATGTGGCAAAAGATCTAAACCGCGGGCATTATATGTCCTATAGTTATAAAAGGCTCCTGCTGCCATATACGTCAAAGCCATGATAATCAGACTACAAACATGCGATAAGTTACTGTGGCTATTCCAACATTTTTCACATTGGTCCTCACATCATGAAGAAAATAGCCATCCAAGATATCCCGCCTGCTTCTGTGCCTACGTCTTCCCCAGGCTTCGGTTGCTGATCTTTGTCCTTTCTTCCATCGTCTGGTGTATCTTTATGATCATCAGGTTTATCATCGTCCGTTGGCGATTTTTGTTCTTTCTTATATCTAAGTAGACGGTGGGTTTTTTTAGTCGTGAATGCACATCACTAACGACTGTGGAAATTTCCTCTTACGCGCAAGCAAATACCGTTTTCCATTGGATAGAAAGCACGTTGTTTTGATATGAAATAATGGTTGGTTTACTTGGCTGCGCCTAATCCCAGAATAAAAATTTACGATACCCATTTCCCCAACTTCATTGCTCAGACTTACGTTGCGATCTTGTGATTCATCGCATTCCAGGAGAATTTGCGCTGATTGTGCTTGATTGTTCCATTGGCCGCCTCCAAGGACGAGAGAAAACTCGGTTCCCGCTTTTAACATAATGTCAATATACAATATTATCCTTGAAGAATGCCACTTTGCCTACTTTTGGTCAAATCTTGCTCCGTATCAATAGTCTTGAACTGAGCTGGCATTGCCGAACTAAAATTTGTTCAATTTCTTAGTTTCACATCCTTTGCATCTTGGGATCAAGCATTCAAAAAATTACTTTTGGAAAGCACCAGCGATATTTTGTACTTGCTCGACTCGCTCTTCTCCCTGCTTGATATTGATAATGCGACGGCATATATACTGAAGGAATGACGAATAAGCTACGAACTATGAACTAATGCATTTTAAAAACACTTACTACGCCCTTATCGCAGTCATCTTCGTTGGGATTTTCGGGTTGCTTTAATTCATTACATATATTCAGTTGAACATGAGCCGATGTTACGGTAGGCGGAGTTGATTCATTGTGAAATAAATCGTATTCACTAACCAAGACGTAAGTTAAGTCTATCCCCCAATCCTTGCTTAAATCAGATCAAGTTACGTGTCCAATGCGGATAAATCCAATCGCCAATCACTCTTGGCCACTGGTTGATAGTCTTTGGCACAATAATCCTGAATGGCTAGGACTGCCGATATTCCGCTGAAGCTTATTATCCAGCTGAGCCAATGTCGCATATTGGGGGGAAGCTCAAAGAAAGAAGTCAGAAGTCGAACATCAGAAGCAGACAACAGCCTACAGCAACGTGATGCCCCATATGATTGGTCCGTTCACTTTTGCTGTGCTTTTCATTCGGAGTTACAATCACAATGGACGGCTTTCATGCATGATATGCAACTTAGAAGAACAATGAATGATGACTCTTTACCTATCAGGCGAGTCTCTTCATATATTTCTGATAGACGCCGACTGGTAATAGCCGCCTATTAATTATTTCAGCTTAGCTATCGTGGTCATGAGACACAGAGAACAGAACGCGCAAAATTCCCGGATGATTTCATATGAATGAGCCGCGTTCCTGCCATACCAGTATTGTTGCTGGCGGGCGTGCTAAATGGTACAAGGATATTAATGCATGTCTGAGATAATGTGAGCAAGATTTTTTATGTAGAATATCAAACGAAAAAGATATTTTACAGTACATACACTACAATGTAGAATACAAGTTTTTTGGTGCGATTAAGAACACGTTATTTTTTTTTTTTTCGAAAGTGTGTTTAATACCCTGCCCTTGTTCAGAAAGCAATTTATGTGCTAACGTTATTATGGGCCAAAAATTAAATCTATCAACGGCAACATAATATACGCAACTGTTTGAGGCATAATTAGAACTTTCTCTAATCAGGAGATGAACAATCCGCCTTTGTCTCAGTATCGCAGAAGATGCGACAAAATGCAAATGACTCCCCGTATTATACAACTTATCAATGGCAATAGCAACGATGACCAAAAGAATAAGGGGTGTAAGTGAATAAGCACCTCCTGTTGCAAAAATTGCAATATAATAGAAGCTCTTCTTATGTTTGAATTTGATATTCGACGCGATGAAGAACTCCAACTTCTCGATGTATTTTTCTGATTGATGACAAAAGCAGATAGCCGTTTACAGAATGCAAAAGTTAACTTGCATAAACAAGGGTGACTCCATTTTAATAACTGATGTATGAAAGTTTTAATCCGGTAACTGATTGGATCTTATTGGTCAAAGCGTGTATTTTCAACGCTGCTGTTCATTTTTTGTATTATATCGATGTTCATTGGTCGCAGGAAAAAAACCAGCGGATCATTGACCTACAGTTCTGAACGGCGGAGTTATAAAAAGTCGCAAATTGAAAAAAAAAAAAAAAAGAAAGAAAAGTCTTCCAACTTTCTTTTTGAGATCCGCTGCTTCTTCTTTCCTGCCTCACTCTTTGGTTGATTCTCTGTCACATTCCTGCTCCTGATCGTATATAAAACCATCGATTGTAAATTTCAAGGTATTACAAACTTACATTTTGTGTTGTTACTCTTTGTTTCTTTTGAATTTAACCACGTCGTCATTCTGACTGCGCATTTACCTTTGTCCATTGACGTAAGTGATTTGAACGTTGCATCTAATTATCACAGAGGGCTCATTTTTACGAATTAAATAGTCTAGATCATTTCGGCTTGGATTGAATTGTATATAGACGAATATTCCTAGCAATTTCTTGGCAGTGCTGGCGGAATTGAAGATTGTATTTGTATTTATCAGTAAACGGCCGGACGATATATCAGCGTATGCATCGTAGCTCAACAGGAAAACGACGAAAAAACGATCGCACAACGGTCGACGACGATGACGAAATCAACTCACATATGAATCTGCATAAGAGCCAAAAATTATCAAGCCGTGCTCGCCGTCATCTGTCAAGAAGTGACACTGCAAGACCGGACAATGATTTCATTGTCATGGATGACCGATCGGATACGGACGACGATTACGTTGATGATAGTATATCTTCGAGCCCATTAAGGAATGACAGCGAAAACGACACTGACGATGAAGACCATCAACAGTATTGCGCTAATCTTCGATCATCCCGTCGGTCTAACACCGAACAGTTAGCATCAGAACCAAGCACACCGTCAAGGAGACGATCATCCTTATTCTCAGAGTCTACAAGCATATCCGATATAGACGATGGCGATTTAAGTAGCTTGGATAGTCAGGAATGGACATCCAACAAATCCGGTGCCGTGAATGGTCGAGAGCGCTCTTCATCTCAGAAAGCAGGAGTGGATACGGAACAACGAGGAAGCTCGAAATTGTCTTCGATCGCTGAAGGATCCAATGCCAACAAAGATGCAAAACTGGATACAAATGGTTCAGAGTCACGGCGCAAACGCGGCCACGGCACCAATCCAAACAAGCCGGACAAGATGGGACGTACGAAAATTTTTGGAGCTACCAGAGCTGGTCATTTAGACAAGGTGAAAGAACTGGTAAAACAAGGAGCTAATGTGAATCACCGAGATAATGCCGGCTGGACACCATTGCACGAAGCGGCGTTGAAAGGACAATATGAAATTGCGAAATATTTGGTCAGCTGTCATGCCATGGTAAACGCTCGCGGATTTGGAGATGATACGCCACTACATGATGCCTGTTCCAACGGATTTGCCGATTGTGTTCAATTATTGGTGGATTCAGGTGCGAACGTTTTTGCCTTGAACAAAGAGAATCAACAACCGTTGGATGTGTGTGAAGATACAGCTTGTTCAAATATCTTGAAGAAGCGCATATCTCAGTTGAATCATCTTACCGCTCGTGACGATAACGGACGTACGATATTACACCGTGCGTGTGTTGGTGGCAATCACGATGAAGTAGCACGACTAGTGGATCAAGGGGCCAATGTCAATATCCAGAATGCATCAGGATGGGCTCCAATGCATGACGCAGCCACGAATGGTCACTTGACAATCGTGAAATTTTTAGCGGACCATGGAGCTTTGATAAATATGACCGACTCTCGTGGCGACACCCCTTTACACTGTGCGAGCAGGAATGGCCATCAAGATGTTGTTCAATATCTACTAGAAGCAGGTGCCGATGTCAAGAAAGTCAACAATGAGGGGAAAACGGCATACGATATTGCAGGATCCGTGACGATTCGACAGGTGCTGACTGCCAAGATGGACGAAGAACGTAAACAACAACAAACCGTGGATATCGTGAACAACGCTGCGAAATATACGGTTGAAATTCCGCATCTTTACGGTACGGTTGCAAGTGCATCTGAAGACACGAAACGTACTTTGTCACGAGAAGAACGAAAAGTGCAGTCGTATATGAAGGCCTTTGCGCATCTTGAAACCAAACCTAAACGCGGAAGAGGCAAAGTTACGGACGATAACGATTACTACGAGCAACAAGATCCGGATTTACTGCCTTTGTTACCATTACCACGAAAAAGGAGACGGGCGACAAGAAGAAAACACGGTAGCCGAGACGAATCGAGGGAAGCCTCCTTGGACAGAGACGTACGATCAGAAACGCCCAAAAGTCGACCCGATGTTGGAAAACTTAACGTGCATAAAAAAGACACGAGCGGTCGAACGCAATTGCACAAATGGGCTGTACGTGGCGATGTGGAGATTGTGCAACAATTATTGGAGAAAGGCGCGAACCCTAATGAAGTGGATAATGCTGGCTGGACACCATTGCATGAAGCAGCTTTACGCGGACATCTAGAGGTGGTGGAGGTTCTTCTCGACAATGGGGCGAATGCCAATGCTCAAAGTGCTGATCTCGATACCCCACTTCATGATGCGACCGAAAATCGACACCCCGAAATTGTTAAATTGCTGTTAGGACGTGGCGCTGACGTACATATCACGAATACGAAAGGGGATAATGCTTTGGATATCGCGATAGAAATGGGGTTTGACGATATTGAGCAAGTGATCCGCTCTTTCATCTTGAAGCAAGCATCTCAAAGTCGCCGGCAACGGAAGTCAGGAAGAATGAAACAAAATAGTCACGAAGATGTCATGGTGACTGGAACTGCGAATGCAACCGTAACCGGAAACACACCCGATACCAAGGATATCACTGACTCTTCCAAATGTAAGTAAAGAGGATTTTGGACATTTGAAAATGGTCATTGATTCTTATCACGTGCTGTAAGTAGATATGCAAGCATCACTGTCACCCAAACCCGTAAAACGTCGACGCCTAGTACGTGCTTCTTCTCTAGAAGCGGAAACAGTTGTATCGGATCATGACAAATGTGATGTACCTATCAAACTGGAGAAACCCGTGGAGGATGTTTCGGTAATGGATAGATATTCAGCGTCAAATGACGATGAGTTAGCCAACGCTCCAGAAAGCTCGCTGCAGAAGCGATGCATAACCAATACGGATCCATCGGTTCGAAGTCCCAACACACCTATACCTACTCCGCCACCAGAGAAGCACGTGATGGAAGCAATTGTTAAAGAAGAATCGGAAGGAGACGACCTTATTTCGATATTACGGACAAACGCCGAGGATCACAGCTACTTTTCCGAGCCGATTCACTTTTTGCCACTGTATACAGTCCAATTGACCGACAACAATGCAGCATCCACGTCCACGTTTTACGTGCTTGATCTGCAAGTGAGCTTATTTATGGGGCTCTGTATGAGTTCTTTCTGGAAACGATATTCGTATTTGCATCGTCGTGCGGTAACGATCCGGGAAAAAACACAATTCTGGTCGCCGTTATCTGCTATTCTTTGTCGAACGCTCAATCCAACCATTCCATCACACGCAGCATTGAAAGCGAGAGTCAAACGAATCTTTTTGGATACCCAGTTATCTTTTATCCGTTTGGACGCTGTCACTTCCTTGATCAGGAGGGATTACAGTCATTTGATCGGCAACATCATCACGATTAATTTGGACATGACCTATCAAGATAGCACGGCTGCCAGTACGCCATCTGCTTCTTTTTCGCACGCTGATTCAATGATCCAACCGAATTTACCGCCGAAGATCGCTATGAAGTTGCGGAAATGCAACATGATCAAATTCAACCAGCCGTCCCGTGACTAACTTCATATGTTTCAACCCTCATTTTTTTTCATCGTCAGCAAATCCATACCCCAGCATTTGTACACTTCCTCCCCCTCTCCAAGCAAAAACAAAAAGAAAGAAAAGAAACTTCGCAGCGCATCGACTCAAAAATCACTTCGTGCCACTTTCACATGGAGCGAAGAGTCTCACTCGCTGACGATATAATCACCAGTTACCCAGAGTCTTTCTTTTGCATGTAATCTGGCCTCTTCAGGAACCGGTATATATTGAATCAAAAAAATTTGGTGTCGTGGCGAAAGCACTTTTGTATATATCTAGCGTAACGCAATGTAAAAGTTTCCTCTGTTTGTTCTCATAATCACTACTGAAAACAAATCATCAAATGCTTGCATCCTGATAACGAAAGCAAATGTTGTTTACGAGTATAGTAGATTCACTATATTGCTGATACACGTGTCACTGATTTCATTCAACATGTGCATAGGAAAGGATTTGTCTTTGCATGCAAAAAAGCGAAAAGCAACTTTGCTCGGGGTGGTTTTATCCGAAAATATAGCTTGCGTTTCCGGAGGTTGCTGGATATTGAGAAGAGGCGCAACAAAACGTGGATGAAGAAAAGATTCATTTGAGTTACAGTGGAAATGAAGCATTTTATTAGCACCAAGGTGGTTCATTTTATGGAAACCACTGGTAAGTATTCATAGAGGAAGTTACAGTTTAAACTGTACGCACGTATAGAATAGAAATGCGTATATTCGTATAGTATCTCGCAAATAAAAAGACATGATTTTCCTAAAGTTTCCATCATCAAAACATGTCGATACAAACCTAAAAATAAGCTTTCGATAAAATGTGCATGTGAATAGAAAAAAGGCTCTTGTAACAATGAACAGGGTCTTTCAAACCTCAGGTTTTTGAAAAGAAGTAGGCCAGAGCAGAACTTTTTCCTCCATCCTGTATTACAAAGATCCTGAAACCCGGTTTCCTTTTTGAATATGCCACAAGGTTCGTTTTTACTATTGCTTTTGCACGTCGACTTCTTAAGAAGCCGGATGGGGGAGACCATGAGCACTGAGGATCTTAACGTACCACGTCCAACATGTCTCTTGCCCTGAAGAACCCTGGACAGAGGGGCGCTCACGAGGGTGAAAAGGGACACGGTCGCCTTAACTGGAAGGGACGCTCGAGTCCTGGTGAAAGAAGCACACAAGGACTAGCGAACATCGTTTGGTCAACCTTGCGAACACGTTCAACTGAAAATGCTTCTGAACGCAGTTCGAAAGGTCCTGCATCTTACAGTAAGACATCCCTCCACGAGTGGTGAAAAGAGTCTTAGGTCCCTCTTGGGTCCCATTGCGGGGCGTTTACAACTTGTGGAAATGCCTAATACTGTGCAGTCTATCGAAGGTAAATGCTTTATGGACTGAAGAAGCATGCTTAAGAAAAAGGTGAAAATTACATATAGTGTACCGGCAGAAAAGCTGACAACATCATTTATTTAGCAGCCATTTTTGAAAGTGTGAAGCACTAATTATGATATGAGGTGCCATAACTTGGAAAAATAAGTAAACAGATCTTTTTCGTCTCGAAGATTTGGCTGATCCAGTATCAGAGTTTTTGTCATTGGCCTAAGACTACAACTGAGCAGATGATATGGATCTTAGCCTCACAGCGCAAAATTGGAACAGGGCAGAAGTTTTCCCCCCTTTTTCTTAAAAAATTGGACCTGGATAACCGTGTTCAAGATTATGAGGACCCTTTTTTCAATTCATATACATTTTTAATCAAAAGTTCATTTTAAGTTTACATCGACACGTTCTGACGTTGAAAACGTTGGGGAATCTATTTCTTTTTATTTCAACAACGGCATAAACCCCTGCATACACACATTATTCTTTCTCCTGTGTGCTACACAGAGTGTACCTTGTTGTGTCTTGGGTTTCTCGTATGAAGATTTACCATCAGTTTTCATAAGAGTAAACTTCTTGTAGGCAACGACGACCTTCCCTTTCCCCTGTCAAATAACGAACGTTATGTAGTGGGCATTCTGTTGTGCTGCCTTGTTTTCAATGGTTGGCGTTTATCAATATGTAGCGACCTCCCGAAGAAAACAACCTACATAAGGTAAATCAACCCCGGGCAGCGATTTCCTCGCCTTTCCATACAGGGAAGGCTCTGTATGTGCATGTATCTCTCTTTCCTTGATATCACATCATGTGTTGGTATGCTGCATGCTGTACCTGAATAGGGAAAGCGTACAAGAAAAAAAAAAGAATCACACGAGAAAATACAAGTAGTAAACATCGTAAAAAGGAAAATATGAAACACAGGAGAGTAACAAAGAAGCTCCATACCACGATAGCTTGCAGGGAAACCACCCAGATTCAGTTTATAAGTTTATTGATGAAAATGGGTTTGCACGATCCAGCAGGGCGCAAACTCCTAAAAATATAGCTCTGCGAAATCACTGATTAGGCACCTTGCACGTATGGTATAGGAAAAGCCAACTTTGACCTCATCACTCCTACAAAATCGTAACTTTCAGGTCATGTCAAGTTTTGCTTGGCTTCGTGTTTTTCTACGCGACAGTATAACAAATGGACTTTCCGCATTTTGCTCTCAAAGAAATCTGACACTCGTATGAAGCCTATGTCTCGATCGCATCTATTGATTAAATCGCTGATCCTTCACTAAAGAAATGAATCGCTTCACACTGCGTTGCTCTCATATAAAAATGAAGTCACAATCAGATATGTGGGATCATTATCAGCTTCGAAAATCGTTACTGCCTATCAGATGCGCTAGATGCTAATAACCCCTGTCAAATCAGTATAAATGATCTGAGGGAAAAATATCTGAAGGCAAAGGAAAGGTTATGATTTGAAGGCAAAAGGTTGTGATGTGAGAGAAAAAGGTTATGATGTGAAGGCAAAAAAAAAAAAAAAAAAAAAAAAAAAAAGATGTGAGGGAAAAAGGTTATAATGTGAGGGAAAATATAATGTGAGGGAAAAATGTTATAATGTGAGGGGAAAAGGTTATATCTGAAGGAAAAAAAAAAAAAAAAAAAAAAAAAGATGAGGGAAAAAGGTTATTCTGTGAGGGGTTGTGATGTGAGGAAAAAAGGCTGTGATGTGAGAGAAAAAGGTTATGATGTGAAGGAAAAGGTTATGATCTGAAGGCAAAAGGTTATGTGAGGGAAAAAGATTGATCTGAAGGCAAAAGGTTGTGATTTAGGCAAAATGTTATTGTGAGGGAAAAGTTGTGATGTGAGGGAAAAAGGTTATGATCTGAAGGCAAAAGGTTATGATCTGAGGGCAAAAGGTTATGATCTGAGGGCAAAAGGTTATGATCTGAAGGCAAAAGGTTATGATGAGGGAAAAGTTGTGATGTGAGGGAAAAAGGTTGTGATGTGAGGGAAAAAGGTTATGATCTGAGGGAAAAAGGTTATGATCTGAGGGTAAAAGGTTATGATCTGAAGGCAAAAGGTTATGATGAGGGAAAAAGTTGTGATGTGAGGGCAAAAGGTTGTGATGTGAGGGAAAAAGGTTATGATCTGAGGGCAAAAGGTTATGATCTGAGGGAAAAAGGTTATGATCTGAGGGTAAAAGGTTATGATCTGAAGGCAAAAGGTTATGATGAGGGAAAAAGTTGTGATGTGAGGGCAAAAGGTTGTGATGTGAGGGAAAAAGGTTATGATCTGAGGGCAAAAGGTTATGATCTGAGGGCAAAAGGTTATGATCTGAGGGCAAAAGGTTATGATCTGAAGGCAAAAGGTTATGATGAGGGAAAAGTTGTGATGTGAGGGAAAAAGGTTGTGATGTGAGGGAAAAAGGTTATGATCTGAGGGCAAAAGGTTATGATCTGAGGGAAAAAGGTTATGATCTGAAGGCAAAAGGTTATGATTTGAAGGCAAAAGGTTGTGATGAGGGAAAAAGGTTGTGATGTGAGGGCAAAAAGTTGTGATGAGGGAAAAAGGTTGTGATCTGAGGGAAAAAGGTTATGATCTGAAGGCAAAAGGTTATGATTTGAAGGCAAAAGGTTGTGATGTGAGTGAAAAAGGTTAAAGGCAAAAGGTTGTGTGTGAGGGAAAAAGGTGGTGATGTAAAGGCAAAAGGTGGTGACTGAAACTTTTTAAGCCCAAGTCTTAAGTCTGTCGTTTGAAATTTTTCTTTGAATTTTCTGCAAACGATAAGGTGGTGCATAATCCTTATTCCACCTCACCCATATGAGTATGATACCAGCAACACAATCTTTTGCTCTCATTTTATTTACATTAACGAACGCTTGACCTAAGCAGGCCGACAATCAAATTTGTTCACAAGATCTCCATGAAGAACGTTTTATCGTGATATTGATTCGAACTTGTGTCCATGGTACACAACCAGTTCCTTGATTGATTTTAGTTCTCTATGCAAAGTTGTTAACATGTTAGTTGTTTATATAAGAAATCCATAATTTATAGGCGATTGTTTTCTTACTTGACAAATTTCCGTATATCCAGGGGATCCGTGGGTAAGCCAGCGTAGTCCAGGACAACAAGCTGCACGGAAAAGTTGGTTGATTTCGCAAACATAATCAAATCTTAGGCAGACACACCGTAAAGAAGTGAGTGGCGGTTAATCTCTAGTTTCGTTGCTGTCTATACCTTGCATATCGCCATGTTTATGGCGAACACTGTCCATGATATTGAGATTTGGTTTTGTATCACGTTGGCATAATGGCGATCCAGAGGAGCACATGGGGGATAAGAAGACTTTAGCACAGTGACATTTGATACGGAGGCAGTATGTCATCTTTTGCATTGAGTTGATCTTGTTTTGCACAGGTTCGTTTGTGCGTGATTTTCGTGCATAACCGACGTTGATCCAACCATGTGATTCCATTGATGCGTTTAAAAACGATTTCGTGTTGAAGGTGACTTTCAAGACTTCATCTATAAAAAAAAAAAGGATTGTTTGTTGCACGTTTCTTTTGTGATATGCACCATAATCCATATAATCACCCCAATGCTCTTGCTTGACAATCCACAAAGGTCGTCCATTTTGTCTTTTGGTACCGATGCGTGCAATTTGCGAGCAGCTGAATCCACCATCCTTTGACAACCAGTCAGACACTTGTGCGGCAGAGAAAATGTCAACTACATTCGGCATAAAGCTCTTGACAAGGTCATATAAATCGATAGTGTTCCAATGGCCAAATGTGTATAAATCTTTGTTCACTGGGGTATCTGCCGATGCGATGCACTTGAAAAAATCAAGTATGCAGTGTTTCGTTGGTTTAACTAAGTGGTTGAGACAACGTTAGCACTGCAGAATCAACTTCACATTGCACTCGAATAAGCAATCACTTACTATTATTGGACGCCGACTTGTCAGAAGAAACAGATGAAGAATCAGAGCCTGCGGCTAAACCATTAAAAAAGAAAATGAATGCGCCATTTCTTTCACAACTTCGTTGTCATTGCCATTAATTTGTTTTGATTTTTTTTTTTTTTTTTTGCCTACATTTTATCGTTTCATCGCCACTAATCGCCGTATTTACAATACGAGGAGAAGATGGAGGGGTGTCAGCATAACGATGGTATGTAAAAGGATCCCGTGCAACAACTTGTTTGCCAATTGTAAAAGGCCGTCTGTTGCCTTCGCTGCTTGTATAGATAACTTCCAGTGGCGGACGATAAGAGTCAACGATTGCTTTACATTTAACGCGATTGGCATCGGTCACTTCTTTACGGTGTGTCTGCCTAAGATTTGATTATGTTTGCGAAATCAACCAACTTTTCCGTGCAGCTTGTTGTCCTGGACTACGCTGGCTTACCCACGGATCCCCTGGATATACGGAAATTTGTCAAGTAAGAAAACAATCGCCTATAAATTATGGATTTCTTATATAAACAACTAACATGTTAACAACTTTGCATAGAGAACTAAAATCAATCAAGGAACTGGTTGTGTACCATGGACACAAGTTCGAATCAATATCACGATAAAACGTTCTTCATGGAGATCTTGTGAACAAATTTGATTGTCGGCCTGCTTAGGTCAAGCGTTCGTTAATGTAAATAAAATGAGAGCAAAAGATTGTGTTGCTGGTATCATACTCATATGGGTGAGGTGGAATAAGGATTATGCACCACCTTATCGTTTGCAGAAAATTCAAAGAAAAATTTCAAACGACAGACTTAAGACTTGGGCTTAAAAAGTTTCAGTCACCACCTTTTGCCTTTACATCACCACCTTTTTCCCTCACACACAACCTTTTGCCTTTAACCTTTTTCACTCACATCACAACCTTTTGCCTTCAAATCATAACCTTTTGCCTTCAGATCATAACCTTTTTCCCTCAGATCACAACCTTTTTCCCTCATCACAACTTTTTGCCCTCACATCACAACCTTTTTCCCTCATCACAACCTTTTGCCTTCAAATCATAACCTTTTGCCTTCAGATCATAACCTTTTTCCCTCAGATCATAACCTTTTGCCCTCAGATCATAACCTTTTTCCCTCACATCACAACCTTTTTCCCTCACATCACAACTTTTCCCTCATCATAACCTTTTGCCTTCAGATCATAACCTTTTGCCCTCAGATCATAACCTTTTGCCCTCAGATCATAACCTTTTGCCCTCAGATCATAACCTTTTTCCCTCACATCACAACCTTTTGCCCTCACATCACAACTTTTTCCCTCATCATAACCTTTTGCCTTCAGATCATAACCTTTTACCCTCAGATCATAACCTTTTTCCCTCAGATCATAACCTTTTGCCCTCAGATCATAACCTTTTTCCCTCACATCACAACCTTTTGCCCTCACATCACAACTTTTTCCCTCATCATAACCTTTTGCCTTCAGATCATAACCTTTTACCCTCAGATCATAACCTTTTTCCCTCAGATCATAACCTTTTGCCCTCAGATCATAACCTTTTTCCCTCACATCACAACCTTTTTCCCTCACATCACAACTTTTCCCTCATCATAACCTTTTGCCTTCAGATCATAACCTTTTGCCCTCAGATCATAACCTTTTGCCCTCAGATCATAACCTTTTGCCTTCAGATCATAACCTTTTTCCCTCACATCACAACTTTTCCCTCACAATAACATTTTGCCTAAATCACAACCTTTTGCCTTCAGATCAATCTTTTTCCCTCACATAACCTTTTGCCTTCAGATCATAACCTTTTCCTTCACATCATAACCTTTTTCTCTCACATCACAGCCTTTTTTCCTCACATCACAACCCCTCACAGAATAACCTTTTTCCCTCATCTTTTTTTTTTTTTTTTTTTTTTCCTTCAGATATAACCTTTTCCCCTCACATTATAACATTTTTCCCTCACATTATAACCTTTTTCCCTCACATCTTTTTTTTTTTTTTTTTTTTTTTTTGCCTTCACATCATAACCTTTTTCTCTCACATCACAACCTTTTGCCTTCAAATCATAACCTTTCCTTTGCCTTCAGATATTTTTCCCTCAGATCATTTATACTGATTTGACAGGGGTTATTAGCATCTAGCGCATCTGATAGGCAGTAACGATTTTCGAAGCTGATAATGATCCCACATATCTGATTGTGACTTCATTTTTATATGAGAGCAACGCAGTGTGAAGCGATTCATTTCTTTAGTGAAGGATCAGCGATTTAATCAATAGATGCGATCGAGACATAGGCTTCATACGAGTGTCAGATTTCTTTGAGAGCAAAATGCGGAAAGTCCATTTGTTATACTGTCGCGTAGAAAAACACGAAGCCAAGCAAAACTTGACATGACCTGAAAGTTACGATTTTGTAGGAGTGATGAGGTCAAAGTTGGCTTTTCCTATACCATACGTGCAAGGTGCCTAATCAGTGATTTCGCAGAGCTATATTTTTAGGAGTTTGCGCCCTGCTGGATCGTGCAAACCCATTTTCATCAATAAACTTATAAACTGAATCTGGGTGGTTTCCCTGCAAGCTATCGTGGTATGGAGCTTCTTTGTTACTCTCCTGTGTTTCATATTTTCCTTTTTACGATGTTTACTACTTGTATTTTCTCGTGTGATTCTTTTTTTTTTCTTGTACGCTTTCCCTATTCAGGTACAGCATGCAGCATACCAACACATGATGTGATATCAAGGAAAGAGAGATACATGCACATACAGAGCCTTCCCTGTATGGAAAGGCGAGGAAATCGCTGCCCGGGGTTGATTTACCTTATGTAGGTTGTTTTCTTCGGGAGGTCGCTACATATTGATAAACGCCAACCATTGAAAACAAGGCAGCACAACAGAATGCCCACTACATAACGTTCGTTATTTGACAGGGGAAAGGGAAGGTCGTCGTTGCCTACAAGAAGTTTACTCTTATGAAAACTGATGGTAAATCTTCATACGAGAAACCCAAGACACAACAAGGTACACTCTGTGTAGCACACAGGAGAAAGAATAATGTGTGTATGCAGGGGTTTATGCCGTTGTTGAAATAAAAAGAAATAGATTCCCCAACGTTTTCAACGTCAGAACGTGTCGATGTAAACTTAAAATGAACTTTTGATTAAAAATGTATATGAATTGAAAAAAGGGTCCTCATAATCTTGAACACGGTTATCCAGCTCCAATTTTTTAAGAAAAAGGGGGGAAACTTCTGCCCTGTTCCAATTTTGCGCTGTGAGGCTAAGATCCATATCATCTGCTCAGTTGTAGTCTTAGGCCAATGACAAAAACTCTGATACTGGATCAGCCAAATCTTCGAGACGAAAAAGATCTGTTTACTTATTTTTCCAAGTTATGGCACCTCATATCATAATTAGTGCTTCACACTTTCAAAAATGGCTGCTAAATAAATGATGTTGTCAGCTTTTCTGCCGGTACACTATGCAGGTGTTTCTAATAACAAACAAAAAAGGTTTAAGCACAAGCCTTCGGTGTTGGAAGCATGGGAGATATCCTGAGAAAATTGCACGCGATTTTGGAAACAAAAAAATTATAGATTGCACCAAAATCCATATAAAGTTGTCATTTCTGTTCTCATCGAATCCAAGCCTCTGGATTTTTTGGTTTTTTGGTTTCGGCTGCTCTGCTTCCCCTTCTGACTTTTTTCTACTTTTGAACTTTACTCGAATGCTGTACCATTTCCGTTGAGGCACTTATAAAATAATTAGAAGTGCAATGTCGGACCTTTCTTCCCTCTTTTTATTTTCTTCCTTTTTACTCGTCCTTACTGATTTACATCATCTATTTCAATTCTCGACTAAATGTCTTTAAAATATTAACTCTCTTTGACTGCATATATTACGTTTCACTATGGCAACATCACATACAACATTTACATCTCACTTGTTCTCGAATAAGTTAAATTCTTCGCCGTAAATATTTGACCTTGCAAACTTCTGCTTCCACTTTAAACTTCGTACGATCTATAACTATGATTCTTGATTAGTTATATGCTCATTGTTCGCCAACAACCTTGTAAAGCTCGCCTTTGTAGTTTTAAAGAAAAAGGTTTGCGTAACCCGACGAATGAAAAAAAAAAAAAAGATGACCCAGGAACAAATGATCCGACATGTCTATTGACGGAGAGAATAAAATAGTGGATCGAAGGCCGATCGATCCCCCTCCGATTATTCAGCTTTTACCGACATACAATGACCCCGAGTAAGTTCAGCTTACTTTCACCCGCGCTCAATTGTCAGAATCGCACCGCAGAAAAAGAAATATGGCTCACATTATCAAAAGTGAACATTTTTTATACAGCGCCTATCTTTTTGTATATGCAACATTAATTGATGCCAAGGCCGGAACGGATTTACATATCATCAATGGCAACCAAACGACAGCGGGTGCATTGGTCCAATCTCTGCACAAATTGAAGGATGTTGATAATCGAGGTAACGTCTTAAAATAAACTCTAAACTTGCGCTTACAAAAACCTGTCACTTACAGTGATGCTTGCATAGATGGGGCATTCTTTGTTTTCCCGGATATTAGCGTTCGACTCGAAGGGTTCTACAAACTTAAGTTTACTTTATTCGAAATCGTGGGGTGCGTGGAGTGGCAGTAGGGAAATTTTCTTCCACTATGTAATAACCAATTGTTGCCTGACTTATCAGGTTAGATGTTCGTTGTTTGTGTTCCGTTTTATCAGACCCGTTTCAAGTTTATTCCCCCAAATGTAAGCTTCCGAAATTGTGTTTGTAGCACTTACATCGATGAATCATTGATATGGCTATTGTAGCGTTTCCTGGGATGTCAGGTATGTAGACATACTGTCAACTGTCTTACAGGATATAAATTCACAATGGCTGCAGAATCAACATTCTTGACAAGATCATTCTCGGATCAGGGTGTTCGTATACGTGTCAGAAAAGAGACTCGAGCATCCACCGTCATGTAAGAACTTTCTTTTTTTTCAGATGACTTTTCTTTTTTGCTTGTACAACCATGGCTTACATGGCATACAATGTCATTTATTCCTGTTTTGGAACAGGAAACGGAGAAAGACATTGCAAGGAGAGGAACAGGATTCTGATGATTCGGCGGGAAATACTGATCGACAAAACCCGCCTTTGGAGAATTATCGTGAGAACGCCATGGGTGTATTATTGCCTTCTACGAAAGACTTGCTTACTTCATCCCAAAGGGTTGATTCACATTTATGGAATAATAATTCACCCTCTCCGCCACCGCCACCCGCAGCTTACCGCCAGTCCAAATCGTTTCAGAATCTAGTTCTGCCACCACCTAAAGACCTTTTAGCCGATATTCATCGGCCGACGCATACAATGTCGATGCAAAATTTGCTTTCGGACAAACCTGACAATGATTTGCCTGAACCTTACGGACATACAAGCTATCCAGCTCGACCTTCTGTTGGAACCGATTATGATCCGTGCCAGCCGTCTTTCCAGCGGACCCTGGTCCCACCTTACTGCTCTGCATCCGGTGTTCAAATATCCGAAGCTCCCAGCTACGGAGTTCAGCCACCTTTAATGTCATCACGAAACCCACGCCATGCAGCAACCTTCGGATATTATGTTCCTCATTCGTCATACTATCAACAAGACACTCAAAACCCTCATACGCAGCACTGTATTAATGACGATAACCATGCTTCATGATGGAAGGCCCATTTATCTAACTAACACCAGCCCAGCAAGTTTTATTTTACATCGCGAACTATGCTCCAAATAATGAAATCCTCAACGTATAATCTCCAACGATATCAGCGTGGCTGTAGTTATATTTCTAATTCACTATGTTTATGAATTTCATCTATTGCTGTACAATTACTATGTGACACATATGCAAACACCAATTTACACGGCGCACCGAAGACTAGGGATGAGCTAGCTTAAAAAGAAATGAAAAATTGCTTGCAACACGAACGTGCGTTGTGCGCCCCCAAAAGCGTCCTTTCACAAAAGATTAAAGCATAGAAAATACAATATCGCTGTTTGAAATGTGCGGAGAAAAGCTTCCAGATCCTGGGTTCATTACGGGACAAATGCACCATCTGTATGACCACATGACGGAGTCTGCAAATAAGTATGCACCCGTGTTTCCATTTTCTGTTTAAGCAAGGATGCATGTCGAGTACAAAAACGTTGGAACTAATTTGGTATTGTTTATTACGAACTTCTTGCCTTCTTAGAAGTAGAATTCAGAGTGGAATCCTCATAGAAGAAAGGCGGCTATTATAACGTCTCTCTTCGTGCATTCAAATAGGAAAAACTTATAAAAAACAGAAAGGGGCAAAAGTTGATTTGATTCCGTTCCCCTCGGACAACAGTATGCTTATCTTTATATGCGGAAAGAAAAGGTGCCATAAAACAGAGACATTGATACTGTAACCAAAATTTGGACAGATCGAGGTATCCAGTTACTCTATCCAGCTCCATCACTTTGCTTGGGCTTTTCCGTGTTGTAATATGGGTTCAAGTTAGCACCTGCTTTATTTGTATGAAATGGAAATCGAATTATTGGTAGTTGTATTCATGCTTTGGACTTACTTTTCTTCATACACATAACTGTTAAATGCCTCCTCATATGCTCCATGAAGTTTATCTAATCTTACCGTGGATTAAGCAAAAGGCACCTAAAACAATAAGGACCAACATTTCGGCTGAAAGTACTTACTGACCTTGACCTTGATGCCATAATCGATATATCGATTTCCATGGATTGAGTATTGGTAGATAATCGATTAGCCAAAAAAAAAGTTCGAGTGGAACATCAGACCGTCGGTCGCAAATAATCCAAATAAGGCAGCGCCGAGGAACCGTTTCCCAGAAACCCGGTCTCTGTCACCATTGATAAGATTTGAAAAATTGTAGCCAAACCAGGTCCCCGCTTCGCTGTGTTTGGAAAACCAGATTCATGTGCCAATTCTCTCAACAAACTTAAAGTATGCTTCCGAAACTTTTATATTCTGCTACTTATCAGCAGTTGCAAGTGGCTTCTTCTTGAAAAAGCAGCATTTTACCGAGCATGAGATAAACAGCTAAAAGAGAATGATAAAGATGTGTGGCAGAAGTAAAGAAACCCATATGAATATTTTCATATTTACACTATTGGCAAATCATTTTGCGATATTTGCCACCTCACAGGAGCTGGAAGAGTCTTTGTTCAAGGCTTGTTTTTGGAGAGAAAGCTTAATTGAAGGACATCCTATCCTTGCTCTTTTCATACTTGATTCTTGTTGCTGGAGCAATCATAGGAGAGCCACAGGTACGAAAAACAAATTGGGCGGATACTCTGCAATTGGATGAAGACGCTCGCTAGCATTTACCGAATTCTAGCGGTTAACTTTGTGGGTTTCAATGAATGGGTTCATAGCCTTCATTTTCGTAGGGGTGGGGGGGTTGGGCACCGCCATGAATAATCGGTCCTGAAAATTCACTTACCAAAAGAGCTGAGATTACTCGTCATTGTAATCAACGATCTACGATCTTCCTTGGTAAACGCTGAGGATTTTTTGTCTTCGCTTTTTATGTATACAACGGCACTAGCTTGTTTTATTTCAAAAAGCTAAGTTCTGCATTTTTCGTAACGGCCTAGCAATCAGAGCTCCTGAATTCAGGAGCATCCATATATATATATAGCTGCATGCGCAAGCTGATCTGCCAGAAACGGTTTATGGAAGCCCATATCGCCACTGAGATTTTTTAATAGGGAATGTCGGTTTGCTGGGACATGCTGAGAAAGGAATACATAGCCATTCATTGTATTATCTCACTTTGAGCTACCGATTAACACATTTTCCACTTGGGGCGATCCTCTTCAGGAGAACAAGTAAGATCCCAAAAAGACTCACATCTTTCATTGCTGAGAGTGGATAAATTTGAATTCCCGGGCAAATTTTTCCCTAATCAGAACGAATTAGAATTTTCGCAACCAGCGATTTCCTTCTTTCCACGGATGCAGTGGAGCGGAAAATCAAACTATTACACTCAGCTGTTTTGCGAGAGGTTTGTTTTCAGACATTCTATCAGCGGATTGGGTTTACTTTTTGTTTAATGGCTTTTGATTGGATCATACCGGTTACCATCACGGACAGATCTCTGAGAACAAAACTGCCTATTGCTATGAAATTAATCGTTTATACAGTTGCTATAAAGTATCCTCATTTACTTTGACATGAGTAGCACGTATTGAGCGAATTTCATTGAATATGCTGCATTTGTTGGGTGACAAAATTGTAGAAGGAAGGCAGAATGACGACATCTTCACGACTTTTTCAAAAGAGAAACAGTCCTTTCTGTGTTCCAAATTTTTGGAACGCCGTTGTTGCTTGAGGAAAAAACCGGCAGCTCGCTATTTTTTTTCCCACCTCTTTTGAAAAACCTTTTGGCTAGATTTGGCAACTCCTCTTTTCCGAAAATATCCAAAAATGAACGAGCTAAAGAACGAAAAGCCTTATGAGGACGATGTCAACTCTGGGGATGACTCAGACAATGAGAAACCTAATCGACGATCAGGAAGACGCAAGATCAAGATTGAGTACATCGAAGACAAAAACCGTCGCCATATCACCTTCTCCAAGCGAAAAGCTGGGATTATGAAAAAGGCAAGACATACCTGATAAGACAAAAAAGAAAAAATCTCCAGGGGTGTTCAAGGAAACAGCAAGTCATATTAATGTCTTTATTTGGGCATGCATAGGCTTATGAACTCAGTACATTGACAGGCACCCAAGTCTTGTTGCTGGTAGTTTCGGAGACCGGTCTTGTCTATACCTTCACCACTGTGAAACTGCAACCCATCGTTACCAAACCTGAGGGCAAAAATCTGATTCAACAATGCTTGAATTCTCCAGATCCCGTGCCAGAATCGTCAACGGTAACTATTTGCACTTTGTTGATGAATGCCATGGCGCAACGACAAGTTACTAACATCAAACGATCGCTTCAAGAGTGCTGATGCACCCTATAATAATATGGAGGACAAAAAAGTGCCCTATGACAATAACATAAACGTAAGTTCGGTTCCCCACACCCACATCGAGACACGAAAACTATGCGAACAGCAGTTGACATGATTGAAATATTAGGTGGAGCCGGTCAGCCCCTCTCCAGTTGCTGGCAATCAAGCTTATCCAGCCCATCATCAAGCTACAGCCAGTCATTATCCGCCACATCATCAAGCTGCGCCGCAAAGACAAATGCCTGGTGCAAATAACGGATATCATCCTGGCTATATGAATCAGCACTATTCTCAACAACAACAGCAACAACAGCAGCAGCCACAACAGCAGCAGCAGCAACAGCAGCAACAGCAAGCGCAACAATCACAGCAACAGCCTTCAGCTCCTCAGCCCTATGGCCAGATGCCTCCCCCTTCGTCTTTCTATGGCAACCATCCTGCACAACAAGCCCCCCATCACTATATTCCACCACCTCAGCATCCTGTAGGATATTGGCCCAACCCTCCCAGTTCCGGTCAACCAGGAAGATCCGATCCCAATGATAAGCGACGAGAAAGCCTTCTCTACAAAAAATAAGCTATTTCATTCATGTCCTTTGTTATTGTCTGTTCAATGTGTATGCTACTTTCCATTTCGATCCGTTTCTCTAGCTAGTTTCTCCACTTCTGCAACTCACATTGCAGTTACAAAATAAAAGAAAAATCAGTTTACTTGTGCTACATTTATACATTGGACAGGCCACATGATATTCTAGATTTTATAAATGAATAACAAAACAAATAGTGATAACACAACGGTATTCTATCTACACAACTGGTATAAAATAATAACAAGAATCGTAAGGGGAAAAATATGGAAGAGAGGAGGGTGAGAGACGTAAAAAATGCAACGCAGGAAGAACAATGTAAGATGAATGCAAGGAGCATTGGATTCCGTTAGAATAGCACAAAATGGAAGAATAGCATCCAGCTGACAGCTGCCAGTGAAAGATACAGTGTTGCGTAAAAATAATTGGATTTTAGTTTGACGAGCGTAGGCGCCGCGTTTTGGGTCTTGTCTTTGTTGATACGCGCTGCGAGACTTGCCGACCGATCCAATATGTCGTTATACATGCTGTGATCAAGGATACTAAGCACCACACCAGCCAAGACGGAAAGTGATGCGATAGCAATAAAGAAAAGCACCACGCCGCTGTAACCCTTATTGCGATCTGCATCTTGCAACAAGCCTGTGGTGATATCGAAAATAGCGCTGCCAATGTTGGTTCCCGATTTGATGAGCCCCATGCCCGTGCCTACCAGTGATAAAGGCAAGATGACAGGTACCGATGACACAAGACCAACTGGTCCCAACGACAAGCTCACGCTAAAAATCAGCATTCCCAAGATAGGATGTATGTTGGTAAATTCCAGAAGCAACATTGCGATCAAAAGAGACATGCCGCTGCCGATCACTATTAACAAATTGTGAGGTGAGAAAGACGAAGCACAGACACTCCTTTTTTTTCGGAAAACTCACTCATCCATGTTCGTTTGCCATAACGATCGACGCACATTCCTAAAATAGGCATCAGGGCCACAGGTAATACTTGAGCTACACTGGCTGTAGCGGCAGCATGCGCATCGTCAAATCCGAAACGGAATTTAACAAATTCACTATGGCAGCAAATTAATTTCGAAGCTTATTTATATGAGCAACCAAATGAAGCTTCTTACCTGTTGATATGGAGAAAACATCCCCAAGCTCCGCCCAAAAGGAATTCCATACTGGCAATAAGCCAGTACGAGTGAGGTAAAAACAGTAATTTGGACCAACTGAACGATTTCTTTCGCTTGATGACTTCAACGCGCTTCTGGCAATCGACGGATGGGTTGGATACTCTGCGTAACAATATGATATATACAAGATTCACCACCAGGGAGAAAACGCAAAGCATAGCAGAAAACTACACGAGTATAAGACATTATCGATTAGTAAAAGAATGCAATTCAACTTTGAATAGACAATTGGTACCCACCCAGAATCCGTAGCCATACCAACCAGTCCAACGGGCAATTGGGACAACCGTTGCTTGAGCTAGAAATGACGCCTATAATCGAAAGCAAAGATTTGTTTGATATTGACCTCATTGAATCCTGACGTGTACTGCTTACCAATCGGCTCACGGTCAACATAAGAGCCACAACAGCTGCCAAACTACGGCCGCGGAACCATTGGCTGAGAATAGTTTCCTGCACAATCACTACAGTACCGCTGCCAATGCCGTACAGCACGCGTCCAATGATCATCATGGGTAAATTTTTTGACGAAATAGACAGGGCGACAAGAATATTCCCTGATGCCACCAGAACCGTCGTAAGAATCGAGCCCGGAATCGTACCAAAAGCGTCAATGAAAATGCCACCCAAAACAGGCAGGATGGTATTCACTACAGATACACTCGATTGGATTACACCATATTGTGAGTTGCTGATATCAAATTCTTTCTTTAATATGTTCTTCGTGGCGCCTAGCGTGTGGGCGGCAAAGTGACTGCCAACTATGAGCAATAATAATATCATGGATCAACACGCTTATAAGGAATAAATGGCAGAATGTGGATGCGGCACCCACCTGCTAAAAACAGTGCACAGGACAAAGCCACAGCTTTATATTCCCAGGGTTCGTCAGCCAAGTGACAGTAATCATCATCAGTAGTCGGTATGTTGCACCTTTGTGGCCGCATTTGCGTTGAACAGCATCCTTTGCCTGATGCGCAACAGGACTTCTTGGTTGCACAACAACCGGATCCGTTGTTTGTTGACGGTAAAAGCGGCTGACGTTCTTCGTCCAGCGATGACATGCGTAATAATTAGAGGATAATCAGCACTATTATAGGAAATAGAACCAGTAACGATGTAAAGGATATTAAAAAAATAAAAAAAGGGAAGGAAGGCGGAATAAAAAAAGGTGCGGTCAACCAGGGTTTGTCCAACATTGGATTGAACGCGGACTGGTGCCCTATCAGATTCTTTTGGTGGAAAAAAAAAAAGTGACTTCTTATGCTTACTTGCAGTGCACAATATTAAATACGGCACTAACGCAGCTAACTTCTAGATACGTTGCATTGTATGCTACATTGCACTTCACTACTTGTGGTCCTTCTTCGCTTCATTTATATTCTTAGTGCCATTTTGCAAATCCCTGCCAGCAAATAGAATAGCTGGTGAATGATGTCATGTGGATATTGGTTCAATCTGATAACTCAATTCCGAACAATCTCCGTAGTTGCCAAATCGGTCTATTTCATCTTCGATTCTCACGTTTCATTAGTTGGACAAAACGATGTTTCGATAATGATACATGTACAATTCTGTTCTTCATCCCATGTTGTAAGCTTTTTTGTAACTTGAATTAGTGATTTATTGATTGAAGGGTCAAGAAAAATACTCTGCCACTGATCACTTGGCCAACGATTATGTGATCATCGGATTAATCTGATGATTTTTCATCCGCACCCGTCATGATGTCGACGTAGTTTTTCTGATCCTGTAACATAGCATGGAAGACCCGATATCGTCTTTCGTTCATAGCAATGACTTCCTTATCAGTAGTCGGTTCCACTTCGCGTCCTGCGCGACCCATGCGCACCATGACTTCCCAGAGATTATCACAAACACCGGAAGCTTTAGCACCCAACAATGCTGCACCTATCACTACCGCACCATCGATACACTCGGGTAGCACTACGCGACAACGAGTAATATCAGCGTGTAAGCGCACAAAAACAGGGTTTTTGCAGAGCCCTCCAGATAAACAAAGGGTGTCGATCGTATAACCTCGCTCATTTAGACATTCAATGATGTGCCTTGTTTGACATGAAATAGCTTGAAGTGTAGCGAGATATTTAGTTGCTAGATCGTCGATACTTGAATCCAAGGATAAACCGACAATCATTCCTTTTAGACCAGGGTCAGCAAGTGGAGACCGGTTTCCATGGAAATCAGGGTAGATGTGCATTTGACGAGTAAGATCTTCCAGGTGTTTGAATTGATGCGATTGCTGCATCAACTCCAGATGTCTGTTGAGATACGCATAGATGTTCATATTCTCGGCGTCGGCTAATCGTTGGGCTTCTTCAAGAGCAGGATGCGTTTTCAAAACGTGATCGATTAGTTGACCCGTCGAAGATTGACCGCCTTCAGCGCACCACATGTCAGGAATCATAACAGACCGATACGGGCCCCACACTCCGGGTACAAAGATGGGATCGGGCGACATCGCAATATGGCAACTCGAAGTACCGCAAATGATGGCAAGACGATTTGAACCCAACTTTGACAAACTGGACCTTTCCAGCAAAGCGTCGCGTTCCACGGGTGATGGTGTTGCACCCAAGGTTGCAATAGCTCCAGCATATGCATCGATGACTGCCGATCCCACTGGCAATCCCTCCGGCAATCCGAGCTGTGCTGCAGCTTCAGCTGTCAATTTGCCGATACAATCCCCTGCCATGGGAAGATTATCCACATCAGTCCCGCCGAGTCGTTGCTGTTCGTCGTTGATCAAGCACTCCAGACCAATGGCTTTGAAGTAGGATTCATCCCAGCCTTTACCAACGCCTTTGGGCAAGTAAGAGCATTTACATGTGAGTGAGCATGTCGATCGTGCAAAACTGCCGGTCGCACGGTGAGTTAGGTAGTCCGGAAGATCAAAAAGGTATCCAATGGCATCCCATTTCGCAGGTGGCATATTCTCCTTCAACCAAAGAATCTTTGGAATCTCCATTTCCAAGCTAATGGTGTTACCGACGTAACGGAGAACATCGTGTTGAGTTGCATTGATGCGGTTCGCTTGATCAAGTGCACGGTGATCTGCCCAAAGGATAATGTTGAGGTTATGGTCGTCGTATCCGGATACCTGATCGACCGACAATGGAGCGCCACTTTTATCCAACACGACGAGCGAGCAAGTAGCGTCAAACCCAAGACCTTTCACCTGCTCGGGAGCGATTTTTGCTTGGGCCATTGCTTCTCGTACAGTTTTACAAATGCTTTCCCATATATTGTTTGCGGATTGCTCAAAAATATCATGCTTGGGGTTGTATGTCATGATAGGTTCAACAGCTAAAGCAACCAAGGATCCCTCTGCGTCTATTACAGCGGCTCGTGCTGAACTATAGGGACGTTCAATTGAGCTCATGTTATCTGGCAATAATGAAATAATTGTATATATACCCTGTACCAACATCAACACCTAGATAATATGAATTCATGATAACTCTGAACAATAATGATAACACGTCCAACCGTACAGAACCGGGACGAGAAAGATGAGAAAGAAAGCTGGAGCAAGCTGCCCCACTCCGCGATTTTGTTTCAGACAATTTTGAAGAGTGAATCGCGTTTCCATTACAGGAGTTCTATACGGAGTATGAAAAGTGGTTTCCGAATTGCCTGGACAAGCGTTTGTTACAGAGACTGAGCTCTATTGACCTGAGAGTACCCATAGTTAAGATAGGCAGATCAGTCTGATGGGAATAAATAACTTGGAAATCCATGTCATGTCATCACCTCGAATACCTGTTGGTACGTCTTCCTCGCCTTTGTCGTCCTCTCTTTTTCAAAGGCGCGAAACATCGCCCGCAAACATGTAAGAACCGGGGCTTTTTAGGTCTAACGATTTGCTAGCTGGCAAGACTTTTGCAATAGTATATAAAATAATCACAGTAAAGTACAAACTCGACTGACGCCACCACAAGATTCGCATCTCAATTGGATGAAACATTAAGTGCACGGCGCAAAGCTGCAACAGTGTGCAAACAAAGTGGTAGATCCCTTGCAAACGAGTATTTGCAGCAAAAAGATGATTATCATCATACCGCCGCCGGCCAGGTCAGGCAACCATCTAATCAGAATATGTGTTACAAACTCGCACCAGGTTTCTCGAAAAATAACCTTCGGAATGAGCATGTAACCATAGAGAAAGATCAATGCGGAATATGTAAGTGTTGTTTTTTATATTGTACATCTCGATTAAGGGTAGAACACCTTTCTGACCCGATTCTTTAAAAATTTGTGAATTTTGATCTAGTAGCGACCATATTAAAAGTCTACAGTCTATAACTGTATTCTATGCGAACCTCTAGCTTGTTGTCTGATTTGCGCCCATTCCAGCCTTGTTAAGCTTCTTGTCATGCATCTTTTTCCGGTTATGGTTGCCGAACCGAGCTTTGTTCTTTTCTCTGAATGCCTTTTCCTTTGAAGCCGATCTGGGCGGTCGGCTATGCTGCTTTTTGGACGACTGACTTTGCTGCTGTTGATGTGACGATACTTCGGCAGAGACTTCCGTCTGTTGGCCATCAAATAACATGTACTTGTCCAGAATTCTCTGTTTGCGCGGCTACATTATAAAGTGACATCAAAATGTATTCTCGCAGTTTTCGTATTAGTGCCCAAAACTTACATTGCGGTTGAACATTATGGCCCAACCCTCCAGTTGTTCGTCTGTCATATTTGTATGCTTTCTCATCTCTGCTCGTTTCGTTGACTTTCTTGCAGCCGAAGATCTTGCAAATATATCTGGTGTGTCGATGAATGCATGCACTAGCTCGCTTTCATAAACAATTCCTGGATCCACAGCTGGTGCCTTCTTGGCACGCACCGTATCCAAGGCATCTCCTCCTTCTTCTGTTGCTTCCAAGCCTGTCGCATTGTCCACATCATCGTATGTATCGTCGTACTCGTCTTCGTACATATTGTATATACGTTCCAACACATTCTTCTTTTGTTCCGCCATGAAGCTCGAATCATTCAGCAAAGTCTCAGTGACTCCTCGGCTAAAGATTTTCCGTTAGTAAGAGCATTTCTACACGCCCCCATAATTATAGAGCTCACTTTTTCTTTCCCAGATGAATTTTGTTACTATCGATAGGTTGCCGTGAAAACAGATCGAACTCGTCATTGTCGAATATATTGCGACGTGTCTTCAGCACACTCTCTTCGGTTGATGTCTCTGGCACATATTCAGTGACTTGCCTAATATACACACTGGTTAGTAAATAATCGTCCTCCATCCAAGGTCCTCGTACACCTTACCGTTCCATGCTTCGGTCTAAATCTGCTACGGATGGAGGAAGGGTATTATCCAGTAACTGCATGATAACTGTTTCCACTTGATTGCTGTTTGCTTTCAAACAAGCTTCGATAAATCCAGTACCATAATCTGGGAAAAGCTCTTGCACTTCTGATATTTTCTCAACAATATCCGGTACATCTGTGGCCTCATCAACGGAAGTGACTGTTGCTGCAGGTGCGGGTACATGCATAATTTCTGCTTTGTGTCGCTTTATCTTTTCCTTCCATGTCTTTTCGCCAATATTCGTTCCTCTGACTTGCTCCATTGATAATCGAAGAAACTCCATACGCTCGTCCTCGCCGTCAAGTAGCGTCCTGTTTAACATTCCAATCTTCTCGCCAATATTGTATTCAATTTCCCAATCCATGATCAGAGGAGCATCGGTGAAAGCCTGTCGTTTCTGTTCTAGTCCGCTCGTTTCGATCAAGGAGAGCAATCGTTCGCTAAACTCGTCCACAGTGGCATCGACCTCTTTGAAGTCCACATCCGCAGATAACTTCTTCAGCATCTCATGATCAACCCCAGAGAAGAATCCAAGCCGACGAAAAAACAGCATATCCATCAGCGTATTGAAGGTCGACACCAACTCGAGTTTGATCAAATAGACGTACGGTCCCAGGGTTGTATCGTTCGCAACATCCTCCAAGACAGGCGATAACCTCCCATAGCTGTCAAATAGAGTATTCTCTAATTCCGAGTGTTCAAATACATCGTGCATTTTCGCGGTGGCTGATACTATGGCATTCAATAGCCGTACTAGTGTATATGAACGTTCCAAAGATTCCTGCGTTGGTTTTACGTGATCCGTTGCCAATTGTCGGACGCATTCCATGAGAAAAGAAACAATATTGCGAAATGACCCGAGAAGCCTAGAGTCTCCACTGAGAAAGGAATAGAATAACTCTTGCACTGCGATGACGTTGGAGCTGCTATACACGACGGCAAAGGTAGATAACTGATCGACAGATACCAATGGACTTGCTGCAAGATGGTTGCCGGAGCGTATTGTTTGACCTGCACGCACAAAGAGTAAGAAGACTAACTTGGTCAAATGGGCATCCACCGGAATATCGTCTATTTGCGACTGCAAGACGTCGCAAACAAACTCATGCAAAGCAACATTTTCCGCGAATTCGTTGGCGAAAGTTGCATCAGAGGAATCAAGAACTCGCGACAATTGAGCAATCCATGCCTGATACCCCAGACGCTCTTGCTCTTCGTTTATGTCCTTGGTATTCAAAGGTATAAAAGGGACAATTTGTATCATGATAGGTTGACGACTCACAAGCAGGACGAAAAAGCCGACCTTCCTTTATCGCGATTTCCATTTTACTGCGGCAATCGAACAAAAAATTGTCTGACATTCAAAAGAGCGTTGACCCACTGAGTCCATAAATAAACAAAGGCTCTGCAGATAACTCACGGTCTCGTAATCATCCCACAACCTTTACAAGCTTAAACAGTTACTTTGGACTGCCCACCTATGCAATTATCAACGAATAAGGCAAGTAACCAATCCGCACTACACATAATTAGCGGTATCCACCGGAGGAAACGAGGTGGAAACTGTCAGTATCCACCGTAGTGGCGGAGGAAACTTGCGGTATCCTCCCTTTTTCCACCGGGAGATTCGGCCGGTTTCCACCCCAGTCTGGGGGTGGATACCGTTAAATTCTATTACCGACATCCAATTAAAATGATGCATTAAAAAATCTTTGGTCCATTCACAGACGAGTATTTTCTACTTTGTGTACATGGTCTTCCAATTAAAATGATGTGTTCATGGTTTTTGGTCCATTCACAGACGAGTATTCTTTTCCTTAAATAGCATGGTATTCCAATCAAAATGGTGGTATTTTTTGCTTTCAAATTATGGCTCTGATTACTGCTATTGATTCGGTGGCTTTGAATATAGGATTTATTGCAGTATGGTTGTCAGAATGAATGCTATTTACTACAAACAACAGCTATCTAGTCTATCTATACTACTGGAAGCTTACTAGGTCATGGGAGAATATGATTGTGACGAAATAATATGACTAGCTTAATCACTTATTGTTGACAAGACGTTGCAATACAACATGAAGCGCTGTATAGGCAAGCAGAAAGAACATGATATCACTGCTGAAGTGCTTAACAGAAAACATCGGTACCTGCACTGTACTTGATATTTTCTGTTGAGTATCAGGTTCAGCAATGATATCATATACTTCTGAAGGCTACTGACAGCGGGACACAATCATTCAGAACTTACTTGAAAGATAGCCTACCTGGCGACAGACCAAAATACTGTACTTCTGAAAGCAATTGAGTGCAGACATAACCATCGAGAAACCGACTTGAAAGCATCACCTTCTTGGCAATAAAACTAGAAATAAAGGAAGTTGTGATTAGTCGACAATCAATGAAGTACTAGAGAGCTACTCACCTGCAACTTGAAGAAAGCAGCAAAGAAGGCATGTACCTATTGATATTTGTGGAAGAAAAATGGTGGATACTTGAATATGATACAGTACGTGCCTAAAAATCATTATTCTTTACAAAAGAAAAAATTTAAAAAGTGAAAAAGGAAGAATTGTTTTGCTTCGAAGCCTCCCCCCTGTTTAAAAAATAAAAAAGACACTGTGCAACCGATCACAAATAATCATAACAGTTACCTTATCGAGTAGAAAAACCGTTTATACCTGATAATCAATTGATCCGGGACTTACCCTTTTAGTTCCCTTAACAAACCGAAAATGCAAGCTAACCTCAACGAAATCCCAACTGTGGTGCAAAGTTTGAAGCGCAAACCAGTGGTGAAAGAGCGCACTCCAGTACATGCTCCAGTGGATCAGTTTGAGCGTCGCTTTGCTGCTCTGGAGCAAGGCTTTTTGCAGCAGCAGAAACGGGCTGACGCTCAAGAAGCCATCATCGAGCAGCAACAGCAGGAGATAACAGCACTGCGCAGTCAATTGCAAAAGGCGTCAGCTTCTGTTATTGACAGACGCGATGACAAATTGACGGTAAACATTATTTCTGCTTCGTTCGATTTCACATATTCATACATCTCTTTACCTGTAGTTACTCCTTCGCAGATATTACAAGGGCCATCTGTCGAAGGAGGAGAAAACAACTTGGGAGTTTGGCGTGTTTGTGAACGATGGCCGAAATCCTACTGTCATTGCGGCCCTTCAGGATTTCATCCGGCAACTCCCAGAGGAGGAAAAAGAGTCGTACTGGGTTGATGAATTTGTTTACATCAAATGCAGAACCCAATTCAAGTCGTTGAAAGCCGAGTACAAGCGCTCTGAGGAAGAGCGCGAGAAGGTGAAGAAGCGAAAAAGGGACTACAAACGCCGTTCCGACGTTAGTATTTGGAACTGGAAATGACAAAGACTCGATAAGTGACATGGTCCATTATATAGAAATGCCAGAAGAGGAAGGCTGTATTTCATCAGCAGCCTATCCTGTGGGCTTACTTTGCTGGTGCTGAGCATCTCCTAGATGTCAGCTTGATGTCCGACGAGGAGGACGTCATGGAGGATGACTATCTTGTGGGCAAGATAATTTTGCGGCCTCACTGTCGAAGTGATCGCGTTAGTATTTCATGAAAACAAGCAGTGACAATAATATACACCAGCTCACACACTTCCCATAGGCAAATGCGTTTCTTGAGCAGTTGTCGGTGCTTGGGGAACGGTCGAGAAGAAGCAAACGTGCCAGACAGGTGCCCGTTCCCCAGGAAATTGTCCTTGTCAATAAGGACATCAAGAGATCAGTTTTGGCGCGGCTGCCAGCAGAGGCCAAGCGTGAATAAAAAAAAATCATCATATTCAGTGCAAATACTATGCTAGAGCTACCAATGTTGATGTGTTAGTAGGGACAACATCATAAGCACAAAAGATAGTGATTTACCTTTTCTATATATTGATCTTGCGTGGGAACGGGATGATGATGATTTTATCATCCAACCAGTTGTGGATCCCCACCGGCGAGTAAATCCGATGGATGGGCAGGATGGACCTATGATCCAACGGCTGGAACTGTTTCTTCCACACCGAAAATCCCAATTCGTTGAATGAATTGGGGGGAAAAGCAGCCGGCTCAAACCATCGTACAAAAGCAAATAGATGCTCGAAATCATCCATTTGGTCTTCGCCCTCGACAGGTTGTTTGATACTGTGACGGAAGTAATATTGCACTTCACCTGGATGCAATTCAAAGGTACCATCAGAGCAGCGGAAGTAAGCCTGGATATGGCGTCCCCTTTCGGTTCTGCCAGACTCTTTACTCTTGTAGACTTGCCCAGAGATCGTCACACTACGAAACTTCTTGATGGCGTTCACGACCATCGTCAACCGCATATTGTCAGTGTGGCCATGGGGCCGAATGCCCTCATAGAACTTCTCATAATGGCGGTAGAGGCACATATAGTGCCTGGGATCCATCGTGACAGTGTGGCTCAAGGCAGAAAGACAAACAGAAGAGGGGATAGACTCGTAGCCAACTATATAATCATCTGCATAGATGGCTTCTGCATACTTGATAAAATTGCAAGCGTCCACGAAATCGACTGCTGGGTGGAAGCTGGTAGTCAACTTGTCCAAAGACGGTACCAGTGTTCTTAGCACAGTAAGGGCAGCAGGATACGCTGCAAGAGGCTCGCAAAAGGTGTGCAGTGAATCAACTAAAGGGCATGGTTAGCTTTCAAAAAAAAAAAAGCAGCAATTGAGTAGACGGACTGGTATACATACTGTGAGAGTGTTCAATAAATTTCCGCATTAGGGTAACTTCGAAACCATCTTTGCTGTTGACCGCGAAGCTCTTGAGCAAGCCATTCAGGCGCTCGAACCCAAACAACCAAAAGGCGTACACCGGGCCAAAGTCCAGAACCGTCTCGCGGAGATGCATATGCAAATGCATGTTCGCTGTCACTTCTTCGCATTCGTAACGGCCTTCATACAACTCGCAAAATTGGCGAAGTGTTTCATGAGCAGAATTCAGTTGCGATACGGTGATTGAAGGATTGCAAAGCAGTCGAATGGCGGCCACGAATTTCATCCAAATCGACATATCCTCTCCAACGAGCTTCTCCTTCAGTAAAATTGGCGAAATGAAAACCCACGTTCGCAACTCGTCTGACGTCAACGTACTGCAACCAGACCTGATTTTTCCGCTAGGTAAATCATAGCCAGTTGGAAGCAGAGTTTCGGTCATCCGAGTGCTCATTTCTCGAAACTCTCTATCTCCCAGAACAAAGAAGCCATTGGAGCCACGTAATGTCTTCCACAAGTTGATACTGCGCTTGGAAGTGCCCGAGAACAGATTGTGCATGGGGTCGACAATGGTGCATCGGACAAGGTCCAGGTAACGTAGACGGTATAGCTCCGAGTATCGGATGCCATGTTGTCTTTCGATAACCCGCCGTTCTTCCAGTGTGGCCGCCGATCTCCAACGCTCCGCACATTGAACGTTTTCATGCCCATTGCGTTGCGGCCACTGCTCCACATCAACAAAGCCAGTGAAGTCTCGTCTTAGATGATTGCCCGGCAAAGCATCAAATCGGCGGTTACATTTGTAACACGCACGAAAAGAGCCAATACCTAATAGATAATGGATTGTATGAGCTTCTGTAAATAATGCACTCATTAAATTACACACCTGTAAATCCAGACACTTTACGTGCTGCTGGTATATCGCAAGCGATCATCAGCAGAGCTGCGCGGATCCGTCCATCACCGAGAGCGACACCAGTGTAAAGGGATTCCAGTTCGTCAACGAGCGGTCGCAAATAATGATTCATTGCATTTTTTTTGGGCTCGTGACTCCCTGGAATAACGCCGACCAACAGCACATTTTCAGGCTTGAACCTTTCGGTGCGAGGAAGATTGTTAATTGCCAGGTAAATGGCGCCAACGGAATGCATGCGCCCAGTATCAAAGGGTTGGAACCAGTCAACATTCAACGTGAGAAGAAGTGAGCGACGATCCTGATTGAAAACAATGCCATCTGCATCATTAAGTTCGTTCCACATGCGTCCGTCGTAAACATCGTATAAATGGTGCTCTTCATCTGCATCATGAAAGAATTAGTATGGAAAATTTTATGAATAATATAGATGAAAGATATTTCCTACCTGCATTGTGCAAAGCTTCAGCACGATGTCTCCAGAGATTGATTGATGTCTCAAAATTGGGACGTTGAAACATAGTTGCCAAAGTGCTCACGACGGAATTATATGCGTATTCTTTGATAGGAACAACACGGTTTCCGGTTGTACGTTTGAAAAGTACGTTTCCACACGAAGGACGACGCGGAAATTCGCGGTGTGTGCAACGGAGTTGTTCTACCGGATCGGCATATTCTTCAAATCGATAATGATCAAAACGAGTGGTACAGTGGCAGGACGGACAAACGACGAATCTGACAACGGCATCTCTGGCTGACATGCAAACATGGCTGCGAAGTGTCGATATCTTTGCTGGCAAACGAAGAGAGATAGACACCATTTCAAACAAGACATTCAAAAACAGCATCAACGTCTCTGCTGCCGTCTCTGACAGGAAACGAAGCTGGAAGTAGACAATAAAAATTGCAACAAACCAGTAACGCAAGTCAGTAGAGTTGACGGTCACAGAGTCATCACCGTCCGAAATGATCTCTTCGTTTTGGAAGTAGTAATCGTCATCGCCGAATTCTTCCCACGAGGTCGCCTCGGCGGTATCCACGATGTCTTCCGCGTCGAGAATGTTACCGGCATCGTCCGTCGTTAATACACCAAAGACGTCGTCATCCGTCGTATTGATAACGTCACCTGAGATGACAACACTTTCGCCTTCATCATCGCCCATTTCAACATCAGAAATGTTCTCGAAAACGGGTTCTACAGCATTACACGTTTAAAAAATGATCAAAGCTATTATTATTTATATTTTGCAATACCTTGAACACGAAGCAAATGAGAGATGCCTCGCTCGCGAACATGAGCACCTGATTGCTTGCGTGTCTGTTGCCGATGGCGCAATTGACCAGAAGGCAATTGCTCGGTGCAATCAACGCAGGGACAATCGACGTAATTCAACTTGAATTCAATGTAGCTAAAGTTGGACATTTTAACACAGTTTGGAAATTGTAAGCAGATGATAGAGAATTAAAAAGAGCAAGAAGTAACGGTCCAAAAAAAACTTTTTTTCTTTATTGCTTAAAATGGCAAGCGTATGAAAAGTCTACAATTTTTTTTTTTGGAATCCTCCAAAAAGAGAGGGAGGATACTATTCAAACCGATAAAAGAGGGGATTAAAAATAACAAGAAAGTGAGCGGACCCAAAAAAAATAAAATTTAGTGCTTTAAAAGGCAACAGATACCAAGAAATTGGTATCCACCGGAAAAAAGGGGGTGGATACCAAAAGTCGCCTACCGCTAAGATACGAAGATACCTCAAATTATGTGCAGTGTGGGTTACTCTTCACATCAATATTGGTTCCACTCTCCCAGTCCAGAGCGTTCACAATAACAAGGGTCTCTTGGTTTAGTGGTATATACGGTTCTCGCTGGTGGAATGGTCCCTTCGATTCCCGAAACACTTTGTTAATCACCGTTGAAATGGTAATAGTTATCTAAGTATCCTTTTTATAATGTTTTGCGCTCACTTATCTCTTTGACATATGTCAGATTTGAGTACTCCTTTAGAGTTCAGTTTAAATCTGTAGTTTTTGTTCCTTCTTCATTTCTACCATAACATGGTCATATTTATATTTTCTATCAGGATCATTTATATGTCTACAATCTTCAGGAAGGTTCTCGTCAACTTCCTGCACGGTTTTCTATTATTCCGAAGCATAACCAATCAAGAAGTATTACGGACCACTTTAATGCTGAACGGATTCGGTCTATATTTCTTCCGTTTTCCAGGCAATACCTTTGGTATGCCTCGTTCATCCATTGGTCCTTCATACCTTCTCGAAGGTTCCTCCAGACATCGATCTGCGGACGAGCCAATGCGCTGTCTTCCGTATTTGCTAAACTTTGGTATAGCAAATCTAATCGGCGCAAAAGAAGAACCGGCGTAACTGACACTTACTCGGTGTTTGTTCTTAGAGTGGACAATGGCTGAGGCATGAGGATAGAATACTGAGCGGCTAAAATTCGATAAAAGGATGATTGTACTTCGAAAGATGCTAAGCTGTTTACCATTTTCGGACGTTATGCGCTTCAGCCACGACAGCTATCTTATTCACTCGGATCCGACCGACAAGAGCGCCAGAGTGGATAACATGAGATCAAGGATGAGAAATAAAAAGTATAAGTACAAGATTTTTTTATCTAAAGGTGAATCAACACATGTCCATTGCAGACTATTGCTCGTCCTCCGATCTATGGGACATAGTACTACTGTAACAAACCACTTGGAAAAAACAAGGGTAAAATTGCGTGCAGGAAGCGTAGGGCGGCAGGTAGGCGAAAATAAGAGAAAAAAGAGTAGGAAGAAAAGAAAAGAAAGGTGCAGGACTATCCAGAGTTCGTTTGGTGGGATGAACCAACGTAGGAAATCAGTATCAGGAGCAGGTGAAGCAAAGTGAATCAAATCATCCTCAAGATGAATTTATTATGTCAAATTCAATAAGGAGAGATAGAGTAAGGCAATTACACTGCCAGGAGCGATGGGCAATGATAGTTACGATGAAGGGCTTTACTTGGAAGGATATAGTCCACTACCTTGGGAATTGGATCGGGAGGCTAGAGAGATAATAAGCCGAGATGAAAGGTAAACAAGAAATTAAACGGTGCCGATTAGTACTTGCGAAGCTACAGGTACATGGTCATGATTCACCAGGAAGCCATCCGCGACCCCAGCGGTGGACACGCCTGAGTTTATGGATGGGGTAGCATCGGCGCAAAAAAGTCAGATCAATCCTGATGTGCGGAGTGCAAGCGCAGAGATGGAACTGCGGGTTGACTTACGAACCTGTTAACGGATGAAACGCGTGCCTAGGGTTTTGCGGTCCTAAGGGCTCCTAAGTTCCAGAACAAGAACCATTACTTTTTTCAACCTCATATTTCGATCAAATTCGTGCGAGATCAACTACCATTTCGGAAACTCATTTGGAAAATTTATGCTTGATCTTGGCCCCCAAATTGTAAAGCGGTTCATAGTCCTCCCAGGCAACAACAACTTCAGCGTCTTCCACTTGATGATGTTGGTGTCAGATTCGTAAACATGCCTTTATGTTGCCATGGGTGGACTATTGTTCGATCCAGGTTATATATCGATTGAAAGCTTGTCCCTATTTCCCTGAAACATGGGTTATGATTATAGTTGTCCGGATTTTGGTCTCTAACTTTTGGGCCACAAATAGATCGGACACACTATCAAGTTGGCAGAGAATGTACAGCGTCAGAACCGACATTTGGCTAGAAAATTTCAGAGCAAATCATGCAACGAGCAAATATGCTCATCTAGGTATCTGCTTGCATAGATCGCAGGAAATTAACGCTACAAGTCGTTTCATTCGTGGTTTTATTTATTTCGCTTGCGGTGGCGATCGTTTTTGCGGTAGCTCTTTTCTGTAGCCGACTAGAGAGTATCCCTCGTCGTTGAGCCTGTATTTAATTGCACTGCTCCATTCAATTGTGGAATAGCCGCCAGAAAGGGGTATTTTTAGCATTTGATCAGGTTTTATTGGGACCAAACTGATAAAATATGCCAATCCTTTTCCTCATGGACCCATAGCTATGTGCACGCAAAGATGAATTATACCAAATCTTATCTTCATTTTTTTTAATTCAGATCACATCAGCATAGAATATGCCTATAACGCGAATCAAGTGTCATCGAGATGGTCATATCAGGTTATCTCAAGTTCTTCCAAGGCAACTGAGATTGAGTTGGCATGATAAAAACATGGAAGTAGGGATTATTTGGGTAATTTCTTATCGCAAATATAGCGATGCTTCACCAGATGGAGTTCATCAAGCATTCCAATTTTTATGCCCACATGCAATTTTTTTTAATATGCCGACCCTGACTCGGACCGGAATTTTTGATCCGGGCATACTGATGACTTACAAGCCAATTTTTTAGACTCCTGTGAAACGAAACAACGTCCGTTCTATTTCACCCTCTTCGATTTTGTGCATTTTTTTTATTCTTCCACCCTCAATACGATGAAAGGGGTTATTCGAGAATACCAGCCAAGTGATGCCGGTGGAATTCGCGAATTATATGCAGAAAGAGCGCATCAGCTACGTCGGAAACAAGTGCTACAGTCGGTCATAACGGAGACTGCGCCTAGACGGTTTTGGCAAGCAGGCACAGTCGGCATCCTTGGGTTGCATATGTCTCAGACATTGCGTGAACAATCTTCTGTCATGACTCTGCTCGTAGAATTAGCTTTATGGAGCGCCGGTCTTGGGTTTGCGTGGTACCTTTGGCTAAACAGCAAATACCAGCGATCAATAACGGCGAGATCTTATTCTGTCGTTAACGATTTCAGTAACCAAAGGTTGAAATCAAAGAGTAATGCCTGGGTGATGGTGGAAGGAAATAAGGTAATAGGAGCAGTCATGCTTAGCTTCGAGGGCGGCGAAGGGCGAATCCGAAGTTTGACAGGTGGCAAGTCGCAAATTGAGCTGCCGTTAGTCCAAACTGCGATCCTATTTGCCCGACAAAACAAGATACAAGTAATTACTCAGTGTGGCGAAGATACAAAGTTTCCCAATGGTCCATTATGAAACCAGGCGAGCGGTTCACGATGACGAGTATTCAGGGTTCTTTCCTATTTTTAAGTCTTATATTCTTAAAAACTCTTTTAACTTCTTTCAGTTGTATTTGTCAATAACGGTCAATGTCTAATACCTTTACGGTTGGCTCTCTTTCTCAACGAGAGACTGAGATCTACCATCCTTTACATCATCTTTTATCTCCAACCGCGTTGGCACGCGATCTTTCTTATGTCGATAATACTTACTACGCATCCAGCCTACCTTTTCCGTCCCTCCATTCTCAATGTTATCCGCTAATGCCAGCCGAATCTGTCAAATCGAGTGACAAATCAGGCCCTCCAAACGTGCATACAGTCGTGTTAAATCGCGCTATCAGTTTGCTGGCAACTATTACGTGTCTTGATCTGTAAGTTTTCAAAACTCGATTACTTCAGAGAATCTAATCTAGCAATAGACGCAATGTAAACCTTGCAACATTACCCAGCCAGATCGCTTGTCTATCACGATTAACCTACCTAGACTTATCACATAATCAACTCGAGACTCTGCCGCCAACCATTAAGCAGCTAAAACGGCTTCGTCACCTCGATTTATCCCACAACCGTATCCGCCACATACCCGAAAGCTTACAGGCGTTAACCAAATTGACAGATCTCAATCTTTCCAATAACCCAATCGACTACGTACCTAGTAGCATTGCTCGATTAATTGGTCTGATCACGTTGGATCTATCGTACACCAAAATAGAAGGTGTTCCGGCTGAATTAATGCAACTTTCCTTGCCGACATTACGGACTCAGCATTGCGACAATATGGAACGAAAAATCCAAGGATTTCGTTATTCTGTTCGCCATAATCCACCAAGCTTGCTGGAAACCTGTGCTCGACGTTTGATAGCACCTTTATTACTAGATGCCGCGCGGCGGAAGAAAAGAAAACGAAATGAAGTATTAGCAGGTTCTCTCAAGAAACTCACCGACGACTTACCAACACATCTTTTCGTACGAATATCAGCATTCAGCCAATGCTCGTTTTGCGGAGGCCCATACTTTGAATTACCTATACTGAGGTATCGAATTATGCGGAGACAAGATGATAGTTGGGTGCTCATCGAATACAGATTGTGTTCCGCCCATTGGGCGGATGAAAAAGGGCGTCTCCTTGCATTATTTGCAGAACAGCCAGTCGGTTCGCTCACAGCAAAGCAGTTACCGGTAGAACTTTTTCAAGGCTTTACTGGAGACGAGTTCAACCTGTAACGCATGATCCATGACAGGATCAAATATCTAGCGTTATACTCTCATGATGTGTTGGGCGGTCAGTTCAAGGGTGCCGCCGATTGGAGGACTTCACGCTGATCGAATATACAAGTTCTTTATTCTTGCCATTGTATCAGCTAATCGCGTATTATTCGTTCCCTGTTGTTCTATTGTATAGCATATACGGCTGCTTTTGAGTCGTTATTTGTTTTTGGAGAATAAAAAACAGCTGCAATGGAAATTGGTCGTTGTTTGGATAACAACTGGCGGATGCAAAGCGTCCCGGCATCGCATCCGATCCGACTGTTGGTTGTGAAATCTATCCTAGTCCTGAAAGCCTTGATTTATTTTTGGATGCTTACGATCTACAAAGCTTTATTTTTAATTTATACCCTCTATCTGTTCCAACAATGAGTCATATCTCACCTAACGATGTCTGCTTTCGGAAAATCTCAAATCTTGGAAAAACGAAAATTTCCCGAATTTCACCTCTAACCAATGTAGCCATTGCAAGATAAAAAGCTGAATATAAGCATTTATTTGTTTGGATAAACAGGTACCCCGCATGGACTGCTACGTGTCCCTAGGAAGGGTCATATCCTGTTGGTGTAATATTTAAGTGTAAACTTGCCGAGTCAGGAAAATGGAAGTTTTTGTGAATAAGGGATTTTAGCTACAAAGAAATCCAATTCATGGCATAAAGATCCTTCTACATGAACAAACGGTTCTGAACCGAAAAAGAACTATCCATATAACGTCGTTAATGCCGCTAGTATGTGGAGATGAGACCGAATCAGCTCAGTAGTGATGAATAGGAACATTTCATACCGGGATAATTTGATGAGACGTGAGGGCGACAGTCCGATGACTGCCAATGTCAGTATCTCTTATTGGCGTTTGGTTCGTCAAGCCACTTCAAAGCTCATCAAATTGTCTTAAGCTTGATGTAATCTCACAATCAGCACTTCTCGTAGTCCTGTGTCCGACAGTCTGTTTGGTTGGGTGTCTGCAAATCATATAGGCTTCAGAAGAAGTTACCTAATCACCATAGGGTTTGCAAGCATACTTCCTTATTCGGCATTTTTTTCTGTGGCTCTTTTTGTTTGGATGTCTTCTGTTAGTGACGGCCGTTAGGCAAGTTATTTTATCTTTTTTTTTTGTGGGGAAATGCCTTTCTGGTTCCCGGCATGGGGTTTTACTTTGGTTGGATTCTCGCTTTGTCATGGGCGATTATCCCCTCCTCCTCAGGTTGCGAGCCTTTGGATTCTCCAACCTCCGGCGATAGTTTAAAATTACAAGAATAACAGTATGAGTAGTTTACTTATGTTCTTATGCATCATCCGTTCTCTGCCTAATTAAAAAAGTCATCATTTTTCCAACTGCGATTTTCTTGGTTTTGTTTTGTTTGCTTTTGAATAGACGCATGAGATATGATATTTCGTATAACCGGGCGACCTAAAAGACGGCGAAAAGCTTTCAAGCGAAGAAACTCGTCAACCACTTCCGCGAAGCCGATGTTGCAAAGAGTGATTGTCGATATGAAACAAAAGTTCAGTCGCTAGTGGGCCATAATACGCCAGCGCAAAGAACGGAAAGCTCTTAAATAAGAACATTGCTTATGCGCATTTCAACGTCATTAGTGCAGAAAGCGAGTACATGTCTATCAAACGCGCAAAGGTGAGATCTACATACAACAAAGCCTTTATGACATTCGATCAGAAAACAGGAAAGAGAAAAAAGAGCAGAGTTGAAGAGAAATAACATCTAGGCTTTGAGGTCCATCGCACCACATGAAGTCAATCGATTACCGCCCAACAATCCTGGCACTTTCGATATGGATTATGATAAAACGGCTGTGTACCCATTATGAATCGTTGGAAAGAAGAAGGATATACTTTTCACTCCTGATTTTCAGCCACTGTATTACTTGAACGGAAAGAAGCCAATCATGCTGTACATATTGGCGGCATTCACCTAAACAAGGTACTGAAAACTTCTGCCGCCGGATGGCACCACATCGCAATAAATTACTCTGGGACTGCGAGATATTTTCTCATCATTTCTGGATATATCTCGATCCATGCATACATGATCGTTCCTTATATTCATTCGGTAACATTGACCCAGCACTACGAGACACTCTACTAACTCTCTTACTTACTCGTCTTTCTCAACATCTCTTAGATACAAGCCGGACATAGAGTACCTCTGATCGAATGATATATAACAATCAAAGCACAGCAGTTACGCAAGTCCTTGGCTATTTTACCCAAGTTACCCTTTCAGATCCAGCCCTCCTTCGCTTTTATTAGGTTTCTTTTATATCTTTTTCGAGTTATCTTCCGTGTTTCTCGATGTTCCTATCTTGCTGGCAAATCATACGAGAAACATAAAGCGGAGGCCAATAGCTCCAACTTTAACAGACAGTGATCTCGAGGTTCTTGCTCATACCTTCCTCTTTCATCATAAACACGAACTCGCAAATCCACATCCCTCCCAATTAGTCATTTCTCCTTTCTGTCTGCCGTCACATACATAGGTCACGAACTGGAAGTTCTACTACCGATGTCTGACCATGGATATGGATACATTATTCATTTGCGCTGTTAAAGCCTCTTGATGCCCAGTCTGGTGTGCGTATGAAGTCAGGCGCTTATATTCTTCACCCTACGTCACATCTTATCTCTCTCCCTCCGGAACCAATTGTCGATACGATGATGCGCAAATAGTTAGGGATCGATTTCATTTTAGCTGCACTTTTGGATCTTGATTTCGTGTAACACCACTGGCCAGTTTTTTTTTTTTTTTTTTGTTTTTTTTTTTTTTACTATAAACCGGCACAATCAGTTATCAGGCTGAGGCTTGATTCGGACTTTTCGCTCTTGACTCTCACATTGATTTGTTCAACGTATCTAGTGGCACCGGATAAATCGGCGCATTTTTTTCTTCCCTTGTTGGTTTTTCTCTTTTTTTTTTTTCTACATTGAAAACCATCTTACCGATGGTAGGAGGAACCAGTTGAGGGTTCGTCCTCTATCGAGTGTTTCCTAAGAAGAAAAGCTTTGACCTTGCTTTTCTCACTCATTTTGTCCGATGACTTAGTGTTTTTTAGTCACCAATCCACTCTGTAGCTCTTACTGAACACTACAGAAGAACATTTCTCGATCTCGATTTCGCCGGAACGCTGAGAAATGTACCATTATCAATCACGACCCAGCCTCTGCCTTCACTGTCTGTAAATTCTCTTCCAGTGCAAAGCTCTTCTACGTACTTCGATATCCCATATAATATATCCGGTAACATCGATCCCAGGCTCCCCGTTTTCCCATAATACTTCCTCCGCTACCTAAGCTACGCATAGTGCCGGCACGACAAGATTATTGGCACGTCAACTGTGACGACGGTTTCTTTCGCCTACCTTCAAGTATGGTTTCGCTATTACTCCTCTCCTCCAACTCCATCTCGTGCTATTGAATCGGCTCCAATTAGCGTCTCAGTAGAATGATTTTTGGTGGCCATTTAGAGATTGTCAATACAAGCTCTTCAACAACTCACAAATCTTCCCTTCCTCACCAACGATCTAGTTATCTAATATGTAATTTTGTCATTCTACTTTTGATATGATGCGCTATTCGCATTCTACTTCCTATACTTACGCCTGAACCTTATTGGCATAAGCTTCAGAAAAAGAAAAAAAAAAAGAAAAAAAAACACGATGTGGAAGCGACTGCCTGCTCCGCTTCATGTTATCGATCGCAAAATATTCGTTCGAATCTTTCTGCAATTCCCCGCAACAGGACTCGACGGGATTCGTAGTCCAACACAAACCCGCCGATCCTTCTCTCAGCCTGCCGCCTACACGGGGGGCACGGCCCAATTTTACTTATACTGATGCCTAACGTTGAATCGATTCGCCCTTACCCATCGCGCCGCGGATATTTCCTAGCGAGCCACGGCCCGTATATACGGCTTTGCATGCACAAGTGAATTGCATTTAATCTCCTGCCTCCTACTTCTGTTTCTCGTTTTATAGATCCAACGGCAAAGCCAAATTCCAATATGACAAACTGAAATTGCAATTAGGACCACTTTTTCGCGAATATCTCTCCGCTCACCGCTTCTGGCACCACGACTAGTTAACTCTAGCTGAATTTTGCTTTGAGATAAAGTCAGCAGGACAAACTGCTCCTGCTCCCACCACCTATTTCCTTTTTGTTGTTACCTTCTTGCTACCCTAAGCTTCCAGTGTGCCCCTTCTCTCATTTCACATGATTCTTGTTAAAATTATTTTCTTCTCGATCCAGGGGCGAGCAATAATAAGCCGCACCGGGTACATACGCCCTTAATAAAAAAAAATCTGCCGCTTTTTTTCGCTACTTTATAAATCCCAATACTGGCAGCGCACACATGCGCAAAAACGAAAATCGCATTATCAAAGTTAACCAAAAAAAAAAGGCAAATCTTCCAAAAAGAAAAAGATAACTCTCGGACGGGGAATTGAACCCCGGTCTCCCGCGTGACAGGCGGGGATACTCACCACTATACTATCCGAGACTATATTTTTGTGAAAACAAAAGTTTTACAAGGCTCGACCGACTGCCTTTTTCGGATATCCCTTGTTCTGGTTAATTTCTGTGGTTGCCTGAATTCGTTGGTCTTTTCCCTTTCTTTTGGTGTTTCTCTCGTGGTGCTATGATGTTTGGACGACGAAATATCGATCGATTTGTCAGTTCCTACTTTTCGGAAGCGGAGTGTGAAGTGGAAGTCCCGTTCGATTTTTCGTGAAGTGCGTTTAACGATCTGAAATTATCTTATGGTCATTACGCGTTCTGACAATGAATCAAACCATGATTATTTCTATTGTTCTTACATATTATGTAATCCCTTAGCTAGGAAGCTATAGTACGGTTAAAGTATAGACATTTCTGTGTCATTATCTTCAGCTTTTGTCTTTTGATCTCTTATTCTTGGGAATACATCCTTTCGAAGATACACTTTGGACTAGCGCCTACATTTTTTTTGGAAGTCTCTTTGGAATAGTCTGATAGTTTTTGCAGTCGGCTATCACCCTATTCAGGACTTACAGTAACAAAAAGCTAGTATTCGGAGGGAGAACCATGGGAGTTCTGAAGCTAATCTTCTCCGTTCTGAATTGTTATGCACTGATTACGGGAGGATCAGTGCAAACTGGACAAGAGGCTGCCGCCGTCTCTGTGGACACACATCGGTCATCGCAGCAATGGCCTCGAGGGTGGTGTTAAGTGCTTTCGCAAGACAAGGACAAGACAAGAAAAGGAATAAAACAGGAACAAGAAATAAGAACGAAATCGGAACAAGAATAGAAACTGGAAAAGAACCAAGACAAGGACAAGACAACATGGAGAATAAGATAGTACGAGAGAATACACAATTCTTGACCGAGGTTTATTTCATAAAAGAGATCGGATATTTATACTAAAAGATGCAAAGCAGAATAGACCACGATAATAAAATAAATAAATGAAATGCAGAGCATAACATGAGGTAACGCATAGATCAACGATAGAGAAGAACACAAGAGCAAGTATAGGGGTAAGCGCATGGACCAGCATGGCAACAGTGAAGGAGCGTGCTTGGACCAATAATGCATTATCGCCAAGACAACGTGTGCGCGGGAATGGTCATGACATGAATATTCTTTCCTTGGGCTACTCTTGCATCAGTTTGGTTACCACTCTCCCACCACATTTCACATTCTCGGTCAACTAGTAGGTACTATTTGAAGATATAGTTGATACACCAAAAGGACTGCTTTCTGGTGATTTGGCTGGTCTTAAGCCACCGGACAATGAAAATTTCCGAAAAGATCGTATTTTGAAACGAAGAAATAACCATTTTAAACTTTTAAATTACATGCCTCCCAGTCAGGCAACCGCGCCACATACGAATTTCTGCAAATGTGGGCATATGCTCTTGACGCTTAAGACATGTTGCTACCCAACTTTTATTGTGACGCCTTATCTTTTTTATGCTTGAAATTATTGCCACTATTTATTCGACTCCTCTGTCTTTATTTTCATGAAGCGATATTTCGTTTCTAATTTTCTGATGTACTATTTTATTCATTGATATATCGTTTTTCCTAGCGGATGTTTCATTTGTCTCTTTCATAATCCGGTTTTTATTTACTATTCTGTCTTGATCTGGTTGGTATATAGCACAGTTTCTTTCAAGTACCAAAAATACTCTCTTTTTTCGATGCGAAATAAAATAATGAATAACATACTAAATACGTCTCATTTATCTTTCAGCGTTCAAAATAGCTCATTCGTTTCTTTTTCTTTCTTACCACAACAATTTTTCCGGTTCAGACACGTTGTATCTTTGACTCTTGGAATTCCCTTTTTGTTTCCCAATCACCATGTGTTACACTCAAACGGTCTGATTACATCAACCACAGTATATCCGGTGCAACCAACTGATACTACCCTTTTGACCACTTCACCGAAAACTAATTATGCCTCTAACAACATAGATATACGTGGAATCCTCAATTCAGATAGATTGGGATTAGTATTGGAGATATAAATATTGATATTATATGCTAATCGCTGACACGGCTCTTAAACATGCTATTCTGCCATCCCCATTTTTTTTTACCGTGTTTTCCATTTTTGTGGGACTGCAGCGACTGTTTGTACTCTATAAAACCGGTGTTAGGCTTTTTTCGTCTTGCTGATAAGGCGACGTAAAGTTGCAGTAAGTAGATCGGTTTTAGTTCGTTGTCAGTCAGCACCAGATCTACGGTATATATCAGAGCGTAGAGCTCGTCAGTTTCGGCGAAAAAAGATGATAAGGTGAAAAGGGAAATAAAAATCAAGGAGTCAGAGGCCTTCGTTGCCTGACTAAAAGTCCAGTAAAAGAAAAAAAGAAAAGTGCGCTATACTTGAGCGTCTTGATAAAGAAAATCAAAAGGAGAAGTGTTGGTATGTTATTCACTGCTTCATTTCGAATTGAAATAGGAGGGTATTTATATCAGTAAAGCTACACTTTTTTCTAGTTATGGTTTTTGGTTGATCGGCTAATGAAAAATGGTACATTGGTTAATGGGAAACGGTACGTCGGTTGAGGGAAAGCGGTACGTCGGTAGGTGAAAAACCAAACATAGCTGCAGGAAATCAAAAGAGAGTCTGGGGAAAAATCAGGGCAGCAGAAATCGGCGACCACAGGCACGAAGGCGAATTTTCGTAACACCGGATGGTTGCTTGCTCTTAGTACGTCCTTTTTGTATATTCTCGCTGCCGACGCTGTCTTCGCCGACCTGACATACTAATCTCGCAGAGCTGGTTGCTTAACTAACTCGGATTTTTTCGAAGACTATCTTTGAAGTCCAACTAGTTAACGGCAGACTATATTCGACGATCGTTGACCTTTCCTACGTGGACAGTACTAAAGCTGAACGAGCCTACTATGGAAATTTCCACTTCGCCTACTATTACCCTTAATAGCGGTGTATTTGTTAATGCTACCTATATATTTATTTGGCATGATCTATGTACCGCTACGCTTTGAGAATGAGCGATCACGACTCCCGATGCAACTCTAAGCATTGCTCACGATAACTGTAATCCAGAGCCTGACGATGACATAGAAAGACCGGGTACGTCTGCTTCCCATAACTTCATTTCTGTAATCACCAGCATTAGTAGATAAACTTAACGTAGATTTATTAACTTCGCGTGTTATTTTTATCCAGACGACTACTGAAATCCTCTGACAACGGTGATATCAACATATCATGTTTGCTGCGAACTTCCATAAAGTTAACTTCATTATCTGTAGATTCATTTTACCGTTGCGCTAGTGTGGCATTTATTGCCATGGCTCGTGACAGTCAATCCCCCTGTATCTATTTTTTATGTGGCGATATTCTGTTTTACGTCATACGGTTTTCTACATTTTAATGTACTATTCTCTACTTTCTGATGTTCCGTTTTCACTTATTGATGTTCTGTTTTTAACTTATTAGTGTGCTGCATACTTTCACTGAAATATAATTATTCTGGAGATTTGATTCGAATAAACACAGTGACTAGCATACCAACACCATCTCCCCATCTTAATTTTTGTAAGACAAAACAGCACACTCACTGTTCTTCTTTATCTTGCTGACATTGACCGTCTGCTTTTTCTCTTTTTCCCGATTCTAACGGACAACAATACATCCAGACGATCTGGTCTACGTCAACCACAGCATATCTGGTGCTCGCGCAACTACAGCGAACTGAAATAAAGAAAAGCCGCAATGTACAACTATTGTACTGAAAACCGAGACATAAATAATACCTTCATGGAGCGCAAAAGACAAAAGAAAAAAATAGGAAAGAGCCCAAGCCCTCATCTGTCTCGGTCATTGCCAGGTAGTTTTCTGTGCATGAACAATTACCCCTGAAGTGGATCGATAGGAACATCTTTCACGAGACAATCTATGTAATCGTTAGTAACAGAAAGTATGGTACTGCTAGAACGCAGGGTTAATAGCGCCATAAGCCCTAGCAGAATTGGTAGTAAATATTCGCGTTGATAAAAGTTTTCGCAGTTACAAAAATTGGTTCAAGGAACTTAGGAGGAAATACGCGAAGGACTCTCACTGTCACTCACTCTCTGTTAAAGTCTCAGTACCCTTTCTTCGCCCCAAACGACATCCAAAGAACGTTCATCAAGGCGAGGGATGCTTGCATCACATAAAACTCCAAAATAGTCAATTACATAAGCTATACCGGCAAAATTTTATCTTGAAATTTACAAGGCAGCGGAGTATATAATTCTTGTGAATTGTCGTTTTGCACAAGGTTTTCACAAGTTTTCATTTCACAAGAATTCATAGGAGATTCACAATTTTTTCTCTCTATAGTGCGCAATAAACAGTAGAAACAAAGCAGTAACAACTCAGCTCAGTCTTGACTGTCGACTTCTCTTTACATATCGTCTAAAACTTTAGATTATCAGGGCTCTATTTGCAGCGACTGGCTTAACAATGCTAAGGTCGCCAAAACAAAACGTGAGAAGAAATAAGGAGTGAAGTGAGAATACTTGTAGACAAATTGACAAATGCTGTACGGTGTTTGGCTTTTTTTTTTTTTGGCTTGTTGGTAGGCGATCGTAAATTGCGGTAGATAGATCGGTTTCAGTTCGTTGATAATGAGCACCAGATATATTGGTGAACGATATATATCAGATCGTATAGTTACTCAGTTTCGGCAAAAAAGGGGGGGATAAAGTCCAAGATAAATAAGTCAAGAGTCGAAAATCTTTGTTGCCTGTCTAAAAAAATTTAGCCAAAGGGGAAAAGCGCGTTTCACTTGAGCGTCTTGGTAAAAAAAAAATCAGAAGGGATGTGTTTGGTATGTTATTCACTGTTTTAGTTTGGATCAAAACATGCGGGTATTTATATCATTAAAGCTATACTATCTTTTGGGTATGGTTTATGGTTAACCGGTCAATGGGAAAACGACGGATCAGTGAATGGAATATCGTACGTCGGAAACGGAAAATGGTACGTCGGCAGGCGAAAAACCAAACACAGCTGCAGGAAAATCATGAGAGGGTCCGAGTTGAACCAGGGCAGCAGAGATCGGCGGCCACATAACAACGGCTTCAATCATCCCTGTGTAGATTTAATGACATTACATACAATATTCTCATTAAAATACTAAATGATATTTACTCAGTCATACGTGTTTAGTTTTCGTAAGGTAGAAAGTGTGGACGACTGCCTGTTCAATGGAAATGTGTCCTTGCATGACATGAAGTGGAATATGAACGACAAGGCGGTTGATCAAGAGGTGTTGCAGATTTCGATCGGTGAAGTTGGTATCATCGATGAGGATGCAACCGATAGCGATTATGAATACGAAAACGATGAAGATGGAGACGTCGTGAGACTGACGTCCCAGAAGATTATGACGATACCCCAGAAGTGCAAGCGGTCAAAGAAGTCAACTTGGTCCGATGGCGACTGTTCGTCTGAATTCAGCCTTCACAATATGGCACCTGTTGAAAAAGTTGCACAACCGTGCATCAACTCCATCAGCGTGCTTTTTGAAGAATGATCCCGCGGTGCGTCATGAAGAAGCTGATCGACGACATTGATGATTATGCTCATGGAAAACTAATTTTCAGCCTTTCACACAACAGGAAGCAAAATAACTTGGCTTATCAGCCTCCCTCGGTAATAGAGCAAATTGGTGCATGCATAGAGGGATCCAGACCCATGGTTCCTTCAGATTTTTTGGTTATCGCGCAGATATTTGCGAAAAAGCCGAATTTTATAAAGCCATGGACTGGATCCGCTATATGAGACACACTGTGCAGACTCTGGCGCTTCGGTACGCTGAAGGTGGCGATACAATGCTGGCGGTAATGTACCTGACGAAATTGTGGTTTGCCTGTTTTACGACCACGGATGCCGAAATTAAGCAAGTCAGTGAACTGTTGATGTTGTGGGTTCGAAATCTCGTCAAGTTTAACCGTAAATGCTTATCGGCATTAGCGACGGCCAGAATGAACACGAATTCTGTAGACCGTTCGGCACAGAGAATGCTTGAAATCTAAATATACAAGTGGTCCTGTATTTTATTGAGCCTAACAGACTTTTGAAAGGTTTGCAAAGGCCAATATCAATGGACCCTAATCTGCGGAAATTACAATTTAAATACTGCGCAGATGTCTAATTACAGGGAAGCAAAGTAGTTGATAGCGCCCGATGTTCGTACGTTTGTTGATCCATATGCTTTCAATATTATCATAAACCACAGCTACCCAAGAAAAAAGATGGGGTACGTCACATTTTTTGGAGAGATTCACTCCTTTTCCTGCCATAAGCATGCCGAAGTCAAAGTTGCGAATAAATCAAGAACATTTCATCTGGCCATACAAGAGAGCATTTTCCTATGCCAATGACTATCGTTCTCGGATTTCAAACTATTGTATTACCTGCTGGAACGATCAGAAAGGCCGTCGAGACAAATCTTGTTAATCACACTAACCTGACTGTCGATGACGAAGAAACGTCTTCGTCAACCGTACCTTCGCATTCATATGGTCGTATCATACGTATCCATATTTTAGAAGTCGTCACTTTTGCACTATCAAGCGGATACACCAAACTTTGGCATAGAAGTCCAGATGCATACACAAAAGTCATCGTATATGTTTTAAAAGCATTTGCTTGCCCTCTTTCCTCGTTATTCATTTATTCACAGAACCCCCCCCTTTCTTTTTCCGCTCATCTTATATTTCATGTCGAAATGAATTGCTCCTTTGTGCTATTCTGGAATTGCAAACGAAGTTTTCATATTCTGGACGAAAATGACATGAGAGTTGCTTTTCTTTCCAGCGGTAACCCAGTATCTGGCAGTTCATTCTGGCCTGTTTAGCAATTCATGCTCGTTATTTTATTTATATGGGTTGGGAAGAGATGACAGAAAAGGGAGAAGATAGACTGAGAGCATGGAGAAATAGTACCGCGGGATGTTCCTTGAATCGTTTTCATGATTCGATAATAAGCAGTTTCCAGGCTCGCACCGCTGCTGTATTCCGAGAAATTCCAGTCCTCAAGTCCTTCTCGCCAGCAAATATTTTTATTCATGCGTCCAAAGCGCGTTTGTTTAAACGTGTTAACGAAATTTAACGATGGTCGATTGCAATTTTTTGGTCCGTATGTGGATCGGACATGTAATCCGTAAATTCTTCTGTAAGCGTCAGTTATGCGTTCGTCATCGTCTGATTCTATGTGTTTTTATCGGCCATGTTGTTTTGGTGTTAGTATTGTTGCGAAGCTGATGCTGTAAAGAGCAAGGCCGTAAACGGGGCTAGGCGGAAAGGGATTTAGCCAGTAGGATCAAGAGTTGGGCGGAAATAGGGAAACCGGACACGACTGGGGTGATCAAACGAAAGATCGACAGATTATAGGACTAAAGTATGCACGGAGACACACAACAGGAACAAGGCAAGAAAGCTGTTGGGTACCTTCTAAGCGTTTGTCGATAAAACCTTGGTTGCAGACTCTTCTTGTGGAAAATTTAGTGTCCGGTATGCCTGATGGTGCCACACTGTAATAGAGAAAAAGGCAGTCAACGTCGTATTTAAAAAAAATAACTTATCTATTCATTTATGAGCTACTGGATATTTTTTCTATGAGTTTTGGAGTTGTTTTGCTGACCTTTATATAGAAAGGATCCATCGAAAAATACCATAGCATTTCATATTTTTTTTTTGTGGAAATTAAAACATCTCAAGTTCCTACAGTGACTCAATTTCTCTGACCGTCAATTGACTTTATTTTCTAGCTCTCAAATAAGTCTAAGCACCTACCAATCTCTTCAGCACCCGTATAATGAACATTATAACAAAAAATTTATGTCTTCTCATTCTTGCCCTTCTGCAAATCAAAGAAAACATCTGGTGACGTCACGCCTTCCTTTTTAGGTAATTACGATAATAACTTATTTCTACGAAATTTCTCCGAAACATAGGCCCGGATGGTGTAGTGGTATCATACGTCTTTCGGGTGGACGTGGTCCCGGGTTCAAATCCCGGTTCGGGCCTTTTTTTCGAAGCGGTAATGCGCGGAGTTTAAAATTATTGTCGTATCCTTTTTTGGTATTTCCTGTCACGGCAACACTTACGTTTTTGGTAATGACGCTTTGATCACCTTCAAGCAAACGTTTCCTTTATCGAACAGCTCGGCCGAAAGGCTGAGCATTCAGAACCAAAATACCCTGCCAAGCCTTATTACGAAATTATTATAGATTAACCCAAAAACATATAAATATCCCCTCGATCAAAACGAATAAAGAGCATCAATTATCTATCCTCCAATTCTAGTTTATTTCTTCACCTATTGTCCGTGGAACCAGTATCCGGAATAGATTCAACAAACCCCGAAAACGACACGGCAAAGCAACAATAAAAATAATGATACGGCACATAATGTCGTTTTCGGGGTTTGTTGAATCTATTCCGGATACTGGTTCCACGGACAATAGGTGAAGAAATAAACTAGAATTGGAGGATAGATAATTGATGCTCTTTATTCGTTTTGATCGAGGGGATATTTATATGTTTTTGGGTTACAAATACTGATCTTCTTGTAATCTAGGTCAATGTACAGTTTTGGCGATACTGTAGATTCCCTAGTTTTTGTTTCTTATATTTTCCGTGAACGAATCACACTAGGCATCATGATTTTACCGTTCTGCTTTTCGCTTGTCTTTCAAAGCACTCGGGTTCACAGCGGGACCCTGACAGTGAAATGACACAACTCCCAAATCCGATGCATTATTTTTATTTCTTTGTAACACGTCCTTTGCTCGCCTTTGTCGCGTCTCACACTTTTATCGGTTCAGTATTTGCATCGCTTCGTCACGCTGTCCGGTAAGGCATCTCATTTAGTGTATTCTTATTTTTGGATAATCGCTTATCTTGCTGCCTCTTTTGGATCTTTAGACTATCCGTTTATTTTTCTTCTATTTTAGGATAAAATGACACCTAAGCCGATAAAGGCTGACCATTTTGATGTCGGCGTTGCATACGACCGGAGAATGTCTTGTTATAGTGTTACGCACATGTTGAAAAGTGGCAATTTTTGTGGTCTCGTCCGTATTTACATCGATGTTTTTAGAATTGAGTTGATACATAGCGGTGAGCAGATGTAGTGGCAAGTGTTCATATACTACGAATTTCGTCGTCATCACCGCCTGTAAAATATTTTTCATTCATAGCTGCATGTACCGTAAATGAACAACACAACTCTTCACTCAAATAGTAAAGGCAAGTGAACAGAAGTTCTCGATCATGGATGATGCCACCTTTCAATTGTGATATCATCCGGTCCCTATTTTTCCCGTACTTCGACTTATCCTAAAGAATGGTATCACGATTCTTGATTGCTTCCTGTCATTCCGTGGAACACTGTTCTCTTTCTCTCTTTTTTTTTGTCTACTGTGCATTGCAGCTGATGTTTTGAGGCCTCCTTATTCGGATGCAAGAGACCACAAAAGCTTCTTGTAGTACCGCGTCTAGGTTTACGGTCCTTTCACATTTGGTTTGAAGACATGAAAGTTTTTTGTTTGCTTCTTTGAGTTCTGCTCTATTAACCCCCCCCCCTTTTTTTTTTGTACATCGCAGCTGATGCGATGATACTTCTCACGAGATTTCCCGACAGTGACTGGCTCAACAACAGTCCATCAAAAAAGTCTATAAAATGGACATCCCACCGCGTCTGCCAAAGTTCTTTCCTTTTCCCCGAACCTCCATTCTACCTTTCAAGGTCATCTTTTTCTCCGAGGTTGTCTTTTTTTTTTTTGCATTGAAGTGAAGGTAAGCTCAAGGCTTTTGATCCTTTAAGAATAGAAATTTGTAATTCTAAATATGATTTTCCTATAATAGTTTATTCAACTGGCCGACCATCGACGGTTCCGGCGCGTGCTCTCCACGTTCGACAAGCGCTGAACAGTAGTCCGTCCTGGCCCACTTGGTTGGTTTTTCTGGGCAACGAAGGCCTGTAGATGTTTACAGGTAAGCCAGCTGCATTCAACATTTTTTGCTATATAGTCATACTGACTTGCTCTTTTTCTATTTTTTGTCTGTCTGACCACATTTTTTTTTGACTACGATCTTTTTCCCAATTTGTTTCGTTCTCATTGGTTGCTTCTGCATTTTTTTATTGGTCATTTGAACACCGATTTTTTTTGTGACTTCAAAAGTTGAATAAACTGTAAAATCAGTGGAGAATATTTATACAACGCGTTCTTGTAAAAGTGACTGCGAATTTCTGCGCCTGATTACTTAACATATCGTATCTTTTTTCCCTTGAACTTCATGCCCTGAGGTTCACTACCTCACGTTCCGATGTTCTCTTATTCATTTAGTGATAGTCTTCACTCTACTAAACAGATTCCAGTATAACTGGTCTTTGCTCCGAAAATAAACAGTGAATAACATACCCAACACAAGTTTCTATCTTTTGACGTTTATAATAGGGCATTTATTCCTTATCTCGATCCCGGCGCTTCATGTTTTTGACTCTATGAAATTTCCTTTTTTTTTTTTTTTCTTTTCCAACGATCTGATATACGTCGATCTTATTATATGTGGTGCGCACTTAGAAGAATTCTGACCTGAAAAACGGCAAGTCCCGACTACTTTCATCTCAAGTCGATTTTTACCTCTACAGCTTCCTGATATGGCTTTGGACTGAAGAGAGCATGAAACGGAAAGTCTAGTTTGCTGCTGCAAAGCCGCGTGCCGATTATATTTCCGAGTTGGTTAAAGGCATCAGGTGACCAACATCATAGTTTTGATTTCATATAATGATGAAGTGGACGTTGTGCTTGGCGGTTTGACTCTTGCTGGTGCAGACATTCTTGGCATCTAATTGCCCGCCTGTGTGGCGTCGGAAATTCTTCGCAAGAACATTTGGAATAGTCCCTTTATATTGGTAAAAGGACAAGGGAGAGCCACGTTTATTTTGGCAAGAACGTGGATATACCAACATTATACTTATGCTACGGGAGCTTAGCGTAATTGTACAAGAGGATGGTGCTGACGGCTTCGCATCACAGGCACTAGACAAAGCAGGACAAGGCAGCCTAGAGAGGATAGAGCAAGCCAAAGAAAAGATAAAAGGTGAGAAAAAGATAACATCTAAACAATTAAATTAAATCACATGATCTACACCACGTTATCAGGACCTTCTTTTTGCACCTTTTTTTGTTATCTTTCAACCATGCCTCGCTACCCACTTCCTCGGTAACAGGCGAAACAATCAGCAGCAAGATGCCGTTTGCGCCATTTGTGGTCAAACAGAGCATTGTCGTCGTCCAAATAAAATGTGGATAAAACTCTTTTTGAAGAAAGGCTGTTGTCGATGTCGATCTGGGTGTTCTTTAGCATCATTTGGTTTGGTTTTTCTGTCAGTTATACTTTTATGCCCTTTGATTCTCTTCAGTTTTCGATGATCGAGTGATACATGCAGCAGATATGCTTCGATCTATGAATTGTGGCTATCGTTTCATCCATGGGAAATCCACGTATTTTTGTCTTCAATTTTTTCTTTGTCTCTGATTTACCTCTTTCTAGAGTAACGCTTTCCCATGTAGCTAGCTGATCTGACGATTTTGCTCATCATTCATGCATCGGTGGGTGACTATTGTTTCATCCATGGGAAATCCACATATATTTTGTCTTCTTTTTTTCTTTTTTCTTTGGTTTTCTCCTCTATCTTCTGTTTACCTGAATAATTCTCACTATCATTGCATTTCCTCGCATCCATCATCCATCATCCAGACTATGTTTTTTCTCGCGTGTATCTGTAACCGGTCAAGTCGATTATTATCAAAAAGGTACCTTTTGTGTGATGTGACTATCCGTTATTACAAGAAAAACTTACCTGTCCTTTTTCTCTATCCTTTCTTTGGCTTTTGGTTTTCTCTTCAGTTTTTTTTCGCCTGGGAAGCCATCCATCCTCCAAATCTTTCTACTTCGTCGTGGAGCAAATGTGGCCAATCCGGTTTTTGTCGTCAACGGGCATCGTCGGTGGTGTGACTCTCTTTTTTCATCGGGAAGTGCTACGCGTCCTCCTCAGGTTCCTCTTATTTGGATTGCTACCCGTGGTATCGTCTTTGATATTTCTTCCCATCCATTTAATTTTTGTAGTTTGTAGTATGATATTTGTATTTTAGTTATAGTCTTCTGGCAGTCTTTTCCTCCTTTTTTTCCACAGGATTTTTAGGGGGTTTTTACAGACGCACCTATTGTTTTTACTTTCTTTTTTTTTTTTTTTTATCAAAGTCAGTGCCATTCCTTCTTTTTGCAGGTCAAATATACCCAATGGATCGACATAAAATATGGTAAAAAGGTTAACAGAAACGCAATTGTAAGCGATCTCTTGAATTAAATACAAAGAAAAAAAAATAGCTTGCTACATAGTTTACAACTCCCTCTACGGGAACAACTAGGATTTTTACGAAATAGATGATGTGCATTGGCGACGTGCTGTGTCTCGTTGGATCTTTAAAGCATGATGGCATGACTTTGCGACACGCAGAATTGGATCCGTTGCTTTCTGGGTTTCTTCGACAACACTTAACATCTGTTCCGCGAGTTCGATATCGTTCCGTTTTCCACAAGCTCGAATGATCTCACACATAACCAGACTACTCGGACGATGACCACACGCCATCAGATCGTAGAATAAGGACATCGCCGAAAGAAGTTGCACGCGTCTAGCAAATGCAATGATCAGCTGGTGGATGGATGACAAATTGCGACGAGAAATAGGATGTTCACGTTGCCGGATATCCCAGTAAATTTGTTCAGCGTAGGATAAAGCGTTGTGTCGAGTGAAAATATCGATCAAAGATTCCAATAACGCATCGTCAAAGTGTACCGTGTCCTTTTCGCTCATGGTCATCATGGCCTGCCATAACCGTTGCAAGGTTTCAATTCGAAGTTCTTCGTCAGCCTCCAAACCGAGATTGTCGGATGCATAAGCTTTCAGGAAGCTGGCGTATACGGTATAGTCAGCAACAACGTTGTCCTTCAACATTAACTGGAATATTCGGATAGCAGCATCGACGTCCGGTTGCTTTCGGAAAGGAGAGTCAAAATGAGACGAATCATAGTGTCCCAGATATCCACGTATGACATGATGGTATGATTCCAGTGTTGGACCGTCCGCAGTGGTTCCCGACTGTCGTCGAAGCATTTGCAGTAGATCTTCTGCTGCATCGAGCTGTCCCCCTCGAGCACACGCCAAAATCGCCAAATTCCAACTGTCCAGATCATATTTTATATTTACACTGAGAGACTTGAGAAAGAGATCTCGAGTAGCAGGGTGACCGACGTAAGCCATCAGGGTGAAGATTCGCTTCAGTTTCGACCCTGTCCGTTTGTAGTTCCTTCTTGCTTCAAGGGCCAGTAGCTTGTCGAACCAGGACTGAATGTTTCGTAGCGTATCTCGTCGCACAGGTTTATGTAGTATTTCGCCCATCAATAATTGCATATAGGTTTGCGATGTAGGCTCGATTCCATGGATCGCCATTTCGTCAAGTAATTTCAAGGCGGCATTGAAATGCTTGGTATCACTAAAGTGTCTTGCATGCGACTTGATGAGCAGATTGTAGGTTGATACAGCTGGCTTATTTCCACTGCGGTATATTTGAGAAAGTAAGTGGTATGCTTTTTCAGGCTTGTTTGCCTTGAGGAGGTCTTCGATTTGAAAGTGCAAGGTCTGTACTGGTGAGATGGATGAAGAAGGTGGACATGCTGAAGAATGATGTGGTCGTAGAAAAGAGAGTGGTAATAATGCGTTTGTTGGTTGTCTATGTTTGTTTTCACCGAGGCTAACGGACGAAAGAGGGGTAGATTCCGAGGAAAAACGTCGAAAGGGCAATTTGCCTGTTTTTAACCATGACCGAAAGCAAATGTCAACGTCGACGGGTTTTCTTCTCCAGATTTGGCGACAGAGTTTACTGCCACTACAAGCCGACATAAGCGCGGTAGAATCCAAATACAGTCAACTTGCTTTGCGGAAGGTCCAAGTAACTGCCCTCAAATGGCTTGACAAATTGGCAACCTGATCTTTCTCCTTTTATCACGTCAAAGAAAATGAAAAAGTCGAAAATTTTTGAACCAGCTGGTTTGGAGGCTCGGCTCACTCTGCGGTCCTTCAAAATCAACACAATCATAACAAAAAAATCGACATCATTGACTGAAATTTCCCCGTTTTTTTTTTTCTTTCCTCAGGCACCTCTTTCACTGCGAGGGTGATTGAAGCATATCACGACAGCAAACACTTCACAGTCTATTTTCAATAACCTCGGCTCTTACTTATAAAATGTTGACGATCTAGGACTTTATGCAAAGTATGTGTATTTTGATCAAAATACAGTTGGTTCATTTCATGAACCACCGTATTAAATCTTCAGGGCAAAAAACTTCTGCCTTAGTAACCTTACAATCTTGATCTCTAATGGCCAGCAACTATAAATTTCCTAGAATTCAGAAGTGATTGCCCAAATAGCCTTACATATCTATTCGTGATCGTTCTGTGTTTTGGACAGAGCATTTCTGACGAACACTGAAAGACAATGGGATGTCTGAACTGTCCGAATCCTTGGCTTTCGGATAGCTTCTTGTCTTTTGATTTGTATTTGAGAAACTATTATTCCTTGTTTTAGAAGGTGTCTCTTTTGTTGATTTTCAACTGATGCTCTTTGCACTTTTGACGTCAGGCGAATGAAACGAACAGAAAAACTCGCAAGGCCGACTTTTTTTTTTTTAGAAATGTCTCACATCTATTATTGTTGCAGTTCCCAGAGGCCTAAATCATGTAATTCTATTGTTCCATTGTAGGATTTTTATGTTGTACACAAGTCAATGTGTTCAAAAAACGAGGGGATGCCTGGTACTTTTATGTTTTGTGATAATGAAAATTTTCGGGGATCGTCTGACCATGGTGCTACGTTTTTTAATTGAAAGAGCGCCTCTGGCGATACACAAGAATGATTTCTATTGGGGTTGGCATCGCACCCATATCTGTTGTTGCGCCGCTTTTGGCGAATGAGTATCAAAGCCACCTCCCCTTGTCAGGAAAATTTACTTGGGAAAAGCGATAGTTTTAAATGTCCGATGGTGAGTCATAGCCCAGGGCCCCACTTCTTGTCCAATCATTTTTCCGCAAAATTTTTGCGTATAAATAAAATCTCCCATTCCTTGTTCGATTGAAAAAGTGTGAACTCTTTTCTGTTCTTTTATTCCTTATCTCTACCAGTTTGAGGGTAACCTCTGGTGTCTGTACTACTGCCTTATTATCCTTTTTATTCTATATATTCCTATTGTGTGTGTGCAGATACTATTCACTGCATACACCTTCCCTTTATTGACTGCTCACTTCTATTAACTTATTTTTTTACTGCGAAACCTTGTACTTTTGAAACCCTTTTATAATTAATTGCTTCCACGATGGACTTCACCGCTTAAATCCCTTGCTCGTACACCCAGTACGAAATTAGAACCAGACACCAAATATTATTTTTCGCCTTTTTGCCCCCATTACAGTAGTCGCCCATCATGGCCTACCAGACCGCCTTATTAACCTGCCTCCTACACGGCAAAGTCAACAAGAAAAAACCGAACAAGAATCGAAAACCGGAATTACCTCTTTGAACCTCTTGAATCCCAATTGAAATCAATGTCTAATATCATCGAATCAAGTGAATCCAAAACAATGAACGACGCTATTTTCCAACAATTCTATCAATCCATGTGCGCTGAGCCCACTGGCTTTTGGGACGAATGGCTCCAGGAAGACCCTTTTGTCGAGGCCAGCCTGCAGTCTAGCCCCGATGAAATCGCTACGCCTTTGGATGCGTTCTTGTCCCCGCCTTTTGGTAACAAGGAAATGGATCTCTGTGGCCTTCTCACTGCACCCGTTTTTGAAACACCTGCTGCTTCTGTCAAGCCTGATCCCGCTGTGGTTCCGACTGCACCCGACTTGTTTACCGATTTGCCTGCCGCTCTTGCTGCTTTGGCCGCTGCTGCCACTGCCACCAATAGTCCGGTTGCTAACATCAATGCCTCCACTACTGCCAGTGCCAATGCTACCGCCGCGGCGCAAATCACTCCGATCCCAAGTTCTCCTGCCCATCCTACCAGCGCTATGGTCACTCCCATGATGTCGCCTCTTCCTCAGATGGTTGGTGCCGGTACTCCCTCCAATGGCTCTTCTCTCAAACGATCCAGTCCCTGTGCTGAAGACTCCGTGGATGAAGCCGCCCTCAAACGTCAAAAGAATACCGATGCAGCCCGTCGATCTCGTCTGAAGAAGATGATGAAAATGGAAGCACTGGAAAAGCGTGTGGCTGAGCTGGAACAGGTGAACGCAAGTCTCTTGCTCCGTGTGGCCGTTTTGGATTCAGAAAAGTCAAACCTCAAGGAGAAGGAATCATCTCATGAGGATCGTATCAAGACTCTTGAAGCTCAATTAGCCGAAGCTCACAAAGCATTAGCTGGTCGAAATTTGTAAAAACTCTTATTTTTTTTTAATTTCTTTTTGTTTCTTTGTTACCATTACCAATTCTACATAGAATCATATTTTAGTTGTGTCTCCTTTTTTTCCTAGCCATCATTTCGTTTTTCACAGAATTATTTTCCTCTATATAAAAGATCACTGAAAGAAATTTATCACAAACTACTTTTCGTCTTTTTTTTCCTGTTCAAAGTTCATAAACATGTCCCGACAGATTGCCGTCTTGTTGAACCGGGTCTGAACTGCCTTACGCTCATGTTAATCTTGATAACGGGTTGTCGTGAGCGGCATTCTAACCTGTGACCATCATAAAAAATTTTTTCACCTGTCCTTTTTTTTCACAACGAAAAAATTATAAAAGGCCACTTGCAAGTGAGTGGGGATTTTATGTATCTTTTTATCCCTGGTTCGTATTGACCTGTTGAAAAAGGCAAGTATTGATTGATATTCTATTCTATCTTTGGGACGCGACATTGTATGATCATAAAGATGAAGAAATTTACAGACCTGTTCTGCATCTTCACTGAAGACAAATTGCCTTGCTGAATGATCATACTTTGTTTTCCATTTTCTTGTTGTGGCGTCATAACGAAGGAAGACCTATTATGCTAATGCGTTTTACTTAATAGATCTCAAGCTGTGTGAATCATCAAGTCATATTGTGCTTTAGCATCTTTTTCCTCGGATCCATTTCACTGTGAATAAAATTTTTTTTTCTATAAAATATTGCAATTCCTTGCGCCTCTTATTTTGATCTTCGGACATGTTGAGAATTTTCACTGGCAGATCTCGTGGATTTTCTCCAAAATATTGCCATCACCGAGTGTATACTCGATCTGCTTTTGAGGTATTACTTTTTTGTGGATCTACTTGTTCTCTTTATTGACGATCAACGTGATAATAGTCACTTGGTTTTTCTTCCAAGATTTGCGAACGTTTGGAACAACATTTTGGCATTACTCATCCTACCGATGCGCAATCTCGGTTCATTCCTGTTATTCAAAGTGGACATGACGTGTTGCTCAGAGATCGCACAGGAACCGGCAAGTCATTTGGATTGGCCCTCGCGTTAGCTTCCCAGATTCCTACTGCCAAGGTGCCTACTACGCCGCGGTCGCTCTATGTTGTTCCCAATCAAGAATTATCGCTCCAGATCAGTCACTGGATTGAACAATTAAGTCCATGCCCTACGGCCGTGACGAATCTCAGCTCCTCTGTCAACGCGTCGCGGTCGGCGCATACGGTTGTGACGACCCCTGGAAAAGCGTTAGAGTTGGTTGAACAGGGACACTTGACCGTGGATCACTTGGAACGGATAATATTGGATGAGGCAGATCAAGCTTTGCGATTACCTAAACGGTTTGCAACTATCCGGCAGCATCATCGTCGTTCAGAGCATCCCAAGCCATCTCAGATTTTAATCGATCGCATCTTGGCAAACCTTTCTGCGAGACCGCAAATGATCATTGCTTCAGCCACCTTGAACCGACCGCTACGACATTGGTTACGTCAAAGAGGATGGATCCAAAACCCCGTATTTGTTGATCTGAATTCCGGTGTTTCTCCTGTCGGTCATTCGTCAGTAACCCATCATTGTCTGTTACTTTCCAACGATGAAATCCGCAATATTCAACCCTCAAAAGACACTGAAACAGACGTCAGTGAAGATCAGCATTCAGTGACCGGAAACACGGATATTACCCATGACGACGAACGAGTTCTCGAAAGTATAGCTATTCTTCAAGATCTCGAAACTGTCCACAACGGGATCCTTTTCCTAAATACCGGAGCCAGTGTATCTGATATGAAGCGCAACCTGGCCAAGTTTAATGTCGATGCAAGGGATATCCGAGAGTTTCGTCCAGGTGTATCTCATGGTACGAACCCGTTATGGTTGGCTACTGAATTCACTGCTCGTGGATTGGATTTGCCCGACGTGTCGCATGTTTTCATTCTTGGTCGTCCCTCTTCATACGCAAGCTATGTCCACATGGCCGGTCGCACAGGTCGCCTCGGCATCCAAGGTTTTAAGCATGGCAAAATTATCAGTCTCATCCCTGATGCAGGTAAAGCTGAGTTGGCCATGTTCACCATGTATAAATTATTGAATATACCTGTAAAAAAATATGAACATGTACAATAGAATTCTCAATCTCTTCTTGCATCCTTTTACAGTAATAAAATACAGTTGTCATTATTTTATCTATTTATTTGTAACTTAAAAGACACATGCTCCATTTTTATGTTCTCCCTGTCATTCTATTTTTTTTTTTTTTTTTTTGGCTTTACGAACTAGTAATAAGTGAGATTGACGGCTGTATGTGACAGACTGGGATTAATGTGAGCACTTTGTTCTAATCAAAAAAGCAGGGAGACAATTCCACTGAATGTGTGGATCACTGCTGAGTCAAGCTGTCGTCGTGCAATCGACCGGTCACCTGTCAATTTATCACTGACCAAACCATATATATAAACCATACAACAAAGGATGCTCTAGTTTATTCGGATGCATATATTTTTATTATATGAATAAACTGCGCTTTTCTTTTTTGGCAGTTCTAATAATGAAAGTCATAACTACCGATCACTTTTTTCCATGTGTCTGTTCCAATCGCCTCTTTTGGAGAGTCTCGTATGACCTGGAATAGTAGATCCTTGATACTCTCATCTTGTTCATTTTCCAAATCAAAAATCGTCATGATGCGTTTTACAATCTAAAGCAGGAAAATCAGAATTTGGAAGCATGCATAGATTGATGGATCGCATACCTGTTTCTGCTCCGGTTGATCTTCGCTGTCTCGGACAGCGCACAGTAACCAATACGTTACATCAGTCAGCGCGACTTGCAGCGCGTCACAGTTTTTGTTCGTGGTGAAGGATCCAGTCCAGAGGCCTTTGAGAACTTGACGAAGACCGACCTTGAATCCATGCGTCATAGCATCATTGGAGTCCTCACTGCTACCAAGAACGATAAATACATCCAATAATCGGATAACCCAAGAGAGTCGATCATCTATTGTGGCACAGCTTTCATGGATGGTGCTGGTGATGATACTCCAACTCTCATCCACCAAAGGTACGCTATCCATTGAAAACAAGCGACTGGAGGTTTCTGTAATCCATCGAACACTGTGCTGCGTGCGACGCAATTTGCAAATCGTCATGATCGCCACCACCTTGCCAAACACATGATCAGGGGTCAGCCACGCTTGTAAACCAGATGGAACCAATTGAGCCATATCCATAATACTACATTGAATAGCCCTTGAGACAAGACTTGCATAGTCCTCGGTATTAAGATTCATAGTCATATCTTCAAGAAGCTTGAGAGTGATGTTGTATAAGGTCATATCGCATAGAGACTGTACATATTCAGCAGTGTTGTCGTCGGCTAAATGAGAAGCGGGATCGGATAAATGGTTGCTAAGTGTATCGAGGAAGACTTGTTGCACGGAGAGTGGTAAATGCATGAATTTTTTGCAATAGGATTCAAAGAGTTCACGAACACGAATCGAGGAGATGCTGACCATCTTTATCACAGCATCGACACCACGGCGTTTGGGACCACTTTGTTCAAGATCTTCTTTGCTCGTGAGACCACTGAGGCTTAACACCCGTCCCAGACCTACTTCGCTGACCAACAACGCTTGTAAGTCTTCATTCTTCATGTCTTTGCTGTGATTGAGTTCAGAGATAAGGTATTCGCTGAGCGATAACGATGCGGCGGCATGTGTGCTGGCAAACAGAATACAGAGTCGATGCGTGTCCTCAGAAATTCTCGACAAATCAGCCAACAGTCGGAACCAGTTTACGGACGGAAGAGGTCCCGCCGTCTTGCGCAAAGATGTAAGTAGAATGTTCGCCATGGTTTCCACATCCTTTTGGGACAATGTGCGTGCTTTGGATTCTTCACATAATCTGCCGGCTGTATCAAATACGGCACGTAAATAGCTCGTATTGTTGTTGAGACGTGCATAATTCTTTGGCTCGGAGGATGTAGCGAGCATGGTTGAATCGGATGCGCCAGACGATTCCTGCGTATCTGCCAGATCAAGCGCTTCTTGCATCATTGTCGTTACTTGTACGATTTTACCGCAAATGATAGCGGCAATGCGTCCGCTTTTCAAGTGACCAATTTCTTCACTGTAAGTCAAACCGGCCATCGTTGTTAATTCCAGCAAAACAGGTTTACGCGTCTTGGCATCGTATTTATGGCCTTCGACAGCTAATCTTTCTGCATCGTACGTCGTCGCGAGATAGTCTACACCCAAAAGACTTCCAATAGAAAACAAAGCTGCTGTACGGTGGGGATCGGACGGTGCATCATACTGAACACTTTGCAGTTCGGATAACAACAGACCACTATAATATTCATTCCCCTCACTTTCCAAATCATCCGTTCCCAGTCGCAAGCGAGCAAGACGGGCACACGGAACATTGAAATGGTGCTGATGCTGAGCCATGCTAGCCTAGATTAACAAAAAAAATATGTAGTTTAGAATGGTGACAGTTCCATAAAATAACAGGGTCGTCTTACATCGGAGGAAACCACAGACATAATGTGATCTAGACAGCCTGCGGTTTCTTCGTCTATCTTTCCGTCTTCATTGACAACACCATAAGCCGCTACCCAACATGCGCCCAAAATCATGGGTTTATGGATACGTGAACCGTCACCGTACGCTTTCAGAATTTTGCATGCACGTTCATACACCGTCTTCATGTCATTGGTCTTCATATTGGAGGCCCATCCCAGCCATATACCCAATACTTTGCTTTCAGATGCATGCTCCGTGTCGTCCAAGTAACCCATCAACACTTGCGTCGCATTTTCCGCAAGGTTGGCAATATCGTCGGTTTTGGTGGGCCAGGTCGCTAGGGCTGCCGAGTAGTGACCTGCTGCGTAGCCATCAGCAAACTGGATAAGATCCACTGCCGTGTCGATATTTCGTTGAGGGGCCGGTTCGGTGGCATTTTCTAGGAGCGTCGATAACACTTCGGTCGCAATCTTTTCGTTTGCGATAATACAAACAGCTACATGTCCTAGACAGAATCGAGCGGCAAACTGTACTTCATCACTCATCAACTGTGTAGCATTGGAGCCAGAGGGCTTGAGATATTTGGTCTTCAGAATATCCACCATTTGTTTCGCTGCAGCGGCTGCAAACGAAGGCACAGTTCTATTCAAGGTGAGAACCAGACCTGTCATTTCAGTATTAGCGACAATTATACCATTGCATTTGTTTTTTCAGATATACCTGCAATCGCCAATAATATATTGCTGGTCATTCCTGGAACAGTACTGCTGTTCAGGCGCGATAACAAATCCTTCATCAACAGATCGCCTTTGACTTCAAGATCCGTTTGATTGCCGAGCAGACACGGACCGAAAAACGCCATCCAAGAACCAAGAGATGAAACGCGGATCAGCAAATGATCGGTTAAGCCGATATCAGCCAGAGAAGAAACCATCAATCGATACCACTTGGTTTTCAGCAAGACCTCTTTTGTATTTGCGCCTGCTGCATCATCCATGGCCGTGCCAGCAACATGCAATGTTCCCAATGCGTAACCTGTTCGTAGACCGGGGATAATGCGGGAGTTTTGCCATGCCATAAGAAATTGGTTGCTGATGTGAGTCTCTGACTGACCAATCGAGGATCGACCCGAAGGAACCTGAGTCTCCTCTTTTTCGGTTGCTTTGTGGGACACTTCCTCTTTGAACAAGCCTCGTCGCATATGATCCAGCTCATGCGACATCAACTTTGTTAATACCGCGCTGTATGCAGAATTTTTGTCAGAATCAAGGATCTCTTGCATGAATTGCTTGGTCTTTTCAGGAAGAAGGGTCGCAATATCCGGTGCCGGGAAATGTGACAATGCATGCAAAGCGCATTCCTTGATCTTGGTGTCTTGGTGTCGTATCAGATGCACAATATAATGATTGAGCACAGCGTCCTTAAAGTCCATATATGGCTCGGACACTAACAGAACATAAAGGAACAAAGATTTATAAGTGATCAGGAGATACGTCACGACATATTAGCAAAAAAGAGAAATCTTACCTTCGTCTTTATCACCGACAAGTGCAAAGAAATCGCATAACTTTTGTATTAACAGCGAAGAAACAGCGTTATCCATGTCCATGGCGTATTGAGCGATATACATAATGGCGACTGTCCACATAGAGCGGGTCTCGGCCATGCCTGCTTCAATACAAGCGCACATTGTTTCCATTAACAACGAAAGCGATGCGATGCTCAGATCTTCACATGTTTGAAGGATGGAAACCACCATAGGCAAAATGTCTTGAGCGCATTCCGTAGGCCGCAACCGGCAAAGATCACGCATAATTGTCAGCATCGCGATTTCCATCTGGATGCCACCCAACTTGTTCCAGGTTTTGCCTTTGCTTGATTTTCGACGCAATACCCAGTCGGATAATAGTTTCTTCAATTCTTGCCAGACACGCGGTTGCCGCATATATATTTTGGTCAGCACTTTGACACCAATGCTGGCAAGTGTGGTTTCGCGTACAGTCTGAAGCCCTTTCATTGCGTGTGCTCCTTGTACGATGGATAGCGTAACTTGCAGCGCTTTGGAAGTGGTGATTGGATCGTTTACATCGACGAGGTCAGGAATGGATTGATGAAGGATATGGAGTAAGGTGTCGATACTGGAGACAGGCTGACGCATTAAATACATCAGCAGCATTAGCAGCGGAAACTTCCTCGATGGAGCGGAGATCAAAGATGCCGTGCGGACGAGGTGGGATAGATACGAATTGCGAACGGACGCGTCGGCATGGAATACAAATGGCGTACTATACAATAAAACATGCAGCTGCGACACGGTCGTCATGGTGGGATGCAATTCAACAGGCTGTGGTGCAGCTAGTAAAGTTTGCTGGAAAAAATCGAAAAAATGCGATATACTGTGTCCAAACACGCCCGCCATAGGATAGTTGGCCAGTTCCTCGTTCACCTACCCATCGACCCGGTGGTCAGTATCTTTTTTTTTTTTTTTTTTTTTTTTTTTTTTTTTTTTGCAAATTAGCACTTGTGACTTACATCATCTAATATCCGATCTGAAGATGATTGCTGAAGAGAAGAGCTGCCTTTGGAGATCAAGGATAAAAGGTCCAATACGAGCGCTTTGAATTCGCTCTTCGCGTCCGACAGTTCCGAAAGTGTTTGAAACAAGGGCAACAAGGCAATCAGTAGGAAGGATCCATCAATGTGCATAATTATGGTTCGCATCATGCGTAAAACTATCAGCTGATCATCTACGGTCTGTGCACTGAAGAGAAAGTACGAGAGACTGGACCATAAGACATAGTTATTCACGGTGGTCGGTGTTTGAGCCAAGGACTCGCGTAATGCCAGGAGTTGATGTAGTCGTCGAACGAAAGGGATCATGGGATAACCATAGGTGGCGGCGTCGTAAGCTTTCGAGAGCAGTTGATATTGTAGATCGGTTACAACGAAGGGGAGATTCTCGGATAAAATACTGCGAGCAGAACCGGTTGGGGAGATGGCTCCCATCAAAACGTCGACGACACTCAGATAGCGATCGAAAGCATATTGAGACGGACATCGCTGTGATATGGTCAACAAACGATAAAATATAAGCTCCACGGGAATGTCTTGTCTCGTCATCCACAAGCCCAAACGGGTGAGGAGAGCATTTGAATCGACGGTATCAAAATCGAGTAGAAACACAGCGTCGAAAAAGGAGTCCATCGTTCCCAAAAAAGACTTGAATGTTGATGGTTCCATATCCTCCAACATCGTATCAATTTCGGTCAACAACATAGGATAGAGTTGCGGACGTTGTTGTAAAAGAAACACAAACGGATGGATCATTTCCTTCGACGAAGAGCTCAGTGCCAGTGGAACATCGTGCAATTGTCGAGCTGTCATGTGAAGCGTAAGCAGTCGAGTGATCGCGTGCAAAAGAACACTTATTCGAAGTCGACACTGACTAATGAAAGCTAAATTTTGCAAATGTCGCATAATATCTTGAAATAAAGCTCGGTCGTCTTGAATGGCGTTGATTAGTTTATCGCAAGCGTTGGATGCCGCAATGGCCGGTACTTCGGGCCTCTCGAGAACGTTCCATAACTTGGCAATTTCATTGGGTACCAGCGCAACTGCTTGGTGTATATGGACGAACCGATGCTGTACGGAAGCATCGTTTGGCGCTGCCGACATGCTGGGAACAGATAAGCTGAGATTCCACAGTGAGCATGGCGAGGCATATCAAGTCTCAATTTTTTTGGCGGACCTTACAAAAGACGGGGATTTAACCAAGAAATGCAAGCCGATAAGTCCAAACTCGCAATGAAACAAATGTAGGCGAAAAATATAAGGATTTTATGCATGCGACTGGAATAAATTTATAGATGAAAATGAAACGATGACTATGATACAATGATGAGGCTTTTTTTTTTCTAAGTTGCGGCTTTCGACAACCTATGAGTCTGCGTTCATTTCCTGCGACCTCTTTCCTTCATCCACCTCTTCAGAATGACGCTCTATGTGGGTATTAATATGTGTACTGATTTCGTAGCCGCAGGCCTTCATATCTTCGATCACCGTTGGCAGACGCGGATCGTTTGTCCTCGCCAACTTTTTCACCAGCATGTAATAGCAGCCTCTCAATGGAACCAAGCCTAGACTCTTGGTCTCTTCCAGGTATTTGAAAGCGTCTTCATAGTTATCCTGAGTCAACGATAAAGTGACCATTTTGCTCAAACTTGTCGCCGTCATCGCTATTCCCACTTGTTGAAATTCCTTCAGAATCTCCACGCCGTTGGCATAATTTTTGGAATGTATGCAAGCATCCAGCACCGCATTTAGGGTATCAACGTCGGGAGTAACACGGAATTTGGAAACGTTGCGATACGTTTCGATCGTTTCTTCGGTTTGTCCGTTGAAAGCAAAGGCATGAAGAATGGCATTGAAAGCAATGATATCAGCGGCATCTTCCTGCGCAAGTTCAAGCAATGATTCTCGTGCTTGCCGAATAGCGTTGACATCGCGTCCGAGCTTGTAGACAACAGGCGCCGCTGTATTCTTGTTCGGCTGTACCCCTGTTTGTCGCATAACGCTGAATATTCGAAACGTACGTTTCAGATCCATCGTGGATGCAAAGGCCTGCACAAGAGGTTCAAAGTGCATATGTGTGTAGCAAAATCCCATTTCTCCAACTTGTCGAATCACATCGTTCGCTAATCGTACATCCCCATGTTTGCCGGCAAGTCGAAGAACGTGAAGACACACCCCGTCATCCGGTCGAATTTTCTTTTCATTCACGGCTACCTGCCAACTCGCTTTCGCAATAGTATACTGACATAACCGAATTTGATGTGTGAGCTTCTCGTTTCAGGGGCATCGGGTGTTCCTCGATAAACTTACATCATCATTGACGGCGGCACAGCGTAAGACTTGCATGTACAGGTATTTGTCTTTGGCTGCAAATTCCGGTAAATGTTCTGCTTTCTGGAGTAAATAATAGGCTACTGCAGATTGGGCGGAATGAACAGCTAAATCAATGATGTGGAGATAGCTGGTGACACTTGGTTCAATTTTTTGTTGCTCCATCACGTCCAACGTATCGAGTGCTCGTTCCAGTTCCATGTTATTTCGCATGCACCAGATCATGCACATGTACGATTTTTTGGTAGGCTTGATGTCGTATTTCTCCATGCGCGCTAATACCTCGGCCTGTAATATTGCATCACCCGCCTGAGCGGCCAGCTATGATAAAGCAACAGATCAATGCCCTGATCATGTCACCGATAAATTTAGCAAAACTTACATAGAGTGCTTTGTTCATCACATGAATATCAGGTCGAACGGCCCGCTTTTCCATGTCATTAAGCAAGGGTAAAATCATATCCAGCATTCCTAGTTTGCCGTAAATGCTGAGAAATCGTACATATATCTCTTCGTCCAAAGGTATGCTGCGACGATCGAGATCGGCCGTCAATCGGTGGAACTGAGACAAGCCATCTTTTGCATCGAGATTCCGTAACGCGATCTCATCCAAGATTCGACCCATTTCTCGTTTGGTATTAAGTAGAACATGTCGATTCGATTGCTGCTGAGAACGCAAACGTCTTGTCATATCGGGCACCTGTGTTATCGATGCTGCTTGGCGGTACAGGGCTGCTATAATAATCGGCATCAATGGGTCATTGTAAAATAAGAAGAAAAGAATACGACATACGAGGACACGATCTGTAGAGCCATCCGGTCTGAAGCACCGGCTTTCGTATCAGCATTGAAGCTATACGCAGCATTTGCAAGGAATAGTAACCAAACAGAAAGAACGGATTTATGCTTTCTTCCAAATCTGGATCATCCAAGAATTTCGGTGAAAAGCAGTCATGGACACTCCATCATCAACGCAGTGCATTCTTCCTGGACAATCCATTGTACATTTTATTCAACTTGAAGACACTAAACTTCTCAATCAAAATGACCAAATATGGAGAAGCAACAGGCTAGATATGTAACGTAAGTAGATCAAAAAAATGGGAAGAGCAATAAATCAAATTATGTAGTCAAAAACAGAAGAAAATGGGGAAACAGAAAGTCAGTATAGCAGAATATCAAGATTGAATGTAATTAACTTTCCCGAAGCTAATAGGCCTTCCTTTCCAAGAAGAACCAGCAAAAATGATAAAGACGGAATGTGAGCACCATTCATTGTAGGACAACGTGCAAAGCACGCGCTGCAACACTTGGTGGTCCTTGTACGAAAGTTACCAGTGTACGAATTGATATTTTTTCAGTAAAGCTTGAGCTCACCTTTGGTCCAATGCAAACATTACCTACTCTACCCTGGGTAATAGCTTGGTGTTTTGCAATTAGAATGGGTATGTTATCGTTACAGTGCTTCTTGAAACAGAAGATCGACTTCCAAAGCGCAAGACGGACTTTGAAAAAACCAGCCAAAAACTAAAGGCGAGTTAGAGAGGTACCTTGGTGCTGTGGTTTTTTTGCAGGACAGCATGTTTCAAAGCAAAGCCTACATTGAACGGCGGAATGGACGCTCAGGAACCGACAGAAAAGAATATCTGCAGAAGTTAGTGCAAGAGTACAAGACAACGGATAATCTGGGTAAGTTGTTTATTTGTATTTCTTTCAGATTCTGTGTTAGCAAGGTTAATGAACAACCACCATGTAGAGGCTAAAAAGCAAATACTGGCCAATTTAGCCAATTTTGCATATGACCCTGTCAACTATGAGTGGCTTTGGGACCTTAATGTGGTTAATCTATTTTTAAGTAAGTTCATGTTCGTGCAAAAAAACAAGAATCTAAATAACCGACATGAACATTTGTCTAGCCGCGATTACGGATGCTGATCCTTTGTTACGAGAATATGGCATGGGAGGCTTGGCGAATATCTGTCTCGGTAGGAGAACTTGGAGATAAATAATTGAATTCAAACCACTGATATATACCTATGTACCATAGATCCTCGACATCGTGCTCACATCACGTCTGAATCGTACTATATTCGAGCCATACAAGCATGTATTGATGCGGATCCTTCCACACATACCGAAAATACCATGCTTAATGCAATGCTTACTTTGATATTTACTATAAATCCAGCGTGTCAATCAGGTACCAACCTCATTATGAGATAAAAAGTTGCGACTTAAAATCCTCATGTGGTTCTTTTTTTTTTTTTTTTTTTTTTTTTTTTTTTTTTAGCTATATTAACGACGGACCTCCGGGAACAGTTGCAGCGGATTCATGCTGCCGACAAAATGACACGAAAAAGCTGTATGGCCAAAGTTTTTCTGACAGATTACTTTCGGGAGGAGGTATAATTTGTGCGCTGTATATCCTTCAGTAACGGTGAAGCGCGTCATGGTGCTTTCTGTGCGTCCTGAAAGGCTGACATTGTGCAATCGATGGGGTTGAACAAGTGCTCCGAGCCGTTTCCTCTATCCGCAAAATGTCATTGTGGACCATCGATTGCCGTAGCTCGTATTGCTCTTGATGATGACCGATTTCCCCAAAGGAGCACATTATTTTTTAATCCAATACTTGAAACTTGTTCAGTCTAGTCAACTGGGAAGCGATTCAAATATGAGTATGTATCGCACGAGCAAACGTAATATGATGTGTTTTGATATTTCTATTCTATGAATATAGACAATGTAATCAATATACAATTGTATGATAGTCATGCCTTTGATAAAAAAAAATTCCGCAAGATCGCTATGACTAAAGTGATTGTGATACGTTATTACATGGGGCGAGGAATGACTTTCCATCGCGCTTGTTCAGCAAAAATATGTGGTTCTCCAACCTGGCGTCCTTTCTTTGTGCGTCGGTAAAGAACAATGTGCCAATCGCGTGGGTTACTGAGAGATTGAAATTCTGTGCGAGCCGTTTCCTCCATTTTCTCGAATATGCCACTGTTCACCATGGATTGCCACGCTTCATGTTGCTCAGCAGTGGCTTCTGGCTCGTCCCAGTAGGCTAGACTGATGTGGTTGATTTTCTTTGGGCGGATCATGATTTGTCTGTCGCTGCAAACACGCCGTAGATTCTCCACAATCTCATGGTAGCTGTTGGTCACGGAAACGGGTAATAATAAATGTACAGGTTTTTCTCGCTGCTCGGTATCTAATTTTGTGACTAATAATGGATTTGTGTCAATGACAGGAATAGAATGGAACTCTTGCTTTTGTATCAGCGGGTCAATGAGAGCGATAAACTGAGTTACAGTCATATCGTTAGGCAACTCGAAAAAACCGGTCATACTGGTATGGCAGGTATATTTTGTGGCTGTGGTTGGATAGAATCTTGAGGATGAGGACGTGATAAAGGTGTCAATCCACTGTCGAGCGGTGGTATGCACATCGGGTTCTAGATATAAAATGAATTCATCACGACTTGTCATGGTGCTTGTATAGTTGAAAAAAAAAGTGGATGAGCACACTATGCGTTGGAACCCTTGTGACTATTTATCAAACCACGCTGAGCGAAAAATAATCACCCACCCAGGTTTCTCATTAACCCATCATGAAAAACTCACCAAGATCAGTTTTAATCGGATGGTAAGCACAAAAACTCGAGCCATTGTCACCACTCTAACATTGTTGTATTCAGGACTTCCTTGGCTGTTTGTAAGTAGGAGCGATGAGATGAAGTCCAAAGGCTCATATCACTAAAAACGTATGCGCTAGGTGCTTTAGGAGGGTACATGGTCAGTAAAGCTTACACCAACCATCGGCTGAAGCAGTACACGTCAGGTTTCGGTTCGGTTACTTCTTCCAATGCGAACATTCCCGATACACCAGCAGAACAAAAGGACCCGAATGCGCCTTTCCAACGATCGGTCAATCGTCGACTGTAATAAAAACAAAACCAAACTCAAAATGCATTACCATGTTGGCCATTTTTAGAAAAATAGAAAATCGACTTTCTTTTTTTTTTTAATAACGTTTTTACTCTTCTACTCTTCCTTTCCTTTCTATAAGATGCATCCGGGAGACAAAGGGTGAGAAGGATCTAATAAATGAGAAAGTAGCCTGATAATTCCTCTGGTCCATCTAATTTTAGTAGGAGCTTGTCTGTCTATCATAGTTGGCTCCGCCAGCACGTCGAAGTCTTGTCAATAGTTCGTTCTCATCGAGTTCCTGAACACGAGAAGCTGGGACTTCAATGTGATAACTGCGCAACACTGTCTTCACATCGGCGATTTGGATGCCTAATTTGGCCTTGCGCATAACGCCGACGGACTCACCGCACCAGGGAATAAGGACAAACTTGATTCGTTGAGAGTACCTGATTGGTAGAGATAATATATAAATCGTGTTGAGGAAAGTGCTGTTATACGGCATATCTCGGTAATGATGACTTACTCATCGTTGCTCATGTTCATGCGTACATAACCCCATCCGGCGACTTTGGGTGTGAGTTGTTCGTAGAATTCGGTCAATCCACCAGAACCAGTACCAGCCACCCTTAATCGGTCAGGCTTGCCATCTGCAAAGTCAAAGAACAGCCAGTTGGTTTCCGTCTTGTCATCTCGGACATCATTGTAGGCTTCCTCAAGGGCAGGGTCGGAAACGTTGAGAGACATGATGATAAATTCTTAAAACTTGAATAAATATAAAGAAGCACAAAGAAAAAGACTTGGTTTTCTGTTGTTCAATTTCCCCTCTTGACCCTCTTGAGGCCTGCCCCACTTTGTCGTCATGACGAGCTGGGACCGAAAACTTTGAAAAAAAATGGAAGGTTTCCATTCGTCCTGCCAATCAAAAATGCTTTCAGAAAAACTGATCTGGCGGACTTCTTTTTTCTTTTTTTTGCGCACCTCCCTTTCCGTTGCCATAGCGAGAGGGAATCTCGAAATCAGCGGTCCTTTGTCCAGACGACCACCCTTTCTCTCTGTTGGAAAACTGTTGTTTTAATGATCAAGAAAACCAAAAAAAAAAAAAACCATGCAAAATTGTATCTAATAAAATATCCAGCGTCTTTTGTCTATCATGCGTCCCCGTTTTGTGTCAATTTCGCCAGTTCTTCTCTGACAGATTTCCCCTTTTTCATCTTCTCCAACTGAGCTGCATTCAATTCCTCGCCCTTGATTCGCTTTTGTTCCAACTCGGTAATTTCTCTCAATTTCTTTTGCAGAGCTTTGATTTTCTTCTCTTCCGGTGACTTTGTGGAACCTCCATCCACAGCTACGTTGGTGGATTTTGGTTCAGGCTCCTTTTTGGGTGTCTTGGGTGTCTTGGGCGTCGAAGCTGGTGTGGCTTTCTTTTTGGGGTTGTAACCAGGCGGATACTGACTCTTTGTCTCGGCCGGTCTAGCAATGCGCGAATTGCTATAGCGAATGACATCTTCAGCCGGGGTGAATCCCGGTCTCACTTTCTGCTCCTTTCGATAGCTTCCATCCGCACGTCGTGAACCAGGAATCCACCGTTCTTCTCCAACCGTCACAATGCCAGCTACTGTTTTGTCATCTGCCATCGGTAATGAAAAATTGGTAAAACTGTTGACAACAAAAAAAAAAATAATAGGCAGAAAAAAAATGAAACCGAACGCTGGGATCTCCCGTTGAAATTCGGCACGCTGCAGTGAGCAGCCAATGAAAATGCTCTTTTTTGGTGTTCCCAACCTGTTTCCATGGCAGCAAACAGGCCAATATGGGGGAGGCACTATTTTTTCCCCTTTGACTTGGGTTGTGTCACGTTCAGTGAATGGATTGTCTGTCCCATATTGAATTGTATTGCAGCATTTCTTTGGGGGTTTTTGTGTGATAAGATACAGTGTCAGTTATTTCACATTAGAATGCAAACTAAACATGACACGGTGTTTCAATCGTTCGTCATTGCGTTTGAGAAATTTATAAAGCAGCACGAGCCATTGATCGCTTTCCTTGTTTGTTTGTATGGCTTCCGCATTCAAACGATTTTTAAAGCAATCGACCGAATACGGAAAGATCGCTTTCCGCAATCAGCTCTCCCATGCTAAGCAACCGTCTTCACCACCAAAGAAGATTGCGTACCTCATTCCTCCGATGCCTTTACTGGCATCGACGATCTATCGGCATTACACAAAGGGTCCACCTGCTGCATCCTGGTCACTGACATTCCACGTCTTGATTGCTTTGATGCGTGATATTATGAAGCGATCGTCTAAAGGCACCGTTGAGAATCTTCAGCGATTGACGAGAAACTACGTCACGCCACTTCCATTCAGTATCAGCCGTTCCGAAACTACCCTACCCAACGACTACAGAGAGCGCGCAGGAGATATATTAAAGAATCTTCTTACAGAAGACGATAACAGACGTATCGGATGGGATTGGTCTACAGACCGCACTCGAGTATCTGAGCTTCAAGGAGAATGGCTTACATTTTCACAGTCATTCTTTGACACAGACACTTCCTTTGACGCTTCCAGACAGCCCACCATTCTCTACCTGCATGGCGGCGCCTATTATATCGGTTGTTACAGCCTTGCTCGTCAGTGGCTCTCTAGATTGATAAAAGTAAGTGTTCTATACATCAATCTTCGATATTTATACAGATATCCATGATCGGTGTACCAAAAGGTCTCAATGGTATTATCCTTAGTTGTCGAACGCTCGCTGCTTCTCTGTCAACTATCGCCTTGCGCCGCAACATCCGTTTCCAGCTGCCTTGGAAGATGCTTTGGCAGCTTACCTTTATCTGGTGGATCCGCCTGCGAGTGCAAAACATGCACCGGTTGATCCCAAGAACATTATCATTACAGGGGAATCGGCCGGTGGCGGGCTTACTGTTTCCCTGTTACTTGCTATCCGTGACAGCGGGTTAATCCCTCCACGCGCTGCCATGCCTTTATCACCTTGGTAAGTGGCGTAATAGGAAAATTTTTGTGTGCGTATCGCATTTTTATTGACTTGTATCTGGGAAACATAGGGTGGACTTGACCCATTCGCTGCCGTCCATCACAAGTAACATAGCGACCGACTACCTGCCACCGGTGGGATTCAAACACATTGACTCGCCTGCGCTGAATTACTCTTTGCTGCCACCTCTAAAGGACGAGCATGCCAAGGATAAATCGAAGCCAGAACAGGCTTGCAACAAAGAGACCGAACACGATCCCACCAAAGACCGAAGCGATGGGCTTGAGCGGGTACAATTTTATGCGGGTAATGATGCCTTGAAGCTGCCACTTGTGAGTCCAATCTTCGACAAGAAGAATCTCCACGGTCTTCCGCCTATGCTAATCGTAAGTTATCACGCACTCAACGAACATCAAAACAGGTTTATCTGACAAAATGCCATTGACAGCAAGTAGGAAAAGCCGAACGGCTTCGTGATGAATCCATTTGTGCTGCTCTGAAAGCTACAAATATGTACCCCGGTGCGCCTTCTTCATCCGATATTCCGACAAAGATTGACCTCGAACTCTACGTTGATCAACCTCACGTATTCCAAATCCTTTTGCCTACCAAGATCGCAGTCAAAGCGATTGAACACCTGGCTGCATATGTGCGAGATGTATTTCAAAAATCACCCACCGAGCTTCAGCAGTCACCGAGGCTCACTATCCATGAAATTGCAGCTACAGGGAAAAGTCGTGATACAACCGAGAAGCTCATGCGAAAAATGACCAGCGATACATGGAAGGATTGGATTGGGCGTTTGGATCATCCCAACTTGAAGGACAGAATGCGTCGAGTTGAAACTGCTTATGAGCGTATATTGGAACAGCTTAAGAAAGAAAACGAACCGTAACATAGCATGTTATGACCTGTATAAAATGAACCATTGTAAAATTGATATCTTTAACTCCTCTAATACATAACCACCTATTCTTTTGCTAAATTATTATGTCAAAGAGTCACGGACTTCACAAATTATCTAGTGCATTACAGTGTTGATGGGTTTTTTTTTTTTTTTTTTTTTTTTTTTTTTTTTTTTTACGTCCTGAAACGGCGCCTTTTAAATTCATCAAATCAATGTGAAATCGTGTTTGTTTCGGCATGAAAACGGCCGACAGTGGCCATCAAGGTTTGTCTGCATGTATAAATTGTGGGAAAGCTGAAAACCAAATCAACGTCCCAAATAGAATCATTTCATGTGGAATGACACGCTCCCAAGGCGGTATTTGCAACAACAGAAAATCGCGAATCCCGAAAAGATCGGAAAAAGATCGGAAATCCGAAAGTGGCAAATTTCAAAAGTTCGATAATGTTCCAATCCAAGGTCTTCATCATCACGTATATCATGCGTATTTCTGGATCTGTCGTGACAAGGTCAGGGCCTTTTTCTTTATTCTCTATCGAAAAGCTGTGTATCTATTCCATTTCTCCAGGAACCGCATGTTCATGTGTTGTTTTGTTTAGCATGATCGCGAATCGATGATGTCCTTCAGAAAGTCCTCGTGTGTTTTTACTCCCTTCAACATAACAATGTGTCACCGTTCGGGTGGGTCATCTGTACACCCTATCGATAAGGCCTACGCTAAGACATCTGTGGACTTTCTGAGCCAGGATGAGCTTTAGTCCTACACTGCGCTGATAAAAAAAAAAAAAAAAAAAATAGCGGCAGCCCCCCCAAAAAAAGATGCGCTATGAACCATGGGGCGGGGGAGGCGGGATTCAGAAGTCAGAAACCGCGAATTCAGAATCCGAGAATCGGCAGATTCGAACACATCTTCCTGCAGAAAATTTCAACCACGAAAAAATCAAAAAGCTCCGAGAAGGACGGGCCGAACTGCCAAGACACTGGGTCTAGATCATTGACTAAGCACTCCGACACCAACACACGTATGGAACCATGCCACATTACACAGGATGAAAAAATTATTGGATGTTATTTACAAGAGATAAAGGAAAAATATTTCAATCATACGGACGAAATGGAGTTATGAGATGAATAAATTATGGCATACGGTCATGAGAAAAAAAAAAGCAAAAAGGATAGTAAGTAGCATTTTCAGTGTCCAGGGGTAACTTGTGGTCTAGGTTTCAGTGAAAGTCAATTTTAGATAGAACTGCGACGCGACAAAGGAGACCACAATTCATCGTCGGCTGCATTGACGTAAGGTTCAGGGTACGGTTCGTATTTGCGACCGAAATCCATGGATAAAGGCAGATTCGTCACAGGATAAGGATTCATCATAGGTGTAACCGGATCCAGATAAATGAAACCGAGAAGTTCTTCTTTTTGATCCTTCGATTTCTGGGTATCAAGTATAACAGTAAAAGGCTGTAAGAATGCTTCGTCTGTCAGCACCAATTTTGACCGGTCGTCCGATAATGCTTCCAATCGCACTTGATTTCTGTTGTCAAACCGGCTCATGCCTTTGGATCCATCTTCCCAGTCTTGCTCATACCACCACACAGGAGTCACCGCTCGTTGTACATTTTTATTCATTTCCAAAATGACATGGTTGTGATCTTTCGGTGGAGGCCTAGGCGCGGCCGACATGGTCGAAAATCGATGATGGGAAGGTCGTTCATTGGAGCTCGTCGTCCGGTCTTTGTAAGATAATGCATGAGTCGCCGAGGTAGCTGGACGTGTTTCAAAGTGTACAGTGCAAGGACCCAATGAAGATTCGCGAAGTTGCTTGTGCAAGACGCGACCGTAAGAACTTTCTAATGTATATTGACTGGCATCATCGAAAGGAGTCCAATGGGCTGACGAACTATCGGGATTTTGGGACAGATTGTAATACCAAACGGGTTCCAACGTTCGAAAGACGCCTCGTTTTTCCGGCAAAGGTCCATTCGACGTGGGAGTCTGGGGCACAGAAGAAGTAGAGACAGTAGAAATGGAGGCTAACGAGCCAGATGAAGAATGTGTTTTATATTGCTGTTGTTGTTGTTGCTGTCGCTGCTGTTCGGGCTTTTTTGTTGATTTCAATTTGAGTACTTTACGAATAGACATTGTGCCCATGGTGATAGAAAAAAGGTTCTCAAGAATTGGGGTAGAAGAAAGAAGTTCTTTTTCCTCTGATCGATAGCTCACTTTTTACATCCTTTATATAGTCTGGAGCCGATCGGTCTTCCAATGCTATAAAAAAAAATCGACCATCAGCTTTAATTTTTTTCAAAACAATAGTTTTTTTTTTTTTTTTTTTTTTTTTTTTTTTTTGCAACATGCAAGGATGGGTGACGCCGGTTAGTAACTTTTGCCTAATTTTTTTTAGCTTTTTTTTCCATTTCACAGTTCGTTTCTAAATAAGAGCTGAATAATGCATTCGAAGCTGAGCTATCAATCGAGCTACTCTTAGGCTTGGCTAAATGGCTTGTTGTTACTTTCTTTTTTTTTTTAATTTTAATTGATATCATAACTACCACAAGCCTCAAGTGACTGAGAATGCACTTAACGTTGCACACAGCTAAAGGTGCCACGGCTCCGACGCTTAGTTTTGATCATTTCGGAATAGATGGCTTATCTCCTTGTTTGTATGAGATCATTTTTATCATTGGACTGCATATTAGTAAAAAAACCCCATCGACATAAACAAAGACGTGTGAGACCTTGTACCTGCTGTTGCCAATCATAGGTTATTTTTGAAATTGCCATTGTCGTGGAGATGCCTTGACCCCTTGTTGGTTTCAGATGATCGTCGAATTTCAAGAACACCCGCGAACGTTTTTAGTTTGTGTAACATTTTGACTTTCTTTTCATTGTCGCGATGTTGAACGCGCAAAATAGCATCATGATGATGACAGACGATCGGAGCACGGTAAATACCTATATTTGGAGAAGACAACACCAAAAATAGTTAATTCCACTCTAGGTGGCAAAATACACGGGCTTCCATGGGCGACTGGCGTAAGGGCGTAATTATAGTGCCACAGGTGCTGTAATCCTTATTCTCGATCATGTTCTCGATGCCAATTTCCCGATTTTGATGGTTCTGGCCAGCATCATACGCGCTGTGATATCAGTAGAAACCGTACTTATGCATGAATGATTACATTCATATTGCGCAAAAGGCTGGGTAGTGGAACGACAAATAAATCATGCCATCCTCTGTAACTGCTAATGTTACTAAGCTGCTGCGGATTTCGTAATATCCATTATTAAATAATAGAAGCATAATGTCACCAGCATCTAATAAGCTTTTTATTATTCTTATTTTACAAAACGATAATTATCACCAGTCATTGCATGTTGACAGAAAAAGGCATGGTCAATATAAGAGATCTCTTGCTGACTGATGTGGGTGGAGCCTGAAAATTTTTTTGGGTCTCCCCTTACGCAGTCCAAATGCGGCTTGGGAATCCTATCTCTTGCTGTACATATTTTTTACGGTTGCATGGTACGGAAAAATATATCAAACGGCAGAAGGGGAAATAAAATTATAAATAAAAAATCTAGAAAAAAAAAAACAACAAAAAAAAAGCAAAACCCGGGACACCGTCGGGCCGTTCCTTTTTGCGCTTTGTAAGCACGCGACAAACCGCGCGCTTGGACGTTGACCATGCTAAAGGATGCAACATGAAACAAAGCGCAGCATGTTTTCAAAGCAATTGCAAGGGATTGAGTGTCTATTCCCTCTCGTGACATGGTGATTGTTGCTGTAGGGTACGAATACTATTCGGATCATTTATTTTTATTATTTCAGCCATCCATTCAAGCCGAGTGAATTGTAGCTGTGAAAGTGGTTTTTGACATGGCATAAAGCTATTTTTGTCATTATACGCAGCAAAGAAGCATAGCTGATCTCAATTTTGAAATGACCACATGATGCACTTTGACACTCGTGCATGGTGTACATGCGTACCTGCAGATCCATAGCATTCATTGAAAAGGAAATCACAGTCTTGCAAAATCGAGAATTTTTTTTGCCATGAACACCCTCCATCTCGGAAAAACTTGCGCGACGCATCATCCACCTAAGCTTTGTGTCACAAGATCCATCCAGAGAAAAACATTTTCGTGCCCGAACGAACGATTAAAAATGCGCTTGTTGATAAACATTCAGGGTTAGCATATTTTTCCGAGCGCAGATTATTTGTATCCATGTGGACATTGCGCAAGCAATTACCAATACGCTTTTCCAAAAAACCTCCGTCTACAAGTTGTTTCACAAGTAACCTGAGATTGATTTGAGAAGACTCTTACAAGTCTCAAAAGGATAGCATTTCGTGCGGTTCTGAAGGGTTGCATGGCGTGGGAGTGATTTGGGTAATTCAACTGCAGCGAACATGGGCGGCAGAGTTACGATGACGCCACAATTAACGTATTTTTCGCCACTCTCCAAAATACCCATACACACACTGATAGCAGATTGCCCAAAAAGCCGCTTTTTTTTACGGTCTGACTCGTCAGTCCGAATAAATATAAATAAAACACATGTAGATGTTTATCTAGCATTTGCAGCGAAACGAGAAGCGGTTTTTATCTACCAAATCTTTGACTGCTTTCACATGTTTTGGAAAGAGTCGACAGAGCAATGTGTATCTTCGATCGCGACAAAAAGGTCGGACGATATTTTTGCCACGTTTTTAACTTCAGGTACGTCCAGTGATTTGGTATCCGGTTATCATTCAGCTATAAAATAGGTATATTCAGAAAGATATTACTATACATGATGACAAAGGAACAGAATAAAAATACATATATCAATACATATATAAAACGAAAGAAATGAAAGCAAACAAATGTATAAGGATGGGAATATTAGAAAATGTAGTAGTAGGGGGGCACGATCATCATCACAATGTTCGGCGTGTGAGGTAGTATACAGCATCTTTTGAGCCTACATGATACGTTGAGTACACCGGTGTTACCATACTTTTGACATTGTGTTCAAGCTTACCTTTCTCGGATGCGAGGTGGTATAAACGGTTGGCTTTTTCAAGGTCTACGGGAGTAGCCCATCCGTGACGGTGGAATTCAGCGAGTTTATATAAAGCTTCAGCTTGGTCTTCTCTATCTTCGTCATCCATTGTATCTTGGTCATGATGATGCGACACTAAACGTTGGTACCACTCGAAAGCTTCGTGCATGTTGCGTGTCAAGCCAATACCAAATTCATAACATTGGGCGACTTCCAGGTATAATTTGACATCGCCCGATTGGGCCAACTCGACAAGTTCAGCAGCCGCTTTCTCGGGTTCGGCAGGAATATTCCCCCATCCGTGTAATCGATATCGAGCCAACATGGTGGCGGCAGAGGATCGCTGATGAGTAGGGGCGTGGTCATGAGCCGCCTTAAACAGGGGAAAAGCTTCGTTTCGTTGATCGGTTTGATGCAGCAGTTGAGCCAGAGCAAGCTCGGCTAACCACCATCCACCTTTGGCTTCGTGACGTTGACCCAGTTTGACAGCAATGTCGTACCATTCGCGTGCTAAGTCGAGGCTGGCCGGTACATGAATTCCATGCTCATAATAGATGCCAAGGAACAACGCCGCCGTTTTATCGCCTTGCTGAGCCGCCAGCGTAAAGTATTCGTAAGCTCGCTCAAAATTCTGTTCCACGGTGTCGTTGTCTTTGCCTGAATGATACAGTTTACCCAACTCGCGTTGAGCATCCTGGCATCCCAATTGAGCTGATTGTTCGAGCCAATCCAAGCCTTGCATTTGTTGATCATGGCTGTACTTTCCATCATCATTCACCAGGTGTTGGCCGAGTTCAAACATGGCATCACGGTCACCTTGGGCTGCGGCTTTCTGGAAGTGGTGCATGGCTTCTTCAATGTTGGGAGATAATAACTGGCGATCGTCCTGCTGGATACCGCGAAGCTTGTACAGACCGGCAAAATAATGGGCACGGGAATGATTTTGCGTATCGCTAGCGAATTGGTACCATTGAAGCGCTTCCAAGTCTTTGTGACGATCAAGGGCGATGACCAGGCCTTGAGCGTGCAGACGACCAATGCGGAACATGGCTTCAGCATCCTGAGTCTTTTCCACCGATCGCAGGTACCACTCGAGCGCCTTCTTATGGTCTTTCGGAGTACCCAAGCCAAGCTCGTTGCATTGTCCAAGAGAGTTGTAAGCTTCAAAGCATTGGTGGTCTTCGGCGCATTTCAGCAATTCCTATTGGCAGCACGAAATCAATATCAAACCAATAGCGAAAAAAATGGTGTGCTCAAAGCTTTTTTACCTGATAACCGGCCTCGGGATCCGCTTTCATATCACCCAGACCTGCTAATCGGTAGCGAGCACGCATGACTCTGGATAACATGTGACCATGTGAAGCCGCCTTGTTGTAGTATTCCAGGGCAGCAGCATACTGTTGTTGGGTGTGCCAACTCTCCGCTGCCAGAAACATAGATTCAACATGGCCCATGGTAGCGGCCTGTTCAAAGCATCGTATTGCTAACCCTTGTTCCTGCAACTGTTTGTGTCGCATGTGCTCGGCTTCTTCTTCACTGTCACTGTGCAAGGGTCGATTGACAGAAGCCATGGCACCTTTTTGATGCAGTTGGCCCAGCAAAACCAGGGATTCCGCGTCACCGGAGCGAACAGCTTCGGCCAACAGTTCCATGGCTCTTTCCAACTTGGCATCATTGTGATGGTCCATGGTATCATTCAGTAATAAACTGGCGAGAGCGCGCATGGAAGAAGCATGTCCAAGGTGGATCGCCTTATGCCACCAAGCAATAGCGACATCGCGATCGCCATTTTCAAGAGCCATTTGACCCAACGCCCAGTGACTTGCCGCATATTTCTGCGCAGCCGAACGAGTGAACCATATCACAGCGTCGCCGAGATTGATGGCTGTATCGAATAAACCTCGCCAATAGGCCATTGCTTTTAGGGAAAAAAAATGGATCATTAACACATCAATCTAATCTTTTGCGCTGTTAAAAAGAAGTGTCGGTTACCAAGTTGATGCTGGCCTTCAGGGTGACCATGCTCGGCACTCATCTGGTAGTACTTGAGTGCTAACGAGGGTTCAAAGAACCGATGATCTTCCTGAGCGTACATTGAGGCAATTTTCACCATGGCTTCGGGATCTTTGGCCTCATCGGCGGCTTTGGAAAACCATTGGAATGCTTCTTCATAGTTCGTTTCTGTGCCGAGACCTTGGTAATAACAGTCGGCTATATAATCAGAAAAAAAAGGTTAGCTCTGTGGCGTGCCCATGACTAAACGGGTTTGTCCTTTCTCCTTTTACCAAACCAATAGTAAGCAGGTTCAAACTGATTGTCGTGGCATAATTTATAGAGGATCTTGAAGGCGTCTTTCATAGTCATATTATGGAGATGCATAGTATCATTTTCCGATGGTTTAGGTGAAGGAATGTAAGAAAGAACGTAACGGGCAACCATAAGTTGAGAAGTTTTGCTGATGCGGGTATCGGTTAAACGAGTGTCGTGGGCGGCAATGGTGTATTGTGCATAAGCTTGTTCAAATTGGTTCAATGTATGGTATACCTGGGCGGCAGCAAAAGGAGCGCTATTGATATATGTAAAAAAAAAAAAAGTTAGTTCATTCCCATCATTAATGTACAGTTGCAGACCCTATGGAAATTGTCTCTTACACTGGGGCGCCAAGGTCAGCAGCAAGAAGGTAAAGTTCTATAGCCTTGTTCAAATCTTTTTCAACGGCAAATCCGTTCTGATAATAGCTGCCGAGGAGCAGGGTGGCTTGAGCATCATGTTGTTCGGCGGCTTTTCGAAGATAATGGAAAGCGGTTTCGTGGGACTGAGAGACACCTAAACCGGCATCGTAGATCATCCCGAGTTCGCGTTGCGCTACCGGATCATTGAGTGATGCCGCCTTCTGATACCATTGGATCGCAACCGATTGTTGCTGCTGCTGCGCTTCCGGTGACAAATGGTCGCGTGTGGAAGCCATGCGACATAGTGTAGCAAGAGACGTCATGGCGGAGGGGAAACCCAAACGAGCCGATTTTTCAAAGCAGGAACGTGCTTTACTGATATCTTTGGGGATATTTTCAAGCCCTTTCGCATAGTACAGGCCAAGGCTGTACAGGGCAGTCTTGTGGTTTCTCTGGGCTGCTTTTTCATACCAAGTAAAAGCGGCTTTTCGATCGCGCGACGCACCTTGTCCATTCGACAGCATCAAGGCAACCTAATAGAATCATCAACCACGATTACGGTAAGTAAATCGGCAATTTATTGAAAGCGAGTGTTTGTATTACCTGAAATTGGGCATCGGTGTCATCGGCTTCAGCGGCCAGGAGATAATGGTCAAATGCCTTTTGCATGTTACGTTCGCATACATGCGGGATGCCTTCTTCGAAACAAGCACCTAGCCAGTAATGAGCGTGACCGTCATCGTTGCGTCCGTTGGCCAGTTCAGAAAGCATTTCAAAAGCGGTTGCCGGATCTTTGGTCATTGGGATCCAACCATGAAGCAGGTACCGCGCTACCATAAGTTTAGCAGTACGCATCGGTGATCTCTTCAATGACGTATTGGGCAATTCCTGACTGGAAGCGATCCGAGAAAATTCATCAAAAGCGTCGCGATGTCTTCCCATCTTGTGGAGCAGTAGAGCGTGGGCGAGGAGGGCGGCTTGTTTGAACGGACTGGCCATGTTGGCTGCTTTCTGATAATACTCCAGGGCCACTTCATGGTTGACAGCGGCTCCGCGACCATGTTCATAACAGGAGCCGACCAAACCCAGGGAACGGACATCGCCTTGAGATGCCGCACGACGGAACCAAAAGAGAGCCAGTTTACGGTCTTTTCGTTGCCTGCGTTCCACGTTTTCTTCATGTATGGTATCGGCCGTGGGCGCATGGAGCGCTCCTTCAGCGTGCATGAGACCGTAAATACGTTGGGCTGGAGCGAATCCAGCGCGTGCTGAGCGTCCGAGATTCGTGGCAGCTTCTTGAAGATTCTTTGTGAGACCTAGCGTGCCTAATCGATAATGAACGCCCAAAATATACTGTGCACGGGCTTCATTCAGATCGGCGGCCGCACTGTAATAAGCGAATGCTAATTCGTAATCTTGTTCCACAATCTGGCCTTCCTCGTACAAGAGACCCAGGCGCAACAGCGCTCGTGCGTTACTCTAACGAAGATGAAGACGATGAGCTAAAATTGATCCATCTTTTACAAATCCACATCAATTTACCGATTTAGCAGCTTCTTTGAGCCAGTGCATGCCTGCTGAATGATCACCGTCTTCGGTAAGACGAATGCCAAGAGCTGCTTGAGCGTCAGGAAAACCTTGCTGTGCACTGGAAAGGAAATAGTGTTTTGCTTGGTCATAGTCCTGATTCGTGGTAAGCCCTTGCTCAAAGTGAACGCCAGCTACATATTGCGCATACCTAGAAAAAAAAAGATCGGTTTAATGAGACACTGTTTGGATAGAAAAAATAAATAAATAAAAACGCAGTAGAGGCCTCTTACTTATTTCCGTGAGCCGCACTCTTGATGAACCATTGCAGGGCGGCTGCAGGATCCTCGGGAATGTCGTCTCCTTTAAAAAGCATGGTTCCTATACGATATTCAGCTTTGCTTACAATCTCATGTGTTTCACTGTCAACGATATCAACGGAGGCAGCGGCTTTGAACCATCGCAGTGCTTCGTGAGGATCTGGCTTGACCGTGTCTGACGGAGTAGAAACCCCGTTAAGGTAGCAGACAGCTAAAGCGTAAAAAGCACCCCAGTAATTCTTTTCCGACAAGGAACGTAGGGTATTGAAGCCATCCATGGCTGTACCATGACGATCCCAGCCGCGAAGTTGGCATTGGGCAATCCACACTTGGGCTGCTCTATCGTTGGTCTTTTGTTGCCAAGTGACAGTGGCTCTCAAGACTTCCGATTGAGCGATATCATCAAGGGATTGGGCTTTGGTGAACATTTCTTTGAGAACGGTATAGGAAGCTGAAGGCATGCTGGTGAGTTCGCCAAGAATGGTGGAGGCTGAAAGCTTGGTATCTGTGAGTACTGTTCTGGAGGATTCGGCGGTGACCGATGGGTTAGCGTAAGGTGGGGGAAGAACCGATGTCGTGGAGGTTTCTGTTTTCTGTTTTGTAGATTTATGGTTATCTCCCCAATCGGTCAAAAACAGCGATCTTCGAGATATTGTTGAGTAATCCGTGATCGATGTGATGGTAGAGGAGGTTGCAGGATCAATGTGCGAAAAAAGTCCTTCGGACCACGTCCAGCCACTGCTTGACATACTTTGATGACTGCTAGCGTTGGTAGAGCATGAAAACGATGAAATCGCTCGTTTCCGTTGCTGTATGGCAGTCGGTGATATGCTTGACGCCATCGATGTTTTTCTATTCCGACTTTCGATGGAGGTACTAGGAACCGAGGGTTCGTCGGTGGATGTCCTGGGATCGGTCGATTCCTTTTCCGGAACGGTGGCCTCCGGATAACGAGTATCGCATAAATAAGTTTCGTGGATGTCCGGTAACCTTGACCCCGGTTGATCAGATGGCGACTGTTTGGTTGTACAAAGTGCCGAAGTCGTCTGTGAGGCGGAGTTGGTGCATGAGGAGGAGGAGGAGGAAGACAATTGGACTGGATCGCACGGTTCGTCGAGATGAACCGCGGAACTCTTTGAGATCTTGGATTTGTAAGGTCGTGATGGGTTATTGGATTTGCTGATCCGTTTACGTGGATGCAGCGGTTGGGAAGCGGCAAACTGATGTTCACCGGATTTGCTAATATTGCTCCCCATGAAGGTGACAGATGGAATGAATACTGACAAGTTGTCTCAATAGGAGATGATCGATGTGAAATAAAAAGTAATACAGTGGCTGGACGTGGTAGAAGGAAGGTAAAGAAAAAAGCGTAACGGTTTAACTTGTGACAGAGATTAAATAGTAAAAAAGACGTTTGAATAACTCTTTGGATTGGAGTATAATACAAAAAGAAAAAGAAAAAAAAAGGGGGGGGGAGGTAGGAAAGGCGGATAGATATGAAATGAAATAAAAAAAGATAAAAAAGTGGAGCCTTTAAAAATCACCTTTTCACTCTATCCGCTCAAGGTTTTTTTTTTTTTTTTTTTCCAGCTGTTCAAAGTGCCCCAACTTCAAAACGAAGCACCGCTTTGTTACAGAGCACACCCAGTACCCCATGAATCACCAGGAAACCACCCGAATATGGGTATGGAAAAACAACGACAAAAGAGTTCCATTTGAAGCAACGTTCTTTTGCGTAGCAAAATTTAGGCCACTCCGGTAGCTCATTTATGAGAACATGGGCGATCCTTAGCGTTATGTAATCCACTTCGCGGTTTGGACAGTAGTTTGAATGCAATATGTTAATTGTCATGGTGGTATGCACTGTCGTTGTGACGACCATGAGTGACCTTTGGTCTCCATGGCATTTTGAAGATACCATTTGACAAGAGTAATGAACAGGGGAGTTGGCCGCAAAAGGTATCTTTCCTGCCTGAATTGCTGGAAAGCTTCCGACAGCAAGCGGCAGTGCTCCGATAGTTGAGGCACCAATGTGCAACAAAAAACACAGTAAAGCGTGCTATCGGCGTAACACGGTTGGTAGGGCGACATGCTTCCATTAACAACAGTGACACTTGAGCTCGGCTGGCATCTCGGTGCTTTCCGTCGTCGTCATACTTGTGTTCATTGAAACTTTTTTTTCTTGTTCTCTTTCTTTTTACGTACTGATCTGCATCAATCGTTCGTCATTAACATTGAATAAACAATAACTGGTATTACCTTATGTCCCCTATAGAGGCTCTTTCATGGGGGGTAAACAAAAAAAAAAAAAAAAAAAAAAGACCATCGGCTCTAAAAAAGAATTGACTTGTTATAGTTAAAACAAAACAAATATTAACCTCAGCCGAACGGTGGGAAAATCAATGACTTTCTTCCATGATAAAACACACAAAGAACGTTGCTGGTCACACCAGATACCTTCGTTCCTTTAGCAATTTCAGTATCCCTCTCTCACTCACTGCATGTCTCTCTCATTTTTATGTGCACCAACTTGCTGCTGTTGGTTTTCTAGCTCAGATCCATGATACCATCTTTTTCTTTTTCGGGCAACGTTACGCTTGTCTGGTTCTTGTTTTCCGGTCTCTCTCCTTTTTTTGTTTTTAGTCTTGCCTAAACCTAGTGAACCATGCTTTCAGAAACCAAAAGGCGATCATGGCGATACTCCACAGATTAAAAATTGAAAACACTCTCGAAAATAGCATGTTCGCAACGCAGGGACATTAAAAAGCATGCAATGTGTTTCACATCGGTGGGGTGTACTTTTGCCGTACAGCTACATTCTTCCGTAAAGTGGATGTTTTGCGTAATGGAAAAAAAACCCCAACAACCGTAAATGAAAAAGGGTAGCAATAAAGATATACGTATGTATTAAGCCAATTCAAAAAACAACAACTACAACAACAACCGTTCTTTTTCCCCTATTTCCTGTTAAGCTTTCAAATCTCTGTAAACCCAACCGCCTTCACCACCCATGGTATCAACGAATTTATGATCGGATTTGGCCAAGATCTGTTCCCGAAGATCGCCGTATTCTTCTTTACCGGAAATGGCCTTGAAATATTGAGGTTCCCAGCTCTCATTGTTATTTTCACGTTCCTTGCGAAGAGCGCGTTGTTCATTTTCAATGATGGATTTCTCAGCGGATGCTTTAGGATAATCACCGGCCTTGAGGGCCTCTGACACTTTTTGCCACACACGACGCGATTCCAGTTCGTTCTGTTCAGCAATGGGTTTCACGATCGCTTCCGACTTTTCCAAAGCCATGATGTCCAAGAAAGGAGCGGGCGATTGCTTGTATTTCGTAATCGTGGATTTACCCGTCCATTGACCTTCAATCACCGTAGGTCCAGCAAGGGATTCGTGACTGATGGAAGCTTTGAAGTGATGAAGCTCGCCAGAAATCCAGCCCTTGGTAGAATATTCGATCGCCGCATGATAACCGGTGGAGGATTGTGCATAAGAAGTACCGTACAATTCAACATAAGGAGCTGGTAGATAAATGTAAACAAATCCCATCATGAGTATACATACTGGCCTTTCTTTTTTTTTCTTTCTTTCTTCACAGCACTTACCAGCATACCAGATACCGTTCACAGACAGTGATGGGAGGGTGAACAAATAAGTTTCGCCAAGTTGGGTGAGTTTCACAGTGCAGTAACCAATTTGATCCACGAGCATCTGAGTACCAGAGAAACGCGTCTTTTGACCATCATGACCATTGACGACCACACCGGCTTTTTGATTCTCGATGTAAAATCCAGACACGGGAGGATGATGCGATACTTGTTCGCAAACAATTCTTGTACCATCTTCCCAAGAACAATGGAATTGTTCACCAATAATTGGATTGAAAGGTTTCTTTTCCCATTCACCCTTGGGCACACGGCTGGAGAAGGAGCCGTTCAAAGAGGAGATGAACCATTTGACAGCCGCATAGAATCGTTCCTCTTCACTTTCCGAGCTGCTAATAGCAGAGAGCTAGAATAACCATTATGCTTTCCCATTAATAAAATACGCTTCGCAACCAATATCATCCTATTTTTCGTCCTACCAATGAAGGTTGATCAGCCCAGAAAGCACTGTAATAAGGGCACGCAAACAGAAAAAGGTATGGTTAGCATATGGAGGATGCTCACTCGTTGTTTCCTCAACCCAAACCCACATGGGGTTCTTTCCAAAGGGGCTTTTTCCCACCCATTGTCGTTTTTACCGCCATAGGGGTATATTTTGTTATCATGTGATACACTTACGAGTACTCCAGGAGAGAGATGGGGGCCAACAAGAACGAGGGACATGTCAAGCTGGAAAGGTCACCTGTGAATGAGGCAAGGGTTTTAAGAAAGGACGAGAAGCTTCCTTGCTGGTCTACGGGAATGCTTTCAAGCTTGTTTTCAGAGGTCATGGAGTGCAGAACAAAGTCAGTGGCCCAAAAAAAGGGGGAAAAAAGACGGAAAGATAAGTGTTGGCAAAAGAAAGTGATTGTATTGGCTGTGAGTGATCAACATTTTTTGACTTCTGTTTCCACGAAAAAAAATTTGAATCCCAATCTTTATTTTATTGCGCGCTCCTATGCCTGACAGTTTGCTTTTTTTGGAATATAACAACAAGCACTTAGAGCTGCTGGGCTCGCCATGCCCAAGATTCATCGGCACTCATGTCCTCTTCGTCTTCATCCTCATCTTCTTCCATATCGTCAAACACCGCTACGGGTTTCTTGGCAGGCGCCTTCTTCAGAATATCGCGTACACTGGATTTAAGATACGACCGAATCTCGGCGTCTTTATCATCAAAGTCCACTCGCCGTAACGGTGACAACGGTTTCGGAACGCCTTTCTTTTCTCGAAGTTTCTTTAGCTCTTCTACACGCGCATCAAACTCGGCTTGCTGTTGTCGTAAATCCTCATTACGGTCGAACCAAAATTCTTCATCGTCTTCCTCGCGCATCTTTTCCGTTTCTTCCGTTGTCTCCACCATCATTTCCCTAAAAGCTTCATAGTCCTCTTCGATCGCGGTCTCCATTTGCTCACTCGGTGCAGGTTCTTTACGAATCCGCGCCTCTTCCTCTGGATCATCAAAAAAGCCGCTTGGAAGACCACCACTAGGTTTTTCCACGACTGTTCCTGACACGGCTACCGATGAAGGTTCTCCTTCCACCTCGACCGATGTTTCTGTTGCAGGTACAGATGTGTCCTCCATAGGCGCGGCATCAAAAAAGTCAGCTGGCAGTCCAGACGATTCTTCTTCCTCCGCCTCCTCCTCCTCCTCCTCTTCTTCTTCTTGCTCTGCTGCCGCTTGATCTTGTTCATCATATCGTGCTCGTTTTGAGTGCACAACGTCATTGGGCTCATCATTAGCTGGAGCTACACGTTTTCGTTCGTCAGTCTGCGGTTTTAACGGGGCGGCTCGGTCTCTGGCTTGTTGTTGTTTCAATGCTCTAAGTCTATTTATGCTTTCTTTATGCGATGCGGACACCAAGTGGGATGGCCAGATGGCCTCGCTTTTCACCACCGCATTGCATACCACACAGATAAGGCGGCCTTGTGTATCGTATTTGGCAAAAGGGTGCTCTATCTTTTTCGTCTTTTGTCTTTCTGTACGTTGTTGTTTCAGCAGCCGACGGACATCTTTTGGGGGCATATTGGAAGTAAGAGGAAGGACAGTGGCTCGCTTTTTTGAGACACAGCCTCACGCAGGAAATAGAGGGTCAATGTGACTAGACAATTTAGCTGTCCCCAGCATCGTCTGTCTCTGGCCTGCCCGCAATTCAACCAAACCAAGCATAAAAAGTAAGGCATTTATTTAACTTCTGTGAATTGACGCACCCATCATAATTACAAACAGATGTAATATACGATCTGATCGATGTATCGTTACATTGTATAGTCGCTGAGAATGTATATCTCGTCGTGTAATGGTGACCAACCTATTGTCACTGTGGTTTACTATAGACTGCGCTGCTTCTCTATATAACTGACTACTGCGTGCACCCCATCTAACACCAATAGCAAGAAGCCGCAAGAAACAATGCTGTCATCCATCAGCAACAATTTTTTGTTGGGATGCATGAAGCGTCAAATTAGGTGGCTTCAGCTGCTGTGACCAGCTTTACTCGAAGGTGGAGACGGACCTCCATTTTGCTGATTTCGAGCACAGGCTTTTTTTTTTCGTCTCATAAAGACGTTCCTTTGATTCAACTATGCCGAACGAGGATTCCGACGCATTCAATGTGAACAATGTGTTCACCGATGTTCCCCTGAACAACGATGATACCGAGAAACCAGCAAAGAAAAAGTCTAAAAAGTTGTCCGAGGAAGAAAAGGAGAAACAGGTGCGTTTTCTACTGATCCAACTTTTCTGTGATCTGCAGTGTACTCACTATATCATCCTGCTTACAGCGTAATATCAACCGAGAAGCCCGAGAAAAGAAAAAGAAACTGAAAGAAAAGAACAAGAAACGCAAGGTATATTGCTTACACTTTTGAAACTATTTGAAGAAGACTTTGTACTTAAATCGACATCATGTAAATCGTAGAGAGGCGAACAAGTCAGTGACGACAGTGATGCTGAGGACCAGGGATCCCAGGAAAAAGAGGGTGACGAGAAGACTGCGAACGGGGATGCCGAGAAGCCTGCAAAGAAGAAATCCAAATCTGATGGAGGCGCCAAGAAACCCAAAAAGGACGAACATGGTGTCTGGGTAGGCAATCTTGCCTTTAGCACGTCGAGCGACGATATCAAAAAGTTCTTTTCCGACTGTGGAGACATTACACGCATCAAATGCCCCAAAGGCGATGGTCCCAAGAAGCAGAACAAAGGGTATGTTGACAGGATAGATCTCGGACAATTGTCTTTGGTAGCATGACAGGTACTAACGATAATCTACGTCTTTCTTTTCAGATTTGCCTATGTATTCTTTGAAAATGAAGATTCAGTAGCGAAAGCTGTGGAGAAATCTGAACAGACTTTGGATAAACGAGCACTACTGATCAAGGACGCGAATAACTTCGAACGTAAAGATGGCTTACCTGCCGCCAATAGCAAGGAGGGTAGCAAAGCCAAGAAGGAGATTCAGAAACAAAAGAACCCGCCCTGTCCTACCCTTTTTGTTGGCAACTTGAGTTTCGATACGAAACGAGAAGCGCTTCAAGAATTGTTTGCCTGGGCCGGTGATATTCGCAAAGTGCGCATGGCCACTTTTGAAGATTCAGGAAAATGCAAAGGGTGAGTGACATTTTTGTGTGCTGCCGGATTGTTTATTTCTTTGACTGTAGCTAACAGGATCACTGGAATATAGTTTCGCTTACATCGATTTCCATACGGTAGAATCGGCTACCAAGGCGATTCGTGCTCCCGATAAACATACCTTGGATGGTCGCAAGTTGCGAGTCGAATTTGGCAGTGCGGAAGCTCATATGCGCAGTAAACCCTGGCTCATGCGCAGGAAGGCCACGGGTCAAGACACTTCAGAACGCCAACAAGCACCTTCCGACGATACATCTGCAGAGGCTACAGAGGACCCCCAGCAATCTCAAAGACAAGAACAAAATGAGTCCTTTAAACAACAACGATTACAACGAAAAGAAGCCAAGGCAGCTTCACGTCCACCAAAGTCTAATGAACGCGTCAAACCAGGTCAGGCCCTATTCTCCGCCCAACGACAAAAACCAACCGTTCAAGAATTCAAAGGCACCAAGATTGTGTTTGGCGACGATTAATCAGCTTGGGAGATATTTTTTTTTTATATCATGCAATCATTTACTCATTTCATTGACGTGTTTACATTTTTGATTTCACTTTACTCCTTTCTTTTTTTTTTCTTCATGCATCCTCCCATTTTTTCACAATATCATTATCGTTTCCATTGCTGAAAGAGCGTTGTCGCTTTCCTAATCGGATCCGTTCGTAATCACTTGGTACTGTCAATGCTGCATTGGGTTCCAAGGCATGATTGCTCTCCACAGGCGCAATACCCTTCATCAGTTGTCTAAAAGCTCTTTGGATCGCCGTGATCTTTTCCGGTGTTCGTGTAAACACGCGAATAACCACTTCTTCAAACTGGGATGGAATCATGTAAGATACTTGTTGCTTTGGAATCGTGAAGGACGCTACGATGAAAACATCCAGTTACTATTTACAAGGAGTCACACTTCATGGAACATAAGTCAAGGACTACTTACTGTTGTCATCAAACTTTGAGAAAAACCGGATCGAGTCTACAGGATTACGATCTTTCATGGCATAGTTGATTTTGGTCCAGCTCACAATCACATCGTTTTCTTCCAAATTGTCCCCGTTCTTTTGATAGGATACAATTTCTTTCGCACTAACCATATCCTATACAGTAACATCAATTTCTATCCTTCAACCAAGTTTCTGATAAGCATCGCTTATTTTTTTTTTTTTTTTTTTTTTTTTTTTACCTTGTTAAGATGCGACACAAGCTCAGGCGGTACCAGAAACTCATCCACAAATTTGTACAGGTTGCGAGTACGCAGTCGCTTGATAATGGCTCTTGCTTCTGCCAACTCGGTTGTTTTTGATCGCTCAATGATACCAAGAATACTGTCTGTCAAATTCATGTAATCTTCCGGATTTTGTACAGCTTGTGAGATATCCAAATAGGGATCTATAGCGTAGTAGATTCGACGAGATGCTCATGAGATTGTACGCCATCTATCAGTAGTACTAATTTGTTAACGTACCAGCACTTAACAACGCATCTGTGATCATCAATTCGATTGCTTTTCCTATTTCGACCGATAAATAAGGTTAATTTCTTGGCCTTGTTCATAAAAATGACAACATAATTGCTTACCCACGCGATGGGTGTAAATTCGCTTGAATAAACTGTAGCGAGTGTGGAACATTTCGTAGAGATTATAAACCTCCTTGTGATGGAAACAAATTTCGTTATCGACCACACGACTGTAGACGAGCAATCGCTTGGCGTCGTAGGAACTGCGTAATCCAAGATTTTGAGCATCGCGTTCAATATAATCAAATTTGTCAACATCGACGCTGTTCTTCTTGTTGGCCACAATATCGAACAAAAATCCACGTTCCGTAAATTGGCTGTCAAGTCACCCATGTCAGTGTGAAGTTGTTCTTTCCTATTCTCGTTGCAAAGCCAGAATACCTAGAGGATCTCGGAGCACCTGCGATTAGGTCCTTGATCAAATTGATATTTTCTCGCTCCAAATCAATGTGATTATCATCAATCATATACTCGAGCATCATTTCCGATGCTTCTTCATGCGACCACTGAAATCCAGGTCTATCAAGAAATCAATTATCAGCAAATAGTTTTTGCTGCTATCAGTTTGTTTTGTATCCTTACCGCGCACGTGGCATGAACTCGTTATCAAAAATGTGACTAAATGGACCATGTCCTGTAAAGCGCAAAATTGCGGTTAATCTTGTGTTACCGTAATTAGATGTCACAAAACTTGCCCAAGTCATGGCATAAACTGGTAAGAGAACAAAAGGTGGTATGAGCAATCATGTGGCATGATATCTTTCAATTTGGTATGGTTACCCCGCCAATTTCACACATTTCACTTCATCTTCTGTAATATTCAGTTCAGGCTGATCTTGTTGGAACCGTTCAATTAATGTTCCAGCCAGGTGCGATACGCCTGTGGGAAAGCAATAAAAATCATGCACTCAGCAATTTCTCTCTTTGATATCCAAGTTTATCATTCTTTTACCGATGGAGTGTTCGAAGCGGTTATGGCTTGCCCCGGGGAACACAAAGTAAGCCGATCCAAGCTGGTGTCGGGAGAATGGCGCACTTGAGTTACTCCTCCATTGTGGTCAGTTTCAGTTCGAGAAATTACCTGCTTCAGATCGCGCAATCGCTGAAATTGTACGGTATCGATCATGTCCACGGTATAATTATCCAGTTTGATATGGCCCTGCAAGTCACGAAATAACTAATGTCACCTCACGAAGTCCGGGAATAAGAAATGTCATTTGCACATGGCTTACATGAATAGGATCGTTAATGACTTTATGTCCGGTAAAAAATGGGTTCGAAGACTGCTTTTGCAGTACACTGTCATGAGTGCAAACAATGTCGTCAATCGCCATGCGGTAACTTGAATGAGAAGAAGCGAGAAGAAAAAAAAAGGCGCGATTAAATTAAAATCCGTGGAATCGAAACACACATAAATCTTCAATGACTGTTTCGGAGTCGGAATTCAATTTCGTCTGTGCGTCATGGATCAAGAACAGACGCCCACGTTCAAAATTGACCCACTGTTGTTTTTTCTACTTGCTTCTAATGTCAAGTCCAAAAAAGATTGGGTAATAGAAAGCACTGTTATTTACAGAGATGGTGTTCCCCAAAATGCATTATATTTTTCGCTCATTGCAAGCGGCATGTGATCCCTCCTATGCATACTGATATTGTCGTGTTCAAGATAAATTATTCTTTTGTTCACCAAGGTACAGGACCAATGATAGTCCAATCAGCATTTGAGACACAGCTGTCTTCTTTAAAAATAGGGGCAACGACCCCCTGCCGGCCCCCGAGAAGGTTGCTGGCTCGAGACGAAGCAATGCATAACACTGCCAAGTACCCGCGGTTTCACATGGTCTTTTGCGGCTGATCCAAGGGGGAAATCAATGCCCACGTATAAAAAGAGAGATAGGTCTATCCCAAGACATAGCGATCAACCAAGGTCGGATCAAAACTGTTATAATGCCACTTTATTCTTTGATACTAAGGGTCTGCGGTAATGGAGTTAATTATTAAGAGCCGTGTTGGTAAGCCATCGGCTAAAGAAGTCTAACGCATTGGCAGGCTGATCATAGGGTACCTGCAGATCGAAGGAAAAATACATGAACAAAAAGATTTTTAGCTGAAAGATCAATATTAGCTTACCATATGACCGGCGTCAAAAATGCGTAGAAAAGTCAAATTATTGTGTGAGCGTACTTCGCCCGCTTTTTCGGCCGTCACCCAGCTTGTCCACGGTTCGTCTTTCGCGTTATTGTAACCCTCTTTTCCAGGCCATTCCATGTTGAGTGACCATGCCTTATTACCCATCCTAATAGTAATCCGATCATTGGTTTTTTAGAGACAAATCGTTGCAGCGGTTTTGATGTGGCTCTCACGCATTACCAGTTACAAATCCAATCCATGTCGCCTACATAGAGAAGAACGCGCACTCCTTCACTGAGGGTTCTCACGACTTGGGGCGAAAAGTCCATGGCGCTGCGATTCATCGGTTGAGTCAAATATACAAGCACATTTGCTTCGTTTGTGTATACACTTACGGATCGCCAGCTTGACTGAAATAGTAACCGACGGGGTCACTGCAGGTGGAAAAGTTGCCCGCTTGGGGATCCACTCCGAGTTCACTTCTCACATCTTCGCGATTGGCCCACAGAGCAATTTTATCCATGATATCATAACATAAATCTCCATGGCATTCCGCACGAATATCATAAGGATTTCGCTTGCCGTCTGGTGAGTAAGGCGATTCTTGCGAGGTCTCGCAGTAATAGTTGGCAGGAATGCACGTCAGCGACGAAGGGTAATTGTAACAAGCATCCATCAACTTCTTGCAATGCGGGTACGTATCCTTCATTTTCTGACATGTGGCTTCATCGAACAGAGGCTTATCTATTAAATTAATGTTAGGTAAGCATCACGAAGCCCGATGATAAACAAACAAGTCGACGGAAAACAGAAGAAAAGTATTTGTTATCTGTTATCTTGATGAACTTTTTACGCAAGCAAATCATTTGCAACAAAAATAGTCAAAACTGAAATATCAAAGTTCACTTACACTTATTATCCCGAGTACATCCGTATTCCTCGTAGTATTTGAACTGGGTGCGTGGTTCGGTCCAGCCATTGCCAATCAGCATCGATTCAAAGTTAATAAGCAAACGACCTTGTTCCTCGGCAAATTTGTTGTTTTTGGTAATCTCGTCTGCCAATGCAGGCAGATAATGGCCGCCTGGGGGTCAAAAAAAAAAAAAGAATAAGGATGAGTAAGTCAATGCCAAGGGGAGTAAAAAAAAAAAAAAAAAAACCGTGATTTCCAGTTTCTGCAGGAAGAGAAAGAGGACTTACCATAAGATTCACCTGCAATATGGAACGGATTATCGGCATACTCCTTAAATTCTGAGAAAAACAACTGCAAAAATGCGTAAACATCATGCGCTGATTCTCGAGAATCTCTAATTTTGGATTTGCCGTAGCTGTAGCCGACGTTCACAGGCTGATCCAAAAAGATCATATTGGATACCGTATTCCAGCTGTATGGATTGGTTTCGGTGTTGTTACCATCCTTATTGACCTTGCAGGGACTAGCGACATGATGCAGATCAGAAACCTAAATCCGGTTCCACAATGGCGTCCATGACGGGAGTGTATAACCTAAGCTTACCCTAATTCCATCCAAAGACCGGCCATTGATGAACATCCGGGTCCGCCGTTCAGCCACAAAACCACAGGATCCGTTTTCGGAGCGGTACGCGATTCAAAAAACCAAAAGAAAAGATGGTCATCCGTTTTTAAATTATCGATGTAACCAGAGTACTGTTACAAAAAGTGAAGCATGCAAAAAAAAAAAAAAAAGAGACGAGAGAAATTAAAAAAAAAATTCAAACGAAGAATTTCGTTGCGACGGTAACAACATACTTGGACACCTTGTTCGCAGCTTTGAGGTTGTTTTACTCGGACAGCATAGTCTTTCACTTGTTGGTTGGTCAACAAACGATATCCTTTTGCCTGCAGAGCCGAGGGGGAATGCAATGACGGTTGCAACATGTGGTTGGTTCTCAGGGCTACATCGTCAAGAAAATCCGAGGTGCTCATATCATAAAACTGGAGCGAAGCATGGGCCACGGTGACGGCACCCAGCAAGGTGCCGACGGCGAACAGTTTTCTCGAAAAGCGCATATAGAAAAAAAAAAAAAAAAGAGGAAGACCCGTGTGCAAAACGCCAACGGAGAGAATCTTCCTTCTTGTCCTGACGTAACACTAACAAACAAAAAAACCCGTTTTAAGGCCTCGGGATGGATGAACATTCATGTCCGACCTCATGGAAGAAACAAAAAAAAAAAATCTATCGTATTTTTGGTCCCTTCTTCAATGATTTGTTGTATAACTTTTTCTCTTTTTTTTTTCTTTCATAAACTTAAATTAGGGGAGAAGAAATCAGTGCAAGTTCGTTGTCTAGTATTTACAAGAGTGCTTTTTTAATGCTCTATCGATAAGAATGTTTCGATAATCATCAACAACCAAATAAACCAATAAAGAGTGTCATCAAAAAAAGGAAAAAACTTATGCTACCGCCGGTCTATTGGATAGCCACAACTCCATCCTTTTCCTTACGAAACCATCTACAATCTATTTCGGGTCCGATTTCAAGGCAGCGTATTCATCGAATAATCGTTTCGCTTCATTTTCACGACGATGACGGTGATGAATTCGGATCAACGTACGATACATGGAGTCGAGAGGGGCCAATTGATATACTTGCTTCATAAAGTTCATCAGTGTTTCGGCGGTTTTTGGTCGACGACGCTTCAGAGCTTCCAGTCGGAAAATGTGGTTGAACGTGATGAGATTCGGTTTGATAGATGCCTTTTCCATGTCCGCAAACGCCTGACGAGCGGCTTCTGCATCTTCATGTATACAATACCATCGAATCAAGCCGTTATAAATATCCAGATTAGGAGTCACACCATACTTTGGCATCATGGTTTTATAAATGTGATTGATGCCTTGAAGGTTGCCTTGCCGTCCGTGAGCATCAATGAGGGAGGAGAAAGTGGCAACGGAAGGTCGTGGTATGTTGGACGCTTTCTGTGCGAATCGTCGTACGGGTGATAAGCGTAGAGCATACGACAATTGTGATGCATCTTTAATACCGGGTTCCTGACCAGCGTTGACAGGATTACGGAAAGCCTCGACAAAAACTGCATCCGCTTCTTTCAAATTGCCCAGTCGTCCTTGAGCCTCGATCAACATGTTGTATGTGAACGCATTAGGTGGTACACCGGTGGCTTTCATTGAATTTAAAATGGCAAATATTTCTCCAGGTTGGTCGCATTGGATAGCGGCACGGATATAAGCGTTGTAACAATGACGAGACGGTCTGAGTTGACTCGAGAGGTCCTTCCAAAGTTGTTGGCACGACGACCAGTCCCCAATACGACCATAGAAACCCAGTAAATGAGCATAATCACGATCGTCCAAATGTTGATTCAGTGACTTCATGCTGGCGAGCACAAATGCCAATCGTTCTTTCAGGGTTGCCACCTCTTCAGGACCGTAGGATAAAAGATTCTTGATACGGAATGACCGTAATGCGGAGGAGTGATATTCGGCAGATAATTCAGCAAGCTCATCGCGATCGTTGAGATTAATATAGGCATTCCATACACCTTCTTGGTCGTATTTCATGATCGCATTGAGCAATGGCCGGGCCGTGGCCGAAGGGTACCTCGTCATTCGTAAGCGTCGCACATCAAACACTCCTCGATGAACATGACGAACCGTCGGTTTGGTCATCAACAGCGCATTGCCTCGGGCGGCCGGTATGATCCCTCTCGAAAATAGTGAAACTACCTTGTTGGACATGGATGGGCTGTTGTGGGTAGTTTCCAAAGTTTTCGGGCAAGGGAGCGACTAGTCGAGTAGAGAAAAAATAACAAAAATTTCCCAAACGACCAAGACAGCCCGAAAAAGTCTAAATTTTATCCAATCATATTTCAAGAATGACGTTGCCGCCTCAGACAGCCCAGCGTTCATGATTTGCTGCTCTTCTTTTCCTATTTGTACGTCCGGTCGTCTTTCGCTTGCATGAGAACAATGAACGATTTTCCCGAGGGATACTTTTACATACAATCGCGCGAATCGGGCAAAGTCATTGACGGTAAGCCATAGGTGTATGCACTCTCTTGGATCGCCGTATAACGAAAAGAACCCTTTTATTGTGCGTATCGGGATCAGTCGACGGAGCCTCGATGAAGGTAGGTGAGCAACGCACCCTCATCGTTCACTCGACTAGTTATATGGACTTTAAGTTTTTGCATAGAATGATGGCAAAATACTGATATGGACCCCGAAACATAATGATGACCGGGATAATCAATTGTGGTATTACCAAGTAAGGGATCGATCGGTCGTCTCGGTTTATGCAATCCCTTCTGATAATTTATCTGCTAATGATAGGATGGCTTCTTGATTAACAAACATTCTGGAAAAGTATTGGATGTTCGAGGAGGCCCTCTGGTTGAAAATGCATGGATTATTCAGTATGATCGCAAGATCATTGCTGATGCGCATAATCAACGATGGGGATACAAAGACGGTTACATTTATTCATTGGCAGAACCGCACCTTGTGTTGGATATTAAGGGTAACTCGATGGAAGATGGGACACGACTGATACTGTATCGAAAAAAGATGGCCTTTCACAACGCAAATCAGCTGTGGGATTTGGTGCCTGCTGGGGATGTTCGTGGGGAAAGAGATGTTCTGTTCGAAGCCGATTTTGACTGATAAAACAAAATCTTATGTCACCCGAGGCAAGAGAAGAAGAAGCCCAATATTCATTGTAACAATATCCATTACCTAGTCATATTTGATCGATTTAGTAGATGCTTTGTCTGATATAACTTGAACTGCGATCGATCAGATCAATGTGGTCTGAGACGCGCCATTCCTTTTTTGCCTCATCCATATCAAATATCATAAAGCCATCATTGCATCCTGAAAGATACTGACTAGCGTGAAATATGACATTACTATGTAAGATGGGTCCTTGCATTGCTGGGATTGATTATCGTCTACCACAGTCTAGTGACATTAGCACCAGTGTGGGCATTAGCAATTCTAGCTCAAAAGCATTAACTGCGAAATGTATATGTGTATAGGATGCTGTTTATTTTCTGTCATGGTCATGATTATCTTTCATGTTCATGATAGTTTTCTGTAAAATATCCCATTCATCAGGTTTGGGCGTGGCGATCTAAAACTTGTCGTTAAACGATCTGTTTTTTGCATAACGCTCAGCTAATTCTTACCTCTCCGATATCGTGGATGTAAACCTTTCCATCACTTGAACCGATGGCTGTTTTGCGACCTTCTGCATCCCATGCCAGTTTATTGAGCGCGTTTCCAGGACCAACAGGTGTGCTGATTAAGGGCTCCTGGGAAAAGAAATGGAGTTGTTTTGAATAAGTGTTTGGCGAATTTTATGACATGTCATTTACCAATCCAAAACTTACTTCCGTATCCGCATTCAGATTCCAGAGATCAAACTGACCAGCACCATCAATAGAGGCAAATAAAGCAGGATGTGATGGAGACCATTTTACGTCATATATGTAGTCATCAGCATCTTCGAAAGAGTGAAGTGGATGAATGTAGGCTAATTCGCTTGATGGTTTGCTGGTAGACTGTTTCATAGGTATTACTTCCAATGTTAGAAAATCCTCTGCCAACCTTTTCTATTTTGGCAAGACAATACCTTGGCATTCCACAGTTTGACTGTCCAATCCACGGAAGAAGTCAAGAACAAGTCCGAGAAATCAATAGGTCCAAACCGTGGATGAAAATGCAGACCCGTGATGGCGCCGTAGTGTCCTCGGTAAATGTCATGTGGGTTGATACCTGCTTTACTAGACGGCGGTGAGTACGTGTCCGTGCCGACAAATTCTCTTGAATAAGATTGCTTACCTTCCTGCACGATCGAATCGGTTGGCTTGGTATATGTTCCCTTCCTCAGTACCTATCCAGAAAGATGTGCTGGCGTGATCATCAGGGAACCCTTTACAGGTGATCGCTACCTCTTCGGTTTTATTGTGAGCAGAATGTTGAAGCTCAAGGTATTCCTAGCCGTAGCCGATCCGTCCCAATACGTGATGTGAATATCCGCATTCAAGCATTAAATTTTTACAGACTTATGCATGCTGCTTACCTGTGGTTGAGCCAACATATCCAATTGCCATGAACAAACAGATCCGTCCGTACTCGCAGAGATCAGAGTGTGAGCATCCTGGCTACCAATCATGTCCAGCGAATAGATCGGATGGGTGTGACCGCCAGCTGACAGTGGGGTTTTCAATACAGGTAATGATTTTGCTCGAGTATCCCAAAGCACAACTTGACCAGAGTAGGTGCCGCCGATCACGTAATGCGAGTGGAATTTACTAAACATCACACTAAGCACGTCGGACTGTGCAGCCCTGATCAATGATACTATCCAAGTGCTTGACATTGATTTTATCGAAAAGTGAACAAGATACCTTACCTGACAGTGAAATACATATTCAGGTTTTTCCGGCGCTTGCAAGTTCCATATGACTGACAATCCATCCGGCTCATTTACTGCCATGACGTTTTTGTTGTAGGACGCCACTACATAGTCAGGGAACTGGCCATCACACGTTAAAAACAGTCTAACAGAGACCACATCGATAGTTCATGCAACCACGACAAAGTTACCTTGGCAGACCAGTCAACGCCCGTCACCGATCTATTCTTGCATAATTTCTCATCCCAGAAATCACAGACCAATTTCACTCGTTTTCCAACTTTTTCATCGCTAGTAGCAACGTTGATTAATGTCACCTTTTTCCAATGAGCGTTGTTCATTGTCTCACAGGCCTACCTATCTACATCCACACCCAGGGTATAATCTTTCATGAAATCATAGGGCTCGTTGAGGGCACGTTCCATGATTCTTGAAGTGGTATCCACAAATTCGACAAAGTCCGGCAAGTCTACTATTTGACTTGCTTCTTCTTCCGAAAGTGCTAATTTTGCGATGTCAGTCAAGAACTACATAAAATAACATCCCAGTTCACTTGCTAAATTACCTCGGTATTCTTTTGGTTTCTTCTTCTCCTCGGCTATACGTCGTTCTTCGGCCAATTGCGCTTGTCGTTCCTTCTCCTTTTGTTCGTATTCTGCCAACACTTGATTCCTAATCTCTTCTTCTGAAAGAGCCGATATATGAAGCGATCCTTCCAATGTCTGAATTTCTTTACTCAGCACCAGTTGTTCCTATACGTTGAAAAAAAAGGCCCCTATAAACTCAGCATGAAATACCGACGTGTTCCTGTTTCAACAGATCCGTACCAAAGGAGGAATGTCTGCAATAATGGCTTGAAATTCATTTAATTCCGGGACATACTGTGGCGTTGCGAGAACTTGGCAAGGGAAAGGGTGGCCGGTGCCAGTATCTCTAGTGATAATAATCCAGTTGGCTACGAGTCGTCGTAATCTCGGAAACAAACTTACGTGCTGGTGATGGGCGTGTCAGGCGAAGAACTGAAGCTGGCGGAAGTAGGTCTTGAAGAGACGTTATCCGATCCACCGTCCGAGCCGTGATCTGAACTCGAGGTTGTAGTGATGGCGGTGCTGGAAGGCTGTTCGCCGAGTACCATTGACACAAGATCATCAATAGCTTTTCTATCCCTATTGGTCGAAATCTATGCATGACAATATTCAGTTACTTGCCCTTTGGGTTCTTGCCCCACTACGAGCCATGCTCTTGGACAACAAGGTTTAAATCTACCAATGGTGGTGGCGGTAATCTCTGTGCTTCCTGAATATGTTTGCGTTCTTCTCGAGCACGACGCAGTTCGGCCAATTTGGCACGTTTCTTCTCCAGCTCCTCTTTTCTACGATCCATTAGTGCTGCATAAGAGGCACACTTAAAGTTTAGCGGTCCGGTTTCCAGGCAGGTCTATTTGTGGACAAACCTCGGGGTGACGTGTTTGACAAAGCATATTTTTGATTATTTGCCTTGGTTTTCATTCTTATGGCTTTCTCTCCCACTTTATGTGAACGCATTGATATTCTGTAAGTCTGATTCACCCAAACGAAGTTTGTTCTTAGATAAACACCTGTTTGCAAGGAATGCAAGCGAGTGGACGTTTAAAGCTGCGCTATTACACTCAAATAATGACTTCCGAGTACCCAAAGTTTTCACAATGGTCATATCACGTCAATAGATTACCACTGTGAATCACTCGACCATTCTATGGGACCATTTCCGTCAGCGATGCCCAAGGCTGTTCGAGGGCACATAAAAGTTCGTTGAAAAAATAAAGTAGCATATTCGCCCAGACAGCGTCAGCATTCACTTTGGCGATTCAACACAAGTTTGCAGAAATATTTTGGCTTCTCCAAATCGCACAGAACAAAACGTCAAGTTCCTTCCTCGAGAAGCTACAACGCATTTTTGCTTTTTTCTTTGCCGGCAAAAGGGTCACAATATCATACAACCGTAGAAACCGTGCTTTTTATTCTCGTAAAAATAACTAAAGTCTCCAATTTACTGCAAAAAGAAAGGAAAAACCGAAGGTTAGTTTTGCAATTCACTTTCCACATTTGTCGAGCTTCGATTTCAAAAATACCTGTTGCATGGCGTCCTTCTTGGCCTTGCGGTCAAGAATAGCTTGACGGCTCTTGTCAACCTTGAGCTTGGTAACGACAACCTTGGAGGGATGAATGCCGATGGGGACAGTGGCGCCATTGACCTTTTCGCGAGTGACACGGTCAATGTGGATAACCCACTTCTTACGGTACACCTGCACGACCTTGCCCTCACGACCCTTGTAGGTGCCACGGACAATCATGACTTCGTCATCCTTGCGAACAGGGATGGATCGGGTGTTGTGCTTCTCCTTGAGTTCCTTGGACAAAGGTGCGCTCATAATCTTGCGGCGGATGCTGGAGGGAGCAGAGAAGTGAGCCTTTCTGCTCTTCCTGCGCGAAGAGCTGACATCTGATCAATCCAATATTTAATATCTTGCATCCATCCATTCATTGTTATCCACCATCTATCTATCTATTCCTTCACGCACCAGCACTGAACTTCATGGTTGAGACGTTGATGTACAAAGGAGGAGCTTCTTTCGTCCGCCACCGAGCTCCACTTTTGGCACCCCTCACTCAAACCCAACCCACCCAAAACGCCCTTGAGCGGAGAAAGTGTTCAAGTCCGGACCGAACCATTCAATAACCAAATAAAGAAATTTCCCATTTTGGCTGGGATCATCCTACGAAGTTTGTTCATAATTGAAATGAGATAAAACGCATAATCATATGCATTTCTAAAGTTTATATTGTCTGGAATTTATCACTAATGTTTCGGCTTGTTGGCTTTTGTAAACGACTTGACTTGAGCTTCCGTCACTTTAAACCATATATAGAAAAAGAAAAGGCAGAGTAAATGCAGCGCAACGATAGACCAGCATGTAGAGGTTGGGAACGGTCCGCTGAAGCGCCACTGGAATGCCACCAAGGCAACCAAGCTATGATATACCATCATACCCATACCTAGCCATTTATAATTACATTTTTGATCTTGGGGGGGGGAAACAACGGTTCATATTTCGCGATGATCAACTTACCCACAGCACGTTTACACGGAAGCATGTCGGGTAATGTGTGGCACAGCAGACTAATGACAGCCGAAGATAAAAGAGCGGCACCATAACCTTGTGCAAGCAGATTGGCAAACTCTTCCTTTATGTTCAGCGCATTCACGCACAAACTCGGGGCCAAGAAGAGCAACAGACCCAAAGATCCTTCAAGGAAGCCGTGCTGGACAAGTAGCAAACGTAAGCCATCTGTTCCTCGAATCATTCTGCATTGCAACACGTTACAAGGGCAAAAATAATACTAGCTGTCACCATGAGTGATTGGTCGTTGTGTAAAGAGTTGTAAAGAAGTGAAGAACTCGAGCAGGCATATGGTACACAATTTTTGGGGGTGGTTGAAACTTATCCCACAAGATCCGCAAGAACCTTGCAAATTTAATCGGATATTCAACCTGTATTTGACATCCAATCACTAAACGTATACACAAAGGAGAGATACAAGGAAAAACTAACTACAGTTTATACGGTTACATACAATTCTCGAATATTATAAAATTTACAAATTTAAGCATCCTGAAGTTGAGGCATACCCTCACTGGGGGGATTGCTGAACTTGGTGGCAATAAACACCTTCATCATGCCGGCATCTTTCTCGTCAAAGCGCTTGTAAACCTCGGCAATAGAATCCAAGTTGAAACGATGGGTCAAGATCACAGTAGGATCAAACTAAAAGCCTCCATGTGAGCCCCAAGCAAAAATCCATGCGAATAACTAGCACTTACGGTTCCATCCTGGATATGTTTGAGACACTCATGCCAATGACGCTGAATAGGTGCTTGTCCGCAACCGATTAATCGGATACCTAACAATTAGACATCATGATGACATATTAGCGACACCTATTACATATCGGGATTATGTTCCGTGAAAAAAAGCTTACCCTTTTCCATGAGAGCGCCAATCAAGAAATGGTTGGTGTAACCGGCATAATCGGCAATGATACCAATGGTACCAAACTTGCGAACACTGCGAAGGCATTCATTGATGATATCAGAAGCATCGGTTTCCAGTCCGACGGCACGCTCCACCTTGTGTACGATCGATTTCGTGTAGCGGAAACCGGCGCAGTCAATGACACGATCGAGTCCACCTGACAGTTACAATTCAATGTTAGTGACTTTTACAAATAATGAACATCAATTTTTTCCATCACTTACCGGGAACAATCTTGTTGACGTGTTCAGAGACATTGCTGATTTCATCGAAATTGACAGGTTCGGCACCCCAGCGTTGTTGAGCAAGGTGAAGACGAGCTTCCACATTATCCACGAGAATAATACGCTTAGCCTTGAACACATTACGTAACCATTGCACAACATGAAGACCGATGGGACCGGCGCCCCACACACCGACCGTTTCACCTTCGCTGCAACCGGCATCCCACACGGCGTGATAAGCAGTGCAAACAATGTCCGACAAGAAAAGAGCCTTCTCATCGATGACAGAATCAGGGACCTTGATCAGGTTGTTATTGGCAAAAGGAATACGAGTGTATTCGGCCTGACCACCAGCAAATCCACCGACAAAGTGAGAATATCCCATAATGCCACCCGTCTTCTGACCATACAATTTTTCTTCCACGGAACTGTCGTTGGTCACTTCGCAGGAGGTGTACAATTTCTTCTTGCAGTACTCGCAGCTACCGCACGCAATGTTGAAAGCGGCCACCACACGGTCACCGGGCTTGACAGCAGTGACATCTTCGCCCACTTGATCGACAATACCCATCAATTCATGACCAAGAATATCGCCGTCCTTGAGTTGCAAAATTTCGCCGTGATACAAATGCAAATCGCTACCGCACACAGTGGTGCCGGTCACCTTGATGAGAGCATCTTGAGGATCGGTGATTTGAGGAACCGGCACGTTCTCCAGTGCCACCTTTTCCTTGCCATGCCACACGCACGCTTTCATGGTACGCTTCTCAGACTTGTTCTGGGAATCTTGGTTGGCAGTAGCGGTGGGCTTGGCACCCATTTTGTCTTGAGCAAGGTTAGCAGCTGCGTTCATAGTGATAGTTTATTTGTCTGCTTCTTTTTTTTGGAGTAGATGTGTAAGGAAAGAGAAGAAAGGAAACAAAGGAATATATATAAAAAAAAACAGTACAAGAGAGGAATTATGCGCACATTGACACCTATTTATTGGATAGCGTGGGGTTATCTGAAACATGAGCATGAATCGACGTCAATTCAAGATCATCATTTGGGGACTTCATTGGCAGCCCGCATACGCAATTCTTCGAGGAATCGTTCTCTGCGGAGATAAGCTGTGGTGTACTGAACCAGGTTTTCGGACACAGGACGATGAACCGAAGCCGATGGCGTGGTTGCCGCAACACTTTCTTCCTCGTCTTCGCTGTCGGAGATATCCTCAAATGCAATACGATTGGATGCAGTAAATGCTAAAATACCATTTTCCTTGATGCGCAATTGCGCCAATTCTTCCTCGACATCCTTGAGCTCAATATCTTTCCAAACAATATCTCTTTCAATATCGGATACAGCACGATGTAAAGCGTACAAATTGGGAATTCTATGAGAAAAGATATTGGGTAAGTCTACATGAACCACCCGCAAATCCATGCAACTTTTGACTTACTCTGTAGCTCGCTCCTTTTTCGCTTTCGCTCGCTTCTTGGAATCATGCACTTTGCTTTCAAGATCGGCGAGCAGATTGCCATAAGCGGAAGAACGATTTTCCAAACGCTCGAGACTACTTTGTGTTTCCTCGTCCAAAGGTCTTTCTTTGGCGATTTTTACCAGTTTAGGATCCTTGTCCATGGGCATAAACTTGTTGATATCTTGCTCTTTGCGACGCACTTACACAGGAGAAAAGAATTGAGCTTTTCTTGTCATTGTGTTGATCACTGTCACTGTCGCATGATGACTTACATTTGAGGATATTGCTATCCAGGCGTTCAATGGTTTCTTTCATTTCCTTGACTTTGGGCCATGCCCTGTTGACATCACTCATCATCTCTGAGACCACGCTCGGGACATCCTTGGCATCTCCCAGTGCCCATTTTTGATTCGCAACCCGCAAATCAGTCGCCGTCTTGGATTTAACGTTTGTCTTCTTTTCCTCTTCAATGGTCTGAGCTAGCACATGGTAACGGATCGAAAGCTATTTTTTTTTTTACTATAATCAGCATTGCGTTCAACGCAACCATGAATTTGTCCTATGCTTACATCTTCAAATTCTTCCATCACTGTGAAATAGAGTGATTCAAATTCTCTAGCCATTCCCTATGAAATCGAAAAAAATAGAAATTAATTGATGAATATAGAGCGCTCATTGATACGGGAAACTGAATTGTCATACTAACTTCCTTTGCTGTGAGCTCGTATTTTTTTTTAGACTTAGCTGCTTCTTCTTCCTTTCCTGCGGTTGTTGTAGGAGCAGCGGGGGCGGCTGAAAAAGGAGCTCCGGCTGCCTGTGGGGCCGATGCTGGTGTAACGGAAGCAGGAGCGGCTTTGGCAGGCGCCGATTTCGGTTCAGGCATGAGTGGACTGGGCTTGCTTTCACCAAACAAAGGTTTGCTGGGCTCGGATTTCGGCTCTTCAGCACGAGGGGTACCCAAGGCAGATCCGAAACCGCTGCCAGTACCGATGGTGGTGGTTGAACCAAACAAAGGTTTGCCTGTTGTGGCACCGAGGGAAGTAGTTGAACCAAAGGCTGGTGCGGGCGAGGTCGATGCCAGTGGTGTGGTGGAACCAAAAGCGGGTTTAGCTGTCGTCGATCCAAGGGTCATCGTTGAACCGAAAGTGGGGGCGGCTGTCGTGGCTCCCAAAGTACTGGTGGAGCCGAACAATGGTGCACCTGCGGTCGTACTGGGAGCAGATCCTAAAGAGGATTTCGCGGCAGCACCAAACAAAGAAGTCGATCCAAAGGCAGGTACTGATGTTGCTCCGCTGGTGGTCGTGGTGGTAGCAGCAGGTTTGGACGGACTCGACGAGCCAAGGGCGCTCACGGATCCAAAGAGAGGTGTAGCAGATGATTCCGTTCCACTGGGAGGGCCGAATGCCGATTTTGTGCTGCTCAAGCCAAGACCACCGGATGATGCTGTGCTTGCTTGTCCAAAGATAGAGGACGGTTTGGTTGCATCGACATCAGCGGATGGTTTGGATAAATCTTCTTTGGGCTCGGTTTTCTCTGGAGCAGCTTTGTCCTCAGCAGCCTCTGCCGGCTTTGCGTCGTCTGCGGGACGACTATCGACGGGTTCAGCTGTTTTTTTGGATTCCTTGGTTGCTGTTTCGGCCGGCTCCTGTTTTACTGTAGTTTTTTCAGTCGTGGTTTCTGGAGCGGACGGTTTAGAAGTCTCTTCTGTCTTCTTTTCTGTTCCGAAAGAACCGAATAAAGGTGTTTGCTTGTGTGTCGCCGGGGCCACTCCAAAGGCGAAGGAGGTGGATCCGAAAGCAGGTACCGACGTTTCTGATTTCTTTTCCGTCGTTGCACTACCAAAAGCGCCAAAGCCAGTGGACCTTAATGTAGGTGCCAAAGAGGGAGATGACTGTTTTTGGGTCGTTTGACCAAAGCCGACAGGGGTAGGCGCGCCAAACGTGGGGACGCTTGGAGAACCGAAAGTGGGAGTACCCATGGAGGTTGTTTGAGGACCAGTGAGAGAAGGTACCTTTTGTGACGAACCCAAGCTGCGGAAGGAAGGAATCTTCACATCTGCAGGCGCGCCAAATGCACCAGGACTTGAGCTCGTGTTACTGGAAGAGTTTGACAAAAGGTCAGCGAACGAGCTGGAGGAGGTTCCCTGCTGTTGAAGAGCGGCACCAAAAGGACTAGCGGCAAAGCCGGACGACCCCAAGCCTGAGGACGTGGGGGCACCGAATGAAGACGTCGCGGGAGCAGTAGTCGCGGCAGAGGCAGAGGCAGTGGCAGTGGCAGCGGCAGGGGTGGTCGGCGCCACAGTGGCCTGAGTAATATCTTGAGGTACAGTCATGCCTGTGTATTTCTCGGCACGGCTTGCTAATTCTGAACTGTAACAGTGGGATGCACCCATGTGGCCTTCATCATTCAAGTAGTAAAGTACAGGCACTGGATCAACGCCCTTGTCGCTTTCACTCGGATCGTACGGTGGCAGCAATTCTTGAGCGGAAAAGTCTAAAGCTAGACCGAGAGGGAAGGTGTCGGCATTGGTTTCCTCCGACAGTGGTAAATTGGCCAATGCGTTTTCTTCCAAGATCCAGGTTGCCCAATTGCCGTCTTCATCCTGACCGACAACAGACACTTCGCTGGTAGCCGAATTAGCGAGGATAATAGCATGCTGAATTTCGCGTCCGAGATTACGGATTGTCTCCATATAAAAGTGGCCACCACGGCCTTCCGAAGCGAATACAGGTGTCACTTCAAAGAGTCGAATATATTTTCTTGTTTCGTCACTCGCTTTACGATCAATGATATAGGCGTCATTGATATGCTCGTCATCGTTCGATTCTCGAGGGCGCGTATAGATGACAAGGAAGAGATGGTTCTCCACCCACAAAACATCCTGGACTGAAATAGTCATGTTAGCACGTAGTTACATTTAGATAATGATTTTTGACAAAAAAAAAGTAGTACCATAGCGATCTTCAATTTCTTCCATTGAACCTGCACGCATTTCTTCAGGAGATGGCAATGCATCCTTATTCACACCTTGAGTATCGTAGTGTTGAAGCATGCCGTTTCTTCTACCGACGACGATTTGTTTTCCTTTGGGTGACCAGCAAAGAGCAGTGACCGTATTATCCGGAATGGTGACGAGAGTCGCGCCTGTGCTTAAACTAATAATTTTGCCTTGATCATCGGCGAGACGTACAGCTGCCAAATCAGGAAGCGCTTCGGGATTCGGTTGCAAATCGAGGATCTCGGCATTGAGGTCAAACGATGTCGCTGGTTCCACATTCTCCTTCTATACAACAATAAGAGTGAGTTTAATTGTTTGAATCCCTCAGGTTGCTTTCACATGCGAAAATGATTTACATTGGCTACAATATCCTTGACATTGTAGATAAGCACGAGGCCGCCCTTCACTGCGGCAATAACTTGTGATTCGTCTGCGGTGAGGCGCAGCTGTTGTACGGGTCCTTGAGAAATCTTTACAGTGATTTTATCGTTGAATGGCACCGTTTCACCCTTTCCGGCCGTATAAAAAGTAGATCGCAATGCCTTTGTCTGGCCATAGATAAAACCTAGTGAAAAACGTTGGTCTTTGAGTCTCTGAATCGTAGCGAGTGGTCAAAATTTCAGGACATGCTACCTTCCACGGTGCCAGCAATGAAGTAGCCGTACTTGCTGGAACAAGCTAACAAAGACACTTCGGCTGGATAATCAGAGGTTTCGAATTGAGCATCTTGCAGTGACACTTTGGCGTCGGGAACGAGATTGGTGAAACGAAAGATCTAGCGGCAGAGAGAGAGAGAGCATTGAGTCTACTTGCAAAGATAATGTGAAAGCAGCCGTTATATATACCTCCATTTCCTGTGATGCCGGCTCTGAGGGATCATTCTGTTCTGCAAGCGCAGCAAAGCTGTTCATTTTGAGGTATTGGGAGAATGAAGATTTGACAGCAGTGTGGCAAGAAACGCGAAGTGGTCAGCCGGCCATCAAAATTTCGTGCCATCATTTTCGCGCAGTCCACTGCGATGTCCAAAACGAAGCGCGGACGCTGTAGGGCGTGGGACGGTTAAATTGCGTCACGCCTTAATTTTTTTTTTTTACTATTGGCTGCGGCTCAACAGTCGACGATTCATGGTTTTCCCCAACAATGCTTCTCGCGATAACAAAAATTCTGATAGATCAAGAACTTTATCATGTAGACTTTGATGAATTACATTTGCAATTTGATGAAAATTTTGAATTGGAAAGGCGAGCCCGTAATATGTATCTTCCCGGCCATTCAATCTTTACACCACTGTATGGGAACAAAAAAAAAAATCCCAAAGCCACGTAGTCAAAAAAGGAAGTTGCTATTATGGAGAATGTGTCTTCTCTTCAGGCATATTGGTCTTAAAGATATGGAACAGAAAGGTAATGGAATACATTGTTCGTCCTACTTCATCAGCAGATTCACCAGCTTGACCTGTGAAGCCAGTCGGCCTGACGTGTCCCCTGAATCCCGCGAGGGCAATGCTTCGCATATTTCGACTTGCATTCACGTCACACTGCCTTATCTTGTTGCAAATCTCGTGTTTGAGTAGAGCCCATTCTTTTTTTCTGCTGTCATACGGTAGAACAAGATTGACCTTTGATCTTTGCGACCTCTGAATGATAGAAACGCAAAATAGCATCTAATGATACATGCATATGACTGCACCAGACTCCCCCAATCGTCGCTTTCTATGGTCGCGGAGAATTTTGAAGAGTTCTAATTTAGTTTTTACTGTGCACTGTGACAGATGACGCTTAGTTTTCTTCGTATTTGGATTGGCTTTTAAATAAGAGAAGATCATTGGGCCAGGATAGACATTTTGCGCAACTTGCGCATTTTATGCAAGAAGCTACATAATACAGCACTTATTTGAGAACATACATTATTTATGCAGATAGGCTTGATCCCTGTTTACCTCACTGCTATATATCGTTGATAGAAGGCCATTGTTTAGTTGAAAAAAAAATATTCGAAATTTTTAATCTAGGTCCTACGAAGCTTTTTTGTTTGATCATAACATATTACAGCTAGTCACCAGTGGTTATAAAAATGACTGTGTCATCCTCTTAATTTACGGTGCCTATTACGTGTCTTCCCTCTTTGCTTTTTGAGTAACCATGATGCTTAGTTGTAAAATTCAAGTCTAAAAATGATAAAAGATAGAGTTTCCGAATCTTATCATGGAATGATAGAAAAGTGGTATTGCGTAATAATGAAAAAAATCGGATTGCAATAAAAAAAAAAAAAAAACTTTATCAGTAGCGGGTATGAAAAAAGAATATTAAAAAGTCATCAAATTTCGTTGAGCATATGACATCTGAGCATTAAAAGTTGAACCCTACCTTTCACATGAAGAACGGAATCAAATTCAAGTACAGTAGAGGGCACTGCTTTTTCATCGTGGGAAGGGTGTTGCACCAGTCAGAGCGACTAAACAATGAGTCGGGGGATGTTTTAAGCTTTTATTTCACAAGAGTCATTACCAGCAAAAGAAAATGCTCTGAAAAAAAAGATGAATGGGAGAGGAATCGAAACTTGCATCACATACAAATGCATTCAGTAGTGGAGTCCTCCGCAAAAGGGAAAAAGCCAATGCGCCCAGTTGCATTTGTCCGACGCCCTGCGTTTTACCTTTGTAGAGCGCATCGAACATGGTAGCGAGCCCCCGTAAATGTGTGTTTTCAATGCATTCCCTGAAACGCAAGACGAGCGAAATCAAAGGAGCAGAGAAGCAGGACCAACCATGAATGAGTGTCCGGAGCTGACCGAAATGAAGTCTTTTTTTTTTTTTTGCGCACTTGAATATGAAAAAGGTAAAACGAACGAGGGCTACAGTTTGCATGAAATTTTGACGGCCGCTCAAACTCAAAAAAAGCAAGCTCTTCTGATTTTTTTTCTCCAAATTGGCACCCAGCAAAACAAGATAGAAAATTGTTCCAGATTAGTGAGCGTTATCTGGCGCTTTTTTCGCTTGACCCATGTATAGTGTTAACCCTGCTTTGGCTTATCAAAGAGCGCCATATGAAGATGGACGATCACCTGTAAACGGTTACACAGGGGTCAACCATAGCCGAGCCAGCTGGGTTTATGTTTGTTGTGAACAAAAAACGAAACTGTAAAATTCCGGTTGGGTCAGTCCACAATGGCATGGATTCATTTGGAATCAAATAAACATTTTGACGCGATAATAATCGGCGATATTTTTTAAACTTCTACAGAAATTGATATTGTTTTACAAGCGAATGTCATTTGCGGGTAGGCCTGGAGTAATATTTTTTTTTCTTGTGCTTTATCACAGGTTTTAATCACTCGTCTAATTCGGGAACAATCGCGATCCGATAAAGAGGCCGTGGAAGCAAAGATCTTTTTTTAGCGGAGTGGCCCAATCAGGCACTACGCATTTAAGATTCCGACTATTTAGTCAGGTTGGCGATGACAAAAACAAAAACAAGAGCTTGGTCAAGGGGAAAAAAAAAGCCCATTTTGGGAAGGTGGAGTGGTTGACTCATTTGACGAGACCATCCTTTTCCCTTATCTAAAACGCAGTCCTCACTTTCGAATATTTATCCTTTATCGTTCGGCTTTACTTACTTTGCTTGTTATTTTTTATTATTATTTCCTTTTTCTCTTTTCTTTTTTCTTCCCGTCAAAGTTTTTATTAGAGAAAAATGGCGCACGCTGCTCGTTTGAAGTCTGTTGTTGAGAGTCTGACAAGAGGTCACAGAAACATCGAATTCCCCACCAAACCCGATGGTCGTCCTCAGTCAGTGGCCGAAGTGTTTGGACAGAACGTGTTCACGCTCAAGGAAATGTCAAAGATGTTGCCCAAACCGGTGTTCAAGAGTTTTATTCGACAGTTGAAGGGTAACTCTGCATTGGACAAGGTGACCGCCGATGCTATTGCACACGCTGTCAAAGTCTGGGCTTTGGAACGCGGTGCTACCCATTTCACTCATTGGTTCCAGCCTTTGAACGATTCCACGGCCGAAAAGCACGATGCTTTCTTAACACTCAAATCAACCTTCAACAACGGATTCGAGGAGGTAATGTATCCGGTTCTCCTTTTCTTCTGCACTTTGCACTTTTGGCACCTTTTTAGATCCCAGTCATCAAATTATTCTTGAAATAGCATACTCATCAATCAATGATTAGGTTACTGCTATCGACACATTTTCCGGATCTCAGTTGCTTCAGTCCGAACCTGATGCCTCTTCCTTCCCCTCTGGTGGCATGCGTACCACCTTTGAAGCACGTGGTTACACTGTTTGGGATACCAAGAGGTGAGGCACTTTTTTTTTGGGATCGTCGCTAGTTTAATACGGGCTGGGCAAAGCAAAAGCATATGCACATACGTCAAAAGAAAAAAAAAAAGGGAAACAAAAACGAAACAAAGAGGAGAAACGTAAAAGATGCTGAGATGAAGCGGACATGACAGATGGGGCAATGAGCAAAAAGTGAACAACAAAATTAACTGATCCATTCAATGCAGTCCCATGTTCATTCAAGAAGGTCCCCACGGTACTGCTATTCTGTATATTCCTTCCGTCTTCATTTCTTACAATGGTGAAGCTTTGGATGAAAAGTCGGTTCTTTTGCGATCTTCCGAAGTATTGAACAAGATCAGTACCGAAGTGCTCCAACTTATCGAACCTGTGGATGAGGATCATCCTCGTACCAAGCAGGTCATCACCACCCTCGGTACCGAACAAGAATACTTCTTGATCGATCGTGCTTTGTACACTTTGCGTCCCGATTTGAAGATTTGTGGTCGCACCTTGTTGGGCGGTCTTCCCCCTCGCCACCAGCAATTGGAAGATCATTACTTTGGCAAGATTCCTACCCGTGTTCTCGCCGCCATCAGTGAGTGTGAATTGGAACTCGCCAAGTTGGGTGTTCCCGTCAAGACTCGCCACAACGAAGTCGCTCCTGCTCAGTTTGAAGTGGCCCCCATTTTCGAAGAAGCCATGTTGGCTGTCGATCACAACTTGTTGACCATGGATGTGCTCCACCGTGTGGCTCATCGTCACAAGCTCAAGGTCTTGTTCCACGAAAAGCCTTTCCGCGGTGTCAACGGTTCTGGCAAGCATTGTAACTGGTCTTTGTGCACAGACAAGGGCGACAACTTGTTGGATCCCTCCGCCACACCTGAAACCAACTACCGTTTCCTTATCTTCTTGGTCGCTGTCTTGAAGGGTGTTCAGGATCACGGTGATTTGTTGCGTGCCGGTATTGCTTCCGCTTCCAACGATCATCGTCTCGGTGCTCACGAAGCTCCTCCCGGTATCATTTCCGCTTTCTTGGGTAGCCAGTTGAACGAAGTCTTGAACGCTGTGGAAGAGGGTCGTCCCGTCAACGATTTGGCTGCTGGTACTCAATTGCAGCACGTCCGTGTCAAGGGAACTGTGCTCGATCTCAAGGTGGCCACTTTGCCCAACATTTCCCGTGATTTGACCGATCGTAACCGTACTTCGCCTTTCGCTTTCACCGGTAACAAGTTCGAATTCCGTGCCGTCGGTTCCAAGCAGTCCGTTTCCTTCCCTGTGACTTTGCTCAACTCTTGTGTCGCTTCGGCCCTTCATGAAGTGCGTGACGCTCTCAAGAAGCAAATGGGTGACAAGCCCGTGGCTTCCGAGGAAGATCAAATCGCTGTTATCCGCGAATTCATCAAAAAGACAAAGAACATCCGTTTCGAAGGTGACAACTACTCTGACGAATGGGTCCAGGAGGCTGCTAAGCGTGGTCTTCCCAACATCGTCAAATCACCTGATGCTTTCCGTCGCTTGTTGAAGGATGTCAATGCTTCCATGCTCCAGAATCTCGGTGTCTTCTCCGACGCCGAATTGCAGTCGCGTTACCACATTCTAATCGAGAAATATGCCAAGGATGTCACCATCGAGGCCCAGACGTTGTTGACCATGGTCACTCAGCAAGTACTTCCTGCTGTATTCCAGTACCGTCGTGATTTGGCTGAAGCGGCTTCGTTTATGAAGAACGTGGGTGTGGAATCATCTCCCGAAGTTCAACTGTTGAACGAGTTGACGCCCATTGTGGCCGAATTGCAGAAGCGTACGAACAGTTTGGACAAATTGATGGAAGACAACAACAAGTATGAAGATTTGGTCAAACTTGCTGACGTCGTCAGTGACGAAGTGTTGCCTGCCATGGAAGCTGTACGTACATTGGCCGATCAATTGGAACGTATGGTCGCCGACAAGTTGTGGCCTATTCCCAAGTACACCGAATTGTTCTTGAACATCTAAGCGCCATTTTTACTTGAAAATGGAACTTGGGAACTCTGTTGAAACCCGAAAATGGCAACCAAATGGCAGCAAAAATCATTTTTTTTTTCTCTTATTGCTTTATTTCTTTTCCCCACATACTCTCGTCCTTTCATTTGATTTTCTTCTATTTCTTTTCTCTCTTTCTCTCTCTCTCTCTCTCTCTCTCTCTCCTATCGTTTTATAATCACATATCATCATTAAAGCTTTTGATCACTCACGGTTGTAAAAAAAAAAAAAAAAACAAAAAAACAAAAACACAAAAGGGGTCATTTAAAAGGAAAGTGGTGGCTTCCTATTTTGTTGTGAATCCAGATCGAACAATCAATTCCAGATCAGATTCAAAAGAAAAATTCTGTAACACGTAGTTTAAGCGATTTGAGAAACCTGAGATGATTGGAACTTCCGGGGCATGAACTGAGGGCTGAGTTTTTTTTTTTTTTTTTTTTTTTTTGAGGAGTGAAGAAAAAAGGCTATTTGTAACTATTAGGGGAGCCACATGTTTGAGGGGAATCAGTTGTACTCTTTCTTTTCCTTTTCTTCCTTTTATTGATATCCTTTCCTTTAACTTCATTGTACTTATGGTAACGCTCGAGAAAATTGTACGTTTTTCCAGGCAAAACCATTGTTGTCCCGATTCAATAAGAAGAAGGCTTCAACTTTCTTTTTTCACGCATTAATCGGATGGATCGGAACTGAACACGCCCTTTTTTTTATACTTGAAAATTTTATAGTATCGTCGCATAACACACTCCAAATGGACAAAAGCCTATGTCATTTTGGCTTGTCTTCAGGGCATCACCATTATCATTCTACAGAGTATCATCGCCTATCAAAATACCTCCCAAGTTGCGTTACTTGTATCTGACGAAACAGCGCTTCATCTATTTCGAGACTCCAATCCTCATGTGGCCATGGCAATAGATCAGGCAGCCGATCGGTTGAAACGAATCAAGTGGGAAAACATTGCATTCATTGGTTTTCAGTTCTGGTTTGTTGGCATGTCATTTGATTCTGTAAGTGGAATTTCCCCTTAGTTTCATTTGGTTACTCTGGTGCATCAGATTAAACAAGCCTATTCTTTGGTGACTTGTTATTTGCCATCACTAGACCATATACCAAAATTCAGCCGAAGTGATTGCACTGGCGGTGTTGAACTTTGTGTGCGCTGTTCTAGGTGCTCTGGAAGTGGTCGACGGACGGCGTTGGCTGAGAACCTTGCGAAACCTTAAAAATGTTTACGATCTGAATATTTCGACCGATCCGTTACGGCTCGCTTATTACCTTGAAATCGTGCTGGCCGCGTGTCTTGCTCTTTTTGCTTGTGCTTTTGCTTTCCTATCTTACCAAGTGGTACGGCAACTGGGGTGGGTCATTTACAAGAAAATCGGTGGTGACATTGCTATACAAAGTAAGACAAGCGGACAAACATGGTTTTTTTTTGTACCATCACAGGATCAATGTCAATTGATTGTTATTTTCTTTTTCCATATTTGGCCCCCGATAGAAATGTATCGTACGTTTCAATTCTTCGTACTGGCTCTCAAGATCGACATCTTTATCGAATTTTTGGTATCATGCTTCTATATTGGCCAATTTGTGCTAAAGGCAGGTTTTGAGTGGAAAACCTACGTATTTGTCATAGTAACATTCTGCATGTTGCCCATGTTCTATTTCGCCCGCATGACAGTAAGTGATTAGGAAAATTGCTTAATCTAATTATCCCCCCTACTTTTTGCATTAATCACTTTCAATTGCTGTATTAACCAGATATGTGCCGAAGGGACGAAACGAATGATTATTTTCATCATATTTCAAATCGTCATTTTCTTCCAATTCATCCTGATCCTCGGTCAAACCATTACGCCCGAGGACTTTTGGTATACTTGGATTTGTTTCGGTACGGTTTTCAAAGGAATCTGCAACTGATGCAATCAGTCCAATATACTCATCCAACTGCGCTGGTTATTTAGTTGTGGTCGGAATGATTCTCGCCATCGCGACGTCCGTCCTCGGGTTTATGTGCTTGCGAAACTTTGGCAAAGGCCTGGAGCCTTACGTACAACGAGGAGCAAAGAAACAGGAACAAATGGATCGACTTGAATTGAACAAACACTCCACCAGCTCATCATGGCAAATTGATGACGACTGATCTTTTTTCTCTTCCAAATCTTGATTTCACCATCAGTTTACAGTCAAGAAAGAAAAAAAGAAAAAGAAGAGAAAATAGAAAACCAAACCGAACAAATGAAGAAAACAACAATATCAATTTGAAGCATACCCATGTATCAATAGCGCATTTGCATTCTGCACATCATCATACTTTTTGCTTGTTCACCCTACATAGAAATGGAGTGAATGAAAAACTAAACATCAGATATTCCCAATTTCGATCCATGCTTCTTCTTTGTCCCTTTTTTTGTACAAGATATTTTTTTTTACTCTAGGCCGTGGTTTCCGAACCAAGTGATCTTCATGCACAATGAGTTTCCTTATTTTACCATCTATACGATCCTTGATATCAGTACCAACAAACGATAAAATCATCCAATATGGCCAAGACATCGATTGACCGAGATCTTTTTTTTTTTTTTTTGTTTCGTTGTACTTGTCTTTTATTTTCAAATCACTTCATCTTATACCTTGGTAGTATCTTGTTCTTCGTCATCATCCCATCGAGATTTCATTTTAGGGGGTTCGGGAGCCATTGGCTTTTGCTCCGGGACAGTCTTTTCCTCTCGCCGATACGATTCTTCTCTCAACGATCCTCTTCTGCGGTCCTGTACCGGACTCCGGCTTCTACTGTGTCTGCGATGTCTTCTGGGACTGCGAGTACGTTCATAGCCGGGACTTCGGCTTCGGCTACGTCTTCTTCGTCGAGTGGATGATCGATCACGGTGCCGACGCGATCTGTCATCTCTGTCTCTGCCCGTACGACGACTTCGTTCGTCTTCTCGGTAGCTTCGTGAATATTCATCTCGATATCGATCACGACGATCGGATCGTGTGTCAGGGGATCGGCTGCGTCCACGTCTAGGCGGCGGTGAAGCGCTACGGCTGTAACTCCTGTCTCTCGGAGGTCGATCACCCTAGTATGCACAAAAATTATAACGACAGAAACAACGAGTGAGTTAACAGGTTGGAAAAAAAAAATTGCAGAATTGACTGAGGAGTACTTACAAAACGTGATCGACGCTGTCGAGTTTCGCTTTCGCGAAGATCCTGCATTTCGGATTCTTTCTTTTTGCGGATGGCTTCCATTACAGCTTCTTGCCGAGCTTTTACCTGGGCATCCTGCTCCTTCTTTTGACGAAGCTCTTCCTTCTTTTGTTCAAGGAAGACCTTGGGAATACCGCCTACAGACTCTTGCGCACTTAATAGCAATAGCCACAACTCCAAAATGAACGACTGCGTATTCTTTTCGAGAAAACCTGTGAGATTGATCTGCATCATTTTGGGATCAGGATTCTGTTGAATCACAGTCATCAGTCAGTCAACAGCAAGGATTGAACGTTCAGTAGCATCCCTTACCTTTTCTTCCAGCAATCCACAAGCGAAATCAATCACCACTTCGTCTTCAAAACCGAGTAATTGAGTAATCCTATTGCTAATCCACGGTTTGATGACATCCATATTCACTTTTTTAAAATCCACCTTTTATCCAACGAACGGGAGTCAGCGAGATCATCCTTCAGCCATAAATAATGCAACATCCTTACCTTTTGATCGAATTCAGGAGGGAAACTCATACTCTTCAAGAGTTTCTTTTCCTTGTTACTGAAGCGGCTGTCTTGCTCGCTACTGGTACCCTAAATGTGCTCAGCGTCAGCCACTACATTTTTTTGCTTTTATACGATCATATATACAGCCAACTTGCCTTGAAAAAGCCGGCATCACCCATGGCAAAGAGAACAAACAAATAGAGGTTCTGAAGTAAGTAAAAGCGGATGCTTGAGGGCTTCAAAGCATTGGTAAGGCGAATTTTTTCGTTCCTTATCCAAATTCGTGGCGCAATTATTACTTATATTTTGTCGCATACATCAAATTAATTTGTCGTTTTTCCAACTTTAATGGCGTTTTGTTCAGCTTGACAGTTTCTGCCATCGCCATCGACTGCGTGAGCTGCAAAGCACATTAGTAAGTCTTATTTAATTATGTAAAATGTTATCTCTTTTTGCAAAAGCATCATGTGCTTGAATTAAAGAATATCATCTCGTTCAACAGCATTGATTAGACGAGCAACCAATCCCCCCAAAAAAAGTTTCCAAGGCAAATGTACACGGGTTTACATGTTGCCTTAAATTCTGCATTCAGAGCTAGTTTTCGTTTGATTACATGAAATAGAATGCTACAATTTGTACATTATATAGTATGGCTTTTATACAGTCAGTCATGTCTTTTTTACGTTGTGTCGTTGTTATTTTCTGGGCGTGTCACGATATCTGCGCCGGCCATTTCAGGATCTTTTTCCACTTTGGAGCGCGATTCGAGGAAGAACATGAGATCTTGTACTTGCTCTGCCAAATTTTGGATGGCTCGTTCGTTTTGTTCGGCTTCTTTCTTTAATAAATCCGTGTTGTGTCGTAACGACGTGGTTAACTGGCATGGTAGTGTAAGTTTATTGGTTCGTGCTCGTGTTTAACGACTGAAAAAATCATCTTACCTCTTTTTCCTCCAACCATTCTCGAAGCTTGATTTGGTATTTGGACATCAGTAACTTGGAGCGTCGATCCATCTTTTCGTTTTCTTTATCTATGCTCGAAATTTCCTGTTGCAATTTCGAGTGGGATGCAGTAAGCTGTGAATGCTCGTTTTCGATCTCCTGAGAAGCTACGGAAAGGTCGTGGACGTGTGTATTCAGTTCCGACAATTGCAAGGTAAGTTCGGCCAGCTGATCTTCATAATATATGCGTTGTGAATCGAGCTGTGAAGTCATCATATAGGTATATTCCAGGGAAATGGCCTCGAGACGTTCCTGTTCATCAAGCCAATGACCAATTTAATTTCTCGCTCTCATCACGCCTTCGGATTGTTGCATTGACAATTACCTGTGTCGGTAAAGGTTGTTTTTCGTCTTGCGTGGATTTGCTAGGGAATTCAACCAATTTTCCATCCACCATATTTTGCAGAATGCGTTGTATATATCTATTGAAGAGCTTCAATGCTGGATGATTCGACATGATATATATGAGCATCGCTGCGTTACCCGTCACTCATGTAATCCCACACACGCTGAGTTGCTATCTCCAGAGCATAAAGATGGCCGGTTTGCATGTAGTGATTATAGGCATGCGCATCTTGATAGCGGCCGCAACCAATGTGGCCACACACCATACAAATCCACAGACTTTCCGTTGATCCACATATAAAGCATTCAGTGATCGGTAGTTCAGACGAAAGCGAATGGAACTGATTCCGGTTATCGCTCGATCCTTCAATCACCGGTTTTTGTGAGTAATTACATGCAGGGCATCTGGAAATGAAAAGGAATTAAAATCGAATTTCACGGGATTGGAAAAACTATACAAGGCTTACATCCCGCTACCCCACTTGTTCAAACAGAAACAGTGGAAGCTGTGCTGGCATTTCAACGAGGCCAACCCGGTGATGCTTTCATCCATTCGTTCCAGGCACACCGGACAAGTGGGTAGTTCACACCGTGATTCTTTTACTTCCTTGCTGGCGGCCATCTTCTGTTGCTGAGTATCTGCTTCCAGGGTCTCCTTTAAAAATGGAATATGGTTGTCTTCCAACTTTACTATGTCCAGAGCGGTTGATTTTAAATACACAACATGACAAAGTTCCGGCTAAAAGATGCCTATGTTTAGTAGATTTGGCCATAGAAGTACATGAGTGTCAACATCCGAAATACCTCTGCCACGCTGTATTGTTTCTCGTTGAACTGGTCGTAGAATGATTTTGCGGCGTCATCATCATGGAATTCCAGCACAACTACGTACTTATTCGGTGAACGGTCTCTAGGAGGCAGCGTACGTAAGTTAAAGTACTTTTGTCAAAGACAAGCGTTCACCTACCGAAGAAAGCAGCAGCGAGTAATTGATGTTGCAGCCGGTGTGATGAAATTTAAGAAGGCGTCTGTCGATAGATATGTCGGTACTGCCAGTATGCATAAAAGACGACCAGCCCCTTCTTCGGCAGTACACTCTAATTGGACGTCTCTCTCGTCTCTGTATAGATGGAGAATACCACAACCCAAGTTTGTTACGGTGGTTTTCAGCCCTTCATTCTTTGCGGCCGCTGCATAATTCTTTGACGATGAGGTATGCAAATATTCGCACTGAATAAGTCCCAATCGAAAATCCGTTTGTCGAGTAAGGCTTAGATCGGCATGTTGCTTTGGGGAATGGACAGGAGTGGGTGGAATATTGGGTATATGGATTTGTCTGCGGGAGGGTCTTCGTGTGCGGCCGCTGTGCGATTGAGGAGGACGCTGCTTGTGGTATTCTTTTAATCGGTCAGACACGCCAATCGGTATAGTGATCCCAGCAATAGGATCTAGCAATGTATTTGCTTGCAATGCAGCAGTCTGATTTGTATACAGACATACTTTTAGGTGGTAATAATACATTGCAGAGCATAAAACTGCAAATCGTGAATACACGAAAAGACGACAATAAGTGGTCTCTCTGCCGCATGGCCCACCGCCGTGTTGCGGAGTCTTAATATTCTTCAGGCAGAGTTGGCCTGAAAAACATTGTCCCCCCGAGGCAAAAAAAAAAAAAAAAGTTTAAATTTGCAAATAACAGCGCTTGGTAGACGTTCCTCTCGTCCTATTGTCGTCATGTTCCGCTTTCAACAGACTGCTAGAGCCTCCATTCGCTCTTTAACTCACTCGGCAGCATTGGCTACCCAGAAACCGTCCACTCTTTTACGGGTATTATTCTCCTGATCCGCGTAGCCCTGACTCGATCCGATCGGGCCAGGGTCCCCTTTTTATTCGAGACTAACATTCTTCTACCGTTTTAGTCATTCTCCGCTGTAAGCAATGCTCTCGAGGTAAAGCAATAACGACACAGAGACAGAAAAAGAAATAGTATACTGATACAGTAGATTGCTAGCCTCCGGTGCTTGTCAACAAAGTGCTCGGTGTCCGAGAATTGGTGCTCAACCGTCCTCAGCGTCTTAATGCTCTCAATGGTGACATGATGAAGATTATTAGCTCAAAAATCAAGGTATTCACTGTCGTACGGAATTGTACCGGGATTCGTAGTTGATCGGGTATGTTAGAGTTGGGAAGATTCCGAACTGGCCAATATTGTGGTTGTCAAAGGAGCCGGTCGCGCCGTTTCTGCTGGTGCCGATATCAGAGGTAGCGGAATCAAACTCATATCAGATCAATTCTTTGACCGGGCCGACTGATGAACGAATTTTTAGATGTGGTGGAACACCTGAAGAAGGGGAACGATCAGGCCATGTTCTATGCTCTGAAACTGGAGTATGAATATCTTCATCAGATCGCTACGATGAAGACCCCCTTTGTGGCACTCATGGATGGTATTACCAGTAAGTTGCCATCAAGCCTCTTTTGTTTATGTGGAACCAGACAAACTGAATTGTGTTGATTTGTGTAGTGGGTGCCGGAGGAGGTTTATGCGCGCATGGTGCTTTCAGAGTAGCTACCGAGAACACGGTCTTTGCCATGCCTGAAACTGCCATTGGCTACTTTCCCGATGTCGGTTCCAGCTTTTTCCTCTCTCGTCTCGATGGTCATTTGGGAACTTACCTTGCATTGACCGGTGAATCCATCAAGGCGGAAGATGTCTTGTATGTGTAGCTCTGGCTTATAAGATGCACGAATTTCATTGTGTTATTTACTGACATGGGCCTGATTTTTTGCTTCTGTTTTAGGTTTTCGGGCATTGCGACCCATTTTGTGCCTTCCTCCCGTTTGGAAGCCCTGGAAGCTCGTTTCGCTGAACTCGACAATGCAGATAACGAGATGGTCAATAATATCATTGAAGAATTCGCTGCTGAATACGATCCCAACGTCCGCAACACCTTGAGCGGTGAGGTTCGCAAGACAATCGACAGGTATATAACATTCCATGGTTTTTTTCCGGACAAGAATAGACAGGAAACTGACCATCTGTCATCAGATGCTTCAAGGAACATTCTGTGGAAGACATCTTGGCTGCTTTGGAAAAGGATGGTTCGGAATTTGCTTTGAAGACCCGAGAAACCTTGTTGAAGCGTTCCCCCTTGGCTCTCAAGGTCACTTTGGAACAAATGCGCACCGGAGCCAATCTGGGCATTGCTCAGTGTCTTAAAATGGAATACAAGTTGATGCAACAAATGACCGTAAGTATGAATGTTGAATCTCAAGGCAATTAAATGGTATGCAACGGCTAATCCATGGTAAAGAAAGAGCATGATTTTACTGAAGGAGTCACTGCGCGTCTGATCACGCGCACCGAGCCAAAGTGGAATCCCAGTCGTTTAAGTGACATTACGGACGCCAGTGTCAAAGCCCGATTTTTCGATAAAGCGCCTGCTATGACCCTTTCCTTCCGATCGAACCAGAACTTTATGATGTCGCCTTCGCGCAAATACGCTTTACCCTCGGAGGAAGACATCCGTCGCATTGTCACGGCCGAAGTGCCTTTCAGTGGCCAGTTGACAGCATCGGCTATCGAAGACTACTTTGTGTTTGAACGCAAGGGTAAATTCGGCGTGCGCGAAAAGGTACGCGAAGTACTGAGCCGCAAAACTGCCCTTGTCAACAAGAGAAACCAAGAACAGTTAGAATGGATCTACAATCATTAGTCTTGTTACAAAAGGGATAGTTTATTTTATAGACATGTACATTAGCCGCTGTTTTTTTTATATCTTACAATTACTCATTCTCTCCCACTCTTTTCTCTGTGTTTCAGATATCGGTCATGATAGGCGTGGCGCTGTGATCACCCTCGTCTCCCTGAGAAGGGTCCGTGGGCAGGGTATTCAATGGATTATTCAAAAGCTCCCGTTGCCGTTCCGCTCGGTCAATGATTTTTGTGTACACCTCAGGATTATAAGGATTAACATAGCCGTTCCCTAGGCCGCCATAGATAGGCACTAACCCCATTGTTGAGTATGTTGTTCTAGATTTCCTTTTTCGTTTCTTTTACTTACAAAACCAGTGCACGACCTGATTTCCCATTACTGAGCGCCAGTTATTTTTCCACCCACAGTCCCATAACGGTTCGTTTGGTGATACTGTCACGATTTCAAAGTCGTCACCATTGGTACTGAAATCCACTCGGACTTCCAGCGGTCGAGTGGCAATGTGTTCGATAGTCGTGAGGTTTTTGAAGATATAGTAAGCATGCGTACCCACAAAACCGCAAAGCGTCAAGCCAAAAATGAAGGCGCTATACAACCATATACAGTTATTTCAAAATTCACAGATCGCCTCTTCTTTTTTATTTTTTAAAAAAAAAGACTTACAGTACAAGCAGAACAATCCATTGAGGGTCCAGAGGAGCATGCTGCAAGGGTCAAGTAAAGGTAAAATATAAGCATCCCGGTGACCAACAACAAATCAAGGGATTCCTCAGTTACTTACCTTGTATTGTAAAGCATCCACCAGCATGTATACCGACGTGCACAAACCCCATATCCCGTACAGGGCAGTATAAGTGACAAAAAGAAAGAAAAACTTGTAGTTGTGATGACCCACACAGCCGGAAATCCTAAGAAAAACCCATTGTTTAGAGAGACGAAAAATTGAAAATACATCATAAAAATCAGGTACCAGGGACAATGACTATTGATTATATTGTGAGCCCTTGACGTTTTTTCATGGATTGACAGCTGACATTTGGCACTTACTGATCCATTTTCAGAACACATGTATTACAATCTTTACAGTGATGTGTTCGATCCGGCTTGATACAGCGACAAATGTCGCACACACGAGGTTGGCCATCCGGTCGAGTGACAGACAAAGCCGGAGCTGACGATTTACAAGGTGCGGATGGATGGCCCTCCCATTGTTTCATATCGAACGAATGAGGCGAATAGTGATATCGATATAAAGATGCAGACTCGGTCCCGTACTCTAGCACCGGTTCTAAATCCTGCTAGTACGATGAATAAAATAGCGCATAAACTCACTCTGCCTGGAAACATTACTTTGGACGGACTACCCGGACGGGTGAATAAAATTCGAAAGTAGGACATGATCGAAAGAAAATAAAATACGGAAGCAACAGTTATAAAGGCCACTAATATCCCATGAATAAGCATTCAGATTCCAGTATTTACAATGAATTAAGTTGATCACTCTCTGATTTACCTCCTTGCGCCGATTGATCCGTATGCAGCAGAAGAGCGTCTAACGATCATTATGAGCACAGGAACTAGCTTGGATAAAGTTGGGAATGACCTACCACAGTAACGAAAGACGTAAATATACCAGGTGTAGGTAATTAATCCCACCACTACGAATGGTAGCACCACATTGGCAGTTGCCATGCCAATGGTCGATGCCATGCTTGTAACATGAAAGAGAGAGAAAGAGCAAGTTGCCACCTTGGGTGAAAAGGTCGAATTGCCGACCCAGCTTTCTCCAGCCAATGGGATCCCGGCCGTCTCACTAAATTATGTCAGACTCCAAATTTAGCACCCACTTTGTGTGGTCATATGTCGATTAGAAAATCCAAGTTCGTTACGCTGGATTTGTGCATGCATAATATTTAATCCGTAGATATAATTAATCGCTCCATGATCCCAGAGGCTCGTGATGGATTGACTTTCATCGATGACCTTCTTTCCCTTATGAATGCCTTGACTCTGATAATCTGTTAAACTATAACTACATATATTATCAATACTTAATTGGTTTAATGGTGATCTATGCCAATGTCATATTATCCAACCCACAGATGACTGGTAAAAAAAAAAAAGCACTCGCATTAATTCTTACCGTTTTGGTTGACGAAATCCGCCGACTCCGCAAAGCGCTATTGTATTTGTAGTTCCGCACAATGGGAGACTGCGCACACAGTGTGCAATGCCCATGGCTTCCTTCTTTAGTAACATTGTTGAAAGTATTCAATCCGCCAAAGGGGCGGTGGGCGATTATTACCAGAAAGTAGTGACATCGTTGGGTGATAATGTCACCATCAGCGGCCGCGAATACAGGATCCATCGACTGCTAGGTGCTGGGTAAAGTTGGTGCTCCCAGTTCCCGTGCTCCGTCTAACAGCTCCTACATTAACTAATCAATTATTTGAAGAGGCTTCTCTTTGGTCTATCTCGTACAGGATCATGAGGGCCAATATTACGCATTGAAGAAAATGGAATGCCAGCTACGCGAACAAGTGGCTCATGCCCACCGTGAAATTGAGAATTACCGCCGATTCGAAAGCGACCATATTATTTCCATGCTGGTTCGATCGATTGCAACTTATGGATTTCAGCTTAAGGTTAACCTGGTTTTTTCTCTTGGTTTTTAGGATCATGCGACAGTTACTGCACCGAACGGACGCCAAATAGTGTATCTCTTACTACCATTCTATCGAGTAAGTTCGAGGGCTTGCTGCGACTAGAAAAACAATGTTGAAAGCTTTATATATCATCCTTAGCGTGGCAATTTGCAAGATATCATGGATAGGCGAAAAGCGAAAAACGTCTACTTTTCAGAGACGCGATTGTTACGGATGTTTCTCGACGTTTGCGACGCTGTAAGGGTGATGCACACACATCGCGACAAACCAACATCAGCGGAAGCTGCAGCCAAACTGATGCCGTGGGCTCACCGGGATATCAAGCCAGGGTAAAGCACGCTTGCAATATCTTGTGTAAAATATGCGTCTCTTAACAGCTTGTCGGTTTTGGTAGCAATATATTATTATCTGATGACGGAAACAAAGCCGTCATCATGGATCTTGGATCGGCGTGCCCTGCTCGCATACCTATTCACAACAAAAAAGAGGCTTTAAGAGAACAGGTAAAACCAGATGTGAAATCATGGCAACACAAACATTTGTAAAACTAAAGATGGATCATGCAGGATATTGCTGCGGAGCATTCATCGCTGCCGTACCGCGCACCCGAACTGCTGGATGTGAAAGTAGACTGTGTGCTGGATGAAAAAGTCGATATATGGTCCTTGGGATGTACCTTGTATGCCATGGCATACGGGCAGTCTCCTTTTGATATGAGTGACAGTGAACAAGGTGGATCCGTCACGCTTGCTGTTATGAATGGACGTGTGATGTTCCCCAAAGACCATGATCGGTATTCACAGCCTTTCAAGGATTTTATCTTAGCAATGATCAACCCCAATGTCCAAGAACGGCCGACAATTTATGAGGTAAAAATTGGATGCAAAACCAGGTCGCGTTACACATCGAAATCTGATACACTATATAATCTAGGTTATATCGCAAGCAAAATCCTTACTAAATGAATAAAATGGGCAAATTTGATAAGTTTATCAAAAACGGGCGTCCCTTCATGTCTCTGCTGGATAGATCCCTATGGTATTGTTTACTATCGGTCAAACAAGAGATCTATTGCCCTTGAAACATCATCCACCAATTATACTCCCTTTCTCCGCTCGATGTGATGATAATAAAAAGAGTACCCGTTTGTGACTAGGTGCAGTGACACATGCTACTTCTGATGAATCATGTCGGCCAAGTGAGACACTGCACTGTACGACTGGAGTATGAAAATTTTACAGAGTTCATGCTGTTGGCTTCGGTAATCGGCCGACAATTGTATTATATGCTTCATTGCAAATTGCACCAGATATTAGGACAATGCAATACCACAGACGGTAGGCTTGCAAGGACGGAGAGTAGCCATCAAACAGCGAACCATGGAATACACATCAACCCCAAGTTGGTGAATACCGTAATAGGTCATAGATATCTTCATATTGAAAAAAAATGAACGAAGAAAATAAGTATAGTACGTCCGCACAATTATAGAGGGGAATCAAGTAGCAGCATAATAAAGTAGTTAACGAGTACAAGTGCATTGTCGAAATTTGGGCCGTCGACATCCTTTGAAAGAATGGTAAGGGGTCACTGTCAGAAGAATGGAGGTGGACGTCTCTGGAAAAAAATAAAAATAAAGATGGATCTTGGATTAACACTTAAAGCTTGCTCTTCTTGAAGAAAACGTTCCAGGCAGCGGAGCACACCGTGAAGAAAGTTTTGACTTTGGCCCCGGCCGACGATGGGAAACCATACACGAGGAGTGACAGGAGCGTGTTCTTGTCATCGGTGTAAGGTGGATATCTAGCTGAAAGCACAGTTTCCATGCCAGTCGATCGGATCATGGTGGAACGTTCGTGCGTAAAGGTATCGAAGGATCGATCGCCATGGTAATTGCCCATGCCGGATCCACCCACACCACCAAAAGGCAAAGACAGCTCCTGAAGATGCATCAAAATATCGTTGATCACCACACCTCCCGAGTTGGTGTTATCAAGAACTACATTAACAAAGTGAGTGGTGCCGTATTGAAAAAAGACTGAAAGGTCTCGATGAAAGTCTGGTCAACTTACTGTGGTTGTAGGTCTTTGAGTTTTCGGAGAAGACGTACATCGCCAAGGGATGATCTCTGTGGAGAACAATGTTAAGCATATCAATCGGCTGTCGCTGAAATATACATACCTCGAGTTGACAATTTCAATGGCTTCATTCATGTCCTTTACAGGGATAATAGGTAAAATAGGGCCTGCAATAAACAACATGAATGATATGTACATGCGAATGAGGCAGTTTCAGCGGTCAGAAAGCCTACCGAAAATTTCTTGTTGCATAAGCACTTCATCGTCGGTGGTGAGGGGACCGACAATGGTGGGTGCAATGAATAAATCGTCCTTATCTGTTTCTCCGCCGATAAGAATGGTTTTAGGGTCGCACTTGTCAATCAATGTTTTCAATCGATCAAAGTGGCGAGCGCTGACAATACGTCCGTACGAGTTGGATTTCTGAGGAGTATCGGTATAAAATTTGACCAGCGATTTACGGAAGGCAGCAATGAGCGGTTCAAACATGTCTTGGGGGACCAAAACATAATCCGGAGCTACACAGGTCTAAATGCAATGATAAATAAACAGGGCACTCTTCTTTCGTCGGTGGTTGGAAGGGAGTGGGTACGTACCTGACCATTATTGAAGCATTTACCCCAAATCACACGATTCGCAGCGACTTCCAAGTTGGCATCAGGTGTAATAATGACAGGCCTGAAGTAAAAGCCAAGTTAGCCTATCTCTCGATGGGCAACGATATCTTGTAAACGAGCAACAAAACGGTTGACTTACGATTTGCCACCCAATTCCAAGGTAACCGGTGTAAGATGCTTGGCAGCGGCCGCCATGACGATTTTACCAACGTAGCCATTGCCGGTATAGAAAATGTGGTCAAACTTTTGTTCTGCAGGAACAAGTATTAGAAGAGGCGGTTTGGAAATACGACCAAATTTAGAAAACGATCAACCTACCAAGGACAACCGTTGTTTCATCGGCGCCACCGTTGACAACAGCATAGGCGCGTTTGTCAAGGTACTTGGGCAGCAAGCGAGAGATTAATTCCGCCGTATGTGCGGACACTTCTGAAGGCTAATGGATCATATTATTGTCAGTAGGCAGGAATCTCGTGTTCGCACTTGGCTTGTATTAATGTATTGATGTTTACCTTGAACAAGACGCAGTTACCAGCGGCGATGGCGCCCACAGCAGGCATGAGAAGAAGATTGACAGGGTAGTTCCATGCGCCAATGACCAAAACGACACCTTTGGGCTCTTTGCGGACGATGGTTTTATCACCGCTGTTCATAAGAAAGCGCTTGGTGGTTGGAGTTGCTTTGGAAAAGCGATCGAGATTCTAAATTTGGTAATACCAATAAAAGAAATTCATTTTAGTCAGCAACGCAGGATCATCGTTACATGAAAAGGGAAAGGCACCTTGATCATGTATTCACACTCATCAATTATGGGAGAGATTTCGCCTACAGAGCACTCCATTTCGTGCTTGTGCAAATCGTCCCAGATCGCTTTTTCGAGCGCATCGGTATTTTCTTTCATAAGTCGCACCAAATTGCTCAACTGCTCTTTGCGGTACGCTATATTTTTGGTTAAACCGGATCGAAAGGTTTGGCGAAGATCGTCTACGATGGAAGGAATCGAGGAAGTTGGCGTGTACGTTAACTGCGACATGGTGAGCTGTAGGATACAACAAGTGGGGAAAAAAAAAAAAAAAGAATCTGTCGCACTGTGGATTTTTTTTCTCTGTTTTTATATTTCATTTAGCATTTTCATTATCCGCAAGGACAGGCAAAATGGTCGGGTGACACCAAGGTTTCTCGTGCAGCGTGAATTCTGGCGCCTTTAGCGTGGAACAATTATCAATCTGTGTCCCCCCTCTGTTGAAGCTTATCGGTCAACGCACAGACGGAGTCCCCACAGAAGAACATCGACAGTGACAGGTCACAAAATGGGGCGGTTGACCGTGTTATTCCTGCTGCGGAGAATTTAGACTTGCTTAACATCCTCGATTAGAACAAAATGAAATAACAAAATCACTCATATTGCAACATTATATTTTGTGATGCAGTGGAAGGTTCGATATAAATAATGGATCTGGCACAACGCCCGTATATAATGTGCCTTTGCCCATATTTGGCCTAGCGATTGAACACCGCTGCTGCTAATAACGTTCAATGTCAGCGAAGGGATAAATAATGAACCCACTTTACTGCTGAGATGACTACCTGGTTGCCTCTTAACCCTATCGCTAGCATTTTGTATAAAGTAAAACAAAGTATGTACCTGAGAGAATGTTGCTGATCTTTTATGAAGCGCAAACAAACTTATTTCAACGATATGATCGAGACTTGACGGCGGAATCGATCTAATAGAGGAGTTAATGAATTCAAGTAACACTGAGCTCGTTCCTTGCAAGGAACACAAAACTAACTGTCACATGAAAATCAAGCAAGCAACTCAAAGTAATCAATATTCCATATGACTCTAATTCATTGCATTCATTCAGGGCACTTCAAAATGTTTCCGAACCTGTCCATGGAGGAAGATGAATTTTTTGGATTTATTATGTCGGTGGAAAGCTTCTACTTCAGAGTGACAACTTGTGCAATCGAAGCATTTTTTTTTGTAGGCCATGATGGAATTGGTCTGCCAAAACAGGTTTAAATATGCCAAACGCATACATATAACGCAAATGTTTGAGAGAAAAATTTCAGAAACCCACCGACTTGAATAAGTTGGAAGGAAAAAGCGGGCAATTAGGAATAGGTGTATGAAAGAAGCCTTCGCTTGAAGCACGAGGGTGATGCTTTCACTTAGTCACAATAAGGTTGACGGGTTTTGCTTTCAAAGGATCAGCGGGGAAAAAAATTCACAAAGGTTGTTTAGAGCAAAACATTTTGTCAAATAGCTTTGCAAGTACGGATTAGGAATGTCAGCATAATTGAAACGGATGGCTTCGCTTTTCGTAAAAAATATATTGTTCTGCCTCTTTATTCGAAGCATTAATGTCTTGCGGACTATTTGATGTTTTCCCTTTTTGCATTAACAAAATCATTTATGGATGGACGTTAGGCGAAAAAAAAAAAAATGGGAGTTATTTGTGAGGCGTCAAGTTGCGAAATCGGTGTCCAACCTTCTAGCTTCCGGGAATACAATGCACGGTCACAAGGGGGAAAAAAGTTACGGAACAATGTCATTTTGGGTTTTGTGGAATATACAGAATGCAGTGATGGTTTGTCGTGGTTTTGCTTTCGGGCGACATGATTGACGAGAGATTACGCTGCTATTAATTTGTTCTTACTGTTCCATCGTGATGCCAATACGGTCATTGCGATGCAAGAAAGAATATAGCCGCTGAATTTGAAGAATGCCGAACGAGAAAACTGTCTTTCTTCCTCGGGAGTACGAAAGGACGAATAGATCTTCCAGAGGTTGGGTAACGCCATGGCACAGAATCAGCAGCAGAGTGGTTTGGACGGGTTTCCCTCATTTCGGCAGCAGAGCAAATAAGAAGGTCCGCTTGCCATGATGTGGCAAATGTGACTTGCCCGTGGCCGGTGGCCGGAGGCCGGTTGCCCAAATTCCCGATCAATAGAAAAATCACACAATTTTCGACAAAGTTACAAGCCTGTTATTTGCAACATTTACACTAAATTATTTTAAACTGCAGTAATAAGCTCGATTTATCTGCAAAGCACCAGAGGAAGGCTCAGAAATGAGGTCGCTCTTAATAAACTGATATGCAATATAAATTCTCCTTATTTCATATTGAAGTTCTAGCAAGTCTTGACACATACACGGTGACAAACCTGGGGAAGCCATATCTATCCTTATAAATTGGTTTGTCGTGACCGAAAACGATCCTACCAAAAACTTTGGGAATCCAAAGGTAACTGTTCAAATAGCCCATGAAATGACGGATATCAACCTGATGGTTTGGCGCGCAGCTGATGTATGCTTCCTATTCTACTACAGATCGATCTTGGTGTTGTTGGCGTGTTAGGTTGGACAAAGTTTATTAATTTTGCGTCAAGGACATGCCAATCGAGCCCTTCTTGAGATTTGGAGGACGCCACCGCCATTTATAAAAGCATTCTTTTTTTATTACGTATTGGACATAAGGTTAACTTTTTAATGGCCTTCATCTGTTTGGTTATAAAGTATGTGGTACAATCAGTGTCAATCTTGATGGGAAGCATCTTGTGAAATAAGCTTAATCGGAGGTGAAGGATATACAGCAGTAGATGGGCAGCAAGCCAAGATGTATATTTCCTTAGGAAACTGGCATTGGTTAGCTTCGTACTACGTAACGCTTTCATCGTATAACTTGCTGAAATAGCGAATCAACATCTTGCATTCCAAAAATCTCGTCAATACACACATCTTTCCGAGCAAGAATAGAGGTGGTATCTTTAGATCCAGTTGTTGGTGTAAAAGAGCAAATGTGACCGTGATAATAAAAGCCCATTTCACATGGTTGTTTAAAACATTTTTTTGCCCCGCAAGAGAAAATTATAAATCTCATTCAGAGACATGTCAGCTTAATATTCAGCAACTTTCGAAATAATGGTATTTTGGTTGTCTTTTTCTTTTCTGGATAATGAGAGTGAGCACAGACCTTGAAAATGTTGGAAAAAGCTCATCCGGATAAATTCCCAATTTGTTTCTCAGCGATTCCGCTTTTTGGACGCCATCACGCAACTATGACGCAATGAAGATTAAAGGGAAACAATCGAGCATTGCCATGTGAATTCGCAAAGACAAAAAGTTCTCTAATTCATGTATCAATATTGCAAAGGATGATTCTTAGAAATTCTGTAATAAAAATGGTCATCATGGTGATATGATGAATCACAAGCGTTAGGCTTTACTGGGTTCTGATCACGGTGAGCTTTGTCCGATATTTGCAGAATTTGGAAATTTCACTCTTTTCCGATGCGCAAAGTCAGACAAAGTAATAAAAAAAAATCACTGTACGAAACCCCATGATGTTTGTTTACAAGTAGTGACAACGCTTGACAAGTGAAAGCCATCCTTAGCGGCTTCGAATATGGAAGGTGCCTGTATTCTCTTGATCAACCATAAACAAACCTGCATCCACCTCACTTCTGCATTTATCTCACTCCGAAGAACTTGCATTCATCGGTAATTCACAACCCACCAATAAACAGACATAGTCAAACCATAGCTCCATCCGTCAGTGTCGTTTTGTCAGATGATGGCACAAATGTCAGTCATCGATGACTCAATCGATTGGTAATGTTGAGAATACTAAATGATATGCATGGATGACAGCCCGAGGATATAATCCAGGCTTCATTCAACGCCTAAACCGAGATGTAAGGTTGGAAATGAGCCAATGCGTGACAATTTTCAATTTAAAATCAGCCAAAAAGTTATCAGGGGCGCTTCTTGCTCCTCTCTTTTTTCTCATCACTTTTTTTTTCTTATTCCTCGTTAATTTTTATACTCTAAAAAGATGACCAAGCCTGCGCAATATGCAAGCTTATCAATCAATCTGGTTGGTTTACTATCGAATCTTTATGGCCTTTACTGCGTGAATTTTGTATATGATAATCCTTATGCGGTTGGATTTGGAGGTCATTTTCAGGTAAAAACTCATCGTTTTCTACGAGATTCATAATGCAACAGTCGATATAGGTCGCTCCATGTCTCATTCTATCCACCCATAGTACCTCACCATTCTCGGACTCACCACAGCAACGTTTGCCTTTGCGTTGAATGTCCTTCGGTTCATGGTGCCTGGAAGTATGCCAAGTAAGTCCTTAAGAGAAGTGGAAGTTATTAGGTGGCTGGCAAGAATTCTCATTGGCATCGTATGACCTATTAGCTGCATACGAGATTGTATCCAATATTGCCACACCGGTAAGGAATTAGTACTATCAACAATGCTTTCGAATGCATCGTATTCAATTAGGAAATGAATCGCCATGTAGCTGGAAGGGTTGGTGTGTGTGATGTATTGGTCCATGGTGTTGTATGATCCCGAGACGCTGATACCCAAGGATATGCCTCCGATCCCTGTTAATGTTGATTTTTCTCTACATCTTTACCCCGCATTATTCCTGTGGTTCGACTTTTTGGTGTTCAACATCGAGTTTGAACGGTCGTACCGCCACATTATGGTGATTTATGGTTTCTGTGTATTTTATTTATTATGGTCCTCCTATTGTAATTCGAAAAACGGATATTGGCCGTATCCGTTCTTGAACGAGTTTAGCGATCTGGGACGAGTGGCATTTTACGGTGGATGTGGCACCCTTTGTTGGTGTATGTACGAAGCAGGTAAAGGATTATTGTGGATTGAATTCGCTTACAAAGAAATCCAATGTTAGCTTGCTAACAAGAGCTTTTGCAATGGGTTATTTAGGTGCGTTTGTACACAGTCGACTTCATCCTAAACTTCAAGTCCCTGCCCATAAAAAGTTGCAATAGAGATGCCTGGTGTCGCTGTTTAAAATAAAAATTTGACGTCAGCCACTTTGACTTTGACTTGGGCTGGTTTGTCCGCGATAAACAAGAAAATTAAAGTGGCCAAAAGAAAAAAAAAACACTTGGTTTATTCGCCTTCCGTTACATTGGATATTTAGTCCATTTTGTCCGTCCTTCCCCACTCTTCCTTGTCGTCTTTCTAGAATGAACTCTGTACGTTTGCTCGTTCGTCAGGCCGCTAAAACACCCAGTGTCCTCGCTAGACGTAACCTCCACACCTCTCGATGTGCCCTGTCGGACGCGCTCTTTGTGGTAAGCAATCCTCAATCCCACCCCCACACCAATTCCAACTTTTTGTTTATCTACGATTTTACTGAGCCATTGTTCGTTGCCTTTTTTTTTTCTCTATCTTCTGCCTCATTTTATAGCATCGCGACACTCCTGATAACAATGCCAACATTCCTTTCGAATTCAATGCGGAGAACAAGAAGCGCATGGAAGAGATCCTGAAGAAGTATCCTCCTCAATACAAAAAGGCCGCTATTATGCCTTTGTTGGATCTCGGTCAAAGACAGCACGGTTTCACCTCCATCTCGGTGATGAACGAAGTCGCTCGTTTGTTGGAAGTGCCTCCCATGCGTGTGTATGAAGTCGCAACCTTCTATACCATGTACAACAGGTAAAACCCCTCGTCGCATCACTACCCCCAACGCGAGTTAAATGACAGTGTGATAACCAGTCCTTTTTTCTCTTTTATCGATGCGTATCAACAGATCACCTGTGGGTAAATATTTCCTTCAGTTGTGCACAACCACACCTTGTCAATTGGGTGGCTGTGGATCTACCAAGATCTTGGATACAATCAAGGAAGAATTGAAGATCGAAGTCGGCGAAACAACAAAGGATGGTGTTTTCACTTTGGTTGAAGTGGAATGTGCTGGTGCTTGTGTTAACGCTCCCGTCATGGCCATCAACGACGACTACTATGTATGTGTCATAATGGAAAACTTGCAAACTTGCAATATCACCTACCTGAAAATTGACTGTATCAAATTGATTTGATATTTATAGGAGGATTTGACCCCCGAGACCACCAAGAAGCTTTTGAACGACATTAAAGCAGGTAAGCCTATCAAGGCTGGACCTCAATCGGGACGTTTGACCTGCGAGCCTGCACCTGGCGTATACACCACATTGACCGAGGAACCTTACGGTCCTGGTTACAGAGTCCGTGAAGATCTGTAAATTCCTATTTTAGAGTAAAAAAAAGTTTGTAGGATTTCATCATCTTTCACAGGTCCCTTTTTTGTTATTTTTCTTTTCTCATTCCCACTGTATTTTCTTGTCTCCCATCGTAGAAGGCGCCCTTCGTAATATAATAAATCAGGACAAAAAAAGAAGAGCACTGCATGATTAGAAGAAAAATTCAGAGACGAGACAACGTTGTCATGATAGGATGATGGAATTTTATTCAATGACATTCCTGTTTGGATCAATTTTTTTTTTAAATGATGATACAGGGACGGATCAGTTCTATAAAGCACCTATTCTTGGTATCTGATACGCTGGGTCTGTCTTTGTCTTTGTCTTTGGCTATGCATGTATGCGTGTGTGTATGTATGTGTGTGTGTGTGTCCGCCCCTGTGTAGAAGGGGTGGTAAATGATAAAAAAGTTGGAAATCAAAAGATGATACGATGTGGTTTTTTAACTATGGTAGATACGGTAGCCGGGTATGCCATAGACATCGAAACCCATGGCGTTGGCCATTTGTCCAAAACCTTCTGTATCAATAGCGTGACGGAATGGGAAAGGAGGGAAGATGGCGCCCTGTCGGTGCACAGTGGCTTTGACCAGCGTGAAAGTGCCTCCAACACTGTCCAAGCGTACCTTGTATTTTAATCCCAGATGCGTTGGCATGTCAACCATCTGAAATCCAAAAAAAAGAGAAACAAACCGTCGATCAGTTTAGATTCCATATCACCTTGTCAAAAGAAAAAAAAACAGAAAAAAAAGGCCGAGTGCAATTTTAGATGGAAGTACTTGCCTTCATTCGACCTGTGGATACCGAGGTCACTTCGTATCCTTCCATAAGAATGCGATCGTCTTGCATGTCGTTCACCATCTGGATACTTGCATCGGTTTCAGCCCAGTTGTTATGATCAAAACCCCAAAATGCACCGTCCTTCCGTAAAAGCAAGCAATTGGGTACAATCACATCAACATTGGTGCTCATCAGATCGTTAAAAATAGAAGTCGGATATTGTACGACATGAAGGTCGATCCACGCCACCCAACTGTGATACTCTTTCAATGCTGCGGTGAGTAGATAGTTTCGTGCTTTGGCAACGATCGATCGTTGGTAGGCCACCATTGCCAGATCGGCATCGTCTCCAACCGTGGTATCTATGGGAAAATCGCGCTGATACACTGTCACATCGTAAAAGTGGTTGAACCATCGATTCTTCACTTTGTAAATCACTCGCTGGACAGTATCCATCGTCGCTTCGTTCGCATTCGACACAAGCAAGCCCACAGATATTAACTGGTTCGGATACGTCGTTTTATCTAAAAGTCGAAAGTATTGCTCCAAATGCTGGGCGTCGTTATTGTTGACAAGCGTCAGTACGAGAAGATGTTCCCCGTTTTCTTTGGCATGTTCCGAGGCATTCAAGTGGTTTAGATTGATGTAACGGTATTGAATGACTTCAGATGCATTGGTGGACCCTGAAAGGGTGTCCTCGGGTTCTGATCGTGGTTGATGACATGTTGTAAATGAAGTATAAGAATCATAGGAGTAAGACGATAGGGAACTCAGTAGATATACGGAAGCCGAAATGATGGCAATTAATAGCAGGATGGTTCGTCGCCCCCATCGAAAGACAAAGAAATTCGCCATTGGATTTCTCTCGGCAAGGCAAAAAGTGTCGATAGAATGTATGATACGGCAAAAGGGACGTGGTACGTGGAGTAGAGAAAAGAAAGAAGTAAAATAATGTAGCGGAGTGATCGTTGATCGATAAAAAAAATTGCGATTTTTTTCTTTTTTCTCTTTTTCCAAGGCCTTGGGGTTAAACTTTGTCTGATTGGCTTTCCCCAGTTGGGCAAAAAAAATAATAAGCCTTTTCCTTTTACTTTGAGATTGACCAAGCAATTTGATATTTAATTTAGTATAAAAGTGCTAGCAAAAAATAAACCGAAATGGTCATGGCACGTTTATAAAAGAAAAGGGGAGGCCCAGGAAACTCTTGACGATCTTGCCTTGTTCTGGGCCTCGAGTCGGTGGACAAAAGTATCGGAGTTGGAATACTTCAAAGATTGACATTGGGATTTTTTTTCTTGTGATACGCTCTGACTTAATCCACCACTTTGTGTGATAAAGAAATTCCATATGATTTTTACTTGATCATAATACGCTCACAGAAGGAATAAAAATAAGGGCAATGATATTGGTCCAGATCTACAACGGATCATTTGGACAAAATTTTCTCGCCTGTATTACCTATTTTAAGCATGAAACAAAAAGAACAGTGCCGTGCAGCAAATGATGAAATGTAAGGAGATTTCAGGCTCCATAAGCAAATGTCATTATGCAGGTACAGAAAATCGTGGTAATGTCTTTGTGAACAAAGAACTTCCTAAAGATGCGTACGGGGTGACATCAAAATCAACTATTATAATCCAATGTAGTTGTTGATGATGTTTTATAAGCGGCACATACAGATAATTTCTTTAGGTTATGTAGGTTCTCAGGAACAGAAAGAATCCCATGAAAAAACACATGTAATTAGTCGGTCAGCACAAGCACATTCTATTCTGCAAATAGAATAGTCAACCTCTCCCTCTATTTATTGTTTTTTTTTTTTTTTTATAGTCGCATGTTACGGTGATAGCAGCATCTGAAAATCGGTGGCACAAAAATCTTCTTCGTTACTCAGCCATGTTGTGTTGCCATGGCACAGACTCTGGTGCCAATCGCCGGAATCCTCTTTGCTGAGTGGGAAAAATCAAGGCTTATTTCTATCAGTGTGCAACACTCACAGCGGCGATCTTCGTTATCTTTGCTTGTGTCAATAACGTAAAAATATGTTCTTTTACAGGGACGGTGATGTACTACTGATGGCGTCAAACATTGCATGGAAAATTATTTGCGATCATGATAATGCAGAGAGAGATAGCGAAAGAGAATCATGGGAATGAAACTGCCGATTTTATGCGAGAAAAGCAAAGATTCTCTAGATGATTACACGGAATGATAAATTGTAAATGATATGGACCTGCCATAGTATGAATAGAGATATAGAAAGAATGGTAAAGGAAAAAAAAATGGAATAAATGAAAAAGAACCCTCACTTCAGGAAAAGGAGAGAGAGAGAGAGAGAGAGAGAGAGAGAGAGAGAGAGAGAGCGAGAGAGGATTATTCATGAACGTGACCATCCTCTTCCTCCATTTTTGTTTCCACGACAACGGTTTCCATTTCTTCGTTTTCTACGTCAAAGATGTAATGGTAATTCAGGATCAGATACTTGACAATGTTTTGATGATGCCCGAGATTCGACATGGTAGTAGCAAAGGATGCAGGTCCAGGAGCTGGCTGCAACAGTGTAGGTCCAAACACAATGGCAAGATTGGTCGCATACATATGATTCGTGGCCTCAAAATCAGTGACACTATCACTCGATTGGTCAGCTTGACAGGAAATTTTACACGATTATACTGTAACTTACATGACAAAATGCTCAATCAATCGCTTTAGAAAGGTATAATTCGTGAGTGGGAGCTTTTTCACAATCGTCTTGATGAGGTACACGCGTTCATCATGGTCTTCCGCAGCTAGAATGAACAAAAAACAAAACCATCTTTCAATATGAATCTTCACAGATGGGATGGGCTACTGTAAAACAATCTCAAAACAAAACGTACCCGACGCATTTATCAATTCGTCGTACAGTCCGTGAGTAAGCACCGGTTCAGGTAACTCTCGCAAAAACTGCTTGAAAGCATCGGCGACCACATTGATGTCTGCCCATGCAGGATCGCTCAGATTCACTTTGGCGGAGTTGCGATTGAATTCGCGCTTCAGTTGGGTTACGATGGATCCTGTTCCTGCCACACGGTAAATCCCGACTTCTTCCAGTCCACGCGCTTCAATTTCCTTCATGCATTTCTCGGCAATAATGGGTATATGACCATCACTCATCAGCAATGGCAGGTCCACACCGTACACGGTGGCACGCGCTGATTTGCTTGCCGAGCGAGGCGATGCGGTGGTGGGCAGCTCGGTGTATTGCTGGTTGCCTGCTTCAATATCCAAGGATTCGGCAGCGAGTACGCTTTGACGCTTCGCCGCCCCTTCGCGCGCCGTGTTATTGATGTGCTGCATCCAATCATACATTTCGTCTCGTGAAATACTCTGAAACAGGTACTGTCCGCCTTCCTCTGTGACCACTCGAAACACGAAATCACGTTTCGTGTACGCGCTCGCCACGGACGTCGTAGAATGGATCAGATTAATGACGGTCGATGCTTTGGTGGTTAGGAAAGAGAGCGTCATTGGATCCTGTTCGCCTGGAATCGTAGCCAGGGTCGACCCTGCCATGGAGATGGGCCGGAGTCCGCGAAGGAACGAATTGATCTTGGGAAGCACTTGGTAGTGTTGCTGTTGCAAAGACAAGTGTAAATGCTGATGATGCTTCTGGTTGCGACGTTCCTGTTTCTCCATGTTCCGCGCTTGCTCCACTTGCTTCTTTTGAAGTTTTTGTTGCAAATCACGCCACTCCCGATCGATACGATCGCGTTCCTTGATGTCGCATTTGAGTTTCTCCAGCTGCTCCATTACCAGTTTGCCAAAGACGGTCGATCGACTGCTGTGCGATTTATGGCCTGCACTACGACTCACCAGGCTGCCGGACGATGATCCACTCGTTTTATTCTCTCGGTGGGCGTAGTCCTTCATTTCTTTCCATGTCATTTTGTGTGCATTGGGTGTGACGATGAACGACATGCACGGTTGGCTGGAATCCTGCTGCGACGATGCTTCCTGTAAATCGATCTGGGCATTCATCACCAGCTGCAAGAAATAGAACACGTAGCGTCGCTTGTCAAAGTTCAGCATATCGTCATTGTTACCGTAAGCATTGGGTACCGAAACACATAATTCCAGCATGCGTTCAAAGATCCAACCAAGACTCGGGACAAGCATAAGCGTCGTTTCGTTTTCGTGAACGGACTCCGTTGGTGATACATGTTGCAGCAAGTTCTCCAAGGTATCCAGAGCCGCGTTGTTATGCCGACGAGATACTTCGTTCCAGGCTTTTGAAAACAAACGTACTTCGGGACTCATCAGCGCGCTCGCTACCGCATACTCGATAAAGCCAGGCACACGGCGAGACGCGTGACCCGAAGCTTTCAATTCCGGAAACAACGCCATTCGTTCGGTGGCGGCCTTGCTCATGATGAGCATTTGCAGAAACTTGTCCATTCGTTCCACGCGGGCCTTGAAGCTGATCTGCCGAGCCGTGATTTCGTGAATCACCCAACTTCGGATGATAAAGTGCATGCAGTACAGATATTGAATGGAGCTAGGGAACGCAAGTAACAGGTCATCTACAGAAAATGCTGAAGGGGACACAATCGAGCGACGCGCTCCTTCGATGGCGGTGAAGATATCGGACACAATCACGTCTTCTACAGGAATATGATAGTTGGTTTGCTGCGCTGACGGCGCTTCCGTCACCGGCGATAGCGCCGACGACATGACCGATGTTCGCGACGCTTTTCGTGCCGGTAGCCAAGCATACAAATCGCCCGACTGAACTTCGAACACGTCAAATGTCTGAATCCAATCTTGCAACGTTACGGATCCTGCCAGATCGCGCACCGAACGATCCGCTTCTTCCAACAACGTTTTGGCCGAGCACGCATCCACAAGACTGCCAGCATTCTTGTCCAGCGCCGAATCCACCAGGCAAAATGCCATGGTCTTGCTGTTCACTTGTTGTACCGTGGTGCTGAAGCTTTGCGTGCCAATGGTCAGCCGTCGATACAATTCGTCCACGTTGCGACTGCCCATGATATCGTACTCGATCGCTTTCAAGTCGTAACATGGAGATAGCGCTTTCCGAATGAATTGACCGCGCAAATCGCTCATGCGCTGCTCAATGATTGCAGCGCTTGCCAATGCGCGAGCAATATCGGGATCGTCACCAAGGGTCTCCGATAGCGGTTTTTGCCATTCTTCCAGAGCGGCCTTTGCAGAGTCCAAGAATCGTCTGATATGGCGCAAAACCTCAATTTCGTCAACAAAGTCGTAAAAATGAACTTCCATCCAATAGATTAACAGATTGACCACCCGAAGTTGGACCATGGCCACCGCTTTCCAGTCGTAACGGGACATCATCGATGCTTCTTCGTCAGGGACATCATTGATAAATATGGATTCGAGAGAATTGAGTTTATGCTGTTCCGTACAAAGACACGATGCTTTGGCGTGAATAAATTGATCCCTTAAAAGGTCCAACAATCGTGTGCAGGAGCAAAATACACGGTACGTGGTAAAGAATGCGATAACGTATTCTTCTTCATCCATCGTTAATTGTTGCGGTGCATTCTCACCTTGACTTTCTCGCCACCACGATGGCCATTGCTCTTTCATTGCATCACTGTAACCAGCGACACCATGCACTAGTACTTCCACCAGACGTTCCAGTCGGCCCGACTTCACGGTCACCAGTACTTTGGATTCGGGCGGAATGGCGTTGGAGGCTGGTTCTTCATCTTCCTTCCACGTCGTCACATCGTTGTCACGGTTAAGAGTACCAGATCGCGAACGTACCAAGGAGCTCCCTCTTTCGGTAACGGCTAAAAACCCGCTCGAAGTACTTTGGGACATGGCTTCTTCACTACCTGGAGCGACCAAAAGCGTAGAAGCCTTTAAGATCAATTCGCCTCCGTGAATACGCAGAATCCATTCGCCATGGGGCAGTTCCTTTCTTTGCGCCGCATCAAAAAGCAGCTTATCGTCTTGTGATCCATGCTGTTGGGAAATAAGTGACCCTAGCCACGTTTTACTGTGAATGGAATCCAGGTAACTGCCGTGATGTCGCGAGTCGCTCGTCGATTCCGTATCAGCCGACGGTCCACCGGGCGGGAAGCTGTAAGTACGGCGCCGAAACAACTTGCGATTGCTTGCTCGTGCCGACCGACGTGTACTGTCCTCACCACCGGCCGCAGCATGGCGTGAACTGTGTGAACCAGTCGTACTGGGATACGACTGAGTCACATCGTCGAGAAAAGAGCGAAGAGAACGAATGCTTTGATATGAGTATTTCTTTCCAGGCTGCAGCTTGGACGGAGATGAGACGGCGGCAGCACTGGCACCTTCCAGAGAACCATCGTGCGAAGCTGTATCGTCCGGGAATAATTCATAGCTCTTGATGATTTCTGGGAAAGTGAGAAGCGAAAGAGACGGCGGAGCGACTTCCGATTCGCGTGAATCATACCGAGGATTGCGTTCCACGCTGCCGAAAATGCGAGGTTCACATGCTAGAGAACATTCTTGAAGGTACTTGAAATTATGAGGAACAGAGATAAAATCGGTCACGGAACGATCAAAAAAGGTCTGCAGCGGACCGACCACCTTGAACGGCACACTGTCCACGTCCGACAGCGGACGATGATCTTTTTTCCACTCTTGCAATCCATGTTGAATAATGTCGTAGATGTACCAGTATTTGGAAAAGTTGACGGTGCAAGGATCGAAAGAGCGTCGGATATGGCGGCGCACGCGATCGACGGTTTGACGAATGGTCCCGAAAAATGGCAACGATCGTGTGGTGTAAGAGCGAGGTGGCAAGGATAACTTGTCCATATCAATAATGCTAGCGAATTGCAAAATCATGGTACTTTCCCATCCTTCGACCCAAGCATCCTGCGTAAATAATCCATAATCCGCCAAGATGCGCACCCAATCCCGTACGATCATGACGACCAAGTCGCGATCGACGGTTTTCCATGATTCTTTGAGTCGGACAACGCCAAGCGAACAAATTCCCATGGCGACCGCGCACCAGCCTGTCAAATCACCCAGATCCAACAAGCACATGCCTACACGAATCCAACGCTCCAAAAGCTGCGTTCGCATAAGTTTGCCATTGTATCCCTCGGTCAGTGTATCGTTTTGCTGAGTATCGACAAGAATGTGGTTCCGAATAATGCGGGTTAAAAAGTGGGGAGTGACACTGGTGAATAAAAGAGCATTCTGCATCTTGGGTGATACGTGGGGTCGGGGTAAAAAGGACAGTGGAGACAGCAACGGTTCAATGTGTAGCCGATGTAGCGACAGATGGAACAAGTAAATCTGTTCTGCCAATCGTGCCGGGTCAATGCTGAGAAAGAGAGCGCAGCTAAGTCCTGTGACGAGAACGTTGGAGAGATCCACGGACGTGGGCGAGGTGGATGCCGAGTCAGTAGTAGATACGCCAGGGATGTCTTGAACAATGTGGCTTTCGTCCCATAAAGGTGTAAGATCGGCTGACTGCTCGTGCATTTTGCCATTCTCAGCTACGGTTCTGAGCACGATTTGTTTGACCGCTTTTCCTCTGTCACGAAGGTCGCTCGTCAGTTCATCGCGCGTGAAAAGTGTATCGAGGATCGAGATCATGCCGGAAGCGACTTCCCCCACCACATCTTGAGAAAACCGTTCACACCACACCCTAAAGATATCGAGGACGCGGAAGAACAAAGCCTCTGTGCCAATGACTTTGTCTTGCAACGTCCAAGTCAGATGATCTTTGAACAATTCCAGGATTCTTCCCGCTGCCATAAACACAGAATACGTTAATAGAAACGCATTCAGATAGTCATCCGAAGGTCCTTGCGTTTGGAATAGCAATTCATGCACGAGAGCTTCTACGGTGCCACCTTGCACTTTACGTTGGGTCGAATCGGTTTCGGATGTCACCAAATTGGGATGGATGTTGGTGCCTTTGTAAGATTCATTGTATAAAATGGCGGGAATATCTTCCATTTCCGCCATTGAGCCTGTCGTGGTATTTCCAAGGCATGACTGCGCCTCATACACAGCCGCGAGAAATGACATGCCTACTTCGCGCGATTTGCATGAATACACCGTCCGCACCGCCGGTCGAGATCGAAAGGAGAGGGTGAACGCATAAGCATCGGTGGTAAAACTGGGAGGTGCCAAACGCATGTCGGATTGAAAAAAATGGCTGGATAAGCTGTCGGTTTGGGATCGTGGCGTGGTCGGAGCTGATAACAGTTCATCGGTCGATTCTTCCAGTCTGATGGAAATCAGTGGCAGACGGAACTCAATTCTCCAAGTATCTTTTCCCTGTGGTTTTTTACAGATGACGAGTTTTTCCGCAAGGAGAATGAGGAGCACATGTTGCCTTGAGAACGGATCAATTTCAGTAAAAGTAGCCGAACACAGAGGGATGTGAATGGGAGATGAAAATAACTGTGCCTGAGCTTCTTCATCAAAATCTTCTGCATTCAGGAACGTTTCCTTGGGTGATGGTAGGGATGTCAACATGGGTGGTACATGTTTCTGTGAGGCGAGGCTGGTATTGGATAACGACAGTGACAGGGAATGGTCTCTGGGCAACGGGAATAAAGTTTTAAACGGTGATTCGGCGGGGACTTTATACAGGTACAGCTTATGGCCACGCAGCGCTACCCGATACAATTTCCAACCTCGATGAAGCTTGGAAGGTTTATGAAAGGGTCGAAAATCGGTCTTCTTGTAAAGGTAGCCTTCTTTAACAATGATCAAACTGGCCCGGTTTTTATTTTTAGCCGTGGAATCCCCTCCGCTTCTGGCGAGTGGTTGAACTGCAGAATGATCATGGTGAAGTCCATGACCTTCCAGGGCCATGAACGATGCCGGTCGTGCATTGCTGGCACCTGAGCGTGAGAATTCCGGGTGGTGGAAAGCACTGCGATCATCATACGATTTTGACAGCGATTTGTCCACGACGGGTTCATCTGTACGGTCGGACGACGAACGGCCTGTATTGTCTACTGACCACAGTGATTTCTGTGGCATGGAGTAATTAGACGATGTGGAGGCACATGGACTTGTCGACAGTGGAGTCTGGTTATCCGCATCCGATAATAATGTGACCGGAGGTTGTAATGGAACGTTGGTGCGCACTTCATGATGGCTCGTGCCACTACCGCTGCTGGCAAAGAACCGATTCTTTAGAAATGTAAAGGTACTGCTACGTTGAGCAATTTCCTCCTGTGAACGTCCACTATTGGGGCTAGTCGCACCACTGCCATTGCTTGGCTTGGATTTCCTCGACTTCATTGACAAAGAAACAGGATATAAAAAAAAAACAGAACGGGGAGAAATTTTAAGACACGCCTTTTCGAAATGTAATTTTTTTTTCTCTTGTCGTCTTTTTTTTTTCGCTTGGTTTTTTTTTCTGTGTGTTTAGAAGAAAAAAAAAAGACCCTCCTTGTATTGAATATTTTTCACTCTTTTCTATTTTATTCTAGATTAGGAGAAGCAGTAGTTGCTTAATATGGGAGAGAGGAGACAAAAAGAAAGAATTCGCTGGTTGGGATTTTTTTTTTCAACTTTCTAATCCGCATGGTTGAACAGATAGCTCACACTTTCACCATTGTGCTACAATGAAACAAGGACCGTCAGCAACTTTATACCAACCAAATTGACGCTCAGGCAATCCGCTGGTATCTCCGCTCAGCTTCGATGGAAGCCTCCTGGAGAAGCAGAATGCACAGTACGCAAATAAACAAGGACTTACCGTTCTTCGAATCGCTTCTGAAAAGGTATTGGAAATATCAATCACTTCTAATTTGGTGCATTGATTCATTTTTTCCTTGGGAAGTGGGAACGTGTTTGTCACCACCAACTACTAACGGCATGAATTTTTGTGTTGCCGTCGCTCATTCCCTTTTGGATGCCCTACCTTGTAAACACTGTCACAAGCTTCGATTTTTTTAATCGAATCGCCGCTGAGTACACCATGGGTGGCAATGATGTAAACCTTGTCTGCACCGCATTTTTTCACCAAATGCTCTGCAGCATCAAGGAACGTGCCACATCCATCGATTATATCGTCCTGTTGTCATCGTATACACAAAAAAATAGTCAGTGACTCCGCTGGGATTCCGATAACTTGCCGTTGCACTTGTCTCTCCCCTCCCCCTCCCCCTCCCCCTCCCTCATTTTTTCTGGTCACCCTAGATTATCACTTTCTCCTGAACTTACCGTCAAAAACACCACTTTACCCTTGACGTCACCGACAAGTGTGATGGTACTTTCTTCACCTTCCGTATTGGCGACCACCGACACAGCAGCGTTGACAACGTCACCATTAGATCCTGTCTCACTGATAGACGAGATCGAGGCCATCAATTCTTCGGTTTCGACTTCGCGGACCGTCGACACACCATCAGCATTGGCTTTGGGCATACCACTGTAGGGGCGATTGGCGCCATGAGGACCAGAGCGGGATCGATCTTTATGAATCAATGCAAAATCCAATCGAAGGGCGTCGGCCAAGGACGTCACTCTACCATGTCATCCAAAAAGTCAGTTCAAGCCCTGGAAGCATGCAAAAAAGTAAAGCAAGATTCTCTCTGATTTTACCTTTTGGCGCCACCTGCATTTTTGCTTACAACCACGCCATTTTCCCAGTTGGGCACGGTTTGAGTGATCCATTTGGCAATGACAGGTTCTGCATATAAATTATCAACCGGTCTTTGGAAGAAACCCTGCATTTGAGAAGCGTGCAAATCCATTGTCTAGAAAAAATATACCATTCCATCAATATAGGCCCATCACAGAAAGAAAAGATAAAACAGTGTCGTAGACTTACAATGATGTGATCTACACCTGCAACTGCAAGCATATTGGCCACCACTATGATCATTTGCACCCGAAGTTAGTATTTCTAGATTTCCTCTCCAAGGAATGCCTATACAAACTCACATTTGGCAGTAATACAGGTTCGACCTTTGCGCTTGCTTTGCTTGCAGTAAGGGAAGTAGGGTAAAACAGCAGTAATTCTCTTGGCCGAACCCATGCGAGCTGCTTGAATCATGATACACATCTCGATGATGTTATCGTTCATTTCGTTGGAACCAGACTGGATAATGAAAACGTCTTCATTACGTACAGAAACTCCTAAATAACAGTAATAAGAATGCCAATAGATAAATACCAAGGGTGTAATAAGAGAAGCTCAAGTAACTGCATTACCGATCTCAACGCTTGTTTCTTTATTGCTAAACTTTTTCAAGGTTGTATCGGCCGGCTTGGTGCCAAGACGCTTGCATACAAGTTTAGCAAACTCCGGGTGAGAAGAACCCGAGAGGATTTTAGTGTTGCGCATAGACAATGTGGCGAGTGGGCACTGCTTTCCGAGCAGGTGGGGTGGGAGGGTGGAAATGTGCAAGGCTGCTTTTTTCTTATTTTAAAGTTTTTTTTTTTTTTTCGAAAGCAGCGGTGGCGGAGTTGATGACCCACGTGACTGGCCTGCGAAAATCGGCGAGAATTTGTGGGAATTTCCGACATTTTGACAGCAACACGATGGATATCGACGGGTTTTCAAAAAATACGCATTAATCAAAATCGCTTATAGCCTTGAGTCTTTGTGTGGACAGTATCCATAATTAGGATCATTTCATATAATACGAAGACAGTACTGATTCTACAGTTCTTCATTCATCAGTTGGTTATGCAGTCTATAATAAGCCGATCGATTCGCCAGAAGTTGTTCATGCGTGCCTATCATCCAAAATTTTCAACCAGTGAGTCCTCTGCAAAAAGCAGTATTAGCAAATAAAAAATCGCTTTACCCTGTTCGATGATATTGCCAGGTACTCGGCCCATGACAACGATTAAATCTATAGAAAAAAATGAAATAATTCAATATAAAGTACCTCGTAAACACACAAAAAATAAATGGATAGCTTACCGGCAGCTCGAATGGTAGACAGACGATGAGCGATGATCAAGACCGTTCGTCTTTTCATGAGTACATCAAGCGCTTCTTGTACCATCTTCTCGGAATGAGCTATTCATTGATCACAAAAATCAATAAAATAACACTTTGCAGAGACTATGATGCATTTACTTACTGTCCAAAGCCGATGTGGCTTCATCAAGAATAAGGATCTGAGAACCAACATTGTTAGTATGTGTCCACTTATTTTTTTCTGTAGGAAACACTACCTTTGGATCTTTCAGAATAGCGCGAGCAATGGCAATACGTTGCTTTTGACCTCCAGACAGAGATGCTCCACGTTCGCCCACAATGGTGTTATATCCATCAGGGAACCCTTGAATGAATACCTCGGCATTCGCTTTGCGAGCCGCTTCACGAACTTCTTCCATGGTAGCTTCCGGACGTCCATATCGAATGTTTTCCAGAATCGTCGTTGCAAACAATACAGGTTCTGTAGCCGAGATTCAGTTTATCCATGCATAAAAATAATACTCACTTTTCCTTTAACTTTACCCTGATTGATAAAACCAATATGATTTCTGAGCCAGGACGGATCTAGTGTGCCAAGGTTTTGGCCGTCAAGGTAGATATGACCATCGGTAGGTTCATAGAATCGTTCCAAAAGCGAAGCAATCGTCGATTTGCCCGAACCAGACGGGCCACAAAGGGCGACAGTGGTGCCGGCAGGTATGGTAAGATTAAATCCGTTCAATACTTGCTGATCTGACCGTGACGGATAAGCAAATTCCACATTTTCAAATTTGACGTCGCCAGAAACAAAATGGATCAACTCTCCGCCGTGAAGAGGCACTTGAGGATGAAGATGAATGAACTCAAAGACACGAGCGGCTGAGGCCGCGGCTTTGATGGTTTGTCCAAAAAGGACACCCAACGATACTAACGCACATTCAATAAGTCCTGTCTGCTTTCGGATAAAGCCATCCTGCTATCCACATACCCAAAGATTGTTGTGCAGTTTGCGTGGACAAAAGATAGCTGTGTTCGTCAAAAAGAAAAAGGTGCCAACAAAAATGAATTGATCCGCCGTTTCGTTTTGGTATGACAATTATACAACTTACGTCATTAGATCTCCATGAGTCATTTCATTGCGGGCAACAAGTGATCCTCCACGATAGAGAATAGTCAATACCTATAACACGATCAATGTACTCTCAGCATCAGGGAACGAAAGGATCAAGTTGAAAAATTACCATTAATCCAATGGAAATATTCGTCAAGCCTTGGAAGACACCAATATGCATTCCCATGTGTTTGTTGGCATTGGCGACTTTTCCGCAGGCGTTGCCATAATATTCCATTTCGCGTTCTTCAGCAGCAAATGCGCGCACAGTGCGCATGTTGGAGAGCACTTCACCGGCAATCCCACTCGCTTGACCATCTAATCCTTTGCTGTATTTGCTTAATCGTCGAAGATAAGCGCCATAAATATTCAGTAGCACATAAAGAACGGGCATGGTAGCCAGCATGGTCAGCGTCAACGGGGCCGAAATTCTGAACAAGTGAACTGCTGATCCCACTGTTTGCGTCACAGCCTTTAGTCCTTGGGTAACCAGTTGTTTAAACGTACTCTGAAAGAGAAAACAAAAACAACTCGATAAGCTAGCTCCACCAGCTCCACATAAATGGTCCATGATGTACCTTGAATTCTGCAACATCAGAGGTAAGTCTACCGACCAACTCGCCACTGCGATGGGTATCAAAGAAGGACATATCCTGTTGCACAATAGCAGAAAACAATCGAGTTCGCAAACGCTTGGCTACGTTCTCACCAAACATGGATACCAGCGATATATGCAAAAATGTGAAGACGCCTATGTGCCAACAAAAAGCTCGATGAATCAACCATCCCAATACTCGTACACGACAGAGTAAGATAGGTGACTAACCTTGGGCAGAAAGGAGAGTAAAAAGTTTCAAGGCAGGTCCGTTCAAATCTTCCAAGGACAATGATTCTACGCCCTTGGCGGCGGCTTGTATCACAGTAATAAGCTCTCCAGTAATAACGGGTGTTTGCAAGTGGGCTACGGCTGCACATACGGCCGTGAGCACAATAAAGCATAAAAGCACGAAATCAGGTTTGACAAGTTCCCAAATATTTTTCAGTAATGACGGTCTAGGTCGTTTGGATTCAATGGCTGCGACAACATGTTCTTTCGTTACTGCTTTCTGCTTGGCAGCGAACGAAGGTGGAGCCACGGCTTCGCAGTAAACAGGTCGTAAAGTCCACATGGAAGGCTCAGTTGCAATGCGAATGCCGACAGCCACAGTAAGCACGCGGCTCGCAGTAGTACTCGTTGCCTGGAACACTCGACGAAGTGTAGGCGATTGTAGGGCAGAATGTTTGGTGTGCCATGGCGAGCTAGGTATTGTGTGGAATGCGTAACGTTGACTAGGGCAAAAGAAACGATGCAAAGACGAAAGCCGTAGACTGGCGGTCGTCTATATGACGCTTGAGTACACAAAGCAGAGAAAAGCAGGGAAACCGCAAATGACTTACTTTTAGACGACCTGGACATCGAAACAGGATGCTGGCCACAAGGGGTGGCATGCTTAATTACGTTTAATTCACACTGTTCTTTGAGAATGTCAAACTGAAATTTCTTTCAGAATTTCCCCAATTTTCAAGTCACTTGCAAAAATTTCTCAACCATCATATGCTTTTTAGTCAGTGGCATTGAGTAATAGTACTTACAAAATTTAATAATAAACGTATAACGCAAAAAGGAAAAATACTACAATGGGTTACATACAATTAATTTAAGAGAAGCTCGCTACTTTTTCCATGGAGTTCTCAGAAGGGATTCTTTCGGTCTCGGGTTGCTGTGCTTGCGCTTCTTCTTGCTCTTGGATGGCGGCTTGGTAGGCGACCAACTCCAATTTCGCTTTATCCACGTCGATGAAGATCACAATGACAATAGCGATAATAAACAACCCAAGCACGAATGGCCAGCCTTTCCAAAGGTTGTTTGTATGTTCGGTAATGGCACCAATCACCACCGGTCCGATCCATGAAGAAGCCTTATTCACGACACCGAACAATCCAAAGAATAGGTTTTCTTTGCCCTTGGGGATCAACTCAGCCAACATGGTTTGCTGCCAGGCCCAGATGGGAGCTGTAAAGAGACCAGACCATACATAAAAGACCCATAATTCCCAAGTGGTCTACAAGGCAAAACATCATGTTACATTTCACACTGCGTTCAGCTTCCACAAAATCCGACGTACCTTGATTCCGAAATTATCCAGTCCAATGCCGAAGCAACCCCAAATCGGGATAATGGCAGATAACGTGACGATGATCAAAAGGTTAACCTTGGTTCGTACGCCAAACCGTTTAGAGATCCAAAGGAAGAATAGACAACCAATGATGGAAGTGATAGCTGAAGCCAAATTGAGAATCGTCAGTTGTCTTGCCGAAAAGCTGGTGATTTCTGCCTGCACAATGGCGATCATCTGGTTGGTAGTGGAGACGGCGTCGGAGAACATAAAATACGAGAAGATGTACATGAACAAATACCGCAACTTTTTCGCCTCCCTAGTTTGTTCCACGATTAGACATCCCTATTTGGGTTCCACAGGCTGAGTTACAATTTCACGCTTACTTGAGCGCCAGGAAAATGGATTTCCATCCAATGGTGAAATGATTGGACCCTTCAGGGAGATTAGGTCCGCGACGACCCACGGGACGGAACACGAAATAAGGTAACGCGTTTAACACCCAGTACGCACCGCATACCACGGTGGAAATAAAGTTGTACAATGGCACATTGCCCAAGACGTGATCGACACCGGGAGGAAAGTCATAGTTTGACCAAGGTGTGTATGAGACGCCGGATAGAATGCCTTTTCAAACCAAAATAGAAACAAAATAAATAAATGAACCGAAATGGTGAAAAAGAACGTTAATCACAAGGTCCATCTTATGTTGTCTTGTGACTTTGCTAAAAAAGATATCCTCACCTGTCATCACGAGAAAACCAACATTGGAGAACACGGTGGACACAGCCGAAACTTGATTTCGCCATTTTTCAGAGACGGTGAGAATTTCATCGCGTGTTAATGTAGGATCGGCTCGTGCTTTGCGAACCACAGGAAGGTTATCACTGTTATATAAAAAACAAGCATCGATAAGCATTCGTGACCATCAGATGCTTTTTTTCTTTGTTGTTCATAATCCTTTGTGTAGCTGAGAAAACGTCCGTGTTACCTTAGTTGAGGAAAAGCAGCACCATAAAACACCAGGGAAGTACCGTAAGCGATCAAAGCAATGATCATAATACCCATCATAGCATTCCAATGTGAGCCGTCGTCATTGACAAACGCAACTGGCACGATCTGTGCAGCACAACCAATAACGGTAGCGAACAATAAGATATACCAGTTCCATCTTCCATAATCGGCCAAACTGCCAAATGTAGTGAATAAAAAGAACTGTAACGAAAAAGCAATGGCTTGAACGTAGAGCATCATGGATGATACAGGGATCCCTCCTTGTTTTCCCATCCATGCAACGTTGCAAGGCTTCATTGCGTCATTAACGTCGCAACCGCGAACGTTGGGCGTTTCTGGATTGAAACCGCCGCGATAAGCAAGGTACTGCAAGATATTGGGCATGTAGCTAAACATAGTATAACCGTTATCCTACAAAAACCAAAAAAAAGAAAAACTGTCGTTAACATATCAGGGGAATCCAGCCTTATTTTTGATAGAAAAGATCACCTACACCATTATAGTATAAATAATAGCCCCACAGCTCCTTTTTGGTGGCGGGTGGTTGCTTCAGTACAGCTTGAGCTTGCTCTGATGAAGGATCAATATCAGCGTCGCTAGAAACAAAGGGATCGGCGAAAAAGCTGTCCTTGAGTGAAATGTTCTGAGGAAGCGATTCTTCTTTCTCTGACATTGAAACTCGAATAAGCAGAAAAAGGAATAAAAAACAGGAGACAAACGGATCAAGTGATTAAAAGGAAAAAAGAAACCCTGAAAAAAGAAAAGCGCAGCCACATGGGCTATTTATGCTTGTCCTCGTCACCCTCATCTATCCTACCCAGCCACTCATCTTACCCTCCAAAAAAAAAAGGAAGGCTGTGGGAAGACACCCTCCAAAACATCAATCCGCGGGGCAACAGTTTCCCAAAAAGGCAAAAAAGGATATTTGTTAAAATTGCGGGTTAAACTTAGATCCACTTCCCGCCGGGATGAAAGGAAAAAAAGAAGCATCCATTGCTACATGCCACTAAAGTCGGCTAGCACAGACAACACTTGCAAAGGAACCATCGACACATTCTATCTAGGTACTTTGTTCCTCTGTCACCTCTTCATGATTTTGAACAATTTTCCGCATCATGTATATCTGAGAGAACCCTTGTGGCGATTACATAAAATCGTAGGGTCCGCGTTCCCACAGAAGCGGACTCTGTACCCCACGACTGTGGAGTAACATGAACGATTGTACAACCCTGAGCTGGCTGACGGATCCCCGCTTTCTTTGGGGGAAAATGTGAATTACACGTCCCGCGGTTTTCTTTTTCAGTCATGATGATGGTTTTATATTTGAGGCAAATGAAGAAGATTACACAAAAAGAAAAAACATGAGCTACAACGTTTAGTTACTCAATGTAGATGCAAGATGAAATTGTCAATCAAAAAGGAAAGTTTAGGTAATCACGGCTTGGTATCGTCGGGTGGCACTTCGCTCCATGATTGGTGTGATCCGTGTGTGCTGTCTGAACTAGTATGTTCACCATGTTCATCACTCACGGTCACGGGCCCACTGGAAGTCCCAGTCTCTTCCCAAGTTTCCTCGTGCTTGTATATGCTAGATGCAGGACTTTGATGATGATTTGTTATTGAGGGTATTACCAACTGAACGGCGGAGACTCCATCGTCTGAAGGTTCTTTTGCGCAACTGGTGACATTGAATTCATAGTCTTCGGGATCACCAAAAGAGAGGGCGGGTGTTTGAGGTTCAATGAGGGAAACAGGTGGTAATACAGTAAAAATCTGAGCTGATTCGTCCGTTGTGGTTGAGTAAGCGCAGAACGGGTCGGGGTGTTGCTGCATCATCTATGACCGTGAATCGGCAAGTACGACGTGAGAAATGGCGGGGAAAACGGGCGGTGGTTAAGAGAACAATATACCGAGAATCCGGGGTGACCATCATGTGAAGCACCGACTTACCTGCTCCAAGATTGGATCCGCCAACCCTTTGTTAGAGATCCGCTCAAAAATATCTACTTGCGCTCGAACAACCACCGCCACTTTGCCCAAAATGAGATGATGATTTCGTCGCTCGAGATCAACCATATGTTTATGATAATTCGATTTAATTCGATCTAATTCGTCGACTTGGCATGTGAGTTCTTGAAGCGCCTTGCGAAATTGCCGGATATCTAGGTGTCACCAGCGTAAATATCACAACAAAAAAGACATCCGACTTTTTTTTTTCTTTTTTTTTTTTTTTTTTGTTCAATCTCCAATTACCCCGCTTTCCTTTACGACCGTTTTTTAGATTGTTGGCTTCCGTCTGACGAATTTTGTGGCTCATTGTTTTCAATGCGTCGTCATAGTTTGCTTGACTTTGCTGTTGAATACGAGCGTCAATATGAGTATAATGCCGTCCGTAGATGATCGAACCCGACCTTGAATCGATCTTTGGCTGTTTTCTTTTCTGAATTACTAACCTGAACAGTACTTCGATGATGGTCAAGATTCTCCAGTAATGGCGCTTCAAATGATTTGTAAAACATATCACTCTAAAACATTGATCGTCCATTCGTTATTCAGCTGCAATCTCAATGAATCCAGAGAACAATCGCCTACCAGAATCTGTTGGTGATTGGAGATCAGAAATTGCAAGCCAGCTGCTGCCTGAAGTCCTTGTCCTGCATTGACCACAAGCCAATAAATGAAGCTGTTCAATATACTTGTTGCATTGTCCATTGTATCACGCTGTCAACCCTGGCGCCGAGCTCGTCCACTCTCAACAAATAACCCGCACGATCCTTACCAGCTTCTGACGCGGTCTTACTTCGAGCCATTTTTTCAAGTGCAAAGCCGAATCCTGCAGCTGCACTTGAGAGCTTGACCATTTGCTCCCTGTATACTTTGGCGGCAGATAACAAATCTTCGTAAGCGTCAATGGAGGATGACAGATCCTGTTTGGACAGGTACACAGTATCATCAGGGGCCAGTGGCGCCGAATGGATGGATGTGTTGTCGTCCAACAGATCGTGCGTACTGGGAGAATATCGATAACTGGAAGAGGACATCACAGACATGGCGCGGCGTCCAAAGTAAGGCTCAGAATGCGATGATGGGTCGGTAGCGTAATAACTGTTAGGTGGCAATAAAGTAGCGTATTGTGGCAACTGATAAGACATAATGAAACTTATTCAACGACGACAAAACAAAGAGTGACTTTGCAACAATGTGTGTGCGGAAGACGAAATAAAAAAGCAGGAAAAAAATAAAGAGCATTTTCTCAACGAAAAAATAAAAATGAAAATGGCGAGTATTGAATGTATTTACGCTAAACGGATCTTCATAGACGAAGTAGAAATCTTTGAAAGTTTTATAGCAATTTATCGATAGCTTCCACCAGCTGATGACCTTCGGCCTGGAAATCGATGGGGGTCGCTTCGATGATCGTGTGTTTCGTGCGAGCAGTATCCTAAATCATTTCTGAATTAGCGCCAACCAATCATCATCACTGATCCACTTGATTTTGTCCTACATTAAATGTTTCCAACTTGGCTCTGATCTTCATAATGTAGGTTTGGAAGAGAGGCTTGTTCAAGATCTGTCGATATTCATCAAGGTTCTCGTCCTTTAGTTTTTGCAGCTCGTTGGCATCCATGCCGATCAAAGCAGTAGCAATTTCATCAAACGTGCTCATGTAGGTCTGCGCCGTCGTATCCGCTACCGATACCGAAAGAATGTATCTATGACAAGGATTTTTTGGCATAAGCCAGCCCAATTTCAAGTTGATTGAGTTTTTGGTGCTTTACCTGTAATGGGGTTCTGCGAGTGACTTTTGGCACTTTTCACATCGCCACGATGCGCCTTCTTGAACTAGTTTCTTCTTACATTCAGGACATGCGGGATAGGCCACGTTTTCGGATCGAATGTACACAACAGTGCCCTTGATGGTGAAATAATCAGGCTAAGCGGAAATAAAGTTATCCACACAGTTTAGTTGGGTGTCTGTATCAAGATCATTCGGATCAACTTTATCACTTACACGGTCGCCCATGCCCAATTGATCGTCTTTGACTTGCTGCAAAGTGGTTCGGGCATTGCTACCCTGGCCTGGACCGGCGGCACCCACCATGCCTCCTTGGAAACTGGAGTAGTTGGAGTTTTCTCCATACATACCATACCTGTTAGCTCGTGGGTTAGTGCCTATCTATTTGACTCAAACATGCAATCCGCTGTATCTACCATTGTCGTAGCTTTTGAGTTTCGGGCAATGCAGGGTTGACCTTTAACACGCCGGCGCTCGAGAGAGATAAGGAGCGACCACCGAAATCGCTAACACGAACTCCTTTACAAGCAATGATAGGATTGCCCTCGGAATTGAAGTTGTCAGCCACCTTGTCCCACAGCGTCAATTTGATCTGTTTCTGAGTGTCATCTACAATAACCAATTCCCTCTTCTTCGTCTAATAATACACATATACAAGTCAGCAACCACTGCAGGGGAGTGGAAATCTTTACTGGTAATGAGCCTACCGGTCGACCAGTGGATTTCGCTACAATTTCGTTGATACCGTTGTCCTCCTTTACAACACCGATGACATCTGTATACCAAAACATAATCAATATCCGTCCTTCTAGAGGTAACCGTTTTTTGACAGGATGTAACCTACCAATAGTAGCACTCTTTTCATGGTTGGCAATATCAGCGATTTTCACAAATTCAAAGTTCATCTGTGGGACGCTGCCTTCATCGGAACACTGTGTGATGAAAAATGATTAGCCGATCCATTTCCTCCCTTGGGAACCAACGGTTGAATTACCAATTCAAGTTCGGTACCATTGTCGAAAGAAAGTTCATATTCATTGTTCAGTGTAGAGAATTGCTTTCTAGCCATGGTAACACGGGCTTTGGAGATGTAATAGACCTGAAACCACCCCATCATGAGTCAATCTGCACTTTTCTTCTAGCGCAACACCTGACTTACTTTGCCCTCTTGTAAAATATGATATAAGCGATCCACTTGATCGTTGAAAGCAGTCGCTTTGATTTCACCCTAAGCAGAAAAAATTGTGAGGATCGAGCTTGACTTTTTTACATCCAGTTGTGCGCTTTGAATATACCGAATTATCGAGGAGGTTGACACTGAAGAGTCTGCCTTCAGAACGAGGGTTGGCCCATGTCTTGATCTCCGATTTTTGAGTAACTCTAGCTTTGATGGTCCATCTGCGAATATGGTAAGCTGAACCGAACTAACACTGGAAACAGAGACAAAATAATGTCTTACTTGTTCTGATAAGGATTCAGTGCTTTAATTGGGAACAGGGAAGTTTCAAGCTGCATGTTCACACGGCCTGACATGGGTGCGTAGCCACCTGGGTTCTGTGGTTGGGGTGCCGCAGTATTGGATTGCATGAACAAAGACTGCTGCGGTTGGGCTTGTGCTTGAGCCTGAGGTTGTGCTTGAGGCGAAGGTGTAGCTGTGGCCGGACTTTGTGCGCTGGCATTGGCCAAGTGGGATTCAAGGGTTTGGGGATTACCAATCTTTTGTTGCTGGTTCTTGTCGACGACATCCAGATCGAGGATGATGAGGATCCTAATGGCGGCAACGTTGAGTTGAGCACGACAAACGCAAGTTATGATATATTTCCTATGCCTACTTTCTGTTTTGAAGTTCATTGCAGACGAATTGCTTGAGTCTCACAATAGCATAACGAGTCAGATCGCCTTTTTCGACCATGGGAGTGTGCTGCGACGCCAACATGGCTAATATGAATCAACCATGTTAACCTTCAGAAAAACGCGGCGAAGAAAGAAACAGACTTACCTTGCATGAAATTGACACCGTCCGAAATAATGATTCTATGATTTACGAGTTACGTTGGCATGTCGGGAATGCGCAGTCCATTATGAATAGGATACCTGTAGCGTGTGCCTTGAGGGGCAGGCACTGCCTTGATGTTAATCACTTGAAGCAAAGGGTTGCTATACACGGGATTGGACGTATCGTTATCATAGAGCGCCTTGACAGCACCTTGCGAGATTTGAGCCATGGTTCGTTATTTTCAGGAAAAAAGGGAAACAACCACGACGCGTGAAGAAAATGGCGGCACTTTTAGATAAACCAAGACCGCGACCTATTTTTTTTGACGCGTCCGATCAGAGTCCGCTGATGACGTGTGGTACTTCAACTCCGGTTTGATCCTTGTGACACAGTTGGACTATGTGTGTTTGCCAAACAACCGCACACTTGCAGTGCCTGTTCTTCTAACCAGTGGAAAGTCACCGTTTCTGGTAATCTAAAGTGGCGGGCTCATATAGCGGCTGTATTACAGTAATATTGTCAACCCTCGTCTTTGTCTTTTTCCTGCTGCATTTTTTCCAATTTTGCTAAGCGTCGTTCGTCTTGATGACACGATCAGTCGACGCTTCAGAGAGAATGTTCGTGATTACATTGAGTTCAGGCATTGTCGAAATTACTGGGTAGCTCCCACCTATTACTCAAGCAGACTGAAATATAATGGTCCCTGCCCTGCGAGGCAGCATATAAATTACCGCCAAGCGACTTGTACACAAAGTAGAGGCTATATGAACCTGGTTCATGAAGCACTATCATCTTCCGGGTCAGAGCCCGAAACTAAATTGTCTTTTTCTTGACGGACTATTTGATCTACTCGCTTTAATGGATTTTCGGGGGTAGTTGGTCGTTTTGCGCTTAGATGGCTTCGCTTGTCGTCATGGTTTGAAGGTACCTTTGACTCTGTCCCAAAATTTCAGTTGTTGCCTGGTAAAAATCGTCGCTCTAAGCTCAAATAAAAGCTGATTGTAGCCTATGATCAATACCATCAAAAGATCACCTGGTAAGAATATAATCGGATCTTGCATCCTGGAAAAGCGGCATTGAATAAGGCTACATCTATTACTTTTTTTCTGAAGGACGCGAACAAGCCTTTCACTGGACATGGCTGTTGTTAACGAGCGACTTGTCCTCAGGGGCCGTGAATTCACGTCGTTGAACAGACAGTCATATGTTGACAGAGAATTACTTTAGCTATTCATCTGCCTCGTTGGTTCTCGCGTTCTGATGACAGTTGTCATGGGCGGAAACAAGTGTATCCAACTTATCTTTGTTTATCGCATAAGAAGGAGGTGTCATCTGCGTCGTAGTTCTGTGCTGCGCTTCATTGAATGAAAGTATATCAATGGAAGTGGTGTTACCGGCCATCGATACCCGTGCAACGAATGTTGTTCCATATTTTGATCCTCTTCGACTTATGAAACATCATGGAGGTTTGCCCTATATGTCGGCGGTTTAATGCTCTTAAAAGTTGTCAGGTTGATCCATTTCATTAATAGTGGATTGGCTGCTTCGTCTTCAATCTTTTGCCTCCAAGCTGCAACTTTTAGATTTTATCACGTGCCACAAGAGCTGAACCTTATTACGCTGCGTGTTGGATATGATTTATTTGTATTGAGTGCATGACGAGTTAATAAAAATGAGGTCAAAATCCAAATGAGGCCCGCGGAAATAATTCTGTCTGTTTGAAAATGAGTAGGGTCGTTTAATGATTGTACATAAGACAGCAAAATGTAAAGGATCTGAACTGATACATGAATAGGGAAAGTTTGGGATGTAGCTCACAGCGTCATTAAATAAACTTTTTTCCATGACTGCAACAACCACACAAAGATCTTTTTTAGGTCGCTTGATTCTATTTTGTTTCGCAGGCATTAATGTATGGCGGAACAGTTTTGCGAGGCGATGCTGCTTTCGAGCGGTTGGAAATTCTTGTTGGTTTGAGCACATTCGAGATCGGATACAAGCATGGACGGCCGTCTTGGACGTGCTACGACTCGGCTTGCAATCGAATCCCGCAAAGCGTGAATCCCCATTTGTAAAAAGAAACACAGCACGACAAATGTTGCTACAGCAAGGTACCAGATGGCGGCGCTGGGCCCTTGCGACCAGTCTAAAAAGGAGTAAACCCACCAATCATTGCTACCAGGTTTGAAGGTCAGTTCAGGACACATCCGATGAGATCCACCTTAAAACCATTCTAATAGACTTACATTGTATGAACAATAAAGGTGAGACACATATAGATTAATGTGTTGGCAAAAATCAACAATACAATGCGTATCTGTAGGACCATTCGGTTGAATACGACATCGACCAACATCATAAAGAAGGTAAGAGCATGGAGAGAAATTGTCATCCACCAATCCATCGGATCTGTGTGAGTGGCTGTAAGGTGGTATTGATCAATGGTCAGCCGCATGCTCCTGTCATTGTAAATGTACGCCCCCTTGCATGGTATGCATCACCCTTTCACATCCTTACCAGTGAGAAAGTCATTCGACAGAAGGGCCCAGTAAACGACCGGAGTAACAATGCTACACTAATTTTGTTAGGTGACCTCAACAACTCTATCTGTATCGCAATTGCTTACTTAAAAGTCACCAATGTATGATACAAATAGATATACAGATAATTGAGAATAGCGGGTTGTTGATGAAATGATAAAGGTCGATGAGATGCAGATAGGTACCGTACATGGTGGTATAATGTTGTCTATGTAAAAGAAAAAAAAGATCAGCCTGGAAAGAAAGAAAAAAAGGAAGGCAGAAGCAAACGAACCATGAAATAGGCATGAAGACCGATGAAAGTTAGATGAGTAAAGTAGGCAAAATAACGATGGAATTCGCCAATTTGAATATTCCAAATGATATCTGCCCAGAAAACAATGATGCTATATAACGCGAGAGGAACACGGATCCATAACAGTGTTTTTGACGATACAAAGTTGGAGGTGACTGCTCGTTCAGGAACAAACTGATCAAAGCGAAACCACCGAACAATGGCATAGCGCGTCGGTTCGAGGGATTGATCCCGAGGAGACATGGTAGGTTGTAAAATGAAAAGAGAGAAGACAAGTATCCTTGCATCTATCTTTAAACGTTTTTGGGTTCTTTTTCTTTTTTTTTTTTTTTTAAAAAAAAAAAAAAAAAAAAAAAAAAACTTCTAGAAAGGAGAAGTTTCGAAATGCAAAAGGTTTTTTAAGGAGGGAAGAAAAAAAAAAAAAGCAGAGGGTATTTTAAAACAAGAAGAAAAAAAAATGACAAGTAGGGATGATGGTGGGTAATAAATCCTGCTGCTTGGAGAAAAAAAATCGAACCCCTTTAGTTGCGTCTGCGGGTATTGATGTTAGGGCTACCATTCGATAAAGAGGATGTACTGCTACTGGTGGGAAATTCCTCGTGATGATCTTCTCCACCGGATTGATACAGTTGTTCTTGTTTGCAACCAGAACAGTCATTCAGAAGATCAATACGAGTGAAGTGATGTTTCGCCGACGTGAACACACCAGACGGACCAAAAAACAAAACATAACCCACAAAAACAAGCCAGAACGTCAGCAGATTGATGATAAGAACGGGCCAAACACCCCCATAGAAGGAGCCCATGCTCAGGAGTTTTGAAACGCGCCACAGCCAATAAATAACTTCCAGGCCTTTGAACCAACCCCGTTCGTTCAGCTGGCGTGATAACTGCTGAGCTTTTTGAGATCCACGACAATGAAGTTCGGTAGAATGAGATGCGCGCCATGCGAACAGTAGGAAGAATACGCCCACATCATAACAGACATGAAATGTAGCGTACATCCAAGTATCTGCAAGCGGAATCCATTCGCCCGAGAACATGAAACCCCAGATATAAAACATGCCAAATCGTTCTTCGGTGGTTGCGGCGGATGGAATAAGTTCTGCACGGAACCAAGGTAAGGAAGTCAGAGCGAGAACAATCATGAAGCTAGTATACCACAGCTGAGGCCATTGTTCAGGTAATCGAACCAGTCGATACATCCAGACGTAAATTTGACGGTAAATTGGTGCATAGGGACCAGCTAATGGATCACCATCAATTTGATGTAGTTTCAATAGTATCCATGCGCCACCGTCGGAAAGTGTTTCAGCGTACAGTTTAGGAGCCAAAAGCAAGACGATCATGACCGTGAGCCCCATGAGTGTCATACATTTAAACTATTCAAATGATATTACGGTCAGCTAGCGCCCTTTCCTGTTGGATAGGCAATACTACTTACAACGACGGACATATGAGTTCCTATGACCCATTCGCCAAACCCACCCTTGATATCGATACGTTGACTATCGGTTCGGAAGTGGATGGTGGATTCACCCATTTGGCCATCGGGCGCTCTTACTTGAATACGCAAGGTATGTGTTTCCAGGTCGTCAAAATCGTTTGGATCCCAAGGCGAAGTCCACAGAGGCAACCGTTTTTGGCCATCCATCATATTGCCTGTAAATGACGCGGGAAAGGGGTGCGTTTTCCCATCAATGGAAACAGTGACTTGCAAATCCACGGGATCCGCATAGGAGAAGACCAAAAATCGGATATGGCTGCTGGATTGAATACGTGACAACGGCTCCTTATGGGGCATGGCAAAACGTGCGTCCTTTGGATTGGTAATAAGAACGACAGGAGCCAGTTGAATTTTTTCAGGCCATTGAATCTTCTTCTCTTTCGTCAAGGGAACGGGATCGGAAGGTGTCAGTTGAGAAAGCGGCAACTCGAGATCGACGAAAGAAACAATATCATGATCGACAGCGACAATGCGGTAGGCGCCGTGATCTTTCAGATCGGCCAATTCCAGTTCAAGCGTACCGGATGCAGAATCATAAGATTTAAGCACATCACCTAAACCTGAAGCTTCCAGTTAGCCGCTGATAAATGGACGTTCAAACCACGTTTTCCAAGGTACCTCCTACGAGACGATGCAGATGGCCACAAAAATAGATACTGTAAGAACGAGCCAAATCACGGAGCGATTGCCCCTGGCTGGATACGCCATACACCATGGTTGTCGTAGGGTAGTGAGCAAACTACAGCCATCAAAATGAGCTTCTCATGAGTGGAGGACGGGGTGGAAATAACTCACAAGGAATGTATGATTATTCTGTGATGAGGTGACAGCGCTTTCAAGATCATCCAAGGAGGGCGTCGTCAGATAACCATAAAAATTGAAAGGCCGTGCAGGGCCGAACTTTGGACTATGATTTTATCAATAAAGAGAAAGCACCAACACGATCAAACCTGCCACTACTTACCAGGCATCCATGGCCACAAACTGATACGTGCCATATGGTTTTTTCACGTTCCAACGATAGACGCCATTGTTGCCTTCCAAGCGATAGGCACTTTTACCGTGCGTGCGATATAGATTTTGGTTCGATTTCCAGGAAGGAAGGTTGAAACAATCGTGATTTCCTCGCATATCGTACCAAGGGAGACTGCTGGCAGACTCTTCCACCGCCGTTTTGTAGATCTCCCATTCTTCCAAATACTGCTGAGTTTTGATCATATCGACATCTTTCGCATCGGTGAGATCGCCTGTGACGACCACGAATTCAGGGCTAAGCCGGAGGACAATGAATACGAGCGGTGTTTATGATATTCGATGAGAAATTGTTTCTCACCTGGTGATGGGCAGAACCGATTGTAGAAAATGCAAAAAGTGATTGGTATGGCCTTCTTTGTGGAACTTTGAGATGTGGAGATCAGAGACCTGTCAACAACCACTGATAAGCAAAAAAAGCATGGGCTAAAATGCTGCAAATATATCATTATAACCTGAATAAAGTAAAATAGGTTAGACGGTGACTCGTCGAGAGGTGCTGAAGAGTCGTGTATGGTTGTGGTGTTGTTTGTTGCTTGTTCAGGCAACGATGAGTATGAATGAGTCGGCCTGAAAGCGGCCGTCGAATCTTGATCAAGTTGCCACGCTCGTAATATGCATAGAACCGTTAGTAGTATACATGTCAGCGATGATTTAGTAATCGCCATGGCGCATGGGCAATTCAATGGAAAGCTCTTCTTTTAGAGTCAAAAGGCAGTGCAAGACAAACGGCTGACTTTTTTTTTTTTTTTTTAAAAAAAAAAAAAAACTCTTCCGGAGTTACTGAGCGCAACTTCTGCTTAATTCAATTTCTTTGAGTCGATTTTATTCAGAAATAAATGCGAGCAGAACATAGAAATCTAAATACCACTGGGGCTACAATAAGAAGCTATCAAACATCCTGCAAAAAAGCCCTGGTAGCTTGTCTCAAGTGCTGACTTGATGCTCAGGGAAATGCTCGCTGCTGTTACCAGTGCAGCAGAAACTGTACGGCAACCTCTTCTGGGGGACGGTGAATGGCAAGCATGTGGTATTTGAGGTTTTGCTCGCTTTCCAAAGAGTGAGGGATTTTTTTTATATAGTTTTCAGCATTTTTATGTACTTCTTTTTCTTCCATCCTAACGATGCCGTTTTGGTTCTCTTCTTTGCAGGATGCATAAGTTGAGTAAATGCTTTCCGCAATTACTGGAGAAATGCATAATTCTTTGGTAAGAGAAAAAAAAAATGTTGAAAGCATCGTGGCAGCTCACATTAACTTGCCCTTTGTAGGGTTTTATGACGCGTTGCTGCCCAAAGCGAGGCATTACGTGATACCAAAAGACTATATGGCTATTCAATGCTCCTTTGAATCTTGGAGCAGCTATATTACGTAAGTATCTCGCAAATAATAACCAAATAAACGATAAATTTTCTAAACTAATTCGTATAGTATATCTCGTGTTGTCTGCTGGTATCAATGTGAGTCCCATAGAAAAGTAAAGCATGACTTTTTCACTGACTGAAGTTGTTTTGTAGATTCTCTTTGACAAGCCCATCTGGGTCGCTATGCTGTTCCCATTCGTGAGCGTTCTATCGCCTTAGCAGTAGTCTGCAAAGTGGAATGCAACATCCGACTGCCTGTCAACTCAGTTATCTTGCTTTAGTATCGAGTGCACATCTTCGTAGTATTTTTCACAGGTAAGTCTCTAATGGTTATCAAGGTAAGTATAAACGGCCTATATAGAAAATGCCAGGGGTGTATTTCAGATACGGCAAATGATATGTAATTGATTCAATAAAAGCCACAATTGCAAAAATCCAAACTGTATTCGCTTTCAATGTAATTTTAGTTCGTCCCTATTTTAAGCACCATGGAGAACTTATAAAATAAACCTTTCGACATTTGGAAATTGAATTACTGATGGCATTAAATAAAACAACGGTGGTGATCGGTGAAGCTGAGATCCGTGACAGCCAAGTTCGGAGCCAGGACTTCAACCAATGGTAAGCCTAGGCTATCTTCCAATTACCAAATTTGGGCTCCAAAATCCTCAATGATGTTAACCATCATTGTGCACGTGACCAGGTTACAATGTTACCAGAAATCGTAGGAAAGGAATGAATTTAAAGCATTCGTTCACTGTCCATACTAAAAATACAATATTTTTAGATGGCGCTGCGGCTACAAGGTGCGCTTTTCTTTGAAAGAGATGAAAAGGATTATTCTTACATGAAATAGAACGGTTGCCTAATGCGTTCCGAAAAAAAACCGGAATGAGGTTTTCCTGAGTTTGTTCTCCGGGGTGGAAATTTGATGCACCGCCCATTCAAAACAAATTTGCTTGGACGAAGCCCAAATTCGGTTGGATAAAAAAAAAAAAAATACACCGGTTTCCCTTCATAGATTCTTTGCGACCAACTATGAGCATGTCAGACGATCAACCTGACGTTGGCTCATATTCTTGGAGTCAGACCGAAGACCAGGTTACGATCTCCTTCCTTGTCCCGGAAAGTTGCAAATCAAAAGATCTCGATATTGTCATTGAAACTCATCATGTCAAGGCGGGTTTGAAAGGACAAGAACCTGTTCTCAAGGTACGATTCACTTTGAAGTGTGTACTTTGGATGGTCCGTTCATCTCCATTGTCTCTTTAGGCTAAACTATTTGCACCCATCAATCATTTCGGATCGTTGTGGCAACTCGAAAAGAGTGCCACCTCACCATTCTCGTCGTTAACAGCTTCGCCTTCCTTCTCCATTGCTTCGTCTTATGCCTTCATGTCCTCGCCTAATCATTCCCCTACCCATTCTCCCAACTCTTCCATGATTTTACCAGCTCCCGCGCTCGCTGAGACCAATGGTGCTTCGTCCACTCCAATGGCAGAGTTGTTGCATCAAACGGCCGCCCTGGGAAGCTATTCCGTGTCTTCCTCGGATGATAATTCGCAACCTGCCTCGCCCGTGGCCATTAATACACCTCCTTCTTTGGCAACCCCACCGCATCTTCAGGGCGAAGCGCAGCAATCAGCTCCTAAATATCGACTACTCACCATCCATTTGGAAAAGGACCAAGAGGGGTTACATTGGATGGTGCCTATTTCGGCTGGTTGGAAGACGGATGAGATGGACATTGATGTGACGAGTGCTTCCCATTTAGGAAGTTGGTATGAAGCCACAGGCAATTTGGAGGTACGGTGAAAGCTCAATAATGGAGCTGATCTCTCTCTGTCATCCAAAAATTTCTAATCGATGTTTTTTTAATCTGCTTGGCTGTTCTAGAAAGCCTTCAAGTATTACGAAAGTGCGGCTGAACGAGGTCACACACGATCGATGACCAAACTCGCCACCATGTATGAGGTAGGAAATGAGATGCATGAAACTCGCTGAAAGGAAAAGAAAAAAAAACGGTTGGATTGACGGGTGGGTTTGTTCTATTTTTGAAGCTTGAAACCGGACTTGAGAAGGATGCGAAAAAGGCATTTGAGTGGTACAAGCGCGCGGCCGATGTTATCGAACAATCATGCGATTTTAATCAGACCTTTGGACCTGACGCTGCAGCATGTTACTCCGTGGCCACCATCTACGGCACCGGGTCACCTGAGGCGGGTATTGAAAAGGATTACGAATTGGCTTTAACGTATTATAATCGATGCATGGCCATTACCTCTCCGCGAATCAATATCGATTTTAATATTGCCGATCAGCATATTATTGCCAAATCGCAACTGCGTAACCATGCCCCTTCCACCAACGACGAACGATTTTTCTGTAATGCGGCGTTCCAAGCTGGTTTAATTTATCTTTACGGCTCACATGCAGAAGGTGAATCGGTCCACTCGGTGACGAGGGTAAATGCCAATCCCCAGCTGGCCCTCCGTTATTGGAAAGAAGCCGGTATTCTAGGCTATGCTCAAGCGTGTTATAACATTGGTATCATCCTTGCCAACGGCATCGGCGTGGAAGCCGATCTGCACGAAGCCGGCAAATGGTTTGGTCGCGCTCTGAACTTGGACAAGACAGGAAAGCTTGTGTTACCCGATGGCGTTAAGGTGGTCGATTGGGATACACCCAAACATAGTTCTTCCGCACAACCCACTCCTACCAACACCGCCTCCGCCTCCTCTTCAGCAGCTGCCGCTAATAAAAAGCAGCGACCAAGACGAAAGAGACGTAGTAAGCGCAAGGCACAACAGGATGACAGCAGTGCGCTGAATTGGGTCCTGGCATTTGGCACGGTGGCTGCTCTGGCCGGTGTGACATGGTGGTATTATCGTAGAACGGCTAAGGAGTAAAATAGATTGGAAGGAAGAGAAGAAAATAAGAAAACAAGCAGAGAAAAAAAAAACCAAGAAAAAAAAAGTCATGCAACCTTGAGTTTGATCATCATTTTGTGTAATATTCCAAAAAAAAAAAAAAAAAAAAAAACCAGGCAACGAGAACAAAAAAGATGGCTCAGCATCGAATGATACTTTTTTGGGGGACAATCGATTAAGCTTTTTTATGTCATCTCGTTATCTCTCTTTGTAGTCGGTTTTGCGTTCTTTTGGTCTTTTTTTTCTTCTCTCTGCCTTTCTTTTCTTTTCAAAATGACGGAAGACCTTACTCATCCGCAACCTGTTTGCTCTGATCTAACCTTACCCGATGTCATTTTGGCCTTGGGCCCTGATGAGCGCCACACTTCACCGTCACCCAAGTCGAGCAAAAACAAGTCGTCCTGTGGCCTGCAGGCAGTGGAAACAGATCGCACAGATTGGCCGTGTCATAAATTTATACTGGAAATGTACTCTTCGTATTTCAGCGCATTATTTGAAAGCGAATTTCGGGAATATGGATCATCGATTGTGTTCTTGCCGCGTGGTATCCTTAGCGCCCTTGCACTGGAAGGCATTCTTCATATCATATATGTCGACTGGATCCGGGCACACCCATCACTTACCATCGCACCTTCCTTCATCCTTTTTTCCGAACCGTCCAACCACCTTGAGCATTTGCAAGATATGTATCTCGCAGCGGATTACCTTGGCATGCCTACCATTCGGACCATGTTAGCTAACCGATTATCGGATGCAGTGCATCAAATCAGCTGTTACTGCCCGCGCTGCGCCTGTCGGGTCCCGCAGCTTTTCTCTTTCACACGAACCTTTGCCCACACACATGTCACCCTGGACCGTCTCACGACTCTGGCTCTTCAGCTACTGACAGGCGATCCTGAAAAAGCGATCCCCACCTTTTGGGTGCAACAGGAACTCGGCCGCCTGCTGCTGCTTTCCCCCGATCTGCACGAGCAAATGTCCCAAATACTTATCGGCTGTTTGAATAAATGCAACGCCATCGAAACACTGCACGCTTGCTACACAGCCCTCGTTAGTTTGGATAGTGAAATTGAGTCATCGCCATGGCACCAACCACTGCGGCAGACTCTACGCGCCGTTCACTTCCGGGTCACGGGCATTATTGCCGCCAATTTCAATTTTTATTGCTCCGAATATCCGACCCTTTTGTCCTGCATTGACGGTATCAACTATTCCTTTGCCTTTCTCGATTATCTGCTTCAGCAAGTATTGGAAGAACAGATGGATCACAGTAATGCAGGTCTTCTCTACCAAGGTATTGTGCGGCATTTAAGAACACGCCGCAGTGTACCACATTGTATGGAAGTGAGCGCCATTCTCGAAAAAGCGCGCGCCATGGTTGTATCGTTTATTGCTCAAGAACTTTCAGAGATGCGCAAATTGGGAACCTTGAACAAGTATGACACGCCTACCCTGGAAATCCTGGCCCAAGGTGTGTATTTTGATCACAGTGACTGTTCCAATGAGAGGGTTACCCATCCACATATATTTTTCACTGATAAAGAGGATCGTGTCATGATGATCAAGTTTGGGGAGATACGCCAATCGAATGATCACTGCGTCGTAATTATTTTTATACTTGCCTTGGCATCTAACATTGGAAACCATCACTAGATATCATGGTGCCAGTTCGTCTGTTAGTCAAACCTGAAGATATGCACAAGAAAAAAGCATTATTTCGCTCCATGTCATCATCACCTTCCCGATCGTATCAACGTGCTAAATCCTCCACTCGAAAGAAAGAAGCAAGCAATAATAATGCTTGCGGTCACAGCGCTTTCGCTTTGATTAAGCGATTGTGTACAAAGGCAGCCACTAGCAAGAAACCGGTTCCCTATCATTCATCGGTCAACGAGAAAAACTGTCATTGTCAGGAAACAGCAACAAGAGGTGTTATACTGTTAGCAGACAAAGACATTACGAAAGAACCACCCATGTGTGTGGCGCCTACTCCACGCGAACCAAGCAATATCATCGCACCCATTGCGTGCCACGCTGAATGACGCAAAGTGCATCTCACGTTGATGGGTAAAGGACTGGATATGGCATGCGTTATCGCACATGGATGTAAAAAGGATATCATTCTTATTTAATAACAAAGAGCGCATCATCCAAGGTGAGTTTAGCACAAGAAAGAAGCCACCGCCTCTCATCCACTGAGCTTCTCTGCATCTTCATGTTTCTCGACCTTTTTTTTCCAGGCCCCACAAACATTGTTGTATTTAAAATGGACGGCATTCGCCCTGACCAGCTAGTAATGGAAAAGGCACTCCTATAACATATCAGCTACAGTGTCATTGTTGGCGTAGAGACACCGGTGACCCTTTCTGAATTTTCGAAGCCGATGATCGGTGCCTTTTATTCTTTGCTACTGTATATAATATCCGTTTACATCTTTCTATAGTATATTTCATACTTCAGAAAAGGGGAAACTCTCAAGCATAAATAAAGAATAATAATAGATATGCAAGCGAGGACCCAGCCATGCAGCCTTGAAAACTCGGTTGATTTTCTTGCAATGTGGGTTTGCATGCACCTCATTGAATAATTTTTGCTCACATGATGAAGGTTGGGATCATAAATAACCTCACGGCGCCATGATCGTCAATATGTTCCCTTTCTTCTCGTAGCGAATTATTCCAGGATCGCGTTCATTTTATACTAAACCATGATTATCGATATTACTATTCTGTTTCTGTTGGTGGCAGCCTTTATATTACAACTGGTTACGCTTCTTGGCAATTTGCCGGGACTTCGAACCGTGTATTTTGCAAGGGTTGATCTTGTGCTGCGAGCCGATGGTCTTCTTGGTGACGTACTGAACAGCATCCGTCAGAACCTTATCAATATTCCAGACTATTTCACTGTCGCTTCTTTGTCAATATGTCAGGGTGCAACAACTGCTAGTAGTATGCAATGTACAAGACCGACTTTCGGATTCAATGCACGTAGGATCTAGTGAAACCTATTCAAAACCAATGTATTACGGCTCTGTTTTTTGCGACTCACCTTGTTTTCATTAGCCACCAATGGTGTCCTTAATGTGATACTCAGTTCTATTCCCGATAAATTGCGTGTGGCCATCTCAGCCGCTCAGGCAGGCGTACTTATTCCATCCGTATGTTTCTGCTTCCTTGCGATGGCCATTTACATTGTCGGCTTTTTCATAACCGATAGAACGAAACCTGCCAAACGTCGATGGCTTATCGTAATGCTGTGGATTACGACCGTCCTTGCTTTGCTGTTCGCCATTGGATCGATTATCGTGGAAGTGGTAGGCTATGTGGGTATCCAAAGAGCGGTCGATGCAGCAGAGGGTCGGTTGCCAGATGTGGCAGGTGTTTTCGATTTGCGACCCGTGATTGGTCCAGCCGTATGGATCACCGTAGGCGCTGTGGTAGCTTTACTTCTCACCTGTTTCCTGTATTGTTTTGCACGTCGTCGCCGTTCGGTTGGTCAAGAAAAGGAATTATATGGAGATCCAAACCAGCCACCGCAGGAGAATATCGAAATGCAACGACGTATGTAAAGCGGACAAGATCTACGGCAGCTGGTGTTACAAGCTGTCGCACCTGTCCTTCTCAATTTCTAGACCGTTGAAAATAGAGGGTCTGTTCACAGTTACTCTTCAATAGTTTTAATAATTCCTGTAATTTATTATCGACCTTTTTTTATTATTATCTTTGCTTCAAATTGATCATGAAATTATGTTCCATTCCTTCGAGGGACAGCTTGCCTTTTAAGTGGTTTTTCTTTGCTTTGTTGCATGTCATGTCGGCCATGGCCTACAGTCCGCATTCCACAAGTAAAACGATCTTATACAACATGATGCTCTAGATCTTACACTGACATTGTAGCGTTTTCCTCCTTTCTAAAGCAGCAGTATTGCTCGGTAATCTACTCATCGATCCCGTCGTGAATGTCGGATCGTCGTCTTCCAACAGCTGTATGCCAGCTAACTGCACGGCATTGTGTCAGCCTGGTTGTAGCAAAGAACAAGTATGTACGCTCAGAACCATGGTGGATTGCGGGGTTTGTCCAGCTTCCAAGTGTGTGGATCGATCCATGCTGGGGGTCCCACCCGAGGCTTCAGGAACACCTGAAGCTGTGAATCAGAAATCGAGCGACGAATTTGAAGCGAACGGTGCCTTTATTGGTGGCCTCGTTGGTGGCTTAATTGGCGTTGGCCTGCTGATAGCCACCATTGGATGCGCTTTTGTAAAGTATAGAAGGAAGAAGAACCGACTTCCGGAAGCGCTTCAGGGGAACTTAATCGCTTGTCGGGAACTTCACGGCCACATGGCAAAGGTAACTAGTACACATCAGTAAGATCGACTAAACCACTTTGGGCTAAACTATTCCCATTCAACAGGTCCCCAAAGTCGAAAACCCAATGAGCCAAGATGGCGCATCGCCCTACCCCACGCTACCTACAGCTAGCACTTACCAAACCCAAACCGCCGCGCATGCACGCTCAGATCATGGCATGCAATCGAAATCTAGCTCGCCTGTGCCCACAGTTACTATGCCTGTTTCTTCTCAGCCCAATAATGCGCGTCATTCGGCGACAAGAAACTCTACTTATCGGGATAGTCGTTATTCAAACAACGAGTATCATTCCTGCCGCACAGGGTCTCGGCTATCGGGATCGGTTGCTGACAGCGAGGATAGTTGGCGGGGATCCTATGCTTCTACAATCAATCAGCCTCAGAGTACACCTGCTCAAGCGATACAAATAATTCGTACGCGACCCCAGCTGATGCGAGTCAGTTCTACTGCGGTCGGCAGCAGTGGATCCATACGAACGTTCTTTAGTTCAAGCGACAATATTTCTCGTTCATCACAAATTCGTTCGTTACAAGTTCAAACAAAACGTGATGAGGAGCCTAACCATGCCGTTGTTCATGCGTATTCTCGCCCATCCGTCGATGCAACTGCGCATAACTTTGAATCGTCACTCGATGATCCCTTTCATGACCGATACAGCAGACATGCCGACTCTGTCACCTCCTTGTCGGAAGCTCTGTCTTCATTCACGATCATTCCAGCAGTTTCTGGTCAACATCCAAACCCAGGATCCGATTTACCAAGCATTACTCCGAATACCCAAAACAAATGATTCCTAGAAATATCTCGTTACCCTATATTATTACCTTGAGGCTGATTCCCATTTTGCTGGTATCCAGCCATGCAAATGATTGGTCCTTAATTCATGTTTTCTACTGTATTAACGCAGTCGTAGATCGCACCATATGTTTCATGTAGAATAATCGCCTCATTGATGGCATAGAAAAGATAAAGCTTCTCAACGTGAACTTCACGGATCCCAGCTTTCTATAACATCGACGTATCTTATTCTCAAACACTACAATCAGAGCGACTTTGTGTGCAAGACCATACAAAAAACAAATGCGTGATTTTTTATGGGTCCGCTATTCCGGTCGTATTGATTTGTCTTTGCGCTTTTCATTTGGACTCCCACTGCTAAAAAGGTGAAGTTCATACCACCTGTCTCGTGTAACCATTTCCTCGAGAGATACCAATTCCTAATTTCATGGATGTATGATCTCATCGAGTTTATTGACTGGTATATATCCTTCTACTGATCACATGCTGTACTGCAGTGTATTTCATACAAGACAAGTAAGTGATTCGGCACAATATTCAAAACGTAAGTAAGGCACTTGAGCACAAAAACATTACCTTTCAAAAAAAAAAGTTTTTTTGTTGACCACCCAAAAAAAAAAAAAAAAAAAAGCTTTTCGGCGCGCAAGCTATTTGTGGAGGTTCAGTGGTTGATAACACAGCTGTAGTCATTATGAGTATACGTACAGAATAGTTGATTTGAGCAAATGTTAATGAGAATGAGAAAGAGCAATGAAAAAAGGTATGGCGCGATGGATGGATGGTTTTGCGCAAGAAAAAAGAAAATAGATGTGCGATAAAGAGGAAATAAAATGGATGGAAGATGCGTCGTCTTTTATAGACATGAAAAAAGAGGCGATCCCTCGTACTGTAGATTTTCGGTTCATGTCATAGTTATCCTTTGATAAGAGAGTGTGGCCTCATCGCATGAAACAGCTGCATGAGGTAGGTCTCAGATAATGTTAGAGAGAGAGGGAGATCGGGATGTCTTTACTCAAATGTTCTTCTGTTGGCTGATCGGATACACAGGTGCACATAACTTTGGTACAGAAGTACTTCATGACTCGTTAAACTATCTTTCAACTCGTATTATACACTTTATTGAAAATCGAAGTCATCCTAATGAGGATGGCCTCTTCTTTTTGATGGACAAAGTCGTCAGTTTTAGTGCATTTTCCCACCAGGATTACGCAGGCATTCTTCAAGGCCAAGGTAATATGACGAGATCCTCCACACTTCCCGCCAATAAAGGACCAAGTCATGATTTTTGCTTCCTTGAAATCATCTCTTTATCTCCCGAGAAAAATGAACTGAAAGATGAAAAAGACATTAGGGTAGTCAACAAATTTATCGGGACTACAAAATTTTTTGCCAGGGCACTGTACTGGTTGACTTTTTCCAGTGATAGGAAATGATGAATGTGACACTCGGTTTATAGTTTTCACACCGCTGGTTTAAAATCCCACATTTGGCAATGACCGTGACCTTGCCTTTGGGAGCTCCGGATATCGCGGAGTTGTTCGGATGAATGGGAATTAACTGTTTCTTTCATTTCGATCTATCAGTGAACCATGTCGAACTCCACCACAACCCTCGAGGTGGTGTCCAATTCGACTGTAGCCGAGCAAACCTATCAATGCTCTCGGCACAAACAATCGGTCTTGCCCGCAAGAAAATGGAACCATGCTTGCAGGACACTAGTATCTCTGTTACAACGTTATTGGTTTTTGCTCGGACTTGCTGTGGTGATTGGTCTTGCATGGGCTTTTCCACAAGTGGGTAAAACCCACGGCGATATCGAAGCTCAATATACAATCAAGTGGGGTGCCGTTATTATCATTTTCTTGCTTTCCGGGTTAGGCCTGGAAGTGAGGATCATGTTTCAGACCATTCTTCGGTGGCGGTTGCATTTAGTGGTCCAAATCATCAATTTCCTTCTCCTTCCTTTCCTTGCTTATGGAATTGTGCGCTTCTTTGTACTGGTTGGAGCGGATATCGACGAACTGGTATATCAAGGATGGATGATTGCTCTGTCGACAAGCACTACGGTCTCGTCGAACGCTGTCATGACCCGCAACGCTAACGGGAATGAGTCAGCTGGTAAGCTTTTCCGGTAATTTGAACTCCGTGCGTTAATTCTTACATGATTTCCAACTCTCGGTCAAGCTCTCTTCAATGCGGCCTTGGGCAATGTGCTGGGTATTTTCATCTCCCCGGCGTTGATGACAAGTAAGGCGATTTGAGCTGTTCCGTGAATGGATTGCATATAACTCACATCCTATCATAAGTTTTTGGAGATGACAAAAAGTTATTTCCACCTGGCAGCGCACGTGGAACGCCTGATTACACCAGTGTCCTGAAAAACCTGGGTTTGACGGTTCTTGTTCCGTTGGTGGTGGGCCAAGTGATCCGGTCCGTATTTCCAAAGCAAGTCAAATACCTGGCTAGCAAATTTCGATTTTCTATCATCAATAGCATCGCCCTCCTATGCATGGTGTGGTCCGTGTTTTGTGATGGCGTTGCAAGCGACGCTTTCCATCAACTGACCGCGGTGGATATCGTCGCCATTATCGGTGTTGACATTTTCTTGTACCTCTTTGGTTGCGCGACTTGTCTATTTGTAGCGCGTTTGCCTTGGCCACACCGTTGGATTCAAGAACCAGAATGGGTCAAACAATGGCGATTTTCGCGCAAAGATGCCATTGCTATCATGGTACGTGGTCAGATATGAACCCAACGAATATGTATGAGCCTTATAACTGTGTGATAGTATTGTGGAGCGACCAAAACAGTCTCTATGGGTATTCCATTGATCAACGTCTTGTATGCTGACAGCAGCTATGGTATTGTTGGCGTGCTGTCTCTTCCACTTTTGATGTACCATATTTCGCAGTAAGTGCGGGCTTCAACATGCAATCAGTCAGCAAAAAAGGGGCTAACATGTCTTGTTGGACTAGGTTGTTCATTGGTAATTTTCAAGTTCATCCATTGAAGCGCTGGGTAGAACAGGAAGCCGATGAAGTTCAGGAAGAACAACATGGATTGACGAACAACCCACAAAGTACCAGTTTACCAACCCATACAACAAGACGTCGACCTAATACTGAAGCAACAGCTTAAGCTTTTGTGCAATGCTGGCAACCCAAAAAGTGGAGTGTGTTGTTTTATTATCCAGCACTATGCGAGAGAACGTTATGTCAAAATACTCGTGATAGTTTTGATAAACCCAAAGCCGCATTGTGTCATGGATCAAGATTAACTGCAGAACATAGAGATAGAACGTTAGTCGATCGCCTATTCAGATTAAAGTGCAGCACCAATCACAAACTGTAAATTTGACAGTCTTTTTGCTTGATCAAAACAGCCAATCAAATATCATTATTGTTAGGTAAGGTTGATGACGAGTCCTTGTCTCATTTTCGATCTCCGCCTGCCAAGGGATCCGTAACAGGAGAGAGATGTTGAAATGTCCCAAAATCCCGAGCCATGAGATGGTTTTTTTTTTCTAGACTCAATTTTTTTTCTCTCTTTTCGATATCGCCATTTACAAAGAAAACTTTCCCTTCACGTTTAAATCTCGACATTAGACTTTCTACCGTTAGTTGAGAAAAAAATTCGCATATATCTCGAATCTCTTTCTACAAAAACACCCCAAAAAACCTACCGTGCAATCTACTTAAACAACCTATTTGTCTCCCATCATCTGAATTTATTACATATATCATGTCCATGCCCGTAAATAGTCAGACGCTAAGGTAAATGTTCACCTGTTTTTACCACGCCCATTCCCGGTTGCATAGGAAGTCTCTTCCACCACCGGTGAACCCCACTCTTGCTGATACAAACCATTTGACTGACATGCTTTTCCTTCATTTCCTTAAAATTCCCGACTTTTTTTGTCGTTGCAGCCATGAAAACGACAACTGGAAAAAGCATATTGTGGTGCCACCCAAAGATACTCGGCCACAGACAGAGGTAACAAACATTGAATGATATCAGAATCAAAAAAGGAAGGAAAAAAAGGATGAATAGAATGGATTATTGACACGAGTTTGTCCCTACAGGATGTCACTGCTACAAAAGGAAATGAGTTTGAAGATTACTTTCTTAAAAGAGAACTGTTAATGGGCATTTTTGAAGCTGGTTTTGAACGCCCCTCACCTATCCAAGAAGAAGCGATTCCAATTGCGCTCACAGGTCGAGATATTCTGGCAAGAGCAAAAAACGGTACCGGAAAGACGGCGGCGTTTGTCATTCCTACATTAGAGAAAATCAACAACAAGAAATCCAAAATTCAAGCCTTGTTGCTCGTCCCCACACGTGAGTTGGCGTTGCAAACGTCACAAGTATGCAAAACTCTTGGAAAACATCTCGGCATACAGGTCATGGTCACCACAGGCGGCACTACACTCAAAGATGATATTCTGCGACTTGGCGAACCTGTGCACGTCGTGGTGGGTACGCCCGGCCGAATTCTTGATCTCGCTTCCAAGGGCGTTGCGGACTTCAGCGAAGCCACCACGTTTGTCATGGATGAAGCGGACAAACTGTTATCGCCCGAATTCACTCCCGTCATCGATCAACTCATTTCCTTTTTCCCCAAAGACAGACAAATCATGTTATTCAGTGCTACTTTCCCCATGATCGTCAAAAACTTTAAAGAAAAGCATCTCGTGAAGCCATACGAGATCAATCTGATGGATGAACTGACCTTGCGTGGTGTGACACAGTACTATGCCTATGTCGAAGAGAGACAAAAGGTGCACTGTTTAAATACGTTATTTTCCAAGGTAAGAAATCAAAGGAAAGAAAAACAAGTCACCCGCACCCGGATCCCGGTATTCATTTGTCTTTACTTGTTGCTATAGTTGCAAATCAATCAATCGATTATCTTTTGTAATTCTACGAATCGCGTAGAGTTGTTAGCGAAAAAGATTACCGAGCTGGGATACTCGTGTTTCTATTCGCATGCTAAAATGCTGCAGAGTCACCGTAACCGCGTTTTCCATGATTTCAGAAATGGTGTCTGTCGTAACTTGGTCTGCTCAGGTACAGTGGAAACAAAAAAACTTGCGATTTCTTAAGAAGGGAGTCTGTGTATACTCATGCTTACCGTGTTATCTTCTTTTATTTCTTTGCTTGATTAGATCTTTTAACGCGTGGTATCGATATCCAAGCTGTCAACGTGGTGGTGAACTTCGATTTCCCCAAAAACGCAGAAACCTATCTCCACCGTATCGGCCGTTCAGGCCGCTTTGGTCACCTAGGTCTTGCCATCAATTTGATTACTTACGAAGATCGATTCAATCTCTACAAGATCGAACGTGAATTGGGCACTGAAATTCAACCTATTCCTCCCGTGATTGACAAGCATCTGTATGTGGCTCCTAGCGCTTTGGAGGATGCCCAAGTGCAACAGCCTAATCGGGAAGCCGCACAAGCTACCCGTCAGCACCAACAACGTCGCGAACAGCAACCGCAACAACAAGTGCAGCAGATCTCAATGCAGCAGAGATATCCGCAACAACAAGGATATTACGGCCAACAGCGTAATGATATGAATGGTCAAGGCATGCGCGGTGGATACAATGGCTACGGTCGACGCAACATGCAGCATATGCCAGGAAGAGGCAAACCCAGGCCCAAGCCTCAGATGTAATGGATCACAGCTTCATACATTCTCGATCTACCGCATGTGGATATGCGGATTGATTTCTTGTAAATACTTGGATATCAGTTATGAGTAACCTCTTTCTTTTCTCTTGACTTTTTTTTTTCTTTTTCTTCTTTTTTTCTCTTTCTGTATTTGGGTGCCTATTCCTTGTAGGTGGTCGATCGTATTTTGGTCTGTGACATTTCCTTTACCTCTATGTTTTTTTTTTACTTCTTTCTGTTTTCATTTTCTTTGTACACTATTTGCTTTTATGGTTTACGCAATTCGTTGTCGTGAAGCTGCATTAGTGCCATGTTTTTAATGCTCCTGTTCTTGGAAAAATTTTCCCTTATTTGATGAGGGTTTTTTTTTTAATGACGCTGTGATCATAGCTAGTATAATCTATAGTGTCATTACTTTTTTTTTAATTTCAATAACAAGGTGCATTGTATGAAAAATAATCTGGACAAAACAAAAATAGGCCTCTATGCCAAAAATGATGAATGTAGTATGGTGAAGTTAGGTCTTCTGAAGATGCAACGTGGGGGTTGGGTTTCACACGCGTGTCAGGGTAGCAATTTGTAATAGGGCATGCTGGCTTGTGTGACGCATATGGAGAATGATTAGATGACGATACAAGAGTTTCTATAGTCAAAGTACGGACGGTACTGTAGCGGTTTGCAGGAAGTCGGTAATAGTAAGGATGCCGTGGTGATATACGGAATCCGCTTTTTGTTGCCAAGGGCATGTTCAAGCGTTGTACCCGTCCAAGAGCTCACGGTTCTGGTTTCAGAGGTTTGGCTTGTACCGATGACCGGTAGATACCCGATGCCCACCATATGTGTTCGCCACCAGTGAGCGCGGCGAATTTGAAATCCTTGGGGCAAATGAAGGTTGGCACGCTGGAACCATAATTCTAACTGAACATCCATGTCGCTGGTTGAAGATACGGACGCGAGTTGATCCATCAAATGCTGATCACAGCGGATGTCGAATTTGGAGAAACCGAGATCACGTATACGTTCAATATTTCTGCTGGTCCTCTGTTGCAAGGGCAACCATGTTCCGTCATCAAAACCAACTTCGTAAAGAGGGGTGTGCGGTCGGATCCATTTCCGCTGCAGCTTTAAATACCATGGCTGCTTTGCCGTGATACCTAAAAACGACGTGTTTCCAACGGGGTTCTGCAACGGTTCGTATGTAGTCTCGGCAGTTGATTGTTTTTCAATGTACACGGTGTCGTCGCTCGGTTTGGCAGCCGCCGTCGGTTTTGATTTTGGGTCTTTCAACTTTAGCTTCAGCGATGCTACGACTGAGAAGGAAGAAGGAATAAATGATGTCGCAGATTTCGGTTTCTCGGACGAAGTAACGATCGGCTTTTTCTTGAACATTCGAGAGGCTATCGTATGGAGCGGTGTTTTTCGGAAGGACAGATTGTCATTATTACGTGCCAGTAGACTGGAGCTAGTAAAGGGTATCTTTTTGATGCAGAGCTTGATTTTTGTAAACATGCTTTTGAAAATGAAGACCCGGTCAAAAAGAAAAAAAAATAGAAGAAAAATGCAAGTGAGGAACAAAAGGTGCAGGAAGGAAAATACAGAGTCTTTTTAAGGTACACTTGGACGATAATCGATTAGTCGAATAGTTTTGGTTCACAAAGCTCAAAAATGTACAAGAATGACCATGGATTCACACCGAGGAAGATTGGCTCTAAGAATTATGCTCTAGCTCTCGTACACCCTACCTCACGCGGCATTATAGTGCATGTACATAGTGTAGTTGTTATATACGATCTCGTACAGTTACATGAACACGCTGATTTTCATACAAGAGAGATGCAAATAGCGACTTCCTCGTCAAAACAGCATATGGCCCGTCGGGAAACACACGGTTGTCGACTCCGCGTATGTTGTCAGTTTAATTATTGTTGATAGGTTGCACCAAAACCGCGCTGCAAGACTTATCCCACGTCGCTCAGGATTTATTTTGCACAGACGTCGTTTTTCTAAAATTGGTTGCAGTACTTCTTCAATAAGTTAGAATGAAAACTCAGTAAGCTACATTGTTTTTGACGATGAGTTTTTCCAGATATGAAGTGCCAAAGCACTTCTTGTTCCTTGTCAATGTATTGACAACCCAGTATCAACAAATATTTCATGACTGCGTCGGTATTCTGTAACAACAGCTACAGCTCGGCATTGTGGACTCTGAGAAGCGTGTTTTTGACGCATGGGTATCGGAAGAAGGGTCCCGACTCCCATGATGAAATCCCAAATGGTTGTGCATATCACAATCTGCTACTGTGAATATCTATTTCGTTTAATGATGATGATGTGTGTAACAGTAACAGTTACACGAACACGAACATCACCATTCGAAGCTTTGGAGAACAATGGCGGAGAAAGACATCATCAACACCACAACAAATGAGGGCGAAGTTCCATGGACACTTCACACCTATCCCACCCAGTTGGCAAATATCCCCAATTGAATATAACCAAGCAACAAATCATACAACAAAGTCATGCTCTCTCTTAATATTGGCCTGATCAAAAAGAAAAAAAAATTGACTGGGCAACAATTGGTTACCAATGAGATTACTTTTGTTTTGCACGAACCCGTACTTCTCGTATTTCTCTTGTCATTGATACTGTAATTTGTCTACTACAGTACTCTGAACTATTGGATAACAAGAAAAAAGAAACATAACGTCGACGATATTGTAATGTCAAGATAATAAAAGACGGCCTATGCAGTGGTATTATACAGTATGGGAGCGATGCCTCCATCGGGAATCAGTAGGAACTCATATAAAAATTGTATGTATACCACAGCTCACACTTCGGAAATGAAAATGAATCAGTAAATTTCAGCAGTCTTGCATCAAGGGATTGGAGGGGTTTATTACATGCAGAATCCTTTCTTTTCCTACATTTGCTTTATTTGCGATATGGATCAAGCTAATTACGTACTGTTGGTGAGTTGGATGAGTTCATGGAGAAGAGATGGTAAAATTACTAAAACGGCACGATGGCTTAGTCCATGAATTCTTTGTAATATTCCACCGCTCGTATAATAAACTGCACAATCGAAGCTATGCTGCGTCTTGATGCACGTAATAGTTATTTGTGATTTTATCAAACTTCACAGCTTATTAACTTACTTACGTTGTAAATAAAAGTGATGACGAAATCAGCCTAATTCTATTAAATGGGATTTGACGCACATGAGGTTGCACTCCTACAATGTACCATAATATCGTGGCATCCTTTAGCATATCTAGCTTGTCTAAAAAAAAAAATAAGGGAGCAGAAATCTTTCTTTGGAGGCTACGGCTTTCAGATAACTTTCTCAGACGATACAGAAGCCTAGTTGCCCAGAACACCATGCTTTATTCATACGGTTATTGTCCTGATTCTAGTATTCAAAATGACATTGTTTACGGTGTCATTGACCTCTTGCGGATAAACGAGCGGACGACTTTTCATTCATTGGTGAATGGTCAGGTGTAAATAAGTCTGAATTAAAGTCCAAAATAGGGATGTGTTGCTGTTCCCTTTTTAATCAAGCTTCCAGATCTCCTAAAGCAGCCTACCTAAATAGCAAGTGCATCGTGAGAAAATGATTGGATGAGCTATCAAAATTATATGGCAACACCATCGTCAGCTGAGACCGTATCCTGTATCTTGCATTGCACACAAACATGACCAAGGTCGACGATCTGCCAAATTTCACACGTCTCTGGGAAATCATTACAGTATCTGGATCAACCTTTTCGCTTGCGTGGTTTTCTTCAAGCGACTGAAGTAGTTGCAAAGACACAGAGGTGAGGTACATTCAAAAAGCTTATTTAAGAGGAAGCAATATAAATTTCGACGTGTGGCAGAATCTTGACATACTATAATTGGATAACTAGGAGAGTGGACGGACATCTGGTTGCTATTGCAAGCACAAAAAGTTAAGTTACATCGGCGACAGAACATGGTTACCCGTTGGATGGAACTTCCAATATCCAGTTATCTCTCTTGGGAATTCCGCGTTTGTAGATGGGATTCTGGAGAAAACATATCCTGGAAATTTTTGTATGGCACGGCAATAAGTATAGAGATCGATTCTGCCAGGTTATAGAGGGCCATATACCATGTCCATGAAAAAAAAAGTTAAAAAGTGGTACAAGCCAAGTTACGCCAAGTGATACTATAGATAAGCGTTACCTTGTTAAAACATGCATTGATTGGTGGTATTCGGCTGCAAGATGTTAGGTTGTAAACAAACGACTACTTTCTACATTTTTTCGTCCTACCATCGCGGGCTTTTTTTAGGCAGAATTGAGCCCATGGATGACGAAGAATCCACGTACAATATCCGTGTTTTATTTTTTTTCTCTGATCAAAGTAGGCTTGTGCATCGCATAAATATGAAAAGGTTGGAAAAGTGGACTGTAATAATAATAAAAAACCATCATGAAAAAAAAAATAAGAATAAAATAAAAGAGATATTTACATGGGAGTTGTGTAATGCTTGAGCTTCCTTTTTTTTAGTTCATTTTTGGCAAACCAGTGCCCAAAAATAAATGAAAAAAGAAAATGGGAAAAAAGGCCACCGGAAAAAAAAAGCTAATTTTCAGATGAACTTAGGCAACGTTCAGACGCACAGAATAGAGTATCGTCAGTGTCTGCAACAAAATAAGGCCGCTAATTCTTGTGAGCATGCCGTGCTTGGACTGGAGGAAGAGACGAAGGTCGCAATTTTAGCTATGCAATTGGAAAATCAAGCGAATTCATGATGCTTACCTTCGGCCGTTTCTGATATTTGGTAGGGTGAGAACAGTAATGGATCCGAGATATTGGAGGGGGTTACCGAGGTTTGCGCTCCTAGGTCACGTCCGTTGTACATATCGAAATCCGGCATAAATAGGGCGCTGGGCGTCATGTATGGATTTGCACAAGACATATCGTCGACGGTATTTTCCATAGTAAGTTCCATCATCACCCAGTTGGAATCGTTCAAGAATAAGTCAGGCACCGTGGTCGATGGATTGAAAGGTAGCATGGAAGTGTCGGCTGCCGAAGACGATGAACCATTGATAGCTTCATTTATTTCTGAGATGGAGGAATTGCGGCGTTCCGAGTTGGCATCAGACAATGTATCGGGGGTAGCTGGCGGTGAAAAATCGGTATCTTTTGTACTCAAGGTCGTTGCCATGGACGGCGCTTTAGGAGACGAAATAGAGTTGGCGGGCGTTTTTTCAAAGGATTGGCTGTGAGCACGAGCCTGTTTTCTTAGACGTTCGTTTTCCTTGCGTAGTTCAAGAATTTGATTGACGTATTTGTCTTCGCGTTGACCACTGCCTGTCACTTGAGACCCAGTCATAAAATTCATCAGTCGCCATCTTTTAACATGATATGAAAGTTGTAATGACTTACCAAAATCCAACGATTTTGCTACAATCATGGTTTTACTTGGACGACGAACCGTTTGCAGTGCGGGTAATGCATGAGCCAATTGCTGTAGTTTCATGTTCAAAATTTCACGCCGTTGTCGTTCCAGAGCATTGTGAGCACTTCGTCTGCAGACAATACAAAAATGTGCAACACAGTTATTAGCAGGACAGTTCTGTGGAAGCAAGGGAAAATTGTATGACATGTTTCAACTTACTTATCATCTGGATGTGCTGTATGCATGTCTGAAGAAGAAAAACCTAGAATCAATATCGATATTTTTCATGTTGTGGCAATTTTGGTGATGAATACATACTGAAAGCATGTGTGGCTGCGAAGCTGCCAATATAGCTATCGACGGGAGTATTTTGTATAGATCGTCGTGGCAATGATACTCTAAATTTCTCTGAAGGCATGAAAAAATAAAAGAGATGGAAAACGAAACAAGAATAGAGCAAAAAAAAAAAAAAAAGCCAAGAAGAAAAACTCTTGTGTAGAAATTAGTGTTTTCCAATAAGTTTATATAGTTTCAAGGCGTCCAAGCCCCCACATTTGTTGCTGTGAGCCAAAAAAAAAAAAAAAAAAAAAAGGTTGGGTTCCTAGAGCAAAACGATTAAATGGATCATCAAACTTTAATTGTCTATGGGCACTGTTTTCCACCAAACCAAGGATTGAAATCGATGGCGCGCCGTGACCTGGATTCAATGGCCGCTGCAGGTCTCCTTTTCTGAACTTTTGAGAGCTTCTCCCTTTGTTGCACATTGAAAGCTTGATTGCTTGCCTTTTGGTCATGCATCATCCGAGACGGTATAAAAAAAAGTCTGTGCATATTCTAGTTGCATCTTCACTTGATCATCCCGCTCTTTGCCTAGTGCCGTTTTCCACCTCACTTCTCGCCCAGGCACTCTACCAGATATGGTCATTGCAGGGAGTGGGCAGGAGGAAGGCTAAAAGGACAAAGGAGATGACCTTACACCCATCTTCACTTATAAAAACCCGATTCCAGAATAAAAAAAATCTCAATAGCTTATTCTTCACGTGGTCGTCATCCTAATGTTGTCCCAAATTTATTCATCCCATCGATCGTTGGGTTCCTTCTCTCTGGTAACATGCGAGCATAAAATAAAGCAAGACTAAAACGATTGTCCAGACATTCGGTGACGGAGCTAACCATAAAGGAATACCTCACTTGTCCCCTGCTTGAGCCTTTTCATATTGTTCGGATTTTCCGACTTCTCCTTGTAGGCATTTTCCCTTTATTGCCTTGGTTGTGTGTATAGAACATGCTTTTCCACGCAAATGAAATGACCTGAGTCTAGCTCCATGTTGCGGTTTCTGATTAGTTTATCTCATAAATCTGCCAGTGTTGAAAGTAAAATATTCCCTTCATAATGAGATGTGTAACCTGGAACAGATGGCTTTGAAGATCAAGGAATATTTTCCAATTCAACTGTTTATAAATACAAAAAAATTACCACTTTTTTATCCGCTGCGATGTGATACGGATGTTGTAATAAATTTTCAAATTTACATCATCACTTCTTCCCCAAATGTCAGCTTTGACATCCTTATTGTGAGCTTATGACGCTTTAAGCCAGAACGAAGAACCAAAAAGCCTCGCTCAAATACAGTGCGCTGCTGCATTCTACGGTAACCATCGTTACACTTGCACTACCCATGTGGGTGTAAAGCGGTCTGTGGATGCCAAAAAAAAAAAGGATCGAATGCACTACGAACCAACTGCATCCGAAAAATTTCTCCAGGATAGAGAACTCACGTTCCCCATGTATTGTATAATAGCTTTGTAAATAAAAAAGTAAACAACCATGACGGTGCAAAAGTTTGCAAATCAGCAACAGTAAGGTTTTTTTTTCCTAAAAAAATTAAGGTCGATTGATGAGGTAACCGCCGCAATAGTATTCATAACCCCCACTCCCAAAGAGGATAAACAAACCGTTGCACAGATCCGGCTTCATGTATACAGTGACGAGCGTCATTTTTTTGATCCTTGGAACAATAACCTTGTCAATTATTTTTTATAGCACGTACATTTCGTTCCCAAAAGGAAAAGAAAGAAAAGGACATTGGATGATGTCCATTTTTTCTGGCATCTTTGTTTTTTTCCTTTTTTGCGTTCATATTTCCGATATTTACAAATGGCAAAAAAAAAAAAAAACGAAAAGCTTATTGCTGTACATATCTATCATGCGCATCAATGGTCATGCACCATGATTGATGGTCGTTTGTTGGTTTCGGGTTCAGGAAGTCCACCGAACCCTAAATAGACACCGAATACTTCACGTTCCCAGAAACGAAGCATATACTGATCGACATGACCCACTCCCAGTTGCATTTCTTCGGTATCCTCTTCTTCCTGGTCTTCCTCTTCTTCCTCATGTTCTCCCACAGGCGTCGCCTGTCGAGAAACACTGATTTCCCTGACTCGCTTGATTTCTTCCGTCATCGATGAAGATCGGGGAACCACGATCTGACTGGACGCTTCACCTGGATCCGGTGATTCCGACGCACTACGAGACGTGGTGGAAGGTACCACACTACTCTGTCGTTGTGGCGTGCTGGCTGTCGATTCTTCAAATTCATGTTCATCCATATTGAGTTCCTTTCGCGCCGCCAGAGCCGCAGCAGCATCGTTTTCATCACCTTCAGCTTCAAGCAAGGCGCGTTCCATATCCATACTTGACGACATGTTCGCGTCCCGATGATCTCTTTCCAAATGCAAAGCTTGTTCCGATGATCGTACTTCCGGTAAGTCACGCCACCAATCCATCTTGTTGAAATAATCGGTAGTAAAAGCACCTTCTTGAATCACTACATTATCCAGCATTCTAAAATAAAGTAAAAACTCAGTACCAAGAACCATATTGTACGTATATGCATCGCTTTTTTTTGTTTTTGTTTTTTGCTTCTCATGAAAGCAAGATGTTACCTTTTTTGATTGGCCTTTTTAAAGATGTTCTCTTCAATGGTATATTCCGTTACAAAGCGGTAAATGTGAACATCACGCGTTTGACCAATACGATGGGCCCTGTCTTGACATTGTTTATCCTAAAATCAAGTACCTTTTAGCTAGATCCAAAAAAATGAGCATTGATGGAAAAAAAAATTATGCATACCATGGACGGATTCCAGTCAGAGTCGTAAAAAATCACCGTATCTGCTCCGGTCAAATTGATACCCAGACCGCCACTGCGTGTTGATAGGATGAACACCAGGATACGTTTGTCATTGTTAAACTGCTCTGTTAATATTTGACGTTTTTCCACTTTGGTAGCACCATCCAATCGAAGATACCGATGGCCGTGCATATTGAGAAACGCTTCAAGGACATCCAAGACACGAGTCATTTGAGTGAAAATAAGCACACGGTGACCACCAGCCGCCAGTTCACGTAACAGTGTCGCGAGTTTTTGCAATTTACCGCAGTCGTACTGTAATAGTCTTTTGTCAGGAAACGCAACAGACAATCGGGAATAAATAGGATGGAAAATGTCATTGTCAAGCATGAGGCGCATCTGCTTTTGAGTCTCCACAGGAAGATCGAGAGGAATTGGTATGGTGGGTCGGTAAATCAAGGCTTTCGGCGTAACGAATCCGTAGCGTTCGAGAATCTCCAGGTTCGTGTCGATACGATCTCGATAACTGGTCACTGCTTGTCGAATGGCTTCGCTGCGATCCAAGTAACATCGTGGATCGGAGGCCGTAGCGAAGAATTTGACATAGTAACCTGCTGTCATGGACCGGCACATTGTCACGGTATCAATTCCGTACACAGGTCGTTGCGCGCATCGATAACTGTTGATATAAGAAAGCGTGCGCCACCGTTCAGCCGTGTAAGCATGTTTTCGCAGTTGTTGGTATTTGGCGTATTTCTTCAAGTCGTGATAATCGCAACGGGTAAAACCACGCGCTTCAGCTGCATCCACGAGTTTTTGATGACGCACAATTTCTTTCAGGAACTGCTTCGTCGCATCCAATCGGTCATACAGATCCGAGGTTCGGGTATCCATAGATTCGTGCGTCGTGACGACCAGGTTGAGGAACCCAAGATCGACGTGGAACTGCGCTTTCGACTGAATGCCGAATAAACGATGCCGCACAAGCGATTCAATGTACTGACCGTTCTCTTGTACCTCATCCGTCATGGCAAAACTCGTGAGAATCGGTCGTTCTTCGAACAAGTCCGGGTGGTTGCACACTTTGCGAAGTTGCATAAGGCAGTTGATGATGCTCAAGAAATTGTCACTCGCCAAGGTCTCTTTGGTCTTTGCTCGACTCATAAAATCGTCGTAGAGATACCGTTGTCGCTTGGAAAGCCGACAATAGACAATGTGTTCATGTTTTTCCGGCATTTGCTTTTCCACGTCGGCTTTCAATCGTCGCAGCAAATACGGACGTAATACCGTATGGAGTTTCTGGATGGCAGCACGCGATTCCTCATCCATACCTTGCTGACTTTCAATCATGCGGTCCACAGGCTGCGAAAACCATTCCTGAAAATCGCGAAGATTCGCAAATCCGATAGGCATCGTTTCTGACACGCCGCTAGGCATCAGAAAGTACAACAGAGACCATAATTCCATGAGGTTGTTCTGCAACGGCGTACCGGTGAGAAGTAAACGGCGCGACGAATTAAAGTTGAGCAGGACTTGCCAACGCTGTGAGCGGAAATTCTTGATATGGTGAGCTTCATCCAGAATCAGATACTGCCAAGCTTTGCGTCGAAACACATTTTGATCTTGCAACACCAGTTGATACGATGTAATGCATACGTGGAACGCATTTTCCTTTGACCACCCTAGTCGTTTTTCCTTTCGTTCTCGGGGATTACCGTAATAGGTCAATATCTTAAACCCGGGAAGCCATCGTTTGAACTCCATTTCCCAATTGAGAATCACACTCGTAGGCACCACAATCAAATGAGGACCCCAAAGCCCTCTTTCACACGCCAAATGGGCCAAGAGTGCGATGGTCTGAATCGTTTTGCCAAGACCCATTTCATCCGCCAAAATTCCATTCAAGCCATTGGTATACAGACTGGCCAGCCAATCCAAGCCAACGTGCTGATATTCTCGTAGCTGGCCGCGTAAAAGCACTGGTATAGGGGTATCCAGCCGGCTACCGCTTCTGTTGGCTTCCTCATTGTCATCCACCGACACAATCTCCTCCATCAATTCATCGTCATCCTGCTGTTCTTCGTTATCCTCCATCTCTTCATTCACAGAATGCGCTCTTTCTCCTCTTGATTCCTCATCATCTTCGATCGTGTGTGCACCTCTACCATGATCCTGTTTTTCCGACATTTCGTCGTGTTCATGCTCGTCTTCCTCTTCTGACGCTTCTTCATCACTCGACAATCGATAATGGTACTTTCGCAGTAATTCTTCGACGGATAGGTCCTGATCAGCCGTGAGATCTGCCAGCTCATCGTCGTCGTCACTTTCACCTTCCTGTTGAATGATATGATCATTTTCCTGCTCTTCTTCCCATTCCGGATGATCCGACAGTGAACCATCTTGCTGATCATTCAATGATTCTTGCGTATCCACACTCGTATTCGTATCCTGTTGGATATCCTCCATAGCCTCCTCGTCCTGCTGCGATGTGATCGGTACGTTCTCTTTACTTTTCCCGTGCCTCACGTCGTTCTCTGCAGTATCCACCGAATGTTCCGTTATTTCATCATCGTCAAGGATACGTTCGATTCCCAAGTCCCTGTCGTCGTCATGTGGAGCGGATGAAGCTTCAGCTGTCTCCTGGTCTGTTAAAAGAACAGGTTCTTTATCGAGCGGTTCCTCCAGCGGTAATGACGATTGTCTTTGTTCCTGCGAACCGTGTTCCGACGGCAAATCTGTGTTCATTGGTTTCCTGGAACTTAATTCTTCCATACGAACGCCGAGCATCTGTTCGGAATGTTCGAGAATCAGTTCAAGATGTCGACGGCCTTTCTCTGCTTGTTCTTCTTTGAGGATTTCTTTATGTCTGGCTTCGCAAATTCTCTCTACAATCTTCCACTTTTTCTTGACTTGCTGCGCGGTCCATTTCGCCAGTCGCGCCATTCGTTTCATTTCCTCCTTTTGCAAACGTTCATCGTGGGTACGTATAGCGTCCCAATAACGGTCAACGGCCTTGGCGCATTTCCTCGCTGCATTACGTCGATACTTTGAGTTGCTGTGAAAAAGCTTTGCAGACGATACCACTTGAGTCAGTAACACGTTGTGATGGGTATTTGGCTTTACACGGTCCATTTGAGGTCGTCGGTTGGCGATCGCTTGCAGTTGGGTGGAAAATCCGCCACGTTCATTAAGTGCCGCAAGGCGTTGTCGGACCGCTCTCTCCTTGGCAACCAATTGCTGTGCTTCTTCCGGTGTGATATCTTCATTATCCTCTAGGGATATAAACGAGCCGAGATAATCACCCAACGTTGGAAACTGTCGGTTGTACCGTTTGATACCCGTGCCCGTGCGTACAAAGGAAGTTGACACAAACGAAGGGCCGGCCTCTTTGGACGTGTCGGCGGCTGATGAAGGTGTCATCCGATCCAGTTCGTTCTGCAACATATCCACTAAAGAAGCTCGACGATGATGTAGTGAGTGTCTGGTATTGACACGTGCTCCTGAATCTCGCTGCTTTTTAATCACTTCTTCGTTCACAAGATCCCAAAGATCGTAATTTTGCATATACTAGAGCCAAGTGTATCGGTGTGAGAAAAGAACCCCATCTCTGATATGTTAAATGCTGGTATTAAAACCACTTACATTGATCAATCGCTCATCTTTCTCCATTGCCGCTTTTTGAGGATCATACGAAAGCATATCTTGATACACTTCCAAATGGTACAGTTCGCGTACCGCGGCATCGTGGCGATCCAGAATCGTTTGCAACTGCGTCTCTCGTTCGATCAACCAGTCATTGCGAAGCTTATCGAGGGGCGTTTTCGGTGTACGTAGTAATCGTTGTGTGCTGCATTTCACGGGACGCGGGGTTTGCGAAGCTTCCTTCCGAGACCGTGCCGCAGGCGAGCTCCTTCTTTGAACATCTTTTGACACAGGTGGATGATGCGCTCGCTTCAATGGCATGGCTTCATCTTCGCCACGAGCTTTTCGCTTTTTGGTTTTGTCCGATGCCGTGGTGGAATGCGTCGCTGCTGGTTTGCGTTCCGTCGCTTTTTTTCGAGGCGTCGTTGGTCGGTCGGTGTGAGGTTCGATTTTGACCGATATCTTTGTAGGCGACACTTTACGTGATGTTGCAGTGGTGTTGGCTGGCTTGGACTGCTTGGCAGGCGGAGGATCGGTTTTCTCGGGATCGGCAAGTTCCACTTTTCTTTTACGCGAATTGCGTGTGGAACCTGCAGGCGACGCACTGGGTTCCAGAATATTGTGAGAACTCACATCACCGTCAGTATCAAACAGCGATCGGCCCGCTTTGTTCTTTAGCTTTTCCGCAATTTTGGCTGCACGTTTGGTCACTTTCGGTTTCTTTTCTACCGTTGAGGATGGATGGACAATAGAAGTTGGAGGATTTCCAGCATGTTGAGTACTCTCTGTCGTGTTCGATAGCGTGTCCTCTGCGAATTCAGTTTTAACAGAGGTTGACGTCGTACTGGTCACGGTTGCTGTGCGATGCAGACTCGAAGGCGAATCGTCCCTTGTTGTGGGAAGGGTTGACGACGGACAACGGTGATTGACCGTTGTATTGGGATCCGGTGCTGAAGCATCCGCCCTTTGTAAATGATCCGCATCTGAGTCCCTTGACGGGTCTAGATCGATCATATTGAAGCAATTGGGTTTATACAAAAAGGAAAAAGAAAAAGAGAAAATTGACACTCCACAGTTACAGAACAGAGGGGAAATTTGGCAAAAGGGCACCGCGGCGGAGATGGAAATGATAAAAGCAAGCTTGTTTGCGGGTCTTCGATCATCAGATGCTTTGGCCAAAAAAAGGCCACTGTCATCTTTCTTTGCCTACTTATTTATTTTTATTGAAGCTTTAGGCGTAACCAAAAGACAGTCTTAAAATTAGTTTTTACGATTTTGCGGCTTATGCCTAAGAGAAAATATGATATGGCTCCATCTTTCTCTCCTTTTTTGACTTTTCAAGCTTTACTCACTCGCAAAAGGACCTACAGCATGCATAAGCAGACCCTGGCAGTTTGCATTACTCTCACAATAAATATTCTCACTTATGACTACAGAAGTTCCAATGGTGACCACGTTTCAGTAAACGGTTGCCTAGACCCGATTTCATATGCAGTAAATTTCATTGCTTTGGTTCACTGCAAATTTTGCCAAGTAATTATGGTACTAGTGTAGAGTGATGTTGAATATCGACCTCTGCATGTAAAGGCGGGTTTTTATATGTAGCTGATCTATAATTTCAGGCTGTCCGATATAGTCACCCAGCATTACGAAGCGGTTCTTATTGTTCTACATGCATCGTCATTACATACCCTAGTTTATCCTTGGGCGAAACTAAATCAGCTGTTTAGTATAGCCACCGTCCATATTATAGTCTGATAGCTGTTGATTTCAAGGCACCATGGCAAGATCTTGAGTAGCACAAGCTATGAAAAGCGAGACCTACGAATGAGCTTTTTGAACTACAAATAATAGTGCATTTTCGGACAAATCGAACAAGACATCTGGAAAGCACAACCATGGATCAAGTAATACCATAGATAAAACATATTCTTTCGTTATAGTATGCAATTTTCTAGGATTAATGCTTCACTGAAGACAGGCAAATGATTTGTTACGTGAAATGAGACAGTGGATCTTACGTAAGCCACGATTCTGAAACGCCCTTCGCCTATTGAAATAAAACGTGCCCACATCAGATTTCTTGCGAAAAACACCAGTAGTTCATGGTAGACCCGCGCTTAAGATAGACTGAGGCCTCACTCGTCAGTTCCCGGTCACTGTATGCTCCTTCATCTATCTGCGGCGACTGTAGCGCATACCTAGATTGTACTCTATTCTTCTGTTGCATCGAAGCAAAAGATGGTCTGCACCTCTTCAGGCGCCTTGAAAGTTGTTCATGAAGTTTGTTCGATAGAAACGAATCAACGTTCAGAAAATAGGTTGACGAATTAGCCATCACCTGCTGCTCATCCATGTTTAGCAAAAATTATCAGTAGACTGTAATGATAGCCAGCAAAGCACGGTTTATTACAATGTTTGGGGATAACGTACAATATACGAATGTATAGAAATATTGTTTTGGTGTACATATTACATCCTTAAAAAAAGAGGTTGTTTTTGTACATATAAGGGGAAGTGCTTGTATGCAGCATTGAGAAAACATACAAAAGATTGATGCCAGGATGCTATGATATACAATGGTACTGATGGGATCCTGAGGCCGTAAGATTGGTAGGACGCATACCATACCTTACACTGCCGCATATGATCCCCGCCACGGGAGACCCTCATCTACGGTATTTACGCTGGAGAACTCACCTGCAGACCTCACTTACTGCCCTTTCCTCACCATGCCCTGTATGGCGCACAATCCGATGCTGTTGCAGACCCTAATCAGCGCCATATCCGTCGTCTATGCGACGCGATCTACCCTCGCCGGCGGAACCTCGGCTTGGCCGAGGTGCTCTACATATAAAAGGGCTCTTTCTAGTTAGACAATCTGATGTAAAGGTTTGGTTCACTGTTTGAGTGGACTTACCGGAAGTACATGTCGAGGCGGACTTCAACCGCGTCAGACTCGGAGCAAAACATGCATAAAATTGGATCGTACTTGTATGATGGGCTGGGGGAGCAGGCTCGGTGAGTTCATACAGGGGAACCCGCGTCCGTATCGGTGCCGTAACAGGGATCGCGACAGCTATTGAGCCTAGCATACGTCCTACCTATTTTTTTTCTCTTTTTTTTTTATTATTATCTCACCTTCATTTTTTTTTTTTTTGGCCTCTTTCACTTAGGATCCCATCAGTGAAAAAAGAAGAACGGTGGGGAAAGCATCCTGGCGTGCTTTGCTGGCAGGAAATGGGCGGTACGATGGGTACAGCCGATAGGAGACTTTTGATCGTCCTATCGGCTTCTCTTTGGATCGGTTGCTGAACCTACAATATATGGAATCATACATAATTAGCACCCTGATGATATTTCAAAGCAGCGTCTATGAAGTTCTTACCTTTTGATACTTTAGGTCCAGCATTTATCGCTCATGCTCCAGCAATTCCTCCTTGCTTCGGAGTCGGTAGTGGATCTCCGGCGCCAAGTTTAAACACAGCAGGCTTATAGGGCATGCTGCCCGGTGCTCTACAGAAACGTCATCGTAGATTAGCACACAGCACGTATTAGTCATTGCAAAGCGCTTACAGTGCTGCATCATCAAAAGGACTGGACGTCGATCATCATTTGTATCGCCTTTGACTACATGATAAAAACGAGTTAAAATATGGCTCTTCATCTGCTTTGTGACTCCAGGAGCTTACCTTCGCGAGTGGGACTGTAAAGCATCCTGGATGGACGTTAGTAGGGGCGGGGGATAGACGTCTAATGGTGGACGTCCATCCAATCGATCAATTCGTCGGGTTGATCGACGTCAATTGGGATCGTCGATGTATTCTTCTTTTGTTTCTTCTTCGAAGAAACGCTGATCTTGTTGGTCCATCGACGGCTGGCCGAAAAGAACACCAGCAGGAGCAGAAGCAAGGACAGAAACGTGAGCAGGCACGGCAAAAGAAAACGCGGCAAGGGAAGGCATGGCCGCAGCAGAGGAGCAAACGAACGCGGGCACATACGCGGGCACGGACACAGGAAAAGAGGTGGGCACAGAGGCAGCCACAGAGGAGGAGGGAGGAGAAGCAGGAGTGGAAACAGGGAAAGAACTGGGCACGAGGGCAGCCACAGGAGAGGAGGGAGGAGACAAAGGAGCAGCCACGGCAGCGGGCAAAGCAGAAAAAGTTTGACAGCAGTGCCAAGTTATTGATGAAAGAGCTAAATTCTACGTACTGACTATGGTATTGGGCCGCTGCTTCAACCATTGAAAGCCGTGCTACTTGAGACGCTTGCAGTAGAAATTGTTCCCATCGTTTTCATCTCTGCACATGAAATTATCACAACGAATATTACTTGGCGTGACGCGACTTTATAGGTCAGTGTTCCAATTTCGTTTGTTTATCACTGACGCGGCATGAATTGAAGTTACCAATCTTTCTCTTTTCCTCTTTTTCGTTTTTTCCCCCTGCCGGTTTTTATTTTACGACGCATGGTTGACCATGATCGAAAAGGAAAAAAAAACGTGTCACGACACCTCCATTATCCGGTATGAAAAGATCATTCGGATGCATGAAAAGCTGTCTGAACATCTTTGCTTTTCTAGACCTCAATCCTACTTCATCCGATGACGATTCCAGCCCCCTCCCCCCTGAGTAATTCCAAAACGTGGTCCAAGGATCAAAACCGCTCACGCCAAAAAAAAAAAAAAGGCGAAAAGCGATGGAAGCCAGGGTAAGATTACAGAATGTCATTGTGTAACGCGATCTCATTTCTGCATTTAACCCTTGCAGGTCCGACATCCGCCCAAGAAGGTAGATAACTTAACTTGCATCCAGTTTACTTCCTGTGCTGAACTAAAAGATAATGATCTTCAATTGTGCAGGAGAAGCATCGTCATCTACTTCCAAAAAGACCAAGAACGAGATCAAGTTTGAACATGCGAACAAGAAACGCGGTGCCAAGCATGAAGCGAAGGCCAAAGAGGCGGAGGAAAAAGCGACGAAAAAGGCAGCGAATGGTGTTGCAGTTGTCTGTCCGACATGCCATCAACCTGGCCATAGCCGCTCCTCCAACAAAGCATGCCTAACTATTGCCCCAAGCGCATCAATGCAAGCGAGCTGAAGCAAACATCCATCATTAAAACTTCGCTCAAAAATACTTGCAGGAACGAAAGGTTTCATCGCCGAGTTACAGAAAGTCGTCGAGCATGTTCGCGATGTAACTTATATTGGTTCGCTCTTCGCCTTTCCGATGACCAAGATTCATTTTTTCTTCCAAGCATTCCCGTTTCCGGAAAAAGGTCGATCGCCACTTTTATCTACGAAAAGGCGGCTGGAGATCAGGAGCCGCACTAGCCCACTTCGATCGAGCGAACAGAAACCCTAGAAGTCCGAATTGATGAGCTCAATCAGGAACTCTCTCTTGGACCCAAGTCTGTCAAAGATCTGTCGCTCAATGCAAATCCCCACCAGTACAAACCATGGATGCGTCAAGTTCTTAATCGTATGGAGCGAAAAGTGTTTATTCAAGAACAAGACCCACAAACATTTGTTTCTTCTGCATATGTATCGAGAAATGTGCACGATGTAAGTAACGTTATTAATTTTAATTATTTTTGCACAGCTGATCGGTAAGTCATTTTATCAGATATTTAAGGGGAAGAATTTACCCAAGAGGGTCGTATCAAGCATGAACGTCGCGGTGCGTGATGCGATAAGGAACAAAACACATCTGCGGATACCCTTCAAGTGCAAGCCTACTGCGAGCGATGAATATAAGCGACTGATGAAGTTTGTCGAGGCCACGAAAACCGCAATCCAAGAGGAATGTTTCAAGCCTCTGAAATACACCGACCCTAAGGGTTGCAGGAGATATTCTCTGCTACCGGTGTATTCATTTCAAAAACGCCACATCGCGCTTGATGCTCAGTCATTTTCCAAGCTTCTATGCTCCAGTGGCATAACGAAAAGAACATTTCACAAGCAAAGAAGCTGCACGGTAAGAGTATTTTCGCTTTTTTAAGATGGAGAAGATTGGTTTTCCTGCGCTTGAAAGTCTGGAAACAGACCGCTGTATCTTTTGGTAACGTCGAATCACTTTTTGAAATCCCATCCCAACGTCATTGCTGATTGTTCAATAGGGATACAATTATCACTGATGGCACCGACGTGCAATTCGCTTTTAAGAAGCCGAAACGAATTACCCGGAGTTGACCCTGGGGTGACTGACGTTTTCGCGCTGTGGATGGTTCTGGAGCAGAAGCGCATCGAATTCGCAAGATCTCCACTCGCGAATATTACGATGTTTGCGGATATAACAAGGACACCTATAAAAGAAGGCAATACACAGAAAGCGCTCCGGAAGTGAAGATCATCGATAATCTACCAAGTCCACGTCCCACGTCTGACACAGGTAAATGGCAGCCAGCATGTCCCAATGACACGCCGAGTGATAAGAAGAATTCAATCATTGTTGCATATGGAAACGCCTCACTTTCGGGAACAATGAAGGGAAAGCTGAGAGCCCCAATTGCGTCAATCGTGAAAAGGTTGAAACAACTTTCTGGGCAAGAAAGGTAAGGAACGAACAAGAATTATCGAAGCGAAAAGCAATAAACATATTCATAAAAACGAATACATAGATGCCAGTCAGAGTGGTCATGATTGACGAATTCCTCACGTCACAGATATGCCCGACATGTCAAACAAGAAGAGTACAAAATTTGAAAGAACATGGTGATTCCGGGGCGAAAATTCATGCTATCATCATGTGTGAAACATGCAAGACGGTATGGAATCGGGATGTAATGGCAACGAAGAACATCCGTTCCGTTTTTTTATTCGTGGCGCGCAATCAAAATGAACGACCGACGCCATTCAAACGACCCACAACAAAACCGAATGCCGATGAATGCAAGACATCGGCGTCCAGTAGCAAGTAGCTTGCCGAAAGGCATTGGATTACTTTTTACTCAAGTATGTACACACAAAATCATTATCAGTGATTAAGATTAATTAGAACATGCGAAACTCGTTATTACTCCATTCTGGCCGGTAAGCCAAAGGACGTGATCGTTCTATGGATGAAAAGGAAGCGGTAGGATCGTTTCGATTAAGCCCATTCAATGCGTCTCTAACGGGAATGGTGGCTCGTGTCGGTGAGGTCGGTCGATCGGTGAGTGCAAAGACTGGCGCTGAGGCTGTATCTCGTATTTCCACGGTCGGGGACACCATATTTCTCGGACTCGGTTGCGAGGTGGCGGGATCGACGGTTGACAAAACATTGTTCGGATCAGGCTGAGGCGCGGGTCGTAATGTAGGGTCTATGGTAGATTTTCGCTTGGAATTTTTGGACATGTGGATAAAATCGAGTGAAGATTGATGTTGAGGATCATATTTGGAGTTTCGATATTGTATTGCCTAATCAACAATATCACTGTTTTGTCAGTTCCAATCATAGGACTTCCATAAGATGTATTTGAGTTTACCATGCCGCAGTTTTCGCAAAAGACTTGATTTGGAAGATGCTCGTGATCGACACGGAGCGCTTCTACGAGTAAAGTGGATTCAACAAGTGCAAACCACACGGTGAAAGCCTAGAAATTATGAGAATCCGTCATGCACACTGATATATACAGAATCACTGTTCAAGCATTTATAAAAAATCATACTTACATCTGATCTGTCGCCGATAAAACGGGTTGCTTTCAGGAGATTCATGGCGAGATTGACGACAAACGTGAGAATGAGACATATGAGTGATTTGCGAGCAATGTGCTCAATTATTCGATTTTGTCGATGCATCAGTGTGCGGGACATCAAAATATGCAAGTACAACCTGGAAATCGAACAATGAGCGGATATAAAGTTGACATTCTTCCTTTTTCTGCAGTGACACCGAACTTCTCTTCTTACCTTCGCACAAACATGCCACTCAAGAATAAATTCGCCAATGCATCGCCCACAAAGTTAAGAATAATAACAACGTCATTCCTAAAATTTAAATCCATTAAATTTTCTGTCAGTGCTCAAAATTCTGAGACTTTGAATTGATTCCGAGTATGTACGTACCATTCTGCCCAGCAGGAGATACCTTCCGCTTGTTTCAATTCCAGCTCATGCTGATAGGTTGAATGCAACCAAAGTTCGTACGGCCAATCGGCGAATCGAACTAGAATAAGCGCAATTCCCACCACTTTGATCCACAAAGAGTGGCGATCGGATTCCAAAATAATTAAACGCATAAACATGACGGTATAAAATAGTAGATACACTGTTTAGAAAGACACAATGTCTCGTTAGCGATGGAGCGATTCTTTTTCGGTTAGTGAGGTTCAGCGAGCTCCCAGATGGAATGGCTCGTTCCTCTATTTACCGACCAATATGCCATAATCTAGTGCACAGAACCCAAAAATAGTAATTAATACGACCCATCGGTGAATCAAAACCAAAAACCAGCACCTGGAATGGTAAACTTACGATATTAGAAGAGGGAAAATGGCACAAGCAGAGAGTTCGAAAAGCGGGATCAACCCGAAAATAAGTCGATGAACAAAAAATACAGCAACCTGAGTCATGTTCACTATATGACTACACAACAAAAAAAGGCACGTAGTCAGCATCCGTCAAGGCAGCCAATATTGTAAACAAGAGCAGGTACAAAAAAGGCCCAAGATCGCACAAACTGGTCCGAGCCTAAACGTTTCCTGGTCTGTTTCAGATTTACATTTTGCCACGAGTTCGCCGGTACTGTCTTAGACACACGAGAAAGTTACGAATGCATACAGCGACGGCAATCCACATGGCGATCATGTTGATGCGATCAACGACTCGTTCCGAGTAAGGTGAGAGCTGTATCATAATTTAGACTCGGATTGTCATTGAAAGACAAGGTTTTGTATGAAGTAGAATAATAAAGAAATCGAAAGAAAGAATATACGATGCTTTGCTGTTCACAAGAATAAAACAAGGCACCCAAAAAGAAAAAAAAAACATGGCAGCGGTCATTCAATTAGACGAATTAAGGTTTTCGTCAATGTTCAATGTTGGAAGCGGAATTTTGACCGTGGACGGATCCTTGGGAAACGCTCAGTCGATCTTGTATCCATCACCATGATCACTTTTTTCCTTTGTCCCATGTGGTACAGATAATAACTCGTTACCAACCAATATTTTTTCGGGCTGTGACTTTTTTTAAGTAGCATAGGCAGCGAGAAACAGTAAAATGTAACCATTTACTCCAAAGTTCTGCTGTTTTGGGTCCGGTCGCAAAAAATTATACTTCCAAACAGAGTGAGGGTGCGGAATTACGACCTCAACATGGTGTTGATCAACGAAAATCATTTAATATCTCTATGACATTACTTTGGAAACAAATAAGAATTTTTATAATATTACAGAAAATACAACCAGCTATTTCTAAATCCGCGGACGTTTTTCTTTAAACAACATGAGTGAAGCCCAATTTTATGATTTGACAAACACTCTGGGAGATTGCCAGGTTTCCCAGTCATTTGGATTGGTGGGATCGCCAAAAATTTTCAAGGCATACAGTTTAATATAGTAGATACCTTTACTCGCTCGTTGAATGATCTGCCCGCCATGAATATGTTGACGTATATTCTGATTTTCGTAAGGAGCATATCGACCGTCCCAGTGATAGGTGAACTCATAGTTTTCTTCACTGTGATCGTTCCGTGGAACCCATACTTCTTTGGTATGCAGTAGCTCCCCCAATGGTCTCCGATGCTGATCTAAAAGTTCGGCTTTCACTTGAGCTGTAGGACTACCCAGACGGCTAAAAATGTGGACGAGATCTCCTCTTGAAAAGTCGTACATCAATCTCTTTCTCGTTAACCGCGTGCCTTTCGGACCGCCTATGTACGGATATCCTTGCTAAAGAGAGAATCCAAGGAATGAAAACAAGAGAAAAAGAATTAACTATAAATGACGTTATCATTACTGCTTACCATTGTATCAAATAGCGGTAGATTGAATTGATTGCCTGTTGAGCCAAAGTATGGTATGTGAATCACATCTCTCGTGTGGTTTCTACCGAAAACGTGGATTTTCACAAACCCTCCATAAAGAAAGTGGGGAAGATCTGTAATATTCGGTTGCTCAAATTGAATTTGCACCGTGGCTTTTTGCCGTCCGCCCAGAAAAAACGTGTTTTTCTCAAATTTCACCGTGGCATTGGCGGCTTTGTAATGAGGGCTTTCCAAAGGCACTGAGCTTTCCTTGAAATCGTAGCCTACCGTAGAAGCACACGAATTAATTGTTGAAGCCAATATTCACGGTTCGTGCTACATGCTATGCCAGTAAAACGTACCATAAACGCCCATTGTTGGGATATGAGACAAGCGGTATAATTGTGGGTATATCGATTGGTTTTCAATGAGGAGAGTTCGATTGTTCCTAAAATGGCGAGTGTCATTCAGAGCCAGCTTTGCTGGAAGAATCAAACTGCGACTCTGGACAGAATCGTAAAGCTGACGATCGGTTCGTGAACAAAAAAGGGACATTTTTAGTGTTTTGCTATTTTTTTTTCATACAGTTATGCCTCTTTTTTCTTTTTCTTTCTCGAGCTCTTACTTGCACCAAGCCTGCTCCTTGACGAATGGGCGTCTCTGTATGATTGTGTTTTCGTCCATTAATAGGGCGCGCATGATTTAATATGGCTGCCGTGATTCTTCGCGGATCATGTTGCTTCGTAGCTTCCATATATAGGGCCAGACATCCAGCAAGATAAGGCTGCAAGGAAAATCGAGAAGCAGGGAGTTTCATTGTAAGTACGACTCTAACGCCGTTCTGGTAAATATTCTCTTTGATCGACGCAGCCTGCTTACCGTAGCCATGCTCGTGCCACTCATTGTTGTGTATCCACCTGTAAATCAGTCAACCCACGGATCAATCTTTCAGCAACGAATAAGATCATATAATCATTCGTACCCATCGATAACGGATAAGTGGAATAAATGTATCCCCCAACCGCCGCTATATCGGGTTTGAGGTGCAGCTGATCATGTGTAACGTGAATTTGGAATCTTCCAACTGCTCTGGAGTCATTCAAACCTACCTCTGCATCGGGACCAAACGTGGAGAATCTGTGACAACGGCGTTTCAATTTCACTAGAGTAACAAATATCCGCCATGCGAGCACTTACAAAGAGGGCTGGCCTGCGGTCTTGATATGCACCTTTTCTTCATCAAATCGTGCTTTCAGTGACACATTATGCTGCAATGCATGCAGCAACGACAGACTGCTTCCAGTGTTAAGAGTTATAACAGGGATGTGGATCTGTGGACTCGCTTCCAATTTTGCATATTTTTTCTTGGATTCGCTGCTGTGAAGAAAAATAATCCCTTCTGCTCCTGCTGCTTGTATATTGCGAGCTTTGACTGAAGCACTGCACAGGCCTTCTTCCACGCTGGCAATAAGACCTCGCAAGCTTCTCAATAAGGGTCGACAAGCGGTCTCCTTGACAAGGGTTATGCCAACGTTTGGCCCCACCGGGAAACGGAGCAATTTGTTTCCGCCAACGGAATAATCTAAAAAAACGGAACGCTTGAGTGTACTTCATCTGCATTTCTGATGCTGCAGTGAACACTCACTCAAGGTATCAACAGCCGATCCGTTGTGGACCACATGAAATCGGCGTACCCATCGTTCATTGATATCCACCGAGGCAACCGATATAATATGATGGCCAATGGATGGAGAAGGCGTCCTTGCAATACCTGAAACATATATTTTAGCTCAACAGATGCTATTCCAAACGTGACTCCACGGTGGCCCATACTGACCATCACGGCCTTCATTTCCTTGCGCGACTACGACCATGACGCCACGATCAACAATGTTGGATAAAGCCACCGCTAAAGCATCCTGATACCTTGTGAGCCAAGTTATGCACGTCTTTCATATTCGCACTTTTTGCTCTTTCACCTCCTCCCAAGCACTTTCACCGCCACCTAACGAGAGATTGATAATGTTCATCCCAGCTACGACGGCTCTTTCCCTGGTTGAAAACGTCGTTTTTTTAGTCTCACGATGATAAGCCATTGATCCCATAACAAAAGAAACTAAACCCACGCTGCTTCAAGGATAATGTCATCATCTGTTTCGCCATCGCACCCAAAAATTCTATTTGAATGGTCAATTATTTCAAATTCTGCTTTCTACGTTGGAGAGATACATTGATGTATTACCGCCACACACCCAATTTGGAACGAGGCGCCACGCCTTCAAATTGCTGCAAATCCCAAATTCAACTGTGAGTATTGAGAGTTGCTGCATGGATCCAATATATAATTACTTGTATAGTATCGTTGGCAGCTAAAATACCAGCGACGTGGGAGCCGTGACCGTCACACACGTCTCTACGGTAATTTTCACCCGTCAGCATTTTGGCAGTTGTGAAAGATTTTATGCAACACTTACCTGGGATCATCATCAGGTTGAGCCACGTCACTATCTATATTATTTTGGTTACTGTTGTCTATGAAATACGCGCAAGCGCGCCCGTCATGCAATCGAGCTTACTGCCATAATCGTCGCCAACGAGATCATAACCTTGCTCGATCAGACAACCTGGCTGAAGATTAAATGACAAAAGTCAATTTCGATTTTCTATTTTGTCCAAATGAGACCAGCAAATGCGTTCATGTTTACCCCGAAGCATCCACCTAGTGCTGGATGCATATAATCGACGCCTGTATCCAGGATACCAATCTTAATGCCTTTCCCATACCAGCCCTTGTTTTTCATCGTTGCTACACCGGTCATGGAGTGGGCAATATCGAGATTGGCCTTGCCGTTGTAAGTGAGAGAGTCGGCCTTGATCGTTCTCGGTCTCGAATATTTTTTGCCGGCCCAATAGCGATGTACAAAAGGTAACCTCTCGCGACTGTGAGACAAAAACATGGAAGGTTTGAAATCGTATGGATTGGGTGTGATGGGTGCCGATGTACTATTGCTTGTGATCGTAGTCGTTGCTGGCATGATAACAATCGACATGGCATTGATGACATTTTGAAAGCGATAACGCACCGTAAAATTCACACCTATCTCATGCATATAGTTGATGAATGCATCTTGCTCTTCTTTGACAGCCGTTATGTTGTCAGGTGACGAAGAAAACTGAATAGTAAATCGTTGAGGCGCATTTGTATGGTTCGAAGAGGAAGATAATGACGATGATGCCACTAACTGAAGAAAAAAGAACAGGGCCCAAATCCGTAGCATGATCATATTGCAAGAAAAAAAAATGGCGCTACGATGGGCTTGAATGTTTTTGTATCAATTTCATCGGTATGAAACGTTCACATTGGTTGAAATGAAAATCAACACGATCGAGACTTGCATTCTTTGGAAAATGATACCTTATCGTTAATCCTTGAAAAAAGGGACTTGCATCGCAAAGACAGACATCATAATTTTGAATGTCTTGTAATATAATGGTTCTCCATAACTAAATTAATGATCCTTGTCAAAGATGTATTATATACTGTCATGCATCTAATACAAACATGTCACAGAGTTGACGAATACGATCCCGACCCTAGAACTTGTATAAAAATTATCTGTTCCACATTCTATCTTGAATTTACTTGGCGGATATCTTTTGTTTGATTTGTTAATTTTACCATTAACCAGTATTTCAATTTTTGTACGCATATGAAGATATCAGTTCACTTTTCGAAAAAAAAAATCCCAGTAGATGAATATCAGAAAACGAAGCTGCATCATTGCTTCTTATTCACAACAAAATGCCCTTCATCTGATTATTATCATAAATTATGGTTTTGAACAAGCGACAATGGTTCGCCTACCATTGCAGCATGTCTCCATGACACACCTTATTCAACTTAAGTCACGAAAAATGGAGAAGCAACAGGCTACATATGACAGAAGTCAGATAGATCAAAAAAATCTTGGACAATGATAACAAACTGAATTATGTAATTAACAAGAGATAAAAAGTTAAATAGCAAATTATATGACAGTATATTAAGAAATTGATGCAATTAACGTGCTCGTAAATATCGGCAGGTTTTTGTTGACCAGGAAAACCAGCCAGATGGGCAGGACGAATTAGCAGTATCGTTCATCGCTGGTTACTGTAGATAGCAGCGCCGAAGCCGTAGACGGTTGGTATCTTTGGCATCCAAATGAGGAAGCTCAAAATATTAACTGCAATACGATGCATGGAAACATACAAACAAACCAGTTGGAATATTCCGTGGAATTGGGAAGCTCCATTTTGGCAAACTGCCAAGCGATATCGTAGATAAGGTTCAAGATCAGTGCACGCCCCGATTGGACAATATTGCAAGCGGAGTATTTTCTATCCAATGTCATGCTAGATGTTCCTGCGTGCTTATGACGCCAGTTGTTCAAGGGGTTACATATGGCATGACCTGTGTGATGCACAATGCTCTCAAAAAGCAAAACGATCACAAAACGTGGTAATCAACGTAAAGTACAGAAGGATACGATGTGATACCCGATCACTGAAATCTCCCATGTGTTACCTGTAACTCGTGTGACGCACCTTTAACGACGTCAGTTGCACAATTCGGGCCGGTTCCCGCAGTTTTGATATTCAAGGGTAATCATTCGGAAATGGCCTACGACACAGCGATACATTGGGATTGGCTTTTTATGTGAGAAACCTGTTGGTTGTAACTGTCCAAGCTTTGCCAAAGTTGTGAATGTCATTTATGGATGTACTCAAAGTAAATATGTAAGAGCCTGAATAACTTGATTTGATGCTCGATGACCGGTGCGACTGTACGCCAATACTGGGTTTTTGCGCACTCTTTCCCTAATGGCTTCAGCGTGAGAAAATACCCTTGACTCGGCGACTGGGGCACCATTTGCTCACTTGTGAATGATTGGTACGCGCCGACTAGTGCAGTGTTGTTGACTGTCATGGCAACTGTTCATCATTTTACACTATCAATGAAACACACCAGTGGGAACAAGGGCTGTCTCAGAGGTGGAGTTACTGCAATAATAACTCTTAATTTTTTTTATCTCAGTTTTTTCGTTCTTTTTTTGTTTCGTGGGGAAACGGAGCGAGTCTTCGCCAATGAGGTTTCTGAAAGCAACTTAACTCAATGCACTAGAGCGAGATCCATGTGACAAAATACTATCCTGATGCACTGATACGGAAGCTATTGTCACGGTGGCTTAAAACCATCTCCGTTGTGGCAAGAAAAGAAAAAACCTGACTCAATTCGATCAAAACCCAAAGTGTAGTACACAAGGAGAAGGATGAATGAAATAAAAAATTAGTCGCACGAATTTTAAAAATTGTCAGAATCCAAGACAATCAACTTTTGCAGGTTCATAATATCACTGAGTGACAGGAAATAATTCTTATGAGGAGCAGTATTGTCAAGGAAAAAGATGGTAGTTTGGCTTGATAGCACGGAAAATGGCGCATCACATGTGCTGGGTTAGACTGAATCTTATTTTTCCCAATTTGCATCATTTATCGATTGATCACTGGGAGCACAGCAGCGCCGGAAAAAGATTTGCACTGGAAAGCGTTAGTTTCTGACTGTCAATTGAAAAAAAGAACCATAAATGGTTAAAAACTGACTTACAAATAAAATTCGCCGTTCAAAACCTTGCCATGTCTGGGATCGTCGATCTAACACAATCCGCGGACATAAATGTTAATGAAATTGGCAGTCCAACAAATTGAAATGCCTTGGACAACACCAGTAACCAATAGCCACCATGTCTTAAATTGTTTTGCGGGAATGACACCCATTTCAAAAAAGTATATTGGTCCCTGGAAAGGTTTGTGCTAATATAACCTTATTGGCGACGATGTCATAGTCACGCTACGCATGTAACTTTTTTTTTTAGGTGCCCCCATCGTGAGAGAAAACATGCTGTCTTGATGGGCCCATTGGTTCGACTGTGGGAATATGGCCCTTTCGTACCACATCACATTTTACTCGTCTTGGCATTTCGTATTACTAGTAAGTCATTTTCTACCCCATGTCCATTGTTTTATGAATTACAAATGGATCTGCATGTTTGTAATGGATCGGCAACTGTGAATTCTACACCTTTTTTTTCTGTCATTCACAAAGTAGAATTTGGGTATCATTCTGATTTTTTTCTTCCCCGCTTTGTGCGTCCATGGTTAAAGGTCTGTTTTTTCGACTTTACCAAAAAATGCAATGAGCTGAAATCGATTCATCTTATGATGCGCCGCAGTTGAACCACTCATCTTGCGTTGTCTATAAGCTAGTGTCGATTTCTACCGGAGATTCAGTGGTAGCGCAGCTGTGGCGACGTTTCAGTATATAAAGTGGAGAAAATTTTTCGAGTTGCAAAAGATCTTTTTTTTTTTTTTTTGTTTTCCTTTGCTTGCCCATACGTATTTCTTTGTTATATTATTTATTTACACCCATTATTCTTTGTATAAGATATACAAATATACATATCCTCCTTGTACTTGTTTGTTTTTTTTTATTCTCTCTGATCGACATATATATCACCCAAATCAATTCTGATGGCGGTTGAACAAGAAATGTCTGAATATCCTTCGTCTCATGCGGCGTCGGGAAGTTTCAAAGTTGAAGAAACGACCGTTGACAACTACTCAGAAGACGACCGTAATTCCAGCATCAACGAATTCGGCCACGGCAAAGGCGCGTTCACCACTGCGTATTTTAACGTGACATGTGTCGTCGCCGGTACCGGTACATTGGGTCTTCCAAATGCCTTTGCCACTGGTGGGTGGCTCGGTATCCTCATCTTACTCTTGGCCTACGGCATGGCTGTATACAGCGGCGTCGTTCTGATTCGTTGTCTCTACTATAAGCCGGGTCAAAGGTTGCACGATTACAAAGCCATGGGCACTGCCGCGTTTGGATGGGTGGGCTACGCCGTCGCTTCCGCTCTTCATTTCCTTAATCTGTTCGGCTGTCCTGCACTTTACTTGGTGTTGGCGGCCGGCAACTTGAATCAACTATTGGCCAATACGGTACGTTGATAATATTTGTCAAACATATTAATTGGATAGTATCACTGATTTTTGATTTATTTTTTGTTTTGATGATGTATAGAAAGGAGCATTAACACAACAATACTGGACCATCATTGTTGGTGCTTTCTTGCTGATTCCTTCATTAATTATGAAGACATTGCGTGAAGTAACATCCATTGCCGCTATTGGTGCTGTTTGTACAATGATCGCGGTGTTTATCGTCGTCGTTCAAGCACCAATGGACCACAATGCTAACCCTCAACGTGAGGTTCATACGGATGGTGTCATCTGGACTGGTTTCCCGTCGGCACTTTCCACCATTGCTTTCTCCTTTGGCGGTAACAATACCTATCCACGTAGGTTTTGAGAAACAATTTTACAAATAGTGGAACTTTCAAACTGATCCGTTGATTGTTTCAATTCAATAGACGTTGAACACGCCTTGGCTAAACCTCATCAGTGGAAATGGGCTCTTTTGGCCGGTTTATCTACATGTACGGCCTTGTATTTCTTGACCGCGGTTCCTGGTTATTGGTCCTATGGTGACAAGACAAAGTCTCCTATTTATGATTCGCTTCCGGAAGGCGCGGGCAAGACGATCTCCATGATCGTGATGACAATTCACGTTATCTTTGCTATTCCGATCTACACCACGTCATTTTCGCTCGAATTCGAACGTTGGACGCGGGCCGATGAAGCGCGACTTGGCAAACTGGGTGCTTGGATCGCTCGCGCGGTTATTCGTACTTGTACCATGGCGATTCTCGTGATCTTGGCCGTGTTTATTCCGTATTTCGACGATTTCATGAGTCTTATCGGTGCACTTGCCAATTGTGGTCTGGTTTTCTTACTACCGATTCTGTGCTATCTGCGGCTCACGGGTATCCGCAACAAGCCGATTTATGAACTGGCCTTCTGTGCGCTGACCATTTTCCTCGGTATCATTGGCTGTGTCTTTGGTACCATTGATGCCATCAAGGCACTCATCAAGGATTTCAATTCTGGCAACTAGAAATCTCTTGCAATTTTCCATTTCTTCATACCATTCTATGCCCATTTATTTATCTACGCGGGTGCTTTTTAATGTAACAATCTTTTTTCTTAGAATGTAAATAATGTAAAAAGGATTCTGAAAAAGTCCACACACCATAATAAACAACAAAAAGTAGAATATACACAAAATGTGTTGTTTTGGTCGTCTCGGTTCAATTTGATTATTTGTACGATCAATTTCTTGTTTCGGATATCGTTGATAAGCAAGTAAAAGAAGAATAAAAAGCGGGCGTCATTGTTCATTGTATTCCGGCATGGCGATTCCTTTAACCACCGTGCAAAGTGCTAATGAAAACAATTTCGTCGTTATTCTGGAGCTCGTATTCCAACTCGTCACATAACTCCCAGTCGACATTATTAATCAAGACAAGAATACCCGGTCGCCTAACATATTACCAAATTAGATCCTGATTTGCTTCCCGTAAGAGTCGTCATTGCCACTTACACTGTATCTTTATCAACAAAAAGATCTTTCTTATCGGTCATCAAGTTATCGCGAATGTGAAGGATGAGGGTCTGCAATGTGGTGGGCTGTCCATTCTCTGACTGAGCGGGAAGAGTAATCTTATGCTTTCTTTCGTTGTTAAAAAGCAGCTCCATGCCGCCACTATAATGAAAGGAAAAAGAAAAAAAAGGAAGCGTCAGTAGTTATCAGCAGAGAGTTGTGGAGACCCGAGACAATTTACCTGAATTCCACGTTCACTGTAATGGTTGCCATGATGTAGTAATAGAGTGCCACCAATGCTTTTTTGGCTGTAGTTGCCCTTTTTGAAGCTCTGACAAGCCACTGCTGAACTGCATTTGTCTTTCAGATAACTCCGACCAACCCAATTCAAGTCACACCGTTTCTCGTGCTCATCAACCTAATCTCAAATATGCCTGTAGCAATTGTAGCGTATGCTGCCTTTTTGTTATCATGACGAATAAGACTTTGAGGAATATGATTGTGTCAATTTGACAAAGATGCTTTTAATATATGCAGAAATGTATGTTCTCACATGCTGGGTCATTCAAGCCAAGTGTTTATTATTTCACTGGATCAAGAGACCGATTTCATATCATAACATCGATTGAACTTTCGAGAATTGTAACTTCTGCCATATATTACGAACCCATAATTTCTAGCAATAGGAAACGATTTTCTTAAGAATCTGCTTGATGCAATGAGTCGTTTTAAATCCATCGACGTGAAAGTGATAAGAAAGTGGATATACCAACTAGAAGGAACGATTCATCGCATTTGAGTCGAGGGCTTCTTTATGATGCGAGACGTCTTGTAGAATGGGTCAAGGTAAATGTAAAGCTGGTGGACACGTTTAATTTTAAAAAGAAGGATACAAAAATCAGCCGCAGACATGCACAGTCTTTGCTGCTTTTAGAACTTGTAGATCCTTGGAGTACTCAAAACTATGATGACTCCTTGGCATTAACCGTCGATGCGGTATTTAATGGAATCCCGGGTTGTCACTTTATTGTGTTTAGTGTCACCGTGGATAAATGATTTTGCTTTGCAATGTGAAGTTACACAGGATATTGTCGGTGGCAGTTCAAGCAATGGCGATACAAGTCGGTTGGAGGTATCCTCCAAATGATAGTCCCATGACCGCTTCATAAATGCTTCCTAGACCCTGCTCCATATTGTAAGCGTCCTATTCACTGAAAAAAACAGCACGAACAGAAACTTACACAGAACATTGACTTTCAGAGAGGAATAGTACAATATCGGTTTCACTTGCAGCCATTCGAGCAGGCGCATCGGTATTTGCAGTAAAATAATAAGTGGTTGGATCCCAATATTTCAAACTGTATCTGATCTACATTTGATGCGCCAATACGTTGTCCAAGGGAGGATGCTTCTTGGCTTGTTCGTGCATGTCATGAACTATTATGCGTGACGTTTGTTGGTTCCGACCATTGTCCGACCGTTTTTTTTCCCTTATTTTCGAAACTTATTTTTTTTTTTTTCGCTTTCTTTTCTTTACGCTCAGTTGAATTCTAACAATCAGAACACTCGACAATTCATGATGGTGGCGGAACAAGAGGATAGCTCGGTCTATCCTTTTCCTCCCTTTTACTCAGCAGGCATATTCACCTGGGCAACGCCCTTTTTTATAGCACCGACGTTACTGCTCGCTACGATTGTTATTTTCGGAGGTGTTCGGTTTTTACAAACTCGCAATAGATATTGGGCCGAAATCAGTCGCAATGCACCCACACCACAACGCATGTCGGCTTTGGGGCGTCTTCTTTTGATATTGAGTATTGTTGTGGCGGCCAGTTTTCTCGGGGATACAGTCGTAATCGTTGCACGAGCGTTCATCGAAGGTCATTGGTTGTCAACAATGCTTGCTTACTACGTTGGCGTATCTTGGTTAGCTTGGGCAATCAGCATCGCTTGCCTTTTGGATAATACGCACAAGTTCTTTAAATGGCATTGGTCTCAGTACGGTTTCTGGAGCGTGGCTATTGTCTGCGAAACCACGGTCGCATGGCTTTGGGCAGTAGGCGTTTTCCACCCAAGACCTGGTAATTGCAATTCGTCATTTTTTCGATCAAAACGCACGTAGAACTAAACGTTTTTCTTTGAAACCATTAGGAACCATATTTAGCATTTACGACAAGCTTTTGTTGATCATATTTCTTGCTCGTTATGTCACTGAAATTTTCATCTTCATCCTTTCGTTGGTGCACATGTTTACGCAGCCTGTTGATGTATCGGAACGTCAATCGTTATTGTCCTCAACTGCTACAGCCTACGGTACTATTCCCAGTCCATCGGCTACGGGCGCCGCTACTGGAAGCAAATCCGGTACAGACCAGAATGCCAGTGCATTCTCAGGATTCTTCAAAAAGCTAGGAAGAGTGCTTCCTTTCATTTGGCCCGAAAAAGACCGCCGTCTTCAATTCTTCGTCTTTGTCTGCTTTCTCTTGATGGTCTTTGGACTTGTGATTAATATCTTTACCCCGTTACAAATCGGTAATGTGGTTGATCAGTTGGGCGAAGGTCCAGGTAAGCAGGATGGATATGATCTTTGATTTTGGGGATGAGTCATGAGTCAACTCACTAATGGCGACCTTACAAAGGTAAATTTGCGTGGGCGACGGTTCTTGCTTATGTCGGATTGAGATTCCTTCAGGGTGGTGTAAGTGAACATTTTTTCTTTTCTAAATATGGTTTGGATGATGCTGACGGATCACGGCGGTATAGTCGGGCCTCATACAAGCAGCACAAAATTGGTTATGGATTCCCATTGGACAATACACAACTCGCGAGATTTCGATCAAAATGTTCAGCCATCTTCACAGCTTGTCGCTTCATTTCCATATCAATCGCAAAACCGGTGAAGTACTTCGTGTAATGGATCGTGGCACCAACAGTGTGGTTCAGCTCTTGTCACAGATCGTTTTCCAGGTGTTCCCAGCTTTGGCCAATATCCTAATCGCTGTTGTCGTATTCACTTTCCGTTTCTCCCCTCCGTTTGGTCTCATCGTATTTACTACCATGGGTCTTTATCTCCTTGTGACGATCCGATTGACCGAATGGCGTACGAAATTCCGACGTGATATGAATGAATTGGATAACTATGCTCGATCCAAAGCGGTGGATTCCTTGCTCAATTTTGAAACCGTCAAATACTATGGAAACGAAGATTTTGAGACCAATCGCTACAAGGACGCTATCATTGAGTACCAAAAGGCTGATTGGAAATGCTCCATCTCGTTGAACGTGCTCAATCTTGCTCAGAACGCGGTGATCACCGCTGGCCTTTTGGCAGGTAGTTTATTGTTTGCTTGGGAAGTCTCGCAAGGTACGCTTACGTCCGGTGATTTTGTCGCCTTCAATATGTATATGATGCAACTGTATACACCGGTAAGTGATGATCGGGTAGATAATTTATTCAAACAACTCTTTTCTAATCTTGGATTTGCGTTTGCTTCTGTAGTTGCATTTCTTTGGCACCTATTATCGTATGATTCAAATGAATTTCATCGATATGGAGAAAATGCTTGCACTTTTCGACGAACATCAAACTGTTCAAGATGCACCCAATGCTACTGATTTGGCAGTAACGGATGGCCGTGTCGTTTTCGGTAAGCACAATACTAGCTTTATCCATCATGGCCACCTTCACTTATGACAAACCATGTATTTTTTCAGACAAGGTGACATTTGGTTACGACGAACGTCAAATGGCGCTCAAGGATATTTCATTTTCTATTCCCAAAGGTGCAACGGTTGCCTTGGTGGGACCTTCTGGCGGAGGGTAAGTCATAAACGGGTTGACTAAAAAAGGGCAAGATAAATTAATGGGATGGTTGATGCAATAGCAAATCCACGATTCTGCGTTTGCTTTTCCGTTTCTATGATCCTACTTCGGGTCATATTTATATTGACGGTCAGGATATTTCTCAAGTCAAGCAAGCATCACTGCGGAAAAATATTGGCGTGGTGCCTCAGGATACGGTGCTTTTCAACGATACAATTTTGTACAATATTCAATACGGTGATGTGAATGCGCCAGAAGATAAGGTGTACAATGCGGCCCGAGCGGCGCAGATTCACAACAAGATTTTGACCTTCCCTGACGGGTATGAAACCAAGGTTGGTGAACGCGGTCTTCGCTTGAGTGGTGGAGAAAAGCAGCGTGTCGCTATTGCGCGTACGATCTTGAAAGATCCTCCGATTATTTTATTGGATGAAGCTACGAGTGCTCTGGATACAACGACCGAACGACATATTCAGGACGCATTGTCTGTGATGACCAAAAATCGTACCACGCTTGTGATTGCTCATCGTCTGTCAACTATTGTAAACGCCGATCTGATTTTGGTCATCAAAGATGGTACGGTGGTGGAATCCGGTAGTCACGATGAATTGATAAAGCAAGCGGTTGCCAACCATCATCAAGGTAAAAGAAAAAAAAAACTAGAGGGATATGCTCATCATGCGGTCTCACTGACGTTTTGTTGCAGGTGTCTATTATGATATGTGGCAAAAACAACTTCATGATGAAACGGAAATCATTCAAGAAGAAGGCACGGCGACGCCCGAACCGAGTACTTCCAGTTCCACTCAAGGATCTTCCAAAAAAGTGGCGGGAAAGACCAAACAATAATCTGATCATTCAATCATCCCTGCTCATAGATTGTAGACGCTCAAAAAAAAGAATGTCACCACTTTTCAGTTTTTTTCGGACGCACTGATGTTGCGCAGAAGCAATATTGTAACTACTTTTACTTATCATTCCAATAAACTCCTCTTGTAAGATAATCCGAAGTTCCATCTCCGTGTTTCCTATGTGAAGCTACACGATACCCACAAAATGACTCTCAAAGACGTCCATCCGAATCGTTGTGTTTTATGCTGATCGTTTTTCGTGACTGGTACTATTGCACAAAAAAAAAGATGCAGATCACAGAATATTGGGTTTTGGGTGGAATGAAGAATCTTCCCCATCCAATCAACTCATCCTTTTCATGTGTCAGGAGTTGCGGCTTTACGCCGACTGGTTGGCGAGCCTAACTGGATTAGACGCTATTGTATTTCGCGTGGGCCCGTGTCACTCTTCTGTGAGAAATCGATCAAGTTTGTTTCAGCAAAAAAGTAGCCTGCGAACTCTTGATGAACACTGTGCAAAAATTTCAAGGTGTCTCCAAGGCATAAAAACCTGATAAAGTTTATCAACATAAACAAAGTAACATGATCATAAATTTCATGATAAGGACGGGGGGTACTACAGTGTATGGTATGAGAATGATCCAAGAACCTTCCGCAGGGGGGAAATTATGCGTTTCATTCTGCATACATATCAGGATCATGACGCTGTCAATACTTCATATTCACTTCACCCCACTAGCGAGAACAAGGGAAAAATACCAACATACTGCACTGCTTCCCTTGAATGTTCAAGGATCAAGAAAAATATGCACTCAGTTTCATTTGAACAACGGGGAACATCTGGACTTTGTGTTGCAGTCACTCCCACGATGAAAGTTGAAAACATTCACACGTCATTGGCATTGTTTTTGGATCATTCGAGATGCATTCAAGTTGATAATAATGAAGCAAGATTAATCCTTTTATTCCAATAATCAAAACGAAAAAGAACCAAAGATGGTAATAATAATAAAAATTTTCAAGGGATATACTTTATCCATGGAAGTATGGTTTCCTCTTCGGTTTCAATGCTGCTATAGCCAATGGAAGAAAAGGAGGAGGCGGTTGAAGAGGACGATGAAGAACTGCTACTGCCACTGTAACGTCGTTTGAAAGGTGATTTAGCGAATGCTGTGTACAAGCTAATCATGCGAGGCAATGCGGCAGGTGTGTTCGAGATCGGGTGGTCGATAACCAAGCCGAGTTTGGAATTCCAGATAGGCCGATCAGGGTTGGCGAAAAAGCGGGATTCGTTTCTGACAAACGAGAACGAAGGGCGATCAATATCGTGAATGAAGGTACAACGAGTTCCGTAAGGGCAGGCTCCTTCGACATGGTATGCACGACAAATTTGGGTTTTGTAACGATCGTGTCTTGGGATTGTTCGTAGCTCGCTGTCACCGTGAGCATAACGACATTTCCTGCCATAGCTGATTCCCGCCACCCAGTAAAAAAAAAATTTAACAAACAGAGGCCAATTTGAGATGATTGATTAGCATCAATAAAAGAAAACGGGGATCCATGGGTGAATGCTTGTTTGTTTTCTCAGCCGCATGGTCTTTGCTCCTTACCGACAGTGACCTAGTTCGGCCCAATTTCGGCAATATTCAGTTTTATACAGTGTAGTTTGTTTAATCCGGTTGAAATGGGAGCCTTCGTCCGTCATTTTGGTGGTTTCAAATTCGTGGTCGTGGTCCAATTGTCCATCGTAATTCGGCAGATGGCCGGTCCATGGCATATCTTTAGCGATCAAAGAAGACAAGTCATCCATTGGTATTCTGAAAGAAAGCAATAACGCATATATTTATAAGGGAGGATATATTTATATATATTAAAAAAGGAAGAATGATGGGAAAGGAAAAAGAAGGTAAAGAAATGGTTTACAAAGGGGTGAATTATGCTGGGGAAGTGTTGTTTCGCAGCAGTAAAAATAATGAGGATCAGTTTTATCACATTTTTTCCAGATAAAAAAAAAAAAGGGTCAAGTGTCTCTTTCTTTTTTTTTTTCCTATTACAATCAATGACCAGAATAACAACCTAAACGCAGGTTTCTTTCTTGTTGTGGCAATGACAAAGAATCCAATGGGGATGTGATAATGACAACGTATATTTGGTACATTAAGGAGTCTCTTTTCCAAGGTCTAAAACTTGCTGGCATGCTTGATTCCCGCGAATACAAATATACCAGTCCTTCACACGGCATTTAATTTCGTTGGACGCACACGGACATTGCCACGGCTCCTTTACACAATCTGACGTCTTTTCGCATGCATAGAATGGGCAGTTTTCTAAATAAAGTTTTTCATCATAATAATGGCGATTAAAAATAATGGTGTTTCATTGGCACTATCACGAACTCGTGTTTTTTTTTTCCAACACAGTCATCCATTGCTTCCTTTTACCTGGTCGTTTGGTCAATGCCAAGGTAGATTCTGGTCTACCGAATGAAGGGGACGGGGTATTCTGCTGCTCGGCGTTATTGCCAAATATAATGTTCTTGAAATCGAATGCATTGCAGGCCATGGTTCCCATCGCAATGCATAAACATAACCATTGCAAAGTGACATGCATTTCGTACGTTGGGATGTTTTTTATCGCGTAGGTGCAGAGACGGTGCAGGACGGAAAACGGAGGGAGAGATGCTGCCGCATTTAGGAATTGCCGTGACTTCTTTGTGTCAGTGATTCCAAGCAATTCTCTTTGACACATTTGCGTGCATACCAAATAAAATACAGCAAACCCTCTTTTACTCGTTTTGGTTGTTTCTCGTTTTTACTTGCATAATTAGGCCATGGGCCGGATTCATATCGATACATCGTCTGAAAATGCCCTACCACTTTTCCGTTCATCAACCACTGCGCTCTTTTGATCAAAGAGAAATTGTTTCTTTTTTTGATGCGTGGTGAGATTAACTGGAATTTGCTAATTGCAAAAGAACGATCAGTTCGATTACCGCTTTCTTTGGTTGTTTTAGGAGTCATCTGAGCATCATTGCGTGCCGTACTTGCAGCATCTAACACAATGAAAAAGTGTGTACTGTGAAATTATCATACTTCGCTCTCTATTCAAAATGACGTTTAGTGCCAAAAGTAGCGGCATAATAAAGTCTTTTATCTCTTTGTGCGTTGATGTGCCGTTTTAGCAGCATGCTTTAGAGATGAGGAAAGAACACTAATTAAGTTTAGATCGATGTAGGATTAATTGGATGTATTGAAAATGATAATGAAATCTTGCGCGGGTTTATGGGCTTGGGCACAGAATAATGTGTGCGTTTTGTTTTGTGCAGTACTATATCAAAAATAGAAACACTTATGTTAAGAACATTTTTGCAGCGATCTACCGGCTTTTTATGATATCAGTTTTTGGTTCACACTGTCATATTATTATTTATCAGTGTCACAAGGGTACGAACTGTTAATGCCCTGATTCGGGTTTCGTTTACAGCACCCCTTACCCTTTCTCAGCACCCACTTGATGGTTGTATTATCTCTTGAAAAAAATGCTGCAAAAAAAGTGTCAGATTCCTGAAAATATGGATTGACAGTTCGTTGATTTGCCTGTTTTGTTTAATCGCATGCAATTCTATGCATAAAGAAGCAGTGGCGATCATAGACATAACCGATCATAGGCATCGATTATGTGCGTCTACTTTTGACTTGTGGATCTGAACCACTGAAGCAAAATTTATATAAAAAATGTGAGAGAAGAAACAGATGGGATCCTAGGTTCAATAGTTTTAAGAACATTCAATCAGGAATTGGATTGTGATAAAAGAAGATGGCCGTAATCCTCACATTAGCTGCATATATGTCGTGTTCGATATAATAAAATCATATGCACCCGTCTCTCTCCCATCAGAACAAATACATTTCTACTCGTAGTAACCACGTAGAATCTTACCAGCATACTCACAATATTTACATCAATATATTGCGTTGTGCAACGCTCAAATAAACCCTTAATAGGATAAGCCTCATGGCCATCTTTATTCAGGAACCAACCTTTGACATAAAACAATCATACGACAGAAGGAATCGGTTAATTTTCTTGGACGCATTTCACCGTCTTCCTCTAACTCAAAGTTCACATGAATAACTGCTTTCCCTTATCATTCTCCATTGCTTTTTATAAACTTACAGGAGTAAACATTGTCCTATAATATAATCAGTTCAAATAACGATCCATCATAGCATATAGAAGGGGACATAGAATGAAGAAATGATATGGGCCTTTTTCTGTTCTCTTGTTTCTCTAAATAAATTAGACTCTCCAGGTTCCCCATTGTTTTCACATTTTATTACTCTTCAAGCACCAGAGTCCCGTTAGTTGCCTTTTTACGATGATAGTCACCTAACCGGGTCAACTCGACAGGGTACGTATGGATTGGATGATGCATGCATGTGGGAAATTAATGCAATAGTACCGAGGGGTTTCCAGGCAAAAATAAGAGAGGATAAATACCTACCATTATTAAAATGTTTGGGAGTTATGCGCGCTAATTTTCAGTCACAAGGCAGTCACATTGGGTTTTTGCTACATTTGTCGGCTTTGATTGGGTAATTTTTGAAAAACAAATATATATGATTGGTTGAAACGAAACCAGACAGCTGTTGATCGGCCCGACCTTTGCGCTCGAATTTTTAACATGAAGCGTAAAGCTCTGATGGAAGATCTAAAGAAGAACCATGTTTGGGAAGAGTCGTTACCCATGTACACACGGCGGAGTTTTAGAAGCGAGGCTTACTGCATCTTCATTTGCTTTTGATGTTACTCCGGAGGATAAGCCGAGAACACTTGATGACTATGATCGTATCGTGTGTGCCGAACTTCCGGACAGAGAGAGATTTCCTGATCTCTACGACACCGTCAGCAGATGTATGATGCACGGTCCGTGTGGAACAACGCATCCGAGGTGTCCCTGCATGGAAAACGGCTCATGTAAAAAGCGTTACCCGCGCTCCTTCAATGAAGCTACTATCGAAGATCACAGTGGTTACCCGTTATACCGTCGTCGCAACAATGGTGATTTTGTGGTCAAGAACCATGTCCAGTTGGACATAGATGGGTTGTTCCCCACAATCGATATCTCTGTGCAAGATATAACGCTCACATTAACGTCGAAATCTGTACTTCTCTGGAAAGCGTCAAATACCTGTACAAGTATGTTTACAAAGGCCACGATCGTGCTGCAGCAGCAATGTATCATGCCGACAATGACAGAAAATGTCAGGCTCCTGACCCGTTTGCGCTTTGGATGCAGTTCCGCCAGCACTTGGCAGAAGACTATATCCATTTTTGGAGCAATCAAAATCAAGACAATGATCATCAAATTGAGCCGCCCCAAATCGTGTACGATCGCGCTTTGCTGGACATTGAAGAGTATCTGAACCGCCAATCGGGCACTGCTGAATTACGATCGCTTTGTTCTTCCTGATCGCCAAGAAATTGGCAGAAGCACACTTCGCTGTCAGCCCAGACTGGTAAGAGAACAATTCGATCTCATCGCAAACGCTGCCAATGTTCCCCAAACACACGAGGGCCTAAACCGTGATCAACATGCCGTATACGACGCAATTCTCCAGAGTGTCACGCATGGAAACAACAAATCAGCCCGATTGTTCTTTGTTGATGGTTCTGGTGGCGTCTTTACCCTTATGTTGTTGTTTTTATTATTCCTTTATATCTAACTGTTTGTATTTTGTCTTATGCTCCTTTGCTTTCATCCTTTGCTATGATTTTTCAAGTTATTCTTCACCTTTATGTTTTACTGTATGCTTTTTATCCTTATGTTCCTTTTGATTTTATCCTTAGCTATGTTTTCCCAAGTATGATTTTTTCTGTTATCTATTTTTGTCTCTCCATTTAATATTATACGATGCCTGACTATTTCTGTTCCTAAATTTGTGTACATATTGTTGTTCCTCTGTCGTGGATGAAGAAAATGATCGCTATGTGGCGGTAGGTCAGGGGGGGGGCGCAAGACCCCCGGGAAAAAAGAAAAAGAGACTGTACTACTCTGTTGTCCATTGAATACGCAAAGATTTTGCGCACATCAACTAAATCTTACCGAAAAATCATCCGCTTATTGACAAAAGATTAGAGTACCATCAAGCGAGACCCTTGGATACACAAATTCGAGTGCGGAGTTCTGAATATTGCAAATGGAGCATCCCATTCCAAACGCATCTTTAATCAGCTACTATTCCCACTAGCCTCAGATTAACAACAAACTACAGACCGAAAGAGCATAACTTTGTGATCTTTAAGATCAACAGGCGCTACTAGTCTACATAATTAAAATCTTTGGGAAATTAGCGATTTTGTAAATCACATGATCTACACTAAGTTATCAGGACCTGTTAAACGTTTTTTTTTTATCTTACAACCATGCCTCGCTGCCCACTTTCACGATAATAGGCGAAACAATCAGCAGCAAGATGCCGTTTGCGCCAGTTGTGGTTAAACAGAGTATCGTCGTCTTTCGAATAAAAATGTGAGTAGAGCTCTTTTTGAAGAAAAGTGGTTGATGATATGACTGGCGTTCTTCTGTAGCATCATTCAATTTTTTTTTATTTTTTTTTTTGGTCAGTTATACTGTATATGTCCTTTCATTCTCTTTCAATTTTCAATTAATCGATTAATACATAAGCAGACGTGCTTCGATCTATGAATTCATGCATCAGTGGGGTGACTATTGTTTCATCCATGGAGAATCATATATTTTTGTCTTCAATCTTATCTTTTTTCTTTTGCTTTTCTCTCTCTCTTTCTGTTTGCTTGATAAACCCTCACTATCATTGTATCAAGATCCCATCCGCATCCATCATCCAGACCATTCTTATCCCGTGTATCTAACTTGGTTAAATCGACCACCATCCTCAAAAAGGTAAGCGTCGAGTGGTCTACCATCGATTTTGCTCCGGCAAAACAGACTTGGGGACTCTCGATATATGGAATCCAACTCGAAGTTACCGTCACTTCTGGCCACGTCAATATTTTTGCCTGCTCAAGCTGACACCACCGATCCATCGCTTAACTGTCCCTGGAAGCAATTTTATTTTCCGCATCGAAGAAGAAGCTTACCTGGCGGTCCGTATCATCTTTTTTTTTGGTCCGGTTCACCATTTGGTTCAAAGGCAAGTCCAATTTCTTTTCCTTTGCTATTATGTAATGAACGTATACTAATTCAAATTTTTTCAATGTCATATAATCCAAGTCATGTCAAGCGATCAATGGCTATTGCAAACTCATATAACAAAGGTAAAATATCTTGACGAAAATTTGAATCAATCAAAGAGCTTACTAACTCATTTTTTTTTAAATACCCAACATTCCCACACAACATTCTAGATCTATCATAACCTTGGGCGGGACGGGACTGAGGGGGTCAATAAGTGCTGCTGCACACATGTTTGGAAATCATGACTGTACGGTATGCCAGAGTATTGACATTAATATACCAAAGTTCCATCAAGAGTCTCGCCCAGGTTATGCCGTATTGCGTTAGGCTTTTGTCTGACGAATGTCGCTAAATGTAAGGGGGCGACGTCCAGTAGCAGGTGGCATCCATTGCACAGCAGGTGTACGGCTTGTTAAAGGCGAAAGAAGAATACGGTAATCCTTTTGAAAAAACAAGTTTAGTCACACCATCAACGCTTGAATGATGAGCAATTTGGCTTGGTCAGTGACATATTGGCTCGTCAAGATAAAGCAATCGGCATTTAATCTTACTAATCGGAGAATCTGCGATCATTTAATAGAAAGGCATTGGTCGTTGTCAAAATAAACTTTGAAGTATCCTCTCGCATGAAACTTTGTTATTATGATAAAAGTTATCAAAACGAGTGAGCCACGATAATTTGAGGCACATATATCATGCCTCATTTATTGACACAATTTCCACAGTAAATACAGTATAATTTCGTACCTATAGTTAATGTAATGTGATCACAACGCATTTCGAAAGATGTATACATTTGTTTGCGAAAGCAACCGTCGACAATAGGCTTTCTCGAAAGGCTCTTCCCCCAAATTTGAACATTTTCATGTCCCCCCAGCCAATATTTTGCACTCATCCAATGAAAATTCAAGGTTAGTATCTGAAAACCAGAGATCCAAAGATAGCCAGCGAATCAAAAAAGCAAGAAAAACAAAACGGTTTCCTTTTTTGTGAATTACGAAAAGATTTTTCGATTTTTTTTTTAAAGTGTCGCAGTTGGTACTCTTGGACATCAAGCGGTCTTCCTTGTTGTTGGTATTCTCATTTTCCCTTTCCTTCCTTATTTCCCACCTTTCCCTTCCCTTGATGCCTCCTTCTGTACATGATGTCGAAATGTTACCGCATAAACGTGTAGCCACCTTGGAAGAAAAACATGCCAATTTGGTTAAGACCATCCCGGAGTTTGACCGGATTGACATTGGTCATCGCATCCCAGATTTACCCGCAGATCTCCAAGATATTAAAAGCATCCTTGTTACTGGCGGTGCCGGTTTCATGTAAGCACTCAAGATGATGGCCTATGAAAAGAATCACTTGTACTTAACTCACTGCATTTCGTTGCCTGTAGTGGAAGCTTTCTTGTCCGAAAATTAGTCGTTCTTTATCCTGAATACCATATCTACGTTGTTGACAAGCTCGATTATTGCGGATCTATCAATAACCTCAAAATTCTGAATGATTTTCCGAATTATACCTTCATCAAAGTATGTGATTTATGTCATGCATGATGCAGAAAAGGGAGTCACTACTCATATGATTCATATGATTTGTCAATTTTTTTAGGGAGATATAACCTCATCCGATTTCATGGCGTTTATATTGAAAGAGAAAAAGATCGATGTCATATTTCATTTAGCAGCACAAACACATGTCGACAATTCTTTTGGCGACTCATTCGAATTTACCAGGTACATAGACAAAGATTTAAAAGATTGTGGGGCATAATATTGGACTGGATTTCTCACATGTTCTCTAGAAATAATGTGATGGGGACCCATGTCATGTTAGAAGCTGCCAAGGTACATCGTGTACGACGATTCATTCATGTGAGCACAGACGAAGTCTACGGCGAAGTCGTCAGTCGGGTATATGTTCAATTTCAATGGTGGAGATTCATCAAGTGCCTGTCAATTAACATGCATGAATAGCCGGATTGTGTAGAAAATACAATTTTAGCGCCTTCAAATCCGTACTCAGCAACTAAAGCCGCCGCCGAATGTCTAGTCAAAGCGTATCACATGTCATTTGGTCTACCTATCATGATCACTCGTTCCAATAACGTATACGGACCTTACCAGTATCCAGAAAAGATCACTTCCAAGTTCGTCTGCAGTTTATTACGCGGTGGTAAATGGTAAGCCTTGCATCTTTTAAATTTTTGGCATACCGAGGGGTGACACTATGACGGGACATCAAGGAACTAAAATGGATGCAATGCAGTTATATCCATGGTGACGGTCATAATTCTCGAAAATATCTGTATGCCGCGGATGTGGCCGATGCATTTGATATGGTGCTTCACAAGGGCCAAGTGGGAGAAACATACAATATCGGATCAGCTTTCGAGATTTCCAATCTGGAACTTGCTAAACGACTGATACGATTATTTGGTTATAAAGACGTCGAGAATCATCTCGAATTTGTCCAAGATCGTGCCTTTAACGATATGCGATACGCTGTCGATTGTTCGAAACTGGAAAAATTAGGCTGGGCCCCGCGCACCCGATTTGATGAAGGTTTATTAAGAACAAGTAAGTGGTTTTTTTTTTCCCACCACAGATCGCTCCATGATCCATCCGCTGATAAAAGGTAATTATTTGACAGTTGAATGGTATCGTAATCGAGCGAGCGAATGGTGGGGCGATATTTCCGGAGCACTTGTCCCACATCCCTTCAAAGCGATACCGGCTTATGATGCATCAACCGTCTGAAACTTTTAGAGTTTTTTTTTTTGTTTTTTTTTGTTTTTGGAAGCGTAAAGCTGCTTAGATTTTTCGGAAACATTATAGAAAGTTACTTTGGCAATAAAAGAGAAAAAGTCATCTATCAACATCAAATTCTGCCCATCGTAAGCAGCAAGTCGTTGAATTCAAAAGTAATGGTTGTTAATGCAAAAAGGGGTTGATCTCCTTATCAAAAAAATGACGTTCCGCTGGTTTGTCGTCACTGATGTCAATCATGATTGGATCGAGGTAATGACATTGTCTCTTTCGTGTGTAACTGCAACTTTAATAAGAATTCCATTGTATGTCATATGATGCGACAGGGCGGTCTTCCCATCTCATCAACTTCACACGACCTGGGCTGAACACTTCACTTATAGTACATCACCTGTTCTCTATAATAAGAAGAATTTACGGCTGGCTCATATCGAACAGATTTACAATTTTTGTGGGGCAGATTCATCCTGGGTGATACTATGCTTTGTAACCATCCGTTTTTGCAGTAGTGCTAGTTTTATAGTATGATATGTAGTTGATGCTACGGAATTAATTAGTCAGCCAATGATAGATTGAACAGAGAGAGGTTTGAAAGAGGATGACAATACAAAGATCACATAGACAACCTATTTCAAATTTATGATTCCATTCAATGACCGTTCTGAAACAAAGAGATGCGGGAACATGGGGCAAGGCAGTTACAGAATTCATTATTTTTATATGCAAAAGCCAATGGTCGGAAATGCAGTGTTTGTGATCACACAGGCATATTTGTCGATCTGTGTGTGTGTGTGGGGGGAATTATCACTGAGAAAGCAACCGCTGCGGATTATAAAGATAACTGGTCAGTGATCGTTTACAAGATATGAGTCAACCAATCAAATCGCTTCTTCAAATAACCTAAGGAAATAGAGGTTTGACCAACTATGCTTTTGGTGTGAGTTTTCAAGTAGAAAAAATGAAAAGTCGCACTGTAGGATGGTCGCATGATCTGCTAAGGAAGAAAAGATGAGCTGGAATTTCTTTTTCTTTCTCCTTGCAGTTTAGAGTCACCACTGGTGCGGCTGGACCGTTTGACCGTTGTGACTCACATGGAAGGCAATTGATGCCTGCATGATGATTTGCTTATTTTTTTTAGGGTTCTATATTTTTTTTTCCAGAAGGCAATCCTTTTAAAGTAAAAGCATCTACTTTCCTTTTTGCCTTTCTTCCTGCTCCTTCTCCTCCTGAACAATCTTTATGACTTCTTCTTTTTCTACTTCATCCTCTTTTTTAGAATTGGAGCGGCAAGTATCGCTCCAAGAATTACAAGACCAACCACAGCTGACATTCAACGAACCGGCGCGACCTCTGCGGTACGTGAGCATTCACAATCGACAGTTTCGACGACCACCGGCCCATTTTTACGTGCAAACGACAAGAGAGTATTACAATCATGATCATCGTATTTTGTGTTATCCAGGAGCCGTATTTCAGGGCACCGTTCACATCAAGCTCAATGAACCGCTTGCTGCACAGCATGTCAAACTAATATTTAAAGCCTCGGGTGAATAGAAAACATGTCAAAATCTGTGGTATGCGAGACATTACAGGCATTAACACCTTGATTGCCCTGTTTTCTACTTTTTTTTTTCTATGCTGGATTCCAGAGAAAATCAACTATGACGCTCTCGGATGGTCAAAAAAAGCCAAGAGCCAGCGGCTGTTTGCGGTACGAACGATTTTGTGGGGAGCTTCCGAAGCCGGCCATCGTCCGCATAATGCATGGCCTGTCATGGAAGCCGGTGAGCACGCCTTTCCCTTTATGTGCGAAATGCCACTCGTCAACTATCCGCCTTCATTCCGGCATTACCTAGTGAACGTTGTATTCTCTCTGATCGCCGTCATCGAACGTCCGGGACAACGGCCATTTCAAACTGAGCCGTATTTGATACAATATCAACCTGTTGTGGAAACGCATCGGTCTAAATTACCGATCCTGTACCGTGATGAAGCTCGTGTTACCAATCAAATTTCTGCTCGAATTGCATTACCAGGTCTAGCTTACACCATCACAGACGCGCCCATTGTTATTCCGCTAAAATTCTCACTGTGCAATGTGAAATCCAAATTGCCCATGGCCAAAGTACGCGTATTGCTCCAACAAAAGATTCGAATCACCAACGGTAAATCGTTACGGGTCAAAGCGGCAACAGTGCATGTGGCCGAACATTCGTTCCGTTCGTGTAAAGCCGACACCGAATCGATGACGTTTCGACTACGATTGCAACCAGAAGAGATCACACCTAACTTGACCTATTCTGAACGACTGAAAATTGAATACACTCTCATCATGACCGTCAAGTTACGGCATGGGCTTTTAGTCACGAAACGAACATTATTCGAAGTCCCAATTTGGTTTGGCACTCTCATGTCAGGAGCCCAACCCCCTGTTGATCTAGTTAACTTCACAGATGACCAAGTAATGCATGATTCCACACTGCAAACGAAGCCCAAATTTTTACGATCGCCCAACTTGGATGAAGAATACCATCTACCTCCATACGATGCAATCAAACCACCCGAATACGCCGCGGCGACCGCTCACACAATGATCGCAGCGCCAATCCCTGCTGCATCATCCTGAACAGTTTACCCTTACGACCTGCCCCTTCATTGCCGTTACCTGTCCATTCTTTCCATACTCTTTCTCTACCCCTTTTTTCATATACCCAAGTCCTTTTTTTGATGGGTCGCATATTTATATACTGTGAGAGGCACCTTATAAATTAATCACTTTAACATCTCTTTTCAGCCTCGGTCTTTACTTCAAATTTTTTCGGAGCATATTCACAGGATTCCGTTGTCAAGGGGAACTACATTTGCTGGTAAATCTGCATGCCGGCAGCATAATTTTCCAAAGGCTGCTAAGCAACCATCGAATGCAACTCCATAACTCCAAAATAAAATAAAGTATCGTTAAAGTCGACTGAAAAAGATGAACAGATATATACAATTAGAATGGATACTGAACCATTGATGAGCAATTCATTTCATGAGGGTATATGAAGACGAGATTCTCCTTGAATATATCCGTGGACGCTATACTCTAAACTATACTATATGTAATGTCTATCCCTTCAGAGCAACACTTCGAGTATGAGTGACAGGAATAAAGCTGCTGTAAGATCCAACAAATTCTTTAGCATGCGATGAGGGAATTGGATGGCACAGACCGCGGACTCAAAGTATAGTGAATGAACTATGGTAACGAATACAACGTATATTTCCAAACCAATGCTGCACTTTTAGTTATCACATGCCATGTTGACCATATGATCACATACGCATAATCCAGAAAAATTCTGCAGGAGCTCACTGTTGCTGCGCTGCGAGGGTGATCAAATGTAAATATCCATCAATCATTGGCGATAATATCATATTTTCCTTCGACAACCTTCGTCGTTTTCAGCTACCTACTTAATTTTCAATAATGTTGCTTAATGGCGCACCCACTCGGGCAATCATGGTCAGTGTTCTGATTCCTGCTTTCAGATCCGAATTCGACAGGTCACTGCGATCAAATCTTCAATGGATTTTTTTTTTTGGCGCATGGCACTTTCCATGGATTAAATATAGCTGTTATTGTCTTTTTGTATACTCAAACATTACGTTAAGCAATGTTACAGTATTCAAATAAATCTCCCTACCTTTAATTTAGCAGAAAGTGGTATCTGATGAATGCCGACGAACCTGAAGAAAATCGTAAAATTGTCTTTATGAACAGCCTGGTAACCTGGTAGCCTGGGAGGATAAGTTTTTGTTCAGCCATTCCTTCGTCGCTAGCCTTTGCGCACTCTGTCGTGTGGGTTGCTTTCTAATCGTAAAGGATAAACGAAAAAATTATAATAGAAACAAAGTCAGTTTTCCCCTTGGCTTTAATTCTCTTATATTTGGGGCCGCTGCATGCTGTATAAGATAAGGGTGTGGGTTTAAATAAGATAGGACGTATTGCTCTCCGCTTATCACTCTGTATCTGCCGCGCCAACTCATTTAAAAATAAGCGATTAACGCTTTACAGTACCACTGTCTTCGCTTCAAGTTTCTTTTCATTGGTGCCAAGCGGCTATTTCCCCTCATCATTGGGCGAATGACTTTCAAGATGAACCAAAAAGCAAACAAGGACAGGTGTTTCAAAAAGGAACGACAGTATACATTTAGTGAAACGGATATCATGACAGGGGAAGGATATACAGCTTTGAAAACAAGAGAATAAAGGGTATATATAAAAAAATATATATGTATAGGTGGTTGACAAAAAGGCAACCAATGAGAAAGCAAAGGATATTCAATGCTGCAACATGAAAAGCAAAGTCAAAAAAAGGGCATCATTGCACTAGTGAACAATCACAATTTGGCTGGTGCCATCGATGCCTTGAATATCGCTTACGCTGACAATGCTTCCGGTGTCACTCCCACTGCCGGAATGGTCGAGTACAATACTTTCACGTTTGGAAGATCGAGATCGTCGTTTGGAAGAGCTCTTTTGATAATATATGTTGCGTGGATCTTCATCAAACAGGGCCATACTACCAACTTTGGCCAAAGCCATCCGACGGCGGAAGTGGAGACATTGCTTGAACATGGCCATAGGCGGTGTGCTTTGCATTAATCCTTGACGCAAGTGGGAAATAAAGCTGTAGAAATCACACACGGCCACCAATCGATCGCGACAGAACCGGTCAATGGGAAGCCATGGTTGCTGTTTCATGGTGGTTGCATTGGACGTCGGCGGTTGAGTAGAATGCAAACGCATACGGAATTCGCAAACACGCAGCAATCCACAGCAAGTACACTTGCTCTTAGGGGGCATGGGAGGTGGTTGGTTCACAATGGGAGTTCCGGGAGCCGAAGACGCCATACTGATGTGACTCGCACAAGGCGAAGTAGACGTGGACGAGGCTGAGGAGGAAGAAAACGTGGACATGGATGCACCCGACCACGTCTGAATTTCACACTTGTTTTTCGCAATGGCGTCAATCAGTTTTCGTTTGAACCACGGCGATTTCCACCACGACGAGCCGGCATTTTGGAATAAACAGGGATCAATATCTTCGGTCATGACGCGTTTCATAAACGGAGTCGAAGGCATGACAACGTGAGAAGCCGAGCTCAACATTTTCAGGTGTTTCTGGAATTCATCAAAAATCAAGCCATCGATTCGAACAGTCTTGTTCGATAAACCTTGGATCGCTTCTTCAGCGTTCAGTGGGACGAGAGTTTGGCTAAGACCCGAAAATCTAAAAGAGCCCGATGAGTGACGACCGTGGAAACTCATTCTGGAGATGGAACTGGTGAGTTCGTCTTCTTGCGGGATTCGGGAAGCGTAACTGTTGCCTTGGTGAGTAACGGAATCCAGTTCCACAAGTAATTCTTTCATTTGTTTTAATCGTTTTTCTCGAACATCCCACGCTTGAAGCACTCCGGCGAACTTGCCATCGGTATCCCGATTCATGCGCACCAGTCCGTCACGATCGGTGACTTCGTCCATCAGTATTTGGTTCAAAGCAGTGAATAACGAACTGGTAATTTCTTCCACGTCCTCTTCCACGGCTTCCTTGGCTTGTTCCACCACGACTCGGAGTTGTTCTTCTTCGGCTAAAGCGGATGCCAGGGAAGCTAAATCACGTTTCAGGTATGCTTTCTGCTCAATTTGTTGATCAAGCTGGGTTAACAATTGTCGACAGTTGGCACAAAAAGTGGTATCTGCGAGAGCCGAAATGGCGTGGGGGACATAACTTGTACGAGGGGCAGGGTGAGGGGTAGGTATGGTATGATCCTCCTCCGTAGAGGGAATACGTGTCATGGAAGAAACCGAGGTGGTGGTAGAAAAGACCCCGCTGGTTTGTTGTACAGAATCGTTATCAGCTATTGTGGGTCGTGAGGTATCGGAGCCGTCGATACTGTCATGGGAAGGATCTAAACCGTCCATAAGATCGACAGGATGAATATGCTGCAACCAGTTCTCGGAGGTGGTTGCATTAAAATCGTGGGCGGTTGTGTCCCCGGCCGCGGCCGCGGCTTCCTGTCGTCGTCGCCATTCATTGGCAGCGGCTTGACGGCGTTCCAGTTCGCCTTCTTCCAAATCCTCTGCTTCATCGTGATAGGCGGTGGGCGGGTCCACGGCTGGTGTGGCCGCTTGTTGCGCTTGTCGCAGATAATTTAAGCACAAGGTAAGATTGGTGACGGTTTGTTCGCTGAGTTCAGAGGCGGATTCTTCTGAAACCATATCCGACAAAAGGACGATGCTTTCTTTGCTGTTGAACTCCAGCCGCTGGAGTTTGCTGGACAAGTGGTGGATATACTGGTCTTTCTGTGAAAGTCCCACTAACCAATCGTGCCGATCATGTTCATACTTTCGATGAATGGCCTGAAATTCACAGTACAACATTAGCTTTCATCTTGTTCATTTCGGTAAATAAAAAAGGGGTAGAGAAACAGTGAATGGATGGATGGCGACCATGTTTTACTTACAGATAAATCAGTTTCTAATTCTATCACTCTTGATTCAAGTTTAGCTATAATATCTTGAGCTTGAAGTAGAAATGGCAGCACGTCTTCTTCTGAGAATTCTTCAGCACCAAACTGAATTTCGTCCAGTAGTTCCTCCCTGTGCGAAGGAGGGGACATAATGGAAACATTATCGTCGTCATGAGCCATGTCCATGGTATAATTTATCCGCAACAAAATGAATGCTTGCTGTAAAGGAGGAGACACAGAAACAGGTTTCAGACTATGGTTACTTTTAAAAAGTGGAGAAAAATGTAGATGTGTATAAAAAAAAAGGAAGAGGGAGGAGGCAAGGGTGAAGCAAAGTAGTTGCCGCCCTTTGAAACTGCAAGATGGGACCTGTATGAAAACAAGTAGGTAGGCTTAGCGCGAAAAAAAAATGAAAGAAAGACAAAAGTAACGCGCGCTTTGGGTAGTGGGGGAGCACAGACGAAAAAAGAAAAAAAAAGGATCAGAAAAGGTTCATATAATGAAAAGGAAATAGGATTGTGTTCTCCTTTTCGTCAATAAATCATCGAGGATTTATGTGAAGAATTGCAGAAATTATCGACTGCTAGATTAAAGCAACGTGATGTATACGTCAGATAAAGGCACCGGTATATGCACAGGTATGCGATCAGGTTTTCTTCTTTTTTGTCGGACGCTTTATTTGGCGTTATTTTGTTGCACTCAATTTTTGCTGGCAAGACACACACACACATGACATGGAGAAATAGGACTCCGCTTGAGGTGACCTGGACTTTTTTTTGTTTTTCAATGAGCGATGATGAACCCGTGGCATCGGTGTTTCTTGTTTTTTTTAATACGCATTATTCTTCGTCTGGGTGGATCTAAGCATTAAAGCACTGTATCATCTTTCTTTCGAGAGCTCACACTTTGGTGCGCTAACGTCCTCCCGTTCTCGACCTGAAGCCTCTCAATCGCTACATCCGACTCCGGCATTTCAAGATGGAATCCTTGAAAACCGTATGCAAATTGATCAACCCAGACTATTACCTAACCAGAATCGATCTCACCGACGCCTTTTAACATATCCTCGCCCTCAATTTCACAACGCTATCTACATTTCGGATAAAAAGACCAACTGTATCAGTTTTGGGAGCTTTCCTACGGTCTCTTACTCAGCCCCTCTGGTCTTTACCAAGGTTTTTCGTCGTCCTCTACCGAAATCGGCTCAACGCAAAGGCATGCACATTTCCGCTTACTTTGACGACTTTGCTCATCATCGCACGAGACTCTGTCACTTCCCAAACGTCACATCCAACTGGTTTTACGCAAACTCTATTCTGTCGGATTTTTAGTCAAAGACACCAAATCCAGCCTCACGCCTTCGCAGACTATCAACGCCTCAGCTTCAACATCGACAACCGCAACATGTGCATATATCTTCCACCCAGCAAGATTCGAGACTTACGTCGCGAAGCTTTCCGCTTGATCCGTCGTCCCCAATGCAGCAATCTGTAAATTGGCTTGCTTACTCTTGCGGTTTTTCCTGTGTGTCTCATAACACCTCATTTAATTTCCGCCAAGAACATGCCTGTGCGACGCTGTCTGTCCTGGTCATCCCGAATCCATCTCCCCGACACGGCTCTCCAAAAACTCACAATGGTGGACAGATAGCCTTTGAGCCTGGAATGGCCTCAGCTGTCTGCCAACCTCCCTCCAACATAAAGTCTTTACAGACGCCCCCGATCAGGTTGGCGGATAGTCACGGCGAACACCACCTGGCACGGCCTAGCTTCACCAACCGTCAGCAACACATCAACTGGAAGGAGCTGTGAGTATTTGGAGAACGACCACCTACCCTCCCTCCGAAGATAATGTTCAAAATTTATTGCGAAATATGACCGCGATCGCCTATGTGAACAATTTTGGCGGCACTCAAACCCCCAATCTCACGAATCTGTCTCGACTTATCTAGAACTATTGTCTTCACACGGGTACTTGTCTCCAAATGTCTTATGTACCATCGAGTCAATCCGGCCGACGACCCCTTGCGCCAAATGATGCAACAACCCAAATGGACGATCAGTCACTCCGGTCTCGAATGAAATGACAGGCTCCACTCGAGCCGTTCGTGCTGCTTGTTGTAATCCAACATGATCAGTTACATATCCGACACGGCCCGTCACCAATTCGACCTCTCATTTGACCTGGAATAATGTCCGTCCATTAATCTGGATATCATCTCCTCCTCAGACCAAGACATCGTTCTTCTATCGGAAACTCACCTTGAAAGAGGCTACTACTCAGGAACCATATAAATACCTATCGGTGTTCATTATGAATATCATACTGGTGCCTCCCTTGACGAGGTCGTGTCCCAATGGCGCATGGTCATCCAAAGCCATTTTCAATCATTTTTATCAGCTATCTCACGAAACAAACACATATTTTACAGCCTTAACGTTGCAACCATCTCACCTGTCTGCTCTGGAGCCACAATCAGTTGATCCACTTCCTCGAATAATGGTTCTTGTGGCGGAGGCCGTAGGCCGAACACCTATCATCATTATTCGAGGAAGTGGATTAACGGATTGTTCCGCCCACGCTTTCTCTCTTACAGGCGATTATACACTACTTTAAAGGCACCGAGAGTTTTAAAGGCACAGTGTTTAGATGAAAAAATCTTATAGAGTCCCGAGAAATAAAACCCGGATGATTACACAATCACGACAATGTATTAAATGGGGAATAGATCAATTGGCTGATTGTTCTTTTGATGACTGATACGATGAGGATAATGATGTTGTAGAGGATGAATAGGAAAAGGAGAGGATACAAATAGTATTTAAGCTATTAAACGTGGTAAGCCAATGAGAACAACATCCTAATCGTATAACGCTTTGCTGATCTGTTCAATTTTCCGAGGCCATTCTTCAGATCCGTTAACTGGCTATTCAGTGGCCTGTTGTTAATGATAACAATTTGTTCTTGATCTTTATTAACTTAAAAGAGTAACTGGATCTTGCCCAATATGTTATGAATAATTGAAACTTTTTTTGCCTTCGTAAGCAGTTTCATAACTGTCTTCATACAGCGTTTTCGTCATTTCTGATAACTTGGATAGCGATTTCCCTGAAAAGCAAGGACCCTATTTTTTCTTGGGATACTGACGTTTGGCTCAACTCTTGGTTCGACAATGTCCAGATTGTCAAGGGCTGTAACTCCAACTGCGAGGCAATCGTTGTCACCGAACGGCACATAGTCTAAGTCGACAGATGATAGAATTTTTCGCACCGGTCTAAGCAAGTACAACGACGGCATTGACTGGGAACGGAAAAGCGTTGGACTTGACAACTTGGATGTGCCCGCATCGATCGAGCCGTATTGCATACTGTCATGGTTGTATACGAGGGGGAACCCATCGACGCAACTTGGCCAGCATCATCTTATCCTCTTGGGTCGCTTGACCCGCAGCGTGAGAGTCCGTGGTTGTCAAGGTCGCCTCGCGATGTGTAAAAGAGGGTTGCTTGCTTGTAGGCTGTTCCGCTTTAATACAGCCTCTACTTGTTCATCAACAGAATCCAATTCGTCGATTTTTCTCTTTTGCACAAAGGACACATCTAAGCGGTGCTTTGACATGGACGACGAATGATCGTTGTTTTGTTATGTGATCGACCATGGATTTTGGATCCAACAAAGCGAAGGGCCCGTAGCCTGAAGTTTGGGAGGCGGGCTGCAGATGCCGGAGGCCTTGAACATGTTAACAATGCGGAGGGTGATAAAGGACGCAGTGTCCGCCAATAAGTCATGTAATACGCTGATAAATACGATGGTCTCGGAAGAAGGGACGATACCCTCACGAAGACCATTTGACCCAGCACAGAAAATCGACTTCGGATGACGTCCCTATCTTCTCTCAAGTTCACGAGCTTCTTGAAACCTATAAAGAGCGTCCCGATTCTTGCGGGTCAACCGAAGCGGGTAGCGCTTCCTGTCCGTACAAGAGTTCGTAGGGAGATTACACGCACCACCTCGTGTGCCTTGGTTCGGTAAGCGTATAGAACTGCTCATAGCGACCAGGATATACTTGTTACCAGAATTTGACCTTTGTAGAGGTCCTACGTAATCTAAACTGAACTGTTCAAACAAGTTCAAGATTGGCACATTAGTCCTGGGCATCGATTCCGGTATATCACCAAACAATTGGCGTTCCATGCAGAAGGAAGAAATCCAGTGGTCGGGTGATACCCGAGAGGCGAAACCGGATTCGGATAGTTGATGGTCGTTGCGGCGAGCGTGAAGACTGATTGAAACATTGTTGAGGGCGAACGGCGTGTAGTCGCGGGCAAGGTTACGAGGACATTCCGAATAAAATCGGTCCATTTCGGTAATGGATTACGAAAGGAAGCCCGTTCCATACCGGGGAGGGCTTGGAGAAACTCGGAATAAGGCCGGAAACCGGTATCGAGAGCACGTTCAAAAATGAAAGGGTCTTTCTGATCCACTGACATATTGGCGATTGACGTTGACCATTTTCCAAGGCATGAACGCGTTCCAGCAAGACCAACGCCCATGGATGGACGGTGGCCATAGAATCTCCTTGCAAGTCATGAGGTTCATGAAATTATCACTGATAGGAGGGACGACGGCATACTCTCAATTGCGAGCTCTCGAAAGAAAGATGATAAAAAAGAGTACATCTGTACGACTTGCGTTCCAAAATTCACTCCAATTTCACGCGACTTTTGAGCGCCTAATGATGAAGCATTCGCAGCCGATTTTCTGGCTTGAATTGTCCGCGTGATATAAGGCTGACTTACAGCTTCTTGGTCCTCCACGGCGTCATCGTCGGCATTACCCTTACGAATTCCACAGTCTCCGTAATGCGTGCAAGTGAACCAGATTACACGGTCTTTGGAACGTTTGTCAACGAGTACGATGTTAAACTTCCGTCCGTATTCGGCAACAGCGTCACGAACGTCGGCAACTGAATGATATCCGCGTAGGGCAATTACAGCGTTATCCATTCACTTTCACAAAACTGTTGAAAGCTTCGACAGTTGTCAGCGTCGGCTCAGGACATATTCATTGTTCTCCGCGTGACGTCATGCTCTTCGGTTTTTTGGAGTGAATGGCAATTTTATGCACCTGAGACGCAACAGTTCAAAAGCAACATCAGTGAGCTGCCTTTGAATAAAAATTCCACTTTTACGCATCTCGTATTGTACATACAGATTTGTTCAAACAGTTATTGTTGATAGTTGCTTGGGTCGGATTCGGCGTCGGAAAGCCACTGGGATAATGTATTGCCAAATCATTTCGAGTCTGACGGAAAAATGCAAGTTATCCCGGAGGTCAACTGTCCTCTCATTTTTGTATAGGTGGAAGCGAAGAGAATACGTGTAATCAAAAAGCGACGAGGGGAAACAGCCGAAAACCAGCTTGTAGAAAAGAGACAAATTGTGACCAAACTGTAGCAAAGTTGGCCTAAGCAGCAACCAGTTTAATGAAGAAGACCTTTTTATTCATCAGATGAAGAATTTCTTCAAAAGGACAAAATCGCTAGACTCAAAGGCCAACAATTTATCGTAAAAGCGACATTTCTTTTTCTGCTACGGACATATAAAATGACAAGATTCACCGCTCTCGCTGTAAGAATTGCATCGTTCATTTGCTTGTGCAACATGGGCACTCTCGGTATAGAAACGCCGATGATTCTACCCTTCGGTTGTTCGTTGGCCAACTGCACATGTTACACCGACTCTCCGATACAGGGAACGGGACGAGACGTTTGGGTTATTGTTTTGTTTTTTCAACATATGGTGACGGGTGGCATGTTGAACCCGCAGGTTGGCGATGCAGTGATGTAATCCAATTGCACTATCGTTGATGTTATATATGTATGTTATTTTTTCTCATCAGGATCCAATCTTATGACCATGATGTTTTTCTATTATAAACATCTTTTTATTTTTAGAGACTGCTTATTCTTCATTCAGCAACATTTTTTCTTCAGGGCCACGGATCGGATCATCATGGTTTACTCGTCTACTTCTTGGACAATCTCGGTCAAAAGAGTAAGCACAATTGAAATAGGGCGATGATAAATAAAAAAGAAGAACAATAGGAAGATACTAGGTCCATTTAGTCATGGAAACAAGGTGTAATGTCATTTGTGTTCGCGAAGATTATGTTATGTGATACATTGTAAAAGGTAGACACGTTATCTTATTCTGGCTTTAGACAAGTTCGTGAAAGTAAGGGAGAATAGTAACACAGTAACACTTGAATGATCTGAAGGAGAAAATGGGATATAGGACGATCCATGATTATTTTGTACGAGTTCAAAATGGATACCGCGGATTGGTGATTGGGTCGATCTTCTCGGGTCAACAATTGCACCTTTTTTTTTCGGACGAGGATGTGATATTTTTTTTTTTCCTTCGCCAACAAAGTATAAAAACCTGAGATTCAACAAGAGCGGGAATGGTCATTCCTTTTTGTCCTTCCTTTTAGAAATCCCAAAAAGCCGAAAAAATGAAGTCGATTGTTGCTGCCATTGCTGCTCTTGCTCTTGCTGTTGTGTCCGCTCAGGAAATGATTGTTCACATCACCGCCCCCCTTGCCGGTCAGGTTTACACAGCTGGTCAAAAGGCTCACATCGCCTGGATTGACCCCAAAGTCGATACCATTCCCGTTATCAAGCTTGCCCGCGGTGATCCCAAGGCTTTGACCCAATTGCAGGACATTGGCACCAACGTGCCTACTGCCGCCGGCGGATACGACTGGACCATCCCCGCCGATATCGAACCCGGTAATGACTACGCTTTCGAATTGGGCAACTCTCCCAACGTCGCATACACTGGTCAGTTCACTATCAAGGCTGGTGATGGTGCTGCCGGCAACTCGACCGCTTCTGGCTCTGGCTCCAGCTCTGCTGCCGTCGCCAGCTCCACTGCTCCTGCTACCACCAAGAGCGCTGCTCCTTCGGATGTTTCTTCTGCTGCCAGCACTCCTGCTGCTTCCAGCGCTTCCCCCGCTGCCTCTGGTGCCGGTTCTTCCGGTGCTGCCGGCGATAAGAGCACTGATAAGGCTGGTTCCGGTTCTGCTTCCACCACCCCTTCCACTGCTCCTGATGCCAACAAGGACAGCGCTGCCGGTAAGACTACCGCTACTTTCGGTGCCCTTGCTGTCGCTGGTGTCGCTGCCATGGCCTTGATGTAAAATACTTTACTGTTTTTTTTATTGTCTCACTTTTTTAATTCTATTTCAAACCAAACTTCCAAAAACCGCACACGATTTGGAAATTATTTGCCGATCTTTTTTTCTTTTTCCCTCTGAATCTTAATGTCATGACCAAATAAAACACCTATTTATAAAGCATCGCACTTATGGCTTCTGATGATGGAGCAAACTACGGTTGGGAATTATGATTTGAGGGTGGGCATGGAGAAATGGGTGAATGGACAGGTCATTGTGGATGGTTTATCATTTGGTTGGTTACGGTGGTAGCATTGGTGAGACGTTGTGAACTTGACGATCGTTGGCAATAGCAATTGACAACGAGCTAGCGTTGTCTGTATATGGAAACCATGAGGTCCTGTGGTCGCTGTTTATTTTAACGATTTTTTTTTTCGGCCGAAATGTGTTCATTTTTTTTTTTATCTCCAGGGTCCTCTTGTTGATAAGGGAATAAGACGTCAGATCAAAAAGTGTTCCTGACAACGATCGGACTCTACTGCCAACGCACAGACCGATCTTTATTATACTTTTTGGTTCGCATAAGTAGTTTGGGTGTGTGGCTAACACTAAACTTTTAGTTGTTTGAAATAGGATGGGGATAGCTTGGCGAAAATAAGATCCCAAAAATGGCGTTCAGGTTTACCATGGTTTGTGTAACGAAAACGCTGTTTTGATTCCACAGACTAGAATCGGCGGAGACCACACATAGTGCCTTTTTTTCTCGCAAACAAATCTCAGCCCCGCCCACTAGATTCAACTGTTTACTGGGTTTGCTGGATTAAAATGGTCTACTGGATTAATTGTGCAATTCGTATTTCATTGATGAAATGATGCACACCGGAATGAAAAAAGACACGAGTCGGCATTTTTATTTTTTCTTCTTTGAGATTCTTTAGTGCTACATCCGCTTCTTGTGTTGCGAGCCACTCGCACCGAACTCATATTTCTACACTGCGTTTTATATGAATAAAAACGATTCACAGTTATAAATAGCTGATGAAAAAAAGGAAATGCATGGCCAAGAAAAAAAAAGAACGGTGAGCGAGTTCTCACGTCGTTCAAAAAAGCATCATTGGAAAAGTTTCGCTTTGTAAAAGGAAAGTTCATTAACCGAAATTGGTAAATCTGAGAGTTTTCTTGACGAATGAGTCTCGAATCTGGGAATCCCAGCAAAAGCATGTGCTTTCACCTTCCTTTTCTTTCATATCACCCATTTTAACCTATTTTATATGTTGGTCATTCATGCTGGTACTCTGATTTGAGAGCATACAAAAAGTTGATGCATCGAAATGATAGGACCCGCTACTTTATTGTGACTTGGGACTGCTCAACAACGTCATTCACTGGTTGCCGAATCTCACGCACATGCCCCCACTTGTCGTTGCCCCCGTTTTCAACTTCCGAAGCCCTTTGGGTCAAGGAACCACTGCTGCGAACCAGCAAAAGAAAAATAGGAAAAAACTGACAACCGCTGCTGTGGCATGAGTGAAATCCAAGTCCTGTTGTCCATCAGTCCAATATCGAGCCGTTCTGGCTTTTAAAGCGCCAAGATTTTTATCGCCAAGAAGTAGGGTTTGTAGATGTGAAGAGTTTTTGCCAATTGGCAACCAATGATCAACCGCGGAACAAATTATCAAAAAGCGGGCCCGCTTAACGCATCCTATGTATTTTCGCCACAAGAGGGAGGATATTTTTCTTTTTCGTTATATGTATGTGATTTGTTTGCTGCTTTCTAAAAGTGGGCCAAAAGGGAATATGAAAGGAGTAAAAAGTGGTCAGGCAAAATGCACCATGCAAGCAGAGGCACGACCACCGACGATAATCGCCGGCTTTCCGAAGAATAAGCCGTCATCAGCATTGGACGCATCATTACTAAATACAGCAGTCGACACAGACACTGCTGTTCTTTTTTCTCGCCACCAAGTCCACTGGAAAGCAAAGACTGGTTCAAGCGCCAAGTCGCGTGATCAACGTGTGGAAAAAAAATTCTACATAAAACTTTAGATCATCAGCATAGGAAAAAAAATGATGCAAAACGAAATGACGATATGGGTAGGTTTGTATGGTGTCATGAATAAAAAAAAATGTAGTTGATAGAGTATACAAAAAAAAATGAAATAGTATATATATATGTACAATATATATGGTGCAATAGATAGTAGGATGTATCATGGAGAACTCGATCACCTATCGCACTCAAGGGGTGCGGATCTCCAAAATCATATTGCATTTTGCCCATGAACTTTTGCGTGCATGTGGTCATTCCCGAAATTCTGCACGCAAAAAAAAAAAAAAAAAAAAAAAAATAGCCAATCTTTCAAATCCTTTTCCTCCCTTTCTCTCTCTCTCTCTCTCTACTTTTTTTTACTTCTTGTTCCCTGTCATTGTCCTTCATCGACTTGTCTTTTTACGCCCAACTTTGAAAGCTGTAGAAAAAGTGATCCACTCCAGAGATCACTTATAACGTACCAGTCTTTCTTATCCTGTTAAAAACGTTCAACACGAGTAGATCTTTATCACAAGAGTCAGCAGCCTCTGCTGCGCAATCTCCGCCATCGTCACCTTCTTCTTCCTCCTCTTCTTCTTCTTGTTATTCCTCCGCATCGGAATTACCCTCCCTATTATCACCCCCAAGACGTAAACGCCTTCGCTTGCATTATACCTCTCCCGAACCGTCCTCCATGCAGATTACCATCAATAATACCGCTGAACAGCAGCCCACTCATCAAACCAACGGCAAGTTGGACAAAGACGACTCTTTAGGTAGAGTACGAAAGGGTGAACTTGTTCGTCTCATTCTTCAGTCATTACAAGACCTCGGTTATCGGTACGCTACCACTTATACATCATGTTCCAACCTCCCTTTCCCGTACTAACCTTGTTTTTTTCCCTCATTTTTATTCTTTTTTGGTCACGTCTTTTATTCTGTGTATAAAAAAAGGGATGCTGCTGATCAGTTACAACGCGATTCTGGGGTATCATTGGAATCAGAAACAGTGGGTCAATTTCGTCAAGCCGTCTTAAATGGAGATTGGGCTTTAGCAGAATCATTGCTGTCAACGTTAGCTCTCGTACCTTCCGCCAATCCAGCCGAAGCCATCTTTCTGCTGCGACAGCAACGTTTCTTGGAATTACTAGAAGCAAGAAAAGTGATGAAGGCGCTTCACGTATTACGGAATGAACTTCAACCACTCGGGCAGCAGGTGGATCGACTGCATGAATTATCAAGGTAAAGTGGTGGTGGTTTTGAGTGAGCTCAATCGGAAGCCGAAAACGAATCTTTCTAACCACACTGATGGTTTGACAGCTTGATCCTATGTTCATCGGCTGCCGACGTGAAATCACAAGCACAGTGGGATGGTGCCAATGGAACATCAAGAGAAAACTTGCTCATAGAATTACAACGTAAGTTGACTACCTCATACCTAGAGAAGGAGGAGCTTGGAGTGCGACGGTTATCGTGAGCTTTGATGGATGGATGGTTTGTTAACGATGGTCCATTTATAGGTTTTATTGCTCCTACGACGATGATTCCGAAAGCACGGCTATTAACATTAATCAATCAAGCATTTGATTGGCAACGACGGGAATGCCTCTATCACGATAGTATTGACGCTCATTATTCATTATTTGCCGACCATGCATGCGATAAGTGAGTGTTGCCAATAGCATGACCATTTGATGTATTACCTCGGCTCATCCGCCACATTCCATATAGAAATCGATTTCCTTCAAAAACAATCCGCGTGCTCGAAGGTCATCAGGATGAGGTGTGGCACATTGCATTTTCTCATAATGGACGATATATGGCCTCTGTTTCTAGAGACAAGACATGTATTATTTGGGACGTGGAGGTAAGATGGTGGATACAAAAAATTGGACATAACATGCAATCGACTGATCTTGGATGGTCGTGCAGACATTTGAAAAACTTCAAGTCCTGTCCGGACCACAAGAACATAGCTCTTACTGTGCATGGTCACCAGATGATACCAAGCTGTTGACATGTGGATGTGATTTCGCGTTACGGCTGTGGGATCCCATGGTAGGTAGACTGGCGGATGTGACGTGGAGAAAGTCCGAACTAATGTCTGTGTTATTTCATTAGGCTGGCCAGTTACTACACACATTCTCGGGTCATAAAGAACAAGTGACAAGTTGTGCCTGGTTGCCTGACGGTCAACATTTCATTTCCGGAGCGTGTGACAAGACACTTTGCTTATGGGTAAGTCTCCTTATCTTCGGTAGATAAAGCGGAATGCATGAAACATAGAATGCGACATTTTTTTAACGTGACTCTCATGACGGATGACAGAACGTGGACGGAAGCATGAAAAATTATTGGCCTGCACAGCGGATCCTCGACGTACAAATCACCCGTGATGGTAGACGTCTCGTCACCATCAGTTATGAGAAGTGTATAGGTGTCTATGATATCAACAATTTCACTGTACGGGAGAAGTAGTACGTAAACAGAGAGTACGGAAACTCGGCGGACACGTCAAATTAATTACGTATGTTGGTATCTAGTCAAATCCCTGAAATGGAAACAATCACTTCGTTGACCTTGAGTCGGGATGGACGCTACGCTTTGGTCAATGTCCAGGAATCACAAGAGGTTCATCTGTGGGATCTTGATGAAGAAACTCTGGTACGAAGATATTGCGGACAAAAGCAAGGATTCTACATCATTCGTTCCACACTGGGCGGCAATGACGAATCTTTCGTACTAAGCGGTAGCGAAGGTAAAACCGCGAAGAAAAAAAAAAGAAATACACACTGTGGTTGGAAGGGAAACTTACACTGGCCATGATAGACAACTGTGTATATGTATGGAGCCGAGATCACCAGAGTGTTTTGGAAGTGTTGGAGGGACACACCAAAACGGTCAACTGTATTAGCTGGTATCCGAACAACGGAATGATGTTTGCGTCGGCTAGTGATGATCGAACTATTCGCATGTAAGTATTCAGCTTATCACAGCCTCAATATAGGATCTGCAAATTGAGACTGACTGCAAACTTTGACAGCTGGGGTTTACCTGAAGATGACCCATCATCTAAGGCGTCAACGCAACCTTTATGTGATACTGCAAAGGGGAAACTAAGGATTTAAGCGGCCCGATGCATCCCCTTGTGTCTATACACTTTTTTTTTTCCATTTGCCAATACCTCTTGTTTTCTTTTTTACTTTTGCTTTTGCTTTTCGCTTTGGTCAGCCATGTGTATAATGTCTTTTTTTTATTTTCTCGTCTTCTTTTCCGCATTTGCTATTCTTTGGTCGATTTATTTTATTGTTCTCTTTTTCTTTTTTGGTTGTCTTATTGGCTTGCTAGTGGGTTTCATCTTTCTTTCTCATCTTCGTGAACAAGAAAAAAAAAAATGTTCAAAACATCACTCTGGGGTTTGCTTTTGTCATGGGCGCCGTCAAGGGCAGCAGCCGCATACGATGCCATCATTTTGAATAGGCGGATTCTGAAATGGTCGGAGACTGAAAATACCAAAACAAAAAATAGAGCGACTACGTTTCTTCGTTGTCCATCCAAGCGTGCAGCATCTTGAACTTGCGCAAATAAACAACAATCAACATGTCGACCAAAGTACAAAAGATTATGGTTCAGCCCATTGTAAGTGCACAAACCTGTAGATTGATGGGAACGGCACAGAAAACCATTTGTGTTAATTTCTTGACAATGCTTAATGTTATTTTTTTTTATCCTTGTCATTTAGAACCTGATCTTCAGATATCTGCAGAGCGTAAGCTATTCATGGTCAAGTTATATCCTCGGTAGCTAGCTAACAGTTATTGTTCTGTACATATAGAAAGCGAGAGTCCAGATCTGGCTGTTTGAAAAGTCTGACATGAGAATCGAGGGTCAAATTATTGCAAGTGTTACCAAAACCGCGTAAATGAAGTGATGCGAAAATGCAAATGACTGACAGGAGATTCATTCGAAATAGGGTTTTGACGAATTTATGAATCTCGTACTCGATAATGCTGAAGAAGTTACGACAAAGGATCAATCGAGAAGATCATTAGGTACGGTGGAATGATGGGAGGAATAAAAAGGCCTTGGCAGAGGCTTGGATGCAGAGTGTCTAACGTGGTTTTACGCTGTCTGTAGGCCGTATTATGATGCGTGGCGACAATATCACGCTGATACAATCTGTAAATAACTAGAAAAGAAGAAACGTTCTGCTTTTGAGACTCTCCTTTTCTTTTGTATATCAATAAATGAACGGGTCGATTACGTTTGCTTTTCTACGACACACAAACTAGTACAGGTGAATCGAGTCGGTGGGTTATGCCATTGGTTGCTAAGCATCGCACATCATGATCCAACGCATGTCTCTCAGTCCAGATAACTCAAATGACATTCCACTGCGACAAGTCATGTCGACGCGAGCAAGCGGGTGCGAGTACCAAAGAATGAGCATAGATTATGAGGTGGGGATCTTCCAGTCTAATGTGGTGGGTTACTTCTAGAGCATAATTCTCTCTTATGTGGACCTCGTGTGCATCTAACCACGTTCAACATGGCGTCGCACAAAAATTTACGATTGGCATGCGGTGCCTGCAGTATATCATTCAGGCGGGAATTCTGCTGACTCACGCCGTATCAGTCATTATTCAAATCAGATTGAAGAGGAGTATAAGGACATATAGGTGGCAAGATTCAGGACAAAAGAAAGTGAATGTATGAAACTGGATTGTATCAACACTAACGTGGGTCCATTCATTGGCCACAGTCTGATAAGATGCAACGTCTTATTTTAGCTGCTGCCACAGAAAAGAGGACAGACCGCCATCCAAAGGTGACCAAAGTCAAATCTGCGTGACCTTTATCACACCGCATACATGAACGTATGAATCCAAAATGTATCGCCAAGGATATAGATGTAGTCAATGGTATGAAAATGGCACAAATGTATAAATGTCAGATAAATTAACTCGACATGGTAACTTACTCTACAAATACAATTTTTAACATTCTACGGTTATACGGACTTTAGGATTTGATCATGGAGGACAAGAATAATGATTTCATGATCTTTGGCAGTTGGCTGTTTTCAACACAAATATGTGCATGGCTACCAAGTGCTTTCTTCAATCTGAAAAAAGGTGCTTTAGTTAGGCTACTTGCAAGCAAACGAGTTTATGGCTAAAAAGGTACTTACTGCTCTGCTTGATTCTGGATTGAGCCTATGAAAATCATCTGGGCAGTAACACGATCATCCGATTTGAGGACTAATATAATACGTCAGTCGACTGAGCTTGTTCAACGCTAACCTATCACTTACTTCGGGCAATATCGTTTGGCTGAATATTGTACTGAGCAATATTGGCATCTGAAAGGACAACCACAAAGTAATCGTCGCCTTCTTCATTTACAATTTCTTTAACCGCATAAGAGGCGGCACCAAGTGTGTTATCTGTATAGGAATGAAATGATGATGTGAGTCTTATCTTGAAGATATCCTATTGTTCACTTGCTATGGAAACATACCTCCACTGAGACAGTATTGAGAATGAGCTTTCATTTTACTGATAATGTCAAATTCATCTTTTTCCGTCTTTGGATAATTGCCGGGTTTCACGAATTCGATATTGGCCCCATCGCCACTGTGGCCAACAATTTTATACGCGAATTTCTCTTCAAACCCTCGGAAAGCCTCCATCAACATGAGTGCCACTTCCATCGAACGTTCCAGACGTCGATCGTGCGTATTAAAGCGGAACATGCTGGGTACCGATATCATGCATCAGTTACCATTTTTCCGTACCATAATATAAAAGATGGCTAACCCAATCTGTCTTACCTTGCAGAAAGATCAAATACAAATACCATTCGTTTGGGTTTATCTTGGAATAAACCAACCTCGGGATCATCCTCGCCTCGTTTTTTATAAATAGCTCGTTCACCAGTCAAGCCCTCAATACTGTTCAATCGGCCAATGGCATCCATGGTTAGCATTAATAATCTTTCAACCTCCTCCTAATTGAAACTTCTAGGGAATCAAAGCATTGAAACACTTACATTTTGGTATCGTCCAAATCGCCTGAAGCTTGGTTCTTCAGCCACACGCGCTCCTTATTTTTGGCTTCAACACCTTCAAGAATAACGCGCAACTCTCGCACCTCTCGGCGAACATTATCCATGTATGTTTGGAAAACCTACAATAAATTTTTAATTCAACTGGTCAATTGGAGACGGTTATTGCCACAAATACACACCTGATAGTCGCCTTGCGTCATTTGAATCTTTCCCAGGAGCTTTTCCATGGCATGATCATGCATTTCTCTGTGAAGAACCAAAAAAAAAAAAAAAGTAAACGTCAATCGTTTTATCAAATCCGTCGATCCAATTAAATGCTTACTTTTGAGCTTCACTAACCGCCTGCGGTTGATCGTCTGCCGTTTTCTAACATGGTTTTAAGTATATAAGAGAAGCGAGAGGACGGGAGCATATGAAAGATTCTTTTACTTACGAGCTTTAGGTTCTCAATATCTTCAAAAGTCGTTTCTTCACGACCGTCTTCATTCATTCGACCTCCACTTCCGTTGGTGCCTCCGCCTCCGCCTCCGGCACCACTGTCGCCATCACCTTTACCGCTGCCTTCGCTTGCTTCCCCTCCTTCACCGGTGCCAGCCGATCCGCCGGAGCCATGACCGTCACCACCATTGCATGCAGCGCCACTGTTCACATCATCATCCTCGTTGGACGAACCAGGGAGTGTGTCCTATTTCATTGTGGTTACAAAAAAGAAGCCAACAGGAGCTGTTCATCATGCATGTCAAACTTACTTGATCCGTTTCGTAGATTACCGACAACACCTTTTCATCCACTCCGACCATTTGGGTCCACACTTGGGCCGATTTATGAAGTTCCGCGGGATTGACTTGCCAAACTCTCACGGTACCTGCATTATCCATCGTCACAAGTCGTCCATTGCTCAGCTCACACATACTGGCGACATCACGCTCCACCTGGAATTGAGCAAAACTCGTCATTGGAACATCGCTGGAAAAAAAAATGTCAGTAACTAGTCAGACGTGAAAAGAAATTAAAATATTTACGAGTCAGCCCTGTTTGATAGGGCAAGGGGCATTCGGATACGCCAGATCTGATGAGACATTGGATTGACGATATCCAGCGTTGTTTCGGCGCGGCCATCCTGCAAAGAATAACAGTGGATCAATACAGAGGAGCACATTCATTGGTGCTTCGCAATGCTTACCGTGGGTGGAGGAATGAGCACCAATTGATTGGTTCCTCGTAAATAGCATGCTGCTCCCTTCACCTTTTGTGGGTATTCTTTATTGGCACGAGCCCCATCGATGTAAGAGAATACGTCCACGGTTGATTTGTCTTGCAACAAGTTTTGATGCGAATACCCGTGAACCATGGAGCAAACATTTTCTGGTCGGCTATTCTGAGCAAACTTGAGGCCAGGGCCATATTCCTGACCAAAGATGCGCTCAAAAGTATCAATTTCCTGGCCATTTTGACCCAGCACTTCAATATTTTCAAGTACGGTAGGAATGCCGTCGTTGGGAGACTCAGGATCCGGATAAAGCATGTAAAGGTTTCCATCGCGGCTACCGCGAGCCAACCACAGATGGTGCTCTGTCACAAATAGTTGGCTAACTATAAATCGATTGCAGAAGAAGTGTAAGACAGATAATGATATCAAGGGTCGTATGTCATCATTCAATATACTTACTTCGAGTAGGAAGAGTAATGGTATACTGCTTTGAAGTGTTAAAATCTAGAACTGCGATATTGGCATGATCTTCTTGATAAAACACTGTGGGTGATAAGAAGAAGCAGGTCAGTTACTTTTATCGCGTTATTGCTTCAAGAACTCCATATAACTTACCAAGCACACCACTGGAGCCCAATTGACTGCACATGATGGATTTTACCGGTTCCAAACCTCGGATCTAGATCAATGACAGTGAGAATCGCAGTTCCAGAAATCTAGCGTGTTTCTTGAGTAACGTACCACAACCGAAGCCACTGTGTTCTTTTCAAAATCGCAGCACAGTAATTCGTTGTTTCCGGGATTATGCAGTGCAAGATACTTGACGCGACCAGCGGAACGAATCGTAGCAATACGAAGTCTAGGAGGAGCTGTTACGTGAAGCAAGCGATGAATAGCCGTGGACATGCAATGAAATCCTTTTTATCAATGTACCTCTTTGCAACGGAAAATATTCGTAAAGGTCCAAACTTTGAACGGATTGATGTCGAGGATCCACTCGATGAAGCGTTACAGGGTTGGTAGTAATAGCAAATAGAGTTCCGTCATCCATTGCGGCAATGTCCAAAGCTTCTCCACGAGTAGGAATGTCGAAATGATACAATTCTTCCGAGAATACCGTCGATCTTCCTTCCTTACGATCGAGTTTTTTCCACTCGTTGCTGAGGTCAAGATCCCAACCGCCCTGGAGAATCATTGGCTTTCAGTTTTACATGAAACGACGGAATCAAAAGTGATTAATCCTACCCGAACAGCGATGTGTTCAACCTCGACTTTGCATCGTAACAGCTTGGAATGGCTCACGCGAGACCAACGTTGGGTTAAGACAGGCTGTCCAAGTTCGACAATGGTACCAAGATTCATACTGAATTCCGAGTCCAAGCCGATGGGAATTCCGTGCTTCTCAAAGACCTCGATGAGAAGTTCCTTGGACGCTTTGTCGTACTGATCAAAGTCAAAGACATTCTGCAGAATCTTGGAAATGCCTTCTCCCGGATAGTTCTGGGGTTGATTATAATGTTAGCGCGCCGTCAGGTAATAACATGTCCTTGCTCAATTTTTACCTGCAAATGCAGAACAATGTTCACCAATTCGCGGGTGGAGTAAGGGTAGGATATCAAGCTAAACTTAACGATTAGCCATGGACGTTCACCATTAAAACATCATACTACTTGCCCTTCGTCGGTAAGCTTGCGCAAATCTGTAAAAGCAGCTGATAACTTTTCCAGGAGATCCTCAGGTACATTAGGCCCATATTTTCTCAAAAGATACAACTATGATCATGTAGAAATACTAATGTCATTAGGACTGTGCAGCATCCTATTAGTGTATGACCTACCTCGGACGCCATATCTGGATTGTCAACTGCATGACTATGTTTAAAAAGAAAAGAATATGCCAACTTGAGTTCATGATTTCTCTCACTTTAGGGCCATTGAACCCAATTAATTACCAGCTGAAAACGTCGCCAATTTCACGATAGAAATCGTTACCGAGGAAAGGATAACCTGTAAACATCAAACGTGAGCTTAAATGTTATAGAACAAGCAATCCGTTAATCCCAACGAACCAGGTCGGTTAGCCAAAACAATCATGCGGAAATTCTATGCGAGACACTGCGTCAGCCATTAATATCATAAACGTGGTATTAGAAATACTTACTGGATGAACGACAATATATTGCCCACCCTCTTGCATGTCCGACTCTTTTGAAACAATACGACGACCATCGCCGAGCACCATTTGACCGTCTTCGATCAAGCTCTTTAGCACGGCCGTCACATAAGTGGGTGCCTTATCGGCTTCATCCACGACAAGAATGGTACCTAAACATCAGAGCACAAGCAGATAAGCAACCCATTTATCAGCCAACAGTGGTAAGATGATTACCATCACGAACTGCCTTGATCAGAGCGCTATCTTCAAACACCAAAACACCCTCTCGAATAGCCGGGGTGGTGGTCAAGCTTTGCACCGTACTATCACGATGCAATTGGATATATTCACGAGGTAACTGCAGCAACTGCAAGAAGTAATCGGCCAACTTGTTCTTGCCGACACCTTGGTTACCAATAAGAAGAAGGTGGTCGCCTGTTCAAAAAGAACAATAAGTATCACCCTCGGCCAAAAAGAAAAGGTCAACATCAGATCATGAACTGTACCGAGCTGATAGTCCTTTAGCATCTCTCTGAGAATTTCGGTATGAGCGGGATTTTCATGGAACACCACATTGGGAACCATCATGGGGTCGGCACCCTTGAAGACCGGCTCGACCACATCCCCGATGCGGATTTCTTGAGGGTTCTCTCTGGAAGGAAAAACTTCTATGCGGAGCTGCAGAATCCAAGCGTTAATATAAGGAGCAAGCAAGGATTTCCTTAATAATGAAAAAAAGGTTTTGTCACTTACATTTTCAAAATCTTTATCTACTTTGGCAGGATAAATGCCATTTGCTATCATCAGTTCATCCAGCGCTTGTCTGACCATGGCAGGCATGAAACGGGACAGCGCCGCTTTATGAATAGCCTTGTAAAGACTTTCATTCTTGAAGTAGGCAAGACGACGGCAAATACGGATCAACTGACGAGTGGACAGAGCACTGGACAAAACACGAACCGTTTCATCTTTGTTCTGACGCAGTCCGCGAGCAAATGTCAGAAGCTGTCTTAACAATGCTTCATCCACACCAGGAGACAGACACTCTAGCACCTCTTGCTCTTCCTATAGAAATTCAATTCAGTCACCAGGGCAAATATGCCATAAATTCTTTCACGCGAACCTTGGACGGCAAAGAATCGACGACAATGAAATGGAACATGGACAGAATTTCCGCGGTGAGCCAAGCTGCACTTCGACCATCGGATTGACCGTTACTGTTACCAGCTCGGGCCAAAGCAATAATTCGGAAAGATGGATGGATTGGTACGAGTCGTTTTTGTTCAAGTTCTTCTGCACTAAGTTTGGATCGTTTTTGCAATTTCGCATATCGGCGAGCATTGATCAAACGCGTGCCATCCGGTAGTTGCGTCTCACGATCAGACATCAACCGTTGCAACGTATTGAGTGTACCATACGATAAAGCATCGATCCCGTCGAGTACAGCAATGTTGCCGTGAATGGCTGCTTCCACCAAAAGTGAATTCTGTCATTGTGAAGAAAAAAAGAACCGCTCAGCATTCTATCCTCTTTAATAGACCAATTGATTTTCTTTTGCGGCATAGAGTACCTCCCAGACAGTGTCGCCGGTAGGCGAAGTTGAACGACGTTGTAACAAGTCTCTGGACGACATATCACGGTACAATGGAATATAGTCGAGAGTATAGCCCAGGTTTCTGGCAACTAGATGATGGTGCGTCTCAGTGAGCCAAACATTATGGAACGATACGCGGCCCGTTGTAGCATGAAAAAGAAAACTTACAATGTCGAACCAGAGCCGATTTGCCCACGCCTTTTTGAGTACCTAAAAGGCAAATATCATGACCACCAGCATGAATCAAGACCATGGACGAAAAGATTTCCTTGTGATACGGTGTTTCAACAAAGAATTCGGCGGGACTGAATTCGTTGGGACCAGTATACACCGGCACACCTTGGGGTGATTGAAGATCATGTGAAAATGTGGCAATGGCCTTGTGAACTCGATGGTAGCCGTCGACGGATACTTCACCATATCCTGTACGTGCAATATCGGCGAGTCGGTAACCAGAGAAGGTCTGGCGAGCTTCTTGATCGGCGGTCACCACTTCGGTTTTAATACCAAAACGTCGATAAGCTGCTTCAATGACGCTCAATTGTTCAAGCGTACAAGTAGGCAGAAGAGGGTAAGGATACAATAGGTCTAAACAGAAACGAGGATGGAGATGATGCAAGAGCACCAGCAAGCTGGATAGACTCTCAATGGTCATGGGAAACTCAGGTACATCGATGTCACGAGCGGCGACTTTATCTACGTTGACGCCCAGCAGTAAGCTCACCGAGACCAGTCGTTCAATCAATGATCTCGGTACGGTGTTGTTCGTCAGTACAAGCATCTGATCCACTTGGCTTTGGAATCCAGGCGCTTTGATATCTCGACTTTGGAACCGAGAACGTAACGGAGGATCAAGTGGATAACCGACATAAGGAGGTACAGGTAGACCTAGGTCACACACGTTATAAGATGGCGACATATAATTTGAGCGTACATCGTCTTTCTTACCCAAAGCAAATACGAGAAATCGGTCGCTCACTTTTTCAAACTTGGTGAGCTGCGTATCCTTGATATCCTTGGAGGTCAAAAAGCGACCATCATCCAGTGACATTTCGCGGTTCTCCAACAGGTTGTTTAAAATAGGCAGCACGTTACGTTCGGCTTTCTCAATGCCATCTAGTACAAGGATACGACCGTGAATGGCTGCTCTTACAGCTGCCTGATCCACATAAAACGAAGTCCCATTGCGCAATTCACGTCGTTGCTTGAGGTCAGCATCAGTCACATCTTTGGATAAAGCGACATACTCGATCCTAAAAACGGGTGCTCCGTTAGAAACATGAGAGTTGAGACAACTTCAGCTAACGATGGTCGGCTTGACTTACTCGCGTTGAGTCATTTCTGCATATTTCATGACTAAATCTCGACGCAAGGGTCCTGGCGGACCTATTAGAAAGATATCTTGATGCAACTACCGTTGCATGAATGTGGATGAGTTTTTGCCCCATATTTAACGTCCTGAAGGTAAGTTGATCTTACTTTATCTTTCTGCATAATCCTTTTGATGATGGTCATATTGTTAGAATACCATTAAAAAATAGGTGATCGGAGATCCTACCATCTTAAATGCCTCAAAATTTCCTAATTTATCCCTTGTTAACCCATCTGATAAGCGTCTTCTTTTTGATCCAAAGACACAGCGTACCTGCGACCCTTCATAAAAAGGTTGTGTATGTTCCGGTACCAATTCCGGGTGTGTCGGAGGAGTCACTGGCATGACGACGTCGCCAATACGAACGGACTTGATCCCGACTTGAGAAAAAAAAAGGGAATACCGCATTGTCAGTCTCGTTGACGGAATCTCAAGAATCGATGGCATGTACCTTCTTGAAGAAGCTCATCTTCTTCCGAGTCGGACCAACCGGTTGTTGTGCCTGACAAGGTTTTTCCAAGCTGTCGAAGTCGTCTCCGTGCCTGCTTATGCTTTACTGGATTCGACATTTGTGTGGGGCAAAGAAGCGATAAAGGCAAAGAAAAAAAAAGTTAAAAAAGGAAACCCACACAATATGAGTAAGCGGGAACATCGGACCAAAAATTTCAACATTTCGGTTTGTCAGCAGCAACCTGCTTCCAACCAACTGAGAATGGAGCGCTAATATTTGCATGCTTTGCACGGATTCTTGGTTGAACAGAATCATGTCAGCCAAGAGACTTTGTATCTCTGGCCACCACATGGGAATTTTATGTGTTATTCTGAAGACCAGGTTTTGCAAAGAATAAAACAGATATTGCACTGTAAGTGAAACCTGCATGATGATATCCTCAAAGACCGCAAAAAAGAGAGTTGCAAAACTATGCCTAATTAGTTTCTGACAGTAGTATTCCGCCAAGGACACAAAATCAACCATGAGCATCAACCCTGACTCTATCTGTACGCTGACACGATTGTATACGTCCCCAGTCAACAGCAGCTTATCAATCTCAATCAGGAAATTATATTCAGGAAGCATGTTAAGACGGTACTTGAATACATATTGTCATGTATCGACGGGAATGATGCGGGACATCTGTATACAAGGCAATATTCAGGGAGCATGAATCGAACTATATTCAGCATGTACAATTGCTCAATGATTCGGTAACATGGCAGCTGTTGACATAGTAGGCATGGCATCCAAAAAAGTCGTGGGCTCTAGAATCCTCTGTTGACAGCGAAAGAATGGGGAATTGTCCGATAGAGCAAGAAACAACCAGTACAATCGCAACATCGACTGTCTCAATAGAGCACTTATCGCTGACACATTTCATCTGAGTGACCATATATTTTTTGAATTGCTTCGTTTTAAACGATGAAGCTCGGTTTGTTACGTCAGCAATTGATCACGCAAATTCGAATGGGGAATTGCGGAGCGAAACCGATTCCAACAGCGACACTCTTCCTCAAATTCGGTTATCAGTTGGTTCACTGTCAAAAAGCGTTGTCCCTTGATGGAAGAACGTAAGGATTACCCAAACTATTCTTGTCTTTATTCTGCCTATACTATTCAGTAGATAAAGTATACTGTTGTTAACGCTACGTCCACATTGGATGAATTCTTTCTTGATTGGAATTACTCACAGCATAAATTGGGCTTTTTCATAGATAATCCTCCAAAGTGAGCTATTACCAAGCGTAGATAGGATACCACTGAACATTCCTTGATAACATTTTGGGATTTAGATCTTTTTGGCGACGTAGAGGTGCGAAATTGCCAGGAAGGTAAGCGGTCCTTCTGCAAGCCCTTTAGCATTGAATCCACTTTGGATGAAAATTGACGTTGGAATGGTTGGGAAAATAACTGAACGAATAGTGTTAGTATCGTTCCACGCTCTTCAGTGAGTTCCACCGAGAATGAAAGCGGCAGCAAACCACCGATACTGGTTGGTGCACGATACAACTATACGAGCTTAGTGACAAGTCATCGTCCCGGAGATAAAAACGCACCCATCGCTATGCTACCTTGTCAGTATCCTTCCAATTCGTCTTCCGCGTTGTCTTTGCCGGGCATTCAGGCTTTCAAATCGTATTCTTCCAAAAAATCACCATCGCCCAAACGACCTTCACCTTTAACGCAGCATCAACGCTCCTTATCTTCTACTCACAAATCATTCGACGCCTTTCTCATGGATACTAACGATGAATGGAATGATACGCTAGAATACGCTACTGTTCGTGAACCACCCCAAATCACCAACTCGGAACCGAATCAGCCCCTTTCAACTTCTTCAGACGCTGCTAGTCCGACAGAGACACCGACCGTTTCAAAGGTTTCCCCTAAACCAGCTAAACCAGCTAATCCTCGTGGCATGAAAGATCATCTCGATAGTATATTGAACGGTAAAAACGAAAGACCCTTAGTTAAAAGCACAATGCTGATGGGATGTGTAGATCCGACCAATATCCTATTATATACCAATCCGGAAGACACGTTGGATTCAGCCCGAACGAATAAATTCAAAGAGGTTCTCTCAAACACCAATGTGGATCTCGGTAAGGAAAAAAAAAAGGGGGGGGAGAAGGTGCTATCAACACTCTCGGTTGGGCTGGAATACTGAATCACAACGTGGGCAGTGGCATTACGAGCACTCAGTTGGAGTGGAATACCAAAAGAATTTCGTTTGATGGCATGGCAGTTATTACTGGTAAGTTCATCGTACAAAGTGGTTGGATATGTCCATTTTTTATCCGAGAGCAAAGATGTGACTGAATTTATCAGGGTTATCTTCCATGTAATTCAGCGCGACGTGTAGCCACATTAGCAAGGAAGAGAAAAGAATATTCGGACAGTGTAGCTGCATCGTACGCAAGAGGAATAGCTGGGTTGGATCAAGCCTTATGGCATCAGGTAAGACGCGGGTACAAGTCTCTTACAGTACGCCATGAGTAAACCAATCGTGTCTTTGCTATAGATACATATCGATATACCCCGAACCAATCCCGGTGTTCCTTTATATCAATACGAAGCTACTCAGTTGGTAACATGAGATAACTACATAGATATTTGGCATAAACTATGTGGTAACCTTCGGTTCTAGTGCTTGGAACGCATCCTTTATCAATGGGCAATACGGCATCCTGCAAGTGGATATGTACAAGGCATCAATGACCTTGTGACACCCATTTTTGAAGTATTTCTTGCTGCGTATATAGGTAAAAATTGGAAGCCATTCAGGCTGTGGCAGCAAAGCGGCGAGTCATTGACCGAAAATCCAACAGATGAAGATCCGGAAGATTATGATGTGAGTCAGTTGGATCCTTCGATCCTATCAGTGATCGAGGCAGATAGTTTTTGGTGCCTTTCCAAACTACTAGATGGCATTCAGGTGCGTATTGACACGAAGGGAGAAAAACGATGGAGGCATACTCAAGAGAAACCGTTGCATAGGATAATTATACCTTTGCGCAACCGGGAATTCAGCGACAGATCGTGACATTAAAGGAGTTGGTGTGTCGTATTGATGGCAAGTACATCCGGAGCATGGATGATGCTAGGGGAAGAAAAAAAGTCGGTTGCTCACGGTTAACGACCATGGTTTTTTTTTTTTTGTAGCACGTTTGACAAACCATTTGCAAAATGAGGGAATTGAGTTTATTCAATTTGCTTTCCGGTGGATGAACTGTCTGTTGATGCGAGAACTTCCTCTGAAGAGTATTATTCGTATGTGGGATACGTACTTGGCGGAAGGATCATCGGAAGGGTTTTCGGAGTTTCACGTCTACGTATGCGCGGCGTTTCTGGTCAAATGGTCGGAACAATTGCAAAAGCTGGACTTTCAGGTCAGTCAAAAGAAGAAAAGAAAGAAAGGGAAAGGAAGGTCAAAAAAAAGGAGGTTTCAAGTTTTTTAGGACCGTGAGGGTTGGCATCGGGATGCATCATGATGTTGTTTTGATTTTACTAAACTTAAAAAAAATGTTCTACAGGGAGTCATGATATTTCTACAGCAATTGCCAACGCAAGGATGGTCCGAAAAAGATGTCGAACTCTTGCTGTCCGAGGCTTATATGTGGAAAACATTGTTTCATAATGCGCCCAGTCATTTGAAGTAACAATTAAAAAAAAAGGCTAAAAGGGAAAAGATGACCCGTCTACAGTGACTCAGTTGCAATGAAACGAGGCAGTGTATCCATAGTGTCGGTTTCATCGCTCATGACAGAGAAAAGCGAGATCTTGGAGCGGATTGGGGAGTCAAGCCAGGGGGAATTGTAAATCTAGGAGGGAAAGATTTGCGCACTTATTATTGTTGTTAGTATATTTGTTGTTGTTGTTGTCTTGGTTTTGATAATGTAGTTGTGGAAGGTGTCCTTATGATGATTAACTTTTTAAGGTTCTTGGCCGAAGTAAACAAAAGCACTGGGATTGGGGTGATTCATGCTTGTTGGTTTTGGGTGGACCCCTGAAACGGTTCAACTAGGCTAAACCCTTCTCCACATTCTGTCCCTTAACATGATGGTGGCACAAAAGAGCCACCATCAGGGTCGAGTCCAGACTGTGGTTGAAAATTTTTTTGGGTTTCTATTTATTTATGTTATTTTAGGTCTTCAAAGGGATCACCCACAGCATTGAAACGCACATACAACCCTTTGTCATAAGTCCAGTTGCATAGATCGGCGACCCTCAATCAGGTTGAACCTTATTACAGTTTGTCAATTGGCAAAAAGAGATGCTTTTCTTTTTAGGAGATTTTGCTTTTCAGAATGAATCTATATATTCAACTTTTTGTGGGGTTCTTACGGCTTGTAAGGGAATCTACCCATAGATACGGAAAGGACAAAAGAGTAAATAAAAAAGAAAATGTGTACACATAGAAAAAAAAAGCAAATAAACAGTAAGAACAAATAGGGAGGAAGTTAAAAAAAAAAGGTTGTCTTGCATATGTTAAGCTTGAAAGAAAAAGAAGAAAAAGGATCAAAGTATACAGAAACTGGAAAAAAAAGGAACCAGAAAAAAAAATTCAAAAGGCAGCAATATGATACAGATTTACACGGACATAGAGTACAAACCGGCTTGATGTACGTGTGGTAGGCAAGGGCTTATGTGGGTTTTTTTTTTTTTTTTTTTTTTTTTTTTTTGGGTTGGAGTAGTGAGAACGGCCGCATACGTAACTGAGAATGAATGACAATGAGGATGGAGCCAGAAATGGATCACATAAGGAAAAAGAAAAAGAAGAAAGCAAAGATAACGATCGATAAAAAGTGAGAAAAAAACATCACGGACGCGATTAACCAAAGGTGCTGACAACGGTGGCCAATTGCAAAAGATCGTGAATCGATGGTATGGGCGTAAATTCGGAAGGGTGCTTTGGAGCCGGAGATGGCTGCGAAGGTTTAAACATCGACGAAGGATAAATAGGGACATCTTGCTGCTGCTGATGCTGCTGTGGCCAGGTTGGAGCATGGGCTTGCAACAGAGGGGATGGGAAAAAAGAACTGCCACTCGAAGAATAGGACGAAATGGAAGATGTAGACAGGGCTCGTTGAGGTCGCACGACCATGCGGGGAGGTTGGTTTGTGATCTCCATAGCTTTGGGCTTGGGTAATGTCAATGTCTCTGGCGTAATGCGGTGGGTGGCATAATGAAAATCGCCCCCTTCCATGAGAGTAGGGGAACTTGTAGGTGATGAGCAGCATGAATTATTCAAGGGAGAATAATTGTCACACCGCGAGGGATATGGACGAACGGGATACGGATCGAATGACGAAGGTAAAGTCATGGCTCTTCTGGTTCGGGTTTGAATGGTGGCCATTGTCTCGGATCTCGGATGAAGTCCGGTGGAAACGAGACCTTTGCCGATTTTACGATTCGATAATGCATAGGATGACAGTGGCTGTTGCTGTTGTTGATGATGATTTTGTTGTTGTTGCTGCTGTTGTTGTTGAGCGTGATGTTTACGGGACTTTGGTGATAAATGAGTTCGATAGTGTTGCATCATATTATCCTGACGAGAAAATCGGGACGGGCAACCCGGGTGCAGGCATTGGAAATTTTTTTCGCCGGTGTGAATACGGTTATGTCGTGCAAGGTGGCCACTATTAAAGTTCACCGTCAGTTTTCAATTGTTATGGTTATTGACATGTCAATTAAAAAAAAAGGCAAGCATAGGTAGGAAGGGTACAAAAAAAAGGAGGATTTAAACAATTTTTACCTCGTGGTGAAGCTCTTGTTGCAACCGGGTTCAAGACAATGATACTTGCGTCTTCCTACAATTGGCACATTGTTCGCTGAAGGAGGATGCGAATCGTTCAAAAGATTAATTTGTCTTCCTGCGGCGTCTTTGATTGATAGTACAGCTTCAGTAGTTTGCATGATGGAAAATAGCGAGAAACCGAAGAACTAGAAACAAGTAACAAGAAAAAAAAAAGAAAAACGGCAAGGGACAAAGAGCCAAAGAGAAGAGATGGGGTGAAAAAGAAAGAAATGAGAAATCGCTGTTGACATGCCGTAGTATTTATAAACTTCAGGAGAAAAACGAAAAAAAAAGTGGAAATGACTATTGAGGAAGCTCGGGGGTCAATCCAAACAATTGACGGGGAGCTTGTGTAGCCTCCATGGTGGTATCAATTTTCGTCAGGTTAAAGACGCACTGATGCGAAAAATAAAAAAAGAAAAACGTGGATAATATGCACCGCAAACTTTTTTTTTCTTTACGCCCTGCATTATCAAAAAGGAAAGAAAACGTGCCCGTTCAAGAACGTGAAAAAAAGTGGTTCTTCTATTATCATCGCCTATAATAAATCAAGACGGATGGCGCTGCATTTCATTAGCCAAGAAAAAAAAAAAGAAGGGCTCTGAGATGTTTTGTTCCTCCATCACACATGTCTGATTCATTATTTGGCCTACCGTACTGTACCAGAGTTGACCCAGTGTAAGGTCAGAAAGAAACGGGTCCTTGGCATCCTACCACGAAACTCACGCTTGTCTGTGCACCTGGACCACTTGCTTTTGGGCTTTTGCCTCTTGATCCACTCCCTAAAACTTGGGCTGACGTTGGATCTATCATCCCTTTCTAACTCGATTCCCCCCTTATTTGATGACCACGTCGAGCAGAAATCCGGTGTGGAAGTACCCGAGAGAAAACTCACACTGTTGACAACTCTTTATGGTCACCACGTCATTTTGTTTTGGATTGATTCTGTAACCTTTTTCCTCACTACTATTCATTGGGTTGCTAGGTAGTGTGATCAATCAACGTAAACTTAACAGATTTTCTTATGAATGAAAAAGAATCAAACTGGCGCCATGATGATGTACGTGCAGTTGCAAACACGACCAAGGCAGTAAAAGAAAAAAAAGAAAGGGAATAGAAACCATCATTGCCACTAGGAAATCTATCGTAACGACATTCTGCTCGGCAATATTGATTAAGATGTATGATTATCCTTATGGACCCACCCTCTTTGAGGTGTGAGGAATCGGTACGGCCGATTTTTAAGGGTACAGAAAAAAAAAGAGCGACAAGGTCAAAGCGCATCCTTTGACTCTTCCTTTGGCGTCGAACCCAAGGGTGGTTGGAAAAGGATTGAGCCAAAAACCGAAAAAGAAAAAGCTTCTGTCACATGAAATTGGACCACAGGTTGGATTTTGCCGCCTTTACGATTTTTGAATTCCGTTTTCCTGCAATACAAAAGTGATCAGCATCATTGGTCTCTTTTCCTTCCAACGGTGGCAAAAGGCAAACTCGGAATCTATACAGTACACCTGATGCCTTTTTCCGGCTTTTGAATAAAATCAGTCGAACCCCTGTTCTTCTCTCAACTCTCCTGTTTATCCATTGTAAAGTAACAGAGAGATGAGGAAGGGAAAAAAAAAACCAGGGCAAAAAGAACCCCTTAACCTTCTTTTTTATTCGCCCCTTGGCTTTGTTATTGCAATGCTTATGGCGATACTTGAGTAACCATAACCCCTGTAACATAAAGATCACTGCCTCACCCCCTTTCTTCCCCTTTCCAAAAAAACATGCCCTCTTTTCACAGCCTCAGTGATTCATTTTACTCCTATGGTTGAGCCCGATGTACCCTATGCTTTTGTGTAGAAGAGGAAATAAAGATAAAAGGCGATCATCGACTGGGTCAATCCATTGCTAAAGGTCTTGTCACTTAGTAAAATATACGCAAATATTGTATCCATGTCCATAGTGCACTTTTTTTTCTCCCTATGACATCTCCTATTAGCCACGTTTTGTGATCAGCAATCGTAATTGAAGCACATGCGACATACCCTTGTTTCCTTGCTATAATTTTTTTTAGAGCCATCGGTGGCAATAAAAAAAATAAACCAGTCAGTTGTGGTAAAGTTTAGGATGTGAATTGTGTCATGATCAATTCATGGGGGATGATGTCAAGCACCTTGTACAGCCTTTTCCTCAAAAAGTAGATTTGTCAAAGTAAACAGTAGTACACATGCGCAAAAACAGTAACAGGTCCTTACGAAGACCGGTGTCAGTGTATGGGAACCTTGCCCTTTCTTTTTTTTTTCTATTTTCTGTTGCTCGTTTGTCACTGTATCCTTTGTAAACGATCAGGGATCTTCCGAGATCATTGGGAAAATGGATCCAGTCTCCTTCCCTTTGATGAGTTTCACGCTTCCTTTTGTTTCTTCACTTGCACCGATCATCTATTGTATCAGTTACAGCACATACTTGCATCATTGGACCAGTTGGACATGATGAATGTGTTCCAATATGAGCATTTGCCCCCCTGAAAAGCTTCTTATCTGCGTATGATGTTGCGCCCATAATGATTCAGGGAAACTGCGCATATCGCAGAATGAATGGGTATTTTGAAACACAAACCCCAGGATAATCCGATCGTCAGGTGTTACCATTGGGATCATCAACTGCAAAGCATAATTTTGAATGCGATGCATGTGTTATGCATTACATGAAAATCGCGGCAAGATCCCACCGATTGGACAATCATTCATCTCATAAACAAACTGAAGATTTACTTTTTGTTCTACGATGTATTGAGACTGAGCGATCATCATTGTATCTGTATCGTCGATCCTTTTTTCATTCCATGCTACTAGCATATGAAGCACCTACAGAAATGGATTCTCCACTTGGCTTACCTTAAAAAGCCAGTTCGTCATAAAGAGAAAACAAACACCCTGAATCATCTGGTTGTTTCATTGGAACATCATGTAATTGGTCAGAAGAATCAGAGGAATATCATCTTGTGTATTACCTCATTGTTTAAAACGCCAAGGGTTCGTGAGCCTACCTGGTGGGGGAATGGATAAATAGAATGAAGCGGTGTGTTGTCATTGCATCCATAACACGGTAAAAATGCCCGAAACGGTGTTAGACCATATGCAGAAGGATTGTCAATAGCCTCTTTAGGTTGCAACCCCTCCATCCAAAACATTTGATCATCCAGTGCTTTTGAAGATGAAACAGAGATGAAAACAAAGAAAAAGAAAATCCAAAACTTTACACGTCTGTAAAAGATCAAATATATTTAGAATGTGGTGATGACATGTACAATTTTAGATAAGCGTGGAATAAGGCTTTCTTATTTCTCTCAGTCATAGCCTGTATGAGCTTTTCCTAACCCCCCTTATTTTTTTTACGATGTTTCTTCTACAGTTTCGGTTACAGTCTCCTCGTTCTTGCCTACTTGTTCTGTGGTTTGGAATGCATCTACATGAGGTTCATCGATGGTTGGTTTCGTTTCTTCATTGGGTGCATTCTCATCCGTCGGTTTGGTTCGATTATCCAAATTGAACGATCGACCTCGCATCCAACTGGCCCCGCGACCCCGTCCATGATAGCTTCCGCGGAAGTTGCCTGATTCCGCCGCTTTTTTCGCCTACAATGTCCGATCATGTTACGAATACATTAAATCCACGATCATCTTCTTACACATTTCTTTATCGCCTACTTACCGCTTCGAGGGTCGCTAATTTGGCTTTCATTTTTTCCAACTCGGCTTTTTTATCGGCGGCCGATAACGGTTGCGATGATGTTTCAGCAGCAGCTGTTGATGCTGGCACGGTTGTGGTAGTTTGTGATGGCTCAGTGGTAGGGGTTGAAGAAGCGTTCTGATCCGATCCATCCTTGGTGACAGGAGCAGGTTGGGCGGATGCGTTCTTTGAATGTTGAATTGAATCCGAAATCTTGGCCAGCGAGGCTAGAATGGCTTCACGTTCTTTGGGATTCATGTTTTTTGAATTTTCCAATTTTTCCAAAAGCGTTTTATGTTCTTTAATTTGTCGTTGTAGCAGTTGTTCCTTTTGCTTTTGCAGTTCAAGCACCTTTTGAAGTTGTTCGTTCTGCTTTTGACGACGTTCTTCACGTAGTCTCGCTAATTCTTCTGCTTTGGCTTTAATCGCTTCGGGATCGGGGCTGGTATCGCGTTTTCTCGGTTCCTCCTTTTCATTATCAACCTTTTGCCAATATACTTTTACAAAACGATTATTAAAAATGACTTCGGGCGATTGGTAGGCGGCTAATGCTTCGGAATGTCTCTCAAATTGCAGAAGGGCCCGTGAAAATTCCGGTTGCACAGAGATATCGACAATATTGCCAAATTTCTGAAAGTATTCGGTGACGGCATCAATGGTGCACTTGTCGGAAGGAATGTTCTCCACGGCGATTCGGGTGCTTGATCGGGTATATCGTGTTGTATAGGGAGCTGAGCCACCTAGTCGACCACCTCGGCCTCTGCCACCACGCATCGATCGCATCGGACCTCCACCTCCCCGTGCAGACATTCCCTGCCACTGAGGGTTCGGTACCCCATTGTTTTGTCCCGCATACATTTCCTGACCGTATCCTTGGTTTCCTTGTCCTAGTAACAAACCAATCAGTGTCTCATGTACTCAGAGAAACTCCTTTCCAAAGAGTAGACCAAATTACCTGGCAAGAAATTAGGTGGTGCGGCACCTGGACTGCCTGGGATTCCCACCGCCCCAGGAAATTCCTCCACGTATTGCACAATATGATCCTCGCCATGATCAAAAGGACAAAAATCACCACGCAGGCAGTATCCTTTCTCTGTGATTGTTTTCAACGAGTCAACATGCTGTTTTTCATTGCTAATAGAAGCAAACCGTACTTACGATCATAATCGGGACAACGTTGCTTTGGTACAGACGCGTTTGATTCGACCCGGTTACCGAGCCTTTGACGCAAATGGCCAGGCAAAGGCGGGAGCGACTGATTGGATGGGCTAGTAGAGCTGCCGTTTTCGTATCGGATATGTTTGGTATAACGCGCATTTTCCCCATTCGAGGTCACATCGTACTCTTCGTTGGTGTATTTTCGTTTGGTGGAGGGCACGGGTTGGGTGGATGCCGCTGGGACGCTCGAGGGACTGTCGGTGGCCGATAATGATCCTTTTCGGCGTTTGAAATTCGTGTCGTCATCTTCTTCGTCATCACTTTCAACTTTGAAGCGATCCTCGGTGGGTGCAGGTGTGGTCGTGGACCGCGTTTCCGACGAGGTAGGTTTAGGGTCAGGGACGGTGGAGTCTTTGGGTGCAATGACCGTGGGTTCCGGTCGTGGTTGCGACAATGTTAGTTTTTGTTCCGATGAGGTCGGTGTTGGTTGAGGTTCGTTACTCTGCAGATAGGATTTACTGTCCAATGCCTCGAATATTTTCTGAACCGTGGTTTCCGTTTCTATGAGTCAAAATCCAATTAGAAATCAGCATTTGTTTTTATCCAATGATGTTGCTTTGTATAAATTATACACGTACGATTATCCAAAAAAATGCTTAATTCTTCATTGAATAGATTGATGAGTTCATCGCGAGGCATCGGATTATCCAGCAAAGTCAAAACGTAGTCGGTTAACGCTTCAGGTTCGGTGTCGGGCCTAGTATAGATAAAGCAAACGGAAAACGCGTGATAAGATGAGCCATGGAATTCATTAAAGAAAATGTTTGAAGTTTTTATATAAAAACTGTATTGATGGGGAGGATGGACAAATCTGGTACCCATGCCAAGAAAAAAAGGATCGAATACTTACATGGAGGACACCAATTGATGCAAAAATTGCTTGAAAGCAGCTGTTTCTTCTGGTGACAGATTCATCGCTGCGAGATTTAACTGAAAACTTTGTGAACAGTTGTTTGGTGTGAGAAGAGAAAATTTGTTGAAATCCCCCCCATTGTCTTCAAAAAGAATTTCACTGAGATGACGTTTTCAGTGCAAGCGGTCATTGAAATGAACATTCATTTCGGCAAACTGCAATCCCAAAAAGATCTATCAGAATGGGCTGTCCAAAAAAAAAAGTTCAATGTCAGCAGGCACTCTTTTCTCTTTCGCGCGTATTTGAGCTGGATTTTCTTCAGTCTTGCGTTTTTTTTCCTGATCCAAGCATGCCCAAAGCCAAAGTGAGTTAAAGAATTGCTATGTCTCTACACTCAATTACTGCCATGTTAATCACGCAAAAACATCACAGATCGCTCAAAAGAACACGGCGCGCGCGGATCGTCTCGAACGAAGGGTAAGTGGTATTGTCATGCCATCAAAGATGCCCGCTTGAAAAACTCAATTTATATAAAAATGATAGAGAGCATCGATGAATGCATCGGATTCTCGGACAGCATCGGTTCGTATCACTACCGAAACCTACCATTCCTGCACCGATCTGACATGTCTTTTTTTTTTCGCTTTTCGCCCTGCAGGAAGAATCGACGCCTAGAGCAAGTCCCGCTCAATCGACCACCAATGATCAGATTAAAACTCATCGGTCTTCATCTGTATGTCATGATCAGACAAATCTACCGGCGATCTTGTATTTAATCCGAGTTTTTGATAGTATGAAAACCGAGTCAAACGGTATCGCTACCTTCTCGGACAGACCGAGTTATTTGCGCATTTTTTGAATTTGCGCATGGACAACGATGAAGCTTTACAACAAGTTCTCAGAGAGAAACAACTCAGTAAAAAATCGCATGGGGGGTAAAAAAAAAAAAATCATGTTTCAACCTTGCGCCATCACTCTCTACAAAATTTATTCACCTTTTTGTATCATTTCTGTAGATCAAGACGACGTCAGAAAACAGAGAAAGAGGAAGATGAAGAAATCCTTATGGATGAGGAAAGAGAAGGCGAAGAACAATTGACGGTTTTCACCGAGTCTCCTTCATGTTTGTATTCAGCCCAATAGATGCATGCATGACGAAAATGATGAAGTCTCATTCGATCGATCGACCTTATAGATGTGACGGGCGGAACACTCCGCGAATACCAAATTCAAGGTCTCAATTGGATGATCTCACTCTTTGAAAACGGTATCAATGGCATTCTAGCCGACGAAATGGTAGGCTATCACACATGCAACCTCGCCAAGAGTCTGTTGTACTTATATCGCCAATTCTCGGACATCTTTCACAGGGTCTCGGTAAGACATTGCAGACCATTTCGTTTCTCGGTTTTCTGAAGCATATTCGCGGTATTTCCGGCCCTCATCTCGTCGTGGTCCCCAAATCTACCTTGCATAACTGGAAAAATGAATTCAGTAAATGGGTACCTGACTTTGATGCATTTGTTTTTCATGGTGACAAGGAAAAAAGAGTAAGTGGTTCACTAGTTGTCATGTCTCTTTTTTTTTTTCAAATGAGAAATCTGACCATTCAAATAGTCCGAGATGGTGAAAACACGACTTCAGCCTCTCCAATTTGAAGTGTGCATCACTTCGTACGAGACTTGTCTCATGGAAAAAGCTCAGTTTAAAAAGATCTCTTGGGAGTACATTATCATTGATGAAGCCCATCGTATCAAGAACGAGAATTCCATGTTATCCCAGATCGTTCGCATTCTGGAAACGAAGAATCGTATGCTGATCACCGGCACACCTCTTCAAAACAATTTGCATGAACTTTGGGCCTTGCTCAACTTCCTTTTGCCCGATGTCTTCAGCTCCTCGGAAGCTTTCGATGAATGGTTTGAAAAACAAGGCGGGGACCAGAAAAAGGTGGTCGAACAATTACACAAGGTATGACATCGTCTGATCTATCAATGGGAAAAAGGCTTTCACCAATCCATATTAACCATTTTTTTTTGTTAGGTGCTTCGACCTTTCTTGCTGCGCCGTATCAAATCCGACGTCGAGAAATCCTTGTTGCCCAAAAAGGAAATCAACGTTTACGTGAAAATGAGCACCATGCAACGCAAATGGTATCAAAAGATTCTTGAAAAAGACATTGACGCCATTAATGGTTTGTATCTGAGCATCCCCCCGTGTCGCCTAGCACTCTATTTAAAGTTTTCTCTGCTTCTGTAGGCGCGGCGAGTTTAGGTAAAAAAGAAGGCAAGACTCGCCTTTTGAACGTTGTTATGCAGCTTCGCAAATGCTGTAACCATCCTTACCTGTTCGATGGGGCTGTAAGTAACGTTGGTCATGATTGGAAACATGCGTGGACTGGATTTGGCTCACAGAAAGAAATCATCATTAGGAGCCTGGTCCTCCTTATACGACCGATCAGCACATGGTGGACAATGCAGGCAAAATGGTCGTCCTCGACAAGCTTTTAGCTCGCTTCAAAGCCCAAGGATCACGCGTGCTTTTGTTTAGTCAGATGAGCCGTGTATTAGATATTCTGGAGGATTACTGCTGGTGGAAAGACTATGGTACGTCAAAAAACAAGTATGGATTCTGATTGTCACCTATCTTACCGATCTTATCACATGTAGAATATTGCCGCATTGACGGCCAGACAAGTCAAGAAGATCGCACGGATGCTATTGACGAATACAACCGCCCTGGCAGCGATAAATTCATCTTTTTACTGACCACTCGTGCCGGTGGTCTCGGTATCAATCTTACTACGGCAGATATTGTCATTCTCTTTGACAGTGACTGGTAAGTCTCGGGAACACTATTGAACCCATTCCACTATGACTAATTTGACTCAAACCCCGATCATAAAACAGGAACCCTCAAGTGGATCTACAAGCCATGGATCGTGCTCATCGTATCGGACAAACCAAGCAGGTTTATGTTTTCCGATTTGTAACCGAGGTATGTTTGATGGTGCGCTGGTATGGTAACTTTAGGGTCATTGAACTGATGAGTCGTTGTAGAATGCTATTGAGGATAAAGTCTTGGAACGAGCGGCACAAAAATTGCGATTGGATCAACTGGTGATTCAGCAAGGTCGTATGGCCCAACAACAGAAAGGTGCGACAACGATTAAATAGCCCACCTTGATTTTCGTTGACTGAATGCAAAATGGTCTTTTTTTTTCTCTCTTTTCCAGCGGCTTCCAAGGAAGAATTGTTGACCATGATCCAACACGGGGCGGAAAATATATTCAAGGATGCCGACGCTCCCACGTCGCTCGATGATGACATTGATGCCATCCTTCGTCGCGGTGAAGAAAAAACAGCCGAACTGAACAAAAAGTATGAGAATCTGAATATCGACGACCTGAAAAATTTCTCATCCGAGAGCGCCTATCAGTGGAATGGTGAAGATTGGAGTAACAAGGTAACCTGTCTCTCACAGAAAGCGTCATGGCACGTGTGAATCCAGCGTAGTATTTATTCACCCGGACATGTCACTCTAGAGAAAAGCAGGCAATGCCGGTCTTTCATGGCTTGGCCCGGCCAAGAGAGAACGCAAAGCCAATTATGCCGTGGATGATTATTACAAGGAAGCTTTGCGTACTACTTCCAAAACACCTTCTACAAAAGCGCCACGGCCAAAACGTTATGTCACGTACGTTTCTTACTTATTTGAAGTGGTTGCGATACGGATGATTCTCGTATATTCACAGTTTTTACCTACTGCTAGTGAGGATTTCCAGTTCTTCCCACCGCGACTGAGTGCATTAAACGAGAAGGATACATTGTACCTTAGGGTGAGTTTCTTAGAGAATGCATTCATCTACTTCTTTTATTCACCTGGTATTTTTTTTTTCTTTGGCCCTTTGCTTGTAGAAATCTTTGGGCTACAAGGTGCCAAATGTGTCAACGGAAGGTACCCCCGAAGAAATAGAAGCGTTGGAAAAAGAGCGGGCCGAAGAACAACGTAAGATCGATCAAGGTAAGTTGGCTTTCGTATTTCTTGGAGTAATTCAAGCAGTATGACTAATCCGTGATGATAGCTGAACCGCTTACGGAAGAAGAGGAACAGGAACGAAAAGATCTTTATAGAATGGTAAATAGACCGCATGTCAGTGAGTATCAGCAAAGTTGCTCACAGCACGTGATTTTTCTTTCGTTATTTTAGGGATTTTCCGATTGGTCGAAGAAGGATTACAGCAATTTCATAAATGCATGTAGCAAATACGGAAGGTAAGGGGATGCAATTGACTGGAAGAAATCAACGATCGCTTAAGCCAAGTTCTTTGAATCATAGAAACAATATTTCGGAAATTGCATCGGAGATAGAAGGAAAATCTTTGGAGGAAGTAGAACGGTATGCCAAGACCTTCTGGGAACGTTATACAGAGATCTCAGGTAATTTTATACATACTCTGTTGAATGACGTCGCATCCATGGCTCAATTCTTGTTAAAAAAGATTACGAGCGGCAAATCGCGAAAATCGAGCGAGGTGAAAGCGAGATCGAGAAGCAAGCTGATATCCAAGAACAACTCACGGAAAAGATATCCCAACACCGCGTACCGTTACAGCAACTAAAGATCGCCTATACACAGCAGACCAAAGGAAAAAATTATACCGAAGAAGAGGATCGATTTTTACTGGTGATGCTGGAAAAATACGGCTATGGCACCGAAAATGTGTATGAGAATATCCGTCGCGAGATCAAAAACTCCCCCTTGTTCCGATTTGATTGGTACCTGAAATCGAGAACCGCTCAAGAGATCGCCCGAAGATGCAATACCCTCGTTGGACTCATTCAAAAAGAACACGCCGATTTGGATGAACCCGAAGAAAGAAAGGTACAGCAGCAAACATCGTTTGGAAACAAGATCCACAGACTCACTGGTCATGCTTAGAGAAAGGCGAATCGATCCGTGACACCGTTGTCCGGTAAAGTACGCGGACGTCGCTAATGGAGCTGTGTTCCATCACTTACAAAAAAGAAAGCATTTAACAAAAAGCACTAAGCACTCATCAATCCATCTACAAGAATATGGCTCTATCCATTTTAACTGCACATCTTGCTGGACATTCTAATTGAATGGCACATAAACCATTGTACTGAAAACAGTTGGCCACTTTCCCTACCACAAAACGACATACTGCAGAGTATGGTAATTCCCATTATAAGGACCTATTATAAATCGTTGGATGATAAATGAAAATTGAGATGCAAGAAATTTGAGGTCACTTGATTTTATAAACAATATGTTTCGACATGCATGCACAATCATTGAGTCCATGAACATGCCAACTCAGCACAATGTTCACAGTTGCTCTGTATGATTTATGAAATGAAAAGAGTGGTATTTATTGAATGGCCATTTTTCTTTCTTTTTGAATTAAGTACAAATTGAATTTCGATATTTTAAATACTTCACTTTCGATGGAATATGATATAGATGTCCCCATTCGTGAGATGTGACTGATGGGATCCGAGGCTTACAGATGATAGAGAGAGAGAGACAGAGACAGAGAGAGAGAGAGAGAGAGAGAGAGAGAGAGAGAGAGAGAGAGAGAGACAGAGAGAGAGAGAGAGAGAGAATAAGAGAAAGGTGGAAATACAAATATCATTTTGTTCTTTGATTTTTTGCTCTTTTTTTTGCATTTTTTTCTTTCCAGCGGGATATCATCGCTTGCTTTCTTTTTTTTTTTTTTTTTTTTTTTGTTGGAAATAAAGGGCCCACAGCAGACCTTTCACCGCCACGCATGGCCAGTACGCCAAGGACTCCTTCCGTACGTCCCACTTTTCCGCCAAGCCAGTCCTTCCCTATATGGTGCACAAATCCGGATCGCATGACAACCAGCCCGTAGAATATTGCCGGTACCATCACCGCCGGTGCCTGTCGAAAGGGATGACCGTAGCCATCCCTCGCCTATGTGCAGAAAAGATCTCTTTCCAGTTAGATAATCTGGGAAAACTATATTTCATAGATCATTCGTATTTACCGTTACCACGTTCGCAAAGGGTTTCCCAGCGTATCATGGGTGACCGCACGCCCGCATGTTAGTGGACTATGCTGTATGTCGGGTATGGACGAAGCTCGGCTCGGTGGGACATTGTACGGAAAGAACCTCGACGCCCTGGGTCATACGCAACGGCTACCGGGTCTTTTACGCTATGGGCAAAGAAGAGTGTCAGAAAGTGGGAAAAGGGTTGGGGAACTTGCCTCAGTTTCGGATCCCATCAGTCACTTTGGAAAGTTGGCCGGACCGCCATCGGTAGTCGTGTTCCCGGTCGGCTGGCAACAGTTCGCCAGCCGTTCGTTTTTTCTTGTTTGGTCGCCGGCTGGATATAAAAACCAAAACGAAAATAAGTGCTAAGATTCATGTCAGCATCATACGTTTTTGCGATACTTACCAGTTCAGAGTGGTGTAGGAAATTTTACGCCAGCGCTTATTTGGCTGCATCGGCCGTGCTTGGAAAGGAAATTTCCCATTTTTGGTGGGTTGGGGGGGGGTGTCGTTTCCCCCGCGGCAGAACGTTGTTTGGTGGGCCGCCCTGCGGATGCCCCTGAAAAATGAAAATAAAACAAATAATGAGCAAACAGTGATTTTCCAAGTATGGCAACCAATCAAACCTCAATGCAAGTTTGTCAACTTACCGAAGCAAGCGGGGCGACGTTCCTTGAACGCTTGGTTGTGAGGGGAGTGCCGGTATTGTTTTTGACACTCCCCTAGGCGGTGTTGGAGTGTGGCATCAGGTTTGGTGTCGCATTTGTGGGCGCCCTATGGCTTGCAAAGAAACATATCAGAATAAATGAAGTAATAAAATGATTTTGAATGGCATACTTACTTCATCGGGCGCCGAAAATGTAAGAGCTGCCTTGCGCAATATTGCTTGCGCCTAATGATATTGCAACGCATGCATTTGAGGGCTCATCGGCCAGCTTTGAAAAAAAAAAAAATGAGTAAACAATAGTTTTCCAAAGAGGAGGCGGCACTAGGGCCAAATCGACCTCAAGGCAAGTTTGACGACGTACCAAGCAGGACAGAAGATGTTTCTTGAGCCCTGGATTTCGCGAAAGGGGAGTTCCGATATTGTGCTTTGGCACTCCCCTATGCGGCGGGTGGATTCGGCACCGGGATTGATTGCCACATTTTCAGGCGCCTTGTTGGCTTCCAAAGAAAGACATTAGCATAAATGCAATGAGTATACTGACTTTGATTGGCGTACTTACTACTTCGAGCGCCGAAATCGCCAGAGATCTCCTTCGCGGTTCTTGCTTGCATCTAAAAATTATGTAATAAAGAGATTTGAGTGTTCATCCTCTGTTTTGGAGATTCATATTCACTTACCTTTTGGGGCCGGGGTGGATCATGAGCTGGATGGACGTCGCCCGGATGGATGTCTAATCGTCGACATCCATCCAGTCAATGAGCTCGTCGGGATGGTCGACGTCCATCCAGTCGATCATTTCCTCTTCGGTGTCGATGTCCATTGGGTCATCGACTTCTTCATCGTTCTCAACTTCTTCTGGATCGTCGAGGACATCGACACCGAAGGCTCGCAGCTCCTGTTGCTGTTGTTGTTGTTGTTGTTGGTCATCGTTGGCACCATGCACTTTTTCATATTCTTCGTCATCGTCTTCTCCGGCAAAGTAATGGATCTTCTCGGGCATTCCTTCTTCGTCTTCTTCTTCTTCTTCTTCATCATCATCGATATCGTCAAAGTAATGCTGCTTTACTCCGTCTTCAAACTGTTCGGCATTGTAATATTCTTCTTGTGCTTCTTCAACTTGTTCAATTTCTTCTTCAACGTCTCGTTCATCAAAAAATTCTTCTTCTTCTTCTTCAACGCCTCGTACATCAAAAAATTCTTCTTTTTCTCTTTCTTCTTCACCTTCTTCGTTCTCCTCCTCGTCAATGTCTCCATACTTCTTACTAAAGATATAAATACCATACATATCAGAATTCGAGCTATTAGACTTAGAAATGTGGGGCTTACATATTTTTCAATCTTTGGCCTTTATTTATCATGGCTTCGACAGCATCAGCTTCTTCCAAAAACTCGGGCATGTACTGCTTATACTTCAAAGAATCGGGACCGTAAGTGGAAATCCACTGCATTTTTTTTTCGATCTTTTCAAGAGCTTTATAGGCCGCTTTGAACGCGATGGTGAAATCTTCGTCGTCACTATTTGAAATGTTTGCTTATTAGAGATATGTGGATTGAACTGAAAAGGCACAAATAACATACGAGTGAACAGTAAGTTTTTCGAAAACTTGATTGGCAAAGAATAAGTTGGAGCGTTGATGAAGAGAAAAACCGTTAATATAACCTATCGCACAAACCATAGTATGTCTTTTGCTTTACTTACTAGCTGTGATGTTACACATTGTAAGAATCAATAAAGATAAAGGGAAAAAAGGGAAATCGTCGCCGTTTGGCTATTTCATTATGATACCCAAAAAACGAGTCACTCATGATCCGGCAACAAGAACACCCAGTTTGCCAAATTTGGACGTAATCGATTTCACAACGCATCAAAAATCTGGGCATCGTAGTTTTCCCAATTGTTCTGTAACACAAAAGTCGGTGTTTTTTGGTCACGGGGTCATGCGTGTCTCCTTTGTGTAACGTTCGTTTACCGTCGCCTAAGCTTGCCCCGATTTGGACACACTGCTTACGTTATTCTGAAACCTCATTTATGCCAGCATTCACCAAAAAAGACACGTCTAGCAAAGTCAGTTTTTCTAATGAGCTCCCGTTTCGATTGAAAAAGACGCTTAAAGTGGGAAAGCCAGAATACTTTGGGCAGGGAAACGATGATGCGTAGAAAGTGAAGTGTCAAGTTTGAAAAAAGCTATGGAAATGCCGATGTCCCCACCAGTGCGCAAAATAAAGTTTTATCGGTGGATGTGCCGACAAGAGTAATACCAGTCGAATTACGTCATGCCGATGATACCTTCCTACACGGACGGATCCGATCCCCAAGCTCCCCTTTAAGAGAATCTCTATGACAGCATAAGCAAAAGATTCACCTATCGTGTATTTACCAGGCACTAAACATAACTCCTGTATAAAAAAAAATAAACCACTGTAAAGCTGGAAATCATTTAAGCGTCATTCATGCGGCGGAACTGAAAATAAGGTCCGGAAAGTCGCGGCTTCCACAGAACATCTTTTTTTTCATATCGGACCTAAAGTTTATTTTACACATGGACCTGGATCCCAATTATTTCTATGGCTTCTTGAAACTTGACACTTTACTTTTTTCACATCGTTGTTCCCCTTGGCATCGATTATCTATGGTTTCCCACTTTCCGCGTCTTTTTACATCGAGACGGGAGCTCATTAGAAATTTGGTTTTGCTAGACGTGCCTTTTTTGGAAGTACCCATGAAACCAAATTCCCAAAATCAAAGGAAGACGGTAACCAAATTTGGGCAATCCCAGGCGGTAAATGGAGGGAACGGGGCGTTCTCGCATGAAGCTAATGACGAATTCAGTTTCAATGGAATGAAGGGAAAAAAAAAAATACACGCAAAACTTATGCAAAAAAAGTTTTTCAAACGACGATGAAAACGATGAAATGAAAAAACGAAAAAGCGCGTCGTTTTCCTTTTTTTTTTTTTTCCGTGTTTTCGTTACTCTTCTTCGCTTTTTATTCCCTCTTCTAATTTTGCTACTCCGCCAAGGCTCCTTTGATAATCTACTAATGAATCGTCTCTTTTACCATTAGATCTTTTGGAGGATGATGGATGACAGCACTTTTTCTTTACAGTAATTTACGGCTACAGTTACAGGACCTTATTTACTGATACTTGCTGTTTTTCCTTTTTATTTTTTACAATAGGTCGGCAAGGCGACATGAGCGGTCCACAAAAGAGGCGGCAAGGTGAGAGGGGAAGGGAAGGTAGCGAAAGGTAGAGAAGGGAAGGGAAGGGAAGGGAAGGGAGGGGAGGGGAGGGGAGGGGAAGCGAGGTTAGGGAAGGTAAGGTCCGGAAGTGAAATGAGGGTCGGGAAGCGAAAAAAGGGTCAGGGAAGGAACTTGTGGGAGGTAGGGTCGGGAATGGATGGGAAGGGTAGGTAGGAAGGAAGAGAGTTTAATGAGTGAAAGGCCGAGGGTAGCGAGTGAAGAGAGGATAGGGAAGGAAAGGAGCGGTAGGGAAGGGAAGGGAAGAAAGGGTAGTGAGTGAAGAGGGTAGTGAGTGAAGAGGGTAGCGAGTGAAGAGCTGGGGGTAGGGAAGGGAAGAGAGGGAAGGGAACGGCAGGAAATAGTAGGGAAGGAAGTGAAGAGAGGGTAGTGAGTGAAGTGGACAGTGGATGAAGAGTTGAGGGTAGCGAGTGAAGAGGGTAGGGAAGACAAGTGAAGAGAGCGGAGAGGGGGCAGGGTATGGAAAGGCAGGTAGGGGAGGGAAGGGTATCGAGTGAAGAGAGGATAGGGTAGGGAAGAATATAGGAAGATGGGGCTGAGGGAGGAGCAGAGGGAAAATGGAGAAAACGCACGGTGTTCACTGAATGGGTAAGTTTTCCTTTTTTATTTCTTTTTCGCTTGTTATGTGCTTGTCACCATCCATCATCCTACACTGCCGCTTGTCTACTGGTGTTCCTCGTCATTGGTTACTCGAAAATATCTTTTTGGTCGGAATATGCCTTTGGTTCAAACCCGCTCTCGCTTTAGGCATTAGGCAGCTTAATTTAGTTTATTATACCGTATTTTGTATATTGTCATCTTTCCAAATAAAAACCTCTTTTTGCCTTCACCTTCACAACGTTTATCATTTGAAGCTACACTGGACACATCGACATGGTCGAGACAAAATGTTTGTTATTCTTTATTAAAATTTGGATTCAGCGAAATTTTACGAAGCGTTCTTCATGTGGCGTCTCAAATGTGCGCACGCAAGCCCTCCAGAATATATTGGACCCTTGAACCTTGAACACATCTTTACTCGTGCCGCCAACCAACTTCGTTGCGTGGGAATTCAGTATGGTGAATGATTGGTTCAATGGATAAATGGGTTGGGGTCGTTGCCAAGCTTGGAAGTCAGTGGGTGTCGAGGAGGTTGAACGTTCCGTGCATGCAAAAAGGCAATCAAACGATGTTCCATGCGACGTAACTGAAAAATTGATGGAACGGAAAAAAAAGGTCAACAATCATAGCCCTGATCGTGTTTGGACACAGGGTATCCCTTCCCATTAGGCAAACTTACAAAGAGAGCAGGTTTGTTGTCGCCATCTTCGGTGATGACTTGGCGTGTCCAGATGGTGAGATGGCCGTTCAAGTTACCAAAGACTACATCGGTGAAAATTCGATCTCCTACCATGGCCACCTCCGAAGCTGGGATCGGTCCAAGATGCTTTGCAAGAGCCTCGCCTCCCGACGGTTTCTTTTCAGCGTGGCGTAATACGGAAACATCTAGAAGGATGCATGGCATAAAGTTACCAACACGCCCGGCAAAAATAACCGTCTTTCGAAGAGAGCTTACCCAATGATGCTTCAAGTTTGTCGGCTTGTATTGGAGAGAAGAAAAATACGTAAGACTTGGCGGCACCACCACATTGAACCATGGACTTGTCCTATTAAAAAGCTCGAGACTTATCTTTGTAATCTTTATCGTCGTTGGTGCCGGCTGAATTGGAGACGATCACGATCTTGTTTTTATCCCAGGTTTGTCTGCACTCGGCCCATGCTTTCTGTACTAGTGTATTAGTAACATGCATCTTCCATTTTCACTCTCAAAATACTCAAGCTGACCTCAAAAGGTGGATGAATATGGGGTACATAAGGTGCGGTAAGGCAATTATCCTTATCAAAGGCAATAGCTTGGATCCCTCCTTTATTTTTCAATTGGCGAAAGTCGATACTGCGGATATCTGACGCGACGTCAGGTAAAAATGATGTCCTCCATGCTGATGGTCCCCATGAACTCACCATTGACAATAATATGAGGTACTGCCAAGCTTGGATTCCAAAGCACTCGAAATGCGTTGACGATTCCGGATACGTTGATGCTCTGAACCATAATGATCTTGTGAATAGGAATCGACCGGTTTGGGCGCGCTTTTCTTGGTGCAATTGCACCACAATTTAGCAGTCCCGAGGAGAGGACGATTCGGTGCCTCATTTTTTCCTCGCTCTTTCCTCATCTCCACACACCCATTCACTCACGATGAGTTTACCTTCGTGGGCATCGGTACTCATTGCACTAGCCTCTGTGGCCGTTGTGTCGTTATCGGCCGATTTTCTCTACAATCGGTTGACGAGATCGCCTTTCAAACCGGCGGGAAAGCATTGCCTCATTACAGGAGGCAGTACCGGGCTCGGAAAAGCTTTAGCTATCGAACTTGCCAAGGCCGGAGCCGATGTCACCATTGTCGCGCGTCGAGTACCCGAGTTGGAAGCTGCTGCACAAGAAATTATGGTAAGTTGTTCTTGGCTTCTTCGTCGGATGCGGAAACCGCAGGAGAAAAAAAATTAGGCCCCTCGACTTTTTATGCGCTGACAAATTCTTGGTTCACAGGCCAACCGCAAATCCGATACACAGAAAGTCATCCACATTAGTGCTGATGTCACCTCCAAAGAAGACATTGTTCGTGCGTTTGATGAAGCGCAAGTGAAAATGGGCCGTAATCCGGATTTCATGTGTGCGTGTGCGGGCGCGGCTGTGCCAAGATTCTTTTTGGACTATTCGTTGGATGAATTTGAACGCGCGATCCAGTTGAATTATTTAGGCCAAGTCTATGCTGCTCATGTAAGTCATTATCTGGAAAAAAAATGTGTGACATGCAGCAACTGATTGCCTTTTTTTTTTACCAAAGCAAGCTGCATCTCGCATGCGAGATTCGGGTATTCAACAAGGAAAAATCGTATTTGTGTCATCCATGCTAGCCATGCTCAGCTTTGTTGGCTATGGTTCTTACTCACCTACCAAATATGCGGTGCGAGGAATTGCCGATACGTTGCGCAATGAACTCAAGAAATACAATATCGATGTGCACATATTTTTCCCTGGCGGTATCGAGTCGCCTGGATTCGATGTAGAAGTAAGCTTAGGATTCACAAGGGTCGTTCTCTCCGTATCAGAAGGCTAAATCCAGTTGTTTGTAGAATAAAACCAAACCTGACATCACCAAGGAGATTGAAGGCGCCAATACCCCGCAAAAGCCAGACGAGTGTGCTCAATCTTTGATGAAGGGTAAAACCAAGCATCAGTATCACGCCATGGAGGACTGTACTAAAAAAAACCATGTATCTACCGCAGGATTATATGCAGGTCATTACATGATCATGACGGATTTCATAAGCGAGGTTCTCAGATGCACATCCCGAGGTACGTTGGTTGCCAAAGAGTAAAAAAAAATACATGAACCGATCGATCTCATTCATCTATGCACAGGCGTGTCTCCGACCAATAACTTGGTCCTCGACTGGTGCTTGGCATTGCTTGGACAGGTAGGACAAACAGATTCAAACGCGAACGCGCCCTACATTTGTGCTGACTCGTTTGTTTGTTGCAGCCAATTGCTTCCGGTTATGCTCTTTACATGGATTACCTCGTAAAGACATATAAATCGGCCAAATAAACCCTGGATATCGTAGAGAAAAATAACTTGCTGTGGCGAATATCATATTGAGTTGTCTTTCAGAATGAGCATAGGAACAAGATGGGCGCTGCGGCCGTACAGACTGTTACCATTAAAGAAGAATAAGGCAAGTTTACTCGAGTGTTTATAAAAAAAAATTTGGTGTTGCATACAGTAAAAAGGACAGGATTCATTCGAATCGTACAAATATTGCAATGGCTCATAGAGTCATAAGGATAGCTTGGAGATGGAATTTGAATGAAAAACATAAAAAAGATTGAAGCATAAGAAGCATGGATTAGGGCGAGGGCAATTTGCCTCAAAGTTGCACAGCGTTGCATAGAAAAAGAAAAATCTCGTCATCAAAACAGTCAAGGATGGAAAAGCGGGCATCAAAAAGTGCCGCTGAGAGCACGTTCTAATTGTTGTCGAGTTTTGTTATTGCTGCAGTCCATAAATTGTCGAGCGCGATCTACAACGATGCCAGCTGTGTTACGCATGTCGTCTTCAATGGCGGTATCATCCCGAGCGAGTTCTTCCTGTTCACCAACCAGTCCGTTGCCCATGACATTGGTCGCCTCGGTGACCATGGCGCATCCTTGCTCAAAGACGCTCATAGTGGCGGACGGCATATTATAAAACCGATGATGGTCCATGATGGGCGATTTCGTGGTTAAGGTAGTAGTGGTGTAGTGACGGCGTGGTTGGTTGGAACGATCTTGGTGTGGAACGAAAGGAGGCGACGACAACGACATATTACCCATGGTTTCCTGGGCTTTGGCACGCAGTCGGAAAAATATGACCTCGTTGGCAATCATGCGACGAAGGTCCTGCTCGTCATAGCCCTGTTCAAATGAGAAATCGCATATCTTTGGCATGGGCGTTGGTACGGCCGACTGCGCGAAAATGCCAAGGTACGGATGATCCAACGCCTCGTCGGCCGTGATACGATGTGAAGGATCGAGGTCCAGCATGGTTTCTAAAAGGTCAATCCCTTCCGGAGGACATTGAGGAAACAAGGTGGAAAAGTCCACAGCGTGTTCCGGTGGCGGCTGACCATCGACCGTACACAGACCACGTAAATGGGTCTCGATGGTATCGGAAGGATCCCAGAACGAGATATCTCGAGGCAAACCTAGCATCGCGAGGATGGTGTGAAGCTGATCGACATAACTGCGTCCCTTGAACAAGACCTTGCGACCCAAAATTTCGCCAAAAATGCAACCTACCGACCATATATCAACTGAACACGTTCCCAAAAGCAGTTGGGGGAGGGAGATGGAATTAGTCATGAATTGTCTGCTTGTTTGAAGGACAATGAGAAGACCTACTGAGTTTGCTGTAATTTTGATGACTGATCATTACTTCCGGTGCACGATACCATCGCGTCGTTACATACTCTGTCATGGTGTCTGTCTCATCGGTTTCCCTGTAACTTCGTGCCATCCCAAAATCGCAAATCTTTAAATCGCAATCGCGATTCACGAGAATATTGGCTTTAGGATGCGGTTGAAAAATGAGAACTGTCAGTGAATTGCCGCGAACAAAACTATCATTGGGCTCACCTGGCTTCATATCGCGATGAATGACTTCGGCGTCGTGAATAAATTTTAAACCAGATAGCATTTGGTAAAGGAACCATTGCGCGTGGATAGGATCGAGTGGTTGTTCCGAATGAATGACATCGTGAAGGCTTGCATCCATGCAATTGAAGACGAGATAGATGTCATTAAAGTGGGCAGTGTCAACAATATCCATGTCCAAGAGATCGATGATGTGGGGATGACCATTAAAGTGTTGCAGCAGTTTGATTTCGCGCAAGCACCGTTTGGCGATCAATCGCTTGTCAAAGACTCGGCTAATCTTTTTAATGGCGCAATGGCGTTTGTTTTGAAAATCGAATGCAGAGCACACCGTGCCATAAGCGCCCGAGCCCACTTTACGAATGATACGATAACGTGTGTTCATCGTGAATGTCTGGGATTCAATTTCCACCGCGTAATAAGGCATTCTTCCAAAGAATTCACTGGAACAAACAAGGGAAAAAGCAGAAAATTTTCACGATTATATAGCCCAAGAATCCAAATGCGGCACACTGGGGTGAGGATCTTCTGCAAGCCACAAGCCTAATTTGGCATCGGGTGCTTCACACGCCATAAATGAGGCGCACTTCGGAGGAGCAAAAAATCAAAAGTCACGACCTCACGCTCATCCCGAACGTGACATTAAACTCCTATTTTTTCATGAAGGGAAAAGGACCATCCACATCAATTTCTTTCTTTTTCTTTTTTTTCATTTCTAAAAAAGGGAGATTAGTGCCGGAATACATGGTATAACGTGCAATACCTGATTTCCTCTTTTCATCGACAAAAGGGAGACCGATTTGGGATTCACGATACCATCTAAGATACGGCCTTTTCCTTTTTTCCCTTGCTTGTATTACCTAAGGAATGACAAACGACTTTTTCGGACCATCTTCCCAGTATGGTAATTCTTGGCACCTTGGTCGCCCCATCTTCATTATCCGTGAACTCGGATAATGTAAGGGAGTGCATGGGAAATGAACCGGACAACGTCTTTTGTCTATAGTATTGACATTTTTAATTTGGGTAGTTCACCGATGTAAAACCGTCGTATGCCTGTATTTCGTTTCTGCAACCATCACCATGGCGGTTGGGTGTAACTCAAACCAAAGTTTAATGCTAGTACGGTCACAGCTTTGAAAAAGCTGTCATTAAAAGCATCGCACGATGACATCCGTTCCGATATCGTTTTTCTCTTTCCTCTTCTTTGTTTACTTTTTTCTGAAACATTCAATTTGCTATGGTGAATCAGTCGCAAGTGCCTTGGGACCACGATACCCAGTTGACGATGGCTGAGCTGTTAAAGCAGGTGAGTGCGCTTTCATGTTTTCAAAGCACGCTTCTTTTTTTTTTACGGCGTTTTGACATGACATTCGCATTTTTATTTGGGGGGATCCCATATAGTCCATGTCCTCGGCTGGAGATATTTTGTCAGATGATGCATTGCATGAAAATGTTTCTACGCATTTCACAACGCTGCTTCAGCATCATCAAGGTCATCCTCGTCAAGCGGTCGGTATCTTGAATAAACTATTCTCCGCCGCGGATGAACGGATGGAATGCGACACCGACAAGCAAGTGTTGTCCCTACTTCAAACGTTCGTTTCAGGCTTCATCGCCACCGCCCTGGGTTCCCCCGAGTTGCTGCCTTCGTGCAAGCACGGCATCTCACGTGAGGAGAAAGAAGAAGAAAAGAAAGCAGATGAAGATGACAATGAACCTCGCAAGGTATCATGGGCGGCTGTGGCAGCGTTAAAGCAGAAGCACCAAAAAGTCAACGGAGAAGCGAATTCGTACACGGGTGGTGGAGCGCCTGCCACGCGACCGCATCCTCGCGGTTGGTTCCGTCATTCAACGGTGGTGGAAGAAGATGACGATCGTCAGGAACGTAGAGAGCATGAACGTATGCGACAACAGGAGCTCAGCTACCACAACCAAGACAACGACAACGACAATGATCGTTGTGATCAAGAACCAGGCACACGAGCAGTGAACAGATACCCCAAGCAGCATTCCAATGGCAACGGTCCCAAATACTACCGTCATCAACGTATTTATCCTCAGCACTTTAGACCCGAGTATCTTGCTGATATTCCCGGTGACGCTTTCTGTATGCCTCTTTTCTTCCCATCGGAGCACAGCTATCAGGTAAAACAATCCCATACTTTATTTGTTTCGGATGCGCCTTCCGAGCTGACATGAAAAGTTGGTAGATATTTATCAATGCCTTGGCTTCGGCACGTGAATCGCTGCTTGTATGTGTGTACTCATTGACGGATAATACCACCGCGGACGCTTTGATTGATGCATACAACCGTGGAGTGGACGTAAGAATTATTACCGACAACGATCAACTGGAAAACAAGGGTGCCGATGTTTTACGACTGCATCGACAGAACGGTATTCCCTTCAAAACGGATGATTCGTAAGTTGGGGGCGGAAAGCAAAAAAAAAGTCCGGAGAGAGAGACCATCAGATTCACTCGATATGAACTAGGGAGCAATTTATGCATAACAAATTTGCTGTCGTTGACCATGAGATCGTTATCACCGGAAGCTTCAACTGGTCGATCGGGTAAGCTAAGCCTCTGTGAATACGGGTGTAACCAAGAGAACCCAAAAAATTTATTTATTTTCGTTTCCAGTGCTCGCTTCAAGAATCGAGAAAACATCGTGATCACCAATTTGCCGTCTGTGGTGCGTTCCTTTGACAAGGAATTCGAACATTTGTGGCAAGTCCTTTAAGGGTGGGCCCAGACAATAACATGCCATTGTACTTGTACACTCTTGTTTCATAAACTGTACTGTTTTTTTAAAGTTGCGGATATATCACATTTTTCAATCCGTTTTGTTCAATGCGTCGAATCCCCATTGGGCCATTCACTGGGAATGATATCATAGTGGAAGGTAAAAGGGCAGTGATGGGACATCCTTTTGATCATCGTCTTCCTCCTTGTATGAAACTCTTTGATAATTTATGCATCATATTATTTCCGTTTAAAGTTTTTTATGCATCTATTGAGATTGGGACAATGTTTCTTTGTCTTATTTTTATCGCTCACTTGAAAATGGTGTTCTAGAATATCACCACTTTCCATTGTCCAATGTGCAGTTTAGGAAAACGCTTGCACAGTGTTGGTGAAGAAAGCCACTTTTCCTGATATGGGGTCTGTTCGTAACAATAAAACAAGACGCACAATGAACACAGTGGACCGTGGCATCAGCTGGTATGTGGACATTTTCGGTCAGTGATGGCATCACCTTTGCATAGTGATAATCTTTTTATTTTCGTGCATTCTAGCTTGTGCAACGGTTGTAGCACTCCCAAAGTAGACTGAATAGCCGAATTATCCGTTTTCATCTTCATCATTGTGTTCCTACTCATGAGCCTTTCGGTGCAAGTTATTGTTTTAGTGCCATCATCAGATGTAAATCCACTATCTATTTAAAAATGTAAAAACTTGTAATATGATTTCATTCAAATCTGTCCCTTTCCCTTTTTCCATCCCACTCTTCTATTTTTTTTTCTTCTCCCTCTCTCAACGATCTGTTGATTTAACCCCTACATATTACTTTTTTCTTATTATATCTATTCTCGTTCCATTTCATTTCAGAGAGAGCGAAACATGTCACCTCATCCGCTTGCCTATTGTTTCAGTCCTGAGAAACTGCCTACCAAACAGCATTGTCTCAAGGTGAAGAAACTCTTAAAACTTGACATTACCGAAAAGTGCATCATCTACCATCGAGGAGCGGTGGAATCATTACGGGATGGCACAGATCTCGAGTTGGATTTTCGCCAGAGTAGTCATTTCTTTTACCTCACAGGTACGGCTAACCAAAACGGCAGTGTCGAAATTGATTATTTCGAAGATTCTCATTTGTGTCCATTCAGGTGTAGAGGAGCCGGGATTTCATACGGTGATGGATCTTTGCACCAATACGGTATACTTGATTCCTCCTACAATATCCGATGCCGACAGTATATGGAAAGGGCCAGGCGAGACCCCAAGGGAACTATTGCAAAAATACGATGTGGATGAAATCGTGTCGGAATCCATGTTGCCCAATTTACTCCAAGATCTCAATCCACAGACCGTGTACATTCTGCATAAAACTGATACCACCATGCTCGATCGTGCCAGAATCGACTCCAATCGATGGAATACCACCGCCTTGAAACTGGCCCTGGATGAATCGCGGCTCAAAAAGTTCCCCTGGGAAATTGATTTGATTAGGGAAGCCACGCGCGTCTCATCCGAAGCACATCGAGTGCTTATGCAACATGTGCGCCCGGGCCAGTCTGAGCAGCATTTGGAAGCTTTATTCCGCTGGACTTGTGCACAGAGTAACTTACCGAAACAAGCTTACTTGCCTATTGTGGCATCCGGATCACGTGCAGCGATTATTCACTACAGTCGGAACAACCATCCCATCCCCATCTCGGAGCATACACTCGTCCTTGTAGATGCTGGAGCCGAAAAACGGTGCTACGGCAGTGATATTACCCGTACATTCCCAGCTACAGGCAAATTTTCACCCGAAGCAAGAACGATCTATGACATTGTCTTGTCCATGCAAACGGTAACGTTGGAAACAAAAACGAGACAGTGCAAATGAAAATACTTATTTTCTAAGTGAACACGATCGAATAGATTGCACTGTCCAATTTAAAGCCCGGCGTTATGTGGACCGATATTCAAAATCTGGTGCAAGAAGTCCTGTGTCGAGAGCTTGTGCGCATCGGCATTTTGATAGGCGATGAAGAAGAAATCCTCTGTAGAAATATTCCGTCTGCCTTTTCCTTACACGGTAAGTTTCCCACCTTATTCTCGTCAATCGGTTAGCTTACTATATTTTGAAATGGGATAGGTCTTGGACATTCACTGGGTTTAGACGTTCATGATGTTGGTGGGTGAGTACTGTATTAGAAAAATCAAGATCTCCTTTACATGTGATATTTTCAACTGATATTAATGATCTAATCTAGGCGAGCCTATACCTATTGCGAAGGAGAATACGTATCCCAATTCTTGTCCAATCGACCTATTGAGGCGAACATGGTTCTCACTGTTGAACCAGGGCTCTACTTTCATCCCACGATCATAACGGCTTGGACAGAGCATCCTGATTTACAAAAGTACTTTAATATGGAAAAGTTACATCGGTACAGTGTCGTTGGTGGTGTGCGGATCGAGGATACAGTGGTCATCACTGAAGATGGCTACGAGAATTTAACAACGGCACCCAAAACGATCAAAGACATTGAATCCTTGATGGCCTCCGGCCCCAGATCTACACTTTAATGTTGTTCTCGCTCCCTATCATCTCTTATGATCCGACTATTGTATATGGCATAGATGTTTTTTTCATTCATAATTATTTACTCGTTATTCCCTTTATCATCATTTAAGAAAAAAGGAACCGCGTACAAAACTAGCATCCTTGTAGCATATCATTCTCATTAAAGTAAAATTTCATGGATCCAAGTATTTATACACAATGAACCTAAACAGTTAAATCTTTGGGAAATTAGCGATTTGTAAATCACATAATCTACACTAAGTTATCAGGACCTGTTAAGCCTTTTTCTTTTATCTGTCAACCATGCCTCGCTGCCCACTTTCACGATAATAGGCGAAACAATCAGCAGCAAGATGCCGTTTGCGCCAGTTGTGGTCAAACAGCGTGTCTTTCGAATAAAAATGTGAGTAGAGCTCTTTTTGAAGAAAAGTGGTTGATGATACGACTGGCGTTCTTCTGTAGCATCATTCAATTTGTTTTCTTTTGTCAGTTATACTGTATATGCCCTTTGATTCTCTTCATTTTATGATGATCGAGAGATCGGTGTTCATCTTTTTTTTTTCCGATACACCATTTGCTTCAAAGGCAAGTCCAATTTCTTTTCCTTTGCTATGATGTAATGAACGTATACTAATTTAAAAAATTTTCAATGTCATATAATCCAAGCCATGTCAAGCGATCAATTACTATCGAAAACTCAAATAACAAAGGTAAAATATCTTGACGAAAATTTGAATCAATCAAAGAGCTTACTAACTCATTTTTTTTTAAATACCCAACATACCCACACATCCTTCTAGATCTATCATAGCCTGGGCGGGATGGAACTGAGGGGGTCAATCAATGCTGCTTTGCGCGTGTTCAGAAATAAATCACGACGTAAGGGATGCCATAAGGTTGTCATTAATATACCAAAGCCCGTCAAGAGTTCTCGCCCAGGTTATGCCGTGTATGCGTTAGGCTTTTTGTCTGACGAAAGTCGCTCAATGTAAGAGGGTGGCCTCCGGTGGCAGGCGGCATCCATTACACAGCGGGTGTACGGCTTGTTATTGTATTGTCTTCGTTACAGTATTAAAGAAAAAAAAAATCCGGTTTGTTGTTGTATATTTTGTATGACAGTTTTTTATTATTATATTTTTTATTTTTATTTTATCATACCTGATCCATACTGTATTTTATAAATTGCTTGAAATTGAGGGTTATATTTTATTCATATAAAGAACTGCAGTTAACTGTTCATATCATTTATTTTCGCGAACACCTATATCAGTCTTGTCTTGGCATTCCGATCCAAACAATTACAGTAAAGCATTTTCGAAAATATGAAATGACTTGATATGATAAATGATGCCCGCACGATATTTCCTTGTTCCAAATCAAGCTAAAATATAATGCTCCATACATTCACTCTTGGCAAAGAAAAGCGCAGATACGTAAGAGAAGATGGTTTTGTTTCTCTTTCAAAAATGTCCCATTAGAGGCTAAAATTCAATGAATCATGGATTTCACAGCGAGACACTGTACAGTAGATCCCAAATATTGCAAGTTTAGAAGCTAAACCTATCTCCGCTGTACCCCGTTTTACAGTGATCAAAGAAACAATGATTATCTTGAAATAAATGGACATTGACATACTGTATTTAGATTACGCTATGATATATTACTATTCGATAAATCCAAGGGGAATATCAGCGTGAAATGACTGACTGCGTTGCTCACTACTTTAGATCAACCATTGAAAAAGTCCCATCATTTCACTGTCAACTTTTACCTGTCTGCTGGTTGACCATCCTTTGTAACGACTGTATCTGACTGCATCGACATATTTTTCTCCACGGGACTACTCAGAGTTGTTTTCTTTTTTTTTTTCAGATGCTTGTTCATGCATATGCAGTCTCAAATGGTCACCTTCCATCTTATTTGGGCGATCTTGAGGAGTTGGATAATCAGGGGGCATTGGGTACATTACCATCAAGTCGTGTTGAAGCGAGTATATTAAGGTTCCCTTTGTCGAAAAAGGAAAATTTGGGTTGGCTGGCATTCATTGGTAAAGGTCATGCTTAGCAATAGGCGTTCCCGTCATGACAAATCAATTGGCGTAACGCCGAAGTTGCCGGTATCCCTCCTTCCAGCCGGCCCTCAAATTTATCGTCGTGCAAATCGATCGCCAACGACATCATGTAAATAATGTAAATAAGACATGTAAAACACGTCAAGCGTGCTAGCTTGAAAAAGTGAATGCAGCACGACTGATTTCTATGAAGTGTTTTTAATTTACTAGCGTCCCGATTATTTCGTTTTAATTCATTTGAGTATCGGAAAAAGCGGACCCAATTTTTATTTATGACTATATGTGGGCCAAAATGGTGCAACAGATAGGGGTCGCATGCAGTGTGTTCTATCGGGGAAATCTAAAAACTATACTGCATAGAGCGGCTGGGGTGTATCGCCAGGAGCGGAAAAAGGAAAATAAGGAAACATATCTTTGAAGATGATTCATCGCGTCGCGACGGAATAAGGTGGCAAAAAGGCATTGAAAGTGACGCGGTCCTTTTTTTTAACGAGCAACTGCGTATATGAAGTAGGCAGTTAAAATATTCATGGTAGCACCTGGCGTCTCGGTATACTGCATTAAAGCACGCTGATCAACCAATGATAGGCAGGCGATGTATTTCCTACTACTTACCTGTACTCTTGAGTTCCCATCATCAGTTGTGCAGTAAAAAAACGAAACAACGTCACATAAGCAACACTTTCCTGTGATGATGTCGCAATCGATTGTATAAAACACGTCGACATAAACAATGCTACTATTTGCAACATACATGCTTATCGAGTACGATTCACTTTGGACACACCAATCGCTGCCTTGAAGGATGGGCAATGCACAGGTACAATGGTGCATCAACATGTCAAACCCCCCCCCCCTGAGTTTTTTTTTTTTTGTTCTTTGTTTTATTTTTTCTATCCCTCCTATGAGCACCAAATGTCAAAAAATAGCCCTTCACATTCATCGCTCGTTCAATCTACACATTATCCTCATGTTGGAGACATTGTTTGAATTATGTCCCATGTTTCTTTGTATTGCACTATCTTTTAATCTCAATGAACAGCATCGAAGTGAATACATGGAGATGCTTCAATGTTGTTGGTTCGGTCGAAAAGGAGTTCATGTGGGATTGACTGTTATGGGCATGCCCCTGACACCATACACTGTAATCACAGCACTATTTTTGAAGGATCTTCCTTTGTGAGGCTCTCCTTAATTTTATTTTCGTTTACGTTATGCAATGAAGTACATGAAATGCGAGGAGAAAGGAAGAAAAAGGTCTGGACAAGGGCGCTCAATATGAGGCTGAGTGAGCAAGGAGTCAGGGGAAAAAGACAAGAAGCAAAGAAAGGGGGCCATGGCGACAGCTGTGACCACGAACTGTCTTCTTTTTTTTTTTTTGAGATGACTCTCGACCATTTTTAATATAAATAGGGACCTGTTTCTCAACCAACGAACGATACCAAAAACATCCTCAGTCTTTTTTATCAAACAAAAATGAAGTTCACCTACATCGTCGCCTTGGTTGCTCTCTTCGCTGCTGTTGCTCATGCTGATTCCAACGTCGAACAAACCGCTGCTGGTATTGGCAATGAAGGCCGTGTCGTTGGTCTTGTACGTATCATTATTTGATTCCAGTTCGAGGCTTTCTCTTTCTAATAAACCGTAAATTTCTCTTCATTTTAGGCCAACAACCTCGCCAAGGGTGGTGTTCTTTCTGACGCTTCCTCCAACGCCGTTGTTAACCAGAAGGCTAACTAAACTCGCCTTGCCGTCGGCGTTTCTTGGTCTTTCCTTAAATACCATAAGACCATAGTAAATTAATTTCAGTAATCATTTTGTGTTTCGACAAGCTCGTCGCTTTCCAACACTTTGTATATTGAAATTGTTCAAACAGAATCGGATTCGAGGATAATAAAACTTTGAATATCGAAGAGTTAAAAAACAATTATGTGATGTATTGGCTGATTGGTTTTGTTTCTTGTCCTTCCCATGGTGCCAAGGTTGAGTGCATGTAGACCGATCTGAACGGTGTCAGTTGGGCAAAGGTTGGCAAAATATCCTCACAGATTTGACAGCCTGCAACCTGATGTTGTTGCGAGGCATGTAACTATATGCAAGACGCACAGCGGCTGTATGCGCATGAGGTAGTACATTTATTTAGATAAGCACGAAAGAAGATGCAGAAGGGACTTTTTTGTACGCGGTGAAGAAATAAAGATATGATAATTATTAAGTTAAATGTGGGCATAAATAGTAATGAGGATGTGACGAATTTTTTAGGATTTACACTCGCTCCAGATGTAGGGCAGAATAGTGACACACGCTGCATAAAGCACGGTAAAGATGCGCATGATACTGACCGGCAAACCCTTGACTCCTCCTCTTTTGAATTCCAGGTAAAGAGCATAAAATGCCACGGCGTAGAAATGATAGACCAGGGCCAAGGGTTTCTCGAGCAATCCAGACAATAAACTGACCGGGCCTTTCACACAGTCACCGCCCAACAAAAAGTAATTGAAGCATCCGTTCTGAAGAATCACAAGATTCGGATCATTGGCAGCAAACAGACGATAAAGAGACATGGCGAGCACATTGATGGAGACACAGTATCTCTTTCGCTTCCAGTGAAATGCCCCCATGGCTTGAATTACCAAATCGGATTCGGTAAACGAAGGGATATTTTCTGGCGACAACAATTCGCGCAACAGAATCACATCGTTGATCGCAACCGTCATACCACCTATCAAGATGTGGGTAAGATCATCCCGATTCGCTTTCCACGAAAAATGTTCACAGCCACACTTACCTCCCGTCAGCGGATGACGGATATTCATAGCGTCGCCCAACAAAATAGCTCCGTTCACTTGATTGGGCGAGGGAGGCAAGAATCCGTTGGGCATGACTCTCAAACGCTCGGTTTCCAATGCCTTCTCAAAGGCACCCCGCATACTCTCGGGCATTTGTGGCACAATATTGCTTTGAATATACTTTTTCAAGTCACCATTCGCGTTTGACGGTAATTCTCCAGGTACATCCACGAGCACACGGGTTTCATGGGTGCCGATTTGATACATGAGTACAGGCGACGGTTTGGCTAAGGTTACAAATCCGTGTTCCGGAGAAGGCAACACAAGGTCTTTCACAATAAATCTAATACATCCAAACCCCCAATGATTCTCGTCAACATGTCATTCTCCCGAGTCTGTGTGTCCCCAAAATAAACTCTTACCCAACGAAATGAGATCGCACATCCGGCAGTTTGGAAGTGAATTCTTTGCGGAATTTGGAAAAGATGCCATCGGCCACCAAAGTCAACGGAGCATAATACTAGAGCGTCAATTGACCAATCCCCGAAGGAAAAAAAGAGTAAGTTAGAGTTGCTCGATCAACGGACAAAGATCATGTTTACATACTTTTTCTTCTTTTCCGTCTTTTGTCTGAGCCACCACACCAACACATTTTTCGTCGACATTGTCGTTCAACAGACGCATCACGGTCATTTCTTTTATCGTGACACTAAAAATCCGATTCACCCTGTGTTACCTTGGTATCCCACGTACATGCGATCTCCATGCCACTTACTTTTTGGTAGCCGACGCTTCTTTTCTCAAATTCTGAATAAAACGACCGTGATGGAAGCTGAGACCCTCTGCTGGCCGGCCAGTGAGCGGGTTGTCCGGATATGGAATTTCCACGAATTCACCATTGCGATACACACTGTATCCTCGGCACGGGATGCCGTCAATTCCTTGGAGCGTGTCTAACGTAATATACCTCCCCTCGTCAGCCCAATTGTATGTGTGTTGTTAGTGCCGAGAACGCTTTACCTTCCATATCCAGTTGTTTAAGAGCATTCACCCCTCCGGGTTGCATAAGTTCCCCAACAATACGATCGGGTTCAGTTAAATCGCGTTCGAGCAAAAGCACGCGACGGCCGTCTGTTCCGAACGCTTTGGCGGCCGTACAGCCCACCACACCTCCGCCGACCAGGATCAGGTCAAATTCATTGTTGAGAACGTTGGTTGCCATGATCTAAAATGGAAGAAAAACAGCAATGTACAAGCTAAGAGAACAATGCAGTAAAGCGGATGAAAGAACAGGCCTTTGCACCGAGATTCTTTATAAAAAAAAAAGGGATCGATAAAGAATAAGAAAACATCACGTGTTATATTTTGGACAGATTGTCAGTGCAGGGACGAGACAGAAAAATAAAAATAAAAATAAAAGTGATCCATTTTTTTTTGTGGTTTCACATTGATGGGTTCACTTTATTTAGAAATATTGCACGATTTTTCACATGTCAATGAATCCTCTGTTCGGTTGCCCAGACAGCATGTTCATGGTGACAGCCATTCTGTCACTCATACCTTGGGTTTCGATGAAAAGATGAACATCCAAAGGACCCTTTTTTTCTGAGTTTGTAATCATCAACGAATTAGCATCTTCGTGTTCAGGCCTTGCGCAACATGGAACGGGTCCGCCAAAAAGGTCGTACCTCTTTGTATCTCACAATTGCTATTTTTCGGTGAAATTGTATTTCACGCGACGATTCATGCTTCTTTTTTGCTTGGTGTCATTATGAAAAAAATCCAACGAACTTGGAGAAAGTTTAAGAACAGCCAAGAATTCCACTGGCATTCTTTTTTCGATGGCTCTAGCCAATCATTTTGATTGATGACATCGAGGTCCAAACTTTTTTTTTTTTTCTTTTTGGGATTGAGACTGCATTTTTTTTGGGACCCGTCACCTTCGCCTTGTCTGGATTCACATATCCTTAACTTCCCCAACCTTGGAACCCACGTAAAACGTTACTGTACGGTCCAGTATCTGCATCATGTTTTGGCGTTTCGGCTTTCATCATTCCGCGCTGGATACCCTTCTCGCTCGAATAGACATCACGCTGGAAGAGGTTCTGGATGAAGAAGATTTTCTCCAAGAAGCAAAGTGTCACAACCAAAAGTTGCTGGATTTGTATCCTTTTTTATACTTTTATTTGACCATGGTGACCCATGGGTTGTTGCCATGTGTTCTGCAAGCAGAGAAAGGCAGTCCACGGTTCAAATGACAGACTGGTCGCTTATATACTTTTAGACCACGCCGCTTTATAACTTTTGAAGCATGTCCTATCCTTAACCCATTTTATTCACTTTAGTCTTTGCAAACCGGAGAATCTAGCCACCATTCTGAACTACATTACGCATCCGCCCGTTATCGAGGATCATGAGGACAGTGACGAAACCGACGAAAAGATGCTCAAGTGAGTCAACGCAGGATTCAGACCAAAATGGTGCCATCAGCAATGAAACTGTTTTTGCTCAACTCTGGAAATATTACGCTTTTGTAGATATCCATTTCTCTGCAGCGAATTGATCGCTTGTGAAAATGCTCAAATCGTGGATGCCATCATGATCGAGCACAGAGAACTATTGGATCAGTTATGGTCTTTCCTCGATCAACCTGCCCCGCCAAAACGACGCTACGACGATCCCGACGTACCCGAAGGCGAACAAACACTTGATTCCATTCATGCATCGTATTTCTGCAAAGTGATCAGTGTCCTGTTAACAAAACAGACCAGCGAAGTATGTAGGATGATGCAAATGGACGAGCGAGCATAAGACTGACCAATTGCGGAAAACCTTGAATACAGATGCTTACATTTATCAAGTCCGATCCTGAAAATCTCCAAAAAATTCTGAATCACTTGAAAACATCGGCCATCTTGGATTTACTATTGACGCTTGTACGATTGGAGGAAGTGGATGAGGGAAAGGGCATTGTAAAGGTACGTAAATGAAGCACGCATTGTCTACAACGCTAATGGCTAAACAATGTCATTTAGTGGTTAAGCGATCAGGGATTGCTGGAGAACTTGGTGGATCGCTTAGATCCGTACTTGGACAGCGAGGTACAGAGAGAATGATATGAGCAGGATCGGCCGCGAGGGAGGAAACTAAAGGTTGACCACGGTAGGAACATGCGGTGGCTCAACAATGTATCTGCGAGATTATCCGTTTGTCTCAGACCAGCGTACCGGAAACCACGAGCATTGGACTTAATGATTTGATCATGGATCTGAAGAGGTAGAGACAATGGATAAATGCAAAAATTTTTGGGCGAACCATGCTGACATATCGTGTGTTACAGTAAAAAGACAATGACCAAGCTGGCGGACTTTATGCTCGATCCCAAAGCGCCCAATGCCACTTCCTCGTTTATTAATGGTGTCACCATCATCATCGATTTGATTCGCCACAATAATAGGTAAAATTGGGTTGCATTGATCTCCCTCCATCGCTTGCGCCCCCCTCAGATTTCATGGACTACTTCCCCCCTTACTAATTTTTGCTTACTCAAGTGATTCCGATAATGATCCTACCGTGAATGGAACTTACAATTATGGTTCAAGTCCCATGATGCGTGAGGCAGCCGTATCCCTGGCGGATATGCTGGAAGTACTGGGTGGCCGGATTGGTGAAATTACGAAACTTCTCATTTATCCGAAATCAGTGGTATGGTTATGATGCCAATGTTGGTTTCTTTAACGTGGATGATGACGGCTCACCGTTTGGCTTGGAATTTTTTTTTCAGCGTGGGCCGATGCGCACCTCGATTGGTGAACGTATGCCACTTGGATTTGAACGCCTCAAGACGTGTGAACTGTTTGCGGAAATCTTGCATTGCTCCAATATGGCCAACGTAAACAATGCTCCATCCGACGAATTAGAACATGATGTCGATCAACAATTTTCACCGGATCTGCCGGCAGATTCCGTCTCCACCTTGAATGATTCACAAACCAAACCATCCGATTCTGCCCCATCGCTTACTGTGGACACGACGGCGAATGCACAACAAGCATCTTCCTCAGAACAAGACAAAAGTGGAGGACCCCTTTCCATAGGTGACTATGTCAAGAAACAGTTTGTCGATAGTCGAGTGATGCCCATGTGTATCGTAAGTTTCGTCTGCAATTTCTCTCTTTCATTATTGTTTATTCCTTCTTGTTTTTTAATGATTTCATGCTTAGGATTTATTTTTTGATTTTCCATGGAACAACTTCCTCCACTATGTTATTTACGATATGATGCATCAAATATTCAACGGACGAATGGACAAGGAGTATAACCGTCAATTGGCGATTTCCATTTTGAAAGATGGAAAGTTGACAACCAAAATCGTGGAAGCTCAAAAGAAGAATGATGAATCATGGTCAGTAGTGGATACAAGAATACTGTGCATGCCTTTCATCGGATCGACTGATGTTTACCGATATACTGCAGTTCGAAACCCAACGGTATTCGTTTAGGTTACATGGGCCACTTGACATTTATCGCCGATGAGATTGTCAAATTATTTGAAGGGTATCCTGAATTGATTGTGAATGAAATCAAGGATGTCGTGGATTTGGAAAGCTGGAACCATTATTGCAATCACGAATTGCAAGAAACAAGAGAACGCGATCAGCTGCCACTTGCTGGTGGACGTCCCAACGATGAAACCGACATCACAGCAAGCGAAGAAGAAGATGATGATGATGAAGGCATGGCCGAGGCTTCAGTCTCTACTCATGTAAGCTTGAGTGCATTGGGTGGATAATTTGGCTATTTTGGTACTGAATGGATACTGTCACTAGCAATATTCGCAATTTATCAATCATCGGGCGGAAACGGCCTTTGATGACGACGACGATGAAGATGCCGATCATTGGATCACGTAAGTCTGCAGGCTAATTACTTGAAAAAATGGATCATGACTTTTCGCACGGCTGACGAACTCGAAATGATAGCGGACGCAACGATTTTGGACATCATTACTCTTACAGCAGTGGCTATAATGTTGTCCATGATACTTCCGGTGACCGGGAAGATCCAGATGGCAGCGATGAGGAAGAGGTAAAAGCAGACAAGGCTTATGATAGACTCCAGTTGTATAACGATTTTTCTTTTCTTTTTGAAAATTAAATAGCCGGAGAAGGTGGCTGATTGGACAAGAGGGTTCACGCAATTTCCTCCTGCCAATGCACTGCAACGTACGCAAAGCCATATTCGTGAAGACAACGAAGATTACGAGGATGACGAAGATGAGTACGATTATGTGGCGGATGTGAATGAACGGGAACGAAGGGCATCACTGATGCGAAGTAAACACGACTTTTCAACTGACAAGCGCGAAGAAGAGGAAGAAGGATTCGGTGAATTCAGCGGGGCTACCTCTTCCAATGCGTTTCACGAACCATTGTGTAACCGGATGGAAGACGTGAACCTGAATAGCGTCTCCAGTCCGGGAACTGATTCTGCCGCAGCATCGAATTCTTACGTTCGAGCAGTAAAAACCCGAGAAGAAGAGACGTATGAGCAAATGAAAGAATACAGACCCGAGGACGATGAACAAGAAGGCGAAATCTAGTTACGAATCAGCTAATAAATTCCTCTCCAAAGAAAAAAGAAAAAAAAACGATAGCGAGCATCGGGCAAGAGAAACACAACGGAAGTCTCTAATTTTGGAAATTCTTTTGTCGATCCCATTTGTGCCAACTGCCATATGCTCTTTTACTTACGATCCTCAGCAGCCAACCATGGGCTGACTGAAGAAACACTAATGCCCTGCGATAACAGCTTTTCCTTTCTTTTTTGCTTTTTTTTTTATAATAATAATAATGTCTACTCTCTGTACAGTATCATGTTATTGAAATAAATACTCGATAATGAAGCAGCATCATCACTCAACTTACAAAGCAATGAGTAAGAAAGTATTTGTGCATAAATCTATACGCCACCGACACCAGTTGTGTTGCAACAGGACAAAAGTGTTACGTATGATATATATAATACCGTCCAGGTCCAACCGCACTAAAAGTTGATTAGCGACATGATGTCGAAAATAAAGTAATAAGTAGATCTGTCACATCAGTGAAGGGTTTGTATAAGGAATCAGCGCTGATTTATTTCTTACTGTATCGCCTGTGACAAAAATGGAGTGGATTCAGGTAATTATCGTGTGTCAGAAAAACGTCAAACTCGGGGTGCATTTATATGCTCAAACCATTCGGGGAAGATTTCCTTGTATCGGCGACCGTATTGCATCACAATATTTCAACCGTGTACCTTTTCCTGACAAATACAATATTCATGTCATTAAACGAGGTTTATTATTCCATGCAAGGGAATAAATAAGATGAAAAAAAAGGTTTTTAATATTTTTATTCCTCAAGAATGATGAAGGTGACCTTTTTTCAGTTTGTTTGTTTGTTTGTTTGTTTTGAAACTAGTGAAATAGAGTAAAGAATGATGGAACATTAATGTAAAAAAAAAAAAAAAAAAAAGAAAGAACGGGTGAAATGTATGGGAAACCGACGATGGACGATATACATGATACGAAAGATTACAAGTCATTTGGCAAAAAGCTCCAAACCGTACCCAGAATGGCCATGCCTGAAGCTACGAAAAGCAAAAACCAATTGATGGCGGATTCCACGCGTGTGAAATTGTGGCCGTATAAGCGGCGGTAACAAGCCAGCGGGAAAATGGCCGAGATACCAAAACTGAATAAAGCTCCAAGTAACGACTATAACAACAAAAAATAAAAAGAACGGTTAGAGAAAAAACTTCTTCCGGCAACGGTGTTACGATGGGGACGTTCTTAAACAGAATAACGGTGATACCACTGACCCCAGCCCCGTGATACTTTACCATGACTCGGTCGAAACCAGGGAACACGGTAGCAATATAGATGACCAAGGCACTTATCATGATACGACCAACGGTGGATAAAAAGTTCTTTCTCCAAGGATGGAATTTCGACCATGCGTCAATGCTGGGACGACTGGTTATCCACAGTTCCCACGTCAGGTTGATAGGGTTCATCATAAGACCATATTTAGCGATCGGGGTCAGAACAATGAGCCAAACTGCTAGATGATTCAATAGTTTGTTATAACCAGGAGTGTTTGCCAGGTTTTGAGTGATCTGTGACATCCGGGTACAGATGGATGTGGACGAAAAATAAAATAAAAAAGTCAAGCCGCAAGTCAGAGGGGGAGTGCTTCATCATTCACACACTGGTCTGAATCCTACCTCCTGCATTGTCTCCAATCCAAACATGGTGTAACCAGCCACGGCCATCACAATGTAGACACCCATTGTCAGGACATAAGTAATATCCACCATTTTCTCGTACTTTTTGGGTTCATCCATGTCGCGATAAATAGCCGGGAATACGGCATGGCCTGAAAATCCGGCCATAATCAAACCAAAAGTTAGTGGAATATTGTACGGATCCGAAGGAATGATTTCCGTTTCCTATGCAGCGCATCAACCAAGATAAGCTTTTTCCGTAACAACCATATGTAGTTTTGCTTATTTTTTAAGTTTTTTTTTTTTTTTTTTTAAGTATGTGTATGAGGGGTTGATACGTACCATGGGATCCCACAAACTTCCGGGTTGTGTCTTTTTGGAAAGTCCGTCAACAATAACAATCACCACCAGGCAGGCACAACTAATGATGCCAATCAGACTCGTATACGCCAGTTTACGGATCGGTAAAAAGAGCATCGGCGTCAGTACCGAAAACGATATCAATCGAATCGTCAGCATACTCATCGACCGGAAAAGCGACTGGATACCATCGCCTAACAATACCACCATCGCGACTCTGTGTTTCGAAGAAGGGAAGATTAGAAAAACCAACCGAGCTGTTACATTATTTGCTCTTTCATATGTTTGCGAGGATGGGGTGAGGGGAAACCATATTTTTTCAAGCAACATACCCTATTGTCATCAGTTCAACGATGAAAATGCTACTGACAAAAGTTCTTCCTCGATCACCAAAGGCGGCGGCGCCCATGTCACCGTAAGTGACGGCTCCGGGATACGCATCAAGACACCTGGCCAGTAACTTGGCAGTATAGTTGGTACCGAAGGAGCAAAATAAAAAGATGGCGGAACCAGCCAACCAACCTGCACATCGAAAACCTAGCGGAAGAGCGAGGATGCCAATGCCGACCAATACATTGACTGAATTGAAGACTGATTGTACAAAAGTGGAGCGTTGTGGCAGTTGGGAAGGTGGAAATTGCTGAGATAATACAGAAGCTACGGTAGTGTGACGAGATAACGAGGGGAATAAATGATACCCTGTGGATTGTTGCGAAGGTAATCGATCCAACGCGTGAGGGTCTACTAGATTGGTTCTATTGTCAGATATCAATAAAAACAATAAGAAAATTAGTTGACAGTCGCTTAGTCAGTTTTTGCTGAAAACACTTGCTTGGACTGTTCTTCATCATCAAATTGGTCTGCATCATGAATGGTAGGCGGGTTTGAGAGAACAGCATTGGGAGGTAAGGTCAAGTTTTCGGCCACGTAGAGTGCGGAAGCCCGAGAATAAGATCCTGCAAACGATTCGACGGCGTCTCGTATGGATCGCGGACGACTATCGGGAGACCCTGGCGCTGACCCATCACTGAGAGCACTGTAGTAATAACTATTGGGATCCTCTTCATCGTGATGACCATGGACCGAGCCATAATTCGGATGGGTATTCATCGGGACTCTCATATATTGTGAATTGCTCATCGTAACTTTGTTGGAAGAAACGAAGTGAAAGAGACGATTAAAAAATAAGGAAAGTTTTGAACAAGACAAAAGGCAAGCCTAGTAACATTTTAGAAACCCTTTTATGGCTGGTTAAATGAAACACTTTAAGCTTTTGATCCTCTTTTCAAACCTCTTTTTTTTTTTTTTTTTTTTTGTTAATGTTGCCGCTTTCGGGTACAAGTCAAAGAGAGGAGGGTTACACCAGCGCCATTAGTGGGATGCAAAAAATTGTAACATTTGTGCTGTCATTTTGTATGTGTTTCAGACCGATGATACGCCTACCGGTTCCTTTTATGTTAGTTGCACTCGTCTCGATGTTACTTGGCAATGGAGCATGATGTACTCGCACTGCATTTCCCACGATAAACAAAATACCATTAGTTAGCTTTTGACCCCCTTTTCCCGAACTTTTTTCAAACCCAAGAAAAGATAAAAAGACGCTATTTCCACTTGCATTAGTCCATGGGTGAATGGCATTTATCAATACAGGAGGAAATAGCGGTATTAACAAGCCAGTTTCCGTCTGGTTTGGTCATCGTCCACCTTTCTCGCCCTTCCTCTTTTGTCCTCTTGTGAAATCTCCCCACGTGGCCCCTCCGACAGCAGAAAACGGGGCCTACCCGTTCCTTTTTTGGAAACCATGACGTAACGGGGACGGTGTTTTTGGGTGAAATCCAAAAACTCGCATTTTTGAAATTTTCCCTTTCTTTTTTCCCCATTCGCTGGTTCACCGACATTTTTTTTTGTTTTCCAGATCTTTTTGTTTTCATATATTACGATTCACGCTTAATACAGTATTCTCCCTAGTGATATTATTTCTGTGTAAGGAGTAAATCGATTTTTTTTCAAGGTTTTTTTATTTGGTATGCAGCGTCAGTGCCCAGTAGAGGTGATAAAATGCATAGGAGGCTCATATTTATTCTGATGTGATAGAACGGGATTGGAATGGATAACAAAGACAATACAAGCAGCAGTAGTAACGCATCACAAGGTACAAGGCATCCTCGATTGACCACGTTTAAAAAAAACCACAATTCATTTTTCTCGATTCTGACAATTGGAGAAAATGGCTCATATAATAGGGCCGGATAGTCCACCCCTCGCTGTGCTCCCACTTCACCCAGGTGTGAAACTCCATGAAGAGCCAAACCCTTTTGAGCAAAGTTTTTCGAGTGTAGCAGACGACAAGAACAGCCAATCAATTCCTACACCGGCGTCCTCAGTAGAAGAACAGGAGGCTAAAGCGGTTTCTGAGAAAGTGGCATGGGATTCTGTGCATGGCGAGACCATGTCCATGGGCATGTTAACTCGATCGAGAGAATCCATTCAGTACGACGACAACAGCCTCAGTAATACTACCAATATGGGAGCAGCACCGTATGAGACAGTCAGCTTTACAGGTAAATTGCATAGTTGCAGGAGAAATAGAGAGGCATAATTGTTTTATTTTTATTTTCCCCCTTTGCAGCATCAGTGCGAACTTTAATAATATTCACCATCTAAAATTAATTTTTTGTAGAGCCGACGACCTTATCTTACAGTCAAGCCAATGCGACACAAATGGTTGGGTCTGTGCCTGCAGTAAATAATAATGATCCAGCGTCAATTACCATGACGGACGGAACGGATTCGGTCAAACCCAAATCAACAAAGACGAGAAAGTCCGCACGTCGAAAAGCAAAAAAGGAATATGAAGACAAGGATGAACCAGTGCCCGATGCCAAAAGGCCACGAAAGGAATCGAGTGAGGAAGAAGAGAAGCGAAAGAACTTTTTAGAAAGAAATCGATTGGGTAAGAACCATTTTTTCTGTTGGTTTCTTTTTTTTCTTTTTTTGTTTTCGGATTTCTAAAGTTTCGACCCCTTGCCCTATTTCGTAATTGTGATTTCTGACCTTTTTTTTTTTTTCTTGTGTCTCCGCCTGGACTCTTTAGCCGCTTTGAAATGCCGCCAACGTAAAAAGCAGTGGTTGAACGATCTTCAGGTCAAGGTCGATTATCTTACCAATGACAACGAACGATTACAGATGCAAGCCACCGCTTTGAGAGAAGAAATTATGAATCTAAAAACCTTGTTGCTGGCTCACAAGAACTGTCCCGTGGCTCAAGCCAATGGATTTGATCCATCGGCCATCCCAAAGACAATGCCGCCTATGGTTGCTCCACCCCAAGTCGTCTATCCTTATAATACACAGGCCCCTCCTAATGAAGCTTCCATGCGATCCTTACACGTTACCGATTCTTACGTATCCCCTCCACAATCCATGCCACCCGTGGTTCATTCTTCCCAGCCACTTCCTCCTGCATCTCAACCGCCATCTTACCCTCAGACGTCATCGTATCCACAGGATGTCACGGCACCTTCCTCACACGTTTATGCAGGCGTCTTACGATTCTAAACCCAGCGTATTCAAACATGAAAAAAAAATCTCATCGCATCTCTCCTCGACATTTTCCTTGTCCGTACCTAGAAGAACAAAATGGAAGGACACGGGCGGGATTAGATGCTGACATGTTGCGCCTACAAAAGAGTGAGAGCGTAAGGAATCGTTACTGGTGCCCTGATGAAAGCGATATTTATTTTCTGTATTGTGAGTTCTTGCTTAATCAAGTAATAAGCCCTTCAAGGAAGTGTGTCCAGTTGTATATTATCAAAAGAAACAAAGTCATTTTACCCATTCAGTTAATTTCGCTGCGTGTGTGTGTGTGATTAGTCATTCAAATGCAATAACGCTAAACTAATTAGATTTCTGAAGTACCATTACGGTGGCAGGAAGTTTACAGTTTCCACCGTATTATCTCTTGGTAAGTGTGTCTCTGTGTGTGGGTGTGTATACCTTTTTTTTATATTTATGCATCGATGACGAAAGACGACGGTTTTTTGAACACCGTATGAAATGCACGGACCATCCCAGGAGACAATACTCAGGGCGTGCACTCAAAACCGTGATTTTTTGTGTTCCAAACACTGTTTCGCATTGACTTTTGTTGACTGTTATGGTAGCTACGGATAAGTTATCATCTCATCATTTTTCTTTCGCAACAGGGGCCGGCTGGATTTCAAAGATTGAAAGATGGCTCAACTTGCCGTGTACGCAGAGAAAAGAAGATTGGCCTCCTCATCACCGAGCCTGCCTTTAGGCGATCAATCGTCCTGTACGAGCATTGTTTGACACGACATCCCGTTTACATTTCAAATTCTGTGATTTTTCTTGACGGAAAACAGTAACTAATGACTTTCTACGGTTATTTCGGTTGATTTAATACGACGTTACGGTATATTTGATATCGTAAATCCAAATGCCCATCATTCAGTCAAGTGGTAATCCTGCATGTCATAGTGTATTCAATTTAACAGTAAACACAACTGCTTGTGAATAGGGGTAAAAAATGTACCGTACCAATATTCAAAAATTGCCGGCGAGGCATGTAGTTTCGAGCTCATCAAAGGTTTGATTACATTCGTCAAGTTATTGTTGTAACCAACTCTAACCGATGAATATTCTCGGATCACGAATGACTTGCAGAAGAGTCATTGGGCCCCTTCAAATTATAAAAGACATGCGGAGAGCCAATGGTATATTGTAGTGTAATTGGATCCTCCATTCATTACGCAACAAGCTAACTTAAATGATGCTATCAAGCAAGGAGAGATATCATCGTCTTCAGTTTGACACTTTTTTGCCGGCATTGATCATGAGGCGATTATTCAATCTCGCATTTTGGCGGAAATTGGTCGGCCGAAATTCCGAACTGGCAACTGGCGGCATTTTTGATGCTTCCTTTCTTTTATGCTATTGCTCACCGTTTTTCTCGTCATTGCGTCATTCGCGTTCACTGACGCTCATGTGTTCCAAAAGACATCCATCGTTAACCCCTTCGATCAATTGACTGTATGTTCTTGATTCTGTCGCGTGACACTTTTTGACTCATGCGCCATCACAGGTTACTTCAATTCTCGAGAATCATCATGTCATCAGTGTGAGGAACGCGCACAAAAAACTCTTTCCAGGACCAACCCTAGCCTACGTTACGCCCTGGAATAATTGTGGTGAGTAAGCCATCTGAATAACTACAACATAGCGTCTGGCAAAAAATAGCGATACGCTAATATTGATATGTAATAATAGGCTACAATATCGCCAAAATATTTAAAGGAAAATTTGACTAGTAGGTATTCGACAAGTCATGATTCCTTATGCGACCTATTCATCAAGGATTATGGTAGTCTGAGTCCAGTATGGTTCTACATCGAGCCAAAGTAAGTAAAGATCAGTACCCATATTGCGAATTACAGAACAAGAATTTTTTTTTTGACTTGCCTGCAGAACGCCGACCGGCTATGTTATTGAAGGCGAGCATGACGTGGATTCTTCGGTAGGTTATATGTCTGTGAAAGGATACGTTAGACGTCTATTGTAGACCTTTTTTTCTTGCAGTGGATACAGGAAGTACGCGGTGGTGACGATTCAATGAATATATCGGCCAAAGTCGTTCCTCGTTTTCAGTGCCGATCATGGTCTACCCCTGACTGGTATCAGTTGGCATCTAACACGCAAAACGCCAAACAACTGGCTAACCAAATTCTGAAAGTGGTAATGTATGTGGTGTGTAATGAACCTTGCAGTTGTACGTTGTACATTCAACCTTTTATCTTAGAAAGTACGACCTTGACGGTATCGTTTTGGAATGTGCCTATCCGTCGATATTTCCTTTCTTTGTGCAACGGCTTTCTGAGACTCTTCGAACCCACCACAAGACGTTGGTTGCTGTCCTTCCACCTATTCGTAACGAAGAACAAAAAAAGGTGTTGAACGCCCAGAGTTTTGCTTTCATGGCCAAGTATATCGATTATTTTAGCCTGATGACTTATGATTATTCCACTAGTCGCATGTAGGTCAGCGTAAGCGCGTTTTCTATCTGGCTCTAACTTGCACACTCTCTTTTGATACAGCGATGGAGGACCAGCAGCGCCCGTCGATTGGATCATTGACAATATCGAGTATTTGACGACGGACGAAAACCGGCATCAGTTACTCATGGGAATGCCAATGTATGCTGTGTCGTATGCCCCATACCACTATCCCGAACCATTAGGGATGGAAACCGTCCTACGAAAATTACAAGAACAAAGACAACACAATGCAGAAAACCAAATGCCTGTTATCTGGGATCCGGTCAGTGAAGAACATTGGTTCAAATACATGATCAATAACCATCGGTCGTCCATGCACATTTGGATGCCATCTTTGACGTTCATTCGACAACGACTGGCCATTGCTAAGCGATATGGTATTGGCGTTGCACTGTGGGAGATAGGGCAAGGCCTCGATTACTTTTACGACTTGTTTTGATGTGAGCAAACAATGGACGGTATGATGAAAAATACAAATATGAGATGAAACAGAAGACGACAATCTTGTTATAAAGAGTAACACGTAAAGGATAAACTAAAAGCGGAATACATAATGCACATGAAGAAAAAAGAAAAAAAAGGTCGATAAATATGAATGCCAAATAGTGGAGAAAAAGATAAGAAAAGGGGGCTGGGGATCACAGATAGCAGTGTTATACAGGAGATGTCGGTCGGTCCAGTTCTTCATTTATACTTCGGACCAGACTTTGATCACTGCGGAAACTATTGCCACGCGATAGGGCCGGACGACCGGCAGAATCGGTGGAACGTGTTAAAGGTAATCCAATACCCGAATGTAATGAAGAAGGAATCTCGCTGGAGTGCTCATGAGCTTGTTGGGCTATTTGCCGGAAATAGGCTTGGGTGTCGGCTCGCGGTACCAGACTACCGTTGATCCCGCCTTCCAGTGCGATGCTGTTGGGTATACTTCGCACAATGGAGCGTTCATACGATCGGATCGGTTCGTGTCTGAAGGCGGTAGTGGCTTCATCCATCGACCAATGGGGAGCAGCAGCTTGGTCTACCGTAATGTCGATATCGTCCCCTTCAATGGCTTGATTACCGTCCATAAAACTTGCCAGGTAATTGGTAATCCACGGATGCGACAACAGTTCCTGCGCCGTAGGGCGTTTCATTGGATTTCGCGTGAAACACTTTTCGAGAAAGTCGATGCCCAATGTAGATAACTGCGAAGTATCGGGGAGCGGCGGATGACCGGTGACGACGTGGTACATCACCGACCACTCATTCTCAAGCATACTCCAAGGACGTCGACCGGTCGCCATTTGAACAATACAGCAACCGAGCGACCAAATATCCATGGATCCTTTGCGTCCTGTATCCCCTCCTGTAATCACTTCCGGTGCCTAAAATTCAAAGCAATTTCAATAAATACAACCGTACTATGCTTCAACACATAATTTAGCCTTACCATATACATTGGCGTACCGGCCAAACTATTCAGGTTCATATTCATGGTTGTTTTGCCCATCGTTTTCTGTCCTTTGGCAAGGATTTTCGATGCACCAAAATCGGTATATTTCAGTTGGCCCTGGTAATCGATCAAAATATCTAGCGTGGTGACAAAAATCAAAGTAAGCAAATCTGAAACTCGAAAAAGAAAGGACACACTTTCACAAATAATCGACACTTACTGTCGGGTTTAATGTCACGATGGACAATATTATTGTCGTGAAGGTAGGCTAGACCGTCCAGTAGCTGATAGGCATAGTCGACAATGTACATCTCATCTTCGATTCGGCCACCGTGTTCTAACAAGGCACCCAAGCTACCATTTTCACAGTATTCCATAAAGATGTATACTTTGTCACGGTGCACTTCCTAAATTCAACATATAAGAGAACAGAATAAGGAAAAAAAAGAGTCGCCAAGGTTTTTTCCATTTTCATGGATCTTACCATGCCATAGTACTGAACAATGTTGCGATGATTGAGCATTTCCATGACCTTCATTTCTTCCTTGATAGCTTTATGAAGTGAAGAGAGTGTACTTGAATCCGGGAATCGGATTTCTTTGACGGCCATAACATTCGAGGTATCGAGGTTGATAGCAAGGTAAACCGATCCAAACGTACCAGCGCCGATAAATTTGCCTTGCTGCCAACGGAAGGATATATTCGATGAAGAAGGGGCCAAGAATACCAACGATTGGTCTTCAGGCTTCTGATCATCCAAGACACGACCAATGAGTTTCAAAGATTGCTCATTGGTATCGCGGGCTTCCTCCAATTCAGTAATTTTGCGCATCCACGCATCTCGAATGTATGTGATGCCTGTACCAGCGGGCACAGCGTTATCCGAAGAAGCGCCAAATGTCGAACTGGTGGCAATGTGTTCTTTGGTAGTCGACCGTTTGCCGGTCATGTAGGAATTTCGTTTGGCGGTAATCCCGCGTTTTCGTTGTTGCTGTTCCTTCATCTGCGCTTCGTGGATCCATCGTGTGCCGAGGACGTCGAAATGAGAAATCAAAAGGGCGATACAACGGGCCACTTTGCTCTGAAGTTTGCCGAATTCGTCCTCTTGCAATGCCAGAATATTGGGGCCACGTGTCATGGCATGACCAAATTCCAAAGCGGCGACGGCCCATCGGAACGTCTTTCGATCGGTTGGAATACAGTCATCGGTAATGAATGAAATCCAATCGATGGCTAAACGAACCAGCATCAAATCCAGCTGGCGGCGTGCCTTGATATCCAAGAATCGAGCGGTGCGTACCCCAAAATCACTGGCAAAACTGAAACATTCCTCCACCAATTCCTGGCATCCTAGATTCAGCGTTTGCTTTCGAATGGTTTCGATGCTGGAAATGGAAGAGTCCGCGAGCTTGAACACGGTTTTGCGAATTTTACGTAATCCTTTGTTGATCGGAGGTAACTGGGCTCGTTGCTCCTGTAACACCTCGATGCCAGAATGCTGTGCGACGGCCCAAAAATTCATGCGAGCTGTAGGAAGTCTTTTGGCGGTGGCAGCGACAAGACGGACACGATTGGTCTTGAGCCCCAGATCCACATAGGGAACCGGGACTCGCACGTAGGGTCCTGTCCACACGAGATTCTGCCACGGTGAGATGATAAGCAGGTAATCTTCAATTTTATTAGCCGTCGTAGGATGAGTGCCGAGGTAACTGGGAGTGGTAGGTTTATTCTCGGGAAGCGACGCTGACAGGAGGGAAGCGATTTTATCGTCGTGACCGTACAAGGAAGGTGAAGCGATAACGTAGCTGTGCTCTTCCTCGAATCCACTCGTGTACACCAAAAAGTGATCGCTTTCCACCAGACAACTGACCAAACGATCCATATGATTGCCATCCACCTGATATTCCGCTGAATTCTCAAATTGCGCCATAAAATACCTAACCATCGAACCAATTAGATCCAAGAAAATCTTAACTTTTTTTTTTCTCTTTTTTTTTTTTCGCAGTTTATGGAATGGATTAGAAATGACAACTTACTTTGTGAATTGAAGCAATTTACGTGCCCGCATACGCATGCTGTACAAGGCTTTGGTGTATTCGAGTTCCATATCATTATCTCGCGATTCCAACGACGATTTCAAACTGGCCATATAATCGGTCATGACATCTGACAGTTGACGATGGATCAAAGCACTGGGAAAAGCAAAATACATTAGAAAAATTTCAATTTAGATATCACGGACCCACGGATAATGTCCCCTCTCTCTTCCCCGCCCACTCCGCTCATATTAATGCATCTCATCTGTATTGATTTCTTCTTGAGAGAACCTGTTTTATCCATGCATTTTTTTCCCCTTTTACCCATGTATATTACATACCAAAATTGACGTGCACATTCAATGTAGATATTTTCCACGGCTTTGCATACGGTGGTTTCGAGGAATTCCCATTCTTTTTCCATGAGTTCGCATTCTCGCAAGCTGTTTTCTTTTTCCAAATTCAGTTTCCAGGTGATCAGCTTGAAGTAGAAGCGAACCGATTCGGTAAGGACGGAACCATAATTCTGACTGATAAAGTAATCTTCTTTGAACTCCCAGCCGGGAGCCGGATGGGCCAGTTGCTTGTACTGAGATTTAACACGACATGCCAGTGCAAGAAGGCCTCGGTAGTCTTCAAGCATGGCGTCGACCATTTGTTTTGGTGGGTTGTTCATCCGATCGCGGTATTCCAGACGCAGTTTGAGAGCTTCTTCAACAAGCGATGTGGGAAAGTTGGCGAGTTGTCGCAATTCAGAGATGAAGGGGGGCAAGTTCATGTCCTGAAAGAGGGTATTGTTCTCAATCATGGTTTGCTTGGATTTGAGTAACAAAGAATTGAGAGCCGATAAAGTACGGTTGTTGAAAGTGTCCTGCAATGCGGATTCTTTGAGGATGCGTTCGACGAAAGAAATATCGTTATTCTGCATTTTGATGGAAGCCGAGGATGGCACGGATTGGTCGGCGTCTTTGGGAGCGGGTGGCAGTGCTTGTTTTTGTGCAATTTGCAAGTCTTCGGAACCTGTCCAGTCGCGCAAGATCTTGTGTTGCATGTGCAGACTACGTGTGATGGTGCACCAAGCGTTGAGTGCATCCAACCGCATTTGGAATTCGGTGGCTCCGTATTTGGGATTCTCGTTAATGGTATTAGCCCGAGTGGGATACAATGATTCGATGCGATCAATGCTTTTTAGCACGTCAGCTACTTGGACCAGCGCCGATTCTTCCGCATGAGGATCGATTTTAAAATTCAGCACCAGATCTAAAACCGTGTCAATCTCTTTACGTCCTTCTTCCAAACTTTTCTGTTCTTCAGGAATGGTGCGACCGCGTAGCAAGGCTCGTAGTGATAACCATATCTCTTGCATGGGTTTTTGTTGCGTGAGAAGATCCGTCGTACAAAACCGTTTCTTTTCCGACTCGATGACGTCTCCATTTAGGACGGATTGCAGCATCTGGCGCCACTCTAATCGTTCTTGGGTCATACTGGCGGGTGCGGCCAAAATTGACTGTTTATGTGCGTACAGTCGTTGAAAAGCTGCATCTTCGTCCTCCTCTTCCTCTTTTTCCTTATCTTGGTCGGCTTCGTCGTCGTCGTCTTCGTCATTGGTATCGAGAGGACTCAATTTACGATGGCCAAGTAGACCGTCCGCGAGTGTAGGGTCGTCTTCGTCGTCGTGGTCATCCTCCTCGTCATCATTAACTGCTTCATAGGAAAGGGACGACTGAGCCATGGCCATGGATAACGGCATGGGCCACATGGGCATGTTTTCCTTTTGCTTCAAGTCGGTCAAACTCATATCGACTTGGATGGGGTCGACCGCATCACATGGTGGCTCGAACTCGGCATTGGAATCCGATGTGAACACGGGTGCAAAACGATCGAAAATGAATTCTTGTGATTCATTGTCGGGTTCGGTCCATCGTACTTTTCTCGTGCTGGCCATGTAAGTGGTTGTGTGCGATAATGGAAAGTTCAATGATCTCCCGAGACTACGATCGAAAATTAAAAAAAAAATAAAAGATAAAGGATCCAAAATTTAAAATTTAAGAGAAAACAAGGGAAAAATAACAGAGAATTTCAAAAAGAAGAATAAAACAAGAAAAAAAAAAAAGGGGGAGGACGAGGTCGAAATGGGGAAAGGGGTCCGGAGCACCGTTGAAAAAAAAAAAAAAAATTTCAATACAACGAAAAAAATAAAGCGCAAATCAAATGGAATACAAATCAACATTGATCTCGCCAATCGCTTGTTTTGCCAAATAGAATAAAAAAAAAACCCCTACAAAAACAGTTTAGCCGACCCATTCTGAATGACCGCTGGTGCAAGATAGAATAGACAATAGCTGGTTTTTGCCGATAAGACATGCTGCCGATGAAAAAGCGTAAAAACTTATCAAACACCAACATGGCGAATGGAGTTTCAAGCTGCGGATGAAAGTTCCCACTATTCTCGTTACTTTTGTCCTGCGTGTGTAACGATATAGGGCCCTTCATGTGAGCTAGATAAAACTGTTGCTATTATTATTTATCAATGCACAGTTGACTTACAATGAGATCGATGCAAATGCGCTTGGATGATACGCGATCAGGAAAAAAAAAGTGTAAAAAAAAAGTGAGGTGCCAGCGCCATCCTTTCAAATGCCGAAACCCGAAATTTCAGGAACCAATCAACGCATCCGTATCCACGCTATTCTTGGTCATTCCTATTACATTTCCAGTAATTATTCAGTGGGTGCTGTGGGTGGTAGAATTGCGACGACGATGGGTTGTAAGAATACGCATTTTGTTGCATCAATTTTTTTAATCTATTAACCCACAGGTGCTGGTGCTTCATGTTTCAATGTTTCGGTAGTCCCTTTTTTTTTTTTGGTGGTTTTCGCTCCGCTTGGAATGGGGATAATAATCAATCGAGATCTGAACCATTGAATCCGACCATGCTCAATATGGTAAGTTGTGGAGTTTCCATTGGCACAGTTTGCATTGTTCTTTATGCTTCTTTGACCGATAATGTCTGTGGCTTGTAACAATATTAGAAATCCCGGACGAACACGAATGGCCTTGTCACAGAGCCATTTACCTCTCCGTGACAGCCGATTCACCAAAGGATTTTTTTTACGCAAGCCAACCGCATATAATCCAATCAAATACGACAATGCCACTACTTTTGGTATAGTAACGAGCGCTTGTTTACAACGAATGCCTATGCGCAGCTGAGAGGTTAACAAGCACGCCATTGCTCTTCATCTCTTCCCGGCCTGATGGATGCAAAGGGTGATTACACCGAGTCAACCTACGAATTGCTAGAGCATCTTGATGGTAAATTCCGGCTCAACTCTAATGCTTTTTCTCACAGCGGCAAAAAGATTCATCCAGGGTTCTTGATCGTTGACAAGGACGTTGTGTTTTGGCTTGGTTAAGGATGCATACGGCCCAGCAAAAAGGTCATTAATCTTCATGGCGAACCAAGTAGAAGTCTATTTCCGACCTTCATTTACGGTCTTGTCTGTGGGTACGCCCAAACAGTGGGAAAGTGGCCAATTAAAAGTCAAGGTCGGCAATCGAGTCAGGAATATTCTGGTCCGCTTACAAGCCGGAAAACCGTTCGTCCTTGAGCCGAAACAGAGCCTGCATCAACTACAACCTAAATTTAGCACAAATCATTTATCGTGACTCGAAGGAATGGAGAACGAAAAAAGACGGTGGTGCGTCCTGTCCAAGCGCCAGGCATGAACCCCATCGAGAATCTGTGGTTGCAGATTTGAGGGGTAACGATTTAGTGTGATTAAAAAAGCAAAAGAAAAGTGTACAACTTTTTGTATCGTTCAAAAAGAGAGAGACAGAAAGACCATCTCTACATATTTCTACCCAGTTTTATTGATTATCATCTGTTCGCTTCTTCGCGATGGAGGAAATGAAATTAAAAAAAAAAAAAAGGCAATAAACTTTGCGGAGTCACTGTCTCATTATTTTGTCCATTTTATGATACACAGACGAAAATGTCAGCCGCGTTTCGTGAGTGTTATTGGTGCAAATTTAAAGTAGATCAACGCCTCTTTTATGAAGGACCCTTTGGGTATTCCATGGTTTGTGTTGGTATTCGCGTTTTTTTCATTGAGGAATGGCAAGGATAATTCTTTTTTCCCGTGGTCATCACTAAAAAAATGGCCTTTTCGGTGTCGAGATCCTTGCATGTGCAAAGAGATTATTAGAAAGTTGAAAAAGGAAGCAAGGCATTGTGCAACGTGTGCAACGTGTGCAACGTGTGTCATCATTCCCCGTCTGGACGTGTCTATTAACTTTTCTCGTCAAGTGGCTTAAGCCTTTTCTGTTCTTTTTTTTTTTTTTCCTATCTTACTTTCCTAGTTCACTCATTTTGACGGTTTCATCAAGTTTCTATTGTTGAAGCTGGTTCTTTTGCATCGACGCTTGGATTAACTGCAGATCGTTTCTTTTGAGTTTGTCTCAACCATGGCCATGCTCGAAATTGTCTACGCTGTGCACAATTTTGAAGCCGAAAACGAAGACGAAATTGCATTTGGTATAGGTGAACCTATTGTCGTACTAGAAAAAGACGAAAAATATCAAGATGGTTGGTGGCAGGTAACTCATCAATTCTTTTTTTTTTTTTTTTTCTCGTTCTTCTACTTTGCTTCTTTTATTTGTTTTCTTTTCTTTTTCGTGGTAGTGTTCCCTGATTTCTATAACTTTACTGCTTTTTTTCTACCCCACTCCTTAATTTTTCTTGTTTAAAAACCAAAAAAAGGTTTCCTTGGCAAGACTGAAAGTGAATTTCGAAATATATTAACATGTGAAAAAACTAGGGTCGCAATACCAACGGTGAAATCGGTTTATTTCCTATGAATTACACCTCTCCAATTAAGCCGACCCATACAAGCCCAACCATTCATCGTACATCGTATCATTCACAGAAATCCAACAGCAGTACCTCTTCCAGTCGCGTCTACGATCGCGCTTTGGAAGATCGCATCAATACAATGTCGATCTTACAAGACCCACCATCCATGCCCAACCAAGTACTCAGTCGTCCTCCTTCAGAATCAGACAGATCGATGACGCCGCCCAAATCCACCAGCTCACCGCCTTTTCAACCTTCAATCCAACCTCAAGCTTGGAATGTTGAGCAAGTCGCCAACTGGCTTGAATCTGTTGGACTTGGATTAGTAGCCAATAATTTTATAGGTAAATCATTTCGCGACTTTTTTAATTTGGGGAGGGAAAAACACGGGGCGGGCCCGTGAAAGGTGAACGGGTTTTGTTATATGTTTTGTGCGACTGTGCTTATCATTGTTTTTTTATTGTCTGCGCTACTTTACACAGATCAAGAAATCACTGGTGATATCTTGCTCGATCTGACCATTGATACATTGAAGGAACTCGGCATTACAACCTATGGCAGACGATATAAAGTCATGAACGCCATCAATAAACTGAAAGCCGATACAGCTTCTTCATATATACAACCTAATGATGTCACAGATGCCCCAAGGGTAAGAGACTATTTTTCATTCGTTTTGTGGGTTAGTGAAACCGAGTATTAAAATCACCCTCTTTTTACTATACGTTCCTGGTTCCAGCCACCCACTTCGCCCCCTCTATCGAAAGAAAGCCCTTCTCCTCGCGTGTCCATGTCCACTGGACATCTTCCTGTCATTTCACAGTCAGCGTTACGTGGGATTAGCACTTTGGATGATTTTGCCAACTATTTACCTGAAACTCCTCACTCAACTCCACGCTCGCCCATCGATTCTGACAGCTTGTATCAATTCCCCAGAAAAGCACCGTTGCCACCGCAGGTCGGTCCAGCAACCCTTGATGAGCCACACCGCCACCCACCCTTTCCGCCGTTTTTGCGTGCGACTAGTCCGATCTCTTCGCACAGTTTTGGTTCGTCGAGTATCAGTCGCTCGAATACTTTCAACACCGAATCATCCAAACAATCCAGTGCTTCCTCAGGAACAGTTCGTAGTCTGGAGAATCACTCCCCACACAAGCCCAGTATCCTTTCCCCACTTCGAAAACCATCCCAAAAGAGCAATCACTCCATCGTCAGTCCACATCCTTCTGTCAGTACCCCGGTGAAAATGATTGGACAACCAGACCCACCCCTGAATGAAGTAAGTACCTACTCTGCTTCGGTGAATAGCACACCCAAGAATCAACCAAAGTAAATCATTTCATTTTTGCATTAGCTTCCTCTGACCGACAAGTTTGATTTACCGTAAGTTGGCCATCTGTTTTTTTTTTTCTTGACCTCTGTTTTTTGTCCCATCTCACGGGTTGATACACAGACACAAACAGCCCCACGATCATACGCTGTCGGTTGCGTCCTTTGATTCGACTGCGCAACGTCACAATTCCACGGCCGACGTATTTCAAGCACCGGAACATGAGGGCTGGCTCCATAAAAAAAGCGATAAGTACAAAACCTGGAATAAGCGATGGTTTGTCCTCAAAGGCACCAATTTATTCTACTTCAAGAGTCCAAAGGTAAGAGAAACAACGGAAACATGTAGAGCTATTTTTCAGCGTCGGGCCTGATTGATTGATATTTTCACTGGCGTGGTTGTTCTAGGATACTCGCATGAAAGGCATCATTAACTTGCGTGGCTACCGCATTTTTGTGGATGAAACAATTCACGCTGGCAAATACAGTTTCAAAGCACAGCATGAAAAGGAGAGAACGTTTTTCTTCTATTCAGACACCCTGGAAACCATGAGAATGTGGTTGCAAATGTTGATGAAAGCCACCATCATGCGTGATTTTGCTTGTAAGTCACCTGGATTCTCTCTTGGTAACGAATGAAGAGCCAATTAACAATATTGTGCCTCTCCCCCTTTAGCCCCAGTCATGTCATCCAATCAAGTAGCTACGGTGTCCTTGGATATGGCACGACGTATGCGGCCGCGACCTCCGTCGGTGATTATGTATAATAAACCACATGCCAATGAGAATCCAAAGATGGCCATGGTGCGTGAAGAAGAAGAAACACGAGGTGATCAACCAGCTCCTCGGTCAAACCCCACCTATAAACAAACGCGTGAATCGGGAATCACAGAGTATCCGGCTGAACTGACCAATGCTAATCATGACGACGCGTCCCCGTTGGATCCCACAGCCCATATGCCGGATTCACCTTCAGCAATCGATTACATTACCAAAGGATTTCCGGATAACGATGAAGATTTAATCGATCCACACCATAAGCAACCGCCCTCATCGTCTCTACCTGCATTGAGCGATCGCAGCTCCCGATCGACGTTCTCTACCGAATCAGGAAAGACGCGGCCTTGGACCAACGCACAATACATCGATTGGATTAACAGTCATTTGCCACCCGGCAAACAAGTCGTGGACTTGTCCAGTGCTTTCCGCAATGGCGACACTCTGATTTTGTTGCTTGAGTCATTGAGTCATAAAACTGTGCGTCGACCGCCGACTCAGAAAGGAGGATCCGTAAGTATGATGATGCTGGATAACATCGTAACGGCATTCAAGTTCATGGGTCGCGAAGGCGTGGTCGTGGACGGCAGATATACAATTAAAGGTAAGACCATTACATAATTGGTATTCTTAGTAGAAAAAAGTGGGCCAAATACCTGATTCTGTTGTATGTTCATGTGTGTAGATGTGTTTAGTGGCAATGAAGAAAAAATTCTAGACATGGTGGATGCCATCAAGACATGGGCGGACGGTTTATCGTTTGAGAAAAAGCAAGATTCGGTTCCGATAGATAAGAATAGTGGCTGGAGAGGCTCCGCCATGTTGGATCAGCGAATTTCGCAGGAACACGGTTCCAATGGGAACAGCATGCTCAACAGTGTTTCCTCCAATGGTTCCAGTCTATATAACTAAATCCAAACCATCCCTTTTACGTCCACCTATATACATAACAACTCCATGACAAAAATAAAGACATGCTCCCCCACCCCCCGCTCCCTTCCTTTTTCCTTTTGTATCCATCCATCCATATATACACTCAGTTTGTGCAGTCTGAGTTTGTATTGTTTTTTTCGTGACTTTTTGGGCGACACAGCGCGCTCGCGTAAATTTTTTGAACCAGGAAACGCGCTTTGGGAAATTAATGCCCCATCACGAGTTTCTGGTTACAGCAAGTTTTTTTTTTTTTTTTTTTTCTCCCTTTTTCTTCTTTCTTCTCTATTGTCCAGTGCTTGCTTTAGTTATTCGTTCCTATTCACGTGGCCACATGGACAGCAACGAATATTATAATATTGACTCTATTCTAGCCGAACATACCGTATGTATTGTGCTTGTGCTGATTCATACTTCATCTCATGATACCAAATGGGTCCTATAGCGAATTCCATGCATATTCCTTCATAACATTAGTGCCGATGTCAATTTAACCGGTGATGGCACAGAGGTATGGCATGTTCATGTCGATATCGTGTGAACTGATGACTGATGATCCGTTAGATCACTCGTCAATCACGGTTGGAATTACCGTTCTGGCTGGTCAAACCATTTGCTGAGTTCACGTAAGAACACACTCGGTTACAGAGACACACATGCAGTACCTGATAAATATTTTGTATTTCTCTTTTTGATGGGCTCAGTTTACCCGACAATAGGTAAAATGAAGGCAAAAGCGTACAGGAATCAGAAAAATGAAGAAACAGCCGATATACTGATGTTGGTTTCTGATTGAATAGTCAATTAATTTCCCTGGAAATACCCAAAGCTTACGGCACCCGTGTGCGCAATGTGTTGGAAGCTGGTCCGACCAATGTGGATTTTCGATTGCTTTGCCCTTACTTTTATTTATTTGGCATGAAATTGCTCAAACTCGTAGTGGACGATTCCTTGGCTGCTATCCTGGAAAAAGTAAGAACTCAACGGCGGGATTATTTTGTGCAAATATTGTGCTTACACTGGAATATTGGCTTGCAGGCTTTCAAGACGCGAATAAAAGAGATCATGGATTACTCCCAAACAGGCACAGCGAGCCTGGGTCACGAATTCTTACAGAAACTCGATGAAACGGAAAAAGAATGCAAGTGATCATGCCGGCTGTGGAAAGAATGAATAGTCCCATTGGATACGAAACGCTTACTTTTACATTTATGCATCTATAGTATTCAAGGCAGGCCAAGAAAGTGCACATCATCTACGTCTGTGGCGAAATCGATCCTTCTATCACCTGAGATCGGTCGATATCAATGCACGCCCGCTTTCATAGTCTGTTTGCTGTTGTCACCATTTTCTTTACCACCCCGCTACACACACTCCTTTCAGAGCATATCCATTCTCATCCACTTCTCATATGCTATTATTTCAAACTAGATCGCTTATTTATAGGAAATTCATTTGAGGGCAGCAAGGTATACAGGGCATAACCAAAAAGATAACTAGAGCTTTGGTTCTGTCAAAAAACAGAATGATTGCACCATCTGTAATAAAGACGCATGATATATTATGACAAACAGTCTATTCAAAGTACCTCTGGCGTTTTATGAGGCTTTAGAACACACCACATTATGGACAGTCGTTATTATAGGGGATAGAGAATTGTTGAAACATTACCTTGTACTCCCATTAACCGTTGCGTCGTCATTATCACTCGACAAAGCATATCTATGTGATCGAAGAGAGTGCATGGGTCAACTTGATAAAGAGAGTCAATGGCAATGGCACGCCAAAAAAAAAGGTCGGATTTACAATTGCTGGTCACATTTCCAAGCAACAAAATGGACCGTGTGTTGCCGTTTAGAGTTCTCCATCGGTCATGTCTGGTTCAGAAACGAATCAAGATTCAGAAAATGCGTCGCGACTAGTACTTCGAACCTATCGAGCCACGGACCATGACTACGTTCTGCATGTGTTTTACTCGGCCGCATTTGGGTTGGTGCCTGAAGGCATTAAGCGCAAACTCATGTCCCCCGTTTTCTGGACCATCTGGTTGACCTCATGTTACTGTCTGGTCACCGTTGTGCCTGCGGTGATATCGGGTGCTCATTGGCCACGGTGGATTCTGTGGTTAATGAGGATTGCATTGGTTCTGGGGTGGATTTTGGCAGCCTTTGTGGTCTTGTTTATTTTCACCGATCGTTGGGAGGTGGTGGGTCACATTGAAGAAGCACAACAAAACGATCTCAGTGATCCGGAAGTATACTATTTGAATTGGGTCAAAAAGGAAGTCATCGTAGACGATTCCCCACCTGTTAAACCGTCCTCATCGTCCAACAAGAAACGGGTCACCTTTGACAAGAGCGCAAAGCCTGCCACGGAAATGGTACGAACACTGCGGCCCGCCAAAGAACAAACCTTGTCTCATTTTTGGGTGTTGGCCATGGATAACGTTCCCATTGGGATGGTGGGTTTGGCGAATTACCGTGAGAGGGTGTACGATAATCGCATATCGATACCCTCTTTGTGGGACGCCTTGAGGGAAACGGTGAGTCGATGGATCCCATGGTTATCCTCGTCTATCGTGGCCGATCGCGTGGTGGTCGACGAGGACGATGTGCAGGACGACAAGCGTGTCTTTGCGGAACCGCATGCTCCGAAATCCGCTACTTTACAGCGACTGGCCGTGAAACCGGATTACCAAGGTTGCGGCTTGTCTACGTTACTGATCAACAACGTCATGCTCTGGGCTCACAAGCAAGGATTAGAATCTATTTATGCAACGACCAACGAAATGCAACAAAGTGCGCAAACCATTCTTCACACTCGCCACGGGTTCCAAAAAATCAAGAAAACACGAAAGGGATGGCTTGGTCAATATGAGATTGTCTGGAAATGTACCGTAGACCAGTGGATGAAAGATCACGAAGACTTGGCCAAACAATTGCTTTAAGATAACTCTCACCCTTACTTGTCGCTGGAATGATCGAACTCTTATTTCACGTTTTGCTCACTACTCCCTCCCTTTCCCAACGTTGTGGCTTGCTTATTTTTTTGTCATCTATTCTTTTTCTTTTTGTTCTCATGTAAATAAAACTGAACCGCTCATAGATAACTAAAAAACATGGTATTGGAGAAACGGTTTATTTTTGTTTAGGGATATACAGCACATGGTTCAGCCGATATATCGATGGGGCTCTTGATGAGTAGCTTCATGACTCTCACGTCGCGTAAGACAAATTTGCTTAAGATCCGAGCCGGGTTCTGGGCTTCATGGCGAGAATAAACAAATTGTTCTCTAGTATATACCGTTAGTTACATCGCAAAAGCATAGGTTAGATGGTACTGTTTACCTTGATTGTCGCAAGTCCCTTGTCCTGAGCGATATATTCCCTCCTCAGATTTCTCTCGTTCTATGCCATAGTCATGAAGGATGTCTTTCGCACTTCTTCCGGAGGATAACCTCCACTTCCTTTGCTCATCCATTGCTTTGTAAGGATCTGCAAAGGTTCTGAGGCTGAGATCCGTCAATAATTTCATTGATAAAATAAATCCCAAAGGGAATAGAAAGATGACGGATAAGGGAATCCTTTTTCGATCTGCCTTCGGCAAGCAGGGTCGACCACTGCATGCGTCCGCGATGTTTTCCTCCAATGATTTCCGATAACTCGAATCATGTTTTGCAGGTGATTCAATTTCACTGTCGTTTTCGATGATAGCGGTCGTGCCTTTCACTTTCTACCTTCATGGAAGACGGTCGCTAACGCTGTACTATGCGGGCATAGGTGAGTCGAGGATAATCGGAAGAAGCGACCACTGTTTTCTTCCCAATTCATGCGTTTTCTTCAGAAGCCACGAGGAATAGCGAACCAAATGTGGCGTCCTTGTTGTGACGGTTTGCTCCTCTATGGTGTCACGTCTAAGCCGCCAAGCTCATGATTGCGCACATCCATATTATCTCCAAAGAAGAATAGTTATTGAACACAGGGACGTCTAGGGTCGTGCTCGAGGGTTGGGGAGAGGCGTATCATTATCGGGAAGAGCCATGACACAAAGGCAAGGTGGGGAACGACGCGATGAAAGTGTTCAAAGCCGGCCTCCGGGATCACAGAAGAGAGAGGTCCCCAGAAACAAGTCCAAACAGACCATCGTATCGGACTCTGACATCAGGCCAGTCGATGGGCGTCGGGGTCATGCAATTGTAAATATATCCTGCAAGCTTCCATAGTAAAATGGGGCCATCTGTACATGAGGCCAGGTCCAAAATCTTGACAGTCCCGAACTTGGCAGTTGTCCTTCACAGCATCAGAGTGAAAGCGGGTAAGGAAGCAGGAACAGCCACAGCAGGAGGCATCAGGAGCCGACGAACGCACAGGATGATAGGCAGCCCGACGTTCCGCAAATTCTATCTGGTCTTGGTCCTCTTTTTTCGAGGCTTCAGGTTCCATTTTCGAAGTGGCATTGCGCTTCAACTAGGAGAAGACTTTGTCGACTGTGTCAAAGAACTTGGCCGAAGCCTCCACAATGAGTGAGCTAGCCTGGTCGTCATTTCTATACAATTACACTTCAGTAGAATGGTTCAACATTTACTTCGTAAGCTTGATGAGGTTTTGCATCTGCTTAATAGTAGAGAGATGGATTTTGGAGACAGGAGAAGGCATCGTAAGAGCAATAAGTAAGAGCAGTAAGAACAGTAAAATAAAAAAAGCAATAGGGAGTCAAAAGACAAAGAATTTTTATGTTGTAAGGGGCTGATGAGGCACGGTTTTATTTGCGTCAAGACAAAGAAAAAAGACGTATCAGCCGGACTGCTCGTTAATATCAGCAATGGCGTTTCGGGTCATCACCCCCAAATTTCAAAGAACGACATACGCCTGAATTGCCTGTAAGCTAAACTACTGCCCTGACATGAGCATGCCACAAATGTCACGCCCATTCTTCAGGCTAAGGTCTTTGTCTGCCGTGATACAGTCGTGATTATCCCTGAATAAAACTCAGTGTGGTTGTACCTTTTTTCCAGGCACACCGGTTCGGCTTTTAGGGTAGTTGTTTACCATGGACCCGTCGGCTTAATATGCGTAAAGTTATTACGGATATTTTGACAACCAAAGGTGTCGCTGAACCATTCCTTGAAACTTGTGCTGAACTCGTTATATGGACCTGTTACTTTAGGTCACACAGTGAAACAATAAGTAAGCTTCGCGAACTCATGTGATATCGGATTAAAATGCAGTTTCCTATCGTGGTGAGCGAGACTATTTGTGAGTTTTGGTGCATTCTATTGCTGCATAGACCAATTTGCATATTCCGGAATTACATACTGCTTCTAATGACGAACTGCTCCTTATTGTGTGATTCTATGCGTGAAACACGAACCTCGGAAGCTGTCTCCGTCTAAAATCAGAAAATATGACACCTTTGATCGTCAGTTTGCGCACCCATGGTCAGGAAAGGGCCATCAAAAACATATTTGGGCCTTTTTACATTCAATAAATTCCCTTCAGTGAGCGTTTGTATTCAAACAATTGTGATATACGAACGTATACGGTTTTTCTATTTTATCATCAAAAATGTAGCAACTGACAGCTGATAAACGCGAACAGTGCAGACAAAAAGAATTTTACATGAGAAAAATGAATAAATGATATGATGAACAAAAAAATCATTTTGCATCGTCTATATGTATGAACCAGACATAAATAAAATAAAATAAAAAAAAATGTTTGTATATCCTACAGTTGGTTGGTGAGCATCCAAAAGAATGGGACTCCCATCTGTTCAGCGTTGTAATCGTCGTAATTTGCGACACCACTGTGCTCCTCGTCGTTTGCTGCATGGCCCACCAGAGGTACTGGGGCCGCATTGGGCAAGTTTTCCACACTCCACGGACTACCAAAGGTGGCAGCATGCTGTGAGAGCCACGCCTGATCCTGTCCACCGTCGTTGCTGTGATCCGCCGCTACCGTCGCCATCTGAGCCAAGGGTCTCAGGACCGATTTCGCATATGTGGCATCGGCCGTGGACAATTTCGGTAACCCATCTACGTAACGCTTGAGGTGAGCGGTGACAGAGTGCGATATACTGGCGCCATTTCGTGCGGTGTAATGCCAAATATCCTTGGCGACACCTGTATTCTGAATGCTCCGCGCGAGAATGGTCCAGTATTGAAGATTGCGCGTCTCCTGATGTAAAACGGCTCGCCACAAAGACCGAGAATTGAATGTTGTCTCGTACGTCTGCCCTGGTTGCATTCGATCCAAGACCGACGTCTGCTTCAGTTGTTGCGTCCCATCCGCTTGGAAATGCTTCCCTATGCGCATCCGGCATCGATTGGCGACACGGAGGAACAGGCGTACATCGTCGGTAAAGGTAGCCAAGGCGGTGACTTGAAGATCGTACAGTACGCCTCGATGGTCGGTAAGCTGGGCCAAATGAACGCCCGTAGGAGACGTCACCAGATAATCCAGAACGTCCGTCATCATGGCTTGCAGTTCAATGTATTCTTTGTGAGACAAAGCTTGCGCCCGTTTGAGGAGACGCAGCGAGTCCAGAAAAGAGGACAGATCGGTTTTTGTCCAGTCGGCCATGCTCAGAGGTCGACTTCGGTTGGACTTGGGCACCACGCGGGACAAGCGACCAAGACGAGGGAAAGAGTAACCTTGATCCGAAAGAAAATCGAGCACATGACTGTCTTCGGGAATTCGTCGGGCCGAATCATACTCGTCTTCATCTTCTACTGCCATCGCATTAAGAATGTAGATCCGCACAAGATTGGCCGCGACGCGTGCATATTTTTCATTGCCGTGGTAATAATTGGCTAGCGTCAAAAGAGTGACGTTTCTTGAAAGCGTATCCATGTAACCGGTCAACGGTAACTCGATCGATTCCACATTCGACAGGTACACCTGGGTCGTCTCCACTACGTCGTCGGCTTGGCGGGCCAGTTCATCCATAATCCCTACTACGGCGGCCTCTTTGTTCCAAAACGCATACCGTATTTGTGCCATGGCCCGTTCATTGAACCGGAAAAGAGCATCGTGACGAAACGTGCGACGCGCCAATGTTTCGTCCAAACTGTCGAGAGACGATTGAATGGCAAGCAGACGATTAAAAGCACGGATAGACGAGGCTTCCTTCTTGTTCTCCTCTTGCTGAGGGTTCCCGGAAAATAAACGATATACCCAACCAATGGTCCTAAAATTGCCTTTATCCTTGCTGTACGGTCGTTCCATCGGTTCCCATGGCACGATGGGTTTACGTAAGCGACGATTCTCCAACGCCCCCAATCGCCACAGTAACTCCAACTAACGGAAAAAGAAAAAGGTATCAGCAATCAGGTTCGTGCAAAAAAGCCAACCCTTGGGACAGATCGACGCTTTCCCACCTCAGCGCCCGGCCACTGTATCCAGATTCTAATCATTTACCTTGCTGCGGCGACCGTAGCGCATATCCAGATTGTACTCTTCTGTTGCATCAAAGCGAAAGATGATCTGCGGCTCTTCAGGTGTCTTGGGTCGTTCATCGAGGTTGTTCAACAAAACGGAATTGTTTAATAATCGTGTCATGGGAACCACAAAATATTTGGTGGTATCGCCATAACGATCCAGTTGGCTTTTGATTTCGGCAAACCCGTTTTCGCTTAGGAAACAATTACCATCAAAAGGCATAATCCAGCGAGCATTCGGCATGGATCGACCATGATGAATAGCACGATTACGTCCGCCATTCTTCATTTTGCAATATCAGAAAAAAAAATTAAGCCTTTTCTCTTCTTGGTGCACGGAAAGCATAGTTAACTTACATTATTCATCACGTAGAGATTTTTATCATGGTAGGTGTAATCGAGGGCTCGTAACTTGGAGACTTTGGAGTAACGTCGGTAGTCGTCTGAGTGCAAGAAATCCGGTTCTGGAAAGTCTTCCAGACGAAAATCGAGCTTTTGGTAATCTTCCTCGACAAATGGTATCCGAATGTATTCCTTGTCGAATCGATTCAGTAACCGAATAATCGCCATCTCGCTCGCTGGATCGGCAATCCGATTGAGAACATAGATTTTCCGTGTGTCCGGAAACGGTGGCTCGTGTTGCAAAATAAAGTGCAGATTGGACAACGTCTGGCCTACTTTATGTCGTGGCGGCAGATCGTTGCCGATGATGCGGTACAATAGTAACTGATCGCGAGGCGTGGAATTAAAGAGCGATGTTGTTTGGGTGGGTGACACGGACACGTCGCTGATGAATGTAAAATAGGGTATATAGCCAAAGACAAAGGCAAGACATGCCATGGCCAGGAACAACTTGAGCCACTGTTGCTGACGCCGAGCTTTCCGTGGTATCATTGAGAACAAAGGCGTGGTGGCTGGTTCCCACAGCTTGTCTTTGAAAAAGGTTCGACGTCCTGCTGAATACTATTGTACACCATGAGACCGATGATCACAGAGTCAAGATAAGGGGTAGAAACTTACTCGAAGATCTGAACTGTAAGGTGACCTTGATGATGCTACATGCGGTAAAGAAGTATCAACATGGTGTTTAATGAATGGAGATGGCATTCTATGGAATGGCGCTCCTTAAAGTGTATGTATTCTATTGTTGCCGTTGGACAACGTTGCCAATAAATGTGTACTTTTTTTAACGGAGACCCCTCTGAGAGCGGTGTCTGGTTCTCTCTTCTTCCTCGATTTCCAATCTTGTGTCTCCGACACCCTCTCTTCCAATAAGGAGCGTCTAAATTTTGGCATGTCACACATCTCTACCGGGATTTCACCAGAACGCCTCAGCCAACCAACAATGGATCGAACTCTAAATAGTCAATAGCACAAAGAAGGAACAATCTCACTATTGAGTTCCTGGGTCACTGTCCTCTAAACGCGCCAATGGTTCACGGTCCTTTTCCATGACAATGATCTCGTAACGGTGTCATCCCTCAGTAAATATTGCTTTGTATTTTGATATTTACAAACTTTCGTACACATATGCGAAGCAACATCACACTACGTCCATAATGGATCTTTATCCAAGCAAGTGTTCGTATCAAGAAGTCTAGAAAACCCTATTAAGCTAAAGATCCAAGTCATATGAAGGCGAAACAATGGCATTGGTTGAAGAACGATTTATAGGTACAACTTGTAGAGAGGTCGTTTGTTTCTATATGCATATACAGTTGAAGTGGATGGTTTCTAACAGCTGTAGGGAAGCGCTTTGCGGAGCATTTTCTTTTGCGAGTTGCTGGCAATCACCATTCTGCTCAGACGATTCACTCGTTCGGCCGAAAAGGTGGAATTCAAGTGACGAAGACCTGTCTGCCATCGCTTGTAGTGTCCGCTGCCAGTAGGGATGAATCTGTGAGGAAAGAAAAAAAATACAACGTTAGTTGATGTCAGTCGCTTGAACAAAAGGTTTACGTACCTCTTCTTTGCGCCCGAGTGGGATTTAAGCTTATGTGACATGGCCCTTGCGGATTGACCAAAAGGAGCCAGGGAATGCACGATTTGGGAGGAAGCAGAAGCTGGTATACAAGGTAATAAGAATGGCTGTTCATGCTAGATATAATTAACCAAAACGGAACTGTACCTAATGAGCGAAACATGGTGCCAAGAACGAGTGATTCAAATGCCTTCACTACTTTCTAATATTTTCGCGCGGGGCTGACTAGGGTGATTATTGAAGTCGAATCGTTCAGATGAAGCCACAATCCAAATAAGCAGTCCCACATTGTCCACTTTCGCACCTTTTCCGATTGTGCGACTTTTTTCTGCTAAATTAACTTGCCTTGACAGCACCAAAAAAGAAAAGAAAAGGTTCAATCCCAAAAATAAACTTGCTTACGCTCAATGGAAAGGTAATAAACTTTTGTTCTGATATTGTTTGTCAATAGGAAAGTTTAATGTTGGATGTCGAATAGTGCTGCGTCTGCTGATTCGGCTGTTATGCAAGAACAGCTCGTTGTCTTAAAGAGCTTAAAGTAACCCATTGGCAACTTGCAAAGCATCATCGGTTTACAAAGTTGACGGTATCTATTCTACCCAATTAGACAAAAAACGCAGGAATTAGTTGACTTCAAGGCCACGTTACTGCAAAAGACAGAGTTACTGGACCATAAGCAAAATTTACTGGAAGAAATTGTCGCCGAGCGTCAACGGTTGCAGAAAGAACGAAAAGTATTGCTTGATATGTTGCAAGCTGTACAACGAGATGTGGACACCGTATGTTTTTTTTTTTTTTTTTTTTTTTTTTTTTTTGGATTGAGGATCCTATGGCATTGCATTTTAGCTGACCATGGACCTAGGTAAAGGAAGCGGAGCAGTCCTTGGGACGAGAACGTGATGAATTACAGTTAACGGTGAACAAAATCCGCAATGAACAATATGAGACTTTGCACGGTACGGACGACAAATATGCTGCATTCAGGAAACTTGTAGTGACGTTGGATGATTTAGATGAAGTGAATGAACTGCGGCTGAGATGCGGATTGCCGAAAATACCCCATATACAGCAAGAATTGGAAGCACACATGGCTAGGTAAATGCATAGATCAAAGAAAACAGAAGTGTTGATCCGCTCATAGTTGTATCCATCATGCAATAGAACTCTGGAAGAACGAAGGGAAAAGTGGCAACAACAAGACAGTCCAACTCCATCGAGTGTACCTTCCAGTTCAAGGAGACGGGACACTTCCGCTTCCTCTTCCACCTCCCAGCGTGGAAGACCAAGAAAACGTCGCCAGTAATGGGCTTAACCCATTGATTCTTCCTTTCTATTTCCTGTATTCATCATTCCCTCACCGCTAATCCATGCCATCTCATTATTTTGCATTCTTTTAAACTTGTTTGAACTCTCCATGGAGGACTGTATATTGTACGATAAATACTTGCTTACTCAAGGGTTTCAGAATTTTGTGATGGCTATTTTTTCCGACGGACAGCGGGCTATGAGCAGCCCATGCCACCTATCGTTTTGAGACGGACTCACTCATCTCTTTGGTTACCACACTCACGGTTGTTGTCATAATACTTTGCTCCAGTGCTATCTGCCACACAGTCTCGTCATGGGAACGTCCATTAGTAAAGATCGACGGCCCTCATTCATGGAATCCGGGAGTACACGGCGAGACAGCCGGTCTTCCAAAGTGCATTCCAGTAGCGAAGCAAGAGACTTGGCTCAAATCGACCGTAATCGATCAAATGCATCACCGTCGCACTCTTCCAACAGCAGTAAAAGCGGTGCCAAGAAAACCAAACTGCGTCATTACTTTAAGCCTTCCATAGGAAGCCGGGCGTCATCATGGCAAGATTACAAATTCGGAGCGGAAGAAAAAGACGAAAGTAGCACTACGAGTAGTCGTTCAAGCCGAAGGCAGGGTGACGGTGCTCCGGTGAACGCCACCTTATACGGGGCCATGGCGGCCACGGGGGGACCAGATCCACAAAGCCTCATTTGGCGATCCACTGAGCAATCTCCACTCCCACGCGTGCTTTCGAACTCAGAAATGAGCGCTTCCAGCTCGCTCGAGGCTCACGGCCTATCGGATATGCAAAACGCAGCTGAGAACACCGTTTTCCCAGAATCTGGGCATCAGCGGCCTAACGACCCACTCTACGGCGTCGATGTCTCCTGGACACCCAAATACCGAAGCGAGCAAATGCTCTTGGATGTGTATACACTCAATAACAGTGAAAAGCAAAGACGCAAGGAACGAGACAGGTAAAAGTGTCCTCGAGATTTTTTTCCCATGGGAAATGAACGAAGTATAATGGACCAGGCACACTAAAGAGTCATTTTTTCTTTGAACAGACAACAACGACAGGCAAGAAAAACGAAAAAGGAGCAAGTCCACTGTAACTAACGCTGGGGTCGTTGGTTTCTATAGCATTATTTACTGAAGCATACCTGGAAGGGTAACTATGGTGTACCGTTACGGTCGCCTTCATTGATCGTCAATTGGTGCTGTGGCACAGGTAAGAAGATAGTAGCCACTGCAATTGAATTCATTGCTTATGCCTTTTGTTATTTGTATCCTAGGGATTTGGGCAATGGAGCTAGCTCATAAGTTTCCGGAATGCCACGTGGTCGGGATTGATTATCCTTCGGCAACTATGAGTAAATTATCGAGCGCACACAATAATCTCGAATTTCAGCATATGCTACCTCATGAAGAGCATACAGGGCTGGAACAGTTCGAGGACAATTGCGTCGACTATTTAATGATGCGTGATGTTTGGCTGAGCAATTCGCCTCACCATAAATGGCGTCAGATTATGCAGCAAGTCATGCGGATTTTGAAGCCAGGCGGATGGTTGGAGATCTACGAACAAGATCTGGAAATTTACTCGGCAGGTGCCCATCTTCAAACGCTGGATCGTTGGATGGACACATTGCTTGAACATTTGGGTATTGAGAAACAGCTCGTTCATCTTATTACCCCACTGTTGAAAGAAACAGGGTATCAAAACGTGCAAGAGCGTGCCATGGAACTGCCTCTGGGCGAATGGACATCGACAGATGGTAAGTAACTATATCGAAAATTAAAGATAGACCATCTCGGACGTATGCCGACGGTGTTTAACGTAATAATACATTGTGCGCTAATTGTGTACATTGTCAAATCACCAGTGATGAAGGAAACAGGGTATCTGTTCAAAGATTTGATCGAGCGTCGATTTCGTATTTTGCGACCCTGGCTTTCTGAACTGAATAACGTATCGAACGAAGAGATCCTCAATACCATTACCCAAGGTCTGGATGAATGTGAGACATCCAAAACACATATGTGTTGGTACTACTATGCCGCCCAAAAACCGGGAAACATTTGATTGTACTATCTGTCGTAGCAAAAAATTGCAAGTGTATCCTGCGTTCTTCCCTCTTGTCCGCTTTTGATTCCATACTACCTTCTTTTTCTTGATTGTCATCCCCTTTGCTCATGTGTAATTTTCTTGTTACTATACAATATTATACATATGCTATGCTATGCTATTTAGTTTTTATACTGTGGTTTCACCGTTCTGTTCGGATTCTTCCAACGTCTTCATCTCTCGGGCCAACTGAGTTGCACATTGAAAGGAAAAACAAATTTTACATATCAATACTGCGAAAGACCATTCAACTTTTTTTCTATCGCCTTACCTCTTCCAATTCGACCAGATCCCATCCGAGATCATTTTTACCCAACGTAAAGTGATGCAATTCATGGGCCAAGGTACGAATTACATGGTCGCTAATGATAGATCTCTCTGTCAGATTTATTGATGGATACACTAGATTCAATCTGTTTTGCTTACCTTGCGTGCTGGATCCATACGCAGTAATCATCGAGCCATATTTTACTGTAAATGTAGTATACATCATGATGATCGAATAAATCTTTAATCTCCAGTAATGCTTTGAGGATAGCTCGCTTTCCTAAGCGGAATAGCACGTAGACGTCCTGAAGTACTTTGTTGCACAGTTCAAAATTGCGGTAAAGGGGGTATGATAATGCACGACGATAACATGCAATGACGGTTTCCTTAAGAGTCGAAAATTGCTATTCAAGAATAATGAAGCAATAAGCCGTAGGATCATGCATCAATCGTCTGGGATGGGAAACTTACCTCTAAGCATGCCATACTGGAGCTTACTTTTCCGATACACCAAACTGATTCGACGGTGTTTTCGCCTTCTGATGTACGATGATTATAACTGTAGGCGAACAGTATATCAACCAATCCCAGATACGTTGTTTTTGGATGTGATAACAAGTCTGTCCTCACATGCATCAGTTTTTCATACCGACAACAATGGACTACGGATCTTTTTGTACTCACATTCTTTGTTGGGTAGGTTACGCATCAATTTCTCATCTTTGGCGTCGAGTTTTACTAGAGAACCAGCAGTATCTGTGATGGATAGTGAAGCAAGATCGAGGTCGGTCGTTCCGTTGGTTTGTACACTCTGCACCTCTTGAATCAAAGCATCTGACCAGATGGGGTCAGTCAATAAAGCGAAAAAAAAAAGGATCTCCCGTTTTATCTGACAATGACTTACTTTTCGGTGCACTCGCGTCTTCTGATTTGGCGTTCTTTTGAATACGGCGTAGTTCTTTGGACCAGATGGTTTTATATTTGATGAGATGTTGAATTTCTTCATCATTCACATAGTCCATTGCATAGTAATCCTCATCGAACTTGAGATCTTCTTGCTCGACGCGAATTTGTCGCCTGGATTCCGTGGTGGATTTTTCAGGCGCGGGAATATCATTGATTTCATTGGGCGTTTCTTCCACATGTGTAAAGTAGCCATTGTACTGATTATTGAACCCGTAGCAGGAAGACTGCACCAGCAGTTCATCTTGTGGTAACTCTTGCGGCAACTCCCAATTGAAATTCTCGGCTAAACGAATAAAGGAACGTTCTCGGTTATGCTGTGGTCTTTCGTCATGCAGTGGCTGTGGTCAACCCTACCGTCTTTCAGTTCGCTGATAGGTTCGGTGTCCATAGCATCCCCACCGACGACTTCGATCAAGGGTTTCTTCCCTTTGGCTTCGGCGGAAACGGATTCGCCTTTACGTGCCAGGAGTTTGGTAAGCAGATCAAGATCCTGGAAATGCTCGCCTTTGGTTTCTTTCGAGATCTTTACGGTGAATTCGCCCGCCGAAGGATCGTACACGGCTTTGGAATCATCGTCTTCCACGAGATTGCCCGGTAAATACAATCTACACGCGGATCGCGTTAACAAACATGTCGCCTACGAACTTATTCTTCACTGGCTCACATCACCTCAAAAAGTAAGGTCGTAAGAAAAATCGGAATTCAGTCCCTTGAACATGCAGATCGACATCTTGGGCCTAATCAGAAAAGTGTCACAAACGTCAAACCGCTGCGAGTGGCCATGACGATCACGTCAATTTCAGTGAAAAAACGGTAAACATACTCTCACGTAAGGCGTTTTGATAACAATGGTCACGGAATTGTCATCCTGATCCACTTTGAATGACGGTGTAATCATAATGATCTGCAGTTTACACAGTCAAAAGAAAAAAAAAAGTTTATGCTTGCGAAAAAAAAAAAAAAAAAACCACATAAAAAATAATTGCGTAAAAAAAATTTGATGCAGCGATACTTCCTGCAACGTACGATAGATATCCTGGTAACCAGCTGATTATCCTGACCGTACGATAGCAAAGAAGTACCAACGAAGCAAGCATTGTATTTCAATTTGACATGTGATAAATATTTTCTTTTATTTGTAAAGGACATCGCGATCTTCTTCTTTTGCACCCTTTCACGGAAACTCTAGAAAACGAGTGCCAGTTTAATATTTTTTCGGTTCATTTCGTTTCACTTAGTGATGAATTTATCTTTGACCAGATTAGCATGGTGACCTTGCAATTTTTTGTGATGGTCACTGGCGATATGCGGGGATGGGAGCTACTAGTGGAGGTGCTTGATGTCAGACATGCAGGGTGCTCGATTCAACGTTCATTAGATCAGCCAATAGAAACCCGGGGCCACTAGCAAAAGCAGCTTGTGATCGGAGAATTTTCCTCTTAATAAAACTCAAAAAGCTACTCAAAAAGATAGCCGTGGTAAAATGGGTCTGAACCCATGTGCAAAAAGACAAGATCCGCCATGTGAAATGCAGTGCCCGTCCGATCCTCTATATTTTGGTGCAAACTTTATTTTTGTTCATGATTTCATTAAACACTTTCAACCGTTCTGATGACAAATAGTTCTATGGTTCGACCACTTGTTAAAGATTGTCTGCATTGTAACCATGGTTGTTATATGTATGAAAGCAATACACGTCTTTTTATGGAACCAGCATAGTTGCCTTACTTTTTTTACAGGATTATTGAGACACCCTTCAACATCTGTCAGTGAGATAGCAGCTAATGGAAATGCCTAAAAAGGGAATCGGTTATATAAACTCAGTAGCTTATCTCGCGAGTGGCAACATAAGCTTTCCCGATTTCAGAAAACCCGTCTGCAACTGCCCGAGTCGACTTTTTCAAGTCCGCTTACGTGGGGTCCCTTCTTTTTTCAATCCGGGGATCGAAATTCACTACGTCAGTTGGGCGACTTTGCCGGACCACTTTAGAAAAACCCCATTCCCCGATCATATTGGATGGCGAGATTTATTGCCTTGATAACATTAACCGGAGAAAATCACCTTATTCCCAATCCATTTGCCGCTAGCCCGATGAAAAAAGAATTGAGTGACTATGACTTTGCCTATGCACGGGGCGGTGTAAAGAGAACTGGGGGTGGAGGCACTCACTCTTCATGCACACTGGACTTGAATAAAAAAAGCAAATGCCAACCAAGAGTTCACAGACAGAGCCAATATCATGAACCCAAAAACAGTAAAAGGATGAAATCGCTCGGTCGGACTAATGCGTTATCGATAAAGAGAAAATCAAACGCACAATCGATAGGCTGGAGCGGAAAAGGCACCGACAGCGGAGGATCAAACCAATGACCCATTTTTTTTTCTCAATAAAACATATAAAAGCGGGAGTGCAATTGAACGGTGGGTTCTTCATTGACGATTGATTCGTACTTTATCATTTTACACCATGAATTCGACACATCTCAACCTCTCCATCTTCCCTCCCGAATTGATTCAGCTCATTCTTACACATTTACCTATCAAAGACTTGATGCGTACCGAACGAGTGTCGAAAATGCTGCAAGCCTTTTGCCTCGCAGAAATCAAGCGACGCATTCGATGCGAAAGTGATGAATGGGGCGTCTCGGTAAGCATTGATTACTTTCCGCTTTCCCATTCGATAGCGATACTTATTTCATTTTATTTGCACAGATCCATCTTACACAAACCATGGCTAAAGCGACAGCATTTGATCCGAAAGAGAAAACCGTTACCTACAGTATTCCGATGGACCCTATTCACATCAACACCATGTTCGATCACCGTCGCCAAATCCACTGCTCATTGATGCGCCGAGTTGCCATGGAACCTAACTATTTAATGCGCGACGGATTTACCCTCACCGTGGAAAAAGGCATGACAGAAGGCAAAACCGTCCAACTCAATATCAAAGGTGCCTTGTGCGAAGTAGACGCAGCCATCACGAGATTGAAATCATCCGCTATCCAGCAGATCCATGATAAAAAGTCGCCATTGTCACTGGCCCCTACACCTTTAACCTATGCCTTGCAAGTCACGCAAATGCGTCTACCGCTATCCACCATTGCCGTCTAAGCCAGTATACCCTACCCTTCTCCCCATCACCATGTCCTCGTTCCTCACTTCTTATTCATTCCGCATCGCAACCTCAATCTGGCTGGCTCAGATGACGTTTTTCCTTCATGCACATAATTATTTATTTTATCATTCGACATTCCCATAATAAGCATTCTCTTAAACAATATATGATTTCATCTTATCCGAAACAAACATTGAACACCGTATTAGGCAATCCCATGACAGCAATGATTCACATATCGCATGACCTCCCATTATTTCCAGAACTGGCATTTGTCCTTTACTTATCAGGAAACACTGGATTTTTTTTTCTGGCTTACCATTCTTGGCGATCCTCTGGCAAGCCGTGATCTTTGTTAGCTCCAGTGAATCGTTCCAAGACCCTTGATGCATATCAACAGAGTAACGCTGATCAAAAATCGAACCTCTTTTGAACGCGACAAAACGGCGTCTAGAAGAATATCTCGACATTTATTTTTGGGGATCAATTGGACGATACGTATGGCTTGTTCAACTGGGGTCAGGCCTTTCAAGCCAGAGTCATTGCTATCACTGTTCTTTTATTCATTGATGTACTAATGGGTTTACTTGCAAATATTTTTTGAAAGGAAATTTAGGTTATATTTATAGAGAGAAACGAAAATAAGAGAGATTAGTGCTACTACTGTGGTATTGCAAGACGCTGAGAAAGAGAGGATTATTTGGTGTGCTTGAGGTGGATTGCGTTGATGATTGTTGAATGTGGTTTTGAAGGTGGAAGAGTAACGATAGTTACCATGTAGGCGGCGGCGGCTTGAGCAATAGCGTAGCCAAGGAAACCAAAAATAGGAATGCGAGCAAGAAGGTAGGCAATGGCTGAAAAGCCAAACAAGGTGTCTTTGCGGGCAAAGCACCATTGACGTTTCTGGCTGTGAGTCATGTTCATTCTCGCAAAATAAGGTTCCAGTAATTCACGCATAAGGGCACGCATGCTGATAAAAGCGCGAAATACCGTCATGGTATGATATCGCGGTAAAATAAGGAAACAAATGCCAATCATGATTCCCTGCGTTCTTCCCAAAGACAGGATAGAAGCATAGGCACCTGAGCATTATCACCATCATGAGAACGAAGAAAAAAATACCATCCATTCAAAAATTAATATACAGAACCCACCTGCTGCGGAAAATACAATCTTGCCGATGATAGGAATGAACAATAATGGATAAAGAACCATCCAACGCAATTTTTTTGTCATGCGCTGGACATAGTCAACGACATTGCGCCAATATTCCGCATGATACCGTCGGTTTCGTAAAGAGGAAGCATAGGCTGGCCTTTCTGGATGACAGATGTCCGAGTATCTTAGGGACTCCATGAACAGATCATCAAGCGGCTTTGGATAGATGTAGCGCATAAACAGTAGAGCTATCATTGGGATCATATCTGCGACTTCGTGAGCCGAGCGACTAAAATCCATCAAGACGGACTGGGACCCATGAATGGCTTGAGCGGACGGGGCAATCATCCATATCGCAAATCGAACGAGTTGGATAGGCAAAGCCACGAGGATATTTGTGATAATAAACAGCAGAAATGACAGAACTGATAAACGTATAAAGATACGCAGATATTTTTCTTTGCGAAGGCGTGGATTTTTCAGGACAAAAACGACGCCACGGCAACCGTAGCCAATACCTTGCAAAGTCCCAGATATCGTCATAGTGAGATGAAGCACAAAAAACTTCTTGGACCCTCCAGTAATGGCAGTGGATTACCCCCAAAAGAGCCAAGCATTTCTTGGTTGTTTCATGCTGCCAGTGATCGTCCCGCATCAATTTGGGTGAAGCGTAAAGTTCAAAATTGACACGTGAGCTGGGGTAATTTTGCAGTCACAACCCCCCAACATCGGAACCTTAGTTTCATGGTGGCACAAATTGAAAAATAGAGGTGGCCACCACGCAACCCAAAGATCTCTCTCTCTCTCTTTTTATCTCCTTACATCTATTTTTACTGCAGCATCTTACTTTGTTTACTTTTGCCACTTTTTTATATAACGTACCCTATTCATGGCGAATGCCGGTACATTAACGGAGCAGGACAATGACCGTCCTCCCAACATACCCAGAATATCATCGTATCAACGACTTAAAGCGAAGCTTATACGTAATCCATCGGAACGAGCTGATCCCAAAGACTGGCCACGACCAAAGAACGCGATTCAATTGATTCAGCATGCAGTTCACGGTGGTGTTCGTACGTAAACAAAAACAACCTGTGATGACAAGCCATCCCGGTGTGGCGACAAAGAAAAAAACCCGGGATTAGAAAAAAGCTGACGAAAACACAATCGATTAGGGGCCTTTTTATTGGCTTACGGTGTACGTGGAGGAGTCAACTTTTGTTTATACCTACTTCGAGTGATAAGGAAACGGTAACGTGTCTGAGGCAATGGGGACCGCTGTCTTTCTTATCAAAGAAAACCCAAAAAAAAAAAAAAAAAACTGATCGTAATCATCGTCAGCGCACCATTGGGCCGTATCCTGAAGGCCTCGTTTAAAAATCTGGATGCGATACGATTTGGGGCCATGTTTGGCTCTTTTGCATTTCTGTGGAAATTGGTCAACAATGGCATGCGACTGGCGCGTGATAAAGATGATCGGCTCAACGGATTAGTGGCTGGAGCCGTAGCCGGATTAAGTATTCTCTTTGAAAAAGAGGACCGTCGTGTGAATATCGCACAGCAACTGCTGGTCAGGTAAACTACTGTTGGAAAAAAAAAAAAAAGGTTTCTTTGCTGAGATGATCTGACGATGACTTGGCCTACGACCAGAGCGCTGCAAGCGATTTACAACGCGGCAAAGATGCGTGATATATTTTACTTTAGGAACGGAGATGCTCTGTTGTTTGGATTGACTTGTGCACAGGTCATGTACGGTTATACTGTAAGTTTTTTTTCTGGCATTTCCGCAAGCACAGCCAAAGAGACCAACCTTATTTGGTTTCAAAATAAAAATAAAAAAAAAATGTCAAAGTGTACCATATCTGATTGAAACGGAACAATTATCATGATTTTACGTAGATGCAACCGCATACTTTACCTTCGGACTTTTATGGATTCATGCTAAAAGCGGCACGGTGTCCCAAAGAAGCATTGTTGCTGAATGCGAAAAATGTCAGAGGCCTACCGCTGTCGCAGGAAGAGGTTCTGGCTACCATCATGAAGCATCGACCGACCGCCCATGCCCTGCAGGTCGCCAAACAGGTACCTGCATTTCCCGTCGCTACGCCTTGTGAAACACTTCACCCTTGGATCGACGGATGCAACGCCACCGCCGTAGAACGGTTCTGCAAAGTGTTCAAGAGTATGATGCCAGTCTATGGTACACTGCATTTTGTGCCCATGTTCCTGCTGCGAAGGCACAGCCTGAAGAAAGAGTAAGATATTTTTGCAAACAAGAAAGAAAAATGCTCGCTGGTGGCTCACTAAAAAGGTCATGATTAGTCCCGTTAAAATGTTTTCCAAGACGACGATTGCCACGTTGAAATCCGGCGCTTTTCTTGCTTCGTTTGTCACTTTATATCAATATCAAGTGTGCATGCACCGTAAGATGGTCGAAAAGGGATGGACAACATTCAATCATCGGGTTTTGTACTATATTGCGGGCTTTATCTGCTCATATTCATCTATTTTCCTCGAAGATAAGAAGCGACGTAGTGAACTGGCACTCTACGTGTTACCCAAAGCGCTTCAAAGCTTATATGAGATCCTGTATCAGCGTCGCCTGATATTCAAGGTCAAGCACTTTGAAGTCATCATGACCAGTGTTGCCATGGGTATCATCATGGTATGTATTTTTTAAATGGTCGTCGTTGGGTTTGCTTTCACGTTACTGATATGCAACCATCCATAGTCGTTTTACCAAGAAGAACCCGATGTTCTTTCCTCCTTTGTGCGCAAAATCATGTACCAGTTCTTCCAAAAGAACTAAAAATCATTCTTACTATACATTGTCCTCACTTATCAAACAATCATTATAAATTATCTCTTATCTAAACACTTAATTTGGCTTGACATTTTTGTTTTTTTCGATCTTGCTTTCTGACATACATTCTCAACTTTTACCTTTTGCAGTTATATATACGTAGCATACTTTATGATAGGTGAAGTCTAGAGAGATCAAATTGGATTGGACTGCAAACTGCTTTCGGTCGATGGTTGTCAAGTGTTTGGATCGTCAAGCACTTTTAAATGGCGATTAAAGGGGCAGAAGAAAAAACGAGGAAGAAAGACGGAGTCGCAACTTTTTTTTCGTTTATTACAGTTATCGAGATTCGTGATGGTGAACATTGGACACGAAGCGGGCAGTTTCTTCCAAACGGATGCTGAACTGCAGAAGCAGAAAGAGAAGCAGGCCAAATACAATTATACCCTCGGCGACTGTATCAAGTTGTCGTCCAAAGGCCTGGCCCTCAAAGTTGTTGATGAAGGCCGATTAGCGTACGTTGCTGAATCCGGATTCCTCACGCGATGTATCAATCTCCAGGTATATTTATAAATGGGGTAGGCCCAAGGTCTTGTGCTGAGTATCGTCATTAGACTGGAAAAACGGTGCAAATGTTCAAAGGTCATCATGGCCCTGTCACATCCGTCGCGCTATCAGCGGATGGCGACATTCTTTGGACCGGTTCCTGGGACAAGACGATCAAAAAATGGGACACCAAGGTATGACTTCATTTCCCATGCTTGACAAAAGTAGCTCGTGACTAAATTTGTTGGTGTGATAAATGTAGACGGGCGAATGTTTGGCCACCTTGGAAGGTCACACGGATTTTGTCAAGGCACTGGTCCTCGTAGGCAGCAAATTATATTCGAGTTCCTCGGATATGTTCATCCAGTCTTGGGATACCACCAGCAATACATCCATTTCCGTGTTCAAGAAATTGCATACACGTCCAATTGAGAGTTTAGCCGTATCAGAAGACGGACGTTATCTGTACTCGGCTTCCACCGACCGGACCATTCGCAAATGGAATTTGGAAACTGAACAGTGCGAGAAGGTGTTTGAAGGCCATGATACCAGCATTTACTGCGTCCGCGTGTGGGACGATGAAATGTGGACAGGTGAGCAGATTTGGAAACCAAGGAAACAAGGCGCGAAAAAAATAAAAAACCAATTGCTGACCCAATTTTCGGATTAGCATCCGCTGATAAGACTGTACGACGGTGGAATACAGAGGTCCGTGTGCATACATGGTGTTTCGAAGATTTTATACCCTCAGAATACTAACCGGACCATGTGATGATTCTGGTTTTTTTTTTTTTTTTTTTTTTGGACATACATTATTGTAGACTGGCGCAGTGGATATGGTGTTAACGCATCCGGAGCGCGTCAAATCTGTCGTACTGATCGGTCCTTATGTTGTGACCGGCGCTAGCGATGACAATATCCGTATTTGGGACATTGCCGTAAGTAACGTCGATTCGATGTATTGATCTGATACTGTGAAAACTTAAAAAGGGAATATGCATATAGTCGGGCGATTTAAAATGCACTATCAAGGGCCACTTTGATGAGGTCGGCGGTTTAGAAGCTCATGGTACAATGATCTACAGTGTATCGCTTGACTGTTCATTGAGACGATGGTCTATTACAGGTAAAGGTTTTGGATCTATATTTAAATCGTGCTTGGCTCGTATTAAATTTATTTTTTTGCCCCTGATCTAGCTTCAGCCTTGGAAGAATATATGAAGAATGATAAGGACGAAATTCCGCAACCGGCTACTGAACCCGCCTCGGGTCCTCAACTGACGCAAGAAGAAGAAGATGAGTTGGCGGAACTCATGGCCGATGACTAGATTTGATAGATGAAACGTTTTTTTATCTCTGTTTTATACATGTATAATTCACTTTTTATTGTTCTCACCAGGGAAAAGCAATATAAAACATGGATGGGAGAAAAAAAAAGTAAAAAGAAAGGAGTGTGATAAGACATGGAGAGGAGGATCAAAGGAAAAGCAGAAAGAAACTCTACTTTTTGAGGCCGAATTTCTTTAACCCTTTGGTAAATTTGTTGCCTGAATCTTTCTGATTAAGGTTTTTCAAAGGGTATTTAGGCGCGTTGCGAGCATCGGCTCGATAGGTAGCTGCCAGATCATCGAGATTGTCATCCCATTCCGCATCTCGAAGGCGATGACCAAGACTGCGTTCGCGTAGCGTTCTAGCGTAAGATCCGATCACGGTGGCAAAGTAGAACTAAAAATATGCTTTGTAAGATCGCATGGACTAAAGAAACGACAAAAAAATAGTTGCAGGGAACTCACCATGGCGATGCCTCCGACGAATAAAAGAATAGCGATACCGATAACACCGGCTTGAACGGCCTGACCGCAGTTGGCTAAGCCATACGTATCGCCCATTTGCATTCCCAAAAAGGTGCTGGAATACCCTCCTACAGACACCGTTTTGTCGCCTTCAGAAGAGGTTTGATTTTGATCAGGATTGCTTTGTTGGCATGCATCGAGGGTCTTGGATCGGTTGACCAATGCTAATACAAAGATCACGGCTTGCCAGATGACCACCAAGAACGTAAGAAGCCAGAATAGAAGTTTATATAATCGGATGAAGCCGAGTTTGCCCTAGATCAATGATTTCGTCCAATCAGCGACTGATCTTACGGTAGTATCCCCATGCCGACAAGAATGTAAAACACAAAAACGTAAACTTACCACTGCGGATGCCAAGATACCGTAAAGACCGACTACGGCAGACACAGCTAGAAAGACCAAATGAAATTTTTCCGTCAGTACAAGGGACTTTTTTACCCCAACCGGGGCTGAAACCGTGTTCTCTTTTTTTCACTGACCGCACACGATAATATAGACCCAGGGAAGTACGGCATGCACCACGGACAAATGCATAACCATGGCTACAGGAAAATGAACAAAGTGAGTACAAGTATCATGGAATCGATAGGCCGTAGACAATTACGATTTTTATGTGTAAATGTGAGCCCCAGCAGAGCAATGGCGACTAACTAATGGCGCCAAGCAAAGAAAAAGAAAGATGAAGGGGGGGTTTGTCGTTAGGCGTGTTCTAGCAGGATCTCTGTTTCGTAGCACACTTACGACGACGCCAAGACTAATAAGAAGCGTTGCAGGTCTTAGCGGGATTATACAGCAACAACGTTTTGCCATGAGGTAGTAATTGAAAAAAGTATATAAAGTGAGGAAGAAATAAAAAAAAAAAAAAGAACAAGCACAAAACTAAAATAGTAAAAAATCGAAATCACCGAACCAAAAGGTCGATCCAAAATCATATTTTTTCTTTCCCCGGTTGATCACGCTCCGCACTTGGTGTTGGAAATGGCAAAGTCGGACTTTGTCTTGTGAAGCGCGCGTCTTTTCCCCCTCTAGAAGTTCCTTTTTTTTTTTTTTTTCGTGTCTGTCTACGTGTGCGGGGGGTTTGCCCATGACTACACAACCACAAACTAGTACGACTCGTCGTAGTCAATCCACCACAACCCCACCCACCTCTTCCTCCGCTTACCGATCCGCCAATGCCAATGAACGACGCGACCAAAGACGAGCCGCCACTACCAACGTAGGATCAACCCATCGAGCCAGTCCACTGCTATCTGAACAACAATTAAACAAGGTCAGTCACGCTATTCACTCTGAATGGAAAAAGGAAATGCATGCGAAACCCTAAAAAAGACAAACTCACATGTTGTATGGTCCATGCTTGACAGATCAATAAAAAGATTGATATCATTCGCCATAATTCGTTAGCCAACACCAGTCCATCGCCACTATTGGTTGCGAAATACACCGATGCTGCAGATACCGTGGACGTCACTTCAATAACTCGTACTAAGGAATATCATACCAATTCCAACCAACGTCCTTCCTCCATGACCATATCTTCTCCTACCAGTAAGTGGTACACTCCTACGCAATCATGCACACTCACCGGATGATCTCTTGCTAAGCCTTTTTTCATACATAGATGCCACTACCCACCTTGACACATCACAGCATTCCCACTCACCATCCGCACGCTTTTCGTCCTCCGTACAGCCTGTAAAGCTTTAACCAATCAAGCACACGACGTCAGCATTCACTGAATCTAGTTTCTTTCTCACTTGTAGTCTACCACTTCTCAACCGACCGTACCGGCCATCGGTCTCTACCCTATTCACATCCAAGAATACGCACTCATTGAAGATCTTTTATTTGTTCTCATGGTAAAACGCAATAGTCACCGTTTCCCACGTCCTATGTTATCAATCACATTGAATGTTTGTATTTGGAATCCAGGGCATTGATGGTTCCTATATTCGCATTGTGTATCCTCGAGCTCTGAATGACGAAGACGATGATCCAATGGAAGACATACAGTCTTCTGCGCCACCATCGGAAAATGACGACGCATGGGATTCAATACAGTACAACGTCGATCCGACATTAGGTACGATGATCTATTCCGCGGTGTGAACGATGTATGGATTCAGGAGAATAACAAGACGGATTTTTTTTGTGCATGTTGCAGATGCTAGTTTGAAGCATCTCGTCGAAAAACTACTTTCGATAGCGACCTATTACATTTCGGTCCAAGCGTTCGTGGATGAAATCGGCCGATACGAATATGGAACCATCAATCATGCATTAGGCTCCGCCATCAAAACATTTTTAAAGGTTCAAATACCATGGTTCCACAAACAACTTGGAATTGACAGCTCATGTCATGCAACTGGGTTTTCTTTTTTAGGAATATCTCACATTCATTGCTCAACTGGAACATCAGTTCAATACGAGCAGCAGTTTTACCCTCCAACGGTTCTGGTTCTACTGTCAAGAGCCACTCCAGATGATGAAAATTCTGCATACACTGGCCATGAAACTTCGACACTTGCGTCGCTCGTCTTCGTTTGGTGATACACCAGAAGACGAGTTTGAAGCCGTCTTGGAAGGATTGAAAACCGAAGATCAAGGTACCGATATTCAAATTCCTGAAAAACAAAAAGGAGGCGCGATTCTGAATGTCCTCGCGAAACGACTCATCAGTCTGAGTGGGTACGTTTTTTGTGGAGATGAAAAACCACGCGAAAATCTTGAAAGACTCATCTTGTCTAATTCCATTGAACAGTGATCCGAAATGCAAGTCCATCTATTCATTCCTACTTGCTCAGGCTTCCGCTCCTTATTTCAAGATTCTCGACTCTTGGATTTACCATGGTGAAATTCGAGATGTATACAACGAGTTTATGGTCTTGGAAAAACGGAATATGAAGAAAGAGAATCTCAAGGAAGATTTCAATGATGCTTATTGGGAGATGCGATACACTATTCGTGAAAATGCCGTCCCTTCTTTTCTGGAGCCTTTGAAAACTCAAATTCTATTGGCGGGCAAATACCTCAATGTCGTGCGCGAGTGTGGTGTGAACATTGCCAAACCAGAAGACATGCTCACAGCCATGCAGCAGACCGATTTAGCCTCTGATGCTTCCGCCGATGGACGCAGTTCAGCCGACGAATTTCGACATCGAGAGAACCGACTGTCAGGATCCATGTATCGGCGAGAACCGCCCATGTCTATGGAACAGCATCACGTACCATCTCGTAACGATGTATGGGCTGCGGTGAACGGTGGTCAGTAAGTAACATCCATTCTTCCTTTGTCTTTTTTGTTTCTTCTCTTCTTTTATCTGACCATATACGACCCCTACCAGATTCGTCAAGAACTTGGAAATTGCATATAAGTATGCCAATCACACATTGCTTCATCTTCTTTTAAAGGAACAAAAGTTGGTGACACGATTAGGGTAAGCTTTATAGAAAAATGTGGAAATTAGATGGACATGCTGACGTTGGATCATCCAGTTCTTTGAAGCACTATTTCTTTCTTGATCAATCCGATTTTCTGACTTCGTTTCTGGATTTGGCCAAAGCCGAATTGGAACAACCGGCTCGAGAAATCTCGCTCACTCGACTGCAATCACTGATGGATTTGGTGTTGCGCAATCCTTCTTCTGTAGCGGCGTATGATCCTTTCAAAGAAGATGTCAAGGTCGCCATGAGCCCCTTGCGACTAATCGATCAATTATTGCGAATTATTAATGTCGCTGGTCTCGACACCGTGGCGGCCGGCTCGCTTCCAAAAGATTCGCGATGGATGTCTAGCAGTGGACTTCTCGAATCCATGCATCAATCTGATCGATCCCTGGGCATCCCCGCCAGCGCCGGTGGCAGTATCGCTGGAGCAGCCAGTCATGAGTCATCCGATGTACTTTCCGGTAAATACCTTCTTACAGCATGCATCCAAGCATGCAGAACGATATTTATTTTTTTCAATCTAACCATCTTGGTTTCTTTTTTCTTTTTTTTTTAATTGTTTCATGATTTAGGGTATGATGCTTTGACTTTGGATTATACCGTCACATTTCCATTGTCATTGGTGATTTCAAGAAAAGCATTGACAAAGTATCAGCTACTGTTCCGACACCTTTTGTACCTGAAGCATGCGGAAGATTTGTTATGCGCAACATGGATGGATCAGAAATCGTCGATCTGGCGAAAACGGTCTTTGGATCCAGACATCGAAAAATGGAAATTCCGAATCTTTTCGCTGCGCAATCGCATGCTCGCCTTTGTTCAGCAATTTGCATATTACGTGACCAATGAAGTCCTGGAACCCAACTGGCGTCGCTTGGAAGCCAACCTATCAAAGGTACCTTACACATCACTTTTCGCTTTTCCAGCCTCAATTTTTGTTCCATTTGATCCGACACAGTGCTGACATGAAATTTTCATTTATTGACTTAGGTATCCACCGTGGATCAAGTGCTACAATATCATTCCGACTTTCTCGACACGTGCTTGAAAGAATGCATGCTGACCAATGCAAAGTTATTAAGGGTAATTGTATCTTCTTTTTGGGTTTTGCCATTTTCTGAAGGGAAACATTGGACTTTATCAAATGACTTACCGTTCCTGTTGGACCATAGATATACAACAAATTGATGAACTCGTGTGTTTTGTTCGCGGCTCACGCTCAACGGTTTACTCAGCTCCTGAAGAAACTAGAGGATCAACATACACCCAATGTATTTGGTATCCCCAAAGGGGGGCAAGGCGATCCTCAAACGGTTTCCTTGATTGAAAATACAAATCGAGCCCTGAGCAAACTCGAGGAAACCTTCCTATATCATATGAAGCTCTTGATCGAAGCACTGAACCATTTCTCGGCCATTGAAACGGTCCAGTTCTTATGTCTGGTAGTGCGTCTCGATTACAATCTGTTCTATAACACTAGCATTTCCAAAGAAGGCCCTGCGCGCGATAGATACAGCAGATAGTGAACGCTGTGGTAAATTAGCTCATTGGTTTTTCTCCTCATTCTGTAAGATAGTTGTTTTATTGTTTCTTTTGCTTAAACTATGTAATTGCTTAATCGCTGATTGGGAGCTAAACTTCGCCCATATTTTTACTCTTTCATATTTCTCTTTCTATGAAGGCATGAGCATGATCTTCCAGCAAAAAAAGATATCAAAAGTGGGATCACATGATTTTTTTACTGTGTCTACATCCACCGCCATTAACTCCAGTGTTATTCCGCGGACCATTTAAATAAGATTTCATGCACCTCATTGCTTTGAAGCAAATAATTTATGCAGGTACCTTCCGAGTCATCTACGCTGTATCGTATGTAACAACCAGCGTCTCATCGCGTAATCTGATAACACTAGCAAAATGTTGTCGATACCCAATGAGATCTTGTAAGATGGGCTATGTCGCAAAGTGAAGAATTCTCCGGTAAACCAGGTAACGAATCTTTACCGTCTTATTCCGATACAGCATACAGCATACATACACAAGTTGTCATTATTGACAATGTGCTTGCCATTCCATGAAGCCATTTACAATAGTGATTTACATGTGATGTGGAAACGGTCGACCGTTTCTTTACAAAGGATCTACAATGTCTCTCCCTGAAAATTGGCTGTCTTCATGTGAAAGCCCGCGGAATCACTGGCGCCACAGGCAACGATAAGATAACCCCGGGATTGTTACCCTCATTACACTTGCTGCCCTAATAGCGTTCCATTAACAACAATCAGAAAGACGCCACATGAGAAGGTATTGAAATTTCGAGTAATTCGTTTGGATCTAAATCATAAGGGACCATGAGTTGATGTGGTCAAGGCACTTTACGATGATGATGTAATGTTGCTTTCCTGCGTGGATCCTAATCAATAATGGTTGATTGTATGTGGGTACTTTGAAGCTTCTTCACTGGACTTGTCAGTGTTTTATTTACATTCATGATATTTAAGTATAAAAAAGTGGAATATAAATACTACCACAGCCAGAATTCTTTAGGCCTTATCAGCTCTTTCGCTTCTTTTGCCTCTCTTTCCCTTTTCTTTTGTTATTTTTTATTTAGTCTTATTTTTCATTGTGTTCATTTTGTCTTGAATCATGATGCGATCTTTTAAACATGTTCCCAGTATTATCACTGCCATTAGTTTGTTGATGGCAGCGATGATTCGTGGCCAATCGTTTCCTCAGGGTCCAGCTGTTGTTCAGTATTGGGGTCAGGTAAAAGAATTCAGGTCTGTCCTCTTGTTCTTTCCACGGTCAATGGACCCTTTGATATTTTTTTTCTTGTGACAGAATTCCGCCGGGGCCGGTGGCAATGCACAAAAGCCCTTGGCGACTTATTGTGATGGCAACAACGATGCCTTGATCCTATCGTTTATATCGGCTTTCAATCTGGGGGGTCTTCCTGTCTTGAATCTGGCCAATTCCTGTGACGGGACTTTCTTCCAAGGAACCCAATTGTTAACTTGTCCCCAAGTCGGTGAAGGTAAAGAATAGAGTATAATCAGTTTTGATTTCGTTTAGTTACTGAACAGTCCTCTTGTTGCTGTTGGTCTTTCAATAAGATATCAAGACATGCCAAAGCAAAGGCGTGAAAATATTACTGTCCTTGGGAGGCGCCTCTGGTGCTTACGGGTTCCAGAATGATCAACAGGCGGTGGCATTTGCTCACACCTTGTGGAATTTATTCGGTAAAGGATCGAGTGAGACACGGCCGTTTGGCGATGCGGTGATCGACGGGTTCGATCTCGATATTGAAGGCGGAGGATCCACGGGATATGTGGTAAGTTTCATTGGTCAGGCCATTGCCTTTTTACGCGAAACGAGTCAAATGATCAACCCATTTTTATTGCCATGTCACAGGCGTTTGTACAGGAAATGCGCAAGTTGTATGCTCAAGATAGTTCCAAACAATATTACATGACCGCAGCTCCGCAATGCCCATTTCCGGATGCGCTTTTGGGATCTGTCATTAATGCGGTCGGCTTCGATGCTATCAATGTCCAGTTTTACAACAACTATTGTGCGCCGACCAGTGGCAGTTTCAACTTTGCCACGTGGGATGAATGGGCTAAGCAAACCTCGCCTCAGAAAAATGTCAAGGTTTACTTTGGCATTCCCGGTTCCCCTAGCGCGGCAGGAAGTGGCTATGTTCCCTTCAATACCCTCAAACCGATTGTTCAATCTGTGGCGTCTTCCTACTCAAGTTACGGTGGTGTTACGGTCTGGGATGCTTCACAATCGTATGCGAATACCGAGGTCTCTCCCAATTATGCAGTCGCTCTTCACGAGCTGGTTCACTCTGGCAGTAGCAGTGCCGGAGGTAGCGGTAGCGGCGCCTCGCCAAGCCAAGGCTTTACGCCTGTGTCGTCCATCATGGTGTCCACGCCGGCGGCGGCTACATCCACTGCCTCCTTGGATCCTACCGGTAGTAATACTTTATCAGCTGTTATCACCAACGGTCCACCGATGACTTCTTCCGATGTGGCAAGTGCCATGTCATCTTCTTCCGCTCTTCCTACTTCGGTACCAGGCACCGGCGGCTCCAATGGCAGTCGATGTGTTCTGGAACCTACATGTAGCAAACCTGGCCAAGTCGTATGTCACGGCGACGGTATTGCTATCTGCGATCACGGGAAATGGGTCACTATGGCTTGCCCTGCCAGCACCACTTGTTTCGATACTACCGACGGCAGTTCAGTGTATTGCGGTGCTTCAACGGGTCACACGACCAACGAGTGTTCAGCTGTGTCAGTGCAATCGCGATTTAAACAGGTTCATCGTCCAAAGTTCCCGCAACCTTATCGATCGGCCAAAGTGTCCGCGCAGTTATCGGTCAAGAGTAGCTCCAACTCCACATTCGAAGCGGTCATCAATGCACGCCGCTTGGATAGTATGCCCTTTGGTAGTTCCGTGGTCGTTGAATTTGCTACTCATCCCACCATTAACGTTACCGAGGTGGACTCGGGTTTCATCAAATCCAACGGGAAGAACGTCAAATTACAAGTCAAAAACCCCAACAAGAAAAGCATGGCTCTTGTTTTCTCCATCAAAGGAAGCATGGATTCCCCCGTTTTCATCGCCCCCAATCCATCCAGCATGAAATTTTTGTCCTAGAAAAAAAAAAGGGTCGCTTGCTCGTAGTCCATTTTGTTTTTGATTCCCTTTATTGTTCACAAGAAATATAAATATGTGTAAAAAAATAAAAAGACAAAGAAATATCTTCACTGTACTCTAAAGTTTACCACTCATGTCTGCGTATCCTTCTCGTTGAGTATGATAGAATATTGCAACCTATTCCTAAAGATTAATAAGATGAATCCAGATCGCTATGGATATCTTAGATTTGGATGCCTGATTGCTGAAACAAACTGCAGTTGGCATTAGCTTGGCACTTGGATCTTTGGTCTAGATTTTCACAGAGTAGCATTCCCGGAACGTAGATGGATCAAAAGTGCCGTTCGAAAAAAGTCTCCGAAACCGCTGTGACAGGTACGCTATTTGAAAGTTTTTGCTGCTTCATTGGTCAATGGTATTGACACTATGGATTCAAAATGTTAAAGAAGTAAAGATATGAAGCGTTCATAATGCCACATTGTTAGCAGGGTACAAAGACGCGAGCGCTACAAGTCAAACTATAAAATGTTTTGTATATATATAAAGGGAGTCTTCTTTTGTTTGATGAAAGATATACAATTCATGCGAAGGGTATGGATATACGATTTGCCGAGAAAAACCCGACCACAATAAGAGGGGAGAAGAGGAATAAATGTACATAAAATGAATAAGAATGTAGAGACACGATGGGGTGGGGAAGGGATGAGTTTGTAAGAAGACAATTTTTTTTTACATATGACGTTGGAAAGGAGAAGTGGCATTTACATTGGCGGAAGGTGAACCATTGGCATTGGTCTGTTGAGCGGCTGCAACGGCCATCTGCATCGCCGCCTTATTTTGACCGGAACCATTCACGGCCGCAGCCATATTGGCAGCAATCATACCATTGGCCATCGCCACCGCGGCTTGCTGTGGAGTCATCTTTGTACGACTGTTTTGGCGTTTCAGTGGCAAGGAGGAAAGGTTGGGTGCAGCGGCGCGCACTATCCCACTGGGAGTCGACGACCGAGCTTGACTGGCTCGTACACTTGCCGCATGCCAGTTCATCATATTCAAGGGCGTCAAGAACGGGATGGTCACCAGATTACGAAGCTCAACTTCACCCAACAGTTGGACACGATGCCTCAGATAACTGGGAAAAAAGAGAGTAAAAAAAAAAAAAAATTAAGTTTTAGGTCACTGGCCAGAAAATTCCTGGTTTTTTTTTTTCTTTTTTTTTTGGTCTTTTCCTCTCCATGTCTCTCTTTCCTTTTTCTTTTGCTTTCTTTTTTTTTGGTCTCATAAAGCTTACCTGTCTTTCATTTCTTCTACTGGCCAGATTTCGTCCTCGCTGTCTTCATTAACACTGGCATCAGAATCAAATCGATATGGATGGCTTTCGAATGCATCTGCAGAAGACCCGGTCACTAATCGGACATTGGCACGGTCCAGCATAACACGGCCACCACGACCGATACGCTTTCGGAACCGCGGCTGCTTTGGACCTTTCTGCAGCGGATGGAAGAATTGATCCGGTACGGATAATGGAAAAGGTTGATAAGGGCACTACATATAAAACGAAAGGCGAAATTCAATGGTAAGCGTACGTTCTTGCTGAATCCATCTGGTGAGAAAAATCGGAGGGCTCACTTACTTCAGTGATGTCTTCAAAGTGAAGATCCTGTTCTTTACGTCGTGCGAGTTCAGCATCAATTGCCAGTTGGATAGGTGATTTATCTTGTGTTTGGAATCCATCACGACGAAGCTTATTAAGAGGGATCTTAATGGTTGCACTAAAAAGTAATGACGTAGATCACGTTTTAGTCCACAAAAAAAAAAAGGATCAAGAGAGTGCACCAATGATACTGGAAAAGCAAGCTTACCCTGACAATCCACCTTCCATCGGTGTCTTGCGTTTCTTCTTGACGACAGGAAGAAGATCTTCCTCTTCTTTGATGCCGAGCTGACGTTGATATTCTCGGAACTTGCACTTTTTATCAAAAACGGTATGTTCAAGCACAAGTCCTTCTTTCCTGATTTTTTCTCTACGGAGGACCATCTCCAGGAGGTTTCGTGCCATTTCCATTTCCGTACGCAGTTTGCGCAACCGTTCAAGTGATTGCTGATCAGTTCGTCGAGTTTTGCGCACCGGTTTGGTTTCTCTTCGTCGGAAACAGACGTAAGGATCAATTTCATTCTTTAGAATATCTTCGGATTGTAGTGTGGGTATAATGGGTCTGCCTTCGCGTTTCACCCGTCGTTGTCGCCAATGGTCAAACACAGTCTCCAGAATCGACTGGTGACGTTGTAATACTGGCAATCGCTCCGGCAACATGGTACGAAACTCGGCATAATGGGGTATCTGGGTGGGATCCTGAAGGAGATGGAAAAAAGCATGAATTATTATTTCTGAATTTTTTTTTTTCCCTTGGATCCGCTGCATGAAACCGTTTTATTGTTTCTGTCAGCAGAAAACCCACTTACAAGGTTCAAGTGAGGTAAGTGTTGTCGGGTGGTTGATTCAAATTCCCACATGATGGCTTCCAGGTCGTCTTCTGACAGTTTATCAGATTTATCCTTATTGAGGGTTTTCAAAAAAGCATCATCTATTTCATCCATCACATAGGGGCAACCGACACAATCCTCGACGGTGGATGAGAACCGAATCAATGTTGAGGGTTCCTTGAATTTCTTTTTGTATAATATGTGAACGTCGTCGTCTGGAATGAACCGTGAAGCATCCGGAGTGGGAATGTAACTCTCGACTTTGGCTCCCGTGGTGACAGCTGCTTGAGCTGCGGAAATAGCTGCTTGCAAATCATGCTGAAAAAAGAAAAAAAGGAATTGGGATTGGGTGAGTTGGGATAACCTTTTTTTTTGGAAACCATCCAAAAACAGCCAGTGGTGTATATTTGATATTGTAAAATTTTCCGCTCGTGGGCTTCGGCTGGTGGGATTTTGGTCAACCCCCATCGGCCTCATATTTACAGCCGAACCCCCCAAACCAGTGCTCCCTGCCACCAGTGACTATAGTAGTAAGCTTACCTCTTCTTCTTCTTCCTTCTCAACACCAGTCTCTATCTGAGGCACTGAGCGTTGTATATTAGCATCCTCTGATAAGTCAGGCAGCTGGGACTCCTTGTAGACCGGCAGTGGGTGCTTGGGAGATAATTTTTTGACTCGAAATCTGGAGACCATCTGATGGGGAGGATGGAGGATGGAAAGAAAAAAAATGACCGATCATGTCAATCCATGTTAAAGATGATGGGATCGCATAACGGAGAACTTACTGCTTAGGGTGCTGCAAGCTTATGATTTCTGTTCAAATGGAGGGTTGAACTTTTGTATACTCTTTTTTTTCACACTGGGTTCTTTTTTTTCCTTCTGTGTTTTTCCAAAGCGCTAGTCGGTGTATATTTGTATTATAAAATTTCTTACGCGTGCTGGGGTGGGCGGAAAAATTTTCCGACTAGTTTTTTTTGAATGCGCGAAGTCGTGTTTGGGCGAAAAAAAAAAAGTAGGAGGGAAAAAAAAAATAAAAAAAAAAGAGTCAGCAAGTCACAGAAAAAAAAACAAAAAGGAATTTCCCAAAAGAAAAAAAATATCCCCTGCAAAATCTTTTCGCTTGGCAACCAAAGTTGGGAGCTCAGTCTGAAATTTCCTCCAGTGGAACTTCTTTTTTTCTGTGAATTTCCACCACCAAAATTTCACTGTATACCTCCCACTGTGAACCTCCATCACTATTTGACCTTCTCTTCCAGATCAGAAGTTTTATATTTTATTTACATAATAAAAATGTCTTTCGTTATATAAGAAGAAATGGATATAAGTAAGTAATGCAAATTCGCATTTTAGATGACACCATAATATGTTTAGAAAAAATGCTATATATGCTACGATAAACACACAGGAAATGTCTTGATGGAAAACCCTTTTGGCACCTTACTTGAGAATCAGCTCATGAATATTTCATGAATAGCCCTTTTTATGAATAATTATCAGTGAAATAACAGTGGTACTTGCCAAATAAACGTTTTGCCACCTTTATTTCTGCTTTGAATAACAATGGCTTTTTGGTCGTCGACCAAAAGGAATTCTTGGAAAATGTTACTGGAATTACTTTTTCTGGACCATCGGCATGCGGATCAATGATAAAGGTTTATTTTACTACAACATAAGATATTATTTATGAATGACAGCAGAAAGATGTGTTTTTCATCAGCATCAGTATGTCTGGACGAAGAGACAGGCAAACTCCAATTGGAAAACAAAGTTTCAAGTAGGATAACCTAAAATCTCTTCGATTTCGCAAGGCTGCAGTGTGCGATTTCCATGTAAAAATACAGAAACAGGAATTCGTATCCGTCATTCAGAATAAGCAATTTATGTGTGTTTAACTACTATTGACTAAAAAATAACCTGCCAAAGAGCGATCAATGTCATGCTCATACACGTTGCTGCGACTCATTGTGCATATCTGCAAATTTATAGGTTAAACATGCTATTGAGACCATCAAAGAGTCACAATCAACGAACCTGCACTCTTTGAGCATCTAGTGGTTTGTTGATCCCCTAGTGAAAATCCAATTCTTGGAGTTGGAATCTCACTCCATAGGCAATCAACGTTTTTCCTTCAATATCTGTGTACTATAGGTGTCACGTCCGCAAACATGGTGATGGTCCCCGATCCAAGTTGCTTTGATGTGGTTGGCAATACGCAATGTTCTTTTCATTTACCATAAAAAGTTCACAGTTCGCTGACCCCGTTCATCCTCAACTGGGCTCGGCAGCGTACCTATTTTCAAAAATCCACTTTATCCGTTTGATCTCTTTAAACAAGCATTGTTTAATTTAATAATTTTGTGTGTTATGGCGAGATCAGAGAAACACAATGTTTTCTTTAACAATGTCTTCAACGGTAACAGCTGATTTTAACTCCCCACTAACGAAACAATCGCCGAGTATAACAAGCTCACATATAAAACTGATCGGGGCAATTAATCAACTTGTTCACCTTGTTTTGATACATGAACCAGAATGAAAAAGCAGCTACGTGAATTTGCAATAGAATGAGTAATATGCGAGCGTTACAGTATCTGTGCGGAGATCGCATGTCAATACTTCTGGGCGAAGAAAGGCTCATTGGTATTTTTCAAGTTAGCGCGCGGCTCTTCTTGATTCCCGCCTGTTCTTGAAAATTTCAGTAACATAACCAAACACGACCATCGGCCCTGAGCTTTAATCGCGCATGACCAATTTTTTACAAGACATTCTAAGCTTAAAATTTAGGCTACCACAGGACAGGGACAATGGATTACCCCGCCATCGTACAAGGTAAAACCAAGCCCGGCTCGTATCTTTCTCTTTTCAATTGGCTCATACAGTTTCCGTTGGTATAACAAAGAATGTTGACATGTTTGGGTCTTTTTCATTCATCTTGGCAGCCGGTCGATGACAGGATCTGTATTGTTTGCAATGTCGGATAAGAAGCCAGCCTTCCTCGGTTGATAACGAACGAATCGTAGTTAAGCCGCTGAGCGGACAATAACATTATCTGACATGAGTTTTAACCTTATCTTGTGTGCCGCTCAAGCTGTTTATTTGTGCTCAATTATCCATTGAGGAACTAGGCCAAAGCATTGGGCCATGCGCGCTCGGTCATGAATTCGGGCAAAAAAGGTAGAAACGGTTTTAAATTGATTTTGTAGAACCAGGTCTTCTCGCTCTTCATCATAACCTTAATCTCTGTGCGATGATAAGGAGGACGAGGTAATTGATAGAATAAGTTTTTATTATGTGATGACGGCGAGGATGCCGAGCCATGGAATGATAGAAAGACAGCTGATGATTTTGGGGTGCGGCATCCTATGAAAGCGTCGTTTCTTTCCATTTGTGGCGAGAAATGCAGAGAAAGGGAAGGATTTCCAAAAAAGGCAAGCATCGATCAGTTCCCCCCAAACGCAGCAGCCGAAGGCCGGATTGCCGGAGAGTCATTTCGAACAGGAAGAAGTGGTTCACCGAATGATCCTAAAGTTCTTTATCGTTACACGAAACCGGCGAATGTTTCATGCTACATGACTGTTTGTATTTCAAGGTAATCTTTGCTCGGTCAAAGGCACATTGAGTGGATGTTGTGTCTGAAAAAAAAGGGTCGTCGACAAGGACAAGGACCGACCCGGTGGATCGGACAGAAAAGCAAGCAAGTGGAAGAGTTCCCACGACAAACGAATCGATGCAAAACGAAATTCGACGTCACGCATCACGTTTTGGGTCGCCGCGTATTGGGACTTCCTGGTTTTGGTGGATATTGCTGAAAAAGGATGGAAACTCAGCTTTCCATCCCTCTTTTTTCAATATCAGAGAGAAAAAAAAAAGGTAAACGTGAAGAGAAGAAAGAAAAAGTTTAAATAGTGGAAGACTGGAAAAGCATAGTCGCGACTTTTTTTTTCTATATTCTTTATCTTGCAGTGTCGTGTTGAACGTGACATTTTTCTTACTTACCTCTACGTATATTTGTTATATATAAACTCTTTTGTCGGCTACTCTTTACTGTTTCGCGTCTACCTTTTCCGTAATAATAATCCCACAGTATGTGCAAATCATCTTCACCTGCCCAACCCGCTGAGCGTCAAGTGCTCCCTACCAATGTCAAACCTGTTCACTATGATCTGACACTTCAACCCAACTTGGAAACCTTTGTTTTCCACGGTCGTGTCAAAGTCGAGTAAGTGGTCCACTCCAAAACTGCACCATTAACGGGGCGGAGGAGAGAAGAAAAAGAGAAAAGGGCACATTGCACGATGCACAGAACAAAACGGATGACCTAACTCTTCTTTTCTATGTTAGTTTGGAAGTAAAAGAAGATACCAAGCAAATCGTTCTCAATACACATGATATCAAGATTCACTCGGCTTCTCTGTTCTCTGCCAGTTTGAAAACCGAAACCAAGTAAGATAACGGCTATTTATCAAAAAAAAAAAAAAAAAAAACGCCAAAAAAATCTGGACGAGCTATTTCAGGGGGACTAATCATTCATTTTTTCTATTGCAGCCAAGTGGCCACTGATATCAGCTACGATGAAAAGAAGGATCAGGCAACATTGACTTTTGCCGAAGCTGTGTTGGCCAACACCAAGGCTGTTCTCGATATCACCTTTGAGGGTATCCTCAACGATCAAATGGCCGGTTTCTACCGATCTTCTTACAAGGATGCAGACGGTAACACACAGTAAGTGAAAATCGAGGGACAGGGACGGGAGAGACACAGTGAGCGAAAGGGAGCATAATGGATGACTCATGATTTCGATTCCACAGATACCTGGCTACTACTCAGTTCGAAGCTACCGATGCTCGCCGAGCTTTCCCCTGTTGGGATGAGGTAAAAAACGAGAGAGAGGCAACGCGTGTGAGATAAAGAATATTCACTGACGTAAAACATTCGAATTTTTCTTAGCCTTCCTTGAAAGCCACTTTTGACGTGACATTGATTGTCCCTTCAAAGTTGACTGCATTGTCCAACATGAACGTCACCTCGGAGAAGCCTTACCTTGAGAGCGCCAAGGGAACCACAATTGGCAAGCACGAGGAAGCTCAAACCGGCAAGGACGTTTCTGCTGTGAAAGATTTGAAGGAAGTCAAGTATGCTACCACGCCTCGCATGAGTACCTACCTGTTAGCTTTCGTTGTCGGTCCTTTTGAGTACATCGAAGCTTATACCTCGGGCGACCACAACGGCCGTCCCATTTGCGCTCGTGTCTATGCTCTTCCTGGATCCGTCGAGCAAGGTCGTCACGCATTGAACGTCTGTGTTGAGGCTCTCGAATACTTTGCCCAAGTGTTTGGTGAACCTTATCCTTTGCCAAAGATTGACATGGTCGCCATTCCCGATTTTGAAGCTGGTGCTATGGAAAACTGGGGTAAAGTCACTGACACTGATGATTCATATTTTTTTTTAATGCATCACTGAACTTTTGATTATTGATTTGTCACAGGTTTGGTCACCTACCGAACGGTTGCTGTAAGTTGATGGCTCTCAATCTGAGTTGTAATGAAAAAATGATCAAAAATGGGACTAACTGTATCGTTCTCTCCTTGTTATACAGCTGTTGTTTGATGAAAAGTCGTCTTCTATTGTGTTCAAGAAGAGCACTGCATACACTGTGTGCCACGAATTGGCTCATCAATGGTTCGGTAACTTGGTCACTATGGAATGGTGGGACCATTTGTGGTTGAACGAAGGTTTTGCCACCTGGGTGGGTTGGTTAGCCGTGGATCAGATTTTCCCCGATTGGGATGTGTGGACTTCGTTTGTCAACGAGGATATGCCCCGAGCTTTGAACTTGGATGCCCTTCGATCGTCGCATCCCATTGAAGTGGCCGTGAACGATCCCGCTGAAATCCACCAGATTTTCGACGCTATTTCCTACTACAAGGGCGCCAGTGTCATCCGAATGTTGAGCTCTTGGCTTGGTGTGGAAACTTTCTTGGCCGGTGTTCGACGATACATCCAGCGTCACAAGTTGGCCAATGCTTCCACCAACGATCTCTGGACCGCTTTGAGCGAAGAAGCCGGTGTCGATGTTTCCAAATTCATGACATTGTGGACCAAACGTGTCGGCGTAAGTCCTCCCCACCTTTTTTATTATTATTATTTTCCCTTCGTATCATCTACAAATTACTCACGATATAGATTCCTCTTTTTTCAGTATCCCGTGTTGAAGGTCGAGACTGAAGGCAAGAATGTCAAGATTACCCAATCCCGCTATCTTTCTACTGGTGACTTGAAGTCCGAAGAAGATACCACGGTCTGGTGGGCTCCTCTTGGTATTTTGGTCCCTGGCGGCAAGGTCGAATCTCACACCTTGACGGAAAAGTCTCAAACCTTTGAAATTGGTTCGCCCGATTTGTTCAAGGTGAATGCCGGTCAAACCGCTGTTTACCGTGTCAACTATCCCATCAACGTGATTCGTCAACTTGGCGAAGAGATCAAGAAGGGCAAGGACGGTCTTTTGTCCAACACGGCGGATCGCGTTGGTTTGCTTGCTGATGCTGCCAACTTGTGCGAGAGCGGTGAACAGGACACTACTGCTTTCTTGGAACTCGCTCGCGCCTTTGTCAACGAAGACAATTACTTGTAAGCACTCACTTGGTTTTCCCCAACCAGCACGGAAAAAGAAAATGACATAGAGAGAGTGAGAGTGAGCTGAATTGAACTAACTGGCTTTCCTTTTTGTAGTGTGTGGTCTCAGTTGAGCACCCATCTCAGCAACATCCTCAGCGTCTGGTACGAACAACCGGAAGATGTGCGTGACGGTCTCAAGGCATTGAGACGCAGCCTGTTTGCTCCTGTGGCTCACAAGCTCGGCTGGGAATTTGCGGCTACCGATGATTACCTTACCAACATTCTTCGTGTGCTCGCTTTGACGAATGCTGGTCGTTCCGGTGATGCTCAAACCGTGGCTGAAGCCAAGAAGCGATTCTGGCAGTTTGCCGAAGGCAATGAAGACGCACTTCATCCCAACTTGCGCGGTCCCGTGTACGGTATTGTGTTGTTGACCGCCGACAATGAAGAAGAAGAGCAGAAGTTGTGGGAACAAATTCTCAAGATTTACCGCAACGAAAACATTCCTACCGATCAGCGTTTGATCGCTTTGAGCGCTTTGGGCGGTGCCAAGGATGCCGGCATTATCCGCAAATATCTTGACATGAGCTTGGACGACAAGGAAGTCCGTGGCCAAGATTCCATCTATGTCTTCCGATCGTAAGTCTGAACTCATTGAGTTTGAATGAAATAGGAGTCATAACATGCCTTTTTCCCGTAGATTGGCTGCCAATCCTGATGCTCACGATTTGTTCTGGGAGTTCTTTACCAAGAACTATGATGTGTTGCATAACAAATTCTCAAAGTCGCTTAGCTTGTTTGGATCGGCGGTTCGTTCTGCCGTGGGTGGTTTTGCCAGCATGAAGAAGATTGAGCAAGTGGAGGCTTTCTTTGCCGACAAGGATACCAAGCAATACGAGCGCGCTCTTCAGCAGGCATTGGAAGCCGCCAAGGTGAATGCCAAGTGGGTCGAAAGAGATCATCAAGTCGTCGCCGACTGGGTCAACAAGTTCAAGGGCGATTTCGCTTAAACTGGTTTACCATGATAAAAGGATGATACACATATGATGACGAAAAAAAAAAAGTTATCGGTTATCCTTTTATATGAGATTTGAGAGAAGACAAATAAAAAAGACAGGAAAAAGTAATGTAAATAAATCAAACAGAAGATGTTGGTCGGATTTCCTTTTTAATTTTCTTTATCATCCAAAATCTATTGCTGAGGTCCAGGTTGACGTTGCACCACCGCGTCACCATATCGAATAATCATAGATTTCACGGTAGTGTAAAAGTTGCCGACCGCGGAAGGAATGCGTGGATCAGCGGTAGGCGGTAAAAGCAAACGATCGAGACTGACGCGAAGATCTGTGAAGGCTTGCTTTGTATAGGTCGATAAATGGTAGCGGAATCGTAAAAACTGGGCAAATAAGAAAATAGGCACGATATGCAATCTACATAGACAATTGAATGAGTATTCCCTTGGTTCTCGTCCATCCAAAAGTCTCTGAACGCCCCTCCCCTCATCTAATTTTCTTGCCAGCCACCTATTGGCTACGAAAAAATGGCGATTCCCCGTTGCCATTGGCTTCAAACCCATTGGCGATCCCAATTCAACTTACCGGAAAAGTCCCAATAACAAACGTCCAGCAATCACGACGACTTCAGCTTGAGCCACCAAACGCATGGCGACACCATAGTTTTTATCGGTCCATGCTTTGATTTGTTGTTGAAGTTTAGCTTGCCAGGTGGGTTGCGCAGACGACGATTGGCCTGCCGGGGCGCGGGGAGCAGGGAAAACGGCCGGAATCAAGTTGGTGCGGATATAACCCAATGCGTGGAAAGTAGAGAAAGTAAAGAACGGAATCAAAGTCACTGTAATCCCTCCAAGCGTCAGTATCTCCCATCGTACCCCCAAAAAAAGCACTCTTTACTCTTTTCCCATACCTGTAATAGGACTGTTCACGAACCAGTAAAGTGCAAGAAGCAGGTATTGCATGTTCTCGTCCATAACCAATCGTTGGGCATAAGCGGCATTGAATTGCGGAGCCTAGCAAAGACAATTGAACGAAAAACAATAGATGACAGACCGTGAGACTCGGGCGTTTTGCGGGAATGCCATGGCAATAGGCCTGCTCTTTTTTACGATATACTTACACCGTGGGATTTATAAATAACAACACCATAGGAAAGTAACGCACCGGCATATGCTATCTTGTATGCCTTGATACCAGAACCTAGCGTGAATATCGAGATAAAGTGGAAAAGCGAGCCTAACAGAGTCAATGCATGGCCGATGAACCAAGCGAATTGCTGAGTCTGTTTACAATTCAGATGTTTGAAGCAGTAAGTATTGGGGGTACTTGGAAAGGATAATCTCGGGAATGAAAGCTGGTTACCTTTGCAATCTGGAAGAGGCGGGCCGACAAAGGACGTGCTGGAGGAGGAGGAGCCATACTGATATGGTGTAAAAAGTTATTCAAACAGGAGAAACTTTGCGCCAAAAATTGCAAATTGCCCGTGTGTGTGGCACGTCCTGCGCTCTGCGGTTTGCCCGCCAACCCGTCCAAAAAAAGGGTGACACGTCATATGGGTTGAGCATGAATTTTTTTTTCCTTCTCTTTTTCCCTCTTTTGTCTTTCAAATGCTTACATGATCCATATTTTCCCTCCATAGTAGAAGTGCACAGTAACATGGATGATTACATATCTCTCAGCAGTCCATACAAGAACCATCCGGTATCCCCAATGGTTTTTTTTATGTCATCCGTTGTGATAGAGATATTGCGCCAATGCCATCGGTGCTTTTTGATTCTGAAACACCTAGTTGAATAATCCCTGATTTTTACACGCCGTTATCATAGATAGTCTCATGAGCAAGTGGTATTTTGATACTGTGCAATTGACAGACTGACTTATTGTATCAATTACATATTATTAATCCACCTTGGTTTTCCTGTTATTAAGATCTGGAGGATTAACAAGCCTAGCCTAGTATGATATTTCTGTAGGAGAACATGAAACAACTGACCGAGACATCTAAAGCAGGTCTTTAATGCAGGTAGCAATGGGTTCGTATCGACCGGTCGGTTCAATTATGCAGGTGTAGGCTGCGAACAAATCTATATTAAAAGCGCATGCGATTCGGATCCTATCATGTCGTAAAGGAGGCTCAGCTAATTGTATGGCTGCCATAGCTCGCCTTCACTACGAAAGAGATACTATCAGAATATTCAACAAATATTGGCCAGGCCAGAATGCGCCGACTTCATTAGTGATATAGTACCCTTCCACTGTTGGTTTGTGTAAAGGGGTCTGTTTCGGGGAGTGTACAAGAAGATAAAGTGTTGCTTCCCTACAGTAATATGATCACTGGCAGCTGTACGTCGTTAGACGATCAATAAATACATTGTCCTCCATTGGATGAAGCACAGCACGCTCCTACTATACAATCGCAATAGGCACAACGGTGAGGATCAGGAAACACTCGTACCCTATATTTATCTAACCGCAATCCATTCGCGAACCTATGAAAATAACTAAGTGGGGCTTCCTGCATTAAATTGTACGGGAGAAGTTCGCCCACCATGAAGAAAAAGATGCCGAACATTAATTAAAAAACGGATCAAGCAAAAGTTATCAGGCAATATGCAAGGACGGTTTTTCTGAAAATGGAGCAAGTTCAAGTTTGCACGCAACAAAAAAGCTTTAGCGTGTAGGTGACGGGAACCGGAAAAAAAGGGCCTTTCAAAACGGTATGTAGGCAGATTGGTTCGTGCACCGTAAAATGGAGTTATTTTGGATAATAAAAAATGCGCTGATCTCTTTCATCTATTACTTTAGAATAGATCGATGGATGGATGAATTTTCCCCTTGATAATGTACATTTGGCTTGGTTTTTGCTCTTCTTTGGAGAAGAAAAGGGGCGGAGCCAAAAGCGCCGAACATGATGCGAATACAGGCGTACGGGTGCGTAAGGGGAAGACGGGGCAGGAGCCGATCTCCCGTTCACCGTGATTCAAAGAGCATGACCGAGAATGAATAAATCATGGTCTGTCTCGGATATGCAGTACAAAAGTCGTGACAACATTGTCGGCAATAAGAATCGGGCTTGAAATCTTATGTTCATAGTCCAGCAGATGATTTAGGAGATCAAGACATCGTTGGTTAGCAAAACCAATCAACACAGACGATATGCACATGGTTCTGCATATCAATGCAACGGACTTATGGCATGTGTCAATGCATTGCATATATCACTACTCCCTGGTTTTTTTTTTGCAGATGGAGCTCTTATTATTTTTTGCTGAACCCTCAAACCAGGTTGATGAATGCACCATTTATCATTTTTTGTGAAACCAGGTTCAGTGACAAGCCAATTGGTGTAGATTTCTATGATTAGATTGTTTCTATGGGATGGGTCTCAACTTTGAGAACCCACACGTTTCTTTTCACGTTATTCATTCACAGATTTTTATTTTCTTATCTGTTTAAACAACGACATATTATCCATCACTGTTCGGATGCGAAATATCGCACAGAGAACATTTTCCTGCAATGCACCGTTGTTACGAAAATTCACCTTCATGACTGTGGCAGCCGATGTCCCGTTATCCATTAACCGATCATCATTTTCCATTAACCGGTCATTCTTAAACTATAAACAATAGCTAGAAAATAGAGCAGCTTTATTGATATTATACCGTCATATTTCGGTCCGAAATAATACTGTATAACATACCAACACATTTCATCTGATTTTTCAACTTCAAGTATAGCGCAATTTTCCCTTTCCTTACATGGAAACTTTAGCTAGGCAACAAAGGCTCTGGACTCCTTGATTTTTTTTATACCTTTCCTTCTCCCAACTGACGGCCTCTACGATTTAATATATACTGTTTACGCATATACCGGTATTTGGTGCTCTCAAACAACGAATTGACGCCGATCTACTCACCGCGAAGAAAAGCCTAACAACATAGTGAAGACACTTGATGAAGACACTTGATGAAGGCACTAGGCCGCCAGCATTGAAAAGTTGCCCATTGGGTTCTCAACTTTCATATTGGTTTATTATCATATTTCTTCGTCTTTTATTATCCAATCAGAACTTGAAAGCAACTCTGCTCGCTATTCCACTGGGCTTTCATTTTCGATTCTGTTCCTTTCCAACCCGATCTAGTATGGCTCGGTTTGCTTTGACCCTGATCTCCATTTTCTCTGACCCCCGACGATTTTGACTGAGGCAAAAAGACACCTTTCTCTTCCACCGTCTTCTTTGTTTCTTACTTTTCTGCACTTTTTCTATAGTCTTTTTATTTCACTGTTTTCGTTCGTGGCTCGCCCCTTGCTTCGCTACACGCGGCTGCTTTCAATAAATACCAGCTGAAGTCAGCCTATCACAAAATAAACACAAAGACATATCTATCTGCTGTGGATATCATCCTGTTATTTGCATAGAGATAGTGGCGGTGATATACACCCATATTATTGGAAAAAAAGCGCCACAGGTTATTGACCAGGCAGCGTCGTCTTTTTGTATCGCTCCCTAATGTGCTCTGCAGTCATGAAAGCCTCACCATGAAAGTCACCTGCGAAAAAAGTCAATGTGAATTGTTATCGACCAATGGATAATGTATAAAGTTATTAATTGCGACAGGGTTACAAAGGGGTGACCTTTTTCAGGCGAAGATATCATGAGGAATGTTTAATTAATGTTTTGAAATAAAATATAAAATATAAGATATAAAATGAGAAATATGGCAGCGACTTTTTCAACAGCGGTTAAAATATTCTTAATGAAAGGCTTAATGTCTTGGTTGGCTTTTGAAAGCCCTGACGTCGCAATGTTTGCGAGAACCGAAGATGTCGATTCAATTCTTTGTTGCATAAAATTGGGACAGTGTCGTTGTCTCCGAACATTTTGACAATTCCGCAATGATTCTGGTGGCGGCAGTTTCGGGTTGCTTACCTTCACACGCTCGCTGTAGGTTCGGAAGAGCCAATTTACGGAGACAACGATCAGCTTTCGTGAACATCGAGGTTGCCACCAACTGCAGCATTTTGGACGCAAGTTTGACATCTGTGGTGAGTACGCTGTTGCCGTCACAATCAGCAATTGTCCAGATTGTGTGTTGTCATCAAATGATTAGTCAGCTGACTCGAAAATCGACAAGGCAAGTATGTGCTTGGTGCGTCAGACTTGGATCGAACTTGACGCAACTGTCGAAGTAGATCACCCCCTCCTTCGTGGCTTTTCTTGCTACTAGGTAATGATGCCGTTGGTCGACCAAACGCGAATCATCATTATTCTGCTGGATATCGGTATCTTCGGTATCGCGCAGCTGCTGAAACATTGCATAGTGATTCTGAGTACCAGGTATACATGGAGTTGACAGAAAGTCGGCCAGCGATTTTCCGTGGCGTGCCAGGAGACGATCAGTATGCGCCCGCGCTCTGCATAGACGGATATATGGCTCCTGTTCGCGGGATCGATAACGGTATTTGTAATCGAGACAGAGCCGCTCGGCAAAGGAATCCCACAGAAGCCCAAGGTTGTCTGGGTGAGCTCAAATCAAAAGGGGTCACGAACAGCCGACGAAGACGGGATATGCTGGTAACGACAGCCGCAGCTTCTGCTAGGCATTGAACGTGCTCTCAAACGGAAGTGATCCGCCCGTGAGTACGTGCAGCCTTTTCGAATGAGGGGTATAGAACACCGTCGTATGTCCGGAGGTATTCAAAGGATGTGGCGCCCGGTATATGGTGCAGCACCAAGCGCAAAGCAAAGCGTTCTCTGTCTACAGGCGGAGCAAAGTAAACACACCCGGCTGACGGTCGTGCCTCAATATCTCCTGTGCAACTGACGAGCGATTCCTTTTCAAATGAAAACCCTGGTGTTGTTGCTCGGTACGAAATGGCTGGTCGTCGGTCCCAGTTTCGGCCCAAGATCTTGATCCAATCGCATGGACGAAACAACCAGAAAGTCCGCGATCTGACTGCAAATCGTCAGTTTTTGTGCATTATCGTTCCGGGTCTGGCCGCTCACGTTCTCCATGCTGAATGACCAAACGAATCAGTGGCACGGTCGATTTCGTCCTTTACGGCGCCGTGATAATTAAAGGCACTCGTGCAGCACTGGCCAAACGCGTTCTTCTGCTGGTATTTGGGAGTTGCACGGCCTCTCCTTTGCATGCAGTAAGCAGTGAAGGCAATCACCTCTTGCAATTCCGGATCGTATTCGTTAAGCAGGTAATATCGGAAACCACCGCACGGCTGAACTGCTTTCAAGACGCGAAGGATAAAGTCTCTATCGAAGAGTGCTTCTATGACGGGATCAAGAGCGACAATCTCTGTAAAGTTATAGAGAGGAACTTCGTCATCACCTTCAGATGGGACAACTTGTGGATAAGCATCCACAAGATCGCCCAGAGAAAAAAGGACAACATTTGGTGCACTACAAAAATTCACTCCTATTGACTCGCAAGTTCATGAGCGTGACGTCATATTCATCGATTTTTGGGGAGTGTGTTGGAGTGGGTTATGCACCCAAGTGTTTGGCTTTTTTTTGTACATTGAAATATTTTGATTGGCGCATTATGAAGGCATTTTGTATTCACATCTTTTATTGAGATACTCATCGGTATGTTGAGGCTATGTGTGTATTCTTCTGGTATATGGCTGTTTGACATCTAAGTATGTAAAGAAAAAATAAGAATGCGAAACGCTTTCATGACACGTAAATTAAGTGCGCATAACTTGAAGGAAAAATCCTGTCTCTCATCGCTTTACGCTCCCCATGATGGGAGCGGTTACTTGTCGCTCACTGCTCCGAATTTGTTGACCCTTATTCCCAAAAGGGACCCTTTCCCCCCAAACGTACTGCGCAGTAAGAAACCCGATACTTGCAGTGTTGTTTAAACATGTGTTTTCTTTTTCATTTTGAGTTTATCAAAGCTCGATCATCCGAATGTTTCAATTATTCAACCATCTTGCCAGCATAAATATGATCAGGAAAGACAAGCCACTGTCATGTTAAATTCAAGATAAAATCTATATTAGTACTTATTGAAATGGTTCACCCCGTTGGCTTGATGATAATCAATAGGGAATTGAAAATGAAAAAAAAGGAATCAGTAGCGGAGAAAGCCTCCAGCGCAAGAATTGTCGGATACAGAACAGACGGACTCCAAGGGGACAAGGAGAAGTCGAGTGTTTGTGCGGAGTCGGCAAACTGGATTAGGAAACAAGTTGCCCATATTTGTCAAACCACGGTGTTGCCCTAAAATCAAGGAGATTTGGGGGGACCAACCCTCGGATCACTGACCGTCGTAATCCATACTGAAAAAAGAAACAGCAACCTTGTGTAGTGAATCTTGATGTGCAGGAGCCGTATCAGGTTGCCGCAAAAGGGACACATATCCAAGAAGGCCTTCCCTCTTTTTTACTTTTTGCGCAAGAAACACCGATGAAAAAACCTGCCACTCCTTTGCATCGACAACAGGATTGTTCTACCACTCGTTAAAAAATGATGAGGAACTGGTATTTGGAGTGTTGATGTTACAGTGAATAACACTGGAAAAGTAGCCAATTCATTGACATGGATGTTCAGCTTGGTAGGATCCATCGTCGTGACTACGAACAACATGACCAGTGGTCGTGGCAGCACAGTAAGTTTTGATGTCCAGGGTGAGGGATGGTTTGACTGACAATGAGAAGACACACTTATGAAACCTTAACGTTTGGTCCATCCACGATGACGAATGTATGCGATTCTTGTACTCGTGCATAGACTTCTGATTTCATATTCATTTAATTAGATTGGCTGATCTGGGCGCTCAAGTGAGTGTATGGTGAAAAATGGCGTTTGTGATTTGTGTATTGCCATAATCATGCTTCTTCTTGTCGCGGGGGAGGCGGAGGCGGGGAAGGGGGGGGGGCGTGTAGAGAAGGGGTCCTATTTGCGTGTATTTATTCCAGACTTTAAATCCGATAACATAGGCCTATTTGAATGGACATCTCCCTTTTTGTCGAGCCCCCTTCTCCGCACATACACCAAAAAAAAGAGAGAGAAACTCCCATGCAAATATTTCAGGGCATCCCCTTTTGGGGAATCGGCTTTTGGTCAAACCTGTAGGTGCCTACCATCCAACAATGTTTAGACTTACCGACAACAAAAACGGGGGTTAACGCGTGCATCCGCCCCCTTGAATCCAAAAAAGCTTATCTTGATAATTATAGACTGTGCGAACTGGCCTGAACCAACCCAGCCATCTTCCTGCAGTTTCCAGATCATGATTATATCAAATAAAGATCCCTCGTTTTTTTTCGTGTGTGGCCGGGTTCCTGCCTTGTTTTGGCTTTCTCCACTACTTGCTCCTAGTTTTGTTTCCTTGTTTTTTTTTCCCTATATCGTTGAAGTTCGGTTCCATCTACTCCGTCTTTTTTCCTTCAATGGCCTTGCACACTCCAAGGTCCGCTCACTCAACGTCCGCACAAACATCGACACACAAGCAATCTTTTTACTCCTTTCTCTTCGTATTTTTTTTGAAATTGGTCCGGAGACTCCATTACCCGTGAGGTTTTTCGCTGCGGCAATAAAGGGCCTTTGCTCTGTTTTTTTTGTCGATTTCTTTGAGGAGACTCCATCCACTTTTGATCAATGTATTGCAGGAAATTGTGGCGTAAACAAAAAATAAAATAAAAAAAATGAATGGCCCCCATCCCATGCATCAACAATCACGACAATTTCCGAGAGAAATATTGTAATGGATAATGTGCTAATGTGTTTAATATAATTTGTAATACTTTTTCTCTTTTTTTTTTTTGGACAAGAGCTTTTTAAGATGAATCACTACAACCAATCAATAAAAATAAAGATGAAAAGAAAGTAATATCATAACAATGAACAGTTTTCCGAAAGATGGGGTGGAAAAGAAAGTAAATAAAGAGCGAGCATAAAATGGCATAAATCAGAAAGTCGTCCAAGAAGTATATACAAAGAAAAACCAGTGGATCTCTTAACATGCTATAAAGAAATTGACGAAAAAAAAGAAGAAAAGGAAATGCACATGCGCACACACACACACACACAGAAGCACACATACGCGGAATTAGAGAAAAATAAATCACACACAGACACATACACGCTGGTACATTGGCGCACACACGCAATCCATGCACGCAGAATAGAAGATGGGGATTTGCAGAAATAAACAAAGAGTTAGAGGAAAAAGGAAAAGTAAGGACGACTGTCGGGGACGGAAAAAAGGGCAGATGGAGGGGATGGCGGACGTTCAAAAGAACAAGAACCCAAGGAGATGCGAATTAGAGAATTAGAGAAAAAAAGAATAACTTTCAACGACCTTGCAGGCGGACATTTGAAAATTCGAAATCAAAGAATAACAACAAAAGCAAAGCAAAGCAAAGCAAACAAAAGAAAAGGCAGGGAAAGCAAAAGGGTATCAATGGGAATAAGAGAAAAGAAAAAGCAATGAGGAAATCAGAGACAAGAGCATGTGCGATCGTGAGGTATATAGCAGACAGAGAATGGCCGAAAAACGGAGCCAAAGAAGATTGGACGAGCGATCGATTTAGGTTTAGTTGATCTGAATAGGATAACCGCCATAATAAGGGGAATGACCTTGAGTGGGTGTGTATTTGGGCCGGTACGAGTAACTGCTAGGCAACATGTCCTTCATGAATTGATCGGGAGAAGCCGTGTGTGATAATGATGGCCATCTTGGTTGAGATAAAGAGGCACGATGAGGGTGGGAAGCGGTGGATCGGATAGCGTAAGGTGTGTTGGGACGGTAAACGATGGGAGCCACAAGAGGTGGTGAAGCGCGATATTGAAAGCAATCCGAAGGTGTGGTGGGGGGACTGGGCGGAGCATCGCCTTCTGAGTCGCAACTGGTAGCTGGCGAAGTAGGCGTATAGTGGGTCGGAGATGGTTGACTCGCCTTGTTCATACTATAACCAGTCAAGGCGGATTAGAATGATTTAGCTCAAATGACAGATGAGGCCAAAAAAAAAAGTCAGGTCGACAGCTTACCTGAAAGCTTTCCATTGTGGATCGTGACAACGTTGATGTCTGGATAAGGTGGTTTTGCGTGTGAACGACTTTCCACATTCGGGGTATAGGCATACGTACGGACGCTTGCCAGTGTGTGTGCGTCGATGTCTGGCTAATGAGGAAGACTAAAAAAGGAAATTTTCAATCAGCCAATCGATTGGAGAGTTGGGGTGGGGTTGAATATCCAAGCTAATGTAAAAAAAGTAAACTTACATCGCTGAATGATTTGCCACACGCTTCATATTCACAGACGTGGGGTCGTTCCCCGGTATGAGTGCGATAATGAACGGTCAAGGCCGATCGTTGGATGAATTGTTTGCCACAGCCTTCCCATTCGCAGTGGTAGGGTCTTTCGCCTGTGTGAATTCTTTGATGCCGGGAAAGATCGGATCGTCGAGAGAAACATTTGCCACAGTTATCCCAGTCGCATTCAAATGGTTTATCATAATCCGAGGAAGACGAAGGTGAAGAATGGATCGATACGTCAATGTATTGATCGTCTTGTGTATTAAGTAAGTTTCGAATATCCATATTAGGCAAAAAATTGATAAAGAAGATAAAAAAAAAGCGATTGGTAGGTAATACGAAGAGTGTTGATAAAGAAATTCGAAAGAGATAAGTAAAGCGGAATGAACAAGCCCAATCATGCCCATTTATATATACAACCGAGCGCGATAGATAAAAAAAAATTCTGAGGAGTCGTCACGGGTTGGGCGTGTAAAGTGATGCACATAAAAAAAAAAAATTTAAAGTTTACACTGAGAAGGACAGTGAGTAGTGCCATCCACACAAATTTTGGGATGACACGCTGTTGAACCCCGTCACAAATAGTTTCTTTTCTGACAAGTTCGGAAGAATGAGTTGGGATTCTCCCTACCCACCCTCCACATAAAGAGTCTAACAGCGAAGAAACTCAAAAAAAAAGGCAAATCCCAATATTGTTCCTTCTCCGTTTCTTTGGCTGTCCACACACCTTGGATTCCCCCAACATCTGAATTTTTCCCATCCCTTCCGTCTCCCTTAAACGATGGCCCTTGATCTTTTTTACACTTGTGTAAAGTCTGTTTCCTGAAAGCCGACGAAGAAGCAAGGGTTCCTTGCGCTTGCGGAGAAGTAAAAAAGAGTGTAGTCTTTATTGGGTAACCAAGGGAGCGCGAAAAAAAAAGAAGGGAGGTCGCTCGGTTGGGGGGACACGGAGCAACCGTTCAAGTTGCAAAAGGAAAAAAAATAGATCACTGTGAAAACCCATTTTCATTATCACTAATCAGTCTCTCTCTCTCTCTCCAATAATTGTCTATTGAAGCTCCTTTCAAACTCTTTTTTTGTTTTCCTCTCGTGAAATTGATTGACCTGTGGGTTATGTTTTGTTTCCTCCAAGTTTACTCCAGTTTTGGTAACTCCGTTTCTACATCAGTTTTTTTAAACTATAAGCAACCACGACCTCATTGCCTAGCGATCTCCCAGCCACTACCGTTACAGTACCATGGCAGTGCCATGGCACTGCATATCCATAATGCGTGAATGATTTTTTTTTCAAGGTTTACAATAAAATGATTCATGAAAGCGTTCACATACATGTGGCTCATGGCTTGAGAAGGAGGTGAGGGCGGAGTCAGAGAGGAGAAACAAAAAAAAAAAAAAAAAAAAAAAAAAAACGGATAGGATTACCGTCCACTGATCGATCTCACCTTGCCTTTTCTCGGCTGTTATCACTCATGCATCACTCTTCATGTCCTACTGTGTTAGTATATGCTTTGAAAATCGATACTTCTAAAGTCCACCGAATCTCAGCATGAAAGATTAAATAACGAAGAAAAAGAGGAAGGTAGTTCGTTTATTATAAAAAGAAGTCGTGTTGGGCTGAGGATGTTAAAAGAACGATACTTTAGGGCCACGTTATGGTTTTTTGTGTAATGACCTTTCAACAGAGATAAGATATTTGTTGGTTTTAGTGGATTGGGTAACCATAATATCGGACATAGGCTAAAAGACCCATCCTCCAAAAAAAAAAAAAGATCGAACGACTATCCTATCGGGATCGAACGGGCACGAGCCATAAATTCAGTAATGAAACGCCGCCGCTGGTCCTGTGCATTTTTGCCGCAACCCATGACCATGTTAAAACCAGTATGTGCATCATCATCCTTTGAAAAGAAAAATACAAGGAAAACCGACCAAGTAAGCATTGCCTGTGACAATGATAAACAAAAGGCGGCCTAAGCACTTCATTGTGGGAATGCTGAAGTCAGCGTAGGACGGGTATAAATTGATGCTGATGATCCAGTGTGACATGTTCGACCCTGCCCCACCTTTTTTGCGTCATTTGTTCGATGCACACTAGTGAACAAAGTCAAATCATAAAAATCAAACCCATCAACGCCGCTCGTTCGTTTTATACCGCCAAGAAAAGGATCATTCCCTTTTGCTGCTTCTTGTGGTACGTTGAACAACTGTCTTTTCGACGCTTGACGAGATCATAGGGTTTCCTCATTCCCAAAAGGATATCCGCGAGTCAGCTGAAAATTTACCCCTCGCACTAGAAAAAACATAAAAAACCACCCATCGAAAACATTAGCTGTTAAAAGATTTACCGATCCTTTCATGGAATGACTAGTTTTCAAAGAAGAAATAGTGATCGATTGCCGCAACACCAAATTTTTTTTTAAAAAAAAAGTCGTTAATGTGGGTCATGACGGGGAATTGCCTACTAATTGAACTCCGCCAAAAGGACATCTTTTCATGTAGTGGTGATACGAACGGGCCTTTTTAGGTTCAAAATCCGGTTAGTGCTCTTGTCAATGGGGTCGCCGATGAGAGGCGGAGTCGAAACCCGACATCAGGTGGGATTAAATCAATGGTCCGCTGCTGCCCATTCTCAATTACTGAAAAAGAATCACCCCTTGGTCCATGTCTGTGCAAACACACGATGAACTCCACTCCGCTCGTTGCTACGATCATTTAGCTTTTTTTCATTTTTCATTTTGCAGGTTTTCCTCCCGATTGCAGATCGCATAACACATTCTTTCTTCTTTTTCATCTTGCATATTCATCCTTTTTACCATGTTGTAGTCTCCTAGCCGTTCCTGGAACAAAATAGGCGGATCCATGAGAGATCATGGGAACCAACTGGAGATAATGCTGAGCCATATTGGAAAAGGGGAGTGGCTACGATCTCCTGAGTCCCTGTATCTTATGTTGTTGAATTATGAGAGTGATCGTCCGCTGTTCTGATTTGTAAAAGAAATACCGATATGACTGTGATGTCCGCTTTGGACTTGGTTCCGCTTCCGTCAACATTACGATGGAGCAGAGAGAAAACCAGGGCAAATGGTGGAGGGTGATCAGGAGAAGGCTTGGGCCGGATTATTTCCTTTCCAAGTAATCACTATCCAGCAATTCACCTCATTTTTTAAATAGAGACACGGATTAAGTTGTGATGCATGGATATTGATTGTGTGATTCGAGGTTATGTTTATCTTTTTAAACTTTTTTTTTATTATTATCATTATTTTGGCTCGATGCACATGCAATCCTCGCGTGTCGGTTTCACGCATGGAATGCAAGCAATGAATGAAATTCATGGGGAAATTAAAAAAAAAAAAGAAAACGCAATAACTCAGACGTGTGTGGGGTACTCTTGCTTTTTTTTCATCTCCGTACCGTGCTTGTGAGCAGTAATAAACTGATATTAGTGACTTGGAGCGAATCCACCTCAAACAGAAATGCTGAAGCTTTGAATATAGGAACACACGTGCCATTTTGAAACACTTGTTCTCCAGGTTTTACCTAGTTACCTTCCATTGCTGGGGGGAGAATAGACCATGCAGTGATTATGTGGTTCAAACCCGGGGATTTTTTTACTATTATTTTTTATTTCAACAGAATCATGCGATAATGATGCGAACCAGGGCGAATTCACGACCCCGCTGCACGAATCTTGGGCCATGTTTTTCCTGCTTCCGCTTTGCCTCGTTTCTTTCGTTTCCGCTCTTTTTTTCTTTCCTTTTTTTTTTCCTCGGTTTTATGCGTGTATCCCCTGCCCCCTTATGTGTTTGACGAAAATATTCCTTTTATTCACATCCTAGCATTATGTCCTACTCCTTTGTCTTTCGCCATTCTAGAACTTACCATCGCACATTGCTTAGTTACTGGCACCACGATACCCGTCGCCTTGTAAGTTTCACATGAGGTCTACTTAGACAAGCACGATTGTTCCTCATTATCACACAGCATAGCACCGTCGTCAACCTGGATGTCGGACCAGTAATTATTTTTTTCGCCTTTCACTCACGTCGTGCATGACAGATTGAACAACAATGGGTTATTTTAGAATTACGTATTGCACAAGAAAGCGTCTAGCGCTCGCATGTTTATCCTTTCTCGGCCACAGAAACTGAATGCACTGAACCTGTCCATGATCCGCAACATCGGTCCTCAGTTGAAAGTAAAATCATTTTCATGCAAATACTCGCTCAACACGCATTGGGTCAGAGAGAAATAATGGATTTGAGTTGTATATAGGCGTGGGATATGTCGCATCAAGCCAAGGTGATATTGATGAAGGGAACAGGACCTGGGAATTTCAGCGTCGGTGACGATATGCTGGGTAAAGGATCAACCTGCTTAAAGTCTCAACAACGGAACACACTGTGTCTCAACATTTTCTGGAGGTAGACATCATGACCAAGGCCCAAGCAAAGGATTCGGACGCATTGTATTATTTCCAAGAAAAGTCCGCCCTAGTACAAGCATTATCCACCTTGCATACACCTTACATCGCTATATTGGATGGTTACGCATGTAAATTACATTTCGAATACTGATGACATATGTCCATCCACAAATACTAAAGCCTTTGCAAAATGTATTGTTAGTAGGAGGAGCCGCGGGGTTGTTCGCTCACAGTCCTTTCCGAATAGCCACCGACAAGACGATTTTTGCAATGCCTGAAGCCAGTCTTGGTGCGTTTATGAACTCGGGCGCGAGCTTCTTTTTACCAAAGCTGGACGGCGAAATGGGCGCTTACCTTGCTTTAACGGGGGCACGATTGGAAGGCATCGATACATTGTAAGTATCAGTGGCTGTAGCCCACTCTATCTCAGTGTCATAACGCCCCATGGATTTAGTTACGCCGGTATAGCAACACATTACATTGCCTCTGACCGAGTTCCCGCGCTGGAAGACAGACTCATTGATTTGGAATCATCGGATCACGATATCATACAACAAGTACTGGAGAATTTCGTAGAACCTGTACCCACCGCCAAAGTTGGGTACGCAGCGGAGATTCGAGAGGTCATTGACAGGTACCAATCGCACCGGAACCATGGGAGGATGATGTGAATAACAAAGCGTGTGACAGATGTTTCCGTTACGACACTGTCCCGGAAATATTATCGGCCTTGGAGCAGGAGAAATCGACCACATGGATCAGAGAGACCCGACGAAAACTACTGTCACTGTCACCTACGAGTCTGCAGGTGACTCTGAAGGCTTTGCGAAAAGGGCGAACGATGTCTCTCTGTCAATGTCTGAAAATGGAGTTTGATCTGATGCAAAAGTTCCTTGTTACCAAAGATTTCCATGAAGGTGTTACAGCGATTTTGGCCAGCAAACCTCGACGAAAACCGGAATGGCAACCTGCGTCCATTCACGAGCTCAACATCGACGATATCAATCGCCTTTATTTTGATCAACCTTCTCCCAATACCCTCACTTTACCTTCTCCCATCGATATGAAATCTTATCCATATGCACGGTTTTCTCTACCCACCGAAGAAGATATTAGACTGGCAGTGACAGGAGAAGGTCCCGAGTTTGGGATCGAAGGAAGGTTAACCCAACAAGGCGATGTACTCGAATGGTTCGCCAAGAGCCATCGAGGAAAATGGGGCGTCAAGGAAAAAGTGCTGGATGTTTTACAGAGGAAAACAATCCATACAAAGGACGGACTAGTCTGGAATACATCGACTTAAACCGTCACTTCCTCCAATGTATAACAAACTCACATACACATATTTCTGTAACCCCCACTTGTATTTCTATCACCCATCCCACACTCTTTAAAAATTTGCAAATCGCTTGTTCAGTTTCTTGATTATTTATTCGACCCATACACACATCTATTAAATATACGATCCACTATTTTTTTTTCTTTTTGTTAGTTCTTTTTGCCACCATACTTGTTCTTCCACACTTCTTCCATCTTTTCGTCAATTCTGGTGAACAGATAGGCGGCGCCATTCAGCTTGTGACCGGGCAAGATATCCATGGTGAATTCGTTAGGAATCTTGCGCAAGGGAGCGTTCAACTGTTGCGAGATAGAATCCGAGGTAGCGGGCATGTAAGGGAAGATGAGAGCTGACAAAAGGTAAATCAAGTTGACAGCCGCGACCACAACGGCATCGCACTTGCTACGGTGTTCGGCGAACAGGGTATTGCTCAGATTAGATTCTTGCAAGTACTGGTTACCACGAGCGGAAACGGCCATGGCAATCGACAAAGCCGATCGGATCTTGACATTTTCCAAAGCATCGTTGTACTGAGCCAACAATTCATTGATATCCTTGACCAAAGTCGCTTCGGATTCACCGGACAAATCGCCCTTGGGAATCACACCATCGTACTTGGCCATGATGTACTTGATAGCACGATTCACAAAGTTACCCAGGTTGTTCAATAACTCGCTGTTGTTCTTGGTAATGAATTCGTTCCAGGTGAACATCGAATCGCTGGACTCAGGGCGACACGACAAAAGGTAGTAACGCCACACAGATGGAGGAATACCCGTTTCTTCAGCATTCGTACCAAACACACCATTGTTACGCGACTTTGAGAACTTGCCGCCTTCGTAGTTGAGATATTCTAAAGTAAAATAAAAATCGCGTTACAAAACATAGACCACCCCATTGTCATTCCATTTGCAATAGCGTACCAGTGGTGCTGATGTGGTGAGCAAGAGTCCAGTTATCACCGGTCGACATTTCCAAACCGGGGAAAATGACCGAGTGGAAAGGCACGTTATCCTTGCCCATAAACTGATACAATTTGACATTGTCGGGGTTCTTCCACCACTTCTCCCACGCATCGGTATAATTGGCGGTGATACTGGGATAACCGATGGGTGCATCGAACCACACATAGAACACCTTGTTCTCGTAACCCTTGAGAGGGACGGGAGTACCCCATTTCAAATCGCGGGTAATACAACGAGGTCTCAAACCTTCCTTCAACCACGATTGCGTAATGTGAACGCCGTTGGGGCTCCACTTGCCTAGAGACAAAAATTACGTTAGTACCTATTGAAACGAATTGTCTGGATTGGGTTGAATTGGACGCGTACCTTCAGTGGAGGACTTTTCCAAGAAGTGTTCAATGCGGCCTTGAAGCTTGTTCAAGTCCAAGAAAAGATGCTTGGACTCACGAGTGATGGGCGAGTTGCCATCCAATTTACAACGAGGCTTAATCAATTCGATGGCATTCAGCAATTGACCGCAAGCATCACATTGGTCACCGCGAGCATCCTGGTCCCAGTGGTTAGCTCCAACATTCATCTATTGCACATGGTTTGTTCATCCAATCATTTTGATTATGCTCACCTCGTACTGACACTTGGGACAGATACCCTCGACGTAACGATCGGCCAAGAATCTCTCACACTGTTCACAGTACAATTGAGTAATGATATCTTCGGACATGTAGTCATTGGCATAGGATTTTCGGAAAATGTCCTGAGCGATATCAGTTTGGTGCTGAGTGGTCGTTCTGCCAAAGTGATCAAACGAGATGTCGAACCATTCGTATACTTTGTTGTGGATCGCATTGTACTTGTCACAAAGGGCTTGGCAAGACACACCTTCCTCCAAAGCCTTGGTCTCCGTGGCGGTACCGTATTCATCAGTACCACAGATGTAGATGGCATTGTAACCGCGAGCACGGCAATATCTAAGAAACAGAAGCCACCCATTGTCAGCCGAATTCCCATCGACCCTTGCATCCGATCATCTACTTAAACCGAGCTTACCTTGCATAGACATCAGCACTCAAAGTCGAGCCCACAATATTACCCAAGTGAGGAATGTTGTTCACATAAGGAAGAGCCGAAGTAATCAAAATGTTGCGTTCGCCTTCTTTGGGTTCCCTAATAAGCAAAAAGTTAGTTATCTCGCCATTTTCAACGATGGACGTCCATCTGATGATCGCATCATCATAATCGAGAACATAATAATGGGGACACTGCCATGTCTATCTCCAATTCTGTTGTTACTTACTTTTTCTCGTTCTTGTCATGCTTCTTCAAGATGGCTTGGGCATTCACTTTTTGAGTGGCCGGGTTCAATTCGGGCAGAGGAGCATTTTCGGCCACCTTCTTGGGTGCAGCCTGCTTCTTTTTACCGGACGATTTGCTGGAAAGCTAATGATAAAAACGTTTCATCGTGTCATTAAACTGTCACCATCACTACCATTTCTCCGCCTAATGGTTATTGCAACTCCTTCGTACCTGAGCTTGGACAGTTTCCACGGCAGCGGTGACGGCAGGGGATTTGGAAACCTTTTCGTACCATTTGGCCAAAGTAGGATATTGACAAAGATCCGTGGAAGCCGAGAGTGTCTCGTATAACGCACCAGCATAGATAACATCGACCGCATTCAGCTTGTCAGACTATTGAAAAACGGATCAGAGACGAGTATCCAAAAAATGCCGTGACCATGGGAATCGCCAGACTTACACTGCTAAAGAGCTGCGATTCAGAGGCAGCGGCAATCGATTCCGCAATTTGTAATGCTTCAGCTGTCTTTTTCTTGTAAATCAAGGTCGTGAGGGTGGATTCTTCCTTTTCAATGGCGGAGCTGCGTAAAAGAGCCGTGGTATTGGATGCGTCGAAAGCTGTTTCATTCAAAAGGTATCTAATACACGTTTTGACGTTAGCAAAGTTTACGACGTGCTATACCATGTAGCTGAAAGGATTCTACCTGACAATGACATTGGCATCGGACAGGCTTAATTCAGAGGAAACGGTCAAAGCGATGGCATCGCCACTTTGAATGTCGAGTTTGACACCGGCGACATTGGCGGCCAAGGCCAATTTGAGAGCATTGGCATATGACTTTGTGGAAGGAGTAACCTTGCCAAGCGTAAGCTTCTGGGTGACAGCCATAATTGTTGTCAAAAAAAAAAAAGACGGAAAAAAGGGGCGAGGTTGATGGAAAAAGGCTGGCCCGGGTGGAAAGATTCGATGACTTTAATTTTTTTTGAAAATGCTCAGTGGGTGCTCGCCGCTCAGCGGTGTGTGACGAGGATTTTTCACCTTGACTCATTTTTCAAGCCACTCATTGGACAGAAAAGCTTCCCTTGAACTTGTGTGATGGAAACTCACTATGAAGTGCTCGGCATCTCCGAGACGGCGGATGTGGACTACATCAAGCAACGATTTCAACAGCTAATCTTGGTTGTAAGCAGCTACATTGTTCACTAGACAAGGCGAAACTCCCATGATTTTTTTGACCTTTTTTTTTATTCCAGCATCATCCCGACAAGAACACTGATTCAGCCAACGACCAACAAGTGTATCGCATTCTGAAAGCGTGGGAAGTATTGAGAAATGCAGAAAAACGACGTCAATACGATTTGGAACTAAAAGGTAGGAGAACTTGACGATTGAAATTCTCGGTTCTTGGACACTAATAGTGAGTAGCGAGCCGATCCCGTCAACAGATCAGCATCAATGCGGAGATCGATCTTGACGACATGGAATACGACGAGGAAAATCGAGTATATTTCTCTCCCTGTCGTTGCTCAGGTTTTTACGAGATTACAGAGAACGACTTGGAACGAGGTGTAGAAATTGTTGGCTGTGATCTGTGTTCGTTACGAGTTCGGATATTGTACGACGTTGTTGAAGACGACGGCGAGTAGCCTGGCTACACAACCTACGCCCAACTGTAACGAATTATTGGAACTGGGTTATCTACAGATTCTCGATTGTTTCGATCTGTCATCTGCTTTTACCACTTCCAAAACAAGATTGCCCTGGATTAGACTAATGTCCTGTCATTAATTGCTGCAATAGCGCTCGTTAACTCGTCACTTTCATTCTAGACATACTCATGCAACGCATGGGATAGACAGTTCATCATATTTATTCATTGTTTCTTGTAATTCATTTCGTATCATATATCTTATCATTCATCCACTGTATAGTAAAAAGTTTTCCTTTTGTCCATTGCCACACTATTCATTGGAACACTATCCAGTGGGGGACCACGGAAAAAAATGCTCCATGTCAAAAAAAAAGATTTCTGCCATTCAAATTTGGCAAATCAAATCCCTTCAATATGCAAGGCAATTCAATCAGATTTCAGATCCGGCGATGGGCATTGCTTTAAAGATGGTCCAATCATATTCAAGGGGTCACATGATGTAATTTTTTTATTGTTTTATTTTTGGGCCTACCAAATCCGACACCAAGTTGGTTTCAAGGTTCCTGTCAGTCTAGACCAGTTGCCATGCTAAGAGCATTTCAAAGTGCTTTGCAAAGAGGACTATCAGTCAATGGTGCAGTAACACCGCTTCGACATTTTACTGCAAAGGCGGCGTCTCCTGTGGCGCCTGTGCGTCAAAAGATTATTCTACAAGACGAAGACTTGATTGAGACTTTTGTGAAAGGGTCCGGTCCAGGTGGACAGTGTATCAATAAACGGGTGAGCTGTGTGGACTTGCGCCATATTCCTACGGGTCTTAGGGTTCAGGTAAAACAGTTTGAGGAAAATGGGCTCGTGCCACGGAGTCAAGCGCCGTTGACACTTTTTTTTTTCTAGTGCCAACAAACGCGATCATTGCAAGAGAATCGCGGCATTGCTCGGAAACTGCTGCGGGAAAAGTTGGATGATCTCATCAATGGCGATCAAAGTAAAAATGCAAAAAAGGCAGCCAAGGTCGCGAAACAAAAAGCTCGCCGTGCCCGTCGTGCCAAACAAAAATACGGAAAGCCCACGGAATCGACCGAGGAGACCTAACAAATCGGGAGCCAACAAGGGTGTCAATGCCGCATGAAAACCCTTGCGAAACAAGATCCCCAAATTTCCTCTCGTCAGGATTTTGCTTTATTTATGTGTTCCCATCGAGCGCGCCCTTTTTTTTTCCTTGTTGATTTATATCAAACTTTTTTATTCGTATCCAAAGCACAGTAACAAATCGACCATGAGTAATCAAAAGAGTCACGAACCTCTTACAGCCGATTCGGTGATTGCCTCGGAAGCAAGGATGCGATCGGCAACCGGTCATGGACCCGAGAAACCGGTTGGCCAGGAATCCCATCATCGAGAGCGTTTCGGTGGTAACGACGGGAGAGGTGGACAATTTTATGCAGGACTGCTTGGTCAGAGACGCTCATCCGCCGATCTCGCGGCTCGATATGAAGAACAATACCGCAGAGGATCCACTTTCAGAAACTGGGTGGCACGCCACTAAATGCAAAAGAGTCATGCCTCTGCAACTCGAAATAAAGTTGACATCATCATGCCCATAGACGGCCGAAGATAAAAGAATGAAACTTAATATATATAAAAAAGAGCGACAGATTTTTCGCTTTCCTGCATGATGAGAAACTGTGCGCCACAGGTGGACAAAAAAGTTGGCTCCTATTACTTTTTCATTATTCTGCGAGGAGCAAACTGCGATTCATACATGATCATTCTGCTGAATTAAAGTTCAATTCTCCTATTCATATCGTCGATTAGTCTGTGCATGACGTTTTATTTTCATATTGCAGAAACAATAATAGAAAAAACGATCGATCTTGATTTTTTTTTCTTCCTTTTTCCCATAAAGTTTTGATTCATGCAGAATGATTTTATTTTGAGTTTTTTCGTTGTCAGTGTCGGAAACGGACGGCGGAAGACTGACTGCCGATGAGGCACGACTCAAGGCGTTTTTTTAAAAAGTAAAAAAAAGAAAACGATTCAAAGCTATACTTGGCTAGAATCCCGCTTTTTCATTTTACATGGACCAATGCGAGAAAATTTTCATTTCGAGGGTTAAGTAAGGGATTGCTTATTTCTTTGTATCCACTTTTTTTTTGTGCCCGTGAACTCGCTTATCCATGCATGCGAAGATTCCAGCATGTGGAAGATGTGATGCGCGCACTAGCGCGTTCAATCACGGCCCGCTTTGGCATCGATTTTCACTCACTTTTCCAGTTTGTGGACCCCATCCGTGTTCGTATCACACATAAAGTGGCTGAAAGATAGGGCGGAAAAGGCACAGACAAAAAAGAAGCGAGTGATGAAGGGTGATTTGTAACGGGGATTTTGAGCAGTACGATGACGGAAGAGACCGGGAAGAAACAATAAAGAATAAATGATCATAAGAGCACATACACAAAGACGCACAGAAAAGGGAGAGGCAATCGAAAGAAGGGGAGCGCTATTGGGAGAGGTCCGTTGATCCCAAGTCAATGCAGGGATGATAGAGAGGAAGAGAGAAGGGAAAAGAAAAGGAGGCTTTTTTGCCATAAAGATTAGAAAACTTCAGCAACGCTTTTTTATCAGGTGTGTTTCTATTTTACTTTTTGACATTTTTTTGCACCTCTTTATCGTTTTATCATGCTTTCACCACATGGCTTTTATTCACAAGACGCATTCAGCTTACCATCACGCAGTCCCAAGCGACCCAAGCGTGCCTCGATAAGGAAGGTGTTTAATCATTCTGCTGGAACTTGCACACATCGAGACGATTTCCAAGTGGCCCTTTCCGTTCCGAAAACGATCCATGATCGAGTTTTATTCTACGAACTATCTTTTGAACGATTTATCCAAAAAGACTCTCAGTTAAAGGCATGGATCCGACGGTCCAAACAACGAGGACCTCCACAGGTGATGAAAGAAGGTAACATTTAAGAATCTGTGGCAAAAAAAAGGTACTCGAGGCAAAAATATAAACCTTATCCTCGTCTTTTTCGTTCTAGGCTACTGTCCTCCGCGAAGGGTATCGAAGCTTCAAGAACATGCGGCTAAATCCCGAGTTCGTCCAGAGGCAATGACGGGTTCGGTGGTATCATCGGTGAGCTCTTCGTTAAGTACTTTATTACGTAAAGCGACGCCCAAATCGTCCAACGCTCGGCCACCATCGACAGCTGTCAAGCCTGTCTTGCAACAACCCCCAAAACCTTCAGCAAGTCGTTTTTTTACGGCCTCCCTGAGCCGACTCTCCTTGTCCCGTTCCACCCAGCCATCGCATGTCAAATCCACTTCGTCAACTGCCCCTAGTGTCAATCTGAACAAGAAAAACGCCAAGAGTTCGCCGCCTCCCCCCAGCTTAAGGCAGCGATTTATCAAACGAACCTCGGCTGTCCAACCAGCGACTCGTACCACCGATATCAGGAACACATCCAATCCCCCTATCCCAGTGACTCGTCCTAAATCCTCACCACCTCCACCCAAAGATGTATCCTATTCATCTGTATTCCTCGACCATCTCCGGAAAAAAACCGGATCCAACGACTCGTTTCACGAGCATCAGCAATTACAGCCAGCCAACAATGGTCAGGAACGTGATTATCAGTCCACAAAATCCCAAATCGATCCTACTCTCCTCAACCATTACCTGAGAAAAACAGAGGGTGACCTCATGGTAGCCATGTCTATGGCTTTGAAGGAACGTAAACGATGGACCGCCACACCAATCCACAACCATCCGGCTATGCTCCCAAAATCACATCTGCCACTGAAAGGACGAACCTCTACGCTGGCGTAGAATGGGGCCTGCCAGTTCTGCGTGTTTGTAGATGTGCACATGGGGGGGGGGAATACATGGGGGGGGGGGGAGGGTTGTTTCTATCTCTTTAGACTTACTTATATTGTAGCGAGTTATCTAAATTGGACAACGGTTTAAAAATATATTTTTATATAATAAAGATAGCATATTTTTATTTGATGACCGCATTGATTCCAAAATTTAGAGTTAACGATGTATGGCGGCGGCGGCGATGGTGGTTGGTGGTCTGAACATTGACAACGCAACAATCAACAAGCGGGGAAAGGCATGTTATTTCCTTTTCTGTCAAAACCGAAAAACCTCATCCACCCCATTTATTTTTCGTGTCACCTATCGTGAAATTTGTTGGGTCGAAAAAAAAAGCTGCAACCGAGACAAAACAAAGACATTCATGCATTACCCGAGTTTCAGCTGAGCGCCAGGTCGAGTGGTGTAGCCATGACAGTATCCAACCGGGAAATCCCTCGAATACAAAGATCCATGGCTGTCCACGTGAGCCTTTAAGGTTTGAACTGATAGGTTCACGCTTAACCAAAGCTATGTCCACTGACGTACCAAACTTTGAGGATCAGTTAGGAACGGTCGGAAACAGCGCAATAAAACAGTTCTTTCACATGATAAATTCGGCTATGCTTCTATATTTTTTTCTGGCGGGATCTTAATGACGTACCTAAAGATAAAAATGCACGATTAAGGAACGGAGGTCAGTGTCAGTTTTAGCACCAAATCTGCAGACCTGATTCACTTCTTTGTTAGCTTTCCACTTTATAAATTAACACAAAAAAAAGAAGAAAAAATAATAAAGTCACCTGCTATGAGTAAGTCATCGCAACCTACAGATGTTGCAACATGGACATGCGCGCTCCCTGGATGGCTAAGCAATCTCTCTGTCTCTTTTTTTTTCGTTACTTTCATTAGCCGTCTTGCAGAATACGAAACGAGCCAAAACTGATTATGTTTCTGAAAACTACGATCAGGATGCTGAAGTGTTGCGAACCTCACTAGCATCAACACCCGTCATGACCAGCTATGATTTCGAAATCAACGAGGTACCGTTGGCCGAGACATATAAGCGAGTGGATTTTTATGTTTGAACCTGGAAATATTATTTACTTATTTACCTTGTGGATGGTGTTCAGCCGCCGGTGGGTCGACCTATTCGTATTTATTGTGATGGCATTTATGATCTATTTCACTTTGGTCACGCCAAGGCATTAGAGCAGGCCAAAAAAGCCTTCCCGGATGTGTACTTACTGGTTGGCGGTATATTCGTATTTGTGTTGACCGTTCGCTGTGAACTTGTTATTTATCTGAGCTTGATTAGTATGTGGAGATCGTGAAACTCATAAACGCAAAGGCAAAACGGTGATGACCGATGTTGAGCGATACGAAGCTGTACGACACTGCAAATGGGTCGATGAAGTAGTCGAGGATTGTCCTTGGATCGTGAACCAAGAATTTTTGGATAAACATCAAATCGATTACGTGGCCCATGATGCTGAGCCCTACAAGTCAACAGAGTCCGGCGACGTATATGCATTTGTCAAAGCACAAGGCAGATTTTTACCTACCCAGCGCACAGATGGCATCTCTACCTCTGATTTAATCACTCGTATTGTGCGAGATTACGATGCTTACCTGCGACGCAATCTGGAACGGGGTGTGAGTGCAAAAGAACTCAACATTTCATTTTTAAAGGTAGTTGGAAAAAAAAAAGGAACCATAGCGCGTTTATGCTCTTACGCTGTGTGATGCTCTTTGTCTGCAGGAACAAGAAATTAAGACGAAAAAGTCCATTGATGATTTGAGAAGACAAATCAAGACCGCCGTTTTGGATCAGTTGGAAATATGGGAGAATCAGAGTCACGATTTCATCAAAGGCTTTGCCATTCGATTTGGAGCTGAGCAAGTCGTGGTAAGTGGTTGAAGACTTGAAATCGGAAAGATCTTCACCTGCTCTAATCTTTCGTTTTCAAATGTCATCACAGGAAAAATTCCTCAATAAACGCAGACTGGTGACAAGTGATAGATTTAGCCAGTTGAATACTCCCACCGATTCTAATAGCCCCAGCAGCAGTGGCCGCAGTAGTTTGTCCAACGATGGCTAATATTGATCCATAGATATCCGTCTTTTTTTTTGCGACATTTTTGTTCTATTATCAAACTTTTTCCCACAATTTTTACCTGTTCCTCATACCTAACACACCTATACTCTCCATAAAATTCAGCATATAAGAATCCTGTAACCTATTCTTTTCATCCTCGAATCACTAACCGCATTTACACCCTCAACGTCACATGCGTTTTCTTGCAGAATTTGGTATGAATCTCATCCATCGGTTCACTCGCCGCAAGCACATTATATGAATGCTTCTACAGTGTCTGAATAACACGCTCCAACCATCAGCGTGTGTGAAAGAAGTAGTATCGCCTATTCCATCGCCTATTCCAACCGTATCCTGGACACTCCGAATCCGCGTCTCGCTGTAAAAGCGGCTTGATCTATTCCGTATCTTACCGATTTTCTTCAACGTCAAGGTTGAACCAGTCCCACTCATCAACTCTGTATCCCCGCTGTACGGCATCGCAAAGTTTTCATTCAGCCATTCGCCGTTCTCTGTTCCTGTACCTGATTTTCGTCTTTCATTACTGGCGGCTCTTTCCACTGTCAAACACACTCTCAGTCATATATCCCTCCCAGGCGAAAAACTCCCGCTTTCTACCGATGTCCGCTGATTGCCATATAGAGAATTTGGCAGGTCACTCACGTCCGTTTGTGTTCATGATTTCGTAAGCGCACATGCAACTCAGTCACTTTACCGACTCACGAAAAAATGTAAAAAAGGAGATTAGTCAATCCAATGCCACAGTTGTTTTTGATGCAACAAGTTAAAAAAAAAAGAAGAGTCGTAGAATGTATTTGATGTTATTTGATAGATCTAAGCGGTCCAAAGGCGAGACACCATCTCGGTCATGCCAACATCATGTGTATTGATTTGGTAACATCCCACCAAGACGCCCGCAGTAGCAGCATACAAAGTAGCCGTCATCAATCTTCCGATCACCGGTGCTTTACGTTGGTTGAAGTAATCTAACATGAAAACAAATATTATCTCAGTACCTCTCCTTCGCACTACCTTATGTCATTTAAAGGCAATTACCGGTGATACAAGCGTCGAAGCCTGAAAAAAAAAAAAGAGCACAATGCATAAATGAACATGATGTATCGCTGTTTGAATACGTATCCTGGGAACTTACCGATGTGGATGTGGATAGGAAGAACAACACCAAGGAGGGTGTCAGTGACAGGAGAAGCGCCAAAAGCGAATTGTGAAGCGATCAATGGGACCATGGCAGCACTCACAGCGCGTTCGAAATCCCAATGATAGGAACCATGGAGACGATCGACCGTCTGAGTAGAAGCAGCCGCATTGGCTCTGGAGGCAACCGCTGAGAAAGAAACACGAATACTAGTGAGTGAGCCATGCGCGATTCACATATGTGGGGATGAAAAGAAAAAAAAAACGTCATCCCGTATTGTTCCAAGACTTACAGGAATGAATCTTCACAAGACCCATGGGTTGCTGACGTACGATGAGACGGGTGGTAGAACGGAAAGCGGGAGCAGCAAGTCGAAGAGCCATGGTGACCAAATGTAGAGTGGGGAGGGGAACAAGTTTGATAGCAAGAAACAAAAAAAAGCAGAAACGGCTTTTCCAGGGATCACGCTCAGCACTCAAAAAAAAAATGCAAGGCCAGGGATTCCCAGTCCGGCCCAAAAATTCCGGGAGCTTGATGACGCAGTCACGCATCCAACATGTGATTTTCGTCGCCATGGAAAATCCTTTATCCCCCTGTGAGCGCTTGTTACCAAAGCATTCGCCTGAATTGGTAGGTGGGAAAAACGGTGAATGGTTTTTTTGCTTTTTTTAAATCGACTTTATTCTTATGAAGCTTTACACATATTCACATGATGAGGAGTAATATTATTATAACAAAAAAAAGGCTGAAAATGCCCTTTTTCTTCCGGAAAAAAACGGAGGGGTTTTTTTAGAAGCCAAAAAGTTGTATCGGCTGGCTTAAATCTTGGAGTTGAGTTGGATCTTGACCACCTTGACCTGAGTGTATTCTTGCAAAGCATATTTGCCGAGTTCCTTGCCGAAACCGGATTGCTTATAACCACCAAACGGTGTTGATTGGTCAAACACATCGAAGCAGTTCACCCAAATCGTGCCGGCCTTGATTTCATTGGACACTCGGATGGCGGTGTCCAAGTTGGTCGTATACACACCACCGGCAAGACCATAGTCTGAATCGTTGGCAAGTTCGATCGCTTCTTCCACTGTCTTGAAGGTACCGATCGCCACGACGGGACCAAAGATTTCCTCACGCATGATACGCATGTTGTTGTGGCAGTTGGTAAAGACGGTGGGTTCGATGTAATAACCGCGGTTACCCAGACGCTTACCACCATAGACAAGCTTGGCACCTTCTTGCTTGCCGATTTCAATATAGTTGAGAATCTTTTCGAACTGGCTCTTGTTGATTTGAGGGCCTTGGATGGTATCTTCATCGAAAGGATCGCCGACCTTGAAGTTTTCCTGAGTGGCCTTGACGAACAGCTCCAAGAACTTGTCGTGGATCGATTCATGGACAAAGATACGCGAACCGGCGTTGCAGCTCTGACCGTGGTTGTTGAAAATACCGCCTGCGGCTTGAACAGCGGCATTTTCAAGATCGGCATCAGCACAAACGATCTGGGCGGACTTGCCACCAAGTTCGAGTTGAAGTTTCTTGAGATTGCTGCCAGAGGAACCTTCCATGATCTTGCGGCCAGTGAGAGTGGAACCGGTGAAGGCCATCTTGCTCACTTGAGGATGAGCAGATAATGCGTTGCCAGTGATGTGACCATAACCAGTGATCACGTTCACAACACCCTAAAACATCCGTGCCCCTCAGTTAGATATCTCGTTCCCAACATTCTGGTGTTCCAACGACCACAACTACTTACAGGAGGAAAACCAGCTTCCTTGACAAGTGCAGCAAACTTGTAAGCAGGCAAAGGTGTGACTTCGGAAGTCTTCATGACAACTAAGGAACAGCAAAATACGTCATCAGCCATGCGGTTCAACCAATCCAAGAGGACAACTTTGGTTGTTTGATGTACTTACTGCAGTTACCGGTTGCCAACGCAGGAGCAAACTTCCAAGCGGCCATCATGGTAGGATAGTTCCATGGAATGATAGCACCGACCACACCGAGAGCTTCGTGACGAGTGTAGCACCATTTATCGTGAGTGGTGTCGATGGTCTTGCCGTGAACTTTATCGGCCCAGCCGGCAAAGTAGCGGTAACAAGCAATGGAATCGGTGATATCGACATCCCGAGCCACTGTGAATGCTTTACCGTTATCTAAGGCATCCAAAGCAGCGAGCTCGTCCTTATCGCGTTCCATCAAATCGGCAAGTCGGTTGATCAAACGTCCACGATCAGCAGGCGACACCTTCTTCCACACGTTCTGGTAACAGTCGGCCGCGGCTTTCACAGCAGCATTCACATCATTCTCATCGGCCGAGTGAACGGAACAGATGACTTCCTCGGTCGCAGGGTTGATGGTTTCAATAAGAGGACCGTGACCAGGGACAAATTCATTGTTGATGAAAAGATAGGTGTGGGCTATAGAGAATTTTGCGTGAATATTGACTTGATTTGGATCCGATTCCAGTAATCCCTTGCGTCTGGGCTGCTGTAATTACCTTGCATGGTCTTGCCATTGGACAAGCGGACGGTTTGAACGTCGGATTGTGACATGGTGTTAAAACAGAATAGAGAGACTCTAAAGTGTATAAGAAAATAGACTATCGACGCCCATCACTTTATATAGTTTATCGCATAATTGGTTTACAAATTCACAGGAGTCACACAGTTTCAAAGTCCTTTTCACTGAACCCAAAACATCCGTTTGTATGTTTCCTTATATGACATAGTCCACTCTTTTCCACCGCTATACGGCATATCCCCCTCATTCATGATACCAACCATAAAATAATGATAGAACTACCTTCCATGGGTATCCACAGCGTAAATCATTCCGGTTAATTGGAGAACGGGTTGCAGCTCTGTAGTGCAGTAGCTGGTTAAGTTTGGGTCTCCGCATCAAACCATGATATGTAATACGTGGGAACATGGAGCATGTTACAAATCCAAGGTTTCACAACGGGTCTACGATCATTGACTTTCTGATGGATCTATGCGGCCATTTCCAAAATAGCCATGACCCCAGCCAATGAACGTGATTGCAAGTGTAATAGGCTTTTTCATCTTTTACAAAGGAGAGATCATGCGCTCATTTTTCCTGCTCGCCCTGCCTTCCAGTTGTGCCTTGAAATAAAATCCTCTATAGACATAGTTTTTACGAAATATTTTTTATCCTCCTCATTGGTGACGGCAGCTATAAAAAGTCATCATATTACGTTGTTTTAATAGGACGGCATCTTGCTAGAAAGGAAAAAATTCATACCCAGCGGTTTGCTCGGTGGAAGCCCGCTCTGATGGCAGCATTGCAGATCAGCTGGCCTACCAAAAGCTTTCATCTATTCTTATTATTCGGTTCAATTAAAATGGGTGTATTTGGGTAGTTCTGTTTTCCTTTTTCTTTCCTAAAAGATTCGGTTTTATCTTAAATTATAGTAGATCCACCTCGTTATCTAGACATGAACACTTGACCTTCCACAACAAACCAGCAATGGATCGCAGTAGCTTATTTTCTTTTTTTTTTGGGGGTAGGGGTAGGGGACATGATCTGCATGCGCACAAACATATTGTAAAATGAGAAAGAAGTAAGAAACCATCAAGTCGATCAAGGCTTTTTCGGAACCCTGATCGAGGTTATCGCGGACAGCCTTCTCCAGAAGTTAGGCGAGCTTTGCTGTGGGTACGAGTTCGTCGTCGACATGGTTTTCCGAGTGTTCAGGTGGCCGATCTGGCTGTGGCGCAACGTCCTCTATTTCCTCCCAATGTTTTATCAGACAAGCGGATGCAGCCATTGACAACGGGTTGATCCTTCCGAAGGATGTTGGTTGATCAACACATTTTTGATGTCACAGACGCAAGCAACCTTATTTTTCATGCGGAGTGAGAAATCCCATGGCACATATTCATGGATCAAGGATAACAGCATTTTCTTTCCTCTGAAATGATTAAATCTCTTTGACAGCTCGAAGAATAGATGGAATCTAGATTTGACTCGGCACAATGTAAGGCCACCAATTTTATGTACCTCAGTAACGATATTTCACGCAATCTTTGACTGGTGTATGACACATATGTTTGGCTGCACAAGCGGTACCTTCAAACAGTATACCTATGCAATAATAGTCTATAGCATAATCCAACATGATGTATCCAATGGCTTGACAAGTGATTGAGTGAAAGTAGCGTAAAATGGCATTCGAGACTGTGGTGCCTTGTGTTACCTGACATGTCACAACTGATCATAACAAGTTGTGTTTTTTGAGTTGATGTGACGCTGCTGCCAACTCTTTTGACTTGCCTAATCACTCTTCAGAGCAATATGGTAGATCTCTCGCTTATATTCCGCATCATCAACATTGTAGTGGGATGCTTAATGATCATTGGTGGTGCAGGCACCATTGTCGTTGGCGGTAATTCGTGATGCTTACTCTGGTTTTCTTTCTTTTTTTTTTGACACACTGTTATTGTCTCTCTGAAATCGATATTGTAGGATTTCCCAACTTTATCCAAGGAATTTATTGCATGTAAGCCAACCGTGATATGAGATGGTGGATGTTAAAAGGGTTGATATGCGTGTGATTCATGGGGTTTTTTTTAGCCTTCTTGGTATCATGGCAGGCGTGTTTGAGTTTCAAGTTCCAGGGCAGGTCGCACAGTTTGCTTCCTTTATGTTTTCTTTCCTCGGACGCGGTATCTGTGAGTATTGATGCGAACATCGTACGTCTTTAACCCCAACATTAATATTTAATTGCAAATGATAGTTTATATTTTGTAAGTTTCTTTCTCTTCTGACATGGACCCAGCCGCCAGAGCTAATATGATCCATCAGCATCGGTTGCATTACGATGAATTGGAATTTACTCTCGCTTATTTGCGGTATCATTGTAAGTCGGATGATCAACGTCGTCTCATTAGAAGCTCTTATTAAGCGTGATTTTGTAGATCGCTGTCATTGGAGTAGCTTACGTTGTTCTCCACTTTGTACCTGCCGTTGAGCCGCCCAGTAACATGAGATACGAGACATATGAACAATCCATGGGACGGTCGGTCACGCATGCTGTGGATCCAGCCTCGGAACAATCCCAGAAAACCCAATTGCCCGAAGCCGCTGTGGTATAGATTTAAAAATATCCATGCACCGTCTCTATTCCCAGGTTTTGATCGGTGAAACCGATGGTTTGATCTCGAGTCACTAAGCCTCATGATGTACCATAGATCAATACAATAAAATTTGAACTAATCTAGCCAACACGAATAGATGTCATTGTAAATACAAAAAAAAAAATGAAACCAAAATGAGATGGTCAATGCCATTACAATCGTTTTAATCAATGTTAAATATGTCTCAATCTTGTAATGAAATCAGCATTTGCAGCTTTCCCCCTCAGTTACTCCTCCAAATCAGCGGCTCCACCACCAAAGACACCTTTGCGATAATGCTCACGCTGTTTCCTCAGCCATGATCGATAGTCGGCGACGGATTTGATCTTTTCACCGTAATAGTCAGGAACAGGATTACGAATGGAATTGAGACGAGCATCGGCTCGGTTTCTCTTGATATGCTCGTAAAACTCTTTATCGCGTTGATCCATCTCAGGCACGTATTTGCGGTTAAGCAATTTGAAGAAAGCGTCTGCAAAAACAGGGCCAGCCAAAAAACCACCAAAACCCTAAAGGCGATGAAATGAGCATGAGTCAATTATACAAAGAAAGCGCCTTTATGTTGACGCGGATACTTACGGCACCAAAAACACCTACGGCCGCCGCAGCTAAAGGATGCATTCCCATAATGGAACCGGTGGGATCCACTTGGAGTTGGAGGAAATAAGCGCCGGCACCAACGGCAGGAATGATAGTACTAGGAGCATATGAAAGCGTTTCGTAGACGCGACGCTTGGAACGCAGTTTGAAGTAGTCGTTCCAAGTGGGAATGAGCTTGTCGGTTTTGGGAGCGCTGGAAGGCTCATTGTCGGTGGAATACCGAACTGTTTGGAGTTTGTTGAAACGAGCTGTGCTTAACACAACCGATCGTTGGCCAATTCTTGATGCATGGGGGGCGAGTGCCTGAACAGCGCGCAAGGACATGGCTGGCTAATCGATATAAGTATTTCACCGAAAAAACGAGCGTTCACAGAAGGTAAGAAAAAAAAATCCATCCGCCCGGACGAAAATTTATTGATATGACGTCAGTGACTGATTGATTTTTCGCAGCCAGATGATCTTAATGCGCACAAGTGAGTTTTGAGCAGACAGTGAGAGCATATGCTCAGTCTACCTTAAAGTGATGGTACCTATCAGACCAGCATTGCACGGCATATTTTAGTAGATTTTCTGGCGATTTGACATCTTACTACAGTCGTCATAGACTTTACATGCGGTCGATAATGCTGTCACGATTAGGCTCTGAAGGAGCTTAAAAAAATGAAAAAAACTGGCCTATTGTTTACCAAATGTCATGAACCATTGCGCACGGATTAAGTTGCTTCATACAGAACAAACAAATAAAGGGGGAAAAAAAGACAATTTCTTCAAACCGAGTTGAATGGTGGCTTGGCTATATCTGAAATGCAGGAACATTTTGTTCCTACTTACTTTCCCACAATCCCAACAGATGATTATGTTTGGTTTGACTCTGTATAAGCAAAACCTTTTGTCATAGACATCAATCTTTGCGTATCTATCAACCACATTCTACTATAGAATTCCAAAATCCTGATGGCAAGAAATCTTTTATTGTGGCGATCCCAGCCTATCCTGCAATTTGTTCGAATTGATAATGGACACACCGCCTCAACTATCGCCAACATACAGGTAACAATGATTAGCTCCTCACACCTTTGCAAGCATGTCTACACTTGAAGAACTTTCAAAACTAGATCATTATCTATGTCCAAGGTTACGATTATCACAAACGGAGACGAGGTGCACATTGTATTTTCAGAGACGGTCATCAAAGAATCGAATTGTATTGTTTCGAGATCATGATGGTTATTTCAATTAATTATTATCCTGGCTGCTGTGATACTTTCTCTACTGTTTGCCATAATCAATATGAAAAATAGAGTCAAAGGATTAACTTCACCAGGCGCTTCATTGAAATGATGGCCCAGCGTCCTTTTGGTTTGGTAAAGATCAAGGCAGGGTATTAGGTATTTCCGCTGTCCGAACGCCCGGTTGTAGAGGTTCTCTAAAGAATGGCTGTCTGAATATAAATGTGGAATAAGACACTGGAAATAAGCAGGGACTTACGTTGTTGAAAAAGGAGGTAGAGCCATTGTAGTGTAGTACGTATCATCGCAAAATATTCCCATACGCAGAAATTGCTCCATGGTCGATTTGAGTACGCGTACTTGATTTTGTGAATGTTGCAATTGCGTGTAAACGCGCTCAACTTCCTTGGACTCATGGTGCGGTGAAGTGATGCTCCTTCTCAACCTTTCATTTTCATGGCGCAAATCTCTATTTTTTAACTGAATGCCATGCTCTTTCTTTCAAAGAACACAACGGTGACGTACCTGATCTCTTTTTGCGAGTTCTCAAGTTGATGTAACGCGGTTAACAGCTGTTCCCGTAGTTTATCGTTATGTTCCTGAGTGCAATCCATCAAAAAAGTTAAGTATTTGGAGAGCAGTAGGGTAAGAAACTCGTTACATGGTATCACCTTTTCAGTATTGATTTTTCGCTTGAATTCCTCGTTTTCAGTAACTACTTCATCCACATGACGACTAAGAAAAGCAATATCTTTATTACAAGCTATGCCATGCAACCGTGTATCAGTGAATGCTGTTGCCCATCAAGTATTTAGTATCTTTTTACCTTCTTTCTGTAATTGTAATACTTTGACCACTGCTCGTTCTTGTTGTAACTGTCGTTGCCATTCGGTGGGGGCGACGGGATTATCCTGTGAACTAACAAGGTCGGGCCCGCTTACAGATGACGCATCTGTCACTGTGGTGACTAATTCGCTAGGCTGGTCTGAAATGCTACTGTAATTGGATTGACACGTCGTGGTGGAGGATGAAGATGGCACCACTGTTTCGGGTTTGAGGTTATTTGATTGTAGTGGTGGATCAATTTCTGGCGATGGCGGCGATTTTGTTTCTGAACCGTTTGACTTTGGCTTGTCGGGTTCTGAGGCTGCTGCTACGGCTACGGGTACAGTTACTGTTTCTGTTACTTTACTGGCGTTTGATGAGGATACAATGTCAATGCTGGAATATCTTCGTTTATCAGCAGTGACAATGTCGTTATGAGTGGCTCGATCGGACACGCTTCGAGATTCGTGCACAGGCACGACTCGTTGAATAGGCGAATGGACAGATAAGGGTCGCACGGCAGTACAGGATCCCGTCGAAGGGTTACTGCGCAACCGTTGAGATGGTGAATAAGCGGCTGTCTTGGTGGAACCTGTGGAAGAACGTTGATGACGATGTGTCGTCGCCCGTTCGTCTTCCACACAGCGGATCGATCCGTCAATATCGACCACGGCGTAGTCATCGTCTACGGTATCGGACACTATCGACCCACGTTGACGAATGGGTTTCTCTTTAGACGTGGCAGACGGTTTGACAGGCTGGTTAGTTCCGACTTCGGTCGCTTTAGTGCCTGTGCTCTTTCTTCTGGCGGCGAGGGTACTATTGTCAGGTTTGATTGGTGTTGTCTTTGGTTCACCTATCGTTGCTGGAGACATGCCGGCTGAATGGGATACCGTTCGTTGACGGGTTCCTCGAGCTATTCGTTGCTGGGCCGGTGACTTGGAAGCTTGCGTGTACGTTGATAGGTTCTGGACACTCATTGTCGATGGCATCCCTTTTCGCGCAGCCACGCTATTTTTTCCCGACTGCGGCATCACTGTAGCATAGTGTTATATTTTCTACACTTTGATATATATCGCGATACCATTGCCTGCACCCTACCTTGTTGCCGACGATTGGACAATAACGAGCTGTGACAAGCCAACACGCGCTATCAATGATCCATTCTTTTTTGTTTCTTTGATTTCCCATCTCACTTCCAGTCTCACCTTAGACGTTTATTTTTGGTCGTGTCTGCCGTCGTCGTTTCGGTTTGTGTGGCATGGTGATTGCGATGACTACCTGAATGACCATGATTCAGCACAATGGAGCGAGCCTCTGTTACTGCATAGTTTACAGTTGGGGTAGGTGTATCAATATACCTGCTCCAGGTTGCTCCGGGGAGCTCGCTGGGACTACGGTTGGCTTATTCGTTTGCACTAGTCGGAACTTCTTGATGTGCCAAAATTTTTGATCGGCTCGTTCATCTTTTTTCTTTGATTCTAAAGAAGTCATGATTATGTAGGAAGGAATAAGGGGGTATCACCGTGAACTCGTTTCGATTTTATTTGCTTCTTTTTGCTCCTTAGCCGGTCAAACATGGCTCCCTTAAAAAAAGTTTTTTTTTTCCACACAACAATTCACAGTCAATGATGAGGTCCAGCCAACTCTAGGCAAGGTCGAATCCCGGAGGTTGACCAGTTTTCTTATCGCCTTGAACTTATTGACGCCTATAGCATCCTTGTCCCAATGCATGCATTATGCTGAATCACTGCCATCACTGTCGGTAGAGTCCACTTCATGAAACCGATTTTCGCGCATCGCCGTGGCAATAGGATTTTCTACATCAATGACTCCGGTCTTCTTTAGCCGCTCGAACAGAACAAACAGCCGTTCGGCTTCGCGTTCCTTCTCTTCATCCGTCATGTCGGCCAAACTGGGGCCGTTATTTTCTGCCGAAATATACTGTCCTGTAATGGGATTCACCTCCTTATCTTTCTCATCTCCAGCCGCTTCTTGCGGGGGTTCCATAGGGATACCCCTATTGACCAAGAACCCGATGGCATTGCCGTAACCCACTTGTTGGGTAAATTGAGTGGCTAAAAAGAAACAGAGTGTCATGTTAAGACGGAACGGTAATATTCAAATGGATACCACAGGTAAAATGAACTTACGATTTTCATCACAAAGTATGAATAGCAGCTCGCATACCGCATCGCGCGTCTGCGGTAACATTGTGGAAGTTGAACATCGAATCATATAAGCCGAAAGACTTTGGCCTTGATTTACCGGCAGCAATCGATCGCTAGGGAAGAAAAAAAAAGTTGATGAGCTTGTGTCTGAGAGTGAACGGATAGTAGTTCTGATCGCACCTATCTTTTGGCAATAGCTGTTTTCCCATGGATCGTCGAAGATTGATATCACCGTCAGCCAAGACCCGCAAGGTCAGTATGAGCGGGGCTAAGACGGCGTCCGTGGTGTGTTCTTGCACAGCTTTAGGATCCTCGTCAGGACCGCCATTGGGAAGTAAATATCGAATGGATTTATCAAGCGCTCCAATAAATTTGTTGACAATATAATCTCCTGCCTCTTCAGGTTTGACGCCCAGTGATGCGACAAAATCCGGGTGTTGCACCCATACCGAGGAGGAAACAGAGTATGGAAACTGCATCAAGGCATGAATCGCGTGGGAGTGAGGTGCAGAAAGTGGTAACGGTTCAGGAAACGGCAGACTAAAAAGTATCTCGTAAATAGGCATGAGGCACGCTTCAAAGTGCTCTGCCACTGCGACGGCGTCTTTGTTATCCGGTGCGTTTCGTATTTTGAGCAGCATGAGGTTGAAAAGTAGTTTCAGTGCTTCGCCTGAAACTGTGAGGGCATTGATTGGCGCATTGACGTTCGAGGGGGCTTGTGATTTCAGCAAAGAGACATTTTTTGATAATACCTACGCATTTATCATAAGAATGGAACAATCAGTTTCTTTCGACGCTCGTGCCTACTGTGTCTGCATAGATGGTTTTACTTTTTGAATGCCCGAAGCTATCTCTTGTTGTATCAGTTGATCCACAAGATCATTTCGATCCACCGTCATAAAGAACAGGATACGGCAGGACAGGAACTGGGTATCCATACTTGGCTGTGCAAGTTGAAGCAACCGGCAACAAGTTTCGACGGCACCCAGTTCTTCCAGATAATTTTTAACAGTGGGCTTTAGTAGAATACAGTTGGCAATGCACTTTAAAGCTTCTTGTGATGTCGGCGTATCTGTCAACGTCGTAGTACTTGTCAGGCCGCCTTTGTCGGCAAGTATACGCAAACCCTACGGCACCATAGTCAGATATTTCATCTCGCTTTTCTGCCTTGGCAGCACTTACCGTATTCGCAAACAGAGCATCCGAGCCTTCCACTGTTCGACCGAGCAGTTTCACGATTTGCAAAGCATGCAGCGTCACTAGAACAAGGTACATCAATACAATGAAAGACGCCATTCGCGAAAGTTCAAATTTATTTTACTTTCATCATCCCATTGAATGGTGGTTGTATTGGTATCAAGATCTTTCAGGAGCGCTTCGAGAAACTCGGCCTTGGGCAGTCGGATGACAACTATGAAAATTCGGGCGTCAGTATCCCTTGTCAAATAATAAGAACCACTTTATGTACCATTGGCATCATTCTGAATGGCGTTGAAAAGAGCCGAAACGCTACTGAATGGCAGGTGATGTTTTTCCAAGTAAGCTGCAGTGGCCATGTCGGGCAAAAAACGCAGAGCCAAAAAGATTCAGGGCTGCATGAACACTTCGGACAATCAATCAAATAAAGGGAGAGCGTTTTTGAGGAGCAGTCACCTGCGCGGACTCGAAGAGATAGAGTTCAATAACTGATATCTTTCGGCATCTTTCTTCGCTCTCTGGTCATCTCGTACAAATGTCTGGTGTTCTAACTTCTGTGGTTATTGGTGCTAAAGCCAAGCATACAGCTACGGTTGTGTGGCTTCACGGCCTCGGTGACAGTGGAGCTGGTTGGTCGTTCCTCGCAGAAGAACTCTCACCTTTGTTTCCCTTTGTGAAATGGATCTTGCCTAACGCGTAAGTAACGGAAAAAATGGTCGACCCACTACTGTTTGGTTCAGTTAGATTTATAAAAACACTTTTTGGTCATAGACCTACCAAGCGCATCACGCTGAATGGAGGTTATCCCATGCCTGGTGAGCCTGAAAAGGATAATGATAGTGGGAATGAATGAATAACTAACAAAGTATCGGGGTCATGATAGCTTGGTTTGATATCTTGGGTTTGGACCGATCCAGTTTGGAACATGAAGACCAAAAGGGCATGCTCGAGTCAATGGCTGCAGGTATGAAAAGCAATGGAACTGTTCATATCATCATCTTTCCAACCTCTTACTCATCGCATTTTTTTTTTATTTTTGCGTTAGTGAATCGCGTTATTCGAGAGGAAGTTGATAGTGGTATTCCTGCCGATCGTATCGTTTTGGGCGGTTTTTCTCAGGGTAAGCAAGAAAATAGTCAATACCCCCATATATGATCAGTCATTGAGGAAAACTAATTTATGGACTAAATGGGATAGGATGTGCTCTTTCCCTGTTGAGCGGTTTGACCTCTGAATATAAGCTTGCCGGTATTGTTGGATGCAGTGGTTGGCTTGTGATGGCTGACAAGATCAAATCGGTAAGTTTAGGTTTTTCTATTTTTCTCTTTCAGGCTTGGTCGTGGGAATGAATATTCTTTGGGATGCAGAAATGTTTTTCATATTTGCTAAGTCACGATGGGAAAAAATTTCATAGATGGTTGCTGAAGCGAACAAGAAGACGCCCATTTTAATGTGCCACGGCGATGCAGATACTGTGGTGCAGTACAAGTTTGGCCAAGAATCGGCTGATCACCTGAAGCAAATGGGCTATAACCTCACTTTCAACACCTATCCCGGTATGGCTCATTCGGCATGCCCCAAAGAATTAATCGACATCTCGGACTTTTTGAAACAGCGTTTCGCAGCCTAGACTATGTAATTATACACCCATGTGCATCCATCCTTCCAACCAAGGGAAAATATATATAGAAAAGAAGCGCAAAGGAACTTCTGTACCATGATTCATTATCTTTCGGATTGTACCACGGAAGTGTTGCAAATCGGTCTGGAGAGGCACAGTTCGGATCAACAGCTGATCACTAGAACGGACAATGCGGGGTAAACCCAATCGAGATAAAGAGAGAGAGAGCGAGAGCGAGAGTAAGAGAGAGGGAACACCGTATATAGTAATGTAGCAGCAACGAGGGAAAGGAAAAAAGAAGGAGCAAGTGGGCAAATCAAACAATGGTCACGTCATGTATACAGTAAAATGATGAAAAAAAAAACCAACAACAGAAGCTGTTACAGTACGAAACAACGATGACATGCTGAGCAGACGATGCACGATGATACTTGAGGCAAAAAACTGTTCAATTTTTTTATTCATTTCGATCCTAGCCTGCCACGCTCCAATAATCCGTCGCTTAATTACTTTGCCGAATTGAATGATTCCTTTCCGCGAAAGTCAGTGGGCATAACTTTCTTTTTTTGTTTTGTTTTTGTTCTTGATACCCAAAATTTATCATTGCATCTCTTTGCTTGGCACATTTTTTTCCTACTTTATCTTCATTTAATTCCTAATTCACCTGGGAAAAAAAAAATCAAACAACCCACTACCAAGGAAACCTTGCTGTTACTCTATCCAAGCAAGAGATTACGTGCGTTCATCGACCCCAAGTTCACCCATATTCCACCGCTTCTATTAATTTCATTATTCACACCTGCTTTATTCATTTCGAGAGACAAGAGACTGTAATTCGCTAATGGATGAGGCGACTTCTTCCAGCGATACTGGGAACCCCAAGCTTCAATGGCTTATCGTGCTTGCTCCAGTAGTGGGAGCCATGATCCTTTACCTGGCTCTAAGGATTCGGAATGCACGTCATCGAAGTAAACAGACGGTTGTGGATACAGAAGCAAGGGCTGAGATGTCGCCATCAAGGCCGATGGTTTCTATTTCATCGGCTTCCGATCTCCCTATTGGATACACTCCTTCAATGCCTCCTCCTTCTTTTACCGCCCATACTCTGGGTCGTGATGACCGTGGCCGGATTCACATTCCCTCACGGCCATTGATTCGGTTTTCAACCGCTTCCTTATTCCACTATCCTCAAGGTTCCACCGCATCTCTCGGCACATCGTCCACCTCATCCTCTTACTTTTGGCGACGGTTTCATCGAGCTGGACCCGAAAGCCGGCGTCCATCCCAACCACGAAGAGAACGAAGACGCCGACGACGAGATCGAACCCCACCCACACCACCGCCTATTTATTCAGGATCGCCTCCCCCCAACTACGAAGACATTATGCAACCACGGTCAGAAGCCGAACCATCGTCACGAACAGATACCGAACGAACAGTGAATGACCAAGCTGAAGATGAACCTTTGGTCCACCTTCAGCAGCGCCTGGCTTCTTCGGACCCCAATGCATAGTGTCTACTCAACCTTTTTTTTTTTTATCCTACAATTTTCCCTCGGTTGTCTCTCGCATTTACGACCCATGACGTTGCACAAACATGGACAACGCACTTGGAAGAGCTGTCGTGTCATTAGAATTTCCGGTGCAAAACACATTCATCCGTGAACTGGGAAAACCAAACTCGATCGGCCTTTGAACTTTTGCTCATGGATGCATAAAAACAGAACCTGCTGTTGGTTCTTGTCGCATGCCGGTGTTCGTGCCGCTTCCACGTTATGTGCAACCTTTTCGCCTACTTTAGCATTCATTATCATCCATCATATTCAGCAAACACATACATACAGTCATTTCAGAAAGTAAAAAAAGAAAAAAGTCCACGGTTAAGAATGATGGTCAATGGATCCAAAATAAAGATCTTTAAAAACGTGCCACGTTTTTTATTTATATGATCGTCGTCTGCTATTTACATGGCAATGTCAATATTGATGAAGAGGCAAGCCAAATTTTTTTGAGTCGATCACTTTATCTTCTTTTTTCCCTGTTTACAGTTAATTTACCGACGTTCAGAATGTTTTACAGTATGCAATTTCTTTTACAAATCTAGACAAGCACAGCATGTTGTTGATGAGAATCGGAGCTGAGCCTGTGGACCTTGCCGTTGACGAAGAGTTATTCGCGACAGTCTTATTCAACTTTTATAATAACTACATGTCACGGGAGAGTATCTCCCGAGATTATTCAATACAAGTTAGACCACCTTCTTTATTTATTGGTGTTTTATATTTTCGATCTTCTATCCTAAACGGGTTATGAAGTGGGCGTGACTGATATTTATTGGGGATAGCGGTATTTGAACGAAGACGGTTCTTGTATGGCAGAACGGTGTCTATGGGGATGTGATTTGATACCACTCTTCGATCGATGTTTCTTGCGTTTGACAGATTGAGGGGTTTGGATCTCGCCAAGGCGGGGGCTGTTCAGGTATTGGCTAAATTCATGCTGGTCTAACAAGAACTCCGATCTCGAACTTTCGGTACTTCTTGGGGCAAACTCTGCTCTTTATTCTAAGAACAAACTTTCAATTTTTATAACCTTGTGACTGGAATAATGGTTGCGAAAAAGTGGCCTCTGATATGTGAAACAGACACAACGGTTAAAAATGGAGTGGAAGTCGTCGTAAAAGCGTTGTTCGAATGAGTTGCGTCGATGGTGTTTATGAGTAGCTTATGGGTTGTCTTTTGGTTTTTTGGAAGTACATGGTTGAAAATTGATATTGAGATTAAAAAGCCTATTTTATTTTTGAGTGGGAAAACACACCACTTAATTGTTTGATTGGAGACGAAAGGCTAAAATGAGCCATAAAATTTCAAACGTAAAAAGGTGACTTTCATCACACCTCAGAGCTAAACTGCGTAACTACATTACAACTTATTAAGCTCTCTACAGGGCTTTGTTACCCCGATTAACCAACCGAGTGGGTCAGAACGGACTATGCAGTAGCCATTCAGCGCTGGCCAAAGTGGAGAGCATGCGCCGGAACCGTCGATGATCGGTGCTGAATAAACTATTTATTCAAGAAAAAAATCAGTTTTCGACTCGAGCATTGTGGAAAGTTTTCCTCTTACTGACCTTGGGGACGAGAACAAACCGCAGGACGTGGTTGGCCGCCCCGCGGTAACCGATGCAATATGGTTCATATTGAGACTGGTATTGACATCTTGTGCCGTATCATTCTGCATTCAGTATTTGGACAGACCAATACAGAATATAGTCTCGTTCCATCGCCACGTGTAACAAGCTGTTCAAGGGCTAGGCGGTAGCACGACGAGCAAGTCTATAAATTGTACGCGTTAGCATGACTTTTGATTATCTACAACGAGCATTGATTTTTACCTTGGAATGTGTTGTACTCGTCCATTCGCACAACCACCAACAATCCTTCGTACTCCACCTGTTTCAATGTAACCGGTTGGCCGACCCAGAGACCGTGCCACGCGTACTTGTTTGGAAACGAGCGTTTCCAAGCGCGATCCATGGAGTTCGTCCTGTTTGATGCAGCTCATCTTCATCCTGATAAAACATGCCCAATGTCCCTTCATACAACATTTGGGCAACTCCATAATTATGGCGCATCCACATGCTACCGGCCAGTTCGTAATGGCCAATGCGCCCGCTTGTGATGGCCCTCTTTCTCGTGATCTGGGACATGATCTTCACCGGTGAAAGTGCATGTCTTTCCCAATATTCATGCGGACTGCAATCGCAGGTGCACAAAAACCGATACACATCTGTCCCGGCATCATACCCGCCGATTGTAGGAACCCCGGGAAGTCTTCTGTAAGACGCTTTAATGCGTCATAACCCGATTCAATTCCGGGGTTGCAACCGAGTTTGCCATTCTTGACGAGCTTGCCGAGATGGGGTTTCGTCGGTACCTCGTACAAGAAGCGCCAGATATTCAGGGCGGATCACCCAGCAAGGAGTCGGCTATCTTGTGTAATGTCATGTCCCATTGCGCTTCCAAAATTGCTCGTTTTTCGCGATGTCGATAAGCGCGGTTGAAACGAGGGAGCCTATCGTCAAGTGTCAGTATAAAGTGATGCAATTTATAAAGGTCTACTCACTCGTTATGGATGCGAGAATGTGCTCGGCAAATGTTCTGGAATTTGGCGGCGCTGCCACTTCTGGCGCTGTTCTCGCTCAGATCGGTATACACTGCTTCAATCCAGCGGCTCTCCGGTTTCTCCATTCGATTCTTGCGACCCAATGTGAGGCAAAGTGGGTCAGTTAGAACTATAATGGTCCATGCTTGCAGTTTTCGTGGACTGAATGTTGCCCCCAACTTGCTGAATACCAGTCTCTTGTTTGCGCCGCAGGTTGTCAAGTTCATTTCTTGTATGCGGCGGCTCGGTTGTAGTATTCAGCGGTGGACATGCTACGATATTCAGCCGCAGGTTCTGTGTTCTGATGGCCGTTGCTTGCAACAAAGATGTCGGCCAAACCAGGGTCTGCACTCCCACGATGTTTCCAGAGTTGAGAAGGAAGGAGTGGGAGGTTGGTTTCCCGACTCCAGCATGTCGGAACTGTTGGGGAGTGGGAAGAGCCATCACAGGTGGAAATAAAGTTGGAGATCCCGAGTCTCCAACCTGTGAATTCAAAGTCCGCAAAGCGCGTTGTGCGACGACGAGCATCAGAAACACCCACTCCTTCGGGTTGTCCGGTTAGCCGTCTGCGTAGCTCGTCTGTCACTTCTTTCAAGAGCATACCAAGAGTTCTCTCGTCGATATCGACATACTGGCGCTTCAGCGTGTAGTTTGGAAGTAAAGAGAAGACCCGGCTTGGTTCTTGTGGCTGTGGTTCTTTCAGGTAAGAAGCAGTCGTTTCGGTTGATATCAGATCCGTTCCTTGCCGCAAGGTCTTCTAGGTACTGGCGCGAACGTGCAATGCGTTCCCTAGTATCAGCAATGACCCCTTGAAATTTTGCGGTCGAAATATCACTCATCCAAATCAGTGTAAGTGGCAGGGCATTCTCGGCATTGACGTGATTGACGAGGATTGCGGCGAGTCGAGATCTAGCACGTCTTCCCAAGATTAAAAAATACCCGAGCGTGATCGCGCTCGAAGAAACGCCAGTCTTTGGAATATCGGATGACTCTGTTGCCATCTTGGCGAAGAGAAAAATGCCACCCTCGAGCGTAGTGATTGCAGGAAAACTAAGCGTTGATCAGTTTTCATACTATAAGGTTTCGATCATTCATAGTATATCATACCCTCGTCATCCGTTTGGTGGGCCACGAGGACCGCACCGCGCATCTTTTTTCGTCTGATGAATCAAAGACATTTTTGAGATGCCTTTTCCCACGTCTTAGACAAAGGAATGTAAATCGGTCACGGATTTCTAACCAGCTGTCATAAGTTTTCGATAGTCACGTTATAATTGATCCTCGCCAATAAAACGAACCTTTGCCCTTTAAAGTCGGTTCGAGGAATAAAATAAAGAGCCACACATGTTTTTGCTTAAAGAACTTTGACATGACCATGTCGTTGTCAATACCGTGCTGGAATACCAAGGGCCAGATAGCAAGAGTAGATTGATAGGATACCATAATATACAGGAGAATAAGATGATGCTTATTCTTTTGGGTTCACGGGGATATTTATACTGTTACGTACTCTATTATAAAAAAATGGAAGGCTACAGCTATTGCCGAACTGGAACGGGTAACGGAACATGAGATTCGCTAGAAAAGGAATCCCGAAGCACAAAAAAGTTACAACTAAAAGAAGGAAAAAATCGAGCTTCTAATCTACTGTGCTGTACCGAAAAAAAGAGGACACTTTTCAGTTTCCGCCAATTTTTCCCTCACTTCCTCTCGGTTCTTTTACAACCTTTTGGTTGTTTCTCCTTGTTAAACAATTCTACCGCATCAAATGGGACACTGGTATATAAAATATGTACATACTTTATATAAAACAAAAAGGAAACAAAGTAGAAGAAAACAGAGCACCTGACAATTTACCACCGGGTGTTTCCACCTTTGGCATCGATCACCACTTGCATTCTCTGCGGCATCGACTCGATCAGCTTGTCCCAGTCTTGAGGTTCCAAGCTGTCCCACGTTTCCAGGAGTACACCCCGAAACTGCTCCAGCGTCATCCCTACCTCGAACTTTGCACTGACACGGGCCTTCATCTTTCGCCACAAGTTCTCGATAGGGTTGAGGTCAGGAGATTGTGCTGGCCAATCCAACTTCTTGATGCCATGGTTCTGGACCCATTCTTTGGAGGCGATGCTTTGGTGGATGGGTGCACCATCCTCCATCAAGATGAAGGGATCCTTCCTTGTCGCCAAAAAACGTGACAGAGGCCCTTCATAGACAAGCTCAATGAGGTCCTCAGACTTGCTTCTGCAGCTTCTGTCGTTGCGACCGTATTTCTTGAAGAGGGCCAGTTCGGTCTTCTGACCATGGATTATGCCGCCCCAGACCATCTGTGTGGATCGTCCACTCTTGAAGGTAGGGGCTAAGCAATTCGGGTCGTCAAGTTCGTGTTCTTTCTCCATACACGAACCTGACCGCTCTTCTCTCCTAGTTCGAAGGTTGCTTCGTCGGTCCATAGGACCTTCTTCCAGTCTTCGACGGTCCAGTCTTTGTGCTTGCTGGCAAACTGCACTCTTTTAACTTGTGCAATTGCGTCAGATGTGGTTTTTTGTGAGCTACTCGTGAAAAGTAACCCCTGCCATGCAGAGTACGGCGTACAGTGTTTCGATGGACGTAGTCTGCGACATTCTGGGTGATTTCACGAAGAGGAGCTCGCCGGTTCTTGATTACGTATTGCTGAATGTGACGTTTGTCATGATTCGTCAACTTTTTTGGCCTTCAGAGCCTGGCCTGCGCTCGAAGTTACCACGCTCATCGACCTCTTTTACGATGTTGTAGACGCGTGATCTGGCTATCTTAAATTTCTCCATGATGGTTTTGGGACGAACTCCCGATTTCTTCAAGAGTAGATTTGGGCTTTGTCCGTAGGAGTAAAAGTCATTTTTAAGCGTATATAGTTGGTAGTTTTGTATCAGAAAACAGTAGAACAAGAAGTTTGTATGGGTAAGTTTCAAAAAGAAGTCTTTTTTTTTTTGGTACGGCACTGTACAGTTCCCCTTTCAATTTGAGAGTATATAATCCAACCTGCCATAAAATGAAACACATGTCTTCGCTTCCTTTGGCGAAGCGGAAGGCCAACTGCATAATTTCATGCTCCTTATTCTTGGGCATCGGAATATGGGTTTCATGGGCGGATGATGTCTGTCTTGCTTTGGATGCGATTGTGGCCGACTCAAAGGCAACGCGATGATAAAAAAGCTTTGCCAACATGAAACTGGTCCTCTTCTTCGTGTACTTTCTCGCAGATTTTCCCCGCATAATACAACATCAACCCACGAATTGACCACATGTAATCTGAACCTCACAGATCGACAAAATTCTTCCACGCAGTTCTGACTAAACATGCCTCCTCGAAAAGATAAAGGGTAAGTTAAAGACACTCAACTTCATCCACCGATCTTAATCTCCCTCCAGAAAACAACGGGCGACCTATGTTCAAGTCGACCCCAGCGACTCAGATAACAATCAGTCCGACTTTGAAAGAGACATTTTGGCGGCCGTACAGGAAAGTCGTCAACAAAGAGAACGCTATACTGGCGAGTCACTTCCTTTTGCTGGCCCATCCACCGCAGTCGCACCCCCCGGTTCGTCTGCCCACACGCAACGCACGCCAGCTCATCCTCCATCCACCCTTTCACCTGCTGCTGGCCCATCCACCACAGTCGTGCCCCCGGTTTCGTCTGCCCGCACGCCAGGCACGCCAGGCACATCAGCTCATGCTACTTCCAAGCTTTCACCCGCGCAACTGATTCTTTTTAAGAAAAAAGAAAAACAAAAACGGCTTCAAGAGGAACAAGCAAAGAAGGAAGCTACGAGTAAGTATGGTTTTGGCTCTGATTTGTTGCCGAAGAAAACTCATTGTTGTTATAATGTTGTAGAGCAAAGCTCACGAAAACGGCGTAAGCGAAAGCAGACGGAGAAAGAAAAAGAAGTTAAAAGAAGACGAAAAAAATCTGGTAGAAACATCTTCGAGCAAGAAATCCGAAATGTTACGCCAAAGGTGACTCGATGCTCTTGGTGCGTCAAACGCCGCAATTATGACCATGTGAACAACCCGCACACGTCTCGAAGATCCCACAAATGTCCCGATCACAAAGAATCGCCTCACGAAAGATTGGATCGCTTGCTTGGAGAAGATCGCTCGGCATTTATTAGGAAGATCGGGCTGGACGCCGTCTTGAAGCTGACCACCCAGAAGAAAGAGCAATTCAAAAGTTGCGTCAATACGTTAGCTGATCTCTGGCGTGAAGTGGCGATTAAATCGCAAACGCTTGCCCATTACTATAACCTGGACACCCTGAATTCCAACCGGCCTGTTCCTCCGATCGCGTTCTCACAAGCCTTTTTCTACGCCGCGATTCAGCTGGTGATGGGAAAGACGATAAGCTCTCCCAATGCAAAAGTTCCCAGAGATGACATGGACCGTTGCTACCAAGAAATGGTTACGGAATTTCCGGGCATAACCGTTAACAATATTCCTCCTGGGTTCATGCACTCTATGACGTATTTGGCGATACAATCAGCAACTGGTTTTCGTAACTCCATCGTCGAACTTTTTGAATCGCGTGTGATCAAATATTTTCAATTCAAGATACTCGATGCAATTCCGGTAAGCTGAAGCGAGCCATACAGTCTATTTCTCCCACTTTAACTGTAAATTTACATTTAGAATTTCACAAAGGCTAATGCTGGCAAAGTGGCAGAATATGTATACGACCATTACAATTCTCCAGCAACACCTGTCAATTGGCCAGAAAGTATTGAACAGACGCAAGAGCTTATCGCCGTAGTTGATAACCTGAAAGACTCGTTCGCGACGGTCTCAAAACCGGTGAATGAAAAGACCTTGACCGCAAGACCGGAGGAGTATTTTGCTTACTTGTACGTCATACTGCAAGACATCGAACGTTATAACAGCGGTCAACTCGGGCGCGTTGGGGAAGTCCAAACCGAGCCCAGCAAACGCTGGGCGTATGGTGTGACCAAAGACTTGCCAGAGTCTGACGTCCTTAATCGACGATACAGGTCGCGTCTCGTGAGAAGGATCGTTGATGCCGTTACCGAAAGTTCTCCAGCACAATCCCTTGTCGCAGATCGTTTGTCACCTCCGTCCTTGGTATGGTTAAATACCATCATCAACGAAACAAGAGAACAAATCCGTTGTTCTATCCGATATCAACGGGGAGAGACAGATGTCCAAATAGAAGATTGCTTCCGCCCAGAGTTGGCTACGTTTGCGCAACAGCAGCGTGTATTCTCCCTCGTACTAACCTACCATTTCCGAAGGCAATATGTAACCATCGATACGCAGACCCTTCGAACCATCCTTCATCGCATCAACTTTCCTTTACCTCCACCCGTCCAAGCGGATCGTTCTTTTGCAGACATTTTCAATTTCCGTAAAATTCGCTATGATAGGTAAAAGAGTCAACAGGCCACAAGAGAAAAAAAATTCTAATCATTATCTTTAGCCATAATGAAGATTTGCAAGAGCCCAAGGAGTTATTCACCAATGTTGTCCGTACCGATGGTTATGCGATTGATTTTGTGTTCGCTCGTCGAAAATACGAAGCATTACCAAATTTGACGATGGACGACTTCACCACGGACAAACTCCAAGGCACGTTCCAACTTTGGGGCGCGGATCCAGGGATGACAGAAGTATTTGTGGCAAGTGACGGCCATGACGAAAATCCCCATCAAGTCAGAAAATTTTCAACTGACGAATTCTATACTGTTGCGGGTTTCAAAAAGACGAATTCAAAGGTTCTGAACCTGAAGAGAAGGATAACGATCCTTGCTCAATCCGTGCAAGAAGTGGAAAGCGGGCTCAGTGGAAGAAAGACGAGCGACAAGGCGATTTTTATCGAACACCTGCGGAACTGGCTGCCGACGTTGCATTTGTTATTGAACTTTTATGACGAACGTTTTTGTGCTCTACGGTTCTTGAATTACATTGGCAAGCAACGTGCGGAAGCGGAGATAGTGGATATTTTCTTGGACGGAGGAAAGAAATACAACAAACGCGGGACGAAGACCAAGCGACGTAATCAAGAAAAGGATCGCAAGACAAAGAAGAAAAAGAAGAAAAAGAAGTCACGCCGAGGAAAGAGAAGGTAATTCCTCAATGAAACCGAAAAATAATTCATCATCTAACTGTTCCTCCAGGAAGAAAGAAATTCAGCCGCATCCAAGGTATTGCTTTGACATCAGTCTGCTGTTAAATAACGGTCTTACGAATATTATTTACAGGAGAGACGGAAAATGGCGAAAAGCACAACACAACCCAGTGTCAAGGTTCCCCCTGGTCGCTTTTGGAGACGCTGTTTTTCGGAACAGCATGAGAGGAAAATTGACCGGACTGGCCAACCGTTGTCGACAGTTGCTGCGGAGGGCGGAACACCAAGGTCTTCTGGCAATCGCTGATATGCCAGAGTACAACACATCAAAAGTAAGCTTGTTATGCGTTTAAAGTGTGCGATGCACTAACTAATCAATCCTTTTAGATGTGTTTCAGATGTCAGCTCAAGACTTTGGAGCAATTGCGTCTGCATGTGAATGGCGAAGATCAAACGATGCATAGCGTGCAACTTTGTACAACCTGCCGTACGCTATGGCAACGAGATGTAAACGCCAGTAAAAACATGCACTGGATAGCAAGTGTGCTTGCTGACGGTCAAGAAAGACCCTCAATATTCTGTCCCTAATCCGCGTAATAAACACGCGTCGAGGTTTACAGCTGGTGAGTCTTATCAGATGTCACTTTATTTATTTGGCTGTACATGGCTACGAATAAAAGCTCGACACATATTTTGCGCGCCTTCACAAAAAAATCTTCTATTACAGCAAACCGCCCTGAACAGCTATCATACAATATAGGAAAGTTGTTTATGACTAGCGAAATGGAGAAATGTGGAAAAGTAAATTTATAATCCACAGCTCTCTTATCGAGACATTGTAAGAATAAAGGGATTTGAATCGAAAGGACCGGGTATGAAGCTTTCTAATTCCATACGGATTAGTCAAAATATCTCTGTGTCTCAATCATTTTGGGACATGTGAAACCATTTGTCTGCCATGATGCGACATCGAGATTGTGTCACCGCCATCCAATCATCATCGTCCCATGGCATAATTTGGTGAAGAAAAAGGTCGTTCCTTCATCTGACACCAAGGCACGACTCCCTTTGCCATGCGTGTTGTGAATGAAAATCACCGATGAACGTTTTACACCTTTGTATGCAATATTGTTATATGATATGGCACTGCACGATGATGATTTCATCGTTTGTCAAAATCACTGCTAATCTGTTTGGCACATGGTGCGCATATGGGGAGGTCACGTCTGTAGCCAGTCACGACCCAAAAACGGGCCAAGGCAGCTTGTTCACCTCTTTTTCGTTCTTTTTCTTTTTATTGTCATTCCCATTCTCATGGACCGATCGCTGCCGAATATAGCCAAAGAGGCTTACGCAACATTAAAAGAAAGCCTGTTTCAAGCGCGTGGCGCTCGTTCCGTCTACGCTCAAATGGATCAAGATTCGGAGAATGAAGACATGATTTCCCATAGTCTCTTCTTCTCTAGTCATCAACCGGACCACGGTGAAGAAAGCATACCGTTGACCGATTCACAGCCTTATTCCGACAGAAGCCAGCTTCTTTTCGATCAGGAAGAAGAACTCAGCGGAGACGATCGTCCCGATCTCAGCGCTTCCGCTTCCATGAGCCATTCCGGATTCCTACATTCCGATTACGAAGAAAGTCCCGTAAGTCCCACTTTGCTTGACACACCTTACTGTTTTATTTTTTATTTTGCTAACGAATTTACTATAAAATGGGACAAAGAAACCATCTGGTATCTATCTCGATGTGCCAGCAACAACTCCATCGAGATATCCCAATGCGAAATCACTGTCGGAGTCTTTGTTACCTACAACGGCCGCCGTAAGCTATATTTTTGAAACGCAGCTTGGGAGCACTGATAACAAAACCTAACGCCAATCATAGATCCCAGGAGGCATCACCACCATCAAAACCGAGCGAAAATTCAGAGATCCACTATTTGCCATTCTTTATTGTCTTGGCCTATCCATCTTTCTGATATCGGGGTTCATTATTGTATTAACAACCAATGTAAGTGCGATAAACATTTTGTGGATGCTGCGGATTTTTTTCTCAGTCCGCATCCTCTATTTCAGCATCATGCCATCGAAAAATACGCGCGTGGCACCATTTTCAAAACGCTCGTTGACAGTGCAGGTAAATATTTCATCGACCATTGATAAATACGTTGTGGCTTTTCTCATGGAAAACGGTCAGGGATGATCACCATCATGACGTCTACGGCTATCTTGGTCGGCGCACTGTGGATCTTTATTCTTCGAACATTTACAAAGGTATGATATCACAATGGAGATAATGGAGTATATTGAATAATGTGCTTTTTGGGAAATCTAAATGGCATGAACTAAAACCCATCTTGTAGATGTTTGTCTGGGGAACGGTGATAAGTGTTCCATTGGTCCTGATTGGAATGTTTATTTGGACTCTTGTGGAATCACTGCAAAGCATATACTTATATGGAAAGGAAATGCCACGAGACAGCAGTTTAACCGTTATGTCGTTTATCCCATTGATTATCAGCGCCATCTACATACTACTTATATTCAAAGGCCGTCACCGCATTAACAAAACCATTGCCGTCATTGAGGTACGTCAAATACTTTACGATGGTTGCAGCACAACAAATAACAATCCAAACTTTAGCTTGCATGCGACGTGTTACGATACAACCCTGGCATTATTTTAGTGTCACTCATTCTGATGGTGATCTTTATTATATTCACCGTTATTTGGGTGGTCCTGTTCAATCGTCTATGGCTGATGGGTCATGCCAACGGTAAGCAAGGTGCTTGTAACACACGCCATGTTTCTAATCATTTATGATATTTTCTTCACAATAGGGACTATTTGGGTTGTCGATAACAATGTTTACTGTTTTGCCACGTTCTTTATCTTTATGTATCTGTGGACCGCCGCCTTGCTTATCAATGCACAGAGGTGAGTACGCCCGCCATTGGAAAATGCCCATTGTCATCGCTGACACAGAGTATCCTTAGATTCGCTCTTGCTTCCATCACTGCGCAATGGTATTTTCACAGGTAAATCAAGGCATTGAACTGTGCAGAAAAAAAAAAAAAAAATGAATGGGTAGATAACGGATAATGGGTATTACAGACATGAACCTACCAGTAGCAATAAGGATAAAGCATGGCAGAGCGCTTTGATTCGAGCATGCACCACGTCTCTCGGCACACTGGCTTTGGGGGCCTTGATTCTATCCATTGTTCAAATGGCGCAACTCGCTTGTCGCTATATGGCCAAGGTATGTAACCATTGCTTTTATATATTTATGATCAATCCCGACAGGCATTGACATCGATGGATTGCAGTATGTGCGTAAAAGCCGGCCTTTAGCATCCATCATTTCCGTCCTTCTCTCCTTTATCGAAGCACTCGTCAACCAGATCAATCATTACACCATTAGCTTTGCCGGTATTACGAGTGAAAGTTTCTGCTCATCCGCAAGATCCGGCACCAAAATATTTCGAAGAAACTTGATTTCCGGTCTTTTGGGTGGTAAGCCATTCACGAGCCCCATGGGGTACAGGATCGAAAAGTGCAGCATGACTCAAATACACACATATAGATTTGATTACCAAGCTTGTCCTTTATATTGGAGCGCTTGTCATTTCACTGTGTTCAGGATTTGCCACGTATATTTATGCAACCCATCGTTTACATTCGTCGCATGGTATCCTCGTCGGGATCCTGGCAGGAATTCTGCCCATGTATCTGTCCCAGTTTTTCTCTTACACGATGATGTCCATGTATGTGTCCATGATTCCAAAGGCGGAGCATTTTCTAATTTGTGCATGTCCTGCTTTGTTGTTGTTTTAGTGTGGATGCCACATTTCTATGTTATGCCATCGATCTCGATACGGGCATGGTCCATGTCACGGATGCTCACACGGTTTTTTCTGGCTTTGATTAGAAGTGTATGCATATTTAATTCTAGATTGACCTTCCCTCTTCCATATACCCCTTCATCTCTATGACATTAAGCAACTATCTTATCCATTACTATGACACACATACTTTTATACATATACAGCATTTCAAGCAAGTATGATAATATAGGTCGATTTTTCTCTTTTTGGAAGTAAAAACATTGAGGGTATGGATAGTTATATTATATGGAGAGAGAAAGGAAAACTAATGTATCAAATATTACAATTAAGCCAGTTACTTGTAAGTATAAAAGACTCGAAAAAAAAAGCAAAGAATAGAGATTATACGGAATATTTCAGACGGCTCACGGGGAAACGTTTGGCCAGGAAAGTGTGAATAGGCCCAAGAACAATCAGTCGTTCATAAGCCAAACCAGCAACGACATTGCCGATACATATACCCCACATTTTCCACCGGAAATCCACCGGCAAGACGTTGTGGCCAAGCGGTGTATTGTAAGTGGGAATGCTGTCACTGGGGACGGGGAAACCAAACTGTTGCAAGACACTGGGCGTGCCGCAGTTGAAACGGAACAAGCAGCCAAACGAATTGGGATCGGCCAGCACAAAGTAGGAAGCGAAAGCCAGATACAGCAGCCAGAGGAATACGAGGATATAATTCTTCCAGAAGCTCTCACGGAACTTGTAACCAAAATTGAAGACGGCGGCGTTATTGATGAACTGGAACAAGGTGATGAAGGCCAAGATTTCGCCTTCAAAGTTATCGGCAAGCAACCACCACTTTGAGAGATCGACGGCACGGCTGTCAAACTCATTGCATCGGAACCAGTCTTGTTGGTACAAGAAGCCAAACGCCCCACACAGGAACGCCCAATTGATCGCGACCAATCCGATGCAGGATGACAGGGTTTGCGGACCGAGCAGCTGGGCGGTCGGACGTTGTCCCTCCAAACGTGGAGCGGCCTTGGACTGCGACACAGCCCACGTAAGCAAAACGGTAATAAATACATCAATAGCAATCCAGATATTCTGCGACATGGAAATGGAAAAGTAGAAGGTAAAGATCTTCAACATCATCATGACTTGACCATACAAAATCAAATATTTGTATCCGGTCAGCGACGTGGCCAGCGCGCCGCGGCCTTGACGGATGAGTTCAACACACGATCGGACACTGCGGACACTGGTACTGAAAGGAGACACGATGGAAGCTTCGGCTTCGGACATGGCAATACCAACGTGAGCCGCACGCAGAGCACCACAGTCGTTACCACCATCGCCTGTCATCGCGGTAATGCCACGTTCCATATGTAACTGCACACACTGCACTTTGCCTGTAGGCGTCATACGAGCAAACACGCGGATATCCAAAAGGTACTTGCGAATAAGATCGTGATCCACTAACCAATGGAACGCTTTGCCGGTTACCGCGAGTTCGACCGGTGTATGGAACTTGTTCATTAGGTAATCATCCACCGATACATCCTTGAAAGTGTCGGGTTCGTCCACGTCTGTCCATACTACGCGATTCAGTTGCTTATCATAGTCGCCTAAAAGTACTTTGCTGCCAGAGGTGGACATGCCGCACTGGCGACCAATGTACACACCCGTCAAGGCGGTATCACCAGTGATCATGATCGTTCGGGTGGCGCCACGCTTCAGTTCGGCAATGTTTTCGGCCGTATCGGGTTTGAGCTGGTTTTTGAAAACGACCAAACCGATAAAGTTGATTTCTTCCTCCATTTGGTCACGCGTCCAGGTACGGAAGTTGCTCAAGCCGCCGATGGCGTCCAGGTCGATCTCACGATGGGCCATGGCCAGGATATAGCAGCCGTGGCGTGCGAGATCCGAGGTCACTTGATCATAGTCAGCAGGAATGGACAAAGGTTGAGCGAGATCCTTGATTTTCTCATAGGCGCCCTTGACAAAGATGTGAACCTTGTTGGTCATGGTGTCGAGCACAGCGACGGACATGGACATGCGTGCGTGCACAAACTCAAACCGCTTCAAAACATGCACAGCGTGCGATTCGGAAGCAGGAGTAGCCTTGGGGGGTGTGAAGGTGTCGACATAGTCATCGTTTTCTTCGGATTTTCCTTCCATATGCCACTGGGACGAACGGAACATTTCGATATCCACGGGGTTTCCAATGAACTGATCATTCAAAGTCGTCACAGCATGACAGGTCGCCACCGCCATGTGCATCAAACGAGGGATTTCGTTCACATCCTGCATATGTCGATCAAATTGGACATGTTCAGGAGTTGCTGTAGTTTCCAGTCCCTGCACAGGTTGGACACCATAGAATTCAAGGCCTTCCTTGGTAAGCGTACCGGTTTTATCAAAGCAGAACAGTTGCACTTTGCCAGCCATCAAGATTCGCGGTAAATCCACACAGAAGATCTGTTTCTGGCGCAAACGACCGGCGGCCACGGACTGACCGACCACCAATGCTGCAGGGAGTAAGGGGGAGACAAGCTGAGCAATAGCAAACATGGCATAGAACCAGGCCGACGTGCCGCTGGCATAAAGCCAAATGGCCAGACCCAAGCACACAAGACCACAGCAAAGTAGGATAAGGATGACGATCTTGATCTGTTCATCAAACACAAAAGAAGTACGCGTAGGGAAGAGAATCTTGCGAACCAGCTGTCCCTTGTCTGTGGCTGTACCAGTTTCAGTCACCAAAGCAGTGACACGTTGCCCTTTTTCAGTAGGCTGAGCTTGCGAAATCGTGGTACCAGAGAAAATGGTGGAAATTTTGCCTGCTCCCATACGATCGTATTGAGCGTGATCGTCAGCACGAAGTGGGAACTTTCGGATCGGCAACGGTTCACCGGTGAGAGAACTTTCGTCGGCAACGATATTGCCCGTCAGTACCACAGCATCACAAGGCGTGGTCTTGCCTTCGGTCACTTCAAACACATCGCCCGGAAGCAGATCCGCCGTGCTCATTTCACGCCATTCACCATCGCGGCAAATATTGATACGATCGGTGAATTCGGCCATCTTCTTGATGCGTTTCTCGGATCGCACTCGCACAATCACCTTGACCATGGCAGACAAGAGAATGACGGCCGTGTCAGCAATACCTACTTGCCCTACAAATGGCGAAGCATAAACAGAAAAAAACTGGTTAAACCCTTGTGACCACCGTTGACAGCATGATAGCAGGACACTTACAGTAGGCAAAATAGTAAAAGAGCCAAAGAACAGTGAATTGATAGATGTAGAAAAAGGACGTGAACTCGCGAAGAACAGCCATCAGATAGTTGGGCACATAAACTTCAATGAAGTTGGGACCGACCAGTTCGTGCCGCTTGTAAGCTTCTTCATTGGAGAGGCCTTGGCTCAGCTTGACCAATTCTGCGTTGGTCTCGCCCAAGTGGAACTCGTGAGGCCGGAATAACTGGGTTTCGGGATGGTATACGTAGCGGGTGCATTGATAGACAAAGTACTTTGTGCCACTTTCTGTACGCTGCAAAGGAGCCGTGGTCACAATCACGTCCAAACCAAATGCATGTTTGGCGGTTTCTTCCATCCAGCGAACAATCCGCATGATGTGATCTTCTTGTTCTTCCATAAAGATAACATCTGCAAAAGAGTGCAAAAGGTATGTTTAGACCAGCCATATCCATGCAAACAAGATGATATGCTTGTCTCTTTTTCTTTTCTTTTTACTCTACCTTGTTCTTGTTTCTCGACTTGCACGTACTGGCCTTCTGAATATCGGCATTGGATGCGGAAAAAGTTGGACAAGCGATGACGGAACATGGTGAGACTAGCAAACCAAAAGAAGAAAATGTACCACATGCCCATAAAGGTACTCGACTGCACCAGCTGGGAGCCTCTGAAGAAGCGATAGTCTTGGTAATAGTCATAGGTCATTAGAATCATGTAGGCAATCATGCCGATCGTCTCGAGAAGGTACAGAGTGAAAGCTAGCATGCCGATCCAGTCGCGCTTGTAAGCTTTGATCACCATGGTCTCTTCAGGTTCGCACGACGAAATGTCAGAAGAGAAATCGGTCTCTTTCGTATCCGACTGGGTGGCAAAAGAAGACCCCCCAAAAAATAAAGAGGATGCATCAGATTTTTGATGTTGAACAGATGGACTACATTGTATTGAACATACCGATTTGCCTTGTTTCTTTTCGCCATTGTTCCCCGACTCGATGGAATACTTCTCGTGAAGTTGTTCAGCCGTTCGATTGGCAACAGCTACAATGACCTACGGGGATGCGAGAATTCAAAGAAAACCAGGGCGTTAGAAAACCCCTTGCAGCAAGCATCTAGAACGCAAAGGGAAAAAAAAAAGAACCACTCACCTTCTCTCTTGCCTTTTTGTACAGAGTCCAGGCCACCAAGGTGAACAAGCAGATGCCGTAGAACGCATAAATTGCAATAAAGACCGGTTCAGTATAGGTCAACGTTCCGAGATCTGGAGGAGGACATTGGCCCCACATCACAGACTGTGCTGTTTCGTTCCAGTTGGGAATGTTGTTGATGCCCACAAGAGCAGAGCATGATTCGGCGACTTGCTCACTTTGGCGGGCCTTGTTCGTAGTGACATAATTCGGAATGTTCACCAGCAAATCAAAGTCACTGCGACACGAATACACAGGGCCTGTAGGTGACAGTTGGGGAGCGTCAGGGCAGCTACACTTGGAGACCAGATCACTGGGGCACGTTGAACGACAAGTGCCATCAACACAGTATGTTTGACCAGAAGGACAGGAAGGAAGCAGCGATTCGGGACAAAGAGAGATGTCATTTACACAGAGAATAGGGCAAGGATAACCATAGTAGGTTGGCAGCGGGCATTGAGTGCCATTCAGGTGGTATTGATTGACTATTTTTTTTCCCGGCATTCATTCAATTAGTACCCGTTTAGAAACGAGAATGAAAAATAAAAATAAAATCCACGTATTTATATCAAGCCCACCTTGATTAAATGCCGGTGTGCACCGCACAAGAAGAGGTGCAAGAAAAAATATGAGGCCGATCGGTATCTTGTGATGCATGATTGTTTCCTGACTGGGATGCAGACCGAAAATGATCACACAGAACTTAGGGAAAAAAATCAACAAGAACCTGATTTTTTTTTATGTTATTTGACAAGTAGACGAGTTAAAATACTTTTCGGCATTAGGCAAAGTTGCACACAAGCTGAAGGCGAATAATCCGATATGGTAAGTGACATAACTCGGTTACACGATGTTTATACACGTCTTACTCAGTCGTTGAGGGGTAAGTACGGGGTACTTGCTTTACAAAGTCGAACTGGTTGCCGGGGTTTGATCCGTGAATGCAGGCTTTTTTCGTTCTTATTATTTCTGACTCGGGCCATTTTTAAGGCCCTCGGTTGCAACTTGATGTGCAAGGCATAGGTGAAACCACAGATATACCATTCATTGGATTCCATCGCTCTATTCACAATCAATGCAAACGTTGATGTTTTGTAAATTCTGCATCTTTTTCTTTTGTTTTCTTGCAATGCCCATTTCCATTTTTATGGCAACTTGTGTTTCCTCAATTCCCCGATTGAGAAAGACGTAATTTCTGGTTTTCTCGATATTGTTTTTCATGTATGTTCTCATTAGGGTCATCACGCGGAACCAAAGTTTTTGACGAATCTGGTTTTTCTAATAAAATCGTGGAACAAAAGGAACCACGTATTATTCATAGTTCTATGTTTGTGTGTGTTTGCATTGTTAGGGATATGTGATAATCCTTATCAGTAAAAAGAAAGCCCCGCCAATGACGCGGTTTGAGTTACCGTGATTTCTTTAAATGATACATTGTAAAGTAGAGGTGTTGAGGTTTCACCGTTTACTCAAGGTGCCACTATTTTCGCGCACGTCATTGGATGGGCGGGGAACCAAAGTCTAAGGACCCCTTCCAATTGCAAGATCATTTGCGAGACTTCCCTATCTCTTCGGGTTTAGCACAAAGGCAGAAATAACAGAAAAAGGTTACATCAGCAGAAATATCAGTGGACGTCTTGTATAACGTCATGATCATTTGATATCTTTAGTTTCTTTCGCTTACACAATATGTATCAATCTGACCATTTCTCCGAAGTCAATAACCTTTGAGACGGTCCACGTTATTCCGTTATGCGAAACAAAAATCAACATAGTTGAATTCATCGTTTGATTAAACTCAAGGGCTTAGCGGATTGTCGGCAGCGTCTTGTGCGTTTTTTATGTCAATTAATGTGATAAATAAAGGTGGCGAATAATAATGAATACGCTGTCATCGTACAGTGCGGCGGTCTTTCTGCTTGGGTGTCATGTCCATGGTGCATGCATATTCACAACCCTTTTTCTATGGTCTGTCATCATTCAATTCAAAAGAGAGTATCGATGACATCAAATGGATCATTTTATGTTTACATTTGGCTTTCACATGATGTGGCAGATTTCGAAACCGGGAAATCCGTTTCTTGTATCTTCTTTTCTGTTCTTGTCATTTTCTGTTTTGCGACTTTCCCAAGGTTACATTTTAGGTCCATGCAGCGTATCGGTCTTCGCAGACCGACCTAATGGTCAGGTTAGTTATAGTGTGAGAATTTAATGATCCGTTTTTTTTTGTCTTTGTTTTTTCCACGAAGTCATGGCTTTGCAAATTCGGGGGTTGCGTTTAGCAATGCAAAGTGAATACATATTAAAAAGTATACAACCATGGTTTCCCAAAGGTTAAATACCATGCCAAAGATCTATGCAATCGTATGTCAGATAAGGTTGTTGCACGATGCATGAGTTGCTCAGATATCCGCGCACATAAGGCAAGGCGTTGTGTAATAATAATGCCGCAAGGTGCACCGCAAATCCGCACGGCAATAAAACGGTAACCAGAAAAACTGGACAGCCGATAACTGACAAATGGTGTTTCATACCCCTGGTTTTGACATATGATGCATTATATCCTGTACCTCAATTAAAACGCACACCAAAACCATGCCATGGATACGAGCGCACGACCCAGTCACAGACAACGTTGTCACTCGGTCCCTCAAGCGACGATCCTATCTTTGTTGTTGTAATAAATCAATGGACGCACCGAAGCAAAATTTAGTAGCTCTGCTTGATAATTATGAAACATGTTATTTTGGTTTGTCTGTTCTTTTCCGTTATTGAAAACATACTGTATTCAAGAAGCAACAGGATCACTTTACAACGGTTTTATCTATTACGACTTTAATTGTCAGCAACTCTTTAAAAAGGTCAGCATCCAGAGAAACATGCCCCGTACCAACAAAACTGAATATTGCTCAGCTTTAAACTGTCCTGCAACTTTTTACGATGCATGGTGATATCCACCTTTCCTATTTTGATTTTCCTGGTTGTCCTTTTTCGATCACCATGGGAGTAGTTCTGTCGGAAAATGAAAACACATCGTTGCCCGTCCCCGAGGCCAATGTCGGCCAATCACGCCTGCTTGTTGAAAATTTGATTTCCGCATAGCAAACCTTGTCGTTGTGGAGCATCATGTGACTGTTGTCCTGGCAAGGGGGCGCTCCAAGTCAAAAACAAAAAAATACAAGCGGGGAAGCACTTTTTTCTCCATCGCATCTCGTCATAATGTCTGCCTGGAAAGCTGCCGGTTTCTCGTAGGTGCACGAAATGCAGAGCGAGTGATTCAATATTCTAATTGGTGATTCGCATATAGTTATCTTCAATACGCCAACGTTTGCGCCAAGGCTGTTCGTAACGCTTTGAAGGAGGATCTCCGTGTCCTTGCTGCTCGTCGCGACCAGAACGGTATCAAGTTCGCCAAGTGGGAAAACGGTGTTCAGAAGGAACAGGCAAGTGTCTTTAATAACATGTCCCACATTGGGTTGAATCGGAATGGCTAATTGTTCTTGCGTCAATGAATAGAAATTCGCTGTTAAGCAAGAGTAAATTCGCATTTTAAAAACATCATAACGGGGACTACGGTCTTTTTTCTTTCATTGTGCCAGACGTCGTCACCGATGTTGACAATAAAGTAGAGCTTTATTTCTAATGCCCGAGTATCTCTATTGTTTGATTTTGCTATTGTTTTTCTAAAACTCTCATGCTTCTCCAACCACGCCGACCCGTGATGTTTTGTTATTTCCGTGAACTAACTTTTTAATGTTTTTCCACAATCGAACAATGGCTTTTCTCGAACTTTTTCCTTTCTCTTTCTCTTTCTCTTGTTCTTTGTCTTTTGCTCGAGATTTTAACTTTTTGCCCCTTTTTGCGGACTTTGGCAGTAAACTGAAACTGGTTTCAGAAGGGCGATCTACATGCATTTCCGAGCTTCTTGCGGAATCATTGCATACATCGTCGGATAATGCGTTTGTAAAGGATGAGTCATTGCATATACTTGGTGGCCCTTCCTTAGACTCTGCCAAAGTCATACTGTCGGGTGGTGGCTGAGAAATAATCATCCGATCATCAGGTGGAATACTAGGCAGGGTGGAAGTGATGGAACTTGCAGGTTCCTGATCATCAGTATTGCGTGACTTTGGTGGAGGTAAGCATGTCATGGACGGTTCGAGAGACGGGGCATCATACAATGAAGAAGTTAAACTTGTGCAAAGTGATGGCGTCACCACAGAAGAAGGGGAAGAGGGAGAGCATGATGCGACAGTCGATGGTAAAATAAGCGCAGGTGATGCAATGGATTCAGAGGGTGTGGTAGAGGACGCATGTACCGCGGGGAGGGGTGACTTTAAGGATATCAGTCCCAAACCAAGCCTCGTTGAGACCGCTGGGCCGGATAAACAGCGTCGGCGATAAGATGGTTCTTTGGCGTTTTGATCGGTGGAGATGGACTGCAAAAGTTTTATCATGCACCCCTGGATGGATTGCCATGGCCGTTCTTTTTCTGTGGTGGGTGAGGAAGCTTCATCAATATTTGACAATGAGCTGGATGCGTTACGCGTGCAGGTCGTTCCAGAGAGAGACGGTTGAAGAAACGATGGTTGTGATCGTACGGCCGTGCTACGTTGAACGGAATTCAGTGCGCTCGGAGATTGGTCTGACACACACGATCTTTCGTGCTTGGAAATACGAGGTGATTTCTGATGACCGGCTTTTTCGGAGGGATCTCCGGGGTGGGTGCTTGCTGTGGATACACTGTTACGGATGGATTGCAGTGACTGTGATCTCGGACTTTGACGATGGCGACGGTACGTATCAATTTCAGCGACGGGAAGGAAGTGGGCGTCGTTATGGAACGGGAAGGTCAGTGGCCGCGGACACGAGTACACAAGGTCCGGTGTCGGTTGTGATCGAGTAGAGGAAGGTTTCCTTCCTATGACGACGGGTTCCATGAACGATCGATGGCTGTGGATGCTCATGGTGAATATGCCGCGCGAAGCTACCGAAGAGCGAAGGGAAGAGGAAGATGCCGATGGTAAGAAAAACGAGGGTATATGGGATGGGGTCGAGGATCTTGGTAGCCGAGGTTCCTGAGGATTCATGTTATAGGCAAGAGAGGAGAATTGGATGAAAAAGTCGCTGGCGCCTCGGATGGCCGCTAAACAAGCCGATGCTGTTGGCTTATTTTTACGTTTGCAAAAGTTGTAAGCTATGTATTCACTAAATGAGAACTCTTTCGGCTCAATTAATATATGCAAAACTTTTTTTAGTGGGAGAGAGAGGAAAAAAAAAAAAAAAAAAATTAGAAGCAACACTGTAAAAGAAAATCTTCATCCGGTGATGGTTGTACAAAAAATTCTTCCCTATGATCACGGACCGTGAGCAGGAATCTGATCAATTTTGGCGTCATTTGTTTTCCAGTTGTCATGATTTTTCTTTCCAAACGTGATGCGTTTATCTTTGACCTACTATCATTTGTCACTATATTCAAATCATCAACCCTCATGAGACCGTTGCGAACAGGAACTATTGTTTTTTTTTTTTTTTTTTTTTTTTTTTTTTTTTTTTTTTCCACAGATTAGAGAGTTTTGGTTTTGCCAACGCTAGTCCATGCCTCTCTGTTATTTTGCTTCATCCGGCTGTTTACATCTATTTGGATTTCACGCATATCATAACTTTGATACTTCATCTTATCCAAAAGAACTAACAAGTAACATATTGCTCACATTGGACTTTGTGGAGATATCTTCCCGGCAACATTACTTTTTGGAAACCACAGTATTACAAAAGGGTCAGTCGGAACCGTTTACGTTTATTGGATCGGTTTACAAAAGTCATTAGTCTACATTCTGGTAACAAGCGCCGAAAACTCTTATTTATCTTTTTGTGCGACAACAACGATCACCTGTGTGTTGCCACAAGCAAATGCGCCTGTCAATCGTCCTTTTCTTTTCGCATTTTCATTTATAAAATGTGCATTGACCTGCCACTTCTTGACGGCGTTCAACCTGGTAATAAGCATAAGCATTGCTGACAATTGCTTGATAGGCAAACCTGCTGCAAAGTCAACAAGCCGCTTTTGCATAACTACAGTATAAGGTAGGCGTATCAACATGCGTTGGCCGTGTCTCAACAGAAATTTATTCAGGCAGGATATTTAGCAATAAAGTGAGGATACAATATGAGGTGCGAAGAATATTCCGCAGAAATGAATCCACAGTATATGGCTTGCGATTAGTATCATATTCGACACCGCTTCTGTCGTAGCAAAGGTATCTACATGATTAATACATGTTCTACTGACATCGAAGAGTGACGCTGAGTAATGCATCCTAGCTTTGGTGTTCTACATAGCTACTGCGCGTAATGTTTTACCAAAATTCATATGTATTGGCCTATCGAGCGATCTACATCGCACAATATACTGTTTTTACAGTAGTGTGAAGGCTTTTTATAATTAACGCTGACGCAAAAGGACGGTATACAATAAAGATGGCAAAGAAGCAGCTCAACTTGGATTTAATATACCTGAATGAAAGATTTACAAATAGAATACTTTAGGCACATATTCTATGGTTTGGTTTTCTTGACCTTGTCAAATGTTCTCTGGGCAATTTGCTCAGTAATAAACCAGAGCAGTTTATAGAAGAGTCACATTCAGGACTGTAGGATAAAAAAAAAGTGATAAAATTCCACTCAAGAACAAAATACTATCAAATTCTTACCGTTTGAATAAAAGTTCAAGGCACTTATTTTCTCTTTTATGTAGTGATGCGAAAGGTGTGAATAAAGGTTCAAGTATTTTGCAAGATGGGAGCGGGGAGTCAAATTCACAGGACATGCATAGAGCAAGTTGACTCACCCATGGGAGAGAGTCGGAAGGAAAAGCCACTGGCTGGGCTTCCGGGCCCCGAACTCCGCCGTCAATTTCGGGCGCTGTCAACCCCGGCGGCTCGTCCCAGCCTGTGTTATTACCTCTTAAACCTTTTTTCTTGAAACCGTTTTCCACAAGGTAGGCTCAACCACTATTCTTCACCACCTTCAGATCGAGCAATCTTTATATTGACCCTTGAACCTTTCAAACCAGTCATGGCCGACAAGGTTCAACAACAGGAGCATCAGGCCGTGTCCGAAACTCCTGCTGCTTCGCAAGAAGTTCAAGCTAACGATCAAGTCGTGGCTCCCGAAGACGGTAAGCAGATTTCTTGGGCGGTTTTGTAGAGAGAATCTCCTTGATAGAGAATCTGAAACTGCGATCGGCTGGAAATTCTGCAATTGGCTAATGTGAGCGAATGTCTGATTCATTAGTGGCCGTCGAGGAGACTTACCAGTTGACCGTCAAGGTGCCTGGACAACCAGGTGAAATCAAAATTATTGTAAGTAAAGTTCTAGCTTTGTTTGATTTTTGGTTAGTCAAATATGTTGATGGCTTACCATGTTATTTTTTTTCCCACCTTCATTTGTTGCAGGCCAGTCCACGTGAGGCGATCCAGGATATTAAACAATCGATCATGGAATCACCCGAGACTTGCGCTCATTCTTGCTTCTACTTGGCTTTCCAAGGCAAGCGTCTCAATGACTTTGGAGAATTGGGTGAAGTCGAGGGCATTACTACCGAAAGTGTCCTCGAGTTGGTGGAAGGTAATGTATATTACTGTTTAAAGTCCGGGGATTGCATTTGGAAAAGTCTAACGATGGGCATGGTGTGACAGACAAATATACCGAACGTGATGTGCGTCTCCATATCAATCGTCTTCGCGATCTTCTCGGTGGTCCCTACAAGCCAAACCCTTCGGCTGTGGGTATTGATCCCGCTCTTTCCTTCTTGACAGCCGTGACCGGCGAGATCGGTATGTATTTCACTTTTGAGGATTCGCTATGTAGAAGAACAGAGAGAGATCGCCAAAAAAAAAAAAAGGATCATGATGGATACTGAGTGTTTCATCTCGTTTAGATGAGGAGATTATCACTGAGGGTGAAAAGAAGATGGAAGATCTTTTCTCTGACGAACCTGTTCCCGAACATGCTTTCACCCATGCCGATTTGAAGGCTCGTGCCCAGCTGTCTGATTTTGTGCCTTCGACTTTCCAGCGCTACGCACCCCAATGTATCAAGAGCTTAGCTTTGTCTGGATGGAACCCCGTGCCTCACTCTCAGCGCTTGAAGGGTGATTTGATGTATATTATCGTGACGACCTTGGAGAACGAAATCCTTCACATCACCGCCTCCGTCAACGGATTCTTTGTCAACAAATCCTCAAGCACCAAATTCGATCCTGCCCCCCGTGCCGGCCCAAAGTCGATCTGCCACTCGCTCATCACTTTGTTGCAAAAGGTGTCGCCTTCTTTTGCCACCAACTTTACCAAGGTTCAGGACTTTATTACCCGCCATCACATGCTGGAAGTGTTGCCTGTCAATACCTATTACCCCAGCTACCCGTGGGCCGTTCAGCCTCCTCAGCCTACCTACGATCCCGCTCGTCCTGCTGAAGCTCTTCTCAATTTCGGCACCGATGCCGTGGAATCGCTCCGCGACTGGAACGACGAATTGCAGTCCCACCGTGAATTGCCAAAGTCAAACCTCCAAGAACGTGTGTTGCGTGAACGTCTGATCAACAAGGTGCAATCCGAGTTCACTGATGCCGCCGTGAGCGGTGCTATGGCGGTGGTGAATGGTTCCGTGGTTCCGTTGAATCCTATGGAACCCGAAGAATCTCACATGTACGTGTACAACAACATCTTCTTCAGCAAGGGCAACGATGGACGTGGTACCTTTGAAGCTTTGGGTGCCGATGAAGCGGCTCACGTCGCCACGGGCAAGGATCTTGAAGGCGTCAAGATCTTGAACAGTATCGATCCCGAAGGTCTTTATACTCTGGGCAGCGTGATTGTTGATTACAAGGGTGTTCGTATTGTCGCGCAAAGCATCGTTCCCGGTATTTTCCGCCGTCAAGACGATAACTCTATTGTCTATGGTTCCGTCGACAACGGTAGTCAGATCTCGGCCGACGAAAAGTTCCATGAAATCATTGGTAATGAAGTAGCCAAATCGCTCCATTTGGCCGAACATACCTTGGTCGATGCGGAAGATAAGAAGACCCGTCTTTACACCTCGCTCGAAACCAAGGGTCTCTTGGGCGCCGACGGTCGTCGCTACCTCTTGGATCTCTACCGATTGAACCCTGTCGATATCGTATTCCAAGAAAACGAAGGTGTGGCCACCGAAGGTGAAAATGCCAAACCTGCTTATCCTCACAAGATGACCCTGTTGCGTCCCGAACTGATGTCTCTGTTCTGGGAACGCAAGTTCCGCGACTGGGTCAAGCAAAAGAGCGAAGCTCTCAAGAAGGAACGTGCTGAGCAGAAGCAATTGCAAGGTGATGCTGAGAAGCCTGCCGAGGAAAAGAAGGAACAAGATCAAGTGGTTGAAAAGACCGAGGAGGCCAAGGAAGGCGAGCAAGCAGCCGAGGAGGAGGAAGAGATCAAGATCGATGTTTCAGAGTTCCAGCTTTCCTTCAACCCTGATGTGTTCACTGGCGCCAAACAGCCCGAGGGTAAGGAACTGGATGAAATCAAAAACCAAGAAACCGTGATCCGTGACGCTTCCAAATTCTTGAACGATGAAATCCTTCCCAGCTTGGTGCTTGATTTCGCCTCGTATTCCATTTCTCCTTTGGATGGTGATGCGTTGACCAAGGCGATGCATCGTCGCGGTATCAACATGCGTTACTTGGGCAAATTGGCTGAACTTGTTTCGGTCAGCCAGGATAAGCGTATCGATCACATTCATCATTTGGCGATCCAGGAAATGATTGTCCGTGCCTGCAAGCGTATGCTCCGCAACTACCTCCTCGAATGTGCTTTGGACGAAACCAGCTTGTGTGTGTCCCACTTTTTCAACTGTCTCATGGGCGGTGACTTCAACCCCAAGCCTGCGCCGGTGTTGCCTGAAGGAAAGATTAAGAACGATTTCAAGTGGGCGGGTCTCACTCCGGCTTCTTTGAAGCATCTCTTGAAGGAACAAGTGTTGCTTCGATTCCGTTACAAACTGACCGATGACGATCTTGCCAACTTGAAGATCTTGCCTACGCTCCGAGAAGTCTGCTTGCGTGTCGGTATCCAGATGGAAGCGAGAAACTACCGTTTCCATGCTTACACTGAAGAAGAAAAGGCCGCTATTGCTGCTGAAGATGCGGCCGCTCGATCCCAAGCCGATCGTCAGAAGCAGTTGCAGAACAAGAGCAGCCGCAAGACTCACAAGAAGAGTCAAAAGGAAGACCAACGTGCCACGGTGATCCGACGTAAGACTACCTTTATACCCGAGGATGTATTTAACGTCATGCCTACCGTCAAACAGGCTTCCACAAGAGTATGTATTCCACGAAAGGAGACTTTTTATTTTTGTCCAGGTGCCCACGAAGAACAAACGTAAACTAATCCATTTTCGACATCGTTTATAGAGCTTGTTTGCTGAAGAAACCTTTGAAGCCGGTAAAATGAGTTTGGCTCAAGGCCACCGCCAGTTAGGTCTTGAACTCTTGCTCGAGTCATTGACGTTGCACGAACAGACGTACGGTTTCCTTCATCCCGAAACAAGCAAGTGCTATGCTACTTTGGCCATGATCTATCATCATGACGAAGACCGTGAAGCGGCTCTTGATTTGCAACGCAAGGCGGTCATTGCTGCCGAAAGAACATGCGGTGTGGATCATCCCGAGACGATCCATCATTATGTAAGTGATGTTTCTTTTGCTGCACGATATATGAGATTGTTACTGACCTGTTATTTCCCATTTGCTTTGTTTGGTTCTAGCTTAACTTGGGCTTGTTCGAACATGCTGCTGGTCGTACTAAGCTTGGTCTCCGTTATTTGCGCCATGCCTTGTTCTACTGGGATCTTTTGTTCGGCCCTGGTCACCCTGATTCCGCCACTGCTGACGTAAGTTGGGAATACTTTGTTGAGGTTACTTTTTTTCTTTGGCGTTTACTTACATTTTGGCTTATTTTTTTTTTTTTTTGTAACAGAACAATGCTGGTGTGATGCTTCAATCCCTTCGCGATTATACCGTTAGCACAGTCTTCTTTGAGAGAGCTTGCGCGACCCAAGAATCCATTCTCGGCAAAGAGCATGTCATCACTGCCACAGGATACCATGTTCTTGCTAAGGCCTACACACTCCAAGGCGACTTTACCAAGGCATTAAATGCTGAACGTACAGCCTACAATGTCTTTGAAAAGAAGGTAAATTATATATAGTTCTCACTGATGCTATTTGCAGCCTACTTATACATATATATATATATATTTTGCCAATAGCTTGGTGTTGAAGATCCTCGCACAAAGGAAAGCGACATGTGGTTGAAGGAGTTGACATCGAACGCCTTGTTAACGGTAAGACATTCCCTAATACTTTCTAACCGTGAAAGTTTCGTTTATATCAATGACTTATCAAATCTACGCTTAGGCACAACGCGCTCGTGAACACGAAGCAAAAGCCAAGGACCTGCCTGCTGCCGCGGCCGCAGCCGCAGCCGCAGCAACGGCTCGCGCCACCAAGAAAAAGATTGAAATTCCCAAGGGCGAACTTCCGCTGGAGGAAGTGCTCAAATACATCAATGGCGATGCTCAGGCTTCCGCCCGAAAAGGCAAGAAGAAGGCCCAAAAGAACCGCCAGTAAAAAGCATTTTGATAGATGTGCATAAGACATAAAAAAAAAGAACGACTAGCCAATATTCACTGTCATAGAAGACAACAAAAAAGTTTGATTAAATGTATTACTAAAGAAAACTTTGTATTCAAAAAATAACAATAAACGCAAAACTGATACAATATATTATACGATACAAAAATGGGGGAGAATTTGGTTTCTGAGAGACGATGTCTTTAAGAGAAGCATGACCAAAAGTGCTTCTTTTGACCGTATCTCTTATTATTGGCTTCTGTACATTGTTGCTGGGTAATGGAAGCCATATTTTCCAGTCGCTTTTTTGATTCTTCATGGTTCATCGAGGCGGCTTTTTGATAGTTATCTCTGGCTTGAGCGAAATCTCTAGGTGTGCCAAGACCGATCTCATAGTACCAGCTAAACAATATCCATCATGTAAGTTTCCATATGTTCGCCAAAGAGTCGCATGCAGGCCAAACAACTTACCCTAGCAGATACCAAGCACTCAAAAGTCCCGATTCACCGGCCATTTGACACCAGAAAAAGGCGGCTTCTTCATCTTTGGGATGCGTTTCCAACCAGTTGGATTCATCTTGCGACAAGCGATCGGTTTCATCCTCATCATGGGGACCATGACAACCGCGATTATATAATCGGCTTAGACCAAGCATGGCTTCGGGATGACCCCGGTTGGCCGCTTCATGGTAGTAATCGAAAGCCTTGGACAAATTCATGTGAGTACCATATTCACCGTGTTCGTAGATATGGCCGATGATATTTTGCGCAGCCACATTGCCCAAAGAAGCTGCATGCTCAAAATGCATGGGTGCAGCGTTAGGTCCACCATACATTTCGGCAATTTCGCTGAAAAAATAAGGGAACAAAAAAATGGTGAGCTAATGTGATTGTCACCAAACAAGCATTATTGCACTTACTGTGGAATATCTGCCTTGTGGTAGTTATTGGTTAAAATAAGACCCATCAAGTAAGGAGGCTCATTGCAAGATTCGGTAGATTTGTCGCAAGCGCGTAACAACATCTGCAGACCCGATCGCATATCCTGTCGATGATCATACTCGCCGTGAATGTAGATTTTTGCCAAGCGCTACAAATCATCAATCATAGTTAGCAAAAAAAAAAGAGCGATGTCAAAACGTAAACATTGGTGCAACATACGTAAATAGCTTCAACGAGACCAAGATTGGCGGCATCATCGTAGTTCTTGAGGGCTCCCTTGACATCACCGCTCTTCTCACAGTGGTAACCGACCGTGTACATGGCTTCGGGAATACCGGCATTCGCAGCGACGACGTACAAATCATGGGCTTTGGAAGGCTTGTTCTTGAAACCATACATGGAACGGTCCATCCACAGAGCCTGCAAAAAGGCGGCCTCACCCACATTGTTTTTTGCCAAGTGCTTAATCCAACGGATTCCTTCCTTCTCAAGCATCTTTTTCTTCTCGTAATCTCGCTTGTTGTAGTACTTTGATCGGTCGTCCTTTGGATTCGTCTTAAAGTCGGAAGCGGGATCATGTGATGATTGTAACACATGCTCTTCATGCACAGCGGGGCCAAGAACGGGAGCGCGCATCAGGTTGTTGGCCCGGTTTTTCGCCACCGTAGGCACCTTGGTGTGATGGCTCTGCATGGGACGGAAACCAAAGTTCTTTTGAAGATCGGAAGGTTGCACGTTGGGTTTTGTCGGTTGATGATCGTAGAGGCTGGCGACCTCCATCAAATACTTTGCATAGGCAATCTGGACATTCTGGTCTTCGGTTTTTCGGGCCATATCACTGTACACTTTCAACGCGTTCGGCTGATGACTGAGACTGTAAGAAATAGCATTGTACTTTGACAAGTAACCTGGGGCCGTGAAAGGAGCTAACTTGGTCGACGTTTTGGCAAACGAATTGTCGGAATAAGCAGGATTCAAAAACTGGTCTTGATGTCTTGGTTGTTGTTGCTGCTGCTGCTGTTGTTGTTGTTGTTGCTGTGGCATTTCTTCTTTCTCGTTGGACGGAACGAAATTCTGATTGGCGCCTGGTTGTCCGCCGGATGAGAGACTGGCTCTCTCTGCCGAAGGTCCGACATGCGCATGGCGTAATGTTTCTGGATTTTGGAACTCAGCCACATCGTCTTCTTGCAGATGCTTCTCGTTTTGTGAAGACGGCGTACGCAACTCTGGCTCTTGTTCGGTTTGATTGTTGGCCGTTATTGTATCGTAAGCATTATCCATACCCTGGACCATGGCCACGTTTTGTGCATTGTGCGGTTGCTGATCCGGGCGATGCTCGTGCTGTGTTTTAGATTGATGCCGGGACAACGAACTTACGTTGTTGGTTTGTTGCCATTTCTGTGCTTGCTGATTTTGAGGATAATCGTTCAACGATGATAAAGAGGAAGTACCCGTCGAAGATCGATGTTCGGGAGAAGTGTTTTCTGGATCCAAGGGTGGCGTTTGGGCTGTGCTCCCACGCTGGTCCTTGTGGGCTTGAATGGTGCCAGTTTCTGAATCAGAAGAGTGAGCCACATCATGTGCGTTGTTGTTGTTGTTGTTGTTGTTGTTGTAATTTCCGTTCCCCCAGACAGTATTGTGGTCGCCCAAAGGGGATCTCATGTTGTCTTGAGGATACTGGCTAGGGCTTCGCGAAGGAATAGAATAGAAAAATGTGGAAGTCGAACCTTTTCCAAAACCATCAAAAGTCGGCCGAGACATAGATTGAGGTTCGTTGTTATAGTGATTATTGGGTTGTGAATTAGATAGTAGGGACATTATAAAGCAAGTTTTTTAAAAGAATAAATAATAAAGAAAGACAAAAAAGTTCAAAAGGAAAGGAAGTGAAGCGTTTTTTGGGTCTCAACAAAACATGCATTATTTAGTTACATCGAAAACAGGCTTTTCCCGATTTGGACAATGACGAAGAAAGCTTATCACTCCGTGGCTATGGCTTCTTTGCGATTGGATTCCTGAGTTGGTCTCCAGCGTAACTGTTAGAAAACCCACATATTGGGATATTTTCCCCTTATTATCGGTGTCAGTCATTTTGACGTCACAAAGAAATAGAGTTTGTTCAATTATCGACGATCTGATTGCTTCGGTTTCATATTAAAATGACATGCCATACGTTGTCAAGGGGTATGAAACCCAGAATCCAGCGGTTGCTGTTCACGCGGTCCAGTGGACTTTACAAATATGTTTGGAAACAATGGCGTCAGTCAATTGATATTATATCGTTATCTCGCAGTCAACTTGAATCACGATCTGAAAAAGAAAAAAAAAAAAAAAAATTGAAATGACAAAAACTGGAGCAGCAGCAGCAGGCCACACAAAAAAAAAGATTCCGCCAGGCAAGGAATTGGGAAAAACAATAAGTTAATCAAGATGTAGCCAATCGGAAAGAAAAATGGAAAAATACCAAATCAGTAATCAGTATGGCGGAACGTTCTTGAGCGAGAAGACAAAAGTATAAATTATCAAATGCATTTCTACTTTATTATTATTTACAGGTTCTGATCTCAAAAATGCCAAAAAATGATAATTGCCGTTACATATTTGCAACCAATCTTCCAATGATTGGCTCGTTTTTGCATGCCATGATGATATCTTCTTCCATGAGATTCAGTGAGATGCGCATAGCAAGATCCATGCGACCGCCTTCAATCACGAGAGCGCGAGTCTGACCAAGAGTTTCACATATGCGCATGAGGTCGCTGGTGGTAGGTGGTTCGATGTGGTGCCATTTACAAGTCTCCGTATGAAATTGAGCGGTATCGCCAAATTCCACTTCACCGATACCTGTGCGTCGTATGCGTGACATGACCGTCACAAGGAAAATCTTTTGATGTAATGAACACGACTGAATGAAAGCCACAGCGGGAGAAGCAAACATTTCACGGACTACTTCGTTGATTATACTGATGGTAACATGAGTGGAGGGGGCTTTATCGGTTGGTGCGCTCATCCGTGTTTCTACCACTTCCACGGCCCGTCGACAGATATCCAAAGCACGTCGTGCATCGCCACTCACAGCACTCACTTTACGTGCAGCAAATTCCACTGCTTCTTTTTCAAAAGCATCGATACCGTCTAATCGTGATTCGACAATTTCATACAGTTGCTGATGTGTGTAAGGTTGAAAATTGATACGAGTAAGACCTATTATTTCATGCTTAGTTTGCGTTTCTTTGTCACTTGTAACGGTCCAAAAAGGGCAGCAGTATATATTTACCCATGCGACTTGAGATTTTGTTGCTCAACATTCTTTCCGGCAAGTCCATGGTATTGGCCACGGCTACGACGATGAGCTTAGAATAAGGACGATTGGGCCAGTCAAAGAAATTATACATGACAGATTGCTTTTTCGTGACCAAGAGATCCAATTCATCCATCAAGACCACCCTGTATCAAGAAAACCACGGGTTCAGTTCCTTTCCATCAACCCAAAAGATGACAAACCATGGTGGTAATGACACTTTACGTTGTTTTCTGACGTCCATCTTCTTCCCCGAATTTGGTTTCCAAAAGTTCCAAGGCATGATTGGAAGTCACTCGCTTTGTCTGATTTCCAGGCAAACAGCTCCAAAGCACGGTATAAGCTTGAGCAGGATCAGTTAGTTTCATACCGTTGATTTCAACGAAATCAAATTCAGGTAATTCCTACAGGTGAGTTTTTCGCGTCAAGGGGCTGATAGTTGCCAATGGATACAATGATTTTACCTTGATCTCTGATTTATATTGCAAGTGGCGTATCACTTCTAGTACAGTGGCCGTTTTGCCCGTACCAGGAACCCCGGAGATATCTAATTTCGTCGATTGATCAGTTAATCGGACGCAGAGACATTGTTTAAAGATCCATTTCACACATACAAATACAACTTCCGGTGCCTTCTTCGACTGCCGTTTCAATGTGACCCATAATTGTAGCGAATTCCTCTTCTCGGCAAGGCAAAGAATCAGGTATAGCCGAAACGTGCAATCGCTCACGAGCCAATTCGTAAGGCGTCAACGATTTGGTTGGATCGAGCTGTCGTGGTGGTAGCGATTGAACAGGCGCCACGGCATTGACACTGTGGAGGCGGAATATGAGCATCCATTAAGGGTATATATTGATTGAAGCCAGTGCCCTTACCGATGAATTTGTCTGCGTGGAATGGGCACACGCTTTTTACGTGGACGCGTTTTTTTACGCTGCGGCGTTTCGTCGTCACTGTCGCTGCGCCATTCTTCACCACTGTCCTGACTCTCGTCCGAGTCATGATTCGTTACGGCTGCCTTAGCAGCTACCTTGGCCGTCCGTGTTCGGAGCCGCTTGGCCGGTAATTCAGCATGGGCGGCCTTGGTTTGTTTTCGTTTCGGCCGGCTCATAAAGTACAAAAGATCGCGAGTTGGGATCGATCCTAATGGTCACCATTGCTATAGGGCCGTGATGCTGTGCCTCATTTGTGACTGCGTTCCGACCTCACACGTTGCGCGGCACAGAGTGCCTGCCGCATTATTCAGACATAGTTTACGTTTCCCACCCTTTTTCTTTCTTTGTATTTTTGTACTTTCTTTTCATATCATGGCTGAAGCTGGCAATTGGTGTCTCATTGAGAGTGATCCTGGTACTATCTGCGAGAATGAAGAGAAGAGGATAAAAATAGGCTGTACTGAACGCTTTGTATCGTTCAGGTGTCTTTACGGAACTCATCCAAGGCATGGGCGTTCGTGGCGTTCAAGTCGAAGAAATATGGAGTCTCGACCAGTCCGTCATGGAAGATCTCAAGTAAATGCTTTTGTACATTGACTGTGCTGGGGAATTGTTTTTGCTGACAGTAACGTGATAGTCCAATGTACGGTTTGATTTTCTTATTCAAATGGCAGAAAAACGAACCAGCACCCGATGCCCCAACTCCTAATACCGATGCCACCGATCACGTCTTTTTCGCCAATCAAGTCATTAACAATGCTTGCGCCACACAAGCCATTTTGTCCATTTTGCTTAATCGTGACGATATCGACCTCGGTACAGAGTTGCGCAATTTCAAAGAATTCACAGCCGACTTTCCACCAGATGTAAGATTCCCGCCATTCCGCATAACCCGCGAACGCCACGCTCACCAGCCTTCTTTTCCATAGATGAAAGGTCTCGCCATTTCGAATAGTGATCTTATTCGCTCAGTACACAACAGTTTTGCTCGGTCCGACCCGTTTGTGAATGAAATGCACGATCCCCGATCGGATAAGGACGAAGATTTATTCCATTTTATCGCTTATCTTCCCATCCATGGCGCTTTATACGAATTAGACGGTCTTAGTCAGGGACCTGTGAATCTCGGTACGCTTCCGTTGTTTGATTTTGGATCTTTCCCTATGTATTTATTCATATTTTCGTTTCACAGGAGCCTGCCATGACAACGATTGGATATCAAAAGCAAATGAAGCGATATCAAGTCGCATGGCGCGTTATGGGTCCGCTGAACTTCATTTTAGTCTCATGGCATTAACCAAGGACCGATTGGAGATGTATGAAGAGCAAATGGAAGAGTTTGACGCTCTTTTGCTTTCCCTTCCCGGAGACAGTGAAGATCGAAAACGGTTAAATGCAGAACGCAACTTCCTTGAGCATAAACTGCAATTGGAAAAAGAAAAGCGAGCACGATGGCATGTAAGTTTTAGGCGTCAACTGCTTTTTTGCATGCCACAATGTATTTCGAACGTTGCTCACCAATTCTTCTTTTTAGAGGGAAAACTCGTTAAGGAAGCACAACTTTATTCCTATGATTTACAATATGCTGCGGATTTTGGCGGAGCGGAAGGAGTTGGAACCGTTGGTCAAAGACGCCAAGAAAAAGGCGGCAACAAAACAGCAGCGATAAATCATCCCATTTGACCCATCACCATAATTCGTGCCTGGATCACACCAGGATTCATTTGTTCGCGGCAAAAATATCCTGAATACGTTTTTTTACTCTGATTCTAGCGTAGGTTTTAGAAACAAAGTCGCTTGCTTGGAAACCACGTTTTTTTTTTGACATATGGAAAACATAAAATGAGAGCGAATTACTTTTCTTGAAGGGCCTCTAGGCATGTTACTGAGCCTCTAGGCATGTCGTGAATATTGTGTAAGGATACGAGCAAGTTTTAGAGGATACCAGGGTGAAAACAGATAAAACAGGAGAACAGGCAAGAACAGGACGGTGTTAGGTGCTTTCCGAAGGAACGGACGAGACAAGACAAGAGGGAGCAAGACAAGGAACACGGAACAAGGAACAGGATGTGGATGGGACACAAAGATAATCTGATACTGATTTATTATAGAGATGGTGGAATACTTATATGAAAGTAAAATATCATAACAAATATGAAAATCAATATGTACACAAGGGGATGTTGAAGAGACGACATGATCTCACTAACAAAACCATGACAATATGATTGATCTTGACATGTATCGCAAGACGGTCACAGCCAAGTCAGTTGGTCAGTCCTCCGACGAACGTGCATCAATTTTTGACAAGTGCATGGTAGAATAGATCATAGTTGAATCCAATGTTCGACGATACTGGGGACAAGAGGGAGATCCATGGGCGATCGTAGCAATGCAGATTTTCCCAGGCAAGTCAACACATACACACCGTCAGATTTCAGTTCCAGCCAATAAGTTGCGCAGTTGAATCCTTGGACAAGTATCCCACAAACCACAGGATCCTTCACATTGGCATTGACAAGACAGTCGACCATGCCTTTCAATTCCTTTCCACCTTTGACAAATCTGATTGGAGTTGGTACCATGACAGTTTGTTCGGCGGTTTGACCTCAACCGCCAATAGATCAAAGGATAGACCGAGTGTTGTATAGATGGGTAGAGACATTGAGTACGATGAGACTTTTGTTTATTCTCGAAAGAGATGATCTCTATACTATCTGGTCCAAGGATAATAATTGGTATCGGGATTTATATACAAATAATGGGTAACTACTCTAGTGTCTCTCATCTGCTTAAACCGAGGTAATTCTTATGTAATGGCATATAAGCCCTATCTATACGACACCGTGTAATCAGCGAGCAGCACCAGGTCGTCGTTCGAATGCGATGCACCAAGTCGGCCAGATGTCACCAATAAGTTGAGTTGAGATTTTCTTTATAGTTCCGAATATACTGATGGTTTTTCAAACACTACCGCAGGGACCACAAGTGCCACATCTTGCACACGGACTACAAGCGCTTCAACTTCATCAGATCATCTGCGTTAATCGTAAGCTGACAGTGCATCCGTGCGATCCTGGATCCAGTCGCATTTGTTGAAGATATGGTCGAGGAAAGGGCGGAGATCCTGTAAGATGGAGATGCATTCCAGGAGTAGTAAAGCCAGCGTGGTAAGATTCTCGGCATCGTACTTGGAGTTCTCGTTCACAGCAGTGTCTGCTAGATCATCGGCTTCATCAGCAAACGTAACTGATGGCTCTGTTTGGCGCTGTCGATGTCAAAGCACCGTACTCTTGGTCCAAAGAAGCGACCCAATGACGCGCTCTCATAGGCAAGGAATGCCAATGAGCCTTGACGTTGGGACCGGAGAAGTTGGTGGAACGCCAGATTGGATCAAGGAAGTTCACGAGAGCCTGAGTGCAGTTCAACCAGTTGCTACCAATGACAAGTGGAACGGGGGCATTTCGCAAGGACCTCAGCAGTGATAGGTACACGAGCGGCATTGTCGGGTTGCAATGGAACATCGTAGATTATTCCGAGTGAGGACTGACGAGCGATGGGTGCAGGACCCTTTTGCTCTGGAGCAATTGCAAATACATGGCTAAGCGACAGGATCCGATTATCATCGAGATTCTTCTTCTTTTCGGTTTCCAACAATCGATCTTTGCCGAGCTTCCATCACTACGTTACTGATATCTTCATCTAGCGAAAAGTATCGCATGGCTACCTTCCACCGAGAATTGGTACTATTATCGCCATGAGGCCTTTCAAGCGTAAAAAAAAAAAAAAAGGAAATTAGAAGATCGTTCACTGGTTGTGGTCTTCCACTACTGTTCGCATTTACCTTGGCAGCCCCATTGATATGCCGGAACTTCTGAATGATGGCTTGCATGGAAGGTTTGAGTTGTTTTGTCACGTTCCACCAGTGGATCGTCAGCATTTGACGAAAACTTTTCGGCAAAATATTTTTGCGCGAAGACGATCCATCTTCTGCAGAAGATCCACTCGCTTTCCTGCGGTTTCCCACGCCATTGCTTTTTCGAACGTTTCCAATGTCGACAGAATTGTCATGTCGGATATACTCGATGGATAATTGAATATTTCTCCTACGACATTGCCTGCACAAGTAAAACCGATCTATTCCAGAGAAAAATTAGTATCGCTATCTTTATGGTTTCCAAAAACGCATACCGATAAATTCATCGCGCAAATTCATAAATCTCTGCCGCGGATGACGTTCGTCCCTTGGCTAACCTTCTTTACCACATCAAATTGTGGAAGACTTGACAGCCAATTGCTTATCTTCTGGGCAGAGCACTTGTTTACTCCAAAGGGAACATGCTGCTCCAAAGACGCCAAAAGATCCTTGCTTGACATTGGCTGGTTGTAATAGTGGTCAACATTCGACGTTGGCCGTTGCGTGGACATGACACGAGAAAAAAAAATGAAGAATCGCCTCCTTTCCAAGAGTTATGGCTGTGCAAATAGATCAGTTCCTTACCATCTATGCGAGTAAAATCATATTTTTTTTACCAAAGTTCTCTTCATCAACTTTCATTGTTGTCCGCGTCACGGATCCCTAGAGTTCTTCCATTATTGGCTGCCACGCGGATCTCTGGATTTCTTCTGTTGTTGACATCAGCGCCGAATCCGAGGCTTCCGGTCACGGGTTCGGGCGATGGTGTATCCCTGTATTCGATAGGAATAAGGGGTCGCAAGTAACGGCGTGTTTACCCATGCAGAATGGTCTGCGCGGACCTGTGTCAGGGACAAACACAACTTGAAGGGTGTTGCGTCGACCTGTTGTTTCGCGAGAATTCGGTTCTCGCTGGTCATTTGGATGTTTAGGATACGGCAAATGCTTGCTCTAGTCATTGGGGCCATGGCTTTCAAAAAAAAAAGAGCCAACACTTTGGTGCACTCCGAAAATGATGAGTCTGGAACGGTTGAGTCGCTTCGGATAAAACTCGCTCTCCACAACGGAAGACAGCGCCCCATAGCCACAGCACACAATCCCGAAACGCTACCTAGAGAGCGTCGAACAAATTCGCATCCCTCTGCTTGCATTAACGTCACTGTGTGATTCAAGCGGCCTTCCTTCTTGTTGGACGATACGCATAGACATTAAGGTTTGTTGTAACGGTTGAAGGGACAGGCTTACGCAAGCGTTGATTTATAAAGCAGGAGAAAAATGTGACGCGTGGTCAATGATGACGTGCGCTGGCAAATTCATTGTTCTCGAACGAATTTGGAGTGAAATTTGGAGAATACCAGGAGAATACCCAACTGTTGGCCAGAAAAGGCACCCGCTCTCATTGCATAAATTTTTTCTCGTGCCAAGAACGACGTAATTTCCAATTAAGCGACTTTATTTATAATATTAAAACTTTCATTTCTAAAAAGGTACGAAATTGATGCTATTGAACAACGACATCAATTGCGACTTGGCTGCGACATTTGATGGCGGGGATCATTGTAAAGAAATATATTCGGGATAACTTTGACGCGAACAAATGAATCCGCAGTGTTCTCCAGGCACGAATTATGATGATTGGTCAAATGGGATGATTTATCCTTTGGGCTGTTTTATTATTTCTGTTTGTTTGCTCCGACGCACGGACAAACCGGAAAACTATTGAAATAAAAAAGATTTGCCCAACTTCAAGTGATAGCTTTTTTTTTCTACAGTTGTTCTTCTAAAAGATTCATTGCACATGGCAACCAAAGAACTACCTTTGCCTGCCAGGCAACTCTTCATTATTTGCGCATGTCGATTTGCGGTACAGATCAATGCTAATGCCAGCAGTTCAAGCTCAGGGGGAGGCGAATGCGATGACTCATATAGACATGTTTTTTTTATAGGAACCCATATGCTTTACAGTGTTGTTCCCGTTTATTGTATCGGTAAGTTGACGGTTCTTTTTTATTTTAAGGCAACGGTGGACTGCCGATAAGCTCAAACTGATACGGTGTCTTAGATGGTACGGGACTTTAAAGTGGGAGACGAGACTGAAGTAGGCTATTATGTTGGCTTTGTTACATCCTCGTTTGCATTGGCCCAATTGCTGACGGGTAAGTTCCATCGATGACTGCCTTATCTTATATTTTGATCCAGTGTATCTAAACCAAATCATTGCATTTGCGACGGGGTTTGTCAACAGGCATTCATTGGGGTATGCTGTCAGATCGCATTGGACGACGACCGGTCATTCTCATGGGACTCGTTGGTACCATTTTGAGCATTCTACTGTTCGGTTTATCAAAATCATACGTGTGGGCTCTCCTATCTCGCAGCTTGTGCGGTTTGCTCGTAAGTCATGCCAAAATATTAAATGAGGTTGGCGGGGATTCAAATGACCACTTCAGATTTTTTAATCCGCACTTTTTCCAGAATGGCAATATCGGTGTACTTAAAAGTATGGTTTCGGAGCTCACGATGCAGCATGCGCCCCATCAACGGGCGCGTGCCTTTTCTTTACTGCCATTGATGTTCGGTCTTGGCAGTATCATTGGGCCAATGTTAGGAGGTAACTTGATGACGCATCGCTCCGTTTGATCCATGCTTACCATCAAATCGTTTTTCATCCAGGTTTCCTCTCAAAGCCTGTGGAACATTACCCGGCCATTTTTGGACGTGGGGGATTTCTCACCGATTTTCTTACAGAATATCCCTACTTTCTGCCTTGCTTCATTTCGGCCGTTATTTGCGCTTTTGGTCTGGTCTTCGGCATGTTTTACCTGGAGGAAACGTTGGCCAAATGCATCAAAAAAGAAGAAGTGGTGGTCGTGGGCGCATCGGATGTGACGGAAGAGAATACCTTATTGATAGAAAATCATCACAAGCCAGGTTACGATACGTTCAGTCACAGTTCACATCGAGACAATTCCCCTACACCAACTTTATGTGGCAGCCAATCAACCCCGCCAACTTTGCGCGAGTCACTCACACCAGCTGTTCTGGCCATCTGTGTAACTTATGGGCTGTTCTCTTACCAAGCGATTTTCTACGATGGTAAGTCACTAGATGTGGCAAAAAAAGAATTGCAATGGACCCTTATCGTAAAATATATGTGCTCCCTAGAATTGTTCCCTATTTGGACGGCCAGTTTGAGAAGGTCGGGTGGGCTTGGCTTTGATTCCGACGAAATTGGAACTGCCTTGGCTTTCTGCGGTGTGGTCACACTGTTTGCTCAAATCGTTTTATTACCTTATCTGACGAAGCGATTCGGTTTGATGCGATTATTCCGCGCCGTACTGTTCATCCTTATTTTCCTTTATCTCGGACAAAGTTCTGTGCGCCTATTCTACAACATTCCTGATTTGAATGGACAGCTTGATACGAAACTGTGGGTCTGGGTGGGCCTCTTGGCAACCGTTGCCATCAAAACGATATGTCACACAATTGCCTTTACTGCTTGTACCATCTTGACCAACAATGCCGCCCCGCGTATGGATGCGCTTGGTACCGTGAATGGTTTCTCCCAATGTAAGGAATACCTCTCTTCCTCCCCCCCCCCAACGGGTCGTAATGACGAAAGATGGACGTAATGATACTGATGGTTGATCTTAAAATTTATAGGCTGTGCTAGTGGCATGCGTGCATTTGGTCCTGCCAGCTGTGGTATCATTTGGTCTTCGTACGTATTATATTATATGATGCTCACACCGATCAGACATTTTTGCTTATAGTTGATTTCTTTTCTTTTCCAGATCCTTGGCAGCTCATTGGATCCCTTTCCCCATTCGCGTTAATATTAGCTTTTTGTTCCTGACCGTTGTGGGTGCTGTTACATTTTACAGCAGTAAACGCCTGGACTCCATGGATTACGAAGTGGCTGCCGCCAGAGAAGAAGTGGTGGTCGACAGTACCTCCACAAGTGACGAAACTATTGCTCGACGCGTTTAAATGTCCCTACCCTACAATTCCCTTTTTTTTTCCTTTTCCCCAGTTTGCATTCCAAAGATTCTTCCCAGTATTCCTTGCTCATTTACCAAATAGTGAGAAATTCCAATGTTTATATCTTTTCATCAATACAACCTTTGCCGTCATCGACAAAAGCATTGTTTTTTATTGCCACTTATTTCTTCAAATCTTTAAATTATTCTTCTGTTATAATGTTTTTAAATGAGTACGAAGTATGTCTACTTGCTAGATAGATTACATCTTTGAGATAAATACAAATTGAAAGATGACTGCTTAATACAGTCCATCCATGCTATAGTTTACATACAAATAATAAGGATATGTCATTCGACAATCCTTATAAGTAAAGATACTGTGAAATTTAAGATCTCTTACTATAATTACTATTCATATCCTTCTAATGGGCACCTTGGGACCATCCGCAGGGCACCGTGTTAACGATAATGCTTCCTCCGCCGAGAAAGACCTGATATTGGTATTGGGGCCGCGCAGGTGTCTTCTTCTTTTTCTCCTGCTGCTTTTTGCAATCCATGCAGCATCCCTAAGAACGTGAAGCCTGGGGGATACGGTCATTCGCTGTAATTCATGGTAGTTCAAAATGTGTGTCAATAAAGCAAATAGGAAAGTGAACTGCACGTACCACTGCGCATTGGCCAGGTCCTTTTTCTAGTTTTCACAGCAGGTATCATGCGGCAGCAACGGCATCCAGCTTCCGAGACAGGCAAGTTTTTATATTGGTACTACATTGTTGATTTTCCACACACGTCATTTAACACCAACTGTTCGGTACAGTATCACAAACCTCAATGTTTTCTACTTTAAGATGAGGAAGATCTCTGTTTATTTCTAATCACAAAATGATGCACTTCTTCAGCTTACTTGTAGCACTGCGCTTAGGACTGCTGGGTTGTTGCGGTGTGTCTTTTGTGGGAGCGTCTTTTGGCTGAGGTTCCGAGTTCACAGCAGGCACGCCCTGGGAAGTAGTGGATGTTGCGGCTGTGGGTAAAGGCTTTTGGATAGTGGGATCATTGGCACCATCATGAGGTGTCACAACTCCTTACTTGTACCCTCTGGGAGTGAGGAATCCGGTTTAGGCAAGGGCTTGGACCTTTCTTCGTTCATTGGTGCGACTGCTGCGTCTTCTGTCTTGCCCTTTTTCACTATGGCTGCGGTATCAACGGCGGCTGCATTGACCACACTTGCAATGCCATCCTTTACCGCTACTTCTGGCATCTGCGATCCGGTTGCTTGTGGTACGTTGGACAGCTTCTCAGACGGTTTGGTTGGCGTGGTGGGTGCGGCGGCGGCTTGAGACGCCGTTGCCGCCTTTTGCTTGGCAACGATGTCGCACAGACCAATACTAGGGGAGCGAATGGCAGAGGTGATGGCGGCCTGAATTGGTTCACTCATGTCGGACAAGGATTTGTGTTCTGGCAAACTCGCTACAACCGTCGGCTTTGGCACCACCTGATCCTGAGCGGATGTGGCTGGTGCAACATTTTCCGAGGTATCCGTGGCTGTTGCCGTTGACTGGGGAGCGCATTGGTCTTTAGAGTTAGCCGTAGCAACGGGTGTGTTGGAGGTAGTAACAGGTGGGGTAGGCGTATCTGTATCGTTAGCCGGCGTACTGTCCTCTTATGCTGGTAATGGCGTTGTAAATGGTGGCTGCTGCCGCTTATTTTTACCAAGCAATTTTTTACGATGATAAATCACTAGATGTGGCAAAAAAAAAATTACAATGGACCCTTAATCTAAAAGCATATGTGTTTCTTCAGAGTTGTTCCCTATTTGGACGGCCAATTTGAGAAGGTCGGGTGGGCTTGGCTTTGATTCCGACGAAATTGGAACTGCCTTGGCTTTCTGCGGTGTGGTCACATTGCTTGCTCAAATCGTATTATTGCCTTATCATATCTGACGAAGCGATTCGGTTTGAGGCGATTGTTCTGCGCCGTACTGTTCATCCTTATTTTCCTTTATTTCGGACAAAGTTCTGTGCGCCTATTCTACAACATTCCTGATTTGAATGGACAGCTTGATACGAAACTGTGGGTCTGGGTGGGCCTGTTGGTAACCGTTGCCATCAAAACGATATGTCACACGATTCCCTTTACTGCTTGTACCATCTTGACCAACAATGCCGCCTCGCCCATGGATGCTTGGTACCGTGAATGAGTTCTCTCAATGTAAAGAGTATAACTCTTCCCTTCCGTCTCTCCACCGCCCCCTCCCCAACAGATTGTAATGACGAAAGATGGACGTAATGATACTGATGGTTGCTCTTAAGATTTATAGGTTGTGCTAGTGGCAGGCGTGTATTTGGTCCTGCCAGCTGTGGTATCATTTGGTCTTCGTACGTATTATATCATATGATGCTCACACCAATCAGACATTTTTTCTTATAATTGATTTCTTTTGTTTTCCAAATCTCTGGCAGCTCATTGGATCCCTTTCCCCATACGCGTTAATATTAGCTTTTTGTTCCTGACCGTTGTGGGTGCTGTTACATGTTACAGCAGTAAACGCCTGGACTCCATGGATTACGAAGTGGCTGCCGCCAGAGGACAAGTGGTGGTCGACAGCACCTCAACAAATGACCAAACTATCGCTCGACGCGTTTAAATGTCTCTACCTACAATTCCTCTTTTAAAAAGATAAATAGTAATTATAGTAAGAGATTTTAAAATTTATAGTAACTTTATTTATGTCGAATGACATATCCTTATTATTTGGATGTAAATTATAGCATGGATGGACTGTATTAAGCAGTCATCTTTCAATTTGTATTTATCTCAAAGATGTAATCTATTTAGCAAGTAGACATACTTTGTACTCATTTAAAAACATTATAACAGAAGAATAATTTAAAGATTTGAAGAAATAAGTGGGAATAAAACAATGCTTTTGTCGATGACGGCAAAGGTTGTATTGATGAAAAGATATAAACATTGGAATTTCTCACTATTTGGTAAATGAGTAAGGAATACTGGGAAGGATCTTTGGAATGCAAACTGGGGAAAAGGAATAATGGGCAACTTGGGACCATCCTAACAGGGCACCGTGGTAATGATGATATTTCCTCCGCCGAGAAAAACCTGGTATTGGTACTGGGGCCGTGCAGGTGTCTTCTTTTTTTTCTTGAGTTGTTTTTTACCATTCTTGTAGCATCCCTGGGAAACCGTGATGCCAGGGGGGTAGGACCATCCGTTGTTACTGGCGTTGTAATTCATTGGTAGTAGTTCAAAGAAAAGGTGGGTCAATAACGCAGAAAAGTGAACTGTAGGTACCCAGTGCGCACTGGCCAGGTCCTTCTTATAGTTTTTGCAACAGGTATCACGCGGGAGCAACACCATCCAGCTTCCGAGACAGGCAATATTTATATTGGTACTACGTTTTGTTTTTTACACACGTCATTCAACTCCAAGTGTTCCGTATCACAAGTTCAATGATTTCTTTTTCAAGATAGAGGAAGATCTCTGTTTATTATTCGAAAATAAGTCTATTTCTAATTACAAAATGATGCACTTCTTCAGCTTACTTGTAGCACTGCGCTTAGGACTGCTGGGTTGTTGCGGTGTGTCTTTTGTGGGAGCGTCTTTTGGCTGAGGTTCCGAGTTCACAGCAGGCACGCCCTGGGAAGTAGTGGATGTTGCAGCTGTGGGTAAAGGCTTGTGGATAGTGGGATCATTGGCACCATCAGGAGGAGTCACAACTCCTTTGCTTGTACCCTCTGGGAGTGAGGAATCCGGTTTAGGCAAGGGCTTGGACCTTTCTTCGTTCATTGGTGCGACTGCTGCGGCTTCTGCATTGCCCTTTTTCACAATGGCTCCGGTATCAACGGCGGCTGCATTGACCACACTTGCAATGCCAGCCTTTACTGCTCCTTCTGGCATCTGCGATCCGGTTGCTTGTGGTACGTTGGACAATTTCTCAAACGGTTTGGTTGGCGTGGTGGGTGCGGCGGCGGCTTGAGACGCCGTTGCCGCCTTTTGCTTGGCAATGATGTCGCACAGACCAATACTAGGGGAGCGAATGGCAGAGGTGATGGCGGCCTGAATTGGTTCACTCATGTCGGACAAGGATTTGTGTTCTGGCAAACTCGTTTCAACCGTCGGCTTTGGCACCACCTGATCCTGAACGGATGTGGCTGGTACAACATTTTCCGAGGTATCCGTGGCTGTTGCCGTTGACTGGGGAGCGGACTGATCTCCAGGCTTAGCCGTAGCAACGGGTGTGTCGGAGGTAGTAACAGGTGGGGTAGGCGTATCTGTATCATTGGCCGGCGTACTGTCCTCTTCTGCTGGTGACGGTGTTGTAGTGGTGGCTGCTGCCGCCGCTGCGGCTGCACCTCCTTTCTTGTTTTTCTTTTTATTTTTCTTCTTCTTCTTGCCATTACCTCCGGACGTGCCATTGGCTACCTGGGGTGTACCTGTGGGGTCAGGCTGATTTTTGGTGGCACTTGCCTGTTGGGGTCCAGGCTTTCCAGTAGCAGTTGTTACTTGATCCATCTTTGTGGCAGCGGACATTTTTTTTTGTTTGCAGAGTTAAAAAGTAAGTTGAAAAGAGACTTTCACCGAACTTAAAAAATATAAAAAAATAAGAGAGAAATGGAAGAAAAAAATGGCAACATAATCAAAATGCTCCTTTATTGAAACCGGAGCTTAGGAGATTCTTTTGGGCTTGGTTTCATAAAAAACATTCCCCATTGGCAAAATTTCATTTGGATTTCCTAAAAAGGCAATACTAAAGTAGGTTTGGTGCCAGCGCTCTTTTTTTTCTGATTGTTTATTTGTCCAGTTGCTTATTTCGCTTCAGAGCCTCAGAAGAAAGCGTGATAGGGGCCTTCCGTTTAATCGACGTCATAGGGAGGGTGTTGATAATCCTTGGCGCGGATGCCGCCGATGGCTTTGATTCGTCCAATGACGGTGCTGGTCCAGTTGTATGAATCACACAAGGTGGCCCACACGACAAGTTGGTCCAGGTGTTCAAGACATGCTGTGAAGAAGTTTTGTTTTTTTCATCGGTACTAAAATCACGGTCCATTAAATCATTCCAGAAACGTGTATATATGTCTTCGGGAACTTTTTGGTCTTGCACGGGCTGATCTGCGCTGGTGCCAGTGACTGGGGACGGATCTTGTTCCTGACCCAGATGCAAGACAAAAAATCCAGTAAGTCGGCCCGCACCGCATTCTTCTCCAATACCTAGCAGATGCCAAAAGTCTTGGACCGATAACTGATCATCTCCTATTTGCCGAAAAAAAAAAGGTTCCATCCCCAAAAAAGATTAATTATCGTTCGGTTATTATGTCGTATCAGCAAGTCAAACGAATTTACCGTTAGTATTTTGGTCAATGAGATGTTTGATGACGCGCGTTTTTGGATCATCGTCAAATCGAGGGATAACCTGATCTGCCGCCGCCTCCTTTTCATAGGGATAACCATATTGCCACGTTATGTCAGTTTGTTTCTTTCGATTCCCTCCTTGACCAATCTCCAACATGGCCGATGAAGCATCATCGAGGCCAGGCACCGACCACCAGGCGGCCGATACCGAGGCAGATGGCAAAGCATCGCTCAGTAAACGATACCACCAACCCACCAGGGCACGATCCGATAATGGGATCTTGGCTTTGTTGTGAGCCGATTTGGCGAATAAATACTGCGGTTGAGCTCTTGCAAACACGTGAACATGGCACGGACCAAGACTCTGAAGATAGGCGCGCACCAATCTGCCAGTGATTTTTGAAGAAGGGTAACCGGTTGTGTCGACTTTACTGATATACACCGTCGTCTGCTTTTTCTCATCGGGATACACGGTGATGTACTCATATGTTTCGAGTCCACAAAGAAACGCGGAATGCGATTCTTTAATCTCGCCGTCGTCTCGCACACTCACGAGAATCAATGAATGTGAAACAGTGGTTTTTCCGTCGTGCGATGGAACCAAAGGTGTGCATTCTTTGGGCTCGGTCGTTAATTTGTAGATCTCAAAGCACTTGCCCTTTGGCAAAGGTTGCAATGCTTTTCGAATGGCGGTTTCGAAACTTTTCATATCGAGCAGAGATGATACGGCGCACAAAAGACTCCAATGGAAAAATCTGTCAAGCCATTAGCGGAGTTTGTAAAAATGCGGGGTGATCATTGTTGAACCGCCAAAAGAAAAAGAAAATGAGTCAATATGGCGTTGTTTTTGCAACCAACATACAAAGTTTTCGGTGGTGGTTTGCAAATGATGCTTTCCTAATTTGGATGCAAAAATTACGGTTCCGGGGAGATCTCCACAGGTTTTATTCTGCGATGGATGTTACTGCGTAAGGTTCATCGTGCGCACTTGGTTGGATTTCCGGGTACGAGCAAGTTAATTACATCTAACTATTGGTATACTGCCCTACTGACGTGCTTTTCTTTTTTTTTTTTTTTTTTTTTTGCCTCCTTTTAACGAACTGAATTGATTTTTACAAATTTTCATCTGTCTGACTTCTGTTCCCTTCATTTGACTTTTAAATTTTGTGACTTTAAGTTTCAAAGTTCGATCCAAATGCCTGGTTGCTTCTCTTGTTTCTCTCACTTCATGCTCGGTCGATATAGGGTGCCACGACTTGCTTCGTCTTCCATTGAACGATTCGTAGGATTAAGGGCCTTTTCATCGTCTGCCAAGATATACCATGTAAAGATTCAACTAGTACCTATCATCTAGCATACACAGACCCTGATATATTCGTTCATCTTTTTTATGTGTGTGTCATAGGAATTTCCTGACAGAAAAGAAAATGTTCGAGTAAGTGACTTATTGAACATGAATGAATTGTATGTTATTTGCCAAGATATTCAAGGACGTGTGTACAATTAGGATTTGCTTGAAAACTTGATGAATACACAACCGAGTAAACGAGAGTTGCGCCATTTCCTCAAACGATACGTCCCTCAGCCAACAGCAGCGTCGAATGTGGATTTGGGGCTCAAGAATCGTCCCTACGCAAACAGTATACCCTCTCCAAAAGACTATGTGGACAACTTGTTAATGCCATCGTACAATCAGATTGCATTGACCAAAGTTGAAGGACCCTTTGAAAAAAGCGGCTGGCTCGCTGTGGGATCGACCCTGTATAAACTTCAAAAGCTCGGCTTAACCTCTATCGTCGTCACCGACAATCTCACCTGGTCCAACGAAAAGTCATCGTCCGAGCTTTGCAAAGCCATGATTCGGGAAAGCATGGCCCTCATTGAAGCCATTGAAAAAGCAGGCGGACGAGCACGTCCCATTTACGGCTGTGTGACGGAACAGGAATCAGCGTCTTCGGTTGAAGTGAATTTCAGCTTCATTCAATCGGCTCTCGATAGTCATCATATCCCCATTATCATTCCCATCGTATCGCAACCTACGGGCATGCAACGGCCTATGAGTGCCAATGACACCATGATCGCGCTTACGCAAAATCTGGTCAAGGATGCTCATCATCAAATGACGCCGGCCAAAATTGTGGTGATCAACAATGAAGGCGGTATTCCTAACCATGAACGTCCCGGAACGGCGCACAGTCTCGTCAATATTCAGGAGGAATACGATACCATTGTCGACGCATTTCAGCGGAAACCAGCTTGGCAGCAATCCAATCCAACTGCGTTGAGCAACCTGGCGATGATCCGTTCCTGCCTAACGCACCTTCCCACTTCCTCTTCAGCGATAATTGTCCCTACGGTATCGTTGCCTTCAGCTTTGATTGCCAACCTAGTGACGGATAAACCTTTATATTCATCGTCTCTTCCTATTCACAATCTTCAACAAGGCAGCCCTGATTTGGAACGGGTGAATCAGAGTCGTACCACTGTCCTTCGGCACGGTATCAAGATCAATACGTATGATAAGTTATCACAGCTGGATACGGACCGATTAACCCGATTACTGGAAGCGAGCTTTCAAAGGAAGCTCGATGGTAATGCATTCTACGGACGCTTGGAGCGGGTATTGGCTGGCGCCATTGTGGCAGGCGACTATGAAGGAGCAGTCATCATGACAAACGAAGACGCCGAAAATGTGTCCCGATCTCACGTGTATCTGGATAAATTCGCCATTGCCCCCACTAGTCAAGGCATTGGCCTCACGGATATTCTTTGGCGGCGTATGTGTGACGCTTATCCCGAAATCCTCTGGCGCAGCCGTAAAGATAATGGCGTCAACAAGTGGTACGTTGATGAATAAGAGATGCTGCCCACTTGTTCCATTTTTATTGATTCCTTCTTCGATTTTTAGGTATTTTGAAAGATCCAATGGATATATTAGACTGAAAGATACAAATTGGGTGGTATTTTGGCACGGAGAAAATGGATACAAAAACATGAAAGATTATGCTCATATTGCACGATCCATTCCGGCGTCTTTTTCCACCTAATCATTAAATAGATTTTTTTTTTTTTTTTGGCGTTTTTACTTCATCTTCTTTGTACAGTCCACCACGGAAAATCCGTGGTCAAATTAGGCAACTGTAAATGAAAACCCACAAATGTGCAAATTTTTGTTAAGCCCCCATTTTTCCTTTTTTTTTTTTTTTCATTCATCGTAATAAGTCTTACTTGCTGTGAAAGGGTCCATGTTCGTGGGATGTGCAAAGAATCAGTGGCTGTGTCACGGAACTCGGAACGTTCCGATATTTTGATATTTACAACCCTACGAACGTAGCAAGAGCAAGAACGCGCCAACTTAAAGCTTTTTATTCCTTTACTGTAAAAATGCAGAAAAAGCTGTGTGGCACCTGATTTACCATATTTGAGGCGGACTTCAGGATTTCAAATACAGGCCAGACGAACATCGTCATAGAATTGAGTGATTTTTCTTTCCATCATTAAGCTGAACCTAGATGCGAAAACAAAGGCTTCCTTTATCACATAGTACATTGCTCCAGTAGAACCGCCTGGAAATATAAATGGAATGCGATGAATCTGGAAGAACAACGAGGCACAGTGAATTAATTTTAGATGAAATGGTGCAACGACAAACAGATCGGCATTTGAATCTCAGTGGCAACCCGACTATTTTCGTCACAATCGGAAACTTGAACCCCACAGCGTCATGCGGAAAAGGAAAATACCACAACTTTCTATCTCGACTTGTCTTGCGGCGTCAAACTTTATTGTCACAGCACATCGTTTAAACATTGCTGATTAATTCAACGAGCCGTTGTTGCATTGTTATGCGACATATTACCCTAGGAACGGAAGCTAAAACCTGGATAATTTGCAGGTAAACTCATTAACTCGTCCAAATAGCTACTTCTATATACTAAAAACGTTAAATCTATTGTTTTTCGTGAGCAGTTTTTTAGCTCTGGGAGGATTCATAGTAAGTTAGAACACAACAATTGTCCTGCTGGTTTATTCAATGACCTATTTTTCTGTAGTTTGGGTAAGCTTGCAGCAACATAATCAGGATTTTTATCGAATTGCCATGTCACTCATGTATGTGGGGGAGCAGCTATAACTTTGGCATTTTATCTGGATTACTTGTTACATCGTCTATTCACAAGGACCTCGACGATCCCGGCACTGACGAGGGCCCTCGATCGACACTGGTCAATGTCACCAACCTTGGCGCGTTTGTAGGCGCGCTTATCTCGGGGCCATTGGCTGATTTACTGGGTCGCAAAGGATTGGTGTCATTGGCGGCGGTTATATTCATGTTCGGTGATGTGCTGCAGGTCGGCGCATCAGATTTGAACCGGTTGTATGGAGGCCGCGTTGTTACGGGGTTGGCGGTCGGGTATGTTGATGAATATATATGCAATGAGTCCCTGTTCCCTGGATCATGCAAGTCTAATCATTTTGGGCATCCTGGTAGTATTTTGTCGATGGCGGTACCTTTATGTAAGATTTTTGTTTCCACGGTGAAATTAATTCAAGCGTTGCTTATATGGTTACGTATTACGGTAGATCAATCCGAACTGGCGCCTAAAGAAATGCGAGGAAGAATGATCTCTATACAACAATTTGCAATTACTTTGGGGATATGCATCTCCTTTTGGATTGCGTATGGCGTGTCTAGTGATGTTGAGGGTTTGACATGGAGGTTAGTGAAACAGTACTTTGTGATACTTGACGTGGCAAATGGGTTGATAGCTAAAACGTCATTCTTTTTTCTATCGTTAGATTGGGCTTTGGCATCCAGCTTATTCCCACGTTGATATTACTTCTTGGCATGATTGCAATGCCCCAAAGGTAAATATATGCATGACAACCACATCATCATCATCATCATCCATTAATTTTATCACCCGTTGCAACAGCCCACGATTTTCTGTTTCAAAAAATAAGCCCAAAGAAGCTCTGGAAACATTAGCACGGCTTCGGGGAGATGGTTCAACGGATCATCCGGATGTGCTCATGGAGTATGCCGAAATTTGCCAAAACAACAAATTCGAACGTCGGTTGTACGGTCACATGAGCGCATATCGACGCTTATTCGCCGCTGGACCCGAGAACAATCGTCGCCGACTTTTGCTGGGCATCAGCATCCAAATATTCCAGCAACTCACGGGTATCAATGTCATCTTGTATGTTATTGAGCATTGGATATAGACAGCAAAGTTGCTGATGGAAATTATCACAGGACATATGCTCCCAATATATTTCGAATGACAGGTTTGACGTCTCACAACGTGTTATTTGGTAAGTGGATATCACTGTTTTCAAACGAGCTAGAACCACGTCTTGACGGTTGAAAAAGCCAATGGAATCAGTGGCATTGTGAATATGATGGCGACGATTCCTGCCGTCATTCTGGTAAGTTAATTTGCGATAAGCTGAGAAGAAAGCCAAAAATAATGTGTAGTGATGAGGGAAAAACTTGAGATGGGGTGCATGTGTTGGGCAACTGTTGCACCAGCTAATTTTTATTTTTCTCCCAAATGGATCAGATTGACAAGCTGGGACGTCGTCCTACCACGATCGGAGGTGCAGTAGTATGTTGCATCTCGCTTTGTGTGATGGCTATTATTTCGGGCTTGCACAGTCTCGCGGGGAAAAGCATGGACGATCCCAACAGTGGCGGACCCAGCTTATCGCCGGACGATAATGCAGCTTTGGTGCCTATCTGGAACACTGATGCTTCAGCCATTGGGTTCATGGTTATGATGTATATATTTGTAGCGAGCTTTGCTTGTACTTGGGGTCCAGCCGGCTGGATCTATCCTACGGAGCTTTATTCTCAAGGTATGTCCATTTTGGAGTTTTCCAGAAAAGTAAAAAGTGTTGTAAACCAGGACATTAGGGGTACGTGCCAAGGCATTGAGCATTACTACAGCAGCCAATTGGCTGTTTAATTTTGTCATTTTACAAATCGCACCCGTCATGTTAAATCGAATCTACTGGCGAACCTACGTTGTGTTTGCGGTATTCTGCGTTCTCATTGCTATAGCTATCTATGCATTTTTCCCAGAAACAACGGTATGTAGTCACGCAAATAACCAGGAGACGATCAGCAACCATAGTATTGATGGCTATCATTTTGCAGGGCAAATCGTTGGAAGAAGTGGATCTTATCTTCTCCTGTGAGTTTAATTATTATGATTTGGCTGTTCACCATCCCCAAACTGCCGCAGCAGCTCTCAACCGTTTGGAGCGCACGCAACAACAAAACCACCGTTTATCTATTGACATTCCGGCCACCACGAGTTTGCAAACGAATCCAGTTAATCTCGCGCTGCCTGATAATGCTTGATAAGTCCTCACTTTCCCCCTTCTCTTGTAAATTTTGTATAATTGCATCGCTCAGTCTAGTAACAAAAAAACTACATAGTAATCGTACATAAGGCTCATTAAACCAAAAATCCTCGTAAAAAGTATCGTATGAGCAGAGAAGTACGAAAGTAACCAGCCGCGGAAGCAACGTAAGAATGAAGTTAAAAAAGGTGGATCGCTTGGCGCATTGGTGAGAAAACTCAGGGGATGGGTTCACTGGATCAAAAATATTCTGCGCGTCCCCTTGTTACTGAAGACACAAGCGGATTCCATACTCAATTACACGACCCAATTTTATGCTACGTTTTCTTTTTGTGGCATTTTAAGATGCTGCTAGATTCTCATATTTTTGTGTCAGGATCATGCAGTATCGCCGGTGAGGGATCTATCGTGCTTAAATCTCTGCGGACATCTCTTTTTTTTGTGTTTCGTTCAAGTCGTCTGATTGGCCCCTTTCGAAAGCTTAAATGGCGATTGTTAATAACAATGAACAATGTATGTATGCCAAAGCTTGTCTCTGCATTTTATGTGGATGATTATGTTTCAAAAATAGGACAGAATAACGAGGCCAGGGGAGGCGTGTAAAAAAATGGATGCGTTGCCTGTTGGTGTCACCACGTGTCAACAAGCAACGAAAATGCTCGGCGCACATTGATTGAGTGGCTGCATCTATTAAGATGCAAAAAGGGAGGTGAGGAGACCGTTGCCTCTGTTCAAAGGAGAGAAAAATTGAAGCAGACTGTACCTATTCATGAGAGATGGTTGAGAAAGGGGGACTATTAAGGACATACTTTGGTGATGAAATCTAGAAAGGATAGACACGCAGATAATTTAGAGACTGCAACGGATGACAAATGTTTAAACGAGTGAAAATGCCTTTTCTGAGTTTGAAACATCTTGAGATGGCACGAATAAGGGTGGGATGAACATGATGTGGTGTGGGTGTGACAAGGTAAAAAAAAAGATCCAATTGAGTGAATGCATGTCCCTTGTATCCTTTATGATAGAAGACAGAGATACAAACAGAGGATACAAACTTCTTCGAACTTTAGTTGGAAATTCTTTGGGGAGAAGTGTGAGGTGAAAATGATATCGAAGCGTGCAGAAGATAGACCGACGATATGGACCCTGACTATTGACGGAAATATAGAGTGTGCACGTATCGCTCAGCGTTGCTCGAATAGACCCTATTGTTCGCGAATAATGAAGACTTGCCTTGTCCTGACATTTGCCTAACGACGATATTATACTCAGAGCATGGAGACACATCCAAATTCGACTGAACTTATTGAGCTGGTTGGCGCTATCATGTTGCCTTGGTGAAGCGTGATGCAGCGCGTTCTACATGAACTCCAAAACGCACACACAAGGCCCAATGTCGCTAAATGAAAATTGATACGACATTGCTTTGGCCAAAATAGGCGCCATCTGCTTTTGAATATAAGTCGAGTATCTACGGAGTGCTTTTGGCACGAAAATGGTGGATACACACGTGCAGGCAATGAAACTGATGACGTCTGAGTTATCAGTCATGGTTGGATGATCAGTGTTATATCGGTCTTTTTAGGTTGCACATCTTCTCCTTCTTCTTTGTTTCTGACTCTCCTTTTGAAAGCGCAAAAAAAAGAGACCTAAAAAAGCAAACCCAGCCGAAAAACCCTCTGAACAATCCAATAAAGGCTTGCTTGGCCGCGAGTTGCGTAATACAAAAGCGAAAAAGAAAAAAAAAAAAAAAAAACTCCAGCATTTTCTTTTCCTTCAACCAACCCACCATTTTCATTCCACTTGGATGGCGACTCAAGTCAGCTCAGATGGAAAACCGGGACGTGTTGACAAGAGCCCCCATAAACCGACCGTAACACATGATACCAACGGACTTACCACACCAGTGTCTCCGCCTTATCCTCCATATGGCAGCGCCTACATGGACTCTAATCAACTTTCGTATGATCGTCAGCCACCTCCACCGCATCATCACCACCCTAACGCCCCAGCCGGCTTTGACTTGAGCGATCCTAGTACTTATACTTATGTGTATCCTCTCAGTCCCCAGTTCTCTATTCAGTATTATCCGGATTTTTCGGCAGGTTATCAGAGCTACCCTGGTTCGCCCGCAATACATCCTCAATCGCCGCCTGTCAATCCGACCAGTCCGCCGTTCAGTCCTACGTTTCAATATCAGCAAGGTGGGATCACATTATCACCACCAACTCATGCCTATGTTCTTCCCCATCCTGCGGGTCACAACTTTCCGCCGTTGCATATTTCCTCACCTATTCTATCCGGCACCACCTCTATTCCTGGGTCGCCTCCGCATCAATACATCCAGCCTTTACCCGGTTCTTTCCATGATCGTTCAGGCTCGTATCCTCCATTCCATGATCCTCCCACGCAATACCATCCGCAAAATATTTACGTACGTGGACTCTCTTCTACGACCACCGATGAATCATTCTTGGAATTGTGTCAAGTGTAAGCATTACTTTGTTGGTTCTTTTTTTTGGGGGCGGGAAGGGTGGGGGGAAATGGCTGGATAAAAGAAAAAAAAATAAGATGTAGATGAATGAGGAAGTGTTGTCTTCTTTTTTTTATTATTGTATTTTTATTGATGACCTTTTTTTTTTTTTAGATATGGAAAAATTATTTCGTCCAAAGCGATTATAGATCAAAAGACGGGAGAATGCAAAGGTTATGGATTCGCCATGTATGAACGAGAGGAAGATTGTCATCACGCTATTGATGGTCTGAACAAAACAGGTTTGCAAGCCTCTTTTGCCAAAGTTGGACAGGTAAGCATTTCTTCCAGAAGTCTAAAAAGGTTATGGATTTTGATTTCGTCCATGCCATTGGTTGTATCAAATCACGTTTGTATGAAAAAGTCGATCTGACACTCTTTTTTTTTCTTTTTTGTAGGAATCCTTCAGCTCTCGACTCAGAAGTTTGCAAGATGAAACATCCACTAATATTTACATCTCCAATTTGCCACTCAATATGAGTGAACAGGTAACGTGTGTGGAGGGTCAAAAAAAAAAGGGGGGGGGCGCTTGGGTGAAGGGGAGAGGAGAGCGAAAGAGAATCGATGCAACAAGTCATAGAGACTCATCACACGCGCCAAAATGTCAGATGCTTGAAGAATTATTCCAACCATTTCAAACTGTTTCAAATCGCATTTTACGCGATCCACAATCCGGTCTTAGTCGAGGTGTAGGATTTGCCAGGTAAGTTCAGGGATTTTAAGGGGCTTAACATGCGACAAGACATTGATCCATGAGGCGAAATGTTAGAATGGCCGATCGCCAGTCAGCTCTTGCTATTATTGAGCGATTCAATGGTCATACGGTGGTTGGATCTTCGGCTCCTTTGCAGGTCCGCTTCGCCGATTCGGCAGCTCAGAAAAAATTGAAGAATCTCACAGCACGCAAACGGATGGTGAGACCTCGTGATTTTCAACCCATGGCAAGTTTCTCAGCCATGCCAATGATGCCAATCACACCCGAGACGATGCTGGGCATCGCCCCTTCTCCCATGCCAGCCGTCTATCAAACGCTACCATCTCAACCGTTGCCGTAAGTAGAAGCAAAGCAAATACTCTTTATGTTGATCCTTGGTTTCTAAATATTCGCTATCATTTTAGCGGTGTCTCTTACGCCCAAACACCTGCGTCCATGGCCAAGGCGGCTGATTTACCTGAATCTTCTACCACTGGCACCATGGACGATTTAACTAACGAATTACAGCAAATGCATGTATCTTCCTCCGCTGGCAACGACGTCGATACGACATCGTCGAAATGATAAAAAAAAAGGAACCCCTCCTTGAAGAAAGAAGAAGAAGAAACCAGTGTCATTTTTGAATTATTTTTTTCACATCTTTATTTCTTACTCTTCTTCTCATGAATTACTTTTTTTTTCGTTTTGCTTTGTTTTGTTTGTTGAGACATTATACATACGACACATTTGACTCAACCCACTCACGTGAATTTTGGATCTCTCTGGCGAGTTTTGGGCAATTAACCTTGTATTTTTATTCATTCAATTGTGCCTGGAGATTTGTTATTGAAGAGATGAATAGAAAACAGTAGAAAAACCACACAACTAGTCAACCAGAAAGATTTATAAACATGACCAAAGTTTACCAAACCCGACCTTCCGTCCCAGGGCAACCAACATTCCAGTGTGAGTACAAGCACCGCATTGTATCGCATCGTCCGTTCATTCGTAAAAGTGAATTAAATGGAGGAGCCTTCAATATGGATCAAGCCGAAGGGAACATGTTAGGGACATTCCACAAATTAGGTCAACCGTCAAAGTCATAATTCATAGTGTGGCCCATTCTCATACATGATTCAATGGCGTAAGTTCCACATTGGACCATTGTAACGCCAAGCATGAAGCCAGATAATTATACATATTGCATTATAAGTGATATGAAGAGTAAGGACTAAAAGAGGACCATAACATGTCAATTCATGGTAAAGTCAGTGACCGTACACGATTACTGCTGTGTCCACTCATCAGGACGATAGCAGGAATTGATAAGTCCACATCTTATGCTATCAGTGAGCCAGTGACTCGTCTGATAGATTCCTTCCATCAAACGCTCCAAAATGACACAGAGAAAAATTGGTAGAAGCGAATTTGGATGATTTGTAACCGATGCTGGAGCTTCCACAGTAACAAATAAAGCAATCCAATAACCTGTGGTTGAAAATAAGCTTGTGTTGTAACCTCATTAAATAGTTTGGAGTCTGAATTCAAGGGAATTGCTCTTTAAACCCTTGGCGTCCCTGAATCCTCGAGTCTGGCAAGATCGGCTATTCTTCCATGAACTTGGCAGTTGGTTTCCAAGAAGAGTTTCTTACGGACAGAAAACGGAGAAATAAATGAGAGAATTCCAAAGTAACATGAATACAATATTTATCCCATAAAAGACTTCTGGTATTGCGTAGTGGTGAATAGCCGAATAGATGAATAAGATGAATAGATGAACCTGAGAGCTTCTTTTTGGATGCTGCAAATGTTCCATGCGGGAACTGAATATGCGTGGTGGCGGAGATGGAAAAGTTGTTCTGCAAAGGAAGGTGGTTTGTCGGGCTCAGCGGGTTTTCCACAATCGTCTTCTTTAACCTTTTTGCTGAATTCATGTTTTCCAAAGCCAATCCATTTGATGACATTGTCGGTAAGCAAATTGTGACTTGACCTTTCAAGGCAACTCTGTAGACTTTGATAGTTACTTTCCCATTTTTACCGTTTTGGGTTATTAATGTTCCATTCTTCTTGTACTCTTGGCACGATTCCACTTTTGCTTCTTTATCGCTTGTCCCATTCGTTTAGCGTCTGCCACGGATGAAAATCTCACATCCGAGAATTGGGAACTCCTTCTTGGTGTCTGTGACAAAGTCTCCCGAAGTTCAACCGACGGGTAAGCAATGGTGCCAAGGCTTCGAACCGGCTTGGCGAACCTTAGAATTCAGTGTCAATAAAAGCTGGATTTGGGGTCCTTTATGGTTCGAACATACTGATATGGGCTTTCCTTGAAATAGTGCTCGAGATTGTGTGAATGCTCTTCAGAAGCGGTTTACCCATCGAAGTGCCAATGTGCAACTGTATGCTTTGACGGTACGTGTGGAGTAGCATAGCGTCAGCACACCATGACCTGCCTTTTTAAGCTGATGCATGATGATTTTTTGCCTACCACAGCTCGCCGAAGCGTTAGTGAAAAATTGCGATGTCACTGTGCACCGTGAAATCTCTTCACGCTCATTTACCAACGCGCTGAAGAAACTGATCCAAGATAGAGTAAGTGAAAGATTATCTTATCAATTTGCTTCGTTTTTTTTTTTTTTTTTTTTTTTTTTTTTTTTTTTTGCGTGACAATACTTATGACGCTCGTGTTAGTCTACCCATGAAAGTGTTCGTAAACGAGCATTAGAATTTATTCAAATGTGTTCCTATGAATTCAGAGCCAATGCCAGTCTGGGACTCATGAATGAAGTCTATCACTCTTTACGAGCCGAAGGCGTCCAATTTCCTTCCCCTCAAAAGCCGAAAAAGGAATACACTCAGGTAATTTGAGAATTTTGGATGCGAATCACATAGCATGCGCATTGACACCGTTTTTATTCATATGAATTAGTCAGAGCTGGACAAACAGAAAGAGGAAGAAGAATTACAGTTGGCACTTGCGCTGTCACTCTCGGAATCAGAAAAGCGATCATCCTACAAGGTAAGGGGGGAAATAGTGACCATCGATTCCATCGATCCATTTCTTGACTCTGGTATGATTTCAAGGCACCAACAACAACATCGACGTCTCAAGCTGCAGCCAAGGTAATATGCGAGGAACCAGTGTGAGTTGCATAACGCTGACAATACAAGCTGTAGACAAAGGAATCGGAGAATGCCGAGCCCACGATCTCCAGAGTACGTGCGCTTTACGATTTCCAGCCGACAGAGCAAGGCGAATTGGGATTTCAAAAGGGCGATATTATTCGTGTGATTGAAAGTGTCTATCGCGACTGGTGGAAGGGAGAATTGCGTGGCAAGACGGGCATTTTCCCCGTCAACTATGTGGTAAGTTTTGTCAGGTTGCATCAATGAAGGGGTTGAATTGAATGTTGTCTGATCCGACTCCATTAGGAAAAAATCGTGGATCGATCACCGGCGGATCTCATGAAAGAAGCCCAGATGGAAGCGGAAGTGATGGGAGAAATTCGTAACGTAGAACGGTTACTGGAGATGCTGAACACCATTGATCCTCGCAAAGATTCCTTCTCTGATGACACCGAGCTTCAAGAATTATACAACAAAACTCTGTCTATTCGCCCCAAGCTGGTTAAACTCATCGAGAAATACAGTCTAAAGAAAGGTAATGTGGACAATGGATGATCATGCGTGGGATCGAGTCGACAAAATACTAAAGATTTTTACACACGCACACAGAGGAATTGGTGGCATTGAATGAACAATTCATTCAAGCAAGAACTATGTATGATCGCATGCTTGGAAGTACGATTGCAAGATATCCAACCTCGGCAGGTAGGCAGCAGTCGAAACATCCTTCAAATAATGTTGCATCAAATCAAATGTACTAATTTCAAATGGGGTTCGCCTTTATTAGTGAACAACACGTACGCCATGCCTCCATACGGTGGTTATGAATCGACACAGCCTTACAGTCCATCGGTAGAAAACTATCAAGGTTACGGTGGTGGAGCACCTGCCCAACCTTACGGTCATCGCGCTAGCTACAGTTATCCTCAGACGTCGCCTTCGCCACATCCCCAACATCAAGATCCATCTCAAATTCAGCCACCTGCTACCATGGGTCCAGGACAAGTAGACTATAGTGATCCTGCTGCATCGCAGAACTATCAATATCCACAGCAGCCATACTATCCTCCCGAATACGCATCTCAGCCTCCCGCAGGTGCTGTTGCAGGTGTTCCTCCTCCCATGGGGCCAGGCAATCCAGACCAGCAACAACAACAACAACCACAACCAGCATCCTATCCACCTACGTCCAATGCTCCTCCCATGACCCCCCAACTTCAATCCAACTACCCTTATCAGCAGCCATCGCCGGCACCTTATCCGCCTTACGATCCCAATCAAGGTTATCCTGCTGCGCCCAACGCGGCCAACGCATACAGCTCACCTCCACCTGTATCCGCCGTCCAGCCTCCGTATACACCCACCGCGTATCCGGCTCAACCACCGTATGGCGGTGCATATGCGCAGCAGTAAAACGATATTTCCTAGCGATCCGTAGTAGCCAATGGATAATAAACAGCATATATCTTATTGATTTTGAAATGGCAGATGTATTTGTGCATGGTATAAGTTCAGATCTTGGAACGAGTTCTTTCGGTCAACGGTCGGATATATTTGTTGTGATAAGATGGTACGCCTGTGCTGTTAGGGGCCTGCAACACGGTTTCGAAATAGGCTGCATATCCGATGGGACAATAACTTTGTTTCAGTAGGGTGATCAAATGAATGGGTACTCAAAACTGTAGTGACGTACCCTGATAAATATTGCCATCGTATTTGCCGATAGGTGCTTTGAGGATAAAATCTGGATATCCCCACGCATCTGTCAAACCAATCACTTGTTTTCGAAGTGATTTGCACAACTAATCATTCGGAGTTTTGGCTTGAATAATTTGCGCTTATGATTGAAAACAGCTTTCGTTACCTTGATATAGGCTGCCTCGATGGCCTTGATTTGGTGCGGGGAGAAGAATCCTTCTTTGAAGCCTTGATCGCTGTAGGTATGCATGACGTGGAGGCCCCAAACTGCGGTCAGCTGGCGTAGGATGGTTTTCACACCGTTGGTGTCTTCATCGGGGTGACGGTCCGTTGAAAATCGGGCAGCATTGTCAGAAAATAGGAAAGCTGCACAATGCAGTTCGGCTACACGAACGGATTCAAGGAGCAAATCGTTTTCCGACTGGCCCTCTTTTTGAGCCTTTTGAATGCTGTCAAGCTATAAAAACAACATCGAACCGTTAGCACAGAGACGAACCCATCACAGGCCAATATATATATATAGGCATATTCATTGACTCACACGTTTGACAAGAATCGCATACAGCGCTTCTTCAATTACATGCAAATTCTCGAGACATGTATCCATATCGGTGACGGGCCATGTTGACAGGGCCAAATACCGTTTGGGCTGTAACAGATAGTGAGTGGAGCTCTTGAAATCAAGTTGAGGATGCGTTTTCTGGGACAGACGGTACAGCAAAAAGCGCGTGGTCTGCTGTAACAAAACCACGTTATCGCCACCACCGGTCGTCATGACAGCGTGGTCGGCAACGATGCTGCCAATCGCGTTATAGGCTGAATAAGCGTGCCCGCCGCACGAACGACGCACGGTTTCCAGAATATCGGTACTGTAATATCCAGACAACCCTTTAAAACAAGCCGAAATCGCATGCATATCACCCATATGATTGAGATAAGTCGTTCGATCCATATTGCCGCTGGCGGTCAGTACTTCAAATTGACGGTGAAGGGTATCGGCGGAAAATCGTGCCATATACATGAAAGCGATGGCCGGGATTAATTTCACATAGTGCGATTGATAGTCCATGATCTGTTGATTTTTTGGACCTTGCCTACGCACGACGCCATAGCGACATGCGATAACCAAAGCTTGCGTGACCAGCTGGACCGTCAATCGGACGAGAGCCAACCGTTCGGGAATCAACGTCGCATACATGACGGCCGGATTGGGAGCTTGCTCAAAGTTACCATCACGGTCCAGATTCACCCACTTGGACAGCATATGCGATCGAGGCACGCGAACATGATCAAACTGAATCCAGCCATTATCCACGCCATTATGACCCACTTTTTCACCGATATCGCCGGCTTTCACTTTCGGCAACAGTTGACCATTTATCTTATCACGCAGCTGGACAACAAACCAATTATGACCCATAGATTGGCCGCGGATCACAGTCTGACAGATAACCACTGCATGTGTTGCTGTCTGTCCCGCCATGCCAATCCACCATTTCGTCGATGTGATGCTCGGAGATTGGATAATAAACTCGTCAGAGGATTGATCGTACGTAGCCACCGTTTCAATATCACGCAACGCAGAGCTGTGGCCTAATTCGGTCTACAGCACCAATTACACACGGTGAGAGCCTGTTTGCTCAATTTTTATCATTTACTGTTACCATGGCAAAGCAACCTAGAATGCGATAGTTGTCCACGGCGTCTATCCATTTGGCTTGTTGTTCCTTGGTGCCGAGCATCATGACAACATTGCGAAATAGACTGTCGGAAACCCCGATGCGCATGGACAGACTTTCAGAATAGACGTGCACCGCTTGCTGTAGTTCGTGAACGTACGATGCATCGTCGGATTGTTGAGCGATTTGAGCTAGTCGATAGATCTGGCCCATGGTGCTGTTATGATTATGAGTAGGTGACCAAACAAGCGTTCTGCTCGGTTTCACTGAATCTTACAATTCGCGTAATTCCGATCGTGAAAACTCCAAGACATTGCGTGGCGGTTGAATTACAAGCTGTGGATCGTATTGGATATCGCGATAGGCTTGTTGCTAAACGAGGGGCTCAGCCAAGAGTTGAACTGTGTTTTTGAGCAAATCACTTACTCTGAGGTTATATGACGCTTTTCCGCCGGCCCAAAAATGAGCCAAGGCGTCGATATCGAATCGGGCAGCGGCGCGTTCCTCGGCCATGTCCTTTGGCGCTTCGCGGGACATGGCGGACGAGCTCAAGTTGAGCTGCTGTTTCAATTGCTCCAGTCGTGCGCCCGCTGTTTGGCTCATAATGCGCGAGAGAAAACCAAAGGTATTCAGCGAAATGCGCTTAGGGTACAAATAAAGATTTTTGATGTAACACTGAAGCCGATAATGGAAACGCGGTAAGGTGGTACATTAAAAGTGATCCTTGGTTAACTTCCCCTTTCCCCAATCGTTTCTTAGCCTTCACATGGGAATGTTGTACGGCTAGTAAGCAGCATTCGATAACGCATTTTTTACAGGTCATCTTTGTCCTGCCTGGAAACAATGCCAACGAAAACATGGAGAATGAACCGTGCTCAGGAACTATTGTCTTTTTATTTTTGGACCTAAAGCGGTAAAGGGTCGACTGGATCAAGGTCGGTGCTACCTTACAATTGATTCCGGTGTCAGACTTTATCCCTTGAAAAAGCTGCACCATTGTCAAGTAAGATAATGGATGAGTAAATCTTCATAGGTGAGGAATCATGGCATGAAGAAGAGGGTCGGTTTGGATGGCCCTGAGCAGTGATCGAAAATAATATGATACATAGCAACATAGTGATATCACACCATCATGTGGCTGAAATGTATGAATTGAATGCACGTTGCTTCGTTTATCATGATGAAGTCATATAATTGCATATCATTGTGCACATTGGAAGGGAAAAAAAAGAGGATGATGCTTGTTGAAGAATTCTATTGCTTGCCATTACATCTTTCAATTCTACAGAGACGATTCGTTATTCCTGGAAAGTCTTCTACTTGTGTGGGTACGGCTGCTTCACTTTTAGTCGGCATGAGTTTCTTTGTTACAACTGAGGCGCTTTCTGAAACGGGACACTGGGGCGCTGATTTTCATTGGTGGGAGGAAACAGGAACTCCAGAAAAATCTCCAAGTTCATCAGCCAAAAATTTCAGTGAGTGAATCCGGGAAAAAGTAATTTATCAGACATGCTTGAGCGCAGTAAAAGGTGACGAGATCCTAGACAAGATCGACGTGCCTGGTGTGTTGACTGCCTTTTTCAGGGAAGACAAAAGTGAGCAGCCGGTGAGACCGAAGGGCGAAAGCATGATTCAATGCTTATTGAATGTGTTGAATCTCCGAAGTGAGGTATCTGAATCCATTGACCAAAATAGGCAAATGGAGTGAAAAGGAAATTGAAAATGTCCACAAATGGAGAAAAATCCAGTAGTCGTAATGATGTCATGTTCCAAATCATTGCGGCCATTTTGAACGAACGTCAAAGCGTTTCTGAAATGAGTGTTTTTGGTTTTAATAACGGCACCCAGTGTTTCCCCTATTTCTTTCTTCCTTTCTATTTTTTTTTCAGTTCAATTGTCAGCGCCCTTTGCCATAAGCTTTGAAAGATTATCATCGTATTCCCATTTAGTTTTATCACAGAATATTACCTTAGCCCATGGCAGCTGCTACACCGTCCTCTTTTACCACCGCGCATGACTACCCGTTTACTCCAAAGTCAGCCTTAGTTTCGCCTTTTGCTCAAGATTTTGCTCATTTTACCGAAACTCCACAAGATAAACTTATGCCCGTCGCCGTCGAACCTATTGAGGGTAAGTGATGACACATTTTAGTAGTACAGTTCGAATCACAATTGTATGTAGCATACTCACCTTATTTTGTCCCGGTTGATCCTTTGTTTTTCCCCACAATTAGAAGCATCCAAGTGCTCTTCGTCCAATTCCGAACGACCTTCACTTCCTGAAGGCAGCATTCACACTTCCGTGCGTCTGCAGGATACCGAGACCGAAGGCAAACCCAGCATCTATTTATTTATTTTTGTCAATCCGCTTTCAGGAGACCAGAAAGGCGCAGATTTGATCCAACTTCCCATTCAGCATTTCCGTCTTCGACGACTGCCACAAGTGCAAGTAGAAATTCATAATATCCTTGACGCTGAAGATCGCGAAAAAGGCTTGGAACAGGTTATGCTCATCCAAACCATGGCCAAACTGGGCAAAATACCGCCTATTCCTGACGACGACGAGGAATCCGAAGAAGGAATCCACGCTTCCCCTTCATCTCCCTCCGATAGGGCTTCCAAAAGTACCGGCTCCAGTACGTCCAAAAGCACCAAGACCCCGAAATCCGCTCCCGAAGCCAACGGTCGACTCTCCAAAACCGTCCGCACACGACAAATCCATGTCTGGAGTGCAGGCGGTGACGGTACCGTTATGAGCGTATTTGAAATGCTGGTTGGATGCAAGATTGACCTTGACTTGATTTTCTTTTCTTGTAAGTTGATTGCTATATAAAAAAAAAAAAATTACAAGGCAACACTGGAATAGCTGACTTTGAACATTACATTACAGGTATCCCGTTTGGTACTGGCAACGATTTTAGTCAAGTTCTCGGTTGGGGTCGCACCATTCCTAATAAAGATTTGCTTGGAACGAGATTACAGAATCTGGAATCGCTGATCTGCGACCGTCTCGAAAAGGCTGAAGCCGCGCGATTGGATATCTGGCAAATCGAAATGGAATCGCATCCTGGCGGTTACGTGCGTCAAGCAGGACCGAAAAACCGAAAAGACGGTCATGATGTGGCCGAAGTGAAAGGTGACAAGGAAGTTCACGATCCCGTAGAGGGCGACTTGCAAATTGTTCGAAAAATGTGCAATTACATGTCCATTGGCGTCCAGGGCTACGTTGGCAGTGGATTTGAAGAACATCGTGCCGGCAAACGTTTGGCCAACATGCTTGTGTATACGAGTGAAAGTTCCAAATGGGTGTTTTGGCGTCGATTCCCTTCCGTGACAGAATTCATTGACTCTATTGTTCAAAACGGTAAACAAGTGCTTCGTTGTCCTTCACCGGCCGAAGCAGCGGCCGCAGCCAAGTCCAACAACGCATCGGCCACGAGCGTCTCCACCGACTCCAGCCCTCTGCAACCGATGCCCGAAATGACCAAACATCCGATTGATTTCGTGATACAAAACATCCCGCATATCTGGTACGTAGTCGTTGATGTGATATGCATCCTTTGCCGCCTTCTGTGCACTAAATCAGGAATCTTTTTTTTTTTTTTCCCTTTGTTTGCAGGGGACGTGAAGTGGATTTGTGGGGTGAAGCCGAATCGGGCCTGGAAGTCGTCAAGGATCGAAATGGTCCTACAGATCCCAAGACTTGGAAACCCCAGCGAGCGAACGATGGGCGTTTGGAAATCTTGGTCATTGATAACATGATGTCTTACATCAAAAAGCTCGCCAACATCCGAAGCCATGTGTCACGTATTGGACAATTTAGCTCGCCGTTTGAAATTCGATTCCGTGAACCGCCCAGTACCAGTAAGAAACACAAATCGATGATGGCGTCCATGAAGCATCGATGGGGTCAACGCAAACGCAACAAGTATGAAAAGAAGAATGTCATTTGTCTGATGTGTGACGGTGAATTTTACGACTTTAAAGATCCCAAATCCATGCGATTTGAACTCTACGCCCAGATTTGGACCTTGGGTCGCAGCGACGAAGAAGAGCAAGGCCGCTTAGTGCAAGATGAAATCGGTCAAAGCCAAGACACCACGGCGTAATGGCTGCATACCATCCGTTGTTTCCACTGCGTTACTCATTATGTACCGTTGACCATTTTCCTCTTGTGATTTTTATGTAAATTTAGCTTCATTTCATCTCGTTCCCAATCCCCCATACACACGTAATTTATCTTATATTTTAACTACAGTATCTACTTTTCATTTTTCAAGAAATACAGCTTGTTTATTTTATTCTACTTGATTACTGTTCTATTCTATCGTTATGATATTCTGGATGGTAAAAATAAAAAAAAATAAAAACTTGTATAAATAAGGTAATGGCAATAAATTTGAAGTAGGGGAAACTTAAAAAAACATAAAATTACATAAAAAGTGCGAAACAAGTAACACATAACACAGTTTCAATAGTATGAATGAGAAAGACAATTGGTGAGAGTACATGGGGTTGGTTAAAGATAAAGAGGCAGCAGGCGACGAAGGAGGGGCCGGGCGAATGCTACGACCGATGGCACCAATGGATAGACCCGGTTCAGCCACACCAATTCGCCACCTCATGGGGCGCTGCTTCTGTATCACCAGCGGCTTGGGAAGCTTTTCAGGTGCCATTGTAAACGGATCCGTAAGATCGTCAATAGAAATGCCCGTTTCTTCGGCAATCCAACCGAGCATATACGAATAGTTACAAAAACTGTTTATCACCATGTCGCTACTGTTGTTGGCCGGATGAGGGACGGGACATGTCTGACGTTCCGATTCCAGATCACGAACGCCAAAGATACGAGCTAGTGGACCTAAAGCATACGGTGCGAAACGGGCCGTGCGTTCTCCCGGTGATAAGCTTGCAGGGACATACACCACCACGGGGCTGCCGGAATCCCCGTGGCATGCCATGGCCTGTCGAGGATACGAAATGGCTTCTACCATATCCGGGGAATTCGCAATGAACCGCGTCACATTCAGCGTGATACGTTGCATCACCACTGCTTCCGATCCACCCACCGTCGTATATCCAAAGCCCATCAATGTCCCTGAAACACAAACAGCGTCAATGTCAATGATCGGTGCATATTTTCAATTGCCCAATTTTTTTTTCCGACAATGAATGGGTTCCCCCTCTCGTCTTTGGTTGATCAATTGTTTCTTGATTTTTTTATCTCTTTCGTTCTTTGTACCTATTGTGTGCGAAGGCAGAACTCGGTCCGATGGCCAAATGGCGACCCGTTGCACGTTTGCGGATTCGGTTAAAGGAGTGGCGAGTCGTAAGATGGCGACATCGTAATGCATATCGGTGTCATTATTTTGCTGCCGATACTTTGGATGAATCATCCAATCTTTGACGGCGGCGGTATACTGATAAGACCGCTCGATGTGACCGTAACCCACAAAATAGGGATTTTTACTCAGCGTGGAAGGGTGAGGTGCATCCACAACGCAGTGAGCGGCGGTCAAAATGATTGCAGGATCCAGTGATAAAATGATCCCACCGCATACGTGTGGATTCCCGAGCATAGCATAATACGGATACAAGCTTGTATCCGTCACAGCAATACCGTCCTGTATACAAAGTCCACTTTGGCCCCACTGCATCAAGTACAGTTGCCACCACCACCACCAACGACGCCATCGTTGGCCGCGCTGATTATGGGACATCAATGGAAAAAATGAGCAATGATTTTATGAAATGACAGGGAAAAAGGAGAAAAATACTTGACAGTAAAAGAAGAAGCGAGATAAAAAAAAAAAAAAAAAAAAGACAAGATACTAGTAATAATGACAAAGAGAATTGCGCTTGATTTGTCTAAAATACACTACGTTCGTGGGTATGATACGAACATTCCTCAACCGCCCCTGGCATTCAAGGGCATTCAAAGCACCATGATCCCACCCAGCCATTGGTCAAGTTCCGACCGTTGACCCAAGGCACCTGTCCAACCGATGTAGAGGTCAGGCCGTACAACGACGACCTGACAATGTGTGAATGCATCGAAACTTTGGTGACATTGAGCATTGTTGATTTTATCCACAAGTACCGGAGGATCCGTTTTCGAGACCACTTGATCGATGATATCGCCTTGAACGGTGGTAGTCATCAGATGGACCGACATCCAAGAGGAATATTGTTTGTACTTGTGAAGGAACTCACGGATCAAAGGGAATGTGTGCGCGATATCATTGCTCAACACGACCATGTGGAATTGCCATTGATATTGGTCCATTTCCGCGCGCCAAAGATCATACAATCGGACCTTCTTGCCACTGCTGTGACATACTATCTTGAAATCCGGCATCCGGTCGCCCGCTTGCAGTGCTCGCTTGTTTCCATCCACCGGTAAAACATTGGTTGCTGTGGATCTGTACGAAATACCGAACCCGGTGCTGAAGTGACGATGCTGCTGAAATAACGTTTGAAGATCCGACTTGTCTTCAGCCAAAGACGAACCGCCATGGGCTTCTTTGGCTACGACCGCATCAATATCAATGACTTGCTGTGCTACAGATCTACGCTCGCTTTCGTACGTAGATAAAATTGACGGTTGCAATTTTCCGGATTCCACCATGACCAATTTCCACACCTATTTTTCATTGCATGTTATTTAAATGTGAATAGCCATTTTTTTCTCTAAAAAAAAAAAATCCAGTGACGATGTACTTACCAAATTGAACACATCGCCCAGACCGGTATTGAGACCCTGTCCCAGGGTGGGGCTTTGAGAGTGAGCGGCATCACCACACAAAAACACTCGCGGTCGATTGTCTTGGGGCGTAATGGTGCGTTGCATTTCTTGAGCGACGTGCTGTCCCACGCTATACACGGTCCACCACAACACGGCTAGAAATTCCACCCGGTAAGGAAGTAAAGCCCGCCGAGCCTCGGTTTGAATATCATTCAACTGGATTTGATTCCGTTCTTTGCCAGAAGACATGTGCACCATGACCCGTAACAGGTTATTTTCACGCGGGAAAAGACATACATTGCCCATGGGACCATGGACGTAACTGAAGATGAAATGTTTGAGTCACTGCTTCCTTCAATCATCTTTTTTGTATAATCCCTGTTGACTGTACCTTACTGTTTGCTTATCAGGAAAGTTGGAACGCACCAAAGCATCCAAGACCCCGGAGTGTAAGCATGAGCCTTGTCCATTTGACTGAATGCCGAGCTGACGGCGAATGTCGCTGTGGGCTCCGTCGCAGCCTAACAAATACTTCGTCATGACCGTGCTTTGTTCGCCACTAGAGACATTTTGTAATGTGGCTCGGATCAGTTGTTCATCTTCTGACCATGCAAATTCCTTGACAGTGACCGGTCGCTCCACTTGGACATCGTGCTCTGACAAAGTATGTTGCAAATGGTTCTCGGTGATGTGTTGTCCAACACACAATAAATGCCTTTTTTTTTTCAATGATGTCAAGGATGAGTTACTTATTTGCGTACTGTGCTGTGCTGTGAAAAACTGACTACACGAAAAACATACCGGTACTTGGAAATCACCGTGTCCTGGACGACTGGTTCGTATTCACGCTGTTTACCATGATGAAACGCGAATTCTTCGACTTTGGCGCCAGTCTTCAAGAGCTCACTCCCCAATCCCACGTGATCCAATAGTTCCAAGGTACGGCCATGAACCCAATCACCACGTCCCCAGTGCTGCGGCTCGAATTCGATATCTAGAGGAAATACGTTATGATCCTTGAGCGAATCCTATTGCGATTTGTTCTTGCCCAAAATACTTGCCTACAATGCGTACTTTAAACCCAGATTTCACCAACAAATTCGCGGCCAGTAAACCAACGGGTCCGCCACCAACGATCAGGGCGTCTACGACAGGGATAGTTTCACTTTGGGTCATGTGGGAAATAGACTACTTTGCTTTATAATGTTTTTTCAATGAATTAAGAAAAAAACAAGAGCAAAAACTAATAAAATGAGATGTTTATATATTTTATTCAATTTCTGTTTTCAAGAAAAGAGGATCATGACATGATTTTGGTTGGAAAAATCATGCGACGAAATTGTGAGTCGGAAAAAGAAAAAAGAGTCACTGGTAGAGATGGCAAAATAAAAAAAGGTGGGTTTATTTTAATTTATCGTTTTCGTCGATGATCGTCATCGTCGCTATCATTATCGTCACGCGCTCTCTTTCCCTTCTTTGCTTTGTTCAGGAAAGTATCAAGGCCAAACACATCCTTGTCGGCGGCCTTTTGTGAAGTACCACCAACGATTTCCTTTTCAAATTCCACAGGTCCACTAGATCCTTGACCTCCTTCGGCACCCTGGAATCCTCGACGATTGATACCAAATTTATCTTGCTTGATAGCTCGTTCCAAATCCTCGGCATCCGTGCTACCCAATACATCCGATTCATCTTTGCTCTTGAATCGATAGATGGATGACGACGTCTGTGAGAAAAGAGGCTTGTCGTACAAACTGTAAGCTATTTAAGAAATCAACCATCCAACACAAACAATTAGCACATGCACACAGTTTAACGAAAATCCGTTTCTCGATCCACTTTTTGTCAACTTACATTCATCATCCTTGAAACCTGAACCGATACCTTCGGATTGATTGAACAATCTCGCATCGTACATGCTTTCTTTACTCAAAGTCGGCTTGGCTAAACCAAGAGCGATCTTTTCAGAAATATCACGTCCTGACTCACTAGAGAGAACCAAATCATTTCTGCGTCAGCAAAGCGATTGATCATCCCAATATGGCTTCAAGAGAAGAAAAAACTTACCGAGCCAAATGTTTTGCTCTTGCTTCAGTACCCATTTTACTCATACGTAATTCACGCTCTCTTTGTTTTTGACGTTCACGACGTAACTGATCGCGTTCTCGTGCTTTTTGTTCGTCCTCGTCATCGCCCTTGTGGGAGCGCGATCGGCTACGTCGTCGTTCATCTTCGCTTTCACTTTCGCTGGCCGAGCGTTCCGAACCCGATTCATCACTCGAGTCGTAGTCGGGCATCAACGAGGCGGCCGTAGGACGACCTGAAGCTGCAGGACTTTCCGAGACTGAAGCGCTCGGTTTCAAACCAGCTCTAATAAAATTGAAAAATTGTCCATCCTTTCATTAGAAACTGTGAAATAAAACGAAATCGTCGATCTCATCGCGTACCTTTCTTCGCGTGCTCGTTGGGCCAAGTTTCGTAGTTTTTCTTCTTCTGCTTCCTTTTGCTTCTGTGCTAATTTCTGCTGCATCAAATTACGCTGTCGTACTTCTTCTCTGGCGTGTCGATCGGCAGCATAGAGTGCTTCCGAGAATTTGGCAAAGTTATCATTGATGGTGAGTTCCTGTAAGCCGCGACCGTCGGCGGCTAAGCGTTTATCGAGCGGGATTGTATAACCTTTGGTATTTTTCCAGTTGGAAATGCAGGGTGGAATGACCCATTCCGCTTGTTCTTTGGCGGTGAGTTTTCGGGGAGGAGAATGCATCACCGGTGCCGGTGGAGAAGGCGGGCCTCTTGGGACCTTTTTGTGCAAAAATCCTGGTGGCTCCATGGGATCGCGCGGAGCGTCGACCATACGAATAATGCGCTGCTTGGCTCCCGAGTTGAACGCATCGTTGCCTTGGCCCGCCGCTGGTGTGTAACGAATATATGTAGGATCCTTGTTGTTGCCGTTGGTGCTTACGACGTTTTTCGGTTTGGCCGCTGCAATTTTTCCATTAACAATCTTTTCCAAAGCGAGACGAGTCTTTTCGGCGACGCTTAGAACTTCTTCCTCGCTGGGACGATCCATGGCGATCTTTTCGACATCAACGTCCTTTCGTTCTTTTAGCGGCACCATGTCTTTCAGTGATGTGTGAATGATGCGATTATCGCTGTGTCCTTGGCGTGCGATGGCATCGTATTGCACATTGCCTTCCGTATCCACTTGCAGTGTCAAAGCACCGCCACTCGTTTCGGTCGCCTTGCCGTCTTTCCGGCCCATGCCCAGAGGATATTGCAGAATATGAATTTCAGGATATGCACCGCCATTGGCAAAGTCTTCGGCGGTTCGTGGTCGAAACGAAAGACGTTGTCCATACGGCGGAATGCGATTATTGCTACGAGTCGCAACAATTCTGCTGATTTCTTTTTCGATCGGTGGAGTGCTTTCCGTCGACGACTGTAGTGATTGACGAGGCTTTGGTAAAAGGCTATTGATGATACAGCAAATGAATAACGTGGTTCACTAATGCCCCAATTTCATATACCCTACCTTGATAACGTAGCCATTAGGGAGATGCTGATGTACGGTGGATGAACCAGAGAAAAAAAAATGAGAGCAGCTAAAAAAAAAAAAGAGTGCAAATTACAACTGTGACATCATCACCATTCGATTTTTGTCACGTGAAAAGGTGGGCTCCCATTCGTTAAGCATTAGTCCAATCAGAAACCGTAACTTGATTCCATAAGAAAAATGGGGCGCATTTGACCACTTTGGGGCCAATCGGCATTCAGGAGATATGCCTCGCGTGCTTCACTGAAGTCAATAAAGGGTCGCATCTTTAGTTGGGTACAGTAGAAAACTGCATTGGTTGTACCAACATGCACGGATTTTTCATGCCGGTTCATGCTTTACCCAGCAGTGGTTTCGAAAATGGCCGTTTAAAAAGTACAAGGCGCACGCAGCCGAACATCAGATAACTGGTTTAACTCCTATAACAACCTAATGATTCTGGACAATTTTCAGGTACTATTGAATTCGGCACCATGACAACCCGTCATGGTTTCTCGATAAAAGCGTACAATATTCTGAAAAAGTTACGGAGGTAATCCCGATAAAGGCAATGACCTTGTTGTTCAAGCATGATGACACAGAAAAAAGTGTGGACGTATGGTTTTCATGGTATACTGCGGTGACACAGACAACGCCCAAGTAGGGAAATACAATAGTTTGAATCACAGATGATCGCCATCTATCCTATCACCGAATGCTACTTTCCATCGTTAGACAGAACTACAGTGAACCTGTCAACTGTGTGTGTGTTTCGTTTTATCTGCCGGATGTTTACAGCTGGATATCGTGATCGTCCACTGTTTTGCAAGTAATGTCTGGAAAAAAAGGTAGCCACAGGAAGTCTATGCGGAACGCAAGGCCATAAATAATGAGCAATTCAACGCCAAGCGAGCATGGCAAGAATGCATTGATGAGAATGATCTGGCCAGTTGACTAATAAGGATAAAGCCGTGGGCGAAAAAAAAACACGTCGTCTTGGATTGGTCTGATTTTCGGCTTCGATCGCCATTTGGGAAGGCGATCGGTCAACAGGAGTTTATCTGTTGTGTGTCTGTAGCAGTCACACCAAAATTTAAAGCAGCGCATGACTAACCGATGTGCGACCCAATCAATTTGATATAAAGTACCTGGCTGAATCCCATCTTAAAGGTCTAATTTCATCACAGCCGTTTTTCTTTTCTTCTTTTTCTCTTTCACCTTTACTTCGGTTTTCATCTATATATCATGTCCGCAGGTCTTCGTCAAGCTTTCAAAACGGCCAAGGCAGAAAGTAAGCTCCGTTTTTCACCCATTCGGCACAGTGTCATTGAAACGTGTATGGCCTTGATATTTACATCCATTTTTTCCGTGTAGACCGTGCCGCGTTTGTCACCTTTATTACCGCCGGTTATCCCACGCCAGCCGCCACAGTCGATAATCTTCTTGCACTCCAACGAGGTGGTGCTGACGTGATTGAACTCGGTAGGTTTTTGGGAAACCGTGTCACTTGCAATCCAATTTGACCACTGACGGCGTATATGAAACTTTTAGGTATCCCTTTCACTGACCCTTTGGCTGACGGTCCTACCATTCAATATGCCAATACTGTAAGTAGACATTTATAGAAGGAATAAAGATGGGGTAGAACGATTGGATTTGACCATGGTTGGACTTTTTTTTTTTTTTTTTAGGAATCTTTGAAACACAACACTGATATCTCCATGTGTCTTCAAATGGTTCGAGATGCACGATCCAAGGGTCTCAAGGTCCCTGTCGTGTTCATGGGTTACTATAATCCCATCCTTGCCTATGGCGAAGAAAAGATCATTCGTGATTGTAAGGAAGCCGGTGTCAATGGTTACATTTTGGTCGACTTGCCTCCGGAGGAATCACACAGCTTCCGTAACATCTGCCACAAATACGGAATGTCTTACGTTCCTCTGATTGCCCCTTCCACCACCGAAGCGCGTATTCAACGTCTTGCCAAGTTGGCCGACTCGTTCATCTACGTCGTCTCCCGCTTGGGTGTCACCGGTGTGTCTGATCAAGTGAACAAGGAATTGCCTCAAATGGTGGCTCGTATCCGCAAGTACACCGATGTGTATTTGGCCGTCGGTTTCGGCGTCTCCAATCGTGAACATTTCGAAAAGGTCGGAGCCCACGCCGATGGTGTCGTCATTGGCTCTCGCATCATCACCTTGATCCGCGACACGCAGGCTGCAAACCAAGACATCTCTGAGGCCCTCGAAAAATATGGTGCCGAGGTGTCGGGACGCAAGCCCAACTTGGAAACTGAAGCCGCGAAGGCCGATGTTCAAGCCGATATCGAAGTGAACGAAGTGGCTGGTCAAGGCATCATTCTTGAAGACAACACAGCGACCAGCTTTTACGAATTGCAAACCCGATTCGGTGATTTTGGTGGCGCGTATGTGCCTGAAGCCCTCGTGGATTGTTTGACCCAATTGGAACAGTGTTTCATTGCCGCCAAGGACGACCCGGCTTTTATTGCTGAATTCCAGTCGTACTATGACTACATGTCGCGACCTTCTCAGTTGCAGTTTGCCAACCGTTTGACGGAAGATGCTGGTGGTGCCAAGATTTGGTTGAAACGTGAAGATTTGAACCACACCGGTTCGCACAAGATCAACAACGCCGTGGGCCAGATTTTGTTGGCCCGTCGTCTGGGCAAGAAGCGTATCATTGCTGAAACCGGCGCCGGTCAGCACGGTGTCGCGACCGCCACTGTTTGTGCGAAATTTGGTTTGGAGTGTGTGGTGTACATGGGTGAAGAAGATTGCCGTCGTCAAGCTTTGAACGTTTTCCGTATGCGCATGTTGGGCGCGACCGTGGTGCCTGTCAAGGGCGGATCTCGAACTTTGAAGGATGCCATCAACGAAGCGATGCGTGACTGGGTCACCAACGTCGATACCACACACTACCTTGTGGGTTCTGCCATCGGTCCTCATCCTTTCCCCATGATTGTGCGTGAATTCCAGTCGGTGATTGGCCGTGAAGCGAAGCGTCAATTGCAAGAAAAGGCCGGCAAGTTGCCTGATGTCGTGGTGGCCTGTGTGGGCGGTGGTTCGAATGCTATTGGTATGTTCCATCCTTTCGTGGAAGACAAATCGGTTCGCATTGTCGGTGTGGAAGCCGGTGGTGATGGTGTGGATACGATGAAACATTCAGCGACCTTGAGCAAGGGTACCCCAGGTGTGCTTCACGGTACACGCACGTACCTCTTGCAAGACACCAAGGGCCAGATCGTCGAAACGCACTCGGTCAGTGCTGGTCTTGATTACCCCGGTGTGGGTCCCGAGCACGCTTTCCTTATGGCTTCCGGTCGTGCCGAATACAATGTGGCCGATGATGCCCAGGCCTTGATTGGTTTCCGCAAACTCACCCAGCTGGAAGGTATTATTCCCGCCCTTGAATCATCCCACGCTATCTACTACGCACACAAGTTGGCCCAAGAATTACCCAAGGACAAGGATATCGTCGTCTGTCTTTCAGGTCGTGGTGACAAGGACATGCACACCGTGGCGGAAGTGCTTCCCAAGTTGGGTCCCAAGATCGGTTGGGATTTGCGCTTTGACTAAATTCTTTGCTCTCATTCATTTCATTTCTTCTTTTTTCCTGCCTAAAAAAACATCTTACGTCTTCCCTCTTTTATAACCATCTCCATTTTGTAAATGTTACCGTGTATTTTCGTAGATAAATAAATCAAAGGAATTGATCCAATAACAAATTTCATGGTGTTTTCTTTTTTAGTGTGCGCTGTGCTGCTGTTGACAATGAGTGGGTTGACGTTGATCAAGAAAAAAAAATCATGCCTGAATTAACCCGCCATTTTAAAGCCAGCGGATCGGCCACTTTCATTAAACGGGTGTTCATTGGGTGGCTTGTGCTGGCACTTGCCTTTTCGCGATATGACCTCGCCATTCATTGACGATACAATAGAACTCACCTCCCAGCTGAACGACTGGTCCTTGCATGTGGCACAGTCGCAAGAAAGTGCTGAACTTGAAGTACAACGATGGAAAGGGTACCAGGACGACTATAATGCCCTGGAAAAGCAACTTCAGACATTACCAGACGAAACTTCCCGCACGGCCATGGTAAAAAAAAATTGGGAATATGGATTTCAATTGGCCGTCATGAAGCTTAACAAAAGACTTAGATCCCCATTGGCAAACTCGCGTTTATGCCCGGTAAACTTATTCACACCAATGAAATCACGGTCTTGTTGGGCGATCAATATTATGTGGAACGATCCGCCAAACAAGCGCTGGGCATTCTGCAGCGAAGAAAAGAAGGTAAGGGCGATTCGATATACAGAAGCTGAGTTCATTATCCAACCGTTGGGTTCATGGATGTCTGATTTATGGTTGAACGGCAGTGGTGGATGAAAATCTGCGACTGGTAGAAAGCAAGTTGAATGCGATCAAAGCCAAATCTAATATTCATTTGCCTGGTGTGTTATCAAGCACGGAACCAGAGGTAAACATTGAATGGGCGTTTCTTCCTGTGTTTGACAATGTGATATTTATGAATGCATCTATAGTTGAATGAGGAAGGTTTGCCTATCATGGAAATTCGAGAACAATTGCCCGAACCGATTGTGGAAAAAGCACCCAGCAAGGAGACTGTTACTTCGACCGATTCCATTCCGAAATCTGTAAGACGAGCACGCGAAATGATGGCCATCAGCAGCAAGGCTAGCGGAAACGACGACGATAATAAAGCACTGTTTGACATGTTGCAACAACTGGAAGAGGAGGAGGAAGAGGAGAAAGAAACACAGCAACACGAAAGTTCCAAGGACAAACGGTCTCCGTGGCTGGTCCAGCATGAAGTAGGCGAAAAAGAACTCGAGCACGACCATGATGAGGACGACGAGCAAGTGGATTGGGACGATAATTTATTCGATACGGAGCTGGCGAGCAATATGTTTGATCATATCCAAGATGATGAAGAGTATGCTATTCAAGGCACCGTCGATCAGGAAGATCTGACGGTCCATGATCATGCAGGTCTCTTGCACGCGGATGCTGAACCTGGTGACGGCGCTTTCATCACTGAATTGGACGACGAAGCAGACACAAGCGAACCAGTTCTCCAATCATCGGTTAAGGAATTGAGTCTTGAAACCGTTGAAACCCACCCACCTGATACCAAGGCAAAAGAGAAGACAAAGGAGGGAGTTTCTGAGGCGGCGAAACCAGTGTCCAAATTCAAACAAGCGAGACAGCAGCAGGCACAGAGAGAACAGGAGGAACAAGAAGTAGTCAACGAACCAGATAACGGTATACCCACTGTAGCTGCCACTCGCAAACCTAGAATGCCAATGTCAAGGTTCAAGCTGGCGAGACAGCAAGAACGCAAACAGCGGACCATGCCGGAAGTGACCCCTCCGAAAGATGAAGTGGCGAAATCACATACACCCGCGACGGCTATTCCTCCTCCTGTAAGCGCAACAAAAGATGAGGAATCAATGGCAGAGCAAGCGAAGCCGGATGAGCGGGTTATTCCTCAGGTCAAGGCGAGTGCGAAAAAGACGTCCAAGTTCAAACAAGCGCGCGAACAGCAAAAAAAGGCGACGACCCAGTTAAAGCGCAAAGTCAGTTTTGGTGCCATGGCGACGGTTCATGAACATGATACCACAGCTGCTCCGACGGCCACGGAAGGCGATCGACCCGCATATTCCAAACCGATTAAAGAAGACGTCTCTGTTGAAGCCGCCGCCAACCCATTTCAACATAAAATCCAATCTCCAGCCGACATTTTCCGCGTGGCCATGCTGCATCAAAATATGCAACCGGACGGATACCCTTCGCTGGATGACACCGTCACAGACCCCACCGAAGTGGATTTGCAAGAATTGGCTAAAAGTGTGCGTAGCCAATCTCAAGAACTGTGGCGACCCTCCGGTCCCGAGGCCGAGGTTAGATTACCCACCGTTCCCAACATTCTAGCACGAGCAGCTTCGGAAGAGGAGGAGATCAGTGGAAAGGAGCAAGCCGTCGTGCCATCCAATACTCAGAAAGGAAAAGGACGTATGGACACCAAAACCATGAAAGGCATGGTCATGGAGCGCGAAACGGAACCTATCAATCTTGAGGAAGTTGAAGATGATATGGATATTCGAGAAGTAAGTATTGACAGGCGAGAGAAGAACAAGAAAAATTTTCAAAAGTTTATTCATTGTTCTTTGTGTTGTATAGATATCATCGAATTATCATCTACGCCGGCAGCAAATGATGGCGGCCATGGGAAGCTTTACTTTTGAGCCAAAGCCTGAATTTGAAGTATGCACTTGAAGCATTGTTTTTTCAGCATTTGTACAATGATAATGACAATTTGTTTGGCTTTTTTTTTTTTTTTCATTAGGTGTTTGATGAAGAATTACCACTTCCTTCAGCATCGAAAAAGCCCGAAGTGACCGAGGCTCCGCCGAAGAAGATGTCCCGATTCAAAGCGGCGCGGTTGGGATTGCAAAACAAATCAGAAGAGGAACAATAGTGAACAGTTATTTATAGTTCTAAGACTTCCATTTTACTTTTTTAGTTGGCTATCATAGTAATAGTTACTTGTGTATGATAAAACCTTCATTCGTATCAATAGTTGATGCTTCTTTTTCAGAATTTACTGAAGGTTAGCTTTGGACCTGTTCATTTTGTTCAGCGAAAGCTGGGTGACGGGAGTGGATAGTGAGTCGTATTATTGAAGAAAGGGTTGGAAAATCAGATTTTGGCAAGATGGTCAACGGTCACCAACGTCGAAAGTCGTTATGCAGGGTATGAGAGAAAAGAAAGAAAAAAAAAAGAGCAAGAGAGAAGACACGGCAGAGAATCATTCAGGTGGGATCAAACGCAAGTAAAATGGAATCGTTATTGCACTTTTTCGCTGACGGCATGATCTATTAGAAACAAAAGGCAATACACAGGTCAATAACTTATTTTCCCAGAAAATGCTAAAGCAATGGTCTTGAAATGGTACCTTCATCCTGTATGTGGAGTTGGGCGACGTTTGGGATGGCGTTTACACCTGCTTTGCTTTCAAGCTTTTTCCAGAGCTGGTCCCGTTTTTCATCCTGATTAGATCTACACAGAATAAGTCAAGGGTGGTTCAGCGAGTGACCATGACCCACCACTTACGCATTTTCGTCCTCTTTGTATTTCTCAGTACATTCATCGAAGAGAGCTGGATTGATTTCCATGAGTGTTTTCAAAGCATGATAAACAAGACCATGGATGGTTCTGTCATTCAAAAGGTATCGTCAATGGTTAGTGTTCTTTTTTCCTTTTCCACGAATCCACGTCGAATTACCTGTTCCAATGCGTTTTTGAATGTTTATACAAAGGAGGGAACATGATGGGCATAATGACCTCGATATTGTCACTGATTAAATTGACAATGTAGTCATTATTCCAGTAGTAGAGAGCCCGCTCTGCAACCTGCATCCAAATCGAGTGATCAGTCCTCGCAATACTTCACTATTTCAAAAAGCTAGATCCATCCCAATGCGTACCTGGAAATGAGGACTCGAAACGCATTTCGCCAATCGTTGAAACAACGGTTCCATAATCCTTTGGAATTCCACCGCATCGACGATGTCCAGTATCCCTTCGATTTCAGTTAAAAACATGACTTCCTTGGCACTGTTGATTTTCGGCCAGTAATGTAGTAAGCTATTGATAACCTGTTTTTGCGGGATAAAACATCAAAACATTAGACGAGATGAGGAAAAAAACTGTCAACGAGAAAAAAAAATTACTCAATCAGTTCTTACCTCGGATGTCAAGGTTGGGTCCTTCTCCAAAAATTGTACCACGCAATAGTCCAGCTGTGGGTGATACATAGCAAGAGTGGAGGGTTTATGTAACGGCATGAGCACTCGGGAGAGAAAAATGCGATGTTCCTCTTTCAAAGGGAGAGCGAAACCGTTGATAATACTGGCGGGAAAATGACAAAATATGAAAATAAGTCAAGTTGTCCTTGTTCCAAGCGCAATCGCATTTTTACCTTCCCAAGATCTCCAATAGTTCGGCCACGCCATTGAACCGTTCGGTCTCGTAAATAAATTGAAAGAAAATATTATTGATGGATCGTCGAATAAATGCACGTAAGTTTAAGAATTTTCCATATAGTCTATGTAGTGTTGTTTTCAGGAAATCGCGTTCTCTAGGATCTTCGCTGTCGAATAATTCCAGTAACTGTCGAGCAAAAACCTCGTCGTCAGTATCATCGATTCATTTTCTTGTCGATTGAGAGAGAGAGAGAGCATCACCCCACCACCCTTCCCCCCCCATTCTCTCCTTCTCTCTTTCTTTTTTTTTTTTTTTTTACCTGAAGAATAAATTTTTGATCAATGTATTTTTTGGCGACGTGCACATTGAAATCGGGTGATTCCACAAATCGTAAAAAGAACTCATAGACAAGCTGTAAATGAGGCCATGCCGATTCCAATACTGGTTCATCTTCCTCAGGATCAAATCCCTCGCCAGCTACGGGATTCAGTTGCGGAGGAATGGTTCTAAATAAATTCACCGCAAACTAAAAGAAAGAAAAAATAAAGGAAGTCCATGATCACCATGACGCAAAATCAGTCCATCGGTTCCATCACATTCGTCATCTAGAGTATGCCTCTGGCGTGTATTTACCATGCGAATGACATCTGGATAAATCGAATCCACAATCGCTCCTCGTGTGGTAGCCACGTATTCCAACATTTCCTGCAATGTCTGCCGCTTGATCTCTTTGCCTTTCAATCCAGAGGAGACATCGTTAAAATCAAACAGAACTTGGCATTGAGCCAATTTTCGCACAAACAATTCGTGACGTTGGGAAGGCGGCACCTCTAATAGGGGGATACCACAGCCATCAGGACCGATCCGGAAAAAAATAAACATACGAAAGCAGACAAAGCGTCGGTTGGCACTTACCGTTGAAGTGGGGATATTTTTCCAGTTCCACTTTTTCTCCTACGTGAAAGCGAGAAGATCGTTGACGTCGAGGACTCTTTCCGACGGGAATGGTATCCTTTGGCATGGGTTTAAGTTTGTTTAACGAAGACCCTGTCTTGGTGATTTCAAGAGACGGTCGCGATCCACTTGTTTTCGTGGTAGAAGAAGGAGCCGTAATAGCCTGAAATACGTGAAATGGAGCATGAGAAATAAGTTAAAGTGACCGTGAACATGAAGAAGCGGTGACCCAACAAGGGTACCTACAGTGGCATTAACCGCGATGACGGGCACGGCTTCTTGAGCCGGCGACGTATGATGAGTGACCACATTTGTTTTAGCGGACCGAGACGCCGAATGTTGCTTATGCGATTGTGATTTAGAGCTGTTTTGACTGCTCGAAGACTTGCTTCTAGAAAGCTAACGACAGAAAAAAGTAGCAAGCAGTTAGCATAGAAAAGAAAAAAGGCGTTGCAGGTTGATTCAAAGTGAACGATTTGCGTACAACTCCTTTCAATCCTTTCATCATAGTGCCCAAGAATTAGCGGGCCAAGTTGGGACAGTGTATGCGACAAAATATGACGACGGAAGCTGAATGGAAGAAAGAGAGAAGAGAGAGAAAAGGAAGGAGAACAAAAAAAAACAAGGCAACTTGATAGGCAGGGAGCGCAATAATATAACAATTGACTGTTGTTAATCGCGCACGCAGAAGAAAAAGACTGGAAAAAAAAAGGAAGAAAATCCACCACCCGCCATCCTGCGGTTGCGCTTTGAGCCGACGATGAAGAAAAAGTCACACAAATGGCAAGTCTGCTCCAGAACCGATTGGACCATTTTCCCCAGTCGTGGAATGATTGTTCTTTTTTTTCTTTATTTTTTGAAATGTCTGCATCATCATTGATCGATCTCCGACTGACCATGCATTAGATTCGGCTCCCTTCAACCTACGAAAAAAAAAAAAAACCCGGTCTCCCGCAAATCAACAGAGAAACTACCTGCTCACCACAAGCGGAGTAAGGTCACTCAGCAAGCATACTGTTACAAGTCGTTTTTGAACCGAGAATGCGAGAAAAAAAAAAAAAACCTCACTCCTTAGTTTTTTTTAACTTTATAAAGAATTTAGATCCTTGCCACGTTTTCATCCTTGCTACTCTCTCCAGATGTCTAATTGAATAGGAGTCCTTAATGACACTATCCAGTGGCCTTATTATTACGTATGGGTTATGATTTTTCTCCAATCATTCCGAGACCAAAAGGTCTTATTCAATCATACCTTTCAGGGCTTACTGTACGTACAAGGCATTCTACAGTCATCGTTCGATATTGAAATCACTATTGGAATCCCCCATGATTATTTTCATTATAGATGACGCTAGAACAAAATTCGATTTAGGCTTTACTTTTTTGGGACTTAACAGGAAGATTCCAAAATCGAGGAGTACCTGTATGTTAAATGATCATTTTGTTATATAAGAAATAAAAAAAAATATAAAAACATTTTTTGCCTGGGGACCAGTGCCATCATCATATTGTCATTATCACACATGTTGAAATGCCGTAAGCATAGTAATTATGAGCTCAGCAAGGAGCCTTTTTCCGTCGCCTAAATTTGATCCATCTAACAGGAGCTAGTCAATTCAGTCTGTATTGTCAATGCGTTCTTAATATTTTAATATCTAATGCGATAAACTAGCATAAGATGGTCCCTTCATTGCGGATGATTCAAATTACACAAATCAGGATAAGTGAAACTGAAAATAATTCATTCCATAACAAATACAGTAGGGAAACCTGACTCATTTTAGAAAACTTCTGTTCACCAAAACAGGGTCCTTATTGGCGTCGACAAAAAGAGAATATAAGCTTCGCTAGTCTCTGATGCAATAATATTGTTGCATGGTATAGCGGGTGTTCATGTGTTTGTCGCTTCAGGAGTCGGAGGAAGGTTGGGGAGAGTGAGCTACGAGTGGCAAATTTTTTATTTTTACTGTTTTGTCCGCCTCCATCTGGAGGCGCCGGCTTAAATAATGGAAAGACGGTTTCAGATAAGTTCATAGTTTTCCATCCGGCATCCTTGGGGTTTTCCGACGTTCTGCATTGATCAATGGGGTCCTGATCACACCGAAAACAAATATGTATAATCTTCTTGACGCACTTTTATTCCAACGTGCCGATTTTATAGATAGGCCCCAATTATTCCCCCAATACTCCAGTTCAACCAGTGGTAAAGTCCTATGTATTCTAGTGTTTGATTGGTAAAAAGGTTGAATCCTAGTCGATATATAGAGCCGAAGCATGATCTAGGCTAGTGTGTGGATCAATGTGAATTCATCAATGGTTGATTTTGCTGATCGCGACACAATGAACAGTCCCGAGTTAGTTTTCGCATACTCCGCTCAAAGAAATAAAACCTGCCCATCTTTCTTTGTTGTCTATAAGTTCCCCTTCTTACTTACATATGCGCACCACAAAGAATCTTACACGTTGCGAAAACACCACTACTCAAACCCAAAAACCTAGACGACGTTCGAGCATTACCAAACGATATTGTTTGGCCGCCAGATTTGTTTGACGGGGTGTATGCCATGCTGTAGTGTACAAGTCCAAAATGCCGCGCCACCTTGGGTGAAATCACAAACGACAACGGATACAATGTGAACAGGAAGGCAGCCAAACGCGTGTTGCATGAAGACGGGAACGACAGCAGATTCGCCCCGAATGAAAGCAGAGACATCTGTTTGCTCTCCATTGGACGATGGAACACTGGGAGGACGTTATCTTGACCGATGAAGTTACCTTTGAGCTAGGCCGGAACAGCAGCCAGATTGAAGTATGGCGAAGAGCAAATCGACCGCAAACGCGTACTTCGAAAAAGACGACAAGACTGGCCATTGTCAGCAGCACATCCGTGCAAAAGAAAAGCGACTTGCGCCAATCCTGACTGTCATCAACTTCTCAGAAGCGACAGTCGTTATGGAGTTTGTGGTCAACACAGAGATCCCATTAATCTCGAGAACTGCCAGGGCAATAACCGGGAATCAACGAACAGTCATCCTCCGCAGCAATCGGGTATTGGAACCGAAAACAAGATGAATCTTGGTAATAATTGCACCCTGTCGCTCAGCCATGTCTTTTGCAATCGCTTCGGACTAAAACGAGTCCTTCACGCATCGTAGCTCGGCAACTCTTTGCTGAAAGGTATTTCCTTTGTGTGTGATAGCTTTTAACGCTTTATTTTTTATTAACTTGATCAATTGATGACAATAGATTCAACCGCCCGAAGCTGAAATCTTTCATGAACAAACGGACCGGAACCAACGAAATCGCAAAAGTTTTGCTTGGCGGCAGCCGCAAATATAGACGACCCATAGAACATACCCCTTCAACTAAAATGATCTGGCGCAAAATCGATCCCATTGACCAAGCTCAAGACGAGCGAAATGCGATCATTGCTTTTGGAAACGCCAACTTTAGATCATCCATGAAAGGAAAGAGGGCTGCTCCCACGAAACGAATCAAGCAGCATCTACAACGGACCGTTGTTGGAGACCCGGTAAGAAGTGGCAGATCAATAGATGATATAACTGTCTTTCGTGATTTTCATAGCATGCAAAATTTTTGAAGATAGACGAGCATTTAACCTAGCAAATTTGTCCAACGTGTCAGCTCCGCTCTTTAGAAAATGCTCACGAACGTCCAGATCTTTCGAACAGACAAAGAACCAAGTTGCACGCCGTTTTGAAGTGTACGAACTGCGGAAAGTTTTGGAAAAGAGACCGAATGCACCGGTTCCAGTTTCGTATCCGGAGGGCTCCTCAGTGATGGTTTGGGGGGCTATTGCACTCGGAAAGAAGTCGCTGTTGGTCACCATGGATAGCACTTGGCGAACAGCTACTGGTTTCCTTGATCAGCTGTATGACGGGACGTTACTTCAGTTCATGGAGGGATTCTTCGATCCGGTTTGATGGAGGACGGAGCGCCAAATCACAGAAATGAACGCAGCGAACGAATGGAAAACGAAAAAGAATTGAAGAAAATGGTGTGGCCAGCTCAATCGCCGGATTTGAACCCAATGGAGAACCCGTAGATTCATGTGAAGAGGAAGCTCCATGCCTTTATCAGCAATCAAGCGAAAGAACGAGGATATCGAGAACGATCCGCATGGCGAGCATCGGAATAATGACAAGGATAATACCAATTGCAGAAGCACGTATGAATATATGCAAGTTGGCTATGAAGGAGCAATACGATACGAAGGCCAAGGTCCGGAAATACCATATTGGTGATTACCCGGTTGGACAACTAAGGACATACCGTCGTACGTCTTTCGAAATAACCAGGCCAGTAAGATCACGGCGGTATTGCTGATATGTGGGATAGTGTAGATCCCCGAAAACGGCATAAGACGTATCTACAATACCAGTACTCGGCCGCTTGGAAGATCGACGACGAAGATAACAGCAAGATAATAATGGAATACCGGCAAAAAGGTCGATTGTTGGGACCGAGAAAAAGAAGAACCTTGGCGATAATCGGATCATACCGCTCAGCCACATTTACGCAATTGCTTCAGAGCAGAAAGAGTCCTGCACCCACCGTCTTCATATGTCATTACATTCCGCCATCGTCTCCGATCTCGCCTTAAAGGCACATTGGCCATTCATTGCCAATGAGAGCACGTCATTGGGTCACTTCTTTGGACCAAGAGTACGGTGCTTTGACGTCGACAACGCCAAGCAGAGCAATTAAAAGGCTTGTTCGTAAATTTGCTGATGAAGCCGGCGATTTAGCAGATGCTGCTGTGGATGTTAGTTCCAAGTACGATGCCGAGAATCTTGCCATGCTGGCTTCGTTGCTAAGTGAGTTGTTATCCAAGTTTGATGGTTGGATCAAATCGTGCTCCTTGGATTGCACTTGCATCCTGCAGCATCTCCACCCTTACCTTGACCATATTTTCAACAAATGCGAATGATTATCTGGCTGACTTGGCGAATCGCATTTCAATGACGATCTTGCGCTGTTTGCCGACTACGCGGTGTCTTACAATCCACCCTCCGGCCGATCCTTTGATCTTTGGCTGTTGAGGTCAAACCCCCCAACAAACCTTCATGCTACCAACTTCAGTCGGATTTTGTCAAAATCCGAAAGGAACTGCAAGGCATGGCCGACTGTTTGGTGAATGCCAATGTGAAGCATTCTGTGGTTTGCGGGATACTTGTAAAGGCCCATTTCCCTCCAGGAACCGCAAGAAGAATCAAGTGAACCAGATATGACTGACGCGACCGACCAAGCTAACCCGATGCTCACGAATATGGAGTCTTTAGAGCACATCATGCTGCAGCAGAAGAAATAGCAAGAGCAAATTCAACAGGCACAACAAGGCTCTTGGCAACCACCTGGAGGTGTGACACTGGAAAAACGCGAATCTTTCTCTGGCGTGCGTACCGCTGCTGTGGTAGAAGGATGACTGTATCTACGGCGATGCGCAAGCATCGCCGTAATGCTCATGACCTAGATATCCCATCCGTTCGTGCGGGCCCGCCAACAGATATGCTGATTAGAGTGGCATGACCGAAGTTCAGGCGCAACATATCGGCTGGAATTGAAGTCTGACGGTGTCCAGGTGTTGTCTTGCTTTGGAAATTCTTGCTTTGCTTCGATCCCCTATGGGTCTCCCTCTTGTTGTAGTGGAAATGGGCGACTACGAGTCTGTTTTCCGAAGTGGAATATAGTCGAATTTGTACTTTTGACATTGGCAGATTGTGACAATTAATTTAGTCCTTAAAGGATCTCAATAAAACTGGTGGAGAAGCTGGGCGCTCTTGTCCCAAGATTGTTGAAGATTTTGTGCAAGTGCGATCCATACTATTATGCACTTTCAATGACATAGTTTTTCTTTTTTTTTTAAATAAAAAAAGATGACTTTTGAATAAAAAGATATGAATTCAAATTTTGGTTGGCCTGGTGATTGTTTTTAATTGGCTAATGACGTTGACTTTCATTGGCTGTGACATGACTTGTTTGGATACACTGTAATTTCGTTCCACACGCTACTTCTGAAACACTTTTTTGTTACAGAAATAGGTAAACCCGATGGCACAAGACAATATGAAAGAGCTAGCTTGTGTTCCCATGGTGCGACATGAACGAAACACTGAATTTGATGAGGTAGCCGCCAAAGACAATCCATCACTCGGGTGAGTTCAGTGCTAGAAATGCATGCATGCAAGGACTTTCCTTTTTTCCTTTTTTTAGAAAAAGAAAAAAGTTGATCCTCTTTACTGCCATTTTTTAGGCAATTGAACGCAGAAATACAATAAGTTGCCCCGCTTTTTTTTTTTTTCCAAACCAGGATTTTGCATTGAACACAAGCCACGGATCCGATTTGATGGGCGATGGTTGCGGATTCATTCATTTTTCTGTTTGGAGTTTGAAAAGGCCTATCAAAAAAACGAAAATCCCGACCACCTTGAAGTGGTTCCCCTTTCAGTCCTTGACCAGCTTATTGCTCCTTTTTCTCTTTCTCTCTCTTTCTCTCTTTTTCTGGTTTGGCAAAACCTTGTTGTCTCCCTGACAAGCTTTTGATCAAGCCTGATTTTTCCTCAGCTGACGTTGCTTTCCTAAGCAACCCATATCCAATTTGTTTCCTCACTCAATCTTGCTGTTCTTTTTTTTTTTTTTTTCTTCAGGGGAAAAGAAGAAAAGCCAAATTATTCCACCCAACTCGAATCGACGTTTTCCATCATGTCATCTTCTCATGCAACTTCTCATCCTCTTCGACGAACGCCGTCCAGCACTCAGTATACCCTTGCAACAGAGTACCGCGATCGTCATTCAGCCGATGAACCTTTGCAAAAAGCGGAGGACGAGTCATCAACGGTGGCGGATGGCACTGATCTGATGAGCAACGGATTACGAGCCCAATCGTTGGATATCGGTTATAGTCGGTTATTGCACAAGCAAGCTTACTACGCGGATTTGTCCCGACATAAAAAAGATCAGAGTACGAGAGAATCCAGCAGCGAAGCGCCGAGCGCTTATGCTTCCGAAATTTTTCACCTGTATCCGCATCGGATCACTCGACGATTTTCAGAAGACTCAGTCGATTCCAATCTCTCCTCCACGAGTTCGATTCTCAGCACGGCCAGTAAAATCAGCAAATTACCTCACATGATGAAATCGTCCCTCGTCTCCGTCAAAGACTTTGTATCCAAAGCCACCACCCACCATCATTCTCATCCTCCCCATTATCACCATGACTCACAGCATTCGGCAAGAGTCCCTCGACATACCCATCGATCCGGGTCCATTGCCACGCTTTCTTCTTCATCAACCCAACATATACCCTCTCCTCTCGATTCTTCATCGCTACCTCTGGAACGTCAATCCTTCTCGGCCCGTCTTCGCCGACGTACACCCAGTGCAATGGGACTTGCCCATTTATTTCAGTCACGAAAACCGGCCAGTACCGATCCATCCGGTCCCGTGGATCCAGTCACATCGGCGAGCTATTCCGTGCTAGACAGTCGACCAGCGGGCAAACCGAGACGCAACAGCACCGTAGACGGCTCGAGATCGATGGGAGACAATTATTCGTACCGGCGTTACTCCGTCATTGCTGAGCAAGACGCTGTTTTCACCAAAGACGAAACCCTGATCGGCCCCGTCACAACGCCTGAAATCGATCCGCCTATGGCAGCGACGAACCCGCCGGATGAGCCAAACGCGACAAACAAAGACGAGGCGATCGGACAACTGCTCTTTGGAAAGAATATTGACGGAGTGTCTTTTGATCACGAATTTTTTTTGTCGCGGAACCCAAGTACCATTTCAAACACGAGTGACGAGACGAATGCATCGAAAAACGAACGGTCTCCGAAAGGCTTAACGCATGTTAAGAGTGATCTTCTTTCCACCCAATCCATAGCGCAGGACGCTCCATTCAATCATCAAAGAGCCAAATCATGTCAAGTAGGTTCTATAAATGACAAGAGAGAAAAAAGAAAAAGCAAACATTGAATCCACTTCATGCATCTGAGACATTTTCTCATCGTTTCATTTTTTTTTTTTTTTTCATTCGTTTTGCCTTTCCTTGAAAAAAAAATCTCTCGTGTGATTATAGGATCATCGAAAGAAGCCGTCATTGCAGCAACTGGCACAAGGTTACCATCTTGGAAACACCGACATTGCATCAAATCCACATCATATTGCAGAGCAACCATCACCGATACCCGAAAAGGCCCAAGACGGCAATTCTCGGTTGAACTCAAAATCAACAATGAGATCCGACCGCATGTTACCCAATTTCCTTATTACAGCCACTTTGACAACGTTGCACAGTAAGCTTATCGCGGAATGTGATCAGCTTCTCGCTTCGGTTTTGCTACGAGCATCTCCCACGGCAGGTACAGGGGCGCTTTTGGTCTTTCCCGCCGAGAAATTGCAAGCCATTACGCTGGATCTTCACAAAATGTCGGATATGGTTGTATGGGAAGATGAGCAAGGTCCCATGTCAAAATGCAGCGTGGCCTCGTCTTTTGCCCAATTGGATCAGTTAATCACCGAAGGAAAGCTACTTGCGGCCGCGGAAGAGAAGCCAAAGTCAAAAGGGGAACCCCACAACAAAGGATCCGATCATCAGCAGCAAGTCATCCGATCTGTCAAAGAAATTGTAAGTTGACATGGTATTTTAGCTTGGCTTTGATGTTTCGCCAAGAATACACCATCTGTCTGCGTGGTGGTTTGGGATGAAATGACTCAATTGAGGATGCTATTTTTTTTTCTTGCAGGTTTCCTTGTTAAAGCAGATGATTTATCAGTGCATTAGTCAGTATCATAAGGTCTATGAGAAAGCTCTGGTGATTCCCTGCAAAGGGTACAAGATTGAAGGCAAAAATAGATTCGGCACAGTTCAAGAAGATTATCCCGAAATAGACTCCAACACGACGTATGCAAACGCAACGGTAGATCACATGGATGAAGAGGCTCACTGGTACCGCTCCTATTTCGTGGGTAAAAAGTACATGACTTTTTGTGGATTCACAGATAAGGATGATCCTATTTTGGTATCCGCCATCTGTGACGACGATGTCAAGTCAGAGAAAGGAGACAGCGTGCAACGACACTATCGACTTATTAAACGGACGATCAAGGTAGATCGATTGAATGGGGTTGGATGGCGTGCTTGGAAAAAAATGAAGTGAGTGGACCGAGCAGTTTTTTTTTAATATGTCTTTCCCGATGGATCGCCCTGAATTAATTAGAGCCCCGATGGTCGAAAAATCGTGCCCGACTCCTTCTTACTCAATGCGCCCCTGGATCTCACTCTCCACGATGATGGTGACAAGCCCATCCCCACAACAACATGGAAAAATGTTATTGAAAGTACATTTGCTATCGATTTTAATCAACTGCATTGCATCGATGCTGAAACCTTGGTTGCCAATGGCATCGAAAGCGAGTTACTGCGCTTAGATGAAAGCTCGGTAAGTGGTAGTTTTTTGCAACCATCACAACGTCATTTTACTAGGATCTCTGCAATCCTGGTGGTTCCCGTTTTTTCTTGTTTTTTGTCGCTCTCTTTTTACTCCTGATTTTTTTTTACTCCGTTGTGAAAAAGACCCCACACTGAGAGATGATTTCTCTAGATTCATCGGCGGTTCAAGTTTGGTGTATTGTACATCAAAGAAGGCCAGACAAAAGAAGAGGAATGGTTTTCCAATGAACATGATTCACCCAAGTTTGAGCGATTTTTGAATATCATTGGTCAACGCGTCGCCCTGCTAGGTTACAATGGCTGGGCTGCAGGATTGGACACCAAAAGTAAGTTTGAGGTGGACTGTGTGTAAGGGGGAGGGTCGGGGAAGACGTTTTTTGTTTTTTGTTTAAGGTGGACAGGGCCATGCTGAAATGGTATGATACTGATCTCATCACTGGGGTTCGTTTGATAGGTGGTGATTCAGGGGAATATACATATACGGATGTGTGGGGTGACAACCTGTTAGCATATCATGTTTCAACGTTGATACCCTCGAGAATTGGTGATAAGCAACAGATCCAACGAAAACGACACATTGGCAATGGTATGTGCGCACATGAAGAATGGCTATTCTTACGATTAATTCAATTTTTTTTTTCTTTTTTGGTGCTTTTTTTTGGTTGCGTTGCAGACATTGTATGTATTGTCTTTGCAGAAGGAAGACAACCCTTTAATCCTGCCGCGATAAAGTCTCAATTCCTGCATGTGTTCATTGTTGTGCATGAAGAAGAGTGGAATGGAAGGATTGGTTGGCGGTATGCAGGGGACGATTTTGTAATGTTGTCTTACTGAGAAAGTGCTGATTAATTTTTTCTATTTCTGGATTCTGGGATGACTTTTTTTTCTCGCTCTCCTCTAGGGTGGAAGTGGCCATGGTGGAGAATGTACCGAATTTTGGCCCGCCGTTACCTGAACATGCATTCTTCTTTGATCAAGCCGAACTACGATCGTTTATTCTCGCTAAATGTAAGGAAACCCAAGAAAAAAAAAGATACTCACGTAGGGTAGATCACTGAAACTTGAACATGAATACCCATCGATTTTTATTTATTTATTTGTTTTTTCGTCTCCTTGGCAAAACGGGCACCTTTGATTAGTGGTCAATGCTGAGTACGCAGCCCTGAAATCACCAAAATTTGCTCAACCGATGGCCCGTGCACGTGAAGGTATTTTGACCAATATCGCTGAACGTGGGTGCAAACTGGCGGATAAAGCGACAACGACAAGGTCGTCGCCCAATTCAAGGCACAGCAAAACACCATCGACATCGTCGGATCGTAGTATCAAAAGCACTCGAAGCAATCATCAAGACAATGGCCCTGAGCCCATTCCTACGGCATCTCGCTCGAGTATGATCAAAGACCTGTCAGAAGCGGTCGGGTTAAGCCGTCGTAACCCAAAGGACGCTGCAGATTCTCGGTCAAAGATACCACAAACTAAACCAAAGAAAGCAAAACCGCTTCACCCTGTCGATAGTAAGATGAAGCACTTTGATTCAGCTGACCAACTGACTGGATAGGACCATGTGAGACTGATACCAAGTTGTCATGATATAACTAGGTACCACCTCCAGACCAAGCTTTTCAGAATCCGATCTCATGCATTCAACAAGCTCTCACGTTGCTTCCTCGCGATCCAGCAGTGCCATCCTGCAACCCCCGGCCAATAAGAAAGAAGGTAAAATGAAAAAAAAAAATTCTTTACGTGGTGATGGCATGGAACACCTGTTCACGGATCATTGTCATTTCGTTAGAACGAGGTATCAAACATCGTGCGCATACCATCTTGACATCCTTTTCCAGTTTTGGTTATCGTCGAAATCCGACGAATCTGAATGAAGGTGCCAATCAGTCATGAATTTACCATTTTCATATATTAAACCCGATCCTACTGCATCGAGGCAAAATATGGATGGTGCGACGATTTATGTCACATCCAAAAAAAAAAAAAAAAAAAAAAAAAAAAAAAATGAGACAAGTTCATGCTGTGAAAGCGAGAAACCAGCATGACAGCCGTATCATCCTACTATGACTCTTGACTGCATGCTTTTTTTTCATTTTTTCCCTTCTTTTTTTTTTGGCACATCCATCATTGCACATACTATTTACACTTATTTAGTTTATTTTTTTCCCTTGTTTAGATTTGTCAACATATATTGATGGTGCATGCTTCGTCCCTGCAGCTTTGTTGTTTAAATCGAAATAATCTACCTTTTACCCATGTTCCGATTTAATATGATTTTTATGAATCTCCATACACCCGTCGCGAGGGACCACGATAGGTTATCCAGGGTCGCCTTCTTAATTAACATTAAAAACATGATGTGTTGCGCTGTAAAATGACCTGGGGGTTACCTTTTTTGTTGAGTTGTTGCTCTTGTCGATTGGGTTGCGTCTAGCCATTGTAATTGGGACCAGTGCGATCATTTGATTGGTGAAGCGATACTCTACAGGACATCACCCATCTCGGTTGCTAGCACGGAACAGACAACAGATCATGAGGTTTTACTGGACCAAATGATAATGAAGCGAAGATCATTGTTTAAGGAAAAGGGAGATACCATCTGATTATTATTTTTAAGTGTGATTATCATTATTATGGCTCATTCTTTTTTTGTATTTTCTCATACGCACAGACAAATATGCACATTTCTCGAAATATTGTACTCTGAAGCATATTTTAATGTTCCTCTATACGCGAATTATCGATCTCTGAATGGTGATAGTGAGATTCCCAATGTCGTAAAAGGAATAATGACTGACCAATACCGCTATGCCTTTCCCTCCATAATCTGTTGGAAAAACGTTGATGTCTTTTTTTTTCTCCTACTTTCAGTTTGAGACATCCGGTAGCCATCGACGTGATTAGGGAGGATCAGCTTCTGCTTTTTTAGGAGACCGAAAGCAAGGGGCTTTGATGAAAAAAACCAAAAAAAAACCACACAACCAGAGCCAAAAAAGGCGGGCAAGCGCTTGAAAACTAAGAGTGCAACAATGATGCAGGGGTTGCTTTCTTTCTTTGGATCATTTGTTTTGGGGGAATAGAGGGGGAAGATGAGCGGAAAGGAAAAACAGAGAGAGAAGCCAAAGAAAAAAAAAAGAGGGGAGTTACCATTCAAGCATCCAAGCATCCAAGCAGCATGTAAGACGTATGAATAGAAATGTGTATGCGTGGACGTGCATCCAAATAATAATAACGAACCAAGGACGGAACATGATATGTTTATAATACGGATAGTACTGATCATATGTTCTTAAACTTTGTTTTACACTGGTTGAAGCAGAGCAGGGTCTAATCCACGCTCCGCATCTTTGGACCAACAAATGCCCCCTTTTCATTGTGCTGGTGGTGTGTGCTTTTTTTTCCCGTTTGAAGGGTGACACGCACCCATTATGCCTTCTGATCTGCCGCTGTCCATTGTTGTTTTTTCTTTTACAAGCGTGTCTTTGTGTACCTTTTTTCTTGTCAGGCCGTGTCAATTAGCAATTGAAAAGGGTCTATTGTTTTGTTTTGATTTTTTTTTTTGCCAATTGGAAATATAAAGATAATGTAAAAGAACTAATAACAAAGAGTCCACTATTTATTGATTGTATTGTATTGTTTTTGTTGAGGTCTTGTTATTCCTTTTTTCCCTTCCCGCCAAATATTCGACCGTGGAAAGGGTGGCTCTTTATCCCTTTCTTTTTTTTTCTTGTCTATCCCCAAAAAACCGAGAAGCATATATTCTATCATTACTCTTAAGGTTTTTTTTTCTTTTGCACCCTTAGCTCCATTTGTCCCCAGAGATCAGCTCCCAAAAAAAAAAAAAAAAAAAAAAAAAAATAAGGAAAACCCCCTTGGCACTGGCCTTTTATCTGTACGTTTATTACTTCAACGTTCTTACTTTCTTTTTTATTTTTTATATTTTTTTTCCGTCTTGTTCCACTTCCTCCTCTCTTATCTTTTTTTTTCTTTTTTTTGGGCTTCTCCTGAATTCAAAAAAAAGAAATTTGTTTTATTACCAGCGCGTTTTTTTACCATTACTTGTATTCAATATTCTCTTTTTCTTTTGTCAGAACCTTCATTCTTCTTTTATTTTTTTTTAATTTGATTTGTACTATTGTTCAATGGAATACCATTATTCACATCCACAACCCCACCCTCACCATCAACATGGTGACGGGGGTTACTATGCGCAGTATCCTTCTTTGAAACATAGGAACAGTAGCATATCAACGACCAGTTCTTCTGGTGCCGACACTATTGCCGGTGCAGCCGCTGCAGCCGCTGCAGCCTCAGCTTCTGCAGCTTCCAATCATCCAATGATGATTCATCCAGATCGACCCTTTTATTATTCGCCGTCGGCGGCCAACTGTACCATACTGAATGACCAGGATCAATACCCCACGCCGAAGGATTTCCACGCTATTGTCGAAGAGTATCTCCAAAATCTGTCTTCCAAAAAACGGGATAAAGCTCTTGTGGGCAGAAAACGGTATTCGCTCATTCTTCAGGTTTTGAAGGATCCAAGAAACACCGCCATTTCCACTGCCCAATTCCGTTTCTGGGTCAAGAAGATGTTCCAATTAGCTCCGATCGAAACCGCAGATATCGTCTGTCATGACAACAAACCCGTGGCCATGCGAGAACAGATTTACGATATCCTCGTAAGAGCTCACAGAGAAGCCCATCATGGTGGAAGAGATAAAACCTCAGCCTTGGTAAGTGCCTCCATTCCTTTATTTTACAATATTGGGATTTTTTTCCCTCTTTATTCCCAACCTCGTCCCAATTCCCAACCACTTTCCATGTTTTCATTAATTTTGCAAACATGCTAAAGAAAAAAAAAATTGAATAATAACATTCTCTAATCTAAAAAAAAGGTCCGGCGTCGCTACTCTTGGATCCCCAAGGAACTTATTGCGCGTTTTGTACGACATTGCCCTTTTTGTATATCACGACGTAATGGATGTCAAAGTCCGACGATCAGCGGTGATGGCGGAGGAATGCCCAAGACTCCACCCGCTTATGAACTGACGACGCGCACGCCACCCATTGCTTTCATGCCTCTCGATGTGAAGCCAGTACTGAACGAGGATGGCACCTTTGTCATGCAGAAGAATTGCAGAAAGAATGCCTATGAAGGCTGGCAACAACCGCCATCCATGACGCATTCCTACTACCACTCGTCTGCCGCGGCGGCCACCACCACCACGATGCCTCATCCTTTGTCCATGCCTTCGCAGCTTCCTAATCCTGGTTCCTGCGCTGTGGCTTCCTCATCGACTTGTTCATCGTCATCCTTTTTGGGTCCCTCAACCCCGTCTTCTCCTTTTGACACCTCCTCGTTTTACTATGCACAACAGTCGGCCAACCACGAACCGTCGTCCATGAATTTCGCTCCTTCCTCGTTCAATGGTTGCTACTTACCAGACTATACTTCCTCATCATATCCGAATACCATGTTGCACAAGCGTACCGATTTGCCTTTTTCGGATCAACCTGAAGAATATCAGTCATCGGCATCTTCCTGTTCCTCTGTGGCTATCACGCCTCCACCGGCCACCGAGTTACCTCAATCACAGAAAGCCGCCACCGATGTGCCTTATCCTTCCATTTCGTCCTCCACTTCTTCCTCTTCAGCTTCATCGCCCCCGGCCAATGCAAATGCCTACTACTACATGCAAGATCAGTCTTCCACCATGCCATTCGGTGATTTCATGATGGACAAGTTCGCCTCTGACGGACGTCAGGATGTGGCGAGTGCAGCGGCTGCTGCTGCTGCTGCTGCCATGGTCGCCGCTTCTACCACTCCATCCAATGGTTCAACCATGCAATCCTACACCCTGACTCACATGCCTATCACAAATACGCATTGTGTGCCTCAGTCACCTTCTGGATCTTCGGCATCATCCATTACATCTGCTTCAGGACCGTTGGATCTTCCTTCCAACGCTTATTCCTTCGTTTCACTTTCCAATCAACACTATCAGCAGTCTATGGATGGATCTTCCTCACTTCCCGTCACCAACGAACAATCTTTGAACCTCCTTTCCCACCAGCCACACATCCTTTAACTGCCGTTATCTTTTTGTGTTCCTGAGCGTCATGCAAAAAGGGTATATTGAATCCTCCGCCACCGTTGATGTTGACCATTCAAACCAAAAATTACAAGATCAATCCATTTTCATCCTCAACCCTCTTTTTTCGTGAAGTTCAAACACCTTTTCGTCTCCCATCCAATCCTTTATGCAAACATCTTTATGCCAGCCCTTTCTATTATCTTGGTCGTAATTTTTTTTATTCCTTGTTTCTGTTATTATTTTTGTGATTTTTTTTTTTCCTTTGTTTCTCCCCAATCGCTTCCACCACCCCCTTTTTTTTTTACCCTTTGTTGTTGAAAACGTACATATCGCCATGACTTAATTGTTAGTCCTTTCTAAAAAAAGATCAAAGTGTATGCATTTTGCTTTTTTCTTATTGTTTGCCATGTATTTAAAAATGATAATCAAAAAAATACTTGTTTTTTTCCCGATAACCCTTTTTTTTTTTGCTAATAATAATCTTATTCATTTGTCGTTCTATTTATAAGGCTTTTTTTCTATCGTTTTTGATAATGCTGTGCCTCATGCATTGACCCTTCCAAAAAGTATACTAAAGAGTGATACGGTTGTTTGTCTCGACATAATATAGGCTACCCATTCATCTATCGGTATCTATCTCCAAGAGATGTTTTTTGAAATCAACGGATATGCCTTGGAAGACATGTATGAATTCATGGCCTATTGAGTTATTTTTGAATCATATGATCCTTATCAGCTGCAAGCCAAGGATATGCAAGAGTAGTAGGATGAACCCTCAATTGATATGTTTATTTGCCAAACATTTAAAGTCCAGTGCAGGAAAAATGAATGGGTAAATGCATCACGGTTATGCGCACGGAAAATCTTTGCATGTTTCTGTCGATAATCTCTGGTTTCCGTAAAAAAAAAAAAAAAACGAATGGTCCATGCAGCCATCTATTTTTACCCTCGATCAGCAATAGGATGCAGTATCCATGGAAACAACAATAAGCTTCCTTCCAATGCTCTAATCCGCTCAGCACTTCACTTCAGGTTTATACTCTCAATCCCCCATGCGAACCCAACCAAACATCATCCGACACCTTGCATTCGGGCAACGACCGATATTTTGTTTCCTTTCCCTCCGCAACGGTATGCTGATGCAATGTGATCATACAAGAGATCAGTCTTTCTGTGCAGAATTCGATGATCCGTTGTTTTTTTTGTTCAGGGCTGCGCTTTTGCAATGAATAAATGCTTTATTTTCAAATGATTTACAAAGGAACATTATGTAAATAATCATGAGAATATGTAAGGGATTGCTGGATGAAATACTAAATACAGGAGTGAGGGCTCTTTTTACGTGTTGGTGTTGTCGGAAGCTTCTTCATCGGGCCTTGTTTATGTTTGATCACAGACCTTCTATTTATTTTCCTTTTCTTTTGGTAATGCTTCACGCTTTCAAGCAATTCAGACACAGAACCGAGTAAGGCTCCATAGCTTCCGGTATCCATGTACGCACCCAGGTGGTGGATGAAAAAATTCTGATCTCAGCGGTGGTAATTTCATGCCTCAACAAAAAGTTGAACAAGCCAATCCTGCTCGTATGTATAATAAGTAACTAGGTAGGGAATCAGTTGTTGCAGTTTCGAGTGTCCAGTTCTTGCTAAAAGGACGATAGACAATTGGCAAGAGGAAGGATATTTTTTAATGACATTTGAGTTACGAGAATGGGGGATAATGATGTATATCCTCGTACTCTTGTTATATAAGATCGGAATAAATGTGATTACAAACGCTTATTCGTGAAGCGCTGCTCGGTTTGATGTGATTAGACTCTGTGTATTTGGAGGATCAAGTGGCTCATGCTTTGTTCGTTCAAACCCAGAATCAATGCAAATTGGGCAGTTCGGTGATCCCAAAATGAGGCTCAGTTAACCGTGACGCGCTTTACTCGTGCCATGAAAGCCACTTGCATCCAAAGCATGAAAGCTTGGTTTGAGAGGAGAAGACCTCATCGACATCGCACTTACTTTTTATTTCCTTCTTTTGTCCCACCATGGCTGATATTTCTGCACCTACGGTTGTTCCGGTAACAACAACTCAAGACGATATTACCGAGGAATTTCCCCACATTCAAAAACTTCAGAATGTTTTGATTCAAATGCCAAGTGGCAATATCAAGATGGTCAATTTGAAGCCAAACACGTAAGTTTCTCTCAACCACCCCAGACAGTGGATCTTTTTAAAGCTGATGCTGACTATGGTCCATCTAGACAAGTCACTTTGGGCAAATTCGGCACCTTCCAAGCGAACAACTTGATTGATCAGCCATTTGGTGTTTCGTACGAGATTTACGACGACAAAGGCAGCATTCGTCCTGTCCGCAATTTTTCGCTTTCCATTGTTGGTAAAGTTTATTGGTCGAGTTACATGAATATGGGACGTGCTGTTGATTTACGGAAACATAAAATAGAGGAAACGACGGCAAATAACCAGACAATCGTCGATGATACATCGGTGCAAAAGCTGACGCATGAAGAGGTCGAAAAATTGAAAGAGGAGGGACTCAAGGGCAACATGGACGCAGAGGTACAAACAAGCACGCAAATTATGACATATTAGATCGACCACATTAACCATTGGGAGTATTTAGGAAATCATCAAGAAAATGGTGGCATCTCATGCCGAATTCGACAAGAAGACCGAATTTTCCAAAGCCAAATACATTTTACGAAAGAAGAAAAAGTTTATGAAAGTGTTCACGCCCATTCGTCCCACCATGTACAATATTGCCCAATATTTCTTCAACAAAAATCCCGACAAGATCAAGTAGGTTTCAGGAAAGAACCCAAAAACGATATTTGCCAAACTGACCCTCGTGGCCTACTCGTCACAGAAATCTCCGCATCGATACACTTTCTCAACTGTTAGGCTTGGCTAATGTACGATCCAACGGTAAATTGTTGGTGGTGGATGATACACAAGGCTTGATTGTGGCCGCGGCTGCCGAACGTATGGGTGGATACGGCACCATTGTTGGCCTTCATGAAGGTTTAAACCACAACTATGATATCCTGCGATACATGAACTTTTCGAAACACGTTCTTTCCACAATTCATACCGTCCCACTGTCCAAAGTCGATCCCCAGGTTCCTGATGGTAAAGATTTCAATTGGTTTATGATGTGTCGGATTAGAGGGAGCTTACACAGTGTCATGTATCATACAGATCCATGGGAAGAATTGACGGAAGAAGAGTTCAATAGCAAGAGTATTGATGAACAAAAAGGATACATGCGACGAAAGAAGATGCACGAAACAAAGACAAAGTCTCGTCAACTGTTATTGGAGGGTGGTTTCGATGGGTAGGTTTTGATTATTTTATTCGTTGTTAAGAGCTTTCGGTTTCATTAACTGGGTTGTTCCTGATTTTAGTTTGATTGTGTCCTCTCCGTACACCCCCAAATCCGTGATTGAAAACCTGCTCAAATACGTGTTGGGATCACGACCTATCGTCGTATACAGCTTCAGCAAAGAGGTCTTATTGGAAGCCGCAGCATGGATGCGCAAGTCCCCCGATTTCCTAAATGCGGATATCACCGAAAGCAGTTTACGTCAATATCAGGTAAAGCGTGATTGGCCAAGACATACCATACGATCAACATATTCACTGCATGTCGTTTCTAGGTTTTACCGGGTCGTACTCATCCTGAGATGACCATGAGTGCTGGTGGCGGTTACCTGCTGTCGGCTCTTCGTGTAATTGACTGTCCATTTGACTTTTCTTTGGTAAACAAAGATGATACTGGCGGTCGTCGTAACAAGAAGCCGCGCAATGATGCCAAAGACGCTGGAAACAAAAATGCCTCCGAAACACCCAAGCAAGACACCAGTGATAAAATAGAGCAATAATATATCATGTCATTGAATTTGCACTAGATCTTCTCCATTTATGCTCATCTCATTTATTGCATCTTTTCTCCCCTCAATGAAACGTTTGCATTTTCTTTTTTATTTATTTATTTATTTAAAAGAGTCTGTGTTCCAGGTACTCCACATTTTATACACGAATGAAAAGTGTTGTCTGTAGTTTAACAATGCGCCATGAAGATGCTCAAGCTGAAGGATATCTTTCACGACTCACTGCAGGAATACCTTCTTTTGTGGGATTGCAGGAACGTGTGCAGATAATCCGTTGTCAAAAACCCTTTGCATTTTCAATGTCAGCAAGTGACGTGCATTTGTTTTCGGAGAGGCTGCTTCTCGGCCGCGTGGTCTCTGAAAAATTTGGTCAAGGTTTTCGGTAGGCGCAGAAAGCTTTTTTTTCTTCTTTAACCTGTCAGTTGAACGACCATGTCAATGATGGTAAATACATGAGTGCATTTACAGAATAGGAAGGACCTACGCTTGAGTCGACTCGTGCATCGATGTGAACATCCATTGCATTGCGGTTAGAACGCGGCATCTTTTTGTTTGTTCGGGCCAACTTGTCATTTATCGTTTTTGACAGCATCCTGATGGGTGTCACAGAATCTTTGGAGGAGATGCAGGATGATGATGAACGATTGGCCAAACGGATGTTCACGAGATCGACGAGATTATGGCCTCATCTAGGTCATTCATCGGTAGACAGACGACTAACGTGCTTGTGTTTTCTCGTGTAGCAACCACAAATCATTCTGCTGAAAGAAGGCACCGATACCTCGCAAGGCAAAGGACAACTTCTTTCCAACATTAACGCATGTGCTGCCGTGGTTGATACTGTAAAGACGACATTGGGCCCCAGAGGCATGGATAAACTGATGGTCGATGGTCGAGGTAAAATGTCCACACTTATTTTGACATGGTAGCTCATCTCCAACGACAATCAAATATTAATCTCGAGTCAATGTTGTCTTACGAATATAGGTCAAGTCACCATTTCCAACGATGGTGCTACTATCATGAAGTTGCTGGATATCGTCCATCCTGCAGCCAAGACCTTGGTGGATATTGCTCGTTCACAAGACGCCGAAGTATGTTTGAAAAAGCTGTGAAGCTTCAAAATTCGACAGCCGAATTACTAACTGTAGCATAGGTTGGTGATGGTACGACCAGTGTGGTTCTGTTGGCAGGTGAACTTTTGAAGGAAGTGAAAGGTTACATTGAAGAAGGCGTTAGCCCTCACGTCATTATTAAGGGGTACAGAAAGGCTGCTCAGTTGGTATGTTGGACAACGAAAAAAGGTTTAAATTTTTCAAAATGAATGAAACCAACCCGTGATCTTTGTTATTTTAGGCTACTGCCAAGGTCAAGGAGCTCGCTGTAAAGGTTGATCGGGATAACGAAGTGTAAGTATCCAGTGATATGGCTTTTTCTGATTTTTTTTTTTTTTGAAATCAATTTTTTTATGCTCATACCTTTTTTTGCTAGTGAATTCCGTGATCTTTTGACCAAATGTGCGGCCACGGCTATGTCTTCGAAATTAATCTATTCTCAAACGGATTTCTTTACAAAGATGGTGGTCGATGCTGTTTTGATGTTGGATCAAGAAAGCTTGAACGAACGTTTGATCGGTATTAAGCGTGTTCCTGGTGGTGCTATGCAAGATTCTATGCTTGTGAATGGTGTTGCTTTCAAGAAAACTTTCTCTTATGCCGGTTTCGAACAGCAGCCCAAGTCTTTCAAAAATCCCTCCATCTTGTGTCTCAACGTGGAACTGGAACTCAAGGCCGAGAAAGATAATGCCGAAGTGCGTGTGGAAGAAGTATCAGAATACCAAGCCATTGTCGATGCCGAATGGCAAATTATTTTCCAGAAACTCGAAGCGATTGTGGCCAGCGGTGCCAAGGTGGTCTTATCCAAGTTGCCCATTGGTGATCTTGCTACTCAATACTTTGCGGATCGTGACATCTTCTGTGCTGGTCGCGTTACCAAGGATGATATGGATCGTGTGATTCAAGCTGTGGGTGGTGCGATTCAGTCGACTTGTTCTGACCTCCGTCCCGAGCATTTGGGTCACTGTGAAACGTTTGAAGAGAAGCAAATTGGTAGTGAAAGATTCAACCTGTTCGAGGGATGCCCTGAAGCCAAAACATGTACATTGATCCTCCGCGGTGGTGCTGAGCAATTTATTGCTGAAGTGGAACGATCGTTGCATGACGCTATTATGATTGTACGACGTGCCATCAAGAACAACTGGGTCGTTGCTGGTGGTGGTGCGATTGAAATGGAAATTTCCAAATACTTGCGTGTCCATTCGCGTACCATTGAAGGCAAACAGCAGCTGATTATTGGCGCCTTTGCTAAAGCGCTCGAAGTGATTCCAAGACAACTCTGTGACAATGCTGGTTTTGATGCAACAGATATCCTTAACCGATTAAGAATGACACACGCACAAGGTAACCTTTTTAACGCTCATGATGTGTGTCTTTTTGCATCAACTAACCCATGGTTTTTAACTCAGGCGGACAATGGTACGGTGTGGATGTGAATAACGAGACGATTGCAGACAACTTTGAAGCTTTTGTCTGGGAGCCTGCGCTGGTGAAGACCAATGCTATTGCTGCTGCTACCGAAGCAGCTTGCTTAATTCTGTCTGTGGATGAAACTGTGAAGAATGCTCAGAGCGAGAAGCCCAGTACAGGCATGCCTCGCGGTGGTGGTGCAGCCGGTATGGGACGTGGCCGTGGTATGCCAAGACGATAAATTTTTTTTTTGTCTTGTGCAGGATTTTTCTCTAATTTGCGTAATATCCCCAAAAACTAAAAAAGCCAATCAGTGAATATCGCCTTTTTTCAAAATACAGTTTTCACTAAAATTATTTGGCAGACAAAGCAGAGTTAAGACTAATATGTATATTTGACAATGTTGGTTACTACAGCAAAACTGCACATTGGTGTGATCTTACCGTAGACTGTAGCCGTCTTTTTACGCAGGCGCGTGTGGGAAATGTAAAGGTCATGGGGATAAAGGTGCACAAAAGCTAAGACTGTCTACGAAATACAAAGTAACGCTGTGGCTCTAGTCAGGAACGTTAAACTCCATTCTTACATCCTACAGAGAATACAACAAACGCAAAAAAGCAGACGGAAGTCAAAAACGAAGCGAACAAAAGGCGGAGAGGCTTGAAAGCACAAGGGCCAATTATCAAACGCTGCAAAAAGTGTACAGGAACAGGGGAATCTATGTTCCTAAAAGAGAACCCAAACACCAGCAGTCGTTCCTCTTTTTCAGCTTACCGCCAGAGCTTATGAAGCATTTTATTTTTCGAGCTTGAACCAATGCTTTGACCTTGCAAAAAGTAGCTTTCATGTCCATGCTATTCGACCTTTTTGCTCCTTTTTTGGACACTTGCTCAAAACGAACAAGTTACCGATTATTTCATCACTGCAACAATATACTGACGCCTGCCAGCTAGTCGTTCCCGCACTATTTTTGTTACAAGCGCTGCTTGAAGTGGACTTCAGGCACCACAACAAAAAAGTCACTCAGTTTCAAATTCCGAACGCATCTGCTGAGTGTGTTTTTTGCTGTTTTGACCAAGCCAGACGCTTTTTTTTTTCTTTTTTTTTTGAGCCTGCTTTGGTTTGCCTTACCTCAGCCTTTCCACTTTGTCGCGACGTTTCGTGTGCACCTTTTGTTGATACGTGTTATTTCTTCTTGCGTGCATAGACAGCGAAACACACATACCTTGCTGGATACCCTTGCGCTTATATAAATACTATGGATCAGAACGCCGTCTATCAACTCTTTGTCGCCACTTACCATCCCGACCCCAATGTGCATAAACAGGCTGAGTTGAACATTCGAGGTGTAAGCACAATGACAAGACTTTTTCTTTTTCATACTTGAATGAGCTGACCCGTCGTGTTAGGTGGAGACCCACAATGGCTTCCTTCCTATTGTGTTGCAGATTCTCGCTTCTGAAGAACTGGAATTAGGCGCTCGTCAAGCCGGTAAGTGTCCAGGAATGCTTGTCACGAAAAAAAAAGAGGAGAGAAAGAGAGAGGGAAAGAGAGATATAAAGCATGAGGATTAATGCAGCGTTATAAAGCGGCCATTTATTTTAAAAATCGGATCAATAAGGCGTGGGATGAGAAAAAAGATTTAAGCAATCCAATCAACGACGAAGACCGACGTACCGTGAAGCAGTCCATTCTTCAAGCCTTGGTCACCGCCCCCGCAGCCGTGCAGTAAGTCAATGTCTTGGAAATGAAAAGAAACATCTAGGAATGAGATGGTAGATCAGGCTGCATTAATACGCGTTTTTTTGTTGCGTAGGGTTCAACTCACGTCATCCCTAAACACGATTCTGGAACATGATTTCCCTGATCAGTGGGGAACATTTGTGCAAGAATTGGATCAGTTTTTGACCTCATCTGATATCCGACTGGCCTACGTAGGATTGCTGGCTTTGAGAGAAGTCGTGAAAGTGTATCAGTAAGTAAATGTTGTTCAACAGCAGTGGATAGATTGCAATATTCATCGGGCTACGTTTAGATGGACCTCCATGGAACGACGCGAACCTCTACAACAGATTGTTAAATTGACTTTTAACTCTGTTCAGGCCATCTGTTCGCGTTTGATCTCGTCAGATACTCAGGAAGCCGCGGAAATATTAAAGTTGGCGTTGAAGATTTACCATTCCAGTATCCAAGTGGATATGCCCAAATGTCTACAGGATCCATCGTCTCTCGTCCCTTGGGGCACTTTGTTCCTGCAACTAGTCGACAAACCAATTCCATGGGAAGCTTTGCCGGCTAATTTGCACGACCGCGATAAATTCCAGTGGTGGAAAACCAAAAAGTGGGCTTATCACTGCCTTAATCGTTTATTCAGCAAGTACGGTAATCCAGCTCTACTTCCTCCCAGTGCGAACAAGTATACCGGCTTTGCCAAGAACTTTGTCAACAACTTTGCCCCTAATATCTTGCGCACGTATTTGAGACAAGTGGACGCTTGGGTAAAGAAAGAAATCTGGATTCCCAGCAAATGTTTGGCTTTGATTGCCGCTTTTTTCACAGACAGGTACGCATGGCTCCACCAAAAACCCATGACAGTTAATGGCACTGATCGATGTGCACAATCACCCACATGATGACTCACTTTTTCGCCTATAGTATCAAGCATAAAATTACGTGGCAAATCCTGAAACCTCACGTGGAATCCTTGGTCGCTCATTTTATCTACCCTCAACTGTGCTTTTCTGCCGAAGATGAGGCGCTGTGGAACGAAGATCCCGTAGAATACGTTCACAAGAAAGGAGGTAAGCCCATTTTCATTTCATGATATTATTTTCCCCGTGACTCATCGCTGATTCATAGATCCTTTGGAAGATTTCCATTCACCTCAACTGAGTGCGAGAAACATGTTGATGGATCTTGTGCGCGATCGTAAAAAGTTCACTTTTATGGGAATTCTGGGTTTCATCAATAACGTGCTGAACAAGTATCACGAAACACCCGAAGAACAGAAAAATGGAAGAGACAAAGATGGTGCATTATGCATGATTGGCTGCCTGTCGTACCAGATTTTGCAGAAGAAATCTCCCGTAGCGGGCATGATGGAACCATTTTTTGTCACTCACGTTTTCCCCGAGTTCAAAAGTCGATTCAATTTCTTGCGAGCCAGAGTAAGTGGGATGATGAGTGTTGGGGAATCATGTACAAAAAAACTGATGGTGGATGCCTCTCGGCTTGGTTAGGCATGTGACATTTCTCGCCACTTTAGCGACCTGGATTTTTCGAGCGAACAGGTAAAAACATAAAAGCCCGCTGTGAACGGTAGATGCTAACCGTCATCCCATCCACAGAATCTTGCCACGTTGTACGAGAGTGTTCTTGGCTGCTTGCGTGATCCGGAATTACCTGTTAAAATCCAGGCCGCTTTAGCCCTGCAGCCCATGATTCGCCATGAAAGTGGTCAGTTGCTTTAATGCATTATCGGGATGGTGATGTTTTTACTGATAACTTTTTTTCTAATTTGATGCCATGTGGATAGTTCGAGAAGCAATGGTCCCTCATTTACCATTTATCATGCAGGAATTGTTAAACCTGACCAATGAAATTGACGTGGATACATTGGCGAATGTGATGGAAGAATTTGTCGAAGTGTTTGCCGAACAATTAACTCCGTTTGCGGTGCAACTGTGCACCCAGCTGCGTGATACCTTTTTACGAATCATGGAGGATCTTGCTCAAGCGAATCATCAACATTTTGACGAAGCGGGATCTTTCAACGGAGATGTGGATGAGCTAAGCGATAAAACCATGGCGGCGATGGGTGTATTGAAGACCATTGGTACCTTGATCCTCAGTTTGGAAAGCACACCGGAAGTACTGCAACAACTGGAAAACGCGCTTTTGCCGGTGATTACGTACACCTTGGAAAATTCCATCATTGATCTGTACGATGAAATATTTGAAATCATTGATTCATGCACCTTCTCTGCCAAGCGTGTCACGCCCACCATGTGGAGCGTGTTTCCATTAATTTATCGGGCGTTCAAAACATCTGGCATCGATTACATTGAAGAAATGCTTCCACCGCTGGATAACTATATCTCGTACGGTCGAGACATCTTTGTGGCGGATCAGAATATTCAAACTATGATGTTTGATATTATCGATACCGTTATGAAGAGTGATAATATGTCCGAACACGATCGTGTATGCGCTTGCAAATTGATGGAATCCATGTTACTGAACTGCCGCGGTCAAATTGATATGGTAAGAGGACAAGAAAATGAAAATGACAGCGAGGACAAACAAGGGAGCAAAATGATTAATGCGAGACTTTTGTACTAGCACGTTTCCTCATTCCTGAATTTGGCGTTCCAGTACATTTTTACCGGATCAATGAAGTCCGTTGAATTTAAAGTGCACTGCCTTGAAGTGGTAAGCGAAAATGACAGCGCCACCGAGATTGATGGAGAGTTAACTCATGTATACTGTGGGAATAGGTGATCAATTGCTTATACTATAATCCCGTGTTAACGTTACGATTGCTGGAAGAAAATAGCTGGACTCAAGGATTCTTTAATCTATGGTTCGGCACATTGGACCGATTCTCAAGGTAAAAACAAAAAAACCAAAGGATCCCACGGAGTTTTTTTTGTCAACTAGAACTGACAATGAGTTCTTGAAGAGTGCACGACAAAAAATTGGTGATTGTAGCCTTATGCAGTCTTTTGGAGGTACCTGCGGAACAGATGCCTGCGTCTTTGGTTTCCGGATGGTCTCATATCCTTACGAGCATTGTTCAAATGTTTCAAACCCTTCCGAAAGCGGTGGAAAGTAAGGGGCTTTGCAATAGATGTTCATTATTAGACTGGTACTGATTAGATTTGGCTCATAGATCGTGAAAATCTGGAGAGAATCTATGGCGATGGATTTGATGAAAGTGATTTAGCCGATGAGCTCAGCGGCTATGATGGCAGTAGTATAGGAGACGACGATACGGAGGACAATGGGGGTAAGTAGACATTGGCCAACAGTTTATATGGATGATAAGAGATAGAGCTGAGATATTCTTGGTTATGTAATGCAGACGAAGACGTTGAAGACGAGGACAATGAGTATCTGGAATATCTGGCACAGCAAGCCTCTAATCAATCAGGTGATTCTGATTTCGATGAAGAGGAAGAGATTGAAGAAGAGATCCTGTTTGAATCACCTTTGGATGAGATTAATCCGTATGTCCGATTTGAGGAAGTTTTCCGCGGTAAGTGCAACCATTAACAGAAACCCGACTTGGGAAAACGCTCACACATGATGAAAAATTTTACAGGATTGCAACAACACAGTCCAGAGTCTTATGCGGTGTTGACCAAAGACCTGAACAATGAACAACAAAATTGTATTATGCTGGTGTTGTCAGAAGCAGAGCAACAGCGCCAGCAATTGGCAACACTGTAAGCTAAGCATCACTGAGATTTTGCGTTGCTCTTAATTTTTTTTATTCGTATTGACCGTTGGTCACTTTATCATCCATCCATTTACTGGTGCTTTGTTTTTTCTTTTTCTTTTTCTTTTTGGTTATGACGGGTGTTGTTTCTGGCATTTCTCTTGAATCCAACCTGCTTATTAAAATGCTAAAATGAAAAAATAGGGGTTTTTGGCGAGGCCATATTGAGTTGTGTAACAAATGGACGGGCAAGGGGTTGAAAGGGGGCGGGGGGGGGTTGTCGCGCGCGAGAGAGAGATACGTTTTGAAAGTCACCTCTGCTATTTGTGTGTAGACCCTTTGCTAACTGAGAAGCGAATCGACGGTCACTCCAATTTTAGGTACAGCCATGTATTGACGTGGACCGTCATCAGTAGACGCCTTGTGAAAAACGAGTCTTTTCCACGGTCAATTGAAGGACCAAAGACTGTAGGAAGCAACAATAAACGAAGAAAAGCAACAAAGAAAGGGACTGCATTTTCAAGTTGATTAATAGGATGAGAGAGGAAAAGGAAAAAACGGACCTGTCGGAGGCATAAAAGGATTATTTTAAATTAGGAGGGCAAGTGTAACGTTGAAGCTTTTTTTTTTCTTCTTTCTTTACAAAGTTGTTTTTTTCCCATTTTTCAATCTCTTTCACTTTCGTTTCGGGGAAACGCACAGTGGCTTCCCCAATTGTCGCTTCCCAGTTGTTGCGCTTCTTCACCCCCTTTTTTTTATTTTCTTTTTCATTTGAAAAGCGCATTTAGCCCACCAAGACGGTTGTTGTTTCCGGTTGATGACAAGTGTTTCAATGCATTATTTATCAGATCAAGATATACGTTCATCATGGCTATTGAATTTCGAGCAAAAGGGGTTCCTCAACTTGCCGAATGCATTGATGGAACGTATCTGTCGTTTTCTTCCATCGCAAAGGGATAAGTGGGAAGCCTGTCGTATTCATCCGCATTGGGTCGCCGCCGCCACCACCGTGCTTTGGGAAGCACCCCAGTTTCCTCGCCCGCAATCGTTTCGTCTTTTCCTCGATATCATTCGCTCCAAAAGGCGCCTTGCGTTATCGGTTCGCCACCTTTCATTATGCATCCAGCCACTTTGTCCTAGTCCCACCGGTAACTGGCCCGCCTTGACCGACATTATCGACCGTCATGCCAAGATGCGTGAATCCACATTAGCGAGTCCCCAAATCATACTTACCTTGGCACGTCTGTGCGAAAAATTGGAACAACTGACTGTCTATGGCTGGCAGTTGGAACCCGTCTGCATGGAACAAATGGCCAGTTTCTTGCCTAACTTGCACGCGCTTCACATTGTCGGCTACAACGCGGAAGCGCCTCCGTTCACCTTGGGGTCCAAGCACTTGACTCGTCTCCAATCCTTGAGGCTCGACGGAATCAGTTCTCTGTCACTCCAATTCATGAATGCTTTATCCACCAGAGGCCAGCACTTGAAACATCTGCATCTGTCACTCGCAGGAATGCCGCTCGCAGCCTTTTCCGCTCTTTGCAACGGCGGCCTGCTAAATCTTACGTCGGTCACTCTCACTGAAGCATCCCATGTCCGTGATACTCATATTGAATGGCTTATTCGAGCCTCCCCGAATCTCTGCAAAATTGTACTCTGCGGCGTGCGCTACCTTACCATCCAAACTTTGTTTTCAGCCCTCGAATTATGCCCATTTCTGTCGGAGCTGGAAATCCATGCGATGGCCGATGCCGAGCCCTTGCCACTGACAAGCCATCGAATCGAAGAACAACGTACAGACGTGGCTTCCGAAACCCTGAACAAGCTCGTACTGGAGAATTTCTATGTCAGTGAAGATGATCTTCGTTACCTGGCTTTCCATTCCACCTCGCTGCGCACTTTGGCTCTCCACAACTGCGGTCAACCCAGTGATCGGTCACTAGGCTACCTTCTCCGAGCCACATCATCTCTATACACACTCCATCTCAGTCGTTGTCCGCGCATCACGAGTGCCATCCTGCATCTGATTTCCGAGACATTGATTTACAAGACCATACAAATGCTGCATATCGAGTCATGTGGCGCCATCAATCCTGAACATGTTGTCCATTTTTGCACAGTTGCAGCTCCGTACGGTTTCGCATCTTTGCATCTCGTGGGTTATGACGATATTCTTCAATCTTCACTGGCCGAATTTGCTTCCACCAAATCTCACTCGTCTTCCCTATCCCTTGCTCGTCTCGTTATGGATCGAAGGGGCATCCAAGCGCTCGCTTCCAATGTTCCCAATCAAGTTGCTGGGTTTCAGCCTCTACCTCCTGATCGTTTCCTCACCAGTGCTCAACTCATCCTACTCGCAAAACAACTCATGCTCACTGTCCCAGCCTTGATGAAAATACTAGACAGCATTCAGGTAATTTAATACAACATGTGGCAAACACCATCTATCAAGGATGCCAAGAACTAGAGCGACTTATGCCGGATTCAACTTTTGCAGGAAGCTGTAGATGACAGACCTCATGTTTCCTCATCAAATTCGCATCAAAACACGAGGCCGGTCAATCATTATCCGTACAGTTTCAGCACCTTTTCTTCCTCCTCGTCTTCCTTGGGTGAGTTGGTTATATTGGATTTATGATACAATGGATTAAAGTGCTGATTTTGTCGGTTTCTTTCTGTGGTACAATGCAGACTATGATCAGTCCAAAGCGCACCACTCAGCGGATAGTGCATCGGAAGACACAGCGTGCTCCAAGTCCAAACGTTCCACAACAGGCACCTCCAGGTATAATATTCAACAAAAATTGATGACGCCGAACCGTGATTTTAACCTAGTTAATCTTTTGTATATTTGGCAGTACCAACTCGATTCCAATCACGCCCAAAATCCATCATCAAGATCATCGAGGTGGTCATGTTCCTAATATGGACGACGAGGAGCAAATGTTGATGTTCACCAGTTCGCCGCAATCATTGACCCAAAAGTTTGGCCGCTCTGCATCCAGTGACTCGGAAACTATCGACAGCTGGGGAGAACCAGAGTCGTTTGTACCATGGGATAAAACGCTTGGGTACGTAGCCGATGTCCTCGAAGAACAGAGGAACACTGTTTTCTGGCAACAAGTAAACAGTACGCAATGGAAACAATTGCCAACCGTTGCCTCCACGGCCATGCCTGTGCAAGATGAACCGCCCAAAGTCATCCGGTTTTCACGCAAGCAACGTTCCAACCACACTTGGACCGATAAATCCACCACCGATCGTGGCGTCAGCTCAGAAAGCAGTTGCGACGTTGACACTGACGATCCTTCCAATAAAAACATCAAATCACGTGATGTTAATGAAGCCAAAGTGATGGAAGCATGGCATCAAGGTTGGTCTTTTTTTTTGCGTCACGAGAGAAAAGTGGAAGAACCTAACTAATTACTTTGGATTCTCTTTATTTGTTAATATCAGCCCATGTAGTGGATACCGTCAAAGAGCAGATGTCATATGCTTCAGCCTGGGCGAAGATCGCCACGGAACAACACTCATCCACCATTACTTCAAGACAGGCTAAACGGTTCTCTAGGCCCGTATTGCGCAAAAAGCGCTCCATGCAAAAACCCTCATTTCAACCGATGAATGTGAAAAATGCGGCGCAAACTCAATGGCAGCATTGGATTGCTGATTCAGCAGATGGCAAACAAAACGAAGTGGTTGCTGCGGCCCTGGACTCCACCGACAACGAATCCCAGACCGAACTTCTCATCGATACCAGGGAAATCATATTACAAAAGGCCGCACCATTGGATATCACCTTCAATTCTGAGATTTTGGAGGCTCTCAACTCATTTGCTTCAATTGGCAGCTTTGAAGCTGATAAATTGGACCCCGAAACTACCATTTACAATGATGCCGATGATGAAGACGACGGCCAACAACAAAGAAAAAGAAACACCCTCCAAGTCCCTAAGGACGAGTGTGAGCACTTGTCACCTGCCACCCCTCAACCCGACAATATTCCCGCCATAGATTACGAGCAAGTCCAAAACGTACAAAACGTACAAAAAGAAAATCACACAATGGCTATACAAGAATACCAAATCGCATCCAATATTCCCGAAAAGGAGGCTTCCGCATCCAACTCTGCTTCCCCTGTCGGCGAGAACAACATTTGCAAATCTCAATCACCGGCACCGTCCAAGGACGATACCGTTCTTCCTATACCCAAGAAAAACGACATCATTGAAGACCATTTGGGCAACAGCGATACCCGTTCCGAAAAATCAAGCTCATCTACTGTTGACCCAAGTAGCGACACACGATCAGAAAAATCAAGCGCATCCACTGCTGAACCCAGCAGCGAAGAAAAATCTGAAACTTCAAAATCCAAAAAAATCGTTACCCTCAAGATTAATACCCCCGACCATGGTTTGCAGAATCTCACTCTTTACGAGGTACAGTCATCTTGATGAGAAAAAAAGGAAGTGATATAAAGCTCGTATAAGTACTGACTGCATTTGTCCTTAGGATTCACCTCCGAGTGAAAATGTTGAAAAGTTTTGCACCAAGTTCGACTTGCAGGACGCTTACGATACCATTTTGGCCCAGGCCACCGAATTATACACAAAGCACAGCACTGCTCGCATTCTCAAAATGTCAAAAAAGAAAAAGAAGTCCAAGACCGCCAAAAAGGCATTCTAAAAACAAAAATCATTGATTAAACGACCCTCTGGTCCCTTCCCTTGCCAAAAAGAAATCCATTTCCTGCGACCATCGCGAATCTCTCTATTGCCCCCCCCGCAAACCAAAATGATTACCATATGCTATTTGGATAAAACATCCATCTCTGCTTTAGAAGCACGTTACATACTAATCTCTTGCTGCTCTCTGTTTCGCTAAAAAAAAAAAAAAGGAAAACCGATAAAAAAAATAAAAAATAAAACTGAAAAGTGCAGAACAGGAACCTTTTTAGATGAAAAGAAAAAAAAGACGTATTTTATAGCATTCAAGAGCTTTAGTGTTCAATTTGTGGAAGGTCGCCATAACCGTTAATGTCAAGCGAGGAAAACGTTCAGCCAAATATTCATACTCGAATTCTAAGCTCATTTTATCTATCACTTTTTTTTTGTTCTTTCTTTCTTAGATAGCCTTCATATGATTCGAAGAGCACGGTACTTTATATGGCGATCTGTTATACAATTGTGCAGTGTATATGTTTGGGCTACTCTACATCTAGCAAAGTTGAATGCCTTGTAATATGTATTGCATATTTAACACGTAAATTCCCAAGCCGAGCTCCTTTGTTTATGATTCATTAGCATGGGAGGATTCTATTAACAAGCGTAGATCACGGACGAGAGCCAGTATCCTGGGTGACTTGATCACTGTCTTTTTCTTGTCTTCCAGTAAGGCGTTGATATCCAGTGCTGATAAAAGACTTCCCAGAGTGGATCGATCGGTAGGAGCCAAAAACACAAATTTGGCAATGGTAGCCAGGAATCGATGCACTACCAAAGTAGCATGACATGTTAAAATGTAAGAGCAAGTGAATTTTCAAATGATAGTTACCAATATCCTCATCCGTTTCTTTGGTCAATGCGTCCATGACGGCGGTGATAATTTCTATCTGCCAGTCATCGTCTTCCTGCGCGGCTAGGCCTACCAGATCGCCTTCATTTTTCTCGCGGTTCAATCGATCCGTTGCGATCACCGTCGAGCAGTTGAATGCTAGCGAACCCGCCACTACACGCAGTTGCGTGTCGGGTGACAGTAATGCACTGATCAAAAGTTGGGTGAGTTCGCCTCGGTGAGAAGAAGGAAGATGAGATGTGAATTGACTCGTGACAAGTTCAGTGTGGGCGAAGAGATTGCAAGCCTGTTAAAAAATGGCGTAAAAGGAATTAGAACGAGAACTCACGCATACAGTATCCCCAGGTTCATCCTCACTTACCAATCTCAGAATCATCAAATGAGATGCTTTGGCGATATTATCCCCTTGCGCATACCCGCTGCGGAGAATCTGCACCACTTGAGAACCTATATGCATACCATGTTTAGTCCTTGATCAAACAAAATCCATCTCTGCTATCCAACGTACAATCTTTGCTGTAATAATCCATCACTCGCTTTTTGACGATCAGCGAACGGAATAAATCGAGCAACGGGAACTGTTGATCAAGAGGTAATTTCTCCAGTAGGTGGCCTTTTTTCATTGTCATAAATCAAAAAGGTCAGTTCTCGTTCATACGCGGGATAGCTAATGTCCATTTACCAGCAAAGTCGTGCCATGCCTTGATATCGAGAGTTTCAAGGGCCTTATCATTCATTAATGCTTGCTTGGCTTTGTTCAAAACCGCTTGTTGGTCACCCGTCATTTCAATGGCATGATCATCGATAAACGTAGCTAGTTTACTGCAGATCACATCCAGTTTTCCCGGGTTAGCGTACAAGACAGGATCACTAGGTATGTCCAAAACTCCGCGAAGATGTAATTTCCGGTGAGGATGAGCTGTAATCCCATAATGAGTAAGAAACAACAATAAGCCAACCGAATTGACTATCATCGACTCTCTTCAGAATCAACTTACGTGGATATGCGGTAAACAGTAATAGATCCACAGAACTTTTCAATTCTGCGTAATTGGCACCTCGGAATTCAGTGATCTAAATACATAGTAAGTAATTAAGAAGTAAAAACCATAACCGCCAATGTAATGGGCCAATGTTACCTTTTGACCGTTGTGAAATAGCATAAAGGTCGGTGTAGCGCGAATGCCATACTTGGATGCGGCGTCGAAAGCGACATTGGTATCGACAATGACGCCCAAAATTTTGATACGATGACTGTCTTGGTTCTTCTCTTGTAGTAACTGTTCAAAATTGGGTTTGATCATGCGGCAAGGTGGACATCCGGCGGAAGTGAAAAACACCACCACGGCTCGATAGGTGCGTAGCCATTCTTCCAGCATCGTCAGATTGGTGGCGGTCTGTACCGAGTTGGATTGGCCAGCGGCGCCCGACATGGCCGCAGACGACACGCCTTGTAACATGGATTGCATTTCTGCAGAGACTGGCGGTGCCTGTGGCACGGTAGATGGAGCACCTACGGTCGATGCAGCCGAAGCCGCCACCCTGGACTGGCCAAACATATTCTCGATCATTGGCAGTAAAGATCGCCCAAAAGGTCTAAGCACACAGAATCAGCTCCTCCGCCCAATTATGTTCCCCATTCCCGAAAACATACGTGCTCATGAATTCGGCTGGCAAGTCAGTGATGTGACCAGGTATCTTTTTGCCCGTTAAGAACTGACACAGATCGTTTGAGAAGGTGTTGCAGTTGAAATCAAGCAAATGGTATTTCTCAGCACTGTCCGTTGTGAGTTTACTACACAAAATACTGCGCTTCCTCAAACCACTTACGTGTACACACTTCGCTGACTGTCAATATATTCTACCACGACTTCCAGTGGCAGATACGTTTCGCCAATGTCAATCACTTCTAAGGGTGCTCCGTGGTGACTTGTTCCTTTTTGCACCAGACATTAGTGGCGATGAATCGGTGCGCAGCAAAAAGATCGATTTACCTGGAGAGCATGCAAGGATCCCTTGACCGTAAAAGAACTCTTGTCCATAGACAACCACCGAGGTATGCCAAATGCCATCTAGCATATTGATAAGCTTCCCTCCACATGGTAAAACGATGGGCTGTCACTGTACCTATCTGCTTGCCGGTGAGGCCCAGCGACATTTGCTTCGCCATGCCTCGGGACAGATCGTATAAATACACTTTGACTGATTCACCGGACATAACGATGTTGATGTTGATGAAGGTAAGATCAAAAATGAAAGTTGGAATACGTAATCGTTTTATTGGTCCCTTAAACCCGATCCGACGCATGACGTGGCTTTCCCACTCTAGAAAATTCGATCTGCCTCACACACACCAAGCTTTTTCACATGACACATCCATTTTTCGCCACGAAACGAGCTCATAAACGAAAACAATACGAAGAGGAAAAGAGAATGCTTTGATTTTCTTCAATTTTTGAACCAAAAAAAATCTATCGAAGCAACAAATAAAACACACTAGGAATGAACTTAAGCGCGGGCAGCGATACGGTTCTTGCGAGCCAACTGACGAGCGTTTAAGCGGACGACCTTCTTGTCAGTAGCACGGGGAACAACTTCATCCTTCTCGTTGAGAATGACTTCAATGTGGCAAGGAGAGGTCATGAAGGGGTTGATTCTACCGTGGGCGCGGTAAGTTCTGCGACGGTGCTTGGGAGCTTGGTTGACGACGATGCTGGAGATGTAGAGTTCCTCGACGTTCAAACCCTTGGCTTCAGCGTTGGATTCGGCATTCTTCAACAAGTCAAGAACGAACTTGACGGACTTGACGGGCCAGCGACCTTGGGTGGTACCGAATTCCTTGGCCTGAGCAGTACGGCCAACACCACCGTTGAAGCGACGGAAAGGAATGCACTGCTTGTGTTCCTTGACATTGTTCAAGTAGCTGTAAGCCTTGCTCAACTTCAAGCCCTTGATGGCAGCAGCGACTTCGTGAGTGTTCTTGAACTAAATAAATTCCTGCATTAGCTTTGTCCTTCACCCATTACCCGATTTTCAACCCAATTGAATCTATGTCTATGAGCGCTTACGTGAACACGGAGGTAAGAACCTCGAGACTTGGAAGCTATGGTGTAAAAAATATCAAGATAATTAGAATCATGGCTTTATCGGTGGCTACTGCGAGATGGAAGTGCAACGAAAAAAGAGAAAAAGGAAACGTACCCTTGGAAGCATTGGCTGGGGTGGCGGCGTATCTGACCATTGTTGCTCGATAGTCTGTTGAATGTAAGATCGATCGAGATCAATGTGGAATGTGAAAGGGCCGATCAATGAAAAAAGACGTTGAAATGCACGTTCGAATGGTCGAAATGGTCGAATATGAAGGGCGATTGGAAAATGAATAAGAAGAAAATGACAAAAAAAAGATTAGTATCCATCGCACAAAGGGATGCATCCATAATAAATCCCAAGATTGTCCATGGATGCAAGAGTGTAATGAGACATATGGGACTCTATCATACCTTGTGTCGGAAGAGAAGGATTGATGGATTGGCCTTTCCAGCTTCTAAAGTGCCTGACTGGGGGCTCGGCTTTGCGGCCATCCATCCAGCCTGCCTGAGCATGATTTCTTGAGTACTCTCGGACAAATCCGGATATTCCGACCCGGAAATTTATCATCCCAAAAGTCAGTGTCTGAGTTTTTTCCCGATTGGGACGGAAACCTTGCATTTGTACTGTGCCCCCCAAAGGGAAGATCATGCACACTGGGCATCGGTACTTTTTGGCGGACATCACAAAAAATTGGCTCAGCAACTTGGCCTCAATCCTGTCTTTTCTGTATAATTCCCTCTTTTCTATCCAACGTAAAAGCGTAGTTGGTCAACACAAAGTACCAGTGACAAGGCAAAAGCTAATGAGATTTTTATCATCATCCTCTCACTGAATTCATGCAACCAATATAAGTGGGTAAAAAGTTGACTCCCAACTACTGTTTACTTTTTTCGCATTTGTTGCTATTCCCCCACGTGGCCCCATTGTACAAGGAATCGATTAAAAATGGTGTACTTGAAACCGGCCATGATTGGGATCAACTGCTGTGCGAAAACGGGGCCGTTCAATTGGGTGATCACTGTTCGTTGGAAAAAGGATAAGCGGAGTGATGGGCCCGATTCGATCCCAGGCCTCTCTTCGGTTCTTTTTTTTCGGTTTTGGAACGATAAAAAAAAAAGAGATTTTCTGCAAGGTTTCTGATTTAAGCCTTGTTCTTCAACTATTTTATTTAATCTTTTCCCCGCTATCGACGACTTTCGTTATCTTTCTCCAGTTGATCGTCTTTTTTGTTTTCTTCAATCGAAAGCTTGACTCCTTGTCTCGATTCAATTGCTTAATATATATCATGGGCTGGCTCGATAAGTTGAATGACCGAGTGGCTCACTCAGTGATCGGCAAATATTTCCAGCTCGACAACTCGGGTGCAAGGCGAGAACGAAAAGGAACTCGATTTACAAAAGAAATCCGCGCTGGTTGCACGATTTTCTTTGCCATGGTATACTCACAGTTGGCTCAATTGTTAAAAAGGTTGAGATCTCAACGAACGCCTTTTAATTCTTTTTTTGTTTTTCAGGCCTACATTATCTCGGTTAATTCTTCAATTATCAGCGAAAGTGGCGGTACATGCGTGTGTAACGGGACTCCCGAAGATCCTACGTGTGACAAAGACGAAGATTATATGCAGTGCATCTATCAATTGAAGCTCGATATGATCGTGGCTACGTCCATTATTGCCATGATCGCCAGCGTGCTGATTGGCACGTTCGCCAATCTACCGCTGGGGATGGCACCGGGGTAAGAAATTCGAAAAAGAGAAAGAAAATTTTCGCCTCTAAGACACATCGATAACACTGAGCTGATCTGGATCTGATTTTGTTCTGTAGAATGGGGTTGAACGCTTATTTCACTTACACCGTGGTTGGATACCACGGATCAGGCAAAGTAAGCTATCAGACCGCCGTGGCGGCTGTCTTTCTCGAAGGGTGTATCTTTTTGCTCTTGTCTATTTTCGGTATCCGTCAATGGTTGGCGCGCGTTATTCCGATGAGTATCAAGGTAGCCATGGGCTGCGGTATCGGATTGTACCTCTGTTTCATCGGTCTTCAATCCTCGGCCGGTATCGGTCTTGTGACATTAGACTACTCCACCTTGGTAACCCTCGGTAAGCATGGCCTACTAACCGTTTTATGGGTGTTTCCCGTCCACATCAGTTAAAATTCTGATCTCATCGAATTTTCTGTAACAGGTGGTTGTCCTCCGGAAGCACTTGATGAACATGGTGTGTGTCAGTGGGGACATATGGAATCGCCTACCATGTATATGGGGCTTCTTGGACTCGTCGTCATGGCGCTACTTGTGATGTACCGTGTGCGAGGCGCCATTCTCATCGCCATTGTCGGCATTGCTATCACCTCGTGGCCACGAGGTAACAACAAAGTCACCTATTTTCCTTACACACCGCATGGCGATGCCATGTTTGACTATTTTAAAACGGTCGTCAATGTTCACTCCATTGATCGGTAAGCGTAGAATTGAGTTTTCCGCGCGTAAGTAAGAAACTCATCTCACCCCGTCTTTTTATTTTTTGCCAGTGTTGTGGGCAAATTCGATTTCACATTTGACAACAAGGATATATGGATTGCGCTGGTGACACTTTTGGTATGTTAATTTAATTTCAATAGCATGAAATTTGCTATGCTTCATTGAATGGGGTTTTGCTGATCCGATATGATATTATAGTACGTGGATATCTTGGACACGACAGGCACAATGTATTCGATGGCTAGATATGGTGGATTTACCGACAAAGCGGGCGATTTTGAACATTCGACCTATGCTTTTATGTGCGATGCTGTAAGCGTGATTATCGGTTCATGCTTTGGCAGTTCACCTTGTACTGCGTTTGTGGAATCGGGGGCCGGTATTGCCGAAGGTGGTCGAACGGGCATTACTGCGATTACCGTTGCATTTGGTTTCTTCATTTCCATTTTCTTTTCGCCGATTTTTGCAAGTTTCCCTCCCTGGTCTACGGGCCCGGCCCTGATCGTCGTCGGTTCCATGATGACTTCCAGTATCCGAAATATCAATTGGGACTATCCTGGTGATGCCGTCCCTGCTTTCATTACGCTGGCCGTCATGCCGTTCACTTACTCGATCGCCTATGGTATCATTGGTGGCATTATCAGTTACATTGTCATTAACGGGGTGGTGTATATCGTCGATAAAGCGTCGCGTGGACGGATCAAGCCGGACTACTCCACGCGGGAAGATTGGTGGAGCACCGCCATGAGCCGACCTTTCACCCCTGTCTGGTTACGGTTTGTTGTGGCCCGAGCTCGTGGTCGTAACTTTGATTGGCATCAGGATGACATGGAGTTTGAAGACGTTCCCACTTCCTCCGCTCATGTTCCCGATGAGTTGCATAAGCTGGGCGACCAGGATGATGCGAATGAACTCACCGTTATCACCGATGCAGGATCCACCGAGAAACAAGATCCTTCCCATTAATCTTATTTATCTGATCAAACACTTTACATTTGTTACCAATTTTCATTCTTGTTTTATTAAAATCATTTAATACCAATGCAAAAGCTTTTCTGCAGCGTATTTTCCCTCTTTTGGTTGCAAGGGAGTGGAGTGGTGGGTGGGCCCTTGAAGATAGGTGAAGCGGCGGTTTAGGCAAGAAACAGCACATACAGATGTGCGTCTTTATACTGTTGAGTGCCATGGATACTAACTTTTACTGATTTGGTTTTATGGCTTGATTTTATTACTTGATCACCGCTTGACTTGGGTGATCAAGACCTGTCTTTTTTTTTTTTGGGACATTCATGTCCTAGGATACACCAAGGTTACTTATTGTATGTCAATAATTATCCACGCATTCCAAAGAAGCGGTGTCGTGCGTTCTTCAGATCCAGTGCATGCATTCGTAAAATAAACGTACCGTATCCTCTCATCAGTACACGTAATCCACGCCTCAGCAAACGAGTTAAGCAAAAAATTGTCAACACTCGATTAGGAAAAACCTTGGGCCGTATAATCGATGTATTGATACCTTGGCCAAGGTGAGTTCACAGATCCTTCCGACGGTGAACGAAGTTGCAGTGCATCGAAGGAAACGAAGGCCGCCGGTCCTTACAAAGCAGCCGGCAAATTGGACGGCGTCCGACGGCATCCAAATTTCCCCACTTCAACATTGCCCGCTTTGCTGTGCCATTTTTGTGGACGGCGTCCAAATCACTCTCTTTTTTTGTTTGTTAAATCAAAGCCAAAAATGATTTGCGGCTCTTCAGACGCCTAGGAGTCCGTTCATTGGGTTCGTTCAACAGATACAGATTCAGTAAATTGGTAGATGAACTAACCGTCACATGTTGTCCATCCATGTTTGGTGACCATTATGCAGTAAACTGTAATGAAAGCCAGCGAAGCACGGTTTATTATGATACAACTTTTGGAAGAACATATAACATAGGAAGTTATGGGAATATTGTTTCGGTGTACATATTTACATCATAAATAAGAAAAGAGGTTGTTTTTTGTACATACCATATTTGGGGAAGCGCTTGTATGCAACATTGAGAAAATATACAGGAGATTAACGCCAGGATGCTATGAGATACTATGCTATGCTATACAATGCTACTGATGGGATCCTGAAGCCATGAGATTTGGTAGGACGCATACCATACCTTTCACTGCCGCATATGATCCCCGTCACGGGAGACCCTCATCTACGGTATGCACGCTGGAGGACTCACCTGCAGACCTCACTTACTGCCCTTTCCACACCATGCCCTGTATGGCGCACAATACGATGCTGTTGCAGACGCTAATTAGCGTCGTATCCATAGTCTATGTGACGCGATGTACCCTCGCCGGCGGAACCTCGGCAAAAGCCGAGGTGCTCTACATATGAAAGGACTCTTTCTAGTTAGATAATCTGCTGTAAGAGGTTGTATTGGTGCTTCAATGGACTTACCGGAAGTACATATCAAAGGCGGACTTCAACCGCGTCAGACTCGGAGCAAACATGCATATATTGGATCATGCTTGTACGTTGGACTGGGGAGCAGGCTCGGTGAGTTCATACAGAGGAACCCGCGTCCGTATCGGTCTCCTAACAGGGATCGCGACAGCTACTGAGCCTAGCATACGTCCTACCCTTTTTTTCGGCCCCTTTCACTTAGGATTCCATCAGTGAAAAGAAAGAATAAAGGGTGGGGGAAGCATCCTGGCGTGCTTCGCTGGCTGGCAGGAACGGGGACGGGGCGGTACAGTAGGTACAGCCGATAGGAGACATTTCGTCATCCTATCGGCTTTTCGATCGTTTTGTAGACCTACAATATATGAAATCAAACAAAATTAGCACCCTGATACTATTTCGGAGCAGCTTCTGTTTCTTGCCTTTTGATACTTTAGGTCGTACTGTATATGCGTCGTTGACTCTCCGGCAGTCCCTCCATTGCATCGGAGTCGTTCGTCGTGTCCGAATCCACGTATAAGCGCACCAGGCTTGAGAGGCATGCTGCCTGGTGTTCTACAGAAACGATATCATAGACCAGCAGGCCCGTGTTTTGATCATTGCAAAGCGCTTACGATCGTTGCAGCAACAATTTGTGTGGACGCCGATCATCATTTTTTTTGGCGTTTGGCTACAGGATAAAAATTAGTTAAAATATGGCTCTTCGGTCTGCTTTGTGAACCCAGTAAATTACCTGTGCGGGTGGTACTGTAAGGCATCCTGGATGGACGTCTAACGGTGGACGTCCATGGGGTCGTCGATGTATTCTTCTTCAAAGAAGCGTTGTTGCTGCTGTTCGTCGTACGTTGCCTGCTCGCCAAAGAAAGCACCAGCAGGAACGGGAGCAGACACGGCAGGGAAAGACAAGGACACAGGGAAAGAGGTGGGCGCAAAGGCAGCCACAGGAGAAGAAGGAGCGAAGGTAGGAGCAGACACAGAGAAAGAGGTGGGCACAGAGGCAGCGATAGGAGCGGGCGCGACAACAGGCGAACAGACGGGGGAAGAAGCGGCATGAAGTCCAGTACACTTGCGGTTTTCCATCTTAGCGATGGAGTCGCGCTTCAGTTTTGTCAACACCTGATCGACGGTTTGGAAAGACTTGGGCGCGGCTTCTACGATCAGACAGCCGGCCTGGTTATCGGTGCTACACAATTATACGTCAGTAAAATTCATCAAAGCAAGCACTGGTTCAACACGTACTGAGAGAGCTTGATGAGTGATTTTTTCTGGTTAATGGTTGCGAGGTGGATTTTAGAGACGTTAAGTCGAGGCATGTTGAAAGCGGTAGAGAGCAGTAGAGAAGAACAGTAATAATAGTAAATAAAAAAAAACAATAGGGAGTCAAAAGACAAGGAAAAAGGGCATATCAGCCGGAGTGCGCGTTTATATCAACAAAATACGAAATGCGTCATCCCCCCAAATTTCAAAGGACACGACATACGCCTTGAATTACCTGTCAGGAAAACTGTAAACTAAACAATTGCCATGATATGAGCATGCAGTCTAATGTCGCTTTCATTCATATTGCAAGATCTATTTCTGCCGTGATACGGTCGTGTCACCCCGAATAAGAACCCAGTGGTTTGGACCTTTTTTTCCAGGCACATGAGTTTTGAGCCTTAGGAAAGCTGTTTACTACGACTGGTCTTAATATGCCGTAAAATAGGTACATGTACTTTGATGACCAAAAGATATCACCTGAGCCATTCCTTGAAACCATGCACTGGACCTGTTCCATGGTTTTATCACCTAGGTCGCACAGTGAAACAATGAGGAAGATCGGAAACTCGTGTAATGTTGGATTAATATTGAGTTTCTATCGTAATGCGCGAAACAACTTGTGAGTTTTTGGTACATCCTATTGCTGCATTGATCAAGTCTTCATGTTCTGAATTCGCACGCTGCTTCCAGTGTATGTGAAACTGCTCCTTGTCTGATTCTGTGCATGAAGTACAACCCTCCGAAACCGTCTCCGTCTGAAATCGAAGGAAAAAGACCTATTTGAACGCCAATTTCTCGTCCATCGAAGGCGACCAGAAACATATCTTCATTATCGGAGAGGTTTATACGTATAGACAGGATATTTGTTGGTGGACTTTGCATGTAGCATAGATACATTGTCGACCAATCACCGACGTGTGAGGCATACTATGTATGAAAAGATCATTGCGGAAGCCACCGCATGAACTCTGCAATTTGTTTTTTATTTCTATTTCAGGTTATCGTACTATACCATGTTCTACAATATGTGGCCGATGGGTAATTAGAAGTACACATCGTCTGCCGTTAGTTACAAATGGTGGGTTATGTTCATTATCGACGCATCGAGCGGAGAAAAGGAATTCAGAGTCATGTGCAGAAGGTTCCGCCGCCCTACAAATCAACCAGCAACAAAAAAAAAATATCGCACAGACAAAATCCTAACCTCCATATGCTAATTGCCGCATTGACGCCCTGCATTTGGTTTTTGGTAGCGCCTCGGCTGCATGGACTAGTGTGAAGCTGTCAGGGAAGTCTTTTTGAAGGAGTGCACACGGTCAGTCAGTTGGAGTGGTGTTGGCCCCGCTCTGTTTCGTTGTGGTTGCAACATGCCACATTGAGAACAATGTGCTGGTTACGCATTGTGATGAATAAACGCCTATACTGTACTCGTAGAGTTATTGGACAAGGCTCAAGCCAAACAAAACTGATAGCAAGAAAGCAGGGGAGTATTTTTGTCGAAGCAGCCCCGTTCATGCTTCGCGTCAACCAATGACGATCCATGACATCACGTGGATCAATTTCCGATGATACAAGTATTTTCACCGCAGCAACCGATGGATGATTTTTCCACAAAGGACTTTCGGTTTTCAGCGGCCAACAACATTTAACTGAAGCCATGGATTCTGGTGGTGGATTTTTAATAGATGACGAAGGAGAAAAGCAAACGGTACAGCCTGATACTGAAGCGATCCGTTTGCAACGCGAAAGAGATCGACGGGAACAGAGGGAAATTGAGTGGCTTACCGACGTGTCCATCAATATCACTCGAAAATTCCGTAAAAGGTAGTGCGTGGGTCTTTTATATCAAGCTTTGAAAGTAATGCCTGCTCATTTTCGGCTCGATCGTTAGGTTGGAGCCATCCGGTTACCAAACACTTGCTGAGCTTTGGCACGATTTGAAACCGGCCATTAACCATTCCCTGTCATTATCCATGGCCCAAGCGGTGCAACGTTTACTGGCATTCACGGGCGATTTTCACGATTACTGCGAAGCCTATCGAGACAACACGGACAGAGAAGAGTATCAGGAATTTTTTGGCAAAATGGATGGAGCGTGGATCATCATGTTCCAGCGCGAAGGAATGAGCAACACCGATAAAGTGAGAATCCTCAACGTTTTGAAAGATGGACGTGAACGAGCCGAGGAAGTCCTGCACCTCACTGGTGTCTACGACGGTGCATTACAAGCCGCATTTGCCGACGATGACGAACACGGCATGTAAAATACCCTGAGGATTAAAACCCGCGCTTCTTATTCATGAATAAAAAATGTCGATGTGGGTTGGTTTTTTTTGGATCCTTTTCTTATGAACAAGTTTTGCGACATGAAATCGACTGAACTGTCCCCGGTAAGGACGATTCGAACGAGAATTATCGATGAAAGAAGAGGGAAAGGTATACAATTCGGAAATGATGGCTCGCTGCGTTTTCCCGCATTTAATTTTAAGCGTATTTTTGGCCGCGTTATTTTCGGAAAGGAGGCACAGAACAACTGCCTGAAACAGTGAACCATTTGGTGTCACGCGCCCAAACATATTTTGCTTACACAGTTTGTTGATACTGGCGACACAAGCAAAGGCGGCAAGTGAAATGCGCACTTTTTCTTGGATCATTTCCTTTCACAGCTGCATCGTTTCCAACGAGGTGATTGAGAAGCGGAAAAACGTGTCGGTATCGGAATATCAAAAGTGAAAAGAAAGTGGATGGCAGAGTCATGATGGGCATGGGCGGCGATCCTCCATCATTTGGGGAGTAGATAAAAGAAATGGGATCGACAGGCGGTGAATCAATCTATTTTCAAGATGAATGGTCCGCCTGCAACGGAAACGATCCAATGAGGCATTGGTTTCCTTTTCTAGATGCAGGACGAACTCGAATTAGCACCAGAACGGGAAATAGAGTAGCTGTCATGACCGCCACTTCAGGGTACTTTGCGGATGCGAAAAGGCAGTTTATCTATTCAGGTGTCTCACCATAAAACAGCATTCTTTTTTTCTTGTAACACATGAGACCAAGTGCCACGGCTATTTAAATCTGGCTTTTTCATCGCGTTTTTAAAGTACACAAACATCCATTCTTTTGTCTTTCCTGTTCGTTTCGATTTAACTTCCACTATCACCAATGAAAATTTCAGTGGGAGCTTTGGCAACTTTGTTGCTTGGATCTTTGGCCACGTTTGCCACCGCAGATGAATACGCAGATGCTACCAAAAAGTGGTGCCAAGGTAACTTTATATAAACACAATGCAACTATCTCCTTCTAACAAACAATCTTGGTCTTGGGCAGGGTTGGCGGTCACAACACCTACATCTAGTACCGTCATTGTTGCAGGCAAGAATGCCAAGATCACTGTCAGTATGTATCGATTTCCATAGTCAATCGTTTTGCTCATTTTTATGGGGAATCTGATGATGTTTCTATAATAACGTAGCCAGAGTACCTGATGCGCATCCCAAATCTGTCACGGGTCTTGATGTAGGTTGGCTTTGGGGTTGAGCTGATTGATAAAATGGATAAGGATTGACATGTTTCTCATTTGTTTTATCAGCTTTATGCGGTCGACAAAAAAGGCAATGCCAGATACGTGCAGAACGTGTGGGCCGGTAATTATACATTGAACACCAAAGCTTCGATCACCGACCAGATTCCTAAAAATGTCAAGGCTGGTTTGTACTACTATCGGTAAGTATTCTTGTCAATGGGCTATGGCTTAAAAACCAGAACAAGTAAATGACGAGCTTTCCATGGCAGCGTTTGGATCAGCAATCAGATCAATGGCATGCATGGTCCCGACTGCATCAAAACATCGCACACATTCAAAGTAACCTCAGCCGCTCGTCAACATGTCGACGGCACTATCTCGTACGCTGAATCGCTGGATGACGAAGATATTTACAATCCCGAACATTTCAAAGGATGCTTTGACCTGACCATTGACAATCCTCCGGCCGGGGCTTCATACAAACAAGGCGATCATATCCGTGTGACGGGCCATCGCGAAACGCCTTCCGAGACGGAAGCATTGATGAAAGTGAATATGTACAAGGTGGTTGGAAACAATGCTCCCGAGTTCGTTTATACTGCTTGGGAAGGCAATGAGCACTTTATCGATTCCATCAGTCTGAAGGACCACTTGATGTTGTCCGAGGGCCAGCATTCCCCCGATGCATCATACTTTTACACGTACGTCTCGCTCGATTGACGCTGTGTTCCACTTGGGTTTCTCACATCTAATTGCCCTTTTTTTTCCCATCTCTGTAGATTCGAGGTCAGTTCGGATAAGGCTGAGAACGGTGATACATGCTCTTTCCAATCCAATCAGTTCAAGATTTCTCAGTAAACAAGCAGTAAAATAACTACAATTAAGATCTTGTCTGTTATTTTATTGCATTTTTGTCATTTTGTATTGGATTTTCAGAAGCATGTTCTAAGCATGCTTAGGAGATGTTTGTCGTGAGCATTGTAACAGAGTTGAGCCACCCCAATATTCGTCGAGGACAATGGCGTCAGAGTGATGATTCCAAAACGAAGCATGATTTTTCTTTGCAGCTTTTTTTCGATTTTTACAAACATGTCTTTTTCGGCTCCGCATTCGTTGAAGTTGCATAACGTCATTTCTTCATAATGCAGAAACCCGCCTAGAAAAATTATTCCGTCTGCAAACAAATTTCTTTTTTTATTTTTGCTCTTCTCCAGTTTTCTTTCACTAATCTGCAAAACCCCCTCTTCCCCTCTCTGCTTTATTTTTTCTTATTTGCATTACTAAAACTTGCACTATCATAATCACCATGGATAACAGAAAGAAAATCTTTGCTGCCACCGAAGGCGAACTTCAGGATATGCAAAGGTTGGCGAATTATTAATTGTCATTGCGCGTACCGAGATTGACTGACGTGTGTGTAACCATTGGTCTCATATAGAAAGGAGGTCACGATCGGAGAGAACAGCGTCCTTCTTGCTAAACTCGATGGAAAGTACTATGCCACTTCCAATAAGTGCACTCATTACGGCGCCAAATTGACGGAAGGCACCTTTTCTTCCGATGGTCGTATCATGTGGTACGTTTCATTTTTATTGCGAGCTATTTTATCGCTGCGTTTCGTTTCAACCTCGCTCACATTTAACCATTCAGTAAATGGCACGGTGCCTGTTTCAACGTCAAAACGGGCGATATTGGTGAGTATTTTGTTGAAAAAATGAGGAATGTGCGAAACCAAAATATGTGAACTCAACCGCAAATAGAGGATGCACCTGCTTTGGATAACTTGGTCAAGTTTGAGGTGTCTGTAGAAGATGGCAACGTGTACGTGCACGTGAACGAGAATGTTCTCGAACAAGCACGTCAACGACCTCGTTGTGTGAAACGCGATCCTACCGAGTCAGAAACCGTTGTCATCATTGGTGGAGGTGCTAGTGGTGCCGCGGCGGCTCAGAAACTTCGTGAAGAAGGCTTCAAGGGACGCATTCGCATTGTGTCCCGTGAAGATTACTATACTATTGACAGGTACTCAAAATGAAAAACAGGCTTTTTACGTGGGAAAATGGATGGCAATCTTAATCTGAATTGCAGAATCAAGTTGTCCAAACAATTCGGTATTGATGATATCAACAAGATTACACTGCGCCCGAAATCATTCTGGGACGATCTCGATGTGGAATTCCAATTGAACACTGTAACGTATTCCTTATCTACCTATTCAGTACAATTGCAATGTGAGGGCTTACCAATGGAGAATATAGGATGCTGTTGATGTCAAGCCTGAATTGAAGCAGGTTCTTTTGAGCAATGCCGATACATGGACATACGATCATTTGATTCTGGCTTCCGGGGGCTGGGTGAGTTCGAAGCAACGCCGAAGATCAATCAAAGGATCCATTAATTCTGATATATGTATCTTTAGCCCAAGAAACTGGGGCTTTCTGGTGAAAACCTGAACAATGTCTTTACCATCCGTATGGTGCAAAACAACCAGGAAATCTCCAAAGGTAAGAAAAACACAAGATAGAAAATGATGTATGTGACGGTTGAAGCTTACTGACTATTCTGGGATGCCATCAGTTATCGAAAAGGTCAAGAATGAAGAAGGAAGAAAAGCCAACCTTGTCATTGTTGGTTCGTCCTTTATCGGTATGGAATACGCTTCGGCGGCCAACGATAACGCCAACGTCACTGTGGTGGGCAAGGATAAAATCCCTTTCACTGCGGTCTTGGGTGAACGCATCGGTTCGACCATGATGAAGTTCCATGAATCCAAAGGCGTCAACTTTGTGATGGGTGTCAACATTGTAGGCTTCAAGCCTAAAGGTAAGCCCAGGGCATTCAATAACAGTTAACATAGCAACAGAATAACTGACGCAGATCATGCATAGCCAACGATCCCTCTGCGGTGGGATTCGTTTCTGTGGAAGGTCATGACGACATTCCTGCGGATCTTGTTCTCATGGCGGTCGGCGTGGCTCCTCAAACGGACTACATCAAGTCAAGCAAATTAAGCCAAGCTGAAGATGGTAGCTTGGAGGTCGACCAGTACTTCAAAGTCAAGGGCACCGATAACATTTACGCTTCAGGTAATACTGGCAGTCAAGCTGAAAAAAGTGATGCCTAATTTCTTGTCGCTAATCACTGCTATAATCTGTACAGGTGATATTGCTACCTTCCCTTATCAGCACACTGGCGAAAAGCTCCGCATCGAGCATTGGGGCTTTGCAGAAAACACCGGTCGTACGGTGGCAATGAACATCATGAAGAAGAACAGACCATTTACCCATGTCCCCTATTTCTGGACGGTAAGGCATTTGTATAGCTTTTTTGGAAGTTAAGCAAAAACTAAGCATTTATATTTGACAGGCTCATTACGGTACGACTCTTCGCTACGCTGGATTTGCCAAATCGTTTGATGATGTGATTGTCCAAGGTGAGCTGGACGATCTCGAAAAGCTCTCGTTTGTGGGTTATTTTGCAAGTAAGTCATGCCTCGTTGCATCGTGCGAAAAAAAAAAAAAAAAAGATGTTTCTGACGCCATCATTTTTGGCAGAGGGCGATACTATTTTGGCTATTGCTTCCTATATGAAGGATCCCATTGTCAGCTATTGCGCTGAATTGGTAAGTTACATGTAACATGAATTTTCTGCGCCATGTGTACAGTTACTGACGTGAACCCTTGTCACAGTTGCGTATCGGCAAAATGCCATCGGCTTCGGACATCCGTAACGGTGTTGATCCTTTGAATATCTCCTTGGAAGTCCCCTTTGAAGGACAGAGCAAGCGTGCCGATGGTTCAAGTTGACTTTGAAAAGAAAAAGACGCCGAGTAAGACCTTGGATTTTAATTACTATATGATCCTTTGGATGCTCTGAGACACATGTGTACAAAAAAATAAAAAGTCTAAAAAGAACCCAAATCATTCATGGATCTTTACATGTATTGCTCATCAAATGGGATTGTATACAAAAAGAAGCATCGCTTGTCCACGATAAAATTTAAAAAAAATTGATATAATACAAGGCCGCGGCATTTACAATTGCTTAAATCTTTCCTGAGCTAATCTCCAATCTCTCGCTTTTCGTGATTCATTACCAACCACCGCACTATTCAGGGTTCGCGATCCCAAGCCTGCGCGTTCGCTGGTCGTTACGGGTGCAATGGGTTCTAGAATACCGCCGGATCCAGGTTTCCCTAACCCTTGGCCTTGTTTCCAACCCATTTTTCGAAGCATACGATCACCGACACCGTGCACAGGCGTATGGACGGTTGCCGCAGCCACTGGCGTGTGAACCGTTTCGTATTCTTCCTGTACCGGAACTCGAGAATGTTTCGATATACCTGCAGGTTGTTGTTGCCTTCGTAAGTTTGCTCGATCTAGATAAGAGGCGCGTTGAGTCGACTTCGATTCTACAGTGGAGAATTTCTGTTTCAGGCGTTGTAGTTCTTGTCGACGAGCCACTTCCAGGTCTTGTCGCACAGTGACCTTGTCAGGTTGTGATTTTCGGGATTGTTCCGTGGTATCAATGATGTTATCGTTGGTTCGGCACTGTTCGCAAGGCCAGCCATGCTCGTGCTGATGCACTTCTAATACGGTGGATCCGATTTGTAACTGATCTTTATGCTGGAGTTTGAAGGGAACACTGCTGGTCTTTGTGTCGGAAAGCCGCTCCGAATTCAAGAATGTGCCGTTCTGCGAACCGACGTCGGTGACATGGAACGATGCCGCTTCCGCATCAAAGAAAATCTGGCAATGAAATTTGCTGACGGCCATCTCGGGCAAACGTAATCGCTTGTCCCACGATTTGTCGCGACCGACGGTCAGCCCTTGCGCATCGACCAGCACCACATGGCCTGCTTTCAACTTGTCGGATTCCAACACCACTAAACGAAGAGTTGCATCGCTTTCCGGTTCATCGGTCCATTCGTCCTGATCATTGATTACAGTGACAGGAATATAAATGCGCATCACGTCGTCGTATTTGTAGTATTGACTCGACAGAGTATCGTACCACAGATCGGTTTTTTCATCATACAAATAACGAGTTGCCTCATTCAGCGATGGCGACTGCTGCATATCGTTTTCTTCCCTCATGTGATCGGACGAACCGTAGCTGGCGTTGTAGTCACCGTATGCCCATTCATTGCCTGTCCAACACAGCAAGAGGCGCTGCTTATGATTTACATAACATTGGGTCGTACTGTCTAGCTCCCAGTCTTTTTCGTCTGCGGGCGCATCGCGTGCTTCCAAGTAGGCATCAAGGTCAGAACTGAAGTCATCAGTATCAGTGTGTTGCATGGATTTGCAAAGAGTCAAGACAGCTCCAGAAGGGAAAAAAATTCCCACTTTTTCAGCGTGCAGAAATTCTTTTCAAGTGACACTGAAATTTCGCTTTTTTTGGGGGGGGGGATCAATGGATATGCAATGCGCGGTGCCTCCGGGAAACGAACTCGTCACGACTACAATCAAGACAGTTTGCCATAATGGTATGAAGCACTAAAACGATGAAGTAACCTTGACTTTTTTTGGGAGAACAAATGTATGATACGACCTAATAGCAAACCCTGCGCAGGCTGCAACTGCTATTTTTCCCTCTCGCTGTCTGATCCTCAATAAAATAGTCGATAGTGAAAAAAAGAGACTTAAATCAACGAGTATCCAATCCATTCGCCTTTCTTTTCCTTCGGCAACCTCTGTATATTTCTGGGATCCAACTTTCTGTCCAACATAAACACGTTACTCAGTATGAAATGATATCTCCCCAAAACTCGGAACACTTCTCGTTACATGGTACAAATGGCTATCGAGTGTCTTTGATATTCGACTGTATTGTGCTGAGCGGTGACTCGCGACACAATTGTTTCAAAGAGCGTTGACAATGGAAAAAGAAAAAGAAAAATCAACAGAAAAGGCACTGTCCGAATTTACAAGGTTGCAACACAACATCGTATCCCGTTAATGGCGCTAGAATGTCGGGAATACCGGGGATGAGTCAACCTCTTAGCGGTGCAGTGACTCTCAAAGATGACTCTGACGATGAATCATTTTTGCTGCGGACACCATCAGTGGCTTGGAAACAACTCGTATAAAAACCACCGGTGCCTGAGTTTTCCCTCGAACCCATTGTGTCCCCAGGGGAAAAAAAAAAAAAAAAAAGGAAGGGAATTATGACAGGCAAGTCATCAAGATACGTGGGTGAAAGAGCGTTAATGTTGATACTTTGACATTGTAGATCCTTTGGTTCGCGTGGGTGTGGGTGTGATTATCAAGTGTCGGTTTACTGATGGAGTCAAGTTCCTGATTGGGCAACGCAAAGGGTCGCATGGTGCTGGGGCATGGCAGGTGTGCGGTGGCCATTTGGAATACAATGAGTCATTTGAAGAGTGTGCTCGAAGAGAAGCTTTGGAAGAAACCAACTTGCAACTGGAAAACCCTCAACTGCTGACGGTGGTCAACGACCCTATGCCACTGGAGCGCAAACATTATGTGACCATTTTTATGCATTGTGAAGTGCAACCCAAAGATATTAGTGATCTGCGCACCATGGAACCCGAGAAATTGGAAGGCGACTGGAAATGGGTCACCTGGAATGAACTTTTGCAGACAAAGCCCCTATTTGCCCCTCTAGCCTCTTTGACACACATTGCTCAAACCTCAAATCCACTTTTACTCACTCAGTTACTACAAAGCCAATCGTAATCTTACAACACATCCGCTTGTAAATACCATGATCAAAGAAAAGATAAAACAAAATGATTCAAACAAAGCGAAAAATATAATATACCGTAAAATTCTTTTTTGTTGACACATTTGGCGCAATTCTTTATTGAACAACAATCTTCTCTGTTCAAGCACAGCTGCGCTGCGGACACCATGATCCTGGATTTATATGATTCAAGCATTCTGAGTGAGGGATTTTTGTATGTGCCTAGTCCCAGTTGTATTTCATATTGTTATAAAATGAGCACATGATTTTTCTGGCGTGTAATTTTTTATGCGATTTTGGGTGGTTTTGTGTTCAGTTGTCAGATTTTTTATGTGTCGCATCATATCAGAGCCATTAAGCCCGGAAGCAGACGGCAATTGTGGATGACCAGCTGCTTCCTATGATTCATTGAACAGAAGAGGTTGGCCCAAAGTCAAAGCTCCAAAAAGACTGCCCTGATGAAATATCCTGCTTTCTTGAAAATGGTAGTCCGCACAAATCTCGGAAGTGTGCGATTCCAGCTGCGAAATACCACGTCAAGCACATCTTCGGAGATTGGTTTAGCCCGTAGCTAATGATCAAGGAAGCAAATCGAAGTGTGGGTAGTTTATGGCGACGATAACTCGAGTGCACCTTTGTCCCATAAGAAGTAACCACGAGATGATGGTGAACACTTCGCCGATTGTGCTGTATCTTACAGTTTATCTATTTTTCTGTTCTTTTTTGGATTGCACATCTCTCCCGTTACTCTTTTCTTCTTTATACGCTGCTAATACAGACAAAGTTCACGCAAGATATATGCTGTACTGTGTAAACGACAAAAATCGTGCGAGCTGAAACGCATTCGTGCCAATGCAGAGTTTGATGTCTAGAACTGCGTCTTTTTTATAATTCCAACCGGACAGATCAATAAGTGTCTATATACACCTGTACCGCGCTGTTATAGTTTCATTACTCAATAAAGATACACTTCTTTGAGGAGAATATGGGTTTCCTTTTACTTTTTGATTATTTTCTGGTACTGCTTGGCCTCTTGGCAGAGTTGGTATTGGATCGCTTTCCCTTTTTTTTCAGATCGATAATTTTGAATCGTAAAACCTACCCACCCAGGGAGTCTTCTGCAGATATAGAAATTTCTCCCAACAGTGACATGGAGAAATTTGTGACTGAGTTTCAATGCAAAAACATCACCATTTTGACGTCACACACAAAATGCGCTTTGATTGGCGGATTCAGGTTTTTTTTCCAAGTTTTTCTGGCAGAGGCCAGTTATTTTTTTTTCTCTTGATAACTCACAAGAAAAAAAAATATCAGCAAAGGATAAAGAAGAGAGCTTTTATTTTTTTCTGTCTTTATCTTGTCACAGGCATTGAAATAGAAGATATAAAAAACTGTAGAAAATATGGATATGGCATCGAGAGAATCATCCGCCAGCACAACGGTTCCACCTACCGCCGCCTCTGACAGCACACCTGCTGTGACTAGTAGTAGTCCCACGCCGTCCTCTTCGGCGTTCCAGCCATATCAGCAACAATTGCACGAAGCCATGCTGGCCGCTGTCAACAGTCACGGTGTTCCTTCTCTTTCCCATGAGGAGTTTATGGCTGCTGCTGCCGCCGCCGCTGCCGCCGCTGCCGCTTCAGCTTCATCCAATTCACAACCACGGCAAGAAGTCGATTACGTCAAAAAAGATAACATTCGTGCAGCCAACAGAGAGCGAAAGAAGAAGTGGCGCTTGCAAAATGAAGAGAGAAGTATGGCATTCCCCATGTTTCTTTTTTTCTTATTGTGCCACTGTTGGATCTTGTGAATGAAGACATACTAACTCTTACCTTTTTATTGTTTATCATTATTATTGGTTTTGTTTTTTTTCGTTTTTTTTTTTCTTTTGATTGATTAGACAAAGACAACGATTTGAGATGTCGTGTGAATAAGCGAGCTGCAAAACTTTTCGGCGTAGCGGACAGCGAAGAGAAGCAAGCGTGGATCAACGAAGAATTCAACAAACGAAGGATGAAGCGTATGGACAAGGAACGTAGAAAGAATATTGTGAACAATGCCTTGAGTGTGCCAGGGTCTATGAGCGGCTCGCCGCAGACGGCGCCTCAAATGCCTTTCCAATATCCATCCGTCGCCATCGACACTGCCACTGCGAAAATCCTAGACTTTCCTTCGGATCTTCAACGTCAACTGTTGGAGCAATTGAACAATAACTTGCTGGTAAGTGAGAATCTAGCATAATGGTGTTCATGTCTCCATGTATTGAATCTTGGGTTATCTAGGCTCTTACGAATGCCAAACTTCCGACGCCACCGATGGATTATGGTCTTCAGGAACAGGAGCAAAATCAATCCACTTCCACTGAAGTTGCTACTGAGAATCAGCCGCAAGAACAGCAACCTTCAACGGAAACGACATCTCCATTACCAGAGGACACGAAGCCACCAAAGCCATCCGAAAATACCTCTGAACAAAAGAGCGAGCATACAGTGGAGTCGGCTCTTTCCTCACTGGCGCAAGGTCTGTCATCTGGAGCCAGCGCATCCAGCAGCGAGCAAAATTCTCCTCTCGAATACGTCAAATCCGAAGACGGAAAGGACAAGCAGGATAAAGAGTCATCCTCTGCCAAACCAAATCCAGAGAAGAAACCAGAGTATCCCATGGATGCAGTGCTGACTTTAATGCAACTCAATGCCGGCTGGCGACAGTAACATACTCTTTTTCTTTTTTCATTCCTTCATTTTCATCCTTTCTCCTCTCCTAGTTCCCCTTCATCTCTCCCTTGGTTATTTTTTCTTCCTTTTTACTTCTTCTCTTACTTGATAAATAACGGAACTAGGTTGATATTTCATTCTTCACATATCGACAAATAAACAATGTCAAACTCAAATAGAGTCTACGAGAGCATGTAATTACATAAATATCCTAATATTTTATCACGTCTCTTTTCTTTTGTGGTTCTTAAATCAGTCTGTATGAATCTATTTCAAGGATGATGAAATGAATGAGCCTGTCTCTGTTGGGAGAAAAAAAAAAGGCGGCCTACAACACGCACACTGTCGATAGGGCTTGTGCACCGTGATGTGCTGCATTTTTCTGCTACGATGATAAAAAAAGTTGTAGTGACTTCCACTATGAGAGATGTTTTTTTTTTAAAAAAAAAAAAGCATTACTTCAGTTCTAGCTTCGGTTTCTTTTTTTCGTAAGTTGAAGGGAGCCGAATCTACGGATATTTTCCCTAATTTTGCGTAATGATCACGAACTAAAAAGAATCCAATCAATAAATATCGCTTCTTGAAATCCAATTTTTTACTTAACTTACTTTTGACAGACAAAGCAGAGTTTTTTTGAGGCAGGTGCGGATTCCATGAAAAGTCAAATCAGTTTATCAGACACCAAAAGAAACATGTAATATGATCTTACCGTTAAAACAGCAGTCGTCTTTACTACGAAGCAAACTGAAATATTTTGGGCCGCCCCTCGCCGGACGCGAGGCTGGCGGCAATTTTCATGCAAAAACTTACCCTGAAGGCGCCAAATAGCGATAAAACAGTGCCAGATGGACCAGAAGCCATCAATTTTTTGACAACAGTCTTTGAAGTGCACTGAAAAAAAAAAGCAAGTCATGTTCTTTTAGGTTATTAGCATGAATTTTATTTCCTCTCTTTATTTCCTTATTTTTATTATACCCTTCGTCATCACGTTATCATGCACATCACAGATCCAACGTCAAGCAAGCGCTACCAAGGCTTAACAGCTCAAGAAATAATATCGTTAAAAAGGCAAAGAAAACAGCGACCCTTGGAGGAGCAGCGTGTACGCGAGGAGATGGAGAAACAGGAGCAAGGTATACATAATAAAACGCTCAGAGATAAAGCGACACGACTCACAGATCATCGGTAGTTTGCAAACGATGTGGAGCTCAAGGGCATAAAGATGCACGAAGTCGGGAGTGCCCCTACAACAGTAAGTGGATATCAAATTTGATCTATGTACTATGCCATTCATTCTCATGTCCTACAAAAGAAAGCAAGAAACGTACCAAGGAAGACGCCGAAAAGAAAAGAGACGCCAACAAAAGACGCAAACTGGAAGCACAAGGGCGAAAAACCGACCCGTGCAAGAAATGCACTGACGAAGGGATTTACGACCCTGAGGCAATCCTCACGCCTCCAGACGAAAACCAAGTTGTCCATTCCATGAAATCTTACTTGAAGAGCATCTTTCCCATGAACGAGTTACCGAACATTTTTTTCTCGCAACAATTTTTTTATGCATGCCAACAGCTCGTCCTCGGAAAGCCAGTGACTAACACCAACTTACCCATTGCCCAAATGACCCGCATTTTTGAAGAACAGTCGACAACCATTCCTTGCATGAAAATTTCTCCACATTCTGCAAATCAAAGCATCATATATGCAAACGTACTTGCTTATCAGGCACAACAGTCAGCGACAATTTTTATCAACAACATTGTTGAGCCTTTTGCGAACAGGGCAAAACGTTATTTGTTCGTCAAAATCCGAATGCTGTTACCGGTAAGTTGGGAAATCGGTGAAATATTGATCCACCATTTATTTCAATGAGATAGGATCTCGATGAGCGCCAAGCATGGCGTTTTGCCGCATACATATACAGTTGCATCACCCCAAATCCTACCGATTGGCCTGAAGGTGTGGACCACACCGCCGACTTAGACTTCATGTTTGGCGAGATTCTCGAAAGCACAGATCTCCCTCTCTCCCTCTTGGTCACAGAAGAAAACCTCACGCGCAACCCTGGCCCGTTTTTCAAGTTCCTTGATTTTGCGCTATCAGTCATCGAACTGTACAACGATCAAAAATTCTATGCTGCTTGTGAACCACAGTCAGAAGCCACGCTTCGTTGGTTATATACCACAATTTTCAATACTTGCGAAGAGCTTCAGCGCACCCGCAAATCACGACGAAGGAAGCTCGCTTTAGCCATTTTGCAACTCGATTAACAAGAACGAATCGCCGCGGTTACGCGATCTTTCGGAGGCAACAATTGCAGAGATTCAAGTGTTCATTTCTCATACACGCACACTGATCGCGACGAACAATTTCTATCCGCCTGTGGAGACAATTCTCAATACCATCCGCTCATTCCCTCTTGTCCCACGTTTGAGTTTCATTCAACCACATGTGATGATAGACACCACCACGCTGCAGGCAATTTTGCGACGATCTGACAACCGAGAGTTTTTGATGAAAATTGCACCAAACCATCATCACAACAAACATGATTTAATGACGCTCCAATTTGCACGAGTTTTCGATTTGGCGAAAATACGTTATAGACCAACAGATACCTATCCATAGAGCATTTACCAACCATCTTGCCACAGACGGCCATGCATCATCTTTCATTTTTGCAAAGGCAGTACCAACTCACGAACGGCTACCCGATCTAGACATTGACGATTTTGACGAAAAAGACTTGCAGGATCATTTTGAGTTGTGGGGTCTGGATCCAGGTCATAGACAAGTGTTTGTCGCCAGTAACGGCCACGGCATTCAATCTCATCAGGTGCGATCTTTAACAAAAGCCGAATATTATGAAAAATCCGGCATCAACAAGACGAACAAGAAAATGAAGAACATGAGGAAGGCCGACCACTCAACCTCCGATTCCGCAGCATCTATCGAATCCCTGGAGCAGCAACTTTTATCACTCAAGACATCGAGCTTGCAAGTATATCATCTGGGTTTATTCTCTATCAACGGCGTATTGCATCAACTTTTGGAATTGTACGATACCCAATTCAACGAGCTGCGATTTTTGAATTGCAAAGGACGACAGTAGATGCAAGCTAAATGGTGAACATATTTGTCAACGGCGGCCGCAAATACGACAAGCGAAAAGCAAGAAAGCGCAAGAAGTACAGGAAGGAGCAGAAGGGGAAGAAGAGCAAAGGGAAGAAAAAGGAAAGGTAAGTATAGGCCATTGAGATCACTGGAAGCAATTGAATAACTCACACTCGTCCTTCTCCCAGTTTTAGGATGTCGGGAAAGTGGAAAGCCGCCGATTTTGAACAATCCCAAAAGACACCCTTGATCGCATTTGGTAGTGGCAGCTGGGGAGCCTTCAAAAGTGGCTTGCCCGGAATCTCGAGCATGTGCCGATCAGTGCTGAAGAAAGCCGAGAAACGAGACCTGCTTGTTGTTGTGGCCCTAGATAAGGGATATACCTCAAAAGTAAGTTTGGCTTAATCCACTAATGAGCCATCCACCTAACTCTTTCCCGTTCAAAGGTGTGCCACAAATGCCAGGAGAGGACGTTGAAGCCCATTCATGATGACGAAAATAAAGAACTGCACTCCATCTTGGCCTGCAACGAGGTACATGGCAAGACGGTGTGGAACCGCGACGTCGTCGCCAGTAAGAACATTCATCAAATTGCCGCCAGCATCGCGTCCGGCGAGGGGCGGCCCGAAATATTTCAGTTTGCGTCGTAGTAAAGACGACTGCTGTTTACGGTAAGATCACATCAATGTTTGCTCTCATGCCTGATGAACTGATTTGACGTTTTTATTGAATCCACACCTGCCTCAAAAAAGACTGTGCTTTGTCTGTCAAAAGTAATTTAGTAAAAATTGGATTTCAAGAAGCGCTATTTACTGATTGCCTTCTTTTTAGTTCGTGAACATTACGCAAAATTAGGGAAAAAATCCGTAGATGCTTAAAAAAATGAGGACACCCAATTTTTTTTTACGTCACGCTGCGGTCGAGTTTCCGCGAAACGTGTCTTTTTCGTTTCCGCCTGCCAACTGAGTGTAATCCATCGATTAGTGTTTCCATGTCGTACGGCTACAAAAGCAGAAACGAAGATTACGAGGACGATAGTCGAACGGCGCCGGTCGAAAGCTTTGTCGTCTTTGGTACTGCCTTTCCTGAACAAACGGAAAAAGACCGACGAGCCGGGGTAAGCGATGCAGGACAATTCGTCCCCGTGTGGAAACAAGAAGCCAGAGACGAAAAAGGTCGAAGACGATTCCACGGTGCGTTTACAGGCGGCTTTTCTGCCGGTTACTTTAATACAGTAGGATCAAAAGAAGGTAAGACAAGCAATGGCTTCTTCCTCACCGATTGTCCCCATTCTTAATCCCATCGCAATGAAACGCAGGATGGCAGCCTTCGAATTTTGTTTCGTCCCGATCGTCCAGAAACCAACAGCGAGAACTGCGACCAGAGGATTTCATGGATGAAGAAGATTTGCAGGTACGTTTTAAAGTTGGCATTTCAAAAAACTTCAACCGATGTGAGTAACACACCCACTGCAGGAATTAGCTGATGCTCGAAAGCTGGTGGCGACGGAAGAGTTTGATATCTTGGGTGGCACCGAGAAAGAAATGGCGGCTCGGCGACAACAGCAGCAGGAAGATGAGGCGAGAGGTGGCACACTTGGATTCTTAGGAAGCAGTTTAATGAATCTGATCGGACCCTCCAAGGATTCGGTGGGGATCAAACTGCTACGTAAAATGGGCTGGAAACCTGGCCAAGGCATCGGGCCTCGCTTATCACAAAAACAAAAACGAGACTTGGGTGAAGATGAGGAGGAGGACGACGACGACGCTATGCTTAATGTCACCTTTGCACCGCGCGATACCCCCATTGTGGATTTCACCAATAAAACCAACGCTCACGGTCTCGGTTACGACATTGAAAAGTACGTGCCTCAAGTAGCTGAGATGCGACGACTCCGAGATTTGAAAGGATCAAGAGAGACCGACGAAACGTTCGGAGGCACGCAACGGTCTGCGTTTGGTGTGTTACAGGGCGGTGGCGCAGGAGGATTCGGTGTAGGCACGTTTGAAGACGAAGATGAAGATATGGATGTCTACGGCGATTCAAAACTGCGAGACTACCACCATTCGCTCTACGACGATGACATGGATCAAGACCGAGAAATAACAAGCACAAAACGTCGACATACTGAATCAAAAGACGACAATGTCTCCAAGAAACGGTGCACAGACGGAAGATATCCACTCAAAGGATTTATTGTCTCGATCCAAGCACAACAACTAGGCAAATGGTAAGCTCGGAATGAGCAGGAAATTCATCCAACCAAGAGGACTAAGTGCTAAGTGTTTCTCTTTTTGACTATAGGTATCCACCACCCACGGTTCCGGCTGATTTTGATGAACGAAAATCGGTGATCTCTGTAGAAGGATCGACGGCTGTGGCTGCACCACAGTACGGACTGACTTCGGATGAGCGGGGGGCAATGTTGGGTGAGAAGCCGATTGAAGCACGATCTGTTTTCGATTACATGCCGCAGCGATCCAAAGATCAATTGGACACAGTCTTGAAATTCGTTATCGACTCCGGTAAAGACCGATCCAAGCTGGCCGATTTTCCTACCATCACAAAAGAAGTGGCCAATCTGGCCCTTCGCGGTTTCATGCCGTACGGTGACAATCCCAATAAACAAGGGCGGTATCGTGCGTACCTGGAGAACCAAGCCGGTCTGTTGAGCGAAGATGGGATCCCCAAGGACAGCTTACCCATCCCGGAAGGATTGACGTATGAACAGGGCATGAAAGAACTAGACGAGTTTGCCAAAGCGGCTCGCATTTTCCGGCCCGTGAGTGCCATGATGCAAGGACGATTCGCCTCGGCTCGAGGTGCAACGAGTACCCTCGATCAACCCTCGTCCATGGGTGGTCTGAAAACCGAGTCGGAATGGCGTAAAGAAAAAGAAGAACGAGAAAAGCACGAAGTCAAGGCACCTCAGAAAGAGGTAAGCATCGGAATCTCATGCTTCAGAAAAAAATGGATTCATCTCATATACATATTTTATAGTTATCTCAAGAAGCGCAAGCGGCCGCCATGAAAATGTTTGGTCAGCTCACACGAAAGGTCAAACCATTTTATCCTGCGCGATTGGTATGCAAACGATTCAACGTTCGTAATCCTCATCCCCATCATGATCCAAATGCTTCAGCCGGTGATCTGAGTCGGACCCAAGCGGGATCTCGTGAAGCCTTGAGCGAGCAGTCGATGGAACATATGTTGAAAGATCGCGTCCCAGCTCCGCCTAAACCTATCGAACATGATCCAGCATTGAGTGCTGTTATACCCAAACCTTCAGAACGTACCAAAGACAATGCCGAGCAAGCACCTACGGATGTTGGCATTCCACAAACGACGCCTGGATCCATGCCGCCGGCAGATGGACCAGCCTTGGATTATGAACGTCCGTCGATGGATATATTCAAAGCTATTTTTGAAAACTCGGAGGATGAAGATGAAGAAGAACAAGACTACGAGGCCGGAGCGCTAGCTGAAACAGGGGTTTCTGCGAAACAGTCATCCACCGCACCATCGTCAACAGCCATGGAAGAAGAAGAGGACGACGATTTTGTTGGACCACCTCTACCGCCACCGCCAGAACCCGAGCCAAAGTCTGAACCGGCTCAACCCTTCCGTCCCATGTTCATATTGCCAACGGAGCGCAACAAAAGTAGTACAGGAGCAACCTCATCAGGTATGCCATCGGTTGTTTCTGAAGAGATCGTTGTGCAACCTTTCAGGTCTCGTACAGATCGGGATCGGTTAAAGCGGCGTCACGTCTCCGTGAGCGATGAAGAAAGCAGAGAAGAAAGCGAGGAAGAAGAAGATCATGATGATCGAAGAAGGCATAGCCGTAGCCGATCCAAACATCGAAAACGTAGCCGCAGCAGAGAGCGACATCACAAGAAAGACAAAAAGAAGAAGAAGGATAAACACCGTCACAAACATAAGCGAAGTTCATCTCGGCGACATGCCAGTTCCGATGAAGAAGATACAACCAAAAGATTGATCGAGGAAGCAGAATGGGTGGAGAAGGAACCGTCTACTTCATTGGCCGAATCACGGCGAGAGAAACCGAAAGATCAAGGAGGAGACAGTAGCCATCGTCAGCGGCAACGTATGCGGGCGGTCGACTTTTGGTAAATAAGATGATGGCATATTTAGATGGCCAGTCTGTATCTTGGAATCTGTTGGCACGTCAAATATACTATTGGCTTCTATCCCTCTTGTACATCCCTGACTCGGTTCCTGAGGTCTTTCATCTGATGTAACCAAACATTATGTATTTGAATAAGGAACACAGAAGCATGTCCTACCTAAATTTTCTTCGTACTAGAGAAAAGCTTAGAAAGACAATGGTGTAATTAGAGAAAACATGATACACATGGGAAGTAACGAAAATGGAGAGGCAAAACCAATTCCGGCGACGCGGAAGATCTCTGTGACACATTCCAAGCAGGCATCAAGACATGCCGCAGTGAAAAAAGTTCAATGCAACGTTGAGCGAAACAAAATGCTGAGTGTAACCATGTTACAACGTGGAAAATAAGAACAAATAAATAGTAACTCAAAACTTACAGTAACAAAAAATAGGGCACCCTTTTAAGTAATGGGCGCTTTTCAAGAAAGAGTGCGCTAATATCAACAAATACGAATTGCGTCATCACCCCAATTTTAAAGGACAACATACGCCTTGAATTGCCTGCCAGCAAAGCTGCAAGTCTAAACAAGCTGTCATGACATGAGCATGCCACATATGTGTCTTTCAGTCACAATGATAAGATCTATGTCTGCCGTGATATAGTCGTGTTATCCCCGAATAAAAACTCAGTGGGTTGGATCCTTTTTTCCAGGCACAACGGTTTCAGTCTTCGAAAGTTGTTTAGCACACTTTGGTCGGCTTAGAATGCTTTGACCTCCTTAGGACTACTTTGACAACCGAAGATATCGCTGAGCTATTCCTTGAGACATCCACTAAACCCGTTCCATGAATTATTCGTGTAGCTCGCACAGTGAAACAATAAGAAAGCTAGGAAATCGGTTGATGGTGTATTTAAAGTGAACTCTCTCTCATAGTGCGCGAAACGGCTTATGAGCTTTATCTATTGATACGTAGATAAATTTACATATTCTATAATCGTGTGCTGTTTCAAGTGTGGAACTGCTCCTTATTGTCTGATTCTATGCGTGAAGTACAACCCGCCGAAGCTGTCTCCGTCTGAAATTCGAAAAAAAAAGATGTATTTGATCCTCAGTTGCTCGCCCGTGCTTAGAGCAGGCGACCAAATATACTTCCATTATTGGCAGTTTTCGTATAAAACTTACAAATTGAGAAGATATCCTCTGGTGGACGTTGCACTCAGCTAGGCCGATCTCTGATGCGAAGGCATACTATGCATGGAAACATCGTCGTCGAAGCCGACAGCAATACTTGGCCAATGGGGAAGGCAAGAGAATCTCAAAAAAAATGTAGGGTGTCTGTTGCACCATGTTACCCATCTGAGGGGTCACAAGGGAACTGAAACTGTGTGATGGAATCCAGCTGTGTGAAGATCTCGGTGACACAGCGTTGCAATCCTTTGGTAGAGCCACAATGTAACAATGAAAATGGGAATCTATTAGTAAAAAAAGAAAACGCTGTGTGTGACAGGTAACCTAACATGAAGCATGGAAAACTTGGCTTTTGTTCCTTGCTGTGATACGATGCCGACAAAGCAAGCTCTTCTTTCATCTTTTTCATTTGGTTTCGAACGATACGTGCTCAGGGATTAGTATTCTGTCTTGAGTAATGAGATGATGTTGCATCACTGTTGTTACGTCGTTAATCACCGTACGTTTCTCCTCTGATTAACCATTCTTACCAAAGGGTCATGTTATTTTTCTGGAAAATAAAAATAGTGCTACGTAAATGGTAGCAGATGATCGTGATTGTGCGAATTGCGAAAACCAACAAACAGCTCAACCTCTCGATCCTAGAGTTTGGTGTCATTTTGTTTGATTATCTTTTTATAGGTGCCAGTTATTCGGTTGCTGCTGTCACCAAGGCAGCTGGCGTCATCGATGATAAACGGATGGGATTGTGGAAAACAACAGAATGACAAACATATGGCAATAGCATGTTCTGGAAAAACAGGTGGTGCAGTATAAGCCCGTGGTGTTGCAGATATCTCTTTGCGAGTAATTTTCTATTTTTGGATCCTGGTTTCTCTATTTACCGGCCCATTTTCAGTTCATTATTAGAAAGGTAGCACTGGACAAATGCATTTACAAACTTCAGGTACTACGGAAGGAATTTATGCCAAATTCCAGGTATGGCATGGCAGATTCTGTCAAGATGGCGTCAGAGCATGCTGTTTGGTTCACTTGCGTAGAGTGACAGAAAATCAAGAAACGTGGTAAACAGAAAAAAGAAATTAGCTAATCATGACGAAGCCAAAGGTTGTACACACAGAAAAAAAAAGACATGCGAGATGCGCAGATCTTAGGCGTAGTACCAAAATGAATGATGAGCACCATCTTCCATGGACCCCCCCCCCCCTATCAAAAAAAAAGAGGATAGTTCCGTGACATTAAATCGGGTGGCGATGGCTCTGCCTGCATTTTCTGCTTGAGTTCGCTGCCATTTGACGTCAATTCGATAAAATTTCATGCGTACTAACAGAATCCGGAGAAGTGCCTTGCCATTGGTTGTTTGGTCTCCAAACTATACCAAATAAATGAATCCTAGAAACTACTTAATTTCATTCCCAGAGCAATCTGAATAATACCAATTTTTGATTCTCTAAAGGTAGATCGCGCGCTGATCCTATAAGCTGATCTCTGTGGATTAGTGGCTGGTGCTCGGTCGATTCTTCAGAGAAAGGGATGTCAACTATCAGATTAGATGACATCTTTTCGCTCAATGGACTCTGTTTGTTAATCGTAAACGAGTGATTCGCATTACCATAGTTACTTCAATGAATGATGAGAAGATCTCTCGTGACTTATCAATATGATAGGATGACATATGTCTCAAAAAATCTCGTAATCTAATTGTCATAAAAACCACCATTTCTGAGTTTCATGGCATTTGTCGGTTTGTTTTGCAACAGCATGATTTTTTGATCCACGCCAAGTCAGGTAAACACGTTAGACTTGATGATATCTGGTGATTAAAAAATTTTCCTATGGCGACATAATACTGAGGAGAAACATGTGATGAAATGGTTGCACCAAAGTAAATATTTCCAGTCATTTCATCTGATCTGGATGCTTTTTGATTGGTAATTCGAGGCAGAAAAAGCGGTAGTTGTTTCATGACTCGTGCAGAAAATCATGTCACGCAGAAAACAAGAATGTAGAAAATTGTATTTATGTATATGAAAGATCGAAATAGATGGCTGCAAAAGTAGATCTTTGAGAATTGGGATCAAGTTACAGTATGAAGTTTTTCCGTAATAGTAAGGGAAAAAAACCCCTATGCAAGGAAAGAATAAAGTTACAGACATATCCGATGGAATGTGGATTTTTTGATCTTTTCTTTTTCTATAAACCCCATTTTTTTTCTACCGATTTTTGCTTTTTCTGCTGCTTGTTTTCTTGTTGTTTGTATTACTGTCTGACCAGGTTGCAGTTGGAACAACAACAAAAATTCAGAGGGTTACACATACCACGATTCTGCTTTTTTCTCAAGAGACACACCGGCGGCCCGGCATGCATTTCCGTAAAAAGTGATATTCACAGCTGAACCAATCACGTTCAAGGAAAATGATACCGGGAAGGCTACCCCACTTATCTGAGTCATTGTTGTGTCATGAATTCCGAATGAAAAAAAAAATAAGGAAATGGCGGTTCTATCAATCTTTCACTGGCCTGCACAAAATAAAGCGAAAACTCTAGCCAACGATTCGGAAAGAAAAGATATATGGGGTAAAGCTCAAGAGATCGTTAGTACGTGCGGCATGGAATAATTATGAAGTCAGCATGAGCTGGCGCCATCAAGAACGCGCCCGCCAATCGGTTTGTGGCCATTGAAATATTGTCATAGTAGCCACAAGGATCCGAAAGCGTGACCCTGTTTCTATGGAGAATGTTGGCGACCCAAGTTGTGAAAGAGTAACGACTATATTAATTTGAGCTGTTCCTTTAATAGCTCCATACGACCAAAAGTACAAGGTGCCAGGGAAAACTAAATTTATCAGATGCCAGGATGATCAAAAGGCAAAAGGGAAAAATAATTGATTGTAAGCTCAGACGTGAAACGTTACACCACCTTCCATGCACACCCAACGAAAGAAAATAATCAAAAAAAACAATAAACTGTAGGTTGTCAAGGCCATTTTTATGCAAGGCGCGTGACTTTTTTTTCTAAAAATTGCTAACAGTCCAGATTCCTTTGGAGGATTAAACTTTTTTCACTCCCGGTGAGGGTCATATTTGATTGGTGCATGACCTCGCGACTACTAAAATTGGCAATACGCTCTGGTTTGCCTGCCATATATAAAAATCGCCTGCTTTGAATGCATTTCCCTTGTTGTTGTTTTTTCTTTATTTACCCTTTACCAACGAAACTTCAATCATCGATCTTGTATCGTCTCAACATGTTTTCTCATTTTCCGTCGAACCGCGCGCTAGCTGCAAAAAAGCTTGGGATCCCAGCACCAGCGAGTTCCGCACCTCAAGCGTACGTCTGATTGCAGTTCATCGCTTTTAGATAACCAATTTGATTAACCCGTTCGTACTTTAGACGAGACGATGGATCTTATTTGCTACCTGTACAAAAATCGCATCCTGTTCCTACGACGATTCGCCATTGGTAAGGGATCGATGGATTTTTTTAACAATGAACAAGGGCAGAGTTCTCATCATTGAATTTTTTGGTTTCGCGTGCAGGCAACTGAGAGATGTTATTTCTAGTCCCCTTCCTAACACCGTGGTTCATCCGCATGAGAATGCCCTTCATTTTGTAAATGACTGATTTCCCACATGGCGGGCAATATCCCAAGATGGCTAAACAGTGATAAACTTTTTTTAGTACGATACTAAGAACGGGGCCGATTCGCATGTCCTTGCGGACCTTCCTTTTGAACCGACCTCACTGGATACTGGGTAAGAAAATAATGTGCATCTAATTGCCGTGATCCGAAATTAAATATCTAAATTTTTTCGGATGGGTCATAAAAGGTATGGTTACGTCGCTTTAGCCGGAGCACGAGGTATGGCCATGGTGCATGAAACAAGCACTGGCTGGTCGGCGTCTTTCAACTCGGGTCCAGGCATGAACAATTCCATCCGTCTTTCCCGTCATCAGAATGAGATCCGGGTAACTGTCTGCAACAACGATCACACCATCAAAGTGTACCGGGTTCCCTCGATGGAAAAACTATTCACGTTAAACATGCCGACCGCCATCAATCACAGTAAGTTATCCAGGTTGTTAAATGTGAGGGAAAGGTTCTGGCTTCTAATTTTTTTTTTTTTTTAGCTGCCATGAGTCCCGATGGAACGAAAATGTTGGCGGCTAGTGACGGTGGAGATGTGTATGTTTACGATGTGCAGGGAGCGGGCGAGTATAAGCTGTTGGCGACATACAAGGCATCGAGTGAACCGGCGCTGTCGTGCGCATGGAATCAGTCATCGGAAATTTTTGCCGTCACCAGTCAAGATGGGTTTATCAATGTGTGGAATATCCATGGCGAGAAACTATGTCAACTGGGATCGACCGAAGGCCGCAAAACACGACGAGCAGCGAGAGCCGTGCAATTCAGTAAAGGACCTTTGGACTTGCTCGCTTACTCGGAACATGTGTCCACGGTCAACATTATTGATACACGCACCTTCAAGTCACGACAAGTGGTTCGGTTGGCTCCCTCGGACATGGATTACCATATTGCCGGTATGACTTTCTCGCCTGACAATCAGTCACTATTTGTTGCATTGGAGAAGTCCCTTGTCGAATTGAAAGTCGATGTCAGTGCAAGACGTCAATTCCCGTCCCACCGGATACACTTGTTCTAATACCCCTTCATTGCTGTTTTTCTTTGTTTTTTTCGGTTTTCCATCATTTGCATCATCTGTGTATATTTCTCCCCTTAAATCATATAAGCATCCATAATATCAGTTAATAGTAATACCAATTTTGTTTTTGTCATTCATATTCTATCAAATGTGATATGACTGCACAACCGATAGATAGACACACATTTGACTGGTTTGGATGAAATCAACATGAACAATGTGATGACACTGAATTTTCTGCAGTGGCGTATCTCATGATTGGTTCATTGCATCATACTATTCCACCCTCTAAACGAACTTATGTGTATGTGTGTGTGATTAGTGTGTGTACGAATAAAAGTCTCGATATCAAGTATTACAACGTATGATACAAAACGGGATTTTCTATTGGAATAAATAAAAATTATTTTGACGAGGTTCGAAGCTACAAGCATTAAGATTAGATTAGTGATCAATTACAATCGCACCCGATCTAGCGCCCTGCTAATGACAACTTACCTGCAAGCCGTGCATGCCCTTGATTTCATCCTTCAGCACGGCATTCACCATGCGATGCTGTTTGACAATAGAAACACCTTCAAATTGCTTGGAAGCAATATCAATTGCGTACATTGATCCGCAGCCCCCTGTGGCAAACACATGAGTATATTGTACGAGGGCATCCCGTTGCCGGGTTTGTTGCAATGATCGCCATAGCATACCTGAAACATCCATCACTCGGAGACGGTGAGGTTCGAGGGAATCGGTCAATTTATTATAAATCAAGCGTTCGCCTTCGGAAAGGCTGGCGACCTCATCGTTGGTCTCGGTCGAGTAACGCTGCATCAACATGGAACGTCCTGTCACCGATGGCAAGGCGAAAGAACGTGTAGCACTCAATCGTGCAGCCGTAGTCATTCTAGACAACATGATGCGTCTTTTGTTTGTAGTAAAAGTAAAGGGAAAGAGAGTGGCAAGGATTAGAAAAAAAAAAAATTTAGTGAGTGGGGGCACGAAATTCGGCTGTGACTTTGTGGAGTCAAAAACATGCTTATCCCCAAGGCATCTTTTTTTAAGTTGCAACTTTTTACAACGTTTCCTAACATTGTATCAGGCCAATTCCAACAGAAAAAGATGGTCGATTGATTATCTTCACAACTTGCAAGCAATTAGATAGCCTGATAGTTTGGCAGAGAATGAATAACGGTGGGCAAAATGAGTAAAACTGCGGAGACGCGTTCCTGATTCGTTCGTCAATCAAGACTCTTGTCGTATATGGTAAAATATCTTTCAAAATCCGTTGTTCCCCGAGATTCACTTGAACAAAAGGAAACATGATGCTCAACCACGTTACTGGAGTAAAGGCATCTCAGGGATCAAAGAAGCGAAAAGACAGCGTATCCATGATCCTGTGTATATCAATCGTCTCCCTCTTAATCATAAACCACGAATACCCAAATGTAGATCCTGTCCGTCTGATTCCCGTATCATTAGTATTAAACTCTGTAACACGAGTTTTTCGTTGAGTTGAGAACAAATGAAAACAGATATAGCACCATTTCCATTTTCTTTTTTGTTTATGGTAAAAAAAAAGGTTGAAAAAAAAGGGGTCGAGTATAAGAATTATCTGATGAGCATGATGATGGCACCAAAAGAAAGGCGCTCAAAACAACAAATGGATTCAAACAGTTTACTGATCCTTGACCTTCTTGGTACCACGGAGGAGACCGGTGCGGCGGGCAGCGATCAAACCGACCTTTTGACCGGCGGAGCTGTCGCGAGCCACAGTAGAAGCATGACCAATGTGCTGATGGTTACCACCACCGTGAGGATGGTCGACGGGGTTCATGGCAACACCACGAGTCTTGGGCCAGCTGTTGCGCTTGACTCTGTACTTGTGGTAAGCACGACCAGCCTTCAAGAGGGGCTTGTCAATACGACCACCACCAGCAACGATACCAATAGCGGCACGGGAGGTGGAGGGAACGATCTTCTTGGCACCGGAAGGAAGACGGATACGGGTCTTGCCATCTTCACCGTGACCAATGACGGTAGCGTAGTTGCCAGAGGTACGGGCAAGAGCACCACGATCACCGACCTTTTCTTCGACATTGCAGATGACGGTACCTTCGGGAACGGAAGCAAGGGGCAAGACGTTACCGACGTTCAAGGTAGCCTTCTTACCAGCATAGATGAACTGGCCAGTGTACATGCCCTCGGTGGCAATGAAGGTTTCAGTGCGAAGCTTGTACTTGTAGGGATCGCGGAAGACAACCTAGACGATGAATGCCATAAAGAAACGAAATTAGTCTCATTGAATGCACCACACACTCTCATTCACTTTTTTTCCAGTTTACCTTGGCAAGGGGAGCACCACGACCGGGATCGTGAACAATCTCCTTGACGATACCACGAATGTAACCGTGACGTTCAGCAAAGTCAAAGACTCTCAACTTGGCAGCACCTTTACGGCCGACAGTGTGAGCCTTGAAGATGCTTCCGGCACCTTTTCTTTGAGCACGAATGACGCGACCCATGTTATTTCAAATCTATTCAATCCAAAATTGGCATTAGTTCACATTCAACACACCGATTCCCATTGAGGTAATTTTCGTATAGAACTGGAAGGCGGGAATGCGTTGTTATAGAACGACTATCGCTTGGAATGTGTAGAAAAGATCATCCATCCATTCGAAATCTCTATTGATCAATCTCATCGATCATCCGATGTGTGCATCCATCCCGCTCCATTCTATAATGCCTAAAATTGAAAATAAAAAGAAACTCACCCTTTGGCGTGGAAGGAAGGGAGGATGGATTCACACTGGCCTTTCAACATCTTCATGGCTTGCTTGCAAATCCCCAGACTGACATCGAAATTCATACCCCGCCACTCACACCTCAAATATGGCATGACCATCACCCACAAGGTTCGCTCCAGAAAGCCGGCGCCAAAAGCACATTTTTGATGCTTGATACGCTGGTGTCACTCATTTCCGTATGTTTTTGCCTTTGAAGGGTTGGTGTGGATTCACGTAGGTCACTTGTGCCTGGTTTGTTCTTTAAAGCAGCAAAGGCAGTGACTGTGGTCTTTAATTGATTTGTTTGCTCCGGTTTTTGGGTAAGCGCCCAAATGAAGGCTTCGTTTTTTCTCCCATGCAACAACAGATCCAACAACGTACCCAGTCGTTTACTCTCTTATCACGCGCGGAAGTATTGTCCAAACAGTGGCAGCAGAAACAAGCCACGTCCGTCGCTCTGTTGACGTCCATGAATAATATCCTTGCTCAGCATGAAGCCAGTAACGACGCCGCTGCTTTGATTGCCCAATTCAAACTTGATCCCGCTCAACTCGCGTATAAACAGTCGTTAGCCTTGGAAGAATGCATTACACAGCTTTATAAACTCATGGAATCGTGGCAAGAGTTGGTCGCTGAATGGCAGCACCTTGAACACGATGCCAACAAGTATTGGACAAAAACGTTAACCGTGCCGTCACCTCAAGGGCCTTGGCCACTGTCGAACGAGGCGCTGATTCAGGTCACCGCCGTCCGTCCTCAAGATACCTATGATTACATCAGCCGCCTTTATACCATGTACAAATCAGAATATCACTATAAAAAAACGCTGATGCAGCAACTATCCCAATTTTTAACACGGATCAGCGACTTTGACGATTTTACTGAACGGTGGACTGCTCAACCTCACCTCCACCCAAACCTGCCTGCAGATATCTCGGAACGCATCAAGTTGTATAAAACAGTGAAAAAAGTGGTTGAATCCGTTGATTAAATCATGACGAGGTAATCCATTTTGTGAACATGAAGAGAAAAAAAAAGGTGTATTTGATCTAATAATCTACATTGAAAATTCTGACAGAATGATCTTCTCCAGCAGATGCAAACTGTAAACGACCTGTTTCCGGTGATTTGGCCTTTCTCCATGCAATGGAACGCACCACACCTACATGGCTCATACTAGATGCCATTCATTTTTTTTCATCAGTGATACCATTCATCATGCATAGTTTTTCCAAATTTCATAATCGTGATATATACCTTGTATCTACGTGGCACCATGACTCCCATTGATCTACCTGTTGTTGTAAAGCAGATAGCAAGAGTATCCGACCATTCTCCAATCCAACTGCAAGCACATAACTAGAAATGACAACGTTTTTTTTTTTTTAGTTATGGAAACATTTCGCGAATAGATCATTTCAATCCAAACTTACCGTTCATTTTGTACGCTGATGGGAGCGAAATCAAGCGATGTGACGGCTTCAGGACACTTGATGGTAGTCACGCATTCCCATTCTGATGAGGCCGATTGTTTCCATATCTTGATCGTCTTGTCGCGTGAACCAGTAGCGAATAATTGGTCATCGGCACTCCATGAACAATCCCAAATGATACGAGCATGGGCCTTGTTCTTAGTCATCACCAATCGATATGGAGTTTCTGGTAATGAGCAACATGTTTGATGAGTTCTTCTGTCTCCTCTCCGTAACAAACTTTTTTCCAAAATCCTCTTTGTTTTTGTTTCTCTGTTTCAACTTTCTTTTTCCATTACCTTCATTTCCTTCTTGTCGTTCTGACAGTGACCACATACGGTCTCTTGATACGGTTAATAACCACTTGTCATTGTGAGAGAATCGGGCTCGAGTGACAGTCAAGGTGTGAGCGGCGATCTTGGTTGGCACTTCTTTCCAGTTGGAGGTATTGAACAGACGAACCACAGCGTGCTCGGGATTCGCGGCTTTGCATGCCGTGGCAACGTATTTTCCATCGTGAGATGCATCGGTACAAATGATCTCGTAACCGTGACCGTAGCTAATAATATTTACGATGAATTTTCTTGATACAGCTCATTCTCGCAACGAACTCCCACTTACAGTTTCTCAACTTCAGGCCATAATGTGTGTTGTAACAAATGTTCTTCGAAAGGAGGACGTTCCATAGTTTCCTTGAGGGCTGTAGGCGTAGCGGAAACACTGGCATAACTCTGTAAAGCGCTGTGGCTTTCCTCCGCATTCGCCATTTCTTCAATATCAGCTTCGAATACTGCCTTGTTGGACAAGCCCAGCGCGGGTAGATTGGCACCCACAGGCCGTTTTTCCTATTCCCACCGCATATGCCCAATTAGGTTTTTCAAGCATAACGATCGCAAACAATCAAGCTGTCTACTTACAATTTCAGAAGCCATGTCCTTTTCTCCCGTCAATGCAAACAAGCTCTCGACACAGGATCGAGGAGCATCAAAGACTCGAAGCACCTAATAATAAAGATCAATATCCGTTTTAGATTACAGATGTGCTTCACCATTTCCGTCAGTCAATGGGTCCATGGATTTTACCTTTTCGTCAGCGCCACTAACAAATTGCCAGGGGTGCGTAAAGGTAATACATTTGAGATCATATCCGTGAACTTGAGGTCGACCGACTTCATGCCATGTTGAAACGGCGGTGCCGTCGATTTGTCTATTCCATGGCGCAAACATACGAGTTGTTTGATCCAAACTATACATCGACGGATGAGTATGCCAATATTTGAGACCCCTCCGATGGCATTTTTTTTTCTCTCGTTTTTACCTGACAGAGACCAAAAACCGGGATTCGGGATCCCACGCAAGTTGTTCCACCGGTCGAAAATGGCCGCTAATAGAGACCTCTGGTTCCCAATGGTTTTGATCTACCATCGTCGTCGCTTTTAATACCATGCGTCACAGCAAGCTACAACTGCCTTTGTGGATTCATGTTTACCATCATTGAGTGACACGTCTTTCCACAAATGGAACGATCCGTTAGCGCCATGAGAAATGACATGCTTTCCTTCCGGACTAAAGAGAGCGCCGCAAAAGCCAAGGTAACTGTTGCCACCAATATCACCCATACGGACCTGCATTATATCGCCTATCGTTCAATCATCGTTCCCGAAATCGTTGTCTTGTTGACTCAACTTACATCATTAACCCAAACACCCGTGGACGGATCTGGGGCCCAGATCATCATGGATTTGTCACTGGAAGCAGATACCAAGCGCATGGGTTGCTGGAAGCTTGAGACGCCATCGGATCCTGCTGTCGATGTGAGTATCCTTTGATACACTGCATTAATTATCTAACGAACATACCGGTCATCATGCGTGGTTTCTCCCAATCAACACTGTAGACCCAATCGTCGTGGCCCATCAAAAGAGCTTCAAACATGAGTGAAAACTGGGATGGACTAATTATCAACGGAAGTCAGTGGTTGATCCTCTGTTTCCTGCATGGCTTTACTGTACCTCGCGCCTTCTGCTGGGTTATCGACGGTCACTAAATGGGCCTTGGTGCTTAGCTGGACGTCTTCGCCAGTCCTGTGCAAGAAAGATGAGTTAATCGTGAGGTAAATGCAAAGCAAATATGGATCATGCATACAATGCGCTTTCTTGCAGAGCTTCTATGAGTTCGTTGGTGACTGTATCTTTCTTTGCGTCGGGCGACGACTGACGCTGAGGCTCGGTGGGATGATGAGGAGAGATTTTCCAAATACGAATGTAACGATCCTGAGAAGCACTGGCCAGCATAAGATCACCATGGACCAATGTATGCGTCATGCCCGTCTTTTGAGTCGCATCGGCGGTTTCACCAGTGTAGGTCGCAAAAGCCAAGGATCGTACCCAGTTATCGTGACCCTGCAATGTGTGTGCCATTTCGAAACCTCCTTTGCTTGCCTGAAAAATGTAAATAAAGATGCGTTTATCCGTGTGACCCGTGGCAAGGACAGGCACTGGACACTCTCGTTATTCAACCATCCATCGTCAAAAAATCCAAATAGCTTTTTTGCTATTTCTCAATATACCTTTGGTTCCGGGTAAATAGGACAACGCCATGGCCAAGGGATATTTCAGATCGCATTGCAAGGTTTGGACACACATAACATTATCTAATGGATTATATCGTCCACGTGGTTGGTAACAGTTTGGACGTATCAGCCTATACGTGGTTCTAGCCCTTACCTGTCGTATCGTCCACAACGGTGCGTTCCCAAATGCGAATGGTGCCGTCGGCCGAACCGGTAGCGATCAAATCTTTGTCGGTGTCAATTACCGAAGCACGCATGCAGCCTAAAGTTTCAATAGCGCCGGTGTGGCCTTGGAGCGTGGCGGAATTGACCCACTGAGTGAAAAAAAAAAAAAAAAAGAATTGCATCGATCGTCAACCCTGCTATGATACGGCACAGATGCGTCAAAATACCTTGTTGCCCGACTTTTTCCAAATCTTGGCGGTATTGTCTGCTGATCCCGATATCAACGCTACGTCCTCGAGCTTGGCTTCGTGACCTGAGACAAAAAGCATAAGTTGGCCGTGGTTCTTTTAGGATAACGTTTAAATGCCTCCAGACCAACACGTTACCTCTTTGAATAAAATCGACACAAATGACACGATCACTGTGACCAAGAAGAGTCTGCTGAATGCCGTGGCTGGTAGGCAACTATATATTTTTATGGTAATTTAGCCTGCGATGGCTGGATCGTAAAGAGGGAAAGAAGACGTTTACCAGTGGATCGTAAAGGGCGATTAGCTTTTCTGCACCGAATGCAAGCAAACCATTGACGCCCCACGCGGCGGCGTGAGCTGTACGGTTGCATCCTACAGTAATAAATTCGGTCGAAACGCTCGGCATGATGGATATAAGACGCGAATGCGACTGAATGCCTCGATTCAACTGGAGTTGCAAGGGAAAAGAACCAAAACCCCGTCCAATCGACTCGTCGATTTCCCCGTTGTGACTCGATTTCTTTCATTAAGCAGCCACTGTTGTGTGCATGAAGAGCTTGAGACGTCGGCGTCTGAAATACACATGAATTTAGAAACGACGAAAGCTGGGATAAGCAATAATCGAATATGTGGTCCAATGGAAGCAAAAATCGCCACGCCAGTATGTCAATATAGCAAATGTAGTTAACGTATCTGTGGCTTCTGATGGGTGTCTGCTGGCCGGAAAAAACCATGGTTGACCGTCAAGGGTTGTTCGCTGGGACCGTCGACGAGTTGGTGGTTTGCAAAGTCTCAAAGCGTCAACTATAACTTACAGTGGAAGAAAGAAAAAAGAGGTAATTGCTGCAAGAAAACCCAACTGGGATATTTTTACGTGAAAGCGTTCACCAAAGATCTTCTTATGTCTTGATTGGAAAATCAAAACTGAAGAAGTATCGAACAAATTCTTTTTCACAAACACTCAAGCTTGACCTATCCTGTGGCCTTCTTTTCTGTTTGGTTTTGCAAACCGGAGACAGCAGAATAATCAAAAGTTTACAGTAATAACTTTAGAAATTTATTGAACGTATCATTAATCCTGCATGATACTATATAATTGACTAGTAATGCCAATTCCCTTTAAAAAAAAATACACATACGATTACAACTTTCACTTTGTAACTATAAATAAAACAGTAGACATATCGAGTGAACATGTAAGCGTAGGATTATCCGCTCTAGTGTTCATGCTTGCCGGGACGTTGCAAGTCCATAGCCTATAGCAGAAAAGAAAAAGGTCAGTTATACTATTCAGACGGCAACAAGTGGAGTAAATCTTACCTGAGTCATCTTGAAGAAAAGATCCCAGTTTTCATAGGTTCTTCCAAAGAGTTCCGAGCTGGGACCGTTGGCGTAGATGAACACATCAGAGATGGAGTGAACGCCGACCTTCTTGTCAACAGGAAGGTTACCGTTCCACTTGAGACCAGCTAGAAAAGAAAAAAAAGTTTAGATTCAGCAATAAAATCACAGGTGATATTCTTTGAGATACGGTACCTCCAAAGTTGCCGACTTCGTCCTTCTCGCTGGCGCGCCACCAGTGACCATCCTTTTCGGAGCCAAAGCGAGGACCGGACTTGGCGAGTTGCCATGCTTCGTAATGGTCGGGAGCACCGGCTGTACCAGCAGCAAGAGTAACACGAGGGTTCTGTTAAAAAAAAGTAAAAGATCTCAATTAGCAATGATATTCGGTGGGGCGCAATGTTTTTTTTTTTTTGTGTGTGTTTGCAAGAGACTTACCCAGTTGTCAGGGAAACCATCACCATCTTCGTCGAAGTAACCGGGCCAACCAGCGCGTTCGTAGACACCAATAGCGTTACGCTTTTCTTCTTCACCGGTTTGCTTGGCAATGTATTCTTGGTCAACGGAACCCCAGACATCGAACGAGTGAGTGTGATCAGCAGTCACCAAAATAAGGGTATCTTCGAATTCGCCATTCTTCTTGAGCCATTCAACGGTCTTCTTCACAGTAACATCAAGTTCAATCAATTCAGCCCAGGCACGGGGGTAATCCAAACCGTGGAGCTGCTTGTCAACGGAAGCGGCTTCGGACATCAAGAAGAAACCGTCCTTGCCACCACGCTTCTTCAACACTTCAAGAGCCTTCAAGGTCATGTCATCTAAACCGGGCTGGTCAGAACCTGGATTAAACAAAAAAAGAGTTTAGATCATTGTTCTGGAACATGGGTAGAGCATGTGTGAAAAAACTTACCAAGAGCATCCTTGCCGCTCATATCGGGAGCAGCCTTGTTGCCAATGGTGTTGTTGACGAAGATGTTACGTTCGAACCAGCTATAAAAAACCAAAAAGGAAAAAAGAGTGATGAGTATGATGTGATTCTTGGTTTGGAAATTCGAGAAAGACTTACACATCCAAGTTGCCCTGACGGAAAATACCGAGGAGCTTCTCATCATCGTGGTACTTCTTCAAGTCCTTCTTGTTCTGGACCAACTTGTAGCCCAAGTTCTTGAACTTTTCATAGTAGTCAGCACCGTTAAGAGCTTCTTCGCCCTTGAAGAATTCAGCTCCGCCAGTGAGCCAGACATCAGGAACGGCTATTGAATTACAGTGAGTACAACAAGGTTGAACAAGCTTTTGTGCCGCTATTCTTACCAGGACCAACCCAGTTGGGGCTGCCATTGATAACTTGATCAATGATTTCAGCGTGAGTGTCACGGTCACGAGTGTGAGCAACGAAAGCTGAAGGAGTAGCATCCTAAAAATTGAAAAGTAAGGTTAGCTTTCTGTTTAGCTCATCGGAACTTATTATTGGTACTTACACCACCGGAAGCAGTAGTAACAATACCGATGGCTAAAAAAAAAAAAAAAAAAAAAAAAAAAAAAAAAAAAAAAAGCGAGTGAGTACCAATGCAAAATAAATCGGACAAGATAAAAATGAAGCGTACCCTTCTTGGGTTGACGGCGACGGATAAGTTCGGTGATGGTTTCGACCTTGGGATCATCAAAGGGATCCTTGGACGAGTCACAGTAGACACCCAAAGCATCGGGGCTCGATTTGTGACCGGTAGAGTAAGACGAAGCGGAATTGGCCGAGTCAGTGGCAATACTGTCCACGGAGTTGGTGATGATGTGACCCAAGTGGTCAAACTTTTCAAAGTTCAAGAAGTCGTGGTACTTGCCAGAAGTATGGGCGCGAGCAACAGCACGAGCAGCGGTGATCATCTAAATTACCCTTATTAGGCTCAAGTTTTTTCTTCCTAAAAAGGAAAAATAAAGCGCATTGGTTTTACTTACACCAACGTTGGTACCATCAGAAATGAACAAGATGACGTTCTTTGCTTTCTTCTTGGGGCGCTTGGGCTATTGATTGATTGAAAAAAATAAAAATTCGTTAATGCGCTGCAAAATAGCCTAGATCAGTAGAAAATCTTGTTTCATACCTCGACAACAGTGTATTGGACAGTGTAGCTCTGCTTGGGACCGTATTGGACCTTGACTTGGTAAGTACCAGGCTTGTCAAACTTCACCTTGCGCCAGGCACGGGAAGTGACATCCACGTTAATGGGGTTGCCGGTACGGTTAAAGTTGTGGGCATAGGCATTGTCGATGGTGTTGCGCCAGGTGAAGTTCCAGCTTTCCATTTCAGGGGTCGACAAATCAAAGTACTTGCTGGCATCCTCCCAGCGACCATTGTCACGACGGACCAAAGTCTTGAAGTTGTCAAAAACAGGAGGGGTAGGCTTGGAAGCATCCAAATCATAAGCGTGCATTTCCACACGAAGATCAAAGTAACCGCCAGGCAAGAAGGTGGAACTAAAAATGATTTTCAGGGGATCCAAATGAATTCAGTTAACCAAAAAAAAAAAAAAAAAAAGCACAGAGTGAATGCAGGAACAATGATGATCCTGCCAAACAATAATGGAGACTTACACATCGGGAGGGAAAATACAGGCGTGAGCATCGGGACAGGCACCAAGACGAGGGTATTGACCCTCAGGATCAGGGCGCAAGACATAGTCGGATTTGGAGCCAGCCAACGCAATGGAGCAAAGCGTGGCCAAAGAGGTAAGAAGGAATCCCGTCTTCATGGTTTCAAAGGATCAATGAATTGAAACTGAGGTTTTCCAATGGGTCAGAAAGTGGAGCGAGAATAGGCGCCCTTTATATTCATGTTGGAGTGGTGGTGCCTGAAGCTGTCTTTGATTTCTTTCCCGGTGGTTCTCATCAGGTTACCGATTGTAATTGGTAGAATATATCACCAAATCCGGTATTATTCACACAGGACATGGCCGGGAAGACAGCTAGTCTCCGGTTTACCAGAGATTACCGAGGTAACCAAAACCGTTTCCCCGGAAAATGTACCTCACGTATCGTGGATATACCTGGTAATTGCATCGGACAAGCCCCACTATAGAATTTCAGTGTCACCGTCATTTTCTGTGTACCGCATGAATGAAGATCATTGGTTTGTATTCCGACCATGTGACACTTCCCATAGTGCCCCACCTTTGGCCGCCGCCAGTTTCCAGTCGAAATTCTCGGCCATCGATCTGTGCCATCCTCGGGACTTTGCAATATATGAGCCATTATACATCCTAATAAAATGGTAAAAAAGAGAAAAAAAAATTAATAAACAGTGAATTTTATAAAATGTCAAACATGTCATGATGCCCAAGGTTTATATCATGTCTTGCCCTTTCAAATCCTCTATTTGATCCGGTCAGTAAAAAAAAAAAAAAAAAAAAAACGCAAGTCGCCAATAAAACTCATGTCAAGCTTTTTTTTTTCAATTGGTGATGATGATCACGTAAATGGTAATCTCTTTTTTTCATTTCAGAAGTAGCTATTCTACTATTTTTCATGTTTTTACCGGTGGAGATAAGCAATCTCTGTTTTCCCACCAAAGGTTGCTCAAGTACAGTAGTGATGACATCCAAGCATCACGTTGAAAAAAAATTGGTTCAATACTGTAACGGGATGCACTTCCATAAGCGCTTAGTGCTTACCATGTTCTGCCATGCTATTTTACTTTGTGACTAATGGTTTTTGCGAGCTGATTCTTGGAGTGCGTAGTAGCCTTTTTTTTTCAATTCACATTCTTTAGTGTGGCACCAATGAATGTGAAATATGAATTGAATGGCCGCGTCTGACAAAGAAAAAAAAATGGGCCGTCTTTTCGTTACTCCATGACGGGATCAATCCCATTATTCAGTTTGTCATTCCCCAGATTTCAAAAGACTGGATTTTGGGCGGCCGCCGTGGGAGCTGTCGAGAAAAACTGGAGAAAAATGGACACCACTCCGTATCCGGTCCCAATGAAAAAAGATAAGGGAAATTGGAAAATGAATGCCATTTACGAGCGTCCCATTTTCCTGATGTCACAGACTCTGGGGAAAAGGGAGTTCCAAATGGAACATTATTTCCTAAATCGTTAATATTTACGCGTTATTCCCGGAACAATGAAGCGGCTGGTTTCGTTGACTCGGAAGATAGGTAGGTAGCCAGGTAGGCAAGGTTGGACTGGTTCAACCAGCAAGTTTTTTTCTTTTTCTTTTTTTTAAACGGAGACATAGGACCGTCATAATGCCCATTCATATCCGTGGAGCCATTTACCGAAATCTCCAACTCCTTACACTGGACCAAAAAGTTGACCGGTCAACCCCGCTCCTCATCGAGAAATACCGCCATTCACCAGCCTTGTTTTTGAATAGAAAATGGAAATAAGCAATGATGGTAATTGAATAAAAAAGTTGACATGCGCGCGAATCATTTCCTTAAGGTTCATTCATCTACTGTCCAGCGGTTATCTCGATCATGTGAGACCTGTTATCTTCTACTTTTTCCCCTTGACCTTCCGATAGAAAAAAAAAGGGGGGGAGAGAGGGAGAGCAAAGGCGCTGGGAAATTGGATGTTTGACGGGTGAAGACATCAAAACGCTTGCCGCGAATTGATCATTGCCTTGACAAAAAGAATAATCAACAACCTGGTTTTTTTACGGGAGAGATCATTCAATGGGTTTCTTTTTTACTTTTGCCGATAGCTCTCTCATATTCTACGGCTGCATTTTACCCCAGTATTAAAACTCTTTTGGTTGATGGAACGGTTGCACGGAAAAAAAATGACAAGAGATTATGGCTATTTGACTTTATAAGGGTATTTTACCAACCAATGATTTGTTTTTGGCGGCAATAACATAACCCAAAACGTTATCTTCTGTCACAATCAACATGTATTTATCCAATACATCCGTTTTGCATCTTGGCCATACACTTGCATACTGCATTATGCCTTTACCTGTTATCAGATGAACGCTAAAATAATTGACGTTCTATTTTAGTGTGGAGGATTATCGCCATGATCGGATCTTTGAAGCGGCAAAACGGTCGGATCTCCGCAACATACAACGCCTTTTTTTTTCTCACCAACGAATCGTACCACTGTCCCAAACAATCGTCAAGCCTGATTTTGCTTTCCCCAGGAATCGGTGATTCTAGCTGAGCATCAATCCCTTGGTACCACTTTTGTCCAACGCTATTCAGAAGAAAGAGCTCGCTTTGGAAAGTCCCTCCTAACTCAGCCTTCGCGGCTCAAGATAAGAATCGTATATCGCCTTGCCATACACAGGCTCATAAAGAAAAAAAAAGTGAGTCAGTAAATACTTACATGGCATTGTCAAATGCTTAATTGATAAAGGTTAACTCATCAAGAATCCCGTATCACGCAACGCCATTAATCTGTCAATTTTTTCGAAAAGAGTTGAGCAAATGGAATGGTTGTTTTACGACTCGATATTGCAATCGCTGAAAAACATTGCAGTTTTACGTATGGTAGCAAATTCGCTGAAGAAGATGGACCTTTTCACTGTTGTTCCTGAAAAATCATCAATCGGAATTGAAGTTCTTTTTTACTCTTCAGCTTCAAAGCCATCACCTCATAATTACAAAATCATATACTGAACTTTGGACATTGAGTAAACAAATATACACCGTCTGCACTTGCTTCTACAGTACTGTTTATTGAGATGACAGCATGCTTCGTTATATTAGTTCTAAACTTTGATTGACCGACAATTGCTGGCGAAAGCTTCTAAATTTCATTCCTCTTTTTACGAATAACCTTTAGAATGATTTTCAAATCATACAAATATAATACAGTACAACTCTTCTGAAACTTGTGCTGGGAATGTGGAATCCGTATGGGGTTCAACATGAAAAGAAGGTTTAAGTTCTATATTGCTGTTCAGTCGAGATAAATAATAGGCAAAAAAACTAACAATGGTTGCAAATAAAAATATATACCAACATTGGATCTTTATTGAAAATAAACAGACATAATGTAAAAATAGGGTAATTTTTCATGTGCTTTAAACTGAAAGAAGTGTCAAGTACATCAGAAACATAGAAAAGGCAAGTTAGCCATTATTAGAAACGCTGAATCCAGCGGACACGCTTACTCAAGACGATTGAGTATTTATAATGAGTCGTGGATTAGGATTACTCGGAAACTGTGTCATCTCATCATCAATTCTCTTGGATCTCAATTTTACCCGAACCAAGAGTTAACTGCACCAGCTGTATGATATACGACTGCTTATTACACAGTTGGTGAAATAGGATGAACATGCATACAAATAAAAAATATGGCGTATAAAATCAAACGAACAATATTGTACACAACATGATCAATCACATAGCCGACACGAACATCATCAATTCGACCTCTCCTTTGACAGGAATATTCACCTTTGCATAAGTCCCAATATTCTTTCTATCGGTCATCATCCCCTCCTCAGACCAAGGTATCATACATGTATCGAAACTTACTTCAAAGGGGCGATTACTCAAGAATTATATTGAACCTGCTATTCATTGCGTGCTAAACGATCTTATTCTCAGTGTCGTTGACATTTTGAGCGTTACATTTTTAATCCTAACGGATACATCAAACAAAGTCCGATAATGTAACAAATCAACTTCTATTATCGTTTTTGCTGATGCCGAAATAATGAGTGAATTAATCGACAACGATCAGCAATAAAAAGATGACCAGGAAAAAAAATTCTATGGTAAGCAGATCGCTTGATGATCTTTTTTAATCAATCCATAAACTATTTGCGAGAGAGGATGGGTATAGGTAATTTAAATTGTTTCAAATGGACCGAGACTGATGATATTATGATTAACACTATCGTTGCAGATAGTCATGGCTTAATGCTTTTTCTGGATCAGATGTCGATGGCAGTGATGGAGAGGCACCAGCAGCTCTTTGGATCTTATCCCATCGTTCGTGTTGCCATTGTCGGTCACGAGCAAAGACCCGTTTGAGCGATTGCGGCGGTCGCATATTCTTCAATTCGCTCCGTTTGGTCCTGCTAGGAGGGAGGTTGCCGACCATTTCTACAGGTACTGCTTCCGGAGGCACCACGGGAGGAGGCGGAGGAGGGATAAAGTAAAACGAGGATCCTACATAGGAAGCAACCACCAGGGTCCAATGGATCTGACGGTCGATCATTTAGTCACTTTATTAGGATTCGAGCGTTGCAAAGGACTTACATAAGTAATATACATGACTACCAAGCACGACAGCGACCATTTGACTTCGTCTTGGTACAACCGATTGCAGTTGTAGTAATCAGAGGCTATATTGAGCGTAGCATTTTGAAGGCTGCCTTGATTGTTCTGCTGAAAATCGTGCTGAACCCGTTTCTGCGCATCCTCGATACACCGCGATTGGAAATCGTCGCTGTGGATCAGGAAAAGTACAAAATTCACCAGCGTGTCGGCCAATACGGCAATGACAAAGAATCCAATCACATAGGCCAGGGATCGCACTTGAGCGTATCGTGGCTAAAAAATAATCGTGGTTACATCTTTTTCACTGTCTCGGGGACGACCATTCACAAAGAGCACTTACAAGTACAAACATAAGAATGAGCATGATCAGACTAACCAATCCAAAGATCAAATTTACCACCCCAAAGATAATCAATGGTGCTTCATGAATGTAGGAAAAGAAAGCTAAAGATTTTATCATGGCAACGTGGTGAACTTTTTGACCTGTACAACGGCGATTCCATGAGAGAAAACTAAAAGGGGACCTACGGCTGCTCTGCATAAACGCCATGACGGCAAAATAAAAGCTAAACCCCTTTTGATCAACAACAACGAGTATTAATTACTTCATTCTTGTATTGATAACCGACACCGACGCCGTGCCTACCGTCCATATAATACAGGCTAATATACTGCCTAGTCGGTTATTGATGCATCCGCAGCATAACGTATGTAATCGGGCGACTTGGTAACGGTTTAGAAACGAATCAAAAGGTGCCATTCTTTCGAAAACTCAATGGCAAACGGAACGTAGAAAACAATAGTAAAAACGATAAGACGAATGAATAAGAAAAATACTGCGTCGAATGGGGAAAAATGCACTTTTTTTTTTAAATGATGAATGAAGAAGTGATATGTAAACAAATAACCCAATTAAGTAATCGCTAACTCTGGAAATTGTATGCATACAGGATGATTTTTTTTTTCTTTTCTTGTTCATGTGTGTCCGCAGACTAAGCTTTTTAAGCTGTCGAGCCAAAGGTATTGACAACGTGTTGCCGAATGGTCGCCAATGGATTCTGCTGGAATGCCGAGTGTTGCATAACTTTTTGCATTCGTACAATTTCCTGCATTCTATGACAAAGAATCAGTATTACAGATAAGTCATGATCCTTCCTATACCCCCCTCTTTTTTCACTTACTGAGCCTTCTTTCTATTCTTCTTGTGTTTGATCTTATCCGAGGGAATGGCGGCTTGTTTTACGTTGGTTGGCGTTGCGGGTTCGGACGGGGTTGGTTTGGCTTGTTCGGTCATTTTGGTGTGAATGCTGTTCAGGATATCTTCGAATTCGGTCATGTCGGTTTGCAGATCGGCATTGGTGGCTTTTCTCTGCTGTCTTTTCTGTTGCTTCTTTCGTGTGGTATAAGCATTATCAAGTTCTGCAAGTTTATCCACGTTAGATTTCACTTTTGTCATTTCCTTCCTTTTATTTATTTATCGAAACTTACTCTCCAACCATGCTTTATGACGCAACTTTTGCTTCAACTTTTTGTCTGAAACTAAAGGCTTGTCGTTGGCTGGGACGGTCTATGAGGGGAAAGGATTGGAAGGGAAAGGTTGAGTGTCAAGACAAAGTAATGATCTGATGTTTCTCTTAACATTACCGTAATTTGATCCTGGTCAACCACGATTTGTTCCAGCACTTGTTTTTGTGGTACGGCAAACTTTCGATTTCTCACACTCGTGTCCTGCGACTTTCGGCTTCTCGAGATCTTTGGCATGGTTTACTTGATCAAGAAATAAGATCGAGTCAAAATTTTCAAACCGCTTAAAGTTGATGACGTTTCAGCCGTCTAGAAGAATTGCCTGATATGGCAGGCGCCATCCCAATGTGATTTCGAACCACAAGGAAATTTCCACTGCCGCAGTCTCATTGTATTGTTTGTTCTTCGTTTTTCCTCAACATTTTTCTAAATGGCTTACTATACCAATCCTCCACCTGCATACGAAGAAGAAGCTCGTCAGCCACTGTTTGGTGGCGATGAGCCGGACGACATGTATAAAGTGGGCAATGCCCCATTCGATATTCGCATGCGTAAGTTTCTGCATAATCCGACGCTAGTCTATTTCTTCATGTTGATGCTGACATTATTGATACCTAGAATTTGTGCGCAAGGTCTACTCCATCTTGACCGCTCAGATTCTCGGCACCATTATTCTTTCGTCTGTCTACATGTACAACAGTACAGTGCAGCATTTCGTACAGTCCAAGTAAGTGCGCCGCTGTGGGTGCGAGTTTATGCAACACCGTCACCGGAGGCTAACATTAGGCCATTGGATAGTGTTTGGCTTTTGTACATTTCCATGTTTGGCGGTTTGGGAGCCATGTTGGCTCTCATGTGGAAAGGACGATCGACCCCGCTCAATTATATCCTTCTTGGCGTGTTTACATTGATGGAAAGCCATCTCGTTGGCACAGTGGGTAAGTTGACTTACGGCAAAAAATTACTGGGTGGTTTACCCAAAATATTGTTGCTGACAAGAAAAAAAACTAGTCACCTTTTATGATCAAGTCATCGTACTTCAAGCTTTGATCATCACTTTTGGCGTTTTCTTTGCACTTACCATGTTTACGCTCCAGTCGAAATGGGATTTTAGCGGCATGGCACCAATGTAAGTTTGGTGAACTCGGTGATTAGGATGGATAAAGATCGATAGCTTATGAACTTTGGTTTTTTATTAGATTGTACGCTGGTATCTGGATCTTGTTGATTGCGGGCATTGTGCAGATTTTCATTCCCTTCTCGGAAGGATTCCAATTGGCATTGGCTATCGGCGGTGTGGTGATTTTCAGTGGCTACATTATTTTGGACACTTACCTCATCTTCAACCGATATTCCCCCGAGGACTACATCATGGCTTCTGTCAGTCTCTACATGGATATCATCAACTTGTTCCTCCGCATCTTACAGATCCTTAATGCCATGCAGAGAGATTAAAGTAATGCCTCGTATCATGCGGCAGCATTTATAATATGATTTGTCCGCTTCTCCTTGCAATTTATGATACTCGTACTCTACAGTGTACCTCTCTAGGATGCTGTTTTTAATTTTCAATACATTACTTTTTTCAAAAAGACGAGTGATGGAATTTTTTAAAAGTTAATTGGCCAGCCAATATCTTATTTGGGTTGGTAAAAAAAAATTACTCAAAAATGCAGTATGTGAAAATGAACTAGACGGTGCCACTACGATCCCGATGCTGATGCAAATAAGTGTCGCGCAACAGTTTGGAGGTTTTGACAGACTGCACAGCAGATCGGTCAGAGGCGGAGGCATCGACGATTTCCAAAGACGGATCCAGGGAAAGACTGGGAATCATGTCGGAAACGTGATTGGCCTGAAGGGCGTTGTTGCTGGTAGCAATGTGAATCAGTGAGGAATCGTTGGACAATGCAGGAGGCAGCGGTCGCTCATCGACGTTCTCATGCAATCGGAAAGGCGTGTTGTTGAGAGAAACGTCTTCCACTTGACGACGAAGTGAGGAACTGCTGTAAGAGCGGACAACTTTATCGGATCGAAAGGATAAGAAACCAGCTAGACGCTTCGTGACCGAGGCGCTGGACGACGCTCTGGGACGTAGTTTGGGACGTGAGTGAGAAGAGGACGCTGAGGGGGTTTCTTCGATGCTGTCGGCGGTTTCAAGTGTGGGCATGGCCGGTAAACTGGGATGACTACGAAGGGCCTGGATAGGAATGGATTGAGGAAAGAAATCTTCAAATTCGGCCATGTTGCGATTGGGGCCTAAAGAACTGTTGGAGTTGCTACGCGATCGATGGGAAGATGGAGACATGGACCGAGCTGATATTCCGGCCAAAGATCGACTACCCCCACTGTACGTCCGTGACCGATTCCATACACCCAGAGAGGGACTGGAAGTGGTTGGTTCCAAGCCTTCCGTGTCGATGTACGGATTGCAAGAATCGGCGATTGGGGTGGCCGTGGCTGGTGTGTCGGCAAAGAGAGCACGGATACGGTCTTCATTATCGGTCCAGTGAGCTTTGCACAGACGATATTCGAGCGCGATGGGCTGACGGATGACGCGCTCAATGAAGCGACCTCTGACAACAAAGGATTCGAAAAAGGGGCCACGACAAAAGGAGCACACCTTGGGTTGAGCAAGATACTCCTTGATATGGGCGGACATATGAGTGGGAATGGAAAGCTGTGCACGGACGGCAATACGTGCACATTGTTCGAACAGTGAGGGAGGATCGTGATGAATAGGGTATTCAAACTGTTCGACAAAGTCGCAGTCTTCGGCAGCAAGACGGCGTAAAGACTGCAGTGTGGCGATTTCGGCCGGCAAAGATTTCAAGGGATTTTTGGAAACGTTGAGCGAGATGAGATCGTGTAAATTGGCCATTTCCGGAGGCAGTTGCGTTAATTTGTTATCGTTGAGAATGACGATGACTAGTTTTGGTAAATCACCCATGGATTCAGGCAACTGTTGCAGCTGATTGAATCCAAGATTGAGCACTTTAAGTTTGGACAAGAACGAGATGGTATCCGGAATTTCTTCCAATTCATTATGCGACGCATTCAGGAATCGCAACGATTTCAGGTACCCAATTTCCGGTGGAAGACTCTTCATCTTGTTATGTGATCTATTCTCCCCCAGCATCGCGCCAAAAAATAGACAAATCACCGTCAATAAAACACATTCACACAAAAAGCCAATACAGAGAAAAAAAAAAAAAAAAAAAAAAAAAGAGCTTACAGGTTGAGTTTGGTCAGATTGTGCAAAAAGGCGATACTGGGACTGAGCTTGATCAAGGATTTTCCCGACAAATCAACGGCGACGGACGGACTGGTCAAGCGTCGAGGACGACGTCGAGTGGGGGTGACTTCACCAATAGTCAACTTGGTCACTTCTCGATGGGTATTGTCGACGGGTCCATTGGCGGATTCCAACTGCAGCAGTTCCCGTTCCATAGGATCGTCGTTGCTCATGTAGTGAATAATATTGGGGTAATAGGTCTTGTCGACATACTCCAAATCATTGGCCAAATCGTTGCGTACCAACGATAGCCGCTTACTTTTACGACAGATGGCACATTCTTCGGCCACAGCGGTGGCGACAATCATATCGTCGTTGACTTCTTCGGATCCAGCCGCAGGTATCGCTTGCTTGTTTTGATTGCAATGATTTTCACAAGCCATTTCCAATCGATACAGGTGTGGATTGGCCAAGACGAAATCCTGCAATCTTGTTGCTGGTTCTGGTTGGTCCACGGTATCCGAAGCCGGTTCGGGAGCGGCTTTATTGATGTAAGCAAATGTCAAGGGACCATGCTGTTTACTGGCTTGCTGACCCATGGCGGTGGATAGGAAAAAGAGTCTGAAGGACGCAGAAGGAAAGAACAAGGTCAGGTCTTTGTGTTCTTTTTTAGTTCTTTTTCCATAGAAAATAGGTGGGTTTTCCCTCACCAGTTAAAAAAGGAGGATCTGAGTTTACACGATACTAGTTTTTTTGACGCTCAAAAATGGAAAGTACCATCTGGGAATTTGTGTCACCTTGGTGTGTCTCAATAATATGTCTTGGTGCGTGAGAGATTTATTCATCGTTTTCCTTGGTCGGCAGATTCACCAACTTGACGGGTGAAGACATGCAGGCTTTGTTTTGTCCCATGCATCTCACAAGAACAATGCTTCGCATAGTTCAACTTGCCTTCATGTTACAATTCCGGACATCTTGCTGCCAAGTTCTCGCACGCACTTGCGGAAAAAGCGAAGCGCCCTTCTTCCAGCTCTTTATTCTTTGTGAGAGTCTTTATTTTACAGAAGGAGGACTCATGAGAGTGGTGAGAGGGGGAGAGAAAAGCAAAGACGGTTAACTCCTTGTGCCTCAATATTTCGTATCTTCATAAACTATCTACTTGGAGCGTATTAAAACTCGTTGAACCTGAGTCAAGTGAAATACATGGTAACGGATTCCTTGTCCATAACTATGGAACTCGCATAATGCGCACGAGATCCGTTCACATCAACATGGTCTTTCCATTTCATGGTCAGAGCGTTCGATTGCTTTTAATAAGCCTTGCTGCAATATGGGACCATCAATAATTTGTTCGAGTTTCGTGCGGAGCATCTCGTCTAGCTGCTGTTGAGCATCTTGAACGGTCTGACATTACATTCATCGCTAGCCACAAACGCTCCTCTGAAACCGGGATCAATATCTCAAAGCCGGACGAATTTCTAATTCCCACTTTTTTGCACATCATTTTTCATCTATCAGGTGACGATCGATGAGGGGACCGCCTGAAGAAATGGATGTGGCATCAACATCGTCAATCCAAGAAATAAACATGGATTATGGATTGAAACCATTTCATCAAACCTGCGCTCGTCATAGAAACCACTTGAGATTATATTTAAACGATTGCACCGATTTTGCTCAGTTGCTTACTTATATCCAATGAAAGAAAGCGTGTAGATCCATTTGCATGTTTTCTATTCTATTCCCAATCCACAGAATCCCTAAAGACAGATCTGTTTTTGTCGTACGCATCCTATCGGATTCTCTACAATCAACATGCGATCTATTCATCTTGCTTTATTTCCATTTTTCTGGCAGCAAAAGTTGCTTTAAATACTCATCCGCCATCCGAGCTGTACTTGCCGAGAATATCGATGGTGCCTCTTCTTTGTCACCAACGCGTACGTCTCCATTAGTACTAACAGCGAAAATTTCAAATATATCCTGATTTTCGACGTCTAGATGGTTTGCTGGCGTCTTGATTACTTGGTCAACTATTTCATTGTGCCGTTATTTTTGGCTGCTGGTGTAAAACTTGATGATCGCTGAACGGTAAAATTTTTTGATGACCGAGGACGGTCATGGTCCTATCTATACGAGGCGTTTGTTGGAGTACGCGCGTTGTGCATGATGTTTTTAATTTTTTTTTTTCTTTCTTTGCTGGCATTTTGAGTGACACATGATCTGCAGCGTTTTCTGCCGAGTGCCAACTTTATTGAGACGACGATCCCCAATCGGGATGATGAATTCTAATTTCAGGAAGCATCCATGTGGACTTAACGATATGACGAATAGTTGCATGACATGATGTGGAAACGAATCGTGGTTTTAAATTCCTAAAACTGACTGGTAGACCATTTCTTTCCCCCAAGATAAACCAATGGCGTCGTTTACCTTTCAACTGTCCTCGGTGTATCCAACACAAAAAGGTCGCCGCAAGATGAAACATGAAACAATCATGCTCTATAGGATGGCACATGAGAAGCAACGATAAGTGTCATAGCAAGTATTACTATTAAACAAATACACGTCATTGACAAAAGGAGAAAAGGGGAAAGCAAAATGATCATAATTACATGGAGCCAAAAAAAAAAAAAAAAAAAAAGAAATAACCAGAGGAATATAATATTATACCTGTAACGTTGTTTCGGAGAAAACTAACGAAGCACGCGGTAACATTTAAATAGAATCATTCCCATTAAGAAGAAAGTAATCATTCGATGAGAGTAACAAGTCGTTCACATACACAATTCAAAAGGAAAACAGAAAGAAAAAGTTATGAAAGCAAGCAACAGAACGAATAGGCTTGCGAGCGAATCTATTGTTTCTTGGTCGATGGTGCGTTTAGGTAATGAGAAAATAAAAAAACGCCACGAACAAAAGGGTATTTTTTTTGGTTCTGTTTTGTTGGATGATCGATAAATTAGGGAGAGAAAGTATGAAATAGGCAGCAATTAATCCCAGCAAATAGTAAACTCCTGGTTCCCGACAATCACTTTGCTGGGTACACCATCGGGTTGCATCGGTCGGAAAGGCCGCGCACCATCATCTTGTGATAACCGTTGAAGAAGAATGGTCGCATGAATGGTTTCAATGATATCCTGCGCCACCAAGGATGGAGAAGGCGAGGATTCAAGGGGAGACCATGACAGTTGTGATGACATCGGTGATAAATTAGGTTCGGATGAGTGATGAGAACTGGGCGTTGAGGGTGAAGAAGGGGAACACAGACCGGTGGTCTGGATAGGCGGTAACAGGATACTGTGATTAGGGGAGGAGGAAGACGAGGGTGATGAAGAAGACGAGGAAGGTTGATGGATAGATGAAATGCTGGGTGTGCGAGATGGTGGAGGAAACGTTTGAACGACTCGAAAAGACGGTGATTGGTTTGAATATATGTGAGATAAAGAGCGGTGAGAGGGAGAGGTAGAGGTAGAGCCAACCGAGGAAGGGGACAACCGATGGGAAGATGGCCGAGCCACGGTGGAGATAGTGGAATGTGATTTGGACAAGTCGGTCTCGTCTTCCAAGTCATCCGACATGGATACATCGTCGTCTTGGTCTTGTTGTTGGTGGTTTAATAAGCGGGAGACGGACATCCGGTTATTTCTCACCGGTTTATTGGTGGAGCGCATGGGTTTATCACGAGATTTTCGCGCATAATCGCGTTTGTAGGGAGATCTCATTTCACGCAGCGTAGTGTAATTACTGCGTCGTTGGGCCGACTTGAGATTCGGAGCACTCTTGGGATCGAGCAAAAGACAACCATACTCGGGATGCGACGGATCAATGGCTTCAATTGGAAACCGAGGACCAAATATGGGCACGAGATCCTTGCGGACATTCCACGCCGTACGCTTGCAAAGAATGTATGCGAACTCATACGGAATCCTGTGCAAAGGAGACAAGAATAGAAAAAAGAAAAGTAAGGAGACAGAACGATTTGAGTGGCAAATAGCAACGTAAAAAACGAATAAAGCCATCATTCAATGGGGCGTAAACAATAGAAAAACAAAAAGTATCGAGGGAGAATTTTGGGTCACGTACCAAGTTCCCTGGATCTTGAGAAAGCCTCCTCGAATTTTTTTGACCTTGAGTTCCGGGTTGGAGTCGACCATCTTGACAATGTCCGATTTGGAGTTGCCTAATGACTTCCAGATACCGGTGAAATGGACATAACCTACAGAGACAACGAACAGGACGAACCCAAAGGAAATAAAGAAAGAAAAAAAGAAAAACAGAGAATTTCGTATAAGGTTAAGATTTGATAGTACATTATGCATACGCGATATAAACTTACCCGATTCACGATCCCACATGATAGGTTGCCCGTTGATAATGTACTCGTAAACTAATCAAGTTTTCAAAACGATGAGTAATGAAGTTGAATTGCTACAAACTAGCGCCGCCCACACAAGGATGACGCAAGGTGGAATAGAGGGTGTTTTGGGAAATGGATAATTTACCAGGAATATAGCCCCGAGGATCCAAGGATGTGGAATATTTAGCCTTTTTCACTTTGGGTAGACGTTGGGTCGGAAGGGAAAAAGGTCGAAATTTCGGACAATCATTATCCATATTATCCATCATTGACATTGTTTAAAAAAAAAGATGATAATTGAAAAGTTCGAACCGAAAATGAAAAGAGAGGAGTGACCTGCGAGAAGAGAAGAAAAAAAGAAAGAGGAAGAATAAGAAAGCAAGCGAGAAAAGGGCGGGTTTTAAAAAAGAAAGTGGTGAAAAAAAAATCAAGGGGCTTTTTGTTGAAAGGGGGGATTTGTGTGTGCGTATGTGTGTGTGTGTATATGTTGAAAATGGGCAAGGCAAGTGACTAAGTGATGAAAGATAGACAGTTGTGTGTGTGTGTGTGTGTGTGTGTGTGTGTGTACTGGATGCAGACTTTTTGGGAAAAGGAAATAAAAAAAAAGACATGGAGGGAAAATTAGACGCTTTCGGGGGGGGGGACATGATAGTGCTTTTGTTTTTTTTTGGGGACCTGCTTGACCGAGGATATGTTAATTTAGACATTTGCAAAAAGGCAAGGCAAAAAGAAAAAAAAAAGGCAGCGGGATGTGAACCGTTCATGGTCATTACATTTGAGATGGGTAACGCATAGCATACCCATCTATATTGACAATGGAGCTTCTTTTTCCCCGAGTCTTCTTGTCTGTTTTCGCAGTAAATGCTTGGACAAGTCATATTGGGATTAACGATGCTCAACAAGTGGTTGAATCATATGAATTGTTTCTTCTGGATAGTCAAGCTCATTACTACTTGAACGGAATATCCGCCATCGAAAACTTGATGATGCGTGGACCTTGCCTTATTTTTTTTTCTTGTTCTTTATCCCCTGAACTCCGTATTATGGTCTCCCATGACATGGATACCTAAATTGATTTTCTTGTGCCCTGTTTTGTTTATCGAATCTCCTGTGTTTACAATGGGCTGTACCGTTTTGTTTAGTCAATATATTTTACGAATTACACAATATTGAAGGCGGTAGTCTCAGCAGCAGCAGCACCAAGATCGTGACTCAAGGAAACTCAAAACAAAATGCTTTATTGGTTCCTGGTTCACCAAAAAAAGTAAAACAAATTGTCTCTCTTTATTTGCTGTTAATCAGCTTACTCAAAACCGTCATTCGTTCATGGTAAACGGCAAATAACGCGGGGAGTGGACGGTGAGTCCTTTTTTTTTGTGTGGTTCATGGTTTCCCCGTTTCCCTGAGCATGAGAATCCCTCGGTGAACACCGAGAAACATTTTGCATTTCGATGCATGGGCCTCCGAGTTCATTTAGTTGCCAAGGTTAAATGGTAGTTGGCCAGTGCATCCTTTTGCTAGACTGACGTCGAATAGACACATCTGATGTCGCCTGCCACGTTATCTTATCATGAACACCTTGTCCTTTTTTGGACCTTCTCGTTCCACTCCAAAACCAGCTAACTGCAGAAAAAAAAAGAGACGATCATCGTCCAATATTGACAATTGACAGGCACCCGGACCGAATCCATCGGTCTATTTTCATAACACATGAAAACTGACATGACGTACGCGCTTAGATGCATGCCACACCAGTCCGCCATGAATAATTCATATTAAGCAAATAAAACTCGCCGTAATGAGTACATGATGGTGCTTCATCCATCTGTGGCAATTGGGTTTGGGGAGGGATAAACTAAAAAAAAAAAAAAAATAAGCCCGCCAAGGAGAACAGTCAAAGGAATTCCAGGGATAAAGGGGGTAAAAAAAAGAGCGAGAGACAGAAGCACATCTTTTCAGGGACAAGGAGGCAAGCATTCAAGGAGCCATATGGAGGGGGAAAAAGGACAGGATGGATGACACAAAAGAGAGAGGATAAACAGGACATCAGACGAACATCAAGGGCTTGGGTAACTGAGGGATGCATTTTTTTATTTTGTCAAGAAACGACGGACTCGATAACCTTTTTATCATCGAAGTTGGCTACAGTTCAGAGATACTTCTTCCCGAGCGTACGTATATTTCTTATCTTTTTTTTCCCACACAAACACTTCATTTAGTTCAAATCATCGTCCAATGCATGATAATTTGTCGCTACCATTGGAATAAATAATCCTGTCGGGAAACTAGCGCCATCGTTTGACAAGTACATAAATATTTTTTTTTTCGGTCCCGCCGCCTCCTTCATTTTTCCAATCCAGTGATAAAGCAGACTGCACCCATTCTTATTTGGACCGATGCTACATTTTCTTGCGAATTTCGCGACGATCATTGGGTGAACAGAGCGCGCCAACAAGACGATCGTTGATTTCTCAGAAACAACAATAATAAATAGAAAAAGGAACTGGTACGGTAACAGAGTGAGATCCAGGTCCCCGCCACCCGGTCGGCTGACTTGACATTTCGTGATTATCCCGATACGACAGTATTTATTTATTTATTTACTTTATTTCAATTTTTACTGGCCCATCGTCGATTGGCTCAGCCTATGGTATGTTATGATGATAACCTTCCGAGAAAACATAACCGCCGGTACGCAGGGACCGGAAATTGCAAGCATCGAAGAGTCTTTCATTTCATCTTTTTTTTGGTTTTTTTTACCAGTTGGCAACATAGTTTTCCGCTGTATGCACGGAGGGCGGGGTGTCCGTCTGCCAGTTGTTGTTATGTTCGCTGTTACGTACATAACCGGTGCTTGCTTGACCATCGTTACGATGGGCGGGAACATCCTCCACCCAAGTGGTCACATCGTTGTCGTGATTGACGGTGGCGTCAGCAACGTCGATCCATTCTGAATCATTTTCATGATCCACAGGTACGATGATACCTTCATCATCGCCTTGCCATTCGTTGCCATGGGTCACAGCGTCCACGTTGTCATCATCTTCAACCGCTTGCCATTCTGACGCATTGTCGTGAGAACCGGCTGGGCCGGAAGGTGTCCATTCGTTTTCATGGTCGTCGATTTCCTCTTGGTGCCAGTCACCGTCAAAGTGAGCATCGACTTGGTCTTCTTCCCATTCGCCATCGTTGGAATGATCGGGAATCGAAGCGAAGTCTTCCACCCATTCGTTCAAGTGAAGATCGTCATCGTTTGCTTGAGAATCGTTGGCAATTTCACTGGCCACGTCAATTTCCTCGGCATCCCAGTGTCCTTCGTTGGAGTGATCAGGGACCACATAATCCTCGGGCAACGTGTCATCTTCCTCTTCTTCAAAATCGACAGCATCGTTAAAATGAGCATCATCGGAACCAGCCGTGTCGGCTTCTTCGCTTTCCCAGAACCCTTCGTTGGTGTGGTCCGGGACGTTGACACTTTCATCTACCCATTCGTTGTTGGCATGTTCGAATTCTTCGACTTCCCAGCCTTCGGCATCGTTGTGTTGAGGTTCTTCAATGGCGTCTTCGACCCATTCAGCATTGGCGTGATCGGGTGTGGTGCGATGATCCTCGTTGGTGAACCAACTCAGATCTTCGGCATTCCAGTGAGGCATGTCGTTGTGCTCATTGGTGTGACCGGTACGTTGGTCATCGTTGGTGAACCATGCCGCGTTGGGATGCGTGGATTCACCGAGCTGATCTATCTCTTGTTTGAGATTGGCATTCAAGTGGTTGTCCGAGTGAGCCCCCGTACGACGGTCTTCGTTGGTGAAATACTCTGCATTGTAGTGTTCGGGCTTTTAAATTTCTGTTAATGTTAAATGGCACGTTTTTTGTACGACCCTCAAAAGCGTGGTTACCTCACTTGAGATGGATTTAGCCGCCTCGCCACTGACATTGTTCAATGCCGCGGACCAGTTCTGTCCGTCGCCATTGCTGTGACTCTCGTTGTCACTGCTTTGAGTAATCTGGAACGCAACGGAATCGAGATCGCACGTAGCGCCATTGGAGCTTTTAGCTTGAAGATGGAAACGGTAATTGCCTGGAAATGCAGAAAAAAAAAAGATAATTAGCCCAAATAAAAAGCCAAGTTATTGGCAACGCACGGGTCATCAAGGATGAACGAACTCAATGATTATTTACCTGGTTGTCCACCATTCAAGGTCAGCGGCACTTCGTCGGACACACCTCGCTTGGCGCCTGAAGAATAAAAAAAATCATTTAAAAATTTTGGCACAGTGAGACATATTGGTTTCGTAAAAGGAGCATGAACAAAATAAAATTTAGGTTACCATAAGAACCAATATGGCCAACGACATTATTGTTGTTTGAATCAACAAGTGTGATATCGACGTTTTCTAAGCTCGAAGGTGCTTGCCATGCTACGAGGTGTTTGGTGTCTTCTTCGAAGCTGAGACCCGAGTTTGCAGGAAACGTAATGCGGAAGTCTAAACTCATCCGAGACACAACACACACAGACACAATAAAAACGTTAATCGAGGAGATTCACTCGAGATAAAAATTTAGGATGACAGGCGTCATGGGAATTCAAGGACCCTACCTTGACAAGGATCATTGTTGGCGACATCGTTCCAATGACCGTCGCCGGTAAACAAAGGACTGGCCTGGACAAATGTGCCTGCTTGCAGTAACAAGCCGGCCGTCAGCGAAAGATGAATCAACTTCATTGTCCTCGACTGTGCAATTCAAAAATATAAAAAAGAAGGGAAAGGGTAGGAAACAAGTAAGAAAAAAAAAGGAAAAAAGAGAGGGAATGAAAAAAAAAAAAGAAAGAGGGCACACAGACTAATAGCAATCAACTTGATTGTCTATTTTTAACAGATGGTTGCACAACAATTTACGGATCATTTCACAGGTTTTATATCCGCCCTTGGACAGAAACTATTGTCATTATTATTCGTTTTTTTTATGCTATTTTCTGCCTCTTGTTCGATTTGCCTTTTTTTGATGAAGAGCCATTATTTCCTTTTTTTCGATAGTTTCGAAACTTTTTGAATCTACGTCCCCCACCGCCGCCGCCTCGCTTGCGAGACGTCGAGGAGTTACGACCGGATGAGGTGTTCCGAGACGACGATGCAGGTGTGTTGCGAGCACGAGATCGACTCGATCCCTCAGCGATGGTGGCGTTGTTGTTGTCGTTGTTGTTTCTCGAGAATTGCTGGAAATATTGTTGATAATCCGTACTGGGACTTTGATCGTCCAAGAGGTTGACAAAACCTTCCAGTGGCGATAAATATCCATCATCCTCTTCAATTCCTGCATCGTCATGGGCCTGTTGTTGCTGCGGTTGGGGAATGGCGCAAAGATCGATCACACTACAATCCGAATCCGAATCCGAATTCGAACCCGGATCCGAATCATTCTCAATCCACGTCGGGCTATCATTCCCGTGTGCCGCGTCTTGTTCATTGGTCCCTTGGGCCAATTCATTGTCTACGTGTCTTTGCAGTTGATCTAGCGGAAATCTTTGCCCGCACAAAGGACATTTGCCTGTTGTCAATGACTGTGTTGTTTCTGATGGCTTCAAGTTATGCGAGGGATTGTCAATGGGGGTGACCGAGTCTTGGGACATCAAGTGGAAAGAATCGTCGATGGTGGCACGAACAGCGTCGGGCCCGGTACAGCGAGAAGCATGTAATTCGATTGTATCTTGGGTAAATGTCTGTGAGCATAATGGGCATATGGTTGCGTGACTTTGAGATGCTATGGTGTACTAAAATTGAAGAATCATTAGCCGCGTTTGTCATGAAAAAAGACCACTCTTATTTTTCTATTTTACCTTGGATGAAGATGAAGATGAAGATGCAGAGGTGGGGGTGGGGGTGGGTAGATAGGATGATGGGTGTGCACTGTTGATGTTGTTTGCGCTGTGGAGCAGTTGCTTGCCTTTACTTTTGCGGGAATTGGACGGACGGGTGGGAATAGGGACGGAAGACGCTTGTTCATCGATCCATTCAGACAGATCGCTGATTTCAAGTAGATTATTGGCTGCGGACGAATCATGTTCTTCTTTCACATCAATCCATGCCGATAAATCGCCAATGTCCAAGATATCGTTGTTTTCATCAACACTGTCAGGTTCTTGTTTAATGACTGACGATTGACTGGCGATCAAAATGGGGGAAACATCGCCAGGGAGCAATGCATTGGCAGAGGTCGACGTATTGACAGACGGCGTTGTGTCTTCCGAGGACGGTTTTCGTTTTTTACGAGACAATTTTTTCGTCGGCTTTTCTTTCTGCTTCTCTTTTTGTCTTTTTGAGCGTGGTTCGCGCTTGACAAAGGAGATGGTTTGAAACCAATCGTCGTCGTCGTCGTCGTTGTCATTAGTACGGTGAAGCGGCTGGGTCTTGGGAAGGGTATCTTTTTCTAAAGGAGGGTGGAAGGAGGGCTTCATGGCTGATTTCGGGTGATTGGATGAGTGGAAATCGAATGGCTTTTCTTTAGAAGGAGAAGAAGAAGACGACGAGTGTTGGGTTGAAAGAAGATTGAATAATCTTTTTTGTTCGTTTTCATGTTCGATTTTACTCAGTTCCAGTGCTTTTTGTAGATCACGATGTTCTTGTGAATCGGGGGGAAGACTATTGATTGAGTCTTGCCGTGCACGCTGTCGCGATAACCAAGAAGAAATAGAATAGTCATGACTCGAACTTTGAGAAAGCGCCATGAACACACTGGAAGAAAAGATAAAAAAATAAAATAACGAGTCGACGGAAAACCACAAGACAAAAAGGAACAAGGGCAAAAAAAGGCGCGGCTTGAAAAATAAGAAAAAAAATGGGCCATTTTCACCGCGTTGTTTACCGCAGCCAAATCTTTATATCGTAAAAGGTCAATCATTCAGTCAAATAAACCCATCACATATTTATAGTATACATAAAGCACACTTTCGGTCCATCAATACGCAGCGCATATCTTTTGATTGCTCAATTTTTTATCTGTCGCGATCGTCTCCCCGTTTTACTTTTCCGACATTATCACGTGCGATTTTAAGTTATTGGAAAAAAATGGCACAAAGCGGCACACTGCACTAGATTGAACTTCCCCTTCTTCATCTCCACGATGGATTGGCTCATCTTGTTAGCGCTCAACAGGATTTACCAATCTCCGATTCTACTTCCAATTTATAAGCTTCTCAAACTAATCCTACGTCTATCCACTGGAACATCGGAAATCTATAGAATCTGCAGAGCCACCGCCAAAGAACTGGGCTACACCGATGCCGACCTCGCATTCTACGAGAGTGACGCCTACGCCATCAACGCACTGGATGAAGGAGACACATTAGACGACGATACACAGCCTTTGCTAGCCACCACACCTCTCCTAGCCGACATTCAACGCCCTATTCTGGCCCAAGATATCCCAGAAGATGTCATTTACCGCATAGGTCAGCCGTCTCACTGAGTAAAAATTAGTGCGGCCAATACTCAACTAACTCTCTGCGTCGCAGATCGATGTATTCTGTATTCCAAGCAGCTTTCGGTAAATGAGAAATGCCCGCATAACGTGTTTTGTTATCGCAGGTTCCTGAACGGATTTGATGATTATCTAGTTGGAACGGCGCGACTTGGAATCACCGTTTTGTCATCTTGATCAAGTATTATCCGCGATCCTTTCCAAAAAGCAATTTCCTCATCAAGCGTCGCCAAAGAGGTAAATCAGTCAGAAAAGCTTATCCCTCCCCCCCAAAAGCATCCTTGTTTTTTCTTCTGACAATGCAATGTCACAATAGTGCGCCTGCTCAGGTATTACGTGCATGTTTATTACGCATCGCCAAAACATATCAGCTAGCTCACGAGATCAATGAGCGAACGCAAGTCAAGTATGACTCGACCAATCCTCTTCATGAACAAAAACTGTTAAAGGTCAGTGGCAAACCAGAAAAATGAAATCCTCGCTTCAAAGGCAATTTACACTTATTTTTCGTCACAGTTATGGGAAGCATTGATGCCTGATACGCAATTGGAGGCTCGTCTGACACAACAATGGGGAGAGGTTTGTACTACCATAGTGACACATTGTCCCAATGTACAATGTTAATGTTTTGTACAGATTGGTTTCCAGGGTAATGATCCTGCCACGGATTTCCGAGGCATGGGCATGCAAGGATTGGATGATCTTCTCTACTATGCGCAAACCCATGCCGCTTCTGCGCAAAGTACATTCAGTAGTTCGCGCCACCCCGTATCATGGTATCCTTACGCTATTGTCGGTATCAATATCACCCATTTCGCCGTCCACACTTTACGTACCAGACAATTGCAGCATTTCCTTTTCAAATACGGAGCCGACCGTAAGACGTACAGCGAATTTTATTGCAAGTATCCGTCAATATCTTTCTTTTTACGTTTTGCTTTCTTTCTAACACCTATTTTTGCTCAGGCTATTTGTACCATCAATTCAACGAGTTTTGGATTTCACACGAGCAACCTAGACTGACAGTGATGGATTTTGAACGCAAATTTCAGGAATTCAAACGACAAGTGCAAGATGATTTAATGTTTCGACGTGTTCAACCGCTCACCCAATTACTAAACACGCGTCTTGATGACGAAAAAAATGTCGAATTACAGACACAAAATGAGACAAATCATCTCACTCATCGGCATGTCGCCTCATCATAAAACAAAATCAAAAAAAGATACCAAAAAAAAAGACGGACATTAATTTTGATTCTCCAATGGTGGTATGCGTGAACTTTTATATATGCATATATAGAAGACCAGACGGGGGTTGATATCCTGTAGTGTACGATGATCAGAGAATGGGAAAAGGTTGATTTCAATATGTTACAAATAGAGAGGGTGAGAAATCACGTTGAAGGAAAGCGAATTAAAATGGAAACAAACAACAAACAGAAACAACATAAAAAAAATGCAAAAAGGTTAACATGGGAAATCAAGTGAACAAAAAACAAAAAAAAAGAATAAGGATGGGAGGAAGAGCATTAGAAGGAAAGAATATTATATGGTACATATCACGCGTCTTTTCCTTTTTTTTTTAAAAGTACTGGGGCATGACGCCATCCATAAGATTCGTTTCTGTCGGTGGAGAGGGCTTCGTGGGTTGTTGTGATGGCTGCGTTGATGCGGCATGTTCACATTCACTTGGTTGATAGGTAAACGCGGCAGGGTAAGACTGGAACATGAGTTGATTGGTATCTCTCATGGTGGCAGGATCGACGGACGTGTGAGGCGGAAGAGACGAAGGGAGGAGCGAAGGAGGTGGAGCCGTTGCTGCGGAGGCCTGCAATTGTTGTTGATTGATATAGATGGGGCCAGGATGGGCCTGATACGGCAACACGGGCGACGCTAATTCCGGTGACGACGGCTCGGACGCTTGTTGATCCGTTTTCATCTTTTTGTTCACTTTACGTCCATTGGCATTGCTGTCATACCGTTGTCGTTTTTTGATAATGTCCGTTTTCATCGACAAGGGGCGCCGCTCATGGTGCAATTTTAAACTAAGAAAAGAAACAATCCACGAAGAAAGAGCGAAAAAAAATAGTTGGGGGAGGAGTGAGGTACATCAGTCACCAAGAACTACCTTATTCCAGTCCAGTCTTGCACTTACTATAATCCACATGCGTTGCACAGGGGTGCGCCTTCATCATCGCGACGCCAAAGTGGTGTGGTCGTGGTCGAACAATTGGAGCAAACAAGTTGAGCCGCTTCATCATCACGTGCTTCTTTACGGGCATTGTGCGGTTTCAATGTCTTTGGTCTAGGCGCGTTGTGTAACTTTTGACTACAAGTTTTTCCCCCCGCCAAATAACATTGGTCAAGAACAATTTGAAATTCAACCCCCAAAAACAAATTACTTACTACAGTCCACAAGCGTTACAGAGGAGATCGTCGTCAGCCGACCGCCGCCATAATGGGGTACTTGTGGCACCACAATTGCTACACACCGGTTGCGACTGCGACGAATAATCGCCCGAAGTCGCCGCTAGTGCCGTTGGCAATTTCCCTAAATCCAGCGTTGTCTGCCCAGTGTGCGGTGGCGTACTGGGAGCCGACGCAGGGAAATGATGAGGATGATGATGAGGATGATGCGCCTGCAACGTCGGTTGCGGAGAATGTTGCGCAGACGATCCGTGAATCGATGATGCATGGCCCGCAAAATCGGCATAATCATTCATCGTCCTAAAAAAAGCATGGTGAGACAAAAAAGATAAAAGAAAAAAAAACCAGCATCTTCCATCTTATCGCTTAGACGTCACACCATCAATGACAAGGGGGATGGGGGTCTAGAATACTTACATGCAGTACTGATCATCGAGTAAAGCGCCCAATTGAAGCGAGGAGCCATTGGCGCAAGAGGAAGGAGAGGTGGACGAGACCGATAAGGGTGGGGTGATGATAGGCTGGTTAGAGACGAGATTTTGATTGATGCCGAGGGAACGCATGGGGACGTTGTTCAGTAATTTGTTACGAAGCGTTGCCGTAGGTGGCGGCGGCATGACGGCTCCAGATACATACAGCGCATCGCTGTTATTATCTGCGGACGACACCGACGATGAAGAAGAAGGACGCTGCAAGCGTACTTGAGCATCTGCTTGAGGACGCATATTGGGACTCGATGGCATCGACATCGATATTCCACCGTGCCGTACATGATAAGATGATGTCATGCGGTTGACAAGTGAATTATCCATCGCCAGCATGGTTTGCCCAGATGGTTGCTGAGAGGATGGTTGCGACGACTGCAATGCCTGTGGGGTGGATTGAAGTTGCGATGGCTGTGTCGTTGATGGCATGGTTTGCTGTTGCTGCTGTTGATTTTGTTGGTGCTGCTGCTGCTGTTGTTGTTGTTGTTGTTGTTGCGGCGATGGAATGGATGGATTGGAAGGGTTGGATGGAGTAGTGGAGTTGGGCTGATAGTAGCCATCGTTGGGTGAGGGCAGACCAAAGTCCCAGGAATCATCCATGGCCATGGTGTGGGTATCGTTGGACGACAAGAAATCGTGTGGGCTACCAAACGCCCCAAAAATATCTTCTAGTTCTACGATTTGATCGCTCGCTTGATCTGATGTAAACTGATGCAATGTGAAATTATTGGTCGATTGTTGCTGTTGCTGCTGTTCTTGTTGTTGCTGCTGCATCGCAAAGGTATTCTGATGGTTGGTAAACGCCATTGTGCCCATCATGGAGCCGTTTAACATGGCGGCTCGATTTCCGTCTTGTAAACAAGCAGCCGTGTGCTGTGGCATCGTCGATAGTGTCTGATGCGTATATATCTGTTGCTGTGCTGGAGGTGGTTTATGTTGAGATGATGCTTGATTTGGCGTCGACAGCATTACGCGAGTGGATGACGACGATGGGGATGGCTGTTGCTGTTGCTGTTGCTGTTGCTGTGCAGGTGCATCTATGGTTTCCATTTTCACACTGGAGGTTCCAGCGAGTGCACGAGGGGCCGGTCGCGTAGTGGTTTTTAAAGGCGCTAATTTCGAGTTTTGGCAGTCCAGTTGTCGAGTTGTGGTACGAGACAGTTTGCGAAAGGTAGCGTTGGGTTTATCCATCAGCAGATGCTGTCGAAACCACAACCGCCACGACAGGTTCTCTAAACGAGACCCGTTCTCAAGCGAATCTTTGACTTTGGTGCACACTCGCCATGTCTTTGATAAGTCCTCCTCAGAGTCTAAGTTAGAAAACGGTAGAAAAGACTTGTTTCCTTTAATCTTCAACACAAGAGGAGCCATAGATGGTGAAGATGAACAAGAAAACCAAAAAAAAGGAACCACGCCAAAAAAATAAAAAAAATAATAAGGAAAAAGTTTTGCCTGGCCATTTCATTCGCCGCTCCCAGTTGGGGCAGTGTTGGCAGGGTGTGACATTGGTTTCTCATTTGTCAGCGGTGATTCTGGCGGACATTGCGTGTTCTTTTTAGGTGCCCAACTTCAAGGGGCAACCAAAAAAAAAAGCGGGTCTCGGAATCATATCTTTTTTTTTTTTTTGTAGGGACCACTGGTCCAAACTTTTTTGATTCGATCAAACCTCTTGTGAACGCCTCGTCTAAGATCAGTGAGAACCACATCATAAAGAAAAGGTAGACTTTCCATCATTTCAGAAATAAAGTCGCTGCTTTTGAATTTGATGTCGTGCAAAAAACCTTCGTGCTTTAGAAGGAGGTCGATTGATCCAAAAATATAGGTTTGGTGAAAGAAAGGAATTTTTGCAGTAGTTACAGAGCTACAGTTAAGGCAAACGCTAAGTTGATTTTTAGATTCAATATCTCCCACTGGCTTTAAGTAATGTCAGTGAGAGATTTCCAAAGCGTATCAGAAGAAAAAACCTTGGACGTGAGACTGATATATTTAGCACAGGAACAGTAACAGGTCATATTAAGCTTTGTGAAGGCGACTCTTGATGATACGACTGAGAATCAGAAATGAAGGAACACTACCTTGTCGTGGATAATGCTCCTGTCAATTGCTCAACCGATATAGGGGTTGAATTCACTCTCAAGAGTACTAATTTGTCTACCTTTCTCTGTACTTAGTCCGATTGAGCAGTTTTTGTTCCGTTGTCAAGAGTAAAAAGTTAAGCGAAATAAGTTCCTGGAAAAAGATCAGAAAGGAAGCATGTGAATAGCTGATATGTGAGTCATTTCATAGGCTTTGTTTCTCATTCCGCCCAAATGTTTTGGTAAATGTCTCAACAAAAGGGAAGGTTATAAAAACCGACATGGCCATTTGTGTAAAGCCTAAAAAAAAAAAAAGAACCATGAAAACATGAAAACAAAGCTACCTATGCCGATGGCGGTTGCTGTACATTTATGTAAATAAGTTGATAAAAGATAGGGAATAGCAATATGAATAAACAGCAATAAGGGAGAGACTTGATGACGAAAAGGTGAGGAATAGAAATATGAATAAATAGCAATAAGGATAAGAGCTGATGGCGAATAGAAAGACGAGGGATAATATACAGATGAACAGCGATAAGGAAAAGGACAGATTTGGGCATTTAGCCAGATTAGTGGACTCAAGAGTCCAGAGTCAAATTGCAAGGCCGTTTTCTTGGCGCCAGGTTCTTCTTGATCGCGTCCAAATATGCACTCGAGATCGTCTCACAGCGCCGAGACGTCAGATCATCATCGCTTATCACGCAATGGTCTCGGTACAATGATGCGACAAACATTAGGTTGTCGATATGTCCCATCAAATCAAGGAGATCGCATTTTCTCGTTGGGACGCGCAACCGAGCCAATTCTGTCACAGTGTACAAATTTGAAAATTCCAAATGCATCGAAAAGAACGTCACTGAGTTGCCTGTGACTTGAAAGAAAAGGACATTGCGCAAATTGTAACGATCGATTGCTTCTTTGCTAAAGATGCACAATCGATAAAAATCCTTGACGAGCAGGGTTTGCGATACGTTGCCATGCTTTTTGACCTCGCCATATGCATTGGTGTACGAGAACTGGTATCCAGATGAGGCATAAACGTCAATCTTGTAATCGGGTCGATCGACAGCTTCGTCAAATTCATCAGGGATTATGTTTGAGCAATGCGCAACTTTGGCGGGCTTCTTGGCTGACAAAAGGCCGTGCATGAATGGGTGGATATAGCTGGATATCAACTGTGCCTCCGAGAGTGGTTTCATGTCACAGTCATATAGGTACGGTAGCAACGACGCAACTGCCATGATAACCGCACATTCGTATTCTGTTGTTTCAGGATCTTCCGGCGAATCGACTGGCTCGCAAAGTGATAGCAGTTCGATCCTGGCGCGTGTTTCCGTGATTTTTTCATCCACGAACTTTTGGATAATTGATTGAAGTGCGGATCTAACATGTGGCTGGAATGTGTATGTGTCGCGCCTATAGCTTGCGAGTATTTCGTTGCGCGCAGCTGTCAGCAAGGAGGGAGGAAAAACATCGACCGGCAAATCCTTATAGCCGTCCCGTCGCTGCAAGACCAGGATACCAGACATGGCCAAAAGTTCGTTGAAGTGGGTTTCGATGGCAAAATCTGTCGTACGCGATGCAAGGATACACGTTTGGCGATAGTCGTGAAATTTTGTTGACACATCGTGACCCTGTACGAGCCACCGGTTTTCGGCAGGGGGAACGTCCTCAAGCGATGGTGGTATCTTTATATGATTGTTGTTGACATGATGCGAGAGTTCTGAAGCCTCGTTAAACAGACCATTACAGCTTGGACAGGCGAACTTGATGATGACTGTCGTCCTTTGTTTCGTGTATTTCTTCACATTGCTTTCGTTGTAGACATGCACTGGAAATCCGTCTACCGACTTGCCATGGTCTTTGTTCGTGCGTGGTGTGAGGTCCTTGCCATGCTTACTGAATATGTGCCGTTTCATATTTTGAAACCTGTTGAATTGTTTCTCACAATCCGGGCACACCTTTTTAAACAGAATGACAGTGCCCATATTGCCAGAATGAGAAGAATCATCCATGTTTGGGAGGGAGAGGTGTTAAAAAATTTGTTACCTAGGAATGATTCTTTTTTTTTCGCCTTGCAGGTTTTTTATGACTACTCATGTTTTTTATTGAGTTGCTCATGGTCTTTTTGGTTTCGCTCATGATTTTTATTGAGGCATGGATTTTTTGGTGTGTTTGTCTGCTTTTTTGGTTTGCCTCATCACAAATTTTTATTTCGTAGTCCGCTACAATCAAAACTTGTATCAGATGAATCTGAGCACAGGCATTTTTTTTTATGTGTCGCATCATAACAGATCCATTATATTTGTGTGAATTTGGTTCGTATTTTCGAACGCGTAAAGAAGAAAAACACGAAGACAGGCATATGCAATACCAAAAAAAACATGAGAGAGAGAACGGATATACTCGGCAACAGAAATGGTAGTCAATACTCTAAAGAGGTTTAAGGCACCTTATGTAGTCTAAAATTAATCAATGAACCATCATACAGTACAGTAAAAAAATGCGACCCCCAACTTCTTGCCAACTGGCGCCCGCTGTCCCTCATAAACACAAACGCCAAACTCCTTCTGGCTCTCCGTTTCAATACCGTACTACCGCGCCTCATTAATCCTCACCAAACCGGCTCCACGCCTAACCGTCTGAATTCCGACAATGGTTGGATAGCCAAGCCCTCATCACCAATTTTCGGTTTGCCGGATTGCCACCCATAGCTGCCCTTTTAGATCAGGAAAAGGCGTACGACCGTATACACCCAGAATATCTCCGCCAACTTCTTCTGCGCTTTGGTTTCCCTACCTCGATCGTCTCCAGCTTATGCACCCTTTTCTTTGGCACACGAATCTCTGTATCGATCAATGGCTGAATTAGTAGTCCCCTTCCTCAACAACGCGAACTTTTCCAGGGTGACCCTCTCTCGCCCTTGCGTTTACTTAGCTTTTGAACTGTTTCCCCGCTCTCTTCTGATATGCCCCTCTTTCCCAGGTGCGTCCTTAGGGCCCGTGTCTATTCCACGCCGTCACCGATCCTCCCACGCTTCCCTATCTGTTGTGGTGGAAGATCGCCACTCCCTGGACTATGTTCATGCTGCATTAGCAGCTCCCCACCGCCCATCAAACTTCTTAGTTATACTGATAATCTCGGGGTCTTCCTGAATACGCTTGACGAATGACTTAGATCTTTCTTCCACGTACTCGCGCGCCTCGAATGCTCGTGTCAACTTCCACAAAACGATTTTATCTTCCTGTGTTGCTTATCCTATCCGGCAAAGTCTTGTTCTCTCGTTTGGCGCTACTTGGCATAATACCTCTTCACCCTCTGCGGTCCGACACCTAGGTCACCCTTTATACTCAATAGTACGCAGCTGTCCTCGTTCCTTGCTGATATCTAAAATTCTCCAACATCGTCAACTATTGAAAATCGCGCAACTTGTCCATCCGAAGCACCAGTTTAGTAGCCAACTCCCTCCTTCTCAGTCGTCTCTGGCATGTGCTCCGTGTCCCCAGTACCACAAGTGTGGCCGATAGAGATCAAGCTCTAATTCGATCGTTTGTCTTTCCATTCTGGCCTGCCCCTGCTTGGTCCTCTGTTTGCCTACCGCGCAAGTATGATGACGTCGGCCTAGTGGACATCCTGAATCAAAGCCTCGCCCTACATCTTGTTCACATTCAATGCCTTCTCCTACCATTACGACCTTCTGACTTTGTGACTCCATGACTTCGTACAACTCTATATGCTGGGCATATTTCAGTGCTTTCTTGGCTTGTGTTTCCTAAGGACTATCATCCCCGTTTCATATCGGCTTACCACGAGAAACATTTTAGTGCCTTATTGCCTCGGCTCCCGCCACTGCATCCTCACCCTTCCTGGTCGAGTCAATGGTTTTTGGAACTTCCCCTGCTCTCCGCTGAAATGGACTTCGAAGGACAGCGCAAACTCTTGGTCTCCGAGCCAAGTTACTTATGAAATATCTTCTCGCTGGTCTTTTTAACTGGTTATCTCACCGTGACATGCTATAGCCCATCACAATTTTGTCACCCTCTTTAATAGAACTATACCGCGCTTCGTATCCACCTCTCAGTACACCAGGGGCTTCACTTCGTCGGCCCACGACCCTGTTCCCCTGGATTATTGATGGTTCATCCCATGACAGGTGCGTTATCAATACACGAGCACCAGTTCCCTCTGTGCTACCTTATTGCAAACACTGGAAATTGGCTATCTGCGATCGGACCCCCAGCCCATTGCCACTCTCAGTCCCACTCACCTGCGCCACTACTGGCATCGGGATCTGCCATTGCTCCTCAGGCTATCTCATTCACCCCTTCAACCGCAAGCTACATGGCACCTCTTCTGGACACTGGACATGCCCAGCCAAGCTTTCACCCCTTGGTGGCGCCTCTTACACGACGGCATCGGCTACCAACAACGCTTACATCTGTGGAACCCCCACCATTTTGACAATCCCATATGCCGCATTTGCGATCTTGAGATTGAAGATTTTTCAACTACTTGTCCATTCAAAGGACTCTACTGGTCGCATATTATCTGTACCCTCAATCTGGCCAATGACTGCCCACCTCCAGAGTATACCTGGGCGTTTTTACGGCCCTATCCACCCCCCCCCCACCGGCGGGCCTTTGTTGAATGACACTTTCTCCCTCTCAGGCGTCGCGTTCTCCATTTTATGGCAAAATCACTGGCGGTGCACTATTGACCGTTCCCTTTGGTGTCTGCCATCCATACTACAAGCTTAGACCGTGCCCACGCAGCCTTCATCCGCAGGTTCTTCTCGAACATTTAACCTTTGCCACATAGACATGTTTCCTTGACCAATAAAGCATCTTACAAGAGCAAGCAAAAGCACCAAAAAACTTGACCAAACCAGTAAAAGACATGATCAAACCGACAAAGGCCTTCGAGCTAGCCAATCAAAAACATGATCAAGCAGTAAAAATCATGAGCTAGCCAATCAGAAACATGAGCAGACAGTAAAATTCATGGCCAGCCAATCAAAAACTTGATCAAACCAGTAAAAGACATGATCAAACCGACAAAGGCCTTCGAGCTAGCCAATCAAAAACATGATCAAGCAGTAAAAATCATGAGACAGCCAATCAGATGAGCAGACAGTAAAATTCATGGGTCAGCCAATCAAAAACTTGATCAAACCAGTAAAAGACATGATCAAACCGAACAAAGGGCCTTGAGCTAGCCAATCAAAAACATGATCAAGCAATAAAAATCATGAGCTAGCCAATCAGAAACATGAGAAGACAGTAAAATTCATGGGTCAGCCAATCAAAAACTTGATCAAACCAGTAAAAGACATGATCAAACCGAACAAAGGGCCTTGAGCTAGCCAATCAAAAACATGATCAAGCAATAAAAATCATGAGCTAGCCAATCAGAAGCATGAGCAGACAGTAAAAATCATTGGCCAGCCAATCAAAAACTTGATCAAACCAGTAAAAGACATGATCAAACCGAACAAAGGGCCTTGAGCTAGCCAATCAAAAACATGATCAAGCAATAAAAATCATGAGCTAACCAATCAGAAACATGAGCAGACAGTAAAATTCATGGCCAGCCAATCAAAAACTTGATCAAACCAGTAAAAGACATGATCAAACTGACAAAGGCCTTCGAGCTAGCCAATCAAAAACATGATCAAGCAGTAAAAATCATGAGACAGCCAATCAGAAACATGAGCAGACAGTAAAATTCATGGGTCAGCCAATCAAAAACTTGATCAAACCAGTAAAAGACATGATCAAACCGAACAAAGGCCTTGAGCTAGCCAATCAATCATGATCAAGCAGTAAAAATCATGAGACAGCCAATCAGAAACATGAGCAGACAGTAAAATTCATGGGCCAGCCAATCAAAAACTTGATCAAACCAGTAAAAGACATGATCAAACTGACAAAGGCCTTCGAGCTAGCCAATCAAAAACATGATCAAGCAGTAAAAATCATGAGACAGCCAATCAGAAACATGAGCAGACAGTAAAATTCATGGGTCAGCCAATCAAAAACTTGATCAAACCAGTAAAAGACATGATCAAACCGAACAAAGGGCCTTGAGCTAGCCAATCAAAAACATGATCAAGCAATAAAAATCATGAGCTAGCCAATCAGAAGCATGAGCAGACAGTAAAATTCATTGGTCAGCCAATCAAAAACTTGATCAAACCAGTAAAAGGACAGCCAATCAAGATCAAACCACAAATCTAGCCAAAAAAATAAACAAAAAAAACAAAACTAAAAGAAACTAAAAAAAAGAAAAACGTATGCCGACGGCGCCAGAAAAAGATCTGGGAAATCAAAAAAAAAAACCAACAAAAGGATACACACGGTAACAAAGTTCGTCAAGAGGTGGGGGCGGGACAAGCAGGACAGATTTTGGCATTCAGCCAACGTTCAGGAGTCAGGAGTCCGGAGTCAAATTACACGACCGTTTTCTTGGCGCCAGGCTCGTCTTTGATGCATCCAAACATGCGCTTGTCATATCGCAACGCTGAGAGGTCAGATCATCCTCGTTAGCCACGCAATGGCACCAGTACAATGATGCAACAAACAATAGGTTGTCTATATGCCCCATCAAATCCAGCAGATCACATTTCTTTGTTGGAATGCGCAGCCGAGCTAATTCTGTTACAGTGTATATGTTTGGAAATTTCAATTGCATCGAAAAGAACGTCACTGAATTGGCTATGACTTGGAAAGAAAGCACATTTCGCAAATTGTAGCAATTGATTGCTTCTTTGCTAAAGATGCACAACCGATAAAGACCCTTGACAAGCACGGTGAGTGAATTACTCTTTTTGACCTCGCCATACGCATTGGTGTACGAGAACCGATGTCCAGATGAGGCATATACGTCAACTTTGTAATCGGGTCGATCGACAGCTTCGTCAAACTCATCAGGGACTATGTTCGAGAAATGCGCAACTTTTGCGGGCTTCTTGGCTGATAAAAGACCCTGCATGAACGGATGGATATAGCTGGATACCAAATATGCTTCGGAGAGCGGTTCATGTCACAGTCGTATAGATACGGTAGCAACGACGCAATTGCTATGATAACTGCACATTCAAATTCTGTTGTTTCAGGATCTTGCGGCGAATCGACGGGCTCGCAAAGTGATAGTAGTTCGATCCTGGCGCGTGTTTCCGTGATTTTTTCATCCACGAACTTTTGGATAATTGATTGAAGTGCGGTCTAACATGTGGCTGGAATGTGTATGTGTCGCGCCTATAGCTTGCGAGTTTCGTTGCGCGCAGCTGTCAGCAAGGAGGGAGGAAAAACATCGGCCGGCAAATCCTTATAGCTGTCCCGTCGCTGCAAGACCAGGATACCAGACATGGCCAAAAGTTCGTTGAAGTGGGTTTCGATGGCAAAATCTGTCGTACGCGATGCAAGGATACACATTTGGCGATAGTCGTGAAATTTTGTTGACACATCGTGACCCTGTACGAGCCACCGGTTTTCGGCAGGGGGAACGTCCTCAAGCGATGGTGGTATCTTTATATGATTGTTGTTGACATGATGCGAGAGTTCTGAAGCCTCGTTAAACAGACCATTACAGCTTGGACAGGCGAACTTGATGATGACTGTCGTCCTTTGTTTCGTGTATTTCTTCACATTGCTTTCGTTGTAGACATGCACTGGAAATCCGTCTACCGACTTGCCATGGTCTTTGTTCGTGCGTGGTGTGAGATCCTTGCCATGCTTACTGAATATGTGCCGTTTCATATCCTGAAACCTGTTGAATTGTTCCTCACAATCCGGGCACACCTTTTTGAACAGAATGACAGTGCCCATATTGCCAGAATGAGAAGAATCATCCATGTTTGGACGGGAGAGGAGCCACAAAGTTTTGTTGCGCAGGAATGTTTTTTTTTATTGGCTTGCTCTGGTCTTTTTGGGGTGTGCTCATGGTTTTTTTTTAAAAAATTCTCACATGTCTTTTTTTTGGCAGCATACAACAAAAGGTGAATATCTAAATATGGAAAATGTTTTTATCGGAGTATGAATATACAGGCTACAAATTTTGAGCACCTTATTTCTATGTCCCTCAATCATTATGTTATTTAAAAACTATGCCGATCTGTATAAAAAAATCCAAAATGATAAAGATGCCATATTGTGGATGTTAAATAATGGTATCATATCAAAAGGATATTGTACAGATTGCCAACATATGATGAGACTATGTAAATGGTCAAACAGTTACAGGTGGAAATGCTACAAATGTTGCAAAGTCAATGGAGTTTTTGTTGGAAGTATTTTTCAAAACTCCAAGATATCACCTCAAAAAATGATAGAGCTACTTTATTTATGGGAAAAAGATAAATTAAAAAGAAAACATTTATATATTTAATTCATCAACAACATACAGATCTTCCAAGAAAATCAGTTTATGAATTACTCTCATTAAGCATCAACAAAATCGGCTACTGGTTTTCCATATTTCAAGAACAGATATCGGAGTGGATGTTGAATGATATAAATGAATGGCAGCATAAAATTGGAGGTCCTGGAAAAATTGTTGAAATAGACGAAGCAAAATTTGGAAAAAGAAAATATAACAAAGGAGGTAAATATATTATTATATATCGTATGATATGAAAGTATTTATGGTTATGATATCTTATACAGTAGGAAGAAGAAAGGGAATATGGATAGTTGGTGGATATGAACGTCATAGTAACCCTCCAATATTTTTTCTTGTACCTGTCGAAAATAGGAATGAAGAAACTTTATATAAGTATATTTCAACTATTATGTTCGAGAATAAATATCTGATATTTTTATTCCAGTTCCTCTTATTAAAAAATACGTTTTACCTGGAACAACAATTATAACTGATTGCTGGAAAGGATATAACAATGTTAAACCTATTCTTGAATTCGAGCATCTTTCCGTTAATCACTCAAAGCAATTCAAAGATTCTATCACAGGTGCACATACAAACTCAATGGAAGGATGGTGGAAACATACTCAAAAATTCATGCCGGGAATACATAAAGACAATATAAAAGGATATGCGGATTATCTGTTAGAATTTGCATTTAGAAAAAGATATAAAAATGATGTATCTAAAAAATTAATAGAGATCATAGCAAGTCAAATCCAAATGACATAAACACATCTTTAATTTTATCAAATATTATTTTTACTTTTTCGAGTTCATGATATTCATATTCTTTTATAAGCTTTCTTTCATATGTTAATATATTATATAATAATTTTAAACAAATTTCATCCTTTTTATATTTATTATCATCATCGTCAGAGTATGCTTCATATTCTTCTCAATTTATTATGTCTTTACTTATTGTATCATTTTCATTATTCTTTGTTCTTTTTTTATCAATGTTGGGTGTGCTATGAGAAGTTAATTTTCGCTTTTTATTATCGCTATGTTCAGTATTTATTTCTCTTTCTTTATGTTTTTCATTAATTGTATCTATATTATTTTCTATTCTTTTGTCTTCTTCATTATTCATGTCATCTTCTATATCTGTGCTTTCAGATGTTAATATATTATCATTGTCATTATTTTTGAATTTTTTTTGATTCCTTTTTTTTGGAATTTTAAAATTTTTATTATGAGTATTTTCATTATTCTTTATAATTATATGGATTTGTTCATCTTCTTTATTATATTCTATATTTATATTATTTATGTTATTTGTAATCATATAACCTATAATGACAGACCTTTTTATTTTCAAAACGAACTCATTAACATGATTTGTATTCATCTTTGCTTTTATGATATACTGAAATTCAATTTCATTCCGATCTGTAAAAATATTTCGGACATGCAAATATTAGGATTTCAAACTCAACAGTCACCTTTTGTTATTCTTTGCCCTTTTTTTTTTTTTCTTTCGGTTTTGCTAATGTTCTTCATTGGCTTCTACTGGCTGAAATAAAAAACCCAACCGTAAGCAACAGCAAAATCACTCCGACCATAGGAATAAAAAAAATCAAACATCAACCATGAGGAATAAAAATCAACCATGAGAAATAAAAAGCATCAACTATGAGGAATAAAAATCAACCATGAAAAATAAAAAGCATCAACCATGAGGAGTAAAAAGCATCAACCATGAGGAATAAAAATCAACCATGAGGAATAAAAAGCATCAACCAGGAGGAATAAAAATCATCAACCATGAGAAGTAAAATGCCAACAAAAAAACTGGTTTTTTTTTGTTTGCTCATGGTTGATTCCTCATTTTCGGTTTGCTAAGTATTTTTATTGGCTCCATGTGTCATTGTTATCCTGCGACTCTTGGCTATAATGCACGACTATGTGAAATATTGACCTGAGCACGCTCCTCATTGTTGCCATGCTGGTCCATGCGCTTATTCCTATGCTTGCCCTTACGTTTCACCCTATCCTTTATTTGTTGATCCATGCTTTGCCTCATGTCGTGCTCTGTATTTAATTTGATCTTTCTATTCTTGAAACATGAGCAAGCCAATGAAGGCTTGAAAACCCCGACTCTTATGAAGGAAGCGGTCCAATACAACTCTGCCAATACCATGATGTGCTCCTCCAAGAAGAGCGCCTTTATGGAAAATCAGTCTTCTACCTTCCTTGCATATGACCTTTGAGAAATGGAGACAAAGTCCAGCAAATTATCACTGGGGCTTTTCAATCCGCAGAAATGGAGTATGACACCGATGTTGGCTGGCAGGTGCTGCAAAAGAATTATGACCGTATCCAGGGTGGTGTCAGCGTTAAGAGGTGTGTCTCTGTGCAGTGAAGTCCATTACCAGAAAGGTAAATTTGTCAATCCAGCCTCAAAACAATGAGGAATAAAAATCAGTCATGAACCAACCAATAAAAAAATCAGGATAAAAAACGGCCATGAGCAAAGCCAATAAAAAATTTAAGCAAGCCAGTAAGTAAAAACATCGGTCAGTAGAACCATGATCAACCCCTAAAAAAGATCGGGCAAGTCAGTAAAAAGGCATGAGCAGAAAATCATGAGCAAGCCAATCAAAAATAGAAAACTACCTATCCCCAATGAAGGAAAAAATATCTATGCAAATAAAAAAAATCCAACAAAAGCAAACACACGATAAAAAAAGTTCACCACAGGTGGGATGACGGGGATGGGGAAAATTCAGAACAGATTTAGCATTCAGTCAACGTTCAGGAGTCAAGAGTTGTCCAGAGTCAAATGTTTCCTAGGTGCGCCGGGATGTCACATCTTCGGTAACCACGCAATGGTACCGGTACAAGAACGCAAACAAAAGTAGGTTGTCCACATGCTCATCATATCCAGGAGATCTATTTTCTTCGTTGGTGTGGTATATCCATACTTGTCGTATTATCCATCCTAATTGGTGTTGCCAAACAGGAAAGATCGGGAATTAGACGTGTTTCCATTCTGAGTGAGCTTCTCCATTAAAACATCGATTGAGCCTCTTCATCCATAACTCCTTATTGCTGAATAAGCTTTTTCGTCCATCACTCCTCATCACCGAGATAGATCAATCATAAGAGTAACGCTGTACATCACAGTACATGGCTCCTTGCAGATATACTTTATAAGCGAGAACCGCTCACTGATAACTATCAATTGCGACACAAGATTAAGAGTATAAATACTGTAGGCAAATCACAAAAATCGAAATAAAGATATTCAACGGTCTCAAAGGATTCTTATTGTCTCTTTTATTCTATAAGTTCTCTCACTCCATTAAAGTTGGCATGCTCAACCGAGCCAATTCTGCTACAGTGTATAAATTTTGAAATTCCAATACTGATTCATGGGTAAACAACTCAGATGCGGAACCTTCGGGGCTCAACAAGGATGGCAGGTCTTCGTTGGGAAACACCAAGGGATTTTTCTCCACTGTCATCAGGAAGCATTCGTCCACTTGCCGAGGTCCTTGGATGTTGTCCACCTTGTGTGACCAGATCAGGCCAGTAGCATCGTAAAGAACATCACCGAGTTGTCTGTGACTTTGGAAGGAAGGACATTTCGCAAATTGTAACGATCGATTGTTTCTTTGCTAAACATGCACAACCGATAAAAATCCTTGACGAGCAGGGTGCGTAAAACGTTGCTGTGCTTTTTGACCTCTCCATTCGCATTTGTGTAGGATAACCGGTATCCACATGAAGCATATACGTCACTCTTGTAATTGGTTCGATCGACAGCTTCGTCAAACTCACCCGGGACTATCTTCAAGCAGTGTGCCAATTTCGCGGGCTTCTTTGCTGATAAAAGACCCTGCATGAACGGATGGATACAGCTGGATACCAAATATGCTTCGGAGAGCGGTTTCATGTGGCAGTCGTATAGATACAGTAATAACGATACAACTGCCATGATAACCGCAGATTCGTATTCTGTTGGTCAGTGAAATCTCGTGGCGAAGGAATCAGGACCGGCTCGCAAAGTGATAGTAGTTCGATCCTGGCACATGCTTCTGTGATATTATCATGCACGAACTGTTGGACAATCGGCTGAAGTGCGGACCTAATATGCGGCTGGAATGAGTCGCGCCTATATCTGGCCAGTGTTTCGTTGCGCCCAGCTGTCAACAAGGAGCCGGCAAATCTTCATAGCCGCCCCGGCGCTGCAAACTCAGGACACCAGACATGGCCAAAAGTTCGTTGAAGTGGGTTTCGATCGCAAATTCAGTCGTACGAGATGCAAGAATACACGCTTGGCGGTAGTCATGGAACTTCGTTGAAACATCGTGACCCTGTACGAACCACCGGTTTTCGGCAAGAGGAAGGTTCTCAAGCGTAGCCCTCCTCCATCTGCTCTTCCCGAAGATAGTCGTCGCCATCGGATAGGTTGTTCCATGGACCAAAATTTTCTTCGTCGATAACGTCGCCATATCGATTTCAGCACCAGAATCATCAATCATTACTTCTTTGAAAACAACACCAAGCGCATCAAATGACGATCCCTATACCGGTATTGCAAGGTTACGGCCATATTTGGACGGGAGAGTGGAAAATATTTCTGCTTACCATTTTTTGTTCATGCTTCCTTTTTTTTATTGGCTTCACAGATGGTCATGCTCGTTTTTATATCCTTTCTTTATTGGACATTTATCAACGTATTTAGCGGAAGGAGAAATAATAAAAAATGAACAAGTCAGAAACATGAACAAACCATGAACAAACTATGAACAAACTATGAACAAACTATGAACAAGCCAGCAAAAAGCATGAGCAAAACATGAACCAGCCAGTAAACGTTTTTTGTTTTTTTGCTCATGTCTTGCTCATGTTTTTTTGCTGGCTTGTTCATAGTTTGTTCATGTTTCTGACTTGCTCATGTTTTGCTCAAGATATGTTCACGTTTTTCTCATCCTCTTTACTTGTTTATGGGATAATTACTAGCACGTGAATGCGTCTTTATTTTGAATCAATTGACATCATCCATGAATACCAATGCACGACATCAAATAGAAAATCAGTGATTTTACTTTCTGAAAAGCCTGATATCACGCAGATGCCTACATCCCTGCGTTGCCGCTATTCACATTTGCTGTAGACGCCCGTTTACTGCCCTGAAGCACCGGTTCAAGAAACGTGTTGCCATTGATCATTTGCGTTGTTGCAATTAAATAATCACGCCCTAACAAATAAATAAATAAAAATCGTCAGTCTTTGAACCACACCATCGTCATCGATTGTTCTTTTACCTTCATCATGTTGCGCCAACAGCCGTATGGCAGAAACTTCGGTGTGAGTACATCCGCCCAGGAAGAAAATAATCGTCGTCTTGCCGTGCTGCAGTCCGTGGCCTACAATAAAAAAATTAGTTTGAAAGATGGTTTGTACTAACAACCTGTGAAAAAACATACGTCTGGCGCGTGCCAGGGCGGCATTCGTTTCAGGGCCGTATTCGACGGTTTGTTGAATTTCAAAGGATTTGCCGGGCAGTTGTTTTAGAATGTCTTCATAACCGCGCCAGCCGTTGCCCTGAGATTTAGGATTGGGCCCTTTATCGCTGTTGAAATTGGCACTGCTTCCTCCTCCCATGTAGCTCAGTAAACTCGCGGTACTCACACCGCTGTTGACGGATGTGTTTCCAATCTTCTTCAAAGCACATTGAATGAGTCGCACACTGAGCGGTGCATAGCCTGAATACACGTAGGAGATATCGTTTGGATTAAATTCATCAACATCATCCACGATCAACCGTAGCAGTCGTCGGCTTTGTGCAAACGCGCTTCGTGATGGCGTGGAACTCGTTCTTCGCGTCAGCAATCCCAATTTTTCTAGTCGTTGTAATGTGGTAATGTGTTCGTAACCATAGGTCTGTGGAAAGAAAGAGAAACAAGTCACTCTTTTCCGCCTTGCACGATCTTATTCAACATTCTTTGGCCGCGCACTCACCTGCACAATGTCGCGTTGGAACTGATCGTACAGTTTGGCTTTCAGGCCGCCTTGGGCTAGGGACATGAGGCACAGTAGTCGGAGAACTTGGATGAGTGGTTTCTGCTTGTTGATCATTTCTTCAATATATTCCGGTTCCTTTGCTCCGTCAATTCCCGCCACCACATCTATCCAACGTGACCAATAATGGATTAAACTCATCAAGTTCCTTACGCTTAGGATGGATGAGGATGGACGCCCTTACTTTGTTGTACTTCCAAAATTCGATTAAACTCTTCTGTAATCGTATGTTCCATGATTTGTTCTGCGATACCAGTATCTAATGACAATTTTCCATCAGCTGATTGAATCTCTTTCATGTCCATGCCCAGGGCGACTTACGGATACGGAGCGATTGATGTTCTTGTTGTAATTCACCCAGTCGACCGACAAAGTCGCGGATTTGAGCTACTGTCTTGGCATGATGTCGTTCCTTGTGTCGGAGGGCATCGATAGGTCATTAGGACCTGTTGCTTCATCCACATCCAGCCATCGCAGTTTACCTCGTAATTCTCATTAATCCTTTTGGCGATTTTATTCAACATGCCACCAACCACCGCAAAGTTTTGATCGCGCAATTGGTTGAATAGTTTGTCCGACGAATTCAGCACATACTTCTTCTTTTTGCCGGGCTGACCCGCCGTACCTGGTGTGATCGGTGTAGGAGTTGCTGTGGAAACGTTGGGTTTGCCACCTGTAGTCTGCGGTTGCGATGGATTCACAAGCGACGCATCCAGTTCGACCAAACCTATACTCACACATTAAATCTTTCCTTTTCACTACCAACACCTCGGTTCTGCCTCCTCGTTGACTTACAATGTTTGATGCCGATAATCTCGTCGATCAATCCTTCATAAGTGAGTTCCGTACAGAGCGGTGTTAATACATCGACATTGCGATCAATAATGATAAATTGATCAATATGATTTGAAATGGTATTCAAAAGTGAAGGCGATCGCGCAGAGGTAAACGCGGACACTTCATCGACAACCGTCTGTTCTCGTCGCATGCGTAACAGCATATCGGCCAATTGCTGCATAATCATTCCCGTATAAGTTCATATCCTCCATATCCTGGTTTTCACTGCGCTTTTTACCTTGGCCGCATCACCTTTGCCGATGATTTTGGGGAATAAGCCGTAAATACTCTGCAATCGCATCAGTGCTTTTGCCGAATAGTAGATTGACGTCAAGTCGCCATCCTACAGTCAACCACCATCAGTCACCGTGTAAAAAAGTAGTCGGCACAAAGTGGGCAGCTTACCAGATAAATTTCTTTCCACACGCTTGGATCGAGTTCCATGGAGATCAAGTCGTCTTCATAGGGAATCCAGTCCAAGGCATAATCGCCAATGGTGATATCGCCCTTGACGCCTTCTTCTTCCAGTACTCGTTCACAAATCATCGTTCGCTGTGGGACGAAAAAAAGCCACACATCCACTCGTTGTCCCGAGGCTTGCGATATCTTTTTGACGTGATCTTTTTCATCATCCTCATCAGTCCTCAAACCATGCAGCCTCGTCACTCGTTCCTTGGACAAATGGGGTTGCACTTACTTGCAATATACCGCATGTATTTGAGTTTGGGACGGCAAATGTAGATAAGGCCTGAGCAGTCTGTGTCGAGCGTATCGGAATCTAGGTGGTATATTTTCTCGACACCATGGTCCTAGTGGAGTACCGACCATTCTCAGTTCCCTGACGCTTCTGTTTCGTATCGTTTGTGGGCGTTATTATTTACCTTGAGAAGGGTGAATTCCGCAATAAGACTCAAAGGTCCAGTTAGTTGAGGATCGAGGACAAGGCCTTTCTTGCCTCGCACCTTTTCGTTGAAACAGTTTGTTTAATCGATGCTCATTCATTTCGGGGCGTGAACCCTTTTTGAGTTTTATGCTTGGGGACCTACTTTGTCTAGTATCTCGGGTAATTCCTTCCTTGCGACCTCGCGAAGCTTCGCCACGTTGAGAGCGGTATTTCCGAGATGGGCAGCAGAGTTCATGAGTACAATGACAAGTGTTGGTTTTTGGGTAACGTGTGGAAATACAAAAGCTGCACGAACGCTGAGAGACGCTGAAAAAAGAACCTGCGCGTTGTTCCAATTTCAGTATCACTTCGATTCGGACCGCGCTGGCCAGTTTCGGTGCCCCCCAAGTGACGTCGAAGGCCCGCTTGATTTTCCCCAGGTTCCTGAAAGATCAAATGACACTGGGTACGATGGAAACAGTATGCGAAACACTCAATATAATTGAGTTGTTGCGATCCATGTACTTTGACGAGTTTTCGTTTCGAACCGTGGACGATCAAGCATTGTATGAACAGTTACAAACCTACGAAGAACAAGGCACCTGGGATCAAGCCGACATCAATCAGCTTCCAGAAACGACAGCGTTTCATATTCGACTGTCACTGGAAACGGACTCTGACAAGGATATAAAGCTGACAATATCGTGCATTCTGTCCCTGAATAAGCGCGAGTTCCGGATCGGCATACCGTTTGCTTCTAACGAATGGCTGTCCCGCGAGTCTCATCAATCGTTGACTCGTCAAGCGGATTGCTATGTGCAAGAGCACGCTTTGACCGACGACGACGACCGAGGCACCCAGCTGCTCGAAGCCATCGAGTACGTGCAGCAGAGTGCGGTGCCTTTGGCTGTGGCCTGGTGCACCCAGCTAGAACAAGAAAATGCAGAGGCTGATGACAACGATACAACCCCTCTTCACTTCGTTCGTCAATGGATCTGGTTCCCCATGATTTATACTCGCGAAAAGGTACCTTACACGAATTCAAGATTGGAGACCCGGTAGATGCTAAAACTTTCTTTTTTTCATCTGGCAGCGAGGGCATATTGTCGACTGGGCTCCCAGTTACGGAGTCACCGGCTTTCTGTGTCCCGGCAAACCCGGATGTCTTTGTCTGGAAGGAACAGAAAAGGTACGAAAGCTTATTATTATTGTTCATTCACGCTAGGATGCCTGGAGGCAATGTCCTTTATGGACTCATCTTGATGTATGCACAGAACGTAGTGACCTTTATCAACGATATCAAAACCAAATCGTGGGCCGACATCCCTGCCTCGCACCGCAAAATGACGCTAAGATGGCGCGAAGAGCAAGAATGCGTTGGCAAAGAGGAAATGGATCGTTTACGGCGATTTCCAGACATGAAAGAAGTCATGTTTGATATCCATGGCAATTTCGGCAATCACAACAGTTTAAGTATGCTACAGGATTGGCTGAATGAGCGTGGATGTGGTGAAGCATTTACCCACCTCTTTGAATACAACGAAAAATAATCAACATTCACCGACACGCATAAAAACATGGATACCTCCACTGTATATAAAGCATTTGACTAGACATAGAGATGAATAGACACTGATTTCTCACCTTCTTTTTTCCTTTCAATCTGGACACATATTCCATTTTTACTGAATGCTTCTTTTCTTTTGTTGTCTGTACAAAGTTTTTGCATATATTTTTATTGGTTGGATCCAGGATCAGGGATTCTAAATGATGAATTGAGCTTCTTGTTCGGTCAAGTATTTGGCCGATTTTTTGGCGTCGAAAAAGAGATCGTCGACTTCTTTTACGTCGTCCAAGGTAATGGCGTTGTGGCCGTTGATTTGGGATAAAATACTGGCGGGGGTCAAAAGCTGAACGGCGTATCGAAGGGAGGTGTTGACACCGCAATCCGCAATATGATCGACCGCGGGATCTTCAATGGCTAAATTCTCGGTCTTTGCTCGGATATTGACAATCACTTTAATCTCGTCAATGGTGTATGGCAATGTACGGATAATAAGGAGACGATCCAACAGATCCACAGGAACACCGTGAGGCGACACGATATCTTCCGTACCACTAATAAAACAAAATGACCCATATCATAAATATTTCAACTCTGAAAAATACCGACAATTCTTCAGACGTACCGAATAGTACACATGCCTCGGTTAGTGGCGAAAATAACAATGGGAGACAAGGGAGATTCCAAAGCTCGATTTAAGTAAGTGAAGCATTCGATATCCAGCATGTGGACCTAAAAAGAAAAAATCAAACCGAGGATAAGCTCATCCATACTTGATTTTTTTGCCTCCAACTCATCGTCCCACCACTCGATTTTAACTTACTTCATCAATAAAGAGAACACCAGGCACTAATTCTGCAATGCCTTGATCAATGTATTTGTTCACCACCTTGTTGATTTCCTTCCTCAGTTTATCGGTAATTTCCGTCTTTTTTGGTTTCAACAGTTGTCCCATCATGGACATGATATCTTGTCCACCCTACACGATCATTGATGTAACCTTGTTTAGTTTTTCCCATCTTGCATTGGGCTGAGGAGGGGTTGGAACTCACCTGAGGTCTGGCATTGGCGACATCCAAATCATGGAGTGTAACGTCTTGAATGATTTCCTTCTTTTTGTGAACATCGCCTTTAGGCAATGGTACGTATTCTTCTGCTTCCAAATCAAATTCCGTAGCATACGCGTCGGAACGACCCACACGCTAAAAAAAAGCCCCATTTATCCGCGTCAGCCGATTGCATGGACAAATCTTCCAACTATATTAAATGATTTACCTTGACCGCGCCTGTATTTGCTTCGATATAAATAACGTCACCGACACTGACTCTTTCTTTCTGAATGGATTCGTAAATGCTGGGATCGAGCTTCAGTTGCTTAACACCTTTGACTGTCTTCAATCCAATGATAACGTGAGAGATGGTTTTTCCGTAGCCGCCCAAAGGATTTTCGGTTTCCTCGGGTGTTAATTCGGTGACTTCGCCTTCGTACACTTCCTTTGTCTCTTTGATACGTAAGCCGATAGCCCGTCGGAAGTTCTCCATGAGCACTTCGGTTTTCTTGATTTCCGACGAGTACACTTCGGAACCGACAATAGGTCGAAATGGAACCTTGGGACCCAACTCCTGCGAAATGGCCATGGCAATCGCCGTTTTACCTGTACCAGGGGCACCGGCAAACAGCAGTGCACGTCCAGCCATTTTCTTGGATTTGATCAATTCCACCACCACGCCGCTTGCCTAGCAATCACCGTAATGAATTAAGACACTGGTCCAGCATATAGAAGGGAAACAAGGAAGCAAATGTTGACAAAGTTGAATTTACCTCTCTCGCGTTTTCTTGTCCAACAAAACCGGCCATGATCGGTTCTGCGGATCCGTCATCACGAAGACCGAGACCTTTAATGTGAGAATGCGCAGCCACACGCTGTTCACGCGTGTTGGATTTCACTTGCTCGATTCTCATATTGTTGCTTGACGTCGACATTGTACTTTTTTTTTCTCGTTCGGAAAATGGAAGGTTGGTATACTCTGCAGAGTGGCACAAAACACAACCCACACACAGCAGAAAAAGAAAGAAAAAAATTCGGCGTGCCGTCGGACTGCGTTTTTTTCTTGCCTTTCAAATGGCTGCGGTCCATGGCCTAGTACCAAAAATTGATTATCTTGCTTCTGTCATCAAACAAGGCTCCCTTTATCAACAAGGAAAAAACAGGCAAACAATGGGAGAATAAAAGAAGGAACTAAAGCTTCTGTGTATAACAGGTTGCAATACCAACAAGCATTGCTACCAGCTAGGTCCTGGCTTTCACAACCAAGGTATCCGGTGATTGGATCTGTTTCACAATAGACTACCGGTGTGGTTTTATGGATTATCTTTATAAAGTTGAAACCTAGAGACGGAAATAAAGTCTGTTTGTTTGCCTGTTGTTCTAAGCTTGATGTACACGTAAGTTTTGTTATGGGAATAGCAACCCGAGCAAGTTGCAGTGTATGATATTGCTGGGTTATGGGCATACACTTCTATAGAGGTAGATTACGGATGGCAACAACCATTGTTTAAGTACTGTCGCCAACTCTTTTTCTCTTGTGCTGTATACCTCAAACCGTGGTGAAGTTACGCCTCTCAATGCCATCTGATGCAAGCTTTTGTTAGTCTATACACTATATTCATGACGTTGGACCCGAGCAATTGAAGGTCATGTCATATAAGAGTAGCATAAATGTGTCTCCACTAAGCACATTATATACCTTTTTTATGTTATGAAGATGGTAATTCGTGGGATACGGCATGAGCAATGTTCAGGTATTGGGCAATTATATCATCTGATATATGTCTTCTCGGCGGTTGGTACGGGGACTTTGCTTGATTTGAAGGCGTTGGCGTAACCTCTGTGCATTACTACTCATCACTGCCATTCACTCTACGTTCAAGTAAGTGGACACTTTTCTGCAAAATTGTTATTATAAGCTTCTCACACAACGTTTGACGATCTTTAGCTGGTGCATTTCCTAACAGCCTTGTGAAAATATACCTAGTGACCTTTGCTATTGCGACCTCCATCCGATTTAGATAGAAAGGAACGATTCCATAACGATTTATGAGTAAATCGATATTATTTGTAGTTCATGGATTTGGCAATTTGTTCGGCTATTTAAGCAACTTGGATCAACTTTGGCTGCTTTTCGGCAAAAGTCTGGATGGTTTTTCTTTTGCCGCTCTTCCGTTGCTTTATTCGGAGGGCTTCTTGTTGTGGGATGAAGATTAATGAATGCGGGATACTTCATTGAGCGTGTATATGATTATCGGGCGGTCATTGGTGCGGAAGCCATTTATTTGATAGGATGCATGAATTGAGCTGTTCAATACAAGGGTGTAAAAAACTTTCAGAATTTTTTTTTTTTCTTATATATTACCGCCTCGATTGCGGCGTACAACTTTTTTTTGTTTATTGCTTTCTTTCTCTTTTTCCTATTGCAAAATCATGAGTGAGGCAAGTACTTTGCGTAAACGTGCTCAAGGTTCCGATGCTTCGCCGGAAGCCAAAGAGTCGCCTGATCAGGTGCCTTCAGAGGAACTCGATAATTATTCATACGGTACAAATAGTTTTTATAAAACAACCTTTCAGCTTCGTTTCAAGCTCACTGATTGCTTGGATTGAATTTTAGAAATCACGGCACAGCAGCGAAATGAGGTGACCAAGCGAATTGAAACCGAGATCCTAGATATTTTACAATGGAAACGACCTCTACGTTCGGCGGCCATCTTGATATCGAGTGTCGGATTTCTGTTCTTAACCCGAACTTTCTCGGTACTGCGCATGTTGACAGCAGCCTTGACAGTGATTACGGCTGTCAACCTTGTCTATGTGACATGTTTTATGGAAACTCAAAAAGTGTTTAGTGACAAGGAAACAGTTTCCCATCCCTACGGGTAAGTGACACCGAGGCATTGGATCATTTCTCTTACTAACATGTGAGATAAAAATACGTCCACAGTGGGCTTTTGGGTCAGCGACTGTTGAGTGGTTTTGACCGCAAGAATATCGTGCACGTCAGTACCATTGCTGTTGAATTGGCCGAAACCATTGTTCGTGGTATTACAAGAATCGTGCTCGTGGAAGATACCATGTCCACCGTAAAGGTAAACGAGAAACGGATCTAGCGATTGTCTGTATTCGTTGACAACGATGTCTTCTTTTTTTACAAACTAGTGGTTGGTAATTTTCTATTGGACGTGGTGTTTAGCGGTCAATGTGTCGAGTCGTATCATTGCTATTATCTTTATTGTGTCAGCGTTCATCTTTCCTCGTCTGTACATCACCAACAAAGACCTGGTGGAAGCGCGAATTCAGCAAGGTGAAACTCTGATACGCGAATCTGTCCACAGAACCCAGGCCGCGGCCACGGAAACCATGAATGAAGCTTATGCCAAAGCCAAAGCTTACGTCGGTAAAGGAGACCAAAAGGAACATGCCACGGCCGCCCGATAAAAACGGCCTTTTTTGTTCCTTATGCTTTCCAGGTTCTTGTCCACATGCGTTCATCATTGAGATTGAAAACTTGTGTCACCGTGGCAAAAAAATCAGAACAGGTTCATTAGGAATGTGTCAGTTTGCTTCCTTTGTAATAAAAAAAGAAAAACAAAAGTGAGGCTGACATCCAATAGCCAACCTAATCTATGAATCATGCCAATGAAGTATGCTACAGAATATAATGAAGAGAAAAGGCGCCAGTGCCAAGAAAAAACCAAAGAAAAAAGAGAGAACTAAAAAGAGAGATTTCAGGTTTGAAGGGCGGTGAATTGAAAGCAACCAAAATCGGTTTTTTTTAGCGTATGATGATAGAGCAATTAAAAGGAGCCCACGTTTTTTTTCCCTTGTTTTTCCTCTGCCCTTCCTAGTCCTTCACTAGTCATTACCCTACCCTCCTTTTCGGTCCAATGACACAGAGCCATGTGGACGCGTCGGATGCTTGGTTATCCGATAATACTTCTACCGACAATAGCTCTCCATTGACACGAAGTCTTAGTACGTCAGCGACATCAGCAGCGGCACTTGTGTCGAATTTCAGCGATTTTCACTTGGATCCTTTTAATCTGAAAACAAAGTATGGCGCGCCATCACCTCACCGTCTACGCGAGACTCGACGCACCTTCACCCTCTATCTCGAGCCGACAGAAACCTGTTCCCTGGGCCGGTCACTGCAAACGTTTCAAGACCAATCGTTCAGCCGATTTGGTCCGAATCAAGCCCACAACACCAAACCACACGTGTCTATTCTAGGCCGAGTCCACATCAATCGTGGCATGGACTTTGCCACCAAATGGGATACCGTCGATGCCTTTGTCGACTGCGTGGATCAACAAATTCGGCAATTACAATCCCGGCTAACCGCACCGTCTTTTCGAGGCTACAGCATGGTCCATCGTCCCACGAGTTCGCTCGTGATTTGCGTCCGATTGGATCCGGCCTACTCCTTTTTAGCCACCAACATTGAACGACAAATGAAATCGCAGTGCCACACTCTCGACATTAGTTCCATGGATCGATTGCATCTCGCGTACAACGTTTTACGATCGATCCCTCACAGTACCATGAAACAGATCCGTGATCTGGCGTCTTCGTTGATCAATGTGCGCGATTGGATACAGAGGGGCGAGTCTTGGCAGCTTGCTCTATACGAAGTGATGCTGGAAAGTCCCATGGTTGGCGTTCAACGGCAGCTCCGTTGTCTGCGATCATGGCCTATTCAGACCAAAGATAAATCAAGCGTGTGGGTTCCGACCTCGTTGCGCATCCAATGGGCCATCTGGTCCAAACTGATCCAAAACTCCATTCTTCCACCCAGACAACAGAAAAAGGTAGAAACCGTCGAAAAGCCATCCTAAATCGTTCTTCATATCGATCTGTGTCTCTCGTTTTCTCTTTCCCTTCCTTTTTGGTCATGTCTTATTTATTTACAATTTCTTACAATCAAAAGCATCACGGTTGTTGCGCGGCAAGGCAAAAATCACCCATGATGTTATTTCATATCCGTATCTTCATCCACCCCTCGAATATAAAGTACATTATTACATCTATTAACCACATCAGTCAACTTGATCATGCATTTTTTTTATGTGCGCATCGAGGCACTTACCTAATCAGCACTTCACCCAATGTGCCTACAGAGACGCCCTCCTGAAATTCCTCGGTGTTGGCCAGCTAGTTTAGCAATGTCCATCGATAAATATCTTAGTAAAACGCCAATTGCAGTCCATACATCAGCCTAATAGCCACTTTTTCTTTTTTTTACCTGAAAGTTCATGTAAGCATCGACAGAGACAAGGTAGCCTTTGTATTCTCCTCCCCATTTAAGTTTCACAATCACCGGTTTGCCCGTAAGCTCATTCAGAAACGGCTTGGGATTAACAGGAACAAACTAGACCAAAGAAAAAAGAAACCCACGTCAATCGGCGTTATTTCTATGTAATCTTTGACAGCGATCATGTCGACTCCTACTTACGGCCGACATGGTGGATGAAGCGGAACAAAGCAGCCAGAACCCAGAAAAATGCGTCAGCCCGCCGTTGACGGCCCGATTATTTGAAGTCGCAGTCACACCGGCCGCGCTTGCCGCTCTCTCAAGACCAAAACTTCCATTTTGCTTCAAGCTCTGATCCAAGTTATGTTGCATCCAATCGAATACCATACAAAAAAGGCATCGAATTAGGTTTTATACTTTTTCCAAAAGGAAATGCCGAGGAAAACAGACATCCACGTATTACGAAAAAGCCATCCTATAAATAACGCCATCGGGTAGTGTCATACTGCAGCGAACAAGCAATTATTGCTCATCTTTCATCGTGCATCCGAGCCACGACCCGATTACTCGTCTGTGTCATATCTTTTCCATACATAGAAGAGAGGGTACAGCACCTAGTCAAAAAAGAGAACTCGAGCAAGGGGATCGGGTAATGGAGGACCCGTAAAAAAAATAACAGGAACTCGGGCCAGACAAGATATGAGGATCATGGGTACGAAAACTTCCTAAAATGAAAAAAAGTCTGCTTGTTCGTTGAACGTGATTGGGAATCTGAATGCTAACAGTGGCTACCCAACAACACACCGTGCCACGACAAACATAAAAAACGTCATTGCGCCAAGACATTCGATGCAAAGTGAGAGTGAGACCCATTCTTTCTGTCCTGACACTCGACACTATGTTTATTGAAACTTGCGAATGTGTTCAATTGGCATGATGTCATTTTTTATTCATCATAAAACAGCAGCGAGAGAGATACAAGAGGAGAAGCATAATGCAAACTCCAAAAAAACAAGGATCATCAACTTGTTATCGTCATGACAATTGGCGCCCCTTGACTCGGTTTTGTTTGCTGATATTAGCGACTGCAGATGGTCCCTTTTTATTCCCTTTTCTTTTGTTTCTATCAAGATGGCTCCAAAAAGGTGGAGCATGGCAAAAAAAAAGCCGGTGCATGATTCTGGTGAGATTTTTTGAAGAGCCGCCTGTAAATTTTTCACTTCATGCTTTTTCGATCTCTTTCAGGTTCTTCCCTTTTTGTCGAGGCACCGAGAAAACCCCACCTTCCAAAACTCGTTAATATACTTTATTCCACCAACTTCTTTTCAGTTGAAATCTCGTCATTTCAAGTGTTTTTTATTGTGCTGCTTTCTTGTTTCCCTTATAGTCTGGCCATCGCTGTGTCATGGAAGCAGATCTACCTCATTCTACATTGTCCCCCACATTGGAAGAAGAACTCGGTAAACACTTTATCACGAGATCATCCTTGGTCTTCTGACACTTAACTAGGATTTTTGGTTTTTCTTTAGCCCGTGATACTCGAGCACGTCAGTTGCAGTCATTTCGACTGCGGATTGCTCTGTTTAAACCTCTGCAAACGGTGTCGGACGAAGAACGGGAAGTCGCCCTGGACCGGATTATCGAAGTAGCGCAATCCTATCTGCATATTGCGCGAGCCCCGTTTTCGCCGTGTCGAAAATTCTTGTTTTCACCCTTTTACTTCTCTTCCGAGGCTCGCGCCACCTTTGATCCCGCTTGTTCGTCTCCGCCGCTGTCGCCGGAAGACGAATTTTCCGTTCAAGCCTTGGAATCAAAGTTGGAAGCAGATAATGCCGACGACCAGTTGCAGCATTTCTTGCTGACCATTCTACGCCTATCGAAAACATGTCCCTTTGCCGATGTACGGCACACCCTCAGCCATTTTTTACAAACGGTCTCTGTAAGGGTTTTTTTTCCTGGTCATCGTTTTACCCTTGGCTACCAAAAACTGACAGATCAAAATATAGGAAGCTAGTACGGTCCCGGTGCCGCGACCAGCTCACCATTCGCCATCATACTTTATCTCGTTGAAAGATATTTTTTCATTGGAATCAACTCCCTGCGATAGTGCAATCATGTCGTACCCACGCCCCTCCAATTTTCAACGGTCGTCATGGTCACACGAAATCAGTTGGACCGTGAGTGATACGGAACCACGGGAACCGTGCCTAGTTTCCCCTGCAACCGACACCACCACTTGCGACGATGGGCGAACCACGGGGGGTCGTCCCACGGACGACTATATTCGACAAATGTTTGTAAGGCTGTTTCTAGAAGAAGGACGCATCACCAACGTGTTTCGTGTAATGGCATTTTTCCCTACATTTTATGAAATATATCATCTCACGTACACAGAAATCCTCAAATCCTCGACGGGACCCCTCCCACCAACATGGAAAATATATTTAGGCATCATGGTACATTACTTTTTTTTCTTCTCCAAAAACCTCCCTCTTCTTGACATGAATGGGCGCATGAAAAAGAGGAAGAAGTGGGTTGTTGAACGTGTAAAAAATTGATGGTCGTTTTATTTTATTTTTCTTGGTCACAGGCAGCAGCGGAACATGGATGTCAATATCTGGTGTCGTTATTGAAGCTCGAGTTTCTTCAGGCGCAAGGCAATGCGAAATGGTTGAAAGGCATTCATCATTGTCCCGTCAAATTGCAACGCATCTCCCTAATATTGCTGAAAATGGCTCGGCAACCGTGGCGGTTGCGGCTTCAAGATATCGTAACGCTTATCGGTGGCATGCCAGGATCTCCGCGTCAAGATGCCTGGTCTAAAGGCGAACTAGTGCAAGCAATCCTTGTCATGGCGACGGTGCTAGGGTTAAGTACGTTTGTTCTTGGGTGTGGTATCGCGCCGGAAGTCGACATGCGAGGTGGATATACGGTTGCAGGCAACAGTATATTGGATGTATACCCATGTGAAGGCATTGAACGAGAACTGGATCAAACGTTGACTCTGATGGTTGAAGAAGAGCAAGAAGCAATCCGCGCCGCATCCAGTGCCACGGGCTGGCATGACAGTTCGATTCTTTTGTTTGAAGACCAAGACGAGAACGAAGATTTGGTGAAAAAGCGAGGAGCCGATTTGATTACCAAATTGCAATCGTACACATCGTCTCTCTCGTCCCCAAAATCTTGTCCGAATTTCACCTGGAAGCACGATACACCCTGGACAGGTTTCAGTGACAAAGGCCACGACACCGATGCCAATGAGAACGAACCGGTCCGATACCCAGCCTATGAAGATTTGTCTCGTTTTGCGGATCCTGTGGCCGACAAGGATATCCAACGACAAGATTTCGAACAAGTAAAAGAACAATATGATCCGTTCATGCTGGGCGTCTATTGCTGGGAAGACCATGGATGCGATATTGTCAATCAATTTCTACCCGGTGTTGGCGATGACCTAGATGATGAATTCACCGAAGCTCTCAGCATCACGGATTGGAGGTACAGTTAAAAAGATGGCCTCAAACATTTTGAACGTGTCGGTTTCAGAATATCATTGACCGTAACTAATTTTTTTTGACCAGTCTATTTCTCCATATGACCGATGCTGCTATTGACACCACGCCGTTGCGGCACGCCATATGGTATTATACGCAGCGGTTGTTGGGCGTGATCAAGGAAGACTATAATTATGAAGACTTTGCGGCGTATTTGAACGATCGTAGCAAGGATTACATCAAAAGGGCGTGCTGTTTCCCCCATCAACTAGGCGCGTTTGATTGGAACAACATGGGACTGCCACTTCGCGCCGAAGAAAAATGTCATATGATTCTCCTAATCGCCTCGGCCAAAAAGCAAGCATTGATCTGTTACGCTCTGGCCCTGATAGAGCAAGTATTGTAAAAAAAAAAAAAAAAAAAAAAAAAAAAAAGTCATAAACGACAATGACAAAACAAGAGAGAGAGAGGAAAAAAAAAGAAGCGGTAAAAAAATGAGAGAAATAAAAGCATTCTTGCTGTGACATTGTTGTAAACTCTATGCGGAGTATGGAAGCCATTAACATTCCAATGGTGGGTCTCCTTGGGTACGAAAAAAAAATCAACAACAACAACAGCCAAAAAGCAAGGAGGCTTTTTTTCGGGGGAATCTATGTTGGATAAAAATAGGATATAACAGTTACCCGAGTCGGTTCTGTATTGTTTATATTCTGGGGTTGGAGAATACATCTTTTAGTACGTCTTGTTCGCCTCCTATCTTTTTTTTTCCCTCTTCTTCATCCAACTTTGTCAACCATTCAGCACACACCATGAGATTGTCTTTTATTGCTTTTGGTGCTCTCACTTTGTTCTCCGCCTCTCGCTCGTTCGTCGGAGCTGATCAACTTCAGGATGAAATTGATGCTGCGACAAAAAGGTTCTGCGGCGGTAACCTATCTTTTCTTTTCTTCACCTTGGTTCCCTTCTTCGGAAACATGATAATTATCAGATATTAATTTGATGTCTCCATCACCATGACTTGGTCTATTAATTAGGTATTGACCTGGCCGGTCCTACCCAAGGGCAAGTGTTTGGCAACCCTCAACAAGTTTCCGTGACCGTCAGTAAGTTGTTTCAAAAGCACCAAGACCAACGGTGACTGATTCGGTTTATTTTATCTATATGTTAGCACGAGTGGAAAACGCTGAAGCCAAAGTGGTGAATGGTGTCGATGTAAGGTGAAAAATGAAACCATGATGAGATGGATACTCAACCCCCGCACTTTGATCAGATTTTTGCCATTGACGAAAATGGAAATCCTCGATACCTCGGCACGCCTTGGAAGGGCAACTATGAACTGAAAACTCAAGCTACACTAAAGTACTCGTCATCCCGTGTGAAAAAAATAACCAGAAGAATTGTCTAAACTTGTTATTATTTTAGTGTCGACATCACCAAAGCCCCAGGTGTGAACCTTCCTTCCCAGTTTGAATTCAGGTGAGCATGCGCCCATCATCCTGTATTTCTTATAAAATCTGACGAGTTGATCTTTTGTCTTTCAGAGTCTGGGTTCATAACCAAGCTGGTAAGGATTTTATTTTCAGAATATCATGCATATAAAAAAAGAAAAAAAGGATCGTTATTTGCTAGCTAGTCAGGGCTATTCAGCGCTAACCCATTCGATTCCTCAGGTCCCGATTGTACGCTGAGATCCAAGGTGAGTTTTGCGTCAGTGTCATCACAGTAAATATTTCATGTTATTGACATAAGATTATATCTAGGTGTTCAAAGTAACTTCCGGCACGCATACGAATGAAGAAATGACTCAGTTGAATAACATGGACAGCAATATTGACCGAGGCTGCTTTGGTATCGAAATTACAAAACCGGCCTTGGGAGAACATGTTCAGAGAAACCAAATGTTCCCCGTCCAAGTCAGTAAGTGTCTCAGGCTCTGGAGAATTATGGATAACACGACTCATTTCAATTTCTCAGAGCGCGACCCGTCCTCTCACGTAGAAACCTACAATAACTTGGATCTGTACCGAATCGATCTTGAAACTCGCCAACCTACCAAGATTCAAAACTCGTGGCAAGGCAAGGAAACCGTGCAGCACATGTTTAACGTCAAGGACAAACTCCATTCGGCTCCTGGTGACAAAGCCAAAGGAAAAGGGTTTGCTTATTACTACAAGTAAGACGAGCAGCACTAATAAATCACTCGGCGAAATGACTGACCTTCCTCCTTCATCTTTATTAGACTGGAAGGTGTTACACAGCATACCGAACCATGCGAATTCTACTCGCATCCCTTCTACATTGATTAGTGTGACGCTTGCCTCATGACTCATGGTGTTGGTACTTGACGTCTGACGTGTATGCCGTTTTATGCCATTTTTTTTTTGTTATTACTACGTTTTTATTATTATTATCGCCGTTGTCTTTTTACTTTTCTTCCCTTATCCAAATTGGCCCATGAGATCATCTCGATCGCTTGTAGGTGGTATACCATATAAAAAAAAATTAAAACCATGTCAACAATAGAGCTTTGCGCAACAGATTCAAAATCTACAGCAGTTATCTCTAGTTGCTTGAAAAAGTGGTGAGCAAGGCCAGCAACTGAATAGAAAATGCCATGTGTGCGATTCTTTCACTACTGAATAAGGATGGCAGTCTAGGGCAATCTAAAGCGATAGAGGATAATAGCGAGCATTATATAAAAAAGGACGAGATAACTCATCAGGATAAATATAACAAAAAGAATTACATGAAAAAAAAAAGGGTGCCTAGGATGGTAAATACAGTCTATGTTCATAAATGTAGTCGATGACAGGATTCGGAAGAAGATACTTGATTGACATTCCGCGCTTGACAAAAAGTCTGTGCAGTTCATCGTTTAGTCATTCTGTCCTATTCGCTTGCAAATCAAATCAATGCAGTATTTTCAACTTGCCTTATTTTTGTGGAGCTAATATCATTATGAATCAGCTGTTTGATGACAATGACATTCATCTAATAGAATTCATTGCTGAGTATCTCATGGCCCTCACAAGATCCCGATCTCCGCGCGACTTACTCGATGTTGATAAAGGATATCATGCGATAATAAAAATCCGTACACGTCCGTGCCTGTGCGTTCGATAATCACACATCCGTAACGGCCCACGATGTGATGAAGCTAACCGATTTTTTTGTGGCCCATTTCCATCAGATATGCATTCAGTTCTAGTCGAAGCTAGTCGAACTTACATCGTTAGGTGTCCAAACGCCAGGATGACCAAACGAAGCTATCAGATCGCCACCTGCCAACAGCATGATTTTGATTTTCCGCCTTTCACCTTAATCAAGCGTAAAAATGATGAGTCACACCCTTCATTTTGCGCCACCCAAGTTCGGATCGTTGCCTGTTTTGCGCATTACCTGATTTGGTGGCAATGCCGCCGTTAATTTGATTCAAATGTTCGTCAAAATGATCCAATACGACGGCTGTTCGTTGATAGCTGCATTGCCGTGATTCCCATGAATCGACCATTAACCAGTCGGACGTGCTTTCCACTGCCAATTGGCACATTTTTACTCGATCCTTTGCTTTTGCCAACCCTTCCTTCATATAGGCATCCGATACAGGTGAATAATAACCCGCCAACAGTTCGTACTCGTTCTTCTCCATGAAGTGGTCCTTGGCCATTTCTAATTCCAATTGTTCAGTACCCCCTTCGCTTTTTTTCGTTGAAATCCCCGTCATTAGAATAACTATTTACCAAACATTCGCAAGTGCAGATAGGTGATGGGTGAATATGAGCCACATGCAACAATGACAAGAGGGATTTTGGAGTCGTCTTTATCATTGAGTGAAATGGTCTGTTGATTAGAATAACAGCAATGACTTGGGTGGCCAAAACTTGGGGGAGAAGGGGAGGGTATAGTTACCAGACAAGACTTCCGGTATGAGATGTTTTGGAAATGCGTATTCTTCGTCGAATTGACCAGAGAGGGATTGCGACCGTTTATGCTCTGAATTCAGAGTGGTTGCCATCACTTTGGGACTGGACATGGCTATAGCATAGAACTAAAAAAAAGAAGAGCGGGAAGAGGAGAAAAAAGAGCAACGATCGGCTGTGACTGAACTTGGGAATCTTTTCGCTTTTTTTGCTTGGACCAGAAAATTGGAAACGTCAAATATCAAATCTGACGGTGCCACTTTTTATCTCTAGGCTACCGGTCTTTGGTTATCATCCCTTTGTTTACACTACATCACACGTGATATCATCTTATTATTTGGCTCAATTAATACAGAAATGACATGCGGTATACATGTGGAATACGATGTACGATAGCTTAACCGTCAGTTTATCGGTCGTATTATCCTATAGTCATACCCATGCCGTATCAACCATAAATTGAGTTGACATTATAGTCAACATGCAACTCTTTAGTTAACATTTTGGTGTCTTAAAATCTCAAACAAGCCATTGTTTTTCTTATAAACGACGGCTGACAGGGACACTAATCATGTTCCTTCTTCGATAATTTCGTCATAAACGAACAATTGAGGATAATGACAGTAATAAAGATTGCATCTGTCCATCCGCAGTGAGAAAATAAAAAGTCATCTTTTCAACCGGGTATTTCCAAACCTTTATAATGAGTATCGAGATGAATGGCAGCGTTGTTTGATAAATTTTCGCCGTCGGATTCAAACAAATTGTGGAAGCGACAATGATGTGTAAGAAAATGTTCAATTCAGGACTCGCAAGAGGAACGTTTGGCCTTGGTGGCTGGTCCACGAGGACAGAATGAAAAGTCGACTTGCCCCAAATGGAAAGCGCGCATTCGGACGAGATTGATCACTTAACCCAGTGCCATCCCCTGGCTACAATAACATAGGCACGGGTATCCATTTTTCACATGTTTATCTGATCTTACTGTATATTTCGCACCTGCATCCGTCATTCTAATTCGCTCATTCTTTATTCATTTATTGAAATGGATTAGAGATGATCCAATCTCTTTTTCATATATTACATGCTTCTATGCGCTTGCTATTGTATTCACATGTGCTTGTTTTCCGTCAATGACATGTATAATTGGTATTCTCCTATTTGTTGCGATTAGAAATAGCATAACGTCGGCAAATATCCCCGGCAACAATGATCCGGTGGATACGCTGTTGTCCTACCGAAAGGGATAGTACACAATCGTTAAACCACTTTTGTATTATTGGAACAAGCGTCAATATCTACTGGCCTCTTTTTTACCCGAGGCTCTGTAGCGGATGTAACTCAGCGTATTTTCGAGCGCTGCCCTTGATACGAAGTGGTCGGCAACGTTAGCTGGAAAAAGAAGGCCAAGTTTTTTTTTTCGAGTTCAGCAACAAATCAAGTATGAGGCGGTCCTGATTTTTGAGAAAAATCTGATAAGTAGCGTGTGGGGGACATCGGATGTGCAAAAAAAAATTTAGGGACTCTGGACCATTGCTTCATTCTTATAACCATGCCATGGGGTTCATCCATGTTGATTGTCCAGTCTTCGAAACACACCATGCTGCGCCAGCTAGCTTTTAATCACCCTCGTACTTCTAAGCTCGTCCTTATTGGACTCGCCCAACGAAAACCTCTTGCGAGGACCACGGTCTACCGAACAGGCATCCAACTACGACACCATGCATCACACCACAATCACAACCATAAACCTGGACACAGCCACGGTCACAGCCATGGCGATGGTCACGTCCATGCCGACCTGATGACGACCATAAAGCAATCCAGTAAGATTTTTCCTAATTCGTCAAAACGAAAAAAAGGAGGAAATACCTCGCTTGTTATTGTTCCAGTGACTGAACGGCGGGTGTTTTTTTTTATGATCTTTTTGTTTGATTAGGTAAAAAGGGCATACAAATTACAGTGATAGGCTTAGTGGCCAATGTGGGGCTGACGGTATCCAAGGGAGTAGCAGGATGGTAAGAGTCGTTGAAATGGGGGTGTTACCATGGTTGTGTGTTTATTCATCTCACCTCGATTACCAAATGACGTCTTTTTTGTATCAATCAAAAATTTATCTTTTAGGCTATTGAATTCCGCTTCACTTCTCGCCGATGCGGCTCATTCTTTCAGCGGTAAACCAAATTTTGGGACGGTCGGATGGTCTTGTGCAACACTAACCCATCGTTTATCAGATCTTCTCAGTGATTTCGTTACGCTCTACACTTTTAAAATGTCTCGAAAACCCCCGGATGCAATTTATCCCTATGGCTACGGTAACTTGACAGCATGGAAATTTATTTGCGACGTCGGATTGGAAGTCTTTAACACGAGGACATGGATGGCCTTTTTTTTTTTTTCCTGTAGGCAAGTTTGAAACGTTGGGATCATTGGCGGTATCATCGCTGTTGATTGGCGGTGCTGTCAGTATAGGCTTGCATTCGTCTGATTTATTGATGGCGGCCTTGGACACCACCCATACTACGACCCCGCAAATGGTGGCGGATACCGTGGCGGCATCCTCGGCGGCGGCGACGGAATCGGCTTCCCACTCTTCGTTTTCGTCTCTTCTTCATCACTCCCACCATCATGACGGTTTACTCGATCCCAACGCCGCTTGGTTTGCGCTCGCTAGTGTCATTGTCAAAGAGTGGTTATACCGTGCCAGTAAGTTCCTGGGTTCATGTGGAGGCGAAAAAGAAAATGCGACGTGGGAATTCATGCATTTCTTGTTCTTGCTCCTTCAACAATGCAGCTATCAAAGTGGGCCGTAGCGAAAAAAGTGATGTTCTTATCGCTAATGCTTGGTAAGTGGTAAGATCCATGTGACCCCAAGGAAAAAAAGGGGGGGGGGTTCGTCACAGGATCAAAAGGGTGAGGATGATGGACAACAGAGAAAACAAAAGCCAACAACAACGATGAGCTAGGCATCACCGATCGGACGCATATTCCAGCGGAGTGGCGCTTGTTGCGATAGGGGGCAGTTATGCAGGCATGACTGTGTTGGATCCTTTGGGAGGTTTACTTGTTGCTGGCATGATTTTCCGCAGCGGTGCCCAAATTATGAGTAGCTCGGTCAAGGAGTTGATGGATAAAGGGCTCTCTGAGCCTGAATTGGATGAAATCCGAACCGTGATCCGGAAAGTTCAGGTAAAGTAAAAATCGCGATTAACGAGGTGCAGAGGAAGGGGGACAAAAGGGAAAAAAACGGATTCAAGAAAAACAGGAAAAAGAAAGATAGAGAACAAGGGAAAACAACTCATTTAGCTTTTCAATGGAATTGACAAAACATGGACCGGTTTTGTTTTGATCAGGAAAAAGAAACGGATCTGGTAGATTTCCATTCGGTGCGAGGACGCAAGTTGGGACCATTCCAACACCTGGATCTTATCTTGCAGTTGAACCCACAATTGCCGGTCGCCAAGGCTCATTCGATCGAACAACAAGTTCGATCCGCCATCAAGACGGAGTGTTCCAATGTCCAAGAAGTCTTGATCCATTTAGACGCTGAGAAACAACCTCCTCATCATTAGATTTCCTTTTTTATTTTCGTGCGTGTGTCTGCGTGTTTTTGCTTTACTTGTTTATGATGTCTTGTTATACTGTAACCTTTTTTTCCACTTTTGTACGATATACGATAATCGAAGATCACCCCACGGTAAAATAAATTAAGCTAATTTTTTTAAGTATATCAAAATAGACGTGGGGTCTAGAATGTTAGATCCCAGAATCTCGGATACATCAAGGTTATTTCGATTGTGTTTCAAAAATCCCCAGGATTTACAAAGGACAGCCACCTGTGCTCTTTCATCATATAAACAAGGTGATGCAATCTTGCAAGCAATGGGTCTGGGATCAACAGTAGATCATGTGTTCTCGTCATTGTACGTGTTATTCTTCATTTCTAATCAATTTGGGAAACAAAGAAAAGGGAACGCAAAAACAACAAACTTTTTTTATGGATTGAACAAATAAAAGCATAACATATGTACATTTTTTCGATAAAGCACATGGGATTTCCAGTTGTCAGTATGCTTCTTTTTTTTTTGGTCTCAGACTCGCTGAGATCGAGAAACCATTATCCCCTTGTGTGACAAATGAAGGTGCGAAAAAAAAACAAAAGCTAATTCTTTCTGTCGGTCTGAACAAGGAGAGATCTTCATCCAAAAAAGGATAATAACAATAAAAAGAGCATAAAGAAAAAGATCACCAAGACCATCGAGGAGAATGAAATAGATAAAGAAAAGAAACCGGATGAGGCGAAAAAAAAAAAATGATGAGAACAATAATGACAATGATAAATAAAAAAAAGGCGAAAAGGAGAGATATAAATAAGTAATTCTGGAGAGTGGAGTAAGGGGCCTTTTTTTAAAATGGTCATCAGGCCAAGTTAAGCGAGTGGCAAGGCATCGAGGCGCATGCGTAATTGGACCAGGGTATCAGCCCACTGAGAATCGAGTTCAAGGCTGTCGACTTTGTTGAGCCGATCGTGTAGACGGTGATATTGGCTCAAGCATGAACTGACGGCTTCCCTTGCCGAGCAAAGATCGCCATTGTAATAAATTGAACCTTGTGATTCTATCGCATAAGCCATCTATAAATAGATTACCGTTTAGATATTACAATAAAAGGAAAAAAGACGGTGGACTCTATAGAACAAGGATGCGTACCTCATCTTCTGCTAATCGAAACAGATTCCGCAGTTCATCGTAAAGTGATTCTTTGTCATGCATGGACACTTCGGCGCTGGAGGTGGAGGAAGCGGATGATCGACGACGGATGAGTGGGAACCATTTGGGAGGACTGAACGTCGTGATAGGATTATGATGGTAGTTAGGATGACAACCACAAGAACAAGTGGTGGTCGAGGATTTATCGTTGCCAAAGAGACGAGATGTAAGTGAAGGCATGTTGAATTGAAAGAATAAAGAAATGGATGATTGTTTTTGAGAAGAAAAATTTAAAGTTGAAAAGGGAAAAAGGTATAGCGAAGGAAGAAGATAGAAAATAGAAGTGAATTACCTTTTATACAATTGAGATAATCAAGGGGCGGGTTGGACTTCTCTTTGGGGTAGTGGAGAGTGTGGCCCCTTGAGATCATCATCATCAGCTTCATCATCCGTTTCTTTGAGGTTGTCCATAACCGGTCAATGTCACACCCTTTTTTTTTCTGCCTCCTTCTCCTTTTTTTGATTTCCTGTTGTGTTATTGTTGTTATTGCATCTTGAATTTCTTTATTATCAATCACAGGAAACAGCCTTATTTGTTGCATGCACCTACTTGTCGAGTCCCATCTTTCGAACTCTTCTCATGCATGAAGCGGGCTTTGAATCGAGAAAAGAAAAAGCTGTCCCCATAAAGCTATAAACAAATCGACCCAAGTAGCTGTTTCGCTTATGTGATCTATGGTGAATTTTCTTGATTTAATCATTTTCTCTTTTATCCCTGAGGTGTCCCTTTTTTCTCCTACCTTGGCCACTTGAGCAGGGAGTTGGTAACCTAAAATTAACCTATCAGCATCCGCAGCCTCATATGAGCTGATTTCCAAATCCGGCTATTGCCACCACAAAAATGTGAACTCAAATTGGTTCACTAGAATTGGAACCAATGGTGTTGACACTGTTCCCGGTTATCTTTTTTGAATCAATGACCACGATTTAGATTAGAAGGGTTATCAAAAGATAACTCTTTACTGAGGCATTATCTTGAAATAAATGAAAACCAAAAGGAGCAAAAGGAATAACCTCGAGCAGATGTCAACGGTGTTCTCTTCATGATATACATAAATCATTCTTACCAGAACTACAAAAGTTTGTAACACTAATTTTTGGATGAAAGCTTATATTCTGATGCGCGGAGTAACATGTCCTGTGTCTTCCCCAGCGGAAGAAGCCTCCGCAGCATATGAAACTAAAAAGTTTCCACAGTCAATAACACCGCCAAATTCGTTTGAGAATACACCATGTTACCGTATACGGGCAATAAATTTTTATTTAGAATATACTCTGAATCTCTTGAATGAGGATGCAGAAGTTTTCCTGTCGAAGAAGAAGCTTACACCAGCAAAAGCAATACAGGCTGCTGCTTGGGTATCCTGATTTGAGTTGCACGCCCTTTTTGATATTATGGGCAATGGATGTTGGGTACGTAAGGATAATTCGTATACCAATTTGCACTTTTAAGATCCCTCCAAACGTTTTTTCTTCTTTTATCGGACGACTGGATCGAAGCATCCCACACTGTACAGGTTTGCCAACTTGTGAACTCGTCAATCGACCCAACAACAGCGTGTTGACGATGCTCTCTCCGAACTTTTTTTTTTTGCCACCAGGTCTTGTATGACCTTTTATCCTGATGCCCACTTCCATTATTTGCATCCCAAACACCATCAAAACTAGTCATCGGTTTGAGCCTGCAGCATGCTTCATGGCTGCCCTTTCCTTTGCTGCGACACATTGATAAGCCCGTTTCGTCGCTCACTCCTGTGATGTATCTCTGTTCGTTCTCAGAGAATTAATAAAAACCGCAAAGGATGCTTTTTGTTTCTCTTGAGATTCAAAAGAATCATGTTGATAAAAGTTTAAAAGGGATACGCTTCAAATACACACTTTTTGACATTGCTAACTTTATGTGAATCTTATTTTAAAAGACCGCTGTTAACGGCTGCTCAGCATCCAAAGCCAGATGATTTATGCTTTTCATCTTTTTTGGTATATCTCTTTCTGCGCCAAAGACGATACATACACCTGCTTCGTCGTAAGTGATGTGTTCATTCTACTTGGAGAAAAGAAGAAAAACCCAAAAAGGGTTTTCTTTTTCGTGAATTACAAAGGCTCGCTATGTGGATCCGCGGGGGACACCAAAAAAAAAAAAAAAAAAAAGTAGAGAAACGGGCGTCACAGGACCCCATTTCTGCAACGCAGCTCAAAACATAACAAGCTCAGCCGGGCTACCGGACCGCCGGACTGATTCGGTCAGCCCATGGTTCGGCAGCCGGGAAATCTTGAAGAGCCATCGTCTGTCCATCAAGGTGTAGTTTTCCTCCTCTTTGCATCTATCCATTTGTTGAGGGTAAGTACTAGTCCTATCCGTATAGAGTACCATCCGTCCATCCATCAACAACGACAATGAAACGATAATGCAAATCAACCTTGGAGGAACATCTAAAATTAAAAAAGACACACATCTGAAAGTTGGAACGGACAAAAAGAAGTATCGTCGAAAAAGAGAAAATAACACCATTCAATTCGCCCAGCATTGCCTTGCATTGATCAGCTCTCTGTCATGTCGAACGCAGCATTCACTTTCATTTCTTCACACTTTCTCCTCGTTATGAATGGACGGATGGGAATCAACGAGTGATGGAGAAATCAAAAAGGAATTAATCACTTTTAATTTTAGTTCTAACAATGGTCACTCCTGCCGTTAAGCACACCATCGTGAAGAAGCGTCGCGCTCACTTCAAGCGCCACCAGTCTAACCGCTTCATGCGTGTTGGTGAGTCCTGGAGAAAGCCCAAGGGTATTGATTCTTGCGTCCGCAGACGTTTCAAGGGTCAGGCTCCCATGCCCAAGATCGGTTATGGTTCGGACAAGAAGACCCGTCACTTGTTGCCCAACGGTTTCCGCAAGTTCTCCGTTTCCAACGTCCGTGAAGTTGAATTGTTGTTGATGCACAACCGCACCTACGCCGCCGAGATTGCTCACAATGTTTCCTCCAAGAAGCGTGTCGCTATCCTCGAACGTGCTGCTCAGCTTAACGTTAAGGTCATCAACGCCGGTGCCCGTCTCAGATCTCAGGAGTAAAAAACAAATACAGAATAAACATCACCATCCCATTTATTTGATCCTCAAAAAAGCCGATTAGAAAAGTCCCTTGGTTCCGGCGACATACCCTCTGTGAGTTTTCGAGAGTTGCCTGTGAGTGATGAGTCTTTAAAAAAGATCAAGGAAAAAAGTGAGGTAGAGAGACAGTGACGAGTTTTCGTGAAGAAAGGATGAAGCCCACACCAGGTAGGCTCATAATCTTTGTTTTCGTGTGCATGGAGACAGCCGCCCTGAATATTTCAATCAATCACCTTTTTTGTTCTTTTTCTTGGGCGAGACCATTGAGGGATATGATGCAATCAAAGCTTCACGGGGAAAAAATTGAGATGGAGAGTGGCAAAGGGGAAAAGAGGTAAGAAAGGCACAGAATAAAGAATAGTAATAAAAAAGACACAGCACAGATACACATACAAGAAAGTAGATAAATAGGTAGGATCACAAAAGCACAATTAGGCATGGCGACAAAAAAAAAAAGTGGAAAGGTTGGAAGGTGGGGTGTTGCCAAGATGGTCTTAATCGTGATGAGAGGGTATGTTGTTAGGATCATCGGGCGATGGTATGGTTTCTACAATAATTATTGAATCTCCAATTCTTTGTTCACATCAAAATTGCAAGCGCACTTACGATGGGAAGCGGAAATGGGACGAGGGCCTAATGAATTCGGTCTGTCTACACATCTTTCATCATCTGAAAACAAAAAAGTCGGATCAGTGCTCGTCCCTGACGTGGCGAATTTTCTTTTAAATCTTCAAAACCTGTACCTTTCGCGGATAATTCAGGATCTCTGTTTTCATCGTTTGTAACATCCTTCTTCATTTCAGCACTGGCGCCAGCTGCCTTGCTTTCTTGCAGCATACGCAAAACCTAAGCCCATGTCACTCGCTTAATTATGCATCCGAAACCCGCCGGAGAACCCTCAGGGGGATTTACGCAAACTTACATCAGCCGTTTCTACTGCAACACTGGCATCGAGGTCGGCATAGTTACGGCAAAGCGGGCAAAGAAATCCAGGATAGTTGACGAGTAACGGTCGGAGACATTTGTAATGGAAGGTGTGAGAACATGGTGCGACAAAGAGGGCTTGAAAGGGAGCAATGGCGTACAGACAAATACAACATTCTTCAATGTGTAGTTGCGTACGGTTCGCTTCTTCTTGATGCATGGCGTCATCGAGTACACTAATATTATTAGGTGGCGTAGTCAAGTTTCGAAGCGTTTGGAATGTGTTGAGACTGAAAAAATCGAGCAATGACCGCGGGTCCATTGCGATATTGTTAGCACGAATCAAGAAAAAATGTTGATAAAGCAAAGATGAGATGGTCTTTACCTATATGTCATCCTGTTATTCATGTGATGACGATTGAGTTCAATTCGCATCCGTACGCATCGATAGATTTCTAGAAACAGTGGAAATGATAAAAAAGAGAAAAAAATTGGACCGTCAATATGCATGATCTTTACTTGCATCATGAAATAACCTAAAAATACATCATGTAGGATGTTTCGGTTTCTTTTTTTCCTTTTACCTTGGCTACCACCATGATAATCCACTCCCAATTGCACAATATCTCCGTCCTTAAGTTCACAAGGACGGGAGGCTTGATTCGGGGCACTTAGACGCACATGATTTAAAAAAGTGCCTGATGAGGATTTGATATCACGAATATAAAACTAGCCAAAAGGAAAAAAAAAAGACAATAAGAGGTAAATAAAAACCATGGGCATGCGGTGTGAAGATGGGCGAACCGTATGAGGCCAACGGTGGTTGACTCTTTCTTTTTTTTATTTTTTATTTCTTTACCTTGTTGTTTTCTGTCCATATCTCTGCATGGCCTCGGCTGACGACTTTGCTTTTGAAGGTGATGCGGGTCAGGCTCATACACTTGTCGGTGAAACGACCGATTTTCAGCACTTCGCCTTGGGCAATGTCTCGTTCGATAATGTCAAAGACGAGCGATCGTTGGGAATCCAGATGAGGAACAATACGAATATGAAGCGGAGCCTCCGATCGGGAACTTGTTGGTGCGTGCGTCGACAGAGCCGCATTGTCGGTAGATGACGGCATGGGACGGGCGCTGAGATTCGAAGTCAATGCCGCGGTAAGCATAGCAACGGGTGATGACCGATAATCGACAAAACTCACCCAAAGGAAAAGGAGGTAATGGAAAAGAGAAAGAGAAAACAAGAAAATTGATGGAAAAAAATAAACCGCAAACAGTATAAAAGGGGAACCCGAAATAACAATCAAAAAGCCCAAAAAAAAAGAACACCAAAAAAATAGAGCCAATAAAAAAAGGAACGACTCAAGAAGAAGAAGACAAATAAATCATAGAAAAAAAAAATGAAATGAACGCATTTCATATGCAAAAACCGGAATTGCATCTTTTTTTTTTGGATTCACATTTATCACCAGGCGACGACGAACTCCCTGTTGCTTTTTTTCTTACCCCTTTTGTTTCAACTCGAATCGATTGGTCTTTGTCACGCTTATGATTTTGTCTCCGCTCCCTCTATTTTTTCAAACAACGCCACAGTCGCCATTTATGTCTGCCATGAATCAAATAAAGTGATACACCTCCCAAGAGTCAAGAAAAATGAAGCATACTTGTAAGTATTCGCCAATATCATCATCTGTCCCCATCGCTTTGTCAACCTATTTGATGCCGGTTTGTGCAGGGCCAGTGAAAAGCAAAATAGAAGACAAAAAGGGAGCTAGGGTCCGGCCATGGCGGGCAGTGGGAGGAGTATGATTGAGTGTATGGAGAAGAATGGTATTGCAAAAACGGAAATCATCATTTGATGCGGGGATCAAGAAAGGAAATGCACTTTTTTGACAACAAAATTTTTTAGTGCAGACAAAATATGAACCTGCACGAGGACATGGGTTCTGCACCGACACTCCTACAATTGGAAATCCGAGGGTGACACACGCTACGATCGATCCCCAGGGCCAAAGCTTCTGGGTTTTTCCTTTCTTCTCCAAGAAAGATCATTGACACCTGGTCAAGATGGCTCACGTTTGATTGAGTTCATCCAATAGGCGCGCCTTTTGATGGGGTGGATGCATCTCTACAGAAATGTGACTACATGGTTATTACGGCAACCCTAAGCGCTGCACAGCAACGTCCCAATAAAAAATAAAATAAAATAAATCCGCACTCGTTCTGAAATACAGGATCGTTTGTCAAACGAATGAATTGTACACCTCGCGTCTAGATGATTGGCTAGCGTTACTTTATTTAATTCAGAAAATTTGAAGATACAATTACAATCGGAAGTAGACTAACCATAGTGGACATGTGGCAGCGTTCATTCTATTTAAGCCAATGCTATCTTTAGGCTTTTTACGTCGTTCTTTTCTATTTTTTTTTTCTTTTTTTTTCCCTCCTGTAGTTTATTTTCCAACATTTTATGATACCAGCCGTGGCGTTTGACAAGAGAGTGGATAGCAGGGGCTACCGGTTATTCAACCTAAAGTTTATCCATCTCCTCTTTCTCTGGACATGTTTTTACCTGACGATCCATGCCGCGCCCAATAATACCAATACAAACGACACTCGACCTGTCTATACCATCGGTGTTCTGTTTCCAGATCCACTTTCCGTACGCAACCATGACCCCACACTTAATAACATGATTGTTTCCAGCGAAACCGCTATTCATATGGCAAAAGCCGATGTGGAAGCGGCCAACCTTGTTCCAGGTACGAAAAAATCAGCATCACTATATTATTTTTGCTTTGAATCAAACTATGCGGCCCGATGTGTGGAAATGAAAAAAAAAGAAAGCGAAAAAATTAATGAGCGTTTTTTGGCTTGCGTACTTTGCGTAACCGGATTTTCATCTATGGTATTTTTGAAATTAGACGTCCGCCTTCAAATTGTACGAGGTGAATCGGACGAGAACAATCCAGGACGCACCTCCTGGGCCACGGTGGAAATGGTGGCCATGGGTGTAAAGTACGTGATCTCCCTTTGTTATTGGATCCTTGCCATAGGATGTTTCCCGGGTAACTGGTGGACCTGGAAATCCATGCCACGTCTTGGGCAGTGCTTCAGTTGTCGAGGAAGGAAATGTATGTTTTGCGATAAAAATTTGACTGATCATATTATTTTCTTGCCCAGTGCAGTGATCGGTGACATAATCTCGACCATGACAGAAGCTTCCGCAGGGATTAATGGCATCGTGTATATCCCTCAGTGTTCACCGGCCTCCGCTTCGCTCAGTTTATCCGACAAGGACTCGTTTCCTTACTTTTTTCGAACCGTCGGCAACGTCGTCTTATTCGGTAGCTCCCTCGTCGATTGGGTCAGCAACATGGGCTGGGACTCGTTTGCATTGATCTACACAAACGACAACGTCGGACAACAAGGTACGCCATACATCCTTCACAAAGACTCATCCAGGGAAAGATAGCTGCATTAACATTGATTCAACAAAAAAAAAAAAAGTCCTTTATTCTATGCTCGAGAAAGCAAAGCTATTCAACATTGACGCACGAACGCAGATTCCATTATACGATTTCAGTGATTCTAAAATTGAAGGTACGCAAAACTCATGGTTACGTCCGGAAAATAGGGCAACGAAATGACGAATGGATCTGGTTTATAAGCTTCCCTTGAAACACTGGCCAACTCTGGATCACGCATCGTTGTGTTTGCGGATTCTAATACGAGCAATCAACTAGTGGTGTTGCAGAAAGCAATGTAAGATGATACTCGATGAATCTCTTGCATTATATGCGAAATATCTCACTGCTATTTTTTGATCTCTATCTTTTCTTCAGGGCCATGGGATTGTTATCCAAAGGATGGAGTTGGATCTTGACCAATGACATGTCGCCGGCTATTAAGGCGATGGTCGATACAGAAGAAGAACTGAGATTGTATGATGGCCTCATGTTCATTAGCGGATTATGGGACCGTAAGTCGCACAAACTTTTTGCTTTTTTTCATTTGACGCAGGTCATGCTCCGATTGTCAACCATTACTTTGAAAATAATAGTGTCTGGTATCCCGGCTTATGATAATTTGGAAGCCAGATGGAAAGAACAACCGATTCCTGAGGCATAGTAAGATCCTGTAATCTCTTGTCATTATGCCCCTTGTTAAACTCACTCGATTTTTATTCTTTTTCTAAAGCATCCATCCCGAAAATTGGAATACTTCGGGACTATCTTACAATGCGCCCAACTCTTACGCTTGTTTCGAGTTGCTAGTCCGCGGTCTTGATAAGGTGACGTATTTATGGAGATGGGACCGAAGCAGCAGGATTGTACTGATTTCCTTGTTCAGGCTTTGAATGAGTATCCAGGTGGACGGGAAAAAGGACTGATCGACATGGCCAATCGGCAATTCAATTCGACCCATATGACGCCTACCTTTTATAACATGAACTATACCGGACCAGCAGGTATTTTGTGGATTCCCATTAATAGGATAAAAGGGGGAAAAGAAAGGTTGTCTAAATTCATTGAAATAGGCTACATGCATTTCGATGAAGCAGGTAATGTTCAACAAGATTCTTCTCTGTTTGTGCTACCCAAAATACGCAAGCAATATGCTTTGTTTTGGTGGGAGAACATGCTTTTTCTCACAACTAAAAAAAATTCATTAATGGCTGTGCAGGTGATTTAAAAGCAGGGTGAGTAAAAAAGTCCTTGTCAGTAGTGGATGTAGCATACTGATATGAAAAAAATTTTGATACAGATATTTTACGTTGCAATACATGCTGAATGGATCGGTTGTTACGTATGCAACATTGAAAAATGGTTCATTTGAATTCACGCCCAATGTAACAATTTTGTACCCTGGTGGAACCGATCAACGACCCGATGACATTGTCGCTAAATATGGTAAGCGGATACCCCGGAAATCGTTGGTGATACCGTTCTGTTGACAGGCGATTCTTCTTCTCGCCTAGCGTTGAACCCTCGAGCAAAATATGCCGCTGGATCCGTGATCCTGGCCATTTGTATTATCGGCTTGGTCTGCTGTGCTATCATGGCTGTGCTGATTTTGTTATTCCGTGATCACAAGTATATTATGGCAGCTAGTCCGGTCTTTTGTTGTCTACAGCTTCTCGGTTTGGCGCTGGGTTACGTCGCCGTTGGTTTGTACATCGACCGTCCCACTGCGGCCAAATGCATTGCGCGTCAAATCTCCATGACTTTGGGCTTTATACTCGTCATAGGAAGTATCATCGCCAAAAATTATCGGTATGTCACAATCTTTTATCTTTCCCGAACCGTCCCATAACTCACGCCGCGTTTCTGTTTTATAGTATTTATCGCATGCAAGTATTGGTGGAGAAAACGATGAGGGTGCTGTATGGTTTTGGCTAATCTTATTTGTCGAACAGATTTCAGAATGTGTTTACAGTTCGTACTTCCCGGTTAAAATCGGCGTATTTGATGCGGATGGTCGCTATTTTCAGCTTTATTGGACTGTGTCCGCTCATTGTGTGGCACGCTATTTACGAGATCAAGGTGGAAGATGTGCTGGTGAGCCCGTCAACTTACTGTTGGTTATGTGTGTATCCGGGTGCCGATGCGGACTGGGGTACACTCAACGCGGCCGAAGTCGTAGTCATTGCATGGGGCGCACTGCTTATCATCTGTTCGGCTATACTCGCTTGGAAGGTGAGACATCCCACCATCACTGTGAACGATCGTCCTATATTACTAACCTGATGGGGTTGACAGACACGTAAAGTGAGCGGTAAATGGTCCGAAACAAATCAAATTGCCTATGTGAGCTAGTAAGTCAACTGATTTGGGCCGTTCCAACCCGAGCGGATCAACTAAATTTACGCTACAGCAATGCATGTCTTGCGGCGATTCTTGTGACGCCCGGGTTCTTTTTACCGTTGAACAGTTATTTTGTGGTGATCTACCTTCGTGTGGCGTCGATCCTGTTTGCGGCTTCATTCACTTTGGTTGTCCTGTTTAGCCCCAAATTTATTTTTATCATGCAGTATCTCTGGTCCAATTACTGCACAAAACTGTGGCACGATCGGTACTACCATGGCAACGACAGCCATGGCGAACTGACGGCGGTCACTTGTCCGGACACCGCACTCTCCCATTCAAGCGGACCCTATCCTTCGCACCTGCTCATGAAAAATCTGCTCGATTTCTCGGTACAAGCCCACGAAGGCGTCCTGCCTGTCAAAAAGGTGGCGCGATTTCGATTCATGTCCATCTGGGAACTTCAGCACATCGTCCTCGTCCCCTTGAAACGGTTCTTTGTCCTTATGAACGTAAGTGTCGCCTTGTATATCCGTAATGCAACTTTTTTTTTTCGATGCTGGCTTGGCATAACTCATCGAATAACGTAGCAATCGAGCCATAAAGCCCAAGTATACCATTACCTTGTATGCGAACCAATTTCATCCACGATTGATCGATGTATATTTCGCGTTCGAACGGACGATGACTTGACGATTTTGTTTCAAGTGCAGGATCAAATAGCGCTGGATCGATGGGTGAAGTGGTTTAACGGAGTGACCACTAGCCAAGATCTGCGGACGGCGTCACGGCGATCTTCGGACAGTGGCCATCATGATGTGGACGAATCAAAAGAGGGGCCGATCCACAAACCAAACAATGCGCCCACACGGTTCCTTGTGAACCCTGAAATGGATCCTTCCCTTTCCGCTTTCACCACGTCCCCCGCCGTCGTCCATCGATCCGGGTCCACATTGGCCGACCATAATTACGAATCCTATCGTTACGATCAATCCTTCCCTCATCATCCACCCTCGTTTCACATGCTTCGCAGCTTTTACGAATACCCTTCCAATTACGCATCCATGTCCACTCATTCCACCACCCATCCAAGTAGCCAATACCACCAAGCTGATTCCAATTCCTGGCACACTTGATTTTCCTTTTCGTCACAATGCCATCCGATTTCGCAACTGACATCTTTTTCCTCTTACTACTCCTGTATTATACTCATTCGCTGCTTTGCATATAATTTTCCTTTTGTAACTGAGAACCATTCACCTCTTGATTTTTTTTTTTTTTTGAAAAAGAGTTTTCAAGGTCTGCTACTGTATTGTTCGTTAACCAGGGATATCATTGTCCAGCACTGCCATTTTATGGAAGGATAATGCAAGGAATAGGAGAAAATGCAATGAAAAACGCTACGCAGCGATGAGTCCAGACCGCCGGAGAACAACAAGAAACGGAAAAAAAAGGGGAGGAGAGAGGAGAAAGGGTAAAAAAAGAGAGTTTAGGCAAAAGAAAAAAAAAAAGGCTACACAACAGAATGCATTTAAAAACTCTTAATGGCATGAAATGGATCGGTTAGCGTTCAGTCGACCTTGACCAAAGAAATAATGACCAAAACCAGCTCCGAGAATAGTGGCAATCATCAAGTAACCGTTATAAGTCATAAACACCAACATGAGCCAGAAACTGATGGCCATCAAGAAAGCATACATGACTGATCGCATGATGGCTTGTTGTTTGCTAAGACTAAAGAAAAATCAATTGCATACGTTAGTTCATCCGTACGTACGTTCGTTTAACAATGAATTTTTTATGTAATTATCGATGGGTTGCACAAGTCCGTGCACGCTGACCTACCTTGGTCCATCCTTGGTAAATCCATGCAAGAGTCCTTCACTCTCTGATGGTTCTGAAGAGTCGATGCGAGCAGCGTTTCCGGCGGCTTGCTTTTTGGCGTTGGCCAACTTGTATCGCTGATCGAGGGAAGATGCATACACTCGCAGATATTCGTAACCGGCGGCAATGGCAAACACAGCCGCACAAGACAGAAGCAATCCCAAGGCCGTGTGAATATGCCACCATTCAAATACCACACACACATTCTTCACTTGCCAATTGAAAATCATCTATATTGACAAAACGAGATAAACAAACACATTAGAATACATGCCTATACTTGGTGCGGTATCCATGGAGTTTGTTGATCCAGAACGCCCATGACTACCTTTTTCGTATCATAACGCTACCAATGAGTGGTGGATAAGCGTTTGAACAGATCACTTACATTCATATTACACATATCCGACATATCAGGCATGTCCGGCATAGTGTGGCCTTCGTGGCCCATTGCCATATGGCCCATATGACCCATATTGGCCATATCGCCCATTTGACCAGCGGCGTGGTGGCTGCATCCTGCGTGTCCTTCCATGGTGTATAACAGCGGTAAACGGTAGGAAAAAGATGGATGGATAAGACAAAGGTAAAGAGAAGAAGAAGAAAAAATAAAGGCGTACAAAAGAGGCAAAAGAAGGAAAAAAGATAAAGCAATTCAAAGGGAGAAAATTTATATGTTGGATATGCGGGTATATCGCTGCTCCGACGTATTTCGATCCCCGCAGTGAGCATTTTGAGCCGATCGCTGCCCACCGACTTGGTGTCGCCCAAAAAAAAAGGACCCGTTCTCCGCCCATGATCAAGCTCCACGGTGTGTATGCGGTAGCCACCATCAGCCGCCTCATCACCATTACGCTTGCCGTTATTTCGGGGCTGTGGACCGGCACTTATGATTCCTCGGCGAGTATCCAATTATCATCAGTATCCAATGTTGGACGGTCTATTCTCAGTGTGTTTCTTCGCTGGGACGCGCTCTATTTTTTGCATATTGCCGACAAGGGCTACATTTACGAGCAAGAACATGCCTTTCTTCCGGGCATGCCACTTGTCGCCCGTCTATTGGCTAATACGGGTCGGTTTCCTTTGTTCGCTTCAGTTGTTCGGCCACCCTAAATTGACTAATGCGCATCCGGTTTAGTATTTAGGCCACTACATGTCTACCTTGGCCGACAATACACGCTTCTCCTCTCCGGCATTGTCACCGCCAATGTATCGTTTATCTTAGCAGCCGGCGCGTTATACAGGTAAAAATAAAACGCAAATAGAGCATGAGGAAAATTTAGGGTGATAACGGAAAGGAGAAACGGATTAGTTTGACGCGATCAGTATTTCCAAATAATGTAAAGTTGAGTGGATTGGCGGCTGTAGCCTTCTGTGTGTCGCCTCCATCGCTTTTCATGTCTTCATTTTACACCGAGTCGCTTTTTGCGTATCTGAGCTTCTCGGGAATGAATTTCATGTCTCGCGGTCATCCGCTGCTGGCTTCCATCGTGTGGAGTTTCGCTTCAGCTACACGATCCAATGGCATCATTTATGCCGGTTTCTTTATCTACCATCTGATCATCCAACCTTGCCTTTCCCGTCCATTCTCTTTCAAAGTAAGTCGTGTGCAATGGATGTTCGGCCGAAAAATACGTTGGTAAACAAACAAGATCACGGTTTCTGATTTTTATAAAAGGTCATTATCCTCGGTGTACTGCGGACGGTAATCTATACTGCTCTCACTTGGAGCGGATTCCTTGCTTTCCAGTATTACGGCTACTTGCAGCATTGTACTCACGAACCACTTCGGCCATGGTGCTCTTCCACTTTTCCGTTGCTGTATAGTTTTGTTCAAAAAGAATACTGGTACGGAAAGTCTTCGTGGCATGATGGGGCAAAGGATTAATTGTCATTGATTTAGGAACAATGGGTTCCTGGCGTACTATGAGTTGAAGCAGTTACCGAATTTTCTACTTGCTGCGCCTATTATAGGTCTCAGCATTTACGGATTGTGGACGTACGCTCAATACGATTGGACACGATTTCTCACGTTGGGGGCAGTATCCCGTCGACCTTTGGGTAAGGATACAATGAGGTACAGCCGCATAAACTGAACTGACTCCCAAATCATTATTATTGGCATAGGCACATCGGAGGATAACACGTTTACCTCTTTTCGAGCTGCCAGTTATATCTATTTATGGGGGGTTCTACTATTATATGTGACCACGACCATGCATGTCCAAGTGATTCTTCGTTTCTTCACTTCCCTTCCTCCTTTGTACTGGTTCATGGCCCACCTATGGACCCAAGGATACGACGAATCCAATCCCAAACCTTCTTCCTCAGTCCATAAACTTACAGCCAATATTCTCCTGTCCTACCTTGTACTTTATGGTATGGTGGGTATTGTTCTATTTGCTGGTTTCCTCCCGCCGGCTTAGATTCAATAAACTTATCACTCGAACAATGACCTCTGAAAGGTCGCTTATTATTTTCAGCGTATACGAAAGATGTGGTAATATAGTTATTCACAGCTGAGCTTTGGAGGATTTTTTTCGAAATTAAGATGGCTGCGAATAGCACTACTACCGATGCCAATCCCGCAATGGTCACGGAATCGCATAGATCAAGATATCCGTTTGGTTGACCTAGTGACAATTTTCTCTCATACTCAGGTTTAATCCGATCATCCCCACATTTTAGTCACCGGGAACTTTATATTAAACGGATAAGTGAGGTTGCATTGTTTTCTTTGTCCAAGAACGAGTGCAAAATACGTTGTTACACTCTAATGAAACGCTAGTTGCGATTTCATAAACTGCATGATCGCCCTTTTTTCTGAGTGCGCTAAATTTCGCCATAACTTGTGACTTTACTATCGCTATCCAATCAAATTACTTTGATGACGTGACTTGACGAAAGACTTTAAAAAGTGAACCTTCTCAAGTTTGTTGCGTGCTTTAAGAGGATGCCGAAATATTACTGTGGTACGTTGATCACACCAATGGGGTGTTCTGTATGTTTATTCTGACGAATCTATTTTGTTATGTAGAATACTGTGATATCTTCTTGACACACGACAGTTGTAAGTTTTCGCATCGTCGTTTTTGCCCTTGAAGGTTCCTTTGGCAGCCAACTCACGCATGTTTGTTCTCGACCCCCATTTTTATTTCTAGCGTCTGTACGAAAAGCCCATAATGCAGGAAAGAATCATGTGCTGAACGTCCGAAATTATTATGCAGGTAAAAATTGAATTCTTTGTTAATGATCAGAAAGCAATCAAAGTACTGAATTAGATCGGATACAGAGATTGGCCAAGACAAGGCCCAGGCCATCATTGATGAAATCACCAAAGCTTACGAGAATTCAGCATCAGGTACGGAACGAATGGATCACGAGGAATGAATAGTGTTTGATGCCGTGGGATGGTGAAACTGATCTGGATGCTTAATCATTGTGTCTAGTGCTTCCACCACAATATTCAGGCTATGCTGTACCGCCTCCCGGTATGCCATGTAAGTATTGTTGTTGGGTTTAGAGGGTGGAAGAAAGGAAGGCAAAAGGGCAATGGCGATTTAGGTGACAATTAATGAGCTAATGGGGAACGGGTTCGCATTTAGTTGGTATGCCTCCGCCGCCTCATGCGTTTGGACGACCTCCTCCTCCCCATATGATGCCCCGACCTCCGGCTGGTTTCCCACCGTATGGCATGCCGCCACCAGGTGCAATGCCTCCTCCAGGCTCAATGCCGCCACCGGGCTCTATGCCTCCTCCGGGTGGTATGCCTCCTCCAGGCGCAAATATGGCTCCAGGACCACCTCCACCGGGACATCGTAAGTCACCCGTTAGGCCAGATGAATCATATATTGTAAATTAACGAATCTCTCTATATTCTAGGTCCCCCACCACCAGGCTTCTTTGGAGGCCCTCCACCACCGCCCCCGGGTCAGGGTAGTCCTTACTCACAAGCACCTCCTTCTTTACAATCCCCAGCTTCCTCTTCTTGATTTGTTTCTTTTTCATTTCATTTTTTTATCCTCAAAAAAAGACAACATAAAATAAAAAGCAAAATGCATGTGTGATATATCTAACCGTGCCATGAAGGCACATGTGGGTTTATTGCGCTTTCATCTGTGAGTGGTTGTGTTGGCATCCACTGACCATATTTTTCAAGCGGTCAATTTCACGAAAAATACTTCAGCTGGCTATTGTATGCTTCTTGCATTGTCTAATTTTCTTTTTTACTATGCTTCTCCATGATTCGTCATTGAACTTTTAATTTTTGTGACTCCAGGTTGAATGATCTGTACATATAATACAGGAATAGAAGGCCAAAAATACCGCAGCTCAGAGCCGCATTGATCACAGCATAAAGATCTGGATATCGAGCCGGAGCGGCAATAAAACCATCCGCGACATACCAAGCAACAAAGACCATATGCATACCCTGTGAAGAGGATGGAAGAGATAGAAAACATGAGTACAGCATAGGACCAACGTTCCCATGGTGAGACACTTACAGAAATGGCATGACGAGCCAAAGAGCCGCTTTCATGACGTACATCTCCCATAAGCCAGTTCCAGAGAATCAATGTGACGAAATAAGGAAGCACCAGATCTTCCCGCTTCAATAAAGGGTACATGCTATTTTCGGAACAGAAGATTAACATCTATAGCTTGTTTTCCTCAAGACTCGAATTACCTGAACATGGCGGTATTGATGAATGCATGCGTGGCCAAAGGCTCTTCAAGGACCAACAGGGTCACGGGCAGTGCTGGCAAAAGGATAGATTTTTCATGCACTTGGAACGAGAACAAAAAGAAGGCCAAGGATGAATTCACCAGGGCGTAAAGAAACCGCTGCGGTGATCGCGATCGCATAGTGTGGATGGTAATTGGTATAACGGCCATCAAAGTAACAACAAGACTACAAGCGCATCAGGCATCAGGGAAGCAACGGAGACTCTGTTGTAGTTTACCTTAGCCGAACCGTGGCGGTTAAACTCAGCATGTGCCGAAGTTTGATGAAGATGTTTAGCGTGCACCACACGTTGGCCACCTTGTCCTCATATAATCCTCGTGCCACCGGGAAAATCCGATGAATTACTTGCTGCAAATCCTCCAACGAAGACAGCCAGGGCGAGAACAGGCACGCAAAGGTCAGGATCACGGTAACTCCAAGCTTGACAAAAAGGATCCATCTACAACAAAGTAATGGGTCAAGACTGCAGCCCATGGGAGTATTGAACTGCATATCTTACCCGTTTGGGTCGCTCAGACACTGACCCAATAGATAACCAAACACCGCTGGGGCATAATACAACGCCATTTGCTTGAACAGCAACGAAAGACAAAAAAAAATGGATCCCACCACCCAATGACCGGTTAAAAACGCATTGACAGCCCACAACGTCAAACCAAGCATCACACTGTTAAATCTGCAAAAATTGATTCGCATTGTGTGAGGTTCAAAGTCATTGTTCCTAGTTGTTGGTGAATTTGCTTACTGAAAGTGACCGTGGTCGATCATCAAGAGGCCCGGCTGCATCAGGATCAAGACAGCTGCAATATGCTATTCATATGTATAAGTGATGGTTGCATAACTTCGTTTGAATAAAAAAGCTTGCCTTTTTTCGGAATCCTTGCGATCCATGCACAATCAGGCAATAGGTAAGAACGGCTGGAATATAAATAATGGCTTCCGAAACCAAGACAGTGCACCGCATAAACATTTTACTCGACATGGACTCTAATCCGCGCGATGTATCCAATGCAAACATGGACGCATCGATTTTCGACCCGCTGTACAGGATGGGACGTATCAGCGCTGAGTGAATAAAAAATGAATCCATGGATATTATCGAGGGACCACCTACATGATACCACATAACCAGCTGTGGAACGCTGTCAGCGGAGGATAGTCCAGACCCCACCAGTTCAGTTCGTAACGGTACCACTGCCACGTCGGCAAATGCTGTGTGATCTCCATCCAGTGTCGTTGCGCTTCATAATCACCAAACATGGGTGGCGTCGCATATCCTGTAGTGGCATGGTTAACCGTGCATCAACTGCTGACTAGACTAACCGCGTGCTTACCGGAATAAGGATTCAACGCGATAATGCAGCGTACGACCGTTGCAAAAAGAACCGTCAGTAAGGGAGCGCTCCAAAGAAGCTGGCTGTTCACCAGATGGTCCAGCCATCGCTGCAAGGGACCCTGAGCTTGCACCCACCCTTCTGTCACTTCTTTGCCCATATCAGCTGAGTTGCAAAAAAAAAGGCGATCAAAGCGGTGGCCATGCGTTTTATCTTTTTTTTTTTCGCCTATGACTGTGACTTGGCACCAGCGCATGGTCATCATCTGTTCATGAAAACGTGTTTCTAGTGCTTCCATGGCATTGTAAAGATATATACGTTCAATAAGGATAGCCTTTTTCATGCTCGTTAAGCAGTTGACCAGTTTAGCTTGTCGCCATGGCGTGCCGTTGGATCATGTTTCACTGAGTGGCGGGCGCCTTTTTTTTGGCCGTGATCTTTCAAAAGACATAACCACTCATGTCTTGCTATTTTTAAAATAAGACCAGCAGAGAAAACAGAATGGCCGGATCTTTTTTTTCATTTCCATAGTGATCGAGATCCGGGTCGATCAGTTTGGCAACAGCAAAGAATCGTCATGGCGGCTGTGGCGATGAACGGATCACTTTTTACGAATTTGAAATTTTACCTTGTGCCTCTGAAAATACCGGCCCAATTACGAAAAACCGTGGAGGAGTTTATTTGTTCCCATGGTGGCACTTGGATATTATCGTTCCAAGAAGCCGATTATGTTCTCACCGCTTTGAAAAGCGCTAGTCGTCTTCATCGACATATTGTGGATGTAAGTTTCTGCTTTTGTTGCGCATATTTGAGCTGTTGATCGTAACCTATATCGCTTTTTCCTTGCGCACAGAGTGTTTGTCCTATTGTTCACATTGACTGGATCATGCAGTGGTAAAGTGAAATTGATTCATATGACCGTTTCTATGGAGTTATGCTGACGCGTGAATAATAGCATGGAGAAAAAAGCGGTAATAGACCACCTTTCATTTTGCATTGATATGTCTGCATACCGTCAACAGCATCAAAAGGAAGTGATTGAGATTTCGTCGGATGAAGAGCTTCCTCGACAAATGCGCTGGGACGACATTATCGATATGGTCGAAGAACGATATGGTACGCAACTTAATAAACGAAGCTTTCCTACTACGTACGGCGCACGTCGCAAAAAATCATGTGTCAGGTACGATCACAACCTTACACCTGTTTATCTTTTTGCATGGAAAAGCGAACTTTACGAATCCTTGTAGGGAGGAAGAGGATCCTTATCAAACGACGTCCAGTTCATCGTTTGAATCCCACGTCACTTTATCTCAAGAGTCCAATGATGCCAATCCAACCCTGTCAAACCCGATACCCATCAATGAGCCTATACCAGCCTATGAATGTCAGCGACCCACATCTCTGGACCATCATAATCGCAAGCTTGTCGAAATATTTGAGTTTTTGGAACATGCTCGAGAATTGCAAGGTGAGTGCCATGGGACAACGAAGGTTTGCAATGACAGCATATTTACACTTTACAAAACTTAGGTGATGTTATCAATACCCTCAGCTATCGCAAAGCCGCCGCTGCTGTAAAGGTAGATGGATAATATGACTCGATCGATATACACGAAACATGTGCTCACTCTCTCTTCTTAGGCCTATCCTCGCGAGATCAAGTCGGCCGCCGAAGCATCGAAATTAAAAGGCATTGGCAAGAAATCAACTCAAATTGTGAGTGTCCAAAATGAATGGATCTGGCACGTTTTTCGCTGAACGATTTTCTCATGGGACAATATGTAGATTGACGATTTTCTTCAACGTGGCATTACGCCAGAAATAGGTATGAGAGTCATGGACGATTCGGATCATGGACATGAACTCATAACCGTACTAGATTTCGTGAAGCAAGGTAGTCAGTTCCAAATTCTGGAACGATTTTGGAATATCCATGGTAAGCCGACCCAATCATGCATAGCGTTGCTCCTATTAGTAAACCATGGTATCTGCGTTAGGTGTGGGCCCCACGACAGCTCGGGAATGGTTCCATAAAGGATATCAAACCATGGAGGATGTGGTGAAACACGAAACGTTGTCAAGAGAACAAAAGTTGGGTATTCAGTATTACAACGATTTCAAGCAACGGCTGTCGCGTTCGCAAGTGGAAACGATCGTTGACGAATTTTCAAACGTACTCCGTCAACATTGGCCCCAATGCCAGTATACTGTGTGCGGTAGCTACAGGTACGCTTCTTCTTTTTTTGTTTCATCGATAAGCCCATGTTGACATGATGGTGTCATCTATCTCAGACGGGGCAAGTCCACCTCCGGCGATGTGGATATTATCATGTCTCATCCAGAACCGCAAACATCCCCGTTTCTTTTGTCGGATTTATTGGACAAATTAAGAGAAGAAGGTGAGAGCTCCTTTGATAATTAATTTCCATGGAAGTTCGTTTCTTATATGCAATATGATGCGATGCGATAACAGGTTATATTGCGGATATCTTGTCGGTCAGTGCACGTCGACGGTGGGCGAGTGGGATCCCGGATACCGATGATGAAAAAGAAGCGGACAACGAGGCGCAAACGGGAGAGGAAGAATCCACAACGGATGAAGAAGAAGGATCCTCCAACAATGTTGTTGATCGCAGTAGGAACGAACAAGCTTTACTCGTGTGGCGGTCCAAGAACGATCCTGTCTTCCGCCGTGTGGATCTGGTGGTAGCTCATTGGGAAGATTATCCTATGGCAATCCTGGGTTGGACTGGATCAAAACAATTTGAACGCAGTTTACGCCTTTATTCCAAACGAGAAAAAAGTCTTAAAGTGACGTCTCACGGCATCTTTTCACACCAAACAGGAGAAAAGCTTCCAGTCAAAAGCGAAAAACATGCCTTTGAATTGCTAGGGTTATCATGGCTGGACCCGATGTATAGAAATTGTTAACTTCAAAAAGCCATTCGCATCCCTTTTTATTTATTCATATCCTTCACATTGTATTTATTATTCTCATCATCCTCATCCTCATCAATATCATCAAATAAACATTCTAAGGTATAACTGTATTCAGAAATCTTGGCAGCGGATAAAATGCAGCATGTGATGGGCGCGGCATTTAAATTAGCCGGGCTGCTTAGTTTTTTTTAAGCCTTGATATTGGGTGGAGTGCTCTTTTGGAACTTGGGAAAAGTATACATGAGAATGCGCAATCCACTTAAACCAAAGAGTAAACGTCGGCAGTTCGTCGAACTCCAAGACGATCGTGGGTTCTCCCCGGCTCAATTTGAAACGCCAGAAACCCCAAGCAAGTATCGCGATGCGTTGCATAATCCCCCATCCTCTTTTGATGGTGGCGGAAAAGCGAGTCTATGCACCAAGTACTGACTGCGTTATTTCTAGTTCCCTGGAAGGCTATTGGTTTGGCAACATTACTCTTCAGTGTCGGATCACTTTTGATCGTTATCGGAGCACTGATCAAGACTGGTTTTATTACATCTGAGGTAATCTTGGCGGTGTTGACTCTTGTGAAATTATGAATCAAGTGACTAACATGTCTCATAGGTTTGGCTCAGTCGAGGATTGCCATTCCTCATTCTCGGTAGCATCATGTTTATTCCAGGCAAGTACCGCAGTGCTTATCATTTTGGCCAGTGTGGTCTAACCCAATATCCATGCAGGTGCTTACCATTTGTATCTTGCTTACTACGCATATTACAAGTATCCCGGATACGACTTTGCAATGATACCTGATTGGGATTAGTCATTCTATGGCAAGTTCTTGGATTGAATCACTACAACACAGTGGCCAAACAAATGTTAGACCATAACCTCAACCGCTTCCCGACTCTCAGCAACCCCCTCCCCTCCTCCTCCTCCATCCCAACACAGTCGAACGCATCATGACTATGGAAATGCGTGTATTTTATTTTAATCTTGATGGTTACTTCTAGAATCATCTTTTTTTTTCTTCAATACATACAAAAATCATCATTTGCTTTATATTTTAACCATTATTTCGGTGAACATGAATAGAAGTGAAGATCAAAGGAAAGAATGCAAAGAGTGGTTCATTGGTATTTAAAAAGCGATACAATTGGTGATTTGATGATGGAAAAGGGAATAAAGAAAAAAAAAAATTAGCAAGACAAGTGATGGTGCATGATGATAAAAAGCGTGAAAGGAAAAATATGGCATACAAAGAGATGATTAACTCTAAAAGGAAAAACGACTGAAAAGAAAACAGAAGGAAAAAAAAAGACACGAGATGCATAAAATGTATGAAATTCACCAAGGGGGGTTCATCACATGTGCATGCGGTATAATATTCCCCCCCCCCTCCCTCATCCCCTTTTTCTTAGGTAAGAAAAAAAGAATATTATATCCTGGAAAAAAAAAGTGTTGCTGTTGTTTACTCCATCAAGAGGCATCTGCAAGCATTTGCTGCAGGTATCCTTGAGCCACCAAACTGTCAATTAAGCTCGTAATAAACGGCTTGTAATCATGATTCCTTCGAACCACGTCATGCTTTTTAAAACGATTCATCAATACCGGGATCGTTCAAATGAATAATAGAATAAATCGTTTTTACCTTATAGTTTTCTTCTTTTTCGTCTTCTTGGCCCAATTGCTCGTAGAGTCTCAAGGTGTCATCTTGTATCTTGAGCCAGAGGGTGGTTAGTTCGTCCATTGGGCGGTTCTTGACCTCCGTTTCTAATTGACTGTGCATTGCATTTTGTTCATCCTTTGGCATATCGTGGATGGATCGACAGTATGTATTCAGTAGATAGGTTGACGCATCTTGACCCCGTTTATTATTTGCCTTTTTATGAGATTATGAGTAATCCTACCCCGAGGATGGCATCTTTTTCGTCAATAGTTACTTACATTATTCATAGCGTGAGCGTATTCGTCTTGCCATTGTTGTACACGCATAAGCATGCGCCAAGATGGATGATGTTCATCGAGTTGTCGTTCAATGACGGTCTGGATATATTGCTTGGCTATCAACCGTCGTTGCAGCACTCGTCGTCGATCTTCCATCACCGACCAAATCGAATAAGGAATATGTTGACGCTGATATCTTTACAAAAACGTTGTCAAAAAGAGAAATCATGGTCAGCAAGGAACGGGTCTGGTAAATTGCCAGAAAAGAGGGGCCTACAGTTCGACTTTGCGTAATAACTCGGTGCGTGCGACTTCCAACCAATTATCATCGGTACATAAACCTGTTGAAGAACCGACAATCAATGAATGATGCATTTTTTTTTCTCGTTCGAGACAAGCGAGAGGTTTTACCTAATTTGACGGGTCCTCTTTTGAATCCATCCAATTCCCACAGATGACCACTGTTATATATGTAGCTGATGTGATGATAGATTTTGTCGTCCAGCGATGACGAGTGAAAATTGCTACCGTGCCCCACCCCCGGCAGCATGAAACGATTGAGAACCGTTGGGTATAATAAAATCATGGCAGATGATCGTCTTACCTGAGACTATTTTGGGCCTTCTTGAGCTTGTCGCAATTGGTTAAGCTTAACCCCTTCATCTTTCGTTGTTTTTCCATTCAGAGTATCATACGGAAAAAAAAAGAGGAAAAAATATAAAAATACATATAAAAAAGGGTGGAGAAGAGATCTGAGTTTTTTTATGCATAAATTTTTTAAGGTTGAGTAACAACAACAGAAAAAAAAGAGAAAGGAAATCAATACCATTGGCGAAAAATCTCGAGTGAAGTGTTTAAAATGAGCCAGATCCGCACCAATTTCGATCTCATCACAGTTCAGCAGTACGCTAAGCAGAGCATGCATCGCATAAGCCCAATGGACTACCTACAAAACCACACCCATCATGCATAAGATCACCACAATCTATCCATTTTTCCTGCTGACTATTGATTTTTACCTGATTCGCAAAATAAATTGGGCCATTGCTCGTCGACGGTTCGTCTTTGAGTGATAGATCCGTCTTTTGTCGCACCAATAAAATTACCCCATATACCGGTCTTTGTGACAGAATATAGTATACATAAATAAATAAAAAAGAGAGGGTCATTAAGCGACCTTGCCATAATTCACGTCTGTGTTTGCAGTGGAAAAAGGGAAAGTCGTCCCTTTTTTCTTTCGGACAGCCTACTTTAAGGTTCGTAATGAATCTCGCTTCATCGAATGGAGTCGTTCAACTTGAACGCCGCGAACCCCCATGCGAAGACACAATTGTGTGAATGCACCTGACAAGGGGAACAAAAAATAAAAAATAAAGGAAGAGATTACACTTTTGGCATTCCTCGTGAAATGGGCTTGGGGGAAATTGCCAGCGGTGACTCACTCACCAGGATCGGGATCCAGTGATCGCCACGGTTCATCGTCTGACAGTTCGTCTTTGGTCATAACGTAGCGTAGTGTGTGTGTGGCTATGTGAAACAAATACGTTGACAGCTAAGAAAAGGACAGAAAAAGTAAAAAAGGAAAAAAAAAAAAAGAATGAGACAAGTGAGGGAAGATATGAACAGGAGCAAAAAAAAAAAAAAGAATAGAAAAAAGAAAAAGCGAGGAAAGAGAAGGAGCGGTAGAAGCAGCGGGAATAATAGACGGGTCTTATGTATGCGGGTAAGGTGATGTATTAGATGTGCGTGAGTGCGTGTGTGTATGTGTGTGTGAGTGTTATATGTGTACTTTTATGTATTGGTGAGTGGGATGGGGGTGGAGGTTGTGTGGGGGGTTTTGGTGAAAAATGCTGTTTATTATTTTAGCACCTACGCAGAAAATAATTAATGGTGTACTGTAGGGCAATTGTATGAAGAGCGAGGAAAAAAAACAACGACGACCGAGTGGACGAGGGACACGCAAATCGTCACCAAGGGGAGTGATCAATGACGCATAGAGGGTTAAAAAAAAGAAGGTTAGCAGCATGCATAAAACATGAACAATCATAGATGGGGGATTATCCTCGTTCCAATCCATATATACACACACACGCACACACCCACATCGTGAACGGTCCAAAAACAAAACACCCAGAAAAAAAAAACTCGGGGGGAAAAAACAATCGTATTTTACGTGAAATACCTTAAAAAAAAATTCGGCGACACCGGCCACATGGATTTGTTCATCATCCTTTTTTAATTTTTTTGTTTGGTCAATTTCTCTTTGCTTTCGCATGTGAGAAATGGACGGTTTCCAGAGGCGGTTTAATGAAACGGAGATGGACCATGGCATCACTCCCGCCGCCCTCAAGGATTTAAGTTCACGCGTGAGTGTCATCCTATTCTACGTTTCCATCGTATGTGCCGTTGCGGTCATTGTTGGCTACGCGTTTATACGCCACGTCAACAAAGACCTCGATCGTATCTCGCTTCGTCTGCTCCTCTATGCTTCCGTCGTTCATATCCTTCTCGCTGTTGCCACTATATTGCGGTCGCATTTGACCTTATCCGATCCGGCATGCCAGTTTCTCATGTTTCTCTACGTCTTCTCCGATATCGGAAGTACCCTGCTGATCACTTGTATCGCCGTCAATCTCCAGATCGTATTCGTTCACTCCATTCGCAGCTGCCGTCATTTGGAGTTCGTTTATCTCACTGTCAGTGCCCTCATATCGTTCATCGCCGCCGTAGCACCTCTGATATCCCCTACACCTGTTTACGGCTACGATCCAAACGTGCGAGAATGCTGGTTCTTGGGCGACCAACATCATATCACTTCGTTGTGGGTCTTGTTTGATTTGTACTTGTGGATCCTGCTTTCCATTGTCTACTGCTTCATTGCGCTCTTACTTGTCCTCATAAAGATGCGGCGAGAAGAAAACCTAATCAACCAGCACTTGGATCGTATTCGACCCCGCAAACCACGGTTTTTCAATCTCTTTTTTCGTCCTACCATGGATATCTCTACTGACCTCAATGCTACCGAAAATGACGACCCAGCCAGCCCAGACAGTCCACGCCGGCGCTCTCAATCAACCGATAGTCGAAATGCTTTTCGCCCGTCCTTTCTTGCCAAAACCATCTACCGAGTCATATGGTACCCCCTCGGTAAGTTTCTGCAATTTGCAGCCCAACGTGAGCTTCACTTTTCGTCCGTAGCCTCGGCAACTGATGTCATCTTGTTTGTTCATTTCCTGATGGTCCCCATTTTTTTTTATCTAGCTCTGGTGATCACTCGTATTTGGGGTGTCATTGATTTCATTTATTCTTACCAGAACCAAAAAGTATGCGCCTTTTATGCATTGATGACATTCATCACGGTGCCTGCTCAGGGAATCTTTTTGATGCTCTTCTTTCTGGCCGATCCAGCATTACAGAAAGCCATGCAAATGCATTGGGACAAGCGAAATCATGGTGACCATCTTTATTGTGTTCGCCCCAGCAAAGGGCCCCCCGGTCGTTCCATCCGCCCTACCTTGTTGGATGTTCGACTGGCATCGGAAATCACAGGAATCTCGGTTCCATCCTCCGTGATTCATGCACCGTCCGCACCACCTAGTGTCACCATAGAACAAGGCATATCCGGTGCACCCGTCACGCCCACCACCCGCACCGCTTCCTCTTCGCTTCAACCGCCCAGCCGGTGCCATTCCCTCAAAATCAAACGGTCTACAATGCAATTGTAAAATAGCTTTTATTTTATTCAAGCAACCTATTTATTCATCTGTCTTATTATCACCTTTTAAATTTAATACCATTAATCTCGATCCTCCCGTTGTACCCCGTACTTTTTTTATTTGTACTTTAAACATTCAACCTGTTGAATATCCTTCTCATCGCCGCTTCAATTAAATCCACGAATCAACGGTTCTTAATCTAAAACCGATATGAGCAGAGCCCCTCTTTGAAACCAACATATCGTCATTTTACGGAACATCACTCCACATATAATTAAGAAATGTTTCACCCGTGGCTCATCCAATCAGTCACCACAGCCAAGGAAACAAGATCAATCATGGGCAGCGAAGAGCAGAGGAAAAAAGAAAAGGCAACCCTCAAAGAAGTGCCACTGCTCTTAAAAGTCGTTCCATCGGGTGTAACTTGAACTTGTTCCGTGCTGCCACTCCCATGATCGGCAAACCATAGTGATACCAGAAACCTTATTTGTTGTCGTTGCAGTGGCAAACAGTGGTGCCCATGATGGACCAAAGTCTTGAAATCTATACAAATATCATAGAGGAACAGCCAGCTAAAAACAATAAAATGTGGAACAGGATCATCGTAAACTCTACAAAGACGGAAATTCGGCCAGTACCGAAAGACCATTCGGCAACGGCTCTTGAAAAAAGAAAAAAAGAGTGGACCATGTCAATTCCATATTTAGCAACTCTCCGGACGAAATGGTACATTATTTTGCCTGTTTGCTTGAACTTTTCTTTCATTTTAAATTTATTTTTTTTGTTGCTTTTTTTGTTGTTTTAATTATTTCGTAATTCTCCCCTTCCCCCACCCCTTTTTTTGTTTGTTTTCACAAAAGTGGGGTAAATTCATGTTGTCATCTCAACCCAACTTGGAAACCACGGGTGTGCCTGCAGCCCATCTACAAGATGTCTCCTATCGATCAGCGAGACCGACCACCATTCTAGGATTAAGTGAGTCGCAGCAGGATATGGCTCAACGGTTAAGCGAACAACTTCAATCCGTCAACTTTGATATTCCTCCAAAAATATTCCAAGAAAAGCATGCTGTGCATCGTTTCAAAAACATCACTCCTGAAGGTCCATCCTTACCAAGTACCCCAGGTCATGATCCTTCCATGGACGGCGCTGTGAGTGCGACAGGACCCTTGTCCAGCTCATCGCGTCATTCGGTTGGTAGCTCTAAATCTCATACACCGGCCTCGTTATCATCTCATGGTAGTTGCCATGAGCATTATTCCTCTTCTGAATCCAAACCTACCCATGCCATGCGTGATTCCCCGTCTCCGTCCAGCTTCCATCGAACCTGCACGCCTTCCCAGTTCATTTTCAAAAAGCCAGAATATGACAGCCATTACCATCACACCCACTTTCACCATCTAGAGAAAAAGGACACCATTCTCAACGATCTCAAACACTTTTTCAAAAAAAAGTCAAGAAAAAGCTATATCGATGATGATGGCACCAGTGTCCGCAGTTCCGTCTCCATGCACAGTGATATTTCCTTTGCCAACGAATTCAACAAAGATCTTGGAAAACGATACGGCAAGTGGGGTAAGTGAAAGAGTTTTCTTTTCATTTTTTCTTTGTTCCTCCTTTCTTGGTTTTTTTTTTTCTTTTTTTTTTTTTTTTTTTTTTTTTTTGTTGGAGACTTATCAATCAATCGGGACGATCCAAGCTAATTTATGGTTGCTATGCAGGCCAATTTGTGGGTAAAGGGTCTGGTGGATCTGTGCGAATTATCCGTCGTAGTACCGATGGCAAGACATTTGCCGTGAAACAGTTTCGAAAACGGTTGCCTGGAGAGAAGGAAAAGGAATACATCAAGAAAGTGACGGCCGAATTTTGCATTGGATCGACGCTGCATCATGCCAATGTCATTGAAGCTCTTGATATCATACAAGAAGGCACCGCATTCTATGAGATCATGGAATATGCTCCCAATGATATGTTCAGTATCGTCATGGCCGCCGAGATGTGTCCTCTCGAAATTGCGTGTTGTTGGCGTCAATTGCTTAGTGGTGTGGCGTATTTGCAGCAAATGGGAATCGCTCATCGCGATCTGAAACTTGATAACATGGTTCTGAACGAAATGGGTATCGTCAAGATCATCGATTTTGGTTGTGCCACCGTCATCAGATATCCTTTTGAAAAGGATGTTCATATGAGTACAGGTAAGCAAGCACCTGGCAGTGTCCCATCACGATTCTGAAATTCAATTTCTCATACATTCTTTCGGTTTTAGGGATTTGCGGGTCGGATCCGTATATTGCTCCTGAACAGTATACACAACGGGAGTATGATGCGCGAAAGTCGGATTTGTGGTCCTGTGCGATCATCTTTATTTGCATGACGATTCGTCGCTTCCCTTGGCGTTTACCTCGTCCTAGCCACGATAAATCATATGCCAATTATCTGACCCCACGTGGGCCTTCGCAATTGATGAAAGTCTTGCCGCGATATGCACGACCGGTCATGGCCCGTATGTTGGATCCGGATCCAACCACTCGATATACCCTGGAAGACGTGTTGATGGACCCTTGGGTGTCTTCTATCGATGCATGCGATAGAAACGAAGCAAGTAGCTCCCATTATCACCATCTTTTATATGGACCCACTTCCCAAGACCTGGACACCCGTCACATCATTGTTCTGCCTCCCCAACCCTCCGAGGAAAAACCACCCAAGCAAAAGCATTAGCCATCGGTCACGTACTAATTTGTTATATTTGCGTTGTCCGTCCATTCACGATCTCTGGGTTTTACCTTGCGCCCAAAGCGGATCTTCTATTAAACCGTATAGCCACTGTATTTTTAGAATTAATCATAATGTAACCAATTTATTAAAAAAAAAAGCGGCCGCTTATTTCCAAGCATAATAAGAGGTTATTGTGAAGGGTTCAAGATTCTATTCTTCTTCTTTTTTTTTATTTTATCATGGATCAGACTGGGGTTCATGAATGGTTTAAAGTGTATTTTTTTTTTCTCGTGTCCATGGTGTGACAAGAAAGGTGAGATAATTTGACTAGGTCTCCAGATACGATGACTGTAGTGGATGATGAAATGGGGATATCACGCGCTGATGATTCAATCTTATTTTTTAAGCTTACATAACGAGCAACAGCGCGAATACGACGTGAAGAGGAACGGTCCGGCCCGCTTTTATATGGTGGATGGTTACATTTTCCTCTTTTTATTCTGGGATTTTTCAACCACAGCTTAGATGGTCGTGGGAGCTTCGGGGTTCACGCGCTTGTCGCACGTCCCAAAAGCTGGTCCTCAATTCGGAGGCTGGCCAAAAAAAAGAAAAAGAAAAGAAGAGCCGAAAAAAACGAAAAAAACACAATGCAGACTTGCCGCTGGCGGAGTGGTCTTTAGCCGGGAAGACTTTGGAGCTGATGACATTGGTGCCCACTCTAAATTTTCCCGCTGATCCAATCGCAATGGGAAAACGCGGGCAGTGACACCAGTCATTTTCATTGGGCACTCGCGGAGTTCAAATTAGATACCAAAAGAAAAAAAGATTACGCACTGTGATGTTTTTTTATTGCCAGGGTGTCTCAATCCATGTCATGGAGAAAGCTTACTCAATTTACCCCTTTTTTTTCATCACCTAGCAACTGTTGAAATATGCTCACTTGTTACTTTTGTATCTTTTACGATGACTATTATTGGTTTCATGTTCGCTTTGCTTACAAGGTCGGAAAATCGCGGTGGTATGCCGTGTTTTTTTTCCCTGATAAGCGGAAAAAAGGGGAAGAATAGGGATAAATGATGATCCTGGCCAATGTCGGAAGTGATATCAGGATTTCATGGCCCGGACGGCTTTTTTTGATTGATACATGCTTTTTACTTGGCCCTTCAACCTTATGACTTTATCATGACAAATCTCGAATTCCATGACAAATTGACCCTAATCCATCATTTCCATCAAAGAAGATGTTGCCCCCATCTTTGGTTGGAAATTTTTGGCCTTGAATTGATGGGCGAACACGAAGCATAGGCAACAAGAAAGGCATTAAATCTACCCCCACAAGCTGTCATAAACGATGTATTTTACCCATTTGAAACAGGTGGAGTTGTAAAATTTCACATGAATCATTTGGAAAAAAACATTGAATTTTTTTGTGTAGCCCCTCCCTTTTTTGGGTGACTGAGTAACAAGATCACGTACATAACCTGGAATTGTTACTTCTTTTCTCTTTTTGTTTTTTTTTTCTTTGCCTCTTTTTTTCTTTTTCTTAACAATCCCCCCTTCTCTTTTTAAACCCACACCCTCCCCCCCTCTCTTCATTTTTGCAGTCTATCCTACGCGCAATTCGTCTCGTTTGATAGAACCGATATAATACACAATGTTGTCTTCCAAGTCTTTCATGAAGGCCGCCAAGGTAAATAAACGCCCTCCAAAAAAAAAACAAAGAAAACAAACCCTCGTTCATTTCCCCTCTCCCCCACTTTTTTTTCACTTCACAACAAAATGACAACTTGGCTTACCCACGGTAATGTTTACTTTCTGTTCAGGCATTTGTCCCGGCCGTTAAATCCCAATCTCGCAACTATGCTGCCGGTACCTGGGCCGCTCAAAAGGTTGCCATGTCCAACCTTGAACAAGACAAATTCATCAACTACCAACGTATTGAAGATAACTTGGAAATCGTTCGCAAGAGGTAATATAAGAAAACAATATTTTTATTTATTTTGCCCTTTTCCCTTTCTCCCCTTTTTTTTCACGTGCAGTCTGCATGTTTCTGTTTGGATTTTTCTTTTTGTCGATTCATGGTGGGGACGCACAGACGCGTGCAGATGACTTTTTTTTTCTGTCATTTTGCATGTCGGTCGTGAGTGTCATTGGGCGTGGGTCGACCGATGCTCGCAATCGTGATTCGATAATATCAACTTTTCTTTTTCCTTTCTTTATTGCTGTTTTGGTGGACCTGTGACTGACCAAGGGGTTGTATGTATGATTTAGATTGAACCGTCCTTTGACTTTGTCCGAAAAGGTCGTGTATGGCCATTTAGATGATGCTGAAAACCAAGAGATTGCCCGCGGCAAGTCTTACCTCAAGCTCCGTCCTGATCGTGTGGCTTGCCAGGATGCTACTGCTCAGATGGCTTTGCTTCAGTTCATGTCGGCTGGTCTCCCTAGCGTGGCTGTTCCTACCACCGTTCACTGTGATCACTTGATTGAAGCTCAGATCGGCGGTCCCAAGGATTTGGCTCGTGCTATTGACATCAACAAGGAGGTCTACGATTTCTTGGCCACCGCTACCGCCAAGTACAACATTGGTTTCTGGAGACCCGGTTCCGGTATTATTCACCAGATCATTCTCGAGAACTATGCTTTCCCCGGTGGTTTGATGATCGGTACTGACTCCCACACCCCCAACGCTGGTGGTCTTGGTATGGTCGCTATTGGTGTCGGTGGTGCTGACGCTGTCGATGTCATGGCCGATATCCCTTGGGAACTCAAGTGCCCCAAGGTCATTGGTGTCAAGCTTCACGGTAAACTCAGTGGCTGGACTTCCCCCAAGGATGTCATCCTCAAGGTTGCCGGTATTTTGACCGTCAAGGGTGGTACTGGTGCCATCGTTGAATACCTCGGTGATGGTGTCGATTCCATCTCCTGCACTGGTATGGGTACCATCTGTAATATGGGTGCCGAAATTGGTGCTACCACCTCCATGTTCCCCTTCAACAACCGTATGGGAGACTACTTGCGTGCCACCAACCGTGGTGACATTGCCAAGTACGCTGAATCGTTTGCTCACAACCTCCGCGCCGATGAAGGTGCTCAGTATGACGAATTGATCGAAATCGATCTTGACAAGCTCGAACCCCACATCAACGGTCCCTTCACTCCCGATTTGGCCACTCCTCTCAGCAAGTTCAAGGATGCTGTCAAGGAAAACGACTGGCCCCAGGAGCTCAAGGTTGGTCTTATCGGTTCCTGCACCAACTCTTCGTACGAAGACATGGCCCGCTCTGCTTCGCTCGCTCAGCAAGCCGCCGATCACGGTGTCAAGGTCAAGTCCAAGTTCACCATTACCCCCGGTTCCGAACAGATCCGTGCCACCATTGAACGTGACGGTATCATGGATATCCTTACCAATGCTGGTGGTGTTGTCCTCGCCAACGCTTGCGGTCCTTGCATTGGTCAGTGGGATCGTAAGGATGTCAAGAAGGGTGAAAAGAACTCCATCATCACCTCTTACAACCGTAACTTCACTGGTCGTAACGATGCCAACCCTGCCACCCACGCTTTCGTTGCTTCGCCCGAAATCGTCACCGCTCTTACCATTGCCGGTGACTTGACTTTCAACCCCATCACCGACTCTTTGACCGGTGCTGACGGTAAGCCCTACAAGTTGGTGCCTCCTACCGGTGATGAATTGCCTCCTCGCGGTTACGATGCTGGTGAGAACACCTACCAGGCTCCCCCTGCCGATCGCAGCAATGTCAATGTCGCTGTTGATCCCAAGTCCAACCGTCTTCAGTTGCTCAAGCCTTTTGCCAAGTGGGATGGTCAGGATATCACCAATGTCCCTATCCTTATCAAGGTCAAGGGCAAATGTACCACCGATCACATCTCCATGGCCGGTCCCTGGCTCAAGTACCGTGGCCACTTGGACAACATCTCCAACAACATGTTGATTGGTGCCGTCAATGCCGAGAATGATGCCGTGAACAAGGTCAAGAACCAGTACACTGGTGAGTACAAGGGTGTCCCTGAGACCGCTCGTGACTACAAGGCCGAAGGTATCCGATGGGTCGTTATTGGTGACGAGAACTATGGTGAAGGTTCTTCCCGTGAACACGCCGCTCTTGAACCCCGTTTCTTGAACGGTTGCGCCATCATCACCAAGTCGTTCGCTCGTATCCACGAAACCAACTTGAAGAAGCAGGGTATGCTTCCCTTGACCTTTGCCAACCCCGCCGATTATGACAAGATCGACCCCTCTGACAAGGTCGACATTGTTGGTTTGACTGACTTCAAGGAAGGTCAACCCTTGACTCTCCGTCTCCACAAGGCCGATGGCAACACCCAAGAAATCACCCTTAACCACACTTTCAACGCTGGTCAGATCGAATGGTTCAAGGCTGGTTCCGCTCTTAACTTGATGAGAGAAAAGGCAGCTTCGGCTTAAATCTAGATTAGTCAGTTCGTTTTTTCTTCTTCATTTACAAACCCCTCTATTATTTCTTTCTGTCTTTCTTCCTTTCCATTTTCATAATTTGTGTATTTAAAGAATCATGTATAAAATAAAAACTTCAAAGAAAGATATTACCATCATCAATGCCGTTGTGGTCTTATGTTACCGCTTTATTTTCCAAGTAAACGCACAAAAACCTGGTTTGAGTGGATGTTGCGCAAAACACTGTCGCATCGACCTCTTGCTGCTGTTGCTGTTGCTCCTGAGCACGCAAACTAACCATGGTGCGATCATGGCCTTTGTAGACGTATTTAAATAGGTATTTAATGGCACTGATCGAGGAGCATATCTCGTAAAGTTGATAGAAATTATAAAAAGCCCAAAAAAAGCACCCTATTTTTTTATTATGCACTATCTCACAGCAGTAAAAAAAGCAGCGGAGCATAAAAAGTAAAAAGCCAAGGCTTCACTGAAACAGCGGACCTTCCCTTTTACGACGGTTTACAGAATGGATAAAACGCTCAGGCATAACTTTCTTAATTAATACGCTCTTTTGTTGATACAGATATACTGCCATACTGAGTTCTACTTGTCCATTTTTCTTCCGTTTCACCCCATGGATTTGGGATTTATCATTTTGCCAGTTTTTATCTCTCATATTTAGCCATATTGCTTCTCCATATTTGCCATTTGACTTGCTAATAAATTGATAAAAGAAAGAAACCCATAATGATAAATAAGAATGTTATTTTTGATGATATACACACAAAAAACTGTGGAAAATAGTCGGATTTCTAAATGTAATCTATTTTTTGCCCTTCTTGCGTTTGTTCATTTCCAAGTTGGGAGCAGAAACTTTGACCTTGCTCATCATGGTATTGATGGCCTCCATGTCGGGCACGCCCTTCATGAGTTCTTTTTCTCGATTAGTCGCTTCTTGTGCATTCATAAACACAGACTGTGCTTGCTTGATGGCTAATCAATGAAGCGATTAAAGAAGTGTTCCTGACATCTTTATGCGTGATGACTCTGTATCTGCCTACCTTTGCCACGTTTGAGCGATCCCGGAGTTAATTTCACCTTGTATTTATATTTTTGCAGTGCTTGATACGGTGCGCAGACGGGGATAGCAAAATGTATTATATCTTCAGGCAAAGGGTTCGCGGTCAAGGAATCCAGTACAGACAAGTTGGCCTAAAGGATCCATCTTAAATGAGCGTACTACTCCTCCCAGCAAGTTGCATCCGTCGACTTACAATTTCGTCAGCTTCCAGCATGGTAATATTTTCTTCCTTGAGCAACTGTCGGATCATCTCCGTGTCTTTTTCTTCCCCTACTGCTTCGGGGTTCTGTGGCTGATCCGTATCCACTGCTTGCTCTCCCGTGGCCTTCTCCCGTTCGCGTTCATCTTGCGCTTTTTGTTCTTGCTCCTTCTTGGTCTTGGCTAATCGCTCAGCTTCGGCTTTGGCTTTGGCTTCCTTTTTTGCCTTCTTGCCCTTGGGTTGTGGTCCCTTGTTAGACTAGAAAACATCACATAGTGATTAAATGAGCATGCATGTTCGGTGCATATTTTGTGAGAATCAAGGCTGTTATTGTACTTACGCCAAGAATTTCCATACGAAGTTGCCGTTCTTCTTCATCCTGATCTGCATATTTTTCTTTAATCTTTTTGGCCTTGGATCGACGGCCACGCGTGGGTGGGGGTGGGGCCTGCTTTGTTGTCTAATGCGCATGACACATTGTCTATTTAGTCAGGCTGTTATGTATCTTATCACTCTTGATTGCCTACTCTCACCTTATCCTTCGGCTTGTTGTTGGTGGTGGTTTTCTGCTGTTCGGGTTTGGAGGAACCAGTATCCGGTGACCCATCAGTAGGCTTTTGTCCCTTTTTCAACTGACGACGCTCCTTGGCCGACATAAATCGCTTGTTCTGTCAATGAAAAAGCAGAAAAAAAAAGAGAACATCAATTCATCTGCCTGCATTTGCTAATATCTAGGCTGACTCACCGGTGAGGCCGTAGAGGAAGGTTGGGGTTGAGCAAACGCGGGCAATGATTTATCTTCGCCGTACTCTTCGAGGTCATACTTATTCCATGCCTCGGAGGCCGCTTCTGGTGTTTCAGTCGTGCTTTGCGGTAACCCAGAGGCCAGTTGGGTGTCTGGGAATGCGTTTTCATCGTCGCTGCTGTCTGATTCCTCACTGCTTTCGGTATCATGTTCATCTGCAGCTCCGACGGACTTAGCACGTTCTCCGGAGGCGTCGTCAGCGACCGGCTTGCTTTCTTCTGGCAATGGCGTACCAGGGCTCGATTCCGATGGGGAGGTGGTGGTTTCCTCAGTGACGGATCCGGGCGTAGCCATTCCTGATTCAGATTCGACAGCGGATGGAGACGATGATGTCACTGGTTCATTGGCGGGCGAATCCGATTGTTCCAAGCGTTTCTGCTCGCTGATATGGTTGCCAACCGAAGACTCATCGAGCTTGAATAGATAGCCAAATCCATATACCAATTGAACAGGAGGCAAGAAATTCTTTTTGCCACGAATCATAAAGCTACCCGTCGTCAAATACTCTCCCGTTGGCGCAGATTTGGAGACCTGCATAAAAATGTTAGCTCTCGGTTTCTTCTCAATATGCCCTGAACTATCATAGGATCCAATTTCTTACCTGATCCGGGTACACCCAATAGGCGCTGGTAACGATTTTGGCATCCCAAGCTTTACTTTGACACACGGACATAACACCGGCTTGGAAAAGCGTACTTGGGGGAATAGGCTGACCGACAGCTTGCGGTTTATTCTTTACCACAACAGAGGCCGCGCCATGGAGATCAGCATGGACATAGACGTCATCTGTGTAAAGAAACGGTTGGTGTAAGCGATATTCCATTTTACTTTAGCACAAATCCCCCTCTGCAAAGACTCACCTTTGGCAAGATAACGTTTGACAATTATTTCATTCTGCTGCATATCACGGCCTGCAATCACAAGGTGACCTTCGGTGGAAATGAACCACAAAAACTTTTCAAACCAAAACGGTTTACGGATCTTGTTGATACTGGCCGTAATTTTCGTCTCTTTCAAATCTTGTCGAATTTTGCGTTCCGCCGATTTCAAAGCCTAGCCGTAACCATGGAAATTAAAAACATCTAATAAAAAAAACTGTACTCTGTGACACATACCTTGGAGGATGCAGCAATGGTTTTATCATGCTTGGATGCGGTCGTTTTCTTTTGTTCGTAATACTTGCGAGCATTGGCGAAAGCCGTGAGTGAAAGCTCGACATCTACAAGGTACACTTCTGGTTCTTTCTTCGTGGAACGACTTGTATCTCCGTCGTCATCGTCTTCTTCCTCATCACTCTCGTCCTCATCGCTCTCTTCATCCTCCAGTGCTTCAGGATCCCTTTTTAAAATGATGATGATTGTCAGTGAGTTAGTTGCAGTTTTTTTCAAGTACCCGCGCTTACGTTAGCATAAGAGTGATTTGATTTGTCTTTAATTTCAAGGAATCGATGATCAAGGCGATAGGATTACCGTGCTTCTTTTCGTTCTTGACCAGTCCTTCAAGATCCTTCCAGTCCATTTGACTGGCTACCGCATTTCGGATGATGGTAATGGCGGCATCCACCATTGGAAGATTCAGCTCGATTAATTGAGCTTTCCGCGTATTTGTCATTTGCTGTTGAAGAAGTCCTTCCACACGGCTTTCTTGCTCCTTGCGGACAGATTCAAGTTTCTTCAAAGCGGCTTCTTCCTGACGTACAATAAAATGGTCATTTATCAGATGCATTGGGGGGAGATTTCCTAGAGAAATGGAGAAATCAAAGGTTCACTTTACCTGTTGGCGTGCTTTTAATTCGAGCTTCTGAGCTTCAATAGCCGAAAAGAACTGATCTACTGCGGCATCAAAGGTAGGAAATTCCTTATACGCCCTGGATGCATGTTGTTTATACAAATAGGGATGGAACTCGTCGTAGCTATATATGGCATCAGTCAGTAATGCATAAAGCTACCTGCCGCAGCAATCGACGATCCTTACATTTCCATGGCTTCTTCTTCACCTTCCACTGGCTCCTTTTTATCGCCAAACAAGACAATGTATCCCTAAAATGATCTCCTTGTGAGCTCACCATGACAAGCCCCACGTCACTCTTTAGTGCACCTACCTTTGGAACAGCGCTTCCAGTGGCTTCCACCATTTGATCTCCCTTGTCAAAAGCATCCTTCAGAGCTTGCAACATTGGCGAATCTGAACAAGTTGGCGATTTTAGTCACCCTGCTCATTCATTTCTCCCTATCTGCCGCATGTAGTAAACACTTACTGTCGGATGTATCGAACTCTGTAGCTACTTTCATATTCGGATTAAGATTGGCTTCCAAAATAATATGTTCAATCATTGCTGGACCGTAATCTGTGAAAATAAATGATGCATTACGATTGGTTTCATTCTCTCAAACCACAAGCGATCGTTTCACGTACCGAATGCGATATTAAGTACTTTTTTAAGCGTATCCTTTGGGCCTGCCTTGGCCAAAGCCGACTGCAAATGGTGCATTTCCACTTTGGAGAACTCACGCAATACCGATTGCGTGCTGTAAATTTCTCCCACAGCCATCTTTATGTTTTCGTTGCCCTGTACAACACGCAACAATGCCAAGATACGGTAATCTTGATCCGTCAGGATAATATTACCCTATATATCCCGTTAGTAAACCATAGAATTGACATGTATCCTCGCGATGAACCCCTTACAGAAGCATAAAACTCGGCAATGACGTGATAACCCATGGTTTTCTCGCCACCGGCAAATTCAAAATCAACGATACGATCGACACCCAGTTGACGTACATTGGTCAAGCGTCGCGTACGAAGATGTTTACGAAGCTAAAATTACATTTTCGTAAGCCGATAACATCCCAACATGACTATGTACTGCGCCAGCTTTTTACCTTTGCACAAAACATGGACGGCATGGACGACTTTTCTCGGCTAAATTGAGTGGTGTGAATGCGTGTGCCGGATTCGATCAAAACAAGTTCTTTATCGTCGGGCTTCGAGATTATGAGTATAAAGAAAAGGTGCATTTGGAAAGACATTCCGACATGATAAGCCTACCTTTGCAAACTTGAAGAGAAACGTCTTGGCATTGACATCATAAATGTTTTGCAGACGGACACCAATGAGTCTGTGCAAGGAAAACGGCCATTCAGTTGAACAAATGAGTGTCTTTGTGTTTTCGGTTTTAATGTATACAAAGCAAATATTACCTAGCTCGCAGATTGATCACGGTGGCCCGAATGTCCAAGGCATTAAATCGTTGCTTCATCCTGACACAGTTGACGGGATATCGAGCGTTGGGTGAATCGAAAGGGTCGAAAATGCATTGGCGCACGCTCAATTTCAACCGAAACTAAGTGTGACTGTTTCTACAGTCATGATCAAAAGAGGAAAGTCGCACCAGTGCCTGGCAATGCAGGACACTCTCAAACCATGGCTGTCGCCGAACAGCTTATTCAGTCATGTTCACTAGCAAAGGCATGCGACTCGGACACATATGAATGAATCTTGCGAATGAATCTTGCAGAAGAGTCTGATTCTGTTAAAGGATTAGCCTGCTGCGACGTCGGAAAACCAGTAAGCTGTCATCTTCAACTTTCGATATGTGCTATGGGCAGACTGCGACAATTATAAAACAAGCTGCGGAAACCATGCAAGATTTTGGCAAAAGTAAATTTACTATCTGGACCATTCTACGAAGGCATCATTGCACTGAAGAACAAATTCACAAAGGACGACTTTGAAGCACGTAAATTAATGAATGTATTGGATGTAAAGAATGACGATTATCATGCAAGCTAAAATTGGGGGTTCTTTTATACAGAAACATTTCTGACGACATCATCCACGGCTCTCGCAAAGTAGTCGACATTTGTGGTTGAAAGACCCGCCATGGAGACACGTCCGTTATCCGTCATGTAAATGTGATATTTCTCCTTGAGCACCTTGACTTGAGGAGCTGTCATGATTGATAATATTGATCAGTAACGTGTGAAAAATAACGCTTGCTTTTTCTCCCATCTCCATATTAGATTAACGATTTACCTTTGAGACCGGTGAAAGAGAACATGCCGATCTGATCAGTGGTGTGATTCCACTGGCCTGGCGTTTGTAATTCTTCCAGTCGACTGCGAAGGGCGTGGCGCATTTCCTTGATACGATTGGACATGTATTTCAGGTTTTCCTTCCATTCGGCATACAGTGCGGCATCATTCAGAACAATATCGACAATACGTGCACCATAGGCAGGAGGGTTTGAAATTTCCGCACGCTGCGCAATCTCAATCTGTGACAAAATGTGTTGCGCCACCTGAGGTGATTTTCCAACAATTGTCAAATTACCGGTACGTTCACCTGCAAAGGAGAAACAGTAAAAAAAAATTGTGTCAGCATGTGTCACGACATCATACGATCGGGCATTGAATCCCAAAAGAGCGAGAGAGAATGACTTACCATAGAGGCCAAAGTTTTTCGCAAACGATTGCGCCACGAATAATTCGAATCCTCTTTCGACAAAGTAACGAACGGCCGCAGCATCACGGTCAAGATCGCCCGAGGCGAAACCTTGATAGGCACAATCAAAGAAGGGGAAGTGGCCTTTGGATTGCATGACATCAGCGATTTCACGCCATTGTTCCATGGTGGGATCGACCCCGGTCGGGTTATGTGCGCAAGCATGCAAGATGTAAACGGAGCCATCAGGGGCATCCCGCATACACTGCAGCATGCCTTCAAAATCCAAGCCGCGTGTCTTGTCGTTCCAGTATGGATAAGTGTTCACTTGGAAACCGGCCATCGAAAATATATTGCGATGATTGGCCCATGTAGGATTGGAAATGTAGCAGTGATTACTCTTCTTGTAGTATTGTGAAAGGAAGACAGCCCCTGTGTGATTGGCTCCAGTGCCGGAAATGGTCTGCACACCTACGGCACGATGCTCACGAATCGCGACACTGTCTTCACCGAGGATCAACTTGACGGCTGCGTTGGTAAACGAGGGGGTACCGGCGATCGGTTGGTATTCATGATCCAAGTCTTTGTTATTGAACAAGATCGCATCGGCCTAATCAGAGAAATTCCAGGGTTTACCATGAGTAAACCCGCTTTACCCGACCGATCCTTACACACATAACACAACACATACCTTTTTTACCACGGGCAATACATAAGGCTTCAGTTCATCGGTTCGATAAGCGCCTACACCAACATTGATTTTCTTGGGATCGGTATCGGCTTTGTACTGAGCAGTCAGATGGAAGATCGCGTCCGGGGCGGCTTTAGGGACTTGTTGGAAAATAGAGGCAGAAGAACCTGGTGTTGCGTTTTATGGTAATGGGAACACAAAAAAAAAAAAGGATAAATTTTTGCGGTTATGAAATTTTGTGCGAGATGTTCATGGCGGTCATGGGCCAAAGATTCATTTCAGAAACTTACCTTCCATGGTAGTTAAATGAGAAGTAAGCTGGTTCAAACGTTGTTGAGAAGAAGAACTGGAAGACATGTTTGTTTTTTCGAATCTGATACGATTTTAAATAGGTCTCGGAGAGTGTGTTATTTATGTCGGTTGTTGTTTATAGTTTGAGATTTTTCCCTTGCGCTTTTTTTTTTTTGCGATCCCGACGGATAAAACGGATTTTCAGCGATTGGAAAAAAAAAAAAAAAAAAGTAAGTCAGGAGACAATAATTGGAAAAAGAATATTGAAAAGCGGTACAAAAAAGGCTCTTTTTTCTTTTCTTTGTGGCAGAGACAAAGTAAGCGAGGAAGAAGAAGAAGAAGAATTACTAAGAAAAAAAGACGCTGATTGATGGTTCAATCCTCTTTTTTATCATGAATGCTGACTATTTTCATGTGAAATCATCGGCTTCATCGCCAATTCTTCCCTCCAGGCCCGGTCATTCGAGCCACGATTACGTGAGAATGGCTATGCGGTGTTTCAACGGTTTCCGCAAAAGGCATCAATATGACACTGAATTTCTCAACAATGTGGGGCTGGTCCCCGCTGCTGAGTGTTGGAAGACAGCATCGGCGTCATTCTTTTTGAGTCACCATGCAACACTGCAAATCCGTTTTTAATTATGCTTATTACTCAACTTGGTACAAAAGGAGTAAAAAGGCAAAAACCTTACTGAAACGAACCAACCTGAGCGATCGATTGCACACGCCTATCACATGCTGGGACCCATCTACCCAACTTCTCACTCTTTTTCCGTGGCTATGTTACGGCCTCATCCTCTTCTTATTGCTCACGACATGGCAACTAATGATCCCAATCACTGTAACCATGGCATAATCTGACGAATAAGACGGTCCAATTCGCTCTTTAAAAAAACCGAGTACCATGCATACCAGAAGTCTCAGGGAAATCATCTATTGCCAGGATCACCGTTGCGTCACATTTTCTGTTGGATGATCATGAAGCGGGGTTTTCTCATTGTGCTTATTGTTTCGCCACTAGTCACCGATCTAATCTTACATGATATCATTGATAAAATTCAGTATACTGTACGGAGAGAATAAGGGCAACCATGAAGCGATACAATGGTCTGCTAAATCTGCCAAGGCTTTTTCACCCGTCGGGAAAAAGAAGATCATGCCCTGAAAAAATCGTATGCAATGGCACATTCCAAAAAGAGGAGTGGCACGTTCTATAAAACGCTATTGAGGTGTGTCCCGAGCACGAAATGAAGCGGAGAACCATGACGATTGATGAACAAAAAAAAAAAGGTTGAGCGGTTGCTGAATTTAAGCATCCTCTTTTTTCGTCGGTTCATTCGGATGCCAATCGCGGATTCAAGATAAGTCTCATGATCCACGGTCTATGTATTGATGACTTCTTTGTTACATGATATCCTGGCTGATGCGACGACGCCATATGATATTGAACCGATCCAAGCCGGTTAAGAGTCTAGATTTATCATTCTGTCAGCACACGGTTCGTTGGGCAGACAACGATTCTTTTTGTGTGTGTGTGTGTGACACAAAAATAGGGCGATACTGGCTGACTATCCCAACCGCGGAATCAACACTTCTACCGCCCGTCACTCATACAGTCCATCCATCATCATTCAACAGCAATTAAGATAACTAAGGCTATAAAAAGTTGCTATCGTGGGATCGGCACTGTGCAAATCGGATCATATACGCCATCATTTATCGCCTGATTCTGTGACGCTAAATGACAAAACAAAGACATACTGTGTATGTACACTGTAAATAGAAGGATGAAGGATGGCCTGGCACCATTTTTAACAGTTTGTCGGTTGTCTGAATCAATAAATGATGCTACATGAACCTTTTGCGCCGAGTATCATGCACTTGTCTGGAAAGGATACTATGGGCTCAACAAAAGGGAGAAGTGTCATTATCACTTTCTTCCTCGTCATATTGTCCCACCATGATCCGAAGCTTCGGCCACGCCCAAAAACAAAAGGAAACCACCTCATTTCTCCGCCGGACTAAAACAAGGTTCATCCAGTTCTTCCAACCAAAGCATTCCCGGTACGGTTGGACCTACCTGCTTTCTTTTCTTCTATTACACCATGATACAACCTGTAACATCCATCTCTTCTCTTGCTTCCCGCGTCCCGTATCTTTGATTGTCAACCCAATCTGGGAATGGTGTTGATGACGAGTCGTGGTGGTGGTGCAAGCTTCAGCTTGATTGATTTGTGAACCATGATTATTCGCTGTACTTTTTACATTGGGGTCAAGCCAAACAATGTATTTGTCGCACGCGCGAATTAAAGCGACAAACAAAGCAAGAGATGTGCATGAAGTGGGCATTACACAAACGTCTTACCTTAAGGAGAATTATTACCGTATCTCTTGTGGTTTCCCTTTAAATCACCGCAATTTCAAGTTTCCTCAACAAAACAAGGATGAATCATGGTTTTGCTTGGCGCAAACACAGCATCCTTCGTCTTGATCTTCCAGGTTTCCTTCACGAGTTCATTAGCCTTGATTTTGATCTCTTTTCACCATCCATGATGGATGGACTAATCAGATAGGCATCTATTTCTGCATTTCCTGCATTTTTGCCCTTGCTTCACCACTACATATTCCGAGAGAACATTGGTATATATTGAAGAAAAAGGAAAACATGATTTGATGATACAGGCATGCACGAGTTTCTATGAATAGCCAACTGAAAGATCGTTGAGAGCAACACAAACCGCCGCCTTGTTATGTCCATTGTATTGTCGAATGGTTTCGCCCTGCGATAATTCCCAAAGCCTGGCAACATGATCTGACGATGCTAAAAAATCAACCACCCGCGAATTAGTTACTGTATATTTTTCATGCGTAAGGAAGATTACCTGTCACTAAATACGCTGAATCGGCGGAAAAAGCACAATCCCACACCCATCGTTGATGCCCTGTCAGTGTCATTTCCAATTTATAGTGATTCTCCATATTCCATATTTTCACTGTTTTATCCGCAGAACATGTGGCTAAAAGTCTGTCGATTGGTTAGCTTGTAGCTTGTTCACATGGAAACCATGATACTTGCTTTGTATCGGGACTCAGTACGCATCGTAGGATGTAATCTTCATGCGCCGACCATTTATGCAACGGCTCAATGTCTGATAATTCGGCATTATTCGACATTTTCCATACATAACAGTTACCCTAATAAAAACTCCATGTAATCAGACTTCTTTCTCCTCTATGCAAACATGCTTTGGTTTCTCAGTTACCTTGTTATTGGCTGCCACGAGAATGGATCCATCCGATGCTACGCTCACCGATCGCATCGCTACTCCTTCTTCAGGAACCAATTCATGCGTACAAGCATGGGCGGTAAGATCCCAGATTTTTACACTGCCGTTCTGATCGCATGTAATCAATTCGCCCTGATTGGCATGCATGACTGCATCGTTGATCGGTGCTCCATTATCAAAATCCCGCGTCAATACAGGCGTACGTCCAGATCTTTTCATCATGAGTTAATGCTCTGTTACTGCTCAAGAAAGGCATTTTGGTTCCCCCTGTTCAGCACATACCTAGTATCCCATATTTTCAAATGCCCGTCTTCGCTGGCGGTAAACATCCACCGTCCTTCATCATGGAAACCTGTCGCTGTGACGTTGCCCGTGTGATCACCAAACACAACAAACTGCGTCGTCACAACGTTTTATCGAATCGTCAATCCAAGCTCACTTTGACGCTTTCCCCGTTTCAACATCGGGCAGCCAAACTTACGGGGTTGCCGTTGGAGCTGTTGATATCGTAGAGTCTCACTGAATGGTTGCCTGCAGCAGCAAGAATGGTCTTATCGGGGGAGATACACAAGCGATTGACTTGCTGTATATCGCCAAAGATTGAAAAATGGGTTCGTTAACAAAAACTTGATTCCATGTTAAAAGCGTAGACTAGGGTTTTCTCACCGAGTCTGCATGTTGAATGGTGCGCGAACATATGCCGCTCAGTGCTTCCCAAAACCGTACGGTATTATCGTATCCAGCCGTTACAAGAAGGACTGAATGGGAATCGTTTTGTAAGAATTGCTGGTATTGTTGCATTTGGGCATATTGTTGGTCTTGTTGAGCTTCAGCCATATTATTCACAGTATGGATAGGTGGGTAGTTTCACGAGTGAACAAAGTGCGGGCTGGGAATTACCAATTGGCGGATGTGTGACTTTTAAATTTTCATGTCAACAACATCGGGCGTTGGCCTGTCGTAACTGACCCTGTTTTTGCCGCTTTTTTTGTGTTTTTGGTGCTTGTTAAATTTCTTGACTAGTATGAATACGTTGAAGAATGCCGTGGCACGATTAGCGCTGCCAAGATTCGCATTGGCAAGACCTGCATGTGTGGCTCGATGTAAGTAGGAAGAAATTGGATTTCAGTGGGTGGGGTAAGCAGATACTGATCGTTCCATAGCACCATACACCACGGCGGCGACAGCCACTTCAGCCTCGACCAAGGGCAACGTTATGGAACTCATTACACAACAGCAGATTCAAAAAGCGAATACCGACGGACGAGCTGAGCTCTTCGATCGCAAGAATCCCCAAGGTGTCAAACCTGGCAGCATTTTGATGGTCGAAACCTTGAATGGACCGGGCGAATCTACTTCTTCCACGTTCATGGGCGTCTGTATTGCTATTCGACGCAAAGGCATCGACACTTCTTTCACATTGCGTAACATTGTTATGCGCATCGGTGTCGAACAACGGTATTCCTTGTATTCTCCCCTGTTGAAGAGCGTCAAAGTGCTTCAAGCACCCAACGAACTCAAGTTCCGACGTGCGAAATTGTATTATTTGAGAGATCAGCCAGGCAAAGCATTCCAACCCTTGCAAAGTCTGTGGAAACAAGAACAAAACGAAAAAATGGCCAACAAGAAATAGACGATAGACATTTTTGCTTTGGGTTTTCTTTTTCCTCCTTCTTTTATATATTCGTAGTTCACATCTTCTTTTTCTTTTCATCAAACATTAAAAACAACAAACAAGCTATTGTATTTTTTCATCCATCACGCATCATCACGATGATAGGTTGATCCATGGATCATAGTGTACTTTGACGAGACCTACACCGCCACGCATGGTAAGCAAACTGCTTTCGGGCATGTTATTGCGCAACGTGGTAAAAGCGGGAATCTCTCCGTTGGTCCATTCATCGTACAGACAGTTCAGCATGACTTGGTTGGAGCCTTCGCTGTCAGGATACTCGATATCCCACATAATCTTCTTGCCAAGCGATGGCGACGTGGCTACCAAAGCACCGAGTGACCCTTCCGGAGCTACGCTGTGCTGATTGATCCACGCTCTTGCATTATACACTGGTAGACGGAATTGTAACTGGCATATAAAGCTGTTTCGAGCGACCGTCGTGAGGTTCAATTGACAACGACCATTGGCACACCCTGACTCGCGAATGTGCACACTCGCTTCCCCGGGTCTACGACCATACAGAGGTGTCAACGACGTTTCGTAGACACATTTGGTCTGACCATTGAACGGATCACATGACAACGTATCATATTCTCTCGTGGACAAGGCTTGTCTCAGCGTCGATTGCAACCCAACCGTCGTCACAACAGACACTGTCGCCAAGGAATCGGTCGTATAGTACTCCTGATTGAATAAGACTCGATTGGGAGACCAGCTGCTATTGTACGGTGACGCTGCGAGGCAGATCACCAACACCACAGCTAATGCCAGATCGGCTATTAAAGTCGGCTTCTTCTTGTTCCCTGCAAGCTGAATCCACGGCAACAGTTGAAGGGTGATGAGAAGTATTGGTACGGTCATGAACAGGTACACTAACGCAAGCCAATGAACGCTCCAACACATGGGCCATTAGGTTCCTTTCTCTTCTTTTTTTTTACCTGCACGTTCTGGAGTTCCGTCAGCGGTGGTGTGGCGTAGGGCATCCATGGTGAGGAAGCATAACTCTGCCATGAGAATCGTAGGCACCAATGTCTGTACGACCATTGTCACTGGGTAACGCCATTCATGCTCTTCTGGGATGCAGTAATATACGGCCCAACTCAACGCTGTGCTTCCAAGGAAGTACACCCCATAGTAAGATCCGGTCACATGATGGCTGGTGAGATGGGCCGCAGCCACCACAAGAACCCACCACAACATCGTGAGCCCTGACAAGTAGAAATCAAAGCTTTGTTTTGGCTTTCCAGGAACGAGCTTCGCCACAACAGGTATTTTTTCGAGCATCCACTGGCATAGTAATAAGCCAAACAAACCGCCCAGGAAAATGCACAAGGCTGCCAAATAGATGCCACCATAAGTCATCTACACCATCATGATAGGTTTAGCAGGAAATAAGCAATGAAGCTCTCAATATACATGACATGGTAACTTACCAGAGGGTTCACTGTCAGAAGTAAAAGACACACCAAGGCGGCCACACCAGCCATCGAAGCCGCCGTGATAATGCACATGGATAAACCTAGTGCATAGTATCGAGCTTTTTGTACGAATCGTCTTTTCCTCTCCTCCCTTGACACGCCATTCGAATGAATTCGACCCACCACCATGACCACGACAGGAACAAGTACAAGCGCAATGACGTTGACTACCTGGGCCGTGGTGAAACTGTAGACGACCATGAATCGACCGAGGATATCATAATAAATGAATTCGTCATCATCACCATCTTCTGTCAAGCTTTCGCTAGCATCGACACATCGTACCGCAGCGAGCGCCATTTGTCCCATGTATTGTAATGAGCTTCGTGTAGTGTGTGCCAAATCATCGCGTTGAGTATGGTAGTGGGAACGGGGTTCGTAAAATCCAATATCGAAACCGTGTGCTCCATGAGCAGTAAATACCGTATAATCGGTATCACTAACGCGACGATCAGTTTCAAGAAAGAAAGAAAATAAGAGTAAGAGAATAAGTGTCATGACGGTCAATTACCTTCTGAGAGTTCTGGACTTTAGTAAACCATTTCCAAAAGGCGATCCATGCAATAGTTTGGCTTTGGATCTTGCCAGTTGTCGCGTGGCTGCTAAATGGTTGGATCGGAAAAGAAGTGGACGGCCGCCAGCTCCTGTTCCCTCTGCGGTATCCCCCAATGGACTATTTGGTTAGAAAACACTTCTTCGGCAAAATGATGATTTGGAACGGCGCTTACCGAGATTGACAAAGAACTTCACCGTTTGGAACCAAGGATGTTGAATAAAAACGTCGGCGCCAATCAGTCCACCCTCTTCAAAATTATTGAACAAGAAAATGAGGGTCTGTTCGGGGGGATGGCGTACAAAATAACGTAGGAGTTCAATGGCCACAGCGGTGCCCATGCCATTGTCTGTGACACCATGGCTGGTGGACACACTGTCGTAGTGCGCATTAACGAGCAAAGCCTCACTGGTGTTACCCGTGCGACCATGAAGGCGAACCATGATATTGCTGGACTCGACGTACCAATACTCGTCTAATTTTTTGTCACAAGCCATGAATCAGTCAAAGATAATTATTGCCATTTTTTATCTGGCTTACCTTGACTCAATTTGTTACGTTTGGATATGATGGTGGTGGGATCACGAAGAATGGCTTCCATGGTCACGTTGTTGGCGCTGGCGTCCTTCTGGAATCCTTTCACCAAAGAAGCGATCCATTCGTTCATTACTACATTGTTACGTTGATTGGCCGAATGAGGTTCAGTGAATTTGCTGAGATATTCGTTGTAGCAGTGAATGCCGGGGAAATCATCGTTTGAACGAGCTTCGGGATCAGAAAGTGGCACCGGCAAGTGTCTTCGTACATTATACACCCACGTCGTCAGGATCACGAGAAAGCCTAAAAGCACGGCATATACTTTCCATTTCGGTTTGGCCGGTTTGGCTGCCGCGACGGAAGGACCGCCCAGCAAAGGCGTCTGTTCGGAAATCTCGTCTTCGTGCGGAGGCATAAAAGAAAGCGACACCGCAGGGAAAAGAAGAAAAACAGACCTTTCAATTCTTATGTGCTTTTTTTCACACCGAATCGACGGACTTTCAACCAGAACTGTTTCCCCGACCCCCCACAATGCATTGCCAGCTGACATGCTCAGCACCGATCGGTTTTTCCCCCACGATAGTTGCTCAGTGTTATCTGCCAAATTAGCATAAGTTGGTAGATACTTGTATGCCTTTATAGCCATATCATATGCCAGCTGCCCTTGCCTTTCTTTGACAGAATGACCCATAATTTATGCGCGAAAAGGATGGCGATAAATGATCAAAGGGGTCAACAATCAAGTGCGCCCATGAGTAAATGCAAAAGGCAGAGATCAAGATATCTGTGAGCAATAAGATTGGTTGTGCTTCTGAATAAAAAAAATAACGCTGCATGTTTCTGTCACAAAAAATAACGGATACAGGAAAATATTTTTTAAGTGGGTATGATAAAAAGACAACCGCGGAAGATGATCAAGTCTTCTGTCGAGGTTTAATAAGAATAAGCTTTTAAACGTTAACTAGTCTTGGACGCTTTGGCCCACTGTTAATCCACTCAAGCTGGGTGGAACCATAGGCGTATCGCTTCGGATAGCCTCAATAGTGTTTGTATCGTATTCATTTTGAATAACACATTGTCATTGCTTTGGGGCCGTGGATCGAATTGCGGCAAAGTGACGTTATCTTGTGAAAGCAGTCTGACCGCACCTGCCAAACCAATGGCGAAAGCAGCTTGCTGATTACGATTCCGTGTTGCGTACCCTCTGGCACGGCAGGGCAGTTTGGATTGATGCATCGGACTGCACCAGAGACTTGCTTCGTTTTTCCACCTGGTAACCTTCGTTTCGCTAGCTCTGTTTGTTGGAAACAGAATACACAAGTCTTCGATGAGCAAAATTCATTTGTTATAGCGACTGTCGTGTTTCTTGAGTGTTCTGTCAGCATCTTCTTCCCCCCTCTTCGTACATGGCCTCTGATGCGAGAGCCCACACCGGTTCCAGCGTTTCCAATGCACATCACTAAGTTGGTTGGAACATTTCGATCAATCATTTGCGCCCCTTCGCTTGACGCCAGCATCGCATAGGCTCGCTTTGTACGCAATGACTGCGTATATGCTATTTTCTTGGACTTGCGATTATGATAAAAATTACGCAATGTGTCGCTTGCATCTTCTTGTAACTACAACAATGACGGTATGAGTTTAGTATATCCATTCTGGTTGTCACGACCTGCTTTTGACGTTTTTGCAGGCCATCGATTGTTTCGCTCAAGGAGTCGATCTGCTCCTTGGTTTCGTCGTTTTGTACCGTCGCGGCAGTGGGCTGTGCTTTCTTACGTTCATGGCATTTGTTCGTATCTTGAAATCATGCTGTAGCATTGGTGGTTTATCCGTGCTCTTTGCAAAATGGCCACGTGTCCATTCGTTGAGATACGATGTTTGAATGCCAATCCATAGCCTTTGCATATCTTATGGATCTGTCCCAAATCAAATATGGATGCAATGACACCAATGGAATACTTCCGCGCTTCCACCAGGAATTGGATTGGATGGCCGTTGTCCGAGACGAATTCATACATGCCTTTTTGCGAGCCAAACAATTCGTAAATGCTAGTTTCGTCAAGGTGTAGCATATGCTCCGCTGAAGGAGAGACTGGGGGATGTATTTGTTTTGTGAATTTGCTGTATCCCGCCAGACGAAGGATCACATTAGAAAGTGTGATAAAGGGTAAGAGGAGGGCAGGGTGCTTCTGCAGCTTTCCGTTCTTGTGGGATAATAAGGTGCAAGTTGGTCTGAAATCAATGTAATGACTCGGTATTCCTCGTCCGTCCAGGAGATAGTTCGCGGTGTGTGCTTGTCAATACCCGATTTTGTGCCAGTTCCATCAATACTTGATTCCGTAATCAACTTTTTGACCACCGCCTTTGTAGCGCTCAAACGACGACAGCTCAGATCCTTTAATAAAGTGTTAAATGCAAATTCTGAACTGGACTTCCCTTTTCGTGACTCACCTGATGGTCAACTAATGTAGTTTGTTGTTCTTCGGTTTGAGGGATATCTATCCCTCCTCTTCCTCTAATCTTTCTTCTTCATCGTCTTCTTCCTCAATGAGCTCCAACAGATCTTCTTCATCGACATTTGGCACATCCGATATATACAGCTTTCGATTTCATCGGTGATATCGTGCATAGTCACCTCTCTGTCTGGCTCAGATTGCACATACAACTGGCGTAACCTGATCAGGAACTTTTCGCTATTCGGAGCTTGCGCTAAACTTTTCATTTCTTGCTTGATTCTCCGTTTCAACGACTTTTTTGTTGCACGGGGACATTTTCGTTTATCGTTTCTTTTACGAATCGTCGACTTTCTGAGTTTTTCCTGGTATGCTTTTTCGCGAACAGGAGCCAAGTGGATTCGTAATAAAGTGCGAACCACTCGATCCAAGATTTTTTCTGGGTGCTGCGCGGGACCATAGAGTTTGACGTTGGTCGAATATTCCTTGATTGCAGCATTGATCGTTTGAGAGCAGCCAGGCATATCCGAAAACGATTGCGCCATTTCTGGTAAACTCTTGCACCAATCGAACCAGAGGGAAGGAAAGTTGCTCGATTCTTTTTTCGTTGTTGCGGAACGCGAATATAAAAATTGTAAATGCCGCGACGATAGAAGATCATCATGCGCATCAAGCTGCTTCTTGCTGCTACCGTCCTTGACTCTCGCATGCAGCCTATCTTGTAACCCATCAGGTATCGTGGAATCGGTATCATTTTGAAAGTCCCGAGAGTTCCCTTGCCATTGAAACGCTGGCGGGAAAAGATGATGAAAATTGGATAAAGCTGGTGGTGTCTGGGTGTTGCCATTTGGCGATTTGCTATAATTCAAGCAAGTGAGATAAGTAAGCATTGATAGTTTGGAGATGATGCCGGTAAGGTGAACTGAAAACTTGTTGATGCTTTGTAAAAAGTTATCGCCGTTAGGGAGATCGGAAGGAATGACTCGTGGAAGTGGGACAGAGCAAGTACGAATAAGTTGTTTGGATTTTTTCGGATCCGTGACAGGATCGTCCGTCTGTTCATCTTTACCTTCATTCTTCGATGCTTCGATTCTACTGTGGATACTGTTGAAATTATCGTCGAGATGATTCATGACATACTCGCGCCAAAGTGCCATGTAGTCAATCTTTTCTTTGATGAGCGTTCTTGTAAACTGTTCCCCTTTGAGATCATCAATTTCCTTTTCGGCAAGCGCCGTGCACTCTTTGTATATTCCACGGATGAATCCCATTTCCAGCAATTCGGTTTTGATATCAGCTGTAAATGTTTGTGCACTCTCATCGTCATCGTCATCGTCATCGTCATCTCCAACTTCATCATTCTTGCTATGCCAATCAAGATCGATTGCATCGGTTTGCACCTTGACCGCCTTCTTGCCCTTATTTTTGGCTCGAGATTTTTTTCGTTTCTTCTTGTTCTTCGTTTCGAGGGCAAGTGTGACCCAGCTTTCAAGATACGTTTCGAAAAATGTCGTCAGAACTTTCAAACAATATTGGGAGCTGAGGACGACCGCTGGCATTTTGCCTTTTCGGCTTGTCGTACTTCGCACTTTAGCCACGGAAGATGACTGTGAGGCCCCGTTGTCTGTATAGAAAGCATGGGCGTTGTTTTCCTCAGACGATTTTGTGCGGACAAAGAGGAATAAAGGTGCTTTCTCCTGGATATGTCGTTATTTAGAAGGTATACATGAAAAAATATGTTTTATACAATACCTGTAAATGAACTGACGTTATGGAGAATTCCGATCCAGCAGTCTCCGTTGCCAAAGACGCGTGTGTGGGACCGACTGGAGAAAAGAAAAATTTTGACATTGATTTGTAACGATATGGCCAATAACGTGAGATGTGATTATCGGAACTGATTATTTAGTACGCATGGCGGGCAATGTAGCCTACCTGGGAATGATAGCAAGGCCAAAAGTTCGGGTGGCATCGAATTTTCTTGGTTAAGGGCCACGTCTGCGCTGAAGTATACCTTTTCCTGGCCTGGGGAACGGTTGGTACAAATGGTATTGATTGCATCGGTATCTCTATTCGTGGGCGCCAAGATGCAATGGTTGGAGAACCGTACCATGTCCTCCAGGGAAGCGCTCTCCAAATTCGGGTATATAGCGGAGATAAGGTGATGGACGTTCGTGGTGGGCATGCACCATTCCCTAGGAAGACGGATATGTTCCCGCGAAGGTAGATGTTCTTGACCGGGAAGGCTATGTGTCCTCCCATCGCCTATGGCGAGGCAAAATGATGCAAACGAACGTTGCTGCATGGCGTAGATATCATTGCCTTGAATATTTTGCAGCCGCATGTTGATGGTAAGGCGCAGGGTATGGATCAATGGCCACAAAGAAGATAAAGATATGGCGGCATCGATGGTATGGGAACGTGTGCCTTTTCGGATGACTGGTAGGACCTGCCTAAAGTCGCCTCCAAACACAACGATCTTGCCTCCAAAAGGTATAAATGCTGCGGAGTGATCCGACACCCTCCTGATGTCACGTAAAGACCGATCAACGGCCTCTATGCATTAGCGGTTCTTGAGAGGTGCCTCGTCCCAGACAATTAACGCAGCATCGCAGATTTCCCCGACTTGGCGATCATCATGCACATCCAAATTGCATGTGATGGTATCATCAACGACCTGAGTCACGGGTATCTCGGATCTTGAATGGGCAGTGGTCCCTCCATCGAGCAATAAAGCCGCCATTACAGTTGAGGCCTCTGCAATGGCCTTGTGGCCGGAAGAACGAACATGTGCCAGAAGGGAATTGAAAAAAAAAGTCCTGCAACAACCTCCAGGGCCATCCACAAAGAACAAATGAGAGCGGGCGGTAGACGGAATGGTATTGAGTGAAGCGATGATGGTATCAAAGGCAGCTTTTTGATCGGGATTCAGACTTGCTACTGGGTATTGATGGCGTTGGTCAACCAAAAGCGAGTCGTCATCATCCTGCTGGATATCGATATCTCCGGTATCGAGGAGCTGCTGGAACATTGCATAGTCGTTCTGCGTGCCAGGTATAAGTGAAGTTGACAGAAAATCGGCCAGCGATTTTCCGTGGCGGGAGAAGAGACAATCAATATGCAAGAGAGCTCGGGCTCTACATAGAGGGATATCTGGCTCCTGTTCGCGGGATCGATATTGGTATTGATAATCGAGACACAGCTGCTCAGCAAAGGTATCCCACAGGAGCCCAGGATCGTCAGGGTGGGCCCAAATCAAAAGCGTCACGGGCAACTGACGAAGACGGTGTATACTGGTCACGACTGCCGCAGCTTCTGCTAGGCATTGGAAATGCTCTCGACTGGAATTGATCAACCCATGGGCACGGGCAGCCTCTTCAAAAGAGGTGTATAGGTCACCCTCATTTGTCCGGAGGTATTCAAAGGATGTGGCGCCGGGTATATGATGCAGAAGCAAGCGCACAACAAAGCGTTCTCTATCCACAGGAGGGACAAAGTAGACATGGCCAACTGCCGGCTGTCCTCGCTAGCGCCTGCGGCAATGAGCGCGGACATGCCGGGAACCCTTGACAAAAATGAACTCGGAAGGAAGCTGGTGATAACATAAGGGCTTTGCGGACTCAACCTCCCGATTCAGGATAAAATAGGCGTTGAGGGTTGCCAGGTCATTTTCCGTGTGTAAGAGCACATCCTCTAGGGTATCATCCTCGTTAAAGAACACTTACTGGCAATTGGGTTAATGCAGAGCCAGCCGCATAACTGCCAGTGATCGATGGTGTAATGAAAAAGAGTATATGCGTAAGGACGAAGATAGAATAACTTGTGGAATATGTTGAATAAACCGGCCAGCAATTCTATTCCTGGGTTTCAACGGACACCTTGAGAACGTGGTTATTAGTGATCGGTACTTCTACAATGGCAATATACAGTGTAGAGTAGTGAGTTTTTTAGAAAATCAAAGCCAAAGCGCTTTTATGTTCAAGCAGTTTGCCATGTGCATTTTTTCATTTTTTTAAATGCTCAGTGCGGTTGTGCCTGTAAGAAAGTAATAGCCAAATGCAAGACTTTTTCCAAACCCACCCTTCGTTCCCTTACCGTATACGAAGCGGAGACTGCTTTTTAATACCTTTTACTATAGGGTGGTAACTTCCCAAAAAAAAAAAAGAAAGGTTTCGAACTTTTTTTTACTAACAAGCCGTACACCCGCTGTGCAATGGATGCCGCCTGCCACCGGAGGCCGCCCCCTTACATTGAGCGACTTTCGTCAGACAAAAAGCCTAACGCATACACGGCATAACCTGGGCAAGAACTCTTGACGGAACTTCGGTATATTAATGACAACCTTATGGCATACGTTGCAACGTGATTTGTTTCTGAACACGCGCAGGGCAACACTGGTTCCCCCCCTCAGTTCCATCCCGCCCAGGCTATGATAGATCTAGGAAGATGTGTGGGTATGTTGGGTATTTAAAAAAATGAGTTAGTAAGCTCTTTGATTGATTCAAATTTTCGTCAAGATATTTTACCTTGTTTATTTGAGTTTTCGATAGCCATTGATCGCTTGACATGACTTGGATTATATGACATTGAAAAAATTTTGAATTAGTATACGTTCATTACATCATAGCAAAGGAAAAAAAATTGGACTTGCCTTTGAACCAAATGGTGCACCGGAAAAAAAAAACGATGAATACGGACCGCCAGGTAAGCTTCTTCTTCGATGCGGAAAATAAAATTGCTTCCAGGGACAGTTAAGCGATGGATCGGTGGTGTCAGCTTGAGCAGGCAAAAAATATTGACGTGGCCAGAAGTGACGGTAACTTCGAGTTGGATTCCAGATATCGAGAGTCCCCCGAATGAAAAGAAAGAAAACAAATAAAGTACATGATGATAAAAAAAACAATGGTCGCGTCAGTAAAAACCTCATAAAAAACCCTGTGGGAAAAAAAGAGGAAAAGACTGCGAAAAGAATATGTACATGAAATATAAAATACAAAATACAAACTATAAACTAAAAATACAATAATCGGGAAGACAGCTCGAATACCATATGATGAGAAGCAATCCAAAGGAGAGGAACGTGAAGAGGACACGTAAGCGTTTTTCTGATTAAAAAGAGAGCCACACCACCAACGATGGCCTTTGACGTCATCCGGTTTTGCCAGATGAATGGATGGATGGATGGATGGCGAGAGAAAGTCAACTGTAGTATCCAGAACTTGTCAGGCAAAAAGAAAACGAAGAAACCCGGAAGCTAAAAGAAGGATGGAAAAAAAAGAGAGGTAAGTCTGTTTTGCCGGAGCAAAATCGATGGTAGACCACTCGACGCTTACCTTTTTGAGGATGGTAGTCGATTTAAATACACGGGATAAGAATGGTCTGGATGATGGATGCGGATGGAATCTTGATACAATGATAGTGAGGGTTTATCAAGCAAACAGAAAGAGAGAGAGAAAATCAAAAGAAGAAAGATAAAATTGAGGACAAAAATATATGATTCTCCATGGATGAAACAATAGTCACCCCACTGATGCATGAATTCATAGATCGAAGCACGTCTGCTTATGTATTATTCGATTCATTGAAAATTGAAAGAGAATGAAAGGACATATATAGTGTAACTGACAAAAAAAACAACAGATTGAATGATGCTACAGAAGAACGCCAGTCGTATCATCAACCACTTTTCTTCAAAAAGAGCTCTACTCACATTTTTATTCGAAAAACGACGATACTCTGTTTTACCACAACTGGTGCAAACGGCATCTTGCTGCTGATTGTTTCGCCTATTATCGTGAAAGTGGGCAGCGAGGCATGGTTGAAAGATAAAAAAAAACGTTTAACAGGTCCTGATAACTTAGTGTAGATCATGTTTTTTTTACTAATTGCTAGTAAGGTGTAGTAAGTTCCCAAAAAGGAAATGTTTCAGGCATAACTTTCTTAATTAATACGCTCTTTTTGTTGGTTGATGAGATAATACGCTCTTTTGTTAATGTTAATAAGAAAAGGATGTGAATAGCCACGTGGTCTAGATGGAGTTGGATGTTCAAAAATAAACAAAATCAAAAAAGGGATGCCGTCTCTGATCGTTTTTTTCTGTCGTTCTATCGCTCTTTTTCCTATCTACTTCACAATGGCGCTTCATTACATTATTATCTTTCTTTTTATTTTAAAATCGATCACTTCTTTCATGTCGAAGGTGTTTGGTCTCGACGATGAGATGAAGCAACAACAACCGTCCTTGTATCCACCGCTTCATCAGCCCTACTACGACCATCATCGTACAAAAGACGGAAAAAACCTGGCTGCGGACGCCGATTGGTCTGTGCTCGGCATTTATCTGTAATTGGCCTATTCACTGATTTGGTTCGGCCTCCCTTCGACCCGCACAAAGAAACTCCTGTGTATATTGCTTCAACATGTCTTTTACTTTATTTTTATTTTCTGCAAACCGTTTCTTTTTTTTCGATGTGTATTATATTTGTAAAACCAATAAAAGACTGCGACATTTGCGGACAATCTACGTATGCTATTTTGTAATGGGTATGCGGTTCAAAATCAGTCCAAAAATGAACATTGAACATTTAATAAGGAGAGACGGGAGGCGATGATGACACTGCCAATGCAGATTCCATAGATGGTAATTTCAATGATTTAGCTTCTTTCGAGGGGTGTGGTGACGGAAGTTTAGGACTAGCGGTAACAGGGATCCTAGCCATATTGCCTCTGGACGATGCCTCCAATAATATTGGGTTCACAAAATCCATCGAACAGATGAATTGGCGGGGAACCACGTTCATCTTTTCATTGGATCCCTGCTCACAGTCATAGCTGAGGTGCCATGGATACTTGTATATCAAATTTGACGTTGCCAGGGGTTCATACTGAATCCATTGGCTGGATTGATCTTGTGCAGATAACGGCAACGCGATGGGATTATAAGATAGACTAAAGATCTGGCGACGGCGGGTATCGGCATGATGGACAATGACAGTGCAACCATCAATGTGAGGTAACTGGTTGGTATCTGATGGTTTGGTGAATGAAGATGGCCCGTTCTTGGGTTGGAACGAAAAGACCAGCTTATCACTCCGGCTCTCTTTGGCCTGCCAATCGAAGTCTAGCGGTTTATGAGACGTGGTACCCGGTTGACAGATCCACAGTCGAACCGTGATATTCTGAGCGTAACGCTGAAGATGGGTATAGGATAACTGACGCCACGAATGACAAACTTGACATGATTCAAATAAAGTTGAAGGATCCACAAAAGAGAGAACGAGATCGATAATTTCCGGTGGTAGAATAGTCATAAAGAAGCAGCAAGGAGAATAAACAGAAAAGAAAGTAGAAAACACCGACAGAAAGAAGATTTGATGAATACTTTTTTGTATTTGAATGGAAGTTTTTAGGCGGCAGCTTTTTTTTGATAGAGAAACAGAGTTTTATATACGCTAAACCCCATTGAGCAAGTTTTTATCGATAACGATCGGTCTTTTTCATATGCAACATGACGAATGTCCGCAAACCGTACCTGGGGCACAATACAAAAAGAGAGGGAGCATTCCTTCTCATTGGCCGACTGACATCATGCCCCTCCTCCTTTTTCCGTCCATGCCCTATCGCTCTTGATGATATGGATTCGTTCGATACTCGTTGTGGAAATAATCCTTTTCATGGTCTTGCAAGAAGCTGGTTTATCCATTATATGTATTAAAGAGAGAAATGATGACATTAGCACACTACAATCGTTTCATACCTGGATATTTCTTTTCCCAATTGCAAACAAACCTACCTTAAAAAGTCTGCAAACATGTCTTTGAGGACAGCCAGCGTCTCAGGATTTACTTTGGACTTGGTGATAAGCGAAGGTAATTCGACTAGAAATTGGGATTAATCTTTTGCTCCATTCACCAAACGCAAAACGATGTGTTATTGGTAGAGTGATTGGATCTATTGATAGGACCTATGACGGAAAAACAAAATATAGAGGCTTACCAAATAGTCGAAGTAAATGTTCTGCTCCATAAAGATCGCTGACTTCCTTATCAGGATAAGTGGATTTCAGCTCATCGTGCTGTTTCCGTTCCACTCGGTACAGCAATAGGTTGTTCAATGTCTTGTCGAAATAAAGCTTGATACCTTGGATCACTTCATTCAACACTTCGCTGTCTTTCCTACACACATCATTATCCGTTCTGTCAATTCCGTTTCTTTCTTTCTCTATGTCTCTGAGAAACGACCATGATATCACCGACACTCACATGTCATCTGCGGACTTGGATTGGGCGTACTGACCCAAGATTTTGGACACAGTGATTTCGCATGGCAGTCGCACAACCTACCATTAAGCTTCGTTCATTGCCCGAGTCTTCAATCGTGCACCCTGAGTTCTCTTTTTTTTTTACCTGTCGGTTTTTGGTAATATTCTCCCAATCGTCGACCAGCAGTCCTTTCAGTGATTCCGGCATGGGTACTTTGAAGCTTGGTCGTTTGGCATCGTCCTCCTATGATACGAGATAAATATATCTTGCGTTACTTTTCACAATCCATTACAAAACAAAAAGCAAATAGAGAAAAGGGGAGGAATGAGATGATCAATGGTAGATGAGACGAACCATACGCGATTTCTCTGTGCTGGCGTCACGATGTCGTTTACGTCCTCGCGATTCGACGGCGTCATGGGCACTGCTGCCAGGATGGGATGTGTTCGATGAACGGGATGGTTTACGTTTTGAGTGCATTTCTTTCAGTTGCTGTTGTTTTTGAATATTGGTATCGGTGAACTTTAGAACGCGCTCTTCAGGCACCCATTCGTCCCATCTAATTAATTTTTTTTTTTTTCAGATATGCAATAAAAAAAACCTCAGGAAAAAAAATCCCAAAATGGGAGACTCGAAAAAAACCAAAGCATAATAAAGAAGCATAATAAGAAAGGAAAAAGCTCCTTACGTTTGTTTCCATCCTTTATAGTGAATGTAGTAGTGTCGTCCTCCTTCACTGTCGTCGTTATCTTCTCTTTTCTCGCGCCGAATCACCTATCCAAGGTCCTGACATTAGTCTCCTAACTCCAACACCTCAGTCTCTCCTGCAAAACTTCCTACTTTAGCCTCGTAAAGCAACGGTCCGTGATAGCAGAGAACCCTCTCTTCTTTATCAAAGCCAAACTTCTTTTCATTCTTGGCCATGTCGACTGAATTGTCCAGCAAAATAAAGGATATTGGCACCTGTCCACTGATTGAAGGTCTAAATCTCACACTTGGTTCGCCTGTAAGCCCACACCGGGCTCGGGGTCTGTGACTACTCTTCCTGGACTCACGTGACAATCACCGGGCAGATCGCCACACCGCTTGAATTTCCCATGTTCTATGTTATCTGCGAGCGAGAGGGGGGCGGAAAGAGATAAGGCATGAATGTTTATCCCAAAAAAAGCAACTTTTATAAATATGCGTCCACTGATTGAACCAGAGTGTTATCTCTTTATGCTGATTCTTTTTATCCAATCAAAAGGTCGCATCCGATAGTCTGTCACCATCACTTTGGAAAAAAAAGCCATCTGACTTTTCTTTTTTCTTCAATCCGAGGTTCATCGAAATGATAAAAAAAAAGGCGATTGCAGAGAGCCGCTAATCAGGGCAATTTCATGAGTGTTGGAACTGTAACATGAAGTCTCTATCTGATAAAACAGGTTTTGCATTTAAGAACAGTTTTTTTTTTTTTTTTTTTTTTTTTGGTTGTTTTGCGTGGAGGATCGGTTGTCGTTCAGATTTTCTATCTACAGTTTTTTTTCTGGCTCCGCACCATTACCTAATGCTTTGATACTCCGACAAATATATATGTGTGGGTTGCCATTTTTGTTACGGGTTTTTTTTCTATCTTTTGGGAGAAATTCTCTTAATATGCCTTCTTCTATCGCCTATTATCCACTACCCAACCTGATGGATACTAAACGAACCTCTTCTTCACGCTGCCAATCCGTTCATAAGCATTTTGGCGATAAACGTATTGTCCTGTGTCAAAATCTCCCGTCGTCCGGTTACCAAGCAACGTATAATCTTTTCTTCTCTAAATACCCCTACTGGCGTGATCGCATCGTGGTCGTCCACATCAATAATGATGCCTCCGTCGAGGTGGAATCCAGTGATAGTATCTACCACTATCAGCAGCAAAAAATGGATAAAGAAGACTACGAAAACATGTTGGCCGCCGCCGATATTGGAGTGATCTTTGGAAACGATGCAGAGATGATCCGCGCATTTGTTACCTATCATCGTGATCACCATGCACCCCTGATATTATCAGCGAATGTCGCCTCGCCCCTGGCGGCAGCGAAAGAGCACGCGATCATGGTTGATGAGTCAGATAAAGAAGCCGTAGCAGACGCTCTGGATGTCGCTTTACAAATGTCGGCGCAAGAAGCCAAACAACGTTACGAGGTATGTAAACAGATAGACCTTTCTGACAAGGAACAGAGAGAAGAAAAGAAAAAAGTGGGCTTATGAAACATGGGATTGCCATTCCAGGGTCTCTATCGTTCGGTCACACAACAATACACAGATGATTTGATACCACATCACGCTCAACCCCTCAATACAACAACATTGATGCTCGCCTATAAATCGGCTAACAAGCGACTGTTCCTTTTTGATTATGATGTAAGTGGACATTTTTTTTTTACTTTTGGCGCTAAGTGGCAGCGGAAGAAAATCACAGGAACCTAATCATAAATCGGGCCATGCTTGGCTTTTTTTTTTTTGTTTATTGTTATTTTTTCTGTTTGGTTATCCGATGTAGGGTACATTGACTCCTATCGTTCGAAATCCTGCCGATGCATGTCCTACGCCTACGCTTTTGAACTACCTTAAACATTTGTGCACGGATCAGGCCAATTCGGTGTGGATCATTTCTGGTCGTGATCAAGTGTTTTTGAACACATATCTGGGCAACATTCAACGACTGAACCTCAGCGCAGAGCATGGTTCGTTTATGAAAATCGCTGGCGAACAAGACTGGATCGATATGCTGAAAGATGCCGACATGCAGTGGAAAGACGTCGCTCTGGAAATTTTTGAAAAATACACAGCCAAGTTACCCGGCACTAATATTGAAAAGAAAAAATCGTCCATTACCTGGCATTACCGAAACGCTGTGGATAGTGATGAAGCGTAAGTCGTCTTTTTCTTTTTGGCTGGTTTTGGTTGAACGCAAAATGGGAAGTTTTACGTTCAGGCCAAGCGGATGTTGTTTTATCGTTTGCTTATCTTTTTTTGTTGTTGACTGTAAATCCTTTTAGATACCGACAATCGAAATTATGTCATAAAGAGTTAATGCAAATCCCGGGCGTCGATATCCTTGTCGGTAAAATGAATTTGGAAGTACGATCACATTTGGTGAACAAAGGCGAAGTCGTTAAACGGATCAAGACGGACACACCAGAGGTCGATTTCATCATGTGCGCTGGAGACGATCAAACCGACGAAGACATGTTCCGTGCTCTTCTAGATGACAAGAAAGCGTTCACCGTATCTATTGGTCCTTCTTCCAAACCCACCTTGGCAGGATGGTGTGTTGAAAGTAGTGAACAAGTCGTAGATTTACTTGGTCAATTATCGGAATAAGATCAAATGCATGTACAGTTGTATCATAATAGAAGTTGGTGCCCCTTGTTTTTATTTAAATAATTCACAACAAATGCGCATGTAAAAAGAAAAGGTTTAAACGTAAAGAAAGAAGGAGTAGGAGCCGATGCGAGGAAACCGATTTCTCGGCTAATTGAGAAGATGAGCAGCCAACGCACTGTGATTGGATGTATTCGCACAAGTGGTTACTTTCTTCCACACGCTACCAAGTCCGTCATGTTTCAGTTTCAAAAGCTTTTTCTGATACCGTGGCATTGATAGACAATGAACGTCTTACTTACTTGGAATCGGCGTCAGGAACTTGTGCTATCGATGCCTTGAGAGCTTGGTACAACTGTCCATCTACACGTTTATACAAAAAGGTCAGTTTCCTAGCGCTGCACTATTGCCTTTGGTTCTATTCATTACCGTGGGCTGCGAAACTATGTTCATGATAGATAGCATCAGCCGACCATGGGTGCAAACAACCGTAGTGATGCAACAGCGCCTCCCCCAGTTGATTCCTGGTCACTTGCTCGCTGCACGTTTTGTCGTGTTTCCAGACATTCTTGTTGTTCGTAGGCGCTTGATTCTAAAAATACCAATTTTTTTTCAAGTCAGTTGGTTTCATTGATGCTTATCTTCAAATTTTGACGGACGGCCTTACAATGTTCCACCACGAAGCTGTATAGACACGATTTCTACAAACAATTCAAAGTCAGTCTCGTGAAGCTCAGTATGATGGTTCGACGCATGCATAATCCCTTACTTCACAATTGCTTTGCTTCCGGCTGCATACGATTTTCCTACTTGCCACAAGGTGGCATTGCTGCAAACTTTGTCTTCTTTCACCATGATACGGTTCACAGAGATAGTTTGTAACTTGGCCACAGGTTGGTCGGAAGGCGACGAGCTGTCTTCTTGGCCAGAGACACCATCACAGGGACCAACTTTCTGCCAAGGTCCTTCTTTTTGGGTCGGCACCTCATTCAGTGTCCACCATTTGGCGCTGTACAACGATCCGTGGTACGTCACCTTTTTACCGCCCACATACACTTGGCTGCTGGACCATTCTGGCACACCTGTGCATGTCGTCGCGTCATTCGCAGGCGGGCTATTGGTCGCTTGCGGAGGTTGACTAGACGCCGTAGGCGATCCAGAGCTGGTACCTTGTCCGTTACATGCACTCACGGGGCTCCATTCGCTATTGGGATCGCCACTCGGGGTATTGTACGCAGACCATTTGGCTTGCCATATGTATCCTTCGAAAGCGACCCGATCACCGCCAGAATACCCTTTGCCTGATTGAAACGTTGGCACCGAGCAAGCGGGGTACTGGAATGGTTGGTTTCCACATCGTTGGCCGGCTTGCATTGCCTGTTTGATACCTCGGTCGATGCGGCCATTCGCGTAAGCTTGAGATGCGTCCCAGAACATCACTCCGCCGAAACTGGGGAAATTCTTTTGCATGGCCGTCGCTATTTCGCTCAGTTTTTGCAGAGGAACGTAACCGCCACCGGCTGCACTGGCACTGGCCGGAGCGCCAACATAGATTTTAACGTCTTTATTGGGCGCAATGTGCCTTGCCCAATAGTCCCACACGCCAAAATTCCAGTTCGTAGTATCGTACGTCTGTAGCCCACAGGGATTGTTATCTAGAACAGATCATGAGTATGGATGACGATGAGAAAGAAATGTTATCGGGAACTCACAAAATTGCACATAGATTGCATCAAAAGCTACAGCATTGATGGTCGCTTGAAGATTGGCATCAGGATAAACGCATTGAGGCGCCGCAGTCAGATAATACCGCTTGTCACTTTGCTTGAAATAGCCTTGCAGCTTGTGAAGAAAGGCATCATAATCTAGACAATAAGACAGCCAAAATTTAGTTTGAAATTGCATGGTAGCAAAAGAAAGGACCGTTTAGGACACTTACGAGCAGCGCCGCCACCTTCAATATCCAAGTCAATACTATGGATATGATGTTTAATTGTTAGTATATATCTCTTATATGAGTGGCAATACATAATTTACCCATCAAAAATCGCATCACCAAAAGGCCGGATATCGGAGCTTCCGCCCAGGAACTCGTTCCAAAGCGTATCTGCAAATTGCGTAGCTTGGGCGTCCGAGCTGAATCCAATGCCCCCTGTTGCTCCACCCAGGGACAGTGTGATGGCTTTGCCTTTGCTTTGACAGTACTTGATATCGCTGGCCAGACTGGAGCAGTTGGCGAGACCGGTACCGGCAAATGTCGAATTGTCGGTAGGGTTACAAATCTATCCATGAATGAATCAGTAAGCATGGCCAGTGGCTGCGATTTTCTGTCATCCAACTTACATTGGCCAAATTAATGTCAGGCTGTCCTCCTCTGGAGAAGAAGGTGGTTAAAAACGCTACAGGAATCACATCGATGATGTCGTCTTCGCAGTAGTATCGAAGTGTTTTCTGCCAACCGCTTGGATCACCTGCATTGGCCGCACCGTACGAGTTTTGACCCCAGTCTATAACAGTACACTGTTAATCATTGGCAAACATACGACGGTTGCTTTCCTACATACATAAAGCCAAATTGTCATTGCATGTATTCTACAAATAAATGATTGATTATCATCAAAAGTTCGTGAGCAATGTATAAGCTGCGTCTCCTTACATCGATGCCATGTACTCCGATGATTGCGAACGCGGAAATTGACAATGTCTGCAGAATGCGAAATCGCATTGTGGCGAGTTTTTTTGACAGAGAAATTTGGATTGGAACATCGGGTCATCTCGTCTTCGCCCTTTGTATTTATAGTGCAGCATCGGACCGGCAAGGATCGGTATGTCACCGCTTACCCTGGCCACGGTACAAATTAATACTACCCAGATCCAAATTTCATTAATATTAGGCAATTACCTTGGCGACTTACCATCGCTGCTTCATCCATGGACTTACCCATGTCCGAATGTCTTGCTCTATTGCCAGTAACCATTTAACTCTATTCGGTACCAATGTGATGATCTCTTGTTCCATCTTTTCATGTTGATTGCGGACCCTGACCTATGTCTGCCACAAAAGGCAATCCCTGAATAAGGAGACTTTAGTATGGAACGGCGGACAAAATATGAAATTATGCTTCTGTAAACAATTGAGATTCGCTTGAAGGTTCCTCGACTCGTTTTGTCTATCTTTGCTGAGAATGTGTTGCTACGAATGGTAACGTATAGGTTTCGTCGTTGTGATCTCCAATAAATTGATGAGGTTTTACTGCGAATACCTTTTTTCTTGATGCGAAGTGGTTCCGTCGTCACTGGCACAGATATGCAGATGCCCATCATGAGCTCTTCATGTGAAAAGGATGGGCAATCCTTCTGTCATCAGTGAGCTTTTACGTAATACACTTAGACGTCGATCAATGCATTAGTGTTGGACCCTGAGAAAGATTTATTTCCAATAATTTTCATATGATGAAAACCCATTCCTTTTCTCATGATCATTGACTGTCGTCGATGTGAGCTTGCTGCAGGGTAGTTGAGCATGATGAGCCAATACCAATTATTACATAATCCACGATGAAGGTCACCTGAACTGCGTACCGCGAAATTGCGCCAACAATGCATGTTCATTTGTTACATGAACGTACGGGCCCATGGTTATCAACAACAGTCACGTCTGATTCTTTTACTTATTACATAACGATCATCAATTGCTGCTGCAAGGCAAATAGATGAGCTAAACTATGGAACGGAGACTTGTTTCCAGTGAGAATGGCGGGGTATGTCTCGTGATAATGTCAAGTACCGTCACCATTTCTTAACCGCTCAATAATAAGGTGTTGATGTTTTTAATGAGGATGTCAGTGTACAAATCATCAACAAAAACTAGAAAACGAGAATGTAATACATTTTTATTGTCTATGGAATCACGATGCAATATGCTTTTGATGATGATGAGAATGCCTTATTTACTGAGAACTTCACGAGCCACCTTACAACCCCAGCGAACCGTTTCCATGTCCTGTTCATCGAGACTTAGATGTTTTGCTGTGACCACTGATTCCTGCATGAAGAAAATGCAGCCTTGCGCCAAGGTACGCATCTGGTTGATTTTGCCAAACACATTGGCGATGGCTTGAGGTCCGCCTTCTTTACACTGCAGGATAATATTGGCAAATAGGATTTCCAAGAAGATCCGGCCGTTGGTGCCGAGCGTCATGAAATTCACGCTCTTGAGAACCGCCAACGATAACGCATGATTGGCAATGAGCGATGCGTAGAATTTGGCAATATTGACGATCCTGCTTAATCGAATGTTCTTGTGATCGCCCGCGCTCTCGGTACTGCTACGATCCAGACCTCCGACCTCGGTTTCGCCACAATCTCGCAAAAAGTCCCATAAACAGTATTGATAGGTCACCTTGAAAGAGTGGTTCGATTCGCACAATCGTCGGCTCACCAAAACGTAAAATGGGTTAAACGATTTTTCCTAAAGCAACTGAAGTGAATAAACCCGGAGCATATAATTCGCAATCCTATAACATACATTGCCTGTGCACTGGATTAGTACTCTTGCAATTTCACGTTGTTGGATTTCCGTGAGGGACAACTTCATGAGCTTTTCAAACGCATCAAGATAATCCTAAAAATTTGGACGAGTTCAGAAAATTCTGTATGTCCTGGATAGAATCTGGATTTGGCTTACTTCGGCTGACATCACAGTAACAAAGATACTCCTTCGGATATCTGTATTCATTCCTTGTTTTCTTGCAATCTTCAACAGGGTTTCTTGCAATGACTGATCTTTTCGTAGATCATTTGCCATTTTACTTGATGCGTATTTGCTCTCGGTACCCACCAAGTTGTCTTTCCAAGATGCACCCACTAACCACCATTTACCTAATATTTCCAGAATAAAAAGTTAATGGTATTGCGCCCACCCTCCATTGTGCAAACGTACCCTTGGTTTCTATCTGATGAATATCGTCCAGACTCACGCGCAAAGGTTCCGAGGTTCTAATGGTACGTTTCTTGCCGAGACCATTGAGATATTTCTTCATCTTTTGCACCAACTCCTTGTCACCTTGACCGGAAGCCGTCACTCCATTCTTGATTTTATTATTCTTGATATTGGTCAATGTCTCCAACATGAACTTGTGACGCATGCTATAAAAACCCCCGACTCTATTAGCTTAGGTTGAACCCCAAAATCATCCCTTGATGGGATACTTACGAAATGCTTGAAGGATCACGTTTCGCAGTTTCCTTTTGAATTTCATCGATAATATCTTTCAGAGCCGCGGGATCATCCGCACGCATTTGCGCTCCGGCAGCTAGAGAGAGAGAAGAGAGAATATCCCTAGTAAGTTACTGAAGAACAAAAGTAACTGTTATTAACTTACTTCGAATAATTCTCAATAAAAGTTCCACACAGTATTCATCCAAATGCTTTATGAGCACGCGCACAATGTCAAAGACGAGAATGCATGAAATCACTTGGAAATTATATAATTCCAGCAGCAACGTAAGTAAATTTCTGCATTCTCTGGCTCCGGGAATAGCTTCGTCATCATTCTCCACGCCGGCCGCCATCATGTCGCGGCATTGCTTGAAATTCTTTTCAAACATTTCCACCAACTCTTGAACGTGATGAGCAGCTATCGCAATACACATCGATTTAGAAACCCGTTTTGAACCATTAGCTTGGTAGCCCTATTCAGTACATACCAAACTCCACACCAACTAATCGGAATAGACTGCCCACCACTGTGGCATAGATAATCACAAAGGAATCCAACAAGTTGGACTTGGTTGCAATGGAGGTAAGAATAATTTCAGAGGTGGTTGCGGTAACGTCTATGATTTTTTTTATGAGTCTCCGCATCCGCTACAGTTACAGACAGTTTTCACTGGTTCTGTACAAGAAACATACCGTGACGAGGATAGTTGCCGTAGCATTTTTCGATTTCCAGCATAATGCTTTCCATGTTGGTTTCACTTAATCTGTTGAAAAGACCTTGAAGAGTTCTTTGGAGACGGATTTGCTGTTCTGATTTGGACGATGCCGCCTTTCGCAGATGTGGAGGCACGTATTTGGTGACGACAGCCGGTGTACTGTCCACAGGCTTCTCGGCTGGTATATTGGATGGGGTAGTCGTCGCAGATGTTGATGTAGAATCGCCCTCCTCCTCATTTTCATCACTCTCATTCTCACTCTCTGCTTCATCAAGTTCTTCTTCATCAGACTCATCATCCAAATCATCTCCACTTGCCAAGTCATGTTCTTCGTCTACAGTGTTCTGTTTTAGTATATCCAGACATATACCATGGTGATTTCAAAAAACACTACCAGAATAAAGGCCTTCCATTTCGTCATCGTCCTCGTCTTGGTCTTCTTCATCATCTTCTTCCTCACTGCCACTGCTTTCGAAATCGTTGAATAGATCGTCCATAGTTTGTTCAGCGGCTTCGGCAAGTTTCGCTTCGCTTCGTTCGGCCAATTTCTTTTGTCTCTTTTGGCGCAAATATTCCTGATCGTCCATTTCGTGATCGTCCGACAGACTACCACCGAGAATATCGAGCAAGCCATCTTCTTCAAAGGCCTTGCCCAACTTACCGTTCTTCTTGTTAAGACCCAGTTTCTTTTCCCAGTAAGCAATCTCTTTATCGTCCTGCGCAAATGCCGTTTTGCTATTGGATCCTTGCACCAGATCATCCTGCTCCAGCAATGAGTACAGATGCGGGTTGGATTTCGAGAATTGTTTCAAGGCCTCTTCCGAAGATTTCGCTTTTTTCGACGGTGGTGCTTTTTCCGCTACTTTTTTCGGGACGACACCTGGTTGGACAATAGTCTTTTGTTTCTTTCTCGGTGGTTCGGCCGCTTGCTGTCGTTGCTGCGGGGTCATGTGGGCAAGTTGTTGATGCGCTAATTTGCGTTTACCCTTGTCGGCCCGCTTTTGCTTCCGAAGTTCTTTACGGTTGGCCGCCTTATTCACATAGTTCTTTCCGAATTTGCGATCATCGGCTTCTATGACATGGTTTAACAGGTTTGATCCAGTAACAGTCATCGCAGCGACTCATCCAACGAGAATAACGATACCTTGCATATCAAGTTCTTCACGCATCGATTGCGGAAGCGTTGATCCCGGCACAGGACCTTTTGATTTGCCCCGATTATTTGAATGACCTTTTCCTCGTTGCTGATATTTGGGAATAGCCATGGTGCTGCAAGAGAATCAAGCGATGGATCTTCGATTTCTTTTTCTTTTTTTTTTTTTTTTTTTTTTTTTTGGTTGGAAAAAAAAATCAGGAAAGTGACGCTCATTTTCAGTCGCTCTTCCAAAATTGAACACTTTTTGCATTGCTCAACTACTTTTCCATCGACCTGATCCTTCTTCCAAGGATACACTCATGGGTTGTTGCTGACCTACCGATCATTATTGAAGCATTTTACTAAAGGTCGCCATGTCCTGTCAACTCAAAAACTTTAAATCTAGTTCATGATACAAACGCGCCTACCTTGTCGTTTACGTTAAAAACGTGAATTTCTTTATTTGTTTTGCTCGCAAAAGGCTACACATAATACTACCAATTAGATTAGAGCACCTCAATCATCGCTGTTGCTCTTGCAAAATATGGGAGATACTCTCCAGTTCGTCTTTAACTTATCAAATAAAAGAATTTTTAGTTGCGTTCCATATGTTTCCTTGTCAATCAATGACCTCTTCTTCATCGCAAACATTGGTAAGTCTTGAAGCTTAGGCTAATCCAAAAGATCTCAAAAATCTGGATTATTTACGTACGATGCTGTCAAATACCTCATCTATCAAAGCTGGAGTAACTTTTTTTATGGACACTGCCCATTGTTCAAAATTCTAAGCGAACTTTGGGGAAGGCACATACGGGATCTCATTGGTTGGATCACTGCACATAATTTGAGGTATCTTCGTATCTTAGCGGTAGGCGACTTTTGGTATCCACCCCCTTTTTTCCGGTGGATACCAATTTCTTGGTATCTGTTGCCTTTTAAAGCACTAAATTTTATTTTTTTTGGGTCCGCTCACTTTCTTGTTATTTTTAATCCCCTCTATTATCGGTTTGAATAGTATCCTCTCTCTCTTTTTGGAGGATTCCAAAAAAAAAATTGTAGACTTTTCATACGCTTGCCATTTTAAGCAATAAAGAAAAAAAGTTTTTTTTGGACCGTTACTTTCTTGCTCTTTTTAATTCTCTATCATCTGCTTACAATTTTCCAAACTGTGTTAAAATGTCCAACTTTAGCTACATTGAATTCAAGTTGAATTACGTCGATTGTCCCTGCGTTGATTGCACCGAGCAATTGCCTTCTGGTCAATTGCGCCATCGGCAACAGACACGCAAGCAATCAGGTGCTCATGTTCGCGAGCGAGGCATCTCTCATTTGCTTCGTGTTCAAGGTATAGCAAAATATAAATAATAATAGCTTTGATCATTTTTTAAACGTGTAATGCTGTAGAACCCGTTTTCGAGAACATTTCTGATGTTGAAATGGGCGATGATGAAGGCGAAAGTGTTGTCATCTCAGGTGACGTTATCAATACGACGGATGACGACGTCTTTGGTGTATTAACGACGGACGATGCCGGTAACATTCTCGACGCGGAAGACATCGTGGATACCGCCGAGGCGACCTCGTGGGAAGAATTCGGCGATGACGATTACTACTTCCAAAACGAAGAGATCATTTCGGACGGTGATGACTCTGTGACCGTCAACTCTACTGACTTGCGTTACTGGTTTGTTGCAATTTTTATTGTCTACTTCCAGCTTCGTTTCCTGTCAGAGACGGCAGCAGAGACGTTGATGCTGTTTTTGAATGCCTTGTTTGAAATGGTGTCTATCTCTCTTCGTTTGCCAGCAAAGATATCGACACTTCGCAGCCATGTTTGCATGTCAGCCAGAGATGCCGTTGTCAGATTCGTCGTTTGTCCGTCCTGCCACTGTACCACTCGTTTTGATCATTATCGATTTGAAGAATATGCCGATCCGGTAGAACAACTCCGTTGCACACACCGCGAATTTCCGCGTCGTCCTTCGTGTGGAAACGTACTTTTCAAACGTACAACCGGAAACCGTGTTGTTCCTATCAAAGAATACGCATATAATTCCGTCGTGAGCACTTTGGCAACTATGTTTCAACGTCCCAATTTTGAGACATCAATCAATCTCTGGAGACATCGTGCTGAAGCTTTGCACAATGCAGGTAGGAAATATCTTTCATCTATATTATTCATAAAATTTTCCATACTAATTCTTTCATGATGCAGATGAAGAGCACCATTTATACGATGTTTACGACGGACGCATGTGGAACGAACTTAATGATGCAGATGGCATTGTTTTCAATCAGGATCGTCGCTCACTTCTTCTCACGTTGAATGTTGACTGGTTCCAACCCTTTGATACTGGGCGCATGCATTCCGTTGGCGCCATTTACCTGGCAATTAACAATCTTCCTCGCACCGAAAGGTTCAAGCCTGAAAATGTGCTGTTGGTCGGCGTTATTCCAGGGAGTCACGAGCCCAAAAAAAATGCAATGAATCATTATTTGCGACCGCTCGTTGACGAACTGGAATCCCTTTACACTGGTGTCGCTCTCGGTGATGGACGGATCCGCGCAGCTCTGCTGATGATCGCTTGCGATATACCAGCAGCACGTAAAGTGTCTGGATTTACAGGTGTGTAATTTAATGAGTGCATTATTTACAGAAGCTCATACAATCCATTATCTATTAGGTATTGGCTCTTTTCGTGCGTGTTACAAATGTAACCGCCGATTTGATGCTTTGCCGGGCAATCATCTAAGACGAGACTTCACTGGCTTTGTTGATGTGGAGCAGTGGCCGCAACGCAATGGGCATGAAAACGTTCAATGTGCGGAGCGTTGGAGATCGGCGGCCACACTGGAAGAACGGCGGGTTATCGAAAGACAACATGGCATCCGATACTCGGAGCTATACCGTCTACGTTACCTGGACCTTGTCCGATGCACCATTGTCGACCCCATGCACAATCTGTTCTCGGGCACTTCCAAGCGCAGTATCAACTTGTGGAAGACATTACGTGGCTCCAATGGCTTCTTTGTTCTGGGAGATAGAGAGTTTCGAGAAATGAGCACTCGGATGACCGAAACTCTGCTTCCAACTGGCTATGATTTACCTAGCGGAAAAATCAGGTCTGGTTGCAGTACGTTGACGTCAGACGAGTTGCGAACGTGGGTTTTCATTTCGCCAATTTTACTGAAGGAGAAGCTCGTTGGAGAGGATATGTCGATTTGGATGAAATTCGTGGCCGCCATTCGACTGCTTTGCAATCCTTCAATCACCGTATCGCAACTGAATTCTGCTCATGAAACACTTCGCCAATTTTGCGAGTTGTATGAAGGCCGTTACGAATGCGAAGAAGTGACAGCGAACATGCATTTGCATATGCATCTCCGCGAGACGGTTCTGGACTTTGGCCCGGTGTACGCCTTTTGGTTGTTTGGGTTCGAGCGCCTGAATGGCTTGCTCAAGAGCTTCGCGGTCAACAGCAAAGATGGTTTCGAAGTTACCCTAATGCGGAAATTTATTGAACACTCTCACAGTATGTATACCAGTCCGTCTACTCAATTGCTGCTTTTTTTTTTGAAAGCTAACCATGCCCTTTAGTTGATTCACTGCACACCTTTTGCGAGCCTCTTGCAGCGTATCCTGCTGCCCTTACTGTGCTAAGAACACTGGTACCGTCTTTGGACAAGTTGACTACCAGCTTCCACCCAGCAGTCGATTTCGTGGACGCTTGCAATTTTATCAAGTATGCAGAAGCCATCTATGCAGATGATTATATAGTTGGCTACGAGTCTATCCCCTCTTCTGTTTGTCTTTCTGCCTTGAGCCACACTGTCACGATGGATCCCAGGCACTATATGTGCCTCTACCGCCATTATGAGAAGTTCTATGAGGGCATTCGGCCCCATGGCCACACTGACAATATGCGGTTGACGATGGTCGTGAACGCCATCAAGAAGTTTCGTAGTGTGACGATCTCTGGGCAAGTCTACAAGAGTAAAGAGTCTGGCAGAACCGAAAGGGGACGCCATATCCAGGCTTACTTCCGCTGCTCTGATGGTACCTTTGAATTGCATCCAGGTGAAGTGCAATATTACTTCCGTCACAGTATCAAACAACCTGTAGAGGGCGAAGACCAAATGGATGATTTCGAGCATCTATTTGCTTTTGTACGATGGTTTGAGCCGGCTGCTTTTCCCCCCAATTCATTCAACGAATTGGGATTTTCGGTGTGGAAGAAACAGTTCCAGCCGTTGGATCATAGGTCCATCCTGCCCATCCATCGGATTTACTCGCCGGTGGGGATCCACAACTGGTTGGATGATAAAATCATCATCATCCCGTTCCCACGCAAGATCAATATATAGAAAAGGTAAATCACTATCTTTTGTGCTTATGATGTTGTCCCTACTAACACATCAACATTGGTAGCTCTAGCATAGTATTTGCACTGAATATGATGATTTTTTTTTATTCACGCTTGGCCTCTGCTGGCAGCCGCGCCAAAACTGATCTCTTGATGTCCTTATTGACAAGGACAATTTCCTGGGGAACGGGCACCTGTCTGGCACGTTTGCTTCTTCTCGACCGTTCCCCAAGCACCGACAACTGCTCAAGAAACGCATTTGCCTATGGGAAGTGTGTGAGCTGGTGTATATTATTGTCACTGCTTGTTTTCATGAAATACTAACGCGATCACTTCGACAGTGAGGCCGCAAAATTATCTTGCCCACAAGATAGTCATCCTCCATGACGTCCTCCTCGTCGGACATCAAGCTGACATCTAGGAGATGCTCAGCACCAGCAAAGTAAGCCCACAGGATAGGCTGCTGATGAAATACAGCCTTCCTCTTCTGGCATTTCTATATAATGGACCATGTCACTTATCGAGTCTTTGTCATTTCCAGTTCCAAATACTAACGTCGGAACGGCGTTTGTAGTCCCTTTTTCGCGTCTTCACCTTCTCGCGCTCTTCCTCAGAGCGCTTGTACTCGGCTTTCAACGACTTGAATTGGGTTCTGCATTTGATGTAAACAAATTCATCAACCCAGTACGACTCTTTTTCCTCCTCTGGGAGTTGCCGGATGAAATCCTGAAGGGCCGCAATGACAGTAGGATTTCGGCCATCGTTCACAAACACGCCAAACTCCCAAGTTGTTTTCTCC